ATATATAGTTTAACCTTTTAAATACTGTATATATTCCTAACTTTTATATTAATTTAGTCTCTGTATTAAAAGCAAAGGCTGCAGGACTATATTATAATACTCGAAATAATTGGCTTAAAAACTATAATTAAAAGCCTACCTGCATGCTAAAAGACCAGTTAGGATTTTTTTTAATTAAATAGGATAATTTAACTTAGAATAATTAAAATAATTAATTATTTATAACTTACAGAACCTTTAAGTAACTAATATTAAAAACAGCTTCTGCATATAAATAGCACCAATGTCTTGGGCACCCAGTAAAAAGGTTATAAGTTATCTAAAAGATGTAGTAAATAATATTTTTATTAAACCTATAAAATATAATAACTTTAAGAATTGTCCTATATATAATATAATAAAAATAAAAAAGCAAATATTAAAAAAATATATTAATATAGACTAATTACTATTTAAATTAATTTACTAGGATATAATTTATATAAATTAAATATATAATAGGGATTTATATATCTCACATGCTTATAACCCAGTGACCAAGTATTATTTAGGGATAATATTAACCCAAAAATATTAAATTAATTAATCTATTTAATATATTTTAAAATATGTTAAAAACCAATTTAAAATTTAAGTCAAGAAATTCTATTCGGACGGTAACAAAAATCTTGCATTAATTTTTAGTAAGTTTTGTTGAGACAAAGGTATAATTTATATAAAGTCACCACCTAAACAGCCTGAACAAAATCTATATGCAGAAAGAGCTAGTGCTTTAATTATTAATAAAGTAAGATTATTAATAAATTCTGTAAATTTACCTAAAGCCCTATGGCTAGAAGTGATTAAATTAGTAATATATATTCTAAATAGGACTCCTACTAAGCAATTAGGGTGAAAAACCCTATATAAAACCTTATATAAAAAATTGCCTGAAAAACCCGGGTATATAACCCAGAAACCATTTTAAATATTTTAAATCTAAGGGTCTATAGTTGCAAAGCCTATCTATACCCGAATTCTATATATATCTAGACTTAAAAAACTCAGTCCCAGGACATATATAGGGTTTCTAGTAGGCTATATTACCAATATATAGAATAGACTATACATAGATAGTAAACCAAAAACTGTATATAGTGTATATTTCTGTATATTATAATATAAGGATTTTAAATACAGTTGTATTTAAGTTAGATCTGTATTGTAGCTATCGGAATAACTTATAATAGTGGCTGAGATATTAGGGTCCTAAAAAACACGAAGTAGTATTATATACAGTGGTGTCCGGCTGGCTTACATGTCTAGCTTGCTTAGGAAGTAAAGTATAGTAAATATTAGTAATATTTTTAGTATATCTTATCTATTCTCTTATATGATAATAATATATAAAAGAATACATAAACTAACCACTTTATTATAGAAATTGTGTTTGACTTGCTTCCATATTTGCATTTTAGTTTCCTTTTTAGGTAATTAGATCTGTATTTAAGTTTAGGTGGATTTGACTTAAAATTAATATAGTTATATAGTCAGTTAATTTCTCATAAAATCTTATAAGATTATAAAATATTTTATAGTTTTCTAACTTATAATTTTATAATTTTTGTATAATTCTGCTTTTAATATGGTTAACCCCCTTTAGTTTTTAATATATATTGGTATATTAGAGCTGATAAAGTAGGTATATTAAATAATCTTTTTAATTATTAATAATTTTTAATATGTTGCATATTAAGGGCTTTAGTAAATTTTTCGTGATCCTGGCTTAATAATAGTTTAGTTAGACTATCTGGAGGTATTTTATAACTTAATATTTATTAATATATTATTTATAAGGCAGTTTTTAAAGTTATAAGTTTAAAAATATTTACATTTTAAATAGCGTATAATTTTTTACTATTTTATATTTTCTTATGATTTTAAAGAAATATGAAGTACCTTTTATATAACAGTATTCCTAATTTTAACATAAAATATTAACTGTATTATTTAAAATTTATAAAATTTTAATGTAGAATTGCAAATATAAATGTCTAAAGCAGTGTTAAAAGTTTAAATTTTTAAACTATATAGTTATAGCAAATTTTAGTTTAGAATTTTGGTTTACTCATTTGGCTTTAAAGCCTTTTTAAAGAAGATTTAAACTTTTTACTTTTATTACACGTATTATTAAATTCTTTTTAAACCTCATAGGTTAACCCATATGGGTCTTGAGCTAATTGCTGGATATATTTGCAATTATTAAAATAGTGGTATTTATTATTTTGCTTTAAATTACACGGATAAGGCCTTTGTATAGTATAGTTATTACCTTTAAATATTATTTAAACCATATCTGTTTTAAAAGGCAAAATTTATTGGCTTAGTTTAAATCCCCAAACTATTCAATTTAAAAAAAGCTTTTTCTTTTTTAAAGCTTATCTTTCCATGATTCTGCAATATTCAGTGAAATAGTTAAATTTTCCTTAACAAAATTATAAAGCTTTTTATAGTTTGCTAAGTTTTACTTATATTTAGCTTTACTACTTTTTTTAGTATAAATATTTTCCTATTAGGAAATCTATGCCTCAATAAAACTAACTTTAGGTTCTGTTTATATATTTTTGATGCCTTTTTCGTGATTTATTAAAAAGTAGTATTTTAAATTTTATTATTAATAATATATTTAAGGCTGAACTATTTTCTATAATAGCTTATTATTATAGAATATTAAATTAGTATTAATTATACTCCATATATTTTAAATTATATTTATAAATAGTATAACGCTGTGGGTCATATTCTTTGGTATTAAGATCTAGTATTAAACTAGCCCTTTTATTTATTAATATTTAAAATATCAGGGTACTAAGGTTTTTTTAGTCTATTTGGTTTAATATCTATATTAGGATTATATAGTCCCAAAGACCCTTGTTTTAAGTAATAATCGTGATATTATTAAACTATAATAGCTAATTATTTTAGCTTGAAAAGATTGTTAACACCTCAGTTAATTTATATTAGTATTAACGTAAACCGTAAGCGAGTCGAGCACGCAACCGAGTCAGACACCCCTGTATTGCATATAAAACAGCACTTTTGAAGACCTCAATATCTCAACCCATGTTGTAGTTATGCTACTGATATTAAATCCTGCCTATTAAATACAACCTACAGAAAGCCTGTATATTTTATTAAGTATTTCTAATTTTTCTTTAGAATACAGTATGTTCTTAAATACAACTTGTATTTTAAGCCCGTTCTCTGTAATATAAGGAGTTAGAAGTTCTGCGATATCCTAGACTTAGTATCTGTATATATACTATTATTATATGATTATATTTTCTAGATTTTAGGTCCTCTTGACATGTTAAGATATTAACAGTATAAAAAGTGCTGTTTTATATGCAATACAGGGGTGTCCGACTCGCTTACCGGTTACGTTAATATTAACCTGCTTGATATTAATGATAATGTATAATATGATTTGCACTAAAACTTGATTTGAATAAGGTTTGTTTTATATATCGAACACCTTTATAAATTTAAAATAGTAAAGCAATTCGGGGAGGTGTATTAAGTAATATGGGTATTTAGCAGGTTAAGTAATAAAATAAGGTGAGAATAAATAAGATAGAGTAAAATTTATAGCTATCCTAGGCTTATAACTATTAGGGAAAGGCGGTAGATGAAGTAACGTATAGCAAATATCAGTAATATTTTTTAATATATTCTTATTTTTTTAACATAATAGTAATATATAGAAAAATAAAAATACTCGCTGTACTATTATAAAAATTATATTTGACTTGCTTATATTTTTATTTTAGTCTCCATTTGGGGTAATTAGATCTGTATTTTAAGTTTGGGTTAAACTTAATTTAAAATTAATAAAGTTATATAGCCAATTAATTTCTTATAAAATCTTATAAAATATTTCATAGTTTTCCGTGACTTATAAACTATGACGATTTTTCCATGGTCCTGATGATATTTTGCAGTAGTGATTGATGCCTGATATATCAGGCTCCTATTCCCAACAGTATTTATATTTATAAACTAAGGTATGTATGTATAAACTAAGCTAGTTTTAATCTCCTAGCCTCTCCACGAAGCTACATTACCCATTTACCTAACCTTGATTAACAAGTTCACCCATATAGATTGTTTAGGATTTAACAACTTTGTTGCGCAAGTTTGGCCATAGCTGCTCCTAACAAGTCCTAATTGAAGTCTATATAATATAGGTGGCTCCAATTTCTTGTATGAGAAGCATGCAACATTAGTACTTTTAAAATAAGATAATATATTGGAGTCTATCTATAAGGATGTGATTGGTTAGTTATCTCTACACTAGTAGAGGTAAAACTACTTGACCATAAAAAGGTACAAGACAGTCGATGTCCATCGATTGCATCTAGCGCCCTATATATATAGTAGGTAGCTAGGGCATCCTTTCTAGCTAACCTGGGTAGTAACTCTGCGTTTAACTCGTGACAAGGATTTTTATATAGGAAAAAAAAAAAAAAAAAAAAAAAAAAAAATACTATACTTATGCTTTATGTTTTTAAAAATTTTTAATAATAGTCACTAGCAAGGACAAGGTCTCTGGTAAATATATAGGCCATGCGGAGCGCGGCTACTAAATACTTGAGTAGTTATATAGGAGGACATGGCTAGCTCGTGTTTTCTTAGATAGGAATTCAAGCAACCTTTTCCTCTAGATGTAGCCATATGGCTATAGCGTAAAATAAATACTTAAGTATACAAAGGAGGTGGCAGAAATAGTAAGACAAGTACTTAAACGAGTGTAGGAAGGAGCCGAGGGAAATATATTGGCGTTTATGTATCTATCTTTCGTCAGAGCTATATGGCCAGATTTAGAGGAAGGTGCTTGAATTCCCATCTAAGAAAATATAAACTATATCTACAACACATGATTGCTCAGCGTCAAAAAAATAGGCATGGACCTCCCACCCACACATACATAAAAAAGCAGGCCACGACCACAACAATACAGCCTAACCCGATTGGCTGAACGCGGCTTTCTCAGGATCTCCCGTATAGCCATCAGGCTTCGGGGCATTGAACTCGGTGATATCACTGCTATCACCGCCCTTAGCATCAGCATCTGCTGACCCAAAGCCATATTGGATAGCAACTCGTTCAACATCCTCATCTGATAGATTCGGTAATTCCTTGGCAGCACGGACGTAGCTCATGTTCTCCAAATAGCCCTTCGCAAAGATCAGATCAATCTCTTCCAGTGAGCGCCCAGCTGTTTCCGGGTAGAAGAAATAAATAACCGGTAAGAAGCATGCATTAATACAAGCAAAGAACAGGTAAGTTCCCCACTTAATATTGGCAACCATAATCGGCGTGACCATGACAATGAGAAAGTTAAATAGCCAGTTAGTACACGTCGAAATAGCATTTGCTTTAGCCCTGGTCTTAATAGGAGAGATCTCAGCAGGATACAACCATGGCAGAGGTAGCCAGGTAGCACCAAAGCTAGCAATATAGGTAAATAGACCAAATGCAGCCCCCTTCGCTGCTTGAGAAGTATCTGGGATTAGACAAGCAAAGGTAATAATCATTGATAGCATTTGACCAATTGTACCCCACCAGAAGAGCTTGCGTCTACCAACTCTCTCAATAAGAAACCAAGATAAAGTGGCAAAGATTGAATAGACAATCATATTAACACCACCGAGAATCATGGACATAAATTCTGTTTGGTTGATTGAGCTCTTAAACAAGACAGGTAGATAATATATAACTGCATTGCAGCCACCAATCTGTTGGAAAAATTGGGACGAGCATCCTAAGAGCATTCGACGAAAATGTTGAGTCTTTCCGCCTGTAAATACTGCCGACAGAGGCGTGTTTTTCCCTGCTTGACCAGACCTATGGGGATTGGAACATTAGCCTGCAAATATTTGTAAAAATACATCAAAGATGATCAACATAACGTACGCTCTAATCGAGTCAAGAATAATTGTTTTCTGGAGCTGGACATCATGATGAGATGTTTCTTTACCCATAAGGGCTGCAATAACTGCCTCGCCTTCTTCGTATCTTTCTCGAGTGAAGAGCCAACGTGGTGACTCAGGAAGGATGGACATGCCAACAATAATTAGGAGGCCAAAAACAATCTGAAAGGCAATGGGAAACCTCCATGTCAAATCAGGTGCGCCATAGGATGCGCCAAAGTCAATCCAATACGCGATCAGAGTCCCAAAAGCAATGGTGGCACCCTCAATACAGATAAGAAGACCTCTGTTCGAGGTCCTAGAGCACTCTGCTTGGTAGGTTGGGATTGTTGATGTATTCATCCCATTGCCGACACCAGTAATAACTCGCCCAACAATGAACTGGGCCAGGGGAACATGACCAGCAAAAGAAGTAACCTGTATAATCACTCCAAGGATCATAATTGTGGCACCGAGAAGGATTGACCACCGTCTACCAAGCCAATCACCGGCACCAAGGATAAAGACGGCACCTAAGAGGCAGCCTGCGAGATGAACGTTAACATATTGACACCTGTGTTGTTCTTTTCTTTTGTTCAAGCACGCAGAACCTACCTATTTCGTAAATGGCCGTCACAGTTCCTTGCATCGTGGAATTGTCCTTTGTAGCTGTGAATACATCATTGAATGGAGCAGCAGCGATGATGCTGCTCATCACACCCTCTGTTTTGCCAATTAGCAGTAGATCAGTTAACCAGAGGGCTAGTGGATCCCATACGATCATAGCCAAAAAGAAGGAATCCCATAGTAGCGCAGCTTGTCACGGCTCGCATGAGAATATTGCCGGACATGCCAGCAAATTTTGGGGCAGGCATAGTGGGCTGTGATACCCAAGCGGGATGAAAGAAAAGGCCAGAAATGGATGATGTTCAAGGCCAGAACAATAGCCTAATCCGAGAGATCTGCCTTCTTGAAAAGCAGGTCTTCCTGGAACAGAATTCTGTATCCAGTTTTAAAATTGCTGGTATTTGCGTTCAATCACGCCCCAACTCCAGTCTAACACTTGACTTTATCTAGGTCAGGGACTACACTGAGTCGTTCTTAGATTGAAGGAAATCGATACGAAAGGAAAGTGTAGCTTATGGTTCAGGGACCAACCAGGAGGGCAATGCTCCTTTATATCCCTGGCCATGTGTTTCTCAAGCATGTGGGATAGAGAGGTGGAGCCAAATGTACTTCGCTTGAGGCAGTAATTCGTGATAACGACTCCACAGTAATCCCACGGCAAGCCAGGGCCCATTGAATAAAAGAATAGCTCGGAGTAATTTTAGGAGGAAGCGGGATTCTTTTTTCCCCCGCCTTTAATACCTACTTACTTTTTAACCAGATTTGGTAAGGCCCACAGGATATACCCCCGAGTCCCACTCCTTACGAAGACTGTGAATCGCTAGAAAGCGGCAGAGACGAATGCTATAGTGGGAAACAATGCCTGCTGTACTCCGTAAAATAAGTGGTAAGAGCGGATAATCCTTGGGCTAATGTGGCTATCATCCTTGGATTCAATGACTAGTCCAGGTTTGTCGTTGGTGAGTCGTCGTTGACAGCGCCAAAAAAAAAAAAAAAAGAACCAACAAAAAAATGGCCCCACTGCACCTGAAAGGTGGCAAGTGTTGGATTTACGTAGCTCTGCCCTTGGTAGTCTGCCGCAGGCACCTAAGGAACTGGGTAGGTAGGTACCCCTACATACGGACTGCCCTAATTTGGATTCTAGGGCTGGCACTTTAAATATTGCCAGGGCGGCCGTTGCTGGGGACATCTTCCTTGCAATATAGTGAATTTAATTATCTATTTTTCCTTTACTATCGGATGTGTAAGTTTACTTTTGTTCCTATTGAGATATTCACTTCCTTCCATCCCCAGATTTTATAATATCTCCTTCTCTCCACCTACCGAAGTTAGCACTGAAATATATCTCCTGTTCTGTTTATTATTTCACTTCTGCTATGGTCAACAGCCCATAGACTGCTGAGTGTTTTGATGCTGTGATGTGGGGCCATCTTGAAACTATGGAGTATTATTTGGAGTACACAAAGGGACGGTTTGACCCAAATAAAAAGTGTGCTTGGTAGAAGCGCTTTTAGTGATACTGTGTACATACGCTTATGGTCTACACGGGTTGAGAGTGATATTTTATTGGATACTACAAAACTCTGACAGGGTCCAACACAATTGGCAATTGGTCGTGAGTGGTGGATACTGAAGTATTCTATGAAAGCCTTTACTAAAAATGCCCTAGCGTAGCTGTAACTTTGGGTCTCTCGAGCGGGAGAGAAGCAATGTGGCTTGAGGAGGGTTTGTGCTTGGAATCTCTTAACCCATTGCTTGACCGTCTTGGTAGAGCTTGTGAAATGCTTGGAAAGTGAGCCGATCTTGCGACTACCTGATCTACCTGCCTTACTAGAGAATGAAAGAGCCCTGACCACACGCAGTAAACTGCAGCTATTTTCTTTCTTTGTCGTTATTTATTATTTGCTGTCACCTGTAAGTACAATCTGTATTCCTACGGATGCTTAACGAGAGGAGTCTTCTTAGCAGTTGTTACTACCATGTATGTATTTTGCCCCGGAACCATGCAGCGCTTAGGACAAGGACTTATGGGATGTGGTTCTTAGAACCTATGTAGTAATCTGCTAGGCTGGATGTGGTAATAGCATTGTCTGAGGCATCTGGATTTCACTGGGGAGGGGACGGGGGAGGCGGAGTTTCTAATTAAATAAAATGTATGATCGCAATCCACATGGCTGTCCCCAATGCTACTCCTTGTTTAATCAGCAGCGATGCCGGAGGCTCCTTTCTACGGGGCACATTGTATGTAGATGCGGATTATGCTAGGCACCACGGAGTATATATGTTGGAGTAAACAATTATACAGCACCTACTCCCTACTTAGCTAGGTTATGTTCTGGGCTCGAGCAAAGTCGCTGGCCCTGGGCAGAATGACTGTCCCAAGCCGCCCTAAAATTTCTGTCTTTTTGTTTTAATAGGAAAAAAAAAAAAAGAAGAACCTTTGCTAGTGCTCCGTATTTCTCCCTACATGCCTAGGTCTACAACATAACACATGCTACAAACTGAAAAAAGAACCCGAAAATTTCTCGCTCTTCGTAGTCTTCTCGGGTCAAACAAATTTTCGTATAGCTCCACCGGGATCCCCACCGTTTAGTACCTCCATATTTCGCCCCTTCCCCGCCTGTTGTGTTCTGTTTAGGGCCTTGCCTGATCAGGCGTAAAGGGTTAGTTATCCGAACATGAGATTGACACTTATTCCCCATTACGGAAAGTAACCCTTACTGGACCTAACCATAGCACGAGGCTACTGCTGATGCTCTCGCACCATCTTGACCTTCCTTCTTCCTCCATTTATCTTTTCCCCCATCTTCCTCCTTCTCCTTCTCTTTGTCATACATTAGATGCCAGCAGCGCCTGTTCTTCCAATCCTGAGTGTTGCACCACGGCTCTTGCTATTTCGTCATTTCACATGGAGACGTGAAGTAAAAATTGATACCCAGGGACATGAACTTCTCTCGCGAGTGCAGTTTTCTTAGTTTGGAGCTTGGATACATATTACTCCCTACTATACCTACATTGGACGGCACGACTATTTAAATCTTTCACTTTTCATACAGATCGGCCGGTCTCCCTTATATTTTGGAGCTCACCTACTCTCCTCCTTTCTCCATTACTTTCTCTGCTTTAATTAAAATACGAGACAAGACAAAGAAGGAATGGAAAGGTAGCTGTGAAATAAACAGATTTTACCCGGTAATTTTTTTTTTTTTAATACGTTTCAAAACTAGAAACAGAATCACATAGGCGCAATGACAGCAGGGACCATATCATAGGATGCTTTGCTTTTCTAGTGACGCCTTTTGTTCACATATAAAGCAATAGAAACGAGGAACCTATTAAGATAGCTCTCAAGTAGTCCTCAAGGCTTCTCTTCCTGTTTCTTTTCTCTGTTCTTTTAGAAGAAGTTTGGACAGACCACATGCTGTTTCTCGAAGTCATCACTGTTTTATAGATAGGTACCAGCTAGTAGGACAATATGGTTACACTCAGATGACAGGGGCGTAATAGCTACAGCTTTTCACTTGGATATATCATTCTTATTCCGTAATCTTTACTCATTCATAAAATATCATGTCATTATTTTAGTGCACCTTCCAAGTAGGTTCTCTCCAAGGGAAGGGAAATGTGTGAGTTGGGTCATTCAGAAAATGAAGAGCACATATGTGTGTTCCATATGGGATGGCAAGCAAGAATAGAGAGGTCCCGAATGTTATGTTTGAAGAATAATATCTTTGCGCCTCACCGCTTCCTCCATACGAAAACCAAAAACAAGACGATAAAGGTCGTTTAGCCAAGGGCACTGTCCTCTTTGCACAGTTTCCTGAACCGCTCCCGCTATTTCAATGGCACTGGCACGAGCCTGAGGTCCTACATATTGAAACGTCGGATCGAATGCTACCATCCTTTTGTAACTCCTGAGAAGAGATATCTGCCAAGTCATTGAACCGAAGGCATCTGAAGAGAGAGATTTTACAAACGACGACAAGCTCTGGGGGCCACTGCGCTGGAAACCGCTATTCATCGCAGCCTTTATAATCAAAACTTTGAGGCTTGTTAAATTCGGGGTATTGGGCAAAATGGTTATTGTATTTGCTGAACGTTCAGAAGACTGGGTTTGTCCTGAAACGCTTGACGAATTGGATGGCCATTTTGTTTGGGAGACGTGGGTTGAAATCTGTCCCAAGACAAATATGTTTTGAACTGGTGCCTCATCAGGTGAGGTAGAAACAGTATCCTCAAAGATAGTTGTAGGTGTTTCGGGGTTCCCTTGTTGTCCCGACAACCTTTCATTGAGATAAAGATCAGGTTGTTCAGTTTGCGTAACGGTTTGAGCAAATGTGGCCTGACTTGGCCGTGGAGTGCCACGATCAGAGTTACGCACGCTCCGTCGAGTCCACCCTTCTCGGAAAATATCACAGAGCTCCCAACAGGCCTGAACTGCAGAGCTAAGTAAGTCCTCATTTGATTGCCTAGATTCTCTTTCGTTCTGACGTATACTGAACAATAGCTCGGCGAGTGACCAGCAGGCACTCAAAAGAGGTTCTGTGTTGGTATTCCGAGTTCTCTGTTTCATAAGACGGTGACACAAGGTGACGTAAAAGGCCAGAGTCCTTTCTCTAAAAGCGTCGGGTAAATTCCGGTCATGTGTGTTGTAAAGATGATTATTGAGCTCAAAACTGACGCGTAGTACCGAATCTGCAAGCTCATTGTCCCGGTGTCTAGCATCGAACAATGCCTGGCAGAAGTGTCGGCAAAGATCAAGAGTAAGGCTCGCCTGAGATACATTAGTATTAATGTCCTGACTATCATATAATTCCTGGCAAAGCCTCCAGCATGAAATCCATGCCTCTTCCTGCACATCTCCTTTGAATTTCAAGCGTTCTCTATGAATATAGCTTAAACTGGCCAATGTATTACACAGTGACCAGCATCCATCGAGTGCTGCTCTTAAAGCTTTGATTTCACTTTCACTGCCAAAGATAGGTCTCATTTTTAATATCCGTCTAATAGGCGTGCTATCGACTTCCTGGTCTATCTTCTCAACACCAGCGCCTTTCGGTATATCTAGACCATGTTAATATCTAGCCTAAGGTATTACATCTAGTGACAGAGGATGAGTACCGTCGATGTTTCTCGCATTTGAGATCCTGTCAATATCCTCAAAATCCTGCATCGTTTGTGCTTGAGGAGTTGCATGTTCAGACCAATCCTTTATGGATTCGATGGCTGTAGTCAACGGGGACGGTGAGATTGGGCCGCTGGCGAATTTCTAAGGACTCTTAGTCCCCTAGCCCCGCCATAAAGAATCTTTGAAATACCTTTATTTTCTTTTCATCTTTGCTCGATACAGGTAGTTTCATGATGATGTCTGACTCCACAGACGAAGTGGTATCTGACTTATATATTGATTTGCTACCATGTTGTGTTGGATTTAACCTCTGGAAGGCTGAATGTCAGGGCAATGCGGCAATTTTTCATTAATAAAAAAAAATTGGGAGCTCTTACAAATTCTCTAAATCCAAAAGGGGCATGTATGACTGATCGAGGTGGTTCATTATCATCATCCCCATTGTTATCATATGATGTTGTGTTCAGTACACTATAGTTTGTACTCGAGGTCTCGATCTGATGTATTGCTACAGTTAGTAGAAGCCCCTCAGTTGATCTTTTTTGAATCGGTGTATATCTCTTTGTGTATGTTTGTACCCACCACTAGTCCAGGCCGGTGGTTATTTACCAGTGGCGTCTTATGGAAAGCATCTGTATATGTAGTTGCTGGCTCATTAATTCGCTCATCCATTGCCCTGTCATCTGTTCTAGTGGAAGGTGATTCTTGTACACAGTCTGGAATGTTGTCCAATAATTCTTTGCTTAGGTCTGGAAGAGGATCCTCAACAGACCTAGGCATGGTTAGTATATTGATCAAATAGTTATAGACACCGCCCTACATCGTAAATAGTCCGAGTTCGCGAAGTGCTGCGCTGAGCGGCAAAGTACAAGAGTGGAAGGGTGGAAGGGTGGAATACTCCGTAGAGAACGGTCAGTTAAAGACTATCAGATCAAATTTGGTTTCTAGGATTGAGTATGACAAGTCTCGCTTTATCTAGTTATGTGGTTTTGCGTATTGAGCACAGCTAAAGAGACAGGCATCTCTAATACTTGGTTCCTCATTAGTAGTAAGAAGTAGCTACTACTAACTAGTCTAAAGGTCCCCACTCCTCCTACAGTGCACGAACCTACTATTAGTTAATCCTACTTAGGTACCTACAGGTATGTACCTATGCAGTACTCCGTAACTGTACATACACAAACATAGGTGGTATCAAGGAGACGGTTATGGAGACTATGATTCGCTCGAGCCAGTTAACTGCCTACGACTACCTGCCGTATATCGTAATATAGAATGTATTTACGTGGTACAATTAATTTTAATAGCCTAGGTGAATATTAGATAACTGTAGGAAGACTGAAGTAGAAGTAATGAACTCGGTAGATAATTCCAGCTCCTAAAAAGGGATTTGTCATTCTCTACCTAATCAGAATCACACAATGGCTTCCTGTACTGCTTTACAGACAAAGCCCTGCTGTACAGTAGCTATGAGTTCCTGACCTAACTCGGAACAAAATAATATTGAAGCAAGCGTGTAAGTTTCTCAGCAGCTATAGGCGAATGTACTGAGATAGATATATGAATATATAGCCGATTGTTACGTTCTCCATCGTGTGATGGGCCTTTCTCATTTACACTGTGGTTCCTAGCTGGACCACACTCTTACCCTTTCCCTGGACATATATCAGGAAACACCCTAGTAACTTTCGAGATTACCATTAATCTTTTTTCAAATGTAGCAGAGGCCTTAGCCAAAGGTGCTTAGCTAGTAGACGGAATACTTGTTTAGAAATGTCCCACCGGATCTGAACGTTATATAATGATAGTGTGAGCAACATTGGCATTGTATAAATAAGAGACTTTAACAAAGACAACTGCATCGTGAGTGCTTAAAAAAAACATTAGACACCTATCCAAGACGCCTGTACCTATATTGGTTGTCAACACACATTTACCCTTGCTTGCTGGGTGTAAAAGTGCCACCTAATATATTGAAACGGGAGAGCGAAGACTGAGGGGGAGATAGGAAGGAGAAGCAGTCATCGCTGCTCCCTCAATTCCAAGAAGCTCATGAAGGCAAAAACCACTCTGAGTCTTTGACCTAGGCTGAAGCATGATTTGTTTGAAACAGCTGCCAGAATAGGTCAGAACACACCCGCACTTGATTATTTTGGTGCAAGTATGAGTAGAAATGTGGAGGCACACAATCTTCATTTGAGAACCATGTTAATGCGCATAATAATGGGGAAGTAGAAGCTAGATTTGAGCTTTCGCGCGATCTCTTTCTGCGGGATTATACCTGCATAATTGGCATTAGTCGCTCTTCAAAGTTACCAGGAGCATTATATACCGTAGGAGTTTCTCAATCAGATCGACATGAGTCATAATCATCCTACGACAGCAGTACCTCTTGCAACCCAGCTGGTCCATAGCATCACTTGGAAACCTTAATTAGAGCCGACTTAAAAAAGTGCACGTCGGAGCAAAGAGGTACTCAACATACCCATCCGGGATGCCTTCGTCAAGCAACTGAAGATAACGCTCCCACAGATCACCAACAACCTACCCCAAATATGAATTAGCTAGTTGTTATGGAAAGTAGAAAACAAGAGTAGCCCCTACCTTTCCGCAAGAAAAACACCGGACTGGGATAATCATTTGGCCTAGCTTGCACTTGAAAAGTGTGAGAAACTGTGTGTTGGAAGTATGTAAGATTCATAGGCTCACCGAGGGAAATAATAGGATTGGGATTAGATGCCTCTTGGCATTTACAATAGATTGGTATTGAATTTTCAATGCTCACTCAACACTTGAAGTCAATGTAGTTAAAATTGTATGAGTGGTAGACTAGTACTTTGTACATAGCCAGAGATTTTCTTAGTGGTCTACTCTGTATGGCTCACTCCGATACCTGGACAAGGCAAACAGAAAGCCGCTAACCATTTCTGTATTAGGGCGCTCCATTCACTGTCCAGTACAAAGTCCCAAGGCTAAAAAAAAATAAATGGGACGAAAAAAAAAAACTCAAGAGTTTGGCCCATAAATTGAATGCTAACCCTCTTATTTGCCATACAAATTCGATATTTACAATAGGGTAACTGAGATGACCCAAATTTATCGCCGGTTCTTTGCATTTTATTTCTTTCTTCTTTAAAAATCATTAATGATACGGAAGTGGGAGACCGTGGGTGTAATGGCTGGCTCAAAAATTTCTCAGACTATGAAAAGGCAACGACTCAGTGATGTAGCTCCGGATAAAATGACACACATAAAGGAAGAGCGACGCAAGCGACGCCGCACGTCTCACGGCAAAAGTGATATTCACAGAACCCAATTGCCAGGAACATCTGAAATACCAAAGGAAACAATGGTTAGTGATTCAGCATGTATCACGAGTAATGGATTTCTGGGATCTACTGGTAAAACAGCACTACCTGGTTATTGGGGCTTATCAAACACAATAGCGGGACAGTTAAGCAATATAGATCCAGTCCTTACATTTGATGAACAGTGAGTTACTGCCAGCTACTTTGAAAACATCTTCTAACCCATCTTTATTTCAGATATCTTTTTGTTGGACTTGAGGCAGCCATCCATGTCTACTCTGTTACAACATCACGTCTTTTTCGCACATTGCGTTTGAACTCCGGCCACAGTGTCATTGGATATTGTCTCTCTCCTGTGAACCAGGAGCATCTTTATGTATTTTCTTCGACTGGTTCAGTCACTAAGTGGGACTGGCAATCTGGTGAACAGGTTTCTTGTTTTGAGACTTGTGGCAAAATAGTTTCTGCTCACTTATGCCTTTACAATATTGAAAATCATATAGAGCATGCCCTTTTATGTTTGCGAGAGCTCAAGAGTGGGAAAAGGGAGATAGCTGTCACAACATTAAGCGGTGAAGAGCCACACAAGATTGTCATCTTCCAGACAAGTGTTCGACTCAATCATATTAAGGTCGTGGATAATGGCCAGGCCGTCGTTGCGTACGGTGGTCAACATATTCTTCTTGGAATTTCTTGTTCTGGACAAGGCAACTTAGCAACTACATCCTACACTTGGAGAGAGGTGAAGTTACCTGTTAATATCACTTGTGTTGATTTGCGGCGCAATAACCTGTCGCCCCCGATTGAAGAACAGGCTGCGGATGGAACAAAACGCCCGGCTCATGTCGACCTTGTCTTAGGTGAATCAGAAGGTTCTATATTGCTATATCATGACATTATAGGCTCGTTCGAGAACGAAGATGGCGTCGAAGGACTGAGGAATTTGATGCCCAGGCGATTACATTGGCATCGAGGCCCCGTTAATGCCGTACGTTGGTCAAAAGATGGTAGGTTTCTCCTGGCGGGGATACGAGCACGCGAAGCTTACGGACATATTCCAGGCAATTACATTATATCGGGTGGCCATGAGTCGGTCATGGTATTGTGGCAGTTAGATACTGGCAGGAAACAATTCCTTCCTCACCTCTCATCTCCGATATACAACATCGTAGTTTCCACAACTGGAAATTCATACATTGTCAAGCTGGCTGATAATTGTATAACGCTGTTGTCGGCAAGGGAGTTACAGCCATTTTCCACTATAATAGGCCTCCAACTATGCCCCAATGTTGGTATGCCTAGTTCTCGATTGATTTCAGGAGGGCGTCTCCCGTCTCAACTCACAGCGGCTGTACTGCACCCGCAACGTCCTGGTCATGTTCTTATAGCTGTACCCGCTTCTCGTCAAGTGACAAAAGGTGGTCATCCTTTGGCCAATTCGTCGGTCCTTCAAACGTACGATATCCACACGGATAATCATATCTCCCGACAAGCCCTTGCACGCACCAATGCAACGACTCTAAGGGTGAGTCCTGAAGGTTCGCAAATTACTGCTCCGGATGTCACGCATTTAAGTGTATCTCAAGACGGAAAGTGGATGGCCACTATCGATGACTGGTATCCTTACCCGCAGGATGTCCAAGCTCTTGAGCTTAACGGAGAAAAATCTAGCAACGCCGTACGGGAGACATTTCTCAAGCTTTGGAGGTGGGACAATTCTTCTGGCCTTTGGGAACTCGCAGCACGTATCGATGCCCCTCACTTTTCAGAATATAACCCTGTTCCGGTGTTGGATCTCGCTTCACGGCCTCGCAGCCATGACTTTGCAACTATTGGGTGCGATATGGTGCTACGTGTTTGGTGTCCAAGCACAAGACATCATAATGGCTTGGGCACGGGAAGCGAAGCGCCGCTGCGGGAGACGTGGAAATGCCGAAATACCATTGATATGAACGGATACGTCATAGGTCATAATCCAGGTGAATGTAGCGCTGCTTCTATAAACTTCTCAGAGGATGGCTCAGTGCTTGCTGTTTGTCCGCAGTCAGCTTCATCAAATACTGGCCTTGCTGTACTCATCGATACGCAAAGCTATGAGGTCCGGCACAGCAGGACTGGGCTATATTCTGGCGAACTCTATGGAGCTAAGTTTTTAGGGTGCCATCTTATCATCGCTTCGAAAGAGTCGGTGTCGATCTGGAATACCGTTGATGATATAGTGAGAACAGTGAACTTGGCGGAGGCCAATAGCTCTTTCGCTACTGGGTCGCAGTTGTTGGCCGTGAACCCTAAGTCTCAGACTTTTGCACTTGCCACACAGCATTTGGAAAATGAAGCCGCTAAAAAGAAATCGCGCAAATCTGCATTTTATGTGCGAGTCTATGATATACACTCCTTGGCCCTGGCGTACCAATCCACACTAAACCATTGCCCTCTTGCCTTACTTTCAAACCAGCACTCGGTGGATTATATAGTTGTGGATTCTGCGGCTAATATACGACTACTTGGTCGCTTAGGCAATGTTTCTAACACTGGTCAATCCCATACGATGGCCATACAACTTCAGTCTGGTCTAGCAAGTTTGTTTGGAAACCAGCCTCATGGAATTGCGAGGTTGCCTTCGACCCAAGGCCCTACATCTTTGCCAGGCACAGCTATGCTTTCCTCCCATGGCAAAGCACTGACTGGTGTTTTCGGCAACGCTCCTCCTTTCGTTTTGCCGACTGCTAAGATTCTTTTGCAGGATGTCGTACGAGCTCTATTAGGTTAGTCCATTGGGTGACTCTACCGAGTTGAAGTATCATGTTCTCGCTACCATTAATATTTACCTATTTCATTGTACGGATCTTCTTGGGCTTTTAAACACCCATTCGTTTCTACAGGAACGCAAGACGTTGATTATCGCACCAAATTAGTTGTCATTATTTTTATTCACTTGTCAGCTATCTTCTCTATTGTACTGGGTACCATGAAGAACGCAATTTCTATGCTGTATCTATGTATGAATAAAGTCATAGCTCACCTGCGGGGTGGAGCGCTTATAGGGCAGGATTAATCTAGCCCTTCTGCACATGTTTGGTTTCCATCTACGGAGCAAGATACTTATCTTTGTCCTTGTTAGTTCACTTTGTACTTAACTAGTAACTGTTTTGTTCTAGAGGGCTGCTCTGTTCGCGATTGAAGTAAATCTATTTTGTACCTGTGTTTAGTCGTGTTTGACGCTTAGTCTATACCTAAAGGGATCCATATAATAATTACAGGCTTCCTGGGACAAGATGAATTAGTACTGTGTTCCCAGTGGTTCTTACTATCCCATGCTATACTATCTAGATATCCAACTAGGATTATCTTAGTCCAGGATTTTTTTACGCTAGCAGGTCTTCCCCCCCAAAAACAAAAGCATGACTAAGGAGCATACTGAACTAAATGGGTATGACACTTCATATCAGCTAGCCATTTTGGAAGGGAAAATTTTATGACTTCCACTGGTTAAGCGTTGGTTCACTGGTACCAAACCCTGGAGACAAGTAACGCCTTTTAGTATGTGGTGTATACTTTAAGTCCATACTTGTGGTTCCGGTAAAAATATGAACCTAGCTATTTTCATACCCAGCATTTAAAATATTAACCCTAAGCCTATGCCTATGGATGGGTTACTTTGTAGCTCTTTCAAACACTCAAACCAACAAAGGAGTTGAACCTTATCCCTTTCCTTAAAAAACAAAAAAATTGAGAGCCAATGGACCCTCAAGGGGAGAAGAGTACCCAGGCATAGGCCCTATTGCGTATACAACTGCATCCCTCATAAGGTTTGGCCCTTCATGCTAGTTGATTGAAATGGCTGCAATGCACTGGTCGCAGGATCCACTGTGCTTTTTCGAGAGGTACATACACCTGTTTGCTTGATCATAGGATTTCCTACTAGCAGGCATCAAATACATAGACGTATGAAAAAATCTACTAGATAACCCCACAGAGAAAATGCAACGTAAATAGGAAGTTCCTATGTCATCTATAACATGTAGGACATCAAGTCATAAATACGAAGAGGAAATATCAACCCATCTTATTGATTCTCCTCTGTAGCTTGAAAATTCGGGTTCGTAACCACGTCAAAAAGTGCATCCATGTGTTCTTGGACTGTGTCTTCCAGGATCCAGATGAAGCTTGGGGTTGTGATGTTGACGTAGGGCGTGTAGGGGCGCTATGCATTTCAGATGGTTTCTTTTCACACGCTGGTGGGTCCTGCCCTTCGTCCTGCCCTTCGTCCTGCCCCAGAGGTACTTTCCAGGGTGATTTTCCCTTCCGCCGAATTTGCTTTGCCTCCGCCTTCAACTGTTGCTCCTCTAATTTCAGTGCCTTAGCTGCTTCCTTCTCCTCGAACGCTTGGCGTGCCGCCTTTACCGTAGCCGCTCGAGAAATAGGATCCATATTGTTTTGCATCTTGGAACGAAAGACGAAATCCAATGACGACCTGGAAATTGGTGAAGCCCTATCCAGCGTATTTCCGTTGTCTCTAGAGTAGCCAAAAGACGGCCTGCCGGAAACGTTTGTTTGTGAGGTGCCAGGCAATCTGGTAAATGAGCTTTCATGAGTTTGTAATGAGGGCCACGGTGCCTGAACCGAGGAGCCATGGACTGAAGAGTATAAAGTATCAGGTCCAGAATGTGTCATGGACTCTACACCAGCTCCATCTTCCATGTCCGACTGATCGCTTTCAAAACTAGACGCTTGGCAAGATTGGTTCAATGGTGGTGTATAAGTGCGAGGTGCTTGACGCATTGGATGAATATATTGTGAGCTTAGCTTACTCACGCTGTAACTACTCACTGTGGAAAGCTGGGATGTTCCACTTGTTGATCGGTGGTGAACATGAGCGAAACTCTTCTTGATCTTTTCATTGGCATATCGATCCTTCTCTCGCTCGTGCCTCTCGTTATCCAGGTACATCCCAAGTCCTTCGTATTCAAAAGAGTGTCGAGAGGAATTAAACGATGGAGGAGACTGATCCTGAGATACATTCTGGAGTGACGGCATTTTATGAATTCGTTGTTTCGTGAAGCCCCTTTGTGGTTGAGTTTCAACCACTCCAGAGGCACCATTCGAAGCAGGCGGACTTATGACATGATTTGGACCCATGCTTAGAACCTTTTCGCAGCCGGGGGGAGAATATGTAGCATCTTTTGGAGGCATGGATATTCGTTTATTACTTTCGGTCGTAGCCGATCCATGAGAGACTTTCATCTGAGAAAAGGCCTCCTTGGGAGTACGAAATTTGCCGGGCGGGTGAGCTAGCACTCGTGTACCATCACAAGGAGATGCTGGGTGACATCCGGTATAATGCACCTCCATATAAGGACAACCATAGTATTCAAGTTGGTTAATTGATGTAGAGTCACCGATCTTCACACGTTGTGTGCTTGGAAGTGGTGAATTTCGAGCGAGACTGTCTTCAGAGCGTGCCATGGGAATGGATTAGAAGACTATATGTCTCTTTCCCGTCCTATCCTAGTTAACTGGTGAAGTGAGGCCTTATCTCCTTTAAAGATGTTTTGTGAGGGACATTTTTAACATGACGCCAGCAATAAGACAAGCAAGAGTCGTACTCAAAAGCCCAAACTGCATGAAGCCGTTGTATACCTGTATTCTGGAAAGTCCCATACAATGCGCGTCTTAGGAAATCGCTGCAGTCAACGTGGAAAGAATAAGGGTTAGGCGTTGAAGTCCACTATAGGACAGCTGGAAGTGCGTCCAGGCGAGGTACTGGGCAGTCTGCTGTCAAGCCTAGTAGTAGTACATGGCATATAAATGAATATGATGGCGTGTTTCACCTGTACGCATCCTTCCTTCCTGTACAGTCGTGCCAAAGTTCGGAAGAGTCCGCTCGAAACGGGCGGAGCCAAGAAGAATGATGTCTGAGCCTCTGAGGCGCACACCGACGAATGCGGAGATGTCTAACCAGTAGCTTGTTAGTAACTATTTAGTAACTGTGACTAAATGATGATACAGACACTCCACAATATATGTTACTTTATGCTATCACCATAACAATATTAATTCTTAACTATTCAAGTTTGTTCAGTAGGCAGTACTCTTACGTAGAGAAAATAAGTTGTAAACTGCTCCATCTTCTAATTGTCTAGTAGTAAAATTAGGCAGGTCAATCAAACATTCACTAAACAGAGTGAATGAATAAACTAACGAAATGCCAGAAAGAGATAAGGCGAATCTACCTTAGGTTCAAGACTAATAGAAGCAAGCCAGGGAAGGCCACAGCAGAGATTCCGGCTGGTGGGCTCTTGAGCGGTACTATTGAGTAGAACCCCAGCATGTGCTGAGCACATAGACGACATGCCAAAGGTGTACAAATGACATTGATCACCTGGCAGAGAATACATACCTCGCCATGCATTTGTTCACAATAACTGTAGCGTATATGACGATTGGAATATGCCCGAGAAAATACGAAGATCAATACAATGGCTGTCTCGACTATACCTAATAACCACAAATATGGCCTATGCTACGATGTAAAACGAAGAGAATATATTGATACCGATGGAAGGGCCAGGTGACAGATGAGTTATGCTTTACTTCTCTCGCCGCCCTCATGGATTTGTCCAGGTCTTTCATAGTCTCCAAGCAAGGAAGTCTTCCACAGTAACTACTATGCTGAGTATATTGGCAATGCCAGTTTCACTGCTAGTCTAGTTCGCATTAATTGTGCAATCACCACTCTTTAACTTCCCCTAGTGTTGGATGCTCTATCCTAACAACCTTGTCGCAATTGAGCAAGCAAAGGGGGTCGAAAGCTAATTTTAACTGTTATGTGACGTCAGTTCCCGCACTGTGCTATGGCATTATGACTGCTGTAAAGGATAGAACTTACCCGGCGCATAGCATCAACCGTAGACTCTCCAACTTCATGTTCAAGGTAGTCCCGTTTAATGAGACCGACGCCATGCTCACCTGTTACAGTGCCCTCCAAATCCACCGCTCGCTTCACCATTCGATGAACAACAGCCTCTGCACTTTCCCTTTCGTTCTCATTGAAGAGGATAATTGCTGTTTATAGAAGACTTGTAAGTCTGAAGGTTGTATGGCTTGGACAAGGACGGTACTTACCATGGAAATTACCATCTCCCACATGGCCACATATTCCTGCTAACAGTCCACTCTGAGTCATGTCCTTTTTCGTTGCTTCAATAATATCTGGCAGTTTGCTCATTGGAACTGCCACGTCAGTCGTCCAAACATGGTCTTCAGGGCCTCTTCTCATTGACATTACACTCCAGAGAGCCTCTTTCCGGGCACTCCATAGCAGTTGCATCTCCTCTTCGCCGCGAGCAAATTCGAACGATTCGCCTGCAGTCTTGGATACGATCTTTTGTACCAGGCTTATCTGCTCCTTGACACCAACAGGTGTTCCCGTGAACTTGAAGAATAGCGTAGGCGATTCTTTCCATTGGCGGCTAGTGGCGTGGCTGTCGTTAATGCACCTCATTTGCACGTCATCCAGTATTTCAACGCCAGCAACTGGTATACCTTCCTCTACAACGCGGGTGACACACTTTGCTGCGCTTTGAATAGTTGGAAAACTCGCAACAGCGACACTTTGACTCTTGGGTTTGACAGTCAGCTTTAAAGTAGCCTCAGTTACAAGTCCAAGTGTTCCCTCGCTTCCGATAAAAAGCCTGGTGAGATCATAACCGGCACTTGACTTCCGTGGTCGCTGCTTGGTCTTTACGACGGTCCCATCCGCAAGCACGACGGTTAAAGAGAGAACCCATTCTCGCATCGTCCCATATCTGTAGGCATTAGTCCCTGAGCAGCCCGTGCCTACCATGCCACCGATCATAGCACCGGGCCCGGGATCAGGTGGGAAAAATAGGCCGTCCGCAGAAAGCTGCTCGTTTAAATCCTCCCATCCAAGAGCAGGTTGCACTACAACATCAAGGTCTTTTTTATGAACTTCCAAAACTCGGTCCATGCGACGGAAGTCAATGCATACCCCACCTCGTGTGGGTGTAAAATGCCCTTCCAGGCTGGTTCCACCGCAATAGGGAGTCACCGGAATGATCCTTTGGTGACAGATTTTCATGATACGTGAGACTTCTTCGGTGGTTGAAGGGTAGAGGATAAGGAAAGGCTTCTCGTTTTCTTTTCGTGTATACGAAGACCAGTCCGAACCCGAATGCATCTCCAAGTCACCATTATCTGTCGAGACATTTTCCTTTCCTAGAATGTGAACGAAGTCGGTCCAAGCAGCTTGAAGGTTCGATTGAGAGACGTTGTGTTGTAAAGGTTCCACGTCAAAAAGAGGTGTCGTTGATGAAGTTGGGAGGCTTGGCGGTTTCAGGGACCCTAGGAAATAGCCTCCTGTTGAGAAAATAGCCAATGCTGGTATGGAAAATGTTGGCAAAAATTAGATAAGACGGTATATAGACAGTAATTGGGCTATAGCAGGGGTTGGGGGAAGCATACCAAACATCAGCGCAGCATAACGGCTACCCTGTGACTGCTTCTGATATTGTGCGTGCCGCTCCTGGTCAGCACGTTCACGCTTCAGCCGTTGTTGCGTACTCTCGTATAGCTGGTTTTTAAATGATCGTTGTCTCTCATTTGAGTTGTGCTGAACAGAAGCCTGAATAGACCTCGACTGGAGTGTACGATGGTGCGGTTTTATGGCCATACTGGAGCCGACTCTTGGGTGAAGTGCGCGCCATGACCCCCTTAGGAAAACAACAGTGGATTTTACCATGATGGTAATAGAATAATAGCAATGGCTAAGGTGGAGGAGGTAGAATTAAGTTCTATAAGCAATATTTGCGATTGTCATCCATGGTTTGGAATTCTCAAAGAAATAACATGAAAGACAGTGAACTTATAGCTGCTAGCAGTAGTGCCTGGGTACTTACCACGGAAAGGGTAGTAACTTACTCCAAGAATGACTAGTCAATTCTATATGTCATACAAAGGACCATATTCCATTCTTTCATATTTCAACCAATCCTTCATATTCCAGGTTTATATTAAGTTCCCGATGATGGTACAAGCATTCATCTAGTTTTGGTTATTTCATATATAATGAATTAGCAACAGGCTCAAATACACATTGTATGATAAATTACAGCGTAATTTACGCTGTTAGTAGATCTCACACGGTAGAAGCTTTGGAAAGTCTGTATCTAGGGTCCTTTGCTTATAAACAAATGCTTTCTAAGATGTCCTATAAATCAGGCAAAAACAGGCTGAGGTATACTGGAGTGAAATATGACGTTCTGTGTGGAATACAGAATTAACCCGCCCATATTTCCCACTCGCCCGTGGATAGCCGATGCTATTAAGTATTGTACTGTATTGTTATTATTCCGACAGTAGCTGTAATTCATAATTTTAAAAACTGGGAATCAAGGATATTACCTACGAAGGTAATACGTAGGTACTAGATATCTTCTGCTGCTTCTTCTTTTTGTCTTGCACTCTATATGGAAGAGAAAACATGCATTTAATATATCCCTCAGGTATGTATCTACAGCTAACTATCGGTAAGCTCTTTGGGTTAAGCAACCTATGAATGTGGTAATACAATGGAGCACTAGGGGTAGTCTGCCCCATATTATGGCCCTGTCCAGTATTCCAATCTCTTATTCCTTTATTGAAAATACTAGGTAGCTGCAACGAGAATATCAAACATGAAGAAGAAAGAAAGACACATTGGAGGTGCCGGGTTAGGTAGACAAGCCGTACAGCGAGACATGTAGTTCTTATACGAAGGAATGCAGGGGAGCCGTAACACCGCAGGCTTGTCACCAGTAGCTTATCGTTTGTTACCATCGATGATCCGACAACTATTGACAATTCTTGGCATTACAGTATGTAACCATAATTTTAAGTTGTTGAACCTCTATGCTTCCAAATTAGATTAAACTATAGTAAAATTTTAGAGTTAGTAGATAACTATAAGGTCTAAAAGTAATTTTAACTTCTTCGAAAGATATTAAAACTTGGATGAGTTGTAAGGGTTTGAATTTTGGTATAATAGAACTGACAAGGGCAGGTTGCTGGGTAGAACTCCCATAGTAAGGGAGAATGTTATCTTAGAATTACATCTTTATTTCCAGGCAAAATCAAATAGAAACTTACAGCAGGTATGTAATAATAAGGACAAGCTCCAGTACAAATTTCATTTAAAAATATTGAGAATTGGCTGTGTTCTAAGTCATTGAATCAAAATTTTTATAAGGCGGTGAGATTTTGTCAAGCCTGGCCTGCCCGGCTAAATTCAACAGGACTGTAGCGGTTAAATTTCCCAGCAGCAGCTTATCTTCCCCACCTTCATTTGGCGGGGGAAGATCGACCGCTGCGTCCTGACCAAATCTTGCCTCTCTCTTTTTGTTCAAAAAGAAAAGTGAAGAAAGGGAAATTGCTCTACCTGCAAGCTGTGCAGTCCCCACCCTGCAAGCCTGTGGAATAACAAGTATTTAGTATAGTTATAAGATTTCCCATATCCCTAGACTAAATTATCCTACCAAAGATACTCTTTAATCCTCTTTACTTCATTCCCTAATTTTTTCCCCCACGATATATCTACTCCTATATATATTCCGCTTGACTTGCACCATTGCCGAGAAGACGCCCATTCAAAAGCCCTCACCATGAGCGGAGGCACTACAACCACCCAGGTGCGTTGGAATAACAAGGTCTCCCGCTGGCGAATTCGAGCTAGTAACATTGATGGCACTGCCTTTTCTAGAACCTATCGTTTGTTCTTGAAGGAGTCCACCAAGTCAAATTCGAAGACAGGCCTATTCCCGAGCTTCAAAACCCCCATGACGTTCTCATAAATGTTAAATTTACTGGTATCTGCGGTAGTGATGTTCGTACTCCCCCTACTGTCCTCCCAAAAAAAAAAAAAAAAAAAAAAAATGAAAGCAGAAAGATGGGGAACGGCTCCCCTGGCTGACTTTCCGACTGTAGGTCCACTACTGGGAGCATGGCTCTATTGGCCAGTTCGTCGTGAAAGAACCTATGGTTTTAGGACACGAGTCATCTGGTGTAATTCTTAAGGTTGGTTCCAGTGTCACGACCTTGAAGGTGGGAGATCATGTTGCTATGGAACCGGGCATACCATGTCGTTACTGCGATCCATGTAAATCCGGTAAATACAACCTCTGTGAGCAAATGGCCTTCGCTGCCACTCCACCTTATGACGGTACTCTTGCCAGGTACTATGTTCTGCCCGAAGATTTCTGCTACAAGCTTCCGGACAACATCACCTTGCAAGAGGCTGCAGTAATGGAGCCTCTTGGTGTTGCTGTGCACATTGTAAAACAAGCCGGTGTCAGCCCTGGCCAATCAGTGGTTGTTTTCGGCGCTGGTCCGGTGGGATTGTTATGTTGTGCTGTGGCAAAGGCTTTCGGCGCCTCGAAAATTATTGCTGTGGACATCCAGAAGAAAAGGCTAGAGTTTGCTGAGAAATATGCTGCAACTGCAACATTTGAGCCCGCGAAAGTTCCTGCATTTACGAACGCGAGACAAATAATCAATGAGAATGGGCTAGGAGCGGGAGCTAATGTCGTGATCGATGCCTCAGGCGCGGCAGCTTCGATCCACACTGGTATCCACGCTGTTCGACCCGGAGGCACGTACGTGCAGGGTGGCATGGGCCTGAGCGAGATAAACTTTCCAATAATGGCAGCCTGTACAAAGGAGCTCAATGTAAAGGGCAGTTTCCGCTATGGTAGCGGCGACTATAGGCTCGCTATTGATTTAGTTGCTTCCGGTAAAGTCAATGTGAAGGAACTGGTTACCGGAATCGTTAAGTTCGAAGATGCTGAGCAAGCTTTTAAGGAGGTTAAGGCTGGAAATGGCATTAAGACGCTTATTGCTGGTATCTGATCAGGAGTGGCTTGTGATGCTACGAAAGATGGGAATGATGCCTGGAAAATAAAGAATTCATAGTCAATTTCTACCTTCAACTTTAAAAGTTAGTGGGAACACTGAAATGATGAAATAAAAGCAAGATGCACATAGTCCCTTCTTCAATTGCCTTTTTCTGTATATTGATAAAAGACGGCAATACCTCAGCAGCATGAATAGAAACTTCTGAGCGCCTAGAAAGGAGTTAAGAATCACATTAGGCGAAATCTACTCTCGCAGCAAATAAAGTATGATGAAGGATATTGGGTATCATATTGTAAAATCAGTAAACAGTAATCTGGGTGAAAGGGTGAAGGGAGACAGGAAAGAAGAACTTAAAACAGATGCTGAGAAGTCACAAGATATATATCCAGCATTCTCACATTATGCATCCGTGTTTATGCAGCCCTAAAAGCAATTCTAGTTGCTTGATTCTGTTTCTATCTTGAAGGTGGCTGTGGGTGGGGATAGAAGAGAGTGAGAGGACCCATATTTGGTCAAAGTGTAGGGAAAGTAATCAGAGAGCATGATGTTAGGCAGAGAGGTTATAAGGCAATAACTGGTATTAGCAACACCTACCACCTCTCTTCTGATGTGAACCACCCAATCGAAACACATCTTCCCACTCTCTTATACCATTTCTCCAGGTGTTTGCACCCTTTCTTAAACTCTTATGGTGCAAATAAATAGCACTGTCATCAAGAGTCATGTGGCTTCGAATGCTGGAGACATCACTCGTGCCGTGTCCGTAGGGACCGCCATCGCCATATTGGATCCCACTTTGGGGGTCGTCGGGATCAATTTCACCTAGTTCAATCTTTGTAAGAATGATTCGGGCTAATCTTTTGAACAATTCATCTACGCCTTCTCCTGTGAGGGCTGAGACTTCAACGGCGACGGGTATGTTTGATTTAGCTGCCCAACGGGAAGTTTCTTCCCCCATAACCTCCCGGCCTTGAGGGGCATATGTGGCTGTCAGCCTCGTACCTGTTCCCTGATTGCCGGCTGATTGTACCGAGCCCCCACCTGAGTCAACTGGGAAAGAGGATTGTTTGCTAGAAGTACTGGATGGTGTTTGAGGGGGTCGCGGACTGTCGCCAGCGAACCCTGCGTGTGGCAAATGATCAGTCGCAAGATCCCTTTTATTCCCGGCCAGTAGGACTGTAAGACTTGGAGAAGCAAGAGCACGCGCATCCATGAGAAATGTAGGAAGGGATGCAAATGATGCATGTGACGAGATATCATAGACTAAAATGGCCCCCGCAGCACCCCGGTAATATGACCTGGAAACAGATCGAAACCTCTCCGTACCGGCGGTGTCCCAAAGCTGTAGTTTGATCCTTGTTCGACGTGGACCGGAGCCCAACTTGACAATCCGAGAAGAGAACTCGACTCCAATTGTTTGTGACGAGAGCACTCTCCCTACAGGTGCACACGGTGTATTAGCAAGCCAGTCATGCATCGGGGCCTAACGGGCTCAACAAGGAAACGGGCCCGTACATTCGTTTTTCACAAATCGATGCAATACACAAGATCTATGCTCCAATATGTGAGTGACAATAAACAGTAAGGCACTTTCTCCAGGAGACATACTTTCCGGCGCCGCTCGGGCCAAGAAGAATAATTTTAGCTAAGTAATCATACATACTTTCTAATTCCTAGGAAAAACCAGACGGGTATTAGATGAGGTAGTAAATGAATGCCATCCAGTGGTCATCGGGATCTGGCGCGGCTGACCTGTGGCCGGAGGGGAAGGGGCGGTGAGGCCATCGCCATACCTGATTTCTCTCCGGAAGAGATGAGACCGAAGACGTATTCGAGAGGCTCCTTTTTCGCACCATAATGCTGAGCACGGCTTCTCGAATAGAATACTCTAGAGATAGTTAGAGTAGAAGGAGTTTAGTTTCGAGAGAAACGAAGTGTTCGTTGTCTTGGACATTTCCGCTGCTAAGGCCGGCTAACTAAGCAAATTACTAAACTAAATCTGTCCAGGGAAGTTGAGCTTCGAGATCTTATCACTTTGTAAAATTTCCCACGCTCCATATAACTATCTATATATACACAGCTGTTGTACGACAATGAAATATTTCAGTATTTTAAATAAAAGGTTGCAAAACCAAAAAATATTCCAGATAGCAACTATCACTACAGTAGGACAAAAAACATGCAATAATAGTTTGGGTTTGGATGAGTAACAAAACAGAAACAGGAAAACTCCTATCCATTGTAAATTATATTGGCTACGGCTGTCTTTGAAAATATACCTTAGTATTTAATGATGCCTTTCACGCATGTGAACAATGGTTGTCCATGCTTGACAGCACAACTTAGTCATATGGTGCTCACACCAACAACATCGTACAGTTGAGCTATGAGACTGTACTGTATGACAAAATCCTTGCAATTTTTCCCCATTGGAAGGCCCGGTATTTTGCACGTTTAGCGGTGATTTTAATTTCGCACTCATTTCTTTTTTAGGAACTGGTCCACTGTTGGTAAAGGAACTCTTGTTTTGAGAAACGGCAGGAGTATGATCTGTGTATGGACAGAATCCAGCGGGAAACACTAATCCCGTGTACACCTCAGAGGGAATATCATGCCATGATGTGCAGTTGCAGCAAATAACGAACAGCTTTGCAACTCGCTGGTCATGGTTGGATAGGTTCACAATGTCAATGGTACTCTGTGGTTGATAAGTTGGGGTGCTGCTCAGCACACATTCTGGGCCTTGGTTGATGGCGAGAGACCGACATTGGACAGAAGTCTGAGAAGCATTGACTGCATGGTTGCTTGGTGGTGCCTGGATCGGAATCACTTCTTCATCTAGAGACTGAGAGGGGACCGATGCAGCTTCATCTGCTGTGTTGTAATCAGATCCCGGATTTTGTGTTAAACTAGATGCCAATGAAACGTTTGACATCCCCGTCTTGTGATTTATGGTATTTGGGCCTGCATTGCCTTCTACCAATTCTGATTTTCCTTGGCCCTCCTGATCTACGGGTTCCCTAACTACCCCAGGCCTATGTGCTTCTGATGAGGTTTTTATGCCAACGCTTTGGAATGTATTCACATGCCTTAGATCACAATGGCATTGATCACTGAATTCATGATTCAGCGATTCGTCTAATGGTGATTCTGCTTGCTGGACTGGGAGCTGCGCTCTATGTTCGAGGACTGGAACCGACAACGAATGCCTTTTTGCCTGTCGTCTAGTGATAGTTCGGCCCGATGGTGGTGGCTCTTGACAATTGCTAGTTGGTTTTAAACCGTTGAGTGAGCGGTAATAAGCATTCTCCTTCATTCTGCGAGTAATATCAAGAGAGGAATCTAGCATCACTTTGCCTTCCTCATTCTCTCCATCCGGCTCTTGAGTGAGGAGCACGGCTTGTGATAGACTTGTGTTCGCTTCATTATCAGCTAGCTGTTTTGTACTATCGGAAATTTTTACTTGCGGCTCAATTGCAGTGCCATCGGAAGGGCAATCAGTCTCAATGAGGGTGGGGGATCCAGCAAGGGGGGATGACAGAAATTTCTTATGGTATCTCTGAGGAATATTTTCTTTTCTTACTAGGCTCGGATGGGATGTAGAGATAGAAGACTGTGCCTCTGGAGAATTCACACCGCGACTAGTGGTGGGTGCAGCTGTATGTTTCAAGCGACGTTCTGTGTGCGGTCCACGGTGGTCTTCTAGCTGAGTTCTTATCGTCTTTGCTGGCAGAACTGGCTGTGGAAGGCTGTGCCCTCGTATGGTGTCTGATTCTCTTCTACCAGAACGTAAATTTGCTGCAAATGAAGCACGATCTAGATCCACTGCTCCGCTTGGATAAGTAGGAGAATATTCCTCTGTATTACTCCTGCAATTCCGGTCATATTTTTGCCTCGAGGAGGAACCCAAAGAGTTCGCATGATTTGGCGTATCCGGTAGAGCTGTACCAGAAATGCGTGGTTCTTGGGATGGTCTTGACTGTTTAGAGTGCGAAAGCAATGCACTGTTCGTAGCAGACAGTCGTTTGGATATTGCCGTACCAAGGTGCTCTGGTAAAGTATTAACTAGCGGGGTTGGTGGCCGTAATTCGGAGTCATCTGTCAGTGCTTCTACGGCGCTAACTGGTTGACTTTGGCAAAAACGTTTATCATTCTCATTGACAGAACCTGATCGGGACCGGGACCGGGACATACGCTTTGAAAATACCGCAGAAAAGCGCCTGGAAGAGGACCTAGATCTGTCGGTGCTTACACTTGATGCTCTGCTTGAGCTCCCTAGAGGCTGCTTTTTGGTAAGTCGGCGCGATTCTCTTCTCAGTAGGTTGTGATCCTGAGACGGTTCCGCTTGTTCAAGCTTCAGAAGCCGTTTCTCAAATTCCTTTCTATCTGCCTCTAGACGCTTTGTAGCCCGTCTATCTTCCTTTTGTGTGGCATTGCTGTTCCTTTTCGGCGAGATCCCATCTATAGCAGATAGTCTATGCGCTTGTTTCACAGATTTCGAAGCAATAGCGTGGTCCGAGTAGAATCGGGACTCTACCTCATTGGAGAATTTATTGGTTGGATTCCAAGGAAAATAAGTGTAGGGCTCATCCTCATTTGTATTTATAGCATCACTACTGGTCATTCCTTCTGCCATTTGGATTGTCGGATGGTTCTTCTTGTAGGAGGTTGGTATGTCTTCTGCATCGAACGGTGCTCGAAGACTATCAGTTTTCATTTGCTTTAAGATATTAATCGAAGCACCTCAGAAATGACACTTGTTTTGGGTCCAAGAAAAAATAAATGGAAGTACTCACATTTCCCAGCTTACTAAGATGCAACATACATTGCAGGCGTTGTGTAAATGATGGCCTTCGTGGCCTTTGGGACTGCATGCTCAAGTCCATTTGGTTACAAGCCGCAAATGTATAATGTGAGGATCCATAAAGAAGTTTCTCGTCTATTAGTGCAATATCAAGATAGGGAGATTAGGGGCACGGAGTTAAGAGAAAGTGTGGGTATTGATTTTAAACCTGAGAGTGTGCTGACCGTCTCGCTATGCAAGGAAGGGAAATGCAAAGGCAGTGGGAGAAAGGTCAGCTATCCAAAACTTGGATGCAAACAAAGTATCCTACTATTAATGTTGCGTTGGAGTGGTTGGGGGGGGGGGAGGCAACAGTTCAAGGAAGGCAAGGTTTGGAAATTTGAAAAAAATTTCAACTGGGTGAGGGGGAAAGACTAGAAATTATTTTCAAGGTTGTGTATGATAGGTAATAAACAGGTAAGTGTAGTCGTGGCTGTCATAACAGCTAGCCTCTTGTTTCTGGAACCTCATATATCTAAAATATCGTGCATGCAGCAGTACTCTCTAGCAGGGGAGTAGATACTAGGTCTATACTACTAGTAATGAATTTATTGGTTTGATTGGGCATTGGAATCTACGAAATAGAGATGCTACAGTAGTTTATCTTGGATATATCACCGACCCTAAGATCAGATACTATGTACATACATACTTAGCTACCTACTATTCAATGTGCTTTTGAAACTTATTATGAATAAGTTAGCTCTCTAATTAACTAAAGCAAAGCAATTAGCTTCACTATGGAAATCCCTTGTAGTATTCCCATATCAAATGGTGGCACGCCATTACTCAGAATTGAATTGTGTACACCTTACAGCATGCTATTCTTGGAAGGCAGACTGAAATTACACTCGTTCCAAAAACGAGTTGACTAGAACTTTTATGAAGCTAGTCTAAATTATTACCCTGTCAAATCTGCTTCGCAGTATTAGATGCAAGTCTATGGAGTACGACTCCAGAGTATGCAACAGCGACCGTATGATAAGACGGTTTAAATCTATCCTATATTATAAATAGAAATCTCGTTATTTTTCACACCAACCTATCCTATTTTAAGAAAGCCCCCTCTACCAGACCAGAATTCTGCCATTTTTCAAAAATTTAATGACCAAGGGACATACACCTGGCCCCCGACCAACCCACCACCTCTGCAAGGTCGCGTGAATCGCTCAAAATAATAATAAAATCCGGATATCAACCTATTTCCAATTCTAGATTAGTATACATAAATGGGATCGGCCTGGCTGCCTGGCTATCTCCACGACCGCCACATTCACTATGTCGTGCGCTACCCGGCCTTGCACCTCAGAGTTACTTATCTCATTCTATTAATCCATTTAGAGCTATCCTAGAGATTTCAAATGGTTATATTTTTATTAAAAATCTATATTCTGTAGATTTAGTAGAGATATTGCACATGTAGCTATAAAGGTAGGCAGGACATTCGAGCGGTCAGGAACATTCCAAAAACAGAATAGTGGGTGCGAAAATCCATAGTTAACTAGATTCTATAAATAAATGTTAGTTAGTGCACGCCTTAGCTGACACATATATCACACGTAGTTAGGACTGAATACATAGGTAGGAAACGCACCTGGGTATTATACTTGGATACTAAGAGTTATTTGTACCAGGACACAGTGGTCAGAAATAGCTCATTATGTACCAGGGAATAAAAAGCTTGACATTGGTAAACTAGGCCAACTCTTTAGTAGTTAGGGATTTTTAAATGCCTCCCTGTGTCAAGAAACTCTTGCCAAGACACGATGACTCGTTAGAATCACGTGATCAAATTTGGGGCCGGAGTACGCAATATTGACATACGAACAAATTTCAGCACTTAACAAGAAACTTGAATTCCTACTAGATTTTTTTTTTTTTTTTTTTTTTGCATATTTTCTTTTGTGGAAGTAATGGGTTACTTTATACCAAATAGAGCAACAGTCCCTGAATATTGACCTGGAAATGCAAACTGACCATAATGGCATCTCAAGATCAGAACAAGCTTCAAGGATCACCCCCAAGCTATCATGCTTCAGTATCTTCGTATCATAATTACAGGCCTACCGAAACAGGTGGTCCAAATCTTCCTCCATACCATAACTGGCAAGAGGCTGTCCCAGATACAACAGATTTTCCTCCGCCACCGGTAACGGGATACTTCTATTCTGGCACTGGAAATGCTTCTAGTGCCGATGCAGAGCGTGCCCATGAGTTTTGCGATGGGTTTCCCTTATATTCGCCAGCAAATCCTCCTGCCACCGTCTACAGTTCCGTCCAAAGATGCGATATTCATCCCGTGAAGCCTGAAGGGTTTTGTGGTGAAATTAGCACCATTTCCAAAGGGCGCTGGAAAGGGTTTACTAGAGATAGGAGCCGTGATTGCTCTATATCAACCAATTTACCTCTCTTCTTTTCTCTTGCCGACTCACCGTGGGTTACAAAAAAAAGTAAGACCGTATATTTTGAAGTGAAATTACTTGGCCTCCGTACAGGTCCAGAAACTGGCTCTGTTGATTCAAGCGGGCTTTCTATTGGCTTTGTGGCTCAGCCCTATCCAACTTGGCGTTCACCAGGCTGGGAAAGAGGAAGCGTGGGGGTATTCTCTGATGACGGATGCCGATTCGTGAATGATTCCTGGGGTGGTAAGGGTTTCACGACTGCATTCAAATTGGGAGAGACTGTAGGCCTGGGGATGACGTTCCGTCTTCCAGAAGACATCAAAAAAGTCCCGGAGAGCGAAGGGGAAAGGATTAGAGTTGAGATATTCTTCACTCGAGATGGCCGTAAAGTGGGGGGCTGGGATCTCCATGAGGAAGTTGATGCGGAAGCTGGAGGTGTGGAAGGGCTAGAGGGAGACTTCGATCTATATGGGGCTATTGGATTGTTCGGTGGGGTTGACTTTGAAGCATGTTTTGATCATTTGGGCTGGCTATGGAACCCCTTGTTGTGAGCGCAATTGTACTGTGATCCATTAAACCATTTAGCAAACCCATGCAACTCACTAAAAGAAATAGAAAAAGCTTTGTGTATTAAAGCTGTACTGATGGAACTAAGTTTATCTTTGTGCATAGCACATTTTTCTCGCAATGTTTCTGTGGTTCTCAAAATACTCATGGCTAAGATCCAGGCAGCTGTCATTTATTACGAACTTAATTCTGAAAATGCTTCACAGTCTGTTACTTTTTATTTGGAAGTTACCTATGGATAAGATAGCGGCCTGGGAAAATGTGGCGTTCTAGAAACTGATCTGAGATTAACCATCCTTGTACAAGTTGCATCCGATCTTTATATATTCATGTTGTCAAAACTAGTTTGGCTGAGACATGGGCGTGAGCAACCAAGTAGGAAGACACCAGAGGGACCCAGCTGCGACTATGAAGGCTTTGCTATATATTGGACTTGTCATCAGGGCGAGTCACATTATCAAGAAATCGGGCTCAACGTTAAGTTAACAATCATGGATCTACATGAGAAATACTAAGTCTGCAGCATCAAGTATTTTGGCGAAGGAAAAATTAAGCCTGCAGCAGATATCTACTCTCGAATTTCCTCCAGTGGTCTCCATGGCTATCTGCAATGACTCCTTAAATGGAGGACTTAGCTCGAAGTTTTAATCAGATCAAATAATGCATATAACTAGGTATCGATGAATCCGTCGATGTACTCTCAAAACTGCTCCGTATCGTACATCTTAGTTATCTTGTTTCCATATATGCCTATGGCTCTCATATGCTTATCTTCTATAAGACCGAAACTGAATGCCATCTAAACAGGTCCGTACTGAAATTATGTGGCACAATTACAAATGTGTTGTTACTTACGGAGTATGCATGAAGACATACATGTAATAAGGTAATCAATCTTGGAGATTTAAGGGACTGAAAACTGAACTATAGCCTGAAGAATTGATAGCCACTATCGGACATATATCTGATTGTATGGAAGTAAGTCAACAGCCCCGTATTCAAGTATCCTCCCAGGTGAATCTCCTACCGTAGAATCTGGTACTTTGTAAATCGTAATATAGAGAGCACTTTGAGGTTGACTAAAAGCTAATTTTAAGGTAAAAGAAACCCCCCGGGGGTCTCCTCCCTAAAACGATTCAATTATAAAGGCAGCCCTCACTGATTCAGTTGAAAGACAACCTTGTGCACAGAGTAAGCCTACCTATGTATGCTGATAGTATGGCTTAATTAGTTGCATGAGAGACGTAGTGGCGGGTGTTACTAAAATGACCATGTCTGGCCGAACCTTAAGGAGTAAGAGGGTCTAGTTGAAGTTTCCAGATCCCCCACCTGTTGAACACTAATGTACTAGTAGGCGCTACAAGGAATGTACCTGTAGGTAACATAAAGTATGCTCCCGGGTAATTTATCCGATCCCCAACCCAACCCAACCCTTAAAAACAAACAAATAAATATAACTATCGAACTAAAAATTATAAATGATTTATTTGCTAGTTAGTTCGGGTTGGTAGACTCCCGGTTGTAAGAAAGGCATCATTGTCATTGGAGAATGGGCAGAGGTACCTACTAGCTAAGAGGAAATATAATAGTTAAGGACTATTTAACTAGTTAGTTACCTACATGCTACTTACATACTGTACTGAGGAAAAATGTATTTAATTACCTCAAAGATTATCACTTGGATATTATCCAAGGACGGCATTGCTCCGACTGGTATTTTTAACATGGTTTCTATTGTTTTGTTGTCTTTCCCCAGTCAACAGTTAGAGAGTTTGTCACACATCTTTGCCGAACACGTAGGGGGTGCTGCAGGACTATGTACTACCTAGTTCAGTATGTACCGGGTATGTCCAGTGTAAACTGTAAACAGTACTACTCCGTACGGACCTTGTGTGGTTAGTTGTCTGCCTAGTGCCAACACACCTGTTATGGAGTGCTACAGTAGTGAGTCTGCAAGGCTCATAGTGGGCTATTTTCTCCGTTCTTACCTACCTAGGTAGGTAGTGTAGGTACCTATACTACACGGTGGAGCTCAATACGTGGGTATTAAGCCCATTAACTGAGGTACTTAAAGTATTCAACCACCGAGCCGATACTACCGAGCCGCCACTTTTTTTCATATATTTTTTCTTGATTTCTTTAACAAACAGAATAAGTTTAACTACCTAAAAGTAGCCGCTGACTAAAAGTAAGATAAGGAATTACTCCGGAGTATAATGTGCTAGAAATAATGCTTTTTCTTTTCATTATTTAGAGAAACTTTGAACATCTGAAGTAACAGAAGCAGGTAGGGGGACAGTCTCATTTAGTATACTCCACCACATTATGGAATTAGTGTGTTATTATATATACCATAAGGAGCAATATAAATAAGTGTCTATATATTTCTACTTCTAGATAGTTGAACTTATTCTGTTTGTTTAAGGAATCATGAAACATATATGAGAAAGTGGCGGCTCGGTAGTATTGGCGGCCTGGTGTTTGAATACGTTACTTATTACTTGCCAACTTAGGTAAAGTGGGGCGGTAGACGAGGGAATTGTTTATAATACTAGTGTTTTTTAAACAAATCAACACCACCCAAGAATTCCAATCAGTAGAGTTTCCGCACCTGTGAGTTGTCCGCTTGCAATACTACTAAGGTTCTATCTTGTAGCAGTAACTGCCTAGGTAGGTACTTCATAAGTACACCGTAGGTGCAGTGTTTTTGCTGTATTATTGGTGCTATGTTGGAACTCCTATTATTTAAGGGCTGTATATGTATGTGCTTCTTCTACATAGACTTTAATCTTTTGTTACTTATTTCGCTATCGTAAGTGTAACATATTCCGTTGTACGGAATATATATTTAGGATTTCAGAATACCAAACTGTCAACATAGGAATAAGTTTTGATCGACAACATTATGCATGTCATTAGTTTTCGTTATCCATAATTTAAAGGCCAGGCTGACCAGAATTCTCACGCCAGGAACAAGAAGAACATGGCTTATTTCGTTAAAGCTATTCATAACTGCAGTAATAACAGTATCAACATATTAATTGTACCTTGGAGGGATGGAGTTTCGCCGCGCAAGTTGATCTAGACTTTAATCAAGGGTGGTGGACAGTGCACGTAACAGGCAATGTTCTTATATTATCCTTGTGTCGAATACACAGTACTTTATATCAATAGTCCTACCATATTAGTAGGTAAACGACGTAGTACTGGGTTGTATTCTTAAAGTCAATATAGCGAAAATTATTATTTATATCCCATGCGCGTATGAATGGGAATCTAGCCAGCGCCTATCCTAATATTATCCAGCATTGAAGGAATGAGGAGAGGGAAAGAGGTTACCTACCGAGGCATACAGTAAGATTTACCAAAATAGGACTTTGTCATACATACGAAGTCACTACACAGTAACTACTAACTAGTAGGTGCTCCCGAGTAAGTTGGAAATTTGTCCATAGACTTTTGGTGGATTCTCGGCCATTCTCGGGTGTGAGTGGAGAGCATAGCGGAGTCTAAAGTCCGTGCTGCCGAGAGATACGCGTCTGTTCCACAGCCTGCAAAGCTACGAGTGTCATACTACCTGCTTTACACAGTGTACACAGCATTCTCCTCGGTACCTACATACCAGACTGTTGCTCTAGTGGTTAGCACCACAGTCAAAATTAAATTAAGGGCGAAAAAAAGGAGACTGGATAGATCTGATGAGTAGCTTTTACTACTACGAAGTTCTAGAGCCTGCTTCTTAGGTTGCTTAAGGAGAAAGAACTTTTCCTTCTATAGTATAAGTTGTCATGTAAGTTAAGAAAAAAAAAAAAAAAAAAAAAAATCTCAACCTGTATCTGGTAATCAATAATAACATAGACCCAGTCAATATATATGAATATTCTCAATATTAAAATTGTAGACAGGTTAAGTGCCTACCTCTGTTTGATAGGCAGCAGGTATATCAATATATTTAGCTTTAACTGTTAATAGTATTGGAATTGTTTGGCTGGTCATAGTGCACCATGGACAGTTTCGGGACTATCTACTGTGTGTTTTTAGTATGGCATAGTCGTGAAATCCAATATATGCACGTTCATGTGTGTTTTATCGTTTATAGTTAGAGCTCCCACAAAAGTACCCATATGACACTAAATTAGTAAATACACAAGAGCCCTGTGGATTCATACTAAAGCATATTTCCATTTCGGGTAAGTTGCAGGAGAATCCAAATTATCATCTGCAGCCACTAGTTAACCAAGGCCGGTGGATTACTACATATTCCGTACACAGTATTGATGTACTCTCTATATTTACAGAGTTGTACCTATGCCTTTTTTACCACTATAAGTACCAGCCCTTTTGCCAAGAAAATGTTTAACATGTAGCCATGTAAGTAAACTGCTGCGGAAATTAATGGAGTGCTAGGTATTACGTAGCTGCTTAAAGAGAACTCAAGGTTGCTACTATTAGTTAGCTCACTATTATTAGTAATCCTTATGATAGGTGGAGAAATAATTCATGCTCTTGGGGATACGACAGCTCTATAATTGATTGGCTGGGAATAGCTTGAGCCTGCTATGGCACTGCATTGGTTTAGTACTAATAAGTAGATACTCCGTAGTACCTACTCATATCCAATGTCTGAATATGGAAGTACCTACAGTATAATGCATGCACCTACTATTAGTTTTATTGTTTAATCACCTCTTTGCATAAGACGTCGCCCCGTAATCTTAGCAGCTGTCTACTTTTTATACATAAGCAAAATATGAAACTGAAACACACTGTCTTTCTAAATTAGTGCTTTTTTTTTTATATATCTATTAGAATAGTAATATTTAAGTATTCTTAGTATGTGAGATTCTCTGGACGTGACACCGATGATTCTCTTTATAGCATCAAGTAGCATAGCCTACATTATCCTTTCTAATAGAAAGCGAGAAGTTATGCAGAGAAATGGTTCGAGATGATGTGTGAAATGAACATTTATCAATTGTCTAAAGAGCATAAAGATGCAACAGTAAATTTCCATAACAAAAAAAAAAAAAAAAAAAATCCTACATAAGCTAGTTACGTAGAGTAAATATTCCTGCCACTTGGTTTATCTGACTTTTTGCACCCTGGTTATCAGCTATGTGGCTACTGCCCCCCAAACACATTTCAATAAAATACGTACTCCCTAGTCATATAGGATATCCTAATAGCACCACCAGTGAGCGTTTTATTGAGGTGGATTTTACTTAGCTAGATAACTGCCATCTAGATAAACTGAGTCGACTGATCTCATTTTCCTTAAATTCAAACTTATCATCTGAGGGAGTAGCTATAGCTTTCCATTAATTCAGACAGGTCTATGATACCATTGCTCTGCTCCTAACCTAAGCGCTGTGACCCATACACTGTTTGGTTTAAATATCTGTAGGCCCCAAGGAATAATTGAGGCTTAGCCTTACAAAGTATTCCATACTGGCACAGGGTTATAAGATCGCTACTAGGATCGTTATCAATGCGAACCTACCTACCTACCCACCTACCCAGGTTTCTATATATCTAGTCTTAGTGTATAATGCAAGGAGTATTTTATTTTTTCTATCATGGAAGAGGAATATACGTTGTATCCTTTCTTAATTGTGCAGCATGTAACATATTCCAGTTTCTAACATATACAAGCTCTGAGGCCTCCAAGGAAAGGGTGAGAGATAATCCGATATGTCTTAGGGCTGTGAAGGCTTGCATGTTCCTCGTAGTTTTGTCAAGAGTTGATCCCAATGTATTGCTCAGGCACGGCCTTCGTTCCTATATATGGCGCTATATGTGACTGATCTATCGATCAGTTGTCTTGGGCCTTTTTATATGGTCAAGTGATTTTATCTCTACTAGCGCAGAGACAACCAAACCATCACAAGTTTAGAATATCTGATTATCTATACTGTAGGCTTAATTGTATTTGTGCCTTGGTTTCCACCAGCAGATGGCTATTGCTACTTAACTGAATGCCTCGAAAGACAACAATAGATAAGAAAGGAAAAGAAAACCCATTAGGTCTACATAATTTTTAGCAATGATAGTACGTGATGCATGCATTATCTTTACTTACATAATATACCTATTCTTCTACCCTAACTAAGGATGCTCCGGAAAACTGGGTCAGCATGTCTAATAGATGACTATCAAGGAGACTACTAAGGAGAAATCAGTAATCTCATTGGCACTGCAGATTTGTGTGCATACTTCATGTCACAAATAGTAATAAAAGGATAGTATATAACAAGTACTCAGTCAAAAGTATCAATAGCCATTAGCTTCCATTTATTCACTGTAATTGGCTATTTATCTTCTATAGCATTTGTAAAGAGGAAGGTGTTTAACGTAGTTGGCCACCAAACTTCGCCACCCCTGTATTCTATATAAAATAGCACTTTCTAAAATTTTAATATTTCAACAAAGTTTCCAGAGGATCTAAAATTAAATATATAGTATAGTATATTAGTATAGATATATATACTAAGCAAAGAACTAGAAATTTCTCTTTGTAAGTTAAAATACGATTGTATTTTTGGTATTTTTGGTTTTTAATATTTATAGCCTGAACTATATATTAATAAATTAAAAAAAAATTCTAGTTGTTTTACAACATATAATATATGCTACTATTCTACTACCATTATTCATATGTCTTGTTGGTTGAGATATTAGAGTTATGAAAAGGGCTATTTTATTACGGGAGGTGGCCAGGCGTTGACCACAAAAAAAAGTCAGCATACACAAAGTAAGCAGCCAAGAAGCTTTCTCCACCAGAGCTAGAGGATGGGGAAATGGGACTTTTTTTCACACCATTTTTACTCTGATTTTTTACCGTTACCATATGAAAATCTCTCGCTGACAACTACCCTGTAAGCAAATTTATATTCTCTTTCATGGGTATTTAATTTAACCCCTCGGCTCATCGGCATTACTTGCCCATTAGACTTGGCAAATGAGTCACTGCAGTTAGTGGCCCTATATTTTTAATAATAAAATACATAAATAATAATAGCCCTGCTCCATTAATACTGCTAGGGTGGTGCTATACGGAATAGACCACTGGAAAATATGGCGTTACCTCGAGTTGCAAGGATCGTGGTGGTAATGGTCGAAGAGAATAAACCTCCAGGGATGTATCCACGCGTCCAACGTGGTCATTATTCCATTCATTCCGTCCCCCCCCCATTTTTGATTTATTTAATTTTAAAATATGGATGATTATCATTTTCTTAAATGAGTCTCCTTTTACTAGTACTCGTCGAGCGTCTCGGAGACACCCACCGCAGTTATTAAGTTAAATATCCCTGGCTCAATTTTAGCACTGTCATCTTGCTTGAGGAAACAAGTCCAGTCAGTATTTCGCACACCATCAACAGTCCCACTTCCTGGCCCATGTCAATGCACAGCAGCTGCATGGGCCGCCGCCAATCCCTTCTCCACTCTTAGTTCTCTCCATCAATCCATCTAGATCCAGGGTCTCTGACGCACGAGGCAAAAATACACCTGCATGACACTCAAAATGACAAAGGAACTGGAGCACAGTAGTATCCTTTTACCTTTTCCCCGTTTCCTGTTTAAGGATTGGCTCTACAGGTTGTCTGGATGCCGGCCTCTGGACATGTGCCTCTCCTTGCCATCGACCCTACTGTACCAAATAAAAGTCCCCAATGTTGCATGTCGGCTCATATTCACTTTAAAAAGACCAATTAACCTAAGAGAATTCGACCTTTTGTTTTTGACTAGTAGTCGGAGCTCTCGCCTCCCAGACATTCGTTACTTTTCCGTCTTACTTCTTACTTCTTCATTACCTCACGCCTCCATTCTTTAGAATCCCTTTTCTCGAATTCCTTTTCAATGACAATTGATACTACTTGCACCTAGGGGCCGAAGTGAATTGCGACGCAGTCCTGTCCTCCTATAAGGCGTCCTCCAAGCCTGGAGAGCGGGGGACATTGGGAAAAGGGGGGTAATTGGAGAGGAGAACAAATTCAAAATCTGAGCTCATTGTTTGGGAAGTGGCTCGGTGTAATACACTAACACTTAGTCATGGGGTTTCCATTTATGCGAGCTTTTATAGCTCTTTTGTTAGTACACAATTTCTCTCTTGTTCCCATATTTTCACCCTTTTACGGGGATGGGATGTTATTATACTTTCATTAGTATTGGCTTTTGTTAAAACAGGGTTGAAATAACTGACCTCATTTCTCACAGTCTCTATCGTTATTTCCGTCTTGTTGTGAATCTTGTTTCTTTTTGGACTTTCAAGCCCATTCCTCCACCGGAAAGCCCAAGATTAACTGCGCAGGATGTGACGGTCATTATACCTACCCTTGAGGGGTGCGGCGATGAATTAGTTGAGACAATTAGAACCATCCTTGATAATCACCCTTATGAGCTCCTACTCGTCACTGTTGAAGCAAACCGAAAAAAGGCAGAAAGCATGTTGGGTTTGATGCCCGCTTCAAAATCGAGGATCCGTCTCTTTACTGTCACACACCCCAATAAACGCCGACAGATGACACGAGCCATCCCAGAAGTCCGAACGCCAATTACAATATTTGCAGATGATGATGTGAGCTGGCCGCGCACGGTACTTCCTTGGATCCTAGCTCCTTTTGAGAAAGATGAGCGATATGGAGGAGTAGTTACCTGCCAACGACTCCGTCGCGCTGCTGCACCAAGTATTTCCCAGCGTGTCTGGGGATTTTTGGGTGCTCTATACTTGGAAAGGAGAAATTTCGATTGTGCAGCTACAACACATATTGATGGTGGACTCCCTTGTATGTCGGGTCGAACCGTCGCATACAGAACAGACATCCTTCAAAATGAAGGCTTCACATATGCATTCACTAATGAGGAATGGTGGTTTGGGAAATATCAGTTGAATGCGGATGATGACAACTTTATTACACGCTGGATGGTGTCGCATGGCTGGGAGACCTTTATGCAATACCATCCTGAAGCTGAAGTCCTCACAACTTTGGAAGATAACCCCAAGTTTTTGAAGCAATGCGCACGATGGTCCCGAAGCAACTGGAGAAGCAACCTCACGAGTATGTTTCATGAAAAGCATATCTGGTAGTAAGTACTTTACATTGCCTTCTTTGCACTGTTTTCTATTCTGCAAACCGTTGGGAAAGCATCATGGTCGTTTGGGCCTTATGAGGATTCGTGGAGCCCCATTCCGCCGCTAGAGACAGCGCATGATGTGGACTCATTGAAGGCATTTAGCCCCAAGCAACTCAGTATTACAACAAATCTCGTTTAGACCACGCACTAATAATTGGGCTACAATGCTAGTCGCCAGCCTTGGAGCGCGTACGCGGTACATTTGACAACATTGTCACCCCCGGCCCTCTTGGGAGATTTGCTGCTCGTTTTACTATGCCATAAAGCTACGGCGTCCTGGGATGAGAATTTGCATACTATTGCCATGCAAGCTCTTGGTCTATGGATGTTTATCAGCAAGTTTATTAAACTGCTAGGTCATTATATCCGGTATCCGGTCGACGTCCTACTTTTGCCCGTGTCCATCCTTTTTGGATATTTCCACGGAGGAATTAAGATGTACGCTGTACTAACCCTCAATGTGGTAAGTTGCATATTTGATAATCTCCGGTCTATTTCCTACAAATTAGCCTGTATAATACAGGTTTTGAAACCTACTTCTGGGAACCCTGCACTTTAGATTTCCCCTAAGCGTTGCGGAAGTGGGTTCTAGATTTTTAGCCTATGGACCGAGTCCCAATCCATTTACCCCTCATATGCTCGTCTGTCATGGATGTCATTTCATTTTGTTCACCTTTCCCTCCAGTCTGGGTAATCCAGATTGGATGAGCCGAACTTCTCTATTATTATGGTTGTTCCACCTCCTATCTGTTAGAGAAAGGAGGGGTGAGGGGAATCTTCCCGGTTACCTATTGGCCTACTATTACATCTCATAGCCTCTGTTCCCGCTTCCCTTATGACCTGCCCTCTTTTTGTGCCCAGAGGAATAGTCTCTCGTGAATTCCTCTCTTTCTCTTTAATCCTCCAACCCCTTCTTTTTTTGCGACAGAAGAAACGAAAACTAATCAACCCTCTTCACCACGACAGACTACTTGGGGCAGCCGGGATGGTGCCGATGATTTTGATGCAGAACGCATGAAGAGACGAACAGACAATGACCGAGTGAAGCAATCATATTATCCAAGGTTTATCATTCAATAGACCTAATTCGATCTGAAACCACTAGAAATATCTTGGCAAAACTGCGAATAAACAAGATGTTCCTAAGGGAATTTATCAACTTGTCGAAACAATCTTATTTTTTTATTACGATGCAATGCCTTTAATGACAACTAGAGGACGATCAAGCCTTAAGTAAGGTCTCAGATGCCTTCAGTTTTTGACTGACGAAAAAAAAAGAGTTAGTCTTAGCGAAACAATATCCCTTGCTTCCCCTTGGAGACACTTCCACTCAAAACATGTCAATTTTCTACCCGGCTTCGCGACAAGTATTACTCCTTGTTTATTTTATTTTATTTTATTTTTCTAAGGTGGGGTGTGGCTTTGTTTTGCAACATTTTGTCCCACCAGAGTCCTACAGTCATCGGGGTTCACAGAACCGAATCGGGATCCCCCTTTCATATTGACTTACCTTATCTATCGCCTTTTCAATTTTTTTTTTTTTTTTGTCGAAGCCTATCTGTTTTTCCCCCGGTCTTGTTGCACGAAGGATACTTTGTAAATTACAAAAGCATGGGCTGGTTTTCTTGTCGCTTATCCCTGATATTTGCCCCGTTCTCTTATTCATCTGTCTTAGATTGAAAGCTGGGTGGTTTTGTGACTTTACCTAATATCCCATCTCATTTTTCAACCACTTAATTTCGTGGGTCTCATATTTTATTGACTGACTTCTTGGTTGTTCAACAAGCAATAAGGCGGCGCTTCGATGTACATACAAGAGCTCTAATACCTCCATGAATGGTTCAGCAAAATGCGATACTTCACGGGTCCTAGGTTTGTAGGAAGAAATTCAAGATGGTCACTACCTGCTCTACCAAATTTCATTGGATTCTCCTTTTGTTCTTGCGACCTTCGGTTACTTCGCGATGGCTCTGGTTTGCAGCATAGTATACTTAACTATGATTCTTTAATGTAGCGGAATTATTTGCAGAGTATACTTTAGGGAGATCATACATCGGTACTCCTCTCCACTCTTCCTCTGGCCCTTAAGTTCCTATCTGCAGGGTGTAGGGTTAGCGTTATAAAACAGGGTAAATAAGGTTCTAACTGCATATATATTCAATGTGTTATGGAAAATCGATTGGAAAATTGGGTGATTGGTTTGTCCCTCCTGAGGTCTTTTAAGTCACGATTTTCATCATGCGGCTACCCGAAACACCGAAAAAGGGCTTTAGAGCGTAAAATGTCACGGGCCTGATCTTGCTATATAGTACACTGAGCTCAATGACCAGATGGTCATCGATTTGCGCCTTTTTGGCTGTGGCATAGTGGTAAAGCTTAACACCATGACGCAGCCGGGACCTAGCTCCTCACGTGAGGTTCTGATACTTTATAGAAATTAGATATTCTTCTCTATATTGTTATGGCTAAACTGAGTAGGCTAAATTGCGAAGCGAGATGTAGGCACCCTGTAGGAATCTTGTATGGGTGTCATTGTATTATCTCCCTACTTTTATCCCGACTATTGCTCTTTAAAATAGAGCACCTTGTACGTGGTTACACATGTATCTATGTACATACAACCTAGGTAGCTATGAAGTACGACCTTGTGGCTCCGTAATATAGTCAAAACTCCTACACAGCTATCTGCAACCTTCAATAGGAGCGTATACTTACTTTAGCAATAAGCATAGTTTATAGACAGCTTCTAATATATCTAAGGTAATATGTAGACATAATTACTAGATACACCGCCTAAGAAAATTCTGCCATTATATTTACTGCTCCAGGATATTTCATTATCCATGGACACATTACTTATCATAGAGAACGTAGTTTCATTCTATAAATCAAATTAGATATAGAAAATAGAAAATAAAGAGTATTATATTTTACTTATTAGAAATAGCTATTTCGGGCAGTGTTTTAGCTGGTAGAATTTATTACTGTGGACTGGAATTGCGACATTGGTGGGGATTCGTTGAAATATTGACCGCCAGCAAGCGGTGAAATAAGGATTAATTTAAGCCAGAACAAAAGCGTTTATTATTATTCTTCAGTATCTCCATTTGAGTCGCTTCATTTAACAATTTATCCATTCCATCTTTGTTTTACCCCTGGCTATATTGTCCTGCTATTTTCAGGCAAGCAATGGCGGTTCTTCGAGTGCCTGCAGCACTCCCGCACCAAGTAGCTTTTATGACTACCACACAACTCTATGCTCTACGACCTCGCGCCTTTCATTGCATCCCAGTAAAGGCTGCCATAGCCCACCCTGTCACTGCACAAGGTCCACCTCCTAAGGCTCCTTCAGCCGCACAAGAGTTTGGTGACAGCATAGAACAGCGGAGAAAACAAGTGAGTGGGCCAGAGTCGCGCCCTGTGAGTCCACCAGCTCCACTCAGAAAACGGTTCTGGAAGAATGTGAATGTTGAGAAGAAGCCGGGTATGTATTCTCCGAGTATTTATGTTCCTGGGCCTTTGTCGCTGACTCCGCATCTATTAGAAGGGCAATATAATGTTCTCCTGGATACCCGGCCCGTCCGAGCACCCTCTAAAGATATTCTTTCCATTCCACCAACAAAACCTCACCTTGCACATGCAATTGCCTTGGAGTGGGATGTTATGACCACTGCTCAGCAGGCCCTTAAAACCCATTTAATCCCACTAACCTCTCTCGCCGCACGAGCAGCGGATATTGTTCGCGAAGATGAACAGGGCAAGACTACCATAAGAGATCAAATAGTAGCTACGTCAATGCGCTATCTAGATACAGATACCCTGCTTTGTTGGGTACCCGAGCAACCTGCCTTTACTGCTGAAGAAATCCGCGAAAATGGCGAGCGACCGGAAAGCCTTCGAGGGGCTCAGATGAGAATAGCAGAAGATACTATTACGTTTTTGGGCACAAGAGTCTGGCCAGGTATTGAAATCAGACCCATTTTAGACAACGACAGCATTTTACCTGTATCCCAGCCTCAGGCTACGAATGATACTATTCGGATCTGGGTTTCGAATCTGCAACCTTATGACCTGGCCGCTCTTGAAAGGGGAATACTCGCTTCAAAGAGCTTGTTGGTCGCTGTCAGGTTGGTTGCTGAATGGAGCGAAAACTTCCGTCCTATTCAACAACCGAGCTCAAAGAAATTCGGGATCGAAGAGGCAGCAGAAGCTTCTAGCCTAGAAGTGAACTGGCAGACAGAAATGTGGGGTGAAGTTGAAGACTCTCATGATGTCGATAAGGAGGATTTGAGGCGACAGCTTGGTAGCGTTATTGTTGTGGTGAGTGGCGACGCAAAAGATCCCGCTAACTAGGTTCTATATACCTACCATCCTCAGTTAAAAGGGAGTGGAAAAGAAAGATAACTAATCATTTACGTTGGTTCTTTCGCCACATATCTTTATGTATACTGTACATGGCCATTACACTACTACCTATTGAGGTTGCTCTGTACTATAGTTCAATAGTTTAAAGAATTGAACATGTATGATATGACATGGTCGTTATGTTTCTTTGGGTCCTCGGGAAAGTACGGACTAGTCAGACAAAAAATACGTGTTTACTTCATTCAATGTATATTATTCTGGAACTGTAGGTTTCCCCCTTGCCCCATAGGTATAATGGTATATCACACCTACACTTTCTTGGTCTGCCGCGTTGAGGTAGGATAATGTGATCTTATCAGTCACGAGAGTAATAGTAGCCGCCAAGGCGCGGAAGCAAGGCCACCTTTCTGATGCAACATGGGTGGGCTTCTTTTATCATCCATCCACTGTTCACCTCAACTTGGGTGGTCTTTTATATTTTTATTATTTATTGCTGGTTCTTTTCGCATATGAATCTTTATTCGAATCACTGGTTAAACACGAAAGTGGTTCTGTGGAAGCGATGACTGAAAGGGGTGAAGGGTATGTTCTTCGCCATGCGATAGCCCACCTTGGTTCGGCCGTGTCGTGTTGTAATGGATCTTGCGATAGAGTATCCTGTTAGGTTTTCGCTGAGGCCAGACATTTGGAAATTTACACATTCCCATGACTGGTCCAGTAACTGTTGAGCCAACAATAATCAACAAGCCGGATTTTTGCTAACTTACTATTTCCGAAATTCCATGCAGACACAAACGCTCCCGAAGTGCATTGGCGCTTGCAATCTTGCATCGTGATAAGTCAAAGGACAGCTACGAGGAGAACATCGGCCGTAATAGTAGTGACTCTTCACAATCCTCTACGCCGCCTCAAGTCCATAGCACATCCCCTGCTCCTATCATTTTGACCACGCGAAGCTCCAGTCGTCGAATGTTTGGCCAGGAAGCGAAGTCGCCGTCGATGTCAGAACCTCTAGAGTTTGTGGGCTCCAACCAGAGCAGCGATAAATTAATAGAGAAGTTACACCCGACAACACAAGCTGACAGCGGGAGCATATCGCTAGATCAGTCTGTGCGCACCTTCCGACTTTTTGAGACTTTGCGCAGTGGTGACACAACCGCGATATCGAAAGCAATCAAAGAGAACAAGGATTCTCAGGATGCAAATAGTCTTTCCGGAACGACCATACTCCACCTAGCGATCCAATGTGCTGAGCCGCAGGTCGTTGAATACATTTTATCTGCAGGTGAGGAGATCAACGTGAACGCGCGTGATCGGGATGGCAATACTCCGCTTCATCTGGCCTCTCAACTTGGCAGGGGACCGTTGGTTCGCGAGCTGTTAAACCAGCCGTCTCTTAACGACTCTATTGTCAACTATCGTGGGCAGACCGCCCTCGATGTTGCACACACCGCGGAGATTTTCCAGCAACTTCAACTAGCACGGTCACTCTTCATGGACAGTAAAACCCAAGAAATACAGTCACTTATACATCAGGGCGACTACGAGAAGCTGGAAAAAGTACTGGAGGAGCCTCGTGTGGAAGGCATAGTTGATGTCAATGGTCTGGATTTGGTCACTGATCCTGCCACCGCCCAGTCTGGTGGAACTTTGTTACATGAAGGGGCAAGGAAGAAAGATACGAAACTCATTCAAATATTGCTCATACATGGTGCTGACCCGTTCCGCCGTGATAAAAAAGGAAAGCTACCCCAGGATGTCACAAAAGACGATAAGACGCGAGCTATAGTCAAGAGGTCTCCTGCTGCCGTTATTGCCCAGCGTGGTATTCAGGAAAAAGCCATTCTAGGGACCAGCTCCGGTCAAGGGATATCTGGTCGAGCTAGCACAGGCGAAGCGCCTTTTGCGGGTAAAGATGCACGTGAGATGAGAGGCTATCTGAAAAAATGGACAAACTATACTACTGGATATAAACTACGTTGGTTCGTCCTTGAGGATGGCGTTCTGAGTTATTACAAACACCAAGGTAAACAAATTCATGGGACTTAGTCGCATCAGTTCATTATAGCCTAACATTTCTTCTTATTTGCCAGATGACGCAGGATCTGCTTGCCGTGGTGCGATCAACATGAAAATTGCCAGACTCAATATGGATTCACAAGATAAGACACGCTTCGAAATTCATGGGAAGTCTTCTGTCAAGTACCATCTCAAAGCAAACCATGTTGTTGAGGCTAAGCGGTGGTTTTGGACCTTAAATAACGCTATTCAGTGGGCAAAAGACGAGGCAAAGGAAGAGGAGAAACGACAGACAAAAAATGCTGAGGTACTACGCCAGGCAAAGATAGAACAGACAGAGGGTCGGGTCTCTGAGAGCCCAGCTGAATCTCCCAATCTGGTGACGACAAAGTCAAACGGGAAAGGGCTCGCTCCCCCGTCTTTGGGAGTTCCAAGTATCAACAGTACAAGGCTTAGCACATACACCTCTCGTACAACTTTGGAAAGTACGCCTGCAGATGATGGCTCTTTGTATGAGTCTTACGATCAAGGTGGTCAACAAAACGAAGCGAATCAGGTCGTAAGCCATATAACCAGCGCTCCTGATGCCGAGGGAGATGATGATGAATATGGCGATTATGCATCAAGTCGCGACATACCACCAACTGATAAAGATGCTTTGAACATAACTGCACAATCTGCAAAAATTCAGCTGGATATTCTTGCCAATGTTTCTTCTTCTCTACAAGCCGAAAAATTGAACCATCCAAGCATGCCCCTTTCTGACCCGGCTATTGACCAAGCTTTAGGTGCCTATGAGGCTGCTGTAAGTAGTCTAAAAGGATTGGTGCAGAATCTGCTCAGGATATCAAGGGACCGCGACTCATATTGGCAGTATCGACTGAATCGAGAGGCGTATCTGCGCAAAATGTGGGAAGAGAGCATGGCTCGAGTTGCGCAGGAACATGAAGAATTACAGTCTAAAATGGGAGAGTCCGAAGAGAAGCGCCGACGAACTAAGAGGGCTCTCAAGGAAGCACTAGAGAACTCGTCAACTAAAACGATTTGCATGGCTAGTCAAATGCCATCGCATGTGCATGTCTCTGGTGAAGACAACGGCGGTGCACCGAAAGGGCAAATATCAGAATCATCTGAGAAAATGTCACATTCTGAAGAGTCAGGTACAGGAGGACCTCTACATCGTCCAAAATCAACACTTTCTCGGATTAGCAGTCTGTATGGTTCCGCCTCAGACGACGACGATGAGTTTTTTGATGCAATTGATTCTGGAGAGATTGAGGTGGAAACTCTCGCTAGCACAGAAATTAATGATAAAGAACAGAAGTCTGTGGATGTAACTATTGGACTTCGCGCCGTAAAACGTTCGGAGATTGTCTTTTCGTTTAAGGGATATGAAGAACCGATCAGGACAAAATTAAAAATGGATTATGACAATAGACCAAGGATCTCCTTGTGGGTATGTTAGCCTCCTACCTTCTCTTGTCGGTCAAAGGATGAACAGGGCATCTCACAGAATTGCAGGGAATTTTGAAATCTATGATTGGAAAGGATATGACAAAAATGACGTTACCAGTGTCTTTTAATGAGCCAACTTCGTTGCTTCAACGTGTAGCCGAGGACCTGGAATATGCGGACCTTCTCGACATAGCGGCTGACCGATCTGATTCAATGGAACGCTTGGTTTATGTTGCTGCGTATGCCGCCAGCGAATACGCCTCAACCATCGGTCGTGTTGCAAAACCGTTCAATCCTCTTTTGGGGGAGACGTTTGAATATGCTAGGCCTGATAAAGGATATCGGTTCTTTGTTGAACAAGTCAGTCATCACCCACCAATTGGTGCGGCATGGGCCGAATCAGCGAAGTGGGATTACTATGTAAGAGGCCCGACAGAGTATGATACTTACAGCTATTGTTCTGTGGAAGTTGACAAGATTTTTATTCTTTTTTTGCAGGGTGAATCCGCTCTCAAATCCAAGTTCTATGGGAAGTCTTTCGATATCAACCTTCTTGGGACATGGTTTTTGAAGCTGCGCCCTGCTTCTGGGGGAGAAGAACTTTATACATGGAAGAAAGTTACGTCGTCCGTTATTGGTATCATCACGGGTAACCCCACAGTTGACAATTATGGGTTGATGGAAATCAAAAATTGGACTACTGGTGAGATCTGCTATCTTGATTTCAAACCTAGAGGCTGGAAAGCTTCATCAGCATACCAGGTGACGGGCAAGGCTGTAGACCGTGATGGGCTGCCGAGGTGGAGCATAGGTGGTCGTTGGAATGACAAAATTTATGCACGTCATACTCCTGGATTTGAAGCACAAGTATCAGGGCAGGATCCAGAGTCAGCAAAGACGCTCTTGGTTTGGCAGTGCCACCATAGACCGAGCGGGATACCTTTCAATCTAACACCGTTCGTTATCACGTTGAATTCCCTCCCTGAAAATCTGAAGCAATACCTCCCGCCAACTGACACTCGACGCCGACCTGACCAACGTGCAATGGAAGAAGGCGAGTATGATTTTGCTGCCAATGAGAAGCACCGGGTTGAAGAGAAGCAACGAGCAAAACGGAGGGAAAGGGAGACCACAGGGGAGGAGTATCAACCCAAGTGGTTTGCTAGAGCTCAGTGCCCCGTGACCGGGGAAGAGTACTGGGCCCACAATGGGAGGTACTGGGAGTGTAGAGAAAAGCAAGACTGGAGCGTCTGCGAAGACATCTTTTGAACGACATTGACACTTGGCATGAATGTAAAGAAAGTGCATACATAGTCGTGCTTTCTTTACCACCATCGCCATTCTTACGGGCCTACTTCTGTTGCTGAATAATATTTCATTATTTCCCATCCTGTAGCCTAGAAAGCACAGTTGACATGAATCACTATTATGTGCTTAAGCACGTTCAGCCAACAATACGTTAGTGTAACCACAAAAGAAAGGGGAAATAAAAAAGGATGCGATATTGTGGATACTCTGTCCATCACAACGTCACGTGATAAGACCCGATAGCCCACCAATCCCAAAAAGTAAAAACGATATTTAGCATTAAACTGACTGACGCCGTCGGTTTACCATCATTAACAACCATGATAGCTGGTGACCATGCCTGTGGACGCTGTCTACAGGCGCTCCGTCAAAGGGTCGCAGCCTCGGCATCTGCACCATCGGCATCTGCACTACGGCTACAGAATCTCCCGACTTCGAGACGACCATCGAGACGACCATATCCCACCTTCTTGCAGAACTTTAGCTCGCGTCGCTCGTCAACCAAGGACATTCAAGGGCAGGTAAAGCGGGCATTGGCGTATAGCCTTCAAGACACATCCTGCTGTATCAAGTCATTTGGACAAAGAGCCACCTCCGCAACCTCGAGCCACTCGGAGAACAGGGTGTTACTGAAGCCCAACAATTTGTTTCACTCTTTCACCCATTCACCAGCCGCTGCAATTCGGCAGCGTGCTGCATTTATTAAACAAAATTCATTCTGCCCTCATCCTAGCCACCAGCAGACCCGTGCACCAGTCTCGCCCCATGACCCAGAGTCGCGCAAGGGCCAACATAGATCGAGCCTTCCGCCGTCCCATTCCCACTTTGAGTGCCCTGACTGTGGCGTTCCTATCTACTGCTCAGAGGGACATTGGGTGGACGACTTTGAGGCACACCTGGAAATTTGTGAGACCATTAGACAGATCAATGAAGATGATCATGACCTACACTCGGGACGCTTTTTCCCCGAGTTTGCCTATCCGGGGTTGCAGGATGATAATTTTGTCATTAACATGACAAATTGGGATACTTTCCTCTATACGCGGGAGTTTGACGCGATCAACGATGACCGAAGTATGCGACAGGTGACTAGGATGCTCACTTACCCGCTTACAATTGGAAGTGTTTTACATGAATTGAGTCCCTATAGCGTCCGCCAGGGAGGTAGACTTACAGTTGAAGGCTTGAAGAGTGTAAGCGGTTGGTTACCCGACCTCTTGTTTCACCTGTATTTAGGTTGCATGGCAATGGCTGATTTGTTTTAGCTCTTCGTTACACTTTGCACCCACCTAAAACAGGTGAAGGGGTTGATATCCAAGGCCTGCGCTTGAAAGCTCCTCCTGTCCGAGTATTTATTTTGGGAGCGCGCGCCGAGTCTTCCTTGCCCCGTGATGTCTGGCTTCAGCTCAGTTACATCTTCCCCCGATCGCTTATCAACCTGATTTTCATCGGACCTGAAAGCATGGCAAACCGAGACTCTGAGTTCCCCCTCCCAGAACGGACACCGGAGAATCCGTTCGGAGGTATCGTCGAAGATCGACTGGGCGGGCAGTTGAAGATCACGACGTATGTCGACTACTTCCACACAATGTATAAAGCGCAATACTTTCAGCCCTTCGATCCATACCTGGATTGCTTTATGCTCTTCCACCCTGGTCTCGGACATCCTGCTAGTTCCCACGAATGGGAGGAAACGATTCCGCAGCTTCTTGAGACCAAGATCCCAATTCTCTGCACTGGGTACACGCAGTGGGACATGGAGAGAGATATCAACTGGGTTGGCCAAAAATGTGCTGGGGAGTTTGATATCTTGCTGGAACCAGGCGAGAATATTTTTAGGAGCCTTCGGTGGGATCTCAATGATTTAGACCCTCATGATGTCTCCTGTGGAAATTGGGGGCTGTGGGCATTTAGAGGAAAGAGGTACGTGCTTCGGATCCCCACTCCACTACTGGGTTTTTTGGCTCATGATTGCTGATGGAAACTGCGTGTAACAGGTACGAGGCGACATTGCAAAACTCATAGAAGTGTACGTGGACATATTCAACCATCCTCCCTCCTCAATTACGCTCTTAGGTTGTACACTATTGCATAGAGAATGTGCTATTCTTTCTTGTCTTTCTATTTCCTATTGTCACCCGTATGCCAAAAACATAGATGCCCGAAGACTTCTTTAACATGACAAAAAAAAAAAAAAAAAAAAAAAAAAAAAAAAAAAAAGAGGGAAAGGATCCGGAAACATTGTATGTGAGGGAGAGTATAGGTTGAATTAAGATAAAGATTCCATTTAGTCCTACATTCGTTACTTCGGGACATATAATCGGGTGGAGATGAAGCCAAGAAAAAAGGTAAGGGTTGCTAGTAGAAACCAGAATGTTAAAAGGGTATACTGAAAAGAAAACCAAGTAAGTAAATCCGGACATGGCCCAAAGACAACAAGGCCTCGGCCAGGGGAATCGGAATCAGAATCAAGATAGAATACCAAGAAGTTGTTAACAGGCAATACCCGTCCCAACACATGAATACCGTCAAATCCGTGATGTAGAACGAGATAATCTTGGCCGAAAGAGCATAGAACATATAAAATAAAAATTAAGACGAAATGGGCAGGACGAGGGGGCGAATGTCATTCAAGGACGGCCTGGGTGGAATACCAGTAGACTCTCTGCCAATCTTTTTTCTTGACAACTGCGCTGCTCCAACTTCTTAACAAAGAAAGATGGGGAAACAAGTCACGCTCCAACAGGAGCTAGTGGATCGCGAAAAAAATGCAGCTTGGGAGGATGACGCCACCCCGGGTGAGCCGGATGCATCACACGAGGGCATCTCAGAGCATGAGAAGCCCTGCAGCTGCCAGAACACCACCGGCCACAACCCCTGACAGCTTCATGGCCGGGGCAGCACCACCCGTAGCGGGAGGGATTGACGAGACGGCAGGAGGAACGGCGGACGTTGACGAGGCTCTGATGGAGGAGCTGGAGGCTTTCCAAAGAGGGGTGGAAGTTGGCTTCGCTGACAAGCTCGGAGTTACGTTGACAATGGCGGTGGGCAGCGGCGACGCCTTGAATGTCGGAGCCAGAGTGGTAGAAGGGTCCGCTCCGACGCTTTGAAGCGTGACGGTCAGAGTGGGGGCGCTCCCGGCGACCACGAACGGTGCGAAGGCAGCCGAGACGACGAGAATGGTCTTCGTGATTTGCATCTTGACGGATCTGGAGGATCTCCTGGTTGGTTTGTGACGTTGAACAAAATTCACAGTGTATGGATACGAAAAGAGCGAGCAAAGATATACCGTCCGTGGGGGTTAGTATCTATCGACTGAGTGATTGACTGATAGATTGGTTGGTTGGTTGATAGATGGTTTGTTTTGATCTTTTTCTTTGAGGTTCTGGTGCAAAAGAGCGAATGGAGCTGGAAAAGAGTGACAGCTCTTGTGGAGAAGGGAAAGAAAAGAATGAACAGAGTCAGTCAAGACAGGACGACTTGCAAAAAAAAAAAAGTGTGAGAAAGGAGGAGGCGGACGGGATTTTGAAGGGAATCGAGGGAAAAGGGGCTGTTTTCTTAGGGCTAGCCTACTAACCTAGTCGTGAAATAGTTTCCGGTGACTTTTGGTGAGAGTTTTTACGAGCGACTAGTCGGCACCGATGGATGGATGGATTCGACCCATCTATTCATTCATCTCGCATAGGCCATAGCACCGTGTCGAGAGATTACCACCGTCAAGGCCATCAATCATAATATTATCCGACGTCGATCAGTTCGCATGGTCTGCTTGGCGCATCCTCGTGACGGCCCTGTTCCTGACTAGTGTAGCTGGAACCATGGATTTGAATGGACACTTTTTGGCATGCATTGAGCTGACTGTGGACTCCGTTCCGATTAAGTAATAGAGAGGCTTTCAGCAAGAATTGTCGCTCATACTCAAGTACCAAGTCCTAGCATAGGGATATTATATACATAACCGATAAAGGAAAGAAAAGATAAAAAATCCAACACAAGGGGTATCGAGAATTCCAAATGTCCGTCAAGCACACTCCGTAGTGCTTAACACCTTGGGGGAATAAAGTTTGTGGGGAATAAATATGGTCAACCTACAAACGCCCCCCTCTCCCCTCCCCGAAGGAAACAATGAAGTCTCTGTAAATCCAGTACGACAGCAACAGTAACAGCAACAGATCAATCCATCACAGGCCCCAGACGGTGCGGGCAATCAACACAGCCATCATCCAGTACCCCCCAGCTTGAATTATCGGGGCGCCGGATGCCTCTGTAGTTGATGGATCATCCACCGTCGTTCCGTTGGGCAAGGTTCCATTGATGTAGATTGTCCTGGTGCTGTTCACTTCCACCACCTTGACCATACTAGAGTTCGAGGGCTGGGTACCGTTAAACAGAGATTCGTAGTACATCTGGCTCGAATTGTCGTCGCACCCGCATTCCGCGTACTTCTCACACAGACAAACCACAGGCAACGACTCGTTCCGGCGGGTTCTCTCATCCGTATAATTATAATGATGAGTATATGGGTATGCATATGCGCCATACAGCCAGATCCCCGGGAAAAAGGCGAGGGCGGCGACTGGCAACAAGAAAGGGGCCACCCCTAATGGTGATCGCCTGCCGGCGGCATATGGCGTGCGGGCACCGCCAGCGTAGTAATTGCCGCCACCGTATGCTGGTCGCGGCCCCGAGCCTCCGCGAGTGGTTCCCCCTCTATTACTGGAGGAACTACGTTGCGAAACAAGGTCAGTGGTAAAATCTCACTCCGATGTCTTAAATTTGCAGCACTTACCTTGTGCTAGACGACGAACTTCGACTACCACCGGAGCTGCTGCCGCTCCGACCTCCGCTGCCTCCACCACTTCTTCCACTTCCTCCCCCACCTCTCCCACCTCCACCGCCAAATCCTCCGCCACCACGACGCTTCTCCAAGTCGGGCGTTTCGAGCGAAATTGAGGGTAAAACGGGCTCGCGCAGGGCCAAATCCGACCGAGGAATGCCCAGCGACGTAACAGAAGTGAGGAGAATGGCGAGGAAGGTGGCAGTAGACGAGATTTTCATGCTTGACAGATTTTGTGGGACGAGCTAAGGTAAGACTGGATCAACTGAAGCTCCAAGATCTGTGTTTGATCACAAGAAAGCACCCTGGCAAATCGACCCTAGTTAGACTCCACTATAGTAGAAGAGAGGGGCGGGGGGGAGCCAGACAAAAAAAAAAAAAAAAAAAAGAGGAATATGAAATGTCGTACGCTGTAGTTGGAGATAGTTCTGTCGAACGTGAATAAATGGAATGAGTGATCTAATGTGGGAATCTCTGCAACTTGACGAAGGAAAGTAAACACTGTCTGGCGGCTTAGAGCAAGAGAGAAAAACTTAATCATACGGAAGGTGACGGCGGATTGAGCATTGGGCAAGAAGATGAAAAAAAGACAAGTCAGCCTGAGTAAAGAAATAAAGCAGCCGGGCAAGGTTTTGCGCTGAGCCATGGTTTCTTCCGACAAAGGAAATGCTTTTCAGTCGATGAAAATCATCGCCATGAGGTCACCCCGGTCCCACGTGCTGCATGGCGCAGCGTACAGCCACACACCCAACGTTGTTCATAACTTCATTCAGACGATCGATTAATTGTCCAACTGAGCAAAGCAACAAGCTACAGTACTACTAGGACTCTAGAAGCCCAACAAATGCAAGGGAATACGAGAACGATCGTGCCCCAATACGAAGAGTTACACGAGTCAAAATGTATCGGATGAGAAACGGTTGGTCGATCATCGAAGCATTCATTCATCATTTTTGCTTGGCTCTGATCAGGGGCCATAGACGGACTCCCACATCTGTACACGAATCTACTCCAAGTCTGCGTCATCTGTGGGAATGGTCTGCTCTTGAGCTTCTACTTCCTGAACCGCGGTTTGAATAACTGCTTTAACAATCGCCACTCTTGTCTCTCGTACATCCTCAACACCAGGTAGGAGAGGCAGGTTTGGATTTTGAAGTGCGGGCGACGGAGCCGTCAGCGCCTTGACCACCACACCATATTGTTCGAAACAGTGCGCGCTCAGCATACAACAGCCCCAAGGCCGATGTCAGGGAAGCAAGTTGAATTGTTGCACTCGGCTATATCATTCACAGAGGTATGGGTTAGCGGAGAGGTAAGAACGTAGCAATTACTAGCATGCTGGTATTAGAACTAACTAGGGATTATGCCACTTACCAACCTCATATTTTTCACCGTTGCGTTCAACGGCAGGAAGTGGACTCCCGGTAGCTATCCAGGCTTTATACCCTGCGCCCAACGGTTAAGATCTTCTGGACAAGCTTCATGCAGCCGGGTAGGGTTACTGAGTGGAAAAGAGATCAGTCGTTCGACATGCTTGCCCAACTCTCGAATGATCTCCTCTGTAAACGCCCTGGGTTTGGTGGACGTCCCGATCAAGACATGTGGCTTCACTTCTTTCACCACAGAAAATAGATCCAAGACCCTCCATTGGGGCCACTGGTCATCATTCGTGCAAACGGAGCTTGGGCTGGTGTAAGCTGATCTCCCAGAGATTTGAGCAAAGCTCCGGCTTTTCCAGACACCTAGAATAATTCCAAACAATGTTAGTCATGATGGACCAGAGAGAACTATACAATCACCTGAGAAGCTGTACCATATATGTTTCGGGGCATCCGACTTTGACTGTCCGGTTTCGATCACAATAGCATCGGAGATTTGTTCAGCAATACCCAACCCCTGCTGAACCAGAACCGAAGATCACCGGTGACACGCACATCCTTCAATTTGATATTACTGACATGAAATGAAAGGCCGCCATCAATGCAGCCAGGGTCACACACCCTGTCTCTTGAATATCGTCGTTGAAACAGGGGACATATGGGCGGAATTTATCCAGGAGTCTACTAGCATTGTGAAGGCCAACATCCTCGCTGGGTAGTTATCAGCTCGTCCGATTCGATATAAATACACATACAAATGGATGTATGCCCTTGGGAACATCTTTCTGGCTGTTGTGACAAAATTGTCCACAAAATCATCGTATTCCTTACCTCTAACGCGCTGCTGTCGAAGACCGAGATAAAGCTCGTCATTGAGTAAGCTTTTGTTCTGCCAGCACGTTAGTCGGATAATATTAAACACTCTTTCCCGCGACATACATCGGTCCCACAGTCTAAGACCACAGGCAGCTGCCTCGAAGGGTGAACTCCACCACATAGAGCCGAGAGAATTAGCTTCGCAACGGAAATCAGTATAGCGCCCACTCTTGGTCACCAATGCTCTGCATCTGGATGTGGGGGGAGTTAGAAAAGCAATGCTAGGGTCTTCAATGATGATTAAAAGTACCTCTTCCCCATCACTGACTACAATACAGTCAATATCCTCACTGGGACCAAAGTTGGACAGACACTCTTCGATCCTGTCCTGGTTATTGATATTGAGGAAGCAACCTTCTGGTTTTCTGAATAAGCTTGAGTAATTGTTGGTCGCATCATCCTCTGTTGGGGTGTATGTTCACACTAAACATCTCCCGTATATGGGTTTGTGGTAGCTGTCCAAAATTATCAGGAAATTATCTCATATTTAATACAATCCATATGTAGTACTTGCTCTGTAGTATGACACGTCATTTTGTGCCTTCATACTCGCCATGAATGTGTTTTTTGCCAGATCATCTGGCCGGCTGCTATACTACAGATGCGCCCGCTGAACCTTCCCATCTAATGTCTGATGCTTGGAGGCAACAAACCATGCAGTTTAAACTTCTTCCGTTCTTCCTGCGTAAATGACGAACATTTATTGAATTGACGTGATGCGATGAGGGCTTTACCCTGCCGGTATATTTGATCATTAACAAATGAATCAACCGCTGAGAGCAGGTGGTAGAAACGCCACCTCATAGAGGCACTCTAAAGGCCCAGACATAACGCGTGGAAAATCCCCGAAGCTCAGTAATTTCGTTGAAGTACACATATGTACAGAGAATACTATATGACAGATATGTAAGCAGTGGTATAGATATCAATTTGACTTCACCAGACAAGAGCTATTGGGCACTAATAGAAGGACTAGGAGGGGTTTCAACTCTCCCAATACTATTTCGTATCTCGATTTGCCTAATGCCTCGAGTGAGAACAATCTTAACCTGGAAGCAGAATGCCGTGAATTGACAGCAATGACGTACTCATTGAGATCCGGTTTCGTGTATCAGGTCCTATTTAGGGAACCTTGAAGTGATTTAAACGTGGGTCGTCATATAGTGTCAAGCTTTAGTGAGTTTTCTGCTATCTCTCCAATCCCACTTTTTCTTTCTTTCTTTTTTCTTAAAAAAAAAAATAACGATCTTTATGGTTTTATGCTGCTGATACACACACAGAAACGATGACGTCAAAGAGCCTGACTATCGTGAGCGTGATACATCCTGGACCTGAACTCCGGCCCGGATTATCTATAATCCGATAGTGACCACCAAAAAGGGTTAACAAGCCATGTATGTAGCTTAGTCAACAACAACATTCCAATCCAGCACTCCAAGTATTGATAGGTCACATGATACTTAGTGGGATGACTAAGGCAACAATAAGCGAGGCACCAAAGTTGGCCTAGATTTTCATCCCAACAAATCAATGCAGCATGTCTGTTCTCAAGCATCGTCTACTTTGGACGAGTCCGCAGGCTTTTTATACACACTTAGACATGTGCCCTCTTTCACCCTTTGCTTTTTTTCACATAACGGTCATAGACCCACGAGAAGAAATGACTTCCATTCCCATTGATTAAAAGGCCTCAGATAAAATGATGGCTGAACTCCGTATGCCTTGGTTCCTATTTGGAACGCGGTCGACTTCTTTACTTTCTTCATTTGCAACTGCACAACCCAGCTGTCCTAGTTTGTTCTCGATTGTATCCAATGGATAGAATCGGCCGTCAGACATTCATCACGGACCCTTCGTTTGAAGGACAGTTTTCACATGCCACGTCTTGTGGCTGTGCCTTACTGGAGCTGGTTTGTAGGGATTCATCTCGAGTTCCTGGTAATGATATCAAGTTGCTAGAGGAATTTCTCAGGACCTTCATAGTTCATGCTTGCTCTTTTTTTCTATACGAGAGCATGACTCCTTGCGCACCTACATTCCTTCTTTGAATACATTCTATGTTTCGTCTATTGCATAGTCTTATATAGATTCAAATCAAAAAAGACGTTCTACCTACAGCTTGCTCTTTCCAGCTTCATCGTCAACGACCTTCACGACCACCTTACCCCATGTCTCCCGGCCTCCAAGGGCCTGCAATGCTCTAGGCACACTTTCTAACCCAACGAAGCTCTCATCCTTGAATGCGGTGCCTCTAAATTTCCCCTGGGCAACTAGATCGAAGATCCCCTTCCACACTGGGCCCACCGTTTCCTTCTCGAACTTGGCATACTGACCCCAATGCAGCCCAACAATACTTACGTTCTTCAATAGCACGCGATTCAGCGCCACCTTCTCGATCTTACCCGCCGCAAAACCGATAACTAGGAGCCGCGCATTCCACGCCACGCATTTTAGACTGGCATCGATCAATCCCACGGGGTCGTACACAATGTCGACGCCGACTTTCCCATTCCCTGTCCGATGCTGGGCACATAGCTTTTTCACTTCCTCTGGCCAGCCCTTGTTCCGGTAGTCAATGATATAGTCTGCTCCAAACTCGCGCGCAATATGTCTTTTGCGCTCCGTACTGGCGGTCGCAACCACCATCGCACCCTTGGCCTTGGCAATCTGCACCGCGGCCAACCCGACACCGCCAGCAGCGGCGTGGACCAGAACCCAATCGCCAGGTTGAACATTTGCGCGATGCACCAGGCCACCGTAGGAGGTAGGCGCCGTGACGAAGAGACCGGCCGCGTCTTCAAAGCTCCATCCGTTTGGTACCGGGAGCAGGGTGTGCTCCGCGGCTAGGACGTGGGTGGCATATGCGCCTTGAGTGGCTCCGAAGACGCGGTCGCCGCGTTTGAAACGTGGGGGTGTCTTGGATGTTGGAACGGCCAGCACTTTTCCTGCGAATTCAGCTCCCCCAATCCACGGCAGAGGTGGCTGATGTTGGTATTTGCCTTGGATTTGAAGGAGGTCGAAGAAGTTGGTTCCCGCGGAGTGGATTTCGATTAAGTATTCGTTGGAAGAAGGGGTGAGGGCGGGAAGACTGCTGACTTGGAGATCCAAAGGTCCCTGGTCAGGAGCAATTTTAGTTAGAAAAACAGTTGTAGGCATTTGGCAGGAAATAGGGGGTTGACCTAGATGAGCACCTACTTTGACATACTCTTTCACCTGGATAGCCCTCATAATGAATGATTAAATAGTGGAGATGGGCGGTAGTTAATACTGTCAAGTGGATGGAATTGAATCAGCAGATCTTAGAATTGTTTATACAGGTGACTGGAACTGAAGTTGTCATGCCCTATTGAGTTGAGTTGCTGAAAGAAGACTACTACCAGGAGGGCCAGAAGGTAGCTTTCCCCGCGCCTTTGGATGAACCTCGGTTCCTTGTCGGGTAGAGAAATAGGACTTCCTACGGAAACCCCAATTGCTAGTCAAACAATGGATGCTGCCAGAAATAATCGTAATGGTACGTATATATGATTTGTATATTATCTGTAAGGCAGTTGAAGAAATGAACACTCAGTCCATAAATACTCCGTAAAACATATCCGGGTACACGCATCCATTTAAGAGTCAGAATACAAGCGTTAAAAGCCTTTAACTCCATCTCTGTTGCCAATATGGATATCAAGTAAAATAGTACACAAGTCCTAATTCGGTACCAACAACCTCTTCAAGCCTCTCCAGGACGCCAGAATTCCAAGTCTTTATCATAGAATATGCACAAAAGAAACGAACCCATACCAACCCGTTTTCTTGTTGGGATGTCGAAATAGCCATTATAGATGAGGAATGGGAAAGAATTCCGAAGGGTCAAAAGAGGAGGGGAAAAAAAAAGAAGAGACAAAAAAAGAAAGAAAAGAAAAGAAAAGAAAAGAAAAGAAAACAGGAGGATACAGAAACTGAAGAAAATATTTAAATAGGTACAAGAAATACAAATTAGGTTATATAGATGATCAAAAGAGAAAATATGCGCGATGCCAGTTCCTAGAAGTCAAGGCTAGCTGACTTGTGTACAAGCGGCTCTGGACCCGGATAATGATACATAGGCGAACACATAGCAGGATGTTGCCCATTGAAGAAAGGAGATGGCGGGGTCATCAATCCGACTGGAGGTTGGCTGGATGCCTTGGGTGGCAGCGGCGTCTTTCCTTCTAGAGGGGTACGTTGTCTCCCCTTTTGACCCACTTTCGGATGACCGCCAGCGGCATCGAGAATATATGAGGCAGAAGCAGCCCGTTGCCACGATTTCATATCCTCAGGGTAGTGAGGCATCCGCTGGTGAGGGTAACTGGCGGACCGCGGTGACTGAGGTGGGTAACCCCCATGTGAATGATGTGGCATCATTTGTAATGCGTGGTCGATGGGGGGACTTAGAGGTGCGGTGGTAAAGAAGGGCATGGGCGCATGTTGAGTCCCATTTTCTAAACCCATAGAGTACCACTGAGAGTTGGACCACTGAATAGGCGACGATGTCGAAACAGGGGTTTGCAGGCATGGGTCAGTGGTGACATTATATGATGGTTCGGAAAAAGGAGATGCTATCGTGGTCGAATCGAGCAACACGCCATCTACCAGAGGTTCATAGGCATTTGATCCGGGAATAACACCTACTGCTGGAGAGGCTGTAGAAGATCGACCGTCGAAGGACATTGGAGGGGGCACGTCGTGGCGTGCATAGGGCCCGTTGTGAAGGTACCACTCAGACTGGGGCAAGTCTGTCGCATTTGACTGCTGCACAGGACGCAGTTTTGTCCTGGGCGATACAGAGGATTTACCCTTTGATGATGAGCTGCCGTCGTCTCCCGAGGTGTATTGTTGATCATCATGGGACTTCTTGCGCGTTTGGCGGGATGGTTTAGTGACGCGCCACTTCTTTAGTCTACTCCGCAGCTGCGTTTCGCTGCATCAGTGCATCAGTTAGTGTCTCTAGATAGGTCATCTTTTGTTTCAGACAATCTCACCTGGGGTTGAAATCATCTGAGCGGATCTTCTTAATAACTTGCTTGAGAGGCCATTCCTCGTCTTTGTATAGCTTCGCAATCAAGGCCTTCTTCCTCTCCCACACATCCGATGGAATTGAATTCTTCATTTCCTTGTACTGACTTCCCTCGTTACGAGAGGCGTTCCTAAAAAAAAAAAAAGAAAAAAAAAAAAAAAAAGGATATAGAAGGTAATGAGATAAAGTAATAAGCTGAGTGGAAGGAAACTTCCAAAGGATAGAACGCTCGACAGGCAGCGGGACGGACTGAGGCAAAGCAATGAATGATTATAACAGATGGAAGAAAGCAGAGGATGAAATGTGCGAACTGATGAGATACCACAACCGGAGGCTAGTCTACGAAGGGAGCAGATCGGGGGGATCTACCTCGATATAAGTAGTAGAAATAACAGTTCTCCGTAGTTCTCTATCTAATAGGAGAGAGTTGGTAGAAGGTTTCCTAGTTAGTACTAGGGATTTACTATCTACCCAAGAAGTACATACATCCGGGTCCAGCAGCACGCGATGAGGAGAAGTGGGTAACGATGAGAGCAGGCCGTGTCCACTCAGCAGGCGACTGAGCAGTTCTTCCGGGGGATGGGAGATCGACCAGCACGATGATGCCCAAGGAACGGCATTGTTGATGATTGGCACATGGACTTTGAACCAAGTGGATTTCTATGGTTTAGCTGCTGGTGGCACGTCCATTGTCTCGGGTCCTGTCATTCACGAAAATCCAGGCGCATCACTTTCGTCTCCCACGGTGTCGAACTTTGGGCCATGGGTTAGTTTCCCGTCGATCCTTCCTTTTTTTTTTTTTTTTTTCAGAAAACTCTAGGAATATGAAACCCAAGTGGAACTTTGGGAAAGCTACCCAAGGTCGAGGAGTTGGAGAGAGCCGAGAGAGAGAGAGTGAGTGAGAAGAGATAGCAAACTCTCTTTGGCTGACTAACCGACGCACCTTTTAACTTAGTTGATGGAGATTCTAACAAACCTAACAATCATTGCTGTCAATATTGATGTGTCAACTGTTATGACAGTGCTTTTTTGTGTTAGTTCATTCACTGTTTCTGTTAACCTGTCTGTCAATCTGTAGGAGAATATTTTGATTGGATTGTCTAATTGTCACCCTGTTAATAGTTTTGTTTTACCTATCTATACATTATCTATCATGTTATTTTCCCCATCAAAATAAACACTTCCACTCCCCTCACTCTATCTTGCCTCTTGTTCTCTTGAGCCCAGAACAATTTTTTTTTTTTTTAAAAAAAAGAAAGAAAGAATCAAAACCCGTTTCTTCGCTTCTGGTTTATGGCATTGAACTCCACCCATGGTACTAGCTCGGTTCCCAACGATGTACTCCATATAGACGAAGTATTTCATACTGGATCCTCGGAGCCGAGAACGGAGGCTAAAAATAATAATAATGATAATGATACTGATAATTCATTCCGCCCCTCTTGATCCAGACCTGACCTGCTAGACCACTTTCAGAGGCACTAAGGGGTGATCCCCATCCCAAGGTAAATGTTGGTCCAGTAACTTCGTGCCGCACAGGATACCTTTCTGGGTGGTACCTAGGCGAGACTAACCCATTTTAGGCGCTTGGCACAGACTCTTCTGATTGGAGACAAGTATGGGGATTGGAGGCAACGGATCCAGAGATGATCCTAGCGGCTGTCCTCTATACCCGTCTCTACCTAATGTGCTGTACTTCCCTACTGACCTGCCTAGTTGGCTCGACGGAGTACCGAGTATGGGTCAAGTACTGCCCACGCTAAGGACAGCCGACTGCATGGGGGCAGTCTGGGAAAGATGTTCCTACATTAGAGCCATGTTATATCTAGTAGTGTACATAAGTGGCACGTACTACATTTTAGCCGCGATCATAATGGGGGGAAATAATTAATTGATTGATCCCGATGTAGGTAAGCCACCACCCTGAGTAGGTGCATAAGTACCTAGTAACTACGTGAGTACCTAACTACCTCAGGTACTTTGTCACCTGCATAACCTCTCGGTACCATGTTTCAGGGTTTCAAGGTTTCAAAAAGAAACATTCTAACGGGCTTATCGACGGGCAAAACTCTGATAAAGACGCCCAGCAATTTTCATTGCTGGGATCTTATCCCTAGCTTGTTTGATGTTGGGGAATGACTTAATACTACTACAATAGCACTGAATATGGTCAATTAGCTAATCATCATGCCGCCTGGAAAATGGAGAGACAGTTATTAGGTAGCGAGGCAGTATGTTAGGAGGTGGCAATTTGACTTTACTGAGTATGTCTGGGACGGAGTACGGACAAAGTGTTTGCACACTCCGTCCTAGTCCGTGGCAACACCCATGGCATGAATCTCGTGGTGCGAGTATGTTTAATGGATCTTCGCTGCAGACACCGCAGGCCAATCATACTCCCAGTCCTCGCTCTTTTCCCACGTTCCAAAAAAAAAAAAAAAACCCCTTAGAGGAACGGTCATCATTCCTCTTTTCGTTAATCTAATTGACTTCGATTGTCATGGGGATCTACACACAAGCAGATCAGGTGATTCAGCCCTCCCTCAATAGTGGGCTCACTTGTATCCCCCCGAGATCGGAAATCCTCCATTCCATCGGAACCATTCAATGGTAGGGCAGAGCCGGACAGGGCAGGGAGGATTTCTCATATCCAGGGTACTGCAAAGGAACCCCCCCTCTCCCTCAAAAGCATTATTGCACCAGGAACATAAAGTTATGCTGAAGTCTTTAGTATGATGGGAGGGAAGGGATTCCGTGATCTGATTCATTCACCAACCGCACTATCGACAACGCTGCCAGGAGCCAGGAGACAAAGGGGAATAGTGTGCTAGCTAGATCATCTAGTCTTGACAGGAGTGGAGTGAACAATGAGACAGTCCGATTCAGACCGAGTGCTCAGTGCATGGATTGAATCCTCCTCGCTCCCAGGGAAAGGATCTCACTAGCTGTCTTTCAGTGGAGCCTTGCAAATCGCCTGGACGATCTCGGTCTGTCTGGGGGGCATCATTTATCTGGCTGTGCTGTACAATAGTATGTACGGAGTACTAGTAGAGAAGATCTCTGGCCAGTGTGGGACCCCTAACTGGCGATCTTCCCGAAGGTCCTCACTTCTCAATAGTCTCGGCCTCCAGGATCAAGGTGGGCAACGACTATCAGTTATCCAGAGCCTATCATCATCAACCGACTACGATGAGCCACTGGATCGAACCATGCGAGTCCTCTTCCCTCCACCATCAGCGCACTGTCCATCCATCCACTCCGTGTCTACTGGCCTATCCATCTACAGATTACAACGGTACGATGCTGTCTCGGTTTGATAGAAACTGTAATGATCTTTTCTTTTCTCTCTCTTTTTTTCTTTTTCTTTTTTAATTTTCACTCGGCTACGTTTTATAAGTCTCTTGCTTCGTAATCTACTAATAGTTTGCCACTACCCCAGTGCGTATGTTGGAGTGATTCTTAAGACATGTCCCAAGGGCAGCAAGGGCTATGGGCCATAAACCCCCTTTTGCACTCTTCATGGACAAGAGATACAACAGCAGGTTTGACCCATGGAACATCCTAACCAAACAACCGCCTAATCGGGGGGTCTGCAGACTAAGGTAGCGGAGCCATCTCATCATCTTCATGCAAGTGTATAGGGCAATCGACCAACCGTAGATAGAAATACCCTAGTCATTCCATAGCCGATCTTCATCAGAATACACTTCCAGGCCGGCTGAAGTGGAGGTTAAGGTGAACCATTGGATATGTACGGAGTAGGAACTACTGAGTTCAACATCCATTCCAGTCGAAAGCGTTCTGCCGATAATAGTCAAGATAATTAGTCAACTATGACCCTATTGTTGATGCGGACACCTACACAGAGTAAATGTAAGCTTTTGTTGCCTTCACTTTCGACACTGCAGATGGAACTATGTAGCGATGATGTGAAAGGCCATTGCTGCGTATGCACACAGATGCATACAAACTGGCAGGAAGTCATCAGGGACGTAGTTTCGCCATACCTACTCCGTAGATCTTACGGCTATAGGATGTTAATTGCATGCTGGCATCTTTCGCATGTTCGAGGTGGATGATAACGGAGGTGTGGGGTTCATGCGAGAGATCAACCACCTAAATGGTTGCTGCCATTGCAACCTGCTTAGACGACTAGCCGTGCAGTTGTCGGCAGTACGCCGTATGCGACCAGTGAACCCAATTCGACCGTTAACCCAAGAATTGACTTTTTTGCCATGCCTTGGATCATCGTGTCAGAGTGCCCGAGATCCTCCTTGAATCCTTGGACAGGCGGTGATCTGTCCCGAGTCCCAACGGGCGAATATCAGCGAACTTTGGCGTCCACGTGGGCGTTTCATGGCTGAAGTCTAAATCCAGGGGGAAGCGAAGGCAAAAGAGAGACTAGAACCCGATGAGCCAACGTTGCCTCATCGACGGCGAACAAAATAGAACTGAACTGAGGCCTACCCCTCTCCTGGCCGAAGCGGTCCCGTGACCTTGTCCATGATGGAAGGATCTCCGAGCCGGTTCTTCTCTGGCGGTTTCATGAATAGGAACAACTCAGAGAGAGAGATGACGGCATGGCATGCCCATTGTGCCTACTCCTCCATCTTCCTCCATCCTCCAACTCCCACGTCTACGCTAATCCTCTCCGGCCGAAACACGGATCCACGACGCAGATCATAGGGTCTCCTCGCTCAAGCATCTCTCCAAATCAGCAGCAGCCAGTCATTTGTCCATTGCCCATCCAGGAAGTTCTCTAACGGCCCTCGTGTGCACGCTAGACCAGATACCGGCACGAACTCCTTTCAAGATGAAAGCATATATGGGAAATCATTGCCCAAACAAGTAATGTACGTTCCCCTCTCCCAACTTAGAAGAAGGTCAAGCTCACGGTCCAGAATTCTCCGGGTCTGTACGGTCCTCCGATATGTTGGGACTCTTTTTTGAGTTCCATCCGAGTAAACAACTGACGGTTTTTCCTTTTCTTGGATGGAATGACATGGCTTGTTTCGGAGTGTGGTTATCTCTCGTGTGTCGCTTGTCCACGAGGGAAAATGATTATCCAAGGATTGAGGACCCCATCCTCCATGTTTCTCCAGTCCCAGTCCAGCCCTCTTCCTGTCTCTGGTGCCGATCGGTGGGTAATATGACACTCATTCCATGGTTTGATCAATGGACAGACTCGTGGCTTTTGGAGGTGGCCGTTGTGTTCCGTCTGTATCGTGCTGAGAGTTGCGCAGTTCCGACTCCAACTGCTTCCTCGGTTCGGGGTTTAACCTTAATAGAGGCGCACGCACATGGTTGGGCTGAAGTTACACGAATGAATAATATAGTACCTCATACTATTAGGTTCCTTAGGGCTTTCGGCTATTTTTTGCCTTCCCATTTCGGTTGACTTCTTGCCATCACCACCATCATCATTGCCATCGCAACCAGGAAGCCAAGACAGAGTTTCCAGGCGATATGAGTTTCAATCCAGGTCTTCGGGATCCCCCTTCCTTTTTGTCGTGACAGATGGCGATGCGAAAGAATCGTATTTCCTTCCGAGAGCTGCCGTTGCCTCCTGCCTGATTGAGATAGTCTATCTATATAGTACATACCTTTTAAGTGGGTATGTTTCAAACAGGAGCTTTATAGTTGAAGTTAACCGTTTCTGGCCTTCTACAAAGGGAATACTCTCCTGGATGGAGTGTTAATGACACAGCCAACCATGTGGAGGTACGTAGGTCGTGTACCCCCAGGATCTAGACCTCAATCAGTTGGGTTAGGCTGCATATGCGGAGTCGTTAGTTCTTTCATCCTGCATTATATGCTCCAGCGGTTCCTGTCAATGGCAGAGCAACTGGGTCGCAAAACCATGCGCCCCCCTTTTACGTTTCAGATTTCCATGTGAACTACCTACCCAAAGATGGCATTAACTGCCATGCATTTTTGAGTGCAATCCTGCACTAGTACTTCGATATCTAGTCAAGGGTGAATAATAAGGTATTAATACGATCTATAGTCGGATACAAAAATAGAAAGAGAAGGAGAAATAAGGGGAAAAATGAGATTAATAATAAATTTTTTTTTTTTTAAAAAAAAGGAAGAGATTCTCTTCCAGCATCGGCCAATCTGGGAACTGAATAGATAAATGGAGAAAGACCAGCCAAATTACTTAGACATGCTCTCTCATACAACCTTCTCTCGATTAGTCCATTAAGCCGTGTAAGTTTAGACAAAGCAAGAAGGTCATACCACCAAAAAGGTCTTCTACATGGAATGGAAATATTTTTTCTTCCCTTATATAGATAAGACACCTTTCCAACTCCAAACATGCCCGATGAATATTAGAAAAGAAAAAGGAGCCAAGCAGTACACACGCACAAACGATAAATAAAATAGAAGAAGAATGAAATACGAATATAAATACACTGGACATTGGGTCCATCATCCAATTAGCGACGCCTCTTGTGAAGCCGGTGCTCCTTGCCCTTCTTAGACTTTTTCTTGCTCCTTTCTCCTGGTAGAACAAGCGGTTCGTTTTTCATGTTCCATTCCATGAATCGTAGAAGGTAGTCATCGATATGACTCGGCTGGGGCTCTGCATCGAGTTCCTCTACATCATGCACACTCGGTGCCGTAGCGACGACCTGTGATCCAGGTGTTCCTCCTTCGTCGGTGCACGTAGCAATTGGCGTCCCTGCCTGGGTCTGGGCAGGCGTGCTTTGCGAGACACTCCGGTCCTCAAAGTCTCCATCATCCGCATGCTCCAATTCCTTTTGTGCATTCTTAGCCGCATCAATATCCTCTTTGTCTTCAGCCTGTTCAAAGACTCGAGAACTACCGGAGACCCGATTTTCGAGCACACGGTCCATGGCTGCACTGGCCTCATCCTGACCTTCCAGGGCTTCTTCAGGGCTGATCATATCGCGGACGTCAAGCTTGGTGAAGTAGTCTGTCGTGAATTCACCCTCTTGGATGACAACATCATCCAGCATCCTCTTCTGGTTCGCCTTACGGAGAATATTCGATTCAATGGTATATTCTGAGACAAACCGGTAGATGTGCACGTCACGCGTCTGTCCGATACGGTGGCAACGATCCTGGCACTGCTTGTCCATCGCTGGATTCCAGTCCAGGTCGTAGAAAATCACGGTATCGGCACCCGTCAAATTGATGCCAAGCCCACCAGACCGGCTGGACAAAATAAAAGCCAGGATACGGTTGTCATTGTTGAACCGATCCGTCAGAATCTGCCGCTGTTCGACTTTGGTAGTTCCATCTAACCGAAGATACCGGTGCCCGTGAATATTGAGAAACTGTTCCAAGATATCAAGCATCTTGGTCATCTGAGTGAAAATTAATGCCCGGTGGCCGCCGGCCTTCAGATCTCGCAGCAATTTATCAAGTCTTTGTAACTTGCCGCAATCATACTGCAATAGTCTCTTGTCCGGAAAAGCGATAGACAGTCGCATCTGGGCTTCATGGAACGGGTCATAGGAAGGTAACCTCTCCTTTTTCGTGAAGTGTCGCGTCTCAATCGGAGTCAAAGCTGCCTCGGTGATTCCGGAGGCAACCGCAGCGGGGGTAACACACGCAAATCTTTGCACGTAACCATCCATATTTTGAGACCGCTCCTCGATGGACAGGATCATTGAGGCGAGGACGGATGATCTGCTTGACAGCCAGTCTACCAGGGAGCGTTTTCGTAACGGACCGTTCGAAGTAGGTTGCTGCTTAGTGTCCGCGGTAAGGATCTGAATAAGGCTTGTTCCGTATATAGGACGACGGCCATGCCGCTTCGACTCAAAATATAAGCACTTCTCTAGCTCGGCCATCCTTCTTTTTCTACAGTCATTCTCTAGCGCTTCTAGTGTAGACTGCAGTGTTGAGCCGTTAAAACTCATCTGCCAGTTGGTCCGGTGGTATTGACGCTCTCGGAGTGTGTTGAAAGGCCCATAAGCCATGAGTCTGGTGCTATCATCCGCAAGTCTTTGAGATATATCCTCTCGCGAAATTGGAACCAGATTGAGAAAGTCTAGATCCAGTTTGTCAAGCGGGTGTTCATACAGCAACCGCCGGCGCACGAGTATCTCCTGGACCCCAAATTCCGTGGCCACGGAACGCGGCATAGCGAACGAGGTAGAAATTGGCCGAGTCTCGAAGAGATCGGGGTGATTGCAAACTTTACGAAGTTGCATTAAACAGTTGATGATGGATAAGTAGTTACCCGAAGCCAGGGTCTCCTTGGTTTGAGCCCGGGACATGAATCCATCGTACAGATACCGTTGCCGCTTGGAGAGCCGGCAATACACGACGTGTTCGTATTTTGCCGGCATTTGCTTTTCAACATCTGCTTTAAGACGGCGCAATATATAAGGGCGCAAAACAGTATGAAGCTTAGTGACCACTTGCTTCGCCTCGTCGTCCATCGTGTCTCGGCCATGCTCCAAGATCTGCTCTACTGGCCGCCGGAACCATTCGGAGAAATTCCTCAAATCCGCAAACCCTTCAATGCCGGTCTCATCACCATCAGAAGGCATTAGGAAAAATAAAAGGGACCATAGTTCTGTTAGATTGTTTTGGAGCGGAGTGCCGGTGAGTAAAAGCCGCGCTCGTGTCCGGAAGGTCAGAAGTGCCTGCCATCTTTGGGAGCGGAAGTTCTTGATATTGTGTGCCTCATCCAGGACCATATAATGCCAGTTCCTTCTTTTCAAAACCTGTTGATCCTGAAGGACTAACTGATATGAAGTAATCAAAACGTTCCAACTCGTATCGTCCATCCAGCCCTTGCGCTTCTGCCGGCGCTCCTCCTGGTTGCCATAGTAGGTCATGATCTTGAAGCCAGGACACCACTTTTTGAATTCCATTTCCCAGTTGAGGATCACACTTGTAGGAACGACGACTAAGTGCGGGCCCCACACTTCATGCTCTACAGCCAGGTGTGCAAGTAGGGCTATTGTTTGTATAGTTTTCCCCAGTCCCATTTCATCGGCTAGGATGCCATTAATGTGGTTCGTATAGAGACCAGCGAGCCAGTCCAGTCCAAAATGCTGGTATTCTCGCAGGGTTCCCCGGAGCAGATGGGGAATGGGTGTCTTTAACACAGGAGCTGGGGATTCGCTTGCATGGGGGGCCTTCTCCGCTGCAGCATCGTATGATGAGACAGACTCGGGCTCGGAAGGTTTCGTAGCAAGCGTGCCCGGAGATGCCTCACTGGAAGGTTCACCACTCTGATAAGGATCATGTTCCTCGGGTGATCCCTCCTCGTGCAGGATATCGTCGCTTATTTCGTTCATATTGCTAACGACGGCCGGACTTTCCTGGGCACTGGTGTCGATCATCTCAAATTCTGAGACCTCATCTCCGGCCGGAGTCGTGTCAAGGATGGTTGAAGGCTCGGTCATATCTTGCGGGGGAGAGTCTTGTTTAGCAGGCCCATTAGGAACAAGGGAAACCTCATCCGGATACTCCGACTCTTCGTCCTCATCGTCATCAGCCGCAGTTGACTTCAGATCACCTTCGCAGAGGCTGTTAGAGACACCGTCGTCATCGTCAGGGTCATTATGGGAGTAGTCGCCACTCGGTGCTATATCCTTTGCAGAGAAAAATCCAAATAGTCCTGGCCTATCATCGGCTTCCCTACCAGAATCATCATTGCTAGAAGCCATATCTTCATCAGTCTCGCCCATGTCATCGTCCATATCCGTAGATGCCTCATCACTGCCATCTATGAGCATAGGATCGACTTCGTCGAGTTCCACCTGTTTCAGGTGCACATCCGAAGGCAATATAGATCGAACTTCATCGGCGGCAGAGTCGATCTCGCATGGTGAAGCCATATCATCGGATGCCAAAGACCCGCGGTCTGCAACACCATTGGCATCCGGAAGGTTGGCATACTTCAGCCGGAGTTCTTCGGCCGTTAGGCCTTCATCGTCATCGATGTAGTTCCCACTATCACTTTCGGAGTCTGTAGAGGACATATTGCTTTCGTGGTCTTCCTCGTCAGTTGAAACATCGGTATCCATCTCATCTTCACTGGACTCGAGGCCATCGCTTCCAGTCTCGCCGAGGATCTCCATACGTCTCTTTTCAAAAAGCATAGTAGATTGCTTTATTGCGCGATCCAGCGCTTGCTGGTCCTTAGCTTTTCGTTCTTCTTCCCAACGCGCTAGGCGCATCCTGTCTACCTCTGCCCGAACTAGGTCGAACATCTTCTGAAGATCCTTAGCCAGCTGCTTGCGTTTCCCCCGAATCTCCTCCTGCTGCTCTCGAATAATATCTTCGGGGTCCTTGTTCCGCTTCCTCCACGCGTCGGCGCACCATTGAGCAAACAGTTTCGCCATGTGACGATGGCGTCTATGTTCCTGGTCAAGGAGCTTTTTGAAATACAGAGCATGAGCCACTAGGTGATCCTGATGTGAATACTGCTGCGACGGCTCCTCCTGCTGCTCTGGTAGAAACGCAGAGCATACGTCAGAGCTCAAAGGACCGCCAGGCTCTGCGGCTATTGCTATTCGGTGCCTCCGCTGAGCCTCCTCATGCGCCTCCTCTCGTGTGAAAATAGTATCATCTCGCAGCTCCACGTCTCTACTGTCAAGCCACTCTCTAAACGATCTATACTTCCGGGGGGGTAAAACATGAGACGGATGTTGGATGCCGATCGAGGGCTTCTTGATCTTGATCCGTAGTCTGGGGGCCTGTTGGTAGCTTTCTCCCCCCTCATGATATTCGACGCCTTCATGTCGTCCTTCAACTTTATTTAGATCGCTCGTGACAGCAGTAAAGCCGTTGAGTCCCACACCTGGGGGTCGACGAGCTGAGTTTGAGGTTCCAGTGCTCTGAGACCTTGTACGCGTACGAGCTTGTTTTGGCACCGGCGATTGTGAAACGCGCGGCCGACGAACAGAAGCACCCCTTAGATTCACGCTTCTTTGCGAACCATTTGTCGCCTTGCCACCAAGAAACCTTCCATTCACCTCCGGACCTGAGACCGACATCGACAACGGTGACGATGCGACTCCTTTTATCCCAGAGGCGACATTTTTGCCCATGGATTGCTTTCTAGTCGTCCGAGTATGCCTTTTCTCGGACGCAGGCCGCAGCTCAACAGGCACCGCGTTGACTCGGGAAGACTTACGCCTGCCATCTTGAATAAAGGATGTCGGACCATCAGCACCGGGCTTCTTCCATGGGGGCGACGCTTGACGGGAACTCGACCGACGAGAAGCAGCCGAATCCGCAAGCTTTCGCTTTTTTGATGGAGGTTCGTCGATATGGTTAGTGGCGGCTTCGTCTTCCTTTGTCTCAGAAGAGATCGATTCACGGGACCCAGAATCGACGACATGGTCCGACGCAGCGAGAGCAGGAGGGTTTGCTTCGAGCTCGGGGGTCACGCGTTCATTTTGGTGTGAAATGCCATCTGCGCTGCCGTTTTGCATGTCTTGTAACCACGGAGACAGGGGCCTTCTGTACAGCTGACCCCAGTTTTCCCAACGAGGACACGGTTGGAATGGGAAAAAGCGGCATCAACATATAGTGGTAACTGGGTTAGAGTGCCACAAGATATTTGGCATAGTTATCGGCTCTGTAGCGCGACTGATGAAGGAAAAACCAGGTAGATGAGGAGATTGCGTGAAGTGGTGGTTTTTTCCTAACATGACTACCCGTGACGAGGAAGTGGAGGTGTATGTAAGCAGCACGGCGTGCTGCCTGAGGCCTGAAATTATCTAATCCGAGTCCCATCATGATTGCTTTGCACTTCACTTCACCCGCAGTGTTGAGCCTTTTTTCGCCGGTCCATTGCTTCCTCCCTTCTCTTTGCATCTCTTCTACCAGCAAGGTCCGTTCCTTATCTCTCTCAAGACTGATAAATATGCTCCCAATACGTGGCTTTCAGGTACTAATGGCTGTTAAATAGATGCTGTCCCAGCAGCTCTTGACCTGGCGCCTGCCCATTGCCGCCCGTTATACCGTCCCCCGCGCCTTTTTCTCGCATGCCCGGATTCTTGCGGCTGCAGAAGTCCATGATCCTTTGCAGGTATGTTGGCTTCAATTTTTTGCCCTTGACCAATCGCTCCCGTCTGATCTCCTTATGCAGAATGGCAACTATGAGAACCCTCCCCGTGTCAAACGCGCCTTCAGAGACCCTTACGGCGGTTGGTGGGACCAGCAAGAAAAGCGCAACTTTGGAGAGCCGGTTCACGAAGAAAACGAAATCCTCGGTGTCTTCAGCCCCGAACAGTATACTCACGTTACGGCTCGCAAGGGATTCTTCCACCTCGGAGTTTTTGTTGCGACTTTTTTGGGACTCTGTGGTGTTGTGAGTCTTTCCTATCCAGACAAGCCCAGCGCTCCCCGGACATTCCCAGATGGTCTGGAGAAGGAGCTCGGAGGACCTAATGCTGCTCCGGTTCGTTAATCCTTCTTCCCTCCCTTAGGGCGTAAAGAAAAGGGATAAGAGTTTCTCAAATTACCTTTGGTCCAGGATTTTGGCTAATAAATGATCATATTTCAGGCTCGCAAGTCTGGGGAAGATACTTGGTGATCGGAATTCACGTTGTGTAAATGTAAATAAATACAGTACGGTATGCTCTTTCGGCGTCAATCAAAGGTTTGATTGTCGATTCAATGGAAGGGAAAGCTGCTCTTTGTCAGCCGATTTTGCAGTCTTGCAGTAGTGGTGCGGTTTTTGATGTATTTGGCTTTTAATTCTATGGTTCTCTTTAAGGATGCAATTATAAGCCGTAGAGGCGCAGTCCAGTATGGTATCAAGCGTCGTCGGGAAGAGGACGAAAACTATGCTTTCTTTACGCCTATTATCGATTAATTTAGTGGGTTTGCGATACATAAATAGATCCATTCCTCGAAACAATGGCTCAGACAAAGTTCATCCTAGGCTGGAGTAAAGCTCGTACCACACAAGACTCTACTCTTCAACCTCTAATTATAGACAGAGATAATATCGATATCTTTGTTTATTACTATTTATTTTGTTCAGGGGTACTGTGGTGCGACCCAGCAGCTACAACGACCGTCTTATTGTGTGGTGTTTCAGGTAACAAAAACCAGGTGGACACCGTAACCAACCAACCCGACCCCTTCTTTGCCTGCAAACAGCCAGCATTCTTCAGGGTAATTCCAACAACCCCCCTACCCGCCGCCTACTACAAAGATATCCCGCCTCTTTTTTGATTGCACAGGCCAAGAGGAACTCGTTAAGTTTCTATATATTTCCATCTAGCTCTGGCTGGCTGACGTTTGATCGCAAACGGCCCATCCATGGTGTCACGGCGCTTCCCCTCGTCCCGAACGTCGCAACATCTAGATAGATAGATAGACGCAACCACTCCATGTCGACTGCATCTAATCAGTCCCGAGGCTTTAACCGAAGGATTAACAGCCTCCAAAATGAGGTCCGCCATTCGCGCAATCTCTCTGCCTCGCGCAGACGCCCCGTGAACGCCGCTGCAGCTTACAGTTATGCCCTCCGGGTAGCCTACCTCTCCTATCTCCTTCAACCTCGTATACGCCGTGCTCAGACTATGCCAGCCCCTCAGCAGCGGCCGAAGCGCGCGTCAACGTTTCATGACCTCATGAGCGATTTTTCTCTCGTGCGAGACTCCAAGAGCACGAGGTTCCCGCATGGGTTTATATCTGAACTTGAGAAAAGGTTAACGGGGATTCTGACGAGGAAAGAAAAGAGGAAGGAATACCAGGACCCGCTGGTCGTGAGAACGTTTGCTGCGTTTCTCAACGCCTTGAAGGATCAGTCGTTCAAGAAGCGCATGGAGAAGGATCGACGTGCTGAAGATCTCGTACTTATTTTCTATTCGAATGCAACCAAGGAACTTAGCAAAGGCAAGGACCCGGATGATGATCATTGGAAATTTATGGTGGATAGACATGTAGCCCTGTTCGTCCGGCTGTTTGCTCTTATCTTGAAGAACAATGACTGGGCCAGGGATCGTCCTGAGCTGTCAAATCGATTGTCTGCCTTGGAGAACAAGCTTCTTTCCCAGGACCTGGATCTCGTGGAAGCCAACGGCCCATCAACCGTCGAAGTGGTCGTTCCGTTGAGCTACGATGTGAAAGACATGTCTCATGTGCAACATGTGGCGAGGATTTTCGGCATGAGTACAGCCCAGGCTCAGTCTGACATCGATAAGCACCGGGGGGTGTGGACTGCACAGGCAGCTCTTAAAGATCTGAAAGCTTATCAGGCTCACCTGAGCCTCAATACTCGGAAAACGCTGTCAAAGGAAGACTTCGAGAATGAGGAAGCATATGAAACTTGGAAGAAGAGCGAGGGTCCGGATTTATCCCAAATGATGCTTGCTATTATGCAGTCAAATCCCGAAATTACCAAAAGCACCCCTGGAGCCCTTCCAAGGTTTAACACAAACGCTGGTGACAGCATTGCCGACGCAGCTCATGGGGATCTATCAAGAACGAACGCGGACCGGCCCGTATCACATATTTTCGACCAACCCATTGATCTTAGTTCGTTGTCGCTGAGTGAGGATGTGAATAATAATGAATCGGACGAATCAGACACGTACCTTTACATACCACCGGATCCGCGCTCCATGTACAGATATATCTTGGCCCAAACGTTAACTCATGACCTCAAAGATCGTGACATTGAAGCTGCACAGACTACATCTGATGTCCAGTCAATGAAGCTGCTTTCTAAACAATCATCCGAGCTCTTAAATGAGATTTGCCTGCGCTGGCGGATTCCAAATTTCTCCAGGGTTGCCCTGTTCTTGGATATTGCAAGAGCAAAGTTTGTTGATAATGAGATCGACCTGGACACTCTTGATTCGGCGTTTACGTTCGTTAAGGAGCCTCCATCGGATGGCAAAAAGCGCAGCAGTTTCATTGCTCCAGTAGTCTTTGACAGACAAAGGTGGGCGATCCATGATCTTCTTTTAATGCAGCAGATACTTTCCTCTCTGCATGAAGCTCTGCTGCGGGAACTATACGTTGTTATGATGGACTGCTACGAAGGCAAGCCCCGTCCCATTGGTCCAGTAATGTATGTTCTAGAGAATCATATCCAGCATGATCCCAACTACACAGAGGACTTAGAAGATATCGAACGCTTCCGCTCGTATGTTCAGGATGGGCTCGCACAAAAGGCCACAGAAAAGTATCAAGATCTTCTAGGACAAGAGGTCCCGGTGGAACAAGAGGCCTGGGAACTAAACCACGTTATTCAGCTTTGCGATGCCATCTCGAAACTTGCACAAAGAATCCGCAAGCGGTATAGACACAACCCAGAAATTATGGGGTAAGATTCTCCCAGCTCCGCAACATTCGACTTTTGAACTAAGAAAGCTCAGGGTAAATCCATACACGACGTTGCTCTCAAATGTTCTACCAATATTCGCTGAAGACGCCCACGAAATGGTCGTGAGGATAATTGAACAGGAAAAAGCCAGGGGCGAGGAAATTGCGATGGAGGATGGATTCGATCTCTACAAGCAACTGACATCTATACGTGCTCTTTTCACAGAGGCGCTTCCCGAGTATGTGTGGCTGTTTCACTAGTGTTCTGACATGCTCAATTATTAACTCTACGCCAGGAGCCCGTTCCCATTCCGCGTGGAAGACCTTCTGGAAGAATTCGTGTGGCGATGGATTCGTTTGACCGACCAGAAGATCATGGAATGGGTCGAACAAGCCACTAGACAAGATTCATTTGCAGTTCGAGCTGGGGACTCGATGGAACTAGTCCCTGAGGACCATCGACATAGTGTCTCTGTGATAGACATTTTCCGCTCATTCAATCAGGTTGTGGAGCAGATGATACAACTTGAGTGGGATGATGACCTTCAGTACGCCAAGTTCATGACGGCTTTGTCTAGATCTATTGGGAAAGGTCTCTCCAGATACTGCGAATCACTAGAGCAAATGTTTGCTAAAGAAATGGATCGGCTTTCTCCGGATCAAGAAGCCGTCATGAACCAAACAACCCAAGAGAAATGGATGCAAATCGCCAAAGAAGCATGGACAAGTAAAGAGAAGATTGAACCCTTCCAATTCTTTCCCGAGGTAAGAGCGTTCAAGAAAGCGTCCCTGTCTTTTGGTCGCAACATAGTTAACCGTACGCAGTCGTTGGTCAAGCTGAACAATGTTGAATATGCTCTCTCCAAATTTGACAAGCTTGAGCGTGAGATCAATGTCGACGGATGTGCGGATGTTATAGCAAAGCATGCGCCCCCACCGACCCAACAAAAGATGCGCAGGTCAACGACATATGTTTTCACAATAAAGGTCGTGGAAGCCGAAGATCTGAAGGCTTGCGATATGAACGGGGGTAGTGACCCCTACGTTGTGTTGGCGGATGAATATCAGAAGCGTATTGCAAAGACTCGCATCATTTACAACAATCTCAATCCAAGGTGGGATGACACTGTGGATATCACAACGCAAGGGCCATTAAACATCATTGCGACCATTTGGGACTGGGACGCAGTAGGCGATCATGATTATGTCGGTCGAACTTCCATTAAGCTGGATCCCGTGCATTTTAGTGATTTCCTGCCAAGGGAATATTGGCTTGATTTGGACACGCAAGGTCGACTCCTGTTACGGGTTAGCATGGAGGGCGAGCGTGATGATATCCAATTTTACTTTGGCAAGTCATTCCGCACGCTGAAGCGCACGGAGAGAGATATGACTCGCAAGATCACTGAAAAGGTAAGTCCCCCGTCTACCTTGGCTGAGTATAGTTGGGGTACTGACGAAGAATCGTTCCTAGTTGTCTGCATACATCAGTCATTGCCTGTCGCGCCGAACTCTGAAATCTTTACTATCTCGGGGGCTAAGCATTTCCTCCGTTTCCAATTTTCTGAACCGAAATCGCGCTCAGTCAACGGCTGCAGCGCCATCAAATGCGGACGTTGAAAATGCGCTGACTCCGCTTTTTGACTATTTCAACGATAATTTCGCACTTATGAACAAGACCCTTACCTCAGAAGCTATGAAAATGGTCATGGCTCGCTTATGGAAGGAGGTACTCAACACCATTGAGAGTTTACTGGTGCCTCCTCTGTCAGATAAACCGTCGCATCAGAAGCCCCTTACGATGCAGGAGGTCGATATTGTTTCACGCTGGCTCGTTCTTCTTTTGAATTTCTTCCACGCGGTTGACGACGAAACTGGCGAAGCTCATGGCGTTTCGATTGATATATTAAAGTCACCTAAATACCACGAGATTCAGACCCTAAATTTCTTCTATTTCGAACCCACCGACACACTCATTCGCACGTCCGAACGGATGGCATCGGCAACAATTTCCCGACAACAAGCAAACAAAAACCGAGCATCTGCGCCCCATATCGGGGCTGCTGGTTCGGGCAGTATTCTAGGAATTCCCAATGCCCGGCGAGCTAAGAGTATCATGCTCTCTCGGAACCTGGGCACAATGAAGAAGATGAAGGAAGAGAAGTGGCGCGAAGCTCAAGCAGAGCCAAACGACGATATGATATTGCGTATCCTTCGCATGAGGCCCGAGGCAGCGGGATATTTGCGCGACCGAAGCCGCCAAAAGGAAAGACTCGCGGCAGCGGCGGCAGCCGACGCCATCGTTAAACAAAGCTTGATGACCGGGGGAGGGAGGATGACCGGAACTCTGGGACGCCGATAATTAATCTGGCATGATGGCTTTATGTTCGCTGTTGCATTTGGTACTCACTATTTTTTTTTTTTTTTCTCTTTTTTTCCTTGTGAAGCTGCATTTGAGCATCGTTTGTCTATCCGGTATTCGCATTATGATTCCCAATTGCGGTCAGCTTCTGTGAAGTTACGATTATTCTTTCCTACTAGGCTGTCTCAACTAGGAATTCCACAGTGCTACTCAATGAATATTCAACCCCAGAAATCCAATATCGACTCTATGCCTATGTACATGCTACATAGGAGAATCCAGAAGACTCCAACTTGCTGGACAATAAATAGGGAGCTGGTAACCACGACAGACTACAGACTTTCCTCCCCTTGTGTTTACTCCAAGGCAATGCACTCAATCTCCACTGGGACACCCTTGGGTAGCTGAGCAACAGCAACACAGCTACGGGCAGGCTTATGGGTGAAGAATTTTTCGTAGGTAGCATTCATTTCCGCGAAGTTGGCCATATCAGTTAGGAAGACCTAGAAGAGATCATTCCTATCAGCAATCTGTACCTGGAAGCCTCACCCTCCTTCAACTCAAGACTCCTGCAAGGAGTCAATTGTCGAAAAGGAGTGACAGCAAAGGAGGGAAAATAGAGAGAAAAACAAAAAGATAGAGACGACCCACATTCACTTTGACGATCTTGCTCACGCTGGATCCAGCAGCTTCCACAATAGCTTTGATGTTATTGCAGCAAGCCTGGGTCAATTCGCCAATGTTACCCGAGACAAGGTTCCCAGAGGCGTCGGCGGGAATTTGGCCGGAGATGAAGACCTGGCCGTTTGCGCGGATCGCCTGGGTCTATATGGACCAAAATTAATGGTGATCAGTAAGTAGAAGCGGGGATGGTGGGGAAGGTCGTGGTGAGAGATGGAAGGATGCACGAAACCATGGAGAGGTTTCCAAGTAGTGGACTTACGTAGGGACCAGCAGCTATGAATGAGAACTGGTAAGCATCTTAGTTGTCGGAGTAGGGAGAATGGCTGAATTCAAAGGCAGTTTAACTCACGAGGACAGGCGCCAGCGGCGGTGACGGGAGTCATGCCAGACATGGTGATGGGATGGAATGAGAAACAATGACGAGGGATACGGGAGATGAAGATGGGAGAGAGAGGACGGAGTGACGATGGGAGACGAGCGAGGAGGGAAAGGCGAGAGATGAGTGGGAGCATGAGTAGAGGGGCAGAACTGTCTTCTTCAAGTCGCGATAGAATTGCAGTCAGCTGTCTTATCCCGCGGGAAAGTCGCTGGCGCCATTGGTTGCTCCCATCGGTGGAGTCACCTTTTTCCGTGTCCATGCAAAAGATAACAATACCAGAAGAGAATTGAATAACGAACTATCTAAGTAATAGGATTTACAGCCATGGTCCTTGTCGTCGTCATCATGATCATCATTATTATATATGTACAGCGTCATCTATTACGTTTGACCAAGGGTACCACCTAGCTGCTGGAGGAAAGCAGCCGTCTGCTCCGCTGGAAATCCGAAAAACACAGGTCCATTAAAAAAAATGCTGGCATTTGTGTTGCGTGGGCGTTGCTGGAGGTCTGGGTGAGCTCCATTCTCCTGCCCATTAGTATCCGGGGCCTCGCCCATTCGATCCGGGTTACGAATGGTCTCAGTTTCTGGGGCCGCATGGTCAACGGGCGGAGCGCCATGGCCGAAAGGACAACATCCAGCTTTCAGTTCCGTGTCCGGCATGTCATGAGACGGGCCGTGAAGCGGTGCAGTGGAGGAGGCATCTATGACAGCATTATTCAAAGGCTTCTCCGACTGATGATGAAGAGAGGCCGTAACTGGAGCCGCCGGCGAGTGGGGACGAGATGGTGTGGGAGGAAAGGGGACGGGGATTCCCCAGGGCCTGCTGGGGGATTCGCCGACCCGTACTTCTCGCAACGGGCGATCAAAGTGTCCCTTCCTTTCCTCCTCACTCTCTTCTTCCTCCTTGATGGACGGCTCCATATCCGACTTGAAGCCAACGTCCTCCGCCCATTTCTCCACCCGCTCAGCCGACGAACTGGAGGTTCGTGCATCGCTGTTGCCATTTTTCGGCAAGAACGCTTGGTGCTTGACGGATAAGCCCCGTATCATACTGATCAGATTACCATACTTTGCATCTAGTTGCCGCATGCTCTGCGAGTCCTTTTGGTACCGCTGCACACAGACGGCATGGCTCCGAGGTATCTCATGCTTGTGCTTCTCGACATATTCGGCAACTTCTTCGGGACTATGTTGATCTAGAAACCTAATTGGACATCTTGAAATAGGGCACTGAGCCGTTGATGACCGTGCGGAGGGTGGGTGGCTAGAATGTCTATCTTTCTGTTCTGCCTTGATGGGGTCTAAATCTTCATGCCCACATGTATCATTAGGAGGCTTGGGAGAACTCTCGATCGCAGTAGACATTCCGTTTGCGGAGGTTTTATTGGTAGGTTTTGCAAAGGGACAGTGTAAACTGCCCCTCGTACCCTTCGTAGTAAAGTCCCTTTCCAAGGGACGAGGTGCCCCAGCTCTAGTGGCAACAAGACATGGATTGAGCTCGGGTAATAGTCCGCCTTCATGCGAAGGTACGATGGACTGGTAACAAGCTAATCCCTCCGATATGGCAGAGAGAACCTGATCTCCTACGTTTCCAGATTTTGCAATTGCTTGGACTACAGCCGGGGGGCTAAGGGGGGCTTTTTGAGACCCATCATATTCGGTATACCGACCGAGAATCTTCTCCGAGACAATCTTGGTATGGGTATCCGGTCCGTTAGGAAGTCGGTCTGCTAGCTTCAAGTACTAAAGGTAAATGTTAGCAGGCAGAACTTGAAAACATGTGGCCAAGACAAAATAATGGGCAGTCTCCATCAGATAATACATGACTTGTCCGTCACTACCGCTATAAGCGACTCCTGATCTAGAGCTAATCAAGTTTCTCTCATCATTTGAGACAGGGAAAGAATAGGAAGGCAAGGGAAGAAAGGAAGGCAAGGAACGAAGGGAAGGGAGGATAGGAAGGGAGGAGAGGGAAGAGTTTACCTCAGTACTGGCATATTCCAATCTTTGCTGGAGACTTTTCTCTTTGTAGTGAAGATGCTGGGTTGTCAGCAGGAGAGCTTCAAAAGCTGTAGCTAAGGTGTGCAGTGGATGCTCGTGGTGCATTTCAGCAGCCACAACAGCAGGTGACATGACTATTTCAGGTAGAGGGGTTACAAATTAGGACAATATCACATCTGGTGGTCTTCCCAGGCACTTCTGCACAAAGCAGAAGTACAGGTAGAAGGGCATGGAGAGGGAGAGGGAGACGTATGGGAAGAGAAGAGAAAAGAGAAAAGGCGGATCGTTGCCTGAAAACATCGCTTGAAGCTAAGCGAGATGGCCCGTGCCATCCACGTGATGATGGTATTCCATTCAACTACTGGCGCCTAGTACTTGTAGCAGTAGCTGGACCATGATATCAAATAACAATGAACCCGATGTGATGCAATGTAGCTGACAGGCACTGCCACACATTATCTTCTCTCAACATGTTCCCAGTCTCCTGTTAAAGAAAGGAAAAACAATGACCCCCACACTCCCAACACATCCCCGGCAATTCTAAAAGCGTTCAAAACAAAACATGACCATTGTCGATCGTGGCCACCGAGACTAGACACTGCTAGGTGTGAGTAGTTACCTCTTCACATACTGTGATCGCAATGTGTTTCTCACATGTGAACTAGGATCCATGCCTCAGCCATCTTATTTGTAGGATGAGAACCCCATGATCTCGGTATCCGAGGTATCAGAGGTTTGGGGCGCATTCATGACTGGAGATGGTGGTGGAGCAAGCAGAGGATCCGGCGCCTCTGTGTCGCTGATCGAATAAAATCGCCCGCGCGCTGGCTGGGTTTCCTCGGTGTTCTGTGCCTGGCTTGGAGAAGCTTCAGTCGATGCACCTTCCTTCGTGGCCGGCATGGCGCAAGGTTCGACGTTTTCCTTGTTGTACCTGGGTTCGTCCATCTCCTGCCCGGCAGTTTCTTCAGGAATATCCTCTAAATAAGTGATATTCAGCGCCTGGAACGCCCCGACAACCTGGGTTTGATCCATTGGTTCCGCGAAAGGCTCAGTCGAGGCCGAGTTGTTAGCGATCTCTTCGTTGAGTTTATTTGAGAGAGTGGGCAGGGAGTTCGGTAAGGCGTGAAAATGATCCTCATCCCACTCGGGCTGGTAGTCTGGATCTGGACTCGGTGGAGGGGGATTCATTGCAACGAGCCAGAGCTTTGCGTATGGGTTGAGCGGCAGTGGTCGTTTTGGATGAATTGTGTTGGACGAGGGGCTCAGTGAAGACGAGGAGTGTTGAGGTGCTGTGTGATAAGCCCATGGAGACAAAGGCCACTATGCCTACCCTGACTTTGTTCAGCAGGGCACATGCTTTTCTTTGGCAGTGACCAGTTTTTACCAGTGGAAACTTCGCTATGCATGCATTTGTATACTTGATAAGATATGTACTGTGTATTGATACGTCATTAGCTTTTTACTTGGGTATTCTAGCAGATAACAATCAAATTCCAATTAAGGCAGTGATTACATAGAGTAAGGTAGGCTCTAAAAGTATCATATTTTGCTGCTCATGTCTAATACGTTGCTTGATGTTGGTAAGACTACTACTGTTTGTATTTATCTATTAGTTATAAAGTATCTCTTCAGCATACACGAACTATACCATGGACTAGGTAAATAACTAGATTCACTTCTGGAACCTAACTTGGACCCTTTACTGCTTCCTCTATTCATGGCTGCAATTTGCACATATTAGCTGAGGCCTTAAAGCCTGACTGTGTACTATAGGAGACTGTAACATTCCTTCCCCCCACCTTCCCTTCTTTTTTTCAGCATTAGCCAGGTATATCGTGTTAACAGGATGTGTATAAGGTAGGAAACTATTGCGTCAAAGCACGCTCGTGGTTACTTTACTCTAGAAGCTTGGAATCCTAAGTAGTCATCTATGCTCTTGACATGAAAGTATGTAAGCTGTACCAAATCTTGTATGCATTGCTATAATACCCGCTGAGCATAATTCATTGTGTGAGCAGGGTGCAGGCTTCTCTGATTGATTCACCTAATATTCATCGGCATCCTATTAGAATTGTCTCACAAGTCATATCAAACCAGATAGATAATTCGACCAGGAATAAAAACGTTTAACTGCAAGGTCCATGGGTTTCAAGAACAGAGAAGAATTGGAACTAAGAGAGTATATTATATATCTTATTTCCTGCGATCCCAATAGCCGATTCCATCAAGGATAAATTAATCATTTAGCCTGTAGGCTATATCGATGGGATTGTACTGATTAGCCATTTTAATCTTTGGTGTCTCAGCATGATCTCTGAATTTGACCCAAAACCTTTCTCTAAAGAAAATGCAACAAAAAAAGAAAAGAAAGAAAAGAAAAAGAAAAAGAAAACCAAAAGGAAAAGTAAAGGAACAACCATTGGTGGTTGGCCTACCAACATCCCAGATTAATATTTCGAACTGCGTTGTTGTAGCATCGACCGTCCATGGAAATAAGCCAAATACCCGTGCGGCGTGGCCAACGCCATGCAGGAGAACTGGAAAGGACACTGCAGGTGCCTGCAGACTGAACGCCGGAGTGGGGATGTTCTTGGAGAATTGCTGTGTAACCCGGTCTCTTGCACAGGTGGGTAGCATGGAAAGACATGATCCTGATGTTTCCCCTCCAGGTGTGCGTGTGCGTAAGTATTCATACTTCGGAGGAGGACATTCAGCACGAGGGATGTGCTTGACTAGATGGTTTCGGACATGCAGGCTTAGCAATGGAGTGCCTGGATCCTGCCGATGCAGGGTTAAAGTACTATGCGCAAGCTAGGACTGGACGAATTCCCCGAGGATGAAGGGAAGGCGTATTATTCGTTGGGTTGATTGACGGGATATAGGGCATCTGCCTCCATACTATTACCTATAACCACTAGAGTAATTGCCCGTCTTCACACCGACAGACCAAGGCCTGGCAAATCATCGATGGAAACCGTGTCCACTCATTGAGCCCGGTATCACCGCTGACTCACGGATTCTGTGTTGTCGCCTTCCACCCGGCCCGGCAGGATGCAGTGGGCATAGGAAGATTTGGGTTGTTCTGATTATTCTTTTTATTACTTTATTTTAGCTATTTATTTACTGTTACAGCAGTACAGTACATACAGGGAGTTCAGGAAGTTCAGGAACACAAGGTACAATACTCCACTCCGGACGGGTTGTCAATTAGTGGTGGCTTTGTTGATCGATGCCACTAGACTGTATCGTGCTATCACCGGAACACGGAAGGGCAGACAATGCAGACAATGCAGGACGCGTACATGATGGTGATGGAGAGGCAGAGACTGTTTCTAAGCTAATTATTTTTTCCCAGCGTGTGAGTTGCATTGGATGGGAATCCATATCAAAGGGGACAAAATTCCTAGACATTGGATTATATTGATGTGAATAAGGTAGCATGTGGGAAGAAGGATTCTAGACTCCAGGGGTGTATTAGTATTACCGATCATCCATTGTATGTATCTCTAGGAACTCTGTACCTCCATCCATTGTACCTACATACATATATATACATGTATATAATTTCATATAAAAAATAGGGATTAGGACGGCTCTCTTCTCTTGATATGGATCTCTCATTCTTTATCCATCCACTGTTACCTAGTAGAGGTACCGGAGATCTGAACAAAGACCGATACAATACCCCGACCATACCGTTACATCCTACCGTTATTCTTTCTCCCCCTCCTTGAATTTTATTTATTCTTATCACGATTTTTATTCCGTTTTATTTACCTTTACTATCAACCTCACCACCCCTCACCTTCTTCTCTTCTTCTTCATCATGTCCCAACCCACCTCCAATCAACCCTTCCAAACTCCTGATGCCGCCGCCCAAGTCGCCGGACACTCCTCCTCCCATCCCACCCGCACCACCGAACTCACCAGTCTTAAAGTAAGGCTGCGCTCCGCTCTGCGCCAATTCCCTGACTTCCCCTCCCCCGGTATCCTGTTCGAGGATATCCTCCCTATCTTTGCCGACCCCGTCTTGCATGAGTCCCTCCTTCGCTGCCTCGAGCTGCATCTCCTCGAGGCCCATGCCGACCAGAAGCCCGACGTTATTGTCGGCCTCGAGGCTCGAGGCTTCCTTTTCGGCCCTAGTCTTGCCCTGAGACTTGGCGCCAGCTTCGTCCCCGTGCGCAAGAAGGGGAAGCTCCCCGGTCCCTGTGAGACCCAGGGCTACGAGAAGGAGTACGGCCAGGACTTTTTCCAGATGCAGGCGGATGCAATCAAACCCGGCCAGAAGGTCCTCGTCGTGGACGATATCATCGCAACCGGTACGTTCCTCCTTCCCCTCCATTGGGGAGACCATTGACATCCTGGTAAGAACCAGGGCTAACCGATGGTATCCTGAACAGGCGGCTCGGCCTATGCGGCAGGTGAACTGATCAAAAAAATGGGAGGAGTACTCATGGCCTTCGTCTTCATCCTCGAACTCGAATTCCTCAAGGGACGGGATAAGCTCGGTGGTCCGGTATACACACTTCTGTCTGGCCAAGAGAAAAATTTTTAATTTGATGGCAACAAAAAACAGAAAAAGAAAAAGAAACACCAAAAAAAAAAAAGACCCTTTCTTTCCTTCGTCTCGTAATGGATGTGGATTTGCACGGCTTTTTGCGGGTGTGATTGCCGCAAAAGAACAACCAACATAAGATTCACTCGTCCCTATCCTTGTCCCATCACTCCTCCCTGCTGCAGCTAAGGTCTCTGCCGATTTGATATCGGTACGGTGCGGTGGTTCTATTGCGGATTGGACTGCGTTCCGTATGCTTTGCAGGAGGACCAGTCTTACAGGTACTATGTGTCGGATCCTCTTTCATTATAGCTGGATGAAACACCAGATATTATGGAGTCCAATTAGATAGCTGGCCTACGTTTATGAGCTCGATGTCATTTCCGGAGAGATCATTGTTTGGTATATGGCATGTCTATTCATACGGTGTTCTGTACCCTATAGACAATGGACGACATGACCGCAATGCATCATGACAACGATCTATAATCTGTAAATCTTCCTATGCTTTCGCACTAATTCGAAGGTATGAACTTCACCATCACCTCATCCACCCATTTCTTCGGGAATCCCAACGTCTCCGCCTCGCAGATAGCTCGATGCATCCGCGGAATATACTCGTCCCTCGGCGGGCCCACCCGGATTCGTTCCTCATCAACATACACCAAAATCGTAGTCTCGGGTTCATCCTGTCGACGTCTCCGCTGTTCCTCATCCAACCACTCGGTCACCGTAGCCGACACATACCACTTGTTATAGCTCCCATTGGCCTGTTCCCTCGGCCGCACCGCCAGCGGGATCTTGTCCGTCTGGCGCGACGGAGGCGCCTCCTCATCGACACTCTCATACCCATCCAGCAGCGTCTCGTCCGCCTCATCCATCTCATACAGCACTCCGTAGACCGTATCCTCCTCCCCGGACACCGGCACCGCATCCCCCTCGTCGATCTGCTTCCCCACCCGTAACCCCGCTGGCGGGACCACGTTCGCGTATCCGTATTGACAAATCAACCAGCGCCAGTGATCCAGACGCGCGATGGCGACTGGCCGCGACGACAGGTCGGGGTTGTGTCTGCACCGCATGCGCATCTGCGTGAATGAGAGATTCGATCCATATGCGAAATACAGCACTCGGAGATTCGTCTCGCAATTCGGGAGTTGCGTCGTGGCTGTGACCGTGATCGGAGAGGGAACGGGTGTGTTATCGTCGGTGTTTTCGAGATGCATGAAGTTTTCTTTCTTTCGTTTCTATCTTTATTTCTTTGTTTCTGTATCTCTCGCTCTCTGTCCGTTCTTTTCTAATCTCGTCTGTTCGTGTTTCGAGCTCAGACCGACGTGGGATTTGTAGATGATATCTGTTTGTCAAGGTCGACTCGATATCAAGAAAAGAGTGCCCTGAACTGGTTGGGTTCCAACGTGGGTGTTATCGAGAAGAGGAAGGGGGAGGAGACGAGAAGGAAGTGAGATCAGTATCCAAGTGGAGTCGGTATTCTTTTCCCCGCCACTCACGATCATTCTATTCGTCTTCGTAGTGATACTTGATACTGCTAAGATTAACCTCTCTAAAAGAAAAATGTTTCCATTATCAAGATCCGGATTTTCTCTAGATAGTCCAGTGTGGCAAAATATGTGCATTCAAAAGGTGCGAAAACTAAGTATACCCAAGGTTCTATCCTGCTACATGTAACAAAATCGGATTCAAAGAACATACAAATTATTGATGGGAATTCCCTGCGACCGCACGGTGTATCGTCGCTTGATGCCTACCCCAGTCGCACGTCGCAACACTTCATACGTTTCCTCACCCCCACCAACCATTACCATACCAAGCAGATGCCGTCGTGGGATACCCCCCGCTGTCATCTGCGTCTCATCCAAGTATGGCCGAGCCAGATATGGCTCGGCACGGATGGCAGCCAAGCCAGTCGGTGAAAACCTGGGGTGGGCCTCTGGCACCTCGTCTGTCTCGTTAGATGAGACTACAATCACGAGCTTGAGCGCAGACTGTGATGGCGGATATGCCGCAATATTTCGCAATTTCTGTGAGAAGCTGCATCCGCCACGTTTGATGACCAGTACCTGGTGGTTTCGCGCAACGTCGCTCGGAATCCGGCGCTCACAGAGCTCATCGGCAAAGTAGATCGTTGACCAGCTGAGTCGATTTTTGGTCAAGTCACCTGTGACGGAGAACGTAGGCGCATCTTCCACGTCCGGCATCGGAGCCGACCCGAGACCGGAGGACATGGCAGCCGGTAGCACCAACCGCAACGGTGATTGCCTCGGGGATGACAGTGTCGAATCAGCCTGTGCCTCGTCTCGCAGTAATGATGAAACTGAGTCCATCAAGGACGAAAGAACCGTCTTCAAACCCGGTGCAGAAGGATCTACGTAGTCGAGTCTATCGTCGCTATAGTCGGTGGACTTGTGGATGATGGGCTTTTGGCTATGCTCTGCTGCAGCAGATTCTTGATGATCATTTGAATCATTTCGTCGACGGACTGTCTCTGGGAGAACGTCAATGACGATGTCAATCATCGCAAAATCACGAATGCGGGTAAAGTTCGGATCAGTGGGATCTAGGACATCAAACATGATCTCCCGCGAGAGATATACCTTCTCATCTTTCCCGAGGGGCACATTGTTGATCACCTGGACTCGGAACTCGTCCTCGGCCGCACTCCCGGGCGCATTCTGGGAGGGTACGTCCTGAACCATGCTCAACCGGAGGCCCCCAACCGCCTTGATGAGAATTCCGTCCCGAACCCGCTCCAAGGAGCTCGATCCCAAGACCATCCCGGGGATGCTTGGGAACGAGATATCTAGTGTCGGCCGAAGAACCATAGGCGAGCTTGTTGCGTTAAAGGGCACCAACTCGGCAGGTAGTGTCCACGGGAAGAAGGTATAATTGGTTGGCGAAAACAGGTCAGATATTGACACGCTCGGATGATCCTTTGCGTACTTCAGAAGAGGGCCTTCCGCCGGCCCTCGGCTGGGCATCAGGTGTAGACGGGCCAAGTTTGCAGCATGAAAAACATCGGGTCGCGCTGCTGTGGACGATAAACTGAAGGTCGGAGGTAGAGGTGCTGCCTGACAAATGTCATTACTGCGTTGTGGCTTGTCGGCGGTAGATGGCTTCTTGCGACGATGTGGGACTGCTGTCGTTTTCTTGGGTATAATGAGGGGGTGTGCCTCAGTCGAGAAGACAAACGGTTGGTCCATGTTGTTCAAAGGATGCGCAGGATCGTAAAGCAAGTACATGTACTTGGTAGTTTCTCCGAGAAAAAAGCTCTCCATTCTGTCGCTAAGCTCGCCATTCCGAACGTCCTGGAGACCGGCCCAGCCGCATTTTGTCCAGCACCGTCTTTTGAGATCCCGGAGCACCATCTCACCGACGTGCAAATACCAAGGATCTTTGGTGGCCTGGTAAAGATAATACGTGGACTCGATAAATTCGGGGCGGCCACCGTACCAGCCAAGGTTCCCTTCTACATTTCCCGTAGCAACGTTCCATCTCTCTGGGAGACCAGAGAACCGGGTCCACACAGCTGTGGGTAAGAGGTGGATACCAATGGCCTCATCAAGCTCTCCTGCCAGAGTCAGAAGACCAGGATAGAAGGCGCTCAGGCTGTCGATCCAGAATGCTCGCGTAGCGCCCGTGAAAACGTCCCCTTGGATTAAATGCGGATGTTGGTAGCCATCTCCTCGATACAGGTGACGCTTGATTGCCGTGTGCGAGTCATACCACACCTGTAAAAATGCATCTGCTGAATGTTCGTGCTCACTTAGTGGAAGAAAATAATCATCCAGCGCGTGCCACGGACTGTCGGGATTGTGCTGGGGTCGATCCCCCGAAGACAGTAGAACGTAAGATTTGAAGGCGTATTCGTAAAAGCTGTCAATGCCTGCGCCAATCTGAGAGTGCGTAAGTAAGTGAATTCTTTCTGGGCCCACCTCGCGCTTCGGGTGAAAGGACTTACCCCCGTATAGGAGTGAACCCATTTGCCCGATTCTGCATCTATCCCCGAGCCAATCAATCCTATTTCACTCCTCCTCGTCCAAACCGCCCAGAACGCTCTCTTTGCTAACTCCTCGTACCGGCCGTCTCCAATGAGCCTGCTCAAGACGGTAAATTCTAAGACCAAACTACCAGCGCCAGCACTGCAGGTTTCTGTTATCTCTGGCGAGGAGGGCCGCCGTCGTTTTTGGCAATACTCCTTATCAGGGTGATCGCATAAACCGGTGTTTAATGGCGAGTTCGCATAAAACGGCTGCCGTCGCACTCCATACTGCAGATTAACTCGAGGGTAGGGGAGACCAGTGTCCGTGTAGAAAGCAGGTAGGATGCGGTTGGCCAGGTCCGCAGCAAGTCGTAGAAACTGACCATCGTATATAAACCCATTTTCCCAGTTGATTCCATGACTGCCTTTCGGGAAACTGGTCTTATTCCAGGCTTTCGCAAAGCTCGTTTCCGCCTCTGGTGGATTGTATCCTGTAATGGGAAGGTCGCCCACGGCAAAGAGATGCGCGCTAAGCAGTCCACCTGCAAAGGCACCGATGTGAGTAAAAGAGAAAGCGCCACTATATGGTGAATCTCATACCTAGTCCTCGAATAACTGTTTCGAAAACCTGAACTTTGCTGTCTCTATCGAATCCTCTTCCTCTTTCACCCTGGCCAGCAGGGCCGTCTGTTCCATCACCGTACAGTCGAACAAAGTCCTTTATTCCATCCTGAAAATAGCTCCAGGCCTTTTTGCCGCCATCGGCGCTTGATGACAGAATTGCCAGCGAAGATAAGCTGTCGATTAAAGTTAGGGAATAATTTCCGAGAACATCGTTTAGCTCGTGTCCTAAATTTTCTCGGTCCCGGGTCAATGGGCCGCAAGAAAGGGGGCGCAATTCATCTTCAGGGAAGGCATGTTCGATGTAGTTCTCGTAGCCGTGGTAAAACATGAGCTCGGTTTCCTTCCTGCAAATAATCGCGTGAGTTGCGGCAATCGGGGCTTCCAGCGTACCACACAGCAAGAATGACACTCACTTCAGTTCATGGATTTTTTCTGTCCTCATACCCTGGGCCATGGCAAGCCACAGCGGCAGAACTAGGACCCATGTTGTCGCCCATGCTGTGAGCAGGTCGAACATTTGGGACCAGCTGCATCTCGAGCGCATTACCGCAGTAACGAGATGGTTACGGATTGCATGGGAACGTGATGGACCGCCGGGCACTACAAGGGGTTTCGTGTCGAAGGGGCAATCCGACTCGTTGGTGAATCCATTGAACTTCGAGAGTAATATTGTGGTGGCAGCGGCTCCGTCGCACGTGAGTGATTTTGGGACCGACAAGGCCAGATATGCCACTCTAAGCGACACCTCCCAACGATTATTTCAAAATCGTCTACTGTATATTATTATATGAACTAATATCCATTGCGCAAATTATGTATTAAATGCAACGCTAAATAAGGGCAACCTAATCTTGCTGTATGGCGAAGTTACTCGCTACTAATGCTAACAATCCTTTGCTTATATGCTCGAGTAACTCCCGCTTCAACCTTGGTAATCTGAGAGGGGAAAAAAGGACAGAATAAAAGGGGATATCTTTTAGGCGCATAAAAGAAATTCTAGTACTGGCGACGCAATAATGTCTTCCTAGTTTGGACTCTGCAAAATAATTTGCTCGATATACCCTTACCGATGTTCGGGCTCCTCAGCGATATGGCACCGTGTGAATGAACGTGGCTGTGCTTCAACAACGTAATCAATGCCATTATCAGATGTATAGCTGGGAGGCCGTGGAGTTGCAATTTTGTTGCTTGAAGTTGGCTCAGCCTTGTTTATGTGATTCCATAAGGGGCGCGCATTGCGCTCCACTCGCTGCCAATAAAGCAAGTCCGGGTTTATTCTCTACGACCAGTATCAATAACTATTAATGAATATTGTTCAAATATATAGAATGCCGGGAGAGACGGAAAGATAAACTTACCACGCTACTCCTCCAGAGACCATACGCTGGAGGGGGAGCCACAACTTTTTCCCGATTGTTGCTGTTGCTTTCGGTCAGAACTTCATCTCCGGCAAGGACAACCTGAATTGGGCGTTCCGGCTGAGCGTAACCAGTAGGCCCTGCTCTTCTAGGAATCTGATTGGTAGGACTTCTCAAGATTACCATCGCAAGGCGGATCAAAGAATGACAAAAGACAATGGCAAGAATTAGAATCATGAAAACAAGAAGAATATGTAGCTCGCGGCCCAAAATGGAATTGGATACAGCGAACACAAGATCTGTAATTGCTTATCAGCACTAGGAACGCCATTGGAATGTAACGAATAGACTTACAAAGGGCGAGGACGAGAATCAAAAAAACCGCAGACGTAGCTAGTGTGATTAACCTCTTTCTGGCATCCTTCTCTTTCAGTATATAGGCGCATGATCTTAGGCGATAATTGCAGTGCTCGGAAAGGCCCCGTGGTGGTACATCTTGTGTCTCTTGTCTAGACCTAGTGTGCGAATGTACCTCGTTACTCACGCCAGATTCCTCCGGCGTAGATTGTAGATAAATTTGAGAATAAGGGCCCCTGGGCGAATATGCGGATCCTAGATCTACCATCGACTGACGTATTGCAGTTCTCCCAGGTACACCAGAGCTTTGATGCACAGCGCGATCACCAAAAATTCGCTGCCCAAGACTGGCACGAGGCCTGCCATACCGCGATACAGATTGCTCTCCATGAGAGTGGTCTCTTTGGCAATGCCCATCTGTGTCGCCTCCATTGTGGCTGAAGTTTGTAGAAGATATCGGTGTGGGCGATGCTGAGGTGTTCGGGTAAGAGGGCCCTGGCTGAGACAGCAAAACCGATTCCATGTCGAATTGTTTGTCAGTTGAATATTGATATTGGGGTATCGAAGTGCACAATAATCAAGCATTCCACTTCCCGGCAGCTCTATTATTAATAAAAATATCGAACTCGGGTTGATTTTAAATCCGTATATAACCTTGGCTTTTCAATAGTATGTACTATATCCTACTTCCGCATTCGTTGAACAGCACACCGGCGAGAAATGCGAGAGGTGGCAACAATTACCTTAAGCGATCGACCTTGTGATATAAATAAATAAATAGCGAAGACAGTAATATGAACAATAGGAATGGTCAATTCCCGGGTATAGGTCGCTCGGCTCTGTTTCGTAATAGGAGGTATCTTCCGTGCTATACACTCATCGTGAGGACCAAAGATGCAGTGAAAGACGGAAGACGCAGCATTGGCAACAGAAATAGATAATGCAGCAAAGGGATGAACTGGGGATAATGTTTCACAATTGTAGATAGTTTAAAAGTGGAATAAAAATAAATTTTCAGAAGGGTAAGAAGACAAAAGAACAGGGGGGCTCCAGGCCGCACCAGTAGTCCGTTATGTTTAACCTGTATGGAATGAAAGATGGGGAATTAATAACCAGTATGAAGGGTAATATAATTAGATGCAACAAATTGCAATAAAGGAATATCAGTGATTAAAAAAAAAAAAAAAAAAAAAAAAAAAAAAAAAAAAAAAAAACAGATTTAACAAGTGCTGGAGATGAAGCTGAGGAGAAAGAAGGGGTGGAGCCCAAACAAGAGATATGAAATACTATTTTAAGGCAAAAACGGTGTAGTATACACCAGATACGGGATAGGTATTCCGTACTACTTCTCTACTATCCTCTAGGTAGATGGCACTAAACTAGTACAAGGAGCTACCTAACCCCTGGATGACCCGCGTTTCTAAGTATGGAGTATGTACATACAGTCCAGCTAAGGGGCTGGTTGCTCTAATAGAGTGGCTCCGGAAGATGGATCTAATTTCCTGGCAAACATCTTATTGACCTGGGTAATTTCATGCAGCCCGCACCTGCATGCAGCTGCTACCTACTCCATAGATACAAGGTGCACGTCAACTTAGATGTACGCTGTAGTTTGTCCTGTAAATCTAGTGTTTCAGACTTGGTTACTGGCCTTTCTCAGTTGTCAAGCAGCCTACGGCTGGGCCCAAAACTTTAACCACAGCATAGTAACTAAAGAAATTACAGATACATAAACAATGCACAAGGGTAAATGTTCAATTGCTAGACACCTTTTATCTATAGCTGATTTGAAAATCTGAGTTAGATATTAATCACAGTTCAAGACATAATGCAAACAATAATGTGGGAACTAAATCTCCGATTTAGCATAAAGCGTGTTGGCATTGGAAGTTTTATACAATAGCCTGCGCGGTAAGAGATCCTATGACGCCAATAGGTGCTCTGTTATACTTCAGACTAAATGTACACCATATCGCTTGTGTTTCCGCTAATTTTTCATAGCTTAACACATTGTAGTGTTCGCAACTTCTAATCTGAAGCAAACTAGCAAGGGGGTGCTCTTGATGCTTGCAACCCTCAATTCCCTAAATATCACATAAGAACTCTGGGACTTCAATTGCCAGTTTTGGAGACAAATTGTGACTGTAGGCTAGCTTTATTTGCAAAATCATGATCCATCTGTAAACTCCGAAGTTATATCATTTTCCAAGTTCACCAAGCATAAGACTCCGATCAGACGAGCCGGAAACAACTAGAATATGGGTTAGTAAATGCAATCATCAGTTACTCAAGTGCATCCCAACTTACTGATTGGCTCGGTGTTTGGCGAGAATCGAACATCATTGACAGTCCCCTTATGTCCAGGGAGCTTGTATAAAAGCTTTCCAGTTTTGGTATCCCACACAACCACGCTCCTATCGCCACTTCCTGCCGCAATTTTCTCGCCAGTTGGGTCCCAGCTCGCTCGGATGAGGTTCTTTTCCAGACCAATAGGAGCGCCATCATATGTTTTGATATGCCTATTTGTGGGCGCGAAGGGTCGAATATCCCATGTCCGTACGGTCGAATCATGTGAGTTGGACAGCAAGGTCTGCGAATCTGGAGAAATTTCGAGGGAGGTGATAGTGTCCATGTGTCCCGTCATAGAGTAAGCCACGGCCTTCTTTCGTAGGTCCCACACGTGAATAGTGTTGTCAATGCCGCCGCTGTATATTTCATTCCCAGCTTCCGATAAGGCCACAGCGGTTATTGGTAATTCTGTTACCAAATAATCAACTGCCTCCTTTTGCCGTGGATCCCATAAGCCCACGCAACCGTCATCGCTTGCACTGACCAAGAGCTCCTGGCCCCTTTTGCTGATGTCCACGCAATTGACAATCTCTTCATGTCCAATATGGCGCCGTATCCTTTGTCCAGTTTCTAGATCCCAGCTTGCAATTGTCATATCTGCTGATGCAGAAAAGATAGTTTTTGAATCACGAGACCACTGTAGGTCGAGGACCGCGCCTCGGTGACCCGAGAGGATGCCATAGTTTTCACACTGTCCATAGGTATTCCACAGCACTATTGAAGTTAATTTTATTATGAGCCAATTGTCAATGTTTTATAATGTAGTCCTAACGATTGACATACAAATAGATCTGTCTACTGAGCCGGATGCGATATGTTGCGCGGTGGGGTCAAATCGTACGGAGAAAACCTCACCAGAATGGCCTAATATATTGCCTATCAGCCTAAAATTCTCAATATTCCTCATTATGAAGCTATTTCTTCTCACCTGTCAGATCCATGATCGGTGCGTCTAACCCACTAGTGCGGGGAACCTGCGGTCAACATCAGTCTTTAAGGCTCGTTGTATTCTTTGACTTGGTGACCCAGCTGAAGACATACTGCCTGCACCAGAGCCCCATTTTGCGACGAGCTTTTTACAACAGCTGTATGATCATTCATACTGGCATCGGACTTCTTTCGTTTCACAACAACCTGGTTAGATGAACCAAAGGCCTCGGGGGCGGGTCGTTTTTCCCCAGACATCGTCCTTAGAAGACTCTGCAACCAACAGTTCAAATAGGCCAGTGGCAATCGAAGTGATTCAGAGGGGAATTAAAAACTAAACAATAGTAAACAATTCACAATGGAGGGTTAATATGCTGATGGCAAAGGGAGCACCATGCGGAGGACCACGGTTCTTCGTACAGGCGCAGAAATGGACGGGTAGATTAGGCGCGATAAACGCCGATTTCTTGGCTACAACCCCATAGGTAGGCGCCCTCCGTCCGATCCACTGACTGCGCGGGGGAATGCGCACACCGCGAATCTTGTCTTGACAAGTGCATTCACGACTAAATAGTTGTAATAAATTGCTTAAGAAATTTGACTTTCGAAGTATTCACCTTCTACGCAGGATTTAAAGGTCCCCCCAAATAACTGGCTAAACATGTCTACCACAAAAGCCTTAAGGATCGGAGAAGAGTACGTCGCTTATTGCCGTTGTCTTCATGACTGCTTATTCACTTACTGACAACTCCTGATATAGGCTATGGAAGTTAGTATGCTGAGTGCCATTGTTTCCCTGGATATCTGTTTTTCTTGCCCGCCCTCTTGGATATTAAAGTGGGGTTTAAGCAGCGAGCCAGTTCGAAACTAACATTGTGGTGCCCTTTACCAGAACGAGAGTTGACAAGGTCAATGCGGAGCTGGTGACTTTAACATATGGAACAATCGTTGCACAACTATGTCAGGACTATGATGGGAACTATCAAGAAGTGAATAAGCAGTTGGACAAAATGGGATACAATATTGGCATGCGGCTTATTGAAGACTTCCTCGCCAAGTCGGGCGTTGGCCGATGTGCCAATTTCCGGGAAACAGCGGATATGATCGCCAAGGTATTTACTCCTTGTCTGTATGGACTTTTTTTTGGGGAGGCTGACGGATGTTGAATTGAAATAGGTCGGGTTCAAGATTTTCCTCAATGTTACCCCCACTGTTACGAACTGGACCAGTGATAATAACCAGTTTTCACTTGTCTTTGATGAGAATCCTTTGGCCGACTTCGTGGAGCTACCGGATGATGGAAGAGCGCAGGACGAGCTGTGGTTTTCCAATATTTTGTGTGGTATTTTAAGGGGATCGTTGGAGATGGTAAGGAGACATAATCCTGGCATCTAATTCCACCACGTACATGTACTATGATATGCAACTAATCTAACACATTCGTCTAGGTACAAATGCAAGTCGAAGCACATTTTGTTAGCGATATGCTGCGCGGGGATGACACGACGGAGATGCGGGTATCACTAGTGAGATATATCGAGGATGAAATGCCCCCAGAGGAAGAATAGTCTGCGCGATTAATTGAGAGTAATTGAAGCTTATACATTTGTGGCGTTTGGCGTTTCCGGGCTTCAGGGCTTTGGCCCACTATCTCTTATCTGTTGAGTTGTCACTATCAACATCTACCATATCTTTCTTTATTTAAGAATGACAGCTGTTCTTTGAAACTCATAAACATACATTTATCTGCATTAACCCTTGATAACGACGTAGAAGGGCATAATGGTATAGCAACTACAATAAGTAGACGGGCATCTAAAAGTCTGCCTTCTACGTACGAACAATATAACTAATAACATTACCATGACTGAATCAATATATTGATACCTGTAGTATATTTCTAGCAGATATTTAGCGTTCAATTGGGCATGCCTTATACAATTATTTTCATGCTATATTAATTAACATAGGTACTCCGTAGATAGAAGCGTGAAGGGGTCGATGATTAGCCTGTGGAATTAACCATTATATAGCATGATGCGAAGAATGTAGAGTGTGGTGCTAATTACCTTGGAGTATAATATTTATTGCTAGGAAGTAAAGGGTGCATCTACTATTCAGATGTACTACCTTATCAGGTATAATAGTCTTAGGTGGAAGATCACTAGTTAGCGAACTTTTATGGTTACTTAGTCATCATCTCATGACAGCTGTTGTTAACTATTCTGATCATGTAAGTCTGACTAACAGCCACTAGTTAACTGCCAAATACACAGGGCAAATGTTGATAAAAATTGTAAAACCTAACCTAATTGACAAAGGAGATCTCTTTTTCTAAAATCTTATCTAGTGCAGAATACATACATAAGTAGCGGAGGGTGACAGCGAGGGAGCACCACGTGATGCACTATACTGCAATTGTTGAGGCTGTTCTGGGAAGTACGCTGAGTGACAGATACAATGTATGTACAGATTATTAGTTAACTTGCAAGTTACAAACAAACCTTTTATTTGAAACAAGTCTGATAAAAATTATTTCCTCTGTGCAAGGTTATAAATTTCTATCCTATGCTTGTGTTTATCGTTAATTCTTACTCTCCCATCTATTTAGTCGTGCCTTTGCACGGAGAATTGAACCCCACAGGTGGTTAATTTTCCATACCTAATACCACCACGTATCGGGAGAACATTTCTGCACTATCATTAATTATGAGAGGTTATTAAGCAGTAGCTGTATTTCTGCCCTGCCTCTTTTTCTCTTCCACTCTCTTTTTTATTGTTTCCTTTCTTTTCTGTTGTTCCGCTATTTGAGTTTTTTCTTCTCCTTGATCTCACAGTGGTTGGTCTCCATTGGCTGAAGACTGATTACTCTCAAAAAAAACTTCACTTTATTTCAGTCCTTCTAATTCCCTGTAAGTATTTCCGTCTTCATCATTAATTACCGGATGCATGCTGAAAAATACGCGAGGCCACCGCATCTCCCAGCCCTCTTACCTGGTTCCGATCGAGATAATCCGTGCCGAACAAGCGATTCACGCCCAGCCGGCAGTGATTGAACAGCCCAGCACTCCAGGCACCGCGCCTGATATCCACGTCCTCCCACCCACCAGAACACCTCAGATCCACCGCTACACCTTGTCCTGACCTTTGCCTCTCATCCCTCCCCCTCCACCACTTAGTTATCCTAAGCCACCGGGTTTGGTCTCTCCGTGTCTTCCTTTTCCCTTTCCTACAGGAACTGTCCATAGCCTCTTCTTTCTTGGGACATTTCGGGTTCTTCTCTGTTCAAGTCGAGTTTTGAATTTCCTGACCTTCTCTCCTAAACGCCATTGCCGTCTGCTCTTGTGTCGCTTGTCGCCGCCCACCCCGGTTGATCCTACCGCGCATTTTCCGGCTGGATTTGTTTTAACGATACATATATCCTTTTCTTCTAGACATTTTTTCTATTCCTTTTTTTCCTTTCTTTTTCCTCTTGATCCATTCCTTGCTCTTTTTTTTTTTTTTTTTGCTCTCTACTGCGGCTAGTTACTCCTTACTGCGCCGTGGAAGCAACTTCAGATTCTTTCGTTTCCTGAACTCGCCTTTTGCTCCTAAGCGGACCACGCTTGTCTCCCCGTAAGTTATCATCTCAACCCTTTTTCACTGCGTTGTCATCGGGCCAGTGGGACTATATCACACGTCAGTCCGTCTTTCACCCGGGATCTATACATGACTTGAATTGCACCACATCTACCCACTTCCTTCGATCGCGTTCTTTCTAACTATAAACTTATCTTCAGGGCTGGAAACATCGGTGTATCCGCCGTTTTCGTCTCATTATTTACTCCGATTGCTACGCGCTCCTCGTCTTACCTTGTGGTGAGCTCCCTCGCCTCGAGGCGGTGGATGCGCGTTGAAAACATCTGATCTCGACGACGCATTTCATTAAGGGTGGCTGAGCCCCGTTGCTGCCACCATGAATCAAATGAATGTCGCTGGGCTGAATCCCGGGGCGGGGGGCCCTGTCGGAGGCGTCCCAATGGTCAACAATGGTTCTGCAGCTCCCCGCAACGACGGAAATATGAATACTATCCCTGAGACAATGATCAACAATCTTAACACGTATATCTACGATTACTTCCTGAAGCGCGGCTATCACGACTGCGCTAGGGCTCTTGTGAAGGATGAGTCGATCAAACTCAGCACAGAACCGCCAATAAAATCGAGTCCCGGACATCGTCGCGATGCTGACGTGAATGGTGTTGACGGTGATGCCATGATGACTGATGGCAAAGATGGCGAGAAGTTGAAAATACCCGATGATCTTCCGCGCCCCAATCTTCCCAGCGAAGGCCAGCAAACCTCTTTCCTGTTGGATTGGTTCAGTCTTTTCTGGGATTTCTTCTGGGCTCAGCGCAAGAAAGGGAATACCAATGATGTGAGGCAGTATCTCCAACATAATCAGGTTCGTGGCCCTATTCTCATCTGCCTCGGTTATGGGTTATTTGTTGGAGGGGGAAGAAAACACTGCTGACCTCATGTAGAACTTGATGCGCCTCAGAGAGCAGCAACATAACCAGCTATTACGCCAACAACCAATTATGCCCGGACAAATGGGACAACTCAATATGCGGCGGAATGGTGTGGTTGCTCCCAATCTTCAGAAGACTGTACTGCAAAACAACACGACTGGCCTGTGAGTGTCCCCTCTCCATATTTACGAGATCCTCACAGCGAATAAACACGACAAGTCGAGGGGGTATTAACATGATTCACAGCTCGCAGCAGCAACTCGCCCAGCTTCATAAGAGCCAGCAGGTCCAGATGATGCAGCAGATGCAGCGAGAGCATTCGGATATGGACATGAACGGCCATCGTCCGCAGTCGCCGTCCTCAGCAGAGAACGCTCCTTCCCCATCTAAACGCCCTCGCCTTGAAGGCGCGCATATGAATGGTCAACAGTTGGCACCCAATGGACGCGGTCAAGGCCAAGGCATGCCTGCCCAACCGAATCCACAAGCGCTCTTGATGCAGAACGGTCTCACCCCGCGAGCGATGAATCCGGCTCAGTTCCAGGCTTCTTTTCAGCAGTCAGGTCCAACTGCTCAGCAGAAATCTATCCAGGTATATGCTCAGAATTTAGCTCTTCACCACTCACGCTCAGCATTGAATAACCAGGGCATTCCGAATGGTTTGATGAATCCCGGTGTCATGCCAAACCAGGCGGATCTGGTGCCTATGCCAGATGGCCAGGCTATGTATCCGATGAACGGGGACTACTATGGCGCGAATGGTCAAATGGCCCAGGTTCGGGCTGGAATGCAGACACCTGGCGGTCAGCATGGGAACCATGCTCTCCAAGATTATCAAATGCAGCTTATGCTGCTCGAGCAGCAGAATAAGCGTCGTTTGATGATGGCTCGTCAAGAGCAGGATAGCATGGCCCGTCCTGACGGCCAGCCCCCAATGCCTGGGCAACAGCAGGCTTTGCCACCAGGCACCTCTCCCCAAGGCAGCAGGGCGGGCACTTCTCCAAATCCTAACGAACAAATGAAGAGGGGTACGCCGAAGATGCCCCAAACCGGTCTCCCGGGATCTCCGAGTGCTGGCGATGCGATGGCCCAGGGTCGTGGTTCTCCAGCGTCCATGAACTTTAACGGGGGTCAGATGCCACCTGAGATGGCCGGCCCATTCTTCGTGAAGGGTATGCCTGATGGCATGGCAGGTCCCAACGGCATGCGACCCCCGAGCTCCAACCCAGCCTTTACCGGTCCTCAGATGGGTCAACCGATTCCTGCGGGTGTTGGTAACCGGGTACCAACTGGAAGTTGGCAACCACAGCAGGGTGCACAGGGTCAGCCCATGGCACCACAGCAGTCACCAGTGAACCAACCCCAAACAACCGGAACTCCCCAGAACAACCCGATGCCTCCTCCTCAAGCGCCACCAGCGGCTGGTTCCAACACGGGTCGGACGCAGCCACAATCTCCTCAGACGGCCCCCGCTCCGCCTACGCCGCAACAAGCCAACAAACCCGCGCCGAAGAAGAAGGATACCAAAGACACTCGCAAGGTATGTACTCATTATTTTTAGGTTCACTATTGTGGCTTTACTGAACACTGTTCTAGCGACCTTCGAAGAAGGCCACGGCCGCTGCCGCAAATGCGAACACAGCGGCTACTCCATCATCTGAAGCGGAGCATCCACCAACCCCTACACCTTCAACACCAATCACACCTCAGCATCCTAATTCGTTTAACAAAGCCGGGGCAAATGTCACGACAAGTGCTCCTCCGCAGCCAACGTCGGCTCCTGCCCCACAGCCGCTCGTACAGCAGCCACCGGATCAAAGTCAACAATCGTTTGGCGACCTTAGCATCCCAGATGTATGTTCTCACCAGCGTGTGCCGCGTTTGTACCTTTCACTAATGATACCGATAGGCATCCGCTTTCAATCTCGACTTCAGCGCTCTGGAGAACCCCGATATTCTGGAGAACTTTGACTTTGATACGTTTCTTAACACTGATGCGGACACTACTGGGTTTGGGTTCGATCCTAATATATCTTACCCGACAGATGGTGTTGAGACCGGTGCCGGGGATAGCTTGTAAACGAGCCCAGCAGATATTCAATTCCTCCTCATATACCCTTCCTTGTTTCTGTACATTCCTAACTCTCGACTTGTGGTATTCGGTTTTTCTTTTAAATTCCCCTCTTTTCAACTAGTGTTCTGTCTGTGTCTTTTTTTTTTTTTTTGCCCGATAGTTGTCGACATGATTTGGATATGTGCCTGTGAGACTGGCGTTGGTGTATCCGTTCTTGCATATCCTTCATTTCCTGAAACCAACGAGATGCGTTCTGTCTGAGATGGATTTGTTTGTGGCCAGGCTGATGTGCTGTGACTCTATGCCTTTCACTTCTTCCTTCTTCTATTACTATTATACTTGGTTAATTCTGTTTCTATTGCTCCCGTGGGCCACTGAGTGATATTCTTCTAGCGTTAGTCATTTCCCATTTAATACTTGAGATTATCACAAAAGATGAGTCCTGGTTTTCCTTCTTTCCCGCTGCGTCTCCTTTGTCTTGTTATTATGGCGTTGTTCACGAGGACCTGGCTGTTATTGACTTCTCTCCGGAAATGGCCTATGAAATGAGAAGATACTTAGCCCATGTCTCTTCTTATCTTTCCTTTCACATGACCTTTCGCATTGCCGTCGGTTAGCTTATCAATTCCAGCTGAAGAAGAGAATACAGAAGCTGCTCTGCGTTCCTAGGGAGATGAAAAGTTTAGGGTTGATTGTTCTGAGTCAGCTCAGGTCTATCAATCGCAATCTACATCATTATCTCTGTTATTCCGCTCTTCCAAAGATGGAGAATAGAAATTCCTAGTTATGTGTACACTTCAAATATATGCATTGTCTAACGCTTCTTTCCATGCCTGCTGTATGAATATAGAAAGAATAGAAAGAACATTTCTTTCTCCCTTGGTATTTTAGATTTGAAAAAAAAAAAAAAAAAAAAAAAACCACATGTACGTTCGTCGTTGAAACTTTTCATGGTTGTGGATAGATTGCTAATAGAAAGTGGCGAAGGTGGAAAAGATGAAGAGAAGAGGAAGAAAGCCCACACATATCTACTTAGTATGTGATAATGCCAATCGACCTAGCCAACATGCGTGGAGTCAGAGCTTCTGCCTGAAGCAATGGCTTCCCATTGATCACATTTCATGGGCTTTTGCTGCGGCCACTTCTAGGGCCATGTCCTCTTCGACCATTTGGACTAGATATTGCGGTACTCTCTGCACAAATCTCTTCGAAATTATTCTTAGTGCCCATCATGCTGTCGATCTTTCCCACATCACTGGCGCGGACTAGGAACGGATCATCCTTAAAGAATGCCCAGCAGCGTAGTTTCCCTATGATTCAATTAGTCAGCCATCAAAGCGCTCGATTCTAAGCTCGGAGTATTCTAGGGAAAGAAGACGGCATATCCCTGCATCGCAGAACCCTTCTGAACCCTTCGATGTTAGGAGGGTGTGAGGAAAGCTTTATTAGAGATCCCAACAAGAAATTGGGGGGTACAAAGACCTTATTTGTCAGCCATTCAGTGTGAGTTCTCAAACACCAGCTGCCGTATATCTCCTGAGTTACTGCCCATCTCTCTGTTTCCTCCTTAAAGGGTACATTAATTGGCGACACTGCGGTTTGAGATTGGAACTAGATTTGCATTTCCCGGCAAGTTCTTGCGCACCATGAAGTTTGAACCGCTTATGCTTTCCCGGCGATTCCCTGTGGACACTTTGCTTTGCCATCTTGAATCGGCCTTTTGGGAGCAGCAATACGACAAACCGGCCGCTTGTCTCTATAGAGGGGCTCTCGGGAACATGCCCCAGCACGGCCTTGTTAGATTTTTTCAATGCGAGCGGCCCCCGAGAGCTGCAAGGAGAGTCGTTTTCCGATGTCAACAATCCGACAAACCGTGTAGAGCCTCATATGTGGCAGGATTCTGTGATTCGGATTTCTCAGGGTAGTATTTGAGAGACCCAAAGTACGTCATGTTACCTCGATTCATTACGATAGTTCTTCACGCGAAGACATTTAGTATATCGGCCCCTGCAGTCCATTGTAGAGGCAGTAGTCTACATATCGCCTATTAGACAACATAGTGGCCATGGGGCTGGCAACTTGCCCTTTAAAAGCTCCGCCCAGCCCCAGTGGGGAATAGGAGACCTATCTTCTGGCTTATAAGGAACAATCCAGTCCAGATATTCTCTCGTAGTCTAAAGCTTCCTGATATACGCCCACTTTGGCCTCCACTGGGTCTTATCAGTGCGCGACCTAAGTATTGTATGGCCATATAGGGTGAGTTTGACTCCCCAGCGATCTTTTCGACTTTTACTGTACTGGAATCGCGGAAGCAGAAGAGTCTGTAATGCAAGGACCTCAAAGGAGAAGAGCACTTCATTTTCAATAAGTCAGGGTCCAGCGAAGCCAGCCTCAAGGCATGGTGCTGGGCACCTGTATTGGTGTTGTGTATCGGATCTTTCTCGGCTTGCATCGAGTCTCCCTGATCAGGATACTGCAGCACCGACGTAGATGATCTCACAGGGGAGGGGGGACTAGCAGCTTGCAGGTTCCTGGGAGTGGGCAGTCGACGCCAAGCTCTAGTAGGGCGAGGATTCATACGCAAAATGGGAAATCCCAAGGGAAGACATAGGACTGTAGGAAAGCAGAAATGTGCAGGAGCCACGCTGTGCGAGGCACTCAAGGGCTACTTATCTTCCTGGGACCGATATTCCATTGAGTTCTCCATACCTGGCGAAGTGGAAGGTGGGAATTTGAAATAGAAAGAAAGACTAAGCGTCAGATCCTAGGTTGGAAGGCACCTTCTCGATTGGGCAAGTACAACACTGACTCGATTCACTACGCAGAAATTAGGAGTGTGCATATGTTCGGCTTCAAGAAGGATGAATAATAGTACATACATTCATTTGCTAAGGGCGATATGAAGCTTGGAAGGAATGGCAGCGAAGGAAGTGAAAGACAGTGCAGCAAACATGAAATTGATGGTCAATGCACTCAAAAACAGGGGAAACCTAGGGAAGAGAACATGCTGGTACATCCGCCGGTGTAGAGTGCCCCTTGTAAGAATACCTTCAATCAATTGCTGCAACTTCAACGGTGCTACTGCTCATGAGCTGAATACTCGAATCGAGGAGCTCGTCTAGGTCGACTCGGCGGACGAGATCATCTGTTCCGGGCAAGTCTTGCGCAGGCGAAACAAGTGCAGGCTCTCCCCTAGACAGGGTGTTACTCTCACCACGCACGGATCCAGTGGATGGTTTCCTTCGGGATTCAAGCGAGCTCTCAGTATTTCCACTGGCACGCACTGGCATCTTGGTCGGCGTGTGGTTAACCCTATCTCTCTCCCGATGTGGCGTTGCCGCCGTATCTTCATTTTCCTTGTTGTCCTGAGACATTCTCTCTTTCCGACTCTTGACATTCACACTCGGACTAGGATGAAGCTTGCTCTGTTCTGCGGTATCTACCGAAGGATCGGGAGGTATGCTAGGTTTCTCGCTGGATTCGGATACGTCTCTAGCTACGAGTTGCGAGATTTCCTCCACGGCCAAGGATCCACTTTTATCTTTGGCAAATGATTCTGCAGGCGCTCCGGCCACAGTTGGGGGGTTGCTTCCCACGCCCGACGGAGTGTTGGTGGGTGCTTGGGTGCCACATGCCAGTGGTCTGGGGGGGCTCACCGCTTCAACAAGCTTGCTGTATGCCTCCTCATCCAAAGGGGTTGTGATACTAGGATGCTTGCTATGCTCGTAACTAATACCAGTCATGCTTGAAATAGCCCGACTACTAGCTGTGCTAGAAGTATAGTCCGGCATGGACACGTCCTCGCAAGATGGCCTGGCACCGCGATGGCGCGCAGATGGATCAAGCACATACGGATCAATGAATGTGTCCTGCGCGAATAGTTCCTGAGGAGCCCATCTTGATTCTCTGGGGTTGCTTGACCACTGGGCTGCAGACCCTAGGTAGTTTCTATACTGCCAAGTGCTGTTTGCTACTGGAGTGGCCACCTCGCTGCTCGCAAGTATAGCCTGCCGTGTATGATGTCTGGTTGGCGAGTGGGTGTGAGTGTTGTCTTCGGCATCCTTCAACTCGTTGGGATCTCTTCCAGAGCTACACTTGAAAAGGCGTGGCTCTCGAGTCCACATGGCAGCGTTTGGCCAGGCAATGCCGGAATGTTCTAGGACATCTGTACTCGGTTAACGAGACCACCTGACCCTTAACGAACGGACAGGACAGCGTACGGAGAGGGGCATGCTGAAAAGCAAACGCAACCACTTCTTTAACTCTTTCAAACGGTGGAGTTCGGTGCGGCCGAGCGAATCCCTCCGAGATCACCACGCGTATTCTTCCGTGCAGCTCCCCTGCGTCCCAATATCTTTGCTCCAGGATCTCCTGATGGAAAGGGGGGAATCGAAGGGTGTCCTGGTTGCCACTCTTATCAATGTCTAGAAGGCTGCGTGTTAATAACAAGCACAATATTCCAAGGATGGAACAACATACAGGAACTTAATTCTATGAGTGAATTCCCCAGGTTAACAATAGAACCCACGTGAGGTTGATAATTGGCAGCGTACCTATAACATGGGGCCAGTGGGATCTCTGACCGAATACGCTTCCCCTATGGGATATCAAAATACTCAGCCGAGATTCGGTCGGATCAAGTGATTCAACAACTCACGCGACGCATAGGCCATCGATGAAGATGCGAATCTCAAAGAGTAAAGCATCATCAGGCTGCAACAGACTGCTCATCAATCTGCTCGGACGGGGCTTTTCCCAACTATGGATGGACACCCGAAAGGAGTAATTAGGAGGGATACTGGGGATGAATGTGGTGAGGACTGGCAACAAGCCCAAGTTCCCCTGCGGCAAGTAATACGAGGCCGGACTGACGAGTGTAGGACTGTGCAGGTAAGGAGATTCTACCCCCGGTGGATATCAGCGCACACTGCTTAGACCAGGCCAAGGGCTTCTTCCAACCTGTGTCCTTCGTCACGAAACATTGAGTCTTGAACTCCTGTAAAGGCACCTTGGAGCTCTCCGGGAAAAGAAGCACGTCCCAGTTCTCGTAGCGCATAGTGCTCGACCTTCTACAATTTCCGCTCCAGGATAATATGTGAAATGAAGAATTTGGGGGCGGGGAAGGAGGCGGGGAAGGGGGGGGCCAGGAACGAATAGAGAATACCAGGAGTAATGAGAAACACGTACACCCACAAGGACGGGAGCAGGCGAGGAAGAGATAAGTTCCATTTAGAGGGGTGGAAGCTGTTTGTTTGATATACACGGGGTGCTCCTTCCGCATCAGGTTGAGCGTTCCCAATTAAGTAGGTAGTCGATCGGGCAGCTGCCTCAAGACCAGCAGCAACATCGCCCATGCTCCAGCCTTTGCAAAGCCTTGAGATCATGCGCAAGGTAGGCAGGTACGTATCAGATCAGGCGAGACCTAACCCCAGTCGAGTGACATCTACTTCGGACGAGTAACGAGCAGGCCGGCAACTGATCAGAACAATGCTCAGAATTCCACTATCTGCAGAGGTAGGAGAGAAGAGACCAGAATTACACACACAGGCAGAAAGGAAACACATAGGAAAGAGCTCATTGCACAACGAAGGGGGGAATCATCCGTGAAAGAGACAAAGTGAAACCCATCATGCCGAGAGGCGCCTGGGGAAATAAATCAGACAAATTTACGAACGATACGGAACGCCCAGAATTGGATCACAAGCTCACAGAGACAGCCGCCGATTTCCGAGAAATACACGCAGAAAGTAAGCAGCAGCTTTCACCCGAAAACTCCATCAGGGGCGCTAAGGTACCCTGCAACATTTCCAACAGCCCAGGAGCTACAGCGAGGACTAAACAGCAATGAAAGATGATCCAGTCCCACATTGTGACACGGCCACTAACCCATCAAGCGAAGCAGAAGCAGCATGAATAGGCGAGAAATACACCAGAAGGCGGGCCGTGAATTGGTCGGCCAGGCCCCGATACATAACCATAAGACAACGGTATGGAACGAGCGAGAAAGCACTATGCTCCACAACGAACTGGATTTGAGAAATGCAAGGCGAAGGAAAGCAGTGTTGTACAGGCCGCCCGTCTAGCAAAAAGATGTTATAACATCCTCAATGCGGAACACAAGTCAATTTGATTGCTTCATGAAAAACTTGAGAAGATGAACTTTTCGCAGAATGCCTGCCCAAGGTGTATAGGATAAAAAAGCACATCAACAAATATGATTGGGTGTGTCATACGCATAAGAAGACCCTTAGTAAAGCCAGAAACGCAAATGGGAAAGATGGGAGAGAAGCAAACGGAAATAGGGCATTGAGAACAGGATACGGAAGATATAAGGGTGGGAAATATGGCGGAACAAAGGGATGTGAATTAAAAAAGGAAACAAAGAAAAGGCTGGAGAACTTGAAACCAGAGCTCAGATCTTGCTAAAACGGAAGCGCTCACATATAATGAAGTACATGGCACAGGAGAGAATGCTCATCAAGAGCTATAGAGGGAACTTTCGCAGAGATGAATAGCAAACTTATGAGACAAAAGACCCATCATTGAAATGACGCAAAACTCCTGCTGTGGCTTTCAAAAAAAGAACGCTTTTTTTACTAGAGATTTTCGTTAACAAGACTCGAGATTCCCACTGAGCGCGATAGTAAGGATATCAAGCAGTGTCTTCAGGGTGACCACCAACCTTCATAGGTGCAAAACCGCCGTACTGGTGGGCAGGGGGCATGCCCATAGAAGGGTACATCGGAGGCGGGGGAGGAGCGGGACGATAAGGGCTACCAGCAGGGCCTGAGTTGTTCTGAGAACGGCCCCAGCTCAGGCGCACACGGGAGTTACCAATGGGATAACCCTGCATCTGGTTGATTGCCATTTCGGCAGCGTGACGCTGGACAAACTGAACAAAACCACAGCCCTTACCAGGGGGGATCTTGACATAGGTGATCTCGCCGAATCCCTGGAAAAACGAGCGCAACTCATCCTCAGTGACGTATCCAGACAGCCCACCAACGAAGACAGTGGTATTGTTGGGGTCAGTGAACTGGTTCATAGGTTGAGGGGCACCGTAGAAGCCCATGGGAGGAGCACCCATGGGGGGATACATGCCCGCGGGGCCGGGCATACCCATCCCACCTGGGACAACGCCTGGGCCCTTGTTCTTGGGGGTAGCAGTAGAGATGCGCATGGGACGGTTGCCGCAGTAGACACCCTGCATCTCGCTCAGAGCACGCTGCTGGTCATTCTCATCGGAGAAGCGAACGAAGCCGTAACCACGGGACATGCCACTAATGGGGTCGGTCATGATTTTGGCAGACTTGCAAGATGGGAAACGGCTCTGGAAGAGGGAAACGAGAACGTATTCGTTGACTTCGGGGCCGAGGTCACCAACGAAGATAGAGTACTCAGGGCCACGATCATCACGGCTACAGAAATCAAACGTTAGGTTCTATTATTTTAGGACAATGGCGTTGATTATATCAGCCTTACCTCCGATCAGCAAGGCCACCACCAGTAGCCCAGTTCAACTTAAAGAGACGGTTCGTATTGGGCATAGGAGTGCCATTGAGGGTCAAGGCCTTGGCAGCGGCAGCGGGAGAAGCGAAATCGACGAAACAGTAGCCGGCATTGCTCCTACTACCATCATTAGGATCGCCTTCCAAAGGCGTTTGGATTCCTAAGTACTCACCCAGAGAACTTATCGCGAATCATCTTCACGTTGACCTGCTCACCCATCTGGAACCACAGATTGCGGACAAAGTTCTCATCAATCCAGGGCTCAAGTTCACCCATCCTATACTTCAGGTCAGAGAAAGTGAATCAAGGCAAGAATAGCTTGGTGCCATGGGACATTCGTACCAGAGTGTAGTCTTCCCATCGGCACCCTGTTGAGGGACGGGAGCAGCTGATGGCTCGCCGGGGGTGGGACCCTGGAAAGGGGCAGTAGTAGGGTCCGCCTGGCCGGTCATGGCTGTGTCTGCAGGGGCAGGAGCGCCGGGGGCAGCCGCGGCCGCATCGGCTGCTGGGTGCTGGTTTTGGAAAGAATCGAAGTTCTGGAAAGACATATTGACGTGAAATCCGGTGTTCGTAATGATAACTACGATAACAGTATCTGCAGAAATTCTGTATTAGCCCCCAAGGACATTGCAGGCATCGCAGAGATTGCAGAGATTGCAATCACGCTACCATCACTAGGCCAATATGAACATACCTTCAATTTGCAGGTATATGAGCAGAAACCCAAACGAGTAAAAACTTTTCTATTTCAGAAACGGTGCGTGCGACTGAAAATTCGTTGCAGTCGTCAAGGAAAGAACAGCGTATGATCGTTCAGCTCTTGAAAATGATTGAAATGATAGTTCACTTCCTGGGATAATTGCAATGAAAGGTTAGCTTAAAGCAAAATTTTTCCAGTCAAAAAAAAAAAAAGAAAAAAATCCAAAGCGCTATTAAGCAGAAAAATGAGAAAGCATCGAATGGCGTGAATCACTACTGAGACAAATCTGGATCCACAGCATATAATCTTCGGGAGAAACCAGGTTGACCTGGGCCGGTAACAATGATAAAATAATGGGTTGGTGAAATAGAAGCGGATGTGATGGAATCAGCCTTGTTTGCGCAGTGCCGCTCTGGCTCTGCCAAGACCAGAATCGACTAATATCGCTTCAGGACGCGACGGAATAGTCGGAAACGAGGATATCGGGGCGAGGCCAATGACAGGCAGGCATTTGAAGGTCGGCAGCATGGCGGATACAAAAAAAAAGGGAAAGGACCTTGAGACCGCGTTCGTCGAGAACACCCCTCGGACCCATTTTCACCCGTTGCGACCGTTCCAATCGGTATATCCGGTCTCCTCGACCCGGGATACAATCCCATGTAAAAGCAAAGTCGCACGGTCAAGAACATCAATTGATGACAAGAGGACAGATAAAGGAAGTGTTGCTGTGTAGCGACCGTGCAGATCCCGTCGGCTATCACAGCGAGAGTTGTAATCGGCGGGCGCATCAGGGCCACTAGAGCTAGGCTATCGTTCCGAGACGGCATCTCAAGAGAGGATATTCGAATAGATTTCCAACGGCAGATGAGGCAAAGCGCGCCATCTCAGGGTCGAAGGAGAGCACCACGATCCTCGAAGCGCAGGAACAGGGGCGAAGGGATGATGATGCGGACCAGAGTTGACGTACAACCCACCACTTGCCAACGACGACGAGAATAAAATAAAAATGATAATAATAACAATAAATAATAATAATAATAATAATAATAACTTACCAGGCAATATCAAAGAACAGTAACCTTGAAATGGTTTTCACGGTAGAGAAAACGAAACGATGAGGTACGTTCGGCGTGGCGAAAAAAAAAAATAGTACGCGTTAGGACGTTATATGGAGAAATCGAGACAACTCCGGCAAGAATAAAAAGTCAAGGAAACAAGAAAGATAGAGAAAAGACAAGCAGTACAGACTATCCGCAAACTGACTCCGTCTTTTCCAACAAGAACAAGGAACTGGCGGAAGGAGAGGGAATATGAGATGAAGGGAAAAGAAAAAAAAGAAAGAAAAAAAGAGAAGAGGGGCAGAAGAATTAACTATTCTTCAGTATGGAGGGGGAGGAGGAAAGGGAGGGAAGAAAAAGAGAAAGAGGAAGAATTGGAGGCGAGAATAATGGATTGCTAGTACTAGGGCAGACCCAGGACGGCAGAAGCAGCAAAATCGTTTAGTCGAACAAACGAAATGAATTCAAATAAATTCAAACAAGTATTAAAATACCGTTTTTTTTTTTTTTTTTTTTTTTTTTTTTTAAAAAAAAAAAAAATAAAAAAGTTCAACCCGACAGTACTCTAGGTATGGACTGCGAGGAGGGGCGAAGCACTGCCTGCTGGTGGGACGAAAGTTTGCCGGCTACTCAGGAAGGCGTTTTTTTTTTTTTTTTTTTTTCTCTCTTCGGACAAGAACTATAACTCTGTAGATCTGGATTTCGGGTGGGATGGCCTTACCGGGAATTCTACCAGAAATGTATCCAGGATGTATCCATTGTATCAATGTATAGGTATGGATGGACATGGATAGGGCGGAACATACCCTCGCACCAGCGTGGATATTGGAATTTTGTCACTTGCAATGAATGATAGATACAAGGTTTGCTGGTATATGTATCATATATCATATTTCCAGACTCCAAACGTGTGGAAGACAAGAGGAACCGGCATCAATTGCATGAGGTTAAATTACATACTGTAGATCAGCAATGATGACATTGTCTGTATTCATCTGTATCGATACATCGTCGAGACCAGATGACTGCAGCGACCTGCGGGTTTGCAAACTGACAGGATTCTTAATTCTCTCGGCCTGCATTGCCTATCCATAAAAATCCCGAGTCCTGAGAAGCTCATAATATTGACTGATATCCACTCATTCACCAAGGCAATATGCAATCCACAACTGTCACATCGGAAGTAGTCTATGTCGGCAGCAATATGCTCTCATACCTTCAAATGAAAAGGGAAAAAATGAAAATCACTTATACATATGTACGGAGTAGGGAGCAGAGACATGGATAGATAGTTGCGAGCTAGCTGTTGTGTATCCAGTCCTGTTGCAAATGGGTCCAGGCAAGGGCATGAAAACCAACCAACTACTGTTCCTGATGATATGCATGTACTGCGTACAGAGTACATATCTACCTACATACTACCTTGGGTGGAAGCAATCAACGACAGTAGATTATTATACTTTTAATCAAGAATATCACTGAACCTGTAGGAGCCTGCAAGGATTAAAGTGATGTGCACATGCAGTGAGGCCAATTTAAATTGTGACTCGTGTATTTCACCCCGGCTTGATATCTCTCTTTCAAAATTCTTTTCATTTTTTAGAAAATAATTTTTCCATATATCCAGAGTGACTCGTCGAGTCCCATTCGCATCCATGGGCCTTATCGTCCAACAGTCCCCGTATCATTCAATGCGCGGAGGTAATTCGTAGATCCATTTCCGTTTGCATCAATCAACTTCTTGGATCCACCGTGCACAATACTTGTCAGTGCTTGGTAATAAGGCAGCACAAGACAGCAGCTGCGAAGAGAATAACAGCTGTCTCCACCGACCAAGCCCCAGAACCATGGGATCGTGGATCTGAGACAGTAAAGAATACCACCTGTCTTCGAGAATCAGCAAGGGTTCTGTTTCAAAGATTGTTACCAGAGCCCCTTCCATATACCCTAGGTACGGAGTACGGAGTGCCTAGGTACGAGCTGTTGTAATGACGGTTAATAATAGCAAACAACTGTGGCCAAAGCTACTACCTAGGGATTTAGTACGATCGATACCTTAAAAGGTATAAGGAAAGCACTTTGTACATGCCCAAAAATAAATGTCATAGAGTCCAAGTGTGTTTCAGCTGTGCCTAACAGAACACTCCCAGCTGAAAAGAAGAACCAAAAAAAAAAAAAAAAAAAAAAAAAAAAAAAAAAAACCGAAAAAAAAAAAAAAAAAAAAAAAAAAAAAAAAAAAAAAAAAAGACCAGGGAAAGAAAGGAGGAAAGAAAGAGAAGCTAGAGGCCACTCCACCAAAACCAGAACCATGGAATCAACAGACTTGGTTTTCTCATTGGCTACAGTGCTTCAACTGGCATGGCTAGTAATTTCGATTGTCGAACTAGGGCAGTAAGGCACTGAAGGAAGGACAAGAGCATTTGTGTGTCTTCTTTATTATCGAACTTGTCAGCTAACAGAATTGGCTTGTCATTGATTCCCACGAGTGAATTTTGCTTTCACCTCGTGGGGTTCTTTTCCTTTTCCTTTTCCTTTTTTCCCCCCTTTCTTGCTTTATGATATGCAAAGCCCAAGTGTATGTCAGGTAGAACTGCTGGGCACATATTCTGTAAGTATACTAGCTACCTTAGGCAGGTGTTCTTAATAATCATCAACATACAGGTACGCGACACGATCACCCACCTTGGTAGACGTAGAATGGAATCAGGTACTAGGATACTTCGTACAGAAATCCAGGTGTATCTAATTCTACCTGTAAATACAAGTCTCGCGAATGTTTGCTGCGATGCTTCGATTCAACGGTCAACAACATAGAGCCCATTTCACCCCCGAGTAAGGGACCGACCCATGGTGATTTGCTTGATTATCCTGGACAACGGAGCGATTCATCCACGTCTATTATGACGGCTCCCTTCTTTATTAAAGTGGGAGCCCTGGCTTCCCAACCCTTGACCCTTGCATCATATCCATCGTTGAAAGGGATCTTGAGAGTGCATATGTGCGTCATGTTCAGACTGCTAGAACTCGTCCCTTGCAGAGGCTCATTCAATCCCCAGCATAATGCAGAGTTATAGGCGAATTCGTCGGAGAAATAATGCACTAACCTAACCACCTTACACTAATTATTGTTATTTGCAATTCTCTTTATTTTCATGGTTATTTATTTGTTCATTGTTCTATGGATTAATTACCTCATACAGGAAATGCGCGGGTACGTTTCCTTGACAGATGAACCATGGTCCAGTCCAATCCTACGCAACATACCCAGCAGCCAGAGTTGGTTGCTGAGGTTGGACAGGATTCTGAGAGCCTTGGAATGCTCAACCGTTCTGGAGAGAGATATCCATTCCAGTTAACCATTACGGAGTACGTAGAATCCATGACAAACCAAAGTCAGCCCACTCCATGCCCTATTATTTTCATTGCCATGTGGTTGAGTGCACGATACTACACCAGTCTTCCTTGGTACGATCCACTATCTCTAAAATTATTTTTCTGTGAGCACTAAAACCAGCACTGGTACCCCCACTTGACTGAGGCAGGAGTCTTTATTTCTTACAGTAATTGTCTGGTCTGGTTCGTGTTAAGCAAATGGCGGTACGCGCTCTGCTACGCGCTTGAATCAGGCTACCAGTTGGGTTTTAAAAATTGTGGATCTGACACAAAGGGAACCAAACAAAGAATGAAAAATTAAAGAAACAAAGTATATGCATACATAGAGTAATAACCTGCAGTCACTGCCAAACTGCTACACTCAGCCCGCAGAGGGGCAGGGTAGCCTCGATTAAAGCAGGCCTCTTGCGGGGAATGTATTGGATTCTTGTATATGGACAAAGCTCGGAGGTATATAGCCAATAATACAGCAGCATATTCATTTACAACTACGTTCACGCTTAACACGTATCGCCAGCGGCCATGTTATCATCCCAGATGTCACCGGCTTTCCCCAAGTCATCCCCTAACAACTGTATTGTCTTCTCGTAGACCCGAGCAGTTTCCATCTCCCACCTTCCAGGGGCATCGGGAGAGTAGTCGCCGGTTCCGTAAACATCTTCTATGTCATCGTCGTCGTCGTCGTCGCCGCCGCTGTCCTCATCTTCCTCCTGACCGGCGGGTTCGTCAACTTGCTCCCTGGCCTCCACAACGGCTACACGGCACGTCTCAGCGATGCTCTTGATTCTGACCTTCTCCGTCATCGAGACAATATTGGACCTGCTCTCAAACCCAGATAGAGGGGCGCCCGAATCCGCGTCCTCTCCGGTCAACAGAGAGGCAAACACGGAGTCCAACCTTTTGAGTAGACGGAAAGTTGCCTTTGGAGAAAAAGGGTACTCGGGAAGATATGAGTTTATTAGCACCGCCAAAGAAATCAGATACGGTATTTGGAGCGACGCTATACAGAAAGTCAGGAAAGGTTCCGAACAGCGAATATATCAAAAGAGCGAGCATCTCATAAGATTGGGAGGGAAATAACTGTTGAACATACGCGTTCCACTGACCCAAAGAACATCGACCAACCCCTCGATGTCTTTGGCAACTTCCTGGAAGCTCTCATACCCTCGTCCAGAATCGGGCTGGCTTTGATCGTCATAAGCGCTGCTGAATTTCTTAGCATGTCGCCGGTTGATGGTGAGGATGGTCTTGTCGACGTGATTGATCACAGTGGTCTCCTTCATGGAACCCGCTCGAAGCGGATGAGATCTTTGCTCGGGAAGGATAGAGGGAATGGCCGTGGATTGCGAAGGAGCCGGAGATGGAAGAGACGGCTGTATAAAGCCCCCTCCTCTGGGGATATCAGATGTGGTTGAAGCCATTTATCTATTATAAGAACAGGTAGCTGGGAGAAGCGACCCCCGGTGGGGTGATATCGGCAATATTAATGCTCGCGGCCAATAGACTGAAGTTTAGTAATGTCCGCTGCCAAACCAATATGATAAACTCAAGTAGAAAGTTCAAGGTCATTATGAATCGATGCAACTGCTCGGCTGCTTGAGGATGGCGAAATGCGTAAATGAAGATGTCATGCCAAGCCTATGGTGGTCCGTGCATGGCCAGGCATACTGAGTACAGCAGAGTAGACAAGAAATAAATAAATAGTCCTAGGCATGGGGTTGGGAGGCTCTAGACATCTTCTGCTGACTCCAGAGAGGAAAATGTCTAGTAGTAAATACAATGGGAATACATCTGGTTTCGCCACACCACAAGACTCCATGCGACACTCACTATATACCACCACACCCAACTCAAACGCCTATAAGTCTAAACAAAGAGAGCGGTACCTACAGAGTTACCAATCATCATTAGTAACAGAACTCACAGCTTTAAGAAACATATTAATGTCAGCGAATGGATTGTCTCAGAATAGTGAGAAGATATTTTTAGTATGCTGGTTTTTGAAGGCATGGCAGACATCGGATTGAGTCTTGCTACTCTGGCCCCAGCGGCATCATCATGACAATCAAATGGAAAAGGCAACAGGTACAGAAGAAAACCTGACAATACTCACATGTCCCGTTGAGTTGAGTAAATTTTGCAAAACTTTTGGTAGAAACCCTCAAACGCCAGGCTAAATGAATTAACAGGAAGACAGATACATCATTCCGGCTAGTTCAACCAATCAGTCGGCCATTGTTCACACCTAAGAGACCTGAAACTCACCCTAATCTTCCCTTTGCGCATCTTCAGCTCTTCCAGTTTCTTTTTATCTTCGTCAAACTTCCTGAGCAGCTGGTTCTGCCTCTCCTTCCTCTTCTCCCGCGACTGGAACCGATAGAAGTCGTCCAGTCCCTGCGACTTCTTTTTCTGCTTCTCGATGAGCGCCTTCGCTTCATCCTCATGTGCCGTTGACGTGAGTTTTGGCCCACTAGTAACGGTGATAAAGCCATCTTCATCTGGCTCCTGCGCCTTGCGTGCCTCCTCACGCTTTCTCGCCTCCGCCACTTGCTCAAAGACTGTCATAAACTTGTTAACCGTGCGCAGCAACTCCACCCGAGGCGGGAACCGCGCCTGGTCATGTTGCAGATACCGCTGCAATCCCAACTTCGGCAGACGATCTTCGACCCCCTCGCCCCAGACAATCCGGCCTCCATCTTTTCTTTTGGCTACCTTCTTGGCCGCCTTCAAACTCGCCTCCATGCTCGGTTTATCGACGAAAACGACAATGGCGTGGGCCCCGCTCTTTTGGAGCTGTTGGTTCCACGTTGAGGGTAACTCAATGTCATCGAGCTGGCTCTGTAGGTCATCCACCGTGACGCGCTTACGCTTCCTGTTCTTCGATATGTTCCCATGCGTGGCTGCCTGCATACCACCAGTCTTGTTCGTGAGAACCGACTCGAATTGCACTCTTTCTACTCGGCCAGCGGAAAGCTGGGTGCCGAATAAGTGGCGCAGGTGAAGCTCCGTTGTATCGATCGGTGCATTGACCACGAAGAGAGAGCGAGGGGTATCAATATCCGGGATGCGAGGTTCATGGGGTCGAAGGTAGAGGTAATGAGTTGCGGGTTCTGCGAAGCCGGGTATTTCGGGGAGCAGTATCGGGAGGACTGTGTAGCCTGCTATTTCTTGAGGGTCTTTTTTCATTTTGATGGAGTTGCCTGCCATTACAAAATAAGTCCTAAGAAATAATAGAACAAAAAAGAATAAATAAGAGGTCCGTGTTGCGCAAAAAAGAAACCATACTACTAGAGAGATTTGCTCTCGCGAGAAATTTTACATGAACTTCGGAAGGCGGAAAGATCCGCCGTTAAGATATATTTTGCGGCACCACTTAAACATACATCACCACGCCTTAAGAGAAAAGTATGTAAGACAACAGCAGACCGGAAGTAGTATTTTAGCCTTCTTCACAAATAACCCATCTACCCACTTTAGGTTTTTTTTTTTTTTTTTTTTTTTTGGTATCCTCTCTAAGAATTGCCCTCATCCTGTTTTCATGATTCTATTATCACACCGTGATCCTGTCAATTTAGACTTTATCTGGATCATTGATTCCGCCATTGGTAATTACATATGTAGCCTCTCGTTCAGGACAATCTACAGCTGGTCAGTCCATTAATTATATGTACTTCTAGAAAATACAAACCGGGAGAATCCTGAATTTTGGCCACTCGTTCTTCCCCGCGGCCCTTTCGAAGAAGCACTCGAGTTGTAGATGCATGCGCAAGAACATGTCCCCCTACGGGTTTGCGGCCGTCGGTCCCGGCAAAAAGAGCACTAGCACCAGGGTCACTTTGAACCTGATTTGTCTGCCAAGAGGTTAAGGCGCATGGCCATTTCAAGATACAGTGACGGTGGATGCTGACCATCAAAACGCAGACGTTAAACTCTATGTCGGAGTTCCTGATTAGCCATGTAGACCACGCAGAATTCATAGAATAACGGAGGCATACCTTCAGCCATATGAGCAAGCTTCATAAGAAACTGATTCAGCTTTTGCTGACGGTCCGCGAGTTCTCCACGTCCGCAGTAATCCACTCGGAAGCAGTTCATGATACTGTCGATGATTAGCAGTCTGTAATCCCCGGCAGCAAACTCTTTGCTAAGAGTGTTGAGAAGCTCCAACTGATGTTCGCTGTTCAGAGCTCTCGCATAAGCAATGTTTTCCTGGGTAGAGTCGGGATCGACGCCAAAGCGCTCCGCAATCTGGGCAATACGCTCTGGCCTGAATGTTCCCTCGGTGTCAATGTAGGCAACTTTGCCATCTGCGCCACCCATCTCTTTGGGTAACTGTGCGATAACAGATATAGTGTGAGATAATTGGGTCTTTCCGCAGCGGAATTCCCCGAACACTTCACTGATACTCATGCTTTGGAAACCCCTAGAACTACGGGTCAGGAGAACACTCAGCAAGAAAGACTCCAAGTTCCTTACCCTCCCAAGATAGAGTCGAATTGCTTGCTCCCTGTCGAGATTCGAACCACTCTCTTCCGCTGGTGGCATAGCTCCATGGCTGTAATGAAGCCGGAGGCAGAGGGCTGACCAGATCAGTCAATATAAGCACAAGTAGATCAAGATATCATTGTATACCAAGCATTTGTTGACAGCTTCCTTTATCTTTTCCACCTTGACCTCGCTAAACCCCTTTATCTTCAGAAGGGTCTTCCGGGTGGCCCCATGCACGGACTAAAGTGTGGAAATAAATCAGTATAGAGAATGGAAGCAGATAGGTGAGTTGTTATACTGTGACGGTGTAAAACCCATTCGCCTTCAATTTGGTGATATCTGCAGCGCCGATTCCTGTTTGCCGGTCAGCTCCTGCCCCTATAATGGCTACTAGAGAACAAATGTACCATGAGCCTGGATGGAGTCCACGTCTACAATGAAGGCCTGTAGAGCAGATATGTGTTAAATCTCACAGTAGAAGAAGAAAGATAATTAAGAGAAGGAAATGGCTGTTACATCGCCGTCGTCGTTGAACTCATCGCTTGTATCAGACCCGGGCATGGTGCGTTTGCCGTATGGAATAACTCAAAAGACGTTATGTTGGCTGAGTGATGCTAATGATGAGTTTCTACGTTCCCACGAGGGAGCAAAGAACAGACAAGGACGGACTTCGAATGAAACGGAAGAGGGGGGGGATGGACTTGTGTCACGGGATATGGCCAGAAGGAAATATCAATGCATATGCAGAAAGCACTTCTTCAAAGTTAGTCAATTAGAAAATTGTTTTTTCTTAGTTAGGTTTATGTTTGAGTATTTTTTTGGTTTCACATTCGACAGATATAAAGAGAATATAGTACGAAAAGATGAGGAGTAGCCACCACGCCAGGCACCTTTCTTCGCTCACTCACGATCCTCAGCACAAACAATCCCATCCGTACTAACTTGAAGCCTTTTCCCATGCGTATCCACGTGCTTGCTTCAGTCCACCTGTCTCTCCTGCGCTCAATTAACCCATCGCATCGCCTCGTCTCCTTCTTTTCTTGTCGCACCTATAATTCAAATGAGAGAGATACCCGAGGAGAACAATAGACGCCAATCATAAGAACCTGAGCCATGTATAGGATCCAAGCCGTAAAGGAACCTTAGACATCGTGAAACTTTTTGTTCATCGTATACATAATAGGAATAGAAAAAGGCCGGTCCCGAAAACCGGAACATGGGCGGTGTAATATATGCAAAGAAACATGGGGAAGAAGAAATCAAGACCGGGGTCGGCAGGCCCTAGTGCAAAAGGAAGACAGAATGATGCATAGAACTAGGTCCCCCTGTAGTTGGACACAGTTAATCAACGGACAAGAAAAAAAAAAAAAGACGATGACCGGGGCCTTTATGCTACAGCAGTGGTAGGGGCGGCAGCAGCAACAGGAGCTGACTCAGAGCTGGCCTCGACGGTGACGGCGGCGGCAGTAGCAGCGGCAGGAGCGGCCGTGGCAGTAGCACTGGACTCGGTGGGCTGCTGAGTCGCGGTCTCATTGTTAGGGCAATCCCGAGAGATATGGCCGGCCTGGGCGCACTTGTAGCAGACCTTGCCAGTAGAGCTCAAGGGACCACCGTTCGGAGCAGTGCAGTCACGAGAGATATGGCCCTGGAAGAAAGAATTGTAAGTCAAGGCCCTATCTACTAGGCAAGAAAAGATCACACTCACAAGCTTGCCACAAGCATAGCACTTCATAGCTTGGGCTTGGCAGTCACGAGCGAAATGGTTGGGACCACCGCACTTGTAGCAGGTTGCAGCACGAGGATAACCTCCGTACCCGCCGCGGAATCCGCCGTTGAAACCCCCACGAGGAGCACCAACGCCACGACCAGCACCGGAAGCAGGAGCAGGGCAATTGCGCTACATGAGAGAGGACAAATTAGGCACGTTCAGTTATGGCGCATGAGGCTAGAGACATACAGCAAGGTGGCCGGGCTGGCTGCAGTTGTAGCAACGGCCGTTAGCACCGTTCAGACGGAGCGTGGGACAATCCGCCTGGACGTGGCCGAGTCCCTGGCAATTGTAGCATTGCTTGGCTAAAAGCACATGTCAACACCCTTGTGGCTTTGCGATATAGGAAGAAAATAACTCTCACTTTCGGTGGTACGGGGACGCGGGCAGCTGCTGGATTCGTGTCCTATCGGTGGATTAGATCTTTGGGCCTAGATAGGTGATACGCAACACATACCAGGCTGCTTGCCTATTAAACCACAAGTACATCAGCCAAAACAATCGCAGTAACGAAAGCATCAAGGAACAGGTTTCACACACAGTTGTAACAGAGACGCTCTGACGAGGAGCAGACCTCTACATCACCCGATTAGCACGAATTCACGCATTTTGCCATGGCGACTAACCAGCATAGTGGCCGATGTTGCCACACTTGTAGCACGCACGTCGAGATAACAACATCCTGTCAGTATATCAAGCTACAAAAAAAGGATTTGCAGTTAGCAATTCAAGTCCATGAATCTAGCCGCTCAAGGAGTCGCATCGCATGAAATAAATTGATTGATGTAGTACTCCAGGTACAGAAGCCCTGGGACAGGCACTGAATAGCTTGATCGAGGTTGCAAAATGACAATTGCTCTTTAGAATCGTCGGCCATCCATTTTCGCTGTCCGCAAAAAAGGAAGGAAGGAAAGGAAAGGTAAAGAAGGAAAGAAAACACAAGAGGGATGTGAAGATGCCATCGAAAAAGTGCAGCACAGTCGAGTCGTTAAGAAAAATGGAGTCGCGCGGTAACCACCAGAGCGGCCATTTAAGGTGAAAGATACAGGAAGATGTGGGAAAGACTCACCCTTCCTTAATCTAACAATAAGCTTCAGTTCTCCTTGTTAACAATGCTGTTGTTTGACGGTCAGCCCGATAGCCTTGGAGGTGCAACACTTTTCAACAGCCGACTCTCGAGACTGGGAAAAGGTGGGCTGACAAAGACAAGCGACTAAGAGAAAAAAAAAAAAAAAGTAATGCATTGAAGGCTCACACAATAGCGTACCTCATAGGAAAAGATAAAAACTTACAGTATAGCAACTCTACTCACAGTAGTCCGATCCCTTCGGTCTTCAGAATCCAACAAATATTAAAACAAAATCTAAAGGTCTACCTATCTCAAGAAATTCCTATAACTAGCCCACAAAGGCGTGTAAACTAAGAAATACTCGAACCAGAACAAGCGACCAAGCTAGTAAGCAGGAAAGGGCGGGAGGGGATCTAGGTAGTAAACCTGCGCTAAGGGACCCCTTTTTTATTTCTTTTTTTTGTAAATATTTGCTTTATTTCCTTGGTTCTTTTTCCTTTAATAATATTTATTTTCCTTAGATTCCCTGATGCCGTTGCCTCTCTTCCAAGTTCAGTACTGAACCTGAGATTGAAGGGTGTAAAAAAAAAAAAAAAAAACCGTTTCTTTTAGCTTCCGAACTTTCCCGTATTGCGTAAGGTTGTACCCCTCCCCAGACGGACTGATTGGCATGGGGCGTTAGGCCTGAGGCATTAAAGATGAGTCAGCATTGTGCATTGTGCATTGTCCACCCTTGCGGGTTGTCACCTGCGATGACTTGCAGATGCATCCTCCGACTAAATAACAGTCGCGTTTTTGCTTTGCTAAATAGGTATCAGTTGTGATTGTTCTGGAAAAAAGATTTTTTTTTTTTGGTTCCATTTTATCCCCCTTTTAGAAGCCTCACTCATGCCCGGCCTATAGTGAGACCGGATTGTCTGGATGCGTAGGTATGGCATAAAAATTACCATGGAGTGGACTCTACCTGCCAACTCTCGGAATATTTTGTAAAAGCTACTAGTTTCCTTTCCTAACAGAAAATTAATGACCCACTTCTACTTAAGTACGATGCTATACAATCGATGCTTCATTCCATTCCTGTATTACTATTTTGATGCACATCACAGCTAAACCAAAATGAACGTCATATCCCCCCTTATTCTTCCTTCTCAATCACTGCCGGGGCCTTAATTTCACGGCCTTGAAGGAATTCGAGTCCTTCACCACCCTAGTAAATCGATCAACGTTAGCATGGGATCGATGGAAGATACAAAACCGTAGCATTCGATGGCAAGCATATGGCTCAACCCCATCCCCCCACCAAAAAAGAAAGAAAACTTACGTAGCTGATCAGCGGGGACACTTCGACGCCGACTTTGTCATCCTCGGTGACCACGATACCGCCAGCTTTTTCAATCCACCGTTGTCCCTGCTTCATTATATCTTGCTTGCTAGTGTCTGGATCGTCTTCCCCAGTACCCTTGGCGTTCTTCAGTGGTGAGAACTCATCCTCACGACGCACCTCAATACAGGCAAATTTGTTCAGAGGGATCAAGGGGAAAACGTCGAAGACAAACTGCTCCAGTTTGACACCGTTGGGTTTCTCGGGCTTGAAAGCTTCTCCGGTTTCAGGCTTGATACAGGGGATCTTCTTCCGGGCAACGTGGTGAGGCAACTTGTGTGCCCAGGTCTCAATGGAATCAAGGAAGCGGAAGGAGTAGTAATGATTGACAATGTTGGCAGCCCGGAACTTCAGGACGTTGGGCTGCTTGGGGTCCTTGGCTTCGGCCGTATCCTTGTCAATTTCGGAATATTCGACCACGTCGGGCTTCCCGTTCTTCTGGAGAATCAAGCCCACCGACTCGGTCGCATTACGCTTGCGGACAACCTTCGTAGCAATATCGACATCCTTCGAGGCAGCAAACCCGATGAAAACGGGGTCCGCAACCTTGACCAGGCAGTTGTCGACACAGTAGGCATGGATGTGTTGAATACCTCGCTTCCGCATGTCTTCCCTCACGCCGAAAGCTAGAAGGGCTTGGTAAATTCCACCGTTGCCATCTGGCGCAACGGCGACCTATAATTTTGGATCGTTAAATTTGAGTTCTCCTGCAGACGGGCCAGACAACGACATACCTTGGACTTGCTCTCCATCATAATCTTACCCTCGTTAGAAATACAGGGAAGGACACCCTGCTCGAATATGACTACATTGCCCTTTTCTAGGCCGAAGTAATTGTGCTTCTGGAAGAACTCCTCCGTTGGCTTGCGAGTTGGTCCACTGGTCATCACATACCAAGGGATCACAGCCCCCTTCCCGGAAACCTTCTCTGCCAATTGCTGGAGCTTAGCAATTCGCTCTGCTTGAATCTGGAAGAGAGACTTTTGGCTAGGAAGCCCGATATCAAAGCAACCCTTAGGGGCAGAGCTTCCCAAACGAGTGCCCTGGCCACCAGCCATGAGGACGACCGCAACCTTGTTGTCCGCAACGACTTGGAGACCTTCATCATACCATTGTTGAATATCACCAGGATTGGAGTCCATAATCGAGGCGGTGGCCATGTCAGGCAAGGGTTCGAGAGAAACGGGCCCATCCTGGGTTTGGGCTGGGTTCAGTGCCTTATCAGCTAGTTCGTTGATTCGGGTGGGGTTGAAGTTGGACAGCTGATGGAAAAGCTGTGCTTTTTCCACGGGCTTCAATTCATCAACGAACGCAAACACATGCCCTTGTCCGGCTTCGGTATAATTCTGCTGTAGCAGCTGGAGCTCTTCGGGGGAGGGTTGGCGAGGGGCATTCTCGGAATAGCCGTGGATCTTGTCCACAATGTTGGTGAAGGTTTCTTTGATCGTTGCAGCCATGATGGCGATTTATTCGTTGGTTTAGGTATTCTAGGAAATGTTATGAGAGAGATTGGGATTTGGAAGGGAGAAGTGAAAAGGGGGGTGAGGAGGAGGGGGCTTAGAGGAAGGAGAAGGGAGGTGTTGGTTGGAGGGGAATTAGAAAAAGTAGGGACGGGGGTTAAGTTGGCCTTTAATTGAGAGCGCCGGATGAAGTTGAAGCTTTCAATTAAGTATGGTGGGTTGGGATTTAAACGTTTCTCCTGACCGTTAGGAGAGCGTTTTTTTGTTTTTTGGATCTATTTTCTGATTTTCGACAGATCTTCTCTAGTGCCCCCATCGCACCTCATATCTGTTACTATTGCTATTAATATTTGGCCACTCTCTACTAGTTAGTCTCTAGGTGTCTATTATTAGTTGCCTGAAATCCATGGACAGCCACAATTAGATTCGGTCAGCCAATCATGGAGAGTGCCATCGAGGAGCGCGTGGGGCCTGTTTCACCGACTTCTAAGAAAACAGATCATACTGTCATTTTTATACCACTTAACCTAGGTGGGTAGGTAATGTATAAATATACATACGTAACTACATACACGGCCGCTGCGGATGACTACCATAACTGGGTTATGGCTAATTACAGGCATTGCTGTTGCTCTTTCGATGTATCGATACCTGGGTTCCATCAGTTCTAGATTAACGACGCTGTCTTTGACGGTATCGATCGTCATCCCGGCTATCTCGTCCTTGCCGCTCGCGGTTGTAATATCGACTTCGACTCTTCTGTCCAAAGGATCCATCCCGCGGTGGGCTCGAGATATATGATCTATCGCGATATCGGCCTCCATATGAGTTGCAACGTGGGCTTCGACTGGATTCCCGATCCCGACGGGAGCTTCTTTGCGGACTCCGGCTATTAGACCTCTCACGAGGGATGGATTGTCGCTTTGTATCGCGTTTGCCAAATACCATGGCATAGTCATCCGGTCGTTGATGATGGTTGTCGGGCGTTCGATACTGTCGCTTCTTCTCAAGGCTAGCCACACCGCCAAAGCCACCGCGTTGGCCGCTGCGTTTGGAGACGGTGGCATTTCGCCAGCTGTCGGATAATTTCGATACCTGCAGAATATATCAATACCAATTTTCCCAAGGACAACCAGTGCACAAGGCATACTCACACTTTGAGAGAAATCCACGTGGATGCGATGGTCATCGATCAGAACACCCTGCATCTTGAAGTAGGCCTGTTCACAGTCCTTTTGATGTTCAAACTCAATGAAAGCGTACTGAAGACTGTCACCAGTTCGTTTATCCCTAATGACCTCACATGACAGAATTTGCCCAAAGCGACTGAAGATTAAGTTAAGATCCTCGTCTGTCCCCATGTGTTAGAATTTTCAATCATTTGCGGAACAAATAGTAGTACCTTGCGTGACCGGATTCAACTTGCAGACGAACAAAACATTCTCCGGCGGTTTGACCTCAGCGAATGGAAGATCGCCAACCATTTCTAATGTCAGGGCTTGTGCTCTTGCCTCCCGCTCCCTGCGAAGGGCTTCCATGGACTCTTCGTCCATGTTGTCATCAAGTTCTTCATCATCTGCAATCCTCACAGTAGCCAATTGTGCTTTCGACGGCACAGGGCTTTCTGCCGGCTCTACCAGACCCGGAGGATCTTCAAAAGGGTCATCAAGGACAACTGTGTGACGAATGCGGATGTCTTTAAGCGGCCGGCCTCCTTCGTCAATAAAGGATTCATTGATCTTTTCAAGAATATCGAACCCTTCCACAACCTTTCCGAAAACCACCGCTTTGCCGTCCAAGTAATCCAGGTTGTCTCCGAGTGTCACAATAAACTGGCTCGCAGCAAGTCGTAGGTCGGGATCGTGAGGCGATGGAACTGTCGCCATGCTTACGGTTCCGCGCTCGTCGTGCTTCAATTTCGGGGGGATCTCGAGTGTGAAGGCCCTCTTTGATGGACCCTCCAGTAGGCCCCAGATCGATGATCCGCCATCACTTTCTGCGGAATCGGGTCCAATGGGATCACCAGTCTGGAATGTAAAACCTTTCTGGACGCTGTGGACGGGCGAAAAATTATAGTATTTGACTTTACATAGCTTCAGGAAGCTACAACGAGAGAACATGAACAGCTTTAGTTTCAGATTCAGCTACTCGACATCGAACAACACCGTGACCATAGCGATGAGGTAGACAGCAAATGTACCTACTTTTCACATGGTTTAGGGGACTCGTCGACCAATAGGTCAACGACAATATCACCTAAAGAAGTTTCCAGTAGTACGCTCATGGTGCTCTACTGGCAACTGCGTGTATCGCGACGATGAACGTTACGTTTGAGGGAGCGAGTCAAAGGGTGAAGGGCGGGCCAGTGAGAGCTCCTGGACTCGTCAAAAAGAAAAATTAGACGTGACAAATTAAAAATAAGAAGAAGAGGAGGAATAAATTAAATAAAATAAAGCAAAGAAGAAAGAGCTTCAGCTTCAGCTGGGGGGCGATAATAACATTGAGAGGAAGCAGAAAGGGCGTTGATGACGGCAAATTTAATAATCAGCAGCAGGGCGGAACAGTCAAGTTGCGGAGCCGCTGCCGCGCACCCCAAACGTCGATCCTCCCACCCGGTCCCTCTTGTTTAGTATTTCAACGGCGACAAATGTGGGTAGATAACGGTCATACAGGTGCTGCGAATAATGATTGATACCTTTACCCAACCCTCATCGACTCTTTCGAGGAACTCATATTGACTTCCGGATCGTCCATCCGGCGTTCTACTGTGTAACAAGACTAATCTTCTGGACTCAACGGCATGCCTTCGGAAGACATGTCGGACAAAAAATAAGTCCAAGGGGGACTAATATCGACGTTTGGGTCAGATCCTAGGATTTATTAATTTGTTGTTTGTTGGATCACTTCTGACAAAACCAGGTTGACTGACAACCTCCCTATAAATATATCAAAATGGACATTTCGACTCCTAGCCGATATTGCCTTGGACAGTATAAAATAGAATCTTGACTCTGTACAGGACATGAAGATCAGAATAACACTAGTGTTACTGTTGCTGCTTGGCCGTTCTCGTCTGCTTTTCATTGTTTCACTACAGAGGCGTTGGAAAATAACGGGCGGTCTCCTGCAGCTCGACCTAACAGCTAAGTATTTTAGTTAATAGTGACCAGTATCTCACTAGTTCTCTCGCACAGAAATAGTGGCAACACGAATATTTTCTCCTTGAGAGAGCACACGTGGTGGGGTTCTTGTTCCTTAATTTATTTCTTTAATTCTCGGTGTATCGGTGTCCCCGGCTCTCGGTCTATAAGCCTTAAGGGCTAATGTCACATTGAGTGATGAACACAATATTATTGGTTCTGGATATAGTGTGGCTGGCCCTATTTCCAATAGCAGACCCTTCGTGACCAAACACTATGCCAGGGTCTTGTTGACTATCGTCGATGTTTACACACACACAGTCTCCTACTTCCTTTCCCACTCAAACACCCATTTTGTCTATTTTTACAACGGGTTTCGGTTGAGCATGAAAACTAAACTATGGAGTACTCATGTTTGTTGCCCCTTTTTACTATCTGAAAAGATTGACTGGATATACTTCCATGCACTGAAGGTGAAACTATTCCAATCACGACCAATAGCAGGTGAACCCCGTGTTGGCTTGAGCGCAGGTGGATGTTGATGGACCCTGTCCGCTACGTCAGGCAGAGTCTTCCGGACCCCTGAACTTGGTGCATACTGATCCTTTCTGGGCCCACGTTCTTGTGTTGTCTTATTGGATCGATGATGCTGGTTTAGTTACATCTGTTTTGGAGTCTCGTCCATCCATTCCTTTATTTTTTGTTTTTGTTTTGGTTTTCGAGTGATATTCCCCCCCCCAGATTTATCTTTCCCCCTTGTTCCTCTTAGTTTTACACTGTGTCCCCATTCGTTCGAAGTCCAACCCATCGCAGTTTGCAAATAATTGAAGAAGATCAGACGGGAAAAGCAAAAAAAGTGGATAGGGACCACGCAACCTGATGCACAGATGCAGATCCAGCCCGGTGACCTGGACACAAGTTTAAATCGGTCCATTTATGTCAGGGCTTTTTTCTGGTCTGCTCTTGGCTACTACAGCTGTTCCTCGTTGGACTGAGAAAACCTACCTGGCCTGGCCGATCCCTCTGCACTGGCTTGAGACGTGAAAGCCTAGAGTTTTCCGAGACCTTGGTGTAATTTACTGGATCAGAGTCGTTTGCAAGGCCCCTCTTCACCAGCCGTTCTATTCTTCTATCGGATACCAGATATCTAATCTTGACTGCAACTATGGTCAGTGTTGCTCAGTTCCATACCAGATGAACTAACGACATGCCAAAAGTACTGACCGAGTTTGGGCCGCCAAAACAGTTTGTTTGATATTGAGCTCTGCAAAAGCCGAACCAATAAGCTTCCGATAACCGCCGTTTCAAAGGGCAAACATTCCCATGGCCGTTTTTCCACCCCAATAGATTGGTTTGGTTCTTGTGGATTTATGCAAACGTAGTCGGCAGCTGTCCGTTTAGAGCATCCCCACTGATACTGTCTTTGCATATCGCATTGGATCTAGCTGCCATCACCGAAGAGAGCTGTGCCCATCGTTGTTTTGTGACAGTGCTGGTAAAGGTAGAGCAACTGTGGACCTTGGCTTCTGCCCATTGGTTCAGATTACTCACAGAGATCTCCAGCTTTTCAGCTTGACTCGCTGTGGCTTCTATCAGACCATGTTCAATCCGTGCAACGTTACTCTGTGAAACAGAACCTCCGAAAGGCCCCGGTATTCTGTCTGTCTAGCCTTCCACCAGCAAGTTCTGAAGCATTCAGCCTATGTGACTCTTGAGTGGAATGCAACGCGGAAATCTGCATGATACTCTCCTAGTACAACAAAAAAGTAGGAAGAATGAGGTATCAAACTGAGCACTTTTTCGAATAAGGAAGTAAGCTGATGAGATTTTGCTCATTCTGGGACAATTCTTGGTGAGGCCATGAGTGATCTCAATTCTATTATCAGCGAACCAATACAGCGCTAACAAGAGAGCGAAGGGAGGCCAGGGGGCCAAAAAAAAAAAAAAAAAAAAAAGGAAGAGAAAGAAAGAAAGAAAGAGAGAAAGAGAGCCAAAAAAAAAAGGGACACCCAGATAAAATTGAATACTGACACATGGACTTAAATCTGACCTTGCTTCCGACTAAAGCCCCCTCACCCTTCCCGGTTCCTTTTTCAATGCTAGAGAGTAGACGGAACATGTTGGACACAGCCATCCCTGATTCTTAGGCCTTTTATGCTCCCGGCTACCCTTGAGAAGTGCTTTTGATCCCTCGGATTCGTTTTAAGTTTGAATGTGAGTCTCGGAATCAAGACCACCATGTTTCCTTCCACACTAATGAATGAAGCAATGGCCCATTCTTTCTATCCCCAGGAGGATGAGGTCACCTTTGACCAACCCTCAAAGCGAGACACTCTTTCAGTATCACATCCCGTTCGGAGTGATGGTCAGCAAGATTTCATGGACAGGAATACCGCCTGCGCTAGTCCTGCGCCAGACTCAGATGGTAAGGGTCGAAATCCGACACGGCGTCGTATACAAGTTGCAGTAAGTAGCTCATTGTTCTATTTAAGAATGATACAAGATGGAGGGAGAACTAGATCAGAGTAACTGACGTCAACAGTGCAATCGATGTCGGAAAAGAAAAATCAAATGTAGCGGCGATATCGGCAATAACCAAGGATGTTCAAACTGCCGGAGTTCTGGAAATACAAACTGTCAATTCCTTAGAGTGAGACTCCTGCTATCGTTGAGTGTATAATCGTACTGTAGCATGCTAATATGATAATACAAGGTTAACTCGTCAATGCTGCAGACCAAAGTTTCTGGATGGCCCTATCCCTCGATGAATGCTGCCGTCTCTCCATCCCCGAGAATGAGCTTGTGTGCGCCTTCTGTGGCTCCCAAATTGGGAGGCACAATACCAACAAACCCACCAAACTTTCGTGTTGCACCGTTTTCACGGCCTATGTCTGCCTATGATATGGGAACAGCTGATTCTCAACATTCATACAGCCGCCAGGCCCTTGGTGTTGACCATACAGTCAGTTATGAGGATGAGTCTCCGGATGCTTATAACCCCCAATCTTCGGCATACATTGTGCCCAGTACATCTCAAGGGGTCTTAACAGACTATTGCGAACTACCATGGAATCACAAGGCGTGGAATCCCAGCCTTAGCGTTAACAGAGACTCCAACGGTGCACTGTTTCCAGCCCATGACCCCGACAACACCTTGCATCAGCCAGCTTACTCGTACATGTTCTCGGGGCAGGGGACCCAGTCAACTGACCCGTCAATTGGGTCTTCAACGGCCGAAGGACAAGGAACCGACCGCACTCTTCCCAACCCAACCGGCCGGTACCATGCCCAGATAGGCCTGACCAGTTTCACGACATCGCCAGAAGCCACCCTCTCAGCATTGCCTCTTTCTCAGGATTATAGGGTACCCAATTCATGGGCCAGCAAAGGTATTGCTCCGAATAGTGTTCGCACGTCTATGCAGCCGACCTCGAATGGAGCATTTGGTGCGAGTCCTATGACACGGTCAAAGCCGTTCCCAACCAGTGCCCAGGACGTTGTCTTTGGGTTCTTACCAATGAGTTCCACAGTTACATCATCCCCGTTGATGCCTTCCAGTGGAGCATTTACTACGCTAGATACTGGAGAGTCAGGGGACGAGTTGCGCGGCAATGACCCCCGGCTGTCGCGAGGATTGTCTCGTGATAGCGGGCGCCTCCTGTCTAGTACAGAGAGTAGCTCCGACATATACGGATATAGCAGCAGGGCAAAGAGCAAGAAATGCTCCGATGCGGGGGACTCCGGCCGGGCGGGTACTTTGGTGAATGGACTACCCTATACTCGCCCAAAACATTCGGACTATGAAGTCTCATTGCCATATGGTGCGCTTTCAACGGATGCGTCACCAGAGGTGCACCGTACACCGGTCCCCGCTCTGAGTAACCTAGGTGGTTTTTGATGCAGGTCTGCAATTGTTGGGGCATATTGCGTCTGACCGTATCCACTGATGCTTATACTTCGTATGCAAGGTGCCTGTGGCAGCACCAAGAAAAAAAAAAAGAAAGCTCCGGATTTGATCTTTGCCTACACGTACTCTATCATAATCGACATTGTGCTTTTGGGTTTTTTTATTTTATTTTTTCCCCCTTTCCCTTTCTCTCTTTTCTTATTCAAATCTTTTTGACTTCCTCCCCCTTCTTTGGTGGTCTATAGTGATGCTTGTTTTAATTTCTTTGTTTTCCAACCCGTGAACGTATATTGAAGCTGTGGCTGAAGAGCAGAAAAGTTACACTAATATTGGGGTGGGTAGGCAGGCTGTGCTTAGGTTGCTGGTGGTCAGGGTTGGCTATTTCTTTTTCCCTCTGTGAAGCTGGTCAAATAGGGCCGGGCCGCAATAAGGGTGGCAGATTGGGCGCTTTTCTTTCAGCCCCGGGTTGGTTGGTTGGTTGGTTGATTGACTGATTCTCTTTGTTCCAGCTTGTCGTGTATTCACTGGATTGGTCTCTGTGTTGCCACCCAGCTCTCTTGATTTGTTTTGTTGATACCACCACCTAATTGGGATCGGCGCATAGTGTGCTAATAATACAATCTTCGTCCTGATCAGCTGAACGTTAGGGCTGGGGGAAGATAGCTTCGTATAACAAAAAAATAATCTAGCCTTCATTAAACTAAATAGAATGAAACTGCAACCTTCTCCAAACCAATCCGGCAAATTTAGTTAACAAAGAAACACCTTCCTAGTTACCAGTTTAATAGAACGTGTACGTGTACGACCGATAACGTCGTGTTCACCAACCAGTCGTCCCTTAGGAAGACCAGCTACAGCAAAAAGTCCAAAATGAGAGTCTAGATTCCAACAACGTCAAAAAGGAGTCTCAGGATCTAGGCAGCTATCTACAGGTCTCTCGTAATTTGTCTTGTACGCACTAAGCTCAGATCACTCCTGAGGTTAATGGTTATACCAGGCATGGACAGGACGTTGAGATTGGCGTGTCACAAAGGACGACCGTCTGGTAGGTTCCTGGTAAATGGAATCAACCGAAACTGGAGGAAGGGAGAAAGAGTCAGGCAGCTTTAAAAACAAATATAAACAAGGGGAATGTTTCTTAACAGGAACATCGACGGTCCATTCGATGTTGGAGTCTCATTGATCAAATAACTGTGGTTAGGAGGCTGGTAGGGATGAAGGACATATGCTGTCAAGAAACAAGCAATAGGACAGAGAAATTTCCTTTTATCAAAACAGAACAAAACGTAAAACATGGGAGATATAATAATTTTCATCCATCCCATCCCATTTCCGCAACCGAAACCCCAATTCTCATTTAGATAAGATAGATAGACAAATGTTTGCCCTCCTGGAAATTTTCTTTTTTTCTTTTTGTTCATCGTCATGGGACATCGGTATGAAATCAAACGAGGTGATAGAACTGATAGATACCAATGGACCACCACACAATCCTATCACACCCAGCAGGAGGACCGCCATCATCATTATCATCCTCTCCATCGCTAGCATCCCCAGCCCCTGGCCGCGTCCGAGTCCACCTCCAACAACTACCGCCTTCCCATTCACCCAGCTGAGATTCCACCGAGAGAATGCGTTTAGTTCTTGCTCTTCTTGGGGCCCTTGGTCTTGGCGGTGCCGCGGAACTTCTTGGAGCGGTTCTTCCGTTGCTTGCCTGTTTGGTGTTACAAGAAATCCATCGTTAGTCTCCCAGTTCCTCAATCCTCTTTACAGACTCCAGAATGTGGTCTCCTTCCAAATGGGGGAAGATAGGGGGAAAGGTAACGTACGCTGCTGTCTGCTGGGCCTCTCGGCCTTGGTGGCAGCACCAATCCGGATGAGGCGGTACTTGGGCTCGAACTTCTTCAGGGCCTCGGCGGAGTCGTAGACGAGGGCGAAACCAGTGCTCTTGCCACCACCGTATTGCGTACGGAAGCCGAAAACGGAGACCTGATCCTTGTTGGACTTGTACAGGTCGGCGAGCTTGTCGCGGAGTTCATCCTTAGAGACGTTGGCGCGGTTGGGGTGGAGGACGTCCCTGTTGAATCATCACGTTAGATGACGAATTTTCTTTCCACAAAATAACCAAAAAAAAAAAAAGGCTTAACTGCTGGATTCAGCAACCAGCATCTGTCGGGCCCTCTGCGGTATGTTCTCCCTCGGTCACGGCAGTCGTATATAGACGGTTTCTAACCCCAGAATTTTCACTCTTTCCTCCATTTTCTCGCTCTCTCTCTCTCTCCCCTCCTCATTCTTCTGCCAATGCTGATCTAAATTTCCTCTCCAGTTTGAAACCGTAACCGTAGACCAGAGGAAGAACAGGGGAGGAGAATAAAATGATAGGATGGATGGATGCCTTACACGACCATCTGCTTTCTGCCAAGCAGGGGGTTGCGGATGAACTTGCGAGTCCGCAGGGTAACGGGAGTGTCGGCCATGATTTCGGTAGCAGCGAGAATCTGCGTCTTCGAGAGGGGCGGAGAAGTTGAGGCGGATGGGATTGTCGAAGTCGCTGTCGGCGGGCTCGAAATGTTCAAGACAATTTTGGCTTCGTTTCGTGTGCTCTCGGCTATGGAGCGCTAGCCTTTTCGGGTTAGTATGCACGTGATATCCTTGGCATTCCCCGTTCTACGATCAGTGATAGGGGAGTTGCTATACTCTGTACACAACGATATTAAACAGCTTCTTTTCATTCTCACCCGCCCTTCCATGAGCTCCTCCTCATCGGCTCCAGTCGATCAGGTCGACCTCCTTATCCGCCAATTCCACCAACAGGTCGACCCCGCTCTGCTACCCCTACCGCAGGGCGCGACGATCATTCACCCCGCCTTGCAGAGCGCCATCTATGAGTCTATGTTCAACGAGGCCTCCGTATGGCCTCTGCCTCCGATATATTACCAGGCACGAGTCCTGAAGATGATCCTGTCTCGCATTGAAGAGGCCATTGCTGATCCTGAGGAGGATGTATGATTATGAGTCCCTTGTCTCATGCATGAATTTTTTTTCTTTTTTTCTTTTTTTTTTTTGGCTGTTTATATCCATTTCATCCTCTCATACATATTCCATCGCCTTCCCAGGAAATCCACGCCGATCTCATAGAAACCTGGACCAGTCTCATATCTCAGCCTAAGCCCTCCACCATTCAACAGGCCCAACAATTATCCTACATCAAATACACTTCTCCCATTCCCCCACCTCCCACCTCACAACCTCGAACAGTGATCACTTCCGAATCCCGTGGTCTAATCCTCTCCGGCGGGACGACCGGTTTTCGCACATGGGAAGCCGCTCTCCATCTGGGGACGTATCTGTCTACGCCGGCCGGTGAGAGTATCATCTCTGACAAACGAGTCATAGAACTTGGAGCCGGCACGGGCTTCGTCTCGATGTTTTGTGCCGCGCATCTGCACCCACAGTACATTCTAGCTACGGATCGGGAGCCTGCACTAATTGAGAATATTCGGGACTGCGCGCGGAGGAATCAGCTCCAGAAGGCATCGGGGTCAGGGTCCACCCAGTTCGGAGCTGCAATCTGGGAGTGGGGGACTCCGTTGGATATTTTCTCTGAGGACAGTCATGGGGATAACGAATCTTCAGCTACACAACCCGTTGCGACTACAGGGACAGTCCCCGGAGACAAGAACCCTCGCATTTTCGACGTTGCACTTGGTGCTGACTTGGTATGGTTCCTCTCATCTCCGTCCGCATCCGCCCGGATAACCTCCCCCCTAGGGGTACAGGATTACAGTTTGGAAGGACTCTTGTACCACGAAACTAACACGGGAGATCTTCCCTCCACCTGTTGTGTAACAGATCTACGACGTTGACCTCATTCCGCATCTTCTGTCCACCCTGCATGATCTATTTGATAATTACCGAATCAGCCAATTCATCATCTCGGCCACTTTGCGCAACCAAAACACGTTTCAAACGTTCCTGTCTGCTTGTGGTTCGTCCTGCCGTCTCTCGTCTCCCTTGGTGGGTTGAGTGTCACCTGCGTTAACAGTTCTAGTAGAAGAGAATCAATTCAGCACGGATTGTGTCCCGTTTGAACCGTTGGCTCCAGAGAAACAGAAGGGGTTCTTCTACTCGACTGACGTTCCGATCCGCATATATCGAATCACGAGAAGTACAAATCCAGCATGATTGACGGAGTGAAGGAGCGTATACGCATCGCCCATGGTAGCATGCTGTGCTGACTAACTTGAGTACAATGAACCTTTTACCGTAGGCTAAGTGCCACGATTCAACACATTGTAGCTTTAGACTTGATGGTAGGTGTGTACTATTTCAAGCTAAGTTTACTATATTTATTGTATTGAATCGATGCAACTTGTTCATACTGCGCTCTGCAGAAACAGGTCATGGCCCAAGTGGAGCTCCAAGATGTGACAATGGTCGGTTCAATAAAACGCTGAAAGAAAAGGAAGAATGTCCGCTCATGGGGTATCATATATTCAAAAGGTGGCCAATATAAACTGACGCCTCGGCAGGAAGCCGCCAATCAATCACGCAAGCAAACAGGGTAGAGAGCGCCGACTAGTAACAGTCAGGTCGTGGTGAGAATAGGGAAGTCAAGGAGACAGACAAGAGAGTGAATGCTGCTGGGTCTGAGTGTATACAAAAAAAAGTAGTATATGTCATAGTGGGATGAGTCGTGTAACCGGGCATGCGAATGAATAGATACGAGTTGCCAAGGGGGAATGGTAAATATCATTCCGCCAGGGTCTCTCTTAGTAGACACTCATCGATCTGTTCAGCATGTACCGTTGCAGGAGCTCGCTGCGATGGTCGGAACCCCATTATCGGACCTTTTTGGTTCACTCCCGGATACCGAAACCGCAGACTCGGGCTCGACTCGGCTTTGTGGTTGTACTTCTTTCCAGCTGAATAAGATGGAGTAGATGATTCTGACTGGACTAAAGATGCAGAAGGCGTTGGTTCTTCCTCCACGGCAGGCTGTAGGTCTCCATGCGACACGACGGGGGCTGTACCCCAGCGGCCTCGGACCCAGCCACCGACACGACGACTGAGGGATATTTTCCGAGTTGGCGTGGCGGTGGAGTTAGAACGGTCACCGACTGTGGATGCAGACGGTGTATCGGAAATCTGGCCCCCACTGGCAGCAACCGAAGCCAGCAGAGCCTCGGGGGATTGATCAGAGACCCGGAACGGCTCTCGTCCAGCCATAACAGTGGTCGTTGAGGTCACTGGGGTAGTGGAGAAGCGCTCGGCCCCATACGACATGATACGGCGTGTCATATGGATAGGCAAGGCCGTCGATGTCATGTCACTCAGGCGCGATGGACGACGGCTAGGGGTGTGGATGTCCATGCCAGCCACCGAGAATAGACTTTCGTGTGATGTGCCTCTGCGCAGAGGTCGATATGGTGTAGGAATAGCTTCATCAAGCGGTGCGGGTGAACAGGCTCTCTCAGATACAGCATATTGCACCGATGAATCCTCCCTTTCCTCCGGTATGACGGATTCGAGAGGGGCTCTCTCCACAGGCCCCACACTGTAATCATCGAAAAGATCATCCTCCAAACGACCGTCACCAGCCTCATCAAGTCCCTCTGGCCCATCGAGTTGCCGGCAGCTAGAACCGAACAGGCCGTGCTTGGCGGCGGCGCCTCTCATAGGCGGCACGAGGACAGTACTTTCGGGACTAGTGGCTTGAGATGAATCGAACCCACGTTCCACCCGATCAAAAATGTATGACGATCGATATGCTGACTGTGGCGAACTGGCCATTGAATCCACTGTTGGCGACTGCAGGGACCAGCGATGTGACGACGTTGGAGGAATCGAAACTGAGGTTTGAGACAAAATAGTAGATGTTGAAGATGTTGAAGACTGAGAACGGTGCATGGATTTGCGGGCCAGCTGTGTGCCTGAGGCTGAGTGTAAAATCGAGGGATTGCCCAAAGACCGCCTCTTCTTCGAGCGCCGGAAAAGCATGGCCTTGTCTTTCTTGGAGCTAGCCGACACAGGCGGCGTATGATAATGATGATGGACATGAAACTCCTGCGATACCCGGCGCGGTTCTCTCTCCTCCAGTTCCTGACCCAGAGTCGTTGCTGGCTGGGATCCTTGCCTATCCTCCCCGGCTTTTGGCACCAGAGGCTGATGTGACAAGATCTGTTCCCGCAGATTTTGCACCTCCTGGTTTGAACTCTCGAGCATCTCGCGTAATTCCACAATCCCCATTTGCAGATTGGCGTTGTCTTGCAATATGTCCCGGACGAAGCGCGAAACTACTGTTCCGCCTTGGTTCCAACCCAATTCCTGAGCCGCCGCAGCGCCCTTGAGTCGCCCAGCGGCACCATCAAGCTCCCGCTCCACGGCCCTTCTGCGCTCCATACGCTGAATCAGGTCGGCGTGGCGGTCACGTTCCTCTCGGGCTTCTTTCTCGATCCGATCGACCTGGTCATGCAGGTCGCGCAGGGTACATTCAGCGGTTTTCCAGCGTTGAACCGCCGACTTGGAGTCCTCATGGGCCGAAAGTAGACTTTCTTGCAGTTTATACTGTTCTGCCTCCATTTGGGCTAGTTGGGCTTCGAGGTCGGCTGCGCGCGCGGCCGAGGCTGTCAACTTCCGAACCTCCGCCTCAGCAGTCTCTAGGCTGACAGTGAGAGATTTGGCATGGGAATCTGAATCAGCGACAGCCTGATTCAGGCCATCCAATTGCTCCAATAACCCACGGTTCTCCTCGATGATACGCGCGTTTTCTGCCTGGGCCTGGCGCTTTTCGCGTTCGAGGCTTTCGATACTCGCCAGTAACCGATGGCGGTCCTCCTCCGCCTCGGCCATGTAAGACTCATGGCGATGAAGTAAAGCCTGCAGAGCAAAGGTCAGCGATGACGAGTTCATGTCGGTCACTGCCAAGGCAGCGTTCTCATGGGAAACAGCCATGACGGACTAGAACACAGCGGGAAAGAATAGGAGACCCAATACTTGCAGTCGCCATGGACAGTGAAGGTGATGGCTCTGTCTCTTTTTCCATATTTTCTTTTCTTTTTTTTTTTTTTTTCCCCGAGTGGCTTCTAAATTTCCTCACTGGGGGGTGGGAGAGGTGACGGAAAGAGTAATTCCAAATTCCAGAACACAAGCAAACAATGTAAACAATAGATAACAAAAAAAAAATTAGATATGGATCAAATATGTACGGATGTATGGGGAAGGAGAAGTCTACAGAGAGCCCAAGCCCACCAAGCCCCTTCAAGCTATGGCGATGACGCCTTTAGACGTATGGATCTTCGCGGGACAAAAGGGCAAGACAACAAAAAAACAAAGGGAAGGAAGAAAAAGAACCGTACCTGACCCAATCTCGCCGCAGTCTCGAGATCCTTCTCCAGCCCCTCAAGAGCCATATTATTATGGTGAAGGAATGCACAATCCTCCCGACCACAGCAACAGCGGAGGGTCGTTGGCGTAGTCGAGTGGGTAGGAATGTATGGAACCTGACTAGCAGGGTCCGTACTATGCAAATGGGATTCCATGGCTGGGATCAGAATGTGACCTTTCCCAAGAGTGAGAATGTGCTGGCACCCCTTGACGGAGCGATGGGCTGAAAGTGGAGGCGCCAGATCATCGAGCTGAAGTGATGAGGTGGAGCTGGAGCCAAGGGTAAAGAGAGAGAGAGGAGGGAAATCACCACGTCTCTACTCTACCTAGTGTCTGCAGACAGCTCCTACCCATCTGACTGACAAGGAAGAGAAGAGACGAGTCTACTGCTAGTGACTTAGAGTAGTAAAGTAACTAATAAAAGTAAAGAGGGAAAGGAAGTGATGGCATTCTGACTAAGAGTATAGTACGCGTTCTGATTGGTTGGAGCTCCACTGTATGGTCACTCGCTGTATTTTACGGTCAGTTTGCTGGGATTCTGCCGTGACAATGGCGTGTCCTGCGAATCATCTTACCATACCGTGACTTCCTGAGGATGACGTTTATGTAGCATCAAGGATAATGTTTATATTATTTAAGGATCTTAAAAAAAAAAGAAAGAAAGATGATAATTAGAAAATACTCCTCACTACATCAATTAGATTCAAGGATCGTCACCTCCACGCTCAGGAGAAGTATGTACAGATTCATTCCCCTCCATTGCTGCACAGATTGATTGGACGCTGGTCGCATCCATCCATCCCACTTCCTTGTATACAGAGAGTATATATTTACTGTAGAGACCGAAGCCTGAGATACATATGCACCTGCAAGCCTTTTCGTCACACTCTCGAGCCCCTCCGCAGAAAGCCGAATATTCATGCCATTGGAGATATATTACTGGTTCATGGCCACTGTACCGGTAACCTATATGAGAGAATTCATACGACAACAGGAGAGTCCTGGACCAGAGAGGCAAAAGGAACAAATGCAAGAAAAAGGAGTGGCGTCACGTTAATCAGTCTTCAGCTGCTAGGCCCACACAATAAAATAAACAAATCAACCCTCGACATGCTTGTGAGGAAGTCAAAGCAGAAAGTCATTTCGCACATTAATAAACGCCCCAGCGCCGCCTTCTTCGCTAATCTCCGTGACCAACACTTCGGTTTGTTGGTAAAGACGCTCTAGGGCAGCGGATGACGATTTGCCCAATGACACTATCTTCTTTGTTAATCTTCAGGGACAAACGAAACTGTGGAGTGTTCCTTACCTAAGATGGCCGAGTTTAATTCCTCCGCGACCGCAATGCGTCCGGCAGGGTCGAGGTAATGCCCATGCACTGATCGTTTCGGGTCCGGGTAAGCTACCAAGGAGAAGATGTCATCCAGCATCTTCTTGTCTCCTCCACGCTCCTCATTCGGGTAGTCCAGGTATAGCTGTTGCCCATATTGAACCGCTTCGGTCAGGAGTTCATGGAACTTGGCGGTGTTCTCCGAGTCCTCCATGTCCATCCCATCGGCCTCCCAGCCATCTCCATCGTGGGCCTGCTCATCCAGCTCCATCTCTTGGTCGAAAACCGCACTGCTGTCAGACAGCCCATTGGAGGCCCTGCTTTTCTTCAATGCTTCAAACGACAATTCATTACAGTGTCGCATCATCTCTAGGAATTTCCGGCATCGTAGCTTGAAATGGATATGGGGGAAATCGTGTAAAACATTTGCATAATAGGCATTAGTATACTTCAGTGCCTTGTCGATATCGCCTTCTAGTATGGCCGCTCGGATCTCTACCATACAATTAGTTCAAGTTCACAGGTAGTTGGGGTTGGATAGGTCATACTCTGCCGATTCACTGCTTCTACGTCTTCCTCTACTTCGTATTTCTTAAGGGGCTCTTGCCGACTATTCTCTAGAGCTGCAGTCTCTGTCGCGACCTCTCCGGCAAATGCTCGGGCTGTCTCTACATAACCATCGTGAGCCAGAAACTGTGCAACCAGCTCTTGAAGTAGTGCAGGTTCATCAAGAGGTGGTTGTAAAGTCGCGGTACTGGTGGTGCGGATATCGGAATATATCGAATACCTCTCCTCCTGCAACCAGAAAGTTAGAGACCCTCCTCTCTTTGGGGAAGGCAAGTTCCGGGAACACACCTTGACCATGCCATCAATATCGAACATGAACGGCTGTTGGCCGAAGTTCACAGCTAAGTGCACTGGGGGTTGCTTCTTCATTCCCACAGACGGATAAACCTTTACATTTCGCAATTCCCGGAAGGCATTCCCTAGACCGCTGTTAACCCTATATAGCCTCTCATCGGCAGACATCCTAGCATACCCAGAAATACACCATTTTTGGTGAAGAAAGCGCATCCCGTCGCAAAGTTCACTCCGCAGCCCACGGTATCATTTACACCGAAAGTCGGGCCATACTGCCGCCCTTGTCCTTGGCTCTCACCGAAAAATGACTTGCCATCATCGCCATGATAAGCCCATGATTCCTGCTCCCACCCGGGGAGACGCTCTACCGACGCTTTCGTACTAGAGAACCCGATCCCGATCATGCTGATCGGAGAACATGTTAGTCTTTACCACGATAAAGGGCCGCCGATCATGTACATACCCTTCCTTAGGCTTCGAGTGAATCGTTATTTCGAAGTAGTAGATACCGCACTGGGGAGGCATTGGGTTATCCGCCCGCACGGCAGCGGCCTCATGATCGTGCTTATTCACGGGACCGGTGTACCGAACCTCCAACCCTCCATTTGTCAATTCGAGACCGGCGTATTTGTCTGTATCATTCCAACGAGTTGGGAGGGGCATGAGATGATCATCATCGCTGGGAGGTTCCCTTTCGATGATATCATACGTCATCCCGCGGTGGGAGGGTGCTATACGCGGCAGGCTGGCTTGGCTGGAAGATGTGGACAGAGGATTCGGCGTCGAGGACGAGCACACGGCATCCCGCTGGGATGTAAGCTTGGATCGTCGAGCGGCATCGAGACGAGAGATGTAGCGAGAGTTGCGGAGATAGGACGGGGTAAAGAACGAGGAGGCGGCATCGGAGAAGCCACCCGGACTCTGAAAGAACGGGTCGGAGCGAGGGAAGTTGGCATATTTTCGAGAATACGGAGGAAGGGAATCGCCGAGCGATGTCCTCCAGGAGGAGTTCATCTGCATGTCTGCATCCAAGGCGGCGGAGTGCCTCATAAGGCGGCCGTCGGGGTAGAAGAGTGGGGGGTAAGACGGGGTGGAGTTGGAGGAAGGGAGAAGTTGCGAGAGGGGGCTATTGGTCGTTGGTGGCGAGAGTGCAGTCCCGGACAGGACTGAGGCGTAGGACGAGCGACGAGGGATGGATGAGAAACTTGGGCCGGAGTATGATGTGGTTAGAGGAGCTCCTCGAGCTCCACCGGAAGGGGAAAAAGGTGCGTCGGTCATGGCGGGAATCTAACGGGGCGGGGGACTTAGTTCGCTGAGCAAGAGGATGCACACTCACGCGAGCTGCTCGGCTGGCTGTCAAGGCTTGTCAGGACAACACCATTTGCTGGATTTTTTTTCCCCTGTCGAGGTCCTCGAGATCTCTGGGACTTTTTTTTCTTTTTTGTTTTCTCTTTTTTTCCCTAGAGATCGCCGTGTTTCTCGAATACACGGGTTTCCATAAACGGAGAGTGGAGCAAGGATAGCACCAGTCCAAGACCACGCGATGTTTCGCTGCGGTCATGTATGTCCAGAAACTCTTAATCCCCCTTGAGAAGAATCCAGAAGGCGGAGGAAATCAGATCAATCCAGGGAATGGAATATCAAGTATGGACAATTTCCAAAGGAACCGGAAACGAGTTGCTGGCAAGACAAAACACGGCCTGTACAGCTGTGTGACGACGAAAGTAGAAAGACAATACCTACTCCTTCTACGGAGTAGTTTACTAGGTATAAGTTTGGTAGGTAGGACCCAAATGCTGTACGACGAAGGGAACGGCACGAAACAAAAAAGGGACAAAAAGACAACATTGAAGGAAGAGCAAGGACAAAGGAAGACCTCACCAACAGTCTGTGAACAATAAAAAGAATTAGGGGAAACCATGATGGCATGACAGGAATGTGGCTGCGGGGGGAAAAAAAGCACGGGGTCGCGGGCGCTTGGGGAAGGCAGAGATGAAACCGTCGTACGTATGTAAGTATCTATACAGCATCCCGGGTGCTCAGGAGGGAAGCGTCTGCAAAACCCCCTCTCAATAGACACGCTTACTTCGGAGAGGGGATTCCATTCCTTGCATTTGGTCCTAACCTAGGTATGGAACCCCCGTCCTCTAAGGGCGCAACGCCATCCACGGAAATCCAAGGCCGGTATACATATCTACATCCATCGCTCCCTAGGTAGTCCCCCTGGACTTCGTAAAAGCCCCTCTTGCCATAACTTCACCGTCCGGTCCTGGCAGAAGATGGATCCATCTCCCCTCGGGAAAGGCCCAGGTCATTATTGAGTCGTTACAGATGACCGTATGGTAGATACAAAACTCCGGTTGAGGGGGAAATAACTGGAGATAAAAAGTCATCTAAATACCGTCGAATTCAAGCCAAATTTCTCCGATGCAGAACCCAGATGTGACACCTCTGACCCACTCACTCAGTTTCTATAAATCTACCGCATGCTTTGTCCATGTCACAATGCATCAATACTTTTCTTCAGTCCCGGCATGGTTGACATATGTTGTGCAAAGAACCCAAATCCAAGCCCACAAACCCTAATGGTACTATACATAATGGTAAAGGGAAATTAAGTAAAAACACATCAAAACAGAATAAGATCAGGGGCAACAGGGGAAAAAATAATAAAAAATAAAAAATAAAGTACTCAGAACTCTCCCTCAGACAGACTGAGCAGTATTATTACCATCCTGCTGCCGCTGGCAAGGAAGAGCTCAACGAAGATCAAAGATGTAGATAAGAATTAATCAAAAGACAAGGACCCCAACGCCTGACCAGAAGTAAAAGCCCAGGTAAACGCTCCAGATCCTTTCCGGAAAGGTGAAAAAGAAAGGGGAAAAAGATACGGAAAAGTCAAAAGTAATGTACAGGAAGAATAACGAGCGCGAAACCACAACAGTATATGGTTTAAGCTGTCATCGCAATGGCAGGTGACGACGCTTCCGTGAGATTAGGAGGTACTGGAGTAAGGTCTCCGTCGCCCGAATTACTCTTCTCACTAGGAACTCCGCTGGCGCTTTGATTAGCTTTGCTGTCACTGTCCCCTGTCTCGAGCACACCTTCCTTAATCTCGCCATTTAATTCGGACGGCTGAGGTCGAGGAGTTCGCCAGCTCGCCAGCTGCCAATTCACGCCGGTGAAACTCTTCAGTTGGAGGGGCTTTCGCTCCCATTTACGGCAGGGGGCCCCCGAACGATCTAGAGCACGAAGACCGGCATTGATAGCACCGGTGTTCGCCTTCGGACCCAGCCTGTGACTGGCCGCTAGTTTGACATGGTCGACCGTTCCGTCATCACTAAGACTAACATTAGTGGGTGAACATTGGCAAATAAAGGAGCAAAAGGAAATCCACATACAGCCTAGGCTTCTTCTTCGGACCTGGTTTTCCTCTCGGCTTGGGATACGCCTCGCTCGTCTGGTTGAGACCTCTCTTACTTCCAGGCTTAGGACCAGGCATTCCTTTACGGCGAGGAGTGTCGGCTGCTGAAGTACCGGGTGCCGGGGTAGAAGCAGCGTCAGATACATTGTCCGCAGAAGATGGAGGAATCTGAGCTTCGGCGAACGACGAAGCCGGGGACGACTCCTTTTCCTTGATTGGGGACTCGGAAACGGGGCCGTGGTTTTTTACAGTGCTATTTCTCTTCTTTTTCTTATCCTTGGCTTCGGGGGGAGGGGGGGCGAACTGGCTCAGCAGGTCGGATGATAGCTTGAGGACCAGTATGCTCTTGGAGGCCCCCGATCGACTAGAGCGACCGTTGGTGGTCGAAGACGTTGTGGAGCTAGAAACAGGCATGGAGGTGATCGTGAGGTGGCGTGCAACGGGGTTTGGTATTGTTTTGTGAGGTTTGGATTGATCAGAGGAATGACAATTCCTCTGCCACAGTACTCAAGACTGCCAATGGGCGCTGCCAAGCGCAAAGGGGCAATATGATTTTTTTTGGAGGGTTGGATGGTGGTTTCGAAAACCTGACAGTCAAGATGTACGGCTAGGGTAAGATGGTTGCGTGGGTTCCCGGCGTGCAAGAGTGGGCGGCGAGACTTGGTCAGGGCGAGACAAAAGTTTGGCAGAGCTGATGGAGACAGGAGAACCAAGGCAGTGGTGACATAGTCCGGGATAGAGTAGAGGCTGAAGAAGGAGGAGGTGGTGGTGGTGATGATGAGGCAGAATGGGAGAGGAAAAGAAGGAGGGAGAAAGAGGAGGAGGGGGAAAGGAAAGGATAAAAAGGGACGGGGGGATGGAAGAAAGGGATGGGGATGTCGAGGCGTGTGGTTTCATTATTGTTGGTGTGTGTTCATCTCGTCTACTAAGAAGGGAACAGCCAGACTTTGTTCGGTGCGGTCAGTCCAGTCCAGGAGAGAAGCCCGATGAAGGCCAGGTAAGGAACGCCCGTACGCGTCCCGTACCGTTTCATTACGCGTGCCACCCGGTCGCGCGAATGGAACTCTAGTTGACCGGACGTCATCGGAGGATCAGGCGGTACGGTATGCGTATTTTGGTGTGCCTGTACCTCCCCTACAGCTGCAAAATACGGTGATGGAGCTTTCATTCATTCGGCCTGTACGCCTGTACGCCTGTCCTGGCAATTTTCCTTAGTCAGCATCTATAGTTCTCTCTCCTTATCCATGATACTCTACTACGTACGACTTCATTCAGTTAGGAAGATTCACGTCGGTTCTCTACAAGCATTTGATCGAATGACGATGATGGATCGTCAGTCCCGCATCAACCTGGTTAGACTTTTTGCACGAACTTCGCAGCCTTTCCACCGCTTCCGTCGGCCGGATTTTATTCGTAAGCCTGGCGATTCATGAAAATTAATTACGGGGGATCCATTCCATTCCATTCTTTCCATGATCCAATTCATTCATCATCTGAATTCGGATCCCCGTATTGACTCTTACAGCTTGAACGATTAATCAGTCTCCCACGAACTTCCTCCACCACATCTCCTGCCTCGCCTAACCTGACATGACCTGACTGCCAGATTTTCTGACCACGATCATTCGAACAGCACCTACCTATCATGTGGATAATCCATCCATCCGACTGATTGGGTTGCGGAATCGGCCCCTTATGTGCCCTGCTATGGATGCCTGCTTCTATCGCAGAACTAGTACAATATCCACCAAGGAATCAAGGACCAAGAAATCAGCGGATTGTCTCGCCACATTCGGACCGCAGTCCATTCTGACGCTTGGGACCCGAGGAAAGGAAGAAGCCACGGCGTCCCAAAAAAAAAAAAAAAAAATGAAAAAGAGAGAAAATTATCATTGACCCGTTTTATTATCCACTGCCTCGGGAACCATCGTCTCAACCCTTTGAACTGTAACTAACCAATGTCAATAGCCGTTAGATCAAGTGGGTATACGGAGTACAGAGTGACCCGGATTCGCAGACAAAACAGTTAACACCAGGGAAAAATAAAAAAGTAAAATATATAAAAGCACCTCTTTGCTTACGCCTTCCTTTCCTTTTAGTACCAATATATGCAGGTCAGATTGGCTATGCTGATCTAAAACAAGTTACAAAAGTTGTAGGCAACGGCACCACGAGGGATGGATTTAGTCTAATCGGCTTTCTTCTCCTGTGTCTTTCGCGCAACTACCTCGCCTACGGCCTGTTGCACCCCAGGACTGGCCCGCACACTGCTCAACACCAACCCCTCCGTCATCCCCTTGCGTAGCGTAGCGACACCCTCTCGATCCCCTTGGAATGGCGCAAATCCCAACTGCAGGAGCCGGGTCGCTTCGCCGTCCGTCGCCCGAGCAAGTTGGTGTAACCGCGCCAGATGTTGCATCGTCTGTGGAGACAGACGCTCGCCGGGCGCTGAGGAGGGCTTTTGGCTCACTGTGGGCGGCGTCACCTGCGAGATGAATATATGCAACGTGACCGACGCACGCTGCGCAAGCGTCAAGATCTGAAATGGCAAGAGGTAGAAACCCGGGTTCTCAGCGGAGACTCCCAGCAGATCTCGCAGACCAGGAGGGATATAGGATGCAGGAATCAATAATGCCCCTGGGTGGGTGATCAATGCCAGTTCAAGCACTATGAGGGCTGCAAATGTAAAAAAGCGCCACTAAGCCGAAGATATTCCATTAGGGAGACAGATCGGAAGGAGGAACAGGAGAGTAGAATAGCTTACATAGCGACCCCAACTGGACCACCAAGTGAAATTCAAGAACATAATTGTCAAAAATCCTCCCACATACGTGGGCAGGGACCGTTGCAAGCCCGCAAACAGAAAGTCTTGCATAGTTTTCCGATCACCCCAGCCAAGGATATCCGGTCCAAACCGATCGTACGCAAATCGCTTCGCAGGGTCCAGCAACGTGTCCTGCGCCAACTTCAAATATACAAAATAATTGTCGGAATGAACACCATCCCCATGGGTGAGTTTGTCCGGATGATGCTGCGCCGCGAGCCGCCGGAATCGAGACTTGATGACTCTTTCATCAGCCACTGGAGAGACACCGAGGGCCTTGTAGAAGTCGCCTGCAACTTGAATTCGATGGAAGGCCTCATAGAGCGTGTAGAGGAGATAGCCCGTCACAACCATGACAAAGATACGGCGACGATGCCGGGCGTAACGCGGGGAGGGAGGCTGAGGGCGCGGATCCCCCGCGCGAATGGTAATTCCATAGTAAACGCTCTGGACGAAAGATGTCACATACTGCAACAGCCACGGCGTCAGCTGTTTGGCACTAACAACACCCTGAACGAGGTAGCGCCGCAAAGAGAAATCTGGAGAAGGTTTGAATCCCGGGATTCACGCTACTTACGTTGGGAAGGACCGCCCATCCAACAAATGACAGAATCGATGACATGGCAGCACTGCAGACCAAATGCCCATCGAACCACACCAGCAACTAACCCCCTCGAATTAAATATACAAGCTGACTCGATGAGATAGCGCAGTGTTTATGAGCACCGCAATCCAATGATTGGCAAAGTGGTCCTGCTGGCCTGAACCTGCACCGCCTCCCTTACCGCCTTCCAATCTCTCCAGCCCAGCAAAAAAAAAAAAAAAGATTCTCGCGATCCCGAAAATCCATTGCAATCCGAGATTCTCACCCAGACCAACCAGCTCTCCGGGGCGCTTCTATTGCGCCACAATCACCATGGCAATTGATGCAATGGATATTGACTCGAATCCAACACCCAATACCATGCGAGAGCCGGAAAAGGAACGCAAGCGTAAACACAAACACAAAGATAGTTCCTCATCACCATCGAAGAAGCGCAAGCATGAGTCCAATCTTATTGTGGACGAAACCAGTACAAGTGATAAGAAAAGCAAGAAGTCCAAGAGCAAACTGAAAACCAAACGAAGTGCATTGGACGCCGTTGCATCTTCGACTCCTGACTCACCTTATACCCTGACGACAGCGACGCTGTATCTTCCACTGTCGCCTATTTCCATCTCCCCGACCCATGCGCTGGCGTCTCTTCTAGCGGAGCATCTCTCGCCCCTTATCCTCACCTACTACCCTCCTCTGCAAGGAGTTGTCTTGGCCTACTCCAATGCGTCAATATCTAGCACTCCACCCTCCGCGTCATCCGTCTCCGTTCCCAACGACCCCAATCCCCAGCCTCTTACCCTCGCAAGGACTGCAGGCGAATATGGTGTCCTGTATGTTTACCTCACCGCCACATTTCTGGTCTTCCGCCCCCAGCGCGGGCAGATCCTCGAAGGATGGGTGAACGTGCAATCCGAAGGGTTCCTGGGCGCTGTCGTACTTAACCTTTTCTCCGTCGGCATTGAACGCAAACGACTCCCATCGGATTGGAAATGGGTCCCTCCAGGTGAAGAAGATGATAGCGACGGAAGCAAGCAGAAGGTATCGGAGGACGACGATTCCGAACCAACTACTGCTTTCGATCCCGAGAAGGAGCACTTCAAACCCGTCTCGTTGGCTTCCGATGCCAATCCCCTCTCGGATACTCTCAACGCAGACCCCAGCTCCGCCGAAGATGACGAATCCACCTCAGAAGGATACTTTCGATCTGCATCCGGCCACCGGGTGCGCGGCACTGTGCGGTTCCGGGTCATCGACATCGACCTGATCCCGGGCTCCGAACGGGATCGCGGCTTCATGAGCATCGAGGGCACGATGCTGTCACCCAAGGAGGAAGCCAAGGTCATTGAAGATGAACGCAGCGGGGTTCTGACCACGTTCACGACCCCGCGACGAGCCTCCAGCAAGCCTCAGTGGGAATCCAAGAGTTCTATGTCCGGCGCACTGGCAGAACCGGAACCAGAACAGGAGACACCAGTCAAAGTAAAGGAGAAGAAGGCCAAATCCTCCAAATCGAAGAAGAAGGACAAGGAAAAGAAGTAATCCTGAACACAGTTCGTTTGAGTCCTGGATTTTACTCTCTACATTTCTATAGTCGATATACTTCCCTGTTATATATTCCATCCTTTATGTATGGCGTTATGAGGAGAAATCAATATTTTTCCTTTAATGTTCACCTGGATTTGACTTTTCTTTCTTTTATTGAGCCATTGTTCTGGTTCCCTTTGGAAGTTACTTAGAAAGACCCTTCACAGTAAGCGATTGTGTGTGGACCCAGATCCAGACAAGTATGTACATGTATATGTTTTCTCTTGATGTACAGGTGTTCAAATGGATCCATTCCTAGATGTCCTAGCATAATATAACCGGAAAACATCGGTACAAATTGTCCCCAACTTAGTACATTGCATGACATATTGTTTATTTATACCTTGACCGACACTGGCACACCCACCGTCGGGATATCCACTCCATTTTCAATCTGAGACTTGGTCGGCATATTCCCTCTACGCATCAACTCGGCGCTCTTCACCATGATGGGATCCATCCCCATCGTGGCCACCGCCACCACCGTATCGCCTTTACAATAATACGCGGCGAATTTGGCATTCTCAGGCTGACCCTGGAGCACTAACCCGTCCCAGCCGTTGGGCGTGTTACCGCAATACCGCAGCTGAGCGCCCACCGCCGACCAGAAGATGGGAATAAAGGCTTTCGGTCTGAGAGACTGCAGGGACGGCGAGGTCAGACTGTGAACGATGGCACGGGCGGCCCCACGACCGGCATTCTGGGCGACGTTCCAGTGCTCGATTCTTGTGTAGTTGCCCTTCTCAGGGTCCGTTCCGGGACCATGGTATGGATATGTTGCAATGTCGCCGATGGCGAAGACGTCGTTGTTCAGACCGGGAACCGCAAAGTGCTCGTCCGTTTTGATGGACCCGTCTGCCTCGAGTCGGATGGCCGAGTTCCCCTGGAGGAAATCAGTGGCAGGGCGTACTCCCACGCCGAGGACAACCAGATGAGCCGGGAGCAAGGTGCCGTCGCTCAGATGGACGACGCCGACTTTACTGAGATCGGTAGCGGAGGGAGTCGCTTTGACGACGCCCGCTTGCAGCTTGAATTTGACTCCGGATTTTTCAAGGTTGTTTTGGAAGATTCGGCCGACTTTCTCGCCCACAACTCGCTCCATAGGGGCCATTTCTTGACCGACAATAGTGACGTCGTTATCTTTGGAAAGGGCATTGCCCACTTCCATGCCGATGAACGAACTGCCAATGACGACAATCTTCTTGTTCTTTTCACCTATGGCCTTGAGGATGGACTGGACATCGGTCACATCACGGAGTTGGAAGATGTTTCCGAGTTCCTTGAACCCTTCTAGTGGGAGACCGCGCGGCACACCTCCGGTAGCAAGAACCAACTTGGTATAGGGGTAGGTGTTGCCGGATTTCGTGGCGACCGTCTTCTTGGTGAAGTCGACGGAGGTCACCTCGTCTGAGACGGTGTCGATGGAGGCGTTTTGGTACCATTCGCGAGGGCGCCACTGGATCTTCTCGGGGTCGGGGATCAGGGCCTTGGACAGCTTCGGTCGATCAATAATCAAGTTGGGTTCACGAGAGATGACGGTGATGGAGCCCTTGTATTTTATTTCCCGCATCGTCTGGATCACTCCCATGGTTCCACTTCCACTGTTCGAGATGTTAGTCCATTTGTCACTGAGAGGAAGGACAGGGCCACCACTATGGGCCTCAAATTCCTTACCCTCCAACGATGACAATTTTCTCGGGGACGGAGACACTGCATTTCACGACCGGGTCTCGCTGACCGGACTTGATCGCTGACTCCTCTCCCTTGACGTATACTGCGCCGTTCTTCTCCACTATCTCGAATTTATTTAGGGCATTCAGAGCCGGGGCATCTTCGACATCGCCCGTGGCAATATTAAAACAGGCTGTCCGGAGAAAGACCGTTAGTTTAAGAACCAGTTCTATGCAAGTGATAGGTAGCATATCATATCAACCCACCTCCATGCCATGGGCAGGCGATTCTGCCATCCGGGGCGACGACGCCCAGTTTCAAGGGTGCCCCGTAGTGGGTACACTTGGGACTCATGGCATGATACTGGCCGTTGGAGTACACCACCAAAATCTTGCCACCTTCGATTCCGTCGACCTCAGATTCAACCTTATCCATATCCTTGATGTCCGCAAGGGACGAGATATCTTTAAGTCGGTATTCCTGAGCCATCTTGGCCGGTGGGGTGGAGTGGGATGTACGATAGGATATAGAAGGGAAACCAACGCAGCTGCGGGGAGAGGATGATGGAAGTGATGTTGAAAGCAACTGAAACGTCAAGAGGGGATAAATATATCGACAGCGGGGGGTGCAGGAGGGTCGAGAGACTAGACGTCGAGGGGGCAAGCATGACGACGACAAGGACGACGACAAGCTCTGGCGGGGGCGAAGGAGGGGTAGGTACATCAAGAGAGTGGAGGAGATGCCAATGATGAAAACATCCCCTCGATGGCGTGGAATGCAAAAGGACAATTATTCAACATCCAATATTCAAGACAATTAATTAATCAATGGATGACGTCGATGCCCAGCCAATCAGGAATCCGATTTTGTCACAGAATAAATGTAATAAACTAAAGGCTTGAATACTGGGTGTGGAGGATATAATTACAAGATGTTATCATAAACAATGCTCGCAGTCTAGTTACACCTCACCTCATCCTAGATCTCCCTCGTCGCCTCGACATCGGCGGACTAATGCTAACCTCCTTCAGCGTCTGCACTCGTACCGATGACCGCCGTGTTTGTCGCCGATCCCCAGGTGCATTCCTCTGTCCTCGGGGAAGTCGATGGGACGTGATATATTCCTTGTCACTTCCTTCTGGCGAGACGAGCGGGCTGGACTGCGTCAGGTCAACAACCACGGCGGACATCTGGGAAGCTGGTGGAGCGCCCTCTTTCACCTCGGCCCTCTCTTCCAGAATGCTTTCGGGCAAAGTATTGATGAGTGAAGCCTCCTGAGATGCGGATGGTGGTGGCTTCTCTCTGGTTGGCGATTTGTGCGACGTTGGAGAGGAGGGAAACTCTGCCGCTGAGAGATAGTCCATCGTTGAATCAGCGTCTTTAGTACCGGTGCTCTTCGCGATTCTAGAACTCTGCCGACGGTGTTCTTCATGGGCGCGGTCAATCTCGTAGAATGGATTGGGAACGACCGAACATAGGGACGACCGAGAAGGGGGCCTGTCAGGGTCCTTGTCCTTAATTGATTCTTGACGGGAGGTCCCATCTCCTATATCTTTGCCCTGAAATAGCTTGGAGAGTAGGTTATTGAAGGAAACGGCGCCCTCAGGGCTGCTCATCATCTCTAAATCCCTATCCAACCCCGCCGATGCCTCATAACTCAGCCGGTTCGGAGGGGCGGTCGATTGCGATGTGGACGGAGGGTGAGCGCGAGGATCGGGGGTTCGATTGCCACTACCATGGTCATCATCATCCTCCTCTTCCTCCTCATTGCCTTTGGCGTTATGGTCGGCCCCCGAACTATCCCTACACGCCGAGACAGACTCCTCGTCGGAGGACTGGAATCCGTGAAACTCCGGCGATTTTACGCCGAAGCTGGAATCCTCGCCAGAGGCCTTTTCGGCGTCGACTGCGTCCTTTGTTAGTTGCTCGGGTTCCTTTTGAGTTAACTGCTGGCTATCCGGAGGTGCTATCTCAGCGTCTTGCGCATCCGGCTTGGGGCTCCGTTCAAGTGGCTCTGCCAGGGAGCTTGGTCGGTGAGCGTCTGCACGCCTACTATTCTGAGAAGTGAAAGGAAATCAATGTACTGACAAGCTGGCTTTCTCGGCCTCTCCGAGACCTGCGGCATCGGCAGCGCGGAGAAGCTTTGGATCAATCAGATCAGAAAATGACACCTCGCGAAAACCGTCGTCCTCTGCCTCCTCTTCCTCGAACCCGGGCATTTCGAACCCACTGTACTGAGGTTCTTCTTCACCCTCGTCAACGATTCGGGGCTGCCTCCGGTTGCGCTTCGCAAGTCGGATTCTGAGAATATTTCCGTCGAAAACGTCGTGGATCTCGGAAACACGGTAGCCAGACACCGCAGGCTGCCAGTTTGTGTCTTTAGACATCTCCAACTGTTTGAAGGCAATTATGGAGCCTTGTTTTAAGTCATTTTCCAATAGGGCACCTACAGAGCCCAAGTCGTTCGGGACGTGAGGGAGATCGTTCGCGTCACCGTCGAACCCATCTTGTTCACTCTTCTCAGCGCCTCCCACGTCGTGGTTTGGCTGTTCCGTATCATCGTAATTGAGCGGCAGATCACCCTCGTCGTTATAATTTCCATTGTCAAACTCCGCTTCGTCTTCCCCATCATAGATTGGCAGGCGCTGTCTCCTTTTCCTTTTCTTGCCCAGTCCTTTGCGCTGTCGGATGATATCAATGGCTTCCATGTCCCAACGCTGCTCGAACGGAAACGGCGGAGCGCTCAATTCGACATCATCAAAGATACATTCTGTGGCTCGGACGATTAACTTGTCCTGCCAGTTCTCTTCTGAATCACTCTTGTAGATTTCAACAGGCTCTTCCGCGGTTGTTTTCCGCGGAAGAAAATTATTGGCCTTCCCTGCCAGCCTTTTTCGGGTGGCTTCTTCGTCCTCCTTGGTCCGTGGGGTTCGCACGCCAAGGGATCCGAAAAGCAGTCGCCGGGTGCTTGCAACATCCAGCGTACGCCGCTTGATACCAGTGCCTGTTTGATTGGCGTTTTCTGTTGGCGTGGTTTGCTCTTGTTCGGGAAGTGCTGGGACGCTGTCATCGACATCACCCAGGGGAACGTTCTGCTTTTCAGTGACATCAATTCCCCCTGACTCAAGATCACGGAGAAGTTTTTGTCGCTTGGCTTCAAATTCCGCTTGTTCATCCTCTTTCGTACCTGTGGGGAAGTAATGCAAGCCTCCAAGCGTCTCTTCCAATTTTCGGAGTGCGGCAAAGTCGGCCTCAGCCGGTAAAGCGCCAAGTTCCTTTAATTTTGCCAGTCTCCGTCGCATCTTGTTGCGTTGATTGCTCTTCTTGGTTCTTAGTGAACCCTTCCCAGGTGGATTGGCCTTGGAGGAAGTATCAGAAGCCTCTTCTTCGGATTCTGACGTTGTTGAGTCTTCTGAATCTGAAGTGGACTGGTCAGTCTCTGATTCAGAGGACTCTTCCGAAGAAGACGAGCTATCCTCTTCCGAGCTTGTATCACTAGATTCGCTGGCGGACGAGCTGCTAGAACTTTCGCTTGCAATGGATCCCTTTTCCAAGGCTGGGGTCGGGGCAGTTTTGATCACAGGAGAATTTTGGGATGGTGGAACTGGTGGCTTCTCTTTTTGCCCCTGGAATCTAACCGACTTTGAATCTCTCCGTGAGAGGTCTACATCTGGATGCTTTCTGTCGATTGTCTGAGAGAGGGAGCTTCTTGGTGCGGTGTGCAGACTCGATCTGGTGCGCAATGGATAGCTTCCGTGTTCTGCTTGGGCGTCTTCTGTGCTCTCAATTGCGGACATCGCAGGGACTTCCATATCTTCTTTCAGGTCCTTCAATTCCTCCGTCAGGTCCCCAGCGTCGAAATCCGATATATCTGCATCGCTCTCGGAGACTTGATCATCTTCAGCATCATTAACATTATATCGAATGACCGTTCCTTCCCCAGTGTCTTCATTGGCTTGATGAAAATCCTCATAGTCATCTTGATATGCATCTTCGTACTCATCTTTGTCGTACGTGTCACCCTTGTTACTGTCATTTTCCAAGGCCGAGATTTCTTTCACAGAACGTATTCGAGCGGGCGGTGCCCACTCTGTGTCCTCATCTTCGTATCCCACTCCATTGCCCCAGCCTGTCAGGTTCGTACGCCTTTTCTTTCTCGGAGGTATTGTGATGGCAGGCCGTGAAGATGTAGGTCTTTTCAGAAAAGGTTTGCCAAACGGAATCCCATCTATTAGATGTCGGCCATCAGCAGAAATCTGGTGCCGACCAGAGAGGCGTCGAGCGCGCAAGTCGGAGATTTGGAGGGCTCGAATCCTAAGCACCAAGGCAGGGGGTTAGATGAGGCAATAGCAATCAATGGCCACAGCCACCTAAGGCACTCACAATACTTCATCTCCATCCCTAAGGAGACCCTCTACGTCCATGAAATGCAGGCACTCGGAGCCTTCCACCTCCACCACATAATCCTCGAGTCCCCATTGTCCACTGAATTCATTGTCAAATAAGGCCGGTTCGGTTTCCAGCGGGATAACCCCATTCACATCTTCCAGGAGCTGGGCGATGGTATACCCGCCATTGGCATACAGCGCATTGGGGGTGCGCGTGGACGCAATGGCGGAAGACGGTGCGGGAATAACGGCCGCAGATCTAGACGCATTCTGACCGAACAAAGAAGGCGGCGCGGTGGTCCAAAGAATGCGCGTCACCGGCAGCCCGTGACGCTGGATGACGAGGTGGAGACGCATAATGGAATGTTTGGAGAGTGCGCTCTGTTCTTTTAAGGGTCCTGCTGATAGAGCATCAGCAATAGCATTGGCGGATCACTACGTTTCGACGTGCCAATATCAAGCTTCGATATCCGGCCGGTCGCGTGCGTTAGTCGGAATGCAGTACAGCAGCCAGTGTACTGTGCAAGAATAAGCCGACAGCCGGGCAAAATTCAAACCGAGAAACCCAAAGTGACACAAAGGTCTCAATCAGCAGTGGTGAAGGAGCAGCGAAATGGGCATATTAAGAGGTTTAAGCAGCGCGACGCGGTAGTTGAGAAATAGAAATAGCTGCGAGCAAACCGGACGGTGAGGAACCCGCTAAGCCTGTTCGGTTGCGACACCTCAGGCTGCCAAGTCAACATCGTCATCTTCGTTCATTTATTTTGGTGTCTTCCTATCTCAACTCATAGCAGATTTGGATTACTACTGGTGGCTTCTGGAAATGTAAATATAGAATACAGAGTGGAACAGCAAAGTTGGAGCGTCACATATGATAGGTTGAATGGATATAAAAGAGATGTATATTATACTATAACTAACTATAGTGATTTGTTAGTCATATCTATATATACAAGCACAATACTAACCATTTACATCTTATTTAACGTTGTAAAAAAACTGAAAACCGAAAAATGAATAAAATAAAATAAGTAAAATAAATTAAGGAAACATATTTGCAGCCCATGTAAGTCGTTGGTATTAAACAATTATAGCGTGAAATAGCACCAAGTCACGAAACTCCGCTTAAATGCATGTGGAATTGGATTTTAACGGTCATTAGGGAAGATGCTATTCCATGGCTTGCTGTGGACTCTTCACTCAGAGATGAAAAACCATGGTATTGCCCACATCACAACATCATCTCCACCCCCAGAAGCTATAACATCCCCCTATAAGTATAAACATTACTTGGCTAGACTCGAACCAAGGCTGCGATATACGAGGCTCTCTAAACAGAGCCAAACCAACCATATGGTGCTGTAGATGGAATACGGAAATGAACGGGTAAACTCCTAGGTTGGCTAGATCAGCCATGTCCAGAGCTTGGACTTCGAGGCACCGGTTTTCTACTAGGGACTCCGAGATTCTTGGGGCGGAAATCAGATCTCGATGGCCTCCGCTCAGCTTGGCTGCGGGTTTGCTGAAGGTGGCCTTCCGCTATGGACTGATACTGAGGAGGATTATCTTCCGGAGGGGGCGCGACCTTCTGAATCTTAAGAATACTCTGCTGGCGGGCAACGGGAGAGGCAGGGGGCGATCCGGAATGGGACTCCGGGGGAGTTGAGGGAAGCATGTCGAAGGACTCCGAGGATGAATTCGCTTCACGGTTGGCGTAAGGGGTCCGGGCCTCAGGATCCTTTCCTCGGTAAACTGACGGTCTCGGATCAGCTCCAGATTCAACGGATCTTCCGGGAGAGGAGGAATCTGGTGGGTTATACTCTCGACGGGGGCCATCGACGGGACCCAGGCTCTCTGCCATCGCGTCCTCGTAGCTGGGAGGCGCATCGTCGTAGGTTTCCTCGGAACTGGCGGGCACCGGAGGCGCAGAAGGTCTGGGCGGCATCGGTGGGCGCACACTACTTTCGCCCGAAGGCAGGCTCGGGACGGAGTGAGACTCCATCGGTTTGACACGTCCGGTGGTAGCCATAGCATCCAGAAGGGCCTGCGGCGGAGCGATTCCAGAGTAAACCTTGACGGGCATTCTTAACGGAAGTACGATGAGCTGAGGCTGTTGGTGGTTAGTTAGAGGATTAGAGAGATGACAACTACACAACTTACTCTCATATTTCCAACGCTGCCATGAGTCAAGCCGACTCGTACCTCAAGTTCATAAGACCTTGAGATATTGCAAGTTTCAAAACTCGGCGCCACCGAGCTCGGAAGAGGTACGCGATTCCACATATTAGGGTCTATGGTCCATTCAGTGCCTGCTGGATCGCCTCCCCTGCCAAGAGGAATGGCCATATTACTCCGGCTTATGATAACCCAACTGCCGCTTTCCGTCCGTCTGAGGTCGTGGGCTAGGATATGGGTGTAGCCAATCAGTTCAATCTGCAGCATCTGCAGGAAGATAGTTTCGAACGACTCCGACACCTTGTTGACCAACACTCGCAATGGTATGGGCTCATTACATGTGAGAATAGACGGGTTCGGTAGTCTTATATCTGCAGATACACGAGGGGAGTCCATAGGTGTGTCGTTGACGGTGGGGCTTGAGACCTTTTGAAATAAACCCTTCCTCGTCTTGGACGGAGGCAGAGGTGGTGTAAACTGATGATGACGTCTCGCATATGTTTCTTCATTAGGATTACCCGTCCTAGGGGGTTCGATCGGAAGAAAATTCAAGTTATAGATCTAAGAACCGTTTTGTCAGTACGCATGAAGTAGAAGAATGTAGTAGGATAATGTAGCCCACATTGATATTGTGTGCCTTGCACATACCGCTCTAATATTTTCTTTATAGAATTGGGGTCGAATGATAGTCGCCTTCAGATAGTACTTAATATCCGCCTCGCCCGGAAATCCGCTTAGTGACGGAGGTAGTGTTTTCTTGACATGACGATTCGTATCCCTAGCCATCTCGACTTTTAGGCCCGTGATATTCAAATTTGTAAGCATACTATTTTGGGTGCTGCACGTATTGTTGAAAGGGAACTTGTTCGAGTGTTAGCACTATATGACTAGCACCGGTATGCCTGATACTCTAATTACCTTGAATTGAAAGGGATATTCATATGTCCCAGCGGCGAAGGTGTATGCCGTATTTTGAGTCTTTTGATTAAAAACCTCCGGAGTTGGGAACACTGTGACCACTTTGTACAAGATCTGTCACGAGCCGATTTATATTAGTTATTCTATGAGTCGTTCAAAGAATAGCATTATTTATTTTATTTAAAAAATAATGAGAGAAAGAATCGCACCTTGTGGACTTCAAGCTCCGTCCGCTTCTTGTCTGACTGCTCATGGTGCGGATTTCGTGGGCCTGAAAGGCGCGTCCGACTCTCTCCTTCGAGTTTCACTTGTATCCCACCTATTGCCGCTTCCGTAGGCAAATGGAGCGCAACTCTTCCGGAGAGAAAATCAAGGTTGGTGAAGTGGGTATGTGCATTGTCTAAGTGAATGGTTGCGGACATGACGAACACCTGGACCGAGCCAATTTATCGAGACCCGGCCGATTGTGGTGTCAATAATCTACTCCGAAATCGACAGAAAAGGTGAGAATCGTGTCCTGATGATGATCGTTGGAATCTTCTATATCTGGGAGCCAGCCTGGTGGTGTTGGTGGACGAGGGAGGAATTTGACATACAAAATACGATATGAGGGGGAAAATGACGTTAAAAAGGGACAAGATGAACGCCGAGTGTGGGGCAATCAAAGGTTCTAAGGGTTCACTCTCTGAGCCGTAGAATGGTGAGGAACTGACAACAGCAACAACAATGGAAGGCCTTTTTATGTGTCTTTCTGATCCTTGCTCCTGAGCGTCTTCGTGTCGTCAATCCTCCAAATCTTGGCCAATGCTTGCGATCGTTTCACAGGGCTGCCCTTCCCCCCAATATTAAACGGTCTGGGCCGCAGAGTTCACGAGCCGCTAAGCCACTCGGGATAGACGGGAATAGGAGACACCGCCACGCTCTGGCAACTGTCAATGACTCCATTCACCTCTATGGAGTATGGTAGTGATATGTTATGACTATTATCAATCATACATCCCATTGGGTGCCCGCTAGCCGCCAGAATTGGTATAGGTACTGCCTAGAACCCCCATCCGTCATATCGCGCCTTCTAGGCATCAGAATTCTTCTAGGTAGCCGCTGCACATTGCCATCAAAGATCTTCTTTAGCCAGCATGTATAGGGGCGGATGAGGCGCAGAAGGACTCATCAGCCACAGGTTTCCCGAAATAAGTATTCTGCAAGAATGCTTGTCACGTACCGGCAATATTGAGGTAGAGCGGAATGGAGTTGAAACTAACCGCGAATAAACTTCATCCCATCCCACTGCCTACGATCCTACGTCGGAGTACAATCAAGTCTGTGGGACAAACCTTCTCCTATTCCCAGTGATCTCACCAGCCAGCCACTTTAGTCTGTTACTCCAGTTAATTAGGTCTAAGTGGCTCATGTACATAGTCCGCTTGTAGCCCGCTTCTCCTCCCCGTCTGCTGCTGGCAACGCTGACTAACGCGTCATTATGTCCTTCGACCTGCTCAGGATACGATGGCATAGGCGGGAGACAGACCGGAATCTTGGCTGCGTCGCTGCCCGTAGGAGAAATATCTGCATTGACATCATCAGCATCCGGCGTGGTAGGGTTGAATGTATTTTCCATATATTTACGCGTCAACTAAGTGAAGACACCTGTCTTATTCTTCTGGTGCTCAAGAGCGTGATATACAGTAGCTGAGCGAGTCGATCGTCTGTAAATGATAACATGAGCCTCCTCTTTGCCCAGCGCAGAGTTAAAATGAACAAATCGCCGACCTGCTTAAGAACATAGTCTGTAACCGAAGAACCTGGATAGGTCTTAGTGAAAGGATTCCATCTCTCAGGTGCACCGCCACGAAACCTCAATGCGGAGTTGCAACACTTATCAAGGATCCTACATTAAAATTCTTGGGTTTCAGATGACTGTTCATATACCGAGAATCCAGTCCACTCTAACAGTATTAACTGGAAAACAATCTTGCCATTCCTGAGATTTGTTAGAGACCTCGCCCCTTCAGAACTATGTTAATAGACGGATACCCAAGGCCACGTATTATTTCCTCTTACCATACCACGACTGCAATGCGTCAACTATATCGCCCACATCATTCCAAAAGGGTCCATGGAAAGGAAGAAAAACATATGCAATTATATTCACATCTCTTCCACACGCGCCAGCGGCAGTACTTCTTGCCAATTCCTCAGCACGCATCTCAATGGATGCGGACGGAGGCAATTCATCAAATCCAAGTAATCCATGTGCTAAGACAATGGCATGCTTGGGGTTATCTGGTCCAAATGATCAGTTAAGGGCGGGCTGGTTCTGTGCCTACAAGGTTCGATACTCGCGGCTTTGGACTGGGTGTACGACCTACTGTAATTATCATGGACCACTGCATATTCTTCAATAACTTTACCCAAGTCTTATAGGCGTGGATCTTGCATATGTAAACTGGAGCCACGTCCCGAAGAGCGGAAATTCCGCGGATGCGTACAAACGACGCGGGGAATTGAAACATAATAGTCGGATTAATATGTTTCATTCTTGGGCGCAGCTTGGGGACCAAATATTTCACTTTCTTTTTCCTTCTTGCTGCCTCTCCTGTGGAAAGAGAACTTGTATTGTTTGTATACAGATCCATAAAGTGGTAGTGTGCCTGATGACGCAAGGCTCCTAATCAGAGATATAAGATGCCTTAGGCGCAAGTGCCCATGCATGTCGATTCTATATATCATAAATAGACCGGAGTCTAGCCTATCTATATACGTGCATACAAACCTTTCAGCACATAGAAGCACCCAAGATTAAGACTGTGGACAAGATATCAAATATATATGTCGAGTCCAGACTCTATAATCTGGATGGCCTCTGGTGCTGACCAGGATAATACTTGACCCCATTTCTAAAGAAAAATAGGTATTTGCACTAAAATTGAACCGCAGAAAAGCAAACTATATAACAGCTCTTAAAGCCACTGAATGAATAGAATTATGGAGTTGCCCTCCGCACAGCCAGAAGAACAGTAATCTGACACACCTCTATGCCTTGGCCAGTATCTTCTCCGAAGGCTGGGGATTCACCTCAACGAGGGCATGAATGAGATCATCTATGACCTTGCCACCCTTGCTATCGGCCGATTCCTTGATCTCTTGGAGTCTTACATCGGCCTCTTTGTTCGCATCGTCTTCGGCCTTCTTGTATCCGCTCGAGTGCTAATGTCGAGACGCAATCACAGTTAGATTCTTGTTTCATGTAATTAGACACCCTAGTCAAGACGACCCTCCAAGATCGTCGTGTCTGGTAGTCCTCTTACCTCAGCTTCGAACTTCCTGAACTCGGCCTCTTTTTGGTTTCTGTATTCTTCGATTTCCTTTTGCGCCTCCGATTTGGCATCTCTCACCCGTTTTGTACGGTCTAGATCATCAGAGTCAAAATAGGACCGATTAATGTTGCGTACGAGAGAGAATTCCATACATTCCCTGGCTGAATAAGTCATCCGTTAGTATACCTTCATGGCTGGCTAGGCTCGTATCCAGGAAAACGTACCTTGCTGAACAATTTTCTGTGCCTCTCTCTCAGCCTGCCGAGTTTGAGGTCAATTCATGTACGGTTTGCGAAGGCCTTTTCGATGCGACCTACATCGAGGAGTGTCTGAATACCTGCGGAGTTCTGGGCGGACTACAAGATGCGCATTGGAATCAGCTGATGGTGCTAGGTAGAGGTACAGGCGGAACTTACCATTTTGCCGGAGCGTCCCCTGGAGTTATCGATGGGACTGTTCGTACGAGGGCGTCAAGGACGTGAGGACAGAATACAGATTAGGGCGGAGTCGTGGAGCTTGGGAGCTTGTGATGCGCCGCCGTTCAACTCCCGACGCCACGGATGATTAACGACTAGGTAGGCGGTCAGGATTCTGCCCATTGTCACCGCTGCCACGCTGATATTACGACACATGGGAGGTTTGGGCTTTTATTTTCACTCGGTTTATTAAAGAGTCACTTTGGAACGAAACCCTCGTGGAATTAATATATTGACATTCGTCGGATAATAGAGATGTCTCGAGCGTCAAAATTGACGTTGGCCGCGACGGGCCTCGGCGCCGCGGGGATCATTTACTTTGTGCATTGGTCTCAAGAACAAGAGAAAGCTGTACGTTGGAATTGATGCCTGTTTCTGTCTCAATTGGATACTGATACTGGTCCCAATCCTATAGTCTATGCACAAAGGGGTGGAACGGGACATGGAAAAGCAGCGCGTGCGACAAGAACGTCAGGCGGAGTTCGAGATGCAGAAGAGACTCGAGGAGGAATACAAGAAACTCCAAACCGTTTCTTCCAGTATAGACGAGCCCAGTGGAGGAGGGAAGAACCCAGCTTAAGGGTCCTAGAAGGACCGGAGGCGACAATGAAGTGTGTTGGTGTGCATGATGTTACTCTGGCAGATTTGCATCTGGTAAGTCCCGTGCGCCGAGAAGTTACTGGCAACGACTGATTACAGATTCTAGAATCAGCATTTGATCTAACTGTTATTGAAGATGTATGTGTATAATAGGTATACCCCACTCTGTATAGTATACTTTCTTAAAGACTGTTTTCTATCTATTATCCGTTGGGAGACAAGCATCTATTATGATGTCCAATGGCATCGAAATTTAGACAATTGAAACCATACCCACAGCGTACAATTTTCTGGTAGAACCAGATTCTCCAGAGTTTACCATAAATATGGTTGAATATCCCCAATATGTATACTCGCGGTTCTTCCCTATCGGAAGTTTGCTGGCCTTATCTGGACCAACCTGTGTCGCGAAGACACAGTTTGCGTAACACACATAAAACAAGGCCGGCTATTATCGGAGGCCGGGCCAATTCCGGCCTCCTGCCACTAACGAACGCTATTTTGGTGCTGACCGGAGCCTCCGGCAAATCATGGATGGGCCTGTGGATCCCGAAGGCTTGGCGGTTGTTGAAATATAGAGCTGGCATGGATGGCCTGCTGCGTTCATTATGGTTGTGACAGGGGAACAACCAATACAGAGGTATAATAGAGGAGTATAGTGGCATAGAAAATGTTATAGATACTGCACTGGGCATTTCCCCCCAGTCCCATGCGATGAGCACAAGAATTCGCCGCCAGAGTGTCTGATATGGTCAGCTGTATTGGGCTTAGCTTGTCCCCGTGATCCTATCTTGCCCTTGCCTGCCAAAGTTTTGATATAGATCAGTCGTAGAAGGCATGCTGTGTGGACATCGTCGAGGCAAAGTACGATTTCCATCGGTGGGCTTAATAGAACCCAAAATTTTCACCTCACGGGCTCACTAGATGTGATATTACCAAGAGACACCCAAGGATGAAGTCTCTGCGCCATTTGGCTAGGTTTTTCGTAATGGAGTCTGCGAGGCCGGAATTGATACCGGCCTCTCAGTGTTATAAGAATCGCCTCCTTTCCCACCCAAATCCTTGCTGTGTCTCCTAATTCAACAAGCCCAGATAGTCTTTAAGAGTATTCTATCTCTCCAAACCTGCTCCGTACCTTCCCCTTTTGTCAATCAGTGCTATCCTCCCAGTCTTCCCCCCCAAGCCCCTTATCAGGTTCCCTTTCCTTTGTTAAATTTCCACCATGACCCAAATAAAGGCCCCCTCTACCTCTACCTCTATCTCTACCTCTACCCTCAAACGTTTCCCATACATCAACAATGACCCTTCAACCCTGCCTCGGTCATTGGACCCCTTCACCATTACCACCTCGACGGGGTTCATGCCCTTCATCATGTCCCCCACACAGCTGCCCGAACCCTTCCAGCCGGTGGTGGACCTGCTTGAACGCATGCCAGTGACAAAGCTCGACGGCACTCCGGGTCTCCTGGCGACATATTCACTAGGCCCTGAGGTGGCCAAGCTGCCTGATCTCACGGCCGAAGTTGACAAGCTGGTCACGGCCGATGGCTCCATGGACCTCTATGCGGTCACCGCCGTGTTCAGGGACTACTCCTTCCTTGCTTCAGCTTACATCCTCGAGCCATGCTGGGAGAACTGGAGCAAGAACCCCGAAAATGGATATGGTTTGGGTAGAGACGTATTGCCCCGCGCTGTGGCGTGCCCTATGTACCGATGTGCTCAGCTGTATGTGATGACGTTATAACCCCCTTATCATACCATTTCCAATATTTTATCACCCGTGCTAACTCTTCTATTTCGCCAGCCTGGACATCCCTCCATTTATGTCTTATGCTGCTGCTTACTCCCTCTTCAACTACACCGTTGAAGAGCCATCCAAGGGTTTGACCTATGATAACCTCCGTTTGGTCCGTGCCTTTGAACATGGTCTAGATCCTAAGAGCTCAGAGGCCGGGTTCATCTTGACCCATGTGGACATGGTCAAGTGGTCCCAGGGATTGATCAGTGGGGCGCTCAAAGTCGTCGACACTCTCGAGGAAGGAGGTTCTCGAAATGTGGTTAACGATGGATTCAGAGAGATCCTGACCTCCATGGAGAAAATTGAAGCCAGTATGGAAGGTAATTAATCTCACTGAAGCCTAAACTCTCAGAATGTCTTACTGTCGACCATGAAATCTGACTTGATATTCTCTAGATATGTGGGCCAACTCTAAACCCGGAGATTATCTGTCCTTCCGCGTCTTCATCTTCGGAGTCACCTCGCAATCCATGTTCCCCAATGGTGTGGTCTACGAAGGAGTCCTTGATGACAAGCCCCTCTATTTCCGGGGAGAGAGCGGTGCCAACGACAGCATGGTAGGATGATATGCCCTCTAGATGGAAAAATATCTTCCCGATGGTTAACTCGATCCACGCAATAGATCCCCCTACTCGACCACCTGCTTCAGATCCCCATGCCTTCCACTCCGCTCACGAAAATCCTCCACAAATTCCGGGCCTACCGACCTCTTCCCCATCGAGAGTTCTTGGCCTACATGAACGCCAAAGCGGCCGAAGTCGACGTCCGGAGCTTCGCGTCCCAGGATACCGAGACAACTATCCTGTTCCTCAAGACCTTGAATCATGTGCGTAGCTTCCGCTGGCGTCACTGGCTGTTTGCCCGTGAGTATATCATTCGTCGGACGCCGCACCCGACTGCCACGGGTGGAAGCCCAATCGTTACGGTATGGATCCTCCTTATGTCTTGTCCTTAAGGGTCCTCTTCCTGGATGGAACTAACGCGTATGTAGTGGCTACCCAATCAATTGTCTGCGGTGATGGATATGATGATCTCCATGTATGATACATATCTGGCTCCTCAGAAGAACTCAGAAGCTGGTGCCCACGGTTTGACTGGGTATGATGCCACGTACCAGAAGCAAGTGGAGCCGATGATGGAGATGGTTCGGGATCAAAGGGACAAGTTGGCAAAGGAGGTTGAGAAATGGTGCAAGGAGAGAGGTGTTTGAATGGAAGAAAAAGAGGAGCCCAAAAAAGGAAAAAAAAAAAAAAAAAAAAATAGATTAACCGTACGTCCATCTTTGACGGTGTGGACTAGAGATAGATTGTACGACGTCAATGGCACTTTCAAATTTGAACTATGCTGAAGATTTCCTCTTTCCCTGCATCTTCTGCAGATAAACCAAAGGTAACGCCTGCTCCAATAAACTACTATAAAAAAAGTCTGAGTTTTATGTCCAGACGCCTTAGACCAGAAAGGGAACGTCGTAACTGCAACCGAACTTATGCAATAAAAACAGCTATGACATCTTTTATCCCTCTTAGACTCTCTACCGAACCCAGAGTGTACGTCCTCAGGGTTTCTCATTCGGTGTCAGAGGTTGCCGGAAAAGATTGTGATTATCAACCTAGAAACGCTTCTGATCATATAAAATCGCAATCCCAGCTGCCCGCCCATAAGCCACTGCATCGGACGAGACCTGCTCACAGCCCTTTGCACAGATGCGCTCGATTTGCGCAGGGTTAGATCTCGGAGAACGGGCATCTGCGAATGCCTTGATTGAGCAACCGGTTATCTCAGTATAGGATAGGTTGATGGCTTTTAATGTCAGTATTTTTTCGGCGATCATGGCCACAACCGCGTCATCGATGTGAGATATGTACGAGACACTGAGTTCCGCCAGCTCCTTTGCGTGTTCCCACAGGAACTGGGCAAGGCTGGGGCCAAGGAGTCGAAAGCACTTGTCTACATGAAGAACCTTTAAGGGGGCCTGAGCCTCCAGTAAAAAAAAAAAGAGCGTCTGATTTGTAACCCAAGGGACGTCGTGAAGGATTAAGGTAGTAAGATTCGGGAATCTGAGGGGCAACTCGTTTGAAAATGGGAACTCTTCAGTCCCTGCGCCGCCGCGGACACGAAGGTATTCAAGGCTAGACGGCAAGGCAAATTCGTTACCCACAAATACCCCACTAAGGTCCAACTTTTTCAGTCGCTGAAAATCTAGCGGGTTGAATGAAGGGGGATAGGGGATGAAGACTTCTGGATTGGAATCAAGCCGCAGCTCTTCCAAATTGGGAATTGGGAAGGGAAGTGAGGGCTGTTGGAGTCAGTAAATGCCTATATAAAACATAGGGTGTAAGGTAGCAATACTTCTTGGCGTGGAATATAGAGGGCAGGAACATGGCCCGTTGGTCTTGACGGCTCTACGGAGCCCAGGGTAATGCTTCGTAGATGAGAGAGATTGGGCGGCCATTGTGCCTTCGACTGGGGTGAGGACTTGGCCTTGTGAACCTCGATTCGGTCGAGAAGGGGCAAGCAGGCGAGAAACTTGGCGATATACTCCTGTGGTATAGCTGTATCTGCCGATATAACAAGACTTCTCAGGCGTTTGGAGCCCTTGAATAGGTCGTAAACTACTTGATAGTTGAAGGGATCCAGCAACTCCAAGTGTTCTAACCTTGGACATCGGCTCACAAACTCCAGAACTCTTTGTGTTGAAGGAGTGGATATATTCTTTAAGGTAACGTGAGTAAGCATGGCTTTAGATCGCCGGATATAAGCTCGGACGGAGGACCAATGTATCCTGCCCCGAGCGCTGGAAAAATCAACCCGCATCCATAGATCACGCATGGAGGAAAGAAACTGGTCCCATTTCTTTGACACGCGCAGAATAGCCCTTGAAAGAGGAAGGTTAGGAGATAAGATGCTACGACAGCCCCGAAGACCTACACAATCTGTTTGAATTCAAAATGCTGCAGGACCAAGCTTGCGAGTTCCAAAGGCAGTACACTGAAAGGATCGTAACACTTCACAGTCATCTTGTCTCTCAATTTGTTGTGAAGCTGTTCTATGAGCTGTGCCAGTTAGCACAGCTGTCGGCACGTAAAAAAGGGGATCTCATATTATGACCGCCCTAGCAGTTACTGAAGAACTAACCTGACGACGAGGATGACTGGTAGGTAGAACCTTCAGACCGTAGGCATACAGCTCCAAGGCCTTGTCAGCTTTCCCATCCAAGAGCAGGGTCTTCGCTGCGCGAAGATATCCCTGCGCTAGGTTAGTATACAGCTGTCATTGTTCCGCGGCCTTCAAATCGGCCCCTGCAGTGGCTTACGCGGTCATCCTGCTTATGGCTCTTGATCATCTGTTTAGCATCGCGCAACGCTCGATCATACTGCGCTAGCTTAGCATATGTGGCAGCACGATTGTCCAGGATACCTAGATGATTGGCATCTTTTGCTCTTAATGCCTGAGGCAACCAAAGAGTTAGAAAAGTGTCTCGGGGCGTGTTGGATATACGAACGAGCCATAGAAAATAAATCAGCTATACCTCGGTAAAAACTTCTACTGCCGCCTCAAAACTACCTTGCTGATATAGTTTCTGGCCATGCTGCTGCAATGCAGCCGCTTCTTCACGCGCCGAATCTGCCATGGATTAATCATCTCAGCCATCAAACACTGCTCAATCATCATCGCTGTGAGGAGGCAAGTCCACGCGTGCGTTGGCCACTAGATGCGTACCTCGAGAGCTCATGGCAGTCTGAGCCTGTTTCCATTCTCCTAGCCCTAACTCGCACTGGAACAAGTTGATTCGTGAATGGTTGTGGTCTCGTCTACCGGGCAACGGCTGCCGCATTCGCTGACGCTGCGCAGTTGGTCTCTGCGACGCGCCCGATTCCCGATGTTTACGTTCTTCCTAATGAGGAATCCCTGCCCCCGGCAAATAACGGTGCTGACGAACCGTGGATACTCCGTTACTTACATCGCTCCAACCGCCTATTCAGGAGTCCCAAGGCAGCTTGCTGGCAAGCCATGGAGCCGCATAACCTGGAGGCGGCGTCGACCTACGTTAATAATATCCTTCTGGCCCGGGGGCTGTTGAAGAGTGGCAGGCCGATCGATTTCGCCCAGCCAGAAAATGAAGAAGGGGGGGTTGCAACAACAATGGGGAGGATCATCAATCTAGTGAACGATCTGGTTTTAAGAAGAGATGTAGGTTATGTGGAGCCCTCCTAAATCCTTTCTTCTCTTCTCTTTTCTTTTCTTTTCTTTTTTTTATGCCAGGAGAGAACCAACCCATCTAACAGAATCACCTAGCGCGAAGCTGAACATCGAGAGAATTTGGCGACTACGATCCGAACACTACGTGCAGAAGAGTCGCAGAAGACGATCGATAATGTACGTTACATGTTTGTAGAAGGTCATGGGACTAAAATTTGGACACTAAGACCTGCAATATAGGAGAAGCTCAAGGCGAAGACGTCCGAATTGACTCGGTCGCTGGCATTGGCAGAAGCCCAGGAACGGGCTCTAAAGTCCAATGTGTCAAGTGCCGACTCTACAATCCGGAGTTTAAAGGATCAAGTGCAGCGGATTAAGACCATCCTCCAACAGGTCCGCGCACAATGTGCCAACGACATTCGCAAGCGAGATTTGGAGACGCAAAAGTTGAAATCCCACCTGGCCGAGCGGCAGAGGGGCAAGCGGGAAGGACTGGGGGTAACAACCATCAACATCAATCCCGCAGTCGAACGCGCGTCCAAGACGAGGTATCCGACAGGTGGGGATGGGGTCCATGATCCGGGGTACAGTCTGAAGCAGGAGACGAACGACTTTCTTACGGAACTGTGCCAGAATTTGAGCGACGAAAACGATTCTTTGATAATCCTCGCGCGCAACACCGTTCAAACCCTGAAGGATCTCCAAGGTCTATCTCAAGCCGAGGAGGAAGAATCGTGCTCGACCGGAGCGGCAAGCTTGGGAACGCAGAGGTCTTCCCATGGGCCCGTCACGACACTTCCTTCGTCCTGTGAGGAATTGTCCGATCAGATGGACAGAGTGCTGGGACACCTGAGAACGTTGCTTACGAATCCATCCTTCGTACCTCTGGAAGAAGTCGAGGTACGCGATGAGGAAATTGCGCGACTCCGCGAGGGCTGGGAAAAGATGGAGACCCGATGGAAACAAGCTGTGACCATGATGGACGGGTGGCATAAACGCATTGCTGATGGAGGCGGCTCGGTGCAGGCCGAAGAGTTGCGCATGGGCATGACACTTGATCTCAGCATTGATCCGTCGCGCGACAGAGTGATGGACGCCGAGCGAGACACATGCATACAGTCACCCATTTTCGAAGACCAGGAAGCTGAGAATGAGGAAGAGGAGGCAGACCAGGCGGCTCAAGAGAATGACGACCGACCGGCCACTCAAGCCGCCAGTCAGTCTCAGACACATGAAGAGAAGTCTCAGAAGGCCTCCACCCGTGCGCTCAAAGAACGAAGCGATAATATTCGGTCTGGCCGGTCACCCCGTAAAGTCTCCTTTACACCTGGATTGCAGGGGTCGCCCTGTGGGTCTCACGGCGAGGATGACGAGACATTGCAGGTCAAGGCCCACCGATCAGAAGCTGTTACGCATCGACCGTCGAAGAGACGACCAGAAACCAAGACGACTCGTCCCCCGGTAAGGGATCTCTATATAAATGAGAATGCTCCTTATCTGACAACGATGAAGCAGGGGGCCGAAACTTCCACCCGACTGAGTGTTTCGCAGAAGCTCGCCGCCGCGGAGAGCGAAGCCAGAGCTGCTGAGCAAGCTCGCAAAGAAAGAGAAAGCCGCAAGAGAACCCGGGGAGGCAAAATCTCAAAACCGAGTAGTGATCGACGACGGAGCACACTGACCAACGACGAACTCGGGGAGCTGATGGGGATGCCCACGAGGTGATCCCGACTGACCATTGGAAAGATGACCAAGCGTTCGGGATATGACTTTGTTTGATACCCCTTTGATCCGTCACTGTGTATATACCAAACCTCCTGCTGCTGCCTGTTGTTCCCTACATTTGCGACGACGAGCTTATCATGACCTGGCGCCTGTCAATACTTCTTTCTTGCCTAGTTGGCTTAGGACGAACGCATGAATGACTAATATTAATTCATAAAACTAGTGGATTCTTGTCTGGCGCATCTGGTGGATGTTCGGTATAAGCATACTCCCGTAGTCATGTCAACCTCGGCAACTCCTGACTCGGTCCGTATGGCAGGACCTCCGCATTCTCTACTCTGTATAAATCCATCCACCCTTCAGGATTGATTTATGTTCCCTTGTATATATAAACCTACGTATACGCCACTTGAGTCGTCCCAATTGACCCTAGACAAATGTCACCAACCTCGACAGATATATTTCAAGGCTGGGTGGCCCACGACGCCACCAGCCCCCTGACGTTCACCACCTTCACGCCCAAACCATTCACAGAAACGGACGTCGAAGTTCAGGTCTCCCACTGCGGTATCTGCAGCACAGATCTCCACACGCTTCGCTCGGGCTGGGCCCCAACAGACTACCCATGTGTTGTGGGCCACGAGATCGTCGGGACTGTCTGTCGGGTTGGTTCTGGCGTCGCCACGCTGGCATCATCTCCCGCGTCCCCGGAGATCAAGATTGGTGATCGCGTGGGAATCGGTGCTCAAAGTATGTCATGTCTACGAGCTGACTGCGAGGCCTGCGCCGACGGCCAGGAGAACTACTGTACCCGTATAACGGGCACATACAACGGACGGTACGCCGACAAGAGCAAATCATACGGCGGATATGCAACGCGGTGGCGTGGACCAGCGTATTTTGTCTTCAAAATTCCCGATGCGTTGCCCTCCGCTGAAGCAGCGCCGTTGCTTTGCGGTGGAGTGACGGTTTTCGCGCCGCTGCAGAAATACGGGGCAGGACCGGGGAAATTGGTGGGAGTCGTGGGGATCGGAGGACTGGGACATATGGGGATTTTGTTCGCTCGGGCGTTGGGCTGTGATCGAGTGGTGGCAATCTCGCGGACGTCGAGTAAGCGCAAGGATGCGGTGGACGGATTCGGCGCAGATGCGTTCATTGCCACAGACGAAGAACCCAAGTGGGCGCGGACGTATTCGCGGACGCTAGACTTGATTCTGTGCACTGTCGATGCACCGGATATGCCTCTGACGCAGTATCTGCGTCTGTTGAAGATGGATGGGGTGTTTGTGCAGGTGGGAGTGCCTGAGCAGCCGCTTCCACCCCTGATGGCGTGGTCGTTGATTCAGAAAAGCGTCAAAGTTACCGGGTCGAGTATTGGGTCTCCAGAGGACATTCGTCAGATGCTGCAACTGGCGGCAGAACAGCGTGTGCTGCCGTGGATTCAGAAACGGCCCATGAACGATGTCAATGCTGCCCTGGCGGATATGCATGATGGGAAGGCGCGGTATCGGTATGTGCTGGAAAATGGGACAGACGCGCAGGCCAAACTATGAAAAGACGACGTCTTTCATTACGACATTGTTGATTACTCGTAATTGGGTTGATCCCAGACGTGATATTTTCTTAAGGTGTTGTCTCTATATACTGCCACGTCAGGACTGGAATGTAGCTCTTTATCCCGCTTGTGCTTGGTGGTTGGTGTAAGTGCTCTCAGCTGTGCATATCGCTGATGCATAATCCCAGCCAGTTGAGTTCCTAGGCTGTGTAGGCCCTGGTAGGACGGTAAATTCTTGTTCTGACACATGGATGGAGGGCTGATATAGAGTGAAGCGCTCATCGATATCTTTGATGTGCTCTTGATGTTCCTCGTAATGCTCATTTTGATCATCCATCCAGTGAGCTGAATTGTCTGAGGCCGAAGTAAGTCATGGATGAGAAAAGTAGATGGTGACCAACGAGATAAACATGCCTGTGTAATATCACGAGAAGAAAGAGATATGTGTTTTAGTATCGTATTTCTTTCCTTCCTTAGGTCTTAGAGAAAAAACAACAAGCCAATTGTCGACCTGCCGAATGATGGGGTTCCTTGTGAATTGCCATTCTGTAAATTTTTGGATAGCTGTACTTCTACCCAAGCTCAATCTGACCATTTTCAAAGGAAAAACTGTCTCCAAAAATGGCCTCCATTGGCCCGCGAACCAGTAGTTTCCAGTTGTCATCCAAGATCTGCCAAATCGCTTTTGGCACTCTGATACTCCATTCACCAACGTACCAGCATTCTCGTAGGTCATAAAGGACGGCACAATAATGAGTTAAGATAACCAGAGCCAAGGGACTGCGGTCTCTGACCATGTCCACGAATTCTGGCTTTAGTCTGATTGCCCACCTGCAGGCGACAGTGACAGAGATCCAACCTCCGTAGATGGCGGCTATCATATCAGCGAGGATATCAATAGTATGGTGATAGATCGCTGTGTTATGGGTAGGGTCCTGTGCTCCGTAATGATTGTTTATCTCATGCAATCGTTCGATCACCTGTCTAGCAGAATCTGGCAGGGAGTTGTTGTAGTCATCCAACTTTAGAATTGTCTCCCACTCGCTACCAACAATTGATGGTACCGCTTTATGCAGCACTTGCTGTGTACCCCGGGCCAACACAAATACTTGAATCAATTCATCAACGCACGCCCATGGGTCCTTCGGCTCTGGCGGATGAGGAAACCCAAGCGCATACATGACTACTACGCCGGCAAATGCAAACATTGCCTTTGCATTCGATTCATTAATGCCACCCAGGAGTTCACGAAAAATCGCTAGTGCTTGATTTTGGTGAGCAACAGCGGTATCGAGATACGCAGGGCTGCGATGATCATCCTTCATGCGCGCTAGATGAAGGGCTGAAAGCGATAGGATCCCGTGCATGAGAAAAGGATGCGAGAGCGCTTCTTCAGGTGCGCGATAGCGCCAAATGTTGTCGGTACGCTCATTGCGACTCAGGTACGTGTGGGTTGAATTGCACCATTGCATCATTAGCTCTAAGTCACCGAGGTTGAGATAGGTCAGGGCCGGAGTAGCTTCACCCTTTCCGCCTAGCCTTCCAAGGACGCCAAATGAATTCGCAGTGGAAGCCGTACATTCTGGCGGCTGGGGCTCCTCAGAGGTCGATAGATTTGACTTTGTGCGGGATTTTGAGCCTTCGTTTGCCCATAATACTGAACCACTAGAATCATATTCACATTCTGCCTGACGCTTAGAGCAATTGCAACAAATTGGTCGAGCCTCGTCACACTTTCCAAAAGAGTCAGTAGATTAGAGATATCCTCTTATTTTATGAAGCAATGAATTGTGCTCTACCACTTGCAGAGCCAAACAAAAAAGAAAGAAAACCAAGGCACTGGGGATAAAGTACCTTTACGCGTCTCCTTTTACACTCCATACAGCCGTGGCGAGACTTATGATGGGGTCTTCGGAGGGCCATCCTGGCCCATTGTCATGGCACCGGAAATGAGAATCCCAAGAGGCAAATGAGAGGCTATGAGAAAGTACGAATCCTTAGGCACCAGCGTGATTTATGATCCGATTATGTCAGCCTACGATATTCGAATTAGTTAACTAACCTGTCCGGGGACACAGAGCGTCCGATTTTTTGCTCTGCTCCCCCTGAATCGATTAAGGGCCAGGAGAATTCTCCCATCATAAGAATTATCCTCCAATTGATAATATGGATAGTATAGAGGAATTTGCAATTGTTGGTGATGCTGCGGTAGAAAAATGAGGACGCTTGGTGTCCGATTACGTTACGGCCCGAAACAGCGGAAGTAGTCCGAGTGGTTTATTTTGTGTCAATTAATCGTCTAAAATAATACAATAAACAGCAACTGGTGGTATCAGTTTCAACAGCGCAAAACCCAGAATCATCAGAATCGAAAATATGTTCATCAAGTTTTTCATCAGCCACCACCACCGCCACCCCCTCCGCCCGAATTGTTGCGATTGTTTCGGCGCCTCTGTTTCTCATATAGCGCTAGTACCGTGAGAATAACCATCACCTCAAATTCCTGGCCATAATCCACATCGATCTGGAGTTTGCCGCATTTTGTAAAGCTCTTTAGGCTATTGCTCGTAAAGACTGCAACGATGCGTCCTGTTTGCTCGTCAAGTAACTTGTAGTTACGCGTACTAAGCATGGCGGGTTTGGCGCCATCAACGCCAACGGAATGAGTCGTTTTCCAGAGAAAAGACTGCCTGGTTGGACCATTGGCAGTCCGGACCGTCATTTGCCAGCGGTACTGGGTGAGTTTGTAATTCTGGCACACCAGGTCCTCCCACGAGACTTCATTGATATTCTGTGGGTCCCCAAGTCCAAGCTTCAGATGTCTTGAGAAGTGCAGGAATTTGCACACAGCCACGATAGGGCCATTCTTGTCAGAGCCGGCATGGACTGTGAGATCAGGCTTCTTTGGTCTGAAAAGTGAGTTTTCCAAATGGAAGACAGGTGACTTGTCCGAAGTCACATCATAGTGGTGGTGTAAAACTGTACGATAGATATGATAAAGACGAGAGTCAGGGTTCAATTGTGGCGAGCTTTCGCCCAAAGAAGCCGCCTCAGATGTTGAGTGTGAAGTACTCAAAGACCAGGTGTTATGGGCATCATCCATTGCGAATGTATCCTTGTTTGCACCCATTATGTGTCAACATTAGTGAGGAAATAATATAGATGAAGGAGAGATCACAAAACGGAAGAAACTACTTTGGGGAAAGAAGGTATTCAGGCCATCTTATATCTCGCTGGGAGTAACTAAGCCCCATATTCTTTTCTTGAATAGAGTTGGAATGCTGCAGGGCTTAGCGTTGATCAATCCATGGTTGTCCTATCCTGAAAGTCGATGGACATGGCAGTGCTCTGTGCCATTTGCCTAAACGGTCGATAGTGATTCAGCTCTGGGGGTTCTCAGCCTTCGGCAACCCAAAACGGGGCGTTCTAAGAACTAGCGAATACGAACCATCCAAACGGGAAAGAAGCACGTGACTTCACCACTTCTTTGTGGTGACGACTGTAGATTACATGTTTTCTCCCTGCTCCGGAACAATGATGTTCCGTACTGGAGTGGAACCTAAGATGACTTTTCACCACGTGATATTACAGCATATTATCACCTGACATCACCTGACAACGTAGCTCGGTGCCAAGGCCGGCGCGCGTTAATCGGTGACAGCGAGAGAGAAGAAGCCAAACCAGATTTGACCGTCGACGGTTGACAGTTCTTGGGCTTTGGATAAGGGCATTCACTTCCAGGCCTACCGTGTGTCTTTGATAGGCTATCTCCTGGGCTTTGCGCACTTGTCTTTTTCGAATTGTCTACTTAGAGCGGGAGTTGTGTGCCTTAATTTCGGGTCCCAGCCCATCTAGAGACATTTTGTTGATTCCTTCCGTCCCTGTTGCCCTCTGACGGTCAACACTTTTGGCTTTCAATATACCTCCAGGATGTCATTTAAGGTCCCTTACGAATCGAGTCCTCCATCGACTCCAGGTAGATCCCGCAGCCTGTTCAGCAATGTTTGCTTGACTCCAGGGGGTGCTCCGCCCTCTGTATCCAACTCCTTCACTCCGCAAGGCCCTCCTCCCTCGACGATTTATGGAAGCTCGCAGATGAGTTCCAGGTCGCAGTTCGATTCTCCACAGTCCCTGTTTACAAAATCTGGAAATGTTAATCCGAATGATAGCATCTTTGGATCCTCTATCGCCTCTGACGATTATCCAGTACCGCGAGGAATGAAGGCAGCCCCAGTCGAATCATTCACATCCCAGTCGCTCTTCAGTGTGACGAATAATAGTCGATTTGCCGCGCCCTCTAATTTTGGGGTATCCAATAGGTTTGCATCGTCACAGATGGACGACGATGCGGATTTCCATACCGAAAGGGATAATGAAATGGATTCTGAAGAAGCGGAGGCTGATTGTGATAAAGCCATGGGAAATGCAAACAAGGGCAGCAATAGTTTCAGCTTTCTCGACTCCCACTTTGGAAATTCTTTTCTTGCTCAATCGAACGTGCAAGGCCAGCGAAAATCGATATACTCTAACCCAAGCAATGCTAAGCGCCCGAAGCTCGACGAGAAATGGGCGGATCAGTCACCTTTGCGTAAAACCAAGCTGTCACCCAAGAAGGATTCAGCAATGCCATCTATTGTGCGAAATTTCGCGTCGAGGTCGCGGGTTGCAACGGTCAACGAGGCAAGTGATCTTATCATCGAGACTGAGGACGAAATATGCAGTATGTATGACGAAGCGAAACGGACTGAGTATCGGGAGACGGAGTTTAGGGTCAATTTGTCGGAGACCTGCAGCAGCCTTGCAAGTGTGTGGAAGTCGCATACAGGGCAGAGCGGTGGTCCTTCGCAGGCTGTTGGCATCGGACCAGGTGACCATGCCTCTAGCGTCGCAAAGGCAGGCTTTCTAGGTTCCCTATTGATCCAGCTTCACCACCCTCCCCTGGCACATGCAAAACCTGCAAATTTTCCTAGCCCCCTCGGTTTTGCAACCACCCGAAGTCTCGTGCCCGCTGGCCCAAGGGTGGACACTTTAACACCTCTACCCAAGGTCCTTCTAGACTGGCTCAATCTTAACCATGCCCCACAAAAATCTGACCTACAAGCCTTGAAAAATCTTGAACCCAATCCTACAGCATCGCCGAATTTTTGGGAGATTCTTAACACTGCTGTGCTTCGCGGGCATCTCTCAGAGGTGGCAGATATTCTACAAACTGCGGATTTCAACTACGCCAGGTCTGCGTTGGAGGATGGATTACCACAGACAGGCTATCGGGGCGCCCAGTTACAGAACATCCAGAGGTGTATTAACAAGGCTCTGCAGGCTCTGAGTGTATGCCCTAGTGTTCAGGTAGCCGACTGGGATGTCAGGGGGGCAGAGTGGGCATTGTATAGAAAACGTGTTCTTGCGGCACTTACTGACTTGGAAGAGTTCGCCGAGGGAGATGAACAGCAAGATTCTGAGCCTCCGATCCTAGGAACCCGTTTCCAGGCAGTTAATTTTGGATTGAAGCCAAGCCCGAACGCACAGGAGTTCTCATTCGCCCAGTCTTCACGTATGGCTGAAAGCCGTGTCCCCTGGACCATTTATCAGAACCTCAGATCACTCTATCGCATTATTCTTGGCGATACAAGTGCTATCATGAACCACTCACAGGACTGGATTGAAGCCACTATCGGTTTGACGGCATGGTGGGATGGCGAGAGTGACGAGGAAAACCTCGCGCAAAGTACTGTGAATGAACCAGGCGTCAGCAATAATGGACTATTTATGCCCCCTCGTCTGTCCAAGACGCAAATCCCCGAAGCTATTGGCAACAACCCAACGGGTACCTACCTTCGCCGCCTTGAACTGGCCTTGGGTAGTGCAACCAGCGAAGACTCCGACGAAGCCGGATTCCGCATCAACTCGCTCAGTAGCCTTGAGGTTGGACTGGCCTCTGTATTTGAAGGTGATGTTGATGGTGTTTTAGAGCTGCTCCAAACCTGGTCGCTTTGCATAGCGTCCGCTGTAGGTGAGGTTGCGGACGCTGGAGGCTGGCTGGAAACGACAGATGACAAGAAGCCGCTATCAGGTCTCAGCGAAAACGACTTAATGGTTCTTTCGTATGGACAGGGTGGGAACGGGTCAACACGCAGAATTCGCAAGGATGATCTTCTTAGCGCTTATGCGTCTGGCTTGTTTGAGCGGCCATCTATTGAAAATCTGTCCGGTTCCCGGGCAGGTTGGGAGCTTGCGCTAGAAGTCCTGAGTCGTTTGAATAACAAGGATGAAATGCAGAAGAGTGTGTCGGAAATCGTGGACAAACTGTCTCTCAACAACTCGACTGAAATGGACAAGGTGATATTGCTGTGTTCGGAATTGGGTTTGCACCAGGAGGGACGGAGAGTTTCTGAGGTAGGTAGCCATTTTATCTCTCTTGCACTGGGTAAATCCGGGGTTGGGTAATTAGTTGACCTTTTTTTTTTTTTGGCAGCGCTACGGGGATCTTACTGTCTCCGAGTCCGAAGAATACGGCCTTGCCATGGTGTGCTATGCTCGTGCACACAATCGACGCAAAGTCAAATTGGTGGTGGATTTGCTTATTTCATATAGCCTTGTTCAATCTCGGGCATATCCGGCATCCGCAGATCTCGACTCGCAGCTCCGTTCCTTGGTTGAAAATCCCAAAACATGCCTCTCGGCTATTGCGGCTGTAGATGAAGAGGCCGCCAAGATCGTCCAATTCTACTTCAGTGGATACGCGACGTTACGTCGATTCTATGAGACTCGGGACGAAGCCATCGGCCTTAAAGAAGGACAGCGACCTCGATTCAAGCCTTTGGCTAGGCGGCGAGCAGCGGCGCAGGCATTGGTCACGGTCATTAGTAGCGCCGCAGACAGTATTTATGGTGGGCTTTACGATCCTGAACGGGATTCCGCTATCCAAGTGGATGGATTGTTGGTGCTTCTGGGAGAGGCTTTGGCATTCATTAATCGTAAGTTATGACACATGTGCAGACCAATTTAAGTGGCAGGGACTGACTGGTAATAGAACCCACTCCCATCCTCTCTGTATCCCAGCAGTTCACGATTCTGTCTGCCATCGAAGACCTCGAAACTGTCACACCTCGCGTCTATGCGCAGTGCGAGGAATGTTTCCGCTCTACACTCATGCAATATCAATCTCTTAAACGTGCATCGTCTGATGACGAGTCACCGGTCGAACCCTTTGTTCTTCCAACTTCGCGCGAGCTTCTGAAGAAGTCTGTGTCATCGCTTACAGCGTCCAGCGGCTTCTCGTTTATTGGCGGTGATATGACTGACTTGGTACGGACTCGATCCCTGTCGGGATCTGGCACTAGCTCCGGTGTGTTCATTGCTCGCCCTGGGGATGAGAGTCGCCACGAGCGGGCCTGGGACTGGCGCGTCGGACTACCTGAGAATGTGAGGGGAGAGGAGATTCTTCGAATGTTACGATTGGGACTGGCTCAAGGGCTGAGTGTTGGGGCTCTGGGGCATGTCTGATAGACACGGAAATACAAAAAGCCGAAGCATTAGCATGTATGTATGTGTATGTTTGGGAAGCGTATTAGAATTTTAATTTTTCTTTTCCTCTTCCGTCTTAAACTACAGAGCAGAATGCCTGATTAAGAGCTAATTAAGCGTTGGGCACACTTTGGGAACCATCCAAGAGCATAGACTAGGCAATACTAGCTTCTATCACTCAAAGCATAGTCGGATTCCACTATTATTCCCAAATTTCCGATATCGAAAGCGACTGTGGTTCCTGTTACTTAATACACCCTGCGGATATAGTAACTACTTCGCAACCTCGGTGTTTGTCTCCCGGGTTTGGGTTTGAAATTACCGGTATTCCACCGAAGTAGGATAGGGACATACAAAACATGCGATGAAAGTGAGCTAAAGTAAGTAGGTAGACTCCATCATCACGATCAACGGTGGATGGCCTCGTTCGACCACGTGGGTCCTGGGCAATGGAAGGAACAGATGGTGGTCGTGACGCTATTTTCTCCGCCCGTTAGGTTAGTCAGTATGCTTGGTCATAGTCGGTCTATACTTAGCGACTCAGGGTCAGCGAATCAAGGCAAATATGAATTGTCTACGCAACGGCTCACCCGTTATCGTCCAACGTGGATGGAAGAATTCAAGAAAAGAAGAAGTTGAAGCAGACTTTGTCCCAATGGAGAAATCAGTAAATGGTTGCCTGACAATGACTCAGGCATGACACGCCAAGCCTGATTGGGATGGCGGGGCACCTGATCCCCACAGGCAGGCAGCTTGCCTCTTTCACTCACTCTCTTTCTTTCTTGAAGTCATCTCTCTCGGAGTCATCCACTTGATTCGCTCGGAATTTCAACCGTTCCATGCAAGGCTTCTGCCCTATGGTTTGGACCGGGATCCTTGTCTGACGTTCCGGACCACCGCAGCTGAAAAACCCTTGCACAATAGACTAGCGGTCTCGGCGTCAGACGGTTCCAGGGTATATGTGGTGGGATGCCTAGCACCTGGTAGTCAATTTGGGGTCATCATGGGAGTCAGAACCAGCTGTCATTTCCTGCAGAGAGCGATTTTGGCATCAAAAATCCGCTATCTGGACAACTCTCTTGTCCTAGGCTTCTTAGTTCTACACTACATTGAGTCCTTCAGCCCGATTAGACCCCACTGATCGACTAAGGCTCGGTGTTGTCCGCTGTACGGGATTGGACTATTAGAAGAGATCCATTATGGTATCGTGCTAGTCTTGCCCGACAGACTGGGCTTTTTTTTTTTTGGTTTTTCAGTTCGCTCTTCGGGCTCTGATATTATCCATGATACACCGTTTCTTTCCCCCCGGGCAATGCAGAGGATCATTCATTGACTTAGATGGATGCCTTGCTTTTTTGGAGTCGAACTACGTCCAGACCGATTAAATCAAAAGGCATGTAACTCGACGTCTACCGCAGGCCCTATCGTTCGTTGACAAATCTCAATTGACCTCCAAGAATGGTCTGGTCGCCTGATGATCGATGTTTATAAATGATTCCACTTCAGCATTCTCTCATATGTGTCCAGCAGTCTTTTACAGCAGCGTTCTATTCAGTTATCATTTTGTTCATTTTTTTTTTTTTTGTCCTCCCATTCGTTCTTTGTCCAGTTTCTTTGATTCTCTTCCGTCTTTTCCCCCTCCGCTTGACGTTGATAATCTTCTTTCTCACGATATAGTTACACTCTTTATTGTACTGTTTACCATGTGCTACAAATTGGTGGAACGCTTCTCAGTTTGTGGCTGCCTTTATTTCCAGCATGCGGTTGATCCGTGTGAAGCATATGGACAACGAGGCCACGGGGTGCAGGAAAAAACCGTCCTTGTTGGATACACCTGTGAGAAGCACGCCGTGAGAAGGGGTGTGACTATACCGAGGGGAACAAAATGGTCGGATTCCGGCTACTCCAGCGCCAAGGGGTTTTGAGAACCATTTGATGAGATCATGAGCCAAGTTAGGTGCGCCGGACGACCTACTTCTCTGTCGGCTCCCTTGGTGCGAGCGCAGCTGCGCTCGCGCTGAGTACATATACCAGCATTTTTAATGGTTTTATCTCTTAAAACTTTGGCCGGTTCCAATCCTTGTGTCTTTAACATCGATACATTCGCTTTAACCACCGGAGAACTTCAGATTTTCTAGTCTTTCATCTCGCCTTTTGTTTTCCTTTCATGCCCGGTCCTGGAATAGTAGGGCTGGGATTATACGCCGGTTCACGAGACACGAACAACGCACGCTACCAAGTACGTGACTGCAGCAATTGATGAGCTGCAGTTTCAACAGAGTTACAACTAATAGTGGAGTGTGGGTTGGCGGAAGAGCGATATCTGCTAATCAGCCCTGCATGGAGATGGAGTTTGCGTCATCGAAGGCTGGCTACTTCTTTGTTAATTGAATATTGCTTATTATTGACGTCTGCAGGACTGGCAGGTCAGGCTGCATGCATTAGATAACCACCATCGTTTGAATAATTCCATTACCTTTCTGCTCATCAGTCTTGTATATATGTATGTAAAGTGTATCCTCTCCTCGACATATCAGCGGGGAAAGCACGCCGCCAGTAGGTCTACTGGATGTGCCCACTAGACTCTTGACCTTCCAACGAGATGTCCCCGCCGAGGGTCGCGGTGTTTCACTCTATACTGGCCGCCTTGTCATATGCTCTACGGTTCGTTAGAGATAGAAAACTGTGAGTTTATTTGGCCGCATTCCGTCGTGACGGTAAGTATAGCTATCGAGTATGCTCGAATATTAGTCCGTAGATGATTGCGTGGACGGACGTTTTGTATCGACTCCGTCTCGGAAATCCCGAACCGAACGGATGCGGGATGAGCCGACGGAGTAGCTAGTACTTCAGAACTATCCACTGGTACGAAAAAACTACAACAAATGCTATATATCATTCCTCATTCCATTTATCTCATCTCTGAACTAGCGTGTTTACATAGACCATGGCAGACATTCGAGGCCCAGACAGCCGTCCAGATATTTCGTCATCAGTTCATTCCGCCTGGCTAGAATCCCATCATCCGATTCAGATAAAGAGACAGGGCGGCATTTTCATCAATGTTGATTTCCTTATCCTCCTCTCTACCATCGCGTGCCCGATACGAAGTGAGTCCGGCCCCCTTCGTAGTCCGGGTACGGTCCGGTTTCCCCCCCCTCCCCCCAACTTTCTTTTTTTTTTTTTTTGTTGGCACTTTCATGCTTTGAATAGATGTTGTGTGCAGGATATTACTGCGAAAAGAGTGACTGTAGCTTACTTACGGTTGTTGCATCACTGGTGGAACTGCCAAATCGATATGTATATCCCGAAGTGGGGGAAACAGCTCTGATCGCCGAGGTTTGGGCCTCAGCTCTCGACGAGGCCAAAGGAGTCTTCATTCCCTCACTTAACGACGGACCACGATGCCTTGGCGTCGGACGGCGCTCCGAGCTCGACGATATTCCTCGTCGCTGTCGGACTCAGAGCAGCTAGCCTCGGAGGACTCGGTGACGTAGCCACACCGGCTTCCACCGCAGTCGAGTTTGACGCGGTCGCCCTTGCGTGTGATTCCGTAGCGTTCACAACGGCAAACGGGCGCGGGCGGGTCACTCATGGACGAGAGCGACGAGGGCGAAGTGCTGCCCGACGACCGGGATGACAGGGACGAGCCAACGGAGCTGGGTGGGCTGTTTGAGTACGAGTACTCGTCAGACAAGCGAGAGCCCGCAAAGCGCTTGGTGAGGTCTTCCATGGTGGGTGCAAAGTCTGTCTCGCGGATTTGCCGAGACGCGTACGGCTTAGACGGCTTCGGGTGCTGGATCTTAGATGGAGACAAAGCCCGGCCGGTGACTATGTTTCCGGACGTTCGTCGGGTCTTGGGTGCCGACGACTGAGCCGACGACTTCTTGCCGCCGGGGACGTCGAGGATGTTGAGTTTACGGCCAGTAGTGGGTTCCACGGTGTAGTCGACGGCGGGATCATGGGAAACATGGTACCCATCCATGATATACTGGGAGCCCGGAGTTAGAATTCTGCCTGAAAAGAGGAACAGGAAGCGAGACAACATACGTAATACCAATAGCGGCCGCCCAGCTTGAGCATCGAGGTCTGGAAGCGGAATTTTCCAATCCATGCGCCTGGCTTGGAATCATCCCGGGAGAGGGGGATCTGGCGTGAGTAGTTATCCCAGGAGCCGAGAAGATGGACGGTCTTCACATTGGAGGAAGTCCGAAGGGAGAACTTAAGTTGAACAGCAGACATGTTGACAAGAGATTGACCAGGTTATACTAGAGATTAGATTATACGAAAGTGAATGAATATAAGATAATGGCGTCGAAGCAGGACAATCAGCACAATCTTCCACTGGGAAACAGGGGAAAATATCAAATTCGTTGTAGGACTTGGAAAAGCCAGAAGACTACCAGAGCCTCTTGTTCAATCAAGTCCTTTTTTGGTTGGTTGGGTGGCTAATGAACCAACAGTAGCAATAACAACGAGGCGCTGCGGTTAACGGGTTCCAGTCCACGACACCGAGATGGATTAGAATGATTGTAGTGAGCCTTGGCGACCAAAAGAGCACGCAACAAAGCCGAGCAAGATAGAGTCTGAACTGGAGAACGGACAATAAGCGGACGTCGACCGGCGACGAGGAAATGAGTCCGCCAAGGTTGTATAATTAGAAGTATCCTGAGCAGCAGAAATTCAAACAGGGAAACTCCAGAGAGCTCTGCTCGTCTGAAGAGAACGGTTTTTTGTGTTTTGATATTGGAAAGGGGAAAAGATTAATAAAGATGTATACAAGTTAACAAGAAAAGAATAACAACCAACCAGTGCAGCCAGTGCACAGGATACCTCCAAATTAAGGCAGTTCAAGACAAGGCCAAGCTTGCTGAAGAGAAGAGAAGAGAAGAAAGAAAGAAAGAAAGAAAGAGGGAAGAAAGGGAAACCCCTCAAGTTCCGCTGGCATCTTTAAGAGCGCCTGAGGCATGTCACTAAGACGGGTTCTAGAGGTGGCTCGCCAGCCAATCAATCGGCATCTATTCTTGGAAAAAAACCAGCCTTGGTCCCACGATCCTCGCGATAGGCCAATCAGTACCGCTCTTGCCCCCCATCACACCTGTCACGGCGGGTAACCGACGAGGATCATTGGCTTGATGGCAGCCAACCAGCGCCGCTGATTTGGCGTTGGTGATGGGCACATCCAGCTGGCCAGTCATTTGCCATCCTACAGGCCGGACGGAGATTAGAGTTCATCATGGAGGAACCAAAAGGAGGGAGGGCTCTCGAGATTACCTTAGGTAGTAGGAATGTAGCTAGGCAAGTACCCGGCAGGTGTCTGCCAGGTATCAGTATAGGTAATACAGGTAATCTAAAAACGTATTTGTATACTATCGAATGCACAAATTTCAAGCCAAATGATTCGCTTCTCCAGGTCATCTTCCCAAGGCGGTCACAGATATTAAAATAAAAGACAAAGAAGGAAAGATAGGTACCCAGATACCTCGGTAGGAAAGAAAACTATCAGAACGAATCCTCTGCAGTCCACGGTACGCCGGAAAAAATGCCACAGCCAGTTGTTTTTTCTGTTGGTGAATACAATAAGAAGAAGAAGACCATGAGAATCAAGAGTGCAGCATCAACACCAGACTCAACTACATCGTCGAGCACCACATCAGTTGTCTGCCCCGCAACACAACCCCGTCTTACCGCACGGACACGCCAGAGCGGTTGGTAAACATGCGGGCGGCAATGTTCATCGAGGCCAGCTCTTGGAACAGAAGCTTGGCTGCATACGGGATATGCACCTGGGAGATTCGGTGCTTGTTGTTGCACAGTCGACATTCGAAGAGGCCCTTCTTCAGCTTTCTGCAGCCGGGGAGATTTTCATTAGCGGACACACTCACCACCAATCAACCCGGGGGGAACTTACGCAACCGGGGTCATCAGTCCGCAGTCATCGCAGATATGGACGCGGAACGGGTCGGAAACGTCGAATAAGCGCTCCTTCAGGAATGCACTGGCTCCGTGCGCAATCATACAATCACGTTCCATCTCTCCGAATCGGAGGCCACCGTCACGAGCACGACCCTCCACAGGCTGCCGCGTCAAAATCTGGGTTGGTCCACGGGCACGGGCGTGGATCTTGTCGTCGACCATGTGGCGCAGACGTTGGTAATACGTTGGTCCTAAGAAGACCTGCGCTACCATCTTGCGCCCCGTGTGGCCGTTATACATTACCTCGAATCCACGAGACTGATAGCCGTGCTCTCGAAGCAGGCGAGAGATGGAGTCCACCGTGACGTCGGTAAACGGGGTCGCATCACCCTCGAACCCACGCAACGCGGACACCTTGCTGAGTTGACACTCGATCAAGTGGGCGATAGTCATACGCGAAGGAATGGCGTGAGGGTTGATGATCAAATCGGGGGTCAGGCCCTCGCGAGTAAACGGCATATCTTCCTGCCGGTAGGTGATACCGATAGTACCCTTCTGCCCGTGACGCGAGGCGAACTTGTCTCCAATCTGGGGCACCTTGGTCGTCCTCATCCGCACCTTGACGAACTTCAGGTCATCATTGCTCGTCGACACCAGGACTTGGTCCACAATACCGCTCTCGGTACTCCGAAGGGGCGTCGACACGTCCAGCTTGGTATGTGCTTTGGTTCTCTGACCGAGCTCCTCCGCCTCCGGAGCCAGGGGAGCCGTCTTCCCGATGATGATATCCTCACCAGAAACACGGACGCCGGGGGCAATAATACCGTCCTCGTCAATCTTGTCGTAGGTGCCCTTACGCATACCAATCGTATCAGATCGCATAGGCTTCTCGAAGCGCTCTATAACGGTTAATCCAATCATCTTCTCAGTGTCGGTGTAAGTGCGGTAGAAAAGGCTGCGGAATAGACCACGATCAATGCTGCTCTGGTTCATAATCACCGAATCTTCCTGGTTGTATCCGGAATAACAGGCGATGGCAACAATGGCATTTTGGCCGGCTGGGAGCTCCCGGAATCGTAGGAATTCCATTGACCGGGTGGTAGCCAGCGGCTTTTGCGGGTAGTATAGAATGTTTGCCATCGTCTCCATTCGTTGATCGAAATTCGTCAAGAACACACCCATGGCTTGTTTACCCATTGCAGACTGGTACGTGTTACGAGGCGACTGGTTGTGGTCGGGGAACGGAATAATACTGGCGCATACGCCGAGGATCATACTTGGGTGAATCTCGCAGTGTGTCCAGGTGTGTGCTCTCTGGCTCAGGATGGAGCGCACACGCTTATTAGGATCATGAAGCTCTTCCTCCGGCAGAGCGTAACCGGCCTGGAGCTGTTTGGATATTTCCAAATCCTCCGGAGTCATGACGATCATGATGGTTTCCTCTTCTTCGGCATCAACATATTCAACAACTCCTGATTTCACCAGTCCGTCCCATCCGAAGTAGCGTTCCCTGCGCTCTTCTGCATCCAGGTCAGGGGGCAGTTCCTTGTCCTGCTCCAACTTGCGAATGTGCTCCTTATTCAGCACTAGCGATCCGCAATTTTCGCTCTTGGGGTCATTGTCGACAACAAACAAAGGTCGGCAAACACGTCCAGCGTCGGTGAAGATCTTGAACTCACGCTCACGAATATCCCGAATCAAGCTGACCTCGTGGGAGATCATGTTCCGCTGACGCAAAGAAAGCATTGTATTGACCAGGTGAGCTGGATCTCGGTGAATACCGACCCAGACACCGTTTACAAAGACCTTTGTAGCATTGGGAGTGACCTGAGGTTCGAATTCTTCGAGGACTTCCATATTTCGCTGGATCATGAAATCAATGATAGGTTCGCTAGGTGTTCCGACGGTAATGTAGCACATCAATGCAAGGTTTTTAACCAGACCACAAGCTTGACCTTCCGGGGTTTCTGCGGGACAGACCAGCCCCCAGTGTGTATTATGAAGCTGTCGAGGTTTGGCAATCTTTCCGTCTCGACCAATAGGGGTGTTGGTTCGACGAAGATGCGATAGGGTGGAAGCGTACGTGTAACGACTCAGCACCTGAGACACACCAGCCTTTGCGCTAGCAGCCTTCTTCTGCTCGCCCCAGTTTCCGGTAGCAAGAGCATATTTCAGGCCTCCCGTAAGGGTGCTGGCCTTGATACCAATGTTCAGATAAATCTCCCTGTTTCCTTCAACAGACCTCTGAACATAACGCTGCAGGTCCCGAGTCACTCTCGTAAACAAGACACGGAAAAGGTTCGCAAGAAGGGGACCAGCAAGATCCAGACGCTTCTTTCCGAAGTGATCACGATCATCAACATCCCGACGACCGAGAGCACACTGCAATAGCCGGTGAACCATGTAACCCAAAAAAAAGGCCTTTCGAGTTTCGCTGCCTTCATTCTGGGAAATATGGGGCAGCAACTCCTTCTGCATGATTTCGCGCGCGTAACGGACACGGCGATCATGATTCATGCTAGACTGAGAAGATCCACGTTTGGCAATGAAGTCCAAAGCCACCTCACGGTCCTGAATAACGAAACCCTCTTCAATACAAGGTTTCAGCATTTCGAGCATAGGGGTGTCATTTCGATCGTAGCAGATGTGATTGAGAATGTCCTCATCAGAGACGACACCAAGCGCTCGGAAAACAACGACGATGGGGATATCGGTCTTCACGTAGGGCAGGGTTGACCGAATCGTAGGACCAAACCCTCCTTTAGCACTGTCGCCCTTTGCAAAGAGCTTGATAGACAGTTGCGAGAGAAGACGGGAGCCCTTTTCGACAGCACTTCGGATTTCAGCGACGTAAGGAGTCGGACTTGGTGGCGCCTTCTTAAAGACTTGGACAGTATTTCCAGCACTCCGCTCTTGGGCAATCAAAACCTTTTCACTTCCGTTGATGATGAAATAGCCACCCGAGTCGTATGGACACTCGTTCCAGTTGTAGAGCGCCTGTTCGCTCAAGTCCTTGAGTATACAGTACTTGGATTTGAGCATAATAGGCATCTTGCCAATGAAGACAGTTTCCTCCTTTGCTTGATCAGCAGGAAGTTCTTTTTGTTCCCACTGAAGATAGGTCCCGTGGTTCTTTTTATCCTCGTTTGACTCGGGTATATCATCCTCATCCCGGTCCCCCACCAAACGCTCTCGACCTTCCATAATCCTCTTGGAAACACCGAGATAAAGAGGACTGGCATAAGTAAGATTCCGCAGACGAGCCTCCTGGGGCAACATAATAGTGGTGGCACCGTCACCTTCAGTCACCGAGGGTCTAGAAAGCATGACGGTTCCAAACTTCAGCTCGTATCGACGGACGACGACTGGATCCACTTCATCATCAGATGGCGGGAGTGTTTGATCGAGTGTCACTTGGCCTTGCTCCTCTACCAACTCCTGCATGGTCGAAGAGATGAATTCATCGAAGGAGTCCAGCTGCTGCGAGACCAGACCCTTGGTATCGAAAAAAGACGAAATGACAGTCCAGCAATCCTCCGACGTAATCCCCTCCTCCATATCATCGTAAAACTCGTCTTCGTAGGCATCTTCGTAGTCGGCCATTTTGGCAACGTCAACCACTAACACGACCAAGTCAGTCCGTCAATCAATCGGAGAGCGCAAAGGGCGCGACGCGCTCAAGCAAAAGGATCCAACCCGCAGGTCGGCTGAGTGTTGATACAAACTGCGAGACCCCGAAAAAAGAAGCTTCCAGAGTGGCGCTGAAGACAAATGAGTGAGCTGAGTGTCTCAGCTGGATGGAAAATGAGAGAGCCCAAGCCAACCGTGATGTGATAACGGAGTGACGCTGGAGACTTCCCTCTACCGGCCCTGATGGATCTTGAGAAGAGCCGCCACTAGCGCCTAGACCGCCGACTTGGCGCTAACAATGCACTAATCTATACTAGGAAAGTAACACGTGACAACATATTCATGTCGATGTCTCTTTGCATTTTAGCACCATGATGGCAATAGGAATAATACAGTGATTGAGTATATTACAAAGGATGTTTCGCTCTAGAAGGCTACAGTAATACATTCACAGAAACTGTAGGAGAGTTTCAAGCATTTCCTTATGCTCCTTCTGTCCAGGTTCATCGTCCCTAAGCCCCTCAACTTGCTCTGGATGACCATCAGTAGCTGTAAAACAGAGCCAGCCCCAGTTATAAGTAGGCTTACCTTGGAGAGTGTTGCAAATAAGAGAAAGGCTCTCATCTCGATCTGCCAGAAGAGAAACTATTTTCTGTTTTGCCCCATCGTCCTCGGCCACCAGCCATGCCAGAATAACATCAATTAGCTTTCACACAAGTATCAGCACTCACTGCAGAAACCTAAGTGAAGGCGGCAACATACCTGTAGGGAAAAAAGGCCAGCATCAAAGCGTCGCGAGAGCCACTCTCCTTCCATGATCTCCTGCTCCTCTTTCGTGAAGTTTTTCCGTTCCTTTGCAATGTCCTGCTCAACTGGTGTTACTCTTGAGGCACATTCGCGCCTCAGCTTGACTAATTTTTCGATCTTCTCATAATCCTTCTCCATGAATTTTGCAAGAGCACGAATACGCGTCGCAGATCCTCCCGGCAAGAGGCGAAGAAGAGAAGCAAAAATTCCCAAAAGATGCTCGTTAATTTGATTCTCCTGCTGCATATTGTTGTTAGCACCAATTTGATAAATTACCTTGCAAGAACGCAGCTCACCTTCTTCATGAACATTCCAAATACCGTCCTTAGACCTGCTGCCTCGACTAATTTTTCACAGGCAGGGGCACCCCCAAACCCACCTAAAGCATGATCTAATACCCGCAGGGCACGTAGCTTGCTGAATTTCCCTTCTTTCAGCATAATCTGCGCAAGCTCGATGCCCTCTCCGTATAGAAACTTTTCTTTCCCGGCATCTTCGTCCACGATACATATCAGACAGTCAAACAGGTTCTCTGCATATTCTTCTTCCTCCGAATCCTTTTCTGGGTCGCATTTGCGGTATTGACTGAGTAGTTGAAGAAGACTATCTACCCCTTCTAGATCGACAAACTTCCTTCTATTTTTGGAAGACGACTGTAATAGGATAGAAAGCACCTCCGCTGAGTATTGCTGGTTTTGGCTCACCGGCCTCTCTTTCTGTTGCACACGAGTCAGCAGCCATTGTAGCATGCCAGACTCCTGTACAATTTTCTCTGCAATGGATGTTTGTGAGGCAAGATTTTCCAGTACGCCTTTCAAGCAGTCAATATCACCCTAGAGACTCTACTCAATAACAGGTTAAACTTACTCAGCACATAGTACACTCCTGTTCTATCAACATCAGACCCCTCATCTAGTCGTGACAGGTTCTGCGCGAGAAGTTCGATGAGATCGGCATCCAGCTAGGCATGTCAGCTTTGTTGGAGATAAAAAATTGGCATTACTTTGTACCATTGCGCTGACCAATGTATCCCATTGCTCTTGCTCGGCTTCCACATCCTCGTCTGTCAACTCACTTATAACCTGAATCGTATCAATTGCAATATCTGCGTTCTCGTGCGAAAGCAGGGATATTAATGAACCCACACAACCCATTGAAGAGAACTCGCTGTACAGTTCTGGGTGCTCTGATAATATGGATAGCTCCTTAATTTCCCCGTCTAAATCGGCTTCAGAAGCCATGAACCTGTGATTGATCAGCACCCACAGCACCCTACACAGCAGGTACTGAACAGCACGTACTTCTGAGGTTCATTCTCAAATTTGCCTCGCAACTCAGAATTCTTAGATATTTTCTTCTCGAAATTGAGAGCAAATCGTCGCAGCCAAGTGACATCGAACTTCTCGGGCTAGTGCCGGTTTAGTGCTGTGCATGAAGCATCAGAATTTTGGAACGGGGATATATCGTACCACTTTCTCCCCCCGATCCTGCTCATCAATGTACTGCATTGCCTGGGCTGTTTGCCGTTCCATTCCTCCACCAAAAAAGCGCCCTTCTTCGTCATCGGGGATGTCTTCGGCATCAAAATCCGGGGGTAGTTCGGGGCCAGCTTCAACATCGTCCTCCTGTTCATCTTCCACCATGGGAGCTTTCCCGGTGGACTTAACGTCACCGTTTGCCTCTAACTTGGCCGCCTTGTAGAGCTCATCTTTGCATGGCGATCAGTAACATTACCCGGAAAATGCATAAGGTGTGCGCAACGTACTTGGATCCTTTGTGGCGTCTAATTTGCGCTTTGCACTAGCTGCACTCAAAGGTTTCTCCCTTTGTCAGTATTCGACTCTCTAACGGGGCTTGCAGGTCTAACCTACCTTGAAGAGCTCATCGATGCTAGCCATGGCTGCAATTTGATGAACGGAGGGCACTTCAAAACAGCCACCAACCAGAAGTAGACAGGGGATGCGAATTAGCAGAGAAATTCCAGGAAAGAAAAGAATGTCGGCAATTAGCTTTAACAGACTGATACTCCTGTCCCACACTTGTCACAATCCAGTTCTGGAGAGTTGGTCGCACAGCAGCTCCGAGGATGATACGGGCGCCTTGATGAGCTAAAGACGCAATCGCCAAGCACGGCGAAAGATTTCTCGGAGCATTCGATCCATCCACCGACTTCTTTACTATACTATACACCAAACTCGGCCACTACAACTGTTGAGATTCCCCCTTGTCTCGTTTGGATTAATTTACCATGGCTCCTAAGCAAGTTATTGTTTCCTCCGGTCGTCCCCAGAAGGGCTTCCTCAGCGCAGCGTACGATGAAATCACGCACCCCGAGAACGCCACCATTGTGAGAAGTCTTTTGGTCTTCGGCGTAAGTCCTGATTCCAATCAAATCGCGATAATCGGTATGACTGTGTCCAGAAACACTAACTTTTCCTTTGCAGGCCGGTGTTGCTTTCCTCCACAGCAGTCTCAGCGAGCTCCTCCTCCCTCCGTAAGTCGCAGACCTTTGTTCTACACGAAACTCATTCTGCCGATCTCAATTACAAATACTGATGAGAGAAGTTTGTAAATGAATTCCCAATTCATCCGTGAGTCACCACCATCACTGTGATATAGGCCTTTCCGTGTAGGCCAAGCGGCCCACCACAGTCCATCGGAGAAAATGAATTCGACACTTGCTTGCGATGCCATGTTTCTGGGTTCGAGTTTAATGGATACGTGTATTATATTGCGTCAATAAACTGTTTTCTTTTCTTTTCTTTTTTTTCTTTGTTTTTGGTGGGAGGGGGTTAAACACTGAACTACCTTGTTATCGGATTATGAGCGGATGATGATCCTATAACATTCATTCCGTACGTACTCAGTTGGTGGATAATCAGAAGTCAGTCGGCTTATTCCAACAAATATCCAATCTTATCCAAAATTTGCTTCATAACTGTTCAGTATTGGGGAAACACTCGAAAGTGTGAAACTGAAGTATGTGACGATAAGCGTCGAAGAAAGATCCCTTCTACAGGTTGCTTAACAAGTACGGAGTACCTGTACGCAAAGTACTGTGCTCCATATCAATCAATCAGTTCATAGTACACAATATTGCCGTATTGTAAGTCTCAAGTTCAATCCCTTGCGTCTCAACACGTGCCGGGTCGCGTGCCTCAGGCACCCATCCGGAGATATTTCGAAAGACTTCGAGATTCATGCACAGAAGTGAGCAGATTTCTCCGAAACGGATCATTCATCCAACCCTCCACGCCACAATTTGGTACTGCAGATTGTAACTCCCTAGTACAATGCTGAGGCAAGCAAGCATCAGGAGTGGTGGGGAAGCCCGCAATAACCCCACACGGATGACTGAACACCGCCTTCTTAGCGCCGGGGAGAACACTCCGTGTTGCTCGCTGAATGACGAAGCTGGATGTGGTGGCAACTGTGGCAAATGCGTCTCTCATAGCAACAGTTGGGGGTGGAATACGACCAGACTGGACATGTTCTCACAGAAACGATTATGGCCACCAAGCGCAAGCTGCACAACACAGACATACATGATGCTGAACGCCATGTCGAAAGGAGCAATAGTTTGGAGTACAATGCCTATGCGCCCTGGTTGCAGGACTCCAGGCAGTCGCGCGAATGGCGGACATTGGGGGATCATGCCGTACGGTCTTCTATGCCGCTCGCAAATATGGTCTCCGCCGTTCGAGAGCTCATCGACCCGGATTTCGACCCTCTGATTGCCATTCTGGACGAGGAACCACGATTCCTGAAGCCGCTTCCCCCTCGAATAGCCCCTGAGGATCTAGAATTCTTGCGCTTTCGAGGGGCTCTGTCCATTCCAGAGAGTGGACTGCGCAACGAACTTCTTCGGTGCTATATTAAATGGGTCCATAGTTTTATGCCGGTGTTGAACCTGCAGGAATTTCTACGCTGCATTGCGGAGAATGACCTCAACGGCAATATCAGTCTCCTGTTATTCCAGGCAGTGATGTTTGTGGCGACGGCTTTTGTAGATCTGAAACACTTGCAGGCTGCTGGATATACAACGAGGAAGAGTGCGCGCAGCGCGTTCTACACGAAATTGAGAGTATGTGCCAGTCGCCTGAACTTTTTTTCCCCACTGACGAGATATTAGCTCTTATATTCGTTTGACTGCGAGGAAGATCGAATAGCCATTGTCCAGACCCTCCTTTTAATGACGTACTGGTCGGACCATGTGAACCACCCCAAACGAGACATCTGGGACTGGATTGGTGTTTGCAATACGCAGGCTCAATCCATAGGATTAAATCGAGATCCTGGTCCATCATCTCACATGGATCCGAAAACCAAAAGACTAAGAGCACGCCTCTGGTGGTGCTTGTTTTGTCGAGATCGTCTCATTGCCATGGGTCTGCGACGTCCCACCCAGGTCAACGAAGGGACGAGCAATGTACCCATACCGAAACTGGAGGACTTTGACTTGGAACCATTCCATCCGGCTGCTATCGAACTGTTCAGTTGCCGTCAGTTAGAGGATGTCTCCCATCAGAAGCGCCTCGCTACCATGTTCATTGAAAAAATGAAACTTTGCCAGTGTATTGGCCGTGTGCTCTTTGCCCAGTATTCGCCCTCGCAATGTCTTTTTGGGACGACCAACCGAACCACAATCACTTTGGTCCCAAGGCAGGCCTCGGAATCCGAGCTGGCCCGGTGTAGCCAACGACTTGACTCATGGGTTAGCTCCCTACCAAAAGATGCACAGTTCATCCCCGCATCCAAGAATAACTTTCAGGATGGAGAGGATGTTTTACTTCTCCATGGTGCTATGCTAAGAATGCTGTATCATGCCACCATCAGCGCCCTGCATCGGCCATGGGCGCTTAGGTCCGACACAGACCGAACCAAGTCACGCATCGAGTTGGCCGACAGAGCAAGATCTAAGATGCAGGATGCCGCAGTTGGGATTACCCATATCATCCAGGGACTTAACCGGTTGGACCTTACCCGGTTTCTCCCCCAATCTGGCGTGACGGTGATCATACCAGCGGCTGTAGCGCACCTGGCAAATTCCTTGTCTAGGAACCCTACCGTTCGCGAAGCCAGCATTTACAACTTCCAGCGATGCATCCAGGTTCTCCAGGGTCTGAAGGATATCTATCCCGCGGCGGACATGGAGGTCGCCAATATCGAAGCGGCTGTCCGAATTCAGGCCGATAGCACCAGCACCTTCTTAAAGATTATGCAATACACCTCGACAAATACGAGCCAACAACAACCCGGAGAGTCAGTGTCGCGAAAGCTGAGCAGTACCTCAGCTGTCCAAATTTTATATCCCTCAGAAGACCAAGGGTCCCCCCCCTGCGAAGAACAAACCCACCAACTCAACAGACAGCAGCAGCAGCAGCCTAATTCCAGATCCTCCAAACGTCCATCCGATGGACCCCAGTCCACGAAACCAAGTACAATACCCTCAAGCACGCCTGTCATATCCTCTCCCGAGAAACAAATGCAGCAGAAACCAGCCCCTTCTAACCGTGTCGATGATGACCTTACTTCCACTATGAACCCTCTCTCCCTCCATACCGTCATAAACCCGTTCTTCAACGACTTATTTGATTTTAACGACCAGCTTGATTACTCCTTAGCTGATACGTCGACCTATACGGGACTTGAGATTAACTGGACCGAAGAGGTCCTGAGGGATTGCGAGCTGAATCAGAATTACTCTAGTTCCGATATGGAGGAGTACAGCAGGGATTTACTTTCGTTCTCTGACAGGCAAGAGCAGCGCTCACTTAGCCATGCAAATGGAAGTATTACAGGGGATCTGGATACGGATTTAGGACTGACTAATTCTGATGACGAGATGTTCTGCTGAACTTGCACATTTACGCTTTTTCTCTATTTATATATCCAGGTTATATTAATAGTGTGCGTCATGTTAAACTGGTAAATAGGCTGGGAATTATTATGTTTTCTTGCAATGGATCTTATCATAAAGCAAAGACTCATGTATTCCCCCCGGGCTCTATTGCAGATGCGAATCGCATAAATAGCAAAGATGGTATAAACCTAAAGTGGTCGCGCTTCCTGCCCTCTATTAATCATAGTACAGGTAGTCTGCTTTGCCACCGACTACTGCTTGCTCCATCGGTTGGTCTCATCGCCCTGCTCCCATTGTTGCTCGACATATCCAAGCTGCTTCTTCACAGCCTTTATTTTCTCCTTGTCCCCCGTGTTCTTGCCTACGTTATCGCTTAATTTAACAGCCGGACGGCCATTTGCCGTGGAGATCTTGATGACGATGTTTAGCGGTTTTGATTTTTCACCAGTGACTTTATTTGTGAAATCGTCTGAAGCAAAATTAGTATAAAATTATATATAACAATAATAAGCTTACTGGTAAAGAAGGTCCCGACTCCAAATACTGGTTGAAAACCAGCCTCTTCTGCAATGACTTTGTATTCAAGGCAGAGCTGAATATTTAGCGAGTCGGAGAAAACGACAGCCTTCTGGTCCTTCACACCCTCTCTATTGTAGAAATCTCGCACCAATTTCACGAACTGCGCCGGATCACCAGAGTCTTGGCGAACACCATTATATACCTGAGCGTACGTTTTGGGAGTATGCGGAGCCTCGCTGTTATTAACGGGTGCAGCTATTTGTTTCCGGAAAGCATCGAGGAACGCAGGTGTCCCAAACGTATCGGTCAAGGCGATTCCCAGCACCTGACACGGTTAGTCCTCTCTCTCTCTCTCTTCATGGGTCATGATATCTACCACATACCCCTTCACCGAAGCAGCCAAGCCAGTACTGTAAGGCCAGCTCGTTGGCATTCTGGTAATCATCTGTGATCGCAGCAATAGTCATGTACCATTCATGAGCAACCGTGCCCACAGGATTGACTTCATATTTCATCGCGAAGTGCACATTACTTGTTCCTGTAAATACTCCTCTGAAGCCCTTGTTCTTCGCCTCCTTTGCAGCCCGACATAGTCCAGCCATCACCAGGTCTTGAGTGTGGTAGTTGCGACGTCGCCTCGACCCAAACTCCGAAAACACACAAGCGTTCTTCAAAAGCGTAAGTCCCTTGCGGTATGCCTTGTCCTCTTGGCCACTGTAATCCCAGTCCCTGTCAGAAAACATAAAATACGCCTCACTAGTCAGGGCAAGAAGCGGGATCTCATAAAGGATCGTTTCAAGCCAGAGACCTTTGACAATATACTCGACATCACCCACGTCGTCATCGCTACCAGTGTCGTCCACAGGAGTGTACTTGATCTCAAGCTGCTCCGGGGGGTTGAGTTTAAAAGTAGTCAGAAAGTCAAGGTATGTGTTGCTGAAGTAGGGACATTGTTTCTTCAGGAAGGCGATCTCTTCGTTCGTAACTCGAATATTGGCGAGCTCTAGTCAATCCAAACCTATTAGAGTTGTCACCCAAATTAGGAAACCCATATTAACATACTAGAGACCTGCGCTAAAAGCCACTTATAGGCTCCCCGCGTCAATTTCATCTGCGGGGTACGGTTGGTGAAGCCATATGTCACATCTGCGGTCATCCCCAAGTTAGGACAACACTTTCACAAGTTCAACTCAAATTATATACTCACAAACACCGGGAAAGTACTTCAGGATAGCACATTGCATCGTTAACTTATATAGATCGGTATCGAGAAGCGACGAAATGCCCTCCGGAGGAAGATCGGAGCTTTCTTGACTCATCTTGAAGATATCCTGCCAGAGCTCGCGGGATAGGTGCTAATTCAGAGGTTTGACAGCTGAAATACTCAGCTGAGAAGGTTCTCCAAAGAATCAAATACCGTGTATGGAAGACGGTGGGATAGCTGGCCAAAGATAGTCCCTTGTGCTTGCAGTGAGAGAAATTGAGACGATAGAGCAGTTTGCATTGTTTGCATTGCTAGATATTTCGTATCATCAGGGAGACGTCATTGCCTTATAATACAAATATAAAGATTAAGTGAATTCTATAAAGAAGGATTGAAGAGGAGGGTGAAGTGCACTTGATATACTAACCTGCATTGTGGCTGACTTGCATATATGAAGTTAAATATATGTATCGGGGATGATGATCAGTCCAGATACAAGGACCGCACTGGAGGTATGAAATGACTTATGCTACATTAGTATATTTTACATTGGAAAGATAAGATCGAAGACGCTATAAAATACTGCAAATAAACATTTGTGCCCCTTTAGAAAACCACTGAATACTATACACCGCAACCTCAGATGTCAGACCAGCATTCCACTGATAAACCACATGTGGCTGTGGTGGCTGCGTGATTAGTCAATGATGTGTGGCTATACTTACAAGGTCTAGGTACAAAAAGTATATACACTGGCCTGTGCTTGATGAATGAAAGAATTTATGAAACAATAAATTGTCAGTAAAAGTATTATTCCTGGTCAAACCATAAAAATAAATCTATTCTACTAGTGTGAGCTGTATTGTATAGATCCATAACTGTCGCATCTCTGTGTGGCTTACAGAGTACATTGCGGAACTATGCTTATTCCGTTCGAGATCAGTCCCATCCGCATCGCTCTTGCTAACAAACGCTGCTAATTATCGCCACAGCGCGGCTCCTCGACATTTCCAACGAAAATAACGTTAAATAATATCCTTTTCCTTTACTGCTGCCTGCGAATAATTTTAAATTTGCGATATTAGTGCCCCAGAGCTTTTCTGGCCCTTCACGACGCCTGTCGCATATCAACTGGATCGCTTCGCTGTTGCATCTCTTTAACCACAAGCCATGGCCCACGGTCCTGAAGATTGCGCTTCTATTTTGGAGCAATTTGTGCATGATGTGGCAAATTTACCAGCAGAGATCAGCCATCTGATGGAGGAAATTCAGGCAAAGGACAAGATTATCCAAGACTGTCGTACAACAATCAACTCTCGGGATAACAGTTTACAAAAATTCATTAAGCTTAATGGTAGTTTGACACCTAATCCGAAGGAAGAACAATATGGGAAAACGATACTGCAGAACTTGGATAAGTCGCAGCAACTACAAGATGAAAAGATACAATTAAGTGAGAAAGCATGTGTTCTGCTGGACCGGCAGATCAAGAAATTGGATATTAAAATCCGCGACTTGCAAAATGATGGTGTTTTATCCAACGATCCCCCCTTACCCTCTCTTTTCAATAATAAAGATCAATATCGCGACCCTCCGAGAATATTTTTCCCCGATGCCACCTCAGAACCCTCCTCGTACAACTCTCCCTTGAACCCAACATCCGGAAATGCCAACGTTATAATAGGCGCAACTCAAAGACTGAACCAGTCCTTAGCTCGTTCTGCGGGAGTTACTTCATTAGGCTCGCCAAATCAAGCGAGAAGTTCCGCGCCTGCCACGCCTGCTGCTGGTACAACTCACTTTCAACAGCGCCAGCGTGAATCTTCCGCAGGGGCTGTAGAAAACAAGCGACGACGCCTAAATGCGTCACTCGGGACTCTTCCTGCAGCGTCTTCAAATCTTCGCCAGTCATCTTTAGGCCCCGGCACACCTAAGGGGGGAACACCAGCGTCTAGCCGCGCCGGCAGTACCGGCCCACGCGCAACAAGCACAGTCAAGAAGGCCCTAACGAAGAAGGTCGCACCCCATCAACAACTGAAGAAACTAAAGGCGTCGTCAGGGTTGAACGGGAAACAAACCAAGCGGTCTTCAAGCGCCAGCGGCCGCCTGAAGGTCAGCAGCACTAAGAAGTCCCCATCCGCCGCTGGTGGAGATGAGGATGAAGACGATTCCCTTCTGAGCAGCAGCGCAGACATGTCAGAGTCTGAGAACGCGAGCGAAACCAGACGTGCGGACGAGGACATGGACGACGAGGAAGAGGATGAAGGTAACGAAGACACTAAGGTCTACTGTACCTGCCGCAGTGTTAGCCACGGTGACATGGTTGCTTGCGATAACGAGGACTGCGAGTTTGAATGGTTCCATTGGAAATGCGTGGGGTTGACGAGGGAGCCGGTAGGGAAATGGTACTGTCCACAGTGTTCTGCGAAGTTAAATGGTTAATTCCCTATCTTATGTTATGTATACTACGAGTAGCGCATTGGACTTCCAAGAATTTCATATAATTTCCTGGAGATTTAATCTGATCTGGTTAATATTTTTCATTTCGATTCTGCCCAAGTCGTTTGATGACTACTTCACTTGCAAGTGCCAAAACATAAAGCCCACCCGTATCCACGAATATAGATTAAAAAATAGGTTGAAGGAAGAGGTACGCTGAACCGACCAATGTCTTCTCTTTTTGACCCAAACCCATCCATATCCCACTACATTTTCCAAGGTTCGTAAGATGTCAATGTTGAGAATGCATGGCCTCCATCGTGACCATCCCAACATCAGGCGAAAAACAGGAGAACGCCATCGCTATGCAAGCAAATCTGACTGCGCGAAGATGCGCCCATGTACATCAATAAGATAAAGATAAAAGAAAAAGAAAGGGAAAAGGAATAGTAAAAGAGAACGGTAGGCAAGCCTCGGTATTTAGAATCCGAGGGCCTTCTCTAGCCAAGGGTCAAAATATTCACAGCTCTCCGGACTCACGGCACCTCCGGGAGCACAGAGCTTGAAAACAGGGCATTGGCCACAGGGGACTTCTGTCATGCCGTTTTTAACCAGTCGATCCGCGGCCTCATCGTCATCGGCAGCTGGTTTCCGTGCTTGCTGCTGTTTCACGGCCTCGGGGTTTTTTGACCGATCGGTAGACTTCCCCGTTGTTCAAGGCCACCAATCTATTATCGAAGCAGAGCATCTCAAGGAGCTGCAAAATGCTCTCCTCACCCAGCCGGACCGGCGTAATTCCACTCTCATTCACAGCAGCAGTGATCATCGCGACTGTGGGATACCCTTGATATCCAGCCGGAAAAGGTATATATTCTTTCTGCCCCATCTCTTGTTTTACAGATACGCTTCCGTCGGCGGTTTTGACACGTTTGCCGCGATGCCCATCCGCGGAAGCTACCTCAAACCAACTTTTCCGACTCACGGTATACTCAATATAACCAGCCACAGTGTTGATGAAGTTCTCGTCCAGCACCCCATCGGTAAACCAAGCACCGCCGGTAACATCCTCACTCGGGGCCAGGCCCGCTAGCATATACATCTTCCGGCTGGGAAACTTGACATTGTGGACACTTTTGATGTAATTCTTTCCTTCGAGCGATTTGAGGCAGCGATCGAGTATCGACTTGTGCAGATTTGTGCGATTCTGAATAGCACGGACCCAGATGCCTGAGCGCCCAGTCGAGTGAATAACGTTGTACACCAAACTTTCGTCGGGGCTAAGGTTCTGAAGTCTGAAGGAAAGGGAAGGGAAACGTTAGCATCGCACATGCCGGGTTGCCTAGAAAAGAGCAAATTCCTCATGGGGTCAATGGCCTTGCGGCAAAGGACTGAGCATACTTTTCAGCATCTTCGCGCGAGATAATCTTCCAGGCCAGTCGGTCATTTTTTTGCCCTGTAGCAGTCGGAACAGTTTTTGATCGACGAGCGATTGGGTGCACTGAAGTAGCAGAGGAAGGTCGGACTTAGGAATGATACCTAGCCCCAGTAATTCTTGCTGATAGAATAGATGATCAGGAGAAAACTTGGCCAAACATGCATCGTAGAGCTTAGAGGCAAGCTCAGTAACAGAGCCGCCAGAAGGCCCCGCGGAGGCCATGGTCAGGACGATGAAACAAGGTTGTTAAAAGGAAGCAGTCATCAATAATGCCTAAGAATGAGCATGTTCAAAGAGATGCATCGCAGTCTAGCATTGGTCTGCAATACGGACAATAGCCAAATGGTCCCGGGGGAACGAAAAGCACACAAAGTAAGCTCAGTGCTCCACAGCAGAAAGAATATGTTTTTTGGGAGACATTTTTTGGATGCGCTCTTTGGGTTAGCGGGGATCGGTGCGCCCAGATTGGTCTAGCGCGCATTTTCGAGGAACCTGATAGTCTCGGCGCCTGAGTGCCTCAGGCAGACAGTCCCTGCCGGAAATTTCGAGAAGCTCCCAAAAGAGCTTCATTAGTGGGCAGGTGATCCTCCCCGGCTGTTTTCGTGAGACCATCGTCATCTTCCCCCTTCACATTCTCCCTTTCCAAGCTTACGCACACTCCATAATATGGCTGACGCTCTGAAGGCTGAAGGCAACAAGGCCTTTTCCGCGAAGGACTATTCTACTGCTATGTACGTACATCGTGTATACCCCGCTTTCGGGTGAAGACTGAACGGACATCCACAATGGACTGGTGTGCTGATTCTCTCACAGTGAGAAGTTTACCCAGGCTATCGAGATTGAGCCCCAGAACCATATCCTTTACTCCAATCGCTCTGCCGTCTATTCTGCGCAGGCCGAATACCAGAAAGCTCTCGATGATGCCAATAAAGCCACCGAAATCAAGCCCGATTGGTCAAAGGGTTGGAGTCGCAAGGGTGCTGCCTGTCGGGGCTTAGGAGATCTATGTGCGTGGTAACTGTGTCTAAACCTTAAGAATTATACGGTCGCAAAGTGCTGATACCGTTATAGTGGCGGCTCATGATGCCTACGAAGAAGCTCTCAAGATCGAGCCTGGCAACGAGCAAGCCAAATCTGGCTTCAATGCCGTTAAGCGGGCTATTGATGCTGAAGCTCAGGCTGACGGGGTCACCGGTGATCCTATGGGTGGACTGGGTGGAATCTTCAATGATCCTCAGCTATTCCAAAAGCTAGCCAACAACCCCAAGACCTCGTCCCTTCTTGCAGACCCTGAGTTTATGTCGAAGCTTCAGCGTCTTAAGCAGAATCCGAACAGTATCGGAGCGGAACTCCAGGATCCGCGTTTCTTGCAGGTCATGAGCGTTTTGTTGGGAATTGATATGAGCTTCGGTGCTCCTCCTGAGGCTGCTGGTGCCTCAGGGGCCAAAGAGCCCGAAGAAGACGTGCCGATGCCCGATGCTCGTCCTACTGCATCGGAACCAAAGAAGGCACCCGAGCCCGAGCCCGAGCCCGAGGATGAGGAGACAGCCGCTAAGAAGAAGGCCCAGGAAGCTGGAGATGCCGAGAAGAAGATCGGCAACGACTTCTATAAGAAAAAGCAGTTTGATGAGGCCGTCGAGCACTATACTAAGGCCTGGGAGCTGAACAAAGATGTCACGTATCTCAACAATATTGGAGCGGCTAAGTTCGAGAAGGGTGATCTGCAAGGAACGATTGAAACTTGCCAGAAGGCTGTCGAAGAGGGTCGTGAGCTCCGGGCCGACTTCAAAGTCCTTGCCAAGTCGTTCGCCCGAATTGGTACAGCGTATGAGAAGATGGGTGATCTGACCCAGGCCATTGAGTACTACAACAAATCGCTCACTGAACATCGCACGCCCGACGCTCTCACTAAGCTCCGGAATGCCGAGAAGGCCAAGGCCAAGGCGGAAAAGGAGTCCTATATTGACCCCGCCGAGGCTGAAAAGGCACGTGAACTTGGCCAGAAGAAGTTCCAGGAGGCTGACTGGCCCGGTGCCGTTGACGCTTTCACCGAAATGACAAAGAGGGCTCCCCAAGATCCCCGAGGCTTCTCGAATCGCGCCGCCGCTCTCATCAAGCTGATGGGTTTCCCTCAGGCTGTCCAGGACTGCGACGAGGCCATCAGCCGGGATCCCAAGTTCATCCGAGCCTACATGCGGAAGGCACAGGCTTTGATGGCCATGAAGGAGTACAACAAGGCTATGGATGCCTGCACCGAAGCCTCCGAGCATGATGATGGAACTCATGCCCGTGAAATTGACCAACAGCAGCAGAAGTGCCTGGAGTCTCAGTTCAGCGCTCGTGCGGGCGAGACCGAGCAGCAGACTATGGAGAGAATTCAGAATGACCCCGATGTAAGTGAGAGATCCATGTGTAATCATTTCCCGTTGCATCCGCAGCAGCTCTGACGTAGAACAGATCATGGCTATCCTCCAGGACCCGGTCATGCAGAGTATCCTACAACAGGCCAAGAACGACCCTGCTGCCCTGCAAGAGCATATGAAGAACGCCCAGGTCCGAACCAAGATCCAGAAGCTTATGGCGGCGGGTGTCATTCGCATGGGGCGCTGAATTGTGGGTGGGGTTGACGCTGTGCAGGTAGCGAGACACGATGGAATGATTTGAGATGACAGCAATCTGGTTTCGAAAAGTAGTTCCAGGCATGATGCATGTTCATTGTGTTCCTAGTTTTAATATAGCATCCAATTACGCGTACTATACATTCCTATGGATTGTTAAATGTTGAACTGTAACAGGGTATTAAACGGCTGCTATATCGGTTTACATGTAGTTATAGTTCCTTGATAGGGCTGCTGACCAATGTACAACGTACACAATTAGCTATGGTTGTTGTTGGCTGGGCTGAAAACCTACCGATCGGCCTGCAAATTTTCAATGACGATCCTCCAGAGTGGAGTCTGCCTACGTAAGTCGTGATTTCTCTGATTCGAGTACTCCGTCTTTCGTGTTCCCTATCTGTCTGTCCAGCACGGTTGTGTGGTAGGACCCATGGTGCGAGATCAATCACCAGCGTATCTTATACTCTCCACTTGGAACCATGGACAATGGGTATTGTGTGTTGACGCAAGTGTTAGGAACGAGGGTCCTGAATCTTCTTCAGGTCCTGGAGATTCTGGGTGTCTGACATTGACTGATGTGGCCATTATGCATGGACAGACCGACTATCTTGAGATTCAACAGGTGTGTAATCGCGGGGCGGAGTGAGTCTCGGGCATTACGCAGGTTGATCTGTGGGAAATTCAGTAAAGCGGCTGGTAGCGCAACATTCAGTCCGAAAACGAGTGGTCAATGCTACCTATGAAATCTGAATGGAAGGCAGATAGAGTGGGAATGAAAGTTGGGCCGAGAAAAGGCCATTGGCGAATGGCGGATTCCAGATCTACCTTACGGAGCTGAGGTGGGACTGTTCAGTGACCATCCGTGCTAACGAAAAGTATTCTGTTCCTTCGAGGATTGAAAGAGATACCATATGAGACCAGCCCTTTTCGGCACGCCACGTGTCAGGACTGACGAGCTGGGCGAAGTTCTACAAGTAGTACAATCGAGCACGCATAGTCATCACGGTTAGTGCATGTTCGTGCTCCGCAATAATCTCTCTAACATGGAAGGAATGATAGGATCCAGTGAACCCGAGGACCAGGACAGGAATACCTAACTGTGTTCTTTTCGCACTTAAGGACCCTCCCAAATACCTAAAGTGGACGTAGTAAAAGATAGAGTCTTCTTTCAGGCCAAGAAAAATACATCCTGAGGGTCAGCGGATTGAAATTGATACTTTGATACCGGGTGTGGCGCGCGCCGAGTCTGTGGCGGTGCATCGCGGCCAATAGATCGAAAACAGGATGCTACTAGACTGGGCGATTAACAGATAGATTCGTTGTTGGGAATTCAGAGGCGGAAGCCTTGAAACTCGAAAAGAAGAAGAAACGATGGGACGTCTAAGTTAAGATGAACACTAGGTGATTCATTGACAATATTGCTAGATTTTCCAATTGCCTCTGCAGATGGAAAGATGCTGCCTAATTCATTGGTTAACTAACATTCGGGGGAAGGTCCCTATGTGGGTACTCGAGTACCTTTCTTTCTTCCTTTCTTTCTTGGTTCGCAGCTTCCACCCAGATTTACGTCACTCTTCGGCGCAATCTTTCATGACGTTTCCTTTCCACCTTCTGGGATAATTAACTTAACTTAGTACCTGTGGCTGGTAACGCCACTCTTTCCAGTTCCAGAGCCCTTAGGTTTCCTGCTCTTTATCTATCTAATCCTTTCCTCCTCTCCATTCTTGGATCTCTCGATTTCCTTCCTCCTCCTGTTACGCTCCTGCCCACCCAGGAGCTCTTCTGATCCGGAAGAGGGTCGTCCCACCAGCCACAACTTCGACTTGACACAAGTGGCTATTGTGAAATTGGACTTGTGACTGTTTCTGGCTATTTCACCCTATAATTCTCATCTCCTGTCATGTAAGAGCTACTCCTATTACCCCCCCTCCCCCTCCGGTCATTCCCTCATTGTCTTTCCTGGTTGGGGCTCCAAGCTATCGGAGCTATTGTACGCCAACCCCTCACTCCGGAGGTCTCGAAGGCAGCCATCTTAACTATACTAAGAACTCTCCAAAGCACCAACTCATTTCCGAGCCCCGTTCTTTTTCATTTTTCCCAACCCTTCCCATTGTGTAGCCCCCTTTCTTTTATTGTATTTGTCTGGTTTTAACTTGTTCCTTTTTTTTTTTTTTTTTTTTTTTTTTTTGGGCCTCGGTTTTTAAAAAAAAAAAAAAAAAAAAAAAAAAAAAAAAAAAAAAAAAAAAAAAAGGAAAGGAAAGGAAAGAAAGAGAGAGAGAAAGAGAGAAAGGAAGAAAATCTACAACCAAGAAATCAATTGCATCACGGTGATCTGACGAATACCTCCAGATTGTATCGGTTGGGGTCTTGTAGTAGGTGATTCTTCCGAGGCTCGTTGCCCCACCCAAGACAGCTATGGCGTCCCTCAGAGTAGAAGCAGAAAAAGGCGAACTGAGGCAGCAGGGAGCCATTGAGGCGGCTGAAGAGGCTCCTCAGGACCTTGAGGTCGCCAAAGCGGCCGAGCGAGTGATGGTGGAAGAAACTCTGAAGGCGGGTATGCCCGCCTTCCAATTTGACCCAGATGCCTCACCTGAAGAAAAAGCCGCTATCGCAGATTCTGTATGTCCTTCCTGGCTCATGATCTTAGTCCTCCGCTGCAATGTGCCTGCTAATCTCGTCCTTGTCTTGTAGCGGATACCCCCTGGCTTTCACCACGACAGGAAGCCAAAAGGTATAGCGGTCATCACGGACAAGGTATGTCTCTGCCTGGGGAGGGTAGCTTCCTTTTTCATGGTCGGCATGGACGAGATATTTCCTAATCGGTAACCATTCAAAATTTAGAACGATCGTACCCTCGACGACTATGATCTACCCCCTCCAAAATCGGCGACAGATATACTCGATGAAGATGTCAAAGATAGCTCCAGGGGCAAACCAGACGCTGGTATTCATGAAGACATGAGGTGGGCACGCGACAGGACAGGCTGGGCTCCGCGATTTGCGCAGACTGCGGCAGAAGAAGAGGCAGAAAAAGCAGATGGAACCTTACTGGATCACCAGGACTTTCTGGAAGGGAAATTGGATGACAAGTTCTTCGGTGGTATGTGGAAATCCAATCGAGGCTTCCCCGCCCACGTCAGATTTGAAAGATGCTGACTTGATCCAGACTGGTATCATAACGCCGGCGTCATCATATTCGCCTGTCTGTCTTCTTGGGTTGTCGCCGTCCTTGGTGGCGGTTTGGGATGGATCTTCCTCGTGATGGCAGCCTGTAGCACCTATTACCGAACCTCCGTTCGGCGAGTTCGGCGGAATTTCCGGGACGATATCAATCGAGAAATGGCTAAGCAACGCCTGGAAACCGACACCGAGAGCTTAGAGTGGATCAATAGCTTCCTGGTCAAGTTCTGGCCCATCTATGCACCCGTTCTGAGCGATACTATCATCAATTCAGTCGACCAGGTTCTCAGTACCTCGACTCCTGCCATGCTGGATAGTCTCCGACTGAAAACCTTTGTTCTGGGTACCAAGCCTCCGCGGTTGGAGCATGTCAAAACATACCCGAAGACGGAGGTTGACACCATCATCATGGATTGGAAGTTTAGCTTCACTCCCAATGATGTCATGGACCTGACAGCTCGCCAGCTGAAAAATAAGATCAACCCCAAGGTGGTCTTGGAGGTTCGATTAGGCAAAGGCGTCGTCAGCAAAGGTTTGGATGTCATAGTGGAGGACATGGCTTGTAGCGGTCTGATGAGGGTCAAGATGAAGCTTCAGGTCCCTTTCCCTCACATCGAGCGGGTGGACGTTTGCTTCATGGAGCGCCCGGAGATTGACTACGTTTGCAAGCCCTTGGGTGGCGACCATCTGGGTTTCGATATCAACTTCATCCCCGGTCTCGAGTCTTTCATCAAGGAGCAAATACACAATAACTTGGGACCGATGATGTACAGCCCTAACGTTTTCCCTATCGAAATCGCGAAAATGTTGGCCGGGAACCCTGTCGACCAGGCCATCGGTGTTGTTGCTGTGACCCTCCACGGTGCTCGTACATTGAGGAACCCGGACAAGTTTTCTGGAGCGCCTGACCCCTACGCCGTGGTTTCGTTGAATAATCGCACCGAGCTCGGCCGCACCAAGACTGTCCACGACACAGACAGCCCAAGATGGAACGAAACGTTCTACGTCATCATCACCTCTTTCTCTGATGCCTTGACTATTCGACCGTTTGACTGGAATGAGTTCCGCAGAGACAAAGAACTGGGCACGGCCACATTCGCTCTAGATAGACTCGAGGAGGAGCCAGAGCATGAGGGCGTCTACCTCGAAGTTATGGCCAGTGGCCGATCCCGCGGTGCCATCCATGCGGATATCCGGTTCTTCCCAGTCCTGGAGGGCAGAAAGTTGGAGAACGGCGAGACTGAACCCCCGCCGGAATTGAACACAGGTATTGCTCGCTTCACGGTCGAACAGGCCAAGGACTTGGACGGTACGAAGAGTATTGTTGGCCAGCTCAATCCGTATGGTGTCCTCATCCTGAACGGAAAGGAAATCCACATTACCAAGAAGTTGAAGCGCACAAACAATCCCATATTCCAGAACGCATCCAAGGAGTTCTTGGTCACAGACAAGAAGAATGCCCGTCTTGGTCTCGTAATCAAAGATGACCGTGATCTTGCACGAGATCCAGTCCTGGGCACGTACCAAATCAAGATGAACGACATTCTCAAAATGATGGAAAAGGGCCAGGATTGGTTTCAGTTGCATGGCACAAAGTCCGGGCGCGCGAAATTGACCTTCCAGTGGAAACCGGTTGCTCTAGGTGGCATCTCAGGCAGTGCTGGCTATGTGGACCCTATCGGTATCATGCGCTTCCACTTCAAGAAGGCATCAGACCTTCGGAACCTGGAGACAATGGGCAAGTCGGATCCATACGTACGGGTTCTGCTTTCCGGATACATGAAAGCGCGGACAGTTACATTCCGAAACAACCTGAATCCCGAATGGGATGAGGTAGCATATGTGCCGATCCACAGTCCCCGCGAGAAGCTCAAACTGGAGGTCATGGATGAGGAAAGTATAGCCAGCGACCGAACACTGGGATCTATTGAAATGTCGGCGGCTGACTACGTCCACGAGAATGAGAATGGAGAATACGAAGCCGACGATGAAAAGCAGCTCATAGCTAGTGGCCTTCGCATTGGGAGGGGGCCGATCAAGGGAACACTCTACTACACTGTTGCCTTCTATCCCACTATTCCAGTCGTCAACCCCGAGGATGAGGTGGAGGAAGAGGGGTTGGCTGATCTCCACAGCGATGAAGAACATGACGAGGTACCGAGAAAGAGTGTTGATTCCAAGCGAAGGAATGGCCACGTCAAGACTGCTAGCATGGATTCCAAAGCATCTACACCTGCGTCCCAACAAGCAGCCAAAACAAACGGTACATCCGAGCCACCGACTCCGGGACGGAGTAGCTTTTCGAAAGACTCCGAAATCATGTCTGTCAAGTCAATCAACAATATCCCCAAAACCTATATCTCTGTGGAAGAGCTCGCAAACTACGGTAATTGTCTAACACTCCCAAATCCCATGCTCGTTAAATTCTCGCAGCCGCTAATATCTTTTCAGAGTCCGGCTTTCTGGTGTTCAAGTTCCACGACGTCCAGCTTTCGCACACTAATGTGCAAGTGGAAGTCCTCATGGATGACTACATGTTCCCTGCATATTCGTCGCCGAAGCTCCGCTCCAAAAACGCCCAGATTGAAGACAGTATGTCAGAGGTTCATGAAATAGGAACGAGACCTGAGAGCTAACGATGTGTATAGTTGGGGATGCCTTCATCCGTGAACTTGAATTTTCAAAGATTACCCTCCGGATCGTGGACAAGAATAGCCCCAAAGATGATGGTGATGAACATACCGTGGCAAAACTGACAGGGGACACACTCTCGACCTTGCAGCGCATCCTGTATACTCCAACTGCACTCACCCTCCGATCGAACGATGGAGAAGTCAGCAAGGTCACCGTTAGTGCTCGATATATTCCAGTCACCATGAAACTGGACCCTACCGAGAGCATTAACAATATGGGCACTCTCCGAGTCGACGTTTTGGATGCTGCGGAACTTCCATCTGCCGACCGCAATGGCTTTAGTGATCCGTACTGCAAATTCCGTCTTAATGACGAAGCAGTGTTCAAGACCAAGGTACAGAAGAAAACGCTACATCCCGCCTGGAATGAGTTCTTCGAGATTCCTGTCAAGTCTCGGATCGGCTCTGATTTCCGTGTGGATGTCTATGACTGGGATTTCGGTGATAAGGCTGATTACCTCGGCGGAACGCCAATCGACCTTGGAATCCTAAACCCTTTCCAGAGCAAAGAGATGTCCTTTGTTCTGGACGGAAAATCCGGTGCCATCCGTTTGAAGATGCTGTTCAAACCGGCATATGTGACCCGGTCTCGGCAAGGGTCCTCTACCTTCTCCGGTAACTTTGCGACCCCGGGCAAGATTGTCGGTGCACCTGTCAAGGGAGTCGGATTCGTCGGTGGTAATGTCATCAAAGGTGCCTCTCTCTTGAAGCACGGCATCATGTCTCGATTCCGTGGGGATGATTCCTCCAGCACCAGCGAAATCCCCGAGGAGCCGGAAGATCCCCCTCAATCAGACACAACTCCCGCACCCACCGTCGCCCCCACAGTGGTTGTTGATGGGGGAGCAGCCCCCAACGCGGCCAACGGTACTACGTTGCAACACTCGCGCTCTCGCAGTGTGGCTTCGCATTATAGTGATCGGATTGGCATTGGAGGGGCTGGCAAGGGAGAAACGGGGACGGCCACGATCACCATCGTTTCCGCCAGCGACTTCCCTCCCTCTGCGAATGTGCGGGTTCTGGTGAAGGCGCTTGGTCCGAAGGGGGCCAAAGAGGTCCTCAAGAGCAAAACACACAAGGCCAACGGGGTGGGACCTGTGCAGTTCGACTCGTCGCACGAGACGTGCCGGGTGCACAACACCACGGCAGATGCACAATATCAAATCCGGGTGGTCGACCATTCCACCTTTGGCTCAGACACGGTTCTTGGAGAATCGCTCTTTTTTGTGGATGACCAGGGCTCCGTGGCCGGCCAGGAAAAGGCCGTCAAGGTAGGTAGTGGCACAGTATCTATCCGCAGCAATTTCTCGGGTCCCGAATCTACCTTGCGACCTGGCACCTCCCAGTCGAATAATGGGGATACGGCGTCCGAAATGGTGGACAGTCCCGACTCTAAGAAGGCTGGCCGACGCAGTTTCCTTGGGAAGAGGAATGTGAGCGGGGCCTAGAGGATTTTAGTGGAGGGTGCACTGAATTGTTCCTTTTTTTTTATTTTTCCCCTTGTGTTTGTAAACCAAACTACGTGATTGTTACTCTGGTTAATAATGCCTTTGACGATGTTTCCATCTTCCTCTCCTTGCCCCCCGCCCCCCTATTGTCTGCACATTTTGCATCTTGATAACGAATTTCCTTTTGGGCATCAATGCGATGTGATATCCTTGCTTTAGCGTACGTAGCGTTTGGATACTGCAAACTCTGGGATGCAGAATGAATGACTATTGTTAGCCCGATTGCTTCCAGGATCCGTATAAGGTGCGGGATGCCTCCGGTACACCGCCGGTCGACATCCGGCATACGGGGCTCGTGACCGACGAAGGGAGCATCCAGATGACAGGTCTTCTCCAGGGCGATGCACCAGGGGGACTATTGAACTTGTTTCGGAGGACGAACTGCGTGCCTGCCCACTTTTGGTTTCGAATTGGGGTGTGAGGAGTGGAGTTCTGCCCATTCAGCGACGGCCCGATCGCGGCGAGTCTTTGAAACTTGAGATCTGATCCCGGGACGACAGCTGTCCTGCGTACTCCAGCCCATATAGCAACTTGTACTCCAACTATCCTATTGATGCGTATCTATACCGGCCTGCTTACCACGTCAGTAGCTGTAGACATACCGGGATAGAAGCCCATGGATCCATAGGAATAACCCTATCGGTCTCTCAAGGGAGGACTCAACGGCGTGAGGACAAGTCCGACGGAATGGAGATGAAATCTTCGACACTACGAGGGTGCTAAAATAAGTCCATCCTAAAAGTCTTAGGAGAGCACCAACCGGGTGGATGAAGAATGGGGCCACGGAATTATCCCAGGGTTAAAATTAGAAAGTATGTCTTGCAGTAGCATTGACGGGTCTGACATTTCTGATGCTACATTCAATTCAGGAGGCGAATCCTAGTTAAACGGTGGATCAAATTCTCCCCCCAAGACTTCTAGAGTTTGTTCCATAGATTCTACGATTGATCGGTATATATATAAAATTATATGAAATAAAATATCAATTAATATTAACAAAAAATAAATTCATGATAAAAAGAACGAGAGTTCTCTGAAGTATGGTACACGGATCACCCTAATTAATTAGGGTTAAAAAAAAAAAAAAAAGCTACCATAATTAAAATCAACTCTCATACAGAATAGATTAAGATGGACAGTTGGAGGTGACGAGGACGGTGGGCCACTTCTCTGATTAGGATTTCCATTTTCACCATCCATTCCATTCAAAAAAAAAAAAAAAAAAAAAAAAAAAAAAAAAAAAAAAAAAAAACTGAACCCTGAAAAAAAGGGGCAAAAAAAGCACATGTGGTCTAGAATACGGATGTCCCTGGCCCAAAGTTACAACGAAGCTGTCAGATCATTAGATGATTCCTATTTTATTAAAAAAGAAAAAGAAAAAACCCTCAGTTGTTTGAGCGTTGGCGATGCATGCCTCGTGAAGATGTATTTTCTTGCCACTATTGAACTGCAATTCTGTCAATGCATGGTATCTATCTTAACTGTATTGTACTGTATGTATGTACCACTCTATCTTACCTACCAAGAGGTCAGTGCCTAAGAATAACCGGTAGCCGCATCGAGGCCCTGAGAATGTTGGCTGGCGAACCCCAGCCGTGGGCGGGTATTCACCCAGTACCTGTACGTACTGTACCTTCGTTCTTTTCTGGTCCCCTTGGAATTTTCCCCACTGTGTCTCTCCCAATAAATAAATAAATCGTCTTCAAGAATAATTAAAATTATTATATTATTAAGAAGAAGAGGAATCATTGTCATAAATAACCCATCCCAGGGAACAATCGGAAAGGACATCATACAACTCCTCGATCATCGAATACCATCCCAGTCTACTTTCTCTTTTCCCTTACATTATTCTCTCTCTCTCTGCGTGTGTGTGTGTGCTCTCTTCCTATCCTACCTATGTAAGTACCTATCATCCCCTGCTCCTGTTGCACCAATTGCTTTGCTTGAACCGTTGCCAATGACGGTAGCTGGTGAAGGGATCGACGGTGTCTGGCGTGGCAACTCTGCATAAGCTTGACCCCTCCTGATCCGCTTAAATATCTTGTTCTTCTGTCCAATTCAACTAGACTTCTGCTCCTCTCCTCTCCGTGAAGCTCCTCTTTTCACTTGTGTTTTTTTTTTTAAAAACTCTACCGGTGACTGACGTCTATCCACGTTCGCAGCGAACAGTTTTGCCTCCCCTTTCCGAGTTAACGCCGTGTTTTACATTCCCGTTGTTACCGTCATTCCAACCCAAATAACCGTCTTCCTTCCTGATCACCCGACACACAATGGCCGCCAAAGCTTTGCCCTCTCACCTTCGGGCTCCTGCCACCGAATCTTCAAATGCTGGCTCGTTCGGCAAGCACCACGGAAAATCTCAATCTCACATGGTAAGTGGCGCAAGGTTGGCAATAATCCTCTCTGCATCGATCGCAATCAAACGCCTGTTCTCCAGCGCCTCTCTTGGGATTGCTGCTGTGGACGGGGAAACGAAGCATGGACGAGAGAGCTGTGATTACCTTGGGTGTTCGCAGTTACCTCTCATTCCTCTATCATGTGCATTTATGGCCCTAGTCCCAATATGGCTGCCCTCTGCACTCTCTTCCTAGAACTTGTCATTGCCCTCTTGAAGACTGCAGTGAATTTGGCTATTCCGTCTTCCCCACGTATCATTACCCCCTGCCCAATGGACGCTTCTTACGGTTACTGGAATACTATAATTCTGGATCTTGTACTGTGATCTATCTCCTTGATATTTTCACATCGTGCGTCGGTTCCCCTTCTTCAGTTCGCAATCGCAAAGACTACTGCGTGGCATCTTCGTGAGATCCGCTTCGCACCCGGTGTCAGCCGTTTCTCATTGAGATATCCCCATCTGCTCCCCAATTTTGCCCAGATCTTCAAATAGCACGTAGCTGTTGTGCGGTTTCTCTGGAATTTGTGGCTGATGTATTTGAACAAACAGGCGTTCGAAAATGCGTCCACCAGCGTTGCAGCTTCACAGATGCGCAATGCCCTGAATGCCCTCGCGGAGACCGTCCCCGATGCTGCGGAGCGCAAGCGTTTCGAGGCCGAGATGGACAACTTCTTTGCTCTTTTCCGCAGATTCCTGAATGATAAGGCCAAGGGCAACGAGGTCAACTGGGATCGTATCGCTCCTCCCCAGCCCTCGCAGGTGGTGAACTACAATGACCTGGGCCACGAGGCTTCGGTCGAATTCTTGAACAAACTGGCCGTCGTCAAGCTCAACGGCGGCCTCGGTACATCCATGGGATGTGTGGGACCTAAGTCTGTCATCGAAGTCCGCGAGGGAATGTCGTTTTTGGATCTCTCTGTCCGTCAGATCGAGCACCTGAACCGCACATACAATGTCAACGTGCCCTTTGTCCTCATGAACTCCTTCAATACCGACCAGGACACCCAGTCGATCATCAAGAAATACCAGGGTCACAATGTTGATATCATCACCTTCAACCAGTCCCGCTATCCTCGGATCATCAAGGACTCCATGCTCCCCGCCCCGAAGTCCTACAATGCTCCCCTGCAAGATTGGTACCCTCCAGGTCACGGCGATGTCTTTGAATCGCTCTACAACTCGGGCACCTTGGACAAGCTCTTGGATCGCGGGGTGGAGTACATCTTCCTGTCTAACGCGGACAACTTGGGAGCCGTCGTGGATCTCCGCATTCTGCAGCACATGGTCGACACCCAGTCCGAGTATATCATGGAGTTGACCGACAAGACCAAGGCCGACGTCAAGGGCGGTACCATCATCGATTATGAGGGCAAGGCCCGTCTCCTGGAAATCGCCCAAGTGCCCAAGGAGCACGTCAATGAGTTCAAGTCCATCAAGAAGTTCAAGTACTTCAACACCAACAATATATGGATGAATCTCCGTGCGATCAAGCGTGTGGTGGAGGAGAACGAGCTGGAAATGGAAATCATCGCTAACGAGAAGTCCATCCCCGCCGACAAGAAAGGTGACGCCGACCAGGCCATCTACCAGCTCGAGACCGCCGTTGGTGCCGCTATCCGCCATTTTAAGAACGCCCACGGTGTCAATGTACCCCGCCGTCGTTTCTTGCCGGTCAAGACCTGCTCCGATCTTCTCCTCGTCAAATCGGATCTGTACCGTCTCGAGCATGGCCAGCTGGTCATGGACCCCAACCGCTTCGGAGGTGTCCCGGTGATCAAGCTTGGATCCGACTTCAAGAAGGTCTCGGACTTCCAGAAGCGCATTCCCAGCATCCCTCGGATCGTCGAACTCGACCACCTGACCATCACGGGTGCCGTGAATCTGGGTCGCAACGTGCAACTAAAGGGTACGGTCATCATCGTGGCCACCGAAGGAAGCACGATCGACGTGCCCCCTGGATCAGTGCTGGAGAACTGTGTGGTCCAGGGAAGTCTGCGTATCCTGGAACACTAATTGCCTCGATTGATTCCAGGCTCTTTTGCGTTTTTGTTCTTTTTCCCCCTTCTTCTTTTTACAGCCGTAATTGATTCCCCATCCGGAAGGTGACTGCAGGTAGCACCTGCACGGGTTGATAGAAATCTGCTAGGGAATGGGACCTCGCTACCTGTATTTTGGGTCTGCCGAGGGTATGGAACCGTTTTACTATGGTGCTTGGCAGGAAGGCGTCTTAACGGCGGGGGATGTGTGCATGGGGATGCAGCAGCCTAGCTAGAAGTCCGCTTCTTCCTTTCACCATTGTAGGCTTGGTCCCTTCTCCTAGTTTGTTAACTATAGCTATTGTCGTTACTACTGTTGTCTAATAATGCTATGCATTCTGGAGCCGCTACAAGGGTTATTTTCGAATGCTCGTCTAACGGGGAGTCATCCTCGAACCATCTACTACTCCTTCCATCTTCCTCCATATTGATTAGGCAAGCCTGGGGAAATCTCATTGAATGTAAGCTATAGTATCCCATTCAGGCGAGATGGAGGTGTCTTTCTGGTGGGAATCACGTGTCGCCGATCGACCACGAGAAGTACAGTCCGTCCATCCATTCACTCATTCACACTTTCCTCCCAACGCGAACCATCCTTCCACACAGAGTCACTACCAGACTGTACCTGATCATGGTTCTTCCAGGTACCCCATTTTCTCGAAGTATGGATGGTATTCGGGGTTGTTGCTGGCGGTGTTCCACGACCATGGGCCTGTAGGTTCCCAAGACACGGTTCTCGGACGCCATTACCCAGAAATGACCAACGTCTGCAAGAGCCCAAGGCCATTTCCGTGCGTCATTAATTAACAAGATTGGTCAGGATGGTGGAGGAGAGGCAGGCTGGTGTTTCCTTTCCGCTCGAACAGCCCCCCAGGTCTAGACCTTCCCCAGGGGACTCGAATCGGATTTATATGTGGAAGGTGCGACTATTGATCAGAACTTAGGTTGTTCTGCCGTCCAGCTTCCCTAACGAAGGAGCCCGTCTCATCGTTCCACACAGTGATCGTCATCAACATGAACGATTTTACATCCCAGCATCGTCAACTTGCGCCGGGACCTTCCCCCACGGCGGGCATGCCGGACATGCCGATGGGGGAGGCTCCTCCTGGCGACAGCTACCGGAAATCAAGCGATTCCAAGAAAAGAGTCTCCATGGCATGCTTGGCCTGTAAAAAGTCCAAGCGGAAGGTAACTCCCTCTCTCCTCAATCACTGTAGACAAGCCTACCTCGATGCGTTTCTCCAGTGGTTATCCGCATGGATCTGTTGACGGGTTGATCATGACAGTGCTCCGGGACAGCCCCATGCGATAACTGTCGAGCCTTCAATAGACAGTGTATCTTTGACGAGACACTAGACCAACGCCGTCGAGTGGCCGCAAAACGCACGGCTGATGAACTCAGTTACCACCGGGATATGCTGAATGACATGTTGAAAGTGATGAAGGCGGAAGATCAGTCCCATGCCCTCAGGTTGTTGGATATCGTCCGGGCCGATGCCACTGCGGAGGAGATTCGGGCCTTCATAGATGAGACACTAGCACAGATTTCAGGCATGGGCAAAAACTCTAGGCCCGCTTTGCAGAAGTTCGAGGAGGTCCGGCGGATAATAGATCTCGAAGGTGGGCCGTCGTTTCGTCCACAAGTAATGGATATCCATTACTTGTGTGATGAGGTGCCACATCGCGTTCCTGCGAAGCCGTGGACTACGATCACCCAGGATTCGGGTCTTGTCTCCCACTTGGTCTCCTTGTATTTTACGTGGGACTACCCGTTTCATGCTTTCCTCGACCGCGAGGTGTTTCTGACCCATATGGTCTCGGGGAACGTCAAATCGGAGTTTTGCAGTCCCTTTCTCGTCAATGCTCTTCTGGCCAATGCATGCGTAAGTTACATTCCCTGGAAGTGCTTGCGTGGCCCTAATTTGTTTTTACACCCAGCATTATTCGGACTATTCCGAAGCATATGTCGATCCAGGGGATCTTTTGACCAAAGGCGCTGATTTCCTCGCCGAAGCCGAACGTTTGAGAGACGAAGAGACCACAAAGCTCAGTCTTACCTTCCTGCAGGGGACGCTCCTGTTGTTTGAGAGGTGAGTCTATATTCGGTTTTCTATCTGACATGTACACCCCTTGGCTGATTCACTTCGAAGATATTCCCTTTGTGGGAACAACGATCTCGGGTATAAGATGCTCCATCAAGCAATATGGACTGGCGAGGCACTAGGGCTGATTGGTCCAAAGGCGAACCAGGGGCAGTTGTCGGAACATATGGATGTCTCAATCAGGCGAACAGCGTGGGGTCTCTTCCATATAGATACGTACATCCATGCCGGTTTCCTGAGACCAAGCTTGATCAACAAGGTAAGCTTGGAGCCACCGGCAGGAGTGGATGATACGTCTCTATGGACTCCATACCCGTCGCACCGCGCGGCCCGACCGTCCCAGCTCAGTCGATATTTTACTGAGTTATACGAGCTATGCAAAATTGCGAGAGACATATCACAGCGCCTTTTCGCAATGGACGGCGCTTCACCCACAGTACACAACTACCGTCAAATCAAAGAGACCCTTTATGAGAGACTTTGTCAATGGTATGATGCACTACCAGAGAGCTTTGATCCCCAGCGCAAACCGCCACCATACGTCCTCCTCTTAAGGTGAGTTTGTGCCGTACATATTTTCGCCTTCTACTACGTAGGGAAGCCGCGAACAGCATGGCTTGCCAGGTATTCCATGCACCTGTGGCCAAGTATCACCCATTTCTGACTGCCTACTGATACTAGGATGCGATACGACACATTGCTCATCACCATGTTCTCCTTTACACCACAGGAGAATACATTGAGATTTCAATCGGAGGCTCCGCAAACGCCAGAGAGCACACCGAGCCTGAGTCCACAGCCAAAGTGCGATGCTGATGAGATTATACAGTCCGCGATACGCGATATCTCCTGTTTAGCACTTGTCCATCGGCGGGAATATGGTATGACTCGCGCGCATTATTTTGCCTTGTATGCGATCAACTTGGCCTTGTTCACGATGCTGGCCCGAGACGCCTTCGATATCCTCCATCCAGACTTCCTGTCGCTCACAAGCTCTTTTCACAGCATTGCCAGCCGATCTCCCGTGGGACGGGGTCTTTTCTACCTGTTTCGAGAGAAGGTCCGCGCGAAAGGCCAAGGCCAGCGACTCCAAGAGTCGGATGCTGCGACCGCAGATTTGAAAACGCTGTTTGATGAGCAGTCAAGTTCCTATCCCAAATTAGAGGAGTACGCCAGAGGCTTGGAGAAATTGAACCAGGACGAGCGCTATCGTGGTATCCCAGGCGAGGGAGACGAAAGCATCTCTAGCATGCTCGATCGCTACGAGAGTTTGAGTTTGGGGAAGGATGAAATTGCACCCGAAAGAGCACGGGCAGGTGACCGATAGGTGCTGTGCACTTTGTTGTGGTTCCCAGCTCCCTCCAACCTGTTTTTATTCTATTTGCGCCGCGAGGTTGATACCAGTACTTCCTCTTTTGCACATCCGTTCCAAGGCGAAATTGATACCAAATAATGATGGAAGAGGGGGATTGTAATTCGATGAATTGTTGCCTGTAGGAGTTTAAAATCCTGTATGATCCATTTGATTTGACGTTGGTGTGTTCCGACGGTTTGGATGACATCACTGGCCGCTGGTCCTCGGGTTGTACTTATACTCGCCTCTCCTACCCACAGCCGTGATTGCTAATCAGCCTGGACAAATGGGCGCTGATTATTTTTAGTGCACAAAATGCGATGGAGCGTTTAACCAAGCCTTACCATCCCTACGATGATCCTTCGAACATCGACTCTGGTGCTCCGCGTTTCGACGATCGCCCGGCAATGCCGCCAGTAGCTTCTGTATGGTCTTGGGATCATCTCCAGCCACCGGGTTTCAACCCCTACCTTACTACCCAGTATTGGGAGAGGCCTGAATTTCCGGCTCACATATCGTCGACATCATCATCGCCACGAGGAATGCCTGGGTCGATCCCCAAAGTGCCCATTCCGCGAACACAAAGCCTCAGTAGCCGTTCGGAACGTCGTCGGTCGGCGAGAGCCTGTGAGTCCTGCAGACAGCGGAAAATCAAGTGTGATGGGAACAAACCGATCTGCCGGCAGTGCTTAGAGCATGATCTGCGATGTACCTACCTGGACGTCAAACGCGTTCGGGACCAGAAACAGCTGGGGTTGTTAGCGAGGAAGGTGGAAAGTTATGAGAAGTTATTGAGGGAGGTTGAATCGGAGGTCGAACCATGCACAGCAAGGAAGGTCAGGAAGGCGTTAAAAGTGTGTTGATTCCACGCTCCTTCCCTAGTCTTCCCCCCCCTCCCCCCTCTCAAATCGAGCCCATTGATCGAACAACCTGACATGCTTCTCTTTCACAATCCGCGCAGGCATCCGGCCCCCGATCGTCCACAGATGAGACAAGCTCCAACATGGAAGACGACTCCGAGTCCATCGGGTCACTGGATAACATTGATATGATCGATGAAGATATGAATCGCAGCGAAATGACCATAGCAACGGGCCATTTTGGGAAGAATTCGGAGATCTCGTGGATGCAAAGGCTGGAGGACGAAGCGGAGCGTCTTAGTCGACAGTCGTCCGAGTCTGTCGAGGATGCCACCCAATCGAGTGGCCAGCAATCACGTCACAAGCAAGTCTTTTCGATCTCGACGCTGAGCTACCATCTCGATGATCTCAGCATCCCTTTCCTCCACTGGGTGGACCCGTATGCGCTGCCGCCAAAAGAGCTGGCCGATCAGTTCTTTGAGGCGTACATGGAGTCGGTCCACCCGGTGTTCATGGTGATCCGAAGATCGACCTTTGCATCTCAGTGTCAACAATTTTTCAAGCAGCCGTTGAGACCACCTCGAAGATGGCTCGCCATACTGAATCTGATCTTCGCCATTGGATGTCGCCATCTCCGGTTTGTCAACGGTACAAATGACAGCGATATGGATGACTGGGTGTATTTGAACCGGGCCCGCAAGTTGAGTCTGAGTGGGAATGTGCTCTTTGAGCACGCAGACTTACAACAGGTCCAAGTGGAGTTTTTGGCTGCTCTGTATCTCCTCTCAGTGGACCAGGTCAATAGGTAAATCCAATTAAACGCGTCAGTTTGGTGTTTCGTCGTCTTTGCTGACCAGTTCACGACTGCTAGGGCGTTCACGATGTCCAGCCTGGCATTTCGATCTGCGCTGGCGCTGGGGATCAACCTTCGTTTCGCGGACGATCGCACGCAGAATGCCTCGAAGGAAGCACGGAGCCGCCTATGGTGGTCCATATACCTCTTTGAGTATCTACTCACTTCAATCACAGGCCGAGTCTCCTGCGTAGGAGATAGTCTCACCGCCGCACCACTACCAGTCCCGTATGAGGAGGAGTACTTTACGCGGCCGGAGGCCTTATGCCTTCTTCAGGACACGCCGCTACGAGCAAGCCGTCTCAAGATGACTCTTCTACAATCGGAGGATGAGATTCAGTCCAGCGCGGAATGGTTGGCTACCTGTCCAACCAGCCCGTCGCTATTTTTCTACTGTCTCGCGGACCTTACGACCATCACGCAGGCTGTGGCGAGCAAGGTCTACAGCATCCGGGGACTGCGAGATCGAGCGAGTCAAGTCGAGCAACGCATTCGGAATTACACCGTGACATTGGAATCCTGGCGGTTCAAGATCCCCGAGGCATATCGATTCACAGAGCCACACAGTGACCGGCCCGCCATCCCGGAAAACGGCCCTTTCCTACGGGAGCGTGTCTACCTCGCCTTCTTCTTCTACAGCGCCAAAATCAGTCTCTGTCGTCCATGTCTCTCGCACTCTACAACCAAGCCTGATGATCCTTCGGAACAGTTGAGCCACCGTGGACGCTTCCGCGCCGAGATGGCCCTCACCTGCCTGCGGTCATCCTGCTCGTTAATCGCCATCCTCCCTGACGACCCGGGCCTCATCTGGCTCTCCCAGCATGCACCCTGGTGGGCCATCCTCCACTTCCTCATGCAAGCCACTACCGCTCTGTTGCTTGGCCTGACGTTCTTCCCCAAAGTCGACGACGAGACCCGCTCGCTATCACCGGCCCTCAGCGTCCCCATCATGTTTGCATCAACCCGCAAAGCCTTCCGATGGCTGCACGCCATGAGTCACCAGAACCAGGCGTTCCGGCGCGCCTTCCTCTCATGCGAGAGTTTTATCCGCCGAATTGCGCCGCGCCTGGGATTGGATATTGGCGACTTTCCTGATGGAAGCGCGTTATCCCCCGTGACAGTGTTACCGGGGAATGCGAACTTCGGGCTTTGGACCTCTGGCTTTGGACCTCTGGCTGCCTGAGGCACAAGAAATTGCAACGGGAGTGAGATGTATTATCATGGCTTTTCTTTTTTCTTTTTTTTTTTCCCCCTTTTTTCATCCTTTTTGGAGAGGGGCCTACATTTTCTTACTTCTTTTTTATTTTCTATTCCCTTTACTTTCTGCCCCAAAAATCGTCTCCTAGTATTGTCTTAGGATGCCGTACGGAGTAGTAGATTGATAAAGACCAATGCCATCTCAACGTCTGTATAAATACAATCAATTGAGGTAATCAATAATCAACTTGGAAAAATATACTCGCAGATAAATAGAATAGCCATGCATCTAAGAAAGTGAGAAGGAAAACAGGAAAATGAACCAATTAATTGCAGCTAGACACAAACTACACAGGTCAAATCAAACAAGACAGACCACAGAGACAAATTCAACAGTGGATACAAATCAGGCAGGTCGACGGAGAAACAGGGGTAATAGAATAGAACATGATATAATATGATATGATACGCTGCTTGAACGAGACAGATCTGGAGATAGATAGATAGATTGCACTTACCATTGAATTTGATAAATAGATTGCACTTACCATTGAATTTGACGGACGAGATGGAATCTTAAAAGAAAATAAATAAATAAATAATAAACAGGCCATACAGTGATTAACAGACCGACATTGACAGAACGCAAGAGAGATAGTATGAAACAGGACATATATGAAATCAATAGAGGGATCATCAATCAACATGTTTAGAGTAAAAATAAAAAATAAAAAACCCGTAGAAAAATATTGGATTCATATTATTCAGTGCCGAACAGGAACAATAGATAAATAAGAAAGAAAAGAAAAATCACACGGTTAAAATAGATCGTAACATGTACCTTTCTTTACCCAGAGGTGACGAACTGTATGCCTGAGGTGGCAAAAAGAAAAAAACTTTGGTCATTTGCTGATGAAAATGGACATCAAAACAAAACAAAAGCAAGGTGGAAAAAGACATCCTCCCTTCACACTACATATGTTGAGGCATAAGGTATGCCCGCTTTCGAGGATCATCGTCTACCACGGGAGGTCCACGTTTTTGACCCGCGTTCAACCTCAGTGGATCCACCGGATGGGGATGAGGATGGGGGTGCTGGTGTGCTTGTGGGTGATGAGGAGGTTGGACATGCCGCGGCGGTTGGGGACGGACCTGCATCTGAGGCTGCGTCTGTGGTTGCATAGGCATATGCGGCTGAGGCTGTTGAATGTGGCCATGGCCGTGCTGGTGTTGATGCTGATGCTGAATGTGCATTTGAGTCTGGGCTTGGGCCTGGACCTGGACCGGATGTTGCTGTTTCTGTTGCTGTTGGTGCTGGAGCTGGTGTTGTTGTTGGTGCTGCTGTTGTGGCTGGAGCTGGTGTTGCTGCTGTTGATGCTGCTGTTGTGGCTGGAGCTGGTGTTGCTGTTGGTGTTGCTGTTGTGGCTGCTGTTGGTGCTGGAGCTGGTGTTGAGACTGAGGCGGAGGCTGGGATTGAGCTGCGGCCTGCACTTGGTTTTGTGGGGTCTGGGTCTGAGGTTGTTGAGCCGGGGGTAGTCCCTGAGCCTGGGCCTTAGCTAGCGCCTCGGCTTCGGCCTGCGCCTGGCGGGCGGCGACGTCGGCTTTACGAGGACGACCACGGGGACGGCCGGTACCGGGTTTAGAAGAGGCCGGTTTACGTGGGGGTTTCGGTTTGGGAGGAGCGTTGGGATCCATTTCGGACTTACGGGGGCGTCCCCGTCCCCGTTTCTGCGGAACCACGGTGCCGTCAGGGTTAGTGACCATAGGTGGTTGCGTAGGGGCAGCAGGCGTAGGGGCAGACCCTGGTGCCGCCGGAGGTGCCCCCGGTAAAGCGGGAACCGGCGCAGTATTATTGTTCGCGCTCGTTGACGATGTGGACTGCTTCGGTTTCTTGGGCTTCTTGGGTTTGGTTTCTTCCCCGGAGACATCAGACTTGCGGGGCCGGCCCCGGCGCTTGGGTGTTCCAGCTGCGGCAGTCTTCTCGGCGGGCACCGGTTGATTTGGAGCTTGACTGTGTTCAGCGACATAGATAGGCTGTGCTTGTCCGTTGATTTGGGTGGGTGCGATGGCGGGTGATGCTGATGCAGCGGTCTTCGCGGGCTGCTTCGGGCGACGTTTGGCAGGCGCAGTAGTGTTGGTGTTGGAAACGGTTGGGACGGCCGTGTCGTTATTATCGGGTTCGGGGGCCACCAGGTCGACATTTGCGCCCATTGCTGACGGAGTGGACGACTGTGGCCGGTGTGGCTGCGCTTGCTGTGGTTTGGGGGGTTGTTGAGGCAAAGCAGAGTGCGGCTGCTGATGATATTGCGCTTGCTGTGGCTGTTGGTACTGTCGTTGCTGATAGGCCTGGAACTGAAGCTGCTGGGGCTGTGACTGATACGGAGATCGTTGAGCCTGCTGCTGTTGATAGCGCGGATGCTGTTGTTGCTGATATGACTGCTGAGCCTGTTGCGCCTTTTGCGCCTGCTGGGCCTGTTGAGCATGCTGCTGTTGTGCCTGCTGCTGTTGATAGGTTTGGTGCACTTGCTGCTGATATGGCGACTGCTGTGCTTGCTGATATGGAGATAGATGAGCCTGCGTTGGTTGATATGGAGACTGCTGTGCCTGTTGATACTGGGCTTGCTGCTGGGCCTGTTGATATTGAGGCTGCTGTTGTGTCTGTTGATAGGAGTGCGCCTGCGCCTGCGGTTGCTGCTGTTGCTGCGGTTGCTGATGTTGTTGTTGCTGGGGCAGGGTAGTTGCCATTATGGGCGATGCCGCCGCCGGCGTCGGGGCCGTTGGATGCGCATGCGTCGTCTGCCGATGCTGGAGATGCGTATGTTGCATGCGTTCCAGGGATTGCTGGGGCGATGAGATACTCATGGCCTGCGCATGCGGAGACAAAGCGGCCTGCGCATTCATGGCGGCGGGGTGTGCACGGAAATTGGCCATAGGGTTCATATTCCGCTGCAGGCTCTGCAGTGACAGGTAGGGATCCCTTAATTGGCCCACTGAGTCCGTATTCCGTTGCAACAGGTCCGACGAACCTTGAGGCTGGAAATGGCTCGGGAAGGGACCGTAGCTCCCCCCCGCGGTCAGATTGACCAACGGACTGGACGACGCGGGGGTCATCTTGCGAAGATCGGGAGAATGGGCCGCTGTGAGATCAGCTGCCTGTGGTTGGCCCCGAAGCAGAGAATTATTGTTGGCGATACCGGTGCCATGGTGCGGATGGGCTGCGGCCATCGACGGGGATTGCAGATGATGTTGTTGCTGTTGCTGCTGCTGCTGCTGCTGCTGATGGGATGCCTGTTGTTGTTGCCGTTGCTGGGGGAATGGATTACCCCCATATCCCATCATCTTGGGCGGTGTTTACGGTGGATTGTCTGTCTGGAGATGTATAAAGACCCACAGGGACTGGACCGGATGGGTGTGTCAGGTGGCAGACATGTGACCGCATCCACAACAGGAGCAAAGTCTAAGTGCGCGCCGGACCTGACTGGTGATGGGTTGGGATTGCCAGTGACTTGAGAGTGGGACAATCAGTCAGTTAAGAGAAAGAACAGGAGGCGACAACTATCTGAATCAATTGAGTGCCGTGACACCAGGGCAATTGGAAGATTTCCCCGACGCGCCGAACAGCGCGCGTATCTCTAGGAAAGAGGAAGGCAAACGGATGGACGTCGTCGGTGGATTCGATTGGATGGCCTCAGGCGCGAACGGGGGTACGGGGAGCGGGAGGCACCCCTGGAGCAGTTCTGTAGGAAAAAATAAAAAAAAAAAAAACGGACCGGTTCAATGCAAGGTGTCCGGATTCAAGAGACGAAAAGACGACTGAATCCCTAGAAAGAGAGTCGAAACGCGTTGGAAATGAACTCTATCCGGGTCCTTCTGATGAGAACCATACAAGGACCGACCTAGAGGACGACGGTATGGGATCTTTTCGATGGGCGACCTTTTTTTTTTTTTACCCTTTTTTTGATTTTGGAATTTTGGAAAAAGGGAATTTTTTATTTTTCTGTCTCCAACGGAGGCGACATCACGTGATGAGCGACCATGCTGGCCACTCAGCGGCAGCGTGAGGCTTTCAGGCATGAATCGAGCTGGCAGGAGGCGACCACGGAAGAGCAAGAGAGCGAAAGAGTGAAAGAGCTGAGAGAGAGAGAAGAAGCCTGACGCACTGAAGGACTCTACAAAGGAGGAACAGCCGAGGAGGTCAATCTGGAGGAGAAGAATTACAAGAATCTTATTAAAAATCATAATACCCAGAATCAACCCATGCTGGAGAAAAAATAAATAATAATAATCATTCGACTAAATAATAAATAATAATAGTAAATAAATAATAAAATTTTATAAAAAAAAAAAAAACAAAAAAACAATGGAAAATCAAAATGCACCCACCCAATTTAAATACTAGCGAGAAAAATCCTCACGAAATCACACCCCCCAAAAGATCGAGCTGGCTGAATACCACCCACCTGTAATAATAAATAAATCCCTCTTGCATTTAAGGTTACATTAGCAGCTGGTCCTAGATGGGGTTGATTCGAGTCTTTGAGGATTTATGTCGGTGCAGTAGGGATGGTGTCGATGTCCTCCAGGGTATTATTTTGTTTAAAAAACAAAAATATAAATATAAATAAATAAGCAAAAAAATAAGAAATAAAATAAAGGCACAACTAAAACAAATGAACCTTCGAATAATTATAAAGAAAAATCATAAAGCCAAAAATTAAAATTAAAAATAGGTAAAAAAAAAAAAAAAAAAATACATACTCCGCAATCCCTGTACCAATAAAAAATAAATAAGTCATCAGGAGATAAAATCCACTCTTCAGTCAACATGCTCTCATCCTCATGTAACCATCACGAACCTAATCTTATCATCGGTCGCATCGTGGAATGGATTGCCTCTCATCTGAACTGGATTCATCCATCCACAGAACCAAAAAAAAGAAAAAAAAAAAAATCAAAGAATTAAATAGTTAAAAAATAATAATAATAAATAAATTAAATCAACCCACCCTAAGATAAATATGCGACTAGATAGACCCCATCATGCCGCCTTACTGGCATCCTCCTTCCCCTCCTCCTTCGCCTTCAACGCTGCCAGACAGGGTGCGAAAAACAGGCGCCCCGACACCACTCCCTTCAATGTCCCCACACTCACCACGATCCACAAAACGACCACACAGAGCGACAACACCTGCCACGGACGTCAGACCATCCCGATCATAAGAGCCACAGCAGTTGGAAATAAATCAACGAAAGGACAAACAGGAGGGGTCAGAACAAGAACGTACCGTGCCCAGGATTTGGAAGAATCTCGATGGGAGCGCCGTTCCCATCTCGCACGTACAGGTGGCGAATACCCCGAGGGGAAACGTGAACCCCCACCATCCAATATTGAAAGGGAAACTTTTGCATCGGACGATGGATGCTAGAGCGAAGAACAGCCAGACGAGCCCGAATGACCAGAGGATGAGCGCAATCATAAATCCCACTGTGTGGACCGTCTCCCCGGACGAGGCTTCCAGCGTATCGGTTTGAGGGAAGATCCTGTGTGCGACTTGTCCCAGTTTCAGAACCCTGTACAGCCCGTCAAACGTGAGCAACTTTAAACAGAGCAGGACTCCGGAGTGGTACTCACCCGAACCCCCCTTGGCCCAATGGGCCCAGTGGCAAGAAGACGCTTACAATCACCGCCTTGGGAGGGATTTTGTGGAGCGTGAGTCGCTGCAGATAGATGACCATGACCATCATCGCCAGTGGAAGTCCGATCCCCCACAGCATATACGAGCAGATAATGGTCCACAGCGCATGCTGCGGGTTAGAAAGCACGCCCGCTACGATGCCACCGGAGGAGCCGGCAACGATGCAGGTGACAATGGGCAGCAGCCACACGGCCGTCATCGAGGAGAGTTGAATCTCGTTGCCGCGAGCCATACTACGATGAGATGTTAGATACGCTCTCTCCATCCCCCCTCCCCCCCTCTCTCTCTCCCTACTTACAGCAAAAACGGCAGAGAGAGCGCCGTTATCACGGAGAAGATGGCATCGATGATCCACATGCCCCAAGCGGCGTTCCGAGTCCATTCCCCCCAGGCGGGGACGCAAACTAAGCAGAACATATTGACGATGGTCGCGAAACCCATGGGGATGGTGCCGATGAACATCGACTGCACAGGGTGAGTGATCATGAGGGCGAAAATCTCCGGATACAGCGTATACCGGAGGATGGTGATGATGCTGCCGATGGAGAACAGGAAGACATTCAGGGCGAAGATGACGATAGAGATATAGTGGAGCCAGTCGCTATTGTAGGGTAGGGTATTGAGGAGGATGGACACGATGCCTGTGCCCATGGTGACGGAAAACCATCTGTCTCGTAGTGGTCAACGATCTTGGAAAGCATTCTGGGGATAGATGGACCCGAGAGCAGCCCTACGAAGGTGTGAAATGGCGCACGACTCTCCTCCAGCCCACCTCATGCTTGCTGAGCTGAGTCTCTTGAGAAGTGGAAACAGGGGTAGACGACATGGCGCATGACGGTCCTGTTTGTAGTCCCTCGATGGTTGCCATCTCGCACAGTAGTCGTAGCAGTAGTCGTTCGGAGGTCCTCCTCAGCAGTCGGACTGGGATTCATACACTATGTGACATCGTCCGAACCTCCGCGCTGGACTCTAAATATTGCGACTGCCGTGAGTCGCCGACACTCTCTAGTCCCCGAGAGGTTTGACTCGGCCGAGACGTCACCTCCGTTGAAGCCATACAGCAGCCCCCGCGATACCGGCAATCCCAGCTGCTTGACTCAGATCCTGCAAACAAGAATAGAGAATGGGTTCCACGTAGGAGGAAATGATTGGAAGCCCTACGAGCTATCCTGGACGAGACTGCTGCATGAACCTTCGGCCACAGATGATGTCATCGATCCTGAAATATGCGACGTGATCCAACCACGCAGAACTACCATGGACAGCCTGTGGAGAAGACTAGGGATGTCCATATTAATGGATATTGTCGATGCAAGTGAGGGGTTCAGAAGTACTAACGAAGTAATATTTGAGGATATTAAGAAGAGAAAGAGAGAGGGGCCCACGTGATGTCCCCCTAAAGAAACATCCCCACCATCCATTTAGAACTGAACTTGAACGACGCAGACTGGAAACAGTGGGAAACACCAGCCAAGACGAGGAACTCGACTCTTGGACTCGACATGACACGCGCCATCCCCGAGGATGTGAACCGAATCGCCGAATTCCTGACCTATGAGCAGATTCCTTCGACTCTCCCATCGACCCAACCCGCCACGAACTGCATCGTGCTCTGCGTTTCTGCAATTCTGGACGTTGCGGACATCGTCTTCTCTCAACTCGAGCAATGTCCCACCCTGACCCAGACTTTGGTTCTCTGTGGCGGGATCGGCCACTCCACCCCATACCTGTATGAAGCTGTCGGTCGGCACCCGCGCTTTGCCCACCTGGCGGAAGAAACCCACGGATTGCCCGAAGCCCAAGTTCTCCACCGCATCTTCACCCGCTGCTTCGATGCGCCTCGCATCCAGCAATCGGGTTGCCGTGTCCTCGTCGAAGACCAATCCACCAACTGCGGTGCCAACGCGATCCACACGCGGAAGCTCCTGCTGCAGAACGACATCCCCCATCCAGGATCGATGCTGATCGTGCAAGATCCGACCATGGCCCGGAGGACAATCGCTTCGTTCGAGCGGGTTTACGAGTCGGATCCAACCCCCCCGCGCTTCTGGAGCTGGCCGATCGTGGTGCCGAGGGTGCGACTGGAGGGCCAGGAGCTGGTGTATGATATACCGAGGATACCTACAGATCGGCTATGGAGTCGGGAGAGATTCCTGGGACTGCTTCTGGGAGAGATTCCCCGATTACGTGACGACCAGAATGGATACGGGCCCAATGGAAAGGGGTTTATTGGACATGTGGATATACCGGAGGAGGTCGAGAGAGCGTGGGAGAGGCTACGGCGGATGGAGATGGCACGACGGTGATTTTCTTTCCCAGAGAGCAAGAGAGAGCAAGAGAGAGCGTATAGGTATTATCCTACGTTGCATGCTCTGAAGCCATACCAGGACCGACCGAGTCGCATGAAATATGGATTCCTAGAGACTGTCGGCCACCGTCTAATCCAGGGCGAACTTTTTTTTTTTCAACTGTCGGCTTCCGGGGATGGATGGGGGACTGTTTGGCGACGAACCAGGGCTTCCTAGGTGATATTAAGGAAGATTAAGAAAGACATTATTATCTGGACGACGGTGGACGATGTGTAGTACCGTGACATGCGATCTCTGATGCTGAAAGCCGGATCTGGTGAGATGTTGGATCCGGCTCTTTGGGAGCTCCAGGGACTTCCGCATCCGGCCAGGATGCCTCTTACTTTCCTCCATTTCCATCTCATCTCAGCCCATTTCAGACCATTTCATCTCGTTTCGTCTCTTCTTGTCTCTTTGATGGTCGAGTCTTGGCATGAGGCCATCGTCCCCCACGCTGTCGTCATGCCGATCGCAAGCAATGACTGGACTGACTCAACTCTCGTATCAGTCAACTCCATCTTCCCTCTTACATTTCTTCATCTTGTCATCTTCACACTCTCTCATCATCTATCCATTCTTTTCGTCTTTCTTTCGTTCTTTTCTCTTCATGTCCAAATCCAGTTCGCCACCTACCCCTCCCGACCCCATCTCGCGTCCCTCCGTCTACCGCGCCAATGCCGACGTGCTTAATCGCGCTCTGCAGTCCATCGGCATGGGCCGCTACCAGTGGCAGCTGTTCGCCGTTATTGGCTTCGGCTGGGCGAGTGACAATTTGTGGCCCATCGTCACCTCGCTAATTCTCGTCCCCGTCTCCTACGAGTTCCACGTTGCCCAGCCGCCCCTGCTGACCCTCGCCCAAAATATCGGTCTACTGGTCGGCGCTCTGTTCTGGGGTTTTAGCTGCGATCTGATCGGCCGCCGTTGGGCCTTCAACCTCACCATCGCGATTACCGCCATCTTTGGACTCTCCGCTGCTGGCTCTCCCTCCTTCGCCGCCGTCGGAGCCTTTGCCGCCCTGTGGTCTATGGGCGTCGGCGGGAACCTGCCCGTCGACTCGGCCATTTTTCTCGAGTTCCTGCCGGGTTCGCACCAGTACCTCCTGACCGTCCTGTCCGTTTACTGGGCGCTGGCCCAGTTGCTGGCCAACCTGATCGCTTGGCCGCTGCTGGGGAACATGACTTGTGCCTCCGCGGACCGCTGCGACAAGGCTAGCAACATGGGCTGGCGCTACTTCCTGATTACAATGGGTGGTCTAGCCCTGGTGATGTGCTTGGTGCGCGCCCTCTTCTTTACGCTCTACGAGTCGCCCAAGTACCTCATGGGCAAGGGCCGCAACGACGCCGCCGTTACTGTTGTGCATGAGGTCGCCCGCCGTAACGGCAAGGAGGTCAGGCTCTCCGTCGACGAGCTGGATCCGCTCGCCTCGGATGCGGACGAGGGCGAGTCCCCCGGGCTGAGCCGCGTCGACCACCTGCGCATGCGCATGGAGCCGGTGTCCCTGCCGCACGTCAAGGCGCTCTTCCGCCACCCCCGCCGCGCCTGGTCCACTTCGCTGATGATCCTGGTCTGGGCGTTGATCGGCCTGGGCTTCCCGCTGTACAACGCCTTCTTGCCCTTTCTGCAGCAGCAGCGCGGCATTGACTTTGGCGACGGTTCCACCTACATTACTTACCGCAATACTCTGATTATCGCCGCCGTGAGCGTCCCCGGCAGCCTAGTCGGCGGCGCCCTGGTCGAGCTGCCGCGCCTGGGCCGCAAAGGAACCCTGGCGCTGTCTGTCATCACGACGGGGGTCTTCCTACTGGCCTCAACTACCGCCGACTCGTCTGCCGCCCTGCTGGGCTGGAACTGTGCATTCGGCTTCACCAGCAGTCTGATGTACGCCGTGCTCTACGCCTACACCCCGGAAATGTTTGAGACCAAGGACCGCGGCACCGGTAACGCGCTGGTGGGCGCAGCCAACCGCATTGGCGGCATCCTGGCGCCCATCATCGCCATCGTCGCCGGTGTGGAGAGCTCGTCACCTGTCTATGTCAGTGGCGCCTTGTTTCTGGCCGCCGGCGTCTTGGTGCTCCTGGTGCCTTACGAGACCCGTGGGAGGGCCAGTATTTAAGGGGGAAGAGAAGGCCGGATTAGGGAAAAGTACCTTTACTTCTGTATATTATTCTTGATTGATCTCTGTAATTGCATAGGAACTCTTGAAGTCCTTTTCATCCGTCATGGCACGGGGACTTCAGGCCCCCTGCGTCTTTCTTGTTTTCTTCTCCTTCTCTGCCATGCTGCACTACAACTCTGCGCGCATGATATTTGTTTCCAGCTGCCGTGTGGTCCACTCCATGATGAGGGCCACCACCGTCTCAATTTCCGCCAGACTGTTGCTGGCATGGATCATTAACCGCACGCGGTCTTGTCCGCGTGGTACCGCTGGGAAGTGGATCGCGTTGACCCAGTATTGGTGCTGTTGCAGGTGTTCTGCCAATGCGTTGGCCCTGTCTACCCGCGTGATGAGTGCGATGACGGGCGACTGCAGCGGCCGCGAGGACCACGTTGTCTCCGTGGGCAGGGACAAGATATCCTTGCGACGGGCCCGTTGCCAGGTAGGGTCGTTGGTCAATCGATGGTAGAAGTACCGCACCTTCTGTTGCAGGACTTGTCGAAGCTGCTGGGGATGGTTAGATCAGTCTCGAAAGAAAGAGGTGAGACTTTTTCTCTCTTTTTTTTGTCTAATATTTATTTTTCAACCGCACCTTTTCGCCCTCGACGCTGGCGACCAGTTCGTATCCTGCGCGCACCCCAGCGGCGGAGAGATAGCTGGGCGCCGTGCTGAAGACAATATTGCGTGCGTAGTTGATCAGTGCCTCCTTGACCGTCTTGGAGCATAGGATGATCGCTTTGAAGGGTCAGTTCATGACCTTCCATCTCGGATCCCCTCCCCCACCAAAAAAAAAAAAAAAAAAAAAGAAGGAAGACAAAATCGGCACATGCTCACCTCCCATGGAGGCCAGGGCCTTGCCACAGGTGTGCAGTCGGATGGGAAACTCTTCCTCCAGTCCGTAGTGGCAGACATATCCCGACCCATTCGGCCCTACGAGCCCGTTGGAATGCGCCTCGTCGATGACGCACAGATAGTTGCCCGCCGGCAGCGCCTCACGGGCGGCAGTAATGATGCTATGGAGCGGTGCCATATCGCCGTCCATGCTATAGAAGGATTCGATGGCGATGAACACAACTTGTCGTCCGTGCGCCACGCCCTCGTCCTGATCGCGGATTTCTTCCAGCTGCCGCTTCAGCGCCGCACAGTCATTATGTCGGAAGGCGCGCGATGTGGCGCGACACTGACGTAGGCCATCGTGGATGCTGGCGTGCACCAACTCATCGTACACGACAAAGTCGCCCGGTTGAGGCAGGGTGGACCAGATGGCCACATTGGCGCTGTATCCGGAGTGGACAAACAAGCCTGTCGCGGCGCCGTGGAACTTGGCCAGGTCGTCCTCCAGGTCCAGCAGGTACTGCCGGCCACCCTCCACCGCGCGTGACGATGTACTGCCAACGGTGAACGTGGGGTGTCGTTCTAGCTCACGCAGGAACGCCGCCGACAAGAGCCCTGAGCTGGAGAGACCGAGGGTATCGTTGGATCCAAAGTCGACCGTGCCCATCAGGGTCGTCGGCAACGGATGATATAACAGTCGCCCTTGATGGCGACGATTGTCCAAGAGAGCCTGGAGTTTGTGCGTGAGAATGTTATGTCCGATGCTCATGGTGTTATTTCTATCTTAGAATTGCGTGACAGCCAGAAACAAGTCCCATCTTCCTCTGTTGTGTTGGGCATTGTTAATATAGATTACCTTTGCTGGGCTGACGGCTATCGCCGGCGGACGTCGGGTCAATGACGTAGTTCCCAATAGCATATCGCATTCGGACCCTCCAGACAAAGACCTCTTTCTAAGCCACACAGTTCGAAGGGAGGAGGGACGTGCCGACAGCGGTTGACGGCCACCAGGAAGGTTCTTGTTGGTCGCAGTATAAACCCTATTTTAGAATAACCCATCGGTCCTGTACCCAGAGGCTTGTGTTGCAACAACCGGATGCCCTCTGGACTATGCTCTGCCCTGTGCTGGTTCTCGCATCATGAACGAGTCATCTTTCCGGATATACGCGTTTATGGGGAGAGGTGAATCTCATCACCAAAGGGTGAAACAGGTTTCTTCTGTATCCCCTCCTGCCATGAATGGTATTCTGTTCGGCCTTACTTACCGCTCGCCTGTACATACCATGTTTGTGATATGGAGGGTGGGATCTTACCGGCTGGAAGGCTCGTTCGGGGATTTGTTTTCGGGGAACAGACAGATCCGAGAGATTGGTTACCTGGGTCGTTTGATTCTAGATATACGCAGCTTATCCATGGTGTGAAATCAACACTGACGTCAATCGTGCCATTCTTCGGAATCTAAGTGAGAGACTAGGGGTCTTCATTGGATGTGGTATGCCTGAAAGAGCTGTGGATTAGAATATATAGGATGGCGGCGCCGCGAACCTTTTGCTACACGTCGAAGCCTTCAATTCCTCTTGTGTCGTTTTCATTACTCGTCCACCACGCAGAGCCATGGAACGCATCACCCACGCTCATGGCATCCAGTATGATGGCGCGATGCATCTGACCTACGGTGATGGTTTGGCCAGTCCATCTGGAGCATCGGCTGCGGTCCATCGTGTGTCCGACACCGTGGGGATACTGTTGAACGCCAGTATGTCATTATCCAGCGAGTAGCTCTTATTATAGACCCAACATGCGTGCCTCTCGAGCTGTCGCTGCCCTAGCGGTTTACTGCCCATGCCAGGTACCACGAATACAGGGCTGACAGAATTGCCAGTCTATCCTCATGAGCCCTGTATCGATTGAGTGTCTATCTACAGCCCCGTGCAGCCTTATCTGTTCATGCCCGATTCAACGCGGAAGCTGAAACCGGGCAAATCTATGCAGCCAGCATTCTCCATTTGGCGACTCACGCCTGCGATGCTGTGTTCTGTCGACCGAGTGGCAGGGTTCAACAGCCGAAATTTGGTCTGAGTTTGCTTGCTGGACACTTGATCGCTGATGCTACTCTGGTGACAGTTCGTCGATCGACGGCCGTCTCTGCCTTTCTCATGAAGATCGCATACCGGCGGAATAGACCTGAGCACCAGGATTGCACCCCCACGGGCAATTGAGAGGTGAGAAAGATCTATCTAGTGGGAATATTATACTCTCTTTATAGAAGAAATGTATTCTATTTTCTCTATATTAGTTTCAACACAGCTTGTATATTTATTATATAAATAGTATAGCTGTGGATTCTATCGATTCCAAAAAATGTAAGGAAGTGTCTTTAAAGTACTGGACTTACTGGTCGATTATGAAATAGCTAAGAATAATCAGACTTCCAGGGTGTGTCAAGTTTGATCATCTTGGTATCGATCCCACGATGGTTACTCATCTTTAAACCTACTCGCAATGAAATACCACCGACTGACCTCATCTCTCTGATCCTCGTCATCACTTGACTGGTCTTGTTCCCTACATGCGCGGGCCTTTGCCTCACTCTGGATGGCCAGTCGTTTTGCCACCTCGTTGGCCTCATTCAGGCTAACCAACTTCCGCTTCTCCGACCTCGCATCGGCGCGTGCCCGACTGATATCGTAGATGGCTTTTGCATCGCTCTTTTCGAGGACATTATCACCCTTCCGGACAAAGTATTCCAGACCCTGATTCACCAGATCCTGATTCCTTTCCGTATTTCCCCTCCAGTAGCTCGAGCCCTGACTGGGAAGTGGCGGCGGATTCTCTGTCGTCTCTTCAACCCAAGTATTGACAGCAAGTTCCAGCGGCGTCGTACCCGTGGCATTTTCACGATGCAACAAGTCCGGTCGTCGATCGATCATCATCTCAAACACATTCGGCATTTGAGCCCTGACGGCATTATGAACGGGGGTATTCCCCGTTCCGTCCAGCATGGCCAGATGTCGTTGATCCGTCGGCTGCGCAAAATCCAACAGACGACGGACAATCTCCGCCTGCTCTTCTGTTTTCAGAGCAGGTCTGTACCCGCCTCGTGTGCAGCTGGACCGTGCATTAATGTGATGCATCCAGCGAGCGAGAGGGGTGAGCGATCCCGGTCCGTCTGAGGATCGTTCGGTGAACATCGAATGGACTAGACGACTGTCGAGGAGGTCGAGGAGTTTAGTGACATTGTCCGGGGTTTGGAGGACATTTCCGGAGATACTGCATAGCATGAGATGAATGAGGTTGTTGCCCTTGTTGTCTCGGGTGGTTTGGTTGGCGCCTGCGTCGATGAGCAGCTTCGCGAATGAAACACGATGGAGCGAGAATGCAAGCGCCAGGGGGGTGTATCCTCCTGCGGATTTGGTCTCGAGTTGTTCTGGGACGCGGGTGATGAGATACTGGACTAATCTCTGAGACTCGGCTGTTGGTTTTGATAGAATGGCGCAGTGGAGGACTAGGTGACCTGGGAGGTTTTAGCATGCTTTTAATTATAAATCAATCTTATGAGTTACTTACTCCTCGTTCCAAGCCATTTTATAATAGACCTCTCGATGCCGTCTCTGGAGCGGGCTAGTAGCTGCAGCTGTTTATCATTCTTGTAAGTCTGCGTGAAGTTGAGATAGTGGCGCTCTGGAGCTGTGCCCAAGAACCATTCGGTGCTACTCAAATTGCCCCGGAAGGCGGAAATAAGTAACGGTGGACTCTTCATGACAGGGTTGGGAGTGTCTCTACCAAGAGCAGCAGTTACCCAGTCTTCGCGCTTTTTCCCGCGGATCGACAGGCCTTGGTAGTATTTGGGCTTCTCGTTGACTTGCACACCACTGTTTTGGATGAGGGCGTCAAGTGGGAGATCTGCCCCCGTTCGACTGATGAGTTCTTGCAGACACTGCAGATGGCCCTTTTGAATGGCGTGGTACGTAACAGAGCTGTGGACCCTGTAAATCGGGGTCTTTGACTTGGGATTTCTAGCGCTCAGTTCCTCGCCCATTTCAAGCAGGAAAACCAGCGTCTGCACGTTATCTGTGCACACTGCATACTCGAAAAGACTGTCCACGGAAAACCTAGGAGAGGTGTAACTGCGTTGTTCGTAGTCCCAGAGCGTTTCGATGCTATCCATAAACATAGTGACGGGATAACGGTCCGTCAGCATCTGGAGTGGAGAAACAGTGCTTTCCACTTGCGAAGCCAGAGCGCCGATATCGTCAATGGTGAATTTGTCGTCGACGATTTCGCTGTAGACGCGGATGCCGTCGTCACTATCACTGTCTTCACCGCTATCGCTGATATCCATTTCATACCGTCGACGGCGCTGTGTTCCCTCGTCTTCGTCCACTTTGTATTGCGCCTGAGCAATCTCGAGGATCGCTTTGGCTGTCTTCAGGTGTCCTCGGAGTACGGCGATAGAGAATGGTGTTAAGTAGTTAGAATCAGATACGGCTATCTGTAGTGGCCGTTGCACGGTACCTTCGCCCCAGGTCCCTAATGTAAGTGCTTTGATGGTATCCAAGTCGTCGGACCATGCGGCTTCGAAACTGGAGGAATTAGTTGCAGTCACAAAAGCGCAGTTAATGACACGATACACTCACAGTTTGAGATATCCCTCGCTTTGCGCGGGTGTGAGTTCTGGCAACTTGAAGTTGTAAGTCACCTTGAAAGGCTCCAATTTGGTCTGTTTCTTTGAATAGTGCGAGTTTCTGCGAGGACTTTCAAAATCGGGAAACAGCTCGGAGAACGTCTTTGCCTCTTTACTCATTAGGTGGGCTTCCACCTTCTCGAATTCCTCGATGAGGAGCTTGATGGAGGCCATCTTCTGCTCAATTCCCTCTCTGTCTTTGGTGGCATCGGAGACCGCTTTCTCGTGTCGTCTTTTCTCTTCGCTTTGTTTTTTCCGTTCGTCGTCTACTCGTTTCCGGGTGGTCCACATCTTATAGCTGTCTTCTTCCAGTCCGTTTATATAGTGCTCGTCTGACTCGAGGGGCCGGAGTGTTGGTGGATGAGGCTTTTCCGGGTTGTATTTCCGCAGCTGCAACAGCTTGTTCCGGACACAGTCCAGGAGAGTTTTTCCTACCTTTCTACCTTGCCAATACTGTTCATCGCGCACCTGGTATCCTTCTGGAGCCATTGTGTTCGGGTCCACGCCGCGGTCTAGGAGCGCGAGAGTAACCTGCGGCATCTCTTTATCGACAGTGAGTATCACGGGCTGGATGAATTTGTGCAGGAACGTTTTCCTATTTGACTCGCACGAGTTTGACGCCACGCCAGCGGCGCGGGCAGATTTCATCAGATTTTCAAAGTCAATGGATGGTTCCGCGCCGTATTCAAGCACCTTCATGACGGTGGCGCTGTCGCGGGATTCGATGGCCACGTTCAGCACGGAATGCATCTCCGGGTGCCAGGAACTGCCATTTGTAGCAATGTGATTAAGAGCTTTCTGCGCGGCCGGCTTGCTTTGCTCGAACATGATATCCACGAGGTCACGATACGGCGTTGCGGCAATGTAGTGCAGTGGGGTGTTGTGGTCGAGGTCTGCCTGCGTTGGCGTGGCGCCGAGCTGTAGAAGTTTCTCGGTCATGGCCTTCGCTTTTTCCAGAGGCAGGTTAAGGGTCAGGGCCAGGTTCAGGATGGCTGCCCTTGGGCTATCGTTGTAGCTGTGGAAAAGCTTGATGGGCAACAGGACGTCTGCGCCAAAGGAGCCGACGAGTTCCTCGACGACGTCAACGTGGCCGTTCAGAATGGCCAGATGAAGGGGAGACGTTTTGCTGTCCCAGGACAGAACGTTGATGTCGTAGATATCTGGGTTGTCATCCGCGTCATCGGGCAAGTTCTCGACCTCTTTAACGTCGTTGGATTCTTTTTGAACCAGCACAAATGACTCAGTGGTGGTGGAGGTTCTGTGCTCTTTTGTACTATCGTCTTCCACATCTCCGGAACACTTGTACTCTTCGGCGGCCTTTCCTCGTCGGATTTCCGCGTTTTTGTCCTGTTCGGCTTCATTTTCTGCGCTCTTCGTCAGCAGGATTCGGACGAGTTCGACACTGCCCCGAGCGGCCGCAAGATGAAGAGCCGTACAACCGTCTGCCAAACGAGCCGTCAGCCTGGCTCCATGATCGACAAGACATTGCACAATCTCTGGGGTGGAGACCGAGCACGCGAGATGCAGTGGTGTCCGTCCTGTGTAATCACGATTATTCGGATCTGCAATCTCTTGTGACAGCCACTCTTTGACGCCATCGACATCGTGATCAACGATAGCATGGCATAGTCGTTCGGTGTTGCCGACATAAGCCATTTCTGATATGCCTAGTCAGCCAATGGAGTTTCAGTCTAGGACATGCACGAACTCACCCGTCCAGTCCGTCTCGGTAATCGGATTGAAACTTCCTATCTCCTGACGTCCGGGGTCGTCTTTCACGAAGGATACATCACCGGAGATGTATATTTTGCTTTCTTTCTCCGCCACTTCCTTCTCCTCAGATGTTACCGGCACCGGACAATAGCCACAGCAATCATGGATGACATCTTCCACGTTGCCGAAAAATGCAGGATGACGGTGGAGATGGACGTCTCTGTCCTTGGGTTTATTCCATTCCGCATTGAGCAGTAAGTCTTTTGTGTATAGTAACTTCTCGATCTTCTTGGCATGGAATCTTGGTCCATAGGGGATTGTCTGGACAGAAACTATCAGAAAGAGAGACAGTCTGTACCGAGTGGGTATACTCACCACAGTGTGATAATCAGAGACCTCTTCACCATCCACCCACTCAGGCGTCTCATCTTCCCAATCATTCTTTATATTCCCGCGTAACTGGCGGACGTACCTTTGCGGACGAGCTGGTCGACCACGCTCCAGACGTCTTTGATCGAGGTATGCCTCTCTATCGGATGATTTTGGCAGTTTTTCGAGCACGAGAAGACGCGCTAAGCCCACCGTTCCGGAGAAGCTTCTCTCAAAAATAGTCTGGGAGGTTAGCTAGATGTGACAAGAAAAAGAAACAAATATGGAGAATAGAGGCTTACTGGATCCACTCGCGATCGGTCTAGCTCAGGCCAGAATATCTCGAACCCACGATGGGAATACTTGGAGAGACGATTCTCATATGACGGCGAACGTCTCGATAAATCAACCCGATTTATCTGGGTAATATATGAAGCTAACGCACGGGGCGAAACATAGACCTGTTTACCATCAAACGCGGCACACGAGCAATCCACATCGAACCCGGTCAAAATCTCCGCGATGGACTTGTAGATCCGGAGGACGATCTGCACATGACGGGTAGGATACTGAGAGACGATAGTGATGGTATTCTTGGTTCGAACGGTGGTGGTCTCGTACAGGATCGCGTTCTTGATCTTGTCCTCGATGGTCTTGATCTTTTCAATGGCCTGTTCTTCCGTCAATCCGTACAAGAAGAGATCGACGTCCGACGCAGGAGCGAACTGGTCATGATAGAATTGACGGAGCGCACGCTTTGAACCGCGATATATCTCTGGCACAGGCAATAGCGAGGTCACCACTGCACTTCCTGCCACCACGACGTTACTCCAGTCCATGTCGCTGAGGGATCCCTCGGAGAAGATAGTGAAGTTCTTCTTGAACTCATCCAGTGTTGGTACCACGGCGCTTGAGCCATTTGGACGGCGGTCCTGCAGAGGGAGAATGTACTTCTCCCGGGTCTCTGGACTCTCCGAGGGAATATCCCGGGCTTGGATGCGGACATCACTCGAGCCGTTGCTGTCATATAGAGGAACTATATCAATGCAGTTGTCTTTCAGTGCAGGATGGGAGGGCTCCTGGGCAAAGAGCTTGCGTACAACTCTCTCGTATTTATTGAATGGCTGCAAGAGCTCCTCAATAGGGGTATTCGGGTGATCTCGTATCCAGTTCACCAGATACTGATGCTTGGCCGGCAATGGGGGGAGAGTGAATGTCATGTTGTATACTGTGAAAGACAGAACAGGGTATCAGAACTGAAATTTTTAGAGACAAGACTGGAATCAGAAACAAGACAAAGCTCAAGGCAAAACTCAAGACAGACTCAAGGTAATAGCTAGAAAGAATCCGCGAATAGCTCGTATATAAGACTATGTGCTGGGATTCCTGAAACGGTTAGCCCCAGGTTGTCATTGGCAGAAACTCACCGCCATCCAGGGATGGGGCCTATTTCAGGCAGGATTAGGCAGGATTAGGCAGGATCAGGCTGCACTAGGCTGCAATAGGCTGGCTAGACTTGGCAAACGTCATTCCCGTTGATAACTATACAGTAAATCAGTCAACAGTGTATAAAATATGCATAATATATGAGCTCCTAGAGGTATGGTACTTTGTGGCCGAACAATTCTTTCATACGCAATCTCACAAATATGAATTGGCAATAGCAATTCTAATCTATGCGCTCAAACCAAATCTTCTCACGCAATGCAGGCTCTAATTCTATTCCGATTTTCTGGGCTGTCCCCGTTGAATCAATAACGAATTCCACCCTGAAACCCTCACGCGAGGCACTTCCGTTCCCTGGAGAATACAGGAATCCGATGAAAAATTCGCCGCTTGCATGCTGCAGCGCAAGACGTAGCTTTTCGGCGCGGTCCGAGAGATCTGCGCTCAGCTGTTCGTCCAAGACCAGGGGAATCGGACCGTATGCGGGATGGCTGTAGATACCGGCGTATTGATGCAGAGGTAGAGAATGGGGAATAGGAGGATCAGGGAGACAAGGGTAGAGTTTCTTCTTCGTGTCGTCGGAGCGGTCTAGCCCAGTATTTTTCTGCGTCGTCTCCTGTTTGATGGTCACTCTCTCTCCATCCTTGGGAGTATGGTTTACTCCCAGCTGATCAATCAGGTAGAGATATAGCTCCTGCGCCACGTTTCTCGCAGAGGTTGCGTTCCCCATCATGGCAAACCCCCACTGCTTGTCCGGGATAAACCCCACCATGATTCCGAACCCAGGCCAGCTCCCACTGTGCCAATACAGCTGCTCGCCGTCAATCTGGTCTATGAACCATCCGAGAGCGTACAGATGATACGGGGCCTTTGGAGCCACGATATCATCAGTGTTTGAAATGATAGATCGAGGATGAAGAAGGGCCGCATGGCCCTCCGTCGAAATCGGACCGGTTCGGTAAATCATCGCTCTCAACCATTTAGTGTAGTCCAGGACCGTGCTGACCATTGCACTTGCGCCCGTCATCGCGGCATAATCGAGGTAGGGCTCACTGACGTACTGTTCTGCTTCCGGGGCCCAGGTGTAGCCGCGAACTAGTCTGGGTGCCGTCGATGGGTCTCGACTGACGGCTTGGACATCAAAATACGTATCATGCATGGCGAGTGGGGTCCAGATCTGTTTCTGGAGTGTCGTGCCGAGACTTTCGCCGTTGATTTGCTCGAGGACATGCGAGATGGCCATGTACATCTGGTTACTGTAGGCGAAGGTTGTCCTCGGTGCACACGCAAGCGGGAGATGTCTGAGGTTCCGAACTGCATGGCGTAAGGTTTCATTCGGGTTGGCCAGGAGAGTGGCATATACGTGGGTCGGGAGCCCGGATCGATGGGATAAAGCGTCTTCGATTGTGGTGTTGCAAGTGGTGTGGTCATCTGCGAGGATAAAGTCATCTCTGATCAAGGACGATATGGGCGTGTCCCAGTTGATGGGGGAGGAGGATGATTTCCGTTCGTCTATTGCCAGAGATACTGCCGCAGCCGTGAAAGCTTTGGTGGTGCTGCAGGTGGAGAAGAGGGAGTCGGTCGTCATCTTCTTTGTGGGGAACTCGGCAATGCCGTAGGCCTGTAGTGACAGTTAGATGCCTGATCCCTTGATTTTATGGGTCTTACCTTGGAGTAAGTGCTGGATCTGTGGACGACTGCAATGGTGATGCCGGGAACCTTCCATTTTTCCAGCTGTTCCTGGACCAGACGGTCGAATTCGGGGGTAAATGGGGAGTTGGCTGATCGGAGAACCATTTTGATCAAGAGTGAAGGAGGGGGAGTTGAATTGCGGGGCTAATAGATTAATATATTTTGTCTTGCCTGCTGCCTAGTCACTATTCAGATGTCATTTTCTTTTGGTTATTTATTTCTTACCGCAGAGTCTAAATCAATAATTCGATGTCTACCATCTAAGCACGCTAAACAGCCAAAAAAAAAAAAATAAATAAATAAATCTGCCCTATCCTTATGACTACCACACTCACTCTCTATGATGCAGTGTAATGTGGGATTAATCCCGTGAGCAGATGAGACGGTCTTGATGCTCGATGGGTGGATGGCCGGCTGCAGATGGACAGCAATTTATGGAGGCAAGGGCATAGGGTCTGGATAAAACCTGGGAGATCCAGATACTGGTTCGGAGTAATTAGAAGATCTCAATCCCCGTGTCAATCCCCTCACGATAGAAAAGATAGACCTGATCTTCCGTTGCGACGTTCCCCTCGTCCCTGGGAGCAAACGGACCCCCACCCAGTCCAGCAACGCTACTGTCGAACACGCGCAGTGCGCATCGATATGCCTCCCACAGGTTGGCGACCGCTCGTCCATATGTGTCGTGAAAGTGACCAGCGAGTCGGTCGAGGAGGATGTGATTCTCTAGCAGGTAGACGATGAGGGATTGGACAGTCTCGGGACAGTTGACGCCGAGGGTTATCACCGAGACTGCTTCGTAGCATCTCGTGGCCCGTAATTCACTCAACATGCGGAGCTCTGCGGATGGAGAGGTTGGTCCGTCGAAGGGGTCGGCGAACGTACAAGATACATATCTGTGACGGTATAGAGGACTTGATAGGGATCTGTCCCTCACACGGCGACCCCATGCTGTCGCGCCTGGCAAGCCACGACCCGGGCTCTCTCGACTCCCTGTTCCACCGAGGATCTGACTAAGATCTGCTTCGGACATTTAATTCTTATTCTTCATTGTCAATTATCCAGTGGATAGTCGTGTGGATATATAATAAGAGCGAAAACACGGACTAATTCTGTAATCTATTAAATTGCAATATGTCTATCCTTTATTCCTAGTAGATGCCTTGCTGCCTAATGCTAATCCTCAGCCCTAACGAACTCGAACCTCGGCTCGACTCAAGAATCCATCTGCTCAATTTCTGTCACCTCTACGCAGGCGTTCGGAGAATTAGTCTAATCCCCACAAAACAGATGTTGCCAAGGACCCCGTCTACAGACCAGTCCACCGTTGCCCCAGAATCCTGGGGATGGATTGTTCCTGTTGGCTGCCTCCACCGACGATTCTGCCACTATTGCCTCCCCGCAAATGAAGCTGTCCAAGACCGTTCCAAAGAACCCTGCTAGCCATGCTTGGCTGGAGACGGCTTTTCCCATTGTTCCCTAGGCCTTGGGATAGAACAGTACTATAAAGTGGAGGTTCCCCCGCCTCTGGGGGAAATTTTCATTCCTACGCCGGCCATTGAAGATGCAGTGGTCGCTGGTGGTGTCTCTCCTCTTGTGCTGGCCTGCTGCAGCAGCCCCAACGCCTCCGGGGATTGTGCCCCCCGTGGGCTCTCTGGGGACTCTGCAGACCCTGCACTACAATACCCTCTCCCCAAATAACAATGGCACCGCTGCCGTGCTGGTGTATGACCACGTGAGCTTCTCCGACGCACAAAGCCGATGTGCCGCTATCGGAGAGCAGCTGTATCCCCTCGTGGACGCCCCGATGGCCAACCGCACCGAGATGGATCACCAGCTGGACTATCTCGTCTTCTCAGGCAGTCTTCAGGGTTCTGATCTGCTGTGGACATCGTCCCCCTCCTCCGCCCAGTCCTCCGCCTGCCAGGCGTACTCCCCGAGTCGCAGGCAGACGGTATCCTCGCCATGCGACCAGAGACTGGCGGCATTGTGCACTTCGCGCGTGCCGGCCACCACCGACCGGAATCGTGATGCGGTCGAGTCCTCGCGACTGGCTGTGGCCTCGCACGAGTACACCATCACGGGCTATCGGGATGCGCGCTCGTTCCGGTTCCTGGGCATCCCGTTCGCCAACCCCCCGGTGAACGCGCTGCGGTTTGAACCACCACAGCCGTACACGGGTTGGCAATTGATCGACGCCACTCGTATGCCTGCCTCGTGCATCCAGCACAGTTCCAGCTCTGACGCATTGGGCCGGATATCGGAGGACTGTCTGTATCTGAACGTGTACACACCGCTGGTGCCGGGATCGGACCGCACGAATGGGAGCAACACCAAGCCCGTGGCCGTGTATCTATACGGAGGCTCCTTCACGCAGGGCAGCGCCTCCGAGATCGACTATGATGGCGGCAATCTGGCCAGTCGCAACGACGTCGTCGTGGTCACGGTCAACTACCGCGTGGGGATGCTGGGCTGGCTGACGACGGGCGACCTGACGACGGGCAACTATGGTCTGCGCGACCAGCTGCTGGCCCTGCAATGGGTGCAGCGACACATCGTCGCCTTTGGAGGTGATCCGTCTCGCGTGACCGTCTTCGGCCAGTCCGCCGGCGGACAGAGCGTCGTGGCGCTGCTGTCTTCCTCCGCCGCGAAGGGACTCTTCTCAGGCGCCATCGTGCAGTCCGCCCCGTTGGATCTGCCCTGGTTCACCCGCGACGTCTACTCCAAGCTGGTGACGCCGCTGCTCGCCGACGCGGTGGGCTGTGGCGATGCGACCAATCCCTCCGAGGCGCATCGGGTCGCCTGTCTGCGCACACGACCTGTCTCGGCCTTCCTGGACAACTCGACGGAGGTGCAAACCGCGCTGGCAGCTATTGCCAACGCCACAGCTACTTCGTATCTGCAGGTCAGCGAGCTCATGGCCGCCACGGAACCGCTGATGCCCATCGTGGACGCGGACGCCGGCATCATCGATGACCAATTCTACCGTCTGCTGGCGACGGATCGACTGCCCAACCGCGTCCCTACGCTGTTCACCACCGTCACCGACGAAGCGGCCGTATATGTCGGCTCGGCGGTGCCCTCGCTGGGCAGTAGTCAAAAGGCATTGAATACGCTGCTGCATGTTGCTTATCCGGAAGATTTGGCCACTGCTCTTGTAAATGCTTCTGTCTTCCGTACGGATCCATCCGACTCGGATAGTGTGCGCAACGTCGCTGGATTGGCTCTCACAGCCAGTGAATGGACCTGTCCTCTATCCTATCTTCTCAGGGAGGCCTCTTCGCCTTCCAAATCCGATTCCAAACCCATCTTCCCTCGTCTCTACGCTCTAGAGATCACCTCCGGCCACGCGCGCACCAACAAAAGTATCCCAACCGCCTGCCTTCCCAATTCCATCTACAACGCGACCTGTCACTCCGCAGACGTCCTCCCCATCTGGGGCACATTAAACAGCAAAACCAAAGACGTGGATCCATACTACTCCGCGAAGGAGATACTCCACTCGCAACTCCTCGACGATGTATTTGGTTCGTTTTTCCGATCGCGCGATCCAAACCCGGACATGGAATGGTTGAAAGTGAGAGGATCCGCCTACGCGTATTCCCAGAGTATTTTTGGATCTCGTGGATATCGTGTTGAGGAGTGGGAGAGTACGGCGAGGAATATTAGTCTGCTGGGGATGATGCCGTCGGAGATGGAGAGTCCGGGACATTCGGCTCAGTGTCGGTTTTTTGATGGGTATGGGTATACTTTTCAGAGGGCTAAACTGGTATAATCTAGTATAGGACTTGTATCTACGGTATATAGTAAATATCTATACGGAGTACTCTACCACGAGCTAGTGTCATCATCATCGCCATCATCATTCGTTAGGATATCAAACTATCTCACACAAGTAAAACAGGTCAACGCTCATATATAGTCCCATATTCATCTGGAATCCCTCTACCCCATCGTCGTCCAGGAAATCGCCGTTCACTCCCAGGATTAACACTGGTACTGTTTCGGTAGCTCCTCCGCGGATCATTACAAAGATCAACCTGAGAAGGATGATGCATAACAAATTGCGAAGAATACCTCGGATGAACATGTGCATACATCTCACTTTGCGACCGTGCCGGATCAAACATACTATGTTCCCTGAATCCCACGCTAGGATCTTCATAGCCCTTTCCACGGACACGTCGCGCACTATCCGAATCATACAGTCGTCCCGGATCGGGATGATACTCTCGAGGGACGTATTGTCTCGGGGGAGGAGAATCAGGGGATATCTCGCGTCGAGGTTTACGCAAGTAAGCTTCGTGGGAATGGCGACGAGTATGGAATGTTGACGGCTGCGGGGATAGGGTCTCATTGTAGCAGGGTCGATTTATCCGCGGAGAATGATGTTGATCGCGGAGGGACTCCTCTGATGATGCATCTGATGTTTCGTTTCCATTTCCGAATACCGTCCTGGGACTCACAGGACGGGCGAAAGAACGTTCGCGGCCGCGAGTCTTGACGGGTTGTCGCGACCAGGTTGGTGGTGATGGAGCGCGCGGGGCCGTGAATGTGAACTGCGGCGGGAGGTCTTCTCGTCGTGTGGATGTAGATGTAGAATGGACTCGTCCACTGGACGAAGAGGGGACTTCCGCGCTACGACGTCGGTGTCGATTAGTTGGGATGTTTGTCGTCGTCGCGTGCTGACGACGAGTAGGGGAGGATCGAGGATGGTTAGTATTATTATTCGCGCAGCTATCTTCCTTAGGGGTTGGAGATGGAGTTTCCTTCTGACTGAAGTGGCAGTAATAGGTTCCGAAACTAGGCGGAGAGGAACGAAAGATATTCTTCTTCCAGTAATCGAATTCAAACCGTCGACTGACCTCCTCGTGCCATTCTACCATTTCCGCGTCCGATTCGGTCGGGAAGGCTGCCCGGGGGATCTCCTTGGGGAAGAAGCCGCCGTTCGGGGCCTCAATATCCCACAATTCGACTGCATTTTGAAGGTATCTTGAATGCTCGTCCGGATCCAGGAGTAGTTGGATAGTTTGCCATCGCACGAAGCCGTTGGGCTGTAGCGCGGGGACAGAGGGGGGTTTGTAGGGATCGGTGGAGGGTTGGATGCTGTGAAAACAGCCTAGTCGCTGGTAAATAAAGGATAGCGCCGAGGGTTTCGTCTCGAGGAACAGGACGTCGTAATTGCCGCCTACTTTGTTGTAAAATGCGGCGAGTCGCTCGGGGGTCAGATCGGTGGTAGCGAATTCATCGAAGGAGGTCTAGAGAGTAGAGAATCAGCGTCGCATTTCCAAATATCATGCCGGGTGACTGACCATGACCTGGGCAATCCCCAGACAGAGTTGCTCTAACAACGGAGCGGGGCTTTTATCCGGGTTGATTAGCACTCCCCAGAAATTGACGCCCTCATAATGGGCGGACATGGCCTGGGAATCAGGGCAAAGGCATTTAGTTGTTGCATTGAAGGACAAAGACAGAGCCTCGTGTCATACGACAGATAGTTAATAGCATGGTAATAGCATGGCAATAGCATGGCCTGACAGGCACCGTGACAGGCAGTGACAGTCAGTGGCAGGCAGCGTCAGGCACCAGCTCCACTGCGGGGGAGCCCAAAGAATGATGCAGTTTGCTGCCAGGATGAGTTGTCCGCCTCATTATGCACGAACAAGGCGGTAATGGATGCATCACGCTGCTTCTGGTGCTGTACCTTGCCATCTATAAAGCTGATTACATCTTATAATCCAGATATTGTTCTATTACCCGTAATAATATGTACATCATTATTGCTGAGACAAGGCCTCGACCAGTAAAATGTCACAATACTATTCCAGTAAGGCCTGACGACTCGAAATATACTCCTGTCGTTCAGAAGCCCATTCAGGAAACACCGCCGATAAAGGCAGCGGGCAAATGTCCGTGAAGAAAATATCCGGATCAATCGTGCGAATCTTTGCCGCTCGAGGCAGTCGTAGATCCTTGTCAGAAGAAACCCCAGACTCCAACCGATCCATCACTTCTCGACCCTTCTGGTCCGCCTTACTGCGAAGGAGCTGCCAGAAATCCTGATCCGACAGTTTCCAAACAACCTCCTCTTCAATGACCCCCCTTCTCACCATATCCCCAATCAGCTGGCCCGTCTGCCTGTACATGTCGACATGAGCCTCGTTGCACCAGACCTCTCGATCCACCGCTATGTATGCCCTGGCCAGCGACAGCGCCAGCTTAGGATCCGACAGCGTCAGGAGACGGTCGGGCGAGTTCTCGCTCGGGAACGCCGTCAGAGAATCAAACACACCTCTCACCTCGACGAGGGACAACTTTCCAAAGATCAAGGTATCGCGTAGCGCATAGTCCAGCCGATCGGCGCAGAGACGAGGCGACGGCCGTTCAACAAGAGGATACAGCTCTTCATTGAACACGTCCAGGTCGATTCCATGCCTGGTCAGGATCTGCGGCAGCTGCGTGGTGCGAATATACCGCTCTTTGTGGACTTCGTGGAAACTTTCACCGGGTTTGGAGAGCGCCCAGTCCATTACATGGCTGAGTGTCGTGTGGCTGATGTCGTGGAGTAAACCGGCGACTTGTTCCTCGAGACTGCCTCCGACTTTGCGCACGAGTAGAAATGCCCCGACCGAGTGCTCGTATCGGGTCTCGGTCGGACTGAGTCCCAGTAGGCCTGTGATACCGTGCTGGCAGACGCCTCTCAAACGCGTCAGCTCAGGACATTGCAGCAGTTCGATCAGGACGGGCTCCGTGATTCTGTGATCGCCGTAGATTTGGTCTTTGATAATGATTTCATTCTCAGATGGGATTTCGATAGTTTGCAAATACCCGGTCTTCATCGTGTCGGTCCGACAGAATTCCGGAGATTGTGTTTAGGATGTTGAAGATCTGTCGCAGTGTGAATAGTTGTAATTAGTGAAGGGAAATAAATACCTAGGTAGTCAAGTCTTGGCAGAAGATCTGGCCACTCCTTCTGCCTGGAATTCGCCGCTAAGAATGCCCTTGGCGTGTCAAAGACCGCATTGTTTACTCGAGTGCGATGGTATATTCTGGTTGGCTAGCCTTTTTGTTTGTATACCTTCTTTAGTATATAGATTATTGGTCTGTCCAAGAAGTTGGAGCTGAAATTGGCCCTCGTCTCTCTCTGCATTTTTAACTCTACAGCTTTTACACCCCTAAATCTTGCTGTCTTCTCTCGAAGAAAATGAGAAACCGTATCAAAGACACTTGACCGCCGTCACTAAAGGCATGTACTAAGACATGGCCATATCCCATAGAACTAGCGACCATTATTCAAGAGAAGCTACAACGAAATGACTATATGCTGGAGAGTTACAAGGCTAGAGAAGTAAAGAAGTGAAATTAAAAACTTGAGAAGGTACAGAAATCTTCTCTATGACGACTTGCAGATCCTCCGACGAGTCTTGTACACAACAATATTGTTGACTGGTTAAGCTTCAGCATCATCTCCTTACATTGACTATGTTGTCACAACTGTGTCAAGTTAGCATATAGCTTATGGTGGAATTAAGCAGACTCACCGCATCATCATCCTCATTGAAATCAGAGTCAGAATCAGAATCATCAATATCGTCGACGTCCTCAAAACCATCCTCGTCATCGTGAGTAAGATCATCACCGCCGTCAGAATCGCCAGTGCTATCAGTATTTATCTCGGTATCCCCCATATTGAGATCAAGACCGCCCTCTTCCTCATACTCCGCATCGCCATCACTGAAGTCGTTAAAGCTGCCGAGATTCATGATGTTGACATTATTATTATCCTCACCAGCATCAGAATCGAGAGTTTCATTGGTATCATTATCCCAAAAGTCCAACTGAACCATCAAGACACTGCTATCCGGATAATGTCTCTCGAAAAAGGGAACCAGAGGCTCAACGACATATTTCCTGCAACATCTGGAGCACTCCACACACACGCCACTCACCTACCCGTCGTCAGGGCAATACCGAACGTCCGCAGGAAGGGAGCTCATACTGGGGCTTTGATCTCCGGACCTTCATGGACGAATCCCCATTTGTCTTGCATGCTGGTCAACAGTCTGATGTATCTCCCGTCTCGTCTTCTCATGGCCCCATGGTGCTTCTGACGGTAGTTATTGATGAAAGAGAGGAGAACTGCATGTAGGTCTGCTGCCCAGCATTCCCCATCGAGAAAGTACTACTCTCTGTTTAGATGCGTCTTTATCACCCTAGGGTAGGGAGTCTAACTCACTTCTCTTTCTATATATCCGTCTGGAGCTGGCATTGTTGCGGATGCGAAAAGCAATCAGATCACTAAGGATGGAGGAAGCATTCGCGTGGTGATAGAGAGAAAGGTAAATAAGAGGGGAGAGAATAGATAATAGAAAATCTCCAGGGAGACTAAATCCGTGAATATCGAGTCTGAATTGCAGACTCAAAACACCCTCTCAACCAGCTAGTCGGTTTGGGACTGATCAACGGTTCATTCATAGTAGAGTGGCTGGCACAGTATTGTTTACCTGTGTATATATTCAAATCTAAAGATGCTGGACTAATCTGAAGAGGCGTGACTAAATATTCTCCAAATACTGACAAGTCCTATAGGCACGAGGAGGAAGAGAACTAGTGCAACGCCACAGGACACTGGGAGATACCGAAAGAGGAAATATCAAGCATTCACGTTGTCACAACCTGCCTTCTAGTAAAGTTTGTTATTCCCTCCCCTCTCGTCTTTATTGATATCATACCAAGATGACCTTTTTAGCAGAGAAATCAGAATACAAATTAGATACAACCTTAGCATAGACGTTGACAAAAAAAAGAGTATATTAATGTTAAATTTATTATCAGATCCTGCGAAATTCAAGACTGTAAAAGGCCAGAATCCTATAAATTTAATACTTATCAACATGGATTCGGCCAAAAGTTTCTCGGTTGAAGTGGTTAATTTTATTCACCTTCTCTGTCTCTTCCTTGTCTAGAGTAGCCTGCCGACCTGGAGACAACCCCTAGGTGTCACGTTTCCCCCAAATTTAAACAAATTTGTAACTGCGGTGTCTTTCTTAGTCTATATAATGGCCAGTTCTCTCTGTATTCGCGTTCTGGCGATGGACATACATCGGCGTCATCGCAGTTGAGTCGATCTGAGTTACTTACATGCTAAACAATTTGGAATACATTTTTATGTCGATTTTTATGGGCTGATAATGGAGTCTACCCTAGGATAGGTGTATCCGGTGATTGTGGAGTATAGATCCTCATGAATGCTGAATGTTGCGTCCTCCTCGCCAGTGAAGATATCCAGTGACGCATGAAGAGAAAGGCTCACATGGGATGCACTATTAGTGCAGGGCTAGGCATCTCCAGAGCTCTTTCATCAAACCCCGTATCCTATCAGATTGAAATATATTAGGAATACCCATGGTAGTGAAGACGAGACACTCAGAATGCTGCAATCTACTATCTTCCGTACATTGCAGTCGTTTATAAATCCTTGCAGGTGTGGGGAATAGAGCAGATCCTGCTTCAGCTAGGGATAGCGCATCCCCGGAATGATGTCCCTGACAAAGCTAGACATGGATTAAACACTGATGTATGGATATCATACATGTGGTTACAAGACCTGTTGTTCAGCGGTGGGCTGACTATGAACTGGGATGCCTGAATCAAACCTGCAGTTGTCGTCCACACCATAGATAGGTAGTATTATATAGTTCAGTGGTATGAGTGAAGCACGTATAAGCAAGTCTATCAGATGATAGATAAAGATCAGGAAGGAACGAGAGGGAGGATTATGCAGCGATATTTCAAAGGTAACAAATAATTGACTATTGTTAAAATTTGCAAACCAGTAGATACTTCTGAGCAAGCTATATTAAAATCAAGTGCTAGCTTCAGCAGCTGGATTGAATAAGTATACGACCAAGTGACAAAACTCAGTACTCGAGTCACTTTAACAACCCAACGGTTCAGAGAGCACGTGACACTTTCAGAAAATTATCCTCCATTTCATCAAATGCATTCCACTCTATTGGGACTAGACACCTGATGGACAAAGGAACGGAGATAAATGGCCTGATGCTAGGAAGAGCAGAACGCGGGTTATGTACGCTGGGAAATCCAGAAGCCGGTTGGAGAATCCAGAAACCCGAAAATCTTCATAAATATCTCGCTTATGGGTCATCGAACCTATTTTCGTTATTGGTATATCTTGGAATATTGTGGCCTGACAGGCGACCAGAGTTGCTACCCTTTACGCGGGGTGTTGGTTAATGTGGAGACCAATATTGTACAGAATATATATCGAACAAGTTGACGACCATGTTTTTGACTCTTCAGGATATCAGCCAACGGTATAACCAAGCAATAGGACAAGAACAATAGTGGCAAGTGCTAAGATAGTGGCTTTAAACGAGATTGCTTAACCAAGGTAGCAGTGCTCCTGGAATCGAAACCCGCCAAGAGATGATGCCAAGCACTCTGGCTGTTGGAAATTTGGAACGTTTCGACGGTGCCGGAAAATGATTAATCCAGATCAACATGATTCTCTTCTGGGCAAGTTCCACGGGACATCCCATGGGTCCGACTCCGTCCGGAGAAGCCCAGATGGTTGGAGTTGGTGGTTACGTCATGTCCCACCTAAGCGACCATGTTCCTCCCTGCCCTAGCCCTAAGGCAACGCTCGGATGCGACCTACTAGGAATGCCGTTCCTAATATGGAGGTTTAAGGGGGCAAAAAAAAAAAAAAAGAAAAGAAAAGAAAACACGGAAGTTATCCGAATGAGAGTATGCTGCACTCCGAATATTCTCCGAGGTATTAAGATTATTCTATCTATCCAGGTGGTTGTAGTCTCCTTAATTCTATTACTTCTGGCGCCTGACTCGTTTTTAATTGCCAGCGTGACAAGGCTTGGGTGGAAGGTGGATGCATTCAGAGCCAGCCACTCAACTGGATCCAACGCCACTGACGATATTTTTCGGCTCGGTCGGGATCGATTGAATATCCTGACGTTGTTTGGGAGAGGGGAGCGTGCCAATGCCGAGTCTCGGGCCCTGTTGTTATCGGTTGGCCTGTCAGCATGTCATCCCGGAGGAAGGAAACCGGGATAGGAGAACGGTAGTGATGGAATTATTCCACCCTTAGATGGTTGTGATAGTATAGAAACGAAATAGACTTCATAACCTTGCTCGGTAATGTAATATCATCGCCTTGCTTTAGTGGCGAGTTCACTCCGCATTTCCCCTCCTTTTACCCATGTATCATGGGGGAGACGCGTGCTTATGCTTCACCGGTCAACGGATGAGGAAAAGGCGATTAAATCTCCATGCCCTCCAGAGTTACTCCGTAAGAGTTGAGCCCCTTGCCCTGCTTCCGGTCCGGCCGGCCAGGAGACTTTGACTTCCCGAAACTCTGGAGTCTTGGCCGCTCCCAATGCGGACTAATGCGGTGCTAGTCTCGTGACTGTGGCCAATTCCATCATTCCAATGATTCCATTCCATTCCTTCCATGATTCAGATCGTCAGCCAAGTCGGTTTATTGCCTAGGCATGCCGAGCGCTCTTGTCAAGCAATACGACCATCACACACGGCCTCATCCTCTGATCGGATCCGGTCGCGGTTACGGATTGTCTGCCCGACCGTACCGCCGTGATGGATGTAGATGCCAATCTCCTCTGTCATCCCATTCGCTGAGCCACGAGTAAGTTCTATCAATGCCCGCTCAACCAGAACTTAATAGCCAGTGGCGCTGATCCCCTTATTCTCGTCTACCTAGTTAGTCCTCGTGGTGTTGGTCAGCATGACGAACCAGAGGCCACCCGTAGAGGGTCGTGGATCCCGAAACTTTGCCTTTCCCCTGTGGTCAACCCGGTTGTTCCCCAGCATTCCGCATCTTCTGACTGGCTCAGTTTCGTCGGTTTCGGTCGGTCCCTCTCCATAGTCCATTGGAAGTGCCTCCTGCACCCGGCCGACGCGACGAATATGTGGGTAGCAGTGCCTACTGTCCCTCCATGCTTCCCGGCTCAACACTGCCTCTGCACTCGGCTTCTCCACATGGGCTATTGTGGAATATCCATTTTCTTCTCTCTCTCTTTTTTTTTTTTTTTTTTTTCTGTCTCCCTGAATTGCTATTGTTGAGTTTAATTCTGTCCTTTCTTTCTGGGGCACAACTGTAGCATAAAAAGGGTACTTCCCCCGGATCCGTCCTTTTTCGACCTCTATTCTTTTTGAATTTTTGCCTTCCCGATCTACTCGTTTTCACCTCGTCCTGGTTCCTATACCCCAGGTGGTTGGTGAACCTTGCTTCCGTCCTTGCCTCCTATATTATATATTTCCTCTTTTATCTGCATCAACATTCTGTCCTTTGGTGCATAGATAACACCTATCACATTCCCATCCCATACCTGCCGCCATGGGAGTTGAATCCTCTGTCCACCATGGGGAGTCGATCAGTCCAGCTGTCGCTCCTTCAGCTCAACATTCCAGCCAGGAATCCGTGGCAATGGACAAGTCAGCTGATGTTGGCATCGACACTCCCGTTCCCACGGTGACCCTGAGGGCGTTTATCATGGGAACCTTCGTCTCTATGGGTGGCCTCCTGTTTGGTTACGATACCGGTCAGATCTCTGGTTTCCTAGAGATGTCGAATTACCTCGAACGGTATGGCCAGCATGGCCCTGATGGGTACCACTTTAGCCATGTTCGTTCCGGGTTGATTGTCAGTTTGCTCTCTATCGGTACCTTGATCGGTGCCCTCTGCGCTGCCCCGATTGCCGATAGATTTGGCCGTAAATGGTCTATCACCTTTTGGTGTCTCATCCTCATTGTCGGTCTCATTGTTCAGATTTCTTCCCCGTCAGAGAAGTGGGTGCAGATGGCCATGGGTCGTTGGGTCACCGGCCTAGGTGTTGGTGGCTGTTCCTTGCTGGTCCCCATGTATCAGGGAGAGAGCGCTCCCCGCCAGATCCGTGGTGCCATGATTAGTTGCTACCAGCTCTTTGTTACTTTGGGTATCTTCGTATCCTACTGCATCAACCTGGGAACTGAGCACTTGGATGGCACCGCTCAATGGCGCATTACCCTGGGTCTTACCTTCCTGTTTGCCATCATCCTCGGCGGTGGCATGGCGTTCTTCCCCGAGAGCCCTCGATATGAGTACCGTCATGGCCGCATCGACAATGCCCGAGCCACCATGTCCAAGATGTACGGTATCCCTGAGAACCACCGTCTCATCATCCAGGAATTGGAGGAGATCCAGCAGCAGCTCGATGCCGAGTCTCAGGAGCAGGTGTGGCATGAGTTTGTCACCGCTCCTCGGATGTTCTACCGGGTATTGCTGGGAATGGTCCTGCAGTCTTTGCAGCAGCTTACTGGTGCCAACTACTTCTTCTACTACGTATGTTCCTCCATTTTACCTCATCCTATTCTAGACATATATACTGACCATCCTCTCAACAGGGTACCACCATTTTCCAGGGCGCCGGTATCTCCAACAGCTTTATCACGCAGGTCATTCTGGGTGCTGTCAACTTCGGAACTACCTTTGGTGGTCTCTACGTCGTCGAGAACTTTGGTCGTCGCAAGTCTCTCATCACCGGCGCCGGCCTGATGTTCGTTTTCTTCATAATTTTCGCCTCAATCGGCCACTTTGTCCTGGATGTTAAGAACCCCGAGAACACCCCTTCTGCTGGAAAGGGCATGATTGTCGTCGCCTGTCTGTTCATCACCACATTTGCTATGACGTGGGGACCAATGATTTGGACCATCGTGGCGGAGCTTTTCCCGTCGAAGTACCGTGCCAAAGGTATGGCGTTGGCGACTGCCTCCAACTGGCTGTGGAATTTCCTGCTCGGATTCTTCACTCCGTTTATCACGGGCGCAATTGACTTTGCGTACGGATATGTGTTCGCGGGATGCCTGTTTGTCGCCGCTGCAGTGGTCTACTTTTTCGTCATTGAGGGTAAGGGCCGTACGCTGGAGGAGGTCGACTGGATGTACGTCAACAAGGTTGCTCCTTGGAAGAGCAGCAAGTTCGAGATTCCCCCTATTCATAGCCAGGCCTATGCGAACGAAGATGCTCAGTATACCCGGAAGGAATCTCGGTCCTACCATGCTGAGAATGCGTAGAGCCGTTGGCTTGCAATGATTGGGTCTTATTTACGGGTTACGCTATGAATGGAGTTGGTTGTGAATATGTAAAATATTGTATATAGGCATGATATCTCTGAAAATTATTCGCATTCAATATATATTTCTTGACCGATGCAGACTCATGATCTTATCTATTAATCTTCTCCGGTATACATATTAATGCATAGTACCAAAATGGAAGCATTGTGTCGGATGTATCATAAGACTAGTTTAAATCCTCTTGTCTGCTGCAACTGAGGCTCTATTTATACCTTGCTGGGATTCATTGAGCCATTGCACTTTTCCTATAGATTGCTTAGTATTTTACTAGCTAGAAGAGAAAGGGATACTAACTTCAAGAGAACAGTATACAATTCTCTTTAACAGATGCAAACATCACCATACACCACCCCCATCAGCAACCACTCCTCACTCCAACCACCCAACCCATGACAGTACATCCCACCAAACTCCACAACTAAATAGAATAACATTTACAAATCCTATCCAAACCGCGGCTCTTGCTTTGCACCCTCCACAGCCACTAAATACCGCGGTCGATCCTTGACGTAGAACTCGATATCAACCTTTCCCCCGAGATGCGCACCGCCGTTATCCAGGCTCCCCGCCTTGACGCAGGTCATATCGGGCATGACTTCCAACTCGGTGTAGATCCCCGATCCGCAGGTCGGGCAGAAGAAATGTTTATTCACTTTTCCGCTGGCACCGATGGCGTCGTAGGAATTTGGGGTTCCTTTGAGAATTACTAGTCAATGGATGATTTATATACGTGTATACCCCGTAAGGGGTATATGTATGATGGATCGGGTCATACCTTTGGTGACTTTGAAACTTGTTCGAGGAACGACCGCGTTGGAGGTGAATGCGCCACCGGTCCACTGGTCTGGTTAATATATCTCTTACTTTAACTTTGGTAGGGAATACCTTTTGACAGTCAGTGCAGTGGCAAAGCGCGGCGAGATAGTCGTCCACTGCGTTATTAGTATAGATGAATACGGGTGGGAAGATAGCTCACCCTCCGCGGTGTAGGCAATGTTGCCACACAGACAGCTTCCAGAAAGAGGCATCTTGATGATTAAAGGGACAGATGAAGATGTGTAGAAAAGAGCTGGAAGTCCGGATTGTTTAAATCTTTTTTAACTTATATGCTGAGTTGAGCTTCCCCGCCCGTCAGACGCCGAACCACCGAGTGGCCGAACCAATGGCAGCATTTCTTGTATGAATAAATATTACCCAGTAAATTTCAATTCTAGAATCAGATCGATAGAACTATGTAGGAAGGAATATAGATAAGTAAGCGCGTCTGAGACTGGCCTTGGTACTGAGCCGTCATGGAAGTATAACATCGATCAAACCCAGTATGGCTATTGCTAACATTATTCATCAAATATGATAACTAGAAATCAATACAGTACCAAATAGCATAAATAACCGACAAATCTAGTATTCCAATGATAGCCCACCAACCATTTAAATATATCTCCCGTCTAGGATCTAAATCCATACACAGTCCCCCAATTCCCTCCCAACCATAACTCATCAAAGCATATATCTAAACATCGGCGATCGATCGCCCATCTTCGCCATTTCCTGTGGACTATATACCGAGACGTCCATGCGGTCGCGTTTCCGATTAATCATCTTATACGAGAAGCGAAGGACCATGACGGCGATTATGCCTACACCGCAAAAGCCGAGTTCCAGCGCGTGGCCGAGAATGTACTTGGGTCCATCTTGCTGGCGGTAGAAGTTCGAAGACATGGCTAAATAAATAAGTCCATTAGATTGATTAACAGAGAAAGGAAATGGATCGTCTCACCCCCTGCTAAATTCCCCAGTCCGATATGCATGGCCATCCCCGCGGCGCGTTTGTAGTCGCCTGCTAGGTTAACGCTGAGCCAGGTCACATTTCCCGGGAATGCAGGATAGATTCCTGATTTTATTAATGAGATACCATAAAAGTGGAACAGTGGGACAAACCGATGGCAATGAGGAATACGCCGAAATATACCACCCCTGGGATTCCCTTTCCTGAGGCCGCGAGGACGATTACAAATCCCATGGCGATTAGGAACATGAAAAATAAAATAAACGGGGACCGCTGTCGACGTCTGTCGGACACCCAGGCAGCAGCGACAGCAACGATAGCGGCCGTGACGTAGATGGGAACGGTGAGCAGTTGGGCTGTGGACGACGTATATCCCAAATCCTTGATGATGGTTGGGAGAAAGAAGGAGATGCCATACAACGGACAGGTGATGCCCCAGTACACTAGACCTGTTAATCGCCTTTGTATACTTGTGGGTGGGAGGTATCATACTAATCAGAGCCACGTAGATCTGCCAGTCCAGCAAAGCATCGATAACATACCGAAGACGGAATTTGGTCTCCTCTTGTACCAGAGCCCCGGTATCATGTCCCGCGGATGCTTGATAGCGCACTGAGTGGATTACGTACCGTTTTTCTTCTTCGGTAAGAAAGGTGGCAGTCTCCGGGGAGTCATAGATAGCGAATGGAGCGATAACCGCGACGATCACCGTGAGGAGGCCTTCCAGAATGAAGATCCAGCGCCATCCTTCGTAGCCGCCGACGCCGTCCATTTTCTACCAATCTTAGTGGAGAAAAAGTAGAGGAAGACGGGGGACCTACAGCAATTCCATAGGCCAGAATCCCGGAGAAAGCACCCGCGATGCTGGCAGCACTGAAGAACATCGCCTGTCGGTATTGAGCCCGGTAACGAGGGTACCATAGTGTGATGTAATATGCTGTACCGGGATACAAACCTGCTTCTGTGCATGAGGTCAATACCGTGATGGGCAACAGCAAGCTGTAGCAGACCTACCTGTAAGACCCAGAAAAAGGCGAGCGGTAAGCAGTCCGCTATAGTTCTGTACCACACCCATCAATGTCTAATAGTCCAATGTCAAACCCGGCGTTGTGTTCGAAGTTAGAAAAGAAATAAATACCATCACGATTCCCCACGCAACCATGATGAGTGGCAGCCACCGGGATGGTCTCAGCTTCTTCAATAGCAGGTTACTGGGTAGTTCGAAGGCGGCATAGGTAAAAAAGAAAACAGTTACTGGAATCCATAAGTGAGGCACTGCTTCTGTTGATGATGGTTAGATCTGCTTACATGTCATGTTGTATTGCGATCCCGTCATGTGGAGATCATCTAGCATCCCCTCGATTTTCGCATTGCCGATGTTGCCACGATCCAGGAACGCGAGAAGGTACAGTAGAGACAGCATGGGAATCAAGCGAAGATCCATCTTGCGAAAGACCTTCTTTTCCATCTCCGGGGTGAACACTGGTGGGGATGCATCGTGGAGGTCTTTCTCAGTGCTTGAATCGCGAGGACTATCGCCGAGGTGTTCGATGTTGGACAGGGACAGCTTCTCCATTGTGTGGTCGGAGAATTGATGCCAGGAAAGCAAAAGAGTACGAGAAGGATTGCGCGAGAGTGTGAAAGGGGGATATTCGGGTTAAGATACATATACGTAGTCGTGGTTACCCCACATTCCCTAACACCCCGCATTTCGACCTGGACCCGAGAATGCCCAGACCCTGGAATACAGGATAGGATGGTTAGGCGACTCTCAATAGGTTCCTCTCGTATGGGGTATGCGGACTTTATTTCCATACCGAGGCTGTCGGTATAGGTTGAGCTCAACTGGTGGATACCTTAGTCTAGAATTGACTTTCTAAGGATTTTCGGGGATGGAACTCAACCTAGTCAGGAGAATAATGACGCAGTTCTCATCGCCAGTTTTGCTACTATTATTATTAGTAGTATTAGCGATATCAGAGTCATATGACGCATGGAAAGGAAAGCTACGGCTTAGTGCGCCGTCTGTGTCTTTTCTGATGCCCTTTGTCCTGCGTGGTAGCACTCCAGGCCGTGCTGTGAGATCGGCGTCGGTGAGAATGATGGTGTGATCTTCGATTATAATCATAGTTCGTGGATGTAGCCGACGTAGCGGTCGAGACTCGATCGAGCTCGACCTCGATCATATTGTGATGCGGCTTTCTATGGGTTGAGTATGAATGCTCCTCATATGGTGGAGGATCCTCCCAATCCTCATCGGTCTTCTCGCCGCTTTCTTCGTCGAATTCCCCATTCGTCTCACAGTCACTTCGAACCTCGCCGTGCAAGTGTCTATCGGACTTTTCAGGCTCATCCTGTTCCTTCCATATCCCTAATGTTCGAGGGGGGTCGGCTTTCTTCGTGCCAAAGACTGTCAATGATCAGCTCTTCACAAGCTCAACTCATTCAACATGACTGCCACGCACGTTTGGTGAGGAGACTTTGCGGAGGTCGATACAGTCCGAGATTCTCATGGGCCCCGTTGTCCACTCCTGGCAGATTCAGCCAGACTAGCGGCTGTCCGTCGTGGGTATCACAATACAGACTGAACGGCTGAATCTCCTCGGGAAAGCGAAGCGGAGATGTGATCACGATGGGATAATACGCCGGGATTAGGAGCTTGAAATGTGGCAAATCCCCCTTCATGTGCGGATCGACCGCGTGAATCTGTCTCATCGCTCGCATGAAGATGACCGCTGCGTCGAGATCCTGGAACACGCCGATGAAGCGCTTCCCCAGCGACCCTTGGTGCCGAATCTGGCCAGCAAAATGATGGGTCCAGCCCGTGTCGGGATGATACACGAAGTACCAGACGCGAGGCGACGAGCTGCCGATCAGATTTCGCAGCATTTGGTAAACAAAGTCAGCAAATGCAGGGAGCGCATCCAGAACGTGATCCCTTGGTAGCACGAGATTGATGCCCTCGAGATGGTCGGCGATCTGTCGAAGTTGTCCGGCTCCCCGCACAACTTGGTACGTGGCGGCAGTGTGAATGGCGCTGGCGATGCCCACCGCGCAGGCGCCGTAGATGGCTCGGTCGCCGTAGGAATCCACTGCTACTATGGCCTTGTTGAGAATTCGGGCTGCGGTGTCCCTGACCCCGGCGAATCTGACTGTGAGTTGATCGATCCTCTTGAAAGAGTCCATGGTGGGGCATTGTGGAGGACTAGAGACGCAGGTTGATGGCTTTCTATACCCCGCAAGAGGATGAATTGTCAATTTTGCATCGCCTAGATGTTCGCATCTGATTTGACACTTCCATAATGATGTAAACAGGATATCGCACGTTTACCCGCTGCCTAACCTGCAAGAGGGAAAGTATGTCTTATTTCGTTTCCTCTTGCGCACTTCCACAACTGACTGGTTCCCCTGGTCTGAATTCCAAATTTTCACTAGTTCCAGCCCTGCAGCATCTAACAGGCTCTTCCACTGTATCACCGTTCTTTCCAGGCCTACCGTGTGCATCCACATTACAATATCCATTTCGGCCACGCGCAACTCCGCCCCGGTGTCCGGAAGAACATAATTGTCGGTCAACAATGTCGAGTAGTCCGCATCCATGGCTTCTGCGACATGGGACAGGATCTGCATGCTCTTCGCATCCGACCAGTCATGTATGACTTGGCGTAAGAAATATACCCTTGCTCTTGTGGTATGTAAGCATAGCTCTGGATGACCATAGCCCAACTTCATGCCTTTGATCGGCTGCAGTGTAAAAAATCATGCTATCAGCTCGATCCCCTCTGGCACTTTCTCGATGCGATTCAAGGCCAGCGGCAGATCCTGTAACACAATCAAACCCTGGATTTCAGGATGTCGCTATGTAGATCGTACCATCTCCTGGCCGAGACCCCCTTCAACGTCAACAAGCAGCACCGCATCCGCGGATGGAATGTTGCGCAGCATTTCCGCCGGCGGGTAGATCTCAAACAACTGCGGCTGATGAACCAGTCGTCGGGCTGCCATGTACTAGTAGAAGGTCCCCTTCCGCCCAAGGTTGACTTCCAACATACCGAGCATCTGGTCGCAGCCATACACGTGCCGGAAGAAGGAGATTTGATGCGCTCCAGGATGCGGAGACAGTCGACTAATTGTGCGCCCTGATCATATTAGTTAGTTAACTCGTGGTCAGGGAGGATGGAATACCACGCGGAAATCTAAGTCGAAACTATAATTCTTAGTGTTGGTTTAGAACAAGAGTATGGAGAAGGAACTGACTGATGTTTCACTACCGCAACAGAGCTTGGAAAGACCTCAAACCGAGTGGCTTCGTTGGTGGTGTACGCTTGATGCGCCGTCTCTTCTACGATACCAATCTCTGTCAAGACACGCATCACACGAACTACTAGAGATCAGCATTGATATTAATGTCATATGGGATCTTTACCGATCAACAGTTCATCAGGATCTGTCCGTTGGGCCATCTCTGCAGCTGTAACGGGTCCATGATTGACAACAGCATGCAGAAACTGTCTGTCGATGGCGATTCGAATGCAGATATTCTGCAGGATCTGCGACGGTGACTTCCGGTCCAACCGGATACTGTATGAAACCAACCTGGGAGTTCAATCGAGAGGTTGCCTAGATTGGAGTTTTCGCTGTCAGCTGTAGCTGGCGAATGGTAGCCAACAATCAGCCATGAGCTTGACGGTCACATTGACTTTGGCCTGGGCGAGTTGCTGGACGTGTGAGCTTATCGAACATGGTCATTTTCTTTCCTTTCATTACTCATCTTTCATTTATTAAAGCTGAGAGATACAAACATAATGCATATTCGTCGAAAGAGAGCTCATTTAGTAATCCCGATCTGGGGGGACGGTACACGATAGGTTGATCCATTGCCTGCAGGATATGATCATAGCTGCGCGCTGCAATGATGGAGTCAAAATCGCCGGATACTCTAGTCTAACTGTAGCCACAAAGCAACGAGATACAGTATGGTAGTGATGAAGTCTATGGTGGAAGGTAAGTTGACTGTGTAGCGAGTGCGCGAGTCGCCTTCCTATTTTGGATTCCCTTCCATATTCGGCCAGTACAATACAGCCTGAGGCCGCGACTTTATGAAGTAGGTCTCTGTAACACTGTGTTTCGAGTAGGCAGTCGGTCAGACTCTCTACTCTTCTTGCTCTCCGCCTTCTTAGTATTTAAATAGTAGTTAGGGAAATATTTATAGTTGTGTAGGGACAATACTTGACGGTGGCAGGACACAGTTCGGCCAGGACTGAGGTTCCAGAGACGGTGGCGCCTCTAAGAAGGCGGCGCTAGTACGATGTAGTGCTAGAGACCAGTCCTAAATAAGTTAGAAGCACATCACTGGCGCTAGCTGTATCAGGTTAATAAACTACCCACGTGACAATATTGACCCTATCACGTGATAACATCCACACGAGGTGGGAACTTGCCTGAGGCACTGTCAGCCGGCTCTCCAGACACAGCACAACACCCCATGCGCGCTACAATACGATGGGAATCATAGACTTCATCAAGGACATCATCCGTCCTGGCAATGGGGTGGATTACCCCAAGCCTGGCGACATGGTGACCGTGCACTATCACGGGTATTTGTATGATCCGACGCGGTCGTGGAATCGAGGACGACGGTTTGTCTGACGCGAGAATAGAATGTCCCTGTATTGTATGTCTATGAAATACTAATTCTATTTACTAGGTTCGACAGTAGTATCAAAAGAGGATACCCATTTACATTCCAGATTGGCATGGGCAAAGTGATCAAAGGTGCATGCATAAGAACCGAACCCCATTGGATTCGATACTGATTGCTCGAAGGATGGGAAGTTGGAATCCTGGGGATGAGTCTTGGAGAAAAGGCTCTACTTACTTTCGGGCCGTAGGTTCCCCTTTCCCTTTATTGTGTTTATTCTGACATCGATGCTAGACACTACGGATACGGTGAAAAGTATGCTTGATTCCTGTAGAATGAGCGGTGCTAACGTGACTCAAGGGGGGCACCGCCCTTTATCCCTGGAAATTCGACTCTTGTCTTGTAAGTTGCGCTTTGCCTTTCGATCCTTGTTATATGCTTATTTGGTAGTAATGTTGAACTGTTGGCTATCAACGGCCGGAGTCTTCCGTCGGATGACTCGGAGTGATTGTATGTTCCGTTTGTATTCTTATGTTGATCTGTCCGGTTGATCGTGACTGAACTGTATAATATGCTATTCTTGTGCATCCAAGTTAGATATGTAGAGATAGGGGAGCAAGACATAATATATTCCGTCTATTATTCCATATAATTACCAACGAGCAAAGTAGATACGATGCCTATTCCTACGACGGCAGTGCCATCCCGATAAAAATCCCAGGCTCATTAATATCATGATTCCGATAACTAGAGCTATTCAATGTTTGATTAGAATGGTATGCCGAACAAGCACATACCTCAGAATCCCAATCGCCCCTGGCGACAGCATCATCGGCAACGGGGTGTCAAGGGACAGTTAAGCCATATTTTCACAAACGCGCGCAGAATAAGACCATGTGCAACCTACCCAGTGATACATCAGAAACAGGACAATCCATACCAACACGATATCGACTGGCTTCTCGCCATTCATATACGGTCGTTGAATCTCGCGAATCTGCCCGATCAGTCTATCAAACTGTTCAGTCACCTGCTGCATAGATCTAAACACATCAGTACCCCTCGACCATAACAATACACTCCAGACGGAACATACTTTCCACCCTCACATCCATCCCTCCAAATATTCCATTCCCTCTCCTGATCTAGCCCCTTCTCTTTCCGACGCGCCCGGATTTCATGTACCCCCGGGGGCATCCTTCATTATCACCATAATCCCACTTGGTAATATCCTCCGTGAGCGTGACTTCCTTATCTAAAGATACAGATACAGATCTAGACATACCTGAGTATTCGCACTGAACAGATGCTGGAAGGTCTGCTGCGTGCGATGCGGGCGGGATCGATGAGTTTCCTGGGACCCACGAGCTGGGTTTTTGTGCCCTTGACTTGGGTCACGCCGTTGGGAGTGAGTTCCAGCTCGGTGGATCCGGCGTAGCGACCATTTTTGGTCCATTCGATTTCGCCTTAGATGAGATTAGATTAGATCAAACTGAATTCTTAGTGTCTAAGGGATAGCCCATCGTGGCGAGCAATGAAGACGCGAGGCGTCGTGGTGTCGAGATCAGGTATATTATAATAATAGAATAATTCTGTACGCTAATGGAGAGAGTTTATGAAGTACGCTAGCAGAATACTAATCAGCACATTAGGAGCACATCAGGGCACAGCTACCAGGCCGAGGTGGGGTACGTTTCTTGAATGGCGAGGTTCCCAGCAGTATTTACTATAGACTGGTTTAGACTATTAGTACTACTGTAGGCCTGGCGCTCATACGATCATCATCTTGCCATCACTTGACATACGGGATAGAGCCATGCCAATGCCCCCCGCCACAGTGTTGGCGAGCCAGCTCCAAGAGAAGTTAGCTCTGATGGCGTTGGTGAGGTCGGAATGGAACGATGACCTGGTGGAAATGAACAAACCAGACTCGACGAGACTGTCTATAGACCCTGCCTCCATTGTCTCGGCCTGCGCAGTAGTGATCAGCTCCTCAAACGCGTCTGACAGTTCCTCGGTGTAGTCTCGATACTGTTGTAAGACATCTCTATTGGAAGCGATGCTTTCTACTCTCAAGTTGTAGGGGAGTTTGAGGGGCTGGGACGAGGCGAGAATGTATATGGTTTCAATATAGGCATATTGTGCAATGATTGGGAGCAGCTGGCGACCTGGAAAGATGTTGTTCAGCATTCCTCTCTACGAATGATGTTCATGGTTGTTTCTTCGTGACGCTAATCGACTTTTAACAGAACATACCTGTTGCATGTGACATGTAATATTTTGTGATAGCGATTAATAAGAAGCTGAACCACCGCATGATTGCTATGAGTGATTGTCGTCAAGGGCGTCCCACCACTGAACTTCAGTAACAGGATTGCACAGTCAATATTTTTGGTTCGGGTGACCACATGCAACGAGGTCAATCCTTCTGGATTGCATGCATTAGGGTTGGCACTGAATTTAAGAAGAGCTTCTAGTAGGCCCGGGATACCAGAAAACCCATCAGCCATCAAGGGGCTAAAACGATAGGTACCCCTGGGCGAAGTCGGGTTTGGATTACTTACTACCGGCTTGGAGAACGAGGGGCAGACAGGGTATGCTATGGCAGCCAACTGCATGCAGCACCGTCATCCTCTTGAAATATTGACGTAATTGGGTTCTCCACCATATGAAAGGAGGAGATGCATATCGTCGAGTTGGGTACCAACAGTTGCCCAATCGAGGGTCGTTCATCCCTGGGCGTCCGTGGTGTAATGGCGTTTGGGTTCTCCAGTTCATGGATAAGTGGCTTGGAAGACAACCCGAATATGATTCGATGCACCAGTGGGAAGCTTTGCTCTTCGACCCAATCACCGTCTCCCCTCCCAATATTACAGCAAAGACCCTGATCCTTAGCTGAAGAGGCATTTGAGACCATCGATATTTCCCTGCGTGGCGAAATGTGATTGACTCAGCGGTATATGGCACCCTACGTGTTGTTGACAACTGAAACTGGGGTCCGGTGCTGGGCAGATACTTAAAAGTCATCCTCAAATTCCTTGACAAACCATCGCGGAAACCAATATTCCATGGCCACAGCGAGGTTTTGTTTCCGTACACCCTCTGAAGTCGCATGGAGGACCAAGAACACGCAGTTCTGGGTAGCCGACAAACATCTTGCTGAGAAGACTCTTCACGATTGCGGAAATTGTGGCATTTACTTTTTGTTTTCCGTGGCAAGCACAAGGACACCAGTTGCGACATGGAATATGGTAGGAAATGAAAACGCGAAGAGTTTTAGTATCAGAGGAACGGTAGCCACCATCCTCTGGCTCCAGAGGTGCTTTCTGTTTTGTCCGGAGATAGTGCCTTGGGTTATCCCAATGAGCAAATCTGCTAAGGGCTAAAGTGCTATTGATAAGCTTTTTTAGCCTATTCTTTTCTCTTGGTATATGCGGATATGCTCCAGTCACTACATAGGCATAGTAAAGTGAATAAATTATATGGAGCACAACCTATTTTCTAGGTTTAAAGGTAAGTAGAATTAGACATGTCTATAGCCAATTTTATAGATTCTATACGTATGCAGCATAAGTAGAGAGCAGTCTGATATAATATAACTATCTAAATATCACTTCTTTCTATGTAAGTTACTGCTTTAAAAATAATTATAAATTATTAATCTACTATTACTGATTAAAACTTCTAATATCTTGCATTTTTAGCTAATTATAGAAAGATGAGGATAGAAGATTCTTTATTTTTCTCTTCTCACGTATCCCTCTACTGCTTAGAATGATTGCTACAGACTTTCCCTCACATAATAGAGATATATGTAGCTTTGAGGACCCTTAGAGATGAAGACATGATATATCCTGTGAGGGCTATATACTACATGATCTTGTGCTCTTTCTCCAACCTGCAGTTTTAACGAGTATTTGCAATTCGAAAGATGTAGAGGTAGGGACAGACCACGACAATATACTGCTTCAATACAGTCAACTTTCAATGAAAGAAGTTGACAGTATACGAGATAATTCAGAATCCCATAATAAGTGCAAGTACAAAACGCAAAACCCCATAATATCTTAGCAGTGCTGAGGTTAGAAGATTCCAAATACAATCCTCACCAGCTATTCGTTTTCTTGGGCGACTCTACCAATCCACACACCTGATCGAACCTGTCGAACTTATCACCTGCAAAGCGAGCATAGGTTGTGCATCCTGTCTTGCCCAATTTAAACGGCTGTTCGTTTACATACGTCTCGGAATTCTTAAACCATAGATCCCCGGCGGCTATATCACGATGTCTCCAGTTGAGTGGCGGCACGGGGGCCGATTCATGGGTCTTGCCAAAGAGCCAGACGAAGCCACCACAGATAGGAGTTATCATCGGTTCGGATCCATCTGGATTGTCTCAGATTAGATATCCAGGAGTTGATGCTTGGGTTGCTGCAGAAGAACATACCATGAGAATCGCAGTACCCCGATGTTTCATTGTATATGCCAAAGGGTTTGGAAATGTCATTGCATCCCAAGTAATCGTTCAAAATCACGTAGCAGGACTTTGTTCCGTCCACGTGGATACGACCGGAGGAATACTTGGTCACTGGATCTAGTACCGATATCCAGCATCCCCCAGCAGGGGCCTCAGGGTCGAGATAGTATGGGCTAGGTGCTGCATGGAAAAGGTTGATAGCGAAAGCGGCGATAATAGAGGCGAGGAGATGCATTCTGGATAGCACAATGTAGTTAGTTTCGCAATACTTCAGGTTGTATACCCTAGGTGGGACGGAATGACAGCTAAACATACATACAATCTTCCTTAGGATGATATTGGATTTACTAAAATTGCAAGGGCGCCAACATGATAAGCAACAGAAGAAGTACAATCAGTGTGGTGATTATGAGACGTGCAGAGCCAATAGAAGGCCGTAGAGGGTCATTTTGTTGGTAACCGAGCCTATTTTTGGACGCATACTAACTATATAGAAAATTTGGTTGCCTTGTGCTCGGCTCTGATTTCTGTAACTATGTCTGACAAAGTAGTGGTACAGTTCGTGACATTAAAATATCCATATCTACGGCCCGTGAGTTAGCTTATATTATGTATGAACCGGTCCAGTTGCTTTTGCTTGAATAATACGGACATAAAGTTGCGATATACAGAAAATCAGAGGATCAAAGCATTATTTTTTAACCACCACTACAAACAGACGAGGATAGCGTAACAAAACTCGTCCATCAATCGACCTCGGATACACGTTTTCCAATCTTTTGAGATATTCTTTTCTAAATTCTTCTTTCTCCTCCGCTGACAATGGATCAACGTAAGGCCTGAGTCCAGTACCCGCAACCCACTGCATTATAGCTTCATGGTTCTCAAGAGAGTGGTAGTACTCGAGTCTGAAGACATTGACTTCCGACGATATCGGCTTCAGCTGATCATAGATCTCCTGCGGCGTTTGAAAGACATCCCTGCTGACACTAGCAAGGTTGGTCGCCCAGGGGCCTTGCGCGGCAACTTCCGTCATTGCCACATGTGACGGCTCCGTGAGATTATCTGGGACCTGGAAAGCAAACACTCCACCAGAGGGCTGGGTTTCCATCAACTTCTTGACGACTTCCATGCGTTCATCTCTCTTGAGCCATTGGAGGACCGCATTGGAAAAGAACAGGTCAACCGATGGAGGGGGAGAGTATGATCTCAGGTCATCGACGCTGAATTCAATTTCTGGGAGAGAGGACTTTGCTTTCTGGATCATATCGGGAGAGGAATCCATTCCCATGAGATGAGCGTGAGGATATCGATCAGCCAAGACCGCAGTAGAGTTCCCTGGTCCACAGCCCAGATCCACTATCTTCTTGGGAGTCTGCAGGGGAACTCGAGCGAGAAGGTCGCGCGCTGGTAGTGTCCTCTCATCCTCGAACTTCAAATACTGGGTGGCGCTCCAGTCTTTTTGGGCCATGACTCTTCCTGAAGAAAGGTTTCTGTGGATTGAAGATGGCTGCACCCGGGAGAGGCTTTGCGGAGTAAAGAGGTATCGCATCGACATGTCAAAAATGGAGTCTATTCACACAATTGAACATGTTGATTTGAGATCGCATGTAGATAGACCGAATCTTCAATCTTCACTCTCGACGTCATTTATAGTAAGGGTAGGCACGTGGTACACGTGACCTTTAATGCCGATTGTCGGAATTTCCCATTACCAACAGATTGATAGGCATCCATCGTGGGTTGATTATATACTTCCACTGTTGTAAGCCATAGTTAGGTGGAAATGCAGCTTACTTGTGATCATATATCTCAGCTTCAGATATATGTCTATGAGTTGGGTGGACCATTGAAACTCCGAGCAGAGGCCTCCTGGGCTATAATTCAATATACTCCGAGGGATCAATACTGATACATTCAAGACTACGCCAGCTCTCCTTTATTTATGGTTCTTTTCGTACCAGTTTCCGAATCTCTAACCAAATAATATTATAGGTGTAAAATATGCAACTTAGGTGGAACTAGTGCTATCCTAGTAGGTCAGCGAAAACTGCCGATAATCGGAGCTAGCACCAGGTGTATGATACAAGTATAGAGATGTACCGTCTTTCCGGCTGAAACGTTATTTAAATAACTAATATGTAAATACCAACACTGTATTTATACTTAAAAGCGTATTCAACTCTTCAACTGTTGGAAAGCCCTCGATTGGCATCCATGTGGTTCCAGAATCGGGCTCAGCAACAGACTACCAGCCTCGTTATCAGCGCTGCCTGCCACTCACCCCCTGGTGCTCCCTCCTCAACGCTGTGCAAGTAGGGTGTAGTTCCCACCGTGGTTGGGGGACGTGTGGAATATTGTTCGTTTCCAGTGAAGATGTGACTTCTCCCAGTGAGGGTATGATTTGCGCGTGACCAAATTTCCCTTCTCAATAGAAATCTGTTGAGGCAATTGGCGAGCTGAATGGGTATAATGGTTAGGGCAAGGATTTACCTGCCTGTTTCTTTTCTGATCCCTCTTGCTAGATAATTTCATTATCAATAATTATCTTTAGCTGCTTTGTTAACATCTATTATATGGAATAGCCAAACACAACAGCATCTAGCACAATGCGCCCGGGGATTAGTACTGAATATGGATAAAGGTATCGATAATTTCCCTAACTTCTCTATCCTCACCTTCTGCCAGCTGCCTGCGAAGACAGCGAGGCGCTTACTTTTTTGCCACTAAAGCGAGCCATAACTGTTAAACCTGTACTCCTGAGTTAATTTAATCTCAAGAGACCTATTTATTTCGGTCTTTGCTTGTCGACATGTTTGTGTTGTGAGAATGAAAGGGGCTTTAGACTTCCGTTAAAGGTTGATGGGATAATCCGATGCATATCGGATTTGATCTGGTGAACAAGCCATGTAATAGCTATACATTGAATTTAGCCAATGCCTATATCTAGGGATGATGGGTATAGTAGCAGAATTTGATGGACATGTTACTTTCTAGTTTTTGTGGCGCATCTTGGCTTTGATGCATCCAATGGAGTCTTAATCCTGATTGTGATTCTGAATGAATAGCAGATTGGTGCTGAAAATGCCTTCCAGATCCGCTTAACCCGGATAGGCCTTCGACTAGTGAGATTTTATATCGTTCTTTACATGAGATCGTATTTCAACAAGCCGGAGGATTGACGTTGGATGGGTTCGGTCACGGCCTCGTCTTGGTCACTGTCACTTGCATTGTCCTGCTCGCTCTCCTCTTCAATCTGATCAGACACCTTGCATCCCATCAACCTGTCCGCACCGCCCTCCGAGTGTCCGCTATCTGCTGTACTGTTGAGAATGACTGCTTGGTCCATGATCTTGGAGACTTGATTGATGATCTCCTGCTGGCCATCCACCCCTCGGCACTAGACCAGAAAGCTATAAATAATGTCAGTCTAACATCCCAGACTCAGGCTCGTAAAAAGCCCGGTAGGAGTGCGGAAATCTACGGTATCACTACAGACACCTACGTGTGGGAGTTTGAGTATCTGAACAACGAGACCTAGGTAGGACTTGCTTCTTCACAGAATTTCTGATGGATCATTGCTGCCCCTACCCCTGTAAGAATAGAATAATAGCAGCCTATCAGCTTCGGATCTTTCACATGTTTTCAAGCGCTTTCTGACTCTCATCTCTACCAATGGTCCGTTTTGTGGCAAGAAACAGGCTCATCTCCAGATGGTCTCTCTCTCCATACTTCTGGTCTTCTCTTCATGCCACAGTCTCTTGCCGTAGGACTGGCTGCTTTCAATAAATGGCATCCTGTCTAGAAAGGGGTTTCTGGTTTATTGCCTGGGCTTCTTCGTCTTCTGCGCTGGTTTATTGTCACTTGTTAGACTTTTTCAATATCAAGAGATATAATGATAAAGGTTTGGGTTAGAGGATTTTTCGAGGGATATATCGAAAGACTGAGGTGGAAAATGGCTTAGAAAAGTTCTTGATGGCAAATATTTCCTGTGGTGAATGCACGTTCCCAACTAAATACGTTTTGGCGAGTCTCATACTCAGTCTTTCAGTGGGTGTATTCATTCTAATTTTAAATCCCCCTCATGTTCCATTCTGTTCAGTGAGGTTGCTTTGTCTCTTGGATAAGCAGTCTTAAGTCAACAACTAATACATCCCTTTTACACAGCAGCTTTCCTCATACAAATATCACCTAAGTGACTCCCTGTCAATACAGATATACCACATAAATACTTTTAACATGGCTCTTCAAGAGCCTATGGGTTTTTGGTGCCTGAATGGTAATTTTCCTGAATCAGCCCCTGTATGAAGAACGAAGTACCAAGCCTTCTTGTCCAACGTTTTGTTTGTGCATCCCACCAGCTATGTATATATCCATCACCCAATGCTTGCTAAGTTGGAAGCTGAACGTGCCTGCCACTCCTCGATTCTTCCACAAGTTGCGAACCTATGCGGAAGGATAATAACCCGTGGCAGCACCTGCAAAGCTATGAGAATCAGACGTAGCATCTCGAGGGTATAAGGGCCACGACATACTCAGCGACAAAAAACAAGACAGTGATAAAAAAAGGGTGTAATAAAGCTATCATAGACCAGCCCATGGAATATCCCAGGCAAGGAATGCAGCCCTGCAGGAACCAATGGAGAAATTTTATGACGCAGTTCGGTTTCGTAGCCTGGTCTATGTTAATCGGAGAATCTCGACCTCCTTACATTGGCGGATCCCCTGCGACCACCCAGACTTAACCGCAATTAAAATCTGGACGAGGACGATAGACTCTTAGATACTTCTCTTTTCAGTTTATCTCCCACCCGTTCCATTATATACCCCCAACGAGATGTCGGCGGAATTAGCACTTACAGCAATCCAGAACACAATAACCACTGCTCTCCGGGACGATTATAGATCAACGAGCGTTGTCCTCGCGGGAGACTTTAACTGCTACCACCCGACCTGGGGTGGCAATCATATTCAGCCGCAGTTTATTAAGGATGCAAGCGAATTAATTAATTTCTTCCAGGCAAATGGCCTACACAGATACCTTCCCCGAGGAGCGGCAACCTTCTGTTCTCTTAGCAACCCAGGGAGGAACTCCACCATCGACTAGATATTAACAAACCGGCCAGATCGACTTATCAAGTGCCATCTCTACCACGACAACTACGGATCAGATCGCCGTTCCACGTATTCGGAATGGAACCTAAGAGCCCAGCGTAAGCCTACCGTAAAGGCGAAGAAGGACTTTGACCGCGCAGACTGGGGTAGAATCGCTAGTGAGGTGACTTTCAATACAGCGCTGCTCGGTTGTTATTTCCGCTTATTTGGAGCAGAGAAGACGCTACTTCTTGTATGTGTACCTGTTATTTCGACCGTGGAGCCATCCCACGACTGAATCCAACGTCATGCTCATGAGAATCCAGAAGACCCGTATCTATGAGGAATGCAGACTGGTCATTGTATATGCACATCCATGATGCAAATGGACAGGATACATTTCGTGCCGTAGTGAAGAGTAAAGTGTTGATGGCGGCTGCTATCCTTCTGGATGCTCTGATCTATTGCTCACAGAATAGCTTGATAAACTCCCACGCGGCGGCTCCTGCGCCAGTCCCACTATTTCGAAGAATAACTGACGCCAGAGTTCGGCATGGTTCGGACGTCGCGGGACATAGAAAAGAAGGCAGTCTGGCTTTGGGATGGGTGAGTATTTTAGCGTTCAATGAACACTCGAGATGAGCATGTCTGAGAGTACATTCGTGCGGGCTGCAATAGGAGGGATAGAAGGATCGACAAAAGCACTAACGCATGGTCCTCTTTTGATTTGTTATTGACTAACCTGGCGAAGGGGAATACCCCTGCAATGTGGCCTAATACGAGGATTAATATGACCCCATTCGTGCCCGCTGGTTGAGCTCGGCATACAGAGAAAGGACAACATATGGCCGATTTTGCAACGGTGAGTTCCTCGTTGCTGATATTACCCCATCAAATCATCCTTCAAACTGCTTAGCATTTACCTGGATGATGAGTCCCTTTGGTCACACACCCAAACCCAAATCCGTTTGGCCGGGCAAAACTCGCACATTCGTATTTGAGTTTCGGCCAACCATGCACAAGGCAAGAGTTTGGCAAGGCTGAGGGAACGATCATCCCTTCTTCATTAGCGTGATTCTCCTCATTTTTTGGGGTGGTGAGCTGACCAGTTTGTGACACCCTCCAGTTTAAATCCCCTGGCTTTGCACGGGATCGGACATGTATACAACCTCTCGTTCTTATTCTTTTCAGTTGTACACTCTCTATTCCTTGTAGAAGTGTTCCTGTCAGCAGAAGAGCTACTCGCTATCAACCCTCACGCCAGACCCGTTGCCAACAATAAAAATGTGGCGAAGCATCTCTCCTGCTATCCTACTCATCTCCGCTTTTTTGACCTCCGCTGCCCCGAATCTGAGTGGTTGGGATGCAGGGAATAGCAACATCAGGTTAAGGTCAACTCATGTGCGCAAAGTACCTCACCTGATAACCCGCCAGAGTTCTGGCGGCACTGATGGGAGCACTACAGACTCCTGTTATGAGGTCGGGGCAACCTGCGAGAGTTGCTTTGGTCCTGGCTTAGTAAAGTGTTCCGATGGGGTGCATTGTTATAATCCCAACGACTCCCAAACCTACTGTCCTACAAATAGCGGCTCTGGCTCCTCTGGCTCCTCTGGCTCCTCTAGCTCTTCTGGCAGCACTGATGGCAGCACTGAAGATTCCTGTTATAAGGTCGGGGCAACCTGCCAGAGTTGCTTTGGTCCTGGCTCAGTAGAGTGTTCCGATGGGGTTCATTGCTATAATCCCAACGATCCCCAAGCCTACTGTCCCACAGATAGTGATTCAGGTTCCTCTACTTCCTCTGGCTCCTCTGGTTCCTCTGGCTCCTCTGGTTCCTCTGGCTCCTCTGGTTCCTCTGGCTCCTCTGGTTCCTCTGGTTCCTCTGGTTCCTCTGGTTCCTCTGGTTCCTCTGGTTCCTCTGGTTCCTCTGGTTCCTCTGGTTCCTCTGGTTCCTCTGGTTCCTCTGGCTCCTCTGGCAATGCAGTAAGCCATGCTTCCGAGCTTACGTCGCGCGTTGGTCATATGATGGGGTTTGGCATTATTGGCGCCATGGTTATGAATATGCTTTGAACTGTATGATGGAACATGGTATTGGAGGGGTATAATTTGAACTAGCTATTAGCTGAATGGTACGGGTATTGATTAGTTGGATTGATGATTGGGCTACATTAGTTCCAGAGCTGGGCCGCTTTTACGGCCGGATCTGAGAGTGTGGATTGAACAACATCATGTTTTCTTGTGCAGTTGGTATGCGAAACCGCATTTAATATTAAATCCAACCCATTGTACTTAATCCCATAGGCTGCATACCTTTGTTGCTACCTTCAAAATATTTAGCAAGCGTGAAAAGAGGTGAAAACCAGACCGGCGCTAGACAAGGTAGTGGAAACGTTCATGGAAGCAACTGCAGCAGCAGTGGACAAACACACCCCTAACCTACGACCAACACCATATTCCAAGCGCTGGTTCACGCCAGATCTCAAAATCCAACAAACCGAGTTTAACCAATTACGCCGGAAGTGGTAAAAGAGCTGTGCAGAGCTCGGGCGAGAGCACGCACGCTTAGCGTCCCTTTTTTAGGAGATGCAGCAAAAACGACGCGCATGAACTTGAATAATTTAGAAAGCCAAAGCATTATATTGGAATCAGTTCCTGGACAGAGCCGGGAAAGGGAAGCTCACGCCGGCCGTGGACTATGCATCGACAGTCTGGCACAATCCACTCCGGGACAAAACCCACCTCCAACAGCTGAACACAACCTAGAGGACCTTATTGATTCGCATCCTGTCAGCATTTAAGATAGTGGCTACTATAACTCTAGAGGTGGAAGCACACGTCCTCCCCATACAACTCTATTTGCGCCAACGAGTCCAGAACACTATTACAAGACTTCACACTCTACCACCAGAAATACAGAAATAATGCTGGGTCACATGCTTGCTTCCCACTAGCGGAAGCACTAAAGACTATGAACCTAGAAAGACTTAACAAGCTGGAGACGATTGACCCAATACCGCTGCTACCATGGCGAACCGAATCTTTCACGGAAATTAAGGTCGAGTTGGACCAGGAGACAGCAAGAGAACATGCCGAGACTGTCAGGGCCACATCAGACCTGATTGTTTACTCAGATGCCTCGGGGCGTGAGGGTTACCTGGGAGCTGCTGTCATACCACTTAACAACAATCTCGAGATCATACAATCGCAACAGGTCTAAGTAGGACCGATGGACCGATGGTCAGCCCATGTAGCAGAGTTAATAGGTATTTTTCGCGCTATCAGCTCGGTACTTAAGATCGCCCATAGCCGCCCTAAAACAGGCGGGGGAACAACAACAGCGTCAATTCTCTATAACAGTAAATCCGCCATACAGGCAATCCAAAACCCAGGAAACAAATCAGGCCAACAAATTATCCACGCGATCCTCCATGCAGTGGCAGAGGTTTATACACGGGGTATTGTGCTCCGCCTGCAATGGTTACCGGGGCACTGTGATAATATAGGGAACGATGCAGCAGATCGGCTGGCTAAAAATACTACACAGCCAGGCAAAACGCACCCCTTCCGCCCTCTGCTTACAAGGAAAAAAGCGCTTATCCGAAGCAAGATCCTTGCTTAGTGGGAGCAAGAATGGACGTCTACCGCCAAGGGTGGTTACCTACGAAGAATTGACAACACATTACCAGCCACCTACACTAGATGACTATCTGGGAAAGTGTCTAAGAGAACAGACCCATGGTGGGGTCGTAGGAATGGAAAGTTAGGGAAGACAGAAAGAGCCTTTAGGTGGTTCTGTTGTAGCTCGGAAGAATATTGATGTATGATTGAGGTATTTTGAGCCCGACACACGAATGACTCTCTTCAGAGGAGCGAGAAATACAGGGCCCGAATAAAGGCGAGCAAGAAAACCATGCTACTTACGGCAATAGCATAGGATGTTGTAGTTCCTATCATCATGATCACTGCAGAAGGTATAATCAACAAAGAGGCCCGTGAGAGAGGGACCAGAGCCCAAGGGATAAGAGCTTTATTTATACACTTTGAGCGGAGTTGGCCCGTTGATAAATATAAGATTGTGAATTAGAGTACAGCTAATGACACTCGAGGAAGCTAATATCCCGTCCGCAGTGTCCCAGCCTCCCCGTTCACCGGCTGAATAGCTGCGAATAACCCTCCCAGAACCACGATATTCTTGGCACATCACGATGCCCAGCTACGACCGTACGCGGCCACATGCCGGATAACGACTCGGCTGAGGTGGGGAATGAAGAAGCCGAATGCTTTGATAAGACTTTGACATTGACTAACGGCATCGCGCTGGAATTTGTGGCTTGGTTTGACAGTGGCCGGCGTCGTACGGAGAATAAATATTATGTACAATCGAAGTCCAATACCTAATCTGATCAGATCAAACGAGTCGCAGATAACGGGTGCCCAGGCACCAGGGCAATCACAACACGGAGGCCGAGCCCTAAGGATCCTTGCTTTGTCGAAAATGCAACGCAAGAGGATCATCCGGACTTTACTGTGCATGCAGACCCCTTTTCTTCCTTGATTCTGGTCGTACTGGTCTAAAAGTCAGGCTTATACGCTGTCCACGGAGGTACTCCTTGGCGCTCAGGAAAGAGGAGGGAGATGATATACCTAGCTCCCATAGAACTCTGTGTGCTCGGGTTCCTGTCAATCAAACATGCAATGTGCTGGTCTTGTCACGGCATCCCGCGGAGCTATCATGCGCCGACCTGGCATTGTTTTCGTCTGCGACCCTATATTAGGAGTCACAAAAATGCCTGCAGGTGCTTGTCCAGTTTTGATGTGCGGAAAGGAGCTCAATGGAGCTCCAAGTTTCGTCTAGGTTAAAGGAAGCTACATCGACAGCCGCTCCCTCCAACCCAGCAATACCTCCACGAAGCAACCAATTTCGCATGATAAAGCCTGGCAGCTCATAAGTCATGACAAGGAGAGGTCTGAGCTCCTTGACAGGACTTCGCCGACTTGGCTCGGCACCGATATTGGGCACGATTCCGCTGCAGACGAGTCGCCTGATGAGCCAGAGAAGCCAAAGTATCCCAATGCGGTTGACATTGAAGCGCCCGATGATCCAGAAAATCCGGTGAACTAGTCGGGGACCAAGAAGCTCACGAGTATTAGTCGTGTCGTTGATGACATTTCTTTCGTATGTAGAGCTAAATTTCTTCAATCCACACAGCAACCTAAATCATGCATAGACCCATCGAATCAACCATCAGCTCTGTCGGAGCATTAGCCATCATGGCCCAATTCCACTCTACCAACACATCGCTCGCTGGGTTCGTGACCACTATTTTCCTGCTTGGTTGTACGTTCGGTCCTATTGCTATCGCGCCGCTATCGGAGATTTACAGGCGAGCCATCCTATACAAGGCCTGCATGGTCTTGTTCATTGTTTTCAACGTGAACTGTGCTGTGGCCAACAGTCTGGGATCGCTCGTTGTGTATCGCCTGCTCGCCGGCATTATAGGTTCCTGTCCTGCCACGCTCGGTGCCGGCTCTATCGCCGACATAATCCCGGTCGAGAACCGAGCTGGTGCCATGGCAGCCTACGTGATTAGGGTCCTGGGCCCTTCAATTGACCAATTCGGGGACCGGAGACCCGTCAAGCCGGGTCATCTTGTCTTGCTTCTCAGCATTGTAGTCAGCACGACAGGAGTATGGACTTGGCATGATGACGTGGAGGGTGAGAGCTCTCTGTTCTCGTCGTCGGTCCATGCCAGTGCGCAAACACCAATGTGGATCAAGGCGACGATGGATGTTCTGATGGTGGGCAGAATGGTCCGGCGTTTACCTTGGAGACCATCCAGGGAACAGTCATTTTGCCCTTCGTGTTAAGCAATCTGGAAGGTGTTTCGCTCCGATATCGATCACTAATATCCACAGGTCTATTATTAAGCCGCGAACTGGGTCTGCATCGCATCGATCATGAATCAAACGCAGCCATCCCAAACACCATCCAAGCCGAGATCGGCCGTCGGGTATGGTGGTATCTGGTCACTACTCACTGGTATTGCCTTTTTTTTTTCTTTTCTCCTTTCCCCTTCCTTCTTCTTAACGGATCCACTACCATGGCGGTCAAGCACTCTAACACAATTACTCCAGGGTGTTGGCCGCAAGATATAGCGGCCCGGGTGAAGGTGTGAGCCAGGCCAATCCGCAGGCATATGGTCATAAAACCGCGCAACACCAACGACGTGGACCTTGCTGACAACTGGTTGCAGATGGAGCTGCCCATCTCAGTCGACCGAGATGTCATACTTCCTGGATGATCCACGATATCTCTTCTTTCTTCCACATTGACCAGTACGAAGGCTATCCTGACTCCACTTCAAGTGGCATTTTCATCCATGCCTACCTACTCAATTCGGTCCTCCACACCCAGCGCTGCAAGCTGCATCTCAGGTGTCTCACATCCGGCCCCAATAACAACCCGACCTACGCTTTCTCGCGAGAGAAGTGTCTTACGTCCGCGCGCCAAGTCATCCACAGAGGCACAGCTCGAGCGCTCCCAGCATCCCTTTGCGTTCATACAACTGCCCTTATCAGCGATGCTGTACGGGTCTTCCTGGCTAGCATTGTGTTGCTGATGGATGCCTACATCAATGAAGCAGGCTCGATGCAGGACGAGATCCGTCGCGGCGATGTGGCTGAAGGCTTGCGCATCATTGAGGGCGCAAGGAGCCACTCGTGGGCAGCAGCGAACCTCCACGAGTCACTCTCGCAGGCTTTGGCTAAGTATCGTGCGCAACTACCACAGCATCAGCAGCAACAATACATACAAGAGGCACCAATGCCGCTTCCAATGAGTGATGTGTCTAGTGCTCCTTCTGCACCAGTAATAAATACCACAACAACGCAAATGGCCCATCGGTCCGACCAGCCAGCAGTGATGTCGACTCTGAGAGGAATGGACAGTGGGGGCACATTGGGTCCCATGCCAGATCAAATGCCTGTGGCCGTCAGTCAGCCCCTGCAGTACAACCAACTGGCCCAAAGTCCGGAGGAATTGGCTTACACGTATAAACTCCAGTGGGATGATTTGTTTTCTGGCATTGATTGGCTTCATTTTTCTGATTGTATGTAACATTACCTCAGAGTTCCTCTACTAATACCGTATGATTCAAGTGAAACAAGCAAGTAAGGCATGGTATCTGTGCTAGACGTGGTCGCCGACCATTCTATCAATCGGCCAATGTTGGCCACTCTTAAAATCCACTGGCCTGGGTAATTGTTGTAAAACCTGCCCATGCCAGTTATCCATGTAATTCAGTATTTACATTTCTCCATCGCACAAACCAAGTAGTCCTAACAAATGATCCCCAACTAGGTTACCAACCAAATCATATCCATCCGAAGTCATATGAAGACCGTCATCCCATAGCTTCTCCTTCAACTCCTCTGTGGCGCTGTGGTAGGGCACCTCCTTGTGGAGGTCAAACGCATGACTGATAACCAGTTAGCACAAACAACTTGACTAGAAGAGAAGTCTTACAATTTTTCACACGAATGGCTTAATATCTTCGAGTTCAGCTCCTCTCGAGACGCGTCCAGTCTTTTGTTTACAGCAGAACATTCAGGTACAGTCAAGGCCAAGACATGCGCTCCGGCATTGAGAGCCACTTCCCAGGCATCTTTCAGTGCCGAGAAAATCTTAGAGCATTGATACCCATATCCAAGATCGCTAGGGCAGATCAGTATCGGGCGATAAACCATCCCTACAGTAGAAAGAGAGGCACTAACTTTGTCCCACCAAGGATTATCACCCAATCATAGGAGGTCTTTGCGCCTACACTGGTCAGTCAATTGACAACTATAAGCTGAATTAAATAACTGAGCCAGTTATACTTACACATTTGCTGAAGTCGAGGCAAGAAGCACCCCGGGGGACAGATTACCTTGTCCCCTGGGAGCCCCTCCACGTCTACCCGGATGGTGTGGGATGGCAACGCAGATTTAAGCCGTGATTCTAATTTCCATGCGTATGGATGGTATTCAAGTCCGAAATGATAGTATCCTGCCGTCAGGGAGTTGCCGAAGCACAGAATTGATAGTTTTTTACTCATCGTGCGTGGGTTGATGCTGACCTATGTGATTGTCAGCGGGTCGAACCAAGGGAACCTGGCGACTTCCGCCCCGCCTTGGCCCGCTCTGTGGGTTGCCAGTCCAAAAATTGCATTGTATTGGAGAATACAATACCAACGAAGTATATTAGAAATTGTCAGATATACGGCTAGTCCCGAAGAGGAAATATAGTACGATAAGTACGATTGGTAAAATGTCTTATTTGAATGAATTGAGCTGGCTGGGCTCTTCTTGATTATTCTCCTTTGGTTATTCTTGATGATTATTTTGTTGTGTGTTCCCGGGGGTTTACCCCGATCTAGTCACATGATTCTGGTCCACCAACGACCATATTATTTGACAGAAATTAATCCAACTGGGAAAGTAGAATAACTACAAAAGATAACTCCATAATAACTACTTAGCAGTACTATTGTATCCTACAGATTCACATCTGTGAGATGATAGCATATAAAACACCACTCCTTACGGGAGAAACCTCCAGTGAGGTGAAATTACAATGACAATACTCCCTAATCCTATCCCAACTATCTCGCCCCTAAGACACATTGATGAGCTTCCCAAATCCCTCCTCCTTCCCCAAGAAGAAGTCAAGAATTTTTAATACCTACTCAGCCCGGTACAGAACAGCAGAAACTACAATGACGAGTCTTTTTCCCTGGTGAGGGGGTATCGCACTTGTGAAGGCACTATGCATCAGTGTGGGCACGTGCTGTTTTGTAATTTGTACACGTGAGTGAGTGACAGCCAAAGGTGACCTGATGAGCAGTGCTTTTATTGTTATAGCATCCTGGAAGAACTTCATTTGAATGCCGAAACTACATAACAACAAACCTACACTATCCTTGATATTATGGCGAAGCTCATAGATGAGAGCAATTTGATGATTGATTAGATTCATTCTTATTCTTGACTGCTTTGCCTGAAGATGGCTTCAACTGTGCGGGAGGTCGCTTATAAGGGCGCTAGGCCTATTCGTTACCCGGTGGCCTCGACACCCCTAAGCCTATTGGCCAGAGGTATTGAAACTTAAGAGATTTCCCAAAGAGGTAATTTTGACCATTCATGAAGCGGTGATCTCGATCACATCCATATTCTTGCGTAGTTCAATAAAGATCTCCTTCTCCAGGGTTTGGTGGGATGTTCGTGGTGCTGGTTTTTACCACTGATATAGTTGAATTTGACACATTCCTGCCTATAGAGGTCCATGACAAAGACAAATTCGTTGTCTAACACCTGGTTGCAGGCGTATAAGCACCCGGAGGAGGATCTTGATTGCGTTGTCACTGTCGGTGTGAATATGCACGGATTTGGTGTGTTATTTTCCAATACTAGTGTGATTGCAAGCTTTTGAATCCATGCGGCTTCCTGGACTGCAGCATTATATGGGCATTATTTGGTAATAGTGCTCACCGGGGCCACTATCCGCTTCTTCCTAGATATCCATGAGGTAGGGATCCTGCATACAGAAGAAGGATCCCTTCGGAGCTCTTCCCGTCTTCGTGGTCCTGGTGCGCACCGTCAACATATGCTTCCTGGCCCTCTGTATAATCTGTAGCAAAATGTATTTTATATGGGCGGGTACCTTGGTAGTATCGAAGGACTCTATTTAGTTCTTTTGCGGTCCGCTGCAATTGGGATTTAATTCTCTACACCAAAAAGACTGCATACTGGGGATCAGGCCTTATGTTAATACTAAACCAGTTAAAACATCCAAGGCGTTGGTATTCTGCAAGATCTGTGGAGGTATTATTGTTTTGCTTTAGCTTGCAGAAGCTGGGGTTCATTAGGATCGAATTGGCAGAGCAACTAAGCATGCCTGCAGCTAACATCTCTTTAACTGCCTGATCTGTGATCCAAAACAGGCTCAGGACGCGGCTTCCACTATCATGTAGGAGCGTCACAGTGACCAATCCCTTAAGCACATTCGCTTTCCTATTTTCCATTGAATAGTAAGGATATTCCTTATCCCAGTTATAGGTGTAGCACTGGGGAGTGATTCTTTTGATTCCCATTCCGTCCTCAACGGAAAGCCTATACCATTCGTCCATAACCTCCGCGGAAGGGGCCGTGAAGATAATCGGGCAATGTCATATTTAGTTTTATGCCCAAGGAATTAGCAACAGACCTGCGCCGAGAAATGAATGGGGCCACACCTGAGCAAGATAAGCGTGGAACACAATCTTCAAGACGTGGAATAGAGACGATCGAGATGTGGTAAAAAATACAGTAAAGCAAGAGCTGTATAGTCTGCAATCAATCCAGGCATGTTGTCCCTGAATAAGAGCCTCCCTCTACTGCCCTTGCCTTAGACATTTAAGCTATATTTATAGCTGTTTTCGATGGCATACCGCCCTTGTGATGCGGAGTTCGCTGCTCGGAATCCTTTCCTCACAGGCAGTCAGACTAGCTGACTTACGACTATCATGGACTCAGGATTGTGACCTGGGCAATCCGTTAGTCCAAACTATTTACGTCAATGTATGGAGAGCGGAGTAAAAGGCGACCTGTTATTGTATCAAGAGTCTAAGACGTGTCTACAACTAATCCAGTTGGAAATAACAGCTCGCCCCATTCTTGATCAACCACCGTGTTAAACCACATGCCAGATAAGCTATGGCACAATCTCCAAATGCCGAAGGCCCATATCGGCGTATATGCACAGCTGGACACTGGTGGATCTGTAGTTTCGGGGAGCAGACACGTCAGTCCAGTAAAAAAAGTGCCCAAATACACAGCTGGCTGATGTGTCCAGTGGGAAATGCAGATGCAACGAGAGGTACGTGTGAGCTGAGATGGTCCTGTGTTTGCCCTCATAGCGTAGCTTACGTGGAAGATCCTAAAACCCCGCAGAGGCCGGCAATCGGTATTGCCGAATTATACCCATTGCAGGACACGCCAGTCCACTGTGATTAGAGCTAGGGCCTGGAATCCTTTTATATATAACCTGCAGAACTAGCAGGCATCCTGGCGACGGCTGGAGAATTTTTGTTCTAATCACGCATGCATTCCTGCAAACACATTCGCGTGATCATATCACAACACTTGCCGATCAGCTACCTCGCGTCCGTATGTTTGCTAGTATATGGTAGGTGGGTGGCCACATCGGTGTTTTCAGCTTTTGTCCGTGATGTTGATTCTAACTCCATCTGCGCCGTTCTGTCTTTTTCTGTCATTGTATAACATGGTAAATACGTTTGTCAGGTATCAGCAGATCATAGGTGGCTCCAGCAGTCAGGCTGTATGTGTATATAGATATTCTCCGACATAGGTAGCTCCCTTTCCCCTACTGTATTGTGCATGTTAATCAGCCTATACCAGCTCAATCTTGCCACTCATGCAGTCACGCCCTTTGAAAAATGCGGCATATGAGCTTACCAAGATAATCAAATTTAATCTTGACAAAGAGGACCTTGGGAATTTGAAATTACACATCTCAAGTATGACACGCAGACATTACGCCGAGCCAAGGATATTACTGGTTTAAGAACGGAAGTTGATATTCAAAGAACATCCCGGACAGTTACTAAATTCTTAATGTTCGCAAATACGCTCATTGTTTATATTCAGCAATACCCCTGGGATACGGGGTGGATTGCTACCAGAACCATGAGACACGGCCATTGCGGCTGGAACAACTACGTGCAACTAGTGAAACTACTGCTTTATTGGATTATGGGAGCCCGGCTGAAACACACTCTTTCTTAACATCTACACAGTCACCCGAAGATCGAGACTTGGCAGAGCCAAAAAAAAAAAAAAAGGAAACTAGCGTTATGGCTGGGTGGGTATGCAGGCGTCCTCAGACTTATACTTCGTGGCCTGGATTAATGTCCACGGCGGGTTTCAGTCGCTCGCGAATGTCCTCACTGGAGGTTGTCATCGGCGTCTCAATGACCCCCGGACAGATACAGTTCACTCGGATTCCGTCTTTCGAGTAGTCGATGGCATTGGAGCGAGTAAAAGCAACTATCGCGGATTTGGAGCCACAGTATGCAGGTAATAATGGTCAGGAATCGTCCACAGGAATACAAGAGGGCAAAATAACAAACGTACGAGCATGAGGCCGTCCCACAATCCCCAACTGACTTGCAATATTAACCACTGCTCCTCGTTGAGGGGACGCTCCGGATCATGACTGGTGGCAACTCTGACCATAAATAGAACTGCGCTGTCAAGGCTTAAGAGACAGCTTGGCTGGGAATGTGTCTGTTCAACTTCTATCCGTTCGGTGATTGTATTGGGAAGATTCAAGCATCCCACGGGCCTGTACAATTATCTCATTATAGGTTCTTAATCCGATCTTGCCGTGCGCTTGTCATTTCCGCAACAGTGGTTAAGCGAGTCTGTGTATCTACAACTGAGAGAATAAATAATCTGAGAGAAATTCCCTTCAGGTAGTCAACTGTAAGACAATTTATATTTTTCGAACCTTCCAGGTGTCGGTCATTGGACTTGAATATTCACCATAATAAATAAAGCCACAGGCTAGTCTCTAATGTCTCGCCGTTATTTCCTCAAGCGGCGCCCGACTATCTCTCCCGCCTTGGGCGTGTTAGGCAACTATGAATCTATCAAAGCAGCAATACTTGCGGATGCCCATAAGAGTCAGAATGGCTTGTATAGAAGTCTTAAAAATCTTTCCTGAAATTGATGGTCTGTCTAGTTAGTTCACCCCATCTGCGGTTGGAATTTTTGAACATTTAGTCTGCATGACTGTATGCTATCTATGATCCATGGCTGATGTAGAACTTGTATTCTATCAATAACATGAAATCCTCTGCATTATTCAACCCATCTATTCTCTTATATAGTCCTAACTTCCCTCCAACCGCATCTCCAATACCTGACAAGGCCACCCCTCAACATCCATTGTAACCGATCTCTTAAACCCCTGGGACTCATAGTATTTCACCAACTTCCCATCCCCACCCCCATAACAATCCACCCTCATCAACGATACCCCCGCCTCTCTCGTCAACGCCCGAGCATGATCCAGCAGCCGGCGACCGATCCCACCCCCAATGTATTTTCGATCCGTCACCAACAATTTAACATAAGCCTCAGGCTCCGACACAGCCGGGACATACGGTGTCTTATCGCCCACCGCGAGCGCGCCGACAACAATACCCTGGACGCCTAAGTCCGTGCTGAAGTATAGCGCCGTAGACGGCTGTTCTGGATCTTCATCTACGGTTTTCATAGCTGTATCATCGAGAACCTTGATCGCAAGCCATACTCCCAGACCAGAGGTTGCGAATTCAGTGACTCGCTCATGGTTCCTCGATTTCTCAGAGAAGGGTGTTGTTCCCCATTGGCCGACTCGGTCTTGCGATACGAGCCATTCAACTGCTTTGTCTAGCAGGTGAAGAATGACGGAGACGTCGGTGACTGTCCCGCGGACGATGATTATGTGGTCGTTTTTGGGGGTAGGCCTTTGATTGTAAGTGGTTGGGTTTGGAATTTTGGGGGGTTGATTGATGATAAATATGACTCAGTGGAATGTATTGTTCTTACATTGTTGTCATTTTAGGATGTGTTTGCTAAAGACGGTAGGAAAGAATCGTTGATTGTGGCTGTGGTCTGATATGCAATAGTTCCTACTTGGGAAGCGTAGTGACTCCAGCGTCAGATAACCCTACATTTATAGTTTAGCGGGAGGGGTAAGCTGACATGACGGAAACCAACGGCACAAGAACAATCCAAAAACCCGAGGCTAGTCATTGTGGGTCAGATCTTATTGACAATTGACGAATAGACATGTCCAATTTAGCAGACATCGTGTAGATAAATGTAGAATCACGGATGACCTCCACGTTATATAGTAACATATGTAAGTTGGTAGAGTGGAAAGAACACCACCAGAGACTAAGTGAAGGAATGAGGAAGAATTAGACTTCACTTGCATATAGTTACCATCGTAAATAGTATCACTCGTCCGGGCCAGTCAAAGGGTCATTGGACTTGGAAATCATCCGTGCTGATAAATCCGGGGGCGAACTAAAGGTAGTATCAAAAGGCCACATTGGTCTATGAATTCGGTGGTGTCCCAGCCGTCTAATATCCTGATCCACGCCTCCAGGAGTCAAGCCCAGCATCCAACCAGCCGCCATATCAAATAACTCAGGCTCTAGGTATCCAATTTTGACAATCACAGTGTCTGTCGTCCCGGGGTTGAGGTTGAGATCTGTGAAATCATGCTTATGATGATACGGCTTTCGCAGCTGCGTGAGAATTGCAAACACACTTCCAACCTGCAACACCGCCTCGATGACTGCATCCTTGTCTCCATGCTTAATGGCGTGAACACGACCGGTCATCGTGACAGGCCCGGAGTGCATATGATCTACTTCTGCCCCCGCTGTGACGGTCACGGTGGCTCCAATACCATCATCAACCATTTTCTGAACCGCTTTCGGCCCCGGAAGACTGGCGTAAATAACTGTGGGACCTGTAGGGTCCTGGAACTCAGATCTTGCCAGCAACTGAGTAAGTCCCCAAGTCACATCTCCGGAGCCTCCAGCGGTAGGGTTATCGCCAGAGTCAGAGATAAAGAACGGATGAACAGTTGACCTCAGTGCGCTGTCGATACATTCAGCGAAGGAACCCGTCGGCGCGACAAACTTGAAATCTGCCCGTGAGTCCCAGAATAACCGCGCCAGTCGCTCAGCGCCCTCAGCGACACTCTTCGTCTCCCATCCGGTAACTACCACTGCCGCGCGATTGCGCGGTTCATCAGCCCAAGCGTATCCGACCCAAACAGCGGCGTCAATCACGCCTGGAAGTGCCTCTACGATAGGCACTTCCACATAGAGACTTTTAGCAGGGCTCCATGCGCGTGGACGTCTGCTCCCCAGCCAACAAGACAGGTACAGGAACCCAGGCCTTGAAAGGTCTCACCATTCTATCGGCAGCTATATTGTTGGGCTGTTGAGCAAGCAGCTCAACAAGGTTGCGACAAGCACGCTCCTTAGTCTCAGGCTCATCTTCATGCGGCGCCGTACGGTAGCAAGTAATCAAGTCCGTCTGATGTGCGAGTTCGCGTGAGACATTCCCATGGAGATCCATCGATGCTGAAACAAGGACCGCAGGGCCGATAACCTCTCTAATCCGGTGGAGAAGCTCGGCCTCGACATCGCCGATGCCCTCCACGCACATCGCGCCGTGGATATCAAACCAGAGACCGTGTAGTGTCGTCGATGAAACTATATCTCGCAAGCGAGTGATGATCTCCTCCGCTAGCTCTTCATAGGCGTCCCGCGTTACCATACCTCCTGGGAGAGCATGGCCGATAAGAGCTCCATGCCATTCAGCTGCATCTCCGATTGAAGTCCCGGGGTGTAGGAATGCGTACTCGTCGATGATTTCTTTGCCGCGCCGGGGGGGTGAAATGCAGGTGCGAGTGTTCGGGAGGGAGTGAACGTTGATGTTTCACATGCTAATCCAGCAATTGCAATGACGGGCTTTGGCATTGTTACTGTTGATTTTATAGTAGGCGAGAACTAGTTCGGTCTCTTGATGAGGATTTCCAACTGTATTAACATGTATGCCTGTGGACTGTGTGATGTCAGTCGTGTCTAGCAATGCCTCGTGCAGCTGTTAACCCCGCATGGCAATCTGACTTAATCAGCTGCGGGGGACTGTAGATATACTGCGTTACAAAGAAGCCAATAGGTATTATAGTATACAGATAAAGTAATATTTAAATATTATTATTAAAGTGAGACGTGTCCAGCCTCGTATTTCTCAACATGAAAGGCAACAACGGCAATCAATCTCAAAGTCCAAAGTCAAGTTAAGAGCCGAGATTTTGGTTCTTATTTAATGTGCACTCTAGCCTAGCTCTAGCTTCTAAGTGTAATTCAGTAAAATAACAACATATTGTACACGGATTGAAATCTATAAGGAACAAAGCCTATGAGAGCTCATGTAGATTCCTAGCATAGAAGCTAGACCTATAGATTAGTGCGAGTAGCATTTCACAGGATTGGCTACGTCAAGATCCAAAGGAACGCCTGTTAATCAGGTCCAGAAAGACTACTCTTCCTTGAGCCCCGTTCTCGTTTCAGTGTGTTCCTCGCTCAGAGTCTGCTTAACGATGAACACACTCGCAATCATCGCGAGACCCGCCACGCACGCATACATGATCCAGATATTCCGCAGACTGGAGGCAAAAGCCTCAGCAATGGTTCGGACCTTTGCAGGGTCCGCAATGGTTTTAATCATCTCAGTGCTCGCCGCAGCTGAAACACCAGTCAACCGTTCCACCTCATCATCCTTAAGCCCGGCTCGCTGTAACCTTCCTTTTTCTTCAGTCATGCTGTTCCCAAACACCACCCCACCGACCACGATGGAGGTGGACATGGCAATATTCTTGATAAATCCCACCATCGCAGTGCCACTGGCTGTATCTTCTTGTGCGGCTACCGAGTGCAGCGCAATCAACGGTGGTTCAAAGAGAATGGCAGACCCTGCCCCAGCGATGATCTGGAAAATGATCAACTCAACCAGCGACGACGTGGCAACTAGCCGGGTAAAAAGTCCTGTTCCCAAGGTCAGGAGGATAGCTCCGATCCAGATTTGCTCCAGGTATTTGCCCGTCCGGTGAATGAGCCAGCCTGATAGTGCACTGAACAGCCCCTCTGCCACAACTAGGGGGGAGTACCATTAACCCGGACCGCATGGGTCCTGCTTGCTTAGCTGATTGGAAGTATAGAGGTAGGTAGTATTCGCAGCCAATGAATACCTAACGAGTGAGCATGCATCGTTAGTATAATTCTGAGTATCTGCAAGAGGAAACTGTCAAAGATGAATGATACTCACAAAACCATGAAAAAATGTCACCAATGAGACAGCAACGTTAGATCGATGCTGAAAGAGCCGGAGAGGCATCAACGGATACTTGGCAAAATACTTCTCTCCATAGACAAAAACAATAGAGAACAGAGACCCGAACACAATCAGACAAATAACTTGAGGAGAATCCCAGGCGAACGTTTCCCCCCCAAAGTTCAGTCCCAGGAGCAACATCAGCGTCAATCCTAGAATGGAGAAGCTTCCTACCCAGTCGATCGCTTTTAGTCCGTCTATTGCCTTGGTCCTTGGATTATGCACATCCAGGTAAAGGAATAGGAGGCCAAAGTTTAATCCGCAGATCGGGAGGTTGATCCAAAAGTTCCAGCGCCACGAGACATACTCCGCAAAGACACCACCGAGAATGGGTCCCAGGCCGCCGGATATTGTCCACATAAACCCCAAGATACCCATATAGAGACCCCGTTCGCTAATGGGCGTTAGCAGAAGTCACATAGTATGATACGCGAACTGACCGGACACTGAACAAATCCGACACAACGATCATTGCAAGCTGTAGTAGACCACCCCCCCCGCTATACCTTGCAATGCTCGACCAGCGATTAACATTTTCATATTCACCGCGGCTGCGCAGATAATCGAACTACAAAGAAACCATAGGACCACAATTAGCAGGATGGGCTTCCGGCCCCATATATCAGACAGCTTGGCCCAAATCGGGGCCGCCGCTGCATTGGCCAGCAAATAAGCTCCCCCAACCCATGTGTAGCCACTGGCCGAATGTAAGCGCGAGGAGATGGTCGGCAACGCGGTCGAAACGATAGTCTGATCCAAAGCCGCAATAAACGTGGACAACTAGACAGTCCGACGGTTAGTCGTCCATTCCTATACGTGGGACGAAATCTTACACAGAGGGCAACCATAATGGCAAAGATTTGAATCTTGTTTCGCTTGACTATAGGATCTGCTGGCTCTTGCGAGACGCTCGTTGTCCCTGGAAGGGATGTCCTTTCATGGGCTGTGGCTGAGACTATCCCATGACAAGCAGCTGAACTTTCCCCCAAGCCATCCCTAACTGTCGAGAGTTCTACACTGTTATCGCCCATTTTAGATGCAAATTATCCTCGAATGAGATTTTCCTGAGAAAAAGCCCAGACGAAATACCGGACAGGGTAGCAGACACTGACTCTATATACTGTGTACAAAATTGGTTTCTTGACTAATTGCATGATGAATACGAGGGATCCACTACGGGTTTCCATATTCAGAGTCCTGATCCTCTCTCGCATCGCTGTTTTTACAATCTTTCCCCAGACTCTGAATAATTCTGAATAATCAGGCGCTTCCAGACCCTCGATGTCGCACTATGCCCGAAATGGATGCCAAGACTAGGGAAGCCCTAAGGAGAAAGGTTCTTCCATTACAGGGATTCACTTTATACAACAATAACTATGCTCTTATAACAGTAGCATCTGTATAATGATGGTTTATATATAGGGAAACGTGGAACTCTTACTGGATAGGCAGACTGCAAACGGGGTGCCTGTCAGGTTAAATCCTGTTGCCTACCTCATGAGAAACAGACCATATATGATACTAGATACCTTATCCTGGAGATTTTTGTTCTCTACAAGCCAGTTAGATAATAGAAGTGGCATCTGTGGTATTATTTCCCTCAAAAAACTCATACAGCAGCATAAAATATACTCTATATCGTGTTGCGTTCTGTCATACGATCTCTGTTTACCATATTGGGAAGGAACGAAGTGCTATTTTGGTCTGTATGGCTCGCCGTACCACTCGCTTGGTCGACTTTCAATCTACGATCGCAAAGGCTTCAACCAACCAACTAACCAGCTACACTAATATCAATGAGATTAACTATTTCTATTTTCCCCTTGAGCTAAACATGCTACATATAGGACTGCCAATTTTTCTCCCCATGCTCCGTACTTAAAGCAGGAACTTTTACAAAAGCCTGGCTGAACTCTATAATTATCCGGATATATGAGAATATATAATTATAGCCTAAAGGGAGGAATGATTTTTTGTTTTTCTCTTCATTATTGTCTTTCTTTTGTTATTGATCTTCCATTTTAAAGCCCATTTATATAAAATAAGGCTTGGCGTGGTTCAATCTACATGCTCCATCTTATTCTAACAAATCATGACAGTTCTTCGAATAGAATGACCATGAAAAAATGTACACAAATTGGACACCCATTAGGTAAAGTTACTGGTGATAACAATGAAGAATAAATGAAGCAATGAAAGAAAGAAAAAACAGAATAAAGGAAAGAATAACAATGATGGCACATGGTTATAGGTCTAGTGCTATCCAAGTCTGGATCATAACCCATAACCGTTCTAATATCCAAAAATATATTGCCTCATGAGTGGCTGAAGCTAAAATTCCTAACGCAAGTGACATACACTCGGAGATATACAGTCACTTTCTTGTCTAACGCACATGTCCAGTGTCATCGCCCTGCGATCACCACTTAGGAACAACATATGTGGTTCCACATACCTTAAAAGACTAAATCGATAGGGACTAATTGCGGCTTGCTGCACATGCTAACTTGTCTACAAAAGATAACATACCTCTTCTATGGACTATGTTATACCCCTTTTGTCACGTAGTTGCATTGAATATCAGTCAGTCTTTACTATATTTAATAGTAGTCTGATATCCTAATTCTATTATGACCAATAATATTAGACATGTCCTGTCTAAGACAGTGTTGCTCTTTTCCGTACTGACATTTTGAGAATCCGGATAAGATGATTCTCTTGTATTGTAAAAATAGTCTACCTAAGATACTAAAACCCTGCTTGTATATAGAGCACGTTAAGGTACTATTTTATATTGCTTTTGGCTCTCTATCTGGCCAGTACCGTATTATAGCATTTGCAAGAGTTGCACCAAGTCAAGGAAGACCAATAATAATTTCTATTTGCTTTAACAATGACCAGATGAGATTTACCACTAGCCAGCATATTTTGCATCGGTTTATTCTCTATTTGTTAACCAGTTAATCTCTCTTTAATGCATTTAGTCGAGGTAGACCCATCAGGACTTACAGGAGGTTGAATTAGCCATCCCCTTTGTGCATCTTTCATTACATTGTGTTTTATTCTTATAATACACTGTTCAGAAACAAAAATTTCGAAATAGCTACAAGTTCTTGTATCATATTATGACATCGGCGTTTGAGAAACAGGGTAAATATCTGGAGCTTTTCCCACTAATGTATGAGTAGTTGGTATTTGCATAAGCAATTAAGGTAGAAGTAGAGGATTTTGACATGCACATACTGCCAGGATAGAATTTTCCACCTTCCTAATCATGTTAGGCGCATGTTAGAATAGTCAGCTTCAAAAGGTATGCTGATGCTTACCCCTTACTTGGTCTACGTCTGCATTCCTGCGAGAAGTTAGACTTCTATGGCCCCTTGGTTCCACTATGCCCTAAATCTGGTATCCCCTGCTCTCCCTGGCAAACTCTGTAGTTTAAGCTAATTATCTTTTTTTTATCGTTTGCTTGAATTTGTCGACATTCTAGACTCCGATTTGAAAAAGGTTATGTTTCTTCCATCCACTTCGATACCAATAGCCATAGCGACGCTTATTAGTGGCATTGTGGCAGCTGACAATGGACTACCTGTGGCAATACCTGACAATGGTAGTTTGCTACCAGCCTCACTTCAGACATGCTTAAGCACAACTGGTGCCTCTCTCGTCTACCCAGACAACCAAAAATATGACAATCTATCTGCAGCACAAAGCAGTAACTATCATCGACATCCAGGAGTTATAGTTATTCCCACATCTTCATTGCAGGTAGCAGATACAATTCACTGCGTAGCCGCCGAGAAGGGACATGTGAAGCTCAGCCCTCGTGGCGGCGGCCATAGCTACGCCGCATACAGCCTCTCCGGGCAAGTGGTGATTGACTCGAGTCAGATGAGGACTATCACGTTTGACGACACTAAGCAGCAAGCTACAGTCCAGTTCGGTCAAACACTAGGTCCTCTGGCTCTTGTGCTGGGACAAAGAGGCTATGCGTTACCGCATGGCACATGTTCCGGAGTTGGGATATCTGGCCATAGTTTGGGTGGTGGCTGGGGGTTCACATCACGCAAGTGGGGTTGGTTGTTGGATCACGGTATGCTTCGTACTTATTGCTGAACCAAGTGTTGAAATTAATTGGTTTTGTAGTTGTGTCTGTGGAGTTTGTTGACATCACAGGTAGTATCCGAACGCTAGGCCCTATGTCAACGGGTGAGGATGCTGAACTGTGGTGGGCACTTAGAGGTGCGGGTTCCAATAATTTTGGGATCGTAACCTCGTTTACATATGCCTTGGAGGTAGCTCCTCCCACCGTCGTGAACTACGGAATGAGATTTGCTACAAATAAGGACTGCGTACATGTCCTTCTAGCCCTGCAGGAGCTCGGGGGTCTCGATGCCAACGACGATCCTAATGGCTTTCCGCCTGAACTGGGAGGGCAACTTATTATAATGGGACGTCGCGTGAATGACGCAAGTGTCTGCCAATTTACTGGCCAGTATTTAGGCAGTAAATACAACTACACTACTGTCATCGACAGGCTTCTTGCAAAACTTTCTAGCCGCGGAGTAAAACCACTGGAGCCTGAAGAGTCATATATACGTGAATTCCATACTTGGAACTTGGCCCTCACAGATTTAATGGGACCTTTGGAAGCCTCAAGCGTTCCGCTGCCTTATTATGCACAGTCTCTTTTAGACAACGGCCGCCCTAATTATACGTTCGACGAAGCTGATTCAATAATAAATGCCTTACAGACTGCCATAGGCATCGAAGGAACCTCGAGCCATATGTCCTTTGATCTCAACGGTCCAGGCTCAAGGACAAATCTCGATCCAGCTACTGGGGATATGTCATTCATCCACCGTCGGAGCCTCTTTCTAACACAGGTTTACTCCGTCCAGTTCCCCGGGTTTGAGAACGTCACAGCGCGTGCCGTTGCATTGGACAAGATTCGCGCTGTAATTGATACTATGAAGCAGACCAGCCCTGACAGTGACTGGCACGCGTATCAGAATTATATCGACCCATATTTGATATCATTCGGGAGGGCGTATTATGGTTTCAACCTGGATCGGTTAAAGTTGCTCAAGCGAGCTCTAGATCCGCACACTGTTTTAGACTTTCCTCAGGGTCTTGCTCATGCTTAAAGGTACTATGGAATCATTGGAAACCCACGTCAAAAAGAAGAGAAGGAGAAGGAAAGCACTTAAAGTTATTTTTGTAAATAAGAAAACAACTCAATATATAATAAGTAATGCACTCAGACTACGAAGAATAGTGTAATATAATTCAGAACAAAGAGTATAATAAGTAAAGGAGCTAAAACAGCCTGCAATTAAACAAGTATCAGGAACCCAATCATGGTTCTCCATAAGTTTATATTCTTGCGAAGTTCATATACTACCATGGTAATGTTAGATACCAAATCTTATAAATACTCAGAAGTCCTTCCTTGGATGAATATTCAGTTCTTGGATTGACCTTGCCTTACTGACCAGTGCCAACTACACCATCCAGTGCTTAGACAAGCCTGGCTGAGGGGACCAATCGTTCCCTCTCCTGGTGATACCTACTGATTGAAGACGTCGCTGGATTCAACATTAACTGTGTTAGGTCTAACCCATGATAAGCCCGGTTTTGATGAACAGTACCATATTCAGCTACGCATTCCAGGGGTCCAACCAAGTGAGTTCCTTCTATACCGACGTCAGATTTCTCTTAATGGCTGCAAGCTCCAAGACCCTTAATGACCTCTCCGAGACACTACTCTACCTGCTGGGTAGAAGCTATGGGTATAGCGATGGGAAATACAATACTCTCCAATCCACATTAATTACAGAAGAGAAGGTAGATGGCCATCATGTCAAGGTAACCACGATCGAACACACTGCAACAGGCCGTAACAGTCGCCTCTCTTACGGCAGGGAGATTCTGGAGCGCTGATCCGCACGAACGAGGGCTGGGCAGTTGGCATGTTTTTTGTCGGCTATGCGGGCAGATGGATGACGTTCTTCACTTGTATTGATGGTCTTTTCACTAATTTTCACTAATATCATGGAAAGTACCTTGACGTGCGCATGGCAGAGGTCTGATTATTTAGCTGTCCATATTTCAGAGAGTTATACTGGTAAGTAATGGCATTGCATTTTCTTTACTATAATAATTTCTGAATATCCGGTCATAAGAATCTCAGAATTGACACCAGTGAGCAGGACCTAAGATTTCTTGCCTCCCATCTCGACCAGTTCAAATGCCTGTTCTCCCTTCTCAAACTTGAATCTGTCGTGCCCTTTCAATAAATAATCGCAGCCGATAACAGCCTATCAGATAGTGAATCAACTCTCTACCCCTGCAAACCACCACAACCGGGAATTTGACGTTCACTTTCCAATCCTGTCTGAACATTCGCACCTCGCATATAGATTATTAATTAACAAGCAGTAAACTTTGTAGTACCTTTAATGAGATCTACGTGTTGAAAGCCTTCTAAATCAGGCTACTGTAAAACTGGGCTATACGACTGTACGAGGGCTCGAATAATCGTTTCCAATACGAGCATCGCGAGTGACCCACTTTATACACAATATAAAAGACAAAGGCACTCGGCTACAGAACAAACACACTTGAATACATCAACATGTTCTCAACTCTAGCTTTATGCTCCCTGAGCATTCTCTCCACCTTCACCACCACAGCAGCTCTCCAGTTCCCCCCGGTAGACCTGGGCTACGCAACCCACGTCCCAACATATATCAACACCACTGAATCGGGTACTCGAATCGGTCTATACAACAACATCCGCTTCGCCCAACCACCCACCGGTTCCCTGCGGTTCCGAAAACCACATACCCCCCCACTGTCCCAACGCGGTATCCAAGATGGCAGGGATAGGCTGTTCTCCAGCGACTGTGTCAATGCGGCGCCGCCGCAGGTTCCGTTCCCAACGATGAATGGCTCCGCATGGGGACAGGAAGATTGCCTCTTCTTAAACGTGTGGGTGCCAGAGGGGGTTCGGCCAGGAGATAATGTACCGGTGATTCACTGGTTGCATGGAAGTGCGTATGCATTTGGAAGTAAAGATCTGTTGATCAATGCCATGGGATTGATGGATTTGATTAAGAGGAAGGAGGATCGGTTTATTTTTGTGGCGAGTAATTATAGGTGAGTCTCCTACTCCGGGATGAGGCAATAACTGATATGATGCAGGCTTGGGCTTTATGGATGGACATCCTCTGCACATGAAGATATGGATGCTAATATCGGTCTGCATGATGGTCTCGCAGCGTTGCAGTGGACCAGGAATTATATCTCTCGGTTCGGTGGTGATCCGGACGATATCACCGCGATAGGAGAGAGTGCAGGAGCCGCAATGATTGGATTGATGCTCGTAGCGAAGGGGGGGAATGAAACTCTTCCATTTCAGAAGGTGAGAATTCTTATTTTCTTTGGATATTTATACTAACAAACGAAGGCGTTCATTTCATCACCCTCTCTCCTGCCCAGAAGGAATATAATAGAGCAACGCGAGGATGTATACAATCACGTTCTAAAAGCAGCAAACTGCTCATCCCTGGAATGTCTCCGGAACGCTCCAGCTTCCGTCCTAGCAGCCGCTAATAAACACCTCCTCTTCGACCTCCACGGCGGTGGAGGCGGTAATTTCGGCCCCGGAATGGGCATCGGTGCATTCGCCGACAGGGAATACATCCCTGATGCAATGACCGTGCTCTTCCACCAGGGTCGATACAATAAAAACGTCAAGGCGGTATTGGTCGGGAATATGGCCACTGAAGGAGCGAACACGACGCCGGATATCACCACGCATGAAGAATTCGCTGCATTCGTCCGGGGGTTTGTCACTGGCGCCAGCGACGATACTATCAACCGTATCCGAGATTTGTATCCCTATCCAGATTCGCAGATCCAGACGGTCGCTGAGAACTGGATCACGGATATTGTTTATGCGTGTAATGCGCAAGCTATTTCAAAGGCGTATGCGAGGACGGCTCAGAGATATGTGTTTTCTGTGCCGCCGGCCACGCACGGGATGGATGTAGACTGTATGTTCTTTACATTTTTCTTCCGCTTTATCATTTCTCTTATGGCTAATGATAATGCAGATTACTTTTACAAAGATAATGCATCGACACCTGTGTCGAGTGTTCCTATCGCAAGACAGTTTCAATCGGAACTTCTTTCGTTCGCCAAAGAGGATATTGGAAAGAGGAATAGTACAAGATGGCCTTTGTATTCCACTGGATCGAAGATTGCTAACGTCACACTTGATGGACTGAAGGCAACTGTTGATCCTTGGGCTACGAAGAAGAATTGCGATATTATTTTTGAGATTATCATGGATAGGGAGAATGGGGTTTAAGTTCGGCTACTCGTACAGTTTCGAATTTGACTCCGCAGGACTCAGGATCTCTTTACAGTCGTTACTTTATAAATATTAGACAATTACATTAGATTGACCTTCAGTATGGACTAGGGCATGGCTACTTCAGATCCTACCTAGTTAGAACACCTAGATACGACACTGATCGCTGTAACTTATGCCAGAACAATCCGTCCCAAATTCCATATCATCTACATTTCCAATGCTCTACGTACAGACATATTAGAAAAGGGTCTATAGGGACCCTAGGCAATAAAGACAGAAATTTGCCTTATCTTTTACCAAGAAAGCAGGGCAAGAACACCTGATTAAATTCATAAAGGAAACCGGGAATTGCCGCTAGAAAGTGGCTCCTGGATCTCTAGGAGAAAAGCAAAAATATATATATATATAATTAAAAAAAATTAAATCTGGAAATTAGCATGTTTCATCCCCTTCTCCAAGGATCCTCCACTACTAGAATGTAATGTTGCCTAGCCATGTTTGATTTTACCCATTATGAACATATCTGTTTGTTAGTTCAAATCCTGCCATCCAGCGGTCATAGAGCATGCATAGTCTGTGACTGAAAAATGCTCTATCATATAGAATAATAATAATAATAATAATAATAATCTGGTCCCGAGCGAGTCCCACTATCTCCTCTATCCCGTGTACGTTGTGCCCTGCGTGTGCGAGCATCTCTGCGACAGGTTTTCCAGGGCCGCAGCTAATGTCTAGGACTATTCTATTTGGGGAGGGGATTAGGTTTATAGCTGAACTAGATGGAGATGTCGGCCGCAGCTGCTTGGACTGTTTCGCTGAGGTGGAGGTAATCGGCGTAGGGGAAGGGTCACATGGGGACAGGCGGCCTCGCGGCCGCCGTCGTGCACGTGGAGCCAGTTAATAAACTTTTATATCTTCCTACATGGCGTATCTATCTATTTATTCTGCAGTATAATACGCTGGCGGTTGATTCTCTGGCAGCTAGAGCAGGCGAGCACGTGGGGATGAGAAGTCGTATTGGACATCCAGTCCAGCACTATCAAGCTATCGAGGTTTGATGGAACGGGCCAGGAAGAAAATTATGTTAACGCAGTCGATAAAGGCCGACCGTCAGCAGGATATATATTCGCATATGCATCGTAATGTATTCTTCTAATCCAACAGAGAAAGCGGTCCTAAATAATTGCGTTAAAGCAGGATTTACTGTCTACGCACAAAGGGGCCTAAATTTACACATGGCATGTTTATTGATACTATCTGGCGATACAAGAATGTGAAGAACATATGCTACATACTCAGCCCAAAGCATTGGGATGAAAGTGAAGGTGTTGGATTCGGTTGTGTTTTATGACAATGCGCCAAATTTTCCTTTATATATCCTACGCAATTCCTTGCACGGTAGAAAATTACGCTACTAGATCACGTATAAGTCGAGCAAACCAAATCAAGACAAATAAGCTCAAGCTCTCTATTACTCGTCTAAACAACAACCAACTCTATAGCTGACATGCCCAGGATCTGTTAATACTCTCACCCACCTCCAATATCCATAAACACTGACCTATTCGTGTGGCCTTGCAGAATCGGCTGATCCCTCACTTTGAGGGGTCGAAAGCTTTGATCGGCTGGCCGTCTTTGCGACCACCGGTAGTAATGGTGGAAAACTCGAATTGAGCGAGACCAGTGTTGAAGTGAGCATCCCATTCGACAAGGAAAACTTCCTTGTTAACCCAGAAAAATTCCTTAACATCCGTTCTGAGTAAGCTGTTTGAATCCATCAGCGGTGCTTTTACCATCTTGGAGCGGGAACAGGTCTTACGCGGAACCAAATCCATGAAGAGCCATGTTGGCGTAAGTTGTCAAACCTCGAAGGCTGGCAAAGATCCGATCACCATTGTCGTTCTCAAAGATCAAGTCTGCATCGCTTTGCTGGTCGATATTAGCTTCTTCGTGGTATTGCAATTATTGTGGCTATCTGTCTGTAATTGACATACACTGAATTCTCCTTCGGTTAGTGGCAGAGGCACCATAGCCTCATTCGAAGTGGAAATGTTCTGCACGAGATGTCCATTGAATCGACCGGTGATGTTGCCAGAGACAATCGGCACCTTAGAAATCATACCGCCGGGCGTGGTCGTATTGGCCGGAAGGCTGACAACCATATCAATGGCTGCAAAAGACTCAACTTTCGGCTGCTTATAGATGCCATCCGTAGCAAGGACATTAGCTACAAGGCAGGCAAGACCAAGGAGTCGGAAATTCATTTTGAAAAATAAAAAAAAAGTAAGATAACACGGAGTCAAAAGAAGCTGCAGAAACTAAAGATCGTTGACGAGCTTGTTGGATAGGGTAAATAATCTAGACGAATAAATCCGTTCTGTTTGCTTGGGGGTAATCCCCCTTTTATAGACCTTTTTCACATGGCGAAGATATTAGGCATGTGCAAGTCAAACGCAAACAACTATGGTAATTCTGGTGCCTATTGCAAGAGTATATTTTCAGTATATGATTATTCTATCATCTGACTAACATACTCTATAAACAGCAGAACAGGATATTCGGAATCTATTCTAGCGCGGCGATGGGGACCCTACCCAATCCCTCTATGCTAGTATATAATCAAGAGGAGGCGCAGTATCGTCTGGAATCGGCTAGGTTTACAAGATTATTATGGATACTTTTTTTCCGGTACTTGTCAGCCTCGAAGTTTTCAAGATTACTGCGTTGAGAGCCCGGAATACAACTCACTAGGGCAATTTATTGGACTCGAGCTGTTGTTCCAAGTAGCTTTGGATCCTTCAAGTATGGGGGGTTAGATTAAGATAGAATATCCACTTATCCTTTTATTCCAGTCCCTAATAATGACTACGGCTGATGAGCTCGGGAGAACTTCGCGATCGCACTGGGGAGGGGGCGATTTCCAAATATGACTAGAGCCAAGCCCTGTTTCGATAGTCCAATGCCAGGTTGAGAATGCCAGTTGGGGAGAAACTTTATTTGGAGGCTTAGGGTTGTTGCCTTAACGTTATCCAACTCACACGTGTCCAAGTGTTGGGCAGTAAGTCGGTAAATTGCATCTCGTACTCGCTATCTTGGCAACTCCCCATCTCTCTAAGGCAGCTAAATTCTTGAGATACATAAGGAGTATACGTATATACTTAAAAATGTCTCCCTTTACTAGTCGATAAACGGCGGAGCTATCCAAAAGTACAGTTCGATCTACATGCACCCTTTAGGTTAAAATATATGCCAAACGTTGCTGGGTGGAGCAGACGAAATTGGCAGCATTTCCAAGACCAGGAAAGTACTCCGCTACAAGCACCATAGCACCATAGTATCCTCTATGTTAGTCTGTAAGCTGAGCCTCCTTGACCGGGCCATTGGTTCGGTATTTGAAATTAACTCACCACCATCCCCCCCGGGGGGCTTGGCTGGGGCGGGCCAATGCGGCAACTCATAATATATCAGAATTAATTAATATAAATACCCTAGGTTCCGACAAGAAAGTGCCAGATATTCGGCTGGTACCGAATAGGAAAGAAGAGGCGATTTTGAAAAGGTCTTAAATGGATAATTTTAAGCTGATCAAGCTCATCTTGATTAAATTGATTTTTTATGATAGTGATGATTATTCTCATAGTTATGTCGCTTACCCTTCTTTACTCACAAGATCCTGGCCACGTACAGCCATATTATTTGACAAGAAGCCAATTAATTTTCAAGTCGCTTGTCGTTCGTTTATGGTGGATTCCACTGGGTCTTCTAGCATACTAATATCGGTATGCTGCCAAGGTCGTTTCCGGCACATAGTGAGTAGCTCGGCTCGCTTTTGGATTGCTATGCTCTCATTAATAATACTGATAAATAACTTATTACAGTAGCAGTCAAGGTCAGACGTAGAAAGAATCATTTCTTTACAGGAAAAAATGAATATTGGGTGGTTTGGTTTACCAGACTCTGAGGTCCTGACAGTAGTATACTATTTGACCCTGAGGAAAATTGCTGTGCCCATATCATGCATATACACGTATGGCGGTAGTTTACGGGTTAAAAAAAGATAACAGATCCCTTCGTTCCTGCCAAGGCTGAAACTCCGTTTCGAATAGTTCCACATCATGGCTTATATTTGACCTTACTAGTCGCTTCATCGTCATGTGGATCCGACGTTGGGCGAGACCATTCATTCCGTGGGCACATGCTCGCCATGTGGCCGAGAATAATTACCTGCAACCAGTATTTTTTCCTTTCGCTTCTGCATTTCCCCTGCAAGTATTGCTTCCAATGCTCTTTACCACTGTATATGGCAATGAACTCGTGATGCCCAAATTTTCCGGTGCCATGGCTTTTGCCAAGTGGATCGTACACGGAAAAGTTAATATCTTTTTCAGAGCTGTCATGGCAGGAGGAAGGGGATCAGCGCAGTTTACTTACATATCCATCATCTTGTTTGAGTAATTGTTGGAGCCAATCCCTTGCACAGTCTTAGTCTCCATTTTGATCCAGCTGCCACACAAAAGAAGTTCTTCGCGTACGTACACCCGTCTCGCGGCGCCTTTGTAGTAGCTCTTTCATGTAAGGGAACTGAGCAGCAATTCCAATGCCAGTTGTAACCATAAGGATATGTCCGTAATCTCCCAGATCCCGAGTGGCACCACACTGATGGGCTGAAGATGGACTACAAGGACTATCGATCCATGCCCACTATTCTCGGTCCGGCTCCAAGCAGTTGAGAGCCTTTCGTGTGAATCCAGTCCGAGCACGGGAAGTACAAAACTGCATTTGCTTTACCCTCCCCGTTTTCCTCCCACCCAGTGATGCTGAACGGATGGGCCTGGAATAGTGTCAGAATAAAGCTAGTCCATATTGGGACATCATGTGAATATATATACCCAATACTCCTCATAGAGGGGTTGGGCAGAGAATCCTTCTGAATACAACCACTTCAGACCCCCCAAATAATCGAACAAATAGATAGAATAAGGCCCACAGATGGTACCTCCAGAGTGACCCGCTCCCCAGCACGCACCGTCCATGGCCGAGATAGACGTAACTCAGCACACACTATATCCTCTGCTCGTTTTTTAATGCTTATGAGCACAGAATTTCTCCTAAATGCTATGTTCCGAAAAGGGATGCGAAGAAGCTGGAGCACTTCAGTTACCACAGAAGCACCCAGACATACCAGAACATATCTTCGTGCTGTCTCCCCTGTCGGCTGGATACATTTCCAAATTAAGTAAAGTGCCAAAAAGGCATAAAAAAGGTGGGCTACCTGGAAGATCTCGTAAAGTTGACGATTAATAATAGACAGAATTAAAAGTGAAAGAAGCATACAGCCACCTGGATCCGTTAACACGAATTTGACTTGGCGGAGAATTTCGTATCGAAAAAAGCAGTCTACTTACCAGAAGACCAAGGTAGTGAGTATCATTTTTTATTGTAAACTGGAATTTTTTTGCAAGTAATAGCAACATGCTCTCTCCGACACTCGCTTTGTGCAGAAGCCAGGGATCTGGTCCTTGACCATCTGGTACACCCACCAACTCAGCATAATTGCTGACCTGCACATATCGAATCCTACAAGGAACCTGGAACGACATCTAAAACTTGATAGAATACATCTTTGGAGCTGAGCTGGTGAAACCTATATCTAAGAGGTCCCAGCCTATTTATTAACTCGCTTCCCAGGGTCCCATAGATTTTATATTCCGCGAATTAAAAAAAAGAAAAAGAAAAAGAGTAGGATAGATAAAAATCAGATAAGCCACTGTGGAAGTATTATATATTCGCATAGTAACCCTAGAAACAAACTCAAATATCCCAAATCAATTCAATCTGTCCTGATACCCTCATAACTACCTCCATTCATTAAGCACAAAGTTTATCATTTCTTTTTTTATCTGACAAAAACTCTCAAGCACTAGAATAATAAATTAAAAAAAGATGGTCTGACAAAATTCAAGTACAGGAATAATTCCACGGTAAAGAATTCAATGTAGCAAAGTATCACATTGTTTAAATCACCTCGTCTAGAAGAGAGAAATTTAATGCCATTTTCTGCCGCACGGAAGTCTTGTTTTTACTGATGTGTTGGACATTGCGTCGTTCACTTAACCATTTGTCCACGTCCATTTCTAGTCTGCTGTTCGAGTACGAGATGGTGACTCCGACAGTGTCGCCGGAGATGTCCTGGCGGTCGATTTTAAAGGTGACGCGGTGCATCTCTATCTGAACTCTTAGTTAGTATATATATATGCTTGTTTAGTTATTTATATATTATAGGTATAGGTGCTGCGGATGGGTAAACCCACCGGGAATAACCTCGGCAGTGTTGCGGTATGACCGCAACACTGCATGAGTATACCAGTATTTTTGCTCCCCGGACACCACGGCAATAGTGTTCCGGAGGAGTCACAGCAAAACGGAGAATGGCTCCGGATGCTTGGAATAGTGGCTCTACAGCTCATCCAGGATTGCGGAAATCACGCCATTTTTGTTCGCCTTCAGTTTTATGGGCTCGGAGGGTTTTCTTCGTGGACGTTAAGACTGTATACATTGTTAGTAGGTGACATTGCACATGCATCTTCTAGGTTAGGGGCCCCAAGTAAAGTAGGACGTACCAGTTTTCTTTGTTCCGTAGATTATCGATCAGTCTGCCTCGATATACCGTCCGCTGGATGCGAGAGTTCACCGAGTCGTCCTTGGGCAGGGTGCCCAGGTCCATTGCTTCTTGATCTCGTCCTCGGTTTGCGCCAGTCCGTAGGCATACAAGTCTTCGATCTGCTTGCGGAGTTCGTTCAAGTCGTCCACAGAGTGAGGCCGGACCTGGGTGATGTAGTTGAAAGGGCATTGGGCGTCCCATAGTCCTTCCTGGTATCCACCATGATGCTGTTACGTGTGGGGTCGGTAACGAGCTGAATGGTGCGCTACGGTGCGAAAGGGAGTATCTATATGGAGGGAAGATAGGACCACGTATATTGCAGAACTAATCGCTGGCCTTCAAGTGTTCAGGTCCGCGGGTGCGAATATAAACACTTCGCACCTGACTAAGCATCTTAGCTAAGGATCTGGCTATCGCGCTTCTGAGCGCTCCTAACAGATGTGGTGAGGCAATGAGATTGATGATGATAATCCTATATTAGTGGTTTTAATGCTAATAGTAGTATTAATTCTGAATGAGGAGGGAAAAAACGAAGAGATCGTACCAGTGATTGAATCGGCTTTAAATGTTCTGGCATAAAAAATCACCAGCCCTACGTGACGATCTACGACGGGGGGGGTTTTGGGAAGACCTTGCTGTGCTCGGATCTGTCCCAGCGTTTGCTAAGTGCGTACTACAATTGGTTAAGTCTTAGCTAATGTAAGCAATCCTGCAAACTGAGGGCAGGCCGAATTCGCAGGCAAGTAAATTAGATGTCTGTACGGAGCTGTGTTTCAATAGTCATGAGCAGGCGCTAGTATTTATTACTATCTTGGCAGTATGGGTGTTTACATAGTAATTTATATGGGAGAGCTCTTACTGTGTAGATTTGCGATAGATTATAAAGCCATATTCCCCAACAAAAAATTGCTTTTGCTTGAAGCTATTTAACCTTTTTTTAAAATAATTCTTTGACTCTTCGCCTGCGTGCCTACCTACCTACCTACCTGCCCCCGGACATTCAAAACCATGCAGGGAAAATATTATTTAGTTGGAGTTTATATCCAAGCGCTTACCTTGCTTTTTATTCTAGAACAAATCTTAAAAGATTAAAGCCATTGCTGGCATGTCTCGTCAAGCTATCCAGTTTTAGAATCGAAAGGCAAAAGAGCGTGGATTCAACCCAGATATTAACCCCGGATCCTTCTTAAATATATGGAAGATAAGCAGCGATCAGGACAGCCCCCAGTGGCTAAAGATACCGTAAAAGCTATTATTGAATCGGTTAAGAAGGATCGGAATGGACATGAAAAATCCTGTGAGATTCTTGTATTTAAAGCCTCTATTTCTACCTCTTCTGTTTGGCGTATTCTTACCCGATTAGGCTTTTATTCTGTTAAACCTACTACCAAACCTGACCTTACTAACGAACAAAAAAAAGGCGCTTAGAGTTTTTCCTTGCCTATAAAAATTGGACGCTTAAAGAATGGAAAAATATAATCTTTACAGATAAATCCTTTGTCTGTCTTGGTCAGCGACATGGAGGCTTAAAAATATGGCGTACAAAGAATAAATTCTGTGATATATCTTGTATACACCGCCCTTGGAAAGGAAACTCTGATTTTATGGTATAGGAATGCTTTTCTTATAATAAAAAAAGGCCCTATTTATATATAGAAACCAGAACTACATAACAAAAAAAAAAAGAGAGGCAGCAAAGGAGATTAAAGCTTTAAATAAGGAGTTAGACCTTTAAAACCAGAAGAATAGGAGCTTATTAACCTAATAACTTAAGTAAAGCTTCGTGAAGGTAAAACTCCAGGTAGAAAGCCAGCATGTAGATTTATAAAGAAAAATAGTCGCTTAGAGAGAGATTCTGGTTTTATATTATAAGGTTTGTTTTCTTTTTTTTATAAAGGTTTATATGTTATCTAACTTCTTTCTATTAGGAAGTTCTTGTCCCCAAATTAATCCCCTTTGTAAAAGAATATATGATCGACCGTCCAAATACTATTATATTAGAGAATAGAGCCCCGGCTTATCGCTATTATTTTTAAATATAGTGTACAATATCCATAATGTACGAGTTCTGGATTTGCCAGGGAATTTGCCTAACCTAACTGCAATTGAATTTGCATGGTATATCTTAAGCGTCGAACAACTTCAAGAGGGGCTCCACGAGAGAAAAAGACTGCAGAATCTGCTTAGGTCGCTGCTTGAAATAAGATGCCTTGAGAGGATATACAACACTAGATTAAGCGATTGGTACGCCATATACAGGTTATTATAGAGCTCGGAGGAATGAATATCAAGAAGGCCGTACAAGGAAGGATAACAGTGACTTTAAAGGTATGCGGCTACGAGGTTATTTATTAAGGCAAAAGGATCTTAGAGAGGGTCCTCTCTTTTAGGTGCAAAAACCTCACTCTTTCGGGTCTGAATAGCTTTATTTTTGTACAAATATTAATCTATCTGCTCCTAGAATGCCGTCTGGCTAGTCATACAAATTAGTATGGGAATCAGTACGGTGGCATTACAGCCAAGACTAGCGTCGCTCATGACTTTTGAAACACAGCTCCGTATACTCATTTTCAAAATCTAGGGCGGGCATGTTATACTCTTGATTTGTTTCTAAAATCTTGCCCTAAGTTATAACCGACTAGATTTTGATGATTTCACCAATTAATCACATTTGCCAAGCCGGAATCAACGGAAGCTTTGCCATATTTAGATACATTTAGAGTTTATCAAAGAATAAATAAAGTATAAGGTTTTGAAACCATATTGTAATACTTTTTTATATCTTAACTACTCTAAGGTAGTAGAGTAGTAGCTTGCTGTAGATATATCTTTCTTACTCCAGTATTCTATCCAAATAATATAGCTGGAGCGTTCGCCGTTGTCGGTTTTGTTACTGCAATCGTTTAGTTTAGTGACGTTACTCCACCGCAACCTCTTCGTGCCATTCAGCGAATCACCCGCCAGTTCCGCCAGGAAGGCTGACAGATCCACAGGTTGCCGTGCTGTGGCGGGCCGCCGAGAAACTAGCCTCACGACATGAGATTGTACAACAACATGAAAATCAAGACCTATAGTCCGCGCCCGACCTGGCATGTAAAACCAGAAAGTGGAGAAAGGTCATGGGCCTATTCCCTACAGAAAATGATGGTGGCCAGCCGGTTTTTTCAGCCCAGGCAAAGTGGACCTTGTGCGGCAGCGTGGAATGGACCAAGAACAGGCGGGCAAGGAGGATAAGGGAGTTATTTAAAGAGTTCCGGCTCCAGACCGCCATTTTATGTGAAGAAAAGGCTGGAGAAGTGGCCGAAAGGAAGGAGCATTGCACTGTAGCGCATCAGGCGTTGCAGGAGCAGCGATTGTTGGAGAAGGCAGAGAGTGGTGCAGAGCGCGAAGTTAAGCGAGCTCAGAAGCAGGAGGCAGCCAAACAACAGGCTGAAAGAATTGCATGAAAGTCTGAGAGTGAGACTATCCGGAAGCCAAATCATAGGCTGCTTCTGCCTCAAAATCCGGTTGTAGTGGCGATAAAATAAGGATTGTCAGAAGCGGCCTCGCGGAACAGGCGCTAATAGTGCAACAACCAAAATAAAAAGAAACATAAAGCCTACTTCAGGGCCTTCAGAGGCTAAACGCTGTGTTCTATAAGGTCCACTACAGAATCTGCATCCATCGGTCGTCGCAGGCGCAAGGAATCGTAGAGGCCGGTTTCGCAGTCACTGCGATCTGGATGTAGGAAAAAACGACCAGTAATTACTTTCAAAAGGGAATATATGTATATAGATTCAGTACCGTTATTTATATCATCACGTATTTTTATGAAAACTAGGAGAGTTTATATCACTTTGAATTGAGAATCCTGATATGCAAGATCAAAATGGTTGTTAGAGCATATTGCCATACATGCATTCTAACAATGGTTGTTGGAACATCGGGTTATCCCTCTGCTCTGGGTGCCGGTCTGCACTGTCTTAGTCAGCATCTGTTATGTATTTGTTAGATATACGGCTAGTCCCGAAGAGGAAATAGAGTACAATTGGTGAAAAGGTTTTATTTGAATGAATTGAGCTGGTTGGGCTCTTCTTGATTGTTCTTGGTTATTCTTGATTGATTATTTTGTTGCGTGCTCCGCGGGGGTTTTACCCCGATCCAGTCACATGATTCTGGTCTACCAACGGCCATATTATTTGACAGTATTTAGCCTAGTTCGTGGGTGCCTCCGTACCCCTGAATCCCAGACTCCTTCATGCTTCCAATAATGGTAGCATGTCACGTGATGAGCTGTCAAACCGGGCCGAAACCCGCCAAGAACCGAAATATACAATACTATACACATCATTACATGCTGCTCAGTGGCGAAAGCCCTATATTACTTGTGTATTTCAGTAATATATTTTCTTCTTTACTACGTAAGCTCTTGGCGGGTCATAAGTACCCGAAAAAGCAATATGGCGAGGCCCAGTTACTACTTCATGGAGTAACTACCTGTACGCTTGGGAGTGATAGACGTTGGAAACTCAAACCAGAATCTCTCGAAATATCGCCTGCAGAATCGCGGAAAAGCCCGTACTTGCCCAATAAGCTTTGAGAAATGTCTATTAGATCATTTAGTGTCAAATAATATGGCCGTTGGTGGACCAGAATCATGTGACTGGATCGGGGTAAAACCCCCGTGGAGCACACAACAAAATAATCAATCAAGAATAACCAAGAAGAATAATCAAGAAGAGCCCAACCAGCTCAATTCATTCAAATAAGACCTTTTCACCAATCGTACTCTATTTCCTCTTCGGGATTAGCCGTATATCTGACAATTAAGAGTCTCATTCGCTCAAAAACTACCTATACAGCGAACCACGGCTTATACAGCTCAGCTATCCACCGGTCGAAACTTTATTTCCTCCGAACGAAATGTCCACGCAGAATACCGTCCTTTTAAAACCCAAGAGAATTGGAAGGAATGGAACACGCAGTTTGAAGGTTTAGCCAGAGGCAAGAATTTATGGGGAATTATTACTGGCGATGAACAAGAGATTTTAAAGCCAGCACCACCTACCGATGACACTTTGGCACCACCAGCTGGAAGTACACGATCAACAAATCCTACCTCCCTTGCTGATCGACAATTTGCTTGGACTGTTTACAAAAGCCTTCGTGACGACTATATTCTTCAACAAACTGAACTAAGCAAACTGCGGGAGTGGATGCAGAAGACTATTTCTCCACAAGTGTATGAATATTGCTGCGATCCAGAGGATTCGATGAAGGAATGGTACGCCAAACTAAAGCAACGGGTGGGAATTGATGATGCCACAGTCAAGAAACTTGCCCGCGAAGCGTATAAAAAGGCCATTAAACCTGTCACAAGACCTCGGGATGTACTTACCTGGTTAAACAATTGGGAAGAAGCAATGCACAAGGCCGAAAAAGCTAGAATTGCAGTGGCTGCAACCACAAGTGACTGGATTGAGGATTTCCTGAATGCTGTACGGACTTTAAACCCGGTATGGGCAACCTCATATGAGATTGCTAAGAGTAAGGATATTGAATCAGACAACCTGACATTCAGACTGGTAGCACAAGACTTCCGAAAAGGTTTGGATACCAAATTGATTCAACAGAGCAGCAATATTGCCAAAGGGTCATTTGGTCCAACCTTTGATGCTGAAGAAGCTAAGACTGAAGGCACGGAATTGAATCACGCACCAAAAGGTCAAAGCTATACCCAGAAGCGCAAGCAAAAGCCTAATAATCTCGAGAGCTGCAATATAGCCAAGAAGACAAAGGTAGCTTGCAAAGCATGTGGGCAAATGCATGAATGGAAGGCCTGTTTCTATCTTTTTTTTCCCTCAAGAGGCCCCTAAAGGATTTAAGGAACGTGCTGTAATTAGGAGATTTATTAATCATCTGCTTCAAACAGACAAGGAATTTGCCAAAGAGGTTGAAGAGTGGAAGAGCTTGAGGAATCAAGATTGACTACTTGAACGACAGATTGGAAGAATTCCAGCTTCATTTGCGACATTACCGGATACCTATCCATTAAAGAATTCAGCTATTCTTGACTCCGGATCCACTATCCATATCTTTAATGAAATCACTCGATTCAACGACTTTCAAACCGCACAACCAGGTGACTTTATATGGGCCGGAGATTCAAAGGTGGAGATCCATGGATATGGCAATGTGGATATTCAGGTTAGATTAGGTGGAAAGAAGTCAATACTGCACCTCCAAGATGTTGCTTTCTGTCCCAAGATGGCTTGCAATTTAGTGTCTCTACGCCAGTTGCATAAGGCCGGAATATGGTGGGATAATCGACCAGAGCAAAACATCCTCCGACATCAAGATAATCGACCGATTGCGCAGATTGAAGACCAGTTCGACCAGTTTGTGATTGAATACCTTCCCATGAATATAACAAGAGGAAGTCTTTTTAATCGCCGAAACCGCTTTCAATCATCGTTCCATTCTACACCAAGATCTGCACGGGCAGATGCATACCAATGGCACCTTCGACTTGGACATCCTGGACCTCTTACCTTGGAGCATCTAGTCAATTCAACTAAAGGAGCAAGGATTAGAGGTGGACCGACAACAGTGGAATGCGACGCCTGCGGGATTGCAAAGCTAAAGCGTCAGGTTAGCAGAATTCCATCGGATTTTATAGAGGGACCGGGTCAACGCCTAGCCATTGATTTCCATGACTTCGAAGCTGGCTATGGTGGTTGGAAAAGCTTGATGCTAGCAACTGATCGGTGGTCAGGTTTTATCTGGGATTACTACCTAGAGGACCGAACGGCTGACTCAATTATCCACGCTTTGAGCATTTACTTGGAACACTTGGGCGAATGGATATAAAGGTTCAGGTTATTGAATGTGACAATGAAACTGTGGGCCAAAAGCCTCGCATTGCAGCCTTTCTGCAGTCAGATCCTTATTTTTATAAAGATTGAGCCCTCCGCACCTTATACAAGTGCTCAAAACGGTGGTGCAGAGCGCTCAGGGGGGTGTAATAAAGGATAAGGCTCGAGCAATGCGGGAATATGCTAGATTACCTGCATTTCTATGGCTCGGAGATTGTACGTGCATCAGTCTATCTTTCCAATCGAACACCTCAGTACCAAACCAATTGGAAAACGCCTTTCGATCGATTCCATACCTACGTTGCGCACCAAGACGGCATGGTAATCCATGACAGAAAGCCTCAGCAAGCGCATCTAAAAGTATATGGATGCAAAGCCTTCGCCATGACCACAGAAGCACTGAAGAAGTCAAACCGGAAACAGAGATTCAATCCAAGAGCGCATATTGGATATCTAGTTGGATATGATTCCACTAATATCTACCGAATCTGGATTCCACGCCTAAACCGAGTCATCCGTACAAGAGATGTGATATTCAATGAAGACGAGCAATTCTCTGGCGATCTGTCCAAACTAGCAATCATGCAGGATCAATTTCGGCAGATATCCATCCAGGACTTCAACCAGATAATCAAGAATATTGAGGTTCCCGAAGAGTCTATGTCGCCACCAAGCCAACAAGAAGAGAGTCAAGTAGTTGGATATTTTAATTCATCAGACTTCCTGGTGGATATGGCCCAATCAGCTATGGAATTGGCTAAAGAAATAGGTTAGAAAGATGCTAAAGATCTGGTCTATCTAACACTACCGGAGACGCCAGAATATCTTCAACCAGCCTCGCTATTAACTATTGGTTCCCTAGCTAGATCTAATCAAGAATCATCGCACTTAGCTGCATGGAAAGCATCGTTTTTAGCTGCACCATTAATTCAACCGAAACGACCCGGAGAGAGAACAACTAAGGCACAATCAGAATGATTGCTTCGACGACCTGAAAAGGATATGCACCACAGAGATTTGCCACCTAAGCCGGTTAACCACAAAGATCTTATGGATCATCCACTTGGCAAGCAGTTCAAGCAGGCTGAAAAAGATCATCTTAAGGGACACGAGGATATGTGTACATGGCAAGAAATAAGCCAGTATAATCCTAAATGCAAAGGCAGGCAAATCCTGGATTGCAAATGGGTGTACGCGTACAAGTTTGACTAGAAAGGAAGCCTGCAAAATGCAAGGCCCGTCTGGTTGTACGCGGCGACCAACAAGAAAGGAAAATAGAAGACCTTTATGCTTTAACACTGGCTATACAATCATTCCGAATCCTAATGGCTACAGCTGCAAGATTCGACTTGGAATTAGTGCAATATAACACTACCAACGCCTTTGTCTATGTAGATATCGATAAGGATGTCTTTATGCAGATGCCACCAGGATACCAAAAGCCAGGTACAATCCTAAAGCTTAAAAGGGCCCTGTTTGGACTAAGGCAATCACCATCACTATGACAAAAGCACTTCAAGAAATCCCTTCAAGACCTAGGATTTAATCCTATTCCTCATGAACCATGTTGCATGATTAAAATGGTGGTATTCTAGTATTCTTCTATGTTGACGACATAATCTTTGCATACCAAAAGGGCTGCAAGAATCAAGAGATACTGGACCAAATTGTTAATCAGCTCCAAAACCAGTACAAGATGACTGGCGGAGATAAACTGCAGTGGTTTCTTGGTATAGAGATAATCCGGGATCGGGAGAAAAGAATTATATGGCTAAGTCAATCCTCTTATATAGAGAAGATTGCTAACCTAGCGGATTCAAGAACCTTAGATATTGTCCCAATAACCAGAGATGAGCTCCTTATTTACACCGGACAAGCCACACGACAAAGTATTCAGAGATATTAGAAGAAGAACAGTTCCTTAATGTACACAGCAGTCACCACACGACCAGACATAGCCTTTGCAGTGTCCAAATTATCCCGCTTTCTTACCAATCCAAGCGACGAACACCATGCTGCGGCTGACCGCGTCCTTTTATACCTTAAACGAACGAAAGACCTAGCGCTGCAACTGGGGGGTGGAGATGACTTCATCCTGTACAGCGATGCTTCGTTTGCGGATAACAAGGAGGATCGAAAGAGTTCGCAAGGATATATAATGCAGTTATTTGGAGGAGTAGTAGGATAGAGAGCCAACAAGCAGGCAACAGTGACTACTTCTACCACTAAGGCAGAGCTTCTAGCGTTGTCCCACGCAGCTGGAGAAGGAATATTTATCAGCAGACTGCTTAAAGAGCTTGGAGTTCAACTGGATAAGAGAAAGAAGGACCAACGGATTCAAATCTTCTGTGACAATCTCCAAACAATCCGGCTTGTGCATAAAGATATAAACCGACTTCAGACAAGGCTTCGACACGTGGATATCCATAATCATTGGCTCAGGCAGGAAGCTCTGGAAGGAAGAATCCAAGTCAGCTACACACCAACAGACAAGATGCTGGCAGATGGACTCACCAAAGCACTCTCACGGCAGAAATTCGAGCCGTTTGTGGATCAGCTAGGACCACGGAACATCTCTGGAATTAAAGGGATTGATGGAAACACTGAACGGATATGACTGAATGTCAGATTCGACCCGGAATAGCTTCAAGGTTGCTGAAATTGGAAGGAAAGGTTCGAATCTGAGGGGGTGTGTCAAATAATATGGCCGTTGGTGGACCAGAATCATGTGACTGGATCGGGGTAAAACCCCGTGGAGCACACAACAAAATAATCAATCAAGAATAACCAAGAAGAATAATCAAGAAGAGCCCAACCAGCTCAATTCATTCAAATAAGACCTTTTCACCAATCGTACTCTATTTCCTCTTCGGGATTAGCCGTATATCTGACATTTAGATGCTACTAAGCGTGGTCCACTTGCCATAGTACCCGCACCTAATCGGAGGGACATCAAGTCTGCCAGGGTAAGGCTGTACCAAACCCATGCAATGTATGACGATCTTGACTCTATGTAGCATGCCTATGCAGCATGCCTATTTTACATGTACGGGCGTGTGCTCCATCTCTAATGCGTCATTGATACACCGCGCAAAAGATTTAAGCCCACCTGATGCCCTCAATTATTAGCATGCTCATAACACCTAACTTAAGTGACCCATCTTCAAGATCATTGGAAAATTCAACCTTAATCTGTCTTGACCCGATTGCCTCCCGTGCTGGTACCAATAAAATGCCCTTGTTCTCCAATTACATGCTAAAGGCCTTGCTGGCCATGACTGCTGTTGTTAGGTGTGCGTATGCCAACCCTCACCCCTATCCATTAGTTCAAAATGGGGTCTTTGAAGACTCAAGTTCCGGCTATCATCCGAGATTCCCTGATGCACGCCTTTCCTCTCCTGAAAAAGTGATTACGGGCGATCATGTACGGGTTAAGGCTTCAGACTTGCCTATCAGTTACGGTCGCTGTTACCGCCTGTCAAGCAGCTGTCACGGAGAGCTAGGTGGTGATGGTGATAAGTGGAATTATCTTAAATTTTGTTCTGGAAACACCCGCAGGCGTTTCAAAGTGTGTCACAGCACAAATACTTGCCAGCGTCAGGATACCGACTCTCAAACTGTGAAGGAAAATGGAAAATTCTATCTGTGGGATGTTGACGGCTCTACAGTGGAGCCTGGAGGGAACTATATTGTCGCCAGGCAGCCTGGACTGCTCTATACAGGCAAACCACCATATGAGAACTACGTCCAATTCCAGGGGTCGAGCGATTGTGACATTGATAACTGGGGGAGAATTTCCCACTGTCACATTAGGTTGCGTAGCAACAGCCAACCTAACGGGAATAATGGATTTTTTATCAAAAGTGATGGTTACTTTAGTACGATCGGTGGCGAGCAACCAATTAGCCTCAAGTTCCAAGAGGTTGAATGTAACGATGGCCACTAAGCCAACTGGGGGGCAAATTCAGAGGAATGTTAAATACTGTGACAATGTCATACTAACTTCTCTGAGCATCTGTCATATCTAAACATATTCAATTGGCCAAGACATAGGGATCTGAGCTTTAGGTACGACATGACTCCGTTGGCGCTATGCACCGGCTTTATCTTGTTCAAGCCATGGAAATTTGTGTAGGTGTTCCTAATATTAAGGGATATCTCCCATCGTGTGATATCACCTGGCCCTGTACATGCAATATTAGAAGTTTGAAAGGAGAATGATGGGGCGGCGGAAGGAAGGAATAAAATTATAAAAAATGAAAACCATTAGCAACCTCAGAACTAATAGTTGTAGTGCCTGCTGCGGCACTTGGCACAACGGAGATACTCCTCTAGGTTGATCAAACACTGAAATTCAGCGTCGCAGTTCATGAACTGCTCTGTCTTTCGCAAGACGTCCAAGCATTCTATCAACCTAGAAGCCTCTGACTCAGTTACGCCTCACGCGTGCAGCCTATCGAATGCTTGGCGTCGCTACCATGTTGACAGTGATCGCAGTCGTTGGAATTGCATGTAATGTTTGGCTTATAAGCGTTCAGGTAATGATGTCTCTGCTGCAGAACTCTCGTTGGTCAGCTCTAATATGGGCCACAGATTCAATTAATCATTACAGCCATCTGGACTCTTCGCCATCTAATCTGGGCGTCTACTCCCGGTAATGGTGTAGGACTGTCTCCAACGGCTCCGTCAATCCGCCAATCTTACTACTGTCAACCATGTCAAGACCCATATAACGAGGTTCTACTAGAGATCATTTAACCTCCATAGCAAGAGGTCATTTCACAGCTACATAAATACATGTAATTAAGAGTTCAGCTATTTTTCATCATACTAACGTACATTCTCGTAATGAAGGCATCATCTTATTCCAGCACACGGTAGCTAAGAGATGTATCTCTAAAAACAAGAGAGTTAGAGAAATAGAAATAAAACCGAAGAAAATTAAGATCCTGTTGCTTGAATAATCCTGAACTGAAGTAAACCGTGCGTCACCGGATAAAAAACCTAACTCCCCACCCAACCAGTTTGGGAACAGGCCACAAAACTAAGACCATGTTTCAAGCCCACTAATTAGCACGAATCTGAGTCGGATCAGGCTTTGCCTGGGGGTTGTCGCTAGGGAGTCCGTCCTGGGAAGGCGTCGATGGCTCCCGTTCGACATCCTTCCAGCTTTCAAGCAACGCAAACAGACCATGTGCACCCGTCACAACCACCAGCGAATCCCGGCTGTTGTATGTTTTTATATCGCTAATATCTTGGACAGTTTTAATAGGATTATGTTTTAACTGTGGTGGGTTTATGCTGTCCGCGTTCGTGTGCGCCTGCAACGGGCAATACAGTGTCTGCCTCATCTCGGACCGTACCGGCTGGTCTCCGGCCATATGCATATCTTAAACCTGTCTAGATAGCTCCGTAGGTAACGGTGTAGTCTAGTCGCACCAGGGGAGATCTGTGCGCTGGAGCGGTCAAAGATAGCAGACCACCTTTTCTTAAACAATTATTGCGGTCTTCCTTTCCACCTATAAAGTGTCACGGTGCCAGCCTTGACGTGTCATTCTGTCTATTCTGACCGCTTTGGCATGTGATTCTGGCTGTTTATCTTCCTGCCTAATCCTGACCCTGTTGTAGCTCTCACGCTACGTCTTGTCTATCAATCTGTATAAAGCCTGACCTGTAGTCTGCCTGCATATTAGCTCTGCTAGCCCGCCTGCCTGAGCTTATTCCCTGACAACAAGGCCTGAAGTTAACGCTAAACTTCAAATAAAATTATTCCACTAATTGAGAAGGGGCACGATGCTGCTGTTGCTAGACCTGCCAAATGAAATTCTCTATCACATTGCCGGATATCTGGCCCTGGAGTCCGATATAAATTTCTTAGCCAGGACAAACCGATATCTTCACAATACAGTCAACCCTTTTTTGTATCGTTTTAATGCCATTCATGGACAGATGTCCGCATTGCTATGGGCTGCAAATCATGGAATAGTCAAAACTGCTCAGAATTTACTGAACGCTAGTTCTGGGGCTCTGAATAATAAACTCGAGATATTATATCATGCACTGTCAATAGCAGTGCAAGCAGGACACACAAGTATTGCAAAGATTCTTCTACTGAAAAAAGGAATCAATCCCAATTTCCAATATCAGAGTGAAGAGGACAAATTCTCTATGACATTCTTAGCAAGAGCAGCTCGAGCAGGACATGTGGATATGGTTGCCCTGTTACTATTAACAAAAGGCATTAATCCGAATCTAGGGGTGAAGACGCGAACAGCAAAGGAGCAAGTGCCATAATTATAATATTATTATGTTGTAATTATTTAACCTAATTCGCTATATACTTTCGCCATGACAGTTTGTGTGTAATTAGATTACTATAAACACGAGTTAGGCCGGCACATCTCTATAACTAGGTAAAAAGACTTCACATTAAATGCTGCAGTAAGGACTGTGGGATATTAATATAAAAATTATAAAGCAATCGAAATAATTTTGGGAAATAAAATAAGGCTCTCGAAAATAAACATCCGAATATATTTACCGCTTTTAGCAATCTTGGCTTGACTAACAAAGCCAAGCAATTACAGAGAGGCCGAAGTAATGCATCGATAAGCACTGGAAGGTAGAGAAAAGGTGCTTGGTTATGACCATCCAAGCATATTTAATAGTGTTCTCGGCCTTTTCAATGTGCTATGCCAACTGCGAAATTGTAAGGGGCCACAAGGTTACTTCCCCAAGTAGCAGAAGTATTACGAAGGGTGCAGGAATATGGATGTAGACCCGACTTGTTCTAGCAATTTTTATTAAATATTTTAGCGGTAAGAAATATGGATACTTTCCAGCTTATATGCTTTCTATATAAGGCAACTAGAACGAGTTTGGATTGGTGAAGTCTAGCAAAGGAAAGAGCCTTGCTGAGAATTACTAAAAACCAAGATAGCGTGATACCATACCCTACATCTTGGAAGTTAAAGCATATAAATGGCGCTTTTTACAATCTTAATATCTTAACAACAACATATTAATAGGGCCTAGTGTCTATGATTTAGGCTGATATAATAGCATGTAAACATACATATATTAACCCTACAAAGAAGGCTTTTTAAATACAGCTGTGTTTGAAATAATATTGTATTATAGGCTAGAAAAATTCCTTAAAATCCCCCTCAAGGCTAAAATCGGGTCCACCTAAGCTTAGAGGGTCGGCGCAATACAGTACAGTATAGAGTCTGTCCCAAAGCTGCTTTGATCTCATTCCTGAGGAAAAGAAAATGAAGCTGTGCAGAATAGAGAGGCTAGTAAGTCCCTTGTAATGAACGGCATAGGTCATCTTGTGATCACTCGTGGCTTGCGATGGGGGCCAAACACAAAACACGGAGAATTCCTGGCTTCGCAATCATGACCACTATTGCTTCCGCACCTATTCTTCTTGACTTGGAGATTAGTCCTTGTGTAAACTACTTTCCCGTGTGGCTACGGCCCTGTACTACATAACTATGAAGCTTGTGATCGGTGGCTCGACTGGCTTTGTGGCCACAGAGCTTATCTGCCAAGCTCTCGAGAACCCAGCTATTACCTCTATCATCGCCCTTGGCCGGCGTGAGACCCCAGCGCCGCTAGTGGCAGGGCCTGCCGCTGCAAAGCTGAAGTCAGTCATCTGTGACAACTTTGAGACCTATTCCGATAGCGTTAAAAAGGAGCTAGAGAATACAGATGCCTGCATCTGGTATGGTCCCCCTCCTTATGCTAAATTGACTATCTTTCGTTTGCGGTCTCCTGGCGATAGAGAACGAGCGAGTAACTAGCCTGATATAGTTTTTCAAACCACGAGAGAGCTAATTAACTGACTACAAAATAGGACTATCGCTGTGACACCGGTAAAGCTCAAAACTGTCCCGTTTGAGGAGACGTGCAAGATTTCCCGCGACTACGCTACCACGGCCATCCAGACTCTCGATACCCTCCGCTATAAGCAGGATGGACCGCTGCGCTTCATCTATATAAGCGGCCATTTTGCCCCCCGCAGCCCCGCTGAGGTGCCAAAGGAACTGCAAGACCACGGCCTCATTAACTACGGCCTAATGCGAGTATGTATGGACGAGGAAGTGGGAGCCCTCCTATCCCTCCCAGTCTCTCTTTCCTTCCTCTACCTACCTCCCCCTATGCTATATGTCAATGAAATGCTAATTGAGGCCGTTCCAGGGTGAGGCAGAGACACTAATCCTCGCATATGGCAAGCAATCAAAAGGCGCCGTCCAGTCCTGTGTCGTCAAGCCTGGGTTTATCGACTCCCCGAATAGGGAAAGGCGGGAGATCCCGGGCCTCCCGCATATCGACTTGCAGAATATCGCGGCAGCTCTGCTGGACCAGGTCGTCAACGGGTTCGAGAAGGACACCCTGAACAATGCTGACTTAATTTGCATTGGACGGAAGGCTTTAACTGGGGAGTAGAAAGCTTGACGGGTCTCCCTAGGCGGCTGATCAGGACACATAGCAGCTGCCGGAAATGGGCATGACCACTGCAAAATTTGTCTAGTTAGGCCAAGGTCCTAGAAAATAGAGGCGGAGAAACAGTACCGCCCGAATCTAGTTTACGCTGTTTATTGTAGTGTGGATTATGTTAAGGCCAAGCTACAAACCAACAGGATATCAATCGCGCATTGGGTATTAATACCTACCCTGATAGGATACAAAAAGCTATACTAAAGCTACTTATAATTGTGAGTTTATATCGTGAAAACAAAGCCTCTAAGGGGAATAGGTATTAATAGACGTAGCAGAAGGAAGCTTGAGGAAGGGCGGCTAGGCGAGCCACAATAAAGGACGAGAGAGTAGCAAACGCCTACCATGCTACGTCCCCGAAGGTGTTGGTTGAGGCTATGTCAGGGATTGGATTAAGTAACTACAAGCGATAGGGGTTTGTCTGTTTAAATGTGATGTTGCATGGTTTATATGCACCAACACGCCAAACACTAATTCACCACCATTGATCCATGCTAGTCCCAGGGGACATCTACTGAGACTGCATAGAGGAATATATACTATCGATTAATAATGCACGGAGTATATTCTATGCACTTGATCGGCTGGTTTTAAATAGAAACTGGAAAGGGTACCACAGCACGAATTGCCGTGATATAAACCAGGGTTTATCAGATATGTGGTAAATAAAATAGTCAGTCAATAGATAATCAGACTAACATACAATATAATGTATTGTCATAGACTAAGACCGCTCCCAAAAATTAAATCCCTCCGCGTCTCTCGATCCCACACCCTCACTCCATCACTCTTCCTCTTGAAATACAGAATCCGATGCATAGGAATAAAAGCTTCGTCCGTCAACTCCGCCTTCCACTGTCCCACGGGCATCTCCCTCTCCCCCAGGAACCGATCATCATATCCAACGATGTAATCCTCCATATCCAGCTCTGCATCCCACCGGAGTCGATTGAGTACGTCGTTGGCAGACCGCAACTTCACCCCCTCGGGCATCGCGACCCCGCGAGCACCACGACCAGAGATGTTGCGTCGACGGGGATGCGATTCACCCTCATCCAAATTGTCGTCTTCAAGGTCGATCTCCTCATCGTCCGAATCATCCAACCCCATGTCTTCGTATGTCCCGCCCCAGTCGAAATTATCCACCCGTAGACCTTTCAGTGAACCCGGCTGGACGAGACTGACGTCGACCCAACTGGATGACCGGTCGAAGTAGTTCTCGTCGCTGCGGATCTGATCCGCAAATGCATTTAGAACTGCCAGGAGGGATATCTGTGCTGATTGTCGCTCGGCCTCACTCATCGGTGTGGTCGGGTTTGTGGTTCTGCTCAGACCGATCAGATAGCACCCTTGGTACTCTTTCGTCGTCTCGTCCTCCTCCATGTTCGTGAACCGAGACGGCCAGATCCGAGCGTGGATATCAGAGAATTTTCGATGGATGTCTTAAACAGGTCAGCCACCTTTCGAAGATACCAACATCTTGATATCCAACATGATAGAACCTACCAACAAGAAGAGACACACATCGCCATTCCACCCACCCGACAAGCATCCTACCCTTTGTCGCGGCACCCCAGTACTGCACATCCACCTTAGCGTAGCTGCGATACGACCGGAGGAAATCCTCTTCCCCGCTGGACCCTTCCACCGCGCCAGCCACCCGGTCCCACGTCACATCGGGCATTGAGAAAAGTTGATCAGCCCGTTGAAACTCTTGCTCCAGCGTCCTAGTCGACAATTGAGACGCCGCACGCGCAACGTTCACCTTGGGTGCATGCTGGGTTAGAATCACCAATGGCTCCCGAGCTGATCGGAAGTATCGCGGGACGGATAGATAGAAACCGGGGTCGTAGATGATATCCTGCGTCCAGTCGAATCGTGCATAGTGCTTGAAAAACGTGGATACCATGTCCACGGCGGATATGGTACCCGTCTGACGGAAGGAGAGCTTGCAGATTCGTGACAGAAGTAGCGCTATGTGCATTCCTCCCAGATACCCCAGCTTGGAGGAGTAGATGCCGCGTCGCTGTGCCCAGATCTTGATCATTCGATAGGCAAGTCGGAATGAAGCAAGGTCGGGGATCGTGCGTTGCAGATAGTGCATGTCGCGCAGTGAGTTGAGTTTGAGTAATGACTGCATTGGGAGGTGGAAGGTCGAATCGTCGACGGGGAGTTCCAAGGCTTGCGGCCAGCTGCTCTAATTAGCCATGCAAATGTATAGGAATAGACAGGAATAGGAGTAGAGTAGGAATAATACCTTTCCACTACGCGAGTGGCAGCACAATACTGCAGATCAAGGCGCACACCACAAACCCTCAACTCCAACATCGTTCCAGACGCTGCCTTGACCTTTCGGAGAAGCTGCACTTCGCCATCTGGGGCGCGTCGCAGCTTTGCCATCATCAGAGTGAAGAACGTTCGCGGGTTCACCTGTCCGAGGACGAGAATATCCATGTCCGACGAGCGATTCCACACGCCCAATCCATAGGATCCCACCGGGACAACCACAAACTTCAGATTCCACCGCATGTCCGCTGGCAGATTGGTGTCGCGCTGGTTCACCAGCTCGTGGATCATCTCGAAGATATCTTTCCGCTGTGCAATCTCGGTATCGGATGGGAAGGCCTCCCACTCCTTCAGACATGTCTTCAAGCCTTCCACGCCTCCGAGACTCGACGGAGCCTTTGCAATATCAATTGACGCTTCTTCCCCTATGCAATCATCCCCGGTCGCGGGATGATCCAGCTGGAAGGTCGCTCGAACCCCCCAGTGATCGCTGGCAAGCTGGTCTGCATCCCCGCTGGGGAACCCAAATAAGTTAAACGACAGAACTTGGAATCCATCGCATCGCACAAGAATTCGATCGTATCGCTGTGGCCGACTGTGGAAGCTTTGTCCGGCGATTTGTGCTGCGAGCTCGTTCGCAGTCGGATCAAACGTGGCACCCTCTTCGCCTTCATATAGCTCTCCAAAATCAGGCACCTTGTCCCGGAGCTTCCCCAGACTACTGCTAGCGGTGCCGCTGGCACGTCCGGCGAAGTAGCAATCAGACAGACCAACCTCGGAAAACATGCCATCCAGCGAGGACAAAACCGACGCGGCTGACACGGAGATCGACTTGCGCTTCAGCGCGCTCTCGATCGTGTACGACGAGGTGGTGATGTTGAAATCCCCCGCCACCACCCAGTGGCTGTTGGGATAGTTCCTGGACAGATGCTTGAGAATCGTCTGGAGTTGGGACCGTTTCGCCATGATGGAACCATCGGCGAGACCACAGGTCAGATGGACTCCCGTTACCACGAGAGGGCAGAATTTGGAGTCGTGGAAGGTCCCCCAGTTTTCCAGTTGCAGTACCACGGCGCCTTTATGTCTTCTCTCAAACGGCAGCCATTCCCATTGGAATCGCCAGCGGCTGAGAACGACAATATTTCGCAAGCTGTTCAACGGACCGATCTCAGCTTGATCGGGGGGTCCATGTGTAGCGAAGGGGTACCGGAGACGGATCGCCTCGTCTCGGAGAAGGAAGGAGACGAAGCTATCGGAGACTTCCTGCAGGATCAGAATATCGGCCGTTGCGGCGTCGGAAAGCAGACTCCGCAGGAGGATAGGATATCTCTCTGTAGGAGGCGGATGAGGCGAGTCAATAAGGACATTATACGACGCCACAGTCACCGGGGATTCGATCTGCTGGCCGCCTTGGAGCTGCGGAGCGCACTCTGGAAGTGCTTTCCACTGTCCCTCACCTGTGTCGTCCTCAGCTGGTGAGAACTGGAATGTAGTTTCTACCCGGGGAGACGATGACGGAGTACTTGATACGAGCTCCCCCTCGTCTCTGAAACGAACGCTTCTGGCCACCGTAAGCTCTCCCGAGAGTGAAATAGTTCCCCAGACCACCATGGGACTAGAAGCAGTGTCCTGTCCCTGCGATCGATCACGAATTAGTATCACCAGTTCTCCCACCTCCCACTCAACGACAGGAATCAAGCGAACTTTCTCCAGGAGGAACTGTCTCTGAGCAAAATCGTCTGCGTCGCTCTGACCGATTGTGAGATGCAGTCGTCCAGGAGTCTGTGGCTGACCACTGAAAGCCTCGATAATGTCTCGTTGCAGCTGCATCAAGGCGTTCAGCCCTTTACTGCCACCATCGGTGAGATACACTGTACTGCTGCGTCTGTGACAGAAGAAGTCCGACGTGTCCAAACGAAGACGGATGGGGTCAACTTCCTTCCGGGCGATTAAGGTAGACTGCACGATGGTTGATGCCTGGGGAAGCATCTCTGGCACCACAAATGGGTAGATCAGGTTGGCATGTGGTGGCCATCTTCCATGTGCTTTGTCGTATAATGCCCGGAGACGGTCGATATCTCCAGCTCCCTGCGATGGAGGGACCACGCATAGGGCTGTTTCGTATGACGTCAGCGGGATAGCCATGCTTAGTTTAATTAACTTAAATCGCTGATATAGAGAGTGACTCAATTGTTGAAATGGAAGATGCAAAGACACGAACAGACAGGTATCACAAATCAGAATACTGTATATGCTTTAAACCAAATGGCAGATATATAAGTCCACACTCCGTATATTATGTAAACTCATACAGTTATTGAGCTGAACCAAACCCCTGCCAAGACCGACAGCAGATCTGCAGATGACACGAGTGAGTGTCATCGTGGCATGACTGGGTAAGACTGTGAAGGTGACTCATCGTGGCGGTGCATGTCTTCATGAGTCATAGTGCTAATACTAACTACAGGCAGATTATAAACATAAAGATTACTTCAAGTCTGAAGAATTAGATATTTTAAGGCAGAGAGCTAAGCGACCGCGTATTGTGTCGACTTGGACGGATGATCTGAGCCATGTTTACAATCACAACCACAGCCACGTTCAATAACTATCAACCGATATCAATACCTAACTCTTCCCAAAAAATCAGCATATGAGCTACATTAATGCTCCGATTTTACCTTTTATATCCCCACGTATCTCATGAATAAAGCGCCTTGCAGGTTTACGCCCTTTGGTTCTTTCTTACGCCACTTCCAAGACATAGTCTACTTATATATTAAATTAGATTGTTATTTTGGCATTAACCACTCGTATTAAACAAAAGAATATCAAACTCCCTTTCCATTGTCTGTTTTGTAAATTAATCTTGTAAATATTCCCGTAAGTCCAGGCATCCCCAGATAGTCTATTTGAACCGAAGCCACAAAAATTCGCGGCATCGCAAGGCAGACTAGGGCTATAAAGCATCAATATTAGGGCGAAACACTCCTTTTCTATAGTTAAATAACATTAAAGGAAACCATTGTAGAGGAAAAGAGGTGTGGTTACCGTGAAGATGTCATGAGAATGCCTTAGCTACAGGGTGATAAAAACAGGGAAGAAGGGCGGGGAGCGGCTATGGACGACTACCTATTGACTCCACCACGATGTTAATTTTGGCTGAGCTGCATAAAAATGGAGCATATTATAAGGAATTAATAGTGCATATTCTAGCCAATCACAGAATGATGAACTGTCTTAAAGAGCTTTAAGTCGAAGCTTGTCAGGAAAAGTCGGTACCTCCAATGTCAGCGAGGGACGCAACAGACAGGGCATGATTAACGTGCTAAGGCAGCCAACTGCAGCTTAATTCCTAAAAAGGCATTATTGATTCGACTTGTCACCAACTACAGAGCCAGGATCTAGTTAGTCAGTAAATCTAACGGACTTGTTATACTCGGCCCATCGCCCCCCACACCTCTTCCGGTTTGGGGCCTCCCTGGCTCAACGGGATTTTGGGCTCAACGGGAAAAAGTTATCCGGTATATTATTTATTTCATCAGTTTTACAACTATATTATGGCTTTAAAATATATTGAAATAGAAAATCGCATTAATAAGGCCTGCACAGCCTATACTAATAAAAAAAAAAGCGAAAATCGCACCATTGGCGCGTGAATTTGATGTGCTATATAAACGCCTACTTGCTAGAATTTAGGGGAGAAATTCTCGATCAACTCGCCCTAGGACCAACAAGGTGCTTGATGATGCCCAGGAGGAGGCCTTTATTTAATAAATTAGTCTGATTAATAATGCTAATGCTTCACCTACTCCACAAATAATTAAACAGTGTGCTAATATGTTTCTTTCTCGGAGTAAAAAAAAGCCTACTGTTAGCCATACTTGGGTTTATCACTTTATTAAACACCTCCCTTCACAATTTAGTCTTTTAAAGCAAAAACCCATAAATTATAAGCGAGTTAAAGTAGAGAATATTGGGACTCTTCAGGCTTAGTATAACTGTTTAGAGATTGCAATTTGCCCGTATAAAATCCGTCCAGCCAGTATCTATTGTTATAGCCAAGCTCAGGATCTTGACTATTCCACTGGACCAAAAGACCACTATATCTGATCCCAATGGGGATCAGATATCCCTAAGCGCCTTATATAGTAGCGCACTGTAATGTTAGGTGACGCACCCACACCTAACATCTATAACTTCGATAAAAGTGGTTTCTAATTGGGTCAAGGAAAGGTATAAAATATAATTACTATTAATCACTATAAATCAGCACATATAGCAACTAGGGGATTAGGAGAAACAGTAACTATAATTAAGTATATTACTACAGATGGTTGGGTAATAAGCCCATACTTCCTTTTTAAAAGTTAATAGTATATAGAGGCATGGTATTATTAACAACCTGTACTTCCAGACAACTATTAAATTGCACCTATATCTAATAGATAGACTAATGATCCAATTGCATATAATTGGCTTTGCTTTTTTTTAATAGATTAACAAAGCACCAAGCTTCAGGAGAGTGGCGGCTGCTTTTTATAAATAACCATAGCTCTTATTTTACACTTGAATTCCGATAGTACTGCCAGGACTATAGGATTCTTGCCTACAGTTTCCTACCTTATTACACATATCTTCTACAACCACTGGATAGTAAACCTTTCCAGGTCTATAAGCATTACTACCGGCGGAACAAGTTTGTAAGAAAAAAAAAAGACTTTCTCCGGGAGATTTATACTATTAGAATAGCTATATTTAAACAGTGTACTATACGTTCTTCCTTTTTAAATACAGGTATTTATCTATTCAAGCCAGAGATTATATTAGGGCCTTTGCAAAAGGCCCAGTCTCCTTCCCCAGAGCTTTAAATCTTTAACAACGCCACCCCTCCACCACCGCTGTTATCCAGTTCTCCAGCTACCTTACCACCCAAAATAGTTACCAAACTGCGGTATAGTATTTAAAAAGCACAGAGAAAACTAGATATTTTACAGGAGGAGCATAGCAAACTATATACCCATCTGGAGTTAATTTTCCAAGGCAGTCTGATACAGGCGGAGGTTGTAGCTTAGCATGGGAAGGATATAGCCCGCATTTTACACACCAAGGACCTTAGAAGGCTAAGGAGACACATCGAAGAGTTAATATAGGAGGATCCCTATTTGCTAAGTATGCCAATCGCTAAATTAAAGCCCGAATAGCAAAGGAAAAAAGAAAGAATAGAGGCAAAGAACAAAGGTGCCTTTAGGTGCAGAGGTTCCTGCACAGTGCCAAACCACCCCACCTAGCCCTACAGTCAATTTACCTAGGGAAAGGCATTCTATGGTGTCTACTCCAATGTTGGAAGATGTAGCTATATTAGATGACCCTGTTATGGTGGCCAAATTGGTCAAATAATTGAACTTTTTGTGACTTTTCCCGTTGAGCCCAAAATCCCGTTGAGCTGGGGAGGCCCCAAACCGGAAGCGGTGTGGGGCGATGGGCCGAGTATTAGAAATTAACTCTCCGAGGTCTCCGAAGTGGGCCATGCATGACATACCTACTAAGCCTACGCACACCGCTTTCAGCACAACGGCCTTCGGCGGTGTGGGTAGATGTGCGACAGCTATTGTCAATGAATAATTTGTCATTGCCACATCGTCAGTATACTCCGTAAAGATCTAGGTAGACCCCAATAACACATCTTGTTCACTGCCAATCCCATCATGTCTCAGAAAGCTGTCGTGATCACCTCTCTCAAACACGCCGACCTCGTCAGTGACCGTCCTCTCCCCGTCCTTCGCGATGACTATATCCTCGTGAAGACCGTTGCGGTGGCCCTGAACCCCATCGACTGGAAAAATGTTGAATACATCGCACCCCCAGGCGTGCTTGTCGGATGTGACTATGCCGGCATCGTTGAAGCCGTCGGCAAAGACGTCAAGAAACCCTTCCGCAAGGGCGATCGCGTCTGCGGCGTCACCCATGGCAGCAACGCCGTGTATCCTGAGGATGGCGCCTTCGCGGAATACATCACCGCAAAGGGGGATGTGCAAATGCTGATCCCAGACAACCTTAGCTTCGAAGAGGCCGCCACCTTGGGCGTGGGCATCAGCACCGTCGGACAGGGGCTGTATCAGAGCCTGCAATTGGCGTGGCCCACGGAGCCCATCACCCAGTCGCCTGCTCCGTTTGTGTTGATTTACGGCGGGTCCACTGCTACAGGCACCCTGGCCATTCAGTTCGCCAAAATTTCGGGATACCGAGTCATCACTACGTGCTCCCCGCGTAACTTCGACTTAGTAAAGAAGCTGGGGGCCGATGCCGTCTTCGATTATCGTGACCCCGCCGCAGCGGAGGAGATCCATCGGTTCACAGGGAATGAACTCCGCTTGGTCCTGGACACCATCGCATTGGAAGACAGTGCCAAGTTCTGTGACAAGGCCATTTCCACAGACGGAGGGGATTATTCGGCCCTGTTATCGGTGGAGATCGCCCGCGAGAATGTCCGCAATCGTTGGACACTAGCGTTTTCCATTTTCGGTGAGGAACTCAAGTTCGGTAACTCATTGTTTCCGGCCAAGCCGGAGGATAAAGCCTTCGCGGAGAAGTTCTGGGCCAGGCGCAGAAGTTGCTCGCAGAGGGCAAGGTCAAGCCACATCCGGTTTCTGTGCGGAGGGAGGATTGCGAGGCGTGTTGGAGGGCATGCAGGCAATGAAGGAGGACAAGGTGAGTGGAGAGAAGCTGGTGTATCGTGTGGGGGAGAGTTGATTCGAAAATTATCCTGTTCGTCTTCGAGAGGCTAGAATCACAGTAATTAGATCAAAGGGTAAAAATAATATATCGGTTTAGACTACACCGGGACTCGTGACTGACATTAGAACCTGTGTCGAAAGCCATCATCCATCCAGTCGTCATCCTCTATCTCCATCATCCCCATCGCAGCAATTCACTCGTCGTCCTCATGCCCATCCTCATCTTCGTTCTCTGTGGTCTCCCAGTCCTCCTGATCGAGATCTTCGCTCGATCAGGTCATACTTGGACAGGATAATAGACTCTACGTATCTTTCATCTTACCGTTAGCTAAAACCAGAATAGATGAGCAGATCACCGTAGACTGCACTCACCTTCGGATGCACTCCAGTCAGCTTCATCATTCATCTTTTCCTCGGACTCGTCTCGTTCCCGTTCTGCTCATTGGCTAAGATCTTGAGCCAGATTTCGTGGAATTTGATCTCTTTTTCGCTGGGAGGCATTTTAGTGATGGGCGCTGTCACTGGTACTCTTCACGTCGCTCCATTCTTTCTGAGGAAAGACGACCAAGATGCGGTGTCACTATGACTAGTATTGTGGTCCATGGATCGTGTTAAGTAAACCTGTCTATTTACGTATGCGTATTATTAATACTGATGTGTATTAAAATCCAGCGCTATAAGAATGGAGGATATAATAGAAAGAGGAGAATAAAAGACAGAGTATAGAGGACAGAGAATAAAAAAGATAGATATAGTTCATGCCTCAGGCCAGAGCCCCGCGCTTATCGATAGCAAAATTATGACTCCATCCCACTTCCAACTGCATCTGCACTCCAACTACTTCATCACCTTCATACAGCATGTTCGCCCTCACCAACACTGACCTCCAAGGCGCCCTGCCGCTCATTGCACGCGGCAAGGTTCGCGACCTGTACGAAATCGACGCCAAGACGCTCCTCTTCGTCGCGTCGGATCGCATCTCCGCCTACGACGTGATCATGGAGAATGTACTCACCCCACCAATTGCACTCTTCCATCCAATGGATACAATAAATTGCCTGCTAACAGACCAAGGGCGTCCCCGACAAAGGCATCCTCCTCACCCTGTGTACCCGGAAATGGTTCCAAATCCTAACCGAGGCGATCCCCTCGCTGCGCACCCACTTCCTCACGCTAGATCTGCCACGACAGATCCCCGAGTCGCTGCGTCCCGTCCTCCAGAACCGGTGCATGCAGGTGCGAAAGCTCAAGATCTTTCCCATCGAGGCTATCGTGCGCGGCTACATCACCGGCTCCGCATGGAACGAGTACCGTCAGCGCGGCACCGTGCATGGGATCCCCGTTCCGTCGGGATTGCAGGAGAGTGAGGCCTTCCCTGATGGTCCGATCTATACACCTAGTACCAAGGCGGAACAGGGGGAGCATGATGAGAATATTCATCCTGATCAAGGTGTGTAAATGATCTTGTCGACCTTATCTATCTATAATGGCCCGTGGATGGAGGGTGTGTATACATGAATGCGGGCTAAGTGTTAGCTGTTGCGATCGTCGGCGAACCCTACGCTTCTATTATCGCGTCGTTGGCTGTGCAGCTGTATAAAACGGCGCACGCGTATGCGTTGGAACGTGGTGTCATTATCGCCGATACCAAGTTCGAGTTCGGTCTGGATGAAGAGACGAATGAAGTCGTTTTGGCTGATGAGGTGCTCACCCCCGATTCGTCTCGGTTCTGGCCCAAGGATCAGTATGCCATTGGTCGCGGCCAGGACAGCTTCGATAAGCAGTATCTTCGTGATTGGTTGACCCGCGAAGGACTGAAGGGCAAGCAGGGCGTTCAGATGACCGAGGAGGTGGCGTTGAAAACGAGCGAAAAGTACAAGGAGGCGTGGGAGAAGCTGACGGGTGGGAATTAAGCTCAGGCTAATTATTAATTTCGGACAAGTCATAAAATTTTGCCAATGGTATATGAAAATCATACAAAGTATCTACAGTGTGCTCATTTTTCCCATTCATCACGCAGCCCCTTCAACCCCTTGGCTTTCTGTCCTGCTGGCGCCGTATCCTCCCTGTGCTCCGGCTTCTTAGCTGTCCCTCGCCAGCCTGTCTGAACCCCCATGTCCACTGGCAGAGCGTCTGTACCACAGATTCGTCGTTCCTCGTCAATCTCGCTCTCGCTCATGCCATTTGTGGCCCAGATCCGATGGATCCGCAGGTCGTAGGGACCCTCTACGCGGTCCGTCAGTCCAATCCCCACACTCTTTACCCGCTGTCGTAGGATGGAGGTCTGTGGCTCGACCACCAGGCCGTGGTTGGTGCGCACGAACGAGTTGAACGGAAGCAGGATGGTTTCCCATCCAGTGGAGCCGGACGTGGTCGTAGTCGTGGTCGTGCTAGCTGACATGATGGTCGACTCCGGGGGAACATCCGAGAGGGAGGCGGGGATACCTTCGGGGTACAGAGTGTCAGCGAGGTCAGGGTCCTCAAGGGCCTGTGGCAATGAGTGACGAGAACGAGAAGAGTCCTGCACCCGATGATGGCGCGTGTACAGTCGGTGCTGGTGGATATCGGTCTCCACGATGGAGTCGGTCTGGATGTTCACGGTATACCGTCGGCCGTCGGACTTTACCCGTAGCGCTAGGTAGGAGTACGGATCAACGTCCCAGTAGAGTCGGCCGAAGAGCCAGAACCCCCGATCCTTATTCCGAAAGGCTGCGTATCCTATTTCCGACGTCGTCAGCTCATGTCCGCCCCATTCAGTATGCCGGCAGGTTTTTACTCACCTGTTCTTTCCACCCGCCAGTTGTTGGGAAGTCTGGTCGAAATGCTTCCATGGAATCTGGCATGTGGCGGTATACTAGAGGAGGGATCGCCCGGAACGAAGTCTAAACTCGCAGTGCTGAATCCACCAACTGCTCGGTCAGCCATGGTCTTGCAGCCTGCAACGGCTGACTCGTCTTCAAAGTCCATAAGGACATAGGGCTTGGTAGGCGTGTGTAAAGCTTCCGAGTTCCAAGCTGCATATGGTCAGCATCAGGGGCAATTCAATGATATTGTGAGGCGACTGCTGGCCTAAACCGGTGTCGGACTGGGCGAACCTATTCTGGACAAACGACTTAGTTCCTCTGCACTGCGTTTCATGAACCCAGCCGGTTTTGCGGCCAGGCATCGTGCGGTGGGAATCATAGTGTCGGATAAGGGGAATTAGAGCCACTGGCAACGAGATAGATCCCCTGATGGAGGAGCGAAGGAGAGATGCAGATTCGGCCGCATGACGTCGCCGGTGTCGATCACTTTCACCGCCTACCGCTTCTGATAAATCTATACTATACCACAAGCATTGAGGATCTCAGAGTTCCATCATGCTGTGGAGCGACTACCTGCGGATTATTTGAAGCATGAGGCGTCAGTATTGTTCATTGACTATGCAGGGAATGACGAAGAGTCGTGCATAGTCTGCATGTGTGGTGATCGAAGGGAGATGGCGTAATCAATCGAAAGCAACACTCCAACGTCAGTCCAGTCTCCAGGGAAGAGGTCATAATTGTACGCTGTGAATTGCGTCAATCAAGAGTATACCGGTATTGAATCTCAATGAAAATAGGTATTGTATTTATGCCCGCCTGTTTGCACAACGTCACCTTTCGTCAGCTAACTATTTATATAGGACGGTACATAACTCGAGTCTGATCTAATTCCTACTTATTTCTATTACTTTCCTATTCCGCACTAAACAATAGAGAAGTCCATATAGCATCTGTCGTTAACGAATCCCTGTCGGGATCAGAGTCTATGAATCATTTCCTATCACATGGCTCCCATTACCACCAACGCGTCTCATAGACACCCAATGGAAGAACGAGGGCGCATTTAACCTTCGAAGGTCAATTTCTTCTTGTCAGATTGGCATCATCTAGGACATCAATCTGACGACACGCTCTCAACGGCAAGCATTACGACTCTGGCACTCATTGTCCTCCTTTTCTTCCTCATCCATCTTCTCCTTTCCTTCCTCCTTCTCGCTAACCTTATCTATATGACAAGCATTTTATACTCTTAAAGATCCAACTCCATCAAAGATAGATTCCCATTGTGGTACACACCAAAATGACCAACCAAGTCTCCCCAGACTCCGCAAACTCCTCATTCTCCCCGGTCCCCCACTATCATCTCGTCCCCTTCATCCCTCAATTCCCTCACTATCTTAAAGTCTCCCAGTATTCCATGCCTTTGACCCCCCTGACGAACGAAAACGCCCAAGATTTCCTTCCGCGCGAGGCCCGCATTTTCGTTGGGAAGTAAGTCTATGCTAGTCTGATAACATAAGAATACAGAAAGTAACAGTACGAATCTAGCCTACCCGTCTGGCTGGAACATGATGAAATGGTCCAGAGTCTGCGAGACATTTTCAGCCGTTTTGGACCTTGCTATATAAAGTTCCGGGAACATATGTCGAAACCCTCGGCATTTGTGCAGTTTCCGGTACGTTTTATAGAATATTACTCTGTATAATGCGCTACTAACATCCCACGCAGGAGGAGTATCAAGCTGGAGAAGCTATCCAGCATAACAGACAGATTTTTTTGGAAGGCAGGCCTCTGAGAATTGAGCCTGCCAACGGGAGAGGTGAGTCCATGCCAAATTCTAAAGCCTGTCGCAGAGAGTAATGTCTGTTCGTAGGGCTTCGAGATGCCCACCCACCTTTCTCCCCTGTACCCATTTCCCGGTATAGTACGTATAGTCCTCCGGCTTCTCCGGACTGGGGCTACCAGCCACAGCCACAGTCAATGCCAATGTCAATGCCAATGCCAATGCCAGTGCCAATGCCAGTGCCTCAGCAGGGACAGATGCCGGCGCCGGGTTATGAGTATTATCCTTTTGCCGGACCACAGATGCCGGTGCCGGGTTACGAGTATAACCATTATTTCGCACCACCTCCAGTCTATTACAATTCGTACGGTAAAGATACTGATGGTAGGTGGGGTCAGGATCAAGGCTGGTTTTGATACAAAAAACATCAACATAGTTTCATTTTATACCCTCCCAACACGGAGAGACCACATGGTTTGTGCTTCATGCTAGGAGTAAAACCATTAATACATGGGTAATGTTTATTTAATAGCAATTCCTCCCTCATAACCAGTTTTATTTCATCCAGGAAGCAGTTCTGGAAGTGATTTAACTTGCAGTTTTATCTTCCATTTAACCACTTGAGTTGACATAGTTCTAGCATAACACAACAGACAATTGATAGATAGCATCGACTAGGCCAATTTCCTAAGCATTGCCAAATCTCTACCTATGCATATGCATTTAGGATAACGCCTCCCTATACAGCAATCTTGCTTCGAACATGACCCTGTTGCAGATACCAGTAGTGATTCTCGACAATCAACCTGACTTACAGGTGAGTCATCGACAACAGAGGGATCATCTAGATGACGAATTGATACCGACAGAATGAATTACCCTACAGAGAATTCATACGAGGGAACCGGTTAACTGACCTATTCTTTCTAATCTAGTGGACCATGTAGGACATTCCTCTGGAAAGTATTTCCTGCTTCTCAGCATCAGTATAAACACAAACGTTATCAAGGAGTAAGGTTCCATGGATCCAACAGGGGATGATTTTCATCTAGTTGGGGCCAGGCTGGCAAATCCCCCAGATTCTTGAACAGTCAAGGATACGTCAGCTGTGGAATCGGATCTACGCAGCAACTACTGATGGACGTCAGACTTAGGTTAGACTATATTTTCTATGGTTGTTTTATTCGTTATGTATGTTTCCATATGCACTATCCTTCCTCTATAATTTTCATACATTTATTAACTATTTGCACCTACTATGCTTTATCTAAAGGTATCTATGTGGAATAATAAATAGTGGCTGTAGTAACGTTCGAGCTGCGATAATTAAGTAATTCATACATAACAGTAGGCACAGATTAGGCTGTCCTCTGTTCCAGGACCAAACATGGATACGGAAATCCATCAGAGAACTTCATGGACAATGGCTTTGTTAAGCCCCGACCCAACTGCCGCGAGTCTGTGCCATGGATCGTGGAAGTCTGGAAAGGATCCAGGAAGTGCAAGAGGCTAGACTGTTCCATAGGTTGTCTTATTTTCTTACCGGCTCGACTACAAAGGACAGTCTTATTTCAAGAAGTATGATGCGATGATTCGATCCTGGTACCCAACGCCGACTCTATATACAATGTCCCAATTCCCGCTCCACACATGATCCGTATCACAGGAAGACAACCATCGATGAACCCGCTATGACCATCGCAACGTATGCGTAACAGGAACTATAACGATACAAGACAACCAAAATCATACGAATGCGATACAATTTCAGGCCCGGAATGCAGCACACGCCATCGAAAATAAAAGCTATATGCAAAAATATGGTATCAGGCGCCAAGGCAAAAGTAAACAACAGAAGGAGAGGTGATAAAGATCGACAAGTCGGGAGAAATAATTCGAACTATATACGCCAAAGTCAAATAGAAAATCAAATCAACATAGATGAAAATGCTACGCTCGGACGCGTCGAGCGTCAAAATATTTCAGATTCACTGCAGTATCGTTGATACCAACAATCGGTGCAGCATCCTCCAGGAGTTCCCAAGGCCGGACCGGGTAGGGGCCCATGACCCGGCCACGGAATTGCAGTCGAAGTTGACTAGCAACACAATTGACGCCTTCTGAAGGGCCATTGGCCACCCCCGTGGGAGCTGGTACTACCGGCTGCTGAGCAGCTGGTCCGCCTGGCAGCGATCCGGAAGGAGTCGGGGCAGGAGTCGAGCCACCGGCTGCTGGCGAAGGGAGAGAAACCGGTTGAGCGGTATTTGGTGCGGGTAAATCAGTCGTTGGACCGAGGAGATACAGAAACCGCGGATCATTTTGATGCTGAGTGAAAGGAGGGCATCTCTCCTTAAGGAAACGTGCACACTGATGCCGAGACTCGTCTGAGAAGATGTCAATGAGGGAGGCCGCGACATCCAGAGCATGGGTTTGCAGCAGGATTCCGGGGCAAGGCTGGTAGCCTTCGGAGGGAACGCGGCGAGGAAAATAGTCGGCCACCGGAAAGAGCCGTAATACGTTGTCCGGGAGGCGCGCAAGGGAGATGCTGAAAATAGAGACTAGGAGACGAGATTGCTCTTGGATACCGTTGTGCCTTGGCGCAGGAGACGACGCGTTAAAGGCTGCTCGATGCATGACAACCATCTTGAGCAGCGCAGAGAACCAGAATGCCAGAGCTCTTTCAAAATCCAAGCGGAACTGGGCTAAGTTATCGGCGGGGGACCCGCCACTATTTGTTGCCACACTATTGAAATTGGTTTGCACCGTGACAAGTTTGTGGAGAAGAACATCCATCTTGTCCACGAGAATTGGGGCAATGGATGGCACACCAGCCTCAGGAATGCTGTACGCCAACTTCTCAATAATTGCAAGGTACAGTTTTGCGGTTTCAAGAGACCCTGTGCCGGCCCCAAGCACATCATTGTCAGGTGACTCCTCGAATAAGGGAATGGACAGGAACTCCTTCTCTGCTCGTTCTCGGATCTACATCGATCAATACAAGGCCTTCGCACAATTTCATGTCTCAGCATACCTGGCGTATGGCATCTTGGCTCATCAGATCCACAAGTCCAGCCCAGTTAGTGCCTTTCGAGCGAGATTCATTCACCGCAGCATTAAACATCACGTCTACAATGCCGTCCTTAACATCTTCCCCCGATTCGGCGTTGAAGAGCATTTGGAGTTTCAATTGGCAGAAGGGCAGTGAAAAGTCATCCGTCATATGAATGACTCTTTCAGCCTCGGATATACATTGTGGACCTGGTATTCTGTCAGCTAGGGCGCTACGCCAGTCTATCACAGCATACATACCGGACCGAGCGTCAGACTCCAGGAGCATACCAATCGCCTTTTGTAGAATTGTGGTTGTAGCCTGTTGCCCAGTGAACTTTTCCAGGCAATGTTGAGCGACCATCTGGGGATCCTGTGTAAGCATAATGTGCAGCAAACCTATCGCACGGCGTGCGAGGTTCGTCCTTTTAGAGTCAAATCCGGTTTCTTCATGTCGTGCATCAATCAAGACCACAGCATCCTGAATAATATCCAGGGTCTCCTGTGGGTGTTTAACACGAAACTCTTGTTGCACAAGGTAAAACCGATAGGTAACCAAGTCGAAATACCGGCCACGCTCAGGTTCCGGTGGAATAAGGAGCTCCAGGAGGTCCATTCGTAGATCACCCAATTTTGGGGCAACTGAAGCCACCCGTTCGGACTGCAAAAGCCTTTTTACAAGGAGCAAAAACGCATGGATTGTAACACATCCCACCCCAATAAGGGGAGGAAGGATGCGGGTCATGATACCCGGTGGCGAGGATTTGAATAGCCCGCAGATCCAGCGAACTAACATAGAATCGAAATGCTTGGGATGGAAAGGCCTCAGGTATGCCAGGTACCTACAAGTCTCATTTGCGGACAACTTATCCTCGTCTTTGGTATCCGCTAGGGCCTTCGTAAGTGAATTAAAAAACGTATCCATCGTTGGCTCATCTATGCCATTTCCAGAGGACAGTATTTGGTCCAATTTCTCCTGGTACGAGCGATCGACTTCACTGAAGCTTAACGGAATGATATCTGAGAGTGGAGAAGGCGCCGCCAAAGCAGATTTGCTATCGATACGAGAAAGATCCTGGCGGAGGAGAGCAACCGTGTTGAGTTCGTCGGGCAGTCGAAGTCCAAGCTCAATGAGGGAAAAGACCAAATCCAGACTTGGCATGCCTAGTCTTTTAATACGAGAGTATGAATCAACGAGTCCCCGGAACAGGTCAGTTGTCGCACCGATAACGCAGAAGGAATCAAAGTGATAATTAACGGTGTCAGCAACAGATGCAAGAACAACATTATCTTCGCAGTTTGTAGCTTGTTTGAGAACATCTGCAAGGATAGACAGATCCCCGAAGCTCTCCAGTATATCTCGTACGCTGTAAAACTCAACAGGGGTGAGGGCTGAAACATTGGACCCAGCGAGAAAAGAACAAGCACCGTTTTTCCTGAAAATGTTAATATAATTTTCCATTCGAAAAACCAGAGAAAGCTTACCTGGGTGGGTCACGACTATGTGCCGCAACCCCTCGTCGAATCCACTGGCCAATTTCTGACTTGACTGCCCAAGTCAAGTCTTGTCGTTGGGTTCTATCCATTATCATATCTGTCAGCTCAGCTCCAAAAATATTGGGAAGCCGCTGAGCAACGGAGGCTTTCAGCTCCATGATAGTAGTCTCCTCGTCCGCCACTGAGATGCCGGCACGGTGGAGGAGAGTGTTGCGAAGGTTTCGTAGGTGCTCTGGCAGTCGAGTCGTTGGAAGTTGTTTCAACAAATAAAGGTCATCCGGTATCACCTGTATTCAATATTAACGGTTGTCCCTAAAAGTGGATCAGAGCACATCTTACCTCATGCGTATCCGGGTGGACATCGCTTGTAACGCCCCGTGCCATCAACCACTGCAGGTATCTCCCAACCGAGAATGTCTGAGACCTAACAAGCTCAGAAATGATGTGATATATGTTGTCCATCTTTAGTGGAGTAGTCGCTCGAACCCCAGCAAGAAACGCAAGGATGTATGAGTCGATATCGATTCCAGACATTTTCCACTTTCGCAGAAGGCGAACGCCAGTATATACACGGCAAATGCCGTAACGGCATGGAGTAGCAGTCCACTCCAGGAGCTTGTAAACTAGAACAGTTTTGTCTTCGATCGTCTTTAAGCATTCGCAAGAGGCGGAAGAGATATCATTTGCGGAGCGGATGGAATCAAACAGGTGGATGGCACGTTGCTGTGGGGAACGGTGTACCGCCTCTTTATGGCCTTTGGGGGTTTGGACCCTTAAATTCCGCTCCACAAGGTTCTGAAATATTGCTCGATGTACGTTATCCTTCATATTTAAGCATGACGAGATGAGATCCTTGTACTTGTCCCATGATCTCGGAAGGATAACAGACGAAGTATGCTCCAGAACAAGCCTCCGAATATAAAGTGATAATCGATCTACAAGCGGTCGGAAAGGAGCGACTTGCTCTGGATTATTTATCTACCAACATGTTAGACGCAAAGTCGTGAAAGCCACAAGCGTTTGTGGCATACGTACATGGCACAGTTTTTCGAGCAATGCTTCGGCAAGCCGCCGTCCACGCTTCCTGTAACACATGATGTTGTCCCAATAGATGCCCAGCATGAGGAGCCAGACAGGAACTGTCTTAGTTGATGACGCTTCCAAAGATGATAAAAACCACCCAAGATACTGGTCGTGGTCAAGTAACCGCTCAAAGAACAATCGAGCAGTCAAGCTAACTCTATATTGGGTTAACCTTCGTTCGGAAAAGAGCTGTACAAGGAAAACATACGCATAGGTCATCTTCAACTTCCACTCGGAGGATCCACAAATGCTTATTACACCTTCAAGGAATTGCTGAACAGTTGAGGTCCAGTCCCGCACCCATTTAGCTTCCAAGCCTACGGCGATTGCGCCGCTGGTTCCCTTCCTTTTGAAAGCGCGGATTTCGTTGGCCCCCACACACTTTGCAAGCCAGACTGCACGACTAACCGGGATCCATTTACTCAAGCATTGGTCTAGAAGCGCCTTGCCCCTGATCCCGTGAGGAATCGTTCGACTCAACTTGCGCAGTGGAACTGACGGGTTGGCAAGATCACGAAGCCAGGCCTCACGTTTATTGTCTGTCAGAGTGACACGAGGAGGTGGTTTAAATGTCGACGGAGCAGTGACCAGAGTATGATTTTGTCTTTTCTCGAGGGCTGCCGAGAATACAGAAGAGAGCAGCTGCAGGCCAGAGCGATGCTTTAACTGTGCATATACGGATGGGCGCGCCGTATTCGACTCGTTCTGAGATACCTGGGTGCGATCGTAATGCCCTTGCTTCGCCGTTTGTTCGTTAAGAACATCCTCTGGGTGGTTTCCAGACCATGGGGAGAAATCGGCAACTTCTGCTATCTGGTTAGATGCATGCGCGCCAATGTCAAAAACCATTAGATACTCACTGTCGCCCTTGATAATTGGCGCCACGGAAGGGACTTCAATACGATAAGGAGTTGTCTGTACTGCCTTCGAGGGAGAGCTATCCCGCGATTTTGCAGCCTTTCTTCCCAGCAATTGCGGAGGACCATACTTCCATGGAAGAGTCGGAAGAGGGGGCGGGGATGTCTTTCCACCTTGCGCGACATCTGTCCCATCATCCTCTTTTGTCTCCGTAGGGGCGGGAGCTTCCGATACCAAGGCCTGGAAGGACCACAAGGGTCGACCACGCCAACCCAAAAATGGTGGCTTTGAGCTCGAAGCCCCGGGGGTACTTCTAGGCTCTCCGCCACTCCCAGATGCGGGGCTTCCATCTCCAGCGGATGACGACGCAGGCAAATCCAGCCGGAGTCTCTTTGCGGGGTGTTCCCTATCTCGCGCTTCCCCACTGCTAGTTGTAAGATCGATCACTGCCGGCTGTCTGGGTTGCGACTGCGAGACGGGCACTGGTAGCTTCTCTAACTGGGGGTCGGACGGACCCAACACCTGAGAAGCATCAACACGTCCAGAACCGCTATTGAGGGCGCGCATGGGGTTTGCCCACGGTTGGACGCCGGCAGAAGAATGAGGTATCATCTCAGCCTCATGGTGTATATAGGCATCGGAACATTGGTAATGGAAACTGTGCGATCGAACGGATCAACGGAACGTGGGAGCGCTCGAGGACTCGTATAGACGGATTTCGCGGTATACAAATATAATTCACATCCCAAGAGTGACCGGACCGATGAATTGATGCTCCAAATGATCTAAAAGGGCGGTGGACGCCGTTTAATAACTATCGCGAGATGGACGTGAAGTGATCAATCCAGTTTAGGAAACAGTCGGAAGACTGCAGGACGATCGGAGAACACACACGCACACGGAAGGGGGGGAGCAGGAATTGAAAGAGGGTAGAAAGGAGTTAACGGAGGGGCAGGGAAAGGAGAAGGAGTTAAAAAAAGGGTAGAACACAAGATGACAAGTCAGGTCAGAGAAAAGCCGAGTACGGCGACCGGTCGATCTCCAGATAACGTAAGGACTAACCAACTGGCAGGCTGTCGGGATTCACAATAATAGAATAATAAGGTGGAGAACACTTCCTGCTGCAGTAGGTGATGCTGGGATACCGGATGTGACAATACACCTGACGGCGTCTGTCTATTGCCCGCTATGAATATCTGGGTAACCCCAGTAACATCTGGTTTGGACACAATACCGGTGGTATTACCAGAAGCGCGTTGCATTCTTACGTGCGACTCCGTCCATGAATGCTATCTCCAAGCACCTGCCAAGTAAAATGATAGAGGAAGAGTACCTTCCAAAAATCCTGTTCTAGATATGGTACTAGTATATCCAGCAGATGTCAGTGCGGAAATAACTGGATGATGATGAAACGCCTCGGAGTTGGCCACAAGGTTATCAGTACTAGGATTGACTGTCATCGGATTTTCCGGCAAATCAATCCACAGCGCAGGACTTGGCATCAGATGATTGGGACCGACTCCTGATAGGCCATCGCTGTCCGAGATTCCGATTGCCCATTTCCCAGCTGAATCGGTGAGAGATAATACTGTAAGTGGTACATACTCCGTGCTACTAGTAGCCTTTCGAAAAGGTCCGCGCGGTGATGGCATCATACAACTCGTCCCTGACGTGTAGTTGCTGTCAAGGTTAGCATTATTTGGTATTGTTATCTCTGTTGCCGACAGTCCATCGAGTTGCCACCTACAACAATACATCGTTCTATAATTCTCTTCGGTTGACTGGAGAATCTGTATATGCCCTACTCCTCGCATCCTGGCCTTTTGTTGCCTTTTCTAAAAAAAAAAAAAGTCAATTTATACTTCTACTATCACACAATGGCCCCGGACAACTGATTCATTTCCTACAGTGACGGTTGGTATCAACCAAGATTAGCTCTGGTATAATCAAGTAAACCTCTAGCATCTAGATCGCCAAAAAGGCATTCGTCCTTAGCCAACAGTCAGTTGGAGTTATTTAGTCATATTTCATTCATGCGTCCATATGCACAACTGTCCTGGGTCTTGATTTTCTATGGTCTGTACAAAGACAGTTCTGCCTCGCTTATCACTGGCGTGAAATTTCAACTCTACTTTGGTTACATAAACATACTATGTACGGAGTAAATGGGTCTGTTGATGGTCCAGTGTTGCACCGCAGGATGCAACCAGGATGTCCATGCTAAGAAATTAGCCTGGACTCTGTGCTTATAAAACCCTAGGATTATTTCATACAAGCATACGCAGGTCCGCATGTCCAATCCAGAATGTGATATACCAGATTACTTGAATACATTTCCCAAGACATAGATAATCAGCGAGTACAGAGTAATAGAAGAGAAATTACCTCACTGCCCCATATTCTAGTTCTGGGATGCGGAACTGCGGGGGTGAATATGAAGAGAGCAGGCAGATCATACAACCCTCACCCAGGTCATGCCACTTGGCGTTGATCTGATGATTTACAGGTAGGGACGATCAACATCGGGCTAGCTAGTTTCTGCGTGGTCTTGTATCAGCGCTTTAGCAATGCGAATAATAGAAAGGAAATACATTTCCTCCCTACTCCAGAGTATGTCACCCAGAAAGTAATTCACGTGACCAACAGGAAGATACGGAGTAACCTCTGGAGGCTGGACAAGGCTGTGGCGTACCTAAGTACTGTGAGCTTCCTCTTTAAGGGACTCCATTGTAGGAGATTCTCCACTACAAGGAACTGAGCATGCCGCCCAGATCGACTTCCCATACAAAGTCCCTTATAGCCAACAGCTCAAAATAGGTGTGCAAGGTCACGTGTCTTTATTCTAGAGCATTTACTAAGCCCATTCCGCCAGATACCAGATTTAGGTGATGAGATCACCTCCTAATATCTATGTAGAGATCTCCAATAAGGGATAGAAGCCTTTATCTGAATTAGTCCCTTATAGCGGGGTTTACAGCACTCCCTTTGGAACCAGGCCTGCGTGAAAGGAGTATATTAAAATCGGTGTAAAGCTAACTGACTAATTTGTATCTAGTCTAGTGTTCTTGTTTGGGAAAGAATGGTGATTTCAGTTCACACTACATAGTTGCACCAATTCACAGATAGAGTTATCTTCCAAAATTGACAACCCAGATTCATCATGTCATCTTATCCACTCTCACTCCAGAGGCATTCTTAATTTCAGGTTAGTAACAGGTAGGTAGTGCACTGTTTGTCCATAAGATAAGGAGTTGAACCAATGGAGTACGAGGAAAGTTGTGGTGATAACGCCGAGAACTAGCCTGGCTTGCCGCTTTAGCCTTGGCGCCGACCACCACTTTGGTGGCCAGCTCGACTGTTATCGCGCGCCTCAACCACGGGCAGTTCCTTACACAGCTCTAATTCCAATTTTGCATGCAAAGATGGCGTCAAAAAAGGATATGCGAAGGTTGGATCTCGGTATATTACTGGCTTTCCAGGAATACAGCGAGCTGCGCAGCGCTAATATGTGAATTCTAGCCATCCCCTATGTCGACCCTCCAAAGGACAAGAACGATGCAGATATGAGTGGTACAACCCCATCATCTCGACCCCTCACACAGTTGTTGAAGATAACGATTTGTTGATGGTATTGAATAGGTGCCATGACCAGCACCATGCCCATGGCTGCGGTAGGCCCATCCTGATCTTGTCGGAGTTTCGCAATACTGACATGCCGTTAGATGTTCACTCGGAATAGGTGAGGCACAAGGCGTTTCTATACTTGACATACCTTTCTAATCTCTAAATCTGCTCAGAATGATTGGATGGTAGGTCCGCTGGCTACCTGTCTTAGCTATTCTTGTTAAAGCATTCCTAGGGTCTCCTTCGTATTTTCCCTTCAGTCATGGCTTGGTGAAACGCCAGAGCAGAAGAGAACCGCATCGACTCCAGCATACATGTCTGTTTTTATGTCTTGTTGGTCTCCCTTCTCCTTTTTTAGATGCGTATAGGGAACTAACTCCGTGGCTGATTTTAAATAGTGATAGCCCTGGTCGTTGTATGTTTCACTTGTTGAATTGACTCCGAGGAGAAATCCTTCAAAGCGTATCTAATCTATGTCATGCAGACATATTTCCCCATTTTCATGCCTCCACCCGCCAACCGCGCCAGCGCCGCTGCTACTCCGTCTCCGTCTCCCTCCCCTTGACGAGTCGATTCAATGGTACCGTTGTACACATAGTTCGAGTGACTATGCTTCAATCGATTACAGTATGTATCGGGATTGAGGACAATATGGTGGAAGTAAGGGTAGAGTCAGAAGATACCCCGACTTTCCCGCACCCACGGATATCTGTCTTCTACTAAAGGGGGGCTGTCGCAATGATATAAAATACCATCTTTATGTACTAGTATTCCTACTTCGGGTGTTTGAATATCAGTGAAAACGTGCACAGAAACCCCGACATCTGTCCTGGCGTACTTGTCGATTTACTCCCACGTTGTATCAACAATGCAACGCTCAATGGCTTTGTCTTGGAGGCCTAATTATACAGGTATACCCTAAGATAAGTTTATTAAAAATGGGCATATTGCCTATCTACAATGAGCCAAATATTCCTGAATGTGGTGAGTGCATTCAACACATGCTTAATAAGGCACACATACCCATAATTATAAGTCATGCCAGTGAGGAATATGTTCACTGTGATTTGCTCTCAGTACATGCTACCCTGTAAACCCCTTGTTGCACCTGTCTGTGGGGTTCTTCTTTCCAAGGTCTCCAGTCGGCGGCAGATCACAAACCAGTGTTTTTACTTAGAAGAGAAGATGTCTCTTTATATTTCCAAAATAAAGATGGCGGAAACCCATTCCATGCAGCTACTCAAAAGGTAAATGTTGCTACCATTACTATATTAACAGAACAATGCATCATTGATGTGAACTGTTGCAATAAAGATATACAACCCCAGTTGATCATAGCGGCCCAAAAGGATTCGTATCAATACTATTATATTTTCCTGGGGCTATCGCAGCTCAATATCAAGATACTTGATGTATACGACACACTGCTATTCTCAGCACAGCCTCCCATGTCCGGTTGAACACTGTGATGGCCATACTAGAGCATCCTGAGATTGACTTGCACCTCCACTCCAAGGATAGTAGTACAGTGCTGATAGCATACCCCATGCTCCCTATAGTAACTCAATATACTTAGCCTTTTATCACAGACTCACAATACTGCTGTTTTTCAATATTTAGCACTTCCGTGAATATAAAGGCAATCTTTGGGAATTGATGCTTAAGATAGGGAGCTAGTAAAACGAAGGATTGTCTGCCGCGTCATCCCATGCCTCTATAATTCTCGTCTTGATAGTTCTAAACATTCGGATCTTGTATTAACTCTGATAGCCTCTGCTTCCAGATTTGACTCAGGCCCACCCTAACACAGAAGGAACTTTGTTGCACTGTTTCTTCGATAAGGCTGTACTACTAAGACTTTGTGTAGCAATAGGACACTCACTTGATTCGATATGCTAATGCCATAAGATGACATGCAGGATACGTGAGGGCATCATTCTACAGATTTCGATAATAAATGTCTGACTTGGGTGTATCCGTATCTAGCAATCTCCACTTACACGTAGCCTGCTGAATTGGTTAATGCTGGCATTAACACACTTTTTTTATTTACTCCTCATGCTTCAAAGCGGGGCCCAATGGATATATATTAGCTCCCGCCACTTGACTATATGACAGTGTTCGTCAGAATTATCATCCGGAATTAAAACTAAGATGTACAGTCCCAATGAAATATCTTACTAGCATATTGCTAAGCTGTTTCTATGCCCTGAATAGAGTGTACGTCTGATTTGTTGTGGCGAATAGAGGTGGCGACCAATAAACCTAGGTTGGGTAATGGATTTCAACCTACGAATAGATGGAGCAATAATACGTGAGACCTGGCAATCGAGAATCTAGGTATAACTGCAGGTTCTACAGGAATTAATTTTACTCCATTGACGTGGTACCAGTGCTGGGTCATGCGGCAAATGTTAGATATGCTACTAGACATATGATACCTGAGGATTGGGTATACATGCCAAACACCCAAATGAAGGGGTAAAATAACGTAGAAGAAGCAAAAGACAACGAAGAGTTCGACGGGGCTAGAGCCCCATTGACATGCGTATAGCGCCTGGAGCGAGTATCCAGTACCTCGCAGGCCAAGTCGCAAAGGAAGATGCCAAAGCGAGGTGGTGCTGAGTCAACCCGCACACACCGCCTTCCCCCACAGGGGGCGCTAAATCGAGATGCGCCCCTCAAAAGGCTCTGCTTCCCTTCGTCTACCTTCCTTCCCGACACCCTCATCAACTTCCTGCTCCAGCTTATCGCACCCCCAGCTTCCACGCTTCCAGTCGCTAGACTTCGTTAGAGTTCATAGCTCTCCTTTACTTTATTACTATACTCCGCTTTTAAGGGCCGTTTACGACGAAAGGCCGAGTTTATGTCCATCGAAAACCTTAAGACCTTCGGTAAGTAGTTTTGCCACCCCTCAACTGCGCGACCTCTTCCACCCAGGAGGTCTATTCTGCAAAATAACTCCTGGAATCGTCCCGGAACACATCTCACCGCCACTGCTGCTTGTGTATATGGACTGGCCCAGCGGCTGGGCGATTGTGTCACCGGATTTGAAGCAGGATTGAGCTGCGCATGACATTTTTGGCGGGGTAGATTCCCTTTGGCCAGAGGCTAACACGTGCTCTTATATAGACCCCTTCGCCGAAGCTGACGAAGACACCGGCGAGACTAAACAGTCTCAAAATTATATCCATATACGGATTCAGCGTATGTCATTTCTTCCCGTCTCCCACTCATGGGGGGCTCGTTGCTCTTGGGTGCACGGGCCACCTCTGTCGGCATCGAGACTGACTCTCTTCTGGCCTTGCAGAGCGCAATGGTCGTAAGACCTTGACCACCGTCCAGGGTCTTCCTAAGAAGTTCGATCAGAAGAAGATTTTGAAGGTGATCAAGAAGAAGTTCGGTATGTCTCTTGTTCTACTTCGCTCTGGTTTACACCATTCGAGGTCATGCTTAAAAAATACAAAACATCTGGCTAACATTTCCGCAGCCTGCAATGGAACCATCGTCAATGACACTGAGATGGGCGAGGTGATTCAGCTGCAAGGAGACCAGCGTAAAGATGTTCAGGAGTTTTTGACCGACAAGAAGGAAGGTCTCGAGCTGGACGCCAAGACCATTAAGGTCCATGGATTCTAAGCTTGCCGCCGCGCCCCCCGTTCCGGTCCCTTCTTCCCAGTCTACGTTGCCCTCAGAGTAGTAGGATAGAGGACATATGATGCCACCTATTCGCTGTCTCATTTTGCACTTGTGTGTGTTCATACACAATTGCAGCATCTAGGTTGACCGGCTTAGCTTCTTGTCTTCTACTCTTTTGACACTCTGTGCTCGGTGTACTGGACTTGGGCCTCTGTCGAAATGATGCTCTGTCTTAATTATGATTCCCATGCAATCGCACTTGATGATTGATGGGAGAGTGGGCTTTTCGTTGACTCGACTGCTATACTTCAGAATGGGATTACGACGGAACGAGGCGTTGGTAGATACCCGATATCGTCATAGATATTTCTTTTTCCTTTTGTATTTCCTTTTCCCCAGTTTCACCTCTGATTTTCTCGTATCTTTGGCTTCAAGAAACCCGTGTGGAAAGGTGCTGTCTCCAAAGACATTCGTTCAGTTGGGTGATGTGTGAAGTCGTGCCGATCCGTCCCGCTTTTGCTCAAGTTCCAACTGCTTCCTGTCTTCCGACATGTTTCCGGAGCTGTTACATCATTACAATCCTTCTCGGAATGAGAAATTATTGTCTATTTGCCCATGCTTGAGCCGACATCTTCCATGTAGGAGTAGTTGTATGGTAAGTAATCTGCAGCGCCTAAAGAGACCTGTGTGTGCTCAATATAGCAAGGAGAATTTCGGATAAAGACCGACAAGTAGTTGAAAGATAATTCTATCTGTAGGTAGGACAAGCCCCAAGCACCAATCCTTTCCGGACCATTACAACTCCCCAGTGTCTCCTAACCTATCATCTGCCACCCGCATACGAAGGAAGATCGCAACGGCCCAATCCCATAGTTTCCGCGTGATGACGAATGCAGGGACTTCGGGTTCGTTCTCGCGGGTCAAATGCAATTGGAGAAGCAGAGAGGACATGCTCAGGAAACTGGCAATAGAGACGACGAGTAAAGCTGCAGCTGTTTCGCGCTTGATCATGGCGTGGTTTTGGGTTGCATGGTAGAGGAACGTGAGAGTCTGTTGGTGGGGGTAATATTGGACAATGTGATTAGTTTTCTGTATAGCTTATCATGTTCTTGGGGAGAACATACGGTTGTAATTGATATCCATGCCGGTAGGAGAAGGCGTGGATCGGAGGATGCACCAGAAAGATAGAGAACCCATGAAGTGATATATGCGATCAACCCGTTGGTAGTCAGGAGACGAATAACAACAGCTGGCGGGGTATAATTCAAAAGCCTGGATAATAGGATTGAGCAGTTTGTCGTTGGTACCAGAGTATGAGGGAAACCAACCATCGAGACATCATGCAATCAGCAAAGAAATAAGAAAGGTACGCGGATGCACAGCACTAAAAGTGGGATGAAGTCAGCAACCATCTCCAGGGGGCACATGAAATGAGTAGACAAGTCATCTCCTATACATACCCACATAATAGCTAAAGCCACCTCAGTCACCCGAAATCTTCTCTCTACATCCCAGTCTTGTCCAATGCTCCCGACAATCGCTGCTGCCCAGCCCTCCCGTCCCATTCCTGGTCGAATGTGAAGCAGTTCGGCCAAAAAAGTAAAGGCACAACGGAGACCCCACCATGCTGCAGGGACTGTGCTCATTGCCCGACAGATCAGTAAAGGCAGGTACCATTTCCGATCTACTCCCAAAATGACGGCCACTCGGGGATGCAAGGCGGAAGAGGTCGTATGACCGACATCTTGGCTGCTGGGAGTCTGAGACGTAGTGGAGGACGGTGAGGGCGGGACAATGGCGGAAGGAGCAGAAGCGGGCGCCACGGCTTTATCGCGGAAGCTCGCCGCTGAGATAGGAGCCGGAGAGAACGAGAAAGGAGGAGGAGGGGTGATGGACCGGTATACGTCTGGATTCAGGACCCGTTCAGGAGACGACCGAGTGTTCAGAGAGAAGGGCGGAGCAGCAGCATCACGACGAGGAGGAGCCAGCCTTTAGTTTACGGCATATGCGGCCGTTGCGCAGAAAACCCCAATGAGTGGGAGAAAGAGGCAAAAAGGAAAGGCGAGAAACTCCGATCTCCCTCGAGATCCAGTTGAACCTCGAATATGAGTGAGTACTAGGAGCAGAAGTAATCACTAATCAACTGTTGGTGGACTGGGTGTCCCGCGAGTCACCTTCGCGCCGGAGTGCAGCAAGCAGAAGCAGAGCAACACAGTTGCCGAAGACAAGGCTACGGACAAGTAAGGCCGACAGATTGAATCGCAGTCCAGACACCCAGACGAAGGCGTCTTGATGAATCGTGGCCGTTTTGAAGCGCCCATGAGGAGTTCCCGTCCAGTCACGTGAGCACATAGATTTCTTTTGCGCTCAGCACTTGATCGATCCTGCCCACCTCGTCCAGCTCTGCCAGCCATGGCGTCGTCGCTGCCAAACGCGCCCCTTCGGGCAGCTGTCCGGTCCAATAATTCCCTCATCTCTCACCTCTATCCTTCGGTCGCAGCATCATGTCAATGTCGTCAGTTCTCTCTGTCGTCCCAACGTAGGGCCCTGCGGGGAACGCCGGAGAACATCTCCATGAAACAGCCGGCTCAGCCTAGTATGCGGACGAGAGGTCGTGAACTGGCAAGGGCGGATTTACCTCAAGATATTGGATTGCTGCCCGGGACCTTTATTCGGCCGCTGTGGAGGGATATGCCCTCGATTTTCCAGCAACCATCTGAGCGCCTACGAATGGAATGGCTCTGGTTGAAGTCGGGTGTTCAGAACTTCCTAGGGTATGTTAGGAGTCATCTATTGCCTATAGTATGTGTGACGAGGAAGTGCTGAACTCGAAAATAGCATGGTTGTCTACAGTAAATGGCTGAACACAGGCCTGCCGCTTCGCCTCAGAGAACGACGATATGTCGCTCGCGACCTCCACAAACTGATGTACTCTGCTTTCGCCGAGTAAGTACACTGTCAAGCTCTCCGGAGTAACTCCACAGGAAACTAACCACGAATGCCTTGAAAACCAGCGGCGATATTCGAACCCTGCGCAAAGTCTGTTGCACAGGACTTGCAAACAGCCTTAGCAGGCGCATCAACAACCGCCTCAAAGACGAAAAAGTCACTTGGTCCTTGGAAAAATACAACCGAACACCAGGCACCTTTCTCACCGGCCTCCGCGTGGTATCAGACCGCGCCACTCAAATCCCCGAGATACCAGATTCTGGAGTCCGTCAGGTAGTGGTGCGCATTACGAGTCGTCAGTCAACCGGCAAAATCAAACTGCAACCAAAGCATAGGCCCCAGGGCCCTTCGGTTCCCGCAGAGAATGCTGCCTCGACTAAGCAGCAGGATTGTACAGAATACATAGTTGTTCAGAAACTCCGGTGGGCTGGCGAGGAAGAAGACTGGCGGATCTGGGGCCATGCGACACCCACAACGGTGGAGGATCTCAGCAACGCTTTCTTCGCCCCAGGCATGACGGTTGCAGACCGTCTGGAGGCCATGAAGGATTCAATGCAGGGCCGGAAGTAAGCCCTGCTGCCGTTGGCGCTGGCACGAAGGCTGCTCAAAAGTAATACGAGGTGCAACATTTCTCTCAATTCCGTCTCAAAGCAGAGGACAATTTATATTGCTTACGATCAGAAGCACAAATATTTATCCGTGGAGGGATATTCCCGGTTCATTAAATGCCGTGTTTGTTTCCAAAAATCAGCCAGCCCATTGCATACACAAGATGGCACTCATTCGATTCATCCCATGCGTTAAAGTTACGCAGCTCTCCGATCTGTTTTTGTTTCTCTAATATCATGTACTACTTCCCAGTGGGGCTATTCAAAGAATCTGCATTGCCCAGAATTTGTTACTTGTACTATATCCATTTTTATCTTACTCCACTTTGTATCTTTGTATGTATTCTACATTTGAACTATGGAAAATGCAGGTTTCGATGAATATATATATATATAGAAAATGTTATTATGGTATTAGTGTTCACATAGAACAATGATTCACAGCTCTCGTTGCAAAAAAAAAAGGAAAAAAAAAAAAAAAAAAAATTAAATTCGCCTTCCAAGTACGCTATTTACAATAGATTCACGGAAGGTCTCCAGCAGGACAAAAAGCATGGAAAGATACAGGATATAAACAATCAAAAGAACTAATCATCGTCAAAAATCTGGAATGTATTCACGAGAATTGTCTCGATCACACGCACTTGCCATCCCGCATCGGCTATATTACCGGCAGAATTCGCACTGAGTAGAGTAGGTCTAGCACATGATTCGTTAGTTGGGAGGATTGACATGTGTAACCACAGACAGGTACAATCACTCACCCGAAGCAGATGGCAATGTTTCCTGCGTTCATACGGTTTTGGGTGTAATGTTCTTGTACCTTGTTCAGATGCTGCGTGGAGTTAGAATGGGTTCTGGGCTATTTGGAGGAGGAGCAATTCATATTTACCAGGATCAAGGCCCTCAAGGTGGCGTAATGTGCATCTGGGAGGTTATTGACAAGCGCATGCAATGAATCCCGTCTCTGGACGTCATCCTCGATGCCTGTAGACTAGGTGTTAGTTTCCACCGATGATGTAGGTCTGTCTTTGGTCTCTGAGCACTTACGGGCTGCGTTGATGAACTCGGAATAAAACTGAGACGTAAACAGCGGGTCTGGAAGATCGCGAAAGAACTGCTTCAACAGGCCAGCAACACTGTTCACGTCATGGTGGAAATTTTCCGGATTTGTGAAATCCACTTGGGATGAATCTGCCATTTGTTATTATGATAAGCACTTGAGAAAATGAGAATAGATCCACTCACCATTGTCAAAGAGCGATTTCATCTGAGAGATGTGGTTGGCACTGCCGGAAAGTCGGTAGATACCTTCCATATTCAGCCCAAAGAGCTCCACAGCTTGGAAGCACTGATAGACGATCATCGGTACTGCCGTCCCATCTCTTTCGTACAACTCATCCAGAGAGACCCCAAACACTGGCTTCAATGGAGGCAGATTTTGTTGGAAGGAATTGCTAGGTGGTGGAGGGAGCGGGCTGCCCTGGGCCGCCGCGGTTGGTGCATTGAAAGTGAGTTTTTCAGGAGGAGGTGGGGGACCGGAGGATGTTGGGTATGGAGGTTGGAAAGGAGATGAGGAGTACGAGTCAGGTCCCTGTGGATATGGATGTGGCTGAGCGTTGGACGCTGGGACTGGGGCTGGAGCTGAAGCCGCGACCGAAGGCTGCGAGGAGGGTTGACTCGAAGGGAGATGTTGCTGCGAGAAGGACTGAGGCCCTGTTGAGTGCCGTTTGTTTTGGGAATTGGGCTGGGACGCAGGAGCAGCAGGCCCGGAGGAACCACCAAGGGTCTATCGAAGGTTAATGGGCAGCAAGACAAGCTCGGGGGTAAGAGAAACATACCGGGTGACGCTCATATTTGATCTGATCAGAAGCCACCACTGCGGGATTATGCTCGTGACTCAGAATATACTCGTGGTGGTCTTTCTGGTTATCAATCTGTTGGATAACCTCATAAAGGCTCTTTGGTGCAAGGGCGGGGTTGCTTGTGCTGTCCTTCAGCGGACTGATGGACAAACCTTGTCCCAATAACAGCTTCTCGTTGAAGGTGGCTAAGAGCCGTCAGTACGGATAGCAGAGCCTTGTGTACAGACAAGGGAATAACGAACCGAATTTCTGCAGCTGCAGGGTAAGACCAGAGTCGCATTCCGAGATCAGTTGTTGAATGTTGTGGACCGCCTGAGGCCTGTGGGTGGAAATCAATTCCTTTCGAGCCGCTCGCGCCGCCTGGACCTTGGAAGAATAGTCTGAGTCCGCATTTTGGACCTTGCGTAAGAGCTCCTCTTCATGCTGGGCCGCGGATTTATGACCTTTCAACCCGAACTTCCCACCCTGTTTGTCACCCGTTTTGACACGATCGTACTGTTCTGCAAGCGACTCGTATTTGGCTTTGGCTTTCTCGGCCGAAGTCTCAGCTTCGAGGACTTTCTTCTCCGCACTCAAGCCGGTCTGTTTCCATTGCTTACGCCCCCGTTCGATGTTCGATGCCAGCTCATTGAGATCGTCGGCCATCTGTTGTAAGGAGACCGCAAATTGGAGTCCATGGTCAGCCATGCGGTCATGGAAGCGATTGAGATCATTATGGCTCTGGCCATAAGTGCCTTGACGACTATCGGGACGGTGGGCGGCGTCGTAGAGAGAGCGAGACAATTTCCTTAAGCCCTGTGCATGTTCTTCTTCTAGACTCGATCGCTTCTTCAAGAATGTCGAGAAATCCTATCATCGTATCCGATTAGTTCCTGCGGAATCGTTCAGGAGAAAGAGGAGAAGTATGGACACACTCTTGCGGAAGCGACACTTTGTTTCAGTCGGGTCAGGAGTGTCGTGATGCCGATCTATATAGTAGGGTCCAGTCAGTGCACTGCAAATTCCTCGTGTCCAGCGATCGCGCGAACGACATACATCCGAATAGACCACTTTATCCAAGCGAGCTTTCACTTCCTCCGAGATAACTGGCGGACCCGGACGGGTTTCGGCAGAGTGGCTTGCGGAATCAGCACTCAATGGTGGCGCATCGGGGCCACCGGAAGAAGACGAAGTTGGCGCTGGGCCCTCGTGAACGGCAGCGTCGGCCATGGGAATTAAAGTGGTGAGATCCAAAAGCAATAGGGGGGAAGAGGATAGCAAAGACTAATGTTGGATAGATCGATCACTCGTTCGAAAGAGATTAGTTAATAGGTGCGTCAGACTAAAGGAGACTGGAGAATTGGAGAATTGCGGAAGCCTAAGTTAGGAGTTAGTTATGTAAGTCCAGCATAAGGCTGCGGTGGGGACCTTTTCAGTGGGAGGCTTGTGTCAGGTACCAGGACACAACCGGTTCATGGGGGGAACCTCGCATCGCTGCCGCGACACCCCTCTGGTGGAGTACGTACCTCTTAAGGTATTGCCCAGGTAGACCACATGCCCATCAATGCAAAGGGGTACGTCATTTCATCAAGAAGCATGGTTGGGGGTAACTATTCCGTAGTGGGAATGGGTATCTGAAGGGGAGGAGAAAAGTACATGGAAGACAATCCAATTCCTCATCCAATTCCTCTGTTCATGGAATAGATTAACTCTATGTTACCCTCTTTCCTCAAGACATCCATTCCCTTTCATCGAGAAATTGAGCCTGAATGATGCGGCCACGATTAATAGCCTAAGGCAGAAACTGAGTCAGCACCGCAACCGCCGAGTTTCGCGAGGAACCAAATTGGCAATTTCCCTTCCCGTCGGGCTTCATTTTCGCCGTCCACGATTTCTGCCGATTTCCGGCACCTGGCGCCTGGCTTCACTGTCAAATTTGCATGTGTTCACACGCCCCGCGGTTCCCATACCGGCGGGCGAAATCTGTTTTATACTGATGGATCTGGGGTTCCGTGCTGTTATGGCACCGAATGGGCTTGCTTCCCATGCAAGTCTTTTAACGCCCTCGGGCCTTCCCAGCGACGTTCGGAACAACCCCAGATTTCCGCGGCCCGGCACTGGTTTGGATCTATCAGCCAGGAACTCCGAACTTTGCACTATGGAGAAGAAGACCCCGGTCACCGGGAAGCGGCGTGGCGGAAGTAGAAAGGCCTGTAATGAGTGTAAACAGCAAAAGGTAAGCTAGTCAGCTCGTCAGCTCGTCATCGTCCATGGATGCTCCCCCCAATGCATATGGCCCCAAAGACAGATCGAGTAACCCTGCTGCTACGGCTGTTCCTGGTCCCCTTGCTCTACTGATTTTGACGGCTGGCTGAACAAGGATGACATGATGGTCAACAGCTTCGATGTGACATTGTGCAGACGCCCGCCGCGGCCTGCTCACGCTGTCGACGGCTTCAGATAGAATGCAAGGTCGAGCCCACCTTCAAGCGGATCTCCAAGCGAAGGTAAACATGACTGGCGGGTCCTAATGCACGGCGCCCTTGACGGTTTCTAACAAATGCTGCTTCTAGGCGAAATGCCGAAATGGAACAGGAGATTGCTGATCTCCGTCGACGGCTGGCTACTAATAGTGAGAATCCACATGCGATGGAAGCAAACGTCAGCGATGGACTGTCCCAGTGCTCAGAGGATGTGTTCTGTGGCCCCGACTCTGTGGTTTCCGGCAGGCAACGGCCTCTGTCTGATCCGTTGGAACCTCAGCCTCTGCCAACCCCCTTGACGATACATAGAGAGGCATCTATCCTCTCCCAGGAAGACAAGCTGTGGACACTGGAAGATATCTCGCTGCCTAGATCAAGAGTTGCACGACTATTTGAACAGTAATGCGCCTCTTCCCTTGTCGCTCTGAATTGGGTTGAGTTTAACATATGATTAGATATTTCAAATACTATCACCCTTTTCTCCCCCTGCTGAGTCCCCAAAAGGCCCCGGAGGAATACCTGCGTCGGTGTCCACTTCTGGCATGGACAATTATCTGTGTTGCCAGCCGTCGCGCCCCGTCAGAGCCAGGCCTGCTCAGTGCCATATCGGTGCCGTTTAGTAGACTTCTTTGGTCAACGATTACTGGAGTTCCGCAAGACTATCGTATAGTCAAAGCCCTGTGTCTTGTCTGCACGTGGCCACTCCCTACAACAAGCCAGAGAACAGATGCAACTTTTATGCTCAGCGGGCTGATGATGCAGATAGCCATGCAACTGGGCTTGCACCGTCCTGTTCAGGCAGAAGAATTCACCACGTTCCGGATGGAAGTTCAGGGCGAAGCCAAGAAGGATCGTCTACAGACATGGGTCTTATGTAATGTTGTAGCCCAGAAGTACGTACCTCCGCCGTCTATCAATTTCGTTTGCTAATAGTTGGCAGTGTTGCCACCGGCTATGGACAGCCTCCTAGTACTATTTACGACTGGGCGCTAGAGCCACCATCCTTGCGAGATGCCGACTACAACCCACCAGATGATCTTCGAATCCGCTTACGGATTGAAAAGTTCTGTGACCGGGTGACGAAATCCTTGTATAGCAGTAAACCCGAGCCTTCAGAGTTTATTAGCTCGGAGAAGTTGCTGATTGTGCAGCTCCTGGAAAACGAGCTTAGAGATATGGAAGTCGAATTTGGCCGAGACATTTCCAGTACGGTCCATTCCTGCCCCCTTCTGCCTCCTCTTTCTCTCTTCGCCCCCTCCTTGCATACTGTGTTTAACATCTCTCCCAGATATCAACATGATTCATCTACGAGCAGCTGAATTACATCTGAGGTACTTCGTATTTCTAGGTTCCAACGCACGGAGTGATGATCTTACCAAACTTTTCATTGCTACTACATCATTCCTGGGTCGAGTACTGGATCTCGAAACGTCACCTGGAGAGCTCATCGGCCATGCGACCAATTACATTCTTCAGATGATCGTCTCTGCTGCATTCGCTCTCATGAAGCTCTTGAAGAGTGACTTCAGTCGTCACATTGATTTTGACCATGGAAAGCTACTGTTCAATGGGGCGATCTCGGCCATCCGCCGCATTAGTGTCATGGATCATGACCGTCCTGTGCGACTGGCCGATATCCTGGCACAGATGTGGAATGCAGGAACCCCAGATGACTCTATGGGTGAAGACGTCTTACAGCTCAAGGTCCGTTGTCGGATGAGCATGAGTCACGTATATGACACAGTCTGGCGTTGGCGGCAGCGGTTCCGGCCGATGAAAAGCATTGAGGATGCTCAAAGTGCGCCCCCATCTTCCTTTCCTTTCCTTCTCCCCCCAAATATGTTCGTCCGAATCATGCTTACCTAGGACAGATACCATGGCCAACCCGAACCTGTCAACGACAGATGGGTCACTTGCCCGTCAGCAAGCCCATTCCCTTGAAGACCAGAGCTTAATTTTACCCGCCAATTTTGACCAAGGGGCGTTCATTAGCGAAGCAGGATTCTCGGAAGTGTTTGATTCGCTCAACTGGGTGTTTGATGGAATCCCCGATTCATTCGTTGCTCCTCCCGTGATGTAGCTGTATCTGGTGCAGCATGGGTCTGATCTTCCGGCAGTAATGCGGGCAAGACCTGCATTTGCCACAACAAGCTTGAGCGTAAATCGGGCCGATACCTGCCTTGTACTGTATATTCGTATAGATCCTTTAACAAGATACCATTTTCGCGAACAGGGTCTCAGCAGAAGCCCCTTGAGGGGTCGCGTTAGTCATCGAAGGGGTTGGATTGAGCACCCCACATGAGGACGCCAGGCATGCTGGCTTCTTTCTCCCGAAACCTTGCATCTGGCTAAACCAACAGCTCTTCGGGGACATATATTTACCGCAATCTCCTGCCAGATCTAGAATAATAATACAAAAAAAAAAGACCAACACTTCCGCCAAAGATGTCCTCTGATGAAGTGAACGTGATAGCAACAATGTATCCCAAACCCGGTAAACATAAGGAGGTGAGATTTACTACAGCGTCCTCATAGAGCGCACACCCCTTTCCCTCGATGCTTTCATCACCCGAAAGATCTCTATCTCTATAACCCGCCAGACGGATAGGAAAACTGATCTACCTGGCTATCCTCACCCAGCTCGCCTCGCACCTTGCCGAACTCTCTCGCCAAGTGCAGGCCAACGAGCCCGATACCCTAATCTACTATGCCTTCTCCGTCAATAATGGCAATGAGATCATGGTTGTGGAAAGGTGAGTGGATTGTTCCTTCAGGTAATAGAGGGGTACGGACGATTTGTTTACCATGAATGATACAGATATCGAGACCATGAAGCATTGCAAGCGCATCTGTTAGGACCGTATTTCCAGGAGTTTGGGGATAACGCGTCCAGGTTGATGGAGAGGCCGTACGATGTCAAAGTTGGAAATGGATTTTTGTCTAATTCGGTGGGAGTGATGAGGATTTAAATCTTGTACGATACCTGGGTGGTAAACCACGATGCCATATTATAATGGCAAGTAATGAGTACATTCCTAACTGGTCGAGGTCGAAATGAGTTAGGAGCGGGACGGGATGACCAAGATTCAAGAATGGACTGTATGGGGCGAACGTGGTAGAGAGAGAAAGGGTCTCCACCCCCCTGAACCACAGACCACAGAGCACGAACCAGAGACAGAGAAAGAGAGGGAGTACATATCCCAAGAATAGGAAGAGTTCTGAATAACCAGTATAATCACGATTCGTAATCTTCAGCGGCAACGGTGGCCGTCCCTTTGGATATACTGGAAGTACCCAATGGTACATGACCTAGGCTGTGGTTTAGCACCAGCAACTCCGTAGCTCGCCAGTACCCTCAGTGCCACGCCGTCTCATTGGTGGTGCACCGGCCAGCCTCTCCTTCATCAAGAACGATTCATGATCGATTCATGGATGCATAGAGGCCCTGATTGACGGATGGATCCATAATCCTCATTTCTGATTCCAGTTCATTCATCACCTCTCTTTCCAGTCAGACATTTAATCCGTCCGATTTGCCTCCACAGGTGAGCTATCGACTGAGCTTCCTTTCCCCGTCCTGACTGATCCTTCCCCCCTCTCTCTCTGACTTTGGCGCTCTTGTTGTCTCTCCTTCTCCCTCTCTCACTCATCACACAAACACACACACTCTCTTTTCCAGCTGAAAAAGTAGCCAACTTTCCCCCTCCCATCCTTCTTCTTGGTCTTTCCACCTCAGTTCTTCTTCCTCTTCTCTCTCCACACTCCTCACTCTGTCTACTAAACCTTCCCCCTGTCAGGTTCCCCTTCCCGCAGTGGGTTTTGTTGTTCAATCCCCGGGGGTTCTCATCATTGGTTTTGATTTGCGATATTTTCCCTGACAATTCAGTCTGAGCTCTTTTGGTTTTGTTGGTTCGGTTTCTCATTGCATCTCTTTTTGGTTCGTTTTTGCAGATACCCGGGTTATCATCGTCTCTCCGCCCGCCCAACCACAGGCTTCTATCTTCTCGCCGCCTCTGCACTGCGCTGATCGAACCGCTTTGTCTCGTCGCTCCCCCATCTGTTGTCACAATTGTTGCTTGTGAGCTGATATAGCAATACCATATTTGGTGATTTCTGAGAGAGGATGGCGACGGGTCCTGCTACTCAGTCCTTGAAGGTCAGCTCTCCGCCAACGTCTCCAGCATTCGGCTTTTCCTTCTGTTGACCGCAACGTGGCTAACGGGTGACGATGTACAGTGTGTAGTGACGGGTGATGGTGCTGTGGGGAAAGTAAGTGTCGCCCTTCGAATTTTGTCTCAGACTGAACTTTTTATCTGTGCCATCGGACTGTAGCTGATTCTGGCAATAGACATGTCTCCTTATCTCTTATACAACCAACGCCTTCCCCGGAGAATACATACCGACCGTGTCCGTGGCCCTTATCCCCTACACCTTGTCTGATGCGAACCCATCGTTGACGTGAACCCCCCAGGTTTGACAACTACACGGCCAGTGTGATGGTTGATGGCAGACCCATCAGCCTAGGACTTTGGGATACTGCTGGACAGGAAGATTATGACCGACTTCGACCGTTGTCCTACCCCCAGACCGACGTTTTCCTCATCTGTTTCTCCATCGTCAGCCCACCCTCCTTCGACAACGTCAAGGCCAAGGTGCTTACTCCTTTGTGAACTCCCGGAAGCGGCATGTCCGACTTGCAATACCCTAAACTAACCGTCATGCAGTGGTACCCAGAGATTGAGCACCACGCTCCTAATGTGCCCATTATCCTCGTCGGTACCAAACTCGACCTGAGAGATGACCGCGCAACCGCCGAGACCCTCCGCCAAAGGAAGATGGAGCCAGTTTCCTATGAACAGGCACTAACAGTGGCCAAGGAAATCCGGGCGCATAAGTACTTGGAATGTTCTGCTCTGACGCAGCGCAACCTCAAGAGTGTGTTTGATGAAGCCATTCGGTATGTTAGGTTCTGAACCTGCTCGTGCTATTTGATATTAATTGTTCATCGCCCAGAGCTGTTCTCAACCCCCGACCTACCACGAAGCCTAAGAAGAGCAAATGCTTGATTCTGTAGATCCTCTCACCTATACTTTCCGACTATAATATAAGAACTAATCCGGCGTCTTGATTGACGGGGCGCCTGTTTACCCCCCCCATATGATGACCTGTTTGATTTTCTTCTTGTTTTCATCCTCTCCGTTCGCTTCGCAGCTACGATTCTGATGCATTGAGCCCTGGGGTTGGCAGGACACCCTTTCCTTATTTCTTTTCTTTCCTCCCCTTAATGCAGTATAAAGATGTAACATGCTATACAATATCACGCAATGAATGCCGGCCGATGGGTTGTGATTGTTGGTTGTTTGTTATTTATTTATTTTTTTTTTTTTTTGGATTCTTTCAGTGGACGGAGCCTCGGATCGTGTGAGTGGATGTAGAACTCCGTTGACTGCGCAAGCTACCGGTGCGCTGAGAGCATTGAATCATAGCAAATACTATTTTGTCACCTAGACGTGCAGCGGGAGCTAGACATGAAATTTGCTTCCGATCTCAATTCGTCAAGTATATGCACAGAATCAATGAGCGAACAGGATATCTCAGCATTGAACATAAGGGAGCAACCACTTTTGTTTAAACCAGATGAATCTAAGTTAAACGCATGAGCATTAAGCGCCGGGACCGGTCTATATACTATGTTGGTTGACTGGAAGCACGAACTAAGCCATTCGGTTCCTGCGACTCGGGTGCACACCCGCATAATCATCGGCACCGTTCTCTTCAACTTGTACTTTCCGCTCCTTTTCCTTCTGGGCGGCATTCTGCCTCTCCTCGGCAAGCTTCTTGTTTTTGGCCTCGATTTTCGACTTACGGTGATCGGACTTCCCTCCACCACCGGCACTGGCAAGAGTGTCATGTCAGCACCATGCCTCAGTACAGATGAGTCAGGCTTGAACAGATGCGTACGCAAAGAAACGGAGGAGGGGGATGATCTTACGTTAGTTCAACGTTGATTCTTCGAGGAGGATATTTCCCATCATCGAATATTGAATGGTGATACAGTTTCAGACAGGTCTTCATGCGGTCGTAGTGCTCGAACTCCACGAAGCCGAAACCACGACATTTGGTAGGCTTATCTTTCTCTGTAGCCACGCGCACAGAGACAGGAGGGTTCTTTTCGAAATGGGTTTTCAGTGACTCTGCATTAGCCGAGTACGGGAGGTTGCCTAAATGCAGAAGATGAATTAGATCTGAGCCGTGAAAAATAGGCGGTGGAAGCTTACCAACGAAAACAATGAACCTGTTTGGTTTTTGCTTCCCTGTGGGTTCGTCCTCTGTTCGTTGCGATTGACCAGCTTCTTGTTGTTGCTCCTTGTTTTCGATCGCGGATGTCTTATATTTTTTCTCCTTCTTGGATTTCTTATCTTTCTTGGAGCCCTTCTCGGTCTCTGGTGATGGCTTTTCGGTTTCCTTGGAAGGTTTCTCATCCACGTCCATAGCGTCGAAGCTTTCTTGCTTCGAGGTGTTGTTCATGGTCTCGATTTCGTCATCTTCGCGTTTATCTTTCTTCTCTTTCTTCTCCTTTTTATCCTTTTTGTCTTTCTTTTCCTCCTTGTCCTTCTTGTCCTTCATTTCCTTTTTTTCTTTCTTGTCTTTCTTTTCCTTCTTTTCTTTCTTGTCCTTCTTCTCCTTCGGCGTCTCCTCAGCTTGGCTTCCCCCCTCTATCTCATCAACAACCTCCTTAGCCTTGCGCTTCTCCTTCTTCTTGTCCTCCCGCTTAGCCTTCTTTCCCTCAGGCTCAACAGCGACCGTCTCCTCGGCGCTATTCTGAACGAGCTTGCGCTTCTTGTCTCCCATTGTATCGATCGTTTCGTAAGTCTCGAATCCCAGACTAAAAAAGAGGACAAATAGGATGTGGGGCAATAATCGGACTAAATTTCACCTAGTCAATCTAGCTCCTATCAAGCACAGAATTGGTTCAAAAAGTGCTGAAATTTCAAGAAGTTCTGGTGTTGCTGCTTGGCAAAATTTGGAAATTTGCTTTTTTGCCGGGCGGACGGACAGGGCGGTGTGCATCGACCGTGTTCTAGTTCTTGAGTGGGGTTCGCGTTGTTTACTCTTTATAGTTCTGGAGCTTTCTTGTCCTTTGAATATTATGTGCAGCTGTAGATGAGCATTTGCTTATATTTAGTATACTGATATTGCAGGGTTCTTCTGCTGAAGGACTGATAGATTTTCTTCAGATTTGGCTACTAGTAACAGTATGTCTAAACACATCCAACATTGACTACTCTGTAGAAAGGACCAGTTAAATACACGGTACGTGGTAGCTACAGGTATGAAATACAGACAAACCACCTTCAACGCCATCTATCATTCCAATCGTTCAAAATACCATAATCCGGACGCACTTTTCCTTTGCTCCGTACCTCTCCCGAAATTCAGGCCGCGTCAGCAGCTGTAACAAAGGAAGATGGGTGTCTTTCATATCGAAGATTCCCCGCTGCTTTTGGTCAACGTAAGATCCATCAATTACGACACTTTGTAATTCGTCCAATTTTAGAGATCCTGCAATAGTCAGTCTGGATGGAACGGGGACTATATGGTTTAGGGCCAGAGCTAGCAGAGCATACCAGAGTCAATCAAATCGGAGATCCGAGCCGGTGTGCCGGCTCCAATGGCCACTCTATTAAAGTTATTTAGATGTCATGATAGATGGATGGAAGAAGAGAGACATACCTTGCGCGCTGGAGAAACTGCTTCGCTTCTTCAAGTTTGATATGCTTAGCAAACAGTTTGCCGATGGGTGATTCTTTCGTTTGGAACGTCCGGAGAGCTCTGCAAGTAACTCCGCCGATTAATATATTTCCAACTAGTACTCGCATATTTGGACCGACTCACCGTACTACATCCGCTGCTCGGAGGCCAGCAGAAGAGACTACCAGAGTATGTGGTGTTCCCTTTCCCTCCGATGCCTTGGAAAGATCCGAGCCTTTATTGGGGTTAAAAGCCTTGAGGAACGCGGGAAGTTGATCCAGCTGCCTGGAGGCTTGAAAAGAAGACGTATCGAGGAATGCAGAGTCTGTATTAGTCAGTTTTGTGGTCACCGAACGACGGTATTCAAAAGAGTCTAATGAATCCAAATCCATCCATTGAGAGGATTGAACATACCCGGGACGCTAAGATCGCTCAACTCAACAGCAGTAAGTTCCTTGTTATGTCGTTTGGCTTTTTGCACAAAATGGTCAGCTAGTAATCGTCCATCCATCTTTCCAATAGCTTCGTCGATTCCGCCTTTCACCTCTGTTTCTTTGGAATCGTTCTTGGGTTTCTCATGCTTCGGCTTCTTGTCTTTCTTGTCTTTCTTGTCTTTCTTGTCTTTCTTGCCATTGCTATCATTCTTGCCTGCCTTATCATCTTTGCTATTCTTGTTCTTGATGTTCTTCTGTTTCTTCTTGCTTGGCCCGTCGTTATTCTCCGTGGACGCAGGTTTGCTCTGCTGAGAGGGCCCGTCAGCCTGCCTCTTGCGCTTTTTGTCTAGCTTGGCGGAAAACCCAGAAGGGGTGGTGGCGTCTGCGGACATTTTAGCAATGTATCAGAGCAGTAGAAGTGATCTTCAAGTGCAGAACAAATCTCAATGGAGTTAATTCTTTCGGATGGCTTGTCGCATTTGTCGCGTCGTCGATCGCATAATGCCGCAACAACTTTTTAATGCTGAGTCAGCCAATCTTATCGATAAGAAATCCGCCAATCAGAACACGGACCCACCGTGCCTCTTGTATTGTGATCATCTGGTCGCGCTTCCCTTGATCTCTAGTTACAGTCCTTACTCTGTTTTGACCAGTCTTCACCAAACATGCCATGGGTCATTGCCCACGGTATCTTCACTGAACTTGTCTGAGTTGACAAATACTTTGATCATTACCATATGACCTTAGTATTCTGATACTTGTCATGTCAACTACACCTAACCCACGAGGTCGGGGGTCACCCGCAACCTCCGCGTCCACACCCTCAGGAGACACAACACTCACTGGAGTCAGTCTAATTAAGCTTATCTCCATCCTGTGGCGTTTACTAATGTGAAGACAAATATAGCTCCAGCGAATTCCCATTCACTCCCGAAACACTCTCACCCCTAGTCGGTTCGCGACAGCAACGCCATCCGCGAACCGATCCGCCTCTCGACGTACACCACGGAGTAGGGCCGCTGGAGCGCCCTCAACACCATACGGACTGCGTGCTATGCAACGTCGCGCAGCGAACACGCCTGGACGGGATCGGAGGAAGAGCATACGGGCTCAAAGGGAATCGACGTTTGATATCCTGCGGAATTTGGGGAGAGGTTAGTTTTCTCCTTTCCACCGTGTATAAGTGCTCAAGGGAATATACGCGTGTCTATAAACTGGGTTGGAGGTTTACTGAGAATGTGAATTTCTAAGCTCTGGCTCCTACATCTCAGCCTATAGAGTCATCACCGCATGTCCCGGAGCTGGAACCGGAGCCGCCGGTACTAGATGAGATTGAGGAGCTCGATAATGAACCAGAAGTTGAACGGCCCCGGCTTTCCTTGCCGATAGGAGAGGTGGAAGAGGAAGAGGTGGCAAGTCCTGAGCCGCGTCCGCCTCGGCTTTCGTTGGCGTTCGAAGAAGAAGATATTACGGTTGAATACCCTCGTCGAGCCACTACAGAAAATGAAAAGGCGCGACTCTCTATGATGAGTTATGGTGGTCCTCGATTGAGTGAAAATTTTGGCGACGCGACTAGGTTAGAGAGTGGCTCTGAAGCTGGTGACGATACAGGTATCGCGGACGATGATGATAGGGAAGGTGATGAAACTGTCATCAGCCAAGGGGCTTTTGACAGAGGGTATGTGAGATGGCTTTTATTTTTTACTGCTGTGACTAATTACATTTATAGAGGAGAGACCGAAGATCTGGGGCGGTTCAACTTGGACTTTAATTTCCCATCCCCACCCCCACCTGCAGATGATGACCTCCAAGATGGGGCAATGAATGACGATGAAGGCTTCGAGCTTCCAGAAGTGGATTTGCAAGCAGATACAGGGCTACCTTCTGATGATAGCAATGGTGGTATTGAGCCCCTTGCTAACTTCGCCATGGAACCTGATCTCTCTCCACACTTCTCGCCAGCACCAATGAGTGAAAGCCCCGGAGTCGTCGGTGGAGGATTGAATGAAGATCTCATAGTGCCAGGCTCAAAGCAAAAGAAGCTCTCGCGACATGGCATCCCAGTCCCCAACATGCCCACCGGCGTGATCCGGAAGCTGGCCACCCGGTTTGCACCGGCAAGGGCTGGGTCGAAATCTAAAATCAACAAAGCAACCTTGGCAGCAATCGAGCAAGCGTCATCATGGTACTTTGAACAAGTGAGCCAAGATTTGGCTGCCTACTCCAAGCACGCCGGACGAAAGACAATCGATGAAAGTGATGTTACCACTCTCATCCGAAGGTGAGCTGCGAATTTCTAAACCATCCATCCTGATTGAATGCTGACCTTCCAGGCAACGCCATATCAACAACTCAACCACAATGTTCTCTCTGGCACAGAAGCACTTGCCCAAGGAACTCTTGCAAGATATGAGACTGGCAATGCCGCCATAACCGTACATGAGAAGTAAGCCATTTCCTAACAGAGAAGCCCGAACGCCCGCAAAAAATATGCAAAGGAAATCTAAGGGTATTACCAGTTCCGGTTTTGGCGGACCCGACGTGTGGCCTCATTGGGCCTCTTACGGATGACCATCCACAGCATGATGGATGTTGCTAAGCACAAACCATACCTACCAAGGATCAGCCGGGGAGGGGGTTTGATGCCGATAAATCTCTGGGGGTCTCACCATGTGAAGATGTATTGGCTGTGGTTGTTTCTCAGGTTCACTTCGGCTGCCCGACCAATAGGAATGCCCTTGGCTGTTCTATCATAGAACTCGATCAGATCCGGAACTGCCAGGGTTTTAAGCATTAGCAACATCGCCCACTATACTAAAATATAGCTTAGCATACCCATAGTCTGCTCAATCCACACCGGCTGACTGCCGGTTAGTTCAGCCATCTGGTCAACGTCAGGAAAGTAAAACTTCCCCTGTTCCGGCCTGTTCTCAGGTGTGAACATATTCTTCTTCCAAGGCTCTCGGAGCAAACCCTCAACAGTCACCTCCCCCTGCGGCAGCCCAATTGCTCTATCCTTCTGGTTCATCATTTTTTTTGATATCCAGCCTCTATTCACCAACACTGTGCTCTCGCCCTCTCCTCTTTCCAAAGGCGTCACAACAATGTAGCCATCCTCGCCGTCGCGCATCCGTGGTCCAATCAACATCTCCTGGTCATGTCTGAGCCGGCCCGTAGCATACACTCGACGATAATCAAACTCGGAGATAACATCAGGATCCACCTGTGGGGGTAGCGGAAGAGGAGCTTTCACAAGACGATCCTCGTACTTGGCGATCAATTTCGTCTTCCAATCGAGCCGTTGAATTTGCCAAGTGCCCAGCGCAAACGAGACAATAGGAATGAGAGCTAAGAGCGACATACTCAGTCAGTAAAACCCTTCGATTCCCCCATTTGAGTTGTACCATTATATTCCGTACCTAAGATGATCAAACCCGGACCATGCTTATTACCAGTCCGCACAATCCGCGCAGGATGATCGACGACAGAAAGCCACCTGGGATCATCGGCCAACTGACGAGAGCTGTAGAACCGAATTTGTTGCCGACGACACCTGGCGCAAATCGAATCTAGTTTAAATATCATGCGAGGGTCGCGGAGTGACATGGATACCGGCTGCCATGAGGATGTTGCGGTCCGCTGCAGGACCGAAAAGATCGATCGCATAGCCGATTGGATGTATCGGGCTTACGAAAAGCTTCTGTGTCTCTGTTTAAGCGATTGAAGAGGGACGATGGCGAGAAAGACTGGCAAACCGCAGACTGGGAGACGTGTTGGAGCGGCGACGGGGGTTTGGATCTTTTGAGAAAACGACTCATTCCCGTGATCGGCAACGGATCGCTTTCCCCGATCCGCGCAGCTCCAACCGGGCTGGATATCTACTACCAGCATCTGAGCATCTAATACGGAGTACATCTCCCATTCATTATGTTCTACTCTGGAAGCCTTCAGGAAGGGATCGCATTGGCTGTTAGTCAATCCAAGGCAGTGATCTGCTTTGTTCGAGGTGTGTCTTGTGTATTCATTCACTGGAGCTTGTTCCCCAACCATAAGCCATAAGCTCCACATTATTGTTCACGGACTGACGCCACCACCACCCCTAGATGATAGCGAGACGAGCGCAGAATGGGAGAAAGATTATTTCACGGATGATGAGGTATTATCATTATTCTTCTTCTTAGATCTGGAGACGGAATATCCACCTTTGGTTAACTTATGCTGGCAGTTTGCGCAGTTATTGGACTCAAGATCTGTCCTGTTGCGACTCACTAAGGATAGTCTGGAAGCTGGGTTTCTGACTTCCTTCTGTCCAGTTACTAGGTTTCCTGCGGTTGTGGTCATCAAGTGCGTGATACATATCTTGGAGATGCGGGGTATGAGTTTGGGTTGACAAGTCACAGGAATGGTACCCTCCGCGAGTATATTATACCGGAGATATCGAAGGACACTTTCCACCAGAGGCTTAGGGCTGCTCTTGAGGATATGAATCGACCGGACAATGAAACTACTGCTACGTCAGTACAGAGCAGTAATATTCCGATTCCTACTACACCTGCTCGTGCTGCCACATCCCAGCCAACGCCTGCGCCTGCTGCGGTTGCTCCAGCATCAACAACGGTTGTGCCAAGGCAAGAGCCAGCTCCGACACAACAACCGTCTATTAACGGTAAAAAATCAAGCCCACCCCGAGAAACGAAAAAGACAGAAAGTAGAGATGAATCTCGGCCTATCCCGAAACCATATCCCCAGTCTCTGAAGAAAGATGCGAAGCCTGCCGCTCCAAGGGAGCCAGTAAAGCAGAAGGAACTCCAAGGAAGCAGAATCAGGATACCCCAGGCCAACACAGCCGCCCCAGCAACGGACAAACCAGTAGAGGTACCCCAACCAATACCTCCGAAACAATACCGTCTCCAAGTCCGACTGTTTGACGGGAGCTCCATCCGGTCGAGCTTCTCGCCTTCACAGACAATCCGCGGAGATGTCCGTCCCTGGATTGATAGTCAATATACGGAAGAAAAACGTCCGTATAATCTTAAACACATCCTCACGCCTGAACCCAATCGAACCCTCACCATAGCGGACGAGGAGCAAACGCTTGAAGAACTGGGCCTCGGCTCGTCCGCGAATCTAGTGATGGTTCCGATCAACACATACACCGAAGCCTATTCATCCTCTGCCGCTAGTCTCCCGGTTCGAGCTGCGTCATCTGCATATGGCATTGTTTCATCTGTCGTGGGAACCGCAACTGGTCTCGTTGGATCTATCTTCGGCTACGTGCTACAACCAGCACCAGCCTCCGAAGCCAGCTCCACTACCTCTTCTCCACCGGAGAACAATCGCCCCGGGCAGCGTTTGTCTACGTCCCGCAGCCCTACCATTCGCACCTTGAGGGACCGGCGTGGATCTCGCGATGATAGCCAATTCTATAATGGAAATCAGGTATGTACTTGGCCATGGTTACGGATGTACTATAGTATTGTGGGCTAATTTACTTCTACTGGTATAGCTCAATTTTGAGCCTCGACGGGATGCAGAAGATCAGTCGAGATCGTAATTGTAACCATACGGACTGATGGTGTTTCTGGATGTTGCTCTTGGTATAAGTTTGAGTTTTCGTGGTTTTATATTTTTGTAGCGACAAAATGATTTGCCATCATCCAGGAATGTGGAGACTGTTGAGCTGCAGTATATTTTATTTTTCTCTTATATTTAATCATAGAAACACATCGATGGTAAGCGTACTAAACCAGGTTCCTAATACGCTACATTTGAGGAAAAGAAAAAATATTTTATGAGTGGAATGGGATTTTTTTTGTTTTTTTTTTTTTATCGCCCGCTCAGTCTAACAAGCAGAACGTATAGAATCACACAGAGCCTTCTTGGCGGATATGGTGTTGTATGGTATACAGTATATGGAGAAATATGCAGCTATGCAAAGACATCCAAAATCCCCAGATCAGGCAAAGTCGGCTCATCTTCATACCATGAAGGCCGAAGCCAGCCCAACCTCGCGCCAAAGCTAAAACGTTATTTAACGCATATGGAACAAACCAGAATACATTATAAAAGAGTAGGTAGGTAGGCAGGTATACACCCACCCCAGCGCTTAGTACGGCTTCGCCGCAGCCTGGCAAGCTTTCTGCACGCTGTTAGCATCTTTTCCCCCCTCTCTAGAGAAGCCAATATATGTAAAGGTAGGGTTCAACATACCAGCTGGTCAAGATACCATCCGCAAATAGTCATGTCACCCTTGTTCTCATCCATGCAGTTACGGAAGTTCCGGATATCAGTTGCGCACGCAGAGTTTTCCCAAGAGGTATTTGCGGCGTTGCTCTGCCACAGACCGTTGTCCATGGGCTGGGCCTGAGCAGGAGGCGCCTGTTGAGCCTCGGCAGGAGCACTAGAGCCACCGCTGAAGAGGCCACCGACGGCATGGCCGATGGAGGAACCGATTGCGACACCACTGGAAATATTGTTAGCATTGAATTTTTCCGTTTGAGTTTCACGATATTTTTGATGCCCGGTTGACGGGCTCAAATCTTGCCACTAGGCAGAATAATAGGGATCCTGGTACTTACGCTGCGGTCGATGCCATCTGGCCAAAGAGTCCCGGGCCGGAGCTCTGCTGCACCGGGGCAACAGGAGGAGGTGCCTGCTGTGCGGGAGGGTGAGCAGACGTCGAGTGAGGCTGGTGCTGCTGGGCTTGCGGAGCAGTAGCCGGTCTGGCGGGAGCGGCGGTAGGTCTGGTAGGAGCACTGCGCGCAGTGGGGGCGGCACCACGGCGTTGACGAGCCATATTGATTATTGTGGAGATGGAGACAGAAGCACTTGAGGTGTAGAGATGGTGGTAGGAAGTAGGATAGGGGTCGGTAACTGGTGAAGGATGGACAGTTGGTTATATAGCAGATCGAAGACACTCGAAAGGTCGGCGGAGAAAGTCGAAATCTCCGAAGCAGGGGTCAAATACTCGCTTGCTGATTGGCTGGTAGTGGTGCTTATGTCAACGCTGGCGGCTGTGACTGGTAATTACGGACTTGTGGTAATTACGGTGGTTTACAGTGCAAAATTCTATCTCTATATGGTACTGGATTGTATTATGTATTGTCCTATCTATATGCAAAGCCAACACTACAATTATGCTCTTATCCTATGGACGTATGTACGGTGGCTAAGAAGATTACGAATTTCAGGTACCTAATATTCTAAAGTTCATTATACATGGATAGTGACGGTATTCGTCATCGTTGTTCTAGCAGTTGCTATGGCCACTTCCTTCTAGATCCACTTAAACTCAGCTGACAGGAGCAATGTCTAAGCACATGAGAATATGATCAAGTAGCCACTCTTCGTCATCAACAGACGAAGTTTCATAACCATAGTAATGGAAGGCCTTCCAGACGGCGGAACCATATGCGGCCACGTCTCGTGGCTTCATAGGATGAATGTCAACAGCAAATGCTCAACGATATCTTCTCCGCTCCTTCCTATTCCGCTTGCCGTTGGTTATATGCCCGAGTGTGTGATCCCGCGTATCAAAGATTTTCGTATGCAAATCCTGCCTATGCTGAAATAAACAGATGGATAGGCCTATATGATGGACCAGGTAGCAATCACGTTTGAGCCAGATACATTCAAGCTCTATTCTTCGGGAAGGAACATACATATTCCTCCGCACGTTCTTTCCATCCATGCAAAGTGATAATTTCGGGAGCAGTCCAGTATCACGCCTTCTGATTAGGACCAGCTGATCATAATGTGACCATGTCATCATTGGCCCATGAATGGTAGTGATGTTCGTATATCATTGCGATGTCTTCTTTGCCTTCCGGGCTTCTCTCTTCTTTTTTCGTCTTTCCCTTTTCACTTCGCTTCGGCCTTCTTTACTGCGCTTTTTCTTCTGTTTAGACTTTACATTTTCACTACTGTTCTTCATCTTCTTTTGCTTCTCGAGACCGGTGGGCTGTGCGGTAATCTTCGGTCGTTCGGTTGAGGCTTCGCCCTCAGCTTCATCGTCTGAACAGGAGTTTGATTGAGAGCCCGAGTCGCTTGTAGGATTCTTAGATGATCGCCCAGACGCGGTGCCTTCCTTCTTAGCGAGAAGCGATGCTTTCAACTGAGCCCGCGCCTTTTCTTTCGCTTCCTGTTCTTTGCGTTGCATGTCTAATTTGTCGTTCCCAGCCTTGTGAAAGTTAGCCGTGATGTATAGTTAACGTACTACGAAAAAAAATGACAAAGAACATACCAGACTATGTTTAATGAAACGTGCTGCGGCTTGTTTGTCAAGCGTCATGGTTCTCTGCTCTGGTTCTGTTTCTAGAGCCTTAATCTTTTCGAAGTATTGCTTGACTCGCGTCAGTTCCCGAAAAACTGGGTGGTCTTTGGCTTTCACGCCATTGAGACGCAAATAAGCTACCATCCAATTAGCAAATACAGCAAATAAAGTGAATTGTATTTTAAATAATAAAATACATACAAAAGATAAGCGACTCCAGAGCATATGTAACCAAGACATGATATTTTGCCTTGTCCAAAACAGGAAGTTTTTTCGACGTCTCGGTGATAGCCGTGTTCAGAAGAGGCCCAAGAGCCTCTTCCAAATCATCGACACTGTCATCCAGCTGATCGAGAAGTAGAAGTAAATCAGCAGTCTCCATGCTGTGTTGTGAACAATTAATTGCAGACGATGATGGTTCTTGATCCAGCTGGACAATAATGTCGATTTTTTATCTCCGGGCGGTGAGGCGAGCGGTCGAGAGCTTCTTTGTCTGCTTCTTTGTCGCTCTCAACATCATGAGGAGATCCGTCTCTCCCACTAGCTCTCTCGAGTCGTATGATCCTTGTGAGATTTCTACAAATAGCCTGGGGCATAATGCGGAGCTGATGAATTTTTGTTTGTTTTATAGCTCACCAGTGCACTACACCAATTCCGTGGGTCTTATCATCAGTTCTTCAAAGTGTCGTACATATTAGGGTGCCGTCCGCTTTTGCGGACAGGCATTTCAGAATTATGTCTCTGTACAAGGAGTAATTATGTGCAAGGGAACTCCAATAGATTCATGTCTACGTGGATTCAGGATGCAGACGAATTGTCAAGGGATAGCGGGAAGCGCCGCTTGTCAGGACGCATACATATCCTCGGGTTAGGCAATGTTGGGACCTTCGTCGCTCACTCACTTGCAAGTCGAGCATCGCCGCCCCCTATTACGCTTTTGCTGCACAATCCAGATCTATACAGAACCTGGCTGGCGAAGAAGAAGTGCTTAGCAGTTAACACCAATGGCCTGGATGACATCAAAACGGGCTTTGACATTAATGTTCTAGGTGACAAGACCTGGCATTCCCTACCATATTGGAACAAAGATGGTACGCCAGAAGAGGGTATCGAAAGCCAAGAGGCCAACGTTGAAGAATCACTGGCCCGGTCAGCAGAAGATGACGAGCATATTGAATGCTTAATTGTGACTGTCAAGGCGCCGGTAACTGCAATGGCTTTGGAATCAGTCAGCCACCGTCTGACTCCTGATTCCACCGTTCTTTTTCTCCAAAATGGTATGGGCGTTATCGACGAGATAAACAAGAAGATTTTCCCTGAACCGCATCAACGTCCACACTACATGCAAGGTATCATCTCACATGGTTTGGCGCGACGGCGGGATCATTTCCAGGTCTCCCATACGGGAGTTGGCTCAACAATCCTGGGCCGAGTTCCCTCTCCTGGTACTATATCTCCAGCAAACGAAAATGATGTAGATTGGGTTCCAAGTACTAAATATCTCATGCGCACCTTGACCCTCACGCCGCCGCTTGTTGCTGTTGCAGAAACCCCTTCCGCCCTCATGTTATACCAACTTGAGAAGCTGGCGATGAATGCAGTGATCAACCCTTTAACAGCCGTGATGGACTGCGAGAATGGCGAGCTTCTATACAACTACAGCATGACACGCGTAATGCGCTTACTTCTCATGGAAATCTCAAGTGTGATATGCGCCTTACCGGAACTACAGGGCATCCCTGGGATTGAAAGCCGTTTCTCTCCAGAACGACTCCGATGGATGGTTACGCAGCTTGCCAATCAAACTGCAAAGAACCACAGTTCGATGCTGCAAGATGTTCGGTCTAGGAAAACAACCGAAATCGAGTATGTCAACGGCTACATTGTGCGCAGGGGCGAAGAGATCGGCATCAAATGCGTGGTGAATTACATGATGAAACATCTGGTCCTTGCCAAACAACAGAGTTCGAAGCAGAGAGAATCCGGCGCCATCCCGGTTGATTTGCTAAATGGCATATAATATTTGCATATCCCACCTCCCATCTCCGATCCGATCGGGAGGATTATATATTCCATTAGCTTTCCCTGTTTCTATGAAGTTGCAGATTGTTGGGCTTGGTCGCAGAGCTCTTCGATTTGACTCCAGCGTTTGAGCAGTGAATCGATCTTTTCTTGATCCTTCCGTTCCACTTTGCTGGATCTAATCTTCTCCAATGATGTGATCGTAGTATTTGCCTCGTTGCTATACGTTTTGATCCATCCTTGAATGATTTCATTCGTCTTGTCGGCGTCAACACCTTTCGTGGAGTAACCAAGGACATAACTTCGCCAATCTCCAAGCGCCATGTATTTTATACAAGCAGCGACCTCAGTGCGGTAGCAGACACCAGAAGCTGTTAATTGATAATTCCTGGAGACATATTGATAAGCCGAATGTTCTCAACACAACGACTGTATGGAATGCGAAGTTCGAGGGGCATTAAGCATACCCATAATATTGTTCGAACTCCAGTTCCCTCTGCAGGTTTGCACTGAGGTCTCGGAATATGACGTCGTCAAGATAAAGTGTTTCTGACTTATTCTCGTCAAGATAAAAGCCATCTAAGACCAAATTAGTAGATTGCAAAATCTAAACCGAACGCGATCTCACATTCTGTATATAAGAAATCATTAGGATGAGGACCGTAGCTCATGTATATCTCTTCTCCTTTATCTGCAATTCACTGTTAATACGTTTCCTTCTGGACAATTTTCACATGGCTTCGAAGAATTGTAGTATTTACCATAGTGTTTTGTTGCCCGAAAAATGTAATTCCGGCCGTCAAACTTCACATTGCACTGTAGAAGAGGAAATCAGCACTAAAGTCTCAGACTAATCGCATAGGCAACCAAAATGCATACTGCAACGTCAGAGTGATTAAAATAATCAGCAAAAGGCAGCAACGCCATAGCCTCGTTCCGATCCTCGGGTGGCTCCTGGCCAGGCATCAAGAAGAAAAAGCTCCTCGTGTTGACAATTAACCAATGATAGGAGAACGCTTCCCAACTGATATCTGGGAAGACAGCCACGACGGTATCCCAGGCGTCACGTAATCGCTTCTCCTGCCGAGCGAGGAGATTCTGATGACGGGACTCGTACTCGTACTCCCTTTTTCCCTTTTGGATACTATTCCATGACCCAGAGATTGACGGGGGGAGAAGAGTTCGCGGAGATGAATGGGATTTCGCTTTGCTGATGGGGTCCCGTAGTAATGATGGCCATAAAATAGGCATGGTGTTTTCGAAATCTTGTCGACTTGGCCAAGTCTTTCTCCAGGCGTCGTAGTGTTGAAGATCTTCAGGATCCCCGTTGGTGAAGAATGCAGCATATAGTGTGTGGACGGAACATCCGCCGGGGAACTTGCTGATGAATGAGGATGGGATGGAGTTGGTCGTTAACATAGCTTTCAACGGCACCGTCACAATAGCTTCATCTTCCTGGGGTTGTTTTAGTATATTTCATAACGCAATGTAGGAGACTGGGTCCCGCACTTCTATATTTCGTGTGGCTATCATGCCCAGGGCACGACCTGGGAACCGAGCAGGACCTACTCCATTTATAATGATGCCTTGGGAAATAGCCCATTCGGTAAACAATTCATGTTCCTCTCCAGGCGAACAATTCGGTCTCATTCTTGCAGTTCAGCCCAACAAGTGGTGGATTGTAGATGGATGAAGATCAATGTAACTGATATAACTATTACTGTACTGATGGAATTAAGACAAAAGGTTTTATGGAAGAATTCTGGAGCTACAGGTCTCCATCACTGTGACTTAATGGCTGTCGATCATGGCAGTTCTGGAAGGAAAAATCGCGATTTTATAATAATTATTATTATTGATAACTATCTTATCGATCTTTATCGGCGGTACGGCACCGCAGAGGTACCGTTCACGCCAATCAACCTTCTCCGAGCATCGTACCACCTGACCGATCAATATCTCTTCGTCTTCCATGTGGACACGGTCATGCTCCCAATGACGTGTCGCCCTTTGGACTCATAATGTCGGTCCTTAGGAAGCGTACAGCAATCTTCGTTGCTCAAGAATTAACACCTGCAGTGCGTATTACTCTAAGCTGTCGCACTCAACACTTTTCCCTCTTCAGCCGTCCGTCGCAGCAATACCCTGGTCATGTCCCATTGAACTTTGTTGAGCGCGGTGCCCTGGCGTTCGGTTCTGCGTTCGGTGCTCTCTTAAACCCCCGACGAGCAGGTACGATACCCGAGTAATTTTTTTTTTTTTTTTTTTGTACAGCCATTGATTCCTAGATCACTGCCTACGTGGACGAAACATTAACCTCAGCTTTTGCCTAGATCTCATCGCTGCCTGTGGTGAAGCAACCGCAACACCATATTTTATATACCGTCTTCGCGATGCCATGCTTTCAGACCCAACCGGCCGACAAATCCTTCGTGACCGTCCGCGCATCACCTCTGACACCCTCCCATTGCCCTATCTCCGCTCACTACCAGAGAACTCCGTGGGCCGTACCTATGCGGCGTGGCTTGACCGGGAAGGCGTTTCGCCCGACACGCGCGACGATGTAAAGTACATCGATGATGAAGAGTGTGCATACGTCATGCAGCGGTATCGGGAATGTCATGATTTCTACCATGCGGTAACTGGTTTGCCGACCTTTGTGGAGGGGGAATTGGCCCTCAAAGGGTTTGAGTTTCTGAATACGCTTATTCCCATGACGGGGTTGAGTATGTTTGCCTCGGTGCGGTTGAAGCCTGCTGAGCGGGAACGGCTTTTTTCGTTGTATCTTCCTTGGGCTGTGCGGAGTGGGCTTTCAAGTAAGGAATTGATCAATGTATACTGGGAGAAGATTCTGGAGAAGGATGTTGATGAGTTGCGGCGTGAGTTGGGCATTGAGCGACCCCCAGACATGAGGGAGATTCGGCGCATGATTAGAGAGCAGCGGAAGAGGGAAAAACAGAAGTTAGAAAAACAGTCCGCATAGGGTAGCTTTTGATAGGCTTCGGGACTGTTTTATGTATATTATTGCCACTCAGTAGTCTTTAGTGGCCATGGACAATAGATGATGTATTTTTATTCATTATGCTATATTATATTAACTTATTATTGATTATTTTATTCTGCTATAGGGCTGTGGACGGAGCTCGGCTGCAATTTCTCAGGTCAGAATTACACAGACCAGGATTGTCAAAGCTCCCGGGAATCTGTGAAGTATCTATCCTGGCTTAGTTCCCAAGTGTAAGAGGTAAAGAAAGCGCTGTGCAAAGAAGAATATCAGTTGCACCGTAGCCAGTCGTGAAAGCCTAGAATTCTCTTGGAAAGAACGAAGACGGAGGTATCAGGAGGGGAATTCGCAGAAAGCATGAACCACCAAACTAAATGATCTTGAATGATAGCGAATCTTAACTTCAGAGATCTAACAAATCATCATCATCATCCCAGCCACCTTTACGCCTGTTAAACACCACTTTTTGTTCCTCCTCATCCTTCCTTTGATTCTCTGCAACGGCGTTTAGCAGTTGCTTGAGTTGCTCCTCATTCACCTTTTGCCGTAGCTGACCCGTTTGAGCCAGCATGATGAGTCGGTTTTCAATATCCGCCGCACGCGATTCTTTGACAAGGCGGATACGGCCGAGGCGATCAGCGGCCTCGGGTTCGAGGATTTGACTTAAAATCGCGGAGCGACGCTCGTCTAGTAGGAAATTTATGGTGAGTGGTAAGCTTAAACAGTGCGATTGGGCCTTGTCTTGGGTTCTCTGCTACCCATCGACGACGTGGGTATGGGAAGTTCTCGAGGCTTACTCTCGGCTTGTCTGTAAAGTATCAGTTAGTGAATGTGATCGCACAGAGTTAAGTTCCAGACAGAAGTGGATTGGCCATACTTTCTCTGCTCTTCTTGGCCCTCAGAACCAGCTCCTCGTGGCGCACCACCCTGCTGCTGCTGAAGCTGCGCAAGCCGGGCGCGTCTAATCTATTTAAATTGTGAGTCGATGATTGGTCATTTTATTTTACACAAGTGAAATGAATTAAATCACATAGAGTGTGAACATGGCAAGGGTAGGTAAAAAAAGAAAAAAAGAAATCTAACCTCCTCCAGCTCTGCGTCCGCCATGACTTGTGGGTAGAATGGTCGTTTAATTAAGCTCCAGGTATGTAAGAACGTATGATGCAGTTTCCCTTATTTGCCCTAAGGCTCTAGGAATATGGGTATGGATTGGGGACTGGATATACGACAATGAACAATTGAGTGATGCACTCGAACGTATGAAGTTTCAAACCCCACTTTTATGTTGCCTGAGGCACCAAGGCCTCGCATGGGGGTGGGGCTCCATGAGGTGCCTATTCATTGCCGTATTGGGTAAACCCTATTGGCACTAGCTGTGGGACTCCATATGTACTGTGTACCAACTAGTGACAGATAGTGTGGGTTGGACAGGGGAGAAATATGGTAAGGAAAGTGGCGATAGTAGTGACATGTGCGACCGGGATGGAACCAACGGCATGCCACGGCAATTATAGGCTGAAAGAGGCGGTCGTAGATATAGCATGGCAACTAGAATGGCTGGGAAGATGTTTCACAAATTAATTGATAATCCTTTGTTTGCTGCATGTGTCGTCATCGGTTGCCAAGAACCAAGTCGGTCTCACCCACTCCACAGCTATTTTGAGAATAAGATCGCCTAAACTGTCCTGCGGTATGGTCGGAGGGTGGCTGTGAGACAATCGCACGGTCTTTGTAAGGGAGTCATCACTATTTATTGAAGCTTGTAGCACTGCAATTGAGTTCTGACCCAATAGTTAGATACTATCTTTTGCCGGGGTGGTACCTGAGCCAAAATAGCTTTCTGGAATTCAGACAGGGGAAAACAAGCCGATCTTCCTCTCACAATGAACTTTCCTGGCGCAGTAACCTGCGCAACATCCCGGAGCTAGTCTGGAGTACCGAGGACCACTACTCAGCAACAACAACAACAATAATAATAATAACTACTAAATACTATGCCGTAGAAATAACCAAATGGCCTGTGACTGACGATCGGCTTTGCCTGATCCCGTTACGGTGGCTGCTGGGCTGACTAAGGCTCCTTGCCTCCAACCTCCAACCAAATCTTCGCATTCAGTTCTTCCTTACATAGACGAGGCTTCGTCTCCTCTTCTCCTCGGTCTAACTCAACTAATTCACTAACTGTACGGGGCTAAACTGCTTCGATCCTAAGTCTCCTCCTCCCTTGAACTGATTCCCACTACGATCCGATCCCTTAAGCGCCTGCCTGCAACAAGGAGGGGTTTCTCCGACCACTGCGCCTTTCTTTCGTCACTACTCTGTAGTAACCATACTCTCCGGATCCATTCCCTCCTCTTCTGTCTATCATTGAACTTCATTCCCTTCTTTCTCATCCTTTAAGCTATCTCCGCTTCCTTTCCGACCTCCTATCTTCCCGATCTTACTGTCAGGCTATTCAATGCTTCACATCCCGACCGGATAGCAGCTCTCCAGTCTGCGCACTGGCAGGACGTTGCCTTACTTGGAACCCCCCCCTACTTTCTCTATTGCAGGCACACATTCCCAGCACTCTTTCCATTGTCCAGTATATCGAATGAGAAGATCGGACATACTATAGACGTGGTTGTGATACATCTTGGATACCCGCTGTCTCATCAGCTTCCCGCTACTATGGCCGAGTACGTTCTTTGATTCCCGAGATTGTCCAAAAGTTATCCTCCCTGTGCGATAAGCGCTGACTCCATGGTCAGTCTAATTTCATTCCACTCTTATTATTCACGACACAGCCTCCTCTCCCCATCCACGATGCTTCCGCGTCCCAGTCATAAACGATCCCTGTCTTCGGAGAACCGGTCCTCCTCTCCTGATAGAACTCTTACGAAGGCCAAGTCTACAAATGACCTCTCTCGAGTTGTGACCGGTAAAGCTGCACCGGTAACTCGATCCACGAGTGCGGGAGACATCCCCGAGAGTGGCTTCAGTACCTTAAAAGATCCTCGACTTGGAAGCCTCCCAGATACGTCAGACGAGTCGTCATCGACGTCACACCACCCAGATTTAAGCAGCGAGGTTGCTGCTCTGAGCGTCAAACTGGTTCAAGCGATCAATAATCAAACAACTCTCGACGATAATTTAGTCGCCACCCGCCAAGACTTGGAGCTAGCCAAGAGCAAAATTTGCTCTCTAGAAGCCGAGAACGAGAAATATCGTCGAGATATTGATGAAGAGATTCTTATAAAGAAGTCCGATGTGGACTACGAGATTTTGCGTCTAAAAGCTGCCCTAGCAGATGAAAAAGCGCAGCGTGCTCTAGTTGAGAAGGAGAAAAAGGGTATTGAACAAGAGCTTGAGACTCTTACCGCAGCTCTTTTCGAAGAGGCAAATAAGGTATGTTATCTAGTAGTTACCCAGTCTAGTCAAAAGAATTTGTCTTACCTCTTACATAGATGGTGGCTGCTGCGAAACTTGAGCGTGAAGCAGTAGAAAAGAAAAATGAGCAGCTCCGTTCCCAGATTAAGGATACTGAGTCGCTGCTTGCTTCGCATCAAGAACAATTGGCTGAGCTGAAGTCTGTTTTGCACGGGGCGAACCTCTCCAGGGACGACATCGAGGCCGGTACAATCATGTCCACAGCACCATCGTCACCCGCGGTTCCGCAGCAGTCGCCGGAGATCATTAAGAACAGTGCCGAAAACTCTGCTGTCCTGGATATGATGCCATACTCCGAGGAGCTAGTCCCTGGGCCCTCGACCTCTTTCCCGCAGTTCATCAAGTCTGTCTGCCGAACAGATCTGCCCGCATTCGAGGATTTCCGGGACCTCTTCCACTTAACGGCACATGCTTCGAAGCCTCCTAGTAGGACTACCAGTGGATCGTACACGGGTCTGAATGTCATGAGTTTGGCCAGTTTCGGTGGCAGTGCGTTCGGATCAGCATCTTCGTCTCCCGCCAAGTCCCAGACTCACTCCCCTAATGGAAGCCTGTCCTCGCCGCAGCCCACGAATTCCCATATTCCTCTGAAAGAGACCAAGTTTTATAAGCGTGTATTGAATGAGGACATTGAGCCGACGCTGCGGCTTGACGCTGCTCCCGGAATCTCTTGGTTAACTCGACGTTCGGTATTGAGTGGTATTTGTGAAGGAACGCTCCTGGTGGAGCCAATGCCTCCAGCGACGAAAAAATTCGAATTTCCCTGCTCGCTTTGTGGAGAGCGCAGAAGTGGCACTGTAAATGAGAGAACCCATCGTTTTCGAACGTCCGATAGTGAGACGGCTCAGCGTTATCCTTTATGTGTGCTCTGTCTGGAAAAAGTACGGTCCGCTTGCGAGTTCACTGGTTATCTTCGCCTTATCCTCGATGGGCATATCCGTGCCGGCGATACAGAAGAGGAAAAGGATTTCTGGGAAGAAACTATTCGCTTAAGAGAAAGGATGTTCTGGTCCCGAATTGGTGGGGGCATTGTCCCCATATTTTCCCATCCCAACGATATAGTGACTCCTTCAGATACGAGAGAGGAATTTACTGATGCTACCGTCAGCAGTTCAGTTGAAAGTCAACAAAACGCTGATTGCCAACCTACCGAGAGCACTACTGTGCAAATCGAACATGATGAGGACAAAAAGCATGGCCATCATAATCACCGGGATTCCTTGCAAGAGGACCCATTTTTCTGTACTCCTTCCGAATCACCAGCTAGCAATGTCGCGGTTTCACCATTGCATGATATCAGTGGAGCCCAGGGACTGAATACGACTACCAATGTTGAAGTCTCTAAGCAACTCAGTAGCGAGGTGACTGTTCCTATCGACGCCGCTGACGACAATGAAACATCAGAAGTTCCAATTCAAGCTGATGATTTAACGGCCGAGGAGACCACAGCCAATAGCGGCGAAAAAGAGACTAGTAGAAACTGAAGTCGAGAACCGCGAGCGGTATCGGCTTATGTGACGTCATTTTTATTTTTCTCCAGTTTATTTATTCCCTTATACTTAATTTCTTTCCCGCTTGACTGCTCAACTAATTCTTTACTCCTATCGCCAAGCAGTCTGCGTCCTGTATTAATATTGGTCTATTTCTCTATGTACAGTTTTTCTTATTCCTTTCATTTCGTTTGCTATCTTTGAGGGCAATCAGGTTCCCATGACTATTTCCGAATCTTGTACAGATGATGACTCTTATATGAGCGTCAACTTTTGTTCTCTGCCCTTTTCTTCTCTTTCCTACCCACTTACCATTATTATATGTTCGGCGCTTACTTCCTCTTTTCCTCCTTAGTGGGTCCATGTTACACTGTTTTGCTGTTGCCTTGGTTTTATGCGAGATGCATAACAGCGATGTCAGAATTTAATGTATGCAGTGAACGATACAGCTACGCAAGTCGATGGCTACTATCTTGCGCATATAGCCTCAATATCTTGCTAATTATGATTTATTTAGCCCATTTTCATATGCGCTCTTCGTATTATAGACTTGTAATATTACATTAATTAATTATAAAAGAGCCCATAGGAGACGAAGGCGTGGAAGTAGAGGCATAACTGCACGCTTAAAAGTAAGGCCGGGGTAAAGATGCGTATAAAAGTTGGCTGGTGTCAAATTATTCGAATAGAAGAACCATGGTATATGTCTACTAATAAACACTATCTACTATCATACCACACGAAAGCACCAGAAAACGAGATTGTAATAGAGAACGTGTACTTTACAACCGAAGCGGATATACGACTTCGTAATGGAAATATCAACGTTTAAAAGACCGTAAAACTCCAGATCAGAAACGCCCATGACACGGCCCAAATCCGCCCCCCAAAGTACATCGTGTAGTGATTTTCTTTTCAATCATTGCTTAGCACGTTCCCGAATATGCCTGATTTGTTCCTCAATAGTCATGCTCTGAGGATTGGGTGGACCGCCTGAAGGGCCGACCATTGGCGGCGTGGGTCCAGCTCCAGGGGTTGCTTCGTAGGCCATTCGTTTCTTTCGAGCTTCGTCCTCGGGATCCACTGCATTAGGGAGGACAGTAGAGTCGAAGACGTCGCTTCGCTGACTGGCGAGACGTTTGAGATTGTTGACCACGTCCGCGGTTGAAAGGTTGGTTGTTGCGCTTCGGGACTCCGCCTTGGCACGCTGTTCTTTCCAGCGAGGATCCAGCAATTCAATACGCATGTGCTGCTCCAGTTCTGCGACGGGAATCTGCTGGTTACAGTTGGGACAGAGCGCCGTTGGTCCGGTCTGGTTGAGACGGCGGGCCTGTGCACGGGGGACGTAATCAGAACGGATGCGCATCGGTTGCTGGCCAGGAGCAGCTTTGGCGGCAGCCTGGGCAGCGGCGGCTTGTTCACGCGCCTCGGCACGCTCACGAATACGTTGCTCTTCTTCCTGGCCGGCGGCGACTGCGATTGGAGGAGCAGCAGGGATAGGCTGAGGGGGTAGACCCTGGGGGTAGGATGGTCCGGCTGGCTGGACCATAGGTTGCGGAACTGGCTCTGGCTGTGTAGGATAGGCATTATAGTATGTCGGCAACTCCTCATCAGTGGGCATGGCTTCCTCAATGCGAAGAGGGTTCAGTGACATCATGGCTTTCTGCTCGAGGGAAGCAGATTGGAGGTCATTTAGCGAGGTCGGGGGAGGAAGGTCAGCCTGGTCGTCAGACTCATTAAATAGAACAGTCTCAACAACCATGAAGTCATGCCAGTCAATTTGTGCATATGCTATTTTCTCTTGCTCTTCTTCTTCCTCCTTCTTCTGTTTCTGCTGCTCCTGAAATTTTACCCATTCAGCGCGCTGTTTGGCTCGATCCAGAATATGGTACTTGTTTTTCACGTTATGTTCCAGCTCTGCAAGACGGTTTTTCTCTGTCGTAGCTGCATCGATACCCTCTGAGCGTAAGAGGATGGTGTACTGGTCCACCAATCGCGTGAAAAACTGATAGAGACTATGTTGCGGTCGAAGGAAGTCGAACTGGAAATTTCTGGTTTCTCGCTGAGACAGTGCGGTCATGAAAGATTTCCCCCTTTTAGCAACAAACAAGGCCGTGAGCTTAACGACTTCCAAATCCTGCGCGTTTATTATAGGTATCCTGGCTGAGAAGTGAAACTCTGGAGGTTCCTTAGGTCCCTTCGGGGCTTCAGGCTCAGGCTGCGCCGCTCCCTCTCCAGGTCGGCCTGCAGAGACAGAAGTCCCCCGTCCCTCCTTGATCTCTGTAAGGCGCCATTGATAGAATGTTGCATAAGGATCTTCGGGATTGAGGAAAGAAAATTTGGGGTTGCTGCGTTCCTTTTCGCGGACACGATCTAAAGGACCATCGTTAACGTAGGGTGGCGAAACAATAGGGATATCTGATTACGCACCTTCAAAAACAATACCATTGCGAGCCACATAGCCGGCCGTTTTCTCCACAATGGCTAATCAACACGTCAGTGCGTCTTTTTAATTTGGCGACTGGTCCAGGAGTTGAACTGACCTCGAATATCCTTCGGTGGCAACACCACCCCTTCAGGGGGCTTGTTCACCTCATCCAGCAAAGTGGGCGTATTTCCATTGCTCACAGATGCCATGTTCGAGACGCAGACCCAATCGATAATGGGCTTGGGTGCAGATGCTGGGAACAGATCCAAGTTCTTGCTGACCGTCTTTGCATTTACCATTTTGGCTTGCCTTACCTCATCCTTGGCGGCTAACTACGGGCGGCGGCAACGAGCGCGCGCGTAACATGGCCGCCTAACCGGAAAAGGAGAAATCTCCCGTGAACCCTAAAATAGCAGAACATACTGAGTTCATCGTGGGTATACATTACTCCGTATTATTCAGTAAATAAGCAACGGTCCGATGAAAGATTAATTTCGAGGTATATATTAAGCTATATTGCTACTTCATGTAGAATGCAGGGGTCGTTCACTATTTATGTTGGGTGTAGCATTGCAAAACCGTAATTGAGCTCTTTGATTGGGCAATCTTCTGGCTGTAGATTTTCCTGCCTTTTTTTGAATTTTCTTTTCTTTTCATTTCTATAATCCTCATCTTGCATATGTGTATGCTTCAAGGAGTCTACTCCATAAATGGAGGCAGACTGGCAACAAGTAATACAGAATGAACGTGACGGCGGAAGGCTGGCGTCTCTCCTTCCGCCGACGATCTGTCCTTAAACCGGACTACGCATTCATCCGCCTCCCTGATCGCTCCACACATGTTGCCTCGCTGTCTTACTCCTCATAAGTTCATGTATCCCGTTTGAGCTTTCCCCTCTGCCATGGCGCATCTTGTCGTCCTATTCTACACTCGTTAATTAATTTTCCATTCCCTATTTGCCTTGATTCCTCTGGCGTGGAGTTGTTAGAAAGCTCCCTCCGGAGTTGGGGCAATCTTCTGCAACTCGCGCGGGCCACATTGCTACATCGTGACATCGTTTGATGATTTACTTTCTTCCTTTCTCTTTTCTTACTCGGATACAATTGATGCAATTTATTGATTGAGAGCTTGCACTTCTTTAGATTCACTGTGCCTAACTCCGTGGGAGTCCTAGCTCGACAATGGCTCCCAAATCCAAAGAAGCCCTAGAGGTTCAGCCTCGTTCGGGCTCTCAGCGCTCTCCTAGTCGCTCCCCCAAGCCTAAGAATCGCAAGAAGACGCCTGCGAGCATGTCAAGTTATGCTTCAGAAGGTGTTAGAGATAACAACATCTTCAATCTTCCCACATCTGACTACAAAGCTCTCGTCTTGGTCACTATGGTTGCTGCTGTTGTTCGTTTGTTCAGAATTTACCAGCCGTCTAGCGTGGTGTTTGACGAAGTCCAGTATGTGCCTCGCTATCTGCAATATGATTTTGATTCGAGCTAATGGTTTTGCTCGCTTTTTATAGTTTCGGAGGTTTCGCAACGAAATATATCAAGGGTCGTTTTTTCATGGATGTTCACCCTCCTCTTGCCAAACTCCTCATTACATTGGCGGGCTGGCTGGCTGGATTTGATGGAGATTTCGATTTTAAGGAAATTGGAAAGGATTATATCGAACCCAAAGTCCCTTATGTTGCGATGCGCATGCTTCCAGCCGTCTTGGGCATTCTGACAGTCCCACTGATGTTTTTAACTCTCAAAGCATCGGGATGCCGCACTGTTGCTGCTGTGTTGGGGTCTGGTGTGGTGATATTTGGTATGGTTTCATCTATCTAATAAAGTCGATGCACCGCTGACCGGTCATAGAAAATGGTTTAATCACTCAGTCTCGCTTAATCCTTCTGGACTCGCCATTGGTTTTCTTCACTGCGCTCACAGCCCTGGCATTCACATGTTTCACAAACCAGCACGAATTAGGGCCTACCCATGCTTTCCGTGGGCCCTGGTGGTTTTGGTTGGCTTCAACCGGTCTCTGTCTGGGTGCGACTCTAAGTGTGAAGTGGGTTGGGTTGTTCACAGTTGCTTGGGTTGGCTCTCTTACCGTCCTCCAATTGTGGGTACTTCTTGGTGACTCTAAGACCGTTACATCGGTATGGCTTCAAAGTTTCCGATCTTCCTCATGATTGTGGTTGGAGATTGCTGATACTTAGTGACTTAGCGCTTATGGTTTAAACACTTCCTTGCCCGTGTCTTCTGCTTAATTATCATTCCGTTGGGATTTTACTGCGGAATGTTCGCTATCCATTTTCTGTGCTTGGTTAACCCAGGAGAAGGTGATGGATTCATGTCTTCAGAATTCCAGGCAACGTTGAACTCGAAATCGATGCAAGACGTTCCAGCCGACGTCGTATTCGGCTCCCGCATCAGTATCCGTCACCTCAATACACAGGGTGGCTATCTTCATTCCCACAGCCATATGTACCCCACAGGGAGCAAACAACAGCAGGTCACTCTTTATCCTCACAAGGATGAGAACAACATCTTTATTGCTGAAAACCAAACCCAACCTATTGGTCCGGATGGGGAAATTGAGGGCCCATTTGCCTGGGATAACATTACTGCCGAATACATCGAAGATGGCTCTGTAATTCGACTCAACCACTTGATGACGCGCCGAAGAATTCATTCACATGATGAGAAACCTCCCGTTACAGATTCAGACTGGCAATTTGAGGTATCTGCTTACGGCTTCGATGGCTTCCCTGGTGACGCAAATGACTTTTTCCGAGTGGAAATTGTGAAGTCTATGTCTGACGGAGAGGAAGCAAAGAAGCGTCTGCGAACCATTCAAAGCAAGTTCCGCTTGGTACACGTCATGACTGGCTGTGTTCTATTTTCCCACAAGGTCAAGCTCCCTGAATGGGCATATGAACAGCAGGAAGTGACATGCGCAAAGGGGGGTACCCTGCCTAACAGTGTCTGGTACGTCGAGGCAAATGCTCACCCTATGTTGCCTGAGGATGCAGAGAAAGTCAACTACCGAAACCCTGGTTTCCTCGGTAAATTCTGGGAACTTCAGAAGGTGATGTGGAGGACCAATGCCGGTTTGACTGAGTCTCACGCTTGGGATTCACGTCCCCCGTCGTGGCCAACATTGCTCCGGGGTATCAACTTCTGGGGTAAAGATCACCGCCAAATTTACCTGCTCGGGAATCCATTCATATGGTGGTCGTCGACTGTAGCCATTGGCGTCTATATCCTGTTCAAAGGGATTTCCATTCTTCGCTGGCAGCGAAGCTGTGGTGATTATCGCAACGTCAATTTCAAGAGGTTCGACTACGAGGTCGGCACCAGTGTACTGGGCTGGGCTTTCCACTATTTCCCATTTTATCTCATGGCTCGACAACTTTTCCTTCACCATTACCTCCCTGCGCTTTACTTCGCCCTGATTGCTCTCTGCCAGGAATTTGATTTCCTCGCGAATCGCATTCGGAGTCTTGGATTACCGTCCAGACCCCTTATTGGTAAGGGTTTGGCTAGTATTTTCCTAGCACTTAGCATTTTCACATTCACACTCTATTCGCCTCTTGTCTACGGCAACCCTTGGACACAGGAAGCCTGCCAGAAAGTGAAACTCATGGACACTTGGGATTTTGATTGCAACACTTTCCATACCGACGTAAGTGTTCCAAAATGGCAGCCTCCGCGACGGGGATATTAGACGTACATCCTGACGACTGACTGGCATTAGCTTGGCCAATATGTGACCGAATTCCTACACGAGAGCCCTACTGTACCGACAACGGATACTGCCGCCCCGTCTTCCCAGGCACCTGAGGTGCCAGTGGTGCCACCACCACAGGAAAATCAAGAAGGTTTACAGGAGACGGCTGAAAAAGATGTGCCAGAAGCCAATGTTACCCCGGAGCCTGAGAAACCGCGCTCCAAGGCACGTGTAGAGTACCGAGACCAACATGGAAATCTGTTGGATGAAGAAGTAGTAGCCTCACTGGCAAAAGAAGGTAAAGTGTCGTTTGAAACCCGCCACGAAACCCGAACTCGCCTCGCAAATGGCCACGAAGTCGATATGGTCGATGGTAAAGTTGCGCCGCCGCACCCGGATGTCGAGGGTCAAAACCCTGAAACTTTTGGAAACAAGGAGCATCAACGCAACGAAGAGGGCCCTGCTTCAGCAGCGGGAGAGGGAATTTCCATCGATGAACAGAACTCTCCTGAACCGAAGCCTGCCAGCGAGGGTAATGAGGCCACTCAACTCTGAGCAGCAGAAATATCTACATTTTGGCATTGTTTGCATTCTTTGATTTTCTTCTCAAACTCGGTCCAAATATTCTTCTTCTGTATTTCTTTCTCACGGTAATTTTTTCGTCACTTCTTCTGATGTAACGAAATGTGAATTTGTATATGACTATACCTTCCCCAGAGTTGACAGCCTGCGATCTTGACCTGTTCTTTGAAAGCTTGGAATTTAGCATGCAGCTACAATAAAAAACCGTCTTCACTTGATTTCCGTCAAAAAGAAAACTATGCACAAAGCTCTTACAACACTCGCAACCCCCCATCTTCTAGTCTTCAGTAATTTTAAAATACAGCGATCTGCATTGAGACGTCTCCCAACCTCTGTGGATGAACGGCTTCCCGGTTATATAGTAGACATCTAGTAGTCCCATTCCTCCTTGCCATACTTATTGAATCGTTCGTGGAGATCCTATAAGGAATGTAAGTCAATTACCCGGTCGCAAATGAGATCAGAGTACCGAGAAGAAATTGCAAAGCCTGGAAGTGCACGTACAGCGGGCAGGGTAACATTGGGCACAATGACAGTGTTCAAAGCACTGGGGGCATTCTGGAGAGGCCGGTTCTTGTCACCATGGGGGTGATACTGGTACTTGTAGACCTTGCCGTCGTCCTCACGTTCCCAGGGCATGGCGCTATCACCGATGCGTACGTTACTCTCGGAGGTGACAGAGGTGGGCTTTCTACCGAAGTACCTGATGACAATTTAGGTCAGCACTATGGCTTTGCTTTCAGATGCAATTAACTATTTTTTGGTTCGTCTTATATTTTTGTGTACGGTCCTCGCAAACGGTGACAGAAGGCTAAGGGGAAGCAATTACCATCCAGCGATGAGGAAAGCACCGGACATCACACCAAGCAAAACCTATAGCCCAATTAGAGACGGACTCAATGCTTAATTGATTCGACAACAGATCCGTACATAGAGCTCGGGGTCACGGCGAGGGCCTTTGTCGAGGTTGGCCTCCTCGATCTTGGAGCTGTAAAAACGGCGAGGAGAGGCGCGGAAAAGAGACTGGCGGGTGAAGGCCCGGCGAGAGGCCATAGCAGCAATTGACGACATTCTGAGTGGTGGCAGGATTGGGAGAGTTTGTCAATGAGAACGGGAAGATCTTGGGGGCAAGTGGGAGGATCAGTGGGTGTCGGACGATGATGTTGCCGGCGCATCATCAGGTGACATCCGGTTGGCCCTGTAGGTTAGCTTCCGGTGATTACTCAGCATCTCTATCCCAGGTTAGCCGATTCTATTCAACAACCTAACCGTCTGCCGTGATTGCTACTGCAGGTTGCAAGTGCCAGGGTCTTAGGCTTTTGTCTTTTTGCACGATCTGAAAGCAGCATGGTGGATTAATGTTGCTATGTGATGTGACCAGACCGCTCTTACAATCCTTGCAACTATCTCTTAAGGTTGGTGATGGTTCCTCCCATGCCTTAGTTGGATAGGGGTATATATACCTGTGGTGGTAACCCTTGACTCAAAAAGGTCTAACAAGACTAACGTATCCATCTCCCTCTAGGTTGCTTACGCTCATTTATTTAATCATTAACGATAGTATTCTGAATCTTGATTGCCTTTTAATCTCTTTCGTTTTCACTCCTTACACGACCCATATCGACTGAGGATCCATCCTATACTCGCACATAAATATACACTGCAACTGCTGGGTTAGATCGCGCTCGGAACTGCTTCAATTTTCCCCCTAGCTATAGTATGAGAACCAGCAGTCCTTATCAATAGTGTATTGTTTGTTATCGTCGAAAATCATGGCATTCATTCCAGAGATTTCCGAACATAACGATGTGCTGAACCCCTCCGCTGCGCAACATGGGCTGGGCATCCCTCGCCCTCCTTCTGTTGGTGGAATTTCATCTCGAGTGACGGACATGTCAGATGATGGAGAACAATCGCAATCCTATACCGGAGCATCGTCTCATGCGCCTCGATCGCATCGGTCCGTCTCTAGACGGGGGCCACCCCCTGCAAGAAGTTCCATCGTCACGGCCGCCAGTCAAGGGACGAACAGACCAGGAAGTTCTGGTAGCAGGCTGAGTCGGACCCATATTCCTTCATTGACTGCTCAAGGATTTTTCCGGCCCATGTCTTCGCAGCGTCTCCAAGCCCATCGAGGCCGTCCAGTTACGAATAGAGCAATGGAGTCGGAGGATAATTGGGACTATACAAGCCAAAACAGGCAAAGTTTGGTTTCTAATAGCACACTTCCCCAGAGTTCCATTCCACAAGAGGAAGTCCCTCCATCGCGTGGTACCGAATTTACGGATCCAATACTTCCTGACCGAAACACCTCCAATGCCAGTCCGACTGGTAACACCACCGCTAGAAGTTTAGGGGAGAGTGCCAAACTCCTGCATGACCGAGAACAAAGACATAAAATAGTGCCACCACATCTCAACCTGGCAGCAAACTACAAAAGCACAAACACCAATGAAACTCCCCCAAGATCCTCACTTTCGTTCCTGTCATTGCAAAACAAAAACCTTGGCCAAGAACATCGGGACAATCGAGCTCATGAGCGGCTTTCGTCAGCTGGCTCGTCTCCCGAATCACTTGAAAAGCAGAACCGAACAGTGAACCAAGGAAATCGGGGCAAGAACTACGAATATTTCACTGGGAATACCTTCTTTTGCGGCGGGGGAAGGCTTCAAAATGCTCGGGATAAGCCCGTCAATATCGCGACTAGCGTCTTCGTGGTTTCACCCTCCGTTCTGTTCTTTGTGTTTTCGTATGCAACCCCTTTCGTCTCTTGTGATATGTCCTCGACCAGATACTAACAACATCTAGAGCGCCTTGGCTTTGGCACCATATCTCACCGGCTATCCCGATTCTGTTTGCTTACCTATTTTTCGTGTGCATGTCGTCTTTCGTACATGCTTCTGTAGTTGACCCAGGTGTAAGCACAACCACCAATATGCGTTGCAATGCCTTCTGACGCTAATATTTGATAATTTGCTAGATTATTCCGCGGAATCTCCAGCCAATGCCTCCACCAGAGTCGGATGATCCGTTAGCAATAGGGCCACCGACCAACGATTGGGTCATGGTCAAGCTGGCAACATCCGAAGTGGCAGCAATGGATGTGCCTGTAAAATATTGCAAAACATGCAGTATTTGGCGCCCACCTCGATGCTATCACTGTCGTGTATGTGATAACTGTGTTGAGACACTTGATCACCACTGTGTCTGGCTCAATAACTGCGTTGGTCGCCGCAACTATCGATACTTCTTTACCTTTGTGAGCTCGTCTACGCTGCTTGCTTTATTCTTACTCGGTGCCAGTTTAGCACACGTCTTAGTCTATCGGTCGCAAGAAGCGATCTCGTTTGGGTCTACAATCAATAAGTTGAGAGTCCCATTCGCAATGGCCATTTATGGGGCGATTGCTGTGCCGTATCCGGCCTCTCTGTGGGCGTATCATTTCTTTCTAGTTGGCAGAGGCGAGACCACAAGAGAATATCTTAATTCCCACAAGTTCGCCAAAGCTGATCGGCATCGTCCCTTCACCCAAGGAAATATAATCCGCAATTGGATCTCGGTTTTTGCAAGACCACGTCCCCCGACATATATGCAATTTAAAAACCCTTATATGGAAGGTGACCAGCGTCTGAGCACGATGAAGCGGAAATATCTTCCTCGAGATGTTGAGGCTCAATCTGGCATAGAGATGCAGCATGTCAACCCGGATCAACAGGAGACGTGAAGTCTGGATGTTTTCTCGTTGAAGTATCAGACGATAGACTGTTTTAGATGGCAACTTTCGTCTCACTCCTTCCTTAGCTCTTTTTTGTTTATTTCCCCCCGGCTCTCTCGTTTTCTTGAGCGTCATATATTACTATTTACATTTCTTTTACAGGATACCTTGAAGTAATGATGCTTATATCCCTTGGCTTTCGTTCCTAAGATTCCGTTGCTCCCAACGACTTTGATCCACATGTTCTGCGTATATGCATTCTCCTTCCTTTTTTACCTTGACCCATAATCCGGGCCATCGTCACTTATGTTCTCTTCATGATACATTAAATTCTATTTTCTCTAGTTCATACGTGCTTATTCGCGCCTAGAGCCATTGCTTCCCTCCATTGGTTTGGTTTCAAGATTATGCAACATGTGCATGTGTGTGATATCTAGCCTCCAAGCTGCAGATAGACGGTGAAGAATCTACTCGAGAATAAAATCAGGCGAGAAAAACAAGTAGAGGAAGTCCTTCAGCACCGAGAGTGTCTGGTTGGGGAGGAACGATGTGTGTTTATTTGTACATCTGGAGGGCATGGGCTTGGCTGAGGATGTAGACGACGTAAAGACAGACTTCAACCGCAAAAAGGAAGAGACAATTCCAAGCCTAGAGAAAGGACGTGCTCTGAGCAAGGTGCAACTGGACGTGGGGCGCCCAACCCGGACGGTGATTGTTGTTTCGTCGGTCTCGCTTCGTTTTCTGCTCTGCATTCCGCGGTCCCTGGGGGACAATACGGACCTCCTCGACCCTCTCCGCACCTCTTCCTCTCCCATTCCCTCCCCATAACCGCGCCGGCCCCCATTTCGACCCTCTCACCACTTCCTTCGGGCCGGAAGGCTTGCTTTAAGCCCTCATCTGTCGGGCTCTGATTTGGTTTTCAAGATATAGGGCATAGTACGTATCGATCGATGCTCCTGATAAGAGCAGAGTACCTGCCCCGTACGTTGTTGAGAGCCAGATCAGCTTCTATCCGACACTTTCTTCCCCGCGTTCGACAATAAACACATCGAAAGACTTCGATCCCCCGCGTGGTTTGAACCCCGGTTATAGAGCCCAGTATTACTCACGCAATCCAGCTCCGAGAACTTGAGATGGGAAGTCGAACTAGATCCTCCGGCGCGTCTCCCGCAAAACCCGCAACCCTTTCTGACCTCAATAAGCGCACGCACGAACACGCAATGGGTCTTGAGTACCCCGAACAGCTTCTCACTCCCGAGAATAGTCGCTCCGAAACGTCGAGCAACAACGAAAACGCGTCGAACGAGGAGAAACCGACTCTACGGCGGAGATCTACACGTGTAGCACGCGCCTCTTTGCGAGGGGTAGCACAACTTGACGGCGATCTAGAGAGAGAGTCTCATAAGATTCCATCACCAGCACCAGAAAATGACCATGTGGTCATGGACGTAGCCCCGGTCAACAATGTTGCGGAAGTGAAAAGGTCCCAGTCCTCCCACCTCCGTCACAGCATTGCGGTCATGGAATCACCCATGTGGAGCGAAACGACTCTTGCACAAGATAATATGGACATCAATGAGAATCCAATGGCCCCTGGCACACCCATTTCCAAATCCTCTCAGGAGCTGCACCCGGGTGACATGAGCACGTCCCTACAACAGCGGACTTTGCGAAAACGCGTTGAGCGGGTTTTGACTCAGGAAAAATTTTCGGCCAGTGCGAAAGCCACACAACCCGCTGAAACGAAAACCCAAGAGCCCCCGAGACGCTCGTCACGTTTGAGTCTCTTGGAGAAAGCAACGGATTTTGTTGACCGAGCCTCCAGCGTCCTAGGGAAACGCTCACGAGATATAACGGAAAAAGGTAAAGATCTTGGCCGTCGCGCGAGTCTACGACCTAGGCATGTTGCTGCTCCAAAGGAAGAGCATGTCTCTTCAACTGCCAATGAGCCTCATGTGGCGAAGAAGCGGCGTGTCTCGGAAAGTGACTTGCTGTCAAAGGTTAAAGAAAACGAGGAGACCGCGCAAGATACTCCTGTCACTACCATTGTTAAACACAGAGCCAAGCGCTGGCTGGCCCACGGATTGTACACAGGGCAAGAACCTACAGAATCTCGCCCTTTGCAGAGTAGGAGCAGAAGTGCAAAAAGGAAGAGCCAAAGTGCTCCCCAGCGGAGACTACTACCACTGCCTATGTTTGCCGGCGATAGACTTTTGAAGCAAGGGCGGGACTTCCAGCTGCCTTTTGATGTGTTTTCGCCTCTTCCTTCTGGTCAACCCAAACCCAATGAGTGGAGAAAAACCAACAAAAGTATGTAGATATATTGGCACAGCCGCAGATGGAGTAAGCTGACGTCCGGGTCTAGATGTCTTCGTAGGAGAAGCTTCCAGTTTCTGGAGAGCAAACAAGGACTCTGAGCTATCCAAATGTACTTGCACGTACGATACCGGCTGTGATGACAACTGTCAAAATCGCTACATGTTTTACGAATGTGATGATGGTAACTGCGGGTTGGGCCCAGAGTGTGGCAATCGAAGTTTTGAAGAGCTCAAACACAGAACCAGGGCTGGAGGAAAGTACAACATCGGCGTCGAGGTTATCAAAACGGCAGATCGTGGATATGGCGTTCGCAGCAACCGTACCTTTGAGCCGGACCAGATTATCGTGGAATACACAGGAGAGATCATAACTCAAACTGAGTGTGAGAAGCGGATGAGGACTATCTATAAGAATAACGAAGTATGTCTTGTGTTATTTCATTGAATCTGTTTTTCGACAGACATTCGCTAATGCGTTACCAGTGCTATTACCTGATGTACTTCGACCAGAATATGATCATTGATGCAACTCGGGGCTCAATCGCCCGGTTCGTGAATCATTCTTGCCATCCTAATTGCCGAATGGAAAAATGGACTGTCGCAGGAAAGCCGCGCATGGCGCTCTTTGCTGGCGACCGTGGGATCATGACTGGAGAGGAGCTAACCTACGATTATAATTTTGAGTGAGGATCTCTAAACATGCTGGTCTCTTCTGTATCTTGCTAACTGTTTGCAGCCCATACTCCCAGAAGAACGTCCAGCAATGTCGTTGCGGCTCAGCAAATTGTCGTGGTATTTTGGGCCCGCGGCCCAAAGAAAAAGAACAGCGTTCGAAAGAAAGAGAGGCAAAGGCCGAAGCCCAGAAAAAGTCAAGCAAGCCCAATAAGAACCGCACCAAGCGCAGAATTGGCAATGCGCTGGGGGGTTCTCTCACTAAAAGACGCAAGCTCTTGGGCTCACAGTCCATCAAGGCTGGTGTCAAAAATGCTGTTTCGAGAGTGCGCGGTTCTTCTAAATCCACCACAGCCCGAAACGCTTCGAAAGTGAAGGCAGCAACAGCCAAGGATGCCACAAAGGCATCCCCAAAAAAGCGCCCGGCAAAGAAAGAAAACAGTTCAAGGTCCAAGAAGAATGTCAAGCTGCCCAAGGTCAGGACAACAGCCAAATCCAAGATCACAGCTCGTGTCGCAAAGACGTCACAGACGACGAAAACGCCGACCAAGGCAAAGGCTTCTCAATCACCGTCTAAACTGAGTCGTCCATCTGATGCAACTAAAGCTAAGATTCTAGCCGCAGCCAAAGGCACAAATGCAAAGAAACGTGTGGTTAAGAAAGTTGGTGACGTTAAAGGAGCCCGTACCCCAGTTAAGAAAGGGTCATACAAGGAGACTGTGAAAACCAAAACCTCAAGCCCACAAGCGAAAACAACCACTCCTAAGAAAGTAGCGGGTTCTGTTAAGAGTGGTAAGAGGTAATTTAATTACAGTGCCGTGTTTTTTGGCTCACGATACTGATCTGATGTCAACTACTTATATCTTGGTATCTCTCACTCTCCTTCTCCCCCCTCTTCCTATGTTCTTATATACTCAGAGCAACCTCCTTTGCCAGCCACTAGGTTCTTTCTTGGTATCCGACATCAAGGTTTTCCAGGTCATTGAGTTTTTCTTCTGGACTGCTCTGTTTTCGCTTATGACTTCTATTTTGATTTTGATTGCGTTGGCTGCTACATGAGTCTGGATGTCATGGCGTCTCTGTCTATTTCATTCTTTTTTTTTGGCCTTGAATTGCTTGGTCTTGTGCGGTTTACGTATACAGTCTGGTTTGCAGGCTTACTTGATTGGTGTTGCATATATCGCTATACGCTAGTCTAGTTATGATGATATTGAATAACCTAATTGAATTACACTTGTCTTCAGGGTCTTATTCCTTAATGTTCTCATGTTTGTAGTATTGTTTTAAGGTTAATGCCTATAAGCCCAGTAAGATTTGAAGAACAGTGTATGGTTTTTAATTTATCCACTAGGTCCACACAACATTTAGAGGGCACTGTAAAAGCCTAAGTAGGGGTCTTTTTTTATCTAGGACTATTAGAATTTAAGGATCTATCTGCTTTATATGTATCTTATTTTGCTATTATATTTACCTAGAAACTGTTGTTATGTTGTGCATGACAGGAATGGTTGGGTTAGGGAATAAGAGTATGTATGTTAAATTTTGAAGGAAAATGATGCCATATTCATTGACTTAACTAAATTGAATAATGAAGAGCTATCTCAACAGGAATATGACTTCATTTTATGCCTTGATCATAAACCCTTTTCAACCTCCGTGGAAACTCGTAGAAATGAGCTCCTCCCTAACCAAGCAGCTGTGTAGACTATTTAAACACGCCGTTTGCGTGGCTTAAAGCCTTTCCGCAACGTCCCATTGTAGGTGTAAACGACCATGTAGCCGCGAGAGTTTTCGGGGTCAAATCGATCACCCACCTTTCTAGATTTTCTTCAGCGGTATATTTATTGCTAAGATACGGAGGAATATCAGAAGGAATTAGTCTATATAGGAATGTGCTGTGTGGAGTTCTTTCAGACCTTGGCATTGGTCATCAATAAAACAATAAATCACCATAGATATCTCAATCACTTGATTGGGTCGGTGTATTTGTTGAGATATAAAGCTATTCTTACTGCCTTTAAAAAAATGAGCTATGCTAAATCTCACTGCCAGCCGCTGGATATGCAAGGTGTACGGCATTGACTGTGCTCAGCTAAAGGAAATGAAATTGCATATACATAAATCTTCAATTTCAAGGGTTCAATCTACCATTTAACAATCCTAAAGTATTATCACCGCAGATATTGTGATTCTTCAACAAAGAAAGCTATATGATAGGTATCATATGATAAAAACTATTTCAAACATCCGCATAAACTATCCAAGTCTCTTGCCTTGTCAACAACCTAACCTGCGCCTCCTCTTTAATAAAAAGTTTGTGATCGCTTGTGCTTCGAAAAATGAAAATAAATACAGATAACTGTGTGGAAGATACGGTACACTTTGATTTTAGGCCATGTCATTTCCTGCCGGTGCCGTATCGGGAGCAGGGACCGGAGCTGTATCCAGAACCGTATCAGGAGCCGTAGCTGGGGCAGGATCTAGAGCCATTGTTGCCTCTCTGGCCCCTTCCTCCTTGGCTTCTGGTGTTGGCTCTTGTTGATTCTGCTGTTGCTGCTCTGGGATAGGTTCTGGGATAGGAGCTAGGTTTGACGGAGTAGACCCGCCAGGTGCGTGTTCATCAGTTTCGTCCGGACTTGGTGAGGCCTCTTCCGTTACAGTTGGCGCAGGCGGGAAAGGATCTTTGGATGGTTGAGAATCCAACTGCTCTTGATGTGGGATTTCTGCTGGTATGTCTGTCTGGGTAGCTGGATCTTCTGACTGAATATTGACCTGTTCGTTTGCTTGCTGTGTTGGCAGCTCCAAAGGCTGTTCGGGCTGCTTTTCAACTGTCTGGGGAGCTGGATCTTCTGACTGAATATTGGCTTGTTCATCTGCTTGCCGTGTTGGCAGCTCCGGGAGCTGTTCTGGCTGTGTTTCAACTGTTTGAGGAGCTGGATCTTCTGACTGAATATTGGCCTGTTCGTCTGCTTGCTGTGTTCGCAGCTCGAAGGACTGTCTGGGCTGTGTTTCAACTGTCTGTGCTTCGGTAGATCGCTCTTTTAGCTCCTCCGTAGACGGTAGTCCCTCAGTAAATCGATCTGCGGTTGGAGCGACAGTCCGTTCAGCAGTAGAGCCTGTTTCTTGTGCTGGGTTTGGTTGTGGGATTGGTTCTGCAACCGGAGACTTAGGCTCCTCACCCTTCTCTTGCTCCTGCTCTTCAGCTTGTTCGGCGGGTTGTTCCGCCACCGGAGTAAGCTCGATATTCTGCTCTGCAGGCTGGGATGTATGGCCCTGAACGGTTGGCTCTGCCATCTGTTCTAACGATAGCTGTGCAGCCTGTACTTCGACATGTCCCTCAACAGCTTGTTCAGTAGGTTTGTCTGAATGTTGTTCAATAACCAGTTCTACACCTTGTGTTGCAGATGGTTGATCAGCCTCATCGGTTGTTTGCATTATAGACTCTACTATTTGCTCCTCTGGCATAGTCGTGTCAGCTCTTTTGACATGAACAACTTCTTCCTCCAGCTGGACTTTCTCATCCTGAGCATCTGCTTGCTTCTCGGGTTGTGGCACACTTTGCTCTTCCACCTGTCCTTGATCGGCAATGTTGCCCAAACTGGCCTCCAAGCTGCCCAGGAGGTCAATATCGCTGCCATCTGTCTTTTGTTCGGCTGGTTGGGCACCTGGCTGGACTTCTGGCTGGGCATCTGGTTGTTTTGGCTCATGTTCATCCCGTACATTTTCAGGTTCAGGTTCCTGCGCAGGACCCATGGACGTTTCTATAACGACGTCTGTCATCTGGACAGGCTTTTGTGTGACAGGCTCGCTCTGTTCCGTCATTATTACATCCAACGGCTCCTTCTCAGTAGGGAACGTTTGATCAGCATTTTCCACCTCTGGCAGTTGGATAGGCTCAGAAACCGTCGATATTTCCGTATGCGGCATTGTAACAGGCGGCTCAGAGGCTTCAAAGTTCGCTGGAGCAGGCTGATTAGTGTCATCTGCGACTGGTGCCTGGGGTTGATCATCTGTCATCTCAACATCTTCCGCAGGTTCTGCTTCTTGGGCCGGCTTCTCAGGAGCAGCCGAAGCTGACAATTCGGGATGTTCTAGTGAGGGGATTTCAGGGGCAGGTAAAATTGTCGATACTGTTGGGGCCTGCGAAGGTATCTCCGAGGGAGGTTCTGGAACCACAGTTGCAGGGGCTGTTGTTTCTGTGGGTGTTGCTGTTGGCACAGCAGTCGGTTCGATTGACGGAGGCTCGGGAGTAGAAGCATTGGTTGGCTCTGGCTCTGCACTACCCTGTGGCCCTGGGGTTTCTGGAGTCTTCGCATCAGGCATAGACTCATCACCCTCCCCATCCTCACTCTCTTCACCTTCCTCGCCATCTTCATCCTCATCATCTTGGCCCGATTGGTCCACCGACAACCTTGACGCATCTGTGTCTCCCTCCTTGACACGACCTGTTCCGGTGGCGCCATCTGCAGCACTAGAACCGGAGCCATGTACCAATGTGGAATCGGCCCCATCACCGGGGGCAAACATGACCTTCTTCCTCCTTCCCTTTCCAAAGCCCTTAGCCTTCCGCTTTGGAGGTGGTGGCCGCCTTTTCGGAGGAGTCATGACTGACACCGACCCTGCCTCCGCGACAACCACGCCTTCGGCATTGACCACACCGACACCTTCGATCACTGTTCCAGGTGCTGGCGCTTCAGGAGTTATGGTCACCTTGTCGTTATCGGCTACCAATTTGGCCTCATCAGTAACTTCGCCTTCAATTTTGTGACCTTCTGGTACCCAGGCTTCGTAGATAGAGATATTCCCCGTGGCAGGGTCGACCTTCTGGAAGCGAGTTCTCCGCATTGGAACAGTATTACTGGTGCCGTCTGCACCTGTAGCGGCTGCGCCGTACAGAGATGACAAACCCGGACGTCGTTTGGCGAGAAACTCAACTTCCATAGACTCTAAGTGTTTAGGAACCGTAGACCATTTGCGGGCAACAAAGCTGCGCTCTGTGCTTTGTATTAGCGGCTGATCATCCACATCCGTAACTTCTTTCTCTTCGTCTCCAGGGTCTTTCGATGCTGGGCGAATATAAACGCATCCAGCGCGAGCTGCACGTAGCAAAGCCCGACTCATCGGAGTCAAAAGATGACTGTCCCTTGGCATTGGGTGCTCGGGAATTGACTGCTTTCCACCAGGTCCTTGCACTATCGAATCGGAATCCTCCATCTTGGGCACCTGGGATATAGTCTGGGACTGGCGCGTCCATCGTCGGACGGGAAGGCCTTCAAAAACATCATGGTCAATTTGGCCAGTCCTGGTACGGTTGGACCCATCGCCAAATTGGCGACCTGAGCGTGAGGATCGGAACTTGAAAATGTTAGCAATTCAATGGTATATAGTCAGGACCAGGAAGTTTATCGGTGTGTCAGAGACTGGCTGCGAGTCTAATTGCAGAGGTTGGTCGCGGGTGAACCTACCGTGGGTGGCATGTCGTTCCTATTGTGTTTCCTCCATAAATAAGGGAAAAGTAAAGAGTATAGAAATAATAATGCAGTTAACACACGGTCCTTCAAACCCCCATGAGTTCTAGTGCAAATGGACAGGACTGTGGCCGATAAGCCCGCGGGCAGGAGAGTGTTGGAGTCTGTCGCGATGCGCCGTCGCCGCCTCCCGACCGTGACATGTCACGTGAGCGCACTCCGCAGCAGACAAAGAATGAGACAACGGACATCCAGGTTGGGAGACGGGCATCGCACGATGAGAGAGGAATTGTATTGAGAAGAACAAAATATCAGTGCTAGCTACAGTGAGATTGGGTTTATTAAAAATACAAAGGCATTCCAAGTCTAAATATTCATTCACCTCATCACCTGTTGCCACCATACCAACAGCAAACACGAGTGATACGTGGTGTGGCGAATGCCTTCCTCAATGCTTCAGTTCAACACCAAAAACCAGCCATTTGTGTAGACTTATAGATTAATTCCAACTATATAAACTTGTTAGGATATCCGCGGACCAGTTGAAAGGAAATAGCCATGTTGGAGGGGCTGTTTACCCAGTATCCTTCTGACGAACAATATCACCTTCTCCAGTTTGCTTTCCCTGTACCAATGCTTTAGCCCAGAGCATCATCGTATGGACGAGAGTCACCGCTAGCTTACCATCTTTTGACCCTCTACAACCAGTTTATCCAGTTGATAAAACTGACTAATAATAGTTTGCCTCTAACGTAGACGTCAGTGCTCCGTCTATCCCTGTCCTGAAGGACGTATCCAGAGCCATATCCGGTGAAATCTCCAAAGCAGACAAGTCGTTACTCACCTTCATCATCCGCAAGTTCTGCAACCCATCTTGAATGAGCTCCTGTATCCGCCGGTCCTCCGTTTCTTTCTGGTGCTCTCGGAAAGCATCCTTTGTTCTTCGGCGGGCATACTCGCGGAAGTTGAAGCTGGAGAATTGGGTCGATTGACGGAGTAAGGAACGAAACTACAAACGGGTGGTGAGAATAAAGTTAGCCGTGCCCAACAGCGCGCGGGGTTTGCCTCGAACAATGTGCATACCAAAGATCGGACCTGGAAAGCAGTATCCCGCTGTAATGTTGACACAGACATGATGGAAATTAGAGGCGCAAAGAGTGAGATGGTGCTTATAGTAGAAAAACGTATGGTCTATACGTGATAGGAAATTCAGAAGAGGTCGGTTGGAGGATATCTGGGAGTTTCCGTGTAATTGCCTCCAGTTTATTCGGTTGAGTCACCGGCGCAGCAAACACAAACTATCACGACGAATAGTTTTAGAATATATCTCACACCCTCTCTAGTTATCCTGCACAGCAATCCAAATGGTCCCGAAGCTATTCAAAGAGGATGGCGGAGAGTCTTTGGGTTCGCAAGCCAGAGCGGCGTTTGCTGACGGGCTGCGCTATCAGAGGGCGCCAAAGGCTGAAGACAGTATCCTCGGGACAGAAACTGCAAGGGATCGAGATCAGTGTAGGAAAAGGATAAAATAAAACGTCGTTCCTTGATGGGGGAGGCAGACCAAAGGGGATAGAGTCGTTGGTTGTTGTGGGAAATTCTCGCGCTTTTTTGTCGGAGACGCAATGACGGAGTTATCGGACTCCTTGGCCGACCTCGCACTTCTCCAAGTCCCTCCGCGGACAAAGCTGTCGGCGTCTCGATAGACACCGCGTGTTGGTCTACAATTCATTTCCCACCCATATACAGGTTACGGCTTCGTCTCATCTAAGTGTTACTGTCCTCGATATCCTTCATGGCGCGGATCTCCACTCCTCCTGCATCCCGACATGGCTCAGAAGCCACCGATGCCGAGATCAAGAAAGGCTCTATAGCAGACTCGTCATCGGACCTGCTGCAGTCGCTGGACACGTTGTTGGAAAAGTACCTCTTTCTCCTTGACCAGCACCAGAAATTCCAGACAGAATTAGCATCGCGACTCTCCTCGGTATGGAGATAAGCATGACGATCGGTTATGACAGATTACTAACCACAGGCATTAGGGTTTTTTTTCTCTTGCGCAAGCCAATTATACCTGTCCGCCGGCCGACATTATGGTGCTGATTACTATGATGAGCGCATGAAAGCGACCAGAAAAGTGTGAGCGTCATATGAATTCTTATTGGAAAGTCCTCGTCGAGTATTTTCGATGCTAATCACCAAGGTATTATTAGGGTTCTGCAACCTCTACCAGACCTTAATGAAGACAATCATGCAATAGAGCTGAGCGATCCGAACCAAAAAAGCGATTCTGATGCCCTCTTCACGATTAAATCTGGTATCAACGACCATGTGGAGCCCTCCGAGGCAGATGAGGAAAATGAAGCATCTCAGGCAAATAATGGTCCAAGGGAGCCTCATTCACAACAAGAAGACAAAGATTCTGTAGACCAGGTCACAGTATCCTTTGACTCGCTTGAAACCTCTGATACTGAGCCTAAGGCTGCCTCAGAGTCCAACTCCTCCAAAAAACCTCGCTCGTCAGATCCTATTCGGTGGTACGGGATCTTGGTGCCTCCATTCCTTCGCAGTGCTCAGAAATCTTTCACGGAAGCAGTAGATGAAGCGCTACCGCAATTGGCGAGCATCATCTTTAAGATGCGGGTGATTGAGAGTGAAATTGGTCGACTGCGGAGTGAGTTGGGGAAGCATGAGGATACAACATGAGGTAGGTCTATATGCTCTGTCATTCAGTCGTGGCGAACTCTGCCGCTGAAAGCAGCCATAAATCTACCTATTGCGAGAAACCAGGGTCATAAAATGGATGAGGGTTTATAAACGACTTTCCATGACTACAGGTTACCTCATAGGATATAGAGTGGATATGTCGTCAAACATAGGATTCTCTACAAAATACAGAATAGATAGTTGCTATATTGTAGAAGATCTACCTGGATAATCCGTAGCAAGAAAAATTTTTGGTTCAGTGGACTTTATTGACAATAGTGTTATCATTGACTTAAGAGAGTAATTCAAACGCATAATCTACGCTCTTGGAGCCTACTGCAACTAGGATAGACCAGTACTGGATACCCACAATGAAGATCAAACGTCCAACTGACATGAGGTCAACCTAGACCCAGCAAGACAGCTCATCTCGTACGTACTAACTATTCCGTATTGATATTACGTAGATTCTACATCCGTACCAGGCTACCAGCCGGTGGTCAATCCACCCCAAGTTCACCTTGAGACAAAATTCGTATCATAGCAGAACTCGACTTGCACCCAGTGAGGTATTAATTAGCCGAGACTGCCAATACAGCCACTGTATAAGTGAAGAATTGGCTTTTACAGTGGAAAATACTCTGTGGCCCTGCGAGCAGTTAATTAGGTAAAATAGACACTAACTAGTTAGTTATTAGTTAGCTTACTTACTACTGTTCTAGACTACACCGATAATTCTCATAGTATACAAATATTATACCTACCAAGTTACTCTCTCCGTAGGACATGGAAAAGAAATCCAAGATCTAAAAGCATGGAGGAATAAACCCAAGGAATACAGAGGACTAATGTAGATCTACTTAAAGTACGGTAAAGACCGGCCGAACCCTGTTCCACAGTCCCAACTCCAACCAGCGTCACCCACTTGGACTGCCCGGAGGAGAAGTAGATTCCGGCGTGTTCCAAGTCCCTCCCGGTGGGGCATATGCTAGACACTTCCATGGATGGTCCACCTGGAAGGATTCTCAGTATAGTATGGAGATTGTTGGTGCGAGATCATTGCCATGACCGCTTTCTGGCAATGCTCGTGGGTGACTGACTACCTTAGACTAACCTTGTGTGAACAGACTGTTAATATTTTACCATATATTATCCGTACAACATACAGAGGACTGTGTATTTCAGTAGTTCAGTAGTTCTTGTGGATCAATCCAGGCACTAGCCTAGTGGTACTCCGTATACGCAGATGGAGTATCTCACAGATAATGCTAAAGAGATTAGAACAGCCAGGCGAACTTTATCTAAATATACTCGTGCTACAAGGATTGCATCCCCTGCCATTTTCGGATTCCCGGATCCAAGGCTAGACATTTCTCAATTGGAGCCCCTGAAAGAGTCAGGGATTTGAAATCCGCACGGGGGTCTTTACTGGCGAAACTGGATTAAGTTTTTCTTTCTTTCTTTCTTTCTTGTACGCTAATACTAGGTAGCATTGCTAACGTTCTATACGAGAACTACTATGGTTCAAAACTAAGCTGAAAAGCTAATGCAACTTCAATTATCCCTACTAATACACATAGCGGAAATTCTTGTTCTCCTTATCCGTGAAACCACCCCAGGCAGTAGCGTCAGTAACAGTCTCCTCCTGCCCACTCGTTGCCTGAGCAATATCTCGGCGCCTGTTCACCCAGACATAGTACTGCCACAGCACCACAGCCAAAACAGCCGAGGCCGCCTGAGTGGCCAAAACGGCGATCTTCGCGGGCCGGTATTCCGGGGCATCACGTTGCTGGAATGTCTGGGGACCGATGATGTTTCCAATCGAAAAAGAACCAGCCACCAGAGCGCTGGAGAATGCGCGTTTGGTGTAACCGGCGCAGTTGGCCGCCGTCCAATGGTAGATCACGGGTAGTGGAGCAACAATGGCATTGACTAGGTAGATTCCAATGAGAACACCGGGTTTGTTGCCCTTTGGGAGGAAGGACATGAGGGCTGCACCAATGATACCAGGGATAGTGCATATAAGTATCCAGGCCCATCGGTTCGAGGCTTTCCGGATACCAAAGCCTACAAGGAGGGTGAAGAATATGCTGACGATACCGGAGGGCATATTCAGAAGAGCCGAAATAGGGCCCCCGAAATCCATTGAGCCAATCAAGGTAGCCGAATAGGTAGTCACGACACCGCTGGAAACGGATTGCTAGAGGTATTGTTAATTACTCTGTACACTCGGTGGTTTAAAGGGGGAGGCTTACCAGAACTACCGTCAGAGTCAACAGCCAGACCTGCACATCTAGAAACGCTTCCAAGATATGCTTATAATTAAACTTGCTGCTGTGGATGCCAGTTTGGTTAACACTGACGTGTTTGATAATGCAAATCTTCTCATCCTCCGAGAGAAAGTGCGCCTTCATTGGCGTGTCGGGAATGCCGAAGAACGTGGCAATTCCCACGATGACGGTGATTAAGCCCATTACAAGGAACATAATCCTCCAGCCTTCGAAAGAGTCGTTTTTCACATGCTGGAAACCAAAGGAGATCAATCCTCCGAAGATCTGAGCCACACCCAGGCCCATGTACCAGAACGTAAACCGGGGGGCCTGTTCCTTCTTGGTGTAGTACTGACTGCTGAGGAGCATGAGGGAGGGTCCGACTGTTGCCTCGAAAATGCCCAGGAAGATTCTCGAGGTCAGGAGAGTAGGATAGTCCTTAGCACCGGCAGAAGCAGCCGCAGCGACTCCCCAGAGTGCTACATTTATTCCCAGCCACTTTGCAGGGGGCACTTTTTGGAGCATATACACTAACGGATGAGTTAGTTTCATTAACCATGCGAATAAGGAACGAGAAACTGGGGAACGCCCACCATTTGGAACTTCCGCAATCAAATATGCGATGAAGAAAGCGCTTGCAGCATTACTGAAGTTGTTCCCCTTGAGTCCCAAATCCTGCTTCATGCCCATGACTGCCGCGTACTACGAACCGTCAACTTAGCTCAGGGTCTATCCCAGTGTTAGAGGGACATACATTATACATAACTTTGTCAATGAACTGCAAGAAGTAGCAGCAGAACATAAACGGCATGATCCGCAGATCAATCTTCCGACGAGTTGCTGCGAGATCAATAGGATCCGTGTTATGATTATTGTCATGGTTGGTCAGATAATCCCACGCCTGGTCGATCTTTTCCGGAGTCACCGGATTGGCGTCAACCGCAACCGTAGGCTGTTTAGCTTTAGTTTCCGACATTTCTTGACAGCTCCTACTGTTTAAGAGGGAGAGTGTTTAATATAACTTAATAAATCGTAAAACAAAGGATCAATTACATAAAAAGAGAGAAGATGACCGCCATGGACGGGAAAAAGGGGGTATAACGAGTGTAGGAAAGGAAGAAGGATCAACAGAGACGCAGGGAGAGAAAACTGTATAAGAGAGGAAAGAGACAAGACAAGGTTGGAGAGACAGAAATGCAGAAGAAATAAAATCCCACTATGGTCGAAACGCCAGTCAGAACCAGAGCCTGGGTCGCATTCCGCATGGAGATTGACTCCGCCTGCCGGTATAGGCCCACTGCAGCTGCAGCTACCAGTCAACGTGGATGCATGAATAACTCAGATGGGGTATTATATTTTCCTTCCAAGCTGATCCATATAGGCCCGAGTGGAGAGAGTTGTCTCCAATGACCGTCCCTGAAACTAGAAGTATTCGTGCACGATGGGGTGCAACTATCATGGATTATATTCCTCCATCTCGTTAGCTCCAATGAGTAACTAATCACAGTCAGGGAACCAGTGGGAGGGAACATAGAATAATAATTATATATATATTTTTTTTTTAAAAAAAAGTAAAAAAGAAAAAAGAAAATGAAAGGAAGAAAAGAAACCGAAACAACCACCACCGATCCATCTGGTCGGTACATACCCTAGTCTACAGGATGCCCTAGTTATATTCACCTTCCCCATGGACTTAACATCCCTGATACAATCCCGACCTTGTCCACACTCCTTTGCTTCCTATATTTTCACTTCAAAATGGGATGGGTTCACAATGCCTCTCCGCAGATCGATGCCCAATCAAACTACCAAACCATCCTGGGAGTATGTTTCTCCCTGACGGCCTTGATGGTCGTCGTGGTGAGTATGCGTCTCTACCTTCGTCTCCACGCCCAAGGTCTGGCGGCCGATGACTATGTGATGATCGTCACAATGGTACGTGCAACTCCTCGTGCTCAATGTTTATCCTTTTCCGTCTCTCTCTTTTTCGTTTCTTTTCTTATTTATATCACCATTTACCAACCAAATGATAGGTGTTCAGTGTCATCTACAACGCCCTCTGCGTGGCCCGTGAGTCCCTTTACCTGGATTACCTCGTTTATCTCTCCATCTGACTGGCATCTATCAACTACAGAAAGTCGGTATGGATTAGGCCTTCCACTGTCCCTTCGACCAAAGGCCAACCTTTCCTATTACACCAGGGTTAGAGATTCGAATATTCCATTGCGTTGATTTCACTCACTGAAGTCTCGAACTCTCTTAGCTTAACTACGCCGGTCGACCATTCTATCAGATGGGGATTGCAGGGTTCAAAGCGGCTCTGTGTCTTAGTTATTTACGCCTCTTGTCAGGAACGTCAAAGAGATCATACAAAGTGGTAATTTGGTCAGTGTTAATTATATCGACCCTGGGCCACATTGCTGGAACATTGGTTTTGATCTTCAACTGTTCACCGGTATTCTTGCCTCCTTGCGCCCTCCCTCGCTCTCTTTCTCTCCTCCGTCACTTGCGGTACCGCTAAAAAGCCAAGGCTGATATAGCATAAATCCAGGTCCAGAGAGCATGGGATCCCACCGTGGAGGGCACTTGCATCCCTTCTGGCCCTATGAACTACATCTTAGTGGCGTGGACGATCTTCTGTGACGTGGTGATCATCTTCCTCCCCATCCCGTTGCTACTGAAGTTGAACGTCAAACCCGGGCAAAAGGCGGGTCTCCTGTGCCTGTTCCTGCTGGGCCTGTTCACTACCGTCTGCTCCATCCTCCGACTCACGCAAGTTAGCGTAGTCGCGTATGGGGATGGGAATTCGACCATGCTCGTGCTCTGGGGTACGATCGAGTTTAATGTTGGAGTAAGTTTGACTGCGATTCTTTCTGTGCATGATTTGCACTAACCGTGGCACCTCTTGGCCTTGGTTAAATCCACCCACGGATGCTCCCCGATTGCTCCTTGAGACTGAGAGACTGAGAGAAAGAGGCTTACTTATTTTGGTTGTTATTTTCAGAATATTGTTACGTGCTTGCCATTCCTCGCGCCTCTGCTCAAGGGGTATTTCAGCGATTTCCAGTCTCGAAGCGCTACCAAGAACAAGTACCGCACAGACTCGCATTATGTGCTCCAGTCGTACTCGCGAGATGACCGACTCAATGGCACCGTCGCCTCCAATGTGTCGCACATCGCCTCGTCGAAGCCGAAACGGACACCCAGTGAGGAACTGATCCTGGATGGCAGCGACTCAGAGAACGGGGCTAACGCCAACGGAGCCATTAAAATGACAGTTGAATACCACGTCTCAGTGGATAGAGAGGAGAACCGCTAGGCCCGAACCGCCTGAACTTAATGCCCACTTGTACAGTAGATGGTTTTAGTAGTATAGAATAGTATATAATGTGGGTAATTTAATATATGTGGGCACTCAGCGCTCGTTTTAGAAATTTTCATTGATTCCCCTTCCTCTACGGAGTGTTTTTCCATTATCTCTGTCTGTTTTCCCCCTTTCCAATCCATTCGTCTGTAAGTTCCCCTATCTTCTCTTTGATCTATAAAGCAGACACCACGAGAAATAGCCATGGCGTTACTTCGGACTTATCAAGGCATTGTCTTGCCATGAGTAAGTGGTGTGGTATGTACCAGAATGTATTGGGTGCCAACAGTCAGAACTACATTAGTTTTCAGCCTAAAGGAGATTGTCTCCATGCTGTACATCATGAATCAATAAACAAACAGGGGGGGAAAAAGAGGGTAAAAAAAAAAAAAAAAAGGTGGGATGAAGTTGTCGACGCTAGGAGCAATCCCTGTCAGTGCAACCTCACTTGTCTCCATAATTGGCTTGACCATCGAATAAACTCTGGAGTTTGCGCGTTTTGTTTGAAATTGATGGGGCCAAATAATACTGGTCGGCAAGTACTCCGTAACTCCAACGTAGTCCATATATCGGTGCCAAGAAGCACCGTCGTGGACCTCATTAATTAAGCATCAATTGTGTCTTATCCCTGATTGCTTAATCTACGACGCCACTAGTAGAAACGAGACAAGGATTTAGTGGCTTTATGGGCCTCGTATTGACTCTCCCTGTAGGTCTTAGCTGTGACCTCGTGGAAGTCCACGATACTACTAAGGGAGTACACATAATCCGGAAGAAATAGTTGGCTGCTTCATTCGACTCCGCGGAATCTCGGACGAGATCCTTCAGCCTTTTCTTATCCATGGTCGGCTCCGATAGTATCCGATAGACGCTTTCAACCTGCGTAGTCCAACGAACCATAAACCATACCCATTCATTTCTGCCTTGTTTCGATTGCCCTCTCAGTAGCCCTCAGCACATCATAATGTCTTCCACTTCCGTCCCTCCCAGATCAGAATCGCTGCCGATCCTGATTATCGGAGCGGGAATCAGTGGTCTTATTCTCGCTCAATATCTACGTCGATCCGGAATCGCCTACCAGATCTTTGACCGTGATGCGTCGATCACCGCTCGAGCTGGCGGCTGGGGTTTAACCCTGCATTGGTCACTCTCGGCTCTCTATGAGCTCCTGCCGGACGACGTCAAGGCTCTGCTTCCAGAAACCTTCGTCAACAAGGAAGCTGCTAAAAATGGAGATACGGGTCGTTACCAGTTCTTTAACCTAGCTACTGGAATCCCCTTGTGCGACGTTCCTGCTGCGGAGCGTATTCGAGTGAATCGGGCACGGTTTAGACAGGCCCTCGGCAAGGGTATCGATATCCAGGTTAGTACACCGGTCAGGGATAGATATCCTTACATGATATATATATATATATACACATACACTAGCTGAAATCCCCGATGTTGTCTCGCCGGTTCTGACTGAGATGTAGTGGTCCAAAACCCTAGCCGATGTCCAGTATCATGACGACTCCGTGACGGTGCGCTTTGAAGATGATACCTCGTACCGTGGCTGCATCGTTGTCGGCTGCGATGGATCTCGCTCTCGTGTCCGCAAATCTCTCTATCCTTCTTCCTACCGAAACTCGAGACTGCCGATTCAATTACTAGGAGCTACAACTCGCTATTCCGTAGAACAGGCTGCCGCTGTGCGAGAGCTGGATCCCTATTTCTTCCAGGGGACTCATCCAGGGTCCAATGTGTATCTCTATTTCAGCTGTAAGTATAACTCGCTCAATTTGCAAAGCACATGTCTCCTTCAATTTATACTAATCAGCATCCACTACATAGTCCTTGACAGCCCCTTCAACTTTGAAGACAGCCCAGACGGATACCACTGTCAAGTTGTTGTCTCCTGGGCTAACGACAAAGGCATCGACATCCCCGAAGGAAGCAAAGAGCGTATCGCCTTGATGAAAACCCTCACAGAAAACTGGGTTGAACCTTTCCGATCTCTTGCGCACGATCTACCGGACGACGCTGAGGTGGTTCCTATCAATACCGAAGACTGGATGCAACCTCGGGGGACAAATGGACAAGCGCGGGCGGTCTTGTTAGGGGATTCAGCCCATTCAATGACAATGTGTACGTTCTATACTTCTTTGTACTTACATTTTTCACCTGTGACTGACGAATCTAGTCCGTGGAGAAGGGGCAAATAATGCCATCGTAGATGTCCTTGATTTTACCAAGCGGGTCGATTTACATTCTATCAGGTATACTCCCTATATATGTATACATAGTACAAAAGCGATCTCTAATCACATTGGAACAGCACAATGTCCTCAGCATCTATTCGTGAGAGTATTAAAGCCTACGAAGATGATATGATGGCTCGGGCTGCATCATCCGTTATCAACTCTCGAAAAGCCTGCCTTGACGCTCATGACTTTTCACTCATTACTGAGGAAAGTCCCCTTGTGTCTAAAAGAGTTCTCAAATAATCATGCCGATGTGGGTCTACCTTAGACGTTCTTTAGGTTTGTTAATATTACCTACTTCATACCTCTCATGAGAATTAGAAGACATAAATTTACATAGATGAGATGTCTCGATTGCGTAGACTTATCTCGGTTTCTAGAGTACGAGAATGATCTCTTTTCTTCTGCTCTATGGCCTCATCGACAGAACTGACATCGACACGGGGCCACAAATCTCGTGTGGGCAATTCTACTTGTACAATTCGATTATGGGTATCGCGAATAAACTTATGAAAGTATCAACTAAAAAACTCGAAGTACTGCATTATTCTTTACATAATTTGGAGATCCTGAATTCCTCGGCTCTGACTTCCCAAGGCTTCCACTTCGCAACCGCCACGGAGTTCTGCAACTCGCATCGTTGAAAGGAGGTTCCGTGCTGACTTGGAATGATAGAGTCCGCCGTTGAGCACAGCACTTCCATAATTTCCAATATACGAAGCAAGAGAAGCAGAAGTATATCCTCCTGGGTGTTCTTCGATAAATCTAGAGATGTCGTGAATGACACCCTCAATGCAAACCAAACGGTCTCCCTTCTGAACGCCATTTTGAAAATCCTTCCAACCGATAACAGGCAGCTCGTCAAGTGGAGGGCCACAGTACACTTCTTTTTTCATCTAATTCAGTCTCCTTTGATGCTGCTAGATAATGGCCTTGTCGATTTCATTCTGTCGGAAACGTTTTAGATCCTGAGCCAGGCCTAGCCGTCCCCATTCCCAGCACCATTCGGTGATATCCACATGGTACCATTCCACACCATATCGGTAATCGGAAACTCAAGATGGCACTTATGAAATCCTTCGCCAGAAGTAAAAGCCCCCAGAAGCGTACAGTTCCTTATAGATCAAGATAAAACAGAAAGGCCTAACGGGTTAAAGCATGTTCAAGCCAAAATCTTGACAGGAGAGTCCCACGGAAATGTGAAATGCTCCAGCCGCTTCCCCGAAAAGGCTGAGTGGGAAGCAGCGGAACACTTAGCATACTGTGTTTACAACGTCAAACACGACAACCTCCAGTCGAGTCTTCAATGGGCGCAATTTTTCGGAAGAAGAGATGGACAAGATAATCTGGCCATTAAAGGGATGCCTGATACGGGCGCACGCCCATAATACATTTCCAACACGGGAGGAAGTGCACTACTCGGAACCACTCACCCAGGTTAGTCCCGCCTCTTACATGGTATACATAAACCCTCTTTACTTACCTTGGCCAATATATTACTAGATCCAGCGTATTCGAAGATGGGAAAAATCGAATCCGGGGACGTAAGAAGCGAAGACTTGATTAGGTCAACCAAACACAAGGAACTCCAGAGAATCCGTCCGAAAGCCCAAAGCTGCCGCTGGGGGGCAGTTTAGAACCGCGGACAGAGCAGGACTCTGAGGAGGGCCAAGACGCGGACGAAAATGACGAAGCTTGGAAAGAGGGCTAAGGAAAAGTGACGATCTTTCCATAGGTCTCCAAAACATGGCCAACGGTGATATATCAACATATCAGAGCATGAATCAAAGCACCCCCCCCCCCCCCCCCCCCCCCCCCCCCCCCCCCCCCCCCGGGGGGGTTAAGAAGTGGTGCTCCGATAATGACATACAATTTGCCGAAACAACTGTGTGTCCTCCGGCAGTTTACCGTCCAATTTACAGAAATGCCCTGATGATTTTGTGCTTGACGAAGCACATATCTTAAGGAAACCAACTTCCTCATAGTCAAATACAGTCCAATGTCTCTGAGGAAATTCACCTGCTCTTGACGGCTACGCTCTTCTATAGCCCGCAAGCTCACTTTAGGGCATATAGGCGGCTTCTATTTATGTCAACATTTCTCTGGCTTGATGCAGACTGGAAATAGTTAGCGATTATTCTGAAATAAAACATGTTTAGCCTCCAAGATAGTCATGCTGCTAAATATATATGCTGCGCTACAGAAGCAGTAGAGAAATATGATGTGGAAATATATGGACCCTAGCGCCTAGCTCCGCTGAGGACCTGCACCTATTCCTGGAAGAGAGTGTTCGTTTATCAGATAGTAATTAAGGCAATATAAATACTGCTTACTAGGTTACGTGCGAGTAGCTGATATAGTGTTCTTCTGTCCCCTTTCCCCTGAATTATAGTGATCGTGTCGAGATCGCTTTTCTACCTCCTGATGTCGACCTGAAACTCTCAGGTGCGAGGTTATGAACCGTCTTTAGCGGGCTGATAATACGAAGGACCCTTTCGTCACGAGTACCGTTTGACTCGTCGACGTGCATTGGGGCCGCTATCCCGCCGATGCAGCAAAAAGTAACTCATGTGGAATTGTCTGGAATTGAGCAGACCATGTATAGGGAGAAATATCTGATCCACAGGCATCGATGATTCACGAGATCTAATGCTGATCCTTCTAGATACACCTGAAACATAGAGATATTCAGAAAATTATCCATCTTCACACCATGGCTAGGCTTTCACTATCCCGAGCAGAGTCCGCGGGCTCAGGTAATTCCATCGGCCTGCGAAAGGTGATCAAAGGGAAAAAGTTGCCCCGTTCCTTGCCGAAGCCATTAAGCAGAGTGATGCTGTTGATACAAGCTTTCAATATTTTTACGAGAACGCGGGAATGTTGCCGGACAGACGCTCTACTTGGGCATTGGAAATCCTTCTCTGGGGACGCTCAAGGTTACGAGCAATGCTACTGATCCTTCGGGATCAAATAGTCGTCCATCAGAAGGCCATCATGTGGACCTATTTCCCAGCTGAGCATGTACGAATATTGATGCCACTGTATTGTGTGCAGGACTGACATGCACGGTGTTGATCAGTAATTACTGTTGAATGCAGCGGGGTTGAACCTTCAACATCTTTGTAGAAATATGCACTTGTTCATCTGCCATGTCAAAATCTGTCATTAATCAGGCTAATGGAGAAATTCCAGGCTTGGCTAGGAACGTATTGTGCACGTGTATGAATACCGTCTCCGCTCCTTTAATATAGAACTAGTGGCTTACACATATCGGAGTATGCAGTGGATGCACAGGCACCCATTCGTGGGATTGGAGAGAATTTACTTCAGACAAGCAGCTTTGATAGGATTGAACTGAGAATGACTTTTCGGGGGTTTAGAAAACTATTTTCCAGACAAGCCCTAAGCCAAGGACGAGCGATGGATATCGAAAGATAAGGACTCAACTGAGACAATCAGTGAGTGCAAAAGTGATTGCGGCGAGCACCATGCACACAAAAGTTTTTCTTCATGTTTCTACAAGCATGTCTTGAGGTAATTAGTTAGTTCGTCGTCTCAGAATCGGAAAGATAGATGCTCTAGCGGAGTTTCTAATAAAGCTTGCAACTCAAGGGGCTACATTAGCGAAATATAATCAGCACTTTCTACGTCAGTTAATTCCGCGCTTCATAAGCGTATTTCCATCTCATGAGCCCATTACTGCGTGTCCCCATGTACTACACCGTGTTCCATCATAGCATACATCCCAACCGTCGCGGTCACAAAGGTTTCCCCATCCTCCCACTGTTCTACCTGATCTACCCTGGACCGCCTGATTTACAACAGAACAAAGTTCATCACCAGGGTGGCCGTCCTGGGATTCGAGACAAGCCGGTAGAAGTCTGATGTCACATCCAGCGCCAAATATAAGCTTAGACGATTAAATAGACCATGCTCTGACTCTTAGTGCTACTTTGCCCCTTGGATGATGCCTCTGATAAACCTAGTTGCTACGTCCTGGGAAGATGTGGGAAAGTCTTTTCCAGGAACCATAAAGAGTCGAGCCGCATGATGTGGCAGAGACCAGTGCAAGACCCGCGACTGAACCTATATCAAACATGTATCAAAGTCAAGCACAACAGCAGTGGTCACAGCAGGTGGAGTAGGACTAGAAGCTAAGGATAGATACAGCAACCTAGGAGCTCTCGAAGAGGATGGTAAGCCAAGCTCAGAGAAACAGGGCAACGTTAGCTAGCTATTTTTTTTTTTTTTCATATCAGTTGAGTGTGCGTTGAGGGAACTAGGGAACATCCATTAGCAAAAATGCAGACATGCTTTGGGTATATGAGCAAGACAAGAGCTTGGGCGACACGACATTAACCCGAGAAACCATGTGCAGCGATTCAAAAATTCTTCAGAATAGAAACAAGACAACGAGTTTTTAATTTCTCATTCCGACATGGTGGCTGGATCTCTTTGAGCAGTAATGGACTGGCGTCCGTTACAGTTATGGCTGTAGAGGGGATTAGATTGCTTTGACGTGTCTCATAAAGCAACTGGACTCCAGGGAGGTCTGCTAGCGTGGAGAAAAGACAATAGGTGCCACGAACGATGAATAACATTAACATTGAATTGGTTTTGTATGCGTTTGCCAGGTTTATCCGGCAAACTTTCGTAAGCCCCGCAGCCATGAACAAAGTTCTGCGAGTTCATCAGGGTTTAATGTGTCGGAGACCCGAACGGCGAACATCGCCTGGAGATACGGGGGACTGATTGCCCTCTGGGTGTCGAACGGGTTGTTCATGCCCGGGAAGCTGAGACGGACGGAGTGGGAACCTTTCACAGATTCGGCGCACAGGTTTTTTTACCAGCGAGTTGACCTGCAAAAATTCTATAATCTCTACCAGCTCAACATCCTTATCTCCACGACCCTTTCGAACTGAGACCTCGTTGGCAAGCTTGGATGTAAGTGACGCCGCTCTACCCAGTGCAAATGCTTTCGGGCTGGTGTCGTCAAGTCGCCCGCAAGCACTTCGACGACACGATCATGTTGCGGCCACTAAGTAGGAGTAGCAACTAAAATAAACACCATATCAACTCGGTCTGGAACAAAACTTATGGCATCGAAAAACGTCATTCCGACATTGAACTATTTGCGACAACTGGAGAAATCTATTTCTCTACCGTGATAGAGCCTGTGTCCTGCACAGTGTTCGAAGACAATGCCGCGCACTCCAGTCTCTAGTTGAGCAGCCTCCAATATCATAGACGTAAAATGCGCTTTGATTGTCCAACCAGGTGATTTTTCATCATCAGCGACGACTACTACATACGGCTTTCCGAAGCCAAATGCTCTCAAAAACGCGTGAAGTTTTTAACGTCTGTAATAACATTCGTATCATCGTAATTCCAGCTGTGTAGGAGACTGAGGCACAATTCTTATAAGTGCGCATTTGTTGGGCCATAATTTGATCGAGTATGGCCTTGACCCTTTCAACTGGCATAGACCTTTTTAACTGCAGTCCGAACAGGTGAGAGGAGAGTAGTAGAGAGCTTTGTTGGCTAAGGAATGGAGATAATATGATAGGATAATGGTAATTTATGGTAAGTATGCGCTAAATGAGATCACATGGGAGCTAGACATTTTCAAGTACGTGGGGCTACCAGTATAAGTCAATGATTAGTTTATTTTAGCGTACACATTATAAACTCCCCCCTCAGGCCGCATCCCTGCTCGACGACGGAATGGAACCCGTCACTTATGATTAGAGTATTAACCTGAATTTTATATTATACCCTCGAATAGAATCCGCCACTTATGGACACCATAATCCTTACGCGGAACTCGAAGCAGTAATGGTGACGGCTGGTATACTATTTTACAGCATTTACTACGGATTTTACTACTAGGCAGGTTTAGGGAGATGAAATACAGCTCGTATAAACTAGGATTAGTTACAATAATATTACTATATAATGTATTTGTGCTTTATGATTAGTCTGTAATTTAATTGGCTGGGATCAAAAGTCATCATAACAGACTCGCAGCGGAAAGGACACATACTACAAACGGAGGTATCCAGTACACAATACCCAAATAGTCTACTGAAAAATGATCTGCAGAATACGGCACTTTTAGGGACGTAAACAATAAACTTATCTTTGCATAAATTCCAAGCGATGTCAGCGATCCTTCCAGTAAGACATATTTTGATGTCTCTATTCGTGTCAGGGGGCCACAAATATGGGGAAAGTAAAGTTTAGATGACACATCTCATCATCTCTTTTCATAGCACTTGTGCTTCGTAGAATAGATGAAATATTACTATATGTGCGGCTTTCTCGTCTACGAAAAATTGTATCATCGTTCACGCCGTCTAGTTCTCTGTTGGATTTATAGAGAACTAAGAAGGCAGTACTCCATAATAGTATTTGGCCTGTATATTTATAAGTTCCCGAATCACTAGTTATACAGCGACAAATGAGAGATTATAATTATTATACTGTATTTAAATTACTATTTCATATATACAGTTTGTTCTTAATACTATATAACAAAGTACAGTCGATATTTTTGATTCTTACCGTCCGATAGGTAATTCCTGGCAATGCACACGATTTCTCGGCTTGTGGGATATTATTAAGAAAACGTATATATTGCTTACTTGATGTACTGGCCGCATCATGCCGCATTCCCTGCAGATTATGCATGGTTTTGAATGTAGCTGAGAATCTGAGAACTCCATACGGAAACGATAGAAAACACGTCGACTCGCCGAGGTTCGGGGAAAATTCGAAATAAAGTACGTCAAAATACTCCACTTGGAACTAGCCGAGATAGAGGTACTTCAACAGAATTTGACTACGAAGGTTCTCACTTCTCAGCTTTCTGGTTGATATAGAGAGTGGGCGGGAGGGGATATGGAAAGGCCACATGGTGGTCATCATTTAGTCTGGTCCACAAGTATGATCTTACGTAGTAAGTATATAGGTGGCTCTTATAGGTACATTATACATAGATACAGTGGGGGTTAGACGTTTTGACCCACCATGAGAATAAATAGAATAAATGGGAAGAAAAAGAAAGGGAAAAAAAAATATCAACGGCGGGAAGTCAGGTGGCTGGCCTCCCGTCCATTTTCCCCTCACAATGTCTTTCATGTCCTTCACCATATCCTTCCCGTCATGGCCACTGTTTAATATGATCACCATACTATCCATCATACGTTGTCTCACTTGGTCCCTGCATCTTAATATCGATGACTATAGTATTCTTCGCATTCAATTGGAGAGTGAACCTGTCCAGCGAACAAGCTAGTTCGCCATGAACAGTGGAAGCGACACTAGCTACTCCGTACTATGGTGTCATATCGCACATCCCGTATCTGTTGACAAACGGAAAAGGATTTTTATTGGAACTTTGATGAACCTGGTCCCTTTTTTTTAAAAAAAAAAAAAAAAAAACACTGGTTGACTTTGTGCTTGTACCTGATTTCTTGTCGATCATTCCCACGAGACTGACAACGTCAAAAGTGATCTCCAGTATCCTCGTCCCGTCCGGCCCTCGAATCCCCCCTCGTTATTGGGCGATATACACGGAATGCATGGTTTCATATTGAAATATTGAGGTGGTTTAGCGGCATTTTAAAGTGGCCCTCTTCTGCTCAACTACGGTCAACTTGAGACGTAGCGTCAGCCGCCATGCGCTTGGTACGGTGGATCCGAGAGATCCGGATTTCTTATTCGCTCAGGACCTGCGTTCAACCTCTGGATCTCAAATTTCAGCCAATCCGTACTTTAATGTCGTTATCTCTTCGGAGATGGTGTTGCAAGTATTCAGGGATGTCTCCCACCAGCCTGCATGAATGCAGGGAAAAAAATGATGGTGGAATCGACAGGAACCCAACCTACGTCCGACTGCACGGAAGCCTTTCGCATAATTGCTACCCTATGGAGGAGGTCTTGCATATGATCTAATATGTCCACTCGAGGGCATACTTCGGTGGTTGGTCTTGCCTAATCCAGTTCGCAATGAACCGGAGTTCCGTAGTTATCAGCTTCCACGCTTACTTGACTCGGTCCATCCCCACTTGACCTACCTGGAAATTGGGCCCGTCTCAAACACCCGCGGCGATGTGCACCGAGTGCAGATGATGCAGTTTAATAATAATATCAAAGACCAAGTTTTGGTTCTCAGAGTGAAAATTACCCACCCTGGAGGTGCTATCACACAACGCCCCTTGTTATACGTGTTCCAGGCTGTTTTCTGCTTCTGCTTCTCTACCATTCTCTCTTTTCCTCATCTCGAGCTTGAAGCTCTTGTCTCATTCATTCTTTTTTCTTTGCTTTTCGTATTTACATTCCTTTTTCCGAGGCAGTAAGTACCAAATATTATGCCTTATATTGGTCAGATGGGGCTAACAGATGGCTTCGCCGTCATCTTCAGGGGCTCAATGAATCGTCATTCTACTGGATGAGGCACATCACTGGTTCGACACTATGCAGTTGTGAACAAAGTCTCTCTTTTTCATTCCTTTCTTGCAACCATCTTTCATTAAGTTGCGGTATGCTTTGTTCTATGATCCTCTAATGCACTGCTGGACTGTAGCATTAACACATTTGCATTCTTGCTCTGTAGCAGAGGCACCGAGTGCCAACTCAGTATTGCGTCATCGCTTTCTTTTCAAACTTGAGCACATGTTCCTCAAGCTCATTCGTTGTCAGCTTGTACTCCTACTTCATGGCCAACAGTCGGTATTGTAGACTGCATACCTACCACTTGGAGTTATTCTCATTCCTTTCACTTACCATTGGATCGCTCTCGACTACTTGATCGGGCTGGCCTTACTAAATACCGTCCCTTCTCTATTGATTCTACGAAAACACCTACAATTTCCATACACACTAGTATTTCCACATATCACCAATGAACCCAGCGACATCTGCAAACTCGAGCCAGGGGTCCAGCCCGACAGAGGGTATGGAAAGAAAGGGCTCTGTTCGTCGAGCTAGAGAAATGCTTGAGGCTGGAAGACGTCAGGAATTTCAAGGTCCCCCAGCGACTGTTAAACCACCACCGCCTCCCATCAGAACAGACCTTTCTCGTATGACGCAGTGGCCTCCATCCCATAACCACTTGCAAGGGAACTCACGACAGCCGCCTCCAAGAGATCCTCCCCCCCAGCGGCCACCCCGACCTGAGGCACCATCGCCGTCAATATATTCAGAGAGGAGCCTCTCGATTGATACACCAAGCCCGCTCCATGTCTATCGGCCCGCCCCATCATTCCCTCAACATTTAGCGTACCAGCCAGCGCCACTTCAACCTGGGAGTAGAGATCTTCATAGTCCCACAGATATGAGCCCCCATACTTCGGCTGCGACGGAAGAACCTGTCAGACAGTCTGCAGCACCATCAGTTGATTCGTTTATATTGCGCGAATTTGCCTTTCTTGCCCAGCCAATGCCTGCTGAAAACCAACGACAGTTCCAGAAAAAGCCGTCAGGTCTCGCGCCTCCCCAATTAGGACAAAAACCGACCATTTCGCCAATACCAGAGGAGGGATATGACAGCCCCGCAGTTCACAAGGGATCCTTCGCATCCAGCAAAGTGGTCCCGTCGAGTTGGGGCTCTGCTCGAGCGGAGTCAGAAATCTTGAGAACCTATCTAGAAGCCGAGTCAGACGGCGAACACAGCCACAGGTCCCCTTCCGATGAACGCAATGTTTTCCCTGTAAGGCAAGCAAGCTTGGGCAAGAGAGGTAAACCGGTACTGCGCACTATCCCAATACCTAACGCGGACTCGCAAATGCCACCTGCACAAGGGCCTGTGCCGAGGATGGCTGTTATGAAAGAAGCTCCTGGCCACCCAAATGGTAGGAGCCGCTCGTTCTCAGCATCCACCATCTCTTCCCATTCAACCTCGCGACAGGCACCGTTTATGTTGGACCTTAGCTATGAGCATCTACCAACTCGCATAAACAATGACATGGACGCATCGGGGAATGAGATGGGGGTATTTCCCAAAACCGCTCCTACAATGAGTGATAAACGGCCGGGAGGTCATAGGCCCCCTCGTTTGGATATAGAAGCTGTTCGCGACGCAGAGAAACGAGGCAGTGTCACCAGTCTGCCAGACTTGATCCGTCGTGCAACGCAACTGGCTTCGAATCTAGAACATGGCAGAACGGCAAGTAAAAATAACCTCCTTGACTTTGATGGAGGCCCCAAATTTCCACGTGGTGAGTAACCCTTCGGAAACTAGCATACTGACAAACAAGATGGCTGAACTATAATCCAAGGTCATGAGTACCGCAGATCTGGATCGATCAAGGACATTATTGCATCGTTTCCTCCACCGGCCGCCGCGCCCGATGCAGGACGGCCGCTTTGGCCCGCTTTTTTCAAGAGGTCCACATTGCACCAAATACAGTCTCAAGAAGTTGTGCCCGAAGCAGGGAACGAGAAGGTTGAAAAGCGCCCACGTCGTTGCTGTGGAATGCCCCTTTGGTTGTTCATCCTGTGCGGAGTCTTAATTCTCTGCCTCATTCTTGTCGCTATTCTCGTTCCCGTCTTACTTACCGCAAACAAGAGCAATAGTGATACAGACTGTCGGAGTAGTACACCATGTGCAAACGGAGGAGTCAGTGTGTCAAGTGGAGATATCTGCTCCTGCGTTTGTTCGAACGGTTTCACGGGCTCCCGGTGTACAGTTTCTGGCGACTCTGGCTGCACTACAGTGGAGATCGGCAAAGGTTCCTCATCCAAGAATGCCACCATGGGCACCGATCTTCCACGGTTGTTTGACAGCGCGCAAAGAAACTTTAGCATCCCACTGGATTCGGTCACCATAATGGCTCTATTCAGCCAGAATAACGTCTCTTGCACCACCGAAAACACCCTTGTGGCCTTTAAAGATGTGAACGCAAACTCTAAAAACCGCCGCGCCCTTCCAATTGCACCTGGACCCCAGCTGTTAAGTCCAGAGAAAATGTCCGATCCTGAATCACCCACCCCGACAACATCTGATGCGGGCACGCGCACGCTCGCTGCTCGAGGCGCTGCCGGCACATTAAACGGCATTGTCTTTGACACATCAGTACCGATAGGAAATCAGCAAGACGGATTGCCGACGGCGACGAAAACTAGCGCAGCAACCCACACCGGGACATCCTCAGCCACATCAAGTTCGACTCCCAATTCGACAGGCGGCAATTCGACGAGCGTCCCAGCAAAAGCCATCGACTTCTCTCGCATTGCTGTCCTATACATTTTCGAGAAGACCGGTACCTTCAGAGCAGCCACGTTTTCTGAAGACAGGGTCCAGACTTATCTGCAGAAGTCGTATCCCTATTCAAATAAGAAGACTTTTAGCATCGACCTGACCGATGCCGGCGTTAAAAGTACCTTTGCTTTGGACTTTGATTGGTATAAGATTACTTTGCCGAATGGGGACGTTATAGGAGGTAGTTAATTAGGATGGTACAGTCAGAACGAGGGTAATGGAGCTTAATCTATTCTATTCTAATTCTTCTACGACTTTGCAATTTTATATCTTGGCCGAAGGTCCCTATCTCCTGTCTCTATCAGCCGGTATATTTTGTCCTGTTTTCTACATCTAATTCATATATATAATTGTTGCCCACATTCTTTTTTAGCCCGACGTTGGTGTGCCTTTGTCGCGTTATATGCATGGGTATACCAGCGTCTATCCATTTGGGTATTTTTAGATGAATCAAAACTTATATATTCCCGGAACATCTACTCACTCTGGTGGAGGTGGACGAGCCAAGAGAAGTGAGATTTGAGCCAGTATTTGTGATAAAAGATAAGCCAAAAAAAAAAAAGTCAGGTAGAAGATATATCAGAGATTTGTCATGCCATTTTATTTCATAGTGCCTTATGCGTCCTATACAATACAGCCACATACTAATAAATACAGTGAAAAGAGATGTGCACATCCACGCCCCCAAAACGCCACGGTATAGTATAATAACAACCCCATCCGCAAACCCTACACAGTCAAGGGAAAAAAAATCTCATACAAACAAAGAACTATTAGGCGCGATGCCCTCCAGACCAGACTCTCCATCGATAATAGGCCACAGTCGATTGATACGATCATCCAGGATGATCTTCTCAGCTTCCCATCTCTTACGTTCAAGGGTCTTGGCTTGAACTCGTTTCTGACCGCCAAACCACGCCTTGGGGGCCCTTTCGATACTCTCAGCCTCATCCTTCTCGGCCTTAGCGACTAGTTGCCCCACCATGGTTTTCCAGTTCTCCAGACCGACGCGGAGACATTCAGCGCAGCGATGGCGCGGGTTCCGGTCCTCGGAGCCGCCTAGTTCGAGAATCGTGGCTTCCGCCATGTCGACGGCGTCGCGGGTCCAGGCGAGGCCTGTTTCCTTGGAAGAAGAAGCGTAGACGATTTCGCCGATGTAAGTCATCAGGCCGGCTTCGTCGCAGGTGGCTGTGGGTGTGCGAAGAGGAGGGTCGTTTCCGGATGGGAGAGGAGCAGGGTACTCAACTGGGATAAAGACGGTCTTGAGGGTGTTGAAGAAGGAGCGGAAAGGATCGTTAGATTTGGGAAGAGAGGGAAGGCCCAAAGTAACTGTGCCAGACGGCGCTGGTGGAAGCGTCCGACGGGCCTTAAGAACGGAGGTGAACAGGGACAGGGACGTGGGTAGATTTCCTTGTCTGGCATGATGGACGGCAAGAGCCGTCGAAACGCGAATGATGTTTTCTGAAGGGAGATTCTTGCCGTCGTTCTTGAGGACGCCTGTTTTTACGTCCACAACTTTCTGGGCCTCCACGGGCGACGCGGCGGTGGCTATATCCATCGCCCAGTTGTACATGTCGCTGGCAGTGCCATGAAGACCTTTGTAGTCGAGCCAATCGGCGTAGGCTAGGGCGGCGTCGAGCTTCTGCCTCGTGTCAAAACCACGTGTAGTCAAGACCTTCATGTAAAAGGACTCCGGGCTGGGAGAGGCCGGCTCGCAATTCTCTTCCTGCGGCACCTTTTTCTGGCCGGCAGGCATAGGTTTAGGGCGGGGATTGGAGGGACCAACGACATACTCCGCCGGTGCAGAGATACGCTGCTTGCGATCTGTCAACCAGCCCTCGAGATTCTCTGCAGCCTTTGCGGCGCCCATCAGGGCCTGGAAATAACCTCTCTTCCACGGCTCACTCTTCGCTGAGACGTCGAGTCCGGTCTTTCCAACTCCCTCGACTAAAAAGCCGCCATCACCCTGTTCAATTACTCCTTTTCCTTCACCCTCCAGGTTTTCCAATCGCTCCAATAGGTCCCGGAGATATCCTGCAACCATGGGCCAATTGGTCATCAACTTGCCGATGTGCTCGGGATTCTGCAGGGCCTGAGCGGACCGTAAGCACCAACGACTCTTCAATGTCCATTCCGGTGGAGTTGGCCATTTATGCTCGATTTCCTCCTGATATACCCCCAGTTTGATCACTTGAAATAGGACCAAGATGGCGTAGAACGATAACCCGATCCGAAGTCCCCGGGAAATCCGTCGTCGATAGTAATCTCGACTCTCTGTGGAGATTAAGCGTGCAAAATGCTGTCGAAGGTGAATAGACAGAGGTGGGAGAGGGCGACTGCTCGCCAGTGGGTAGAGGAAAGGCAGCTGAGGTCGAGTGGACGGACGGGAGACGACGTCGAGGCGGGATTTGTGTGTGAAGGGGCGACTTGGCTGACGCAGGCCATGATAAATCGGTGGCCGCAATAGTCGAGCGGCCCCCGGTATCCGACTGACAGCAACACGGGGGGGCAGCATTCTGTGATTGTCTTTTACCGCGTTTGGTGGGCTGGAAGAGCCATCATCGATTAATTCCAGTCAAGTTCTTTGCGTTTGCATCGTTTGCAGGGGAGGCAAAGCAACTACGTATAGCCATACCGGTCACGTGGCATACTGCAATAAGCATACAAGAGGAAATAAAATTGCTGTCTGCAGACAGAGAATAGAGCCACACGGGATTTTTCAAAGGGAATCTAACTATTGCAATTGAAAGCAGCATATTCTATAACCCGATACGTCCAACGCTTGAGCCCCAGACCCCTTCCTCATAGTACCATACATTACAACTCGGTAATTCTACGCACGGTCAAAATAGCCCTCACTCTCAAGCATGAGGATGATTTCATGGACAATGCTGCGAACGCTCTGCTTCGAGAGGTCAACGGTGAGATCCGCATTGGTAGGAGTCTCGTAAGGGTCGTCAACACCAGTGAAGCCCTTGATCTCACCACGGCGAGCCTTGGCGTAAATACCACGCTTATCGGTCTTCTCGCAGTACTCGAGAGGGGTAGCCACATGGACGAGGAAGAAAGAGCCGCCCTGGTGGGAGACAGCCTCCCGGGCAACGTTCCGAGAATATTCATACGGAGCGATGGGGGCGGCAATAACGGCAGCGCCAGCCCTGGTGAGCTCACCAGCAACGAAGGCGATCCGCTGGATGTTGGTGTGGCGGTCCTCACGGCTGAAGCCCAGCTCAGACGACAACTCGTGGCGGACGGTGTCACCCAGGAGTAGGGTGGTTGTGCGGCCACCCTGCTGGTTCAAGGTGACCTGGAGTGCTCGAGCAATGGCGTCTTTACCCGAGTTCATGTAACCAGTGAAGAAGATGGTGAAGCCCTGAATGGAACGCGGGGGGCTAGATTCGCGGAGGATTTTGACGACTTCGGGATATGTGAACCACTCGGGGATGTGGGCGCCAGTGCGCAGACGCTTGCGGAGCTCAGTACCAGAGATGTCAAGGGTCTTGACACCGGCAGGGACCTCGTCCTTGGGCTTATACTCGTCGGTATCGGGCAGGTAAGTGACCTGTTGGAACTCGACGACATCAATGCCCAGCTCGTCCTTGTACTTTTCAACGGCGTGCTGAGCATCGTAAGGACCGTAGAACTCCTCACCCTTAGAGTTCTTACCCGGACCGGCGTGGTCGCGGCCAACGATAAAGTGGGTGGCACCGTGGTTTTTACGGATGATGGCATGCCAGATAGCCTCACGGGGACCACCCATACGCATAGCCAGGGGCAGCAGACCCAAGACGGCCATTCCGTTGGGGTATCGAGGAAGGAGGGCTTGGTAGGCACGGACACGGGTGAAGTGGTCAATATCACCAGGCTTGGTGAGACCGACAACAGGGTGGATCAAGACATTGGCCTGACGAGCGCGAGCAGCACGAACGGTGAGCTCACGGTGGGCTCTGTGCATGGGGTTTCTCGTCTGGAAAGCGACAACTCGGTTCCAGCCGAGCTTGTCAAAATGCACACGCAGCTCTGCGGGGGTGTCTAGAGTCCCAGTCAATCACCGTTTCAAGGCGTTTTATGCAACCAGAAAACACATACAGCGCAGTGCGACATAGTCGTAGTGGTTTAGTTTGTTCACAGCTTCCACCCTTCCACCAATATAGAATTCATGAACCTTCGTGTTCAGATACTTGATAGCGGGATGTTCCTCATCGCCGCCAAAAACCAGCTTCGCTTCCTTTTCTCTAAACACGAAAGACAGACAGTTAGTTACACCACATCATTCAGACCCACTCTAAGCGGCAATCAGGAGCTATGACTAGCATTGTCCCTGTACAGGAAACACAGGATCAAGCTAGGTATCAAGTGATCACCTTTGCAAAGGATAATGAGGTGTAACAGAATGAGCAAAAAACCAACTCACTTGTCAGCACGGTAGATGTCATCGATGGTCAAAATGGCCAGATTGCGGTCATCTCGGAAGTCACGCAGAGTGACCCGAGAGCCAGCCTGAAGCTTGCCATCATTGATGACTTCCTGGGAGGCGTCGAGGGTGATGGGCATAGAAAACAGGTTGCCATCGGCAAGACGGCAGTTCTCACAGACGCTATATGAGGGATAGTGTGGTCAGCCAGATGGTCGACGGGCGCCATTGAAGGTGGGGTTATCTTGGGATTCGCTCGCAATTTTCTTCTCAATTTATTGGGTTGAGCAATGGGATGGGTGTAAGGCAGTATACCTGTCAAAATCCTTTTGGTTCATGAAGCCTGAGGTGGAAATATACAAGTCAGCCTAGATGACCCAAGCGTTGTTGCCAAAATACCAAGGCGTATCTGAGATTTAATTGTACATACCCTCCAGAGGACTGAACCCTCCATTCATGATCAATTCGAGATCACACAGCTGGCGCTCGGAGAGAACGATGGCGGGTAGGTCCTCCGCCTCTGCGGCCAACTGATCATGGCGGGGAGCATCGCGAGCAATAAGGTCCTTCAGGACTCCGCCGTGAGGAGGGTTGGCCATTGTGTAGGCGGAAAGAGTTTAATTAGGGGGAGGAGGAGTGGTTAGGAAAGAAGAAAGGAAGGACGAAGAGACAGATGGGGGAAGGGGGAGGGAGAAATAAGAATTACTTAGGAGGGGAAGGAGGGGGAGTGGATGTAGAGAGGGGTTCCAATGCTGCAGTAGAAGAGAATGGAGACAGGGAAGGGACATGAAATATATTATAGCTCAACTAAAGAAGGACAAAAAAAAAAAAAAAAACTAGCAGAACGTCCCCCACGAGTTCAAAGTACCGCGACACATACAATCCAGTCCCATGTTATTTCTCGAATGTCGCCATTGCTCGTTCTAGGCAAATCCTCCCACAAAGTCGTCAGTCGGTGGAGACGCTGATGATCGTTCCCCTTCGGTCGCTCTTGGCATGACTACTAATTCCGCGGTGGCTTCAATTGTATTGATATAATTATGCCGCTCTTTTTCCTAACCTTGTCGACACATCAGAAATGTACTTGAATACTATCCGGTCATTATGATCACCCCCATGCTCACTGGTTCCCCTCTATATTTCTAGATCAATATCCTAGACAAGCCGTGATTTTCAGGGAAGATCGGGAAATTTAATTCGGGATTTCTTTGACTTCATCACTCCCTTTCCACTCGACAACTGGTAAAAACACCATGAGAGAGTGATACCAACTTCCATCTTCTCACCTATCAAGCGATTCCATCCCACTGCAATTAGAACAAAGCTTTCGGTCGGCCCGTCACGTGGCTGCCATCACGACATCCTCCGCATGGCTTGCGTGATTGCAAATCCACCCTCCAGTTACGGTCTAGCGCGTAGGCCTAGCGCCGATCAGGTGATGGTCTTGGCGGGGCTTCCTGAGTCGGAGTCCCTGCGGACTCCTGAAGGTCCAACTCTGCCATGACTAGTCCGTCTCCTATACTCCATACATTACTCCAGCAAAGGTTGATTCCTTATGTGTTGAGTAAATCGCAATTTCCTTGGTCGGTAGTCTGAAGCAAGTAGATTGGCTGACAGTTAACGCGTCAACGACCACGTATGCACGGGAAATAGTGCACTGTATTTAAGTGATCTGTTTATGAAGAGTCAAGGTTATAAAACATATAATTCTTTAATTCCGCTGTCATTCGCCTCTATATAGGAAATAAAAGTTTACACCCCCACACTGCCAACTTATATAAGGGTTCGCTTCCATGGCGACGAACCAATGAAACTCCATATCCTTTGCACACTAATGCTCCATAAATACATATATTCCTGTATTGAGACTAATGCGAGGCACATAATAATCCTTGAAGTAGGCAAAGTATACGGCGAGGTAAAAGAAACCATAGAACTTGCCGACCCTGGAGTTATCACTGAACGGCGTCATCCTCGGCATTTTTAAGCACTTCTTCCTCCTTCGACCCTGCTCACCCAAAATCCCAACAATAAAATGGCATAGTTGCCTTGTTTTTCCTTTCAAACTGCCCAGTGAATCAATTTCATACAGCTAATCTTGATTCGCTGGGGTACTTGATAAGATTGATAAGATAAGATCTTCGCCAATCCATGGTCTAGGCAGAAATGAGTCAGGAACCACTATGTCGTTCAATGGCGCAATCCCGCCACTCGATGGCTAATTGCGCACAGCTCATAGCTTTTCCATGTAGCCTTCGAGAAGATGGCTCCGCCCCACAGGAGAACGCTTGGTAATGAGTTGGGGCAGTGCACTGATGGATTGTTTGTAGATTATAAATGCTCATATCGGAGTAGTAGTCTCTGGAGGCTCTATTGGTTAAGTACCGTGAAATACTAGTACCCTCGGTAGTCGCCTTTTCGGTTTCCTCGTATTGGGGTAATGGTCTGTTGGGGATAGATTCAACATTGCCGTTTTTCCTTTGTGGTTTCCCTGCCTCGAAAAAAGAAACAAAGTACGCTGGAAATATCAGTCTCGCCTGACTTAACGAGAATACTACTCTGTACACTTGACAGAAGTCAAATAGAAACTACTCCGTTGATGTGGAAAATAAAATAAGGAGAAATGAAACATTTAGCCATTTCTGTCATACTGGCCATTATCATAGTTGACCATCTGGCCGTCGTTCGTGAAGTGTGCCAACCAGCTATGTACAATCTATCATCTTGGATTGGGGTTGACAAAATAGAAAGATTCTCAAAAATTTCCGCCAAACAAACCGGGGAAAAAAACATTCATAACGACATTATTTTGTAAGACCCGTGTCCACCTGAATGGAAGGCAGGAGAAATAAAAGAACGCCATGTAAAACTCGCTAGATATGGTAGTCCCCAAATATAAACGCCGCAAGCAATGCAAACAGTATAAAAGCAATAAAGGTTTATTGGGCAGCTGTGGCAAGAGAGTTTTGCAGAGCTTGTGATAGAGCCTCCTCCTGACGCTTACGCTCCATATCCATCAAGAACTGAGCGTACTTCGATCGAGGGTTGTGGATTCCACATTCTGTCTTCTCTTGACCCTTCCAACGGCCAGATCTCTCATCTTCATTGTCCTTGACGGGCTGGGTGGAGTGGTAATCACCAATGCTCTTGTAACCACGGTCTAACAACTCATTATAAGGGACGTCGTTTTCCTTGACGTACTGCTTGACTTGGTCGAAGGTCCAATTGGCAAGAGGGTTGACTTTAATGAGGCCAGCCTCGTCGACCTCAATGATATCAAGGTCACCGCGCTTACCACCTTGGCTACGGCGGCGACCGGTGAGGACAGCATGAACGTTGAGCTCCCGATAGGCACGCTGGGCTGGCTCAACCTTGGCCACCCAGTCGTAGAACTGATCATCTCTCTCCCAGAGCTGGGCACCATATTTCTTGGCAAACTCCTCCTCTGTCTCAACGCCTGCTGGCTTGTATACATGGATATTGTTGAGAGGGTACCTCTTACGGACCCGGTCGACAAGAGCCAATGTCTCTTTGAAGTGATGAACGGTGTCGAGGAAGATCAGGTCAACCATCTGAGGCCGAGGTACATCCAACTTGGACAACATGTCAAGAGTGACAAGACCCGTGAGGCCGAATGCGGTGGTCTGGAAGAGGTGAGGAAGCGAAGTAACACACCATCTCAAGACATCTACATGGAAGTCAAGCGTTAGCCAAGACAACTACAGAGGGGCAAGCATTCTCAGCTGACCTTGAGGCTCAAGAAACTGCAGTTGCCTGTTGAGAAACTGCAAATGTGGCTTTGTGAAGATGATCTCGGGAGTATAATCATCACTAGAACTGCCACTCACATAGCCAGATTCGGTTCTAGAATCAATGGCCTCTGGCTCAGGAGAGTAGTTGTCAGGCATCTTTGCAGGCATCACGACAGATACTTGTGGAACAAACGTAGAGTAAGTGAAAGAAGCAGGAAAACCAAAGAGTTAATTCAGGGAGTCTATGTATTGGTATAGATATGCAAAATATGGTAATGTCTTGCTTAGAAATTGTAGGCTTGACAAAGCGATGATGTGGGAGGGTAGGAGGAGGGCCACCAGGCAGTCTGATATAGCACAATGACAAGGCAGGGGTAATCACGACATCACCGGCAACCGGAGGCTGCTCTTCACTACCAAAAGCCCTCATACATGCCGGTCAATTCTGCCATTTACGATCACGACATTGCCTGTGACCGCCTGCAATTTCGGGGTTCATTGCTGAAAAGTTTAATTTCCTCATGTATTCAGGAAATCACGCAATAGCTGCGTTTACGGTCCCTGTGGACCACCGGAGGGCTTATGTCACCACTTTCCAGCGGTGCACTTCACTGACAAACGGGCTTTGGTCCATGCTCCAACGTCCCTTCTGGAACCCTGGAGAAGGGAATGGCAAATAGATCTCCATCCAGTCACTTTGCCATTATCATCTTATCACTGGATGTAGATGTCATCGTCGGCTGACCAATCCCCCACGGAGAAGCGAGACTGAGAGATTGGTCAGCAAGGACAGAAATGATGCAACGTAAACCAAAGGGAGCATACATACTAGGCATATTAGATTTACTCTGACAACCTGGCTTCCCAACGTAGACGCCGGACATAAGTCTGGTGAAGTAAGGCTCTGGGGATGGATATCTGCTGAGGAGCTTGATGTGGGTGAGCCTCTGGAGCCCATGCGGGTTCTGCCGGGCGGTGGTATTTCACGTGATGTAATTCCTATCCTGGCTGCCCCGCCACGTGCCGGCGATCAGTGGCTGCAGGGAAGCAATCGATAATTTTCCAAGGAACGTCGGTGCTTGCTTTGGTCCATCTCGCCAGGTTCTTTGGAACACATTAGCCGGGTGGGTTCCATCTCTCATTGAGCACCTTCTCTATCGTCAAGCGCTTGATCTCGCTCTCTATCGCAGTGTCCCAGCTCAAACTGTACGGAATGGCATCACCTAACCCCACCACGGCGACTACCCGTCCACAGCGGCCGGTGCTGCAGCAGACCTTGCGCAGTAAATCGTTCCTTCAAGATCACCAGCAATACAAGCCCTCGGTCCCTGTGAATCAGACAATAGGCAATATCCTGGGGAGCGCGATCGAGTCCGGTGTGGGCTCTTTATCCCTTAACGCCAACCCTATCAGCCCCGATCCCGAGAAGGTGACCGACAGCGGCATCATTCATAGCATCTTCAACCACCAAGGGAATCTCCTTCCTACCGGCACCCCACAGGTCATTGCGACCATATTCTACAAGTCCTCCGATCCCGTTCATCCCCATCTCCATCCGGACTCGTCACCTCGACCTGGAAATACACTGCCGTCCCCCATGGTTCCTGTGGGCTCCGCCCCGACAGTGGATATGGAGAAGATTCCGAGAGAACCTCCAGCGCCGGAACCCGAACCGTTGGATCATCTTTATGGACCCTTCGTATCGCAATTGTGTCTGACCAACTTCCTTCAAATCATGGAATCTCTTCCGATCCCTTACCAGCGCATGAATACCTCCCACCGCTGTATCGACCAACAAGACCAGCCTCGTGTTGTTGAGGTCACCGTCGCGCCGCCTCCTAACCCAGACTATCTCACATTCACGGACCTTCGGAAACACGAGAGTATATGGCGGTTTGAGCGTGAGTGGAACGTGGAGGTTGTACTTCAGAAGGAGAGCGTCTTCCGCCGGCATAAGCGGCTGGTGGTGTTTGACATGGATAGCACTTTGATTCAGAATGAGGTTATTGACGAGATTGCTAAGGTCATTGGTGTAGAGAAGGAAGTCTCGGTAAGTTGGTTTACATGATTTTCAGTACGTCATGGCTGCTAATCCTAAATGTAGGAAATCACGAATCGTGCCATGAACGGTGAGCTGGACTTCTCGGCGTCGCTCAGGGAGCGTGTCAGTTTGCTGAAGGGGGTCCCTGCGGATGTTTATGAAAAGCTGAAGACCATTCTTACCATTTCCCCCGGCGCACGTGAGCTGTGTAAGGCTTTGAAGACTCTTGGCTGCAAGTTGGCCGTTCTAAGTGGAGGGTTCCAGCCTCTTGCGGAATGGTTGGCTGGCGAACTTGGTATTGATTACGCACACGCCAACCATGTACGTGCTACTGCCCCTTAACCTTCTAGCGCATACCTCTAGAATCAAGAGGGCTATACTGTTAACATCCTTGGTTGGCTAATTGTCTTCGTTCATATAGCTCGAGGTTGACCCGACGACCCAAACCCTAACTGGTAGACTTGTTCCGGAATATCCCATTGTTGATGCGACTCGGAAGCGGGCCCTTCTGCAGTCGATTGCTGCAGACCACGGCATTCCGATTTCCCAGACCATGGCTGTTGGCGATGGTGCCAATGATCTTCTCATGCTCCACGCAGCCGGACTTGGTGTCGCCTGGCGCGCAAAGAGCAAGGTACAGCTCGAGGCTCCCACTCGCCTGAATGGCGAAAGCCTCGTGGATATACTCTATCTTCTTGGTCTCACCAAGGACGACATTAAAGAATTGACCTCCGAGGCAGTATGAGAACTGATGAAGAACCGTAGTTAGTGGTAGCCCCTTTCTTGGTTCCGGTGGTTAAGAGTATTACCCAATTTTTTCTGCCAGATGCGGCAATTTGTATTATATATTTTCAACGGATACGTGGTAGCGACGACTACACTTCTGTTTCTTTGTTCATTTTCTCTTTTTTGATCTCATTTTCCATTTGATCATTATTGGGATGGCAAGTATTTGGATGCGGTAGGGATATAATTGGCGATTCTAGTTTTGGAGGGGAAGTAGAGAGCATTTTTTCTGAAGGCATAGGAGTGGAGAAAACCCTGGAGTACATATGAATAGGCTATTGATATTACCGAGCAACGTGCATATTATGAAGTTGATTTTGATTCTATTTGAATCTGTGCTGAAACTTATGTTCTCCATATTATCTCTTTCACTGAGAAGCCATTCTATCCTCCCAACAGTCTAGGCACTGTCCATCCTGACGATCTAAAGCCGGATGCATACACGTACACTTCGAACCCAAAAATGACGATTTTGAACTACCTACCACGGCGTAACCGATGAATGCCGAATAAAACCTGCGCCGATCAAAGCTAAACCAAACGTACATACATAGAACGTGACGAATTCAGGATATATTTCAACGTGTTGCCTCATCAACGGATGCTTTCGTATTGCGGACAGTTTCCTCTCCTGCTCCGCCGGCGGCTGCACGTCTCTTCTTCAACACATTCTCAATGAACGCCTCACCGGCCTTGTAACTGCTGCGAACCAGAGGTCCAGAGGCGCAATAGAGGAAGCCCATGTCTAGAGCCCGCTGGCGCCAGAGCTCGAACTGATCCGGGGTGACATACTCATGCACCGCCATGTGACGTTTCGTCGGACGCATGTACTGACCGAATGTGACGACGTCCACTTTCGCTGCGCGCAACTGCCGAAGCGCATCCCAGAGCTGTTCTTCTGTCTCGCCTAGACCCAGCATGAGCGAGGTTTTCGTGATAAGTGACGGTTCGGCCTTCTTGGCGGCATCGAGCACACGGATGGACTGCTGGAATGTGGCCCGACGGTCCCGGACCTGCGGCGTAAGGGCTTCCACCGTCTCGACATTATGGGCATACACATCCAACCCTGACCGAGCAACCAGAGCCGCCATGTCGAGGTCACCGCCGTAATCACCGGTCAAACACTCGACGAGGATATTAGGAGCCTTCTGCTTGATCTTGATGACGGTCTCCGCGAAATGGCGAGCACCGCCGTCCACGAGATCGTCGCGGTCAACACTCGTCAGGACGATATAACCCAGGCCCCATCGTGAGATGGCCTCGGCGGTATTTTCAGGTTCGTGCGGATCGAGCGGAGGAGGAGTACGAGAGGTCTTCACACTGCAGAAGCGACAGCCACGAGTGCAAGTGTCGCCCATGAGCATGATCGTGGCTGTTGCGGCGGACTTGTCACTCCCCCCCCAGCAGTCAGAGATATTGGGACACCGGGCTTCCTCGCAAACGGTGTGTAGATTCAAGCCTCGGAGGTCTTTCTTCAGTCGTTGGTAGTTCTTCGAGTCAGGAATGGGGGTCTTCAGCCAGGACGGCAAACGGGTCATTTCCTTCTTGCGGCCGGCGGGCCCGACGAGCGCCGTTTTGAGGGCGTAGGCTTCGGATGGATCAAGGGGAGTAGTATTATTGCCACCGGAAACAAAATCAGCAAAAGAAGGACCGGCATTAAGCTTATCCTTGAAGGTTGTCCGACGACGCGGCGTTGTTCCGGGAGCAGCACCGGTGGCGGATGGGGAAGCATCTGTTGTAGCATAGCCACGGTAGCCACTGGGAGCCACTGCTCCCGTCTGGCGCACAGATCTTGTGGAAGAATAGAAAAATCTCAACCCGCTTGTCGATGCAGCCATTGTGAAGGTATATTCGACCTGCAGAGTTGTGAAAGTCGAATTCCGCGGGAAAGCGACGCAGATAACGGAAATGCCACCCATTACTCAGCACACGCTAACCCATATCTGGATTTTCCGCCTGAGGCTTCCCTTTCGTAGCCCTATAGCACGAGTACGATCTATCCTAGGATGATTATGTGTATTTGATGGGTATCATTAGGTCTAGAGCTATACTAGTGATTATATATTAATCACGGTAATTAAGGATACACAGGTACAAAGGAAACAGGAAGGCGATTATGCCACGATAAAAAAACACAATTCACAAGGGTGCCAGGAGCGGGTTATCCAAGGAACAAGAGCCATAATGTGGAGGATATTGTAAACGAACGTGTGGGGTAAAACAGATGAAGTGGAATACAATCTAAATTGTGAGGCTTATGCAATCTGAAGCTTGCCAAAAGTGAGTAACGAAATGAGCTGGAGGGTGACCAAGAGATAAAGAGTGGAATATTGGGAAAACCAGAGAGGGTTCTCAAACAAAATTAAAGAGATATATTGGCAGTTGGCCAGGGTGCGTCAAATAACAAATGCAAAGAGTGTTTTAAGACTAAAGAAAGAGACTCTTAGGACTTAGTCTCTAGGACATGTGCTAACACGAGGACAGCAGATTTCAAGATCTCATCCTGCTTGCCACATATAGCAAAAAGTAGATTGTCAACGATTCGATCCAAGTCTTTGCAAAGATCCGCGCTTCGTGTACCCAGGATACGATTCTTGACCCGTGACGGTGACGGTTGCGAGTATTGTATCCCTAGCGTAGAGCAGACCTTTTCAGGAACAGTATCTAGACGGGATAGGGCGGTTTTATGGGAGAAATTGCTGTTTCTCCGATTAGGACTTGACAAGGAAGTCAAGTAGTTTCGTGCAATCAATGCTGCACAAAGACTGTCGAGTAAATTCTCCACGACATCCGGGAATATCTTGCGGAATGGCCGTATGAGGGCTTTTTCGTTATTGTGACGAAGAAACATGATTACTGGCGATGTCAATTTCAGCATGTGCCGAGGGAAGTCTTTGACCGAATGTTCGAGCTGGTCGATCGTCCACTCATGGTCCCACCACTTCTCCAGTTCCTCTTTCTCCGACATATTCGAAGAATGCCCCGGAGACGTTTGAGATTTCGGTGACGGCTGGGTTTTGGGCGTAACGCCTGGCTTTTGAGGTGATTTCAGACGCTCTTGGCTCGAGGACGGCTTGTCACAAACAACTGTCTCACTCGCACTGCCTGAAGTCAGTGAGCTAGAGTCTGTGTATTCATCCTCCTCTCTATCTTTTCGAAACTGCGGAGAATAATACGAATCATGTGTGATATAGCCACTATCTGACATTTCCATTGGCGTCTCCGGACTGAAAGCCGATATCTCATGCTGGCGATGATCTGGTGTAGAAGGGATTGGGCGCGGTGGTGGAGTTGGAATTGAATAACTGATCGCTGGAGATGACTGACGCGAGATGTCAACCAGTTTCGGCTTCGTTTTACTAGCAACAGCAAGAACCTATCATGATATAAGTATGTGATTTTCGTAAGTGAAAAGAAAATCTTACCAAAGGCTTGTCAGAAGGAGGGACTATTTGACATTTTCTCCAATTGAATTCCTTCGACCTCTCACCCTTGGCCTCTGTTGTTTCTGCTGGAGCTGGTTGAAGCCAGGGTTTGTATTGGGAGAGACTGCTCGGCACCCAGCTTCCTTCGCTAGAGACTGACATAGACCTGCTTCTCAGCGACCCCATCGAGGAGCCTGAGAACTTCCTATTCTGAAGTGTATCCACATCCGAAGGTGGTGTAGGAGACATAGACGACATGCTCTCCGTTGCAATTGACACGGGCGTTAGTTTCCCGTCATCCGATTCACATTGTCTAATTAGGTTGGAATGTGCCATGCGCACATTGGTAGGCCCATCACTCGACTTTTTGCTCACTGGATTCCTTTTCAGTTTGGGAGCGCTGTACGCGTAAGAGGGCTTGGGTTCAGGATTGATGGCACAACTTTTTGGTGTCCCGTGATCAGTATCCGAATCATATTGGGACTTTGGTGAGAAATATGTGGATGACGGAGACGGCTGTGACGACTTCGACTCAGAGAGAGGAGGACTAGGGAGTAGACCGAAGGTTTCCATGCTCGTCGTTGTGAGATTCTGATCAGAACGCCATGTGCGCAGTGTGTGGTTTCCGGACAGCTGCCGTGATACTCTGTTCTCCCTGGCAGATAATGGACCATTATCAAAAGACGGGGATGTTGGTAGACGCAGTTGAAATGGCTGCTTCATCCTACGCACCGATCGGAAAGGTGAAATGCATGCAGGGGCTTGTTCTGCTGGGCGCCTGGCTTGAGACGTGGTATACTCGGATTGGTCTAGACGAGGTGAATTTGAAGGAAGGAAAGACAGCGAGTTCTGCGGCTGTTGTCTTCTCCAGGGCTGTACATTTGGAGAGTAGCGCGGGGAAGCCATGTTGTGTCCCTGAGACATAGAGTCCTCGCCTGGTACATAGTACGAATGTACGCTTCCGTTGGCGTACGTTGGAACATTGTTGGCAGATACCGTGTGTTGATGAAGAGGGTAATGAGCTCTTAGATGCATTTTCGTACGATCCAAGTCCGTTGAGGACATGGTGGGTAAAGGAGGTTCAACCAGTATCAATGTATAAAGTTGGCAGTCAACAAAATGGATGTACAGGAGAGGAACAAACAACCAGAAAGAACAAGCAAGTGACAAGGCCGGAGCGGTGCACAGAATGGCCAACAAAGGCCTTATACTACCAAAAACACCTGCTTTCCAAACATCCCTTGGCTACCTGCGGCAACAAGAAAGCCAGACATCAGGTATGTCTCCCCCCCCTTCGAGAAGTCCACTCAACACACTGGAACAAGAGTAAAGTGTAAAGGGCCACTACGTCTGCCATCCTTGCATGCCAGAGCGAGGTGAGATCAAACACAATGGACGTTCATTGGGTGGGAGGCCCACATTGGGCCACCTGAAGGCGCATAACAACGTGGAAGGTCAGTTTCCAGGCTTCTTGCATTTCGTCACTGCAGGAGAAATGAGACACACAGAGGAAGGCAAATGGGGGGAGTGCCCTAGAAGGAGATCGAAAGGGCGTCACCGTCCTGTCTTTGGCTGAGCTGTTGGGACGGGTAATCAAAACTGAAGCCCCTAGAAACGGGCCCCTTGCGTTGGTTGCTGTGGGTGCAGTGGAATACCTCCATATTTGGAGGAGGCCGTAATTTAAGCAGCATGTGCAAATTTCCCAATCAGAAAGTGGCGGCGGAGAATTCAAATGTATCGAGATGGCTCAAATACCGCCTGGAGACACGAAATTCCTCGACGGGGGATGCAGTACTTGATGAGGATTATCCATCCTCTGCTTCCGTCGGTGCTATGTTGCTGCGAGTCAATTAACCAGTTAGTCCACTTAAACCTAAGGAGGTGAGTTAGCAAGGAGACCAGGGGCAATGGGATATTGGCCAATGTAGGGCCTAGGTCACTTTGTATTGAAAGGTGATTCAATCTATGGAGATGGAGCCGAGAAATCATCCGATAAAAGCGGCAACGAGGCAAACACTGCAAACTCGCCATTTATCGCTTTATCGTAGAAAAAAAAAAAAAAAGTCAGGTCTTTTATCAGTATTTTATTTTAATTTTTTTTTAACCTCTACTCCTCACAAATTCAGAATCGATAATAATATATATCCTTTCTAGGGCTCCCCATGCTCTCAGAGTGTTTTATTGCGTCAACTTTGACGTCTGCCAAAACCCCGGCAACGGCAAGCCTGAGAGATGTAGGAATCTGTCTCCACGAATTTCAACCGGCCCCTACCCTACGTTCGACTTTCAAGAAGAGCTCGACTGCAACCAATTGTCTCGCAGTGAGCCTGTCGCATGTGTTTGCGGCTCAGTCCGAGAAGGCCATTCTACACGTGTATAGTCGAGAGAAGGGAAATCAGGAAGCAACTGTCCCGTTTCCGGAGCGGATTCGCAGCATTGCAATTGCGGGGAGCAAGAATGGTGATGTTGTTGTTTTGGGCACCGAAGGAGGCCGATTGATTTTGTGGGAGGTATGTACAAGGCGATTTTGGAGTTGTTGGTCGCATTGGAGAGGACAAAATCACCTAACAGTATCCCTTAGACGTGCACTGGCAGACAAGTCGCGACAACGGCATCGCATTTAAGTCCAGTGACTGCATTGGTGGTCGACCCCGGCTCGAAATTCATTCTCTCCGGTTCTCAGGATGCCACTGTCCATGTCTGGTCATTAGTTGAGCTTCTGTCTTTTACAAAAGCTCCACCAGGCCGTGATCGACAGGCCCCGAATTCGCCCATCCGGACCTTCTCGAACCATCGCGCCGCCATTACCTCCATCACAGTTGGACATAGCGCCGGTCGATATAACATTGCTGTTTCAGCCGCTCAAGACCACACCGCCGTTGCATGGGACTATCACACAGGCCGTGTCCTACGGACCTTCCTCTTACCATCGAATCCTGTTTCTCTGACACTTGATCCTGTTGACCGGGCTTTCTATGTGGGATATGAAGATGGAAGCATCCAATCAGTAGACTTCTACAAGAGCCAGTCCATCCAACATCCCCTTCATGACCCATCGCTACAGTCCACTCCCTCCCAACCGCCAGCCGAAGACCGATGGTCACCACCCACCGCCGACTGCGGAGCAGTGCATGTGCTCTGTCTCTCTTACGATGGCATGACGCTACTTTCTGGACACCAGAATGGGAAAATTCTCTCCTGGAATGTCGGGAGACGAAAATACGCCTCGACAGTAGCGGACTATACTCATCCTGTGACAAACATGTTTATCCTCCCACCAAACGGCCTCCCCCAGCCAAGCCTCGAGTTGAAAAGGACAGCACACACGGTAGTCAAGCCCCGATATGACAGCACTCTTTCCGAGACGTCAAAGCAGGCCGGAATCGTGCCGGCCGATTACACATTCAGCACGCATCTCCTCACAACATCATCCAGGCCGCCCCAGTCAAGAAACCCTGCCGGCACTACGAGAACAGACCAATTCGGCGACGCGTTCACTCATGCAACGTTTCCGGAATCAATGTTGGAAGAAGGTCTCGCCGAGCTGGCCGCACTGGGCCAACCAGGCGTCATTGGTGTCTCAGTCCCATCCATAGCCCAATCAACAACCGCAACGAACGAGGACACTGCCGTGAAGGATTCACACATCGCGTCTCTAGAGGCTGAAATCGCAATGCTCAAGAAGAAGGCGTTCGTCAGCGAGACCGCCCGACAAACCAGTACAAACGAGGTGACCAAACTGCGCGCCGACCTCGTCCATTTACACGATTACATCAACGATCTCCACCAGAAACAAAAGCAGACGCAGCGGGAACGGGTTCTGCGACAGGCGCGCAAAGAGGAACGCGAAACCAAAAGAAGAGAAGCTTGGTTCGCGGCCGAAAAGAAGGGCAAAAAGGGAGACGTCGTCCTACGGGAAATGGAAGCGGAAGATAGTGTGCAGACTAGCGGCACAGATGATCTTAGCAGCGATGAACAATAATTACTTTGTTTGTTGTGTTGTTTTGATTGGTATTTCTCTCGTGTCTTTACGATGTCTCCATAAGTACAGGGCATAAGTTCATCAGGCGCAACGGTTGAAAAGGTGTGGTTGTTTGGATCTGCATATAGATGGCAATGGGTGGCGCATCATGCATCGTCTCTTATAGTATAACATAGAATACTGTATATAGGAATGGCCCGGCAGCAGTCTGGACCGAATTCTACAGCATCTACTCATTGCTCTCTTGATAGGTAAAATAGATGCATGCATTGTTGAAAAACCCAGCCATACAATAGAATGCAGCGTTCACGCTATGCTAGATAAACCCATAATAACCTGTAAGAGAAAGGAGGAAATAAAAGGACGGACACTCGTTTCAGACATGTCACAAACAATAGAATGAGGAAATTGAGAGGTGAGGGGGGAAAGGGGAAATAAAAGGATAACAAGAAAAGAAACAAATAACAACGAAGTGCACTGATATTATCGAAATGATCTGAAAACTCCATCCCTCGAAATGCTCGAACTGAAAGACACAAACAATGAATCTCGAAATCCATCAAGACTGGCTGATCGACTAATGAGCCTAGGATCTGCAGGACCGTTGCAGATTCTCAACTTGTCACAGCCGCGTGTTTGACCTCCTGATTCTTGGATCGTCGCACCCCAGACAGGGCCAGGTATGTAAATGGCGGCTAGCCCGATAGAACGTATTAAAAATAGCTTGGTCAGTTTTTTGTTCTTTCTTTCCCACCCTTTGAAAGCTATCCTACTATCAAAGGATGACAGATACCAGTCCTGCAGGCCCGTTCCAGACGGGAGACAAAGGAAGGGGGAAGGGGAAGGAGAGAAGGATGAAAAACGACAGAAACTGCCTGGAATGTGGCGATAGAAAACAGTTGACTTGTTTCTCCTCTCCAAGGTACTTGTATCTTAAGTGGCCTTCGAACCATTGTATCGATATGACTTCTTAGGACGATGGGTACCCTCAACTAGGCCTCGAAGTCCCGTCAGGCCCAGCCACACAGCTTCTTCGGTGCGTATGGTTCTGCTCCCTTGACCGGGGAGGAGATTGACCCAGTAGTCAAACAGTTTTCCGGCATCGGTTGGACTGATCGCCATATCACGAAGTTGGGGATCATAGCGAATGGCGGCTTCAATACCTGCCACGCCGCCGAAGACGACCAGAAGGTGTTTGTACTCTGGGGTGTGGTTATGGTGGATGTGGTGACGTTGTTCGTCACCGTCTTCTTCGAGGACTGTATTCAAGGGGGCGCCCCGTTCGGATGTCCCAAAGGATAAGTCGTAGCCACCATCGAAGGGACTCTCCGTGAAGACAGATGACAGGGATCGACATCGCCGTACATAGTATCCCCAGTAATAGCCTGCCTCTGAACGGGGGATGGAGGGATGTACGGGCTCAGCGCGGTGCTTGGGGCCCTGCTGCGAGAACCGTACTGTGACCCGTGCATGCTCGGGGAGTTGGATATCCGGGATGACTACCTTCTGCGAAAGACCGGTGTCGACGACCGTCGCAGGAGGGCTGGTGGGACTATTTGACCGGCGATTGCGATGATGGTAGTTATTCGAGTTGCAGCCCCTTCTCGACTTTTGGTGATCGACGGTCGAGATCACAATCCCCTCTCGATAATCGCACCATTCGTTGGCACGAAGGTGATGCGGCATGTCCAAGCTGGGTAGTAGACCAGCTCCACGAAGATTGGGATGCATGGGAAATAGGTGTTTGCGGAGATACGGTGGAGTCTCTAGGTAAGACAATACATGTGCCAGAAAATGTGAGGGGTCGGAATAGGCCGTATATCCTTTGGAGGGAGTGGTCCCATTGACCTGGTCGTTGGTTCTGGCCATGGGAGAATCATAGTAGTCATAATCTTGCTCGTACTCATCATGCTGAGCGCTGTTTCCGTCGTCATCGAATACAACTACTTCGTCAACACAGAAGACAGCAAGCGCACGTGCAATGATGCCCACCAGGAGCGTCTTTTGCTCAATAGATTTTGCACTGTCCGAAGATCGAGTGGGTATCGTATCAATAAATGTGTCGCGTTCCGATGGAGGTATACTTACTTGGCCACGATGCTACCGGGAATGGCTACGCTCAGTGTATGAGATCGACCGCCAGTGGGTGCGAAAAGAGCTGTTGGCTTGGAGGTGCAGACATCGCTTTCCGAGATCCCCTTCTGTCCGGGAGAGTTTTCTTCATGGAAGGTTTTTCGTTTCTAGAGAACAACCGCAAAAATCACCTGTCAATTCAATGGTTGTTATTTGAACAAGGAGGAAGTATGGGAGTGGAACCTTGACATTACTAGGACGGCGCATTGTGGGATGGGCTGGGGAGGCAGAAGGCATGGAAATCGAGCGGAAATTGAGGTGGGGATGGGAATGCTTCATCCCCGATCTTGCAAAACAACAAAAAGATAACTCGCTAAGGTACCAAAGCCTATGTTCTGGTATTTTTTGGTCCGCCGATGAGGATGGTTCCTGATGACGTCGAGGCTCCACTACTTGAAATCCAGGAACTTGTTAAGTAACGCTTTGCTCACAATGACTTCCTTTAATACGCTGCCGACTCGCCCACCACTGTTTCCCCGCCCAATTCCTGCATGATCCTCACACCGGAGCTGCTACCAATGCGTTCGGCACCTGCTTTCAACATCCGTATACAATCCTCGCTTGACCGTATCCCTCCACTAGCTTTGACCTTGCAACCCTTGCTGACCAAGTCCGCAGTTGCCCGCATAAGCGCTACATTGTCAACGCTGGCTCCTGGTCCATTGAACCCTGTGCTGGTCTTAATGAAATCTGCCCCGGCCATAATGGCTATCACAGACCCCGCAATGATCTCGTCTCGTGTAAGCTGGGCCGTCTCCAGGATCACTTTGAGCTTGGTAGGAGACGGAGCCGCCTTTCGCACCCCCAGCACATCCTCGTAGACTTCCGTATATTTCCCCTCCTTCAGTAGAGGATACTTCAGGACCATGTCCAACTCTGAGGCTCCCAGGTTAACCGCCTCTTGAGCTTCCTGCTCTTTCTCCGAGGTCTCGTACATGCCCTCGTGGAAGCCCACGACGCAGGCCACACCTACGCCCGGCTCTGCTTTGAGTTTCTGAACAGACCGTGGGACATGCTTCAGGCGAACGCAGACCGTCGCAAACCGATACTTAAGTGCTTCGTCGCAGAGCTGATCGATTTGCTGCTCGGTCGCGGCCAATGCCAGCTGGGTGTGGTCGACCGTGGAATTAATCGTCGAAGGGGTTGGGATCTGATGCATAGAGGAAATCTCCGGGAGTGAGTCCTTGGTGGTGGAAATACGAGCCGCCCATTCCTCGTCGTTCCTTGGAATATCAGACATTTTTGCTATACCACAAATCCGTGAGCGACAACCCCACTATAGACGTGTTCAATGCAATGACCAGTAGAGATGAAGGGCAGTATTACCCACCGGGTCCTGTCCTCTTATACTGCGTATACTTCAATTCCTGTTTCAACTTTGTATTCTCCTACCTGTGCTCGTCCGGAAGTCCTAGCACTTGCAATTGACGATGAGGGATTTGCTTCCTTAAAATTGCGGAGTAAGGCCCCCATACCATCACGTGATAATATACTATCTGGTGCCTCGATGGACACAAGACCCACCGGCGCCGCGAGAATCTACTTATCTAACATGCCAGCGGACCTTCGTAGACACAGCACTATAGTTACGACCCGACTTAGTCAATATAAGATGTACAGTTGACAAACTATATCACTAATGATATCCTCAATCCCGGTCCCAAACACTGAGCAATCGTAGCGCCACAACAAATCCCAACACAATAACAACAACCTCACTGCACCCAGAAGCATTAAAGACATGCCCTCTCATTTACAGCTTTTACACTCCGGTCCTCGAATATCATCCACCCGACCGATCCTCCTAGGTCCAGATCCACCGCCGGGGCCGCCTCCGCCTCCACCTCCACCCCCGCCACCTCCAGAGCCGTAGCCACCATTTCCCCAGCGCGATCGGGTGTCGAGATGGTTTTGAGCATGGGAGATATTGAAATGTGAACTCTCCGCGGCGCCATACGGGTCAAGCTGAAGAACACAGCAGTCAGTGAAGGTTATCAATGTGAGATAGATGAGGGCATGAAATGGCGGATTTTGGGGCACATCTCCACTTGGATTGTCGTCAGGAAAGAATGTAAGGACATACTGAGAAAAGGCTAACAAAATATAGGCCTAGAAAGACATAGACATTCTCGAGAAAACGATTGATGCGGACGGCGAGTGGAGGACTAGGGAAGAGAAGAGGTGGGTTAGCTGTTCTGGTCTTGAAGTCATCAGTATCGTAGGTAAATCGTACGATTCAAGAGCCTGTCCATCGGACATATAAATTTTTGGCTTTGAGGACATGATGGGATTAGATAGCTGGTATTGCTATGGAGGAGAGGAAAAGGCTGAGGTTGGAATAAATGGGAGACGCCCAATTTACGTGCTCTTGGCATCCGGCATCCGCGTGACTTGCTTACAATTTCGTACAATGGAAGACTAGACCGTTACGTTTTCCATTTGACCCTTTGGAATGGACAGAAATTCTCTAAATACAGAAGTCATGATCTGTTCATCAAGTATTCTACATGGGTATCTCTATTTCCAACTCCAGAGCTATGAAATCCACCACTGTTTCCACTGTCATTTCCTTAAAATGTCCGTAGATATCATCGAACATGTCCTCCAAATATCCATCTAGTCTTCTTGGATTATGAGTTCATCGGATACGTGCCGTAGCTCATCCAGCCCACGAAAACCTTCTTCGAGAACCCATTTCTGATCCTTAGGCTGATGTAAAATGTGGCAGCTGGCTCCAACCACCAGCAAACCGGGTGGCCGAGAACCCTCCGCCTCGAAAGCCAGACATACATGCTCCAGGGTGGTGCGGATCACCCGCTGGTCCGTGCAAGAGGCGCGCTCAATGATGGCACAAGGTGAATCCTTTGGCCAGGGTGTTCGGGTACGCGAGACGTCTTGCGGCGGTGCTGTTAAAGACTCCACCAGTGCCGATAGTCGATGTAGCGCCATCAGAAAAACAACCGTCTGCGTGGGTACGTAGGTAGGGGGCTCGGGAGCCGCTCCTTTTCTCCCAGTGCCGGTACATATTAAGACCTGGTCGGACACACCGCGGTGGGTTGCGGGAATGTCCGCGAACAATGAGGCACTCAGCGCACTAGTAATTCCGGGTAAGACAAGAGGCGTATATCCTTCACTTCGAAAGAAGTCATACTCTTCCCCTCCCCGTCCATAAAGATAAGGATCACCCTGCTTTAAACGGAGAACATGCCGGCTATGGCGTAGGGCGTCCAATCCCATTTGTAGAAATTCTTCCTGTGCCTGATCCGCGTTGCCAGGGAACTTTCGCGCAATATGTACCTCAGTCCTGCGCGGAATCAATTCCAAAACCGGCGCTGGAACGAGTTTGTCTGCGAGAATAATATCAGCGTTTTGAATTGCGTGATACGTCGCTCGTGTAAGCAGGTCTGGGTGTCCTGGACCAGAACCAGCCAACACAATTTTTCCCTTCTTCTGTATACATTCGACACAATCAAGGCCCTTAGAGTTATCATTGCCGGACGAATACGCTTGTAAAATATTATCGATGTCAGAATCAGTGATAGCAGCAAGTTTGCGGAGTGGCCAGTACTCGCAGATTTGCGAGAGCCAGCGTATACGCCGTGTTTTGGCAGCAGAAACGTCGTCCTCTGTCACTAATGTGTTGAATGTATGTCTCTGTCCAGTCGAATCGTCTTCTTCGCCTTCAAGCGAGGCCTCGCATAGCCCCGGGGCATTGTCTTCCTCCCAAAGCCGCCGTCTCACGGCTCCTAGACGATCAATGGCACTTCCAAGGTTTGGGGGCAGTGATGATGAGATTTCTCTTCTCAATCGGGAAGCAAGCTTACAGCCACGCCCAGAGGTGGTAATTCCCACATGAAGAGGGCCATCCGAATATGTTGAAAGCAAGCCAAATGTACAGAGCTCAGGGGCATCGGTTACATTGACAGGGATCCTAAGACGCCTGCAGAGCTTTGAGATTTGAGAACCTGTAAGAGTCGTTAGCATGAAATTCGTAAGCGTTTCAAATAGCCAGCACATACTTAGAGGATGACTCCCGCCTAGAGTGACGAAGACGGTGTCCACGACATGGTCCACTTCTTCCCTTCCCAAACTCGTCAGGTCGGTATCCTGGAATTCTCTGCGCACCCACTGGGCCGATCCATCTTCAATACGCTCAGACAGCGTATACTGGAGATCTGTAGTATCCGGCGCAATGATGATTGGTCTTGCACCGACCTCCAGGCTCTTCATGCAGCGGGCTGCAGCAAGTGGGTTTGTGCCTACAATCAAATGAACTTGAAATTCGGCGTTTATGGCCATCATCAAAGGCGCTGAAATCCCTTTATCGTTGGACGCATCCTTCATGGTGCCCAGTCGCCACAAAGGACAAATCTTCTGATTTGCGAAAATCCTCAAAGATAGGAAGTTTTCCACCCACTCTGTGATTGATATGTTAAGATCAAGAGGTATACAATGTCTTGCTATCCCACAGTTGTCAGAAAGTTGCGGGCCATCGACCACTTATGAATGCGTTAATAGGAATGTCCGCGGAGAAAGCCCCCCGTAATTGGAAGTGGCACGATTGGTGATAAGGAATAGAGTTCCTCACAAGGCTCTGCAGCCGATGATCATGATAAGGCCTTTCAGGCAATTAATAAAGGAAATTCCTCAGAACAGAGTTCATGGCGTAGAAATGTGAGCCTTTTTTCTTTTTATATACATTTCTCTGGATGCCCAAAGCAGTTAAAGCAATATTGCGTGATCGTAGTTAGTTAACTAGTTAGTTAACTAACAAACCCCAGTGCTTATCTAAGCTAGCATCTCTGGGGAGACTCATCTAGTTAGCATCCTGTATAAGACAGCCAGTGGCTACCAGAATCTGTTATTCTGTATGTCATGGATGGTCAAGATCTTGTATAGATTCTATAGAGGCTACTTATAACAGGCACCCTTATGGATAATCTCTCATTCAATCATCATGATGCAAAAAGACAGGTAGACACCTTTGATGGGAATGGGCGATAGGCGAAATAGAAACATTGTACTAAATTCTGCATCCGATGCAAATAAGTCTACCATGAACTGGTCATAAGAAGATGGCGCAGACGAAGGTATTGACAATAGTCAGTATTCTGAGAGTGAACAGTAAACAGAGCTAATCTGACAGGGATGGTGAGCACATATCACGTGACGGCGAGCTTCGGCCAGCTCGAACTGGTGTTGCCCGTCAAGCCTCATGCCCATTCTTCATCTCCAGCCCATTCCTATCCCATCCAAATCGCCATCCTTGATTATTGATTCCTCTCTTAACTACACACTGATACTGCCTGTCTCTCATTCGCCTTAGCCTTCAAGACCGACCCGACTAACGCTCAACACCATGTCTGACGGTGGCCTTCTGAAGCCTGAGAAGGACTTCACCAAAGATGCCGATAAGCTGATTCCGGAGGCTGAGCAACTCGCAAAGGTTAGCTACACTTATTGTTGCTGCGACCAATTTAGATGTTAACAGAGCTGCTAGACCGATGTACAGGGTGCGATTGACAAGCTTTTGGTATTAGAAAAACAAGCAAGACAGGTATGACGAAGGCAAATGTACCCCGTCCTATTTGAACACTAATCTAAGGCCACAATCTGTAGGCCTCCGACCTGCCGACTACATCTCGACTTCTTGTTACCATTGTCACGATCAGCAAGAATTCCGGCGACTGGAACTTCCTCAATGATCAAGTGCTCCTTCTTTCTAAAAAGCATGGCCAACTTAAGCAAGCTGTGACAAAGATGGTGCAGGTGGTGATGGGATTCTTGGATGATACACCTAATATGGATGTGAAGCTATCGGTGATCCAGACTTTGCGGACTGTGACGGAAGGCAAGGTAGGTGTCTCGTATAGACTGTTCTCTCTCTTGTGACATATTAGTAATGGCGTTTGACAGATCTTCGTTGAAGTCGAGAGAGCCCGCGTGACCCGAATTCTGTCCAATATCAAGAAATCCCAAGGCGACCTTAATGCCGCCGCTGACACTCTTTGTGAGCTCCAAGTAGAGACATTTGGGTCGATGACTAGGAGAGAAAAGACTGAGTTCATCTTGGAACAAGTGGCTCTCTGTATAGAGAGAGGTGACTGGACACAAGCGACTATCCTCAGTCGCAAGATCAACAAACGGTATTTTGCTCGCAAGCCAAAGAAGAGCCCTGAGGAAATCGAAAAACTCAAGAAAGAGGCTGAGGAAAGAGAAAAGACTCGTGCTCCGGATGAGGCTCCTATGGAAGTTGATGACGACGTCACGGACTTGAAGCTTCGCTACTTCGAGCAGCAGATTATTCTTGCCAACCACGACTACAAGTATTTGGATGTTTGCAAGCACTACCGAGAAGTCCTAGATACAGAATCAGTGCAAAACAACCCAGAGCAATTGCGTGCAGTATGTCCTCTTTCTTTCTTTCTTTCTTTTTTTTTTTTTAACCCTCCAGCTAAGTTAAACGATATAGGTACTCGCCCGAATTGTGTATTACATTGTCTTGTCTCCTTATGACAATGAACAATCAGACCTACTCCATCGCATTCAGCAAGACTCGCGAATCTCGAGAGTCGCTGTTGAATCTCGGTTGATCAAACTGTTTACTATCCACGAATTGATGCGCTGGCCCATGGTTTCGGAGCAGTTCGGTCCTCATTTGTGTAACACCGATGTGTTCAGCGCAGAACCTGGCCATACCGCAGATGATCAGCCGCATAAGCGGTGGCAGGATCTCCGGAAGCGTGTCATCGAACATAATGTCCGGGTAGTCGCCAAGTACTACACACGCATTGAGATGGGCCGGTTGACGGAGCTTTTGGACCTGACTGAAGAAGAGACGGAGAAGTACATCAGTGACCTGGTCACGTCAAAGACCATTTATGCGAAGATCGACCGTCCGGCACGGCTGGTCAACTTCGCCAAGCCTCGTGATGCCGATGACGTCTTGAACGAATGGAGTAGCGATATGAAGAGCCTTCTGGGGCTCCTGGAGCGCATCGACCACTTGATCACCAAGGAGGAGATGATGGCCCGGATTCTCCCCTCTCGAGGCGAGAAAGGCAAGGCTCATTAAAGGAACCATACAATATGGACGGCGGTTGAATGAAATAGTCACCAAATACATAGTGTAAAATATACGGTAGTAGAAATGCATTAATACTTTTGCATGCTCTACTGTTGATCCGGAAGTTATTCTCTACGGTAATGTGTAGCAGATCATTTGAATATCATGAGAAGAAATATACACGAATCATTCTATATCTATATTCATATCTACAATCTAAAACGGCCAATCCATATTATTCACATCTTCCTCGACCGCAGCCGACTTAACCTTCTTCTCCAGTTGATCCCGAATAAACCGTACCGCAGCATCCAAAAACGGCCGTTGACTAGGCAAGAAATGTCCCCCAGGATGCCAAACGACCTTACCCTCCTTCTCTGGATCTCCCTCACACGCCTCGATCAACAAACGACTCCTTGCCTCCTCGACGACCGCATCCAACGATCCCAAAACATGCAAAACCGGTGTCCTGAGCGCCGGATTCTCATAAAACCCCCGATACCTAGCGCCAGGCGATCGAAACCCACTATAACATAACGCAAACCGGAACGGCGGATGTGCCAATCCATCAAACGAAGTTGGGAACGAAAACACACGGTCGTCATCTTGCGCGAACTTCGCAAACGCCTCTTTCCGTCCGAGTTCCAGCAACGAAGCCACCATGGCTGCCATTGCGGCGCCCTGCGAAAACCCAATCACTCCATCGAACGGACCGTCGTCTCGTAGAACCTTCGCGACGGCATCGAGTCCGTCCTCTAGACCCATGTATAGCGGTGGGTCGGCGGTGTTGTTGCGTCGGAACCAACCGTAAGCGTCGGAGGCTTCTGCTACCGCGTTGCTGTCGCCCCCTTCTTGTGGGGGTTCGTAGCCAGGGATGTCGGCAGGGTTTAAACGGAGGGGAGCAGTTGGGTAGACAGTGGAGACTTCGTGGAGGGGGAAGGATTTCGTGATGTGTTTGATTAGAGCGCGGCTTTTGGCGTGGAAGAGGTTGCCGGATTGGGTGTAGCCGTGCAGCATGAGGAGTTTGAGGGGTGGTCGTTGAGACATGGTAGTGGTGGTGGAGGGTGTTGATTCACGGAATCAAGAAGGACTGCTAGGTCGCAGTGGGTTGGTTGTATATTGGAAGAACAAGCGTGGATTAGAGAGCGAAAGTGGTGGTGAGTAGAAGGGCGTCGGAGTCCCTGATTGGGATGGGGCCGATAAGACGACATCCCCGTTGGTCTCTGGTAACAATAGTACCCTCCTAGCACCTTTTAGACAAGCATTTCATGGGCAAGCATCTCTTATAAGTGTTCTCACTGACATTCACAAGATTACTTTCTCTTTCTCCTTTTCAGCGGTGCAGGGCGGGTGGTTCTATTCCCCAGAGGACGGGGCTCTGGCAGAGGCGCTTTCTCCAGCCGTCCTGGTCCAAGCTTTCCTCAACAAAGGTCAACAGGTACAAGCTTTCCTCATCAATAGTGCCACGGCATCGAGGTCGCGAACAGTCTAGAATTTGAAGTTAATCACGTACATGATGACCACTAGTATCCCAATGATAATAATCTGTGACAATGAAACAGGAATAATCACTCAGCTACAGCCTTTCCCTTGTCTGAAAGTTTGCTGGTACTGGGTATGGATTATGAGGATTTTTAGCTATCTACTATTAGAGAAACTTCGATGTAACTTTTTTAAGCTGAGTTGCCTTGTATAATAAATAAGTAAGGGAAGCATGGGAACGGCCGCTGTCAGTGCTGGTTGACGGTGATAGTTTATTGACTGGGAGTATACCGTACATTGCAGATCTACAACTACCAATACACGTGGCCGCCGGTCCAACAGGCTAAGCAAAGTGCATAAGGGCTTCATCTAAGCGCGTACGTCTACAGCTACGAGGGCAACATCAGATAGAGCAAACACCAAATGTACGATTGCAGTGCACTGAGGCATGTCCACATCTTGGATGTTCACAGCACTCGGCAGAGACAATGGCCATAGGATTCATCCGGAACCACGACAATCGTTATCATCTTGCCGAGGCTACATCCGTAAAAACGCATCGGCCTTCCTAACAGTGCCGGACAACTCATTCACTGTCGTCATCGGCAGAGAATTTTCTCAAGTCCTAGACATTCGAATTCTTGCATTCGGCAAAGCTCATGCTGATGTGCCCATTCTGTCATCCAGTCGTGCCCATGTCGTGTAGAAAAAAAATACATGTCGAAATAAAAAGCCGTACAGAAAAGCGCATAATCAGGAAGACAATATTTCGAGAGAACATAAATGGAGGCAAAAACTTGATGTCAAGTAATGGACCGATCAATATTTGCAGATATCCGGAACTCCCCTCCATTTCAAGAAAGCCTAACACATGGCACGCTTTTGGCTGGTATAAAAACAAATGCCTGGTATTTTTTTCAATTCCCTTCGAACCTTTGTATTTTGGGGGGTCTGCTCGCAAGCGGGCAAGGATTCCATCTTCTATCTGAGTATACTTTCTCAAAAAGAATCATATTAATCCACTAGAACGCCACATTTCTTTTCATCATCGCTTCGGCCTGGTTGCATCGTGACATCTACTTCCTCCGGAAAGAGCATCCCTCGGTAAGTCTGGCCTTACCACCGGTGGGCTGGCAGAGAACGGTCGAGCAGCCTGCGCAGACGACGACGGTCTGGGCGTGGGAGAAGACGGTGGTGATGGTGAAGCAGCCGGGGCACTTGACGTCCATGAAGAAGGAACGGGGAGCAGGCACAAGGGTCTGTTGTGAAGGAAGAAAAATTTCCCAAGTCAGTCTTTGGACACCCACAGTTGCCATTCAGTGTTTAAATCATCGTACCTTAAGCTTGTGCTTGCGGGCCTCAGTCTGAGGAGCAGGGTTGAGGAGGTCGACCGCGAGAACCTATTAGAAAAAAAAATAAACCATCAGCACATATCCTTCACTCTCTTTTCTTGTTCATTCGTGAAGCCCTGTCGATGAAATGGGATTCGGATGGCGACGGCGACGGTGAGCACGAGACAGATACGACAGCATCGTCTGTATATGGACGAATGATGTCTCGGGCGCAATAGACAAATGACAGATTGAACCTACCATCTTGACGAGACAAAAAGTCGATCAGCGAAATGGGTTGAATAAGGGCGCTGATGGAGATGGCCTGCTTGAAGGGTGAGAAGAGCAAAAGGTGGTCTCGTGGAGAAGGCAGGCTCTGAAGGGAATTCTCTCTCCCGCATCACCCACTGTCCCGTTTGGGGAAAATAGGGTTCAAACCCTCGCTAACACTGCCCTTCCGGGTAGCCTTGGCGTCACCAATCAGAGTCGCTATTTAGTCGGCATTGGTTACATCCCAAGGTCCCTCCAGCCAAAAAGAGTTCCAGAACATCTTGCTTGTCGGATATGGACTGTATTACCTTCATAGAGGAAACGGCGGTCTTCCCGCCAGCAGAAAAAAGCGCAAATACATGCATATATCGCATCTCTGTTGTGCCCTCTATCGCTAATCTAACCCAAGATATTAAATGAATAACATGGAGGATTTCCAGCCCACGTGTCGCCGCTATATTCTGGACATATTCATCCCGACTCCATTTCAGAAAGATAAACCACCCTGCTTCAACGCTTTTATGTACATTACAAACCCGGCGAATGAAATTCCAAGAAATGCTGCCACAGTGACAGCTCATTCGCACTGTTAGAAAGTTGTGATGGCTCCTGCATAGTTGATATGCAAGAGAAGCACGCCTGACAATCTCATGCAATTACCGTGCTTTCTTGGAGCTTTCCTCAGCTTGTCCATTAACGGCCTTAGCATCTTCGATATATGGGTGCTTGATGCTGAGACACCAGATATCAATATAGTCACATATCGTTGTGATGATATCATGCTATTATACAATCAGTATAAGCACATAATTGGACAGCACTTGCCACTTACAATAAAGCTGCCATAAACACCAACCGACAGACCCAAACATGTAAAAATGAAAGCAACCTGTCCAGATGCATTTCCAAGAGCACTTGGCCAAAATCCGACGCTATCCAGAACACCCAAAGCGAGAGGGCAAGCAAGTACATTAAAGTAGGGGAAGCTGGATTTCACCAGGTGTGCACAGATCATTCTTCCGACGGCGTACGCATTGACTAAGCCGACGAAGAGAGCGAACGGAACAGTGTGGTTCTCCAAAATGACTGGCTGGAGATACAAGTAAGCCGGCACAAGTGTCCAGATTGCAACAAGAGGCAAAAGGCCATAGAGTGGCTTGATGGGGTCTTGGCCACGCTCACTTCGGACTTTCATGACATGTACAATACTTGAGCCCGTAGCAAAGAAGAGGACGAAGGCACCGTAAACCAGGTACCACTGCGTAAAGGGCATATTATACACCTGCTCCGGAATAAAACCCAATTGTGGGACGCCAATAGTTTCGAGCATTGGACGGTGCCAAAAGCTGCCACCGCCCATGTAGGCTGTAAAGGCAAAGACAGTGCACAAAGTCAGGACCCCTTCAACAGGCCCTGAAATAATGCCCAAGGTCAGTACCTGTGTATAATATTCATCCCAAGTCTGGACATAAAACGTCATTGTGGCTATATCATGTCAGTCGTCTTGAAAGCATGTTCTGGTCTGGGCATTCAGCATACATCCAAAGAGCGTTATAATTGTGGCCCAGGACTGGCCGAGATTCATCGCTGCAGCGAAGATCAAAACCCCAAGAGCTGTGTTGCATGCATCGACACCTGTAGCACATGGAGATTTAACGCCAGCACAGCGTTTAGGAGCAGGCAAGTCTACTTACTATGGTCGAATAGCTCACCAAGAGGACCGCTCTGCTTAGTTCTTCGACTGTATAACGAATCTTTCAGCGTCCATATCTACCATGTCAACAGGTTGCATAGGAGGACCGTACGCTTGTATGCCGTCTACGCCATCAAAAGTCTGATATAGGAACAACCCCACGGCGCAACTGGCGTAGACCCAAGGCGGGCAATCTTGATCTAGGTTTGGGTTGTACCATAAGATGGTCAAGAAATTGACTACCACGAAGAAAAACCCTGTCAGGGTAATCTAGCAGTCCTCAGTTATTCGTACGGTCATGGACAGACCAAACACAGAGGGACTAGGAACTTACGGCATTAGGACTAATGCATACGTAGCCGTTAGCCAATCGAGAGACAAGCATGCAAAATATCAGGTCACTGCTACTACTCACGCCATGCTCATAGGGAAACATTTGATCACCAAATTATTATAGAAGGGCTTCAGAATATAGCGGCTTATTAAAGAATAGTCGACTCCTGCGTAACGGTATTCCCGTAGGTTGGGAAGTTGATGCCGGCGGATGTACACCATCTTGTCTCTCGGCGATTAAACACTTCTCTCCTTTTTTTTTTCACGCCTGGCTATGGGAGATGTGTATGTGGTTGAGGGAGGATAAAGAGGTCCTTTCTCTTTTATACGGGAACGCCAAGCTAGCAATAATTGGAAATGGAAACGTAAAACGTGCGACGAGTAAGGTGCTCCTTGGGGGAAGTCTGAGGTTCGGTACGGCTGTTGGGAATCCAAAAAGACAGAATCGCAGAGGGGGAAAGAGAAAGGATAAAAAGAGAGGACTGGAGATAAATAAAGAAAAAACAACAAAGCAAAGAGGTGAGCGCTTCTCTTGTTGATATTCCTCTTTGTCCCAAAAATATTTAGTATTTATTATGAGTTTCCATTACTACCACTTTTTCTGCCCGGCAAAAAAAACGGGGCCCTTAGAAGTTCCCGCGCGGGGACGAGGTTCAAAGAATTCGACCGTACAGAGTACTCGTTGGGATAATTACAGCGTACCACAGGAATTGGTATGGTAGCGTTTACTTCTCTGGTGGAATTTACTGTACGAAGTAAGAGTATTATTACCTAGGTGGAGATCAGATGTGGTGTTGAGGGTCGACCGTCCACGTGCCTCCTTTGGTTGGGGAGACTGCATCGACTCCAAGACTACTGTGCATCTACGAGTGACACGGTTTCGCTGATCGTCGTCCTTAAATCCACAAATGGAAGTGGGGTAAGGAGAAGCCTGGTAAACTTTGGTGGGTTGGATGCATCCGAGGCACCATATGACGAACGTGAAAAAAAGGCAAGATACACAAGGCAAAAGAGGGGTAAACATTAGTAAAGATCCAAGTAACGCCGATGGAATTCCGACGTACAAGTGTAAATTTCTAGATACAGGGGGACATGCGAACAAAGGGAATGCCAATGCTAGATCTGATGCGCTAAGAGCCCTATGGCCAAATAGGAAATTCCGAGAGAGTTACCAACTGATATTGAGCCATAGACAAAGTGAGCTCAAGGACCTGTCACATCGTCCCCGGTAAGGCCGCCCTTGTTCTTCACACCATACGGCGTTCTCCTGCCCTCCTCAATTTCCAAGGGCCTATGCTATCCTGTCCACCTGGCGGGCACAAGCAGGACATATTGCTCATGACCACATACCGTTATGTCGACAACAACAGACTGCTTATCCAACGGGACTCCAGGGCATGGGGATCAGGATCCTGCTTTGCATCGTCTGGATGAGAGGAACGGTCTTGTGCACTGTTTCCGCCCAACCTTCGATACCCCACGACTGTTCCCGGCGTATTTTGCGCTCCTCCAGGTTTGCAAATTGCCATAAATGATGCACAGTATTTAAGTCGCCGATCTGCACAAACCATGCGCCAACTCCCTCCATAACTTCACGGCGAGCTTTGAGACCACGTCGCCAGTGAGTTTCCCACTCCAGTAGGTTTCCAGGGTGAAGAGTGTAGGAACGGAGTTCAAAAAAGTCCTCCCAGACGTCGTGGTGGTGTAGTTGGCCAAAAGGAGAATTCCTGCATCAGCGATGTCTTTTTGCTTTTTATTAAGCTCTTTAGCTTCCGATCAAACTCGGGGAACTCTGGGTGCCGAGAAATGTTATGGAGGGAGGCATGGTAGCCTTCATATCGCTGGTATTCCCAAATGTGCACTACAGGGCCAGCAATTAGCTTCCAGGCATAAAGGCTCGGGCCAGTTTTATCAATAAAGGAACGTGGAAAGGGAGAGGGGGGAGGTTGTTCCCCAGGTTTAAGTACCAAAAGTGTCGTTATCACCCACTTGTGTGCGCCAGCTTCCTACCAAATTCACCCTGTTCTCTTCTGTGGAGGCCATGCGTGGATACCACTGGCCCACGAGATCGACATATTCGTCTACCTTGTCGGGCTTGACTTCATGAAAAACAATCGAGTGAACATATTTGCCGCGAGCGAGGACTTGGGAGAAGGAGCGTTCAATATCCTTATCGAGTTGTTGACCTTCCTTCGTTCCGTATATCAGTGAGGACAAAGGCCCCCGCTTGGGAGACTGCGCGGTTTCCAACAAATGTTCGTCTCCTAAACCACGATGGGTAGATAGTGAGCCCAATGCCTTACCGTCAAGAACTTCGGCGGCATCTAGTACACGACTGCCATTATTGCTCGCACTGCTCACGTGTGGAGCAACAGGAGCGGTGGCGTACTCACGGAAGCGATCACGGGAAATAGGGGATGAGGCAGAACCAGAAGCAGAAGTATCAACGAACTGACTCTCTTGCTGTTCTCTCTTCTTACGAGCCACCTCCAAATTCTCACGAAACTCCTTCTGACGTGCATTAAACTCGGTCGCCGAGTCGGGCGTGATGTCACGAATGGAGGGTGTGCGGCAGACAGCGGCAGAGGAGGTGAAGGGTCGAACCAGCGAGGATGCCGGTCGGGGAAAGCGTGATAGAAGCATAATGGCTAATGATACGAGGCAGAATGCAAACAAAAAAACTTCAGATGCTAGAAGGGACAACAGATCTGCAAAAGGGGTAGGAGAATGTGCCAATCGCTAGTGAATAAAGACGAAAATTAGAGAAGAGTAAACAGCACTTCCAGAGGAACACAAGAATGGTTTAAAGGAAAGGGGAGAGGGAAGGGGGGAGCGAGGAGAGGGCGACAGAATGAGCAGGGGCGAGATCGATGGTCAGACCAAAAGGCTTCTGTGGACTGGCTGCTGCAGAAGAGATGTCACTGTAGAAGTACTGGGGTTTCAAGGATGTTCAAGCGGAGAAGAAAAGATCCTTGATGAAGACGGTGGGATATTGGCCACAGTTACTGGCAGGTTGAGGAGATGAGAACTCAAAAGGCCAATGGAACTGGGAATCAACGGAAGCTGGGGAAAGCTGGCACATGAAGTGCGGGGAAGGAGATTGTCCCGTTGCGGTCACGGGCGATACTAGGTTAAAGGGCTTCTAGACTGAGGACTGACGACAGTCCAATGGTACAGCTATCTTTGCCATATATGATATGATCCACAGGCCTAATCCACAATAAGTGGACAGTAGCTACCTCTTATGATGTTCATACCCAAAGCTCTATAATTTGCTGGCAACCTTGTCCTCATTGATCTCCACTGCGCGTTGCTCCATTCCTGAGACAATGATGACGAAAGCAGTGCTTCTCACGGACTACATACAATTGCGACACATGGAGACGACAGGGGTTAGCCCCACAACTTTGAGAAAATTGCATCTAGCTACTGAGGGAGATTGATCCCCGAAGAAGATATCCACGTCCGCCATGATACACTAAAGAGCAATCCGGTCGTTCGGGTCCAGCAATGACGTAGAAAGGGAGAAATACCTGCCTTGGAACGCGAGTAACTTACAGAACCACTGGCGATCAGACTCGGCTTACTAGACCAAAGTAGGATTAGTGGAATTGGTCCAACGCGACCGTGTGTGCCACCTCAGGTTCTCTCACCCCTCTATGCTGGTATACTTAACATTATTGCCTACGACTGATTGTTGGAGCGTCGAGTTTATCATCTGACCCTGCGATTCTTGTGATATTGACTGGGAAGTAGTTTCAACTGATATCATCTCGCTCTACTACCAGATATGACGGATTCCGTAAACCCGCCCCTCTCGTATGAGGCGTCTGCAAGCACCACCCATCCTCATGTTGCAACCACTCTTCCTCCAGAGGTCATTGCTTGTCTAAAAAATTCACGGTTTGTGGGTACTCTTGCATCTGTTAAATAAGACTGCTTTGCATGTGAGACTAACCTGAGTTCCCTTCAGCTCCATCTCGCAACATGTGACGGAATGACTCCTCATATATCTCTCATGTCCTATACCTACCTACCCTCGACTCCCTTTAACCCGTATCCCACAATTATCATGACCACCAACCCGTCGTCGCGCAAGACCAACCATCTATTGACCAATCCCCAGGTTTCCCTATTGGTCCATGATTGGGTGTCTCATCGTCCGCCTACGCGAGCCACGAATGCTGGCGAACGTGAGGGATCCCCGCCACCTGCCGCGACAAGGTCATCGCTAGCCAGTTTGTTATTGAATCTTAATACAAGCGCTCTTTCAAGTATTTCCACCACCATCACTGGCACAGCTCGCTTCCTGGAGCCCGGGTCCGAGGAGGAGACCTGGTGCAAGGAGAGGCATCTCGAGAATAATACCTTTGAGGAAGAAATGAGCTTCATTGGCCAGCAGCAGCAACAACAGTCCGGCCAACGAAGACCCAGTGTTTCAATAGATAGTGATGTCCGCGTGGTCACGGTCCGAGTGCGTGAAGGACGGATTGCTGACTGGAAAGGAGGAGTGCGTGATTGGATGGTGGTTCGAGAGGACGCGGAGGAGTCTCCTTTGATCAATGGAGCTTTGGATGCTTAGGTCTTGTATAAGTATATTCTCCATTCAGCTTTGCGGTAAAGAACCAAAATGTATCATGGATTTATGGGTATTTTGCTTCCTTTTTTTTTATTATTTAGACTTTTGTATACACCGGATTTCAAACGCCGGTAGCGTAAGTTCACCATGAGATTGCAGGATTTTCAGGGATTTACATACGACCTCAAGAAACTAACGGGCATTTATAACTTATAGGCTATAAACAGCCTGTCCAGAGTAAAATCGTGTAATCAAATATGCCATGATGAACAGGAATCAATCACATGATCCACGAGCGACGGTGACGTCTATCTGAATCTTATCGGAGAAACAGTGCCGAGTTAGCGGTAGTACGTTGTTCAACACAGCGTCTCTTGTACCAGTCAAATATTCAATGGAATCGCCTCGATCCACCAATTGACGGTAACCAAAAATGCACTGATAACTAGGCCGCTACATATCCATTAATTGACTTAATATCAGACCACACCCCCAAGTGATCAGCTCCCGAAGCACCCATCCATGCACGATGAGACTCGCCCACCTTCACTTCCCAGGCATCACCTCCTTCACACGGGTCTCCAATCTGCAACAAACTCTCACCAGTCGTCTCCTCGCGCATAAAAAGGCAGTCCTCCCTGCCACGACACCCGTCTCCGCGGCCCCCGACCCAACGATCATCACCTTCACTCCGAACCCAGTGTACACGACTGGCCGACGCGATCTACCACCCTCCAATACCTGTCCCGCATCTCCCTCTTCCTGCATAAATCATATCTCCCTTCCGCCATCGCTGGAACCGATCCGCTCCCTGTTGACCTCTCCCACCGGCTCCCCGGTAGCAGAATACCACCCCACGCTACGCGGCGGCCAAACGACGTACCATGGGCCAGGACAGCTGGTCGCGTATACAGTGTTCGATTTACGCCGACTGGGTCTAACCCCGCGGTGTCACATCCGGTTGCTGGAGAACAGTGTCATTGATGTTCTGCACGGATATGGGGTGCATGGTCTCGTTACTGAGGATCCGGGGGTATGGGTGCAGCAGAGTGAGAGTGGGGGGGTAGTACCAAAGAAAATAACCGCTGTTGGGGTGCACCTTCGTCGGAACATCAGCTCTTATGGAATTGGGTTTAATATTACGGAGGAGCCCATGTGGTATTTTCAGCAGATTGTCCCGTGCGGGCTGGAAGGGAGGGAGGCTACGAGCTTGCAGGGACAGGGTGTCGCTGGTGTGGAAGTTCATGAGGTTGCGAATAGGTTTGTGGAGGCATTCGTGAAGAGGCTGAATGCGGATTTTGCCTGTGGTGGTAGTGCGACGGGTGAGAAAATCGACGAGGTGTATAACGTTCGAGAAGAAGAACTGAAATATGAATGAATGCCCGATATACCTGCTACTACAACTACCTTTGGGGGTGATATAGGGGAATGTACATACATAATATTCTGTCTATAAAAATCTGCATATACAGCTGGAATTCAAAAGTGGATTGGAAAATTAAACTATAGATAAATCAGTTCCATTGATATAATTAGTACACATGCAAAATCTATAGAGAAATTATAAGTGCAGTCCATATCTCGTCCTTTGTCCAGCTGGCCCAATGACCGTGCGCTAGACGAGAAAGGGTGTCAATCGCATAAATGGAAGTGTGGCGTAGAGATAAGGATTGGGTTGCATCTGCAGCTGACTTCGAATCGAGAAACTGGGAGTAAGCCAACTATAAAATAGATCAACAAAGTATGTATAAAGAAGCGAAATGACCAAATAGAGACAAAAAAATCTGCTGAAGAGCAACGCGGAAGTAGACAGTGGTCTGCTCCAATAATCCGCAGGTCGTAACTCCAGTGTTGCTGTCGTGGAATGGTGCCAAAAACCAATAGGGGTATACAAAAAGGAAATTCAAATGGCGCCAGAGACCGTCCAAGTTGAAAAGCGTAGACAATGCATTTAAAGTATGACACACCGTCCCTTGGGTCCGTTTGACCCTTGGGTCTTGACCTCCAGCGCGACTTTAGCCGCTTCATAGAAGGTCTCCATGATGCCACGATTTTGGACAGCGGAGCATTCTATCATCATATCAATGTTAAGGATCCCAATTTCAATATACGCTGTAACTACGGAGAATGACTTACCTAGATATTTCACTGCACCGATTTCTTTTGCCTTAGTAAGGCCTTGTTCGTATGTGATGGCGTTTACGTTGTCATTCAGGAACTCGTCCTTCCTCAGGTCGCATTTGAGCGCAGTAAGAACAAGTTTGACACCCGGGCAATTCTCGGATATTTCATCGATCCATTTAGTAGCCACGTTCTCAAACGAATCGGGACTGTCGACCTATATTTGCAGGCGCCGTCAACTCCTGAATAGCGAATTCAAAGCAAGAGATAGCACCAACACTGAAACAAAGCATTATGACGTGCGTGTCCTCGTACGACAGTGCGCGTAGTCGGTCAAATTCCTCCTGGCCAGCCGTGTCCCATAGCGATAATTCAATATGTACATTGTCGACAAAGATATCTAATAAGTATAAGTATAAGACTTAGATAGTTTAGGGAAGGAGCAATTACCGTGGACATAGTTTTCTAAACGATGGTCAGCATACTATGATTTAAACAAGTAGGGGAGCCCGCGCACCAAAAACCGTAGGCTCACTATACAATAGTCGCAAACGTTAATATGGCAAAATATGCAGTGGATTTATTCAAAACAAAAGTGATCCTCACTAGACCGTTGGGAAGTATCTAGACCAGAAAGATTAGTTAGCGTAGTCTTGGGGGCAAAAAGGAGGGGAAATTGGAGTCGCCAACCCTCTCGTAAAGACATTCAGGGCAGAGGTCTTGCCGCAAGCTCCATCACCTCTATTTGAATAAATGTCAGGATTCATTGTTCGAGCATGTCCTTTAGTTTGCGGAGCACACTGACAGGAGTACCATCTTGCGTCGGACAACCTTTTGACGCCCACACAAGTCCATTGCGAAAGTAATGCTATGCGGAAGTTGCTTGTTGGAGTATGCGACAAGAGGAAAGCTAGCGCGACGTATCGAAAGCTAATCCTATATAGGCATATATCGTGTGGAGGGGGTATATATTAAGGTATAGTAGATGGTATTGCAGTGTAGAGGAGGAAATAAGGAGAAAGCGTTGTTGAGGAGTACAGTCGTGGGCCGTGCAGAGTCGATGTCATCGGATCATGAAAGGTTCAGCAGCGAGCAAGGCGACCGTCATCTGCCAAGGGCCTTCGCCTCCCGTGCCTAAGGTATGAGGCTCACGACGCCCCTAGCCAACCAAGCACCGGAAATATTTTATTGTAGATAGGTACCTTACGAACCAGAGTTGCAGTACAGAGTAGTTTCTATTATGTTTGTAACTGATAGGCCTTGGTCCACCATGGATCAACTCCAGGCTATGGGGTCGCTGAGAAATATTCATTCGAGACATTACGAAGTAATTAGCGCGTGATGGAGCAAAAACTTAATGGCAACAACCACCGACTGTCTCACTGTCCCACTCTGTATGCAAGGCTTCTCTATTTTTTGGGCTTATTATCCCATATAACGGTGGCAATTAGGCGGTACTTTTTGTTGTCCAACTCTGTCTAGCGGATGATCGGAGTACATAGTAGTAGTTATAAGTCATTTATCTGCGCTTACAAACATGTGAACATCTCCTATGACCCCATACTACTCAATCCAGCTATTTATATAGTCGCTATATAGAGCAAAACCACTGTCTCAGGTCAACTGCGCGATGATTTCAATCAAAGATATCCTGATACAGCAAATGCCATTCAAACTCTCGGCCTAATCAATAACTAAAATAGCCTAAACTGCCACGAACAAATTTAAAAAAAAAAATAATAAATTTATAAAAAAAAACCTAAGAAGGATAAGCCATGTTTACTTTGAACCTGATAATTATCGAAAGTAAATAGATAGCTTGCAGAAGTGTACATAGTCTAGTTGTCTTGAATCTGTACTCGAGAACCAGGTACTGTCGGACCCATCATGGCATAACTAAGCGGGGAACAGTGACTTGAGGCTGCCCCAGGCTCCGGTAGGTGCGGGAGCTCCCTCGCATTGCGCCAGCTTACTATCTGCCTTCTTACTACCTGCACAACTTTATCCTCTACTCCCTTATCCATCGTACCTGGCATTCCATCCCACGGCCTCTTAATTTTTACGAAAACCCGAGCAAAAGAATTGTTTCAATTAATTCAAAACATACCAAACTCCCGAGAAAAGTCTTTCGGATTCCCCCACCATGTCGGACGATGACGATTTCATGCAAGATTCCGGTGATGAAGAGTGAGCTACACCCCCCCCTCTGTTTACTCGCTGTGCGGTATTTTAGAAGTGATATCTAACTGACTCTGGCAAAAAGCTACGACTTCGAGTACGAAGATGCGGACGATGACGAGTCAGGAGACGTTGGGATCGAGAATAAATACTACAATGCAAAACAAATAAAGATAGACTCTCCCGAAGAGGCGATCATTGAGTTTCTAGGGGTACCACCACTGGAGGAGGAGAAAGGCGACTGGTAAATATGACCACCACACTCCGTAGACAAGTCCAATGCTGATGGCGTCCGAAGGGGGTTTAAAGGTCTCAAGCAAGCCATCAAATTGGAATTCAAACTCGGGCGGTATGGCGATGTACGCTTTCCCTCCATCTCTATTTCATCATGCACGGCACTAAGCTAACTGTCTTCCAGGCTGTCGAACATTACAGAGAACTTCTTACCTACGTCAAGTCGGCCGTCACACGAAATTACTCCGAAAAGTCCATTAACAATATGCTCGATTATATCGAGAAAGGCTCGGACGACGACAAAGCTTACCAGTGTATGGAGGAATTCTATTCATTGACCCTCAACTCGTTCCAAAATACGAACAACGAACGCCTGTGGCTGAAGACGAATATCAAACTGGCCCGTCTCTGGCTAGAACGCAAGGAGTACGCACAATTGAGTAAAAAAGTGCGCGAATTGCATCGAGCATGCCAACGGGAAGACGGTTCAGATGATCCCAGCAAAGGGACTTATCTACTCGAGTTATATGCGCTGGAAATCCAAATGTATGCAGAGACGAAAAACAACAAACGGCTGAAGGCCCTATATCAGCGTGCCCTCCGCGTCCGGTCGGCTGTACCGCATCCGAAAATCATGGGGATCATCCGCGAGTGTGGAGGGAAAATGCATATGAGTGAGGAAAATTGGGAAGAGGCGCAGAGCGACTTCTTCGAGTCATTCCGCAACTATGACGAGGCAGGCTCGATGCAAAGGATCCAGGTCCTCAAATATCTTGTGCTGACCACCATGTTGATGAAATCGGATATCAATCCGTTCTATTCACAAGAGACCAAGCCATACAAGAGCGACCCACGAATCTCGGCCATGACAGACTTGGTGGATGCCTTCCAGAGAGACGATATCCATGCCTATGAGGCCGTGCTAAGCAAAAACCCGGACGTACTAGCCGACCCATTTATCGCAGAGAATATCGACGAAGTTAGTCGAAACATGCGAACGAAGGCCGTTCTCAAGTTGATCGCACCATACACCCGGTTCACGCTCAGCTTTATCTCCAAGCACATTAAGATTTCAGTGCCAGAAGTCCAGGATATTCTTAGCTTCTTAATCCTTGACAAGAAGCTCGACGCCAAAATTGATCAAGAGAGTGGGACCGTGGTAGTAGAGAGTACTAGCGACGTGGATCGACTGCAATCTCTGGAAGAGTGGAACGCATCGCTAAGGGCGCTTTGGCGGGCAACCCTAGACGACGGAGAAGGGTTCAAACACGACGAGGCCGCGCAGCTTCATGGGTTGAGAGGCGGCCCAATCTTCAAATCGGGGTTCGAAGACGAGACGCCTGCAGCAGGTGGACGTGGTAGCAGTTTCCGGTTACGGAGTGGATGGAAAGGCAAAGGGTCCGCAAAGGCAGGCGGTCCCGGCGGATTCTAGGAAGAGATGAGGAGAGGGGCAGAGGAATCAAGATCCTTGTCTGTTGGAGAGCGTAACGAGCAGGGAGGAAAGAGGAAAAAAAAAAAAAAAAAAAAAAAGCCCCGTCCCAACAAACATTTCCTACCTATTGATACTACCCCATACGGCGATTTGATTATGGGAATGCGGCTTGCAAAATACACACCGGAGAGGCCGAAGACAGTGACAGGCACAGTTTTTTCTTTCACTCAGTCACTGCATAGTGACATAGCTGTCTAGTAGTAATCATTATTACTGTAGTATTGAACCTAACCCCGACGTCAAGCTGTTCATTGGTGGGGATTCGAGGGATGAAACCCCAGGTCCCAGTCAGCAAGAACTAAGGTAAACTTCCACACCCGTTGTGGAGACCCGAGTCAACTCCTATTGTACTTATATTGGTAGATAATAAATAAAAATAAGGTAGAGTGCTATAGCCTCGGAGTCAGTCTAAGGTAACGATTAGTGAATCTCGTTCTTGGGGCCAAGGAAGCTGCATCCGAGAAGAATCACGAGAAAAGTTCTCTTTTCTTCCCCTTTCTCCACTCCCAAGAGAGTTTTTTTTTTTTTTTCCTTTTCTCACTTTACTACCCAGAGATGAATAGTAATAACGCTCCCTCTATGGGTCTAGTTCACCAGGATCACCGGGTGTCCACCGGAGAAACCATGCTACTAGTATGGTCCATAGGCCGGGCCCAGCAGCGTATGTTCCCCCTCTTATGCGCAAAAAAAAAAAAAAAAAAAAAAAAAAAAAAACTAAAATTAAAAAAATATATTAAACTAAAAAAGTAAAAAAAAAGAATACAATAAAAATCAAACGAAACAGCAAGAATCAAAATCGGCACTAACTAGCTAAACCAACCAACGATATGCACCAGAACACGGCAACCGGGCAACCCAGAATAAAGCACGACAACCAGCATAGGTATTTTGTACCTAGCCTGTAAGGATAGTACAATCGAAGTGTCTGGACAGGCATCGACTGTGGGAGTGAGACTGAGAGATGGCTTTAGGGCCTGCAACGATTAGCGCAGTGCCCGCCAAGGGACGGATAAAAATGGAGTACTTTTGCCAAATGGCGGCCTGTCATCGAATGAATGGTTCGGCCCGCTGGGGATTTTCTTACTGATTGGAACTGTCCTAGGTATTAGGTACGACATGGGTACTGATACTAATGCTGGAAAAGGTTGGATGTAATCCTTCTCTGTATGTAATCCATCATCCAGGGTAATAGTACCTAACTACGGAGTAGTAGCCAACGGCTTGGTAAAAAAAAAAAACGCAAAATATGCCTTGATCGTTAGTGGCAGGGAGTTGAGTTGATAAGCTGGGTCCTCTTCGGTGGAGTCTCGTCTGTCTGTAAGTGATAAATGCCATTTAAGCACTAAGTGGATAGGTGCTTCGTTGCAGTAGAAGAAATTTCGCAATCAGTGTTTTAGCTGATTTACCCCATCGGCACTATTCATACGTGTCCGATTAGATGCCTACAGCTTCCGTATCTGCCGCTAGACCTAGGTCCTTGGTCAGTTGGATGCGTTGTAATTGTATAGTAGAGGTATTTAGCGTGTAATCGGGAATTGGAGTGTTTGGTGACAGCGAAAGAAGAATATTTCGTTGGAAAATGCCTAGACATTGGTCGGTGTAATTGAAAGAAAATGGTGCATTGGTCTCTGACAAGGACCAGGCTGGAATGACGAAACGGTAGGCACCGATTGCACAACAGGTACGAGAAGAAGAGGGACAAAAAAAAAAAAAGGTAGGTGGAGAATGTGGTGGGCTCTATCTGTCATGCAGTCACACGCAATAACTACATAGCCTGATTCTCTTTGTTTTATTTTTTGCATTCCATTCTTTCATTTCCTATATTTATTTATTTAATTTTTTGTTGATTATATATATATATATGTTTGGTTTAAACCACTTTACTCCCTTGTCTGTACATACAAGATCCCGCTGTCACCATGTAACTCAAAAGGACAGATTGTTCTCGGGCTACCCAGGTTCCAGTAAACTGGGATGCGCGATCCTATTAAAGGAACTCTAGAGACGAATCGGAAAGAGTCTCTTCAGCGCATGGTGGACGGAAAGGATGTATATAAACAACGCTTAAGAAAGCCATTCCCAGGACTCAGGTACAAAGAAAGTAGGTACAAAGTACGGAACAGGGAGCAGAAGAAAGGCAACCGCCACCAAGCTACCCAGTAAGCAGTCCGGGAAAGGAGGGTAGGATGTTGTCTCGGAGTGGCTTCCGAGGTAGCATATGCAAGCCCGCTCCTAGTTGGATCGAGAATCTCCCTAGGCTTCAATTTGCCTGATGCCGCTCTGGCGCATAGACGACAGATTGGCGGTTTTAAGACTTAAGGATTTAAAATCTAGCCAACCCAGCAGCGGTCCTTGGCCATCCAGAATACGGAGGGATGCACCAATCGAATTATTCTAGGATGATCACAGAAGCAACGAGAAGGTGGTCTGATCCTCATTGTCACGGTTCACGGTGAGCAAGTTGACCGAGTCATAATACGGGAGAGGGGTTATACGGAGTACAGTGATACGCTAGGTACGATGATTGACTGACAGCTACTGATGACCACCATCGAGAGTTTCTTATTGCTGAGTTGACGGATGTGATCATTGGAAGCCTTATAGAGAGTAGCTCAACGTTAAATTGCTGATGGGATTGGAACGATTGATGATTCGTCGGCTAAGTAATAGGACTTGGACTCCAGCATGTACTTTCTCCATATATACACCCCCATGGATATAGTACATATGTACATACACGGATAAAGGTATATTCGAGAACCCGGTGGAATTCACTAACAGCCGTTACCCGATCTCGATCAGCTGAAGGGACAAAAGTAAACCCAGTATACAGAGTGAAGCGATAAACAAAGCCACAAATGACTTGAAGAGTAAGTTCACTGTCTTCTACTCCGCACTCGTATGCTGCATGCAAGACGGCAGGTAGCAGGATCTATTTAGATTAAACCTCAGTCCGTTTAACCTCCGTTGGGCGTGGAGACAAGAGAAGCTCATCGTTTTGATGCTCCCATCCGGCTCCTACTCTTGTGAGTTTAGGCAGTTAGTCAGTTCCCCGTAGATAGTCTCAGAGCAAATCTCAGCCAGCATTTAGTTCCTGTTAGTGGTGCTCCACCAGTCTAGCGTTTGTCCTGCCGGGACATGTGGTCGCTTTCGAGTGCATGGGGATCGAGAGGCGCAGAGTCGGAGTTGCGTCGAGATTGGGCGTTCTGTGTTTGTTCCCGTGAAAGAAACTAACTTGGATCACTTAACCCACAGATCCACCCGCACATGAATTTAATCTTGTTCCTTGATTCTGGGTAATCGACTCGAGAAAACCCCGGTCGACCTCTGGCCGCTGTTGCGATCTGAGCACCATCCTGTTCGATCCCTCCCAAACTAAATAAATGGGGTTGGGAAACCACAATCGCCGAAGGGTTACCGGCCAATAAGGGGGGGTCTCGGCATTTGGTGTGACAGCGTCATTTCATATGTAGCTACTGTAAGTATCCCTTCCCTACCTAGCATCGTTAAAGTAAGTACCGGGTACCTTAGTACCTGGTATCTAGTAAGGCACAGTTGGTAGTTGCAGGTACTGCTGTAGTAATGCCTACTTACTACTCACACTTTTCCATCAAAAAATATAAATTGTCGGCTATTCGGAAGAGTGTTAATAGAACGGAACTAGCGAGGGTATTTTCACCTATGAACAACCTGGAAAGAACAAAGTGTTCTCTTATCATCCATATATTCCCAGGAACATGTACAGTGGATTTATTGTAACCATCACGGGAACCCTCGCAGGGTTAATGACGCTCGGGAAGAACAATGGGATGCAAAAGTGGCCTAAGGATCGTCATTAGCATCGGGGTCCATTCCACCTCCCAACCGGCTATTCCGCTGCATCTTCAACCCACTACTGGGATTACTTGCTTGCTACTACTAATTAGTACTTGCCATAGTACTCTTGCATTCTCATTGTGGTATTTTTTGACTCCGCTCTTCTCTCTTGCCTTTTCTTTTTCTTTTTCTTTTCTTTTTTTTGCTGGCATTCATGTGGGTTTTCTGCTCTGTTTTCCTTTTTTTTTTTTTTTTTTTTTCCGCCAAGTGACCTCTTATCATCGTTGTCTCTTTTCCCTTCTCTCTCTTCTTCCTTCAACAAAAGTCGGATCATTTATTATTAGCGCCTTCCCACAGTGCAGACGAGCTCAGATCCCTTACCCATTCCAATTCCGTCCACATCCGTCCTGTTGTATACCCATTCCTACGCAAGAGAAAGAGAGCTGTGAGTACCAAATGCCATATCGCATCACAATTTACTATTAGCATCATCATCATTCTCATCATTATCATGACTAAAACTTCCTCTTGGATGGTTCCCCATGCCCTCTCGTCTCTTGTTCTTCATCCGGCTGACTAGCTAGCTAGCTACTAATTAGTTAACTAATTGTGGACTGACTAAACTTTCTGGCTAACTGCTAAACTTCCAGTTGTAAACGAACAAAAACCCCGCGCTGTCCATGGTCCTTCGATACTAATAACCTAAAGGAGCTTCTCCCCGCGAATACGTCTGTGACATTATTCCCCTGTTAAATCCAGATCAACGTCGGTCCTATCCTGTTTCCTCCAGTTCTCCAAATCCCTGTTGGTTTCTTGTCCATTCTTATCTATCATCCATCTCAATTGTCATCGTTCTTGGTGATCTACTCGCCACTATTTTATATTCTGGGACTGTCTTATGCCTAACGACATAAAGGCAGTAGTGTTATTATCTTTCTGCTCTCTGCCTAATTACACTTTGCATACGCCACGACACGTGTGAGCCTGTATGTATGCATCTTGGTCGTAAACGAATTGTGTGAAAGAGGTCTGTGTTCTACTTTCTTTCGTTTGTCTTTCCTTTCATTTTCTTTTTTTTTTTTTGCCATCTCCCTTTTAAATATTTACTCGTTCCATTCTGGTGGATATTTAGCCATGAATTACCTGCTCCGTTGTCCCCTCGTCTACCTTTTCTTGAGCTCTTTTTTTTTTTTTTTTTTTTTTTTTGAAAACTGTGCAACGCATAAGGGAAAGCATTTCCGGATGACAAAATAGATCACAAAACCCTGTGTATGATGTGTGGGTACTCAGAACGCATTATCAATTTCCAACTGATATTTGGTGGAATCTTCTACCGTCTACCATATGATTAGTTGTTTATTTACGACTGAAGTTGTGATCCTTGTAAGGGGGTTTAAAAGAATGTTATTCCAATGTGATTACTACTATCCTACCGGGACTTCTTCCCTGTTCACTAGCAGATCACATGCAGTTGCACAGGTGATGAGCCTTTAAGTTCACAAGTTGTCTTCAGCTATCTTAACTTCCCTTGCGTCTTTTCACTTGCCAGCTTTCATTCTATTTGCCTATTCTATTGGTCTCCATTGTCCCTATTATGTTGCATTCCTTTTTCCTGTTTCACAAGTCTTCCTATCAAGTTCTACTGTGAATATTCCCCTTCTGCCCAGTTGCTTCTGATTGATTATTGGTGATTTTTACAATTTTATATTGCACCCAGGCCCCTGGGCCTTTTCATTTCCTCACTTCCTCTCTATCTAGAGGGATGATGCATACTAAGTGTATGGATCAGTAGGTCATTTACGTCATTGGTGAAACGCTAAGCTGGTTCTTACAAAACGGATCAGCCATAGCAGTGGAGAGAAGAACCTTACGCGGAGGATGCCAGTTTGCCTTGTGCATATTATGTGGGTTCAAATTCTATTTTCTTGTTTGAGAGCTTGGAACGTGGATTAACTTAGCTGGTGTTACCAAAGACATAAGGGCCATCTGTGAACACCCCAGTCGAAGGCCCCTGCGGCTCAAATATTTTCACGTTTTAATGCGATGTCCTTGTCTGATATTCCTTGGAATCATCTTGGCCCTCTGAATCCCCTTCCAACCAGACAGGACTCAGCCACTGCTCTTTGTTCGCAGTCTCTTTACCCACCGGTTTTTCTTGGCCACGGGTTCCCTCAGCTATCTAGTGCACTTTGTCAAAATCAGTCTAACACTTTCAACATGAATCCGCTGTCCACCGAAGAAATGGAACGATTCCAGAAACTGTCGAACGAGTTCGAACCAGATATCCAGGTGAGCCGCTCTAACACGCCAAATTATCCTAGGGCTAACAGCCAAAATGAAATTAGGGCCCTCTCGTGTCTGCCAAGCAATCGAGCAGTACAATTGCGATGGAATATGCGAATGCTGATCCAGCCTTTGCCACCAAGACCAGCGTACGCGAGAGTTCATCTGGATCTTTAGAGCAGGCACTGACATTTTGATTGATAGGCACTTGCTGCGACACATCCATTTACACGTATTATGAAAGGTGACGGTAACTGTGGCTGGAGAGGTAATCTTTTGCCCTACTTTCGACTTTTGGCATCCACTCACTTCATATAGCGGTTGCATTTGGTTATTTCGAGAGCCTATTCAATCTTCGGAATACGCTTCAAGTTCAGCGCGAACTACTCCGGATCAAGTCATTAAATGTGCTACTTGATCAAGTCGGGCAACAAGAACATCTGTATGAGATTTTTGTGGACGAAACAGAACAAGTCTTTACACAAATATCCGAAGCGATCCAGAATGGCGTCCGTGACGACTCGTTCCTGGTCGATGCTTTTAACTCCGAATACAATTCAAGTGCCATCATCACTCATTTCCGAGTTAGTTCCCTTTAACCGCATATTCGTTCTTTCGTTGGCAATGTCGGGATGGAAGAGCCTTTTTTTTTTTTAACCACTGACAATGATTGACTTGTTGAACGCCTATAGCTCTTAACAAGTGCATGGATGAAACTCAACCCTCACCGGTACCAAGCGTTTCTCTCCTTACCCCTTGACCAGTATTGTGGAACTCGGATAGAAACCGTCAAGACCGAAATTGATGAAGTCGGCCTCCAAGCCTTGGTCGATGGAGTGATCGAGGGATCCGACTTCGCGGTGGAAATTCTGTATCTTGACCGTAGCGAAGGCGATGTGGTCACCCCTCACCTTTTGACTCCTAACAGACCCAGTGCTGCAACTATCCGGCTGTTATACCGCCCGTATGTTGGAGTCTAATATTGCGGTTCTTGTTGGATTAGCTAACATTGACGCCCAGGGGCCATTATGACCTTCTTTACCAGGCCGAACCTATCGTGAATATGGAACCCGTGGTCAATTTCCAATACGCAATGACATCTAACTACTCCCCTTGGGATCAAGGTGCCCTCTCATTTGACGTAAACTCCAGTTTAATGTCGATTCCAAATTTGATGATGGATCCATCGTTTGCTCTTAATCCTTCGCCAATTCCTCCCGCTCCTCCTAGTCCATACCAGGTTTCATCTCCCCAGGAAGTTTATCACCCGCCTATGCAAACCCCCCCCCCAGCTACTGTGGCATCACCACCCCCTTCCCAGATATCTGCTCCGTCACCACCTCCTCCGATGACGTCACTGCTAGGTCGCTCATCAGATGGACCGCAGATTCGATTGAATCCACTGGTGATGAAGCCTAACCTAAGCCACTCGTTGCCAGTCACCACTCCCTTCAAGAAGTGAGTCTTTCTATCCAGTCACAGTAAACATCATTACTGAAACTAGATACCCTTTGTTAGTTCGCCTTACAACCAAGCCCACTTTCAAAACCAAGACTTCGAGCCGATCCATTGGGAGCCTAACGAATCTCGCAAGTGATCTTCGATTGAAATATGTCCTTAACATTTTGCGGATATGAGATGCGACATGTTATTTTCAATCAGTCGTCTTTCGTGGTAAACGGTCTATTGCAGACTCTTTTAGGGGACTAAACCCACGTCGGACGATTGTCCTTTTCGGGAAGGCTATTATGAATGTTTGCTCAGAGGGGGAAACCTTCTGTTTGCGATGCATTGGTGCAACCGATATTTTTTTTTTTTTTTTTTCCTGCTCATTCTTCTTGATTATGTTGACCCATTCCTGCCTGGCTCCTTGTTCTTTTAGCGTTTGTGTTGCGTGTTGCATGGTGTGAGCGAGATTCTTTCCTTTCTTTTCAGATGACAACATATTCGATTCCAGAGGAGAACATTGATCCTAAATTTTAATGCTCATACTTTACCTGAGTTCAGTTCTTTTCTTCCTCAATGGGCTATCAGTCTCATTATGTTCTCCGTTTGCACGCCTAAGTTTTATCCCAATTACAGTGTATCTACTTGTAGTTATATTTTTGGACTACGTGACACGCATCACTTTCTCCCCCGGTAATTAGCAGAAAAAAGGCCCTAAAAGCAAGCGAAAAGCGCCACAGAACTCTTCTAAAGACCGGAAGTTATCAGCCTTTTCAAGGGTGACCAATTGGTAAGTGTATACTAATCTAGTCAGGTAGAACTTATGAGTTCCTGGGGTTCGTCGTCCGGACTTAATCATCCATCATTAAACCCTTGCGATCTTGACAGTCGTAGTCTCAATCCGACATATGGAAAGATAAAGTCCAGCTACTTTGCTCAAATATCTAAAAGGTGCCTACCAGGCACCTAGCTACCTAGCTAGGATTATTATGCCGCCCAATGATGTATGAAAGCCCTATTTGGTATATGATGTAATTTGCTGTATGTAATACCAATACAGTCACAAATGCCATTGGGGACAGTCAGTTCTGACTTTCACTACACCTTGCTGATTAAGCTGGTTCAGTAACTTAGTTTTAAATTCGCCTCTCTTGCTGCCGAGTCCTTTCCTCCTTTCTCACATCACCACACTCTTTTTGCCTGTCCCGCGGGCACCATTTTCTTGTCTTTACTCATAGCGTCTCGGGCCTGAGTCAGGCCCGCTTGAGTCATACAATCATGGCGGCCAGCGCTTCATCAGCAGCATCCCCCGTTTTCGCTGCCAAGTTCATCTATTTCCAGCCGTCACTATACTAGTGCCGACCTACAAAGAGAAGCCTCCAACCAACATACCCTTTCTCACAATCCTTACTCCTCCGATCTTTTTAATTCATATTCTCCACAATCTCTGTCCTTGGATTCGCCTTTCAATCTCCCCGGTAATGGCTTCGCCGGTCTTGAATCTTGGGATACTTGGGCCACAGTGACGGACGGTCCATCTCAGCCATTGCCTGCTATTTCGACTCCACTATATCCCGCGTCCTACACGCATCCTATTGAATCACAGCCAAGTCCTTTGCAGAATACTCTTCCTTTAATATCGGATCTAGATGTACATGAGGATTTCTTTCAACCGAATGATGTCCCCTTGACACACTCTGAAGGTTGGTTTACTTGCCTCGAAGAGCCATGTGCTAGGTCTTCTCTAACCAACGACAGATCGCCAATCTCAACTACCTCCTATGTCCCTTCCAGCATCGATCACTACATCGCCCAACCCATCATCGACGACTCCTAGTGATTTGGCTGCAACCCGTTCAAAGTCCACGCTTTCTAAAGTAGAAAAGCGGCAACTGAATACCATGGCTGCCCGTCGCTATCGTCAAAGACGAGTGGACCAATTGACTCGTTTGGAGGAGGAGCTCAGGCAAGTCAAAGAGGAACGCGATGCGTTGAAAATGCGGGTTTCTAAACTGGAAGGTGAGACGGAAGCTCTCAGATCTCTTGTCGGGAGAGGAAAGAAGTAGTTTCTGCTCTAGGTGAATTCGCCAAGTTCAAATGGAATCTGGGTATTATACATCAACATTCTGATCAACTATCTCTGCATGGAGTAAGCACTGGTAGTAGTCATTAGTATGTACGAGTGCAGGTGACGAGAGAAAAGGATATCCTACGAATGGGATCTGATGATGTCGACACAAGTTCATCACTGACAGGAGTGACCATCCCGATAATATTATCCATACGTTTTTCTTCGTATGCCCAGAGCAGATAAAAGACGGTATGATAGTGGGGCCTACTACACTGCAATCGCAATCTGAATGCCCAGTGTATAGATGGTATGTAATAGTTGTAATACCGGGAATTTGGTATGAATACTTATCAATGTACCAAAAGATCTTGCAGATTGCATGAAAACAACCAATAATTAACATCTTCCAGATCTAGGAATTTAGGTAGAAATATGGTGCTTATATCCTAGATTTCTCTTTTATAGCTTATTATGTGTCTATATCTTTCCCTTGTTATTGTTAGGTTTATACTGCACAACCTCATACTGTATCAAATTTTATAATACTGTATACAGATACAACATGCATACAAGATCTCTTATCCGCTAGAAATAATGAGTGAGAATGACTCATTTTCTGGTGCTTTAATTGGTCAACTTGCAAGCTCGACTTCTCCACTGGACAAAAGACTCATTCTTTCTACGTTAAGCCACAGGTATTATGGCCAATATTATCATGTGACAAACTGGACTGGAAGAACATTGGGAGCTTTAATCCATGCAGAAACAGAACTGTATTATAGCTGACAACTTGCAGAATGTCCTTTACTTATAGCTCCACAATCTTGTCTCTACTCTGTACTCTTGCAATAGCATAGCCTTTCTAGCTTATTATAATGTTTTTTCTGTCCATCCTTCCCAATCATTAGTGTTTGCATAGGCCGATAAACCCGATAGTGCGATGGCGTTTGGAGCATCCACAAAGAGATGCGTCTCCTTTAACCATATTTAATATGGCTGATCAATCAGCTAACAATCTGTGGTATGTTTCTTCCTTTAGGGATGCAGATATACGGTAAAATTGCAGTCAATTCGAAGCATTAGTTTCCAAGTCAATTAACCTTCACTCGGATTATCTGATAAGTTACCACTGTGGGCTAATGTGCTTGTCCAGGGAAATCAACTGGTGAGTTACCGAATATCTGGGTCCTCATCACGCATGGTCCATGAGAAGATTCAGTGGTGTTACCTGTCCTTCGGAGTTCGCCCGAATGTGCCTGAACCCGAGTAGCGGGAAACAGTGTTCCCCGCATTAGGCGTTTCCCCCCGCAATCCTCCATCGCTTGATACCTTACCCCCCAGGTTACCGGAGGACTCAGCTCCGTCTGCTTGATCCCGATGTCTTCCTCTATACTAAAGACGGCAATCGGGACTGGAGAGGCGGAACACTGTCATGCGACGACTATCTCAATCTTCCTTTACTATACCTAAACGGCAGCTAGAATCTGATAGACGGAGTACAGTCGTGCGATGAGCTTTGCCTTCACGTGGGGTCGAAGAGTTGTGGATGCGAAGGATTTGTATATAGAGTGCCGTGATTTTCGCTGCACTTCTAGAAGAAATCGCTCTCTGCATTGTCAGTGAAAGAAGAAGCACAATGGTGTCAGTTGATAGTGGCTTCGCTCTTATCCGCCGGAACCCATATCTGTTTGGGGTTGCCTCTGTGAGTATATTCGGTAGTGTCTATATTGCGGTTAGAATGGACTAGATCTAACCATGTTATTGTTCCTCGCAGTTCTCTACCCTAGGTGGTCTACTCTTTGGATATGACCAAGGCGTGGTATCCGGTGTGATCACGATGGAATCGTTTGGGGCTCGATTCCCTCGTGTGTATTCCGATACTGGATTCAAAGGGTGGTTTGTGTCGACCCTGCTCCTTGGTAAGTGCAAATCATGACACCCGTGGAGGCTAGAAGCTGATGGGGCTGCAGCGGCTTGGTTTGGCTCCTTGATTTATGGCCCGATTGTGGATCGTTTAGGCCGGAAATGGTCCATCAATGTTGCCGTTGTCATCTTTGTTGTAGGGTCCGCAATTCAATGTGGTGCGGTGAACATTCCAATGCTCTTTGTCGGTATGATTTTCCCCTAAACAGGCACCTATGCAAGGGTGTGTGGTGCTAAAAGTAGGGTAGGTAGAGCAGTTGCAGGACTGGCTGTCGGCCAATTGACCATGGTAGTTCCTTTATATATATCAGAGGTATGTGTCTCTAAAAATGATGTTCTCCAGTATACTAAATTGCTCCAGGTCTCTATTCCAGAAATTCGCGGTGGACTAGTTGTGCTTCAACAACGTAATACCTTGGCTTCTTTCCTGACAAGAGACAATCACTAATGCTATGAATCAGTCTCAATCACAATCGGTATCCTCACCAGCTATTGGATTGACTACGGTACAAACTACATCGGAGGAACTCGCTGTGCTCCAGATATTCCCTACAGTGGCCAGACCAAAACCTCTCATACCTTCGATCCGTATCACGATGTTCCCCCCGGTGGCTGCAACGGCCAATCCGAAGCATCGTGGAGATTACCACTAGCTATCCAGATTATCCCCGCAATTATTCTAGGTTTAGGCATGATATTTTTCCCTGATTCACCTCGTTGGCTCCTGATGAAAGGCCGTGACGATGAGACCTTGGAAGCGCTTTCCAAACTACGAAGACAGGCCAAGGACAGCCCGACTCTCGTCAACGAGTACCTAGAAGTTAAGGCTTCTATCATGTTGGAGGATGCCTTCGCAAAGGACCGCTATCCTAACATGTCAGGGGTGAGACTGCATACTGCTCAGGTCTGTACTGCTCTACTCTATCTACTCTTCTGTTTCTCTTTCCACGCGGCTCACATGTTCGTAGTATATGTCTTTTCTCACTGAATGGGCCCGCTTCAAGCGTTTGGCAATCGGATGCTGTGTTATGTTTTTCCAGCAATTCATGGGATGCAATGGTACTATTTCCCCACGTATCTAGAGATCTATCTCGAAACGAGAGTCGAATGACTAACCGACTATTATAGCTATAATATACTATGCACCAACAATTTTTGCGCAGCTTGGACTTGATGGGAACACTGTACGCTTTTTCTTTCCTTATTCCAATGCTTTATATTCATCAGTGCACTGATATCTATCTCGTAAGACTTCGCTCCTCGCCACAGGCGTATATGGAATCGTCAACTGCCTCAGCACGCTGCCGGCTCTCTTCCTTATTGACAAAGTAGGCCGTCGTGTCTTGCTTATGTTCGGTGCTACGGGTACTTGTATCTCCCTAGTTATTGTAGGTGCCATCATAGGTGCCTACGGAACGGATTTGGTCAATCACACATCCGCTGGATGGGCTGGAATTGCCTTCATTTACATTTATGATATTAACTTTTCTTATTCCTTTGGTAAGTACTCTTCGAGAGTGACCTTCATTTGGCCCTATGACAAGCATTGAAACCAACTGCATTCATTCTAGCGCCAATTGGATGGGTTCTACCATCAGAGATTTTCAATCTTTCTATCCGATCCAAGGCCATTTCAATCACCACGTCCGCTACTTGGATGTGTAACTTGTAAGTTCATATCTGTTTACGTACACCAAAATGCTTTTTCTTGCCCCATATCTATTGCTAACCAACATTACCCTTCTAGTATCATCGGCCTTATCACCCCAGATATGCTCGAGTCAATCACCTGGGGTACATATATCTTCTTTGCGGCATTCTGTCTCCTGGCATTGGCGTTCACTTTCCTTTGTATTCCAGAAACACGCGGGAAGGTTAGTTTTATCCTATCTTTCGTTTGTCGCCCTCATTTCCAGGAAACCGAGAAAATCCATCAAATGCTAACGAGGATGAGCTTGCTCTCAGACTCTAGAAGATATGGACCTCATTTTCGGTGACACCGCAGCCCATGAAGAGAAACAGCGTATTGTTCAAATTGAGGCTGAGCTCCGTGGTACTCAGGCCTTTGTAAAAGATACCCTGGTAAAGCCGTTCGTGGAGCAGGAAGAAAGCGTCGCTTGAGTGGTCAGGACAGACATACGTTGGAATGTTAACGCAATACTTGTGATTCAACATTCCCGATATAGGATAATATATCCGACGACAGGTTGTGTAGATTAATCGGGCGACCTGCGTTTTGTACAATACGAAGCCACGCTATGTTCAGACCCGAACTTGCAACTGTCCATGGCCACAAACCGGTCTCTGCGGTATGAAAAAGAATCAAAATCAGGGAAAATCTCCCTGTGGAGTGAAATTGACCCATTCAGAGAAATCCATGCCACCTAGATTCAGTTCTTGGTCAACATCCGGGAACATGCTACCAAAAGTAGGATCATTGAACATTTGATCGGAAATTTGCATGAAAATAGGTGGCTGTCCCGTCGACCCATCGGCAACTGACGCTGTATATGCTGGTGAACAAAGCCGATTTACTACCTCCAAATACCTGGTAGCTAGCCGATGGCTGCTCAGAGACGGATTCATTAAAAGGTTTTTTGTGGCTTCAATATCTTGAAGCCAGGACGGAGCATCTGTACTCGTTGGGTCCGTCATGAGCAAGATAATAGGTATAATTCCAGCCTGGAAGAGAAAATATCTAAAATGAGGCAGAAGAGTTAATCCATTTAATACAATTTTGATCAAGGATATTTCGGGAAGATTGAGGAGGGAGGCACTTACAGCATATACCATGCACCTATCCGCGTACAGATATAGTTACTCACAAAGTCAGTAATAGAAGAGATGGTCAAACGAGCGTTTCGAAGACAAAGCATTCTGCAATCCGCCTCTAGCGGGTCTTCTGCATGTTCCGGCGTGTTTGGAGTCCATCTTCTCGAGGCCCAACGAAGGAGGATTGGCCGATACAAAAGAATTCTCAAATTCCAATCTCTCCACATGAGTCGATTTCGGACTAAAGCAAAGGGGTCTGATTCCGATAAGGCAGGTGGCTGTTTGAAATAGTGCGGAAGACCATTATACCATTCTTCCATTGGTTTTTGGAGATTCAACGTTTCCTCCGCAGTGAGGCTTGGGCTGGAAATAAGACGCAGGTACACGCTATTTGTGAGCAAATGGAACCTAGCTTGGGCAATTAGACCCGAATACAAAGTCGGTCCGTTGACTTCTTGCGGCAAAACTGTCGTCGTTGATATGAGGGCCTGGTTAACGGTGTCAGAAAATCTTTCTGCCGTAGCGGATACATTTATAGAATAGACTCACCTCATCGTGAATGTTCAGGACATGCTTTGCATCCATGACTCTATCCTCAGGTAAAAGGATAGGACGACCAAAGGTCTTTGCAGCGCCGCTATCAAATATGAAGACACCCCACCATAACCTTCTTCTAATCTCTCGCTGAAGAAGGCTGATATTCCATCCATGAAATTCCTTGTGGAGACCAAGACTCATAGCCATTCTAACTGCCAACCCTAAGAAATTCCAGCCAGTGTTTGGCTTATTTCTCTTTTGTGCATAGTTGCTTAAAAGAAGCAACGCTTGAACAAGGGTGAGGTTTCCAGTTTCGAACACTGATACTTGTTGTAGATGACCCCTAGCTTCCTGATAAAAGGTGATGTCCAGGTCCGAGTTGTCGTCTCCAATGCTCCACGCCCCTAAAGCTAAAATAGTATTCAAAAGAATTTGCCACGCCTGACCATGACGGCGAGGAGTCTGCTCGTAGAACTGCGCTCTAAAGGTAGCCTCATGGACAAAAGGATAACTCGTATGATAATTAAGAAAAAATGCATCTACAAAAGCCTGCTCAACAATTCCTGAAGGTGCGGTGTTCAGAAGCTGGGATTTCAAAGGCACCCCTTCCGGACCTGTATTAGACTTTGCTGACCGAGCAGGAAAATTCAGATCGAATCCGTGCTTCAGCAAAGCACGAAGAGGAACAACACTAGAAGATGCACCTGTAACCAAAGGGTTAGCGAGGAGGATTGAAGAGAGGGTAAAGGCCATACAAACCAAAATATCCTGTTCCTTCTGGCTTGATAGACAAGGATGCCATGCCATCCGTCAAATCTCCGACCGTAATTTTATTTTCAGCCCAATCAAATCCATCTGCTTTTTGTGGTAGAGCTTCGGGGGCTGCCTCAGATCGATCCGCTTCAGCCTTAGCGGGAGTGGAATGTCTAGATGAAGACTTGGAAGAAGACCCAGGTTTTGGCGGCCCATCCTGGTCATGCAACAGAGAACGAACTGTTGCATCAAGATCACCTCCAGGGAACAGTCTCCCTAGAGCTGTTTCGAAGGCTTGCAAACGGTCTTCTACGTAGGTTAGATGTCTGAGATGTTAGTTAGCTCTCCGCTGCTGACAATTCTTGGATCTCAACGAAGACAAATGTATAAGACTTGGACTTTTCCCCAGTGGGAGACAAGATTAGGAATGTGAGATGCTTACTGTCGGGTAAGAGGACTCCTTGTTATTTTGGGGCTATATTTGCACTCCTTGTTCAACTGCTTGCATTGTGCGCATACAGGCTTCTCCTTGGAACACTAGAAGAAAGATAAGTAAGTGTCCTTCTTCTCAGCGTATGAAACACGTTGTGTGAAGCCCACCTTGGACTTGCGCAACCGACACTCATCACACTGCAATAAGTTAACAAATCTACACTTCCTTACATATAATCCTACTTAACAGGGGAAAACTCACAGCATACGAATGGGAATCACGAGTACTAGCCATTTTCATTTATCTCGAAAAGGATGTTCTCTTATACCGTAAGTCTCGTGTACGTTGACAGTTACACAAGCCCGGTGTCATCTGCGAACGGTCAGCACTGTGCCATTGATACCCCTTCTGGGGGCAAATGTTAGATGCGAACCAACGAACTTGCGGGCCAGGGTATAAAAAGAATGAATGGACATTGAAATACATTGCCGCTTTGGCGCGTATTAAATTCAATCTATAAGAAAGCCCGTAAATGAAGAACAACAGGGATTTGGGAAAGAAGCCTCATAAAGTGATCTTGAGCAAGCAGCTCAATGTAAAGGGCATTCCAAAGTAAACAGTACTAGATCTCTCGAACTGTGGGGATTCCTAGGAGAGGCGCAAAAAAAAAAAAAAAAAAAGACATCATGGGGAACAGCTAGGAGATAACATGGGGCCAACTCACGATCGGCACGGAAAACATTCAAAAGCCCACGTCCTTAAGGGAAGAGGGGCTAAAGAAACATCCGAGACAGACGTAAACCCCCGAACCCATTCCAACGGAGAGAGGAGGGTGGTATCTGGTTATGTTCGGATGAAGCCTTCTGCATCCAAGAAGTTGGGGCGTTTGATTGCCCGTTGGGTGTGGGGTGTGGTCAGGTGATCCGATACTCCCACGGTTGCATCCCTAAATTTCAGGAATCCACCAGGCAGGGGTATTTCCCCTTTGGACCAGACGGCTTATTGGACTGCATTTCGCCTTTCAAGGCACAGTGATGTGCTCTTAGATGAATACTATGTACCTATAAGATAATTAGAAGCACCGCAGAAGGGTCTTGCTCTGCTATAGAAATATTAATGTCTCACTTCTCAGCACCTTGATGACTGCCTACCTATATTAGTATAGGATCGGCATGTACACTTCCTGTAGTACATTGTCATTTGAGGTCTAACACCCAGTTGATTTAAGATTGTGTATAGTTTTTATATTAGATTATCTACACATAATAAATAAGGTAGAATGGCTACATTACCTTTAACACCATTATGAAGGATGTATTTTACAGAGGGATGGCTTGAACATATATTTATACGACTATGTTCTCGTAGTATGAATTGTCTACCCACGTATCTGATATATCTATTTCATTATCTCCCAGTATGTATATGGCATAAATCAGCCACTCAATTTCCAAAGGAATCGTAATATATCCTATATACGCCTATTTCCCATGCCCAGTTGCGGAGTAATCCCCATTGATAAGGAAACGTGATGGACAGTCTTGGCGCAGCGGAAATGGACACTGACCAATCATACGGTTGGGTAGAGCTTTTTTTATACTCATCTCCGCGAACACTGTCAGAAAAAGTGAGAAGCGATAGCAGTAAGAAACATCACTTGCACTGTTTCCGATTGTGCTCTATTTCTGCTATCTGGTGAGGCCATAAGCGGCTTCAGTACTCCCCGCACATTCTCAATCATGCCTGCCCAACCCCCAGTTCCGCATCTTCTCACACCTTATGTATCTTCGTTGCCCCAGTCGTCTCTGACAATCCTGTCCTCAGTACTAGGTGCGACAGGAAACTGGCTAGTATTGCGATTCCTATACACAGCACTTAGTGCGTCGACCAACTCCGACGAGACCTTTGGGCTCCATGAGAACGGTGGCAGGAAGAAGAAAAAGGTTGTGCTCGTTAGTTTTCTGCGGGGTTGGGAATTTTGGAAATCGGAGGCAAAACGACTGGTGAGTATTGCGATTTTTTTTTGTTTCCCGCGTGTATGAGCTAGTTATCATATATATTATTGTTTTTTTATTGATATCAGGACACGCTTGCATTATTTCCCGTATTGCGCTTCTTCATGCCTGTTTTTCCAGTGATATCATGTACTGACATCTCTAGGGTTTGGACCTTCCACGCCTCACTGACAAAAGCCAATTCGCCTTCGTCGATGGACTCTCCGAGCTTTTCCATGCCCCCGTAGCTGCAGCTGAACCTTCTTCTCCGTCACGATTGCCCGGTACTGTCCCTCGAACAGTACTCCCCATTCGGTCCCAACCTAGTACGATCCCAGCGCGAGCCCCGCAAACTGTGCCGCGAGCACCGAATGGCAACCCACCTCAGGTGTCAAGAGAGATCGGCCCTGTAAAGCGACTGCGCCTTTCAGGCAATGGCATTGCAGCTCTGGACTCTCTCGAGCAGGAAATTTCAACCGTGGTCAAGAACCTGTCCACTGGTGATGGAGAAGAATCCGAAGTATTATTAATTATTGACCAGCCGGATCTTCTGCTCGCTGCGACGGGGCCAAGTAGAGGCATAGGTGCTACGGAGATGAACGAGTGGATAATGGGCCTACAACAAGTGCGTACTAGTATTTATCTGCATGTTGGGTCTCGCACAGAAGTCATCCATACATTAAAAGGCCTACAATTGGGTTTTCCTGCTAACTTTCGTTTCCTGTGCAGAGCGCTTATGCAACCGTTATGATACTCGCCGCCGATTCCCCGTTGATCCAGAACGCATCTGCATCCAACTATGCGCCGGCTACGCCGTTGGAAACAGAGCATGCTGCGTTCGCCATAGGATCTGCCCATCGAGCACAGATGGTGATACAGCTGAGAAATTTGGAGACTGGCGTTGCAAGGGATATTAGCGGTGTGCTGAGAATTAGTAAAGGTGGTGCGTGGGGCCGATCCGACGAGAGTTCCGAGGGAAAATGGGAGGAGAAGGAAGTCTTATACTTTGTCCAGAGGGACGGAGGCGTTAGCGTCTTTGGAAGAGGGGAATAGAGATTCTCTGCTGCGATGGATTTTGTCTATGGTTGGTGTTAAGGCGTATGTAAATAGAAGGGACAGTGCCAATAGACTGATTTGTCACGGCCTGCTTGTCATATAAGGCTATCTTAAAAACCGGCTGCTAGAAGAACGCAGGAGTCCTTGGAGAATGGGTGTATTCAGGAAGACAGATCACATTGGAGACATCTCAATAATGTACCTGTCCGGATATGGGATATTCGCCAGCCATAAACAAGAAAGGAAATTCATGCCTGCTTTCCCTTTCAAACCCACAAAAATTTTTGTCTTCCATTTGCCGTCCTTATTCTAGAATAACCATGTTATGACGACAAAATTAAGACTTGTCCCAACACCGACTCCACGGGAAAGCGTCTTTTTTCGCCTGGCACCGACTACTTCAGATACCAGGCCTTTCATACCAGCCCTCTCTCCAGCCTCCGAGATCATAATTACGACGTCGAAATTAACCTAGTGGCTCTCGGGACCACGAGCGCCCTTGGGGGTGCCGATCTGGAATCCGTTCTTGAAGCGGCGGTGGACATCCTTGAGGTGGGCCATTCTACCGGTGCCGGTGGTCTTGCGTCGCTTGGCCTTCTCGCTCCAGTTAACTGATTCCAACAAAAACTCGTAAGCGAATAATTCCACTCCAAATGAACAATGCCAATAAATCCATTTATTGACCAAGCACAGAAACAAAACTCAATATATCTCGGGGGAATTCCTACACTTGCGAGTCTTAGCGGCGGGATAACCGCAGCTGGAACAAGTTGATTTCTGGATGTGGAAGGAGCGGCGGCCTGAAATCGGAAAAATCGGAACGTGTTAGCCCATTTGCTGCTCATTATACCTTCCCGACTTCCTCTGGTTATATCCAGTATAGCGATCCGTAAAGATTTCGCCGGGTGGTGTCATTCGCGGTGTAATACTAACCACAACGCCTGCAGAGAGTGTGGGATTTATTGTGGCGCTTGCCAAAGCTGGAGGTACCCTTCGCTGTAATCGGTGTCAGTCTGGAAAAGGTCTCTCGACGACAAGGCACTTGTTGCTCAGTGGGATATTAAATTTGCACATACTCATCTTGAGTTATGGAACTGTAAAGTCACGCAATAATTGTCAGCAGAAAATTTCTCTAGTGCATTTATGCGCATCGAAATATCCAATGGGGAGAAACTTACCTGGCGATTCCGTTGAAGGGCTAGTTGTCGTTGTCGTCGTCGCTAGGCGTATCAGAAGTTGCGCGCTGAGATCTGGGGGGCTGTCGTTAAGCGAGTTGTGGTATCCAGGGCTTGTGCCCTGGCCGTGATAAATCACGGGACCTGACCCGGCAGAGCTGGGCTTTGGAAATTACACTAGTAGTTTCACAGGTAACCAAGTCTAATTAGGAATTCTTATTAATATAGGTTTGACTATACTAAATATAGTAAAGTCATATACTGCAACTCACGCATCTATTTGCTAGTTATCATTTTTAATTTCTCACATAAAATTGGCTATGAGCAATTCAACTAAAAAAGCAACAACTATTGAACATTAAGTACATCGTTTTTTGGACTAGGTTTGACCAGCTAATCAGAATGCAGATATCAAAATTTCACTGACACCCATGTCAGATCCCCCGATCGTCTGTCTGCTTGACTCCTTCCTTGCCCCGCCCTCGATATATATTATATATATTGCTATTAAGGATATGACTAAGGCACCCGCGAATACTATTTTGCCAAGACACATTTAGCGCTATTCCAAATTAGGATTAGTTATATGTAAAACTACGAGTTTTACCTGGGTAATTACCGACGCCTACAGAGCTACATATCACGTGATAACATGCTCTAACAAGTACAGCAGTTGATTGATCGCCTTGCATAGACAAAATCACAACATCTATTTTAATGTAAAGCCTCAGTTCCATTCTGCATGGCATAATCTTAGTGATAAAAAAGAATTTTGTGTATCCATTATATTGTCAATTGGGTATTCCTTATAGCGCCAAACGCCTGTATAGAAGATGTAGCCGATATGCATGAGAATAAAGTGACATATGCCAAAATGCTGGTAACTATTGCTCAAATTCGTCTTTCCCTATGAACGCAGCCATAGGGTCTTCCGCAGCAAGACAGCTCCGCTTATACGACTCCAATTCCTCCTCCGTAACACCGGACTGTATTTCCATTAACGTCCTCTTTTTCGAAGTGGTCCTGGGCTCTGTCTGCTCTGTCTGTACTTGAGGACTCCGAGACACATGTGCATTAGCTGTCTCGGTGCTTTCATCGGGGGCTTCAGCTTTCTCATCATTCTCCATTAACATCAGCATTTTGTCTGCTTCCTCGAAGGCTTTCTTTCCATCTTCTCCGGTACAGTAGCTGTTCTTAACTGTTGAGAAACAACAAGCATAGCCCCACTCAAAGTTGTGCCACCAGCTTCCCCATACAGAAGTGTGATTATTGGTGAAGATATCTTCAGCATATTTTGACTTGGCCGCCTTTTTAGGTGCACCCTTGATAGCACCAGTTTCGTCATATTCTACGAACCTTTCGTTCTCGACGACCATTGTATGTCGAAGTGGAGTCGGCGTTAGATGTTCCTGTCCACCATACTTGTCCAATAGTGCTTTTCGCTGAGCTTGACGTTTATCCTCGCTTTCGATTTTCTCCTTTTTCCGCAAAATTTCCCCGGACGTCGGATTTGCTTGTAAGTGGATCTTTTGTGAGCCACGTTCTTGTGCTTCCCATGCGTACTTTTGAGCCTTCTCAAACTCGGCCGCATCACCGGAAGCGCGAACAAAATTCTCCTCCGCGACAAGAGCTGCGGCTTGATCATCCTGAGCACCCATATCAACCATTCGGCGTGTCTTAGGATCATATTTGGCAGAGTCAAGATCAAGATTCAGCAGGTATTTTGCAGTATCCTCCCGAATTCGTAGGTTGCGAGTGGCGGTGCTTTGCTGTCTTCCCATGTCAGATTCTTCGGCATATCGTGCCTCTTCCTGCGACGCATCTTCATCATCCGGGCCGCCATCTGTAATTGTCTTCTGCCCATTCTCGACATCTTTCTTCGTAGCCCGTTTCAGCTTTTCTAATTCTTCATACTCCTCTACAACTTGGCGGTATTCGCTAGGATCATAACCATTCCATCGATCTCTTTTAGCGTCCCATCCCAGATCAACATTTTGTACAACTTCGTCGGCTTGAATATCTTTGCCTGTCCACTTAGCGCCTTGTTTTCGAGGCCGACTTAGGCATTCCTTTGTTTTGTGTGTCATGGCGCCACAATTTTCGCAAGCTCCTTTTCGATATTTGGTGGCGGCTGGACCGACACGCTTTCCGCGCTCGTACCATTTCGACTGGTCAGTGGTCGACTTATGTAGACGCTGATGCTCTAAATAGTCGTTTGCGGAAGAATCATCGTCGATATAGAACGGCTTCTTGGAGATAAAGGATGGAATGTACTCATTGCGTTCCTTTGACGCCACATCGGCGGGCTTTCGTGACATTGCGTATAAGCGCTTGCGACTACTCCAGTCGACACGGGAATTGGAAAAAAAAAGAAAGACAGTTTCCTGATTGATGTATTTTGAAATATGATTGCTAGCCAAAGGTCTGCTGTTGGTGGTATCCGACACTCAAACTTCGGAGGTCGAGCTTTGAAGATACCGACAGGCGCATGTATCACGTGACTAGGCGTTCTTTCGCTCCTCGGGTCGCGAACTCTCTTAATAATTACTGCAACACGTCATACTCATCGCAAAGAGAGGGGTGAGATCGCAAGCTGACTAGGAGTGACAACCGCATTTGAGACTTATTGATATGAAGCATACCTTATCTTTGTACGATATGTTGCTGATAGCCTCGGCTGTCCCAACCTCAACTGATGGAGCCCTTTCAAGTGCGCCTCAATTGCGTGGATCATTACCAGGCGGTCCCGTCAGAGTTTGACCCTCCTCTTCCTTATAGAGAGGGAGCTGCTGTAAAGCAGTACAGGCCTAAAGTTCCTGTAATCAGAATATTTGGAGTAACGGAGACTGGTCAGAAAGTATGCGCCCATGTGCATGGCGCGTTTCCTTACCTTTACGTGGAGTACAGTGGTGGCTTGGATCCCGACAATGGTTAGTTTATTAGCCTACATTATTTCCCTTAATTTCCGGGACTAATTTGTTGCTAGTGGCATCAGCAATAAGGGACCTACATCTGTCAATCGATCATGCCTTGGCAGCAAGCTACCATCGCAACGCATATGATAAGAAGGTTGCTTTCGTCGCTCATATCACTTTAGTGAAGGGTGTTCCATTCTATGGATATCATGTGGGCTACCGCTTTTTCTTCAAAATTTATTTATTGAGTCCAATTTATACAACGAGACTGGCAGACTTGTTGCTTCAGGGGGCTGTATTGAAACGCCCTTTGCAGCCTTATGAAAGCCATCTGCAATATATCCCACAATGGATGTGTGATTATAGTCTGTATGGATGTGCATTTATGAAATGTAGCAAGGCTATGTTTCGGTCTCCTGTTCCAGAATATCTCGAACTTACGAATTTATCCCATCGTTGGCATGATCGATCAATACCACAAGACTGCATATCGGATGAATCAGCTCTCTCGAAGCAAAGCCATTGTGCACTTGAGGTTGATGTCTCTGTACAAGATATATTGAATCGACTCGATATTAGCCCTCGGCCGATTCATCATGATTTCAACGAGTTTCTGAACCCGATTGTTTCGAATGAGCGACTTGTCCCTAGCATGGCAGGGTTGTGGCAGGATGAAAAACACAGGAGGAAGAGAAGGCTTGGAATTGTAGATGCTGGTAGTAGTCCGTTTAGTCCTGAGGACTTGACTTCGCTATCAGCTAATCCAAGGAGCAACTCACATGGGCCATGGATCCGTGAGGATGAATATCGTCTATTGGTCTCCCAGATCGCCGACGAAGAAAAACGACAAAGAGGGGATGGAGGCATCACTTTCCATAACTTTTTTGGCAAAGGATCTTTCGAGGATAATATCAAGACCACTTTGGAGAGCGTTGAGGACTTTTTCGCGGACAAAAAAGAAACTTTAGAACCGCATGTGCATCGAAACCAAAGTACGGGTGTATTGGCGAGCGCTGAACATCATGCTCAAGACGATGCACCGTTGCTAGCGGAGTCTGATGAATATTCTTATTGCTCAGATGATAGTGAAGCCGCCGACTTACTCTCTGAAGATGAGAATGAGCAAGAAGAAATAGACTCCAATAATGATCCTCTGGATGACATAGATTTAATCCATCCTTTTCGAAAATATACGGAACAGGAGATTTGTCTATCCAATGATCCCATACAGCAACGCCACATTGAACCGACGAAAGCTGAACCTAGGGATGCATACGATCATAAGTCTGGTGCGCCAAATAAATTAAAGGAAATTAACTCCCGAGAAAATATCCGTTCAGATATTCAGAGAGCGAAAAATTCTCTTAAACGTTCAGGAAACGACTTTGCTCATCTTGACATCCCATCTAAGAGAATGAAGATTGTTGATGGTGGCTCCCCACAAGACACATATAGGAGGTCTCATGATGTACAACAACAATATTCAGATACTATCCGCGATATGGATGCAAAACCTAGAATCGGAGAGATGGCCGATACTGATATCCTGGAAGCGTTGTGTGCTACCGGGTCTTCCCAGTCGAAGATTTCAGATTCAAGGCTAGCCGTTCAGCCTAGAGGTGCCGGTAAAAGCAGTAGGCTCAGCTTTCCGATTGTTAAAGATCCAAATGATCCTATAACTATACTACGTCTCAGCGAGGAGGCTGGTTTCACGTCAAAGACAACACCTGAGATCTCAAGCAAAACAGATTCTACTCCAGATATTTCCAACAGTGCCAATGGATTAAAAAGCTCCCCGCTATTGGAGATCTCGGCTACAGAAACAAACAGTGACACCTCTAATACTTATATGTCACAAATGGGCCCCATGATTTATGAGGCATTCAATATACCTCTAACCAGTCGGATTTGCTGCCTGCGGCTGCCTTGCCCTAGCGCTAGCGAGATTTCATCTACACTCAATGATTACGGCTATCCGCCTGCTATTTACCAAAATGCCTTTTATAGTGATGTGGCTGATATTCCTGACCGACCTCGAGATTATGCCGGCAGAGAGTTTCGGTTGGGGGGAAATAGTATTCATTATCTGTCTGATTTTGATCCATCAGGGCGTTCACCTGCAATGCTGGGTGAGCAAAGTGCAACTATACAAGATAGAAATGACCAGGAAGAAACTGATCAGTACTTACGCGAACATTCCACCAGCAAAGTATGGGAATTTGCTCCTGTGCCTCCAAGTCGCTCAGAGGTCATAAATTGGTTTGAAAACGAAAATTCAAGAAACAAACCTCATGCTACGGAGGCAAAACGGTTTAAGCTAAAACCGGAAGTAAAGCTAAATGAGCTTTCACAGATTGAGGGACCTACACAGAAGAATGGATGTGGTTTCAAATATTCACAAAAAGAAAAATCAGCCAACGTTGAGCACCCTGCACAATATATGAGCATCATGAGCATAGAACTTCATGTCAATACTCGCAGCACGCTTGTTCCGAACCCAGAGGAAGACGAGATTTCTTGCATCTTCTGGTGCATACGTTCAGAAGATGAAGACTTTGATGTAAACAGTCACATTTCTGGTGCTCATGTTGGAATGGTTTTCCAAGGTGAAGTTGATAGACCGGATCTAAAAATCTCGAAGGCTATCAAAATCGACGTGGAGCATGAGGCAACAGAACTTGATTTGATCAATAGATTAGTGGACATTGTCCGATGGTATGATCCAGACATTATAACTGGATATGAGGTGCACAATAGCTCCTGGGGATATGTGATCGAAAGAGCCAGAAAGAAGTATGATTTCAATATTTGTGATGAGCTGTCAAGAGTGAAATCACAAGCTCACGGGAAATTTGGGAAGGATGCTGATCGATGGGGCTTCAATCATACCTCTTCTATTCGAATCACAGGGCGACATACGATTAATATATGGCGAGCAATGAGGAATGAGCTGAACCTACTTCAATACAGTATGGAAAATGTCGTGTTCCATCTGCTTCACCGACGAATTCCACATTACTCCTTTCGCGATCTCACAGAATGGTATCAGAGTGGTAAACCTCGTGACCTCGTGAAGGTTGTCAACTACTTCGCTTCTCGCGTGCAAATGAATATTGAGATTCTGGAGACCAATGAACTGATACCAAGAACCAGTGAGGAGGCGAGGTTATTGGGAATAGACTTCTACTCCGTTTACTCACGAGGGTCCCAATTCAAAGTCGAATCTTTGATGTTTCGTATTGCGAAGCCCGAGAATTTCGTACTTGTATCCCCGAGTAGGAAGCAGGTTGGACAACAGAATGCTCTTGAATGCCTTCCGTTGGTTATGGAGCCCCTGAGCGATTTTTACACTAGCCCACTTATAGTTTTGGATTTTCAGTCCCTATACCCTAGTATCATGATTGCTTACAATTACTGCTATTCAACCTTTCTTGGAAGGGCGCAGCAGTGGAGGGCCCGAGACAAAATGGGATTTATGGACTACAAAAGGCAGCCGGGGTTGTTAGAGCTGCTTGAAGACAAGATCAATATCGCACCGAATGGTATGATATATGTGAAAGCGGAAGTCCGGAAATCGCTTCTTGCAAAAATGCTTGCAGAAATACTAGAAACCCGGGTTATGGTGAAAACTGGGATGAAAATGGACAAGGACGACAAAGCACTGCAACATCTCTTGAATAATAGACAGCTCGCTCTCAAGCTTATTGCTAACGTTACATATGGCTATACTTCTGCCTCGTTTTCTGGAAGGATGCCTTGCTCTGAGATAGCAGATAGCATCGTGCAATCGGGGAGAGAAACACTCGAAAAAGCTATCGCTTTTATTCATTCTGTAGAGCGATGGGGTGCTGAGGTCGTATATGGAGATACAGACAGCCTTTTCGTTTATCTCCGGGGGCGAACACGAGATGAAGCTTTCAACATCGGAGAAGAGATCGCCAAGGCCGTCACAGAAATTAACCCGCATCCCGTGAAGCTCAAGTTCGAGAAGGTGTATCATCCATGTGTGCTTCTGGCTAAGAAACGTTATGTGGGCTTTAAATACGAACACAGGGATCAAAAAGAGCCCCATTTCGACGCAAAGGGAATCGAAACAGTCCGACGAGATGGTACCCCCGCAGAGCAAAAGATTGAAGAAAAGGCTCTCAAGATCCTCTTCCGAACGGCAGACCTAAGCCAAGTCAAAAATTATTTCCAAAAACAGTGCAACAAGATCCTACAAGGAATGGTCTCGATCCAGGACTTCTGCTTTGCCCGAGAGGTGAGACTTGGCACCTACAGCGAAAGAGGCCAACTGCCCCCTGGTGCCCTGATCAGCACCAAGAAGATGCTCGAGGATCCACGTTCGGAACCTCAATATGGCGAACGAATCCCCTATGTTGTGGTGACTGGTGCCCCCGGATCTAGACTAGTTGACCGCTGCGTACCGCCGGAAGCCCTTCTCTACGATCCCCAGCTAGAACTCGATGCAGAATACTACATCACTAAGAACCTCATTCCTCCTTTGGAACGAATCTTTAATCTGGTTGGCGCTAATGTCCGCCAATGGTATGAAGAAATGCCCAAAATCCAACGAATCCGCCGAGTAGAAGGATCAGCTGCCTTCACAAGGAAGGATCTCAAGAAGACGTTGGAATCGTACATGAATTCCTCGACCTGCATTGTGTGCAGGGCGAAGCTCCAAGACACAAGCACACCCGTGTGTCCCGAGTGCATGCAACAGCCTCATATCTCCTTGCTTGGTCTGGTCCGTCGACAGCGGCAAGCGGAGAAAAGGGTATCAGACCTATACCGTGTTTGTCGCTCCTGTATGGGTGTTGCATTTGATGATGACGTGAAATGTGACAGCAAAGACTGTCCTGTTTTCTATTCTAGGACCAGGCACTTGGCTAATTGGAGACATACCACGAGTGTTTTGGATCCGGCTGTTAAGTTGCTGCAGAATGAACGTGAGAGTACGTTGGAGTGGTAGTGGTAGCAGTATTATTTTGGAGTTTCTACAAGACCTGAGGCTAAAACTGGATGATGGTGCTGAGGTTTCTGGGTGTCTTAAAAGCCTCCATGGAGCAAAGAGTTCTGGATAATGGCACTACTGACAATTGGCGTTTATAACCCGATGTGGTAAGATACCATTTGGATTTAGTAAATCGGCTACTTGAACAATACGAAAGTTCTCGATTACAATTTGTCTCTGTTTATTTGGGAAGAAAAAAAAAAGAAAAGAAAAGAAAAGAAAACGGCCTTAAATTCTTAAATTACATGCTTATTGCAGTGCAATGTTCGTTGAATCTGATTTTCAATGACATTTCGTCAGAATCAGGCCATATCATTCTCCCATCTCGCTCAAGCATTGAGTATCATATTAAGCTTGTCGAGTGCAGTGGGCTCATGATCGTCTTCTTCGACGATTTCATCGCAGTCACTTCCAGCTTCTATGACTGAGTTGAATGTCGTTTCTATCTTCGGGGCGGCCTCTGATCCAGCGCGGCCACTATCTACTGGGTCGGTATTGAAATCGAGCAAATTAATGTTGCCTTCGATAGGAGGTGATGAGAGAGATGATGACGATGGCATCTGCGCTTCTGAGAGGCCGAAATCAACAAGTTGTTCTAGGGATTCGACAGTATTACTGTTCGCCCCCGAAATTAACTCCGATTGAGGAGGTGCACTTCCACTAATATCGTCGGAAAACATACCAAAGGGATCTTCTCGGTTCGAGTGGCCTATGCTGGGCTGGTTTTCCGTCTGTGAAGGGTGTCGATTTAAAGATGAGTTGTGGGAGTTTTGATACAATTCGTGCACTGTACTTGTATGCTCCGACAGCTCATAATACCCCATTGCAATTTTCCCTAGAACATGAGATAACACCCACGGAAAACTAATAAGAGGCAATTTTTCCATCTTGGAAACAGAGTTGACGAACATCTTGTCCCCATTCATATTCTCGTTTCGATATTTTTCAAGGGCAGTCGTCATTTCCTCATGCGTGATACGGTACATGGCAACTGCTAATGGAGCAAGTTGTTCAAAATTGCGACCACCGACTTTATTGTAACATTGTTTTCTAAACGATTCGCTGAGAGAAGATGAGATGCTTCCAATTTCTTCGTGGAATTTATAGTCCTTGCTCATATTGGAGTGGCTGAGAACGAAAGTAGACCAGACTTCAAATTCCGTCTTGATCTCATGCTGTGCCATGATCCGTCGCATTGCGCTGTCGTATTGGGATTTTAGCTCCCTAGAAAAATCGTAAAGTTCTTCATGAACTACTAGCTGACACCCGAGGATTCGCTGGTCAAAAGGGTTTTCGAGGCTGGGAATGAAGTCGACACGCTCAACGGCATCATACAGCTGACCGAGGATTTTCCTTGAATGGTAAATTTTCTCCTTTGGCTTATGAATTTTTTCCATAAAATGAGGCCATGAATGAGGCTCCAAGTTTCGAGTCATATGCGCTGGGATTCCTGTTTTGTTGTAGTCGACTGCATCTGAATGGAGTTGAGCAAGACGAATACACTTTTCCTCATTCACACCGTCTAGAAGACGATCTGCCCAAGCGAGGTGTGCGTGGGCAATCTTAGGGAGGCAATCGTTCTTCATGTAAGTAACGAAAAAGGATGTAATTTCGTCTACTGTCACGTCGTGATCTAGATCCCGCGCCTTGTTGCTTGTATACTTCATAGGAGCCCGAAACCAATCGTCAGGTATCAAATCTTGATCCCAAATCACAAGGTAGTCATCACCATCCAGGTCTCCACCAGAGCACATGCTTGCAACATCTCGATCGCCCGTCTGAGGCAAGACAACCACATCATGGAGATGGGCTAACTGTGGAGCGTTAACAGCTCTTACGACTCGGATATCTCCAGGGTGAAGCGATGGATTACGAGCCAAGATACAGATGCCTTCGATAATCTCGTATCTTCCACCATTATCGGGCCGAGATGTCTGAAGGAAGATCTCAGGCAGTGCCGCTATATGTTCATCGAGAGTAGCATCATTTCCTGGAATCTTGTGTGCATAGTACCCATTGAGAGTACCTGTCTCATCCATGCATCCCAACAAGGAAGCGCCTTTGTCAATGGCAATTTTGGCTTTCTCTTTCAGGTACTTAAGGTGCCAGGCTCTCCACAGACATAGGATGGATGTTATGAACGGCTCTTTTGCCCTTCTGAAACCATCATGGATCATCTGACTGACAACAATGGTCATTTGATTAGGATCCACATATTTTTTTAGCCAATAGATGGCTCTTGTGTCACTCTCCAGGGCTTCATCTAGGCCTTGCAGCATGGTTTTAAGCTTGGCAAGGAATATTTCGTCTGAGATACCAAGAGTAGATAGCACTATGATCAACTGCCTGTTTAAGGCTGCTATAGAGAATTGGCTCCATCGAATAATCTCTAACCCAGAATGGATGGCTGGAAATTTGTATTGACTTTTCCGAATATGCACCTCATGACGTTGAGCTTCCTGGGAGACAGTGAGCATGCCCTTGCAGCCTCCGAGCCGAAATTGGAACGCGGACGGAGGGTCGCCCGTCGGCGTCTTGATTTTTAACTCTGACATTGCCATTTGAGCGAGAAACCGGGAGATCCTACCGACACCATCGGAAAAAGTGTATCCATTGCGCTTAATATCATCGATGTGACGTACATGCACAGGACAGCCAGAAATGGCACGGGTTGTGGAAAAGCATTGGCCCAACCTTGCAGCGTGCTTGGCCACATTCCGTATGTCATTGAAGTGGCCCATCCATGCACGGATGTTAGCAGCGGTGAGGTTAGGTAGCGGCGCAAAGAAATAGGCGCCATGCTCCCGGAGCTGCGAGTTTCCAAATGCAAGGAACTCGTAACGCCTGTCACCAATGACAATTCCATTAGCCAACGCTCTCTTGATTCTAGTAAAAACTTCATCCATGGTGTTGTCAACAGTTGAATTGATGCGACCAAATAGCTTTTCATCTGTGAAACGGACTCGAAGGAAGCGATCAGCGTGTTCGATATAGTGCCTTATTATCCTGTTTGAAATTTCCACCGTGGGGGTGTTGAAGTAGATTGTGCTCGGCGTGATCCTGGCTGAGCGCATGTAACAACAGTAAGGTGAAGTTTTCACGTCTGTTGCCCCCCTAACGAATTTAAGATCGAATATTTTCATTGGATCATAGTAGACCTGTTTCTTAGCTGCCACATGCTCCAAGAGCTTTATGGATTGTCCTTCCCCAAGTTCAGAGAGCTTGATAACGAATCCACGGGCCATTGTGTACTCGTAGAGGTATCCATTTGATAGACAGACCTCGAGTTGGTAACGGACAGGGAATGGCAGATGGATATAATTCGGGTCAATCAATTCTTCCAGAGAAGAGACTGGAGCCTTAGGCATCTGCGTATCTGAAAGGTCGATCCATTTCCAGACCGGCGGCATCCGCTCTTTATGCTCGTCCCATTGAGTGAACCGATCTGTGTTGACGATCCTAACATTGTAGTCTTCAAGGATATTGTGAAGTAAGGTGAATTCGGTTCCTCGGCCAATGTTCTCCGAGTATTTTATCTTAAAAGCATTCCAACGACCTGTATAATGAATAAATAGTAAGCTAGGGCAAAAACTCGAAAGGAGCGAAGCACAAGGAAAAGTCCTGACCAATATCAATAACAGGGTTTTTCTTCCTCAGGCTAACAGGAAGAGAAGACAGCTCTTGAGGATTGTGAACAATGCATGTCTGTCGGAACCAAGTGTCCGAGTCTCTCCAAGTATTGTCATCTACGAAAGTAGTGGCAATGTTTGAAAGACGTCGATGGTAAGCCGGAGGTGATGAGAGTACAGTGAAATGAGATATCACCCCTGAAACAGGGTCTGAGGTTTGATAAATCTCAGCTAATTGAACAAAGGGGATTTTAAGACGATATTCCTGTAGCGACGTGTCGGATGAAACCGACTTGTGTCTGGCACTGAAGATGGGGAGCTGAAAACGAACAATCAACGTCCTATTCCTCACATCAAGGACTACAAAAGCCTGTTCGTTCCGTCCAGACCCAATTGTGCGCATTGGCAGGAGGGTTACTTCGTCAAACAAAACCCCAATATCCATAGACGAGATTGGTATTTTCTGGACCATTGAAGAAGCGTTAGAACTTTTCTATGAGTAGTCTGTGAATCAAACTGAACAATGAGGCCTACCACCTCAGCCGGATAATGAACGTCCGGATTCGTAGGACTAGGGATCCGGAGGTCAGGACGTTTGGTACTGAGAGCAACTGTAATAGTGAATATCTTCTTATTGGGGAGTTTGATGGTATATTTCCCCTTCGTCCAGAAGTCTGTGCCAGGCGGCGGCCTACGCAATGGTCAGTTACAGAGGCAGAAGTAGAGGTTTCAAAAACATACTTAAAGCGTATTCTCCCCTTAGGCTCCCGTTTCCCATGGAAATCCTCGAACAGATCAATGGAAAAGACATGACCCTCTTTCTGAAATGCCTGCCAGAGGTCGAATGTGGTCGCTTCGTTAGGTACGTTCGAAATGTTTACGGCGACCGAGTCCCAAAACCTCCATGGTGCAAGTATCTGTGGCGGCTGTTGTTGGGACGTATTCTTGCACTGACGAGCAGAACTTTTGGCTGGAATAGCTCGGTTCTGAGGTGGCATCTTACTAGAAGATTGAGAGAGACCATGGACTGGGAAGAGACTGGAGGAAAACGTGGAACAGATGGAAGATGAAGAAAAAGGAATAGGAGATGGAGAACGAGAGCTCGTCCCAACTTCTCGGTGAGGATGGCTAGTCTGTTGAATCCTAGTAGGCTGGAAAGGGCGGTGGAGTGGAGTCTGCTGAGGGATACTGTGCTGGATAGTGGTCGACAAGCCGTTCACTATATCGGCGCTTTTCCAGTGAAGGAAGAGTTTAGATTCCTGCCTCACTTCTAGCTCACTTGAAGTGATAGGAAGAATTAGCGGCAAACAGTCTTCAAGCTGGCTTCTATTTTCACTAATAAATATATACTCCATGTCCAGGACTTGAGAAAGACTTATAGAGTTCTCTTGCTGCATTTTTGGGGCCACTTATGTGATTTCTTGTTCTTTCAGTGAGTGACGTCGTCTTTCAGAATATGATTATTCCAGGTAATGCAGTACAGAAGAGAGGGATAAAATGTAAGGCATATAGCTGGTAGTAGGACAAAAGTGGGTTGAAAGGGAGTCCATATAAAGAGCCGTAGAAATGTGCGATAATATATATTGTTTAAAGGGATCTTTTCTTCCCATCTAACACTATGGGCGAGCATGTTTTGCAGTCCTGCAGACTCCCGAAACCAGGTCTTAAAAAAGAAGAAAAAAGAAAAGAAAAAGAAAAAGAATGAAAGAATGAAAGAATGAAAGAAAAAAAGGTCCAAGAGTATTTACTAGGAAGAAGCCTTGAAAGAGGGCCACTACCTTAATAATGATGCATGGGTTTGAAGGGCTGCTGGGTGCCTGCCTACCATAGAACACACAAATAAAATATACTTTCCATGGCAATTACTATTATCTACAAGAACAAATACAGAGTCTAAATGCCTCATGGTAACCATTCCAAGAGATAGTTATATACTCTTCTCTAGCGATAGCTAGACAGCACCGAAAATCTCCTGGATCAAAACTTTCCTTCACTCTTTCCCGATTGCAGATACGTAGGGAATACTAGTAGTAAATGACTCCCACTTTTCCTTTCCTATTCACAGAGAGGCATTGATAAAGATAAAGTAGTTAAAGGACCTGTAAAAATTAAGTTATAAGCTCAGTGATAACATCACAGGCTGAGTTAGTAATGCATGATATTATAACTTCTCCCACTACTTAACAGAGAATTTTGTCTACCAGTAAATGGGAGTATGCAATTTTCATTTTGAACAAGTTATTTTTCTCAGAAGGATCGTGGTTTAGGAAGGATAATTAGGATGAATAATGTATTCTGATGTGAACTGGAGAGGGATCGTTAGTGGCCCAGTCGAGTTTAGTATATGCTAATAGCAACTGTGACATGGAAGAAAATGGGTGCTCCAAGAACCTGTCCCCAGCTCGGCGATGATTTACAGGGATCCTTTTTTTTTTTTTTTTTTTTTTTTTTTGTTTTTAACACAACGGCCGTCCTAACAGTGCAAATTTGATAGATTATTAGTATGGAATGAGAAGAGACTGTAAAGGGAAAATTTTGGAATTCTTGGAACAAATTATTTGGGGTTTGAATATATACTGACAGGAGACTGGCGGATATCCAATGTGGTCATAACTAATAAAATCAAATAAAAAAAAAAATAACTCCACGAAACATAATCATCGTTGCGTCCCAGGCGAGGAATGTGGTTGTTTACTTCGGATAGAGAGGTGCTTGTAAATAGGAAATCCTTCGAGGGCTCCAAATCTATATCTAGGTCAATGGCTTGCAGACGATTCTCATCGGCAATCTCACAAAACTGGCTTGAACATCGCTACGCTGACTGGAGTGCGGTGGGCTGCTGGTTTGGAAATTTGGCTGGCTGTTCTGATTTGCATCACCTAGGGCTTTCCGCTCCCGCCGCTTCTCGTGCCTCTCCGAGAAACCGAATACCTTGGTTTCTTGTCGGATGCACGAGAAGGTGCTGCTGGTAACTCGGAGAGAGAAGGCATTATCTCGGGATCTTTTAGGGCTACGTTCGACATCATGAGACAATATGGGATCAAACGACGTCCCTAGTTGTTCGTCGCTTTCGGTTTGTGTTTCCTCCCCCAATATATGCGTTTGCTGCTCCATTCCGGTAACCTGGGATGGCCCTGGTGATGACCTGGATCTCTGTTGTTTACCGGAAGGCTTCGAGCTTGCAGCATCTGTTTTGAAGCCCATTATGCTCATTGGTCAGCAAATATGCTCTTGTGCTTCTGAAAACTCCCGTCCCTTGGCAGCTCGCTGATCGCGCATATGCTGTATCTGAATCAATTATTAGCCCATAACGTTGAACAACTCTGGCAAGTATCGTTTCTGTCTCTCCCCCTCCTATTTATTTATTTATTTATTTTTTGTCTTTCTTTCAATTGTTCTCACCTTTTTTTCTAGGGACTGAATCCTCTTATCCTTCACATGAAGCTCCTTGGCGACGTTGCATGCGGAAGCTTGCATATTGGCCTGTAATGAAGCGATTTCTTCTCCTTGCTTTATAGACTACAAGCTATTAGACTTTCTGGTCAAACTAGAAGAAGGGACACTCTCAAAAAACTATACCTCTGCGGTTAGATTTGAAATTTGTATCTCAGAGTACTCTTTCAGCGTATCAATCTCTTTCTTATATTTCCTTCCGGCTGACAGAGTGTGGTCCTGAGTTTGTCGGACTCCCGGTCTTCACCTAGCTGGATGATCTTTTAGTGTATGGCTTTTAAAGAAAAAGCAGAAATGAATATAATAGCAAACATGAACAATATAAATCTGTCATACCTTGATTTGCAGAATTTCTTCTCAACTCTCCGCATTCTCCTTCGAAGCTAGAAGTCGCCCAATTTCTTCGTCTTTCTGGACTGAAATTTTCTGGTTTTCGTCAATGCGACCCTGCAGTCTGGATACTTCCTGCTCTAGGGACGTTACTTGCTCAAGGGCAAACTCGAGACCATGTCTTCTGCTTCTGATAATTTTCCATTCATTTGTCTTTGCACCAGGATGTGTTCTTGTAATTCGTCCAACTGATTGTCCTTCTCAGTCAAAGAAGCGATGAGTTCTAGCTCTCTAGTTCTGGCTTGCTCTCACTCACGGCTAGCCATTTCTTGCGATTGGAGCCTCTTGTCCTCTAGCTCCTTTCGTGCTGCATTAAGGTTGGCCGATAACTCTTCGATGCGGCTAGATGCAGTTTCAGCGCCTGCCTCTAGATGAGACACATTTTCACATACTTCAGACATTATACTAGACACCTGCTGTAATTGTGGGTATAGTTCGTCATTCTGGCGCTTTAGTTCCTTGACCTCAAGAGACGCCCTGTTGTGTTCTTTCTTAATAGCTCTTAAGGGAGCTTCGGTGTCATTGCAGCGACATTCGAGATCATGGCATATTTCTTCTATCTTTCGCATTATATTATCCAGGGATATTCGTAAATTTAGCTTGAGTGTGTCAGCTATTTCAGATCTCCAGTCGCGCCTTCTATTAGGCGACTCATGAATCTCGAGAGAGGCAAAAGCATTTTGAAATTAAGCGGCTTTATTTCCCAGAAACGGCAGCTTGTTTTAGGTGCGATGTACCAGCTTTAGATAGAAAAGCTCCGAAAGTATCTATTCTGGCTTCGTAAATGGTTTGATGATCTGTGTTTGTTGAAAGCACTGAGTGAAGATAGAAGGTAAACAGTTCACCTAGTATATAATTTGCCTTTGTCATCAATGGATCAAGGCATATGGTAAAGCCCTGGCAGTCAGGTTTGAAGAAGCTCCTTGGGAAGCTTTCGATCATCTCAACCATGGCTTCCTTGAACTGTTGCATCGCCATTTCAGCAACTACTGAACGGAAAATTTGGGAGTCTAAAGTCTGTAAGCCACAGATAATTTATCTTGCTACCTGAACTCTCGCTATACTGGGGATGTGCGCATTCTGATTTGGTTTTGCCGCAAAAAGGACGTAGTTCAAGGGATCGACCATTGTAGATTGCCCTGAGCAGACCTTCGGCAAGGTTAGAGTAGATGTCATTGCCAGGCAACTGTATTCATACAGCATTTGCCACAACTATCCGAGGAATGTATTTCCGTGGTAGTACTTCCAGCATTGTGTACTCTACTCAGACAGGAGCCACTGAACGGAAATCACCGGAATACTACGAGGCAATGCAGAAGCCGGGACAGGAGAAACTAGGAACGTCGTGCCCTTCAAGAATCATTAATAGCCTGTTTATGACGAGAAAGAAACTCACCAGAATTTGCACGTCACGGTCGATCCCATTTCTTGTCACTTTCTCGCAAAGCTTGGCAGCTTTGGACGGGTTTACGCTGATCCAATATTCTCTCTGCTCCTGTTCCACACTGTCACAAATCTCAATCGCTATGCGGATACTCCTTGCCGACTGTTGGGCAGTTAAATTACTACAGCCGGAAGAACAAGCAAGAATTACGCGTAGAACAACAAGTTCCAACGTCTTCAGGACCCGTTTGGGGCCAAAGAAATACTTGATATTTTGTAACCACGGTGGGAGTTGATCCTGGTTGTTTTGGTCATGAGCGGTATTAGACGATACAATTTGCCCAAAGGTTGCAAGACAAAGAAGATTTTCTGTTTGATCATGAAGAGTGCGTAGCGTCTTTGTTAGCTCCATCTGAAGACTAGACATTGTCTCTGAAGGGATCTCATATAGAACTATTGAGGCAGTTTGTAAACCAGTCATAATCTGGTAAAGGGGCCATATCGATTTGGCACACGGGTTATCACCAGTAGAATTGATGAGATTTGTAACAAAGGGTGGGAGGAAAGCGGGCACAACAAAATCTGGAGGAAGAAAATAACATTGCAACGCATGCCGAAAATATACTGTATAGCCAGCACCATGGCAATTGCATTAATCTTAAGGTCCACTCAATGTTCCACATAATGTAGAAAAAATGGAATCAAAGAGATTGATAGGTGCTCACCTCCGTTTCGCCATGTTCAGTGGCTCTCCGGAGGAACTGGTCCAATATCCATGGATAGCGGACTAGCACAGCATTGCGGAAATTTTCCACTCGAGTTATATTGTGTCAGATCTGGCCTATATAGAGACACATTTAAATATGCCTACCAAGGGGCGCAACTAAATGCAAAGCATAACTAGAACGAGATAGGCCATCAACGACAATGTGGGCTAAGGCTCCAAGCTGACATGGCTTCTGAGCGGCCCAAGAGGAGAGAGAAGCGGTAGAAGCATGTTGAACCAGCTCATGCAATTCCTAAATATCGAAATCGACCGTCAGATAGTGCACAGCACTGATCGTTAGCAGGGGAATACCTGTAGTGAGTGTGCATATTGAGCTGTCACTAGACGCTCCACTTCACACCCGAGCCTGGAGAGCTTATCTTTCATAGATGCGGCTAAAACCTCATGGTTTAACTCCATGTACCAAATGGGGATAATGGCTTTTTTGACCACGAGACTGATGCTACGGTCGATCGCGTGGTACGTAAGTTGGTCGAGTTAGAGCAAATTGATGTTTGAGACTGCCGTTTCCCCATCAACTGATCAACCCACACAGGACCGATGCAGTTCTCTAATCAATTTCCAGGACTTTCCCACTTTTCCTTTAGATTTCTATTTGTTTAACGTATAGGATACATCAAATCTTAATCAACAGGCAGAAAGAAAATTCAGTATGAATGTGCTACGGTACGCTGTCTGGGAGATAGAAGTGCCAGAACAACATCGGTGTATTTTAAGGGCCCGTAAATAAATATGCTATCTTTGCTCATTTGTAGGCTTTTACTGGCCATGTATATTTGGATATCCTCAAGAGGGATAAAACGTGTATATAATTCCATTGCTATAGGATAGTTGGTATAAAGCATCACCAACAAAGAAGGGAATACCAGCTATCCCTGCCAAGCCTATGGCACTAATTCCGCACTGTCGGAGTTCAGACCGATATTTACGAACGCAACATGGATACATAGTTAAGCTGGGGGCCCCAGGACTTACTTCTAGGATTATTAGGGTAGTTTCGATTGTTTATCACTCTGTACCGCCTACTTCTTACTCGGCCGAATTCCGACTCCAAGCGCACCTCCTCATTCTTAGCTTCGATGGCGTGTCACCTTACCGCTGACACTCCCTTGCCGTTGTGATCTGAAATAATGCTGAAGCGCCGCACTAGTAAACCTGTAAGCTGTAGCGGACCGTAATCATTGCATCGTCTCTTCCTTTACCCTCATAATTCTATCAGATCTTGCTTTTGACCGTTAATGTTGCTTGACCATGCGGACCTTATCTCGCTTCCCTCGGGGCTTCCCCGCATATCCTTGCGCACTCCATCGCCGGCCTAATCTCTCACAGCCACGTCTTCTCCCATACGTCCAAGCCGCTCGGTGGAATGGCACCACGTCAAAAAGCGATAACAACGGTAGTAATTCTAACTCCTCTGGGTTTAATTCGAGTCTTTGGGCTTCCGGCCGAACGCTTCTCGTTTCCGCTTTAGCTGCGAGTATTGGCTATGGACTTGCCTCTTCTAAACAGCCACCTCAGGCACAAAAGAATACCAAACAGCCCGAATATGGATCAGCACAGGATTTTGACAAGGTACGGGATGCGTACATGCATACTATGGGTGTGCAGTGCTAATTAGCGACCCCGGAGTTATTAGGCCATCGCCGAATTAAGCGCAAAGCTAGGAGAGGACGTCATTAGTACAGATGAAGATGATCTACAGCGACATGGGTTTTCAGAATGGTCAAGTATCAATGCGGACCGACTGCCGGTTGCAATTGCCTACCCAAGCAGTACAGAGGATGTCTCGGAGATTGCCAAAATCTGCCACAAGTACAGGATGCCAATGGTCCCATACTCTGGAGGATCCAGCCTTGAAGCCAATTTTTCCGCTCCTCATGGTGGCTTGACAATCGACTTCGGCCATATGAACAAGATAATTGAGCTCCACGAAGCAGATATGGACGTTGTAGTTCAACCGTCTATCCGATGGATGGAGCTAAACGAGAAAATTAAGGACACCGGCCTCTTCTTTCCCGTTGACCCCGGCCCTTCCGCTATGATAGGTGGTATGGTTGGGACAAACTGCAGCGGGACAAACGCAGTGCGATATGGTACTATGAAAGATTGGGTCATCAATCTCACGGTTGTTCTAGCAGATGGTCGTGTTATGAAGACCCGGATGCGCCCGCGGAAAACGTCCGCGGGCTATAATTTGACAGGCATGTTCGTGGGATCCGAGGGGACCCTTGGTATCGTCACCGAAGCTACTCTCAGATTGGCCCCGATTCCGGAAAAAACTCACGTTGGTGTTGTTTCCTTCCCCACAATGCATGATGCTGCATCGGCCGCCATGCAAGTAATAAGGAAAGGCATCCAAGTACAGTGTATGGAGATACTGGATGACGTTCAGATGGATGTGATTAACCGTGCTGGCGGCACGGGGAGGGAATGGAAGACATTACCCACTCTCTTCTTTAAGTTCTCAGGCACAAGTGCTGGTGTTGCTGATAGCGTCAACTTGACCACAGAATTGGCCAAAACGAACAATGCTTCATCTTTCGAGTTCGCCAAAGATGAGCAAGAAGCGCATGACTTATGGTCCGCCCGGAAAGAGGCGTTATGGAGCATGATGGCGTTGCGAAAGGAGGGATCTGAAGTATGGTCAACTGATGTGGCAGTGCCAATTTCAAGGCTACCTGATATTATTGGTACGATATTTCTCCAGTTTTGCGTCAACTTCTTACTCATTTCCCTAGATATCTCAAAGAAAGAACTCGATGACCTTGGTCTTTTTGCCAGCATCCTCGGACACATCGGTGACGGAAATTTCCATTCAAGCGTCATGTTTGACCGCAAAGACCCGGCAGAAAGAGAGCGTGTTGAGAAATTTGTTTACAACATGGTTGACCGGGCCCTCGAGATGGAGGGGTCCAGCACGGTAATCATTTCCTGATTCCTATTTGTATCATGCAGCGCGCCTGACCGCGAGTAGGGTGAACACGGTGTTGGCTTGGGCAAGAAAGGGTCTCTTAAGAAAGAGCTTGGACCATGTACAATTGATGTTATGCGCAGCGTTAAAAAGGCTATGGACCCTCACTGGTTGCTGAACCCTGGGAAAATATTTGATTATGAGGACGACGCATAATAATTAATTGAGGTGGGCTACGCAATAAAAAGAGGCTTTGCATATGTTCGCAGTGTTGAGTAAGTGGTACTTATATGTATCATACTAAGAGCCATTGACGGTCTAGACATATTGTACGCAGATCTCCCGTAATAGACGGCCTTCTCAGAAAGCATTGTTTGGACTGTATCTGGGATCTGTAAATCTCATGAGGTTGTTCACAGAGTACCGGAGTAGACTGGACCGAAACGAGAATGGACGAAAACGGGAGAACTTTTAGCCAATGAACATCGTCGCGCATGCAACATGGCGGCTGACTCATCACATGGTGAACCCCTCAGCGATATCGCAGTTGCCGTCCTGAATGTCACAAGTATTCTTCCCAAAGACCATTATCAACACTTAGGTGGTGAGTACAATCCTCTGTTTATGTTGTCTTCTGTATAGAAAATTGCTTTATTTTTTGGGTTCTGTGCCCTAGGCCTTAGAAAGCCTCTCAAAGCACGTGCGCGTTCACTTGCAGACACTTTAACTGCCTTCTGAGTCATTTCTCCTTTGCAACAAGAATGGCATCTCGTTATTCTTCAATGCCTGTATTTGCTTGCTATGTTTTACCAGGATATATCTACTGAATTTGAGTTGCAGCGGGCTATTCGAGACTGCTATATTAATGATGAACCTCTAGGCGTGAGTTCTTTGACTCAGTTGATTCACCCATTAATATGACGTCCTTTTCAAAGAAGAAGTGCGGTATGAATACAAACGAGAAACACATAGAAGACAATCTTGTGCTCACATAGAATAGGTGTCCTTGGTGCCACTGGCTCCGTAGGCCAAAGGTTCATCCTCTTGCTCGCAGACCACCCATTCTTGGAACTCTACGCTCTCGGAGCATCGAGCCGCTCCGCCGGTAAAAAGTACAAGGATGCTGTGAAATGGAAACAAACTACGGCGATGTCCGAGAAGCTCAGCAACCTTGTGATACGGGAGTGCAAGGCGGACCAGTTCAATGACTGTGACCTTGTCTTCTCGGGGTTGACCAGCGATGTTGCGAGTGAAGTTGGTACGGGAAATGGCTCTGGAATGAAAGCATATTACTAATGAACATCTGTAGAGATGGAATTTATTAAAGCCGATATCGCCGTCTTTTCCAACGCAAAGAACTACCGCAAGGACCCGGTCGTACCCCTCGTCGTCCCTACCGTTAACCCTCAACACCTGGATTTGATTCCCCACCAAAGGAAGCACTTCGGTTTGAAAAAGGGATTCTTGGTTTGCAACTCCAACTGCGCGGTCATTGGCATTGTTATCCCATTTGCAGCGCTGCAGGCTAAATTCGGTCCTGTCGAAGAAGTGGAGGTCTTCACTGAGCAGGCTGTATCTGGGGCTGGATACCCTGGGGTGGCCAGCATGGACATCATGGACAATGTCATTCCATTCATTAGCGGTGAAGAAGACAAGCTAGAAAACGAGGCCCAGAAGATTCTAGGGTCTTTGAACGGGGATGCTACTGCCTTCGAAGAGCAGGCTGGTCTCAGAATTGGAGCTACATGTACCCGGGTCGGGGTTACTGATGGCCATATGGCATTTGTATCACTGCGATTCAAGAATCGTCCGGGCCCCAGCGCTGAGCAAGTTGTCCAGGCGTTGAGAGAGTATCAATCGGAGGCGCAGAAATTAGGTTGCCCTTCGGCGCCCAAGGAGGCAATCAGAGTGTTCAACGAGCTGGATAGACCACAGCCTCGACTTGACAGAGATATCTGCGGTGGATATACCGTCAGCGTGGGGCGAGTACGTAAGGGCGCGCAGGGTGGCTATTTCGACCTCAGGTTTGCTGCGCTCTCGCACAACACCGTCATCGGCGCTGCAGGATCGTCCATCATCAATGCCGAGGTTGCCGTCATGAAGGGCTACATTTAATGAAAGGCTGAAAAAACTAACGATGGGTTGAATACCAAAGGTGACGAGATCTAGATGTATATGAAAATAGACGTAATTCTACCTACATACTCCGTAAAAGAGAAATAGTTAACTTAGCTTCTCGATTAACTTAACGTAATCGGTAAGCGAGCGCCGCATTGAAGGCGAGCGCCGCACTTCTGTACTCCATATAAAATGGCACTCTTTGTGTAAGGGGCTAGAGCCCCTCAGCCTACTCGGGCCCTCAGCCCTCGTGTTTCCTTTCTCCTCGCCTGCCACATGATTAGTATATTGATTAGTACACTCTATCATGTGACTTCCCCCCCCTTACTTCGCAATCGTCTCATCGCTGTTTCCTCTTCTCTTTCCTCTTCGACGATTCCTTTTGTATCCACCCTAGTTATTAGGTTATAGAGGTTTAGCCCTTGACACTTTGAAACCTTAATATCTCAACCACCAGTAGATATAGAAACATCTTGATAAGATAATAACATATATATGAACTCTAAAAGGGTGTTTTTATATTTTCATGTTTTTAAATAGTTTTCTTTTCTTGGCTTTAAATACTAGGACAACGAAAAGTATAAAAAATACAGCGGTAATTTATCTTACCTGGAGAAATATTCATTCCGGAAATTTCTCTGCTTAATATATATATACACAGTATTATATTATACTCTATATTAAATTTTCTGCCCTCTAGGTGCTTTATTGTTGAGATATTAGACCCTCAAAAAGTGTCATTTTATATGGAATACAGAGGTGGGGCGCTCGCTTCCCGATTACGTTAGTTAAGGTATCTTTTCTTATGTAATCATATGGCAGTTGGAGCGACCATACCCGAATTGGATACTAAAGGTGGGACCTAGAACAGGACTAGCGCTAGGGCTTATCGCACAAGCACTCCCGCTAAGCGAAAACTGCTGAGCCGCTGGATATCTTGTCGACTGCTCAGGCCTGATCTTGATTATCTTTTCTTCTTCGTGATACTCCGACAACTAACCGGGTTCAAGTCGACAAAACAGCCAAGATGCCTCGCGGACCGTAAGTTAGATCATCTCCATTCTTTTATCCAATTTTATCGAGGGATTTTTGCCTTGGGAAATTATGTTCTCCAAGGTAGTCTGTTGCAATAGGGAGATATTTTCTAGGACACGAGACTGACTTATGATGATCCTGCAGTAAGAAGCACCAGAAGCGCCTTAGTGCGCCCTCTCACTGGCTCCTAGACAAGATGTCCGGAACCTATGCTCCCAAGGCCTCCCCCGGTCCTCACAAGCTCAGGGACTGCCTTCCCTTGATCGTCTTCATTCGCAACCGGTACGAACTTCTGATCGATCGCAAGAGATGGCGAGAGCCAATCGACTGACATTTTCGCTGTAACTAGTCTGAAGTACGCCCTGAACGGCCGTGAGACCAAGGCTATCATGATGCAGCGCCTCATCCAGGTCGACGGCAAGGTCCGCACTGACCCGACCTACCCCGCTGGTTTCATGGACGTCATCGGCATCGAGAAGACTGGCGAAAACTTCCGTCTCATCTACGATACCAAGGGCCGCTTCACCGTGCACCGCATCCAGGCCGAGGAAGCTGAGTACAAGCTCTGCAAGGTCAAGCGTGTGCAGCTCGGCAAGGGCGGGATCCCATTCTTGGTTACGCACGATGCGCGAACGTGAGTGAATGCTCTCCACAAGTTCCGTGTCATTCAGTCGTTGGACCAAGCTTTGGTTGATCGGCGGAGGACGAGAGAACTACCTACTGGACTTTTTTGCTGGACCCAGTAAGGAGGTGCAGATTTGAACAGTATGCTAATGTGTGTGATGTTACAGCATCCGTTACCCCGACCCTGCCATCAAAGTCAATGACACCGTGAAGGTTGACATTGCCACCGGCAAGATCTCCGACTTCGTCCGCTTCGACACTGGTGTTGTCTGCATGGTCACTGGTGGTCGTAACATGGGTCGTGTTGGTGTTGTCACCCACCGTGAGCGCCACGATGGAGGTTTCAACATTGTTCACATCAAGGACGCTATTGATAACTCCTTTGCCACCCGTGAGTCCAACGTCTTCGTCATTGGACAGGAGAAGCCCTGGATCTCTCTGCCCAAAGGTAAAGGTGTTAAGGTACGTAATAGCTCTTTAAAGCCACTTTTCTGTACGTGTTGGAACCACCTACTAACTGATCCTTTAGCTCTCCATTGCTGAGGAGCGTGACCGCCGCCGCGCTTATACTAACTAAGTATGGGCTGGTAAGTGAAGTCAGTTATTGGCAAGTAATAAAAAGCCCTAGATATCTGCTGGAGACGACGTCTTGTCTAGCTTGTGTGGGCCTGTATGACTCCGGTTATAACGATTCTTATGATGCGTTACCTAGAAAAAAAAGTTTTGTCTACAGGACGCATAATAAGGCCTGATTGTGTCGATTTCCTATCATTCCGTAGTTATCGCACCATAGGAAGCAAAACGGGAGTGGGATGTCTTCGAAGTTCAGTGATACCTCTATTGATTTTAAGCGATTTGAATTATTAGTGTTTTGACAGGTCGATTTCCTGATTCGTAGTTTTTTCCATGATGACCGAGTCAGAAAAAGAAAAGAAAAAAAAAAAAAAAAAAAAAATTCAAAGACCGAAAGGTAAATAAGGCACCCCGACGAATCGAAGCCATTCATTATGTCCACGTAGGACTCGGGGTATCAGTGCACACTCCTTGGTGGTCCTGGTTCATGCCCATCGCATCTTACCTCTCACATTTCCCCAACCGATCATCGTCACTCCCCCCAACCCCCTGGTCACGACTCAGTGATATCGATATAGATTAAGAGGGAACAGAGGCGCGACGGGATCGAGCCATGGAATGCAGTAACGAGGATTCGTCCGAGAACTGTAAGTCATTCTGAATATATACTACGGTCACAAGTGGGAGCATAACACGTCCAGCGTTCTACAGGTTCATCCCGGGTATGTCTCTGTTAGTTACTTAGATCGTTTCCTCCCGTTATGGAGGGGGGATCTATTTCCTCGTTCGGGAGAGAACTTACTTGCAAGCCACATACCGTACATCAGTTATTAGTCGACTGTCTGTTCCCAAGTAAAAGCACTCTGTATCTGTCGTAAAGACCTCCCTTGACCGATTCCTGGAATAGAATCGACCTCAACAGCCGCTGAATATGCGGCACGAGGCCGTTGGTTGCATGGGGACTGGACCTTAGTCGTCGAGACGTGCTGGGCCTGGACCAGGACCACTTGACAAGTCATCCTTGTCTTGTGGAGCGATCTTGTGTGTGGCTCGGGCCGTCTCTCGTTGTGATCAGTAGTGGCGGTAAATCAGACTATTAACTTCAAGATACTCACTCGGGTAGGTACCAGAGAGAGCTTGGAATGGTTCTGTTAGTTTTGTGTCCCCCTTCCGAACGAAGTAGCACGCCTTTCAAGGGAGAAAAGAGGGCTCGAAGTAGATTCTGTCAAGCAGGATTCCGATCGACGGGAACCGCTGCCGACCAGCTGAAATGGTCAAGTGGAATTTTGCATACTGTACCACTATACCTGTTCCTGTCTTGAAGACTTAGGGCTTAGGCCTTCCTTGCTGGCTTACAAATTAATAATAAATAGTTAAATAGAAAAACAAAAACCACCTACATCTTCGGAAATGGCGACGATCTCTCGACGGTTTCCTGACCACCTTCGATTCCTCCGCTGAGTGGGCTAGGGAAAACTAGCTTTGCATTTATAACATTAAACTAGCCACGGAGTAGGCGTGGTTAGAAGAGTTCTCAATGCAGACGGCAGGTAGTGATGCACCAATCTAGATCGTTCCATTGAGGTAGATATCAGATATCATATACAGGTACGACGTAGTTCTCTCTCTATTGGGCTATACTCCGTAGAACCAGCGATATCCCAGTTATACTAAATATTAATTCCTTTGTGACACAGACTACACTACACTACACTTACTATATACGCTGTTCTCAAGGAGATGGATATTAATATACTGACGAAACTGAGCAGCATCTCTTATTTTGTTTCTACAAAGGGGATGGATCGTCTTTGCACACTGCCACACTCTCTCTTCCAACTGTACATTTACTGTATGTTTATGATGCACAGCAAGCAAGCAGGTTGGTCAACCGTTGTTCCCGCAGCATGCGCCTTCCAATAAGTAGTAGTTCATTGTCGGTCTGTGTGGACGGTTGTCCGAGTCCGTACCCCAGCAAAGAAGAATGGAATAGTAGTATTTACGGAGTACTGTACCAATGCGCTTGAAGGGACAGCTCACAGCATTCATCGTTCTGCAGAATTGGGGGGATAGGTATGCAGAGGTAGCTTGTTGTCATGGACAATAAGTTTGGAACGGGATAGAGGCTAAAAGTTGGATGAAAATATAAATATAAGATACAGATTTTTTTTCTAAAGAAACAATGAAAACAAACGGGGTTGTACAGGACCCTAGCCTCCGTTAGTCGGCCAGGTTTCGTTTTTCTTTTTGGTGCCTTCAACCATTGTGTAAAGAGCCGGCGAATTTCCCGTCCTGTGGCAGATTTTGGCTTCATGCATCGCAACACGGACCATCTCTGTGGTGGTCACTAAATTCGGCAATCATATCTGCAGCTCTGCATCTGATGGCAAAATAATTATTCTGTAGCCTTGATTATTGTGATCAAATCAAATCAAACAAAATAAATTAAAAAAGGGAGAAAGACAGAACCACGACGATGCTTAGTGAGGGGAACTCCGACTAGGGATGTCCCGTACGCCGCAGCTCCAGCAGTGGGTTTTCCATTTTGCCTCCGTCAATCCTCAACTTGCAAAAAGTATCAACGGGTCAGTCTAATTCGACGAAAAAGGAACATCGAATAAATCAGTCTATCATGATTTTCTAACGATGGCGTCAACCGATCAGCAGACCCGCAAGGCCAATGATCTTACACCAGCTACCGAGAAATAGATTGATTGATTGATACAAAGGATGAGCCGTTATTTCACTGCCACGAGCAGTGAGACTTCTGTTGCTCTCCTGGTTCTGGTTTTGTGGGACGGGATCCACCCGGGCCCAGCCGTATCCTCGTTTCCCTTAATTTTATTTTATTGTCTTCGATCGTGAGACGCAATCGAGCATGCTAATCGTTTATCACCCAGGGTCTCAAGAATGAGAAAATCGAGAAGGAATGAACCTCCATTTGTACATTCATCCATTCAGATAATCTGAAGATACCGGTAATGCCGGTATTGTCCGTTGGTCCCCGATCATCGGCGATACACTGCTCTGTTTTTTCACAAGGATGAGCTAAACTAGTCAATTTGGTCACCAACTTACTTCTCCCTATAGGGGGTGGCAATTGGAGGTTTGCAGTGGAGCCTTGGGGTCAATCATACCCATCGACCATTTCTGTATGATGGTGATGGTGATAGGATTGGTTTGAAAGGTAGGATGTTTTTTCCGTTGTGGGGGGGTTCTTGTTAGGTTTTTTTTTTTTTTTTTGTATCTGCCTACCTATCTGGTATCATGATTATTTCTCATGATCCTCCTAGTACACCGCTACAGTGGAGAGCACTAACAACCGGACAACTAGCTCATGCCCTATCATCCCATGAACCTAAAACTCTAGATGAAGTTTCCAGAATACTATAGTAGCTGATCCTGCAGCGTCCTGTTCGCCGCAGTACGCCGTTGCATGCCGACGCTTGACCGCTTCTCTTGTTTCATGCCAATTGTTTGTTTGATTGCCGCCGTTGGCCACTGTTATTACAAGATTCTTATAGTTCTTATTACTTACTGGGACTGTCATCCATTGCCAACCAAACCGCCTATTGATGGAGCCCCATGAGGATTGGCGAAGTGATTGATTGGATCTTCGTCCCCGCCTCGTCTCCCTCTCGCTTCCCTGCGGCCCGGTTGGGCTCCATTTCTTCCGCACTCACAGCTGGGAAGCTATATGCTTGACATATATGATCCAGATGGCAATGGACAGGGCGGGGTAACTTGGCCCACTGGTCTATCTTACACTTTACAGTTTGATTCCAGGTCTATCTCTTCAGCTCCGTTCCAAGCTACCCGGGCTCTCGGGACCCAGCCCCAGTGCTTTGGAACGGGATCCGCCCCCTTTTTTGTGTCTTCCTTTGCAATGCGCCACTTGCCGCTATGCTTCCTAGTTGTTCGTCCTGAAGAGTATTACAGACGTTCAGCTCCATCCAATTCCATCGTGAGTGGTTGAACGTGGCAAAAGGCAATCCTAAGAACAGCACCTGCGGTACTATTATTATTCTCATAACCTTTTTATTATTATTATTATTATTATTTATCTGCCGCCAAAAAAAAAAAAAAAAAAAGGCTTTAAACAAACTCCGAGCAATAAAAAAGCCACCTGTTCCCATAGCCTGGCTCCATACTTATATCACCCTCTCCAGCATCATCCAAAAACGTGAAAGTTAGCCGGCAGTGGCTTACTCTAACCTTTCCCTTGGGAACCTCCCTCCCTTAGTCATATCTTTGATTAATGGATGGATTCATGATATGCTAAGTAAATTCATCTTTATTGCTTACGAGTCTCCTACGTGTTCAGACTTGTTTCGGACATACGGGGTCCTCTGCGGTCTTCCCCCCTACCTCTCCATCCCTGAGGTCTCTAGGATTGTGGCGGAAGTAAGCGCCTTGTTTCGGGAATTGTCCAGCTGTTTGTACGCCGTGAAGGCCCAACGAAAGAGGTGGAGGGCATAGAGAAAAGAGCTGACAGGTATTGGAGCTCCCCCTCCTCTTCCCTCGATTGCTGTCCCACTGTGGAGACTCTCGTAGCCATTTTTGCTAAGATGCAGTATCATTATCAGAACGAGGAGCCAGCTTTCACTTCTTGGCTTCAGGCCATCTCAGAGCCTAAGACGAGGATCTACTATCCTTTATCAAAGCCCAGTGACATGTCCCGGATCTCCTCTCACCGGCTGGGGACCGAACTGTCCGGCACAAATTTGATGCCCGGGCAGTCATGCTATCCATCACTATTTCGATCAAGCGCTGAGGTTCCTTCATTCTTCGTGTCTTATCGGTGGTGGGAGGACGAAGCAACTACTGTGCTTTGGGCATTTGATGTCCAGGAAATCCAGCGTGTTATTCGCTATGGGCTTTTCCGTGACGAAAACCTCCCTCGCACTGCTTTACAGAGCCGAAATGCGTCCACCGTTGACTCATTCCTTCTGACCCTCATCGACGCCACAGAAAGAGTCTTTATTGCCAACCTGTCGCACATCCAGAAGGTCGAGGAGATTTTGCGACGATGCACAGTGAATAGCCCTCCACTTGTATCCTGGAGTTGGTTCCCCACTCAGAAAGATCGGGCCTTGGATCCTAGCGACATTGCAGAGGCAATCGATGCTGAAAGCCATCTCCACTTCACACGAATCTCCTTCGAGGAAATGGTTCGATATTCACTAGGATACCATGCTGACTCGGTCGAGTGGTTCTTTCAACAACATACTGCTTTGTACATCCACCTACAGAACTACCTCCACGCGTTCCCGGATGAGGTCGAGAGGTATCTCGCGGTTGAAAAGGTAAGTAACAGATATGGGGAAGAAGTTCCATCGTTTCTACTGCAATATACAGGCTGACCTACTCCATAAGCATCTTCGAAACCGGAGTCCGTTCGCCCATCGTACTTTAGCCCAGTGTCTAATCACCATGAACCCAGGAAGTAGCCCCGACATAACCTCAAATACAGCACCCGCCTTCGAGTTTATCGCGGGTTCCATCCAACGTTTGTTCAAAGAGCTTCCACCTAGTCTGTCCTCCATTTTGAAAGTGCTATCCGTCTTGGGGGTTCGGTATCAACGGAAGTACGTTCACGTCCGTAATATGAATTGGCACCGCCAGTTCAACGTCACTTTTTCCTTCCTCGAAGACCTCATGGGCTCGACGTCCGCTGCCGACTTCGCGCGCTCGCTAACAAACCTGGACGAGAGTCATTTCTCAGCACTAACCCAGCAAAACCTCACCGACCATGACGCCGTGGCAAGCCGGATTCTAATACAATGGGAGCTTCTCAGTATTGACGTCTGGGAATCCTGCACTGCTTTGCCGCACATGATTGGATACATCCAAGAATGCGTACAGGTAAACATCTCTTCTGGTCATCATCCAAGATATCAAAAAAAAAAAAAAAAAAAATCTAACAGCGCAATCTCACAGGCTCTCCTCGACATCCACAATTACCATTCTTTCACTGCTATCCTCAGCGGCCTGCAGAAGTACAGCATCACCGAATCGACCTTCACCACCGCCAACACTATCACTGGCACCGCGGCCCTTAATCCCGTCCTTCCACCTAACCTGCTGTATTTCTTAGATCCGAGCCAGAATTTCATCGCCTACCGACAACAGTTCCAAGGGTCGCCGGGAATCCCGTTTCTGTTCCCGCATCTACAGGAATATAGAGAATGCGGTGCACCGGCACTTCAACAGCTCTTCCAACAATTGCGGACGGCTCTCACTCCAAGGGGGTGAGCTTCTTACTCTTCTCTTATTCTTCCGTTTCGTCGTTTTTGTTCTCTCTTTATTTTTATTTTCTCTTATCTTCGCTTCAAATTTCGATTTCGATTTCCTTTCCTTTCTCTGTTCCGTTTAAATGTCACAAGCGATGATCGTGATGTCTCATATGGGATATAAAGTCCATATCATGACAACAGCAAGTTGAATGATGAATTATGTGACTAGTAATAGTTTGACACCGGATTTATTGGTTGTAGCTGCAGGTCAAGGTCTGATAATCGAGCCATACTGAGCATGGGTTGGTTATCTTGGGTATTTTCGGATGACTGTTAGTGCAAAAAGTGTGTTTGCTATTTCATTTTTCTTTCTCTGGTCTTGTATTTCTACATATAATGTTGTTAGATGCTCTCATGAGAGTTAATACCCTGCACAGACTAGGCTGTGGACAGATTTACAAAATGCACGATCCAGACACATTCAATTGATCCTACCTATCACCTATGAACTAAGACAATCTTGTAAACTGGCTACGAAAGTCATACAATGGATCATTCACCACCCCTTTAATTCACATCCTTAAAACAAACCACCTTAAGAAACCATTCCCAACAGCACAGCTGCCTCCCATAGAGCAATAACTGTCCACCTTAAAAACGAAAACACCGCCAACAAAAGGAGGAACGGTGGCAGGCCCAGCGAAACCCAGCGCGCCCATCTTTGTTGTATTTTTTCCTGCCTGCGAGGTATTACCAACACAGGTGCAGGCTCCGGTCCAGAATCCCTATGCTCCGGTCCAGCATTCCTATTCTCAGGTGCAGACTGTCTAGACTGAGTTCCAGGCGGAGGTTTGCGACTCTTCTTGGACCCAAGTCTAGTATTTTTTTTTGACCCACGTCCTCGCTGCTTTGGCATACCCGAAGTAACCGCACAGGTAGAGCACACGGTTCACGAATAGAAAAGCAGTCAGTATGATATTGGACCAAGTGAGGAAGTTCCAGGCATGGAAGTCACAGAAGACATCCCAACCGAGGCCAAGGTAAGTGCCGTAAATGTGGCCTAGATCGCCAAGTGCCAGACAAAAGACAAAGTTGCGCAGGATTTTGGGCTCGTTGGTGTAGTAGTAGACGCCCATGGACAAGAGACAGAGCAGTCCGTGAAGATTGGCCAGCTGGTAGCCGAGCACGATGGCGCTGGGGTGGATCGATCCGGGGGCAGCGGTGTTAGGAGCTTGGTCGAGGATAAAGGTGTTCAAGTCATGGATTGGCAGAAGCCAGCCATAAATACTGAGGTGGTTAGTCAGTTAGTTGTTTATCATTGTTTTGATTGCGTTGTTGATGTAGGGTCACGGTTGGGACTTACTAGGTGATTGGCTCGATCACCGCGAAAAGAAGATGAGGCCAGTATGGGAGGATGGTAGTCCTCATTGTGACCAGAGGAATACTAATTCAGAAGTCTTAGGCTATTGTTTGTGAGTTGAGAGGAAGCGACGATGTAAGCGGAAGGTTGGAGGGAGGGTGGTAGAGAAGAGTAAGAAAGAGGGGGGAGCGTGGAAAGAAAGAACGATTCAGGTGGAAATGGTTCACATTCGTCTAGTTACAGCAAAGAAACAAGTAACAGAACTCGCCTCTTTCAATATTCATTCACGAAGCTATACCTCTGGGTCTACAGTATTGCCTATTTTGGAATTATGAAGTGTATCCATACTTATGATTAATAAGCAGAACAGATGCATAACTGCACGTGCCATACTCCATACGCTCTCATCGACACTTACTTGGGTGAGGAACGATAGATTCTAGACTAGATCTTTTTAGAGCTATAAGATCTCCAGTCTGAAGCATCGACGCTTTTCAATGATATTCCCACATATAACCCATCCATCTGATGGAGTGATCACCAATGATGGATTCCGTTGGGAATTTTCCCAGGTCTTTTGATGAGTCGCTGACCCGCGAACTACCTCAGCTACAGAGTCTCCGCATTGCTCCTCTTCGTCAACCTGCCTCTTCTCGTATCTTAAGCATTCCTTCGCCGCTTGAGCCTAATGCCAGCAGTTTTCGAGAATCAAATTCCATCTCCAAGGGAAATAGTTCGGCAGGAATCTTACCCGCTCGCAACAATGATTCCAGTGGCAGAACAACGGAGACTTCCAACCCTGGTCGCAGCAAGAAGAATGACCCTTCGGTGGACATGCTTCTAAGCCTCGAGCCCCCTCCCAAACCTATTCTACCGTCCTTTGTCAACCTACGTGCCCTTGAGCGCTTCCCATACTCTTCATTTGATGATGACTCTTCCCATGCTCGCAAACGCCGGCGTTTAGAGCTACAGACGGACTCTTTCAGTGACCACCTCCAGCTACCGATTCCACAGTCACAGAAGGAACAGAGACCCCCACCTTTCGGCCCTTTTGCCATTCTGAATGGTCTAAATGAGCCCCCGCCTAACGCTGCTCTCCTTCCCCCTATTGAAGCCGGCTCTATAACACAGCTTTTGACTATTCCTTCGCGGGACTACTCATACGTGGAACCAACTTTACTTACTTCTAATTATACCACAGATAGCCAGAGCGCCGAGAGAAGGGAAGGAAGAATTGAAGAAATTTTAGATCCTCCCATTGTCGAGAAGACGACTGCTGGCGGCGACCGTGATCTGGAAAGTAGTTTCGAAGATGATATAGCTATCGATTCAATTGAGCATCAGGAGGATGAAATTGATGCCTCCAAGGGTCATCAGGCTTCTACGAAGGAGAATATCGAGCCATTGCCGCCCAAGTCGAGAGGTCGTTCTCGAAGGAACCTTCGTAAATGGACCGAGGAAGAAACCACGGCGTTGATTCATGGAGTCGTCAAATGTGGGATTGGTAATTGGACGGCAATATTAGCGCAGCCTGAGTTGAAGTTTAACAAGCGGAGTGCGTCAAATTTGAAAGATAGGTACGATGCTATGTGTTCTTGCACGATTTCCTCAAGGGTTCGTCGGCAACTGACAAGGTTCAGGTTTCGTGTCTGTTGCCCTTGGGCTTATCGTGCTGCCGATCCCAACGAGGCCACGAAGAAACTGCGAGATAGCCTTGCAGATGCTATGTTGCGCGCCGAAGCGGAAGGTTCAAGGGACATAGCTGGGAAGATTCGCCTTCTCAATCTCCGATCAACCAATCTGGAATCTCCTTCCGCTGAAGGGAGCTCATCAAAAAGCTTGGATAAACCTTCATCCTTTAGTAGATCTTCCCTGGCTGAAGCGGAGCAAGACAGTTCGACATCTTCCGGCTTCAAACCAAACCCGTCGGCCGGGAATGCCGTCAATCTTTCTAATAGATCCAATTCCACACTGGCTTCTCTCGGGATCCCAGAGCCACATTTTACCATGAAATCTCGGCGTCGTTCTCGGCACCCATTCACAGCCGCCGAGGACGAAGCTTTACTAAAAGGCTATGCTGTTCATGGTTTCCAGTGGACTCTGATTCAACAGGATAAACGACTCAATCTCAGCCATCGCCGGGCCACAGATCTGCGAGACCGATTTAGGACCAAGTTTCCCCACGCGTATCGTGATGGGGGCTCTGTCAGCGGCAAAACTATTCCTGACCAGCCCCAAGATACAGGTTTTAAGGACGGTAAGAAGAAGCGAAGCTCACAATCGTCTAAGCAATCTTCTACCGTGGGTCGGACCAGCAAAGTTGGCGCGGAACAACCTACACGAGGGCCTATAAATCTTACATTTTCGCCCCCTGCTCCTCCACAAGGCCTCCCCGACGGTCCAACGGGTGCACCTGCAACGGTATTCCAATTCTCGTTGGATGACAATCCTGCCAGTGCTCCTGAGGTGGACGCATCATGGGCGGATAACACACTTGCACCTATGCTTTGGGATGAATTGACTTAGCAAGCCAGTAATATACACGTTTTTAGGCTTCCTCTCTTTCCTTTCCCCCCCTTGCTCTTCCTTTTTTATTTGTTTGAAGACCACTTAGTGGGTATTTGATTTGAATCTCCTTACCCGATACCCATGTATTCAATGCGGCGTCGTCGTTTTATTACTCTTGTCATTTTTAGGAGTAACAGAAGTCTGCATCACAATCTCGGGTCGCACTGCATTATAACATTAGAACTAGAACATGCGAACGTCTAGCCTTGTACTTTATTATCTAGAATAAAAGTAGGTCAAAATACAGCAAACCCAAACAGGCTAGTGCTAATGCAGCAAGAGGGAAAGCTCCTTTTCCTAGAACAAATGAGATGGAATCGATATAAAAACAACCTATGTTCTGAGCATACTAACTGCAAGGCGAGGAATCAACCAGATAGAAACACAAAGGAAATGCCGCATTCGCCATGAAGATATAAAATAAAACCGCTATTTTGCATGAAAACCCCACCAGGGACGCAGGAACAGACACACAGAAAGACAGAAAAAAGAGACCAGGCATAGAACATGTCTCACGCATCCCAATTTTACTACAATCAACCAATTAATCAGCCAATGCATGACGCTGAGGGATATACCACAATACCACTTCGGACAGAAACCCATACGGATGGACAGAACGAGCGGAAAGGGAGGAACTTCAGTGAACAAACTAGTTCACAGTCCCGAATGGAAAGTAAGCATGGAATCGACTTCAGTGAGCCGAGATTACCACGCATTCCGATCCCAGTTCGGATCTATCAAATTCCACCATTAGCACTTGATCCAACAATGAGAACACAGAAGGGGCATCCCAACCCTGTATAAAGCTCGCCAGCACTTTACTCCCCGTTTGTAAAAGCGGATGTCCCGCCACGACCTCCAAGAACCGCTGCAATCCCTTGCGCCGATGCTCAATTACGTCATCGCTGAACCGGTTCGTAAACACCTTTCCCGGTAGCGGGGGGAATGGTGACGCGCGTGCTCTCGCGCTCCAGGATATCGCGGAAGTATTCGAAGTCGGAGTATCGGCGGCGTACGATCGAGTGCTTGAGTTTGAAAGCGGGGATGTTGGTACGACAGACGATTTCGTACGAAGTGTACATGTTCCGTGATGTACCGTGGGTTTGCGGGTTCCGGACCTAAAGGTTTCTTATTAGCTGTTTTGGGGGGGATTAAGGAAATGGTGTGGTGGAGTAGACATGGAATGAGAGAAGTTTAAGAGGGATTGTTGTTGGGCTTTTAAATATGATTAAGATGGTGACAGGCAGGGTAAATTGGGATTTCTGTAGGTGGACATACCTCAATTTCGAGGAAATTCTCAGGAGGTCCATAAATCTCCTCAAAGGTCTGCTGTCGTGATTCTGGAACGGCCTGCATTGTGTCGAGAAATTGTTGGAGGGAGGTGAATGGAGAGGTAGGTAGAGGACTGGGAAGAGTTGATTCACGAACAATGAAGACCGCGGGGAAACTAGGTCGTGCTGGACTGCACGTGGTGGGCTGTCCTGACCCCGGGGAGGGAGTTTAGGAGAGTCCGTGATGCCACCGAGAAGAGAACCGGCTAATACAGACACATGAGCCTGATAGACGACCTGGTCGGGGAAATGACTCCAAAATTGAGTGGCTGGATGGGCATGAGGGAAGGCTGATGACGATAACGTGCTGCTCCCGTGATTGATGCGTATCGGGGGATGGTTGATCCATTCCGCTGTAACGCTTATCTTAGATGTCTATTTTGAGCTCACGACACTTACCAGATTGGTTATACTGAAACTAGATGCTCTAGTAGATAGTTTCATTATTATATACACAAAATAGTTTTATTTTGATTAGTGCAAATAAGGTATCTTATATTTTTCAACTATACTGAAAATCATGTTCGGGTGGCTTACTCGGTGTTATGGCTACAGCTCGCTCGTCCCCATGTTAATGTACAGGGTACATAGAGTGTCTCAGTAATCGGGATAAAACAAAATCCCCGGCCTATCTAGAGCCATGAAGCTTTAGCACTGCTCCGAAAGTGGGTAACCATCTCAGGTACGATGGGATAAAACTCTTGGAACTCTCGAAAACCAAGAACTCGGCCTGTCGCCATATATTCCACAATGTGGGTCAATTTGGAACCGTCTCACCTAAAAATTATTCAGTTCATGTCCAGGATACAGTTGGAACCTACGACGTATGACACAGTACTAATATGCGACTTATGTTCCAAAACCAACCACGTGCCCCATGGCCTATTTAAGACCGAGCCCAAACCCCATACTCCTTCTCTGATCAAATGCTCGAAAAAGACAGTATCCACCTCTCATTACCGTAATGACTGCGTGACTGACAATCCTCTAAGACCCGAACTAGTTCTTTTTACCATTCTCCAGGAGTACTTGCAGCTTCCCAATGTCGAATCCCCTGTCGTTGTTGCCCAAAAGATAGTCACCTGATTCCTCCGATGCGAGCCAGTAGTAACTCTTATAGTGACAACGTGGAAACATTCCTATGGAGCGTCTGGGGCCATTTTTACCCATGTAGCCAAGCAAGTCCTGCATGTGCAGCCCTAGTAGAATCGACTGGTAGAGCTCATTCGATCATTTTCAGCGCCAGTGACGGTGGAAATCTGGGAAGTAACTATGCATTGTTGCAATCTTCGAGCTCTTTTGGGAGTGAAGCTAATACACGCTGTAGAAACTCCCGGCGGGTTTGGATTGATCTCCCAATTTTTGCACCAAGCATGAGAGAGGTGTGGATTTACACGTTATTTCTGACTCCCGTTCCCATCTACGTTGATTAGCTCCTGGCGATCCCAGTAATACTACCAATGAGGTAGGTCGATGGATAAACCTCAATTCATTTTCAGTGCCGCTATTGAAACTCGATGCGGTCCTGTGGGTCTCTTTCGCAGCCTGGGCACTACGTGACGCATTAGACGAGCCTGCAGATGGTCCAGAACTCGATTGCGAAGCTAGAGTTGCGATGGAGCGGATCACGCACAGTGGGCGATAACTCTATTGACTACGATTTCCCATGAATAGCAATGAACACGGATGTGATGGATTATACCTGACAGTATGGCAGAGGTGGAAACGTCGATTTAAAGACGTCAGCGAGGTATTGAGCACAGGCAGCCGTCAGATGGCCCTGCAGACCGCAATCACCATGGAGAATATTGAACAGACCATGGGTAAATGAGAAAATCAGACGTGACGGGTAGAAATATGAAATGGAATGCTTTTTGGATATTGTGCTATGGATGTTGGCTGGAAATATTAGACACACTGAACTAAAACTCGTCTTGTAACTGGTTTATCCTAAGCTTATAGGGGCCATTTAAGCCACTCTCTCTATCCCTAGCTGGGATAAATTGAAATAGATACGGCGCCTCTAATGAGGATACGGGTAGAACAGGCAGGTGTTTCGCGCCGCGTCTCACAGCAAATTTGAACCTCTTAGGGATAAATGGCCTACTTTGGGGGGAAGTGCAGGAAGACGAAAATTGACATGAGACGTTACAGTAGGAACAATATGATAATGACACTACTACTCCGTAGTAGCAACTTTCTCGGGTGAAAGACAACAAGACGCTAGTACTTTAGTTTCATAATCCTCTATTGATGAGGACTGGTTAGATAGATATTTAGAACGTAAGGCTAAAGAGGGAATTCTAAATGGCCTGAGAAATTAAAGTACGTTGAGCCAAGCTAACCCCCCATGTTCCATGACTAACTTCCTAAAACAGCTAGCACTACCTAACTATACCTGTTTAAACCTAGTTAAATCCTAATAAGGTATAGTATGAACTAACTGTACGCTATGTAGCTTGGCTACTTCTCTGTGCACGAATTCCATCCGCTCCAGCCAATTCCACCGTCCGCAGCACATAGCAGTAATTCTTTTGGAATTGGGAAGAGTCCTACAAATCTACATCAACTGGAGCAGGAAAAGTAACGGATTCAGCGCCTTCGAAACAAGCCAGCTATCACTCCAACTGTTGTGCAGCAAGCCAAGGTCTTATAGCCAAGCTCAGGATTTTAACTATTCCACTGGACCAAAAGACCACCATATCTGATCCCAATGGGATCAGGTATTCCTGAGCACCTTTAGTAGCGCACTGTAATGTTAGGTGACGCACGCACACCTAACACAAGGATAAGGTTATTAGAAGCGAGAGAATACAATGCAACATGCTCTTCTAGCAAAACATAGAATATGTCAGCTCCAGGAAGGTAATAATCATTAAAAAGGATGCAAGCAGCACCGGAATGTTTATACGGAATGGAGGAAGCCTAACAGGGGAAAAAGGGTAGCAAAAAGCTCGCGAGCAAGAGGAAATGCAAAGGCAGCAATTAACATCGCCACGAATGCCACCAACCTGCAGTAATTGCAACAAACAAGGCCATAGTAGACTCAAGTGCCCTAGTAAATAATGCCATCTTAATGGAATCGCATTATTTCGTTAAGATATTAGGCCTATAAAATGTGCTACTTATCTTATGTGCAATACAGAGGCGCGCAGCTCGGTGGTCGAGTACGCTACATACAGATGCTGAAGATATTCCGGGGCAGCAGGATAACCCCACCAGCGACAATACCCATCTAATATACGACGAAAGCGCCTACAGAGTTTATTAAAGGGAAAAATCAGTGTTGATGGCACTTTAACGCAGTATAACTATTAGTGATGATTAACAACTAGTATAGAAAGCTCGGTTTCCTTATTACTTAGTAGCCCCACATATGTTGCTCCAATAAATTGGACAACGACGATCCGCTTAAAGTCCCTTCGACCGGGTCACTGCAGGATATTAGGTAGTAGACCTTTCCAATTGCTCTTTGTGAAAGTATTCCTCTCGAGACAGAGAATTAGGGTCGCAGTATAATTTGCCGGTGAGGCTAGTGACACGGAATGCCAGCCGCTCCTCATTAAGGTCACTGTTGATTGTGTTAGGGATATGACTTCCATATTCGCTTCCGAAGATGAAACATACTATGTACCGGCATGGAGGACAGTCCGACTTCATAGCTCTCTGTTAGCTTTTATGGTCAACAGAAACAGAAAAGGAAGGCTAGGTACGAACTTGTCCCAAATTACAATATCATCAGGCTTCCACCGATGGCGGTATTGCAAATCATGATTGTCTGTAATTAACTTCAAGACTAGTATAGTTGTTAGCACGAATACTGCAATATAATTCTTTTAGGCAATGCTGCTCCTGGCATGTACGTTAACATACAGTAGGCTTTCATCAGTTCATGTTCATAATCAGTAACACCGTTGATTCTCCCGTTAGCGCGCATCGAAATTGGGCTAAACCCCCAAAGAGCCTTCCAGCCAGTTACTGGGTTGGTTATCACGAGAGGACTAAGCTATCATCAGCTCACTATATGTACAAAGGAGGATTCTAAGCTGTGGCTTACTGTGTCCCCTCAAATTTACCACCGACATTTTCAGGATGGCCTCTGGGGCCTAACCAGAGCTTGATTCCTTTGTCTGCAAGTGGCATAATATCCGGCTCATGGTGCGTAGCTTCAGTGCATTATAGGTTAATAATCTTACTTTATTGTATATGTTTCGAACAGCGTACAGGTCAGCGAATCAGCCATCTTCTGCCATGGCTCAGACAGCCGATCATAGGCCCCATAGCAAGATGCAAATAGGGTGTCGCCCCCAGCCTTAGGAGCTTTCACCATCTTCATCCCGACATAGTCTGATGGAATGTTCTCATATGAGGTACTTGTTTGGCGTTAGCGGGAAGGGCACAAAAACCATCCTTAAATACGGAGTAGACTTACTCCGCATGCCAACCTCGGCTGGCAAACTGCTTCTTTTTGGTGTTCAGGTAGTCATCAAACTTGTCACGGTTATGCTAAGAACATACTGTCAGTTACCTCTTGTTACAACAATTCATTGGTACCTACATCGGATGACACTACATAAATTTCGGGGTCCGACAGGGCATGGTCATTTCCAAGACAGGAATTAATCTCAGGATGGATCGCATTAATATGTAGCTTTCCCTCCTCTGGTTTACCTGTAAGTTCGCCCATTCTCTGAATAAGATATTTGAACTGGCCCATATTAATGTTCTGGTTACGGAGGACAACAACTCCGCGCTCAGATACTGTGTTTAGTTATTAATATCTGTTGCACACTGTTCCACCTCTAACGTAGGACAGTTTTACCTGTAATTGCTAGGTCCCTAATCTTGCTATCATTGCCGACTATGGCAGATAGCTGGAGATCTGGGTACTCCCTTCCCAAGGAATTCGTGGCCTCAGCATAGACATATTGTTCCAGCGCACCAGAGGTTCGCATATATGTTGGTTGAACCATTTTGAGTATCTTAATCAATAAGAGTAACGTATTAGCAGTTTAAACGTAAACAGTCCAGCTGACCTCGTTTTCACATAGATGCCACTAGTGCGGCTGAAACAATGCTCTTAAACGTTGGACGGGCATCTGGACTTAGGTTCCGAGCATTTCGCAGAGAAGTATGACTGATTGCGAGACTACTCCTTATGACATTAACATCGATAAATCCGGTCCACGCAAATGTAGATACGAGTTGTAGCTGTTCCTTCGATGTAACTTAAATCCATCACCCTGACTGCAAACGTAAACGAATGTAACGCGCTCTGCCCTGGCCTACACAACGCAAGAGTATCTCTATCATCGTACTTCCGTATTGAAAAAAAATTGTTCGTTATGGGGTCCTCTTCAATCCAACCCGATCGAGAGAGGAAGGAAGATAGAAGTTACCAAAATATTTCTTGTACCGTCGAATTTCAATGTACAGAGTCGAAGGCCGTCTATTCACTGTTATTATTCCAACATCCAAGTATAATGATTTTTTTTCTTGATAGCTTCCATTATTCGACTTGGTACACTTAGTAGTGGTACACGGTCAGCTTCACATGGAGATGGTAGGTGGAAGTGCTCATGCTGTAGGACTGTCGTTAATGAAAACAGCAACGACTTCCAACTCCATGTTACACAAGGCTCGCTGGAGTGTGACCTATGAATTGAGTCCTACCAGCAACACCTGGCTACGTCTGCCAGCAACCCACATCCTTCAAAAACTGAATAATTATGGGCCGATGAAACCCCCTTATTAATAGAAGTGTTCCCGGCTGTCTGCCATTTCCGGCGATTCGCCCGACCAAAATACTATAATCTGGAGTTCGAAGCTCATATTACAATAACAAGAAAATATTTCTTTGTGAGACTTTATAACAAAGTTAACTCGCGATAGACAACTAATGGGTTTGCATTTTACATTCCACGGAATATTTGTGGGGCCTACGATTACTCGAAGCAGTCCGGCCCGATTTCGCCTTCCACCGTTTCCACCTCAGTTTCAACGACAATAGAAGGCTTTTTCGGGCTTATTCGTAGTTGATCTGCCTTTGTCGGTCCTTAAACGGTGTCTGGAGGGTTTTCTGGTTGCCGGAAAGGTCTCCGGTGGTGTGGAGCTGGAAATGAACCTGTTACTGTCTATTGTTTCTGATGGACTCTCTTCGACCATCGCCTCTACAACCACTTCCCAGTTGGTCCACCTTTTGCGGCAGCATGGAACTGTCGCTGGCTTCTATTTTATCTTGTAAGGTCACTTGAAGCTGCTGTTCCGCGAGCTATTGCTCTTTTCGAGCTTTTTTGTCCTGTTGTTTAAGCAATTCGCTTCCCCCCTTGCCTCCGCTTCCGATCATAATTTTTTTTGTTCCTGCTACTTTTCCTGCTCTCTCAGCTTTCCGGCTAGTTCTATTCTCATTGAGGTGTTCAACTATCTAAAGGATTCAGGGGTTGAATCGATCGTCAGATACTCCGCACCGCCAAGTCGGGCGGATTATAATGTTTCCGTAACAGAATGTGAATTGGAGTCAAAAGTAGAGGAAGTTGATAGTTGTATTATGTGGATAACTATCTGCGTGAAATAATGAGAGAAATCTTGTGTATAATCTATGAGCAAGCCGCCGGTTATCATGAAGGGCACGAACCTGCCTTTTAAACCAAGCCTTTAACTCCAAAATCAATCTAATTAATTAAACTACTCGTTGGCAACCAAAGAAGTTCTTAATTACTCATCAAGCGAGGATTTCCTTCATACTCCAGGCATCTCGAGATGCCCTTGTCTCATCCTTCCCAGACGTCGGACAACTCCAGAATTCGAAATTAAAAGTATACCCAAACCCATCCGGGAGATTAAAGTCCCATCGACGTTTCCATTCCCGAAGAACCTCATTATCCCATGGAACCGTTGTCCGTACATGGGTAACCCTGTATCCAAACCAATCCTGCGTCACAGAAAGGGACAGCCTTCTCCATTCTTGTCGGTAACTCGCCATGGGCGTTCACTCATGAAGAGTATGCCCTCTACCTGGCCGAGTTGATCGCCCAGATGGACGTTCGATCAAGGCAAAGGACCTTGCCCGCATTACTGTGTCTACCTGCGCTGAATCGATCTTGTAAGATCCATTCAGGAGGCACTGGGTGAGTCGTGAGGGAGGAGGGATCTGGATTGAAAGGGATTGAAAGGCATTGTCAGCGTTATTGCATTTCTGGCGGTACCAGTATTGGCATCTCGTATTTGCTATACAATATTCATTAGATCTGCTTACCGTGCCGCGAGAACTCTCTGGGTCCTTCTGACTGGTGTCCTGCTCATTTTCCTTTCAACCTGCTCAGCTCTGGCGTTCTCTGAGTTGCGGAATTTTTTACAGTTGTCTCCTCTGCCATTATTAAGGTAATATTCATGGCAGCCAATGTCAGATTCATACTGCCCGGTTTCCTGATTTTTCCAAACGACTGAAGAGAAGAAGCACCGGATAACTCATCGTCCCCTTCGCTACCGGAATGGCTTCAGAGTTAATGCCTTCCTCTTGCAGCTGTATTTCAGGCTATTCTTCCCCTTTGATTTTTTCTGCCTATCCTTCGACTCCTTCAGCTCGCGTTCCAAGCGCCGGATGTATTCTGGTATTTCAAGTATATCCCGGTTCAAAGCTTCTAGAAACCGCATTGCCGCGGTGCGTTTGTTGGTTATCGGCTGTAGGCCGTAATGAATGAGTTGAGCCCTGTACCAATGTGCAGGCTGCTCCTCAATGGAGGAAGTGTTGAAAAATGCCTGCAGTTCAGGGATACCAAAGCGGCGGTGTCGATGATACGGCGGAATAACTACGTATAGTTCATTATTGTAGTATTCGAAGCCGTTGTGTGAGATAGGCAATGTAGGATCCATTAAAGGCCAAGGGATGGAGCGTAGGATAATCCATAAATACTGGAGGTCAATCCAGGTAGGAGAAAAAAACATGACGAGTTGATGATAGTATGTCCGTAGCCATGATGTAAATGGTTGAACCATGGCTGTTGGCGCAAGCCCTCCAATCAGCAAGTGTTCACCCAAGGGAAAGATAACCCCATTTGAACTATACAGCAATGCATTTTCGTGACATAGTCCGCGGGGGTTACAAGAGTATATAGTACAGTACACATCACATCAGCCAACAAGAAAATTAATACAAGAAAAAGGAACGGAGAAAAAGAAACATTTAAATTGTCTAATACACCTTGAGAAGAGCTGAATAGAAAACCCCCATGCGAGATAAGAAAGAAACCAATTTCCCGTTAACCGTTAGCAGAAAGCAAGAAAATAAAGAAAGAAAGAGCCAGAGAACATATAGATATAACATGTGGTACAAACATGAAGAAAAATATCACTCAAGCTCCCTACACCGTCTAGGGTCAACCGGGATTTAAAGCCCAGGGATTGTGAATCTCTTTGATTCAGATTATCGTTTATTCCTGTCGACTGCGTTTGGCACCATGCGGATTCCAGGATCCATCTCCTACTCCCTGGTTGGGAGAAAAGAACCCCTGGTTAAATGCTGGATTGGGGCCTTGGAAACCACCTTTTCCTAGCAAGAATCGTGGTCAGGACATGCACACAGATAAGATTAAGCAGAGAGCATACGCATCTCAATGAAACATACCTTGCATACCCATGTTTCCACCCATTCCACCACCCATCATGGGGTTCATTCCACCAGACATCGGATTCATTCCCATGCCGCCCATGGGGTTCATGGCAGGCATCCCCATCATATTCGGTCCAGCCATACCACCACCACGCCCACGCATGCCTCCAGGTCCACCTCGCATGCCACCCCCCATCATACCACCACGGTTGTTAAACCCATAGTTTTGCATACCGCCCATTGGATTCGAGGGGAAGCCACCACCCATCTGGTTCTGGAAACCACCCATAGGATTTTGGAAATTGCGGTTACCAAAATTTCCTATGTTATTACCCATAGCACCCCGGTTGAAGCTTCCTCCACGGCCACCTCGAAAACCCCCTGCCATGTTATTCATACCGAAGTTCATGTTTTGGTTTGGAGCGTTAAAACCCCCGGACATTGACCTGGCCTGGTTATCCTTCCTCATAGGAGCATCCTTTGGTAGTGTGCGAAAGGGGTTCGGTTGAGGGTTGGTATAATTAACCGTATATTTTCTTCCAGACTGGCCAGAAAGGCTAAAGGATTCGATCTTGTGTTTGGTGGCGGTTGAGGCTTGAAGGGAGCTAAACTCGATAAATGCTTGACTGTTATACAGTTAGAATTAGTGACCGTGTAGTAACAAGCAAGAGCCGGAATAGTCCGAACCTACCCTTTGCTTTTCCCGTTCACCTTATGCTCGCTGAATGTTACATCCTTGAGCTCATCCTCGCATTCAGCTTCACGAATCCAACCACGAATATCATCATCGGTAGTCCACCAATAGAGGTCGGAGATAAGCAAAGCCGCCGTCGCATCAGGGTCCGTTGGGCGGTCATCGTGTTCCTTGCGCTTTACACCCTGTGGAGGAGCCGGGTTCTCCTTAGGGGCCTGCTGCTGACTGACCTCGGAATGCGTTACATGTCCGCCGTTTGCGTTTATACTTTCGGTATTATCTTGCCTCGCATTCACTTCAATGGTACTATCGCCTTGTGGAGGGCCACCATTGTGGGTATTTTCTGGCGCGTCTAGAATGAGCTCCGAGTCATCGTGTTTGGTCTCATCATCATGTTTGTAATCTCCTTGTTCATTGGCATTGTAGCCACCCCCATCACCGTAGATGTCAATATCGAAGTTATCATCTTCAGTCGCCATCGTGATAAGTATAGCAAAGCAAACTTTGATTGTCTGGTTGTGAATTATACAGTCCTTGTCTTTTCTCCTTAGCTTCGCTGAGTTAATAGATGTACATGTCTGTGGACATATGTCTTCAATTAGCAAGAAGATGATCATTCACTTGCGATGAAAAAAGGATTTTGCAGATATCCCGAATAGTAGGGGATTGTATTGGGTCATCCTTGGAGCAAATGCCGCGAATAACTTCAAACCTCTTAAAAGAAGAAAATAAAAGTACAAACAATGACAGAAGGATAAAGAGGCACGATGATACGTACAATCCGAAGCGAACACAGCTTCAAAAAGGAACAAAGTCTTTTCACCAGCCGATACACTGATATTTCTGAGGCGCAGCGCGCAGTATTCTCTCTCCTTGTCTCTGGATTCCAAGTACAGGTAATAGTATGGGAAGTTTAGTTCAAGCAAGCGAGGGAGATGAAGATAAAACCACAAAAGATGCGGCGCCGGTGAGAGTTCCGCTGCCACAGTCAGGCAGGGAGAGCAATTTTGCTAGTGAACAAGTTCTGACACAGCCCTCCAGATTAGAGCACACAAGAAGATATAAAAAGGAAAGGTGGCAAACAAGGCCGGTAGTTTCAAATTAGTTCGAAGTCCCCCGAAACACAGATACAAGCCAGGAAGTACACGCCCAATCGGTATCCCCTGAATCGTAGCCGCCAGCGGTGGGGGTCAAAGCCGACGAGAAATTGAAAGTAGACAGAAAGAAAGATGAGAAAACGGAGTTCCAAGGGTCAACAGGAATTGATCTATATCAGAAAACCCCCTTGTAAGACGTGTCCGAAGCAGGACGATGCAGGTGGAGCGCGATCAGGAAGGCGAGCTTCGATCTCGAAGGAGTTGGCGGTCGGCGACCGGCAGAACTATAAATCCGAACACCTCAGGTAAACCCAATGTGGAAATCAGAACAAAAGCATTGGTTCATCGCTCTCATTTACACACAAAAACGCTATAATGAATTAGGTCTAACTCCGATGATACGAGGGACATAAATCACAAATAGTAGCAATCTTTACACGGACGTCATATCACCATAGTTCAAATTCATCGTTCATCGGTGCTCTCTCCACCGGTCGGCTTCTTATTCGGCTGATGGTATCCTTGAATTGATTAAACTCAGGCACCGGATTCAACTTGCAATCGTAGCTCCTTCCGACCGGTGGATCGCCTTCATCCTCAGCCGCAGAGTCGTTCCACGTATGCAGGGTGCAGGTACCGGTTGACAGGCCCCAGCCATTCCAAGATGTTGCTGAAAACGATCAGTAAAAACATGTTCTATGCAGGGAATTCCTTGGCGTATTTATTAGCAATGACTTACCAGCAAGCACGGGAGCATTAGGGTGCCAGCTTGCATCTCGAACACAAGTTCGCCACATCATTTCGCCGCTCCTGCTCCTGACCTCATACGCAGTGGTAAATATATCAGGGTCTTGTGGTCGCGTGTCCACCGTCGCATGCCCTGCATCGATCGTTCCGGCTAATGTCGCGTCCAAATTGTATACATATACTTTTCCGTCTTCGCTCCCTGTGTACACATATCTCGAGTTGGTGCTTCCTGGAGGTGAGAAATGACACCGTATCAAAGTCTTGAGCACCCGATGTCCTCGGAATGTAACAACCGAGCAGTCGTGCGGGTGCGGTTCGTAGTAGTTGGACGGATAAGATTCGAACCGGTAGTCGAAGCCACTGGTGTACCGGCCGATATCGAGAGTGTCGAACTTGGCCGTAGTCATCAGTTTTCTCAGGTCCCACAGTTTCATCGTCTGGTCTTTGCCGTTAGAAATAACGTATCGCCCATCACCCTTACTGTCAACGTAAGTCAATCCTTCTGTATGGCCCATAAAAACCCCAGCCTCGCGCCCGTCACCCATTGAGCGCCTATCCCAGACCCGTAGTGTGGTGTCATCGGAACCTGAATAGAGAATGTGAGGCGAAGATTTGTCTCCGAAGCAGACCGCGTTTACATCATCTTCGTGGTTTTGTAAACGCAGAACGGATTGTCTCGTCTCGAGGTCGTAGACAATCACAGAATGATCAGACGTGCCGGCTACTATTTCACGGCCATCGCCAGAAAATCGAATAGACCAGATCTGTAAACATGTTAGTTATGTTGAACTCAACCAGGGCCACATGTATGATTCCTACTCCAAAATGTGAGCTACCATAGAGACCTCGCCGACCGGCTCTTCCACCTGGAAGTATAGACAAATCCAATATGGCTGGATCAGACGTGTCGACTGGGTCCGTGGGCGCGAGGCAAACGAGGTTTCGAATTGAAGTATAAGCCAAGAACCTATTGTCTGGGCTTAAGCTTGCGTCGGTGATGGTCCACTGGCCGAAAGGGTAGTCTACTGTCTTGTAGTACTTCCATTCAAAAGGGTTGGATGTGTCATACATCCTGACCTTGAAATCCTGTGCGCAGCAAAAAAAGAAGTTTCCATCGTCGGAAAATTGTCCCGAGTAACATCGTGAGTCGAAATGGATAATCTTGTCAGCGTCTGACCCAGGTATTAAACCCTTGATCCTCAGTATCAGCATAACGGAAATACTGTGGCTTATACATGATCCAGCACACACCTGAGATATAGACTGCACCTCTCTCTTCGGGCCTCCTGATACGTCAATACCCAATTCTCGCCACATCATTTTCATAGCCAGCGCTCTTCTGCGTTTCATCAACTCGTCGGCAAAATGTGTATTGCTCCCGAAATCGCCAGATCTCATCAATTTTATTCCTTCGTCACTTGGAACCTTCGGAAACTGACTAGTTACCCCTCGCTCTGGTTGTCTTCGATACCTGAAAAATCCCCTGTAGTACTCATCGTTATCATCACCGTCGTCGTCATTGGGCCAGCTATTATAATGGAGGATTTGTCTTAGACCACTAGAAGCCAGTAGATTAAGCAGTCGAGCGGCAGAGACTACTTAAGTTAGATATTTAGCCTGAAAATGTTGCAAATAACAGTGAACGTGATTTACTATACCCCGACTCTGCCGTCCTGTTCGGCCATCCCCACCTTCTCGGTCATTCGGGGAGTCCATCTGGAGCTCGAAATGATCAGGGTCTTTCATATCAAGCAAATGATCAAATTATCAGCAACGCACGAGGGGCATTTGAAACAAGGAGTTATAATAGAAGACAACCATACCGATATACAAGTTAAAGGTATTCGGTCCTCTGTCTTCAGGTTCTTCGTCATTTAAATCATCTCTCTCATCCGATGATAGTTCAGATTCTGGTTCAAAGTCCTCATCCTCTTCGTCCTCTTCAAGCCATTCTCTTGCGGGGTGCCATACGGCGGACGAGTCACCCCGGGATGACGGCTGCGATCGGTCGTCAGAAGTGGGTGAAGAACTCATGATCGGTCGGAGCTGTGAGGGGCTATATCGGCCGGTCAGACCACAGAAATACAGGGATTATCAGTACACCAATGAGTTATCCAATAAAAGGCCACAAGGCACCTGACAATACTGGCCCTTAAAGAGCAGTGCTTCCCATCTGACCGGCAACTTCCAGCTATGGAGTTGTCACTGTTGGCGTGCTTATCGATACCCCAGCCCGCTAGTTATGTCATCTCTCATAGGTTAATTATTCAACCTTTAACTCCGGGCTAACCCCGAAGGATTCCCATTCCAGTTATAGCCACCTAACCCATTCAGGAAGGCAGCACAGTACGTAACTTGCCTCCATAATTACCTCTTCTACCTTGTGCCAATATTACTAGCCTATCTAAACGAGGCATTGAAAATGAGTCTATATCAATCCGAAAGTTACGAAATTCACGAACGAAGGTCCAATCACCGTCAACATGACCCCCCTGCACCTCCCAGTCCTTCTATGTTGTTTACTAACTTCCTCCATCTACCCCATCATCATATCCACATCATCATACAGTAAGATCGTTAATCTCGCTCCCTAATGACCAGATATTGGCGCAGCAGTTATGCCCAGTCAATAGACTGGTGGTCGCCCAACTGCCATGATACTATGTGAATGCCATGGTGCTCAGCTTTCATGGACACGCGACGAACGAAGGTATCGTTATGTCCCAGATACGGCTGACAGACATTTAATAACCCATGTAGTGGGCATTATTTGGTCTAGAAGGGCATCGCCGTCTTTTCCCGCAGACGGCCATTCTTCCAAAATGACATTTCGACGCTCTTATCTCGAGGCATCAACGACACCTTGAAGTCGGGTACCACCGAGAACAAATATGTATTCCCCACACTCTTCATTACCGCGCGGCCGATCTGGACGACGGGCCCATTTTCGGTGGCATGCCGCACTGCAAACGCCCACAATATCCGGGCAGTAAGAATATACAACAAATCATGCCCCAGATAGCGACCAGAGTAAGCCCACTAACCGAACCTGAAAATAATGTCGGACAGATATGTCTCTTTAATCTACCACTTAGGTCGGAAGTCGAAGGGACTGGGAAAAAGCGTCTCATCGTGGCTCATCTCCCAGTCGCTTATAACGATCGGGATTCCCTAGGCGATGCGGTAGCCCATGCACTTGTCTTCGCGAAATGCAGCACGAGGCGCTCCAAGTCCTTGGTGGCACAGTGTATACATTCTCTGGCCGCCGCGAAGCTGTCTGCTTCTGCCGCGCCCGTGACTTCTCAGTTCCGATCACCGGGATTTTGGTGCAGCCTTCTCTGCGAAGTGATTTTGCGGTGTCCAAGACGGCCTCATTTCTTCCAGTCGGCGTTGACAATAAGGATCTGCGAGCGGAAGGTGGACTGTGTTCTTCATTTGATATGGTTTCAGCAGAGCGGAATCGAGCTTGGAGATTCTCCGAACAGCTAGACCTCACCATACCTACTACCTAGAGTATAGATGTTTTCGCCGTGGGCCACCGGGGTTTGCTCGTCTTCTATCTGCTTGTGGCAATCAGTGCAGCAGCCCTGGAATCAGAGGATCTGACGACCCAATTGCTTACCAAGTCTCCCCTAGTTACTAATTGGAGTATACATCTGAAAACGCTAGCTATCTTTCTTACTAGTATACTAAGTATTTTCAGTATAAATACCCTAAGTACAGGTAATAAATCAGTGCGACAAGGTAAAAATTAAAGAGAAAGAGATTACATCACAGGGTAAGCAGCACGATTACACTTGAAAGAAATTGGCCACGAAATGAATAACAAGTGTCTGACGAACTAAACATCTTGCCGAAGCTGCGCAACTGGTATTACAGGCACATAATGTGCCTATTCACAATAACAAACACCAAAACAACAACAACAGCAACAACAACAACAATAATAATAATAATGTAAAATAAAATAAAATTCCGGGACATAGAAATGAGGATCAATATGCAAATGCCGCCGAACTCATCTGCAGAGTTGGCGTCCTCAGCAATGTCGCTAACACGGGTATCAAAATAATCATGAGGGCCATTTCATCATCAGCGTCGTATAGGTGTTTAGAGAGTGTCGTTGACGCATTTTCTTTTGTTAGTTGTTTCAACATATTGAGTGTTTCGAGAACGATGTAAATCGAGGAATGAATCTCCTGTAATCCCAGGTCAAGGTCAAGCCTAGGGAGTATCAAGAGACTCTGTTCCGATATGATAGAATTCGAACATGAAGTAGTATCACGCTTATTAGGCTGTGGAACAGATGATTTGACAGATTCTCTGAGTGCCAGGATCTCTACAATGACGTGAAGCTTTGCTCGCAATGCATTGTATCTTCTACGAGAGACCAAAGGTTTAGGCCGATGCAAATCCTGGAGAAGCTTCGTCTGTTGACTTAGATCGACTAAAATCGGAGGCAAAACATCGAGGGCCTTTTCCTTTGCTCCTGCTCGAGACCCTGCTTGCGGTTGATTTACTATAAGATACTGTTAGGAGTTTGTCAACATCAAAGCGTATGCGTTGAATACATACCACACACCTTCGATTCATCCGACATACATGATCTGAATAACTTTGCTCTTCCTTGTCTGATAGTGGCACATAGCTCAGTTGATAAAGAAATCGCAGGGCTGCACTTGAAATCTTCCATGCCAAAGCGATGGAGTTCTCTTTTGTCACTTATTGAATTCTGAGTGAGTTCAACCATAGGGGGCGGATATCCATGTATACTCAGTACATAGTATAATATTTGAGAAGGCTCTATGAATCTTCCACGAGAAAATAGTTTCGCATATATCGAAATCCTTGTAGCTGGCAGTGAAGCACGAGTTATGTCCAGAGTATTGTCCGAGGATTTGCTACCAGATATGTAAAAAAAATTTGACGACAATACGCTAGGTGGAGTTTTCTTTAGGCAGCTATTTGGTTTCTCTTGATCCCTTGTTGCCAAAGGCTCCACTAGGTGAGACCTTTGGCCGAGCGAACTAGTCAATGCATTATCAAAATCTGCATTCAATTGCTCGGACTCTTCTGATATAGGATAAGGGCAACTCTTTGGTTGACCTTCTTGTGTTAGATTGATTGGCTCCTTATCGCGTTCAGTGGGATCAATGCGGCAGTCCAGTTTCCTGCTGGAGGCAACATCATGTAAATAAATGTGATTCTGCGGGGTAGGCACCCCTAGGCGCTCTTGCTGTTGACCCAATCTGTCAAAGCAAACATGGCATCTGTCAGCTTCTGGTTTCTGTAATCGACAAAGTGCGCAGTCATTCAGAATATGATGACAATTCTTGCATTGTCGGTTAGAGGCACCATCGAGATGAGGATCGAGAGGCTTCTGCCGATCTTTAGTAGGCATCCTCTCAAAACGCTTTGTTTCAAAAATAGTACTGTCACTCCGATGCCTAGGACGTAACGGTGTTTCTGAAAATGTCGATTGTAAGCTACTATAGTCATCATCATCTGAGTCCACAAGGTCTGTTGTTATTTTACCCTGAGGCAAATGTTGGCAACCCGAGAGTGCTTGTGTTTCTCGACGGAGCTGTTCTCGGTTGGTTGGTTGCCCCGGGGCTTGGGAATAAGGCACTTGTTCCTCTAAAGGCACCGCTTGCTCGAAGCTTGAGTTCGAAGCGTCTGGCGAGTAGTTCTCTGCAAGAGACGCAAGGCCCACATCATTGGAAAAACTGCTTCCATGGGAGTAATATTGCTGCCCAGTATTCGAGTAGAAAGAGTTACCATTCATCTGGTTGCCCCCATCTCCATATGGGAAAAGATTTTGGAATCCTGTTCCAGGAATACCTCCTCCCCCCGTGAAGTTCCCACCGTTGCCGTTTCCACCATTGCCACTGTCACGGCTGCTTCTTCTGCTCTGACTTGCGCTAGTTTCACCAGAATCATCTTCATGAATACGGCAGTGATTGGAGATACAATTGAAATATTCATCCCAGTTGCCAACCAAATTCATACAAAGCTCACAGCTGTTTGGTGGTTCCACTCGCCTCTCAAGGTGATTGATTTCATCCCTTCCTAGCCTCTCTGGATGCCTGTGGGTAGTTCTAAGATGCCCGTGTACCTTATCTCTCCTATAGGAGAACCAAGGGCATGGAGTATAAGGGCAAGAGAACACATATCTGGGGGCATGTACATCTGACACATGCCGCTTGAAAGATCCCCGCGCGCCATACAATTTGCGACTCCCGTACGGACAGAGCTTGCAGATATATCTATCTCCTCGTCTGCCGCTAGAGCTGGAGTGTGTATCGGACTCAATTTTGGTCTGAATTGCAGCCTCAAACCTACTAAAGCTGCTCTTAAGTATGCTCTTCATACCATACAGCTGGTGTAGGCTAAGTTGAGAGACATTCTCCTGGACTGTTGTTCCAACTTGCTCCAGCTCATTTTTCAGTCTTTCTAATTGATCAAATGAAGGGTTTGGATATAGGGGGCAGGAAAGTAGTCCGATCTGAGGGCTGGTTCCCATCACCTCGTCGAATGAAAAATCGGACCCATGGGTGCTAATGCTCGGCAATTGGGATGAGATTCCCATCAGAGTACCTTCCTGGTCAATCGGCGGTATGCCTTGGGGGGGAGGGTTCTCTTGAAGCGGATCTACACCCACACTGCTTGAAGGTGACAGGGAGGATGACTGACTCTGCAACTTCGAAGTACTATTAGCTACCTACCATGAGACTATTAGCACGTATTAGACAACTCACTGTTGTTGTATCTATGAGTCTAGGTGGCATCAGGTGTCCATCAGGAGACCGCCCAAAATTTGGGATAGTGAGTTGCACATCATAGATGTCCTCATCATATTGAGACATGACGGAAGTGGCCTCGAAGCCTGAATAAAAGTACTGCAGAGGTGTGAAACCCAGTTGACTGCAGCTGGAAAATGTTGGTGAATATAAAAAGAGGGGAAAAGTAATCGGAATTAATAGGGCAGGGAAGAGCAGTCAAACAAGCAGAATAGTTATAAACACAAAAATAGAACGAACCTATGGCCAAAAATAAGTGAGCGGGGGAGGAAAAAAGATCAGAAACAAAACATGAGAAGGGTCTTTGGGGGAGATACCATTTTATCATAGATGTATGCTCAGTCGCAACCTTCACCCTCGAGGGTGAAATCCTTCGGAATCCTTGCCAATCGAGGTACCAGGTTGTGATCACTGCCCAGTACCCGGGTGTTCATGGGTGCCCTGCGAATGCCTACCTAAGACACCATATAATATCAGTAAGCAGATTCTGAGCCTCATTCTATCCTACCTAGGTAGGTGCTATGTAAGCAGGAGAATCACCTACCTACTGGGGTTAGCCACCGAGCCACATGACATGCAGCATAGAATTGATACATTCTGATATACTTTCTAGGCAACTGTTTGCCTCCAGTCTGTAATTGGGCCATAAGTCGCTGCCTGGGAAAAAGCAAAAAGATTCGCCGGGACATTTCCCAAGGATCCTCACTACCTAAGGAGTCGCCTCACTCCCTCTATCTGGTGTACTCAGGAATATGTGACTACTACTCCGTACCTTAGTAGTCCACTATGGTAGACAGCTCATTGTTCCCATCAACAATACCAGTCATATTCCTAAAGCCCCACCCGGCCTTGCTCCGTGCAACCATTAAACAGCGCGATTGGTGGGGCCCCGTAGCAATTATTGGGCAGAAACTCGAGCGCCAACTGTACTAACTATTCCGTAAACAGTACTCCGATATGGCCCGAACCACACAGTACAACCAAGTACAGCAGATGTGCTTTGGTTAAATGAACTTAGTATTCCGTATATAACATTCTCCACGGCCGATCAAAGCGGAACTCGCTGTCCTGTACAGCCACAAATTGGTTTGCTGTGTTGTACATAAACTATGTCCCATGCATGTACGGGATACTAATGATTGGACTCCCCCAACTTCGATTTTAATTATCTGATTAGTCATTTTATTAGTCATCGGCATCTTTATGCGGAGAAAACCGCGCAAGGTGTACTCCTACATCCAAGAGTGCAGGTAATTTCGGAGAAGAGCACCAATACCGTAGATCTGATGACGTATAGGGCATCCGCAAGTCACAAGGCCTGGACATCATGCATACAATACTACTCTACCATCTACTACCTTCCACATAATGCAATTTGGGTCGTATTTGTCATTTGTGCACATATCTGCAAACAAGGATGAGGCGTCGGAGAGAGAGCTCCAGAGGGCTTTTGGATCTGAAAGGGGTATCAGCCACTCTTGGCAAATGTTGGAAATACGGAAAAGGGGCGAGGAAAATAAAATAACTAAAACTTCCGAGACGCAAGAGAAGCTCCAGCTGAAAAGATACTCTGCGCGCTAAACTTCACAAGGCTCCGCAGCAGAAAACTAACACAAAAGCTTGAAAAAGAGAAGCTGCGCCACATTAAGTGTCCCTGAACATGCAGCTCCAGTTCGAGGTTTATCCAAAGACCATTTTCATTGTAATTGATAATGTAGCCGAAGTATTGTAGGCCCGATGGGGTCTGAATTGCGTGCCTCACAGCCTTGTGATTTTCGCCACTCACTTCAAATCTGACCCTAATAAGTAAGAACGAGGTCTAGACTGTAGTGTTACTATTTCAAGTGGAACAATATTTTGGCTAAAGCAGATTTTGACAGTAGCTATACCTGATCGTCGCTGAGTTAATGGATCTCAAAGATGACTCTCCACTAGTGACAGAACGCAGTGCTACGTCTGGAGCAGTCCATAGCCTATTACATCATTTGTGAATGTAAATGGATGATCTAGAATACAACTATAAGCAGTTTCATGGTTGACCTTCTTGAAGATACCTACCATAGAATTGAATGGCGATTCTCACTCCACTGCGTCAGCATACCAAGCATATTATTGAATCATCGGCCGTTTCCGCCGGTGAATCTAACCACTACGATACCGATCCGGGATATGGGTATTTGAATTCCTTGTACTTTATTACCCTAGCCCGACAATACGAGGAAAGGGGAGAATTATGAAACCATCAAGGAAAAAGACTGTGTTGGTGCAAACTCATATGGCACAGTGCCAATCTTTCACAACAGGCAATCGAATTCATCTACGGAAGGGAGGCCAGTGAATAGTGTGTAGGTTTATCTGGTTTTCATCCAATGTAGTTGACCGACACAACGAGCTCTAAGAGCAGCATACTGAGAGCCCTTGAAGCTGGTGTCATAGATAACAGACAGCCATGAGGATCGCATTAGAGCAACCGAGGCAACGAAATAAGTACCAACGTTGGCAATCAATATTGAACAAGGGAATCAAAGTCTGTTTTTTTCTTCATTCAGGGGAATCTATGCACAGGCTTAGATGTGCTCGTACATCCGAGAACCCCTTGGTTTTTTGCTTCATCTCAATGCAAAATCCACCCATGGATTAGAAAACCCAGAAACACCGAACAACCGCATCGACCATTCCATTCGCTTAGATGTGGGTGTCGTAGGGGATAGGAGTGATGGTCTCGGGCGCGGCACCCTGGACGAGGTGAGCCTCACGGGGCATAACGGGCTGGCGCTTGAGGTGGAGGTGAATGCCCTGCTCCTTGGCCTTGCGCTTCTTCTCGGCGTTCTCCTTAACACGCTTGACGAAGTCCTCACGGGAGCGGGAGTGCTTAACGTGCTCGATGCGGATGTTGACGCGCTTCTCGAGGTAGCGGTTGCCGACAACCTTGTACAGAAGAACACCGACGGAGGACTTGGTGACGTTGTAGACGACGCCGGTCTTACCGTTGTAGACCTTGTAGGGCATACTGTTCCAATATTTTCAGCAATCCATCCATCACCGCTTCAAAAGCAGAATATGCGTTCCATCCGAAAATATCGCGGGCGGAAATAAAACTAACCCCTTCTGAACGGCACCGTTGACCTTGATATCCACGATATCGCCGACCCTGGAAAATATCAGATCCTGCACACCTCACACAGTATATAAGAAATCGGCGGGTGAGATTTTCAGCGTACCGATAGGTCTTCAGGTAGGTCGACAGGCGAATTTGACCTTTCTCCTTGAAGTTACGGCTGAAGGCATACTAGAATCATCGTCAGCGCACGACTTCCACGACCGATCCTCTCATTCATTTTATTGACAACAACATACCCGAGTGCCGGATCGCAAACCGTGCGAGTGACCCATGTCGGCGGTGTTGGTGGTGCTGGAGTTAGAAACTTGTCGACAACGAAGAAGTGCCTCAACCACCCGCCTGTAGACCGTAGACTTCTTCGGACTCTTAGTGCGCGGGTATCCACATCCCAGGGCTAACCCTCGCCCTAAGCCCGATGCGGCTCCACCATCGCTCGCTTAGTTCCGCTCTATCTTCATCTTGTGAATCCGCAGTTTTGTGAAGTTTGGTGTGTTCGACAACCTAACGACAACGAGTAATCTGCAGCCATGGCCCCTGTCCCGTGAGTATACAGTGTTATAGCGATTCCCGCTGTTGTATTTGATCTAATTAGCGTTCTTCCAATGCAGTCGCGTCTACTCCAAGACCTACAAGGTCCCCCGTCGTCGTAAGTAGCCTTGTGCAAAGAAATGAAAAGAATTCCAAGTTGGGGGAGAATGCTAATATTTGCACAGCTTTCGAGTCGGCTCGTCTGTTAGTACTCTCCGGCCACTAATCAGAAGCGTGCTTCTGTTTATGTCGTGTGTTCTGTGTCTAATTTGGTTGGAATAGTGACTCGGAACTGAAGGTTGTCGGCGAGTACGGCCTGCGCAACAAGCGTGAGGTGTGGCGTGTCCAGCTCACTCTGTCTAAGATTCGTCGTGCCGCTCGGTATGCGACCCAACCCTACATGACGAAATACCGTGATATAACACGGGGCGAAAGGATAGCTTGAATGCTGACGTCGAGTTTCTAGTGAGCTGCTCACCCTCGACGAGAAGGACCCCAAGCGTCTATTCGAAGGTAATGCTTTGATTCGTCGTCTGGTCCGTATCGGTGTGCTCGATGAGTCCCGTATGAAGCTCGATTACGTCCTCGCCCTCCGTGTCGAGGACTTCTTGGAGCGTCGTCTGCAGACCTGCGTGTACAAGCTTGGCCTTGCTAAGTCCATCCACCACGCCCGTGTCCTGATCAAGCAGCGTCACATTCGGTATGGAAAGCCTTTATTTTTCATCGCGTATCCAGAAGTTTGTTTTGTTAACCTGTTGGAAAATAGTGTCGGCAAGCAGATCGTCAACGTGCCTTCCTACATGGTCCGCCTGGACTCCCAGAAGCACATTGACTTCGCTCTCACCTCCCCCTATGGTGGTGGCCGCCCTGGACGTGTCCAGCGCAAGAAGGCCAAGTCCGCTGAAGGCGGTGATGGTGACGAAGAGGAAGAGGAGGAGTAAATGCTTAAAACATGGAGTATGGACGGGTTTCGCGATGGAGCTTAAAATTTGGGGGTTCTATTGTGACTGCAGCATAGTATATGATGTTGTACGATCATGCCATTCAATGAACGAAAAAAGAAATAGTCTTATGGCTAAATTGTGAAACCCAAATACCCTTCACATTATACCCAATTGTAGTAAATGAAATCAAAACCCCCAATTCCATTTCCCATTTCCAAGGAGATCCAAATCAACGCCATGTCCTCCCAGAGACACCGTGAATGAAACCATGCGCAATCAGCTAACCCATGTGTGAACTTAACCCCCAACACCAACCAGACCCTTCAGAGCCTCCCCTGCACTTCGATACCATCTACCCATCTCCTCAAGCCCATCGCTCTCTCCCTCCTGTTTCTTTCTCTTGGCTTCTTGGGCTTGTGTTATAGCTTCCGATTTCCGCTTCCCAAGCACTCCTAGCTCTCGCTCTATCGTCTCTGCCTCTCTGGTCTTGCGAGGCAGAGTGTTCTGTACTGCTGCAAGTTGTCTATCAAGGGCCGAAAGTTCCGCCTCTCGCTCGGATAGAAGGGATAATGTTGCAGGGAGTGGCATATTTTGGGAGGAGGACAGGTCCATAGTAGCGATCCGTTTTGCGCGCAACCCCGCAATTGTGGACTCAAGATTCTCAATGGATTCAGGAAGAGTCGAAAGTTGTGTCATCTGAAGCTGAACGTTCTTGTAGCCTATCATAGAACATTAGCAAATCTGCTATCACCGCGACTGACTACAGCATTGTCGGGGAGCACTCACGCCTTGAAAGGTCCCGTCCTGTCTTCTCCATCTCTTCAATCATTACCCGCACCTCCTCTTTTTGGGCACGAAGTTCGGCCTTCACCTCCGCTAATTGTGCCTCCAGCTCGACATTTTCATTATGACCAACTACTAAAGGTGGGTCCCCTACGATCGCACGTAGGAATTTCTCCTTTGTAACTTGCTCGACATAGGAAAAACGTAGTTTCGAGAATAATTCCTATGATCGGTAATTTCTTTAATGAATTTGTTCTATTCACGATGTTTCGAGCCAAAAGCTAGGGTCGCACCTTGTAGTGGGTCAGATCTGCATCAAGGGATACGGGTGAGGGATTGTCAATCGTAGAGACATCGGAGTTGCGTTTGGATGGCGTGGGCGCCGAACTACCGTCTGGAGAGAAGATCGGTTCACTAATGCGAACAATTGCAAGATGTGTGTCCAAAGAGCCGTCTTGTTGCTCCATTCGATGGAGCTTCTCGAGCGCTGTTGTATGAGATAGTTCTGTCATGGTCGCAAACCCTGGGGCAATGCAGTACTGCTGAGGTTGCAAGTGACAGATGAAATGATGGAATGAAAGGAAGAGCTGACTATACTATATAGGAGTAAAACTGAGGCAACGCAACCACAATCTATGAAGTGGATGGTGAGAATAGCGCGCGTCGGCAGAACATGTGGAGATAAACAAACATCCTAGACGACCGCTGATCGCCGGGCGGTGTGGCAATAGCCCTCCGATGAGTTCATACGGCTATTTCTTCCTCCCTTGCATCCAGCATCGGTGAGATACTTGATGCCTGTTTGATTGGTCGCTAAGTGTGACAGGCGACGTTACTTTTGCCCGGTGTCTCCTATTTAAGAACCTCCGTCCTACCTTTCATGGTTCTTCTCCTCCCCCAGTCGAGTTACTTAGGTACGATCATTCGAGATGACTCCCAATACTGGGAGAGCAAGTGGCGATGTCAACAGCGATGACTATGTAGCCCAAGTTCTTGCAAGGGAGGCGCGGAATAACTCATTGAAGTATTCCACGCAAGGCTTAGGGGCTTATTTGCCGAAACGGTGAGAACTTAGACCTAACTCCATATCAGATTAATCCCCCGAACTGATGTAAATTTCCACAGGCCTACTGGAGCCGCTCCCAAACCGAACACACGATTCCTACGCCACATTATCAAAGAAACAGACAATCATAATGCGGCCTTGAAGCGAAAGGAAGAGAGGGATGCCAGGGCACGAATGCGACAGTTGCGCGACCAAGCAGCGCACGACTCCAAAAGGAGTCGACATCATCGACAACCTACGTCAGACAATCGAGATTCACGACGAGAAAGGAAAGATGATCGCTCTGAAAGATACCGTTCGCACCGAAGGAGACATAGAAGCCGTTCAACATCAGCGGACAGAGAACGTTCCAGTACGCATACATTTAAGACTTCCGAAGTTAAGGGAAGCTGGCACAAGTCATTTCGTCGGACAAGATCGCGAAGTCCCTCCCCGAGGAAGAGTCGAGACATAGATTTTCGCAGTCGCCATCGACATTACCGCAGGCGTTCTAGTTCATTATCACGGCCTCGTTCGCGATCACCCCGGGTTCACGAAAGCCGGGAAGACATATATAATGAGCGCAGCCACCGGCACCTTCCCCACGATCATGAATCTTCTCGAAAGCATGAGACTACCGACACTCGCAAAGAGTCATCATCATTCCTTACACCTACCCCTCAGGATGGAGGTGAATCGGACCCTCTGGAGGATCTTGTGGGTCCTCTCCCCCCGAAGGAGGATGGCTTTGGCAGTAGTCCACCAATCCGCTCTCGTGGTAGAGGTGCTTACAAACCCAATTCGAGTAATATTGATGCCCATTTCGCTCCCGACTATGACCCTTCATTGGATGTTCAATTAGAGGAAGCCGGTCCGTCTACGAAAAACACATCCTTTCGCCGTCCAGTTTCTGGACTTATGACAGAAGATGACGACTGGGAACTTGCCCTTGAGGCGCTCCATGATCGAGCGCGCTGGCGGCAGAAAGGCGAGGAGAGGTTGCGCGAGGCTGGATTTAATGATTCCTTTGTAGAAAGGTGGAAGAGCAATACTACCTCAGCAACAGCACACGACTCCGAGGGTAGACTAGAAGATGTGAAGTGGTCGAAGAAAGGGGAAGGCCGAGAGTGGGACCGAGGAAAGTTTGTTGATAAAGAAGGGCATATTGATGTCAAGGCCTCTTGGTAGTTATGAAAAGGACCGTTTGGGATCTTTTTCGGGTGTTCTGGCGTTGATGGGTTTTATTTTTTTTTTTTTTTTTTTTAACCTTTTTGCATCCATTTTTTGCAAGCGAAGCTAATGTACCTTTAATTGGACAGCTCATTATGAATAATGACATAAATGATGTAAGACATATACTATGGTACTAGATTCATCTTATCTTCCCCATATATTTTGTAGTATACTTGGGTCGATATGGCACTACATGGAAAGAGGTCCGAGAGTATATATATGACATACTAGGTAGTTAACGGACGTACTCCGTGCATATGAAAATTATCCATGGCATCATAATTTTACAAATGTAACCTTTTCCTTCCCAATCCTATTCCAATCAATTAGTAAAACCACATCCCTATTATCTAAACAGAGCTACAACATTCCAACATATTGGTCACCTCATTTTCCATATCAATCATTACATATCAAGTGCCAAGACATAGTATCCATTCGGTTCCGCGGCTTTGTCAGAATGCGGAAAAACGTCGCAAGTGTTGCCGATTGCCTCAACAATTTGAAAATCGCATCATTGCTTGACACGTGAAAACCATACATATGTAGGAGCCCCCCGTAGCCTTAACACCGACCGACAGCACTTAGAATGATTACTAATTTTGATTGAATTTATATAATATTGTTTGCTGGTTAGTTACTCTTGACAGAACTAAGAGCTAGATCTGGGCTGGAGATTAACTCGACCCTTATTAACCCCGTTCCGCAGGCGACCATGACAGACGCGTTCGCATTTTCTTACCCCTCACCTCTTGAAGGGTATGAGAATCTGGAGCCACTCCCAGAGTGAGTGATCCCGACAATTTGGATGTCTAATTCTCTACGAGGGATCATAAAGCAATCATTTTTCCACGGCAAAGCATAATTCTGACTGTATACGAAATAGGGTAAAGAGTGATGACGGGAAGTCCCTCATAAACCCCCAACATGGTATCTTGAGCAAAGCGTACGAGGAATTTCCAGATCCCCTGGCGAAGGACCAACAGGGCGGATTTGACATCCATATCTACTACTTCCAGGTATGTCTGATTTCGTATACCGACAAAGCCACCATTCGACGCAGTAGATAGGTCTGACAAAAGGGTCGGACAGAATAACCCAGATCAGGCCGCTTATGCGAAAGCTCTGTGGCAAAGGGTCAGGCGCGAATGTAAGCGTTCCTTTTCTTCACATGTTTTGCTTTCCTCTGTTTGAGGTGCTGTCATTCAGTGATGCGATGTGGCCACTGCGTGATGGTCGATTGTGAGATATCTGCATCCACGTGCTAATGCAGTGTAGTTCCCGAGCTGCGCATTTATCCCCTTTATGACAGGCCGATAGGTCCGCATCCAGTCGCCATGTTTGAAGTCAACCTGTTCACGCCGGCCCAGTTCGGGGCTTTCGTCCCGTGGCTCGTCATCCATCGGGGGCCTTTAAGCGCCCTGATCCACCCGAACACGGTGGAAGAGGAAGAAGAACGAAATCATACACAGCGTGCGACATGGCTGGGAGATAGGGTTCCTTTAGACTTGCGAGTTTTTAAATTGTTGCAGGAGCGGCAGAGAAAGAAGGAAGCGGAAGTGGAAGTGGAAGAACGCGCCAGGAAAGAGTAAATATATAATCGAAGTTGAGTTTCACTGATTTGCAGAGGCTTAGGTGTATAAAGAAAAGATGTATTGTAGGAACCTACGGGGCTGATTTGGACTGGGCGATGTTGGGCACGGAATTCATAGTAGTAGTCGAAGGGGCACAATGTTGCGTTCCACCAGCCAAATTAAATGGACATATCAGTGTCGCAGTTCCAAAGAAACACATCATCCATCCTGCAGACCAAGTCACTGGATAAGTGCCCAGGGCCGGGTGATATCCATAGCGCAGAGCATGAACAGATAGATCGACTTCAGCCATCACGGGATCGGACAATTCCGACGGGACCAACATGACCGTGTCGATCCCTCCCACGTTCAACTCTACACCAAAGCAATTGGCGGAATCCTGGTCATACTTATCGGAGGTATTATAAGGCGTTGTCTGTCGGCACTGATACTAAGGCACGAAAGACACTCAGATTGTAAAAATGACTCGGGGGGTCAGTCAGCTTGACTAATAGGAAAAGGATCAATGCTGATGACCTCTCTTGCACGAGGCAAGCCAAGCAGAATGCATTGGCTGTAATGCCTTTATCAGCTGCTTTGACCTGAATTTCAGCCCTGAAGATATGGGCTAATGCAAATGGACCCCACGGTGGTCAGTCTTGGTCAGTTGAATCGTTGCCATGTAACCCAAACCATCCAGGACGATCTTTTCCTTTTCTTTTTTTTTTTAATCCTCCCCAATTGGTTATGGTTCTCTCGTGACTGGCTGTCTCGTTGTCTCTTAAAGGGAGTTTGTAGTCTTGTAAATCTGATCTGCATTTTCCACCTCGAAGTAAAATACTGGAAGACTACTTTATTTGTGCTGGTATAGAATAAATAGTCCTTCTCGAAGAGGTACCGTTTATTCCCTCCCCTATAGAGTACATTTCTCATACTAGAGGCTTTGCAGTTTAAAAGACCGTTTCAATGGATTTAGTTGCGACGGGTTTACCTGGCTATGTTCTAGACTACGGTAAGATATGCGGGCGAGTTTACAATCGACTGTGCATCCTAAGGTAACCCATGCAATAGCCCCACTGGTTTGGCTACATAGTGAAGACCCATACAAGCCTTCCGGGATTGTGCAACAACTTGAACACACTACCCCAATGGTGGATTGGAAAGCAATTGGAGGAGCTCCGTCGCCCCTGACACTTGACAACCTCGACAAACTGAACGATCTGGGAAACACAAGCGTCCACCTGACATCCAAAGAGGGCATTAATGCCGATCCGACTCCGTCATGGTTTTACGGCGCTCCTGTTAACCAGGATGGCAAGTCCGAGGATGTTGTCTCTTCGTCTATTATCGTCAATGACCACGGTGACGGAACTGTAGATGCCTTTTATTTCTACTTTTATGCGTAAGTGTCAGTGGAAAACTGGGATGGGGACAGCGTCATACTCACTGTTATAAAAGGTACAACCAGGGAAATACAGTTGTAGACATGGAATTCGGTGACCATATGGGAGATTGGTTAGTTGAACCGCAATTAAAGTGTTATTATTTTTGCTATTATTTTTCTCTTACCACAAAGAACAGGGAGCATAACATGATCCGATTTTCAAATGGCGAACCGCAAGCGATCTGGTATAGTCAGCATGCCTATGGACAGGCTTTCAAATACAAGGCTACGGAGAAGAAAGGCAAGCGGCCGATCGCATACTCGGGAAAAGGCACCCACGCGAACTATGCCATTGCCGGGTTTGTTATCTCCAGAGCCAGCCCTTCTGTTTTCTTTCATATTCGCGACGCTGACAAGTTTTAATTATCCTGCCTAGCAACCATGACCATGCCATTCCCCATCTTAACCTTCCTTTTGGATTTGTTGTCGATACCACGGATCAGGGCACTTTATGGGATCCCACCATGAGCACTTATGCATACAGCTATAATGCGGCCGACGAGACGTTCAAGCCCTACGACTCCAATTTTCCGGTCAATTGGCTATACTTCAACGGTCAGTGGGGTGACGATGCGTTACCGGGAGGACCGGAGCTGTTTGGGCAGAAGAAATACGCCGAGGGTCCAAATGGGCCCAAGTTCAAAAAGCTTTCCAGGACTAAGGTGTGCCCAGATGATCCATGCGTTGAGCTTCCTTTCCGTATTTGGAGCACGGTTAACTCGACCACATCGGCAACGCTATGATGAAGAACGGGGGGGCTTAGGTGGTGGGAGGATATATATTTAGAGAGTAAGACTGTATTTATCATCGATGCGCCGTTATAACGGATACTTTATAGAAGGCTTGAGACTAGGTGATCTGTGCTGGTCGAGAATTTGAGGTATGAAGGTGTTCGATTATTTTGATTACCAAGATAATTAGTTTGGTTCTTTTCCCGGATTTCCCGCTTCCCGGATTTCCCGCAAAACATTGGTGGAGCTTCATGTTCAGGCTGGTAAAATGTTACCCCGTAATAATGCAGTCCATTTCCTTCTGAACCACTGTAACCAAGTTTGGGACCTCTCGGACAGGCACGGGACCACGCGAACTCTATTGGTGGTAGCTTTGTTCCTGGCAGGAGCAGCTGATTGGTTCAGCCAATTAAACTGCCAGTACTCTGTACTCTTTGTTTAGAGGAAGGACGTAATTAAGATTTCGCTGGGCGTCACGGTAACATTACCATTCGAATACACTTGTGGATGTCGGGGCATTCTTTCCGTTTGTTGGTTAGGAGACTTGGCGTACCTGGACGTATAAATTGTATGTATTTCTACATAGTTGATAAGGATAGGACTGAAGTAATTGAAATTTAATTAATGCATGCAATATGCACCACCATAATCTAGGTGCTCTGAAGTTAGAACACCGTAAATCGAGGGATATTAGTACCCACGTGTGGACGGAATTTTTGACTATCGCTTGTTGTTCCATTGGAAGAGTTACCGCTAAAGTCGTATGACGGTACCATGAAGGTATGAGCTGAAATTTGGGTGTATGACGGTACTCAGTAGAAAACGTAACAATGACCTTTGGATATTTTGCCTTCCGATTTCTTGAACTATTATGACAATATGCCACATTGGCCTGAAGCAAATGTCAAGAGCGAGCTGTCCTCTATTTCCCACTGCCAAATATGTTGATCTGGAACACCAGTAGGCACCGCAGAGCCTGATTCCACCAGAGTGAAGTCTTTGGCATAGGGAAAAAACCATTTGGTAGGCTGTAACGGCTGAACCGAGTGCCCCTCCAGAGACCGAACTAAACCTCCAAGAGCCTGCCCACTTAAAAGACTCAATACACAGTTCGGACCAACGACCGGCCTAACCTAAAGCACTTAGAGTGTCGCAGAGTGGAGAGACGTCTTGGTGAGGCCGAGCCCCTGCTAAAGCTGCTCTTGCTTTGCCCCTGAATCTCATCCAGCTCAAAAAGATTCCCGAGCTTCTTCTCCGCGCTAGCATCAGCTGCAAAGACGAAGCGCTTCGGCAAGCTCTGGTGCCCGCAGAGTAGGCAAACTGTTGATATAGACAGCTAGGCTGTTGTTTGGCGCTCTTTCAGCACGAAGCAATTGCCTTCCAGAACAAGGAGTTCGGATACTGCGAGATATCTGCTATTATCATCTGTATCCATTTTCTGGCCGATCATCATCAGTCTTACAACGCCATCATCCTTTCATTTCATTTGTTCCTTTTCATTTGATCATTTGGTTCTTTCTTTCTCCCCCCCTTTTTTTTTTGTTGCAGCCCTTTCTTCATAGTTTATTCAAACGTTCCGCATCAGTCGGACACTGTGAGCAGGTATCTTCACAATTTATTTTTGGCCCAAGGACGAATTGAAACGGGAAAAAGGAGAAAAAAAAAGATTGAGAACATTGTCAGCCCTACACATATTTTACCTCTTACTCGGCTTCCCTGTGTTCTCTAACAGAGATACGGAACTGGATTCAACAGCCGCTTGCTGGACTTGTGGGTGTCTCCCTAAACTTTTGCTATCTATCAGCTTTTTGCCGTTGCGGTGAAGTTGCTGCAGGCTAGCCATTGTCTCGGATTTAATTGAGAATCGCTCGGCTGAAAGAAGTGAAAAAAGAAACACCACTGGATTGAAGAAAATCCGTATGCTTAGCTAGATTGGTCCCAGCACAACTCGAAAGTTATAATCGGCCAGGTCTCTGTAAGTGTTTTGCGATTTAGTGTGTGTTCATAGTGACAGAAACCCCGAGAACATATCGGATGTGTCCGCTTGCTTGCATTTAAAGCTTCATACTGACCTGTACCAAGCAGTTTCTTAGTTGGTTGAGTCTACTATTTGAATTACGTCGGTAACGCGGGAAGCTTTCTGTCGCCGAAGGAATCTATATCTGAGACAGCATTAATTCACTGCTACCCCACTTTTGACCAAAGTACCCATCCGTGTAACAGCCGGTCGTGTGATCGGAAAGAGCCACCCTGAATTCATTCCAATGGCGACCGCTTCATCTAGACCCCATACGCCAGGGCGGATTCAACCTCCCGCAGAACCCCTTCCTCCTATCACGGAGAGTGGTAATAGCCAGACCAAAGACCAACGAAGAACATCTCTCGCTTTTCTCCGCCGCTCCAAATCTACAGATATACTAGGTGAAAGAAGATCATCCGGAAGCAAAGGCAAGAAGATGGGGAAGGCCCAAGCGACGGAAGATGAGATTCGCCGCCAACGTGAATCGATGCCCAGACAACCCCCTCGTCTTCCCGATCTTTCACCAGCCCCGACTCTGGAAACGTTTGGTGGCGATGAGCGCCGTGACAACGTTGCTGCCCTTTCTAGTCAGAACTTCTCGGCCCTTCAACAGGCGCGCAGCGCGATGAGCACACCGGCAGCCCCCGAATATGATCCTTATGCGCGTACAGAGAGCATGACACATCGTGGTCGTTATAGCTACGCGAGCAGTGCTGTAAGCACAATAAATAGTCCGCGCAGGCTACGTCGGCGCAAGGATCCGACTCCATATAAGTATGTGGTACAGTACAGAATTTTAGGACGAATCGGTGGGTGCTGATCTTTTTTTCTAGCGTTCTTGTCATAGGTGCTCGCAATTCAGGAAAGACTTCATTCCTCAACTTTTTAAGAAACTCATTGACTATGCCTCCCCACAAGCATCCCACCCGCCCCCTCGACGAGGTAGAATATTATGACCGTCAATTGCCTGCCAACGAGGGCTATACTTCCCAATATCTTGAAACGGAAATTGACGGGGAGCGTATAGGTCTGACATTATGGGACTCTCAGGGCCTGGAAAGGAACATCGTCGACATCCAGCTACGTGGTGTTACTGGCTTTCTGGAAAGCAAATTTGAGGATACGTTGAAGGAGGAGATGAAAGTGATCCGCTCACCTGGCGTTCGAGACACCCATATCCATTGCACTATCCTGCTTCTTGATCCCGTGCGTCTTGATGAAAACATCGCTGCTGCGGAACGCGCTGCCCAAGGAACCTCCAAGTCTACTGATTCTCCTGTTATTGGAATTCTTGACGAGAAGCTCGACATTCAGGTCCTGCGAAAGGTTGTGGGCAAGACAACCGTTGTCCCGGTCATCAGCAAGGCTGACACCGTCACCGCTGTTCACATGTCATACCTAAGGAAGGCAGTCTGGGATAGTTTGAAGAAGGCCGACATCGACCCTCTAGAGATCCTAGCTCTAGATGACCAAGACGAGTATACATCCTCAGAAAGTGCCGATGAGGGCGAAGAGGTTAATGACGAGGACGCGGAACCGACCGACGATCATAGTGCAGAGCCCACCCCTTCAAATGAAGAGACTGCAGCGGCTGAAACGCCGAGTTCAACCTCCATCCGAAGCCAGAGTACTCGCGAATCGTCTGGATCCCAGACTACTCCCCAGATTCTGCCTTTCTCGATCTTGTCACCTGACCCACACTCACTGAAGGCTGGAGACAACCCTGTCGGCCGGAAGTTTCCGTGGGGATTTGCTGATCCATACGATCCTAAGCATTGCGACTTTCTTAAACTTAAGGAATCTGTTTTCAACGAGTGGCGATCTGAATTACGTGAAGCTAGTCGTGTGGTTTGGTATGAGAATTGGAGAACTAGCCGCTTGAATCGCAATAGCCCAAGTGCGCCTCTGCCTCAGAAGAAGTCCTATAGTGGTAGAATGGGTCCCCTTTGAAAGCAACTATAGTCGAGATTTCCTAGCAACGTTTGTTGTTAAGGCGAGTTCTACTAAGTGGCTTCTATTTCTTTCTTGTCACTCTTTTATTTATTCTCCCATGAAACGCATTGCACGCCCTATAGTTGGCTTCATCTTCCGCATACCCCGTTTTCTCGATTAATACCCGCAGTCGCGATTCGGGTCTTGAGGCACGAGGGTAGTTGCGTGTTCCTAGTTCATTTACCTTCTCAATCCTACACTTTTTCCCGATTCTGTACAGGATGTGGGATGGCCCCAGATTCAATACGGAACAGCTTCAGACCACTCAGACGACCAACGGACCGATGACGTGACAGCCATCCTTTTTGGACATCGGCATTCGGATCGTGCACGATGAAAATAATTAAAATTTCTGGATACTTCCTTCTGTTGGACATTGTTTTTTCGAATTCCCGAAAGACCAGTTTATGGAAGCGCCTGACTTTATTATACCACCTAGCGAACTTATTGCGATATCACTGTCGATGTTCTAGGGTCTTTAATACAAGATCAACTCATCCTGGTGTATCCAATGGCCATTGTTTTTTTTTTTTTTTTTTTCCCTTTAAAGCCCTTGAGTCTATCCTATCATTTCTGTTTTCCCTTCTTGTACCAGTTCTTCCCAGGTATCTTCAACTACATGTATGACTTGTCCCATTAAGTTCTGTATCGATGTAGCTGTCGCTGTCCCGGTTGTGTCTAATGCCTAGCTTTGAGCTGGAGTTCCAACTTTACTTTCTTTCAATCCCTTGACAGATAGTCTTCAGGAATGGGATGCAATCATTTGCCGTTTTAGTTATCCAGTGGGTCCCATGTTAAGATTTTCGACTAAGTAGCAACGTAGCGTGCCCTAGAGCCCCCAGAAGTGTTCTTGATTACTAGTCAATATTGATCTGACTTTGTTGGGATAGTGGTGCTTTGTATCGGGAGGTATCAAGACTTCCAAATGAAGGTTTCCTCCATGTAACCAGTAAACAGTAGCTAGTTAGGTACTATTAAGCACAATGAGAAAGTGGATAGAAACTAAGGCTGAAAGGAATCCCAGTGGCCAATAAGGAGAGCTGTGGTGCCGAGCTGACCGTGAGAAGGGGACTGGTGCGACCTTAGCAAGGGGTTCATCCCAAAACGAAGTGTTCTTATACGAGGGAGCTAACGCGGCGAGGGTCTAAGCGGGAGTGGATTCAGCTCCTAAGCCCACTCCGCTCATTCGTGAGAAGTTGACTGACCAGACAGGTGCTGTGAGGCATCTGTCCGTCAGCTTCACATGATGCGGCTCCTCCACGATTCATATTGTTTGTCCCCACGGGAGTGCGCTTCGAGCCAGGATAAATAAAATCAGCTACTTATCTTGTCTCTGGGTCTATGGCACTGGCCTGTACCTTGACGCCAACCCCTCCGATGATCAGTTAATCGACCCGCTCTTACTCCAGCTTTGACCACAGACCCCAAAATCCCGGGTTAGCGGCTCACTTTCGAATTGCGCATGTCCCCATCGTCTATTCACAGCGTAATTTCTTTCGTCAAAACCCCATTGTCATCCTCGCCGTCGTCTTGACAACCTCTGCGCTTCGTTGTGACCCTCGCGATTAGTGTCGCTATCGTTATTGTCGCCGTCTCGATTGATTTCATCGCCATCCATGTCGCTTCAGGTCGGCGACCCACGGTCGCGCGGCCGTTCCAAGTCACCCAGCGGTCGTACCCGTGATCGTTCCAGATCTCGCGACAACCGACAGCCCTCCCCTGGTCCGGATATGCCCAGGGCATCCTATCTGAACCCTAACCTCGGGAGCGAATATCCACGGTCCTATTCTAGGAGCCGAGGTACTAGTCCCAGCCGTGGATACCGGACCAGCTCTCGGTATCGCCCTTCTGGTTCAGACTCAGGAGAAGATGACAGAAGCTACTACCTCCGCCCCGAGCGAAGCAGTGATCACTATTACCATTCCGATTCTGGGGAAAGCAAAGCGACAAGGCAGCGGGGGAAGAGCTATACCCGGTCCCCAAACCTTCGTCCCGTCCAGTATGGTTCCTCAGACGAGTCTCTGGATTCGGATGATGATGCGCTTGCCTACGGAGACATACCTGGTGGAATGGAGAGGGGCTTCTACGGATATACAGCCTCACCTCGTGCTTCTTCTTCTCGGGTAGATACAGCGCAGATGTCCGGAGCACTAAATGCGGACAAATACTTCAAGAATGAATCGTCGCGGGCTGCGGAGAGACTGGATGAGGGGGTTCCTGGCAGTCATCCTAGCTACGCGAGACCTAACCCGTTCAAATATGCCGTACCATCACAATATCCTCATTCGCAATCTGCGTCGCAGTCGAATTGGGCGCCGATCCCAGAGTGCGAGCGCCCAGGTTTTGTCCCGCCGTCTTCGCGGGCAGAAGAACAAGCGATGCCCGGGGCATTCCCACCAGCGTCGACACATCCTGAATTATCGGCTACCCCTGGGGTTCCCGCATTCCCGATGCCACAGTATGCGAATATGGAGGGTCAGCACAATTCTTATGCTCCAATGACTGGTCGTCCGATTTCTGTGTCAACTGGTAATGCGTACGCGCCCTCCGTCGCTTCCCCGACACACCAACGACATTTATCCGACACATCAATCCAGCCAAGTTACGCCAGACCTGCCCAGTTCCAGTATGCAGATATTGACCCTAAGGTTAAGTATACCTCCAAGTCGACGTCAAAGCCATTCTCGTATTCCTCGGAACGGCAATTTTCGAAGGCTAGCACAGCTGGAAGTAGTCAACCTCAATATACTGGGGTGAGGTATTCTGCAACGCCTCAGTTCTCTAAGACGCCGACCAGCCGTGAGGATAGTGAGCAACAGTATGTTGAGATTACGCCTGGGAGAAGAACAGGCACTCGCCCTGCAAGTCTATCCGTATCTTCTGCCAATAATCTCTCCGTCGCTGGACCAGATCCGAACTTTCGACCAGCTAGCCCCTTACAAGAGCCATACAAGGGCACATACCAAAGCATTTCACCAATGCCATCGCCCATTGTGATCCCTTCTAAGCTAGACGAAGACATCTCAGACCTCGAGCCACTGGATGGGGGCTCTGATGTCAGTGGCCATAGGAAGCACCGGAGAAAAAAGTCCAGGGACGAAAAAGACCGCAAGGAGAAGAACAGTGACCGATCTAAGAGAGACAATAGCCGTGTTCGGCATGAGCGCCATGATTCAAATGGACGGCAGTCTCTCGTCTTGATATCACCGGCCAGTAGTCGAAAGCGGGTGTCTTTCTACGATGTGGGCCCCGATGCAGTTGCAATGCAGGAAGCCCTCAACCGAACACGCAGTATTGATACTAAGACCATTATTCGGGTGCTTCCTCATTTAACCAGCGAGGAAATGCTGGATCTCCGCAAGGAGTATAAGAATCACGTGAGGTTTCATGGGAAAGGAATCAACCTGGCTAAGCACATTCGATTGAAGCTGGGCAATAGCGCCTTCGGCAAGGTGTGCTATGCCACAGCTTTGGGCCGCTGGGAATCAGAGGCGTTCTGGGCCAATTGCTATTACCAGTCCAGTACATCGCGGCGGGAACTTCTCATTGAATCACTGTTTGGCCGTATTAACAGCGAGATCAGTGAAATTAAGGAATGCTTCCGAGACTCCCGCTATTCAGACAGCCTAGAGAAATGCATGAAAGCCGAGCTGAAAGCGGACAAATTTCGCTTGGCAGTGCTACTCGCCTTAGAGGAGAATCGCCAGAGTGAGCGGGATCCCATTAATATGGATCTGGTCCAGCGCGACGTCGACGAGCTGCACCGAGCTCTGATTTCGCGCAACGGCGGCGAGACTGCGATGATATCCATCATAGTTCGTCGCAGCGATTCCCATCTGCGGGAGGTTCTTCGTGCTTATGAGAAGGTCTACAATCAAAATTTTGCTCGGGCTATGATAGCGAAGTCTCAGAACTTGGTGGTATGTCCTATGCCCTTTCTTTCTCCGCCCCGCTCGCTTTCTATTAGTAACACGCATCATGAAACAGGGCGAAACACTGGCACACATCCTTAACGGAGTCATCAATCGGCCCATGCGCGATGCGCTTTTACTACACCAGGCTCTTCGAGAGTCACGTACCGGCAAGGAGCGATCGGAGTTGTTGATCTCCCGCCTGGTCCGATTCCACTGGGAACCACGGCACTTGGAACTGGTGAAGGGGGAATTTCGCCGACGATATGGGGAGCGCTTGGAGGAGGCTATTGCCGAGGAGATCTTACCCACCAGCGGAGGCAGTGAGTGGGGGGAGTTTTGTATCGAGTTGGCTCGAAGCTCGAAGACGCTTGCGGGAAGAGCTTGAGGTTATACGGGCCGGGGGGTTGGTTTGTCTTCTGCTTACGACCTTATGATTTAGTTTAGATGGGTGGAACTGGGCTGTGTATTTGTTGATATGCCGACGAGGGAATTGATATTAGGAGTGCGAAGATATTTCGGGATTTTATCATGAGATAATGATGATTACCGCGCGTAGAGGGGTAAAAAAAAAAGAAAAGCCGGCTGGACAGGTCGTGCGCTTACCCTGAAGGGATCTATTTCGACTGATTGTGTGTTGAGGTTACATTCTTCATTTCTTTCCACCGAGCTACGGAGTGATTGATGCTTTTGATCCCGTACACCACAATTGCTACTCCATATTAAGCATTAATTGCCCACCCCACTGGAGGGAAGCCAGCTGATCACATCGTTGTCCGCAATACATTAGTTAGCTAACTCTGTCGGCTATCCATGTGCCTTACTGATACGATGCCAACTCCATATTTTCCGGTGCTATGCTAGGGAAGGAATCTTCCGGGGTGGAGTATGACGCATCTAGAGAGAGGGGAAAGCCTCTAAACGACAAGAAACCCTCTGGTTCGGTCAAATTAATGATTGCTGTACGTCTACCGGAGTAGACGCCAACTAGTGTGGTAACTCCGAAGTTCATTTCCAAGTCGCCTCGAACCAGGCCGAAATGACAGCGTGAAATTTATTTGTCTGGTACCTGCGTGCGATGTGATGAATCTCCTGCTGTGGAACCAGTACCATCACCGCGTTCATATTGTCTTTTATTTCCACTCTTTTTTGTTTGAATACTTTCTTCCCCGATCAACTCGCTTCCACTTCTTCGCCCAATGTATGGAGTAAGCCGCGAAGGTCGAAGATTGGAGACAGCTGGTTGAAGACTTTCTTGATGCTTACGATGGAAGGTGACCATGGCTCATGCATGCCAATTGACTAGCTGATTGACTAGCCGCTTAGCTCGATGCATCTATCCATAACAAAATCAAAGCAATGTTAGTTTGGAGAGCCCAAAGGTCACACCGCAGGGCAGCCAGTATCAAGGAGGGGGAAAGGGAATCTATCGTGTCGACAAAGGAGGGGGGATGCTCACCTCTCACATGATGGCATCACAATGTTGGTCACACCCGTGCGATTCCTGCAGAGGACAGGAGCAAGTAGGTAAGTCTAGACGAGCAATGACTCTGACTCTGATTCGGAGTCGGCGGCGGCGGGGAAAGGAAAAAAAAGAAAAGGAACAAAAACAAGAACAAGAACAAGTAAAGTAGATGTCCTGATCCCGTGCCACCTTCCTGTTTTGGCTCTTCCCATATGCTTCCTAGTTTTGGTCGTCTTCTTATGCCCTTCCTTCCTCCCTCTCCTCCCTCTATACCCTCTTGATCGCTCGAATGCGTGGGTTACTTTACAACCCATCGTTCCAAAGTCGTTCCTTTTCCTCTTGTTTCACCTATTTTCGTCTCTCCTTCAGACCCTGCAACGGCGTATCGTCCGGTTGTCGCTCTTTCATCCTCACCGAGGCAGTCATCAGTCATCCAAGTTACTTATCGGACAACTTGGCTGTTTACCCCGTATTTTTAGTTTAATCCTTACTGGCAAAGTGCCGGCTGATCGGATCTGCAAGAAAAACACTACCCCGGCCTAGTACTTTATAGGATCGATCGACCTGGGCGTACTTAAGTGTCCTGGACTATGTTGACAAGACTGCCCTGATAGCGAACGAGGGCTTCACAGCATGTTCTACGTCTTCTACTTTTCCCTTGCATGATTATTATCCACTCCATCTCCTCGGCCTTGGCCCCTGGCCTCGGTAGCTCGGGCATATGGGCGTAGGCCTCATGAGTCTCTCCACACAGAAATGACAGGTCAGGCGACGCCCAAAAATTTCAAATTCCCCTCCATCATTCATGCTCTTCTCTTCAGTATCAATCGCTAATCCTAATGCGAGTAGTGGTTTAATTAGGATTCCTTCCTGGTTATGGTATGCGGACCTCATATATAGACACCAGCTCCTAGCATTCCAATGAACATTCTGATTACCATTCCCAGATCGTTTTGAAAAAGACTCTGTCTTGGTTTGTTTGTTTTCGATCCGGTGAAAGCAACACGCGAGGTGACATATATAGCAAACCTAATTTAAAACGACAATGCGTTTTGGCTGATATTTAAGCCTCTGATTCACAATGATTGTACATCTCTTCTCCATCCTGGCTGCATTCCTGGCTTATTCGGCGGATGCAGCATCGATCTTCACCCCTGCTAGGCCTCCTGCGCTACCACTTGCCGTCAAGTCGCCATACTTGAGCACCTGGTTGTCTGCAGGGAAAGATGATGGCAATGGGGGTTACCTGGCAGGCGAATGGCCAACGTTTTGGGCGTGAGTGTTCCCCAATCTGAACCTTTGCTTTATTGAGCGTTGGTTAAGAAGTAGCTTGTGATATAGTGGACAGGTGACTGGTTGGGCCGGTATGATCCGTGTTGATGGCAACGTTTACACGTGGATGGGTCTGCCAGGATCAACCACAGTCAACCAAACTACTTATCAGTACACGTCAACAAGGAGCATTTTTACCATGCACGTTGGGGACATGATCGAAATGAATGTTACTTTCTTATCCCCGATAGCCCCCGATGATTTTCGGAGACAATCACTCGTATTTTCTTATCTAGATGTTGATATCTCGTGCCTGGATGGCAAAGCTCATGACGTGCAGTTGTATGCTGACATTTCAGCAGGTACGTTTATTTCATTAGAGAGAGACTGACAATATCCACCAATATCTCAAAGATAGAAAACAAAAATACCCTGTCTGACTAGATTACAGAATGGGTGTCAGGAGACCGTAAAGCCAAGGCGCAATGGGACCACGGTGTCACCAAAGGAAATGTTGCTTATCACAAGGTCAGCCGCCAGACACAGCTGCTTTTCTCCGAGAGCAGAGATCAGGCGGAATGGGGCGATTGGTACTGGGCGACGGATGATGGAGATCAGCTTACGTTTCAATCTGGAGCAGACGTCGACGTCCGAGGTGCATTCTCGAAGAATGGGAAGCTGGAAAACTCCAAGGACGGTAATTACCGTGCCATATCGGAAAACTGGCCAGTTTTTGGATTTGCCCATGATCTTGGATGGGTACATACGTCCGCAAGTGCGTTGTTCACTATTGGCCTGTCTCAGGAGGACGCGATCCAGTATAGTGGATTTCATGGCACTACTTCTCAGCCTTCGCTATGGACAAGCTATTTTAGAGATGCCTTGGATGCTGTGGGTTGTCTCTGATTCAGGTTGTCCTATTTGTTAGCCGTGCTAATTTCCAAAGCTTGATTTCTCCCACCATGACTTCGCCGATGCAAGCTCCCTTTCAACAGACCTGGACAATCGGATTGCTAAGGACTCTCTTGCTGTTGCTGGCCAGGACTACCTAACCATCACTTCGCTAAGCGCTCGCCAAGTCTTCGCCGCGACACAGCTAACCGGAACACCGCGAAATCCTTATCTCTTTATGAAGGAGATATCCTCGAATGGGAATATGAATACGGTTGACGTCATCTTCCCTGCCCACCCTGTCTTTCTGTACACGAATCCGCAGCTTCTGAGGCTTCTGATGAAGCCGCTTTTTGAACTTCAGGAGTCAGGGAAGTATCCTAATAGATACGCAATGCATGATATTGGCACTCACTATCCTAATGCAACTGGTCATCCGGATGGCAATGATGAGCCAATGCCTCTTGAAGAGTGCGGGAACATGGTGATTATGGCCTTAGCATATGCCCTCAAAGCAGACGACACGCACTACCTCGACATACACTACAATTTGTTGAAACAATGGACAACTTATTTGATAGAAGACGCTCTTTACCCTGCGAATCAGATATCCACCGATGATTTTGCCGGTCCTTTAGCGTACGTGCTGCCCTAGATGCTATTATGTGATTCCGCGTGTGCAGTGTTAACGGCTTTCCGCAGTAACCAGACAAACTTGGCCCTGAAAGGGATTATTGGCATTGAAGCTATGGCTGTCATCAGCAATCTGACCTACCACTTTGACGTCGCCAGAAATCATTCGCGTATTGCCCATGAATATGTAGACCAGTGGCAGACTTTGGGAGTGGCACATGATGCGAACCCACCACACACAACTTTATCGTATGGGTCTAACCAGTCTCACGGTAGGTTCACTTGTGATGAATGAGACCCAGACAAGACTGACTGACAATGGTAGGATTGCTGTACAACCTCTATGCTGATCGAGAGTTGGGCCTGAACCTTGTTCCCCAATCTGTTTATGACATGCAAAACACATTCTATCCCACAGTGCAAAATACATATGGAGTGCCACTGGATACTCGCCACCAGTATACAAAAGGTTAGTTGCAGGAATACTCGTATGCGGTAGCTTGACTCTGACCAAAATGTTAGGAGACTGGGAACTATTCACGGCAGCGATTTCCTCGACCAGTACTAGAGACATGTTCATCCAGCTACTTGCCAAGTGGATCAACGAGACTCCAACAAACCGTGCCCTTACTGATCTTTACGATACAATTAATGGAGAGTAAGCTGTTCTCATTGATCATAATAAAGCTGTTGTGCTGACCCTACCAGCTATCCACAAATAACCTTTATCGCCCGTCCGGTTATGGGTGGTGCCTTTGCATTGATGCTTCTCCACCAGGGCCTTTAATCGCATCGGGAGAAGCTCTTTTGGGTTGATTTTTGCGCCCGATCCTTTATTGATATTATAACTGTGCCGGTCACTTCTTTGGATCAACGGTTGAACTGTTTATTTTTACAACGGCCATTGCTAAACCAAGTCTACGGCGCTGGCCACCACCAGTCTATTCCGCAGCTATATATATACCCCCCGCTTGTGCCATGGTGGACATGCAAATACACTACTTGGTTACCTACCCATGTTGATACTAGGCAGTAAACAGGCGCGGCAATGACGGTATTGTAAATACACTTGAGCGTTAAATATCGTTGGGTCAGGACATATCTCTCAGAGCTACACAGTATAAACACAAGTGTTGCTAGACAACCGTAGATGACCTATAGTTCCCCAGCAAAGCTTATGCACAGATCACTCTAACATCTATCTTATATACAGCACTCATAAGTCACGGGCAACTTCGGTGCGAGCATAGGCAACATCAAAGGCACGGATAAGATCTATAACGGTTAGTCGAAATCTGTACACAAAACCAGACCAGACCAGACGAGAAAGAAACATACCATAGTACAACGCCATGGCTTCCAAGTGCACGTCGATGCTGATCCTCTCATCGACCGTATGAATATTGTACGTACCACCGACACGCGATGGGCTCCAGCGGTAAATATTGCGAGTCAGATTCCAGTAGAATCTAGTATCCGTGTTGCCGGTCATGATATCTCCACTAACGACAACTTTTTTACCCTTCAAACTAGGGACCGACTCGAAGACAGATCGTGTCACACCGGCAAAACGTGCCCAGACAGCGTCGGTGTCAATATCTGTCGGGCTGACAGGGGCCGGGTTAAGAGGTTCATTCAACAGGGTCACTGTAAGGTGATTAGGAGAAGCTTTCTCGTATTCCCCAGTAGTGGGGAAGGCGGTCCAGGTCAGATTATGTTTCTCGACAATGGGACCGATGATGCGGACAGCACGATCTATCACGGCCTTTGGGGTTTGGTGCAGAGCGACGCGGTAGTTGACGATGGCGGAGATCTTCTCGGGCAGAGCATTGGATTTAACACCACCAACGAAGACGTCTGCTGCCTGGGAGGTTTGCAGTGTGAAGCGGACCTTCTCACCGCGTGAGGCGGCTACTTTCGCCGCGAGAGAAACGTGGTCGGAGGACTGGAGGGCGGAAGCGAGCCAAGGTTCAACGTTGTCCGGGGAATGGCGGACCTGACACTCGAGCATTTTGCGGGAGGGGTGGCCATCATGCAGCACAGGGATGAAAAGATCCTGTCGCTCCAGCTCGTAGATGATCTCTGACATTATTCCGATACCAGTGTGCGGAGGTGGGACGGAACTGTGGCCGCCGGTGACGTCGAGGTTGAGCACGATGTCAAGGGCCCCTTTCTCGCCGACACCAGGGAGGGCGTAAACCACGCCGTCATTGACACCGTCACCTCCGACGACTTCGAGTCCCATACCACCTTCATCGAGGATGAACTCAAAGCTGTCGGGGCCGTATTTCTCTTCCAAGAACTGAGAGATGGATCCGGCTCCTAGGAAGCCGTGAGATTCCTCGTCAAAGCCGAAGGCGAGAACCACGCTGCGAGCTGGTAGCCAGTCTTGACTAAGCAGGTCCTCGATAACGGATAGGAGACCAATTAGGACATTCTTGCAGTCGCTGGCACCACGACCCCAGAGCCATTCGCCGTCAAAATGGCCAGCGAATGGAGGGTGGGTCCAGTCGGAGGGGTCGTTAATGGGCACGACGTCCTGATGGGCCATGAACAGCAACGGCTTGAGGGAGGTGTTGGTGCCATTGAGCGTGAAAACCAAACCGAGTCTGTTGATGTGGTCTACGCGGGCGTGGGAGTGGCTATACGCAATGTGAGAGGTGGTTCGTCCAGAGAGAACAAAAGACATACGTGAGCGGGAAAAGGGACCGGAGAAGTTGCTGGAACTCGATAAATGGAGCGAATCCTTCGTCGTAGGGATCTGTCATAAAATCGTTGACTGTAGTTGGCACCTGGACGGCTCTGGAGAGTCGGTCGGCCTGGCGTGTTCGAAGACTATCATCTTGGAGGTATTTGAGTGGCGAAGTTAAACCATCATCCGGTGGCGTTATCTTTGAGGGCAGAGGGCAGAGATTGTTGTCCTGTTCGGCCAAGGAGTGGAGGACTTGTTGCGGGGAAGGAATAGTAAAGGATATAGCCGAGGGTAATAATAGCCCAACAATGGCTGGGGCAATAGGAACCATTGAGCGCATCGTTGATGGTTTGTCAGTGGGCAAAGGAGGACATGCAGAGGTACAAGGTCCAAAGAAACAGCAACGGTGATGACATGGCGAACGATAAGACTTTATATTATTCTCTCCTGTCCTTAGTTATCAGTGGTGGGCTACAGCTAGCCACGCATACGAAGAGGCCCCGCAAAAGCAATCGATTCCACAGTCGGCAACGAAATGATGCAATTAGTCAAAAGGCGGCTGGACCCGCCTGCTTCTGGAAAGAAATGCCTGTCCAGGAAGGTATCAACAGTTGATTCGCGATTGACCTGATCAGTTCACGAAGCTTATGTCAGTTAAGGTCTCCTCCATTGCTCCCTTGGCATGGGTGTCGCCATCAGGGAAAGACGGCTGACAGCGGATCAGCATTCCACCCCCAATCTGAGTCGATATCTTTCAACAGATTTTGGCTCGGTTAATCAACTTCAAAACTTGGTATGTAAGTTTCCTCAAAAGTAACAGATGAGACCAGTCGTTCAGAATGAGGCATTGTGCCCGCTGGGCAGATTCATCATTGGGCTTGCATGATTTCGACATGGTATCATTCAACCAAGTCGATAAGTTCTGGAGCAAGAGTAGTTAGCTGATGTGAGTATCTAAGATGCAAGTTGTATCGGAATATTACTACAGTGTCAACTCGCTCAAGAGGGAGTGTTTGGTTAGATACCTCTTATTGGATGATTCAAGAATCCATGATTGTCAGGATCAAGTCAAGAGAATCGACCGGAAAGAAGAACCTGTTCGCATATTTGTGCGAGGGAAAAGTGAAGGAGGAAAAGGAGGGTCAGGTGCCAGTCTCGTGACAGCCGCTGCTGTTTTCAAAATCCATCTACCTTTATTTCACATCCGTATTGCCTTTGCCACTCGATCGTCAGCGATTGAGCCTTGACAAATGAACCCCGCCGTCAGATTCAAGTGTTCAGTGGTACTTGGACCCACGGACCCAAATGGCTATCGATAGTCCTCGCGTGGTGGTCTCAGAATACAATAGTCTGTCGATCATTGACATCATCGAGGAGATATCAAGCTCACCAACTGGAATTCCTCCCCAGTTAAATCCTCCCCGAAGGGTTCTACGATGAAACGCCACCTCGATAGAGCAAGGGATCACTCACAACGCTTTCGACGTAGATCTGACGATCACCCGACGAACCATTTTGGAATCTGGCGAAAAGAAAGCATTTTTATGTGATTTTCGGATCCGCATTCTGCTGTCGTTTCACGCTCCCGATTTGTGTCAGATTCCAAGGGGCTGGTTTGTCCACACCCCATCATTGGCATCCAGGAACTCACTCTCTCTATGGGGGCTAGTTCTTGGGGGCAGAATATACTCCGAACTATTTTAGCTAGGGCTCGCCCTGCTCACCCGGCCCCTCTGGTCATCCTCGATCTTGAGAATTTTCTCCTGATTAGTTTTCTAATTCTGTCACTCGTTATTGACATTTGAAGCAGCTTTTGCTTTATTATCTCTACTAAACTTGTCTGTTCGGGGAGCCCAAGTTGGCATCTTTCTACATTCCTTTGCCAACCACCCCAAATGGCCAGGAAAATCCTCAGTCTGGGCTTTCTATCACTTCTGGCCTTCTCACCCTACTTCGTTTTGGCTACGGGTCGTGAAGAATGCTACAATGATATCGGCAAATTACAGCTCATCGGCTCGTCTATATACCTGTCTCTAGGCCTATGCCTGGAGAAGTGCCAGGAAAAAGGCTACTCCGTGTACGCCATGCAGACTGAGAAATGCTTCTGTGGACACAAATTACCTCCAGCCAATGCCAAACTTTCACTCGAAGAATGCAACGTACCGTGCCCCGGCTATCCAGCCCATAAATGTGAGTCCTTCGATGTCCTTTCACCAAAGGCAACGAACAAAAAAGGGTGTGCTAATTGGATTCGGATACATAGGCGGAGGCGAAAATACTTGGACTGTTGTCTCTGACAGCGACTCGACTGCTCATGAACAACCTAAACTACGTTCTCCCGAATCGAAGACTGTCTCGGCATCTGAGACTATAAGGACTCTGAACGTGAACCCCACAGTCATACAAACAGGCATTGCTGCTGAGACCAGTGTCCCAAGTAGCATCTTGACTGCCCCGACCACAGGTCCTAAGAATGCTGAAGTTGCTCAAGCTCTCGCCGTGTCTTCATTGTCAGCCTCGCCTAGTTCACCAACTGTGAGTTCGTCCAACGCTGTTGTTCCGACTCGCCCGGCGTCTTTGGGGTCCGTTGTGGGGGCGATTTTCCTACCATTGGTCCTCTTGTCTTGATTTAATTAAAAATGGACCTGGCATAGCCTACAGCTGGTGCTGGTTTAGCTTGTGGATAGATCCTTCGTCTACCTAGTACTATACTGAGAACGAGCACCCTATGCCTACGATCGGTGCGTGGGCGTCTTCCGATATTTGGGGTCTGAAGAATGTCGGTATTAATTGGACCTGATTCCCCACCCAGTCTACTGAGCATCGGAAATTGAATTGCTAATTGATCCGATACCTCTTGCGATGTTACTATTTTCTTCATTTTATTAAGATACCCAAGATTCGATCACTATACAACATTATGTATAATAAACAACATTATGTATAATATGCAGCATATCCAAGAAAAATTACCAATCAAATGTGCATTAGAATTGAATAAGTCAACAATCCAATGGTACCTAGCTCCAAGTTCACAGCCATGCTGACAGGCTGGCGCAAAGCCCATCCCGAAGACCAAAAACCAAATCAGCCAGTCACAACTCATATTCCAACTGTTGGTTATGTTGGCTGTGCCTCAGGATCTGGGAGCTGAATCCCCTTTTTTCGAAGCATATTGCAGTCACTGGCCTTCATGGTTACGTTCTCGAAATTCCTGGGAAGTGGCAACCCATCTCTGAAGAGATATTAGTCAATTTTCACCAACACCAAGCTACAAAAGTAGAGGAACTAAAGGAAGGGGGGGAGGGGGGTAGAAAATAAGGTGCATACCGGAGTAATTTTATTTTTATATTCCGGGCTCGATCCTTCAGCTGCCCCTGATTCCGGCCCTCGATTCTGGTCTCACCTGGCCTTACAGGCTGCGCCTCATTCTGTCGCTCGATCTTGGCCCATCCAGTGCCATATTCACCCATTAACCGAATCAATCGGTTGTCTTCGGATTGTGTCCAACGTACCTGCTGCTTGTAGGACGAGGTGGTGGGGGGTATGCGAGGCACAGCAGGTGTCGCGCGCCTCCTGGTTTCTTCCAAATCTCTCCGCACTTCAGAGATGGCTTGGTTTTCGGCTTCTTGCGTGGTTTTCTGGCGTTTGTTTCTGCCCTGGTCTGGTTTCTCAGCGCGCCTGCGAGGAATATCTACCTCTCGATCGTACTGAAAAAAATCGCCATTGGTTTCCTCTACCTCTTCCTCGTCGGCCGATTCATGGTGCTGCCGTTTCTGGGACGGCCCGGGTTCAGGCTGTGTCCTGTGTGCGATTCGCGCGCTTGCTTCATGACTGATCGGTGAGATACGGTGTGCGTTTTCCTGCCGGTCGATAAATGCTGCGCGGACATTTCTTCCCCTGTGAGGCTGGGAAGAGATACTCGCCTTGGCCGCTCTCCATAGTTCCTCAGTAGAAGGGAGAGCAGCAGTCTGTGCGGCTGGGGCACCAGTGGTAGATGTACTTTCATGAACTGCTTCTTGATTGGCCCTATTGACAACTGGAGGACTGTGTGATCGCTCTATTTGTATTCTTGAGTTATCATTGTCGAAACTGAAACCAGTGTCATTGGCGGTAAGGAAGTCATCGTCTTGAACCACAAAATGAGGGCTGCCCTGCGGTGAGTTAGGTATCTCCCGAGGCTCTGCGACTGCTACCGGTCTGGCCTGAGAGGGAGCAGGTAATGTTTGGCGGCGATCTTCGAAATTTGTTTCACTCTCACGCAGCGATGACGGTTGTGCCAAATCGGACTGTCGACGGAGCCCGGAATGCTCCCGGGAACGCTGCTGCCTTTTCATTATGCGTTCTATGGAGAAAGCATTAAGAAAAGACCTTCGGGTTGTAAGTAGATACTTCGGTTGTAGACGGGAAATGGATACCCACGATTTAGATTTCCTCCGTCCTTGGGCCTCAGATATTACCCTTGACTCTGCTTGGTTCTCTGGCCCTCGCTGATCGCGTGATAGTAAATGGACGGCCGTTCTTCTATTCGACGATCTCTGGGTGTCGGTGGCTCTTGGACTTTCCGTTGGAATGGCAGAGTGTCTGGCACTTCGGCTGCCTGCAGGGCTGCTCGTTTTATCAGAGCGAGGCGCTAAGCTACCCAACCTGTGGCTGCCCCTAGGGGTGGCGAAATAAGCATCCCTCATGGCTTCAGCATCGAGCTGACTTTTCAATTGTTTTTCAATTTCATCGTTTCTTTTGCGGATCCATTGGGCAGCGCGTAGCGTGAATCTCTGCCAACGAAACGCGCTCTTCAGTTCCTCAATATCAACAAATCCATCCTCAGAAACAGTAAGAAGCATTTCATTGAAACGTTCGTAAGCAGCATCTCTAAAGCGCACAGGAAGATACTTGTCTGTACCGCCAAACTGATCGAGATTAAAGCCTCGAAGTGGAGCCTGACTGCTCTCAAAGATATCATCATCAGCTGCATCGATGAAGAAGGCATCTCGTAACATAGCCTCAGGATCAAAAGCAGCATGATACTGTTGTTCTTCCATGTGCCCTATTAGAAACTGCGTTCGGATCTCTAAAGCGAGATTGAAAGTATCTTTTTCAAGGGCGCTTCCACCCATGGCTAGTTGTTGATTGTCATGAGCGACTTCATTCATAAAAAAAGTTTGGAAAAACATCCTCCACATTTCGAATGGCCTGCATTGGAGCATCAGTTCCGGCTTTGGCCAGGAGAACTTCGAGGGCGAAGCGCGCGCAGTTTGCCCTTTGCAGGGCGGAATCGGGACTCCAGTCGTGCCCCAATCCATTGTGCTTGTTTTCCAAAGCAGACAGAATCAGTACGTTGGCTTTTTCGGCGTCTATGTACGAATGACTACCGAAATAGCTCGACTCGCTTTCAAATTTCGACTTGGCCCGTGAAAGACGTCTACTTTGAGTGTTCTTGGGGTCCGCAAGCTTTTTGGCCATGTTAACAATGCTGACTGGATCTGTAGAGGCAGGGACCAGCAAATCCAAAACATTCTTTGCTGCCCGCTCCAGGTCTGGGAGGGCCTCTAGCATCATCTCGGGATCAAAGTCGGTGTCCGGCTCTGAAGGGAGGATAGTGGTCCCTGAGATGTTTGTAGCTTCTGCATCTTCTAGTGAATCTCTCCCGATAGGATTTACAGGACGACCACTCGATCTTCGTGGGGTCTTTGTGGATGATTCTTGGATAAGATCTAGCCCTATTCATGACGTATGAGAAGCGAAGTCTCCGGCTTACATCAAAAAAAAAAAAAAAAAGGAAAGAAAGGGAAAAATAAAAAGAAAAACAAAAAAGATTCTTCTAAGAAAATAGGTTCACTTTGAAGCAACAGCAAAAGAAACAAAGAATGGCACCAACACACTCTGACAGACAGGAGGCCAAGGAGTGGTGATAACTAATCAGAGAGAGATACGGAGACTAAACTTCGACTCACCCTTTCCATTCATGCTGCCTTTGTTTTGCCCCCACCTGCTCGAAGCAGCTCCATCAGAGAACTGCCCAGCACGACCACGCTCATTTTGCAATTCTGGAGCCTCGAGCTTGCGACTCTGGCTTCTGGTCACCCGTCTCAGAGTAGGAGTCGAATGTGCAGCTTTCAGGTATGAGAGCCCCTTATTAGACGGAGCGTTGTAAAGCCCCAAGGCAGATGACGACCGTGAGCGAGCCATGCCCAAAAAGGCGGTCAGAGGAGTCTGGGAAATGCCAAGTTCAATAGTAGAGTATAGTTCTGGTCGAAAAATGATGAAATTAAGATGAAAAATTGTTGCACTTGATAGGAAAAACTGGCTGTCAATGACAGAGTGCTTGGATGATGAGATGTGGCAAGAACGAAAATGTTTTGGGCGATTTGGTGTTGCTGTCTCTTCTGGGATAGGGTATTGCGTACGTAATCAATAACTTGATACCTTAATGCCTGAGGTATCCATGACCCTAATCCAAACCCTAACTGTAAATAAGCTCTTTGTGAAGATCGGCGCGGGTTGGTTTGCGTTGGCCACATGGTTCCAACGGGGAATAATAACAGCCAAGGAGAGGGGTGCAGTCATTCGACAGTTTGCTTCGGTGCAAAAGCGAGCGGCAGTCATGATCAGTGATGCCTTTCAGCCCATGTTCACTGAGGCACTCAACATTGAACTCTATCTGCTGCCCACGGGGCTTCAGATAAGCTACCTGCTAAGGAGACGACGATATGGATCGCTACAGGACCATAGCGTAATATCACATAGTGCCAGACGGTATCAAGTTGTCCCATATCGAGGAGAAGGAACTCCGTAGGTAGACGCCAATGGAGGCACACTCTGACAAGCGGGGCTGGTATTTGAAGCCACCACCGAAGGTCAAGGTGAGATGGGAAATAAAGTAGGTGTACGTCACGGAACCGTGGCGCCGCAGCGAGTGCCATCATACGTAGTGATCGAGGTCTACGCCGACTCGAGAAGAGTCACGATCAAATACTCCTGCAAACAAACCTGCCACTTCGTGTCTTTACTGACAGCAGTGGGTACGAGGGCAAGGTTGGTGCCACAGCAGTGGTGCCGGACCTACAGAGACAGGCATCTGACCAGTGGCCGCCTTGGTCTGGAGACCACAACTACTGTCTACGCTGCGAGCTTCAGGGCGTCCAGATGGTGCTCGAAATGGTAAAACAGTGTTATGAGGTACAACAGTGGAGCAACTACACCTGCAATGGAGTACGGACATTCTCGGACAGTCAGGCAGCGCTGAAGGAGCTCAGGCGGCCTCGGTTGGTCTCCGGACAGGAGATTCTCCGGGGCTATCTGGAGATGCCAAATGGTGCAAGGAATAAGACATTCCGGTGACGTTGAGGTGGGTCCCTGCTCATCAGGGTGTGCCAGGGAACGAGGCAGCTGAACGAAAACTGCTACCAGAACAACAACTGGTTATTCTGTAGTCGGCAGCCAGCCGGAGAATCAGGGAGGAGTCGAGAGCCAAGTGGGCCAAAGTGTGGCAATGGATGAGGACGGGACAACCCACCAAGCGCCTGACAGTGGCGTCTTGCGGTACTAAGGTAGTCTACGGAAAGCATCTGTTCGTGCTCATGCAGGAACGTTCGGGGAGGATTGGACTAAACAAGTATCTCAGGCGTATCAACGTGCGCTAGTCTGCGCGTTGCGGCTGCGATCTTGATGATCAAACTCCTAAGCATCTGCTTATGGTGTGCCTGATTCTGACTAGCCTGTGTATGGATACGAAACGGGAGCTTCGAAGAAGGGATTGTGCTGGTCTCTGAATGTGGGGTATGAATCGCTAATACGGAGACAAAGGCAAGCGGGGCAGTGGCGGACTTTATAATTAAAACGGGCCTGCTCGGGCAGTTTCAAGCAAGATTCTGCAGCGACAGGGGTCACCAAACAAGCACGGGAAGAGACGTCTGTCTCGGCCAGCGCAGGACGTTAGCAAGGACATTGGGCTGTTACCTGAAGCGAGTTCATACCAACGGACGCAGGGCCAGGTCACCTGCGGCAGTTGAGCAGACCAGACAACGGTACAGAGATACCCAGACGGTATAGGGAACGACCAAACCGGTGGTCACAGAGTTAGAGGATGCCCGACAAAGTGCTGCAGTGGGATCTGGGGGATTGCTGCAGACGGTGAGGAAGAAGTTCAGTCTGCGTTGAGCAGCGGCGACGGGGACGACACTACAGAGTTGGTGGTGACATTGATATTGACATTCACTTAAGCTTTTCGTTCTTCTTGCTTGTTTAGTGCTATTCCTTTCAGGGCCACCTGGAACTTCGTGGTGGCAAGCTGCCAGGCGCGGCTATTCTTGTACGTTGACTGCGTCGGCAACCCTGCATGGCGACATTTATATGTAAGCTAGACAGGTTAAAGAATACTACTACTACTACTACTACTACTACTAGTGCTAATTGAGCTCAGCGTACCATATAGCAAGGCCAGACACGTGACTTGACTCGTGCATGTTGGGAGATCTATCTTAACACCACCCATACAAACCGTTACGACTGAGTTTGCCTATGATAATGTCCATTGGGGTTAAAATTAAAAATTGATGAAAGGTTATCTAAAGGTGGCCGTCGACGATGCTTTGTAGAACATAATCATTCCAACATGTAACCAGGTAACCAGCAGATGCTTTCTTTTTACAACCTCAAGTCCCTATTACAAACAAATGAGAGGATAAATCCTGCCCGCCGTGAATTGATTGCTATTTCTTTAATTATCACAAGGATAGAAAGGAGCTTCCAAATTGCGTATACATCTGGCTCTATTGCAACTCAAGTCTATATTTTAGAAGAGAATCATCTAATGATATTAAAGCTTTAGTGACAGTACATAAGGTCAATAATATAGAGCCTCGATCATATAAACGGCACCGAAAATAAGGAAGGCAACGGCACCGCCCAGAGTAACTGTCGGAATTATCAGTAAGAATTTTTGGCGATAAGACAATAATGAGACACGTACCAGCGCGCATACTAACTCTGCCAGCAATAGCACTTCCGCCGATGACTGCTGCCGCCGTGCAGAGACCATGTCCGGTGATCGCACCGACGGTAACCCACCAGTAGTCCTGTCCGGCAGCCATCGCAATGGTTGCGATTTGACTGCGGTCACCCCATTCTCCAAGGAAAGTCATGACGAAAGTCTGAACCCAGGCGGGGCTAAGAAGGAGAGAGAAAAGATTGTTCATTCCGACTAGGATGTCACCGAACCGGTAACCGGGAGCGGGCGACGACCCTCGCGAGGATGATGAGGAAAGACTATCGGGGGGAGAGGGGAGGCGGTTGGCAGATGATCGAGACTTGCGACTCCCACCAGCACGACCGGCTTCCAGGGAATGGGGTGTGGCAGAAGAGCGACGCCGACTCCTGCGCATCTGCTGGTGCTCCTTTTCCTCCAGCTCCATTTCAACCTCCTTCATTTCCTCACCGACACCTTCGTCTGGCGACATCTCGCGCCCTTCTTTCAGCATCTTCAAACCAAATACGAGAAAGAGCACAGCTGCCAATAACTTGGTGAATGATTTGGGAATCAAAGTCGGCACTGCATGTCCAAGAATAGCAGAAAGTACAGTCATGCCGATCAAGGCAGAGAATGCAGCCGAGAAAACCAGCAAACGCGGATGCCGCATAGCCATAAGTGCCGCAACCAGGAACGTCTTGTCGCCAATCTCAGAGACAATGATCATGGTAAAGGAAAAGAAAAGAGAATGTAGTGGATCGCTTTCCTCTCCAGCTTTGACAGTGCCGGAGCTTGTGCCTGTAGATTTCCTAGGAGCCTCTAAACCAAGCGGATCTTCGCTTACGGGAGCGGGGGATTTAGGATGGGGGATGTCGTGTGGCTTCTCGGGTAGGTCGATAGGTTTCTGAAAATTGAGTTAACGGTTATCTTCAACAGCGAGATTCAAGAAGCACCAAAAGGGGGAAAATACCTCGAGCACTCCGAGGCTGGAACCTCCAGAGCCTCCTGAGCCCTTTGACTCGTCCGTATCTTCCGATGGTTGGAGTCTCTGTTTCTCACTATGTGGCAGAGGAGGGACTTCTCTAGGGCCATCCGGTACCTTCTCCCCAGAGTTTGTATTATCCTTCAGTTTTTCCGACACTCCACCTTCCGTACCTCGGGTTCCCTCTTTTGGGCCCGTTCTGTGCGGATCATCCATCACCCCATCGTTCGAATATGGCATCGGATTCCCATCCGGACCCAAGTGTTCGGATAATTTTGGGTTGGAAGGTATATCTGAGGGTAATCCCGACCCTGATTTCTTGCGATCGCGTTCTGCATTTGTCTCCACCCACGGACCAGCGTGAGGTCGGCCATCTCTCCCATCGACCGGGGCGTCCTGCGTCCCTTTGGGAGCGACCTTAGGGGTAGAATGAACTGGCGCGAGCTCATCGACATTGGGAGCGCCGGGTTTAATATGCAGAGCACCGCCTCTCCCTGCATATGGATCGTTTAAACGTGCATTGTTATTCGCATCAGGATCTGCAAGAGCTGTTGATACCGAGGGGAGGAGAAAGAGGACAATTGGCGAGAGTAATTGAATCTTCATTGTACCAATGTAGCGATAGTCGGTCGAGCACAAGAATATGAGAGAGGGTTACGTAGATAAAGATCGTCCAAGGTTTCTAGCCCATGAAGAAAAGAAGGTCGACAGAAGGAAGGGCAATCGAGGACCGTCTAACGGGAGGATCGGCGGCGTTCGATCTTAAAGCCACAAGAGCAGATTAGGGGAGGGAATACACGGGCAGGGCGAAAAAAAGCACGAATAATATAAATAAATAAATAAATAAAAAATGTAGAGTACTTCAGCGGCACCAACTGCACACGAGGGAGAGCAGATAGGGAAAAGAAACGAAAAAAAAAAAAAAAAAAAGGGAAAAATTCCGACAAGACTGACAGGAAGAAAGGACACTTTCTGAAGATTTGGGGCTGCGAAGGGGCAACGCTACCTCCGCATCACGTGCCAGGAGTCCCACTTTGGCCGCTTGCGTATTGGGACGCGTGGATCTTTTGATTTCATATCATCTTCATTCTTCATTCTTCAGCTTCTGTCCTGTTGTGATTCCCATGGCTTGGGCAACATGCAGGGATGCGGTTTCTGTCGATGCTCCCAGATATGTCAGATTGACAGTTGGATTCGATGCTATTGCGTGTCCTTCGATATTCTTACACTGGACAGCATCAGAATATGGCCTATTTTTATCGTGCCAAGATCGATGGCCCACAGACTACGGATTCACTAACAGCCCTACACTGAGGACCATCTTCATGACTCGGTATTGGTTGCCTTCTTATCCGATCAACGGCGCGTGAAGTTCAGTCTATACGGAGTAGATGCTGCGAAACGATGGCATGGACGGATTTGCCTTCACTGGAAAGACCCATAAGTCAATGCAGAATACCCTGGCAGGGAATGTCCGATGTGTGGCTGCCCTGACCCGTAGTCACTATGCTGTGAATCTCTGTCTCGAAACCTCCTGACCCCATTTCTCCTACATTCCCAATCTTGGCTCGCACACATCAAGAGAATATCTTCGACTCGTGACAGCAATTCTAAAACAGGAAATACTATGGCGAGCAGACCAAGCTCATCCGCGAGTAAGCCGTCTCAGCCTAGGATGGAGATTCCTGTGTGGTTTAGTGTATTCATTGGGAACCCCGACCCGACGTCTCCTCGTTTCGACAATGCTCGTTTCGATGCCAATATCTCAGATGAAGTCTTTAGATCTCCCTACACGAACAACTCCTTCGAACGAATTAGTGTTAGAAGCATTTACCTGGAGAAACCTGATCCCAACAAAGAATTATCCTTATTTCGTGCTGTAGTCTCTCTTTCTCTCGCCTTTACTGACGAGATCTTCAACTGCCTGGATGGAGGGTGCATCGTGTGCCAAAGATACCCGGCCAAGTCTCTGATTCATCGGCCCTTGTGCTCAGTTGCGAATGGATATCATGAATTGGCTGATTTTAAGGAGATGCACAGGCTGATGTCAACAATAGCGTCTCACACGATGCACATAACACGAATAGATGAAGTCAACTGGAGCATCGGCAGTTTTATGAGTGATAAGCCCTATATATGTGCACTCGCTATGCCTGTTTGCTCTGCGGAAGGGAAATGCTATCAGATTGCCACAAAAAGAGCCCAGGAGTATATTGAAGGCATTTTTAGTGGAGAAATAGTGCCACAGCCTCTGCGTGACTCTCAACCTGACAAAGCCAGCACAGAGACATCCTCGCTCAAGAACAAATACAGCGACAGTATGACATCCGATCACAGCTCTGGAACCCGGAGCAGCTCGCTGGAGGAATCTGTTGTCGTACGTAGGGTTGATATGGATAAACCGTACATTATTGGGACCACTGTTTTTGTTGGAAGACCTAGCCTCCAAATTCAAGGCCTGCCTCGGCATAAGCATCTGAGCTGTTTGGTACTTTCTTCTATGTTCCCCCAGGATGCAATGCCAGATTCTTTGAAGAATGAAGCAGATGCAGCGATTGATTACTGTCGTGTAGCCGGCCATTACGAACAAAATATTCTGCAGTGTGCCGATTTTCGTTGTGTTGTATGCACCAAGTTGGTTACCGCTAACACCTTGGTGCATCTTCCGATCTCGTTCATCCGAACCGACCGGAGGTGCTTGGAAGCGGGACTTTTGCGACGGCTAATCATGAAAATTTGTCGGTTTGTTGGTGGCAAATGGACGTATCCCGAAATGAACGCTGCTTTGGGCGCTTCCAGTGATGCTCAGGTCTTCGAATTGGCAGTCCCAATCTGCGAACCCAAGTCTCTCTGCGAAGAGATCGCAAGAATATCTGCGCACGAGTTTCTTAGATTATTGCTACCCTCGGGCATGACCCTGCCTTTTCCTGGTTTAGATCCGGATACTGAGCTTTCCGCCGTTGATTCCATATTTAGAAGTTTCTCTAGCGACCAGCCAGAGCCCGCAGAGCCCTTGGTCGAAAAGATCGCTAACGATTGTCTCATTTCGGGCGAAGAAGGCTACGGAGAAGATCCGACGGATAGCACGTTGACCGTCAGCAAACTGCGACGCTGGTTTGAGATGTGTTTTCTTGAGGAGGACATGACACCCGAGGACATAAAGAAAGTTGCATATAGGGTGAAAGGAGATAGTGGGATTGAAGATGAGCAGAGTGAGATAGACGATTCGATTATCTGGGTTTACGATCTAGTTGACCTTTCGGATTCATCGGATGAAGATAGGGGAGATACGGAATCCAATGCCAGGGACGAAATCATTGCAGAGTGTCGGGAAAAGCAGCTTTTCCAACCGGTTCTTACCATGGACTTTTGGTTGTTATACGAAGCGTTTAATAAAGGAGTTGCTGATAATAAGGAAGCTCATGCTATCGAAGCAGCAGATGTTGAAGATGGATATTCTTCGCACTACAGTTCGTACGAAGAGGATGCCTCTGACTAGACCGGACAAGTGTTAGTGTCAGAAGGTCCATCAGTTTGAAAATTTTACGACAGTATTTGTGATGGAATGGCTGCGACCTAGAACCGGGCTCTTCGGACATGTCCATTTTATGAATGTGATATGGAATTCAACCTAAGGAAGGAGCTCTAGTGCATGTAGCTCTTGACTGATTCTTTCTTAAATCTGTCCTGGTTTGAGTCAATATCAACTAAGCTTACGCAATCTCTTACGAGTAATGATCTAATTTTAGCGTACCTAGATAGGAAGTCCCGTTTCAGTCGAACTCCACAACATCAGTTTATATCGGTAATCCATGACAACGAGATTAAGAGCAATTAGAAACCCACCCGATTTCTCTGAACGGGGTCCATCATACAGGCTCTTATGTAGCTGGTACCAACACCAGAATCCTCGCCATTATCATAAGCAGATAAGGAACAGAGAAATCCTAGCAACTATTTCCACTAAAACAAATATAGCCAATAGATAAGACGACTTACTTTCGGAAGAACGTCCAGCAATCTTCCTCCTCCTCAGTTACCTCCGCATCCATCAGGGCGGTGTATGTGGACATCTTACATATTCATAGGGTAGCCAGAGTTTGATGAGGCTGCCTGACTGTAGATGTTCTTCAGAAGCTCAGCGGAGGGTTGCTTGAGCATGTAGATGCATCATAGAACCGGAAGTATCCAAGCATGCTAGAAGAAGATAGGAAAAAGTCCAGTATGACCATTTAAGTGCTTAAGCACACTAATAACCAGATATTCCTGGCTGAAGGCAAGGTTGATCCTGTATTTCGGCCTCGGAAGCAGATATCTCTCCGTACTTCCGAGATTCTTTGCAACTTATGCACTATTTGAACTATTTGATACTGTGTGGACAGCATACAGGGCGTCACTACTCGATTTGTGCAGTTTAGGGGAAATTTTGTAGAAAAAGACATCGATCCTGCCGTAATGGAGGCACTGGGCTTGTGCCATTTGTGGGGGAGCCGATCTTCCTGTCGGCTCCACCACATGTTTTGCGTAGTGCGTGGGGGACGGATGGCTTTGTTGATCGAAGTGAGAAGATGGAGTATATAATGTCTTTTCATTGCTCATAATAGACTCGTTTTGTGAGGTATCTGTTTGGTATTTCTATGCTGAGTAGTTATCAATATGTGGGATCTATCGATTTTCCGCGATGAAGCGTTTAAACCATATGCTGGTCGATTAGTCCGACTTATGATTGCTGGTTACATAACTTATAAAATATAGCAGTTTTATTTTGGAGCAACCAGTGGGATTCCAGGACCGTGGCTGGCTCGGTTTACTCGGCTCTGGCAGTTCTATGAAGTCGGGAAGGGGCACTTTGAGAAGACGAGTATTGACTTGCACAGGAAACATGGTGAGATTATTTCATAAATTTTTGAGCTATTGGATATTTCCTTTTAGCATCCATAGTCTAACCCGTGATTTTAGGTGCCATGGTCCGCATCTCCTTGTTTATTTTTAGTATTAATGATCCGATTGCTCTGAAGATCATCTTTTCATCTGTATCCAAGTTCCGCAAATCGGACATTTATCACGCATTTGGAGACCCAAATAAGGAGAATAAGGATTTGTTCTCGGAGCAGGACAACACACAGCATGCCTTGAAGCGGAGACAAGTTGCGTCACTGTATTCCATGTCGACTCTAGTGACATATGAGGGGTTGATAGACCAATATAACACGATTCTTTGTAGCAGAATCGAGGGGTTTGCGAAAGAGGATAGGATATTTGAAGTGCTCACCTGGATGCAATTTTATGCGTTCGAAGTTATTTGTAGTATCACAGTATGTAGGCTTTCCGGCAACAGTAGTATCTGACACACCGACTAAATTACTCAACAGACAAATCAACCCCTTGGCCTCCTGGAGAAAGGATATGACTCCCATGGGGTGTTGAAAAGTATTGACCAAATTATTGCATACGGATCCCGTGTCGTCGTCTTCCCATCTCCACTTGTGGATTGAGTTGGGGCCAAAACTTACCCGACAGATAACCCTCAACACCGTAAAAGATTATATCTGGCATCTGATCCAAATCGGACCAGATCACCTTCGATCAAACTCGGCAGATGCCATATTTGCAGGCATGTATAAAAGAGGCCTTGCGTGTTCATCCCGATACAGGACGGCCGTTACTTTGGGATGTTCCCTCTGAAGGCGTAACATCGGCGGGACAATTTTTCCCTGGCGGAGTATGATGTGCTTGTTTGTTATTATTCATGAGGAGGAAATATGTAAGGCTGACAAATGAAATAAGCCTTCTGTGGGGATTAATCCTTGGGCAATCCATTATAACGCGGACGTTTTTGGTCCAGATGCAGCAGAGTTTCGACCAGGGCGGTGGTTGCAGGTAAACAAGGAGAAACTGTCATACATGGAACAGAATTTTCCGGTATAATGAATTTTTGTCTGGGTTAACAATAACTAATAAGACCTAGTTCGGTGCTGGAGCTCGCACTTGAATCGGTAAAACATCAGCCTCTTGGAAATGGCGAAATTTATCCCGCAATTGTACAGAAATTCGAGTTTGAGTTAGCCCCTAGAGGAGATATAACAACGTGGGAGGCCTGGTTTGTGAAGCAAAAGTTTCGGTGCTATTAAACTCTGAAATACTGCATAAAGAGGGTGTGATTTCTAGGCAAGTGGTATAATTAAGTAGATTTTCCATTTTCAGGAAGTGTGATCAGGGATGGGAAATTGGACATTTTATCATCTCAGAATGCAGAGCATGGTTTGCACTGAGGACAACAACTCAAGTCAATTCCAAGAAGGTAGTGAGAGAGACTCTCCTCTAAGAAACTGTACCAGAGGTTTTTTGTCGGCGCCTTCGGTGTTCGCTTTGGTTGTCATCCAGCCGTATGATGCATAAAGTGTAGATAATGGGATATGTTGCAGAATGGCCAGAAGGTGATATATTTTATGCTGCAACACTACCATTGGATCCATTGATTCTGCAGTTTGGGATGGTTGGAAGAATTCAAATCTGGACTTCAGTATATCGGGTAGAAGGCAATGGGGCAGTGTGTCATTGGCTGGCAATAAAGACTAGCATGGGAGACACTGGAACTGTTTACTTAGTGTCTTCTCGGAAAACAGTGAAACCATTGCAATAAGCCGGTTAGTGTTACTGAGCGACTTGATATGGCCGTCTGTTTGGAGTTCACTAAGTGGACAAGATTGATAGGATCTAGATAAAGAAAGCAGTAAGGATAAAGTCAGTCGTACAATGAGTCAGATAGGTTGTTTACCTTGGCCTGGCTGGAACATATTATCCCAACTTTGAGAATCCACGTAGCTCCATATTCTGTCCTACCAGAAACGGCCTACACATGGTAATGAGAACACTTCTCTGGTAATGCAGAGTGCATATCGTGCCATTTGAGCCATCAAACAGACGCAAATTATGCAGCAAAACAGCCTGTGCAATGTGAACCTCGTCGCTTTGGAGGAGTTTCTGCATTAGCTGGCGTTTGTTGAGCAACTTGTTCATCTGAAGTTCATAAGAATTCATGACCTTACCTGATTGAGGATAATATCTTGGAAAAGGCGCCGGAAGAAAGACTACTTGCGCACGATTCGCGACACGAGAGTACTGGCATCCAACTTCGGCGATAGCTACTAGAAGGATCCACTTATCTGAGCGAGGCTTGAAGGTAGGAAGGTGAATAATAGGTATTCTAGAACGGAAATATTCGAAATACAACCGTATAAATGCATTGAAGAGCCCTATGTTCGGAACAGTTGATTGTGACGTATCTGATTTCTGACAGTGCTCGCGATCGAAAGTAGCATTGTATTGTAGGTATCTTTGGATTGGTCAAAGACATGGTCGTCTGTTACTGATGAATTAAACCTGCCAATTGCTGATGCGAAAAGATCATCCTGCCCAGACTGGATTGGCGCGATGGACGTACTCTAGGACAAAGTGTTAGGAGGGCCAGTGGTATGGACACTATTATCACCATCTTAGATGTCAACCATATTTGCATTTTGCATGGTGGCATTAAGAAAGAAGGCGTCCAGTAGCCCATACCAGGGTTGATACTTTCCATCGACAAGAAATGGCTGTGTGGTGTGGGGTACTCACAACCGTAGCGACTTTTACGACATCTCTCGCATGGTTGCTGCCCACCGCACAGTTGTTTCGACGTGGTGCAGTTATTGTACGCTTGGGAGACGCTTTTGGCTTCCTGGGACGCGGAGGATGCGTACAACCTGACAGCGTTAGGGCCATGGACGGCAACATGGCGTTTTAGAGGGTCTCCGTGCAATTCGTGTCATCCAGATTCTTGGGAAAGAACTCGCCATCTTACTTTCTAGAAAAGGATCTCGAACACCATTGATGGAAACGGCCGTAGTTCAAGATGGCGGCGACCATGGCGCTCGAAGTGTTCGCGGCGTTGTGCAGTGCGAGTGACAGTGGTGCACAAATCAAACTAGACGAGGTTTCTGTCTCTACCATATGGGCTGGAGATGCAGGTGGTTGTCATGAGATGGGGAAGAAAGATGGTTCAATTGTCTAAGGAGGCTCGACGGAAGAATAATGCTTAGTGAAATCCTGGATTATTCACTGCATAATCTGTCCATGAGTGATACGGAAATATATGGACCCGAGGGCCTAGCGACCCAGCATTCTCCTGGGTATTTTGCGCTGAGGACCTGCCCCTATTTCTGGAAGGGTAAGTGTGCGTCCATCAGATAGTAATTAAGGCAATATAGGTCCTAGCAAACCCACTCCTTAGTAGGCTATGTGCGTGTAGCTGGTATTGTGCTCTTCTGTCCCCCTTTCCCCTGAATTATAGTGACTGTGTCGAGATCACTTCAATGTACGAGTCACCCAATCGGGAATATCTAGCTTCCTCAGGCAATCAGTTTCCCCGCACGCAACAGAACCAATACCTGATATCTCAGGTATCTCTGGCATTCAATATACTAGTATCCCCTATAATGCCTAGAGTCGCCACGGTCACGGGGATTCGGCTCCTCATGGCCCTGATATAAATTCCCCGCAGACCACATCCACCATGGCTGGAAACAGTCAGCTTTTCTCATCAGACAACCGTCATGACAAATCCATCAACCCGCGGAATTCGCATTGCAATCGACCGCGGTGGTACCTTTTGTGACTTGTAAGTCTCGATGCGGCCGCTAGGCTCTCTATAGTTCACCCTGATTGAGTCAAAACTCATCTGATTGGAGTATAGTTGGGCCACGATTCCCGGTCGACAAGACGATGTTATTTTCAAGTTACTTTCGAACGCGCCCAACGAATATGAAGATGCCCCGATCGAAGGAATCAGGAAGATACTGGAAATTGCCAGTGGCACTGACATTCCCCGCGGAACCCCGCTAGATATCAGCGGGGTAGAGTCGATCCGGATGGGAACGACGGTAGCTACTAAGTATGCTACTACTCCAACCGTTTGGTACCGCCCACTAACAGAGATCCACAGTGCCCTTCTGGAGCGCAAAGGAGAACGTGTTGCTTTGTTAATCACCAAAGGGTTCAAGGACCTGTTGATAATCGGAAACCAAGCACGTCCAAGTATCTTCGACTTGTCCGTCGCGAGATTAGGACGGCTGTACGAGAAGGTGGTCGAGGTGGACGAGCGCGTCACAATTGAAGGATTTGCCGAAGATCCTGAGCCCGCTCCTATCGATATCGCATCGAACCCGGACCTGGCAGAAGGCCTCACAGGTGAAGCAATTCGCATCATTAAGAAGCCCGACGTCAATGCTGTGAGAAGAAGTCTACAGACTCTCTGGGATGAGGGCTATCGCACAATCACACTTGCATTAATGCATTCCTTCGCATACCCTGCTCATGAAGCCACCATTGCTGCCATCGCCCGCGAGATGGATTTCAAGGTATCCGTCTCGTCAGAACTGCAGCCCATGATCAGGCTAGTCCCCCGAGCGCAGTCAGCGACCGCAGATGCTTACCTCTCCCCCGTTGTGACAGAGTACCTCAATGGGTTCCGTCGCGGATTTAAAGGTAGCCTGGAGGATGAAAATGCAAAGAAGCTGCTTCTTTCCCAGTCGGACGGAGGCCTGACTTCATTCGACCGATTTACCGGTCTGCGGGCCATTCTGTCTGGGCCAGCAGCGGGTGCCGTAGGGTGCGCGAAGACTTGCTATGATCCTAACGAAGGGACCCCCGTTCTGGGTTTTGATATGGGAGGCACTAGCACGGATGTGTCGCGATACAACGGAACTCTCGACCATGTACTAGAGACGACCATTGCTCAGGTCGCGATTCAGAGTCCCCAGCTCGACGTTCACACTGTTGCCGCTGGTGGTGGGTCAATCCTTTTCTGGCGAAACGGCCTGTTTGCTGCTGGACCCGAGTCTGCAGGCGCATATCCAGGCCCTGCATGTTATGGAAACGGAGGCCCGTTAACCATCACCGATGCCAACTTCTTCCTCGGTCGCATTCTACCTGACTACTTTGCTAGACCCTTGGATTCTGCTGTCGTCCAGAAGAAATTTCTCGAGATGACGGAGACCGTGAATGCGGAGAGGTCGTCTGACAAGCTAACCCCTGAGCAAGTTGCGATGGGCTTTCTGATGGTGGCCAATGCTGCCATGGCCAGGCCTATCCGAGCCCTGAGTGAAGGCCGGGGATTTGAGACAGCTGCCCACCACCTAGTCTGTTTCGGCGGTGCGGGTGGACAACATGCTACGGCTATTGCGCGGGATCTGGGCATTAGGCAGATTATCATCCATCGTCTATCTAGTATCCTTTCAGCCTATGGTATGGCCCTGGCGGATGTTGTTGTTGAATCGCAAGAGCCTGAAGCGGCAGTTTACAGCGCAGAGTCATATCCCCGCCTTGAAAAGCGTTTCATGCAGCTGGAACACCGAGCAAGCGAGCAACTGGCTTCTGAGGGATTCGCACAGAACCAGATCAAGCATGAACGGTTCCTTAACATGCGCTACAAGGGTAGTGATACAGCATTAATGATTCCATCCCCTGAGACACCCTCAAAAAGCTTTGCGGACGCTTTTGTATCCCAGCATCAGACTCTTTTCGGATTCAAGCAAGCCCGAGACGTTCTCGTCGATGATGTCCGAGTCCGTTCAGTGGGAAAGAGCATGGAAGTAAATGTCACAAGTCCCTTCGAGGAAATGAAGACAGTTAAACCAAGGCGCAATGCCGATCTCAAGCCTACCCTTACACGGAAGGTTTACTTTGACAATTTTGGATGGGTGCAATCGGGAATTTATCATCTAAAGGACGTGCCAAAGGGAAGTATTATTCCGGGGCCGGCTATGATTATCGACGAGACGCAGACCATTGTTGTGGACCCTGCGAGTGAGGTTACTATACTTCGGGAACATGCTGTTATTGAATTGATAGACTCAGAAACTAAGGAGGTAGATACAACGGAAGTCGATCCAGTTCAACTCTCTGTCTTTGGACATCGGTTTATGAGTGTAGCCGAACAGGTAAATGATAAGCCCCTCGGATTCAATGTGGATCTGCTAACGAGTGTATCAGATGGGAGAAACCATGCGCAAAACATCCATATCAACCAACATCAAAGAACGTCTCGATTATAGCTGCGCGATCTTCTCGAGCGAAGGCCTCCTGGTGGCCAACGCACCACATATTCCCGCTCACCTGGGGTCAATGAGCTTTGCCATTGCTTACCAAGCTAAGCTATACGGTAAAGGCGAGTTAAAACCAGGCGATGTCATCCTTTCCAACCATCCTATCTCCGGAGGAACCCATCTTCCGGATCTTACAGTAACGACACCAGTATTTGCTGAAGAGGACCCTACAAAAATTCTCTTTTTTGTGGCAAATCGTGGTCACCACGCCGACATCGGCGGCATCGCAGCTGGATCTATGCCTCCCAACTCGACCGAGCTCTGGCAGGAGGGTGCAGCAGTCGAGTCATTCAAAATCGTCAAAGAAGGCGTCTTCGACGAAGAAGGTCTTATCTATCATCTCTACGACGCACCTGGTAGTTACCCCGGCTGCAGCGGGACGCGGACCCTAAAAGACAATATTGCGGATCTAAAGGCCGGAATTGCGGCCAACAACCGTGGCATCCAGCTCATCCAAGGCTTAATCCGTGAGTACAGTTGGCCAGTGGTGCAATTGTACATGGATGCCATCCAGAAGAACGCAGAGGAAACCGTGCGCAGCCTGCTCAAGGATTTCAGCCGTCGCTTCCACGGACTACCCTTGGAGGCAGTGGATTACATGGATGACGGCAGCCCCCTGGCACTGAAAATCACCATCAACCCGGAGGATGGGTCCGCAAAGTTTGACTTCACTGGTACTGGACCGCAGGCCCTGAATAACCTGAATGCGCCCCCAGCGATCATGTACAGCGGTATTATATATTGCTTGCGGTCGATGATCTCCGCCGCTATCCCGCTGAACCAAGGCTGTCTTAACCCGATTGAACTGATCGTCCCACCCAACTCCATCCTCTCACCGGACAAGAACGCCGCGACGGTAGGTTCTAACGTCGAGACATCCCAGCGCGTGGTCGACGTTATCCTCAAGGCATTCCGCGTGTCGGGAGCCAGCCAGGGAACATGCAATAACCTTACTTTTGGATACGGAGGAACCGATGCCCACGGGGTAGTAACCAAGGGATTCGGCTACTACGAGACCATCGCGGGAGGGGCAGGAGCAGGGGCCCACTGGGACGGTCAAGACGGTGTGCATACACACATCACCAATACCCGGATGACAGATCCCGAGACGCTGGAGAAGCGGTATCCGGTCCTTCTGCGAGAGTTTTCGATCCGTCGTGGCAGTGGGGGTGCAGGACGGCACCGAGGTGGTGACGGGTGTATTCGAGATATTGAGCTGCGAAGGCCGATGCAGGTGAGTATTCTGTCCGAGAGGAGGGTTATTCCGCCGTATGGGATGGCTGGGGGAGAGGATGGGAAGAGGGGGGTGAATTTGTGGGTGCGCAATGATCCGGTGACAGGCACGCAGCAGACGATCAGTATTGGCAGCAAGGTCAGTGCGGCTATGAATACGGGGGATAGAATTATTATTCAGACTCCTGGTGGTGGAGGATATGGAACTCCGTTGAATGCGGTTCGGCCGATTGAGGCGTTGGAGGAATTTAGGTTGGATACGAGGATATATTAGCATGGGGTATGAATAAAAGGACACATATGTGTCTGTGCACTTAGTTCTATATATACTGTGCATAAAGTGAGGAGATTTTAGAGGGTTATCAATGGATATAACACTAGGGTACAGACTATAAATGTATTCTAATCTAAGTACCTCATATCTCTGCCTATGGACGATCTATCCTGCACAATATAGATTCTATACACCACCATTATTATGCATATCCAAGCAAGAGTGTATAAGACATAGCTTGGTAACCCATCCTATGCATTGGTACAAAGTACGATACTGCTGCCACAATGACGCACGTACTTTCATGCATTGCCCCAAGCTTTCGCAGCTGGAAGCATGACTCCACTTCACCAACGAGATTAATCCAGGCTGACGCCAACGGAAAGGATCCGCGAAAGACAAAACTAGAGGACAGTGGCAAATCGACCAGGATAGCAGACTGGGCCAGGCAAATTTCCAAGGCAACCGATATTGCAGAAACCCATCTCTGGATATCCATCCACAGATGGAAGCATCAATAGTGGCTGGTGTGGCCTACAGGTGTGGTGTCACTGGTGTCCTGTCTGCAGACGGTTCTGCAGCAGTATACGCACTACAGACTTTAGCCATCCCTAGAAAAAATTGACCGGCATGATCTGCATAAAATATTGCAGAAAGTGGATAGTATCAAGGCCTCGGCAAGTCGGGGATAGCATTCTGCAGCCGTTCTGCACGTCTGATTTGTGCACTCCCTTGACAAATCTTACCATCGGCGAACAAGTCCTGAACTAGGTACAGAAAAGATCCATGAGAAATCCTCTCACATACATTCTTCATCAGCCCGGACCCCACAAAAGGAGAGGGGCCGAGGACGCTCTGATGCTGTTCGATTGCCAAGGAGAATAACTCAACCCGGTGGCTTGGGTCGATGTTATTATGTGGGGAGCAGAATCTCAGGATTTCTGTTCTACACGACGCAATCCACCATCATGGGATTCACCCAGCATCTGGTTGTTTTTCTTGAGCCCTGTACGGGATCATTTCTCCAGTTGTTTGTGACTTGTGTTGTGGTCGTGATTGTATATGGGTTCGTTTTGGGGACATATCGTATCACTTTGCATCCGTTGGCTAGGTTTCCAGGCCCCAAGCTGGCGGCTTTCACACAATGGTACGAGACTTACTATGAATTCTTTAAAAAGCCTGGGGGACAGTTCTTGTTCCACTATCGCAAGCTTCACGAGAAGTACGGTGGGTGGTAAATTTCCTCGTTCCTCTACCTCTACAGTGCTGGGTACTCGTCGCTGATTTCATGATAGGTCCAATTGTCCGTATCAGTCCCTTCGAGATTCACATCCAAGACTCGTCCTTCTTCGAGGAAATGTTTTCGCAATCGTTGCCCTGGGATAAGCCAAAACATCTAGAGCACCGATTCAACAACTCAACCGGTACATTCCCGACCCCGAAGCATGAGATCCATCGCCATCGACGCGCCGCACTGAACCCCTTTTTCTCCAAACGTACCATTGCGACCGCTGCACCGATGATGCAAGACCAGCTCACGAAGCTTTGTAATCGCCTTCGTCGAGAGTATCAGGGAACTGGAAAGGTGCTGCGGCTCGATTGGATGTGGGGGTGTATTGCGTCGGATATTGTAGTTCGGTACTGTTTCGATCGAGGGTACGGATTTCTTGAGGCTCCTGATTTTGAGTCGCCATTTATTCAGGCTCTGTTTGATCTGCTGAATGACGTGCATTTGGTCACTCAGTTTCCCTGGATTGCGACGGTTTTCAATGCCCTACCGGAGAGCATAGCCGAGGCCTTGCAGCCGGGATTGCGATCGGTGAACCACTACAACAGGGTATACTTACCAACTATACTCCACTCTTGTAGGAAATTATTAACAGACAATAGGAAATGGCCAAGCAGATATCAGACATCCTTGACAACCAAGCCGACTCCAAGACACCTGACCAGAAAACAGTATTCAACGCATTGCTAGAATCCGACCTGCCCTGCGAAGAAGTCACTCTGACTCGTCTACAACACGAAGCTATCACGGTGATCGGAGCTGGTTTTGAGACCACCAAGTACGCGTTGAGTGTAGCTAGTTTTCACATCGTCAACACGCCGAGTATCTACCGACGATTGCGTCAGGAACTGGAAGCCGCAATTCCAGATCCGCACAATATTCCTCCATTGAGTGAGCTGGAGAGACTTCCCTATCTGACTGCCTGTATCCAAGAATGTGAGTGTCTGTACTAGGTCAACGATCAACAAGTCAACATTACTAACCTTAATGAATATAGGTATCCGCATGTCCTACGGCGTAGCTCAACGCGCCTCTCGCATATCTGACACAATCACCCTCAGATATAAGTCCTACATAATCCCCAGGGGGACGGTAATCAGCATGGACAACTACTCTATTTCCCACGATGAAAGCATTTTTCCTGATTCATATACATTCAAGCCCGAGCGGTGGCTGAACGATCCCATCGCCCCGGATGGGAAAAAACTCACGCGGTATCTGGTATCCTTTGGACGGGGGACACGTTCATGTCTGGGAATCAATCTGGCGTATGCGGAGATGTATATTTCCATGGCGAATGTATATCGGAGTTTTGAATTTGAGTTGTTCGATACGGATCGGGATGCGGTGGATTGTTATCGGGATATGTTTTTGCCGCATGCGAAGCCTGGGACCAGGGGGGTGAGGGTGCGTGTGGAATAGAACCGATTATGTGGATAGTACTGTGGGATTTTACTGCGATATGCTGTGATTTAAGATTCTCTAATCTTGACAGTTGTTGAAGAACCAGAATTTTCAGATACCCAGAAATCCCAGATTCAGATACCCTACCAGATAAAGAATCTAGGAATTAAAGAGTATCAGATTCTGGTCCATGTTTATCTCCTAATTAATGAATTATTCGATCACTTCATATCCATTGTCAAATGGCATCTTGGTAATTTTTTCTCACAGAAACCAGCTGCAATGTGATGAGTTCCAATATGGGGCATGACCCGGATGATTTCGAGATGATAGAATTTCGGCCTAATTTCCTTACTGCAGGCCTACCAGCTGAATATTGCAAGACATTTCTTAAGATAAATAAAACAGCCACAATGTCTCGCCTACTGATTGCAACTCTTATACCATTTGCCCTCACATCACCGAGTGTCTCCCATATTGTTGTCTATCTGGTTCGAACGCTGGGAATATGCATTATGCAATCACGCCAGTTATTGTCCAAATAGCTAGTGTACGGTACCAAGCACTGACTAGAGGTATTTGCTATATTTCAAACCTTCATTCTTCCCTGTGGTCCAGCCTGAAAAACCTTTTTCTTGGTATCTTCTTGGATTACGTTGTGCAATTCTCCTACGATTATATCTTTGATCTTCTTTCTCCTGAACTTGTAGACCTTCTTTCCTACCTTTTCTCTGACCATCTAACAGTGGTCTTTATTGGCTTAATTCATCTTTAGCTACCCCCGTCTCATTATCCACATCATCTCGTTCTGGGTATTCTATACTCCAGCAAAGCTTCCCGACAATCTGACCTACTCAGACTGTAGTGCCATTTTTCTCACTGTCAACCCGGAAAACGAGGACTTCGAAGAATGCTGACATACTGTCTGAACACGAGCCCGGCGAAATCATCGTCGTGGCGGCAGGAGAGTCGCTAACAAAACTCACCAACAGATAGAGGTTCCTTCCAGCGGCATTTCCCCCGAACACAAATCCGAGTGACAACAACACAGACAGCAACAAGCGTATCCAGATCGCTCGCGGGATTACATTCGTAAAGACCCGAATCAACGTGCTACTTGTCGACCATGTCTTCTGGCCGACCACTTCCTCCGCAGCATCCTCCCCCTTCGAGAATCCCAAGGTCGGCGTAGTGGGGACCAACAAACGAGTCCGTCGCACAGACAAACGCTTCAATATCCGATCGTTCTGGAACATGCTAGGGGCATTGTATCTGGGCGCCATAATTTCGAAATTCGAGCCACGAACGCCATTGACGGAGATGTCTTTGTTGTATCGGGTGGACGTCGGCCCATTCCTCGATCCTCCAACGTCCTGATTTCCTTTCGGGATTCAAATGAACGGGATTTCTTCGGGATGTTTGGGTTGTCAGACATGGATGCAATATCAAAATCCAATACTGCAAAAAGTCCCTGGCTGAAACAACTCTCGGTACGTATCCCAAGTTTCTGTCCCAGTGTTTGAGATGGGTGCGCACCACGTGGCGAAGTAACTCTACCAGTCTCGTTACGGATGGGACGATCTGGAGTCATCAGCCATGGTGTATCTAGCTGTGTATCTGACGTCGTTTGTTAATTTTGCGCCGTTCTACGATGGTTTGTTGGTCTACATTCTATCCTGTAGTCAGCTAGGGACCACAGAGAATCTGGGCTACTTTGCGTGTTGGATATTTTGCTCCAAGACGGTTAAATTGATACCGTATTTTTCTCCATGAGCCAAAGGATCTGATCATGTTGCCTGGATATTTTGTGTTCGCTTACTTCCACAGCTTAATCAAGCTCTACGCCTGATGGAACTTCTGGGTGACTGCATGGGGGGAAGAAACCTCGATGCCATCCACCAAGACCAAGGCGTGAAGGACAACTCAAGCGATAATAGGAATGCATCTCTCTCGTCGTTACGAAGGGCCAGGAAAACCGCGTCGTCGCATCCCGCTGCCCAACTTAACAACGATAATAATATTAGTGACGATGACGTCCCACTAGCGAAGGCACCTCAGTCGACCAAATGACAGCATTACAATGATCCTGTTCAAGTAGTGACCCCCAATCCTGTCAGCCGATACCCTCACGAGGATCCCGTTCAGGTAGTAATCCCTCTTCCTGCCAACCGTACAATCCCCAGCAGTTCTCACGAGTGTGCTCTGCGGAGATCTTTTCCTGATCCTCCGTTTCGTCCTCACACCCGCAATACCCAGACTCCATCCTACAATACTAGCCATTATGTGTATAACAAACCACCGAAGTCCAAATTGCGTAAACCTAGGTTTGAACGTTCTCCAGCTCCTGAGACTCCGCCTCCCAAGCCTCGGGGAAGACTAGGACGCAAACCAAAGCCTGCATCTGCACCCACAACTGTGAAGACTGCCGCCACGGAGGGACGACCCGCTGTCCTAAATGTCGAAGGATGCACTCTGGAACTTGTTTATAGCTATTACTGTTGAGATGTATGTTGTGTTGCATTGGATATTTAATCTAATTTTGTGTATTCAAAATCTGTTTCAATAAAAGAAGAGATGGAGGAAGGGAGGTTCAAGAAGGACAAACAAGTCAAAATACAGGCTGAAAATTCCAAATTATACAAGGAGAAATCAAAGAGAGGATTTTCAAATTAGCGTCATTTAATGGCCACTTGGGCTCTATGCTAAAATGACTACCCCATGCCAGTGTAATTTCACATGCCTCCCCAGTCGAACAAACGTGACGAAGTATCCAAATCAAGCTTGTTTCCCCAATACTCCACACCGTCCACGGAATACCCATCTGGGAGGTATCCAGATATGTTAAAGTAGTTTTGAAGGCATACCTTTTTTATGACTTTACCTGAAGCAGTTACGGGGACCTGTTCCCCATCCTGAAGCACACGCAATAGTGTAGGCAATTTGAAGGAAACCATGCCAGCGGCAGCGAGTTCCTCCCGTATAGTCCGCAGGGTGACTTCATGTGTTTCTTTACCCATATCCTGCGCCTGAAGTCGAACCAGCGCAGCTACCATTCCGCCAGCCTCACGATCCAGGACCGGGAGTACATGGGCTTCTGATATATAGGGAAGATCCATCAGACTCTGCTCCAGTTCCAGAGTAGATATCTTGTACGCATGGAATTTGATCCCTTGATGTATGTCGTTAGTCTGGATCGAGGACGTGTTTAGGGGAAGGGACGTACAATCACACGAGGCCCTGCCGTCGAAATAATAATCATCACCAATGCGGTGGGCATGATCTCCTGTTTTGTAAAACCCCTCATCGTCGAACGCAGCGCGTGTAGCTGCTTCGTCGTCGATATACCTATGGCGGTGTAAGTGGAATAGTTTCAAGCGCAAAGATTGCTTTCCCTACCGGATGAACATGGCAGGGCTTTTGGCGAGGATTTCTCCATGGTCGCCATCGGAGAGCTTCACTGTTATCCCCGGAAAAGGTCTACCCATATATCCCTGCATAGCAATCAGCAAGCAAGCAACGAGAAATTAGAATCGATACGAACTTCCACAAAGGCTGAGCCAGCCGGAGTAATCATCACCCCTCCTCCCATCTCGGTCAGCCCGTATGCATTTCTGATAGGCATATCGGTTAGATCGGCAAAGAACTGTCGAATAGAAGAATGAAGCATGGAACCACTAGTGTATACTGTCTTTAGTCTTCGAGCCCCGTTAATATATTTGTCACGATCTTCTGACGAGAGTCTGCTGATATTTTCGATATAGTATACCATTAACTCCCTTAAAACTGTCGGAGACAAGCTCATGTCCGTGATTTTACCCTCCCTTAGAATCTCCCAGAACTTCGCTGGCTCGGACCCAGACTTTATGATATGCAGACTCTCTCCGCATAGAACACTGTCTATGAGACCTGTACCTCCCACCCAATGTATGGGACTGGATGCTAGATATAGTGTCCCTGGGTCTATCTCGTCTGGATTGAAATAGAACATCTGGCGGGGGAGAACGGCTCCTTTTGGCGGCCCGGTTGTCCCAGACGAAAACAGCACCAGACATTCCGCGGTGGAGGAGAAGTTTAATCCATCGTTGATCTGTACTTCGGGAGAATATGGGCTTGACACCGAGTCTGCTCTTGTTATTGTGATTAGGTTTACCTTCTGGCCCTGGCTCTGGACGTGATCCTTAATTGCTGCGGCCATGTTGAAAGTACTTCCCTCAACTAGGATATGGGCTGCCTTTGTCTTTTTCAAAATGTATAGCGCTTCGTCCGGTGTAAGGATTCTCGCTGGGTTAGTTTGCATTAGTGTCTGTGGGCTATCCGCATTTCGTAGACTGGGCATACCTAGTGGTACGTACACTCCTCCTAGAGCCGCAACAGCAAGGAAGCTTACAATGTAGTAGTATCCACTGAACGAGAGGAACGCGATAGACGTGGCATGCGTAAGACAGCCTTTCTCATTGAATAAAGAACTCGGGAGCTGTGCTCGCAGGACCTGACGCATATGTTTGACATCGCGGATCAAGTGACTATAACCCGCATCAATGCCGTATTCGTCGTGGAATAAGAGACCAGGTCGCTCTGCGGCGAGTCGGCGAAGTTGGGTGAATATGGGGTCGTTTGGAAACTTCTGTTGTGTGGATTCAATGTCGCTTTGCAAAGACATTTTGTAGTCAACTGTGGTCTAGGTGTAGAAACAAAGGACCAATATATAAAGGTATAGTTCCCAAGAAGGAGAGAGAAGTTAGGTGTCGACAGACGCTTGTCTTAGCAGATTCTTCCAATGAACATCCATTGTATGGCATACAAAATATATACCTATGCTGGCGACTTTTTAGCCACAAGAGAAACACAAATATACCCCTGTCAGCTGAACTATCAGCAGAGGCTATACCCTCCTCAGTATTTGTAAACACATCTGCTAAGCTTCCCCTACATACAATATCCATGCTATCAAGCACGCTCACATAATAACACAAACAATTCACAGAGCTGGGCTTAGCTGAAAGGTGTTGGCCACATCTTATTTGAGGCTAAGTCTGGCGCTAAATCAGTGTCTCCGCTCTTCCATTTGCGCTGTGTCGACCAAAACGCGCCTATATATTACTGATTATTCAGCGTCTTCTCGGTCCGACTTTGTTTCTTTGTTTTTAACCATTTTATAGTTAGAGATCTTACTTTTCAATATAGACGGATCCTTATCCATAATGATACTGGCTCATACGCGTATTCAGTTGACCGACACCAAGTCTGTTTTGCAACCAGGGCGTGCCAATGCATGTCGCGGACCCTAGAAATCTATGGTTCAGCCAGCTTTACGGTAAGGCTTCTGTCTCCAATTCGTCATGGTCTTAAATGTGTCGGTCAGCTGAATACACGTATGAGCTAGTATCACCGATCATACAATCATAATATGGATCTGTACTGAAAAGATAAGGTCTCTAAGGTCTTTAACTATCTGAATCTATCTGGGAGAATTGATAAAAGGTTAAACAAAGGAATAAAGTCGGACCGAGCAGATGCTGAATAATGGGTAATATTGGCCCACTTTGGTCGACAAAAGTTATCCACTGCGGTCAGTCAACTGAAGTTAGCAATGATAGATGCCCTGTTCGTCGACGACATAGTTCCTGTGACCTGCATATCCTAGCGGCATTAGATTGGCTGATCTCGTCAGGCAGGAAGAACCTGATATGCGTACCCACTAGGAAGAGTGCAGGTTACAGCCGGAAAAAGCATACCAGAAATACTACCTCAGGTTTGTATTTTATAAATTTGCAAGTCACTATCCAGGGGTCGGATCAATGGTATCTGCTCATTTCACCCTGGTTGATTGTTGTAGCTCATTTAGCGTAGACAGCTGGATGGAGAGGAGAGCTGAGCCATTCCATATTTTAAGCAGCCTGCCACTATTCCCATGAGCTGAAAGATCTGCAATGCAAAGAGGCCCTACTCCGTATGTCCTTGTAAAATACAACTTCCGCGTAAATATACTTTTAGAAGCTGGCTATTATGACTCCGCATAGTGCTATTCTGACGTGTGCTCTCAACATTGCCAAATCTATTCAACTCAATTCAAAATTCTGTTAACGTGTTGCAGCCCGAATATTGAATGCCAAAACTAACTAAACAGTAAATATAATTCTAGTTGGCTCACATGCAAATATAAACTACACTATAGCCTGTTCAGACCCTGGACCACGTTCGTTTATACCAACTTCTCTCGGCCACATACGATACCCTGTGGATGGGACCTCAACATGTCAACCCCACTCCCGTCGCCGCCTCGTATTGGTGTCATTGTGAACCAGTCTGTACGCCGCGTCGCCTGCGATCAATGTCACTCCCAGAAGCTGCGATGCACAAAAACAGACGATAGCAACACCTGCGTACGGTGTCATCGCCTGAATCGGACCTGTGTATGGAGTCCGCCGTTACGGAGTGGTCGCCCTGTGCGAGCTGTCACCGAGGGGGGCACTGGCCGCAGCACTGGCGGCGAGATGCGCCGGAAGCGTACTTTAGCCGGTTCGTTGGTAGTGTTCAAGGGCTGCACGATGTATAACGATTATCTGGATTAACAAATTCAATAGAAACCCTCGAAACCACCGCACCGGGAGACAAGTCCATACCCACGGTCATGACGACGAGTGCGAACACCGATGCCACTCAGGGTCAAAGAGCCCCCAGTCATAATCTCCGCCAGCCTATTCCGTCCAACGATTCGGTTGAGACCTCCGAGACACCGTCAATGCCTTCCTTCTTCCAGGAATGGAACCTGTCCGACATTTTCAGTATACCCAGTCCCCGATCGAACCAAAGGGACAGCCCTTTTTCACCGGTCCTATGGACCCCACCGGATAGCGTTCTTCCGACAACACAATTCGCGGGCTTTGTCAGTGCGGCGGCCACGGGCCCCGTAAGTCCCTGCCCGGAGCATAACCGTAGCAATAGGAACGTTCCACCTCCAGCAAGGTCGTCTGCCGCAGTACCCCAGTCTGACTCCGTTCAAGACATCACGCAGGATCTATCTGACCTCAATTTGTCGCTGCTGAGCGTACACAACTCTCTTCAAGCGGAGCCCTGGGGAGACATGTTCGAATCCCCGTCGGCCGTTATTGCGAAACTGACCGCGTGCGATCGCGGGTATTCGGGCGTGGATCTCACCCGAAGCTATCCGCTTGTCGAGGTATTTAATGGCTCCCAGCGTTTCATCGAGCTGCTCAAGCGGGCAAACGCATACTTCACCTCAACGTCCGCTCCATCCTGGTCTTCATCCGCCCCCTACTTCTTGAGCACTCAGGCACCCCCACGAGCATATCAATCTCAAGGTTTGCCCTCGGATAGCGACACGTCTAGCAGTCGATCATTAGAGAACGACATGCAGTCAGGGATGCCCCCGCCTCCCAGCACGGCACCTCATCGGCCCTGCCGAGGGGGCCGGGCCGATCTTCCTACCGGCCTTCTTATCTGCACTATTTATGCGCGGACCATTGACCTCTACACCGTTCTCATTACACAACTGTCGCACTTTGTCCACGCGCTCTCCATGCTCTCTGCATCGGGGGGTCCTGAGTATCGCCCACAGATGCATCCGGTGATCCCCCCGTTGCAATGGGGCGCCTTTCAACCCGCCAACTACAGCGCCCTGCAGATGCTGATAGTCACTCAGGTGATATCGTTCCTGCTGGCGGAGATCGAACGATCGCTGGGCGTCGACGAATGGGAGCAGTACGTCGGTCGGAGGGATTCATGGCGTGGAGAGCGGACGACGGGGGGGTCGTCTTATACAGAATATCAGTCCTCACGACATGGGGGGACCCGGCAATGGGAGTCCGCGGATGGGGATCCAGAAACCACATCGCCCCGGAGGGGTTTGGTGAGTCCCGAGATGATCGATATTGTCGTTCAAGGTAACCAGGGGCGGATGGGGGGCCGGAGTGGAAAGATCGCGGTGTTACGGAGGAAGGTGAAGAGAGTGAAGAAGGAGTTGGAGCGCAGTATCTATCGTTAATACCTGTATACCCCGTGTTATGGCATGGCTGTTGTGTTTAGGAGTTATTTACATAGATCTATTTCGGCAATGCTTATGTCCGATATAAAAGGAATAACCCACCGACTCCGAACTCCGAACAGACTTACCGATACTGGCTACTTCTGCAGCCAAGAATATATATACGAAAGCGGAGCTGCATAGAAAGTATCAAACCAGAAACCAGACCACCAAAGAATCAACAGCAAGTTCACCCACAACGACACTATGACACTCCCACCAAGTCAGAAAGCGCTCATCGCGCTCAAAGAAGGCGAATACACCCTGACACCGTCCCATCCTCTCCCTCCACACAACCCCCTGCCACCCTCGTACATTCTCATCCGCGTCACTCACGTGGCTCTGAACCCTTGTAACTGGAAAATGATAGACTTCTCACCTGCGATCGGCTCTGTCGGCGGCAATGACTTCTCCGGACGGGTCGTGGCCACCGGATGCAGCGTGCACAGGTGGACGACTGGGGATGCGGTTTGTGGGTTCCTGTACGGATTGGATCCGCACGTGGGACCGGGAGAATGGGCGGGGGCATTCGCCGAGTATGTGAGTGTAGACGAGGGATTGGTGATGCGTGTCGCCGAGACACAGCTGGGGATGGCTGAAGCTGCGTGTTTGGGGGCCGGAGTGGTGACGGCCGGTATGGCGTTACGGAATCTAGGCATTTTTGTTTCGGAGGGGGTTCTTTCCGGCGAGGATGGGGGAATTGATAGTGCAAATGGGCGGGTAGGGAAAGGGAGGGATTTGTCGTATTTACTTGTTTATGGAGGGAGTACGGCGACGGGGACGATGGCTATTCAGTTGGCTCGATTGTATGTTCATACATACGCAGAAAGACTTCTGCTCTCTGATGCATGCTAACAGAATAATGATACAGGGCAGGGTACACACCAATAGCCACATGTTCACCGAAGAACAACTCCCTTGTGCAGTCCTACGGTGCGATCAAGACTTTTGATTACCACTCTGCGTCCTGTGGAGTGGCCATCCGCGCCTACACGAAGGGCAAACTCGCACTCGTCTTGGATTGTATCACGTCCACGGACAGCATGAAAATCTGCTATGCCGCGCTGGGCGCTCGCGGGGGTCGGTATATGGCGCTGGAGCCGCCTGCGCTCCGCGTGCATAGCGCTCGACGGGATGTCCAGACGGATTGGGTGATGGCGTTGACGGTCTTTGGGAAGCCGGTGGATTTGAAAGGGCCATTTGGACGGGATGCTGTCCCTGGGGATTATACGTGGGCGTCAAGGTGGTACGTTCTTGCGGAGCGGTTGGTGGAGAGGGGGTTGTTGAAGCCTCATCCTGCCTGTATTCAAGAGGGCGGTTGGGACGGGATTCTCAAGGGGATTGAGGAGTTGAGGTGTGGGCGGGTTAGAGGGGAGAAGCTGGTTTATTGCATTTCTTAGTCTACGCAAGTATCTACTCCGTATAAGGATGCGATGTTCATTCGTGACAATTCTATTCTTCGGGAATATAATGAGATTCAATCTTTCTCTAGACTGATCACCGTCCTCTCCATCCCCGCAGCCTGCAGGCGCTCCAGAAACTCGGGTCCCAGCGCCGCAGGGGTGAGGATACCTCCCCCGAGTCTCTGTGCCAGCGAATCGCTCTTCTCCCGGTCTAGCTGGTGCAGAACCGTCAGTGCCGCCTCGCTGACAAGCACACTGCAGGCACTATACGCGTCCGTATTCATGCGGAGAACACCCATCATAGCGGGTTTGCCCGCACCATCTGCAATCGTCGCCCTCCACTCCACGAAGTGCCGCCCCGTGGGAGAACCATGTGGACCTGTCCCTAGACCCAGAGCGAGCGACATCAGGTGCCACCGTAGCGGCGGCAGCAAGATCGCGAGAATTGTGGCTAGTCCTATCTTGAAAAATGAAAACCATCCCTGTAGCCAGTTCCGTGCCGTTGCATAGGACCGGAAGCTAAATCGCTCTCCGTACTGTTCCGTGCGCTTTCCATATCGTTGATGAAGTGACCAGCTGCGCATGACGACTGCTTCGTCAGTAGTGGCAGAGAGATTGAACTCCAGATTACCCAGAAAGGGATCCCGACGCACTGGAACCAGCGGTGCTGTATAGGGCCGATGTGGTCCTGCACCTGCGACGCAGAATGCCTGCGCGGCGCTTGCGGTCATTATCTGTCGCATTGAGTAGGCCGCTAGACTGGTGACGACGGAGTTTATGGTCCCGCTACTGGAGCCGGCGGAGTCGTGATCAATGGTAAACACGACAGGTCCGGCGGGACGTTGAAGCTTTTGCACGAGCATCTGTGCTAGTAGATCGGGCGGGCTTGATTCAATCGCACAATGGGGGATGATCTAGTCCTTATTATTTATGCCACCTTGCAATTCCAGAGAACGGGGCATACGATCGCGTTTCTTGCTACAGCTTGATCGTGATATTCAGTCGCTAGGTAATGTGACCAGACATGTTCACCACTTGAATCAATATATGCGGTCGAGTGCCGGATGCAGGCCGCGACGACGGGCGTGCCATGTATACAGAATGGCTATTTTGTCAGCATCTCTTATTATCTTGCGCGTTTCGCTGATTGTCCACTTACCCCAACCGTGTTGAGCACGACCCTTGTCAGTGACGCCATGTGCTCGAGCTCTTCCTGATTGAGTGCGGCCACGACCACCTCAGGAGCCGTGCATTTTGGATCAGCGTCCTGGAAGGAGCCGGCCAATGTTCGTAACTTGACGCCATTGCGCCCGGCAATTGCCCATCGGAGCGCTGAATGCTGCTGCGCCCACAGGTACTGAGTAACTAGTCTGCCCAGGTCACCCGTGGCGCCATATACAATCAGGTCATACGGGCGGGTCATGTCTAGCAGGAGATTCGGCGATAACAGTAAGGATAATTCACTACCGCCCGAATAGAAATGAGAAGAAGAAAGTATGGCGATTCGGAGCATAAAGAGTATATCCAGGATTCTATGTTTCCATTTCGGGCAAAACCCGCCGTATATGCATCGCGGCCCAATAAACCATCCGCACCGATAGTATATTATACGGTATGTACAATGAATGGAGACACCAACAACGCATGGACAAAAATTTTGGAACTGGAAATGGCGGCCCTGGTCTTCTTGCGCATTCTCCCTCTTCTGACCACTTCGTCCTGTCTCACCTTCGCCGTGGCCTCGGACCTGTACTTCAAGCCCTACCTCAGCTCCTCGGTCAAAGATGTCGCTGATCTCTCACTTCCATCATACATAACTGAGTGGTATACCTGGGGGATGGCCCTCATTTTCATCATCTATCCATTGGCCTGGTGTACCGCGATCGCAAATCTGCCCGTCGCAGATCTGCTGCACACCAGCATCGCCGCGTTCGTGCTGTACCTCTTGGGGCTGGTTTTCAGCATTGGTCATATGCTCTGGGGGCCCCATGCAATTTCGTTATTGAACTCGATCAAAGTCCAGCATGGCACGGGGAGCACGGAGATTGTGCGTCGATGGTGTCGGTTGAATTTAATTCGGGGCGCTTTGGCCGATGCACCCGCCTGGGGGTGCTTTCTGGCGGGATTCCTGGTCTGGGATAGTGCACGCTAGTTGGTGTCTATTTGATATAGATATTCTTGAGCGCGGCTGACGAGATTCGGTGGAATGGAATAGGCTGAAGTTGGCATCATGTAATACTTCAATAGAAGCGATATATATATCAGAGCTCATGCAAATACGATATAGACATATACGTCAAGGCTGGGTAAACTATCTTTGGCGATAGACAATGGCAGGCTCAACCTCTCTGTTCTACGATTCCACCGTCTTAGACCGGATGCCTCTTTCATAGCATCCGTTACCGACCCCCAAATATAATAAAATTTCAGACAAAGGAGAGAAATATCCCCCCTCCTCGATGCGAAACAAGGTCGTTCTGATCGTGAACACCGCCTCAAAATGCAGCTTGAGTCCACAATACCAAGACCTAGAGGACCTCTACCGCCGTCTCCGCGAAACCTGCCGCGACGGCTTTATGATCCTGGGCATTCCATATAGCCAGTTTTCACGACAAGAGCCATGGTCGGCCGGCCAGATTCAACTGTCAGCTGAACTATGATGTTACCTTTCCCGTGCTCGGGACGATAGATGGCGATTGACCGGTACCGCTCTATAGGTGGCTCAAGAAACAGAAGGCCGTGTCGTGGTGTTTGCGAAAAATTAAGTGGATCTTTACCAAGGTAGTTACCTCCTTGATTCGATCTAGCACGCGTTGTAGATCCGTAGGAGATCTTATGCTGACGAGTTAGTTTGTCATGTACCGGAACGGACAGGTCAGAAGTCAGCGGTCACCGACTACGAAGCCGGAGAGCTTAGAGAAGCATTTGACTTCACTGTTGGAGGAATGATCCTCATGTGATGAATATGGAGTCTTGCATTGATATATGGATGGTCGGCAGGCAATTGATGATCTACTACTGGTTCCTATGCGTCAACGTGACCATTTTATTCTACGTGTTAAACAAATACAAATATGTCAAAAACTGACCTGTATCCTGGACTGCTCGGTGGTTGGTCACGATAGCGTATTTCGATTGCAGTTCTTTGTTGGATGTACTGTACGGAGCAGGACTGTAGCAGGTACCTAGGGTTTCGGTGTTCCAATTCGGAAAAACCCACCGAAGCCGAACGGTCTCATCGGCCTCAACATCCATATCCATCCTGATCTATCTGATATCAGTCTGGATACCCTATTTTATACTGTATTGTTTTCTTGAAAGCGGACATACCCTAGTCAATTCCCCAGGTTGACGACGATATAGTAATCCGCCATGTCAACCGAACACAACGATGTCTCTCAGCACAACGACTCTCAATCCGACAATGAGAAAGCCGCAAAGAGAGGCTATGGCTGGCGCTTCTGGGCAATATTCCCTGGTATGATGATTGGCGGGCTTTTAAGCGCACTCGATACGACCATCCTGTCGACCGTCCTTCCCACTATCTCCCACGTGCTCGACTCGCAACTGCTGTATGTCTGGGCCGTCAACGGCTACTTCGTGAGTCAAACCGCCGTTCAGCCTTTGTACGGCCAGGTTGCCAATATCTTCGGTCGACGGTGGCCCATGATCATCTCGGTGGCTCTGTTTGCCCTGGGGAGCGGCCTCTGTGGCGGAGCCAACAGCACCTCGATGCTGATTGCAGCTCGTGTCGTGCAAGGTCTGGGCGGTGGTGGCATGAACGTGATGATCGAGATTATCGTTGCCGACCTGGTCCCACTGCGAGAGCGCCAGCAGATTATGGGGATCATCTTTACTGCCTTCTCTGTGGGAACCATGATCGGACCCGTCGTAGGCGGAGCCATCGTCGACCATACCTCGTGGCGCTGGGTATTCTACATCAATCTGCCACTGTGCGGCGTGACGCTGTTGCTCATGATTCTTTTCCTGCACGTCCGCTACGACCGCGAAGCCACCGTTTGGTCCAAGTTGAAGCGTGTCGACTTCGTGGGCAACACGATCCTGATCGCCTCGGTCATCGCCATCCTCCTGTCGCTGACATGGGCCGGCACCCTGCACCCCTGGAAATCCTGGCGGACCCTGGTACCTCTGCTGCTCGGATTCGTAGGACTTGTCGCCTTCATGTACTTTCAGGCTAGCAGGTGGTGTCTGGAACCCACGATGCCACTACGGCTATTCACGAACCGCACGGCAGCACTCACCTACATCCTGAGCTTCCTGCACGGGATCATCCTGTACTGGGTCAGCATGTTCCTACCCGTCTACTTCCAGTCCATTCTGGAAGCCACGCCTGAAAAATCTGGGATCGATCTCTTCGCCAGCGTCATCCCCATGGTTCCCTTTGCCATCATCGGCGGCGTCCTCATCACAGTCACGGGGAAATATAAACCACTGCTTATTGTTGGATTCGCGCTGATGACCATCGGCATGGGCCTATTCACCATGCTGGATGACAAGACCAACACCGTGCGTTGGGTCGTCTACCAAGTCATCCTGGCCATCGGCTCGGGCATCGCTCTCATCGCGACTCTCCCAGCTATTCTCGCCAGTCTACCCGAGTCCGACGTGGCCACCGCCACCGCTACATGGGGCTTCCTGCGCAGCTTCGGGTCCATCTGGGGCGTATCTATCCCATCTGCGATTTTCAATACGCGATTCACCGACCTGGTGGGTCGAATTGATGATCCGCAATTGCAGACGATGTTGGTCGATGGGGGTGCGTATCAGCTGGCTACTAAGTCGTTTATGCAGTCGCTGAATCAAACCCCGGTGGTCAAGGCGCAGGTGGTTAGCGTCTACGTGGACAGTTTGAAGCTCGTGTGGCAAGTGGGAATTGCTTTTGCGGCGGTGGGAGTGCCGCTGTGTTTCTTTGTGAGGAGTCTGACCCTGCGGAATGAGTTGAATACTGAATATGGGTTTGAGGAGAAGAAGGAGGAGGCGCTTAATACTAAGGTTTGAATAATAAGTGGTGTGTTGTCTTTAGTTTTATTAGTACATGACCCCCACCTTTTACGTGCAATTCCTATAGCGAAACAATATACTACCGTCCTGCTTCCTAACCTAGCCAACAGGTACCACCCTGCCGTAGAGTCCTTTACAGGCTTCTTGCCTTTATGTTTTGCTATGCAGCCGTTGAACCGCGGCTGCCTATAAAACATGGAATATCATCGGTGAACAGGGAGGTCGATATATTATAGGAAAGTATTGAAGAGAAGAGACCATCGCTTATAAAATAAAAGCGGCCGATCCAAAAATCAAGCAACTAGTGTCCTCAACCAGAAAACTGCCGAGGAATTGACCAAAGCCATGTATCCTTGAAGCAATCTTCGCCAAATTTTCTGTTTGCGCCTTGTAGTGCATCCGCTACTAGCCTATCTGCATATCCCTGAGTATCCATTTGTGGGATGCTGTCATTCCCCTGAGCATGGTCTTTGATGTTTCGCTCCAACGAAATATAAAAAGATATGTTCGGCAGTCTAAATCCGGATGAGTGGGACGTTAAATTTGAATAACACTCCCAGTTATAACGGACACGACACGGATCACGAATGGAGCCATCTCCAGTCGCAAAGTCCCACCGAGAGCAGTAGGAGCGGCCTTGGAGACTGTGTAGGGTCCTGCAAATATCGGCGTAAAATGCTGAAACAGTATCTGCACACTTACCAATCCAAGGTGCGTATATTAGGCTGCTGATGGAATATAAGTTAGTTATAAACCCCCAAAGATCCTTTCAAGAAAACTAGCAATCAATCGTTTTTCAACTGATTTGCACTATAAATCAATCCTTGATGGACGCAGTCTCTGAATTCTACATCATGTCCTTTGGTTGAATCCTGTTAACAGTTCTACAGAGCCTAAGTTTTTCAACATCGAGTGAACTGTCCAATACAAGGCGAAAATATGCGTCTCTACTGGGCTATCAGTGCGCTAATCATCGGCACCACGACGGCTGCTCGAGTAGCTGCAGGAGGCCGATTGTCTCGCCGTTCGACTTTTAGCTGTACTAGTTTAGGGTGTGTTCAGGGGTTTATGTGTGATGCTCGCGCTAATATATGTCGGTGTATTCTCGAAAACGGCTGCAAAAGCACTGTATGTATTAACTTGGGTCTTGATTTTTCGATGGGTCCTGACTTAACTAAACAGAGTACCGGTCTCCTTGAGGAGATAGAAGACGTTATAGAAGCACCAGGAGAGATAGTAGTTGATGCCGCCGAGACGTTTGACTTGTGGAACGGCGAAACCTGTAAAGGGCTATCGGAAGTGTTACTGCCGGTAGTACACGGAGCGATAAAAAATGTAGCAAGGCGACGGATGAAACCGGATTCAAATCTGCGATCGGTAAGATACAGAATGAAATAACGAAGTTTTTGAACTACCCAGTGATGCGAGAAGGATGGGAGGTTCTAAATACGCCTTTGGAAGACATCCCAGTGGTCGGATTGTGGTTCAAAACAGTCGGCGAAGCAGAAAGATGGGCCTATGAGAATATAGTCCCCGCGTCTGCAAGGAGGGCCTTGCAAACTTGTGCAGATGATGGTATTAAGAATCCGAGTAAAAATCCCCTTGGATTTGTATTAGTGATGGCTGTTAATATGATAAGACATCCAACCATTCTTGACGCTCTTCTAGCAATCCCAGGGGCTACGAACTCATAGAGGCTATTAAAGCCGGCGAAGAAGCAGCCAAAGCCGCAGAAGCAGCAATCAAACAAAACGGCAGAGGAAGCGTCCCAACGGGTGGTCAAATTTGCCGGAACAAGAAGCAGGGCCGAAGAAGCTGCCAAAGCTCTCGAGAAAGCAAGCCTAGACGCAGATTAAGCCGGCAGAAAAATCTGCGAAGGTCGCGAGTAGGATTCTGAAGGGAACAAAGGAGTGCGAACGCAAATCCAGAGGAAGCAAACCAATTGGATGGATCTTTTCTACACAGCCTTTGTGAATATCTACTTAGCATTCATTACGTTGTACAAGCTAGAGAAAGATTGATTGTTATTTTTCTGAATATAGACGACAACAAAACCAGCCCCAGCACAGAACACCCATTAAGTGCTCAAACCCACTGCCAGGACACTAGTCAAATAATATAGTCAACTAATGGCTACAAATTCAATTCGCGTAATTATCATACAATAGTCAGTATTTGAATAAACAATGCCAAAGCTGGCATAAATTGAGCACTCCACAAAGCCATGGAATGGGCATTTGGTGCGAAAAAAGCGAGTAACCAACACCGTAGTGTTCCAGTTAATTAACACTCGTGGAAAGAGCTTATAGTTCTAAATTGTTTAGCAATTCTGGCATTCATGATCTGCTGTAAAATAAGAGCTCATTTAGTTTGGGAGACAGCTAATGTCTCCAGGAGAAGGTATCAAGTCCACTGGAAATTCTTATGACAAAAATTGGCTACGATCTCCATTCCATTTTCTCCGAAGCTAAGCACTGAACACAATCTGCCCGTACTTAATGCCGTTGAGTGGTCAGCCTGTCAAGAGGAGGGACCAGGACAGCGCACTATAGCGAAAAACGGAGAGTGAAATAGATATGAACATAACAATTATCTCGCCATTCAAGGTGAAAATGCGCATTGCGTTGAAAGGTCTGCGCCACTCCCACAACATCACCAGTATCATATGTAGGTCCGAATTCTTTCCCTAGTCCCCTTCAACACCCATCATCGGCATGGTAACCCCAGGATATACCTTTAATGCCTGGGTTAACAATCATCCCCTCAAAGTAATAGGTGTAATTCCTAGCCGGCATTGTATGATCTGTGCGGACTTGAATTCCTCAGGAGAGTTTGGCACTGGGAATTCCGTCTGTTGAGAAAATTTATCAAATCGTGTCGAAAGTGCTTAGATTTTATGCTGGGGCTTACCTGTTGTAACCGTGCGGCCATCACTACTAATCTGTATTGTAGACAAATACACTTCCTTGACACACCGGCTCGGAGGGATACCAGCTGGTGTATTGGACTGTCGATTGTGTATGCCTTGCGCAACAGGACTACAGTGAGGTTAATGTGTCCATACATCTGGGCAGGATGGACTGGTATCCAGCCATGAATATCCTTAACTGCTCTGATCAAACGTCTCTATCGATTTGCAAACTAAGGCTGTATTACTTTGCGCTGCTACTCGATGCAAAGCCGTCATGCCTTCCCCATCTTGGTAGCCCAGAACACCACATCTCGAGCGTTGCTTCCTAGATATTATATTAATAATTCTCGTATTCTCTGAGGATTACAAAGGGATCCACTAACATCTTGTCGGCAACCACAGGGAAGAACTACTTCTGGGTCGCTGCCAGTCGCGAGGATAATTCCAGTCAGATTCTGAAATTATAAGTATTATGCTAGTAAAGTCTTAGAAATAACGAGACGTTTAGCAACACGCGATTCGTTACCTTACATGTGTGGATTATTTGTGTCTATGTTTATTAGTATATCCGATTGCCGTATATTTATAGAGAACAGTGGATTTGCCCCTGGTGATGTGGTCCATGATATCACGTATCCCTAATTATATAGCAGAGGAAGAACCGTGCACATCTAAACTTGCAATAGGCATCAGTGGACAGCATATATCTAAATACAGTGGATAATATTAAATAAAGGTGGCCAACATATAACATAACCCTTCAATCATGTGCAAATACTGAAACTACCTAGGTATCCATACAGCCAACACCTACTTCCACGTCAATCGACATCGACAGTCCCATAAATAAGAACCAACCTACTCTTCATTCCCCCTTTCCACCTTCAACACCTGATCTAACCATTCAAAGGTCTTGTCATGCACGACGGAAATCGCCGCCACCTTCGCCTGCAGGCCTCCGGATCCCACCCCCTTCGCGACCCAAAGTTTCGCCTGTCCTGGATGAAGTCGCTCCATCGCCTCATATATCTTCATGGCATTCGTGTTCGCCGGGAAATACGCCCAATCCGCCGCCCCGGTTACAAACACCGGACATTGCACCTGCGCTAGATACTCCCCTCCAGAATTGCATTCTCGGAGCGAGAACCGCTGAAACGCCCGAGTCGCCTGTGCAAACGTGGGCAACCCCAGAGCATAACGCGCATGTGTGAATTCAAACCGCGTGCGGAAATGCACCTTCCCCAACGACCGAACAACCCAGTCGAAGAATTTATCCCCTAGTCTGTCCCACGCTTTCAAGAAGACAGGCGGAATGCGCGAGTCGGCGATATCCCACATATCGTAGAAGCCGTCCATGGCGATACAAGCCTTCACGCGAGGGTCGGCGGCACCTCGCAGCGCGAAGTAGGCGCCCATGGACTCGCCGAAGATGGCGAGACGATCAAGGTCCAGATGTAGCTGGGGGTTCTCATCACGGTAGATACCGAGACGATCGAGCACGGCGCGGATCACCACCTCCCAATCGTGGCGCATGTATGTGCCGTGGGGAGCCTGCGCCGGGAACCCAGCTCGCTGGTCTTGTTGTCGCAGGAAGATGCCCTGGCCCGGTCCGTCGAAGGTGAGAACTGCGTAGCCGCGTCGACGAGCCCCGGCCGCGATGTAAAAATACAGCTCCTCCTGGGTGGAGTCGAACCCGCCGCTGTTGAGCACGACGGGGATCGGGGTCATCGACCCGGGTTTTCTCAGCGGCATGAATAAATATGCCGGCAGACTCAGACCATTCTCATATGGTATCTCAAGGGAGAGGACCTCGCCGCCATGACCGGCCGGATCGGCCAACAGGTCGAACCCGCGCTGGAAGTTGCGCACGCTGTGTTCGAGAGTCTTCAACAATCGTTGATCCTTGGGCGTACAGTGCAACATGTATTCTGCTGCTCGTAAATAGTTCCCCGATCGAATCCAGGCCCATCGTGCTGCTTCTCGGTCAGATCGCTTGTCTGCGGCAACCGCTACGGCTTCGGCCTTTTGCGCGGCTGTCACCCAGGCGTGGAACCAGCTCTCGGCATTGTTGTTCTCTATGTATTCGAGGGCTTCTAGACATTCTCCAATGTCGCAGCCTTCAAAGGGAGCGGTGCCCAATACCCGGAGGAATTCGAAGTGGAAGAAGTCGCCGTCGAAAAAGTTGTACATTGTGATGGTGGATGGATTGCGCAGTTCTAGCAGGCGGGACAGGATCCATATGACTATCGTATCCCAACCATTGTATTCTAATTCAGCTTGAAATTCGGAAGCAGTCGGACCTTCGGAGTCGGCGTGATGTCGTCGTTCGGTCGGTCGGTCGGTCGGCTTCTTGAGGCTGATTTGCTATATTCAGCCCTGAGATGACATGGCTGAAGGAATGCAGCCGAGCATCATGCTCGTAGGTATTGGATTAAGAGAGATTTCAGCTTATTCTAGCCTATATTCAGCGTGTATATATTATGGAAGTCAGGACAATGACAGTGTCGTCTTATGATATCTCTCGAAGTCATGTACAGACCTACACAAGAATACATATCCATTGTATACTGGACGTCCACATTATTCGGCCATGAATCTAAACGAACCAATCGCCATCATTGGCAGCTCCTGTCGATTCCCTGGAGGGGCATCGAATGCCTCAAAGCTGTGGGATCTCCTGCACGCCCCTCGCGATCTCCTTTCCACGATCCCCCCGGATCGCTTCGATCCAGCGGGCTTCTACCATCCCAATGGCGAGCACCACGGCGCCTCCAACGTACAGCACTCGTATCTACTTGACGAAGACCCCCGTCTGTTCGATGCCCCCTTCTTCTCCTTGAATGCCCGCGAGGCCGAAGCCATGGACCCCCAGCACCGCATCCTGCTGGAAACCGTCTACGAGTGTCTCGAAACTGCAGGGGTCACCATCCAGCAGCTGCAAAACACGGCGACGGGAGTATACGTTGGGTTGATGACGAATGATTACCACGACATACACCTGCGAGACATGGAAACCATCCCCAAATACACTGGCACGGGCACGACGCGCAGTATTTTGAGCAATCGGGTGTCATATTTTTTCAATTGGAAAGGACCCAGTATGACGATTGATACTGCATGTTCCTCCTCCCTCGTGGCGGTCCATCTCGCCGTTCAGAGTTTGCGCTCTGGAGAGACCCCCGTGGCTATTGCCGCCGGCACGAACCTGATCTTCGGCCCCGAAATGTATGTCATTGAGTCCAAGCTGCGTATGCTGTCTCCCCACGGCCGGTCCCGAATGTGGGATTCTAACGCGGATGGCTATGGACGGGGGGAGGGCGTTGCAGCCGTCATGCTGAAACCTCTCGCGGCTGCCATCCGCGATGGCGATGCAATTGAATGCATCATCCGCGAGACTGGCGTCAACCAGGACGGTCGTACCCCGGGTATTACCATGCCTAGTTCGCGCAGCCAGGAGGCTCTCATCCGGCAGACGTACCGACGAGCGGGTCTAGATCTGGCGAGGAATGAAGACCGGCCTCAGTTCTTCGAGGCTCATGGCACCGGTACGGCCGTGGGGGATCCGCTCGAGGCAGAGGCCATCAGTCGAGCATTTTTTGGAGCAGATGTCTCGACGGAGGATCAGCAGTTTGGTATTCTGCATGTTGGGGGGATCAAGACGATTATTGGACATCTGGAGGGTGCCGCTGGTATCGCCGGTCTCCTTAAGGCTTCATTGGCCATTCAGAATAAGATCATTCCGCCTAATTTGCACCTGGATGAACTTAATCCCAGGATCCTCCCTTTTACTGGACATTTACGCATCCCGACGGAGCCAATCCCCTGGCCGAGCATGTCAGATCGTGGGGTGCGTCGAGCGAGTGTCAATAGTTTTGGCTTCGGAGGGACCAACGCCCACGCTATATTAGAGAGTTTTGACGAAGTCCGGTTGCCGAGTCCTCCTGTGTCTCCGTTGCTGACACCACTGGTGTTTTCTGCGAACTCGGACGCGTCGCTGGTCAACATGGTGAAGGCCTTCGCCGGCTATTTAAAGTCTATGCGGCCCCCATATATGCTGGATCTGGCGTGGACCCTGCAGGCCAAGAGAACGGAGCTTCCGTACCGAAAGGCATTTGCGGGATCGAATTTGCAGGATTTCATTGCGGAAATGGAGAAGGCCATTCAAGTGAGTAAAGGAGTTTCATCAGGAACCTTGGGAACTAGATCCCTCGATGCAACCCAGAGCCATGACCAAAAGATACTGGGCATATTCACCGGTCAGGGTGCACAGTGGCCTTCGATGGGCGCCGGTCTCTTACAAAGCTCAGATATCTTTGCCCAAACCATCCAGAATCTGGAAGACTCTCTACGAGAACTACCTGACAAACCAACGTGGTCTCTCCGGGACGAGCTGAGCGCCACCGGGTCTAGTTCGCGGGTTCACCTGGCGGAGATATCCCAGCCCCTATGTACAGCCGTGCAGCTTGCGCTGGTTGACCTCCTGAACGCCGCAGGTGTCCGGATGTGTGCCGTTGTCGGCCATTCATCTGGAGAAATCGGCGCTGCTTACGCTGCGGGTGTTATTTCCGCTAGGGATGCCATTCGCATCGCGTATTACCGCGGTGTACATGCGAAACATGCTGCTGGAAAGGGCGGGCAGTCTGGGAGTATGATGGCTGCGGGGGTCTCGTTCCAGGAAGCACAGAGTCTCTGCGATGACCCTCGCTATGCTGGTCGCATCTCTGTGGCGGCCAGCAATGCACCCTCGACGGTGACCATATCCGGAGATAAAGACGCAATCGAGGAGCTTAAGACACAGCTCGATCAGAAGCAGATCTTCGCACGCGTACTGAAGGTGGACAAAGCATACCACTCTCATCATATGCTGCCCTGCGCTGGACTATATCGACAGTCGCTGGACAACTGTGCGATAGAAGTGCGATCTCAGTGTGGGATAAGCTGGGTATCGAGCGTCTACGAAGGGTCTGTGTCCATGTCTAGATTTAATGCCGATACGCTTTCGAGTCACTACTGGGTGGCGAATATGACCCAACCGGTGCTCTTTTCACAAGCCGTCCAGCGAGCGATTGTAGACCATGGCCCCTTTGATGTCGCGATTGAAATCGGTCCCCATGCAGCCCTGAAGGGACCCACGACGCAAACTATCAAGGCCTGCAGCAACCACAGCATTCCGTACCATGGTACTCTCGATCGTGGAAACAAGGATACCATTGCGTTTTCCTCGTCTCTGGGATTCATCTGGGAACGGCTGGGGGCGCAGGGCATCCAGTTGGACCAGTTCACGAGAAGCCTTCTGGATCGACCTCCTATTCTGCAGAAGGGTCTCCCGGGGTACCAATGGGACCATAAACAAACATACTGGAAAGAGTCCCGTCTGTCGAAGAACTTCCGAATGCGCAAGCAGCGCGTACATGAACTGCTGGGAATCCAGAGCCCGGACCACGTTGAGGGACATGATCTTCGGTGGCGCAATATTCTGCGCGTCGACGAGATGCCGTGGCTTCGTGGTCACAAATTCCAGAATGAAATCCTCTTTCCCGCAGCTGGTCATGTTGCGCTCGCTTTGGAAGCATCCAAGGTGCTCCTGCTGTCCGCCGGACAGGATGTGCGTCTGATTGAGCTGGAGCGGATCTCTATCGGCAAGGCCATCACGCTGGACGAGACCGCACCGGGCGTGGAAACCTGTTTCTCCCTGAGGCGAGTAGGGTCGGATGATGGGACTATCGTAGCGGATTTCGCCTGTTATGCATGTGCGAATGAAACAACCGGTGTGATGGATCCATGCTCGAGCGGCCGCTTGAAGCTGTATCTGGGCGTACAACATCCTGGAGATGAAATCCTCCCAACACGTCCTGACCCGGTTCCTGGGCTTGTACCAGTTGACTCTGATGAGTTCTACGAGTCCATGATCCAGATCGGACTGGACTATACCGGGGAGTTTCGGCACCTGCAGGATATCTCTCGGACCAGACGCTACGCGAGATCCTCAACCAGGAAACCTGTCGCGAATCCGGACTTCGCGGATACGCTCATGGTACATCCCGCGCTACTCGACATGTGCTTCCAGACCGTGATAGCGGCGTTCTGTCATCCTGGAGATGGATCGCTCTGGACGCCGTACCTCCCGACTAGTATCGAGCGGATCCGAATCAATCCGCAGGTGGGAAATCCCCATGAGGATCTTCTTGTCGATATCGAGGCGCATATCGTAGAGGAGACGTCGACTAATATTTCAGGCAACCTAAGTGCCTACAACTCGAACGGACAACAGATGATCCAGCTGGACGCACTGGTTTGCAAGTCATTTGCCAAGGAAACCTCTACCACGGACCGACTGCTCTTCGCAGAGACAGACTGGAAGCCTGCCGTGATGCCTGGGGAGGAATCATCAGCTACGACAGGGCAGTCGGAGCACCGTTCTAATGTTCTCGAGGTCATCGAGGCCAATGAGCGCGTCGCCCTCTACTACCTCCGGACCTTGCGGGAGAAGTTCCCCTCCGAAGAGGTGGCAACATTCGCGTGGTGGTATCAGCGGATTTTCGACTTTGCGGACCACCTGCTTCCCATCGTCGCGAATGGCAGTCACTCGTCTCTCCGAGCGGAATGGTTGAACGACACGTATGAGACGGTACAACGACTTGTGAGCCGATTCCCGGACCAGATCGATCTACAGCTGGTTGTGGAAGTCGGCGAGAACCTGCCCACGTACGTTCGTGGCACTGTGCCTCTGCTGGAAGTCATGATGAAGGAGGACCGACTTACGCGTCTCTACCAGGAGGGCCTAGGCGTTCCAGAGGTAAACCGCGAGCTCTCATCAATTGCAAAGCAGCTGTCCCATCAGTATCCAAATATGAGGATCCTGGAAATCGGCGCGGGGACGGGAGGCATGACGCGAGAGGTCCTTCAGCAGATTGGCGGCGCGTTTGGCTCCTACACTTTCACCGATATCTCGACTGGGTTTTTCGAGAAGGCACAGGAGAGCTTGCAGACTGAACACATCCACAAGATCGTGTTCAGCGCGCTGGACATTGAAAAGGATCCCGAAGCCCAGGGATACGCAGAAGGATCGTACGACGTGATCATCGCGTCGAATGTCCTGCACGCGACCCGCAGACTCGGGGAGACGGTGTCCAATGTGCGTCGTCTTCTCCGGCCGGGCGGGTACTTGCTCCTAAATGAGGTCACTGGGGATATGCTTCGACTGAAGTTCATCATGTCCGGTCTGCCGGGGTGGTGGTTAGGCGCAGACGACGGGCGATTGTATGCGCCGACAATCAACCCAACGCAATGGGACCAGACTTTGAGCGATGCGGGCTTCTCCGGCGTGGACATCATCCGTCAGGATTTTAACGTCACTTCGAAACAGTCGCTGTCGGTGATAGCGTCGCAGGCTGTTGATGCGATGGTGGATTTCCTGAGAGAGCCGCTTCTATCTCCTTATATGGCGCCGGAAGTGCAGGCGCTCTTCATCGTTGGAGGGAAAAGCCTTCCGGTGCGGAGGCTGGCGAGGTCCATCGCTAGACAGCTTTCGGGATGGACACAAGATATTACTTTCGTCGATGACTTGCTGGCATTGGAAGCTGCCGGTCCTGATTCTGGGTTTACCGTTATCTGCTTGGACGACCTGGACGAGCCGGTGCTACAGACGACCACCCCGGAGAAGTTGCAGGTTCTTCAATTCTTGTTCTCCGGGGCAAAGCACATTCTGTACTTGACTCGAGGGTCGAGAGATAATTCTCCGTACTCCATGGCCATGTATGGGCTGGGTCGCACCATGCTGTTTGAACATCCCAACCTCCAGATGCAATTCATTGATATCCGCCAACTGGGCGATGTCACCGGACGCATCATCGCTGAAGATCTGCTCCGTCTGGTTGCAGCTGAAGACTTGGATCCCTCGTATCTGTGGACAGTGGAGCCGGAGATTGCGTATGTTTCTGGACAGAAGCAGATCCAGCGACTGGTTGCCAACCAGCGGCTGAATAACCAGTTGAATTCTAGCCGTCGGCTGATTACGGAGTCTGTCAGGATGGATCAGTGGCAGCTCGAGCTAATTAGGCATGGCAGAAGGCAAACCTCACTACAGAAGCGAGAGTCCCGACAGCGTCTGGCAGCGAATGTTCCCTCGGGTCATGTCTTTCTGGATATACTGCTGTCGCTTGCTAATCCTGTGGGCTATTTAGATCATTCTCCTTCGTATCTCTCCATCGGGAGGACAAACGACGACTCCCAACAATATGTAGTGATGTCATCCGAACTTACATCTAGCATGGTTGTGCCCATGGATGCAGCATTCGCAATCCCAGAAATAAGGCACACTGACCTTGCAGGAACACTCAGACTCATCGGCATGCGTCTCATGGCTCAGAAACTTCTATCCTTGGTCCAGCCCTACGGCTTTGTCGTCCTCCATGAACCCGACAGCGCCTTTGCTACTATTGCTCTGCACGTGGCCGCCGAGAAAGATGTGCATGTGGCATTGACGACGACGAATGCACAATTTCGAAGCACGAAGCCGTGGATCTGGCTGCATCCATTCGAATCTACCTCTACGCTTGCGAGGGCTCTGCCTTCCGGAGCAAATTTGCTGGTTTCCTTTGCTGTTGATGAATTCGATCCCGGGAAGTCCGGTGAGCTTCCTGTGAGGATCGCAAATGTTCTGGGCAAGAAATGTCTCTCTCTATCCGTAGAGCAACTCCGTTCTACTGAGATTCCTTGCAGCTCGTCAGAGTCACTGCCAGGGTCGGAGGATATAGTCAGGTATATTTCCTGGGCACATCAACAGACGCTGTCTGAGATGCCACCGGTTTTGAATATCCGAGAGATGAGGGAAGAGGATACCATAAATGGTCCAGATGTTAGTTTCCACTTTTTCGATTTTCTTTTATGCATACTGACTGGCCTTAGAATCTATTTCCCGTCGTGAGTTGGAGACCTAACTCACCGGTCACGGTGCCACTGTATCCAACGGTTACAGACTGTCTTTTCTCGCCGCACAAGACATATGTCCTCTTCGGACTCAGTGGCGAAATCGGTCGCTCGCTAACGGACTACATGGTCGAAAAGGGGGCTCGATACATCGTCCTCACTAGTCGTCGTCCTCCAACCGCCGATGCCTGGGTTGAACGACATCAAGCCCAAGGAGTAATAGTCATGCTGCAGGCCAACGATGTGACTCAGAAGCAGGATGTCATAGATCTGATCGCCCAGATTAATGCTACGATGCCCCCGATTGGCGGTATCGTTAATGGTGCCATGGTCCTCCAGGATAAGCTCTTCAGCAACATGACCCTGGACGATTGGAACAGTGTCGTACGGCCTAAGATCGAAGGATCTCGCAATCTGGACGACTGTTTCTCCGCAGAAAAGTCTCTCGAGTTTTTCATCATGTTGTCTTCACTGGCCAGCGTCATCGGAAACAGCGGCCAATCAAACTACAACGCCGGCAACATGTACTGCTGTGCATTGGCTGCGAATCGTCGGCAGCGCGGTCTGGCCGCCTCCGTTCTGGACATTGGCAAGATCGTGGGAATCGGATACGTGGCTCGTAACCGGAAGGCCGTCATCGCATTGCGTTCGCACAAGTTCCAGCCCATCTCGGAGAGCCTTTTCCACCATATGTTTGCGGAGGCTGTGATCTCGGGACGACCGGACTCGGGGCGTCAGCCCGTACTGACGACGGGGATGCAGAAGCGCGTAGGCCTGGCGGATGAAGACTCGGCGCCGCCCCTGTGGTTGAATAACCCGCGATTCGCGCACATGAAATGGGAGGATAAGATGCATCTGGAAGAGGAAAGTGGCCATTCGGCTTCTGTCCGCGTTCCTGTTAAGGATCAGCTCGATGCCGCGAAGAATGTTTCTCAGGCAGAGGAGATTCTCTGCTCGGCTTTCGCGACTAGACTGGCAACGATTCTTCAAATGTCGCCGGACTCGCTTGCTAGACGGGCTCCGCTCGTGGACATCGGTAAGTTTCTGCTCCTTGTTTATTATAGGAAACCCTTCCTGATTGTTCATGTGTAGGAATCGATTCTCTTATTGCCGTCGAGGTTCGATCATGGTTCCTCAAGGAACTGAATGTTGACGTCCCAGTGCTCAAGGTTATTGGCGGGGCGTCGATCCTCGACGTCTGTCGCGATGTGCTGCCCAGGCTATCTTTAAAGATCGCTGACGGTCCGACCTTCACAGAAAGTCCAATTGAGCCACGGATTCTCTATCCGGTTGAGGAGCTCCAGGAGAAGGGCTCAACTGTGCCGGTGGTGGAGACTGCCGAGGGTGAGAGCTCAGGTTCAGGAGAAACTTTTGAAGGTGAAAACAGTTCTCTTTGTATTATTAGGTCTATCTCTTGTTGAGCTGATTTGCTTTATAGATGAATCTATCACTACAGGCTCGCCGACTATACCATCCACACCATGCGAGTCGAAGTCCGGTGGGATATTGACACCACGCGAAGGTGATTGAGATCTCCTAAACTTTGGTGCTATTCGAAATACCTTTGCTGAGCGCTGCGATTGATAGAAACCGACAGCTGTGACTTGAAAATTGGTAGCTCTTTGCCCGATGCACTCAGCATCAATAACGACCAGGCTGCCACACGGCCAAGAGACCTTAAGATAATTCGATCTGCGCCGCTCTCTCATGCGCAGCAGAGAATGTGGATGGCGAATCTCTACACCGCCGATCCAACGGCGTATAATGTCGCGTTTGCCTGGCGTCTGAAAGGCACGTTGGATGTCCATCGATTCGAGTCTGCGCTAGGAGCAGTCCTCAGCCGGCACGAGGCGCTGCATACGGCTTTCCGGGTCGACGAGACTACGAAAGAGCCCAAGCAAATAGCTTTTGAGAGAGATTCTACGGTCCTGCAAGTTAAAGATATCAAGGGAGGAAACGGTGTGCATGCGGAGTTTGTCAACAACCGCAACCATGTGTTTGACCTCGTTAACGGTGAGACCATCACTGCGTCTCTTATCAAGGTGTCTCCCGCTGTGAATGTGTTCCTATTATGCTATCACCATATCGTGATGGATGGGATCGGCCTCCGTATCTTCCTTCACGATCTGAATCAACAATATCTCTCAAGCGGCATCCAGGGACCAGCATTGCAGTGCCTGGATTATGCCATTGCCGAAAGAGAAAGGCCTAACCCGGATATCGAGGGACATCTCAAGTATTGGAAACAGCAATTCCGTGCGCCCATGGAGCCTCTACCTCTTCTCCCGCTTGCCAGGGTCGGTTCCCGCGTGCCACTTGACGCCAATGATACCTTCACGGCTCATGCGTTCGTGAAAAAAGAGGTTGTCGCCCAGATCAAGGAAAGCAGTCGGCAATCGAGCGCCACCTCGTTCCATTTCTACGCGGCAGCTCTCCAGGTCCTTCTCTACCAGCTTCTGTCCGGCTCGGTCGAGGAGTTCTGCTTTGGTGTTGCGGACGCGAATCGTCACAATGACCGATATGTCGACACGGTAGGATTCTTCATGAACCTCCTTCCCGTGAGACTTCGTCTCCAGGGGCAGCAGAGCTTTGCGGAGTTGCTCAAGAATACAAAGACTTCCATCTACGGCGCTCTAGCACATTCCAAGGTTCCATTTGGCGTGCTTCTGGAGAAGCTAAAAGTGCTGCGCTCATCCAGACACAACCCTTTATTCCAAGTTTTACTAAACTATACACTCGGACTCCGGGAGATGGGAAACCTTGCATCTTGTCAAATGGACATGGTAGAGATCCAGGATGCCGCGACCGGATGTGATCTGGTTGTCAGCATTGTCGAGACCGTTGGTCAAGACACGGCCATCTCTTTCACCATGCAACGGTCGATGTATCTCGAGGAGGATTGCAGACGGATCATCAATATCTACGTCGACCTCTTGGCTCAGCTATCGCAGCTCCCAGGCATGGCCGTTAACCAGTCTCTGCTGCACCCAGATCCGAACCCGTCACTGAGCCTCGACGTCGGCCGAGGACCTCGGATTGAGACCTGGAAGGACTGGACAAGCACAGTCTCCCACCAGGTCGATGTCGCCATGCACAAGTATGCAAGTGATTTTGCAGTCAAGATGGGATTTTCAAACGAGGCGATAAGCTACGCCGCGCTCGACGAGGAAGTGGGGAAGTTTGCGAGGGCGTTGGCAGATCTCGGTGTAGTGCCTTCGTCCATCGTGGCCATCCTGGCTCAGCCGTCGATCTCAATGATTGTTTCCATCCTGGCTATCCTTCGCGTAGGAGGAACGTATCTTCCACTTGACCCGCGAAATCCGCACGGTCGTCTCTCCTCCATTCTCACGGATTCGTCACCATTGATCCTGCTCTGCGATGGCCAAATGGAAGACCTGGCAACGGGTCTTGGAACAGAGCATAAGATACCTGTGAAGCAGATGGCGTCTCTGGCAATATCAAACTCCCCAGACGGTCCGTACGGCCACAACTTATCGGACCCCGATCTTCCAGCCTTCATTTTGTATACTAGCGGCTCGACTGGGGCCCCCAAAGGGATTGCGCTAAACCATCGCAATTGGATCAACCAGTTCGCGGCGGTGACCGGAAAGTACAACTTCAAGCAAGAGGTCGTCCTGCAGCAAAGTTCTCCCGGGTTTGACATGGCAATCGAGCAGATCTTCATCGCTCTTTGTAACGGGGGCACTATCGTTCTTGCTCCTGGCTCTATTCGGGGTGACTCCGTTGAGCTTTCGCGGCTGATAATGGAGGAGAATGTCACCTACACCATGGCCGTACCCTCCGAGTACTTGGTCATGCTGCACTATGGCGCCGAGTATCTCCGTCGGTGCCATGGCTGGAAGTACGCATTCTGTGGAGGAGAGAAAGTGACGGACCGTCTACGGATTGACTTTAAAGCCCTTTTTCTTCCCCAGTTACAGCTCATTAACGTCTACGGACCGACGGAGACTACTGTGTCCTGCTGCCGGGGCGTTGTACCCTTGGACCTGGGCAACAGTAAGCAGAACCACGATTTTTGCCCCGTCGGTCAGGTCCTGCCCAACTATCATGTCTACATCATTGGACCAGAAGGACATGTTGTCCCAACTGGATTTCCGGGCGAGATCCATATTGGTGGCGTTGGGGTCGGCAAAGGATATCTGACTCGGCCCGAGGAATCACGAAGGAGATTCCTCCCTGCCAGCTCACTCCCGGCTGCAGGACTGGATACCATCTATCGTACAGGTGACCGCGGCCGTCTTCTAGACGATGGATCTTTGGTTTTCCTTGGACGCATCGATGGCGACTCACAGATTAAGCTACGTGGACAGCGTGTTGATCTCGACGACATTGCCCACACCCTGCTGAACGCATCAAAGGGCAACCTAGCCAATGCCCGGGTTTCTGCGCGTGGGAGCGACGAGGACATCTTTCTTGTCGCATTCGTGGTTTTCAGCAAGGACTGCCCAGTGGTTGACACAGAGCGAAGGGCGTACCTGAAGCAACTCCGCCAAACACTGCCCCTCGCGCGCTACATGTGCCCAGCAGCCATCATTCCTCTGACGGAGTTTCCTCTTGGGGTCAACGGAAAGATCGACGGAGCAGCGCTTAATGCGATTGATCTGCCAGCCACAGTTAATACGGACCCTGCATTGACGGACCTTACTGAAGATGAAACAGCACTGCTTGCACTATGGCAGGAGGTACTGCCCACAGCAGCTGTGGCAGGCCTCGACATCGTCAAAGACACTGATTTCTTCGAAGCCGGCGGAAACTCCCTTTCTTTGGTGCGGTTGCAAGCCTCCATTGAGCAGAGACTCGGTCCCCGGATTCCTCTTGTGGAGTTGGTCGATTTCTGCTCACTTCAATCCATGGCTCGCCGTCTCCGGTCTGCCGAGTCCCTGACTTCGAACCATATTGTCTGGGAGGACGAGGCTGCAGTTCCTGACATTTCCGAGCTTCGATTCGCTAGTCTGTCGAGCGATGGGCACCTTTCAGAGTCAGATAATAATGGCAAGGTTGTGGTTCTCACAGGAGCATCCGGGTTCCTGGGCCAGCATATTCTCCAGCAACTTATCGACTCCTCTGACATATCGGAAATCCATTGCATTGCCGTGCGTTCTTCGTCCTCTTCAGAAAAACTCCGCGCTTTTCAATCCCCCAAGATTACCATCTACTCCGGAGACCTCTGTCTCCCCCGTCTCGGCCTGGATCCATCAGACGCGGAGTCACTGGCCACTAGGGCAGACATAATCATCCACAATGGCGCTGACGTCTCTTTCCTGAAATCTTACAGTTCGCTCAAAAAGGCCAACGTTGACTCCACAGCGGAGGTTATCCGTCTCAGCGCACTACGGCGTGTTCCCATCCAATTCGTCTCATCCGCCGGAGTTGCCGGCTTCGTTCCGCGCAAAGACCTTCCACTACGCGAAATCAGCGTGGCAGCGTACCCGCCTGCCTCTGAAACTGGAAGTCACGGTTATCAGGCTGCCAAATGGGTCAGCGAGCGCCTTCTGGAGAAAGCAAGCAAACGTTACGGGATGAAGGTTATCGTGCATCGACCAACCGGTATTATTGGCAAGGAGGCTCCACGAACTGATATCCTGAGAAACTTCCTTCATTATTCGCAGAGACTTGGGACCGCACCGGATATGGATGGCTGGGATGGATACTTTGATCTGGTGGACGTGGGGTTGGTCGCGCAACGTCTTGTTGCTGGTACCCGAGTCTCTGCCTCTTCTGCATCCAGTATGCCTGTGCAGGTGGTGCATACATGTAATGAAGATGCCTTTCCAGTGCAAGAATTGGGGGTGTATCTCGAGCAGAAACACGGCACATCCTTTGGCACTCTACCCATGCTTGAGTGGATCGAACGTGCAGTCGAGGATGGTATGGATGAGATGGTAGGACTGTACTTGAGGGAGGTGACGACGAGGAGGATCGGGTGGTATCCTCGCGTGACTTCGGATGCTCGATCTTGAATTTCGTCTTGGATATATGCGAGAGATTTATTTGTTTCATGTTATTGCAGAAAACCGAACTCGTGCAGATGGAGTTTCTTTTGTGGTTGATTTATTCGTTGGTAGCGCGTTCTAAAATCGCTTCGTGCTCAGGTGGATGGCTACGAGTTATAAGGTAGATTTTATGTAGATTGTTGAATTGTGCAGGGGAAGATGGTATGTTGTGAGGTGTTAGGATAGTGTTGACTAGATAGTATATTGGAACTATCGTGCGATCTAGTATCGCATGGTGAGTATGTTCAACTATCTTCGAGAGAGAGCGTAGACCAACGCCTCCTTATGTCTACGTGCCCCTTAGCCCCTGAGTGTGATATATCAGATCGCTGCAGGACTAGGATATCCGAAGGTGCCTTGGGCATCCTGATTTCCAACATAGATTGTATTTATTGTTGTTCTACATGTTCAAGACAGTTTGCTAGGTTCGCTAGGTTTTATTATAAGTTGTGGAAATCAAATAATTATATTTGGGGCACGATTATTAGCGAGGAGAAAGGGGAAGCTTTTAGGCAAAGGTAGAGTCTTATATGAAAACGGTAAGGTGATTATTTTATCAGCCATATATGCTGCTCATTGACGATTGCGGCCGGAAGAAGATGGGTACTTTTGGGTTGATCAGTTGTCTATCTAATCGGGTTGGCAGAAGTAGCTGGAATAGTACTACAACTAAGAACTGTGGAGAGTTCTCTTCATGAATGGTCTAAATTGGAATAACACGTCGTCAAACCAGATTGAAGATGCGTGGTGAGTCGGTCGTATTACTCTAATTATTTGGTCTCATAGTGGCACTTGTCTGTATTCTGATTAATCAGTACTATATTCACGATCTAATTCTGAGCATAGGCTTACCATTACAAAAATGTGGGAACCATGAGATCCTAACTTGGATACAGTGGTGTTATTACGCGATATGGCCATCCGTTCTGTCGAACACACCTTCCAGGACAGTGAGGTCGGAGACAACACCGCCGGTATTGAAGTGCTTGGAATGGCTGAACACGACCTGATCTCCATCTACTGTGATTTTCAAATCATTGTCTGGTGGATTCATAGCCTCTCCGACAAAGTAATTATTCCTGATGATGAGCTCGTGGCACGCTCGATTGTTCGGACGTGCCGATCAAATTGGCGGTGGTGGACTAGAGAAGGTTATAGCCGAGAAGAATTCCTTTGAAACTACTCCATGTTAATTAAATTCAAGAAGGAAAATATGGGTTGCCTACCCATCTACTCTTGCAACTTCCCGGATCATTTATTATCTCACGTCCCAGGGCTGTTCGCCTCCGCCGTATTTCTTGGGACCAAGGATTTTCAGAGGACCGGAGTATTTGAGTAGTGCGATCTCCGCTCGAGGGGACTTGTTCTCTTGGTCTTTTTGGGTGGCATCTTGAGACAATACTTGGGCTACTTCATGGGCTCTAGAATCCATGCTTCCGCAGTGTCTGGAAGAGCGGACCATTTGGTCTGGTAGGAGGCGTAAATGTTGGAGTCAGTAGCGGAGATAGTTGATTGTGTCATTGTATTGTGTATCTTAAGGACGGATGGATTATTAGAAGGATATATTCTGTCCCTGGGGTATGCGGTACGTTTATGCTCCGTGATTGATGCATTGATATGTACAGTTGTGCGTAAACCTTACGAATGACGTGCTCCGATCTTCATCCGTTGACTTATCTTTGACTCGGCTGCAATATTCGTCAGGGATATGCAATATGCCGTGATTTGGGACTGCAATCCACCGAGTCCGGGAAATCACCATTGAAAACGTGCGCGCTCCGTGGTCCGACGCCTTGGGATGGGCTGCAGTAAGTAAAAGACCAAGGGAGGACGTGCTGAAGATCCCGTTTTCAAGTTTGCTATTACCAGCGTTAGGCCCCGTATCATGGCAGGGTCCAACTCGTTTTCAGCAACTGCTACCTAGGAATCGCCATTGGAGCGCTCGAGTTGGCAGCGAAATACACCACGACCACCACCCGCCGAATCTTAGAGCCACACAGGCTCTGGCCGACAGGGCAGGCGAGCAGCTTGCATCGTTGTATACGCGATACGCTGGGAATCGGGCCGGGTTGACGGTCGCAGAACGAGGCGAGGTGGCGGAATGGGTCGCCAGCGTTAAGAGGGCGTTGCCACTGACGCTGGGCTGAAGGTTGCGTCGGGGGTGTTGAGGTGACTGGGGCGAGGGCGACAGCGTCTAAAGTAGGGCTGGATCGGTTCTGGAGGAACTGAGGACGCATATGGTGCATGATCCAGTGGCGTTCAGGAGGGAGTTAGGCAAGTCTGTTTTGTTGCAGGAGGTGCCGGAACCGACTTGGTATGCATAGGCATATAGCAGGTATATATTGGAGCCTTGAATATGGTGTATGATTCCACAGATGCGGTCTTAGTGCAGATGCATACATTTACATCTGCCATTTTACTGCTTTTATAAAATTCTTTAATGATCCCGCAGTTATCATCCTTTGCGGTTCGTAGGACGATGGCTACAATTATTAAATCATTAGTCCGGTAACTTTTTAAAAAATTACAGCAAATTATGAAAACATGACATGTGAGTCCTCAAATACTACTTAACTACTGCATCTGTGCTATATGTTCCTGGCTTATATTTGTAATGGGATATACCTGACAGCTCAAAAAATTTATTCAGTTATAGCTACGAGACAGCGCATACACACCAGTTATGACAATCACCAAACAAAATATGTTCTATGATTCGCATATACTAGGCGAGACTCAAAATTGAAAAATCTTCTATTTTTCTCTCCAACTCTCCCGGGCTGAGAAGTCCAAGAAGCCCCAGTGAGTGTAGAGACTCAACGGAAAGGAGAACTTCCGATGAATGGATACCTCACTCTCACAGTACGACGTCATCCGGAGTCGGTTTTCGCAAGCTAATTTGAACTCGCGGGATACGGCATTTGTTGATATCGGGCATACCAGCCAAGCACAGACGCGAATCAGACCAGCACAGCAGCACCAAACCACCCCATCGAGAAAAACCAAAACAAACGGCCTCGTTGATCCACAGCGCTGCAGAGGATTGGCTACTTCGGTGCAATGTCATAGTTGCTCTGTTTATGTACGCATATGAACCAACAAGCGGTGAGGATAGTGGATCGAGCGACTCCACACGAGCTCTCTGGCAGCACAGTCAGGGCTCTCGCTTCCAATCAGAATGAGACATGCAGATTGGGCGGCATCGTATAGTGTATACTTCTATTGAGGCAATGGTTAGCCACCTACGTCGAGGCTTTAGTGTCTGCACCGGGGCCAACCCGAGGCCTTTGCTGTCTTGATAAGTGAAAAATCTGCAACGCATGACGGGAATCGGTCAAGACGACACACCACTTACGCAATGGACCACGCGGGTATAAAAAGAAGGAGCCCGACGGATGTTTTTTTTTTCTTATTTGTCTTTCCCAACAGCACAGCGCTGTCTCCTTTGGTTTCTTGTCGTTGCCTTTTCTGTCCATCTGTACGTCGCTACCCATGTTTAAGCAGTATTCGCAGATCCTGTCCCACAAGAGGCGCAGAAGCAAGGGCAGTACGATCCAGGTGCTGTCTGCTGCGCAGTCGGAGCGTGCTTCGGAGGCTCCTACGGTTAATGACCAGATTGAAACCTGGGTTCATTCCCAGTTGTTAGACGCACAGGGAGAGAAGCATAAGGACTGCTTTACCTCCCTTGCAGCCCGCATTCATAAATACGATCATGTCGCTCAGAGAGGAAGCGATCGGTTTGTTGAAGACCTGATTGCTACGGTCACTGATGAGGCCGCAAAGCCCAGAGAAAGCTACTTGAGTTCCCCGGCGGGAAACTACGCCAGTTTCCTGTACCCTGAATGCGTGCCGGAGAGACTAGAGCTGGTCGCCTATCTGACCGAGCTGGCGAACTTTCATGATGGTATGCCTTATGGATCATTGAGAGAATCTGAACTGACAATGATCAAGTCGAAAATAAAGAGGAACAAGGGTGTAAACCGGGAGGGTTAGACTCCCCACGAGCCGAAGTCAGAAAGCAGCTACTGGACAAAGTCATGGCCGAGTTGACCGACAAGGACGGCCATGACATTATCGACTGCTACCGCAGTACCTGGCTCGTTACGCCCGAGGTTCCTACAGCTGACAATTGCGCCAACCTGGGTGATTACGTCGCGCGTCGGCGCCTGAACGCGGCGATTGAGTGAGTATCCCAGCTTGACTCCGCTATCAAAATTCTAACAAGCATAGTGTGTACTGGACATTGATGGGATTTGCCCATGGAACTCATTTCGGAAAAGAAGAACAAGCAATCGTGAGAGATGCTCTGGACGCAGCAGAACGAGTCATGTTCTTCACCAACGACTACTACAGCTGGCCGAAAGATAAACGCGATTACAAGGCCCGACGGGTCGCCAACGTCATCCTCTTCCTCATGCAGCACCAGGACATGTCGGAAGACGATGCCAGGACTAAAACGAAAGATCTCATCCTGGAGAGTGAAAAGGAGTTTATCCGACGACGCGACGATTTGTATCATGGGAATCCGGACCTCTCAGCCCAACTGCGAAAATGGATGGAAGTTCTAGGCGCAGCACTCGGTGGAGTCCATTACTGGTGCAAGAATGCTCCGCGATACGATGTCCCTGATGAGCAGTTTGAGAGGAGCGAGGACGAGTCCGAAAGCTCGGAAGAAGAGGGCTCCACTGACTCGGAGGATACCGAGAACGGCGATGAGGAGGACAACGAGGAGAAGGAGAAGGAGGAGAAGGAGCCCGAGGAAGTACCGGTGTGGACTCCTCTCGTCAACGAGGAGGAAGCCACAGAAGTGCGTCTTGATTCCTCGTCCTTGCTGGCCCCAACTCGCTACATGGGGTGCATCGCCTCCAATGAAGTGCCGTTGGCGCTTCTAACAGCACTCAATGTCTGGCTGCAGGTCCCAAACAGACCGTTCACTTTTATCAAGCAGGTCGTCGATGACCTCCACCACACCACGCAGACTATGTCCGACATCCAGGATGACTCTGCTGTCCATCACGGAAAGACCACCGCTCATCTCGTTTTCGGTCGTGCGCAGTCCATGAACAGCGCAGCATACATGTTTGTTCGCATCGCGAAGATCGTGAACAGCCTCAATTGCCCCGGAATGCTGAACGGACTACTCGAGGAGCTGGAATCACGTTTCATCGGGCAGTCCTGGGACCTGAATTGGCGGTTTACCCTGCAGTGTCCAACCGAGCAGGAGTATCTGTCCATGGTGGATAAAAAGAGCGGATCGACGTTCCACATGCTGGTGCGTCTAATGCAATCCGCTAGCATGGGAGGCGTGACGCTTGACTTCGACAGTCTAGCGAAGCTTCTGGGTCGGTGGTACCAGATCCGCCACGAATACCTGGGATTATTCCCTGGACGTGATTCAAGCGGATACGGCGAAGATTTGGAGCATGCGAAGATTACCTACCCGATTGTCCGCTGCTGCAATGTTGACTCTTCAGCGAAGACGGTTATCTTGGGAATCTTCAGACAAAAGGCCAAGGGGGCTGGCTTGTCCGCAGAAACCAAAGTACAGATCTTAGACCTCCTGTATACGACCGGTGCGGTGCAGGCAACATATAACCTGGTGCAACAGCTGGAACGGGAGATCTTGACTGCTGTGGGTGAACTGGAAGTAGCTGCGCAGGAGGCAAACCCGGTGTTGAGGTCTCTTGTGAACTCTCTGGATGAGATACCTCCTCCCACTCAGGGTGCTTCTTGAGACTCAGTTATGGTCTAGATGATTCTACTATGAATTTCTTGTGTGTTTGATGATGTATATTTCCTTTGTACTATTAAAACTTATGTGTTATGATAATGATATGAATTGACGTGCTCTACATAGTGCAGGCGTGTTTGTAACCACATTACCACGTCAATATTTAGTAAACTGCTTTTAAATTATTGATAAAAATATTTCATATTTGTACTAGCAAAACCCAGTCCTACCCATCATTCGATATCAAACCTCACAACCTTCGAATTTCGCCTCCCTCCCATCCCATCTCATGCTTTATCAAGCCTAAGAAAAGTCAGAAACGATACTTCCCAATATTATTCGGTTAAACTTTTTTCCAGCCATCTTGATAATATCATACGCTGCCACGAGAATGTTATTCGTCCAGCAGGTGTCGATAATAACTTCAACGATGAGACCAGGCTCGTCGGGGAGTTCGGCAACGGTCTTTTTGATGTAGGCCTCGAGGTTGTCGAGTTGGGAGAGGGCCTGCTCGATCTTCTTTTCCCAGGAGAATGCGTCGCCTGAAAGGGGGATGAGTACAAGGTCGAATGGTCGAATGACCTGGAGAGGAGCTACTTGGGCTAGTTGAGCTTGTAGTCGATAGACATTTATATAGACAACTTCAACATTGCTTTGAGGGATTTATATAAAGCCCTTGCGAGAAACTTGCCTAACTAAAGACACTGTTTTGGGTAATATCAACTGGGCCCCAGCGATAGTCAGGCTGAATATTCTGTTTTTAAGTAGGCTAAAAAGGGAAGACAATTGTCGCATGAAGCCATAGAAGTAATTGCTGCTACAACTAGTTTTGTATTACTATAAAAGTGAATTTATTCACCTACAAGATGCAAGCTCTACAGTTATATTTATGGCTACATATAGGAGTGAGGGGTGCTGAGTTAATGCAGTGTTTGCCTACTGTACTTCCCATTCACTAGCATTACGCTGCATATTTAAACCCCACTCAGGCGTCACATCTTGGTCGTATCTCAAATCAACCTTCGTTGCTGCTCCTACATCAACTCAACCCCATACTTCAGCTACAATGGCTTTCATCTTTCACACAGCTCCCCTCCTCCACTCCCTGACTCTCCTGGTACGTGACTCCCCATGGGACCGCTCCTAGCATCTAACTCGATCAACCTCTAGTTCTCCATCCTGGCATTGATATTTGGAGCGTAAGTACCCATCAACCCCAATCTCCCAAGTGATCGCTAACAATCCACCGAATACCAGACTCTCCTGGTCTCTAACAAGCTCCCTACTCCTACCACTCCCTGCCTGGATCCCAGCTACCACGACCCTACTCGCCCCTATAACCATCACCGCCCTCACAACCATCCACAACCTCACTAAACACCACTCATCGCGCACTACAGGATTTATACCAAATACCATCCAACGATTCGGTTTCCTCATCGACCAGCTCCATTCCATCCTTACTACCATCCTCGCCACACTCGCCCTCACATACCTCTTCCCAGAGAGCATTCTAACCTGCCATCTCGACGAGCAATGGCAAACACTCTTCCATGCTCGAGACGCACACGCCATTCTCTCAATCCAGGAGACTTTCCGGTGTTGTGGACTTCGCAGCACCCATGACCGCGCGTGGCCGTTCAAGGATCGCGATCATGGCGACGATGCATGTGAACGACAACTGGGGTTCCATCGGAGCTGTTTTATTCCCTGGAAGGAAAAGCAGCGGAGTGTTGCGTGGATGGTTTTTATAGCGGCGGTTCTGCTTTGGGGTGTGAAGGTTTGTTTGGCATTGTGTTTCTACTGTGTCCGGGGTTACAGAGGTGTGAGCTGACTGTCGGCGTAGATTGGTTATATCCAGATTTTCCGTCGGCGGACAAGCTGGATGAATGCGAGGTCTTCGGGTGGGTCAGTCAACTATCAGACCATTACCCATCAGGAGGTGCAGGATGAAGATGTTGAGAATGGAGGGGATGAAGAGTCGAGGACAGCCTTGTTGCCGCATACTGCTTCGGAATACACTGATAATGAGTGAGATGAACGAGATATGGGTAAGCTGGATGGGGTTAGTGATGCGTAGTAGGGGTATTATTTTGTGGGCATTCTTCATCTGCAGTCATTTTAGGATTTATCCATGGGGGGGTTTTCTAGATGATGGACATTAACTAAGAAAACGTCTTAACATCTTTCTACTTGTGAAGGATTGTGTGTCATATTTCATTATTAAGACTATAATAGAAACACATTGTACGTTCCTTATCAGATGAAGAGGCTTTTAACGCCCCGAACTGCAAGCAACGAAGACTAGAGATACCCCCGCACAACATCCTTTGGTAGCTGTGCTCACCAATCTATGTGGAACCATGTCAATGATCAGTCAGGTTGCAACTGGATAGTCATAGCCCACAGAAGAAATGCTAATCTAGTAATGAGGCGGCGTTTCTTCGATAACCTGAATTATTTTCTGCTCGCACTTTATATGGATACAACCCCTGTACTGGCGTCTAATCCGCATCATTACAAAGTAATGGAAAGGCCAGTCGTTCACGAGGAACGCAGAACTTCATTTCATATACTCAGCCCAAAAATGGAATTAGTCGTCATCATCTTGAGACTCAATCAACCTCAAGATTGCCTTCACCTCCCCTTATATCCTGACGATCTGGATCAACCCCGCTACTGAGCAGTACTCTTATCACCTCCGTCTCATCATTATCAATAGCAAGATGTAGCGAGGTGCGAGCCCTATCATCGCGTTTGTACACACGCGCCCCGTAGTCAAGCAGTATCCGGGCAGTATCTTCATTGATACCGGCATAGCGGAGAGACATCTGGCCTTTGGAATCCACCGTGTTCACATTTACACCATTCCAAAGCAATACTTTAATCATCGCTTTATGTTCACAAAGACAGCGGTCATCAGAGCAGCTGTGCCGCTACTACCGCTTGTTTCGTTGACCTTGGCGCCGTTGGAGAGAAGGCGCATAGGAAGAGGGACGTTTCGTTGCATGATTGCTTCTGCGAGTGTCTCGTCATTGTCGCCGCAGCCATGGATGTTGTAGTCGGGTACTGGAATACTGGGCTTCCCAAGTTTAATTCCTGTTGTAGTTGCAGTATAACTAGGGGTTTTGTAGGTAATTACGCCGCGGTCAGAAATGGTGGGCACGGGGGTTGTGTTATTGTGAAGGGCAAAAATATACCAAAACCAGTCGTAGGTATATTAGACAAGAGTAGTCTGATAATTCAGCTCTCTGAGTGAGAGCTTGGGATATCCCAAAGAGTGGCAATATATGTAAAGCATTGATCTCTCCTGCTCCGCAACCCACGGAGCTATGTAAAGAATAAGGGGAATATAGTTGCGTATCATCACCGGAGAGGCCATCCATTCGGATAGCCCCCTCTAATCCCGAGCAACAGTACACAAACTAAAAGAAAAGCCATGCGCAATTTGCATGTGTACTTCTATTGACTAATTAAACAAACAAAGCAGATCCGAGGTGATCCGCTTTGCGCATTCCTCCATATTTTGTACACCATAGACCATTCAGATCATTGGTGACATGCACGTAGCCGGGCACAGTGAAGTCAACCCTTTCTCTAATTTTAGATGCATCAACCATGTCCATAGGCTATTTTAAAGCTGAGTCAGTTGACATAATTCTAGGGTGTCTTTGAACCCCTGTTCTCACTACACGGGGTTGGGGCTGAGCAAAATTCGGACTGCCTAGCGCTCCTGTTGCATATGCATACTCTGCACATGAGAGCAATACAATCCAATCGGACTTTTCTACCTCTTTGACGAGAGTCTAATCCTTTGGTAAATAAGATTGAGAAAAAGAAGCTACCGATGCATAAACCCTAGTCTTGTTGCACCGCTGCTGTTGATAGTATATGCCTTAACCGTCCTTATATGGCATTGTATATTGTCCTATTTCTGTGGAATGCGGAGTGACTTGCAATTCTTGGCGTAAACCATATAAATCACCAATGTGTATATGTAGGCAGGGTTTGGTGTCAGACTTTAGCAGATATCCAGGATACATGTAAGGTCTCTTATTTTCGCAATGAGAATTGAAATCGACCAAACAGCCAGTATTTACAGACAGTTTAAAATATCAAATTATTGACTGTAATATTATACAAGAGACTTATAATCCTAAATTTCAACTTGAGCTTTCTCTACCTGCGCTGTCATCGCGGGGCCCATTTCTCAGACCTAGAAACATTATAACCATCTGTATGCATATTTCTCCATTCTTCCTCATGTCACAAACCTTGGCTCCGCAGACTCCCAAAAACAAAGCTCCAAACAGCCGAATTCCTCAACTCCCTTCCGCCATTCTTCCGAATACGCGTTGGAAAACTTCAAGGAATTCAAAACCACCACAGCCCCCTAGAAAAAAGCTACAGAGAGAAATCCACGAGCTCGACAAGTTCTTCTGGCTCAAATATCAACCCTTCTTCTACAAGAGCCACGAGATCGTTACCGGCATGGCGGACCCGAGTCGCGGCCATGCTCCGCGTGGTATCCCTGATTTCTGGACAGCCATGAAGAACCATTCCGATATCAGCATGCAGATTGAGGAGAAGGGCGAGCAGGAGAAGGACGAGCAGGCACTGCGTTATCTTACTGACGTCACGGTTGAATATCTCGAGGGTTTCGATTTCAAGTTGGTGTCCCATTTTGCGCCGAATGAGTTTTTTGGAACATTAGGTTTCGCACGTCGCTTTATTATCAGAAGGAGTTTATGGGTGATTATCCGGATCCGGTGAAGGTTGCTGCGGATCAACTTGATTGGAGACCTGGGAAATGCCTTGCAGGATTGAGTGGAGGTAAGTGAGCAGGATGAGGTCTGGTTCATTGGGAGTGTGGAGTTTGTTAACGGATGAGAGTTAATAGGGAAGCGTAGCAGTGACGATGATGAGGAGTCATTCTTCACTTCCTTCTCTCCTCCTAAGTTGAAGGCAGGTGCGAATGAGGATGGCAAGGAAGAGTTTGAGTTTCTACTCGAGGATACTTTGGAGCTTGCAGAACTGTTCAAGGATGAATTAATTCCACGAGCAGTGGAATGGTATACTGGACAGGCTGTGCAAGAGGATTCCGAGGATAATGACAATAGTGACGAGGATGATGAGGAGCATTTTGAAGACTCTGAGGACAATAGAGACAGTGGCCAGAGATGACGAGGACAATTACTTCCACAACGCCACAGGTAAGGTGGAAGGCTGCAATATCTGACCTTTAGGAAAATACAACAAGGTACGTTCAATATATTCAGTCGTACGTAGTTAGCAAATTTAATTAAAATGAGTTGGTTAGACATGTTCTTCCTACCGTGAATCAACAGTAACTACTGTATTTTGTGTTATATATCAAGCCGGTGCCAAATAAGCACCAAGTTGAGTCTACAGAAGGAATCTCTGAGCGCGACATGACACTGCGGTCACACCAGGGCTCTCCCAGCATCTTGTCCTACTGTGCAAATACAAGTTACCCAAACAGCTATTTTCGCTTGTATTTACCGATGTCGAAAATCTCCCAGGCTGTGGTGGTCAGCAGCGACGTGGCTACGATGTAATAAGGCCTGGTATGCATCAACGCGGTATAGAGCGTTCCATTATATCCGGTATCGTCAGGGATATCTGCATCTGAAAAATCAAATCCACAAGGCCTGAGCCGCTCCGTACAGGGCCATATGTCTTATGTCTCTAGAATAAAACAAACCAGGAGTCTATCTCTCCCACCTGATACTTCAGCCTCGAGCTCCCAAGACAATCTGAGGAGATATGCCCTGTCTTTCGTAGTTCATACTTTAACTTATACAGTTTAGCTATCATAGAGATCATTACATTGTGAGCCATGATTCTCGACAAAAACTTACTATGTTATATCACACCCTTTGGATATGCGGAGATCAGGGTTGGGTTCCTTCCGGCTCGACTCAGAAACAATTCAAAATTGTCAAAGCCCCTACATCAAATTCATCTGGTTCCTCCCCACAAGCTCGCGACCAAACTAACCGATGTACGGGTCAAATTTAACAGCCCTCAGGATCCCGGATATGACAGCAAGATAGGAAAAAGAAAAGGAAAGATATCCAAAACCAATTCGACAATGAATTTGCACTGGAAACTCGGCATGTGGACTAATAAAGACAAAGCCTACAAGAACCGCCACATTCTACATGAACTTGGTCATATTCTTGTGCAGAGCATGAGCAGTCCTCCCCCGGGTTTTATGCAACGTACAAATGGAAAGAAACCAAAAGTCTTAGACTATTGTAAGAGAGAATACAAGCTCGATGATAAGGCGCTAGAGGGAGAGCTCATAGGGACTAGTTCAAAGTACTAGGCCCCAACAATATTAAAGCCACACCGCTCGTAAAGATTCAGTTATGTTGTATCACATCGATTACGACTTGTTCTCAAGACTAGATGGAGGTAAAACCAAAACCTTCGAGGAAAATTTCTACCTCTCTACAGATGATAAAAGTGCAATGAAGGATACATACAAGAAAAAGTGGAAGGAGTGGAAGAAAACCAGTGCCAAAGACAAGAAGACCACCAACAAGACCGCAGGAAAACCTACGGGCAAGACCACTGGTGAGACTACTGACAAGTCTACAGGCAATACTATGAACAAGAAGGGCAAAAACAGCGACCCTGGAGGACGCACCGGAGGAAGAACCGGAGGGAGACCAGGTGGAAGGACAGGTGGAAGGACAAGTGGAAAGACCGGCGGGAGAACAGGAGGACATGCAGCAGAAGGTACTGGGGAATACACTGGAGTTTTTACAGGAGGTGGAGTCTCAACCGGTTTTGGTACTTGGGGAACAAGGTACAACACCAATCTGTGGCAAAACATCACTTCATATCCTACATATAACACTCTACAGAGTAACCCGATTTCCTACCAAGCCACGACTACCGGCAACATCTGCGGCAATCCGAGTTGTGGTCAGACGTTTACTTGCACGGCTGACTATAACCGATGCGTTCAGAGAATTGGCTATCCTGGGGTTACTGTAACATCGGGTGGAGGAAGAGCAGGCGGCTGCACAGAGTGGTATGGGTGTTGGAGACCTTGCTAGGAGGCGAAAATATGATTGATTGGACCATATCTGGCCTAATATTGTACGTGTTAGCTTAAGCTCTGGGAGAAATAAGATTATTTTGGCTGAGAGCTCTACGGGCTCGAGCAATTGTCATAAAATACATTCAAGATGCAATAAACGATTTTATATCTACTTTTTTTTTTTTTTTTTTTTTTTTTTTTTATATTTCAATTTCAATTTATATAGTATTATGGGGCCCAAGTGAAGGACTCCTGATTCCTGAACATTACAAATTCACACATTGGAGATTCCCAGAAGTTAGGAGACCCAAGTGGACTATTCAGCTATCTACTGCATATCTTTCTCGAGCCAGATAGACAGACAGAACGAATGAATGCAACCACTGAGACCTACATTCACATGTTTTGCAGTCACTCACAGGATAATAGGATATCCCTCATACCTATGGCCCAACTTGCTTTTAATCCGCGGGACGCTACAGCTATTGGAATAAGCCCTATCTTCTTGGGAAATGGGTTACAATTTGGAGCGTCTGCAGCAAGAAGAGGAAGCGGAGGTTGAACACACTGATGAGAGTAAAGGAAGCCTGCGATATCGGGATCAGAAAATTGTTGAAAAATTGAAAGCTGCGCACGGAGCTTGCTGCCGGGCAACAAAAATATGAAGATTGTTCAAATCGTCACCGGGATGCAGCAACAAATTACCAAGTTAGAGACAAAGTATAGCTAGATCTGCGCAATATTTGGACAGACAGCCTTAGCTAGAAGCTAGATACGCGAAATGCTAAGTCTACAGTCCTTAAACAGGTTGGATCGCATCTTATCGCCTGGATACAGCTTCTGGAATAATGTCTTCCACACCAGCTCTTGCGTCCTGCGGCCACAGGTACTTTCCGAGCTCGTGATCCAACCTCTCTGGGTCTATGTCTCCAGCGTGATCGTGACTGCGGCGTTGGAACCATTAAGGGTGCGGGAGCTACGCGATATGGGCCACTGCATTTGTTGTAACTACAGTGCTCAGGGATGAATAAGCATGTGGTATGCTTAATAGTTAAAACTCACTTGACTAATAGGGCACCTCCTGCGTTTTCCGCTCTCGTATATCCCCTGTTTACATTAGAATACCACAGATAGCAGGCAGTCCACTGCAAGCAGCAGACAGCTGTTTCCGGCGCCCGCTAACCGTTCCATTGTACATTTTGAAGCTGGTAAGAGGCGTTGCATTAAGCCGTACCCAGCGGTTTGGCGCTGTAACAGTGAGGCTATCGGCTAAACTAACCAAGGTCAGAATAGTGGAGTACATAAAATAGCCCTATGATTGCAACCACAACTATTTACTGAACTAAAAAGGTTAATAACCACCATTTTCAAGATATTAATCTAATTTAAATTTTATAAATTCAGGCTATCACATCTGCATGCATCTACCTTTTTTTTTTTTTTTAGTAAACTAAACAAACAATCGTTTTCATTTGATTAGGTACTCTAAATTCTTGTGGATTTGCAGATCGTCGCGGATTCTAGGGATAGAATCCGCAATCAGCAGTAGACTGAAAGCTTAAGCACCGAATCCGTGTCGTTGTAGATTGGAGTAGATTTGGTGCAGACTGCAGATTCTACAGATAGGCGATACAGCTCTACATACATTTAGTTCCTGGCCATAAATGTAATCAACTCGTGGGATCTGGTAATTACCATATGTACAGTAGACAATTGTTCCCCGGTGACAGAGACCAATAGAATATTCTTAAAAATTGAGTTCCTGCCTTCCCTCTCCGGGAAGCGAAAAATGTGGAATGTTGTTGGGCAGTAAGCCATCTCGACCCTGGGAGGATCCATGCCAGAGAATTGGACAGGACCTTCCCTGTAGCATTCCACAGGGGCAACAAGGTGACCCACCGAATGAGTAACAACAAGGAGTAGAATCCCCCATCGTCTATATGAGTACGGTGGGTATCAGTCGTCCACCAGTTCTTTTTATCTTTGTACATTTCCTACGTTGGTCAAAGTCTCTCTCTCTTTGCACCACTCTCTCCTGAAGGCCCTCTATATACCGCGTATACGTGAAGGCAAAAAAAAAATCAAAAAAAAGCCTCCCACTCTCTTTTCATAAACTCCAAACCAACCACTACAATGAAGTTTTCTCTAGCTGCTGTTGTGGCTCTTGCCGCCACCGTCGCTGCCCTGCCTTCGGACGACCACAATGACAAACATCATGGCGGGATGACCCACGATGACAAGCATCACGGCGGGATGAGCCACGGAGACAAAGATCATCAAGTTCGCTTCCCAGTCCCTGACGACATGACCGTTAAAGAGGGGTCCGACAAGTGCGGTGACCAGGCCCAGCTGTCTTGTTGCAATAAGGCTACCTACGCCGGTGACACCGTCGACTCGGATAATGGCATCTTGGCCGGTTTGCTTAGCAACCTTCTTGGCTCCGGATCGGGCAGCGAGGGTGCTGGCATCTTTGAGCAGTGCTCCAAGCTTCCTCTCCAGGTCAACATCATTGCAATTGGTTTACAGGACATTCTCAACCAGCAGTGCAAGGAGAACATTGCCTGCTGCCAGTCAACTGGCTCTGATGCGGTAAGATATAGTCTTCCTCTATATTCTAGTAGGTTTTCTGCTAATCCGAGTAGAACGGTGACCTCCTTGGTCTCGCACTTCCTTGCATTGCTCTCGGCTCCATCCTCTAAGTTATTCACTACGTGGGTAGTATTTTGATGGGTTTCGGCTCCAGAAACTAGGTCTAATCGTTCAAGGGATAGAATCCGAATCCTGTTGGCAATTTTGTATTGTTACATTCAGTATCGCGTGGCACCATCGGAGAAAGAAGGCTGCTCTGTTCGTTAATACATTTCACACGGCGTCCTTTGGCGTAGTCTTTGCGTATATTTTTAATGGATTAGATTCGCCGCTTGTTCTAACTTATTTTTATACAGACTTCTTAGCATATTACGTTATTTTATTCTTAGATGACGGTCATTGGAAGCTAGCAAGAGATCGCCAAAACATTAAGATAGGAGTTGGGGGGCTGTCGTATCTCAAGTACCTTTGAAGAGGCATCTCGTGCACTTCGGGTTTAACAACAGGTGGGTTGGTGAAGAATACTATCCCAGGATAAGAATGTACGCACGTAGGATTTCTAGTATACAATTCATACAGCATTTCCTCATGAAAATTATATGCGCATAAGGATATGAAAATGGACTGCTCTAGAACAGAGTGAAGGCAATATATATAAACACTATATCTCTACTCATCACTAATCATGGGACAGGGTTGATATATAATACCTCAAATGCACGACTAAAATATTCCAAGAGCTTAAATACTACAGCTATCAGAGTTCAAAGCTACTAAATGGTATAATTCAATTAATTGTATACTTGAAAATCGAGATATACTACAGGCGTGGTAAAAGCTGCTAGCTCTAAGCATGTGCTGCAGGAGCACGTCAATCAGTCTAACGGGGGCAGCCTATATATCACCAATAGCAAGGGGTCTTGGTAAAGTAGCATTATTACTGTCGCCACAGCAAAATATAGGTCTCTATCTACAGGTCGATTTACAATCTAACCCATGTAGAAATAGTGCAAGAGAACAAGTTGACGGGAGAACCAGCCTCTGCTAAGCGCAGAAAAGAAAAATGGTGCAAGTATGTGAAACCCCGGTAGTGCCAGCCGGAGGGTCACCCCCTTAATTGGTGCGGATTCAAAACAAATAGAGGACAGCCCTTTTTGCGGATTCTTCATTGCTTTGTCCCTTGATTGGCAATGTCCAAGAATGAAGCTTTGATTTCCCATCGAAACAAAATAGTTCCTCAGGAGCGTTTATTATCTATCAGACCTGGTATCGTTAACAGACAGTGAACACTTAGTTTATTAATTACGTGTCTGCCAAGTACATATTCTTAAATGCTGCAGCATTTGTATCGCAGTGCACTACTGTTTGTGGGATACTCTTAGGGATTTATATCGATCTCCCCTTGTCTTTATGCGACCTTATCTACTACATCTAACAACAGTAGGAGTGGAACTATAATTTGTTAAATTGGTAGCTTTCTCAGAAAGTATCTATCGTGGAAATAATCTTATAAAATAAAATTTCCAGAACTTGGTATTTGTAAACAGACTCTTCCGATCGCATACAACTATTCTCACATAATGTGAAAGCAAAGGAGTAGCGTGAATTATGGTATACATTTTACAACTATAGATTGGTCACTCGTAGTGGCCACAGAAGCCAAGTATTCATTTGAGTGTGAATGACAGAGCTATCTGCGCATGTTTATTCTTGCATGTGTGGGATGTGAATTAGACTCGGCCAGGTAAATATAGAGACCAAATTTATCGTATAGGACCCGGATTGATTGGGTATGAGACTTATCTTTTACATAAAGCATCAGTTTCTACGTCCGAAAAGAACTATAGAGGGATAAGTTCTGTGTTTTCGTAGAAAGACGACATTGTGGTAAATATCGTACTAATATATATATATATTTGTGGTGGGTTTGAAACAAATTTGGAAAACACCAGCAACCATCAGCTAGGATGTTCAGTAAAGGAGCATTAAAATAAAGGTCTACTAGCACCAAAGTACTAAAATTATTATACCTACAACTATATGGCTAAAATTACGCAATCAAATACTGTTGTGAGAATATGGACAAGTCATTATAACATGTAGCATCAACTAAAATGAATAGTAAAAATTACTAGAAGCCGCTCTTTGCAATAGCCAAGGGCCTTCTACCTTTATTATTAGCCATAATAGAACATTTACTGCGTTCTGATTGAATCAATCTTCACTCGTTCTGCTAGTCTATAGTTATACTCTGCAGGTTAGACATCATAAAGAGTCAAGATGAAGCAACGCTATGACATTAACTCGCCAACGTAAAGCCTACATTGAAAATAAACCTCTTATAGTCTATTCCTGCCATCCAAGCTAAGCTAAATTTTCGACATAGCTATTGAAAATGATAGTCACTCTGTAGCCCTATTATGGGGTCAGCCCGGGCCCCAAGGGGGGGGGTAAGGCTCCGTCAAGGGGGAATTCCTTTTCTGGCTGATACATTCGTACCCCTAGGTAGACGGAGTGATCATATGTTTTGAAACTTGACGTGATATTCATGATAGCCGGATAGAGGATCCTCATACGCTGGAGCATGCTGTCCAGGCAAAATCGTCTAACCCATCACAAAGGACTTGTTGTTTTGCCGCTACGTGAAGAATGCGTGCTACTTTTACGCGAGCAGACTCAAGGCCTAAATGGGGTATGTAGAACATTCCTATTTTCGAGTTCTGTCTGTGGCCCCTTGACCTATTTGACCTATGCAAGTCTAGAACGGAATGAACGGTGCCCCTTAAGGAAGATATTTCCATTCCATGCTACTGTTCTCTAATGCTGCAATGTATAGTGAAATACGTCTCTAACTCGTCTCACACTGTTGTAGTTCAGAAATTTCATTCTTATCTGAAATTTTAGGACTTATATACAAGACATATTAAGAAAAATGTTTGGTTAATAAGAGTATAGTGTCGATTACATAGTTCTCCTCTGTCCACATAAGTGAGGATTGGATCGTGACATAGACTCCCGTGGTTTCTTCCATGCACCAAGTAAACACCTCAAGTGGGAAAGGGTTATAGTCTAAGACCCGCCGTCTTTCATAGCCAGAGAGGACGTTAAACTTGCTTAAATAATGAATAATAATAATAATAAACAGCTTAGGCTTGGGCAGTAAAATACTATGCCCATCTCATATTCTTTCCGGTATGCACAGTCAATATTTCGAGAACTATTCGACTACTTAAGCGCCTTGGTACTCGTTTTATATTAGTGAAAGTTTATTGACATACTAATAACTAATTAACTGTTAATATGAAAAAGTTAGCTCTTAGCTATCAAAGCACCATGAATTTCGTGAGCTCTATCCTAGCTATATATTATTGACAACAAAAGAATCCATCTGGGTCCTGGCTCTCTATAGCCAGAATCGGCTGAGAAGAGATACACAGGCTGGTTGGTAAAGTTTATGCCTGCGAGTTTGTATCCGGGGAAGAATGCAGGGGGAAGTGAGCAGCACATTTTTTTTAACTTTCGCTTAATATTTCGGCAATGCTCGAATATGTGTTCTTTATGGATTCATCGTAGGAGTAACTAATTTGTTGTTACTTGACAGACACTTCCTGTTTACACTATGTAGCATGGGCTAATAAGGTACTAGAAAATGGAAATTGCTTCCTAACGGAGAAGATTTATTTACTGTATCGAATGCACATATCAGAGATGCCCCTCATTCCTCGCCCCTGAGAGTGATACCAGGTTCCAGCACCAAATCCGTACTACAATCTTGTGAGAACATGCCGTCAAAAAGCGACTAGCAACTGTCAATATTCTTAGAATATATACCCTAGAATTATAGAATTAAGTTATGGAAGTGTTGGGTTCAGGCCAGGTATCAGTAAACGGAGAGCATGCCTCTCTATGCAGTTTGTCAGTGGAAGACCCAAGGGGGCGTAACAAGATAAACATAAACAACATGGAAATTATGCATTGACAATTTCTCCCTTTGACTACACAACACTGCTCTAAGTCGAAGCTCAATTACCTACGCGGCATATATTACAATTATGTTAGTTCTAATCAATGTGATATTTACTTGCAGATTGGCCTCCAGCTTTGAGCATGTGGACGACCCATTCCGGGTCATGCGCTTCCTGTACAATGACTCGGCGCCTATATAACGATGCTCCGCTGGAGATCGTCGCGGGAATTTACATTATCTAATATGGAAAGGTAGCCCCTCATATGACAGTTATATGTTTTCATTGTTTACACTGGAGCAACAGGGAGATTCCACATAGTAGCCTGTCTATCACTGAATGTACATGCTTCAGTTTGCTAAGTTCACGCCACCTCTTGTATATTCCAATCAGATATTCTATCTTATCTGCTATGAAGTACGGAAAAAGGGCTTCTTTTTACTTAGATTCACTCCTTCCGCAGGATGCGCAGATGGCGGTACTTTCCGGTGCGGCTACTGCATTTCCTACAACAATTATATATACCGGACCAAACGCCAATCAATGGGATGATATGTACTCTGAAGATGAAGTAGGCACAGAATATGACAGCTTGTATGAACTTGTACAAGAAAATATAGAAATACCTGCGGAGGGAACACCAAATCCCAACTATTCGACTAACCCCACGGCCACATGGAAGGCAGCAAAGCCACCACCCACTGACGAGGATGGTTTTTATCATCCTGGCCAAGTGTGCGCACTGCCATGCGCAGTATCATCTTCATCTCCAATTAACAACAATTATCTCGACGGTCAATTGGATATAGATGCTTGGACAAGCCCTTTCTCAACAAGAAGCAATGTCGCCAACCACCCCAGTCAATCAGCATCCAAAGCACTATTCTTATCTCCTACGGAGGCCATTGGATACTCTTATCCCGAGCCTGAACATAACAAAGTTTGGACAACGCTTGCGTCTCCAGCCCAGAGTCATACGTCAACTGCGAGTACTCCACACACCTCACCGTCTAGCAGCACCACAGCTGCAACCACTTTATTGGATACTACCCATCCGCATAGTATTCATGATGCGGCCCCCGGCACAAAAGCAGCTACAACAATTGGCGCTCTACTTGCCGCTGGAGTGATTGCGGGGCTGGTCCTGTGTTGGCTTCAGAAGAAAAAGAGAACTGTGGAAGCAATGAAGGCAAACCACAATAATTCCAATACAGATAATGGGAAGAGCACCAGAGTCTTCCCACTCAGGCAATACACATCCGGCATGTACACAGCTACCGTTACAAAATTATGTACAGTCGCTCGATTGATCAAGTCTGCGTGGACATCATACGCCAAACGTCTCCCAAACAAGAAACACGCATTTAGCATCTATAAAACCAGCATGACCACGCTATGCACAGGCTCTGAATTCACCGGGTCTGCTTGGATATTATGTGGCCAAAACTTACACTTCCTATTCAGGCAGCATGTATTTGGCTTATACAAAACCATTGTCACAACTCTAAGCACAGCCACTGGCCCAATTAGGTCAGCTTGGTGGACATCCTACATCGATGCACACCATAACCACCAGCGCACTCGATGCATTGACTGTTCAGCGGAGAGCGATAATCTGGGTCATCCGGCATACCAGTTGGAAGTGGTCTCAATTGATGGGAAGACTGTGACGCCTGAAACAGCGTCATCTTTAGATACAATCGTCACGGAGACAAGTCAACGTAAGGAAGAACCAGCTATTACCCTATCCCAGACTGAAGAGGGTACCATCACAAATGAAGATATCTCGAAGTAACCCAAGGAAACAAGATATGGCGACCTGCCTCGGCCTGAAGAGTTATCACCACAAGCGAAGGCACTGCAAATTTGGCCTTAATAAGCTTTCCAAGGGGGAATAGTCAGCCCGAAAATATCGACTCAGGCAGCATTTGTTCGAGAAGTTCCTGTTGTCCAAACGCCTCCTATTTCATATTAGGTGTATTGCGTAGAAATGGATTTCAACCCAAATTGTCATACACATATAGAGCTCCGGAAGGGACAATGTGCCATCATACTTCAAGTTTTTGACAACGGAATGGTACGGTACCTCAACTCTCTTCCTTGCTACATAAACATCTAGATACTGACCGATCTGTTCCTCCAAAGCACGTTGCAGATTAGGTAATAGCGACAAAGTAGGTCTGGCAACTCGTTCGCGCTTTTCGGCATCCTCCATCAGGAACCTGGCCCAGTGCCTTGGCTGAAATAACCAAGTGCCTACTGAGGAGTGTCTCCAGTTGGCTCATTCGAAAACACTTTGTTCAGATGATCATAATGGGTGCTTTTATTCCCGACGTGCACGTCCAGCCATACCGGGCAATACAAAGGCTTATGAGCGCGACAATGACCTCTAAGCCTCAGATCGCTGCCATCTATGAACGGCGTGCGTCGACCTGCTTTATCGCGAACTATAAGATAGATTTCCACAAGTGTGGCAGGCACAACTTTATCATTCACCTGGTACATATTAAATCTTTGTTTTAGATACTATTTTTTTCTAGCATCGCTCGTTGCCTGCAAAGGTGTCCCGAAAGAGATGTCAGCGCAGTTTATTTATGCGATCCACTAGAAAATATCCTTGGGTGATAACATAATGCTCGTACAGAACTTCATCCATAAGGTCCAGGCAGTTCAATTTGTCTGGTTTCATCTTCAGAGTTCATAAATGTAACACAGAGTTGCACATAAATATACGCAGCTTTCCAAAATATTCCAGATATTATAAGATGACTCTAGTGAGTGGTGGCAAAGTAAGGGAAGGGACGCTGGCCAAACTGATGGCCTGTCCAAATCCTTGATCTTCCCACCCCTCCTTATTTTGTCAGGGTAATTTATATAATTGTTCAATTTTTAGGTGTAATTCTACGAGAGCTTGAATATTCTCTATATTCCTTTTTATGTGTGTCGTCATTACCCCTCTTCTTTTGGAGTCACGACTTATATAGCAATGTGACAATGTCACTATTATTTCATATGATGTCCCAGTATGGACTAGCTTTATTCTGATAGCTACCTATAATTGGATAAAAATTTTGTTTTAGCCAAATATGGTTTAGTACATCCCTAAGTACTACTGATGGAATATTGCTCGTGTTAATATAACCCTGTGTCAAGGGCTGAACCCATAGAACCTACAAGATAGATTATGTACAAGAAGGAATCGTTGAAGAAGGGAAGAAAGGAAGAAAGGAAGAGGAAAATAAGTGGTAAACAAACAACGTGGGAAGTCACGTGACATGGATCGAGGGCCAATGGGCCAACAGGTCCAGTAGGGATAGTAGGGACAATAGGGACAATAGGGACATTGGCCCACGAGGTCAAATGGGCTCCAGCCCTTTACAGTTGAACTAAAATACCACTATCACATATAAAAACGTGCCATGACACCACCTCCTGATGGGTAATAATAATGCATATACGTGCTAACTCAGTTTGACAGTACATTTCTACATTTGGAGATTGAAATAAGCAATCAATTTTATGTATCTTCACCGAATACTCCTTGGCTATCAAAGCACTTAATCAACTTCTTGTAATTCGTGACCTCTCAGCACATGTGAACTGCTCCTAGAAGCTATGAGGAGGAGATGTTTTCAAGAAATTATTTTATAGGAGTTGTTGATCGTTTCTGACTTTGATATAAGGCAATGCCTTCTCCATTTTTCATCAGGAGGCTTAGTGACCACTGGTGAGCATTCTTGTGGGATTTCTTCAGGAGGTTGATCATATTTTGCTTGAAGAGGGGCTTGTAGCTGTTTATTGGCCAACGAATTGACCCTTTCTTTCGAGACAACGAGAGGAGGATGTGGTATGTGGGTGAGCAGATCCCAGCAAGAGTTTCTGAAGCTTAATACAATTTTCCATTAAAGCCAGGGCATCATGAATCTTTTCTTGAGAATTTCAAGTATAGGCCAAGTTGGCCATTCTGGCCAGAGTGTCGGGATGCTCTGGTCCTAGCACCTGTGTTTGGGTCTCTATTACTTGCACTTGCAGCTCTTCTGCTTCCTTCCATCGTCCCTGATTCTTGTATATTAATGCAAGATTGTGTATGCCACTCAGAGTGTCGGGATGCTCTAGCCCAGTATCTGCTTGCGGATCTCCATCACCTGCACTTGCAACTCTTCTGCTCCCTTCCATCGGCCCTGAACGTCGTAGGTCCATGCCAAGTCAGCCATGCTAGTAAGAGTTGAGGGATCAGGATCACTCTTTTCTTTCTTTTGTAACTTCAAAATGTCCTCAAATAACATAGCTGCTTCATTGTATCTTCCATCTGTCCGCAGACACCTCCCAATATTCTGAACCAATCTTATGTATTTCTCTCGCTCTTTTTGGAAATCCTTTTCGCCACTAGTAAAAGGGCATGCGGCAGATAATCTCTCCAAATATTTTGATTTGTATGGTCATTATTTGGGAAAACTTGGTTAAACTGGTCTGCTGTTTTCTGTATATGCAGGCTAAATTGCTGCTGCTTTTTTAACTAGTTCCGAGTTGAGAGGTGGACCAGTCGATGGATACTTAGAGCATGGTCTTTAACTCGCTTACTTACAAAAGAGAAGGCCTTGAGAAGGCCAATTGCATCAATTCTCTTCTTTTTTAAGGTAGCCTCAGGAAGCAAAGATTGTGGAATATCACGTGGATTTATGCAGGCCATGAATGATAGATAGTCAGCTGCCAGTGGATTTAATTGCTGAATCTGTTGAAAGGAGATTAACCAGGTGGTAGCAACTGGGTTGTAAATATTGTTATATCGACCGTCATCTCCAAATTCTTCACTAAGTAGCTCGATCACATCCGCTTCTTGCTCCTGTAAAAGTGCGGTGTAGTCGGAGGGCTTAATACTATTTTTATTAATGTACGCCGCAGCTTGTGTGATTGCCAGTGGGAGAAAAGCCAACTGCTCGAGAAGATTAATGGTTGCTTTTCTATTATTAATCAGATCTTTGTTTATCAGTGCTTTTTCCAGTATCTTCACGCTAGTCTCTGTATCCGGCTCGCAGACATCAATCACAAAGGGAGACGCCAGCTTCACAGCTAACTTTCGATTGCGAGTAGTGAAGAGAATGTAACCTTGCTTACTTTAAGGCAAAAAATCCATTAGTACTGGTATATTACTAGTCCCTTGAACCCACATGTCTATATCATCTGCATTACCGAAAATCAGAAGCCACTTTCCTGCTTCTTTCTAAGAGAGATAAGCTTTTACCATATCTTTAGCCTCTGCTGGCTTTACACCATGGAGCCCAACAACCTCTGCCACACTTATGTATGCTTGTTCGACGCTCTCGAGGCTAGTGTATGGGATCTAGTAAACCGAGTATTTGTCTCGCATACGGTAGGCCAACTCCAGGGCTATTTGGGTCCTCCCAACTCCACCCAGCCCACAGACAGCGATTTTGGACGGTACATGTGGTTGCATGATTAATTCTTCTATTTCCTTGATTTCCAATACGCGACCTATAAATCGTGGGTTCTTCCTAAACGGAACCATCCAAAGCATTTCCCTAGGGTCACTCGGATTGTTTCTGTCATGGTTGATAGGAACCACCGACAGGAGAGCCTTAGCATAGGCAGTAGCAGCAACCACTGCATGTCCCTGCCACTGCTTCTGTTTGTAAGAATCGCAGTAATCACAGATCCCTCGTACGACAAGAGATGGAAGTTCATCCATGAGCCCAGCTGCTTCCATTTCAAAGCAGAGAATGTCAAATTCTTGAGCAAGGGAATCTCGGGTCTTGGCATCTTTCATAACCTGATCTCCAGAAGCAATCTAGCCATAGTGAATGCAAGGCTCATTAGTTGGCCGCTGCGGCCGGCTTACTAGATAATCCGGATCACATGTCGAGCAGTTGGGTTCTTTTCTCGCATGGTCGTATGTCTGGTGGAATAGCCAGTCATATTTTGGTCGTGAAAACTCTTCTTTCATCTCTTTGTTCTTCTGCAGCGCATCAAGTATTGTTTTGTTAACCACTCTCTTCCCTGTCTTGTAGTCACTCTCCATTTGAGATATAGCTTTCAGCAAGACTGGAGGAGGCTTATTGAGTGATCCAGCGTGCTGGAGCTTTCCATCGCGAAGTGTTTTGCCATAGTCATACTGGATAACACCGCTTAAGGTGGCAGGTGGTTTACTAACTACAATATCACCTACCCGAATATCCACACTGTGGGGAACTCCCCCTCCAATGCCGACCATTAATCCAAAGCGGATATTTGGGAAGGTAGAGACTGTGTGTGACACCACGGTGGAAGCAGATATTGTCCCGTAGACACCAGCCGGAAGACAGGCCACTACCACGTTATGATAGTAGAAATTTACGCACCACCCTATTGACGAGGTTCCAGGTCGCGACGTTGGCCCCGATTGGCACATAGCCTATCTTATAGGTTCTACGGGTTCAGCCCTGACACCTTACCCCTGCTCTTCAAAAAGGAAGGTTTTGGGGCAGTATGTGGCAGTTGAGTAGTTAATCAGTCCCACCTTTGATGATGAGGGGACCGGGATGATCATGCAATTTGTTGACAGATTGCCACTTTGTTTGATATGTTTACATGGAATCTTCTGTTCTTGACTTCTAAAATCTTTGTACAGTACCTTCCATTACTGTTTCCATTTATACTTTGATACGGTTACAAGTTTGATACATAACAGCTTCATCGTTGAAGAAGAGAATAAAAGAAGAGGTAATGTGATGGTTTGGTTGTCTCTGCGCTAGTAGAGATACAACCACTTGACCATATAAAAAGGTACAAGACGACTGATCTCCGATCAGTCGCATCTAGCGCCCTATATAGGAGTGAAGGCCATGCCTGAGCAATACATTGGGTTCAGCCCTTGACAGGAAAATATGTGGTATACAAACAAGGTTTAAGTCACGTAACATGGATCGAGGGCGAATGGGGCCAAAGGGCCGATAGGGACGATAGGGACAACAGGGCCAACAGGGATAATAGGAACATTGGCCTGAGAGGTCAAACGGGCTGCAGCCCTTTACAAGATGGCAAACTAAATCACTTTATAATCGTATCAAGAGTGAGTATTCAAAATCTCTGGGGGGGAAAACTGAGCGCGTCCATCTCCGTACATGCAGAAATTGGGGGATAGTTCTATCAAAGGAATTTTAGCTACACATCAATGGTTGTCCTGTTCATTGTAGTCAGCCAAATCATATCATGTGAGTATTAGCTCTCGCGAGATCATCCCCCTATATTGTGTTACGAGCAGCCAATAGTGACAGGGTATTTTCAGTTTCTTTAATACGACTTTACGAGATGACTGTCTTCCCAGGACTTGGCGAAACATTTTTTTCCATTGGTTGGTTTTAGATCACCACTTTATCAAGTCTATAGCTGGGCTGAAAGTGGGCTTCGGCTGACAGCGCGTGCTACCGAGTGGGATGAGTCACCTGACCCACAAATTTTTATTTTTTTTGATCTCCACTCTCCACGAGCTTCCCATTCTTTACCGTATAACGCTCTTACCACCTCCAATTTCCATTTCCGGCGTTTTCTGTCAGGGGCTGAACCCGTAGACCTATAAGGTAGGTTATGTACAAAAAGGAATCGTCGAAGGGAAGAAAGAAAGTGGAGAATGAGCGGTAAACAAACAAAGTGAAAAGATCACGTGATATAGATCGAGAGCCAATGGGGACAGTAGGGACAATAGGGACAACAGGGACAACGTGGACAACGGGGACAGCAGGGACTATAGGTCCGAGAAAGTAAACGGCCCCAGCCATTTACATTTTCTCTCACTAGTTTTGAGAGTTTTCAGTGCTACGAGATGCCAAACTTAAATGTGAGTAAAAGAAAGCATGTTTTTGTAGTAACTGGGTCTAAACTAGATCCAGAAATTCTACGATCGCTACCTCCGCGACCGCGCGACAGGCACGTTGGCTGTGCCTTTCTAGGACGGGGTGAGTACAAGGGTTTTAATGGTAACTAGTTCTAGGCTGCTGCTGCCAACGTGATCCACTAAGGTGAGGTTTTTTTGTTGTGTTGAAAATTGTGGTATCTGCCGTGTGTATCTTGCTTAGCTATAACTAGTTCTGAACTAGTCCGAGTATAAGTTTTCAAGCACCAACAATCCATGTCACCATCTTGCAAAGTACCATGCCGGATACTACTTTACCCAGGTTACAGGCGGCCGGGCGAGTCTTGCAGTTCGTTCCCAGGCTAACTGTAAGTATAACTAGTTCTAAAGTAGTTCCGTTCTAGTTTCTGACATTTTCAGACTTCTACGAGTCTTTGTATGTCTACTCAAACTTGTCCTCTAGGTGAGTTTGACATGCCTTGAAGCTTCAAGCTGCTCTAACTGGTTCCAGACTAGTTCCGAGGAGCATGAAGATGAGGACGATGAGGATGACAATGACATCTATGGTTATTATGATGGATGAGTTGGGGCCTTCCTTTTTAAAGCATTAACTAGATCTAGGATAATTCTAAACTAGTTCGGGGAGCGAACACGATACTGGAGAGCAAGCTCAGACCCCCAACAACAGTGACAATGACAAGTAGCCCTCCATTCGTGCGGAAGTTCTAACTAGTTCATAACTAATTTAAACTAGTTCTGATGGCAATGGCGATGAGTTGGAGGAAGATGGATCTGTTTGTCAGCCTTAACTAGTTTAGAAAGAGTTTCTGGTAAACTTAGGTTAATGTTACGGCTATTCGCGGTGTCGCCATTCAGCTGGGTAATAGGAAGTCTTGCCAAAAGGCCAGGAACCGTGAGTACCTAATTCTAAATTCATTCTGGATTAGTAGCTAACTGGTTTAACCTACACCTTTACAAATGCATGCGAGTATTGGAGCTTCAAGGTTCCTGATAAGCTGCAGTAACTAGTTCTAAATTAATTCCAGTGTAATAGATCATACAGCATTATTACACACAGCTACAATCTTCATGATCTTCATGAACAATAAAATTGAATTATCTTAATCATTATTCTATAAGCATTAGATATCTGGGTTTGGAATTTAGATATATCCTAAGGTATTTATTTATTATATACACCCGCAAAGGCCTGCATCTGTAAAAGGTATTTATCTTAGTTTTCTGTTCTATTTCTCATTATCATTAAAAGGATCAGGCCCTGACAATGAGTCTGCTGGCTGAGAGGGGGACTTTGTAACTGGTTTTGAACTAGTCCGATGCTCTGTAAAACTTGTATCTCAAATGGTTGATAATCAGGAATAACCCCAGTTCTCTGAGCAATTTCTGTACGAGCATTAAAACGGTTCAGAAAAGCATTTAAAAAAAAAAGCCTGTTGAACACTATGATTAGAGGTGTTCGGCTTATTTGAATAGTAATTTTGCTCTTCTGAGCTGGACGTTGCAAGTCGGGCAAGGCGTGATTAAGAACTAGTTCCAGACTTGTTAGTAAATAGTTCTGAATTAGTTATATTCCCTTACTTTATACTAGATAGGCGACCTCTTGTACTAGCTCTACTTCGTGAGGGTGATCGTCGCGGAGCACCAGAAGTATTAAATCTAATAGGAGGGGGAGTAATCTCAATGCTTGGTACTGCAGCACTGAAATCACTGATTTTATTAGACGGGGAGCTAGAGTGAGTACGTCTTTTGCGTTCTAATATACAACTAGTTAGTAACTGGTTTATAACTAGGTAGGGATTAGTATAATCTTTACTTACGTTCCCGTAGGGCACTTTGTGACCACCTTGCTGCAAAGATTAAATCCCGGTAAGAATAATAAACATTATACTCTACACGACTTTTATATTAATCAACATCTCGCTGGTCAAGTAGTAATGCCCTTGAACTAATTAGAAACCAAAATAAAACTAGTATAGAAATAGTTACCGTTGGATAGCTGGAAGAAGCCTCAGGTTTTTTATCCATTATATATAATTTCTGATGGGTCTGCTTTGCAGCATTTGTATAGAGAACTGCCCAATCCCAAAACTGTTTAGGGATTAAAGAAATACTTTAATTAAGGCCACTAGCAATTACTAGTTCCCTTTTCTGCTTCGCCCAGTCTTGGACACGCTTATTAGGATGTTCTAGAACTAGTTAGTAACTAGTATGGAAGTAGTTTAGATCTACTTATATTGCAGGCGCTTAATCATCCTAAAATAGTCTTGTCGTGTTTAAGTATTAAGTAAACCAGCTATGGTTTTAAACTCTGTTGTATGCCCTTTATCTACACCAAGAACTTTATTGATTCCACGAAAAAAATAGACTCGGCAGATTACCAGAATACTTATTAAGCATTCTGTTTCAGTTATAACCCTTTGTTTTTGATTTGGTAAAGATGCAAGATATTGCCCAAGTCCTAGAACTAGTTAGTAATATACTTAGAACCAGATATAAACTGTTTACCTTTAATCTGGCCTTTATTTATATTACTTATAATTGTTTGAATCCCCTCACCATGTAAAAGCTGGAACTTGACAGGAATGCTTATAACCTGTTTAACAAGGGAGAATACCTTTAAAAAGACTTTGGTATAGTTTTCTCCATCCTGCTTGGTAGTGAGGACACGAAGAAGAGTAAAAACTAAGGAAATTATTAGTAAATAGTTTAGAACTAGTTAGAGACTAGTTATACTTTTCCCGTAATCTTTTAAAAAAGTTGCAAATGTAATCTTAAAAAAACTATTTGCTCGGATATGTTTATAGGACATATTAACCTGGAATAAAGTGCATTTTAAAAGCATAAAAATCTGCTCTGCTAAACTATAAATAATAATTGTAGTATCAGTATTATAGTAGACTTCCTGAATATATTCCTACAAACTAGTTAGCAAATAGTATAGAATTAGTTTTATAACAAATTCTTACCCTTAAGCTTAATGGTGGCTCTTTTTCCAACTCAAACCTCAAGCTATTAATCTCCTGTCCTTCTGGATATGCCAGTAACTTTTGCTTATAAAGATAAGCTTCAAAAGGGTAGGTATTTACTAGGGTAGGATGGATTTCACTGAGGCTTTCTTTGCCGTATTTTTCACAAAGACCCTGGAGTTCAGGCGTGCGGAATAGACGTGCTAGAACTAGTTAGTCACTAGTTTAAAGCTAGTTAAGAAGTAATACTAACATATTGTTATATCTGGATTCAGACAATTTTGTATAATTTTATAAATCTCTCTTATAATCTCTTCAGGCCTTTTTGATGGAGGAGGTGGAGGGTGTGTATGTTCACTAATAGATATAAATAAGATATATAGGTGTATTTCAAGATCCTTTAGTATAAGAATCTTAAATTTTATGTTACACCCTATACTAGTAATCTCAAAAGTTTCCTTTCCGTGATTTTGAACTATTTAAGTATTAGTTACAAAATAGTTATAAACTAGTTATTTTAAAACATACCACACTTTTGCTGTTTTAACCTTTTTGGTCGAATGACCGCACAATGGTTAGGTATTTCAAGGATTGGACCTTTAAAACACTGCTGTAGTAGGTCTAGATCAGCATTACTTTGAAATGCAAGTGATTTCTAGAAATGGTTATCTTGGTTTTCCCTTGTTAAATTGGAGTATATAATTATATCGTGAACAACACCAGCAGGTGTCTAGAACTAGTTAATAACTAGTATAGAACTGGTTTGGAACTACTTATTTCTTAACTTCCTTTTCGAAACTCAGCTCTGCATGTTTCTGTTTGGGCTTTGCAGGCTCTGCCTTTTTCAAACATCCTTATTACCTCATGGTAGATTCTGGAGAAGTCAGAAATTAGCTAGGAACTAGTTTGAAACTATGTCCAAATAGTTCTGACTTACCTATATCCAATCTTCTTCTTTCTGGTCTCACTTTCCTCTGCCTGTTGGTGTTTCTCTTTTATTAGATTCCATATATCATTAGTAGCTATTGTATGGGTAAGCTCCTTTAGTTGGGGAAAGATATTAGAATATATCTTTACCCCAGAGCAAAGGTACTTAGAATGTAGAACCTCCGCATTATGGAAAAATGGGCTTATGGACTTGGTGTCCCTATACCACTGGTTACACGGATATTAAACCTTCAGAGAACTAGTTAGAAACCAGTTAAAAACTAGTTTAAAGCTAGCTTTACTTACTGTGCTCATGAGATCAATAATATTAGGTTTTTTATTTGGGTTGATAGAGACGGCATATGTATGACCATCCTTGTGCGTCTCTAGATATTTAGGTAGGGTTATTACAACCTCTACCTTAGAGGTTTGTAAAAATTCCCCGTGAGAGTTACCACACGTTAACTTGATTGGACCCTCATGCTGAAACTAGTTCCAAACTGGTTAATAACTAGTTAAATCGTTGTTATTCTGTCTTACCAAATTTTCGTCCAGTGTTTGTGAATTTTCTCGATCAATAACTGCTTGATAGTGTTCTGCTGTATAATACGAGGGATTATGCTCCGTCATGGTGGAGAATATAGAAAACTAGTTATCGAGAGTTGCTAAATGAAGGAAAATTTGATGGGGATAGCGCAATGTCGTAGCTTCATCAGGCAGTTCAGCGAATTTTATAAGATATTCCGAGATAATAATCACGCAAGACTCTTCTCGAATCAAGCAATCAAGGGATGGCTTTCACATAACACATGTATCCGTACTAGAAGACGATTGGCTTTGCCCTCACGACATATAGCCTGCCCACGGTCCAATTCCTTATTCGCAGGAAGACGGCCTCTATTCAAATGTCTCAACCACGCGTCTTTCCAACTTCAGGATTTGTTATCTTAGATACTTCTGAAACATTCGAAGAAGAAACTTGTTATGAATATGGGATCAGCCCGACGGATTACCCGAAGGATCGGCGAAGTCCTCGCTTATATATGTCTTCCCACAGACAAATTCCTTATACTAACTAAGTTCATTCATCCAATTCAATGGCTTAGTTCTCTCTATTCAATGTCACTTCCTCTGACCTACTGTAGTTTCACAACAAAACTCTTCCTGATTATTTAAAGGACGCTACTATCCAGTTCACATTAGTGAAGCTTTTAAATCCCAATATCAGGTGTAACTAAACTCGGCTTCGGCTCATCATCAATTGTATGGCTATGTCGGGACCTACGGTAAGTGTGCATAGATATTTATTTTAAATATAAGCTGATGTAGCAGAAGTAATAAGCGCTAAAACTCCACGTTCGGAGTAGGCGACGGCTCCCAGAAGTGGAAATCTCCAAGCACTTAAAAGCCATTTATGATATTTATAGCGGTGTAAAGTATGTCGGACATGTACTCGACTTATTTAAGATTTCCGGACCATGTGGAGTGCACACTTGTCTCCTCTATCAACCCGCTGGTATCGACATCCGCGATTATATACACTGTCTTAAGGGTAATGCCTTGCCAGAAAACCTTCTTTGACCTGCTCTCCGGCTTGTCCATATTGCGCTGGATTACCTCCACCAAGCCAAAGTCATCTATATATACTGGTAAGGCACAACCTGAGCGTTGAAGTCTATGCGTCCCCCTAATTAGATATTCAGCCGAACGATATCCTTCTTGGCATTGATGATGAGTCAATCCTTTCTGAAATGGAAAAGGACAAGATTTCCAACCTCGCTCCTTGAAAACAGCTTCGTGATCGCACCATTTACCCCACTCCTACGATGTGTCTGACAAGTGGCGAACCAATACTAGCTGAGCTTGGAGAGGCGCGACTAGCTAAAGGTAACCAAACCGGCCTTATCATGTCAAGTAGATATAGGGCGCCAGAAGTAGTGCCGGGCATGCAGTGGGATAATAAGGTCGATATATGGGCTTTGGGTCAGATGGTACGACTATCTATTGGGCAGTGTAATATCTTCTAACCTTGTACTCAGTAGGCATGGACATTGTTCGAGCAAGGACATCTTTTTAGGAATCAAACTCTTAAAAATGGCACTCAACACACTTAGCGCTTTTTAGAAAGGATTTCTCCTCTGGAACCACCCCCAGTTAAGTTCCTTAGACGAAGCGAAGAAGTCTCAAATTTTGGGACGAGAATGGTAAGTGAAGTTCAATTTTCCCTGAGAAATTTAATATGACAGCCTTTAATATGTTGCAGGTAATTGGAGGGGCTCCGTAGAAATCCCAGAGCAATCCCTAGAGAGCCATGAATCTCGACTTGAGACTAATAGCAAGATGCTTTTCCTCCGATTTTTACGGCAAAACCTGTGTTGGTTGCCCGAGGAAAGGCCGACTGCGAAGGAGCTCTTGTTAGATGACTGGTTAAGAGGAGACGATTGTTGAATTATGGTCCATTTTTTCAATCTATTATAGCGTAATAATAACTTTAGTAATGCCATCAATGGTATGCATTGATCTTCTCATTTCTCGCATTCCTAGAACAGCTTTTGCAGTATTCTTGACATGGATATGTACTGAATTCCCACCGGGGTAAAGGTATTCGCAGATTAAAATCTTAATCAGAAAGCACACACAAGGGAAAAAAAATTAACAAAGCAAAGGGAAGAAGAATACAGGAAGCCTTAGATGCTGCGACACGGAGAGGCAAGACAGCACGAACTACTACAGTATCCTCGTGACTGTGAAACTGAAATGGCGAATGCCCAAACGTTGACGGTTAATATACTCAGTAACAAGGTTACATATAATTATATAACCAATGTTTGTCGTCATATATCTATGATGGGTAATAGATATAAAACTGAAAGCATGACTACCCAAAGCGGGGGTGTCCATTTAGCTGTAACACATCTACCCACAACGCCTACCCCTCTTCTTCAGGATTGCCACGTCACTTAAGTATTTCACATGATTTCTCAATATAGACTAGCTTATCATGACACTATTAAAAAATTGTCCATACATTATGATTCTCTATAGCCACGGATTGCGAGCATGTAAGCTACTCTTCCTGCCAGTGCTATTGTAAAACACGCATTAGCATAGCAAGGAAGATTCCTTATGTGTCCAAAACATGCCACTTGGTAACTAAACTAGGGAGAGAGCAACTGAGCCTTCACCGTAGAGGTTCTTGTCTTTGCTTGGATTATGCAATCTTTGACACTATGGATTGATACAGTGTAGTTGTGGCTGCTCGCGGAATATGGAAACTTGGACCGCTACAAAGCCCAAAGATAGCTGTAACTACAAAACTGCGAAATGCATTTATTGTTCCATGGCATGTGAAAGAAGACGAGCAACTAGACATCCTTGGCCATAAGCCTGTTTTGCTTTCAACTTATTTATTATAGTCTTATAATATCCCAACGCAGGTTTGAGTCTTTTGCAGATACTACTGGCAACCCCAGTCGATAATATTAAAGATATGACCTAAGTTATACTAGCTGGCCGGGTTTCAGTCGATGAAGCCGGACGGGTGGATATGGTTCCATTTACCATGAACTCTCGCAGTCAAGCGATGCCTAGGCTACTACAACTTTATCTGTTCTGTATATCTATTGTACGTGGACCTATTTAGAGAAAGATCTATTCAGCAATTTAGATACTTGGCTTGGGGCTTGTGTCCAATAGTTCAGTTACGGGCCTTTCTATCTCTCTCTTGTAAAAAAGAAAGAGCCATTTCACTATATGCACACTCCTGCATGCGACATCTAGGATCACACTGTCTGAGAGGTCATACGCAGCCATACGGTAAATGGAGAGGCTATATATCGAACATTATATGTCAGGGATTTCAGATGGCAGGTTCCCCGCCTTATAATAAAAGAGGGGTGCAACAAGGGCTCGAAAAACAGAAAAGAACGAAGAAGAAGAAGCTGAAGAAGCTGTAGATGTAAAACCAAATCTGCCAATAGATGCGATTCTGCTTAGATGAGTTCTGCATAATGATAAATCCATACACTCTGCCCCCACTGTGAGAATCATCATCACCGACTCAAATGATGTATCCCCTCCTGAGATACCTACCCTACTAAAAGAGAACTCATTGCGACATTGGCATGCAAGCTGCAAGACCATTGAACCTGGATAACTATGCCAGTAAACCAAGTCGGGTTTTCATTTAATGAAACACGACTTCCCTTTCCCAACTATCTGTATGGCTTTGACTATTTCCACAGTGCAGAAGCTGGGAACTCTCACATTTCCACGACATTATTAATGAGCTGAAATGGTTGTGGAGGAAGCTAAGACTTTCTCTCTTTGCTTTCCTGAATGAGGTCGTTAACTAATTGCCTGTGACATAATTTACTAGGATGGTTGAAGCTACCTGATAATTTATGCCTCTGTATATATCCGTGGTCCCGCAGACAATGTCCCTACTCAGATGGTATTTTATATAGTATATTTCACCATCTAGGCAATAGCTATCAAGGATTGCCTTCAATCTGCATGCCTACCCATTTACATTCTTACCTGTATATATCAAATCCTGGTCTGGTCAGCCTAACAACCGGTAAAACGACGGTGATGTTTGTGAACTATTTAGTAGTATCAGCCATGAGACCCCGCGTTGTCAAAACCACAGAGCCTGCATGTATTGCATGGCCATGAGGGTCTCGACTTCAGGACTATGTCCATTCCCTTGGTACTTTCTGCTAGTAAACAGAACCCCACTTCCCACTTCATATGAGCATGCAGCACTATTGCAAGTTCATTTGATCGTACCATGTTAGAGTATTATTAACTAAGGACGTTTTATAATACATCTCTGGAGCCTGGGGTGGGGCCATGATTACCAATGCAGGTTTGTTTTTATACAAACATACAGACAGGCAACAGGCCATAATTACAGTAATATCAATGGTTAAGAGAGTTTGTTCTTCTCTCCGTTGTATGACAAATCTATTATATCAACCGTCGTTTTAAAGTCACTTTATATTCTTCTTGGTGGCTTTGAAACCGGACAATCCGCCCTCGGATAGGAGACCCCGGGTGTACAGGTGTATATCATCTCCAGTTATTGCAGATATTGATTTGGATTCAATGTTGCATGATGGCCTTGTCTGGGTCCGTGTTATGAAATTCCAAATACTTGCATGCCAAGCTCCTAGGATGCCTAAAGAGGCCAGTATTGCGACGTACATGCACTAGCATATCTAACTGCTTGACTGCATGTATTGAGGAGCCCTACGTGTCTCGGAGGAGACAGAAATGTTCCCCTCATTCTGGGTGACTCGACAAGCCAACAAGTCAATATGGGTTGGTGAGATGTCAGATGGCTATAAAGACCGGACACTTCTCCCACATTTCCTCGTTGCCAGTCCAGCAGAGCTCAGTACTCAAAGCTGAATACAATTGCAAGCATTTGTCACTGAACCTCCTCCAATATTTATCTATATTACACTCCCCTGCCTAACCGTCAGCATGGTCGACGCAGCATTCTACCAAGAAGATATCCAAGAGGGATACTTCTTCGCCGGTAGGAAATATGCTCGCGTCAAGTGGACTCCATACGGAAGCGAGGAGACCAGAACCTGGGGTCCAGTTCCAATCAAGGACTACTGGGGATCCTTGAACAAGGCCGGATTTGGCACCGTTGAAGCCGTTCTTCCCGTCGACGGAGCTACCACCGAGTTTTATTTCTTCCACGGCTCGAGTGTTGCCCGTATTAAGTTTACTCCCAAAGCGGGAGACGATTCTATTACCGATGGTCCCCTGAAGATTACTGAGAAGTGGAAGTGTCTTGCTGGAAAGGGCTTCGATACTGTGGATGTTACTTTGGCTGTTCCTGGCAAGACGAACGAGGCCTACTTTTTCAAGGGAACCAGATACGTTCGGCTCAATGTTGTAGATGATAGGATCGTCTATGGGCCCGCGAACGTCGTCGATGAATGGCCGGGTCTTGCCAAAGCCGGCTTTGATTCAATCCAGGCATCGATCCCGATCCCTAAAGATAAGGCGAAATTGCCTGGTGAGACATATTTCTTCAAAGGTGACAAATATGTGAGGGTTCAGGTCATCGCCTCCAAACCGGACGTCCTCACTTGGGGACCGTATAAGCTTGACGACTATTGGAAGACACTTGATTGGCTTTGAAGTTTCTTACAGTTGGTTGAGCTGTCCAAATTTCTGGACATGTTGGATGAGGATATTGGAAGTCAGAGCTAGCACAGGTAGCAATCAATTTATCTAGACTCTGCAGAATTTATGGCGCCTGAAAAAAAAATTTAACCTAGTTGTTAAATAATCTTGGTTCTACCACCGTATTTATCATAGCTTGGTTCGAGCGCCGAGTGGAAAACTGATACCAGTCAAATGAAAAGTCAAGACTACTCACCCCATCGCCGCCAAAACCATCAGCAGTCAAGATTGACTGTGCAAGTTGCTGTTGTTTAAAGCGAGGATTTAGCATCTGGTTTCTTTGCGGCTTGTTTGCAGAGCCCATGGTTTCGATGCACCGGCATTGCCACCCAGTCAAGGTAGGACATGAATACACTGAGGTCCCTGATGAGCTCCGAATGAGGCAGTTGGTCTTTTTGCAAGGAAGCATTTTGTGATTCCCGAAGAAGATCGTGAGCTAGAAGCTCTGCACTTGGGAGTCCATAAAAGAGGAACTATTGAAAAGGCTGGATCAGTGGACTCGGTTTAAAAAAAAAAAAAAAAAAAAAAAAAAAAGATCTTGAATGATAATACCGCCCAAGAGAGGTTTGTCCTTAGGCCAGAAACTCGGGTTCGCTGCCGATTAATAACTAGGACCGTTGACAGGAGCTCCATTGCCTTGCCATAAATGGCTGGCGCTTGGTAACCCCCAAACTGAAACTGGCATAACGCTGGATTTTCAAAATACCATGGTGAGACCAAAGGACTGCTTTTCTTGACCCTATATCGTTGCTTTCAAATTTAATCAAATCCAAAGAGTTTTAGAGGAAAAGGTATTTGGGATGGCAGGATTTACTGATCATCCTGAAGAATTATAGTGTTCATATACTTGGGATTAGCCTACACAGGAATATGGGAAGACAGCACCCAGCAGTTCCAACAACTGTCGAATCAGGAGTCGAAGGATTAACGTACTGGTCCATATCGTTCGTCAAACAACTACATCCCTGGACCCAGTTGGAACGACTACTACGGACTGCAGGCTAATTAGGCCCTTCCAAACCCCATACCAGCCCCCATATCAAACTACATATGGATATCTGCAGGTAGCTCCATACTATCCCCAACGGTGGTTTACGTGGAAACCGTGGTGCGAACTGAACGCAGGGCCAAGTTCCGACGGGCCAACTGTCACAAGACCACCGGCGGCTACAGAACTAACAGTTAAAACTAAAACTCCGCTTTTGCTAATGGACAAGCGGGTTAATGCAAATTACGGAGTCCTGCGTGGAGCAATCGGGGGGAGAGAAGGGGGACAAAAAGAAGAAAGAAAAACATAAGGAGGAGGCTCTAGAAGAAACTCAAGAGGAGACGAAGCAAGAGGCTCGAGATACAGCTATTTTTTAGAGTAGCAGACATTGCTCGGATCCACCATCGTATAATGTAGCCATCATGTGTTACTAGTAATACAGACTTCTATATGTGATTCTGATTCAAAACGGTAGCTGAAATATAGCTCACAGAAGCCATGAATTGTGAGTACACATAAAATACTGTAGTTGACAGTCCAGACCCGATGATTGGAACACAAACCGCAAATCATTAGCTGCAGAGTGGCCAACGCTTGTAGAGGACAACAAACCAGGTGGAGTGGAGTTGCATTCTGTCCAAGGAAGACCGGATAGCTAATTTCTCGGGCCATCCATAGTCTCAAAGCCAACAGCGCTTACAAACATCTACTGTAGCGACTCATCCCACGTTACTGATGTCTTCTGAATGGCAATTCTTGATAACCAAACAAATCTTAATATGCGTGTATGGGAGGCAAACGCGAGCAGTTGGCTCTGAATGTTGGGAGAGTATATCCTGGCCCCAACGAAGAGCTTACGATGTGGGCAGCCTCGCTGTGAATACGCCGTTGATAGTATCAGCCTGCTCAGGGAGCACGGGTGGATCTAATTGATTGGATTGTCTTTCCATTCGTCGAGAACTATTCGTGCTTTTGTGTATATGCATGTAGTGTACCGTAGCGGCAGTTTGGCGCTATCTGGTGTTGGTTGAAGTTCGGGCGCTATCCGTTACGATAGGTTGATGTACGCAAGTTCTCACAAGAAGCCTTAAAAGCGATAAGCCACCACTATTACTCCGTACTAGTTTCCAATTAAAATGCTCCTCATCTGGTCCAACTCATTTGCAATATTGAACTGTGTCTGGCCATGGACTCTCTCTAGTTTGATCAGACAGGCCTGAGGGAGCTCAGAACGGAAGAACAGCAAATCCTACTCGACAAAATCGATAATCCCCACATGCAGGGGTTCGGGGAGTTTGTCGACCTGCCTCAGAATGTGGTCTCTGGTGATCATTCCAGCGGAAAATTGTCCATGCTCGAAGCTCTCTCTGGCGTGCACTTCCCCCGCAGCGATACGCCCTGTACACGCCTTCCAACCGAAGTTGTCCTGCGAAAAGACTCCAATATTGAAGTTGCGGTTTCTATAGCGCCGGGATCAGATATTTCTGATACAGAGTCTGCCAGATTGCGGGCTTTCGAGGAGAATCTATAAGGCTTGGATGAGTTTGTGGATATTGTGGAACGGGCAAAAGTGGAAATGGGAATCATTCCAGCTGAAGTCTTTCTCCAGTAGCATTATTTGAGTCGAAATATCAGGACCTAATCAACCCACATTGAGCGATCTGTCGTAATGGTGGGCTTAACAAGCCGAACAATGAAAACCCCATTCGGAAGATTCATGCAATCTATAAACGGCGCACAAATAATTCCCATAAACCCCTTTGGATTAGATGAATGCCCATCGAATTCATCCTCACACCTGGGTCGACGTAGAGTTGGTCCAGCTTCGTCTCAGGGATCAAGCGGTTCATGAATCGAAACCGTGATAGAAAACGGTTCCCCTTTTTCGTTGGAGAGTGGAGTATCGACTTCGCAACCCGTGGTTTCATCACATCTGTTCCCCCTCCAGTCGTTGACTTGTTGGCAACCGAACAAGCCGGTACTAAGATCACACTGGTTGTGCTGTTGGCCGCCAGGGACGCATTCGATCATCGGATTCAGAGTGCAGGTTCCCTTAACTTTGACATGGTAGGTCCAGGTCTCATAGCGGCATCGTCGGCGAGGGCTTCACCGTGTTAAGCAGGAAACCTCTTTTGTCTTCGTTTCGACGGTGGTGGAGAGGGAGGAATATGATGCCGAGATCTCGGCGGACGCCGACCCCGTACTTCCCACTCCTGCAGTAACCTTTCCGCCAGTAGTCCAGCCTTCACTTTTCGTCGCCGTAACTGAGGTCGATTTTCTCAAAGTGAAGTCCAACGTGTTATTGTAGTCGGTGTTTAAAATTACTTTCAAGTGTGGCGATCAAGTTACGAGCCCAAGCTTCATCCTGTACGCCTGATATCTCTGCATTAACGGCGGATGCGGCTAAGGCGAGAAAGAGAGTCCAGAGACGCATTTTGGTAGACAGAAGAAATTGTGCTTATATGCAGAAAAGAAGTAATATGTATGTCTTGAAACGGAAGCCTGAGGATCCTGGAGAGGGATGGATGTAAACTGAGAGTGGTACAGGGTTTATATACCCACGCAACGCTCCATAATTCGGGTTGGATGTTGTGACAATCGCGCAGCTGTGCTCTATGTAGTGGCAGTCTATACGGCAAATCTCCATGTCTTGGAGGCGCAGCATTGGCATTATTCACTGTGTAGGAAATTTGCAAACATGGCTGTGATCATCGGTATGTCATCAACTTAACTGGATAGGAAGTGGATATCGAGCTGGGGATGCGGGCGGCGGTATACGTAGATAGTTGGCAGCCAAGGCCTTAGTGAGACCAAGATTGTAGCACCCAACGCCTGGGAACGAGAAAAACCAAGGAAACGTGGAGAGGAAGAAGAATATCATTGGCATTCCACAATTTGTAGGGGATTTGATTTAAGACATTGGAGTTATACTAGTTCCTTCGTTCGTCAGTGATCAAATGTGGCTTGGTGAACACAAGTTCTGATGAGTTCCTTGGTATGCAATTCTTTTTAACGTTTAACTTCTACTTTTCAGATTTTATCTTCTACTTCCCAAATTAACTATGGTAAACATTAATCTTTAAATATAATAGCATTTAATAGCCTTGTTATGGACCCTGGTCTAACGCGATAACATCAACAGTATACTGGTATCAATAAGAGTGTGGTGTGAACCGAAGGGGATTCGCCAATCCGACAGAATACTGGCCATCTACTTAATTGGCATAAGGGGTGAGGTGGTTTCACCACCAGGGCACTCTATCACAATAAAGACAAAAGGCTCAGAAGAAATTGAACTTCGTTCTGGCTGTGGCGGTAATTCTCCGGATAGACGTTAGGTTCCCACATCACTTGGCAAAGCCACAAATATTTACAGTAATTACTCCTTCCTTCCCTTCATCCTTCTTTCTTTCATTAAAAAAAAAAAGACAAAAAATTTCAGACTCTCTCACTTCATCTATTCCACAATCATGTTCAACTTCTCCTGGTTCAAGTCCTCCAAAGAAGATATCCCCCAGTCCACCTGGAACCCTATCACCCTTACTATGGAGCAACCCTCCAGCCCTGCCGGCCCCAGTCAGGAGGTGGTAGTGACCAAGCCTGCATGTATTCCTCCAGCGATCAACTCTCATACGTTACGAGATATTACTAGAAAACGACTCGCTAACAAGAGCGGCCCGCCCAGAAACAAATGCAAATCAGCCTGCGAGGTGGTGGAAATGACAGTGGCAGACCATTTCTTGACTGGTGTCCTTGTGATTACTGTGTTTGCTGTGAATGTTAGTTACTATAACAAAATGATGGGTTGGGCTGGATAATATCTCCATGTATACATTTTTTGTTTCTAAACAACAAAGGGTTATAATGGTGCTGAAGAAAATCAGTCCTTATTACTAGGGATTCAGTTTTAATCAGAAAATAGCTGTACTATTTATATCTAAATTCAACGCGCTTTTCTATCCAAGACAACACAGGGACATGTGTTGAATAGCCAGGAAGGAGGATGAGCTATTTGACCATTTACTGCAATGCCTCAGACAAGCAGGACTCTAATATGACTCCGTTAAAACTTGAGGAACTGGGAATTGAAGCCTAAAAGGCTGCAGTTTTCCCTATTAGACAGATTCTTAGCGTAGAGCCTAGTTTACGCCTCAGGAAGAGTTCATGGTGACACATCTTAGCACAAGGAGAGGAGATAGACAACTTGTCAAATGTAAACCAACACAAAAAAAAGTTAATACTATGCTTCCATATTCTCATCTATACAGGTTCCAAAACGTAAAATTGTTCCGCACAACAGAATCCAGGTTGCGGCGTAAAGAAAAGGATGGTCACTAGGTACTGATGAACTAGCTTCAAAGATCCTCCTGATGATGTTTATAACGAAACTAAACGTGGATACTTCAATCGCTCGTCGGCGAACGCTGATTCTGAAGGGAGAGCTCTCTCTTTTTTGCATGCTGATGTGAGCTTTAAGGATTTGAAACTGGTCGACTAAAAAAAAAAAGTGATGCCCTGCAGCTATTAAACAGTGACTTATAAGTGGCTTTGGAGAATTGATGTACCTCTTAAAAGATATATTAATGAACAAAACTTTTACGTCTTAGATAGTGAGTGAAAAAATTCATAGACGTTAATAAATTATTATTCAGACAGGAGGCTCGGTTGTACTAGCTGTAAAGCTTATCTTGGGTCTTCCCTTGTGTATTTATAGGCCAAAATATAATTAAAATATTGGCTTACCAGCCCAGAACATTGCCTTTGATTATCTCGCACACCATCATGACCAATCATTATCGATGACTGTGCAAGTTGCCACGTCACGGATCCTAGAGTCCATGGATTATATATTGGGATTCGGGTCTTGCTACACTACAACCCCAACACTTATAGTTGTACTATATCTTCATTTGTCTATGTCTATAGGATCAGTGTAGAGATAGCTAGAGAGCCATCTCCTAGACCCAATCGATGGTTCACCCCCGAGCTAAAGATACACCAAGCGGAGACAAACCGCGCCTAGTAGAGGTAGCAAGAGACCTGTGTTACCCGAGGCGGCCAAGAGCCCTACTCATCACTTCTATTTGAAGAAATGCGTCACAAACTCAGGGCTTGGACAACAATAATTGAAAAGACAAATGCTGCACACTGGAGGGAATTCCTGGACAAAGCAGGTAAAGGCCACCTCTGGAAAGCAGCATTATATGTGAGACCCCGCGAATCCTATACAAACATCCCTCCCCAGATGTTAGGAGATATAGAAGTCATAGAGAATAAAGACAAAACAAACGTCCTGATGGAGTAGTTTTTTCCCGAAGATGGAGGAACCCAGTGAGGACACGGTCAGGATACAAAGCGAGGAAATCCCATGGGAGCCGCTTACAGAACATAAAGTCTATCAAGCAGTTACAAGGGCCAAAAAATCAACCGCCCCCGATGAGGATAGCATCCCAACACTGGTGTGGAAACGCCTATAGAGGCATATTGGAAGACTCATTGCCTATGTCTTTGCAAAGTTATTAGAGTTAAACTATTACCCCAAGCAGTTCAAGCGGGCTAAGATAGTAGCCCTGCGGAAGACGGGTAAGCGTTCAAAGGGAAATCAATGTCTCTAAGCCAGCTTTTTACCAATCAAATGACAGTTCAGCCTTGGGCTACTATGTCAAGTGACAGTACTCCTGGTTTCTCTATGGATTTGCCAGCCAGTAATCGTTATCCATAAGTCCACCTTTACTTTTAATTCCTGATACAATCAACTATCATCTTCGCATAATGAGTGACATTCAGGCCTACGAGAACAACCGGCTTCGTGAGGTGTGCAAGCAGTATGGAGAACGCCCACCGATCGGACCCCCTCAGCTAGAAAGGCAAATCATAAAACTCAAGCAAGCCTTAACCTGCTCCATAGTGAGCTCCAAGATGCCAAATCCAGAGCAGAGCCCGCGTCTCTAAGAATCACTGAACTACAAGCGAAGGGGGCTTTCGCTGCCAACTGAGCGTGGGATGAATTGGAGAAACGTGGCCAGAATCTAGAGACACTTCTCAGGCGGAGGCAAAACCGGATCAAAGAACGGGAGACCAAGGAACACACAAAAGATCACTGGGTTGAGAGACTGGTTCTGATATTGGAGAACTGAATAACAAAATTCAGGGACTAGATATTTCTCTTGTTTACCAGGATGTAAGATTTAATGAAATCTTCGTGTTTTTAGCCAACACGCTTGAGGCAATCGAGAAGCTGCAAAGTGAACTCAGCACTATAGAATTTGAGATACATGAATCAGGTGATTGGGTTTATGTAGAAAAAATAGACAGGTCCAAAGCTGAGAAGACCTTTCAGCATATCAAAAAGAGCGGAGAATGAGCTCGTCTGGGGGATGGATGCAATTCGCATCTTTCCCTGGATTAGATCCTTGAGGCATATGAGAGTGTTTTTTAATATATTCAATATTTTCGTTATTTTATGGGATTGTATTTTACATTTGGTTTTTGATAATTTTATTTCTACTCTGACTGTGCCCACTTCAGAAATACCGGATTTGGTCTTCACTTCTTTGTCGCCAACATTTTTGGCTATCCATATTAAAATGACTAGTATTGATTTTTTGCCTTCGTTATTTTAGCATGTGAGTGAGACTGAATCCTTACCCCGGGACTACAAGAACAATAGTCTCAACGCCAAGCTGCCTGGGAGAAAGTTAATTTTTACCGCCGCTACCAGATGCATGTCTGATTTATTAGTACATCGTTTCGCCGTTTCGTAGTTGGCAGTTAGCATTGTCACAATAAAGGTGCCTAATTTTATATGACGCTTCACTTCATGGTTGGCTAGACAAGGAATACTCCCCTTTGTAAATTAGGCTTTTTTATTGGATAACCTGTCAGGCTTTGGGTTCAAAGCTATATATCTATTCGTTGGATGCGTATGGTACTATGGTAAGGGGGGGGAGGGGGCAAGGTTATTCAAGACAGCGCTGGGCAACCACAAAATTTAACTTGATATCGAATTACACTACGTGTATCACTGCAGTCGACTCAGTTGAGTAACAGATTAGAGTGCCTGGTGTGAAGTGCGATAATGACCACAAACTTGGTGCGTTGCTTTTGTCGTCTCCAAAATTTCAGAGATCTCGACAGAAAACTAAGGAATTCGAACGACTTTTCATGCCAAGTATCCAACATTTCCTCTATCCAATTAGAGTCTATAGCGCCTCCTCAGACTTTGAATCTTGCAGGACCAACAGTTCCCTACCAACGGCGATCCGCCTGATCGCCAGCCACAGGCGCTTACTCCCGTCACCTCACGTGCTTTTGCGGGGAATGGCTATCGGACGTTTCTTAGTAGGAGAGGAGTTGGTGGTAGTTAAATAGCTTGGCCTTCACAAACTTCTTCCAAAAAAAATACCACTGCCAACATGGAAGACCCCGGAGTGCCTGGATCTCCCATTCACAGACTTCGAGACACTTTCGGGGATTCAAAGCCCCCTGACATTACTCGCAAGATCACGGCTTGCGTAGCCTGCCGCAAGCAAAAAGTACAAGAGCACCTCTTCAATCCTGTTGGTTCAAGAGACTGGCTGTCACTCTAACAGGATACTAGATTAAATGCTTCATGAATGAGTCACAGCCACCCTGCACTCGATGTGCGAAGAAGGGTCTACCTTGCACGGTGAATCGCAGTCTACAGATGCTGTTAGAGAGTGATGTGTCGTGAGTGACTTGGTCTATACCATCTACTACATTAAGGCCCTAAGCATTTTTCTGTTTTCAGGTGGAAGCAAACCATGGAACAGAAACTCCGGAAGCTTGAAGAAACCTTGGCAACATATGCGAACAACCCTAGTCCCAACTTGAACGCCCCCGACGAAAGCGAACAAACGTCGGACGGTACGCTGTCTGCTACCGAGACACTCGAAGATGACGAGAGTACCTTCAGCGAGAAATCCCGTCGCCTGAGGATTGTCATAGATCTGGAATCGAGCCAAAGGGCTCCTGCTCCGAGCCATTATCTTCACTTAACTGCCTCCACACAACCAAGAACCCATCACGATATTATTTCCCGTGGAGTCATAAGCATTGAGAATGCACACATATATTTTGATGACTATCACAACCAGCTGGACCACTTCGTGTATAGTATTCTGGGAGACCATGGATCTATGGCGCTAGAGGATATTCGCGATGTTTCGCCGTTTCTGATGACTGCGATCTGTGCTGTTGGCGCTCTGCATTTAGCATCTCCCGATTTTGACGAGCTTTATCGAGAATGTGTGGCTTTAAGCGCTTCGCTGAGCTTTGTTAAGAATACGGTAGAAGACGTCCAAGCCCTCTTAATCGCTGCCTTCTGGATGAGCGATTTATCCTGGACATGGGTCGGGCTTGCGGTACGAATAGCCACGGAGCTCCAATTGCACAGAAGCTTTCCGAGAGCAATTCTTGGTGATCGAGAACAATATTCAAACACACGTTTATACTATCTGGTATATGTATGTGACCACCACTTCTCTATACCATATGGCAGGCCGCCAACCACTCGAGAATGTGAAGCTGTGCGGGATGCACGGATGTTCTTGGACTGTGAGCATGCTACAGAGGATGACGCGCGGTTAATAAGCCAAGTCTTCTGCTGGAGTATTTGCTCCAGCATCTATGACGCGTTCGGTGCGGATGTCGACCGACCTCTCTCTGAGGCACAGATTTCCGATGTGCGACGGTTCAGCATTTCCTTGGACTCCCTTCGTGCTGAGTGGGCAGATATATTTGGCCCCAACGCCCATGTTGGTAACTATCCGCGCAAAGGTGTCGGTGTACGGTACCATTTCGCCAAACTGTACCTCTGTTCGCATGCTCTTCGAGGGGCTAGGTCTGTTCAGGCTAGGTCTCGATCGCCCGATGTTGTCGCAGACCTGGATGAGATTGCCAATTCCGCCGTCCTTTCCGCTCTTTCTATCCTGCGTGCTGTGATTTTGGACTCAGAGATGCAATCATATCTCAGCGGCTTGCCGGCTTATTTCCATATCATGATTGCCTTTGCAGCTGTGTTCTTGCTCAAAGTCTCCACTCGTGTCTCTTCTTCCATTATGCTCGATATTCCGGAAGTCAAACTTCTGATGAACTCGCTGGTGGTGATTATGAAAAATGTGACAGCAACTATGCATTCACGGCACATACTAGTAACTATCACGAAAGCGGTAGAGGAACTTCTACAACGAAGTAGAATGGCACCTGAGCAAGCTGCAGTGATGTCTACCACGACAGGAATGAAGCCTCGGGATGCCATAACCGATGCAGGAGAGCTACATGGAGAAATACCTACAGCAGGTGACGAAATGTTTGGTGAGCTTTTCATAAATGAGTATGATCTACTTCTAGGTCTACATCATGGATGGCTTCCCTAGGCTTGGGTCGAAAGTTCAGCATTTGTGACCTGGATGGAATTAGAATAGGCTTTTAGGTTCTAAGGACTCCTGGATATTTCGGTTACTTTTCATGACAAGAAATTTTGATATGGATTTTGATTTTTGATCTCATTTTAACATTGCCAGCGTACTGCTTTACGTCGTTTTATGGGCCTTATGGTCCGATGAGAATGGGTGCGATAATCAAATTTGGATACGAATGGGTTCTCAAACCAATCTTATTTGAAACACTGAATGTTATTGAATAGAGTGAAAGGCATCAGTACCGCTCTCTGTGAGATAACCACAAAGGCAGGTATCATCTAATGGTTGGTGGCATGGACCATACAGTATCAACGAAATAAGAGCATCCCTCAGGACGAAGACTAGCCTCAATCCGGTCTGCCTTTAATGCCGTCTGCTTCTATATGTGTTGGAAGGATGAAATTCCTGTTTCTTCTTTTTACTTCCGATTCTACGTTCAGAAATATTTGGACACTTCCTTTTGCATTTCAACTGCGGAACCACGTTTTCAAAGATCCGGGATTATGGCCATTGACCACAGAAATATGTCCAAGGAGAAGCAGCATACTATTCATATAAAGAACGATTTATTTTATAACCAAGCTATCTCTATGGTTCCCATTTATATGTGGCGAAGGGAATAGTGGAATATACTATTAGATATTGGAGTTGGCACAACCACTATTGTATCCAAGTCACGAGGGCGTTGATACTGGGTTTGAGAGCATTGGATAAACTGGTCACCCAACTTTATCAGATGATTTGCATCTTGCTCGAAAAATCAAGCCATATCCGTAGCAGAGGTACTCCACAGAGTTCTCCCTCCAGGTGACAGGTTCGGGTCTGCAGGACTGGATTCGTACGAACAGTGGCAGCCTAGGCTTGTTGGAATCGATCCAGAGGAAAGTCGTCGGACAGCTTGTAAACAAACCGTCGCACAGACAGATTTTCATTTCCTTCAGATAGCGTCACCAGGGTTCTTGCATCGACGTACACGGATATGCATTCTCCACTCGGTCCGCAGGTAAGCCGCATGCCTTGCCAAACGCCTGGATCTAGTCAGGGACAGGGATGTCTGCACGCAGTAATCCAAATGGCTCAAGTGCTTCCCGCATTATTTTCTTGTCTAGTTCTACTAGCAAGAGCTTCTCGTGCCCTCTCTTCCAAGATGACATGAATGAAGATTTATTCCATGGTGAGAAGGATCCCCTGGGCCTGAGATGCGGTCGCCAGATCCAGGGCTGTGATGGAGTCGCCTCCAACCTCGAAAAATGCATCTTCCTCTGAAAAGTCAGAAGCGTCCTGTTGGATAATTTGGGTCCATAGAGCTCGAAGTTGGCCCTTTGTCGGGCCAATATCAACAATGGATGCCTACGTCTGGAGATTAACGGCCGACGTTGTCAGGGAGAGTAGTGGATCAGCTCGTTGATCCGGGGATCGACTTTGGTGATATCAATCATGTAGTAGCTATGGTTGAGGAATTGACCAAGTTTCCATTGCACTTGCGTGCGCCCCACGCAGGAAAATATGTGTTTTGCACGTTCACTGGCACCCATCAAGGTGCTATCCTGGAACTGTACAATCTCCGATATGGTGCTCACCGGTGCCCTTAGGAAGTTCGTACATATACAGCCTGACGCAACGGCTGGGAACGGCCCTGAAACCACGACTTGTTAGGCCTCGCAGCCATGGAATTGGATGCTGAAGACTATTACTAGAGGCCCCAAATACCCACGGGCAGGAGTCAACCCGGCACGAGGACGAATCAGGAGGTAAACACGACAATATGTTGGAGCAGGGGACGAGGTGCCTATGATGCAGGGCCACAGCGCAACTGCGGTTGGCAAGATAGTGGAAACACTGCTTTTCGATGTCTTAGATGTGGGATATTGCATTTTATAACGATACGCTGATTTTCCCTTGTCGCTTGCAATTTAGCGGGCATTTGCTACCGCCTTTTGTGGAATCTTGCCTCATTAGGGAAGCCCTTACATAGCTAGACGCTTTAATAGTCGGGCTGCAACAGGCCAATAGAATTTTGTGGATTGGATTGGATTGAATTCTACGTGTCTGGAATGGTCAGTGGCATGTTGTTGTTTTGGACCCCCTATAAGTCGTCGGGCTCCTGGAACACCCCGTTATCCTCCTTTATCTCTTTGTTTGAGTTGCGGGAATAAATACTTCAAATTTATCTGGGTTGAATTTCGAAGCATGCTGTTCTGCCTACCCTTTGCTTATTATCTTCTCTAGGAGCCTAGTAGCTTAACAATCAGATTCTACAATGGCGCAGATATCGTCTACTCAACCGAAGGCGTCGTCAGTCCCCTTCGGGCAGCCCACATTGCAGGCGCGCAGCAGTGGGTAGTTGTAGAGAAGGTAGAGAATAGGAGAAATCGGTGATCCCTGCAGGATTCCCGTGTTAGTGCCGAAGAGAACACAAATAGTTAAGGACTTAATCATTGTTCGTCGGTTAGTAAAAGCGACCACAGCCAACGGGCCAGCGCCCCAAGTGGGCTGCCCAGAGGTTCCAAATTAAGTGCAGGTGAGACACGTTGGCGTATGCGCCGGTGATATCCAGTAGGACCATGGTGATTTGTCTACCTCGTCCCCACACCCGGTGCCTTTCGATTTCGGGGCAGGCGTTTGGATATCGAGTATGGTGCGGATCCGAAGTTGGTCGGAGTCAGCATGGCACTTTAAATCGGTCTCGCAGACCACGAAACGATCAGATAGGTCCTAAGAACTCATACCAGGTTAATTGTGCTCCAGCTGCCTCGTTTCTCCCAGGTCGCAGTGCCTGACTCTGTGCATAAATCCAGAAGCTTCAAGTCAGTGATTTCTAGCACGTCTTCAGCTGCTGCGTCAGCTTTCACGTGGCCTCCACCCCACATTGGGTGGTGCGGGTTAGATTCGTTCCGTACTCTAATTAGTGAAATTGGCTCTCGGAGGCAAAACTAGTACTGGGAGAAGCTTGAATCTCGGGATACGCGCCATGAGAGCAATTTGGTATGTCATGAAATGCACTCAAAACGTCATCCGAATTATAGAAGGATTCCAATTTCAGTAGTCTCATGTCAGGTGGGATACTGTACTGAGAGCAGAAGAGAGATAGACGGCGCTTCCCCGCATCGCTTGAGAACCCGATATCCATAAGGTCGCAGGATAAGACATGGTTCTCTTCCCGAGTGGACCCGCTCCATTCAAAGCTAAGCATTTGATTGAACGTTTCCTCATCCGTCAGACTTCCTAGCCTATCTCGCGAAACCTAGTGGCAAAATCCCCACTTGGCCCTTTCAGGATACCTCGAATGGGTCGTTGAAAGTTTGATAAAGCACCTTTCGAGGAGAAAGGCTGGCTGCAACTATCATGACGTAGTGCCGTGGCACAAGTAGGTACCCCCAATGGCGGATGGACCTGTCACATAGACTTAAGGTAACGGGGACACCGGACTAGTTAAAATGGGACCATGATCCTTGTGGTCTTATTACTTGCTACTTCTACTTCCACCATCAACGATGATTTCGGAAACAACAGAAAGCAAATTCGTCTCTGATGAGCTGGGCCCAATGGACTCGCGGCAGGTGGGCGAGATCCACAATGCCCCAGCCTACAAGCATGATGCCGTCTTTGGAGAAATCACAGAGGAAGGCCCCAACTATCGCAATGTATGCAATCCTTCCAAAGCCCATGATATCGTGCAAACCAACAGGCTCCTAGGTGGGATGGCTTGGGACAGTTGCCCTTATGATGAAGACTCAGATCGGCCTTGGCGTCCTCTCAATCCCCGCTGCCTTTGATGCTCTAGGGTTAGTTCCAGGCGTGATCTGCCTGTGTGCTATTGCTGTCATCACAACGTGGTCGGATTACATGGTCGGTGTCTTTAAACTGAGCCATCGCGCGGTGTATGGTATCGATGACGCGGGTGAATTGATGTTCGGCAGGATTGGCCGTGAGTTTCTAGGGATTACATTCTGCCTTTGTACGCGTGTCCTCGGGTTTCGTAGGTGTTCAATTGCTAACTCGGATGAGACTGGACTTTTGTTGCGGGCTCTGGTATGCTCGGTATCTCGATTGGCTTGAACGCAGTCTCAACTCACGGTACATGTACTGCCGTCTTTGTTGCTGCAGCCGCGATTATAGGTTTCGTCCTTGGTAGCATCCGTACGCTGGGCCGTATCAGCTGGCTCGCATGGATTGGACTGTCGTGTATACTCACAGCGAGTGGGTTTCATTTCTTTACCTTCACAGATATGACTTGACATTTTCTACAGTCTTCACCGTTACTGTCGCCGCTGGTATCCAAGACCGCCCAGCTGCTGCGCCGCAAGACGGAATCTGGGTGTCTGACTATAAGATAGTCAACAATCCCAGTTTCACTGATGCCGTTTCTGCGGTTTCCACCATAGTCTTCGCCTACGCGGGTACACCGGCATTTTTCCCCATTGTTTCTGAAATGCGTGATCCAAAATATTACGCACGGTCACTCATAGTCTGTCAGAGTGGGGTGACTGCCATCTACATTTCAATTGGGTGCGTAGTATACTACTACTGCGGGTCCTATGTCGCTTCACCCGCCCTTGGCTCCGCTGGTCCAACCGTGAAGAAGGTCTCTTATGGCTTCGCTCTTCCAGGATTGATAGTGACTACTACCCTTGTCATACACGTAAGTGTGTGCCACCCTGATGCCGACATACAGAAAACTAACAGGCTCACAGATTGCGGGGAAATACATATTTGTCCGTGTTCTTCGAGGCTCCAGACACTTGACCGCCAATACATTCACACACTGGGGAACCTGGCTCGGCTGTACTTTGTTCATTGCCATCATAGCTTACATTATTGCCAGTGCCATCCCCATTTTTGGCGGTCTTGTATCGTTGATCGGTGCGCTTCTCGGAACTCTCATGTCATTCCAGCCGATGGGTTGTATGTGGCTTTATGACAACTGGAGCAAAGGGAAGGTGGAGAGAAGTCTCAGATGGACTTTGATGGTCTGCTGGTGCGTTTTTGTTATTGTATCTGGTACATATCTTATGATTTCTGGCACCTATGGCTCGGTTGTTGGCATTATCGAAAGCTACAAGGCATCAGGTGGCTCAGCTTCCTGGTCATGCGCTGACAATTCAAACTCTGCCTGAGGCTGTGAAAAGTCTTCAACCACCATCTGCGATTCTCCTGTGAGGCATGATCTATATCAAGGGTATGAGAGTTCTGTCCATTGGAGTTTACCCATCCTTTCTGAGCCCCAGTCACTATATTGACTAAAGCTATATTATCCCAAATTATACACCTTCTCATTTTACTATGGTTGTAATCCAATTGGAAGATGCACAGATAAACTTGATTCATTGAACTTAACCCTAAACTCGTGTGCGGCATAGGGAAGAAAGCCGAATAGTTTCTTCGAACAATGAGAGGCTGACAAATTTTCATGCGATAGAATAAACTGGTCAATGTAGACACACTCCTTATCATTATTTCAGATAGAGATTCGTAAAGCATCAAAACCAAGCTATCAAATTATGTTGAGGGAACGACTCTTCCGATTTGTGCTGCTATTTGATGGGATATAGCTCTATTATCAGAAACTGGATTCTCTTGAGAAATTTAGCTACCTGGATTTAAGAAAAGATGGCATTATCTCTTAAACAACCACGGGAAGTAGTCTCTCATATAATGCTATCCAAAATTTAATGTGTTTCGAGATGAGTCCACGTCGTCTATTTTCCTGGCACAAGAAGACCAGCCCATGCTGCTCCTCCTCAATACTACGACATTAACAGCAATAACTTCTCTGAGCACCAAGCAGTGACACAGCGATGAGGACTTGGGTTATTCACTCCCGCAGCTCCGACTGCAAACTCATTTATGCCTTTGACAGCAGTATACTTTCTGTCGAGTACTAAAGCTGAAGAGATGGCAGCTTCCTTTGACGTGATTAATCAGAGGGAAAATAAGCATTGGAAGACGGCTAATATACAAGAGTGTTTCATCTTTTGTATTACTAAACAGGGCGGAGACTATAGCAGTCAAAATGGAACTGGTGCGTTATGTCTGTCCAGTATGGGAAAGTGAGCCCTCGCTGTGGAATGGCATCGGCATCGAGGCCGAGTCTTGAGTTGGGACCTGCGGAGAACATTCCTATCGATCTGTGTAAACATTGCTCGAAGGAACAAGCTAATCATTGACGCGAGGATCGTAGAGAGTCATCTGAGAGGTGCTAGACTGATGACCACGCGGAGAGATATACATTGACTTCCAATCAAGTATAATTCCGGGAACTGTGCCGATAGAAGGCAAACAGCTGCTGAACGTGTATTTGGCCACGGGTTGATAAGTAGGAAAGTCTGACCATAAATAAAGTCGCTATAAATTTTGCAGCAAGGTTATACCAATACTGTTCTCACTGTGCGCCACTCGATCGCTAATATGGTTCCTCTCGTATCTAGATCTACACATCACCCCGTGAGACTGAGGACATCGGTCTCGAGATCCATCGAAGTCCCACTTCTCAGCACTTACCATGGAGACTTGCCGAATACACGCTTCAACTCGACTGCTAGGGTGATTACCAGCAAAAGTGTGCCTAAAATGATTTATTCTCCTCTCTCGGTACTGCCGACTGGCATGCTGCTTCGGTCGCTCCTGGTTTCCACTATGTCTTCAAACCCTTATTTACTTCACCCTTCTCTTTCGATCTTGTGTTTCCTCTGCAAACCTCGTAAATGGTTCTTTCTGGATGTGGACAGGAACCCCGTCCTCCATGCGATCCTTAAATCGACCTTCTACAAGCAATTATGTGCTGGGGAAACAGGACAAGAGACGAAAGAAGCCATTCAACAACTCAGAGATTTAGGCCTAGAAGGAGTTATCATGACTTACGCAAAGGAGACCGTGTTCGATAGTCAAACGAACACCAGCCATGTGTTAGGTGTCAATCCACAAGCCGCAGAGCAAGGTCAACTAATGGACACGCATTGCCCACATATCGAAGCCTGGAGAGAGGGGACAGTAAAGACTATCAAACTGCTTGATAAAGGTGATTACTTACCGGTTAAGTATGATCCCCCCTCGTTCATAATATGCCTGCAATTCTGATGGCTCATCATTTAGACTGACTGGGACCGGACCATCTGTAACGCAAGCATTTTCCGCAGGAGAGATCCCATCACAACAGATGATTGATGCACTGGGTGAGATCTGCACAAAATACAAGGACCGTAATGTCCGCATCCTGGTTGACGCGGAGTCGCAGCATTTCCAACGAGGCATCCACAATATGGCGCTCGAGCTCATGCGAAAATTCAACCGAGATGGCTACGCTCATGTGTTTAATACCTACCAAGCCTATCTCAAAAGCACTTCGTACACCCTGGCAAAGGATCTCGCTGCACCAAGCGAGGAAGGCTTCACTCTAGGTCTGAAGCTAGTACGCGGCGCATACATAACCTCTGAAGAACGGTCCCTTATCCACAACAAAAAAGAGGCCACTGACGAAGCCTATAGTGGCATTGCCCAAGGTGCATTGAGACAGGAGATTGAAGAGTTTGGAGTTAAGAATGGCCATAAGTTTCCATCTGTAAATTTATTCCTAGCGAGCCATAACGAAGCAAGTGTGCTGGCTGTTTATCAGTGGCATCAACAGCGTGTCACTTGCGGGTTGCCCACGGTGCCGGTTGATTTTGGACAACTTCATGGAATGGCCGATGAAGTCAGCTTTAGCTTGTTACAGCTGAAGGGTCCTGATGGTGATCCGAGGTCTACAAGTGCTCAACATGTGGGATAGCCTATCTACTCCGGCAAGCGATTGAGAATCGCAATGCTATGTCGAGAACGGTCGATGAGCACAAAGCGTTGAAACTGGAGTTCATAAGAAGACTTAAATCACTTGTTACTTTTTCTACATAGTTCTATTATGACAAGAAATGAATTCTTAGCTTTTATCTTGATCTCACCCTTATACTCGAAGCCTTAGCTACAGAGGTCGCTACATAGCTGCTGGTCTTCTAACACTAAGATGAAGTAGTAAACTATCTAAGGCTGTATCTGTAATCCGCAGATTAAAATGAATACCGCGTCTTCAAGTAGTTCAAGAACTTGCTGTCATCGCCGGGGCCAGATGCCACTTAACCTTATCTTACCAACTCGGGCGGGCTTCCGACAACACTAGTAGTGCTACCTTGATAGAGACATTTTTCTGACAAAATTTTTATTTATTTATCATTGACATGTTGATAACTCACGAGTTATCTATGACATCTCTTTCCTTGATAGCATAGAAGTACTCCATCCGATTATCTGAGTTATGAGCGGTGCGAAAACAATGAGCACATTTTGCATCCTGCTGTGGTTCGTACACATCAACAAGTAGCTTGTGGATTTTCTTAACTTATTACAAGAAATCTGGGGACTGCAGTCCTCAAAAGTCTGCTTAATGTTTCTCAAGATAACTATGATACTTTGCCCTTGGCCCGGTAGATCGCCTGTCTAGAGAGTCGTACCTCAGAGTGGCGATTGGCCACGGAATTCGCCCAGCATTCACCAAAACTTCTCGTTTTCAGGAACAGTAACGTGCAGGCCGTACAAGGTTCTGATATGTTGATTCTTGCACGACCCCAGTCACATCGAGGCAGTATTGCCTGACTTTCGGGATGCTCTTGCGGTCAAATTGTTGATCAGCGTCGGTGCAGGTTGGACACGGCAGAAGATCGAGATCACATTGAATGGCAACGTAACTACATCCGGTAATTCTAGTGGGTGGGAGTGGGTTATTCGTACTCTACCTAGCATTTCTGCTTTGGTTTCGTAGTCACTTACGCAATTGTAATCTCAGAACCTGCAGTACTAGAGGCATACCTACAAATCACACACTCGATCTTCAGGAAAATAGGCAGAACAGTCCACATCCACCCCGGATTAATGAATACTACCACAGCCGTGGCCGGTTCGACGCCGCGATGTTTGCTGTGATTGTGGACACCATGATTGACGCTGCTGTGGCAGATGGTACGCCGCGGGACATGGCACATGTGATGATTTTCCAAGCAAGGCACTGCCACTCTTCTCCAGAGCGGACTGCATCCTGCTATCTCGAATGCCAAGGTACATTTCCCGAGGGTTGTACAATTGGTAGTCTAATGACGATGAAAGTGACAGGAATATGAGGTCATATTTGGAGAGCACTAGGCTTTACAATCGTCCGTCATATATGTGGGACCAGTCATGTTAATGATACTAGACAGAACATCGTAAATTTGGGGCACTAATGTATCCAATTCTACTGTAAAGTGAGCATCTATGTATTCCGTGATACTATTAGTTTTGCTCTTTCCGGTACTACGCCACTTCAACCATGATTCTTCGGAAACAAGTAGTAGTGTCAGGATATAACTAGTTCATATTGTGCCATAATGTGAAGTTATAAAGTGACGTGGCTATATAAGAAAGAGGGGTAATCACAACACACATCAAAACGAATTCGGAGAATATTCAAACTCTCATAGAATTATCTACACATTTCTGACAAGTACCTTCATACCAATCTTATCCTGATTGGCTGTCCAAGTAGAAGGTTAAGTTGGGCATTCAGCTGGAACTTAGCCACATCCAGCACTGCCATCTGCGTCAATTAAGCCAAGATGGCTACCACATCAATCTCTATTCATCCAACGATCTCATATTGAGGGTTCCATTTTATTCTATTAATCTGCGCCTAGAGCTGTTTGGTACATCTTGAAGCCGAGACAATCTTAATACCCGGTCCAGGATTTTGACAGGCTTGCATTCGGCGCCAAATAAATCCCAATCTTTTCGCTTTCTACAGAGTATCAATTATACTAGCATACGCACTAATACTAGCGTCTGCCAGAACTTTTTGTGTCCGCCTCCGTACTGTTTCATGTACGTAGACGGGAGCTGGAAGTCGCTAGGACGCAAGCTGCATAGCTGACGAAATCAAATCAAATCATCAAATGACTTTTTAGATATGTAGTGTTGCTTTCAGCGTAATCGATGCTGTCGCGATAAGACAAATAATGTTGATTCTCGGCTGACACTCTAGTCAAAATTTGCAGGAACTTTCAGTACTTCTTCAAACCACTGATCACTTCCCAAATCCATTGATTGCATCCAGACCATTTGATCTATGTCTGGCATGTAGTTGTTATGATTGGTTGTGTCAGGGTCGGCACTCCGGCGTGGCCCCGTCTCCAAGTCCTGTATCTGAGAAGCCATGTTCCACCGAGCTTCAGCCCACACCCGACACTTGTTTAAAAGCTTAGATAAAAGCTGTAATAAATTGTCGTTGCACTGAAGATATGGTTCCTGGCTGCTCAGATCAAGCTTCTGAAGCATACAGTCTATTGTCGATATTAGGTCAACTGTGTTCCGCACCGCTTGGCAATCCCAAGCCGGGTGTTCAAGCGTCGACAAATACTTCAAAACCGTGACACACAGAATCATCTGTGACCAAAAATGAAAGGGAAGACCGACAATTTTCGGAGGAGAAATTCTGTAGAATTTGTCCAGCCACGATTTGATGCTTTCGACAGACTGCCACAAATATTGGAGGCATTCAAACCCAGGTAAAAGCCTACCATCGCTTCTTTGCCCTGTCAGATCGAGAAGTGGTGAGTCCCGGCTTATCGAATAAGCCAGCTGGTTTATATATAGTTCGACGTATTGTGCGTGTGTAATGAGGATATCTACACACTATGGCTGGGTTTCGCCCACGCCTAGATGTCAGCACTCACGTACTAGTAATAACCTACCAGGGTATTTGCCTGGGAATAACTCGCCTATTTGGTGGAGATCTGTGGGGAACGATGATATAAGTTCATGCAGCTGCGCTCGTAGTGTTTTAAGATACAACAAGTGGGGAACTGAGGCAGTCTCGGAAGCTGTTGCGCATGCTCGATCTGTCTCATTCTGCTGCCGGATGTAAGCCGCTCTTTGCTTTAGGATCTGCAAGCGTACTTGTGTTGCGAACGCCTCGTCTGTTAGGCATGACTTATTCATTGCAATGACGCGAAGCGCTTCTTCCATCTGAGGCGTCCATCGTAGAGCATCTTGGCGCCCAAGGTGGGATGAAATACTAGCAGCACATATAGTTAGTTAGACTGGCTTCAAAGAACAACTATGGTGTCAAAATATATGACAGAAACAGGGATTCCCTTGCGCACTTGGAGCTCAAAATGAAACATGCCAGCACTGCTCTCTGCTTTTCCATGAAGCCTTTGGCTGTTTCCTTGCTAGTGTTCTGATCATTTTCGTCAGCCCGTCCCTGAGTGATAATCATCATGATCTCCACGTCTGGCGGGGACCGATTGAACAATCGCATATCATATACTAGTGAAATGGCGAGCATCATGAGGCGAGAGACGAGATCTGCTCTGCCAAGAAAGGCGTCCGTACTCCATGCTAGGTACGTTAGTAATCCAAGCAGCAGATCGATATTTGACTGGACATTGAGCAGAGCAGACGTGAATAGGAGGCGCTTCAGCTCTTCGGCTTGAGCCAGCTTTTTCTGTGTCGAGAATGTGGTAACGGTAACGATGGCTTGGAATAGAAACGGCCTGTCTTGGCGCAGATGCCAGGCTGTTATGTCTGGGCCAAGGTTGATAAAAGGGAAGCATGGCAGCATCCGGGATCGGAAGAAATTGAGGCACTCCTCTGCTTCACTCAAGGATATGTCAGAAGAATTTAGTGAATGATGGTGAGACGGAGAAAACGAATTTATATGTGGCGGTGCCGTGGGAAATGGTCCTTCGCTGAAGCTCAAGTTGGTGCTCGTTGTGTTTACAAGAATGCTCTTCGAGGTAGACATGGATGGTGGAATATTCTCTTCGTTGAGGATCTGAGGAATTTCGACCGAAGATCCGGGGGAGCTGACGACAGATTGCATTGCGGCTAACAGGGTTTCCATCTTGCCTTCCAGCTGGGCGATTCGTGTATCGAAATCTTCAGCTCTCTGAGTATCACGCCTGCGAACTGAGTCTGATGGCTGGCACTTTTTCTTGAGACGAAAACATCTGCGAAAATATCAGTCATATATCGTGCATCAGTAGGAGATATTGACCTTTCGCAGCCATCACCACCTGGATTACGCACACACCGGCACTTTGCCCTGTAACATTGCATGCAAGCTTGGCCATATGTGCTGGAGTAGCCAAGGCCCGGTCTCGTCCTCTCCATAATATCAGTAGGTGGAACCAGTAGCGCAGGTTATGCAAGAAAGTCTAAGAAGTGACGGACAGACGTGGGCGAGCTTGAGAGATACCCAGAGAGCGGAGGAAATCCCACCGGAATTACCTCCGTGTCAGCTTACTGTCCGTGGGGATTGAGAAAGTCTTGGCGTTGATACTATTATCTCCGTTATTTTCAGATGAAAACTTGTGCTTGACATATCTATTATCACTCCGTATAAGTTAGCCTAGTAAGGGCTTTAATATCTCTATATGCACGGTTCCTCACTGCCAGATAGTAGGAATTCCATTTACATATGGTGGGAGTTAAAAAACAGTTCTAACCTTGTACTGCGTAACCAGGCCTAGTAATAACTATAAATTTATTACCGGACACTCCGAGTCATACCGGCGGATTTGGCTGCACGAAGTCCGTTTGCCCACTGATGGGGCTGTTGGGGCTTTCCAAGCTCGAACCTGGCCTTGTATATAAATGAGGCCTTTGCCTGCGTCTCCTGCCCTGGTTCCAACTCAGCTCACATTATCGACTTCACAATCTCCCTGTACCTCCAGTAAGAGAATGCCCAAGAAGACGGTTCTGATTACCGGTTGCAGCTATGGCGGACTTGGAGCGGCAATGGCAAGGGTTTACTGTGCTAGAGGCTTTAGGGTCTTCGCGACGGTACGTAACATGGCCAAGGCTGGAGCTCTGGGCGAAATAGAAGGCATAGAGGTCCTCGAACTTGAAGTCACGTCGGACGAATCTATTGGCCAATGTGCGAAAGCCGTTGAGAAACACACAGGAGGGTCACTCGATATCCTAGTCAACAACGCTGGTGTCAGCACCGTCATGCCGCTTTTAGATGCATCAATCGACGACGCTAAGAAGCTATACGATACTAATGTCTGGGCTATTCTTGCTATGGCGCAAGCATTTGCACCGATGCTCATCAAGGCCAAAGGAGTTCTTTGCAATATCAGTTCGGTATCTGGTGAAATGGTTTTTGCATGGGCAGGTTCGTTCAGACTCATCTGCGGGGCTTCTAAGTTCTTGGGCTTACTCCGATGTAGGCATATACAGTAGCTCTAGATGTGCTACAACGCGGCTCTCAGAGACTCTGCGTCTCGAGATGGCGCCTCTCGGCGTACGGGTTGTCACAGTCATTCTCGGAGGCGTTCAAACAAGCGGAAACGACCCCGCCAATATAGAGGACCTCGAGCTGCCCGAGAACTCATATTACCGGAAGATATCGGCTGTCATAGATCGCCACAAGAAGGTCCTGGTACACCCCAACAAACAAGATGTCGATGTAGCAGCGAAGAACTTGGTCAACGACGTTCTCAGCGCTGACAGCGTTTTCATTCGACGCGGAGCAGCTTCTACTCTCAGTTGGTTCTGCAATACATTTCTGCCCTATGGACTATTTAATTCTATAATAAACCGGGACTCTGGTCTTGCCGAAATCGGTTTACGCAAAGATACCGCATGAGTTATGGTGAGGTATGAGAGAGGAAATTATTACACTTTGAGTCGATTTGACTTTGTTGTACTGTAAACCAAGGATTCGGAATCAGTTCCATTTAACATTGGATTAATTTAAAATCAACCTGGATTTTCTGTTGCGTATGCAATTCATGTTGTAATGTGCCTTCTTGAATATGAAAGGCTGAATGCGAACCTATGTTGGTAAGACACCTAAGTCCAAACGCAGGAATAATCCGCACACATCGTATGACTGTCGCGGATGGTAAATATCTCCAGATAGCCGCAAATCTATCGGACCAACGTGCTGGATATTGGCGGTTGTACAGATCCAGACTAAGGCAATGCAAAGGTGTAGCGGCCAGCTGAGACAGAAGGGCACTATCATCTGCGTGATAATGATCTTAGAGCACGGGTGGTTGGTTAGACTATTAAAAATGCCATCGGAGAACCACTGCAGTAGCGTAAAGGTTCCGTGGATTGTGACTGCATCCCGCAGGAGATGTGCTGCTGCAGCTCCTACACCGGTAGGCGAAAGGAGAGATAATTCGCGGCGATGGTGGGATCAGTAGGACTTGGACAACCAAATACTTGTGCCAAGCGAATGGCCTTACGCACACCAAGGGCTACATTACCAAGAAAGTACAGAGAAAGCTGATGGTGGCAGCACTAGAGGATTGGGTCTCTTTTACTATTATCTCCGTGGAGTTGGCGACGGAATAGTCGCTGTATATAGCGTCCAAACCAGTCCGTAAGGACGAGAGAATATAATCCTCCAGGATGTCTGGCAGCGGTACGAAAGTGAGACTGCAAACTCCGAAGGAGAGGTTTCTGCTGAGGCGCTTTTTTGGCCAGTGGTCTGTGATAATATGTCAGCAAAGTGTCCACAAATCGGTCCGCATCACGAACCTGTCGATAATTGTCACCGTTGGGGCCACTAATGTCGCGGACATAGCTGCAGCAGTCAAGTCTCCTCCTAACCGTCCCCAGCGAGAATCGGTTTGATACCCATTAAGGCTCTGGGTTAGTGGGGAGTCCATCACAACAATACAGTCTCAAGAAGCTCTATACAAAGCATTAACCTCGCGAACGCTTTCTAATTATTACAGTTACCATGACGAGTAGATCATATTATCAAGCTGTACGGTGTCAATACTTGGACAGAATTATTTGAATTGAGCGTGGGCTTCCTTCCCGTTTTCCTGATAGCTGTCGTGATCAATGCGGGGAAGCTTCAAGCATCGGATGAGTTACTGAGGAATCCCAGAGGATAAAAGAGGGTCATCTGCAGTTCGAGCACCATCTGCTCTACATTGCCTTCGATCAAAACTTCTGCACTTATAATGGCTTCAAGCAGACTTCTCGTACCAAGATTGGCTTCATCCGGACGCTCGTTGGGGCGTGGTTTGCGTCCTATCCGAGCTCCCACGCTCCAGATTCGACACAAGGTCACTGTTCCTTTCCGACTTCCTGATGCAAAAATGAAGTTACCGTATGTTTCTGTCCTCAATTGCTCATATCTGAGGAGCTTAACTAATTGAATGGAATGTAGCCGTTGTATACCCGAAGAACTCTCTTGAGCGAGCCAAGCTGGAGGCAGCTCTGACGAAACTTCGATCCCAATTACCAATCCAGAGCAATATTTACTAAAATGGCAAGGTTCAGCAGACATCCAAATCGTGGGATCAACCATTGCCTGCAGAACATGCGAACACATTCACCAATTATCCCCTCGCGACCAAGGAGCAAATTCACACGGCCATTGAGTCGGCGCTGAAAGCCAAGAAGAATTGGGAGAACACACCATTCGTGGAGCAGCCATTTTCCTCAAGGCAGCAGAGTACCGGTTCGAGCTGATTGCCGCGACGATGCTGGGTCAAGGTAAGAATATCTGGCAGGCTGAGATTGATGCTGCTGCCGAACTGGCTGATTTCTCCCGGCTTAACTGCAAGTTCGCCGCCGAATTGCTGGAGAGATAACCAACACGTGGGTCTTTTGGGATGTGGAGGTAAGAATCATCTACCAAAATTGGGAGTCAAATGTATCAGATAAAGGAATAAACTAATAGAAATAGCACTGCTCTCGGAGGAAGTTTGGTCTCTGGCCCTGCGTTGATGGGCAATGTCGTTTTGTGGAAGCCCTCACCATCAAACATTTACGCTAGCACTTTGGTTTACAATATTCTTCTGGAAGCTAGTCTGCCTCCTGATGTTGTCCAGTTCGTCCCTGGCGACGCAAAGGAGGTTACAGACGTAGCTCTATCTCATCATGACTTTGCCGGTCTGAATTTCATCAGATCGTCAGATGTGTTCAGGTCTCTCTATGCAAAGATTGGCGAGGGCATTGGCAAGAAGACTTACCGCGAGTTCCCCAGAATAGTCGGAGAAACAAGTGGCAAGAATTTCCATCTCATCCATAACTCCGCCGACATCCCAAGCACTGTCAACCATACCATTCGTGGCGCCTTCGAGTACCAAGGCCAGAAGCGCTCTGCCACTCGGCTATATCTTCAAGAGTCCCGTGCAGAGGAATTCCTAGCGACGCTGAAAGCTGGAATTTAGGACATCACCATTGGCGGCCCCGATGAAAGTCTGGAGGCCTTTATGGGCAACTACTATGAGCGTTCAATCCCTTTCGATCCCCCCATACCACCCCAGAAGAACCAAGATTAGGCGCTAAAAAAAGAATGGCTGAATTTGAGCTTGCATGGTTGGCTATCCAGTACCAGGTTACAATGACAGCCTTCTGGAGTTTTATTATAAGGCGATGTCTATATACTACTGAAGTCTATATTGACAATTTATCCCTTTGAAGTTGAAACACAACAGCAGCATATACACCTCGTGTTAAAAGACGCCAGCAGTAAAATCCACCGCCTGTGCCTTTTCAATAACCCCGTCGAGACTTTTAATGAATGCGTGATGGGTAGAGTCTTTCTCCACGTAGTAGTCTCGATCTTCTACACTATCAAACTCAACCACAAAAGCATGTGTCATGCCATGCTACTTCGCATTAGCCTATGCTCTTATTATCAAGAATTTGGTTACAAAATAATAACGTACCTGGATGCCCTCCTTTGAGTTGTCCACTCCACCAGACGAGGATCTGATATACGGCTTATTTGATACTGGATGCAGACAGGTGTTCTTTAAATTGAGCATACGATCGCAGGCCTGTGTTCATTAGTATCTGTCATCATGCCTGGCATGTTTACAGGGGGGATACATCATTTATGTCGTCGCGGCTAGTATCCGGCTTGAACCGGAAGAGGACAATGTGGGTGATTGGTGGCATATTGGATGGACTTGATCTTTCAATTAGGGTAGGCAGAATAGACCGTCCTCACGATCTGCCAGATACTATAGCGAGGATTAATAGTCCACGTTGTTGATAGAGGGAGTTGTGTATTAATACTGAGCACGTGGGGCGGCCCCTATTGACCACGTCGCTTTTCCCCTTTTGGCTTCGTTGTTTGGCGTGGGTATTCTCATCATGATCCAGCGGATTCAAGATGTCGACGCTTCTTCCAACACTATATCCAACATAGTTGCGCCTCTATCATTTCATGCCAGACAAATACTTCATCCATTCTCCCTTTATCTATCCTTTGTTTCTTTTTTAATTAGCCACACTCAATCCACACCTACCCATGATAAGAAAACAAGAATAGCACAACTAATAAGGGGCAAAAACCAATGCCGTACAACGAATCCCATTTGTCCGGACGATGGCCAGGATACGAAGCTCCTCGACACGCACGACTCCATCCTGGTAAGACCCCTTACGGGAAACAATTTGCTATGCATATGGCTCGGACCTCGGTACGGGATAACCCGGTTATTGGTGCGGGGTCACATGGATGTGTATGTATTGCATGGATCTAGTTATTCTGTGTGATAACTGAGTCGCTCATTCAATTCCAGCTTACTCAGTTCCTCTATTCTGATACCAGTTCCTCTGACCTACCGTAGACTCGCTACACTGTTAAACAGAATCATTGAGCGCAATGGCGGCGCGATTGTGAATCGAATATCGAGAAAACCCAGAGGGCTGCCCCTGGTCCGTCAGAGGGGTATTACTAGGGCCCTTTCTGGGTTGCTGCTGCGCATAGAAGCACTGACGCCCTTCGCGTGCTTCTGAATCATTATGATTCCAATCCGGCTTGGATAATACAGCCGCTTGACCAGCGCGGATTCCTACTGCTGAATGAAGCCTGTCAGTACGCCCAGCTTGAGATAGTGCGTTTCCTGCTGGGTAGTCAACCTCGCTTGGGATGGTTCACGCCAGGGATTACTGGAATGAGACACGTACTACTGTCCGCTGTGGCTTCCTTTTCGCACTCGAGTAACGACAGAAATGGGCATGAGCATGAAAGCCACAACTGGATTGGCGACCGCATTGCTCGCAGCGAGAGACTGATGCAGCTGCTCCTTGACAGTGGTGCTTCTGCTCAGGAGGATGGCATTATCCTTGAGCACGATGATGGTAGTTAACCCCCGCCACAACCACTCGGTGCCGCCCGTATTATCCAGCGCTATGATGGTGGTAATGGACGCCCGCCGCAGCCTCTCAACACCGTTCTCGGTCGGGTGGTCTCCCAGACCAGTTACAGGTTGGTATAACGCCTCATTGACGAAGGGGCCGATGTACACGCAAGGGAGAACCACTTCTCCAACGGAGGTGCTTGTTTCGAAGAAACAGAGATATGTGCTTGGAACGTCACCGCGCTTCATCATGGTAGCTTCCATTGGAATGCGAAGGGGATCCAAGCGCTGCTGGACCACCGAGGCAGCGATGTTGAGACTGCAGACATGGTATCGTGTTGTGATATTGACGGACGTCTAGCACTCCACTAGGCTGCCGCGGGCTCTGGTCCGTAAGACGAAGACATGATCCCTGAAGATGAAATTGTTCCTCAGGTTGTACATACATTCAAGCTGCTCTTGGCCGGCAATCCCAGCACTATTAATGTCCAAGACAAGGGAAGGACAGTATTGCATTATGCGGTTGCAAGTCACGCGGGATGTCGCAGTAGCCATTCCAATCTCGCAATCCACTTCCTATGTGAAATTGGAGCAGATGCAGGTCTGAAAGACTGCAAAGGACAAACGGTGTTGCATGTAGTAGCTTTCGACTCTGTGCGAGGTGATCCCATCGACACTGACCTGATAGACCTCCTAGTGGCGCATGGTGCCAACAGGAACCATGCTCACAAGGATGGTATCACCGCTCTGCATATTACAGCCAGAAACCTGCGGCAGGTCAAGGCGGCACGGTTTCTCGTCAGCAGAGGCGCCAATGTCGGCGCTAAAAAATCCAAAGGGGAGCACACCCCTCCATGGAGGAAACGTTAGATCTCATCTGGCCCAAACGACCCGAGAAAGGAAGTATGAGGTTTGGGCAGTAGCTGATCAGGTAATAGTGCGAAATGAGATCATTGGGGTCCTGCAAGAAGCTGCAGGCAAAGCCGTTTGATGGACCAACAGAATACAGCTGGCAAGACAAGAACTGCGGTGTACACTGCCTGGATTCCGGAAATACGATTTGCAGGTGCCCCTTACGCAACAATGGAACAAGCTCCCTTAAAGACTTGCTCTGAATTTGTGTTTTAGCATGTTCGATTGCTTTTCTCGGAATTATCCGAACATAGCAAAGAACCGACCCCCCTAGATAAAATCCTGTAACTTCCCCAATATTATATGGAACCTTCGATATTACTCTGGACAAGCGCTTTCTTCAGCGGCCGATTGCAACTTACTAGGGAGCAAACAGAGTCTACACGATCGAATCTCCCGCAGGCCCCGAGTCGAGACCCAGATCCCAAATATCTTGCACAAGCTCTATGGTTTCTGGCCCGGAGTAAGGGTTGATGAGATGACAATAGAGCGAACCAGCTCAAGAGCGAAGCTAGACATACGGATTAATGGGAGAAACAGCTGGTGAAGATACCGATGATGCATTTATGGGAGTAGTTGCATAGGTGACTTGCGTACCTCCATATGATCATTGAGCATCATCTGCCCAGTTTTAAAATGAACAACTAAATATCCAATACCCATGACCATGGAATATTCACTTTCAAACCATATGACAGTATGTGTATGTACAGCTGTACAGTTCAGCCAGAAATAAACGCTCGAAGCAATCCAATGCCAACAATGCCAGATCAAACTATATACATCCCATCGCTATTCGGCCACCGCCTTGGTCTTGAACTCCTCCATTTTTCCATGCAAATCATCGATCTTTTTCCTCAGCTCTGCAGCCGTTTCATCCGACCCCTCCAGTTCTTCTAATTGCGTCTCCAACTTGCGTGCTTCTTCCCGATTCTTATAGTAGCGATCATACTCATCAGGATCCATACAGATGCCATACCCCTCACAATAACAGGTTGTTTCCACCGGACATAACTCCCCCCTACCAGTAAACAACCACTGCCAGAGATATTCCCAGACCCGCCCAGACAACCCATCATCCAGCTCAGTACGGAGCAACCACTCCCGATACTCCACATAACGCCGTCTCGGAAGCCTACGGATTCGCTCCGAACTTACGGCGAACTGCGCACAACAGGCCTGCGACAAGGCCTCTGGCACCGGATCGTTGGGAAATATCTGCCGCCACGAGTCTCCAATGACCGCGGTCTCGGGGAAATGCACTTCGTCGTCTGTCTGGCCTCCGGTCAGGTGGATATGAGCCGGACATCCGGGCCGCTGATGACACCGGAGATTCATGTACCCGTTGCGGAGAACATGGGTATTTTTCAAACGACGCACCATCTGCGCCGAATCCGAGTCTAGAAAGTCGTTGTTGTGCCAGGTGATCTGGTGCGCGTGCATGAACATCGTGACGTCATCGAGTCGGTCGTAGTGGTCGATGATGTAGGTCAGGTATACCATCACCTCGTGGCCTTTATTGGCGGGGACGGTCAATGTTGCGTTGTGCTTGTCGACGGTGTAGACGGCCCCTGTGAGATGAGGATCGTTCTGGATGAGTTCGTCAACCCATGAGGTGTCGTCCTGTTGTAGTTTGGCTACTACCAGCGTCCGGGTTGCGTTTTTCCCCTTCCATAGTGACGGAGAGGGGGTTGAAATGTTGAGAATATCTGGCCATATGGGTGGGATATCTTTATTATGATTATTATTATCGTACCATGTCCGTGAGATGGTGCGACTCTCCTGGTGTGTAAAGTAGAAATAGTAGGACCCGATGAGCAGCAGGATAGTCGGGATAGCCCAGGGGAGAACCCTGCGATACTTCATTTCGGGGACTATATGTAGAGCCGGGAGGTTTTATTATCGAAACATCCAACGACCTGGGGTAAGACGGTTGTCAGATTCAGATTCTGGTGATGATTTAATATTTACGATGGAATTTGGCCCCAGTAATTCCACCAATCGCGGGAGATTTCAAATCCTCGGATGACCGGCACTAATCTATAAATATAATAGCATCCTACGGAGTATAAAAATAAAATGTGGATAGTATATATCCCGCTGTCCGGGTATTTTTTTTTTTTTTTTAATCGGATGTCCTTCATTTGAATGAACTTGTGTAACATCCTGTTTCGCGGATTATGTCTATAATAGTGGCTTCTAATGCCAGCAGAGATTAACTGTGCCGACAGTCGTGTAACTATACTAGAGTGAATTCTCACAATATTAGTAATTTCTCGCTAGTTGATTCAAGATGGGATCTGTATTTCTATCAATACTACTAGACAACTTCTTGTTTACACCTGGTGTATCTTCTATAGGCTAGGACTAGGACAGCCAGTTACAGTAATTATTCTCATTTGTCTTTTGAAGCATATTATAGATACTACACTATATCGTACATGACATATAATTGTTATAGAGTTGGTCTCATACGTATATAAAACACCCTAATCCTAGTACAGTGACCAAACTGTCGGAAGGTACTAAATAGAGAGTAAGAGTTAGAATAGGCTAGAATTATATGTATTCCTAATTTTTTCAATATCTGGAAATAGTAACGACACATGTCGACGTGACATCCCTGTTCAACCCCGCTCAACCCCGCCATCGCACGCCATATGGACCCTGCAGGCCGATTCTAATGACAGACGTATATAAGGACTTAACCCTTTCCTTATTCCAACATGTAGACACCATGCCTCTTCAGATCCCCACTCCAACATTCACCCTCGAGTCCTTCGATCTCCCATCCTCCAACCAGCGCCTCCTCGGACCCCCTCATCCCCCAGAAACCGTAACCCCCCTAGCCCTGCGTCCCTCGGACCCAACTCCTCCCACGTTGGACGACATCATCACCGGCATCCAAGCTCTCCAACACGACCATCTCCTCACCCAGTCCCTCTCCCGCCATGGTGCTCTCCTCTTCCGCAACCTCCCCATCCACGACGCCCACTCCTTCAGTAAATTCGCCCACGCCTTCGGCTACCCACCGCACGAGATCATTGGCATAGTAGTCGACCGACCCCTCCTGGCACCCAACGTCGCACCGGCCAACGAATCTCCCCCGGAAGTCCTTATCTATAACCACAACGAATCACCCCAGGTTCCGCACGCCCCAGAATACGTCTTTTTCTACTGCCATCGAGCACCGTCCCCAGACGCAGGGGGCGAATCTCCCATCTCCTCGTCCCTGGAACTCTTCCAGCGCGCGCAGCTTGAAATCCCCGATTTCATCACCTCTCTCGCGCAGAAGGGCATCCTCAGTCGCGTCACCTACACATATACCCCGCAGTACAAAGGTGGAGCGACTTTACTGCAATCATTCGGGAAACATATCCATCCCGAGGATGACGACGCCGTCCGACGGAGGAAAATAGAAGCCCAGATTGCGCGGTACAATCGTGGAAAACACACTACGTATGAATGGACAGAGGATGGAATCGTGCTCACGCATCGATTACCTGTGATTCGGACGCAAGTCGGCACGAATCTCCCCGCGTTGTTTACCGGGCTAGCGGCTTATTATCGCGGAGCGAAGGTCAATGGGGCGAGGAAGAATGTCGCGAGGCAGATGTATGGTGATGGGACGGAGATTCCCGAGAGGTATCTGGAGACACTGGCGCGGATTACGGATGAGATTCGTGTGCTCCATAGGTGGCAGGAGGGGGATGTGTTGGTGTTTGATAATGTCGTGGCGCAGCATGGGAGGGAGCCTTGGAGGGGGAGTCAGAAGGATCGGATCGTTATGGCGAGTTTGTTTGATGGGGATGTGCCGGGGGGATATGGGTTTGGAGATTGGGCTAAGGTGGTGCCAGCGTTGGAGGATCGGGAAATATAATTGACTATATTACATTGAAATTGGGGAGTTTGTACATTTTTGGTGTGTTGAACGTTGTACCTGCTGTGCTTAGTTCTTTTTGGTTTTCTTTACTTTTCCTCGAAAAGTCAAGATCGGCATCATTGGTCTAGTGGTAGAATTCATCGTTGCCATCGATGAGGCCCGTGTTCGATTCACGGATGATGCATTCTTTTTCATTTTTATTTCTATCATCCATTTAGATGGATTGGCGGTGTGTCTATTTTAAGACAACAGATGAAAGCAGCCTTTCTAATCCGGGTTCGTCCAATACGGTAATAAAGACAGCGTCAAGTCTCCTTGGCACGTGCCGGGAACGGACCCTTCCTATTCCGGCACTGTCAGCTGGTTTGGGCACGCGACAGAATCAAAGAATCGTACGATCGAATGGAATTCGGACATTGAATTACTAACACTCTGCGGGGAATTCAGGGTTCGATTTTCTTTTGACTAGTCTCGCTACTCGGTAGTGATACTAGATCGGCCCTACGCTAGGGCGATCATTGGAACGCGAGAATTGGGCTGAAATTGGGTCTGAGAACCGACTTGGATAGGCTTTCTTCTTGGCTCCAGTGGAGTAGGGCTTTACTCCACATTTATAGTTGCCTTTTAGAGCGGCGCTATGGTGAAAAATTCAAGGGTCTGTATTGCAGTTAGGCAACTATTATATCCTAGTAGTAGTCGTATTGTTGTTGTTGTTGTTGTTGTTGCTGCTGCTGCTGCTGCTGCTGCTGTTTTATTTTCTATAATTTTTCTTTAATTTTATTCATTTATTTTTATCTATCATTCAGTAGAGGACGGTATAGCCGGAAACAATAGCAATACAGAGTCCAGATGTCTAGACCACGATCCACTCCTTCTCGTTGCCTTCGGAATGTGGCGTTTTTAATGTTACCCCCGGCGAGTCCGAAACTAGACTGATTAAGAAGCAGGGTCTTGCCTGTTCCTGGCCGCCAATGTTGGTCAGCCATATAGGCTCGTCCTCTTTCCTACACCACCGTCCTGTCCGTAGCTCGCGACTCTGGCCGCGTGCAATACGGACAGAACACAATGCTCTACTCCCGACTCTATGCTAAAGGGAGTGACGATCCCTGGAATATTACCCTGGGCATGCTGTACGTAGTCTGGATCCCGCGGGCGCCGAGCCGGGTAGCTAATTAATCAATGCTTGTGAAGATCCTGGGTATTCTGGTCGAATCTTACGATCCTGTTTAACAAGTGGGTGATTAGCTCGACTGAGTTTCGTAAGTATTGCGAGGTATGATTCTGAGGCCCAGGCTAACAATGTTTAGACTATCGTGAGTTCCAGGCTTCGAGCCTCTGCCAAGGTATACCCGCTAATCAATTCAAGCGGTTCTTCTCACAACATGGCACCTCGTCTTCGCGACTCTGGTGACTCAAATTCTAGCGAAAACTAGCACTCTGCTGGATGCTCGGAAAAATGTGCGAATGACTCCTCGTATCTACATGCGAGCTATTGTGCCCATCGGTATCCTCTACAGTGGAAGTCTGGTCTGCAGTAACGTTGTTTATCTCTATCTTAATGTCTCGTTTGTGCAGATGCTCAAGGTACTTTTTATTTTTTTTTTAAAATTTTTTTTTTTTTTTTTGTTTTTTTATCTAATTAATTATGCTATTATTATGCTTAGAAGAAGACTAACAGTATAGGCTGCCGGCCCTGTCATCGCTCTCCTCTCCAGTTGGGCCTGGGGTGTCGCAAAACCCTCACTTGCAGTGCTCATCAACATCCTTATTATCGCAGCGAGTGTGGGTATCGCTGCGGCCGGCGAAATCCAGTTCTCATGGCTCGGTCTTTTCTTCCAGGTCGCGAGTCTGGTCTTTGACGCCAATCGACTGGTCATGATCCAGATCCTGCTCTCCGAGGACGGTCAGAAAATGGACCCCCTGGTTAGTCTGTACTATGCGGCGCCGGTCTGCGCCGTCATGAATTCCCTGGTCTCGTGGCACAGCGAGTGGGGGGCTTTTCATTGGAGTGAGATTTCACAGAATACCTACTGTCTATTGATCCTCAATGCGGCTGCCGGGTTTATGTTGAATGTCTCGATATTTGTTCTGGTAAGTGTAGCTGTTATTATGCTTTAGTTGAACTCCTAGCTGATGCTGTCTAGATCGGCAAGACGTCTGGTCTGACCATGACGCTAGTCAGTATTCCCAAGAATATCCTGCTTATTTTCGCCTCGGTCGTTATTTGGCATTCGCGTATCAGCTTCTTGCAGATCGTCGGGTATACCATCGCCCTGCTGGCGCTGGCGTACTACTCGCTGGGGCGCGATAGGCTCCAAGATTTATGGGCGGATGTGAGAGCTTGGAGGTATGGTTTGAAGACTGTACCTCCGGATAATGTTTAGTATATACCTGTCCATGCTACGCTGAACAGCATGAAGCCACATCGTGGTTTTTGATATACACAGCTTGGGTTGTATTTACTCTCCGCTAATAGATGTTCTTAATCCACTACCAGCACTGACTCAAACCGTATACTGTCTCGCCAACCACTGCGCCTCCACTCTATCCTTGCAGGTCTCCTGACTATCACAAGTATGTGCATCATGCATCCCATATTTATAAAACGCCGCCTGCTTCACCTCCAGCTCTGATCCCTGCACATTTTCCGGCAACTCCACCACCGGATATCCCAGATACCCAGTCAGTTTGACGCCAGCATCATAAACCCTAGCGGCCTCCCTGGCAAACTTCGCCCCAGTATGATGATCACTATGATCCCCTCCTCCCTGAATATAATCCTGCGTCTTGACCTGCTCCGGCTCAAACTTCCTCATCAAATCCGTCAACGTCTCCACCAGACTCTCATTCGTGTACTTCGTCAACCCATCCACGGTATCTAACTTCTGGATCTGACCATTCCACAACTTCACCAGACTCGTCGTTCCCGTCGCGGGGAACCCTGACCCGTCCAGATTCCCATCAGGAAGATGCAAAAATGCTAATGAGATATTTGGGTCATCGTTCATCGTGAATATCGATACGGGGTGGTCTGCAACCCCTGCGTCGGATCTCGTCCATGTGTTGGAAACCCCGCGCATGAGCGCGTACGCTGCCTGGGATCCGGCTTGTCTGCCTTCCCAGTATTCCACGCTGTTGCCGGCGTCGCCAGCTGTTAGGAAGATCGTGCGGACGGGGTTGCCGGAGTGTATGTCGTGTAGTAGCTCCGGACTGAAGAAGAGGATGTCGTCGTCTTGGTGGGCTACTATGTTCAGGGTTCGGGCGGTAGTAAGGCGTAGGAGTGTTGCTGTTAGTAGGATGGGTCTCATTGTTTCCTTTTTTTTTTTTCCTGGATAGAGATATGGGTATCGATCCAGCCATGAAATATACCCTATATATATACCTCTCATCCCTCTTATACTCGGTAGATGTCAGCGCAGTCAGCATTTGGCAATGCCAATTACTAGTTCCTGGCTAGCTAGCTAAATCCTTAGCAACCTGCTAGCACTCACACATGGACACATACCAGCGACGCTGGAATGTGACGCTGACAAAAAAGCAATATATAAAGGGCACGATTCGTTGTGTTTGTTTGGCTTACGCTGGCATTCCTAGTGTCTGTCTATGTCTACAAGTGCTGTGCTTTTTTTTCCTTTTTGGGAAGGAGGACTACCTACTAGTAGCTTATGGATGTGTGAATAAATGAGGGGATTTTTGTTCCTTTCTATCTGCCCCTCTACATAGTAAATTTCGTGTGATTCTGACGTGTATTTATAGTACATGTAGAGTATATGCTCTTAGATATATTACAGCATCAAGAGGATCAAATGCATTGAAGAAATCGAAAGAGCACATCAAGTACACAACACTGTCCATGTTTACCAGACAGTATACCATTACAATGTCTCAGTCGTGTTGGATCTACAACCCTTGCTTGCTCACTAGTGGCAGATTTGTCGGGTTTCATTTCAGCAAAAGACAACCATCACGACCATCACCAGATACCATAAGCCATCATATCCAGCCATGCAATAAACCAGCCATACGATATTAACCATCCCACGGATTGAAAGACTCATTGGATCATGGATCATGAATAGGTTCTCTAGTGTACTCGATTTACACAACTTCTCCCCAGTGCAACGCGATAATGGGTCAGAAAGGCCTGGCGTATCATTTTGTTTTTCATCCTATAGATGTCCGAACCTATTCCGCAAACAACCATGTCCTGAAGACCGACGCCATTACCCATGAAGCTCACCACAATGCTAGCACATTCATCTCTCCGCCCAAGTCGTCCATCCTTGTCCGTAATAACCTGCTTAGCGGCGGTCGTTGAAGCGACGAGGGCGCTCAGCTTGCTGCTGAGCGACGGGGACGACGTTGACGGGAATCGAGTCGAACTATATTTATTAAATTAGCTGATATTTGTGTTTTATCCTCCGGAGAACATACGCCAATGCTCTTAAGCAGATCCTTGGTGTCCTGGTCCACATCCAGTTTACCAGTCTCACTGTTCTGGCTGAAGTCGAGGGCGGAAACGTCGGGAACGTATTGATCCTTGCGCTCACGTTCTTCCTCCTGAAGCTTGAAGGAGATACCGCGGACGGGACCGCGCTGGATACGTCTCATCCTGTACGTAGAATTAGTCGTGTCTCTCTAGTAGTGTAATCATTGAATCCAAATCGAGCGGAAGTCATACAAGTGCGTGGCATATCCGGCAATCTATCAATCAATTAAAATTAGCATCTCTTCTCTTCGATCGATCCACTGTAAGTCGTCAGATCAATAATGAGCATACCTTGTTCCTCAGCCTCTTGCTAGCAATGATAGCCACCTCATCGCAGATCTTCTTGTTGACCTCAAAGTCAAGGGTGAGCTTGGGGTAGTAGCGCTCGATGACGACCTTAGCGGACCTCTTGACGGTCTTGGTGCGAACGCGACCCATGTTGGCGGTATAGTTGTCGAGATGCTGCGATGTTGGGGTTTCGAGGATGCAATTTTGGTGTGGTTGGGTTTTCTGTGCCAAGCTCGCTTAATCGGATTGCGGGCGGTCAGGACTGTGGGCCAATGGAGAGCGTTCTTTTTAGCCCTATCGCACAGATATTTCTCACTTATTACAGTGCTAGTACTCTATACAGTACTACCGTCGTAGATATAGGTTGGCTATTATTAATTATTAATGATTTATTATCTATACTAGCTTTCTCTTGATCAAATTTAATTTGTCTCTGAACCACCGTGAGTCGTTGGAGTGGCATTTGGATCTGGCACAATTATGATGTATGATTGGTCCCTATATTATGTAATATACGCACAGGCCAATCAGATGCATTTGAATGTGAAATCAGAGTAGCTATTGTATCCGGCTTGATGGTGCATTCGCTGCTTATTCCTTATAGATATTGATTCGTTCTTCTAATTTTAAGGATATTCAGTCTATTAACTTATCATCATACAGTATGTAATGGAAAAGCAGTATAGTAATCAGATATCAGCAGCCAACGTATATACCCGCAAGTCCGTTCCAGGCCACTCCACTTGCAATGAGTATGTGCATGCAGAATAGATTGAGCATGGTGTATGCTATAATGTCATGCATCTATAATTCAAATATACACTAAGTACTTGCCCAAACAAGCAATGGATCATTCTTCATCATTTCCAACCTCTTCGGATCAAACATCAACGTGAGCTCCCAAGGCCCCAACCCTGTGCCTACCGGCCTCCTCGGCTTGAGATATGCCATGTTCGGATAAACCGTGCGAGGTTCAAAGCCTACCACCGGGCCTAAAACCGGGCCAAAATCCTGCTTGTAACAACCGTTAAACGACAGGTTACTGAACAATAGATCGCCCTTGCCCTGGCCTGGATTCCACTGCGACATCTCGTACAGCTCATGAATAGTCCTCGTCAGATGCTGATCGTCGGTGGCTAGGATTTTGGCGCGGATCTGAGTAGCCAGCTTCGCAAGCAGAGGCGTATACGCATCAGGGATACTGGAGGGATTCGAATCGATGGTCGAGAGTGCATCCACTATCTCGTGCTGATTGCCCTGGACGCTTTGCAACACCAATGTCGAGCCTATGTAGGAGTCAGGAAGAGAAGGCCTGCATCGCTTGGCCATGCTGACAGCAAAGCTAATCGCTAGGAATCTCTTCCCATGTGCGATGGACGCGCGCGCACCGATAATCCAGTACAGCGCCATGAGAATATCATTCGTGGTGCAGTACTGTCCCACGGATAAGCGCTCATTACAAGCGGTTTTCAACTCGTCGATCCGACGCGGCGAGAACTGCATCGTCTCCCGGGCAATACTCTCGGTCGCGACTTCCTCGAGGTTATGCAACACGAACGATTCGTCATCCGCGGACATCTTCTCGGGTAAGGGCCGTTCAATGATATCGGAGATGATCTTGCGTCCGAGATCCTGCTGCTGACGGATCGATTTCAGCGACACGGACGTCTCAGCCCGACAGCAGGACGCAAGCATCTGGATAACATTGCTGACTGCCGTGCCGTCGATCAATAGGTGATTCCAGCAGAAACAAAGAACAATCCCCCCGTGGAACATGTTCGCTTGGAATCGGAGAACGGGCTGGAACGGCCCGTCGGGCTTCGGTGGTAAGGGTCGGTATGCGTTATCTCCGGCTGCGTCGATTGTGCGACCGAAATCAGAGGCAGGGAGCGGCGAATTGACTTCACGGACCACTAGCATGGGACATTTCTCAAACACATCGATGGATGAAGGACGGACTTCCAAACGACGTCGACTGTCTCCCGCAACGGGGGCCACTTCACCCGCGAGAAACGGCAGTTCCTGGACCAGACGCGTCACGCCGGTGTTCAGTGTCGATAGCGCATCGTCGGTATTCTCAGTTCGAAAGATGAAATAGTTGCATCCATAGGAGCCAATGCCGGCAACAACTAGGTAGTGCTCCAGAGAGGAGAGGAGGAAGGGCTCGAAGGCCACGGGGAGGGACATTTCAACTAGCGGGGTGGATTTTGAGGGGTTATGGCAGCAAGGAACTGGAAAGGTCACCAGAATGGGGGCAGAGGATAGGCAGTGTAAGGCGTTTCATTGTGCGAAAATCACACAGTGGGTTTGTGCCATTTTCTAGGACTAAAACTGCAAGGATGTTGTACACTAATGACACCGTGTGGTGTCTTGAGGCAATTACCTAATGGGGTCTATAACTAAGTTAGTTAGTTATTGATTGACTTAGTATGTTCAGAGATTAGTGAGTTCAAGATCCACTACCTGAATCCAGACATGCCACGTACGCAACAGCTAAACAGTAAAATTCAATGCATAGCTGGAAACTCTAGGTTACTTCCGAAGCCCGAATCTCTTGCACGCCAGTGCGTTTTTTGATGCTCTCCACCAGAACCTTGGCGTGGGTGAAGTATCCAATGTCCATCGTAAAGAGCCTCCAAAAAGGAGACCGACCACACTACTGGCTTTGTTGTACACTAGCGACCCAGCATCACCTTTTTCAACAATATGCTGACCATGACCCGACACAATGGTATGCTCCCTGGTTAGTTGGGTCGTCTCCTCCCCATCGATGACTCTTGTCGTAATACGAGACGTCCGGAGCGGACTGTAGACGCCACGCGTAAATCCCATAGCTCGGCCAACTTTGAATAACCTCCCGTCATTCAGCATTGGCTCGAAAGTGAAATCCACTAGGCTGCAGACACTACCTCCAAGAGCAGAGGCCTATACGGCGTGAGATACCGTATTCAACGGGCCAGACCTGGAATCTGGGTTACATTGTTCGAACTAGTCACAAGAGTCTTATACAAGATGTGCGCCCAGTCCATCTACAGGACATGTCAGGATGTATCACTAAGGCCATTTGCAACGACTGTTCCTGAAGACCAGAGGCCGCCATGACACAGCCAAGTCTAAAATATTGATCAGGTAATTTGCCGTCAGAGATTTGCCCTCAGCTCATCGAGACAGCCTGAGAGATTCTTCCATGTTTTTTGATCACGCGGAGTCAGAGACTCATCGTCACCGTTTTCAATTGCTTCTTGGATGCGACTCAGTCTCTGAAATTCGGGGTCTTTCTCGAGCCGTTGGATATCGCTGGCCAGAGAGTTGCGTACACTACCCATTTCATATCTGCTTGGTGACTCTGTCTGGAGGATTCGTTGGGCGCCATCATCGTTTCCTATAAAGACTCCTTCCTTTCTTCCCTTTTGGAAGACTGTTTTGGTCAGCACCAGCTCAGCAAAGGCAAGGTGCAGCACACTGTGCTGTTCTTCCGATAGTAAATACTTATCCTCTTGCAAAACACAGTGTACGTATATGTCCATTGGCACCCAGTGTTCAGGGCTTTGCAACTCGAGCCACTCTCCGAACGTTCCAAATCTGTATAGCATCTCGCGCGGATCGATACTGTACCCAAAACGAACTTCTTCGATACAGTGGCTAGTGTCGAAGGAGACTCTTGACGGCCGTCCATATCGAAGACATTCTTATCCCCCCGGACGAGCATGGCGACCATCCAAAACCCTTGCTGCTCAAGAATGTTCACGATGGCCTCTCGGACAGGTTTCCCATCCCGGTTGGCCTTCTAGTCCACCCCAAACAAGACACTAGGGGAACAGGCTTGAACGTCCTGACCGACGCCTAGACGGTAGCAACCGATCGTGAGGACTCCCTTTATATTGATAGTCGTGACGATTGATCTTGCAACCCAGTACCACAGCGGGAAGACATCATCGCTGGCGAGACAAGGGAAAACGCTGAACATTTCGCCAAAGGTATCTAGGATTTCCACCGTTATCTAGACGATCCCATTGCTGTGCGGATGTTGTAGGATTCTTCGCACAACGTTTATCCAGCCTCGATCTCACGGATTGTGCCTGCTCGCAAAGATAAGAGCAGTCAAAGTTGGACTTTGGCTGGGCTGGAAGGAGGAACGACGCCCACAAAAGCGGAATTCAAGAATGTTCAGATTCAGATCCCTTGCGATGGTTACGATCTGACCCACTAGCTGCGCTGAGGAGGCTTGTCAGAGCGTTATACTACTGATGACTCCGGGCAGTCGGGATAGTGTCTCAGAGGGGAGCTGGCAGAGGTCAGGTCCTCCGGCTCGAAGGTCCTCCATGAGTTCGTCCCACGCGAGATTCAGGCCCTCGTCATTTGAAGACCGATTTGACCCTCTGGACCTCTCGTCGGTACCAGTGAGTGGAGAGCTAGAAACCTAGCTCGGTTCGGTGGGAGTAATAGGAAGGATGGCGGTTGCTGTCTCCATGTAGTAGTTGAATATCAAACCTGACCAATTAGAATATTGGTATTCGGTCCAGTGGGATATGGTAACAGAAGGAAGCTTACAGAGTTGACAGGTTTGAAGGGAACTACTTTATGATTCACCATGACAAACAGGCACTTGCTGCAGAGCCTTATTATTTCATTATTACTTATTGCACGATTCGCGAATATGGATGATCCATTAGATTAGTGACGTTATTATACTAGTCAGAGTTCTTTCATTGGTGCCACATTATCTCCATAGGTCTGGTCTTTTGGAACAATTAGAACAATTAAACCATCTATTATTAAATCACCAAATATTAAGGATATACATCCTGTGCCATGCTGAATAGACCCGAATAATGTCTAGGCATTATTAATTCCTGTGTGACGCAATGATAGCGTACCAGCCTTTGAGTTTTAAATAAATTACCAACCTCTTTATTCATTCGGGTCTGCTCTCTCCTCTATCAGCATTCTTTCTAGTCTAAGAATTCTATTTATATTGTGGAAATGCTATATTTACAATCATCATGTTGGGACGACCCCTTCCTGAGAGGTATAGCGCTCTGGTTCTTCCAAATAAAACAGCTCGCTGTACGTTCCATCCATCCCCTTATATTGATCGTCAAACTTATAGTCTATGAATCCTGCAAATAACCTGATATACTAGAACCAGTCGTTTGACTATAGACGAATATCTTGTTGCGCAACAACGCGAGCCATTCTTAGGCGAAGTACTATGCTGCCACACGTAAAGGCCTACGAATATCTCTGTATACCTTGCCAGATGACCTCAAAGCATCAGTATTTTTTGGTCTCGCGCCCGCTAAAAGCTGCGTCTTGGCGGTGAGTCTGCCAACTCTGACAACTTGGAAGTATACTGACACTTGAGGCAGCACCGGACCCCCTATAGCTACATCGGTGCCTTAGGGATGTTCTGAGTAGCGTTTTATTGGGCAGAGTCAGAGGAACTCAGATTGGAGGGAAATTATTTAATGTCGAACGGGCTAGCTCATTATGATGGGTATAGGGCAGATGATTCCTACGTGAGCCCGGACGTCGGTACGAGTCCATTCTCAAGATAATGCTTCTGATTTATTAAATTCATAACCCTGGAGCAGGCCATGGACTACTACCTGTACGACTGGGGTCCATCATGTACAGTGAGGCCAATTCCTGTACCAATTCAGCGTGAATCGCCGCCCACGGCTTAAAAGTCTATGCCCACCCCAGTCAAGGAGAAGGAAAAGCAATTTACCCCTTCATCAACGGGCATTGATGAAGTTCAAGGATATGGCGTCAGAATGATAGGTCTACATTGGGAAGAGTCTTCCATTCAAAAGGGCGAAACGATATTTCTAATGAATCCGTCCTGACTGCTCTACTGAATCAGGCGAATGATATACAAATTACCGGAGTTCATCCCCAGGCATAGCAACAGGTAAGGACGGGACGACTGACTAATTAAGGTGCCACAGAAAGGAGTCCTGAGATACTAGGGAGGTTTAGAAGGCAACTAGCTTAGTGCATTTGCAAATGCACACAGGGAGGATTAGACTTAACAGGTATCTTAGCTGTATTAACGTGCGCGAATCAGCGCGATGCGGTTGCGATCTTAACAACTAACTAAACACTGAAATATTTTTTTATAGCTTGTCCAATTCTAATTGACCTGCGAATGGATCTGCGATAGGAGCTTCAACAAAAAGGATGTGCTGGTGTTTGGATAGCGGGCTACGAATTAGTGATATAAGAGGCAAAGACAAGCATGGTAGTGGCGGATTTTATAATAAAAACAGGCCTTCGCCTTCTCGGACAGTTTTAAGTAGTAGATTCTTCAGCGACAGGGGCCACCAACCAAGCGCAGGACGAGGTGCCTGTTTAAACACGCGCGAGATAACTAATAAAAATACTGGGCTGCTGCCCGAAGCGAGCTAATATTAGCAGACACAAGACCAGGTCGCCTGTGACCGCCGAGCAGACTAGTTAACAATATCTCTGGATATGTAAGCTAGGACAGGTCAATGAATTCTACTATTACAACAATTACTACTACTCAGATCTGCCCAGTGAGCAAAAGGCGGCTAGGGATGAGCACCAAAATGGAAAGGGAAAGACATGAAGCTGTCTAGAAAATCAAGTTCATATGCAAATACTCTTACATTCATAAGGGAATGGCCCTCTGCAGATCCCATTTCATCTCCTGTATTAATATCATTAACTTTGACCGTGTCGTGTGTTTGCAATCCGCCGCCTCCAGCACGCAATTATCTAGCGCACAACCTCAGCCACCTCCAAGCCGTCCATCCTCCATTTCTCTCCCTAGTTCAGTGGATATTCCTCTGTGATTCAAATCCCTTGGTATTCGCGAATTTCGAGTGCCAGACTAACCATGTCCGGTCACACTTGCTCTAACGCCATATGTCTACGCCGAATCGCAATTGAGTCTGGATACCCGATAGAATGACGGGTATGCCATTTATTTATTCCACAATCCTGTTTCCCAGTGAATTGTCTCTCCTGAAATTCTGCTACATCATCGGGAGTGTAACCATGAGTCAGATTACCTCCTCGGGAGTGACGCTGATCTCGCAAGGGACCGGATATGGGCTCCTCATCGGTCTGGGAATCCTCTTTTGCGGGGTCATTCTCATCGCCGTGAAGATCCAAAAGGCATATCTGGACGAAGACTCGGGCAAATCCGAGATGTTCATGGTTGCCAATCGAACAGTAGGGACGGGGCTCACTGCCTCGGCTGTGTTTTCCTCCTGGATGTGGATCAACGAGACGGTTTTTTCGGCCGTCAATTGTTATCGTTTTGGGCTGGCAGCGCCTATGGTAGGTGATTTGAACTGATTGCTATCTATCAAAGTTAATAGATCTGTTAGTGGTATGGTTCTGGGCTGTGTTTTCAGATCGCTTTGATGGCCGTGCTGGGGGTGTTGGCGAAACTCCGAGTCCCATATGCTCATACCTCGTTGGAGATTATTCGCATGAGATATGGGAAGATCGCACACGTCGTGTTTCTTGTATTAAATCTTTTTTTGCAATATTTTTGGCTGCGCATCGATGATCCTGACCGGCTCACAACTGATTCATGGAATCGCGGGAATTCATTTCGTGGCTGCGACGGTTCTTATTCCTCTGGGAGGTAGGTCGCCCTGTACATGTACATATACATGGCAAACATGATCTAACTAATCCGTAGTGGTGTTATATACTGCGGTCGGTGGTCTCAAGGCGACTTTCTTGACGGATTATCTGCACACGGCCATTGCTCTCATTTTGATCATCTATTTCACCATGGCAATTCTCACGCACGAAGCCATCGGCGGTCTATACGGGCTCTACGACAAAGTCACCGCCATTTCTGATGAGAACTACATCCCAGGAAATTACAAAGGTTCTCTTCTGACGATGAAATCGCACGACGCTATCATCTGGGGATTGATTCTCAAGTTCGGAAACCTAGCACTCGTCGTGATGGTACACTCCTCGCTACATACACTTTGACAGACCTAGTAGCTGATAATATCAGGACACTGCATTCTGGCAAAAAAATCCTTTGCCACGGAAGTCAAAGCCACTGTACCAGGCTACAACCTAGCCGCGATCGCCATCTTCGGCGTTCCATGGGGACTGGGAACGGTAATCGGCCTGGCTGCGCGTGTCCTGCACGATACGCCTCTGTTTCCGACATATCCGGGGGAATTTACGCAGCAGGAAGTTCTAACCGGATTCGTGATGCCGTATACCATCCAGGCGATTATTGGCGAGAAGGGAGTCGTGGCATTCTTCGTGCTGCTGTTCATGGCTCTCACCAGTACCGTTTCCTCGTCGATGATTGCCGTCAGCAGCATTCTTTCCTTCGATGTGTACAAGACGTATATCAATCCAACGGCGTCGGATAAACGGATCATTCGAGTTAGTCATTTATCTGTGGTGTTTCATGGTGTTTTTATTACCGCGTTTTCAATCATCTTGAACTACGGCGGTGCTAATATGACTTGGATCGGATACTTTCGACCGATCCTCACGTCGTCGGGTATCATCCCGTTGATATTCACGTTGACTTGGGCCGGTCAGACGCGTCTCGCTGCAACCTGGGCGCCGATTCTCGGATTTATCTCTGGTTTGACTATCTGGCTTGCTACAGCGAAGTCAATGTACGGAACTATCAACCTCGCTACAACCATGAAGGAAGCGCCATGTTTGTACGGGTCCATCGCCGCGTGTTTCTGCCCAGCTCTATACTCCTTCCTCATATCATTCTATAAACCATACAGATTCGACTGGCGCCAGTTCCTGAGAATAGAACTCGTCGAGACACCTGACTCTGATGATACCATCTCCTCCACTGCTACAGACCAAAACATCCCAGAGAAACAACCCGTAACATCATCATCTAGCTCAACCACCGACACCATCCACCAATCAGACAGTAACAGTAACAACACGGAAGTGAACAATCTCGACGACCTCCGTCACCCATTCGACGGGGATACCCTGAACCAGTTGCGGAGATGGTACCGCATCGCGTGGTTGATGTGGGCGGTTCTCGTGTTACTGACTTTCGTGGTTTGGCCGATGCCACTATATCGGGATTATATTTTTAATAAGCCTTTCTTTGCGGGGTGGACTATCGTTGCTATTGTCTGGCAGTTTTTGGCGTTTGTTTCTGTGGTGGTTTATCCAATTTATGATGGGCGGTATGAGATTTGGACGGCTGCTAAGGGGGTGACGAAGACTATAAGGTTAAAGGGATTAATAGCTGCTGGATTTGTCCGGACATGAAGGCTTACGGTTTAGTTGGTGTCCGAGCTAGACCCTCTTTGCGCGAGGAACTTTTGCCACAGCCCTTAACATTGCAAATAAATCTAGGGGCTTCGGATTGCTTTGTTGTTCCTTCCTACCGTATATTGCAACCAGATATGTTGCAATCTCGCGCTTTGAATGTGTCTTTGGTCATCAGTGAACCACTGCCAGTGGTTTTATCTATGTTTTGCCATTCCTTGACAATTTTTAGGCTCTTCCACTGAGTATTTTCCTCAGTTGTTTGTGTGGTTCCTAAAATATATTAGTTAAGGGTTATTACTCAATGTTACATACTGTGAACATGATCTTGTATCCTTTCTCCTGCATGAACCTCCTGCGCATTTACCTTAGGTAATTGTGTTTGTGGATTTCCTGAGACTTATTAGCCTGACCTAGCTCTTCGGGATGTAACAACATACAACAAGTATTTTCTAACCCACATGTATTAACTGAAAAACCACCGTCTCCTAGAGCAAGCTTGTTGAGATACATGAAACCAGCATGATAATTAGCTTCACAGGACTTAGTATATTTCTTAACAAGTGGATTAGGCGGATGCAGACTCACCACTTATGTTTATAATACTTTCAACGCAGGACTTAAATGCATGCACAGGAATAAAATTTCGTGCAATAGCACCCCGAGCTTCGTGTTTCTGGTTACTCGACTCAATCCTATAGCGAAGATAACGAAATTCTTTAAGTTCATTAATAAAATTTATCTGTAACTTCTGCCCGTGTTCCGTCATTTCGGGTTTCCACCTAATAATTTGATCAATGAAGGACTGATGGTGCTTAGTGAGATGGTTTATTAAAGCTTGACTGAGTTTTAACTCGACATGCTCTTCAATGTTAATAGAATATGCGGAGAGACTAATACTGTTAAAGTCAGTCAAGAAAACAAGTGGCTCTGACAGAGACTCCGCGGATTGATCGATAACTAGAAGTATGGTATGTCTAGAGAATCTATCTCTATCACTATTCTTAAACAATGTACCAGGAGCAATTGAAGAGCCATAGCTAGAGAACAATTGGAAGGCATCGAATACATTATAAAAAATCAAAATCAAAACGATGGGACAACAATAGGTTCTAAAATACTGGGCGTACTTATATATGTTTTAAAGACGCGTTTCTTTTTTGGAAAGGTAGCTTTGACCGGAAAGTTAAGGATACACGAGGCTTATATTTTTATATACACTGATAGAACGTAACTAGCCCTTCGTAAAATATATCATTATTCTTAATATTATCTGGCAGTAGGTGGTGGGGGCGGTGCTGTCCTTATCGGAATATATAGTGTAAACCTGCAGGTAGTTCTCCCGTCCATTCCACGCTATATCTGTTATGAAGAAGCGCGTCTCCTTCAGATTACGCCCAAAGCCACCGAACTCCGAGTCATCCGTATCCAGGACAATCCTATACGCCCAGACTTGTCAATTAGTGCATGTGCTGATTCAAAGCTCCCTTTTGCGAACGGATCCCTCCGAAATACGGACGCTTGATGACTTATTGATATCCAAAAATTTTGGTATAGCTTGGAGATTTTTTATCGACGTGTATTTGAACTTTTAACTATTATAATGGCTTAGGATGGGTTAGATTTTATCATTCTATTTCTCAAGCATTCTTGGGAATCGACGTGGACGGAATATTTGACGGTATCATCAATCATATTTCCTTGTCATTAAGGCTTGAATAGTGGTGCTATCCTATATAATTTCTGCTGTTTTTGTCTGCAGACTGAGGATAGAAGGCACAGAAAGGGGACACTTAGTGTGGGTATTGGTTTAGAAGATTTTTCGATCGCTTAAGGCCTCTTCCAGGGGCTTGCTACCATCCCATACAGATTCAAGATTCCTGTCATACAGTGGCTTGCGGGGGATCTGTGAAACACTCAGCTTCAACTGCTCTACACCACAGCTTGCCATGGTCTCGGCATCCTCGAGTTTTCCTTTTTCAGCGGCTTCGGCTGCCTCTCTTAGAAACCAGTGCGCGGTATCAGCAGCGGTAAGAGCACTTTCCCATTGATCAGTGGACACTCGTTTCTTCACACGTGATGGATTTGATGACTGCTGTCCAAATGATCGAAGGCTGTTGATGTAGCCCATGATGAACCAGTCAAAGAGATACTCGCAAGTTTTTTTGGTGGAAGCAAGGAGATCAGCATGGTCGCCTCGCTCAGCTGCTATGATACCTATGATTCGGCCTGATGAGTGTATGACCTTGTCTGAAGAGTCGAATACAAAGAACTCGAAGTTGTTACCATCACAAAGGATAGCAAGTATGGGCACCCAGTGCCCCTCCTTCAAGTTTGCATAGTCACACGCCGCACACTCAGCCAGAACCTGGCCCTTCATATCAAGGCCGCTCTTTCCCATTGTCCAGATTTTTTTCACCTCGACAAAAATGATGCTCACAGAGTCGAGTGCGATAAAATGGTACTCTATTCGGCCTCGCCTAGTGAACTCACTCTCCAGCAGGGTCTCTGGATTGTTCACAATGATACTCTTGAACAGGCAAACAATGCGGTTGAAAAGGGAGGAGATGAAACGTGATCTGGCTTCCTCGTTGTCATGAGAATCAATGGGACCGTACTGTGTCAGAGCATCTTCAACATCACGTACAATATCACGAAACATGCCGGTAGGAATCCGTTATCGAAAGACATTTAGGTGCAACATATCTCGACCTGCCCCATTAGGATCTAACCACATATATGGTGTAATTTGCTTGTATGTTGTATTGGAAAAGGAGGCGTCCAATTTCTTGGCCGAGATCTGTGAGAGAGTGGATAGCTAAATATCATAAGTTGTTAGAAGCTCGAGAAACGCCTCTTCATCTGTGAGGTCTTTGTCGGATCTGACCTTAGCAAAGGCCTCGAAGATGTCAGACCCCAGCGGAATTTTAGACAGTGAGCCACGATCGCGAGTCTTCGCTGCACCCGGACATGCCGGGCCAGGCGGCAATCTCTGTGTAGCTTCAGAGCTGCGAATTCGAGTTCTCTTGGGTGATTGGGTCTCGCTACGTAGGGGGCCTCTCTTTCGCAATCCCATTGTTAAGAATTTAGGACAAGCATGCGTGTTCGAGCACACTCCGGGGCGAAGATAGCGTGTGTGGTGTTAAATTTAACACCACACCTTGACACCTGACCGTATTAACTGTCCGTGCTTCCAATACAATCAAGCGATGGGGGTGACTGGATTATCACGGATAATGGAAGTTTTCAACCACCTTATGATGACGTCACCTATAGCCAACGATCCACAACAACGGTACAATTCTAGGTGAAGTGCCAGAGCAGAATGCGGTGTGAATTGAGGAAACTGGTGGGGCAATAAGGAGAATCAAGGAGACTGACCTGGTCAGAGATGAGGAGTAGGAAAGTGTCAGTTTCGTTCTGTTTCTGGCATCGCAATTGTTGATCTGGACACTCCGATCGTCGATCTGGATGCGTCGATCAGAAGATCTCGACGGAAATCAGATCTGAATATTATCTGAGATGATATTCTTCTGAAACCGGGAACTGGATGCTATATACCACTTGATTGTGTGATGAGAAGATGACTAAGAACAAAGCCTAGCTGTCCAGCTGCGAGGGCAGTAAGGTGTGCGGTGGCATATTGCCGCTCCAGCATGTGAGAGTGGAACCGTGGTGTTAGAACAGTGATGAGGTCGGTTCTTATCCCCTTGGCTGGCAGCGCTTGTCTGTTTAGCGGTAATTTTGAATAGAGTGCTTTTATTGGTTAATCAGCATTCACCACTTCCTTACAAATTGGGAATAGTCTCCTAACCCCTAATTCACCATTATTTTACATAAACTAGAACGCGCCTAGCTAAGTGACGCATATCTACGCGTTCTTATATACAATGGATTTATGGGGTTTGCCTCTTGAAGAGGCCGAAGAACCTTTATTATATAGTTCCTCTGTAGTCCCATCTAGTGTTTCTACTTCTCCTCCTCTTTCTCCTGTTTCTAAAAAGGAAGAAACAAAGCCAAATCTTACACAAATGCTTTATAAGATACCGCATTATCAAGAGGTTGTGTTTAAGCCTCTTAAAACGGCTGAACCTTCCTCTCCTATAGTTCAATTACCGTCTGGAGTGGGTATTGAAAGCTCGTACAGCCTATTCTCCTTATTTATCTCTCAAGAATTGATTGTACTGTTATTGTCACGGGCTAGTGGCTGATTCAACTTATATAATAGATTTGGACTAAAGGAACTCGCTGGGGAGCTTCTAACTGGGGCCGCGGCGGCCTAACAGCTAAATGTGTGTGCGAAGTAAACAAGATCACGCGATCGGGAGAGTTCTACACGACCTCGCGAGTGCCCAGTATACCCCTCTGGCAATAATGCTCCAACCCTTCCCGAACTGCGGGGTATGTGACTCCATTACCTTTATCGTTGAACCCCCGTACTGACGTATGTACAGACAACTGTCAAGCATTCAGCTCTGACCAGATCGTCACAACAAACGGAGACTCAAGGCTAGTTAGAGGTATCTGCGACGGCATACTAGGCTGGTTTGCCTCAGATGACGCCAGCAGTGATGGTATCACGCTCACCTGGGACCCTGCCGTTATGACGATCGTGACGAGTACGCCTGAAATACCTGGTCGGGCAGGACATTCTGCACCCGACAAAACAATCAGCTTCTGACAGATCTCAATATTCCTCCGCTTAGGACTCTTGTCAGTTGCGATGAGTTCCCATTTGGCGGAGCTGAGGAAGATGGCAAATGGGGAGCCATGTACGCGACGCGGAAAAGACCGCCATCGGCTAATTGTGTGCCTCAGTGGCAGCAGACTCTCCAGGGAAATTGCAATGGTAAGCTAATTGCGCAAATCTGTAGTCTCACAGGAGGCACACAACAACGTTAGGCATACTGAGCACTCTCTACACCAACGTGCCGTATTTCGACCGAGACTCGGGCTCGACGACCGAGGACTGGAAGCTCTGGTCGAAACGGACACTCAAAGGCCAACCCCCTGACGAGCGATCGACACCAGGTGGACGCGAAGGTGACCCAACGCGCCTGTATTCGGGCGCCTAGCTCGCTACCCCGAGGCTGTGCCTCATTCGGAGGGTATTGACGAAACTGTGAGTACCCAGAACATTCATTCAAGCTATACCTCTCCAGTAATAACAAGCTTGCTCATTTACTGACAGCACCCGTCGCAGGAATGGGAAAACTCCGGCCGGACCCTCAGCTACAACTTCAAGCGCAAACTTCACCTTCGCTCTAGCATACGCAACCAGTCTCAGCGACACACCAGACCAGTGGGGCATGGCGCTGAACAACTTTGAGATGGGCACTACTACCAGCACGACGGCGAGCACGCGAAACCGCCTCCAAACAAGCAGTCACAGCACGTAGAGACAGATGGCGGCGTTGTAGGCGGTTGCGATCCAGGTACGCGGGGCGAGATTGCTACAGGGGGGAGGCACAGACAGTGCCCAGGCGTAGGGGTTGAATTGTTGGACGGTGGACACGGTTTGTTGGAGGGGAGGAGAATTTGGCGGGGAGGTCGAGGAGAATTGTACGAGAGCGAGGATGGAGTGGAGGAGAGGCGCGAGACATAAGAAATTGTTGGTTTCTGAGGTCAGAAGAATGCGGTCGATGTGAAAGCGTAGATGGACGGTTCGAGGGAGACGGTCTTGGAGATGGTGGAGCTGATGATGTCGAAACTATATTAATTATTACTGCTCTTTGTTTTCTTTGAATTCTGATAAGAGTGATACAGAAAGGTACGTACACTAAAAGTTCGGAGATGAGCCATCGACACCGAAAGAGAATCGTGGGAGATATCGCAGAGAGTTCTCCATGGCGTAGACAGGTAATAAGACGCTTTGCGCCCCCCAGATGGACTCTCCAGACGTCAGTGCCCGAGTCGATGAATTCGAAGTACATGAATAGCATGATGGCTGCGAAGACGATGTCAGTGTCGGACAGGGAGATGTGTGACAGCGTGTCATTGAGAAGCCGCAGTGCTCGATGTTTGGCCACCAGCGCGTCGCGATACACCGAGCCCAAACGGGTCTCCCGCGGTGATGGATAGAAGAGATGGCACGATTAAGTGATGACCATCACCTGTCATAGCAGAGGATAGTTCAAGTACACGAATAAATGACGCACGGGGTTCTGATCGCGCGCATCGTAGACGCCACTTCTTTACAAAATATCTGGTTGAAATGGTGGAGATACTGTGCATCCGTAGATCCTGTATCAGAGGATACACCAGTGGAGGGGATATCGAGTGAGTATCCGACTTTCCCGGAATCGGGTGCAACGTCCTCTCCATCATCTTCCCTCTACTGGTTATGCCTTTATTCCATATGATCAACTTGTCGTAGCCCAGACATTCCACTCCGGTGATGATACATTTCCGACAGCCATGCAAGGACCGATAACACTTGACCCGCCGTCAACCACACGGTGGCAGATAGTGCACGCCGTTTAGATGTAACATACGGATACATGCAGAAGCGAGCCATGACTAAGAGCCATGGTGCAACATACCCTAGTATCTTGGCTTCCTGTTTGGCGCGAGTGGGTCGACATGGATTTCTGCTTGGACGTTGACCATGAAACTATAAAAATAGATATATACATTAATTATTATATTCTGTTGGAAATCAGGATGCCTAAGGCACCTTCGTATATCCTAGTTCCGTAGGGATCTGATATATCGCACGCAAGGGGCTAAAGGACACGTAGACATAAGGAAGCGTTTATCTACGCTTCCTCTCCTAGATAGAAGAAGACACTTATTATGCGATACTAGATCGCACTAATAGTTTCAATATACTATCCAGTCACCGCTATCCTAGCACCTCACGACATAGCTTCTTCCCCAAGATTCTTAACAGGTTATAGCCCGGCTGCGCGCTGGGTACCGCTGAGGTTGTAAAGCTAGCAAGGTTGGCCTAGTAGTCCGCAGTAAACAACTGCGAAGAGTATCGTAGTGTTGTAGAGGGCCCTGACTTCGGGATAGACTGCGAAGCTTGGAGTTTTGATTAAGGAGGTTATATTCCCTTATTACTAGCCAGCTCTGTAGGAGTGACATTCCCTCGAAGGTTACCAGCCAGCAAAGCCATGCAGTACCATTCTACTGGATAATAGAGAGGTGTTCGCACCCAGACGCTCTGTATTATCTGGTTAATAATAAAGATTGCGAAGTCAGACGTACGCAGCGTCTTGATAGAATAAAGAAGTGCACGAAGGATGTTCTGGTGGTCCTGCGAGAAGAACTAAACACTATACTTATCTTGTTATTATTTCACTTTGTTACTCCCAATGTCTGATACGTACAACTTCGCCGAACTATGAGAAGTCGCATTATTAATTATGGAATCAGACTTACCTGACTCGCCCGCCGGAAACCGTGGTCTATGACCCCCTACCACGCCAGTTCCAGAAACAAAACAACACCTGCATCGAACGCGACCTCGCAGGTTCGATCCGACCAAAATAGAAATCTAAAAGGCCTTCCACGACCGATACTTTACCCCTTCGAACGATATCGATAGCGTGAACCTAAATGATATCCGAAAGATGTTCCGAAACTGTCGAAAGATAACGCGGATGATGGTTTAATATTTTGAAGAAGCAGTGGATAGCAAGAAGCTTGGTGGATTATGCAGGTCCTGAACAACCGGACGCATGCGAACAGAGCTATACTGTTCTTATTCGTCAACTTGTTCCCGACAGTGAACACGACCTCCTTGACAGTAATACGGCAAAGAAGCAGTTCAAGGCTTTAAAGAAGAAATGCAATATTGCGACCTGGTGTTGCGCGAGAGAAACTAGCTGAATTCTACAGCTACCGCAAACCAGAGGATATTCCATTCGGGACGCCCACGACCAGCTTCGCAGAATGGCAGAAAACTACGAGCGAGGCTACCAATATGCGAGAAGCTTGAACGAGAAGACAATATTTATAACTTCTTCATCGCTCCCGGACGAATAGAAGCAGTACGAGATACGCTTGATGCCCAAGGAGTCTTCGAAGAGACATTAACGACGCCCTTGAAACGCTGAAAGAAAGGAGGATAAGTTAAAAAGTGCGAAAGTCGAGGACGCACACCTGGTCGAGACGCCAGAAAGGTCAAAAGGGATCTCAACGCCGAGATATAATCGCGATCGCAGCCATTAAGACACCGAGACGCACGCGATCGAAGACTACAAGAATCTGTCGGCGATATAGCACCTCTAGCGAAAGCTCCGATACAAGCCAAGAAAGCAATCGCACCGAGCTGCTGCCAAAAGAAATAAAGAACCTCGTTGCATTATATGTGATACAAACACCCATGGGATAAGTGCCCAGATCGCTCCGAACTTGAAAAGCTACGTACGAAACTTCGAAAGCGCCGCTAGAAAAAACAGAAAAAGGCACGTGCGTATAACGCAGACTCGCAATCTGGCTCCGAGGGGGAGAAATCGAATTCAGCACCTGAATCATCTCGATCAGACCCAGATTCCGATTCTGACTCTGATAACGAAGAGGCGTACCTAACGCAGCTTATAGAAGCTCCCAAATTCGCCTATAAAGCTTCGTCGGACTTAACTGCGTTAACTAACAAGGAATTCGTTCCCTGCGTTGACAAGTATAAATGGATTGCAGATACCGGTGCAACATCGCACATGACGGTAATCGAAAGCTATTTTTACTAAGCTTTATGCGATCACAACCAAACGCAAGGTGCGAACAGGTGCTGGATGACTACTAATCCAAGGCTGCGGCACTGTACGGCTAAGCGACGCCCATTATAACAAGATCACATTGCAAAATGTTCTATATGTTCCCGGCTTGAGCGCAAATCTAGTTTTTATCCGTGTCCTGTGCGAACGAGGACTGCAAGGTATTATCGCTGAGAAGGGCATATTATTCTACCGCAACCGAACGTTGGTGTTGCAAGCGATAATCGAGAACAACCTATATATTATTAAATGGTTCTTATTAAACATCGCAGAATGCGCCTATACGACACAAGAGATTAGTGATCTACTGGAACTAGGACCCCACGCGCATCGCGACAAGAAGGAGAAAGAGATGTACAACTTATAGCATTGATGAATAGGCCATCTTCGTAAAAGCAAGCTGCGAAACCTCCATGAAATCACAAATCTTAAGAAACCAATTCCTTGCCGAGCAGAACCTAAAGTATGCGACGTCTGCGCAAGGACAAAAATAGTTAAACGCAAGGGCCAAGAGCAAAGCGAAAGGAAGTCTAAACCGCTGGAACAAATATACTTAGACATCTGCGGCCCTTTACCAACAACAATTAATGGCAATCGCTGGTTTATTAAGATTGTGGATAGCTGCACCTGCAAGCACTGGGTACTGCTAATTTCCGACAGAGCGGCAGCACCCATAGCACTGGAAGAATGGAGAAAGCAAGCCGAATTGGAATTTAATTGCAAGCTAAAGGCTGCGCTTATCGACAATGCAGGAGAACTTATAAAGGAATGCAAAGCATGGAAAGAAAGCAACGGACTAAAAATTTAATTAACAGTTCTGTATACCTCGCACCAAAACGGTCCAGCTGAACGCGCGATACGAGCGACCGAAGAAGACATGCGAGCTATGCTCAAGCAGGCTTTATTACTAATAGAATTCTGGGACAAAGCTGCGAAAGCGCACGCATATATTCACAATCGGGTGGTAATACCACAGTCCGCAATGAACGAAGACGAAGATGCTATAACACCTGAAGAGCTATGGACAGGATCTCGCCCTAAGATTACGCAATAAAGGTCTGGGGGAGCAAATGTTATTCGCACGCTGATCCTGATGTCCCGGTAGTAACAAACTTACCGATCGCGGACGAGTTGGAATCTTTGTTGGATATAATAGGAAACCACTAAGCAGTACCGCATTTACGCGCCAGACTCCCATCGCGTTATTCAGCGTCGACAGTTATCTTGATAAGATACGCCCGGCGGTACAATGATCTAAAGCTGCGAATCAAGTCCACCTCCACTGGTTACCAGATAGGAATCCTGTAGGTCGACCAAGGAAGCAGGATAAAATATACCAACTTCGCGGGATAGCTCGCCAGAACCAGCCGACAACGAAAATACGAGACAGCGCTGAGAGTTTGACCACGATCACTTAGATATCCCATCAAAGCGTCGAGACTCAGTGGGAGCCAGCAACGAAGAGCCGATTCCTGCGAGAACCAAGAAATGCTAGAAGTCCGCAACCGACTAAGAAGAGAGAACGCACCGACGATAATCAGTACAAAGTGCGAATCTCCGCCGATCAAAAAGGTTAAACTAAAGGAGCAGAAGTGGCAGATAAGGTCGATAAATATCCACTTCGACTATTAGTCGAAACCATCACGAAAACCGCGCCTAAGGTTGATAACCCAATTCCGATCCCTGTACGTACGAAGAAGCATTAACGACCCGGTCTATGGACCCGAGTGGAAGAAGGCTATCCGATCAGAATTTCGGTCACTTATATAACGCACCTTTCGCGAGACCCACGCGCCTGACGGCGCCAATATTTTACCGCGAAATGGGTTTCGCAGTCAAGTATGCGCCGAATGGGGGAGTTAACATTTAAAGCACACTAGTTGAGAGGTTTTAGTCAAGTTCGAGGAGTTGACTACAAAGAAACCTTCGCGCCGAAATCGCATTACTCCCTGGAATCATGCTAGCTATTATCGCACTCGAAGACCTTGAAGCACATCAGGTTGATGTAACAACGCTTTCACCGAAGCAACGCTGCAAGAGCGAATATATATGCGTCCGCCAGCTGGCGCTGAGCTGTCTAATGGACGCGTACTCGAGTTAAAGCAGAGCTTGTACGGTTTAAACAAGCTGCGCGAGATTGGTAAACCTATGTTAAAAACGCTCAAAAAATGGGATTTGAGGCTATCCAAGTAACCATGCGTATTCCGCAACCATACTACAGGTGTCCTTATTGGACTATACGTGGACGACCTGCTTATTGCTGCAAAGAACGTGCGCGAAATTAATAGTTTAAAGCGAAATTCGCGGAACACTTAATATCAAGGATCTGGGGGAGATTTAAAATCCTTGGTATTCGCATAACCCGCGACCGTCCAAACCGCAATCTACCTGGACCAGTCAGCATATATCAAGCAAATGCTGCGACAGTACGATATGGATCACGAAGCAGTTGCACCAACCCGCGCCCCGATGCCAAGTGGCAAGATATTGTTAAAGCACGACAAGATATGAACTCGCACCCAAACAGATTATAGCAAAGAGTTGGAGTACAATGTTCGCAATGGTCTATTCGCGACCTGACATTGCGTACGTAACAAGGCGCTTGCAGTTTATGACAAACAACCAAAGAGCACGCTCAAGACATAAAAGCCCTCTTACGCTACCTGCGATCAACAATCGACCTAAAGATTGCTATGGACCAGGTTCTAGGCATGCGAATCAGGTTATCGGCTATTAGACGCTGATTAGCAGGAGATGTTCGATCGAAAGTCAAGATCGGCATGCTTTTCATGCTGGAGGAGGACCGATCTCATGGCGAAGCCGTAAACAACCTGCGGTATAAATAACAACCGAAGCAGAGTATATCGCATTGCCTCGTGTCAAAGAAGCAAGTGGATTGCACAATTTATAAAGATATAGGCTATTCGAAGTATATTAGTGAGAACCGCGTACTGTCCTAATATACGGAGATAATACCTCTGCGATTACGCTTATTATCAACCGTTGTTGAATAACGCTCAAACATATTATGTGCATACCACTTCGCGCGCGATCTGAAGGAGCGCAAATTATTGCCACTGAGTATATCCAAACTCGCAAGATGCTTGCAGACGGCATGACAAAGCCGCTACCGCGAGAGCTGCTAGAACGACATCGCAGCAAGATGGGATTGGTTGACAGTGGGAGATGATTGAGAAGAGGTGAAGAAAGAGTGCACTGGATAAAGACATAACTATATTCAAGGACTAGTCTAATATGTTGGAAATAGGATGCCTAAGGCACCTTCGTATATCCTAGTTCGTAGGGATCTGATATATCGCACGCAAGGGGCTAAAGGACACTAGAATAAGGAAGCTTTATCTACGCTTCCTCTCCTAGATAGAAGAAGAACTTATCATGCGATACTAGATCGCACCGATAGTTTCAATATACTATCCAGTCACCGCTATCCTAGCACCTCACGACATAGCTTCTTCCCCAAGATTCTTAACATATTCAATATTATTAATAAGTCTAGCACATTACGTCCACCTCTCGATAGGCCGGTGGCGCCATCGACACCTTCTCATATCCCGGCAGCACCTCCAGTGACATATCCAGCCGGCTCATAATATCCGAGGTTTCCGCACACGAATAAACCGGAATCAACACAGTCACCCCAAACCCTCGAACGGTGTTTTTCCGCGCCACCAAGGATCCATTGTCACGGCTGACGGTCTCTCTCCCAGTGACGATATCGACCGTCAGTTCATGATGGACGCTCAGGGACGGGCCACCGTCCCCTGGAGATCGTTCATCGATGTCCGAGACAGCGGGGATTTTGCTGTCGATAAGTATTTCGAATGGGACGGTGATTTTCATCTGTCGGATCGTGTCGTCGGAAATAGATGCGCGGATCTTCTCGGGGGCCGTCCAGCGTCCCTTGCAGATCCCACTGGCTAGGGTGCGCGAATGGGTGATGCCAGACTCGCCGTTTTTCGGGTCCCATTGGACGATCTCGTCTACATGCCAAGAGACGCTCTCGGCGACGAGGAGAGTGACTTCCGAGGCCCGTTTCGCCGGCAATGCGATATTGCGTAGTTCCACTTGGGCCGTGTAACGTCGGCAGGAGTCCGGGCTGGAGAGTTGAGGGCAGATGGCCAGTTGGGCCTTCACCGGTGACTCGGGGAAGCTGCGTGTATGCGTCATGATCTCCCCGAGGTCCGGGATTTTGAGTCTGATCAGCTGCAGCGGTTGAGAGTCGGTCAAGATGTGGCCTGTGGTCGTGGTGGCGCAAGCCACCAGCTCGTAGGAGACCTCCACTAGACTACCAGAGAGAATGGTCTCGGGTGTATGTGTGGGAGACGAGAGGGCAAATTCAAAGTCGCGGAGGAGGGTGCCATCCAGGCTGACTGTAGAGGAGGCCGGGTTCAGTGAGAGATTACATCGCAGGACCTCCTGTTCGAATGATGAATAGTATTCAGCGACATGGCGGCTGTTTCGTTTGGACTTTGTTAATGCCAATCGATCCTTTATCCAGGACGTTCTGCGGGTGGCCACAGCCGATGGCAGTTGACGGAGCCGAATAGTGCGGACCAGAGAGACCTGTAGAGAATCCAGTGGGGGTATCTCATTGTGACCGGATAGACGGATGCTCCCAGAGAGAGGATCGCCGTACAATTCCCCGTCAGAGTCGAAATAGACCATATGTGAGGCCGGACAGGACAACTGCACGGCGATACCTTCCATGGCTGAGGGATGAAGAGGGGAGGAAAGGGGAAGAAGAGAGGACAGAGTGCATGTTGGGCCTCGACCCTCTTAAGGTACCTACTTTTAAATATATTCCATACTCGTGATTCATGCAGTGGAGCCAATCCCAAGACATTACGGAGTCAGAAAGCAAAAGAACACATTGAGTTTGAGTTAGGGTCGGCCAATCAAATGCAGGCCCTGCCCATGCGTCGATGCAACCGGCCAGTCTAGACCATATGGGACAGCCAAGCCACATGGTGCACACCCCCAGACCAACCAGATCGCGAGGACAGCGGCGTGGCTTTATGACAGCAAATGACAGCCCGCAGACTTTTTGGCTCTAACCCGTCTCTTCCTAGGCCAGATTTAGATTGCAATGCCCTCGTGTCGTGTTCTTTCTTTCTTTTTTTTCTTTTTTTCTTCTTTTTTCTCTTCCCCTTCCCCCTCCCATTCCGTGTCTTTTCGAAACATTTCCACGCGATGGGCCAACGCAACCCTTGACTTTTGCAGTAGCCGTAAGTCAGTGCCATTGCGATCACCCACACAGTACGAGACCAGAGCGATCTATCCCCGAGCGCCATTAAACCCAATTTCATTTCCCTTGCAACATGTCCTCCTCTCGCCCAAAGGACGATCCCCTGGGGAATTCCATCCTCATCGGGACTGCCGACGAGAGGGGTAAACTCGACAAGTCCACGGCCGATCAGACCCTCGAAACCCTAGGTTATACCCCCGAATTGTCCCGCAACCGTTCGACCTGGCACGTGGTGTTTATGTGCTTTATCCTGTCCTCCGTGCCCTATGGATTGTCCACGACCTTCAGCTATCCCCTCGCCGGCGGTGGTCCCGCCAATATCGTCTGGGGCTGGGTCGCCGTATCCCTGATCATCCTGTGTGTCGCCGTCTCCTTGGCCGAGATCACCTCCGTTTACCCTACTGCCGGCGGTGTTTATTACCAGACCTTCGTCCTCTCACCTGTATGGTGTCGCCGAATTACCTCGTGGATCTGTGGCTGGGCCTATGTCGCCGGCAATGTCATGATCACCCTCGCTGTCAATTTCGGTACCACTCTCTTCTTCGTGGGCTGTCTCAATGTCTTTGAGAAATCCCCCGGAGTCGGGATCACCGACGACTTCGGTGCCTGGCAGACCTACCTGATCTTCGTTGCCATTACCCTACTCTGTCACGCCATCCCTGCCTTCGGAAACAAATATCTGCCCTGGCTAGAGGTACATCCTAGACCATCCCATGCGACTTTTCCCCTCTTCTTCCGTCCCATTGCGCCCTCCAACTAATCATTGTCCCATGTACATATATAGTCCTTTGCTATCTTCTGGACCTTTGCGGGTCTGATTGCCATCGCCGTGTGCATCTTGGTCCTGGCAAAAGAAGGTCGTCGCTCTGCGCACTGGGTCTTCACCCACTTTGAGCCGCAATCCGGCTGGCCCGCAGGATGGTCGTTCTGCATTGGTCTGCTACAGGCTGCATACGCCACCTCGGCCACCGGCATGATCATCTCGTAAATCCCGCCTCTTGCTTTCCCTTCCCATCCCCCAGAAGGCTCGTCGTACTAACCTACCTAGGATGTGTGAGGAGGTCCGCGAACCCGCGCTCCAAGTCCCCAAAGCAATGGTGGGCACCATCGTCATCAACCTGTTCGCGGGTCTGGCGCTTTTGATACCCATCTGCTTCGTGCTACCCGATCTGACCAAGCTGGTGACTCTGGCTCAACCCGTACCCGAGACCTTGAAGTCCGCCACCGGGAGCTCCGTCGGTGCTTTTTGTCTGTTGATTCCCTTGCTCGTCCTGGGTATTATCTGCGGTGTGGGCTGCGTGACGGCGACGTCGCGTTGCACGTGGGCCTTTGCTCGTGATGGTGCCATCCCCGGTTCCAAGTGGTGGCGGATCGTTAACCAGCGTCTGGATATCCCCCTCAATGCGATGGCCCTAGGCATGGTGGTGGAAATCTTGCTGGGGTTGATCTACTTCGGTTCCTCGGCTGCATTCAACGCGTTCTCTGGCGTGGGTGTTATTCTCCTAACTCTTAGCTACGCTTGTCCCGTGGCTGTGTCGTTGATCCTTCGGCGTCGCGCGGATATCAAACACGGTAACTTCAACATGGGCGCTTTGGGCACATTCTGCAACGTTGTTGCAATCTGTAAGTCCTTCCTTGTCCCCTCTCTTCTTACTTGCAACATCCTATCACACTGATTCTAATAATTGTAGCATGGACTCTCCTGGCCATCCCCCTCTTCTCCATGCCCTCCTTCAAGGAAGTCACCGTGGAAACAATGAATTACGCGTCCGTCGTGTTCGTCGGCTACGTCGCCATCGCGGCCGTATGGTACTGGGTCTGGGGCCACAAGAACTACGTCGGTCCACCGACGGAGGGTGTGGATCCCGATATCGACCCATCGATAACCCATAACATTGTGTCGAAGTCCGACTAGTTGCTTGATTCATGAGCATGAGTCATGGTACAGTACATAATATCTTCTGACTGATGAAGACGATCGATATGACTGGTGAAGTGGTCATGGTCGCTACGGGTGAATATTTGATACACCCGGTAGATGAATTTTCCTTCAGGTCTATGTATATATAATACTTTTGGATATACTATAGGTTATCGTTGTGTATGATGACCTGATATGTACAATGGTCAGAGTGTAGCGACCTAGATCGAGTATGATATGTGATGCCATGACTCTATGTCTAATATATCTCGAACTTTAATATATTAGTACCACTGTATCAACTGTATCTTAATGCTGTTCGAATAATTATTAAATATCCATTTCTTGCGTGGTACATTCTAATGTACATTCTAATAGTGATTAGAATGTAGCAGCCACCACATCAGCACATTCCAGAATGTCAATAAACATGCAGGCAGGACATAGCTACGAGGCTATTTATACCACACTCTGTCCGTCTAAATATAAATCAATCTTTGCCTCTTATAAGATTTCAACCTCATTGGTATCCCCATGTCTCCCATGTTAAAGTATTGAAGTATTTGCTAACAGCCTCAAGACACCATGCGCAGCCTCATAATCATCACACTTCTTACCAGCCTTGTCCTGGTCTTGTCGTCTGAATCGAACCAATGCTCTGTCGAGGGAGAGGCTTGCTTCGCTAGCAGTGACTCCTATCCATGCTGTCCTGGCTTGACTTGTCGCGAAGACAGGAGCACCGAGGGCATTATCCGTGTACCGGGGATTTGCGTGGGCTTGGGGGGTAGTTCTAGGAGCATTGAATGGGTCTCCTAGGTTCTACAGTCTGCTTGTTCTGTATTGGGTTACAAAGGATATTAATTGCAGGATACATGATTACTTAGCTGAATATGGCGTACTTGAAGTTAGGTATTATCATTAGTTATGATTTGGATTTAATGTCTATTTTTCCTGCCGCTCTTTCAGATATCTTTTGTAAGATGGAATAATTTTATAAAAATAAGAGTATTTATATGGTTTTTATGTTAAGGAACCCAATTGTTGTATCTATCAGGCTAGTTATACCAACGCGTACCCTATTTTTACTTGCGTCACCGCAGTGCGAATCGGGTTTGAGGGCGTACTCTATATTTAAAATTGCTATTTTTATCTAGCACTACTACTTTATTACTTATTATTGGGTACTGCAGAGGCTTTTGCGGATACTTTTCTCCTTTGGTCAAGCTACAGCTTACAGTACGGATTAAACAAGTCATTTGGGCGAGTTCCGTGGACTTGCAGCACAGAATACATTAACACCTCCGAGGGCGCTTACTACTTAGTGAAATCCTCTACGTCATCGCCGTTAACATTCAGGTCGGCCCGCTTCCATATGAGGGGAGTACAGCAGAGCGGGTATGTACGACGGCCACCGAGCCCTAGACAACCACATCCGAATGTGGTAATTATTAGATGCTCAAGTGAGATATGAATCCTGTTCAAAACATAGCCTTGCAACGCAATAATCCATTCTCTGGAATTCTGAATAAGACAAATTCGTGTCATACAAGAATTAAAAATAAAAACATCTACTGAAATTGCCTGGACAGTAGAGATTTCTCATGGGCTACGTTACTTCACTCTGTAGCATACACCATTTATACAAGCTTTCTCACAGATGTGTTTGCTATTCTGGAGCTTCTAATTCCGCTCATGAATGCACCCACGATAATGTCAAAGAGCTTCCGTCACGGCCTCAAAAGCAAAATAAAAATTGGCTAAGTTCTCATCAATCCTTGCTACCTAGTTTCGAAAGTTTTCTTCTATTTACTCGCGGAGAGGTCAGGACGGCGGTCAAAAGCATCTGGTCTTTTTAGTCACATGGCATCACCATGGTTTAATTTTCATAAAAAGTATTTTACTCGCTGCCTATAATAAATGGGCTGCCAGGAGCGTAAAACTTCGGCATGCAGAAAAGAAAATGTGTAGCAAAGTCTCAGACACCAAGGTTCGACACTTCTCTCTGTTACCTCTAATAGAAACGTTAAATTTCGCTAGCTACGGTATGCAATGTGACTATGCCTTGTACTTGCTTAGGGATGAGTCTAGCTTACCGTGTTTACTAACTGCATTCCCATTCGACATGTGAGGAAGGGAAATTCTCAGGCATTATAGATAGGCATGAAACTAAACACGGTATTCATATATTTATATGCTCCTTGGAACTTTGCCGAGGGAGTCGCAGGGGCCACGCTTGGTATTAACTGGATAAGCCGCTTCCACAAGCGACACTATTACTGTCTTTCCAGTTTTTATTTGAGGACTTTAGACAGCCAGCGGAAGACCGCTAAAATTCCAGGCATTTTTGGTGCTTTTTTCAGTTTGGTAAAGTTGCTTTTTATTACTCTTTTCCATAGGTTTATACCACAATACGCGAACAAACGCCGTTGGGTCATCATTTGCTGATTGGATTCGACTGGCTGTTGCCAGCTCCTCGAACTACTGATTGCTTCTAACGACACACGCATGGGGCATTGTCGTGTCCAGTGTTCTCGTTCTTTCTTTTCTTTTCTCTTTCAGTTCTAACGTGTCACCCCTAGCATGGAGTAACAGGTGGAAATGACCTCTATGGATTAAATATCCTATCATATAAATATATATATATCTAGAACTAGTTGTTTAACCATCAGCCTAAAACAAAGTAGTTGGTTATGGATATCATAGCTGCTACTTTTTACTGCATCAAGATCGACTTATTCGGATTCCTGGGCGTAAAATAAACCCTATTATTGTCGTTTGTCGTTAAATAATATAAAGCATGAGTTGTATTATGGTGCCTGAGTGCCTTAGCGCCTTAGCGCCTTACTGCCTGAAGGCTGTCACAACGTCATCGTGCCGCAGCCATAAAATAAAATCAATTCGTCGATTCACCCAACCATCCCCTGATAAAGACCCGGTGAAAGGTTTACGAACGATGCACTTTCTCTCTGTAGTCAGCCTTTAGGAAGGGAATGATGCTCGGTCCGATGCCAGAAAGGGCCTCTAGCGACTCCTCCAGGTTCCACCACGACCACTCAACGCAGGCGGGCAGAAGGAGATATACGCCGTAGGGACCATCACGGCATCCCCATAGCTCCGATATGGAGATTCCTCCCATTATTTTCCCGGTTTCTTGAGGTGACTCGACTCTAGCTCCCTCTTCCTCCTTCCTTCGTCCTCATCTCCGTCCCTCTCCATTGTGCTACCATGTCCTCGTCAGACCCAGACCCCAGCCGCACCGTTCGGCTGGACCGCACGATCTCTCATCCCGGAGCAGTCAAAATCAATGTCAAGGGAGCTTTTATTGTCGATGAGGATCCCCGATCCAAAAGCCCCGTCCGGACTGATGGCATTCATTACGAAGGCCATGATATCCGTCTTCCTCATCACACTGGCTTGGTGAGCCATGTGGCGGTTGATGTGAGTTTCTGCAGCTTTTCTATTTCCGCTTGTTCCCCGCAGCTTTCCGCCCCGCAATGGCAACTCTCCAAACACAACTTTGCGACCACCGCGACTGACGATGTTGGATACTAGATTGGGGGTTCGCTGGCGAAATTGGTTTACTTCACACGAGAAATCGAGTCCGCGGACAATGGTGGCCGGTTAAACTTTATCAACTTCGAAACCCACCGCATAGACCTATGCATTGAATTTATCAAGGAATTGAAGGAGGAATATGAGAAGGCAAATGGGCCTTCTCCGGATCAACTCTGTGTTGTGGCGACGGGAGGAGGTGCCTACAAATACTACGACCAGCTCAAAGAGGCGCTGAAGGTGAACATTATCCGGGAGGACGAGATGGAGTGCCTGATCACCGGTATGGTTCCTTTTCACCCCCAGGAAGAGGAAAGAGAAACTGGCATTTAGGAGCATATGAATAATTGTCCTAATAGGTCTCGATTTCTTCATCACCGAAATTCCAAATGAGGTCTTCACGTACAGCGAAACTGAGCCGATGCAGTTTGCCGAGGCCCGACCGGACGTCTACCCGTATCTGTTAGTTAACATAGGCTCTGGAGTCTCTATCATCAAAGTATCCGGCCCTAAACAATTCCAGCGTGTGGGAGGCACCCACTTGGGTGGTGGAACGTTCTGGGGCATCATGTCACTTCTGACTGGTGCCCGGACCTTTGACGAGATGCTGGCAATGGCCGACCAAGGGGACAATAGCGGGGTGGATATGTTGGTTGGGGACATCTATGGCATGGACTACAACAAAATTGGGTTGAAGAGTACTGCTATTGCCAGCACGTTCGGGAAGGTTTTTCGGCTGAAGAGTGCCTCCGAGCGACAGGACGAGAGCCAGGAAGGCGATGACCACGATGAACCCGACCAGACCAATTGGGATGTAAAGTTCAAAAATGAAGATATGAGCCGAAGTCTTCTTTATGCTATCAGGTACGTCTTAAGGATTCCCCCGATGCGAGTGGCTTAGCTAACTATGATTTAGCAATAACATTGGCCAAATTGCCTACCTTCAGTCGGAGAAGCAACAAGTCAAGCACATCTATTTCGGTGGCTCCTTTATACGCGGACATCGGCAGACAATGAACACTCTATCTTATGCGATCCGGTTCTGGTCCAAAGGTGAGAAACAGGCATACTTTCTGCGCCACGAGGGCTACATCGGTGCTGTTGGCGCCTTCTTGCGCAGGAAGCCAGCCAACTGGGGTCGTCGGAATAGCATCGATGGGGCTTCCACCGTTTGATAGAGCATTCATGATTCTCCCAGCTTCTGCGATTCACGAACAGCCCCTCTTATAACGCGTTTCACCTTTTGATACCCGTTGATATTTTCAACAATCTGGTGCATATTAGATACAAAGTTTCAACTTTGACCATTTCGGATTGGTTTATTTCAGCTGCGGTTCTGATATAAGACATCTATGCTACTTGTCATATGTGAGCGTTTCTGCACAATTTGTTCTATTATGGTATGGCTATATTATTTTTGTCTAATGTTTCATTCGTTTGACTTTCGGGGTCTTCGGTGTCATTTTCCTTCCGCTGTCCAAAAGATCAAACGTCTGATAGATTTCTTTTCCCCTCTCATATAATTTATACGAGAAATCGGGGGCACTGTTGACCCTAGAGGACCAGTTCTGTCTTCCGCATGGTTAGGTGTCGACTTATTTTATCGTAGTCTTTCAGGGAGCGAGTGACAACAGCGCGGCAGATACATTCAGCGGTCTGGCGGTGTCTGACGATTTGATCCGTCTCCACGTAGATTTTCTTTCTAGAGCCATTCATTCTGGTGTTGTAAAACTAGGAATGACATGGAAGCGAGAATAGCGAACCTTGACAGATTTCGTTTGTCGATCGCGTCGCCAAGCTCCCTCCGATCGAGTAACACTACGCGTTTCTTCTAGCGCGTTTGTGGCGGGAACTCTTCTTTGTTTGCTACGGAGTACTTTCATTATTTTAATGACCTTGATTTTATAAGCACTTTAATTTCTCTTTGCGCGTCCGGATTTGCCAGAAGTCCTGAATACCGCCCAACATGAGTAGGTGTGTAAACTCACTGAGTACCCGAATTGACCCAAGGCTAAGCTTCTATCCAGTCAACCGGCTGTGTTAAGCCATGATGAATCCGAGAACGAGCGCAAACCCTCCATTTCGCCTGAGACCACACAGAGAATAGTCAAGCCTAAGTATCCTCCATTCTGTGGACCCAACCGCCCGGTACCCGAACATATCCTAGATCTCCTGGACGAGCACCATCGACAAAACGGGACTCAGCCGCCGGCTTGTGCATTAAGCGATCATAGAACAGTCTGCAAATCAAAAGTGTTTGACCGCCAGGGAAGGGAGCTTGGGTTCAACCAGTTTTCCATCGTGCTACCCTGCCAGTACAGTATAATTGTTCTGTACCAACCGAATGGAGCGGCAAAATTGGCGAAGGGTCTTTTCCCTTACAGGATGAGACACGGCTCATACCTTCGAGGATGGCTAGGCATTGACAAGGGCTTTGAATCGGAGTGCTCTGCTATTCGGGTATTTAGTCACGATTTACACGCGATCAAGTACAACAATGAGGCATGGGCGGCCTTGGAGATAGCTCTCTCCAAGCAGACCAAGGAGGCCCCGGCGCCAGCGACGGTATCTAGTACGCCACAGAATAAGAGGCCGAGGGAGTCGCTGCGGTTGACGAATAGGACGAATGAGAATGGAAGTACAGCTGTCAATACCCACAGCCATGCTGATGCCAGTGCCGATTCTGACGAGTCGGAATTAAGCATCGACGGCTCAGAAGAGAGCTCATCAGACGAAACGTCAGATGAGGAGCAACCAGAGGCTACACAATTGGCGAAAAAGCGGAGAACAACGCCTAGAAGCCCTGTGGCGGCAGCAGCAAAGAGCCCCCAGGTGGTCTTCAAGCTGGTTTCATATAAATCTGGAGCCATACGTTGCTTTCCGTTGGATGAATGCAAGACGGGGAAGGATCTGTTCCGGAAGGCGCGTGATTTCTTCCATTTGTTTGATCGGAGTGCGGATGTGAAGATCCTATCTTGCCAGATTATGTCGCAGCAGATGCAGCATTACCTTTTTGAAGGCAGCGAGGGCGAGTTTTCGCTCCTTGTGGATCAGGTACAGGGTTTTATTAGTGCTGGGGAAGGGAAAAAGTGTACCATTGAAGTCGGCCATGTTCGTTCATGTTGAGACACACATTTCATTTTTTTCCCCTTAGTAAACATAGGATACACACACACTAAACTAAAGCCTAATTAATACCCCGAAGACACCTTGATACCTCACATATCTCACTGTTTAAACGATATTCCAAAAACGGAACCGTGCCTGATCATATTTCCCGAACTGACTTAGTGGCTTGGCTACGTGTGCCGACCGTCGTCATCTGGCGATTCCAATCCCATTGTGACATTGATTGATCCCAACTTCAGCGTCGCCATGCGTTAAGCATGAATCCTGCGCCTGCTCGATGCCTTCTGTGTCCGACTCGCCGGCCCCTGTCCCTCCTCCAGTCCCCGTCGAAACCCATCCCTACCGAGCCGCCGGACTAAAATCTCCTGCGCAGCCACGAGCTCTCCCGGACCCATCCCGGCTCGCCCCTGAGGATGCATATTGTTCGCAGTCGTTAACTCGGATTCGCACAGCTAGCGAGTACGACGAGTCGATCAGAGTGCTGAATGGCACGGCTGGCACGGTCGCGTCTGCGGCGGCATTACGACCGCCACCTGCGGTTCCTGGACGAAAAGAGGTTCGCAAGGTACGAGGGACTAGTCGACGTAGAAGGCGGAAGGGGGCGTGGAAAAAACTGCTATGGGTGAAGCAGTCTTGTAAGTCGATATCATCTTTATATTTATATATATATTATTACTGATGTTGATGTTGATAATCAGATCCCGATAATTATACCGATACAGAAACATTTTTAGATCATCTTCAGCGCAATCCGCGTGTACGCCCCTACGACTTTTGGCCCTTGGTGGCGGACTCGACGGTGATTGTGCAGCATGTATGCTCGGTGATTATCTTTGTCTGTTGCTTTGTGGGCATAGTGCATTGTCGCGTGAGCCCCGTCTCGGTGGTCTGTTGGGGGAGTGTCGGTTCGGCCATTGGCTGGATTCTGTGGGACTCTTGGATGCTACAGGAACAGGGGGAGGTCTTACATGCGGGCGACCGCGTACTGGAAGGTGATGACGGCTCCAGCTCCAGCTCCATGACGAGCTCGGGCCACCCATCAGGTGTGTGGCCCAACGGGCAGCAGCACAAAGATACTGGCCAGGTCCACGGACTGGGATTGAGTATGTCCAATGAGTCGGGTGAACCTCTTGGCCGCAGTAGTGCTGTGGAGGGTAATGACGGGGCACAAGAACCAGCTTCCCCCTCTCCTGGTCAAATGGCAGGGTTTGCCACTCGGCCTGACACAAGTAAATCGTCGCTGCTGTCGGCGAGGAATCGCCAACGGCTGTCCACGGTCAAGTCGGCGTTTCTTATCTACTGTGCGCTACTAGGACTCAGTCCGATTCTCAAGTCGCTGACCAAGTCGACAGCCAGCGACTCGATTTGGACGTTGAGCTGCTGGCTGTTGATCATCAACATCTTCTCGTTTGACTACGGTAGCGGGGAGGGCGCGGGGGCGACTAACTTCCCAGCATCACTGTCGACCAACGCGGCAGTGATGGCGTCGACGGTGCTGGCATCACGGCTCCCGTCGACGACGCACGTGTTCAGCCTGATGCTGTTCTCGATGGAGGTGTTCGGGCTGTTCCCCATCTTCCGACGGCAGCTGCGACGCATCTCTTGGACGGGCCATGTACTTTTGACGCTGGTTCTGGTGATCGTGGCGGGTGGGGCGGTGGGGATCACGCTGCGCGGAGGATGGGCAGCGGCGGTGGTGGGATCGATCTTGGGCAGCATCTTGACTGCTCTGGCGATGGGGGGATGCAGCTGGTGGCTGATCAGTCTCCAGAAGTACAAGAACGTGGTGACGGGGCCATGGGATCCGGCTCGGCCGATCATTCGACGATGGGATTGACGGATATAGACACCTAATGACGAATTGTTTGTTGGTATGAAGGGAGGAATGTGAATCTGTCTCCTTGTTTGAGTACGGGTAAGCGTCGGGAAATAGATCAATAATTCCATATATCACATTTAGTAAACAAGACTATCTAACTGACAGGTACCTAAAGAATATTTTAACAATCTCTCGACATTATCTTAGCCATCTCTAGATTGTCGCCTCATCACCCCATTCGTCATCGCATCCAGATGCTCCCAATTCAACGAATCCTCGGCCAGACTCCACGCCATCACTCCTCCCAACTGCTCCGGCTCCACAATCTCGTTGAATTTTCGTTCAATCGTCTTCATTGTGTCCCAGGTCCAGAATATATTCGAGTGCTCATCGAAGTAATACTGCCCTCCCGCTTGCTCGTCCAACTTCCCGTTCTCCTGTGCCTTGCGCCACGAGTCCTTCAACGACAGTCCTTTGCATTCGCCATAGTCTGATTGACATCCAGCTTGGCAAAATTCACCGCCCGTTCCACTGTCCTCATTAGCATACATATAGAGAGAGAAAGATAGGGGAAGAAGAGGGAGAGTACCAATTCCCATATTGGCTACAACACTGTCCAGCGGGACACTTGCTCGCCGACGTAAGCCCACACTGCCCATCGGCACTCTGCTTCAAATCCCTGGGCGGCTCCGCCATCGTGCTCTTTTCGAACGTAAACGCCCCTGATTTGCCTGTATCGGCTCCATCCGCCGACTCCAGCAATTCCACCGGACATCCCAGCGGGTGTTCCTCGCATCCGGCGCCTTGCACCGTCGTGAACCACTTCGCATAGTATGGGAAGCCCAGGTTGATCTTGTCACCTGTCAGTCCGACGTCCTGGTACGCACGCACCGTGTCCAACGAGCCCTCCACGCTGGCGTGGTGTTTCGTCACGTTATCCCGACGGTTCATCAGGTCATATGACATCACGTTCACCATGTCCACTGATTCCCAGATCTTGGGGCCTTGTTCTTTCGTGAACGCGATCATGTCGACCCGTTTGCCCGGCACCGCGATGGATAGGATCTTGTCTTTGCCTAAGGCTGAGCGGATTGCAGAGAGGAATAATGGGAAAGTTTCAATCTCGTCGGTCCTTTGCGAATTAGGAACCCTCTTGTAGTCTTCGCCATTACCACCGGGATACTCCCAGTCAATATCTATTATTAGTTATTAGTCTTGATATCCCCAAAGAAAAGAAGCCAATAACCCAGAGAATGACCAGAGAAGGAAAGAGAAGAGAAGGACATACCAACACCATCAAACCCCCCATTCTTCACGACCGCCGCGATATTCCTTGCGAACCGTTCGCGCGACGCCTCGTCTTTGGTTCCCGTCGAGAACGAAGCCGTATCGCCCCAACCACCCACCGCGAACAGGACCTTTGTGTCCGGTGCGAATCGTCCCCGGAATGTTTCTACACTTTCAAATGGCGTGTAATGGGCACCTCCATCTGAGTTGAACAGCTTCGCTTCGGCGAACGCCATAATCGCGTGTGTGATGCCCTCCATCTTCTCGCGCCCCGGCATGTCTGTGGTGTGATATTGATCGGCGTACATGACGAACCGAAGGGCTGTACCCAGAGCGCTCTGCGCAAGCAGGTAGAGGGTGAGGGATGTAAGTTTCATCTTCATATTTTATGTATGTCCTTTCGGCAGATAGGGTTAAGGGAATGAATGAATGAGTTGAGGCTGGAATTGGATAAAGGAGGTACTTCGACCTATTTATATAAGGTGTTCACATGGTAACTACAAAGTTTCATTCCTCAGCTGGAATGTCAGGTGTTCATACCAGTGCAACATACTTTGGTAGCACGACCAAGCCTTGAATCTCAAACCTCAACACAGCCTGAGTCAGTCTCAAACAGAACGTGAAGATAGATCTGATAGTATTTTCACAACGGCCAGTATGCTTTAGGAAGGCAACTGACGCTCGGCTGTTTACATTCCTATATGTAGAACCGACCCTTTATGAAAAACTTTAAGATATTCATAGCGCAATCTTGGAGCTTGGCAGGACAATTTCTATATTAAAAATCCAATGATGTTATCTGCACCAGCATTCTATATACCAGACTGACTGGTGTGAAAATTGTTGGATTCTAAACAGAACCACCATTGTGACAAACCTATTCATTAAACCTCACTTGAACCACATCTCAAACATAACAATCCAAATTAAAAGATGCGTCCAGACATAGAAAAGAATAAACTCAGAAATAATGAATACAGATCAGACCAGCCATAGTTCATTCATCTAGATCTTGATATCTCGGTATGTCCTGTCATTAAATCCCGTTACGATGTCTAGATACTACTAGTACAAGTGACCAATCCGGATGCGGATGGCAGCACGGGGCCAAATATCTGGACGGAAACGTTCGACTATATAGAATAGAATATAAATAAACCACAGATCCCTCGTAGTCGTAAATATCATTCAAATAATCGGTCAAATCGAATAATCAGATAAAATCAGTATGAAGTTCATATATTTAATCCTACTTTCCCTGGCGGTTGCAATGCCTGTGCAACATCCCTTGTTACAGTCAGATGATCCACCTCAAATACAAACACATCAAACATCAACACAAGCTGAATCACAGCCTCCAACACCATCACAAATACCAGATCCACATCCAGAAACATCAATTTCAAAGTCAAAATCAAAATCGGAGAAAGAAAGACCAAACCATGGTACATTTGTTAACGCCTACTCGCGCACCCTCCATGATGCCACGCTCCCTACCACGTTCGTCCATCGATACGCGCCCGAGCTCGTCCTCCTAGGAGGAATTTTGCTTGTTCCGGTCGCGGTGGGAATTGTCTGGGTTTTGGAGATATTACAATTCATAAAATATAAATATCATGTATGTCATATTTACGTCTAATATTATATCATATCATGCATGTTCCTTCTCTTCAATCGCCCTCTTTTCATTCGCACGCATATACAGATCCACCTCGGCGGCTTCTCCCTGCGGTAGATGTCTCGCCATGGAGACAATATGCCACGGGGTAGTCGCATCGCGAAAGACATGGTTCAGCGCCTCGAGATTCCGATTCATGGTTTCTGGGTAGAAGAAATATACTGACACAGGGATACAGGCCGAGATCACCGCGTAGACGATATAGTACTGATAGCCGATAGTCTCCAACGCCACGGGGGTGATCATGACAACGACGAAGTTCCAGAGCCAGTGGTTCGCCGTGGAGATAGCGGACATGGCGACGCGGAGCCGCATGGGCGCGACCTCAGTGCAGTAGAGGAAGTTCCCGCCGAGGAATCCGATCGGGTAGAAGGAGTTGAAGAGGAAGATGAAGACGGCGGAGACGATGGAAGCAGGGTGGTTACTTTTACCGAAGGAGTTGGTGATGGCGAGGACGACCATGCAGATGGACATTCCGGCGCCGGAGACCATGAAGACGAAGCGACGGCCGAGACGGTCGATGACGAAGAAGGAGATGAAACAGCAGAGGAATTTCCAGGTCATGGCGCAGGCGGCTAGGATCTTGGCTAGGTCCTTGCTCGTGTCGAGGTTTTCTTCGAAGATGGTAGAGACGTACACGGAGATGAGGTTGCCGCCGCACATCTGCTGGAAGAACTGCAGGGCGATGCAGAGACAGAAGCGGTAGAGGAGACGTTCCTCGTCGTTTCCCGAGAACATCTCCTTCAGGGAGGATGAGCCCGCGGCGGAGGATTCGAGAGAGTTCTCGATGCCGGCCACTTCGATGCTCACGGCCTCGTCGTCTGGGGAGAGACCCTTGTAGGCGGCTAGACTGGTCGTGGCTTCGTCGATGCGGCCGACCCGGACAAGCCAGCGGGGGGATTCGGGCAGCAGGAAGACGGCGGCCAGGACGACGAGGTTGAAGGCGACGGAGACGGCAAGAGGGATGCGCCATTGCAGGTTGCCAGAAACCTTGGTAAAGCCGAAGTCGATCCAGTTGCAGAGCACGTAACCTAGACAGATGCAGATGCCGTCGACAACGACGTGCTGGCCGCGGTGTTTGGCTGAGGTGCATTCGGACTGCCAGACGGGGACGGCGACGCTCCACTGGCCGATGGCGATACCTAGGATGACGCGCCCGACGACGAACTGTGCCAGGTCATAGGAGGCGGCCTGCAGCACCTGGCCGATGATGCAGAGGATTCCTCCTAGGAAGATGGTCTTGCGACGGCCCAGACGGTCCCCGAGAAATGTGCAGCTGAGGGCACCGATGAGGGCGCCGATCTGGAAAGAGGCGACGACGGCCCCTTTCCGGGTGGAATTGGTGGATTTCTCAGCGCCATGGGTGTTGATGGTGTCGATCTGAGGGAATTGATGCACCCAGCTCTGCAGGTTGGCCAGGGGACCCAGGCCGGCCTGGTTGTAGCCGAAGAGGATGAACGCCGGGGCGACGATGAGGAAGGCTTGCGCCAGACGGAGAGATTTTCCGACGAACATCCTGTCTACACCAGGCGAGATGGAGACGGAGGAGAAAGAAAGGATGGAGAGGAGGATTTATACTCTAGAAAATTCTGGAGACCCCGCATGGTACAACGCTGTACGGGGAGTGTCAGACAACTTGGGTAGGGAGGTAGGCCGTGGAGTGTGGAGTATACAGAATAGGGACATATCGTATACTCGGAATGTGGGATCGATCAGTCACATGGATCCACTACTCGGGACGAGACCGAGGAGACCGCGTTAATGATTGGGTTGGATATAGATAGTGGATATAGAGAAAATTCTAATTCTTGGCTTATGTCTTTCCTTGGTAATTCTTAACTGTCTTGGTATTCTTGGTGTGCTTGTTTGTACATCACATCTAGTACAATATCCATATAGCTGACCTATACACTCCATAGTATCTACACCGTATGTACTACAGATAGAGATTACTGAGATAATAAAGAAACCACAGCTGCTGTCACATCCTCTGTCGACGCGGTCCCTCCCAGATCCACCGTCTGAATCCCTCGTTCACAGACCGTCTCCACTGCGTCCATCAGCCGTTGCGACGCCGTCTCTTCCCCCAACCAAGCTAACATCTCCGCTGCAGTCCAAAAGGTCGCCACTGGATTCGCCACGCCCTGACCCATAATATCCAAGGCGGATCCATGAATCGGCTCAAACATGCTGGGATATTTCCGGGTCGGATCCAGGTTTGAGGTCGGTGCAATCCCAATGGAACCGGCCAGAGCCGCCGCCAGATCGGAGAGGATGTCCGCGTGCTATGTATTCATTAGCATTTCTTTTGCGTAATAAGAAATAAGAAAGAAAGGAATACCAAATTACTAGCCACAATCGTATCCAAACTCTCCGGCTTCAACACCATCCGAGTCGTCATAGCATCCACCAACATCTTATCCACCCTTACGTCGGGGAACTCCCAACCAACCTCCTGTGCCACTTCATCCCAGAGCACCATGCCATTCCGCTGCGCATTACTCTTCGACACGACCGTCAGCAGTTTCCGGGGTCGACGCTGCGCCGTCTCGAACGCGAACCGAAGGATACGCTCCACGCCCAGCCGACTGAAGACCGCCGTCTCCGTGGCTACTTCCCATGGACAGCCACGATGTGATCGGCCCCCATGTCCCGCGTACTCGCCCTCGCTGTTCTCGCGCACAATCACCCAGTCGAGGTCGTTGCGTCCGCACCGTCGGAGCGGGGACTGTGTGCCGCGTAGTATCCGTGTCGGGCGCACATTGGCGTATTGCTGGAGGGGTTGGCAGATGGCGAGACGGAGACCCCAGAGGGAGACGTGATCGGGTACGTCTACTTACTCTGTTAGCATCGGAGGAGATATCCTAGTAATACTACTAGATATACGGGGAATACCTGATGCTCCCACCGCGCCGAATAAAATGGCATCGTGACGACGTAGCTCGTCTAACCCCCCGTCAGGTATGTAGTATCCGGTTTTCTTGTAGGTGTCAGAACTCCAATCGTAATGGGTGAAATCCAGCGTAAAGTCGAAGGTCTTGCTGAGGGCTTCCAGGACCTGCACGCCGGCTGCGATGACCTCGGGACCGATGCCGTCACCGGGGATGGCTGCGATTTTGTATGACTTCATTGATACATAATATATATAGAGCGAGATATGTAGAGAGAAAGAGAGATACATAGAATATTATACATAAATACTATACTACACCGGAAATGTCCGAGATCCGGACCGACTCGGAATGAATTCCTCCATCCCGGCAGTCATCTTTGACCATTTCTCTTTGTATGCAGATACACTATAGACTATTCAGTTGCTATCATATATAGTTAGATTTGTATCAATTGACAAGACCATCCAGCCCAGCAAGACTTGGCATTTCTTTATTATTTAGTAATTTCTTATTAGTAACTTCATATCGGATGAATTAGGAACCCCCACGCTTCTTCCGAACTCCCCAGACTTAGACATCCGACGCCTCTCCACTGGGGGCCAACCCTATTCTCTTGGCCATGTCCACTTGTTCTGGGCATGGAGTCTTCTGACTGAAAATAAAAAATAAAAAATAAAAAATAAAAAATAAAAATAGAGAAAGAGAAAGAATACCGAGGGAAGTCCGCACAGAATCAAACCATCACATCTGCGAGTTTCTGAATTTATCCTGAATAAACACATGTAGTCTATGTTGACCGACTACATACACTACAAACATACGTAAATTTAGGACAGTAAGATCTGGAGAATAGTGGAATGCACATCGAGATAGAAAGGGGAAAATTTCTCTACTGTGTATATCTACCTATACTCGTACGGTCTACCAGACGATTGGCCACCAGTCATCATTAAGAATAAGTAAATAAAGTGATAATTATACATTTAAGAAAAAAGTAGAAAGAATCTACTTAGCAAGTACTCTTGCACTAGAACCAATCCTAGAGTCAGCAACACAGCTTCCCCCTACTCAGATAGCTCGAGCAGCAGCCCTCCTGGTGGTCGCAGGACGTAAAACATTCTCCAGGGTTTAGGACAGAGTACAATCCGCCGCATCGTAGGTAAATTGCAGCGGCATGACATCATTCTCCCGATGTTGGTTGAGATTCAAATTGGACACTCGAGGGGGAGGCTGACTGACGCCTTCAGGGGTTGAAGCTCCTCAGAATTCAACACCTTCTCCCAAGCTCCAACGTATACTGGAACGTATTGGCGAGAATCGCCCTTGGGTGACCTGTCCGCCCCGAGTGCCGCCCATCCACTGCATCGGGCCATACTGCGGACGGCTCCGAATGCAACAGTCTTGACGCCTTCGTATTTCATCATCTCAATGAAGATGGGGCAGGACGAACTGCAGACTCCGTCGGTAATCTGTCACCGTTAGATTATACTTCTAGCTTTGGATAATTTAAAACCCTTAGACATACAATGAGAACATCCTCCGACTTGAACGGAGAGCTGGCCTCATCCTTCGCATCGCTGTATGCGTGAATGGGCGTGTCGTCGTCGGAGGACGAAAAGTCGAGGGAAGCGAGACTCGACATGTTGGAACCCAGCTGCTCGTAGGACCCTACACTTCCTCCCAGAGCTGGTACTGATATGTCTGATTCGGCGTCATGAAGTTCAAGAGGCCTAGATGGACCACATTGTCGTGGATTCCACCAAATGCCCACTTAGTGGGCAGCTGGAAAAAGATCTTTTCGAGGTGTTTGTATACCTCATGCTACGGATCCGCGAGGCAAAGTAGGGCGCCTTCTTGCGGAAAAGGGGCTTGAACAGGTCAAAGGCATACTTCGCGTTGCTGTTACGCACATTGAAGGTGGGAACGGTCAGGACAGCAATGCCCTTCAGCTCTGGTTCATCCAGGAGGTACCCGGCAATGAGGTTCTGTTTGTCGCGCACCACAGCGTTAGGATAGTTTAACGGGCCTAGGAGGGCCTTCTCAGTAGCTGTAGGGGTCGGGGTCTGAGAAGGCGCAGTTCAGAAGGTGTAGTTGCCTCCGATGGAGTAGGCACGCAGACAATCTTAAAGATACTCTCGCCGTCGTCCACCAATTCGAGCTCTGCAGGAGAGAAAGCTAGCGTCTGAAGTCGGATGGTGTTGCCGTTGGCGACTCCAAGACTGTACTCTGCAGCACCTGACCACAGTGGCTTCATGGACCACGACCCGGTAATAGAACCAGCATAACAAGTGTAAGAGAGGAAAATTGTATTAATGCTGTTACGTTTGTCGGGTAGGGCAGGAGCCGATTCGGCGAGTGCATTCGTACTTGGCATCTGGGTCTTGGAAGAGCTCTTGCAGAGCCATATTCTCTAAGAAAGAGACAGCACCAACACCGTTCATAATGACCAGTGGCGACACGTCGTGGGTGCTGGATTTAAGGGCTTGCAGGTGCTCTGCGAACTATTTTCAGTTTTATTGCATGACAGAAAGGACGTTGACCTAGTCATTGTGTAGAGCTGAGGCAGCTCCAGTCCGTCAGCAGAGATGGAGACCAAGGGGAGCTCAACCCCGAAATTAAACACGCTGCCCGAGCGCTGAATGAATGCTGAGATGGCCATCTTTGGGGGACTAAAGGATCCCTGGCTGTGGTGTCAAAATCAACCTAACCTGTGCGGTTGCTATTTGCACCCACTTGCTGCAAATATTCTAAGCCTACCCAGAGATCTGCGGGGGGGAGGGGGGGGGATAGATACGATGTAGGCGGGTCTGTCCGGTGAAATCATCAGTTGGCTATCATTGCATGTACTTCTTGAGATCCTCGATCAATGCAGCGCTTCTCTTTGCACCGAACACCATCGACTGTGACATAGATATGCCAGGGAGCTCGACAGTGGCACACCGAGTTTCGTTTCTAGATCATGTCAGTATTCTTCTGTCTCTGTACGTAGAAGCTTACTGACTGCCTTCTTTGTAACTTGCGCGTCCTGGGCGGACAGCTGAACAGAAAGATTGCGTACAACTAGGGGGAGGGATGATAGAGAGGCCCCCAGCAATTGTTAAAACAAGGGAAGGCCTCATCAACATTGTGATGCCTTGATTAGGGGCTGACCGTTTGTTGCGAATGAACGTATCCTAGGACTTTGGGAACAAACAGGACATTTTATCTTGCCTTCGGCCTCGAAGATCTAAGTAGTAATATACAATGGAAAGAGAAATAACCATGCTGGAAAAATTCATCTATGTTTGATATCCCTTTGAGCCTCCGCAACGTATCCACTGGATGCAATCAAAAATATCTGTCCACATTTCATGATGCAAAAAAGTCATAAATAATCTTCTTGCATAAAGTTGTCTTCCCTACCCCAGGACGTCCTCGGATCAGGATCGTTCTAGCCGTGCCATAGCACCATCTAAGCATTTTCGGCTCTCGAATAGGTTTGGTAATGTGACCTTTCTCTCGGAGGTAGTTGTTGTAGCTTTCAAACGCTTCAAGGCCCAAGAGGAAAAACGAGAATGACGCGTCTTCTGTCGTGGTATCCGCACCAGTTGGGCCGTATTCTACTACAGAAAGATTAATGTAGCACTGTTCCATATCCAGAAGATCGCCCGAAAGGCATCTGATCTCAAGGCGTCCTTTCTGAGAATAATGTTTCTATATCTGGACATCGGTATAAAACTTCTGGGCCTCTTTACTACACTTACTCCATTCCTCTCTGAATAATCCATCTTGAAGATTCGAGGTGTTCGTCGTAGTTAAGGGAGGTATGGCTAGATCGCATGTATATTCCTAATTTCTCAACCACGATATCTATACTGCTTGCCGGGACAATTGGTTCTTCGACTGAGGCTGAGCACGTGCATCAGAAAGCAGATGTACCTATGCTCGAGATTGTTGGCATTCAAAATCCAGACGAAAGGTAAGCTCAATAATCTTGACAATTTGAGGTCTGTTGGGGAGGTCAGATTTCAGGGCTTGTTCAAGGTGAGCATACAAGCCGCACAGAAATGCCTCTTTCCTCCGGCAAGATTGGCAGGAATAAAGTCTGTGAGCTTTCTGAACTCCATAGACTCAAGCATCATGTCAGAAGATCAAAGGGCCCTATACTAGGCGGCTCACTTAGGTTGCTCTGCATTCTTTTCATTGTTATACTTGAAATGGGCATCCTTGATCATATCAACTGCTGACTCCATCAAATCAGGCATTTGCTGTAGGTTCAGAATAGCTTTAATATACGTCCAGGATCTGTGGTTGGAGCAGCACCGGCTATTTCAGCATTCTGCCACAGCCCAGGCGTTACGCAAAAATACTTTGTATGAGCCGTCGTCGTTCGAAATTGTAAGTAAAGCTCCATGACTATACCCCACCACTTGGGCTAGACGGAGCTCGGAACGATCGCGCAGGGGTTTCAGCTGTTCGAGCAGGAGGTCATGTATCTTGACCCGTCAAAAGCCATAGACTTTCAGGTTGAGCTAGCATCACACGTTGCTAAACATTTGACAAGGCAGGCAGTTTCAGTGTGTTTTGACAGGCCAAGCGAAGCTGGCATGCTGCTACTCACATAAGAAAGAGGAGATGCGGGAGAATAGGGAGCAACCTGGATGAGTAGGCAGGCAGTAGAGATAAAATCCTGTGTGCATAGGAAAGTACAGACGCTCAGCTCTCACATTCTGTCTACTATCAGGGCATCAGAGAGGAAACCAGGGAAGAAACCAAGGCCTGTGAGCATTGTGATGATATTTAGAGTCCATAATCAACAATCTTGTTTATTTTGAATCAACTATTTCGCTGTACGGAGAAGTGATGGAAGAGGGGAAGTTGGGAAAACAAAAGAGGAAAAGAACGACCAGAGCATATCGTACCTGATCACCTGACGAATGTTTCCGCATGCCGCACGATTTTCTACTTCTACACCGACTTTTCTAAACCACTACAACACCACCAACATGAGCTCAATTGAATCAGCTCTTGAAGAGATAGAGTCATTGGGGCCTGAAGAAAGGCTCAATTATGCAAAAATTGCCAAAAAGCATGGGGTTAGCCGGACAACGCTGTCAAAACGCCATCGCGGGATCCAGGGCTCTCGTCAAGAGCAGTACGAAAAACAACGAATCCTTAATGACCAGCAGTCAAAGGAGCTTATTAAATGGATCAATCAGCTTACCGATCGCGGCTTACCACCTTCTCATGAGATGCTACGCAATTTTGCAAAGGATATTACTGGAATAAAGCCTGGATTTCAGTGGCCATTTCGATTCTTAAAGAAACACCACAAAGAGCTTATCTCGCAATATTCAACTGAGATGGATGCTTCGTACAAAGTGGCTGGTTCTGCATATAAATATGCACTATACTTCAACCTTCTGGCCCGAAAGATTCAGGAATATGATGTTCAACCTCAGGATATCTACAATATGGATGAGAAAGGCTTTCATATTGGAGTGCTATCAGAATGCAAAAGAATTTTTTCCCGACGAAACTATGAGCAGGGAGGACTTAAAGAACGCCTGCATGATGGCAATAAAGAGTGGATTACTACAGTTGCATGTATTTGCGCGGATGGAACAGTTCTTCCACCAGGTCTTATTTACCAGGCCTCTTCAGGAGATATTCAAGATAAATGGCTTCAAGATTTTAATTCTGACAATCAGGAGTGTTTCTTCGCCTCATCACCTAGTGGTTGGACTAATAATACGCTAGGGTTGGCCTGGGTCAGAGATATCTTTGACCGCTCTACAAAAGCAAAGGCAAGGAGGCGTTGGAGGCTTCTTATTCTTGATGGCCATGGCTCCCATATTACCATGGGATTTATAAACTTCTGTGACGCCCATAAAATCCTTTTAGCGTTCTATCCACCGCATTCAACATACAGTTTACAACCTCTTGACGTCTCTCTTTTTGGTCCTCTTTCTAACGCATACGGCACTGAGTTGGAGCAATTTATGAATAATGGTCAAGGAATTTGTCATATTACAAAGCAGGACTTCTTTCCACTGTTTTATAGAAGTTGGAACAAGTCTTTTACAGCTTCAAATATCAACAGCGCATGGAAATCTGTTGGTCTGCATCCCTGGAATCCGGAAGTTGTTCTAGCCCGCTTTAGCCAAAAGGAAGAGGAAAGACCCTCTTTTGCTAAAGAAGATAATAAGTTACGCCGGCAGCAGGAGAAGGAAGAGAGACAACAGTTAATGGAAGAACGCAAGAGAATACGGGCTTTTAATAAAAGCCAACGGATGCTAGAACAGGACCAAAAGAGACGCCAAAAAGAAGAAGAGAAAGCCGCAAAAAAAGCAGATATACAGCTTCAAAATGACATCCAGCAGGCTGTTAAGGACAAGAAGAAAGATAAGGAGCCTGCTAAAAACGAAAAGGAAGATATTATTAAAGAAAATAGGGGGGTTGTTGAAGCGGCACCTGTTACTGTAAATAGACGAGGAAGGCAAATACGGCTTCCACAGCGATTCCGGGAGGACAAAAATTAGCTATATAGCTTCTTCAAGTCATGTATCTTATTACACCAAGAGATCCGACCACTATATTAAATAGGTGTTGTTGTATATTGAAGCGATCTCGACACGATCACTATGATTCCGGGGAAAGGGGGCAGAAGAACACTATACAGCTACACGCACGTAGCCTATACTAAGGTCCGTATTTGAGGGTATCTATATTGCCTTAATTACTATCTGGTGGACGCACACTTCCCCTTCCAGGAGTAGGGGCAGATAATCAGGGGAAATACCCCACAACGTGCCCAGGCACTAGGCACTGGGTTCATATATTTCCATATCATGTACCTTCATATTTGCGTTGGTGGTTGACACCGAAAACCGTGCAGCAGGCGAAAACGTCCGTCATGTGATCAAATAGTTACCATTAATTCACAATTAGTCAGCTGTTTATGCAGTAGTTATAAGTTCCCTATTCGGCAGCATGCTGAGGAATCAACTTCATTCGATCTGGAGAATTGTTGTTATTCTCGTTGTTGTTATTGTTGATATTGTTGATTTTTAATTTATAAGCTATCCATGGCTTCTCTCTCATAAAAGGTCAATCACTTATATTTTATGCTCATAAACTGTTCGACAGAGTGTACAAAGTAAGTCAACATGTAGCTGTATTTGATAGATTATTGACTTTCGCAAGGTAATCTAAGTATAGCTTTTCAGGCCACTGTCAGTTCCTTTAGCCTGCAGTCAGTATGACAGTTGATCAAATATCAGTCCTGCTGGAGTTCGATAGTTAAATGCATCTACGACACAGAATATTACCGACACCCGATGAGGGGCTTCCCCTCATCTCATCTCCTCTCCTCTCTCATCTCTTCATCCCATTTATCCTCTATCAAATATCCTTATCATATAATTATCATAAAATATCAATATGCATCAACTCCCCTTCCAGGTAAGCCATAAAATCTAGTACTGTCATATTAGCATCAGTTGACCAACATGACAGCTCAACAATCCTGATCTGCTGCACTTCGACTCGTTTGTCGGCAATGCCTGGGTGACCGCGCAGTCAGGCGAGCGATTTGACGTCGTCGGTAAGTCATCTATTCTCTTCCTTTGTTTGCTATTGTTGATCTTAATGACGTGAAGACCCGGGTACCGACCTCCCCTGGGCCAGCTGTCCCACCAACTCCGCCACCGACGTCGACGCCGCCGTGCGGAACGCCCACGCAGCCTTCCAGGACTTCCGCCACGTAAGTGCGCGCCAGCGCGCACAGTGGCTGTTAGCCTGGGATGCGCTCATCCGAGCCGCCAGGGACGACTTAGCGCAGATCATCACGCACGAGACGGGCAAGCCACTGGCCGAGGCACGCGGCGAGATCGACTATGCAACCAGCTTCACATGGTGGTTCGCCGGCGAGGCGGAGCGCATCCATGGTAACGTCAGTGTGGCGGCCGTACCTGACCGGCGAGTCTTCACCCTGAAGCAGCCTATCGGCGTAGCCGCCGCCCTGGTACCATGGAACTTCCCTGTGGCCATGGTACTCCGCAAGGCGAGTGCCGCGCTTGCCGCCGGCTGCACCATGGTGGTCAAGCCGAGTCCCGAGTCGCCCGTATCGGCCCTTGTGTTGGCAGAACTGGCGCGTCAGGCCGGGTTCCCTGCGGGAGTGCTGAACGTGTTGACGACGGATCTGGTGCAGACGCCGGCGCTCAGCGAGGCGTTGTGCAGACATCCGCTCGTGCGCAAGGTCTCCTTCACCGGGTCGACGCACGTGGGGAAGCTGATCGCGCGACACTGCGCCGACGGGCTGAAGAAGTTGACGTTGGAGCTGGGCGGTAATTGTCCATTCGTAGTGTTCGACGATGCCAACCTGTCCCGGGCGCTGGACCAGCTCATGGCGCTGAAGTGGCGCCATGCCGGTCAGGCTGCATCACCGCCAACCGAGTGTACGTGCAAGCAGGTGTGTACGAGCGGTTTGCGGAACTGCTTACGGAGCGCACCCGGGCGCTGGTGGTCGGCCACGGTGCGCAGGCCACCACCACGATGGGGCCGCTGACCACGCGGCGCGGGCTGGACAAAGCGCAGGGGCAGGTGGACGATGCGCGACAGCGCGGGGCGCAGGTGCGACTGGGCGGACATCGTCTGGAGGGAAAACAGGGGTACTTTTTCGCCCCGACAATCCTAATGGACATGACGGCGGAGATGCGGGTATCGCAGGAGGAGTCATTCGCACCCCTTGCAGCGCTGTATAGGTTCGAGACAGAGGCGGAGGCGGTGCGGCTGGCTAACAACACCAGCATGGGACTGGCCAGCTACGTGTTCACGCAGGACGTCGATCGCATCTGGCGACTGTTCGAACAATTGGAGGCGGGCATGGTGGGCCTGAACACGGGCAACTCGTCGGCGGCAGAATCGCCCTTTGGTGGGATCAAGGATTCGGGGTACGGCAAGGAGAGCGGACGGGGGGTGGCGGTGGACGAGTATCTAGTGACGAAAACGGGGACATTGACGGTGGGCTTGTAAGTCGCATGGGGACCGAGGTTTCTGCAATTCGTATCTAGGGTTTGTATCTTGGTCGTGTAAATTGCCTGATATGGTTAGCGCATCTAATGGAGTAATTGCCGTGGTGATCTATTACTTACGGAATACCTACTTTTGATCATTCCTCTCTTTTTTTAGTCTTTCTTTCTTTCTCTCTCTCTTTTCTCCCTTCATCTCTCTTTCTTTCTCTGTAGAGAGAGAGATATATACATAAATATATATCAAAATGGACCTCTCCCCCCTGCGCCACCTGGTCCGCTCACATCCGGTCATCGACAACCATGCCCATAATCTGTTGACCGCCTCCGCCACCCGCAACTATGCCCGGTACCCGCTGGAACAGATCACCTCGGAGGCACAAGGCGCCGCTCTGGCCAACGCCCCCGCCAGCCTGCCGCTGCTGCGCGCTGCCGGGGAGTTGCGCTGGCTCTATGGCAGTGCCTCGGACGACTGGCTCGCCGTGAAAGCGGCCCGGGAGGACTGGGTGCGTCGGGACTACGACGGACTGGTGCGTCGCTGTCTAGAGGGTACGCACGTCCTATTACTAGACGATCTACTCACTGAAGACGATATCGAGTCATATGTCTGGCATGATCGGTTCACGACGGGGTCCACGCGGCGCATCGTACGCATCGAAACGCTGGCGACACGCTCCCTGCGCCGACTCCGAGAATCGGGTTCAAATCCCCGACGTTTCTCCGAGACATCCTCGTCGTCATCGACATCATTATCGTGGACGGAATTCCGTGATGATTGGGAACGGCAGATCCGCATGGCCATTGCCGACCCCGCCGTGGTGGGGTTCAAGTCCGTGGTCTGTTACCGAACAGGGCTTAACGTGAACCCGTACGACGAGGACGAGGATGTGCTTCAGGCGTCCTTCATGCGATGTTTGAACCACCCTGAGGCCCGCGTCGAGGATAAACCGCTGAACGACTGGCTCGTACGACAGACTCTGATTCTCCTGGCCGCGTCGCCGGATGTCCGCAAACCGCTGCAGCTGCACACAGGACTGGGCGACAGCGACATCGACCTGGTGCTCTCCAACCCGGCGTATCTGCAGCCGTTGGTGGCGCGGTTCCCCTCGGTGGATATTGTGCTGCTGCACTCGGCGTATCCTTACACGCGTCAGGCGGGATATCTGGCATGCGTCTACGACAATGTCTATCTGGATCTGGGCGAGGTGTTTCCCATGGTGAGTCGCGACGGTCAGAAGAAGATCCTGCGTGAGGCGTTGGAGATCGTGCCCACGACGCGTCTGCTCTGGAGTACCGATGGTCATTTCCATCCTGAGACTTTCTGGCTGGCCAACAGACAGTTCCGTCAGTCATTGGAGACTGTCCTAGTGGATTACGTGCAGCTGGGGGATCTCTCGATGCAACAGGCCTGCGTCGCGACAGTGGACATTCTCTTTCAGAACTCAAATCGAATCTACAATCTGAACGAGGTGCCTATCCTCTCAAAATCAACCTCTCTCTCTCCCCCCCTCTCATCCCCATCAAACACTCTGGATACCTTCCTGAACGCCCACCCCCAGATTAAATACATCTGGATGCAATTCTACGACTACACAGCGACCCCGCGCGTACGTATCTTCCCGGTGCGCGAATTCCGGCGCATTGCGCGTCGCGACCGTCGCGTGGGCATCTGTCTCGCGATACAATGGATGCTCCAGACAGACAGCGTGGCACCGCAGGGCTCTGTGACGGGGCAATTCTATCTTCATCCGGATCTCACGACGCTGCGCCCAAACGCGGGATTAACCTCTCCCTCTGCATCGGTGATGACTTTCTGGCGGACGGAAGAAGATACGATTCTCCCGGGGTGTCCCCGCTCTCTCCTCCAGTCTATGACGGAAAGGTTTCTGTCGAAAGATATCACCGTTACCTGTGGATTTGAAATCGAAGTCGTTTTTCTCCGTCTGTCAGATAATACCCAGAGAGACACACAGAGAGATACAAAAGAATATATCCCCAGTGCAACAACCCACTCCTGGTCCCAAATGACCCCTCACTCACGCCTTCTCCTCCCCATGCTAGAGGAAATCACCGAAACTCTCGAAACAATCAACATCCATATCCAACAATTCCACGCGGAGTCTGCACCGGGGCAATTCGAATTCATCCTCCCTCCATCCACCCCCCTCGATGCAATCGACTCCCTTCTAACGGCGAGACAAGTGATCGTCTCCGTCGCAGAGAAGCACAACCTCCGCGCAACTCTCCACCCGCGTCCATTCCCCTCCGCAGCAGGCACAGCAGCGCACGCACACGTCTCAATCACCCCTTCAGCAAAAACAACAGAGGAATCCTTCCTGGCTGGTCTGATGACGCATTATCCGTCGGTCATGGCATTTACCCTCTCCAATGAGGAGAGTTACAGTCGTGTGGAGAGTGGGCTCTGGGCGGGGAGTGAATGGGTTGCATGGGGGACGCAGAATCGTGAAACGCCGGTGAGGAAGATTGCAAAGGGTCATTGGGAGATTAAAAGCCTCGACGGATTGGCCAATATGTATCTCGCTATGGCGGCAGTGTTGGCCGCGGGATGGGTGGGTGTTTCTCGGGGGTTGGAGCTTGGTGTTAGGGATTGTTTGTGTAAGTTCTTTTCTATCTCCCCTTTCTATCTCGGGGTACGGGGGATGTTTTGAAAGATAAGCTAATGCTAGTAAGTTGATGCCGCTATTCTTTCACCCGAATCGAGATCCTCTCTGGGTATCACTACCAAACTGCCTAAATCTCTCGTGCAGAGTCTGGATGCCCTGGAGAATGACTCCGTTCTGCAGGACGTTCTGGGTCCGGACCTCGTCAAGAACTATATCATCGTGAAGCGGTTCGAGAGGGAGATGCTCCTAGCCATGGACGAGGAGAAGCGTCGTCAATGGTTAATAGAGAGATATTAACCACATACATCAAACTGTCCTTTTTTATATGTATATATTCAATCAATCTTAAGGGTATCTGTCTCATGCTCCAATAAACGCCATAATACACCATTTATCCCATCTGATCGACAAGTCCATTCTCCCACTTTGCTAGTAACCGAGACACCTCCTTGAATGACACTGGTTTCGTCAGGAATAAATCCACCCCCGCTGCGAGTGCCTCCGTCTCATCGTGCGAGCTGCTCAGTCCCGTCAACGCAATGATAATCGCCGACTCGCCGTCGCGTTCCTTCTCCAGCGACCGGATCGCCCGCGTAGCTTCGAACCCGTTCATCACAGGCATTGACATATCTAATCATTAGCTTGCTGTTTCGAGAAGTGAAATAGAATAGAATATTCACCCATAAAAATTATGTCATACCCCGGCAACATCCGTTCCACCGCATCCACAGCTGATTTACCATTGTCCGCAGAGTCCAACGTGTGCAGGTTGCGCCTCTTCAGGAACATCAGCATCAGATTTAAATTGATCGAGTTGTCGTCCACCACCAGGATCCGCGCCCGTCGCGGCATCGGAGGTACCGGTGTCTTCTCATCTGGAACACCGGGGACGACGGCGCGTGAGCAGGGTTGCACTGGAGACGGGGGAGTCACGATAGTCGCCAACGGGGACTGCTCGATCTCCGCCGCCGGTGTCTGCACCCCGAGCGACGACGACGACGCCCCCGAACTGACCGTGTCCGGCATTACATCCGTGGCAGTGTCCCATATATCCACCACCGCCTTGCTCTCTTGCATCTCGCTGGCGGCGGGAGTGCTCTCGCTGCCTACCAAGATCCGAGGGTATGGCCGTTCCGGCAACAATATCTTCTGCGGCGTGGCAGTTTTTGAGCCTTGCTGCTCATCCAAACATCGTCGGACGAGCTGCGCCAGCTTCTGCGGCCCGCATGGCCGGTGGATGATCTTCACGCGGCTTGCGAGCATCCCAAATTCGACGCGTGCGGTTTGGTCGATGGATTGGTTACAGATGATAAGGAGAGAGGGTATAGTGCTATGGAGGCGGCGAAGGGAGTGCTGCATCCCAGAAGTCAAGCCCAGCTCGTTCGTCAGGACGAGATCCACCGGGGTCGGGGACGGCCACGAAACCAGCTCGAGGCCGTACCAATCCGTCAGGTAGCGCGAGATGACGGACCAGAAAGGGTGCTGCTCGGCAGCCGCACGCTCGAACCCAAGGATGGCTGCCCGTCGCCCCCTGTGCGACTCGCGTAGCGCAGCATTTTCGCCTATCTCTGCGACCTCCCTCGGCGATAGTGCGCGAGGATCAATCGCATCATCCACAGATACCTCGGTCTGCAGGCGTAGCAGGGGCAGCGTCACCTTGACGACGGTTCCCTCTCCTGGCTGGCTGTGGACGTTGATGCTTCCGTGCAACGATCGCACCAGACTGCGCACAATCGACAGACCCAGTCCCGTGCCCACAGCTAAAGTGTCCTCCTGCGCGAACGGAGTATATAGACGGCCGCGGAGGAACTCTTCCGAGATGCCTTTGCCCGTGTCCGACACCGTAAATGTCACCAAGTCCTCCGCACCGTGCCGGCGTGCGCGGTTGTCCGATAGCTCCGTCACGTCCATGCGCAATGTGATGCGGCCTGATTCGGTGTATTTCATGGCGTTGCCAAAGATGTTCATGATGATGCGGCGCAAGGCTCCCGGTTGAGCCATATATACCCAATCGTTCGGAACGATATCTACAACCACTTCTACCTCTGACCGCAGTTGCGCTGCGGCCCCCTTTGGAAGGTTTGTCTGAGCGGCCGCTGCATTCGCCGGGAGCACATACTGGTCGTGCGCAGCGGTGGACTTTTGGCCGTAGAAATGTCCCACGCAGACTCCCTCCACCACTTCCTCGGCCAGGAGTGCAATATCTGTCGCCATATTCGTGTCCAGATGTGCCGACAGTTTCTCCAATGGCTTCGCATCCGGCGCGGTCCTGCCCCGCCTCGTATCACGCCAGGTCTTCTCCAAGGAGACAATTTTGCTGAAATCCAAAACTTGATTCATCGTATCCAACAAGGTCCGGCCACATGCGTTGATAGTTTCCAACAGGGATTCCTGGAATTCGTCGAACTGGGTCTCACTCAGGAACTCGACAGCCGCCAAGATTCCATGGAGAGGACTACGCAGTTCGTGTCTTGTCCCTTGTATTAGTACCTATCTATGTATGTGTTTGGATGCACGCATCGGGGACTTACGAGATACTTCCAATAAAATCCCCCTTCTGGCGGTCGGAGATGAGTGACTCCACCCGGTTGCACTCCACCATAACCGAAGACCCAAAGCCTAGGATCGAGCTCAACTCCACCGAGGCATTGAAGACACGCGTCTCCTCCGTGGTCCAGCAGAAGCAACCACCAAACCATTGGGAGTTGGCCGCATTCCACAGAGGTACGAAGATGACCTGGGTGGCGTTGGGGAAATAGAGATTCAACATGGAATTTTCAAAGGTCTTCCACTTCTTCCCACCACCGCCTTTGCCCAATTCTGGGGGCCTAGACCGATACCTGCAGTGGTTCTCGTCGTCCGAACTGGAGACCACGCCATCCCGATGGAATGACCACAGCTTTCCCTTGGAATACCGGCGCAGCAGCTGCCGTAGAAACCCGCCGTCAAGGTTAGTCGCAGGGTAAAGCATCATCGAGCCAGGGCGCGGCGCGAAGGGGTCTTCGTTGGTGGAAATAGCTAGGACGGGGGCGGGATTGTTGGTTTCCCCATAGCCCGAGTAGTCACTGCCAATTTCAAAGTCATTCAGCATTGGACTATTGCTGGCTTCCAGGAACATGACCCCGCCTTCGGCATCCAGTTCGAGACTTTCGCGCAGCAGGTTGGCTGCTCGTCGGAACGCCCAATGGTGGTCGTGCGAATTTTCTTGTCCCTTTTGCCGGCTGCCCGACCACCATTCCGGTAGCGCCGAGTCCGGCGCTGGCGAGCATTGGTCGGTTTTGTATTCGGATGTAGAGGTAAAGGAACGGGTATCGGTACTGGGGGATCGACGGGAAGGGAAGTCGAAGCTATTGGTCGACCCAACCGAGAGATGATTGCCTCTCGCGTAGGACGGAGGCGTTCCAGGGGCACAGGCGCCATCGTGCGAGGGGTGAGCCATATCTACTAAGCTGGAGCTACCTTCGACGAAGCAGCTGAGGCCGTGAGACAGACGTGAGGCACGCCGGCCCTCGGACGCTTGTCGACTCACCCGGAGATAATCCATGACCAGCATCCCCAACGAGCCCATTGTTTGTTTCTCCTCGTCGCTGAGTCCCTGGCGAGGCTTGGTATCGAAAAGAAAGAAACATCCGATGTTAATGTTGGTGGCCGTCGTCAAAGGCGTTCCGGCGTAAAATCGAAAATGGGGCTCTCCCTGTACAAATGGCAAATTCTTGTACCGCACATCCTTGCTCAAGTCGTTCAACACCATGAAATGATACTGTCCGGATTCACGATTGGACGGTGGGAGATCCAAGGTTGACTATACCGAGACCGGTCAGTTGATCAACAATGTCAACAACGAGAGAAGACCGTTTCCTGGGAAGGGCTATCCTCCGTACCTTACACATCTGCCATGCACTGCACGACACAGAAGAGCAACCACCCCAGACTCCGTTTCCCGTCGCTTCATAATTCGTCTGGGAACAGGATTGGGTAGATTGCGCTAGGATGAATTGTGAGGTGCGGTCCGAGACACTTTGCGGTAGTTAGTATAGCTAATAGACCTTTCCCTCTTTATTCAGCACACCCACCTGATCAGAACCCGGTCGACATTCAGCCGTAATGCTGCCAGGTGCGCAAAGGAGGTCAGCGTAGCATTGTGATTACCCAGGACCAAGTTTTCCGACAACAGCGACACGGGACCCAAATTGGGCATGGACACTGGTATGGGCGACAATGCAGGCGACGGGGGAGCTGGATCGGAACCATCGTTGGACGCAGACAAAGTATATGATTCACTCGAAGGCATCCTTTTTATATTGGCTAGGGGATGACGTTCGGGTTGGAAGAAGCTGTAAAGCTCGCGGGTGCGGCGGCCATTCTGGCGCTCTTCGCCTCTTTTTTTACGGGATTCCATGATGGTTGGAAGGACTGGAGAGAAGGAGCATCAATCCAGGTCCTGAATCATTGTTTTGTCCCTTGGACGGTTGAAGCGTGGCGGAAACCCAGGGGCGACGAGCCACCAAAGCCAAGGAGAAGGGAGTAGAAAATGAAGATGAAAAGATAGAGAAGTCCCAATGAGAGTGGGGAATGGGGGGAAACAAACAAGAGATGAGGGAGGTGAGCAAAGGCTGAAACGCGGGAAGACGCACTCATGTATTAGGTTTCATCTGACGGAGACGGAGGGTCCGGCCTTGGCCATGAATAGAAGGGTATATCCAGCCATGAGATGAAGAGTGGCAACGGACTTCCTCTTCCTGTTCGATGACGAAGTGAAATCCGGGTTCCCGGCTCTTCTAGAACGGGTCGAACCAACAGAAAACAGAGAGTCATCTGGTTCGTCCCGATAAACAATGGAATGGAATTCTAATTCTACCGATCATCCGCCATAGGAGACACCGGTTGATACTGTGGATGATGAATGGAGAATGTCCTGAAAACAACCATCAGGCGTACGATGATGCCGGATTGTTCATTCTGGTGGATTCCGCACGTCAATCGAAATGTTGAAATGCATCTCGACCGGGAATTCAAGGGAGGAGGACCGCTTCGGGACTGTCGCTAGTTCGTTCCTGGACTAGCGGAACTTTAGACCTTGTGCCTCGGCTGACTAACCCACCAGTTAGATGGTTCCATCGGAGCCACTTTCTCCAGGCTGCAAGGTGTCCAATCTCCACGCCACGCCGCGGTTTAGCGCTTCTCCTTTAATTCCCATCCTAGAGAAGGAACAGCACCTATATCATGGTAGTGTTTCAGAGTGTCTAACAAGCAAAATATGGTCCATATTCAAGCGTACGAAGCATTGAGTCTATGTGGTTTCGGAAATTTAACAAATAAACACATCCGTCTGGATCGCCTTTTCTGCGTATGCATGACGATCGCGAAGGATTTGCCGTTATGCATCTGACTAAGCGATCTAGAATCCCTAAGTGGCCATGTGGATCTTCGTACGTACTCTGTACTCAATGGTATATACCCAATATATGTACTTCTACCAGTATGTAACTCCTCTATATGATATGCCACGTAATCATCAATCGCCAAGCAGCCACCCTCCTAGGGAATCATGCTCTAAAACCGTTCCATCAACCGTCCTCGAACCGTCCACATCCGAGCCCGCTTGCCGTATATGTACATGGGGATGGAGAACAACAGGCACCCCAGCTGAATGCCTCCCAGGGCCAGAAACACCGTGCGCGACCCATCCGAGTCCAGCCAGTCGACAATAAACAGCGAGAAGACCAACCCGTGGAACACATCTATCATCAAAGGTCAGTCCGTCAATACGCATGACCTGTCAAAGGGGGGGACCCACTCTTGCTCCAGTTCAATGTCACCAGCGCCTCCCCCGCATATTGGCGGTAGCTATCGACGCAGAATGTAATCGACGTGGTGCTGCCCAGACAGCAGCCGAACGAGATCAGTCCAAAAAATACGGTCGGGACAATCCAGGAGTCCTTCACTTCGGCAGTCCATCCGAACGCCATCAGTCCGATCGTGGTGGACAACGCAATGGGGATCGCCATGACCAGTCGGAACTCAGGCTCGTACACACCACCATTCCGCCGCGTCATAAACCGGACGATGATATCCGATACCCGTCCGGCCACGGCAGTGCCGAGGAGGCCCCCAACGAAGGGCGAAATGTACACCAGTCCGGTCTGCAGCGGGGTGAAGTTGTAATTCTCTGAGCCCTGATACATATGCGCCACCGATTCCGACACGACAATAAGCCATCCCACAGACAGCGCGTAGACCACAGTAGACCACAAAACAGCGGGATAGGCGAACAGGATGAAAGGGCGTACCGCAACCCGAAACCAATTATCATGGGAAATCCGACCATTCCAGGGTCGCAGGTAGTGCGAAAACGACATCTGGGGCTTCTCTCGAAGTTGATTCGTGTAATGTACAGACAAACTCACTGGCACGCTTGAATCAACCGAGTCACTGCGAGCCGGGGAGACTGCCGGGTGTCGGCCCCTTTCCACATCACCACCGGGCTCTTCCTTTCCCAGGGTCAAGTCCGGTGCAGGTGTGAAGAGAGGGTTTGGAGTTACAGAGGTGTGTTCACGATCCTCCTGCAGTTCGTCCTTTTCGTTGTGGATATCCGGGGCCTCGTCGGGTTCCAGAAATCCCACATGGCCCTTTTTCGGCCTTTTCGGTGACTCTATAGGGGCGATATGCTCCGGATGCGGCTCATCTGAGTGACGAGCATAAGTCGGTCTACCCCGAAAACCATGAACCACCATATCTGACACGTTCCGGTAGAAGCTTGGGCGTTTGCGTGGACGCCGTGGGCGAGGGGTGCGATCCCAGAAGGTCTCGGGCAGAAAGAAGAAGATCAGAACGAGACAAGCTCCAACGATGATGGCAACAATCCAAAAGACCCAGCGCCATCCCATCCTGCCAATGATGGCAGCACTGACTAACGGGACCAGGTTCTTGCCGCCTAGGAGAAGAAGTGTATAGATACCCACGCGGTAGGCCCTCTCGTGGAGAAAGTAGATTTCTGCAATAGTAGCCGAAGGGAGACACTCTACGGGGCTCACGGCGATGCCTTGGAAGACACGAGCCACAACCAAGCTGGCGTAGTTTGGAGATAGTGCACACCAAACTGCGGAGATAATAAACAGAGTAGCACCTAGCAGATACACCGGGCGTTTTCCAAAAAGAATAGCAGTGGGAGACATGATTACAGAGCCTACTCCAAGGCCCAGCATATAGAGTCCCGTGGTGAAAGCCACCTTCTGGGTGCTCACCCCGTAGGTCTCTGCAACGTCATTGAACCCAGCGGCCAGAATTGGTGTCATCCCTCCACCCATCAGGCAATAGAAGCCCAAGGAAACCAAGGCAGAATCTCGACGCCACATGGGCCAGTTCAGAGGATCGTTTACCGAATCATCGGGCTGAGGATTCAACACGATCTGCCCATCAGCCGTCTTCTTCTGAGACTTACCAGAGGCTAGAGAAGAAGAACGCGATGTCGGGTACGGCGAGGGCAACGACGACGCAGACGCACGCCGGGGCTGGTGTCTCAAGCCCAAGGGCTCATTGCGATTCGAAGATAACAGAAGCACCGTTCCTAAACTGTTGTCAGCAATCCTCATGAGATTTTGTATGTGACCTCTCAGATATCGGAACGCCACCCATCCAAACACGTACCAGGCACTTCATCAGTCTCCCTGTCACTCAAAATACCCAATGTTGATTTTGCGCGATAACTTTCATTTTCCTGGTCCACATCCTCCGGTAGGGAACCAGAGGTGGCTCCAAACCATTTTCGCCACCCAATACCTGGCGACGGCTTCTTAGCACCATTCTCTGGTGGGTTGGTAGAACTCGACGAGCCCGGCGCTGCGACGGTTGTCATTGCAAAATGAAATTAAACAAGAGCTCGTGGAATTTTATAAAGGCACGTCTCTGTGGGTAAATTCCCGTTATTGTCTGAGTTCTCTTATAAGGAGGTAGCAAGAATGGTACCACAGGCATTCAAAAAGAAAGATCACTAACCTCTATATCGTTTACCAACTTCTAGTTGGACAAAAAAGTAAACACAATAAGCCAAAATAACAACTGTCTAGCTTAATTATAAGTCTTTGAAAGTATGACAATACCCCCCTATCCTGAGGTCAGGGCAGTCAAACACGGCCAAACGAAGACCGAAGCTGGGTCTGACCAGCGCACATAGTGTAAAAGAGGAGGAAGGATCAAGAATACAAAATCAAGAACACATCGATCAAGAATAAATAGAGTCAAAGACCAGGTGAAGAGAGCTAAACCCCAAGCCGACAACCACGTGTCGACAAAGATTGCGCAACAGAGATAAAAGGCGGTGGATGTAGAAAAGTTATTACGGAGCACCTCGAGGGTACGAAGTGGGCCGCTAGATGAAAGCGGCAGCAGCAGGTACCTTCGAGGTAGATTTGATGGTTCAGAGGAAGATATGATGATACTTTCCCCCACGATGATCTACAAAGTTACATACTATGCACGCATCACATGGACCACTCTGCCTCCGTCTGAAAAATGCGCACAGCCGGTTGTGTTTGACAAGGCTTGGCCAGTCATCGGACTCATGGCAGTTGATCACTGCCTCACTGAGTCGGTCAGACCCATAATAGTCCTACTCTATCACCATTAATTCGAATTTACATAGTCCCTTTATAGGATTTATTTAATACCAAACCAAGATACATATATCTATGGACTGTCCGGGAGAAGCGGAGATCAGTACTACCTACTAAGGTTAAGGTCTGATCCTCATACAATTATACCAATAAGACCACTATTTCCTCGCACCTTCTTATCACGCGGTATGATCTACTTTAATACAAAAGCCGCAATCGTCATCATAGTTCCGAGCGTTCGTGGATGATCAAAATGTCGTCATCGAGAGAAGCAAATGGGGGTGACCATGAAAGATAACGGGCTTAAAACGCTGTAACGTGGCGAATGTGGCGTTAGGGATATGCACCGACTACTGGTCATCTCTCGTGTTTTCCCCACTGGATCGCCTATTGTTGATTAGCCATGCACGCTAGTAGCCGACAGCTACACTAGCTATTCAGCCAACTAATTGTTCGATCAGCGACCGTATTCCCATCAGGACCCTTGACCGACAAATCACCGCAAGGAGGGGCAAGCGAAATAGTGATGATGCTTAGGAATGTTGGAGCATACCGCATGCGACACATGGGTGGCTGCCCCCACCTAGCTTAGTCATCATATATGTATTTGTGAATAGTTACAGTTAACTTGAGTACACAGGTCATGTAACCTGCAGTTAACTATCCAATCCGCAACCTGCAATATCAAGCAATCGCTTCCAACATAGGATGGCCGTCCCGTGACCAACCACATGAACCTCAGCCTTGCTATGCTTATGAATACTATTGTGTTACTTCACTCTACAGAGCATTTTCTGGGGTAGTATTACAACTTGCCTCAATCATATCCTGCTGGCCTGCTACATTTAGGGGAAAGCCTCACAGAACTCCCCCTGTATCGTGAGATTCGGATATAGAAATAGTTCTCACACTAGTTATGGTATAGGTAGGGTTTAGTAGTATGCTCACGTATTTCAAACGAGAACCCCATCTGTGTGGGAAGAACGGCAGCCTTCAGGGACATACTCGGGTTAAACAATTACCGCTAAATTGCAATCTCAAGAAGATTTCACTAGCCCGACCATGAAGATTAGTCAGGAAAGGTACCGCTCGATACAGAGTCACTTTGGTGGCATGATCAACCATGTTCCCTGGGGATATCTCATTCTTAGCTCTACCGTACCGGGGTGGTAGCCATGAGGGGTTCAGTTTGAGATTGATTATATTCTTAATATGTTACAAATTGCAATTCGAAGGCAATGGTGTTTGATCCTTATATTATTAGAGCTTTACCCATGTCTTGTTCAAGGACAGTGCTATGCTAAGGACATGTGGAGTGAGGAATTCCTAATACATCTCTATGTACCACCAACCCTATATACAGTAAATTTACGTCTTCAATCGAAGACTCTCATTATTGAGTATATTTAAAGAACTAATGAAGGGAAAACAAGGTATAGAAAATACAGCGCGTGCTATAGATTTATATAATAGCATCAAATATTTATTGTAAGAAAAATGCGCAGTCCTCCTCCAATGTCAAACAAACTCAGTCAAGTCAAACGGCAAAGGCTCCAAGTATCGACGAATCCAAAGCACTCTCCCCTCACTAGGATCCATAACCACAGCGAAATGGGTCATTTCATTAGTTGTCGGATACGCCGTAGTCCAGTCGACAACTTCCTGGGACGTTGCTGTGACCTCCTGCTTTGCGTCCGATTCTAGCATTGGAGCTTCCGACGGCCGGACCTGATGCCTCTGGGACGCGCGTGTGCGTCTCAACCGATCTACCTGATTCCTTGCATGGACAGCCTTTGAAGTAGAAGTGACTCGACGGGCTTGATACACTTTCTTATCCCAGCGCGCTTGTATACATTCTCGCCGCTCCCGGCTGTCTTCAATCAGATCGGCCATTGTGACGCTAGTTGATGCAACCAGCGTGGCGCCAGAGTGTTGCTCATCAAGGTGTTTGTCCTCCGTAGAGGTAGAAATATGATCACTGTTGGTTGCGACGATGAAGGACTGGCTACTTGCCATCCGAGCTGTTCTGTGATCTTTTTCAAGCACCACCGCAGTCACACCATCACAGAAGGTCAGATATGCTGCGGTGGATGGTGTGCGCTGTACAATAGGCCAGATTGAACTAAGAGACAGAGACATAATAGAACAAGCTCTTAGTCCGGATAGAGAGAAATACCAGTGAAACCAGCTTCGCCCCGGTCTTCCAGATGGAATAATATACTGCCGAAGCACAGACGATATCGATCGTCTCAAGCCCAAGAGGACCAGAAGAAGACTACCATAATAGCGAAGGTTGCCAATCCAACCGTTGGAGTTATGATTCGGACGGAAATTCAAAGAGACGCTGAGTCCTTTTCGAACACCAGTCAAGACGCCTACAAAACCCACGTACGTGATATTTGTAGCCACGACGGAGCTGGAATCCAGACCCTGGACGAATTCAAAACACACTAGAAGTTGTCGAAGCGCATCCATCCCCCAGTCCAGCGTGCGGAAGTGCAGCAGTCGTGGCTGCTGATTGTTTGATTTGCTATCTTTCGCTAGGGCCGCACCGCTCGTACAGCCCATCAGCAGATCAAGAAGGACATTTAACGAGACGAGGAGGTACATTTCTATCCCTGTTACTCTGCTAATCCCTCTAAGTTCGTCCGTTTCTTCCTGGGTGGACAACCGTCTAAGCGCGAGACGCGCCAGCCATTTGATCCACGGCAGATATCCCGGGAGAATGGACTCGACCAGCTCATCGAAAAGGTACGTGACCTGGAGCAACTGAGGGCGGTAAATCTGTGCGACCTGGACGTATCGTTCTATTGGGGGCAGGGATAGATCGATTGTGTGGACTGGAGGGACGTCGCCACGATGTTGTGCAGATTCCATGGCACTCTTGCATTCACGCCAATCTGCTTACTTATTTGTTGTATGACCAACATTACAAACAGGATTATCTGGAGGAACGTTGAATCAGGCAGATAAGTCAAAGAGGGGGGGGTCAAATAAGGCTTGTCGTATCAATTCTTGGCAAGTTGGCTTTTACCTATTCGGGACTAGATGGATGTGCTAAAAGACCCTGGCATATAAAAAAAAATAAATATAATAATACTTTTAAACTTAACCTCTTCGCTGCTAATATTTTTCAATTCCATATAGTATTAATCTAACTGCTGAATTGCCTTCTTAGAGCTTATCTTTAGATCTATTTACCAGCATGTCACCTCTTAAATTTTAATAATAATTTTAACTTAAGTCCTTTGCATATATTTCTCCAGATATCTCTAAACTCTGCACTGAAACCTTATCTTCCTATTTGATATTCTACAGCATATACAATTTTGCAGTCGCATCTGATGTTCTCCATCCTAAATCCTCCATAACTTTTCTAACTCTTGTTAAACTCTCCCACCAGTTAAATGTATTCCGCACTACTTCCCAACATCCTTGTGTCTCCAGAAAGATCTTGTACTGTGTCTTCTAGCTGCTCACGTTTGTCCGGCCTGGCTTCTCTATGCTGAATGTAGCGATTTTATGCGGTATCACTGCTCTAAAAGCAGGAATCTCTGAACCCTGCGACATCCCGAATGTCAATTCGCCCTACAGCTGTCTACCAGGGTCTTCTTCAGGTCTTAGGACCTCCACGGGGTCCTCTCTAGGGCTTCTACCCTCTTCAGGTTCACTATCCTCCTCTAGGAATTCACCTGGCAGTGCGATCGCCACGGGATCCTCACTCGATGCGGCGCTCGGGTCGGCACTCAACTCTTCGGTGTTCTCATGAGTCAGTATAAATCTCCCTGTCCTAGGGTCTCGCGCCGGGGACATTCGTTGGATCTGGCTCGGCTTTTGGCGTAGTCGTTAACCCAATCAAGGATCGGTAGGTAGAATGTACGGTTCTAGCCACCTTCAACAAGTTCGGGGATCAAACACGGTGTGTATAGCGTTAATTCTGCTGAATCGGGCAAGGGGGGTAGTCTTGCAGGATTCCCCGAGGTGCTAGACCTGTTGGTTAGACTAGACATAGAAAACCCGGGCTCATAACCAATGTTATGATCATTCGGTCAGGGGAAGGAATGGGTGGCAGAAGATCACAATACCAACTACACGCTGGTAGCCTACTAGGGAGAATAACAATAACAACTGTATTGACTGCGCAACCAACGCGCTCATCAACGTGCTCTATCTCCTTAACATCTATAGGAATGGAGGTGATTCAAGAGGATGACACTGAGCGCTCCTGTTATGTGTGGGGTCGGTAACGAGCTGAATGGGGCGCTACGGTGCGAAAGGGAGTGTCTATATGGGAGAGAAGATGGAACCACGTATATTGCAGAACTAATCGCTGGCCTTCAGGAGTTCAAGCCCGCGGGTGCGAATATAAACACTTCGCACCTGACTAAGCATCTTAGCTAAGGATCTGGCTATCGCGCTTCTGAGCACTCCTAACAGCTCCCCTAGGCGCTAGGAGTAATCGGATCCCGAATTCCGATGTTTCTCTATCATGTTGTGAATTCAGGGAAAGATAGCATTTGAAAGGAGACAAGTAGTAAATTAAGCACGAAATTGTCTGAATGGTTACAGGAAAAGGAGAAGTCTCAGTGGTTAAAACCTTGCACGCTTGCAAGACGCTAGCTATATGGTACGTTTAAGAATCTCTTATTGATTGGTGGACCGCCGAGGACGGACTGCACTGGGCTGTCAAGCTAACACAATGGCGACTCTTCAGGACATACCCTGGGTGGTCCACGGGGAGTCCCAAATTGAGAGCACAAGAAGTCCCAACCGAGGGCAGGGCTCTTTGCAAGTTTGTAGGGCACAAGTTGTAGCATTATCGACCAACTGCCTGATAAACGGCCTGCGCGAATATACTCTGTATAGAGTATTAAAGTGTTAATACTAATAGGACCCTATAGAGAGCAATGGCCCCATAGGGCTATAGTAGGGGATTACTGCATATTCCCTTTAATCACACGCCCATACGTTATTGTGGACGCAAGATAGGACAGAATCAGATATTCTTAGATATTATTAGATATATTATTGACGGCAAAAGAAAAAAAAGGAGCATGGATCCAGCTGTCTGATATATGTGGTATTTTCTCTATTGGTTGTTATCCCTGTCGATGGGCATTTTGGTCCGCGGCACCCCTCTTATTCACATGGCTGTTACCACTTAATTCTACCTGATTTAAGTAGGGCAAATAAAGACAGCATGAAAGCTAAAGTAAAAACTATATAAGAGTGCCTACTACCCAGCTTATATTTTTTTTTTTTCCCCCTATTTCTCTTATTATCAGATGCTTACCAGTGCAATTCTGTTGTAAGGTATATACTAAGAGAGCCCTGCTTTAAACCCCTGTTATAAATCTTTAATATAAAGTATCAAGACAAGCTAATACTAAGATAGTTTGTTTATATCTGCGCTTTTCACTCAGCACAGTCAATTACTGTCCTGGTTATGAATATATTTGTGTCGATAATCCTTGCTATTAATTGGATAAGTCTGACATTGGCAATATGCGGATTTCTTCCACTGGATATATACTTGCCTATGTCAGCTTCGGTGCTGGGCTTGTTAACTCTGGCGCTATACCGAATGAAGTGAAGTAAGAACGCTCAACTGACTTGACTAACTCAATCGACTCAATCGATGCGCCACTGAGGGGAATTAACTGGAAAATAACGAAAGGAGGCCTTGCAGCAGCTCGGGATGTGACCCTAGTAGCAGCACGGACCAAAACTGTGGCTTCTGCAGTTGATGATGCTTGGAATCAGGTACATAAATACAACTGGGCATGCATCTATCTTAGTCATGGAGGCACTTGGCATGGACATCTCGCAATTGCTACAACCGGTTCAGGCAAAGATTTTGACACAATGCGTAACAAGTGAGGATTGAAACTATGGCAGTATGTCAGCTACTATATTATTTATGTTATATAATGCCTATTAGCTATGTGGCCTTGTCTCGTGTTTAGTACTTCACGCGCATCCTTGATATCCTGTTTCTCCTATTTCTTGTTTCTCTCATGTTCAATACTGTTGTTGAAATGGTTCATCTATTGCTGTTCCATATTGAGCTATAATAGAAGTTATTAACATACCTAGGAGACATTTGAAAGAATTTTCCATTAGTTTTTATAATGAAATTGTCGGACTTAAGAGGAACTGTAATGGCTCAATCAAAAGAATGCGAGAGAATCCTTAGCTGAGGGAGAAAAGAAGAGGAGAAAGCTATCTACAGGCACAGAAAAGTGGGGTGGAGACTGCTCCCTGACTCCAGGACCTTTGAACGGGCCCGTTATATTTCTTGTCCGAGCTCATAGAAATGAGTGATGATCAGCTTCATGGACTCTTAACCTTATTTATTGACTATCTTGACTACTTTACATGAAGGTGCTTCCATCTGTGTGGGAGGTAGCTTACCAGGTGCTAGGCCTATTTGTCTAGCGGTGGTGGCTTCGACATTTCTTATACTTTTAATACAGTAACCTATAATATAATTAATGGTAGATCTAAACCGGGGGCTAGTTCCTGAGCCGAGATGCCCCTGCGTAGGATGAAAGGTACTCTGGAGGCGCCAGCATGGTAGGCGCCACGCTTGTATGGAAATCTATTGTATTTGATATGAGTTCTTTGACGACGACTTACTCTAGTCTGACAGAGGGAGCGAACCTTGTTGCATGCTGATTTTAGTGGTTCCTAACTGATGCTTAAGGGGTTTCCAGTCCCAAGCTAAGTATTCACTGCCACTCTAGGTAAAAGTACATATCAAAGGTTAACATGTAAGTATGAGCGATGATCTAGCCCAACTGTTGACAGCCCGCCTAGTGTAAAAGATCTATAATAAGCATTATCTGAGTGCTAGGAAGTTGAAGTAGAGGGCATATTTACTTTCACCTAGTTCTAAGAAAATTAGCTCCAACAATCCCCACTTAGCCTGTTGTCAGTTTCCAACAGCAATTCGCCACGAAAATATTCTCGGCCGCCAGTTGCTCTCCTCTCACCGTACTGTATGTCTTGGTTGGCTTAATTACCTAACTTTGGTGATGGCAGGCAAACCAGATAGATAGAATCATATTGAGTCCTATATCAAGAATACTAAAGATAAGGAGGAAAGGAAAAGGTAGAAAGAACGCCGTCATGGTGAGCGAGAGTATGGTGGGGAGCTGCACCATCCCTAACCCTGTGCCATATACGCCATCCAATCCCAGTACGGTCTGCATGCAACAACACAAACCTCATGTCACTGCGTTGGGCTGAACGCAACGTCCCAGGTAGGGTCATCACAATCACTGCTTGACAGACCATCTCCTGTTCCTGGACTGTGATTAGCATATATGTTCATTGTTTCTATTATAGCACTTACATGATACAGTTCCAGAGAGCTTAATATGCCCGGCCTTCTCATACCCTGTAATAAACCCATGTATGTACCAATGTAATTCAATGTATATTACTATCATATAAGATACCTTTTACAAAATCAGAGCAGCCCAGTCCGCTACATAAATACTCTTGCATGCACATCTTCTAAGCAATGTGTTTCATACTATGATAGGTAAAATGGGCCTGGAAGATAATAGAGCTTTGGTCCGCCCAAGAATCTTTCTTAGGCTTTGAATAGATTTATATTAACTGCTAACAGTTAACTACGTACGATTCCATAGCTCAAGGCCTGAGAAGCCCTTCAACCCACTATTCGCCTATTAAATAAATTTTTTTTTTTTTAAAAAAAAAAAAAAAAAAAATTTCCTAGGGGGTTATACGAGCCCTATTTTGCATAGCTGAAATTAACAAGGCCCCCTACCAGAAAAGCATTCGGAGAGGCCAAATATTTGATTTGATACTTAATAGGATCTCGTACCCCGGGTATTACCTTTTAAATGTTAAATAGTCCCCTACCGCAACCAATGGTTTATTCCGATTCTGATTGGGGTGGTCCTTATTATAATTATCAGTCGGTATCAGGTTATATCGTACTTTTAGTCGGTGCTCTAATATTATGGCGATCTGCCAAATAAACATCAGTGGCCTTAAGGCAGAACACATGGCTGCATCTGACGCAGCTCGGGAAACTTAGTGGCTACTTTCATCTACTTGATAAGATAGAGATCTACTCTGCGCCGTTAAAGCCCCTACGCAGGAGCGGCTTGGCGATTCTGGCTAGCTTGTTCTTACTGCTAGTCCTGGGCCACGGCAATAGCGGCTTGGGCCTAGCTAAAAGCTTCTTCCAGTCGTTGAACAAAGGCCTATCCGGCTCGTTCGGGTACTTGCAGTTCCCCGTCAATCACATCTGCATCCTATAAAGCCACTGGGTCGATATAATACCTATGGGTAAAGAAGAACGACAAGAGGCCTGGCGATGTAGCTTCGCGGTCATTAATAGCTCTAGCTGCTATTGGCCCCAGTCGTCCTGTACGTGGAAAGTAAAGACTCGCAGGACCCTCTCGACTTCTTAGTTTGCTCGTTCTGTCGAGCCACCGGACTGGGGTGATATGCTGTCGACAGGCATCGTTGTATGTGGAGCAATTTGCATAGTCGTGCCCAAAATCTGCTAACAAACTGAAGACCTCTATCACTGACAATAGCCAGGGGTAACCAGTGGTGCATGTACACGTACATTAGGGATGCTTCGGCTGATGTATCCGCGGTGGTCTAGTTCATTGCAATAAGAATAACCCTTTTTGTTCTGTGTCAGCGGATACATACTGAGACACGATTTTGCGTCTCTTACCTCTCCGAGACCCTGTCAGGTTCCTGCCAACCGTCTTCTATTCACTTTTTCTTCCCCAGTGGACACCCTCTGTCCAATCTGATTTGATAGGAAGAAGCATCTTTATTCTTCTCAGCGCTATAGTGTGGCTTAGTCCCCACAGACGTGATAAAGCCTTTCTCACTGGGCTAGGGACCAACCAGAGCATGTGAGACCTTTGTTTACCTATATTATTCACTGCTCTGCGTTTTCTCCTCTTACTCCTTCTTCCTCCCTCTCATCTCACAGCTATTTTTCAATTTCTTTTTTCTTTCTTCCATCATCGTTTCCCCCCTCTGTGTTCCATTTCAACCTGTCCTGGACTATTTATTTCATTCTCTCTCGTCTACTCCTTCTCTACACGGTTCGCTGAAATAATTCCTGAATTCCCTCAGTTAGCAGATTGTTCTTCTTTTAGTCCCACTCACTGTTCCTCTTCTCTCCTTCCCAGCTCTCTAGATACTAAGCCTTCTTTCTACCTATTCGAGCCCCCCTCGCACCAAGACGGTGTCTTCGTCCAGACAACATGGACGGCTTCGAGGTCTCCGATATGAGCAATGCGCTCAAAGACATCACTGACGGTCAAAACAAAAAGGCTGAGGCCGCAAGTGCTGCTCGTGAAAAAGGGTGGGCGGAGCCCGAAGGCTACGACTACTCCATGTACAACAACATTGTGCCCCCTATTGACAAGCCTGCTGAAGTCCCCAGTCCGGAACGACAGCTTCCCGAGTGGGCGGCCAAGGCTGCTAAATACGAATGGAACGATGAGTACGGAGATATTGGTCCCAAGAATGAAGAGCTTGAGGAAATGCTCTTCCGCAACGAGTACATCAACCGAGCTGGGCTTAAGCTTGGCAAGTAAGTTAATTATGTCCTACAACATTCGCACCCGGTGGCTAAATTTTGGAAGTCTGCAGAACATAGAAGTGATTGCAGAGAGTCGTGAGCGCCCAAAGCCGGTCAAGAATGTATGTCTTCATATGTAAAAGCCTATCAAACAACAGTACTGACATCTACAAGTTTGATGATGCTGGATTGCACCCTATCATGCGTCAGAATATCCTTCTGTGTCGGTATGAATACCCAACACCTATCCAGGCATACGCCATTCCTGCCGTCCTCACCGGTCACGACCTCATTGCGATTGCGCAGACCGGTTAGTATACTTCTAAACTAAACGTTCTGTAAGGCATCCGATTAACGAGAGCAGGATCTGGGAAAACTGCAGCATTCTTGATCCCTGTTCTTTCGCAATTGATGGGAAAAGCCAAAAAGTTGGCCGCTCCTCGGCCCAACCTGGCTGCTGGGTACGACCCGGCAGTTGATGCTGTCCGTGCAGAGCCTCTGGTGTTAGTGGTTGCTCCTACGAGAGAGCTGTCAACCCAGATTTTCGACGAGGCACGTCGTCTGTGCTATCGCTCAATGCTTCGTCCGTGTGTTGTCTATGGTGGTGCCCCCGTGCGTGACCAGAGAGATGAGCTGCAAAAAGGATGTGATATTCTCATTGGCACTCCTGGAAGACTATTGGACTTCATGGATAAACCCCACATCCTCTCGCTCCGCCGTGTCAAGTATGTGATTCAAGCTTGTGGTTAGTTATAGCTAATGGCGTCCCTAGATATACCATCATTGACGAGGCCGACGAGCTTCTCCAGTCTGACTGGGAATCGGACTTCAACAAGATCATGTCCGGTGGGGGTAGGCACCCTGTGCCCCATGTGATAAGTATGATGCTAACGGACAAAGACGTCAACGAAGATGCGGACCACCGTTACATGATGTTTTCTGCAACATTTAACAAAGCTTGTCGTGAACTGGCTCGTAAGTTCCTGGCAGATGACCATGTCCGTGTTCGCATTGGACGCCCTGGGAGCACGCATATCAATGTGGACCAAAACGTGAGAGTTTATTAGGGCAAATTTCCGCAGATTGCAAGCTAACACCTATAGATCGTCTACGCGGAGGACCATCTCAAGAAGCAATGTCTCTACGACTTGCTTCTTGCCATGCCGCCCTCTCGGACTTTGATTTTTGTGAACTCTAAGACCCAGGCTGACTTTCTGGATGACTACTTGTACAACATGGGCTTACCCAGTACTTCTATTCATTCCGATCGTACCCAGCGGGAGCGTGAAGATGCTTTGTAAGTTTCTCGGTGTTTGTCCAAGAGAACGTGTTTCTAAAGCTGTGACAGGCGTGCTTTTCGTACCGCCAAATGCCCTATCATGGTTGCCACTGGCGTTTCCGCGCGCGGTCTTGACATCAAGAATGTGATGCACGTTATCAACTTCGACCTTCCTCGTTCCGGCCATGGCGGTATTACTGAATATATCCATCGGATTGGTAACTATTTCTCTAGCCCATACTATGCTGCCAAGATGGTCTAATAGTAAACAGGTCGCACTGCACGCATTGGTAACGAAGGACTTGCAACCTCGTTCTACAATGACAGGGACTCAGAAATTGCTCCAGAGCTGGTCAATATCCTGATCGAGAGCAAACAAAAGATTCCTGACTTCCTCGACTCCTACAAGCCGTACAATAACGAGGTTAATTTCGACGATGATACCGATGACGAGGCCAACGAGAACCACGATGAAGGAAACATTGATACTGGGAATTCCTGGGGCGGCATTTCTATGGATTCTTCCAATGATGCCCTAGATGCTACCGCTGACTGGGAGTGATTTTGACTCTCTCATCTCGGCTAACTCCGGATCTATCTGACTGATGTCAATTGACATCTTCGTCACCCCACGTCTGCCCGTTTGACGGATCGACCGGGGTGATGGTGACCAACCGATGGATCTAGCCTTTACTCTAGGCGAGATGTCTGCATCTTCGCAGTCCCTCGCTGTCTTCAGTTTCCCCCCTTCCCTGTGCGGAGCAGGGCCTCTGCACGAGCAATGTGTTATTATTTCCCTGATGGTGGTCCTACGTACAACACGGGCAGGTTGACTTTCCTAGCTTTGAGTATCCGACTGGCTACAGGCTGAGTTGGGAGGAGTGTTCAGGCAGTGGATAGATGGCTAGCTGTGACTTTGTATGGGCACTTCTAAGAAGTCAATTTATCGAGTTTCGACATGAACCTACTTGATCCGTAGCCTCGTAGATGATGCTCCTTCGCTCCTTCCTAGACTGTATACAAGGTTGACATACTGAGACGACTACTTGTAGACCTACATCTTGAATAGAACAAGAGTACGTAACATCACCAAACACCGCAGACATCTATCTCAGCCACAACTTGCAACCATGGCCCTCCTTTCCAGATGGCCATGTGTCATCACTCTATTCTTAACCTATACCATCGCCACACCAACAGCCATTTACATGCCCGAATCCACCTCCTTTCCAACCCACTCCACTGACCCTCTTATCATCGACACTTTCGAAAACAACGAAACCAACAACCTCGGCAACTGGCATGGCACCGTTGAATCCCTCCCTATCACTCAAGGCCCTGGCTTTGTCCGCCTCCACCCCACAGACCCAGACCAAGCCTACCACACGCAGTTCACCCACGCAAAATGCTTCAACATCCTCCCCTACAAATACCGCTACCTCCATGTTACCTTCTCGGGCTCCCCGCACTTCGGCATCTCCCTTACCCAAAACAACTACGCCTGCGATCCAACTAGTCTCCCCTACCCGGAAACATGGGATACCATCGAAGCCATCCGATACACAGCTGGCCCAAATGACATCTATGTTCCTCTTTCGCACTTCGCCATCGATCTCACGCGCGTTGTCTCCGTCTCCTTCGGGGGCTTCTACACCGGTGAAACCACCACTCTAACAAAAGTGGAGGTGGTATCCCGGGTGCCTGAGATGCTGGACTTCAAAGTCCCTAGTAAGCTGCCCAGCGGTACAGTCAGTTTGCGATGTACCAGACCAGGGTCGTTTGCGTTTGGGATCGATGACGGGGCACCCTGGTTGGCGCAGCATGTGATGGATATCCTGGAACGGGAGAATATCCTGGCCACGTTCTTTGTCGTGGGGACGGGAATTAGGGATCCGGAGACGAACTTTTCCGCAGTTTATAAGGAGATGCATCGTAGGGGACATCAGATTGCGTTGCATTCAGATTCGCACCGGAAGTATGTTCTCTATCCTTCGTTTCGTCGTGTTGTATCTTGAGTGGTGTGGATATGCTGACATGCGCAAGACTCGAGGCCTTAGAATCCATCCATGAGATAGATGAGGAAATCGTCAATAATGCCGAGGCGTTAGAATCCCATCTAGGAATCGAATGTTGGTTTACTTCTTCCTGTTGGCAGATAGACAGTCCTAATGTTGTCATAGCTCGCTATTTTCGACCTCCGTACGGAACTACAGGCGCCCGAACACGCCAAAGGCTCGCTGCCCATATCAAAGATCCACGGATCATCAATTGGAGCGTCGATATTGAGGACTGGTTGTGGGCAGATACGGATACTCCCGAACGCCAGCGTGATGCCTTCTTCCGCGACGTGAGACAAGGTGGTAATTTAGCGGTTGTGCATTTCGTCAGTCCCACAACAGTTGAGTACCTCCCGGAGATCATCCAATTCGTTAAGAAGACGAAGGCAACCATCATGCGCATTGACCAGTGCCTGGAGGATCCGGATAGCCCTCCACTTAATCTGTCTTGATTAGAATGCCTGCACGACGGATTAGACTAGTATACAAGAGATAAGAGAAAAGAGTCGGGGAATTGGGACACTTGAAAATTGTTTGAGAGCAAATTGGATGTGGTTATTGAAAAATTCACAGCATTGTAGGAACCCTTTTCCGCACAAAATTCCAAGTAGACACCAAATGGATGCAATCAAATCAAGTCAAGTATAAAACTCCGAGGCGCAATGCATAATCACCAATACACGCTTCAATACACGCTCCATTGCATAACCCATCCCGAGGTAGTATAACGAGGCAAAAAAAAAAAAAAGAAAAGAAAAGAAAAGAAAAATAGAAAACCTTTTTTAAAGTCTATAATATTAGTAAGACATGTGAAGAACCTTATATTTTCGTCCTGCGAACAATCAAACAACCCCGACGAACTATCATAGTCCGAAGCTAGGCTTAGAACATGGAAGCGCATGGTCCATCATATCCTTGACTCGTCGGACAATCCATCCAGATTGAGCCTCGGGGTTCCGCACGCCCAAGCGGGGAGTTTTCCCCGTGAAGCATTTGCCACCACGATAGGCGAACTGGACGCAACCCGGGTCGTTGGTGCAGATAGACTTGCAATCGTTGAAGGAGGAAACAACTAGTTGTTCTTCGTCGGAGAGATTGTCCCAGTTGTCGCGGACGTCCGAGAGATCTGGATAAATGAGTTCTTTGAAGACATCTTTGTGTAATAAGACGGTCTTTTGGGTCTAGGTAGGAAACAGTGTTAGGAACGCGCCGCGCAGATGATAATGCCCGTGTGTCAACTTACCAGTCGCCATCGGTGCAGCTCGTACTGCGCCAGGTCCTGGATATCCTCCGCAGATAAATGATGGAACGCAGCGGCAGCGAAGCACCAGGGTTCACGATAGAAGCCCTTAGTAAATTCATCCAACTCTCCCACGTTCGAGTTTTGGAGAATAGGCCAAGAGTAATGTAGTGGCACTCCAACATCCGACAATACCTTACCTAGCACGCAGTCGCCGGCCCAGTGGCCGTCGGTATACTCGTTCAGCTCCGTGGTACGGGTGGCGTACTCATCCGACGCGAGCTGCATGGCTGGCCTGGAGAGGACAAAGCCCGAGCCACCGTGAGCGAAAATAACATCCGCGATCTGTGTCTCGGTACCAATATAGTGCGGTTTGGACGCATCAAAATGTGACAGCCATTCCATCAACGTTCCCCATGAGAAATACGTGTCCGCTTCCATGAAGACATACCATTTGGCGTCGGGCTTGTATTTGAGGGTTTCCTGCACCATAGGCAGGAACTTCCATTTGTCTAGCTTCCATCCGGGGTTGTTGGGCTTGCCAATGGCCGAATTGGCTTCGTCGGCGAAATCATTAGACTCGAGACCTGCTCGACCTTGCTGTTGTATCCGATTGTAGATGTCGAAGTCGGGCACCGTCCGCTTCACCTCGCTGTCCATGTTTTGGAGCGCATCATGTACATGGACTCCACCAATATCCTCTGCAAAGTCGGAGAAGACCACGTAGTGCGGGACGCAGCGAAGGGTGGTCTGGAAATGAACGGGTACCTTATCCAATGCTTCGGTCACTCCTGTTTTCAGCACAACCAGGACATCGTCCATGCCCGGAAGGGGAGGGCAATCGACATGTCGCCGCTTATTGACCTGTTGAAGATTGGATCGGACGGTAAAAAGATGGTAGAGGAGGAAGAGGCTGAGGAGTGTAACTATGGATGAGATGGGACGGCTTAAAAGACGTGAGGGAGTCATCCTAGCTGTGGGAGAGGAGCCCTTGATGGTGGCTCGGTTTGGTCGCCACGAGGAGCAATCGGACAGATGGAATCAAAAGAACAGAATTGCTCCGAAGTGTTGGAAAGGGTGTGCTCATTTTTTGCCTTCCGGGTACCGGTGTTAACTGCCCCCTGCTCGGACGGGGGTTGTTCACTATGGTTGGTCTCGGCGGGGGGGAAGGAAGCTTGGTTTCGAGCTCTGGCGTTTCAGTATAGGCTGAGGAGCTGGTGTCCTTGAGATGTTGTTTCAGAATGGTAGGAAACGGAAGGAAGGGAGAGGGGAGAAGAAAAAGTGTCGAGGGGGGAAGAAAGAGCCGGGGAAAATGGAACCTCCAAGGAGCGATCGACGCAGGAACTGCGGATTCCACGTTTTTTATTTTTCTATGCTGCCCCAAGACGACAACAACGTAGTTATGTCGACAGTCAAAATGACGATCGGCCCACTCCCCATGGCGATCTGAACAGTCGTCGATGACGCGTTAGTTTTGGATTGGATGGACACGGCGGAAAAGCACGAGCGCGAGACGTCAAGCTGAAACACGGCCCCCAGGTTACTTTTTGGGGCAGTGAGATGGAGACTCAAGGCTGGAGCAGGAATTATGATCGGAATCAAATTCAGTTGATAAATTCCGAAGTGTGGGTTTAGAAACTCAGGACTCAACATATCTCACTGGAGACAATCTTGGTGCTGTCCTTGGTAGAAGAGCAGCGTCTCCCCAAACCAGCAATAATCGCCAGTGCTAAGACCCTGAGAATCATTGGCACTGCCAGATTTTACAATGCCTCGGTGTTTGTTACCCCACATGGAACAAAACCTGGCGCCGGTTCCCATACCTAGGGATGGTCTAAGCCTCTAAAGAAAGGATTAATATTAGGACAGAATCAAATCAACGAGCTACGCTAAAATAGTGCCAGTAAGTACAATTAATTAACACTAACGGTGCAGCAGCCGGATCCTGAATGCCCCGGTTAGAATATCCCGGTCGCAGCACGACCTTTCACAATCACATCATCATCATATGACCATCATCTACGGCGTATCTATACAATTATACCATATCATGCCTTGCTGTGGTGCGTAGCGATCTTTTTCGAGTGCAACTTGACTAGCTCGGGGATGATCAGTCCCTCGATCTCCACCCCGTCGTGGCTGCCTTCCTGCCCCTGTTGCACATCGCCGCTGTTCTCTCCGATCTTACTGGTCGCTGCCTCCCCTAATCGCTTAACCTCCGCCAATCCAACCTGATCCTCCGCTCCAGAGATGCTCTTACTGCGTCGTGATTTCGGCACGCGGATCCAGCGCTCGTACGGCGCCTCAGGGGTGATGAAAACAACCTCCCATTTGCGGGTGGAAAGGAGATTTCCAATCACTAGGTGATGCGCGTACCGCTGGAGCGCCGTTTGTGCCTTGTACACCAAGAGGCTAGGATCCGTCTCGAGTTTAAAGGACACGATCATGCTCCCATCCGGTGCCCAGCCGTCGACCAACCGGTGCAGGAACTTCGGGACCGGGTCGAGATCGATAACCAGTTTCTTGCTGTGCGTCGGCGGATTCGCCCCGATTTCTCCCGTGTAAATTTCAGACGAATCAACAGCTTCCTCTCTCGTGAATTGCGGTGGCAACTCCGAGGACTGTATCTTGTGTTCTGCCATCCGGTCGCGCGGAATGAAAAAGTCACTGACGGCCGCAGCAAGATAGAACAACGCATTGGGTCCTAGTGGCCTCATCAACTGGGCTAGTGACCGTAATTCATAAAGATAATCGCCAACTGTGGTGAAGGGAAGGACTAGAAGGAGGTTATTCTGCTTCGCAGAGCGGTATTTCCTCAGCACATCTCGCATTTCATCCTGGTATTCACTACGGACCACGATAGGCCCGTGATCCGAGTCTGAAGAATTGGATGGGGGCGCCTCGTCCATAAAGTCTAAGAAGCAATTTGTTGAGTGGCTATAATGCCGTGAATATGGCAGGAGACTGAACTGTCGATGTAGGAAAATGACTGCGTATCCCTCCTGCAGGAAGTACTCGGCCGACGTCGCACCTCTCGTTCCCGCCGAGAAATTATCAATAAAACGAACGGTTTGATTCTCAAGGGGCACGGTGGTTCCCCCAGACGTCACAAGGACCACGCATCGATTTGCTTCCACATGGTAGTTGATAAAGGCTCGCGCAAGAGCTTCGTGTTTCGGGAGGGACTTGGGTGGTGGGAAGGTATTGAAGTAGCCTGACTCCACCTCGGGCGTCATTTTTTGAGCTTCATTCGACGACATTTTTTCTGAAGTGCAGACAACCGCAGGCCTGTCGCGATACGTTCCGTTCCGAGGTCTAGCACAATATGTATGACTCTATGATCCCCAGCAAAGATTAACAGAAGAATGAAAGTTGCCGTCTAGAAAGAAGAATATATCGCCCTCAATTCGGCATGGAATAAGCTGGCGGGTCTCATAGAATGTTTCGTTTTATCATAGACTTGAAATTAACGAGAGTCAGCCAAAATTGTAAGCTCATTTTAATTATGTTAGAAGCCTGCGGGGTAGTACCTGGTAGGCTTCTCGGTTTGCCACAAGAAACAATCCCTATCGAAAATCTAATCAACAATATGATGAATATGGAAATTAAAAAAATCACCGAAAAAGAAAAGGCTTGTCTTTATACGTCTTCTATGGCCCAGGTCTTTAGTCGACATCATCGGTTTCTCTGCGACTGCTAGAAGATGCCGAGGGACACCGGTGAAAAGCTCACCGCCTTTGGAAGCGATTGTAGCCGAGCTATTTTCTATACTGAATTTGGTTGTGCAGAGTCACATGACCTCAGCACAACTCTAAGGATGATTCAATCCAACATGAATATCAATCATTTATTACATTGAAGGAAGATGGGTGCTTTGATATGTGCTTCATATTATTTCCTTTTTCATTTTTAATAATTTTTCATTTTTAATATTTTTTTTTCCCAAATGGGTGGATGATGTTTCTGGCGGCACACAGCAAATAGCAAATTCATATCAACGCAGCAGAAGTCAAGCATCTCCTGTCCATATCACATACAAGCATACTTGATTCTCTTACAAGTAACGACTTCGGAATGCCTGACTGATAGTACTCATCCGGCTAGCCATACCACCATGCTGCATATTACTTAAGAGCGCCTCTTCGAGCGCCGACTGTGTAACGCTCGCATCTGGCCAACCAGATATATTAGTAAGCCGAATTCCACGTTCGGTGTGACAACAAATGGACACTTACCATCAAGATCACTAAAGCTACTCCCCATGCTAGGTGTACCATCGCTGGTCTCTCTCCCAGAGGCAGTGGACCGACGTGGGCTGAGACGGGCTAATTCAGCCCGCCGAGGGCTTAAAGGACCGCCAATCTGGTTGGCACGTCGGCGTCTGTCGCCCGGCGGCAATGTAACTGGGTTGCCAGAGCTAACAGAACTTGTAGATGATTCAGTCGTGTTAGATCGTCTTTGAACTGGACTTTGGTCCACCGCGCGCCGCATTGGGTCAACAGTCTCGTCGGTTTCCAACCGAAGGGTTGCATTGAGATCCTGCGCAGAAGTTACATGCGGACCGCCCTCGGAATCACGAGAAAGAGGAAGAAAGGCTGGAGATTCATCGTCATCCTCTTCATCGTCCCTCAAACCAGGCCGATGAGTTGAAAACTTGCCAAACCGTCTAAATATTGGCCCTCGCCGACTAGATACAGCTTCATCACTGTCTGATTCCGTCTCAGATGAGCTTAGATCTTCCTCTTCAAGGGTCGGTGATTTATGTATTGAAGCAGGCGGCGCCTGGTCGCGTCTATTTATCAATGGTCTTCGGCTATAATGGTCCCACCGCGTCTCTTTTGGTTCAGCGCAAGCGGTTTCATTATGCGGAGACTCTCGCGGGCCTTTGACCTGGTGTACAGTATTCGTGGAACTAGTACGCCTCGAAGATGAGCCTTTAAAATCATTAGAGAAGAGACTAAGTGGCAAGCCCGAATAAAGAGAGGACAACGTGTTGGGGAAGAAAACTTACTTCGTGGGGGTAGCGTTTCTTTCTGCTGTAATGGGAGCCGGTTCGGAGCCCGCGAACCTGAATGGGTCAGTATCAAGTCAGATAGGGTGCAAGGGTGCCGTACCTGCGCTAGGGGTCCCTTTGGCTGCTTGGTTTCCTAGAGCTGTACTGCCGGACACAGATCCAGGAGCAGGAGACGGAGAATTCGATTGCGTAGTACCCACCTTACGCATCTGTGCGCGAACCTGTGCTAGCTGCCGATCGTACAGCCATGCCGCTTGCTGGAGTAAAAATTGAAGAGTTACGTCAAAGCTCTCCGCTCTGTGGCAATCGGCATCTTAGCGGATGTAGATATGTAAGGGATTGGGGGTAATACAGTGTCTTCCCTATAACTGGATTAGTATCCTGCAGAAAAAAAATTATAAACCATCTCACCTACAATCTATATCTCCTTTAGAAGGACGCGATAGGATGTCCCAAAGCGCCTGATCTTTAGCTGCGTCCCATTCGACCTGGAGGAGTCAGCAGTTATCTTTACGACCGGTTAGCCAGCGCAAGAGCGTACAGGAGGTGGGTCAACAAAAGTTCCCCTGGGGAATGGGAGACGGATAAAGACTGTGAATTTGGTGTCACCAGATTTATTGAGAGATGTCATCCTGTAGCGGTTCTTTCACCATCCAAAGCTACAAGCGCAGTTATGGTTGTGGCTCATCAGTTGATTAAACAAACAATACACAATATTGGGTTAAGTTCATCATAATATAAAATCAAATATACATTGCAAAAATTGTGCAGGCAACGCTGAGTTAGACTGCTAGAGATGGATACAGATGGACGACCGGATGGAGTGGTGAAGATGACGAAAGTGTCGTGGTCCCATCTGTAGAGGAGGTGCGTTGCAATACATAGTACTCTACTAACCCCTGTTAAATCGTTCCCCAACAAATTGCATGTCCATCTATTGCCACGACATATGCTAACTGCACACGTGATACCCAACCGATGGTCATCTGACTTCTTATCAGATTAGGTAATTTGGTGGATGAGAGTGAAAGTAGAACAACAGTTGAACAGAGGACCCTTGGTATTCCTTAAATTCTGGAGGAATAACATTGCCATTGCCTCAAGTTTCCTTCCTCCAGCCTGTGCATTCCAATTAGACTCCCATACTGCTCCATAACTTGTCCAGCACAAAATGCGGTTTCTCCACACAAACCTTGCCCAAAGTTTGAGCTCTGTGGAGTCGTCGGTCCTGACTACTTACCTATCATCTTCCTATTCATAAGAAATGACTACATGTTCTTACCATTGTACTCAAAAGTAGCGCATGCCACTTTGTTTTCCGCACGTCTTGTGGATTTTGAGCTAGTTTCATATGCTATACTTTTCCAATGACTCCACTAGTTTCGACTTAATTAGTTGACAGTCCTCGATGACAACCCACTATGACATATGTAAATATAAATGTGAAACTTGTGAAACTTGCCATGGGATCCAGGAAACCGTTGGAAATTGGGGGTTCTAATGCCCCGTTATAAGTAGTAGATATACTGTCCACAGATATTCTTATTGCTCACCATGCTTCCTCTAACCTAACTATTGCAAACACTACTCCGTATTTGCGGCCATTCCAGAGAGCTCGTAGCTTGTGGAAAGTGGATTCCTGCAGATCCCGATGCCATCTATCAGATTTAATCCTGAGACTCCCAGAACAATCAAATCACATGTCTATCGGTCGACATCATGGTCGGGCCCCTCTCCATGGCTATGCACTATAACGACGAAGGGATCTGTCAGAGACCGAGTCGGGAAATGAGTATCCCAAACATACCGTACCGCTTGGCATCGGAGCATTGCCACCGGCACACAACGACACCAGAAGAATATGACCTGTCCAAAGTAATTAGCTATATTTATCAGTGTCGTACGGAGCTGTCAGAGTAGATACCGTTACATTAGGATCATCATCCAATTTATTCCATGAGAGACATTCCAATCGATTCTTTCCTCCTATCCTGCTATGGATTTACAAACTGAACTGGGCTCAAAAACCTCGCCAGGCCCTGCCGGAACACCAATTTCTGTAGCGATAGCTCGAATATTTAATCGATGCTACGTCCCTTCAGCACTTGATAACAGTGGTCCTTGAATATGATCTTCTATTTTCGACCAGACCGCTTTCCAAATCGCGTCTTTATTGTAGCTGCAGCTGGCGGCAACCTCGCCGAAGAAGCCGAAAACCTTGCTACTAAATAAATAAAGAGGCAGCAGGAACCTTTGAAGGGAGCCAAAGATAAAGCATGTGCAATGACAGTTGCCTAGTACCTATGTTGCTACGCTAAGTCACTATTGGATTGCTTGTAGCCTTGTACTGCGTACTCGGTACATAGTATTGGATTGATTCTATTTCTCAGCTTTTTTTTTATCTTTTTTTTTTTTTGTTGCTGCCTTTTTTTTTTTTTTTTTTTTTTTTTTTTTTTTCTCCCACTCTCAACCAATATCCCCACTTGGACTTGCTTAAAGTTGCGGTGAAAGGGATCCCTGTTGTGCATTTCGCTCGCCAATCGACTTATAAGGCTGAGAAAATAATATGGACTGTAGTCAAAGCTTTGGAATGAATAAAAGACAAAAATATATAAAGTAATTAATATTACCCTGAAAAGCTACAGACAAATGAGGAACAATGGACTACCCAGGACAGTCTTCCTTGACTCCGATCACTCCGAAGCAGTGGTGCCTGATAACAGCCATGGCGGTGCGTGGCTGAAACCACGGCTTCTAAATCCCGGGACGGACCGGTTTCCTGCCCTATACCCTAATTTCCCAAACAGGGTATTTTACCCCTGAACTGGCAAGGGTCTTCATAGTAAATCCTCCGGTTCACTGTAGGCATTTAACCATGGTAATTCTTGACTCGTAACTGTTCATTGGCCATCGTCTAACTAACTACATATTTAGTTAGTTACCTATCATTAATGATAATTCTGATTAATTACAGTCCCATGGCACGGTTAGTGCAGTCTGCTCAATTAGTTAATGATTCGGTCAGGCGGGCCATGGGTCGCAACGAATAGGGAACTAGAGGCCCAATTCTTGTCCCTTTCTTTTGCCGGTCTCTCTCGGCGGCATAAAAGTAGTCATTTTAGTTGGTCCTCCCTCCTCCACTCTCTCCCCTTTCTTGTCTGCCGTGCTATCCAGCGTTCTTCCCTCCCCGCAAGTCGGATGCTGCTCTTGAGCACTTACTTCTCGTCCACCGTGCTTCGAGTGCCGGGGACGAGTGTATTTACATCTTGCGACACCTACCCCTAAATCACTATTGCTTTTTTCTCACCCCTCTACTATTTCACTTTCATCCCGCCCCGCCGTTACTAATAGATGCGCTCCATGTGCGCTTTGGGGTGACGAGAATCACAATTGGCATTATGGAGTCGGTGAAATTTGTCGGTTTCGATGATGGTCAATACCGCAATGAAGTCCTCCTTTTCCAGTCAGAGGAAGCAGAGATATCGCAACAACAGAAATTGATTGAAGAGGCATGCCAATTAGGATTAAAGGTCCCGGAGATCGAGGCGGTGGCTTCCTTAGCCGCCTCGATTGCGTCCGGTATGGTCGATCTCTCCTCCTCTATCCTTTCCTCAGGCTCTTCGACAGATCGCATTTCCGTGTGTGAAGGAACCCCATCCCACGAGACACATCTCGACCAGGCTGCTTCGTCCCTCTCCGAGTTCACGCTGTCCTCCGATCGAGCCAAATGTGGCAGCACCCGATCGATTGCTTCGCTGTCAACCCGCCCAACGTCTTACAGCTCGAGTGAAGGGAGGGTAGTCCACGGGTTGGATACCCTTGCAGGACGATCTGCCGGCCAGCGGCATTCGTTTCTCAGTGCGACATCGAGCGAGAAGAAAGAAAGGAGGAAGTCGAGTCTCAAATCTGCGATTGGCAAAATACAATTTCGAAAGAAAAGGTCCCCTTCGACGGTTCTTCTGCCCTCGGCTGCCCAGATCAGAGTTACTAAGGTCGAAGGAGGGGATACAGTCTACGTGAAACCCAAGACCAATGAGACCCATAAACTTGATTCTGCAGATGAAGTAAACAAGGTGTTGAAGCTAGAAATACCCGTGTTCGATAATGAGTCTCTCCAGAGAAGCCTCAACAATGCGGAGTTGCAGCAGATGCGAGAATCCCACAAAATAGAGAGAAACCGTCATATCGCCTTTCAGAACGATATTATGCGGGAACTCAGACGCAAGCAACAAGACGCTGTTGCTGATAGGCTGGCGCAGAACAGAAAGTTGGAGGATCAAAAACGAGAAAAGGTAGATTGTTTTCTCTCATTCAAAATTTGAGGTTGCTCACTAAACTGTTGCAGAATTCTGCGGACACCATTCGGATGGAAGAAAGACAGCTGGCGGTAGAAATCGAACAAGTGCGGGAGTTTGAGCGGGCAAAGATGAATTCACGTACACGGATAAAGCATATGGAGGGATATTTTAGCAACACCAGCCCTCCACCTTCACCCCCGGATGGATCGACCCCAACCTCGCCCGATATATTGCCGTCGCCATCACCATCACAGACACGTCAGTTCACTGCGCAGAATAAAGCCCAGCTGGCACAGGAATATCGTGCCCATGACTCAATGGATCAGCTCCATGAGGCGAAAATTAAAGTTCTTCGAGACCGACAGGAAGTACGATTACAGGAGGCTATAGCCCGCATGGAGAGGGAACTGGATGCCCTCATTGACAAGCATGCTATGGAATTCTCCCAGTTACAGAGCGAGCACCAGCGGGAGGAGTTGTCAACGATACAAGCATTCGATGCAAGGAAGACAAAGCTACGCCATCGATGGAACCTCGAAGAAGCAATCCTGAGAAAGAAGCTCGAAATGCAACATGGACAACTTTATGGACCACTGCCACCACTGTCGTTTAGTGACTCGCACTACGACACACGGGACTCGGCAATTTGTGTCACAGACCAAACAGAAGGTAGCAGTGGCGACGAGGATGGCGCGTATCAAAAGAGAGATGGGCCGGTGCTTTGATTTATGATTTTGATGTTTAAGTGATACCCTTTTCTTTTCTTTCATTTTGTGGTTTCTCATCGTTAATATATACATGTTGCACTTATACTCATCTCCCTTCCTGGCATAATTCGTTGTCTACCCAAGGCTATGGCTGGTGGCTTTACAATATTCGATTTATCATCGGACATGTTTTGGAGCATCATATAAATGTCTAGTAGATTTTTGGTCCTAAGTTTTTGTGCATACTACCCAGGGTTTCTATATAGATTTATTCAGCTCAATAGCTCAAACAAGTACATTCAACGGGTATCTTTTCTCCTCTGTAGATATGGCTAAAACCCAGTAACTAGACTCCATTTCAACTCTCACTCGTCTTCATTCCTTGGCCGGTGCATGTCTTTTCAGCCGATCTAGAACCGTTTCCACTCTCCCATCTCCACCAGTGAGACTAACCTCCACCGCTTTATCCCTACCATTATCCCCAATAACGACAGCCCTTTCCACAATGCCCGAATTCGAGATCTTAAATCTTCCTACCCTACCATCAGCCCATTCCAAGCGCACATAGACGGCCTCAAGCGACGTTGGAGCTAAAGACACAATCCCCAGATCATTAGCTGCCAGTCTCATTTCTTCGCCACTGTCACCCAGCACATTCCGTTCCCACACCCCATCATCATCATCATCATAATCATCTATCCCCCGACGAACAACCCCCAACGTCTCCCGCAACAAGCTCACTGCATCTACTCGTAAATGCCACGCAACCAGTTGTCGTCGTAGCTCGCGCACCAGCCCTTGTAGACTTTGCTTCCTCGGTTTCTTCTTCGACGGCTTCAGCGCCATCTCTTCTGAATCCGCCTGCTCCGCAGAAGAATTCGACAACGGCAAATACATCCTTTCTAAGGTTTCCATCGAAATGAACGCCGGTATGGTATGTCTATGCACCTGGAACCATTTCTCTTCCCCGCGGGACTGTCTCAGGAGAAGATAGTACGGTTTCACAAAGCGACCATTGCGCGCACAGATGTCAATACGCACACCTAGGAGGTTCGGATCCTCCGTGTTCGGCGACGGGTCCTTGAATGGGAACGTTGTAGCCGAGAAGGCTATGCGATGGTGGTTGACGTCTGCGTGGATTCCGGCAGATCTGACAAGAGGGGAGATGTCTTCGGTTAATGAGGATAGTGATGGCGCCGTTTGGGATTTTATTCGATTCTGGAGGCTCTCGGATGAAAGGAGGCTGGATGTGAGGAATCGTTTTCTTCTTTGGAGATTTCGGACTGTTGCTAGTTAGCAGGGTTGTGATATGCGAGGTGTCGGTAGTACGTACTTTCGGCGCGGATAGACGTAATGTCGGAGTCGAGCTCCTCTTCGATGTCTTCGGATAGCTCTTTGGTCTCCATTTCGTGTTGTTGGGTTGGTTTGCGGGGTGCGTACTGAGAAGCTTCTGTGGAGTGATGATGGTACGTTCTCTACAGCTACAAAGCACGATGGGATATGAATGGCTGTTTCTTGTTTTGCGGGTCGGTATGACACGTGATTAAAATCGGTTGTCCAGTCACATGGCCCCGCTTCTGAATCAGAATTCGCGTTCAGCAGCAAGCAGTTCGGGCCTGTGGCTCAGTGGTAGAGCGCTCCGTTTGCATCGGAGAGGTCAGGGTTTCGATCACCCTCAGGTCCAACTACTTTTTAATTATATTTTTTTGTTTTACTGGCTTGTCCTATCTATGGATTATATAGAGTGGATGCTAAAAGAATTGGTGCAACTACTCTCTCTGTCAAGAGATTTTATGAAGAAAATGCATCCATGGCATAACCAAATTACGATGCTTAAAGTTGTTCAAAGAGAGTCTGCTTTCTGACTGTTGGTTCGGTTCCCATTCCCTTTCCCATTCCCTGTTTCCCATTCCTTGTTTCCCGTTCCCTGTTTCTTCGTTGAATGCATACTAAATACGAAGGTAGAGAGAGACATCTATCGGTCTTAGATCCTTGGCCTTTTCCCATGTTGGTTGACTGAAAAGTTTTGTAATAGACACAAATTTGTTTGGCATGTTGTCCAATGGCGGAATCAGTGTCCTCTTAAGGTACGCAGTCTTCAACCAGTTAGTTGAAAATGGCGAACTTTGTCTCCAAAGCCTAAGAAGTATATGATTTCTACTCAGACACTCTTCCAGAACAAATATTCCATCCGTAAGATGTATTGTGCAGGAAAATTTAAAAGTACCTTGTTGCATGCTATCGGGCAAGCAGTGGAGTATCACTAAACTTTACCTCTATGACTACTTTTTGTGTCGAGTCTAGATCTATCCCGAGATAGTTAAGATCAGCAATCCAATATGATTATTTTATCCTTCTTTTCAGATCCATGATTAATTCACTTTACCATCATTGGTAGCACAATTCATAGATACCTACATCCAGACATAACGACCTATTCTGTCTACTGGCCATATGGCAATGGGACGGAGCATCTTACCTGATTCGGTATTCGTTTAGACTCCATCCAGGCCCGCATATTTTCTAGATTTAGCCAATAGACATACATTCGGGAAAGTACCCGAGCGGGTTGCCAGATGTAGTATGGGGCAAAATTTGAATTGCCTGATCTGGCGTCAATCTCCGCACAAGCACAATCAGTCTTGGACCTCAGATAGAAGAATAAGCGGTTTGTAGCTCCCGCTGGAGGCTTTTGGGGAGGTGTTTTTCAAAATCTCCAGCGGCATGATCATGCTCAGAGTGGATCTTAATTATTCAGCCGTTGAATACTCGATATAGAACTTATCTATTCTCACTTTAAAGCACATTCGTAGGCTAATTACATCTAGCACTATAGAAGATTACCTGATATGGCAGTTCAGCTCTGCACCGATAAGCGTCGCCAAGACCCTTCCATAGGGCAATTTCTAAGTTGAGTATCATCTCTTGCTCAGTGGGGAATTTTTCTTGGGTTCTTTATGTCATTCTCGAGGAGCATAAATACCCTGGTTGTTTTCGCAAATATGGCCCTTGGTGAGTAGCTATCGGCCAACGTTCAGCTCACCTTGGTTTCACAAACCGCCAAGTGTTGGTGGATATACCTCGTGTCTTTGGTTGATAACGACTGTTTGTTTACTTCGAAATGGCCCAAGACCTGAGTCGGACGCCCACTATTGGCTCCGGGCCTAGACAAATTGATCCATTGGAGCTACCCTTCAGCACGGTGGCAGATGGTGCGAATCTTGAAGAGTTCGTCGCCGAAACAAGGACCGGAAATATCGTCAAGCCCGTCAAGTCTAACGTAACTGGCAAAGAGGAGGACTACAAGCTGGTTACCTTCATGGCCGATGACCCTGAGAATCCCAAAAACTGGTCCAAGATCTACAAATGGTGGTGCACGATTGTCGTCGCCTTCACCTGCTTTGTTGTGGCTTTCGCTAGCAGTGTCATCACCGCCGACCTGGAAGGAGTAGGGAAAGAGTTCCATGTGTCTCGAGAGGTGACCCTGCTTACGATTACCGTTTTTGTGGTCGGGTTTGGTGTCGGTGAGAATATTGAGGACTATAGGTCCTGTTGTTCCAGACTGAAGGAACCTCTCTTGACTAACGATACCCAGGACCCATGTTCTTTGCCCCGCTGTCGGAGGTGGTTGGCCGTAGACCCGTATACGCAATCACGCTGCTGTTGGCCGTCATCTTCGTCATTCCCTGCGCCGTGGCCCAGAACATCGGTACATTGATTGTATGCCGTGCTATTGATGGAATTGCTTTCAGTGCGCCCATGACCTTGGTTGGTGGCACGCTTGCCGATCTCTGGAAGAACGAGGAACGCGGCGTACCTATGGCTGCATTCAGTGCTGCTCCTTTCTTGGGCCCTGCAATTGGTCCTTTGGTAGGAGGCTTTCTTGGAGACAGAAAAGGCTGGAGATGGCTGTACTGGATCCAGCTAATTCTCTCCGGGGCTGCTTGGGTCTTGATCACCTTCACCGTGAAGGAGACATATGCCCCTTGTATATTGAAAAAGAGAGCACGGAAGCTCCGCAAGGAAAAGGATAGGAAGTATGTCACTGAGCAGGAGCTGGATCCTCGCCCTCTCGCAGAAAGACTGCGTATCTTCATTGCCCGGCCATTTCAACTATTGTTCTTTGAGCCGATTGTGTTGTGTATTTCGATCTATATGGTTTGTCTCCATCGAAAGGCGAATATGTGGGTTCTGAATTGCTAAGTGGCTTAGTCTGTATTATATGGCCTGCTGTACATGTTCTTTGTTGCGTAAGTTGCCCTCGGACTTGAGTCGGTATACTCCCCTAACTGACATGGAAAGGTATCCGATTGTATACCAGGGTGGAAAGCACTGGAGTGCGAGTAAGACCGGTCTGATGTTCATACCTCTGGCGATTGGAGTTATCTTCAGCGCAGCCTGCTCCCCAGTAGTGAACAAGCACTACCTGAAGCTCTGCATCCAGTACAATGGGAAACCCCCGGCCGAGAAACGGCTGATCCCCATGATGTTCTCCTGCTGGTTTATCCCTGTGGGTCTTTTTATCTTCGCGTGGACGTCCTATCCCCACGTTCACTGGCTGGGACCAGCTATGGGCGGACTCCCAATTGGATACGGGTTTATCTTCCTCTATAACTCGGCGAACAATTACCTTGGTGAGTAGTAACATATAGATTATAGACTCCACCTTCGGACTCTTGAAATAAACAAGCTAATCGTGAATAGTGGACACGTACCAACACCAAGCGGCGTCAGCCTTGGCCGCCAAGACGTTCCTACGCTCGATCTGGGGAGCGGCGACCGTTTTGTTTACTGAGCAGATGTACGAGCGTCTTGGGTATCAGTGGGCGAGTACATTGCTTGCCTTTATTGCGCTGGCATGTTGTGCCATTCCTTATGTGTTCTACTTCAAGGGTGAGGCGATCCGTCAATATTCCAAGTTTGCATACAGCGAGGATGAAGAGACGGTTAAGTATAGAGATGATGTATCATAAAAGGAGCAAAAACAATCCACATAGTACTCCAAATTCAGGGGTTCATCCAACGGTGATACAAAAAGGGGCCGATGCCGAATCAACCGCCGGGATTCGGTGGGGCGCAGAACTAGCGATGTTTCACATTTCTCCCTTCATTTCTTCTTCAATGGGAAGATGTTCTATTTAGCGCCAGTGGCTTGGTTTCCCCTCTCCGCAAACGTGTGGCTTAGCGGACATCCCCCATTGAACTAATTCTTGGTTCTTCGGGCATTTTGTTCGGAGTCGCGATTTCTCTCTCTTATTACTTACTCTTCACAATTGAATTCTACTTCCCCTGTCGCTCATTTCCTTTTCGTTCCCTTTCTCCCTCTTTGCTGTCAATACTGTATATACAACACATCACTTTGCTATTCTTATAATCATTAATTCTGTGTCTCCACTTTCGCTCTCTCTCTACCGAGAAGAACAACATAATGCCCGTCATCTCAACACTTGCCCTCTTAGCGCGAGACTGTCGCGACGACGACAGCTGTGAAAAGCCTACCAGTACTTTCCTAAAGAGTGGTGTTCCGGCGATCATCGTGGGAAGGTATTTACTCAACGCGTCCATTTCCTGCCCTTTCCTTCCCCCCTTGCACAGCTATTCAGGAGACTAATACTAACACTACTCTATCTAATATCTAGTTTAGTTCTCATCGCGGCCGCGGTATGCTGCTACCTTCTCTATCGCAATAAAAAGAGAGATACCCAGGAAGCCAAAGCAGATAGGATGTGGAATGATCTGCGAGAGTAACGGCTACTCCTACCTCCTTACTGCCTTCTTACCTACCTACCTTCGTAGTACTCCGTACTACGCGATCGATGATCATCGTACACTCTCCCTCCCTTTCTCTCAGCTATTCAACTCATACTCTATTTCTTATTCTCTCTTTGACCTTCTTTTCTTTTCTTTTCTTTTTATACCAAATTCCGACCTGGTGTTTACAATCTTCCTTACTTCGTCGTTTTGTTTTATTTTTATTTTTATTTATTTTTGCTATATTCAGCAGGAGTTCATCGGCACTGGAACTGGAACTGGGATTTCTATATTATCACTGCAATGATCCGATCAGATCATACACCACTGGTCGGACTTCTATCCTGGAGTTCGGGGTTCAGAGAATCATTCCAATATCGTCATATTTCCTTGTATCTGTGTCGCATGCAATGGCTGGTTTCAGCGAATCTAAGCACCAGAGCTTTGTATCTTAGTTCGATCTGTATAAAGCATGGCATGGCATGGCATATATACTGTCTATTTACTTGATGACTTCTTTTATATTTCTCTCTATTGAAAGTCTTTCTGATTGATTCCACCCGTTAGAAGTCGTAAGGACATAATATTCCCACAGTCCAGACTGGACAAATCAACTGTCGGCAGCTACCAACTATACAACAACCAACATCTACAGTGGATCCAAATCAATAGCTAATTTTAAAAGCTGGAGACTCACGGGATCGACAGTTACGCCCTTGATCTGTTGGTCTAGTATTCACGAGCCAGCAGGAAATCGGTAGCAATTGGTTAACTATGATCCATAGACTACTGCCTAGTATCAATACTAGTTTCCCTTATTACTTACGAAGTATAGCCTTAATTTCATCATTAAACCGGGCATAAGTCTCCATGACATCAACACTGCCATCCGCGATCCGAGCAAAATGCCTCTTCCTAGCAATGATGAGACGATCGGTAGAAAGCAAGCCCATAGGAGGCCGGTAGGAGTTGAACTTTTCAATATAGGGTTGCAGACTCTCGACAAACTTTTCATGTCGACCCTTCTCCAGCGCTTCAGGAAACAACTCGACTAAAAGTATCGAATTCGCACATCTAAAGACAATTGCGGACCTCACTTTCATGTGTGCCTCGATAATGGTCATAAGGGCTGAGTTGCGCATCTGCGGCATATCGCGGCATTTTGCAAATCGCCTCCAATAGTTTTCAGATATAGGATGCTGCACCCACAGTTCTTTGGGCCAATAGCTATCCATGACGCTGATCCAGAAAGCTGGCTCGACTTCATAGTCTGGCTGGCGCACAATGGAAAACTCATGCAGGTTGCTGCTGTACTCGTGGAATTCAACTCCTGCGTGTTTTTCAAAGGCAACATAGCCACAGGTGATGAGTTCCTTCTTGACGTTTGTGAGAAGGATGCCTGTTGCCTTGTCACTAATGCAGGGTACCACATGGATAGGATCCAAATTCCTGCGCAGTTCTTCCGTTAAAGAATCATCGTAATACTGTACGACTTTCAACCGTGGCAGCTTCAGATCCTTGAGTGGCTTTGACCACACTTTCTTAATGCAATCTGTGCTGAGGAGAGCACCTTCAACGCAACCATCTTGCAAGATATCTAGGACTTTCTCCTCCGGCGGAAGCCCAGCAGGACCGATGACAAGGGTAGTTTCGAGGAATGTAGGCATACTGAGCGCCATCATCATCCCCAGCATCTAAGGACAGTTAACTCGCTAGACTCAATACAAGCTGTGTGTGACTCACGGTTTGGAAACCAGCCGACGTAAACCACCTACGACGGACATACTGGGTGAAAATGCAGTTATCCATATTAGGTAGGGCTGCTATGAGATCACACGCAGCCATTGTGCGCTGGGTATGTATGGTGACAGGTCGAGGATCCCCTGGCTATCAATAAGTAGGTTGTCCAGGAGGCCTAGGGTTCCAAGGAAAACAGCAGACCTGGGGTATGAAACATAATCCAGGGCTCTCCATGCCCTTCGCTCCATTGAACTGGGTAAAAAAAAGGAGTGATATCTTCAGCGTTCAGAAAAGTGTTCAACTCCGGAACCACCACCAGTGGAAGACCCGGATTGCTCCCCAGCATCTCACGGACTTTCGGTAGGCGACAGGCTGCGCAAAAAAAGGCAGAACAGCGAAATCTTTGCAAAATATCAAGCCGCTCCTCCTGCGTGGCATCAAGTGAGAGAAGTATCATCTGCCACGGTACATACAACAGTCAACGAACGCACCCACAGTCCATGGACTCGGATATTCATACCATGGTCCGTCGCTTTGCAGCTGCGAGGGCGAAAATGGGATAGCGAAGATCATTAGGGCCGACATACACGAAACGCCCACAGTGCGTAGTAGCTGCCAACAGACAGACGGCGTAATTGGCGGCACTATTTAACTCTTTGAAGCTGATGTCACGGTACCCTTGTCCTAAGTCATTGTCGTCTTCGGGAATAGACACCCAGGGCCTGCTGGGTGGACCAACTGCACGAGTCTCTGCTACTGTAGCGAGAATCCGTCGGCCGTGGTTGCTTCGTAACGGAAACGTGGAGGTCATATTGAGTGTTGCAATTGTTGGTATGGAAGACCCCAGGGAACGGGATTCTCCCTGCCCACAGACAAATTGTATAGTGATATACCACTGTATAATATAAGGAATGACTTGGATGTTAAGATACGTAAGAGGCCGAGAGGAAGGAGATGGACCAACGAATGCCCAAAAATCCATCTTGGGATGTTGTAGGGAGTCTCCGAATGAGGAAAGAAGAGCTGTGGTTTACATAGTAAGGCAACAACTGCAAATGGACACCTGGAGGATGTGAATAGGACCTTGAAGCAAAAAGCTCATAGTCTAAGCATGATAGAGCTTGTGACACTCCCGTAATCGAATTTAACGAGCCAGCAGATGAGTGCATGTCCCTAGATTACCTGTAGCCCTTCTACAGGATTAATCCAATATCCTAGCAGTCAAAGTCTGATGATATCGTAGAGTGGGGAAAGTAAATTACCCACGTTTTCTAAGCTATCCTGTGTCGCACGATACCGAAGAGCGGCGTTGAAGAGTGTCTATATACTGTTGAGTAGTATCGAAGGAACGGTGAATTTTATTCTACTGTACGACGGCTGTTGGACACTCATACTTTAAACTTCTAGCCCTCTAATCCTCCACACTTATCCTAGAATTGAAACCTATGTATATCTACATCGGGAGTGGATCAATTCCGCCTATCCCAGACAATGAATGATTAATGATCATTGTTATCAATAATATATGCCAACAACTCGATTTAAAGCTTTTTATTTTCATCTCAGTTAAAGATCAATTATTCATATTGACCTAAAACTGCTGCCTTATGTCCACCCCATCGACCCATCAGGCAATATCATTCACCCAACATGTCCCACTTAACATACTACAACTACCCATGAGTGGGAGTTAGAAACCAGCAAGCATTCTGATACAGCCAGGCTGCTCGTGTTGGTGACCGTATCGAATATGCCGTCCAAGCTAAACAATACCAATATGAACTGTTTCAGTCGAGCAGACAGAAGTAGCCATCTCAACTCAACCAGCCGGATGGGACCCAAACACGGGTGAGATTCAGAGAGAAATCAACGCTCAGATCGACCAGACATTTGCAAATGTGGAGATGAATCTGCGAAATGCTGGCGGCAAGGGCTGGGAACAGGTCTACCGAGCCAATTCGTATCATGTCCCGATTAATAATGAGGCATTGGAGGGCATGATGCGGAATATTAAGTGATATATGCCTGATCATCTGCCAATCTGGACTTGTGCGGGCGTGACTCGATTGAGAGAGGATGATATGAGGATTGAGATTGAGGTTGTGGCCCAGGGTCCGGTATGGTATTTAGTATGGGGATTAGTGGTATCTGAGGATGGCAATAGCCATTGGAACTGCCATAATTATGTTGCTAAGCGCTATGCATACATAAGTCCCAACATGTGTGCTATACTTCCAGCTGACCTACCATACTCTAAATCTCGAATATATTGTTACATTTCCCTTGGTATTTTATCCCGAAGCTTATGAACATGCTCACACGTGCATCCCTCTGTGCTACCAGATTCAGGTATGCGAACGGTGACCTGGTCACTTTGTGTCTCTGTCAACCCCGTAGCCAGACTTGTACTATAATATTTGTTGTATCACGGGGTATAATATATTGCAACATTTGAAGCACGTGATGTCATTATTACGCTCTTGTGCGGAATCTAAAGTACACCTGGGTGTGGTGACAGTATAAGTTGTAGCAGATATCTTGATATGCTAGGTAGCAGCAAAAAGTGTCTAGTAATTACCGGCATCCTAAAAATGGAAAATAAACAGTGGTTACACTGCAGATCGTTCGCGAGTGGCGACCAATCAAGACATGACGAACAGCCCGTCGGACAAATTCCATTCGTTGTGTTTTAAATCGGAATTCCTAGCTGCAGCACATTGGGTCGAATCTTATGTTCGATCCTATCGCGTATTCTAGCCCTCTGGGCATCTGGCCAAGCGTTTCAGGAACAGCTGAAAAGCAAATAAACCATGCATACATAAAGACTGGTTATCCTTTTCATCTTCCTTTCTGTATACCTTTATTTCTACGCATATACATCGGTAATTTATATTAGGATTTAAAATGCATCTCACCCCACTCTTAATGCTGGCTCTCCCCCTCACATCATCAGCCGCCTCGCTCGATGTCCTCAAATTCAAAAACGTAGGTCTATCCTCAACTACCTTCCGCGAATAATTAATGCTAATATCTTATTCTTCCAGTGGGACCTCCACATCCTAGCCCCCGGATGCAACCCGAACAACTCCAACTTCGACATCTCCCTATATCACCGGTCCGGCATCACAGGAAATACCTGTACGTCCCTGATCGACGACTCCAATCCCGATAGAACCAAGGCGGAGACGATCTCATGGAAGAGCCCCATCGCCTCGCATTACGATCTGTGCACCTTTCGCGATGGAAACTGTTCGAAGGACTCGTTTATCGAGGCTGTGAGGAGTGAGTGGGAGGTTTGCTATCCATATAAGGGATGGGTGGGCTGGAAGGTTGTACCGAACGGGGAGAGCTGCATTTGAGGTGTGGTTGTGATGGGTATTGTAGATAACTGACTTCTGAACCACCCTAATCTCTAAAATACCTATATAGGGAGGACTCGACTCCATGGTGTATACGTAGCCCAAGTTTCTCGTACCGTGACAGTGCTGCACGTCCTATCTTGTAATTCGGCCTTCCCATCGTCAGTAGAATTCCGAGATGCGAAGAGTCTAAAACGATTAATTGTAATTGCTATAAACGCAGGTTTGAAATTTTTATTTGAATCTGGTGTGGCTATGCTCTGAAGGGGGGAATAGGTGGAGTTGGACATAATCACATTAGCAACGTACAGTTAGTACTTCATTGAGCGAGACACCAAGGACAGAGTTTTTAAATTATGTGTCCCGTGAAATGTCAAGATGTAACTTTCTCTCTCAATTTGTATGCTAATATTTGTAGCACCAGCAGAGTTCGAATAACAGTATCTATTGACCAAGGTACTTCACAAATTCCTTCATACAACGACACTCGAACTTGCCGTACAGTAATAGACCTTTGTCATTACATTCGACAACCAGCAGATACATCTGTTGGGTTCTGTCTTGCCGGTTCTGGAAGTTTAAGAGCGTATTCATCACCAAGCCTTACTACACAATTCATAGATCAATGCTTGACTCTGTAGTGCATCCTCCCGAGCCCGCAAAGTTACAGCTAGAAGAATTATATTGATTAGCAATTACGCCTATAGCGTCCGTTTTCCTACTCAGTCGCACTTGGCTGGATCAGAAATGGAGCAAGAAAGATATCGCGTTCTTAAGAACCAGTAAAAATCCTCCTTTGGCTGTCGATATCAAATATCCATATTTGGGATGGACTTTTTTCAAAGTGAGTACTACTGTTCCTCAAATGGGATTGTACTCGTACCGAACAAACAAGCTCCGGTCGCTTAAGATAGAAGACCTAACGTTCTCGTCCCCACAGTACGTCGAAGTTTGTCAAAACCATCGTCCAAAATATCTTGTTTATTGCATTTGGCGATCTATTGTATCATCCATTACTGGCGGGCATCGTGAATGAATGTGATCATCGCTACAACTCGAAGAAGACGTAGCTCCGCATTATAACCGATTCTGAGTATTATGTGTTAGCGAGCTATCTCGTCAGCTAAGAGCAGTAACTACCTCCAGTTTCACCTCTGGGCAGTAACGTTGATTTGGTCGACGATGCAGCGTGCGTTGGAAATACTGATGTATTCACCTTGATTGTCTCCTCAGTGGATGCTTTACATAGGCTATAGTTGAGATGATCAATATCAAATTCACTACGGTATCGGGGGTTGCCTCAGGACCAACTGAAAGATGCGGGGCAAGGAAACGTTGATGGCACCGCTAAAACAAGAACGGCAATGGTCTTGACGTCCGTAGATTTTTTGCTCGGTAGGATGTGCATAGGATTTTCACAGGATAAAAGCCACCTTGTCTACTGAAGTTGGCCCTATTCTCGGGATTATCTGACTCTTGATTCACATATTCAAAGTACTTAAATTTGAGGTACAAATTGCAGATATCATACTACCTCTGTATGCTATTATTAACAAAATATGGATAATATACCATCTAAGATAGATCTTGTAGGTACCTTTGTGTGTGGTAATAGATTAAAGCTAATAATGAATCCGACCATACCAACTCCATAAGTGCAAGACCATGCCATGTCCAACAACATCCCAAGTATACTATAGAAAACCTTCATGCCTTTACATGTTGCTTTCGCAGGATAATATTCATATACCTGTTAGAGCATGTTAGTATCAGTGCAAAATGATAAAGAATGACTCAAAAAACACTTACAACCCCATCCCAAACAACGCGAACACAACCCCGACCATACTCTGCCTCATGACAATATGACTATTTGTTGCCCATCCCAGTCCCACGATCACGCAGGTCTTTAACTGGCCAATGACAGTACTGCTCACCGGGCCCGCAGCATCAATTATATAAAACCCGGAAAGATTCACCAGGCATGCAAAGACGCCGCTCTGCAAATAATACCATGATTAGCATTCCAGTGCCAATGACAGGGGAGAAAGAGCATACCATCAAAATGAGAGACCACATTGATCTGGGTACGTACGCACTAACAGGGGGTGTTTCGATCCATGGAATAGTAATCAAAAGTAATCCAGCGCTGATTGGCGCCTGATTCAACAGAAGCTGCATGCTGCTCATTTCGAGCTTTTTATGATAATATCCGATCCACACGGTGTAGATGGCACTTGCTCCAACGCCCGAGAGGGAAAAGATTATACCCCAGACGGAGGTGCTTGTTTTGCCATCGTCCTTAGGGATGGAGTCATAGTACGAGACGATGCCTACCCCCGAGCACAGCAATACCAGAGGGGCAATGGCAGCTCGGGGAATTCTAACTCCATAGAGGATATAATTGAATAAAGCGGTCACAGGAGTGAGTAGTAATCGAGCAAGTTGATAGAACATAACGGAGGAATTTGCGAGTCCTAGATTCTGGAGAATGACTTGGAAGCCCATTGCGGCGGATAAAGGAAGTATCTGACGGATGTTGACTTTCTTGGGCACAAATAGGTTGCACCATGATCGAGAGGCCACCCATAGAGTGGCTCCGGTGATGAAGAAATGGTAAGTCGCGAAGGATACCTGACAGTTGCGAAAGGATGGGTCTGAAAAAATGGATTTGTTTGTGAAAACCTGAAATGAACAGGCGTGAGCAAGTGAGGAATTGAGTGGATTGGGATAAATGTAAGCTTACTATTGCAACTGTCGATATGATGTTCACTAGCGTCCATAGGAGGACGCGAAATCCCAGCTTGGAATAATTCGAGGGCTTTCCACTGACGCCTTTTTCTATATCATCGTATGTCTCGGTGAGCTGACCCGATTCGAGGTCATCTTGCTCCTCGTGTCGTGTAATGGAGACCATGGTTTAACTGAGTCAATGCTCATTTACTGATACACACAAAGGTCTTAGAAGATCCGTTATGTAAAGGACGATCTGCACAGCGAGTATATTATATGCTAGTAGTATGGCACTGCCACATCAGCTGAGTTGCTGCACATACATCACCACCTGTGGAGAATTCGATAGACCATAGAACGTGTCTGGCGAGTCAGAAGAAATGCTACCTTAGCATCTAGCTAACAAAAAACAGAATAATATGCGTTTCTGACCTATATCTGGTCTAGGGTTTTGGCCATGAGTCACTTTGGCTACTCACACGCTACCAGGTCCTATAGGAGCTTCCAGTGATGGTATATCGCAACTGCAAGAAATGACAACAGGAAGAAAAAAAGTGGGATGGAAAAAAAACTTTTTATCATATTGGTCTGCCGGATTCGGACTAGCAGAGAAGCCTTCTGCTCTTGTGTCTGCAGTGTCTCCATCCGGCTACTCAAAGTAGATAGACAACCGCATTCGGAAATCATACAGCACCTCCACTTTACAGGTACGAATGAAAAAGTTCACATCCTAGATTCAATATGAAATTTAATACATACGAGAGCTCCAATTTATTTACTTCCAAAGGATATCAAGCGCAAGAAAGTGTTGAATAAGAGGCTTGGTCAGTATATAATAGCTCAATGCCGTATCCATAGTTCGATTCCCAGAAAGTCCCAAAAAGGAAAAAATTATAAAAGTAAAATAAATAGATATATATATATCAGGAACAAATATATTCAATATCAAGGAACAAGATAACCAGCTGGATACTCGATCTCTCCAATCCTGGCTTCACCCTTGAGCCACGTATCTTGGGGATCACTATATTGTCCATAAACCGTCCTCTCCCCCCGCAATCAATCGATGAATATTTAACCTGGTGCTGTAGATCGTATTTTGCGAGCTAGCCTCATGGTATTCGTTGTTGTAGTTTTCAATATCAGAACCTCGCCACGCATAGCCAGCTGGTTTGTAGGTGCCAATAATGTTAGGATAAGGCCCATAGCATTGTATCTGATCACGCTTTCTACCCGCGCATAGATCACTCATCGAGTTATCTACCGCCTGATCCAGGTAATCAAGAGACAACTGAGCGATGATCCTCCTGGCACCTTCATATGTCACGGCGTATCCGTACGTACAGCAGGCGGTCTGCGCGCGGAAGATATACCGCGTCGAGTCCTCGGGCACTTCCGGGTGCTTTTTCTTCCATTCTTCAGAAGGTCCTCCCCAGATATTGCGACGGTGTCGAACAGCTGCAACAGTGGGATCATTGGGGACGGCATAGATGTTGGTTTCTTTTTTCCCTGGGGCCGCTGAACACCCCCCTACCCAGAGAATATCCCAGTTCACTCCGTATGGAGTTTGTTTGGGTGCATCTCGATTGTTTGTCAAGGTACGCACGCCGCGTGCAAATTCGCGAAGCTGTTGTCGGAGAGTAACATCCCAGTCGGCGTCATCTTCTAGAATTAGGGCCGTCGAGTATCGGTTATTTACCACTCTTTTAAATCAAATCAGCTGTACGTATTGACAGGAGGAGGTGTGCAGCATACTCCAATAAAGTATTCATGTGGGCTCGCCAACATGCTGCGACGGTAGGTTTATACCATGACGTATTGTATTTCTAGCTTATTAGCATGTATTGTTCAAGAGAAGTCAAACACAAACCTCTGGTAATGCTTTATCGACAATGCTATCCGGCTTTACCCCGTCTATCCAGTCAATCTTTATATTGCTAACTGAAGCTGCCAGTGAAAGGAAATCCCGTTTATCAGTGCGCTCCTTCAGACCGATCGCAAAGACTTTCTCGAACTGAACACCGAACGGGTCAATAGCTGCAGCAGACAAGAAGTCGTCAAACTTACACCCAGAGTTTCATTGTTAATACGCTCAAAAGTCGACCCATATAGACGAGAATGACCAGCCTGCAACAGACCCTTCGTTGAATGATAGGCGCTAGTGTTAGCGAGAATCAAGCTGAAGACAAAGTAACTGCACAGAGCAGCCACAAAGATCTTGAGAGCCAGAGGATTCCGTCTCGTCATGATTATAGACATGGTTCAATGCAAGCCAGACCAGTAAGCTCCGAACGTTGGAAGACTTGGTCGTTCGGGAGCAAATATCGTCTATTCTACGCTTTTCAGGACTGCTGCCCCCTCGTTGTGACATGATATTTGACAGGGTGGATAGGTTTAGAAGCCAGGTTCGCCGCCGCTTTTAGACAGAAGTGAAACATGTTGGTGCAGAATGTTCGAAAACGTAGCAATTGCTTGTTCGGCCGGAATGTCATAAGTACTCTGGATTAAACAATGGATAGAAGTGGAGATCCGATGGTGTGGCTTCGGTACTAGTGGTAATTTTTGTTGCTTTCCCCGGCTGTATTGTACACAATTCTTACATTCTTTAGTTCTCATTGGACCATAAATGTAGTATGCCCGTTATTTACAAAGCAGTACAGATATTTCTCTAATTAAAAACAACTGGCCAATAGTTAGAATGCAGTGGCACTTTTAGTCGCCGGATTTGGCATCTACCCAACATCTGCAATTTTTCCTTTCCCGTCGAGCTTGGCTCTCAAGTTAAAATACAGTTCACCAAGCGAGTTCATAGAATCCTCGAGAGGAAAGGCCTAGGGATCACATATTCAGGGACAAATAGTTAGTTAATTTTCTGTTCTTATGTAATTAACACTCCACCCGATATCGTAATCTGTAAACGAGTCGGACACGTAAACGAGCCGAACGATGCTGTGGCATGAACAGTAAATAGAGTTTCGGCCACAGTATCGTTTCTTCAGGCCACATATAAATGCCTCAGGCCACATAAAAAATGCCCAGGCCACATAAACTTTATGTGGCCTGAGGCAAATATTCTGTCAATGTGAGCCGCGTTCTCAACGAGGCGGACACTGCTGTATGCCATATTAAATGGCACTTTCAAGAACCTTAATATCTTAACCAATATTGTATCTACAGGGCTAATTTTTGGTTAGATATATTATATACATACATAATTATAATTTTTATAATTTTTCCCACCCTAAAAAAAGTTTAGTCTCTAATGCAGCTGTATTTAGAGCCCTCCTTATATAATGCAGAGGACTATAAATGATATAAGTTATTAACTTAATAGCTGCATATATACTATACTATTAGTATACATACTAAATCTCAGGCCATCTCAATATGTTGCCGTTAAGCTATCAAGGTCCTAAAAAGCGCCATTTAATATAGCATACAGCAGTGTCCGACACGTCTACCGATTACGTTGGTTAACAGGTTACTTAACCTACAATGTTACTAATCCGCGGTCGTCCTAAGATATGATTATAGATTTGATGGCTCTACTCTACGATATATTTAGGCAATAGTGCGTCGTGAAGACATGGGGATTTATAATATTGGCCGATACTATTCTTCGGTCAGATATCCATGCCTGAAGTCACAAAGCCTATTAACTATGATTATACAAGCACGACCAATGCTTCATACGGCCGAAGAGGCCATTTTGAGCCCGAAACCCTCTTCCGAGTCTCCTCTATACCTTCATAGCTATCCAAAAGCACCTCCTTGATATCATCAATTCCGTTGGCAGATGCATCCCACTCGATTTCATTGTCAGTCCAATTAGCCAACACCAACGCCTTCTGATCCTCATATTGACGGGTGTAAGCGAAAATCTCCTGGCTTTCCCGATCCACCAGCTCATAATTGCCATACACAAAGATGTCCAGATACTTCTTGCGCAGCTTGAGCACAGAAGCCCAGTGGTGGTAGATCGAGTTCGGGTCCTTCACCTGGTTCTCGGCATTAAAATATATAAAGTCTGGATTGACGGACATCCAGGGCTTCACGTTCGGGCCCGTGAATCCCCCGTTAGGGGCTTCAGTCCATTGGACTGGTGTGCGGCCATTGTCTCGTGATTTCTTTTGGTACTCTTGCCGTGCGATCTTCCGGGCCTTTTCGTCGGCATTGGGGTTTTTCAATAGTCTTATAAAATCAGCGTCTATGTCCTTCGGTCCAGACAGAAACGATAGGCAGGCGACCGGGAAGAACTACATACCTATTCCAATGATTCAGACAATCAATGTCCTTGTATTCACTCATATCCCATTCAATTGGCACATTTCTCATACCAATCTCCTGTCCTTGGTAAACAAAGGGAGAGCCAGATTTCAATGCCAAGACGGTTGCTAGCAGTTTGCCAGTAGCAGCACGGTACTCTTCCTTCGCGTTCACGTACCGGTCAACGGACCGGGGCTGATCATGGTTCTCCCAGTATAAAGCGTTCCAGCCATCATTTTCATACATGAATTTCTGCCATCTCTCGAAGAAACCCTTCAAGTCGGTGAGCTTCCAGCTTCCCGGCTCGAACTTATCGTACGTGCCGTGGTCTATGTCGACATGCTCGAAGTTGAAGATCATGTTGATCTCATTCCGGTCAAAGCGGACGGCGCGAAGCACTTCCTCCGTGTCCTTGACAAAGGGCATCTCCCCAACACTGAACGTGTCGTATTCTTTGAGGATCTTGCCCATATCCTGCAGGTATTCGTGCAAGCGAGGGCCGTTGGCATAGTATTTATCGCCCCATTGCCACGGGGTGCGGGAATCCTTGATTGGGGCGTCAGGGAAGCGTTGATCTTTACTGATGAAATTGATCACGTCCATGCGGAATCCATTCGCACCCTTGTCCAGCCAAAACCGCATGATATCGTGCACTGCTTTGCGGACTGGTGGGTGCTCCCAGTTGAGATCTGGCTGTTCAGTGGCATAGAGGTGGAGATAGTATTCGCCAGTCAGTTCGTCATACTCCCAAGCGCTGCCTAGATATTGTTGCTTTACTTCAGCCAAGGTATCTCCTACAATGGTGTACATGTTTATGTGTAGACATACCCTGAAAATGCGAGACCCAATTGTTGGGTGGATGACGATTACCCTGCTCGTCATACCTGGGCGGCTTCCAGATATACCAGTTCCGATATTCATTGTCCTTGGAGCTTCGCGATTTCTTGAACCATTCATGCTGGTCACTCGTATGGTTCACCACCAGGTCCATAAGGAGTTTCATGCCTCGTTCATGGCAACCCTTAATCAGCTTTTCCACATCTGCGACCGTGCCATATTCGTCTGCGATGCTGTAGTAGTCTGCGATATCGTATCCCATGTCGACCTGGGGCGATTTGTAAGACGGACAGAGCCAGACAATATCAACTCCAAGGTTTTTGATGTAATCCAGCTTAGAGATAATACCGGGAATGTCGCCGATACCATCATCGTTAGAGTCCTTGAAGGAAGCGGGCCAGATCTGATAGACGGAAGATTCCTTCCACCAGGCACGGTGGATTTGGTCTGCAGGCTTAGCCATAGCTGAAGTGTTGAATGTAGCGTGCTCTAGTCTACTGTGGAAGTGCAGCACAATCAGTTTTGGTTGTATAGTGAGATGTTGTATTGTTCAAGAGGGTCATTCGGGCATTCCACCGCGGGGCACTGGTCGGTGCGGAGAAACCCAAGGTGGGTTCGCTGTTAGTTACCTTCAGCAATCAGCATCGTCATTGGAATATTCAATGGGGCAGAGGCGATCAAGGGCCAGTGAAACTGATCAGGGAAGGGATCCACTGGTTTAATGGCCAAATAACAAGGGACACGGAATCATGCAGCTTGACGGGTTATTATGGAGGTGGAGGAGAAATGCTGAATTTGAGTGGGATAATATGCGAGTAGTCTAGTTATAACTGTTAAGCTATGATCCTGTCAGAGAAATAGCTCATCCATCACAATCAACTGCCATTCATTGATCTGTTAAGTTTCGAAACTTCTTGGCATGTTGGATGCGTGACATCATATCTGGAAACTATGTTATAGAACTATGGAAACTTAGCTGGGACATCCTCCAAACAGATTGGCACTGACATGGAATTTTCTATACTCATTATGACTGAAATTGGACAAAATGCCTTTCAAAAATATAGTTTGTTCCAGTTCAAGATATGGACCTGTTAAAGTATGATTAGTTTTACAAGACACGGTGGAATATATCCTACCTATATCGAACGGCAACTATAGTTACCATCCTTGCAGTTTATATACATACCAGGCTGATATAGATGTCATCTACACCAATCTATTGATACATGTCAGAGCTCGCATCCAGACATTAACGGGCTGTACTAGTACGAAGAATTTCGCATCAACACCCCCCACCTTGATAACTTGATTCATGCCTGAGGCAACAACGCCATATAGCGAGTCATCGACCAGACATCCAAATCGTATCGTCCAATTCCCCAATTCCTCTCCCAAAAACAACTCAACCCTCCGAACCCACAATGACCACCGCAGACACCCATCCTACCCTCTCTCATCTAGACCCGACTACCTATCCACGTACCCACCACGACCCCTCCGAGAACATCCACATCGAACTTACCTACAACACACTCAACCCCTCCGCGGTGCTATCCAGAGTATCCTCCCCCTCCGCAGGCGCTAACGTCCTCTTCCTCGGCACAACAAGAAACACATTTGAAGGCCGACCAGTTGCGCAGCTCAGCTACTCTGCATACCCGCCTCTTGCGCTCAAGACTCTGACAACGATAGCTCGCGAGGCGGTCGCCGCGCATGGTCTAACGGGGATTATGATCGCGCATCGTCTGGGCGTGGTTCCGATTTCCGAGGCGTCGATCGCGATTGCTGTTAGTTCAGGACATCGTGGGGCGGCGTGGAGGGCTGGCGAGGAGGTGTTGGAATCGTGTAAAGCGAAAGCAGAGATCTGGAAGATGGAGGAGTTTGTGGATGGAGGGGCGGAGTGGAGGGCAAATAAGGATAGGGATGCCGAGGGGAGATTGGTTGCGTCGGGCTGATTTCTTCAGCTAATTACCTAGGGTATATGTGCCTGGTATGTAGTGCTGCGATATTGTTCTGTGTTGTGGTTATGCTGATCGGAGTATAGATCTCAGAATAGCTCAATGGTATATTGACGATTGTGAATGATTGATGCGTGGATATATCGGTGTTTAATTTACAGTTCCAGCGATGCAATTTGAGTAGGGTATTTCTATTGTACATATCTGCTGAAGACCTCTTATCATACAGTCTACTCGCGTTTCAGTGGCTTTCCCTCCCTCTTCCAGTCGTTGATATGCTCCATGATGAGCTTCGTCGCTGACTCGGGAGTATCCTGGCGTCCGATACATTCGACGAAGTCGCCCTCGGGGTCTGGAACACACGATAGAGTTAGCAAAATCAACCCTGTCCTGTTAGTCCAGATGACTGCCACTTACCCATCAGATAGAAGTAAATGCTGTGGTCCACGAGATAATCCTCACCGGCATTCACATTCTGCGGTGTACTGAAGTACACTCGATATTGCTTGCACACATTCTTGACCTGCTCGTAGGTACCAGTCAAGCCAATAATACTCTTATGAAATTCCTGCAGATATGATCGCAGTACCTCTGGGGTATCACGGACCGGGTCACAAGTGATAAAAACGGGTAAGAAGACCTTCTCATCCTTTGTAGCCTCGTTCACACTATCAATAATCTCGGCCATTTTATCCAGCTCGTCCGGGCAAATATCGGGGCAGTGAGTGAAACCAAAGTAAACCTATATTTCCCCCCACACCAGTCAGCATCATTCTGTGAGAGTTTCCAAGATCCAGTATTAGTTGGACAGTGTGAAGCTTACCAAGCTATATTTTCCTTTCAAATCCTCCGCCGTGAACTCCTTCCCGTTCAGGTCCTTCAATACAAAGGGCCCGCCAACCTTGGGTCTTCCCACACCTTTGCTCATTTCCGCAACCCTCTTTCGTTCCAGACGTTCCTTCTCCACGCGGAAATACACGATCATACCCCCACCCGTGATGATGAAAAGTAGAGCCGCCTTCCATGAGAAAGGCCCTGTAGAGTTCCGGGCGCGGAGCTCGCCCATTGTTCGTGCCCGGGCACGAAGAGAAGATGTTGTGAAGGACCGAAGTGAAAGAGGTCCATTGGGTCTGGAACCGGTAAATGCTGTAGGTGAGTTTTGGAGAGATTGGAGGAGACAGCTCTGCGAGGGGACCGTCCTAGAGGTTGTATTTTCGATGGAGTGGACGAAAGGACGAGAGGCACGGCCGATCAGCCGGGTAAATGGTCGCATTGACGATGCCATTGCTAAAGGTTGGTGGGAATCCTAACCGGATAGACTGGATGAGAACGACAAGAAAGTTGCTGGGCAGCAGCGTAACGTGATCGAGTCGATCTCCAACTTCAGCCCAGATTGGGTTTAGCGTCTCTGCCTCCATTTCGAGGCCAGTTGCTGCCATGCATCACGTGAGACATATTGACCAGACAGTTTCATTTTTTGAATGCATTGTATGACCCATAAAGAACCGAGCTTATGAATGAATTCTAGAATTACAATAATTACTGTAGCTCCTTCTGTGCAGGCTTACTAGTGGGCCAACGGTAGACATACATCAACGCAAGAGGTCCCGAGTAAACACTGGCTCAGACAATGGAAGAGCAATAAGAATAAAATAATGGGACAGTGAAGATTAAACATGAAAAAAGGCACTGAGATATAGGGGAAAAGGAATCAATAAGTGAAAAAAGGGGCCGTGGTATTCTCACGTCGACCGGAGCGCAGCTGTGGAAATTCTGACAGAGAAGGAAATACAATAGAAAATAGAACAGAAAATCGTACTTTTTTGGCAATAGGAAGTATGCTGTATGTACGATGACCGAGATTTCATGTCCGACAGGTTCAATGTACACTCCTGCTAGCTTGGCTGGCACGGCTAGCACGGCTGGGGGTTGTCCGGGGCTCTTCCTCTTCCAGGACATCGCTGAGACGTGTAGGATGACGATGTCGAGGAGTCACTGATTCCCACCCACTGCCAACGCCCCATCCCGAACCGCTATAATCCACGGACCCTTGTCCGTAGCCTGCATACGATGGCCCGGAGGATGGAGGCATGGAAGTGGGTACATACGCGCCTTCACTGCCATCCATAGATCCCTGCTCATATTCATCACTATCCTCAGACATAGCCTTGGGATAAACAATCGGGCGGCCCTGCGGATTGCGGCGATAGGTACCATACTCTTCTTCACCAGGCTCACTGCTGCCGACGTATGACCGATCATCATTTTCAGCAGTAGGGCCGGCTGGATATGCACCCCCCTGGTCAAAGTAGTGACTAGTGTAATGTCCGGTTGCTTCTGCAGTCGTGGTGGGCGGCTGTGGAGGACCTAAGCGTTGTACATCCGACTCCTGGTGAGCCCTTCGACCTTCAGTAAATGGGTCGGTCTCGGTGGGTGAACTAGGAGTCTCGTCGTAGTATTGTCCTTCCGAGGTCAGACCGCCAGGTTTTCCGTTGCCTTCGCCTCCAGCGTAGGGGCTTTCTCGGGTTGGGGGACGATTCGAGGGATTCTGCCGACTTGGCAGACCCTGGATCATGGGTACCACTTGCACACCTCCCACTAATGTAGGCTCTCCATTTCGAAGAGAATTGGTTCGCTCCCTCTCTTCTTGCTCACGACGCCCTAGCTCCTCCCAAGCTCGACGGGCTTCGTCTTTGGATATCTGAAGCTCCCGGCGCATATCTCTGAGCAAGTCTTCGGCTCGGATTTTGTCATTTTCGGCTTTCTGGGATGCCGCCAGAGCTTCCGAGCGTGCCTGACGCTCAGTCCGTAGCTGCCGCTCCAACTCGGCTTGGACTTCTTTTGCTCGTTCTTGCTCAGAACGGGTATCAAAGAACCATCGCTGGAATTTCCGCTCAGATGATGCTCGCAAGCGCTGCAGCTCTACAACTGCATGGAAAAGATTGGCGCCGGCAGCAGATAGATCCGTGACTTGACGGGCCATCTGCTGGCTGATCGGGTCACGTTCCAACGCTTCATTATTTTGTTCGAGCTTTCGAATCCAGTACCCTGTCAACCCTTCCCAGTGCGAAGATAAAGTTTCCCATCGTTCGAACGCGTGAGGAAACGCAACACGACGTACTTGCTGCTGCGACGGGGGGGCGCCTGGCTGACCAGGGTGCGAGGAATGGGGTTGCGGTTTGGAGAGGCCTGGTGCACCTTGGAGCGGCTGCTGCTGCTGTGGAGCCGAAGTTTGTTGGGACTGCCCTCCAGGCGCCTGAGGCGGGGCAGGAGGTCGTCGAGTGGCAGGAGAGTGTCCTGGAGGTTGCTGAGTGGCGGAAGATGTTCCGCGAATGTCTGATTTATTTTCGGCTCCCGGAACTGCTCTGGGAGCTGCGGTCCTCCCTTGAGATGTCCTGTCTCCGGCAACGCCAGCAGCAGTATAGGCTTGAGCCTGCGACTTGTCTTGTGCTTCCTGCCTCCGGCGCTCGGCTTCTTCCTGTTCCCTGTTTCTAGCCTCCTGCTCTGCCTTTTTACGAGCTTCCCGATCTCGGCGCTGCCGCATGATATCAGTCGGGGTCCTCACTCCACTCGCCGGGTGAGGGTTTACAGGCACAGGGCCCTGGGATGCTCGCGCAGCCCCATTCTGTGTGCGGCCAGTTCCCCCGAGCCCTGCGGAGCTAGAAATCCCAGCCATATCAGCCATAGAGGCATTCACTTCCTCCCAGTCTAGTGTAAAAGGGACCGGCTTTCGAATCGCTTCCTCTAGCGCCCAAAGAATCGCCGACGCTGTAGGTGGCGAAACACGGGTAGACCTATGGGGCCAGTATGAGCTGCCTCGTAGACGGGAGTGATCACCGTGTGCCTGGTCGTCGTCTTCGTCGTCGCCTTCTGTTTGTGCTTCAGAGAGTGCTGGGCGCAGCGGAGAAGTTCCAATATACGATCTGAAACTGATTGAACCAATACAGGAATGGATTCCTCGATCTGCGATGGGTTCACAAGAGGGCGTCCCGAGGCATCTACCGAAACTGCTCGACGATGAGAGAGACGGGATGTTCTTCTCAATGAACGGGTACTCGATTGAGTACTTGAAGGGCGACGTAGGGTGTGATGGGAAGGGTCAGGGACAGTGTCGTAAGCAGCCTGCTGCTGGCGTTGCCGTGAATGGGTCGTAAGTGTTGTGGGGTCGTAAACTTCGTAGGTCTCGTCAAATGCGCCGTGGGTACGGGGAGGCACCGCTGAGGATGAGAGCTGAGATGATGGTGGGAATTGCGACGACAACGTGGAAATGGGGGTTGACGTGCCTCGATTGAAACCGAGCAAAAACCCGAGGCGTTTGGACGGCGGGTCGAGTTGTCTACTACGTCAGAAGGGCTGAGGTGGCTCGAACAAGACTCTAACTAGCAAGAGCCTGGACTCGGAAACAAGACGAATCAGCCTTTGGACAGTGGTAAGTAGTTGACGGGGTGGTATGTGGGTATTAGGCCAGAAGAAACAGTCGATGGGAAAAGAAGGAGCATTTTTCAGAGGGGAGAGAAAATGGGATGAATTGAAGACGCAGTGGCTGGTCAAATGAGGTCGGGTTGGCTGAGGAATTGCGATGGCTGGGAGACAACAATGCACCAGGAACGAACGTACCTGGCAGCTAGCTCCTTACCAGACCGCCACGAGCACTACAACAGGGCCCGTAGCAGTCATCGACCAGAGCTGTAGAGCTCAATGGCCTGAAAAGCGGTGCTTCAGCTGGATGTTGCCAGTTGTAATCGAATTGGCGGAGTCCTTGGATAAGCGACCGGCCAAGGGAATAGAAAGGCGACAAAGAGGGAAAGGCTGGCGAGATCACGGGGCCGCCCGATCGATCGTTTCCGACTCACTTCCTCCTCTAACTACATATTGCCTCTTCGTACTCCGTACTTAAGGAGTACTCGGCTGCCGATTTACGGCTCATACTGCATGATTGAATCAATATAGAAAGAGCGCTGTTGATTTTTCTTTCACCTCATTTGTTCCGGGTGGATACATGTCTTGGTAGAGAGTACACACACCTTTTTACCTGTCGCCTCTCACATCCATCTAGACTATCAGGTAACGATGTAGAAGCCTATGGATACAAGTAATGTTTTATTTTCTGTCCGCAGTTACTGACCGCCAGCTTACTCTATCCACTGGTGCGCTGGCAATCCTGGATGGATATTTGGCATTTGCACCTTCGCTTTTGACACCCTAGGTATGCCGTACTTGGTGAGGGATCAGATCGCAAGCCGTCTTGTTCACAGTTCTAAATAATAACGCAATTATGGTCTAGTCTGCGGCACGGACGGGTTGAGTTGAGGGGTTATCGTGCCTGAACCACTTCTATTTTAGGCCGACCAATTCCATATTCTTCCTTGGAACGAACCATTGGACCTTATCCAGAGGCTCGATCACTGGTTCCGCCTAATGCGCACCGAGTTGATCCATCCCCAATAACTACCCGTTTACCAACCCAGAGTATCTCGGAGGGAACCTGATCAGCATCTTTCACAGTCGCACACTGGCACGGTACTGACAGTTATGAACAACAACATGTAAAATGAAAAATGTATCCTTGCTCATACCACTGCAGGGTGAATTTCGAGCCAGTCAATCCCTGAAATCAAGGAGAGGCCTGGATATAATAAACAATCCTGTGCGGTTGCAATCCGGATCATCGTTTACCATGAAATTAATGAGAGAAATTTGGGAGTTAAAGAGCATAATACGAAAGCCCGAGGACCAGCCAACAGCAAGGGTGACTTTCTTCTCGGGTATTAATTGGGTTCTGGGAAACGCATCCAGCCGTTCCGGTTTCACAATATATCGAAATGCCTTGCTGCTTGCTTGTCTCAAGTCATTTTCCCGGATATCTGGATCGGCACTTCCTGGCCAGCACTGTCTCCTGTGTCCTCAGTATCATCAAGGGCATCGGTTTTTTTTTTTTTTTTTTTTTTCCCCTTGAAGTCTCAGCAGTCCAGCAAGCTGCAATGTTCTCCTAATATTCGATACAGAAAAGTATGAACTGCGGTCGCCTGATGCTAACATCGTATATAATTGTAAACAGTGATTATTTGTATTTCTGGCTACCATATACAACCTGATATGCAATAGACTAATACGGATGGCTTGATGCATTATAGGGAATGCGCTGGGTTTCTGGCCCGAAAGCACCTTGCAGGGCATGTATGTGCATTTACCGAAGAAGGTTGCAAATAAATCCGACGAAGACATAGATCTGGAAGACTCATATTTTTGTTCCGCGGAAAATGAAGTTAACCATTGGAAACCCTCACGCATCCTCGACTTGCAGGACTGAATTCCGTACCTAGATGGAGGTTATACCTGTATAGTGCTGCTTTGATGATGCGTATTGAAAGTATAATATGGCGAGACTTCTAATGCATGCACACGCATTATATCAAGCTCTTCAACTCTACATACATAGGCATGCACAGGGCAGGAATGTGGGATATGTAGCTTCTTTACTTCCCAGGTGGTCTGGACACTCGCATTTTTTTCATCCCGCGCTTCTAACGTCACTAATTGGGATCCTTCATGGCCACAAGGGCTTCCTACTGGTTATCGTTAACTCTAGCTGAAGTTCTGTCTACATATAATGACGTGGAACTTTGGATACATCATCTATGGCACGGCAGCTACGACCCGATCTGGACAGGTCAAATGTCACTAGCTCGAGGAAAGTTCTAACTATCAAAGCCAATGTGTCGAATCCACCGATTTAATCAAAGTATTTCAATACCTCCATAATCAATGCAGGCGTATGTATACCACTAGAAAGAGTCTCCTGCCGTGTGTCTTCTAGGAACGTTCTTTTACAAATTGGAAGGGAGAGGGAACCCTGCATTTTCAGTGGAAGCCAAAAATGCAGGTAAAAGACATGGTTGCAAAAAGAAAAGAAATGAAAAGAAACAGACAGTGCACCCCTGAGATTAAGCCATCCTCTGTGGGGAAAAGCGTGTAGGAGAGGCGAATCCCTATTCCAGGGACAAGTACAAGAAGAACCGGCCAGGGACAGGAAATTCCAGAGTCTTAGGAGTTGCAATTGAGACCCAGCAACCAGCATGGGATTCTGGAATGCGGGTCTCTCAGGCAATATACTCCTATCGCGGGACAATGCAGGTCATCCAAGCATCGCAGTCAATGATGAGGAAGAAGATGATATTGAAAGACTACCTATTTTAAGTTGTACGGCGTGAAGTTGTGGCTTGGTTTAGGCGTTGGCTTACCCTCCTGTCTTTTGTGGCTTTTTTGCAAGTTCGAGATGATTGATCGACATGATCGGCCACCATCGCTTCCCATCGGAGACTTTCCAAGCGTTAGCTGACTATACTGGAAGCATCTGCGGAGGTGACGATAGAATAGTCCGCTGCTTCCCATGAGGCTGATATCTCACTTTTGAAGTCTTCAATCTCGGTTGACTTAATTCTGATACAAGTTTGAAACCTAGCTTTCATGTGGAGATTCAAAAAGAGTGGAATTATGGACTCAGGTCTATATGCGCCATAGCACTGTGCCAGCATTAAACCGATCTTGTAGCACTTGCTGAGCAGGATCAGGTTCAGTTTATGGTACGTCGGCAGCGGTGCTGAAAGCTTCACCCCACAGACTCAGAGTAATTAATAGCCAGGTAAGTCAATAAAATGTGTGTTGTCTCTAGCAAATATTGGTTCCTTTCCTAGGGGGGTGGTGTTTTGCAACGAAACTACTCTGGACCAGCCTTCATCTATCTCACCTATAGAAATCTGGCTTATTTATGAGCCAAAAAAGAAAAAACAAAAACAAAAACATCCCTACCGGCGTCCCGCAGGAGGTAGCAGGCTCATTATAAACTGGGCAAAGTCCGATCTGAACACCCCGCTATGTCTAAGTTACGGATCGGGTTCCGGAAGTCTCCCTTGCTCCAGTCTTCATGCTCCATCCACCTTACGTCGCCACCATCCCTACGGAAGGGGACGATGTAAGGTCTGATAGGTCATTGGTGTCTGTGCCCTCGGACGATTGAGCTTTGTTTACACCACTGTGCATTGGCATGCGTCGTCTGCCTTCCCCGGCCTAGCCACCAACGTACTGCGTCAGTTCCGGCCCTAGAGAGGTATCCATTATTTTTGCCAGGGTATGTATAAACATATCTATCCCCTTCTCCCTTGACATTCCTCCTGGCGCACTCAACCCTTCTCATCCCTCCTTGTGTCTATTTACCAGTACTCGATGGTTTCCATCCATCTCAATCTTCTGGTGAGCGTCTTGCGTGCCTGAGAATACAACCTCTAGCGATTGGAATCAAAGCCCATGGCTACCGGATATCACTACTCCCCTAGCGAATTCAACGCTTTCTACAAGGGGCGAAACCGATCACAGACGACAGTCTGTATACCGGCACCATCCCCACCAAAGAAGCGGGCTTCCTCATACTATCCCGCTCAAAGGCCGGAAATCGTCGACGAGGCAAACCCGGATCCGTTCTACCTTGAGCACTCACTGTCAAGCGACTCGTCTTGGGGCTCTCTGCGACGCGGTATTCGCAATGTTCCATTCAGTGGAGAAACAAATCAATATTTCATGCTATCCACCGTAAATCCCGGCCCAGATCTACCCATTCCTACCAACAACCGCGGAGAAACAGCGAGATCTCACACAAATATCAACCGATCGACACTGTCAGTTGTTGAGCTAGAACACCAGCTAGGCCTCCAAGAAACTGCTGGGCAATTTCGTGCACCAGAGTCCTGCCACGTCAGTCAGAGCTCTCTCTGCTCTGTGCAAACTGACGCCACACCGGACTTGACTCCCAGTAGCTCCTTCTCTTCTAACTATTCTGGCCCTCTGCATCCTGACACCATAGTGAGGGGGGGGACAGAGCCACAAGTTCAAGACGCCCGGGAGCAGAAGGCAAATATTGATAACAAGGTGCACCTTTCTTCCACGCCTTTGAACGGATCACGAACGGCCTTACTGCCATCGCAACTTTCAACTCCATCGCGAGATCCACATCCACGAGTAGTCGCATCCAACAACTCAACAGACACGCTTATCATGCCACGAGGTAACAGTCTAGATTCCCCTTCATATAGGGGGAAGCCTTTACCTTCTCTTCCCAACGCTTCCCGTAATAACAGCACCCGGTCGAGCAAAAAGGCCACGAGCCCAAGCAACAGACCGCCAATTGAAGCATCTATGATCTCTCCTCCATGCCGTATTAACCCTGTGACACTCGAGCCACATACTTCTCATTTCGACCAAGCATTGTTTATTCCAGCCAATGACTGTCCAAGTCCAGTTCCCAGTCCAGGTCCTGCGTCACCCTCGTTCGAGAGGCCAGAAGCAGGCGCTTCCACCACTGCTAGGGATAGGCCTTCAACTTCCGCCTCTGAGATGCACTGCGAACAGTCCGTATGGGAGTCAGATTCGGATAATGAAGACACGGACTCAAAGTCGCTTTCGAAAAACCCCATTGACACCTTGAAAAAGGTTCGTAGCCGAGTGCACCTGCGCGTTGCCAAGTCAGCGCCCAAGCTTCAAAATACGTCGGGACAAACACATTCCCATGCATTGGAGAAGTTCCCTTCGATGCCTGAGCATCCACCCGGTGACTTGTCACATTCTTCTATGAGGAGCATTGTTCAAGCCTGCTCAGCCAGAGATGTTTTCCATCCAGCTGCGCAGCACACCTTGCGCCTTGTCGCTCCTTCTACCACTTCTCTTGTACGGCCACGAACTCCTCGATCCCGCAGCAATAGCAATCCACCTAGGAACTACGATATTGACAGATCAACCGCAGCCGCCATCCAGGCCAAGTCCAGGCGCCGACAGCGATCTGAATCGCCAGAGCCGTCCCTCTCCACCGAGAGGGAGAAGGTGTGCACTTTCTGCCGTGATGAACGATCCGACAAAGCCATCCAACACAGTCTAACTCTGGCTCGACCGCCGCTCTATAAGCGAGTGTGGGAATCTTTGCGCGTGCTCGGCTGCCATGGCGAAATAGCCCCTCCACGACCTGGCAAGTCGCTATAATTACCATCATTCTTTCAATCTTTGTTTCCAATTATGAAAAGCAATAAAATTTGATGTTGTTTGTGTCGATCTCTTTGTTATTTTTGCGCAGGTTTAACAAGAAAAGCTAGTTACTTGCTAAAACTCGATACTAATGATGCCTTCCGTCTTTTCTGATAACGGTTGATGATGGTGACGATCCCCGGTCCTCGACGTCTGGGTGATGACGACGCCATGAATTTTCTTGGATTTGCTCCTCCATGATTTATGAGCTCAGCATACGCTGGGAATAATGTCAGCTCACAATGCTAAATGACGCAATGCAACCTACGCTACTATGAATGTCTGATTGATGTCCGAAAACAAGGCAGTGTCCGGAGTTCGTTACGAGTGCTTCAACCGAAGCTACTGCTCATGTCGCTGCAACGTGCAGTGTTCCATATCTTATGCCTACTGGTTATATTTCCTTATGTCAAGGGTTCTCCCTATACTCTCTTTGATGACTTGTCGTACTTTTCCTTACCTATATTTGCCAACGGCTGCCATTCCCTTATCCTCGCAACTCCACACTATCATTTATTTTTTACTTTTTCTTTATTTACACTATGAGCTTGACTCAAGTCAGTTAGGATTGTATCATGGAATCCCAACTATTTGTCGAAATAACTAAATCTAGTGCGCAAGCGCAATCGAATATGCGCATGGAAATGTGATACTATTAGATATAGGTATTAGAATCGGGGCCTGATCCGTATCGTTGCTAGGTGGACTCAGGAACAAAGACGTAGTACCTCGAGCCATAGCCGCGCTTTCTATAGACGTGCACCTAAACTCCCGGATTTTTTCCTTTCGTCAGGGGGCCCTTGTACTATGACGCTAGTTCCGATTCTAGACTATGTCTTTCATGTTCTGCACATCAATCTTGGGATAATCTTGTCTCATTGGGCTTTTGCTACCATAGGTTATTATAGTGAGTATTTAATCAAGCATTGCCTCAGTATCTGGAACGATGTCATATTGGATAAAACAGTCGTAGCGACAATGCTTCGTGTCTAAATATGGACGGCCGTGTACCTGGCAAGCACATTGTCATACTTTCTATACACTATTTATGCACAAAAGCTAACTTCACGCGATGCGGATAGTAGCCGGGCCTTCATGTCCGTGGACAGAAGACCTCAATCGTTGGCTGAAGAATTGAAGTAAATTTCCTCCACGACCCACAATGTTCCTTGCAGTTGCTGTTAGACATCCTAGACTAGATCTGTAAGGCACAGATATAGCACGGCTGTCCCGGCTCAGGAGTGAGACCTGACCTGACCTGCTGTGATATGTGCGTTAATATCTTCGGGGGAAATTACCCGGCTAAGGAGAGCTAACTCTCCTGTAGGCCAACCGCAGGGGGTAGTGGGTGTATATTTCCGGCATGTCCGCTGTCCCCAACGGAGTCGATGAATGCAGGGCCTGGGGTGAAAAACAAGGACGCAAAATCGAAAGTAAGACGATCAGCTCTGTTCCACTGTCCCCGACTCATTTTTCTTATACCCCTCATCTTTCATCTGCAAAGCGTCCATATTCTCCTCCCAATGCGAAACCATAACTCTATTCTCCCATTTCGAAACAGCCACATCACCCTTCCTCGCCAATTGAGTCTCTGGTTTCTCATCCTCGCCACCCTCAAGGGTCCCGAACACGCTCTGAACACTTAACTCCTTCATGCCATCTGGTAAAGCCTCAGGATTTCCTCCCGCTTCGCCCGTTTCGTACCCTCGTCCAATCCGTTGTCGTTGTCGTTGTCCACATTGCCCCTCACAGAGCTGGACCCCTCCGTGCGCTGCGGTAGTTGTTTCTTCACCACAGCTGAGGATGCCCGACTCTCGTAGCCACGAATTACCCCTTCGAGAATTCCCAGTACAGTCCCGGCTCGCATTCCCAGTTGCGCACCCACGGGGAACCCTGCGTCGAAGCCGCGCTGGACGTGTTCGCCTTTCGAAGCGGAGATCCCGTCGCGGTACCCGGCTGTGACGTGTTGGCGACGGAGGAAGGGGAGTTCCGAGGGTTCAACGGTAGAGAGGGGGTATTGATCGCGGGGTGGATTTTGGAGTTCGGTTTCGTGTGGTGGCGAGGAGCCGAAAATGTCGTCGAGAGAGCTGTTGGTTGCGGAGGGGCGAGATGGTGAGGTCATTTTGCGATCGTCGGAGAGATCGGACGACAGTGTGCAGGGGGTGTGTGGAGGTTGTGTTAATTTGATTTGGTGTGTTCCGTTGCGGTCAGGCCGGGGGATTGTCCCTTCGTGGGTAGCTGACTGATTTGGGCAGGCGAGTCGATTCGTACGGAGTAGAGTTGGGACAAATTCTTGCAGGGCGGAAGTTGGATGTTGTCCCGCATTACTAAAGTTTGGGTTATAACCATCGTGCCTTGAGGGTATATTTATTAGTCAACAGCTTTCTGGTTGTTCAATTATTAGTACTTTTGGAACCAAAAAAAAAATTATTATATTTAATATAATTATTCGTTAATCTGCATGATCTAAACCGAATTTATAAGGTGGTAGGTATATTCAGACACCCTCTGGACAGAGGTACTTACATATCTTCACATCTTATTCTCTTGCGCTGTTAAGAGCACGGATGGAGTTTGACTCATGCTAGAAATTCTCTCAGGAAGAGGATTTTGATCGAAAGAGATAAGTTGACTCAACTCGTAAGTTGGAGTGACAAGATTCGACAATAAGGCATTTACTGTGATAATAGAACTAAGAATTCTTCAAAAACTACACGGAGGATAAACTCCTACTTCTAGAAGGAATATAATTAATTATTTATTTCGAGGTCCGTGGGAAATGTGAACGCACTGGCAATTTCTGAGGGACAAAGATAGGGAAAACATAGCCTATATTATACTGCTGCTCCCGTTGTTTGTCCCCTTTTATTCTTCACATCTTTCGAATTCTTCCTCTTCATCTCCAAAGTTTTCAGATGGATGTCGTCTTTCTATAGGCCTTGTTAAATACCATCTATTCATCAACAAGGCTATCTTTTTGAGCGAATTTCGATCACCTGGACTCTTTCAGGCCGTTGTTTTGTAAAATCTTGGTTGATCAGGCGATCATCACCAACCCCCACCAAACCACACTGTACGGAGTAAACCGGGTGATCTCTGCAAATGTATAAATAGTAGGCTTACTATCAACTACATCTTACACCTAAGATTCACTTGATTATTCATGTTATGGCTGCGCGGTCCAGGTCTCGGGTTCTGCTTGCACTGGCACTTCCTCCGGTCGTTGCCGCGTATGGCACCCATAGATTTCTAACAACGCTCGAGACAAAGTACCCGGCTCAACCCCCACACTCAACTAGTAGTGTTGCCCTGGGTATTCCTGCCAACCCCCCAACCCAGCACTGTGCCTATGTCGATGTCTATTCTGCTCGCGTACCCGTCCGAGCGCTCCAAGATCGTGCGAAACGGTTCGGATATACTGACAGTTTAAGCACGAAGGAAGACCTTTCCACTGTATGGGCCCGAGTACTGCTCGGAACCCGGCTGTTTCGCGCACAGTCCTCCATTGTTGGTCTTTTCAGCAACGGAAAATTCGATCCCGGTGATACGGGCGACGCTCCGGGCGGGTTCTCTTCTGATCCCGACACTGGAGCTCCCCGACAGCTTGTGAATGGGCTTTTGTTGGTTGAACGACCGCCGTCGAATCAAGACTCACATGGTCTGCTGTGCTCATGGAAGATGGCAGATGGGCCACGTAAATTCTTTGAGAATATTTCTTTTTGGGGGTATCCTTGGCGGTTGATGTCGGGAGGTCGGCATGAAATGAGTGTCTCTGAGCCGTTTGACGGAGAAGGGGAGAAGGCACGGGGCCCTTACGTTGAAGTCCGGTTTTCTTCTGCGCATGATTTTGAGACTTTTCCGTCTGAGGGGGGAGTCGAGAGCCAGAAGCATCTCCCAGGTTGGGTAGCGAGATTGCATCGTGGCTACGCCCGACTTTTGTTGGACATTGCTGTCCGGGAGCTGGAAGGGAGGGACAACGGAAGGAAATTAATGAGATAGTTCAGTTTGACTTCAGATACACAGGCTATGTTTGTCTTTATTGAATTTTTCTGGTACTTCTGTTTCTTATATCATTGGTTCTTATTTCCCGGGTAACCCACCAAAAAAGCCCTTCACTAGAAGGACAATAAGTGAATGTGTTATCAGACAAGGACTTTTATATGGTAGGTGACTTTCTTTCACCCAGTCTCCATTTGAATGAATCTGATCTTACGAAGAATCAGTATATCTTTTCATTGTGGATAAATACGGGAAAATCCAGTTATTGAATGGCCCACTCTGAATAGAATACATGCTTTTATTTTCAACTTGCAGGAACTCTGATTTATTACACTCCACACTGCCAGCTGAAAACATTCCCTTTTATCCTGGGCAAACTTGTCATCAGTTCCAAGCTGGACTATTTAAGCCCCTCTTCTGCCTCTATCCTCTCTTCTTTCAATCATCTCTCAGTTTCAATTTACTTACATCCTCTCAATCTTCATCTTGACAAGTCTCTACAACTACTTGCCTTCTTCATTAGGCTTCCTATGCATCTATTTAATAGCTCCCGACTTCATAGCTAGATAGGCTGGACTGATTAGTAGGCTACAGCCAATCAATAGTTTTGTTTGTTCTGTTGTTGCTCCAGTAATGCGCTGTGAAAGACTAAAATATGTGCCTGGCGGTTCTCATCCAATCTCCATTCAAACAGAATGATTATGTAAAACCTATTTTGACACAATTCAGAGTCACGGTGTGCTTCCCGTAATCCTATTACCCCATTAACTGCAGGAGACGAAAGATATTTTGTGGAGCTCATGCTGACGCCAGATATATAGTCAAGCAGGTTCTCTTCTTGTATAAAGCCCATCCCTGATGCGGAGGCGATGCTGATGGTTGCGAGACGGAATCTTTGGTCATATTTCGGACCTCGACATATAGACGGAATGCACTATGCTATAAGCATTTGTAGGAGCGTGGATTGGCAACATAGATTGTCTCCTTCTAAATTGCATACTAGAGGATCAATCAGCTACGCTCTTGGAACTGGTAGACTCCCAACCCAGTACAAGTATCTGTTCCACTGATTCGTCATTTTTGTTGGAAATCAGGATGCCTAAGGCACCTTCGGATATCCTAGTCCCGCAGCGATCTGATATATCACATTCAGAGGCTAAGGGACACGTAGACATAAGGAAGCGTTTGTCTACGCTCTCTCGTAGATAGATGAATAATACTCACCATGCGATACTAGATCGCACGGTAGTTCCAATATACTATCCAGTCACCGCTATCCTAGCACCTCACGACGTACCTTTTTCCCCTAGAGGTTTCAACAATTTTCAAAGTTTCCTCTTAAGCTCAGCCCGTGAACTTCTCGTAGTGGTCCAGGATAGTGTTCAATAGGAGTATCGTCACTCGGTGGGGGAAAACAATATTTGCCGGTATGTAAGTACTCGCAGACGAATTTAAAGATCTCCTCGATGGGTTTGTCTATAATGATCATGTCATCACTGGAAGGAGTGGAATCACCAGCTTTATTCTGCTTCCATGGAACTGCTTGATTCCCAAATAACCCAGACTAGAGGGGAAAAAAATCCTTTCTACTACGGCCCACCTCAAACTTGGGAATTTGGGTATTGAAAACGCTGAATCTTATTAGGCTAGTACATTTATCTGCAGGGAAGCAGTCATACCTGCAGTCTCGCCGTCCCATGTTGTGACACCTACTAAATTAAAAGAAAGATTGGGTTTAAGTATCCCTTTTGAACTATCAAAAGTTAACGGACATTCTGCGCCGAAAATAATGGATGGTAAAACTAGGCCTGGGGGTACATGCTAATAAATTCTCTTCCAAAGTTGTCATGATCCAGACAGACACTGTCCCAAGCAGTGCGAAATTTGGGTCTTTAAATATCTCAAGCGGAATTTCACCCTTCTATGCATCCTCTTAAGGACCCTACGGGCCGAATTATTGCTGGGACGTGGGTGTATCTACACCTGAGTCTCTGGGAAAGATTAAAGGTGTACTCGTTGCGGTCGTTATTAAACTAACTAAATATAGAATACATCATACATGAGGAATTAACCTTGATATGTCACCAACATCATATGGCCTGAGGATCTGTAGACCATCCAATAGATCGTATCGACTCATTGGAACTGCTCTTCCATTGGAATATCATTTCTCTGACTTCCGCATCACGTTCATTTTTGGTCAACTTGAACCTCAACAATAGAACTTGGGCCAGCCATACCCTCAGGTGCTGTGCAATGACATTCGTACTAGATTCGTACCCGCGGCCAAATCCGAGCGCACATTGTCGCGCATCGTCCTTTGAGACTAGGTCCATAGCTTCCAAAAGGAAGCTCCGGTCTGCAATGCACGCTGGAGAGCTGGCAGTTTCTTCGATCAAGGACAAAACGCGGGAAATAAACGTTCCGTAACGAGACGGGGTTTCTTTATGGAAATGTGGGAAAGGCAGTAGCAAAGTCTGGAGTTGGAGTTTAGGGGGCAGAATTGGAGGGCAGCGGCGAGTCCCATTGTTCCATTCCACTGTTCGCAATCCATGTACATCTGCGATTACTCTTTCCAGGGTCGGCAGAACTTTGGCTCTCTGGACTGGGTCACTCGCTTGTAGCGCTGACAGCATGGTTGTAAAAGGCTCCAAGGATACTTCGATGCGACTGTGCACACACTTGAATGGATTGCGGATGAAGACTGCCGCACGCTCAACAATTTCCTCTGCAATAGCCTCGTGCGTTATACCATTGGGCACCTTGGAATTTATCCCGTTTTGAAGTATCCATGACAGGGTATGAGAAGACTTCGTTTTTATTTGAATGTCGAAGAACTCTCTCCAGTGACCGCCTGCGTTCGTTGTTCGCCATGATCGATCTTGCTCGGTCAGCTTGCTGTTAATGTTCCGGAGCTTCATACAGTCCAGGTAGCCCAATGCCCAAGACCTGTGTTTGAGAAGGTATCCCCGAGGGAGGTACTCAGACCACAGATCCATCACTACTTCTATTAGATCTGCTGCAAAAGGACCGAAGTCGGTGACAGACAGCTCTTCAGATGTAAGCTCCAGCGGAGAAAGGAATTGATGCATCCAGCGGTTGTGTTGTCTGGTTGACTCTTCGACGAGAGGTAGCAGGGTCTTGTAGGTATACTGCTCAAGGTACTTCCCTGGGAGTTTGCAGTAGGCTGTCTTGGTGAACAGTTCGAGCAGGGGACGTTGAGAATCAACCCTTGGAAGCTGCGCCTGTTCTGATTGCAACCATGACCCTGACTCATTGTTCTCGCTGGGCGAAGCTGCGTAGGATGCAAACGATGTGAAGACTTCATAGGCTTCGTCCGCGTCATCGTATTTTTCAAGAACGCTGAGTAAAGCTGTGCAAACCGTCACTCGTACGTCAACATGATTGCTCGCATTGAATAGATCTTTCAGAGCGCCAACTATGAAAGAAGGAGACATGCCGAATTTATTCTCTGCTAGCATTGTACCCAGCATCTTTACTGTCGTGATTTTGATACTAGCGTTTTCGTCCTTTGCCAGAGTTTTTTGCTTCCGAAGTGCTTCAAAGATGTAGGAAGTGAAAGATCGCATGGTCAACTCTGCAGTTTTGCGGCTGAGAGCTTTCGGTAGTGACGAAGGGAAGGCCATTCGATGCCACGAGGATGCCTTGGGGAATAGCTCCAGCGCTTTCATCCCCAGAGTCGCGGCCAGTTGGGGCTTGTCGGACCGCCGCAAAAGTGCTATGGTTTTATATGCACATCGCTGAACCAGTGGATATTTTGGCGACGTGCTTTCAAGCTCATCAAGAGTTTCCAAGAGGGAGAGTGAAAGCTCATACAAAAGGTTAGGAGGTACCACTCTTACCAAGCCACTAAGTACGGAAAGGGCTGCATCCGCTGCTTCTCCCTGGTCACCAATGGCGGCCAGGAACTCGTAGTCGAGGTGCACTGGCGGATAACGCAAAATATCTGAATCTTCGGGGAATGGTTTGGACAGAAGCCGTTGGGAATTGCGGGTTAGATTGTTGAGGAACAAGAGGGCAGATACAATGAGAGCTTCTCCATGTTGAAATGAAAGTCTCTGAGGGCCATATTTCGGCCGCCATATATTGAATGCTTTGGCTTTCATGGTCGATTGCCACGCGTTCGGATGAGAGTACGCTAGGATTATAGCCTCTAGAGATCCTTGCTGCTTAATGGCAAAGAATTGATGCTGCAACAGTGTCTCTTCCCAGTGATCTGGTGACGAGCGGCGTATGTCTGTTGAGCGAGGGTCCCATTCAAAGCTCAGCGAGTCGTGTGACATCTGAAATATGTCCAGCGAGGGCATCTGCGGAGGATCAATGATTCTCGCAACTTTATGCAAGCTTCTAGACCGCGCAAAGGAGCACAGATATGACCTGAAGCTCTCTGTATGCCCCGCGGAAGATGGAATTTTCTCTGAGTAGTGCTTCCATATCTCCAGTATTCTTGCACTTTGTTCTTCCACGGGCCCCTCCCCTATGTAGATCTCGATAGCGAACTTCAGACTGTCCACGAATGGGCCAATCCGGTGATCCTCTTGGTTGATTTTCTGGAGGATTGTATTTGCATCGCAGAAGACAACCTCCCTGACCCTCTCGGTAATAAAGCTGCCAACTTCCTTGGACTTCATCACTGCCATCGTCCATCTCTTCGAAGGAAACAAATACTGAAGGGGCAAGCCTCGAGGCAAACCCTCTGGGAAAGATGCAGTCTGAGGGTTCCGTAGCAAGCGTTGTCTGGCCCAAAGACAATCTCGCTGCTGTGCTAATGAGTCCAAAAGCCTCAGCACTTCAGTTGTTTGTTTCTGCGGGCATCGGATATTTTCAAGTGGTCCGTCTAGTCTTCCCCAACCAAGGGATTCGTATCCTTCGGTAATGCCCACACTTTCGTATTCTAATAGAATAGGAACAAGCTTGTCGAACAAACTCGCCACCACTTCCTTCTCAGTTCCTAAACCACGTTGACACAAGAGGTCGACCGCATCGATTCGGTACGAAACGATGAGTTTGAGCAAACCGCCAAATTTGCCTTCTTGAAAGCTTTTGTACCAGGGCTCATGCAAGACTAACAGAGCCTGTTCTATAAGATGATGCAGTACTGCATCCGCGATGCCCACATTGGCCTCAAGCTCCTCTCGGGATGACAAATGGCGTAACGTTGACAACGCCACACAGGACAGGACGGATGCGACACCTGCCTCATAGGTTTTACTTGCGAGTGACGGTCCCACGAACTGTAAGAAAGGTATTCTATTAGCAAGCGCGAAAGCCTTGAGGGAAGTATAGGATAGGGTTACCGGGTCCCTCAAGAAGCGCGATGTCCAATAGATAACGTCCTTCAAAATTTTGACATCCTTGCTCATCACTGCGATACTGATTGTAAGTCTTGCCCACTGAAGTCGATCATTGGCGTCGCGGGCTTTCACTGCCTTTAGTTTGACATGTTCGATGACTGTACAGAACACAGACTCGTAAGATTCCAGTCAACAATAAGAACGGATCGACTTACATTGGAGTGTCACTGAACCGTTACCTGCAACCTGCTCCTTGTTCGTAGACTCCAGATGGACCTGGAACAGACTCTCCTGAAACGAAGACGAGTCCTCTCCAGCCGGAGGCCGGTCAAATGGAATGGTCGTGAGTAGGCATTTCGTTGGCGACAGTCGTGCTGCGCGCTCAAATAACCACCTTGCATCCTGTCCAGAAAGAGACATGAGAAAAGACGTATTCCATGGCAAAAGCTCGTCCTCGTTCTTCGATGGTGTTGGCTGATCGAGATCGATCTCAAGGCCTCGCAGGTGCTTGCATATGATCTTGAGTAAGGGCAGTTTTGCCTCTTCGACTACATACGAAAATAATGTGACGATGCAAGAGGTGAGTTCTGTTTTCAGCATCGTCCCGAAAATCATTCGAAGCAATATCTCCAAGGAGTCCTTGTGAGCCTTTTGTGGTCTGGAGGGATGCAGTGCCTCCCGATGACGTGCAGCGCGTGCATTAGAAGATGACTCTATATAAGCGGCCGGGAAAGCTGCCATGCCCCAAAATCTTATCAAGCCGTGTATGAGGGGGGTCCATTCATGCAGATGCCGTTGGGAATGGTCCAGGACTGGTAAGACCCGCTCGAGCAATGCGAGTATCTGGTCAAACGGCACTTTTAAACGCCGAGCTATGGTAAGAGTTTTGCCAATGCAGAGGATCTGCGTATCCCAAGAAACTGGGGAGGACATTGCTGACTTCCCACGAACACTCTCGATAAGATCCAAGGCGACTCCCATTGCCGGTATGGGAGCCTGCCACCCTCGAGAGATTTTTGGTTCATAAGGTTCTGATGATGTAAGAATCGCGGAGAGATGACTATGAAGCAAACGTCTCCGCAGCGGAGGATAGGCTGGGACAGAGCCGACGACGATTTCTCTCAAAAGTGGCATGTGAGAATTGAGTAATGCCCGGATTAAGGGGTTGATAAAATCATCGGGTCGGTCGGTGGAAAATGCTTTAACCAAAGTGGTATCGCTGGACGCGTTGAACAGCGGTGCTAGATCATTCATTCCTAGAAGCTGTCGTGAGCTGCTAGAACGGACTTGGGCGGATGCCGATTCAAAAAAATTCGGAATCAAGAGCTGAAGAAGCGCATTCACCGCTTGCGATTTGGAAGCATCTTGGGCGTTTGAGCACACGCCGATTGCTCTTGCAAGCATCTTGGCTTCTTGAAGGCTAAGCTCCTCGAAGATCTCCTTCAGACACGTTGTGCCTCCAAGCGCATTCCAACCTTTCTCCCACCAATTGTCAGTTTTCATGGCACATTTAAACACGTTAATGCCAGCCTGGCGCACACCACGCGAATACCTATCACGCAGGGCGCTCTGGAGGATGCTAGGGAATCTGGAATGGGCAAGGAAAAGCCATATGGTGAAGATCTTGGGAGTGATAGCTCCACTATGGACACATTTTAGCAGATAACGGTTGCTTTCATAGACCTGGGCTTCAGAAACCTCCTCTGTGAGAAGCGAGCGGAAGTAATCCACCGCCTCCTTCGGACCGAACCCTGTAGTAAACACCATTGAATTGGCAGCCATGTTAGGTTCGGAATAGCTGACGAGAATTCATGGCTAGCCTCGGGGGATGAACTCCTTATATATACCCGTTCAGTCCACGCTGATGACTCATGTATGGAGGCTTAGTGCCCACCACAGAGCGGGCATGTGAGATCTGACAAGTGTTGGAAGCATGGAGTCTGGGATTCAGGGGGTACGGAGGCACCCACGAACTAGGCTAAGTTAACGTGACTCTCACTCGAGCGGATCACCTCTCCCGATCACCAATATCCCTACTGACTTCAACCACCGAGATTACCATCAAAACGCTTATTTAAAATTATATAAAAATAAGAATAAAATCAAGCATCTTTATTAGGACATTTTACCCGCGTATGGCCTACTATGTTACATGTGGAGCACCGTGGTGGTGCACGCTTTCTTGGCTGCTCTGTATTTTCCACCACTGCTTCAGCTGCTTTATCCGCCTCCTGACCACGCCTCTGGCCCTCTTCTCCAGTAAGACCTCCACCTGAAGCTATATAAGTTCTCTTGTTGGTACGTGTTTGCTTTGCAATAGTGTTAGCAGCTTCCATTTGACCCTTTTCATAGCCATGAAGCATTGCTTCCTCCATTGCTCTTTCACACGCTTTGTAGACTTGATTTAATGCAGAAACAAGAGGACTTGGAGGGCTTTTTGTACGCTCTCGCCACATTCTTTCAATAAGAGCTGCCTGCTTATTTAATTCTTTGGTTGTTTGAGGTGTTTGAGCAGTCCAACTAGATGATCCGTCACTGCTTCTGCTTGGTGGTGGTGATGATATTGCAGTATTAGATAGAAGTTGCAGCTTGTCTAGCACTCTATCAAGTTTATGTGGAACTAAACCCGCAGCTGCAAAGCCTGCAGCGACAGTTGCATTAAAGACCTTTGGTCGTATCTGAGTGTAGGCGTGCAGAAATGACTGTTTGTCAATATGGTTAATACCTAATCCAATAAAGCTCAGTATCTGGTCACCGTATGCACGCTTCAAGGGCCCAAAACAAGTAATATCAAGTGGTTGAAGCAGGTGGGATGAATGAGCTGGAAGATAAAGAGGTAAAATCTTATTTTCAGTGCAATAATAATCAAATTCTGCACTTGCATGGCTTTTATAACCATCCAGTATGAGCAATCGGTATACACCCTTAACCGATGCTTTAGTATGCTTATCAAATATCTCTTTAAGCCAAAGAAGACCTAGAATATTGTTGGTCCAGCCATTATCACTAACTGCAATCATCCAATCAGGCGGTATAAGCTTATACCAAGATGCTTGGTGTTGTTTTCCAGCTAGTATAATCATTGGTGGTAGTGTACGACCAGTTGATTGAATAGCTTCAATCACAGTAACCCATTCTCGATTTCCTGGTTGTATTGCACGCGCGCGGGATGAGGCTTGGCCAGTAACTACCTAAATGCCAGAGTCTTGTTAGCAGCTGTATTTCTATAGAAAAAAAGACAGTGGCAAACCTTCTGCGTAGCTATCTGTCCCATTGCAAAACCAGTCTCATCGAAGTTATAAATATCTTCATCCAAAATTCCATATTTTGCAATCGTGTTCTTTACTAATTGAAACCAGTCATTTAATATCTTTGGATCCTCAGTAAGTGCGCGTTGATAGTCATATCAACGCGTATATTTTGATCGAAGCTCTGGGTGGCGCTTAATATACCGAGAAACCCAGTTTATTCCAACTGGCTTTTTGCATAGAACACTGGCCATCTCCCGTACAGTTTGAATCCTAGGTGAAAGGCCACGTTGATCTGCATCAAGAATCCACTTTTTTAAGACATCTTCTTGTGTTTTGGCGAGTTTTTGGCGATTTGGAGTGGAATAAACGCGTGCAAGGCGACCAGATAAACGGGAGGCAAGGGGAGAATAAGGTAAATTATAAGACTTTGCGGCAGCTCGGATTGATTTTATTTGATTGCATTTTAAAGCCTCGATAGCAAGCTTGATTCTATTCCCCCTTTCAAGTGTAATATCGACTGCTTTGGTGGCCATTTTGGTGGTTGAAAATGATCAAGAATTAATGAAGTGGTTTTGGTGATCCGCTCCAGTGTGTGATCCGCCCGAGTCACGTTAAAGAAATCTTGCTTTGTAATATAGCCCTTAATACTTATATATAAATTGCTCCAATTCATCACTGTATGCCCGGGAAAGAGGACTAAAAAAACCAACATTAAGAGGCTGCAAACTGTGTGTTCAATAAGGTGGATAAATAGCTAGAAGAATCTTATTTGCATCATGGAAGTTAATAAACTTTATATTAATATAGGAGCCATAACTATCAAGAATTAAAGGCCGCCGCGGCTGACACTTCTGTATGTTGTCAGGTAGAGTAGATCCTCTTAGGGAGTCAAGAATCAATCTTCTGATCGCTTCAGATCATCACTTTGACAGAAATCAACCCGCAACTTTACGTTCTGAGCACGTGATAGAGGTTGCGAATGGGCTGGGGATATTGACAAACAATCACTCTCATTAGGCTGTAACGCCCCATGAACCCAGCCTTGCGAAATTAAGCTCCTTTTGATTTAGGACATTCTAAACAGTGGTGACCTAACGGCCTCTCAGATGCTGGATGTAGCTGGCTGCAGCAAGCGTGCTGCCCTTTCTTTGTTTTTTGATTATTACCCTTTTTCGGAAATAACAAAATCCAAGGCTACCTAACATTTCGCATCTCACCTATCGCAAATTCCGTCTCCAATGGGCTTTCGGTGCTATCAGGGAACTGGTGGCCGCGTTCTTCCGCATCAACCTGTCCAGTCTCAAGTATCAACTTCACTATCGCCTCATGCCCAGACTCTGCGGCATAGGTTAATGTTGTTCGACCTTCAGGGTCTTTTGAGTCCAGATCCACCTGTCCAGTTTCAAGTAGCAGCTTCACTACCGTCGCATGCCCGCCCTGTATGGCACGGTATAATGGTGTCTGATCAAAGACCCTTTTGTTCACATTCTTCACATTCACCTGGCCCGTCTCAAGTAAGAGCTTCACCACCGCCTCATGTCCATGCTCTGCAGCCTCAGTCAATGGCGTGAATCCGTAGTAGCTGCTTGCGTCCACATCCACCTGCCCAGTTTCAAGTAACAGTTTCACGACCGCCTCATGCCCACCTCCTGCGGCGTGGGTGAATGGTGTGTAACCTAGCTCGTCCTTTGACTCCAGATCCACCTGCCCAGTTTCAAGTAACAATCTCACGACCGCCTCATGCCCCTCTTCTGCGGCGTGGGTGAATGGTGTGTAGCCTAGGTTGTCCCTCGACTCCAAATCCACCTGCCCAGTTTCCAGTAACAGTTTCACGACCGCCTCATGCCCACCTCCTGCGGCGTGGGTGAATGGTGTGTAGCCTAGGTCGTCCCTTGACATCAAATCTACCTGCCCAGTTTCAAGTAACAGTTTCACGACCGCCTCATGACCACCTCTTGCGGCGTGGGTGAGTGGCGTGTAAAGAAAGTCGTCCCTTGACTCCAAATCTACCTGCCCAGTTTCAAGTAACAGCTTCACCATCGCCTCATGCCCAAACTCTGCGGCACGGGATAATGCTGTTCCCCGAGATTCGCCTCGGCGTGATCGTGTCCGCTGGGGCGAATCTTTCGCCATCATGTTTGCCCCTGCCTGGATAGACTTTCGAGCTGTGGCAATTTTCCCATGTCGAGCAGCCCATAGCAGTGCTGAAGATTCAGAATTCCGAGAATTTCTTCGATATAAGTATAGATTTAGGACGCTGTAGAACCGTTTGTTGGTTTGCGCTAACGAGTTAATATCTCTTTCTGCCTCCAGGAATGTGACTAATAATAGTAGTAATTCCGTTGGCAAATGAAGAGACATTTTAGGAATTCGAGGACAGTCGGAAATGTTGCCGCCTCCATGCATAAATCGTGAAGGTAAGGGAAAGTTATGTCTGAGAAATAGCTTTGCTGGAAACACTGCGGGGATTCTTAGACGAGGAACAATTGTTTTGTACTTTGCTTCGGCAAAAGGAGGAGTTGGTGCGTAGTTCTAGTTCTGCTCCCATGGTTTAGACTCCATAGATTGAGATATGTGGTCGATGTGATTAGGGCTCTGTGCTATCTCTAACAAGCAACCACAATCCTTGGAACACCTAGTTAGCTTATTGGGAGAACTAGGTTTTGACGGAGCTTGGGAACAAATGAACGTCGCAATAGGTAACACAAGCCATCTTTGCCTACCAGGGTTAACTCTCTGCAGTATAAGCACAGCTTTCTCTATTATGACAAGCAGGCGTAGTACGAAGGCTGTGAAACATAGGGGAAGAACATGGGGGAGGTCAAAACGAGACAGGCGGGAAGGCAGAAAGCAGACCAGCGATCATGCCAGATCGCCAGAACTGTCGAACGAAGAAGTGGTAACTCACCACTAGCAACTGGGTTATTCATCGAGTACCCACATTTCTTTGATCTTTTGTATGTAATTAGGGGTATGTGACGTAACCGGTAAGCGAGTCAGACACCTTTATTGCATATAAAACGGCACTTTTTAGGACGTCAATATCTCAACCCATATTATAGCTATGCTGCTAATAATGAAATATTGCCTAATATATATAGACTATAGAAGCCTGTATATTATATTTAGAATTTTTAATATTTTTTCTAGCATGCAATACAGTATAATTTTAAATACAACTGTACTTCAAGCTCATCATTTGTAATATAAGGAAGTAGAAACTCTATAACGCCCTAGGCTTAATATCTGCATATATACTATCATATCATTTTATATTATAGATATTAGGCCCTCCTGATATGTTGTTGTTGAGTTATTGATGTCCTAAAAAGTGTCGATTTATATGCAATACAAAGGTGTCTGACTCGGTTGCGTGTCCGACTCGCTTACAGGTTACGATATATGGACAATACCTGAGTTACAAGCACCAGGTCCGCTCGGTATACACCCGGTATCTGACAGCGCCATAAGGGTACTTCAACAGCACCTTCACCCGGCTCAGACACAAACTTATCCATGCATCAATCCACTCGTAAGAAACCTATTAAGAAACCTATATGATTTGTTCCGGCCCATGTAATTCCTTCTCACCTGTTTCCATCTCACGTGCTCCCTCCAATCTGTCTGTGTTTCCTCCTCTCATTCCCAGTTCGCTGTCTGCATATTCCTGTGCGCCAAGGCCAGCTCCACTGGCCAATTCATCTTGGTGCTTCTTTGTGGCTGATCCCTGCTACTTCTGCGGTGCCCGAAGGGCAACGCCGAGCAATTATTGGATGCGATTAGTACAAGCCGACGGCCATCGGCCCTTAGGTGGCATTTTAAGATAAAGATGGACATGTCAGCCGCCTAGAAGTGGGATCGAGGACAAGAAGTCTTTGTCTCCTCACTTCCGATAACAAGGCAGAATTATGTTTGTCGACGCTTCAAGGGAAGATATAAGCAGGCTGATCGAACCTGCGATATTGGGGATATTATATTATCTACAGCATTCCCTTCTGCTTCTCTCGCACTTCACGATCCTGTTCAAAGCTACACTGCTTCCTGCAAGATATTACCTACATTCAACCTGAACAACTTCAAGCCATGGATTCCACCATATACCAGCTCATTAACACTGTATAAATCTCTAAATCCCAGCAGTCTAATACCCAACACTCCTTCTCTCCCCAAACCCCGGCATAACTCCCTCCAGAGCACTTTACCTACCTTGCCATTTTCCAAGCATCGTTTCCCTGCGCGGCCACAGGCCGAAGTTTGCATGCATGTTAGTACAAACACTCGGCCATGCACACCATTAAGCCCCCAATCCCAAGGGAAGACATCCATGCCACCGCCCAATACGCCACATCTAGACAACTTTAAGCACGACACATCACCACACAATCCGGCACAATGCACCTCAAATTCGGGTCCAATTCCACCCCCTGATATCCAAGATGTCACTAACATTCCGACTGAGTTGCCCTTCTTTCGGGGAGATGCCCCAGAAGATGATCTATCATCGCCAAGTATATCAATTTCGGACAATAGCTTGGAAGAGTGTTTTAGGCTGCAAGATATGCGAAACAACATTCCTATTAACCCAGTAATCCTTGCCGATAATAGACCCTGGGATGCTCAAGATCTACACCAACCTGTCCAGCAAGATAATAGCCTTATTATCCCAGGGACGCCATGTCCATATCCTGAACCTCCACCCTCTCTCAGCGATGCACCTGATCACCACCAAAGGGTCAAGCGGCCAGGGTGGTAATACGCAAAATGTTGATCGCCCTCACAACCAGGGCAATCGGAGACATCACTCTTCTCACAGCACCGAAGATAACTTGTTGTTCTCTAATGTTTAGAGTGGGAGTTTTCAACACCGCTACAAACAGCCAAAGCCCCGCAAGTGAAAAAGACAACAATCAGCCCTGTGGCCTGTGAAAGGCCTACAAGCCCCATCTGCATCACTTCCGAGTGGAAATGCCTTCGTCGCCCTTTGTTCTTACTTTATGTCTGTGCCACTTGATAAGCGTTTGCAATTTCTTTCTTGGCTGTTCGAAGGCGCATTACCACGTTGTATGTCTGACCCTGTCTCTAACCTGTAATAGTGGAGATATGTGATTAAACAATCGCTCGACGAAAATGCACCGGACCTGCAAACTCGGCGTGATTGCAGCGAGGCCCAAGGAAACTCCAGGAAGGGCATGCCATGGTCACCTGAAGAGACAGGCCTTCTGCAGAAGTTAAGAAGAGACGAGAGGCGACCTTGGTCAGAAGTGACAAAATTATATGGGACCAGCATCCGGCAAGAAGCTCTGATTCAATCCAAGTATACTGGAGTACGAGCCTTAAAAAAAGCAGGGCAGAATAGCATTGCACATAACGCGGGCTAAAAGGAATGACATGCTCATGGGAGCAGGAAGTTGATGTTAGTCTTAATAGGGCAATACAGGGAATTACTAGTGGTTTCTGTCGAGCCCAAGATAGCAGTTGGCTCAGGAGCCATCATCATCGGCTAGTAGTAGTGGATTATGGATTACTATAATAGCTACGTTTGACACATACGACCATAGGGTGTGGAAAGCAGGGCTTCCCGTCCGCTCAGCCGTACTTAAACCACACGCCGGTCTGTTAGTAGTTGGGCGGGTGACCACCAGCGAATCCTGACTGTCGTATGTTTTTCTTTTTCTCATTTTTCCCTCCATAAAAAGCGCGGATCGGGGGGTCTAGGCGAAACCATAATACGTACATAACACAGCTGCACTACTTGGTAGATCCTGGCCCACAGAGGAATCGGAAGAGCATTAAAACATTGGCCATTGTCTTTATAGCTAAAACACCAGGTTGTTTTCCCTTTCCATTCGACGATGACGTCATGGCTCAGCAGGGCAACCATTTTTATCTGCTCAGCGAATTTCACGTCAGGAGCCACTGATCCGCACTTGAGGATGCGGGTCAGATCAAGCAATGAGGTCTCCAGACAAACTTGGTCTCCAAATACAAAAGGATTGCTTATCCACTGCTCATCACCCACCTTTCCCCTGCGTCGATCACTGGACGCATGGTACCTGTGATGTCATTGCATGGGAACTAACCATGGGTTGGACGGAACAAAAGTTGGTCACGGCTGGCGCTAACACCGTCCTGGCTGTCTGAAATATTGAATCTTCATGATTGGTCCTCATCTTATCTAGACCAATCAAAGCTCCAGGCGACGAGTACTGGCTGCTTTGCCTTACTCCCTCAGCGACCGTTCCTGCACCTTGAGGGGTTGCTTTTGCAGCCTTCGAAATGAGTGGAACAGAAGAGATGAATTTCTCAGGGCCCTCAAAAAAAGTGGTTGCCTAAAAGGGATAAATACAGCGTCCCTGTCACTGAGTGTATAGGGGATGCGGGCGAGAAACAGACAAGGCAGCTTAGAAGATACCTATGTCTTAAGGGCCTAGCCATAGCGACAAGGCTCTACGTGGATATTTTAATTCATGTGTAAAGATTAAGAGTTTCCTGTGTACTTTAAGCTCGCTCCTCTATCAAATTATCTGAGATTTGAGGAAAAGTGGCTTGCGGGATCATGACGTCACTTCCTCACAGAAACAATGACTAGAAGTCCTACAGTGGACCGATGTCAGGAGCTGAACCCGTAGAACCTAGGGGATAGGTTATGTACAAAAGGAATTGTTGAAGAAGGGAAGAAGGGAAGAAGGGAAGAGGAAAATGAGAGTCTCACAACACTGTGAGTCGAGGGCCAATGGGGCCAAAAGGGCCTGTAGGGTTTGTAGGGACAATAGGGACAATAGGGACAATAGGGACAATAGGGACAATAGGGACAATAGGGACAATAGGGACAATAGGGACAGTAGGGACAGTAGGGACAGTAGGGACAGTAGGGACAATAGGAACAATAGGGACAGTAGAGACAATAGGAACAATAGGGACAGTAGGGACAATAGGGATAATAGGGACATTGGCCCGAGAGGCCAAACGGGCTCTAGCCCTTTACACTCTTGCCTGAAACTCTTAAATACAGTGATATCCATCTGCTGCGCTTACCACCACCCGTTCTTCCTTGAAATGTGCAAGATCTAAATTTCCAATATGGCGGCTAAGAAAAGAACCATCAGGAGACGGCGATCAGATAGTACACGAGCGAAGAACCAACAGAGATGCCGACGCAAAGAAACTCTGTTTCGGAAAGCCTATGAATTTTGCCTCGAATGCGATGCAGAGATATTTTTGATGACGAGGCTTAAAAAGAGTCGTCAAATCTTCATATTCAATTCTCATCCCTGTATCTCATTGACTGTTACGGAAACACTATAATCCGCCCGACTTGGCGGTGCGGAGTATCTGACGATCGATTCAACCCCTGAATCCTTTAGATAGTGAACACCTCAATGAGAATATAGGGAACCGCTTAGTAGGCTCAGTTGGTTGAGATACTGCGATTCCTGGTGTTTCCACTGAATGACATCTACTTCCTAATTAGGCTAGTTGGCCTGTAGCTGATAGAATAGCTCCCTACGCCCCATTTCCCCTGAGTTCACAACATTGACCAAGGAAACATGTTCCGGCGCACCCCATCACCCGTGTGGGCAAAGATCGCGTGAAAGTACCACGGTAGGCCCGACACTTTCGAGTCTCACTTTCTTCAGTGTACAATCGGACAGAAACATCGTGTCGATCCCTGTGTCCACATCAGGAATTTACTTTTGCAGCTACTGCATCAGTATAATGTTGGTCCCCGTTTACTGAATGAGAACGCTCAAATCAAACCTGCACACTTTACGGAATTCGCGAAACATTGCTTGGTATGGTTCAGGCAGTACTAGTCACAGAGTCTCCAAAAGAAGCATGTACAGCCTGGTTCCAGACTCTGTCGCAATATTCGCCGAAATAAGTATCAGAACATCGCCTCAAAAGGTACACTACTAAAGCCTGCGTTACCAGGATTAAGATTCGCTCTTTCTTAGTCCCTGGAAGCGCCCCGCCTGCATATGGAATGTGCTCAATTTCACTCATTCATTTCCAATCATTCCCAATCCTAATAGATCTGAACTTAGAATCATAACAGGGTCGTATTGTTTATCGTTAGCCTTGCTCTTCCACATGTGCTCCCTAAGAGCAAACTCGCCAGTAGATTGGATGACTTTCTCGGATAAATACGTCGGAAATACCTTGTCAAGCTTCCCGGTACAATAGAGCTGACAATTCCCATGGTTAACTTGCTTTCTAAAATGAACCAGCGGATGGAGCGGTTGGAATAGATGGCTGGCTGGCATCGATGGAATACGATGGGTCTCGTACTTGTCATGATAACAGAAAGATTGACTGAATGGACAACCCTCTCTACAAATGACCAAATGACCAAATGACCAAAGCTATTTTTGAGCATTTTTGAGCACCTTCAAAATGACAAGCAGATCATTGCGTAAATCTTATGGGGCGCTATTGATAAAAGTCTCGGAGTCCACGTGTTTTGAGCTAGACGCTGGCTCTGGTGGACCCGGCATTTGACACTGACAGGCGGCGAGTGCCTTATGAACAGCTTCAATCAAGCAAATTTCGGGAGCCTAGTCTTTCTTTTCGACTTCCATACATTTCGCGACCAAGGTCAAAGTAACATGCATCAAGCTCTTTGATAAGCTGTCAGGTACGCCCGGTAGATTTTGTTTTGAGTCCCTGAAATACATTCATTCAACCAGTGAAGTCGTCATGATGATCTTGCAGTCAACTTTGTAACCAGCAAGTCCAGTCGGAACCCAAAAATTCTATTCATGATGACAGCTGAATTATCGTTTTGATTTCCACCGGACTTCTTGACACTCTTCCACTCCACAAAGCAAGCTGCCACAAAAGCCGCGATCATTAGTGCTAGACTCACCCGATAAGTATCCCTTAAACCGTTCATGTAAGCTTGAATCATACCATTCAGCTGATCTAGTTGGCCGAGCGTAGTAAGCACATGCCTCATCTCTGTGGCTCCGGCGGTAATAATTACACTCGGATCAACACTGGGTGCGTAGGTGCGAATTCCTGTTATCAGTCCGTTCTGGAATACCGACTGACCCACGGCAATAAGCCGCCTGTGTGATTGCCGTGCCAATGTGTTAAAAGCACTTGGCTAATAGTAATTTCGCGCTTGGAATGTCTTTCCACTAACAGATCGATCCATGTGGGGATACCTTGTCCAGTGTCTATGAGAATTCTTCTGTAACCTGTACCGACTATATACTATGTGTTGGTGCCTTGAAGCTGCATCTAAAATCATGTCAGGAACAAGCTTCTTAATAAACTAAAACACAGTCTATTTTTATCACACGTGACCGGGATTTCCACCGAGCAGACGGAGCACCACCCGAGGCGAGACTTGTTCTACATCAGGTAGTTCTGGCAGCGAGCGCACCTTGCGTTCAGGTAGTCTTCAAATGCATAGAGGTTGACAAGTTTGTTGATAGAGCGGTCGACGGGTTCACGCTTTAACTAAGTACCTGTTTTGAAGTTAGAAAAATTAGGTTGATCGGGACACGAAATCACACTGCGTTGTATTGAGCAGGAAGGTGTATTAATACTTCTCCCTGGCCATGAAGCTTCGGGCGAATCGGGGCCCTCGATCACGAACATACTGAGATACCTTGTCAACATGAATACAAAGGAAACTGTACTCTTACCGGAACAGCCGGAACTAGTACAATACAACAGAACGGTCAGTTAGATCAGTAATATTAAGTACCCAACTAAGTATTCTAAGCTTGGCTTGATCGGGATTATATAAATAGTAGGGATGCTACAGTGTATTGTCATTGAAAACTCGTGGCCGTCAGGAAAAATGGAACGACCGAACTACGCGCTAACGGGAGACCCACACAATACCAATTACTACTTCGCCAGCCTTTTAAAGTTTTGACAGGAAAGCGTCCAGTTCTAACTTGACGCTTTTAAATGATATAAAAGTTCTGCCCCAATCAAAACCAAAAAGGGATCCACTATAGCAATAATTAAGATGGTATAAGAGGATCAAACCCAACATCTTGATAATGCTGTATCTTATGAAAAAGCATTTGTGCAAGATTTTGCTTTGTTTCTTCCTTCTTAGACACAGGAGACAGAAGAGATGTAGAGACACTAGGTGGGGCCACAGACGGGCTATATAATAGATGCTCTTCGCCCTCTTCTAGAGGCAGACCTCACGAATCCATAATAAAATCGCGTACGAATATGCGCAACTAAGCGCGTTCTAGTTTATGTAGAATAACGGTGCCTGAGAATTAGAAGCTGTTCCCAATTTGTAACAAGTGGTGAAGGTTGATTGGCCAATGGAAACATTCTATTCAAAATTATCTCTGAAAAGACAGGCGATGTCTGCTAAGGGGATACAACATGCATACAATACTCAGCGTGGGCAGAAAAAGAACACGGCGGCTGTAGTGGTAGAGTTCTACCCGTAGTGACCTACCGAGGGTGACCTCGCCTGATCGGCGGCAGTTAGCGTGGTCAGGTGGGAAGCCAATAAATTGTCTGCCTGCCTCCAGCCCCGAAGAACGTTCATTCCACTGTTATTATGCTCGCAACCCAGTTTGAAAATCTTGACCATAGGAGACTCTTTCTTATATCGGGACTCACCTTGGAGTCGGGAAGGAAAAAAAAAAAAGATGTCTGATGGCCTCGGACGTCCTATTCCAATTAATGCTTCCTCAGGAGTTCTCAAAAGTTACGCCTGTACAGTCTGTCGAAGAAGGAAGGTCAAATGTGACAGGGGCCAGCCATGCTCTACCTGTGTCAAAGACCATGCACAGTGCCAATATCGAGATCCGCTTCCATCTCGTCGGCGGAGAAAGGCGCAGCAAAGGACTATTCTTAGAACCTTGAGGTGTAATGAAGACACTCCCAAGGCTAAAGTATCTGACGAGGATAACGAGCTATCAGCTAGTGATGACATCAGAACAAGACAGCATACGCTACAGAATGATTTTACGAATCCTCGATCCAATACTAGGATTGAAATTGGGCCTGGGAGATTAATTTCAAGAGGCGAGAAATCTATATATCTAGACAAGTTAGTTGCTCTTATCTATATGGTGATTGTCATTAAGGACTAACAATCGGCAATAGTAACTTATGGAAGAGGGTTAGCAATGAGGTTTGTGGCAATAATACTCTCACTAATCTACTTGTTTGTATACTTGCGGACTAATTCCAATTTATAGGTTCAAGATATGGAATCTATCCTTCCTGAGAGTTCAGGCGGCATATCTCACCAGATACCGAGAGCGCGAATTGAAGGCGAGCTTGAGCTGGACGAAGGAGCTCTTCTTTTCGGCGCTGCTTCCAAGCCCAACCTGTCTGGAGAGCATCCGAATCCAGTTCATATATTTAAGCTATGGCAGGTTTTCCTTGAGAATGTAAACCCTCTAACAAAGTTAATCCATATACCTACACTACAACAACGCATTCTAAATGCGATTGGTGATCTTAATTCTGTGCCAAGTGAACTTGAAGCTCTTATATTTGCGATCTACTGCGCAGCACTTAGATCTCTGAGTGATGAAGAAGTTCTGCAAGGGTTTGGAAAGTCCAGAGCAATCCTGTTGGCTCAGTATCAGCAGGCTGCCCAATCTTCTTTAGTACAGGTTGGATTGTTAAAGACATCCAATATGGTTGTCTTACAGGCACTTCTTATATTCATAGTGAGTTTTCACTTCCTCTCTCACGGTCTCATTTCTTATTCCTGTGCAGCTATCTGTTCGTGCGGTATATAACCCACACGCACTCTGGTCTCTAAGTGGCATTGCAGTACGTATCGCTCAACGAATTGGTCTTCACCGTGATGGATCTCGGCTTGGTCTGCCCATCTTTGAAACTGAAATGCGTCGTCGACTTTGGTGGCAAATCACAGTTGTGGATGCTGCAATTGGCCGTTTGTCTGGCTCAACCTCGTCATTATACCCTCTCGCGGATACCCGCATTCCGTTAAATGTCAATGACAGTGATCTGGATGTGGAAATGAAAGAGACTCCTCCCGAGTCATCTGGTGCCACAGAGATGATTTTTTGTCTCATGCGTTATGAACTCGGTCAGTGGCTTGAGCGTCAGTCCAGATTAAAGCCAGTTGCGTTTAATGGATACTGGGAAACTATAAGTCGAGGCTCTATTCCACTCGAACAGAAAGTCCGTATGATTAAAGAGCTTGAGGACATTATCGAGAGAAAATTTATTGCCCACTGCGACCCATCTATCCCGCTGCATCTCATGACCATGATTGTAGCATGGTCAGTACCACCAATACTACGCCTGGCCGCCCATCACCCCCGAATTTATCATGAGAAATGTGAACTCCCAACACAAGCCGAGAAAGATTTTCTCTTTAAGACCTGCCTCAGCGTAACTGAGTATGGTAACATTCTGCTGACGACTAATAAAACGCGGAAATATCTGTGGCATGTAGACAATCAGTTCCCTTGGGACTCATTGATATACATACTGGATGAGCTTCGGTACCGAGCCATAGGAGATGAAACTGCGAAGGCCTGGCACTTGATTGACGTCACTTGTAGCCGCCAGTATCATCAGCAAGGACCTAGAGCAAGGAGCCCATTGCACCTTGCCCTGGCGAATTTAGCTGTCAAGGCATGGGCAGCCCATGTATTAGAGTGTGAGCGTCGGCATATGTCTACTATCCCACAGCCGAGCATCATTCCTACTTTTCTAGCATTGACCCAACAGATAAATCTTTACTCACTTTCTGCTTCTACCCAAGTGACTGCCTCATCTCAGGACCAAGACCAGCGAAGTGCTGCTGCTGAGGACACTGTGACCATACATGCAGGTCGTACTGGCGATGTTCCCCGGCTAAGGGAGGGTGTCTTGCAGAGCGCGAACCTAATCGACCATAATGCTCATGTCGCCTCTTTTGCAGGACTATATCCTGCGGAGAACTCCCCCATTGACTGGGTTCAATGGGATGCTTTGTTCCAGGAGTATCAGCAGCAGTCAAACAGCCTTGATTATTTTTAAAACCATTCATCTAAGAACTACACGTTTTAAAGGGTTCCATCGTTGGGGTAGCGACAAAGACTTAGATCGATCAATATTCGTTTCTTCTTGCGCTATGTTTATTTTATTACTATCAATTACGTACTCATGTATATTTTATAGCCCAAGATTCTTTCCTTTTCAACCTTTTTTTTTTTTGGGCCCGGGGGTTTTGTTATTTTTGAGCCCCTGCAATTTATGAGGAGAATGCAACCCAGCGACTTCAACCCAATTTTTGGAGGGTGTTCTAAATATCACGCAATGCGCTTGTGGCCAGGAGCATTTCAGTATTCTTCAAGATTCGGTGCCTTTCGTAGCGGCCCATCACCCTACTTCTGTGGTGGTCGCTTGACACTCGTCCATTTAGTAAAGATAGCGCCAATGATAGTAGCACAGGACAAAGCCAACCCGACAATAAACGTGTTTCGTACTGCCTTATTATAGGCTATCAACACGGCCGGCAGGTCTTGGCCGCGGACAATTTGACGAAGAGTAGTTGCTCCCGCTCCCCAGATAATGTGGGCGAAGTTCCCATTCTCATAATCTGGTGTTGTCCCTTTGAAATTTGAGATAAGACCATAGGTGAATACCGCCTGGGCTACTGCCAGGAAGATAGCACCACCCAACGACTGAGACAACATTATTAGCGCGGAACCAGTCGGAACATCCTTTCTCTCTAGTTCCGTTTGAGCGGCGACACTAATTAGCTCGCTGCATCCCTAGACCCAGACCGAATCCATAGATTACTTGGTACCCGATCCATTTTGCATGCCCAGTAGACACGGTCAAGGTGGTCAGCATTCCTGCACCGATGGACATCAGGACGGAGCTGGCATACATGAACGGCACAGCGTAACCCATACGTGAAACCCCTATTCCCGCCAAGATACCGGCAATCACGAGTGAGAGGACGACGGGGAGATTCATAACTCCAGACTTAACAACATTGACACCTTTGATGCCTGGAACCAGATGGGAAGGTAGTATATGATAACCATCATCGACCCTCCGCGAATTTTGACGATTCGCGGAGGAACAGAGGCGGTCTCCTGTTCCCACACCTGCACAGCTATGAATGCGGTCGTGAGGACGCCGAATAGGGAGAAGAGTGCGATGATGCGGCCACTGCTCCAGGAGTACTTTGTTCCCCCTAACTGGAGGGCAAGAATCAGACACACCATAGCAGGCAGGAATAAAAATATCCCGAGGGGGTCAAACTGATTGACTCGCTCTCGGAAAGTCGTAGCTGTCGAAGGGTGCGGCGGAGGAGATGCCTTGAGAAGGAATATTATAATAATAACTGTCACGGCACCGATGGGCAAATTAATATAGAAACACCACCTCCATGTCACTCGATCCGTAAAGGCTCCTCCCATCAAGGGTGCAATCACATTGGACACACCGAAGATGCTCCCCATGAATCCCGTTATCATCGGCCTCTGTTGTAGAGGCACTATATCAACGATGAGGACGATCGAACCGGTGAATATACCACAGGGCCCCAATCCTGCGATTGCCCGGCCGATAATAAAAGCAGTCGAAGTTGGTGCTGCCCCACACACCACAGAACCATTCTCGAACACGGCGATGGCTGAAAGGAACACCCACTTCGGCGAATAGAAGGTGAAGAAGCGGCCATAGATAAGCTGGAAGGCGCAGGCTGTCAAAAGATAGCTGCTTCCATACCATCCAATGTCGTTCAAGGCGTGGAAGTCGTCGGTGATGCGTGGAATGGCTGTGGCGGTAATGCTTCGATCCCAGAGGCGATGGAGCGTGAGGCTCGATTGCCTTTACACAGGGTAGAGATGAGGATGTGCTTACCAGAGCGACCAGGAATATTGCTAGATTCAGTGCAATCATGATTGCTGTCAAGGGAATTAGCCCGGGATACTCATGGTCGTCCTCAGTCTCGGGTTTCTCATTGGGATGTGCGACTGGCTCTTCAGCAGCGACCTCATGTTTGGAGATAGAGTCGTCCGGGACATTTTCTGACACGGCCTGTACTGCTGAGGAAGACTGCTCGTCCCTGCCTGAATTCGCTGGCAACATTGGGTCTTCTAGTAGGTTTGGATGGAAGAGAGAGAGTTAAACATTAGGTATACCTCTCAGATAACCTATACTCTATGCAATGTAGGTATGTCAAGAAGAGAGTGATAAGGAACAAGAGACTTTAAGCCGCACCGTTCGGCAATGCTTGAGGTAAATGAAGGGTTGCCATCGAGTATATATATAATATCTATGCAACACCCCTTGTTGAAGAAATTGTTGTGTTGCCTCATAACAACCACTGGCACAACCACTTTCGGTCCCATATTGTTTTACGTCTCGGAAGACAGTAACCAACCGGATTTGCACTCTCGGGCCCGAAAGCGTCTTACTAGACCCTTGTTCGATCCCGGCGCGCATGTACTTCAACCTGTCAAACTAGAAATAAAATAAGGGGCGAAAAAAAAAAAAAAATAATTTGACACTCGAAAGATGTTCTACATTTTTGGCTGTTTGCTTATTCATTGACTAGGATTTAGCCCAATCTTGACTCCGTGGGCTCATTAAAGGGCTGGAGCCCGTTTGACCTCTCGACCCTATTAAACTCACTGACCCCCCTATTGTCCCTATTGTCCCTACAGGCCCTCGATGGCCAGCATCACGTGTCTTTCTCCTCATTTGTTTGCCTGGCCTTTTCCTCCTTCAAAGATTCCTTTTTTTACACGGCCTATCCTATAGCTTCTACGGGGTTCAGCTGCTTACGATTAAGATGCGTATCCCGACTTTCATGCCACGTTATTATAGTGTAGAGGAATTATATATAAATTATAATATATTTCTAAAATTTCGGATCTATAGTGCCTTTTGACGTCTCGGACCAAGTTTTGTACAGAAAATTCCAATCACAAATGCGATGTAGAATGTGCAGAATATTCAACTACAGGCATCCAAGATCTAGATTTTTTTTTCTTCTGCATCTTAACATGTTAATCCCTTTCCAAAAATGGCTCCAGTGAGAAAAAAAAAAAAAAAAAAAATATTGCCGAGGTTATGAAGCTAGGAAAGAAAGATGTGCGGAGGCTGTGGGCCTGCCGCAATAGAGCAGGCTTCTACGTCAGATCTAGAAAGTGTTCAGGATGTACTGTTCATTCTTCGATTCAATTCGACTCAGATATTCTTTTCGGACTGATAACGGTTCCACGGTCATTTTACTGGCCTGTCGCTAAGCGTATTGACTAGTGTCAACCACAGAGATATATGAAGAGGCCCGTTCTAACTTCTCGGGCCTATGGTCCCTGTTGTCCCTATGGGCCCTACTGGCCCTTTTGGCCCCATCGGCCCTCGAAGACCCACCTCACGTGATTTATTCCTCTTCGTTTACCTGCTTTCCTTCCTTTCTTTCTTCAATGATTCCTTTTTGTATGTAGCCTGTTCAATAGATCCTACGGGTTCAGTGCTTGACATATGGGCGGTTTTGAGAATAGTAAAGAACAAGTAGCAATTTTATTGGTGCGCTCAAGGAGTCAGGGGCGATGTGGGTATGGTTTGGCCGCAACAGCTACTACTGCGGTCTGAGGCCTAAACGCGTAGACCGTAGTGCCAGAGAGGGTCTACATAAATATGGCTTAATAGCAAGAGCTTCTGCTTGCGGGAATACGTATTAGTATTCTTTTAAAGTTATTAAAGAAAAGCGTATTTCCCAATGTATTTTCCCTGGAGGGAGCCAATATAGTGTAATTGGATATTTCTTCCCACTACTAGAACAAGCAGGCTTTCAAATGTGTATTGGGTGGAATATAAACTTTACTTAGTTCTGTTTGTGCTATAAAGCTGTTTGTGTGAAAAATAAAAGTATAATGTGCATCCTCTAGATGTGGCTCTCTCAGCGGCGGCTGTCTGAGACCAGTCACCCGAAATCATCCAACCAGTCCACAGCATTTAGGTTGACGAGGAGAATTCCCAAGATGACGAGCTATCGACCAACATCAAGCACTTCTTCTCCCGTGCGGCAGAAGTTATCCGGGAGTCCATAGGTGCAGAGGGTGTTTTATTTTCTGGATGCGAGGGGCGATCAGTTTGGCAGCATGGTCGAAAATACTTGCCGCAAAGTTACCGGTCACGGTAATAGCGACTCGATGGAGAACGGTGATGAATGCACTGATTCTAGATCTCCATTCCGATGTCAACTATCCCAGTCAGAGGACGACAGCGGGTATCTAAAGGCCCGGTACCTGTATCTGCCTTGGCTTTTCCTCCTCAGAAGTGCCCAGCATCAATCACGACCTTGGTCAAGGTTTCGGATTACAGCATATGTTCCTTCTGTGCTGCTCCGCTGATACCCTCGTGACAAAATATTCACCTATAATGCCGATCGATCTGCCTTAGATGATAGCGATGGCCCGTCGCAAGCCTTGTCCAGATCCGATATACCCTTTGCCAGCGGCGATAGGAGTGGTCCGAGACAAGGCGCATCGCCAGGAAACGGCAAACATCCACAGTCCACCAGGACGCCAACAATCTGATCAAGATATTTCCGGAGACCCGAAACATATTGTTGTTGCCTCTGTGGGACATGGACAAGAAGCGATACTTCGCCGGAACTCTAGCCTGGACCGATAATCCAGAACTTATTTTCACAGCGGAAAACGAGCTTCTGTTTATCTCCGCATTTGCCAATAGAATAATAACGGAAATTAGACGCATTGATGTCGAGATGGCACAGAGGGCCAAAACCAATCTCGTCAACAGCATCACTCTGGGCACGGTTGATATTCTCAGCGACACTGCAATGAACGACCCCCAGCAAGGTGTGGTCCATACCATCGAATCTTGCGGTGGCGCTCTCCTAGATACGATCAATAACTTGCTCGATCTCACCTTCATCGATAAATACCAGAAAAAAAGAGGTAGGTGTCACAGCGCAATGCGGGGTCACTTGCTGGTGAGTGGGAAGGAAGGGCGTTCCAGCGAGAAGCGAGCGTATTCACATGTGAAGCTTGACTAAGTTCTCGAGGAAGTGACGGAGTGCGTCTTCAGTTTCTACCGCCATCCGCAAGCGCCTCCTCGGGCCTTGGACTCCTCAAGAGCAGAGGGAGCATCGGTTTCATCTCAATCATGTCACTATTATCTTCGATACTGAGTCCGACGTCGAATGGACCTTCTATGCACATGTCGGCGCTTGGAGACGCATCTTGATAACGTCTTCGGCAACGCCCTTAAGTATACCCGGTCGGGCTTTATTTATCTCGGCATGAAGTTATCCCGTAGTCCTAAGAGGTAGTAAGTCGCCAGCTCCGAGTCGGAGGTTCATCCCGACGAATTCGAGGTAACCCTCACGGTCAAGTATAGTGGCAAGGGGATCAGTCCTCGGTTTCTGCACAAGGACCTGTTCAAGCCGTTTGCCCAGGAGGAGCCATTCTCGCCGGGGAGTGGACTGGGCCTGGGCATTGTCCGTGAGGCGGTGGGGTGTCTCGGTGGCACGATCGAGCTCATCTCGACTTAGGGCGTAGGCACCAAACTGATCATCCGAACGTCGCTCGCTCGTTATCCTGACTCCTTGCCAGACGAAGAGTCGTCTGGCTCACCATTTAATTTGCTGTAGAAATATGCCAATGGCAAGTCTACCGGCCTGTTGTGCTTTGGGTCGTCGCTGCACTCATGGAGAAGATGCAACGCTATACAGTTCTTTAGCAAGGCTTTGCTAAGGCTGGTTCGGTCTCAATGACTCTTCGGTATCTCCGCTGGAACTCATCACCCTCCCTTCGATTTTATATAGCAGTTCAGACTGCGGCGAGGGCCGCATAGGCCGCAACCTGCTCAGCCTGGGCCACCATGCAGCTGACTACGGCGACTCGACACCGGTCATCGTCATCTGTCAGTCCCCAGAGGAGGCGCACAGCATGTTTGTGGCGGCCAACAGCCACAATCAAACGACCATCTTCGAGTTCATTAGCCCACGCGCTGGATCTATGCATCAACCGCCAGCAGGACCAGCAGGCTTGTCTGTGCACCGGAGATGGACCAACACGCTGGGTCGAAATGCCACAATCATCCCAGCTCCCGCTGGATGCTGCGGCAATCGATGTCCCAGAGGAAATGTCAAGGTTTGCAAGCACCCAACCACAGACACCATGGGGGACCCGAACTGTTCACCCGTCAGCTCGTCTTCGCTTCCAAGACGGGTACAGAAAAGCCTTCGGACCGCAAATCTGTCTTATTAGTAGATGATAATGGCATTAAACTTCAACTTCTCGCTACTATACTCAGAGGGATGGCTTTGATTACATGACCGCTACAAATGTCCTAGAGGCAGCCCAGACGTACAAGGCGCATCCCTGCCGGTTTCGAGTTGTAATAATTGGTATATCCTCTACCACTTTTTCTGTCTCGTTTCGAACACTGATGTGGCAGATATATCCATGCCCGAGATAGACGGCTTCGACGTCTCCCAGCATATCCACCGCATTGAAAAGGATAGTTGGTCACAGATGAGCGAGTCTGCGCGAGAGGACTCCCGGAGGACGATCTTCGCAGCCCTGACTGGCCTGGACAGCGTTGAAGCGCAAAAAGAAGCCTTTGGATCCGGCATCGATACTTTTTGATTAAGCCAGTGAAGCGTCCGAATTTCAGGCCATTCTACAGCGTGTAAATGAAGAGTGTTGGATGAAGTTGGATATGCGCATTTGTGTTAGGTATGAGAAGTGACGGAATATGAGCGGGGGTGGGGGGATATACGATATAGTATTTGGATTTAATTTATACCTACCAACCATTAATTTCTACGGTAGTGTCTAAATCTTGAACCTTTGCGGAATCATATAATGAATTAATAGTTTGTAGGCTCTCAACGATGGTCCTTAGAGACATGGTTACAAGTTATTGAAAGTTGGCAGTGCGGTGAAATATAGTCAAGGCGCCGCCTGTTAAGACAGATGGGGCGATGACGATGCATATACGAGAGGGGTTGAGACTCAAGCCCTGGAAATTAATAGCGGGGTAAATGTAACATTGGAATCTGATCGGCATCTGGATAAGTTTTCCATATAGTTATCACAAAAACCAATTTTCTTGATCCACGGTTTTTTGGTCTGCTATCTTGCCCTAATGACGAGTTTGACTCGCCGGGGGGTATGATTTCCGGTGACCAGATCTACAGATCAATAAATATTAGCTGGAAAGCTCATTTTCAACACATCAATCTCTTTCTATGGTCCATGATGCTACTGTTGTATTCCCAAGCTTCTCCGACGGTGATCATCCTTAATAGCCTGCGTGTATAAGAGGGCTTTCAGCCCTTACCCGCTACGTCCGAAATGACTGCGAAGTTTCCCTTTTCTCTAAGTTTCCTTCCTCCATTCGCCTGTAGAGATGTACTTGAAGATTATCTTCCTGTTTGTTGTTTCAGCTCTTGCTGCTCAAGACAATTGCCCATCAGGTCCATATATTATCACCGTCCGGGAGACCAACGCACCCCCTAATGGAGGTCTAGTAAGGGAACTAGCAAATGAAACACATGATGCGCTTCCAGGCTCCGACATATATGATGTTAAGTACCCAGCAACAGCAGTCAATCCTATTTATTTTACATCAGAGCCTGAAGGTGTGAAGAGCACCGTACAGGCAATCCAGAACTTTACGTCTCAGTGTCCTGAGGCAGATATAATTCTCTTAGGCTATTCCCAGGTTTGTGCTGGCTTTTTCTAGAGCAGGGTCACACGGTTCACTGACAAAGAATACCTAGGGCGCTCAAGTCGTAGCAGATGTGCTTTGCGGCACGAGCGAAGCATTATTTCCGAAGACGGATCCCCTACCTTCGGAGTTAGGTCAACGAGGTCAGTCTCGGAGCCTGGAAAATGAGATAGGAGCGCCTAATGTATTCCGTAGTGAAGGCAGCGGTTCTGATGGGTGATGCGAGCCATGTCCCTAATACTCCATACGGAGTGGGAAACAGTACAAAGAAGGGAGTATGATAAATCTACCCGATGAACTGTTTGTATTTACTAATATTTACTCAGTGGTTTCCTCGTCAAACTAACACTAGGTGCGAACCATACACAGACATTCTCCGCTCGTACTGCGATGCGAATGATACATACTGCGATAGTGGAAATAGCATGGATGTTCACTCAGGCTATGTACAAGAGTACGGAAAAGATGCAGTACATTTTATAGTTTCGAAACTCCAACGATAAACTTCACACAATGGTTATGGGTTAAGCCTTTTCTAGTCTTAGCTCCAGCATTAAATCCAATTCTGTGTGGTATACTTCAATCAACTTGCAAATTCGATATTACTTGCTGAAATATATGTTAAATAGTAAAAATCAGTGTTCAATGTTTGCTAAATACATACAGCCATTAGAAACATCATTATATACCTCTACATTCTAGTAAACATAAGTAGAATTCAAATTGTGAGCAGGGTGCGATTAATCATTTACCGAAGCCTCCAAGCTATTTATATGGTAGAAATTGGATACAATTCAATTCATCCGAACCCTTCTAGGGGATCTGTACCTAAATATTTTGTTTTTGATATTCACCACTATTTAATCAAGATTAAGATAGAAGGGAGACAGAACACTGTGCTACATATGTCTTAACTACGGCACGGCAAGTAAGTCTTACCGAAGGCGTTTAAACTTAACACAGTGTTTTCATCCTCGATACTGTGATAAACCTAGAGCATCTAGTCTCATGATATCTACAGACAAAAATCTTGAAGTTTGTCTTTGTCTCTTATCCCCCTGTCTCCGGTGCCAGTTCCTCTTCTTTCTCAAATGACTGTGCCGGAACGGCCACAGTTCTGTCCACCTTTCTTACCATTGGTGCAAGTACTTTCAATACCGCCTATTTTAGGAGTATTTTCCGATGTAAACAGCCATGGTAGCTCCACCGCATCAGACGATCCTTGAGGGTAGTTAGATTCTGGTTCATCTTCACCCTTGATGAGGAAATTCATTCCTTTGGAACCAGTAAAGGCGCTGCAGCCCAAGCTGATTCCTCCTAGACTAACATCCTAGTTCCCATCGACAACCCATGCCATAATCGTGGCCTTTCATGGTTATCAACTCCTGGGAACAGGTCACTCATGTCAAGGGCTGAACCCGTAGAACCTACAGATAGGTTATGTACAAGAAGGAATCGTTGAAGGAGGGAAGAAAGGAAGAGGAAAATGAGCGGTAAACAAACAAGATGGGCCAGTAGGGACAGTAGGGACAGTAGGGACAGTAGGGACAATAGGGACAATAGGGACAATAGGGACAATAGGGACAATAGGGACAATAGGGACAATAGGGACAATAGGGACAATAGGGACAATAGGGACAATAGGGACAATAGGGACAATAGGGACAATAGGGACAATAGGGACAACGGGGACAGTAGGGACAACAGGGATAATAGGGACATTGGCCCGAGAGGTCAAACGGGCTCTAGCCCTTTACATGGAAGGCTGTATCTACCACCAGTTGCTTAACATGGAGGACAAGGGCCACAGCATGCATTGGTTCCTTTATAATAAGGCACAGCGTGGCTTACGGGCAGCAGAGTATAATATTCCCTGTAATATCCTCCACACTATATATAACTTTCTTGCTAGAGTTAACCCATACGTCCGTGCCCTGCGACGTGTAATTAACCAGGTCCCTGAGTAAATAGCTCTGCTCGCGGTTGAACTCTCCATTCACCCCGTGGGTGGCGAGCTTGTAGCAGTTATTAACATGGAGAATCTCCGCCACGTTTAACCACGGCAAATTGTCTTCTTCTGGAAAGGCGGCAATCGGCCGCGATTTGTTCCCACCCTGTCCTGTTACTATAAGCTGCTTTAGCATCCCATTCTCTTTCCGCCCGGCACCCCTGGGTGGGGATTCCTCGACGATTCCCAGAAAATCCTGCCCTGTACGCAGACCCCAATAATATTATTATCTATTCCTAACGGAACAGCGCATGCAGATCTTTGGCCGTTTAGTATATAAATACGCGGTTGACATATTCTCTCGGACAGAGGAGTATTACTTGCGCTACCTTAAGCAAGGCCGGCGTGTGCAGGCGGCGGGTATGGATAAGGTATCTAACCCTGCAGCGCCCGACCTGCTCGAGAATAAGATCCTTGCCAGCTTCATGGGTTCTGGAGCCTGGACTTCCGACCAGGTTGCGGACTCTCTCGCAATCGCGCGGCAGCTGGCCAAACCGTCCCTCTTTCTTACTATAACCATCAACCCCAATTGGCCGGAGATCCGGTCCCGGTTGCTCCCAGGCCAGCATTTTACAGATATCCCTGCTATTATGTGCTGTGCCTTTCACGGACACCTCTGTGGGCTAAAGGCCTTTATAAGGGAGAACTTTGGGAGACTTTTGTACAAGATCTGCGTGACAGAGTTTTAGAAACAGGGCTTGCCACAGGCGCATTTAGTTGTTAAACTTTAATATAATGTAATCTCCTTAGTCCGAAAAGGGTAAGACTAGGTTACAGGGTACACCCAATTGCCACGCCACTGCAAAAAGGTCAACTAGACTTGGTAATACCAAGTCTGGCTCCCAATTCACTTATCTACCGTCTCCGCGGTCACACTAAATTAGCTGTGATTACAATAAACTACCTTTCTCGCAGCTAGATAACTTTATCCGCGCTGAGTTACCTAACCCTAAATGTTACGGAAACACTATAATCCGCCCGACTTGGCGGTGCGGAGTATCTGACGATCGACACAACCCCTGAACCTTTAGATAGAAGAACACCTCAATGAGAATATAGGGTACCGCTTAGTAGGCTCAGTTGGTTGAGATACTGCGATTCCTGGTGTTTCCACTGAATGACATCTACTTCCTAATTAGGCTAGTTGGCCTGTAGCTGATAGAATAGCTCCCTGCGCATCACTTCCCCTGATTTTCACAACACAAATTATAGGCCGAGTGGTTAGACATGGTGATCAGGCACGAGAATCTGAATTTCTTTGATCCTGTAACTTGATCACTTACTATACATGTATTTAACTACCCTGGCGGTGGGCCGGGCCGTCAGACGGTGATCTCTTCCGGCAATCGGCGTAGAGCTGACGGATCCGAGTATGAATAACTACTACTACTAACTATTACTACCGCCACCATCACAACCCAAAGCGCGTCACAACCATCTCCTCCCCATCCACAACTCTAACACCAGCAATAATCATCTTATCCTGCACCAACTCATAAACCGTAGCATTCCCCAGCCCATACTCAACTCCGTCCGCATGGGCAGCACATCCCTCAAACCGGACCTGATTAAATTTCACAAACGGCACCGGCTCACCCCCCGAATCAAAATCCTCCACCACCCACTCGGCATTCCGCCCCGTCACTGTCGCCGTACTCTTCGGCGCCGAAAGTGTCTTTGACACCGTCTCCCCCGTACTCCGATTCTCAACCATGCAGACCCCGCTATTCGGCGCCGTCACTTGGACAGAAGCGACAATCACATCTCCCGGGTTTACCGCAAACTCGTCGTAATACAGTGCAATGTTCGGATACCACTCGTACCAGGCATCGGTGTACGGCTTTCCATCGATCACGTACAGGTCCACGCCTGTTTGCAGTATTGCAGCGGTGTGGGTGGCGCCGTCGATGCCGACCCATGCGGACGCAGCCTGGTATGTGGAGTTGTCGGTTGGGGTGGGGGTTGGGACGGTCATGGTTGCAGAAATGTAGGTGTAAGTTGAGCTGGGGGATGGGGCTTCGATCACCGCACCGGCCCAGTTGGGGCTGTAGTATTTTCTTCGAACTTCGGGGGGGATGGTCTCGGTTAGCGCGAGGAGGGAGAGGGAGACTGGCTCAATCTTTTGGAGGGGCTTGGAGCTGCGTTGGGATCTGAGGTGGTGGATTTTGCTGGTGAGAGAATTGGATAATGGGGGTGCTCTTAGGGCTGTCCCTAGGTGAAGGACAGCTATGAAGAGAAGCAAGAGGGGATTCATTGTGAAAATGGGATTGGAGAAGGAAGAAAGAACTAACTGATGGAGATAAGTGCAGATAGAAGGCTTTATATAGTGCTGGCCATCGGGTCCGACGGCCCAAGTCCGCTAAATTAACTATAAATACTATTCTAATTGTAGGCGCTAGATTTTATACAAAGGTCCACATGGCTCAGCCGTAATCTGCTAATCCGCCCGAACGTCTATAGCCGAGCGTGGGCATGATGTACCGCGAATACCCAAAAAGACTTAGCCAACTCACTATGAACAATAATAGTTGCAGACTAGACAATCTAATCCTATGTTCCTTGTATATTCAGTTTCTTAATTTCTTAGTACAATGTTCTCGGTCATAATACAAAACTATAACTTCACTGGGGTAGACGACAACGCCGCATCACTTAAGGAAGCCGTGGTAATATCTGAGCTGTTCCCAATAAATGCTTCTAATATGCCATTTGTCCTTTGGCATCCACTGACATAGTTTACTGTCAATTTGCATCCATCCGAGAAAAACGCATGGCCGCAAATACCGCAGTTTCCCCCAGTCTTCTGGAAGATATGATCGTAGGCACTATAATAAAGTTAGTAAATATTAGGTGGAAACCGGAAAGAGAACAACTTACGCTGCCATTTGGTCGCCATTCATCTGACAGTTATCGCCTTCGACGAAAACACCACAGCCAAAGCCAGCATTTTTACCGTCTGTGTAGCAGGTTCCGGAGTTTGTATCTTTGTCCGTGGTTCTGGTCAAGTCGTTAGCCTTGTCCGTTAGAGAGAAGGAGGGGACCTACCCATATATAGTAGTTTCAGTTAAGAAACTCTTTGCCATATCACAGAATTTGTGTAGATTATGAAAAGTGCCGCAACGAATTGATCCTTTGCAATTGTACCCAGTTTCAGTGGCCGTCGGGACAGTAGAGGTTGTTTTCGTCGTCGAAGTGGTGGTCGTTGAAGTGGTGGTGGGCGTCAGGCCAGCCCACGAGGACCAACTGGATAGATAGTCGGAGGGATACTCACTCTCAACGGGGATCCCGTTTACCGTTACTCGTGAGGAGGCTTTCGTGGCAGTATCCACATCGTCCACTGCGGCGCAAATGCCATCACTCGGGCTCCACACGTTTATCTCTGAATCCAGCTCTCCAGTGCCATTCGGGTAGATGGTGTATACGCCGGGGTTCGTCAGGGGCAGCTCCACGCCGATGGGCGGCGCAGGCGCAAGCGGGAGGTGGGGATATATGTTGCCAAGCTGTTTCTGGACGTATTTAGCCAGCGCATAAAGGGTGAGACTGTCGGCATTCTGGAGTGTCCAGAATCCTGTGGCGCCACCAAGCCGTGCCAGGCTTTTAGTATAGGTTGGCCCATAGGCCTCGAACCATTTCCTCCCCCTGATAGTGTTATATCCGACCTTGAGGTCAGTGATGTGCGGGTCGCCTTTCAGCGATGCCCAGTCCACGTGCAACAGCTCGTGAATCCAGGTCGCGCCCTGATTCGGGTAGTAGTTGTCCATGTCGGCGTAATCGCTTGGGATATTGGTCTCCTTGTTAGCCCACTCCTTGATCTTACTATCCAGAGTGGGCAAGTTAAAGTATTTCGGACAGAAACTGATGGACGGTTCTTGGTGCTTGGGGTCTTTTTGCACCGTGTAGGCAATGACCCCGGTCTCAATGTTGCAAGGGCACATGTATTTGAAGTCGTCGCAGCGGACAGCCAGCTTCCAGGCGAACCAACCCCCCCAACCCGGCTGAATCGTGGACAGTTGCTTAAAGGCAGCAATGAAGTCACTCTGCTCCTGTTGGTTGTACGCGGGCGGGCCTAGAAACTCGACAGCAGCAGCCTCGTTAAAGTCAATGCCTTTCTTGGCTACTTGGTACATGTGATTCATGATCTTCCACGACTGCTGCCAGCCAGAAGTAATGGCCTTTTCTTGGGCGTCAGTGCAACCATCGAAGCCGAACAGCCTCGTTGCCAGATCCGTGAAGTTATATGTGTCAAACTCGGAAATATCATAGTCGCTGAGCGCCAGGGCATCGGTGAAAGTTTCTTTGGCCTTATTAATATCTATTTTGCTTGCTTCATCATTCGGGCCTAGAACAAACTGTGCTAGATCTAGTGCCCACTCTACAGAACCTTTAAAACCGTAGCTGGCGTACCGCTTGATCCGAGAGGCCTTGGTAGCCTGGGACATATAGGCCACCCAAGTCCCATCACCGTAGGTCATCATATCAGAGTCGCTGTCGCTGTCGTACCATGACGTGACGTCACGTCTCAAATTAGAACCACTGGTAAGCTGGGATAGCTCTGCCTGGGAAATGTAACCGGCTGTGTTTGTGCAATCGCCAGGGGTTGCTGTGGAGTTGGGTCCGGTAAATAGACAGCTAGGACCTGTACAGCTGGGATCTTCCATGCCAAAACTGCGACCGTAACTGGCAATGCCCACCACAACCTTGTTGGCTGGCACCCCGGCCTTCGTGATCATAGCCAGTGCGTACTCAGTCTCCGTCAAGTTGACGTGAGAGCGAAGGCAATTACCGTTCTCGCACCCGGGGTTAACAAAGCTGTTGTCCCAATCCCACTGACCGTGAAGATCATAGGTCATGAACACAATATAATCGAGGACTTCGGCCATTTCCGCAATAGGGAAGCCCTTCAAGTACCAGTATGATGCAGGAGCAGCAATGGAGAGCGACTTGTTAGAGGGCAGCAGTGAGCGGACAGTCTTTAAGAAACTAAGATAATTAGGACCCTCTTCCTTGCTCCCAGCAGGAATTCCGGGAAGATCAGGAGCACTAGGATACTCCCAGTCAAAGTCGACACCATCCAAGTTGTACTTCTCCACGAACGCGGCCACATTCTGGGCGAATGTGAGCCTGTTGGCATCAGTGACACCGTCTCGGAAGATCGGGTATGAATCCAGATCGGTCGAAAAGGACCAACCGCCAAAGGAGAGAATGCGCTTAAAGTATTTCTGGTTCGCAAATGCCTCAAACTGGCTTTTGTAGCCAGAGATGTCCACATCGAAGTTGCTGGAAATCTGGCCAAACGCAAAATGCACATGGGAGTAGGATGAAGGAAGCTGACTAGCCTGCATTGCGAGACAAGTGCGGTCCACGCCAAAAGCCTCGTAATACCCGATACTTATGAGTTCGGATGGGGCTGCGTCATTGTTTGTGATAGACGTTCCGCAATTGGAGATGCAGCCGTATTCCCCTTCGGCGGCAGTGCCAGGAGCGCCAGTGGTCGACTTGGACGGAGTACAGAAGTCAGGGGTAATACCACATTGCCCCCAGATATTGCACTAGAGTAGATTGTCAGTGGGAATGTTGGTCGTAATAGAGGGGGATGAAAAAGTTCAGGGTAAGGAATAAGGGACTGCTTACGCATGCATTCAGAGGGCACGGATTCAGACTGCCAATGTCTGACCAATCGCTCGGACGGGTTGATCCTTCGACTTGCGGGCCACAAACGGCGTTTGAGAGAACCCCTGGCATCGGGGGTTTTCCAGAGCTAAGACAAATAACTCCATCTAGCTGCAGATTCTTACAGCCCATCCAGCCCCAGGTCTCAGCATTGTACTTCTCGATTTTATCCACGGTGATATAGTTTTTTTCGGCTAGGAGAGCGCAGTAATCACCGTCCTTGACAGTATAGCTATAACATGTGCCATCCTTATTTGGTTGCGGCGTTAGGTCGGGCAGAGAGCCCTTCGAGCAACAGATAGGCTGTCCAACAGCCAATGATGAACAGAGAGTATTACTGGGGTTGTACTTGGCTAAGTCCGCGGCCGTGATTCCACACTTGCTCACCAGACTTGCGCAGGAGTCTCCCGAGACAACCAAGACATAATCACAGGTACCCTCTCGCTTTTCGACAAGGCCGACAGACCGTTTCTCGGTGGCTATGGATGTTGGCAGCTCAGAGACGGTGATATTGGTGCTGGTGACCCGATGATAGCCCTCGACGCAGGTGGCGTTCGCCCAACTCTGTAAGGCTGACTGCAGCAGCGGGGAACTGCGAGTTCTGGTTACTATAAGCCCCATGGTATGGGCCGCATTCTGGTCGGTGTTGCAGGCTTGAACTGCTAACGCTTCCCCCAGACCAGAATCTAGGGATGCACTAGTAACTATATTCGCGAGTTCGCCGACAGCGGTAGTGCTGTCAATGCTGCTCCCCACGTACAGGCCAGTAATAATATCTCCGTGGTTCGCAAAGAGGATAGTCGAGGCGTTCCCAAAGTTTGCGGTACCGGCAACCTGGGACTGCAGGCCTGCAAGTGCCTTCGACATAGAAGATAAGGATGCCGAGTCCGAAGTGGTCGAATCCCACGAGGCTAGCTGCAAGCTAACAGGCATAGAGGTCCCAGAAGCACGCGTTGAGAGGGTCTGTCTAGAATCACTAGAGCTAACGGCATCAGTAACCGTACAGGCTTTAATAGTGGTTTGATCATCCAAGGAATTAAAGATGTTAAAGCTGAACACGGCCGTCTCCCTGCACCGATCCAGACGGCTCAGAGAATGATAAGAGGTCCAGTTGGTTGAGGATGTACCAGTGACCGAGCAAGCTTGCGGACATCGCTCAATCTGGGAGTCAAACTTGGCTGCTGTGGCGGTTGGGGCCACGAGCAACCCGCTCAAATTGAGCAAGATAGCCGATGTAAAAGGCCTCATTTTTTTGTGCCAGTTGTTGAGCCCATGTCAGATAGTGGCCCTTTCGGAAGCTTATATACTTTCGTTTTACCCTAGCTCTAGTCAGGTTGTGCATTTACGGCAATAAAGTCCGACCTCGAACAGAATGTCCGGCTTCGAACGGGGTCCATACCAGGCGGTTCGCAATCAAAGAAGCACTTGGATGCATCCTCCTTAACCGACAGGGGACGCCAAGCCCCTCCGGCTAACTATACGATTTACGAACTGAGAACATGGCAGGGGTGGTGTTCCACCTAATCGATAGTTCCAGTCCTCCAGGAAACCCTGCATAAAATGCCTATTGGGAGCTTGTGACGGGGTACTCAGACCGGTGGTGATAGGAAAGATGGACCACTTACTTGGTGTAATATACAGAGTCAATAAAAGAATATCCTGTTATATCCTAAGTTAGTATGCACCGAGTGGGATTGAGCTAGGAGAGTAGCGCCGCCGGAAATCTACTTGATCAGAATTTGAGAACTAGTAGAAAGGAAAGGGCACAAAAATAAACTTGGTATTAATTATTGCCAAGGCAGTAAGAGAGACTGGGCGTCTAATTAACTGAGAACCTAGAGAGGGGGGAAATAAAATAGAATATTACTCCGTACCAGGGGGTGTTCGCCGTAGCCACCGGAGACGTTGCAAGTTGTCGCTCGCTCGTCTGGGAAATTAATCATCTGATCTATTACTGTATTATAAATTTATACCTTAGTAGGGTTTAGCCCGACTGAAAGGAGGATACTATAGGATGATTAATGATGTCATGACACCTTTTTTCCCCACAAAAAACCACTCATATACCTACTTGTGGGGAGGTACGTCCATGCGCTTCGGAATAATATCTTTACTCTGCCTCTAGCAACTACCTACGGTAGTATTACTTGGTATCATCATTACCGGCTGGTCTACCCCTAATACTTGCATGTCTAGCTGTATAGACCCTGTAAATAGCGCACGCTATCGTACTGTATGTACCTAGTACCGTGCCTAGATTTTAAACGAGGGCCCATTTGACGACATAGTATACTTGACTCTGTACCAAAACCCATTTCCCGAATAGGCTAGCGGCATCGCGTGAAAGAGGTTGTTTACTTTTTCGCACAAACACCTGAGTCCCTCTCGCTCTTCTCTTTTCTTCTCTCTGTGCTTAAAATCTTTGTTGAATAGCCTTCTAGATTGCAGCAATGCCAGTCCAACTGAGGCCATGACACCCCAGAGATCGAAGACAGAGTGGCGACGATTCCTATTCGGAATCCGTCCGGAACCAGCCGCGCTTGCCTCAGGCCCCCACCATACTACTGTACTGTAATTACCAATTTAATTTACTATAATTACCCCTTGGATCCCTCGCCCACGGAGTTATCTTAATCCCGGCCTGGAGACTTGGAAAAGCAGGCAGCGAGAAGCGGAGGGGGAAATTTAACCAGCTAAAAAGATCCTAGTGTGTCCGACAAGCAGCCCAACATTCACCACCTATTTTACTTATTCTTTTCAGAATCCCTATCTTTTCTTTTCCTCCCACCAGAGATAATGCGGGCCGTCCTCGTGGTCCTACTGCCGTCCTTGTTGCTGCTGTTACCTTCATGGCGTGGACCCAGCTGCTTTTCTCCCAACCACGCCCAACTAAATCAGTGGAGGGACGACCACAACCACCAGCCAGGGAGGTTGATTGTGTTCCCTCCGAGCCTGACCGAACTACTTGTGTTGCTTTTTCTTCTGAAGCGGGGGCCTCGGTTTATGGGTGGCCATCCAAGGGTGGTGTCTATACCCTGTTTGACTGTTCTGGGGTGGAGCTTGAATTCCTCGGCTTTGACCGATTAAATCCACCCAAGTTGCGAGCAGGTTCACAAGATGAGGAGGATGCACACTGTGACCGAAGTTAGTTTGGTCACCTCCCACCCACTTTTTTTTTTAAAAATGCCATGTTTCTAACTTTCTAACCCCGAATAGTGCGTCAGCTTGGGGCTACCTGGTGGAAAAATGAAATTGGAACAGATCTGTTTAGGAGAGAAATAGAGGGCCCCAAGCTTACAGATGAATACCTCCGAGTCGGCTGGCCAGCCCCGGGGGTGGTGTGTGGGTTTTACGCACAACAATCGAGGTAGCAGCCGAGAAAGGAGCTGGGTTAATACATAATGCATATAATATGGAAGAACGATGTAAAGTGATTGAGCAGATGGGAGGTGTCTTTTACGCGGATCCCAAAGATTGTCCTTATCTCGATTTGCCCTAATATTATAGGCTATTATTTGACTTACTAGTACTCATGTCTGGTAGCTAGCTAATGCAAATGATTTCTCTAGCCCTTACTATAATACTACAATGTATTTTCCGGCAACCCTTTGTTTGGGTAAGAGTTATTCCGACTAGAGGAGCCTTTTATAGCCTATCTACACTGTTTTAAGTCTTTTTAACCCAAGAAAAAAAGGAGAAAGAGGGGAGGGGGAAGGAAGAAAAAGAAGAAGAAAAGGATAAGGATTCCACTAAAAAGACAGGGTTGCACTGGGAATTCTAAATTATATAAACGGGAGATGTTCCAATACTAGACTTTTAACAAGCCTAACCACTAGGTTCACTGATTTATACTAATAAGATAGATCCGAACAATTTAATATACAGTAGCAATTGTTATAATAGCTATAGGTACAGGACATGGTTAACAACTCGCTGGATCTGCCAAACATTCTTGCTAGAGTTTTGTTTTACTGACTGGTTTATATAATACCTTCCAGTCTAGAAGACCTAGCTATTTGCTAGTTGATCTTCCTGTTCCTCCAGCCTCTACTCGCATGGAATTTCTTGTTACTTGAGTTATACAAGGTGGCGGTAGGTGTCTCTACGATTTCGGGGGTTTATAAGAAAACAGTGGTACTAGCACCGGTTTCTAGTGGGATTAAATCAATTTCGAAGTTACTAACTAGACCGGGGGGCTTGAATAAGTCGGAGTAAGCAGCATAGTTATATTATAAAGGGGGAACAAAAGCTTTCAATACCTAATAACTAGATATGCAGCAGGCTGATTCTTATGCTTAAAAAGGAATCGTTAAAGAAGAAAGAAGAAAAAAGTAACAAAAGGATCGAGCGGGTGGGTAGTTACTGTTTATTGTAGTATCACGTAATATTAACAAAGGCACAGCTAAGCCGCCTATGGGTGTAGCCCGCGACATACACTGTGTATTAGCACTAGGATAAAATGCTATAATGCACTTAGACGACATATTACTTTCCTCGGATCTCTCGGACATTAAGTCAGGGTTATTGCGAGGTCTCGTTAGGTCATCGTCGAGCAATCCTTTGCCATTCTTTTTGTGACGTAGCATAAACTAATCTATTGTGGTTACTTGCAGGTACGGCCACTGTAGACAAACACAGATCAAGCCATATCGGAGGGGCACGTTCCGACAACATACACGCTGGTTGGTTAGTACTTAGTATAGTAGGTGACTAAATGCGAATCTCCAATGGCAAGTCTGTTCACCCAGGACCCTTTTTAGGGATATTCTCCGCCTGTGGGTCTTGTCTAAATGAGTCCGCTGCTTGCCCAAGGCCCCGTTGGTCTGGGCGTCGGGGCGGACCGCGTCCTCCCGGGTCTACTGTGTAGTGTCAACTAAGATACATCATTTTTTCGGAGTATTTAAGCGAGAAGGATTTAAACTACACTATTCCTAAGGAGGAAGGAAGAATACGGGATTTTTATGTGTACCTGCAGCTGCTACTGCACTGTTATGCAATGAGTCACAGATTCTAACTCTCCCTAATCTAAGATTTTATTCTTGTATTTCATGCCACAAGATATGAGGCCTCCATTCCCTCTCGAAAATGACGTATTTTTGGTAGGCAGATGCCGATTTCGCTCTCGGACAATTATCAGGATTTTTTGCTAGTAAATACTGTGGGCACGCTAGGTTACTACCTGTCAGAATATCCGACAATTTCCCCAGCTATCTACGGAGTAGAGTTGGATCTATTTTAGCCCAGTGGATTTGTCTGATACTATTATACTAGGGTGATACAAGTGGATCTACCACTGTGGTTCGAACGTTCGTGATTTGCTTATACAGAGTAGTCCAGGATCTAATCCCTGTCTATCTGTCGCATAGAACACCGACTGGAGCCTAGAGGGAAAGTGCAGGTTCCACTATAATATCTGTTCCAAAGTTCATGTTCAGTGTCTTAATCCAATGAGTAATATGGTTTCTTACTACATGCCCTTTCTCAAGAAGACATACTTGTTATTAGCCTTCACTGGTCAATGCACGTCGTTTCTCAATAGAAGTTGGGCAGGGTTCTGCGCAAATATTATAGACAGCTCCACTCCGAGTGTGCTATGGGGGTTTGCTACTCGGATTTGATACGGCTTTAAGTATGGTGCAACATGTAATACTGGTGGTAAGTAACTACCACCTCTAGCTTTTCCATAGTTCAATATAGTCTAATTACCGGGTAGAAGGAGCGGGTTATGCCACTATTTCGGCTTGGTCTGGTGCAAAGCACTACTACTGGTGTCGGCTCTAGTTGCTCAAGTTCAGTAATACCTCTCTGCGCAGTATCTTAGTCGAAGGCTACTGATGCGGTATAATCTGGGACCCGTGGGTGTAACCTCGAAATAAGACTATATGAGCCAGCCCATATTAGTTTGTTTAGAAAGTTCTTGTTTTAAATATATACAGTCCTCTGCATCAAATCCAAGTGAATACAGTCTTTATCACGAACGTGATTAAAGGGATTATCCTCCCCTTATTATTATGGTCTTCTCTCAGGTTCTATTCCTGGCTCTTCTGGGGTCAGTTAATGCCGCTACTCTTACGAAACGATTCTCCAGTGGAGATTTCGCCACAGGTGAAACAGATCCGAATGTAAGCAGCGGCTGTACCTACTGGGCCAACTCGATTAAGTCGACCGACACCTGTTCCGCGCTAGAGAGCTTCTATGGCATCACAATTGCGCAGCTAGTTTCTTGGGCAAGTAAGAAAAGCCCGATCATCAAGATAACAGAAAACTAACTGTCAATATCCGTAGAATCCCTCCATGTCAGCTACTAAATGTACCCTGACCGTGGGATGGAGCTATTGCGTGAAGGCCCCCGTAGTCCCAACCACTACCACTACCACCAAAAAGACAGCAACCACCACTTCTTCTACAAAAACTGCAGCTACCACAACAACGGGAGGCCCGTCTCCGACCCAGATGGGTTTGATATCTACATGTAATGCCTTCTATTACGTGAAAAAGGGTGATTCCTGCTGGGTAATTATGAACTCTTATGGCAACTTCACTCTGGATCAATTCTACTCATGGAATCCGTAAGCCAAAATCCTGTCATCCAAAATCTTTATTCTCTAACTACTCATGCATGAAACAGTGCTGTCAAGACCGACTGTTCCGGACTTCAGCCAGATTACTATGTCTGCGTTGGCGTCGGCGGGTCTACTGATTCCACTACCACAAAGACCACAACCACCACGACCCCCACCAACATCGGGCCGTCTCCCACGCAGGCTGGAATAGCCACCGACTGCTCAACCTATTACCAGGCCGAGAAAGGAGATAGCTGCTGGTTAATCGTGAACGAGAAGTATACCTATCTGACAACTGCTAAGTTCAACAAATGGAACCCGGCCGTCGGCTCCAACTGCAGTAATCTGCAGAAGGGGTACTACTATTGCGTAGCGACCAAGACCGAGAGACCAATGCCAAACACTATTAGCACATGCAAAAAGTGGCATCATGTTGCTACAGGTGATAACTGTTGGTCGATTGAACAAGAGTACTCGATCAGTGCGACGCAGTTTGAGAAATGGAATCCGTATATAGGATCGTCGTGTGCGTCGTTGTGGCTGGGATATTATGTCTGTGTGGGTGTTTAGTGGATCTGATAAACTTGTGCTGACAAGTAGGAGTGAAGACTGGTACATCTAGATTACCAAAGTCTTCCTACTGTTACGTTTCTCATTCACAGAGTCACTCTGCTGCCCTGGATCGTCCAGGAACCCGTACACGACCTCGATTAGCGAGCTCGCACCTCGATCCACAGAGGAATGAACAACTTTTGTGAAGGGTTGAACCCGTAGCAATTATAGGATAGGCTATATACAAAAGGAATCGTTGATGTCAAATAGAATGGTAAATAAGAAATGACGGCTAGAGTCAGATGATGAATGGTCAAAAGAGCTTCCTACAGCGAAAAGTACACAGAACAGTCAATCATCAGAAGAATCAGAATGATCATATTGAATAGTACATTGATTAATATAATAAAGAAACCATCTAAACAATCATTTAAATACCTTTTCAAGAATAGAAGGGCGGAGTTTGGCAGATCTGAAAAAAAAAAAAGAAAAATGAAAAAAAGGGAAAGAAACTGTTGAAACAGCAATCGCCTCAAGTTCCCTTATTATTAGCAGAGTCATGGAGGAGTACTGTACGTGAGAAGGTAGCATTGGTAACTTTCTCCAGCCTCTAGCTCGATTCATGCGATACCCATCTGAGGTAAATATAAGTAAACTACAGAGTAGTAAGTCCTGTTTACTACTCCCCCAACCTTCCATTCCTCAGTGCTAGTCCCTTATAAAATCTTCCATTCCTTCACAACTTGACCTCACTCTCTTCCTCTTCAGTTGGGGGTACCAAGCAATGATGTCTATTAGCTACGCACAACGTTGTCAACCCCCGAATCCCCTATCCCATTTGACGTTGGAGTGAGTGTGGCATCTATATGAGACGTTGTATACATATCTAGTTGAATATATACGCCCCTTAGTAGGCTACGTGCGTGTAGCTGGTATAGCTTCTCCTGCCCTATCCCCCATTTCCCCTGTGCACCGTGGACGGTGTCAAGGTTTTCACAACATCTACCATTTCCAATGGCCTCAGATTGGCAATGTAGTGTGGTTCTGCAGTTAAGGCAGAAGTCACTATATTAATCTTCACTAGTACTGAAGTGAAGTTCCGCTGGCGGTACCTGATTCACTGGTATTGCTGCCTCGTGGACGTTGAGTCTTTCAGATCTCTTGAGTTGATCTCCCACTATATAACCTCTTTCTCTCTCTCTCTTACCTCTCACTCTACCAGCTTGTCCAGTCCTTCTGCTCTTGCCGCATGCTATTGTTAGTAAGTTCATTTAGTATAACCTCTCTTATACCTTTCCTTTAGAGTCATCTGGCTTTTTGTGCTGGGATTGGTCCTCTTGCCAGGTCTGAGGCTCTTCTGTCCTCTGGAGCTGAAGCCGTTCTGCATCTGAGGCTTTCTGATACCCCTCAGAGCTAGAGCTCTTTGCGGGTTTTGTGATCCTTCTATCTCCTTTAAGTCGTAGCCAGTGTTGCTAACTACGGCCCCCTATAGTTGCCTCTTGCTTGTTCCTTTGTGAAAATGTCCGCTCGCCGCGACCCTGGCGCTTCTGCTGCCGCTGCAGTTACCTCTGGCCCAGCCTTCTCACCAGGTTGTCTTGTGCCTCGTGAGTACGAGCTTGTATATGTCTTGCTCTGGCGTTGCTCCGGAGGGTAATGCCCCAGCTGATTACTGTTGCGACGGACGCCGCTAGTGTTGGCACAGCTAACCCAGTCTCTTCGTGTAGTGGGACGTGGAAGGTAATAGTGACAGCAATGGACACGAGACCAGTGCACCAACCTACCTCTTCCAGAGCATCGAACGCGATCTCAGCCGGATGCCCCATCGTCAAATGCTTGACTTCCTCGTGCAGTACTTTGTGTATGAGCTGAATTGGTATGCGTTTTCCCACCTGTCAATGGTCCGAGCGAGGATCCGCTAACCGAGCCTGGCATCAGGATGAAGCAGGTTATCCATGCCCCCAGCTTCCTGGCAGAGTATCAGCAATGGTGGACCAAAGACCAACCGTTTACAGTTCCCGACATCGAGTTTGCCGTTCTGATCCTCCGCGTCAGCTCGTACGCGGCGCAGTTTCTCCCGGCTCCTTCCCATACTGTGGGCAGTATTGGCGGGCTCTCCCTCACTGACATCCGCAACACCTGCAGCGAGGTGGGCGACAGTCTCGCTCAAGCCTGCCTGTCTCTTGATTGGAAAGGGTCGCTAGTGCGCGTTCAGCACACTCTCTTCCTCGCCCTCAAATTCTCGTGCGAGTGCCGAACCGACCGATTCTGGGAGGGCATTGCCTCGTCCAGTCGCGCAGCCCAGAAGGCAGGCATCCACGCTGATGCTCCTCTTCCCGGGGCGGATGGCGCGCAGAACTTGGAAAAGGAGATGGAGCGGAGGACGCTCTGCAGTCTCTACGTCCTTGACAGCCATCTATCCCGACAGCTGGATCGGATCCCGTTTCTGCCCGACGATCTGGTGGCAGAGACCCTTCCCCGGTTGCGTCTCGTGCCAGACATCGGCAGCGACGCCAGCGCACCGGATATCTTCACCGAGCGCCTTATGCAAGTGCAGCTGGGTCGATTCTGGCGCAGCTTCGGACCGCGACGAAATGTCGGGTACGACCCCATGCAGGGCGAACAACGATACGAGAAGTTCTGCGCCGAATATCTGCCGACGCTATCCCCTGCGTTTGCGCTGGAGCCGGACACCCAGTGGGACGCGCGTCTACCCAAGCTGCCGATGCAGCGACAGCTCCTGCACATTGCCATCTTCGATTCCATCTGTTGGAACTTCCGTCCGCTGCTGCTGCTCAAACCCGCCCAGATTGCCCGCCTCGTCCCGTACAAACAGGTGTTGCTGCAGTCGCAGAAGAAGCGGCTGGCCCTGGCAGCCCTCGTGGAGCTGGAGGCCGTCACGACACTGCACGCCATGTTCGGCGGCTCCCATACGCGCTTTGCCGCCATCATCTTCAACACCTTTGAGGCCGCCGTGCTCCTGCTCGGTCTCTGCGGCCACAGGGACTTCCCCTTCGACCAAGGCGATGAGGATACCGTGATTCTGGGCGTGAAGGCAGGACGGTTGACGCGCGGCAAGGCGCTCCAAGCGGCGGAGCAGGCACTCCGTCGGCTGCAGATGCTCGCCGAGGTCAGCGAGATGGCCGCGACCGGAGCGCATGTGGTGACTCAGCTCTTTATCAAGGCCACACAAGAACAGGCGTCCGAGTCGGTGACACCGATGGGTTCCAGTGGCAGCTCGTCTTGGCCGGGCCCGTTGCTGAACCTGCTGGGGCTGGACGATGACGCCGGAAACTGGGCATCCGCGGAAACTGCGAATCCTAGTTGGATGTCGGAGTCAATTCCTAAGATTGCGCAGGACGACTCGTATTCGGTATTGCAGGAGTCACGGCTGGGCTTTGCGGCGCCCTGGGCCGTTGGTGATCCCTTGTAGCCTTCCGTAATATATGGTGTATAGACGGGTCAGGACGGTTGTCGCCAGATGTGTTCTTGTCTGGCACTTCTCGAACGGCTGATATGATTCCATGTGGCTTATAGTAGATGGTTCACTCCTGAGTCACTCCATACTCGTCAACAGTCTAGCGCCATATGATAGGAATAGTTCACGACAATATCTAGCACACCGATATAAGACCCGCAATCTCACCGGCTTCTCCGAACCAGCGGGTCGAGCCGTTTTATACCTCCATTAGCTCCAGGTCGAGGTTTTCCGACGTTCATCGGCCGATAGGCATCGGACGAAGCCGCCACGTATAGAGGAAGAAATGAACAAGGGGGCCTGTACAGTCCAGGGCCGGGGACTCTCCATCAGCTATCGTAGCTGTGAACAAACTGCCATGATGCATACGAGTAGACGACCAATGTAGCCTCGCCGACCCTGACGAATAGCCCACCCTTGTCTTGCTACCTGCGATATCCTTCCAGTACTATTTAGTCCCGATAGGCCGTCATGGTCTCGTCGATATGATTGATTGCCTTTGATCCGAGCGTGCACTCGCCTGCATAGAAGAACCATGACTGCAACGCATTCCACGATGTATCTAGCGGAGATACCTGCGCAGCAATCGCTAATCAGCCGGGATCTTGCTATCAGATTTCTACAAATGGAATCCCGGCGTCAGAATCGGCTGCTCCTCTCTCTGGCTAGGGTACTACGTCTGCACTGGTGTAATCGGCTCCACATCACCACACCTCCTCCCGCAACAACAACCCCAGAACGGTTGCTCATCTCTCTGGCTTGAATACTACGTCTGACGGGGGTTATCGGATACAAGCTACAACTACCGCAGGAAACGGGATAAGTACGCCCACGCCGACTCAGGCAGGTATGGTGGGAAACTGTAACAAGTTCCATGATGTGGGAAGTGTGGATACTTGTGATTCTATTGCGAATGGGACGGAGATTTCTGTGGCCCAGTTTGAGAAGTGGAATCCCGGGGTTGGGAGTGGATGTACTTTGGTTGGGGTATTATGTTTGTGATGGGGTTGTTTGATGTACTTCGGTTATTGGGTGGATGTTGTTATGTAGAACCTTCTAGGTAAAGGAGAGACGGGTGTATCCCGCCGTGTTGGGGATTTGGCGGTGTTGTATATAGAGTCGATTTGCCTTAGGGAATGTAGTATACTTGCCCGGTTGTAAGCTGAACGCTGTTTATTGTGGTTTATCTTCGCACTGCACATGAATATAACATGATACAATCCAAGCACTAAAGCAGTGCATCCTGTAGATAATAGCAAGACGACGGATCATATTAACTGTATTTAATCACACACAGTACATTCCTAACAGTATCAAAAAGATACAATCGACGACTAGATAAACTATGGCTCGATATACAGTTATATAATAACGAACTAATCACCAGTAGCACGTTGCTCAACCTTCCACCAAAAAGATATACAGCGTCACAACGCCAAGCTCACACTAGAATTAGTCAAGTTTGCGGGGGACCAGGTCAATATTTCCCCCTCCAATTTATCCGGACAGATAGACACACCCCCAGTGCTTACGCAACATCCCGGACTACTGCCGCAGGAACAGCTAGTGCCTGTGCTAATAAAGTGGGAGAACTTGACACCTTTTTTATCCGTGTAACCTTGGCAGCCACACATACTGTTCACACGGATGATATCAGCATTTATCCTAGAATTAGGGTCGGGGTAGAAGGTTGAGAAAGAGATAGAGCAAACGTAAAGGGAGGTCGTACCTAGCAACCCACCCATACCCCTTATAATCAATATTCTTATAAAACTCATCCAATGACCAAGTTCCAGATGGATCGCAGATAGGCAGATTGAATGTACCTGCCATTCTCCACAACTTGTGGGTATTTAAAAGCACCGCATCTTGAGTCCAGAGCTTATCCACCAAAGCCGCATCCCATACATAAGTACATACCCCTCCACCTGACCCAATGTGATCTGATTGTCTGCGGCTGGGCTGACAATGGGAATATCCTGCTGAGCTAGGAAGACTCCATGGTCAAAGAGTTTCAACATGTCCTCGTGGCCCCTGTCTATGGTATTCTTCCACATGTCAGTGTAATGGGAGCGGAGACTGCCTGCCCAGTCTGAAGCTTCGCTGTTTGATCGTGTCAGCAGTCCAGTCGAGAATTATAAGAGAGAAGTGACAGAATTACGTGCTCAAGTTTTTCTGAGCGTAGTTACCCGGCTGTGACATAGCGTTGAGGCCTTCGGTTACCATACCGCCGAGGAACGCCTCTACTGCCGTCGCAAGTACATTACCAGTAGCTGTTGTTACCACTATAAGCATTGTGCTGATGGCTGTTAAGAATTCGGCCAGAAAAGACTCATATCCGGCGGTGGAGTCCAGGTAAATTCGGACAGCATATTTGAGGCTCGGACAACAAAATTTGCAGGCGTAGCGCCGGCTGCCGTGCAGAGGGCGTGCATCACCTATTCGAGGAGGGAAGTGTGTCAGACAGAAAGGGTAATTATGTTAATAGGGCCTAGGATACTCACACCATTCAGGTTGGTAATTAACACAAGCTTGCAATACTTTCATCCGGAATCCAGTGTTGTTAAGACGCAGTTGAATAGCATGCATTCCCGTGTGTTAATTTAACCACACGTTCCATATGACTTTTCTTTATGCTAGTTACCAGAAATCACATATATTCGGCCCATGCGAAGCTGCATCGGTGTCGGAGAGATTAAGATAAAGCCTGATAGGGTTAAAACATTACAGTAAAACCTCCGATTCGTCGGTCAGAATTTTCCAGTGCTATACGCATCCCGGAGTCGGCCAAGCCACGTTCTAGACACATTCTCTGCATAGGGCGTCCGGATGACATACAGTGTATCCAATTCAATCACGCATATGCTCAGTAAATAAGATGAGATCCAATCTACCACACCACAGTAAACAACTCATACATAGAGGCTAAAAACCTTGTCCCATAATAAACAACACACCCTTGCCTCCTAATTAGCGCATGTCACTAGCTTCTTCGCCGAAACGCCCTTCTTAAGTAGATCCAGTGCCTCCTGAATGCCCTCGAGACCCTTGGTTGGCACGACATCCGGAACTGGCGCAACCTTATAGACACCTGCAGCCAGTGCTTCAGGCAGATATCCAGCAAAGGTGGCCGGGTTTGTCTCATGGTACATAACCGCACTTTCCGAGGCAAATATCATCCTAGCGTCAACGCCGTCGGGGGCCACTCCTTCAGGTACTGGATTCGTAGCGGCCACACGCAGGTTTTTCTTTGATATATGTGCCACCTGGCAGGATGGCGCCACATCACCGGCCGCTTGCAAGACGCCAATGCATTCCCCCTTGTCCAGTCCCGCAACGATCCGGTGGATAATATTGGGATCGTTGTAGTCAAAGACCTGATCGGCACCAAGACCCTTGACATACTCAAAGTTCCGTGTAGAGCATGTGGTAAGAACCTCAAACCCAGCTGCTTTGCAAAGTTGAATCGCATTGCTACCGACGCCCGAGCTGCCACCCCAGATAAGGATGGATTTACCCGTGCTGTTAGCGGGGGTGTTGATCGTAGGGTATGGCAGGCCAAGGTAGTCCTTAGAAAACAGACCTTGGGCAGCCGTCGCAATGCAGAGAGGAAAGACGGAGGCGTCGATAAACGACAGGGAGTCAGGAATCTTGCACGCCATATTATGGTCGAGAATCACATAGTCCTGGAATGCGCCTTGCTCGGGCTTCGCGACGGCAGCACCTAGAGCCAGACCTAGAACACGATCTCCAGGTTGAAATCTGGCCCTCGCCGCAGAGCCGACACTCTTAACGGTGCCGGCGACGTCCTCTCCCATGATAAGTGGATACTTAATAAATGGCAAAGGCACGTCCTGGACCATAGCGTCAGCAGGATTCATAGCCCAGGCGTGAACCTTGACTAAGATCTCGTCATCTGCAATGTTGGATGGAATGGAACCCTCACGGAGGACGCCAGGCACACCTGCCTGCTCCTGCCACAAAGAGCGGTTTAGAGTCGACATATTACGTATTAATATGGTGACTTAATTGGATTCTCTGTGCGTGAAAAGACAGTGAGCCGGATGTGCGTTAAAATAAAAGACAGATTCCAAGGCACGGTCTCGTCCTGGCCCAGTCTGTCCAGCCCTTTTATGTCTGCTAGGCCATGGGCCTATCCCACTCAAATGATAACTTTATCACCGAGCAGGGACATATGTGCTGTAAGTAAACGCTTGTATAATCACAAGCACAAATAGCGCGCCACCCACGTTGTTCTAGCGTAAAGCCAGGGGTTTGGAGGCAGTGGAGGTCGTAGATCGGAGCGTCTCGCACGGCTCAGAAGAGGTCACCAAGCTTCGGAGTTTTCTGGCTCCTGGATGCAGACGGACCTAAGCGGGCTTAAGTAGCGTTACGGCCGGGCTCCCCTTTTCTGGACTTTTTTCGGATTTGTGAGGAGCAGGGAAGCATCAGGAAGCGTCTTACTGTTTAATGGAGAAAAGCTTCTTCCACCCGATATGGATCCTCGAGGGGTATGAATGACCATTCGGACGAAATTAGGCAAGTAAGAGTATGTTCTGCGCTTAGAGAATAGGCTCTTGGAGTCATAATATCCATATCCACTGCCATAATACGATCTTCGATGCGAAGTATCGTGAAAAAATAAAAAAAAAATTACGCAAGCAGGCTAAACATGGTCCAACTGCGATCCCATAGATTCAGATGCTCGCGCACCACTACCCAGGCGCCGGGACCAATGGGGCTAAAAGGGACAATGGGGCCAAAAGGGGCAATAGGAACAATAGGGACAACAGGGGCAACAGGGACCATAGGCCCGAGAAGGCAAACAGGCCCCAGCCCTTTAAATTTAATCTCTATATAGACATATTCTATGGGTGAAATAGATAATTTAATATAGTGTTAAGATAATTCAATATTAGTAGTATAATAAATATAGAACTAGATTAATTTAATTATAGATGGTATCTTCTATTTCCTATTCGATTGTACGATAGCAAGATACTAGTATTATAATAAATATAACAAGTATCTAACTATGCGTAACTTACAAACCGTTGCATTTAGTTGTGCACTTCGAATATCTGTGGGTTTTATTGATAGTTAGTCCTGGTTTCCCTTGGTTGTAGCTGGTTGTCAGTAGTTGTGAGTACAGTGCCTTGTAAAACTGCCTTGCCTACCAAGAAGCCTTGATCATTGCTTAAAAATGTGCCAAGAAAATACTAGTACATATATGGTTAGATATATTTCAATAGTGTAATAAACGTATTGTAGTTTCATTACCTATGAAATATTTAGTTACAAAACTTGGTATTAATACACGTCTTAACCTCTACTAACCTCTAGAACAGACTGGAAGTAGTGTTGGTGTAATGACAATACCGGCGAGCTCATTACGAAATCTTGAAATTTCAACTTTTTTATCGATTTCAATTACATTTCAAGGGGCTTATTTTGATTAGTCATTATATGCGGTGAGAGTATTGCAGCCAATAAGAGCCTATCCAGCCCAGATTCTGCCCAATTCTTTATCTTATCTAAAATGCCTAGTGTCACTGGTAGCAACCATTACCAATATATATATATTGACGGGGAGGATTTTAAACTAGTAATATTATCAACATCAGCATGGCTGAAGATTCTCCTGACAAGATCCATTACACCGAGATCGAGCTTCAGAAGTGCTTTGAAGTAGTAAGGGGCAGCACAAAGGTGACTGTACACCCACGTCCACACGTACGCTTTATTAATTTTGGCTAGGTCCCGCAAGTAAAATGCCTTGGGTGCTTCAAAGTTCGAGCGAAAAACACTACACGCCAGTGCGAGCACGTGAAGAAATGTAGCAGCGCGCAGGCTCTTATGGACCCCGAGAATACTCCTGGAAAGAGACAGAAACCATTAAGCTTCCCTACCTCTAAACCAAGTAGAAGTATTGATCGCTTACTAGCTCAGGTGTGTTTTACAGGAGGCAGGCCCTTTAGCCTTTTCGAGCAACAAGAGATGCAAGATCTTATTCATGCTCTAAATCCCGTATACCAAATCCCATCCCGCCATCGAATCGCTGATGACTTACTGGAGGAATCATATATCGAGATACAAGGGAAAGTTCGGAAGGAGCTACAGAGAAGTCAGTTTCTAAATATCTCTGTAGATGAGACAACAAATATACGTTCTCAACGGGTTATTGCTATGACTATTACAACACCCACAAAATCATGGTTTCTTCATCTACATGACATGGAAGATAAGACGCTTGATGCTGCTACAATTAGTGAATGGATTTTGGAAAGGCTCCATAATATTCTCTTGGAGCTTGATAAAGTTGTTGACTGGAAGAGGATTAATTCCATTTCAACGGATACCTGCTGTGTTATGAAGGCAGTATGGCAAATTTTGTCAGAGAAACCAGAGCTTAAGCATGCCTTTATGATTCCCTGTGACTCTCATGGTCTACAGCTGATTATGAAGGATATTCTTGATCCTAATGCTTCTAAGATCCCTAAAGTAAAAGGGGTTTTTAAATCAGCTCTTGAAGTTGTGGTGTTCTTTCACCAATCTCCTCTTGAATATGCAAGGCTGCAAGCAAAGCAGATTGAGAAATGGGGCCATCGAAAGGCTTTAATTGCAGCAGTTATTACCCGATGGGGTACTCAATATGGCATGCTTACTTCTCTTTATGATTGCCAGGAAGCAGTTTGTGAGTGGGCTCTTATTACTCCTGCTGCTTCTACCATAAAAGGGAAAGAGGTGATTAGAACAACTAAATCTCATGCCTTTTGGTGGGAGCTAAAGGAGTTAATAAAAATCCTTAAGCCTCTGCATATTGCTCAGAAGGAATCTGAGGCCCAAAATTCATCAATCATGGAGGTAACGCAGCGGTGGTTAACCCTCCATGAGACTCTGCGGACGCTTGCTGCTCAGACATCCTTTAAAGATGATTTTTATTCTTATCTAGATGGCACTGGTTGGCAGACTCGAATGCTACGTCAACTAGAGCCACTTCACTGGGTAGCGTATCATCTTGATCCAGCAAGAGTTCCTGGCAAACTTGATGAGAGCGCACGACGCCATATTGAAGGTGCTTTACGACCACTTCAAAGCGAAGATGGAAGATCTACTGCATGGCATGAATTTCTGGCATTCCGGCAAAGAACAGGTGCTTTTTATAATTCCTCTTGTTGGGAAGCAAGAACACCAGCTCTCTTTTGGCTTGAGGCAGTAAGTTAAAGCTATATGCTATTAAGCAAGATACTTACCTATATTAATTTAGGCAGAATTTGCTCCTACTCTTGCTCCTTTTGCTCGCCGTCTGTGTAATACTGTTGCTAATTCTGCTGCAGCTGAGAGAGCATTTTCACAGATGAATCTGCAGCATACAAAGATCCGGAATCGGCTTGAATCTCACCGAGTTGAGAAGCTACTTTATATACAGATTAACAAACGACAATTTCGTGCAGACTCGCCACCTACCGTTACCCAAGAGATGCTTCTTGAGGAGGAAGATCAGGAGATAGAAAGAATACTGCAGCGTAAGCAGGTGCAGGACTATCTATTAGAGGTGCTTGATACTTCAGACTCTGAGGAGGATATTCCACCGGACCCTGTGCCGAACCCAGTACCAAATCCAGCACCAGAACCAGCGTCGAATCCAGCACTTATTGCAGTATTAAGTTCTGCATTAAATTCAGCTTCAACTGCAACAAACCCGGCACTTGTTTCTGCATTAAATTCAAGACTGAATTCCGTGTTAAATTCAGCCTCAAGTCCCCCCCAGCTTTCGAATTCGCATACTGAGACAAAATCTGTACCAAATCCCCTTTTAACATGTCCCAGGCCTTCAGCTTCTATCAGAACGGGCGAAATCCATGGTATTGAAATAAGTAGTGGTACTGGTAGCGGAGTAAAGCGTCAGTCTGAATGGTCTCATGGGGTGGCGGACCATTATCAACAACCTACTCAACAGCAGAGGATCGGAGCTTCTGGTAACAAAGCACATGACCTTTAATATTGCCTATTTTGGATTAGCTTAATTTCAATTTCAATTTCACAGATTTTGATTTCATTTCAGGAGGCCAGATTTCATGAAATTTCAATTTTTGAAATTACATTTTGCCTTCCCTAACTGGAAGCCTCCACGCAAACTAATTAAGCAGCACGTGAGCGCCTAACGGATCTGGCAACCTGTCAACACCCATCTTTGTCGCCTCTCACTTGTCAGAAGTGCCAATTTGGGGAGCTATTCTAACTTGAGTGGGACAGGAATAATTTTCTTGACCGTGGTAAACTGGAATATATGTTTTTGTTGATTATTTTACTCGGCCTGTCAGCACAGTTTCCCCTTACAAAATATGTTATTATTGGGTGCCTTATGTAGGAACTGACATGAGAGGGCACTAATTCTAGGTTGACCAGTGCCGTTTATCATCCTTGGGCAATGTCATACAGCCCTTTCCATATCGATGACGCCTCCCAATTTCAAGCCCCTCAACCATGGGATAGAACTCCGGAATATGCCCCCACTCCTGGTAGCTTTGGTGTTCGCCCACGCCATCTGTGTAGTCCCTCCCAAGACCGACGATCCCACAACGATAGGAATGTCTCGCAGTCACCTGAAATAATCCAACTAGAGTTTATCCCGCTGGCTGTATGGGATAAGGAACGGTCTTATGATAAACAACCACCAGTCTGTATCCATTACCTGATTGAGTGGAAAGTTGCCCTGAACGGCTGATCTGTGACAAGAGTCACAGAGCCTGACTTGGCGATAAAACCAAGAGAGTACTGGCAAGAATATTTGAAAGACAAAATTGAAAAAGTTAAACGTCGGCGAGTTTTTATTAACAAACGTGTTCGGCTAGATAACATTTCTATTGTGGCATTAGTATTACAATACCGATCACAACCTGATCTTCACCAGCAATTTGAGAGTACTGATATTGATTGGACAGTTATAGAGAGACAGCTTCTTAAGTGGAGTGATCTAATTTACAAGGGCAAGAAGCTTAGAATTGATATTTCCATTAGCTATATAAGTGATGACAACAACCCATCTTTTTCTAGTAGAGGAGACAAAAGGAGCGCTACATTAATAACAAAGCAGATGCTTTCTGAGCGAGACTCTTGGATTGATGCTGAAAATATCTCAGGGCAGCCTTCAGCCTGGCGAGACGTCTATAAAAAGATGCGTTGTCCTGGGCCCCCATGTTAAAATAAAGACAGATACTGCTGGCAGGATCCTCACGGAAAAAAGCATTACATACTCAGGACACACCATCTAAAACGCCTTGTCAAGTTCGTAGAAGATGGTCATGATCTTGAATGTCATGATAATGTTCCTAGTGATATTCGAGAACAACTCTTCGCGGAAGAGCGCCAGCGGCTTGAAAGGCAACAAAAGGCAGTAAAGCATCCCTCTATTAAATCAGCATGTCCTCCAATCAACATCAACTTTCTACAGTCACAATCTCCTCAGTTATCTATGCTTGCTACACCAAGTGTTAGTCCAGCGTTATTGCCACACTCAGGTCCAGAGCCCATAGATCCCATCGTTTTTCCAGATCTCCCCCTTGAAGTAGCAGTGGAAGAGTACAGCAGCTGGCAAAAATCGCAAGTGGTTTCTTAGAGATATAAGGACGGCATTGACAAGGCATGTGATATTGTCTTAGAAAATAGTCTTGATCTTAAGCAAATCGCTGGGGATCAGGACCCGGACTTTTTTATTAAACACGGAGTGAAAATCGGCGTTGCCCGTCGCTTTGTCAATGAGATACGCAAGTGGGCCAACTAACAAGAATTGGATAGTTTAAGAATTCAGCCATAAGGTCGGAAACTCTTGTACCCTGTTCAGCTTTATTGGTTATAAATATTTATTATCGTTATTCCTTGTTTTGTTGTTGTACTTTATAGCGGGGAAGTTGACTCTTCTATAATCAGAATTTCAGCTGGTAAAGAGGGGTTTCTATCGGGCCGCTGTTCATATGTGAAACATACACGTCATCACCGTTTGAAAGAGTGGGGTTGTCATTAATATTAGTACTATGTGTGACGGTGCACATGGTCTGTTTGCATTGTTTGTATCTAGTTTTATTTTACTTCTCCGCACCGCCCCCTCACCACCTTTCTTTCTCCTTCCTACGCATGAAATTTTCGTTGAGATAGCACCAATTTCATCAAATTGTTTGGCCGTCACACTATGAATATAGGCATGAACTCCTATTGATAGGAGATCTACTGTTAGTTGGCAATCATACACAGTACAAAGAGTGTAAAGTTTTATCCGAGTCCGGTACAGGGATGCGTTCAGCTGGTACGGAAAAGTTGTTTATCAATAAAATATGCAATCTGCTGTTTCTCCACGTAACAAGCATTAAACTGACCCTGGCGGCCCTGGTCATTATCAATATCCGGTGTAAGGGAGTGTCCTACGAGAGCAGATATACCTGACAGGCCGAGTAGAATAATAAGCAGGGCCATGGTATTACACTACCCAGCCTGCTTAATCAAGAATAACCCTAAAATGCTGCTTTGACATGCTGGTGATAGAAGGATTTGCTGACAACTTGGCAGATCAGCCAGGCTCTCGTTTCAGTAATTTGTCCAGTTTGCATGGAAATTACTGGAATATGGATCCGGCTCGGGCCGACACTGAGCCCGGCTGACGGCACCCATCCAATTGTGGAAGATCACCATGTCAGTGAGCCACTGTAGCTAAACAGAATGTTGGATCGAAGGTTCCACACATCTGAGACAAGTACATAAACAGGAATCCTTCTGTGATTTCGGGAAGGCTATTTATCTAAGTTGTATCCTCTTGTTAAATAGCATAGGTAACAGAGACAGAGGATAATCAAATTTAGACTGCATTTAGCTGAGCTGTGGAATGGTATTTTTTTTATTAACATGATTGGCTGTAACCGGCCTATGGTTAGTCGCCATAGCCCGGTTATTCAGCCGTGCCAACACATCAAGGAGGGGTCGAGTATTTATTACGGGGGAAAAAAGGAGGACATCTCTTATCTTTCTTGCAAAAAGAAAACCATATTAACCAAAACGCTTCATAGTAATTACGAACGATTTCTAAATAATTTGTTACCATCACGATCATGGCGCCTACGATATCATTTTCTAATCCTAATTCTGGAATGCAAACAGGGATTAATAATGGCACAATTAATGCTCAGTTCAGTCTTCATGAAGGTATATTATATAAGGTTTTAAGTTGGGGGAACTTTACTAACCAAGTGCAGACCCTCTGGACAAGCTACCTATTGCGTGTGGAGCCGAGTTGGACTCATATACAGATCAGCATGAAGATGATTGTCTTCCAGGCACTAGAACCGAGCTTCGTGAAGCAATTGCAGAATGGGCTGTTTCGCCACATGGAAAGTGTATATTTTGGTTAAATGGCATGGCAGGAACAGGAAAGTCTACCATCGCCCGAACAGTTGCCAAGACCTTTAAGGAGAAAGGGCAACTAGGCGCGAGCTTCTTCTTTAAAAGGGGCGAAGCAGACCGTGGCAATGCAGAAAGACTAATATCAACTATTACAAGACAGTTGGTAACCAGCCATCGGCATCTAGCACCCCTTGTCTTAAAAGCGATTGAGAATTATCCAAATATTTCGTCAAAATCTCTTAGTGAGCAATTTGACAAACTTCTTCTTCAACCACTGTTAAGCCTTAATCTAAATCAGCCTGCTATCACTGTGATTGTGATCGACGCTTTGGATGAATGCGAACAAGAAAGCGACATTAAAGTTATACTTCAACTTTTACCCCGGATCCAGCAATCTAACTCTATGCAGCTGCGAATATTTCTGACCAGCAGACCTGAACTTGCTATCCGCCTTGGCTTTAAAAAGCACAATAACCATCAGGACTTGGTCCTCCATGAGCTTCCTAAACCAGTGATTGAACGTGATATACGTCTCTTTTTAAAAGATAGACTTTTAAAAATAAAAGACGAGCGATTACTTCCTTCGGACTGGCCTGGAGATACTGTTATAGAAAGTTTGGTTGCAATGGCTGTCCCCTTATTTATCTTTGCTGCCACAGTGTGTCGCTTTGTCGGAGAAGGAAAGCTATCTCCAGAAAGGCGCCTTGCAAAATTTCTCCAATCAAAAGCGGCCACATCTGCATCCCAGATGGAGAAGATATACCTACCTATATTATATCACCTCCTCACTACTGACGACGAGGATGAGTCAAGGGAACTTGTAAAACAGTTCCTAGATATTATTGGGACTATTATTATTCTTGCTACTCCACTCTCGATCAATGCCCTTGGCAGCTTCTTGATACGCCAAAAGAAGATATCAGTAATCTGTTAAGTATGCTACACTCGGTTCTTAGTATACCAGAGGACCTAGATGCGCCAGTCCGCATTCTACATTTATCATTTCGAGATTTCCTTGTTAACACGAAAAGCACCTTCCATGTGGAAGAGGAGAACATGCACAGGGGCATAGCTTTACATTGCCTTCGCATTATAAACACTTGCCTCAAACAAAATCTATGTGGCCTACCAAGTTACGGAATACAGCGTGCAGGTATTACCCGTCAGACTATTAACCGATGCCTCCCGGATGAACTACGATACTCCTGTCGCTACTGGGTAACTCATGTGGAACAAAGCAAGTTACTTACTACTTCTAAGGTTTTTGCTTTCTTAAAAATCCATTTTCTCCATTGGTTGGAAGCAATGAGTCTAATGGGGTTAATCTCAGAGACTATTAGTATTATAAACACTTTGCAGTTAGCTATAGGGGTAAGTGCCTGGGAAATCTACTACTTCTATACACTAAAACAGAAATTTTAGAGTAACACAGCCTCCGACATAGTGGATTTTTTATATGACGCGAAACAATTTATTCTTAAAAACATGCAAATTGCAAATACTGCTCCACTTCAACTTTATTGTTCTGCACTAATATTCTCTCCCAAAAAGTCAATTATTAGAAGAAAATTTGAAAAAGATATTCCTAGGTGGATATGTACGGTACCACGAATGGAAGACTTCTAGGGTGCAGATTTACAAACACTCGAGGGCCATTCAGATTGGGTTTGGTCTGTGGCCTTCTCCCCGGACGGTCAGACAGTGGCCTCAGGCTCCTACGATAAGACTATCAAGCTGTGGGATGCTAAGACCGGCCTGGAACACCAGACACTCAAGGGCCATTCAGATTCGGTTGAGTCTGTAGCCTTCTCCCCGGACGGTCAGACAGTGGCCTCAGGCTCCAACGATAAGACCATCAAGCTGTGGGATGCTAAGACCGGCCTGGAGCTACAGATGCTTAAGGGCCATTTAGATTCGGTTCGGTCTGTGGCCTTCTCCCCGGACGGTCAAACAGTGGCCTCAGGCTCCAATGATAAGACGATCAAGCTGTGGGATGCTAAGACCGGCCTGGAGCACCAGACGCTCAAGGGCCATTCAGGTTCGGTTCTGTCGGTGGCCTTCTCCACGGACGGTCAGACAGTGGCCTCAGGCTCCAATGATAAGACCATTAAGCTGTGGGATGCCAAGACCGGCCTGGAGCACCAGACACTCGAGGGCCATTCAGATTCGGTTCTGTCGGTGGCCTTCTCCGCGGACGGTCAGACAGTGGCCTCAGGCTCCAGTGATAAGACCATTAAGCTGTGGGATGCCAAGACCGGCCTGGAGCGCCGAACGCTCGAGGGCCATTAATTCGGTTCGGTCGTGGCCTTCTCCCCGGACGGTCAGACAGTGGCCTCAGGCTCCTACGATAAGACCATCAAGCTGTGGGATGCCAAGACTGGCCTGGAGCGCCAGACGCTCAAGGGCCATTTATATTCAGTTTGGTCTGTGGCCTTCTCTCCGGACGGTCAGATGGTGGCCTCAGGCTCCGGCGATAAGACCATCAAGTTGTGGGATACCAAGACCGGCCTAGAACGCCAGACGCTCAACGGCCATACAAGCTGGGTTGGGTCGGTGGCCTTCTCCCCGGACGGTCAAACAGTGGCCTCAGGCTCCGGCGATAAGACCATCAAGCTGTGGGATGCCAAGACCGGCCTAGAGCGCCGAACGCTCGAGGGCCATTCAGATTCAGTTGAGTATATGGCCTCAAGTGATAAGTGCAAGGGTGATGATTGCATCCCAACTTCACATACCCGTGTCCCTCAAATATCTCTGGTAAACCACTGGGTGATTGTTGGATGTAAAAAGGCACTGTGGCTCCCTTCTAAGTATCGTCAGACTAGTTGTTCAGCTATTAAAGATGGTATCCTTGCTCTTGGCTGTAGTGATGGGCGGGTCTCTTTTATTGGGTTTTCTGTACCTATAGACTAACTCACTTTTGCCTTTGAAGTACTGTACTCTCTTATTTTCTAATCTCCATTTAAAAAGAGGGTCTGGGATAGCTGAACCTTATATATTTCTCTAAACCATGACAAACGTTCTACTAATTTCTCTCTAGTTTATGATTTGTTAAATTCCTGCTATGTCCTAATGTGCATACAGTACTACCGACCGCCGGTATAGGGTCTACACAAGCTTCATGTAATGTTTCTGTTGCTTAACAATAAATACCATACAAGAAATGTTTCTGGAAGATTATTACTCCTTTCCATTTCAGAAATGAAAGAGAGTGTGTAGTGGCACACCGATATCCATAACATGTGTAGGAGCCCATCAAAACTTTACTTTTCGTTGATTGTCAGGCCAGCATGCAGGAAATGTCCTTTGGCGTGTTTTTCTCTTGCACCTGCCACATCAATGCATCTTGAAAGGAATGTATTAAAGCACTGCGAAGGGTTCCTTTCGTACTCTTCCCAATGCCGCTTAATAAAAGCTTTCAGCTCAGCAAAGAATTCCTCAATTGGATTCAAATCTGGTGAGTATGGCGGTAAATACACCAGTTTAACACCTTTCTCAGCACACATTTTCTCCATCAACTCAGTGCGATGAAAAGACGCATTGTCCATAACAAGAACAGATTTTGGCTCTGGATATGTTCCGCAATGTTGGAGTAGCTGTGCAATAAAGTCCTCAAATACAGCTGCGTCGGTTGAGCCTTGAAAGACCCGAGAGAGTACAATGCCATCCTGTGAGTATGCTGGTAATATCTGATATCGCTGATCACGATGGAATTTCGATATTTGGACCGATGCTATACCAAGAGGCGACCAGCCTGTTCGCCTAAATCCAATCCGTTTATCGCACCCAGATTCATCCACAAAAACTAAGTGATATGATTGAAACTCTGATATCCCGTAACGGTATTCGTCTCGAAGATCAAGGGTTTGCTCCCGTGCCCTTTTCTGAGTTGTTTTCTTGGACCATCCTTTCTTTTTGAGCGCCCTACTTATGCTGCTAGTCGTCACGAGTACATTAAACTCATCCCATAGGAAAACAACCATCTCATCTAAGTATAAGCCGGGCTTCTCAAGAAGATGATCACAAAGGACTTTAAGCATAGATGGCGTGAGCATTTGTCTGCGTCCGACGCGATTAGGCGGTGCCTTGACAGAGCCGAACTGCCGCAGATTGGATCGAATATATTTGACTGTCTGCTTACTGCAGTGTGCGGCCTTCGCTGTTTTTGCTATAGACATACCACTGCTAGTCATATCACATATAAGCTGTTTTACTGATGGTGACAAGTTTGGTGCCATTTTGGCTCTCACAGATGGGCAGTTGACATCAATCGTAGAGAAGGGAAATCGGTCATGGTCTGGGGTTGGAGAGCTGATACATATAATTTACATTGCTTTGGGTAATATATCTGTTCCATATAATACTTGTAATATTACAGAGGCGTCCAATACATGTGACCTTACTATATACGTGCTAGTCTGATCTTGGCATAATTTTAAAACAATGACAGAGTTCTTCGGTAGGCAAGGCAGTTTTGCAAAGCACTGTAGTTGTGGAAGTTTAAACTGGTATGCAGTGGTTGGGAAAGGATTCTTAGCTTATAATTGGACATGTCGTACTTTTGTGGCAACCATTGTACAACCCTTTTAAATGGGATTATAATTACATACCTTTCCCCACAGTCGCCAACCTTTCAACACCGTTACACCAAAAAGGGGGTGGGCATGTAAGTAGTATACTATTTAGCTTGTTATCAACCCCTCATATAACTGTTCTAATTGCTCACCCCAATACTAACCCGCTGAAAGGAGCACTATGGCGCCTCAGCGAGTGCAGCGTGAGGAATCAGCTGTGTTGCAAGGTAATAGCCCTTAAAAAGGGGCTACCGGGTCTGCAATAACGCACGACTTTTTAGTAGATAATAAATTTGCCGAACTCCGGGGCCAGATACGCCGATGAAAGCAGAAACTTAAGAGATTACGCATGGGGAATAAAAGAAGGGTATTATAAAAGCTTATTAGTTAATTATAAGAAATGCATCCAAGAAACCCAAAGTGTAATAATTTTATACCCAGAGTCTAAACCATGTATACCTAACCATGGAATACCTCAAGAAACGGTATCCCAACGTATGCCAGAGGCCATGTATATAACAAAACCACCAGCACCCCTAGTACATGTCTCGGAGTACATGGGAAAGTCTATAAAGGAATACCAGACATTTATTACACGCATGGAGACTATTTTGAATAGAAATGCTACTAATTTGCTAATAATATAATAGAAGTAGTGGAAGGCGCGGCGCACCTATGTGCAGTATTTATCCGCCTATAGAGGCAACACAAGGAGGAAGTTGCTAATAAACATACCTGGGAGGACTTTTGCAAATTTCACTACGCCAATTAAACAACCCTGTTAATATGCGAAGAGACGCGAGCTGATACTACTATAACACCAGACAACAGGATCACTAAAACGTGCGGGAATTTGCGGCGTACCTTAACTAATAGGAGGTTTAGCTCCCAGAAGCATATACAGAAAATTATCGAAAGGATCACCTCCGAACTAAGGCCAAGCAAGACCTGCGATATGAAGCGCTTAAATACCCTAGCAAACCTAAGATATATAAAGGCTATATCACACAGCTTTAACTAATTAAAGATTCCATACCGGGTCGGCGCAAGGAAATATTGCAAGTGAAGAACAAGAGAAGCCAACAGTTATAGTATTGTTGTAGTCTCAGTGTAATCAACTTGCTTCCCTACTTCGATGACCCACCAAGGTTGAAATAATGGAACAGAATTTTGATCTAAGCCAGGAGAAAACATTTCAACATGCGGTATTTATATTGTTACCTATACTTGTGCGAATACAGCTCATATCCTTGTAATATCCTAGAGAATTGTTTTATATTTAGGATCATTAGTTATTTAGATTGAAGGACTCAGAGCACATTCAATTTGCGACATACGTATACGAATGAGTTGTTAATACATATATAAGCAGCTATGGACAGGTATTGGTGTCCCACTAGACTCCCACGGACTACCAGCAAATTCTGCCCACCGCTCTCGCATAGGAGAACAGATGAAGTGGTAGCAATACGACGACACGCCAAATATCTTCATCGAAGCAAAAGACCGAGCAAAAAACTACGGACGCCAAGACCGTTGCCTTTCTCGTTCTAGTAGGTGAGCAGTGCCGCCCTGAAGTCGCGCGACCGGGGGTGAGTGGGTGAGTGGTGGGGGTGAGTGGGTGAGCGCTAGGGGTGACCGTCGCGCGACTGGGTGATCAGCCAAGCCGCCGTCGATTCCTTCTTGTTTCAACTAGTTTCAGAGTCCCCACATAACTGCAAATATAGATATTTCATTGGTTTATAGATAACAGGGTTCTTATTGGTCAGTTATAATCAGCCGATTCCTCTCGCTGTTTTAAAGGCCCCCCAATCACGTGAACAATGCAAAAGGCATCATTCATTGTTGTTGCTGGGACCATCCCAATCCACAATCGAGAGGGTCATTCCTTGATTATTGTACTGCTCCGATGAATGCACAGGCGGGTTTACTAAATTTTATTTGCTCCTTATAGAGTAAGCTAACAATTCAATACAGAGAAGGGAATTTTTTTCTGATGAATAATGATGAACAAAAATAAGGCCCAAGTATCATATTCACTTCAGATGGAGAAGATTCATTGAGATTATTCACGACGGGCAACAGACAAACAGAACATCTAATTCTCGACAGTCTTATAGGCCGTGTCTCGTGTGTTGCTGGCAGAGTCACCGTTTGCTGGAAAACCACTACAGGGAGCCCGTCTTGTCCCGGGCTTTCCACGGGTGGGCTCTTATAAGAGCCGCGTGAACTTCCTCCACAGATAATCGGTCCGGCAGCGGTACTCTCGGCAGTCTGGACTCTCAAGCCGTTCTAGATGAATCTCTGGCAGGGGTGGAAAGAACGTTGATAAGAGAAGGTCTGCGGCGTCCTGTTCGACCAGCTTGTCGCTCGTTCTCAACGCGGGGACTGCGTTTCTGCTTGACCACCGTCATCCAGGTACCTGGAGGCTTTCCAGATGTTTTCCACTTTCTCCAGAAATTCCTTCCAATGCTTCCGCTTCTGTTCCCGGATGCTCGAGTGATATCTTTGCCGCAGTGTTCTTGCAGTTTCCTCTAGCTCTAGTTAAGGGTAGCCGTAGCGACGGGCTCTGACGCTTTGGTTCCTAGCACGATTGTACTTATTCCGAATGTTCTTGTGGGGCATGTAAATAAGCTTAGTGACCGGGGAATCCCACCAACTCCCCAAATGGTGAAAAATATTGCGGAGGAGTTGGCAAAAACCGAGCTAAGTTGCCGGTGGGTGTCCCGGTTCTGTAAGTGCACCAGTCCCGGCTTTCCAGTGTGTGCCTACGCACCATAGATCATCAGCGAAAGCTTGCTGACAATTCGAGGTATTTCTATTACTTCTTTAATCTAGTAAGATGTGATTGAAATTTTCATGCGGTGTTGTACCCCGTAGCACTGACCCGTTTCTTGGTTGTTGCCACTCCACTCGAAAGAACTTCACTTGTAGTATCCTCTTGGAGTCCGAAAACTTTCCGCAGAGATCGGAAAACACCCATTCAACTCCATCCTCAAAGACAATGAAGATGACCCAGTTTAAACTGCCACTCTTTGGGTGTTGAGATTCGTCACAAGTACAAGTCTACTGGCGAATATTTTGTGCGATTGACAAAAGCGCTGCAACGTCAAATGACGCATGGATAAATATATTCACTTTTTGTAGCTTATTGGTCATTGCAACAAATGGGCCTTGAGGTGCGCGTGTTTGGTTGCAGCAATGGAGAATTACATAAAACAGGAAACGGAGAGAAAAAGAGCTTGTGCTAGTGGTAAAAGGATTATTCCTCTCTATTTTCCTTCTCATTCTTCCCATCCTTCTACAGCCACTAGACGTGAGCCGTCACGATCAAAGAACCTTTATGGCCAAAAGATTGCAGAGATGATACGGAAAGGAATCCACTCTATTAGAAAACCAGGCTTGCATTCACTACAGTTGCCATGATTCTTACAGCAACTTGTAGATCCCTGCAGGTGATCCGAGATACTGTCTTCACCACCTACTAATCTCTCAGCAAATCCCAAAAATCCGCGTCGGGGTACTAAAGAGCACTATAAGGAGTTGCTAGCCTTGTCTTCTACACTGAACTCTCTCAATTTACATAAGGCCTATATTCGAAGGCGGTTTTCTCGGGCACGCAGATTGACCTGGTCCTATTCACAAAGAAGAAACTCACATCCTTCTGCCACTGGAGCCTTGCGCTGGATACCTAAATGGACCTGGAGTCGTTGGCTGAGAGCCAGCCTTGTCGATCAATCCTTCGCCGGTTTTTGGATCCTTTCTTGTGATGGAAAACTCTGGGCGGGCGTATTCGGACTGCCCACCGAGCGCCAACTCCCGTAAAGCACGTCCTATTAGCGGGACAAACTTCATGCCCCAGCCAGCGGTGAACAAGACCACGGACTTAGCGGCACCGCCCTTTAGGTGCTCCTCAGGAATGAAGTCCATTACAAACATGTTGTCTGCGCACTAAAGTCAGCAAACCAGTTATCTACATGCTCTGTCTCCGTCAATGGATGTACCGAAAACATTTGTTTGCAAACAGGATAAAGTGAATGCAGGAACCACTGAATCCACTCCAGCGATATTTTTTTGGATGTAACTTTGAGTGTTTGCAATATCGGAGGGATTGACAACGTTCGTCTCCCGCTCATCGGGATCTGAAATCCGACGAGTGGCAGCGTCAACTGCAATCCGTGCAACGTTTGGTGGGCCCCAGGGAAGCGCCGGAAACCCATAGAAGAGCTGGGAGCGTCCCCCAATGTCGTCTTGGAACTGAAACCACATGCCTAGACGCAGCATTTTAGCCACCTTAAATATCAACACAAAGTTGGAACTATGCCTGGTAGAGCATACTGGGAAATATCCTTCCTCGTGGGCCAGCATTGACACTGAAGTAGCTCGCCACCATCTCCCAGATATCGAGTCTCAGCTGGATGTCGAAGCTAGGGCGGATGACATGATTCACATATGCCCCAGAAGTGATAATGAGCTTTTGAACATGATACACCACCGGGCGAGAAACGGTGACCGACCAACCCTCGCTGTCCGGCTCCAGCTTCGTTACCTTGGTGTACTGTTGTAGCTTGGCCCCATAATCCTGCGCAAGGCGATAGAGAGTTCTCACTAGGAGGGGGACGTTGATTATCCCGTTGTCGGGAGCGAAGATCCCTATGTAATTGTCGGGCAGGTTGCGGAATGGGTAAGTTCGTTCAATATCATCTCTGCTAACTGGATCAAGACAGTTAGGGGCAGGAGAATCAATTTTTGCGAAACCTCTCTCCCCCGCAAAAAGTCAAATAAATAAAAATAATAGAGAAAGACACTAACGTTTTTTATAGCTCATATTCAGTCGATCCAGGTTCTTCACTGGCCCCATCAGAGTGCCTGTTGTGAGACATTAGCTATAAGACAAAGTAAAATAAACTAAAATAAAATAAACAGGGACATCGGTGGAGGGAAAACCTTCTGGGCCACCCTCGCCATAATTTGGATCACCGAAGTTCAACAGCCCGGTCATAAGGCGGAGGTTATCGTCTCCAGCGTCGGACTCCAGCTCATCCCAAAGTGACATAGCCGCGTACGCTAGGTCGGCCATGTAATCTTCTGTATACATGGTCCTGAACATACGCGCAAGGTCGTTGGAGCTGCCAGCCTAGTATTCGACGTCAGAGGCCCCCCCTCCCGACCTTGCTTAGATGAAGGGAAGGACGAAGATACCTGATTGAAAAAATTACTCTGTTCCAGCACAACAACCGAACGACCGGACTTCGCTACTTCGTAGGCCGCACACAGCCCAATAGGGCCACCTCCGATAACAGCCACATCGTAGGTTTCCCGTGAAGACATGCTAACGATGACTATGCTGCACAAGTGAACAAACTTCTCATTTTCTCTATATTAGAACAGAAGACTCAGTCTCACTTTCCTCTCGACCGTACCATGGGCGGCATTTATGAGGGACAATCGGTTAAAATCCTACAACTGGTCAACCAGTTCAGGGATCAACGTCCGATAACTTGTTTTTTTCATGTGAAAATAATCTGACGTGGCAATATTGGGCGTATTGGGGGGAGACGAAACATTCCCCTCATTTTCCTGTGCAAATATACAAAAGGTTACTATTTTCTGCATGGGTTAGTTGCATTACAGGCTACATCACCAGACGGGTTTCATTCCAGCGATCCCGCTCTTGCGGCTTGCAGCAGTAGGGCCCAGAGCATAGACGAATAGCAGGCGTCCTTGCTCTCGACGGCCGAAGCTCCTCTTGGACATAGTTTTGCTTTCCGGACACTGACCACTTGGAAAAGAGATCTCAGAGCTCCGCATATACCCAGGTAATTCAAGCTGGAGAACGCCGGAGCACTTCTATTCTTTGTTGGAGATATTACTACACTGCCAGCAGCTGACCCACTGAAGGCTTACATAACTAGTGAAGGGCCGATCGATATCTTTGTTCACAACAGCGAACGAACTTCCCGCCTCAACTTAGACTTCGAGTCTCAATGGTAGGTATGTGTTGCTTGTGTGCTGACCATGGAAGGCCCAAAGGTGTTCAAGAAGAGCTGTGGGCTGAGAGGTAAGGACCCCACTAAAGCGCAGCTAGCTAGCCCAAAAAGCCAAAGCCTTGGATAAAGAATGTTCAGCCAGCCAGCCTCTACCTGCAAGCTACGTAAGCTTCGTAGAAGGAGGGGATGCCAGCCGTGTTCCAGCTTCCCTTCTCTGTCAGCCGCAGTTAGATCACACTGAACAATAGTTGTGCGCATGCCGGCAGCGTGCAACGTCATCATCACAGGCCAGCTGGAGATAGCTTCTCTAAGCCATGACCGTTCGTAATTGGTCGAGACAAGTCACCCAACTGCAAACCGCTTGAAAAGGCAACACGGCCGTGTTCACAAGAGTGACCCGGCATGGCGGCGACGAGCAATTTTTGCGGCCTACAAGACTATAAATGGCATCTCGCATCCAGGTTATCTGCTTTTGCGTTCTATCTATCGAGATCACGGAGCCATTCCTTCCATAGTTGTTTCTGCCTAGTGCTGTCTGCTAGAAACAGGACTCTTACATTTCAAGATGACCGACTATCGGAGTCAGTGGGCCAGGCGGGTCATTCGTGAGAAGCTCTTTCAGGAGCTCACCCTGTTAAGTTCGAGACCTCCCTCTGGTAACGCGCCCAGGGTGCCTATTGTTGGCATGATCCCCCCACCTGAGTCCCCTCTTGATCTTCCACCGATCGAAAGCCTTCATAAGGGTGCTAACGGTGCACCCTCCACCCCTGAACTGCCCGAGGACTTTAAAGTATGCATCATTGGAGCAGGCATTGCGGGCCTCTATATTGCCCTGATATTAGACAAACTTCAGATTCCTCATCTATCCTATAAGATTCTAGAAGCCAGCGACAGAGTTGGCGGCCGAGTGTACACCCACAACTTTTCACGCACCGCGCATGATTACTATGATATTGGGGCGATGAGATATCCCGATATTCCCATCATGCGTCGGACTTTCGATCTTTTCAAAATGATGAATATTAGCACGATACCGTATTACCTGCAGGGAAAGAATTGCCCCCAGAGATTCAACGACCGCACGGTTCTGCCAACAGCAGTGACGGAGACTGACCCTTTCCATGTGAGCGTTGCAAAGGGGGGGAGCGTCCCCAATGATGTGGTGGATACGTGGAGCTCCATCCTCGAGGCATCCTTTAGGCCGTATAAAGATGAAATGAAAAAGAACTTTGAGGATGGCTTCGCGATGCTCATGGAAGTAGACAATTACAGCACACGGGAGTACTTGAAACGTCCGGTAAAGCCGGGTGAGATCGGTGGATATGACTTTTACTCGATTCAATGGATGGAGACGCAGAATACTTCGACAGGCTTGTTTGATCAGGCGTTTTCGGAAAGTGTCATGGATTCTTTCGACTTTGATTATGGTCCCAACGTCCAGTGGCATTGCATCGAAGGAGGTACAGAGATCCTGACGAAAGCCATGCAAGCTGAGATTGACAAAAAACCCGAACCACCAATTCAGAAGAATACCCGTGTCACAGGGATTGGGATTGATCGGAGCAAAGAGGGAACAGACAACAACATTATTGTCCACTGCGCTGAGGGCGAGCCTCAGCCCTACGCAACTGTCTTCAACACCACCAGTCTCGGATGTCTGCAACGCATGGACCTGACAGAACTGGAATTACATCCCACCCAAAAAGATGCAATTAGATGTCTCCACTACGACCACTCGGTGAAGGTGGCAATCAAGTTCAGGCATCCCTGGTGGCGAACAAAGTGTGGGATTGTAGAAGGTGGCGTCGCCTCGACTGATCTACCATTACGCACCTGCGTCTACCCATCCTACAACATCCATGACTCGGAGGACGAGCCGGCAGTCCTTCTTGTGTCATATACCTGGGCTCAAGATGCAACCCGCGTGGCATCTCTCGTCAAAAATGAGGCCCATCCACAGCCTGATCCAGACTGTGCGCTGATGCAAGTCATATTGTATAACCTTTGGCTGCTCCACTGCAACAATATCAAGAGCGTGGAAGATATTAAGGAAGAATACATGGAGCATCATGCCTACTCCTGGAGCGATGACCCTGATATGGCCGGCGCCTTTGCGTTATATGGCCCAGGCCAATTCAGCAACTTTTACGCATATTTGACTCGGCCGGCGGCAGATAGCAAATTTCACATAGTCGGCGAGGCCTCCAGTACCCATCATGCTTGGATTGTCGGTGCACTGGATAGTGCGTATGCAGCAGTTCACCGATTTTTACTTCGATTCAAGCAGCATGACTATATAACAAAACTAGAAAAAATGTTTAATACCGTTGACGAATTGGAACCCGGCCTGCATGGAACGGAAGATTGGCAAGTTGTCCTGGGAATGCTAAGGAAGGGGCAACATGTCACCGTCTAAGAACTTTGTCTTGGTCTTTTTTTTTTTTTTTTTTTTTTTGGGTAGTTCGACACTATGAGCGTATTCTTGTCAATAAGCTGACTTACGGTCGTTGGCGAATCCACACTGACGATGCCGTGTTTTTAATTGCTTCAACTACATTGATCTATTTTTTAACTGTCAATGTGTCTTTCTCGACATTTATCCATTTAAAGGTTTTACTTTAAAAAAGTAAAAGTAACCGTAGGAACCTAGATTGCATGGAAGTCGACGGGTGTAAAAGCGATATAATTTTTGGTTTAATTGCAATACTTCCATTTTTGCAGTCACAATTGCTGAAACAAACAAAGTGAGTGGGAAGGGTACTACATATATCTATATCTTTTTGGAAGTCCCCAACCTATGCTGAGCCCTCTAGTATATAGAAAGAAGAATGTAAAAGATGCTTGAGTTTCCTATTATAGAGTCGCCGGTTATCGCCTTATATACATCTCTTTGCATATATGGCGCAGGCGATCGATGTGATATGAAAGGCCTTTAATTCCTTGACAGCCACAATGCTCGGCAGTTGTCCACTGCAGTCACCAGCAAGGGAGGTGGTTCCGGATCTCCCAAATTTGGTAAATCGGTGGTACTTGGCCCATGGGGATCCCTCCTTGCAGAAGGCAGGCCCTGGCTGCTCATGCGCCTGAATTTCTATCCATTTTACCAAGGTGTACAGGATCGTCACAACGGGAAACAGGACCTATTTTCTAAGGTAAGTGGGAATAGGAGTAGTAGTAGTAGTAGTAGTAGTAGTAGTAGTAGTAGTAGTAGTATTTCCTACGCATCACTTCCCCTGAATTCCACAACACCTTGAAGCCAGCTATAATGTTGGATTCAATAGCCAGGTATACTTCGAAAGGTCATATTATCACCAAGGGAGGGCAAACATCTACGTGGGCACTTTAACTTCAATAGGGTCTTTCCAGACATTCAAACAATCAATGTTTTGCAAGCGCAGATCTAGGAAGTTCGGTACAAATTCGGTGAATGTTATCACCCGTTCTGAGCGATCCGCAATGTATATATTGACACTTCAGTATTCAGCACTTATCCGAAGGCTCTAATCTGGAACTAGTTGCACTTTTTACTTCTGCGCCACACCTGAACAATCCATCTTACCACAACACTGATCAGTCCCATACTTCCAAATGCAGTTGTTTGCATTGGATTTGATGTCACAAGGCACTTCTGTCAGCTCCCAAGGCACGGACATCTGTGGATCTTGAGAGTACATGGTCATGCTAATCATCTCAGCTGGACAAGCAGGTCCAACTCCCTGCTCAACGCCACCTAGACAGTACTTGCCACAGGGCCACTTGGTCAGCGTGAAGTGACCTGCATTGGCGAAGTCGGGTGTTCGCTGGAGGTGTTCGCCATTGACCCCGTTGTTCATCCACCCACCGCCATTAGCGCCGGTGCCGACGTCACCGTGCAAGTCACGATAAAAATTCCATCGGACGGGTTAACCGCCAATCCGGGGATACATGCTTGGTCTTTGCACAGCTGGAGCTTACTCCAGCGGTTGTCGATGCTGTCAGGTGCGGCCCAAAAGTTACCATTTCGGTGGACACCTAGAGTGTATCCTTGTTCACTCTTGAAAGTGTAGCATTTTCCTTTGGTTTCGTAGGGTTAGAGGTCATATAATTAGGTATATTCATTACCGTTGAAACAAGGATAACTTACCAGTTTGCAACCCAGAATCACAGGTCAGCGTCTCACATTCGCCATCTAACCCCTCCACCTGACCATCAGGACAGACACACTTGCCGTTCACCAGTTGCTTTCCATTCTGGCACAACTGCTTGCACAGCTGTCCATCAAAACTGTAGCCAGTTGGACAGCAGCGGAAGCCGACATCTGCTGAACCAGCAAGGTCATGGCCGGCAGCACAGCAGTCAAAAGCCGTGTCTGGACTGCCGACAAGACGCTGTCCAGCCAGGCAGCAGGAAAAGAACTTCTTGTCCGCACTCAGAGTGGCGCGGTGCCAGCTGCAGCGCATCTTTTGGTAATGGTGCAATCAAATGTTGGATCACAATCAGGATCAGTATACTCGATTTGGTTTCCGGTGATTTGCGCATCCTCGCTAACTTTAAAGGTGCGAACATTCCTGTTGAAGGCTTGGCCATGTATGGAAGGCGCCTGAGAAAGGAGGGCTAGGATAGCTAGGGCTGACTTCATACTGTTGGTTTCTTGCTTCTTTAACTTCAAATCTAATGATTGTACTGAGGATAAGGATGAAGGAGGGAGATGTTGCGGTTTATATATTCTTTCCACCTGTATCAAGTCACTAAACCATACTCTCTATAAAGATCAGCTCATTAATTCCAAATCCTAGACAGGCTGCATACCCCTCACTTGGATGTTCAGCCGTCCTCGATTCTCCTGTATGTCTTAGTAGCATCCTGCATATTCTATATCCTAACGCAGATCCTATAACATTCAGCCGGATGCTGCTTGGCGTGTGACAAAGAAGCAATTAAACATGAGGGCCATCATTATGTTTACTGGATAATGCTGTTTTATTTAGCTTCACTCTCTGCAAGCCACCGTATTACAATAGTATCCTGCCACAGTATGCTACTGCGCGTTTCAGCCCTAGACTAAGTAGACGGCTCTATGATCAGCTTCCCATATTACTACTTTTCAGCAAAGAAATCACCGAATTTGTCTTTAATTTAGTGTAGTAGTGCATGAAAGCTGCGGAGCAGCAGTGTTTTGATTTTGTTTTACCTAATCTTGTCTTAGGTTTGCTCAGGCGTCTGCAAAACCCTTTCTCCAGACAGAAGGGACTGAGCGGGAACTTTCAATATAATTTACTGGTATCAAAGCGGACTTCGCGCAAGGATATTTCTCCAACCTATTAGCCAAAAAACCAAATTAAATGTATATTAATTTTGCCCCCGATAATACCGAACAACCCTGCTTGTGAGAGTATGCAATGTAACAATACAGACTGCTTCGCACACTACGTATTACGCAACCATGCTGCTCATTGCTTCTCTACATCCTTGACTCCTGCATCCAGATTACTTTCGGGGCGCTACTTATTTGATCTTTTTTTTTTTTGGATATTAATTGTCTACGTAGATGCATATGTAGCTCAGCCCCCTGCATTACGCTTGCAGTATGGTTGTGCTATTAAGTTCAACCTGTGTTTGCTTGGCAATCCCTCTATAGGAAGAAATTCTGACTACAAATGTTGAACAGAGCTTTGGCGAGACAATGTATGGGTGAATTATTTACGAGCTCCGCGACCCGTTTTCGTCCCAGCTAGCGAAGCCCCAAGTCTGTCCGCACTACCGAGTCTGTCCGTACCATCCATCGAGTCTGACTCTGTCCGCGCTACTGAGTCTGTTCATACTACTGAGTCTGTCCTCACTACAGAGTCTCTTCGCACTACTGGGTATAAGGAATGCGCTTGTAGTTTTTCACTTTTAAATTCCTTTTCCGCGTCTTGCTCTTCGGAATATGAATGGACGGTGGACTGAGGCGATGGTCAACATCATCGAACTTGTCCCGACAGTTTTCACAATGCCCTGGCTTAGGATCTCTTCTCTTCTCCTTTTTCTTCTGGCTGCTGGATTTTTTAGTGCTCGGCCGAGATTTGGTGTTATCGTTGCCTTCTGACTGAGTAGACATCGTTCCTGGACTGGCCGAGAGAGTTGATAGTGGTGAGGTGCAGTAAGCGTTTTGCCCACTATTTCAAAGCTCTTTGTGTATATCTAGTCATTAGATAGCAAGGCATTTCGCCCCTTTTACACATGCAGTCACTTCCAGAAATCAAGATCTTAAGTTAAAGACACTGCACGCCAGAGGAAGTAGAAGCTCTTATGGATCCAGATATAGCTGTGGAAGAGACAGAAATTGCTAATTTTCTACTTCGTAACCAACTAGGAGTATTAAAAAGCTAATTTCTGTGACTGAGTTTAAGTAGGGAGTTTTCCCGGTGTAGCGAATCTAGTAGATCAGAGGAATTGGCATCAGAATAGAGGAAATAAGTAAGTTGGATTGAATGAGCGACTTAGTTATCACACAGAATAACTAGATACATGCACATATATATAGCCAAGTGAACCCCGCACTAATAACCGAGTTATCCTGCACTGAGGTCCGAGCCATATTCATATCACCCGGAAAACCGATATGCCACCAAATCACCTAGTACAGTTTCCCGTTCTTCCACAGTCTTATCATTCACGGCAAGAACAGCCAAGATAGTTATTAGTGCAACGACCATTGCGACCATCACAGCCGCTTTCATTGCAAGGGCCAACATCGGAGCCACAGCCATACCCACATTGACATCCTAGGTATGGACCCTTAGTAGAGTAGGAAATAGTTAGCCAAGTCGAGTCTTATTCAGACATAAGGGTACGACTGAGGCCTTACAGAAGTGCAAGTCATACGATCTGGACTAAGTTCCCATGGCAGTTATTATCATAGCAGTTGCCGTTCGGATAGCCACAGTTATTATTCGCAGCGTCAGTAGCTGGATCGGGAGAGGGGTGTGAAGCCGCCCATGATGCGAGGCTGATCATAAGGTGAAGCGCATTGTTTTAAGTGCTTGAATATAGATTTATAGTAATTGTTCAAGCTTGTTAGGAGGAAGAGAGTGTTTCTGAAGTTGTGTGATTAGTAGTTTTGAGGGAGGTTTAGCAGCTTTATTTATAGATTTTTTTAACTGTTCTCTATGTTAGTCTTGTTTTAATTAATTTAGCTGTGATTCCAGCTATGCAATAATAGTCACATTCATATGCCTTCCAAAGCAGTGCATCTAAGATTCTCTGTAGCTGAGCTGAGCTGCAGGGCGCACACCCCACTGTTTAGGTTATGACAATCAATGCGCTATGAGCTAAGAAAAAATCCTCATAGGCATCCAAATTCGAAGAAATTGCATGGTAGGGATTGTTGACCATGCTGTAAGACTCAATTTACGTATGTGTTTTTCCTTAATTGGTTAGTAACTGCGCAACTAATGGTATTTTACATATCGCAACCTGAATATCAGCTGGATATAGTCACTGTATCTACCGACGCTGAGCATTGCCAGTCAGGAAACTGTAAATGCAGGCTCCTCCACAGCAATTACGGCCTTCAACCTTCAGCCTGGATGCAGCCGGTCACTAATTTTGCACAACTAAACCAGCAGGAACAAAGAGGTGAAGGTATACTCTGTTCCGTAATCACTGCCCATTGCCAACAAGCAAGATTTTGATATGTCGTCCAGACCGAGTGCTGTGTTAGCCTTTTTAGCAACAAATGCCTCCTATCAAAATAGATAGTATACACAATTCTCTACCTTCGAGGCGACGGAAGACCCTTAATAGGATCCGGAGGCTCCCTAAATCGCCTTCCTAGAATGTAAAATTACTGCAGTAAGGATAATTTTCATATTCGTTCTCCCATCGCAGCTCAGATGCCCTGGTCGAAAAGAAGGCAAATTCAGCCACCAGCTTTGGAAAACTGCATTTTACATGCATTAAATCTATATAGTTATGCAGGCTGTGCATTAGCCGAACATCTATTTAAGATAAGGGGATCTGAAAGTAGAAGAGTGACCTTGCTTGTAACCCATATGTTAGATGTAGTCTGGCAATCCAGTACACAAACTTGCGGACAAACACGCAAATGTCCAGCTTTTACGTTAAAAAATGACATAAAAAGTGATAATTAATGCTGGGGTACTGCGGCTGAAATGCAGTAGGATAATCGTAGCAAGCATACTAGGACATCGCTACTGACAACTCATAAATTGCTTACCATTATTGTTGCCTATACCTGGTCGATCAGCCGGTTTCTATTTGCCAGCGTCGTTTACCAACTGCGCTACATGCCGGATCAACATGGTAGGTGTGGATCATGCGGTAACAGTGAGAGGTCATGACTTACAAGGTGATTAAGTAGGCATCTGTCGATATAAATTACCTCTATTCCGAAGATTACTGTAAAGGGCTAGAGCCCGTTTGACCTCTCGGGCCAATGTCCCTATTATCCCTGTTGTCCCTACTGTCCCCGTTGTCCCTATTGTCCCTATTGTCCCTACTGTCCCTACTGGCCCTGTTGGCCCCTTTGGCCCATTGGCCCTCGATCCATATCATGTGACTTCCCACGTTGTTTGTTTACCGCCCATTTTCCTCTTTCTTTCTTCCCTTCTTCAACGATTCCTTTTTGTACATAGCCTATCTTATAGGTTCTACGGGTTCAGCCCCTGACAATACGTCTATATTTATTGCTCTTCAACGTTGATGTTCGCATGTCGAAAGTGGCCTTGTGCACTCTCTTCTCTAGACCCCACAACTTCCAGGCTCCATTCAAGGATATCTCTGAAATTTTGACGTCTGTGTTTTGCCAATTTCGTCTCACAAATGCTTTGAACTCTGAAAAGAATTCCTCGATCGGGTTAAGACCAGGCGAGTATGGTGGTAGATACAACAGCTTGACAGCGACATTTGAGCACAGCTGTTGTACCCGGTCAGTATGGTGAAAAGATGCGTTGTCCATAATAAGAACAGACTTTGGCTCTGACCATCGACCACAAATGGTGAAGAAGTTGTTCAACAAAATCCTCGAATATGTTCGCATCAGTCGATCCTTGGAAGACTCGCGACATCAAAAAGCCATCCTGGCAATACACGGGAAGAATCTGGTATCGTTGACCCCGCTGGAAAGGGGAAACCTGGACAGGTGCCACTCCGAGTGGAGACCATCCTGTCCTCCTGAAGGCAGCCTGTTTGTCATAGCCCGATTCATCTACATAGACTAGGTGATACGAGCGGAAATTTGATAGTTGGTACAGATAGTGATCTCGCAGACCCGCGTTTATTTCTTGTGCTACCTTTCGAGCCACTTTCTTTGTCCAACCTTGTGATCTAAGGGCGCGCTGAAGGTGTACGTCGATACGAGCACATCGAATTTATCGTACAGGAACTCTGCCATCTGTCCAGGTATAGATCCGGTTTCTCTCGCAAATGGTCGCAGAGTGCTTCGAGCATGATGGGCGTAATGATAGGAGGACGGCCGCCAGGGATCTAGGGTGCTTGGACATCGCCAAACATTCGGAGATTCGCACTGATGGTTATGATTGAACGTTTAGTGCAGCCAGCCGCTTCCGCCATATGAGAAGTAGTCAGCGACTTGCTGCTGATCATATCACGGATCATTACAAGCTGGGATGGTGCAAGTCGTGGCGCCATGATGGTCGTGTCGCGCTCTTAATTAAGTTGGTGAGGTTGGCCAAGGACACAGGGCACTGAGATGGGTCTGGGTCGGTTCGGGCCGACAGTAGAACCGACTACCAGTGCATGCTCGACCAGTCATCATAGTTTGCTATGAAACTGCATGATTAGTTACATTACCCCGCTTCAGCTCGTCAGAAGATGCCCAGCTAATGTTACAGACCCGAAGTCTTACACCTGGGTCGCCATGGTACATATCTGTGTGGAAATATAATTTGACGCTGTGTCCTTCCAAATGGATGGTATATCCTCAGCGGCGAGCGTCATCGCCGTTATTCAACTGACGGGAAGCCTCGTGAAGCTTTGCGGGGGGTACATTCAGGAGGTGAACAATGCACGAAATGATATTCTAACTGTACAACAGGCGATTACAAGCCTCGAAGGGACACTGCAAGACCTGAAGAACTTCCTTCAAAGTGAAAACGGAATGTCGCTGCCTACCTCCTCGCGACTAGTCAGCGATATTGCGCATTGCGTCTCCGACCTCCAAGCCTTAGAAGCCAGACTTGATCCAGGAAAGGGAAGACAGCTGATGAGGAAAGTGGGATTACGAGCCTTAAAGTGGCCCCTAAAGCGCACAGAGGTTGAGGACATTGTAAAGAACCTGGAGAGATATAAATCTTTATTCCTCTTATCTTTACAGGTGGATCAGACGTAAGTTCATCCCTTATAATACTCCAACTCTGTATAATTAACACACAAAATACATAGTTCTATGATGGTCGGGATGGTCCGGAATGCCGATCGTATTAATCAATTTATAGATCTTGTGAAGTTGGAAGGCGTGGTGGAGGCAGGGTTTGAGTCATTCTCTGATCGAGACGAAGTCGAATGTCTCCAAGGCACTAGGACGGAGCTCCTCCAGAAGATAATGGAATGGTCTATTTCACAGTCCCAAAAGAACATTTTCTGGTTAAAGGGAATGGCTGGGACGGGAAAATCCACAATCTCTCGGACTGTGGCAAGGATCCTCAAGGACACTAATTATCTAGGTGCCAGCTTCTTCTTTAAGAGGGGCGAAGGGGACCGAGGAAATGCAAAGAAGTTTTTCCCGACATTAACAAGGCAACTAACACTCTGGAACCCGGAACTAAGGCCTGGCGTGCAAAAGGCCCTCGACAATGACCCTGATATTGGGTCAAGATCGCTTAGGGAGCAATTCGAAAAACTACTCCTTCAACCGCTGCTTAGTCTTGACCAACCCGGCCGACAGTCTCAAACTGCCGTGATGGTGATCGATGCTTTAGACGAATGTGAACATGATCAAGATATCCGAAATATTATTCGATTGCTGCCTCTTTTACACAAGGCGAAATTAGTTCGGCTTCGGATCTTCTTGACTAGTCGGCCTGAACTCCCAATTAGCCTCGGGTTTTTTGAGATCGGGGATTATGAGTATCAGGACCTGGCGCTTCATGAGATATCTAAGGAAGTGACAGAACGCGACATATATCTATTTCTCCAAGACCGATTTGCGAAAATCCGTCGTGACAGGAATATCTCCAACGACTGGCCGGGCGATAAAGTTATCCAAGAACTCGTTAGGATATCTGTTCCATTGTTCATTTCAGCTGCCACTGTGTGCCGCTATATCGAAAATTCAAGATGGGACCCCAAATTACGCCTTACAGAGCTTCTAAAAGACCAAGCCAAATATGTGTCGCGAATGGATAGGACATATTTACCAATTCTAACGCAACTACTTAATGACCAAGAGAGTGATGAATTGGAGCAACAGCAGCTTCTACAAGAGTTCCAGGACATTGTGGGTGTTATTATCCTTCTTGAAATTCCACTTTCTATAAATACACTATCTCTGTTTCTTGGGATAGGAGTGGACCGGATTAGCAATCGACTGGATTCATTCCGGTCGGTTCTCAGCATTCGCGGCGATCAAGATCAGCCTGTTAGGATTCTGCATCTCTCATTTCGGGATTTTTTGCTCCAGTCTACAACCAAGTTTCATGTGAATGAGCAAAAAAAACACAAAGACATTGCGAAACTCTGTCTTAGAACTATGCATAGTTATCTACGGAAAGATATCTGCAACCTAGTAGAATCTGGAGCGCTTAGGGCAGACATCAACCCTCTAGATATTCGCCAGTATCTACCACCGGAATTGCAATACTCCTGTCGCTACTTGATACATCATCTCAAAAATAGCCAAGCTGTATTTTCTGAGATGGAAGAGGTGCGACTATTCCTCCAGAAGCATTTCCTTCACTGGATGGAAGCAATGAGCCTGCTGGATCGTATATCAGAGGTGGTGGGTATGCTTGACCTTCTCCGCACAGTTATACCGGTAAGCAAATAGTAGGCAGTCATCCGTGAGCTATACTAATAGGGATAGGATAATAATAATAATTCTGTCTTCGCCGACTTTCTACATGATGCAAAGCGGTTTGTTCTGAAAAATCGCCAGATAGCAGATACAGCGCCACTTCAGATTTATTGCGCAGGGGTGGTATTTGCACCTCGAACTGCAATAATGCGTAGAGAATTCCAGTCAGAGCTTCCTAGTTGGATCGGCCAGTTCCCACAAGTTAACGAAACTTGGAGTACAGAATTGCAGACCCTCGAGGGCCATTCAAGCTCGGTTTGGTCAGTGGCCTTCTCGCCCGATGGCCGACTGCTGGCGTCCGGCTCTCAGGATAAGACAGTGCGGCTCTGGGGAAACGGGCGACCTACAACAGACCCTCGAGGGCCATTCAAGCCGGTTTGGTCAGTGGCCTTCTGCCGATGGCGGCTCTGGCGTCCGGCTCTTCGATAAGACAGTGCGGCTCTGGGACCCGGCAACGGGCGCCCTGCAACAGACCCTTGAGGGTCATTCAAGCTCGGTTGAGTCAGTGGCATTCTCGCCCGATGGCCGGCTGCTGGCGACCGGCTCTTTTGATACAACAGTGCGGCTCTGGGACCCGGCAACGGGCGCCCTACAACAGACCCTCGAGGACCATTCAGACTCGGTTTGGTCAGTGGCCTTCTCTCCCGATGGCCGACTGCTGGCGTCCGGCTCTTCAGATCAGATAGTGCGGCTCTGGGATCCGGCAACGGGCGCCCTACAACAGACTCTCGAGGGCCATTCAGACCCGGTTGAGTCACTGGCATTCTCGCCCGATGGCCGTCTGCTGGCGTCCGGCTCTCACGATGAGACAGTGCGGCTCTGGGACCCGGCAACGGGCGCCCTGCAACAGACCCTCGAGGACCATTCAGACTCGGTTCGGTCAGTGGCCTTCTCGCCCGATGGCCGACTGCTGGCGTCCGGCTCTCAGGATAAGACAGTGCGGCTCTGGGACCCGGAAACGGGCGACCTACAACAGACCCTCGAGGGCCATTCAAGCACGGTTTGGTCAGTGGCCTTCTTGCCCGATGGTCGGCTTCTGGCGTCCGGCTCTTCGGATAAGACAGTGCGGCTCTGGGACCCAGCAACGGGCGCCCTACAACAGACCCTCGAGGGCCATTCAAGCTCGGTTCAGTCAGTGGCCTTCTCTCCCGATGGCCGACTGCTGGTGTCCTGCTCTTCGGATAAGACAGTGCGGCTCTGGGACCCGGCAACGGGCGCCATGCAACAGACCCTCGAGGGCCATTCAGACTCGGTTCGGTCAGTGGCCTTCTCGCCCGATGGCCGTCTGCTGGCGTCCGGCTCTTCGGATCAGACAGTGCGGCTCTGGGACCCGGCAACGGGCGCCCTGCAACAGACCCTCGAGGGCCATTCAAGCCGGTTTGGTCAGTGGCCTTCTGCCGATGGCGGCTCTGGCGTCCGGCTCTTCGATAAGACAGTGCGGCTCTGGGACCCGGCAACGGGCGCCCTGCAACAGACCCTTGAGGGTCATTCAAGCTCGGTTGAGTCAGTGGCATTCTCGCCCGATGGCCGGCTGCTGGCGACCGGCTCTTTTGATACAACAGTGCGGCTCTGGGACCCGGCAACGGGCGCCCTGCAACAGACCCTCGAGGGCCATTCAAGCTGGGTTTGGTCAGTGGCCTTCTCGCCCGACGGCCGACTGCTGGCGTCCGGCTCTCAGGATAAGACAGTGCGGCTCTGGGACCCGGAAACGGGCGCCCTGAAAGAAACCTTGAGCACTAAGGGAATTATCACGGAACTCGAATTTTCTCAAGATACTTCATATCTGAGTACTAACCTAGGATCGTTCAAGGTTCAATCCAGGTGTGGCAACCCTATCTTCAATCCACCCAATACGGAACCAGAGATATATCTACAGCGTGACTGGATAGCTTTGAACGGGAAACAAGTATTGTGGCTCCCTCCTGAGGCTAGGCCTTCTTGTTCGGCGACTAAGTCAAATACGCTTGCCTTGGGACACGCGTCAGGTCGGGTTTCCTTTATAGGATTTCAGAAATAATAGTGTAGTGGAGGAATTCGGGGGATTGGCACGTGACATTTGTATGGATAGCTATTATCTTAAGTCCTCGTTCAAAGAGGTAATAGACAATCAACAACCTTCTCACAGACCACGGGAAGCAGTTGCGTAGAAGGAATGTTGTCTTTGTGACGGTGCACATGGTCTGTTTGCATTGTTTGTATCTAGTTTTATTTACTTCTCCGCACCGCCCCCTCACCACCTTTCTTTCTCCTCCCTACGCATGAAATTTTCGTTGAGATAGCACCAATTTCATCAAATTGCTTGGCCGTCACAGTCTTCTCTTTGGTTACCAGGAACTTGTGGGCTCGGGGCCCACAACTTCTGAACTGTCTAAGAGTGTCTCCTTGACCTACTCTTTCGGAGTTCTACCATTTCCCTCTCATTCAATAGATGTCAATCAATTTTCGTTTTCTTTCTTATATATTCTAATGTCTTTACAAAAGGAGGGCTTGGGAGAGGAACATAATTTATTTGGATTTGTTTCTTTCCTTAGAACATGCTACTTGGTTCCTCTAGATTCCAATACGGTGGCGAATCCATAGGGTATTGTTTCCACGATCTCGATCTCGCTGAGTAGGGAGCATTCTCAAAGCCCATAATATCCTAAATCTTCTTAACTGTTGGAAATCAGAATGCCTAAGGCACCTTCGTATATCCTAGTCCCGCAGCGATGTGATATATCATATTCAGGGGCTAAGGGACACATAGACATGAGGAAGCGTTTGTCTACGCTCTCTCTCGCAGATAGAAGAATATACTCACCAAGCGATACTAGATCCACGATAGTTTCAATATACTATCCAGTCACCGCTATCCTAGCACCTCACGACATAGCTTCTTCCCCGAGATTCTTAACATTAACCATCTATTTGATCATCATCAGTTATGTCATAGTCCTATAATTGGACAATTTTCGGCAGAGAATTGTAGCTTCAGGACCTCGTTGGTGTAGCTGCTCGCCAAAGCCTTTATGCTCACATGTTTCGAACCAGAGCCCACTGACCTACACTCACTTTCCGGGCTAGCGTCTTGGCAGTGGGGCCCAGGATTAAGAGATGTTAGATATATGGCTAGTCCCGAAGAGGAATAGAATACGATTGATAAAAAGGTCTTATTTGAATGAATTGAGCTGGTTGGGCTCTTCTCGATTATTCTTCTTGATTATTCTTGATTGATTATTTTGTTGTGTGCTCCGCGGGGGTTTTACCCCGATCTAGTCACATGATTCTGGTCCACCAACGGCCATATTATTTGACATCTAATAAGAAAGGCTGGGGTAATAGGCAGGGCAATTGTGCAAAGCCACTATAACCATGGTTCTCTGGTTCTTGTTATGATTATCATGATTATGGATTGACCTTCGGTACGGGACTGCCCTGTAAAGGGGCGAAACGCCTTGCTATCTAATAACTAGATAGATATACACAAAGAGGAATCGCTGAAAGGAAGAAAGTAAAGGGAAAGAAGTGTGCGTTCTCATACTACGAGGGGTCATGTGACTGCGATAAGCGGACCAATCATGTGTGCCGATTGCAGCGAAGGTGAAGCCGAGCAACATACAGGCGTAGCCCGTGACATGCCCTGTCATTAGTGCGGAGCTTGTTCTGATGATATAAGTTGCTGTATCCCCCATTAATCTATATGATATCTAAGTCACTCGTTCAATAATTATTTATAAAGAGCATTGTTTTGCTATAAAGTACATGGGGTAGTTGAACAATGATAATCAATTAGAGGCACACTCTAATAAACAAACGTTCGTAACTAGTTAAGTTAGTTACCGTATTTTGGTTAGGTAATCAAGCTTTTTATCCTATCTTCGAGTCCTCCTAGCCCTGCCAAATCTTCTTCCTCCAGGAATAATAACAATAATAACAATACAAAAAAAATGCAAGAACACAAATCCTGAACTCTATCGGAAAGTTTAGACCGCAAGATTCAACGCAGTTCTATCTACGGCCCGTAATCCATTGCTCCGTTCACCAATGATTCACTTGTACGAACGAATTGGTGCGCCTGCATACTAAGCAAGAAGAAGAAGTTAGACGCCGTCTATTTTTCCTTCTTGCGTTTAGTGGGTGTGGTCCAGAAACAGCCCAAGAATATTAAAAGGTAGGCAGCTATTGCCACAAAGAGGGGGAGACATTGTGAGGTATCCCAATCCAGTAGTTCCGGTTGGGACAGCGGCACCTACTTAACAGCCACAGTCAGAAGTATCAAAGATAAAGTGGCAGCACGTTGTTAAACAATACTGTTGAGATCTGAGCTGCCGACCGGCCATAGCCGTGAGATGTTATGGTAATCACCTGCGAGCTACTACGAAATAAATGCATTTAATGCTAGGTCCACGATCGCCTCCGTACCTACCGTGTTCCTACTCTGTATGTTGTTGATAACCACACCAATTCCATGGGCCTCCCCGTCCTATTCTGGGTATTGATGTCGCATCTTCTAGCGTCCTCCGACTCCCCAAGCTCTTTATTGGTTAGAAGTCGGGCACTGTATTTCTCTATTAGGCCAAAGGCTCGCAACTCTGGGGGGTGGTGGGGGAGGGGTTGTCAGCTGGTGGGGATTGTCCGTTGTGGCCGGGTGCTGCGGTGGGCAAAGCGGGGCAGTTGCCGCCAGACTTGGTGGGGCTGACGGCTGGTGGATGCAGGCAGGTGGATCTGGGTGGGGCGGTTGCACATGCCAGGCTTGCGGAAGAAAATGTTAATCTGAAATCTGGTCCAATTCGTTGACCCGGTGGCTGCAGACAGGGTGGACCCGGTCAATCAACCGACCCACAATGGCACCCGAGGGCAGCTATGGGAGCTAGACTGTGGCCACTGGCCACCGGGGTATCTGAAGCTATGGTGACACCTCCATCGGATGCTTGTGGACAGTGATCTGCTGCTAGACCTTGCTCACACTTCTGGTTCACCTGAGCCTGGATAGAATGAGCCTTGGGACAAAATACTCCTTGCTTATTGTGGCAGCTCGTGTTACTTCGAACTGCGCGCAATCCGCGCAGTTGCAGATCAAACCGGGACGATCGCGGTCGTCCCCGCATTGCCTCCTGCATCTGGGTCGTTCTGTGGGCTTGTAGCATGAGGAAGCTGTGCCGTGGATGCAGCCTGGGAGAAGGGCTGGTTGGTCAATGCTGCGATTTGGTCCCGACTAGGTACTACGTAATCCTCCGAGTGTTGTGGCTGGTACTGATCGGTTTTTCTCGTTCCTGGGAGGAGGGTCGTCCACTGGCAGAATGTTAGTGTCTCTCCGGACCACGCCAGGGTCTGCGTATACTCTCTTGGCGGGAGGTGTCTCGTCAAATGCTCGCGATTTGTAAGGATACAAAAGGCTCCTACTGCTCCCTGGTGCGAGACGGAAGCGGTCACCAATTGGATTCCATAGCCCATCAAAAGTGGCTTTCTTCGCCGTTTCTATGACCCAGTCAGATCCGTCGATGAGCTAGCAACATTTCAGCTCTCAGCCGGTAAGACGCAATCTGATGTCATGACACTGGTGAAGCTGGAAAGGCCGCGCTGATCCTACTCCCGGCAAAACAGACAGGCTGGGTTTCCCGGATTTTTGGTTGTCGAGGGACGTTGATTGGCATTTACCCCGTTTGCTGTGTCTACCTTGTACCTTTTCGGTGCCCTCACGGGGAGCCAGAGACTCACATTTGCGCCGGATCTCGGTTGTGAGTGCAAGAATCTAGTATTACTGTGATTCAGGTGGGCCTCATTATGCCAACGAGACTCCTAATCGAGCCCTTGGCAGCACCTGCAGCCAGGGAACCTCCGAGGGGTGGGGGCTGACAGGAACTAATAATGACATGCATTGCATATTCTCTTGTCAACTGACTAGTTTGTCTCGGGCGGCTTGCGGCAGGGCCCGAAGTCCCGAACCATAGAATGAACGTGGGTTGGATGCAAGAGTATCTCCGTCCAAAGAGAGGGATGTCCTCTCAGCGCAAAGAGGTCGGTGTTGGTTGCGCACAGACTGAGACAGGATGGCCAAACCCACAAATTCGATGTTAAGGAAACCGATTGCCGGGTTGCTCTCTCCTCTGGCAGATGCAGGGACTCCTCCCCCTCCGTAGCTGCATTTTAAGTGTTGCATATTGGTTATTCTCGTCCTGGTAGCCAAGAGAGAGAGCAGGCTCAGGAAAGTTTTCGGCCAGCCAATCTGGAGGGAAAAGGGCTAGTCGATGCATAACGTATACAGATAGCTGTCTGAGGCCCAGCGAGACGGCTGACAGACTGAATATTCAGCTTCGCCACTCTTCTCGGGAGGGGAAGGGAGAGCTAGGAAAGGACTGTCGGAGTGGGGCAACTCATCACTAAGGAGACTCTACTCCATAGTTGGTCGACAATTAAGTGAAAGATCTTGTGTGGTTATACGAAAGGAAAGGGGGGAGGGGAAAGGGCTTATAAGTAGGGCTCAGTGTCTGCTCTCTCGGGTTTGACCGAGTGCAATTCATGAAAGCCAATTTGGCCTGCAATTGACACCGTCTTAAGTAACTCTGAACACATCAAACTGGAACGAAACAAAACTTCTCGGCAGCTAGCTCAAGTCATTCATCATGGGACTGGACGATGCTACGGGCTCCTACCTCTCGCACGACCGCTATAGGTATGATTTCGTCGTGGCCACCACGCAGGCGAGCATCAATTCTGGTCTCAAGGCTTGGCTCAGCAAGTCGAGCCAGCCGATTAGGTATTTTTGCTTTCTCGCCGACGAAGCTGGTGATCCCACGGTGCAGACCACGCTCGACGACGTGCTCAACAAGACCGGCGGCATCGACCCCTTCACCATCCCGCATGGCACCGCCACCAGTGACCCGCGTATCGTAGCACTCACCAAAGCCCGCTTTGCCGTGGGATTCAAAATGCAGATGGGCCTCCCTAGGGGCGTTCCCCCCAAGAATCTGCCCGTGATCGCGGACCTGGTGGACGAGGCCAGCAACGTCACCTTCAACCTCCTCTGCTCCGAGTTCGTGATTATTCAGAACACGCCTGGGTCATCGTGGACCCAGGGCAGCTGGGATGTCTGGACCCAAGGCCCGGGCGATGCATGGTATTTTGAAACCCAAGTCAGCCTCCTGACCGCGGATCTCAGCAAGGATCTTAACACGCCGTACTTCAATAACCACCCGGACGTGAAAAGAGAGCTGCAGAACAAACTGCGCAACCTATCGGGCACGGCCTTCAGCTTGCAGCAGCTGCTGCTTGACCTGAGTACGGCGAAGATGAAGCGGCGCCCCTCCATCCAGGGTCTGCCCCCGGGATCCAAAGCGGACCTGGTGCTGCAAAGGTCCTTCATCTCTATTTATGCCGAGAACGCCATGGAGCAGGGCTTGCCGTTGCTGTCAGTGACGGCCGTGGTGCAGAAGCGCGACCCGTCCCCGCTGGAAATGACCGATTTCGAGCGGCAGGTCTCGCCTCTGAAGAGCCAGGGTGCTGTGATCAAGAATCCAACGCCAGAGCAGCGGGCGGCCACCACCCTGGACCATCTGTGCGCCGTCCAGAATAAGACACTGCCGCCGACCGCCGGCTTCGAGTGGAACTGGGTCGGGGTGCACGACGTGACCTCGCAAAGCGGCACCATCTCGATCAACCGGAGTGCCATCGGGGAATACCTCCGGGACCAAATTGTTCGGACGGCCACGAAGTCTTGCCTTATATTTGAATGCGACGTCTCTGTCAACGCATTAGGCGTTGCCACGTATGGGTGGAAGAAATTGCCTGCGACCGCACCAGACTCGGCCAACATCACGCAATCCGGAAGCAACGTCATCCAGATCGAATACTATCAGCGTGGATACGACGAGGATCGGTGCGCGCTGGGGTACGCGGACCTGGGGATTTTGTCGGAATACAAGGGCGACGTGACCTTCTCCGGCACTAGTGTTGTGGTGAAACAAATAGCTCGGGTCAACGTCAGTGCCTGCTGGAGCGGCACCCGGGAGGCTTTCGATGCCTTCAAGCTGACGGCCACGGACACATATAAGATCTCGGTCGACCAATATGGGGCTCTGAAAATGACCCATACGGGTCGCACCGAGACGGATGACTCGCAGGACCCCGACGTCAGTGGCATCGTTAACTTCTTTACGGGGGTTGGGGACCTATGCCGCGCCATCAAGAAGAGCCTGGCCAATTGCACAGTGCTCAATATTGAGGCAGTTCCCTTCCACAACCTGCAGAATTTCGTCTTCCCGGGCTCGTTAGTGTTTACGTACAATTCCGCCCAGTTCTCCGAACACCAAGATCTCATCTCGTCTATCACCTACCTGGATCCGCGGCGGTCGCAACGCAAGAAGCAAGAAGGGGACCTGGCCATCGCTCACACTTCGGATCTGATGCAGAATTATGTCCGTGGCGAGATCGTGTCCCCGACGGGAAAGTTCGAGGCGCTCCAGACCAGCAACGGCCTCTCCTTACTCTTCAGCCTCGATACCCACAACGTCTTTCGGGTCATCGTGGAGCAAAGCGGGACCACAGCCACCGGATGGAAGGTCAGAGACCTCTCTTCACAGCTCCTGCGGGACCGGTTCCTCGGTCAGAACGCCACAGTGCGCCACTTCGGGGTGGCCCAGAGCGCACTGGATGGCAGTATCAACATGGCCATGGCGGTTTCGGCAGATGGCACCGATACGCTCTTTGTCTCGCTGCAGAATGATAGCTCTGATATGTCCTGGACCGAGAAGCCGAAGTGGACCCCGGTTCCGTTTGATGCAATCGATTCCAAGCCCATCTCGATAACCGTCGCGGGCATCCTCTTCGCCGAAACCACCGAGCTGGACGAGTACCTGGTCGTCGACATCGACCGCCCGGATCTCAAGCGGATCAAGAACATCGTACGCTACCACATTGACATCTCCCGGTCGACGGGGCGCTTCTGGCTAAAGCGCGACGTGCCGATTGACATCGAGAACGGCAGCTACCAGAGCTGTGTCGGTCGACAAAGTAGGGCATACGTCGACGGCGTCTACACGGCCGGTAGAACGGCAGACATGCCGCAGCTGGTCTACGTTCCCCTGGTGAATGTCTGGGGCCAGGGACCCCCCTTGCCCATCCGCCTCGGGCTGCCCGGCGGCGTGCTTCCCTCAGCGATCGCGACGGCTCGGTATGGGAGCCATTCCAGCCGCGAAAGGTTTGCGTCCACCGACCTCTATGCCGTGAGCGGCACAACGCTCTACCGATTCGCCGCCGATGCGCAGTCTCAAGACGCCAATGGAGTGCCGGTCGTCACGAGTGACGTCCTGTCCGAAACCACGACGCTGATGGCGATGACCGATGGCGACGTAACCACACTCTGGGGCAAGAATGGCAGCAATAATGTCTACTATGTGTCGTGTGAGACAGCCCATCTCGCCGAACCAGGCTCGTGGAGCACTCCGGTGCCTATCTTGACGGGGATTGAACACATCTCCGCGTACATGAACCTCGCCGATGGGGGCAACACGATCTTTGCTACCGGCGGAGGGAAACTCGTGAAGCTGACCCAGGCCAGCCGCACGATGGCCAAGATCTGGCGGCCACAGGAGATCAAGCTGGAAGCGCCACCTCACATCCCGTCGGCGCCAGTCAAGTCCTACACGACCACCATTCACGTCACCGATCCCAAGGCAAACCACACTCCCGTAGCGGACATCGCAGTTTCAGTTGCGGCAGATTCACGCAGCCCTGTATACATCAACGGGCTCTACTACGTGCTGGGACAGGCGCCGACGGAGATCAAGACTGATTCGACGGGTGCAATCACGATTGTGGAAGCCACGGAGGATTTGAACGCGGCCGCCCTGTCCGTCTCGGTGCCGGGGGCGAACGAGACGGAGGTAATCAATCCCATGGACATCGCAGCCAAGAAGCTCACCGACCTCGACTCGTACGACTCGCTGCGCAACGCCACTGTCCCTGAAACGACAACCGCAGGGGGCGTCGTGGGGCGGGTGAAGCGTCGGCCGCTCGTTGATTCCTCCGTTAGTCGACAAGATATGGAAACCGTGGCGGCCAACCTGAAGCGGCTCAAAGAGGTACCTGCATCGCTCCCTGATAGCGCCCGATCGGCTCTCCCACTGCAATACCTCAGTGGTTACCCACGGGTCGTCCCTGCTCAACATTTTTCCCGGTCCCTGAACGATATCGGCATCGCAATAGGAGATCTCTTCCGGTGGCTCGCGTCGGGCGTGGAAGCCGTCATCGATATCATCTTCGATGCCGTAACGGACGCGTGGCACTTTGTGGCCAAGATCGCCGGCAAGGTGTACCGGGCCATCCTGGACACCGTCGACGCGATAGTTGGTGCAATCAAATGGGTCTTCGACAAGATTAAGACTGCCGTCGGGGACCTGGTCCGCTTCGTACAGTTCCTGTTCGAGTGGGACGATATCCGGCGAGCCAAGGATGTCATCCACAACGTCACCAAGCTGACCCTGCACCATTTCGCTGTGGACGGGCTGAAGACGGCCAAGACGCAATTCGACGAGAGCTTCGCCAAGGTCGAGAAGACGCTCAACCAGTGGGCCGACATAGGCGACTGGTCTCCTCTAGGACCCCCAGCGGAGACACCAGCGCAAGGGAGCACTGTGAGTCCGGTCAAGGACCACACATCAGGCTCCCTGCTCCTGGCCAATCAATTCCGGAACAACGCCCAGGAGATGACATTCGATGTCCCGGCGGACGTAGTCCTGACGCGAGAGGCCGAATCCCTGATCGATATCCTCCTAGACGCGGTATCAAAGGAAGGCCAGGCGCTCTCCACCGTGTACGCCAAGTTGCAGCAGGTAGCCCGCGATTTCAAGTCCAAGTCGGTCGGGGATGTGCTCAAAGCCATTGCGGCCATCCTCGCCGACGGACTGCTTTCTAGCGTACAGGTCGTTTTCGACGCCCTGGTGGATGTGCTGGCATCTCTGGCTGCCTCGGCGATCAAGCTGCTCGATACCAAAGTCCATGTCCCCGTCATCTCCGACATTCTCAATCTGTTAGGCATCCCGGACTTCTCATTCCTCGATTTGTTCACGTGGATTGCAGCGGTGGGCTACACCGTCGTCCACAAGATTACTTACGGAGAGGCACCATTCCCAGATACTCCAAAGGTCAGGGCCATCATCGCGGCCTCGGACTGGAAAACGTTGACCAACATCATCAGCCAAGACGAACCAGCGCACGATGGGGCCATCCAAAAGGCCGACGGTAAGGACATCGTCCCCCCGAGTCTGAAGGCGACCATCTTCATTGCCTGCCACGCCACGGCCGGGTTCTCGCTGTTCACTGGCAACTTCCTCAACTTCTTTGAGGCCGAGTTCCCCACGGGCGACAATCCTTTCTCCATTCCCTCCGCCGTGATGGGCATCATAGCGGCCGGGATGCAGACTGGTGGCGACTCCCTGGCAGCGGTGTACCCGGTCGAGAATGAAGCGGTCAGCAAACTGTCGATGGCGATGGGCGGCATTTCCCTCACGAACAAGCTGTTCTTCAGCGGGCCGGTGCAGAAGCTGCTCGGTGTCAAGAGTACGGGATTTGTCGGGTTGATGCTGAACGACGGGAGGGCCACAGCCAGCATCATCGACTCCGTCCTGGTGGTGCCGCAGCTGTTCGTGACGGGCTGGCACTTTTATGAGTTGAGCAAGAAGGAGGTGGGGGCCGTCCGGTCGGCGGCGATCGTGGGCGAGGTATCCAATCTGGGCTTATACGTGTCTCGCGTGTCGTATGCAGCAGCCGTCAACCTCAAGGACCCGATATCGAAGCAGATCCCTATCGGGATCATGGCGGCGAGCAATGCTGTCGCCGGAGGCCTCCAGACGGCAGAGGCGTTTATCCAGGCCTTTTTAATCTAGCGGACAGGGAGCGGTCCAATTTCAACTTTTTCCGGAAGGGATTAGGGTCAGTAAGCTGCGTAGGTGAGGATTGGGTCGGATAGAACAGCGGACGGGCAATCTAGAACTCTAGTTATCGTTTCTTTCATGGGGCGCATATATTTACTCCACTACCATCAGAGGCTCTCTTGGCTTTTAGGGATCGCCCTCAATCAATACAAAAGCAGATTTTAGATCTTATATATCCGTATCCATGAGGTTAACTGTACTGCGAAAGACGCGTTATGTAAGGGGCAGGAGTTGACTAAACTAGTTTCAGTGAAGCTGACGCGATTCGTAACCTCGTACTTTGCGGCAAATCCTCGGGGGCTAACAGCAAACTATCCGTCGGGACGCTGACTTGCGAGATTTGCAACGTGATCATGAGTCAAAAGGCTGTGCCGTGTCTATTCTGTGCTCTCTAGTATCACGGAAGCATTTCTGGCACTGCGAGCATGCAGTTGAGACCTCGGCGCCCTGCTCTGAACCCAGAGGGTCATGTCTCCTGGAAAACGGCATCATCCCAGCAGGCGAGCTTAAAATTGATGGTAGGCCAACAGTCGACCGAGGTTACTAGACCTACAGCATCGGGGCCATCATGTCCGGCGCCTCAACCGTCGGAACCAGTTTTAGTTGGCCAAATCCTACCAGACCCCATTCTCGACATGAGCCTGCGGAGTCACGGAGGTGAAAAGACAAGCCTACGAGCGATTCTAGATCAGATTGACGGTGACATCCTTGTCCACGTCTTTTCACGCACAACCAGAAAGCAGCTCCGAGAGGAGTTCGAGAGAGCATGCACGAGGGAACGCTATCCACACATCACCCTGACCAGTGTCGGCATGTCTACCTATCCGGTATCTATTTATGCGTCTATTTCTGATAACGCACTAGAAGGAATCGAAGGCCTGCCGCGCTTCCTGATAAGCGACCCCAAGAAACAATTCTTGGACGCTATGGGCTTCGTCCGGCCCAGTTCAACGTCCAAGGCTTCGGCTACGCGTATGCGGCGTCAAGGGCCTCTTCGGTGTGGGTTCTTCATAGTGAGGAAAGACAAGACACTGTTCGCCAAGGAGACAGGGACTTTGGAGAATGTGTATGAGGCTATCATAAGGGCGGAGAAGAAACTCCATAAAGGATGGATCTCGGATCTCAAGCGGATGGGACGGCCAGTGCCCCCTTGGTGATGGATACGTACATATCTTTAACAAACCCCTGACTGAACAGTTGAGGACGATCTCTTGACCTGCCATATCATGAGCTTACCTTGTTGCGGCTGTTCTTTCTTGGAATCCATTGGGCAAAAGCGCCTGCCTCCTGTGCGCGCCCTAAAAATGAAAAAAAGAGCCGATTTTGCTCTGGAATGGACAGTACTCTTGCCTTCAACCAAAAGAAAAGCGAAAAAGGAAACATCATCACAAAGTGGGCTTTCTTCGATCACCCGTTTAGGGCAAAGAGATTTTGAAGGAGGCTTAGCAAGAAATCCAAGGACCAGTCGAGTAGGCTGCTGAGTTCAGCGTAGAAAATAGTGCCACGCCTATCCAGAGAATACCAATGTTATGTATAAATACTTCTATCACACATTGTCCGCATCCAGGAGTCCGTATGACAAATAAGGAATTCCTTACCAACGCTTTAATACAGGTAGGCTCTATCCCCTGTTCCTCATTGTTTGTGATCAATGATCGTATGCCACGCGATGTTCTCATCTCGACATCTTCATAACCAAAGTAGCCTCGCAGGCCGTTAGCTTAGAAATTTATTTTTGGGGGACCTGTGAATGAATATTGATCGTCCCACCCTTCTAGACAGCCACCTGTAAGGTCTAATGGTTTGCTATACGAGTCACGTTGATTCACTAATGCTGTCTCTCCAGCGAGGTAGTGAGGCTCCTTGATGGGAGTTTTTCACACTTAACCCGCTCGTGTGCTATTCTTCTCCTTGAGAGTCCTACTATGGTACACTCTGATTGAAGCCCGACTTCTACCCGGATATTATTCGAGAATAACCTTGCAGCTTCTGACCAATGTAGTTTCTCGTCGTCTCCTTTTAGCTTCAGCCGAAGATGCACCTCTTCATTGCGCCATTTCGAGCCCTTCCTGGAGCAGCCTTGGGCCTCACTGTACTCACGCTGAGGTTCTTCGATCTCATGCACGCTCATCTGACGGCTGGCTGACGACACCTGTCTATGGTCACATGTTGTTGGCACAGAATCGGGATGAGATAAACATGGGAATTCGGGATCCGATAGCTCCTAGCGCCTTAGCGAGCGCTCAGCGTCATCCCCCTAAATCGCTTCCATTCCTTTAGATAGAAGGAGAGAGTGAACTCTAGAGAGAGACGTTAGTGAGCACATTGATTACGCAGTCAATACGCTTGTTATGGTTATTCTCCCAGGGAGGCTACCGGCGTGTGGCTGGTATAGTGTTCTTCTGCCACCCATTCCTTTCCTGAGCGAATGATCATAACAGAATGCAACGTGACATAGCTCCTTCGAAGAGCCAAGCAATAAATTGTAAATGTTCGTCAACTGATAAGGACGTGAAGCGAGAGCAAATCAAGGTGAAAGAATCCGCTTTTGGAGGTGATATAGAAGCATCTCGACGCCGTTTGCAAGTCCTCCTGATCCCTGCAATTTTGGCTTGGAGTTTTGAGACTGCTCACCGCCGAGAGGGTCCTCACCGAGGTCGTCATTTGTGCAAAGATCATTGGTTTCATTCCTATGATACAAGGATTGCGATAGCCGATGGTCCTGGACTTGAGAGCAATGACTTGTTGATGATGCAACATCATCGGATCGCGTATATTTCCTATATGAGTTAGTTTACACTCTTCGTTTGTTTACCTCGCCTTTATAGAAGCGAGATGTTTTGGTAGTTTAGTTGAATCAGAGACCTAATGTCCTATGGAGGATCGATACTTGCGAATACGCTTATTATTATGGTCGACAACATGTAATACTTTATGCATTCGCGTAATTTATGTGCCTTGGGTTTTTGGCGGGTTGTTGGGTACCCAAAAAAGCAATATAGTGAGTTCTATGTGTAGGGTCACACGCTGTCACTTAAGCGACGCATACCCCGCCCGCAACTTCCTCCTGAATCCCGAATATTACTATGCTATCATCATGACCATGGAGAGTACGACGGTTTTTAAAGGTGCTAATTATGGACTACAAATAGGGGCAAATACGGGCAAGGTCGAAGTGCAGAACAGGCTTTATACAGGTAGATTACCAGAGCGTTTATGTCGGGGAAACTTTATTAACGCAATGCAGACCCTTTGGACAAGCTACCAATTGCGCATGGGGCCGAGTTCGACTCGTATACAGATCAGCATGAAGATGACTGTCTGCCGGGCACTAGAACCGAGCTTCTTAAAACGATTGCAGAATGGGTTGTGTCACCGCACGGAAAGTGTATATTTTGGTTAAATGGCATGGCTGGAACAGGGAAGTCTACCGTCGCTCGGACAGTCGCAAAATCCTTCAAACGGGATAAGTTAGCAGTTGCTAGCTTCTTTTTCAAGAGAGGCGAAGGGGATCGAGGGAAAGCCTTCAAATTTTTTCCAACGATTGCCAGACAACTGGTGGCTAGCATTCCTGATCTGGAACCCAGTATTAGGAAGGCAGTGTCTGATGACCCTGAAATTGTGGCAAAATCACTGAAGGAGCAGTTTGACAAACTGCTTTTTCGACCGCTACTAGGCTTGGAGCAAGTCATTCCGATCCCAGTGGTGGTCATTGTGATTGATGCATTAGATGAGTGTGAAATTAGCAGTGATATACAAGTTATACTCCAAGTACTACCACAAGTACAGGAGTTAAGCGCCGTCCAGTTACGAATCCTCTTAACCAGTCGACCTGAATTGCCAATTCACCTAGGTTTCTCGAAGATTGCGAATTATAAATATCAAGATCTAGCTCTCCATGAGATCTCCGAGGCGGTGACAGGATATGATATCTCTTTGTTCCTGAAGGACCGATTTAAAAGAATCAAGGATGAAAATAATGTTCCTGCCGGCTGGCCTGGGGACGACGAAATTCAAGCCATTGTTACGATGTCAGCTCCTTTATTTATTTCTGCCGCCACTGTGTGCCGATTTGTTGAAACGGAGTTGGACCCTGTAGAATGCCTCACCGATCTTCTTAAAAATCAAGCTAGATATGCGACAAAACTGGACAAGACATACCTCCCAATTCTCGAGCAATTCTTAAACAAAAAGGGCGATGATGGTAAAGCAGAACAGCTTTTACAATATTTCCAACAAATTATCGGCGTTATTATCCTTCTTGCGGTTCCTCTTTCGGTCAATGCACTCTCAGAGCTTCTTGGTGTTCGAGTAAGAGTTATTAGCAACCTATTGGATTCGTTCCGATCCGTTCTTAACTGGCCTACGAAACAAGACCAGCCTGTCAGAATTCTGCATTTATCGTTTCGAGATTTCCTAGTTCAAACAAAGAGCAAGTTCTACGTGGATATGGACAATACACATAATAAAATAGCCCGCTATTGCTTTAACACTATGGGGAAACTGTTAAAAAAGGATCTCTGTAATCTGCGAAGCGATGGAACACAAAGAACAGAGATTGATATTGACTCTATTAATCTGCATTTACCACAAGAATTGCAATACTCCTGTCGTTATTGGGCACATCACCTGACACAATGCAAAAACCCTATCGCTGAAATAGAGAATACCTATCATTTTCTCCAGAAGCATTTCCTGCACTGGGTGGAAGCAATGAGCCTCCTAGGCCTTGCATCAGAAGTGGTGGAGATTATTAATCTCCTCCAGACAGTTATACCAGTAAGTTTCTTAAACAGGCATATAATTCACGCTAACGGATATAGGACGACAACCATTCCGCAATATCCGAGTTTCTGCATGATGCAAAGCGCTTTATCCTTAAAAATCGTCAGATAGCCGCCGAGGCACCCCTTCAGTTATATTGCTCAGGGCTAATATTTGCACCTCGAACGTCAATAATCCGTAGACAGTTCGAAACGGAACTTCCTACTTGGATATGCCAGTTGCCACAAGTTAACGAAAGATGGAGCGCAGAATTACAGGTTCTCGAGGGCCATTCAGATTCGGTTCGGTCGGTGGCCTTCTCGCCCGACGGCCGGCTGCTGGCGTCCGCCTCGGAAGATAAGACTGTGCGGCTTTGGGACACTGCAACAGGCGCGCTGCAGCACACTCTTGAGGGCCATTCAGATTGGGTTCTGTCGGTATCCTTCTCGCCCAACGGCCAGCTGCTGGCGTTCGGGTCCGCAGACAAGACCGTGCGGCTTTGGAACACTGCAACAGGCGCGCTGCAGCACACTCTTGAAGGCCATTCAGGTTGGGTTGAGTCGGTGGCCTTCTCGCCCGACGGCCGGCTGCTGGCGTCCAGCTCGAAAGATGATTCGACCGTGCGGCTTTGGGACTCAGCAACGGGCGCGCTGCAGCACACCCTTAAGGGCCATTCAAAGCCGGTTCAGTCAGTAACCTTCTCGCCTGACGGCCGGCTGCTGGCGTCCGGCTCGGTAGATAAAACCGTGCGGCTTTGGGACATCACAACTGGCGCGCTGCAGCACACTCTCGAAGTTGGTTCAGACCCGGTTGTGTCGGTGGCCTTCTCTCCCGATGGCCGGCTGCTGATGTCCGGCTCGGTAGATAAAACCGTGCGGCTTTGGGATACTGCAACGGGTGCGCTGCAGCACACTCTTAAGGGCCACTCAGGTTGGGTTCTGTCGGTGGCCTTCTCGCCCAACGGCCGGCTGCTGGCGTCCGGCTCTAATGATCAGACTGTACGTCTTTGGGATACTGCAACAGGCGCGCTGCAGCACACTCTTAAGGGCCACTCAGGTTGTGTTATGTCGGTGGCCTTCTCGCCCGACGGCCGGATACTAGCGTGCGGCTTAGAAGATAAGACCGTGCGGCTTTGGGACACTACAACTGGCGCGCTGCAGCACATTCTCAAGGGCCATTTAAAGCTGGTTCAGTCGGTAGCCTTCTCGCCCGACGGCCGGCTACTAGCGTCCGCCTCGGAAGATAAGACTGTGCGGCTCTGGGACACTGCAACTGGCGCGCTGCAGCATACTCTTGAGGGCTATTTAGAGTCGGTTTTGGTTGAGTGGGTGGCCTTCTCGCCCGACGGCCGGCTACTGGCATCCGGCTCGGAAGATGAGACCGTACGGCTCTGGGACACTGCAACGGGCGCGCTGCAGCACACTCTCGAGGACCATTCAAAGCTGGTTCAGTCGGTAGCTTTCTCACCCGACGGCCGCCTGCTGGCGTCCGGCTCGGAAGATGATTCGACCGTGCGGCTTTGGGACATCACAACTGGCGCGCTGCAGCACACTCTCGAAGTTGATTCAGACCCGGTTGTGTCGGTGGCCTTCTCGCCCGACGGAAGGCTGCTGGCGTGCGGCTCAAAAGATCAGACCATGCGGCTCTGGGATACCGCAACAGGCGCGCTACAGCACACTCTCAAGGACCATTCAGAGTCGGTTTTGGTTGAGTCGGTGGCCTTCTCGCCCGACGGACGGCTGCTGGCCTGCGGCTCGGAAGATGAGACTGTATGGCTCTGGGATACTGCAACGGGAACACTGCAACATACTCTCGAGGGCCATTCACATTGCGTTCTGTCGGTGGCCTTCGCACCCAACGGCCGACTGCTGGCGTCCGGCTCGGAAGATCAGACCGTGCGGCTTTGGGACATTGCAACGGGCGCACTTCAACACACTCTTGAGGGACATTTAGGTTGGATTTTGCCGGTAGCCTTCTCACCCGACGGCCGGCTACTGGCATCCGGCTCGGAAGATGAGACCGTACGGCTCTGGGACACTGCAATGGGCGCGCTGCAGCATACTCTTAAGGGCCACTCAGGTTGGGTTCTGTCGGTGGCCTTCTCGCCCAACGGCCGGCTACTGGCGTCCGGCTCTAGTGATCAGACTGTACGGCTTTGGGATACTGCAACAGGCGCGCTGCAGCACACTCTTAAGGGCTATTCAGATTGGGTTTCGTCGATAGCCTTCTCGCCTGACGGCCGGCTGCTGATGTCCGGCTCTAATAATCAGACTGTACGGCTTTGGGATACTGCAACTGGCACGCTGCAGCACACTTTCGAGGGTCATTCAGAGCCGGTTGTGTCGGTAGCCTTTTCACCCGATGGCCGGCTGCTGGCGTCCGGCTCGGAGGATCAGACCGTGCGGCTTTGGGATACTGCAACAGGCGCGCTGCAGCACACTCTCGAGGGTCATTCAGGGCCCGTTGAGTTGGTGGCCTTCTCGCCCGTCTGCCGACTGCTGATGTCCAACTCGGAAGATAAGACCGTGCGGCTTTGGGATACTGTAACTGGCGAACTGCAACACACTCTCGAGGGCCATTCAAAGCTGGTTCAGTCGGTAGCCTTCTCACCCGACGGCCGGCTGCTGGCGTCCGGCTCGGAAGATGATTCGACCGTGCGGCTTTGGGACATCACAACTGGCGCGCTGCAGCACACTCTCGAAGTTGGTTCAGACCCGGTTGTGTCGGTGGCCTTCTCGCCCGACGGCCGGCTGCTGGCGTACTGCTTCTTCGATGATTCGGCCGTGTGGCTTTGGGACACTGCAACGGGCGCTCTGCAGCATCTTAAGGGCTATTCTGACGCTCTGTCGGTGGCCTTCTCGCCCGACGGCCGGCTGCTGGCGTCCGCCTCGGAAGATAAGACTGTGCGGCTTTGGGACACTGCAACAGGCGCGCTGCAGCACACTCTTGAGGGCCATTCAGATTGGGTTCTGTCGGTATCCTTCTCGCCCAACGGCCAGCTGCTGGCGTTCGGGTCCGCAGACAAGACCGTGCGGCTTTGGAACACTGCAACAGGCGCGCTGCAGCACACTCTTGAAGGCCATTCAGGTTGGGTTGAGTCGATCGCCTTCTCGCCCGACGGCCGGCTGCTGGCGTCCGGCTCGGAAGATGATTCGTCCGTGCGGCTTTGGGACACTGCAACAGGCGCTCTGCAGCACACTTGGTCTGTCGATGGGCGAGTTACTATCCTCGAATTTTCTCAGGACGGTTCTTTTCTAAGCACCAACTTGGGCGTCCTGAATATTCAGTCCAGGGATGACGGTCTTGCGTCTAATTCACATGTTAATCTAGACATCTCCATGGAGCACGGGCAGTGGATAAAAATGAATGGCAAAAAGATTCTCTGGCTTCCTACCGAGTTCCGGCCCAACTGTTTCGCGATTAATGGCAGTATACTTGGTCTGGGAAGCGAATCTGGGCGGATTTCCTTCATAGGACTTCGTATATAGCAAGTGTAAATGATTTTTGTCAACCTTGAGATACCGCTACTCCTATTCAACCTTAGTGAGCACTCATTTGGTCAAAGTGATGTGACGGCCGAACAACTTGATTAAATTGGTGCTATCTTAACGAGAATTTCGAGTAGGGGAAAGGAAGAAAGTAGTGAGGGTGATGCGGAGAAATAAGTACAAACAATGCAAACAAACAGTCACGTGACATCAAACCCTTATTTCTTACGCATTTAGTCATGAATATTCCATTGGAAGAATTGTCATGGGTCGCAGTCCTTTTATCTGATGAAATAAGGACTGTCGTTCATGCAATGCTGAGATTTGTTAAGGTTCTCGCTGGGGGCTATGTTAGCCATTAATTTAAGCGTTGCAGTCAGGGAAATAAATATAAGATTTGCCAAGACAAGATATTAATAGCAACCCTGTATGTTGATCGTTGCGCCCAATGTGTGCCAACTAGCTTGCTGTGCCAACTGCCCAAATAACCTGCTGGGGGTTTCGGACATGGGCTCGCGATAACACCGAACGGCCAGAATATTATCGATTTATATTTATGACCGCAAACACTAGATCCAAGTGTCTTTATGGAACAGTACCGCTAACATGTGGCTCTCCAGTGATAAAGAAGCCGGGTTCAAGCTAACAGCTTAATCAAGGCTGGTTTCAGCCGACAACCTAGGGGTTACACCGATAGTGGTTCGATATCAGAAGGTGGACGGGACAAGTCTGTCTTTATGTCCCTTCAGCCCGAGGACTACAGTTTCCTTTTTGTGGCCCCATAATTCCACTACGAAGTCGACTTTTTGGGCATATTGCGGGGACAGTTTAATTCTCAGAGAATTTCAACAGAGTACATGGTGTCCGCGGCCCTGCGGAGAACCTATGGCTAGACTACGCGCAGGTTACTAGAATACTGGATTTAATGCAGTTGTTACAACCTGGTGGTGAAACAAACATGCTTCTTTACTTGGAACTTGTTGATAAGTAGTATGAGAGCGACTTAATCATGTCGTGGAGAGCCTTAGAGTTACTAGGACAGCTGTGTCTTTCGAAGAGATTATCCGAGCTGAGGAACAGTGTCTTCTGCACGGGCCAACAGTCTATGCAAGGAGAGGCCTCTTGAAATCGTAATGGCTTTGGATATCCCCAGAAAACAGGAGTATAAACTCTTCTACATGGAACCTTTATGTTTGGTCATATACTGCATTTATTAGCCCATGTCCTCTCTATCGCATACCCGTTGTAGACCAGGATTTGGCGCCAAACATGCAACAATGATAGACTGACCTCAAAATTTCTCTTTACTAGCAATATATTTCAGTCAGCACTACAAGTGAGATCTGCGCCAAACAGCACCGAGGGACTGTTTGTGATACATAGCACTGCATTTAGTAAACATTGGAATAATTATTCGCAATGTTATCTTTACTGACCCCCTTTACGACCGCCCTGCCACTTAAACATGATTTAAAAATGCTATGCCTTCGCATATAGTGCCTAGTTGATCTTTCACCTCCTTTCTCAGCAGATTCCTACACAGCCTATATTCTTTTACCCTGTGCACCGCACAGTACCGGCTCGCTCAAATCTGTGACACCCAACTATGCCCATTGTGCCTGGTCTAATTCTGGCTACTCGAGAGTCTCTAGCTGTTTAGGAATGTGTAGCGCTGTCGATAAATTTCGCTACCCTAAAGATATCCAAATTCATATTGGTAGCATGCAACTGGTGATCCTGGATTCCTGTCTGATCCCGACTCATCAGCTCCTTCAGTTGATTGCCATCTTTATATTTTTCTAAGGCTTCTCGTCTCCAAATTTCCCATTGCAAATCTCCGTCAACATCTATGGCCTTACGAAGGCCTTCGGAAAGGCCGAGAAAGCCATCCCAATCAGCTAGGTCATATCCACAACAGAATTCAAGCCAGTGGATAATTCGCCCACTTGTCTCTGTGTCGGCGAGATTCAAATGACCTTCTCTTCAAGTAATTGAGCAAATATCAGTTCATCCTCCCCGAGGTGTTCATCCATCATAGAAATAAGCAATAGGAAGAAGTAGGACAGGAGAATTGAAAGCAGCAAAATTTGAATCTGCATGTGCTCATTCCCAGTCGACAATACCTGTGATATTGTAATGATTGTCGACAAGGGCGTGGTCTCCTTTATCATCAGCAAGTCACAAGTAAAATTTGTGATGCAATATTTCCTTGGAATTGAATCCAAGAGACAGCGGTGGATTAAGGATGCGTCAATTGGTCGATTAGCATAAATCTTCCCTCTCGTAATGCGATCCAGCATTAATCGCACGCTCGCAAAATCATATTCTTCATGAGTGGTGAAAGACCCATTGCCCTATGGGTACTTCTAGCAATGATGCTGCGCAGGAGCAGGAGAAGTGGGAGACTTTAATGACTCCGCCAGGAGCTCCCGATGACCACAAGTACCCTAGCGGTCTGAGGCTCGTGCTGCTGATGATCTCCCTCTATGTTGCCATGTTCCTAGTTGCCTTGGTACAGTTAAAGGCTTATACATTTTCTCCGTGCAACTTACTGACCAGGAGATTTTGCAGGACAAACTAATTATCTCAACTGCCACACCATCCATAACAAATAAATTCCACTTGTTAGACAAGCTGAGTTGGTATGGAATGGCCTACATGCTTACTAATTGCGCCTTCTTGCTTATCTTTGGGGAAATATACAGCTTTGTAAGCGTCAAAGCCGTTTTTCTCACCGCGGCCGTTCTGTTCGAGGTCGGCTCTGCTGTCTGCTGCAGGGGTCCAGGAAGGCATCGCACGTCCAGTCCCTTCTCTGTTTAATACTGTTTAGGTATAATCTGCTTTCAATATGGTGTGCTTATCTGTTCCTTATTATTTATCCCGTCCCGCTTGCGAAGCGACCCTAATATTAGGGCTTATTCAGTGCGACTTAATGACATTTCATCCCTTATCAACCTATTAATTAGCGGCGCCTTCACCTCGAATATCTTCCTGGAGACAGTGCTTTTACATGAACCTTCTATTTAAAGGTGTGGTCTTTCTGTTCGCCTTCTTCCTACTTGATATCCTTGGTGCCTCGTCCAAGGATATCAAGTCGTGGAAACATAAGCTAGCGCAGCTTAATCTGGAAGATATGGTTGCTCTCCTCCCAGGAGTTATTTGCCTGTGTTTAGCTCTAGAATGGGTTTGTTTTGTATGTAGTGTAGGTTTTTTTTTACAAAGTTTTTCCTGCGGCTGCTATCAAACCGCGCAGTTCTAACTGTACAACAGTGGAGTGGTAGATGTATTATCGCCTTACTTAGAGTCGCTTTTATCCTTTGATCGCTTTTGTCTCAATTTAAATTTAGAAACCTAATACAACCACGGTGCCACCGCATATTTCTATCCAAAACAACATTTTTACTAGCTTCTGGGTAAGCTGCATGATTGGTGTGCATATAACAATATTTAGTAAGCTATTCCCTACCACACCTCTAACCCTACTATTTATAAAATACGATCTCGTTCTAATAGCTGAACACCAGTTTACTATCTCCCTATCTAGTTTTAGTTCGTAAAAAATAGCTCCCCTCTTAAGAGCGGCACCCACCTGCTACCCATAGTAATTGCCATGGTTGGTTTATCCAGTATTGGTGGTGTTGAAATAACTTAACTTGGTTATTACACATCCTTCCTAATCACCGGCACATGTATTGTATTTGTCGGCGCGGGCCTTTTTACTATCCTTAATATCAACACAACCCCTGGCCAATAGATCGGCTACCAGGTAGTGTACGGCTTTGGTTTAGGCTGCCGCTTCCAGGCACCCAACATGACTGCGCAGACGGTGCTACCCCGTTAAGAAGTGGCCATCGGCGCTTCTCTTATTCTTATACTTTTTAGTTAGACTCTCTCTGGTGCTATATTTGTCTCGGTTAGCCAGAACATTCTTAATCAATATCTGGCTACCCGTCTTACTCGCATCTCCGATATTAGTATCTCTCCCGAGAAAATGAAGAGAGCTAGTATTACTAGGCTCTTTAAGCTTATTTCATCTCAGGACCACACTGCTGTTCTGAAGGATTACAATTCCTCGCTGAGTTTATGCTTTTTAGTTTTTTTTATCTTTGCTTTGTCTTTGCTTGTCTTTCTGTCATCGGCAGCCTTAGCATGGAGTAGCGCAATGTCAAGAAGGAGGGAGAGGCTAAAAAATCTTCTAAAGATGATAAAAGATTGAATGCGTCAAGTGATAATGAACGACAGGTGAAGGGAGTAAATACTAGTTCCTTTTACTGTAGCTCTTGGGACTATTTGAGTATTTCGTTTACCCGCCGCATAAAGAGCCTGGAGTTTTAATGGGACAGAGAGCAGTTCAACTTCCGACAGAGTAAACATACTCAGCCCGAAATGATGTTGGTTGCAGGCCTGTAATACACAGATCAGACAGATCGCTCGAGAACTCATAGGTATGGGTGGCACCAGTCGGTTCATGTCTCAAGCATTGACTAGCAATTTGACCAACTGGGAGGAAATGGTGACAACACCAGCTGCATGGAACACATCAGAAACCTTTGACCTAAAAATATAATTCTTTAGTCCGAACCCCGGACCATTACCCAGAATTGGAAGATCCCATGATCGAATTGACTGTGTAAACGGAAGGCATCCACTAACTCAGAGCATGGATTTTGGTTGAGATATGAGACCTAGAGATCTTTCGAGTCCCATTCAAAATACCAGCGGCTATAGTTGGCTTGCTTTTGCTCCTTGTAGCCGAAGGAACCAGCAGTTAACCTGAGATCACGGATCATGATAGTTATTGTTTAGCTGTAGTCTGGTGGCCCTTTCACCTTCCATAGAACCAACACAGGCTTACTTGGACAAAACTCATTTCCAATGAATGTTAACGGCTGAGTAGCTAACAAGGAAGGATAGCAATAACTGCCTGATAGTATGTAGACACATGCACGTTCATTACGTTTGAAAGCCCCCTTGAAGGATAAATAGATTGAGTTTAGCCCCTGCAGTAACCTGCTGGGATGCCTCCAAAAGTGTCTCCCATAGAAGCAATATATTGCTCTCTGTCTATCTGAAATTGGTTGATCTATAAACACAGCCAAACATGATTGCTCGTTCAATTGTTTGTCAGTTCAGCCAAACTCTATGCCGGCAATACCTGCACCATGCGGCACATCAAACGGCATTATCTCGAGACCAGAGCTTGCATTCAGTGAACGGGTTATCAGTAAGGCTCCCGTTGAGAATGCTAGTGGTGGCAGAGCTGATTGTCAGAAGTCACTTTAAATTATTACGGTCAGCCCCTCGAGCCAGCTGATACGATCCCTGCTAGATGGATATAGCCTAACCTTTCGACTTCGACGTCTGGGGAAGGAAGCGGAGGTTGTTCTCCAGCTGGCTCCGCAACAGCAATTGTGCTACTACAATAGAAAGCTGTTTGGTGGCTACCTGGCCCTTTTACTGGATCCGATTCTGGCGGACTGCTGTTGACCTGCGGTCACGGCCAACCTAGACACACCCTTCAAGCGTTCGATTCCGCCACATGCTCTGATCCGCCTTCGTTTATGGCCGGAAACGTTGAGGGCTGAAAATCCCTACAACGTTCTGTCGAAATTTAAGGCGAGAATGGAGAACTAGACCAAGCTATCCACGCCAAAGTTTTGTTTATACGGCCTAGGCAATAGAACCTGCGCTTGTACGCCGGAAGTGGGTTACAGTCAGATGTCAGTAAGTAGCTATTTCATTTGTAGATCAATCTTTTAGTCGGCATGAAGGTCCCTTCCCACTAAGATGTCTGGAAGCCATCAAAAGGTTTCATATTTCTTCTATATTATTACGCCTCTATTATAGATATCTTGAATGCACTGCAAGTCTGTTGGTTACAGGTTGGGTGGAACCGAGAGGAACCGCATGGGATATATTTTCCTGAAATTGGAAAACCATGATCCTCAATGGTGAAATTCCCTCTTAAGACTGTAATTATTGCATGCGCAAGTCACTTTCATAGCGCAAGTCACTTTCATAGTAACATGAGAGTCCAAGTCCGTTCCCAAACCCAGTTCTGCATTACGTTCACTGTGTAGTATATCTGATGTCAGTGGAATATATCAAAATATCTCTTCTTCACTTTCCGAAGGAATTACCACCCCATTAGTGACATTCATCGAGACCGAAAAAGATATTAACTCGTTGTCTCAAACAAATTGATGACTTTATTCCGTTTTAAATTCATATCTATATTGACACAATTCCCTGAATTCTGGAAGTTCTGCTCTGTTGTGGGCTGCCAAGTATGGAAATCCATCTACGGCTCGAATGAGCATTCAAGAAAAAGCGTACGTTGGGTCTACTAGTAATGATGGCCTAACATCCTTGTCCTGGGCTGCTTCGGTGTGAGGCTGTTACTTGGGATTGGACAAGTGGATATAAATTCAAAGGATGTTGGATGCCGCACCCTATTGTAGTAGGCTACACAGTATAGGTATAGCACCATTCTAAACCTTTCATTTGGAACAGGGCTAGTAGATGTGGACTCCAGATGACACTACAGAAGGTGTGCTGGCCAACGAAGAATATTATGTGCAGCGGAACTTGGGAAATGGAAGGCTCTCAACCTGGGAGAGAAACGGCTCAAAATGCCACGGGACTCGTACTTGGGTCAGCCGGTGGGGGAATCCAGGAGGAAGATACGGCGATTAAATCGGGTCTAATTCTCAACTTAATTATTTGGCAGAAGACGAGATCCGACCTCGGCTGGGTTGCTGATCTGTATAGTATATTTGATAGTTCGTTATGGTTCGTTTCGGTGGTTATCCACCATTACTTTGGGTCTCTGTATAGGCGTACATGCTGATATCGACGCTTACTTGGGCATTCACGAACGATAGCAATACCAGGTCACAAACAGGTATTCGGAGGGTGCTTCCATCTGCCGCTGGGCTTGTGAAGACTCAGGCCCCCATTTGCTGTGGCAAGTACGAAAGGAATGTTGGGCTTGCATTCTTAATGTCAGCACCTGATTGAATCATACATTCCGGAAGATGACATGAGCGGAATGTGGAAGCAGTTCACACAGCAAGGGAATAGATAGATGCATGTGGCAATTCCCTTTATTCCAGTTGAAATTGAAAAATCATTTAAGCGACCTGTGAGGGGCAGCCAACGGTCAATCCCCAATCGCTCCCACGCCACATTCCAAACGCGCCCTAAAGTCTCTGAAGAAACCATCCCGCCAAGCAGGTCACCCTGATGGATCTACAAGCGAGGTGTAGTATCCTGAGAGTAATAGGGTCATGCAGGGTAGTATAGCACGGAACACGCAAATGGCTGACTGGATGGTCAACCAGTCTATGCATACATGTGGGCGGATAGATCGGTGCATCAACTGAGAGCCGAGCCATAGCGGCAGTCAGTCTATGATGCTAATTGGGGGATCGTCTGGATTTAATATCCTGTGCATTTCAGGTGCTACTAAACCATCACCTGAACATCATCTCTTAAATATTGCGGCAAATGCAACCCAAGGGGCCAATGGCAATTAAGGGGAGACAGGAGACAATAAATATGATGGTTGACCAGGGTGTATTGACTTGAGATGGTCGTCAAAATCAGCCGCTAGCCATGTTCCTGTTAGTTCTACTTCTAGAAGTCATCTTCTCGTCTCTGGGGACTGCTTCCCCCGTTCTGAACCGGAGAGGTCTGATCATATACCAACCTCAGAGATATTCCCGACGCTGACTGTGTGGTAGACATACCTTCGTCTCTGCTGGAACAGTTCAATCGTTTCTCGCAGTATGCCGCAGCTGCCAATTGCAAAGCAAACCATAACGAATCATCTCCCGGGTTGCCTGTATACTGTGACCCTGGAAACTGTCCCCTCGTTAAAGAAGCCGATACTGAGATCGTAGAAGGCTTCTGGGGGTATGTCTCGTTCCATATGCATATGCCGTCCAACTTAGGAATTGGTTATCATTGACCCTGCTCATTCAGAGTGGAACCCGGCGATACGACGGGCTATCTGGCCCTCGACCGAACGAACAAACTCGTTCTACTCGTATTCCGGGGCACCGTCTCGAACGAAAACGGAGAGACGGATATGAAATTCAAGCACGTTGACGCATCCGATATGTGCGCCGGGTGCAAAGCCCATGAGGGTTTCTGGGGAGCCATAAACAGCGCTTTAGAGAAACTGGCATCAAAGATTGAGGATACCCTGAAAGCAAATCCCGGATTCAGCTTTGTTGTGGCAGGACACAGCCTTGGTGGTGCTCTTGCAACTCTGGGGGGGACGACCCTGAGAAATAAGGGACATACACTGGACATGGTATGCTGTCCTGTTGTTTTGCCAATGAATGGGGCTCTAATCTGACAGGTATCAATCAGTACACATTCGGCGCACCATCAGTGGGAAATTATGCCCTTGCAAAATATATCACGGACCAGAACTCTGGGAAGAATTATCGCATCACTCACACAGACGATGAAGTCCCGAAGGTGCTGTATCGGGCATCAAGGGAGTGGCTGCTCCATCTTATTGTCCCTGAGTACAGTCAATCGTCTCCGGAGTATTGGATCACTTCAGAGAATGATGTTGATCCAACTGAGTCGGATATCAAGCTGATCGAAGAGATCAATAATGAAGAGGGAAATTTGGGTCAAGGAGGGATCAGTTTGGATGCTCATGGTTGGTACCTTGGGAGTATGTCAGTATGCACAGAGAAATGATCAAGTTGGGACTGATACTATATATATTCACCTGATAAAGATAGGAAGAGAATTTTAGTATAGCACCTTATATAGGCTGGAATTCATCTATCAGGATCCACATTGTTTTGGCTAAAATAACCCATTAACAGGACAGTTCCTTCACAAACTATGAGTACTTGTGGAGCTATTCTGGGAGAGAACTTATGTACCTGTCCAATGATGGTTCTCAGGAAATCTCCGATAGTTACCCAATTTCCTTGCCTTGTCCAGTGAATATAGGTCTCCTTTTACCTATATCGTGAAATCTAACAGCTTTCTACTGGCTATAAACCATTCCATTCTCCTTCCCTCTCTATCCTCCCTCCACTTAACTTCCACTATTAGTTAAGCTTCTACCTCTCCTGTTTTCTGAACCTCTTGCGTACTGATACACTCACTTAACATCCGTTGCTATTTCTACAATGAAGCTTTTCAGCTTCACCATTGCTCTCCTCGTCGCCTTTGCGGCTTCGAGAACCTTCGCTGAAACTGTTGATGAGAACATACTGGCTGAGAACAACGAGGGTACATCTTTACATGCCTCCCTGATCTCCTTGTGTCTGAGACATCTTACTTACATAAACGTTCGCAGAGCCTTCTCTGTTCTCCTCCATCAACTCGGACAATGTCGACACCAAGCGAACTCAGATCACTCGCCCATGCTACAAAAACAGCGACTGCAAAGGTTTCGCTAACTGGTGCCACAAGTGTAAATGTCGTCGAGGGACATGCGGTAGCAACACGGAGTGTCCACGCGGCTACTACTGCTGGCGTGGCAACTGTACTCGCATTCCCCACCAGCACATTGATGACGACGAGACTGTCCCTGTTGGCTCTGGAGTCAATGCAGAGAACGATGAAGCTGGATTCTCCAGAAGATGCCCTCGCCGCGAGCACTGTTTTGAGGGCTGGCATTGCTGTCCGAACGGTAGAAGGTGCTGCATCGACAATCCGGGTGCGAAAATTGGTCATGACAATGGTGCTACCAATTACTTGAATGTCATTGACGGCGAGAATGGTCCTGTGGATCCTATCTCTGATATGGCATTCCCCACTCAGAAAGAGTGCGATAGCAAGAGGGATTGTCCTAAAGACTTTAAATGCTGCCACGGTGGTAGAGTATGCTGTTCTGAAACGTGTATTGGGTCGGTAAGTGTCAGGGTTTAGTGTATTGATGCAGGCATGGCCAGTCTTCTTGTTGCTAGATGATATTCGGGACGAGTGCGATTATCCCCGGGGGTATTGAGACAATTTCTTCTTGGGGCAGCATGACCCGGAAATTTGAGTCTGGAAATGAGCTCATGATTAGTTGGCCAGGATTCGGATATAACTCCATACAATCTAACTTAATTGGCCATTCTTCCCTGATGTAGCTTCGTACATGCCGCAGTGCATTGCAGGCATTGTAAATGAACGACTAGGATATCCTCCCGATATTGACAATAGTCTGGCATAAACCTTATTACATAGCTGGATTAATGGAATCCCATTCAGGGCATTAGTTTAATTCTTCATGTGGCACATCGATACGATGTTATTCACCCCTTCTGCCAACAGAGGAGACAACGCAAAACATCTTGGCATCTGCAGCACTTCTAGGGTATGGTCAGGGACACGCCTGGAAATCTCTGATGTCAATATCACTACTCCTTTCGATTTTGAATTTTCAGCAGTAAGGCAGAAACAGGGTGACGAATGTCCTGGCAGATGGAAACTTGAGTCGCCAGAATATTCCCCAAAAAGGCAGTCCTAACATGAGGAAGGCGGTGGGACATTCTGCCGGTTCCTCTACAATCGCCAACTTCCTCGACAGTCGGACAGGCCACTGCGTCTTTTCCGTCTTCATGCTCCTTCATCATGTCGCATTTTCCTACGGAAGATAATCGATACACTCCGGGCCCCCCTCGTCGGCTTCAGGCGCGCCCAGATGATATGGACAGTCGCATGTACGACGATCGATCGCCTTCCAGATCACGCTCGCCTGGCGGTATTACGCTCCTCCCCGCATAGTAGCAAGGCGTGGATGCTTTTGAAAAGCCGTACAGTTTCTCTCTCCGACTTAGCGGGTTACTAACTCTATTTCCCCGTTTGAAGATTTTGTGCGCTCTCCCCCGCGAGGCCCTGCTTCGGACAGGAGGCACGATTATTCCAGGGAGCAGCACGATTCCGGACCCCGTTACCGAAGCCGGGACCGCGATGATCATCGACGACGGTCATCAAGGTCGCCCCGGCGCGGAAGACCAGCGTACAGAGACCGTGACCGAGAAGGCTACCGCTCGCCTGGATACCATAGCCGGAGTAGAAGCTACAACCGCAGCCGCAGTCGTAGCGCGCGACGAAGTCGCTATCCCGGACAAGAGAGTAGAGAAGTCATGATGGATGGACTGCCAGTGGATATGGTGGAAGAAGACGTTGGGCACCTCCTTCCCCCTTGAGCTTTCATTCTACGCGGAGTTCCGGAACTACGCAACACCTCAAATTACTGTTCTTGATAGCAAGAGGCTGAGATGTACATGTCGCCGGATGGTTCCGGTCGACGTGGTGTGCAGATTATGAATGAATTAAAAAACGGTTACCGCATTGACGGTCTCGACGAGGTCCGCGTCATCCGTGATCGTCAAACTAGTAAGTACTGGGATCTTTATCTGTTTTTGCCTTTTCCCTCACACATTTGCAGAAATGTCTCGCCAGCTGGGTTTTCTTCGTTTCCACAACATCAACTCCTCCCGCGCGTTTGTTGAACGTAACTTCCCTACCATTTACCTGTATGGGCCCAGTGCTGGTCCTGGTAGCCGTGGAACAAAAGTTCGCATTGCATACAGTCGCGAGAGAGAGGACCGCGCTCGTGCCAGAGCCGAAGGTGATTGGAGTTGCAAAATGGTAAGCATACCTCTATATGCCACAGGTGAAAGTAGGGGACTGACGGCTCAGTGCTCTATCGTCAATTATTCTACTCGCCATAAATGCTTTCGATGCCAAGCACCGCGTCCTGGTACTGCACCGAATACTTCTACTGTTGTCATCGTACTAACAGGGAACAGAACCTGGTCCTACCGGCCCTCCTGGGATAGCTGCTCCTAGGGTTGATAATCATGGTGATAATGACTCTGCACCTGAGAACCAACCCTCTCAGTTTTTGCTTTTCCGAGGACTGGAACCAACGGTTACGGAGGAGCTCCTGGCCAAAGGTGTTGCCAAACTGTATCGTCCATCTACCAGCTCCGAGAACTCGTCTGGGAGTCAAAAGAAGGGGAAGGTTGCATCCACAACCGGCGATTCTAACTTAGGCGCTCGAGATGGATCTATTCGTCGTGTTCTGTTGGTGAGAGACCGCAGGACAAACGAGAGTTGGCGCTATGGATTTGCCGAATTTGCCACCATTCAGGTACTATTACGTTAGCCATTATTCATTCTTATCTACGCTAATGCCTTTCAGGATGCTCAAGCTGCTACTGCGCGGCTGAACTCATTCGAGAAGTTCACGATCTCCTCGAAGCAAGTGCTTGTTAGCTACATTCATGCGGGAGTGTTTGTGCCTGTGATTAATCCCACAGCGAGTACAGAGAGATTTACATTTAGCCCGTTGAATAACCCTTCCCTGAAACTTATGTACTGGGACGAAGAGGCATATGTCACGGAGCTTACTGTTACACCGGGGGATGTGGATAGCACCCAGGCACAATCAAAGACTGACAAGACAGTACCTCCCGATGGGAAAAGTAGCAAGGATCAAGAAAAGGCAAAGAAGAGAAAAGCTGAAAATGTGGCCAGTGCAGGGTCCAAAAAGATTGCAGTGCCGTCGCATTTGCAATTTTGGAGCAACCGACATGCTGAATTGCATGGGATCAAAAGGGACAAAGAAGATAAGGAGGGTGTCGAAGGATCAGACCTTGGAGACTCACCAGAAACCACCGCACCTTCTCAGTCTTATGCGGATCTGAACCGAAACTGCTGCTACTTGTGTATGCGCCAGTTCAAGACATCCGCGGAAGTCAACCGCCATGAGCGACTTAGTCAATTGCACCGGAGCAACCTCCAGGATGAGGAACTGACTTCCAAAGCCATGGGCAAACTTATCAAACATGGTATTGTTCCGCAACCAGCCGAATATCGTGACCGAGCAAAGGAGCGCCGCAAGGCATTCGGCAACGCCAAGCCCTCAACCAAGAAGAGTACGCAGCCGCCAAAAGAGAAAGAGGAAGAGCCACCGACCGAAGTAACTTCAAAGGGTGCATCACTTCTCAGCAAGATGGGATGGTCTGCTGGCTCAGGTCTGGGGGCTCAGGGAACGGGCATGACTGCACCTATTGCCACCGAAGTCTATGCGCAGGGCGTAGGATTAGGCGCGCAAGGAAGCAAGCTGGGTGATGCGGCCGAGGAAGCAGGACGAAACACTCGAAACCGGTACGATGAATTCCTGGAGAAGACGAGACAGACGGCGCGGGAGCGATACGAGCAAATGGAGAAATAGGTATATGTATTTATTCTTGAAGCCTGTACAGTACAATCCCAATGCTTGGATTCAATATTACACGGTAAACGAGAGGGGGGTATTTCCATATGTACAACCACGCAGTATAAACCATCCTATCCACCATATATCTTACAATCATTTCTCCCGAGTTCGCTCCTGCTCCTTCCTCACCTCCCTCTCAAACTTCTTCCCTAGTACACTCCCCACCCACTGCGCCACCTCCTCCTCCAACTCCTCATCCATCTTCGACACCTCGCCTCCATCAGCGTATCCCCGTCGCACATACCGCCTCATATCGTCCACCGCATTGATATCCAGCGCCCACAACGCCGCCCCACTCGCTACCATCCCAACCGAAATCACATTCAACGTCGCAAGACTCAGCGCCTCAAACGCCTCCGTGCCCCCGTTCACCTGCGGGCGATGGAATACGGAACTCGTGTAGAACGGCGGGATCGAAGCCACGTATCGTGTTCGGAGCGCTCGACGTGTGCTTGCAAGTGAGAATGCTAGGAATGCTAACCCTCCGAAAAGAAGCTTGTATTTCGTGTTGGGTTTGATGAAGCGGAGTTCGAATGTTTCGGCCTCAGGTTCTGGTGAGGATTTGGGAATGGTCTGGCTTTTGGTTTCTGTGGGTTGTGTCGGTGTCGTGTGCTCTAGCCCCGAGGAGGTATTCTCCGGTGCTGACTGGGGATTGGTTTTGCTGAAGAGGGAGAACATCGTGGTGGTGGTATCGTGAGTCTACTCGGTGGATGTATATGTAGCTGATTTATAGCATTGATTGGGTTTCTTTGGTCAGTTGGTTTATGTAGGTTCCAGCTCGCCGTGCAGAAATGTATTGCTGCGATGTGCGGTTGGGTTGGGTCATGTGATATTCTGCCTCAGGCAGAATTAAGCTATGGAATATGGTGGAACTGCATTGTGGGGTTTTGGTGATACATAGAAATAACCCTGTGTATATAGATTTAACTCCTTGTTGAGTTTTTAGCGTAGAGTTTGAGGGGTTTCATGTGGCTACTAGAGCGGGATTCTTGAGAAGAATACATATGTAACTAATAATTGTTCTATTTTTATATACAGTATCTAGATGACACCGTCAAGGACTCCATAAAAGTGACTCCCTTCCCCACGGTCGCAGAGTATCAAAAGTATATATACGTAAAACTCGAAGCATCTGCTGCTCGATCCAGGCCCGCTGCATATCGCTTAGACACAGATCAGGCGACCAAAGATTGATCAAGTACGAGATGACGAACCAGCCACCGAGAAGCGGTGCCGTTTGCTGATGGCCAAGTGTCACCCGCCGTCCCTCAGCTTCGGGATATTCGACCCTGTCTGGGTTCATCCTCACCGATGTCGTTTGGCTGCCCAGAAAATACGGCACGGAGGCGCATATATCCGAGGCGAGATTTTGGATAACGGATATCTTGGTCTGGATTTCATTGGGGGTGCCCTCATCAGGGAGGAGACGCAGACAGTTGAGGATGATGTTCTGGATGACAATTTGCGAGTCGCGATAGAAATTCCAGGTGGATGCTATCCAGAGGTCAAAGTAGCAGTCGCATCGGTTGTAGAACATTCCAGCATCTCGGACTGATTGAGGGATAATTGTTGCAGGAATGGGCTGCCAGTGTTGTGGAAGTATATGTTCCCAGGTTGTAAGTTTACTGTCAAGACTCATGGCCATCGACAGGATGTTTTGTATCTCTTCTCTATCGTAACTACCTGATTTCAATGACACGCGGTCCCATGCCTGTCTCAGATTCACGAGCTCCGCTGTGACTATTGTTAAATGACCCGATGCGGTCTGCGTTGGAGGGATTGGAAGCGGCCATATCTTCGGCGTTTGGACCATCGGGTAGGACAACCCCAGAGAGGTTCTAGTCTATTCGAAAGCTTTAGCAATTTCTTTCAACCTTTTAGTTGATCAACGTACAACTTGCGCTTGAACTGCCATGGTTAGCGTTTGAGAATTTGGCGATTCTCGCTGTCCTAAACGCTTGCTGTTGACCAGGGCAATGGCTCCTTGTAGATGGGCTTTATTGGTCACCCTGTTCTCTTTAAGAGCATTAAATTCCTAACACCAATCAGGTCAGACTGCGCTGCATGGCAGAGATCGACAGATCACCTACCTCGAACGTAGAAAGTAAAAGGATCGTCATGAGAAGCTCGTCCAAGCCTTGCTCGGTGTCACCCTGTAGGGCTAGTCTAGTTTTGGAGACAGTTTTCATAAAGGCCTGCTCCGCTGAGCCGAGTAAAGATCGCTGCCCCGTCCAAGCAGCTACAGAAAAATATGCCACGGCTAACACAGCGAGACGTAGATGTGAATCAGAAGGGGCATCAAAGTAAGATTTTGGTAAAAGCTCCATATATCCTAGCCGAATTAGCGGGTCCTTTGGTAAGAATAAATATGAATTAAAGAACAGCGATGCCACAGTATCCTCTACGGGCAGAGACAGACTACCCGGCAGCTGAGATGGTGGAGTTGCATATACGAGAGATGAGCTAGGAGAGCCTGATGTCGAGTTGATAAGTAAAATGGCCGTGTCTGGGTTGGTAGGTGGTGGCGAAGGGTCTTCCGAATCCGCCTTATCCTTCGTTGCAGACACCGAGTGCTTGCTCGTATAAACATCTCTTTTCTTCCGCTGGAAGGCTATTCGATCTCGCAGCATGACATCAAGGGGGTGTGGGTATCCTGGGCAGGCGCGGCCTGTTCGGGTACACGCCCTGCAGTGAGGACGGGTTTCATCGCACTATGACAGTCAGTTGAGAGTCAATAATGAGGTGGATTAGGCATATACCTTGATATGCCTCTGCCGGCAGGTCTGGCACCCGGTGCTGGGTTTCCCACCATAAACCATCCTGACTGTGCGTGGCGGGAGTGAAAAAGTACTACCAATAGAGGGACTAACGAGCTAGCTGCCAGGCTGCTGCTATTAGATGACTATTAGAACGAAACCGTATAGGTTAGGCAGGCACGTAGGATGAAATCCATAGTTGATATGCTGCTATACTCGAAATCAGAGATGAACAACGCTAGACAGGGACAAGGAATATGATATCCTGGCCCATGCTGGGGAATCCCAACAAGAGAAGAGTTGATGAAGATCAATCAATGCATAATAGTAAATGGTCGCACTCCTAACTCACGTGGCTGCTGACTCAGTGGATCTTATCAGGACTCGATTGGTACATGACGTCAGAGGAGTACACTTCTACAGGAATAGTAAGTATAGAATCTCCTTTATTGTTCTATCTACGATGTAACCTAAAGACACCTGTGCAATGCTGGTTCAGATTACTGAGGCATCAGTAATTGGCAAGAAACAATGCACCCTAACTCCAGGAGGATAATCAGAAAAAAGGAAAATATTACATCCATCATCATAGCTCATTACCATTATCGGCCCCGTCATTATCCGTATAAGAATCATTCAAATCATTAGAGTCAGATCGCATTATCGTAATCATCAAAAGAAACCGAAAACCATAAATTGCTGTAGATCAAGCATGTGGGTATAATTGCAGGTAAAAGGGTGGCAAGCGTGGTATAAACATTTTCATGGCCACACTTAATGGCTCACTTCTTACTTCATAGAGCCCGTCGTAATCAACATATCAGCTCGGCCAGGTCGTTGGAAACGGTCAATTCCGAGATGCTCCTTTCCATCGCGTCCCACAAAGATCCCGAACCCATAGGTGGGAAATTCTCGGTCTCCAGGAGGTGCAATAACCAGTCGAGTAACAAGGTCAGCTTTGCTTCTCGGTTCACGCAACAATTTATCGGCAAGTAAAGGACTTTGGTAGAAAAAGCTGATTTGATCAGCAAGTGTGCTGATATCGTGGGGCAAGTATCGACAGCGACGCGGCCAAATGGCAAAAAAAGAGACGGTGTACAAGGCGCAGAACGCAACAAGGGCATAAAACGCCGGCATCAATGCGGAAATGCGGATCTCTTCATGTGTAGGATACCACATTGCGAGGAAAACACCGCCAGCCAGAATAGGCATCGCAGCCGAGACAAGTGCCATGAAAGAGATCCATGCCACCTTGTAGTGTTTATTCAGTAATGCCAGGACAGTGACTTGAAAAGGAAGCCTTGACGGATAAGATAGTAACAGGGTCTGCTCCGCCTGTGCTCCGTCTGGGTGGGAAAGGGCAACAAATGGTTGCAATGCACGGAAATAGACGTCGATCGGCTGCCAAGCAAGGAACAGAACGTTTCCAATCAGAGATGGGATGAAACTGTACAGGAAGTTGGAAGAGGAGAAAGCACCAGTCGAAGGCAAAGTTGGTAGTCGAGGCGGAAACCCCCCTTTGATAGCATCGTTGATAAAGCTGACAAGCACAAATGCAATAAAGAGGGCGCTGATAGTCATCGTCCATGCCACAACAAAGGTTCCTCGAAGGAACCACGGTACCCAGCGATAACGGACAGCTGGTGAGAATAGATGCTCATCGAAATCACCCTTTCCTACCATAGTCTGCAGCTCGAGATCGAACGACACTTTCGATAGGCCCTGATATTGCCTCTCGCGGTTTTTCTCGATACGGTGCAATGAAGGGTTCCCGATTGGCGCGCCAACTTCACCGATACCATAGAAAATGTTTTCTCGATTCGGTAGCTGCCAATAGCCCAGCCGAAGTGTTTTAGGATCGAGGGTTTCACCTACATCAGGCACGGTCTCGGACTGTTCAAAATCGCGCAGAACGTTTGACCGCTGTATAATTGAGATCAAATCGGCCAGACAGACTGGATCCCACATCAAGCCAGACCAGGTGTTGGCGAAACGGAGTGTTAACAATAGCAATCCTATGGCTAACAGCCCGTACATCGCTATCAGAGCCCATCCAATGCTTATGACAGATGTCCATCGCCACATTCCTTTCCCGTCAATCACATACCACTTTGCCTGGAAAAGGCAGCTCAGCAGCGGTAACGAGATCAGATTAGAGAGCCAAATTGTTAGCAAGGAAAATCCGACTAGAGCTTCACCATGTCGAAAGTGCGACAGATCGGGTAGCATGAAATTCCGGGGAAGAGTCGACAGCATCTGTAGGACGCGGCCAAGAGGCCGTTCAGATGCCATGATCGCAAATGGTATGGTGCGACAAACTGCGGCCTGAATGACAAAGGTCCAAAACGTAATGATAACGGCCAGGATCTGTGGGAGAAATTGGACGACAAAGTATCTCCCGCCTCCCAGACCTTCATAGTCCCAGAATCCTTGGTGCTTCTGAGACCAAGTATTACAGAACCCAATACCAGCGATCATAAGCAGACAGAAAATTATTATCGCAACTAGCGCCCAGGGTCTCAACACCATAGGTACGAAATCCAGCGACGGGTAGAGTAAACTGTCTTCCGGAGGATCCACAGGCCGAAACGATTCAGGATCCACTGAGTTCTGTGGTGGTCTGAATTCTGGCTTGGGAGATGATGGTTGGGAGCTGGGTCGCTGTGTAGTTGCGGTCCTTTCAGGACTAGACGAACGAACGAAATACCCAAGCCCCTCATCCCACACGAGACGCTCAACACGCGACTCCGAACTTGCGACCGAACTTTGCCTGCTTAAGCTACCGACTTCTTCATTGCGGGTGAGCTGGCCGATAGCAAAGCGGATGTAGGGAGAGTCGTCTACCCCAGGAGTGGGCGCGGGTCCAGCATAGCTGTCGCTGGGCATCTGGCGACTGGTGCTGTTGGACATAGGACTCGTATGGACTGGTCTATCTTCAACCATACGCACTGCAGTAGCAGATCGGGAAGGGGTGCTCCTATTTTGACTTTGGCTTCCACCAAATTTTTCCGATTGAGAAGCCATCGACGGGGCTAGATGCGTTCGAGATAGGGCAGGTGAGGAAGTTCGCGATACAGGATGAGAATTCGGTGTAGCATACCGCACAACGGTAACTCGACTGCCACCGCTAGGAGATCTTGAGCTTGAAGTATGATCTGAAAAGGAGTAATAATCATCAGATGCAGCAGCAGACTGTTGAGACTCGGTGCGCTGCAGTTGAGGCCTATTTGCTGCAAGGAATTAGTAAAGCATTTCCAACTGAAGACTTGCCTAAAACATATAAAAAAACAAGAAAACCTTCGACCTCCTAGTGGAAAATACTTACAGCTCACGGTTCTCAGACTTACGTTCGCAGAACTCGGAGCAAGCATGGCGGCTGAGGACAACCGAGTAGTGCCAGTGGAGAGCTCACTTGCAGAGGCGATATCCCACGAACATCACCAATCCGCAGGTACAAGACGTATGATAGAGATATTAAGTGCCTGGCACGTCAGCCCCAAAGTGGGAGCCAGACAAGGAGGCAGCCCATGCTGTAGAACTTACTCCGGTGGTTGGGTGGTGTAGGGATTCGGATCTCCCAGCCTCCTTGGCCCAGCCACCGCGACTGAAAGGAGTGGACCGAAACACAATCGGTCACCGACATGGCTTTGAGTGATTGGAGAGCATCAACGTAGAGCGCAGTTTCCGCCGCGTGATTGGACAAACTTGCATTTTGGGCGCAAGGTGAGTTGGGGATGCGTTGGCGGCCCGTGACCATGACAACTGACAAGGTTGCGGCCCGAGGCATTCCCGACACAAAAGTCTGAAGCTATACAACTGAGATAATCTATACATTCGGCACGAGGATTGGCAATTCTTGGTCCATGGCTCGATTTCTGTATGTATATGTCAATCTATAATATGGATACCGACTATGTTGTAGTACAATTAACGCGAAAGTATGTATATGCTCCTCTGTCTCCAACTTTCTCAAACAGATCGAGAATTATACAGATACGCTGCAATCACCCCACCCCATCCACCGGCATTGTCCTTCTCTGTCGCAATCACCCGGTTTCCCTGGAGAATCATATTGATCGTGCTCTTCGTATTAGTCCCGTACAAGTATATATCGGTCGAGTCAAGAATCTGGATACTGTTCTTCTGGCAATCTCCATTGCAACCACCGTGATTGTTGTTAAAGAATACCCAGTTGCAGCCCCCATACAGAAACAGATCAGATGAGCCTTGGATTCGTTCAAAGAGTGCCATGCGGCAGAGAGCATCATTAGCTGCACACTGCGCAAAGTCCGGGTCGCTTGCAATGCTGTGCTCAGCCCATGGGGAGGGTGTCATTAGATTCCCGGGGCCTTGCCAGTACGGCGATTCGCTTTGCTGCAAGGCAGAAAAGACATTGCGCGCCCTTTCAAAATTATACTGATAAAGGGTGTGATGCTCGAAGCCTGTACCAAGTAGCCAGGTAGCACGGGTGGCCTCCACCAGCATCCCTCGGCCTGTAGCAATGTTCTGAATGTTGCCACCGTCCAAGTCGTGGTCTGCTGTCCATCCCCACATGTTCTCAATATAGGCGGATGAGGTGGTGGATAGACGAATGATTCCCCAGGCCGCCTTGCAGTTGGCTGGGGAGCCATTGCAGTGGGTTTGAACTTTACTACCCACCGCACCCCCGACACGGAAATGTGTGTTCCAAAATCCAACGTCCCCAGGCTGTTTTCCGGCAATGTTCACTTCAGCCTGGCAACCACGTCTGCGTCAGAATGGGCCGTTTCAAGGTATGAAGCATACGTACCATCAGGCATCCCGGCAGAATATCTGCAACACTGAACATCATGTCGGAAACTTGCAACACACCAACATCACCAGGGTATCCAAAACGGATCATGGCGCGAGGCTCAGCTGCATTTGCAAAGTTGCTGCCAACGGCACTGATAACGCTAGCAAACGCATCCCCAATAATTCGTTTGCCGCTAGGGACGAATATTGTATTAGTCACGATGTATGTGCCGGCCGGAAAGTAGATGAGTTTGCAATCATTGTATTCGGCCAGAATGGTGTTGATGTTTCTGGTATCATCCGTTGAGCCATCGCCGAGTACGGGCTTTCCCGGCACGGACTTGATATTCATGACTTCGTTGACTCCATATTCTTTGTAGGTCGGGGGTGGCATTGTAAAATATTTATTGCCTGCCAACAGACTAGGGCTGCGCGGGGTTATAGTACTTTGCCCTAGAACCCTCTTCCTCTTTGCATTCCCAAGTTCGTACTAAGAGAATAGATTTTAGTTCTCGGTCTGCGAATCAAATGAGGTGACGTTTACCATAGTTCCATGCACCCAAGTATTCGATACAGCTCCCCTGAGAATAGCTTCTCCCGCGAGAACTACTGTATCACCAGTATTTTGGATGTTCTCTAGTATAATCGCATTCCCTGCATTTCCTGAATCAACAGATTCAATGAGTGAGTGAAGACCCCGACCCGTAGAGTCAATTACTGTCAATGAGCCTGATGTACCACTCGCATCTATTCCAATGTCACCTTCCTCGAAGTGGCAATCCACGAAGACAATGTCTGTTCCGCCTGCAATAACCCCAGTAGCAGTTCCTGTGAATCTGAGATTTCGAAACGCCCACTGCTGTCCACTCAGCCTCATTCCAACGGCACCGCCCCTGAACCACAAATCATTCTGCTCATAGTCAGTCTTATTCCATACCGCAGGCTTTAGTCAGATCATACTATCATGAGATTGCTGTTATAATCGTACTGAGTACTTAGACCGGCATGATTCGACACTCCCATTGGCATGTTGAACCCAACATTTGACAGTTGCGTTGCCTGGCTAACCGTCCAGTCGAGGAGGGTCATATGCAGGGACGGGTCCAGAGCAGTAGAGTCTAACACGATATTTTTGACGCCTATTTGGAAGTTAATTGTCCCGACGTAGTTTGGGTCCTTGGCGTAAATAATATGATCCCCCGAGAATCCGGTGATTGCCTTTAAAACGGGTGGGTTTGTCGCATCTCCCACCAACACGGTCCCAACGTAGAACTGCAATCCAGCTTGCAGAAGGTATGTTCCAGCAGGCAAATAGACTATGGCTGGTTGTCCCGTCGTTCCCATAGCGTGAGACCCCCGTCCTGGTCCGTTTGTGGATCCAGCTGTACGACAATTTTTGTATTAGGGAATACTCCTTTACAATAATCAATGTGCGGTGAGGGAAGACGGTTTAATCATACCTTGGATTGCCTTCTGTATAGCCAGCGAGGCATCTCTCTGGCCAGTATTATCTGCATGGAAATCTGTTACCACATTTCGAAAAACCGCATATTTGTCTTTATAATCAGAGCTCAAGAACGAGGATTGGCCATTATGCTCGACTTCCTCGTACCAATAGCCAGACGATGAATAAGATGATGAGCAATGGTAGTTGTTTCCCAGGTTTGTATGGGTGGCAGAGGATTCCAGTTCATGTCCCTGTTGTGTAGTGTCGTTTTTAATGGTGAATGGGACTCCACTAGGCTAGTTAGGATAGATTACCGGGATAGATAGAGAGAAAAGCAGCTCACAATAGAGTAGGGAGGTAATCCAGAGGGGGATAATATTTCACTTTACGGGATTTTGTATTATTCTTGAGGGTCGTGTCATTCTCCCGTTCCCCTGGAGGCATTGCCGACACATATGAGGTAAGTAAACTTAATAAGTATATACCAAGAAAAGAACAAAAAGGTGCCATCATAGAATTGAAACGCGGCGGGAGTATAGAATGACCAATAAGTGTGACAACGCCTCCACCAGCTTGCCTATCAAGTATACCTTTATAACACCTGCCGCCAAAATGTAATAGAGGTACGAATTGTCAAGCGAGGGCCGGGGTAGAATGTACACAAGATGGCCCAGATGGTGCACCAGGTGCTGGTAAAAGGAATGAAAGGGGATGGAAAATGGAACAAAAATAAGAGTGCAGCAGTTAACGCGGTTCTAGGCCCTAAATTCCCATTCCTTATTCATGTTGCTTGCTCAACCTGCCTCTTCCTGGCAGCGCGTACTTGGAACCGGGCCAGCATAACAAGCAAACTCAGTCAACAATCACCACCGCAACCCTGCATAGCTGGGAATTCTTCAGCCTCAGGAACCTTATCTCGGCAATGCGTATATCAAAATGCGCCGAAGAGTCCAATACGGCCCTACTTATCAAATCATTCGTAGGATACAGTTAGCATAATGTCCAGATCTATCCAACCATCCCAAATTAAAGCTGGCATAGATTGAATGCCAGAGATAGCAGTTGAGAATTCAGTACGACTTCAGCTTGAGAAATGCGAGCCTACCAAATCTTGAGGTTGAGGAATCTAGCAAACACCACTTAACTGAACTAGTTCGCTCTGTAAGTCAACGGCCTGTCCTACGCAGGAACCTCTGGGAGAAAGCGTCGGATTTGTCCGCATAGCAACACGAAGCAAGGGCCAGCCATTTGCTTATCATTCCACGTGCGAGACATCCTCGATCCAATTGCGTGTTCAGTTTGTCGCCTTTCTTTTAATCGTACCTATTATTTTTATTATTTTTTATTTTTCCTATTTTGTGCTTCCGTTCTCTTCCCTCCTCACCCCCGTTAGCTATTGTCATGACTATCCAGTTCTGTACTTCATTTTCACTAACAAGCCACATCACATAAACAGACTAGGAGATCTGAGAGATCTAGTATCCGAAAAAGGAATTAGACTTAATTCTCATTACATTCTTTTTTTTTTTTTTTTTTTTTTTTTTTTTCACTATTAGAGCAGGTTTGGTGTGGGAGAAAATGACTTGTGTATATTTCCAGCAGCACCAATGCCGGTAGCAACATAGCGACCCTAGGAGAAAGTAGATTCAGATCGAGATTCCTTTGAGGAATTTAAACCATCAAGGATACGCCACTTCTGATTGCCAATGAACGTTCCAGTCCGTGAAGGAGCGCGATCTTGTTGTCATCAAGTGCCAAGGGTCTATGTCTGAGCCAAGACTCTATCCTAAGCCAAGCATGCCAGGACGTGCTAGCAGTAGATGAAGGCTTAAATTTAAATGCCAGTGTCGATGATAGAATGGAGTTGGCTGAAAGCAGTCTTCTTTGAATGTTTTCTTCTCTTTTTAGAATTTACCTTTCCCTGGACCAGTCACTTCGTATGGCTCAGGGAGTCCCCTTTTATAACCAATTAACAAAAACAAAAGCAGAATGCTTGATATGGTATATGGCGCAATGATAATAGGATATTAAAGGATAGGAAGGCCCAGCTCACAAGTTCAGTAGCTCAGTCGTAGTCAATGTGAGTCCATGCCGAGTCACATACAGCAGCAAGTCTTGTAACACCAGGAGATTTGGTTTCCCCCACGTCCACCAGGGGGACATATCGTCGTAGTCATGTTGGCTGCAAGTACGAAGTACAGTTGCATTGGATTTAAAGGTTATTTACATTTCCCATGTACGATTATATTGGACATGGACCTTGTAAATGCAAAAATCCTATTTGAGTGGATTTGCTCTATTCGGGATACTTTATAAGATTGTTCAAACCGTTATTAAAGTATTTCGTCAAAATCAAGAAACAAGCCACGAATAAGACACGTACATGGCGTCAAAGAAAAGGGGGGAAAGTAGAACTCTCAAATACAGTCTATTCATAACGACGGACGATTGATCTATCTCGTTAGATTAGTGTGCTTCATCCTTCGAAGGGGTCAAGGAAATCGGCGATCTTTTCCCAGCGAGTCAACCGTCTGGGTTTCACTAGTCCAGGCTTCAGAAAAGGAGGAGACATGGGTCTTAAACCATCGTCGATCGACCATGAAGTGCGCTTTCACTACGATTTTGCTGTGTCTTCGATGCATAGAATTGTTTATGAGATACCTCTTTCTCGCCAAATAACAGTCACATGGGCAGCATCGTCAGCATCGTTAGCATCTTATGTCGAGACAAAACCGTTCGACTAACTAGAACCCGGGCTCTTAGTGAGTCATAATAGCAAGTCATATAGGGGAGTTTCATCATCTTATCTACTCAGTATGGAGCTTTATGGATCACATCCCGTGAAACCTGTGTTAGCCCAACGTTGTGCGACACGGATCATCACCACTACACAAGAATAATGGGCTACGCCATACGGATACGAAATACTAGTGGACCTAATTATGTCCAAGAAAACGAAGCTCTTGGGGAAGTTGAATTGCATCCAATCCACTGACAAGAGTATTATCTACGTTGTAGCACGAGACTCTGGTATCTTGATAAGCTATTAATCTCTTTCTCTTATTACGAAATACCAAGCCCCTATTGTGGTACCACTTTTAAAGAGAGTTTCACCTATGTGGATATGGGTTTTGCCTAGTCATGCCCAGTTCCCCTTGAGAGAAGTGCATTGAAATCGTCTATTGGCTCTGAATATTTTCGGCCACCAGCAGAAAATGGAAATAATAATATCCTAGATTTCACATGTACATTGGGTGGAGTTAGCTTCTGTCATACCTTGATTCCGTAGTGCCCCAGTTCACCAACGATGGATATTAACGGTGTAGTAACCGGGGGCTAACGGTATGACAAGGCTAACTAGGAAGTTAGTGGGACATTAAAGCATTCTTCCTGTCCATGGTTCAACGAATTAGAGGAGGGCGTTGCATGGAATGGACCGCCGCGTATGCTTACCATTGTCAAAATGCTGGGCGGAGTAATTCAGCCACTATTCGAGGTTGAAGAGAGAAAAAGAGAGAGAAGAATATTATGGGATTAGAGAACCATCGCTTGATCTGAAGTCGATGAGAAAGACGATGATCACTATTCAAAAAACAGCTTAGGAGATCCATTGATCAAAACATTTTCTGGTTCGAATAAACTTAGTGGCAATTCGACACCTTAGGCAAGCCCCCCTCCTTAGTGACCCGGCCCGGGCGCACTTCCAAGTTCCATCCCCAACATTCCATCTCTCTTTCTCATTCATCCATTCATTTTTTTCCTTCCATTCATTCATTCGCTATTTCCACTCCTATCCCCTCTCCGTCGGACTTGGGTCGGTTAATTTGCTGCCTGTATCGGATTGTCGACCCAGAGTCGCTCCCTAGTAGCTGCTGTCCTCTCCTTTCTGTCAGTTGCCTCCCCTCCCTTGATCTCTTAGCGGAGCTCTATTCCAGTGCAGGGGAGAAAAGAAAGGAAAAAGAAATACGGGAGAGAGCAATGTCCCGACCAATGTTGTAAGAAGGTTCGAGTCTCATCTGGCTGCATGTGTCGCTGCCATTGGAGGTCTGGGCCGTTTGCTCTTGATTCTCCAACTCCAGTGCGACTGGCCCTTCTACTTTACTACCTTTGCCTCCTGTAGCGTCGGCGGCGCTGCTCCTTCGCCATGTTGCTCAAACCCGCCACGCCCCTCACGGTCCTGCTTTTGGTTGCGTTTGTTCTCTTACTCTTGTCTGTTATTTCCACCCCAATCGTCAAAGGTATTCCGCTGGCATCCTTTGAAACTGTCGATTACGGAGTCTTTGGTTACTGCAAGGGCGATAAGTGTACCAATATCCATGTCGGTTACACCAACGGTTCGTCTCTCTGGCTACCCCTGGGTGAACTCACACCGTAGCTGATTTACCGTCGGCAGATGACCTATCCAGCGCCGGTAACGTCGATGATTATTACCTTCCGGCTAGTACTCGCAGATCGCTTTCTTCGATTTTAATCGTGCATCCCGTCGCTGCGCTCCTTACGCTCATCTGTCTATGCATGGCGGTGGCGGCCCACTTCCATAGTCCGTCACATTCGCCTCGCTATCTCCTCGCCTTGTTGATCCTCCTGCTCCCGACGCTTCTCGTCACCCTACTTGCCTTTTTAGTCGATATCCTGCTTTTCGTTCCGCATCTCGGATGGGGAGGATGGATCGTGCTTGGTGCGACCATTATCCTCGTCTCATGTGGGGTAGTCACATGTGCGATGCGCCGGACTCTTGTGAGCCGCAAGGCAAGGAAGAAGCGCATTGCAGAGAACGCTGAGATGAGCGGAGAGAATTTCTACAACCGCCAAAATGCCGGCGCCAATACAGGCCTGAATGCACCTTCGATACTGAAAGAAGAGATCAAAGTGCCTTTTGTTACCGGTTCGCCTCCCGGCTCGGACACGGGGCCTACTTTTGCTACCTTCCGTACTACCACTCGTGAAAGCGACGATGATCGCACTCCTCTTAACTCACGAACCCCTCCGAGTGATCCACCAATGTCGGATGGTCAGCCACCAGCTCGGATGCGCTCTGATCGAGTTCCACACAACGCTCCACGTGATGAATTCGGAAACCCTCTTCCCCCTGCTGGGTTCGGACCGAGAATGCGGCCCGCTCCTGGGGATCCCAGGTTGCGCAATCAGTACTCAGACGGCAGCATGAGTTCACGGGGAGGTGCGCCTCCAGGTTTTGGGCCACGTGGGCGAGGTGGTTATCCTCCCCGAGGAGGCTATGGCCGCGGAGGACCCTATGGAGGGCCTCGGGGCCCACCTCCCAACGCAAGAGGTGGGCCGATGGGTTCAATGCGTGGAGGCCATCCTGGAATGATGGGCCGAGGAGGATACCGTGGACCACCGCAATTCGTATATGGACCCGGATCCGGACCTCGGCCTATGCCGTCTCCTGAAGAAGTCGAGCCCGAGTATTATGTTGACTCACCTGTGGATTCCATGCGTCAACCATCCCCTGGCCCGATCGGTATGGCAGTATCACCGGATCCCGGACATGTTGGCCAAGCGATAGAGATGACACCACAACCGAGAAGAGTGGGCTCCGCTGAGCCAGAACATCAGCAAGTTCTACGGGACGTCCATCAACCACATGCCTTGTCTGCGGATGGATATCCGGAGCCAGTCAGCCCCTCGAGCCTTTATAGCCGGACAGCGTAAGAGGAGCTCTTTTCACCCCCTTATTGAATGTTTCTAACGTGTCCAGCTCGTATACCCCTCCACGTGCCGGTTGGGGACAACCGGGACCGCGCACTGGCCCCTCACCTTCACCTGTCCACGCTTACGGAGCAGCTCGAACTTCGCCGCAAGCTCGTTCCAACTCGGGCGAGTACTTCGAAGATGTGGATCCTCGTTTTGCTAATCGCAATGAGTCCGCAGTCGGCAACCCACGATTGCCATCCGCTCTGACACCGGGTAATGGTGAGCCGAAATCGGTGGAAGAAGAATTGGTTGAGGATCCTGGCTCACCTACTACTAGCGATATAAGCCATTTCACTTCCATTTCCGAGCGACCTGTAAACCCACGCTGGCGTCCCCCTCCGCTTCCCTCCCAGCAAAAACGAAATGTTCTTCTGGAAAATAATCCCGATTTTGACCTGCGGGCCGGCATGGGACGAGGCCGTAGTGCAGGCGTCGGGGGTCGCATGCCAGCGATGCCGATGCCTCGAGAAGCTACAAGATACCCTATCCCCTGAACATCATGGTATGCCTAGCATATTTTGGTTCCTGTGATTACAGGGTCACCACGTGGATTTACTTCATGAAACGCATTTGGGGTCCTTAATTTTGGATCGCCGTTTCTCTTTTGGGAGGCTGTATGGCAGTATTGTTTACTTTCTTACGCTCCTTTGTTCGACCATACATTGCACATAGGACTTTGTACTTGTAATTGACTACAGTGTCGAAGCTGCCCAGTGGTGCCAGCATGGAGGATACCGTGTACAGGGGTTTGATTTGGACATTTATAGGCTGATACTGTGTCATAGATATTGTGATATCAGTGCCTAATTCCAGCGTCTGATTTTTTTCATTGTGGACTGGTCCACGGACGGCGTACATTAAATATTTGGCTTTCAATTGCTGCGCAATTTTTTTTTTGGTTTTTTTTTCCCCCAATTATTGTCTTTGGTCCATTAAATATGGAATGCCCTTCTGTCCACTATTTGAGCCACATTAAGCTGTGCACTATGGACAATACTCGATCATACTTTTCTCCTTGTCATAGTAAGTTATCCTTCTGTTGACATCCATCTAGTTGTCATTCCGTAGAATTCAAGAATGTCAATAAATCGAGATGAGATATGAAATAAAACAGCAGAACAATCATCGCTGGGTATTTAACCTACTCCAAATACATCTCCCAAAAAACACAAAAACTCGAAACATATATGGTATCTCTATTTATTAAATTGGTATAACAACACCCCTTTCTTCCTGGATCACTTATCCATTAACTTCGGATGATCAGGTCCCTCCAATTCCTGCAGTCGACGACTATCACTCAACTCCGACACCATGCTGTCCCCAGGAAGTTCCGCCCAGGCCTTCTGGATCGGCGATTCACCATGATACAACATCGGTTGCGACTGTATTGGAACCTGCGACTGTGGCGCCCATCCGCTTCCTCCCATTTCAGCCCCATACGACGAACTTGGTGGTAGAGAGGGAGATGCATCCTTCTGCTGTGGATGGGAAGGGGAAGTATTCGGTGTAGACTGTCTCTTTCGAACCCGTCGTCCGAGATAAAATAATCCCGCAGCGAGAATACCCAGCGCTACGACAACCGCGACGACGATTCCAGCGATGGCGCCGCTGGCGATTAATCCATTATCCTTCTTTTCTGGTGCGGAGGATGAAGGTGTAGCCGTAGGCATAGATGAAGGTGTAGCCGTAGGCATAGATGAAGGTGTAGCCGTAGGCATTGATGTAGTTGTAGTTGTAGTAGATTTCGGCAGCGGACCGGTACTATCGCCGTATTCAACCATATACGATCGGAGATCTTTACTAGCTATTTTTCGCCATACCGTGGGCGAGTTTTTCCCGGCGGGCGGGCCGGTGCAGTTATCTGAAGTCCAGAGGTAGAACCAGTATGCGTCTTTGTCCGGCTCGAAGTCGAATTCTCTGCCTTTGGCGTGGTCAATCCGTGTACAGGGTTGGACATCATGGCTGCTGTGTGTGAAGGTGTCATTGGCTTCGTTGCGCCAGGTGAATGTCCATGCTGATGCGAAGGTGCAGAGGATGAGGGGGAGGAGAGGTTTCATCGCTCTCTTTCTGTCTCTGTGTCTGTGTGTAGGTATTATTATTTTGTGTATATGGTATATTATAAATGTGTGTGAACAAAGTAGAGATTCTGACTATTGAGAAGGTAAGAATCAGCCATGAACTTAACAGTGATAGAATTAAGGAGGGATTGGGACAGGATCGTCAGATTCCCATCTAAGCTAGAGGGACGATCTCTCCTAAGAATGATGAATCTACTGGGACGGTCGTGTTTGCGGCTACCTATTACTTGTTGATTGGAACCATGCATGATCAGCCTCCTGCAGAGCTGAGATTAGGTCCCCACATCGTGGGAGAATAGAGTTGGTCCTCTGCCGTCTTATGTGACCTGGAGTGGTCAGGTTTCTGATTGATGTTGAGTTGGATGGATGAATCTCGGCGAGAAGAAGTGGTCACGTTGACTGTTGACAGTTGACACCGAACACCACAGGCACATATATTACTCTATACGGAGCTCCCATAGAGTGTCTATTCTATATGTCAACACCAACGGAAGGTTCACTACGACTGCAAGACAGACTGACAGACAGACAGACAGACAAACAACCAGCCTAAATGGAGTCCCTGCATTCACCAAGCGCTGTGATTGGCTCTGACGCCAGAAATACGAGGTGGTGAGAGATCGTTGCTCTTCCTTCTTCAACAGTGGATCCGTGAGAAGGAACAAACCACCAGGATCGACGTCGCCTGGTCTAGGAATGGTATCTTTTGGGTTAATCATTGGCCCTGAAACGGTCCCTTATATCATTATATGGAGAATGTGGATGAGAATGTGGATGAGAATGTGAATGAGAATGCGAAGGGCGTTTACCAGTTATTAACGTCAATCAGAGAACCCCTCAACAAATGTATGAGTATTCTCGATGATAAGATCCACACACTGCGAGAATCGAATCCTTTTGATCAACGTTTACTCAGAGTATGGTGGTCTGGGATAAATCCTGTCGCTCGTATATTGGCACTCATCTGGCATTGTTGGTTATGTCCATCTGGTAGCCTTCTCACATGTTAGGGCAAGGGGCAGTCCGTACGACATTCATCAACCCTTAACTGGGCATTCTTAGGCTGATATTAAACTTTCGCCTGTATTTTGCGCTGGTGGGGCTGTAACGGTTTTCTTTTTTTTTATTATTTTATTTTTCGTATCTTATTCTCTATGCTTGCAAGAGATTGAGTAGTTAGCCTCTACAGCAGTAAAAAAGAGATTGCAATAATAATTGGAATATATACTCCGTAGACTAGGTAGGAATAACGTCAGCCTGCATCGTAAGTGTCAGCAGTATATTGCCAAGCCAACGTCTAGGCCAGTCCTGTAGACGCTTATCGAGCTCATTGCAATCACACAAACCATCTTAACGCCTCCATCACGCACCACAGCATCCCTTTTCTTCAACGACGCCTTAACCGGGTTCCGCTGCTCAAAGATGTCCTCCAGCTCCTCGATCGTACGCCCCTTCGTCTCATGGAGGGCGAAATACATAGGGCTTATTCGGGGAAATGCAGAACCACTATACAAATCCCGTTAGATCTGTCCAATCTTAACCACCCGTACGACAGGAAACCCACGGAGTGTTGTATACATTCGCCAGCCGATATTGCTCATCCCAGTCGGGGTCGCATACATATTGATAAACTGGCACCGCCAGTCGCTACGTTCTGTAGGGACAACTTTGCACGCACGCGGTTCGGGAGGATTCTGCCGGATATAGTAATTGCAGCGGAGTCCAGCAGAATGAGTAGAAAATACTATACAGGAAGACACGGGCGACGAAGCCGTATCCATGCTGTGGGTGATATTGGAGTGGTCAAACGAGGCTATCTCGTTTATAGGACTAAATAAGACCCGTGAAGAAAGTGCCGTGAAGAGGGTGCGATGACCCCATCTGTCAACGAAGAAACTACGGACGACGCGGCTATTGAACGAGAAAACAATATTGAGGGCGCTGAGGAGAATTTGCTGGTGTGACCCGGTGATGCTGGCGCTCTCAAGAATAACCTGCATGAAGTAATTGTTTTGTCAGCCCACATCCAGTGCAGTAAGTTAGAGAATAGACACTCACATAATGACTGATCCTCCGATAAATTGGGAGAAGATACAGACGAAAAATAGAAGCCAGAAACGCTATAGCATATCCCGCGAAGTGAACAGGAGCTTGCAGTTCCCACCAGCGTCGTCGCCCGGTTTCGATTTCAAAGCGGATGTCTTCCTCAATTTCATTGCATTCGTAGCTGACTAGTACAGAATTAGCATTGCCATTGCCATGGTACTTCACCATCACTTGCCGTCCTTGTTCAAGCTTGTTATTGGCAAAAAGCTATCGAGGACTCTTGGGAATCAGCCGGGTAGACACTAGGACTATGAGCGATGGACGCCCTGGCCGATGACGATACTCCATGACTAGTTCGTGTTTAAGAATCCCGTCCCATAGAAAATCCAGGTACGGGCTGACAAGTTAGACAGTGAAAGAGCATGAAATTAAAAAATACCCACCCAATGCCCCTATATAATATCCCACAACGATGTACAGCCCACCAAATAACCCTCTCCATTGCGCAAGGCCACCTCCACCAGATAGATTGGAGCTGCTGCATTGAATATGCTAATCACCATTCCGATCAGGAAGCGTCTGCCGATAAGCTAAGCCACTCTCGAGGCTGTTGCTTCGATGGTCATCCCTACAATTATCAGAGGGAACCGATGGACATGCCAAAGCGTCTCCCTAATGTATCTGAAATGGGCGGGGCAAACACTGCGCCTACAAGATTACCAATAGCATTAGATGGAAAACAAGAGACCGGGTGCCACTGCCCTGCATGCATGTCCCGCAATGATTATGAAACATATCCATGGCGTTGATGGAAGACATGAGAGTGTCGTCGTAGCCGTTCATACAACAATCTGTTCACTTCAGTAGTAGGAAAAGCAGATAGAAAAAGGTAGCCCACTGAGAGTCGTCAGGGCAATCAGGCCACATAGTTGAAGCACAGCCACGACCAGGGCGACATTATATCCCCGGATAAAGGTCATTCAACAGATAAAACCTGACTCGTTGAGGGTTGGTCTCGGACTCATCAGCCATCTCCCGATCTGGGTGAGTAGCCAGAGTGGTCGCCGCAAGGGATCCTCCTTTATTATTACAGTAAATATACCTTGGATGCGTTCTGTCAGTGTTAACCCCAGATTTTGGCTTTTGGCCAGCTTCTTTCGCCACGGACAAGGCTCCGTAGTGGTCTCCGCATTCAGGCTATTAAGAAGAAAAATGTATCCTTCATTTGTGGAATTGTATACCTCATCAATATCGTGTCCAGTGTAGAATTTAGCTAGCTATTTTGGGCACGGGGAAGGTCTGTCTTCTGCCGTTGAGGCCATAGGCATATTGCGTCATATATTATGGAGCACACTTACTGATATAGCTAGAATATAGAGTTGTCGTTTTCAGAGGGGAATTGATCACTTATGACTATAACCGGCTCCTTCATTTGGCCTGATTCATCCTAGTGCGCAATATTAGATGCAGTAGATACTGTACCAAACTCAGGCTTATGCCTATTGTCTATTAAGCCATCTTGTAAACCACACCACTATAAAGCTTGAGCTAGTTTGTAAATACTCGCATTCCTGATTCGCTTTTCAGAGAGATACATCTCCTTGGGAAGCCAATCTGTAACTTTGCCAGCAGGCAGTCCCGGTCGCGTCTCATGTTGAATATTTTCTCGTCCCAGGACCATCAGCCCGACCGCAGTTCCCGACAACCATGCCGAAACCATTCCATCGCCACCGAAGCCTGCCGTAATCCATTCATTGGGAGAATCTCCAACTGGTTTCCCCGAGGTTTTTCCTTTGCCTGACTTGCGTCGTGGCACTCTGCCGGTGAACTTGGGACTGACTTGTCCGACAAAGGGAAGGAGATCAATAGTGAACCCCATGCATCCTGTCCATAGTTGGAGTACTTTTGTGTGTTCGCTTTCGAAAGTAACAGGCCATATTCCACCCAAGTATGCGCTGATTATAGGATTGGTACTGTTGTCTTTCCAGATACCAATTTCGTCTATTGCTTTGTTTTCAGATTGGAAGAGACCACCCCCAATCATGATCTCCCCTCCAGGGCTGTGGCTGCCTGCGGACTCCTGTGGCCGCTGTGTGACGTACTCGAATCCTTTCTTACCGATAATGCTCCAGGACAGAGACCCATCCAGCTTTAAAGAGGGTCCGACCGCCTCCTGTGCGGACATGTGTCCTCGAATCGGAAAGATTTTACCCTTTAGTCCAGGAATGAGATTTGCTGCGAATGCGTCTGTGGCATGGACGACGTGTCGAGCACGTATCTCACCGCGGGATGTATGCAGACAATACGGACTATAGTCATTCTCTTCAATCTTAATATCTTGGACCGTTGTGCTAGTTTCGATGGAAAATTTTTTGCCATAAGTAGATAACAAGGCTGCGTAAATAGAGCCTACAAGCCTATAAGGCCACATTGCGCCGGCGCGATATGAAATAGCTCCATGACAATGGTTGCCAATCGAAAATTTCTAAATTCCAGTGAGCCTAGGGCAACATTTGTAGTGAATATACACGATCAATGGACTCACCTTGCGAGCTTCCTCAGCCTCCCATACTACGATATCCTCTGCCGCTTCCGGGACATCTCGACGAAGGACTTGAATCATAGCCAGCGCTTTTTCCCACTGGGTATCCTCCAGGAATACATCAACAGTATCCACTTCTCTGATTTCTGTACCCTCGAGCCTTTCAGTCTTGACTAGATCAAGCATGAGGGGGACATGACGACGATAGAAGTTCAGGACATCTTTAGCCCGCCCTGGCGCCAGCATCTCCTTTAGTTCAGAGTATAGGGAATACGGTGAGCATTTCAGATGACCGCCGTTTCGTCCAGTTGCTCCACTGCACACCTCACGGGCTTCAAGTACAACAACCGTTTTCTCTTCGCCGAGCGCCTGACACTCTGACAGAATTGTGTAGGCAACACTAGCACCTGACATCCCGGAGCCTATTATCACGATGTCTGCAGACTGTGGCAGCTTTTCTGACTTCATATTGACCAACTCGGGGTATAGCGGGTTCGTCTGCCAGAATGAGACCGTCGGATCTGAGACTGGAAGCTTGGGTGTCGCAATGCGTTGAAAAAGAGCGTTGGAATCGACCGCACAGTGGGACAATTCACTCCAAAGGGCTTTCAATGCATAATAGCAAGCGCCAATTGTCGATATAACTGCACCCATTTTGATGAATTATCACTCTGTTGTAATGGGTGTGATGGTGTGATGGGTGTAACGGATGTAGTGTTGTAATGGAAGAGCGCCAAGAATACATATACCACATGATTAGGCAACACCATAGAAACATGAGACAGGATTTAGCACTTACGATTGCAGTAGTATAGGAGCAGCAATCAAGAATGGAAATACAAAGGCGACATCTCGACGGTGTTATTATTACTATCCTCGCTTCATACCATCGCACGTCGGCCCACCACAAACTACAATGAAATCGAGGATCTCGACTTTTTATATATAAAATAGAAATAAAGATACGTTACATTAGTCATTACTTATGTCCGCCAGCAGAAACATTCATAAAGCGACAGATAATCATGCCATCTAGCAAGATCATGTCAATCCGAATTTCCACGATAGCCCTTTCCATCACAAGGCCATTTCAACATCACTACAAATCAAGAATAAACGTAACAGTTCATTTAGACTTCAACGAGTCGGGAGGAAGTCCTTTGCAGCATCCTGTTGTTGGCTGAATGATTGGGGAAACGCGGCAATCCCAGCAATGATGCCCACAGCCATGAACAAAAGAGAGATAACGGACCAGATGACTCCCCAGCATCTGGAAGATCCTCCGTAACGCTGAGCAAAGACGCTGGCATCAGAGGTATTCACTTTGCGGATGATTAGATCATCACACTAGCAATGCAGTTAGTCTGCGTCAAACAGAGACTGCAGGTAGGAAGGAGTCTTACAATATCCCAGACGCTATAGAGCGCAGACATAACACCAATAAAAAGCTAGAGATGCATTAGTTTATCATTTAGATAGATAGTTACCGAAAATTTTCGTCCAGGAGCTTACCACAACCCATCTAAGCGCCTCACCATGAGCAATGAACCAACATGCTACAAGCAACCCAACCGCAAGAAGCACCGTGAGAATGGTTAGCCAGTCCCTTCGGGCCCACCAAAGCGTGAGCAGGAAACAGACGCCCAAAATAATACTGGCGACCTTGCTCGCAACGATGTTGAACCCCGCGAAGATCAGCAGGGCCCCGATTATCGAGGAACCCAAATATCCCGCGGGAAGTGTGATGGCGCTGATTCCTCCTTGCATGTGCGTGACTCCTCCCTCATGGGGATCCAGGGAGATAGATTTGACTCGGCCGCCGGTGCAGCATGCAGTAATAGCGTGGCCGAACTCATGGAACGCAATCACCAACATCTGTAGAAATCAGTTCCGACACTTGCGCATAGCATTTTGGGCATATTCAACTCACTTTAAAAGGCCATAATGACCACCGGACATATGGTAAATTCCATAAAAGCGCAATCACTACCACATATGCAGCCATCACCCCTAGAGTTACCGCCTGGGTGTGGTTGACGGTCAGATCGCGCTTGGCGACATGTGTGTCTGCTGTCTCCAGGGCTCGCTTTGCAAGCGACTCGTAGAAGGGCGCCATGATAAATATTGTCTTTGTCACTCGAAGAACCAACTGAGACGAGAAAAATGCTGTTCTTGTCTAGTGCGGTTGATATTTAAATGGAGATCTTATGAGTGGTGCCTACGCGTTCTATTGTCCTCCTGAGTAAATACTTACCCAGACGGGCTTAGTGGCTGTGTGGCAAGACATATTTTTAGCATTTTTGTTCGTGGCTGGGGCGGGGCTATGGCTGGCCAATCAGAGCAATGGACAGCCACAGCCCTATGTGCCTGAGGCATTATCTAGCTCATGCATCAATCAGTCAATCAGCCAGTCACAACTTAAACCATGTTGAGCTCATTTTCTTGCTTGTTTTGGCCTCCAAGGACTCAGTCATCAATCTAACAGGTTCACTTGGGCCTCCTGAGTCAAATGATTCCCCGAAGGCATCTACTCCAGCCTTGATGGCCCTCTTCTATAGTCTCAATCGCTCCCATTGCCTAATGAGTGCCTTCTGATGTCGAACAGCGAGAGGCTCATTTCCCTCCAGACGCTCAGTATAGTTGCTCACAGCTTCGTCTAACATCTGTGGTTCAGCAATTTTCTCAACAAGACCCAATCTGAGAGCTTTCTGGGCTGGAATGTTGTCTCCTAGCAGGAGGAATTGACGCCTCCGTTCCCGCCTTATCAATCCAAACAACAGAGCTGCTTCAACAACGCCGGGGCCTCCAATCACAACCTGGTAGCATATCGACAATCAGTATATCTATCACCTTATCTAGGATATGGAAATAAGAGAATATATATATATATATGTACGTACCTCAGGCTTCCCAAAGCCGCCGTAGTACTCGCAACGCGAAAGTCACAAGACGCAGCAACTAACAATCCAGCTCCCAGTGCATACCCATTGATTCTCCAAATCACCGGCACCGGGCAGTCATGTATGCTTTACAGGCTTGTGGAATTTGGTAATAAACTGTCGTGCAGCAATAGAAGTTGTAATTATTGCCATCTCGTTGATATTGGCACTGCCGATGAAGGGCTTGTTCCCTTCACCTATAAGGATAACTGCGATGAGATCGGGGTGTCTTTGAGAAAAAAGGGTCATTGTTTGAGTTAGTGAGTCTAGAAGGGGCGGGTCTAGGCTATTTATCTTGGTTGGGATATCGTAATTGGTGCTATCTGGCTGTTTAGTCGGCGGACAATGTTTGTTATAATAGATGACGGTAGGATGGTCATTGCCTTGATTTGGTTTAATGGTTGTATAATTAAATATACATAGTATAATTTTTAAGACTTTTTGGCAATGCGTTTGATGTGACTTCAATGGTGAGATATTGGCACGTCTTTCTGGGAACCCCGCTCAATATATTAAGAAGGGAGCGAAGGTTAATGCCGATTAAATGTTCGAGTAACATCCAATCTCATTCCTTCTGCGAAAAATTAATTCCTGGGCCTGAGTACAGAAACATACATCTAGAACTGGGTTCAGAGCTATTTGTTCGTCCGTTGGATGTAACTTTATCCTTCCTATATCCATACTCTAGCATAGTTCCTTGTACAATGGAAAGTGCCTATCGCCCAAAATATACTGTGAATTTGATTGGGTATAATATGATAACTCGCTGTATTCAGTAGATATAAACAGGGCATCATATATCCTACCTACGCGTTTAGATAAACCATCAAATCCATACCAGGCCTCCTATACTCCACGCTCTATAATATATAGTCATCTAGACCACAAGAACAAGAATGTATGTAAAATTAAAATAAAAAAACCCTTTATCCCTCCACATCCTCTTTCTTCGTCCTATCCGCCTTCCAAACCACCCATCCAACGGTGATGACAAACTTCAACCCCATCGCCAACCACAAACTAGCCGCCATTTCAGTCACCTTGGACAACCCACCGGCTGTCATGGCCCCCAGAAAGAGAGCCAGGAAGGCTCCAACCCGACGGTTACGCCTGGGATTCGATCGCCACCCACGGGAACATAACTTGGGGTCCACCAGCAGGTCGCACAGGAGGGTTGTCAGCACGACAGTAGGGATCTCGTCGAGGGCTAGGATGCGCGAGGCGCAGATCTGTCCACCGGCTTGGAAGGCAAGTAGCGAGATGGGCAGAATTTGCATCCATTCGATTGGGGAGCGGGGGTCTTCAGGCCTGGGATCGACAACTTTCAGCTGGACGAGGATGGCAGCGGCGAAGATGGCGGCCGTTTGTATGCCGAAGGAAAGAATGAAAGTTGAGCGGCGGCGGGGACGTAGCATTCGTGAGACGTGGATGAAGAGAATGTTGCTAGAGATGAAGGTGGTGAGGGCAATGAGAGATTTAGCCCACAGATAGGCTGGATATTCGGGTTGGCCGGAGACTCCTAGGGCAATGAAGACGGTGTTACCTGGATTCTGGATCAGTATGCGGCGTACTCTTGGGTGGGAGGGGTCGTAGTACCTGTCTGCATGCTGGAAAAACTCCCCCATGCATTGAATGATAGTCCGTCAACCAGTCCACTGACAAAGCCGCAGATAATGAGTATGACATCGGTGTGTGTGGGATCTATATCCGCAAGAAAGTGTCTGGATAGGATCGAGCGCAGGGTCATCTCCTCGTCCTCGGTGACGGTCGCTGAGAGAGAGACGGTTGTACTACCTCCTATGGACAAGAGATGTGTTGGGTCTTTGGATTCTTTGGATTCGTCGTCCAGTCGGGGTATAGATGGATTGGGAACTGCCGGTGTGTCCCAGTAGATCAATTGATTACTGGGAGGGGCAACCCGGCGCATGTCTTCTGCTGAAAAGGAAGGATAATTCTGCATGACTGTCCCAGATTTCAGTCAGGATTTCACGAGATTTACAATCCAATTGCACTTATGGTGTCTCAGCTATGGAACACCTTAGGGCCCCGCAAGCTTATATCTACGAAAATGCCCTCCATGCCCAAGAACTAATCGAATGGAGTGCCAAGACGATATCCTGTAGCAGTCAGCCCAACATCTCGCAGTGGAGAAACCATGTGTCTCGAGTGAATGGCTCTTTATCTGTCTATCCATGTCGAACTCGTGCTCGTATCGTGTTTCAAGCCTAGTCGTCGCGATATTGATCCGGATGCAGACACGCACGCATCACCATGCGGTGACCAGGAATTCCGATATACTCCGTCCACAGAGGCAACGGGGTACCCCTATTGCCATCACACATCGACCTGACATTGGATTCGTCGCATAGATGTATCTTGGCGCATCCTTGGCAGTGCATCCAGTCGTCATTGCCGCACCGCAATTATCGTTGCTGGGTTCCGCTCTCGGGTCTGGCAGGGTGAAGATCAGGCTCCAATCATATCAACCAGAACACGGAGGCTGATGATGCGATAGATCGTCTGTCGATCCCTGGGGATTGTGCCAAGGTTTGCCCTCAGGTATCTGCGCTCTCCGAGGTTGTAAATAGGAGGTATCTGACCGGAATGGATCTTGGAAGGCATCTTGGCACGATGAAGATACGGCTCAGTCCAGATCCTGAGACCGAGGGAACGGTCCGGGGTGGGTAGAATGGAGTGGGTGGGAGGCATCTCCGATGGCTGTTTCATTCCAAAATTGGGATATGAAACGCCATGGCTGGCTTCTGCCCAATAGCAAGTGTCTTGTTTTATCGGCCATGCAAAGCATCTAGGCTCTATTCGACCTCTGGCCAGAGCTGCTCTGCGCATGAGCCGCCGATGACGATAAAATTACTTGGTCTTCCAACGAAAACCAGCTTATGCAGATCTCGCGGCGCCTGAACAACTCCGTGGATGTTCACCCGAGCCAAGAAGATGGGTGATAAGCACGGAATCGAGCCCCTGCTAGCTCCTTGAAACCCGTGGGTAGAGCTGCTAGGCCACGGGATGATCTCCAGCATCCCGCCCATAGCTCCTCACTAGCGAGTCTTGTCTTGTTGCAACGGCACAGCCTCCGCCATGTGCTGCCGGCGGGGGATTTCGTTTGCAGCAGTGGGTTCGCTCAGCCACGTCGGACTAGACAGACTTGACTCAGCGGGCTTGGCATTCTTGGATCAGAAGAGTAAAAAAGGGGGTATCACTCGAGAAGAGCGAATTAGGCATCTGGTAACGGAGCTGTGGAGTCCACTTGTCGTATACAGTCTGCCGATTTCGGGGCATCTGTTTCCCGAGAATAATAACGGAGGTGGAAAGAAGCATCAGGCTCATTTCTGTCGGTAGAATCCACTTTGTCTCTGGGGAGAGATAAATGCCGTATTGACTCAGCGTGGTAACAAATGTTAATACTTATATGGATAAATGATTCCCTCACTGCAAGTCAAACAGAATAAATCGTCCACGCAGGTTCGCAGCTGGATGTCAATACAAAAGAATAAAACCATCCGAAGGACTTGAAGGCATATATCATTGGGCACCCACATCGACCTAATGATTCTATCGCCCAAATAAGAGCTGGATATCTGATCCACCGCTGCCATCCAGATCACACGGGTCTTCTGGCTGAAACATCCAGTATTCCCTGTTCCATTTAATTACTTGGCATTTTCCACAATCCTATTGGGTACCAAGTCTTCTAATCCAAGATTATGGTTCGACATATTGTTCACTTTATGCAGAAACTATGATAATTCCAGGATGATGCGTTTTAAACGTCTTTGGATTCGCTGTTTTGGAACCGCAACTCGTGTTGCGGTTCCAAACCGTATGCATGCCCGCTAGCAAAACACTCTCCTCAGCGCCAATAAAAGAGCGACATTCTAATTATGACGAAGGAAATAGCCAGTTATAGTTATTCAGAATCTGCTAGAAGAGTAAACAATGAGTATTGTCTGAGATTGAGGTCTTGAGCTTGGTCCGTATGTTCTTATCATCGAGGTACAGCTGGTATGCTTGTCTTGAGAGAAAGCAGCATCGCTGCCATCTATCTAATCTGGTCTCCTGCTATATTATCTGCCTATTTGTCTATGTCCTTGAGTCCTGAGTATTTGGCTGGAGTATACCACAATTTCTGGACCTGGATTACATCACAGTATGCGAGGATCCAGTACTGCAGCCTGATACTGGATGCAGCCTTTAACTACCACGCATAAAACTCCCATGAAACACAACTACATTTCCATCTAGTGAATGGTTGAGAGTGACCTAACAAATCTTACTTTATCTTTTCTTCTTCTCACTTCTCTTCTTCCCCTTGTGCCCATTCTCTCTCAAACTCTTCTATCCATGCTTTTTTCTAAATCTATCGTACTCTAACCCCCGTTCTTCGCTCTCTATTATGAGCGACCTGAGCGACCTGAGCGACGAGAGTGTAAACGAGAGCTACCCCGATGGAAGCATTCTTCGAGGCCGCGAAGGCTTTGAGATCGAATTTCTTTCCTTCCGATTCCGCTTGGAAACGCTCATCTGGAAGAGACCCGACAGCGGACTCAACGAACGAGTGGGTCTTTTTAGGGCAGAGGAGCTTTCAATCTCAATTCGAATGAAGTTCATGGTACAGCTTAAAATCGAGTGCGCATCTTCCCAGCCCAGCTCAATCTTCTTGCATGTTAGTACTAATCTAGGGTACTCCGTACAGGAGGGTTCCATCCCCCAATGGATGTAAAGAGACCCAGGGGAAGATCAGAAACCGCGCAACCCAGCTGTTCAGATATGAGACCGACGTCTTCGACAATCTGACGGAATCCGGATACACTCCTGGGTTCATCACGCGGGCGTTCCTAATCCAGGATGACACTTATGCGTATCCCGGTGGCTGTCTCCATGTTTACGTTTTGGATGATTATCCCCTCCTGGATCTGTATGATGCCTGCAGGTTTCTGATCAAGGAGGATCTGTATCCACTGGAGAAGCACTTCTATAATATGCAGAAGTGAGTACTCTGCTCTTCCCATGGTCATCACTCTCGACTCACTGGTATTTCAATAGGTATTTCGATAAGTATGGTATCGTGTCCAGGGGTTATATGACGATGTACAAGTTTCATGTGGAGAAGAAGGCGTGAGCCACCTGGAGGAAGACATGAAGGTACCTGTTGCTGCTAGCTTGCAGAACCTTGAACAGGGTTTGCTGAGGTATTCCCATCACTCGTTCCATATTAGTACAACGCTGGCGTGGACGCCAAGCAGCGCTGCGGCAAACTTGGACAAAATGCATCGGCTCAGATCAATAGAAATATCATGAGCATGCTTGCGGACCAGGCTCCAGCTCAAATGTCCTTCAGTATTACATCCGCATTCTTTGCACCGCAGGCAGTCCCCATCTTTGCATCCACTCACAACCCACCACTTACTCGATCGTCACCCTTTTTCTCGTCTCAAGAATCAACATCGACTTCATGTCACGGAATGCATTTTTCTCCTCCGCTAAGTAAGTATCAAATCCCTTCCTCTCCCTAGGTCCTGTATATAATCCGCAACGCCTTGCTTCCAGTCTCTGGCACTGTCATTATACCACTCTCGGAGGGTTTCTCTCGCATTCTTGCGTCCATGCTCGTCAAGCCAGCTACCTCTTTCCTCCCACTTGCTCCACTACCATTCAGGAAGTCTACCGAGCATCTCAACGTGATCAATAGTAATCTCATCCCATGAGACCGAGAAGGCTTCAAAGCGGGGGCCTGTCGCCGAAAAGATCCCAGGTAGTGCATGCAAGAGTCCATGTATCTCCCGAAAAGGCGAGTGGCTCGTCTGCTCCTCCGGGCTTTGCAAGGCGAGATTCCTGCCGTGCGAGCAGGAGCGGCGTATGAGCCGCATACTGCGCTGTCACTTGAGGATCAAACGCTTCTCCAAAATCTGCAATCATGAAGCCAGAGTCCACGAGGGATATTTCGTCGCTGCTGGGACCAAGCCAAACAGGAATGATGACTTCTGACGGAACTCCCGGACAAAGACGAGTGCCATCTTCGCGAATGACCTGATCTTTTACAGGCTCGCCCGTCCTTGCATACACCTGCTCGAGAGTCATGTCTCGCATATCAAGTGGCAAGCGAGGAAGGATATTTGCGAAAACCTGTAGCCGTGATTAAGATTAGTTCATACTCCCAAGTCCAGTGATGAAGAGGGATTTCAGCACGCCAACCTTACCGCCGTGAACGATACCTTGAGAATGGATGAACTGCATAGCGAGTATGAGTTGTGCAGCAATGGCTCGAGTGGCAGGCAGATGAAGGTGTCGATGATATGTAACCTCTTTTGCTTTGAAGATTGATTCTTGCAGCATCTATAACAAAACACCGATGAGTGCCATTTGGCCCAGAGAATGTGAAAGAATCGAGCAGGTCCTGCACCATGGCCTTCCCAGGGAGTAGCCTTGGCTAGCTGCGAAAGAATATGTCTCTCATACGTATGCTCCGCTGATTCGGTAATAGAGATCTTGAGGGCAGCCAGCCGGCTTTGCCTTCTATCTCTGCTAGCCAAGTCGTGACAGAGCACCCGAGCCCGAGTTTGTGAGCGATAACACATCGATCTGCGCAGAGCTCATCCCCTAGCATGACAGGACGGTAGCCTCCAGGAACGTAATAGTCCAAGCACTTAACTTCTTCCACAAATTCGTACTTGACTTTGCTGGGTTTCATATGTGTTGCCATACTCCTGTATGGTTGTAAAATGGTGAGCTGTACCTGTCGGTAGGATGGTCCAGGTACCAAGGATCTCATTTTGTGAAGCTGCAGAGATACGTTGCTGGCTTGATTGGCCATGATGGTAAGGAAGAGGAACAGCCAGCTCAACAGGCTGAGCCTGGTAGGGGCTCGATAACATACTCCCTGATGAAGCGGTCGACGAATTGAAAGGGGGCATGTTGTCTTACCAGAAGAAACCCATGTTGCCAGCCATGGATACGTGGTATCTATCAAAACCGATTGGAATATTCGGGAAGACAGTCATTTACTGGAAAAGCTGGACTCATCGACCATGACTCATGGAACGAAATGGGCGTCCTCTATGGCCTTCTGAAGAAGCAATTCAGTCCGAGATTGAAGATTGTTGATAGATACGTGTTCTGCTCTTCAACTGCTGTTATGGTTATATTATCGGTCCACTCCATTTTCCCTTCAATCTGTCGATTTCAGAACAACATTGAGGACCTCTGACTTACGACCGCAAAAGCCTCGAGGATAGCGTCAAATCGATCCGGCAATTTGCGACGCGCAAGCTGCATTCACATGTTCAACAAGCTGCGACCGTGTCAACAGAGAAGAAACTCACAAAGCCCGGCATCTCGACGAGATCTACAGTCGCCACTACTGCCGGATGAAGAACCGAACCAAATGCCCACTGTACGTCGCGATGCGCGACTACTCGTGAACGCGTGGGATGCAAACTCCGAAGAATCGGCTCATCAGAACAAAGCCCACACTAGCACCTCCTTGGATGTTCTCGAGGCTGGCAGAGTCCAAGCCACATGAGACAATCCAGGAAGAATCCGGGGTGAGAACTAATGCTCCACCCAGCCCCTCACAAACAATACGTCCGACATCCCTAAGCCACTCGGACTCAATTCTTATTAGTCTGATGGATTGGAGCCCTCACCCACAGTGAATCCTGGGGTATTGAATCTTGGTCGACATGATAAACTATGTTCTCATCGGTAGTTCTCGACTGCTTGGTTGTTTCACCCCAGGCAGCCGTTGAATCCCCACCAATAGTTGGACTTATTATAGCCTATAATTGTCTATTATTATCACACAACACAGCCTCCCGATGTCAACCGTGAGGTTTTGCAGTTGGCTGCATAAGAATCAAAGGGAAGAAATACTCTTAAAGGATGGATGGATATGCTGATCAGCCTTATTCCCGTGGTGCCACTCTTTGATGTGAATCCTTGGTCCACCAGTTTCAGGCTGAGCAATCTATCCACAATTGCGCCCCGAAGGATGTTGACTCGGCGCCCCAGTGCTGTCTCGATTCACCTCTCGCATCATCTGGTCCCTTGGCATTGCCCAAATTTCCGCTTTGGCTTTACGTGAGATGATTTCGACCTTTCTATATAAATCGTTCATACGACCATCGCCCAGTTCTGAAGCCAATTCCTTCGCCGTCCAGCAGTCGCCGACATGGCGAGAAGGCCAAATCATGAGTCCTCGCGTTGTTCGCCGGTTTCGTCTCATCATCCATAGAGCCAAACACACAGTCTCCCGGCAACGAAAGCCAACCATGTACGACATATCCCCTAAGTACTCTTCCTGAACTCAACTAACCATCACAGAACCTCTCCCAATGACAACGAACCTCTCTGGAAACACCTCCCGACCAACGTTCTGGTCCAGATCCTCGCCCAATGTGATCTGTACGACATCTATTCTCTGATCCTAACCTGTCGTCTGCTGCACCGGCGCATCTATCGCTATGAACCCGCCATCGCTCAGGAATACCTTCGTCAACGACAACGACTACTGAGTCAGTTCTCCTTCACCGAGCTGAACTACGATGAGCTTCTTCATTCACCTGGAGACGATCTCTCCTTCATCTCTGTGCTCTTCCCGCCACCGCCCCCGCAGTACACCGGGATCGATACCGATACGCGCGATGATCTCCCCGAGTACACACTAGGCTATGTAGCAGATCTAAACCGATGCTGGACAACCTGCGTCCGACTCTCCTACTACCTGGCCGAATACGTCGTCCACCACCATTTACAGACGGATGCACTGGCCCAGCCACTCTGGTCCTCCTCCAAGACCGAAAAAGAAGTCGTCTACAGTCGCGGCGTGGGTCTCCTTCAGACCCGTCTCCTCTACCCTATGTTTGTCCTCTGAATATCACTTTCATCATGTTTTAGTTGTTTATATGATTCTAACCATACCCAGTGCCTATCTAATCTTCTTCCTGGAAACGCACGCCGCCGCTCTCGACTCCAAACAACACATCTCCCAACAATCCATCCTCCAACAACCCCCCTTCACCGATACCTCCGTCCTCCTTTCCACCCACCACTGCATGCACCTCCTTTGCTCCGCGGTCCGTCGTCTCATGGCCCCAGAAATCCCCCACGTCTCGACAGAAAACTGGCTCGGTCTACTCCTCACCACCTCCACCGTCGAACGACTCGTGGATTTCTTCATCGCCGCTGCTGCTGACGAGATCCAAAGAACCTCGAGTCCTTCCTTGTCATCAGCGTCATCGTCATCCCCGCCCACATCCACCTGGACCCATCGCAGAGAATTCATGTGGAAGATGCGTAAGGATTGGGACGAGTTCGTGGCGCTGAGCCGCGAGTCTAATGTCGATGCGTTGCCGAGTCTCGAGGGGATTTGGTTCAAGGCTGCTCAGAGGGAAATCTGTAGACGTGGTGCTATCCCTCATTGTGTTGAAGAGGTGCCAGTTTTGCATGGATCGGTGGTCGCTTTGGGGTGTGAGTTTTGTGATGGGACGTTTTTGTGATCTCTTTCTCTCTTTCTCTCTCAGGATGTAAGTAAGCATAGATGGATGATGAATCTACATATGTATATACCAATAAAACTGGATAAGCATAAACTGACTCTATGAATAGAATCACCATATTTACTCAACCCATTCCGCATCCCGAGGACCATAAAAGCTGAACAGCAACAGATCTAGCCACGCCAAAAAAACAAAACTAGTGCGGGAGCATTGTATGCATCATTCGTCAAGCACAGCCAGACAAATGCCTGTCAATATTAATACATCATTAAGAGAAAAAAGGGGGGCATGTATCTATCCAGAGATCAACACCCAGAGAAGGAAAAAAATCTACTCTCCGTTAGTATGTAATGTAACCATGTTGGAAGTCAACATACCATAAGCACTCCGAACATCTTCGCTATCAGCCACCGATTCCCCGATACCCGGGTCCAGTATTTCATGAGTTCGCGCTGCGCTCCTTGCACATTGTCCACCACGTCTTCGGTATTGGCGTCGATACGCTGGATCATCTCTGATTGTTCGCTAACCATCTGCGCCAACTGGCCGAAAATACCGCCTAGTTCGTTGATGGTGCGCTCGATGGCGTCGATTGCCTCACCTCGCGCTTGGATGTACGAGTTACTCGACTGAGCTTCCTCCATCACCAGCAACTGTTGGTCTGAGTGCATCGACGGACGACCCAGCGGCGACGAATTCGACGGCTCCAAGGTCAACAGATCCGATGCACCACCCGGCTGTGGTGTTCTTCTCCCTGACGTATTGTACAGCGGAGAATCAGACCGTTGCGTGTCCAACGCCGACTGCGACTTCGATGATACGGATGATACGAAATTCTCGGTTCGTGAGCGTGACGCTTGGATGTTCTTCGTGCGCACCTCCAGTACTTCTTTGAAATTGGCTCCAACGTCGGCTAATTTTCCCTGCAGCATTACCACGACCTATAGGGGCAAAAATGTCAGCATATCATCCTAATGATTCCGTTGTTTGTCTTGCTCTTCGACATACATTATCATTATGTTCTCCCTCCTGGTCTGCTTTCGACCGATTCGATTTTGGATGTTGCGAAAGGGTAAGCGCCTGTAGCCCAGCAATCTGTTGGTTCAAAGACGCCAGATCTTGTTTAATCACGTAGGTCAATTCGGAGATTTCAATAGGTTTGTCATCGAAGAGGGTCTTCCGTTTCGCCACTGTATTCCCGTGTTAGCTGTTAAGGGACCTATATACCATCAACGAATAGCCAGGACCATTTTCTACTCACACTCGGCAAGTCTTTGCAACTTCGCTGTAGTCGCAGTGATCCCACGTCCAATCTCCGCCGCTTTCTTAGCAAATTCAGAACGCGCCCTCTTGCCGCCTGGAGCAGCTCCGTCTGCATGTCGTCGCTGGGTCTCGGACAGCAGGTTCTGTCGCTGCGATCCGACTTTGGAAGAGGCCAAACGCTTCTGGGTCTGACCCAGGATGGCGTGGAACTCACCCGTACGATCTTGAATCGACGGGCCGGTCATTTTGTAACTGGGATCGTGAACAGACACCGCGTTATACGACGGTCTGGGGGAGGGGATATCAATCTAATCGATAAGGAGGCGAAATGAAAACGTGGCCGGTTGACCGCGACGAAGAGATTGCAAAAGGAAATTAAGCGAGCGACACTGAGGGAGAACCGGTTGAGATTACGCGAAGGAGATCAACAGAGACATAACATGCAGCAACCCGCTGGCTTCATCAGAAAGAAATGGTCAGAGACGTGAACGTCAACATCCATGTACCCACTGGCCATCGGGGGATTCGTCGTCATCCGAATCAGGAAAAGACAACACGTGACACACCCGCCACTAGCCAAGCATGCACCGCCACCGCCACGCACCAAGGCATCAGGGCATCGCCAGTCAGGGGAAGTCGACGATCCACCCACGTCATCTCGTGCAACATCCCAGCTACTCTCGTTTCGTTTCTCCCCAACTTTCGACTCTCCATCTCTACTCTGTACATTCCCTCTTGACGATTACTATTTATTGCGCATGCCGATCCAGATCCACACTGCCATTACTATAAACTACTTGGCTGATCTTTGCCGACCGAGTCCGTTGTAGTGATGGCTCGCCAATTCCAGCTTCCGTATGAGCCGGAACTGAACAAACTGTACGCCCTTCCAGATCATGATCATGACCTCAGTCTGCGTCATTTGCAATTATACTGACTGGCTAATCCCGCCTAACAGCTCGAGTTCTAACAGTCCGATGTCGCCGCACCCAGGCGGCGATGCCACTTTATCCTTTAAGACGAATGTCAACCGATCTAAGACCAAGCGCTGGGTAGAAGCAAAGAAGTATTCCTACGACGGCAATGACTGGGGCGAGGATGAGTATGGCGAGTACGACGATGATGATGACGAGACGCCCTCGGTTCAGCAGTCAGCCTGTGTAAACCAGAGTGTCCCCGAGATTCCCGCGACGTTTTCCCAACACCACCTGCAGAACACTTCCATGCCTGCCAAGGATCGATCACGATCCGTGGATCAAGTGTCCACATTGAAGGCCGTCGATGTTGCGGCTAGCCGTAGTCGGTCCGCAGAAGCCAAAGACCGAACTGTTCCTATTGTACGCCCTGCCGAAATATACGAGCGATTGCGAGAAGACCCGGCGGAACGAAGCCAGGATCCAGGGATAGGTCAAGCGACGAGCAACTCAACGGATCCCATATCCAAGGGCTCTTCGCCCGGAGTCGATCCTCGCGGCGATCCACTGCCTAGTGATGAGAAGAAACCAGAATCTCCCGCTCTACAACTACCAGATGTCAAGCGCATCTCCAGTTTTGGCACGAACTTTATGGAGGACTCCGATCCCAGCACTCCGAAGGAGACGACAGGCCCGCCGCCCGCTCCGCAAGAACATCAACTACGCCACAGTCCCTCTCTCGGGTTCACATCTGTGGTCCATCAGGCATTCGACGTTCCGGAAACACCAACCACGGCCGTCGACAGCGTGGCACGATCGAACAGCAACAGCACGTCGGTGATAAGCCCCATCATTGGCCATCAGAGTTTGAGTGACGCCATAACGCCCACCACCATCGTCGAAGAACCTGAGTCTACGTCCCCCCCGAGGGGGTTCAAACCTGGCCATCGCCGAGACTTGAGCGTCCCGAGTCCTGGCAACAGCCCGTCGAGGAAGCCAGATATCACCAGCCATGACGGCGCGCCTCCCTCCGCGCTGGCCGAACTGTCCTCGAACATCCCCGACTCGATTCACACCCCCTCACCGGACTCGCACGCACAATCGTCCAATGTGCCGGAGCTGGCGCCGCTCAAGATTGGTGACAACTTGACCTCGATGCCCAACGAGACTGCCAGTGGGCCCATCCCGGTCATCGTGCCGTCGATGAGCACCGACAACTCTCCACAGGATACGGAGAACGATCGACTGCGCAAGGAGATCATCCGATCACTGAGCCGGGAGAACACGCCGTCGGACGAGCCGGAGCCGCAGGACGGATCCGTCCCGCCAACGAGTCGGCAAGACAGTCTGGTCCCGGGTGAGTACGAGAAGCACTGGAACGAGGAATCCAGCCCAAGTGCTCTGGAGCCAAAGCCAGTCCCCATTCCTATACCACAACCCCAGGAGTCATATTCCAGCTCTCCTCTTCCTACTCCAGCTCCCGCGCCCGTTCCTGCGCTGGCCCCGGCTCCGCAGTCGGCGCGACCCAAACTGAGCCGGAAGTTCTCGTGGGAATCGTCGTCCTCAGAGGAGCCGGTGCCTCCTACGGACCTGAAGCCCGTTCCCCCTGCGCCGGTGCCCGAATCGTATCCCCAGTCTTCCGAAATCAGCCACCTCGCGCCTATGCCCGGGCAGTACCCCCCGTCATCAGGGGTCAGCCCTCCGCCGGAGCCGACCGTTGCAACGCACGACGCCGAGACTGGCGGTGAGGAAGCCCAGCGGACGCCGGAGAAACCCAAACTGACCCTGGTGACTCCGGGTATCGGTGACCGGCGCAGCATTGGCTCGGTGCACCTCCCCGAAGTGGTGGACGCGGAGCCAGCGGCAAGTGAGACGCATGTCGAGGAGAGTTGCCTGGCCACTTCTGGTCTCCGGACGCCAGGGCCCCCGAATTCGTCGTCCGGGCCGACGCCGCTGGGGTTCCGAGAGATTCTGGGGAAGTCGACGTCGGCGGAACGGGTGCGGGCGTTCAACCAGACGCGGGAGCAATTCAGCTGCATCGATACAGGATTGAGCTACTGGATCCGGGTGACGATGCAGGCGCACCCAGAGCACATGGACGTGGTTGGGAAAAGCCCCAAACTGTCGACGGGAGAGTCCAAGCCAAGCGGGTCGCGGGGCAAATTCCCCAAGCTGGGGTCACTAGGCACGTTTGCGCACCCAGACCCGTCGGGGTCAGGATCGGGACATACGCGACGGCCGTCAGCACCGCTGGGAGGGATGATGAACAAACAGCAGGTGGAACAGCGTGGTAAGGACCTGCTGCACACGGCGGGCGTGTTGGGAGGACAGGCGGGCAAGACGGCCAAGAGTCTATTTGCCAAAGGACGCAGTAAATTCAAAGGGGACAAGGAGGGTTGATTTGTTTTATATATATTATTGTTATATTGATACCATGAATGTAGCGAATGAAGATTGATTTCTCCAATCGACACTGTAGTTATAGACGATTTAATGTCAGATCTCTGATGCCGGAATCGCCAAGCACAGGCAAAGAATGCACAATAGCCTCAACGAGATTGCCGGCTACATATATAGATCTCTCTCTTTATACTTGTGTAATATACTCCGTATATATTTGTCGCAGCCTCATTTCATCTCGCTTTGCTCCCGCGCCGTCTCTCTTGGCAAGTGGGCTCGAGCAGGGCCTCGTAATCTGGATACCCCAAGACAACCCCCTTCACAAAGCCGTAAGTCTCTCTCTTTCTCTCTGTCCAGATACCCAGAATGCCCTCACTAACCCCCCAGGGTCGACGATTGTTCTCTCGTCATCCCCGTCCACAGTCGCTTGATCTTCCTCCGCCCCCGCCCTCGTCATCCTCAACTCTCTCCATCGAAGATCTCGACCTCCGTCCTCGCAGCTTTCAAGGCCAACCACCTCCCCCGGAGGGCTACTTCTCTCCGGATTCTGTCGTCGCTTTCTCGCCTCCCCTGGGAGAGGATTATTTCCCTCGGCATACCTATACAGAGAGTGCCAGTCCCGATAGCGTGCTGTCTTTACAGCCTTCTCTCTATCGCTCGTCGACTGCCCCTCATCCGCATACTCATCCCCCTCCTAGTAATAGTCCTTCCTCTACCATCACGACCACTACTAGCCCTACAACGGCCAGTACTAGTACGAATAATGCAAATAATAATATAAATATAAACACCCCACGAGGCCGCCGCGACGAACGCTCCTACGCACAAGATCTGCATCTCCGATCGCGCAGTCCCAAAGCCTTTGCTCCGCGTCCTCACGAACGGCACATCCCCAGTACGAATCCCCATGACCCCGCCGTGCATCTGGGGACTTTCCGGTCGAATCCCCGTACCAGTCGGATCGGTGATCAGGAACGACCCTGGAAATTGACGATTCCTGGCGCGGAGGATGATGATGCTGGGGAGACACTATTGTGGTTGGCAAGAGGGAGGTCTCAACCAGAGTTACGGTCTCAGTCTCGGTCTCAGTCAGAGTTGCAGTTGCAGCCACGAACGTATCGGGATCATGATCTCGGGAGTCGACCTCCTACATACGAAGAGGATCAAGCGCTATATCCCCGGCGCTCTGTGCGTCCGGTTGAGAAATCAGGTTTAAACCCGGGGGAGGGTTCTATGGCAGGTTCAGGCGGACATCCATCGCGCGGCCTGGCACGAGCGCTCAATCGCAACGATATGCCTGTGGAATTGCCGGTGCGCGGCGAGGACGAGTCCAGTGAGGAAATTGTCATGTCCAGTACAGCGTATCCGGGACAGGAGTGGCGGCCATTAGGACTGGAGCACAGTATGAATACTGATCATGAGTATGATCATTACTGATAATTCTTGAGCATGAGTATTGAGTTGGAGTCGAGAGATATGATTGATTCATGATTTGTTGAAAAATGATAAATGTTATAGTAATGATGGTATGATATATGATTCAGAGAGGAGTCTTTGTACAGTTCATTATATGTGTATGTAGTCTATCCCTCAAAAACATTCCCACTCAACTCCATCCCCATATCGCGCGCCATGCCCTGCATCTGCGCCTCGATTTCATCCTCCATGCCACCCCCGAGACGCAGGAACTGTCGCAACTTGGTGACCCAGAAGATCACATCGCTGGTGAACAACACCAGGCGGAACACCACATGGCGTCCCAGGTTGCGCATCTTCTCGCTGATCGGTAGATCTGGTGACTCGACCAGTGCGCGCGACGCCCACATTCCCGTGATCTTAACCCGATTGACCGGCGAGCCCAGGAACTGGTTATTGGCCTGCACAATGCGCAGGTTACGGCCGATGAAGATGAGCTCTTGCGGCCATTTGGTCTCGTCACCGAGGATCTGCCGCATCCCTTGTCGCATCGCCTGCTGCATCTCGTAATGTCGATGTCGTCGCTCCACCTGCGACAAGCCCTGCAGGTGCGTCGCCGTCGACCGGTCACCTCCCTGGTATGGCCGCATCAGCGTCGCCGACGCGAACATGTCCGCATTGGTCACCCCCCACGCCGTGGCCACCTCGCGCAGCGTCGTGTTGTCGAATGTCAGCAACGCCTTCCAAAACCGCGCGTACTGGTGTCGGAATTCCGGGCTCATGTGGATGTATAGCCCGTGGTCGATGAGCACGATCTCTGCCTGCCCGGACGGCGTGCGTCGCACGAAAATGTTGCCCGGGTGCGGGTCGCAATGCACGTAGCCCCAGAGGAACATCTGCGCCGAGAACAGGTCCACCATCGTCGTCATCACCTCCTTAAGTGAGAGGCCCAGTCCACCCCGCTGGTTCGTCCCCCGCCAGTGTGTGCGCTCCGGTTTGAGGAGCGTCGTCGTCGTCGCCGTCGGAGGACGTGCCTGGCGCGAGGTTGACTTTCCCCCGTCTGTTGAGTCCAGCGGCATGCCGCGGCAGCCTGGAGTGCCCTGCCGCCAGCCGCCACGCCAGGGCCGCGTGATGGCATCCTTGTCCCAGAGTCGCACGCCTTCCACCCATTCGGCGGTCAGGACGCGCTTGGAGCTAAGCTCGTGGTAGACCTTCGGTATGTAGACGCGGCCGCGCAGACGAGACTCGCCGGCGACGAGCCGGGCCATATCTTCTGAGTTTTTGGCTTCATTTTCAAAGTCGGTTTCGAGGAATAATCGTTCGCTGATATAGGGTACAAGGGAGTAAAAGGGGATATCGAACACACGGCTGTAGATCCAGGTAACGACTCTAGACGTCATCAGTAATATTCTAGTAAATAAACAATCAGACGGAGGGGGAAGCATACTTAAATGCCCATAGGTCCCATTGGATTTGTCGCGCAATCTCCCTCTTCTGGATCTTGATAGCCACCTCGCGACCGTCCGCTAGTCGAGCCCAATGCACCTGAGCCACGCTGGCGCTGGCACGCGCCTGACGCTCCATGACGCCTTTGGTGGGGTCCCCAGCGAACGAGACGCCAAACACCTCCTCGACGGGACAACCGAAATCCTCGCAGATGACGCGTTCGACGTCCTTCCAGTCGTTCTGCGGTGCATCGTCGAACATGCGGGAGAACATACGCTGGAACTCGGGTGGCAGGATGGCCGACTGCATGGCCATCGCCTGGCCCATCTTCAGGTATAGGCCACCATTGTGCCGCAGCAGGTCCGACAGCCGCTCAGCACTGCGCGTGTGTAGAGCATTGATGGACTCAGCTAAGGGGGGATCGGGGCGAAAATTGATCTTGTAGTCAAGAGCGACGACCAGTCCGAGGCCGAAGGTGCGCGCGGTGCGGGTCAGACACTGTTCGTAGAACGCGGTGTCGACAGCGTAGACAACGCCGGTGGCCAGCGACAGGTATGCCAGGCGACGCAGCCACCAACGAGTGCGTGTATAGGATTTTGCGGGGATGGGTTTGCCCAGAGAACTAGGAGAAGGAGGGACGAGAGGCTGGAATTCGCCTGGATGGATCAGACGTGAGGGGAGATGACAAGGGGAACGGAAACGAGGTCGACGGAAAGTGCGCCTAGCGGCGAACGAGAGGGAGGACATATTAGCGCATGATGGATATAAAGAATAGAGAGTGGGAGATAGAAATAAATAGATGAAGTAGATGAATTAAATGAGATGACCAACGTTCGTACGACGGCTCGGAGATCCGCGGAGGTCCGATACCGAGAATATATATAAAGCATAAAGAACAGATTATATACAGAATAGTAGAATATATAGATAGATGATAATACTTATAATTCCTGCATCCCTATCCCCAGTGACCGACACACCTGCGCATACTCTCGCATATTCCCCGGAATAATCTCCTGCCACAGCTCGTCTGTCTGAAGATAGCGATATTGTTCGCCACACACCTCGTCCGATGCCATCGGCAGCAATCGAGGCAGATGCACCAACGCTGCCCGGAAGAACTGTTTCTTGAAGCAGTTGCCAAATGCCGCCAGTGTCTCGTCGTCCGAACAGATGTCACGTCCCTGGAGCATCGGCCCGCAACGTTTCTTGATGATGTCCGCCACGTCGTCGCCCAGCTTCACCATTTCCTCCTCCTGTTGTGGCGAATCCACCCGTCGCATCATGGCGCGCACGGCAGGCACAAACGTGTGATTGCGTGTCCAGAGATCCCAGTGTGGTACTGTCGGTTGACATCCTTTGTCACAGATCTCTGTTTGGAATTGTTGGAAGAGCTCACTGGGTCGACCGACCAGTGCGACGACGACTTGAAGACAGGCGGCGCCCATTTTAGCCTGGGCTGAGCTGAAGAGGAGAGCGAGGAGGAGGAATCGGAAGTACATATTCTAGGTAGATGGATGGATATATAGAGATGCAATTAGATAGATGGTAGATGGAGAGAATATGAGGCAAAAGGTGGATAGAAGAGGCGAATTTGGAGGATCGACACCCCGCATTTTCACGCGGCGACCCTCGGTTGATAGAGATTATGGACGGATTGTACGGAGAGGAAGAGATGAAGAATGAATCATCACGATGTTGAAGATGCCATTCATGTTGTATCCTGAGGCATCTGTCAGCTGACTCTCTCATCTGTGTCTTCTCTCTCTCTCTCTTCCCATCATCTCTCTTTTCTACCCTCTTCCCTCTCTTTACTCCTACTTGCCAATGAATCTCATCGAAATCGATTCCCTCGACGCCGTCATCATCGTAGACAATGAACTCGATCCGCTCTCTTCTCCCCCACCAGACACTGTTGAGGTCTCGGGTTTGATGGGCAGCCTGGCCATGAACTCCCCTCATCCACTCTCCGACAGAGGTGATGCCTCCCGCGAGATCCAGATGGAGGATATTTGCTGCTCCGCACATGGCCTGTCCATCCTTGTCGTATGATCCTTGCTCCACTCCCCGAATCCGTGACTCACATCTCCTAGACTGCAACAAAAGACGATGTGAAGCATTCCATCCTTTTTGATGCTGGCCCTGAGAATGACGTCTGGGAGAAAAACGCTCGACGGCTGCGGCCGGATCTCTCTGCAATTGAACTGGTTCAACTCTCCCATTGGCATCGGGATCATTCAGGTATGCTAGATCCTCCACTTCTTCAATAAATTAGATCAAGATCACCATACTAACCTGCACAGGTGGCCTCCCTCGCGCCGTCAAAATGATCACAGACGCCAAACAAGCCAAAGGCCGTTCGGACGAGCTGCTAGTGGATCTCCATCCTTCTCGTCCCGACTATCGCGGCTTCAGCATCGGCGAGACCATCGTCTCGTTTCAAGCAGACCCAACCTTTGAGGAGTTGGAAAATGCTGGGGGAACGGTACGTAAACATGCGGAAGCCCATACCGTTCTGGACGATTTCTTTTTAATCTCGGGCGAGATCCCTCGCCAGACGTCCTATGAAACCGGTGTTAAATCGGGCATGCGCTTTGTCAAAGAGGACAACGACTGGATCTCAGACGAGCTGATTGCAGATGAACGGTTTCTCATGTGTAATCTTAAAGGTATGCCGTCCATCCTCGTATGCAGATAGACTCTCGGTGCTCTACGCTGACCGTCCCAGGCAAGGGCATTGTCTTGTTCACCGGCTGCAGCCACGCGGGTGTAGTCAACTGCTCTCGACATGCTATTGAAAGCCTCGGTTGTTCGGTGCCTCTCCATGCAGTGGTTGGCGGTTATCACCTGGCCACCAGCGACGCCAGTCAGATCGAAAGCTCCGTGCGGGATCTCAAGAAGCTCGACCCTGCCGTGCTTCTAGCCGGCCATTGCACGGGCTGGAGGGCCAAGTTTGCCATTGAAAGGCACATGCCGGGGGCGATGGTGCCTTGTACGGTGGGAGCTAAGATTACCTTCTAGCAATAGCTTGCTTTTGTGGACTTTGATTCTGTCTAGACGGATGTAAATATGACCACATGTGGCTGGTTCTGGAATGAAATTTGAAGACGAAGAAATCTAAGCGCAGACCGAGTTAGGGTCCTGGTCTCTTGCGGCGTCCCGCGGAGCACACAGTTCTTGATGTTCTCATTTACCTTATCCATTTGTACCAATGGACGAATCCTCAACAGCACTTATGCATGACTTGCGCGCTATTCTATTCCTGTGAACTGTCTAGCACTTGATCTCTTGTGCAGCAAAATTCGTCCTTGTTAAGCATTGCTATGCTTCCTACCAAGTCCTTGGTTCATTTATGAAGTCCTGTTGACTGTAGGTGGTGAGCATAACCTCTGATACTCGTCGTCTCAGGTCAGAGATTTGATTACAGCCCATGGTCTGAGTCTACGCAAAGCTTCACGCACCTGGATAATCTGAGTCTGCTCGAGAACGCACTTATGTGATCAGTGCTGGACAGAAGATCATATTAGTATTACGAACAACCGTGAACCCATAAGTCTATCCAGATGCTGACCGGCTGAATCTGGAGTTCTCAACTAAATACCACTGACTGATCAGACGAAGTCTACGAATTAACTTCTATCAACTACGCTAACTCCACGTGTCTTCTATTCATGGCCTCTCCTGATCTAGGTCACACACTGTAGCATCCTAGATAGAGCATTGCGTCCCGCATTGTACAATTATATATTCTCGAGACCAATACACAAGTCTACGAACTCGCCAGAATAGTACATGTTATCTTATACCTTCATCTGAGTTTACTAGTATACTCCTGCTACTACATGATGCAGTCCGAGGTAATAACGTACTTGGTCTCAGACAGTGATACATAGCTACCTGGTATTGCTTACCCACAACTCGAGAATGTCTCATGATAAATAAATAGTACATTTATCACATTCTAGCGACTATATATCACCGCGAAATACTTCCGAAACATTGTACTACACATAAATGTACCGCCAATATATACAACAGTCTCGACATAGAATGATCAACCATCCATCTATACATAAAGAAACCAGGAAATCCTCTGTCCTTCCAAGCCATTCCAGCACCCATTCCGTCAAACCTACCCCGAACCAACAGCCACTTTACCCAGACCAATCGCTAACTCCCAACAATGACGCCAAGATCCCTTACGCAGCAAATATGCACTTATACAAAAGTATGTGTGGCATTTCCTTCCCGACCACACCAATTTAGGCCCCTCTCTCCGTACGGAGTACTCGGAATGATACGGCCTGTCTGACGGGAGATGAGATGGGATGGGGCTGTGTAACCATCTTGAATACCGCGGTGATGTACCTACCTACCTACCTATGGAAGCAGATGGGGACGAGTGAGCGTACCTAGTCCTACGGTACAGGATGTAGATAAGTAATCTACAGAGTATCCGTCTTATCACGGTCGTTTAATATGTACATATATTGTAGGTAGGTATATTTACCTATTCCGTATACGTACCTGTGTACATTATGCATAGTAAAACATCTTCCGGATCAATCCGGATCTGATTGGTCGTCGATTCCAAATGAATGTGATTGATAGACGGATTGTTGTGCCTTCTCAATTTTTATCCCTTTGGTGGCATTGGCTTTGCCAAGACAATAATCCGGGTGGAATGCACGGTGTGTCTTGGCGATGGAAAGGGGTGGGAGGTAGGGATTGTTCATTGAGATGGTGGTTTACCGAGTGCGTCTTCGTAGGAGTACGGGGTACTTTGGTTGGCTGCCTTGTACAGAGTATAGAGTAGAAGTAGAATATGGACATCATTTGAATATGAAGTCATATTGATAGTACAAAGTACTTCGTCCAAGTCTACTCAGAATTCATACTACTCCTAGATATTGGCAAAACTAATTAAGCATGCCAAGATCCAAATCAATAATGCCATAAATAGAGCCCAATGCTCTCCAATAAAACCACAGAACTCAGTACCAAGACAACTCTCCCGATATGCCCTCACTATGCATCAAATCAGACCTAATTAAACCCAATCAAACCCAATCAAACCCAGTCCAATGGTATCCCACTGCAGCGATCAAAGACGGCCAAGAACGAGCCTTGCCGATGCTCCTGAACCAGGGAGGGATTCGTATCACATGGACGCGGTCATGCCAACTATGTAGATACATAACTGCGTGGAATATTCGCAGGGATTGGTGCGACGTTGTCTTCTTGGCTTGAGTGCAAGTGCAATAGCCAGTCTGTTCACCAATGGATTACGAGTGCTCTGTACTCTGACCTCTGTACGAGGAGAAGTCTATCCAGTACTACAGAACTGTACGTATTCATAGATGATGATATGCAATGATAGAGAGTCTTGGCAGCACAGCCCCTGAGATGATCATCAACAAACATGGTTGCCTATGTACATAGTATGTACTAGGCAGTGATTCTGCATCTTTTCTCCTTGGCTATAGACATCATGGTGGTATGTCCAGTACTGTGCATACATTCTGCATACTACAGCAACTAAATATAGTTCTAGGCAATGACTTTTATTAATGCACCTGGTATACAGTTGATCTGTTCGCAGTGACGCTGGTGTTCAGCTGTACAGATAGCGATCTACATCGGCAATACTTTGACCTCCGTGTCGATCAAGTATTGGCAGTAAATATTCCGAGTACTGAGTGGCTGAATGAATCTGATACTCAGCATGTTCGAAAATCAAATAATGTACCGCTCTATAGCCACGCAAGACAATCTCAAACACATCTTCCCAGAGGAGACAAAGTCCACCTGATCCACGGCTTTGCGGGGAGAATAAGATTCGTCCATGTATGAGATCCTTGGCATTTGCAAAGATATTGTACTCCTATGGTACTCCGTACAGTAAAGAGTAAAGAGAAACATCCAGAACCAAAATTCGGTTCGAACAATGAACCTGTTATCACTATCTATACCCTTGGCATGTCTGATTGATTGTCTGAGGGTAGTTTGAGACGTGTCTCACCTTTTTTTTGATACCCACTTGACAATGCGCAGACGTACCTGCATAGAAAATTCTGATTGTCATGCAACCATGGATCACACCCGACGTCGAAACCATGGTTGTGCGAAGGGCTCATGCCGATTTCCGATTTTCCCTGCCGAGGAGTCTCCCGATAGGGGGATTACCCGTCAGTACATCGATCAGGATCGCAACTCATTTAATCATTAATCGACAGTCAACATGACAGCCAAAGTCATGCCGCGTAGCCGACTCAGAAATCTAGCCTGATAGGGCTCGTTTGGCTTGGGCAAAGACCTCATTCTTCGTCATCTACTAGCATGGATGAAAAAGAACGAGGGTCAATTTCGGTCTCGGCCTCGGTCGGAGATAATCCCCGACCGGGCATGTCAATTGTTGCCATTGGGTTAGATGGGAAATACGATTGGTGTCTGCGGGAGTCAGTGCCGATTTGGCGCTATGCTGCCACCGTGGCACCGTACAAGGGTTATCGGACGGAAGGGAAATATCTCACGTTGTGACTGATAGCTGGTGAGATCAAGGCGTCGTAGCACCCTGGTCGGTGTAGGAGTGGGATAAATCATCTATTCCGCCTTATCCTGAGACTATTGAGGTCGTTCTCGTACTCTGCACAGTGGATCTATGGAGACTACAGGTACTCCGTGCATAGCACTACTACTCCAGTATTCCTACCGTACTACTCCGTGCTCCGTACGAAGAAATGGGCATCGTGGAGTTTCATTGTTGGATTCGAGCAATTGAATAGTAAAGAGATTGGCTCTTGGCTGGCTGTTGGTTGATACATTGTAGTGATGTTGCAAAAGCTCTCCAAAAGCCAAAATAATACTCCTAGCTCCTGTTAGTCCGCTTCAGCAGAAAATCCCTCACCAGGATCCTCGATGAGACAGCTTGGCGACGGGCGATCACCGGTGGGGAGAGGGGAGCCCGACGACAACAATGATTTTGGTCTTATTCCTGGTCCGTGATTGCTGGGATTGGGGTATCTCCAGCGAGGTTGCCCTGTTTGGCGCGGTCACTACTGTAGGTACCAGATGACTAGCCACGACCAAAAAGACTAGGGTGGGAGTGGTTTCATTTGTGGGTTCCCTCGGTGATGCTGCAATATCTTACTCAGCACTCATTGGTAGCTACCTGCCGCTAGTGAGGAATGACCTGCTCACTCTCAAGAATGGAGTTATTGTACTCCATAGTAGCTAATCCATAGCTACAAGGTACCTAGATCCTAGGTACAGTACTATTTTAGGTACTGCATCAGGACACTATGTGACTACGCACAGTAGTACTGTATATGGAGCAGAGCTAGTCGGTCCATGGGAAGTGCACGACCTATCTTGCTCAACAAGGTAACCCTGACTAATACGGGGAAGCATTTGAAGCCGTCCCTGCCGACTGCCCTAACCACATTGGGAATTCTCTTCCTGCCACTCACCTTTCATTCAGAGACTACCGGAAATAACCTAGCGGTTCAACTGACTCGAAAAAATCCTAATAAATTTACCAGACTATAAGTACCTACTAGTAGTAGAAGATATCTCCTCGGAAGAACAACTATGACGTAGTGACACTTCGGGGCCGTTGCATCTTATCCTCCCAGATGACCAAATATGTCAGAAGGTGCTGCCACTGACGAGATTTTTCTTTCAGGGTCAGACGGACAAGGCAATCTCTGAAAATTCCACCCGATGAGCTGGCACGCACCTAATCCACCCGTTCCATTCCATCCCCCCTTCTAGAAAACGTCGAGAAAGACCGTCGAATGCGGGCTTTCCAGTTAGAACTTAGAACTCCCCCAATCTGCATCTTGGACCCCTCCCCCAAATGCAGTCGATGGGGCAAGGTGGCAACCTAGTTAGTGTGTACCTACCTAAGATGTCCTTGGCAACGAATAGGAAGATGTGGGATTCCACTTATGGAGAGACATGCAGCATCGAAGGAAGTCTTTTTTTTTTTTTTTTACCTTACCTAGACCACTTGCCTCACTTGTGAGGTGAAAATAACTCGTGAATATAGCATAGTGCGTATGGTAGCAAAAGTGCATAAGGTGTCTAACAGAGGAGGCGACGAGGGCGTTGTGCCAATGACGTTATGTCTCCGTTTGAATGCGGCATTTTACGTTGTGGTTATCTTGGCTGCAGTGGTGGTTCCTTCTGGAATAACTCGCTGCAATTTATGACAATTTTATCTCAATAAGTAGAGTTTGTCGAGGTACTGTATAAGGACATAGGTGTTGTGGATAAAAATTATGTAAATATCCGACAATGGAAACATTATTCAATTATCCTAGCTAATCTGGAATATGTCTCCGTTCCCTACACAGTACATACGGAAAAGAAATTCTAATCATTGACCACCCCAGTACTGGCTCAGGAATTGAATGAATTTGAATTCCAACCTGGAAAAAGAAATGTCAAACATGTCGTCCCATGGCTCGTGCGTGGGGGAAATCGTTTTCGATTCTTTCGAGACCTGTTCTTTACCGTACGAGAATCCACCTGAACCATGGAAACATCGATTGACTGTGGAATACGGACGGAGGACCAGCGACTTAAGTAAAGTCTACTACTACCCTAAATAACGGTAACCTCCACCCAATTGTAATAAGGTAAACAAAAAAAAAAAAAAAAACCAAAAACTCAGCCCTGTCAACCTGTCATTCACCACCACAAAAGTATGTTATATAGTACTCCGTAAGATGCGACGCAATACGGAGTAGTAATTATGGATTTATCTGGGACGAGAGGATTTCGAATTCTGCCCACCCCGCGGACTACCGTGTCATTTCTTCGATCAGTCAATACTGATCGGAGTTCCCAATGGCTTATGGGGGCCGTCTTGGCTGACGTGGTTACATGCGCATTCTTACCTGCCTGGGTTAAGGGTAGAATGCAGACGGCTGACCGCACCAGCAACGATGAGAATCCCCCGGAATTCGACCATACCCGGTTTTTCGTCGAGGGGGTAAAGGAAAAGAGGGACATTCATTGCAGGAGGAAAGAGCACGGGGCTGATGGAGGATATAGCGTTGACCTCGGTGAAACCTGCTCCTGAGATGCTGATGTTGGGATTTTTGACGATTGAGAGCCAAGATGAGACCGTCATACTTAAAAGCACATAGTTGCTATCTAGTTCGTCTGAGAATTGAACTACATGGTCCCTATGGCGCTTTCTTACTAACTGGATGGAGAACCATGCAATGCGTGCCGGTCGGATTGGTTCGTTTGTACTGTTGAGATATCGTCCCCTTTTATATGAGATTCGGTCGTACTTGGAGGAGTTGGGCAGCTTAATATATGGATACACTCAGATTAGACTCCCTGAGACCGACTGGATACCATCTATCGACAAAGACGGCATTATCGACTCTATTGGTGTCACCGGGTAACAGACATGTGACAGTTAACGGCTGGTATTTGACGAGACAGACAAAGAAGGTTGAAACAAAGGAGGGGGAGGAAAGTCACCGAAATACGGAATATCCAGGGATATACTCCGGATGGACGCCATAGTCGTACTCCAAACTCCAGATTCTCTCACCGAATAAAGTAAATGTGGGAAAAACAAAGTGTGGAGGTAACAACTTGGCAGAGCGCACGGAGAAATTCCCGTCTCAATGCCCCGTCTCCTAGTATTAGACAAGCCTTCTGTGAAGACGGAAGAGAAGCTTGACGAGTGTTGAGGTTGCTCCAACAGGATAATTCCTGGCACAGAAAATCCGAGCACATCCTACGACAAAAGCAATTCTGGGATCAGCCTGTGGCGAAGAGAAGATCGGATGCAAGATGTCAGCCGATCTGGGGGTGGACTCTTGTTCGTTGAGCCATGCAAGTATCGGGAACCTTGTTCATTGTCTACTGTTATCTTATCCAACTCCTCCTCCGACAGCTGTACGTAGACGGAGTACTTCTTCTGGGATTCCCGTCCTTTGGGTCGGGCTATCCTGTGAGACGGGAGTTTATTAAGGCCTAAGCTAGCACAGTCTGCCTGTCAGACAACAACGTTAATAAGTACTGCCAACTTTGCCCAGCCATCTGAAATTTAGTCGAACCAACCTTATGCAGGAAGCAATTTTTAGAACTGGGAAAATTCGGACTTGTCCATGCATGCACCAGCCCTCCCCCAGCCAATCTGTCAGTCAGATGGCGTCGCAGGTAGGAAAATAAATATCGCAACGTGGATGGGATGCGTGTCCAGTGGCGAGAATTATCAAAATACGTATGTAGCTGCGGATGTTTCGGACGGTATCGTAATATTATAGTGGTCTGTCTATGTACATGTACTTAACTACCTAGATACTTACTGTCTAGGATCTACCCTGTACAGAGTAGTCGGGACATAGGTAGCTATGGAGTATGCCTCGAAGAATGTCATACTGCTGATACGAGAAACGAGAAGTATGGTCACCCTTTGGCCATTGACAGTCAAGTCTAGCTTGATCGGGTTTCGAGTCCACTAATAGTGTGATCATTATTGATTCTATTCTCACCATTACTATATGAGTTACGCTAAGTGCTTTAGATGGCTAGCTGTTGATTGACCATACTAACCATCTTCAATGGTAAGGCTTTAAGCTAGCCGATATGAGCTGGATGTGACAGGAAAATAATTATCTGAAAGAGAAAAAAAGAAATCAAAAAGAGGATAAAAACTGGAGTACATATAACTAGTTGGCGGAGTTTCGCCTCCCACGTCAGCCATTCACAGGAAAATACCGCTCGTGGATGGGGCACCATCCTCCCCACGAGACAAGACGGCATGAAACTCAATCAGGTCAAACACGATGGGGATTGGAGAGAGAGTAATAAGGAGGGGTGGAGAGAGGTGTCCAACAGCCAGTCGTTATGGGTTGCTTGGAACGAGGGCGATCGACACTGGGTAGTTTTAGTTACAGTAATGGGAAGCCTCTTGGAAAAAGAAAACAGGAGCTTTGTGCGAATACTATTAAAGTAAACCTACCGGGACGTGGGGACAAAGAGATGTGTGCGTAGCCGGAAGATAACGCCCGAATTCATCTTATGTACTAATTATCATTATTCGTCGTCTGCCGATAAGAACCAATTCTGATGACATAAGGGCTCATTATGTGTGGTTCCAGTCGGCTCAATAGCCGGTACACTACGTACCTACAATCGTTATGAGTCCGACTAGAGTAAAATAGCATCAATTAATGCTTCAGTATAGTATGACGAGAGGAAGTGCCGGAGACTGAGTCATTGATTGACGGCCTAGTCTATATCGATCTCTCAAACCTTCCCGGAGATGATGATAATGATTATCACCCTTCCAACTGTGTTTGATATAGCCTTGTCGCCGGAAACAGTATGGCTCTTTTCCCCTTGCGTTTCACTTTCTCTGGGCTCGTGGTTCCAAGATCGGATAGGATGGGCCTGAATGCTGGCATTAGTAACCATCGGTATCTGGGGTCTCCAGAGAGTAGGTAGGGATCGAAATAATCTGCTGCAATAAGAAACACTTAGTTGTAAGTTGGCCTCGAAGCAGGTACTCTGTATTGCCATCGTAGGTAATTTGTTAAGTTAGTACTTATGTAATGGGAGAAATGTCTTGTACGAATGAATTAGTCCTCGAACCCTGAGTGGATAATCCTTTTGTCCAATCTGATTTGTATTTCACGGTAGCTACGCCAACTACAGTACCGAGGATGTTGACGGGATGACTGGAAAATCTTGATTCTTCTCGGTGTGTATCTAGATTAGATAGTCATGTCCTTGGAGATATGATATTTGATTACTCTTCTGCAAGGCAATCGAATAATTAATGCTCTTGACTGTCACTGCAAGTTAGCAAATCAAATCAAAAATTTAAAGGATACCTACATATGTACTGTATACAGTTAAGAATGCATTCCAATGCGACAGATAGTTTTTCCTTGTCCTTCTGTTGGTTTCAATTATTTTTTAGCTTGGTTCCGTCCCAATTGCTTCAGCCCTGAACCAATCTGTACTATGATGATTGCTATTTTTTAAATCAAATTACCTTATGCTACGGGAAGAAAAAAGGGCCCTGTCGCAGCTGGCTGGAAAATCGCGCATAGTAAAAGAGAAAATGGGTGGAAGAGAGGGAAAGGATCTGGAAAATTAATGACCAGCCGGCTACCCGCACGCGGCATAGTAGGTCTTTTGGTCGGTCATGCCGTACAGCCGTACTGTAAGAAATCATCATTAGGTCTCCTGGACTCTCTTACGGAAAGCTCTTCCACACAAAACATAACATCTGGCACTGATAGGGGCAAACGAGAGGCAAAGTATGGAAGGTCGATAATTCTTTCCATGGCTTGTCCGGCCGAGGAGCCGGAAAGAAAATGTCAATGCCTAAATAAAATCGACGCCTGCCAGCTGTTGAGGCGCAGGAAAATTCCGTCTCTTGACCGACCGTACCGAGACACGGTACCGTATCTTCACTCCCCAGAATTTCCGTCCTGACCGGAGATAGCCTCTCACTGTAGCTGTACTCTGTATGGAGAGGAAGTGGAGGAGGGGGCGAACTCGGCACAGTTCTGCCGGTCATGGAGACTAAACATAGAGTAGAAGTTACTCCATCGAGTATAGGTAGGGACAAAAGAACCAGAAGCGTACTCTGTAAGGCGCGTACCATTGTGATATACTATGGAAAGGGCAGAGTTTTCTACAGGGACACGCTAGACCTAATATGGTGAGGGTCCCACTGGTTTCTGGAGAGCCAAACCAAAGAGGGAAATAGTAAAAAAGAAAATGAAAAACAAAAAGAAAAATAAAGAAAAAAGGACAGGAAAATTCCTCAGGGGCGTCCCGTTAAGCAGAAAAATGTGTGTGCGTGGGAGGAAAGAACAAAAGAGGCAAAGTGAGGGTCGCCTCGGTCATTCACCCACTGGTCCTTACTAGGGTCAGTGAACTTTTCAATCGAGTGGCTACTGCTCCCGGCCACACCACCCCATTATTAGCTCAGAAGGCCAAAAAAAAAAAAAAAAAAAAAAAAAAAAAAAAAAAAAAAATTATTAAATTGAGGGCTTACGCACAGGGAAGGTCGCCCGTTGGAGCTTAGGAGACAAGACGTGTTTGTCCAGGTCCCGTGCAAATCAATTCCCCCAAAATATTAAAGAGTACATTCTCCCTGCCCCCTTCATTTTGATTCCCCTCCTCTTCTTCTTTTTATAGGAATTCCGACTCTTGCCATTCCAGTCATCTTTTGTTTGCATCTGCTCATATCGTTGGGTTCCTAAGGCTTTGTGAGCCGAAGCAACAATGGCGGAGCGGAGAATCTCCTATGCTCCTGATGTAGAGAATGGTGACCATTCTCGCAGTGCTGCTGATGTGAACGACGGCGCTGGTCTTGATGAGTATGGTGCTTTAAACCGCTACATCTCGACCGCTCGCGACGGCCGTCGCGGTTCGACTTCTAGTGCCGGTGCTTTGTCTAACAAGAACAAGAAGAAGAAGCCCTGGTACAAATTTGGGGGTGCGAAGGCTGATGGTGTTGAGGATGGATTCGTCTGCCCTGATGAGTGGCTCGAGACCGATTTGCGTTCCGGTCTTCGCTCCAGCGACATTGAGCCCCGTCGCAAGAGAACTGGGTGGAACGAGTTGACCACTGAGAAGACCAACTTCTTCGTTCAGTTTATTGGTTACTTCCGTGGTCCTATTCTTTATGGTGAGTACTAGGCAAAATCTTACCGATTGGATTGACCATACTAATATCAGCATGCAGTTATGGAACTTGCCGTGCTTCTGGCTGCTGGTCTGCGTGACTGGATTGATCTTGGTGTCATTATTGGTATTCTATTGCTTAACGCTGTCGTTGGTTGGTATCAAGAAAAGCAGGCTGCCGATGTTGTTGCTAGTTTGAAGGGTGACATTGCCATGAAGGCTGTTGTCGTTCGTGATGGCCAGGAACAGGAAATCCTTGCTCGTGAGCTCGTTGCTGGTGACATTGTAAGATTTTCCTGCGTTGCCTTTCGAGACCTACCTAGCTAACATGATCATTCCTATAGGTTATTGTCGAGGAAGGTACCGTTGTCCCTGCTGATGTCCGCCTGATCTGCGACTACTCCAAGCCTGAGATGTTCGACACCTACAAGGAATACTTGGTCCAGGCCAACGACGACACTCTTAAGGAGAAGGACGACGATGAGGATGGCGGTATTGAAGCCCGTGCTGGCGTCTCCCTGGTCGCCGTTGATCAGTCCGCCATCACTGGTGAATCCCTCGCTGTCGACAAGTACATGGCCGACACTTGCTACTATACCACTGGTTGCAAGCGTGGCAAGGCCTACGGTATCGTTGTCGCTACCGCTAAGCAGTCTTTCGTCGGTAAGACTGCTGCTCTTGTACAGGGTGCTAAGGATTCTGGCCACTTCAAGGCTGTCATGGACAACATTGGTACCACCCTGCTCGTCCTTGTTATGTTCTGGATTCTCGCTGCCTGGATTGGTGGTTTCTACCGTCACTTGAAGATCGCCACCCCTGAAGATGAAAACAACAACCTGCTCCATTACACCTTGATTCTCCTCATTATTGGTGTCCCTGTCGGTCTCCCGGTCGTTACTACTACCACTCTTGCTGTCGGTGCTGCCTACCTCGCCGAGCAGAAGGCCATTGTCCAGAAGCTTACTGCCATCGAGTCTCTCGCTGGTGTCGATATTCTGTGCTCTGACAAGACTGGTACCCTTACCGCTAACCAGCTCTCCATCCGTGAACCCTATGTAAATGAGGGGGTCGATGTCAACTGGATGATGGCTGTCGCTGCCATTGCTTCCAACCACAATGTCAAGAACTTGGACCCTATCGATAAGGTTACTATCCTGACTCTCCGCCGTTACCCCAAGGCTCGTGAGATCCTTGCTCGCAACTGGGTGACTGAGAAATACACTCCTTTCGATCCCGTATCCAAGCGTATTACTACTGTCTGCACTTGCGACGGCGTCCGTTACGTATGTGCCAAGGGTGCTCCCAAGGCCATTCTTAACATGTCTGAGTGCTCCGAGGAGGAGGCCCAGCTCTTCCGTGACAAGGCCACCGAATTCGCTCGCCGTGGTTTCCGTTCCCTTGGTGTTGCTGTCCAGAAGGAGGGTGAGCCCTGGCAACTGCTGGGCATGTACCCCATGTTTGATCCCCCTCGTGAGGACACTGCGCACACCATTGCTGAGGCCCAGCACCTCGGTCTGTCCGTTAAGATGTTAACTGGTGATGCTATTGCCATTGCCAAGGAAACTTGCAAGATGCTTGCCCTCAGCACTAAGGTCTACGACTCTGAGCGTCTCATTCACGGTGGTCTTGCGGGCTCTGCCCAACACGACCTCGTGGAGAAGGCCGATGGTTTCGCCGAAGTGTTCCCCGAGCACAAGTACCAGGTCGTCGAGATGTTGCAGCAGCGTGGTCACTTGACTGCCATGACTGGTGACGGTGTTAACGACGCTCCTTCCCTTAAGAAGGCTGACTGCGGTATCGCCGTCGAAGGTTCTACCGAAGCTGCCCAGGCCGCTGCTGATATCGTCTTCCTTGCCCCTGGTCTGAGCACCATTGTCGATGCTATCAAGCTTGCCCGTCAGATCTTCCAGCGTATGAAGGCCTACATTCAGTATCGTATCGCCTTGTGTCTCCACCTGGAGATCTACCTTGTCACCTCCATGATTATCATCGACGAGACCATCCGTGCCGATCTGATTGTGTTTATCGCCCTGTTCGCTGATCTTGCCACTATTGCCGTCGCCTATGACAATGCCCACTTCGAGCAGCGCCCTGTCGAGTGGCAGCTGCCTAAGATCTGGGTGATCTCCATCGTCCTCGGTGTCCTCCTCGCCGGTGCTACCTGGATCATCCGTGCCTCTCTCTTCATGACCAATGGTGGTATTATCCAGAACTTTGGTTCTCCTCAGGAGATTCTCTTCCTGGAAGTCGCCCTTACTGAGAACTGGCTGATCTTCGTTACCCGTGGCGGCAAGACGTGGCCCTCGTGGCAGTTGGTTGGCGCTATCTTCCTTGTCGATGTACTCGCCACCCTGTTCGCCGTCTTCGGCTGGCTCTCAGGTGACTACCGCCAGACCAGCCCTCCCAGCAAGGCTGAGTTCTCCGTCAACGGCGATGTCGACATCGTCACTGTCGTTGTTATCTGGGCCTACTCCATTGGTGTCACCATCATCATTGCCGTGGTGTACTACATCCTTACGATCATCCCTGCCCTTGACAACCTTGGTCGTAAGAACCGCTCCAAGGCTGATACCCAGATCGAGAACCTCCTAGGACACCTCTCTAAGCTGGCTATTGAACACGAGACCGACGCTAGCGGCAAGTCGCGATACACCCTTGGCGCTCGTGCCGAAGTGGAGGAGGATGAGTAAACGCTTGATTGCGGTCCTTCCCCTTAATCTAATATGGTCCGATCTGGATATCACTTTCGCATACATGCATGAGCTGGCTTCTGGGCCCAGCTGCATACCCCTTTTACCCGTATTATAGACTTTTCCCCTTTTTATTACCTTGTCTCTGCATAGAGCCAACTTATTTTCTTCCACATGTATGTATGTCACTTAATAGTGGTAAATTTAGTTCAAATCAAGGGTTTTCAAAGAATTTCGCCTGCTCTTCTTTTTACTGTAGACTGCACTAATTACTGCTACTGGGAAAACTTCGGCTGCGCCGAAGGATTTTTGTGCGCTGGGGGCGATTTGGGATCAGCTACTAATGCCCCCACTTGCTGCATATATTCCTGCACTTGGCAGGCACGGTGGGCCTCGTTGGATGATGGTTTATTGATTTAATCCCAATTCGGTGAGAAGCTCCCCTGTTGGTCTCGGACGACGCCCGATCAGGAGACGCGGTGAGGGTGTCGTAATATTAGTTGGATCTCAAGTGGATGCACTCCAGCGTGTTGATTGCTTCATATCCCAGCAATTTGTCAGAATAGGCAGATATACGAGTACTACACACGAATTGTAACAGCTCTACTCTTTGTGGCGTAATGGTAATTATATCTGACAGAGGTGCGTATCCTCGTGATTATTATCATCCGTCTCTGTATGTTTTGTCACTGAGTTCCACTCCGTCTAGAATGAGCTGATCGATGCCTGTGTATTCATTTCCACTTCCAACTGCATCTATGCCTTCTCCACCTTGCGCTTCTTCTTTCTCTTTTGGATCCTCTTGAGGCTCGCCATCACGTGCTGTCGTTCATCGCGCGGCTCTCCTTCGATACCGTCGATAAACAACTCATGTCTCCATGCCAAACTATCCTCGATAGAATCACAATAATTAGTTTATCTGCCACTCCGTCAGATGCTCACCTGACCGGTCAGGATTCTTTGTCACACCGTGCAGTTGGACGTGCGGAATTGGCTTCTGATGCATGTCGTTTGTGGATGCTTGGGTTTTAAATATGAACTCTGAGTTGCTGCCCAGGGTGTTGTTGATTGGCAAAGTCTCTGCAGTTTCGCAGAGCATGGCAGCGATAGAGATGGACAAGAAAGCAGCGAAGCTGTCGGCATGTAACCGACACGATGTGTATATCTGAAGTCTCCGAGGTCTAGCACCCCAAGGCCTGCCCAACAGACGATAGGAAAACCTAGTCACACTCACCTGGGCGCAGGCAAACCACAGACACAAGTTCCAGTGCACAGGGTACATCAACTGGGTCATCGACGGCCAGAGCTGGTTGACCGAGCAGACTTTCATGGTGGAGTATGGACCTTCGGGCTGTGATTTAACACCTTCGGACGAGGAGCACCTACTTGATGATTGTGCCGAGTGCAAAGGCGTACACTCAATGTGATTCTCCTACGAATGGTTTCCATACGGATGAACGATTTGGATATGTGTGTTGGAATTATCAATTCGATATTGATTGAGCCATTCACAACACAGACACATGCATACCATACTACTCACCATATATCCGTCATGTATCCCAACAATGAACACCTACTCCCTGAGAAACCAGAGAATACGCATCTAAAGATATAAAGACTCACCCAACTACCCCGACAATGCCAAATAAGCCGCCCCGGAATCCTGCCACGCATCATGCACCAGGATCTTCACATCGCCATCCTCCTCTCGACCAGTTGTACCCGATGCGCAAATTCCGTCGACATCTTACTCCGTATCTTTCCACAGAAACTGGGCTTCTCCATGTAACTTCACCGTGTAACTTCACTCCCAGGTTCTTCTCATCCACCAACCACTGCTTCTCGTCCTCCCACGCCACGTTCTCGAGGGCCGCGCTCCGCAATGAGACCGAAGTACGTGACTATGGCATCGGGGCCGGTGGATTTGCGCCCGAAGTAGGGCAGTAGTTCCGGGGGGCCGTGCTCGATGACGATGGTCGGGTTCGTGATCGAGCTGGTGAAGTTGGACAGAAGCGCGGAGGTTGAGAACGCTGTGTTGAGGGATTGCACAGGGTTGATCAGGTCAGTTCGTGATGGCATTTTGGATTGGACTTTCTTTCTTTGCCTGGCTCTTGTGCTTGTGACGATGGGCCTGAATTTCGATCTCAGGATGTGGGATGTGTGGATAGAACAGAAGGATGGACATCACACAGACCAAGTGCCAGTTGGTATGTTGGTCGAGTAGGACTAGACAACAAATGAAGGGCGGAATTGATGTAACAGGGATAAAAGTATGAAAACTTGATTTACTGTATTTACTATATTTACCTTTCGAGTTTATGATTACATCATAAAGTCTGACGGATTCTTCTCTATCTGGATAGATACACATAGCACTCACCAGTCAATGCTCGATAGATCTATCACCATCTTAAAATCCAAGATTCATTCATGTTACCAGTCCCATCGCTCACCCCCCTCTCCCCAAGACTGTAGAAATGTTCACCTTTTAAGCAATCCATGAAACTCCATGCCTGGGTAATACTTTGACAACCTTGATGGTAGATTAAAAACGACACGATAAAAGAAATAAATATAAAAAGACTAGCAGCTTCAATTCACTGTCGCCATGACTTGCCACAGTTCAAACACGTACAGAACAGCGTCATTGGTTCGTCTGCACTGCGTGTCTGAGCTTCCGTGTACGTGACCTTGCGCTGTCCACATTTACCACACTGCAGACTAGTACTGATGCTGCGTTCTGCTTGTGCCACCATGGCCTTGTCCATGTTCTCCTTTTGGATCCTGCGATCCTGTTCGCGCTGCTCCGCCGATCGCAACTCATCGTGCGTCATCTTGACGAACTGATCGGGCGTCACCTCGTTGCCGAGCACACGCACTCGGAGGGTCGGGTTCGACTTGTTCCTGAGATTTTGGTACAAGCTGCGGATCTTGGTGCGGTATTGTTCCTTGGTCTCCGGTCCATATACTGCGTATGCAGCCGCCTCTACAGCCGACGCCTTGGACAGGACGGATCGCGGCGACTCCGTCGAGTTCAGAGACAGTCCATCATACATCAGCCCAATGCAGCTGTTCCGAATCTTGTTTCCCGTCTGATTGATGTCCACGCTGTCTGCCTTCCACGAGCGTCGATCCGGCGGAACCGACAGTTTCGATGTCTTGTCTGACGGTGTCGTCCCGGCAGGCGATGCGGTTCCATTCTGTGCTGGGCGCGGTGATCCACTCGACCGCTGGCTGGCACTGGGCGATCCGCCGGCTTTTTGCTTGTTGACTTCGTTGCGCCACTTGGAGACGATTTCGCTAGACAACCGGGCGACATCGGGTGATTTGTGTTGTTTGAACTTGTTTACAATGATCCCCACTCGGGTGGACCGTAGCAGATCCTCAGTCGCCTTCACACCCTGTTGCAGTTCTTTAAGCAGTGGCACAATATTTGCTGAAGGTTCGTTCTGCGTTGCGGCCTTCGTTAAGGCCTTGGCCTTAAGTTCGATTTCCTTTGCGTCCATTGCCACAGTGATGATCCGAGAAAGATGGGATAATGAATGATAGGATGGGAGGCTGCGGGAGCGCCTATTTACATGGAAATCCTCTAGTTAGCGAACAGAACCAGTGGGATGTTAAATAGTACGATGATGAGGCCAGTGAAAAGGGCAGCCCATTCCTGCCATGTATCGAACCAGACTCCAAGATACCAAGCACATCTTCAAGAATATACCACAATCAAGTAGCAGTCCGACTGACGAATGCACAGAAAAGAGTCCGACAACTGATCCATGCGCATGGGTCGCTCCAGAAGCACGTGGCTGGCTGGCCGGATATCCGACCGTAAACTCGTGAGTTCGAATCCCAAGATTCCTCTGGCATTGCGCATGCGATACACTGGGCATAAACTCCTGACGTGGAAGACGATGGTAGATGGAATGCAGGGAGGGGGTGCGCACTCACTCACTTCCAGTACGTATATCTAGATAGACACTTCGAAAGCCCACGCGCTGGAGATAGCCACGGTAGATCTAAAGGGAGTGAACGATGTCGATGACGACCCAGATGATTTGGAGCGGAGAAAGGAGCGTAGCGACAGGATGAGGGGTGGAAGATGGCGATGGAAGAAGGAAAGAAGGAAAGAGAACAAGTTGAAGCGCCGCCGCGATGCCAAGCCCAGATTGCCCGTTTAGGCAGGCGTTCCGATAGTAGTCCCTTGGGTCATCGTAAGGTTCTACTATGGATATATCTATGTACTAAGGATCTAGAGGAGCTATTGCACATAATCCATTTTTCTAAGCCGTTATATACATCGTAGCGGGTTAACATGATGCGGGTCAGGAACATCTGGCCAGTAGGAATCTATATCCCACGCCCTGGAAAGAAATTAAGTCCAAAAACAAGGGCTGGGCATCAAAACTTGCAGGACATGGGATCTGATCTAAATGTAAATGCAACATATGGTGGGTGATGGAGCGAAGAATGACCAGCGGCATCATCTGCTGGCCTGCGCCTTCGGGTCAAGCTGGAGACATCCGATGACGGTCATTCCGAACTCACTGTATCCTGGCAGGTGATAGACCCGGTATCCGTTCCATCATTTATTCTCCTGCGCACGACTCATTCCTGGTATGGGATCGGGGGTATAAGACAATAAAGGGAGGGCTTGGATGACTGGTCTCCAAGAGCGATGGACGGCCTACAGGGCAGTCTTTTCCAGAGCTTCAGCCAGTTTCTCCACGTTCGCGTCCTTCTTTTGGGAGACCGTCTTATTCTCGGACAGCGCAGTGTCTTTGAGCAGCTTCTCTGTTTTATGTTCCTCTTCCTCTTCTTCTTCCTTCGCCTCTTCCTCTTCCTCCGCCTCCTCTTCTTCCTCCTCTTCCTCGCTTTCTTCCTCGAGCTCGTCCAGCTCGTCCACCCCCCACATATCCTCCGGATCATCGTCCTTGCCGTGCTCTTCCTTGCGCGCCTCCAAAACCTCCCGCAGCTCAGTCACATCATCGTCGTCTTCCATGAACTTGTTCCCATTCAGTTCAATGCGGCGCAGCGACGTCAACGCAGTCTTGGTTGCGTGGAGGAACTGCTTGACACCTTCGGCAGTGATGTCGTTGTACTGCAGGCGCAGGGTCTCCAGTTTCTGGTTCTTAGCCCCAGCCAGAGCCTGGGCAAGTTTGACACCTCCGCGAGGGGAGAGCAGGCAATCACCAACGCCGAGTTCGCGTAAGGATGGCCATCCAGGGACCACTTCGGCCAGGGCAGTCGATCCCGTGACGGTGAAAGTATTGTCCTGCAGGTCGAGTACTTCCAGCCCGGCGGCATGACGAAGACCCTCCCTCAGGAGCAGAGAGATACCCTCCTGACGGATACCATTCTGGGTCATCTTCACGGAACGGATGCCTGCCGCATGCACCTCGTAGGCACGTGCCCAGGCCGCCATACTGCCGTTCTCCAGACGGTTCCGCCCACAGACGATGCTCTCCAAGGAAGCGACCTCCTTGCCCGCTTTGCGTGCTTCCTCCTTGCGCTCTGCAAGCTCCTTGAGTGCGTCGGCAATTTCCGCTCCGGCATCGGGACCCATACCGTTATTGTTCAAAATCAGGTGGCGCAAAGGGATATGGCGCGAGAGGAAGTCGACGAGGGGCTTCGAGGTCCGTTTGCCGAAAGCGTTGTCGGAGAGGTTGACGGTGTGGAGGGAGGGAATCGCAAGAAGGGCATTCAGAAGATGGGTCAGAGCATCGGGAATCTCTTCGATCAGACGCGAGGTGAAAATGTCGGCCAGCTCGGCCACTTCCAGATTCATTTGCGTGGAAAAGGCTGAAGCGAATCGCTCACAGGCGGTCACTCCAAAAGTATTTCCACCCAGACGAATCTCCGTATAATCTGTAGCTTCCAACAAAGGCTTGATATGGGCCTCAACATCCTCTGCGGTGTCGAGCTTGAGGCCTTTGCCTTCCAGCGAAAAGACCTTTGGAGGGACCATGGTGGGGTAATTCAGGGGGGTTCAAGACTGAAGGGCTCAATGGGGTGACAAGGGAAAGGTCCAAAAATCAATCAGTCTTGAAAGCTGCCTGGATAGACACTGCAGAAGGTCGAGCGATCAACAAAAGAAAAGGTGGTGAAGGAGTGCGAGCGAGGAGGCAAAAAAGGGGAGAAAAAAAGCGCGACACTATAGAGCCTAAGGTGTCATTTCATCGTTACTGACAAGGCCGTCCCGCGCTAAACCCGATTGGACATCCAGAGTACTCCTTCAGCGAACTGCAGAGACCAACGGCGCCATCGCGTCATTATTCAGCAGGGCCTTTTTTCCTGATTGATTACTTACTTCTCAATTACTTACTTCTTAGTTATCTCACTCTTTGCTGCAAGGTTCTTGAAAATGTCTCTCTTCGGTATTTTCAGCGGTAAGGCTCTTCCTTTATTTGCGGTGCTCTCTACATCGTTACTTCAACCTAAATCTCCGGATCTCTAATATGTCCATCTCTCAATCTAGGCCCTTTCGAGAAGACTCCCACACCGGCTGCTGCCCAGTCAACTACGGCGGAAAAGCCCAAGGTATGTTGAAGATTGCAGTCGCAGTGAAAAAGACTCCGGCTGATCTCATCAAACAGCCATGCTGCGTCTGCAAAGAAGAGAAGACGGCTCGGGATGATTGCATGCTGTTCTCGAAGTCCGACGACCCGACGCAGGAGTGTAAGTCCATGATCGATCAGTACAAGTCCTGTATGGCAGGGTTCGGTTTCAAGGTCTAAATCTTGGGTTCGATTGTTACGGTCATTGTTTCTACGACCAGGTCCCTGTCAACTGGCTTGTCTGTCGGCAAGGTGTTTGGTGTCGGGTTTTTGGGCTGCATTTCATGTATATTACTTGCACTTCTTGGGGGTATAGATACATCTCCTTTCTTTGTACAATAGATGCATATTACAACTGGTGTCTCTGAATAGTCTGTCTGGGATTAGTATACGTCAAACGTGCGTATGGGCTGTTCGTTTCGCCATCCTTATCTTATTGCTCATTCAACAAACTTAAACCGAACCGGGTATCATTCAACTAAACTCCATAACCAATCTATGTCTATAGACGCTCCCACGGTACTCCGTACTACTGCTTCTTTTTCCGAGCTTCTTCCGCTGTCTTGCGATCAATCATGCGGCACTGAGATATCAGATTCCACAAACACCACAGGTATGCAATGCCAAACCCTCCTGCACCGACAAGCACGTTTAGCACGACCCATAGGTCAGGCTTCCCAGCCGGTGTCGGAACGAAGGCCTCCAGCACGTGCCACACAATCATAATTAGATAAAAGCAGACATGGAGGAGCTTCGTGCTGATGTGTAGATAGGAGCGTGGGTCCGAGTCATCCGGGGAAGAAGTGCGAGTTCGGTAGATTTCCAGCGAGGTCGGTGGAAGGCCCAGCAGATAAGCCCAGAGCAGCGACATAACGAAGTACGGTACTCGAAGTTCGTCGCGTTGAAGGAGCGGATACATCGTCCAACAACCAAGCATGTTGGCCCATCCTACCCAGGCCCGCGTTTCCTTGCTTAATCCCCCGTCGCCAGCAAGCAAGAGCGTCATAGGTAGCAGAGGTAGAAGGACGCTCTTCTCATGGACCTGAAATGAAAACAGAAAGAACCCCCAGGCCACACAGGACAGGGCCGGAAGGAGAAGCGAAGCGCGCGGATGCCGGAAGACAATAGCACAGGGTATGAAGATGGATGCCAATGTGGCACCGAGGGACACTCGTTGGACAAAACCCGCTTCAAACCGATGAAGCTTGTAGAATGTATGAAGAGCACACCAGAAGTTTGCGACCTTGTCTTCGAACAAGCCACGCGAAAAGGGGAAGACTCGGTGGATGATCTGCGTTAATTGAAACAAGGGAGCGTAGAACAGAGAGGTTTTGTCGAACTGGATTGGTAGTGCTTGCAGCAATGGTGGCTCTGGAAGCGAAGTTAAACTGTTTCGAGCGTCAACACCAGTCGCACCCACTATCAGTGGGGCGAATAGAGCTGCGAAAGCAGCAAGTGTGACAATAGAGATACAAAGAAGACGGAGGATCCGGATCTTAGGGAAAATGCAGACACCCAGAAGAAAAGCAAACATAACAGGTGCATAGTAGAGGGCCATTTGTTTGAACCCCAGAGCACCCACGAAAAAGATACAGGCCCAGAGCATGCGCCCCGCCAGGATAGCATCCAGACTTGCAACAACAAGACCTAGCATCACGGTGTTGTATTGGAAATGGCCATGATCGATGAGAATGGTTGCCGGCTGCAGTAGGATGGCAACGAGGGCAATCGAGGTAGACCATACGGGAACATCTTGCATCCGCGAATAGCGCCGCAAGAAATTGACAATAGCTGGGATATAGATAAGGTACTCAGAAACAACCACGGTTGCACGCATAAATACTTTCAACCGAGGGTGTTCGAAGCCACGGGATTCATCTAGGGCAAACCAAGAAGGTTCGAACAGAGTGCCACTGCTCCAGTTAGAAAAAAGAGAAAAATTAAGAGAATAGGCTTTCAAGTACATCTTTCCTACCACCCAACTATGATATGCTGTCAATGGCGGGTAGTCAAGCCCCCAGTACTGTAGGTCGTACGTATACCACTTTGACATAGGTAAATGGATTGTCAATTCCATCCAGTGTCTTTGTGCTTCGAAATCGCCATGCATAGGAGGTACGTGGAAGCCTAACGAGTATCAGTGGCACGATGCGGTGCGTATAGTCATACTATGCCATTGTTACTTACCGGAATAGCCCCCTAAGCTGACGGCCCAACGAAAGAGACCCACGGCCATCAAAATAAGAGGCAGCACAAGCCATAGAGAGACACCTGCACGGGCAGCCCAAAGAAAAGAGACCAATGGAAATGCTGGAGTAGGCTTTCCACCATCCGTCTCCAAGATCAGAGCATCGTTCGACGCGGAGAAAAGTGGAAACTTTCTTTTCTTCCGCGGACGATGAGAAGCAGGAGTAGAAGGAGCCATAGCTAGAGGAGCTAAGACCAAAGGCCTTCCATAGAATATGGATGTTTTTGTGGGAGATGAACACAGAAGAGAGGGTTAAGAAACCGCCGCGAGAAGTCACAAAAGCTCCGGCGTAACTCTGGGTACTGGGGGTGACACTCCAGCCCCATTGATTGGCAGTGGGCAATCGTGTACCTTCGAGGTCTCCACTATTCCGGTGGAAGTTCTTCCACTAGACGGTTTACGGTAGGCGGTATGAAGGATTTTTGCCAACCCCCCTAGTTTTTTTTTTTTTTTTTTTTTTTCCCGCGATTCTTATCAGAGCTCTCACCTACAGAAATTTTCTTCTCTCTTCTTAACTTACCTTTCCCTTCCCCATCATCCTTCCATTTCCTAACTGGAGATCAAAGAACTGGGTTGATATTTTCCTCCAGTCTAGATCTATTTCAGTGTCGCAGTAGCGTGGGCCGTATCTTCCAAGTTGCACTTCAACAGACATCCTGTGGGCTAAATACATCTGAGGGCTGTGGGCTGTGGCATATTGCAATCATTCCTGTGGGATCTGTGGGTTACTCTCGTGGGTTTCATTTATAGACGGTTGCATATCTCCTCTCCGTCTCGTGTGGGCTTGATCGCTGTCAGTTGTGGGTTACCTGTGGGTATCTGTGCCGAGTCTCTTCTCCTAAGTTGAGATTTGCGTATTTGCTATTTCTATTGAAAATCGGGTGACTGTGGGATTGCACAAAAAAACTGCCGCACTTTTTTGAGTTGTCTTGTTGGTTCTATATTTGCACACATATCGTCTTGCCTGTGGTTTGTATCACCCTGGACTTCTTCCTGTCTGTTTACTAACCATCCACAGATTCAAAATGTCTAAGACTAAGTCTGCTACCAAGAAGGGTGGCGAGAAGGTCGTTGATAAGTCCCTGAGCAAGGTCAAGGATGCTGGTGTGACTAAGGTCTCCCAGTCTCCTAAGGCTAAGAGCAAGCAGATCGCTCGAGAGATCGCCAGCAAGGAGAAGTCCAAGAGCAAGAAGAAGAAGGAGCCTACTCCCAGCAGCAGCTCTGAGTCCGACAGCGACGAGGAGATGGACTCTAGCTCCAGCAGCGAGAGCGAGAGCGAGAGCGAGGAGGAGAAGAAGGCTGCTAAGGAGGTGAAGAAGGTGGACGAGAAGAAGAAGAAGGCCCCTACTCCTTCTGAATCCGAATCGGACTCTTCTGATAGCGATGAGGACATGGAGGATGCTTCCAGCAGTGAGAGCGAGAGCGAGGACGAGAAGAAGCCCGCTAAGAAGGCCGAAGAGCCCAAGAAGACTGAGAAGAAGGCTAAGAAGGAAGAGTCTTCCTCCGAGTCTTCTGACTCTGAGTCCGAGTCTGAAGAGGAGAAGTCCGAGTTTGAAGAGGAGAAGGCCCCCAAGAAGGATATTAAGGTTGTCAAGGCTTCTAAAGCTAAGGCTGCTGAGTCCTCTGACTCCGAGTCGGAATCGGAGTCCGAGTCTGGATTGTCTGACGAGAAGGAGGCCCCCAAGAAGGCCAAGAATGACTCCAGCGACAGCGAGGAGTCCGACTCTGACTCCGACTCCGACAGCGAGGTTCCTGCTAATGCTAAGAAGGCTGAGAAGGTATGTGTATTGAAAATTCGCCCTTGAAACAGCCAGGACGCTGACAGGACACCAGTCTTCTGAAGAATCAGACTCATCCGAAGAGTCTGGTTCTGATAACTCGTCCGACTCTTCCGACTCTGAGACCGAAGAGAGTGAGGAACCGGCCAAAGCCTCCAAGAAGCGCAAGGCTGAGGAGGACCATTCCGCTACTCCGAAGAAGTCCAAGACTGAAGAGCCCGCTAGCGGTGTATCTGCCAACCTTTTCATTGGCAACCTGTCTTGGAACGTGGACGAGGATTGGCTCCAGCGCGAGTTTGAGAGCTTTGGTGAGCTTTCTGGTGTGCGAATCATGACCGAGCGTGACACTGGCCGTTCTCGCGGGTAAGTGAACTCCAACGACCGAATTGCCCATGCCAGTGCTAAACCTCCCGTCCAGATTCGGATACGTCGAGTTTGCCAACAGTGTTGATGCTGCCAAGGCCTTCGAAGCTATGAAGGGCACCGAGATCGATGGCCGGACGATCAACCTGGATTACGCTACCGGACGCCCTGCCAACAACCAGGCGGGTGGTAAGGACCGGGCTCAGGCTCGTGCTCGTTCTTTCGGTGACCAGGCCAGCCCTGAAAGCGATACGCTGTTCGTGGGCAACCTCCCCTTCGGTGCCACGGAGGACTCGATCCACGAGGTGTTTGGCGAAAAGGGAACCATTCTGGGCATCCGCCTGCCGACCGACCCGGAATCGGGGCGTCCCAAGGGATTCGGATACGTCCAGTACTCGTCGGTGGATGAAGCCCGCCAGGCCTTGAGTGAACTGAGCGGCGTGGAGGTGAGCGGCCGTCCGGTGCGTCTGGACTTCACCACTCCCCGTGCCAACAACAACGGCGGTGGCGGTCGCGGCGGCTTTGGTGGTCGTGGCGGCGGCCGTGGTCGCGGTGGTGACCGTGGAGGTCGCGGTCGCGGTGGCTTCGGCGGACGCGGTGGTAGCGGTGCTCCCAACCGGGGTCGGGGATCGATCCCGGAGTACAAGGGCACCAAGGTGACTTTCTAATCTAGTTAATGGATGAAAGATGACATGGGAAAATTGCGCTGGATTCTGATTTGATTTTGCTACTAAAAGTTCTTTTGTGTTGATAGTGCCCTGGATTGGCTAGATAGACCCTGTAATAATACATTCTTTCTGCTGAGGATTATTTGTCTCCTCTTTATCTTCTTCTTTATTATCATTGTCTTCTTTTATGATCTTTTTTCTTTATTATTCTATTGTTAGATTCTTGTCTCCTGTCGGACCAGAGATCGTCGATCAGAGGTTGCGCTGATGGCAGAACAAGTCAGCTGTGCATCGTCGGATGATCCCAGCCAGCCAGCCACTTGTTTGTCGACTACTTAGGACTGGCTCTAAGACCTTCTTCCTCTTTCTTCTGCGACTGGATTCGCCCTTTGATTGATGTGCGTACTCAGCGTACTCAGAAAGTACTTCCATACTGCAGCCCAGCCTACTTGTGCGGATCCCCCAAGATAAGATAATCAGTCGGACTCCACCCCCTCTTTCATCATCCACTTATTTCCTCCTTGACCGCTGCTCCTACTCCTGTGGCCTGATCGCATCCCCGCTGGATTCTTGTCCTAACTATCATTCTTCTTATTACATCGTCCATTTCCATCTCTTCTCCGCTGTCTCTTTCTCCAGTCATCTCTCTCCATCACCCTCCCCTATCACCATGCAACCCGCCCACTATGACTTACTGGGTCAGGTGCACGAGGAGCCTCGTCCGCGGATGACGCCAGACGTCCAGCAGAATCCCCTCCCACCGTCACACTCTCCGTCCAGTCTTGCGCTCCCAAGATCAGAAGGTACGTCTTCTTTTCCACGGCAGCTGTTATCTTGTCCTCTTCATCACCCCCCCCTGGCGATCTCCCTGCACGGTCAACATGCATGCATTTCTGTTCCCTTCTCTCATCCACTGTACGACCTTCCCAACATGTACTCACTACAGTATTACATAGATTCTTGGATCGAGGTCTCCTCTCAGCCATCCACCTCCTCCTTGTCGTCCGCTGCGACCAATGATGATATTATTACCACCGGCCTTCGCGTCGAACAAAACGGCTCCCGGCCATATCACCGCCGTAGTACACGACGTCGACTGCAGCATCTGGCTGCCGTCACCACAGCTCAAGTTGACTATTCGTCCCGCGAACAGAGCAGTAGCCAGGATGAATATGAAGAAAGTGAGAGCGAGTCGGATCGTATCCTGAGCAGTTCGAATGAGGACGTGGCCCAGCGGCCGCTTGGGGGTCCGCCCCTAGCTGGGATGGTCCCGTCTGGGCCGCTGTCTGATGCGAACCACTCGACCGATGAGGATGACAGCTCGACTGCCCTTGGGATGCGCATCAGCTCGTCCCCCCTTCGTTCCTCAGCCCAACGTGTTCTCCCATCCTCCTGCGTCGCGGGATCCGTCCTGGACGCGACCGCTCGAGAGACGTCGTTCCCAACCTAGCGAATTATCAAACTGCAGTCGTCGGACAGCGATCCGGAGAAATTCCCAGGCGAGTACCCGCTCGGTTCGAAGGTCGTCCCATCAACAACATAGTCCGTACAATATGATCTCGCCTTCTCATCACGCCGATCACGATGCTGCCCTCCGTGCCAGTCTTTCCACTTTACTGTCTTGTGCCGCTGCCGCGCGGGGTCTGCCCAAGCCTGATCCGCTCCCCTCACCGGCGGGTCCCTCCAGGGCACAGCCAGCGTCGTTTCGGCTGGTCTCCGAGACGGTGGCAATGGGAGGAGAAGAACTCAGCGAAGAAGAGGCCCCTTCAGTGGCGGAGACCCATGATTCTACCAGGCTACGGCGATCGAAACAGCCCCACGTACCGATGGCAGCTTACCCACACGCCAGCGCACCCAAGGTTAAACGGCGGTCTTGTTCCCCGAAAGGCCATAGCCACTCGACTTCTAAGAAGAGCCGTCGCGCCGGAACAGCTGATTCGGCAGGGGGCCCAACGATTATGACCTGGGTTATCAGCGCGGGCGTAGTGGTGCTTTTCTCGGCTATCAGCTTTTCCGCAGGATACGTACTGGGCCGCGAAGTGGGAAGAATGGAAGCCGGACCAGGAATGGGGTCGATCATGGGGGATGGGGGCCTTTCCGGGGGGAAAGCATTCGCCGGATGTGGCCAAGAAGCGGTTCGAGGGGGTCTCAAACGATTTCGATGGGGCTCTGGGACTGCTGCATCGGGTGTCATGGCATAGGACAGCTCATCTCCCCTCGGTGTCATTCTTTCAAGGGCCATGATAATGATGATAACGTTGTGTTCACGGAAGCTCTCTCTTTCTTTTTCACCTTTCTTTGCTTCTTTACTTGGAGTTGCCATGAAAATACATCGCAACGCTCCTTTTCTTTACTGCACACTCCCGCGGACCTGTCGCGGGGGAAAATTATGTTGCAGAGCTGTCCTGGTGTTCTGTTAATACTTGGCGTTTGGCTGGTTTCCTCGGTCGTTTTTGCACAGTTCCTTGCATGCTATACCCCGTATCCCTTCTTTTTTTTTCATTTGGACGTAATTAACTAGTCAACTCGACTGTTCCATCTGACGATCAATAGTGCATTTTGTATAAGTCCTGTGGATGAGGATATTCTACATTCTACTATCCTAATGCAAATATTTACTTCTTCTGGCACAGTTATACCGTATAGAAACTGTTCATTCAGCGTAGAATTTCTGCACGAATAAGGACCAGCTGTGAAATAGCTGAGGCACATATCATAGAATCAGAATACTTTTTGCCCATGTAAATGAAGTCACAGCATCAGCATCAGTATCGTCACGTCTGGTCTTCGATCTCCTATCTTATTTTCCACTTCAAAGTTGACCTTACGCAGGATCCCCAGAGATTCATCCCTCAGCTTACCTAGTAGTCTCGAAATCCGCCGCCAGGTAGGTAGGAATGAATCCCCGGACGGTATAATGGACACCACGGAGTGCTCTTCAACGCGACCACGATATCATCGATATGTGTTTGCGAATCCGAAGAAGTCTTTTAGTTGGTTGTCCATCTGGCGCTGGACATATGGACAGGAGTCAGTTAAGCTCATCCTTGCGATGTTGGATACCTCTTGCTCTCAGGAGCTTGCTCAAGCCAACACGGTCATTACCAGTAATTTTAACGTGTGGCATGGACTAGAAAGTTAACTAAACCACTTAATATCACGTAATTTAAGAGAAAGATAATATATGGACTCACCGCATTCGACCGTTTGCACGAGTAACAGCGAGGGAATGCCCCTAAATGGCCCCAAAAGGAAGCACTGAAAAATCGAGAAAAGGTGTCGAACGCCAGTAGTTATTTAAGAGAGAAATACTGCCGAAGTCCTTCAGTCTTTCCAGCGTGTTCTCTTAACAGGCCATTGATAATAAACTTGCTCGCATTAATGCCTGCAGTATAGGCACAGCCTAGGACCAGATGGATATCATAGTAAGACATTAATTAGCCTGTATCGAAAGATCCCCCTCCTCATGAGGTGAGATGTTCTATGTATTTACTTTAATAAACCCCATGCTACTAAGTTATTATATCTAATTTATCCGCATATTCTGATTCTATGTCCAGTTTAGATAATCTAATGTTCGCAACACTTAATTCCGCTTTAAATTATAATAAATTCAAGTCTACATTAGGTGCCTGCTGGCTGCTCGCGTGAGTTCTAACGGCTTCTATTATCCGCGAAGACAAACACCATCCGAGTCTGCCCCCCTAGTGAATACCTTTGGGATTTGAGTTCTATGGGCGAAATTCGAAAGGCTTCCTCCTTTATTTTCTTCTTCATGGTGAGCTGCAGGGGTGTTCTCTACTGATTTGTAAGGTGTCATAATAGACAATAAAAATGCGATTTAATTACCCGTCTTTATCATGCTTGCACATGAATAGAGTCTGTGAAACTAATGATATTGAATCAAAGTCACTCGACAAAAACGGTGGCATCGCACTTGGTGCAGTACAAGGACTAAGGGGTAGAAAGTCATGAAATCAAAGATCTTGGTCCTTGATACCATGATTGTTGGCTTGACAATTCCGCATTGCTCCGTATATGCTGTTGATACCTTCTCCAATTAGCACATTGCTATTCCACGGGGTGGCATATTCCAGTGCTTGTTTGGGATAATATAATCAATACGTATATCTGGGCGATTTTTATATCTCAGATATCTTTGGCTTTTTGTTTTAGGATGGCTCTGCTGCTCCACTTGCAGGGATAGGAACTTGATCCTTGACAACGCCCTTGTCAGCAGAAAGAGTCCCCTTGACCAAGCCTTCTGCTGTTAGAACTGGACAATTGGCCCTGTGAGGGCCGCAAAAGCGTACGTGGCAGTCAGGATGAGCGTTAGTACTTCGTGACGCAAGCGTGATCTGCTCTTAGTGGCATCTGCTGTACATGTCTACTGACATTCATTCCTGTTGGTGAGCTCGCGAAGGTCATCGTGCGCCAATACAGACATTCACTTTGGCCGCCTTAGGCAAGTATCCACGGTCGACGTGATTGCAAGAGCTCACTGGAGTCTTGATGTCTCGGGTCTCTCTATGCCGGTGAGAGTGGAGTTGAAACCTCACCGCTACTTTTGGCCCAACTCTCAAGTCATAGACAATTATATATTAACATGGCAGCTTACGCTAGTATGAGCAAGATAAAGAAGACAAAAGAGGCCACATTTAGACCCATCAACGTTCCCTTCTTTCGATGACTCGATGGGAAGTTGTGAGACGGAGCATCTTATCCCCAAGCTCGGCGATAGGATGTACACCCGACTACTGCTGAGATTCGAGTCTATGGAATATTAGAATTAGTCGTCATGGCTTCTTTTTGTGGTCAATCCGTATTTCGGCATAGATCAAGAAATGGCTGGAAAGGGTGAGCTGCTGTAGCATCTCGGGTATCGAGAGTCTGTTTAGTCCTACATCATGTATCTTATACGGACCTTCAGAAGAGCCGACAAAGCGGCCTTCAACCATATGGGCGTCGAATTTGTCAAACCGTTCAGCTTTGGTAAGAGACGGATACGCCAGCCTGGTTGGACACCCATATAAAGGTTCATGTACGCGCGAGTAGGGCCTTTGTCCAAATGGCGGTCGGAGCCGTCGTCGTGAAAATAGCAGAGATGCTGTCCCCCGTGATGATTCTCTGCCTGTGGAAAGCTGAGGTTTCGGATGGCAACCAGTTCTCTTGAAGCGTCGTTAAACCCAATGCGTCTACTCGATATTCTAGAAGGACAACAGGCAGGTAACCTATATGACTTCCGCAGTTCTAGCGTACCATTGAAGGGCTCCAAACTCTGAAAGACCTAATCGAGGTGCTCAGGGTGTTCTTCTGGCGTGGTAGATGCGATGACTATGTCATCCATATAGGCACGGCAAAATTCTTCGAAGTCACCAAACAGTCTAGACTTCGCTGAACTCAGGCTACCGAATTTTTAAACCCCATTACCGTGTTGAATTCGTTCATGGCCTCAGTGACATATGACTGCTAACCTATTTCGATGCTCGGGCTTTACTTCCACTGGTAAAACCAAGCCATGACCTTAGATACGTAACACCTGGTAGTTACCTGTGCCTGACAACACCGGTAGACAATTGACACCGACTGTTCGGTTAGTTATTTTAACTAAGAAGGGAAAGTGCTTGCCAGCGGATAAGAATAACCTGCGAAGCGAATTTATTCAGAGCAGCTGACATCTTGTTTATATTATCTTGGAAGTATATATCGTTGTTGGAAAAGCCTGTATCGGCTTAATATAAAGTAATGTACATTAGGTAGCTGATATGCTAAGGAAGGAGAGTGAGTGGGATCCTGCAGGCTTATATACCCTTCTATAGTTAATATAGCATTTAATTAAACTCGATAGCCTCATAGTCCTTTCTATTCACAAGACAATGAATGAATAATGGTATGATGGTATGCCCAATAGTGAAGCGAGCAATCCAGCGGGATGGGTGAATCCAATGGCACATGCAATAAAGAGCAAATCTAGATCCTCTGGTCGGGGTCTCTACAGAGTGGAGTGGAATGGAATGTATCCTAGCTTACGTTGGTCGTTGAATCCAGATATGAAATCCAAACAATTATATGCAAATTATGAATCCACGATATATCTCGTTTGACTTTGGAATTACTGGTCATAATACACCCCGGGCTTTTTTCTTTTCTCTATGATTTTCCGTCTCCCCTGTCCTACCATAGCTCACCGCGACAGAGCAATGTCATCAATTCTCATGATCATCTTCACGGTCTCAGCTGCCAGCTCAATCGCACTGGTGCTTACCAGGAGAGGCTGCAGGATGTTCTCCTCAGTGATGTCATCCTTCACTCCGCCGCTGCGGATGCTGACACCGGCGTTGTGCTGTCCTTGAGCATGGCGGTGACGCAGGTCCGTGACTACCTTGATCGAGTTGAGACCGGCATTCTCCGCGAGCGTGGTCGGGATGACCTCCATCGCGTCGGCAAAGGCCTTCCAGCAGATAGCCTCCGTACCGGTAAGCTCACGGGCGCGCATGGCCAGCGCGTGCGCAACCTCGACTTCGGGGGCTCCACCACCCGCAATGAGGGCACGCTTTTTCACCAAGCAGCGGATGACACACAGAGCGTCGTGAAGCGAGCGCTCTGCCTCATCCAAAATGAGGTTGTTGGCACCCCGAGCCACGATCGACACGGTCTGGTTGCTAGATGTAGCCGGAACCTTAATACCAGTGATCTTCACATAGCGAGCACCGGAGGCCTGAACCTCCTCCACCAGGTCTGCAGTACCCAGTTTGTCCTCAGTGAAGGAGTCGATATTGGCAACAGGCTTGCAGCCCAGACTCTTGCTCAGGAACTCAATCTCGTCCCGCTCGATGTCCTTCACCGCAAGGATCTTGAGCCGGGATAGGAAGTGAAGTGACAACTCGTTGACGGCGTCACGGAGAATTGATTTCTGAATAAGGAGGACATTACACTTCGTCTTCTGGATCTTCTTCACCATGTTCAGCAGGTATTGGCGCTCTTCTTTCAGGATCTTGTCCATCTGGCGGTAGTCGTTTACCACAATCTGGTTCTCCATCTGCAAAGTTCCATCATCGTAAGCAATCCGCTTATGAAGCTAGGGAGCAGGTAACATACATCAGGCTTAGGGGGGCTGAGCTGGAACTGAATCAAGCCTATCCGAGCCTTCTCAATCCTTGTGGGGCCACCGCTGCTCTTGATGACGGCTTGGTTCAACACCAGGCCGTCCACCATCTCACTATCCTCAATCGTACCGCCAACCTTCTTGACTATCCGAATGTTTCTGAGGTCCACATTCTCTGCCGTCTTGGGATCGACGATCTTCAACACCGAATCGACAGCCATGGGGCCGAGAAGACCAGAGTGCTGCGACACAATCTTCGATGAGAGAGATGTCGAAGCCGCTTGGAGGAGGGTAGAACGGTCCATCAGATTGATCGGTCGGGACATATTGTGAAGGATTTCGACGGCTGCGCCCGCGGCTCTTTGGAAGGACTCAGAGATGACTGTGGGGTGAATGCCCTTGGACAACAGACGCTCTGCAGCACCTAGCAAGCTTCCTGCGATAACGACGACCGAAGTGGTTCCATCTCCAGCTTCGACATCCTGGGCCGCACTCAGATCAACCAGCATTCTAGCCGCGGGGTGCATGACGCTCATGTCCTTCAGCATGGTGTTTCCATCATTGGTCTGCGGGGAGAGTTAGTGGTGTTGAGAAAGGACGAGGGTTGGGATTCGTACGATAATAGTGTTACCCTTGGGAGTTTGGATCTGTATCTACATTAGCAGCTGTATCTGAGATGGATTGGACATGCTCCTACCATCTTATCCATTCCCCTGGGCCCCAAAGACTGGTCACTATGTTAGCCCCTCATCTGTAGTGATAATATTGTCCGAAGCATACAGTTCTGATGGCATCGGCGACGGCTATCGTTCAAGTCAGCAACAAAGAATCCTATTAAATATCCTATTATAGGTCATCCAGGCTCACCTCTTGCTGCCAGAATATTGGACGTTCGCACGGCCATGGGCTTCTCTTTGTCCTGTCCGACTATCAGAAAACGGCACACACGTAGGATTTCTTCCGCACAGAGAACGCACCTTGAAGGAGGTATTCGCAGAAACCCCCTGGGGGGCTGCGGTCGTTGCCATTTTGAAGGTAGCTGTGACACAGGGACCGTAGGTAAATCGACGAGGCAAAGAAAAGTTGAGAGACGCAGGCCAGACCGTGAAGGCGGCCGTGGAATTTCTGCGAAGTTGAGGTTGGGCTTGGCGGCGCTAGCGTCAACAGCTGGAGCCGACCGACGCAACCACCTAAGCAGCTCTGACGGACTTGCCTTGCCTCCCGACCAAGCTTCACTCCATCCATTCTCTTTTGGTGCTTCTCGTGTCCTGCGTGCTTGAAACAAAAAAAAAAAAGAAAAAGAAAAACGCTCGAGATTGCCATCCTTTTCATTCAGACGTGGACTTCCAACCATCCCTATCTGTCCAGTGATCTCACTACCCTCCTCTCACCATGCCTAGCGCCACGGGAGAGAACTGGGAGAAGTATAAGAAGAACTTCGCCGATGACGAAGAACCGGAGAAGAAGATCACTCCTCTCACAGATGAGTAAGTATCTGCCTCTTGTTTCTGTTATGGATTGCAGACGGGATGGCTGACCGACTACAGAGATATCGCAGTACTGAAAACGTACGGCGCCGCTCCGTACGCGAATGCCTTGAAGAAGCTGGAGAAACAGATCAAGGAAAGACAGGCCAGTGTAAACGAGAAGATTGGCGTCAAGGTATAGCGAACCATGTCAAATCATCCTTTTGATGGATCTGACACTTCCAGGAATCTGACACCGGCCTTGCACCTCCACACCTTTGGGATGTTGCGGCAGATCGACAGCGCATGGCAGAGGAGCAGCCACTACAGGTTGCTCGCTGTACAAAAATCATTCAAGATGAGAAAGACTCGGACAAGAGCAAATACGTCATCAATGTGAAGCAGATCGCCAAGTTCGTTGTCAACCTAGGGGAACGTGTGAGTCCTACGGATATCGAGGAAGGCATGAGAGTTGGGTATGTTCGCTCCTATTTTTTCCCTGTTTCGTCTTTCTAACCTCGTCCCAAGTGTCGACCGTAATAAGTACCAGATTATGCTGCCTCTCCCACCGAAGATCGACCCCAGCGTGACGATGATGACCGTTGAAGACAAGCCTGATGTGACGTACGGCGATGTTGGTGGATGCAAAGAACAAATTGAGAAGCTGCGAGAAGTGGTCGAGATGCCTCTTTTGTCGCCAGAGCGCTTCGTCAACCTCGGCATCGATCCGCCCAAGGGTGCCTTGCTATACGGGCCTCCCGGAACCGGAAAGACACTGTGTGCTCGAGCCGTGGCCAACCGAACCGATGCTACATTTATCCGTGTCATTGGTAGCGAACTGGTTCAGAAATATGTCGGTGAAGGTGCACGGATGGTTCGAGAGCTTTTCGAGATGGCCCGGACCAAGAAAGCTTGCATTATCTTCTTTGACGAAATTGACGCGGTTGGTGGTGCTCGTTTCGACGACGGAGCCGGAGGTGACAACGAAGTGCAACGTACCATGCTTGAGCTGATCACCCAGCTTGATGGGTTCGACGCTCGCGGGAACATCAAGGTTATGTTCGCAACCAACCGCCCGTCGACCCTGGATCCTGCGCTGATGCGTCCCGGCCGTATTGACCGCAAGATCGAATTCTCCCTTCCCGATGTGGAGGGTCGTGCCAATATTCTCCGGATCCACGCCAAGAGCATGTCGGTGGAGAGGGACATTCGATGGGAGTTGATTTCTCGACTGTGCCCCAACGCGACGGGTGCGGAGCTTCGCAGTGTTGCAACAGAGGCCGGTATGTTCGCCATTCGAGCTCGGCGGAAGGTGGCTACGGAGAAGGACTTCTTGGCTGCTGTGGACAAGGTGATCAAGGGCAATCTGAAGTTCAACTCGACAGCAACCTACATGCAGTATAATTAGACGACGCTTCCCCTTCCCTCGGCTCTTTAGGATACATAGCATAGCTGGACGGATGTGTATGATCAGATTTAGCTAGTGGTTCAGTCTACGATGGTTTTATAATAAGAATCCTGCGGGTCATTCATAGTTTTCCAGCCATCATCCATTCGGTGCTATTGCTGACTACCTACTATCTACAAGGGGAGTGTAGCTGAAAAGGCGTGATGATGCAGTACTGGTATGTACAATCACATGACCCTCCTCGGTTTGACGGAGTACGTCAGCAAATCACATTGGCGCAGCTGTCACAATGATGAAAGCCATCCCAGTTGATGAAATAACAACCCCAGGCTATATAGGATCTGTAGCAGACAGTGCAGAAACCCCAGCCCCCGATCAGCCCCCGACCAGAGCGCCATGCACTCCCCAGCAATATCGATCGGGTCTGCCGTGACCCTCCGGAATTCTTCGCTGCTGCCGGGTTAAAAGGACATCCGACCACGTGCCTTGGACAGCCCCGGCCAATGAGAACCCGCCGGCTTTCCGAGGTGATTACTACTGCGCGCTCGCTGATTGGATGGTTCGGCCCCGGCCCTCCCCGTCGGCAAGCCAGCGGTTGATTATGTCAGCAAGGCTTTCGGCCAGCAAGAAACGGACGATCCAAAAGTGCAGCTCGCGAAGACAGGACTAGGACTGCACCCTCCTCTCTGCTGTTACGCTACCGTCTGCAACTTCTCCTCTCAATCCCCTCCCCCCTCCCTTTCTCGGACTCATTAGAGAAGTGTTTCTTTTCTTTTGATCCGTCATCATGAGCTCCATGAGCTTGCGGAGCCTAGCTCCCGCATCCAAGGTCAGTAGCCGACGACGATGGCCCACGATCCCTCAACCCTGATCGCATCCTCCTCCTCTCTCCCGTCCGTATATGCTCTGCTGACTTACGGTTTTGCGCAGATTTCTCGTGCCCTGAGGGATCAGAGGCGTCTTTTCTCTTCTTCCCGGCCTGCTGGTATGCATTGAACGCCGTATCGTCTCTCTTCATCTGCTAACTTCCGCAAGCCCGGATATTCGCCAACAACCCTTTGCGCGCCAAAGAAGCCAATGGCTACATCTCAGAGAAATATCCGGTCATTGTATGCTGCTCTTCCTACGATAAGGAGTCAAGGACGCGTGAGCTCTAATACCTCTGCAGGATCACGAGTATGATGCCGTCGTCGTCGGTGCTGGTGGTGCCGGTCTTCGGGCCGCCTTCGGTTTGGCGGAAGCCGGCTTCAACACTGCTTGTGTCTCGAAGCTTTTCCCCACGCGAAGTCACACTGTCGCAGCTCAGGGTGGTATCAACGCTGCTCTTGGAAAGTAGGTTGCCCCCCTCTTCTGTCCATTCTAGAGCACTTCCCGCTAAACATGTTTCGGTTAATAGCATGCACAAGGATGACTGGAGATGGCACATGTACGACACTGTGAAGGGTTCTGACTGGCTGGGTGACCAGGATGCCATTCACTACATGACTCGGGAGGCTCCCGCTAGTGTTCGCGAGCTCGAAGGCTACGGATGCCCCTTCTCCCGTACCGAAGACGGCCTTATTTACCAACGTGCGTTCGGTGGTCAGTCGAAGGAATTCGGAAAGGGTGGCCAGGCATACCGTTGCTGCGCCGTCGCTGACCGTACCGGTCACGCCCTCCTTCACACCCTCTATGGCCAGTCCTTGAGCCACAACACCAACTACTTCATCGAGTACTTCGCCTTGGATCTGTTGATGGAGGATGGTGAGTGCCGTGGTATCATTGCCTACAATCAGGAGGATGGTACCCTGCATCGTTTCAAGGCCCACCACACTGTCCTGGCCACTGGTGGCTATGGACGTGCCTACTTCAGTTGCACTTCGGCCCATACCTGCACGGGTGACGGTATGGCCATGGTTGCCCGTGCCGGCCTTCCCAACCAGGACCTTGAGTTCGTCCAGTTCCACCCGACTGGTATCTACGGTGCTGGTTGTCTGATCACCGAGGGAGCCCGTGGTGAGGGTGGTTACCTGCTCAACTCCGAGGGTGAGCGTTTCATGGAGCGTTATGCCCCGACCGCCAAGGATCTGGCCTCCCGTGATGTCGTTTCCCGTTCAATGACTCTGGAAATCCGCGAGGGCCGTGGTGTCGGTCCGGAGAAGGACCACATTTATCTCCAGCTGAGCCACCTGCCGCCCCAGCTCCTGCATGAGCGTCTCCCCGGTATCTCCGAGACCGCCTCCATTTTCTCGGGTGTCGACGTCACCAAGCAGCCCATCCCCGTCTTGCCTACCGTCCACTACAACATGGGTGGTATCCCCACCAAGTACACGGGTGAGGTCGTGACGGTGGATGAGAAGGGCAACGACAAGGTGGTTCCTGGTCTGTATGCCTGTGGTGAGGCTGCTTGTGTCTCCGTTCATGGTGCCAACCGCCTGGGTGCCAACTCCCTTCTCGACCTGGTCGTTTTCGGCCGTGCTGTTTCTCACCGTGTCCGCGACACTGCCACCCCTGGCGCTCCTCACCGCGAACTGAGCCCCGATGCCGGTGCCCAGTCGATCAAGGACCTTGACTTCGTCCGTACTGCCGAAGGCCCTAAGTCGACCTTCGATGTCCGCAACGCCATGCAGAAGGCCATGCAGACGGATGTCAGTGTTTTCCGTACCCAGGAGAGTTTGGATGATGGTGTTAAGAAGGTCACCGAGATTGATACCTGGTTCGACCAGGTCGGCACCAAGGATCGCAGCATGATCTGGAACTCCGATCTTGTAGAGACCCTTGAGCTTCGTAACCTGTTGACTTGCGCGTACGTATTCGCTTCGTGAAAAGATTTATCTGAACTATTTGACTGAAAGATTTTCCTCTAGCACTCAAACCGCTGTCGCTGCCGCTAACCGCAAGGAGTCTCGTGGTGCTCATGCTCGTGAGGATTACCCCGAGCGTGACGATGAGAACTGGATGAAGCACACCCTCACATGGCAGAAGGAGCCTCATGGCAAGGTCGACCTGAGTTACCGTGCCGTTGAGTCCAAGACTCTGGACGAGAATGAGTGCAAGCACGTGCCCCCCTTCAAGCGTGTCTACTAAACGCCACTCTCAGGTAGGCACAAAGAAAGGCGGGAGCCGGGTCCCGGGTATGAGCCGACGAGGTGATATGGTTCTGTTGCATGAGGTGCTGAGGTGAAGTGCTGAACTTGGTGGGAAAAGAGCGTCATGAAAATTAGGCTGTGTTTATTTCCTGTGTCCTTATATGTGTATATCCACTTTTTTTTTATCCTTTCCGGGCGATGAGTTTGGTGTACTCACGTTGTCTTTTTATAGCCCTTTATTTTCTCATCAATTGGAGTTTTCTTTGCCGTTGACTGCTGTCCACGTGGACCATATAGTCGATCAACCCGTTCATTGTTGGACGTACCCTTTATCGTTTTTCTTTGAGTCATCATCCGCAATGTGGGAGGCTCTTTGTCTCTTTGTCTGTTTCACTGATCATCTCACAAAGAACAATTATCGGTCACAATGACTGAAGACTTGGTGCCGCAAGAGGGAGAATCTTCTCGACGGCTGATCCCGGCCTATTGTTGATGAAGTATACAACATCCATCTGGGCCCTTCAAAGTAGAGCTGATGTTTCAAGTTACAGTGCCCTGGTGCCTACCATCCAAGGGAATTTGAAGACGCCGCTCTGTACAACCCAATCAGAAAGGTCGAGTAATAATGTGCCAGGCTCAGGACTGTCCTTTTCACAACGAGCTATCCATTCAGCTTTAGATTTGATCTCTGATTCTTGTACCTGTGTAAGCCCTCGTCAGGTTCTAGTTCTGCGCAGCAGACAAAGAATTAGCATCTTGTCACTCCTAGACAAATACATCCATGGCCGACGCCATGGCGCTGCCGGAGCAAGATATGCTTTGTAGCTTCTCGAGGGATACTGCACATCATGTACTTCCCATCTTCACTTCTTCCCCTGCCGCTATTCTCAGCTGGATCTGCGAGCTCGGTCCAGGGCTGTAGTCCCTTCGTGCATTATATTATGCTTGTTTGCCTGAACTTACTTAGCTTCTGCCTCACTTTTTTCTGTCTAGCAGCAAAATATGTCCCAGCTTCTGGTCCGTGGCGAATGCACCGGGTCTAAAGCCTGGTATAGCTGCTCTAGAGGGAACTATCAGGGCTGTTGCTCGGCTGATCCATGTAACATGGGCTCATGCCTTGATGATGACAAACCCTCGACGGCTTCAACATCCAAGATAACGACGGCGTTAATATTGACCTCGATCTCCTCAGCCGCCTCACTTCTATCCTTGTCCTCATCCTCGTCCTCGATATCTTCATCCAGTACATCAACGACCTCCGCAACTATTAGCTCCGCTACCAACACCCAGAACAACAATGACAACATAGGAATGATCGGGGGCATCCTGGCAGCTGCCATTGCAGCACTGATCCTCTTGGGGTTCCTTTTCTTTCTGGTATGTCGCTGGCGCAAGAGACTTGGTGTTAAACGGTTCACGCGTCGTGGTGCTCAAGCGAGGCAGGAGAAGCACCTGTCCCCCACTAGCAACACCCCGCTGAACCTTATCATATCTGGAGAAGGTACTTTATATGGTTTGTGTCCTTTTAGAAATACTCAACAGGCGTTAAATCAATTGTCACTAACCTCTTTCCCTGATATAGAACGAAATGGTTCCTCTCCCCATACCCACGCTCAATCAACGATATCACCAGGGACGATGGCGACCTCTATTTCACCCCCTTCCCAACTGTCAAGCTACTCATTTAATCATCCCAGTATAACACTTACACCTCCTTCGTCGACTACGTCCACGGTCCTCTCAGATCCAGGCTTCACCGCCGTCACCGCGACGATCTGCACAACCAACACAAACGCACCACATCGTCACCAACGTCCTCATCTCCCCTCAATCCCTCAAGTCATGGAGCCCACCTCGGAGCTCTCAGACACAGGGTTCTACCGTCAACGCGCCGAACTAGCGGCCTATGCGTCCCGAGAACTCATCAACGTGCCGCTCAGCCAGCGTCAGAAGCACCAACATCAACAACAACCACGACTTCGGCAGTCCGAACGGACTTCCACTTCGCCCTCACCCACGCCCATTGTCACAGCCGACGGGGTCATGCTCGCGGCGAATTTGAATTGGTTGGGGCCGGAGGAAGATGGAGTTGCATCTGGCAAGGACCATGTGAAGAGCTTCATGGAGTATGATCCCGCTGCGGATTCGAAGTTGCCGGCTGATGGGGAAGACCAGAGCAGATCCAGGGGGTATAATTATCATGATCATTCTGGGAGGGAATAGGAGGGGAGAATTAATACAGTGTTTTGTTCACCGATTGGGGTTTAATGCCGCTGGACGGCAGGTTGGTCTTCTGTGCTTTTTCTTGATTTTGGTCAGTGTGTTAGTTGTTCTTAATTTATGGTGGTATTATTTGTCGCGTTTGCTCTTGTTGGGTTTCCGTGAAAGTCTCGCCTCGTGGTTTATTTATTGTATTCTACTAAAACGCAGCTGTGAGATCTTATAGATTGTTGTGTTGTTGTGGAGTTTCGTTGGGTGTAATAATGGAATGGTGAGCGAGACCCTCAGTCCACTATTTCTATCGACAGCCATGGATCTCAAAAGAGAAGATTAATATCATTCTATATATTAAACCGAAATATTCCATGAACTAAAATCCATTCAATGGAGGCAAATTTTATTTTCATCACCAGATTCCAGAGAAAGAAAAACAATTACAGCAAACTCCGGAGAACTGAGGTCTGCTCCAAAACAGCACGTCGGCTGGTTCCACCGATGGCGTCCTTCAGCTCGACGGCCCGTTCGTAATCCAAACACGCGCGGACGTCTTCATCGAAGCGGGTATCGACGGTCCGGAGTTGCTCCAGTGAGAGTGTATCCATGGGCACATTGTTATTCTCGGCTAGAGCGACTACACGGCCGGAAATGTGGTGGCCCTCCCGGAAGGGAACTCCCTTACGGACCAGGTAGTCGGCGATTTCGGTTGCCAGCATCTCCGGGGCCAAGGCGGCAACCATCTTCTCCGGAATTACGGTGAGGGTGGATAGCACACCGGTTGCGATCTGAATGCTGTCGCTAACGGTCTTAATGTGGTCAAGGAGTGGTTCAATGCTCTCCTGCAAATCTTTGTTGTAGGTGGTAGGGAGGCCCTTGATGGTCATCATTAAACCGGCCATATGTCCAAAGGCTCGCCCAGATTTTCCACGCAGCAGCTCCAGGCTGTCTGATGAGTGGTATTAGAGATTTTGTTTGGTTTCAGAAAGAGAGTTGAATAGAACTTACCTGCGTTCTTCTTCTGGGGCATCAATGACGAACCGGTCGAGTAAGCATCTGATAAGCGAACGAAACCAAACTCCAAGCTGCTGTAGATGATCAGATCCTCCGCCCAGCGAGAGATCTTGAGCATAAACGAGCTACCCCATTGCATGGTCTCCATGGCAAAGTCACGATCCGCCACGGCATTCATCGAGTTATACAACAGACCCTCGAAACCCAATTCCTTGGCCATCCCTTCCCGGTCAATCTGGAATGGGTTTCCGGCCAACGCACCGGTACCCAAGGGACTGCGGTTGACACGCTTGGTGACCTCCCGCAGACGCTGCAGCTCGCTGGCAAAGGCCGTTGCGTGAGATAGAAGCCAGTGGCTCCAGCGGACAGGCTGGGCCTTCTGCAGGTGGGTGTAACCGGGCATGATGTAGTCGATGTCGTTCTCGGCACGGGCAATGCAAACCTTAATCAGGTCGCATAGGAAGGCATCCAGCTTGCGCAGCTCATCACGCAGCCAGAGTCGCATGTCCGTTGCGACCTGTTCGTTTCTGGATCGGCCTGTATGAAGTTTGCCTCCAATCTCCTTGCCAATGATCTCGGATAGGCGGCGCTCATTGGCCGTGTGGATGTCCTCGTCGTTCTCCTTGACGACAAAGGTATCGGTCCTCCATTCGTCAGCGATCTGCTTGAAACCACGCTCGATTTCGGAGAATTCGTGAGGGGTGAGAATGCTGGCTTTCGTGTTCGCACGGGCAAATGCGATGGAACCAGCAATATCCTGCTTCCACAGAATACGATCATAAGGAAGTGACTGGTTATACTGCACCATGAGGGGGTCGAGGCCCTCTATATGCTCGGAAGACGTGAAGGTTAGTCATTAGTACGGCGGGAAGATTAGGGACCTGGATTCTCACGGGTGAATCGACCACCCCAGAGCATGTTCTCAGCAACAGCCTTGGGAGCGCTCATCTTGACAGATTGAGGGTGTATTGAATTGGCGGAGGAATTCACGGGGAGGAAAGGGAGAAAGTCGAGGTTGAAGCCGGAGGTGTTATGGACAGCCAGCGATGACTCATCCGGGGAAGCGACATCGGGGCGCTAGTCTTGTTTGGAGTACTAGTGCAGAGAGTCTTCCTTTTCTCTTGTTTTCTATGAATGTGTATTGTATGCATCCCTCTCTATCGACTAACCTACCCAGGGAATTCCAAGTTGTTGTGATCATGTCTTCTACCATGGTTGTCATTGACCGAGGTCCTGTGAATCGTCTCGGATATCATAACCACGGGTCTAAACTGTCGATCTGCTCTATCATTCGACCTGAAACAATAATGCGAGGGATTTATCAGAACGAGTGATGTCGTCAACGTGGCTTTTCTTTTGTGTATGGCATAATGTTTGCGTCTATCGGCAGAGCAGTTGCCTTCACCCCGATGAGCGAGGAATGCATGCGTATGGCAATCCAAAACTAACCGCAATGGCCTAGGTCATCCATGGATGGAGGGATCGCCCTCTTGTTTATTGTTCTTTACATCCATCAGTCAAAAAGCTTGGTGTTTGGATTCAATGGGTCCACTCAATTGATCAAATCAGACCCTGAAGGCAATTTTTGGGTCGTGGATCCGAGGAACTGAAGGCACCGAAAGGCAACAATCCTAGCAGCGAAGGCAGGACTTTCACAAGATAAACCCAGTTGATAATCAACGAATGGCGCAAGAATGCAAGGGCAACGTCATCGAGAGCATCAAAATGTTCGGTGCGGCGTATTCCATGTTTCAGAGCCTCCTTTCCGGTATGTGCAATGGGAGGCTACCCATTGCTCATAGTATACCGTTGTTCAATAAATCTTGAACCCTAGAGACCTTGCGTCTCTAGGTATCCATTTGAAGAAAAAGGAATTACATACAGACGTGGATCTTCCATAAACACATGGATCCCGACCTCCTTTAGAATATCTGGAATGACGACTGGCCTGCCCCGACATATTAGGTTAAATATCCGCATAAAGACAATCAAACCTTGATTCGGCCGTCTACACTTCGCTTTCTCTGTGGCTATGAAACCATTGGTGGATGTCCAGTAGCCCTTGCATAAATTCTATTCAACAGCCGATTTTGGGAAGGGATATGGAGAAAAGATCCACTTTTATTTTAGAGCAATGTCGATACCAGTAATGAGTACAAGATGCAGTTTCGTCCATGAGACTTTTAAACAAAAAGCAACCCCTGAGGTCTATCGGCTTTCAATGCTACTGCACAATTTAGACTGTCCCAATTATGCTGTCGATAACGACTCAGGAGAAGATCCAGCGCTTGTCTTCAAGACGGCCAATTGGCCTCGAATGGAGATCCTCAAAGATATATATACTGTTTATGGTCGCCTTTGCGATGTTCACGGTATGATCTCTCGCTCCGATTCGATGATGTATTTTCACTCATGCTTGGCGATAGGATATGTTTCTTTACGGATTGGTCGGTATTAGACTATACAACTACCCTTTTGCCTGTTGAATGGCCGTATTAATGCTAGTGATAGATTGTCCCTGTCATTCCAACAATTTTAACGCGGCGATTAGGCTTATCAGCGGCCGATGGTATTCCCCTTACTCTTCGAGGTGGACAATGTCTGACCCTTCTTCAAATATCTAGAACAACGTTGGACGTCAATCCTCCTGGCCGTCTATGGAGCCACATTACTAGCATTTTGCCGTGAGTGTCCTGGGTTAAAAAGGGATGTTACAGTTCTGCAGAACGAGAAGCTGACCGAACTGTGTAAGCGATATCCGGCTACATTGCAGATCGCATCCAGTCTCGTCGATGGCCGCTCCTCGTTGGATTGGTGATCATGGGGGCCTCGACAGCTTTACTCTGCGTGGGCTCGAGTCTCGCCCTCTGGATCACCGGTCGCCTGTTCCAGGGCGCCTCTGCTGCTGTTGTCTGGACCGTGGGCATGGCATTGCTCACAGACAATGTAGATTCGGATGAACTAGGGGGCGCCATGGGACTTGCAAGCATGGGGATGACTCTAGGAGTGATGATTGGACCTCTACTCGGGGGGATTCTGTACCAGCATGCCGGTTACTATGCTGTCTTTGGACTGGCCTTTAGCTTTATCGGATTTGATATCTTCTTCCGACTGGTCATGATCGAGAAGAAAGACGCCGCGAAATGGCTTCCGAACGTGTCCCTTCGGATTCCTCCCAACCAGACCGATAGAGAGCATGGCATACTAGAGAGCCACATCTACGACAGCGACAGACAGGAAGACCTCCCCACGGACAGCTTCTCCGTATACATTGCTAGCACCCCTGAAAAGCTCCCTGTGAGTAGCCATAGCAAAGCCGAGAACGGCTCCAGCTCCGCGCAGCCGGGTCGCCGCTCTACCCGCCTTCTCACTCTGCTCCGATCCCGACGTCTGGCCATTGCCCTGTATGCATATTTCACCCAGGCCACATGCATCATGTGCTTCGATAGTATTCTCCCACTCTTCGTCCGAGACACCTTTGGCTGGGGCCAAGCAGGCCAGGGGCTCATATTCATCCCGCTCTCCCTCCCTCACATCGGAGACCCCTTCACCGGATTCATTATCGATCGGTGGCCCCAATCCCGTGTGTACCTCGCAGCCGGGGGGTTTCTCGTCACTGTTCCGCTACTCACTTGTCTCCGGTTCGTTAGCGAGAATTCCCTAGGCGACAAAGCTCTCCTCTGTGTCTTGTTGGCGCTCATCGGCGTCATGGGTGGGGTTCTCGAGCCGCCGATCATGGTAGAAATTACCCACGTCATTGAGCAGAAGGAGGCCAAATTCCCCGAGGTGTTTGGCAAAGGAGGGGGTTTGGCCCTTGGATATGGAGTCATGAATGCTGCGTGGGCTGCAGGAGGTCTCATCGGCCCTATCTATGGAGGGTTTATTCGAGACTCGGCCGGATGGAATACCACGACTTGGGCTTTGGGGGCGTTGATGGCTGTACCTGGGGTATTGCTATTATTCCTTCTGCGTATTGATTAGTACCTTGACGCAAAGATAAGTAAGAAAAGAAATGAATATAGTATTTAATATAGATATTATCAAATATCTTCATCTGGAAGTCTAACATATCATCGTATAAACAGCTAAAAAGTCGTACCTATCTATCTATACATATATAGATCAGTCAAACTCCAAATCCGTCCACGTACAAGACCACCCTACCACACCCCCCAATTTCTCCATCACGCGACAACTCGCCATATTCTGTGGTAGCACGTCCGCATGCACCCAGACCTTCTGGCCAGAACCTCCCCAAATCCCATCTTCCGTCATCCCTCTCCGCATCACCGCCCGCGACGCCAGCAGCGCCAGGCCCCGTCCACGATGCTCCGGTTCCACATGCAGTACGGCCAAGGTCCCCTCGGCGCTCAAGAAGGCCCACGCGACGGGATCGTCTGTATCTCTGTCTCCGTCCCCGTCGGAGGACGAAGTCCCATCCCCATCTGAGGGGGACACTTCTAACTTCAGGACGGGAGAATGTGCGTAGATCGCCACCCCGAAGAAGGTAGCTAGACTCTTAGGGGTGCGAGGCACGCTCGATCGGCGACAAATAAGCTCGTAATGATGTAGGGAAAGGCCCCTGTGACCGTGACGGTCGGTGAAGCTGTACCCGGGTGAGAGTTCGACATCTGTATTTGTATCTGTGTTTGTGTTTGTATCCGAGGAGATAACAGGAGGGTATGCAAATAAATACTTGTTATAAGGCGGATAATCATATCGATGAACTCTCAAACCAGGAATCATTTTCGCGTTCGGGATATATTCCCCCGATACCGTGAGCAGGGAGAAGAGTTTCGTGTGTAGATGGCCGATTTTAAAAGCGCGAGATACGGGACTTGCATTCAAACTCGCACTCGCATTCGATTCAATCGTCTGGAGATACTCAGGCATCAAACGCGTCTTGATATACGATAGGAGAGCCAAAAGCTGCGCACGAACCCGGTCCCAGTCCAGAGTATCGTGAGACGAGGGCACATGAAGAGGGAGCGCTTCGAGACTGGAGTAGATAATGACTTGCGTCTCTGGACGAGCGTGGAGATCCACCCAGGCCGCTAGCCATGGAGATGGCCCTGTCTCTGTCCCTGTCCCTGTCCCTGACGACGAGGGCGACACAGTGGTCAGATACTTGGCTGTGGATGAAACATGGATGCGAGAGTGCTGGAGACGTCGAAGCAGTGGAAGTGAATAGGGCAGGTGGGATTGTAGAGAGGGAATTAGAGCGGAGATATCGACTTCGTGGACGATGGGTTGATCCATGTTTGGCAGCGGAGAGTTTACCCGCAACCATGTCATTCTGGAGAGTCATGACTTATGGTGATGACGCGAAGATTAGTTGCAGGCTAATGGTGCTAGTGAAGAGGAGTTTGTCATTGGCGTGTTAACTAGTTAGTTAGTGGGATGCTAGAGCATGTATTAGTTAGATAATAATAGATTCAGTTAGAAACTGTTACTAGACCTTGGATTATATGATAGAATTATACTATCTAGATAACTTCTCTAACCAGTGGGTCTGCATGGAAATCATCTGGAAGTCGATAGAATCTGACAGGTCACCGATTGAGTCGAAGGAATGGAAGAATAATGGAAGACTACCCAGGCGATACATCATAAGAATATCCCAATCACATTAAGACGATAACTAATCCTGTCCAAAAGAAACTCGTAAGTCATTCCTCATCACCGGCTGCTTCACCACGGACTGCGCGGTCCCATCATCCAATCCTCCATCGCCAACCATTCGCTCCATCGCGACTCCGCCGTACGCAGTTCCTCCTCCGTTGCGTTATGAAGCGGTCGCAAGAAGGGGGTCTGCTCGTCCGGAAGGAGATCGTAGGCCGCCTTGGTCGACGCCCATCCACCCGCCTTGGCCGTGAACAGGTAGTTGATACGCTCCTGCCTCCAAACACATCCCACACCGGCCTGCCACTCCTCGCCAAAAAAAGCCCGTAGAACCGCCGCCGTGTCATGTCCCGTCACAATGAGACGCCGGATGTACGAGCGCAGACAGACCTGCGACGCCGCCGCCGCGGGCGGCTGGGTACCCGACGAGCTCACCACGGGATCGCCCAGACGCTGACAGGGAAGTCGGATGTTGATGAAGGCTGTCAGTGACTGCACCTCCGGCGAGTGTTGCCCCTGGTTGAGGAAATGCTGCACGCATCCCAGGTACTGTGGATACCATGCGTTCGGATCCACCTGAGAGAATTCCGGACTGACAGGCGGGGCGTCTGCCGGTGCAGGCATTTCCTGTTCGGGGCTCAGCGGCCACTCGCAGGGAGATTCGGCAACCGATCCATGGAGATGCTGGTGCCTAAGGGATTCAGTCTCCAATCCGAGAGATTCTGCCCAACATATGGTCTTAGAAAGGCCATCATCCAAGAGTAAAGCGAAAAGAAAAGGAATATGATGCTTACTTGAGGGTTGATAGGCGAACGAAGCGAGAGAAGGGGACTCGCCGACGTCCATAGGTGGAGAGTTTGGCCAACAGCCTCCTCCCGATCCTTGCATGTTGCCGGTCATGGCTGCTGGTCCTTGACATATGACGGGATATAGAAGTTCGACGTTTAATTCAACAAAGGAAGAATACTCAACGATGGAGGTTGAATAGGATCTGAGCAAGAAAAGATGGAGAGAAGGGAAAGGGAGTCTTCCTTATACTCGCGAACAATTGATCTTCAATCCCATTCGGGAGAAGAGAGAAATTCGGCCATCCCCGAGGTGCACCGTCGGTCCCCTAGACCAGAAGAGCCGATAGGGCAGAGGAACGTCCATCGCTGGCGAGAACCTCTTGCAGCGAGGATGGGAGAATGAGGCTATCACCGAAAACTGCTGGCGGATGGGGCAAGCCACAGCTCTCCAGCCACAGAGAGCAAGCCACAGTTCATCCTTAGTGCGTGGCTCAGGAACTATCCAGTCTTGGCGTGGCTGTGCAGTCCCAATTTTTCCCTTTTCGACATTTTTCGTTTCTTTTTTCGGGGCGATGAACCATGCACACGGCAATTGAGGACATCTTGGGAGTCTCCTTCCTGCTTCGGGCTAGGTGCATCATGATAAGTCGTACACTATTTGCTCAACCAAATCTTTAGTATCCCTGGTATGGATTCCTAGTAGTGCTAATCGCTCTAAAGACCCGAGGACCTGGACACACCCCTCCAAGGGCGCTAAATCAAAAGGATTTGAAAAACTGAAAATTAGCGTCGGATCCTCATCAGCTTTCCCTTGTCTGAGTCGATCGTCAGGACTATGGAGAGGAGGGATACTGTAGGACTGTAGGACTGTAGGACTGTAGGGATACACTCCTACTCGCCATGACAGATTCAATAGTCAATAAACTGTCTTTCTGTACCAGCAAGATGTGACAGCTCTCCAGGGAATTTGCGACCCACATCCATCCAGAGTACACATGGTCGGTCAGGACAGGAATGTACAGAGTCCTCAGTAGGTCTCAGGTGGTACAGGGGTACAGCGTGCGTCATTCTCTCTGTAAAAAAAAAAAAAAAAAAAAAACGTGCACTGAGTTGCAGCAAACGCAAGGGATAGCCACAATACTCTGATCATTTGTCCATTCGGGCACGCCGGCAGATGAAGATCAATCGACCATCGCGACTGGGCCGGGTGCATGGCCATGCAGGGTGTCCCTTGCTAGCAACGCGACCAAGTCTACAGTGGTCTTCTGATCCGATGCGATCATGACTCTGCCAGAATTCAAATCAGATCCATATTAGCGTGGGAAAAAGAAATGTCATCCCCGGGATTCTCCACTCGTGTCACAATGGAGGGGCTTGTTCCCCATGAGTTGCCATACCACGATATAAAGTCCTCAAGGTTTCTCACAATCAGAGGCGGGCTTATTGTTTGCTATCGCCGAGAAACTTCTTTATGATCGATCTTCTATCTTGATCTTCTATCTATCTACAGTATAACAAGACATCTGTTTCTTTCCATGATGTCCTACAAGACCAACTACGAACCCTATGTAAGTGACTCCCTCCCCGTCTATAGGCCTTTAATCATCGACTCATCATTTCCCAGACCAGCCAAAGTCTCGATATGCCCCGAGATCGCTCCTCCAAGGAAATCCTCTACCCACTGGGAGCTCTCTACCCTCACGTCGTGGCCCTGCAATTACAGGCCGACGACAACCCATGGTGCCAAACCGCGCGCTTCTCCGACGTCAACTACTGGGCAGACATCTCCTCTCCACAGTCACCTATCGAGGATTACTCTAGACCCAGACCGACACGCAGGAACAGTGGTAAGGTTTTTTCTTTTCTTATAGATCTTTATATTCGATGTGACCTGTCACATTAGCTAACTCGGTCATACAGACTCCACAGCCCTGAAGTTTGTTTCCAGAATTCGACGACTCCTCAGTCGAGACGAGATGAAACGACGCCATCGGCATGCGTGACTGGTTGATCTTTTTCTTCTTTCTATATGTATTTTTTTTCTTTCTCTTTCCTATACACAGAATTAACTTTTGGTCGGTTCTCTTTGTTGTATCTGTTTGAACCGCGTTAGGCGAATACCCTCTAGTCTCCGTTTTATTTGTCAGTGCAATTACTTTGGCATCGGACGTTCCTTCTGGTTTCTCATTCTTATCTTGTGGTTCGGGATTAGCGAGGAGTTGCTGGCATATGACTGGCTGGATAGTTTATTTAATAATATGACAAGAATCAGTGGCCAATCTACCATAGTATTTCTACCATTCTCATCAGTTCTACAACAACCACATCCAACTCTTGTATATCCAATATCGACAAATTTACGAACACGGAACCAACCTAATCCTCAACCCAATCTAATCTCGCTCTAGCCGCGATTACCAAGAAATATACAGCCTACAACTTCGGAGTAAGTAAGTAGAACCCCTGAGTCGGATCCCTCACTTGTTCACATTCCATGTCCATATCGTCTCGCTTCATGTTATATCATATGCGTCGGCCCAATAGTGTCATCCCTCCCGTCGATCGGTCAATTACTTACGGGAACACCCGTGAGGATGATAACTGCGGAGTAAAGTAACTTTTTCAGGATCGTGGGGAGCGGTGAAGGTCTCCACTGATTGCTGGATTCTGTGTGCGTGCGTATGTATCATCTGATACTTGATCCGGGTAGTAGTAGATAGAGGGAATAGGATGGGATTAGGTTACATGGGCTCTAGTTACGGAGTACTTGGTCGACAAATTAGCGGCTCATCTCTTCTGTACTCTCTGTACATGGTGAGATTAACTGGAACATGGGTCTGGAATGCTCGATGGTGGTCACATGGTCCTTTGGAATGTAAGTCTTCATCCGGGTGAGGTGATTTGCTCTTGATCAATGCATGGGGGGTGTTTGGAGGGGGGTGAGTAGGTCTATGGTAGGGATTGAGAAGACTATCATGTCTGACTCAGATGACACTTGAAGCTAACTAGATAATGTACATGGTCGTAGAAGTTGTAGACTGACAGTATACTTACTATACTATACTATACTATACCCTAGGACGCTCCTTACAGTAGATACTCTATACTCACATTCCAGGACAGGGAAGGAAAAGCTTAAAAAAAAAATTGCATAACCGCCCTACGCGACATAACAGCCATACGTTCGAAAGCAATCAAGCAAGCCCGCGAGAATGGAAAATCCGGGGTACCTAGGTATAAATTTCCCTAAAGTCGGTTTGTTGATCTTGCATTGGGCAGCATCAGATCATTTATCCTCCACTCACTCACTCGCTGATCAACACGCCTCAAGAATAATGGAAGATATCAAGTAGACAGTTTAAAATTCAAAAAAAAAAAAAAAAATTCTTTCATCGTGCGCGGATTGCTTTGCTTGATCCCGTCATGGTCCATTATACACACATACGTATGTACTACATATGCAGCAACAAACCGGGTAAATACCATCTTATCTCACCTGCGCGACGTAGGTGGTGCACTTCGTGGGTACACAAACTGCATTGATTTTGGATTCGGGTTCAGGTTTCAGATCAGATCAGGTTAGGTCTGGTGATGATATGTGTCATATGCAGGAGTGAGGTTCATTCGGAGGCTCAGTTCCATATCAGGAAGAGGATGAGCACGACATGCTGTGTAGAGTACATGCACGGATGATGAGCGACAAACAAATAATCCTTCCATCGAAGCTTGTATCAGAATGTTACTGGTATTGAGTCGGGATATCGCGCATTCGACGGGAATAAAATCGTGCCAGGTTGGAGGCCTATCTAGGGAAGATGTTTGTAGTGGACAAGAATCTGTAATAGAACATTGCTACGATAGTCAATAAACATAACGCTCAACCATTAATACATAAATCCAGTTTCCAAGTATCCCAATTTCCCACTTATGAACTCCTACTACATAACATTGCTGACCCTACATGGCCGTGGTTACATGGCACCGTGGTCGTTCCGGTTGAAGAAATCCTCCCACGGATCCATATTGCACAAAATGTTGGCGTCCCCGTCGAGTTTCGGCAGTCCGTCGAAATCGATCGGACCTGGCTCGTACGCAGGCTCAGGAAGACAAGCCAGGGGATCGTCAAACATACTGGGAAGCTCGCCGAACCCACTGTTCATGAACAAAAGGCTGTCGTCAGGTTTGATCTGCGCGAATGGGTCGGCAAACGAGAACATCGAATTCTCGGGGTAAGTGCTGACCGGCTCGTATGGCGAGTGCGTCGTTCCGGTGGCCGGCGTGAGGAACTCTGCGGAGCCAGAGTTGGGAGTTGCAACCCCCCCCATCTGAGGTCCCATATCGAAGCTGGTGGAAGTCGACGGGAGAGTTCGGAAGTCGTTGTACTCACAAGGAGATCCACCCATGGAGCTGCCATTGGAAAAGAGCTGGAAATCATCCGTCTTCGTTGGAAGAGGACCGGCGAACGAAAGGGACATATCCTGGGGATGCGTAACCAAATGTTCCAAATGTTCACCAGGAGAGGAGATTCCACCCGTAGTGGGCGTAGAGAGCTCGGGAACTTGCTTGTTAATCGGGGTTCCGATCTCATGGGTCTGCGAAGATGCCCGAGATGATCCTCGCTGAGGCGTGGTTCGTTTGGCGATGCGGCCGTTGTTCTTGGACCGCACATACTTCCACTTGTGAGTCTTCTCCATGTGCTGCTTGCAGTTGCTCTGTCGCTTGGACTGGTAGGAGCAATTAGGGAACAAGCACTTATACATCACGGGTGTGTTGCAATGCTTGTCGTTGTAGTGGCGCTCAGTCTCCTTTTCAGTTGGGAAACCCAGTTCATGATATTTGCAAGTGGGCTCAGCACATTTAAATGGTCGTGAATGAGTCTTCTCGTGTTTTCTGTACTCGGTCAACATCCTGAATTTTCTTTTAAAAAAAAGGGAACGTACGTAAGATCGCAAGGCCTCTGGAACACCTTGTCACAGAACTCGCACTTCTTATTGATATCCATCGGAGGAGCATTCTTCTTGCGGCGTGCCATGGATCGCACAACTCCATCCTCAGCCTTCCGCTTCATACAGACACTAGCGTTCTCATTGTACGCTTCACCGGTCCGCATGGAGATAGACTCTCCGTCCTTATGAGCCACCAGTTCAGCAGGGCGTCCCGTCTTGGCGTAGCCACCCTCCAAAGTCAGGCGAAGCTCACTGTCAAAATTAGAATCCAGACTCTTGCCATGCCAAGGGGGCACAACGTACAAGATACCATCGGCTTTCTCTCCCTGTTTATGTGCCTCGGCACGAAGCTGGATGCCACGAGCCGACTCGCGCATAGATTTGAATCTGTTGATTTGCGAGACAAGATCAAGGAAGTAGCCATTGGTGTATGGGCGATCAGTTGGCATACGCAGGTCCCGGTCGTTAAGATGAGGGACTGTGCCGAATAGACAGGAAATCGTAACCTGACAGAATTCGAAATAGGTCCTGATACGAGCCTTCACATCCTGCAGTCAAGCGTCATCAGCAAAACATTCCAAGAGCTAGCCATTGGATTCACGTACAGGAGCCGACATGAGCAGTGTCTTTTCAAGGTCACGCAAGCAAACAATCTGCTCTTTTTCAATGCGCTCGTGGGCTCGCCGGACCAATGTGTGGTAAGGACGGAATTTCTCCTCCTTGAGCAAGGGGAAGAGGACACGACCTTCAATTGCCAAGCGCGCATTGTTACTCAACTTGTGTGTAGTGGTGCTGGGTTTTTCCTGTGACAGTGGCCCAGCGGTGGCTAGTTTATATTAGAAAGGTCTAGAAAGAAACAATGACTCCACGGAAACATACCCATAATATTCTTGGAAGGCATGGTTTCAGCGCTACAGATTGAAGTACCCAAGCCACTGTCGGAAGCGTGGCAGTTCACTCTTCGAACCTTTGCCGGAGACTCTTTCTGCAACATAGGTCGACTATGTTCTGACTCTCCGTCCGACTCTTCGGTTGTCTGCAGTCTGGCGGGGGTCCTCCGGATTCGGCGGGGAGCAGGCGAAAAGTCATCAGCATTGTCCGGGGAGTCGGAACGGAAGGTGTCGAGCTCCAGGTTGTCGAGGATATTCGCCATGCGCTGTTGACCCGCTGCAATGGCTTCCAAGGCTTCGGGACAAGTGGGAGACCGACGAGGCAGGAGTGGAAAGCTCATCAATGGATCACGGCTGGTCGGTGGTCTCTTGGACGGGTGGAACGTTTCGCCTTTCCGCAGGCGTGGGCTCGACTGCGTTCCGGAGTCGAGAGAGTTGGAAGAAGTTGGAAGAGACGGGCAAGAGGATAAAAGCACCCGTCGGCGGGGGTGCCGGTGAGTGGGAGTATTTACACCCTGGGTAGACATGGTAGTGGAATCACGAATTATGTTTGTAGTGCAGATGATATTTCAAAGCCCTGGTCGAGTCGACGATGTTTAGGGTCTTGGGAGGAGCCCATTCGATCAGTTGTCCGTTTATTTACTTTTCACCAATAGTGACAGAGACCGAGGTCTAATAAAACAGCAGTCTCTTAAGTACTTACGGTGACTTCGATGTTGTCCTGCTTGACCTGACCTGACTTGGTTTGATGGTGATGAGGATATCAATAAACCACCATCCAGTTCGGTGCAGCGAAAAGGGGGGAGGTGGCCCCAGTCGGTGTTTGTCGGGACTGTCTCGCTGGTGTTCAAAAGCCTCTTAGCTCTAGGATAAATTTTTGATAGTGGAGAGAAGGCAGCAACGGGTGGAGGGATGATACAGCTTGATATTGAGATGGGGGAGAAGAAAGAGAAGAGATATGCAATGTGTCCGGAGGAAGATGAAAGCCATGGAGGCTGTTCGTTGGGGCTGATGCGTTTTGGATGTCTGCCTGATAGACGAGGTGGTCTAGCCCCGAACAGGACAGGACTGGTGGGTCTGTGGCTCCCATTGGTCTGCCCTAGTGAGAAGGCTCCACCATCGTATTCCCCACTGTGGTATTTCCCACCAGCAGAAATCAATACGGAGGCGATACAAGGCTCTTTAGGTGACGACGCTTCGTCGCAGGGTATTTGATACCAGCCTACAGCGCCCATTCGGCCCCAGAGTGCCCGATTCCCGTATGCTCGAGGCCGTTCAGTCCGTTCTCCGCACTTCGCCCTCCCTATTTTGAGTGTGTTGGGCCAATCAGCCCACGCATCAATGGTTTCATCGTTGAGGGTGGAACCCTCAGAGTACGAAATAGGTGAGTGGATGTCCGAAAATAGTCTCAAGTATCTCTATCTTGCTTGTTTGGTTCAGAAATTGACTTTTCACATCCTTCCATCTCGGGTTCCGCGGGTCTCGGAGACTTCATCATCAATGATATCTATGGAGCATTCCCAGTATATCAGAGGACAGACGATGATGGAAAATTGTCATGGTCAAGAACCTATTCTTTCATGAGTGCGTTGGCCCTGGGGAAAGAAGTAAACAACGGTATCGTAAGTTACTAGTACCCATTAGTTTTACCCCCGGGCCGTGTCTTTACCGCCCATCATATGATGGCATCAAGCCAACGCCTCGTATGTCTTAATTGGGAGCCCCGAGAAGACGACATTGGCCTGTTCCAACAAGGATTCGGCCACTATTACACCATACTTACCAGGGTCTACGCCGTAGTACGTATATATCTCATGATACCGTGAAATACTGTGTAAATCCCTCTTTACCTATCGATACTCCTTTATTAGTGTATATTGCTATCGCGGAGTCCTCTCAAATGTGCTCGCAAGGTCTCCCTTATTGGTGCACCTAATAGACATGAGCCTCATCGTGACACTTAGTTGCAGTCCAAAACTCCAAGTTCTCCAATCTTCCCCTTCTAGTAGGATGTCCTCCGTACAGCTCATCCCAATGCACACCAATCCCTGTGGACAGGTAGTAAGCAAGGCGGACACAGCCCACTCGGCGGCAATGATTTGTTTGGGTCGTCCCCCCCCAAAACAACGTGAGGTGCACTCCGTACTAATGTTGGTAATTAATCCCTACTCCAAAGTAGCCAACTCTGCAATAAATACCATGGCATCCAAGAGGACCCTTCCGTTCCGATTCTGGAACCTGTGGCATGTGGATACAGCACCGTTCAGTTCTCCACGGAATCCCCGCTTCTGTCGAGGAAGTTGAAATCGAATGGCATGATCCAGTCTATGCAATGTAGACTTGTGGCTACCAGGACCTCGAGGCTGTGCCTGAGCCCTTACAATGTACTTTACCTTTGCATCGCCACATTTCCCGCTACTCTGTATCTAAAATACACTTGCAATATATCTTGTAATATTACCCGATTCCTTTCCAGAAGGTACAAAAGGTACAAACCAAACTTCCCTTTCAAGGCAGCACAATTTTCCGAATATGGAAACCGTAAGGCATGGAAAGCATCTTTCACCTCCCCCCCCAACAACAATCTACAGAGTAGAAGAACTAAAAAGGACAGCTTTCATTTCGTGGCTTGCGTACTCTAGATGGGAAGAATGCTTGGCTACTCTGAGGCACCGACATTCTACTTACATTGAGTATAATGTGACATCAGTCATTCCCGTAGCTCCTGTCAAACCTGCTCATGATATTGATAAATCAAGTCCGATCTTCGTGTTGTTCTCCTTATCTCCCGCCCATCTGCTCAAGCTGACGTCTTTGGATACGTAGACTTAATTGCTGGCTTTACGCAAGCATTCGTATTAGAAGAGAATAAGGCATCGTAATTTCACTTCAGTTAAGGATTTTATCTACGGCTATTTTTACTTTTGTGTATGCCTGAATCCTTTGACATGCGCATTGCGGCACTCGGAGATTTAATTTTGAAACTAGAATTATCTTCTGCACCTTCAAAGGCTGCGAAGAATGTCTTTTTCTGAAACCGGATTAGATAACCAGGTTACTCCGTACTACAGTTCCGTATGTCCTGTACTACCTCAGCTACCCTCAGGTAGATATAGCCCAGTTCCAAAGTATATCGAACAGAGCCTATTATAGTTGCCTTGAGCTTCTGCTGTCGAGGAACGTGCTTTAATAGCAAGTGGAGTGACGCATGCTTACTATTGTAGGTAAGCCAATCATATCAAACAATAAGGGGAATCATCAACTGGCTAAATCAAGCCCAGCCGGGCACAGTACTGGTGAAAGTTCAGATCGAACGCGCCGCACCGGTATGTGGCCAGGAGAATACGTATCGGCTGTTTTCCCCAGGGAATACTGTGGCATGTCCCCGCTTCATGCTCATGGAAGAAGGAATACACATATTCCATTGAGATCGTAGATAAGAACATCTCGACGAACCACATTATGGTCGCGGTTAGCTTTTCGCTAATGGCGACAATACCCCAGTAGTGTCTCCCCCCGCATTCCAGGGCTCATTGTTCTGTTCGCCAGCCCTCGCAGATATTCCCGCAGCTGGTTCTCCTTATTCCTCGAAGTCACGGTAGTGAATTAAAGAAAGAGAAATCGCAGTCTCGCCTGAGCGCGTACTCGGATACCTCGTCGACAAGGGTTTGCTTATGCTGGACTCAGGTAATAAACTCGTAAAGTTGGATGGAGAACCCAAAGAGATGAAGCTCCCACTCGATATAGAAGTCTAGAAAGCCGCCAAATTCCTGGCCGATGGTACACTTTCTCCCACTGCTGCCGCCTCTCGTCACGAGCGACCTGTTACCCAAAGGTCGCGAGATGACCGCAATCGCTAACAAGGACCATTGGGGCAGAGAGAGAGGTTGCCCTGTCTTGGGGGCGATGTGCAAACGAAGTCAATGGTGCTTACTTCTCATAGTAAGGTGAAAACTAACTAGATCAATGTAATCGTTAGTTAATTCTATTCTAGAGAGCTCTGAAGTCGGACTATGGAAGCAAACCTATGGGAAGATAGAGCTTGACTAAAAGCATTTGAGGCTTTTTCGCTTATCAACGCTTCCCAGTCTGCTTGACTGGCGATGTATATCGTCCAATCCCAAGGGCTCTTAGTGAGTCATAATTTAGTAGCATCATGAAAGGCCGGGAGAATTTGTCTCGACAATATTTGTAAATCGAGGTTGAGATGAATAGGAAAGGCAAGCGAACTTGAACACGGGTGAATAGTCCGAGCTGGCCTTGTGAACTGGTTGGACCTCGGCTTCGGAAAGGGCAGAAAGCGCGGGCGGTGCCGAGCAGTTACAGAGGCCGTCCTAGATACTTCCTCCCCGGACTTTCTCCAGCGACTCGACTCTTGGTTGAATCCCACACCTGGGGAAAGATATCTGTCCCTTTGATCGCCGGCTGATGGAGTCCTGTTCTTGAGCCTTTCTTTGCTTGAACAGTTTCTGCCTCCCCTCCCGTACCGGTTCGTTTCTCCCACAGACACCTTTCTTCCCCACTCCGCGACCGACCGACTGGTGTAACGTAGCCTCTGTTATGGACATTGAACGTCGCGACATGAATTCGGATCAACCGAAGCGGCTCAGGCGGAATGCTGGGGGAAAGAGACCACGCAATAGAGCTCCCATCTCCGCACACATAGCCCTGGATGATCAGCTCCGCGGGAACGTGGGCGTTTTGTCCGATGACCTGGCTGCCGACCTATTCCAATCGTCGGGCTCGACGGGTGAGTGAAGTGTTCCTTTTCATAATTAAATGCTCTTCTAACGGTTTCCGCCATGCATCATGGCGCAGGGATAGATCAAGATGGGAACGAAATCCGTTATATCGCAATCTCACCTTTTCTTCCTGGTTATAGTGTTGTCGAGGATCTAAACTGGACCATCATCCCTGTCCGGCAGCAGTCAAGGGACCGCGCATACAATATTTCGATTCCTCATTCAACCGTCATTTTCCCTTACTCCATGGACTCGCTACAACCGTTTATCCAGGCATTGGGTAAGCTCGATCCGACCCGATCTATTCACGCTCAGCGTGCCATCGAGATCAAGGTATTGGATGTGGTTCCGCTGCATTTGGATACAATCTATGTGACAGTGGAGCGGAATCTGTTGCGCAATCATGACGATATTCAGAATAGATTTGGTGGAGGGTTTACCAGTAGCCTGCACGGGCCCAACGGGCTTTGGGCGAAGGCGGGGAAGAGCATAGAAACGAAGAGGTACTCAAAGAAGGCAGCAGCAGAAACGGAAGAGAGGCTCACGGCTGCTGTACGGGAGATGCTGGGAGTACTGAAGGTTGTGCACGCCGGTGATGTGCTACCGCTTCCACTGCCACCACATCCCATTACATACGCCAAACCGCCACCTGCCCATATTTCGTTTTGCGAACCGGTCTCCCAGGGCTTACTGATGCCGACAACCAAAATTGTTCTCATTCAGGCAAGACCTCATGGCAGCAGGGCACAGCGAAGCTTGCCACCCGGGCCAGGCTTACTCAAGCAGGTCGCGGAGGACGAGGCCGATGACACTTCAAACGAGCAATTTTACTCCGCTGCGGAAGACAAGCCCGTTGAGAGTAGCACAGAGATGGAAGGTGCCTCGACCGCCGATGAGTCCGAAACGGAGGGATCTGGAGGAAACATGAGTGATACGTCGGACGACTCGTTGGAGGACATGATCTCTCTGACTGCCCCTGAGCTTCCACAGCCAGGTTCTGGTGTCATCTCTGCGGTAACCGCTGCCACACCCCGTGCAGGGGGGCGACGAGCGGATGGTATCCACACACCAGGTTCTGTGGCATCAAACTTCACCTCGGCGACCCTGCGGCCAGGTCGAAGTGGCAGCGGTAGGGTCTTCAAGGCAGAGACTCTACTGCGCAGCATATCCAACGAATTTCTGCACCCCAAACCACGGGAAGATGATGACACGGAGGCTTTTATATTTGTGGATATTAGTGTACTTGCTAAAATCGGCTGTTTTTCAGGTGATTGGGTGAGAATAGAGGCATCAGAAGAGCCCCAAACAAACATAATTGCTTCGATTAAGCCGGGAAGCTTCGCTGAACAAGAGGATGAGACCGGAGAATGGCGTGCAGTCAAAATTTACGGGTTGCTGGGCCTCCCCTCTGCCAAACCACGATACTCAATCAACCAATCTCAAGACCGGCGTCCCAGTGTTTCCCAGCGTCCTCCACTACGATTGACGCCTTCCGTCTTTGTTCCGCCTCCCCTTCTGAATAACCTTGAGAACCCGAAATATATTCGTATATCTCCCATGAGCTTTAGTGCAGTTAGCGGAGGCTCTAAACCAGGCATTTTGCACCAAATGAAGGCCAGCGCTGTTAGAAGTCCACCGTTGGCAAAAGAAGTGACGCTGCTTAAGGTCTCAACGCCCCTTTCCATGGATCGCATCCTTCAGCCAGCATTATTTGCTGGACTCAAGCAATATTTTGAGTCAAAGAGACGAATTCTGAAAAGTGGCGACCTTGTTGGGATTAGTGTTGACGAAGAGCTTGGTAGGGCTGTTTTTACAGGAACTGCCGCCGGCGATGGTTCCGTTCAGGACGAGGACATTACTACTCGATTGGGCCAGGTGGTAGAGCCTGATTATGCTGGCATGAGGAAAGTTGGTGTCGCTTGGTTCCGTGTGGGACAAGTAATTCCTACCTCCCCAGACACAGAGGATGATGCATGGGAAGACCAGTGGGGAGGCGTTGCTGTAATTGACCCTGCAACTACTAGAATGGTACAAGCTGGAAGCGACGTGAGCCGAATCCCTGGGACCATGAATAATGGCTGGGAATACTGGTTTGGAACGAAATCGGCCCCGAGAACTGCCGGAGAATCTCAGTCTCCCCATGGCCTGATCACCGAACTTCCACATTCATTCGTGCCTCCATTACAGCAGCGAATTCGAGATTTGATGTCGGTGGCTACAAGTCCTCGCGCGATTCAGCTCGGTATGAAACCAGTGGTGATCCTCCTGAGGTCCCAGCAGAGGCATATCGGAAAAGCAACTATCGCCACGCGGGCTTGTTCCGATATTGGCCTTCATACCTTCCCGATCGATGCCTACGATATTCTGACTGAAGGTGGAGCAAATGGAGGAGACGTGAAGACTGAAGCATATCTAAAAGCAAGAGCGGAGCGTGCATTCAATTGCGGGTCGAACTGCACTGCGATACTCATCAAGCATATCGAAGTCCTAACTGCGGATAGGATTGTTTCAGCAATGACAGACATTGTGGCTGACGCGAGGGTTGTGATCGCAACGACTACAGACGTCGAGGAAATTCCCGAGGGAATTCGCAGCATGTTCACGCATGAGTTTGAGATGACTGCGCCGGAGGAAAAAGAGCGTGAGGGTATTCTTCATAATGCTGTGTTTGAGAGAGGTATTAAAACCTCACCTGACGTGGACTTGGGCTCAGTGGCGTTGAAGACGGCTGCTCTCGTGGCCGGGGATTTGGTGGATGTGGTTGAGCGAGCTTCAGCCGTGAGAGCTGCTCGCCTGGAGAAATTAGCGGATGCTGCAAGCAAACAGCATAAAGGATCTCGAGTCAGCATCAGGGATATTCTGATCTCTGGAGGTGACGCAGCACGTGGCGTCACTAAGGCCGATTTTGACTTTGCTGTTGAAGCCGCAAGAAAGAATTTTGCGGATTCTATCGGCGCCCCAAAGATCCCTAACGTTAGCTGGGACGATGTCGGTGGATTAACAAATGTTAAGGATGCCCTTGTCGAAACTATTCAGTTGCCACTTGAGCGACCGGAATTATTCGCAAAAGGCATGAAGAAGCGCAGTGGTATTCTATTCTACGGCCCACCAGGTACTGGCAAAACGCTGCTTGCCAAGGCCATTGCTACCGAGTTCTCCTTGAACTTCTTCTCAGTTAAGGGACCCGAGTTGCTGAATATGTACATCGGTGAGTCAGAGGCGAACGTCCGGCGAGTTTTCCAACGGGCTCGAGATGCTCGCCCATGTGTCGTCTTCTTCGATGAACTGGACTCTGTTGCTCCTAAGCGAGGAAACCAGGGGGACAGTGGTGGTGTGATGGACCGTATTGTCAGTCAGCTCCTTGCCGAACTGGACGGTATGAACGGAGGTGAAGAGAACAGCGGGGGCGTGTTTGTTATCGGCGCTACCAACCGACCCGACTTGCTGGATACAGCTCTCCTTCGTCCTGGTCGTTTCGACAAGATGCTCTATCTTGGAGTCTCCGATACGCATGACAAGCAAGCCACCATTCTGGAAGCTCTCACGAGGAAGTTCACCCTCGACCCTGGATTGTCACTCAAGCGAGTGGCAGAACGGCTACCTCTTACGTACACGGGTGCCGATCTCTATGCCTTGTGCTCGGATTCCATGCTCAAAGCGATTACCCGAAAGGCTACAGCTGTGGATGAGAAAATCAGACAGCTACCAGGGGATCCTGTCAGCACCGCGTACTTCTTCGACCACCTTGCTACGCCCGACGATGTGGCTGTAATGGTGACGGAAGATGACTTTGTAGAAGCCCAGGGTGAGCTTGTTCCTAGTGTTAGGTATGTCACCACCAAGAGTTGTGCCAAGTCCGATACGCTAACACCATGTAGTGCCAAGGAACTCGAGCACTTTGAACGTATCCGGCGGTCGTTTGAATCTGTCGATAAGAAGCCGGACAGTGGCGGTGTTCCTAACGGACAACCGCCGCCACAGACCATTGGGGACGCACTGGAGGCTCTCAAATTTGGAGATCAATTGGATGGTCCTATAGGAGGACCCTTTATCAATGGTGACCATCCTTCTACGGTCAAAGGGAAAGCCAAGCAGGGTCAGTCCGCTATGAGGAACGCGAGTGGTCACTCGGTTAGCAGTAAAGGTAAATGGAAGATGAAGAATAAACCCATTGCGATTAGCAACGGGGATTCGGATTCATCTTTGGATAGGCCCAGCCTCGGTTCCAGAGATGATGGACGACCGTCTCGAGGGTATGACGATGTGGGTGAAAATGATGATGCCACTGAAGATGGAATGGTTAATGGAGATGAGGATTATGTCGTTCGAACCGACCATCTGTCCGGTCGGACAAATAGGGGGACAACACACTAGACGGGGCATGTTGGGTGAAGCCTTGGAGAAGACAAACGGTTGGGCTTATGTACATAATTACATACCCATGTATTTTTTTAGTTTTATTTTCTATAGCATCAAGAGGCATTTTCTTCATTTTTGTAGATTCTATAGATATGCCTGTTCCTTGTTTCAGGCCCAACCTATATCCCGGGATCGAATTTCCAATTCTATCTGCGAGAACTCATGTATCCCTGTTGAAGAGAGAATCGACATTCTGGGTATTATGCGTGGACATTAATTGCTGCCCCTCAACCATCAACTACTCAAGAGCCAGGTGGAGCGGGCTTTAGTCCGCTCTCTCTTATCGCTCTGGAATCCTGGGGCTCCCCCCCATCCCATATGATCATATTATTGGATATCCTGCTGGCAGAAGATCCACTGATAGCTACTGCGCTGACTCAACGGTCATGCGCAATTTTCCTATCGCCTCGCCATTGGCCCCCGTGCAGACAAGCTTCAGGCCGTCTGCCTCGCCAGATTCGGACGTCCTAATTAACAGAACCAACCGAAGATCACCACCAGCTCCCTCGTGACTGGCCCTCGGCCCCTGGATCTCGGTGCTGTTGGCAAATCACCGCATGCTGGACCTATCTCGACCGACGATCTAATTCATGGGTGGATAAACTTGCCTACCCATGCTCATTATGTAACGAAGTATGCGTGGTCACTTTCCCCCGCAGTTATAGGTAGACCACGCTTTGTGTGTCAAGGATGCGTTGGCGACAGAAGACGAGGGTATTAGATCATGCCCCAAAAGGAGAAAACACGGTGGAGGCATTACTTCAGGAGATTGGGACAGAATGGTGGGAGCGGCGATATCGCTCTCCTCCCCGACTCTCCGTGTAATATTTCCCGTCTCCTTCTCTTTGCTTGAACGATCTGTCCCAATTCTCCTTTCTAGTATACTGGTTTTCTTTACCTTGGTGTTTCAATTCAACTTACTGCTTAATATTCCCCGGTGGAACTTGTTGATATGGCCACAGCAAAAGATATACAAGGCGATGACGACGCGCAGCTGGCGGCCATGGGCCATAAGGCCGAACTGAAACGGAATTTTTCGATGCTGTATGGGCCAGGATCTCCGTCGATCCTCAGAAACCCGAAGGTGAATTGGCTAACACATCCTGTGAATCTAGGTCTATGCTAGGCCTTGCATTTGCCATTCTTAATGTATGTTAGCAACATGCACAGCTTCACCCCCCATTGGACATCTTGCGAGCTATCGTTGGACTAGACGACACCAAGTGCTTAGAAACCGGCTAACTTTAATCCTTGTTGCAGTCATGGACCGCCTTGTCCGCCAGCTTGAATCTCAGTCTCCCATCCGGGGGATGCGTTAGCGTTGTCTGGGGTATGTCATGTGTTTATTCCACTTACATCCGGTACCTTTTATGGAGTGCATGGTTCTAATGCTGTTCTCTCTTTAGGCCTAGTAGCGGCGGGTATCTGTAACCTCTGCACCGGCGTCTCGCTTGCTGAGTTCCTGTCCGCGTATCCCACGTATGTACCCATCTTGTTGCTCCCATATCGTCAATTTTAACTCTGCTCTAGGGCGGGTGGGCAATATCATTGGGTCGCAGGTAAATCAACACTCGATTAGTCCGTGATGGTCTATCGAACGCTGCTAACATTATTTTTCCTTTGGCAGTCAGTAGGTGTCTCCATCAGGGCTTACGTATCAACTTGTTGCTAAGAACATATCAAAGTTTCCTGGAAAAAGTGGATGCCGATTCTTTCATGGATTACCGGATGGGCAAATGTTTCAGGTTGGGTAAGTAATATAAGCCCATCTGGTTGCACTTGGCTTTGAATAAGGTTAATTTGTTTCAATAGCTTGCGTTGACCGCTACTGGTGGACTGCTGGCTAGTCAACTGATTCTAGGGATCATTTCGTTGATGCATCCGGTAGGAATACCCCACTCCCGAGAAGAAGAGAAACGGAATGAAATTTATGTGGTTCGTTAATTGCTGATATGGCTCCATAGAGTTTCGAACCCCAACGCTGGCATCAATTCCTCCTTTATATTGCATACAATTTAATTGCATTCATCATCAATTCGTTTATGAATTCCGGCCTTCCACTTCTTACTAAGAGTGCTTGTAAGCATATCATAGCCCTCAATTACGCCCCATGTCTTGTGTATAGGATACTGAAGTCAAAAAGTTATCTGGTCACTGTCTGGATTTGCTGTCATCTCCATAACGTTGCTTGCGTGCGCATCGCCTAACTACAACTCGGGAGAGTAAGATGAAGCTTGACACCTATATTAAATATCAGGTTGCTTATTTTAGCAGGTTTGTGTTCACAAATTTTATCAACGAGACAGGCTGTAAGTCTTTTTGTTTTGTTTTTCAACTGATCCTACAACTTGAGACTGATAAATTTTAGGGCCCGATGGTGTTGCTTGGCTGTTAGGTGTATGTCTTTTGATGGCTACAAATCCGTGTCTAACAGTATATAGCTTCTTCAAGGAGGACTTGGTCTTACCGGATTCGTAAGTTGCACTCCATGTCTCATTTTCATTCTTGGCGGCTGACAATCAATGCAAAGGATGGTGTTGCACACATGATCGAGGGTATACATCTCCCAAAATTATCTCCCTATATATTGGACAACGTGGTACTAATTAGTAGTAGAGATCCCCAATCCCTCTGTAGCGGGCCCTAAAATTATGATAGCTTGTGTTGGCATCGGAACTGTGACTGGTCTAATATTTTTGATCGTGTTGCTGTTTGTCGCTGGCGACATCCATGCCGTTATCAATTCTGCCGCAGGACCTCTCGTGCAAATTTTCAAGAATGCCACCGAGAGTAATGTGGGTGCAGTTTGCCTTCTAATGTTTGTTTCCCTCGCTTTGGTGATTTGAATCTTGACGTTTTTCTGACTGCTTCTTCAAAGGTTTCCTCTGATTTGTATTCTCTTTGCTGCTACTACTATCATGGCGACTAGCAGTCGTATGATCTATGCATTTGCAAGGTAAGGTTTTCTATACTCTGTCAGATCCTGCCTTCCAATTTGCTAACAATACGGCTGTAGAGATGGCGGTCTCCCAGCTTCCCCCTTCTTCAGCAAGGTCCATCCAACGCTTAAGGTGCCGTTGAATGCCCTATATGTGACGAGTGTTCTAGTTATTATTTTTGGGTGTATCTTCCTTGGCTCCTCCAGGTATGTGTCTGTAATCATTGCATTGTCCAATATGCTCGTTAATCGATCTGAACAGTGCCTTCAACGCTATCGTATCGTCTTCAGTGGTAATGCTTGATATTGCGTACGGGATTCCGATTGCAATCCACTGTATGCGTGGCCGGAATACACTCCCTGAGCGACCATTTGTTATTCCCAATATTCTTGGCTGGATTGCCAACATGGTATGTGCGACTGAAGCCATTAGAATGAATGAAATCTTAACTGATATTGCTGGCAGATCTCCTTGGCCTACATTTCTCTAACTACTATCCTCTTCCTCTTCCCTCCAACCCTTCCTGTTTCTGGTAGCAACATGAGTAAGTCTCTTCGTAAGTGCCAGGTTAGAAAATGACAGATCCCACTAACGCACTCTATTAATATAGACTACTGTGTCGCTGCCTTTGGCATTGTATTAATAATTTCCACATTCCAGTGGGTTGTCGATGGCCGGAAAAACTTCATTGGACCTAGAATTGATGTGGATATTATAACAGGAGAGGTGGCTACAGGTGAATACGGCGAGAACAATGGTGAATATGGTGGACAGTATGAAGAAAACGACAGGAAATAAGCTATAAGCAGGAACTATGGCTATAGTAAATGGCTTTAAAAGAAAACTAACAAATATTATTTATCCTTACTAGCCTTGGGATGTGCATAAATACCTTTTTTTTAAAAAAAGAAGGTACATCCTTTCTATTATAGTGTATCTCCAGTAGTAATGCAGTATCTGCCTGAGGCAGACAGAATAGCATTACGTCATAGCCACAATAGTTACCATCATGCCGCCATCCCGACAACTTTACTCTTTCCACACAGTTTTCTTCTAAAGACCAACGCTAGAGATACTACAACTGTCTGATCACCCCAAGAACGAAAGTGATTTAAGTCCGCTATTTATTTTATCTATGCAACGAAACGTGCTGGTGTACACCTAAAACCTTTCTCGTTATACCTTGGGACTCAACGCCACGATCCGAGTCAACCAATTCTTCGTGTACATAGAAACAGATGCTAGCAATGTTCACCATCTCATTGCCATCGCTTAGCAAGTACATGCCATGGCGTGACCGTATGATCTTTGATCTTCCGTCTGTCAAGATTCACGGGATTGATACCGCGCATGAGAAGCCAGCCCGAGCTCTAAAGCATTTGCTCAAACTGAACCATGCGAATCATGCTATATTATTCAATGAACGGAAATTTCATAACCATGTACCCCATGTTCGTTGTCAACCTCTATCTGTTGCGAAATAGCTCGCACTAACTGGCATAGATTCTAAGTTCGGCCTTCCTACAGGGAGCGGACGCAGATGATCTAACCCGGGTCTATGAGTCGGAATCCAAGATATTAGACCCTTGGGTTGATTCTCCTAGTGAGATTTGTACTTATGATTGGAGAGATTACTTGGGACGTAGAGAGTATGGTTGCTAGCATTGCGATTTGCGAGCGTGGGCTAATTCTATCAGATACCAGCGAGCCTATGTTGATTTCTTCGAGGATGAGCTTGTCCGCTACAGCTATGATTGGAAAAAAGTTGTCTTTGAATACCTCTTGTCGGGCAAGGAACCTTTGTTCAATTCCCTTGTTGCTGATCGTAAGTTGAGTCTGGAAGCTCCCCTATGGAATCAATCAAGCTAATTCTTTTGACCAAGTTGGACACCCTTTGATTCATCTTGCCTATGCCTTTGAAATGTCCAGCCGTGAAGTCGGCCTAGAAGCGCTTGCTATGACAGCTACCTGCTACGGAACCATCCATAAATATTTCGATGATCCCACCTATTCACAGGTCGAGTCATCCTATAAATCGGCCTCCGTCATGGAAATCCTCAATAAGGTCCGAAAGGACCCCCGATTCAAGGGTCTCTTCGGACACCCAGGAGACCATAACTTGGAGACCATCTTCCGCGACCACGAGGCCGCACTTCTAAACCACTGGAATGCATGGAAGATTGAAGATCCCATGTCTCAATTTCGCGAGAGCCAAGAGCTTGCCGCGGCCGTTTTGACTGCCACTCGTACAGACGTGAACAAGAAACATGATTTCTTCCTTGTGCATATCCTGACAACCAGCCATGCCGTCCGTATCCTTCTACCCTTAATCCCCGGCCGATATCAACTCCCCCTAGTCAGACAATGGTGGCTGATAACTCTGGCCGTCTACATTGCCCAGCTAAGACCGGAAATTCACCTCGATAGTATCCGTGACTACGAACTAGCCGGACGGGATTGGAATTGGACGGCAAATAAGGCAGTTAAGGGCAGTTATTCTACTGACCCGCACTATGTCAAGGCCATCCGTGCTTTCAAGGAAGCAGCCCTAACTTGGGGCGATGCTGATTCTTACTTTTTGAAGGCGGCGGTCAAGTTCGCCGAGGAATTTAACGGTTGGGGAGGGTTTATCTAACTGATGGGAGATATCTGTTTTGTTTTTCTTTCTCTTGGATTTCTCACAAAATTGTAGCTTTATTATATCATATGTTGAGGGCGTCATCGGGCTTTAGCTTCTTTGGTCCTTTGGAAGTGTACATGATAATATATTCGGCAAGTGTTTTTGGATTTTGTTGAACTAAAATTTTTCTGGAGACAGCAAAGGCATTATCATAGATGCATAATGCGCATTGTTTGTAGAAATGTAAACGTTTTGGCGGTACAACAGAAAGGCAATATGATGATGCCTGAGGCATACTTACGATCAGGTGATGTTGATCGAGTTTTTGGTTTGCAATGTTTGCACATTTTGTTCTGTGAATCTGTCAGCTATTGACCTTCTGTCACTTCTGTGACTTCTTGTTTTTTCACAGTCTTATATGACCTCGACACGAATACGGTTAATAATGTCCTTACCGACTAATCAAGAGCAGGATATAGCCCTCCACTTGCACGCTGAACTGCTACCTAATATTCGATATGTCACGCTCTATGTCTCTCTACCTGCGAGCCTACAGACGCGAGGCGTTCGTCCAGAAATATCTCTGTCAGAGTCCCGTCGAGCCATAACAGTATCTCTACCGTCACCGCTTGACCATGTAGCGGATACAATAAAATTACCAGCCCGCGTCAGCGAAGCCTCCCGCCACATGCTGACTGGTGGTCGACACGGTATCAGAGAGCCCAAGAATGAAGGAAAATGCGATGGAGACCAGCGAGAATACTCGTTCAGAATGCAGATTGACAATGAAGATGAGTTATTCCTCTCAAAGGAGGAACCCCTGGACGGGTTTGTGCCATGGACTGCTTCGGACATGCTCTCTACGACTAGATTAGGCTGTCGACAATGTGGAAGTATTGTTTTGGACTCACCATCTTTGTATCACACTGACTCCATAAATGAATGTCCCGCGGGGTGGGTTTGGAAAGATTTGCCCAGCGGGAACTGGGCTGAAATGATGGATTTTTGGCACTGCCATAAACCTGATACTGAGAAGGAAGATACACAGGATGCTGCGATACGGGTCCCGGAAGACAAAAATGCTACAGTCAAGGGATATGGTGCCGCGAATCAAGTCATTGCCAACCCTGGAATTGTCTTAGTGGATGTGGCGACTTTCCTGGTCTCAGAGGTGGATTGTAGTGGATTGAAACAGGTGAGAAAGATAATACCCACCAGCTGGTTCTCTGCATTGCGTTCTTTTCTTCTCTGTCTTTTCTCTTCATTTTGTCTCTTGTGTTCCAACAACACTCCCATATTCCCTGGCTTCTCTAGGCAACGTATTAGCGTGGGCAAAAAAGAAGGGGGCCATATCACTGCCATGATTTGACCTTCGATACAGCTGCCCTATAATCACAGAGCCTTGGTCGATTTGCAAGATGTCCAATCTTGACCAATAAATGGTTGGGTGTGTGAGATGGGGTGCAGTTATCCTCTTTAGCAGATGGATTTCACGCTTAGCCTCGCGCACTCTCATTTATTGGTGACCATGGCTGCGCCTCGGTTTTTTCTCCGTTGATTTTGTCTAATAGGACTGACCCCAAGATATGGGATTGACGCGATTATAACGAGGTACATGCGTGGGCCTTTGGCAATCCTTTTTGAATAAGCCTGTTGACTCATTTGTAATATCTGTAGACTTGACCGCCGTACGTGATGGCCATGTAGCAGATGGAAAGATGTAGCATTTCATGAATATAACTACATTTATCAAGCATGTTTCCGCTTCTTGTGTCATTTGTTGTCATATTTTGTTGCCTGAAATAGACCTAATATGCTAATACATTACCAGATTCAATCTGAAGATATTCAGAAGCCTTCACTGGATCTGCAAACAGAAATACACTGCGAGAACTGCAATACTCTGGTGGGCGTGGAAGATATTGTGTCTCGAGGGTGGAGACTATTTAAGACAAGCCTCGCCGCAAGCACGAAAGCACTCAAAGAAGATAAGGGAGGGACAGATTGGCACACCCAATCAACTGAAACTGTTGTGGCCGCACAACTACTCGAACTGATAGAAAGGGAAAGCACTAGACGATTTGTTATCCACAGTGGCCAGAAGGAGGGCCTGTTGGTATGTCTATATACAAGTCAATTACGTTCTTCGCCTTCGGATGTCTGACTTGAGGATATAGATATGGGTTTTTAATCCAGACTTGTGGTACACAAATTCGAGTACTACTCACAGTATCACGGCGCAACGGGCAATGAAGATTCTGTTCCAAACAGTTGCTAATGTTGATGAGATGCTCAACCCCGAGAGTGGCAAGGCCTCATCTTTATCTCTCGAAGAGCTTCGTCTGCCAGCCAACGTCTTTTCCGCTGTTTTAACAGCGTTGGAGGGAAGTAATGAGATGTTGCCCCTGTCCGCAAGGAGATTTCGGGAATGGAGAGTGGGGGTGATGCATCGGTTTGTGAGGTCGAACGCCTGAATGAAGAGTCAACCTGACTGGAAGCAAAAGAACCTTCCATTTCTGGAAACAAATGTCCTCGTGACCTCCATCTTACCATTATTCACCATCATTTTTCCAATTCCCATTCTTCAACAAAGTCCTCAACAGTTGTCTCCTTTTCACCCCTTCTCCATTCCATTTCTATTTTCTTTTTGTCTACTTCGCTTCTATTCACTCTTTCAGTCTGCTTTCCACGGGTTTTACCTACTACTGAACCTTTTCAGTATTCTTTCTCGTAGGTAGAGGCCTTCCATTTCTTAATCCACCATAATTATATCTTCTCATTCTATCTTCTAGGTTGACTCTTTTTCGTTCTGGGTGAGATTCAAATGGCGACATTGTCCCCCGAATCGCAGCCAATATCACAGCCTCATGATGAAGACTGCATAACATGGGAGCACGTGGAGGATGTACGCGACCTGCTTTGCATGAAGAAAGAATCCGCGTCAGAAGAGGTCCATGCTTCTAATTCTCCGAGCACAAACATCTCCCAACCAGATGACAGGGAAGAGCCTCAATCGTTCTATATCAAGAATGCAGCTGCCAATCATACGAGCCCTAATCTTCCTAGAGAAGCCCTATAGGGCCCTCAATGCCTCTACCGATAATCAAAGTGATCCCTCCTCCTGGCTCGGATCAGGCAGAAAGTACATTGAATTAACGAAATCCATGCCAACTCGCATTTTGATACCTAAAAAACCCTGAACGCCCTTGAGTACCCGGAGTTATTTGTGATGCCGAGCTACAAATGCTTTGACTTGGTTGCGCCTATTTTTGATTCGGATTACTCCAAAAATGGGCTTGATGTTTGTAGCCATAATATTTTTAATGGTAGCGTGCGGTATTTTACGATTGTCAGTACAGGTGTGTTTTAGATTTTAGAATACTTTCCTCTCCTATGAAACGATACTGATTCCAGAACAGCTTCTAATTTTCATTCTCCAAACAACAACCTGTTGGCTTTCCCAACACGCCACAAGCTGCTCTGCTTAACTGAACCCATTGAATCATTACCTGAACGGCTTATCATACCGTTGGCCTGTTCATCCTTCAAACAGTGTTTCATATGGTGGTTCCGCCTGTGGAGTGATTCTTGCGATGTGACGTCTCTGACCATCCTCCCAGTCGAAAAGAGCACTGTGGGAAGTCACACGATTCTAGAGCCGTCAGCTTTCCGAAGCAAAGAATCTTGCAGCAACATCACACTTACATCCCAGACAACAACAGTTCCTTGTCGCCATCTCACACGGGCTTGCAGGTCCTGAGACAGGGCAATGTGATCATACAAGAACTTCAAGAGGAAGTCTGATTCCTCCTTTTTGTATCCAACAATGTACCGGGTGACTGGATGGCAGTTAGAAACTCTTCATAATTGACAGAATCGTAGATTCGAACAATGTACTCACACTGTGGGTTCACATACAGGGCTTTCTCTCCAGTAACCTAGGCATTCTGTTAATACATTCCAGTTCTCTACGAAGTCTGCTACCAGTAGCATTCACTTACGGGATGGGTTCGAACGATAGGATGTTCCGAAGTAATAGGGTCACGACGGGCAATACCACCTTTGTTCAGACTGTTGTGCACCTGCTCGATGCCAGAGTGAACGGCCTTCAGACCATGCAGTCGCTTACGGAATTCAGGCGACAGGCGTTTATAAGCCTGGGCCATGTCCGCAAACAGGGTATCTCCTCCACTGGTAGGTCCATCTAGGAAGTACAAGAAGGTGGTACCAGGAGGTTGCTTCTCGAAAGTCACATCCGAATGCCATGCAACTGTGTTTGTGCTCCGGGCTAGGAATTCAGATCCAGACTTGTCATCAGCCCCTCGATGCACGAGATGAATTTCCGGGTAGCCTTTTGGTGCCCCAGATGTCTGGTGAATGTGGTGTCTGCCAAAGTAGCCCCCGAACTCAAGAGCCTGGTCGATTGGCAGATGCGCGAAATCCTGGTCGCGGAAGGCTGAAGAGTTTAAATCAGGCTATTGCCACCATTTAAATTGATACTGAGTGAACTGAGTGACCTACCAACCACCTTCCTTTGGGCAACAAACAGTGCCAGCTGATCCTTTCCTTCCTTTGTCAACTGGCTTAGCTGGATTCCCTTGATCTCAGAGCCTATTGTTGGAGTGAGATGATCCAACTCAACTTTGCCCTCGGGCAAGAGGTCGGGGAAAGAAGGGTCGGCATCTTTTCCATGGTCATAGTGCTCAAATGGCTGTAGTGGTGGATATCTTAATCATCGATTAGCAAAGAAGGCTTGCTAGACAAGAACAAGTCAGCTTACTTCTCCGTCTCATTGTCCCAGACAGGGAGGTAATGAGGAAACGACGCAGGGGGTTGCTTTTCGGTGCCTTTGATCTCATCACCATGCCTATAAGTGTTGTTATATCCTTGGAGGTTCTCCTTGTTGAAGCCAGCATCAGTTCCGAGAGGTTGAGCAGGAGCCGCACGGAGAGATACGGTTTCAGTTATGGACGGAGCCATTTTGTAGAAGTTGATGCGCACTGACTGGTGATCTAAGAATACAACACTGATAATCCATACATCTACGAGGGTTCCGTCTGCAGATATATCATCGGTTGCATCGTTTCCGGCTTATCCCGTCTTATGCTTGCGCAATATTTGCGGGGAATGTTTTGATTTTACAGTGCCTGACTCAGATTTACTTTGGGCTGGCGCGGGGTTAAAAAGTTTGAGGATACAGGCCTTCCTTGCGGGCTATTGAATGGGGTTCGCCTTGAAAGGGTACACGCTGATCAAGCCTCCGCTTGTGGTGTGCTGACGATAGGAGTTAAGGTATTCGGCAATAATCGTAGCTACCCAGCATGCACCTGCTCTGGTTAGCGTATATTAGAATGATACGATGGATTGTTTATGAACAATAATAGTCGTGAACTAAATTGTTGTCATTATCGCAGCGGAGGCCAAGCATGGCGTGATAGGGCATCTCAGTCGCGCAAACGACCCCAAAAAACAACCAAATTACAAACACCCCGCTTGAAGACCCGCGTGTCTAGTTTCGAGTGGATCGCAATTCGATCGGTCAAGGGCCGTCATGAGCTAATTCTTTTTTTGGCGGCTCGTCAATCTCTCCTCTGAAGTTAACATTTCCACTTCCATCAGTCATGGTGGGCACAATGTTAGGACCCGGAGCAAAACAATAACATGCATAAAGTCCCAGCTAGGGAGTATAAAATAAAGGAAGCAAAATGGCTAAATCAGTGTCGAGTATCAGAAGTCAATCAATGCTACTCCGCAATCTCAATGTTGTGATGATGATACGAAAAGACACCATAAGCCAATCCAATGATGACATCCATTCTTATTTTCGCTTCAAACCACGTTCCAGATCGGCTATACTTTTGGTGGCATACAGCCAACAGAAACATCCCACGCCAATGCTAATCTGGCTCGCCTTTTATAACGCCACCCTGGACGAACTTGCGTGATATGGTTACCCCTGTTCCTATTGGGTACAAGCTAATCGGCTGTGTACCTCGAGATGCTACCGTATGCAATAGAATGGAGCTATCCATCTGCTTATCGCAGCTACCTTTGTATCAGGGTGCGATGTATTTGAACTTTGCCGATGACGCCTAGCTGCTGAGCATGTTGGCCGTGATTCTACGTCAGCCTGCGGCACTTCTCAACCTCTAGAACAAGAGAGGTTTCAGTACCCATATATTACGATTGGCTGCAGACAGATATCCACAGCTCATGGGGTACTAGCCAGCCTTTTAAGAGATTTCGATTAAGTTGGACTCTAGAATTGCGTGATGGGAATATGGCAGTTCTGATCTTTTTGTAACTCCTTGCATGATGGGCCTTTATAATTCGAAAAGGCCCGTATTCTTCACGGCTTTACTACCCAAGTCATAAATCTAGTCAGAAAGCCATCTGTCAGACGCAAAAAGTACCTCGACAAAAATGGCCCCGGACGAAGTCAAGGGGGCAAAATCTGTGGTTGCCCCTATCAACTATGACACAAAGGCAACTCTGTCTGGGTCATCCTCGTTGTCATCACTAGCTGCGAACGAGCGACACAGCAGGGTCAAAAATGTAAGCGACTGCGCTTTCGATACCAGCGAGGATCCGAGATACTACAAGCCAATCCCATCGTACGAAGGTATACACCGTTGGGATCCGGATTTTGAGTGGACTGAAGAAGACGAGAAAAAAGTTATAAAAAAGGTATACACATGGACTAGACACTTTATTTTTAACCAGTTGAACAGAGCTGACAACGCACCGTAGATCGATTGGCGTGTCTGCACATTTGCGTGCGTCACCTTCTTTGCGCTACAGTTAGACCGGGGCAATATTGTCCAGGCTCTGTCCGACAATATGCTAGATGACCTTGGCATGAACACCAATAATTATAACACCGGCCAAACTATTTTCTACCTTACCTTTCTGTTCGCGGAGCTTCCATCTCAGTTGATCTCGAAAAAGCTGGGACCGGACCGGTGGATCCCAATCCAAATGTTCTCTTGGAGTTTGATTGCAGCTTGTCAGGCGTTTCTCAAGAGCAAGGGTGGATATTATGCTTGTAGGGCGCTTTTGGGTCTCTTTGAAGGTGGATTGTGAGTAAAGTAGACCAGTCCACAGTTTGTGATTGACAATCGAACTGACAGTTTTCAGTATTCCGGATACAATTCTCTTCCTTTCCTTCTGGTACAAGTCCAGGGAATTACCCATACGGCTAAGTTATTTTTGGGTTTCCTACCAGGGAACAGCCATTGTTGGTGCATTCCTAGCGTTCGGCTTTCTACACATCCGTCGGGATGATGGAACTGGTGGATGGCGTTATCTCTTTGCCTACGAGGGCCTCATCACTGGTATCATTGCAATTGTGGCAGCTTTCTGGATGCCCCCCTCTCCAACTCAGACCAAAGGTCGATTTCGGGGTAAAAATGGCTGGTTTAACGAACATGAAGAGAAGATTATGGTCAACCGCGTGCTTCGTGACGACCCGAGCAAGGGAGGAATGCACAATCGACAGGCTGTGACACCCAAAATGTTATGGCATGCCATCTGCGACTACGATATGTGGCCCATATATCTAATTGGATTGGTCTGGATGATTCCGAATAGTCCTGCGACGAACTATATCACGCTGCAGCTAAAGTCTCTTGAGTTCAGTACTTTCCAAACTAACCTCCTAACCATCCCGGCATACGTACTGTTTATTATTAACCTGCTTTTCTGGACCTGGGTATCAGAACGCTTCAATCAGCGCTTTACGTTGGGAATTGTCTCGGAGGTCTGGTGCTTAGTATTGCTCATTGCACTTGAAACTCTTCCAAGCGGTACCAGTCCCTGGGCCCTCTGGGCAATTAACGCTCTGTTGATTGGCGCGCCATATGTGCATGCTATTATCGTAGCCATGACTTCTCGAAATGCAGGCTCGGTCCGCACCAGAACTGTTGCCAGCGCTTTATACAACATGATGGTCCAGGCTTCCAATATTATTTCCAATAATGTGAGTACACATGATAATTGTGAGTGCGAATATCCACAGTTCTGTGCTGATCGATCAAACTCGCGCAGATCTACCGCGAAGAAGACAAGCCCTACTATCGCACCGGGAACAAGGTTCTTATCGCTTTGACCGCGCTCAGCATAGTTCTATTTTTTTTGGCGAAATACTACTACATCTGGCGCAATAAGTAAGCCTTCCCTTAGTTTCCCAATCTAGCTCTGAATAGTTCCGGCATAGTGATACTCTACTCCAGACAAAAAGCTGCAGAGTGGGACGTTATGTCCAGTGAGCAGAGAGAAGAGTACCTGGCAGCGAACCAGGACAAGGGAAATAAACGGTATGGAGCGATTTGCCCTGATATTTTACATCCAACTGCACCGAGGACTGACTTTCTCCATAGACTCGACTTTCGGTTTATTTATTAGCGTAGGCACCAAGACGATAAATAGGATCCCGCTGGATTTGAGTCGCTAGTCTAATCACGGTAATTATAATGGTAGCTATTTCGTGCTAGATTAAGACTTTCGCAAAAAAACCATAGATGGAATAAAAGTTTTTGGATTAGCATAATGCTGGACACAAATCTGTAATGCATGACATGATCAACAAGGTGCAGAGGCGCAACAAAAGTTCAAACAACCAAGCCATCTACTCCCCAATCACATACTCACATCCCTCGGGTCCAATCCAAACTTCGTGTAATTTTCCAGCTGGGACATCAACCCTGGCTCCTGTGCCAAACGTCTCCTTCTTCACCTCCCCGTTGTGCAGTTTGGCATTATCTTCGGGGTAGGTGATGGTCATGGTACCGCGAAGTATGAGGTGGGTAGTTAAGCCCGCGTGAGAGTGAGGCGGGTAATGAGAATCCCTGTAGGAACCGGTGAGCTTAAGGACCCAGTTGAAAGTACGTCCTCCCTCTAGTAGTGGCTGAATGTACCTCATGATGATACATACATAAGGGTATAAGCATACCTTCCATCTGACCAGGTAAAGACATGACCAAAACCCCAATCTCGAACTAGCTGCTCGCACTCGCTACGAGAGCTGATGGGATATGTCTGCGCCATACTGCTGATTTCAAAGTCAAGACGTCCTTAGGATGGTATATGGTGACAGTAGAGGTAGAGTTGGGTTTTCTCTAGACAATGTGGTGATGACGTAATTGGATGCCTGATCGACAGTAGTATAGTCCCGCAAGCTTATTCGTTGCTCCTTCTATGAAGTATCAAGGATCTTTTTTTGATGTTTTCTATCATAGATTGTTTTCATTTATTGCTAAATACTTATTGCCCGATGAATACGACCTGGTATACCTAGGTACGGTGCTATACAGATACTCGTGGGATGCCTGTGTGGCAAGGCACTGACAATGCCACATTGGGAAGTATTCAAGTAGCTCCGTCTTGTCCCCTTCTTCCGTCTTTCCTGACTTTTCTTCCCCGGTCCCATCATCTAAGGACAGTAAATCCTGATCAAGCATCACACAATTCCCATCTTTCTCTAATACTTCTATCGTACATCCTAGTCCGCATGAATTCTTCTTGCTCTTGATCCATCCCATCCGTTCTTGGGAAGTCTTTAACCTAAGACGCTAAGAGTCACGGTTGCTCCTATCTCTTGTTCCTTCTCCATGCACATCCAAACAAAAGGAAAGGAAAACAGAGTATGGTAGGAGACGACTGCGGTGACTAATTATTGGAAGTGGACAATATCTGACTAGTCGTCCGTCAATTGTGACGGGTCCTCGTGTCTCCAGCATCGACACAAGACTTCAAAGAATCTGAAACCCCAACGGATTAGGGACTCCCCATTACTTATCGCTGTAATGGGCACTTACCAAATGGTGTCAACCAACATGGGGTACCGCACCTATGGCAGTTCTTGCCCGGAATCACCCAGACTTCTTCTCCCTGTCCTCCGCAGGTGGGACAACGGACACCCGGCATCTAGTAAAAGGAACATAGGATCAGCAGTCGACCTATAAATGGGTCTCTCCAATACTTACAGGCATGTTGATGATGATGGAACAAAAAAGTCGACAAAAAGTCTTAAAAAGTGTATGACTGCTTGAGAGGGAGGCCTGAGGTCTGATCACCAAGTTATTCCCAAAGATTGAAATAGTCAAAGTCTAAAAGGATTTAAACGCAACAGATCCGAGTTTCTTCCGCACGTCTTGTCGGTCATTGAGCTTAATTATTTTGGGACACCCATCACCCTTTTATAGAGTTCAGTCAGTGGTCCCTTGATCAAAAATCCTCGCAGAAACCTAGAAATTCAACCGGGAGATCTTCGCTCTAACTCTAAGACCGATCGATCGATTGGAGACACGACTGGATTTGATCCATGTATCCAAATATCAATCACACAAGGACCCTTGCCAACTACTGAACATGTCATGTTCGCGCCCGAATTGGTCCCAGGTTCCACTGATGATGTCAATGGCCAGTGTTTGTATTCCAGCAAATGAGAATGGGAGCCAGTGTGATCTGCCTGCTACATCGATGAGTTACGTGTTCTGATCCTCTTAGGCTGGTCCATCATTATCCATACAGATGGAGGGGCAAAAAAAAGAAAGGATAATAAAAGCTTGGACACATAACACAGGAGTGAAAATAAAAGGTAGGGAGACCAAAAAAAAAAAAAAAAAAAAAAAAGAGAACCATAATTTGGAAACCGTTTATGCAGCTTGTTATAGAACTCGGTAGTTGGTAATTGCGGGTATTGACGCTTCTAGAGGCCCAGATGTGACTTGTTGCAAATGACGTCGAATGGGACGCGATGTATCCCCCCTACTCACAATACCCTAGTCCGGGGTGCTGGATCCTTGTAGCTCCGGATTATAGATCAAACTGGGACATCTAAACTTGTCTATGAATAGGTGGGTTCTACTTGGTACTTGTTGCAACTATTAGTAACTAGCGGCAGGGCTTAGTTAGTGGTCTCTTACCAGCATCAATCGACACATCTACATATTGCACACATCGCTTCTATAGATCCAAGGCACTATACATGTCCTTAGTGGTTGTATGGAGGGGCGCATCTCCAGCGCCCATTCGCCACTGAGAGACCTTTTGGGAGATAAGTGTGACCCGATGTTTACCCATGACGTGCTACATTCCAATATTGAAGACCTTCGATCAAAATAATCTGCTTGTGTATTTGCTAACCCGGTCCCACCTGCAGCGCTAATATCATAAGGCACCATCACAGTATCAATGATGATGTCTATTGGCCCTCACTCCGAAACTATTGACGGCAGGCATACAGGTGGAAAAGCACTTGCGGTTCAGCCAACGTGCAGTTGCAGCCGACTCAAAATTCTGTAGATCAGCCTATCATGAACAACCAAACCATATTGATCGGCTGCTAGCCGAAGGATTGATGCCCTTTTTTCGATGTCAATCAGTGTCAGCGCTATGGCTGCTGTGGATTCGACCGACGCACAGCGGACGCTCCACGGAGGCAAATGCAGTCTCCCAAGCTCTCTGATGTCTTGCAGCCTTCAAACACCCCTGTACCCTGCCTTCCGTTCGATAAAGAAGCGCAAAATGAGATAATAAAAATCTGTCATTTTCACGCCCTGCGTCTGCTGTGAATCAGCAGGTTGATTATGGCTTCTTTCCACCACCATTATCTCCACATAGTGAGCTAATAATGGTAGCGGAGAAGCCGGCCTCGCAGACTAATTTGATAGGCCACATTTATCAGCTAAGGGAAAAAAACCTCTTTTTTGTTAAAAAAAAAGGGAGAGAGGGTGGGAGAAATTATATCGGACTTGACAGGTCAACTCTGAAGCAGTATCCCCTGTCAAATCAAAAAAGCCCCATCCTTTGCCCCACTAACAAGTTGCTAATTTAGCACCAATCCAGGCCCTGCTCTGTTCCCTCTCTGCCTCTCGGAAAGAAGCCTCTACTGATCATAGGTATTGTGGATGCGACGCAAGCAAACAATGAGCTGATCAAATTTCGTTTACTTGCCCCTATTCCAGCTTCTGAATGAGTACTACCCCGGAGTACACCGCTAGTCAACCATCCAGCGGGGTCTAGGTATTTGGAATTGTGATAAATATGTCCCCGCTCCGAGGCTGTTTGTTCTAACTTTCAGCCAAGTCAAGTCTACCATTCCTATGGGTATATGGGGATATGCACCCCCACCAGAGAAAAGGTTACTTCTTAGATTCACCGTGGGAAGTGATTTTTTAGTATGCTATCAATATCAAAGTACTTGCTAGAATCCCTCTACATACGGCACAGAGTAGAAACCAGTGCCTGAGACAAAGTGGCTGGCTGAAGTCTACATTATCATGGTCTTAGAGAGAGACGGTGTTCATATCACTTCCGATCACTCTTCCGGATGTATATTACCTACGATCCGTCCAGCAGAGTCTAGGCAAACCCACTCAGACCCCAAAATTAATTTATTAATTCAAAAGGTAGCAGAGAGTGCGCTTATCTAACACCCCTGCAATCTACCAAAACAGGTCAACTCATCATCAGCCCAACTCATGCCAGACGCAACAGACCAAGGCGGCGGCATTTGCATTCCATTAGACTTGTCTGGAGATGCGTCAAAAGAGCCACATGGCTTATTCATTTTCTCTCTTTCCCCCTCTTTTTTGCTTTCACCTGATAGACCTTGTCCCTAGTCTTCGCCAGTAAAAGAGCATGTGCAGCCTGTATGGTCTGCATCAAAGAACTACATATGACTGTCCACATCTAAGTATCAAAATGACGATACTCTTTATATCGAACAACCTGATACACCGCATGATGCAGATATCCCTAAGAGGTACTCCTTACGGAGCACTTGTATGCGTTGATGTATATGTATAGATAGATAGATCTAGGAAATATCTTTCATGATATGGACTAGCAGGACACCATTAGATGCAGAGCCTGTGCAGTCATAGAGGTGGATCAAACGATAGCCCGCTTGTAGTCGGTCGACTTTGATACAAACCCAGGCGGCCATTGGATCACGCCCGAATTGATCGTCTTTGACTTTAAACCTATGAAGTTGGTTGCTTGCGTCAGTCATTTAATGGATCTCCAACATTGAAAATGAGGCTTTTATGTATCACTCAACGTGGCACCACTGTTTTGTATGTGTATGTGTGTGTACATTCACATATCCTGTATATACACACCTGATAAATGTCAATTCGTCTATTATTCCTGATATAGTGGGAAACTGAAGCTTCTGTCCGCCGAAATCCGGATTAACTCCGGAGGCACTCTTGATTGTACGCTTGTAGCTTGCTTTGTCGGAATCGGTGTCACCATCTGCTTGTGCTGATCCCGTCTCTTCGCTTGGCACTTCGGCATGCAAAGAACAGCTGACGTAGGGATGGAACCCCTTTTCATTAGTAACGCCATGGGGGAGTGGGATATCTTGGCCTGCGAGAACCTCAATTGTAAGATCGAGCTGACGACGTATGATATCCTTCCCTTCTGATGCGTCGGTCCCGCGATAACCTAGCGGTTTGCGCACCCAGCCTTGCTCACCGTCAAACATGGCGTGATTTAGCATCATCCCTTTGTCCAGACTTTGCCAGTTCAATGCGACAATCTGGGCCCCACAGTGCCAGAACAAAGTCGGGTCGAGATTGGAGGAATTAATGCGCAACCCGGCTGGGTAGACTCGCATGAAATGGTGGCGGTTGTGCTCGAACAGAGCGTCCCGTTCTTTCGCATGCGCCGCCTGGGCCGCATTCTCCGAAAGAGAAAACACGTGCCCGGGGACTTTGGCCTCTGTTGCCAGTTAACATAACTATCTAGTCAAGAAACTAGCAGCTTTCTGGGTGGGTTGGTTTCTAGAATTTCGACTGGGAAGGAGGACAAGGGGAGGCGGTTAGCTAGTTACCTGGCTGCGTAAAATGGCTGAAGTGAAATCCTTTAGTGAAAACGGCTAACTTGCTGAGAGCGTGTAAGATCTTCGAGGGCTTGTGCGGTGGTGGGTCGGACGTATTGCTGGTGGTAGCCAAGGTACTGGATTCGCCCTGACTGGGCTGTAACTCCGAAAGCCCCAGTTCATCCGTGTGATCATCCACCGCGTCCTCCTCCCCCTCGCTTGTCGGTATTACATACTTCACTTTAATCAGGATCTTCCTCTTCAGAGCCTCTAGCGCAGGAAGTGCCTGGGTGGCTTCTATCTCGGGTGTGACTTCCACCAACATCCCTTTCCAGGTCTCCTCCATGATCTCCACCATGGCCCGCTGCTGCTCGAGAGACGCATGCACCTCCAGGCTAACAATAACGGGGAGGTCACTCACCACGAAAGCACTATCACGGATGGCGTTGCAAACATGTCGGAACGTAGTCGCCTTCGTGAGCGTGTGACCATGGAGTACTTTGGGCTCGGGGCTTGACGGCACTGGGATTGCAGCATCGGAAACGCACTCTATAGTCGGTGGTACTTCTTCGGAAGACGAGTCACGACCCAGCCAGCTCCCTAGCTTAGATGAAATAGAATTCAGGTGTCGGTGTCTTTTCTTTTCGGGCTTTGCTTTCTTCTTACGGCGAGCAACCTTCTCTTCGTCGGAGCTGGAGTCGCTACTGTTACTGCTACTGCTGGTACCATCGTCACTATAATCATCCGGTTCCCCATCCCAGACGTCAATTTCGACACATCTGCAACCGCTGAGAAGGACCTATGCTGCCATCAGTTTCTGTGCTCCAATTCTGAAAGGTTGGGTCAATTGGGCCATGAAAAATGGTGGCTAATGTAGGAAATCAAATCGGGAGAGATCAATAAGCGCGAGTGGGGTCCAATGCACCTCGACAGCTATTATGACCAAGGATGGTTCCAATTTGAAACGGTTGAAGGACATACATTGGTATAGGAACTTGCAGCTGCGTCACTGTATAGCTGATTACCGGTTAGGTAAGTATTATGACTTGAGGAGATAAAGTAGTCGGTAATGGGCGCAGAAAGATCCGGTTTTTCGGCGGGGCATAATGCAGAAGATGCTGGACTGGCCATATACGTATGGAACGCTGCCGCAGAGGCGAGCGGGTCTGCTGACCTCTGGCCAACAGACTCTGAGCTGTAAGATTCGCGCTGGACATCTTCAAAGAAGTTCGACTTCGAAGATGCGGTCAGACTTTTGTAGATATGGTCCAAATGAGAGGACACAGTGGACGAAAATCCAGAAATTGACTTGGTCACAGGGGAACCTGATGCGAGGTTGAGAGTGATACGATCCGTATGATGGGGAAGTTCAGAAAGCTCGTTTGTTGTTTCCATGGCTAATGATAAGCGCAGTCTATTCCACGCGACTACTAGGGAAAGCTTGCCGATACGGAGCAGCCTCTAATGGCGTTGGGCCGACGTGGTGGAAGGTGGCTTGACGATCACGGCTCGACTGTGTCACCAGCAGTTATGGTTCAGGCGCAGTGGAATGCGGGAAGCAAGGGCTCTGAGAAAGATAGAAAAAAGAAGATAAAAGGTTATAAAAAGGGGGGTTAAAATACCACCGGCATTTGATGTTGAGGACGACAGCGCATTGAAAAAGGTGTAACGCAGGACGAGTGAGTTATTTGTTGAGTTGGCACTGTTTCGTGATTTGTGTTTGTCGCTGCTCCACTCGCGTGCTTGGCTTGATCACATGGACTGTAGTCCAACGACCCAGGCTGGTCAGTAGAGCAAGATTTGACGGTATTCCTCTGACCAGGACACTCTTGTTCTTGAAAGCACTGGGTGGTATTGTGTGAGTTTCATGTATCCTGTTGCAGCAGTTGGGAGGGGTATCGTTGAAGGCAGGATGGGGCTCGTACCATTGGAAACACAGTGGGGGGAGAAACTGATGAAGCGATAGATGGAGATGGAGATGAAGGTCAAGATGAAGTAGACGAAGATAACTGGAAAAGGACTCCCAGTCAGGTGCCCCCCGGGATGCCTGAGAGGCATCTCCTTGGCCCAAACCTCGTCTTCGCTCCTTCTCCATTCTTTCTTGTGTCTTTTCAGCTATACTGGTTATTTCGATTTCCACAAGATGTTTCCAAGAGACAGAGGCAAAAGAAAGGGAACTCATATCCCTACCAGGCTTTTGACCCTCCATTCTACATAAATGGGATAACGATCCCCTGGGATAGCACTGCCCACTGACTAGAACATAGCCTCTCCGCATTGCTGATAAATCATCATGAACCCCCGCATCTCCTCCATTCCACATCAACTTTGACTCTTCACAATGTGTAATGGATTAACTAACTCCACATTACTTCGCACCAACAATGGCAAACACCACCCCTGTGCACTTCTTCGACATTGATTCAACACTTCCACGTATGTACAGTGCATATATTTCCAGTCCTCTCTCATCTCCCTACCTAACATCAAAATGCAGGCGACTTGAAACCGTGGTCTGTAAACACAATCAAGACTCGTATGGTCCTGAACTACAAGCGCATTCCTTATACCCAATCCTACGTCTCCTATCCTGACATCGCCCCTTTGCTCTCGAACTTAAACGTCCGACCTCATGAGGAGGGCACGGCGTACACCCTCCCCGCCATCTGCCACCCGTCGTCTATAACCTCCAATCCTCACGGGGCTCTGATGGACTCATTTGCCATCGCAACGCATCTGGACCAGGCCTTTCCATCACCACCTCTATTCCCATCTCGCGATGCCAGTTACGCTCTGGCACTCGCGGTGAATAAGCTCGTCGCCAATGTAACGTCGAAGTGTTCCACCCTCATCATTCCCCGAGTGGTCGATTTTCTGGATCCCAGAGCCCGAGAATATTTTATTAAGACCCGGTCGGCGAGATTCGGGAAGCCTCTTTCGGAAGTCCTTCCCAAGGAACCGGACCAAGTGCAGACGATTATCGATGTTGCAACAGCGGAAATAGCACCATTGGCGCAGATGCTACGAGGTAGGCTGGGAAAGAATGGTCCTTTCCTTGAGGGTGAAAAACCTGGGTATGCGGATTTTCTGATTGTGGCTTTCTTGGCTTGGTGCGAAAGAGCCGACAAGATGCTCTGGGAGGCCTTAGTCAATGTCGGAGAGGGAGAAATTAAGGCGCTCTGGGACGTGTGTTTGCCGTGGGTGAATGGCCAGGGCGAAGATAGGAATTGGGTACACTAAAGGGTTTTTTTTTTGTTGAGATTTATAATTCTACGAGGATCTGCCAAAGGTATGCATAGCCTTTTTGTCGCATATACATAGGGAACCTTAGCATATTTTTTTGAAAAATATATATGTACCTATACGAACTTGATTTTCTATAGACACAGAGACTTTCCCCATTCGGATACTGCCGCTTTAATGCGGGTACACAGGGGCTTGCTCAGTAAGTGCTCACTTGTTGGAAGCGGTTGCTAATCCTATTGAAAAGGTGGCCGGGTGGCCGCCAAATAACATATTTCACAAGGAGCGTTCCACACAGATCGAGTGTGCCACCCCTCATGGGCAGCTTATTAGCACAGATGCGTACAGTGTTTTTTCTTTCCCTTTTTTTTGTCCAGTTTCTTCAGGCAGGGCTTGACTAGGCTATGTTCTAGAGATACGTCTTAAATCTTGAGATTATAATTGTCTCATGACTGTAGACCAGCACACGTAATAACTCTCATGGTCGAACCAATTTAATTATGTTGAGTAGCGGTTTAGTTCAGTTCTTCCGGCACATGGGCTACCACTTTGCCGTTGAGTTGTTGACAGAGGAAAAGTTGGAAGCTTGTAACTTAACTAGCAACCGTACGAATTAGTAAGCCGATATGGAAGATAAAGAGGTCTGATTCTCCTAATAATATATTCGAATTCCTCAAGATATACCTATCCAACAAGCTCGCGAATTATCGCCTGAATAGGAAACAAAAAGAAAAAATATGATATATCACATAGTTCCAAAAAGAATGGATGCAGGTTGAGCTGCGTACAAAGCTTCGAGATTCGCGCTGTTGTAAGCTTTCCAATCAGGCGATCTGATTAGTCGAATCAAATTAGCGGTAAAATTCTTGTGCAAAAACAATGAGCAACTAATCGCACTCTATGGCGGGCAGATGCCCCGACAGCGATTGATGCCTAGTGAATTAACCAAGAATTCATTCACGAACTGGCAATGTGGATCCATTCTCTCCTGGATTATTAGAAACTTCTCTAGCTCAGGATAAATGTACTCAGCATATGTTTTATTAAACCACAACATCTTGTTCCAGTGTGAATGCACGTTATAAATGTGCCCAAATTCAGGAATGAACTCCTGAGCAAGGGTCTGGTAGAACCAGAGTGAGCCATAGTTATTGTAGGTTGCATACCAGTCAATCTCAATGACAGCAAAGATGCCGCTGTGCTCGGGCCCAAGATTGTAGGTGTTAACTGGTGACATCCATGTGTCATCACCCTTCACAAACCGCAATTCATAGACCATCTGGTGGTTGTTGTAGTCTTTCATCCTTGGCGTCTGGGAAAGTTGGAAATTTGTGTAGTTTGTTGCCCCCTCCACGAAGTCCTCCACTGGGAAGAAATGTTCAATTTCTGCGTAGAACGAGCGACTGCATACGCCCTGGGGAGGTGTGGAGATGGCCTCTGTTGCCACATCATAGCAGACGTAGGGACGTTCACAGTCACCACAACCATTAGCGCAATAATTTGTTGAGCAATTATATACACCGGTGTCAGTACTGTTCTCCCAGTAAGTGATAGTCAAATTTGATTCCATTTTCCAGTTTGAATTGATAGGATCCCAGTCCATGTGAGGACCCCACACCATCATTCGATCATACTTCTGATAGTAATCGTATACATCTGTATACAACTGAGTGAAGTTTGGGCTTGCTGGAATCAACTCAGTGGTGCGCTTCAAGTACGAGATCGGCTCCACCTGGATAGTAACCTCTGTGATCAGACCGAGGGCGCCAAGGGAAATCCTGAACGCCTTCAGTTCTTCTGGCTGGTTATAATGATCCACCTTGTGGATCTTGCCAGTTGCATCCATCACACGGAAGCCAATAACATGAGTTGCAATATTGCCCAGATTCTTTCCAGTGCCATGGGTGCCAGGAGTGAATGCACCAATGAAATTCTGGACTCTTTCAGTGCCGAGGTTTAAGGGTTGCAAGTTGTGCGAGCGAAGCATTGGGATGAGATCCACAAGGTCCCAACCAGCACCAAAAGTGACCGTGTTATTGTCGTGGATTGTCACATTTTTCAAGTTCGTAAGACTGATGATATACGAGTCACGTTCTGTAGCAGTGTAATCGACACACTTGGTGAGTCGTGCCCGTTTCCAACAACCTTGAGCATGGATTTACGCGGATACTGCTGCTTGACGAATGCTGCAAGGTCTGCTTCGTCATCGGGCACGATGTGCCTAGTGGATTCACAAGTGGTAGCAAATTGCCAATTGTACCAGCGATATGCTGAGACAGTCACTGCATTCAGAAACACTAGTAACAGAAATCCGCGGACAGATAGCAGTCCTGCCGCAGCCATTTTGTGAAGGGAAGGATCTTCATGATAGTGTCAGCCCCTGAGTTGGCAATGGCAGGATTCAAGTACAATCACAAGGCTCATCGTACTTTAGCAGTGTAGGAACTTTTAGATGGATAATGTGTGGTGGCTCTTCTATATAAGGGGCACGATGACCCTGACTGATATAAAGAAGCTATGAATTGCAGATAAAAGTGATATGTATACAAGGAGAGAATCAAGGCAACTTATATATACACCTATCCAGTTACCCATTATTACTCCATGGATATCTACGGAATGGCATTGGCGAGTAAACTCGCTTTCTACAAGCACATGCTATCAGCAAATTTGGCGTATCTAGACTTATGGCTAGAATCCTAACATGTATATCTAACTGGCAGCCCGCGGGACAGCCAATTTCCATGTCCTCACCGACGTATCGCGTTCTTGCTCTCCGATAAAGTCTAAATCAGATAAATGTCTCGGAAATCAAGTCCCGATAGTCCTCCCCCTATTGCCAGAGTGAATCTTCCTTCAATCGACTTGCCGAAGAAATCCATGCAACGCCGAATCTTCCAGTAATCGCCTCAGGATTTCCACGGTGAAATATAAGAATGTCTGTGCCGTCTGTGCCATGTAGCTTTCTGCAGCTGATCGTCAAAATGAAGTTAGTTAAGTGTCTCCCACGATAGGTGAATTTCCCAAAGGCATCGTTGCAATGGATTATAAAGGAGGTGCAGAAGTGTCCATGGTTCCTCCCCAAGCAAAGCATGCTGTAGAATAACAAGCCATAACTACTCCTGCACATCCGTCCTGGCAAATGCCGTAGGGCCCTGGACCACTGGAGACATTGCCGGCTAAGAGGACGAGAACATAGACGCCTGTGCAAGGCAGCTTCATTGTTCCAGTGGCTCAATCTTCTCCGACTTCAAACTAGATAAATATTGTACCAAAGTTATGGAATGGCCATTCGACCTGAATGTCAGGAAGATCAAGAATAGCTGCTGGCCAAGACACACCTGTCAAATTGAGAATATGTGAGGAATATAACGCATGCATATGACGCACACATGATGTAAATCTTGATGATATGCTTATAAAGGAACACAAATAGAAGCATAGCCATGACCTTAACCCGGTATCCCGCCAAGCTTAACTTGTCCAACTAACTTCGCTTTAGCTTTTAATTATATCCCCTGAGTTACGACGTAACTTTACTCTTGTATAAGATGTGTAAGGTATGTATTGGAAGAACTTTTTCCTGTTTTTACGCCAGTAAGAAATTTACAAATTGGTTAATATCAGGAGGTTTTGGTGCGCCTACTTATGTGTGAGGTGTGAGAAATGGGGGAACACGTGATACATTTCGAATATGTCGAAAATTTTTGAAAAGTAAATTTTATTCGAAAAACAATATTAGTAATCTTTAAATTTTTGGTCTATTCTGTAGGCTTGCGTTGAGAGAGAGAATTAATGCAAGTGAATTCTGTAATGCTGGGAGGTATTTAGTGGCGGAAATTATATATTTACTTAGTCCAAGAGTACTTACACTATACTACTACTAATTACAGGCTGGCCGTCGGGAGGGATTCGGGATCCCGAGGATGGTTTGGTCCCGTTCCATATTCCCACGGGATCCTGGGGTTGGTCCCGAATCCCGTCTTAAGAAATTGGGAAGCGATACCCTTTTCATGGGAAATCGGGATGGGATAAACCCTTTCCAAAATTTAATAATATTAGTCCCGTTTCCCGTCCCATTCCCAAATAGAAATTAAAGGGAATCCTGATCTAGGGAATGGGATATTCCCAAATATCCCCAGTTCCCCTAAATTCGTGACTTTGGTCCCGTTCCCGTTCCGGTCCCATTCGGGAGGGAAGTCCAAAGGGAAATCCCCTCCCAACGGCCAGCCTAGGCGGAAAGAGATAGTGATTAATTAATTCTATAAAGTATATTATATTTTTCCTAGGGATAAAAGCTGTATCTGTAATCCTTGATACAGTATATCACTAACTAAACTTGCTATTTAATAATTTTATAGTCATACAATCCTTCCATTCCTGATAAACCAGTGTGGAGTCTTTTTTCGTCTTAACCATGCTAACAGGTCTTGGGGGATAAAATTTTGCCGCCAAGAGAGCAACTGGTCCAAATCAAATACTATTAACAAAATAATAGAAACAAACGCCGGACTAATACCCTCCTTAACAATAGTATCATTACTATATTGTTCCCAGATAAAGTAATACTGCAATATATATTAATTGACATTCCTCGTGCTGTAGATTTAAATGACCAGGTAATTATAGCTATTAAAACCACCCCCACTCCCCCCCCCCCCCCAAGCTGGTAATAAAGAGTAGTGCGGAATATTCCATGTTTAGAGCCCTTTTAAATTTCCTCTCCTCTCCACGCTTTGCATTCTAGTCAATGAGAAAACCTATTACTAGATAAGTGATCCAGCATAATGCAAAGCGTCCTTTTTTGCACCAGAATCCATTGAATCCGTTGAATCCTTTGTACCCATTGGACCCAGGAATCTCCTTTGAGCCATCGAACCTTCAAATCTACCACCTAGCATCCTCCAGGAACGTTGTCCTACCTTTCGAATCAAACCAGAACACCAGTCGACGCTAAGATGGCGCCCAAAAACGGCGCCACCAAAAAGGGAAAGGGGGCTGCCGAGAAACAACCCAATGACCCTCAAACTTGGACGGAGGATGAGCGGTTATCAACCAATTGCAGGATGGGAGGCATGTCTCGGCCTGCGCGAGATAACTAACAAGGGCGTTGGGCTGCTGCCTGAAGCGAGTTCATACCAGTGGATGGAGGACCAGGTCACCTGCGGTCACCGAGCAGATAAGACAATGGTACGGAGATACAGGGAAGGTATAGGAAACGGCCAAGCTGGTGGCCATGGAATTAGGGGATGCCCGACAAGGTAGTGCAGTTGGATCTTGGGGACTGCGGCAGACGGTGAGGCAGAGGTTACGTCAGGGTTGAGCTGCGGTAACGGGGGAGATACACCATACGGCAGCGTTCGTGGTGATATAGATGGCAACATTTATATGTAAGCTAGGACAGGCTAATGAATACTACTTTGCTACTAGCTGAGGGCGATGAAACGTAGAAGCCTCTAGCTCAGACTCAGGTTCCTCGAGACTCTTAGGGAGTTCGACCCTCTGAAAAACGGTATCTGGCCTATATTTATAAAACCCTCCAGGGCTTCTGCCTTTCTGGAGGCATTAGAGACAATTTGCTTATAACGGTTCCCACGGGCTTGGTGGTGTTTGGCCTGCTTCTCTAGTTCGATGATTCTAGCCTGGCGTTCTGCTATGGTGCTAGAGTAGGGGGATCCGGCAGTCTCGATAGCCTTAGGGACTTCCTCAGTAAAAAGGGCTCCTGAGGCTTGGGGGATGCTCTGAGTCTCTTGCTGCAGAATCTACTGCTTGAAACTGCCCGAGCAGGCCCGTTTTAATTATAAAGTCCGCCACTGCCACGCTTGCCTTTGTCTCCCGTATAACCGATTTATAGCCCTACATCCAGACACCGCCAGAATCTTTCGGTCGAAGCTCCCGTCGTATCTCCATTCGCAGGTCGATCAGAATTGGGCATGCTATAAGTAAATGTTTAGGCGTTTAATCGTCAAGATCACACCCGCAGCGCGCCGATTCGCGCACGTCGATACGGCTGATATACTTGCTCAGTACAATCCTCCTCGTACGCACCTGCGTGAACTCCGAGCTGGTTGTCTTTCGGAGACTTCCCCAGTACCGCAAGACGTCCTTCTCTAGAGATGGGAATGAAACCAGATCAGCTCTATTCGGTGTCTTCAACAGAACACTACAGAATGGAGAGAAATGGAAGACGATCGAGGTAAGCTATGGGGTAGATATCGTCATATACTACTCCAAACTCGGTCATTCCCCCATGACCAGATATATTAATATAGATTCATTTTGGTCGATACTCAGTGTCAGTGAGGTCATGCACCCCCCAGATTAAAGCAACGTCCCATCTCACATTGTGTGAACTTCTCTTTCACGTGGCTGACTTGTATAAGCCTCCTTTGGTGCGTCCTGTAGTGCACTTGGTGATCCTTCCAACAATTGGTTGAATTTGGCTAGAATAGCTGGGTTCGGGATCCATCCAGTGGCCGTTTTGGCACTATAACAAAAAAGCATTCATTGAAAAGTGAGAGTTTCCACATAAGCATCTCGGCTTGTCTGATTGACCTTTAAAGGTTGCAAAGGCTGCTTGGGATGCCTGGCTTTCTCTATCTATTAACATATCTGCAAGATAATCACGGAACTCCTCAATCAACTTGGAAAGGTCGATTGATGTATCCTTCTATAGATAAGCTCGTTGAATGTTGGTAAACTCTGGTGCAAACTGCTTGATAGCTAATAAAAAGTCTCGAACTGCAGGTTGTCCTTGAACATCAGGTAGATTGACTTCACGACATTCTTCAGAGACTGATTCAAATATAGAAATCCACTGATCAGGGATATGGATTGTTGATTGGTTCATTCTTTGCTGTAGTATATCTCTTCAAAGGAAGTCGTTCCCGTTGTTCTGATGTTGACGCCAGGCGTTTGCTCAAAATTATCAAGATCTCATAGACTGAGGGCTTATTCCGAATAAGATAGTAAAGACTGATGTCAATTGAACCCCGTATAACTTCATAAACTGCAACTATTCCTACTCAATCCTCTAATCTGCTTCTGACTGTTCCTCTTCTCTCTGGAATTGGTGGCTCTTTTGGAATCCCAGGTAGCCTGTCTTCTGCAACTTCAGGATTAATGTAATCCCAACTCTTCTTGCTTTTGCGAAACACCTAACCTTGTCATACTACTCATGCCAACTGTCCTGCAACATTAGGACAATTGAGACGTTTGAGGCAGTGCTAGTAGATATCTCCTGTCGCTTTCTTCTAATTTGAACTGCGTTGTCGCTCTGATTTTTGGTTCGATCAGTGGAATACCGCGTGCGTTGAATTCAGTGAGAACAGCGCAGGGAATATTCACTTCATGTGTTACCCCTCCCACTTTAGCTTTCCTTATCTCGGCCTTTCTTTAACTAGTCCTCTTCCTAGAACTCGCTTGTCTCTGTTGTTCCTCTTCGAGCATACGTACATGGTCCCAAGGACAGACATAGACCTTTGATTGTCGGATAGTCGTCCAGATCGTCTTGCTGGAATAGATCTATCAGTTCCCATCGGACAAAGACGTAGCCTACGTCCTCTCTAGACGAGATGAAAAGTACACCAACTTCCCGGCAAGCACTTTAAAGAAGCGAGTATCGAAACAAGGAAATAAAGGGTCGCAGGAAGTCACCTCTTGCTTTTCAAATAGCTGTCATATAGACTCAGAATTCTGCTTCCGTTCCGTATCTACAGTCATCATCAGCTACAGGAACTGAAGCGGTTAAGCACCAATTCTATCATTGTTATTGTACAGGGATAGCTTCAATTATAACACAGTACAAGGGAGACCCAATTACTCCCATGTAAACCCCAAAAATCCAACAAATCAGAGTCCACGCAGGAAGTTGGCTTCCCGAATGCCCTTCCTCCGTGCATCTCTCGCGCTCTTTGTGATCTCGGCGCGTTTCTCGATACTATGTGTGGCTTCGTCCAGGAGGGTCTCGGCCGTCGCCTTGCTGCGGTTGTACTCTGCAGGCGTGATATCGGAGGCGTGGTGGTGAACCGGGATCTTCGGTGGGAGAGTCGCGGCACGAGCGGCCATCTTCTTCTCGTAGCGCTTACGTTGTTTCTTGTTCAAAGCTGAAACGAGATGCTGTTAGCAGGAATGTCAATTGATATATTAGAATGAGTTGTCCATACTGCTCGGATCGACGCCTCCCTCGGATTTCGATTTCTTATCAGCACCATCCAGCAACTTCCATAGCCAATCGGGATACTCGGAGTCCTCCAGTGCAAGAACGTCTGGCTTGTTCTTAAAGTAATTAAGGCCGTGCAGCTTGTCTCCAGCAGCGCAGGAACTCTTCACACGTTCAGTAGTGGGCTTCGTGGGCTTCGGGGGAGCCGCATTGGTGTGAGCTTCTTCCGGCGTGCTCAAGGGTTGCGACACTTCAAGCGGAGCGGGCGAAACTGCAGATGGAATTATGATGTCGCCTGCAACAGGTCGTCGGGGTGCAGGAGGAGGAGTGGCCGATACCGTGGGATTGCCATCACTGTATTTCCGGAATTGACTGCGGTGGACTGGAAGCTGGCGGGCGCAAGCTGAGGCAGACCACGCAAACGTGTGCTGCAGCGGCTGTAATTGAGACAGGATATTGGTACGGCACCGGTGGCAGATCATCTTTCTATTGGTGTGTCAACGACACGGAAGTAAATGATATGAGTGGTCGTAAAGGCAATCGATGGTCCCGCTTCAAAAGGCTAAGCCAACAGGTGCAATCGTGAAGCAGCTGGCGGTAGAAGATGAAAACTACGGATGAATTTGATGCCAAGCCGGAAGATGTGTCACGTGAACAATGGATCAACTGCGGACAGGTCAATGATGTCTCGAAGAGCACCCTGACAGTAGAAAAGTATTGACTGTGTACTAGGAAATCGGGGATTTACTAGTTTAAACAATTCAGGCTGGAATAGCAACACCCATTCCCTGTTTGTGGATTTGTTTTCTAGTGGCAGTGGCCATGTGTCTGCAATTGAAGACCAATCGACGGCAAAGTGGAGATGGGCTACAGATGCCTATTTAGGAAACAACTATGGCATCAAGTTCAAATATCTTCCGTGCAATGTTATGCATAGTGGACAGTATGATATTAATTGGCCTGAATACTTCCATTGATAAAGGAATGGTTCAATTACAAAATGTATGTGTTTCTGGCGCTTTCAACGCATATGCCTAACATGTTGAATAATTCAGTCATTTCTTTCTAGGTATCGTACTCTTTCGAGGATAGCCACGTTTCCTTAATTTTTCCGAAGTTAGACTTGCAATAAGTGACCATCTATATTACAAGTTTATGTTCTTTTTTTTTTGGTCATGAACAAATCTAGACTCCTAGTTACATGCTTTAAGTCTGCTCCAAGTGTAAAAATAGTTCATATTAAATAGTACATATTTAATCATCCCACAGTGATGTTATTTATTCCATCCTTAGACCTCCTGCAGGAGGGGTAATTAAAGAGGACTGAGACTGCTTTATGGGTTCCTGATTGATTGCCTCTCGGTGGTTGTCTATACGCATGTTGCTAAGACAACCAAGCAGAGTATATTTCTCCGATTATGATAGAATTGCTTTATTCATCATTAAACTATCCGGAGAGAATTATCTTCGGTGCCGGTCTATAGAACCAAGTAGGATAATGCACTGGAAGCCTTTCAGTGCCTTAATTACCCACCCACCAGGTGGTAATCAGAAACCGACAATTGATGCCTGTTTTTATTGCTTTCACAAACCCGGATTCACATGCGAATCTGTTGGCGCCACCAATAAGCAGGTTTTTGGTAGACTGCAAATGTTCAGTCTAGTTCGTAACTGGGGATCCTAGACATGCTTATCTATTCCCCCCGAGGAGCGAATCAATTTCGATCAGCCAGACCATCGTACCTTTGTCTCCCCTTTCCTACAGACGAGGAGTAGAATCCTTGTTGAAAGGCCTGACGATGATCAGCGATTGAGGGGTTGGGACGAAAGGGATGAAGACCATGACTAAGCAGGGAACAACCACAATCCATTTTTGTCTATTTCATTCGACAGATCCTGCCCCTCCCCTTGGTCAGATTGTCCAACTCATCAGCGACAGCCAAGGATTTGGCTCTGTGAAGACCGTTCCATCCTTGTGGCAATAGCCTCTCCCTTGCAAGGGCCTACATATGAGCAGTGACGCAGTTGTTTGCCAGAAATATGGTCACTACTTGTTTCAGGCACCACTTAAGACTTGCTATACTGACATCGGATCCATGGAGCACCATGCATTGATAGAGGACTTCTTCAACTCACTAGATTAGCTATTATGGGATGCAGGTGCTTCTGCTCAAATCCAGCTCTCAACAGCTCCGACATATGGCTAGGTAATGTATACTACAGCGATATCAGATACAGGCAGCAGTGTGTGGGTTGTATATTGAAGGGATTCCTTCTATATCATGCAAGAGCACGGATGGAGTATGTTTGAAGTTGCCGAAATTTAGTGAAGCGGGGATGGAAGGCTGATGGCAGGTCAAAGACAAATAACGGGCTTTATAAAAAAAAGAAAAGGAAAGGAAAGGAAAAGAGAGAAGGAGAAGAAAGACAAGGGAAAAAAGTATCACCCAACGCCGCCCTATGAAAGCACACCCAGGATCCAAAAACATACAAATCCTAGGAGGACAGGCCACTGACATCCAGGAAATTACACAAGTTGACGCAAGCATCCTTCAATGACTTTTCTGTCTTCCATTGAAGCTCTTCTTGCGACCTGGTGGCCACAGCGACACAGGATCCAACATCTCCAGCCCGACGATCAGCAGCCTTCCGTGGGATTTGCTTCGAGGACACGCTTTCCATGGTATTAACCACCTCCATTACAGAGTGACCCTGTCCTGTTCCGAGGTTGAAGGTGCGGAAGTTTTCGACCAGCTTTCCATCGTTGGCTGCTCCAAGTGCTGCAATATGCCCCTGGGCAAGGTCAGTGACGTGAATGAAATCACGGACGGCTGTCCCGTCTTCTGTGTCCCAATCTGTCCCAAACATCTGCAATTCTTTATACTGTCCTGTCATGACTTTGACGACGACAGGAAGGAGGTTGGTGGGTGTCTGTTTGGGGTCTTCTCCAAGGAGACCAGACTCATCGCACCCTATTGGGTTGAAATACCGTAGAGATACAATTGTCCATTCAGGATCAGAAGCCGCTAGATCCGCTAATATCGCTTCACAGATCCATTTTGTGCGTCCATAAGGATTAGTGATGCCTGAACATCCAGGCTTCACGAGTTGTTCGGATCCCTCATGGTTCTGGAAAGTTTCCTCTTTGTGAACGCAAAGCTCTTCTTTCAAAGGAAGGCCAGAGGTCGCCAACGTTCCATATACCGTGGCCGAGGAGGAGAAAACGAATGTCTTGATGCCGTATTCTCCTAGGGTGCTGGCGAAGTCGATGAGGCCGGCCACATTGTTCGCATAATACTTCAGCGGGTTCTTGATGCTCTCCTCCACGGCTTTATAAGCAGCGAAGTGAATCACTCCAGAGATCCTAGACTTTGCTGTGCCCCATCTGGACTGGACCTGGTATTGCTCGAGGAGATCTCGAAGAGCATCGGTGTCTCGATAGTCATGAGAGTGTAGGTGCACTGACGGCATCTTTGTGCCATGTTGCCCATGATGCTTTGATGCCAAGGTTTTGATGCGATCGAAGACGATTTGATAGGAGTTGCTGAGATTGTCGATCACAATTACATTATAGTTGGCTTTCAATAGCTCTAATGTTGTGTGACTTCCGATGAACCCGAGACCTCCGGTGACCAGAATGTACTGGTCAAAAGGGAAGTTCCGCAGCAGCTCTTCTAGATTACCATCAAACAAGACGGATGATTGCGTTGCCGGTGTGTCAACGCACTCAGGAGAGCAAGACTCCACAGGAGTGCTTGCATCGGATTGTTGAGGGCTCTCCATCATTGGTGTGTGGGAGAATGAAGTGCAGTCAATGCTGACGAAAGGTGCGGGAGCGTAAATAAAAATGCCTGAGCAAACACAGGAGGGTCTTGTTCAAATGAAGGCTAATGAGGGTGTGTGACTCCCGGACTGGATACTCAAAAGAAAGGAGTTCACAAATTTTATACTTCTTGAACGAAGATGCGCACTGTCACTGGCTCGCCGATGTAACCGCTGGATCCAGCTTGGGTCAGGCGAAGATATCCTGATTTGTGACGTGCTTTATTTACAACAAACGAAGGGCATAAGGACTGGTTGCAAGGTGAGGTAAAAAAAAAAAAAAGAATGATATACTCCTGCAAAAAAAGAAAAAAAATTAAGATTAGAAGGGGGCAAAAAAGGAAGAGATGGATAACTATCGCCAGACATGCATTGAAAGCGGCTAAAACATCATACTGGTGTTCTAGACGGATTTCGCCTTTATTGGGGGCAATATTGCGCGAATTCTAGCCGCTTCCACTGGGCTGCGGCTCGTACTTTGGTTGGAAAGAACAGAGCCTGAGGTTAGGGCAGAAAGGAATTGTTCGAGAGCGACAGCTAATGATCTGAGACCTGCTGTACTGAATCTGCCCCGCTCTATTTTGGGCCCGCAGTGGCCATGATTACCTTGGGTCATTCACGGCTCTACTCAGCATTAGGTTCAAAAGGGCTGGCTACTTATTTCTTAGTTTTCCGACTCCGTGTCTGGCATATTTTCGCGACAGCGGCCAGCGAAACCCACTTTCTGTTCATTTTCTTGGTCATCGATAGGTTCGGCTTCTATTGCAATCTTTTATAGCAAAAATGGGGCTAAGCAAACACGTGAGAGGCCGCCGATGCCTCCAGAGCCGCCGCTCTCGTTTTGTTTTAGCCATCCTCATTTTTATCGCCATTCTCGCTGTCGTTATACCTCCGGCAGTTGTGGTCACCCTACACAAAAAAAACAGCATGGGACCCAAAGCTAAGGTATTCGTCCCTCTCTATGTGTACCCTGCACCCGGGGCCTGGACTCCATTGGAGAATGTGTATGTTTCCCACTTCTCACCCTAGAAAACCTCCCCAACACCCCACCCAACTAGGCAGGTGCATGCCCATACAGAAAGCATGGCATGACATGACATCTGGAAGCCATACTGCGTAGCGTGGATGGAGCAGCTGAACGCCACAGGATCGCCGAACACCCGGATGTTAATTTCACGGTCGTGATTAACCCAGGCAGTGGCCCCGGCCCCAACGCCCTGCCTGACGCCAATTATACCCGAGAGATCCCCAAGCTCGTCTCTTATGACAACGTGCGTGTCTTGGGCTACGTCGCTACCACATACGCAAAGCGGAACATCTCGTTGGTTCGCAAGGACATCGAGACCTACGCTGCGTGGCCAACTAACAGCTCTAACCCCAAACTTGCGGTTCGGGGAATATTCTTCGACGAAACCCCTCAGCAATACAATGCTGATGCATTGTCATATTTACAAAATCTCACTTCTGTGGTGAAGGATACACCTGGCCTTGGCCCGGACCACTTTGTATGTGCGACCCTTATCCACTGTGGTATTGGGTAATTTATCCGATCGTTGCGTTGCTTTTGATTTTCCTTTTTTCAATCCCCCCCCCCTCCCCCTCCCCCCCCTTCTTTTCCTTTTCTGTGTTTCTTTTTTTCTTTTCTTTTCTTTTCTTTTCATATTCTCTTGTGGCGCTTCGCTGCTCGTTTACTGCTCTCTTCATGATCGTATCTGTACAGATCAATTTGGGTGGGTCAGCTACGCTAATACTTCTAATATAGGTCGTCCATAATCCTGGGACGATTCCTGACTCTCGCTACCTGCCAAGTGCTGATTCGACCGTCGTCTTTGAGGCGACTTATGATACCTTTCAGGAACGCCATGGGGCCAAACTATTCAAAGAGATTCCTGACAGCAACCGCAGCCAGCTATGCGCGGTGATCCACTCGGTGCCAGACAACGTGGAAGGATCCAACCTTCGGTCATTAGTGAAGCAAGTGCGAACGGTTGCCGATGAAATCTTCATCACACATCTGAACACCGACTACTACGCTAGTTTTGGTGACAGGTGGACCGAGTTCGTAAATCTGATGGCGAAATGAGTTTCATGATGTATCTATTACGACATGTGTTTGCAAATAGAAGGAGCGGTTGATTCATATTAATGATGTATATGAAATGAAAGTCTGATCTGGGACTACTGATGGCAATGCAACTTTACTACTACATAGAATACTAAATTTTTTTTTGTTTTCCTACATACTAATTTATCCACTATAGATGATACAGTAACGTTGAGGTAAACCAAAATTGAACCCTACGTAGATTCCAAAATGCCTGCATCCGCTATTCCAGGTACAGCCTGTGATCGGCATGGATAACCTAGCTGTCCGGTACCAGATCCCATCGGACCACTGCGGCGGTAATTTTCAATACGCTCCAAAACCCTCACTAAATCTAGACCAACGAACCAGCACTAGTCATCGGCCAAGATCTACGATTCTTAAATCATAAAATCCACTTTCTCCACCATGTGGGGGGAAGATATTCTTAGTCTCCATTTACAGCTCTCGTGATTCAACTTATTAATAGCCAAGTTGAGACCATGGGCGTTTGAGATGTCACATACTGTAGAACCCTCTACCCCGTATTCATTGCGGTTTAATCTCTTCACTTGACCAGATCGGTTTCAGATATAGTAGAATATAGAATCAAAGACAGGACATGGACCGGCAATGATGTCGGATGGATTAGTCTCATGTTGTCTAGTAATGTGCTCAGTCTTCCGGTCGGGTCTTATAACGACTTAGGTTAGGTTGTCTTGAGAAAATACCCAAAACGACGGAGTTCCAGATGGAGTAGTCCGCCCCGTGGCTTGCAGATTTAGCTTCGGATGGAGGGAAGTTACCACGGCTCAACGTAGGTAAAACATATACAATGAGTGACGGACATCTGGACGAGTCAATTTTCCTTGCCTATTTCTGCTCTGTGCCGTATGCTAGAGGTGCGGTCAGTTCTCGGTAAAACATACAAATTTTTAGTTTAAATTGCTTGCAGTCCTGATGTTGAGACGGAAGGCGTTTATTTATAGTGATGGTGATGTTGATGATTTCCTATGGAGCCATGACATTGTCCACGATCGCGGTCGCATTTGCAGTTGTACGGCGTCTAGATGCCCGTGTGTCATCGGACGTCATATCAGGGTTAGACACATGGTCTTAGGGCTGTCGATGGTTACACCTTCGGAGTAAGGTAACTACGATTTGTGTCTCCTCCGGAGATATTGGGGCGGTGACATGTATGTCGTACTCAATCCAGACGTAGAAACTGATGTCCGAGAAGTTGTCATTCTTCTTTTTAATGTTTTTTTCGGCGCATCGGGTGGACAGTTAATCAATGCAAGTAATGTAAATTTAAGGTGGATTAGGGTCTGGGTCCGGGCTGGATGACTCAGCCGATTGATATCCAATTCTGAGTCAAAAAGTAGCTTAAAAGTACGGATTACTTAGTACACTGTCTATGCCATCTCACGAACAACAGTCGTCATTCGTACTTTCATCTCTCGATTCAACACGATGGATCTATGGAGGATCTTAGGATACATTCAGGGCAACACAAGAAATCCCTCCGAACCACTGTCGCCGGGGGGAAACAAACGCACGCCAAGCCAGCCGCGGGCAGGAATTTCAAATCACGCTCTCGCTTCCATGCAGCAATCTCATTTGCCCGCTTATGTTGTATATTATTGACTGGGCGGTAGGAGAAAAAGAAAGAACAAAAAAAAAGAAAATGAATCCTCCGAAAGGCTCCCCATGGTTCGTACCTGAGTTCCGGCCCCCCCACCCCTGAACCAGAGCCCATACAGGAACGAACCACTTTCTCAGAAAAAGAGTGAGGGAAAAAAAAAAAAAAAAAAAAAAAAGAAAGAAAGAGAGGGTTTGTTAGCGCCGGGCTCTTCAAACTCAATCTTTCCAGATCCACAGCACCTATCGTGGAAAGAAGGCACGTTAACACCGCCTCTTCCTTAGGTGGGCTGGTAGGGTGACATTGTAGGACTTTTGGTTTGTCTGGATAGATTTTCTATGGGCCTTTCTAAGACAGACTGAGTCATGAACTGTAAGTCGGTGGTACCATATCTGTGCTCAGTGATGTCTGAGATTTGCAAATACAGCTAGCTGTATGGTAAGAGTATCAGACTAACTTCTACTAACCGTACTCCGTACCGAACGACGAGTATGGGCTCTAACTTAACGCTAAAGCCAAAACTTGTCTAGCTTGTTAACACAGCCAGTCTCAAAAAGGGTAAGAAGAACCAAAAGAAGCCTGACAGACAGGACACTATCTAAGCCACCTTCATATATGTATCACGTGCACACCCTCCTAAAGAGAAAGCAGATCAGAATCTGAGTGCTTGATTCGAACTCGCCAAATGGACAGATCGTCAAATGTCATGATTCATCATTTCAAAGCAATGACAAGTCAGATAATATTCTTTAATAATATAAACTCAATCCTTTTTCTGATCCTTCTAATCCTTAACCCAAAATATGGTGTATCCGCATAAACACACGCTTTACTATACTAGGAATCCAATGGATACGTCTTTTAAAATGTAATTTCCTCTGACCCTCCGACAGTGGATAATGGATGTCCGCTCCGTTAAGCAGGCTTCTTTGCAAAAGCTCCATCGGACGTCTTGGCGCGGGTCAGATCTGGGGCCGCCGGCAATAATCATCCATTCGGACCGATTCGTGTATACTTTTCTAGATTGGGAAGTCTCCGATCCAGCGTTTCATGGATCCAGAGAGCCTCCAACGGAGTTTTCCCAGGTCTTTAGGAGCTTACTCCGCTCCTGAATGCAGGATGTTTCAGGTTGTTTGTTAGCGGTGGCGAAATTAGGGTCGCCAAGATGGTGGACGAAGAGAATTTGTTCCCTGTACTGAGTACATTTAGATGGTCAGGCTGGTTAGAATTGTCCCATAAGATAGGCATTGGACCACTGTTGTTTATTTGTACTGTCGTATTCAGAGGATTTTATATTTTATAGAATATGGTTAACTAGGGTCTTGGCATTTTTTCGGAGTAGTTCGGTAGAATTTTTGGTATGTAATTTTTTGGATTTTTATTTTTATTTTTGTGGTTTTTTCGAGCCTTGTTGAAAAGTTTTTCGGGATGGAAAAATATGGAAACCACTTCGCATTTGAAGTTGAGACACTGCATAACAGGGGCTGAATCGGACACAACGGATAGTTACACGGTAGAACACGGACATGGCATGTGGCGGTCGATGCATATTCGGGAATCCTCTGTAGTGCTCATTACTTCGTGTTGGCCTTGGCGATTGCCATTCTGCCTGGGTGAGGTCTTTATGACGTGATGCCATGCCTGCGATGGCTAAATATATCATCTTGTGTTGGAGACAGATTAACCGTAAATCTACCATAGATTCACCGATACAAGTAGATACGAATGATCTGTAGAATAAGCAATGGCATAATAACAGCTTGGCTAGCTGGTGTATTGGTCTTTTCTCTCTCTATGAGCCTAGGTCTGTCGGTATAACAACGGTTGATTACATCATATTAAGCTATATAGGACAGGACCCCAGATCCCACATATTCATACTCATGCGAACTATAAAGTCTATATAATACGGTGATTTGGACCAGGCTAACAGGTCTGGACCCAGTCATCTAGATTCATGTTCTTGATTACCGTGGAGAAGTTGCCTGAGCCCGAGAAATCACAGGCATCATCTTTCTGCTTCGTTGAGACAGCCTTGTAATTGTTGGTGTCGTCGCCCTTGGGGTATTCAATGTGGAAGACCGGCTTGCCCTGTTGGGTGAACACGGCGTAGGTATCGCATTCCTGGTACTGGGCACACTGCTCGTTCACGCTCCACTGCATGCTTCTGATGACGGACGGGATGATCTTCCCAGCATTCTTCAATCCAATGGACATGTTCCGTCCGTGCGTTTCGCGAGCCAGGAAGTTGACAAAGTCCGTCGAATCATTCGTCGTCAGTCCCAGTCCGTTGTCATTGTCGTATCCGTCGACATTGTCCGGGTCAACGCCGTCGCATCCCTTCTGCACCGCCATGTCCAGACGAGACTGCATGATCTTGCGCACGTTCGAACTGCGCAGGTTCAGCCATTTCTCATTCTCCCATCCATTCAGGGTTTTGCCCAGATCAGAGTCCCTGAAGTCGTCCTTGTCGGGCCGCCAGTTCTCGTAGCTGCCCGCGGAGAAGTAGCAGATGACCTTGCGGCCGTCTTTGTGCAGGGCGTCGATGGTGGACTTGTTGTTGTTGAAGAGATCAATGTCGTAGACATCCACGTCCAACGAGCGATTGTTCAGCGGATGCAGCAGCTCAATCTGCCAGGTGGTTCCCACCTTGGGTTTCCAATTGACGGTGGTTGTGTTGTCGTCTCCGCCGCCTCCAGTGGGAGGCGTCGTCTCATTGTCGTCGCCTTCGTTATCGTTGTCATCGCCATTGTTCAGCCCTACACCAAGGCCAACTCCGAGGCCGACTGCAATGGCGATGATAGCCAAGAGGACCAAGCCGATGACTACGAGCTTCTTCTTCTTCGACCAGGATCTCCAGCCTCGAGCTGGGAGACCTTTCATGGTCGGGTCATCGAGTGGGTTTACCATCTCCTAGATGGGATGGGGTGGATTGAGAAAGGATGAAATGAATGAAAGAGAAAGAAATACGAGGGAGAAGGATCGGCCCAGCCAAGTAAAAGAAGTAAAACTAGAATAAAATAAAGTAGCAAATGATAATCCAAAAAAATGAGGTCTAGTAGAAAGGAAAAGTGGGTAGCGATGAAGATCCGATCGAGGGAAAGAAAGGGGATGATAAGATAATCACTCTCTGGTGCTGCCGCCTAATAGTAACTGCACTACGCCACACAATAACTCCAATGAATCCACCCAGAATATCAACGTTACACCTAGTCTCACAACATCAAGCCTGATATTTGATGCCGGAATGCTTTGTCTCTCTGAAACGTGACCTTACATAGCAATAGGAGGAGGAATTCGGAAGCCTGGTGCCACTCCAGCATCATGCGCCTAATCAACTCTCAGTCTCAGCACTTTAACCAATGAACAGGATTGGTTATTGTATCCTTTTTGGTCTAGACGCTGTGGCTGAAGCGTCTCAGGACTACTCTTGGTCCTTCTTTCTCTTGCGTAATATGGTGCTTTAGTCTACTTATGGCCCTGACCGCTAGCCCGGTCGACAACGACCTCGATCATAGCCAGATCGGGGCTGAGGTTCTGGCAAATAGTAGACAACGGGTCGGAAAATGAAAAAACCAAAAGATAAGAAAGCAAAATCGATACCAAGAAATGGGAAACGAGGTCGCTGTCCCTGGGTCATATCTTGGCCGGTAGAAGGCCTGGCCATTAAACACTGAAACCCTTCCAATCATCCCATAGTCTGTGGTCCCGTGTCAATCTGGTAAATCCACGCTGTCCACGGACACTAGAGTTCCCGCCCAAGACTGCTGATCTGTGGGTATTGTATCCAGGTTATAGTACGTACAGTACGTACAGTACATACGGTATGTATCCGTTCGTATCTTGCATTACTTGCATTACCAGGTACGCTAGCCCTAAGTATGTACATAAATCCATACTGACATATGGATGCATACCCATCGACGGCGAAGTGATCGAGTCCATCGGCCAACTTATCCAGTCCTTTCTCGGGTTCAATTTTAACGGCTTGGCGCCTAGATACAGCTTTACTCTGGACGAGAGCCGCGATGCATCACTCGTGGGTTTGAATGATTTTTGTGGTTAGAGACCAGTTGACTGTCCTGGATGGTGTGCTCTGGATCAACTTAATTATCTCAACTTTGGATTTTGGATTCTGTCCGGAAGCTTTCCGGACAAAGACGGTCCATCGCATTTGCTCCACTACCACGTTTGTGGCTGTAGCTTCTTCCTTCTGTGTTCTCTACGGAGCACGAACATGTATCTGCTACCCATGATTAGCCTGTGTAATAATGCACAGACTATCAGACTGGAAAAGTTAGCCTTGATGCACAGCATAGGATACTTTACCAGGGAAACAACAAAAAAAGCAAAAACAGAAAGAAAAAGAGAGAAAGAAACTGAATCCGAACCAGTCACACATTGCCAGCACATCATCCCAACCCCCTAGCATACACGCCGTAGCCTGCCTGCGACATGTCTTCCCTGGCCAACAACAAAAGCTGGAAAGTCTAGACGTACGAAATAGAAATACTAAGTAAAAGAGCGGGGAAGCCAAAGAATCCTACAGCCCTTAATATTCTCACTCAGCCGTCATCGTACTAAATAAGGTACTGATAGAGGGGAATACGAGACACGGGAACCAAAGAAGTGGATGAAGTTGTCTGACTCGCCCCAATCTTTCATTCGAAGGGAATGGATGTACATGGCATCATATGTCTAGGTTGTTTATGCAGTCATCCCAATATGATGTACTCCGTATTTTGTAAGCATGACATACTATCTTTACCCTATTGGGCTTTTTTTTCCCTTTTTTTCTTGCATTGTACGTCTTTTATTTATTTATTAATTTTTTTTTTTAAAAATTATTTATTTGTGGATGATTATAGATATCAGACCGAGGATCATCCGAGACATTCCTGTACCTAATTGTCGTGGCACGGCGTGATGATGGGGAGGCTATGTTTGTTTGTGTTACGGGTTGAGTCCTTCATCCTGCCTCATATGAATCATGATGTTGATTTGGATGTGTAGAATGTCTCTCAATATCTATTTAGTTTACGGGTCAACGTTGTTTACATACAGAGCCAAGTTGATACATGCAATAACCCCTAGTTTTCATTTGTAGCCGTAAGACTATCTATAGTTCCAATTAATATACTACATTGCCATTTTTGTTTCAGACTGGCATTCCGTTCATCAAGAAAGAAACCAAGACTACAATGGAATAGGTTTAGAAAGTGTAAATGTCACCGGAGAACCGGAGAGCTTCACCCACACCGTAAGAGGATCGCTGCCGAGTTGCTCGGTGGCGAAGCCCTGTGTGTTGGTGGGCGCAACAGGGAAGGTGACAGGAATAGGTACGCTGCAGGTGTTGTCCTTGGCAGACACCGTCACTCCACCGATCTGGTGATTCGCAATTGCATATTGAAGAGAGTAGTTGCAGCGGTCACGCGTGTAACGAGACAGGAAGTTGTCAGACATCTAATGCGGCGCTGTTAGCTCAAACCTCCCTACGCTTGGGAACTGGTGACAGCACATACCTCCTGGTGGTCGATGGTGACAATGGGCCACTTCACTAATCGCACAAATTCCTGCACCTGGGTCTCAACCCACGCTTGGAAAATAGAATACTGCGCGGAGACTCCATTGATCGTGATCGGAGGGGTGTCCGAATTGCGCAGGTTGGCCTGATGGAACATGTAGGAATCACGGCGCAGACCTAAGAGGTGACGGATGGTCTCCGACTTCTCCACAGCAAGCAGATCCTCGAAGTTGCCGCGGCTGGAAGTGGTGTCAATCCACTCCTGAACTGTGCAGTCAGGGGTATCGCAGTTATAGTAGATGCGGGTGGACCACCGAGGGTTCACCTGCATACCATCAAACCCATCGGATGCGACATTGGTAAAGTAGGGCCACATGACGTTTTCCTGGTTCATAAGGACGGGCCGCGTGTTATCGCCAACACAATTGCGAATGCCGTTGTCCCACCAAGCCCTAAGAGCATCACCATTGTGAAGTCCCGTGATGGCAGGGGGGATGATGCCGTTGGCAGTGTAATGCTTAGCCGAGCTGATACCATTCTGCTTGAGCCAAGCCTGGTTGTAGGCAATCTCTTTGCTCACATCGGAGTAGGTGGCGTTGTTCTGTTCCAAATGAGTGAAAGTGTGAGAAAGGAACCCGTACTTGTCCTGGTTCGCCGGAGTGGTCATCCAGTTCAAAAGATCGTCCAACCGAGTGCATTCAGTAGTCCAGCCGTAGGAGGTCTGGGTCGAGGACCAGAGATTGGTTCCGGTTCCCAGGGGCTTTTTGAACTCCAATTCGGTGTCGGGGGGAGAGTCATACTCAATACCGCCTCCGTTGCACAGAGACTCGCCGTTCGGCTTGGAAGTAGCCGCTTCGATATTACCATTGCCATTGAGCCCAAGCTCAACGTAGTAGTTGCTGCCCTCATTCATCTTCGCATTGATCGTGGGAACCCAGCGGGAGATCCCATCCATATCAGAGGTGCTGATCCGGAAGTTCCGTCCAGCCGGCTTGTAGATCTCTGTTTCTAAGAAAACATCATCAATCTGAGTGTTCAAGTTCACCCGGCGGTGTCCAGTGTAGAGACCGCGGGTAAGCCAGGAAATCCACGCGTGCTGCAGATAGTTGGAGGTTGCGCTCCAGGTCGTGTCGAAGGAGATGAAGAAGACCATCTGCTCTCTTCCATCGAAGTTGTTGATAACAGCCGCGGTCGTTTCTCCGGAATACCCAGGGGCGGCAGCGAACTTGGCAATCTGCTTGGTCGAGCTGGTGTTGCTGATAGTGGCCGGGTAATGCCAGAGACCCTGGGTACTGACCCCGGCATTGGTTTTCAACCCAGCTGTAGGGAAGTCGTCCACGTTGGAGAAGGAAACCAGCTGCTCGACACCAGATCCACAGCACCCACCACCACCACTTGCGTCTGCAGCACCGTAGGCCGGTCCTGGGAAAACATCGTACTGCACCATCCTCACTCCATATTCGAGTTGATAGGCGTACAGTTGATTCCACTGATCCGCAGTCAAAGCACTCTGAAAATTTGTCGTGCCGCCATAGTCATAGCTGACCCCGCTTGCAACGAGAATACCTCCGAAGTTTCCTCCGGAGCTACTGTTCAGCGATGGTAGGGTGGTACCCTCCTTGGGAACCAGAAGAGTGGTAAATGGTATACCATAAGCATTGAATCCTGACGAGGCCACACCAGCAGCTGCCGAGTCTCTCGCAATAACCAGGATATTCCCGGCAACCGATCCCTGGGTGATTGGCGACACCGAGGGCGATGCACTGGGTACACTTGTCGTGTTGAGAGACATCGTGGGAGATGAACTCTCAGAAATGCTCTGAGAAGTAGAAATGAACGTAGTAGTTGAAGCCGAAGACGCTGAAGTAGGAGATGTAACGAACGTAGATGTGTCTGATATCACCACGGAAGTCTCCGTAGAGAAAGAAGTACTAAATCGCACCGACGAAGTAACTCCCGTGGGGGAGATAGATGTTCGTGGTGGAGAAGTAGGAGCAATAATGGTCGGATTCCCACCAGGCCACTGACCCGGGGGAGTGGTACACGTTATAAAGCCAAAATAGCAAGCAATGCGAAGTATCCAGAGCGGAACCATTTCAATGCAGCCCAGGGGTCAAAGACAAAACATGAATGATGTAGACAATCCAACCAGCGAATAGAAAATAGATAGGGGAGTGGAGCTTTTTTTTTTTTTAAATCCCGATCCTACTGGAGGCGCTTACGCTGTAGCCTCTTTTGCCAGGGGGGCGTCTCCTGTGCATTATATCACATTATATACGCCACAGTTCAAGCAGGATTGAGATGTCCAAGGCCTCTTGTTCCACACGACAAGCTATGATGGTTCCACCATCTGATCGATTTGAGCGACCTCATATCGGCGGCGGAGTTTTTTGCTTCGCAAACCATGGACTATAGAAGTGACTTGTCCACACATCTTACGGTGGCGGGTTTGCTCTCACAATGGCAAAATTAGCCAAGAGTCGAAACTCTCTCTCTCGTATCCTGCAATTAACTCGGTCCTGAAACCGTTCAAAAGAGGCAATCTAGACACAGACGAGAGTCAGATCCCATTGCGAGCCTACATTATTGTGGGACAGGAAAACCCAATGGTAGGGAAGACCCATGCCAGAGACAATGGATGAGGTTTGGGGGCTCTAAACAGTGGGCCATTTTTCATTTATTTTTCGTTCCAAAGAGTCTTACTCCATCCAAATTTAGAGTCGGTCAAGATCTTGGAGGAAAGGTAAACCGTACGAGAAACGTCGAGGAACGGAGTAGAGTAAATTGGACAAGGAGTCGAGTCAGAGGGATCGTATGGCCTAGTACGGTACGTATCAGAGTGGGGGTGTAGAAATGGGAAACTGGAAAACTGGGGAAACTTTGGCGTATGGATGGTAATACGGTACCGTACGCCCCAACCGTTCCTAACCTGCCCCATTTGGGCGCCGCACCATCACATCCCCAAATTTCTTCCTCTTCCACTGTTTCGGTCAGAACATGCTGCACGTCCACGGCTGTGATGACGGCGACTGGTCTCCAAGTCTGTACTGCTGGGTTTTAGCCGCGCTTCAGTCACCGGTTGAATTTCTTTTTATGATGATGATGATGATGATGATGGTGATGATGGTGATAGAGATGGAGATGATGACCATCTACGTATGGCAGTGACTGCCTGACAAATAATGTGCAACCCTCATGGTTCTACAGGGTACAGAATATCTCGAGGTCAATGGGAATGGACCACTATTTACTCTGTACTGAAGGCATCGTCCTTCAGTACTCCATGGTGGCCACCGCTGAGAAGGCGCTTTTGCCACCTCCCATGGCTTCTAGCTCTTCTGCCCAACACGTCGTTTCGACTGTCATCGGGTTTATTTTCTCCTAGGCTCACTCAGGCAGGCCCTAACTTCCTAGTGCCAGGCTAGCTCTGCAGATTTTGGCATGTCAGCTATTTTTGTCCCCAGTTTCCACCTGGCGCACTCCAGCATCACCTTTCTCAAGGTGGCTCCAATCTCCTAAAGACCGATCCAAAAAATAAAATAATAATAAACAAAACAAAATTAGAACTAAACCAAACAAATTTAGTGCTGTCACCATAGCACGCTACGACCATCTGCAGCCTAGCTAGATCTGTACAGAAGACACAGAGAGCCGGCATTGGATGATTGATCGTCCTTTCTCTCGTTGCACGTCGCCGTTGTCTTAGTTCTCTTCTCTTCTTTTTCCTTTCTATTGCGCCTTCCTTTCGTTTACCTTTCATTTGATTTGCTCCTACTCTGCATCTTCATCCTCTCGTTGGCTAACTAAAGTCTAATATCTCCAATATCCTCATCACATTAACAGGTCGGCGCATTTCTGGTGTAGAGTGCTTGACATCGTCATGGTATCTTGAACGAGTGATTGTGACCCCTCAACGACTCCTGCCCTGGAGCGTGCCGTCATTTAATCATATAGCCTTTGATTTTTTTTATTTCTCCTGTCTCTCGTTTGGGCGCCTCTTGTTTCTGCCTTTCTACCTTAACATTTAATCCACCATGGCCGAAATTCCCCCCGTCAAAACCTTGGACTGGGGTACCGTCAAACCCTTGGGGTGGGATAAGATGAAAAACCACTGGTGGCAGTTTGTAAGTACAATGGGTTAGCCCTGAGAACTTCAAGAATAACAGCGTGTAGGTCTTCATTGGCGTTTTGCTAGCCTGTGTTTCTATTGGGTGTTTGAAACTCCTCTACTCTGGAGTCACCCGAGTATGGAAGTACTACAAGGTAAGGGCATCTATATCGTGAGATCAAAAAAGAAAGAGAAAGATAAAGACTCTGGGTCTAACTGTCTACCATCTCGTGCTTCTAGACGAGACCACGTTTAGACGCTGTGCCCCCCAACGTGGTTCAACGGCTTGACAGGCTCTCGGACCGCCAACTGGTACTGAGGAATTTTGAACGACGAAAGCCCTCTTCCTTTGGCGTCTATCTGGGATCTTTTAGCTCTCCACCGACTGAAGAGCAGCACAGACTCCTACACCAGTGGGACCTGTTGATCGTCGATCCTTCTCAGCCTGGTGCTATTGAAGCGATCGGCTCCGTCGAGGGGAAACAGTTGGTGGGCCGTATCGATCTCAACTACGTCATTTCCAGGGAAGATTCGACCTTGTTGGGCATCCAAAAGTTGGAAAACGCTCTAGTTCAAAATTGCGACGGCACCAACTTTAGCGGAATTCTCCTGGCGAACTGGGAAAACGCATTCGCATCTAGTGTTCTCACCCGACTTATTGAGGTTATCGACGAATTAAGTCTGGCTGTCTATCTGGAAACCGCACCACCGAACTTCCTGAAGGATCACAAGGCTCTGCAAAGTGATGCTATTTCCGGGCTCGTCATCAAAAATGCCAGCATTATGCCTCAGGGCGAGAAAAGGGACTATTTCCAGATCACGAAACTGCAGCCCACCATCAAGGCTTTCGTCTCCGAAGCGTGTATGAGGGACTTCGTCGTTATGGCGTGGGAAACCATTGAGGATGGAGCCGCCCTGTCCAATGCCACTGTCCAGCGATCTCTTCAGTGGTGCAATTTCTACAGCGCCATCCCTTGGATTGGCCGAGAGTCCGCTCTCGAAAACGCCGCCCTCAACGTCAAGATCACGGAGCCACTTTCCTCCTTTGGGTGGCTGAAGGACGCCGAGGTCATGAAAGTTCACGATCGTTGGCGCTTCAACCTCCATGTCCAGAAGACCGTAGCTGATCAGCAGGACTGGGCCACATTGGCTCAGTACTTTCCAACAGTGAAGGATGTTCTTGCGTCATCGGAATCTGACCCTGCTGTTACGGACGGTCCAACGGCCATGGTTCGTGACCCCCCCGAGTGGGTGGCTCAAATCAAGTCGCACGGGAGCCCTTTGTCGGTATCTACGACCGGGATGGAGTATAAAGGATTCGGCTGTTTTCCCCTGGGCTCGGAGGCTACGCCCGTCGCCTTTGCGGAGATTCTGCAGTCCCAGCAACGGCTCAAGTCGCTTGCACTGCTTCATCCCGTCCCAGCGACAACGGTCCCCGATATTGCAAAGGTCCTGAAGAAATTTCTCCAAACTTCTGGGGACTCCGAGTGGAATCCTTCAGATCAACTTGTTGCATCCGTGAGGGAGCTGTGCAATCTGGCGGCCACCGATTCTTTGCGAGTCAATCTGGCGTTGGACTCTGGGCTTCGTAAAAGCACCGATATCCGTTTCTGGGCTGTGTATCAAATGGACTCAGAGGTATTCGAGGTCTTCGCTTCTAAAAATGCCCAAGGTTTGGTTGGCACCGTGCTGCACACCTTCCTCTCTGCAAAGGGCTACCCCCGCCATGTCTGCTTCGAAGCGGAGGTCGCTTTTGCCAAATGGTCAAATGATTTGGTCAACGATACCGGCCTCCCTCGCCGGCTTGTTCAAGATATCGACGCCTTGAGCCCGGAGGAGCGACTCCTCCTGCTACAACACTTGTCCTTGACAGATGCAAAGAGCGGACTTTCGGAGACCATCTGTACATACATCTGGAGGCAGCTTATTGACGCTCCTTCACTTGCCCAACTCAAGGAACTCAACACGACCTCCTATCTCGAAGGATCTGTTTCTCCTGAAGATTTGGTCAACGCCCGTGTGTCTTGGTACCAGGAGCAAGGAACGCATTACCCCTCCGCTTCTACATGCCTGGCTCTCTTTAACGAGACAGACTCGGTCTTCACTCAAATTCTAAAAGAACACCGTGAGAAGGACCTGGCCCAGATATCCAGTGGTCTCTGTAGGCTCCTCCAGAACGACGCAATTGACGCATATATCGACATCATGGCTCTTTCACTGTTTTGCGCCGCAAGAAAGGGTGCACTCGACGAGATCTACACCGAGGTAACCGATCGAAACCCATTATTCAACAACCAGTCCGACCAGGCCGCCGCCTTTGCAGAGTCCTTTGCTCTTGGATCTCGATGCGAAGCGTACTTTGATGTAACGCCTAGCGCGTTTGGAAAGTTGCTCCTTGCCCGATTCAGGAAGGAATATACCGACGACAAGCTGCCAGATTGGATCAACGGTGCTCCCGAGATGGCCACTTCCTATGCTGGGGCCCAGATCGATGTTAACCCGGACGACAAGGTTAAGCCAATGCGTGGGTACCAACGGTTTACATTTCTCAGCGTGTTTGCGTTCCCGGCTCTAGTCGACATTATTTTGCTTACGATCAGCGGTCGTGGGCTGTACCTGTCTGTGTGGATGACGTACGCGGAAAGAGAGAGCGCCACCAATGCCTTGATGATCTCGCTTCTACTCTCCGGCGCCATCGGTACGTGGATTGCGTGCGGAGGCCCTTACTACCTCATCTCAATGGCCTTTGCCGCCTCCAACATGTTTGTTCTTATCCGACTTTTTGCTGGAATCGCCTTCGTCGTGGCTGGGGGGCTGATTGGGTTTGTTGCTGTCTCCGCGGTAAATGGGCCACGGGCCGGAATCATCTTTTATCTCTATCTCATTGCGTTGACCATTTATTTTTCCACCTTTGCCTCGCTCGCGAGTTTCAGCTATCCAGGATCGAGCTTTTTGTCCGGCCGCGTGGTCATCTTCTCGTGCCTTCCCATCCTCGTTATCTCTCCGATCGTCACCACCTTCACGGGCCATGATTCAGCCATTTACCTCACCGTCCTCTACGTTTTCATCGGCTCCCTCCTTTTTGGTCTTCGGCGAATTGCCACGAAGTGGGTCACCTGGTATCAGGGTCTGAGAAGAACCGACGACACAGAAATCCGGAAGTGGTACGTTACGGCACACAGCGCCGGTGAAGAGAAGGTCTTTGGGAATCTGAGTGACCCCGCGGTTTTGAAGCTGTCCAGAGAAGCGCTGCTGAAGGACGTCATGGCAGAGAAAAACCGGCGTGTTTTCTCCAAGGCGACAACGGATACTCTTGTCCTTGAGCTTGCCCGGGACTGGGACGCGACCAATTTCCTCCTCAACTGGTACTGCAGATACGCCGACGTGCCCCGACCAATTCCATTCAGCTCGGGTTGGAATATCCAGACAAAAGTAGCCTTGGATACCCTGCGTAGCTCCCAGAAAGGAATCCGGCTACACAACGCTTTCATCCATTGGCGCCAATCAAGCAGAGAGATTGGTTGTGGGATCCTGTATTTCATTCTGGCTTTGCTTGATAAGTGGGTAGAGCTGTTGAGCGGTGGCCATCTGGTCGGTCTCGCCCCGGAAGTCTCTGATTCCAATCGAATGTCTGTCGGATTTGGTTTGGCCTACTATCTCATCGGCGCAGTGCTCATTGATACGAAGGCCCAGGAGCTCCATGACCTGATCGGTAAACACTCGGCTGTGGCCGTGGGCACTGCAAAGGATATACGCCCTTCGCAGAAACGAGACATAAGGTTCAAGAGGCAGGTGTACTGGAGAACCTTTGGGAAGTACCTGATGTGGCATGTGTGGAGTCTTGCCCTGGCGACCGCGCTCATCTGGACCTTCCAGCCAATGGTAGAGGCTATGATTATGTTTTTTGCCTACGTACTAGCATACACCGGGTTGCTGTGGTACCAGTATACGAAGATCTTTTCTGGACCTCATGCTTTACGACCCTTAATGGCCGGAATCGTTGTCGGATTGTCGGTTGGTATCGCCCTCAAGGTCCGTCTCCCTGGATTTATTTACTCCCAGGTGATTGGACTAGGGGCCGCCACATGGACAGTCGCCATCCTCACTTTGCTGACCGCGAAGATGGGCATGCCTAAACGGGTAGAATCACCGGTGGAGCTGGGAAAGACTTTCCATGCGTTCACCGCGCCATGGGCAGATCCGGATTGGTCTCAACAAGAGTTACAGACGTTTTTCGAGGGGATTTCGCTCATTCCCGCCGATGCTAGGCTGAGACTCAGTCCCAGCATACACCCCGGCGTCGAGGTGAAGAATATCTTGCTTACGCGACGCAGGGAGCCAAGGATAGAAGAAGCATTTCCGCAGTCGCAGAAACTCGTCGACAAAGCCCTGTCCGCCTGGGAGAAGGGACAAATCTCTCTTGAACTCGTCCCTCTTGGGTCTCTCGGTCCGAATATCCAGGCCCTGAGCTGCAATGCCTCAGATCAGTTGAGGATTGCTGTCTGTGTGGGACGCGGACTGGACGAGCGAATTGATGTCAGTGCAAACTGTCAGGTTATCGCGGAGACACTCCTTCACACAGTGGCCGAGTCGATTCTCCGAATGCCTCACGAGTATGCGGTGCTCGCGGAATCGCTCGTCACAGCTGGCGTCACCGAGACCACTGCGCGACAACTTCGTGAAGAAATTAATACGCCACTTGTCGTACGCTGGGCCAAGAAGGAGCTTCTGCGCCAGCTTTGCCTTGGTTCGAGTGTGACGCTCACTGGGAAAAGTTACCAAAGCCTGTGAGGAATGCCCTGTTGAACCGCTGCCTTGGTCAGCCATCTTGGCTGCCCGATCACATGCGACAGTGGCTTCAGCAAAGCCTTTCCCAATTTGACACCGACGACTTTGACGTACACGTCGCGCGCAGCAACCTGGGAGCGGCCACGGCTGTTAGTATTCTTGACTATGCGAACTACGGGACAGGCGAAGCCGCCATTGTCAAAGCCCAGGATTATCCAGCATACATCCCGTACATCCCGAAGAGACTGCAAGTGGTAAGCTCGATGATCAAGAAGCTGGCAGGGTATATCTATTATCCCCTCGCTTCAATGATCAAGTTTTCCGTGGTCGCTCTGGTCGCAGATCCCGAGTTCCAAAGGGAATTTGACTATATAATAAGGGATCACCCTGCGGTGATTCGGGTGCCCGTTACCTTCGCCTTGAATATGGTCTGGTCATATGCCAAGGTTTTCCAAGATATGTGCCTGTCATTTTTCCTTTTTGGGGGTCGAGACAATGTGAAGCGGCTCTGGGATGAAACGAAGGGGATGACCATCAGCATCAAGAAGAGCCGATACATCGTCCAAAGCCTGGATGGGACGTTTACGGCATTCCGGCACGACGAGGCTGACGGCGGATTCAAGGTGTACTTCTACCTCGGGGAGCACAAGACCGAGCCGGAGGGAACGAAGCAGCTCCGATACGTCAACACTTACTCGAAGGAGATCCTGCTCCATGTCCGGCAAGAGTTCAAGGACGGTAAGGTGCTCAACGAGTATCACTACGACTACCGCGCCCCCACAAAAAAGAACTTCACTCTCTCGAAGACCGCGGAAACCAAGATTCCGATGGGCCGGCGCTGTATTCGGGGGCAGAATTATCTTCAAAGCATCCAGTATAACCGCAAAGGTCTTGTCGAGGCCGGATCCTACATGAAAGACGGGAACCTTGTTCGTTTCAAGTACCACTATCGTAAGAACCCTCGATTTGGCGATGAGCTACTCCGGGCAGAGTTTGCCCTTTCATATATCACTTGCACGGTGTCTTGGTGTGCCCCTCCCCTTCGCCATGCCCAAAAGGCGGAGCGCTGGATCCCTCATTCCAAGGTCACAGAGGCAACGTTTGTTCAGGGTGCCGACGTGTACGAGGCTCGGTGGCTGTATGACCACAAATTCCACCCCATGATATTCACGACACTCAATGGACAAACGGTCCAGACGCCACCGATGATTGAACACGACTATTTGGGCGTCCTGGCTAAGCCCCGGCATACAAGCTTTGTGCATGACAACGCTCTAATCTACTGTGAAAGTCTGACCTCCAATGTTTTCACTCGGGCCTTGGGACTAACGACCAAACGCTTCCCGGTATCCACCTCTCGAGCACGTTCATTGATCTGGAAGGCTTGGAAGGAGCGCGCGGACTTCGATGGGATCATTGTGCGGTGGATGGATGAACGACTATTGCGCAGAGACAAAACCCTGGTGCCTTACTGGCGCTGCCGCGATCGTGGAGACCTGGCGGGGGCGAAGAAGTACCTGGACCTCCGGGCAGACACGATTACCGCCAGCGCGGACCTGGATGATGACATCTCCAGCTGGACGCCGCTTGCCGTGAAAATGAGTGACCTGTTCAACTTCGGGCCGGGAGGGGATGCAGTGGTCAACACCAGATCCAAGGACTTTGGATCCGACACGGAGAAATCGCTGCATGTTATGGCCGCCGATACGGGCACGTGGCCCAACGAAGGAGGCGGCGTGTCTGCCTGCCGACGTGATATGATCAACTCGCTGCGGTCCATCAAGTGGCATATGATCTGCGAGTCTGCAAATGATTTCGGCGTGCCCAAGCATCAAACCGAGCAAAACATTCTGTCGTTGAAAGTGATCCCTCTTTGGGGATTAGACTTCCTGACCCCGACGCATGGTCTCTTCAGGAACAAGCTGGACGCGGAAGTCGAAAACGTCACCTCCGCTAGCGACACGGACATCAAACTCAACTTCATCCCGATTCTAACGGCGCTGGTCAAGGGGGCTCGCTCGGTCGACCTCTCCAAAGCGGATATCCACCAGGCGACCCGGGCCCTGGTCAACCTCAACACTTACTTCCAGGATTCGCGACACTGGACCCAGGTGTGGAATAGTGACATTGTCAAAGAGAGCTGGCGTGACTTGTGGCTTACTCAAGAGATGCCGAATGCCACCCCGTCGTCGCAATGGTTCCGGACGGAGCTTCCCACGTTGGCAACCCTCGACGTAGCTTTGGAGCTGTGGTACCGGTACCTGTTTATATTCTCCATCCCAATCCCAGAAAAGATCCCCAGCGTGTTCCAGGCGTCTCACCACAGCGTAAGTGCGTCCTATGGGGTCGTCTGCAAAATGAAGAGAAACTGCACCCTACAGATTTGGGATCATGCCATCAGCTGGCGTGAAACTAATCTCTGTCTTTCATCCGCACTTTGCAAGCTGTCGCCTTTCGTTCGCAATTCGTTGCTGGGGCTGATGCGCATTACCTCGGCCCTTACCTTACACCACGCTGATATCATCCTTCCCTGCGCCGATTTCTTCAATCCCGGCTGGGAGGCCGAGATCGGTACATGCCAAGGGACCATCGAGCATCGCAACGTGTTCCGCCGCAAAGTCGATCCGGTCGTCAATGGCATCACGGACATGCAAAAGTTCGCGCCGGTGAAGGAGATCAAATCTGAGCGGCCTACGGTCACCATGCTGTCTCATGTCTGGTATGCTAAGGACATCAAGACCGCCCTTCTCGCTGCCGACATCATTATCAACCAGTGGAGGTTCGACGATTACCACCTGGACATCTACGGAGCCATTGACAAGGCCCCGACGTACTCCACGGAATGTCAAGAGATCATTGCCTCCAAGGGTCTCCGTGGAAGGGTGACACTCCGCGGGTCTGCCGACCCGATGAAGGTTCTGGAAAACACCTGGCTCTTCCTTAACTCGTCATTGTCCGAGGGGTTGCCATTGGCGTTGGGCGAAGCAGCGCTGACGGGCGCTCCGGTAGTCTGTACCGACGTGGGCGCCTCCCTGCGTGTTCTGAGTGACCCTGACAATTTCTCGCGATTCAGTGCGGTGGTAGCGCCCAATGATGCCCTCGCTCTTGCGAAGGCCCAGATTTCCATGCTTGGCATGCTGGGCGAATGGAGCCAACACGCTGAGGACACGGAGCCCGCGCCTGTGCTCACCTCGTCTCCCACTCCGGAAGACGTCGCCAGGATCACGCGCCGCATGTATGAGAAGAGTGACCACCGCCGGAAACTCGGCATGATGACGCGCAATATCGTGCAGAAGTCATTTAGTGGTGATCGCTACCTCCGCGAGCACGAACAGATGCTCTGGATTGGCAAGTCGGCCAAGATCATGGCCACCCGCAATGGTGCCACTATCAGCGAGCCGATTGACATCGCCACCGCCCTGCAACAAGTTCTTCCCATTGAGGAAGAGGTGATCACCATCCCTCGCAGTGCCGTCAATTCCTGGCGTTCATCGGCGGCGTCGGGCATGTCAACTCTATACAGCACGATTTCCAATTTGCGCACCTTAAATGGCGACCGGCGAGCTATGTCCGTTCGTTCCGGTCTGAGTAACGTCTCGACCGATACCGATTCGTTCTTGCCGCTCCCCAGCAGTGCTTCTCTTCCAGTGTTCGCACCTCGGCAGGCATTGCCCGGTGCACCGGGGTACGTGTCCCCATCAGGGCGCATGTCACCATCGGGGCGTCTATCGCCATCAGGCCAGCTTTCTCCTGTGCCTCGTCGCAGTGGACAGCATTCTCACAATCATTCTCTCTCCACCGGGGGTCGGGAGCAGCTGCGCGGCCTCGGGCGCGAAGATATACACCCTTACAGGAACTCGGATGTCAGTACGATCATGAGGGATGAGTTCCTCCAGTCTAGCATTTACAAGGGAATTGAGGGCAACAATAATGCCTAAACCTCCCCTCTTTCTTGTCTGAGCTTTTTGTCTTGATTCCTTCTGTTCGATTCCTCGACCATATCGATGTCAAATCGGGCAATATGCTCCATGTAAATACATCCTTCTCCCTTCTTTTTGGATACTCTCTTTTCTCCGCCTACTCCTAGGCATCCGTGTTTTGTTGTATCCAGCGTGTCATCTACTATTTCATCATATCTTGTACAAAGGGATGCAGCATAACAGCATTGCCCGTCATTTTGAATAGACCTCTATCATAGATTGGCCAATGAATGATGATGAACAAAAGAAGTCATTAAGGAGTCATGTTTGTTCTCTAGTCTACTCTGTGGCATGTACATCAATCTTGCCGCTTAAACCCAAACTGTCTCCCATCCCGGGCATAGATATTCAAGAGTATATCATAGATTTGAAACAAATGTGTCACCCATTCATTCTTCCCATTTTTTAAGAAAAACAGACGGAGAAAAAATGAAAAAAAAAAAAAAAAAACCAGTGAAGAATACTAGGCGGAAGATGAGGTGAAATTGTGCAAGATTGCGTTATACCAGAGTAATATGAGAGCAGAAAATTCGGCTGCACCATTGCAATGCAATGCTGGCAGCAATAAAAACAACAATCATCCAGCATCCAGCTGGATCAACTGACCGAGCTGAACTGAATTCACTTCACTTCAATATATAGTCATTATTCATTTCATTATTTCTATCCGATCCGATAGCCGTGTCCAGTCTATGTCCATCCATCATAAACCAATATCAATATCAATATCCCATATATACAAGCGTGCAAGAACAAATCATTTCATCCATCCGATCCGGGGAATTAATCATAATCCGATAATAAAAAGAAAAAGAGAAAATGAAGACAAAAAGGAATACAAAAAAACAATCGATCAATCAATCAAACTAATCAATCAGTCGTGACGATCCCGGGGGGAAAAAAAGAAATACGAAAACCCAATAAGGTATCAACACGCGACCTGGAAAGAAAAAGTACCAAAAAAGCGCCGTGGTCTAGAAAAGGGAATTATGGGAGGTCATTAACGGCATCATGGGTTGACAAAATTCAGTTGTCTCCGTGCAAAGGTAGGGTTAAATAAGTGTAATATGTGATTGATTATAATGGCGGGATCGATGCATCGTGGAGACTCTCCTCGCTAATCGACGTTGCGGGGGATGCGAGTCCCGAGATCACTGACGATGTGCCATGAGCAGGGTCGATTTCTAGGATCGAATCTTCCAGTTGGGAGATGCGCGGTTGAGTGGTGGTCGTCGGTTTGGCAGAGCTCGCCATGAGCTCGTCAATGCCAGGCTTCTCCGGGACGTGATGGTCCAGGTTGGTGGCATTGTCAAGGCTATCGAGTGCGAATTCCAGGAATTCGGCGTTCTTCTTGCTGACGCTTAAGGTCCACCGGTATTCACAGAGCCGGAGACGGTAGAACTCTGCCTCCTCCTTGGTGGGCGCGGTAATGCGCAGAAGCACGCCAAAGGATCCGATCAATGCAAAGTTCGTTCGCGAGGCAGCGGGCCAGAAAGATCGCAAATGAGGTGGACGAAGCCGGTTAACGAAGTCCATCGCCGAGATCAGTCGAGTCTTAGCTGCGGAGCGGCAGATGTGGGACAGATAGGCGTCGGCCGTGTCGGGGCCGAGAGACCGCACAATGCATCGGTGCAGCGTGATCTCCGTGGCGAAATATGACAGATGTAGGGCCCCGTTGCGGGCATTATCCTCGTTAATCGTCTCGAAAAGTTCCCCACCCGACTCCATCTTCAACTGCGAGGGCAGCCGACCGAACCATTCCTTTAGTCGAATCTGAGCAGGTTTGGCGCGCTCTAAAATTATTCGCGTGCGATTGTTGCCCGCGGACTTGAACTCCTCGATTGCCTGCAAGGTATAGAATCGATCGAGAATGTCTGAAAGGATGGTGGTCAGAGCCACCATATGGCAAAAGTAAAGGGGCCCATGGCCCACGGGGGCATCCTCATCATCCGGCTGCGAGGAGGGCGACACAAAGGCATCGGTGAAATCCTGTTCCACCAGATCCTGAACTGTCCAATTAAATGAAAAGATGTGAGACGGACGTCCGTGTACCAGCGCAGACCATTTGTCCTGCATATAAAGGGCCCAAGCGAGACGCTTCCGGAGACCCTTCTCCCAGGTCTCCATCCTCCATCCCGAGCAGTCCTGGTGCAGGCCTAGCTCAAACCCCGCCGTGACCAATTGGGCGTTCAACGCCGCTGTGGCGAGAGTGGACTTTTCCATGAGTAGCACACCCGCTTGTATGGTCGAGATTGATGGATGAGGCAGCGATTCGTTCAGCAGTCGGAGAGCCGTGCTCTCGAGACGGGCGGCATCCGGCCGTCGTGCCGACTGAGAGGCCGGCGCCACGTCTACAAATTTCAATGCCAGCACGTATACAGCACTCAGCAAAAGAGGGGACAGGCCTTGGCGGGAGCGGTACGACTGGCGGAAAGTATCCTCCAGGAGGATGGGGAATGTCGGATGAACATGTTCGAAGAACTTGTCGACCAGAGTCGAGCCATAGGGGGCAACCAGACTTTCAATGGCGTCCAAGGGGGGAGGTGGCGGCAAGCCCGCTTGAGACAGGGTGTTAATCACCCGCATGAAGGTGCCGTCGTCACCGAACTTCCGGACGCGAGACGAGGCGACAGACCCTTCCAGGTTCTGGTCCAAGGGGAGATGGTCGAGCAAAGCAGGTTCCAATTCCGTGGTCAGGCCGATGTGTTGCGTTTGTGAATGCCAGAACCCTGATGTGATATGAGGGTGGCCATTCAAGAGAGAACGAGAAGGATCCGATTTGGAGACTGGGAGGACGGTAGATTGTCTGCCAGCAGGGGACGATGTCAGCGTTCCCAGGTCCATCTAGTCATCTAGGCACTAATATATGCATGTCCGAAATCGGAAGGGGAAGCCCACATGAGGCTGAAATCATACCTCTTGGAAGATTCCACATCCTCTGGGACGGGCTCGTCCAATTTCCGCTTCTTGGACTGTGCGGGCGTTGTGGACAGGAGAAAGGTGCAATCTTGACGATGGAAATCGCAGGAATAACACTTCTTAACTCTGTCGTTCATCGCACATCGACTCTTTCTACGCAGACAGGCGTCACAACTGGGGCCATCCCGGCTAAGCACACCAATTGATGCAGGAGGAGAAAGGGGATGGGAAGGAATGCGAGATCGAAGGAGAGGACGATCCGAGGAGGCCTGTTTTGTCGTCGTGGAAGACGACTGGAGAGTGATAACGGCAGCCATAGAGAGAGAGAGATAGGAGATTTTCCCTCACAAGGAATGAGAAGGATGACAATATGATAAGGAAAAGTCCAGTCAAGTCGCGCAGAGATTCTCTCACGTAACCCAAACTGGGGTTTCCCGGAGATTCCCGCCAGGAACGGAACTTCCAGAGTGAGTACAGTCTAGTCCCCAGAATCAAAATGAATTGATTGCAGTGACTTGACTATCCGTATCTGGGGTTCCGTCGACCCTGGACAAAGCGGGAGAGAAGAAAGAGTTCTAGTGCCAATGCAATGCGAGCGATTGACCAATGACAGCCCGGCTGATGGGAAGCAGACTGAAAGGGCGTGCGAACCGCAGCGGAGAAGCTTATCAGTCAACTCGATTAGGTATTTTGGAGTTGACTATAGGATAGGTCTCGCAGAGATCAAGAAAGGTGAGGATGGGGTCGAGATCGTTCATCCGCGATCAGAAGAACTGGATTAAAGAAGAAAGGAAAAGAAGTCATCAGGATCAATAAGAGAAATATCGGAAGCTTTTTGCCTGAAGCTCCGGATCAGCAGCAACTTCCGAGTCTCTCCATACGAAGGATTTCCCACACGTAACAGATACGCGCCGGTTGGACGTCATGAACAACCGCCGCCTTGGTTCCTGCTGCGGTTCGAGATAAGCATCGCCCAGCTGATTGGGTCCTGCCATCTGTTGGCGCCCGAAGGAGGGCGTAATATTACGTACTGCGAAATGGCGGTGGATCTGATTACCCAAGCAGATTTTCTTTACCGACCTCAAGACCTCCCTAGAAGTCCTCGTAGGAAGACTACCGTACCTATAAAGACTCAAAGACTAAAGGCCACACTAAGAGTATACGTAACCGATGAAGAGAATGATAGGAGGTAGTAGATATCCAAGATAATCATGGATAAGTATATGCAATACCTAACCAGGTAGGTAGGCAGTATTGAATACAAGATATCCACCAATCAGCAGCCTCTGATAACGCCTCCCAGAACCAATCATGTCATTGATCATTCTGCCAATCCGGATTAGCGCCAAACCGACAACGGGGATCGGCCCTGCAGCCGGCGGCTTTCCCCACAGCCTCACGCCCTCCATGTGGGAGAGAAGACCCCGATCGTCTCAACTCCGGAGCAGACTGGCCCTGAGTTTAGTAATTAGTTACCTAGCAGTTAACTAGTTACTTAGGTCTGGAGTCTATCGACTATAGCTAATCTCCCTAGCCCTGATTGGCCTCCGCCTTTGGGCAGCTTTGCTTTGGATAATATCAAATGCTAATAATAATCTAATAAGAAATCCTATCGTCGAGAAGAGCCCCACTCCCTCGCGCTAATCCGACTCTTCTACTTTTCATGAATCCTGGAGATGCTCACTAGTCTCGCTATGACCAAATCATGATTCATCTTCTATGCCTCTCATTTCCCGATCGTTGCTGACTGAATCGACCCCTTGAGGCAGATGCGATTAATTACCTGTCAGGAAAAAAACCCCTCATCTTCCAGGCCATCAGTTTCAAGGCGCCGACACCATCGGAGACTCCTTCCTAGGTATGTACGGAGTACTACTTCATCTCCCTCGGTATGCGGACATAGCACCATATTGGCATATGTATGACCAATTGCTCCTCTTCAAGACACCCCCCTTACCGAGATCCCATTACTTAATGCCAATGGTAATCAAATACATTTCATGCGTATTCCCGCAGCTCAGCCAATTAATCTCCACCATTCTTTTATCATTATCAAATCTCTTCCTTCGTTGCAGCGGTATGACCCTCGCTTTAGCTTGAAACTTCAGCACATGCTTTCAGTATCACCTCCCTCGCCACCCGTATAGCTGAAGTATGCTAGTTTCATAGTTTGGGTTTTTTTTTTTTTTTTTTGATTCGATTTGATTTCATTAATTTTTTTTTCTCCCTCTCCCGCTTCCTGTGCAACGTTAGACCTTTCTATTGATAGCTATTGCCCGCTAACCTTGATATGCAATAACATAATATTTTCTTCCAGATGCCCGAAAAAAAAATATTTGTCTTCTAAAAAAACAAAGGATACTCCCACAACTCCATGCTATACAAGCCCAAAGTCTCCGAAGAGAGGCCCAAAAAAATAATCAACATGCAACCATCACGTAACTGGTCAATATTTATTCGGTAAAGTTGCGCAGTTTGGTCAGCTCATCCAGAAGTTCTTGCAGGTCCCCATCGGAGATTTTGTGCTGTAGACTAGGAATAAGTGACTTGGCTTCTTCGGCATTGTCACAGCACAGACTTCCTGCTACACGTTAGGCTGATATGATATGCATGTGACAACGAGGGGTGATGAAATAACAGAACAGAAACAGACAGACACAAATACAGAGAACAATGAGGGAAATGGATGAAGAGGGACAAAAGAAGAAAACAAGGAAGCAAGAAAATTACCTAACTGGGACCGTTCAAACATCTCCAATTCCGTGTGCGAGTTAAGCAGCCGTTCAACAGCCTTGATATTCTCCTCATCCTTGAACCTAGCAAAGACTTCTAAATAGTCCAATGTTTTGGTAAGGTTTCTGCAATGCAATGAGCATGTAAGCACAGGTCCATTCGGCGTCATAGGAGAACCCGGCCGCAACCTAGCTCCCTCTTTGTAATGCTGTACTCACTCCGGCTCTTCGTATTTTTTACCTCCTCTGCGTTTATTCTCCAACACCTTGTTGATAACGAGTCGTGCTTCGGACAGCGACAGGGTGTGTGTATTCTGATCCGCACCAAGTTTTAGAGTCGAAGCAGCTTCAAGCTCGCCCTGAGGCAAGGCACGTTTGCGGTGCGTGGCCGGGGGTAACTGGACGCTCATCTTGATCTCCTGCGGCGAGGCTGGACGGATCGATTCAGCGGGGGAGTAATTCGTTTGGATTGGCTGCGGAAAGGCGCTTCGCAATACAACCTGCCCAGCGAGGAACTATCTCAACTGCGTGATTGCGGAAGGGGAACTTCGTGTGGCATTCGGGAAAACTCTCTTGCAGGAGTCACCCCGGCAGTTCAGGGCGGTGAAGCTTCCACCGCCTTGGACACACTTGTATCTTGTGTATGTCTACAGAGTAACTAACTGTCTACTGTTTACTGACTACTAAATAGTGAATATTCCCGTGAGCGAAGAGGCTATCGACTAAAAATTGCCAGCTTTTCTATCTGTATCTCCGTATACGTTCATGACCCAAAACGCCTCTTGCTATGCGACGATCTGTACAACGCTGTCTGCCGATCTACACTTCTCGGAATGCAACCTCCTTAGGCAACCTGAAACTAGCGCAGAACATTTGCTTGTTGGGGCTGACCAGCCGGACATTGTGAATGGACAGCTCCAATTCTTGGTTCCCATTGCCCCCAATTCTGTCCTCCAGCCTGACAGGATACCCAATTCGCTCAGCAATACGCTTGCAGATGTCTGCATGGTCATCTGCCTCATCCTCCGAGTGACCAGAGAAACAATACACATGCACCATTGGAAGGGCCTGCGAGGTGTACGGCGCAAACAGTGACTCCTTTCCGGCATAGAGTCCAGGGAACGCATCGAGGAATTGCAGAGCGGTGGCAGGTAGATTCATGACGTAATGATCGAAGACAGTTGGACGGATCATGACTTCTGGAGGAGGCAAGGGGGCTTGTTCTTCCTTTCTGGCACTTCGCCTTTCCTTTCGCTTGGGCGGCAAAGTCACTTCTAATGGGCCTGACTCTAGCAGCTCGTTGGCAGACCAGCGGATGAACTCCCTGCCGTCCTTGTTAAAGGGGGTCACAAAACTTCCAACCCTATTCCTCTTGATAGCATCCTGCATCACCTCCCATCCGTACGGGTTGAGGTCATTTGCCCAGACAAAGATCTTCTTCTTGCCCGCGGGAACTGCAAATGGACCCACGCCGGCCATCACGTCGCAGACCATCTCGCCTGGGCGAAACTTCTGCACCAGCCGACGGTGTTCTGTCTCTAGACGACTGTTCCAGTACACACGAGAGTAGTCGAACCGAAACTCACACTCCTGCTCGCATTGGATGACATTCATGTCATTCTCGCCTCCTAGCAGCTCGAAAGGGAAAGTGCGGAATTCGCTATGGGAGCCCACATCCTCCGTCTTTCTGATCACAGTCTTGATATTTGGGTTCTTATCCAGCAAAACTTGCGCGATAAACTGCTTGTAGGGGACATATTGTTCACGTAGGTTAATATGTGCTATTTACAGTCAGCTTCAAACATGCACCAAGTTCCAGGCCGAGGGGGAAAACATACAAACATGGCCCACCTGTGTAAACCCCTGCGGTATCTCCGGAAGCAAATCTTCCGGCAGAATTGCGGCCATGATATCAGCTATAGAATGATCAGTCTCTTCCACCTAAAAAAAATTAAAAATAAAATAAACCAAAACCACAAGAGTACTCACCATATGTCCAAAAATCATAATCCAACGCCAATTCATAAGGCCTCAACCCGATAGTTTCCTTTTCCACAAGATCATGGATCGTCGACGACCATGTCGCAGCATCTACCACCATTTAGCACCAACTCGACCTACATTCAATTTTCTTTTATTTTAAAAAAAAAAACATAAACCAACCATCATATTTCACCCTCTCATTCAATAACAAACACTTCTTCACCGCATCATCCACCTTAACTTCCCGAATAACATTCATCTTCGGCACGTCCAACAATTCCTGACTCTTCTGCAATGCCCCACGCACCCTCGAGATATCCGAGTTCTTGAACACAGTCGCCGCCGAAAGTGGCACCGTTTTTCTAAAGAACGAGCGGTCCAGGACTCGCATTGCGCGGTTGACGGGCGGCCGAAACATGGTGGGAAGTGCGCTGTTCGGCAGGTTGGAGGTCTCGCTTGGTTTGGCCATGGATGGGGCTCGGTCCGTTCGGGAAATCGGTATCGTCTGAGTCTTTCTTGCTGCAGGTTAGTCGTAATTGGGCTGTTTGGTCATTATTGGTTTCAGGTACGGGGGGGAGTGTTTTTCTTGGTATCGGTGGAGGGTTTGATGGAGAAATTTGGGGTCTGTGATTTTATCGGCACGTGACATGTGTTTTGATAAGATCGGTAAATCGCTTATCAGATCGGGAAGTATCCTAGCGATTGTAGTCGGGATATTCATTCTTGCATCACGGTCATATTTCCATTCCTACCTGGCTAGAAATTTAAAGCCTACTATGCTATTGGTGAAAGATCACCCAACTTTGCCATCCTCAGAATATTTATCGAACAAGAAAAGAAAAGAAAACAATGTGCAACTAGAGGTATCACAGACAACGCGAACTCCCTGTATTAGTATCATTTATTCCCTCCCTGTCCATTGGTCACAGACCGGTCCAACTACCGCTGGGACTCCAAATTTGCGATTCTCTCCTGGAGCTTCCTAATCTCTTCGTCCTTTTTCTTAATCGCCATGCGTGAGATGTCCCGCCCGCGAACTATCCCTTTGGTCTTGAGGTCAAATTTGTTCAATAACTCGGTCACTTCTTCCTGTGCACGTCTAGAAACTACCGAGTTATGACTCTCAAGAATCTTAATAACTTGAAGTGCAAGCTCCGACGACTCCTCCCGCGCATCACCAAGCAATGCATTGCGGTATTTACTCGGCGTAGGTGTCAACGAGAGCTCTGCCGACGGCGGTGGCATGTGCCATGAGTTCTTCTGAGAAGAGAACACCGACGTGGGAGTTAAGGAGCTCTCGCTATGCATGTCCGACAGATTTCGCTTCCCAGGCGAGGTAAGAGAATTCGTCCGTGGTGTCTTTCGCGGACTAGACTCAGATTCATCAAACGACCTGGACCTGGAACCCATAGCAGATCCGAAGTCCGGCTGGCGCGGCGGATCCAACAAGTTCACAGATGCTTCAGTTATGGAGTCATCCCATTCGAACTCGTCCGTATCTTCCGCCATCATTCGAGCCTTGGCGTTTTTCGAAGGAGTCTGGAACGCACTCCCTGTCGCAGGGGCGGTGCGAACAGAACGATCGGTTTGAGGGGTCACAAGTCCGCCATTTTCAAGATGGACTGGTTTAGAGGGTGTTTGTGGCTCAGCGCCAGATTCTGAGCGGGAGTTTGAAAGGACTGTGAGCTTTTCGCGGGCCTCGGCATCACTGGCCCAGAGAAAGAACCTGCATTGATCCTGCGGGGGTCGTTGGCATCTATAAACTGAGATGTATATGTTAGGTCATTCTTTCCAGAAGTCTCTCCTCTGTATACAGCATCACCATTCTTGAGGGGGGTCTAGTTACACCATCTTCCGTGATTGATGCCGTGGTTTTTAGTCTGTAATCTGAGAGCAGGAGGTCGGTCAGGGCAATTACAGCGCCAGACCCCGTCTAGGAAAAGACCACGCAGTGGGACAGAAGTGCGTGGAGACAGCCCCATATGCGGGGATTTCTGAGGAGAGAGCATGATTGCAATGAGGGTCTGAGACCAAAGAACATGATGTGCCTAATCAGACGCCTTATCGATGATGGATATAGTCTTGGGTGTCTTAAGCTGATGTCTCCATGGAAACTGCACACCTGATATGCTGAGTCAGCACACAGCGGGACCTAGCATGCTGACTACTCCCAAAGAGACTTAGGCTCCGTTCTAAACTATAGTGCACGCTAACTAAATTAGAACTAGTCAATTCTACGTTGTCATCTTCAGCGTCAACTAATTACCTAATCTATACGAAAATGAACGTCTGCTCGACTGCCTCTATCCATGTAAACCAAAAGAACAGTCCAGATATTCTAGACCATGATGAACGTCTCCTTTTGCCGCGAGTAATGCAATGTAATACATAAAAGAATCAGACAGAAAGGTGATATATGATGGGGTATCATGACGTTTACTCTGCAAGGACCTGACGCAACATGACGCTAAACGAATCGGACAACTTCAGGATTTCCTGACTCTCAGGTTTGACCGGCTCTCCAGCCGTGCGGCGGAGCTGGTCCTGTCTCTTCACCCGGCGTCTCCTTTCCGCACCAATGGGATCAATGTCTTCGACCTCATCAAGGTCACTAGAGGATTCCGACTCCTCGTCGGATATGGCAAGGTCTTCGAGGTCGCCCTAGCAAGAGAGTTAGAATCATATATCCATCCACCCGCGTCAGAACGGCAGAACATACCTCATCCAAGCCAAAGTCACTGCCCCTCAAAGTTGGGCCGCCAGGGAATGCTTCATTTCCGGTCCCTTCGGCAGCCATTTTTTGCCGGGTCTTGTTGAGGTGCCAACGTTTACGGTCCTCATGCCATTTGACCAACGCATTAATCTCCTCAAGCGCCTTATCTTTATCAATTTGGCCGACGTCCTTGGCCCCATGCAGGAGTGCATTCATGTCCAGCCGGCCACCCTGTGGTCCGTGGCGCAAAAATTCCAGGATCTCTTCAATCCACGCCATCAGAGAGCCAAAGAGGCCATTGTCGTGCAAGTGCACCTCGTGCACAAATTTGTAAAAGCTGCCTTGATGTCGTTCACAAAGGTCAATAAAGGCCTGAACAGTCTGGTTCGGATCCGCAGACACATCTTGTCTCTGACATTTCTCTATGACAGCGATCGCATCGTCCGCAAACTGGGCGAAGTCGGTGATACTGTTGTAGACATTGGCTGACTTGTAGACGCGCACAAGAGGCTCATAGAAGATGGTAAAGAGGTCACGGAACAGCTGCAAGGTGACAGGCTCTTCTACAATGCTCAGCATCATCGCCTTATCACGCTGCCGCGTATAGAGCTTGAGCAACTGTTTCAGGTGCGCGAACCACTGAGCACCCTCACGCATCTCCTGATCATCATGATCCACCGCAAAATTCCAGGCAACGTACGCGTTGAACACTTTGCCCACTTGTTCCGTAGTAATTTCGGGATCAAGGAGCTCGGAACGCAGAATGGCAACGATGAGATCCACATCTTCTGTGGCAGCCTCGCTGCGGATCTCATTCTTGATGGTCTCGTCGGCACCGGTGAATGCCTTCAGTTTCTGGCAAAGGACGGGGTCGTCAACCTTGGCAGCCAGCGCGTCGATCGACTTTTGGAATGCCTTGATGCCATCATTCAAAGTCATCGAGAAGATCCGCTGCAAAAGAGAACGTGACCCAAAGGGCTGCGCTAGGAAGAGGTCCAACACCCCGGTCATAACAGCGGCCGGGTTGGCGATACGGATCACATTCTTCATCAACGTATATGGCACCAAAGAATGGATCCGCTTCGCCTGCGCAAACAATTCCGGAGAGTTATCCTCAGCTAGGAACAAATGATAAAGAGTCGCAGCAACCCTAGTCCTGGTCAGCAACGGGATTGACACTAATCATTGGTGGTCTAGTCACGCACTCGATGCGAAGCCATTCAGCGAACTTCTGGTACTGTGGACTGAGATCCTCCACCGTAGGCTTCTCGCGTATCTCCGCGAATAACTTGGTCAACCCATCTAGAGTAGTGGCTGGGTCAGCAAAAGCGTAGAGATTAATATCGAAACTGCAGCACTCACTGCTCTCCACAATGTCTCGGCGGAAATTTTCCATATAAACGTCCAACTCTGCTGCCCGCTGCCGAGCAATCTCGTAGAAACGTTTCTGCTCTTCTATCCGGATAGCATCTGCCTCTTTTCTCCTTTGCATATCAATCATTTCCTCCTCGTTCACGGCAATAGGCTGCCCAGTAAGAAACTCCTCAAGCGCCTTCGATTCGGCTGCACGCTTATTTTGTAGCAACGTACGAAGGAACGCCCGGAGCGAAACACGTTGCTCCTCTCGATATAGCACGGTCTCACGGAGGGCCTCCCCAGACTCCCTAGGGGACTTGGGGGACTTTCCGAGGGCAGACCTCATAGATGACCGCGACACCGAACGATGGAGATAGCTCCCGGGAGTTAGATTTCTCGAATTTTGGCCCTCTTCTGGAGTGCTTGTGCTCTGGGTGGACACCGAGGATACAGAGGATGCATCATCATCGCCCGAGGAGAAAAAGCTGGACGTTGTTGAGGACTTATTCTTGCGCGGCAGAGGAGGTAACGATTTCCCGGGGAACTCTGTTTGCAGTCGCTTGCGAAGCTTCGAAAATTCTCCATATCGTCGCGCCACGTAAACGTCCGACTTCCCTTGACGTCGCACGCGAAGAATGAATTCCTGGACCACCAATCAGCCGTAGTCCACGTCGACCAAACAATATTATGGATCCTCACCGCATGCTGGTGATATCGCACCGTCCGTCGGACAGACGCGATCCGCACCGCAGCCACATTGACATCCCAGCCATTAATCGCATTCCCTTCCGGCATATTGACAAGCAATCCCGTCTCATTGGCACCACGGTCAACAACCTCCATTTCCGAGAATTGAATCCGCTCTTCATAACCCGATGCTGTGGGGATGCCGGATACCATCATCAGTTCAACCAGTTTCTCACACTTTCTAGCCAGCTTTCGACGCTTTGTCTCCTCCAAGCGATCTTCCGATGACGACACATTCTTATTCGCGAAAGACTCAAGAAACTATATCATTGAAAGTCAGTCAGCATCAGTAGAGCTTCCCACTATGCATCACGCTACACCAGTTGGTGACTGGGGGAAGTCGGGGCCCTACGCACCACTTGTAACTTATCCTGCCAAAACTCCTTCTCACGGGCCTGGTCGAGGAAAGGGAAGTTTCGCACATGATGGACAAAGATATGACGGAGAATGGGGAGTTCTGAATCCACGGGAGCGACTTCACCGAATTCTGACTTGAACGGAGCACCAAAGCGACGGAGAGCGGTTGGCGAGTTTAACTCAGCGATTTCGCCATGCACCTGGCGGGCAATGAGTTCGCGCTTCAGATCTGTACCAGTCAGGAATACATCTCCGAAAATATCAATAGGCAGGACCGACAATGTTCTTGCTTCCCCGTCAGGATTTGACCTGGCTGGATGGGATTCTGGGACTCCGATGGATGACCGACCGAGAGGCCGCCGGCACTTTCTTGGGAGGGCATGTCAGAGAGCATCGTGAACGGCGGTTTCCTACGATCGCTTAACAACAGTCGTCGAAATTAACCGCGGGGGTTCGACTTTATTAATAAAGTCAACGCGAGCTAATCTGCAGCCTAAAAATAAATTTTTTGAAAAAAAAGGTTCCAGGGTGCTGGGCAGAATCCGTCTGCCTAGTGGCGCAACATGAAAATGACGTTATTTGGGCCAATGCCGAGATAGACGAAACAGGTCTGTTTCCTTGGTACTCCCCAGCAAAAGAGAAGATTTCGTCCTGAATCTGACTGGAACAAGAGGCAGGCCAAGTGAGAAAACAAAGCACCAGAAGGAGAGAGAAAGCCCGTTTTGGCGGGAGAAATTGGAGGGAATTGGGGGCAGTCACGGGAGAGGGGAAGCTCAAAAAAAAAATAAGAAATAAATACCAAAGTCTAATTTTGCACTGACTTCGAAAAAGTTCGAATTAAGCAACGGGTCCATCAACATCTCCTTTTCTCTTTTCGATCTTCTCCTTGTCTCTTAACCCTTTTCCCTCCCTGACGCGTCCACTTGGAGTAGGGGGGCTCAGCCCTGCAGCCCCGCAACGTCAACAGCGGATCGACACGATACTCTGAGGTTTGTAATTCGCGAGATGACTCCTCACCAAGTGGTTCTAATGGAGTCACTATGACCAAATCCGAATTGCGCCAAGTAGGCAGCCACCAGACAATACGATCTCCCATTCGGGTCTATCGATCGGCAGCAATGAAGATTTCTTTTCTCAATTTGGTACGGATAATACAGTATCCACTCTACTAGACTAGTAGGGCATAGCATAGCCAAGGTAACCACGCCCTGAGGGGAACAAGCCTGCCTGGACTAAATGGGCGGAATTAGAAATGAGCTCATCAGAAAAACAGATGGACAAACAAGGGATGGGCAAAAGGAGAAGCAGAGTAATCCACGGGAAACTCATCCTCGGTACCGTTTGCGCCAAACCGGGGAATCTAGCCCAGGGACTCCAGGGTCTGTACAAAGTATGACAAGGTTAGGATGACCTCGAATTTCGTTATGTTGGTTTCGGAGCTACGGAAGAGTGGTGAAGGAAATATGACAGGTACAGATGCACTCATAACAGTTCTAGCTACGTCTTATCGCTTGCTACATCCTGATCTTTCCGGTGGTCAGTTCAACTAAGTATATCACGAGGACGTTCCTGGAAAGTATTTCGTTTGAGAACACTTACGATGCGCGTTTCTCTGCATTCAAGGGATGGTAGGTGGGAGTGGTTCCTGGCCAGTCCACTAGACACTCTGCCATCATGTCAACATCATTAAGAGTCACTATTACATTGCGAACAGCTCATCGTTTGGGCATGAAAAACCTTGGCCTAACTTGAGGGGCGTCTTCCCTTTCCCCCTTCTATCGTCATCAAGCTACTTTTGTATCTTGTACCTCGCTCTATTGATTAATTTTGAGCTCGTCATACACAGCGAGAAATAGAACGCAATGGTATTCGTGAGCAAAATACGGCTCCCTGCACGACACAAGCAACGGAGTCATGAGACAGTTGCGCAGAAGTCTGATGAGAGTCGACCGAGCTGCGATTCCTCGCGGACCTCTGCGGGAGATAGTAGCCCGGTTCTGTGCGAGTGTAGGCACCGAGGGATCGAAATTCTACATGATCTCGCCGGCACGTCTTCATTTTCCTCGCTCGAGACCAAAGAGTCCGGCCTACTCTGCCTTGAGCACATGCTCGACCTGTTGGAGCAGATCAGCACCTGCAAAATGCTCTCGGGACACGAACATTCCCAAGATTTTCTCAGTACACTTTGCAGGAAAACCTTGACCCAGTGTCAACAGTTCAACGAATTCTTGAGCGAGATGTTGGAAAAGAAGGGCCAGCCGGACCAACAACCCCTGTTGCAGAGGGACTACCCAGTCGCCACAATTGAGGAACGAAGGAAACTTCTCTGTTCGCTCACCTATCTTCAACTGAAAAAGCTTCACGATTGTGTGGGCCGCTTGATCCGAACACTCCAAGAGCGGCCTGCGTTCGAGGAGCACCCCTGGTCGCATTTGAGGGAACAATGCTACCAGCTTGCGATCGACTCATACGCCCTCTGCTCTCGGGCAAGTTATCTCTAAGGCCCGATCGGTGGGCACAATAACGGAGGAAGAATCTCATAATGATGAACACGATATTGATGAAGGAATCACGCATGCTAGAAGATCCTGGCGCTCAGAGTTGTTTTATAAGACTGGCTGGTTTTTGGTTTGGATCACTATAATTAGTTTTTGAAAGCAACTAGATACCTTTTCTGGCGCCATTTACGTCGAGGTCGCCTGCAAAAAAGTCTAGGTGATAGAATGGAATATGGAGTGGCAATTCTTAGTCTTCGATGTGCAGGGACATCTTGCATGTATTCCACAGGCGAGAAATCTCAAGTAACTAGTAGACAGTAGAAGAGATCTAACCTTTGGCGGCGAGATATCAGCATCGTTGCCCCAGGACTGTGCTCAATAATAAGTGAACAGATGCCCCCCAAAATAAGGTGGAGAGTGCCAAGGCCTAGTCACCTCCGCCTTCTTCACGATGTCTCACCTCCAACTCTCGTTCACAGGCCCACCGTACCCGACGGACCATTGCTCTCCATTCTCTGGCATATTCTTTACTCTTTCTTAAAGGCTGCTTGATCCCTCTGTTGCAGTTTTTCCGTCTGTCCCGCGTGGCGTCGATAACCATCAAACCTCGGCCGTTCATCACTATTACCTACTCTCCTTACCGCGAACCGGTATCGTCCTCCCTCGTTGTAGCTGATTCTTGTCGTTTCATCTCTACATGACGACTAAACCACCATGGGGAAACATGATACCGATGAAAATACGGAATTCCTCCCCATGACTCGTCCAAGGTCCTCGTCCCACGCCTCTCAAACTTCCTCCGATTCGGGCTTGTCCGTCGACTCAGCGTACCTAGCGGAGCATAAGCCCCTTCCAACAACGAACGATTCCTTTGGTGCCACGGAGGAGGCGAGTTATCGTGATTTGGAAGATGGAGAGCCGGCGGTAGATGAGCCATTTCTCCCCACATCCAAGAAGCCATGCTCTGGGAATCGTGCACGCCGGATATTCTGGATCCTTATAATCCTGTGTCTTGGAGGCTGGGTGCTGGCATTTGTGCTCTTCCTGGTCCAGGGACGGTCAAACTATCAGACAGCTTCCAATGCCCTGCAGTTGGACAAACCAGGTTCTGGCTCGGGCAGCACCAGCGCTGGAAAACCCGTGACGCTAGAACAAATCATCACAGGCAAATGGTCCGCGACCGCGCATGCTATTTCCTGGATTGCTGGGCCAGATGGCCAGGACGGGCTGTTGGTGGAACAAGGCGAATCTGGGGGGAAGGGCTTTTTGCGGGTCGAGGATATTCGCAGCCGCGAAGATGAAGCCAACACTCTGAAAGGCAAGGTTCTGATGGAAAAGCCCGTCGTACGAGTGGATGGACGGGCCGTTGTTCCCTCCAGGACGTGGCCCAGCCCTGACCTGAATAAGGTACTACTCATGTCCGAACATGAGAAGAACTGGAGGCATTCGTACACAGGGAAATATTGGATCTTGGACGTGGACACGCAGACGGCACAACCTTTGGACCCTAAAGTGCCTGATGGACGCGTTAAACTCGCCAGCTGGTCTCCCACATCAGATGCGGTAGTGTTTGTGCGGAACAATAACATGTACTTACGCAAGCTATCGTCGGAGACTGTCATCCCGATTACGAAAGATGGTGGCAAGGACCTATTTTACGGCGTCCCAGACTGGGTATACGAAGAGGAGGTGATTTCAGGAAACAGTGCAACATGGTGGTCCAATGATGGGAAATACATCGCTTTTCTTCGCACCAATGAGTCAACTGTTCCCGAATACCCGGTTCAATATTTCTTATCGAGACCATCGGGAAAGAAGCCTCTCCCCGGGCTCGAGGAATATCCCGAAGTCCGGCAGATCAAGTATCCCAAAGCCGGAGCTCCTAATCCCGTGGTCAATCTGCAGTTATACGACGTTGAGAAAAACGAAGTGTTCCCCGTGGAGTTGGCCGACGATTTCGACGACGACGACCGGATCATCTTTGATGTGCTGTGGGCAACCGAGGCCAAGGTCCTCATCCAAGTCTCAAACCGCGAAAGCGATTACCTAAAGATATTCCTGGTCGATACCAAGACCAGGACCGGAAAGCTTGTCCGACAACAAGACGTTGCTGCCCTTGATGGCGGTTGGATTGAACCAGCGCAGGCCATGAGATTTATCCCAGCCGATCCCGAGAACGGGCGACCAGAGGATGGTTATGTCGATACCGTAATCCATGATGGATATGTACATCTCGCCTACTTTACACCGCTTGACAATCCGGATCCTATCATGCTTACCACGGGTGACTGGGAGGTAGTGGATTCACCGTCTGCAGTGGATCTGCGCCGAGGCCTTGTCTACTTTGTTGCCACGAAGGAAGCACCCACCGAGCGCCATGTATATCGAGTGCAGCTGGACGGGAAGAACCTTCAGCCCATTACCGAAGTTTCAGAAATTGGTTACTACGAAGCGTCATTTTCCCAGGGGGCCGGATATGCGTTGCTTAGCTACAAAGGACCATCGGTGCCATCACAGGCGATCATCAACACTCAAGGGGACCAGGTTGTCTATGAGAAGACCATCGAGCAGAATCCGGAACTCCACCGTATGGTGTCAACATATTCTCTGCCCACTGAGGTGTATCAAAACGTGACGATCGATGGCTTCACTCTCCAGGTAGTCGAACGCCGTCCTCCGCACTTCAATCCGGCCAAGAAATACCCTGTACTCTTCCATCTGTACGGAGGACCCGGGTCCCAGACGGTGAACCGGAAATTTACCGTTGACTTCCAATCCTACGTCGCGTCCAGTCTAGGCTATATCGTCGTCACCGTGGATGGTCGAGGCACGGGATACATCGGACGAAAAGCGCGATGTATCATTCGAGGGAATGTCGGACATTACGAAGCACGCGACCAGATTCAGACGGCCAAGATGTGGGCCGAGAAGCCATACGTTGACGAGACCCGCATGGCAATCTGGGGGTGGAGTTACGGGGGCTTCATGACGCTGAAGACTCTCGAACAAGACGCAGGAGAGACCTTCCAATACGGCATGGCTGTTGCTCCTGTTACGGACTGGCGATTCTACGGTAAGACGCCCTTTGAAGAAAGACAGGGAGAGTCCAAAATAAATCTTCTAATATGCTCACCTCACCAGACTCCATCTACACCGAACGGTACATGCACACGCCGGAAAACAACCCATCCGGCTACGACAATTCGTCGATCAGCGACATGTCGGCCCTGGAGCAATCCGTGCGTTTCCTCGTTATCCACGGCGCCTCCGACGACAATGTTCATCTCCAGAACACTCTTGTGTTGATTGACAAGCTGGACTTGTCTAATGTACAGAACTACGATCTCCATTTTTATCCTGATTCCGATCACAGCATCACTTTCCACAACGCTTATTCCATGGTCTATGGCCGTAAGTTCTCTATTCTCTTTTATTTAATCTCCGGTTTATTTTTATGGGATATGTTCTAATAATTGGACTGAACAGGCCTGTCAAACTGGCTCGTCAATGCATTCAATGGTGAATGGCATCGCATTGCAACCCCGGTTCCTGATGGATCCATCTGGGAGCGGTTTAGACGGTCCTTGCCGTTATTTGTGCATTAGTTGTCTTTGGAGTAAGTATTTTATACATACATAGATATTTGGGTTCAATATTGTGTTTTGGGGTGTATTTATGCATTGGGTATAGTTTTTACATTGTAAAGGATACATTCTGCAGTAGGTAAGGGAAAAGATTCTTCACATGAGACGCAGGAATAAATCAGTAGTCCACTATACTATACGACTGAACTCTGCAGTAAAAGCAATAACAGAGACATAACAAGAACGAAAGAAAGAGAAGCATTGGACCTAAAACAGAGGCGTTGGTGCCGAATTCTCATAATCAATGTTCTCGCTGGCACACTCGATCGGAGTCGACGTGCTGAACACACGATCCCAAACACGAGTCTGCTTTCCGTAATTATAACTCTTCTTCCAACCCTTACGATGATGCAGATCATGATCTTCAATGACCAGCTCCTCGCCAAACCAGCACATAAACCAGGTAAGAGGGTTCGGCGACGACTCGTGAAGTCGAAGACCACTTTGGCTGGCCACTTCCGCAAATATAACATAGAGCTGACAGATATGCCACTCGTAGAAACCTACAGGGAGACCCATGAATTCAGAGAGGCGTAGCTGATCAGCGGGATGGCTGCAATATTGAAACCCTCACTCGGCGTCTGCGTAGATAGTGAGAAGAGGGTTGATGCCTGATAAGTGGTGGGTTCGGTGGTATTTCCATAGACCGTTGATATCGTGCATAAGACGGTGGTACCAGTAGAAGCAGAAGTCAAAGATAATTCCATAAATGACTTCGACGGGAAGTAAGAGCCAGTTCATGGATGTCGGGGACGAGTGGATGTCGTAGGCGAGATATTGGTCATCGGGGACGTACGATGCCCGCCAGTAGGACGGAGATCAGGGCTTTGCGCATCCCGACGTCAGGAACGCCATCACGATCGTGTTGATCGCCGTTTAGGAAGTCTTACTGATGGCCTTGCTCGCGCAGGGCGCGTATCTCACGGGTCGTGAAGAACATCGAGGCGTAGTAGCAGAGGTAGGCGACAATGGGTCCGAATTTGCATCCCGTGTAGAGACGTACAGTTGGTGAATGACCAGTGGGATGCTGGCGTGTACGATGATACAGCAATGCAGCTGCCAGTCCGGGAAATATGGCACTTTCTCGTGCTTGCGATGTATGGGAAGCTCTCGGTCCACGTCGACGTGGTGGACGTTGGCCCATTCGAATATCCAGTGCGACAGGGTCCACTGTGTGCGGTCCTGACTCCGCCAGGTGGATTTCATCGAATCTTTGGGGTCTGGACAAATTCATAATAAATGTTTCTTTCTTTGTCTCCCTCTCTGTCTCTGTGGCTGAGCTGACGGCGGACGGGAATATGAGGCCTAATATTAGTATATAGTTATCATTAGCTACCTTGCCCCTAAAAACTGCATCGTGGTTTTTCTGCCATAGCCAGATGATGTAATCAACAAAGCAGTGATGGAAGTAGAAAATTAAGTCAAAGGATGCCGTGTCGTTTTCACCCATGTCACCGTTTCACCCTTCGTAGGTAGACCGAGCTCTATCTCTGTTGTCTGCAGTCCAACTCGGGACATCCTACACATTTCCACGGTGCGTGTGCATGGGACGTTTATACTACGCAGCTCATCAGATATCCCTTCATTTTTAGGTTAGTTTAACTCGAATTCATCCATATCAATTGCACATCGCAGTCACAATCTCGGGGAAATCCGGAAATTCCGCCTGCGCGGCATTCACAATCTCCTTAGTAGACAGCTTTCTCCCACGTGCAAATTTCTGGGCAATAGATCTAAAAGTCTCATTCCCCACTGTCTCCTTCTCTGGCTCTTCGAGGGCCTCAATCGGCCCAGACCCGTTCGCAAACACCCAAAGCAAATCTTCCATATCCCTCGCAATCACCCCTCGCTCACCCTCCGAGCCAAGGCAAATAATAGGCTGCTCAGCCACCTTGGCATTGGGTCGTATCAACCAAAAACCAACATAATCGCCTGATCCTGTCTGCCCGAAGATCCGGAACTGGCTGCCATCAGCTTTATTGTTACCGGTCCACAGCCGAAACCACCATTCTGTGTCCTCTGGGTCTTCGAATTCCTCGTAGGGCTCGAAGTCGATCCCGATAGTTTCGTCGGTTCCCTCGTCGTATTTGAATTCGAAGCCGATCGAGAATATCTCTTTTAAGGCAGAAGGAAGAGTGGAGCTTTGCATTTTAATGCTTTGAACGTATCATTTGTCTCACTTAAACGAGTTGTTTTGTGGTGGGTTATCCGTTGATAGAAATCTAAATGGTAGAATGAGTATTACTCATCAAGGGTGAGTATCGGGTGGTTGAATGAATGGAGATTGATTTAGAGAGAGTTAACGACCGATCTATAGATAAACATCAAGGGTTAACCTAAACTTAATATGGAACCGAATACGGGCGATCGTCTCCCACCATAGGATGAGGATTTATTGACATAATGGGCAGATTGGCAACTTACCCCTTTCCAGATTTCCAGGTCTGCATGCGATGTATCCAATATTGGTACTAAGTTGGATCTTTATTTTTGGCTGTTTCTGCATCACATACACTGGTAGGCCTAGCACCATGCTTATCTAGTCTTCCTGTCTTTTACTCCGTGTATGCAGTCGATCTATGGCTTTCCATAGGGCATACAGTCGCGTAGTTTACCCAATACCATGACTCGTCGTAGGGTAAACATTCAACCAACGATGATGCCGACCATAGCGTATCGTCAGATGGGGTGCCTAGATGATTTGATATTGTATATCATTTCCAGTTGGCCTTGGGCTACGACAGTCTCTCTTGATGGCTGCTGCCTTGAGAGAGCATAACAACGCAGCGTCGACGAATCGAATAGATATCCTTTTGATCCTCATCGCTCGTATACACTGAGATTCCGTCGATTCGCAGAGATATCCTTTCCAGTAAAAAAGACTCGCAACGGTTTCCTAGGCAGGAATCCCTCCACAACTTCGAGTATCATTCGCTCTGGCTTAGAGCGGTATCCCACTTTCCAATCGGAAGGTTCTTTGACAAGCATCGGAAGTTCCAGACTGCACTGATCCCACAGCTCCAGCCGTCTTTCTGCTGCAGGGTAGGCTTAAATCATTTAGTATTTGAGATGGTACTTACTGCTTCCTGGTAGGAGAATTTCAGGTCACCAAATTCCCCATGGACTATTTGTGATATCCGCGTCTCTTTGACGCCGTGGATGGTATCAGCCTCGGCCATCGAGTCATAATGGCATATTAGTTGCTCTCATTCATTGATCTCGAGGAGCGTAAAGTGGTTGTTTTTATGCTTAACTGGGGAGCAGTAAATTAAAAGGACCACATCCCCGAAGGTTTCCTTGGTCTCGTTCTGATACTTTGCAACATTCTCCGCCCAGCGTCTCAGCGGTAGGTCGATTGGTTGGATCTGATTATTGCTTCTAATTTCGTCTAATGGGATGCTTAGATCTTGCTTGACGAACGCGGGCTTCTCAGACAGATACATAAGAGCCATGATAGCTCAGATATCCAATCTGCCCGGGCGAAGTTGCTCAAAAATTTCACAAAATAGCTCCATACTCTCCTTAACCGCAAATGTATCATCACGATCAAACATTTTATTTAATACCTTCGTTTTCACACCTTCAATCAACCGATCAATAGCGGCATCAAGCTTACCGTTAGGGAAATGGTCTTTATGTGACCGAATTAACCTGTATTCCAACCTCCTGTGAACAGAAGAATTCTCACCACATGCAAGGCAAGAGCCACCTGCAGGTCGCGAAGCTCGTCTTCGGATATTAGCTCTGCATCTTCCAGATCCCTATAGAACGCATGTAGTTCTGGCAACCCATCCTTGACAAGTTTATCTAACTGTGCGGTCAGGATCTGAATCAATTTCATATTTTTTGCATCAGCCTGAATTTCACTAATTAAGATGTCAAGCTTTTCCATGCTTATTTTAGTATATTTCCTGTCCCCTATCAGCAGCGGAAGGGCATTAAACGTACACTTGTTTCTCACCAGATATTCCGGCTGAACAAAATCCCAAATCCAAGTTCTTTTACAAGCTTTGTACTGAGCTTCTGCCCTCTACTTAACTGCATGTTGATATGTCTTCTTTGCGAAACTATCTGGCCTACAGTTATGCTTACCAGGGCAGACGGAAAGTTGAATTCATCTACATCCAATGATACCCTTCTGACCCCACTGATCCAGGTCCCTCTTCCTGCAGCGCCTACTTGGCCGTTTTGTATTTGGTTTAGGACATGCATGGCAGCCCCTCGGCGCTCGGCTGGCTTGCCTTTTTTTTGTCTTGATCGCTGCCTGCGTAAGTCTCACCTGGTCATCGTACCATTGCCAAGCTCCCATAGACCCGAGCATGGTCAAGACAGTAATTTGGCTTTGCTGCGATGCTTCCATATCAAATACTTGCATCCGTATTTTGAGCCATCAGACCATTGGTTGCAGGCAGAGGGTTCGACTGGTCTCGGATGGCCCCGTTAGAATGACCAAAGGACTCATATGTATATCCCTGGGAACGCCATTCTTGTGTCTACTAAGCCGATGGATGTGCAGACAGCCTCGAAAGTTAAGTCCATAATGGAGCTTGTCTCTGTGAGCAACGGACCCGATATGGGTTGGCCGGATGAATTGATGCTCCAGAGTGGCACTGGCGTTTTTTCTCTACGGCTCTCCTGCCCCTCGGGGGAGGTGGTGCGGCCCTCTGTATCCTTGGAGCAATTGGAACCGGCTCCGCAGATATAAGGACAGAGGACACCCTCTGAGGTACTGACTCCGCATGGGGCAATGGCTTCTCGGACTTACTTAGTTCTGAGCTTGTGCTTACCTTGGAGCTTTCCGAAGAACCTTCTCTGCTTCACTACCACCGTCTTCGTGGGATGGTTGACTAGGCAATGGCAGTTCCATCGAATGCTTGCCATGCCTTTCGTTAGACACCGGGGCAGCTTTGTCTAGCCTAAACTGGCATCCGGTTTTGTTGACTGGAGCGCTACCCGGTCTGCGCTTTGTAGTCTTCGGTGGACGAAAGGAAGGATCTTGGTCTCTCTTGCGCTTCCCTTCGCAGAATGGAGAGTATTCTCCTGGAACGTTCTACCAAAGGCGTGAGCGGCTTCCCGGGCATTCTCACACAGCCGCCGAATGATTATGTGGAACTAATATAGTCAGTCGTAAGTGCCTTGTCAGTAAATTTTTCAACTTACCTCAGGCACATTTCGAAGATTGATGGCTGGGAACAAGCTGCCCAAAAAAACTCGTCGGCGCACCCCTGATTCCTGTTGGCTGGTCGGGAAAGTAAGCTGAATAGTTTTTATATACTAATCGAATACATAAAAAAAATAAATATGATTCCTGCCGCTCATTTTGTATAAAGCCAAAACGAACATAAAACGTTAAATTAGTTGCAGTTGAGCCGACAATATCAAGCAGCGGCAGGGATTCTGCAACTAATGTTAAATACAAACACAGTGTGTTGCAAATAATGCAATAATATGATTATCTGCATCTGTCTTCCAATTAAAAATCCAATTCTCGTCATCAGGAAGAGACGATAGTAGTGCTTGAATAGGTGTTCTTCCGTCCAGGAATTCCAAGCGCATTTTTTGTCGAACATAGTACACTTTATTTTTGGAGAAATAACTACTTTAGTATGTTGTCTGCGGATTTCAGAGACAGTATTCTTTGCAGATAGGCCTTGCTGTATGAGCTCTTCACTTTCGGGATAATGTCGCCTGGCCTTAAAATTGCGGTATGCAAGGACAGCATCATTTCAATTAGCCCATGATTATGAGTAGGATTTTGAACCCGAATCCCCCATTCATCTCTTGTTTTATTGTATGCAAGGATCATATGAAAAGGACAATCATTTAAGCGGGTAAATGTGTTGCATACAGGATTGTCTAGGCGAGATGATAATAAGATCTCCACACAGACAATTTGACGAATATAATCATCGCGTGAGATTGAGTGAGCAGTCTTAAAAATTTAGTGAATCTACGGTATGTCAGAGGAACTGGCATCAGAATAGAGGAACTGAGTAAGTGCGAATTGAATGAGCGACTTAGTTATCAAGCAGAATAACTAGACACATGCAACATATATATAGCTAAGTGAAACCCGCACTAATAACCGAGTTATCTTGTATGGAGGTCCGAGCCATATTCATATCAAAAAAGAAGCCATGTTTGAAAGCCCATTTAGTGTAGAATGTAGACAACTTAGCTAGATCCTTCAGATGAACTGATTCCGGTGGTTGAGGTGGTGGAATAAAGGTCAAATTGAGGTGTAGTAAAGGTAGGCAGATAGGCAAGGAAAGAATAATTGTCACATCACGTACCGCTTCCTAGGTTTAGTTGGTAGTGCAATTGGAAGTCCGGGTAGTGCGAATAAATAGAAAGTCCCCTAATGTATAATCAAGGAGACTAAGCTGTGATAGCTATCTGAGCAAGCTTCTCAAAATCCATCTTCGCTCCCAACAAAGCTTGGAAGCCAACATCCAGCCCCAGCTCCTTAGACAGCCAAGTACGTAACTCCACCCCAATCACCGAGTCCACCCCATACGACCCAATTGAGCTACCACGCATCTCGAATTTCTCGACTGGTAGTAGAAGGATCTTAGCGCACGCATTGCGCGATGATGTGCTGTGTCACGGCTTCGACGGCCTCTTCGGGTGACTTATCCGCCAGAGTCTCGAGGAATCCGCCACCCCGTTTTGGTCTTGCTTACTGCTACTGGTGAGAGTGTCGACTGATCTGCGGATCTCGACGAGTCGGGCGTCGTTGGCCCAGTATGCGTTTGTCGTTTGTGCTGCGGTCATGGCTGCTGTTAGCGCGACTGGCTGGAGACCGAGCACGATCTGTGCTTCACCAAATTTCGCATCTTCAATGGATGAATGAGGTTCCTGCAGCATGCCTGCTTCAAAAGCTTGCAGCATCTCGCGTTCGTCAATTCCGTACATCCCTTTGCGGCCCAGAGAGACTTCAATGTCTTCGTTCTCCGCCACGACGCCGACATCGTGAACCATTGGCAGGGCGATGGAAGATGTGGCTAAACCGTGCTTACGTCGGTACCAAGCCAGCGAGTCAAGGTAACTGTTGCCCGCACAGTAATTGGCCTGTCCTGGCTTTCCGAGCACAGCGGAGATGGAGCTGGTCATGACGAAGAAGTCTAGTGCTGTACCTGATATCCGTGCCTTCCAGTGCTCCCGTAGCTATGATATCAGGTTTGCGCTGTTTGCAGAAAAGTAAACCATGGGGTATACCCAGCTGGGTACTTTTCAGGCAACAGAAAAATGAAGGCATAATGTGAACTATTATGGCATTATTATACCAGTATTTACTCAAATTTTGGTCACATACTTTATTGTATATAGCATCTACCCTACTGACTAATAGGCTTTAAAGCGCTCAAAAGGAAGTCTGCTAAAAGTCTCTGTCCCAGGATTTGATCGCCTGTCCATCGTTCCAGAGGATAGCGATTTGCCGGCTTAGTTTGGTAAAGGACATACTTGTAAAGATCTGGATCAACTGCCGGCTATGTATTGGCCGAAGTTCTCTGCAGATATTACTTATCAATCGACACTCCCAAACACGAAGATCCCGGTATGAGGGCATAAACCGCGTTGAGTAAACGAAGGAACAACAGTTACAGTACGAGGAATAAGAAAGAGGATGCTTGGGATTCCACCACCAACAATATTAACCCAGTGGTTCTAGCAACACCCCTTCCCATTTTAGTTGCTTCTCGGTGGCGGCTATTCCCAATGAAGCAGATAGTGGCTGCTCCAGCCAGTTTTTCAAAATCAGCGTTTATGAGGCCTCGGCGCCTTGATATGCTTAGAGTTAATAATAGGAGTCTTGGGTGGGTTCACCCATGTGGGTCTACCCACGGGGGAACTCCCACGGGGGAACTCCCAGCGCTCAGGGTTTCGCTAGCGCTAGGCCCGCCCCATCTGGAACCTCGTAGTAAAGTGGAGCGCATTTGAATCAAATGACCCTTTGGCGGTGAGATAAACAACCGCCCTGGAAAACCCCCAGCAGTGGAGAGCCTGTTGCCTTGTAACGACGGGCCAACCCAACAGAGATGATAGAGGTATTTATACTCAGCCCCCAGACATGCTAGTATTCCATCCATAGACTTTTCGACGGATCTAGCAACCCAACGCAGATGCCACGGATTGTGAGACATTCTTTTCTTTGGATGTTGCGAAGTCAACTTGGCCGAACTTCGTCTTCACGCTTTCTTCCTCCATCTATGATTTTTCATTTCCAGCCCGTCCATAGCATGCAGACTTCAACCGCAAATACGATGAATGTAGGATTAGGACTGGGTGGGCCGCTTGTTTTTATGGTATATTTATTCTCCCGTTGACGCGACCCCAGATATTGAGCCTCATGCCTACACGAGCGGTCGCTGGTTGCGGCGTGACAAACTGGAGACGGGCTCGCGCTACATCGAATTCAACTTTGGCGCCCTTTGCCAGAAGGTTATTGAGCTATGTCCAGGAGCAAGTGCTATCGTAGCTTGTCAAAAAATTGAAGGAGGCTTTAATAGGGTCTTTATTTTCACATTGAACAATACTAAGAAAATAGTGGCCAGGCTCCCGTTTCAGCTGGCAGGACCTACCAGGCTGACCACCGTTTCTGAAGTTGCCACGGTTAGCTACTGTAAGTTTATAATAATCCCTCGCTGATTAGCCTGGGTGCTAACCAATCAATACTTTTAGTACAAGCAAAGACGAGTATCCCCATACCAAAAATTCTCGACTGGAATCATGATGCAAGTGACATAAATAATACTGTTGGTAGCGAATACATAATTATGGAGCATGCAACTGGCGTCCCACTGCACGAAAAATGGCAGACAATGTCAGGCGACCAGCAAGTTAGGTGCATAGATGCAATCTACCGGACGACAAAGGAAATAGTTAATTTGGAATTCCCAGCTTTTGGGAGTATATACTTTGACAATGTTCTTGGCTCTGCTTGCAAACAGCTGTTAGTTAATGGTTTCTGTGTTGGCCCTCACTGCAGTAGTCGGTACTGGGATTGTGATGCCGGGGAACAGAGGTATTATTACTACGCGAAAAAAAATTACGGACCGTGTAAGTTGCGGCAAGATTTCTATTACTTATGTAAAACTACTTACACCATACCTTAATAGGGCTGAGTATTGGCGAATACTGTGATGGACTTATCGACGCCGGTCTATCGCGGGTCCCTCCAGTGGATGCAGAGCCTGAGAAGAGACCAATCTATTATGGATCGGCTAAAACACATTTGGGCCTTCTTGAATGTGCCCGGTCTGTGCTAAAACAAATGGCCATGGATCCTCGAATCCGTAATTCTGCCACGCCAGTGTTGTTCCACCCAGACCTACATATAAGGAATATATTTGTTTCGGAAGACAACCCTTCTGTTATTACGAGCATTATTGATTGGCAGGCAGCTAGCATTGAACCGGCGTTTTGGTACTCAAATAAGATTCCGGACTTTGCAACAGGGAGTGAAACATGCACAAAAGCTTTTGAACTCTCTTCGCAGTTCCTAACGCCCAAACTCTCAGGCCCAAGGCTGATGAATGACAGCCTCTTTCGACCATTTCGTTATTGTTATAGGACATGGAAGGATGGTGCAGTGGCCCTACGCCATGAGATAATTAAAACTACTCGGCTTTGGAAAGAGCTAGGATTTAAAGGTCAATGTCCTTACTCTTTACCCGCACCAGAAGAACTTGCGAACCATGAGAAGGAATACAAGCTTTTTGAAGCGGCACAGCATTTGCGGACTGATTTGTCTGGCTTACTAAATACAGCATCAGACGGTTGGGTGCCTTCAGATAGTTGGAAAGCGACTAAAATAGCCCACAAGGAACTCTTCGATGGGATGTTGCAGGCCGTTTTATCGAACCCAGATTTGGATGATGATGAACCAGTCAAAGATGAATTAACTCTAAGGTCAATCTGGCCATTTGACATTGACTAATAAAAACAATTTTTCTGTATCAATATTAAGATCACACATCGCCGCATTTGACATTTTTACAAGGGTCTCCATAAACTGGATGTTTGGTCAACATTAATTGTATCTAGTCAATCTTTGATCGTACTGATACCAAGTCATGTGACAATTAACTGCCATTTACTGCGTCTCCAGGTTCCGATTCCAGTACGGGAGAGAATTATTAACCTTATCCGCTCGTGCGGCAAATTTGTGTCGGGCTTGAACAGTTCTCCACGCTTTTCTCCCTGTAAGGCCATTTGGTTGTACGGAGTTCGTTATTTGGTATAGTTTATCTGCTGATCGAAAACCTTGTGAGGATCATTATCGACGAGGGGGAACTTTATTCAGGAAGGCCTTTGAATTCTGCCAGGAGTGCAACGCGGACATCTCGATGCTGGTCCGGCTAAAAGATAACGGCCAGATTTACGTGTTTAATTCGAATGAACGATGGATTCCTTCCCAAGAAGAATTACTAGGTGTTAATATGAAGTTTTCTAAACGAGACTAATAAATTTTCAGATACTTTACTACGCCACACCCCTGTGGATACCCTGGCAAGAGCTGGCGGCGAAATATGATTCATGAACCAAAAACAAGCGCAGTTACCCATTGTTAGCGTAGGCTATTATGTAGGACATCAGTTACCCACTGTTAGCGTAGACTATTGCGCAGGATATCAGTTATCCACTGTTAGCGTAGGCATACAATTGGCGTAGGCTATTGTGTAGCGTAGGTCATCAGTTATCTACCGTTAGCGTAGGCCGTAGCGTCGCCATTACATTAGCTATTAATTTGTAGTTAAGGGCCGGGGGGACCATAGATGGTGTCGGTCAAGGCCATGCCTCCGCCGATGCATCTCGTGGTCTAAGCAGCTTATTACAGTAGTCGTGATGACAGTCATCCCGATCCAACATTCCAACCCACAGAACGGAAACGAAAATTAGTCCAAAAATTGAAAGAAAATAGGAAGAATCTTCTATGGCTTTGCCCACCTCGTGACCAATAATGATATCTCCCAACTTAACTCTATCCACCACTGAGATAGAATCTCGATAAAGAGATAAAGAAAGATACAGGCAACGCCGAAAACAAGCTTGCCTATAATACGTCTGTATTCGACGGGCTCATATAGCAAGATCGTTTCTTACTTTTGGGTTCATTCCGTAGCATAGTGGCTAGCATGGGTAGCTGATTGGCTCGAACCTACCCACCAAATATGAGCTAAAAACGGCTTTTGAAGGGAAGATAGCACAGAGTTACATATACGCAAAAGAACAGACCAGCATTATACGCCTGAGTGTTTGAACGCCTGAATGCCTGGACGCTTGGGTGTCTGAACTAGGGTAGGCGTCGATATTGATACCGTACTCGACCATGGTCAGACCAATTTGATGCATGATCGGAGGCAGTTTGGATGGAAGATTAACCATACCTAAGGTGATAAGGGTGGAGGATAGGGAAACCGATCTGGCGTTCTGTCTTAACGATGACTTGGATATAAGGAGACCCCGAAATGCCAACATAGCTTCTCCGGGTGACTAAAAATCATTCAAGGCAAGAAGTCCTGCCATCATGTCCGAGGGCGGTACGTTATTGGCCTGCTCAAAATTTGCCTGGATTTGCCGGATCTGGACAACGCCAGCGACTGCGCACCCTATGTTCATCGATAGCATGGCGCTTGAACGCCATTTTATGCAACAAGACCACTTCGCACCAATTGCACTTGAGCGGCTCTTCGTTCAGATAAAAGGCGTCAAAGTGGCGCGTAACACACCCGGCGTCATGAAACATCTGACAGCGAGTGGCATCAGGCAACTCCTTATTCGCAAAACATTGAAAGCAAGCTTCTGGCTCGTCAGACTTCTCCAAGTATTCCTTGGTGGCGCGCAACGGCTTGCCACGTTCTGAAACGGGCACCACTTCGCATGCGCTGACACCGTTTTGGACTTGGAGTAAATCTTGGCTTAAATGTAACTACGTACACGCAGCTCATGACATCAACAGAGTAAGAGATTACTAAGACAGCTACAAGATGCTAATTAGTTCTCTAAAGACATCTTTCTACCTCTGAATCAATGGTGCCTAGACCGAACTGGCCAGGAATGGATGCATTGTCGACCCACTCCATCAATCGCATCTCTTGCGCTTTGAACTCTTCTCCAATGGAATTGTAAACTTAAGGTTCCTCGACCAACGCACCTGCAGCGATCTTCAATTCCTTCGAGTAAAGACCCGACAGATGATGATTGCTCCTAAGCCAATTGCTATCTTGGGCTGGCCAAAAACCCCCAGTAATTCCCTGTATAGCCCTATCGAGCCCCTACAGAGGTGAAATGAGTCTGCTGGAGTCTGAAACAGTCGATCAGCTACATATGAATCCTAATATGTTGGTGACAATAACAATAAAATATCTTAATATGTGCGAGGTAATTGTTTACAATAACTAAGGGATGAGCATGTCATCCATTTTAGCCTGCTTTCCGTGCAACGCTATTCCGTCCTCCTTTTGTTAAGGGTCGTACTCCAGTATACTTGGATTGAGCCAGAGCTTCTTCCCGGATATTGGCCCGAGAATACTTTCGTTACTTCTGACCAAGGTCGTCTCTCATCTCTTCGTAACTTCAGCAGAAGTTCTATCTCTTTAGTTGACCATGGCATGCCCTTCCTGGAGTTTCCTTGAGCCTCGCTGCAATCCTGCTGAGTTTGCGAGGTCTGATGTAGATTTATAGATTTATCAAGCGATTATTTAACCACATATCTCCACAATTGCATGTTGTAGAGACAGGGTCAGACAAACTTGGTAGTACACCTTCGAACAGCTAAGAAAGTTATCAAGTGGCACAGATATAAAGTAAAAACAAATGTTGGCAAAGGCGTTTTCACTTAAAGGTGACGTAGAGGGAGCTCGACGCCGTTTTGAAGGCTGTAGGGCTGATTGTTGTTTTCTTTGCTTGCGGGACTTTGGCTGCTCGCAGCCGTGAACACTCTCGCGCTGAACATCAGAGAATAATGGGTCATCTTTGGTGCTGTGAGTGGAGTGGCATTTTTGGTTAGCCTGTCTGTGAGGGCGATGAACTTTTAGCGGATTACCATCCTAGCCACTTGACCTTTGGCGGAACCTCGGTGGTGGTCAGATGCATCGCTAAAAGTGGGTAAAGGTTCAGGATACAGACATATTATCCCTGGGACAATAAGGCTATTACCTTGCTGGGCAGGTTGGTGTAGATCTTAAGCCACCCAGGGACCATTATCGGCGAGGATTACTGGGTCAATAGGAATTGTATTCTGCAAATCTTCCAGCCCGAAGACCTTTTCCAAGCTATCGTCCGAACTTAACATACTTGGCGACGATGGATCATCCCCTGGGACATCTCCCGGAAAGTAGGGCAACTCAGTCGGAACGTCAGTGGCATCTTGGAATTCACGGGGAGGTACTAGACCCAAATTCAAAGTGCGATGTGCTAGATCTTGCAGTAATATGCCATACTTAAAGTTGTCTAGATATGGTGTATTGGGTGGTCGTAGCGATGTTTCCCCTTAAGATTGGGAGCTTAATGGCATACATAGCCGAGTGCTTGCACTAACATGCACGCAAACTTCAGCCGGTGGCCGTGCAGGGAGGCGATGTTTGGGAGATGGCAAGGTAGGTAAAGTGCTTGGGATGGAATTATACTGGGGTTTGGGAATAGAAGGACTGTTGGGTATTGGACTGCTGGGATTTAGGGATTTATGTACTGTTAATGAGCTATTGTAAGGGGGGATCCATGGCTTGAAGTTATTTAGGTGAAATGTAGGGAACATTTTGCAGGAAGCAGTGTAGTTGGGGGTATATCCGACGAGAGGTGATTGGAAAACTAGAATTAAGAAGTGCGAGGAAAGGGCGTGGATAATACACTGTCCCCAATGTTGCAGGTTCGATTGGCCTTCTTATACCTTGCCTTGAAGCGTCAACAATATAATTCTGCCTTGTCATAGGAAGCGAGGAGACAAGTCTTCTTGTCCTGAATCCCACTTCTAGGCCGCTGACGTGTCCATCTTCGTCTAAAAATATCGCCTGAAGGCCGATAGTCCTTGGTTTGTACCAATCGCATCTAGTAACTACAGCCCCAAGCCTCACATGCCAAACACACTACTGACAAATGCTTTTTTTCCCGATCTGGAGATTAACCCGGGGTGAAAGAAATGCGGCAATTTGCTATTAGATAATAGACAATGCAAGACTCCAGAAGTGAATGGATCCAAGTTAGCCAAGACATGGCTCCGGAAGAGGGGGGGGATCCAAGCGACCGAAACTAAGCTGACGCCATAGATGCCGTCTTCAGTAGCCGGATAAACATCAATTTCTTTTTCATCTCCATAGGGGCCTTTATAGAGACTGTAGAGGCCCAGCACATGAACACATCACGCGAGTAGAGGGAAGTGATAAGAATCGGTGAGAAAAGAAACCTGAGCTGATAGACATGTCCAAAAACAAAATCGATCAACCCGCGTAGAGTGCCACGTACAACCATCCTAACTGCAAGACCGAAACGGCCCAAATCCTGCAATAAGCAAGAGCACACCATCAAGTGGCACATTGGGTAGCCAAAAGCCAGTGAAGTCACAGTAAAACTTTCCAGATCCAACAGGGGGTTGGGCGGCGCCATACCGGAAAAACGTAATGGTCGGATAACACGGCATCTTCTGGAGGTGGGAAAGGGGGCAGTGCACCGGGTGAAGGAGACGGGAGGGGGGAAGAAGAAAGGAGAAAGTGCGTCGTCGTTTGAGGGAGAGAAGTCGGGCTTATATAGATGCAGCGTGATGGATGAGGCGGCAGGGGAAAGGGCAAAAGCGGCGAGAGCGGTTCAATGGCAGCCGTATTGGCGCCGAGCTAGCCGTGTCATCGTATACATGGTTACTAGTTAAAACTAGTATAATATATTATAGCTCCTAATAATAGACGTAGATATATAAAAACGGTTATTACTATTATAGGTTCTAGACTTCCAGTTGTGATGGATGCACCACGTGGCCTGTTTGTATTGTTTGTATCTAGCTTTGTTGACATCCCCGCATCACCCTCTCACCACTTTCTTCCTCCTCTCTATGCATGAAATTCTCGTTAAGATAGCACCAATTTAATCAAGCTGTTCGGCTGTCACACTAGTTAGTATATCTCTTTCTTAGTAACAAAGATAGCCTACCTTTTAGAATAATCTACGCAATGCTTTGGACTAAGCAAGCTATGCTTATATCCTTTGTTAACAGAATACCTTAAGATCTCCTGATCCTAAGAAGGACTGGTACTCCGTAGACCTTATCTGACAGTAAAAGTCCATGCTAATCTGTGTTAAAAATCCATTTTTTAAGACATTTTCTTGTATTTTGGTAAGTATTTAGAGTGTAATATCTACTGCTTCAGTAGCCATTTTAGTGGTTGAAAATGATCAAGAATTAATTAATACAGTAGTTTTAGTGATCCGCTCGAGTGTGCCATCCTCTCGACTGTAACCAAGTCACGTTAGTTAACTACTAGCCTCTGCTTACTAACCATTCACCCACTGCGTTATGGCGTTATGGGAGGAGCCTTGTCTGTGTACATATACCTAGAGACGTCCCCCCTCGCAATGCTCGTCCGTATTTGACTGTCTGGTTCTAGGTTGTGAGCAGAGACGTTCGATTAACCTCGGTGCGATGGATATTGAGGCGCAGCCACAAGAAACAAAAAATAGGAGGAGGCGCGGAGGGACACGCAGAAAGACAGGTATGAAGCATTCCCGGAGCCAAGCTTTCTGAGGACGGCCCGGACAAGCCACAGGCTAATCAGAGCGTCATTAGGATGGTTCGTATGCGATTCGGGGACGTGACTTTGACTGGGCATTTCATTGACTGACGATCTGTTTCGTAGCTTCACCTGCAAGGCACGACATACCCGATGCGACGAGAAGAAACCGGTTTGTAGCAACTGCGAACGGCTCGGGCTGGAATGCCGGGCGAGTGAATTCATAACCTATTCCCGCTGCTGTCCGACTGGTCAGAGCTCCGCGAGCCGCCGAGAGAGCTTCACTAGTGCCAATGGCCTACGTCTCGTGGATCATCAGACGCTTGATCCACCAACATCAACGTGGGATATCTTTCGCCTCGATCTACCGGGATTAAAAGGCTCTAGCAACTCTGCCAATAATACCTCCTCCGAATCCTCAGGACAATCTGCGACCCCAGCCACACCACTCCCGACCTACCAGCAGAAGACACCGTCGCCTTCTATACCTCTTACCCCACAGATGGTATACCTTCTCAATGAATACCGGAAAGGGCTCGCGAGGTGGATGGATATCTTTGATCATAATTGTACCTATCAACGGGAAATCCCCAGACGCGCATTGACGTCGGAGCTTCTTCTCTCCTGCATTTGCGCCTTTACTGCGAGACAGCTTAGTCTCTCGGCGTCTGGAGAAATCTGGACACCCGTCGCCACCAACTATTACGCGCAAGCCTTGAATCTGCTGATCAAACTATTGAACAGCCCTGCTTCTCAGGATAACACACTGAGCGCCGTCATGCTCTTGAGCAGTTATGAGGTCTTGGCGGCGCAAGGACAAGAACATCGCCGACACTATGAAGGCGCTATGAAGCTTATCTTTATGCAAGGGATTAGCGCACGATCCTTCGGGCTAGACCGAGCCAATTTCTGGATCTGGGTCCGGCATGAGATTTCGGTGTCCATCATCAATGAGTCCCCGTTGCAGATGAGTCCGAAGTATTGGAATGTCAGCTGGCGGGAAGGGGAGACAGAGGAGGATGCCTTGGGAAACCAGATATTGTGGTTGGTCGGCAGAGCGGTTGACTGGGTATATGGCAACGGGACGCTATCTGAATATTATGATCTCTTACGAGATACGGAGCATTGGTATGCGGGCTTATCTGAATCCTTTCGGGGGGTCAAGTATGGAGATCTGGTCGAAGATGGACTGTGCAAGGTGCATTTCTCTCTCCCCGCTGCTGGTAAGTCTCATCCATTTTACCCGGTTGAATGTTGCCTCCCAGGGGATTGTGTAGAGGTCGAAACCGTCCCGGCAATCTTTTCTAACACTTTTAGCTGCGGCAATCATTTGGTACCATCTTCTCCATATCCTCCTTTATGCCGAGCCTGTGCTCAAGGATGCGGCATACGCGACAAGTGTGAGTGCAACTCTTATAATGCAAGATTTGAGACTGATAGGGAGTAGGTTCAAGAACATGCCACGGAGATCATCAATATATCAATCTCCGATCTCCCTAACGAAGTGCGTTGCTTTTCTATAATTCCACTCTACTTCGGTAAGGTTTGTGGCGGGTCGGCAGATGTCAAGCAGCTAATCATCATACAGCGGGAAAGCACGTTGATAGCGTTATCAGGAAAACCAGAGTATGGGTTCTGCTGGGCAATATACAGAGCGAGCTTGGTTATAATACTCACAGTAGAGTAGAAGTGCTCCAACAACTTCTCGAGCCAACACATCACAGAGAATGGTATGACGCGAGCCCGTCTACTCTACCACCCGAGCAGCATTAAGAGAGGTGACCGACTGGGATACTAGAACCTTTAACGGATGGCTTGTCCTCCATCCTCCACGAATTGTTATCCCCGACCGACCCAAGGTACACGCCAAATAGCCTCATCATTTTGTCTTGCACCGGTTTGGCCTTTACGCTCAGAAGCTTTCCATACAGCGAAGATACCCCAACGTCCTTCGCATTTTCATATCTCGATGTATGGTCAAACTTCGTTGCCTTTTATGCCGCAGGTTGAGGCTGGGCGAATTTTTCTCTCTTCCAAACCTTGACAGGGCATTGAGTGGGCCACAGGTTGAACCATTCCTCGAATCGTAACTCCCAGTCCTTGCTGGGCAAAGCGAAATCATAGTTATGGACCAAAGTCCCAATGACACAGGCCTACCTCGATGTCAGCAAAAGGGTTACTGCGCGTTCTTCTGTTATCTTGCCTGGATTACGATCGAAACGTTACGACCCATGCACGTTCTGTATCCTGCACTAAATGGAATCCATGAAGCAAGCATGTCTTTCATCATCTCCGTGCCTCGGTTTTTAATCCATCGGTCGGGGTACCATTTTTCCGGGGCTGGAAAGACGGTGGGATCGCGGTGTGACGTGTATGCCGAAATGGAAATGTCTGTGTTCCCTGGCACTGGGACACTATCAACGACCATGCCTTCAGGTGGTGTGCGACGGATGAGATCCGTTGCTACTGGAGGATAAAGACGCATGGCTTCGTCAATGCAGGCTTTCAAATACGGCATGCTCTTGACTTGTTGCCAGGTAGCCACGGAGCGATGCGGGGGAAGACCAGCATCAAGCTCTTCTCGCAGCTTCTGGAATGTCCGGGGATCTTTGACGAGATTGTAAATCGTGGTTGCGACAGAGCCGCCGAGGGTAGCCGGGGGCGTCTATCGCGGCGCCAACTATAAGGTCAGCGAGCTGCAGAGATCCATCGACAACATATAAGCCTACCCATCTGCTCGATTTCTTTTGTGGTGGTTCGCATGTTAGCATTGTACTATTGCTGCCACACTTTCCATTGTGTTGCCGAGTGTTTAGTTCAAACAATATTTGTTTACTGTCGCTCAATTCCTACCTCGCAACAATTCTGACGTGATATAAACGGCTGGCATTGGAAATCACACTTACCAGCAATCCTATCCGGTGTACTGATATCTGGTTCATTACCGTCCTTGCCCTCCATCCACGGCATGAACAGGTCATCGAGCTTCTCCCCCTTCTTATGTCGGTCCATCCGCTCAAGAACGAGCTTCGTCGTCGCCGCGTGCCAGTCACCACCTCCTTTAAGGTTATATGCATATTCTTTGGATACCTTTCTCATTAACTTGACGCACATGGTGAAGTGCTTAGTATCCCAGATAACGTTGGCAGCCGCTCGGCCAGCACAATGAAGCGATTGGACAATGCTAACTTCCCGCTTGGTGCCATCGGAATCTTCAATCTCAATATTATTATTCCCCTTATCAAGCAGATGGAGATCCTTGCTCATCCCGATTTTGATCATGACCTCGCAGGCGTACGTGTAACCCCAATGCACTAAGTCAAGCTTGAGATCCTCCGGATCTGGCTGTTTGTATGGACCCATCGGCTTGGTACATCTGGTATCAATTGCCTTCATGAAATCTGCACAGGAGTCCAGCACCCACGACTCTTCCCAATGGCGCTGATGCTTGGGGGCGTAGTAATGAGCAACCATCGACCGGCGGAACTTATGGAGGCTCTTGTCGCCACCTCCGCCAGACAGCTGGTCATATATGGCGGATTTCTTGGCCGACGAGGTGAACCCGTAGATATCGCGGGCGGCGCGAGCATGACCGAAGGAGATCCAATTCGGACCAAGTCGGATGACCTTGTGGCCCTTGGTTGTGTGGTCCAGATACAGACGGCGGGAATGGATGATGGGGTGCTTCCGGCCTAGCTCCCAGCAATAGCCCAGCTTGGTAAAGACACAGTTCTGTGTTGGGTACTTACGGAGGCCTTTGGGGTCTTGCAGGTAGGCAATGACTCCGCGGAAGACGACAACGAAAGGGACTAGGACGATAGCGGCGGGGATAAGAAGGTATAGGTTTAGCATGATGTTGTTTCTTTAGATTCAATGAGTAGCTTCTACATTAACCAAATAAACGATAATTGACAGATGGTGCTGCTAATGAAAATGCTGTTCTTTTGGACGATATATATATCATCTAGATAATACCAAACTGATGCTATATCATATCTATAGAATCAGAGTAAGTTGTAGTTAAGCCGTCCGCATTGTCCATTACACGCGTGAATCTTGCAGCGTTGGGATCAATCCCACTTAGGGTTAATCATTCCCTGACCCGTAAAACTTTCCCATTTCGGATAACTACGCGCGAGAACCTTGCACCGTTGGGATCGCTCTGGCTCAGAGTTAATCATTCCTATATAACTTCCTCTTTCGGATATTTACACGCGTGTATATTATCTAGGCCCTTGTCTCACCTTAACAAAATATCATACACGCGTGTATCTATCTTAATGCTTGCCCAAGCGACATACAAGATCAATCAACAATGACGACGCATTGGGTGTCTTGGGTTTTTTTCTTTTTTCCACCTCTCGCAGTGATATATCTTTCGGGCCTCAGTCGTTCTTCCATCTCTTCAATATCCTCCTACTCCTGCTGTGATTCGGGATCCAGATTATCTGTCTCAACCGTAATATCCAAATCGTGTGTGACAATTTGCAAATGGATCAAGTTAGTGGCCGAGCACGAGCACCTTCGCTGCAGATGCCACCGAGGTATATCCTCGCCAGTATACTCACAGCCATGGGCGGATTCCTTCTTGGGTATGTGTGTACTTACATCCTGCCTATTTGACGCGGTCTCACTATCAATCAATTGACCTCATCTCACCCCTCACCACCATCTTCATATGAACAGGTCTAAGCTTAAGCTGACATGTATTCCTGTCTAGCATCGACACAAGCATCATCGGACCGGTAACAGTCATGCCAAGCTATGTCAGGTACTTCGGGTCCTTCTCATCTAGCGTGCATGGTATCATTGTCTCGTCGATCTTACTCTCGGCTTCTGTGATGAGTGTTATCGCTGGCCGGCCCGCTGATGTCTTCGGCCGTCCGCAAGGTATTGCGCTTGGTGCTGCAGTCTTTGGCGTTGGCGCTGCCCTCGAGGCTGGTGCGGTTAGGTTGGCGATGTTCATGGTGGGTAGAGTGATTGAGGGGATGGGGTTTGGGCTATATTTTGGGACGTTGACGGTGTAAGTTCTCTTCGTTCTCCCTCCTTTCCTTCCTGTGTCTCGTTGCTAGGGGGTAGATAAGGCTGATGGTGTGGGTTGTTAGGTATGTCTGTGAGATCTCCCCGCCTAGTATACGGGGACCCCTGACGACAGGTCCTCAGTTCATGATTTGTACTGGGCTTGTGGCCGGGTATTTCACCTGTTATGGGACCGCTAGGATCGAAGGGTCGATGTCCTGGCGGCTACCGTTTATTATTCTTGTGGGGTTATCGATTGCTTTTGTAACTAGTGTTTTGCTTTACCTTCCGCCATCACCGAGGTGGCTCCGCCTTCATGGACGGCATGCGGATGCCGAAGCCGCATGGGAGATTTTGGGGGTGAAACCGGAGGACCGTGAAAGAATCGAAGAGGATCTTGAAGAAGGTACCCGAGTGCGTGCTAGCGATGGCGGATCGACGTCTTCTCAGTCCCGGACTCGGGGGATTGAGAAGAAACAGGAAGAAGGTGGATTCTTCGACCTGTTTAAGAAAGATGTTCGAGGAAGGACGATGCTGGCCGTATTCCTGATGGGATTCTTGCAGCTGAGCGGTATCGACGCTGTGTTATATGTATGCACCCCTTCCTTTTCTGTATTTTGTTCCCCTGGATATACTAATATGAAGAAAAGTACGCACCTCTCCTCTTCCAACAAGCTGGCCTCACCAACGAAGAAGCCTCCTTCCTCGCCTCAGGCGTATCTGGCATCGTCCTAGTCGTAATCTCCGTACCTGCCCTCCTCCTAGCCGACAAATGGGGCCGCCGGACAAGCACCATAGTCGGCGGACTTGGGCTCACCATTACCATCCTGCTAATCGGCACTCTCTACGCAACAAACTCTGTCTACCCAGACCATGGTGCCGCACGCTGGATCGTGATCGTCTGCATATACCTATATTCCGCGTTCTTCGCCTCAACCTGGGCCGTAAGCATCAAAGTCTTCGCGCCAGAAATCCAACCCCAACATACGCGCGCCAAAGCAACCGCCCTAGCGCACGGGTTGAACTGGGTCTGTAACTGGTTCGTGGCGTTTATCTGTCCAATCCTATTGGCGAAGAATAGCTCTGCAGCGTACTTCTTGTTTGGGGGGTGTTGTGCTTTGACGACGATTGTGTGCTTCTTCTTTATGATTGAGACGAAGGGGAAGAGTTTGGATGAGATTGTGAGAGCCTTTACTTTAAAAAATAATGAGGATGAGGGGATAGGGTTGAAGATGGGGAAGGCGATCTTGAGGGTGTTTCGGTTTGGCGGGGAGATAGATCATGTCCTAGACTCTGTGGATGTTGTTGAAGAGAAGAAGTTTTAATTAACTGATATTTACACGACACGTCTAAAAAGAGTCAGCTGGAGAAACCTCGATGAATATCTACATATAAAAGTTTCAGACCTCTTTACCAACCCTATTCTCTTAATGTTATTCAAAATTAGCAACATGTACTGATACAGATAGTTCCCCGTCGTACTTTGGAATTATTGCTCGCGTGACGAATGCATTGAGGAATCAGCAACGATGGCAACTCGCGCTTCTGGCGTGTATTTTGTCTATATCACCGAGACAAAACCCAGCGGGCTTTTGATTTCTTGCAGAGTAGCACTCCAGTAAATGCCGGATCCTTAAATGACGGCAAAAGGCGCACAGAGATTAACTGCTAGTGGTGTCTGTTGATGAATACCTGGTACGGTAATCATAACATGCGTATTGAAAGAGATCACAATCTTCAACAGAAGAGGAGTCTCTTGCTATATCACATAACTCGCAGGCAACCCGATCGGGAGTCATCCTTCTGCATTGGGGCATTGGTAGATATCTTCAGGGCCAATCCGGGGAGTGAGTTAACCTTGTGCTGCTTGGGCTCTCTAGTGATAGGCTCGTGGCATTGGCTTAGGATAAGGATAACTTGCTGCGGGCAGGTTTACGCAGGGGAGTAAATAGCTAACTAAGGCATAAGAATTAAAGAGATGGATTAAATAGACATCTCGTTTTAATCTAATTTTTGTATGTGAGTGGTATTTACTAGCTTGGCTTCTGTGCCAGTGCCCTTTGTTATGGCAGGCTTATGTTCCGCTCTATCAGATGGTGCACCCTTTCGAGGTCAATCAGTAGCCCGTACAGTTCACCCGTAACTAATAAACAGGTTTCCAAGGATTGGCTGAAATATCTCTTGCAAATATTACCATGTATGATTCTGTACTACCATTAGTGCATAATTGATTTCCCCGATGGGGCAAAGCAAACTAGCAACTAATACGGGCATCCTCCACCGAGAGATGGATACCACGTGACTTTGTTTGCATGGTTTGTACTTCCTTATTTACTTCTTCGCTCACTAATTACTTTCCTCCTTTCCCCACGCTTGAAATTCTTGTTAAGATAGCACCAATTTGACTAAGTTGTTCGGCCATCACACACAGTCGCTTCTTAATTAGTATAAGTAAATGTACAAAATAAGGCTAGGTACGTGGCCGATACACATCCACTTCCACATTGTTAGATAAATAGTATAGTAAGTGGCGTGGCCATTATATTAGCTGCTACTGATGTTGTTGTAACTATAGGAAAGGCCATTTTCACCCCAAACACTAGCTTATTAGTGGGTTACTTATGACCCTGTGAAAATTGTAGTTAGTAATAACTAGTCTGGTATATAGGATGGTTAAGCAATTATGGAAGTATTGAAAGCGAAGCGAGAGTCATATTGCTCACAGGCTCGATTTTAGAGCCATCAAACCAGCATCTCTAGTTGCCTCGGATTTCGACGATACTAGGTGGATGGTCACATGCATCACGCTTAGAAATCTTCTGAAACTCGTCACTTCACACTTGAATCATCAATCCAACGTCCTTCCTTCCAGAGTCAACCCGTTCTCTCATCGCAAATTCCTGCAGCACAGGCGAAATGCTCACATATCATGAATATCCGATAGCTCGCAGTGTACTTGAGGAGATCCCATATCCGTGAACCCTCAGAACCATATCTTCGCAGTCGTTCTCTCCTGCAGATTCGGTCGGTTGAAATACAAAGTATGAAGCCATGGAATCTGTCATAGAGTCGTCCATGGAACAGCCTGCTGGTTAGTCATGCTACCCAGGAACTCGCGACGGACGATGAACTGCTGCATTGTGCCCAATTGGCAAAGGATGCACTGCACAGTCTCCCCGCAGGACATGCATGAAGCTAGGTTCGTCAGCCATATTCTCATTCCTCTGCGATGTTTATTCTGAAGACATATCCTTCTCTGGATAGGACTTTCAGCTTTCCAACATCGCTATCATGCACATCTTCCCGGCGCTTTCTCTCCGCATCTTTGCAGCGGCACAGCTCCATCCGGATCTTTGGATTATGGACAACGAGGTCCGCCAGCTCTGACTATGTGATTGTCGGAGGGGGCACTGCCGAGCTGACGATAGCCAGTCGACTAGCCCTGAGCCCACCATCGAACCTGAGCATCACCGTCGTTGAGGTGGGAGGTTTCTACGAGATCGACGGGGGGAATAGCTCCATCATACCGGGATACGCGGTTTATATTCCGGAACTGACCCCCGAGACTATCAGCCGCTGATAGACTGGGGATTCAATACCACCCTCAACCTGGGGCAGCTCCGCGAGGAACTACATGGTCTATCACTGATCCACGGCTGGGGCTCTGCAGAAATGGGCCGACGAGGTGGACGACCCAGCTTCACCTGGGACCGCATACTGCTGTACTACAAGCTACAAGAAGTCCACCCACTACACGCCTCCAACCTGGCTCTGTACTTCAACGTCTCCTATACCCAAACCCCGGACGCCTTTCATCTCCCCAGAGGCCCTCTCCAGGTGTCCTTTAGCAACGCCGTCTTCTGCCACCTGGATTCGTCACGCTTGATGGCTGTCGGCATGTGCGAAATCGACGGCTTCAACAGCGGCAAGCTGCTAGGCTGCGCGTTTGGCACCCAGACAATCAAGCCAGAGAATGCCGATCGGTCATCGCCCTAGCCCAGCTTTCTTCAATCGCCTCTAAACCATGACTCTACCCCGGTCGTGTACAAGAACACGCCAGCGCAGAAGATCCTAGTCGACGACAACAAGGTGACCATCGGCATACAGGTCGCCACGGCCCTCACCTTCAGCACTCACCCGGTGGATTTTACCCTCCACGCTCGCAAGGAGGTGACCCTATCCATCGGGGCCTTCCTACCCCCCGGCTGTTGATGGTGTCGGGAATCGGCTGTTGTGACGAGCTGGCCGAGTTCGACATCCCTTGCATCGGCGACTTACCGGGCGTGGGCAAGAACCTGCAAGACCCCGTCATGTTCGGCACCTCGCACCGAATACACCTGGAGACCGCGTCCACCCCGGCCAACAACCAGACTGCTGCCGCGCTCAACATGACAGTACCTTCAGACCGCGTGAGGACCGCTGTCCCTGGCGAGTGCAAAACTACTATGGATGGAAGAATCTGCCGGAACCCTACCGCTCGCAGCTGTCCCAGCCGGCCCGGGACGCGCTGTGGGACTTCCCAGACCACTGGCCGGAGATCAAATGGCTGCCATAAATGGGTCCAGCAAAGCCACCTTCAGGGGCATAGATCCGATGGATGGCCACAACTGGGCTTCCATCACCGTCGTTGCGCTGTTATCTGGCGGCATCATCTCCCTGGCCAGTCTGACATGAACACCCTTCTCTGGGTGGATCCGCAGTGGCTGATAGATCCGACGAACCTGGAACTGGGGGCAAGTTTCAAGCGCATCCGTAAGATCTGGAGCAATTTGGCGGACTCGGGCATTGCGGATTCCCCAAGAGTGCTATCCCGACAGGAATGTCTGCACCAACGAGCAAATCCGCCAGTTCATCGTCGACAGCCAGGCCCGGGTCTATGGCGTAGAGAGCCTGCGCGTAGTGGGTACCAACATCTTCCCGTTCCTGGTCCCTGGACATCCGCAGGTGACGTTCTATGCTCTGGCGAAGATCGTGGATGCAATACTAGAATAGGACTACTAATATGATTCTGCACGCAGAGAATACCATCGATCACCGTACGTAGAGACTTCATGAGTAGCCACGGCCAGTCGAATCCAATCGAATTATAGAGTACAATATGCAGTTAATCTATCAGTACAAGCCATCTCAACCCAGAGTAGACAAAATACACCCTGAACATCCAAAACACACACAAAGGGAAAAAGACCTAAACATCCTTATTCAACCCCGCATCCTCAACGACCACCGCGCCTTCACTCAACAACTCCTCTGTCGTCTTTACCTTCACATCCATAACCTTGAGAATCGTATACCGATGCTTACTCATGACCTTACGCACATGACGTTGTCTCCTCTTCGTCTTCTCCTTGATCCTCAAAGGCTCCGCCTCGGTACCCATCACTCTTACCCGACACTCAAACAGCCGTTCATCGAGATACGGTGCCCCTCGCATCGTGAATTCGCGCGACCCCAACACACTCGCCCGGTTCAACCGCACCACGTCCCCTGGTTTCACTTTGGGCATCAAAAAAGGCAGCCGGAGCTGATCGCCCACCGTGAGGAGGTACGGTCGGTCGTGCACGTGCGCCGTGATATAGTGCGGCCGTTGGCCCGTCAGATGCGGCAGCTTTTCAAACAGTGATCGACTGACTTGAAGCGGTGTCGTGAATGTCGGCGGAATTGGTTTTTTGGTTTCGAAGAGCTCGGGGGTGGTTGGGGTTCGGGGTGGTGACGTGGTGGTAGTAGTAGATGGAATGTTTGCCGTTGCATTTGCAGCAGTATTTGTTGTGGCTGTGATGGTGCGTAGGTTCAGATTCAGTTTGGTGGGAAGTTGGGATGTGATCGTGGTGCTGCGCAGATGCCCGACAGGCCCGACGAAGGCTCTAGTTAGCGCACTGTGGGAGAACATGGTTGGCAATGTGTAGTTGTCAATGTGGTGCAGATAGCGGTGTCAATTGGAGGGTGGTCCCTCACTCCTGTCGAGAGAGTCCGGAGGCAGCACCAGGTTGCTTATTCGTGCTGATGAAGTGATTCGATTCGGGAAGAAATTCCAGACGGTGTCACGTGTTGTGGCTGTTGTGGCGGTGCATTTTCATGCCTGAGGCATAAATGAATTCCAACATATGAGGCAGATCAGAGGCTACAGAATCTAATACTGAGAATGGGATATTCATATGACTATCTCCAATATACCCCCAAATGCCCACGCTGACAAACAGCTCCAATGCAAGTTGGACAAAGAAGATATCCACATGCAACGCTCAAACGCGTCCACAAAACGCCAAATCCCTATAGCCCAAAAAAAGTAATGTATAGATCCAAGAAAGAAAACATCATACAAAAGAAAACCAATCCAGGTGGCTGGGACTTGAACGCCGGTTCGTCGGATCATCCAGGATATCAAACGCAGAATCAAACCAAAATAAGAACAAAGGAAATCATGATGAGTCCAGTATCGTCAGGTATTTTCTTCCATGGCCGCCTTGATTTTGGCGAAGAATCCTGCCGGCCATGCGGCCAATTCTTCATCTCTTGGTACGCCTCGCACCCGGCAGTGGTTCACCACATTGACCAGGATTCGGTTGAGCATTTCCTGCGTGATTGGAACGGCCCCTTCCAGCTGGACATCCGGATATAAGAACGGGTCTCGGTCGCCGAGGAGTTCGTCCACGGTCGGTCGCAACGTCTGGTCTCGCTGCAAGCATCGTTTCAACGTCCGCACCAATCCAGGCGGCACAAGAACTCCGCCGACCCCGAACGCTGGGAATTCGATCTTCACGTTAGGATTCGGAATCGCCAGTATGCGCTCGTAATATTTGACAATCTTCGCAAACGGAGGGTGGCCGTACACCATCTTGTAGAGGATACAGCCCAAACTCCACACATCACTGGGCTTCCCCAGCTTCATCACCTTTCCCACGCTGGCGGGCAGTCCGAGCGACGCGTTCGAGTCAATCAAAGCCTCCGGGGACATGTAATTAGGGGTCCCAACCTGTTGTTCGCGATGCACATTCACGGTATTGTCCTGGATGGCATTCGCAATGCCAAAGTCGATCAGTTTGAGTCGCCCCTGGACCAGGAGGAAGTTGGCCGGCTTCAAGTCCGAATGCACGATGTTATATTTGTGCACCGCCTGGACACACTCCAACATCTCCTTCCAGTAGTATCGAGTGAAATTCATGTCGAAGACAGCGTCCTCCGCATTCAACCGGTAGGTGAGAATCTTCTCCAAGTCTGACTCCCCGATCTCCATGAGGACGCTGAGCGTATGCTTGTCCGAGTTCAGTTCCCAGTCAAACAAACGCACGACGCGGTCGAGATTTTCGAGTTTCTTCAGCAAGTCAATCTCGCCCTTGTAGCCGGCTAGGGTCACCGGGTCGACGTCCTCCAGGTTCACCTTCTTCAGCGCAAATATCTTGTAGTTCTCTGCCATGACTCGGTAAACCCGTGAACTTCCCCCACGGCCAATGCAGTCCAGCCGCGTGAAAGCCTTGTGGTTGATCAATACTTGGTTGCGCTTCTTGCGCGATTGAGATGCCGTGGCCGCTCCTCCTGTCGCCGTCGCAGTCTCAAGGACGGACATTTTCGGCGGAGGCGGGGCCGGCCTATGGGGAGTGTTACTGCTTCTGGTCGCCAGGATTTTTCTTGGGGAGTTTCCTGCTGGCGTTTCCATATTATCCTTCTTATTTTCGCCATAGACGACGGCGAGTTTCTCTGGTTTATCAAGCATGTTGAAGCCCTGCGGCTTGACGCGCCTAAACGTTGGTGGTGGCTCATTTTCCTGGTCGCGAGCAGCAGGCAGTGTGGGTGGAGGGGGAACATTAAAGACGGGTTGTTGTTGCTGCTGCTGTGGTTCTTTTCCGCTGGAAGGATTGGACGACACCTCAGAAGAGGAACCCGGTGTCATCTTCGAATGTGAACCATAGGATCTGGGCGATGATGATCTAGGGTACAAGGCATTGCCGGATGAAGTCCCAATTGGCCCCGGCCTAGATCCATCCTCTCTCCGCTGATGGCTGGTGTCTGCCCATGAGACTTTGGGGGATGAAGATCTCGCTGTATTCTTGTACTTATACTCGTCGTTGTGGTCGTTTGGATATAGCTCTGACTCCTTTGCTCCATGCATGGCTAGATGGTTTTGCGGGTCATCGTTCTCCTCGCTTTGCCGTCGCAGGACACCTCTCCGCGCCGGCCCATTGAGGAATGTCCCCGTTAGTCTTCCGACCCTTTTCACGCGTAACGAGCTCTGCATGCCCAGGTCTTCTACGTTGCGGGCGCGGAGCACCGACGATGCACCACCGATGCGAGGAGCGTATTCATCTTCGTACCGAATCCTACTCTCCCCTTCAGATCGTTCCGCACTGCTCTGTTCATCTGCAAAGCTTCTTTCCGTTGATCTTTTTTGAGAAGGTGATATCGATGTCGGGGACCGTGTTTGACTTCGCGACCCGTTGATGCGGACGCTGCGATGTCGAGGAGCCGGCGTAATGAAGTCGTCCGAGTGCTTTAGCGGTCCGACATCGGCTCCTGCACTTTCGCTATTGGATAGAAGCGATCCTTCCCGCCGGGGTTTTGTACTGCTGGACAGGCCCGGCGATATGCGAACGACTCGAGGCGCCGGACTCCCATTCGATCGGTCTTGCGGAGAAGTTGTCCTAGACCGTCTCTCTTGGCTTGTCGCCGAGGCCGCACGGTCGGTTGTATGATAATTTCCTTGTTTGTCACTACTGTGACGAGGGGACGAATCCAAGCCGTCTTCGTCGAGGAGTGCTTTCACAGAGGCACTGAACTTCGGTTCTGGAACCTCGTCATCGGAACTGTCGCCGGCCGAGTATCGCTTGGAGAGGGGCACGCCATTGCTTCGAATTGCCGCCAAGTTTTGAATTTCCGGAGAATTGCGCCTGGAGCCGGAACGAGAGATCGAGGAGGCGCGGGACGTTTGCCGGGAGGATGGCTGGCGACGCAGGCCGCTAGTATAAACGGCAGAAAGAGAATCCGGGGAAGCCATCGTTCACGGTTCGGATAGAGACCATATGGACGTGTCCGCCACTGCGTCGGTCCCAATTCCCAACCTGTAAGGAGAGGGCTGGTTGTCGGGGGGTTAGTTGTCGGTTGTTGAGTGCAGTTCATTCAAGGCAAGAATCAACATCGCGGGAGGCTGGGAGGATTGCGGTCACGTGGGGCAGCGGTTGCTGGGGCAATCAGGAATAACAACAGGCGAGATAATGAAGACTCCATCAATAGTTGACTACTTACATAGTGATCAATTATCTCGGTGGCTATTTTGATCTCTCCCTGTGTTTTGATTGTTTCCAGCTGGTGGGGTGGTATAGCGTTCTGGACGATGTGTTGATACATGAAGACGTCGTTCTATATACGAATCCGAGATGTATATATATCAGTCAGACTATCAGAATAACCCAAGATTTGCCTTAGGGGATGGAACCCCCCCCCCCCAAAAAAGATAATCTAAACTCAAATAGCATTTATTTAACATCAGAAGTGTTGTCTGAAGTATTCAGTTCTATTGGATGCATGGATGGGATTCTCTGACAGACATATCCGAACTGTTTCACAGCTTAAAGTTACCAAAGTATACAGCTGGGGGAGTTACATCATATCCACATTCGCTGTTCAGCTTATCTTAACGACATTCTTGACCCTATGTTTGTCTACCAGGCAATGGGATGATTACACTAGGGGCATACTTCTTGTGTGTTGCATCAAAGACCTTATTCTGTCGATGTACCGTTTGGAGGGAGCACATGACCAGGGAGCTATTTAATAACATCTGTCTATAACTAAGCAAGGAATTTTCTACCAGCACCCAGTAAAGCCGGACCAGTACGGAAACGGTTTACCGTGCATGCAGCACTTGAGGCAATATCAGCCAATGCTTGCAATAGAGGGAGCCGGGTGTTCCGGAATCCCTCGGCATCGTCGACTGAATGGAAGATGTTAAGACATCCATTCCCACTGTTATCTATGACTAACAGACTCGTCACTGGCCAGACACCTGACCACACCTGACCGCCACTCACCTGCCCAATCCGTCGCCGTCGTTGTAATTTCCAGTTCTCATCATCAACAACATCACCATTACTATTCATGGAGTCGATGACCTATTTTCGAGTCTGTCGAGGTACATCCAATAAAATGCCCCGAATCTTGGACCGAAACACTGGCTAACTCTATTTCCATATCCACTCGTCATTTTTTCGCTAGTTGAGTTCTCAATTTAGAGATCGCGAAACCTAGTGTCGAGCCACCAGTCCTTTCTCCGTAGGGCTATTTCCGCTGTTCCAAAGTTTGCAAATTTCCCCCGCTCATTCTGATCTATAGGTGACATTCCCCTGATGCTTTATCGGTTGAAGTGGGCAGCTTAGGTAGCCTAGGCCACTCATAGCCGAGTGGAGCTGCAGGAACCATGGCTCCCAAGGTGGCTGATTAACCCGTAGTCAGGAACGGATCTCCATGTTCCTGGTTCCTGAATACCAACTACTTTGTACGGCTAGAGACTATGGGATGAACAACCCCTGTGATGTGCACGTTTGGAATCTGGGCTCTGAGCGATTGTGCACGTTCCGATTGCTGGTTAGCGACACGGCTGGGTGGCCCCATCCGTCCCATCGTTGACTAGAGGAGTCAGAACCATTACGGAGTAGACTACTGGACTAGCCCTAGTCTTGTGCGGTGGGTTAAGGACTCGATGATGGCTTCTTCCGTCTTTCGTCCCTGACTAACTAGTTAGGGACGATGCATCCACACATCCTGGTCTCCTTTTCCACTCAAACCCCCTGTTTTTCCACTCTAGGCCTTTAGTGTCCGTGTCAACTCAAGAGGGTAAAAAGTAGACCGGGGTTTCATCTTGCCGAGGAAAAACCCAAGCCTTGTTGATTGAAGACCTGAAGCAGGGTGTTCGTCCTTGGGAAATTACAATTTCTATATTTGGAATATTCTGGTCTGTCTCTCCATGATGCCGTCGATCATGACAACTCCTTGTTTATACAGTATGGGTGCAGAGAAATGCCGCCACCATGGGGATGTGCTAGTTTCTTTTGGGGAAACATAAACTTTGCACAAATTCGGAGATATTTCGATTACCAACGTTCGGCGAACGAGTCGCCCCAATCTTCCGTTTTTTTATCCCTTTTTCTTTTTCTTTTCTCCCCGGGCTGACTAGGGTGAATTTTTATTCATCTAATGCCCGCACTACACAGTATACACACCCAGAAAGCAGCCAAGGACCAGGATCAAAGAAAAAAAAAAAAAAAAAAAAAAAAAAAAAAAAAAAAAAGCCTACTCTATCACAAAGCTCGTGTTTCATCATGTGTTCACTCCAGGGGAAGCCCTCTCTGGGCATATACGTAGGGACAAAACACCGGACTTGATGATCTTCCATGGGTCGACTCGGCGTCAGACCGATCTCTGTGATTATCCAGGGTTCTTGCCTCGTACGCACTGCCAGGCGTTTTCTTCTATTGGCCCATAAGCTTCCCAAGCCACGATCATTGCAGTTGGCAGACCGTCCCCTGGATGTACTCTGTAGTGTGGCTTATTTGGAGTTCAACGAGGCTATTATTCCTTGCGGACCTCGCACAAATGCATTGAAACGTCCAAAGGGTGCATGGACTTCTTGGACAAAGGACTAGACAGGGTAATGCTTCCTTTCAGCCCTTGTGAGGTTGTTTCTATTCTGTATGGAGTAGAGTATTCTTGCAGGTTGACCAAGGGAAACTACTAGCTTGGGACCCATGAGTGACCCGCAGCAGTCGGAACCCATGCCTTCGCAGAGGCAAGCCCCGTCGCTTGAAATAGAATTTATTCCCATCTGGTTTGGTCTGTTTCGAAAGTTTCCACCATCAATGGTAGCTCGCTATCATTTGCCTTTACATTTTCCACTGGCAGCTTGTGATCCACCCGGCTAGGTTGGCTCTGAAGATCCTGGTCCTCGATCGCAGAAGGCCCCTCTGCTCCAATCGCGGAATGCAGAGGGACTTAGGGAGACTTGATGACTCCATCGCACGAAGCTAGTGGGTACGGAGCCAGAAACTCTACTCTCAGGGGTATATAAACCTCGACGAAGATCAGCTCTTCCGACAGTCATTCAAGCACTTGTCAATCGCTTCAATTTGTCTCATCCTTTAGGAGGACTTGTCGCTCTCTTTTTGTCTCTTTTTCTACGATCATTTTCACCAGTCTGTCTTTAACCAACTTGGCTGTTTACAGCCAGTGATAACCTTCTTTTGCCTCTTTCAAGTTCACACGTCATTCTCTGATCTTGTTGACTTGCATTTCCTTTACATCCACACACAATGCGTTCTAACAATCTTCTCTTGCTCGCCAGTTTGGCGAGCTACGGTCTCTCCCTCCCCACCGCAGAACTGGAAGCTCGTACCTTCGGCCTTATCCCCGGTATGGTGCCCGGGGTCGCCCAGGATCTGACTGATCTCGTTGGTTCCCTGCTCGGTGAGGGTGGTAGCACCACAGCAACTGTCCTTTCGGGTATCAGCGCTCAGGCAGCGGCAGCCCTGCAAGGTGGTGCTTTGGGGTGCAAGGCTGGTGCCATTCATGTCGATGCCCGCGCAGAATTGGCCGCGTGGGTTCGCGCTCATGCCGACCTTCACCTCGAGGGGCAGTTGAAGACCTCGCTCCTGGACTGGTGTGACGGCGACGACTCTGCTACCCTGTCCGTTGGCACCTGCGCCGGCCTCTCCTTGTTTATCCCTACTTGCGCCGATATTGCCGCCAAGGGTGATCTGTTCGTCACCATCGACGGTATCTTCTCCACTGCCGAGCTTGCTCTCGAGGTGGTTCTCAATGCCTCTGCTCAGGCCAACCTGATGGCATTCATTAAGAGCTCCATTGAATTCTCCCTTGATCCTAAGATCAAGGCTGGTCTCGGCCTCTGTGCTGGTGGTGGTGTGGCCACCGACCTGTCTGCGGAAGTCAAGGCTTCCCTGAAGGCTTGGCTCCAGAGCTCTGATTGCTCTCTAACTGCTTCGTTGAAGGCCTCTGTGATTGCCTGGTTGGAGGGCAAGCTTGAAGGCGACGTTGTCCAGATCGGCTCTCTGCCCACCGGTGGTGTCACCTCTATCTCCGCCGGTGCCGCTGTCGGAGCCCTCGTTGAGGAAAGCGGCGTCCTCGCCGCGAGTGCTAAGGCTTCTCTCGCTGCCTTCCTCGAGTCCGAAATTGCCGTTGACATCGAAGCCGACATCAAAGCTGCCCTGGAGGGTTGTATCAAGGGAGATCTGGCTACGAGTCTCAGCATTGAGGTCCGTACCTCTCTCGCGAAATGGCTCTCCGGTTCCAGCTGTCGTCTTGGAGCTGAACTCAAGTCTGTCCTGCTCTTCTGGCTCTCTTTCGCGGTTTCCGGCGATGTGTCCATTGATGTAAACACTGGAATCATCGGCGAGCTTACCTCCTTCATCAGCGGCACAGTCGAAACTATCTTTGGTGGTGCCATTCGTGGTATTATTTCACTCCTCACTTCCGGCGAGAGCCTTGTCTCCCTCTCCATCGAGGCTCGTGCCCAGCTCGCTGCTGTCTGCGGTGGTGCCGCTAGCGTTGAGATTGACGCCAACATCCAGCTCATCCTTATTGGATTCATCAGCGGCTGCGACATCGGTGCCGGCACCATCCCCAAACCCGGCTCTTCTTCGTCGACCGTCCCCAGCATCCCTGCTTCTACTCCTTCAGTTCCTGCTATCACTGGTACTCCCTCCACCAGCACTACTCCTACTGGCACTGTTCCCAGCGGCGGTGTCCCTACTGGTTCTACCGGCAAGTCTACTTCAAAGGGCCCTGCTCCTACTAGCGGCTCGACTGGCGGCTCTGAGGGTGGCTCTACAGGCGGCTCTACCGGCGGCTCAACTGGTGGCTCTGAAGGTGGCTCTGAGGGTGGCTCTACTGGCGGCTCTACCGGCGGCTCGACTGGTGGCTCTGAAGGTGGCTCTGAGGGTGGCTCTACCGGCGGCTCGACTGGTGGCTCTGAAGGTGGCTCTACCGGCGGATCGACTGGTGGCTCTGAGGGTGACTCTACTGGCGGTTCGACTGGTGGATCTACTGGTGGCTCTGAGAGTGGCTCTACTGGTGGCTCTACTGGCGGTTCGACTGGTGGATCTACTGGTGGCTCTACCGGTGGCTCTGAGGGTGGCTCTGAAGGCGGCTCTGAAGGTCCCGCTCCTACTCCCTGTGACACCATCACCTCTCAGGTCGTCGTGCCTGTCGCCACTAAGACCGCTCCTGCTGAGAATCCCAAGGGCCCCTCTGAGACTGGTCCTTCCACCCCTGAGACTCCCGACGCTCCTTGCGACTGCGATACCGATTCTCCCGCCCCCAACGATACTACTGGTGACTCCCCGAAGATCACCGCCGCTCCGGTTCCTGGCTCCAGCTCTGGCCCCAAGGTGGTCACCATCACCACCACCGTCAGCGTCTACGCCTGCGAGTAAACTTGTCAGGTGGATCAGGAAAGTTATGACGATGGCAATGGCAGAAATGGTGAATGTACCTGTACATAACTAATTTTAATTCTAATTCTTCCGAACGGGTTCCGACAAATCTTTTTGTGCGAAAGAGCCAACCTCAATCCTCGGAGCGCGAGTTCGCTGAGAACAATGTACTGTATATTATACCAGGTTTATCTGAACCCTTTTAATACAGTACATTCTTTATTTTGACATACAGGTGGACTTCAGAAACAGATGTACAGTACTAGGATGGGATATTTAATTTGATATTAGAGGGCTCTATTTTTCCAGTTAAAAAAGTCGCCGCAATGTATCTCTGTACTCATACTGATAGGTCTATAAAAAATAAAAAATAAAGTTAAAAAAAAAAATCAAAAAAAGGTTAGAAAAACAACGGCTCAAAAACCAGGCAACTATGTATAACATCCATTAGAAATAATCATTGGTGTCGATCCCAGTAACGACTCACGCGATTGACGTGTGCAAGAATGACCTTGACTAAAGCCGGCGATTATATCTTCGGCCTATTGAACTCTAATTAGTGGAAGTTTGGACTTTTGGGTTTGGGGATTCAGCTATGGTAGACTAGACCCGACTAAGGACGTAGTGGCTTGTATGCTGATGAATGAGTGAATTAATCAATCAATTAATCCGTCTGGTCTATTTATTTGGTACAATAGCTTGAACGCATAGACTGCTCCTTTTTATACGACATAATAGATAGTATGTAGATAGAAAACGGTGTCTTCATTTTGGGAACATCCATTTACTAGGCATTAGGTAATTTTTCGTGCTCATTCAATTCATTGATGTGTCAATTTTGGTTCGTTCATTCAAGTGAGGTATTCATTTCATCAAGCTATTGCTGCTGTCCCCCTCCTCCTATTATTGTAGTAACTTCGATGACTTTGAGTGGCTACCTACCTAGTGGTCATTTGTGGTTCGTCGCATGGCAACCAACTTTTCGCGAAGGAGTTTCTCGCGGATTTCTGTGCTGGGAATACGTGCACGAGGTCGAGTAGAGGAAGGAACGATCTGTGATTCATTCTGTCAGTCTTGGAACTTCTGCGTCAGGGGTTGAGTGGTCGTTGCGACGACATCATGGTCATACAGAATCAACCTTTTGCGTGTAGCAGAATGAACACCTGAAATTATTCACCCACCTCTTCAGTATCCTTGTTTCGATTGGTTGAGCTTGGTTTCCCTGGTGGCGGCGACGACCCTCGTGCATCTTCCTGATCAGTCATCCTCTGTCGTTTATCACCACGGATGGATAAAGAAGAGGTATTACGCCGTCTCCGGGCGGCAGGGGCATATCTTTCTATGGAGCGACGCCGCTTCCTGTCCCTGCCGTGGCTGTTGCTGCGACTGCGAGAGTCTCGACGTCTGGGGCTGAAACTGTCGCTGCGAGAACGGCCTCGGCTGAGACTCCTACTTCGGGAGTGTCGGCGCCTACCGTGGTTGTCGCGCTCTCTGCTGCGACTCAAACGGTGATCGTCACGGGATTTGCGGGCCTTCGCAAAATTAGCGGTGCTTTCTCTCTTATCGGCTCTTGAGGAATGCGGCGAAGATCTCCTTCGTCGCGCGTCCCTATCCTGCGATCCTCGCGACCTCGAACGCGATGAACTGAGAGAAACGGATCTCGGTCTCCTTCGGTCTCTTCTGGGACTACGTGAGCGCGATGAATCACTGCGGGAATTGGATCTAGCTCGATCACCGTAAACCGGACTGCGCCTTCGCGGCCTTCTGCGATCCCCCCTGTCTGGGGAGACGGAGTTGCTCCCCGATCGACGGCGCCTGTTCCTGTCCCTGCTTGCATTGCGTTGTCGATGAGGTGACCGAGATGCAGAAGCCGGTCGAGAGCGAGAGCGAGAGAGAGAGCGATTTGGTGATCTCGAAGGGTGACGGCCTCGGCGGGAACCTGAGGGGACGTACGAATCGAACTCCCGTCGAGACGGAAGGTCTCGAAAACGGTCACGACTGTGTCTCCTGGGCGGAGACCGACGTCTATCAAAGTCGCGACCTCCGCGGCCCCCACCTCTTCTACCTCCTCGAGGGCGCTCGTTTCGCTCTCGCCTCCGGAGCTGTTCCAACTCCCGCTCTCGTGCCCGCTCCTGCTCTTTCTGTCGACGAGCTTCTTCAGCGGCTCTTTCTGCCTCGATCTGCGAGGGAACTTCGTCAGGAGCTGGAAAAAAAGCAACGATCTCGGCAGGGCATACCTTTTCCTGGATGAGTTCCAACTTTTTAGCTTCCAAGAGCTCCTTCGGCACGCCTTGGGCGTTTTCCTGTGCACTGAGGCATAGAGACCATAACTCCTTGCAAAACCTAGCAGTGTCCTTGTCCAGAAAACCCGTAAGCTGAATCTGTAGAGACTTAATGTCCGGCTAGAAGCAGATTAGTCTTAATAGTCCGACATCACAGAAGAGACAAATTCCATGTAAGACATACAAAGCGAGAACCCTCAAGCAGATTGAAGCACAACTCAATCACGACGTCATCTTCATTTCCAAGAATCTCCGAGATTTTACCCGCAATCCACCTATATTATCAGAAATAAGCTCCCTCGAATGCTTCCCACTGTAGCCACTCACTTCTTCATCACCTCGATATTGACCTTGGTCATATCCACCTTCCGATTAAACTCGGGAGGGAACTTGGTCTGCTTTAAGAGCTTGGCATCCACGTTGTTCGCCATCCTTGCGAGTCCTGGGAGGAAAAGGGGCGGGGCGGGCGGGGGAGAGTTCCTGCAAGAGTCGAGACGCGTAAAGCTGCAGTTCCTCGTCTGGATTGTTCGAATCGCCGCGAGGCAGCGCAGGTGGCACATGACGCCGCCCGGAGCCCGGTAGAACTGTCGGCCCGGCTTCGATGGGGAAAGCTTCAATGTTGCCTGTTTGGGACATCTTCATGCCTTGATATCTTTTCTGTGGCTGACCCGTCTGAAATACGACCCACGTAGATAGCGGAAAATACAGGACTACATTCGCCCAAGAGTATACGGAAATCAATCAAAAACACACCGACAACGCCGTGATCCCAAGTTCCTGCACCCGCCATACTGGATGAATCGTAAAAAAGTAGTAACATTACTGACCGAAATTCCAAATCCAATTCCAATCTACTGCACCAAGTCTCGCAATACATGATCCACCCAGTCCCTAGCACGCGAGAGTTCCTCATCCACGCGTCCATCCACATGTCGCAACTTGAACCCGTGATGCAACTCGACGATCTCCTTCGCTCGTCGGAGATCCTCACGGGCCGTTCTCTCTGAACGCTGTTGCGGCAGGGTTCTATCTGAATCCACATCTGCATCCGCAGGGACTTCAGAAGTAAGCCGTGATGCAGCTACTCGTTCATTAACGGTGACCATCGCCAGAGCATCGTGGTGGTCCTGTTCTCTGTCAGTGGACTGATTAGCCAGATAGATAGACAGTCAGGTAAGTAGGTAAAGGCTCGTGGCATCATCGCGGCTCTAACACGGGTACATTTCAACAATGTAGGGTTTGCCTTTGCGCTTGATGATTGGGCTGTAACGTGGGACAAGATCTACGGAACGTACACAGACTCGTAACGATGTTAGATCTGATAGGATCTCTGCTACTTGCATGGTGGTTGGATTGGGGGAGGAGAAGAGGGGAAAGGAAGATAGATAGATAGTTGATCTGGAGTGCGATGAGTGACTTGAAAGTGCATGCAAGGAACAAGGATCAAGAATGCATGGTGTAGAGTTAGATGCGTCTATGGTCATTTCCAGATCCCGTGATGTAACTACGGTTCGGTCGCAGAGACTAACGGTATGTATGCATGTCACCTGTTTAGTAGGTACTAGATTGGTAGTTTTGCACAATATCTCTATCTACTGATCCCTCTCCTTGCTATGACTGTAAGAATCGATGATGAAGCGCCGAGTCTCGGAGATTCCGAGATCTCCGCATCGCCACGAACGGAGCCCAATTCCGGCGCATCGGCGGTCTTCCGCTGCATATATGACCTAGTAACCGTTAGCCAGTCAATTCCTCACTTTTCTCGACCTTCTAGACATACTACTGTATAGAGAAACACAATGTCTGCTGCAATCAAGGCTAATTGTCGCAAGGTCATTTGCATCGGTCGCAACTATGCGTATGAGAACTTTCCGACTCCAGAAGTGACATCCATCTCGTGCAGTCGTGCTAACGGACGCAGTGATCACATCGCAGAGCTCAACAACGCCAAACCGAAACAACCCTTCTTCTTCCTGAAGCCCTCCTCAGCCATTCTATGTCCTGGGGAAGGTCCGGTTCTCCGGCCCAAGGGAACAAACCTACATTATGAGGTGGAATTGGGGTTGGTGATGGGCAGAACCCTTCGGGATCTGGACCCGAAGGACAACAAGGGCGCATTGGATGCGATTCATAGTCGGTGCCTACCTGCCCAGTCTCTCTTTTTATATTTTGTTGGATGTACTCTCCGGATTGTGTTCCATTAACGGAATATCGCGATATTTTGTGTTTCTAGGCTACCTACTTGCCATTGACATGACTGCCCGCAATGTCCAAGACGAAGCGAAGAAGAAAGGTCTCCCATGGTCTATCGCCAAGGGCTTCGATACCTTCCTGCCAATTTCACAGCAGATCGCTAAATCGCGCATCCCGAACCCCCACGATGCCTTCCTCCGTCTGAGCGTGGGGTCGCAGTTGCGTCAGGCGGATTCCACCAGCTTGATGCTCTACCGTATCCCCAGAGTGTTGGCGGAGATTTCCCGTGTTATGACGCTGGAGGAAGGCGACGTGGTGCTGACGGGAACCCCCAAGGGTGTTGGAGAGGTGAAGTCGGGTAATGTGATGAAGGCCTCGATCGAAGTGGGTGGAAAGGAGCTGGAAGAAGGACGCATCGAAGTCGAGGTGAAGGACCGAGAGGGAAGATATGTCTACGGTGAGACTTAGATCTGTCTGGATCGTAGAGGATGAAAGAAGACTTTTTATGTTTTTTGCGCTTGTGAACTAGCAAATCTATATACAGATATGCCCAAACTGGAATGTTGCCAGCAACCAGATAGCTATCCGACATGGACTTCGGTACCAGGCCATACCTGCCGGGATGCACGGATTTCAAGCAGCTCTTCTTCATCGGCGGGCACTATGGGGATAAATCTTCTTTTCCTTTTAGGTCTGCATTTAGACTGGTTCTCCGCTGGGGTCCGTCCTGTAGTACTTCCGATTGATCCATTCCCCTCGACTGGGCCTGACTTCTCAACCATTCGAACTTCACTCTTCTCGACAATATCATGAATAACGCCCGTCAGAGCCTGCCACGAATATCCAGCAAAACGCAGTCGTTCTTCCAACATAGTCCTGGTACTCGGACCGTCTACTCCTTGCACAAAAGCCTCCACCATCGGGGTCTTTTGTCCCACTCCCGATTGTAACATGCGACTTTGGATTCTCTCAGCATGCGATAAATAATCAACCAGTGTTCTGCCATTCTGCTTCATAAGTTGACCCACACTCTCGTCTGGCTCGATATTACGCTCTGGGATTCGATTGGTCTGACTCTGACTCTCTTGCTCCCCGGATAGACTGGGTGAACCCCATGTAGTCTCAGAGAGGGATCGTACAAAGTGGTACTGTTGCTGTGCTTGCGCCTTGTCCATCGGCATAGAATCGGGAACAAGTATTTCTGACTCTGGACCTGGACCTGTAGTTATTTGACTGCAGTTAGAACTATTGAATCTGAAGCTGTACATGCCACAAAGTAACGTTATAGATTAAGTACACTCCAGACAAACTGCTGGAATGAATGACAATAGAGTATCAACAAAAGCACGAAGTCACCCACCATTATCCAGACCCAAAGAACCATTCGCTGAATCGAAGACTATTGTCTGCACGGGTGCATCCACTCGAGATCGTAACGTAGTCGCAGGTGATGCAGACCTACGCTCAAGGAACTCGAGTTTTCTCTTCAGTAGGTTATTCTCGGTTTCCAGGGCCTTGATCCGGTCGAGTACAGTCTGGAGACTTTCATTGAATCGACCTTCGATCCCTTGCAGAATCTCATCGACGTGGCAAGGTCTGATTTCCACCTGATGGCTCAGCTCTTCGATCCTTTGTTTGAGATCGTTTACGGTGCTTGTCGTCGAAGCGAGTTCGGCTCTGGTGTCGTCGAGTTGATGGACGATTTCGACGTTTTCACGCCGGATTTGGTGGGCCCAGAGGATGGAAGTCGCGTTCTGATCCCTCGAACGGGTCGCCTTCTCCATCGAGTTTTACGAGAACTTCCCGAGATAAATCAAGACGATGGATGTGGCTCGGATGTTGAGGAAGGAGGGGCGGGAACTGCTTCTGGTGGAAGAGGTTGAAAACCCCAAATCTAAACCTAGCAAACTGGAATGGCATTTACCTCATGTCTATCGTACTGAAAGCAGATATACAACCATCCCATGTCATGATCAAGTTGCATCCGCCCAAAATGGCTCGAAAAAGAAAAAAGCGTTTGAACGAACAAATCACATTTTTTGCTCGATCTCTTGATTAAGTATGATTTGCATCCTTAACCAACCAGAGCGAGCTAGGTACAAAATGGGAGGAAAATATAGTTATAAGGGAAAAAGGTGATTCCGGCAGAAGAATCATGAATTACAGCAATCATTCGCACAAACATGTCGCATCTCCATAAGCACAGAAAACAAAGGAAACCATGAACAAGACCTAGGAAAAAGGTAGACACTGACTAGCACCATGTCAGCCCTCTCCAAGGCCTGCCAGAAGGGAGAAAAATGCCGAAGATACAGAAAGCCACTTTTGAAGGGTTCTCCTTTTCCAAGAGAAGTACGATGATATCAAAACGCCTTTTCCACCGCAGCTTACCCTTGGACCGTTATTGGCAACTGCATTCGTAATCCGCATCGAGAGACATAAGGTGGCTCGGAAGTGAAGGTTTAGATGAGGTCTGGGTGAATTTCGTTGTCAGTCTCCGGGAACCAAAAGCGCCATCCACCACGAGGGCAACTTACCAGCAACGTTCATGGGCATCTCCTCGATCTGGGTGCTGTAGAACTGCTCGATCTCACGCATCATACGGACATCGTCGGCAGTGACAAAGTTGATAGCAACACCCTTACGACCGAAACGGCCACCACGACCGATACGATGGATGTAGTTCTCACGGTTGGAGGGCAGGTCGTAGTTGATGACCAGGGAGACTTGCTGGACATCGATACCACGGGCCAACAGGTCAGTGGCGATCAGGACACGGGAAGATCCAGAGCGGAACTCCTTCATGATAATGTCACGCTGGGACTGCTCCATGTCACCGTGCATGGCAGAGACAGTGAAGTCACGGGCAGTGAGCTTGTCAGTGAGCCAGTCGACCTTGCGGCGGGTGTTGCAGAAGATGACAGCCTGGGTGATGGTGACGGTCTCGTAGAGATCGGACAGGGTGTCAAGCTTCCACTCCTCCTTCTCGACAGCGATGTAGAACTGCTTGATACCTTCGAGGGTAAGCTCCTGCTTCTTGACCAGGATACGGACGGGGTCGCGCATGAACTTGGTAGTCACTTCCAAGACATCCTGGGGCATGGTAGCGGAGAGCAGGGTGACCTGGGTGGACTGAGGAAGTAGCTGGAAGATGTCGTAAATTTGCTCGGTGAAACCACGCTGATTATAGTCAATACAAGGATTCTATTTTCCCCCTCCCACTTGACTGTGAGTGCGGGGCACTTACCGACAACATTTCATCGGCCTCGTCGAGGATGAACAGTTTCATCTGGTCGGTCTTGAGGGCACGGCGCTGGATCATGTCCTGGATACGGCCGGGGGTACCGACAACGACCTGGGGGCCCTCGCGGAGGGTGTTCATGTCCTCACGGACACCGGTACCACCAATACAGGCGTGGCAGGTGATGTTCTCCATGAAGTCACCGATGGCAACGACAACCTTCTGGATCTGCTGAGCCAACTCACGAGTAGGAGCGACAATCAGGGCTTGGCAGGCCTTCAGGTTGGGGTCGATCTTCTGGAGGGCGGAGATAGAGAAGGTAGCGGTCTTGCCTGTACCGGACTGGGCCTGAGCAATGACATCGTTACCTACGGTGCAATGATTAGCCTCAACTCTGGCATTATCCAAATCCTATTGAGAAATGAGGAATAAGAGAAAAAAGAAAGAAAGGAAAAAATACATACCCTTGATGATGGGCATGATGGCACGCTGTTGAATAGCCGAGGGACGTTCGAAACCATAGGCGTAGATACCTATAAAAATTTTTATCAGTATCAATCCACTTCATATCGCGGGAAGAAAATGTCACATACCGCGAAGCAGCTCGGGCTTCAAGTCCATGGAATCGAAGGAGTCAGTGATTTCATCGTAGTTGGAATCGATCTGTCCTGTAGTTGAGGAAAATCGATGTCAGTTTATTGCATTAGAAGGTTTTTTGTGTGTGTATTTCTTTCGTCTTTTTTTTCTTTTTTCTTTTTTTTGCTCGTCGTGTTGGGCAAAACTTCCGCCACAGTAAGGCCAAATGAGAATCGAGTGAAAATTCACAACAATTGACAAAGAGGAGAAAAGAAAGGAAGAATGACAGTAACATACCCTCGGGGATCTCCTCCAAACCCTTATCGTTAGAAGCCATGATTGCAACTGTTGTATAGAGCGATCACAGAGCGATTTGTGCCTGTGATCAGAAAAGAAGAAGGATGGTGGGGTTTTGGGTGTGAAGTTGTAGAGGGTTTCTTAGCGACAAACGATTCCCAGTGGGGGTTGGTCGCAACGGCAGAAAATCACAGGAAGTCAAGGGGAGCAAAAAAAAAAAAATTAAAACTCGAACCGGAACTTCTCGAGAAGAAAAAATCAAAAGATTTTCGTAGGAACGAACTAGTCAGTGGTCGGCAATAAGGAAGTTTGGTTTCACCGAAGGGAAAAAAAAAAAAAAAAAAAAAAATTAATTTTTTTTTTTTTTTCTTCTTTTGATGTTCATTCTGCCTAACCGACACCCACCGCCTGCCCTATCCCGACAGCCTAGCCGGAATTTGCCTCGTGGGTTTTTTTGCCATCTCTGGATGTACAGTACATATGGTTATGATTGTTGATGGTCCATCAGAGGATAGTCTCTTGTAGAGCCAATCAATCATTGATCAATCTGAGTGACCCCTTCAGTGTGTGTGTCACTAAGCCTGTTCTTTTTGGTTTCTTGTGTGTGACGGACAATCCCCCAAAAGGGAAAGGCTGAGTTTTACTAGATACACAGATGAGCAATGCCTGATATCACCTCTCTGAACAGTCATACATCCTCTTACCCGGACACTAGTCCCGAGGAGCTGCAGGGCCATGATGCAATTCCTGGGCATCCGTTAAAGGTAAAACCCAGTGGCAATGCGTTACTTGCCACGGAGAATCTCCGACATGTCATTGGCACGTTCAGATTACTGCCCGATGAACTGATTTTGACGTTGCTGGAGTGTCTCGATGGTCCGGCTCTTCTGCGCATAGGACGCACCTGTAAGGTCTTCTATGCGTTTACGCGAGCGGATGAATTGTGGAAGGCTCTTTTCATCCAGTAAGACACATATTAGCACCAATTCAATGTTTGTCGGGTGCAACCAAACCAGTAGTTGGTATACGCCATACTAAAAGCCATACTAGATCTCCCCCTTCCTCATTCACCTGGAGAGGAACATGGCGGGCTACCTATCTCGATCTACCCCCGTCGAAGGTCTCCACTATTGACTGTTCGAATCTGTTCTCAGACGCCCTGCACCGTCCTTTCTACTGCGCACATATCTCCCTGGACTCGTACGTCCGCAACATCCCGACCAAGAATCAGATTGCTCGACTGCCGAATCTCTCACCGGAAGAGTTCCAAGAGAAGTGGACTGATACTCCATTTATCCTGACCGAACCTGTGAAACAATGGCCGGCTTATCGGGATTGGTCCGTCAAGACGCTTCTGTCCCGGTATAGTGACAGCGTCTTCCGTGCGGAGGCAGTGGATTGGCCCTTGAAGACCTACGTGGACTACATGCATAATAACTCCGATGAGAGTCCCTTGTACCTGTTCGATCGTGCTTTCGTGTCCAAGATGGGTCTCAAGGTTGGCCAACTAGACGAGGAGCCTGAGGCAGCGTACTGGCCTCCACCATGCTTCGGAGAGGACTTCTTCTCCGTTCTGGGAAACGACCGTCCTGATAGACAATGGCTGATCATTGGGCCCAAGCGGTCAGGCAGTACCTTTCACAAGGATCCAAATGCCACCAGCGCATGGAATGCGGTCATTAGCGGCTCCAAGTACTGGATCATGTTCCCCTCTTCGTCCAAGCTGCCCCCGCCGCCTGGGGTCTACGTCTCCGATGATCAGAGTGAGGTGACGTCTCCTCTCAGTATCGCCGAGTGGCTTCTCGGCTTCCACGCCGAAGCTCGACGCACCATGGGCTGTATTGAAGGCATCTGCAGCGAGGGAGAAATTCTCCACGTTCCTTCCGGCTGGTGGCATCTGGTCGTCAACATCGAACCCGCTATTGCGGTGACTCAGAACTTCATCCCCCGGGCTCACCTGACTTCCGCGTTGGACTTCCTGTCCAACAAGGCAGACCAGGTCTCCGGGTTCAGAAAGGACGTGCATGATCCTTATGACCGGTTTGTGAACCGAATGCGCGAGACCCATCCGAACATCTTGGACCATGCCTTGGAGGAGTTGAAGAAGAAACAAGAAGGTAAAAAACGAAAATGGGACGAAATCGTCTACGGGAAATCAGACGGCGATGGTTCTGGGGATGCACCGGACGCTGGAGGATTCAGTTTTGGCTTTGGAGATGATGGAAGCGATGTGGAGGCTTCCTGAAATTCATGCACACTGGATTTGTTATGACTTGAAACTAAAAGAACAGGGTAAATTCTTGGAATAACCGTTCGTCAACAAGAGAAGAATACATTATCATGACAAAACAGTGAAGCTACGTCCACTTATCATTATCCAGCCTGGAGTCACAACATCGAATGTGTCTCAGTGAGTTGCCAACCTGAAAAGAGAGCATATCTTGGGACCCGTGCTTAAACGCTCAATGAAACGCTCAATGACAAGCGACCGTCTTCGAAGCGGACATGTTCTCCCCGAAGACCAGATACCCTACGAACGCACCGACAGCAACCGAAAGCATAATCAACCCGTTATAAGTCATGAAGAGTAACCTGAGCCGATAAGCAGTTTGTCAGAGAAATGGGGGAACACAGTGGATAGTACTCACATGATAAAGAAACTATAGAACACCTGCACGGCATACAAGGTAGCCATGATGATCTTCCCCCTCTGCTCCAGTTTCCTTCGATTATCGCTGCCTACAAGTAGCGGTAAGCCTGAGTCGGGAAGATGGGTTTGGTGAGCAGGGAGGCCAGTCGGGGCAGATTCGTCGGCGACGTCATTGCCTTGAATGTGTCAATGGGACTGAATTCAGCAAAGCCGGTGCGACTCGGTCCACGCCAATAACCTCCTTTGATCCAGCCAAACAGAGCCAAGCATACGCATACAATATCATCATTAAACAAAGCATAGGAAGAAACCAAACGTACCTCCAGTCGTAGCTGATGTAAACGCACTTAATCGTTTAGCATGGGCGGCCTCAAAGCGTCTAGTCAACTGGCGAACACCCTCGTAGCCAGCTGTCAAGAGCACAATAACGACCAAGGAAACGAGGAGAGAAAGGACCCCAGTCACTCGCCACCGAGGAAATACAATACACAGGTTTTGGGTGGACCAGGTGAAAAGCATCTAACGTGGATGTGTGAGTCGTGCAGAACACTGATTATATGGATTCCCATCAAGCAGTAGCTGCAAAGAGATGACCTACATTCATACTGCACTTGGAACCCATATCCATATCGCCATGACCATGATCCATGTCCATACCGGAATGATGAGCGTGATGATCCATGATAGACAACCGAGCGGCTCGTAATCTAGTAACTAAAAATAAAGATGAATCAATCAGAGTATATTATATCGATGCTTCTGTCGATAATCAACAACGGATCACAAGGGAGATCAGAGAGCCAGCAGGTAAATCATCATCATCTCATGCAAACCATACAAACACTGATAAGATCCGGCGGAATCCAACCAACCACTCAATAATCCCATCTCCATATCACTCATTCATTCATTCATTATACGATCATCTCTTCTTGATAGACCAAAATGATCGAAGCTGCTCCTCCCGCCCCGAGTACAAACACATCAGGCCCCAACGCCACGGGCCCGACAACTTCCGCGAATGGCTCGACCACCAATGCAGACGGGTCCAATCGCGGACTACCGTATTATGAGAAATTGCGGCGCGAACTACGCGATACGTTACAGAAGAAGCGACTGATGGATAAGAGCATGGTGAGTTATCTTTTACCTTGCATGCTACCATAATCTATATTACCTACCTACGTCCCTACTGTCTACCGCCCACTCTATTGTGACTGTAAACCAACAAGCCCAGTCCCAACTCGAAGACCAAATTTTCCGATTCGAACAATCCTACCTGGAAGAAACCACCGCCGGAAACATCATCAAAGGCTTCGACAATTACATCAAGGGATCATCCAGCGCCGGGGTCGGAGGGAGCTCAATATCCTTTTCCTCCGGAGTGGGGAGCACAAGACGAAAAGGCCAGGTGACGGATGCTGATCGTGTGTTTTCGCGCAGTTCAGCGAGTTTCATGCGTGTATGTTCTTCCCACCTCACCCCATCTGATGGAAATACTTAGCGATTTGAATATGGAGACGGGTAACTAATAACTCACGCTATCTGGATGAATGTAGGATTCAACACCCTCCTCGGTACAGACGACGCCATCGCATGCGCCGACGCCTACGTCCGCGTATAATGGATCCACCGGGAAACCGACGAACGGGGATGGGTCTACGGCAGGGAGTGTGAAGGGGGGATCGTCGTCGTCCTCGTCGAAGAATAAGAAGAAATCGAACTCGAATTCGAATAAGGATAAAAATGAAGAAGATGACGAGGCTGGGGATAAGCCACCGGCGAAGAGGTTGAAGATTAGTTATGGGAGGGATTGAGTGGGTATTTCCTTATGGAGTTCGTGAATGACTCCTTTCGTTTCTTTTTCTTTATTTCTTATTTTTTTTTCTCTTTTGATCTGGAGTCTTCGAGTCTACCGGAGTTGGGTTGCGTTTACAAGGTGAGGAGCTAGGCGTTGGTATATGCATACTCTAGAATAGGGCCGGGTGGAGAAATGATATGAGCGGTTCTAGATTCCTATGATATGATGTCTATTATATTATCAATTGACTTATTTCTCATAAATTGATTGTCTAGAGAACTCTCTGTTCGGCCGAAGATAGACAACTACAGCTGTAAACGATAGGTGGCTACCTCATACGCCCTCAGCTCAATATTAACGCTCGTCTTAGACATCGACAGCGCTACTTCGTCATCCTCTAATACGTTACACTTCCAAACCTCCTTAACGGGGAATCTGGTGTGTATGGTGCCGCGGCTTTTGCCACCGAGAGACTCGTAGATGCGCAGGATAATGCTCTTGCCACGTCGTCGCGGTAGGTTATCCCGGGATACATCCTCGTCATCCTCGCCACGCTTTACAGCATCCAGAATGAGAGAGGGGGAGCCGGTGAGGGAGATCGATGAAAATACGTCCGTGCTCTTTGGGCTCGCGGATTTCTCGATGACCAGCGGGTGGTTGAAATTATATCCTGCCCGGATGATGCGCGCGTCAAGAGGGCCAGCGTGCGGTAAGATTGCGTAGCGGATGTGATGACGACCCATATCGGCATGGGCATCCGGTGCCTTTGGCGCTCGGAGAAGAGAGAGACGCATCAGGTTGCCGCATGTTGCAAAGCCGTATTTGGAATCGTTCAGGATGGACACTCCGTATCCGTTCTCTGACAGGTCGGCCCATTTATGGCAGCACACCTCAAATTTGGCCATGTCCCAGCTGCGGAGAGTTAGTGGTATTTCTTTGCATATTGAAATTATAGGTGCACATACCTCGTGTTGTAGTGTGTCGGACGTTTGATGATTCCATACTGAGTCTCATAGGACGCCTCCGTATTGGTAATGTCAACAGGGAACTCAACCTTGAGGAATTTCATATCCTCATGCCACTCCACCTCACTGTGGAACTCCACGAGTGATGGCTGATCATCGGTAGCAGCGGCAAGGCTGATGGTCGTCTTCACCCAGCTCTTGTTGCTGATCTGGGTTTTGGTGACGACGCTGGCACGGTACGGATCTTTCTCAATAATGCTGGTTATACCTGGCTGCAGCTCCTTCCTGGACTCAAAGTGGTAGACCTCCACATCCCATGCTTGCCAGTACAGTGGCTTGTCGTCGAAGATAACCAGCTGTCCGGCCTTACCACCACTGGCAATCACTTCACGGTCCGCTTGAATATCAAACAGAGACGTTATCACACCATTGTAGACATCTAGCCTCAGCTTGGAATTATTGAGCTGGAAAGTATGAGGACTGATCTCCGATACAGTCACAGTAGAAACCGGCCTAGAGACTGCACCACTAAACTCGATAGGTCCAGTATCCCCACTGATCAGGGCGTACTTCGGACTAGCAGAGGTAGTAAACCCATCAGGGATCCGGACAATTTCGGAACGCCGCCAGGGAAGGGTATTGATAGCCTGAAGGGTCATATTTGCACCTTTCGCACCACATCCTAGTGCCTCAAGGGCCTGTTTTCTAGCATTTTCGCCCGTCTTAAAGACCTCCGCATAAAGTTTGTCCGAGTCGTCGTAGCACATCTCAATACTGCTGCCTGGAAGGCAGTCGTGGAACTGACACATCAGCACCCCCTCCCACATGTTGTCGATGTCTTTCTTAGGGTACTCGTAGCTACCATCGGTCCTTGTCAGAGATGCAAGCGTGGCCAGGTACTCGACCTCGCGGAGCAAGAATTCAGACTTGCGATTGTTTCGCTTGTTGTTGGCCTGTGTGGTATAAGTACCACGGTGGAGCTCAAAATAGAGCTCGCCGTACCACGTAGGGAATTCGGTGCCCTCGGCTGCGTTCCTCTCCAGTCTGGCGAAGAAGTCGTCCACCGACTCTCCCATCTTCACGCGTGGGAGCAAACCAACTTTGTCACTCAGGCCACGGCAGCGGCGGAGCTTCTCTAGATGCTCGAACGTAGGTCCTCCGCCGCCGTCTCCCTTCCCAAATACCAGGAGCGAGGTGTTATCATGGTCCATGGATTTGTGTTGAGTGACACTACGTCTGACATCGCCAAAGTGGGCTTCGGCCGTGTATGTTTCTGATGGTGGCATATGGCACATGACCTGGCTCCCATCCAGCGCAACCCACTTGAAGGTCGTATGGGGGAAGTTGTTGATGTTGTTCCAACTGAGCTTCTGTGTGAAGAAGCGGCTCATTCCCGCCAGCCGACAGATCTGAGGGATTTGGGTGGAGTATCCAAATGTGTCCGGAAGCCAGAACGTCGTGCAACGCACCCCGAAATGGCTCTCGAAAAATCGTTGCCCGTAAAGAAACTGCCTCACCAGCGATTCTCCGCTGGGCATATTGGTATCGTGTTCCACCCAGCTTCCGCCAATGGGTTGGAAGTGCCCTTTCTTGACCCATCCTTTCACGCGGTCAAATACCGTTGGATAGTATTGCTCCAGCCATTTGAACTGCTGTGCCTGGGAGCATGTGAAGCGATGTTCCGGGTATCGGTCCATCAAGTCACATTGGTTCGACCAGGACCGCGCCACTTTGCGCTTCGTTTCATCCCACGGCCATAGCCAGCACGTATCGATATGACAGTGACCGATCGCGTAGACGATCGGCTTCTCTTCACTATCGTAGACTTCAGATGAATCGATGTCATCGCCAAGATATCGCTTAGCGATCTCGCGGCCCTTTTTGATGGCTTCATTGCTCCCATCTCCCGCAATAAAAGCATCCATGATAGCATTGGCAACCACGTTAGCTTCGTGTGATTCCCACGAATCACCAGGAAACTCCCTCGCAGCATCTATATAATGCACTCAGTGAGCAGTCCAAAACAAACTCATCGAGCGAGCAACGCAGGACCTACCTCCAATAATCCAAAAATCATAGAACAACGCCCGCGCCTCGACGTTCACGGCAGTGATCTGCGCCGTTTGAAGCGTATAATACTTATCTGGTGCCGGAGGCTGAATCGAATCGCCACCGGGAGCGTTGCCGAACATGCCGTTACAAGCCATCTCGATATAAAAGGTATGTTCGTTCCCATCACGCCAGGCATCGGGGATGACCCACTCAATGCGCTCCTGTCCTCCCGTCAGGCCCTGCAATGGCCGACCATCCTCTGTCCATACCAAGCCCTCATTGTTGGCATCCCAATGGAACTCCAGACGTTCCTTTTGACGCATATTCTCTGGGACGGTCAAATGGATCCGGAACCAATGCGTGGACCAACTGGGGCCAAAGGAGGCGCCAATATGGGTCGGAGTGAATTCGTGAGAAGTGGCATCTTCGAAAGGCACACGCTGGAGGTCAGGGACCGAGTATACGGCGAGTTTGACATGATCTTGGTCAGAGTTGACGGCATCGAACAGCTTCCTAGTGCAAGTGTGAGAATGGGAAGACACGGACTAGGGGTGTCCTATTCAATCAATCCACTTACGCAATCAGATTCTGGGTTTTATACTGGCCCGTTTCCGTGAATTGTCTCAACCGATCGGTGTAGATATTCTTGATACGCTGACCGACTGGGTGAGCTGCCGTCTTGGGAAGGTAGTTCACAGCATGTCGGGGTATGTCTCCACCCATGGTGCGAGGTGGATACTTGTGGATACGATGGGGATTATATACTTGGCTCCAAGACCAATACAACAAGAAACGTACGATGTCAGAGAAGTGAGTTCGGGTAGAGAAGAGGAAGAGAAGAATGTGGAGGAATGCAGGGCGATCAGAAACGGAGCAGGTGACGTTGGATGTGCGGAGAAGGCTACCCTGGCGGGGAAAGATTGGAATGTAACTGTATGGCATACATCTAGTTGCATGATCTCCGATTCAACCAGTTCTAGGCTACAATGGCCTCCAAAAAGACCGGACTGGTGCAGAAAACCCCGAGGAGAGATTCCCCAGTTTTATTCTTTCGGTTTCGTCCACGGGATCCAGTGCATACTGCCGAGGACCGCAGAGGCATCTCGAGAATCGCTTCCAAGTAACTAACTGGACTCCATTCTGGATCAAAAGGAGGGAGGATATAATAATCATGCATGCTGGCTACTGACAGGGATATAATAGCGGTCAGAATATTCAACGAACCCATCCTTCCGGGGAGTCATCCTTTCAACTCCCGTAACGCCCCGAGTCGCCATGAACCTTAATGAACCTTAGACAGCAAGGAAAGACCGGGGAACGAAAATCCAGAGTTAAATCACGTAACGACAGCAATTAGTGGAGACGAAAGGCGCTTGCAGAACGAGCGTGCCAACCCGGGCAATTAGAAGAAAAAGAGTACTGCTACTACTGCTAATAATGACCACAACAATAATGGTTACATACTCTGTGTTCTGTCTAGGAGACAAAGAACAGTAGAAGGCGCATTCACCCCGGCAACAGTCATATCCAGGGATCTACCCGAGCGTTAGCATTATGTGGACTGACTGGTCCAACTACTCGGATTTGTGACTTCAGCTGCATCCGCTTCCGATCGATGCGCGCCTGGACCACCCTCTGTTTGGCTTCCTCCAAGGCCACCAGAACCAGGCTCGTCCTATCCTGCAGCGCTCTCATACAGTCCCTCGTGTTCTGCGGCAGCGGGGAGCGCTGCCGTGGTGATAAGGGGGGCGTATTATCCGTCATGACCAATCCCGGCTTCGGTGTGGAGGACCTCTTCTGATACCGTGGGAACCTCACATTTTGGGTCTGTCGGTAGCTGATTCGCTTCTCGCGACCGGATTTGTCCCAAATAGTCGCTCCATACTTCTGATAGGGCGAGATGGGCACGGCCAGCTGCCTCCGCCGCTGAAAGGCGATCGGTTCCAAGGCTAAGGGCTTCTTCGCCTGTTCACAGGCGCTGGAGCGAGTCGACCCCGACAACCGTTTCGGTCTCTCGCTTTCTTGCGGCTCAGTTTTCCGCGACGCAATGCTGTCACGATCGGAGTAGTTGCTCGACGGTGCTCGAGGGGTCGGATGATCCTTGCGCGTGCACTCCGGAGCGGTGACAGGCCGTCGTTTCCGTCGGGATTTCTCCTTGTCGACGGAGTGCTTGGAGATTCGTCGTTGGACATAGGATCGGATCGAGTTCCGCATGTCATGGGCCAGCGTGAGCCCGCCCCGATCGGCGGGACTACTTTTCTTCGCAAAGTCAAATGGCACCAGGTTGAGTCCACGGGCATCCTTCTTGAGGGGTTTACAACTGGGCGGGAACCTGGGCAAAGTTGGCGGCAGCTCTGACGGAATGGCGAGCTCCGGGAAGAAATCCCACTTCTTCTCCCGAAAATAGTGATTGGGACGCGGTCGGTTGGGCGTCCAAGGCAGATACTGAGACGAGAAGGCAACGGGTGAAGGGCGCGGTTTCTCGTAGGGCTCGATAGGTGAAGAGCGACCTAAAGACGGGATGGGCGGATGATCGACTAGCTCGGCCAGATCGTCCGAGGGAGAGCGAACAACGACTGGATAGCTCTCGGTCGAGACGGTGGACTGGCGTCGACTGTCGAAGCTGTCGGAGAGACTGCTGTCATCGCTCCATGCCGTCGAAGCCTCCATCGACGGAGTCGCCGGTAGAGGTTTTTGCGGGAGCTCTGGAAGGGGTTTATCCAGCTTGAGGGCAGGGCGAACTGGAGACTCCGGGGGTATGACTCGTTCCATACCCTCAAGAGACCGTGAAGGTCTTACCGGAGGAGCTTGTCGGGAAATGGCAAAGGTCGGTGACGGCATCGTATGCATAGTAGAATAAAGTCGGGAAGCTAATGTAGATCAGAGCCGACAGATAAGATATCAAACCAGGTCGAGATAGTAGGCGAAGAAACCCTTCCCCCTTAGGGATAGGGATAGGGATAGGGATAGGGATAGGGATAGGGATCGAAAGAGAAGAGACGAGCGATGAAGACAATGGCGAAAGTCGAGATGAGGGGAAGACGGAAAGAGACGGTGACGATACGGTGCAAGTGACCAGTCACGGCTTGTGTGACTTGGGGTGGAATGTGACGATGGCGAGGGAGCCCCTACGGAGTCGATAGGAAGATTTGGGCATTCAGCAACGGATCCAGATCTGAATGAGTACTCCGTACAAATCCAAATCAAGTCGAATGAATTCCAGAATTCTTTGGGCAGTTGGGCGATCACAAAACCCCGCCGAGTGTCGCTCGAGCCCTAATTTGGGCCTGCAGAAGTCGCTGAGCCTGGAAGGGACCAGCGAGCTCCATCGTTTAAAGCATAAACTGGAGGCAGAAGAAAGGGAGCCGGATCGGCCGGAATAGGACAGCTGAGCCAGAGCAATCAAGCAATCAATGACGACGACAAAGAGCACTTCGATAATGTGATATAAAGGGGGGAGGGAAGATAAGAAGGATCCATGCATGTAAACGAGGGTCCCCCTGGATGAGGATCCGAAACGGTGGCCCCCAATAATACTGAATATGTAAAAATAACATCAAACAAATAAACAAAATCAGTAAATCAAAATTCACCACCAGCATGAAAGCGATCTATCCAGTGGGGAGCGGCGCAGGATCGGCATCGCCGCCATGGACCTCATGAGTGACACATCCACGCAAGGGATGTCCACCCGTAGACAATCGTAATCATCCCTGAAGGAGTTCCTCAATGATTACTGAAACCTGGCAAATCCCAGCGATTGACTCTAAATGAACAGGGATCAAGCTATGCTTTGAGCTTTGGAGTACAGAGTACCCAGAAGATTGGAGCCAGTGGAGTGGGGTGCCGTCCGTTCCCAGAAAAACATGAATAAGGATGAAGAAGGAATGGAATCAAATCACCGGGGCTGTCTTACTGAATCCCTCGATCCCTACTGCCTCGATGCGACCGAAAGTACATGTACATACTCCGTACAATACTCCGTAAGTGAGTATGGGATGCAATGCAATCCGTTTATCGGTTGAATTGGCAATACGCCCGAAGAGAGACTGGATCGATCACATCACGAATTGAGCGGTGAACCATGGGGAATTGAGTTTCTCCCAGAATATGTCCAGACTCCAGGGGAAGGAGTTCGTTTTGGAGAAGGAAATGAACCGAGTTCTTGCATGCAGTAGTGGCTTGGTGGTGGGCGAACTAGCGAGTGCCACTGTGCGCCTCCCAGGCGAGATCTCATCGAATTCTTTGTCCTTTTTAGTAATTTCCTCGGTTGGAGTTCATCCACATTGCAATCCATGTCCACGGTCCTAAATAAAGCCAGAAAGTAAGACACCACATGGGCAACCGTCCAAGGCTCCGTGGTTCGCTCTGGACTCAACCCGATGCCATGACTCTTAGCCCTCTTCCTGCCCTTGGGTCAGCATGATTGTAAGAATTCCCTTGAATTAGTTCCGATCTCTGAATTCTATCCAGAGAGGGAGTCCATGAGTCTGAATGATGGATGGATAGACACATACACAGAAGATGCGTAGAATATCTACTCCGTGCATGGGAGAATTTACAATTCCATCTGACAGCGGTGTGAAGCAGCACACTGCAGTCTCACTCCAGGCCTATCTCCTGCAAGGTGTGGGAAGCCGACTACGCATTGGGCCATGCATTCATGGATTGTAGAGACTCAAGGGCCATATACGGTTCATGGATATAAAAATATCCACGTCCGTCTATCGGGTATCAATCAAAACCTCTAGCTCAGTTTAGCTGCTTTCTCCATATCCTCTCGCGTCAGAACATCCCCCGAACGACGGATCGGACTCAACCGTCCCATTCGGCGCAGCTTGTCAATCATCGCCTCGTCTCCAAAGTGGCTATTATGCTCGAATTCAGGTTCCTGATCGTATGCAACCCGTGCCACATCCACCAGCATCCGCGCCGTCATGCCCCAGACTCGATACCGAGTGAGCTCGCCTGAATTCTCCTTCTCCAGTGCACTGATGGCCTGTCTCTGCCGCTGGGATCTCGTCCGGGGTTTGACCACCGATTGTGGCGAGATAGGAATAAAGAATTGGTGCACTGCATGTGGATGTTATTGGGGATGATACGATGCGTGGGGAGGGTTGATTGGTTTAGAATCTACTTACTTCGCCAATTCGACTGATGCCATTCCGTCCATGCGCCCTGATACCAATCCTCGGGGTTCGGAGTCCCCCAATCCGCTTCATCCCGCGTTCGCAGAAAGTTCGCAAATGGAGCTGTAAACACCGCGGCGACTTCTCGCGCATCCAGTTTCGGGATCAAGGATACCTCGGGATCGGCATTCTGGTTCGTCTTCTCGTCGTAGGAACGGAGGAGCGCAACACACGGACGGACCACCAGTTCAGTTCGCGCCAGATTGGCTGGGAGCTCGCACAGGTGCTCGACCTCGAACGGTGGTGGTAATTGCTGACCCATATCTGCCAGGCCGATTTCCTCATGGGCCTCACGTCGGGCCGTCTGGAAGGGGGTTTCTTCCAGGGAATCAGCTTTCCCTAAGACGGGTCAGTCTCAATGCTTTTCTCTCTCTTGGGTACGTCTTGATCTAGATGTTAAGCTAAGTGTGGGGCTTGGACAAAGAATGTCGAGCTTACCCCCCGGTAAGGCCGCTTGGCCTGCATCTGTCGTAGCTGTTAGTGTCTAATTTCATTTCTCTATTGTAATGGAAGATTCTAAACAATTTCCAGAAACCTACACGAACTCAAGGTTTTGGCCCGCATGGTTAGAACCACCCGGAGGTCCCCCTTGGAGTCGGCATAAAGTAGGACCAAGACAGCTGCTCGTCGCGACAGAGGTACTAGGTCATAACTGGTGGAAGGTGGCTGATACGACCGTAGTCGATCGATGGCTTTCTATGGGAATGGTGAGCTTCCATGAGCTAATCAGTCTAGGGCTTAAATAGGAGAACTCTACCTGGGAGGCTGGGTTCAGGCGAGGCATGTTGTGCGCCAAACCGAAAGGTCGTTGAGTGCTGAAACTGCGATGGATGAGGAAGAAGCGCAGGAAGTGTCGACTCCGCATGACCGTATTCGGAGCGAGATGGATGGAATCACGGCGATTGATGGATGGAAATGCCGATTCATGGTAACAGAGAATGGTGGTCGGTGGTTGCCGAGGTTAGTGGTTGGGGAATGGTATCGGCTGACGATGGACGCCTTTCCGCCGTCGCTTTACGTAGCAGTTGGACGGGTTCTACAGCAACAAACGACTCTCAACGCTTCAGTATTATGCGAGTCTTATGTATCCAATTTGCATGTTTTCTCTATCATACCACAGTCGAACTAGCTGCATCAATGGCCCTGGTTGTCTCGGATTCTTTTCCGGATTCACATTTCCTAAGTCACAAAAGAAAATACAATAATAAAGATAATGGATCAAGTATATAATCGCAGTAAAAAAATAAAATAAAATAAAAAAATAAAGCCAGTAGATCATCAATCAGGGAAGCTACCGGTAGTGGCAGACACTGAAAGGAACTGAGGAAAGGAGTCTATCATATCAACACTAACACAGCCCAAGAAGAAAAACAAAGCAGAAGGGGAAAAAAAAAAAAGAAACTCTATCTCAAAAAATCAAAAAACACGTTCCATCAGGTAACAGGCAATTACTGAGAGGACCTCTCCCTCTTGTCCGATACCTTCTTGGACATCCCAGCCTCCTTGCCTTCCTTGCCAGCTTCGACCGCCTCGTCGGATTGGCTTTCGTTCGTAGCCTCAATTTTGGCATCTTCCTTTTCATCAATGTCCTCGATGTCTTTGGGCGCCGCCACGCCCTTTTCTTCGTTCTCGCTGTTCTGTTCGTTCTCTTCTTCAATGAGCTCTTGCTGCTCCTTGATGACCTCAAGGCGCTGCTTGTTCGTAGCAGCACCCTCAGCGTTATGCACCTCCAGTTCAATCTCATGGAACAGCTCCTCCGGAATGCTGGACAAGACAGACTTGAGGGAATCGATCTGAGAGGACATCTCCGCCTCCTTACCACCCTGAGCGTAAACGTACGCGTTGCTAAGTACCAGAAGTGTGGACGGGACACCTTGCTTGAGACGCAGGTCCAGCCACATCGAGAGATCCTCACGCAGGCGAACGGGAGAAACTCCGTGGGTGCGAATGCCACGGGAGGCGCAGGCCATCTGCAGTTCGGGAACGGATAGTGACTCTACCCCTTCGTAAAAAATCGCGCGGTCGTCACGCTTAATCTGGCGCATGCGGTGTCGGATGTGATACCGCAGCATGGCGTCGGTTCCGAACGAGTTCAGGTTCATGTACTTGCAGATTCCAACCAGCTGCGGCCGAGACAAGTTGTCCAAAGTGAGGTCGTCCTTGAAAATCTTGCACACCTTAATGACATCCTCCGTCGAGGGCGTTTCTCCAGTGGTGCGGATTTTCTTGAAAAACTCCGCGAATTCCTCGTTCTTGACGGTCGCAGCTGTCACGGGTAGACCGCTTTCTTTCAGGGTGTCCTTCAAAAATGCGGAAACCTCCTTCCGCGTGGAGCTCAGGTTCAACGCCTTCTTCTCGCGCGCGTTCTGGCCCTCGTAGGTGCTCGGCAGTAGGTTCGGGAACACCTTAACGGCAACGGGGAGGAGCAACTCGGCAAAAGGAATGATGACGAACATGGAGAATGGGACCAGACGGCCAAGGTCCTTCACCGTTCTTTGTAGCTGAATGAAACACTAGTCAGCAATGCGGATAACCCACCAAGTGAATTGAATGATGGACCAACCTGTCTGTGCTCTCGCCGACTGAGCTCATAGCCTGCAGCCATCTTCAACACCAGCCTCGAACTAATCTTAACCTCCGTAGCAAGAAGCTTGGTCCCATCCCAGTAGTGTTGGGCTTCTTTTTTGATCTTTTGCCCAATCGTCAACTTCTTCTGTTCCTTTTTCTCCTCAGCAATCTTCTTGTCGTCGTCCGTGGACTTGGCCACCGGCGTGTCGCTCGACTTGGATTTGATCTGAGCATTGGTGACGACAGACTCAGCTTTGGGAGCAACTTGCTGGTTTCCAGCCGCACTCCCTGTTTGCGCTGCTTCTGGAGGGTACGGTTTCTTGGCTTGTTCAGCGTTGAATCCCGGGGGAGGCATGGGGTCTGAGGAGGACGTGGACATAGACGGCTCAGTTGCAAATCCACGTCGGTGGGATACTAGGAGTGCTATAGCTGACAGTTGCTGCGGTGGGAAACCCCTGCCATTCAACCTAAGGCTTGCGACAGTCGCTGAGCCCAGTGCACGGGAGAAGGAAGGCCGAGCTGCTCATACAAAAAACATGTTAACCGTCTGCACTGATCGCCAGAGCGGGGAGGACTCCCAGGTCTGCAAAATTAGCAGACTCTGATAACTCACCGACCAAACCCGACCGCAGGGCAGAGTTATTGCGCACGAGCCGGGCCGATCTCATAGCGACGGACATTGCGGGAGGCAGGAATAGGAGGTGCTCCGAACAACGAGCAGATTAAACAGTAAGACACCGCAATTTAACAATAGACAACAGGGATGGTTTTTATGGTCTCGCTAGACAAATGGTACCAAAAAAGGATCAGACAGCAACCTCAAGAATGTTGGTCTTGTCTTGCCGTCATCACTCTACGAGGTCTGCATGGAAAGGTGGCCCAGCACGTGATCTGACCGGCCTCGGCGTTTGTGATTTGCCATCGACGGAGTTAATCGGCGCCAAGCTTGCTTGTCCGAGAAGGTTAAATATTCCTGTATTTGCTTGTATTTATTATGGTATGGACAGCCATAAGGATAATTAAAAAATAAAATAAAATATAAGTAAAATAAAAAGGAGATAAAAGGAGAGGTTCCCATTATTCCAACCACCCTTCTCCGCTTCATGTATGTACCAAACAGAAGAATATCCACGAACAATTATCCAATTCGACAAACGTAGAGAGAGAGTTTCGCACAGGTGAAAGCAAAAAACGACTGTTGTATATTCGGGTATCGATAGAAGCCAAACTCGCCAATTGTACGGATGAAAATGATAGATGTATCGAACGTGGCTAAGCCTTGCGGAAGAGAGCATTTAGAACAAGACGGAGCTAAATTTGCTATTTTCTCTCGCGTACCGCCGAATCGCCCGTAGTATAAGGCTCTCGCATGCCGGTTGAAGCGGCCACGGAATCGAGGGGAGGTATCCTGTCAATACTAGTTTTGTCGATTTCGTTGTTCAGTGCAGCGCCTGAGGATTGATTAGAGACCTGCGCTCCCGATGCAGCGGCCTCATCAGATCCTACGAGTGTCGGGGTGTTTGTCCCTGCAGGCGATGACTGCCAGCGAGCCACATCTTTCTTCAACTCCTCCAGTTCTTTCTGAAAGCGTTTGCCAAAAACGTCAATATAATATGTCGCACCGTTATGGATGCTGAGGATAAACAGGCCGGTCAAAAAAATCCCACTGGCCCACTTGGACCATAACCACAGCGGACATGGAATCATGGTCAATAGGGCGTAAACATATTGAATCAACATGAAGGCAGGGGACTGCAATGATTCAGGAAGACTCAGGACGATTTTCCCGATCCAGGTCTTCGCATAGGACTTGCGAAGCCAAGTAAAACTGGTTGGGCGCCCGGCGGCAATCTTCTCGGCACGACGGACGGTGATAAAACAGTGATAAGTCAACTGCCATATCACGTACGGAATAGTGGCCCAGCCCATCATAGTAAGGAGAGAGAAATGATCTGGGGATTGAGGATCACTAAACTTGATGTCGTAAACCGCAGGGAACCTCTCCTTCAGTCTTCCAGCGGGGGTCAGATGAACGAGGCAATGTAAGGTCATAGGCGGCATGATGTGGATAAAAAGGCTGGGACTCGGGTAAGCCGACAATCAGACGTAATATTAAGAGTAGTAAGAGTATAGGGGCCCTACCTTACAACCTTGTCCATACTATGAAAGACCATGGAATTCCGCCACATGGCAATTGCAACAGCGTTATTGCCAAACACCAGACAAAATGTGCTTATGAAAAGCCTCGTGGAACGCGGAAAGACCCAGAGACTCAGCAAGCAAAGCAGGTTTACAAAATAGCATAGATCAGCCAAGAAATAGTGGTAGCCTTTCTTGTGGTACCGGTAAAATCGGATCGGCATGAAGTAAGCCAGCTGTGCACTGAACCAGATGTAGAAATATTCGGGATGAGCACCGATGATATAGCCACTGATAAAGATGTTGAGGACACCTGCAATGAATGATATCTTCTCGCGCAAGGTCACGGCTGCGTTTGCATTCCATTGTTTCCCCAAGCGCTCAACACCAACCTTCATCCGCCGACGATACTTGTCCAGGCGCTCGTCTGCCGTAGGAACCCGCTTTTTCCACTCGCCCACGACACGATCCTTCGCATGGAGTGAGGTATATTTCAGTTTCTCACGTTGTTTCTTCACTTTTTCCGTTTGTGAATTTATGGCTTGCTGGAACCTTTCCAACCGCTGCGACAGGGAAAAGTTGTCGAGCAAGTCAAAGACCGACAGGTGTTCCAACGACGGGAACGTCTCCCAGTCATCCTGATAAGAAAATGATGGGCTTCGCGACAGCCTCCCTGGTGAACCAGGTGGCGAGTAGTAGTGGTCTGCAGAATCTGTAAACTCGTCGTCATCGGAAATATCGTCACCTCGGGTCGGATGCAAGACAGGCGAGTCACCCGTCACCCGGTCGTCTGAGTAGGAACCACCACTTTCCATTATAAGTTTTTGCCGGAAAGCGAAGATGGTAGGACCGTCGCGGTGGAGCGCATATGATCGACTAAGGAACCGTCCAAACGTTAGCATCCCCATCGTAACTCTGGAAACTTTGATGATCGATTGAACGTCGGTTGGAAGTATAGATGAAGAAGGGTACGAAGCATGCAAGCAATAGGAGGGGACGTAGAAGAAATAAGTCGTAGGGGATTCCTAAACCGCGGCCGACTCAAGTTTTCAAGAACTGACTCACCAGGGAAGGAAAGCAATACCTAGACCGGTAGGTGTTATACAATACCACCTTCTACCGACTCCAACAATGACTAGCACTCTGCCTCGGGCAGTACTACTGGCTGAGATCTGAGGGAACTGTGGATGATGTTCTGGAGAGCCTTGGCGGAAGATATCACGTCACGCACACCAACAAATCAACTTAGCCAGTGTCCTTTCAACAAACCCGGCGCATGACTGAACCACTTCGGCAGGCTGGAAATAAAGATGCAGGGCCAACAAGTGGGAATGTTGAGGTTCTGCGTGTGCACGCGTTGCAGCTGGTGGTTGGTCAAGTGCAGACGGGTCGCGGGATCTGCAGCTAGTCGGGCCAATGGGGGTCCGCAGGCGAGGGAGGTGTCCCATGGCTTTAATTCTTCTACTGACGCAACCCTAATCCGATGTTTTGGGAGGTAGAGAATGGCAACGAGAATGGCGAGAATTAGAGAACGTACAATACAAAATTATTGCTCCCAACTAATATCAAATATCCCCAGATACGGAAATAAACAAGCAAGACACAAATACAATAACATTGCGCGTACAGTGATCCAGTCTGGCTATGTTATATGCACTTTTTATCCCTCAACTCAGTATCCTTGGAATGCCGATGGTTGGGGGTTGGGCGTGATTTGGTTCCAGAAACCAAATTGTGCGGTCTGTCCAGCAGGTTGATGGACCATTTGTTGGGTATAATACGTAGGTATAGACGAAGGCTGAAGAGGGAGGCCGTTTCTAGGAGGACAGAGCGTCCTAGAAGGCTCACTTGTTGTTGACCGGGGCGAAGCCATATTGGACGAGTACACCAGGCTGCCTTCCACGGAGCTTCTTCGACTGGCTGACGGGGTTGACCCTGGGGTTAAACAGTTATAAGGTTCCGGGCTTGAGGTCTCTTCGTAAATCTCCTGCGCCGATGGTAGGTGATCATTGTCCGAGATAACACCGTTGTTATTACTTGACCCTCCTATCAAGTAATGGGAGCCGCTAGGAGACATTTGCTGCTGGTGCTCTGTTATATGGGGTGCAACTCCTTCCACAGCAATCATAGGAACGGCCTGGTCGTGAGAACCTGAGATTAGGCTGGCTTCGGCCATATGGACCTGGGAGACATGTATCATTGTGTCTCCACCTATTATGAGGCGTTGGTTATCAGTCCTTCTTCTAGTGGCCACGCATGTTAAAACCAGGGGGAACATACTGATTTTGCCGTCCAAATATAATTCTTCCATGTCTCGAACATAATAGATCTCATCCAAGATCTGTAGTCGTTCTGGTGGAGAAATTGATCGTCGCACATCTTGACCAGCTTCTTTCAGCTTATCCGCTGTGATTGCATGGCTTTCCCTCAGTTCACATAGAATATATACAAGAAGTCGGATCCTCTCTGCACGGATATCATTAGCGTAAGAGTTCTCTGATACCAACATTGTCCCGGAATCCAGTGTTTCCTACCAGCTTTTACCAGATGGTCAGGCTCTCTGTGCGTCACCCCCGCAGGCCACCATTTAGGCTTGGTCAATTCAGGGTCCACGCGCTGAGGTGACCCTGCCACAGTTCTCCGTCCGTTGTACGGATGATTTACCTGCTTGCGAGGCTCAACCAGCTTGACGAAGGCCTTCGCAATTGCCCTACAATTGATCTGCTGGAAGTTTTCAAATGCCCTCTCGTAATAACGCTGAAGGAGATCTTTCTGTCCTACTCGGAGTGCCGTCCAATTGACTGCTGAGCCTGGTGAAGATGGATCTGAGCCTCGGCCCGCTCCCGACTCCATGCGCCTCGAATTCCGTCGTGGACGTTTGTTATGCAAGGATTGCCATTCACAAGGGATCAGCCCGGGTTGGTACCAGCCCGGATCGTGGTGCGGGCCAAAAGAGTTGGACAGGAAAGACGGTTGTTTCTCCGTGACATCGCCTTCCATGTGACCCACAGAACCTGTCGCAGAAGAGCATTAGATATCTTCTGGTATTCTCTTGTGATTATTGGCTCACTTACTTGGCTGCTGGATACTGTGCAGCCCTGATTGCCATCCCAAGCCTGCTGACTTCAGGAATTTTTCCTTGACATCCTGCGTAAAGATGGCCCTCTCATGGCTTGAGATGGAAGGCGAAGATTCAACCTGAAGCTCTCCATTGCGATTGATGTACAGCAATGTAAAATGAGGATAAGAGAAACTAAAGGCTGTCGACTGTGGGCATTGAAACTCCTATACACCATATCACATCCGTCAGTGATATGTCCAATTGCACGAGGAATGCTGGCTCATACCGTTGGCCTCGAACGGGCAGTCGCATCGTGGTATGATAGCATCTGATGTTGTCCTTCTTCCTTCATTACCGTAGGCTGAACTGTCGCATTGACACAATACCCCGTGCCTGTCATCCCTCGTGGACAATATTCCAGTTGGTCCACTTTGATTCTCTGACGGTTGCTAACGTCAAATGCGAGAGGTCGATATGTGAACGATCACACCAGTTCAATCAACTGAAGCTCTATACCCTCTCCTAGCCACTAAGGCTTTATAATTATGATTATCCGTTAAAACAAAGAGAGTCCCTGCTGTTCATGAGGCTCCAAGATCCTATCGATTCTGGGGTTTAAGAATACGTCAAAATGGGCAAACGACTGCTAATTATAATACACCGGTGAGGACTAAAAAATATCTCTATTTTCATGCGCAATCAAGAGGTAAAAAGTACGTTCTCCGAGATCCTGCCCAACGGGCTATGCTATTTGAATCCGAAGCAATTTGTGGCGGATATGGCTTCTAACCTAATGCAAGGAAAACAAATACATACGGGACTAAACAGCCTGCCAGACAGTTAAGATTCAATGACGATGTATTACCCTACTCTGTAGTTGTATATGTGTGAACCTTGATATCTCACCACCTTTTTTAAAAGCCAAAAAAAAAAAAAAAAAAAAGAAAAAAATCATTGGCATAATAATTTTCTCTTCTCTCCTTGGAGGCTATTTACATTAAAAGGTAGAAGGACTCAAACCTCACATATAAGGGCGAAATACAGGTCATACCACTCCCGCCAAGGGCCCTAGCTCATTTCAGGAACGAATTACATTTCTGTTTCTATAGGGGATGATCTACATAATAGTGGGCGGTGCCATGCATCTATCGGGAACAAAAAGCTACAACTGACATTAATGGATATGCCAATAAATTATTAAAAGCAATTACCATGATCTAGACCTTCCAGTGCTTCGGAAAATCAACTAGAGCCCAATCTTACTAGCAAAATCCCTGCCGCCGGTTCCATCAAATCCGTCCTAGGATAAAAATACTTTTGGCAAGTATTTCTACGCCTATGAAGTCATGCATATACTTAGACTTGATCGAGAGACCCACTGCTATTTAATAACAGCATTCTTACTTAACGCCATGCCAAACGCCTATGAAGTATGAAGTATGAAGTACGAAGTACGAAGTAGTACCTGGCAGCAAGCATTAACACTTTCAAATTCGCTCGATCTTGATGCCGAAAGTAGGTCTCAATACAGAGTAATACTGCTAGTTTCATGTTCCTACCATACAAGATATTTGGTGTTAGGGCATTAGAACGGTACTCTAAGTATCACATGATTTAGGAAACATTCGAATTTCAAGGTAAAGTTGAGCCTTTTCTAGCTTCCCCACGCGGCTGACTACAACACTGCTGATGGCAAATATCTTCAGCTGGTCACTAAGTTCCTGGCTGGGGTGCTTTGAGGAAGAAGGGGGGGGGAAAAAAAGAAATTAAAGAAAAGGATTTGAGTTATTCCAAGTAACCCGACTGTCAGGATTTGGTTTCTGCGAGTGAGATGTTCCCTCTTTCCGATCAGCACCTACGGATAGCACCGAGTCAGTGCGCACAATTTCGCAATGTCATACAGCTTTGACCGCTGATCAACATATCTAGGTGTCAGCAGGAGCACTGTTTCAATAAATAAAGTTCAGCCGTGACGAACGAGTCCAAGGCTGCGCTGTCTTTGGACGTATCGAGCAAAGCACACTGGACTCAATCGACTCTGCAATCTTCGACCTTTCGAATGATAAGATACATCGATCGACGTAATGGGGTTCAAACTGGCTGCATCCGTATTAGTCATTTATTTCTCCTACAGGTCGGCCTAGGCTGTACATACGGAGTACCAAACATGTCACTACGGGTAAAACATCCAGGAACTGCCATTGGCTTGCTACATGCCTTATGTGGCAGCTGGGCATAAGGAGCATGGAGAAGCAAACATTCCTCAGCACTCTAGCTGCCATTCAGCCATGGAAGGCTGTCGATATTGCTGTGCAGCAGAATTAGCCAGCGCCACATTAGACCCCGATGCAAATACCCACGGGGTTCTAAGCGAATGAGAGAAAAGAAGACTATGCTCCCTCGCGTCTATGCGGGGAAATGTGGGCTCATGCGCCTTCGCGACAGATTCGAGTTTCGGTTCTGCTCCATCCTTCCTGTTCCATTTGAGACGACGAGTGGAGTTACGAAGTACATGCATAATACGGCAAGAGCTTTACTATCAACCAAAGCAGCCACGTATCTCTCTGATTTATGCAGCAAGGTCTGACACCAGGAAACCCTGCATGATGGCTTGCAATCCTTGAGTCAGGGTGAAGTCCGTCAGCGCCGCTGAGAATGTGCCAAACACGCCTAAAAAAACCATGGTGTACGTCGGGCCTCTTTTCCGTAATACCCTAAGGAGCATCATCCATACCGAGTAAACTATAGTGGCCTAGAAACCAACTCGTTCCCCAAGGACGGCACGAACGTCCAAGCACCAGCGGAAATCGATGCATCAATTATTGCGGCCGTCCGCCGCTTGGTCTCCCTGGGCCGTGGATACATGAGAAATCTCGCGCAGATTAACTGAACCTTCCACATCGACCAATTGATCAACAAATTCCAAACTGTCGTTGTCTCACCCATCTAGCGATGAATGTCGCCGCCATGACGGGCAACGCTATGTGAAGGGCATTGTCACTGCAGTACTCCGTACAGCCGACTATTTTTGTCTCGCGGCGAACTATTGGTTTCGCACTTGCTGATTGATGCAAAATCTCCGCAGTCCTTTGGGTACTGTATTTCCTAACACGCCTTTTGAATGACACCCGGGTGAGGCTTGTAGGTGGAGAGTACGCGCAGTGGCAATGAATCTATGGCTGTTCCTCGAGACTCCTGAAACGGGATGTCGAGTGTTTTCCTATTACTCTATTACCTGGGTTAAGCTTAATTGCAAAGCCACATCTCCACTGATTTGCGCTGCTTACCGCTATGCCTTACGACGCCGATGTTTTGCCTTACGTGAATGGGAGGCTCACCATGCTCAGCAATCAATTCAGGCATCAATTCGCCTACGAGAGATGATATTCAAGTGGGCCACAAACGGAGGCTAGGCTGTATCCGTATTGCCATGCATGCCTACCCCATATGAGTGTTCTTCCATCGTCCACTCCAGTCTTGACAAATGAACTCTACTGAGTACTCTGTACTCCGTACGAGCTCATGATCACACCCCTAGAATCAGGCACTTCGATCTCAATTGCCCTCTTCTCACGCACAGAAATAATCTCGGCGGTCGTGATATTCTCCAATCGAACTGGCTTCCTTTTTTCCAGGTCACAATTATACGAACAACCATCTCAGGAAATCCTGATGGCATTCCTTCCATGGGCTATTAGTTTCTGCACTGTACCCGGTCCAAGGGATCTCGACGAAGGCAACTGGAAAAAGTACGCCTCCACGGGCCGACGCGTCACTGGGTCCAAGCTTGTATTCCTTCAAGTTGATGACAGCAATCAGAGCCAGGTCGTCGTTCACATATGCAGCCCTGGTGTCTTGGCCAGTGGAAGATGAAAGATTTGGACGATGTCGCCGCCACGGGGTATCGCCGCCGCCCTGACGTTTCCCTAATAGGAGTCTTGCTTCCAAAGATCGTGCCATTAGTCTCGACAAGCTGCCATGATGTGCAGCAGTAATTAGTCCTCTGGTGCATGTGTGTTCGCCAAATGCTTCGGATATTGAAATCTATGCCGTAAAGAGCCGTGCTGAAGGGTTGACAGCCGTGATGTTACCTGGTGGTACAAGGAGTTGGTCTCTCCGAGAATATGGTGGATATCGGTGGGCAGGCCTTCTTCTGCTAACATGTGGGAGACTCTGTACTGTCATTGTATGGTTCACTAGTGTCTTCTGCAGTGTTACTCCCAGCTCGGCGGCGCCACCAATATATCTGCAACGAAACTATGTCAATGCGTTTCCGGGACCACCCAAATCCGTCGTACGAGGAAAGAAACATCAGATCCACATATGCTTTTATTGGCGCAGTTACTGTTTTTATTAAGCCCCTTCTGCCAAGTGGCCGCTGGGTCCAAACTGGTGATCTGCGTATTAGGGGCAATTCGCATCCATCCCGCTCTCAACACCTTTCGCCCTAATCAACGGCTCATCGACATACTCTGCTCTGTCCAGTTTGCTGCCATTAAGATCCCCTGCACAGAGGCTTTGTATAGATCTAGCTCATTCACTAGCTCTCAGTGAGCCAGGTACTCCGCGGGCTTGACATAGTAGCCCCACTCTATCTAAGTGGAGCTGCATATGTGCTGAGCTATCTTCCCTAAGTTGATAACTTGAATAAGCCAAAGTAAAGAATGCTGTTCTAGGGGAGGAACCAGATATAGAATATTTTGAGTCCGTCCGATCACCAAGGAGTTGGTTAGAATATAGACTGTGGTGAATTTTATTCCTATATATTTCATCCATCGCTACAGCAATATATTAAACCACATGTCTTTCAAGACATATATCGCAGCATACCACTAGACAGACCCAAAGCACAAATCTAGAAACACGAAACACATACCGGCAAAATCCTCCAAGGAATAGAAAACAAGCAGCTGAAGCACCGGAGTGCCGGAATCATTCATCCACTCTATGAACATATATGACGGGATGTAGATGTGCAGTCCACAATGTGGAACTCGGTACAACTGGGCTAGGTGATCAGCCCACCACGGCCGCACGTATAAAGGCATGTTACAACACAAGCTACTGTATCTAGATTTTCATCACTCTTCAAACATTCTAAATTGAAGTAATCATATTGAATCGTCGCGTTGCCTACCCCTGCATTAAAACTTCTACGCACAAGACAAATGGAATACCCCGAGCAGTGCAGACCAAATCATTATATCGGTTCTCTCATGGGTTCGTCTCGTGTCTGCACTTGGGGGTCAGGCGCAGGTATTTCCCGGTGGGTAGGAAGAATACTCCATGAAGATCGAGATTGTTTGGTTTCTCGTCCCTCCTGTGGGGTTCACTATTTTGGAATAGATGGTTGGGTTTTGAGGGCTTGTGGTTTGTCTGTGGATGGATATGTATCAGGTAGGAAATGAACATTGTACTGTTAGTAGGGTATGAGCTCCCAATCTTCTGGGAATAAGGAAGGAAACGGTGGATCTACAGCTACAATGCTGGGATGCGCTTTGCAAGCAAGAATATAGTCCTACATGTGAGATGCATGGACAAAGCAAGTTCATTAGCCCCATGGGTCAAAAGCAAGCATTCCGTCAAATATCCATATCACAAGAGCTATTCTACATGTCACAGAAAGAAAATTCAGACTCGCTGAACAATAAGATAGCATTGAGCCATCTAGTTATATTTCCGAAGCTGCAAGGGAACAGACACATAAGTCAACGAGCGATCAACGATCTGGGACGGAAAAAGACTTACATCAAGTGTCAAGGACCGACTGCTGTTCTGGGCCTGATCACGGTAAATGCCCACCAAGGCCTCGCTGTTCTGGAAGAGCCCGGTCTTCAAGCTGATCACAATGAATTGCATACCTGGGGCGGCGTGGTCGTGGATATAGTTGGCAATCCGCGCAACGTTGGTGTTGTCCAAAGCCGCATCAACCTCGTCCAGTACGAAGAATGGCGACGGCTGGTATGAATGGATCGCGAACAACAGAGCCAAAGCCGCCATCGTCTTCTCACCTCCCGAGAGATGTTCCATATCTCGGAAGCGTTTAAGCGGAGGCATCGCGTGGTATTTGATACCATCGAGATACGGCTCGTCCGAGTCCTCAATATCCAAGTACCTGTAGGGATGATCCCGCATCAGTACACGAGTGATGGTCCACCGAGGAAAGAATAAACTTACGCTTGTCCACCCAACGGATAATTGGCACTCTTTGTCAATTCGCGGTAGATGGGACCGATTTGGTCCGAGATGTGAGAGAACGCCCTGTTGAAAAGGTCGGATCGCTGGCGCATCACCTCTTCAAAGTCTTCCTTGGTCTTTCGAGCATGCCTGCGTGATTCTTCGAAGTCCTTCTCTGTGCTGCGGAGCTTATTCTCGACACTCTCCAGGCGCTCCATTGCTCGTGTGTTTGGCGTCATTTTGTCGAGCTCGCTGCTGAGGGTTCGAACCTTGTCAAGCAATTCCTCTTCAAGCTTTTCGTCGGCCTCCTGATAACCACAATTGTTAGCGATAAACTTCCCTAACTCGGGGTGCATGGCTAACACACCTCCTTGAGAGTTTCTCCCAGAGAATCAAAGTCAACTTCGATCCCGTAGTCTTGCACACTGAAAGTATGATCATCGCCTCCTGCACCATCGTCATCAACGTCCATCGCATCGGGATCAGCTGCCTGAACAAGCTCATCAATGGGAAGTTGTTCAAGTGGATTCGAGTTGTCGGTCAATGGGATATCAATATCCTCCAACTTGCAACGTCGAAGAAGGGCATATCGGCTGGAAGAATTGCGCTGGATATCTGTTTCCAGACTGTTGATATTCTTCAGGATTCCTTCAACGTCTTTGCTGCGCTTCTGAAGCTCTCGACGATGCTGCGTGAGATTCTCCGCCGAGCGGGCATACGCTTCCTTTTGCTCCTCAAGGCGCTCCCGGAGAATATCAAGTTCGGCATTGAACTCATCAAGACGGTTTCGGATCTCGTCCTGTTCTGCTCGGAGCTCGGAGATCAGATTTTCATCGCGCTGGTGTTGCGCTTGGAGACTAGCGATTCGATCACTCGTGGCCTGGAGCCGCTGCTTTTCGAAGCTGAGCTGGTTTTCGATCCGACTCTTTTGTGTGGTAAACTCCAGTTTCTTTTGGGCGGCTTCTTCATGCAACGAGCCCTGTTGAATCTCATACTCGCGAATGTTGCTGTATCTAAGGCGTTTGCAGAATTTGCGGTAAATCTCATCCTCAACATTGCTGACGGTCTCCTGCGATGCTACGATGGTCTGGTCAAGCTCTTCCAAGGCCTCCTGTCTTTCAAAATATTTGGGCCTCAGCTCCTCGAGCTGACGCTTAACGAAGTCCAGTTCACTGCGCTTGCTCTCGAGGTTTCTTTCAAGAGCCTTAAGCTCCTCGCGGGCATAGGCGAGACGTTGCTCAAGTCCAACCAATTCACCCTGCAGAGTTTCTTCCTCAGTACCCCTGCGGTGACCCTTGGGGAGATTGGTGAGGTCCGCCATCAATTTGTCTTTGAGTTTGTATAGATTCTCCACTTCGGAGTCCTCCCAGCGCTTCGAGGTCTGCTGAGGTCCCTTGCCACCGGTCATCAGGCCACCCTTATGGATCACTGTTCCGTCAAGAGTGACAGCCTTCGCATCCACATGCTTCTCGTAGCAGAGATACTTAGCTGTCGCCAGATCATCGCAGACAATGGCATTGCCGCATGAGTAGCTAATGGCCCGTGCAACTGAGTCATCATAGTCCACCGTCTCAATTGCAGGGCGCATTCCGCGGTGCATGCCCTTCAAGTTGGAATTAAAAGCCTTCACTTGAATGGTTTCCAGAGGAATGAAGGTTGCCTGACCAGCTCTTTGATCACGCAGATGCTGAATGCACTCTTTGGCGGTTTTTTCGTTGTCAACAACAATAGCATCGAAATGTCGACCAAGAACAGTGCTAACTGCTTCAGCATATTTTTTTTGCTTCGGTTTACAGAGGTCGCTAACGCGGCCCTTCACGCCGGGAAAGATTCTTTTCAAGGTGGAAATCAGTTCCTTCGCTCTGAGTTCCTTTTCGGACTGCTTCTTGCCATTGTCAGCCTCGAGAAGCTTTTTCAGAACCACTTGGAGTTTCTCCTCAAATTCCGTTCTCATCTGCGAGACGCGTAGTCGCTCTGATGCGAGAGCATTGAGCTCCTTCTTCTTGCGATCAATGTCCTTAGATGTGCTTTTGACCGTGCCATTAATAGTCGACTTGCGTTCGGACAAAGACTGCGCGTCACTCTCTAGGGACTTCAGCTGCCACTCGGTGCTCTCAAACTTGGACTTGAGGCTATTACACGCCTCGGCTTCAGTTTTTCTCTGGCGCCTTAAGTTGTCAAGGTTCAATTGCTCCGACGACGATCGCTTGTTGACTTCTTCTTTCAGCCTGTTGTATTCTTGCTGATCGGCTTCGCTCAACTGGCCACCCTGCTTGCTTATGGTTTTCTGCCATTCGGCTTCCCACTGAGCTTGAGCTTTTTCGACAACCTTGAGGTCCTTTTCCAACTGCTTCGCATTGGATGACTGTGCCTCCTTCTCTTTGCCGATTTCGGCGATCCGAGAGGCGAATCGTTCTACCTTTTTCATGGTGATGTCGACTTTCTCGTCCACCGGGACGAGCGCGTTGGTCGCTTCTTCGATATCCTTTTCTTTCTTGGTGATGTTCTTCTCGGCCTTGGCGACATCTCGACCAACTCTAGCGTGCTCTTTCTTCGCTTCCTCGACATTCTTTTCGTATTTCTCAACGTTGCGGCGAAATTCCTTGAGTTCATCTTGATACTTGAGAATCTCTGCGCTAGATTCATCGATCGTGCGTTGGAAGTGGAAGAGTTTCCACAAGATGTGGGTGATGATGGCTTGGTCGCGCTCTTCCGCCTTCCGGGCATAGTTCTCAGCTTCGCGCTTCTGCTCCTGGTATTGCTTAATTTCCGAGTTAATACCTCTCCGACGGTTCAGCTGGATGGTCTGTTGTTCTGCAGCCTCCTCCGCCTCGGCTTTGAGGCGCTCATATTCGGCTTTATATTCAAGACTTCCAGATATCTGTTCAATCAGCCGCGTAAGGTCTTTCGGGGACTGCGAGGCGATTGCCTCAACATCGCCCTGAAAGACAAGGAAGTTGCGCGCCTTGATCAAGATATTTTCTGCCTCAAGTGCCTCGTTATATTGTTGCGCCGTCACGATGCGGCTGTTGATCCGGTATTCGCTGACACCCTGGCTGGTAATAGAGCGTCGCCATTGTTGCTCCTCTCCTGCATCGTCTTCGTAGACAGCCATCACCCAGGCTGTGCGCGGATCGTTCAAACCACTAGCATCCTCCTGTTCCACGTCATCGCCATTCTGTGCTTGGTGCTCCCCGTTTGGTTCTCCATCTATAGCATTACCATCGGCATCCACTCTCGATGTGCGCAGCACACGGCCGCGATAAACAAGGTCACGAAGGTTCATCGATCGCAAATGGGATGATTTGATTCCTAGAACGAAAGAGATTGCATCCATCCTATAATTCGTTAGCGCATACTTATCTACCGATGAGACACACAGAGACGTACGAATTAGATTTTCCAGATCCGTTGGGTCCGATGATTGAGGTGAAGTAGGCATCGCCAAAGAGAAGGACATGATGGCCCTTGTATGACTTAAAATCTAAGAGTGAAGCCAGTCAGCCAAGTTCAACCAGGGGTGCAGGTTCTGCCTACTAAACAGCTCGAGGCGGATGAGCTTCCCCATCTTACAATAGTTCAGCCGCTTCCTGGCGACGGCGACAGCAAGAACGGAAGGCCAGCGTTGTCAGGGTGAAGATGTTTGGAGGGGCCCGCGCGATAGTGAACTCGAGGTCGCGTCACCGCCGCCGATTGCGAAGACGCGCTCGGGTCACGTGGCCAGTCCCCTACCAAGTATGGTGGATTTGTATGTGCCTTGGAGGACTTGAGATGATACGGATGCCAGGGAATTCTACATTTTACATGGTGGATTTCGTATATGTACATGGGAATCTGCTGCAGAATATGGAAAGCAAGGCAAAAAAAATTCACGTAATAAGACATGTCCAGAAAGGATAGTGCTATGTTGCCAATGCTCACATTTATCGCTTAACGCTCAATGGATTCCCAATAACCAGAAAGTCTTCCGACACGTATCCCGCGGAATCCATTCGAAAAACCCCCTTTTGACCCTCCACCTCCAGAAGGACGAAATCTTCCTGGGTGAATAGCTGCCGCACTGACCGGAAGAGCCGCCAAAGGAGAACGCTGGACTTTTTCAGGGGTGCTCTGATGAGGCTCACATCGGATGATTGCCCATTCGGAGCTGCTGGCCCCTGTTGCATGAGATTGGCAGACTCAGGCGTGACCACCAGACGGCGAGAAAACGCGATCTGACGAGGCAATGCATCGAACTCGTACGGCTTCCGGAAAGGGATCGTACTTCGAATCGTAAAGCGAAGCTGGGCTCCGGCATCAGTACTGACGACCTTGACCGTCTTGATCAACCGTGCGGTCTTGAAGAGGAAAACCGTGCCCATAACGCTCATCATGATACACACTCCACCGAATAGAGCCTGCTGCCACATAGGAAGAGGCACAATTGGGTCTCGGAAGACAATATTGGAGTTGTACACTGAGTAGGCAAAGCAGAACGCTGAGATCCCATAGGCTCCTAGTACATAACTGCGATGTGACGGTGCCCGGAAAAGTACTATCTGTCCCTCTTTGGCGACCTTACGTTCGAGTTTTCCGAACCCTTCCGGTCGTCGCCCGGCGAATTTTAATGTCTCTTCAGAACTGGAACGGGCTTTTGGTTGTAGAGTGGATTTGGAAGATGCCTGGGGCTGGACCCTAGTGGCTGCTTTCGTTCGCGAAGCACTCGAAGCGAAACATCTCCAAGTTGAGGCTGATGTGTAGAACCCCGGCGATAGTGTGTTCCTAGGGCATTGCTGTGAAAGCGTCCGGAAGACGAACGACCTGGCAAGCATAGTGGTACCTGGCTATCGCAGATGGGATATTAGCATCTGGAGGGAAAATCGCGCAATTGAACATCGTGTCTCTTCCTGGAGACCCCGAAAGGAAAAAAAAAAAAAAGGTCTGGCATACTGCTCGAAGCCATCCCAGCGAAGCAAGCAAAGGAAAAGGACATACCGTAGATTCGATCAGAAAAGCCAGTGCCCTGGAGTCTTGCGACGGCGAACAATTTGATCTTCGCGGCAGAAAAATATTCCCGTCCGGGCCGCCGGTGAAGCTCCCAACATCCTCAACATCTCTACAACAACGGCTGCTCTTACGTGGACTAGAAATTCTGGTTTGGATACCCTCTGGCAATTGATCTTAGATCGCGACCCCAACTCGAGTCTCACGATCCATCTGACATTCAATCGACGTGGTCGTGGGCTCTTTGACTGGTCTTGTCGCTTGCCCGCCGCATCCAGCTACAGCTCCTCGCAACTGAGAAAAGAACATTGATCGAGGAGAGCATCTGATCCAACTCAATCCCTCAACTAGATCCCATACGCTTGAAGCAAAATGGCCTCTGGCTTCACGCTGCGTCAAATTCACACCGTCCTTGCCAGAAGGCAACCACGTGTACTTACTAGCACCAAACGTGAGTTGCTCGAGGAGGTCCAGAGGGGCTATTGTCTCTCTCTTATCCTGGCTATGATTTCTCCATCTCCCCATCTTTTATTGATCACACGAACTGACGGGTTTTTGTCACCATACAGGGCTGTCATCCTCATCCGCAGTCCAAACACAGAACCTCACCTATCCACTCTACCCATCGGTCATCCAGCTCCTTCACGAGAAGGGCATCCCTGACTCCGATGTGTCTAAAATTCCCGCATCAGGCCCTAAGGGCCGTCTCCTGAAGGGTGATGTCCTCGCCTATCTTGGCGTCATCGCCTCCGACTACCCAGCGACCCAAGCAACCCGAATTGAAAAGCTCAGCCACCTCGACCTGAGCAACATCAAGATCGCCGCCCCCCCGAAGCCCGCTGAGGCCCAGACTCCTGCCGTCGAGGAATCAGTCGCAAAACCCCCTCCTACCACCTCGGTTGCTGTCTCCATCTCCCTAGCTACCGTACTATCCGTGCAGAAGAAACTCCAGGATAGCTTGGGCGTGGGCGTGCCGCTGTCGACGTTCCTGGCGCGGGCCACCGACTTGGCAAATGATGATCTCCCTCGTTCCCCGCTTGCGAAGCCCTCCACAGACGAACTTTTCGATGAACTGCTAGGTGCTGAGCCTGTCACTACCTCCCGGGGTGACTATATTCCTGAATTGAATGCGGTTGCGACTCCCACGCGGACTGAATCGGCGAAGCCCGTCCAGGAGGATATCATCGACATTCTGAGTGGAAAGGTCTCGAAGGCTACTAGCCGATCGTCTACAGTAGGCTACACACCTGCCCAACCGGCCACAAATATCTTCAGCTTGACTATTCCTGTCGGTGATGAGAAGAGGGCTCGGGTTTTCCTGGACCGTGTGAAGACCTTATTGACAGTTGAGCCTGGGCGGCTGGTTCTATAGATACTCCCATTTACCTTGTAAGTCAGCAACTATATTACCTGGAAGTCCAATGCCGGGAATTACGAGGACTAATGCATTAGATTAGTGTAGCATAAGTAATAAATATCATCGAAACTAAAAGACTGCGTCGGGAATTGCCTTTCTTTTTTATCTTCATATTATATAGGAATGTACTCGGGCGCTACATGATTGTTTGGAAATCACATCTGCAGTTTTCATTCTCATTATCGAAGACAATGCGCGAACGCTACCGTAATTTGCAAAGATCGCCTAGAGTGGTAATGAAGTTCCCATGGGCCATGCGGCAAAAAAAAAAAAAAAAGAAAAGAAAAGAAAAGAAAAGCAAAGAAAAGAAAAAACAAGCAAGAATAACAAATGTTGAACAAGTCATCTCGTCATCAAAAGCAGAGAGTACGAAAAAAAGAGAAAAAGAAGAAATGAAAAAGAAAGGGGGCAAATTAAAGAGAAGGGGAGCCCATGCAGCTATGAACTCCTTTCGAAACCACATATTCCACCACCTTTGGAAATCCCATGGATACCATCGCTGATCTTCATTACTCTCTTAATAAAATCAAGAATTCAACGCTACACGCCGACGACCCAGTATGAGCAGAACGGGCAAACGGGGGATCAACAGTGAAAGTGACAGATAGAAAAAGAGAAAAGGCCCAAAGTACATGTCGAATATCTGACGAAATGGAAAGTAGAAAGAAAAAGGGAAAAAAAAGGTAGCCCACCTAGTGATCGCTTGCAATATGCTGTAAACCCACAAAATGCGAGATGCCAAATTACACCTTGAGAACCCCTGCCTCGAACTGGACCAAAGATATACCCAGGATTGAAACAACGCCAAAGTCCTGGAACGCCGTATCTAATGCATATTCGAAACCCTGATGGGAAATTCAATGACACCGAAGCATGAACCTCATCGAGATCACCGAATGGTGCCCCATTCAGCTAACTTGCTACCCTCGCGCCCGTGTTCTCGTCCCGGCCTGCGGTTAAATATCTTCCAGAATCTCAAAGTCTCGTCCCCGGCACCTGTGACAACCGTTTGGCCGTCCGGACTCATGGCTAGGTACAGAACACGGAATGTATGACCGGTTAATGATACGATCTGTTCCATGCGGGGGTACTTCCAGATGACAATTTGGTTCTGACTGTAGCCATGGGTGCTGATGATCTCGTCTGAGTTCTTCGACCACGCCAAGTTACAGACCTGACTGCCGGTGTCGACTTCTTTGATCAGGGAGCCGGTGGACGTATTCCAGAATTTGATAGTTCTGTCGGCCGTTCCCCCTCCAGATGCAAGAAGATGGTGCTGATGGGGCGACCAAGCAATTGCCTTAACGGCGGCAGTGTGGTCCGAGAAGCGATAAAGTGGCGTTTCATTCAACTTGTCCCACACCATTAGTTTATTATCATTACCGCCAGATGCCAATTGACCGTCTTCCGTATTCCAACGCAGGCCACAGATCTCCTGCTTGTGTCCCGACAACCGGCGCAGGTACTGATCCGGCGAACGGACATCACGATGGAAGATGAGCCGATCTCGGGAGCCTGACGTGAGAATATGGTCATTCCACGCCAACGCTCCCACGCGATTGGTATGTCCAACCATTGTTCGAAGGCGTCGGCAGCGTTCGGCATCCCATATTTGCACGAGACCTTTTCCAGTTCCGATAGAAAGATGCGTTCCCTTAAGAAGTCCCGGTTAATCATCATGTGCACCATCGAACAGCGGGAGATTTCCTACTTACCCTTTGGATCCAGCTCACACTAGTTACAGTATCGTCCTTGAGTTCGCAGAGTTTCGTCACACGCCCAGACTGAGAGTTCCACATATAGACTGAGTTTCCCAGGCCAACCCCGAGAACGTTACTACTACCCCAGTCGACCAGGTTCAGGTAGAAATCATCTTGTAGGTCGGGCGCATCGAGAACTTTGTACGGCACTTTGTTCACGTAGCGTGGCTGTTTTCGAGGGGTTTCGAGAATGCGTTGGCTATCGTAACGGATTGGGGACAGGCTATAGAGCTCTGATCTGACATTGAGATTTGGGCCATGTTGACTGCGAGGTGTCTTCGAAGGCGTGGGATGGCCTGATCCACGGGGTGAGGCATAATTAAAAAGATTTTTGTGTGGTGTAGACGGAGTTATGCTAGCAGGGGGTAGATTCGATACTACATGTGAGGGGGGAGTATGGGAGCGTGTTTTTTCGTTGATGCCATTACTCAGTCCAAACAATGGATCGGGTGATAGCGAGTCTAATTCGGCCTGTGGTACCGTATTCCCAAAGAGCTCGCTTCGCAAGACTCGTGAATACATTCTGTTTGCTTCTTCCGCTAGAGACAGGATTAGCCGCAGTTGAGGGGAAATGTGATCATGCGCCAAGGGTTCAACGAACTCTTCTGGAAATGCAGCTCTGAATGCGGGATACGCCGTTTCGACTTCGATGGAGTGGAAGGACAGCCATCCTCGTGAAGCAGACTGTAAGTCGCTTGGAGATCCTGTCCGTCCCGGTTTGGAATGAATCTGTGGGAAATGCCGATTAGCCATTACCGTCGACAGGAATATAGTACCATGATAGGACTAGTCGATAGCACTAACAACATAGAGAAGGGGGAAAAAGTCGCCTTACCTATCACCATAAACTCTTTGTCTTTTCCTGCTTGGACTAGTTCCAGGGGTTCTCTCATGAGGGCGCCCGGCATCCTCATACTCCTTCAAGGCCTTCGCAAGCGCATCGGGGTCAATGGGTTCAGAGCTATTTCGGCTCTTCTGTCGCCTCCCAAACGAATCAGGATAAAATAGAGTCTTTTTCGACGGTATGCTGGGCGGCGTCTTGGAACCGGGCGGCGAGGCGAGGTTCAACGCATTTGCATTCATGGACGATTTCGCAGCGGATGCACCCCCCACGGCGCTGCGAGCTGCCGCCGCATCAGACTCATGGTTGTTATCGCTCATGCTCTTTTAAATTGGCTCTTCTTGCGAGATTGAAACGGCGATCGAAGGCGAGATGGTCTGAGGTCCGGATGAGATATGCGACAAGTCTCCAATCTGGAACTGCGAAAACGGTGGACTACAACGCCAATCGATTGCGAGCTTCCTCGAGGGGCAATACTCCAGCAGTTTCGTGTGTTCGCACAATCGGACTCCTTTTTCTCCTTCTTTTTGCGTCGTCTTCCTGGTAAATACAGAGGTTGCTGGGGAGCAGCTCAACCGCTCTGGGGCAATAATAAACCAAATAAACTCGAGATAGGCGGGAGGGAGCGACAAGAGGGATGGAAGGCCAACACAGACTCTCACTGAACCCAAGGCAGAATGGACAGGTATTGACAACTGGAGAAGGTCATTTGAGAGCGACCTGACCACCATCTGGTGAGGAAGAGAGGGTTGACAGCGATCCAAGGGCTGGCGATGGGCTTCTTTGGGGTGACGGAGTTTCGAAGGGGAATCCCTCCCAGTCACGCGTCGGGAACGCTAAACCTATCTGGGGAGGCACAAGGAGGCTGGCCGTTCTTCGGTCGTGCGTCTTTCGTGATGCTTCAGTTATAGAAACAGTAGCATATTCTTTATCGTATGGCTGATTTCTGCTCATACTCATCATCTCTCACTTTGTCACTTCCCACATGCATTGTTGGATTCATGGGGCTGATTTAGCTCCTTTGTGACTCCCCCCTCCAGATAATACACCTGTTAGTTCCCGTATGACATCTAGTCACGGTCTCGGGCTCTATTTACCTGTCTATTGATCCACTGAACGGATCAGATTTCTCTATTGTCACTCCCAAGAGTCATTGTTCAGTGACAGTCTGGGATGCTAGCGTCAGCCGTCTGTCTGGTATAGAACCTGATAAGCCATTATCTCAATTTACCATCCCTCGCCCCACCGGCCTAGAGACGAGCAACACGCCCGTGACGCGCGATGTCAATAATGGCACGCGCCGGACAGCAACGCGAAAAACGCTTGGGCCTGGCCGGTGATCGTGTATCTGAAGTCTGGCTGGCAACGGTTCCCGGATGTTCGAGATTTACTTTGCGGAATAAGTGGTACTCTAAGTCTAGAGGCGAACTAGGAGCTGATCACTGGGGCTGATCTTTAGTTAAGCTCTTCCATCGTAGTCTTAGTTTTCGTCGAGACTCCCCATCCATGGATTCGCCCTATACCCAGTATCTTTGACAACATCTTTAAGATTACTTTCGATATATTAGATTCTAGTAGACTTAGGAGCTAGTCTTTTTCAGGTACACTTTTCTCTCTACTTAGACTATAGAGGAGACCTCCAGTCTAGACGTCTTCCTGATCCTGCGTACGAGAGCCTTAAAAGCGACCGTTGTACTTCGTAAATCACCAACATTTCCATCCACAGTATCTGGATTTGTCCCCGAGTCATTTCTATCGATTCTCTATAACAGTGACAAGGGAAGGTGATCGCTCTTCCAGCACGAGATTGTCTTTACCTCCATTCAGATGGGGTAAATCATGGTAAAAAGAAATAGCCCCGACCGCCAAGCACTAAAATGATCTCATGCCAACGTCCACTCTCCAGAATCCAGAACAATCCGATTCTTCTCCTACTTCGTTTTGCTCTGTCACTCTCCACTGTCTCCAGGGTCCCTGACAATGTCTGCAAAACTCGCGCAAACTCTAAAGCAGCCGGCGCTGGACTTTCTGTCCTTTGTCAATGCTTCCCCGACCCGTAATGCCTCCTTTCCCCCCACCATCGTCTTTATCCATCCTGACACGGTTGTCCTTTAGCCTTCCATGCAGTCCAGTCCGCCCGCGATCTTCTGGCCAAGGCTGGCTTTCAAGAAATCAAGGTCGGTGGGCCAGTGGATGGGTCGAGTGATGAGATTTATTCTGACTTCTTTCCAGGAAAAAGATTCGTGGGCTTCCACCTGTCGACCCGGCGGGAAGTACTACCTGACCCGTAATGGCTCTACTATCGTCGCTTTCGCTGTTGGCAAGAAGTGGAAAGTATGTCTGTAGTTCAAGTGGGAGAGCCTCGTGCATGTACTAATGGCGTCGGTCGAGTTAGCCGGGAAATGCCATTGCCATGATCGGTGCCCACACGGATTCCCCAGTGCTGCGCATCAAGCCGGTAAGCAACAAGCGTGGGGAAGGCTTTGTCCAGGTGGGCGTCGAAACATATGGAGGAGGCATTTGGCACACATGTCCGTATTCGTCATGTTACCTTTAATTATTTACCTGGTTACTGACAGTTCATAGGGTTTGATCGCGACTTGGGAGTCGCAGGACGGGCTATGGTCCGCACTGGTGACGGCTCTATTGCGCAGAAGTTGGTCAAGATTGATCGCCCAAGTAAGTATCGTCCCAGATGACATTATACGCCAAGAGCAACCAGCTAACTCTCGCCAGTTCTTCGAATCCCAACTCTGGCCATCCATCTCGATCGCCAGGAGACGTTCTCGTTCAATAAAGAAACCCAGCTATTCCCTATCGCGAGTCTGGTGGCCGCTGAGCTCAACCGGACGGGTGCCTCCAACAGTGATGACAAGGATGCGAAAGCAGAAGAAGGGGAAAAGGGGGAGTTCTCTCCTCTGAAGTCGATCACTGAGCGCCACCACCCCTACCTCGTGGAACTCATTGCGGCCGAGGCAGGAGTCAAGCCAGTTGACATCCTTGACTTCGAAATGATTCTGTTCGATACCCAAAAGTCGTGCTTAGGCGGTCTACTTGAGGAGTTCATCTTCTCTCCGCGCTTGGACAACCTTAACAGCTCCTTCTGTGCCACCGTGGGACTCATCGACTCGGTCGCGGAGGCAACCGCGCTGGATGATGAACCGTCCATCCGCCTCATTGCGCTGTTCGACCACGAAGAGATCGGCAGCCGCACTGCACAAGGAGCCGATTCTAACGTGCTTCCCGGGATCATCCGTCGTCTGTCCGTGCTGCCTTCACCGGCTGCGGGCAATGCCGACCTAGCCACTGCCTACGAGGAGAGCCTGTCGACATCTTTCCTCCTCTCAGCAGACATGGCACACGCGGTGCACCCCAACTATGCGGGTAAATATGAGTCAGGTCACCGGCCTGAAATAAACAAGGGGCCCGTGATCAAGATCAATGCCAACGCGCGTTATGCAACCAACTCTCCGGGCATTGTCCTGCTCCAGGAAGTTGCCCGGAAGGCGGCCGACGACGGTGGAGGAGTCCCGCTCCAGCTGTTCGTTGTCCGCAACGACTCCAGCTGCGGGAGCACCATTGGTCCAATGCTGTCCGCAGCGCTGGGTGCTCGTACACTGGACCTGGGGAACCCTCAACTAAGCATGCATAGCATCCGGGAGACCGGGGGTACCTACGATGTGGCCCATTCCATCCGCCTGTTCTCCAGTTTCTTCAAGCACTACTCCCAGACATCCCAGACGATCTTTGTTGACTAGATCGATAGTATGGCTGTAGATACCATGATTGTATATGCCAATGAAAGAACGTAGTTGAAAGACGTTCCTCTGAAATCTTTCCTTCATCTATACTCTATATGTAACTGGGGCCGACCGGGCCGAGGAAAGTCCGTATGCTCCCACCTAACTACAATACACCATCGTCATCCTCACTTCCCCCGACGTCTCTCCTTGCATCCTCATCACACCGGCCGTGCCAGTGCTCGACTCACTTTCTGTCCCTTCCATTCTCACTCATGTCATCCATGCCCTCATGACCCTCTATGACCACTCCAGATGTCTTTCGAGATGCGGAATACATCGCTGACGTGTCCGGCATATCGTACGACAGCGTTGCCGACGTCTCTGGACGACAGTCGAGTGATAGTGGCAATCCCGATGGGCGCATAAAAAAGGTGCAGTCGGCTGCGAAGGTTGCTCTCATTGATCGGCTCCTCCGCGACTTTGACGTCCTGATATACTGTCAGCTGTCTGCCCTCTACTACATGGAGTGAGCTTCTCCTATTTCTCCCTTCCAATCCGATTGGAAGAAACTATACTAACGGTGGCTTTTCTCATTCCTACTTTGTAGTTGCTCTATCGTCCTTTTCGCGACCCGTGCCATTGTACAGCTGATATTCTTTACCCCCAAAGCACCGCCTTTCGACCCCACGCGGAATCAACCGTTCGTCGGTGCCATTTTCGCCAGTAACCTGATTTGTATGACATTCCATTATTTCTTCGTCCACCCGGAGGCCGGTGAATCTACGCGAGGCTACCTCCATGGAGGACTGTTGATCGACTTCATTGGACAGAAGGCTCCCGTGCCGATGACACGGCTTCTGTCGATGGACTTACTTGTGATGATACTGGATATCGTCATGTTAGGCCTGATCGTTGAACGTGTCAAAACTACCGAAGCGACCGCCTCTGTGTCCTCTGCGCCCTCTGCGCCCTCTGCGCCGACCACCGCTCCAACACGCAGGGACCATGACCATGATTCGGAAGAACGCGGTATTCCCCGCTACGACACCACATCCGGCGAGGATGGGATCGAGCTGGATACCCTCGGCTCCCGTGAATCTGACTCACCTGCCAGTCCGAGCGAGCAATTGGAGCGGACCCAGTTACTGGCAGATCCTGCAGAAGGTGGGCTTGTGTCTGGCATCAAGAATACCCACGCCTTGGATTCGTTCTCCTCCGGTGAAGCGGTGATCATGAATCGTAGCCTCCTGGATATCATTCGAGAGCAATGGCGGTACAGTCAGACCGTGGCAAGACGCACACCGGCTTACGTCCCGTCCGACCAGACGGCGGCCTTTCTTCGCGAACGATTCGGGCTCCAGGTGCGACCGGACGGGCGGGTGGAGAGAATCGGCCCCGGATCCTGATGTGCATTTGGCGTATTTGGCGCTTCTCTCCCTGGCTTGGGGAAAACTTGGCTCTTAATTTTGTGTGTACATATGAGAATATCTATATATATCAAGACTCGCGTTTCTTTTTCTTTTTTTTGCTTGGTCATTTTATATCCTTTGGGTCATTAGAATAATACAAACACGGTAAGGGTATACCATTATGCCGTTGAACTTCATCCATCAAAGAGAGGGGAGAAAGGTATAGAGAAACAGAGGAAATGACACAGAGCAGAACTCTAAACCACCGGAGGCTTCCCCTCTCCTTCACCTCCTTGATCCCTCGACTTCACCCGTCGATCGAGGACCTCATCCACGATACCCATCTCCCACGCCTCCTGCGCGCCCATGAAATAATCCCGCTCCATGAGCTTCTCAATCTCCTCCATCGACAACTCCTTCTTCCCCGTCAAATGGCGCTTATAGATCTTATTCAGTTGCTCTCGCACCCGCAGGATCTCCTTGGCATGGATGGCGATATCACTCGCCTGGCCGAAATACCCGCCCGAAGGCTGATGGATCATGATCGACGAATGCGGTAAACAGAATCGTTTCCCGGGGTGGCCGCCGCACAGGAGAAGGGAGCCCATCGATGCGGCTTGGCCGACGCAGATGGTGCTGACGGGTGAGGCGATGTAGGTCATTGTGTCGTAGATGGCGAGGCCTGGATATAGATCGCTAGTTAGTGGGGTCATTCTCTGTAGGATATCGTCGAGATTCGGGGAACAAGGTAGAGCAGATCTCACCGGCTGTTACGGACCCCCCAGGGGAATTGATATAGAGATGAATAGGTTTCTGTGGGTTATCGGCTTCGAGGAATAGCAGTTGCGCGACGATAGAAGCAGACATGGTCTCGTCGACTTCGCCATTGAGACAGATGATTCGTTCCTGCGCCAGTCAATTCCCTGTCCATGACACGGCCGTATTCGTCCATTAGAATGTGTATGTTAATACCTTAAGAAGTCTCGAGAAGATATCATCTGATGAGAGGGAGAGGCGTGGTTAGTATGATTTTGTTCCCCGGTTCCATACGATCCAATTCAACGTACATGTGTGCCAACCACCGCCCTAACATCATTAGCTCCTGTTCCCCTGGCGATGATCATATAAGAATAGAGAGCAGAACAAAACATACCACCGTCTCCGTCACAAAGGGCGTCGGAGTCCATCCTTGCGGAGTATTCCCCTTCGATAACGTCGGGATGGAGCTGGTGAAGCTGCGTGACAACGTGGGGAGAATCGACGAACAAGGGAGAACCTGACCCAGTCGCTGCAAAGAGCGGACTGGATTCATGCTGATCAGATTCACAATTAAGTATATTGAACAGAAAGCTGAGCGTACAATGGAGTGCTGTTGGTTGATTGATATGGCCAGTTAAGGTGAAGAGAGAGCCGCGCCAAGCATCGGAGCTACTTTCGTTTTCCCTCTCATTTCCATCTCCCGACTTTCAGTTAGTTTCCTGATCTCGTCCACGCAATGGAGTGTCTGCACAGTCAAATGTCGTACGCCTCGTGGCGTCTGGCGGTTTTTCGGCAGCTCTTTCTACCTTCTTCTTCTTCTTCCTCCTCGGGAGTATATAGCTCATTTCTTATCTATCGACGGAATATATCCTCGTTAAGTGACCACCCAGCTCAGAAGACTCCTCACGACAACACAAACAATACACAGCAAAGAGGAACCTGCGATGATGAACAACCTACACGACGACCTTCAGATCGTCTCCCCATGTCCCCACTGCTCACAAATCCCTATCTCAACCGCACCAAAAAGCACAAAAAACGGCCCCCCACCGCGGCGGACCTGACTGAGCTGCGTCAAAACCCCTGGGCCGTGGCTCTAGCGTCACCGGCACGCATGTGTTCCATAACAGCAGTGCGAGCGCCTCGTGCGCTCCTGACGGAATGGGGTCTAGTGCACCGACCCAACAGCGACAAATACTGGTTTCTGCCGACAGGGCTCTTGGGAGATGATATTATAGAACCCAAGAGCAACGACGCTGAGATAGCGGACTCATCTCAAGCGGCGGGACAGAGAGCCAGCTCCTGGCAATGTCTGAAGCTACGCACGATAAATAGTCTTTCTCTTCTGCGGAGAATGGAGATGCGGTTTTCGCAGTTTAAGACCAAGCCAAGAAAGCCGAGCTCGCCAATCATGCGCCTGGTTCCTTATCGGTGGAAATATCCAAATGGTCCGATTACTGCGCATGAAGCGAGCTTGTTGGTCTGGAGACGGGGAATGCCCGACTTTGTTCTGGAGAAGATGAGGGTGGATGTTCTGAAGAGGTTGAAAAATGTCTCGGGGGCCCAGTATGATAAGCATGAGAGAGATGGCGTGTGGAGGTGTATTGAAATGGACGAAGTCTCGGAAACTGTGCTTCTGCAGGGTCTGAAGCGTATGGGGTCTTTCGAGCGCGTAGAATGCGGTGCCATCTTGATCATGGGGTCGTCACAGGCAGGTGATGGTGCAGTCGCTGGCATGTATTCGTTGCCGGATTTTATTGCGCTTCCTCAGACGGCATCTAAGGTCCCTCTGTTTGATCTATCTCGACTCCTGTCCGACGCGGAACGCGACGAACTGCGACGATTCGATCCGAGGTTCCAGAACATGGGACTCTATTTTCGACCCAATGATGCTACAACCATCGATGCGTTTCTGGCCCTGTGGAAGCTCCAGGGGCTTGTCAGGCACGGTTAACATATGAAATTTTATATGTGACTCTGAGAATTGATTCACGCCCCGTCTTGAATTGACCATGGGCCATAGACCAGTAATTCTATCTATAGGTATCGTGTATATATGCGTTCTATCAATCAACAAAATGCCATTTCTCTTGTCCCATCCCCCATGTCTATCCAAATCGAGACATTCCACTCAATCCGACTCCAATAGATCCGAGAGCTTATCCAAGTACGCGAGAGGCTTCACAGACCCATTCACAAAGTCCTCCTTGGAACAAACCCCGGTAAGCACACCCAAAGTGCCACCCAATTTCCCTTCCAACCCAAACCGAATATCAGTATTCACACGGTCCCCGACCATGCATGCACGACTCCGATCAAACTTGAACTTCCCCTCAATAGCATCCATCATAGCCTGGTTAGGCTTCCCCAATGAGACGGGCTCCTTCCCAAGCATCATAATCAATGGGGCGCTCATGGATCCTGCACCGGGGAACAGCGAGCCCAAGTTCGGCAGCGTGGAATCGATATTCGTAGCCAGGAAAACAGCGCCACGACGAACGTAGTGAAACGCTAACGACAGTTTCAGATAATTGACGTGGAAATCCAGTCCGACCAGAACGACTCCCACCTCCGGGTCAATCAGGGATGAGTCGCCCGCTGAGATCTTCTTGTAATCTTCTGCTGTGATTTCGCGACGATACGCGGGATCTGTGCCGCCGATGAAAGGCACGTTCTCAGAGCGCAACTCCTGCTCAACTCCTGTTTCGCCTATCACGAAGACCTTGCGCTTGTTCTCTGGGAGCTGTAGGATGCGAGATATGTAGATGGAAGCGCTGTAAGATGAGGAGAAGATCTCTTCCTGTAAAAGCAGGGAACTAGTTAGTGGTGGAATTGGAATTGGAATTGGAATTGTGGTTAAATAAAACATACAGTTGATGCCGGAATGCCCAACGATTCTAGTTTCTTCTTGTAATCTGCGCGCGACTTGGTGCTGTTGTTTGTGACAAACACCACTTGCTTGCCTGGGAAGGAAGGTAATCATTAGCTCCTTTCTATCCTGGGATTCTTCACACTTGTTCAACAGAGTTGTATTACCTCGACTGCGCAACAATTCCAAGGTCTCGTTCGTTCCGGGGAAAAGATGATCGCCCGACCAGAGGACACCTATACCCATGCACTTTCGTTCAGTATACGTATACTTGTCTCGCATGTTCCGAATCCGGAGGACCAAGATGGAGGGTACGAACCGTCACAATCGAACAAGAAGACCTAGCACATTGCTGAAATTAGCCACGTCTGCGCTGCACACATCCGTATACGTGATTCCGATCATCACTTACATCGAATCTGTCGAGGAATTCTCGTATCCCAGCTCCATCGCCGGTCAGATGGCGGGGTGCGGATGTCATCGCGGGGTATGTCTGCGTCACTTCTGAACCAGACATGGCTTTTTTGGGTTGATATCTTCTTGTTTACAGGAATGGGGTATTCTATACCAATGATCTATACCAAATACTCGGAAAAAGTTAATGAGGAAGAGAAATTGGTGTGGCGGTCGAACTCAACCAGAGTTACTGTCCGATCCGTAGATGACACGGCTGCACGTGGCTTGCTTGGCTCAGGCACCGGTTCAATGCCGATTCTATGTCTATGAATCTACAGAACGCTGGAACAGAATTAAGCAGTGCAATGACACGGCTGATATAATACATCCTAGCACTAGATATCATTAAATCTCGTACAGTCATAATTTTTCTAGCAGGAGACCTGATCGCATGGCGATATCCCCAACACAATCCCAACGTCGGGAGGGCGATTTACTCCCGTCCTCTTGTCTCTCAATCGAAACCACAACTGTGGGGTCGAGATTGGGGAAATCAAGCCAGCTGACGTGGCTGTCGCGATCCGCGTGAAGGCATGTCGAAGTTATGTCGCTATGAATATCCTGATGAATATGCAGAGAGCTGTAATCCTCAAGCTTCGACTAGACATGATCACTAGGATCCACCCAGAATGCCAGAAACCTTGAGCGCTGCATCCAGTATAGAAAGATGTTCATCCGCGCCATCAACCAGTCGTTTGTCCATTTCCGAGAACACCATGACGATTTTGTTCTTTTGGCTGTCCGGGATGGCGTCGTTGTAGACCATTCGTCGATACAACTGATCACGGTTCAGCATTGTTCAACATTCTTTTACTATTATTAAACATACCTGTAAGAGAAGTTGGGTTGCGCTCCATCCATCGGCGATGGTATCGGTGATTACCTTCGAGACTGAATCATATGAAGAGCCGAATCTCTTGGGCTGCATAGCTCGAACCAACTGGTCCAGAACGCTCTCAGGTACTACACCGGCTATTTCCTCTACCATTCTCACAGTTACTATTTGTGAAATTGCATCACTCATCTCATCATCGTCGTCATCTTTTTTCCTGTCTGTGTTATTGGCGCCCACCAACCTTGCTGCACTCTGCAGGTACATAATGGCGCGACGCAAGTCCCCCTCGCTGCATTGAATTAGCTTATCAACGACTCCCTTCTCCAAATTTACATTCTCCATCTTTGCAATATCGCCCAGTCGCTCACCCGCCGCAGAGTTATCCAACGGCTTGAAACGAAACTTGCTGCACCGACTTGCCAGTGGTTCGATGATACGCGTAACATAATTGCAGACAAGGCAAAAGCGAGTGATTCGGCTGTACTGCTCCATGGTGCGTCGAAGGGCAGATTGGGCATCCTGGGTCATGCTGTCTGCTTCGTCCAGAATGATGATCTTGAAAGGCGGGCAGGGATATTGAGAAAGGTATGCCTGATCCACTCCCGTGGTATGAGTAAGTTGTGCTCGGGCAAAGTTCTTGACCTTCTCACGGACGATGCCAATACCACGTTCGTCCGAAGCGTTCAGTTCAAGAATTCGAGAGCGGTAGAGGGTAGGTCCGAATAGAGACTTTGCAAGAGCGAGGATCGTCGACGTTTTTCCTGTCCCGGGAGGTCCATAGAAGAGCATATGCGGAAGCTAGTTCATTAGCAAGTGTAGCCAAAAATGCAGGGTGAATGCAAATAACTGCTTACATTAGATGCTTGTAAAGTCCGCTGGAGGACCTTGGTTGTATGATCTTGGGCAGCTACATCGTCTAACGTCTTAGGGCGGCTGGAGGTATGTCAGTAATTCCAGCCTTCAGGGGTATACAATGACTAGCTCGTACTATTTTTCAACCCATGGCTGTTGCCGCGGCTGCGTCTCCTTCTCGTTCGCCTTCTGCTTCGAGCTACCCGGAGTTCCCACTGCCGCAGCACGGGCTTTGTTGCTGAAGAAATTAGCAGCCATTACTAACGTGATGGAATGAGAATCTGGATCTAGGAGGACGATTTTTGATTCATGGAAAGGGGTCGAGTATGAACATGCGCAATGGTTGTCCAGCGACGCCGCCGATGGAGGTCGTGTCAAGACGCGTTCCCACGTGATACGCGAGTTGACGCCAAGACTTTAATTGTTCTGAAGATGGAGTTGATCATCGTCATTTCAGCTGCACTTCTACAGATATAATGGTGCATTATTATATTATGGAAATTCTCGTAAAAAGTCATGCCATCTATCTATAGCTCATCCTTTCTATGCTGCCATACTTCCGTAGCCTCGTACATTCTCTTCTTTGTATTTCGCGACCTTTCGTCTTGCGTTCGCGTCTCTTCCAAAGGCACACCATTCACGATAGCTTCTTGGTTCCCGCTTGTCTCGACCATCTCCCCGATCTCATCAATCATACGATCACCGGCTGAGTCTTTGGTGGCAGTAGCCTGATCCCAGATGGCATCTTCACTCGCAGCCTCCACGCTCGGTTCTACTTTCGGTGTTAAATTAGGCGTTTCTTGAACCAGCGTATCACTAGGTGTAACAGAAGGAGACGGTTGAAGTGCCATGTTGGAGACACCCACAACACCAAGAAGAGCGAAGACGAATCTGACTGCGAGTTTAATAGGCAGCCACACCAACCACCAAAGGGGTCCGTATAATATGCGTCGAAATAGGAGCCACGCAATAGTGCCAACTAATATGTAAAAGGCAGTCTCAAGGTACCAGGTATCCGACTTCTGTGAGCGAAGAAGGGAGCCGATCAGACTGCGTGATGATGAGAGAAGGGAGTCGAGATCAGTGTATGATTCCGAGAGTGATGACAGGACGGCGGTGGAATGCTCTGTCGTTCCTCATCAGCAATGGCCATATTATACAACGGCGATGAAACATACCCAAGGTCTCCTGTGCGAATTGGCTTCGCGAGAGTTCTGCCTGCATCAGCTGATGCGTTCGCCTCAGCGCCGCCGTAACGTCGTTGGAAGCGTTGACAGTTATTTCATCCTGAGTGAGCCTATCAGTCGATTGCGTCCGCTTTTCGGCATTTTGCGACCTCGCAAATAGAAGCTCTCTCTCTTTTCGCCTGGCGAGTTCTGCGTTCCGTTTGGCCTGAAGCTGCGCATTCCGAAAATCCGCTCTCGTCCTGTGGTGGAAGGCATTATCAGTAAATGAAGTCCAACTATACATCTATATATGGGAGAATGTAGATATTAATAAATCGACTCACGTCTTTAAGTCCTCCGTCAGCTTGCCTGCCGATGCAACGACTCGTTCTCTTTCCAGTTCCTTCTCGTTATCCAGTGTCTTTCGCCTGACTTCCGGACCAGACTCGAGGGCTTCAACGTCAACCTTCAATATCTCCAGCTGTTCTTCTGCCTCCTTCAGCAGACCGTGTATCTCAGCGCCCAGCTCCAGACGAGCTTCATCGCCCTGTCCAACGGCAGAGGTGAAATTGCGCAATCGGGAAACAAGCGGATGGATCCGACCAAGGGAGGCAGAAAGCTCCTTCAATCGTGTATGAAGAGTAGAGACCGAAGACATCGTGTAGGATAAGGACAGAATTGCAATATCAATAGCGGGGGAAACGATGTCGACGTCGGTGAATATAAGGACCCTCAGGTCAAGATTCAGTAACGTTTCATATGTACTAGGTATCTTGAATACAATGTGGGAAAAAATAAAAGAACTCAAGCAGCATCTCCATACGGACGGAAATCTCGACGTGGTCGACCTAACTGCAACAGCGTCATCGGGTCTGGTTCCTCAGGCCAGATAGCGCCCATGTTTGCATCTCTGACAAACACTACCAAATGGCTTCATCCGTTCCGAGCGAGGGAAGTGCGGACGATTTTCCAGGGTGAGAGCGAACACTATTCCTACGCCAATTGTGTTTCATTATTTGCACTATAAATCAGTGTCGGGCTAAGAAGCATCCGGTATTTTCCCTCGCAGGATTGAAAACAAAATTGCGCATCGTGGGTCCCTAAGGGTCAGTCCAATCTACCTTCATATCATAAATAACTTCAACTAACCATGACTCCAGAGAGGAACCGATCTATTTACTAGATTAATCCCGCATTGCAGAATCAGTCACCATGACAATCCCTCGCGAGGCCATCACCTCCTTACGAACAACCTTCAACCCATTCGCTCGGACCGCGCGTCCCTGCAGGCTTCTACTCTCCCTGCTACGCAATCCCTCCACCACCCCGGCGTCGAGTCCCACGCATATCGATATCAAGGTGACCCAGCTCCCGCGCCAGTCGACCCAACCGCCGGAGATCACGGTGGGATTCAAAGGAGGCAAGGAACTTAAGATCGAAGTGGGGAAGCGGCAGATGAAGATTGGAGATGTAGTTGAGGAGATCGCGCGAGTGGGCCGGGTGATTGAGAGAGAGGAGAGTTTGAAAGGTTAGCCTCAGCGTGATATTCTGCGCGTACTTTTTTTTTTTTTTGGGTCGGTCTGTTTATGATGGGATATGGGATTTGTGTGTGCCTAGGGTGCTCAGAGAAAAGATCTCGCGAGATGTTGAGTGGTCGTGGTTGAAAGAGAAGTTGATTATCTATAGCATTACGATACTGTTCATGTGTATATATATACTACCTCGTTGTCGAGAGATACTCCATTACTTCTTTTTTTAGTACATCACATCTACATTCGTCTGTTGTACACTTTCGACGACTACGGGAACAAATGTTCTATACGGTTATCAGTAAACAGTTACGGTGAGAATACCAGGAATAATGTCTCAGACAGAACGGGTTGAATAAGCAGGATCCGCCCATAGGGCGAACTGGACGAGGTTTGTTTTATTTTTACGACTTTTCTCCAAGGCAGATTTACACAGCGGCACCAGAGATGAAGAACCACTTGTCAACGCTGCCATCGATAGGAGCAGGGGGCAAGTTCTCACCCTGCGGAATGGTCGCAAGCAGGCTGGGATCAGCTCGGTCAGCGCAATCCTGGACGGAAACATTGGCACTGTGAGGACGATTAGCAAGCTGAACCCCTGGCAGACCAGAGAGCAGGTACACTTACAGGCTGATTTCGCCCCGGGGGGCCTTGCCAGAGACAAGTTTCTCCCAAGCGTCGGCGCACTCACGGACGACATCCAGAGCATACCTACGAAAAAGATTGGGGTTAGTCTCCACCCAACGATACAGGGAGAGTCGGACCGAGTTCCAACGCACTTCTTGTTCTTGCACTCGCCGGAGAAAGCGAATTGGTTCTCAGGCTTGCCATCGGGGATCTTGTAGATACGGAACCACTCGTTGGTGGCACGGAGAAGGCCGGGCAGATGGCGCTCGACATCCTCAATGTCATTCAGCTTAGGAGCCAAGGGGTCGTTGATGTCGATGACAATGATCTTCCAGTCGGTCTCCTCCTCGTCGAGCAGAGCCATCACACCGAGCACCTTGACCTGCTTGACCTGGCCGGGGTAGCCGACGAGCTCACCGATTTCGCACACGTCCAGCGGGTCGTTGTCGCCCTTGGCCTTGGTTTCGGGGTGGACCGTGTTGGGGTCTTCCCAAGTCTAGGAGGGACGAGTTACTACGGAGGACGTACAGAAATGAAAGGGGAGATGGCATACCTGAGGGAAGGCACCGTAGTTCCAGAGGTAACCCTTGTGGGGGAAGCAGTTGCGGACGAATCGCAGCTTGCCCTTCTTGGTGTCCTGCTTGATGGGATTGAGGAACTCCTCCTTGGAGATCTTCGGGAAGAAAGTCAGCGTGCCGAGTTCTCGTCTTGGATCGTCTATCCAGTAGGTACTGGTGTCCATCGCGATCGTACCTCCTGCTTGGCGTTGGTCCAGCGGGGAATCTCAACCACCATGTTGAGGATGGTCTGCTGCTCGTTGGCGTAGAGGGGGATGTCATGGAAGGGCGAAACGGGCTGACCATCACGCTCGATGAAGACACGGTGCTCCAAAGTGTTGGGCTGGCCGATCTTGCGAACAGTGTAAGACATGGTGGGCGAAGAGGGGGTGGCAGAAGAAAAGTGTCTAGAAAGGAGAGCGGCACGAGATGAGGCTGATGAGACTGAAGGATACAGTCTGGAAGGGGAAGATAAGAAAGGGGAAGAAGAGGGAAGAGAAGAAGAAGAGGAAGAGGAATAGGGAGAGAGAAGAGAGGAAGAGGGGGCTTGTTTAGTGGGGGGAGCCAGCGTTGCGGATGTGCACCGCGAGAAGCGGGTGAGAATCGGACAGGCGGTGGGCTGCAGTAGTCGGATTGACGGCCCTAGGGACATTGGAATGGAGCCAGGAGAAGGTAATTGGTGATCGGAGTCGTTTTTAAAATCTTGGGGGGACGTGGCTATCGGTGGATTTATAGAGAGCTCCTTATTCACGCGGAGGACAAAGAGAGGAATTTGTCGGGATGTCGGGACGTCTTCCAGTCACTCCGAGGCTCCCAATTCTCTCTAGGATCTTCCCTTCCGACCAATCTCACGATCTACGTACTTCGATGGTAGTTCTATTCTCTAATCTTAATGACCTAGTGCTGCTGCTCCTGAGGAAGTGATTCAACACTCTGCTTGTCATTTGTACTGCTGTGCTACCTGTCCTAGCTAGATTGTCACTGGCTTCTCCGGTGAAATAATTAGGACGTGCTCCACCAGACCCATTCATGATTCCACCGACAGACGGACAACTCAAGGGCTGTGAGTTTCTTTTCTTTAGGTCTTGGTCATTGCACTGCTTGCGAACTGGGAAAAGTTCGCTCTGAACCAGGCAGAACGACAGTTTATTCGATTTGGTCTATATATTATTTATTTGCTATTACTTTCTTTATATTTCTGTATATTTTTTTTATTGTTTTATTTCTATTATTGTTTGATTATTTTGTAATTTAACTATTACTTATATCAACGCATCTGGTTATATAGAGAAACTGTATACTTGGTCTTTGGCAAAGGCAATGTGGTGCCTCGAAGTATCTGTTGGTACCGAGGGGTACCTAAGGCACGTATGGAGTACTGTACTGCCATTACCGAAAAAATACATCAAGGGAAAGATTTGTCCGCTATCTTCACGTGAGCCCCAACTTTTTCCTCCGCCTCCGATCTAAAGATCTGAAGACCAAATCGTTCGATCATTCTATAGCGATTTGGGCTGTCTCAAGCGCGGACTGGTCAACCCAATCGTCATCCTCCCCCCTCCCTTCCCTCTCTTCGTGCCATTCATGATATGATTAGGCTCCTTCGCTCCGCCATGGCTTCACTCACTTCCCCTCCGCGCGTACCCATCCCTGCCAACGGCGTCGACTACCGTGGCAAAATCGTTCTGGCCCCGATGGTCCGTTCGGGAGAACTACCATCTCGTATCCTCGCCCTTAAATATGGTGCTGATCTGGTCTGGGGTCCCGAGACTGTCGACCGCGCCATGATCGGTACCGCCCGCCGTGTCAACCCCCGCAACGGTACCATCGAGTTCACCCGATGCCCCTCCAACGGTGGACGGCGAGACAAACCTTTCGAGGAATCCATCTTATACCGCATCGATCCCGCCTGGGAGAAGAAGAAGTTGATCTTCCAGATCGGTACCGCCTCGCCGGAGCTAGCGGTGGAAGCCGCCAAGTTGGTCGCCGGCGACGTGGCGGGAATCGACGTGAACTCGGGATGTCCCAAACCCTTCAGTACGCATGCCGGAATGGGCGCGGCCCTGCTGCGCACCCCGGATAAGTTATGTGCCATTCTCGAAGCGCTGGTCCGAGATGTTGGCATCCCCTATCAGATCGGGATCTCGGTGAAGATCCGCATACTCAGCAATGCCGAACAGACGGAGCAACTGGTGTCACGGCTCGTGAAGACAGGAATCACCGGGTTGACGGTCCACTGCCGCACGACACCCATGCGACCCCGTGAGAAGGCCATCCGAGACCAACTGCGAATGGTCGCTTCGGTATGTCGCAATGCCGGGGTTGCGTGCATCATGAACGGCGACGTGACTTCGCGCGATGAGGGACTAGCCCTGATGGAGGAATACGGCGTGGATGGGGCGATGATTGCAACTGCTGCTGAATCTAATTCATCCTGTTTTCGTTCCCAGGAAGACGGTGGCCTCCTGCCGTGGAGAGAAGTCGTTTACGAGTACCTGCGATCCGCCATTGACTCCGAAAATCGTTTCGGCAACACCAAGTACCTATTGAATATCATGATCCCGGGTAAAGACAAAGAGTTTAAGGATGCCAAGAATGCGAAGACATATTTCGACTGTTGTCATCTGTTGAAATTCGATGACTTAATGCCCAAGGCCCTCCAAGTAGACGAAATTCTCAAACTCTCCGACAAGTCCATTTTCAAAGACTCATCCGATGCACGCAGCAAAGCTGTTCAGAATGCCCTCGAGAACAACGAAACCGCTCGAGCTGCCAGCGGTGTTACTGCTCGACCCAAGTCGTCTTCGCCCGTCGTGACCGCGGGGGGTCCAATTCGCGCCAACTTCATTCCCATCCCGACTGCAAAGACTGATCATGTAGATGCTCCTGTGCCAGAGGAGACTCTCCAGAAGCAAGAGCTAGCGGTGTAACTGCTTGGACAAATATGTCCGCTCCTTTTTCATTTTCATCTTTTTTTTTTTTTTTTGCCCTATCGCATTACCCTGGTGTTCAGCATTCAGTTGTTGCTTTTGGAGTTTTATGATAGATTCCCATGGTATTTCATGTCTTTTTGAGCTCATGTCTCTCCTCGCAGTACATACTGCATACTCATCGTCTATATAATTGACTAGCAAGCTTACAGAACAAAATAAAGGAAAGTGCTTGGTTAATACATAGAACATTTTATTCAACTCCATTGTATAATCAAAACATATGTAAGAGCACTCCAGTTGTAACTCAGGACCAAATCGTATGATCTATTAATCTCCATTATGGAAGATAGCAGAGACTCTAGCTAACCAGTCATACTCCTTTCTATTAGAATAAGGAAGAAAGAAAGAGAATGGGAAAAGAAAATAGACAAGTTCCAACACAGGCTAACACGACGCCACAAGAACCCCGATTTTGCCTCCATGGCAAAATTCAACGTTGTACATACGTCGTGACAGTATGACAATATGTAAAGAACCAGATCGCTAGTACAATGTCATTGTAAACAAAAAAGAAACGAAAATGTGTCGCACAATAGATCTACCCTTGTACAAAGTATCACGTAGAGTTAAATACTAACACCGATGAAAATCAGTGCTCATCACTCTTGTAACTGCACATGGGTCGGCGAAGCCAGAAAGGAGGAAAGGAAAGGACAGATGTCCTCAAAATTATGAATCCTTTTTCTCTTCATTCAGATCTGCAAGGACCATATCTTCAACCACTTTCATGCCAGCCTCCTCGGTCTTCTTGGACTCGATGCCATCTTCGCCCGCGACGGCTTGATCCAGAGCAAGTTTGGTCTGGCCAAGAGCGTAGATCTGTTCCTCAATCGTGTCCTTGGTCACAAGGCGAACAACTTCAACTTCGCGGGTTTGACCAACTCGGTGGGCGCGGTTTTCAGCCTGCACATCCTCCTGAGGATTGAAGCTGGAGTCGAAGATGACCACCTTGTTGGCACAGGCAAGGTTGATACCTGCGCCGCCGGCTTTGGTGGAAAGGAGAAACACCGGGATGTCGGTTCGTTCATGGAAAGCATCGAGAATGGACTGACGGTCTTCGACATTTGTCCGCCCGTCTAGCCGGACAAAGCCAACGTGCTGATGTTCGAGCACATGTTCAAGGATATCCATGACCATGGTGAACTGAGAGAAGACCAAAGTGCGATCCCCGTTTTCCTTAAACCGCTGGAGCAGCTCGCAAAGCTTGTCCACCTTCCCCGAATCCATCCACTCGTCGTTCTTTAAAACGAACTTCCCAAGAGATTTCGGGTAGTTGACGCACATGGTATGGCATTCGAAATCATTGTAGGCTTTCAGCTCGTCGAAGATGATGTCCGGATTAGACATGGACCATTGCTCTTCTTTTAAGCACGCCTTGGCCATTCGGCTCAGAATAGTGTCCTTATAGTGGCGGCGGTATAGAAGGGGATGGATGGCCGCTTGGCGAAGCTTCATTAAAATATTGGCAGACTTGTTGCCCGTCTTTTTACCAGCTGCTCGGTCAGCTAAAAGCCTACGCACCTCTTCCTTTTCGTGTTCGTAGATCTCCCGCTGTGCATCGTTGAGCTCACAATACTCCACGCGAGAGGTTTTTGCAGGGAGATCAATGACCTGATGTTTCTTTCGTCGTAAGATAAATGGCTTCATCATGGATTTCGCACGTTCAATGCGCTGGGCAGAAAGGAGCGTGGAGTGGGACTCGTCAACAGTCTTCGCCTTGTTGGCAAAGACATATTGGAGATCGTCTTTGCGTTCCTGGAAGACTTTCGGGAGAATAAACCCAAGGAGTGATGCAAGCTCCTGCAGGTTATTTTGAAGAGGCGTTCCCGTCAGTAGCAGCCTGAAGCGGGCTGGGATCCGAATCAGCTTTTCATACAAGACGGACGTCGAACTCTTGAGCATGTGCCCTTCGTCATAGACACAGACACAGAAATCCATGTTGCGCAGGAAATGTGCGTCAACCTTGGCCTTCGCGATCGTATATGTAGTGATAATTACATTGATGCTGTCTCGGTTGTCTTCGATCGTTTCCCGGATCATCGCCCGCTCCGCTTGGCCAGCATAGTATGGCATCACTGAGAGGGTGGGGCAGAACTTCTGGAACTCTCTGAGCCAGTTTTCGATGGTGGAAGAAGGCACCACGATCAAATGAGGGCCCTTGAACCCCTTCTCATACAGATGGGCCAGAAAGGCGATGACTTGACAGGTTTTCCCGAGGCCCATATCATCCGCCAAGATGCAGCTCAGCTCTTTTTCAAACAGCAACGACAGCCAGTTGATGCCGACGATTTGATAATTCTTCATCTTCAGGTCTTCACGCATAATTGCAGGCTGGGATATGTATCGGCCTTTGCGAGAGTTCGAGGAAGGCCCGTCACTATCTTCATCGGACCGCTGACTGGCTGGAGTCCCAATTCCGGAATCGTGCGATGCTCCAGGATCCATTGATACCAGCTCTAATTCTCCATCGCGCTTCCCAAAGATGTCCACCCCCCATTTCTTCATCTCCGCCGCGACTGGCTTACCAAGCGCCTCGCAGCGAGCAACCAAAGAATCAACCGCTTCATATCCCACCCACATGTCGAGGCATTTATCCACAATTTTGTCGCCAATTGGTTTGGGTGTCTTCCGCCCGCGGCTGCCCTTGGGCTTTGCGGCTTGCGTACTGGCGGGAGCAGGAACAGCACGAACCTCATCTAGAGTCGCGAATGGGCGATGGGAGATTATGAGCTCGGCAATCTCTTCAGTGGTCGCCGCAATGTCGGCCAAGTCGAGCATGTTGCAACTGTTGAAAAAGTTCAACACTTTCGTCTCCAACTGTTCACTACTCTCCGGCGCAGCGTCAATCGCGGAGTCCGAATCGTCCGATATTACCAAGGGCGCCTCCGGTGACTCTGAGCGGTTAAGCGAGGGGCGCCTCCGTCCCTGGATTAGTCGACCGGGTTTCTTCTTCGGGGGCGACTCAGAGCGAACGGGACTTGGAGAAGCGACACGGTTCTTGGGTCCCCTCATCAAGCGCCTTAGTGGCTTGGACTCTTCCTGCGAGGGTTCCGTCTTCTGGCTGCCGCGATTCTGCAGGTTCATGGCAGCCCATTTATCGTGTATTGTGCCCCGAGCTTTGATCTGCTGCTTCGCCGGCACATTGGATGATACATGGTTGCCCATACTTAGCTCATCTTCGGACGAATCAAGCCTCCCAGTCACATAAATCTCATCGGCGCTGGCTAAGCAATCTAGCGCATCATCATAATTTCCGCGTTTGAGTAGGAGGGCCTGCACACAAGCCTGAACCGACTTCTGGGGCATTATTTTCAGCATTCGTTCCACCTTCACTCGCGTCTGATAATCTTCGATATCCTGTAGAGATGAAATGTTCACCTGCACTGGATGCGCACGGGAAGGCGCATCCTGGCGGGGCCGTTTAACCGGAATCCCTTTCGGGGCAGGGTCCATTTGAGCGGCAGGGCGTTTGGGGCTCATGGGGTTGTACATCGCCGACGCAGTGATCTCTTTGAACCGATTGATCGATGGATCCCCTCCGGGAGGGGAGTCCATGACCTTTTCGGGGCTGCGAGTAGATTTGGTGAACATAGAGGGTTTAATATCCGTGCTCCTTGCCGTCTGGCCGTCGTCGTCGGAAGATCCGCCACGATACGTCGGGCCTTCGTCGAGGTCGATGACCGGAGCACGCTTGGCCGGTCCTGCGGAGACAGGGGGACGGAATTGAGTGCCAGTAGGAGCCATGATGTTGGCAAGACGACCGCCGACCGGAGTAGGACGAGATGGTGAGGACGCCGGGCCCAACGGAGAGGAAGCGACAACCTGGACAACCGAAGAATTTCTTTTCGCAGATGGAGGGGGCTCCACAAGCTGGGTCGGTTGGGTTAGTCGTTGAGAAGCCGGGGTCAATTGCGTGGTGGGAGGCTGGTGATGGTTCGCCAGCGGCACGGTGGCAACCGTCTCATATTCTGCATCGTCTTTGGGCGGAGTGCCGTGAACGACCCTTTTGTCACGAACCGGCGTATCAGGGACCGAATCGTCCATAGTGAAGGCGTCCCAGTGAATAATCGCCCGGTCCTAAGAGGAGCTCTCTGCTTCCTCCCTCTCGGTCTCCGCAAAAGAGGGAAAAGAAAAAGCGTTAAACATAAAAGAGTAGAGAGAAAAATAGAGATGAAAAGAAACGCGCCAGACGCGCCCGGTCACGTGGGTTGGCGCTTCAATTAAGACGGACAGGGAAAGCTGTGGATGGCGGCGACGGACGACCTAAAACGAGTGAATATCAAGCATCGAAGATGAGATAGGAAGAGAAAGAGTGAAAGAGTGAAAGAGACCCAAGTCTAACATCGGCTCGACAGCTTCTACCAGAATCGCCACTCAGGGACTCAGGGACCAACAAGGGAAAACTGGAGTCCGCCATAAAAGCGTGGGGAAACCATCAGTCCGTCTCAGCTCCGGGGCCAATGGGGAGACACAACACCCAGACGTCCATATTTCATTGCCGATCAAAACACTATACAATCAACTCATATCGTTCCTTTCTCCCTTAATTCTCATTCAGTCATCCGTCTTTCTGCATCCTCATCCTCTCTGGCTCCTCTCTAGCTCCTCCCTTGCTATCAGTTTCCCCAACAAGTCTACCATGGCCAGTCGTCGCCCTCAGGCGCAGTCTGCTGCTGCTCCTCCTTCCGTAGGCGAGAAGCCATCCGATTCCGATGTTACTCCTGCAGTTCCCTCGTAAGTTCATCTCTTGACTATGGCTCTTGGTGAACGTTCGACTATATATCAGATATCGACTGTCACGAACACTGACTTGACATTGCAGAAATGTCATCTTTAAATTGTTAGGATTCAGTGCCGCAATGATCTCATCTCCCATTGGCATGTACTTTGTGGCTGTGGAGTTTGGAGGTGATTATTATCTCCGCTTGCCTATTTGGTTCTTCAACGGTGATGTTTTATCTAACCACAGTGCAGCCAGTTCAACGGTGGCTGGTATTGCGGCAGCAATCACCGCCAATGTGGTCCTATTCGCATACATCTATGTTGCATGGCAAGATGACCAAGAAGAGAGAGAAGCCTTGGCCAAGAAGAAGGAAAAGAAGGCTCAGTAGGATGAGATCCCGGGTATTGATGCCTTTTACTCTGTTACACCTGTTCGATGTATTAGGTCTTAGGTACCGGGTTTATATCTGTCCCGGTCACTCGCATTTGCTTGGATGGCGTTTTGAGGCAATCAACTATGGCAGGTCTATCGTGTGTGGATTTGAATGGATTCTTTAATATCACGAAGTATGAATATCAGCTAGCAAAAATGTCATGATTGGGTTCCTCTACTGGCAAGTTACGTGAATAACGCAAATAATTCATCAATCATCTAATCTCCAATGGAACCCACCCGTCCTCTCTATGGCTTGCAATACAAGAATATCCAGTCCATGTTGAATAGCTGCGCCTGGCAATGCACTACCAAATGAGTATCAAACAGTGAAGGAAAAGAAGAAGAAAAATAAAAATAAAAAGCTTTACAAACAACATAGAATTAATCACGGCCTTCTCTTGACAAACTCTCCCAGATCTGCCTTGGTAGCAACTCCGAGCACAAACTTGCGGGTGGCATCCGTCACCACAGCGAAATCCTGCTTCCCCCTATTCTCCCCATTGGGGCCCGTTTCACTCTCGAAGAATTGCTCCAGCTCCTCCAGAGGAGTCTCCATGGTAATGACCTGGTACGTGCCCCGTTTCCGGTTGAAGCGCTGCATCGCCGCCGACACGGAATCCGAGTCTTTCACGGTTCCTTCTTTCAGCATCTCCTTGAGCCGAGGGATGCTGAGGTATCCCAGCAGAGATCGTTTCGTCGACGAGATCACTGTGAGGTGGGTGTAATCGCGCTCATACGCCGCCATTAGAGCAGAAGATATCGGATCGCTGGGGGAGACCGACAGCGCCGGCGGGGGTTCCAGATCCTCGACCGTAGCCTATACCTGGCGATGTCAGTTATAGGGTTTTTGCTGATCAGCCGCGGAGCTGACATGAGTAGGGGAGATGACTGACCCCACGATATTTATCAGCCCATGCGGAGTGCGATGTGGACTGTTCTACGTCGGGGGAGAGTTTTTCGCGGGCAAATGCCTCACTAGCCGTCAGATATGAAGCCATATCAATAAGTCGCAGGATGGAGGGATTTCGGTGGAAGGTATCGCAGGAGATGTTCAATTGACGCCTCAGCAGCAACTTTCAATATGAAAATAACCAGGTGGATAACGTAGTTACCGACCAACAAGGTATGCAAGAACATGTGCTTAGTGGAAGTCCGATCAACGGATGAGGCAATATCCCCGCCAAGACTGTCCGAGTCACTCTGCGACGTCATTACTGCTGACTCATCGGCCAGCGGCTTCGCGTAGTTACCTAGTTAACTCCGGTTTCAGACCTCACGGAGATAACTTTAGCTTCACTACCCGTCCTGTAGTTAAATAACTAATTCTACTCTCTTCAGTGCTCACCTTACCCTGCGCTGTGTACCCCTATCACTTTTATTGTTTCTCTCAGTCTGGACGTCTTCCTCACCCTCTTGGCTGATCATTGTTGGTTCCCATCGATCACCACCCCCCCAATTTAAGAGTGGAGACTATACTCGGTGTACCATACTTTGGCTCCGTATCTCTGATTGTTTGACGGAGGTGGAACTGAATTCTGTCAATTAAAGCCTATATTTCATCATGCTTCCCTCTGAAAGCCATATCGTGAGCGCCCTCGCTCCCCATTATCCGCTGCCTCGGGTTGAGGAGTACTCTCAGTCATCATCAACAAGGCGGAAACCTTTCCCAGCCTGGAGTGTGATCGATGATACCAAGAAGTCAGCGGACGCTCTTGCTAAAGAAGTAACACGGGAGTTCAATGTCGCGAGCGAAAAGGTGCAAGCGAGGACAGGTCATATAGAACCATGGACTCCCAAGTATTATGCGTCTTGTACTTTCGGCGGACTGCTTGCTTGCGTGAGTATATTATTTTATATTTGTCTCCTATATCGGACTGAGTAGATGAAGTATATCCAGAATTCTAATGGCGAGTTCTCGAACAGGGTCTCACTCATACAGCTGTAACACCTCTAGACCTTATTAAGTGTCGGCGGCAGGTAGACCCGCTGCTGTATAAAAGCAACATGGAGGCTTTCCGTAAGATTCGTGGCGCTGAAGGTCTGAGAGGAGTGTTCACCGGCTGGAGCCCTACATTCTTTGGATACAGTGTAAGTTGGTCAATTAGAGTAGGCCTCGCGGCCACTGACTAACTGGATTCAAGGCGCAAGGAGCGTTCAAATATGGAGGTTATGAATACTTCAAGAAGTTCTACAGTGACTTGGTTGGAGCCGAAAATGCCAATCGCTGGAAGACTTCTCTGTATCTGGCAGCCAGTGCGTCAGCCGAACTCATTGCCGATGTGGCCCTCTGTCCATTCGAATCCGTCAAAGTGCGCACGCAGACCACGATACCGCCAGAGTTCCGCTCGACATTTTCTGGGATTTCCAGCGTTGTCTCGAAGGAAGGAGTTGCCGGGTGAGTACGTGCTATCGGTGTTGACGGATCACTAACCAGTTTCCCAGCCTCTACAAAGGACTGTACCCTCTTTGGGGCCGACAGATTCCATACACCATGATGAAGTTTGCCTCTTTCGAGACCATCGTCGAGATGATCTACAACACCCTTCCGGGTCAGAAATCCGACTATAACAAGGGAGCCCAAACCGGAGTAGCCTTTACTGGTGGTTATTTGGCCGGTATTCTTTGCGCCGTCGTGTCGCACCCTGCCGACGTGATGGTCAGTAAACTGAATGCGAACCGGCAGGCGGGTGAGGCATTTGGTGCGGCAATGAGCCGAATCTACAAGGACATCGGTTTCAAGGGCCTATGGAATGGTCTTCCTGTCCGAATCGTCATGATTGGAACTTTGGTAGGTTTTACCTGAGGAAAGAAACTGAAATATTGCTAATCTGGTTATTGTATAGACTGGATTACAATGGATGATGTATGTATTGCTACTGACTATTTGGGACCGAGTATACTAACACCTTCTAGCTACGACTCGTTCAAGATCTTCATGGGTCTTCCCACCACCGGAGGAGGACCAGTTGCAGAGAAAAAGTAGGAGTACCACTGAATGGTATTGATATGTTGTGTCGTAGCTGTAGCGATGATGCTGGAATCGTAATCGAGAAGACGTTCTCGAGCATGTACGATTGTGAATCTGAATCTCTTCTCCCTCTGTCTTTCTTATCAGTAACCGGGTTAGTCATGAATTCCCCGCAGGACTGTTATCTTATCGTCCACGCGACAGACGTCATTTCCAGGCATCATTGACATACATGGAATATCCCATCACTCGTATAAGATCCCGCTCATCTCTTTATCTGTCTTTGTATTCGTACAACCTCTAGGCGCACCGAGTCCGACTGAATGTCCGTCAGCGATATTGCAATCTTATTTATCCTTTACTAGTACACGATAGTACATGCTAGTACATACAAACCAAGCGGATATATCTGATCCTACATACATCATGGGAGAACACGACCCCATCGTATCACATGGCCGAGGAGGTCTGCCATCCTAATCTCATTTCATTCCACTTATATATATAAATCTAACGGATACATAAAAATCCCAGGCCAGGGAAACATCAGTGCCGACCCAACTCCGTACGCATCCTTTCTCTTCCTATCCTTCATCTTCTTCATCCCGATAATAACAGGAACAACGATAGCTACGTCGACGCAGGTATCATCCGTGAAGGCGTCTACGGCGACCAAGGCGATGGAGCCTATTCAGCTGGTGTAAGTCATACCGACCAACGTTCAGATAGGTGTAGGCATCTATACAGATATCTATCACTTGCGCTATGCAAAGACCTCAATTGTTAAACATCTACCAGCGAGGCGGCGCAGGAAACATCGGCTCCCCACACGTCCGAGTAACTAGTAAAGTCCCCCACGATGCGCAAGTCATTCCGGAACTGGCGATTCGCAGTTCCACAGATGGGGATTACCATGTTGGTGTATGTTTTTCCCTTCCTTATTGTCTAAGAAGTCATGACTAACTAAGGAACTGATAGCGCGGCGGTCAGGGCAACGTCCATCTCGACGAAGAACACAGGAAACAGAAAGAGGAGAAGAAGCATCAGAAGTCGGTGACTCACAATGGACTGGCAGATAAGTTGAAATATATACTTTTTGGGAAGAACTAGCTTGGTTGATATTTTGTTGGCTCCCATTGTCACGATAGTACCTATTCTGATTAATTAATGTTGAGATTCTATCTCAATATGTACGATATAGCATCCAACATTCGAATCGAATCAGAGACTAGTACGCTGATTGGACATGGTCCAATGCCTCTCAGCCCTTCTCAGTAGTCTCTGATAGGATCTATAAATAGTTATATCCCTTCTTCGGATACTTTCGGCTTTGTTAGATGCATATTGAGGTTCAGAGTAATTACATATATGCATTTTTTCCACTGTTAACCCACTTCCAGCTCATCCATATATGCATACTCGTCTTTCTCTCCCCCTTTCTCGACCACATTGATTGAATATGGGAGGACCTCTCGCATATTCAGACTACCTGGAGGTGCAGAATATTCTGATGGAAATTGTTGGATCAGAGATGCAGTCGGAAGTTGGTAGTTCGGTGGAAATTCTCAAACCCAATATTAATTTCGTATCTTACAAGAAAACTGATACGACGAATCATAGTCGAGAAATCAAGAGATAACACCTCCCATATTATTGGTAGGGATGGTGTGAGCAATATTCCATAAAGGTTTAATAAATGCCATCGTACATCGCATGTATCGTGATCTCGTCAATCAATCGCAACGTCAAAGGTGGAGAGAAGACAAAAACAAAACAAAAACAAAAAAAAAAAAAAGACGAGGCCAAGATCAACAAACAGACTACAGATATAGTTCCCAGGTACTTATCCCGCCCGAATTTCCCATGGGATAGACGCCAGTTCAGATATTACATTGGTAGAAAAAAGAATCAGAAAATCACGCGCTCGAAGGTTCATACGGGGGAGAGGGAGAGGAGACTAATTCTTGCTGAACCTTCGTTTGAACCAGCTCTTTCGCTTCGTATCGCTGGCGTCGGAGGCATTGGTCTGCTTGCGCAGATGTTGACGATTGGAAGCGGCAGCAGCAGCTGGTCCACCAACAGGCCCACCAGCTGTCGGATCTATGACTGGGACCCCTCTGTTCACATTCATTTTGCCAGCTCCAGTCGCCCCTCGCGTTGCCTGGCCCTCCATGTTGAGCCCAGAGCCATATCCTTGGAATCCATAGCCATCTACCATCGCCCTCTCCTCCATACGTTGTTGATACTGTAGATGGTCGATGGAGCTGTTCACGGAGCTTGGATCCGTCGAATTTCCATACGGATCGGTGTTGCTCCCAGATCCTGAAGCAGCAGTCTCGTTTTCGTAGGATCTGTGGTAACCATTCTGAGAATACCCAGTGGGAGCGTATCCATTCTGCGAGTAATTCTGCCCATACATTGCCTGTTCAGAAGTATTGCGTGGATGACGTCGGGGTCTCCCACCTCCTTGATTATAAGGGTAGTAGTTCTCCGTAGGCGGCCCGCCACCATAGTTGTTCTCGACGAAGCTATCCGGTCGCGAACGCCCGTTGTAATACGCGCTCTGTTCGTTATACCCCCGATTTACATATCCGTTGGCTCCTGCAGAGAATGGCTGTTGTCAGTGTGGACTTCGCTGGGTTCATGAAAACAGTACTGAATTTCACACGGTGTCGGGTCATGTACCTCCATGATAGCTGTCGCGTCTATTATATTCAGCGCCGTGGTTTGATTCATAGTCTAGGACGGCTATTAGCGGCCTGAAAGTGACCGTTAGAGGCTGATATTAAGCTCACCTGTTTTAGCATACGAAACGGGTCGGCTGCTATAGGTCCCATAGATTGCGGCCTCAAACGATCGGATAGTGTCCAACGGACGCTCAAGCCGGGGACGGGTTGGATTCGAAAGGTCTGGATCGGCTGTTTTAAAGGCGACAATTAGCATCGGGTCCCTCTCGACAGTCCCCAATGACAACCAAAAAGGGGGCAGAGGTTTCGACGAACTTATAATATTCCCGTACTGGTCTTTATGCTGCATTTCCCTTAGGGAACTCAAAGTTGACTTCTCGAGGGCAACCGTTACTGAATGGGACCAGTCAGATCAAAAGTAGCAAAGCAATCAAGAAATTTGTCAAAGCAGTGGGGCTGCAGGGGCAAACCCCGACTTAAAACAGAGAAAGGGAGGAGACAGAAACAAAGTAGGTGGAGAAGGCAGATAAGGGCACATACTTGGTTGCGCTTCATTCATAGCAACCATCGGGTCGGCTTTGGAATGTAGCGTGCGTTTGGCTTTCTCCTCAGCAGATTCCGTCAAATCGATTTTATTCGAGTTGTTGGAATGATGGGAATGTGATGACCTGCCACCCAAACTGAGACCTCGACTGTGGCGCATAGGACGCGCGACCGGCTGGGGGGGCCGCCATTTTATTATTTTAATTTACTAGGTATTTATTATCACTCCTTAGTGTCTGGCAAACCGAGTTTCGATGCGATCTGCGAGAACTATGGCGGCCGTTGTGGAGCGCAACCACGACGGGTGGAAATTGCCAAGGAATGTCTGATTGTGGGCTCTGATTGATCGAATAAGATATCAAGCGTTTTGAGACATTCACGATGCTGCAATCCACGAGAGTGGCCGCAAAAGCGGGGGGCTGTGAGGAGATCCGCTTCCTGGAATGATGGTTTTAACTTGATTGAGATTTGACTAGACTCAACCACTGCAACTGCTGCCGGAATTGCAATTCAGTCGATATAAGTCGACTAGAGAGAGAGAGAGAGAGACCCCTGCAGAACGAGAGTGACAAGGGCGTGTGTGGTCGGATCTCAGTATCAGCGGAGAATAGACCCGCAAGCAGATGGAGTCGGACAAGCAGGCAGTTATAAAGCGATGGTTGGGGTGTCGGATCGGCACGACTGTGGCAAGACGCAGTTGTAGTGGTAGTATCGGTAGTGTAGTTGGAAGGGGAAGCGAAGAGGACTCGCTGTCCAAACGAAAGTGAGATGGAGAAAGAAAAAGACGGTGATGCTGGGAGAAGCGGACGGCCGCGGGTTTTTTGACTAAAGAGCAACCATGGTGTTGACGACTGGCGCCACGCAATAGGGAGGGGACTCGACTGATACTCGTTGAACAATTGGAAGTTTGGAACGCCTCTGATCAGAAGCCCACTGGACAAGAAAATGTGGGTTCTTCAGGTCTTTCTGGAAAGATGTTGGGATGTCAAGCGGATGAACTGGGGTCTCTCCTGATTCCACAGAAACATCACGGATCTGGTATCTCCATCCCTGTATCTCTTTTATTCATGCTCGTTTACTCTATTATTCCCTGTTTCTTGTCGTTTTTACATTTTTCCTTTCATCTGCATGTGCAGGACCAGAAATAGAAACACACCAAAAACCTGGATACTGTACCGCTAAACCCACTGGGAAAGCCTAAGTTCTCCCATCCAGTAAGGCTCCAGCATAAAATACAGGCGCTGGCCAGACTTTCGCTCTGTTACGCAATTTCCCCTCTCCAGTGTCAGGCTAACCCAATCAACCGAGGCCAGCCACCGTCGTCATCCATGGTTGTTCCGACTTACTTCTGGTATTCAGGGGGACGCATATTAAGGAAGCAGAAAGGAGGAACAATTCCATGGTCAAAGATATGTTTATGTACAAGCATCCCGTGTACATATAATTTACCTCAAGCAGACCCTCTTGTTACCGTTAGGCCGCTATTTTTACCATTAGACTCTCGGGTGGTCCCCACCTAGTATCGTTTGACTCTCTTCAAATCGGATGGGAATCTCTTTTCCCATGGACAGCCGAAGCACCTGTGACAAGACTAGCAAGTTCTTGCCTCTCCCGTTGCCTTCCCATTGGGTATGTAGCAGCCATAATGAAACAGGATTGTCTTCGATGGTGGATGGACGGGCTGCTTCCACCCAATCCTATCTCTATACAGAAGGCGTTACACAGATATAACAATCTCTGCATGGATCTACCTTGGTGGATGGCATTGTATTTGTAACTCAACCAGACTCCAATCTGGGTGGATTCTCTCTTATGTAAAGCCTCCACGACACATAAATGATAAAGAATCGGATCACTATCGCTAAAACTGCTAGAGATTGGCCGTTGCAGGATCGATGACGATCAGGTATTCGGTGGGTCACTACAGTGGGGGATGGGGCCTACTTTAATTCTTATTAACTCGGGGTCACCGTCAACAATGCAAGGGAGTACAGGTTCCAGAATCCCTCAGCCTCGGATGATTGGCGGAGTTTATGCAGTGGGATTTCTTGATATCAGTTTACATACTTTGACAGTGTCGATTGGGTTTGACAGTGGGAGAGTTAAACAGCGCATGGAAAATATATTACCAAATCGGTTGAGTTCAAGTATGGCTGACAGCTCTTTATAATATGCACTACGGAGTATTCACTATTCCCTTGCATATAGTATGAGTTAGAAGACGATAGTAACACTAATATTTTCTCAAGTATGCACGACCTCAATGCTTGACAGCTGTTACTGGGAGATATTATAAACAGCTATCACTCCAACATGATTTCCAAGGAGATACTATAGAATAATAGGGATGAAAAGCTCTACATCTAGACATAAACGCATTGGTATGAACAACGTATTATTAACCCTCTTTTCTGGAACGCGCTAGTGTTCTAAATAACACATTTGCCTACAAAACTATGCTTGAGTATACTACTGCCTCGCTTAGAGCTACCACTCCCCTACTTGTTCAGGCAACTACGTCGAGCTATAAGTATTCCTCACTCATCCGTTTCAATGATTTCCCCCTATCTATAATAATGGATATCCGTCATGTTCTTTCACGTTGCATGACTCTTCTCTGTATCTCTATCGCCAGAATGTCAAATTGTGGGCTCCAGTCTATATCAAAGTAAAACATCGCTGGTGGGATGGTCAATAGAGTGTACCCTTGGAATTCAGATCGAGCACATTGCCAACTGTTAGCTGCAAGACATAGATAGACTCAGTTCTATAGAAAATACTTTCTTGTACTACACAGCGGGATGTACTTCATATCAGAAGAAGTGGAACATGCGCGGTCGTATATCAGATTCAAGAAAGGATGGATCTAGGAATGGGAGTGTGGAAGCGAGCCGTGCCGAGCATATACCAAGCATATACCTTCTTTGGAAGACTGCTCGTTGAATCTGACTACCGCCAGATTAAACATTTGGATGGCTCTGTACATGTAATTCATTCAGTAATTGTATTTATACGTTGATATTCAAGATCCTTGTTTTTGTAAAACTGCAGGCTTTTGGATCTATAATACCAGATGACCACGTCTACAATTTCAAGACTTGAAGCCGAACTAAACTGGTGTCACGATAGTAAGTGTATACTTGGAAGACAGAGTGTTTATATAGTTAGTAGCACATTTTCAAAGTCTTGAGGTTTCGGGTGTCGCATGGGATTGGTCCGCGTATGGAAGACAATGAAAAGGGCGCCGAAGACTCCGCGACCTGGATGTATGTCTAGTTGTTGCTGCTCGTGACTACCGTGGCCAATAGAATGCCGAACTGACTGACTCCGCAGGTATTCTTGTTCGTTGAAATGGTATGCATTGGTGTTATGATCATCAGTACAGTGGGGAGAAGCCATATTGTCAGACAGGACATATCATGCTCGCCGATGTGAAACCGGTCGAGCCTCTCTAAATGCCTAGGGACTGACAAAATAACCACGCTGTAAAGACAAAGAGTTCTTTTATTTTAATTCGTAGGGCTGGACGGCCCTGCCTCTCCCACGAACATTATCAAACCGCCAAACTCCATCCCAACATCGGCTCATCCCGTCGACTCCTTGCCCGACTGTCTGCGCGAAGATTCCGGAGTGCCAACTAACACATAATAAAAGCGAGTCGTTTAGATGTTGGAGGGGTAGAGCATAACGCGAACAGTAGCACCGAAGGACTTGGGGGGAAGGTTGTGGCGGAACTGTGCGCGGACAACACCGGAGTTGCCTGTTCAAGTCATCTTGTCAGTCCCGAAGTCATATTTAAGCAATCCGTTCATTCGACATTGACAATCCTATTCTGTCACACCATCGATGCAATCACGTACCGTGAGGGCGGGTGACCTTGCCCCAGATCACCCTGATGTTGGAACCCCGGACCTCACGCTTGGCCCGGTAGACAAAAGCAACCTTCTTGCCCAAGTAGAAGCTGTGTAATCTGTCTTAGCTGCCCGTTTCATTTCCAAGAACTGCCCGGATGCTACTCACTTGGCGGCATCAGTGCTGTCGACACCGTCAATCTGGATCAGACTATATAACCACCTTGTCAGATTCCCAGTCCCAGTTTCACACTTGAATGTCAGACGCTGCTCCGTACCTGGTGTTGGGGTTGACAGCGCGCTTGGAGCGCTGGTAGCTCAGGTGGCGACCCCTAGAAAATAATTCATATTAACACTTCTGTCCCGACGCTGTGTCGCAGCTCAATCCGTATCCCGATCCTCCGATGAAATTTGACGTAATTCCGGATGTGCGCGACATGACGATATTGATTCTCGAAACTTACTTGACATAGACTGTATTTAAAAGATCTCCAGTTAGCCTGCATGTCCTTTCGCACAATCCAACGTCGCAACTATTCCCGAGGATCTCTACATCCCCAGCCATCGAGATTCCATCATAACTCCAACAACGCAACGGGTGTACTCACGTCTGTGACCGTGTTCCGAAGGCATTCTGACGGCGATTCTCTGAGCAACAGCGGGCAACGCAAACAAGTCGAAGGAAGTCAGATATGACCCGCAAAAAGTCGTCCGGGTTGTCGTGGTTGTCGTCGCTTCGATCGGTATGGAACGCACACACAATTTGCGAGAGTGCGTTCGGTGCGCTAACCTAAACGGGATGCTTAGCGATCAGGGCTAAGCGAAGTCCCGTGATGGGGTTCTAGTATGAGGCTAATCCTCTTTAGGATATCTCAGGATAAATAGTCTTTCCGGATTCTATTCACTGACCGCCAACCACCATCTGTTTGGTTGTCGGCCTACTGTAGTCCGGGTTCAGCATCTTGTCTAGAGCTGCTCTTGCTGACAAAACTTGCTGCTTCTTCCTTGATGATGACAGGGCATTGATAATCACGTAAGTTCACTAATATTAATGGTATTGTCATCATAACGTACAGTGTGTAAAGTTCACAAATTCGAGTTGCTTATGCTGATGCTTGGTACACTGCGTAACAGCGCATCATGGCACGGTGAGAAGTGCTACTACTATGATGAGTTGAGTCCTCTGTACGGGGTATAGCCAAAACGATCAGCTGCTACAATGTGGTCATACCGGTAGCACTTATTTGGAAATGTTGCGAGTCAAGCCCCACCAGGATATCGCAACAAGCTTCACAATGTATAGCACGCAATACTTATTTCCCGAATTCCTAATTTACTGTTTTGGCGTGACTCCTATTATTGAGACTAAGAGAAGAGAAGAAGATTTTTCTTTTCTTTTCTTTTCTTTGAAAGAGCGACGTCACCAGAAGAAAGGAGCTAATGTATCTACCTTGTACCATAGTGTATACTGATAAAGCAATGGTGATCATCTACCGAGTCACCGACTAATCCAAATGGTCTGCCCAGTAAAACCCTGCCTCGGGATGTAGTCATTAACTCCGGACTGCACTGGGCCGAAACACTCGGTTTGATATCCTTTTTTCCAATTTTTTTTTTTTTTTATAAGAAAAAGAAAACCAAAAAATAAATTACGGGAAAATAGAATCCGTAGGCTTTGTTCTTCTAGATGACAAATCCGCCGATCCATCCCCACGAGTACTTTCACTGGTCACCGGGAAATGCTTCAGGAGACACAGTGACATTCGTTGCAGATTCTGCGCAATATCTGCGATATTACCATGCGTGGGGTTAGTCCAAATCGCTGCTGTGTACTGCATCTGTATGCTTACTGGAAGTGTGTCGATCAACTAATCTATTACTGTCTAGCTACAGTAAGAAGCAAAGGACAGTCTACATGTTCAGGTTGACTTCGATGATTGGTAGCTCCACCTTTAAAGCACTGACATGGCAATTGAGGTAACATTGTCAGAACTGCCCGCGGCCCGCGGATTCGCTGGAAGCCTGGAAAGACACGATAAAGAAACCATAGAACGCATCGGTTCCTGTACCAAAGTAGTATCACGAGGACCAAGGACCAAATCAGGTCAGATCATAGTTGACTGCGCTTACTCCGGAGTAAGATTGCTGATTTAGTCCACGCGGGGGTCCGTATCCTATGCCACGCGCGACTTAAAAGGAGCATCTTGTCAATGGATGGCTCCTAGTGGAGTTGGCTGAGATCAAATTTCCAGCCCACTTGGCAAAGTCGACCGTTTGGCTCGGATAATACCAGTCTGGACTTGGGAAGGATGAGGGCAAGTATATGGGGGAATGTGGTAATACGGGGTTACAGGGGCAGTGTTCCTTTTCTCTGGCACCCTTCGATGGGATCCCCTTGTAGGGAAGCGGTTAATCTAGGTGCTTTACGTGGTGAAACTATGATATAATAACCCGAAACATTGCCACGATAGGAGATAATGGAACTTAATCCCGAGGCGTAAAAACAGTGAATAGAGAAACGAATGAAAAGAATCATACCGAGAGAAAGCGAGAGAGAAACCCAGTAATCCCTGGAATTTGATAGAGAAGTGTACAGGGGAGGAAGAAGAAGAAGAGAAAGGAACTCGGCGACCAAGTACAATATCACGCCGACTCTATCCATACCGATCCGGACGGTGCGGCCGCATCGACGTAAGTAGTGGAAGAAGCTGCCCCACCATGAAGGTTGTAATAGTAAGAGAGCGCAGCTGCTCACCCTAAGACTAATAGCCCTTTCGCGGCATTAAAAAGTACCTTGCTCCGCCGGGACTGTTGGGGATTTTTCCAACAATCCGTCCTCCCCTTACTGCTTTGCTTCTCTTACTTCTCTCCTCTTCTCCCCTAGATTCGAATTCCTCTGTCTTTTCTTTGCGACCATTCTCCCAGATTAGCCCATCTAGAAACATGGCTAGCACAATAGCACGCACTGACGAACGCCAGAACGCTGGGTGAGTCTTAACCACGGCCGTCACCTCTCTGACATCACACCCCTCCCCCCCGGTTCTCTGCCACCCGCTCCCTGCTCTCTCGGCCACCTCAAGGGATAATGTACAGGTTTGCTACCGAGCGCTCCTGGCCTGACTTCGCGATTCTTCGATTCTGCATACTGAAGCAATTGAGTCTCGTGTCTAAATCGCACCTTTCATACCCTCGACATCTATCCAATTATTTTATTCCCCTTCCCTCCCTGCATATCAAATATTGATTCTTCGCCATTACCAAGGCACTGCTTGATTCTCAGCTAATATGGATTTTCGACTTAGCACCATTGAACTCAAAGATGACACCGTCATTGTAGTACTAGGTGCATCGGGGGATCTTGCGAAGAAGAAGACGGTGAGTTCCTCCCCGAATCTCGACCAACTGGCGCCAACTGGCCAAAAACTGACGCGTTTATAGTTCCCTGCACTCTTTGGCCTTGTACGTTTTCGCTGGTCATATTACACGAGGGTTGATCTGCTCGCCAATCTTGACCTGTATTGACCATCCGTCTAGTTCCGCAACAAATTTCTCCCGAAGGGGATCAGAATCGTTGGATATGCTCGGACGAATATGGACCGCGAAGAATACCTGAAGCGAGTGCGGTCATACATCAAGACTCCCACCAAGGAGATTGAGGAGCAGCTGGACAGCTTCTGCAAGCTCTGCACCTATATCTCTGGGCAATATGACAAGGACGAGTCATTCATCAACCTCACGAAGCACCTCGAGCAAGTTGAGAAGGGACAAAAGGAGCAGAACCGAGTCTTCTATATGGCGCTGCCCCCTAGCGTCTTCATCCCCGTTTCGGAGCAATTAAAGAGGAACTGCTACCCTAAGAACGGCATTGCTCGTATCATCGTGAGTGGCATTCAGTGTGACTTGGGGTATAAGTGCGGCTGCTCACACATCCGATTCGTCTTAATAGGTCGAGAAGCCCTTCGGCAAGGACCTCCAGAGCTCTCGGGATCTCCAAAAAGCCCTCGACCCGAATTGGAAAGAAGAGGAGATTTTCCGGATCGACCACTATCTGGGTAAGGAAATGGTCAAGAACATCCTCATCATGCGCTTCGGCAACGAGTTCTTTAATGCCACCTGGAACCGCCATCACATCGATAATGTTCAGGTACAGATACGCTACCTTTCTCTCGAATTTAGAATCACCTCTAATCAGTATTTTTACTCTCAAATATAGATCACATTTAAGGAGCCGTTCGGCACTGAGGGACGTGGCGGATATTTTGACGAATTCGGTATTATTCGTGATGTCATGCAAAACCGTATGTTGAAAAAGGTTCCTACATCAGAGAGCGACCTGCTAATGCTGTGATACTTCAGATCTTTTGCAGGTCTTGACCCTACTCGCCATGGAGCGTCCCATCTCATTCTCCGCTGAAGACATTCGTGATGAGAAGGTGAGTGTTTAGACCTTGATCGCATCGAAGATCTTGTTGACATTATCAGGTGCGTGTTCTACGCGCGATGGACCCGATCGAACCCAAGAACGTTATTATCGGCCAGTACGGGAGGTCCTTGGATGGTAGTAAGCCCGCATATAAGGAGGATGAAACCGTCCCTCAAGATTCTCGTTGTCCGACTTTCTGCGCCATGGTTGCGTACATCAAGAACGAGCGGTGGGATGGCGTGCCTTTTATCATGAAGGCTGGCAAGGGTATGTTTCCCCTACGCCATGAATATATTTTATCCGGTTGATTGCTTACTTTTATTTAGCTCTGAATGAGCAGAAGACCGAGATTCGCATCCAGTTCCGTGATGTGACTTCGGGCATCTTCAAGGACATTCCTCGCAATGAACTTGTCATCCGTGTCCAGCCTAACGAGTCAGTTTACATTAAAATGAACTCGAAGCTGCCTGGTCTGTCTATGCAGACTGTTGTGACTGAGCTTGACCTCACCTACCGCCGTCGCTTCTCCGACCTGAAGATTCCAGAGGCGTACGAATCGCTGATCCTGGATGCCCTGAAGGGTGACCACTCCAACTTTGTCCGTGATGATGAGCTTGACGCTAGCTGGAGGATGTTCACCCCTCTTCTGCACTACCTCGATGAAAATAAGGAGATCATCCCTATGGAATATCCTTACGGTACGTTCACGGTCTAAAAGGCTCTTTCCCGGCATATTGATAGTGTTTATCTTGCTAATGACCTACGCAGGCTCTCGCGGCCCTGCGGTTCTTGACGACTTCACTGCATCGTTCGGTTATAAGTTCAGTGATGCTGCTGGCTACCAGTGGCCCCTAACGTCAACCCCTAACCGGTTGTAGACTGGGGGACAGGAAAAGAAAGCTTAACAAAAGAAAAGGGGAAAAAGGAGAAAAAAACAATGAAACGGGAAGGAAAAGTATTAATGATAGCACTATTGGAGAACTTGTTCCATTTGTTATGGTATGATTGGGAATTCGGTTAATATGACGAATGTTCGGCGATCTTTTTGGTGTGTTAGGTAGCCAGGCAGCCTCACCTGCGGTCAATTCTAGAAATGAATACAGCGAATGTTACGAACCCCACGAGCAGTGTTCTAAGTCCAATCTACATCGTAGTTATTGCCGTTGATTAATCAGACCATAGATCGAAGCGGTGGGGCGGAATGCTGCCGCTTAAGCAGACAGCCGGGGCCTGCATGCGTGTTGGTTGAGAGCCGCCCAACTTTTTTCGCTCTCAGCCACATCTCATTCTCTACTTCCCTCCTCTCTCTCTCTTTCTCTCCTTCTTTCTCTCCTTTTTCACTACCTCTATCCCTTTCCATTGACTGAAGCAAGCAGTGTCGGGCCAACAGAGAGTGCTGTGCTACGAACGCCTACGATCATAGCTATTGGTTTTATATAATCGGTTTTCTTCCCTTGCAACATTTGTATCGTGGACGGACCGTGCGACTTGCACAATCAAATTACCCTTGCCGGATTGGACTTTTTTTACCCCCTTGTTACGGCAATCCTGAAGCCCTTATTCGCCCTACACCAGAGTTCATTCTGCTCTAGAAACTCGAGAACTCGTCGACCGCCGCAGCGCATACAATCCCCGGATTCGGATCACGATACCACGGCCCCGGCGTGGTGGTTCATGGAAAATAAAAGGAAAGGGTGAATGGTGTCAAGTGCATGCAGGTATTTAGAGACTGAGGATGCCACACGCTGCAAGATGGGCCGGCACTCCTTCCATCAAAGGCCGGACAGAGTCGATGCGCATGGCGCTGTTGACCTTCAGTTTGCTGGGGTTACAGTATGCTCTCAAAGTCTGCCTCTCTCCTCTTAATCCCGTCCACTAATTTCTGCCCTCGCATATAGGTTTACATGGGGCATTGAAATGACTTGTGAGAAGAATACCTCCGATCCTGATAAGCCAAGTTTCCTCTAACGGATGCGTTCGAAATAGACTGCACCCCATATCTACTCCAGCTCGGTCTTACCAAGTCCCGGACTTCACTCGTCTGGATTGCCGGTCCTTTGTCTGGGTTGATTATCCAGCCACTTATTGGTGTCATTGCAGACCGATCACGATCCAAATGGGGGAGGCGCAGGCCATTCATGATTGTGGGTTCGTTCGTCGTCACATTGTGCCTGCTAGTACTGGGATGGACTAGGGAGATTGTCGGCGTTTTCGTCAAGGATACAGAGAAGGTATGGTTTATCGTCTGTAGTGCTGCGTGAACGTTCCTGCAATGACTGACTCTTGGGTTTTTTATGGTACCAGGCCAAGAATGTCACGATTGCTCTAGCTGTTCTTAGCATTTACGCCGTCGATTTTGCGATCAACGTTGGTAAGTGTGGAAGACCATTATTATCTGCTTATCACCCCTTACGTCTTGTCTAACAGCAAACTAGTCCAAGCATGCTGTCGCAGCTTAATTGTCGACACATTGCCTATCCCTCAACAACAGGCTGGGTCCGCATGGGGTATGTCTTAGTCCCGAAGCGTCGAAGTGAGGAGGCTAATGCCGTGAAGCGTCCAGAATGTCGGCTATCGGCCATCTTGTCGGATATGTTATTGGTTCAATCGACACAGTTAGCATTTTTGGTACCATACTTGGTGACACTCAGTTCAAGCAGATGACCGTTATAGCTGCGATGTCTTTGGTAGGAGCAGTTTCGGTCACGTCGTGTTCTGTGAAGGAGAGAGTCTTGATTACTGCAAGGTGGGTAATCCACAGCTTCATCAAGAGCCGAAAATTAACTCGTGGTTACAGAGACTCTGATGGGAAGGCCGGGGCACTTCAGGTGCTTTCTCAGCTCTTCAAGACTACGATGGACTTGCCTCCTCGAATTCAAGCCATATGTTGGGCTCAATTCTGGGCCTGGATCGGTAAATAATCCTAATTCTATATGCGACTCCTAGTGATATTGACTGATCTCGTATAGGCTGGTTTCCATTTCTCTTTTACAGCACGACGTGGGTCGGAGAAACGTATTTTAGATATGAGGTTCCCAAAGATGAAATCAAACAAGATGATATGCTCGGCGAGGTTGGTCGTGTTGGCAGTTTGTCGTTGGTTGTCTTTTCCTCTATTACCTTCATCAGCTCGATTCTCTTGCCGTTCTGCGTACAGTCTCCAGATAGCAAAAGGTCCCGATTTACTCCGCGGCCTCCTCCGGGGATGGCTGCATTTCTCAAGAAGGTTGTCACATTTCGCCCAGATTTGCAGACGACTTGGTTGATTTCGCATCTCATGTTCGCCACCACCATGATCTTTGCACCCTTAGGACGGTCCCGAGCTTTCGCAACCTTACTTGTGGCCCTTTGCGGAGTACCATGGGCTGTTAGCTGCTGGGCCCCATTCGCATTCATGGGCGTGGAGATCAACAAGCTAGCCATGAGTCCCTCTCAGCAATCCCGCGCGTCGGGAGTGACCATGATCACATCGGCCAGCCTTCGTTCCGGTGCATACGGTGATATGAACGGGGACACAGAAATGGAAACCTTGCGACTTAATCACCATGACGCGGACAGCGACAGTGATCTAGAAGAGGGATCCACGCAGATGCCCTCGACCGGAGAACTTGCCGGGATCTACCTGGGTGTTCTGAACGTATACACGACGCTTCCCCAGTTTGTTGGCACCTTCATCAGCTGGATCGTTTTCAGCATTTTCGAACCGGCCAGCACCAAACGGGATGATTCGGCATCGGACACACAATGGATGAATCTAGACAAAAACTCACCGAACGCTATATCAATCTGTTTATTTATTGGCGCGTTGAGCGCCATTATAGCCGTGGAAGCAACTCGACGACTTCGATATGTTCTCTAACTGGTCCATTTTGGATCCTTCCTAGACAAACGCGGGCTATTCTACTTTTCCAGCATGTATCTTTGCTCATGTCCCTTCTACCATTTTTAATCTCTTTATTGTTTGTGGCACCATTCGATACCCGGCTCCATTTCATTGGATATATTAAAGGACAGAGTTGAGTTTGAGTATATTGAGCATATATCAGCATACACAGGCTATATTGAGCTAGCTACCTGTGTATTGTTGACATTCATTCACATCACATTCACGCATCCTGGGAGCAAGGAAGCACTTATGTACTTGTACGCATATTTCGGCGTTGGATGGGGCACATATTCTACCGACTTAATGATAATATTAATGTACTGTGTTATTATAAGGGAATATACGAATTCTTACTTTCATGGTTGTGATAATAATAGTATAACTAATATATATCCACACATTATTACTCTTCTTCCCTTAGTTATTTTAGTTGAACTCTAAACTATACACCCGAATCCTGTCTGTCAAAATAGCCAGTTCAATCGATATACCCTCTACAAAGAGAACGAAGAACTGATTAATTATTGATTGGTCTGGTTTACATAGGGAGAGACAACTCAGGTATACTTCATATATTAGGAACAAGCAAAAAGGAAAGTCAAAGTCAATTAGCAAGAGCGAATGGGGAATAAAACGGACAAAGCCGAAGGGACACAGCAGACAGCAGTCAAAACATTAAAAAGCATAAAAAAAAAATAAAAAATAAAAAATAAAAAATAAAAAAGGCACGAAGTAACGAACCAGAAAACCGCACAGAGTGATGATGGCACAATTAGAATTGAAAGATTGCAGCATGATCATCCAGAAATGAGAGGACATCACAGTATATTTGTCAATCCTTGTATTAAGTGCTCCGTACTTTCGGACCCTACGAGGAAGAGATGTATCTCTCCGCACCCAGGCCCACTGAATGAAGAATTAGAAATTGAAGGGAATTCAGGGAATCAGAATAGAAAGGTATTGAACAGATTGGCGGAAATGAAATACAGAGGAAGGCAAGACGGCACTGGTAATGAAAACTGACTAGACTGGACTGCATTAGGTGGAAGAAGCCTGCATGTTGCCGGTCAATTCAGCCACGCGGGCCTTAATCCGAGCTGCACGAGTTTCAAAAGCTGATAACATCATGTTAGTATCATGGATGGCGACTGGATAAATCCAAGTGTGTCCTATTCTACTTACTCTCTTCCTCGCTGGTATCGTCGCTGTTATCCGCTTCATCGGGGCATGTTTCCTTTACTGGAGCCGCATCTTGAGCCCTTTCTGCAGCGTTCTTGCGAATCTGTGCCCAACGATCGAACGAAGGGTTTGTCTGCACAGGAGTGCTAGTCTCGGAACTATCAGCTTTTGGCTCGACGGGCGGCTCAGAGGTTGTCTTCGCTACCGAGTCAGGCTTCTCCGGGTCAGGGAATGAGTCTGACACAGGAGAATCTGCTGGAACAAAAGCCGGTTGGTCCACTAGGGGTCCTTGATCAAACTTCGAGAACTCCTGGTCAGCTGCTGCTTGTTCAGAGGTGTTTACGCGCGAAAGTGCATTGTATTCGGTTTCACGACCACTTCTGCTGTTTTGCCCACCATTGACTCTAGATGCGCTGGGGGTTTTGTGAGAGTGATCCTTTGCCTCATTCTGCTGGGGCCCTGGCTTCTGGGGTACTTGCGGTGCGGCTGCCACCTCCACACTAGTCTCGCGAATCTCGGATGTAGGAGTCGCGGATATAGGCTTTTTCTTCAGCATCGAAGGCCCCTTAGTAGACATGTGGGTGACCGGTTGCTGTGAAGTTATCACTTTACTCTCTAAGGCGGCGCGAGCGTTTGCAACAGTGGACTGGTCGGCGCCAGTCGACTTCATAGGTGGCCTTGATTCAGGGACGTTCTTCTTCTTGACTGTTCCGAATATACCCTTGAACCCCGTATTGCCTTGTTTCTTTTTCAGCTTCCGGCCCGAGTCATCGGTCGAGTCCATTGATTTCTTGGGAAGCGATTCCGTGCCTTCCCTTTCACAGGTGCTGTTATTTCGGCTGCTAGGGGTTTCATCAGCAGCCTCCTTGGACGCCGCAGGTGCTGGGGAGCTAGACTCGGTATCCTTTGGCAAGGGGGGAGGAGGCTGTCGCGTAATTGCGCTTGCTGTCGGCGACGGCGGCAAGCTAGTTTTGTTTTTTGTAGGTTCTTCCGTCTCATCCGCTGGGGCACCTGTTCCTGCGCGGCTGTTGCTCAGATAGGCGGATCGGTACGCATTCTTGTCGTAATTCCTGGCCCATTTCATGGCTTGCGACGCCTCGTTTACGATCCCTGGCTGTAAGGTCATGACCGAATTGGTCTTTGTCGAGTATCTATCATCCGGAATGTTGGCTTTAGATCCATTGGCGGCTTCCTGTTCTCGATGCTTCCTCTGCAGCGCGGCTGCAGCAGCCTGGATGCGGGCATGCTGGTCAGGACCAATGCTGGTCTTGCTCTGCGGGGCCTGATTGTCGGATCGTGCGTATGACTCCTCGAAGGCACTCACCTTCTTGGCCGTGGATTTGCGACGCCCAAGTCTTTTGCGGGTTGAAAATCCAAAGAGGCCTTTCTTTTCGACGATGTGTGCACCGGGCTCGGGATCTGAGGCTGCGCCCTTGACCTGTTCCTCCAGAACTAGCCACTTCGCATCCTTGATGATCGTTTCGAGCAGCGCACATCGCCCAAACACCGCTTTTCGGAGCGGCGACTCCTCACTCGCCAAGCTGCTGATCCACACCCACCAGAAGGAGTCGTCGAGGTCGAACGTAGTGATACTTGCCAGCTCACCCCGCTCCATAGATTCTTCAGTAACCAGGCCGCGCCTATGTGACTGGGAACTCTGGCCCCGGATGGTCGCAATAGGAGGCAGAATCTTGTCTGGTGGAAGCAGCACGGGTGCAATTGGAGACTTGAAGAAGTTGTCATCGCTGAAGCCGGACGACATGAAGTCTGCCCACGACGGGGTAGTGGGACGACCAAGGCCACCTCCACCGGATTGAGGGGCCGACCTCAGTCCGCTTCCGAACTCCCTCCTTGCCGAGGAAGATGCTCTAGCATCGTCTTCAAAGTCATACTCCAGAGAACCTCCAAAGCCGAAGTCCTCGAATCTGGACCAAGATGCCTCCCGAGTTGATGTCGACGGATCCGGTGCAGTGGACTGATTCGTGGACGAGATGGATTTCAACACACGGAGGCATTCGTCGGTCAAAGCGCGCAGGGGGTCTTCGAAATTGGCGAACTCTTGTAGATGTCGGTCACTGTCTCGATACTCAAAGTTCCCTGCGCGGCGCAGAAGAGCAAACGGGGTGGGTGAGACCGTATCGACGATCATGATTACCTTAGTGGTTGAGACCTGAAGAAGGGTGGGCGTCTCAGGTGGGTACTCTGTCGCTTGGAGCAAGGACTGCAAAGCAATTGGAAGGGTGGATATACTGCCCATCTCACGGGACTCGGGAGACATAGAACGCAGATAGGCGAAGAACAAGTGACTAGTTGCGTCCGCAGCACTGGGAACGGAGTTAGTTGGTCATGCTTCTTCGCAGTATATCCGAAGTCACAGGGGCACATACGCCATCCAATTTTTATAGGCGCCTTCAAACCCATTAGCCGTATCCGTATGTTCAAAAGCCCACCAGCCGGCGTATCGGGAGAGCTTTCGGCCTCCAAGACCGTTGGACTTCCCATGGGCCGCGACCGCTGTTAGGAGGTCGAAAAAGTCAAAGATAATTTTGGACCGGGCATCTGAGTCTACGCTGATCGGAATGAACGTCGAGAATGCATCACGGGCAAATTGAGAATCTACTCTAGTTAGTGTACGTGCACGCAATATCCCAGACGCTGTGAACTGGTAAAATACCTTGCTCGCCGACCTTGAACAACTCGTAGGCCTCCCAGGTGACAACTCCTCCGGGGAGTCGTCCCCAGCACCATTTCATCACACTGCAGAGAACCTGGCATTCGAGTTAGCGACATGCAACCTCGCGACGGTGGATGGGTTGAGAAGTATCCTGCTCACCGTGGGGTCCGAAAGGCGTAGCTCTTGCGACAAGGCATCTCCGTTGAGAGGAGAGCCTCTCTCCACGGACTGGTTGAAGTAATTGCGGATAAAGGAACGAGCGGCACTGGAATCCGAGCTGGGACGAAAGGGTAAGAGTAGAAACGGTGTTTGTAGAGCTGTGCAAGCATGCAGATAATGATCAGCATTGTTCGAAGAAAAAGTGTCTCAGATTTCAAAGGGAGGGGATATTGATGTCAAATGCCCCGCAGACAAGCATACCTCGCGATTTCAGTTCCTGAGTACATCCTCTTAGCAGGTCCTGAACCTCCTCCGGGGCCACCTCCGTCCGTTGCCAGGCATCAGTCCATGTAGGTTTTGCAGGACCGGCGTCTTCGACGACCTGGCGTTGGGCGGCCTTTTTCGAAGAATTGGAGTCCTTACTCCGAAAAACACGAGTGAAGAAGGGCATGCTGCTTGAGGGTTCTTCGAATACCCTCCGCTAGCGGACGCGATAGCGATAATCGGTGGGGAATCCGAGAGAGACCGAGTTCACAGGCGGCGTCCAGAAGATTGCGTCTTGTACTGAATTAGTTGGTCTTGGTCTCGCGTGAGACTAAATCGGCTTTAAAATCCAAGAATGGACCGTGCGAGGAAGCAACAGGCCGAGAATCAGGGATATCACAATATAGGAGGGGAAGAGTATATTCGAGTTCGAAAAAAAGAATATAAATAAAAGACAAGAAAAATGAACAGAAAGAAAAGAAAAAAAAAAAGGAGAGTACGGAGTAGGGTACACTACGGTGCGGGAGATAGCGATCCAGGTCTAGAGAACCAACAACTAGCAGAAAAAAATTGACATCCAGGTGGCCAGAGGAGCCTGCAGCCCAGAACGGGGCAGTACGTCTAGCATGCAGCAGCAATGGCCACTGACGATGGTGTGAGAGGGAGCAATGGTCCCTTCAGTTGGCGAGGTAAACAAGCAGGAGAGAGGTGATAACTAAGGGACCAGCAAAGCGAACACAGCGACGGTTGAAAAAAGAAAGATATCCTCACTCACCGAGAAAGCAACAGGGGAGAGAAGAAAAAAAAAACAAAAAAACAAAAAAAAAGGGCAGCAGAAGCCGCCGGAAAATGGTGATAATGAGGATCTACTGGGGTGTGCTCGTTTCAGGGGTGAAATAATAATACGCGTGCAAAACACGCCAGGAGCCATGGTTCTGTGCCGGCGACTTAAACCCACCCGGCACCAATTCCTTCCCTTGGGCCTGGGCTAAACTTCATTTGAGCTGTACATGGCTATTGAAGTGCCCCGGACGCCTCTCTGGTCTTTAGGGGATAATTGCAGGAGGAAGAAGCGCTGCAAGAGACGAAACGAGAAGGTCTCGAATGACATATGCAGAGAGAGAGTCATCGGTACGGGATGGGTAGGTACCGGAACTAAGTTCCTACATACAAAAAGGTACGAGGCGGTCCAGTATCCACAGCGATCCATGTTGGGTATATGAGGATATATGCACGTGACCTTTCCATACATACATCGATACATACAATACCGGCTACCCAACGGATGGGGGTTTCGTGCGTTGGAATGAGTGATTATCCAGATGGTGGCATTGCGTCGCGATGATGTCTTTTTCTGCCCAAAGGATAGGCAGTTCTCCCAAGGCCAGCTGGCCTGGTTGGTTAGATATGACGAGCCATACCTACTCCTACCTACAAAGGCCAGTATCTGCATCCAATCCGACGTGTCGCACCAGAACACAGGTCAAATGGATGCATTCGAGACTGCAGTCGATCACCTTGACTGGTCACGGGTCCCCGGCCAATCAGCCCCATTTCTCGTGAAACCCGAGTGGGTACGGCAAAGACTGCATGATTCCCACCTATGGAGTACTAGTAGTATCCAAGACCGAGAATTAATCTCCCCTCCGTACTATCGTGAATTCGATACGGTTGTCAATTCGTGTGGACATCCGGGCCGTTCGAGTTCAGCTACAGGGTTTCATCGGATAGATCAAGCTCATCCTGCAGGTATATCTATACATACAAAACCGATCATCATTCAAGCCGATCGTGCTCCCATGGAATGTCCCCATCTGGAGAATCCAAAACCTCTTTATTCCTGGATGACGGCCATCTCCTCCAATAACACCAGTAAACACACCCCAGCGATAAGACTAAAATGGCCGTCATGGGCGTCAACCAGGCAGGTAGGCTCGAATCTCTCTTCCCCGGGTTTGTAAACGTGGAAATAATCAGGAAGATCTGCGAGGCTAAAAAGATGTATGCGACCCCGGTCCAGACTCTGAAGACTCGCGGTGGATAGACCGTCCGCTTTCGGATAACGAAGAGACCAAGTACAACGAATAGCTGGACTATCGCCATGGCGTACTGGCCTACATCGAGAAGGAAGTTGTATACGTCTCCTGTGCCTCTGTTAGTCGGAATCGGACAGTCGTGGCTCTTTCTACAGAGAGTTTCTATGGCACGCGCTTACCAAATGGAATGCAAAGGACCATGAGAAAAGAGGACAAAAAGACTAAGCCGAATGCCCCGGCAGGAGTCCCAAAATGCGTCCTGCGGGCAAAAAACGCGGAAAAGGGCAGAATTTCTTCCTCTGCAAATCCCTGGACTACCCGCGACATCGAGAACGATGCCGTCATGATGTTGCCCAAAGAGGACAAGGCTGCAAGCACCGCACTCAGGCATTGCATTTTCTCCCCGAAAACCCGACCAATAAACAATGCAGCGACGGTGACCCCGGTTTGGCTGAGTTCTTCGGGAGTTGCAGCAGCAAAATAGGCTACATTTACCATGAAGTAGAGAACCCCTACGGAGCTCAGTCCCAGAATGCCAGCCACCTTGAGGGTCCGGCGAGGATTTTTAACCTCATCCAACACATAGCCAGCGTTCGACCAGCCCTGATAGCTGGCAAGGACTTTGAAATAGGAAAATGTATAATCCAAAATACTGGAAGAGGCTCCCATGAATGGGTGCCGAAAGCTGGCACCGGGATGCGGTACATTTGGCAAATCGCCGTGGAGGGCCACAAGGCCAGCAAGGATGATAAGAACCAGGACCAGTAGCTTGACCGAAGCTAGGATATTCTGAGGGTTGGGGTTATCATTGATATCACTATAGTAGTACGCTGCGCCACTTACCATCAGTCTAATACCCCAGTTCTTCGTCCCAATATGCATCGCTGCGATGCATGCCATGATGCTAACGGCTATACTGCGCTTGACCCATTCTTTGGCCGTGACCCCGATTGCCAAGAGCACGTTTTCTGCGATGACTACCGTCCCAATGCCTGTATCAGTGGCTCAGTTAGTAGCCTCACTTGGCCTAATGGACATACGGGATTTGGTACCAGTGAAGCCGAGAAAGATAATATGGGTGGCGAAAACTGTGCTCATGAATAAGGGTGGTCGGGGATATGCTGCTTGAAGGTAGACTCGTTCTCCACCGTTACGCGGCATCAGGCTTCCCAGCTCCAGATAAATGAGAAATCCACATAAGGAAAGTAGAAATCCAAACAGCCACAGGACAAGGGCGGCGCCCGCGCTTCCTGTGGATTGCGCAATAGACGATGGCACGGAGAATATGGCAGTGCCAATCATCCGATTCGTGCTGGGTAGAAACAGTTAGATCAGTATAGTAGATCTGCATGACTGCTTGGAGGGGCACCATGTCAAGTACCATTCACCCACATCAAAAATGTTGTGGAGAGAAGACCAAAACGGCGATGAGGGTCTTGGAATCCATGGAAGGCAGTCTCGTCCTCTGGTTGAGCGGCTAACAGGGCTGTTTCGTTCGAGGTATCACTGCTCACTTCATCATGGATGTCTTGACTATGCGGCATGATTGGTTTTGGTATATGTTGACATGGAAGAGACGTGAGATGGAAGGCCTCCAGAGGTGTTGTACAGGGCAAACACCCCTCGAGAGGTATCCGTGATGTGGAGGCGGTCAACAACCCAGTCGTCTCCGGAATGCCTAGAACGCACGGGTCCCGTGATCTACCTCCTTAATACAGATAGGTAGGTACCTGTCTTAATCTCTGTTAGGATACAGTAGGTAGTGAGTGGCTATATATATAGACAGGTTGAGGTGCTTTATCACTTGGTAGTTTGTCGACCGGTCATAGCAAATATCCTCAGAGAGAGTATTACTATAGTAGAAATTCTTCCAAGTATATATTTACTATTTATTCTATATCTACGGAGATACCTACAGTGTAAACCAGAGATCGATCCCGATCGGGTTAGGAGCGGGGCTTCTCAGTCTTTTTGCTGCATTCAAAATGTCGGTAATTGAAGTGTTTTATGGAGTGATAATTCCACCAATAATTCAGGAATGATGACCTAAATAGGATAAATAGATTACATCATTATATGATGCTGTATTTTTTTTTTTTTGCCCCGTGTTTTTTGCTCTATATCTAGAACCATAACTTAAATAAAAAAAAATAAGAAAAATCAATAGTAGGAAAGGAAAACATCGTGCCAGGAACTTAAGAACCAGGCTGAGCATCGGCATGGAATGCTTGGTTCACTCTGCGATATCACCTAAGAATGCAGGTGGGCCTGATTAGAGACACGGAGTACGGAGTAGACAGAAGATAGAAGAAATGGACTCGGCTGGAATCGAACCCAGCTCCTAACAGCCTCAGGCAGAAAATGAGGGTAATCAGTAATTGACAGGGCGGTGCGTGATCTATAAATAGCGGGTGGCGGCTACCCAGCGCCAACGGCGGCAGAGGCACAAGCGACTGTCTCTATCTTTAGAATCTTCTGCATCACCCGCGTGTTTTCCAGTGTTCCATCCACTCACTCTCTTCTCTCATCTCCTGCCATCTCCATCCCAGCCGTTAGACGTTCGGTCCTCCATCGGATCGCCTCTCCACCCCTTCTTTCTTCCTTTTCCCCCAAGGTGGGTGAACTGCTCGCTCCCTCGCAGTTCCTTTGTCCCCTCTCCTCCAGCCCCCCTTGTTCTTCGCCCCGACCGGGCGTCTCGCTCTCTACGCGCCATCTCTAAATCTCATCTCACCTCACCCCTCTCTCTCTTCTCTTCCAGTCACCACCCTCCCTCAGTCCTTTATTCTCTTTCCCTTCCTTGGTCCCCACTGTAACTGAAACCTCCCGAGGGTCTTGAGAAAAAAGGGGTATTTTTTTTTTTTTGTGGCTCGGCCATTTTGAATCTCCAGACGCACAAATTGCCGAAAGATCGAGCGCTTATTCTGCCAACTACAGTCTCTGGCTTTTACGGTAGTTGCATTCCATCGCGTTTCTGGAAGTTCTGTGGCGCGGCGTTATCTGCTTCGGTTGTCACTCGTGGAACGACTCGATTTTCCTCGTTCTCGATCGATCCTGTTCGTGTCCTTTGCGTTTCATCGTCCTTCAGCTCCGTGTGATTCTGTCACACTCTGCCCATAATGGGTCGAAGAAAGATCGAGATCAAGGCGATCAAAGATGATCGCAACCGTTCAGTGTAGGTCTCGAGGTGTTCTCTGTCTCGCTACGGCACTGTTCAAGGGCTAACATGGCCTGTCTCCCAGTACTTTTCTTAAACGGAAGGGTGGTCTCTTCAAGAAGGCACACGAACTTGCTGTCCTATGTTCGGTAGATGTCGCCGTCATCATTTTTGGCCACAACAAGAAGCTCTACGAATTCTCATCATGTGATATGCGTGAAACGCTACATCGATATCAATATGTGTGTTCCTTTCTTCCCCGATATTTCTATAGAGGTTCTTGTCTGCTAATCTCATGGCTTGATTCTAGCTCGGTCCGCCGCATGAGCATAAGGGTCCCGAGGATTTCAACGGCAGGCGAGACGATGATGACGATGACGATGAAGATGGAATGACACCGGCCCCCGAGGATATGCATCCTACACCTCCCCAGAATGCTCCTGCGATGATCCCAGCGCATATCCAAGGCCATCCGGGCTTCCAACACGTCAATCATGCACCATCGGCCTCCCCCCCAATTGCCAATGGCATCCCTTTCAACCCCCGCCATGGCACGCCTCAGCCGCAGGGAGTCTCGAGGCCTTCGTCTAGGAATCATCTTCGCCGAGTAAGCTCGAGTATGGGCAATCAGTCTCACCATGCCACTCCTCCACCCCCACCGCCGTCTCAGAATGGTTTCGCCTACATGCCCAATCCTTCCGTGTACAATCCAAACCTCAGCCAGCAGTCTCAGCGATCCGGCCAGTTTGCACATTACGGCCATCCTCCCGGACCGCAACACCCACATCCACCGCCCCCTCAGCACCAGCAGATGCCTCCGCATTCCTTGCCGCCACACTCGATGCCTCCGCAATCCATTGCCTCACACCATCATACCCCCCCGCCGCACATCCAACATCAACATCCTCATCTCATGGCACCGCAAGCGCCTCCCATGGGTCTTTCACAAGCCCCCCACGCCCCAGTATCGCATGTTGCCCAAGCGTACTTGCCGGAGCAAGGGAGGAACTCGATGCCTCCAACCTTCGCATCGGAGCCACAGCAACCGCCACCACGAACGGTATCGCTACCGGAAGCGCCCCTAGCCGATCAAATTCCGGGGCCCGTAAAAGCGGAGGGTACTCCATCCCCACCGCACCAGCGGTCGCTGTCGTCCAAGTCCCGCAGTATCTTTACGCCGATCGATGATCGTGGTTCTGTTTTAGCCCGCCACTTTGGAGTCGGCCCGCCAACGTCACCAAACTCCCAGCTCAAAGCTGAAGGGTCGCAGGGAGAATTAACCGAAACAAAGCCCGTGAGCCATCCGGTTGTACCGCCGCCGCCTCCCGCTGCAACAGAAACTCCGTCGGCCACCAAGCTTAAACCACCTATACGAACGAATAGTGGCCAATTGCCGAAGCGCCCCCAGCTGAAAGTGCAAATCCCAAGCGAGAACTCCGATCACGGCAGTGCTACGGCGGAATCGTCGTCGCGCGACTCAGCGGGGAATAAGACCCTGACTCCTGCTAAAGCGAACGCTGACGCCGGCCATCCTGGAGTGGTTTTACCTCCACCGTCACCGTCGGCCAGCGCAATCCTCAGCGCGGGGGCTCAAGGGCCTCCAAATCCGTTTGCGAGACCACCACCCCCAGGTGCAACTGCACAGAACAATAATGCGTATAGCAGTAATAACAGTATAGAGACTCCCATGTCCGCCCTCCCTAGCCGCTTTGTCTCCGATGCTCTCCTCCCCTCGCCGTCCAGCTTCTTCCCCGAATGGGGCTTTGGCCGTTCTGGTCCGGACAGTAATATGCTCCCCAGCCCTCTCACATTCCCGACTCCAGCGGTGCAGACGGGGCCTGGCTTTGCGCGAGACGACGAGCAAGACAAAAAACGCAAGAGCCCCGATAGTGGAACCAATACCGACGGAACCATGAAGAAAGCAAAGACGTGACCTGCACAATGTTTCCTAGAATGATAATTATTGTCTCAACTGTGGTGGCATCTGATGGCGTTTTACAGGAAGCCGTGATTTGAATTATTATCATTCCTATTATTTTTATGGGTGGGGAAACTCGAATATGATTGTCTATATCCTTTTTTCTCTTGTTGTTTTCTCCATTGCCTGATTGTATCCTCCCGGTTAAGAGAGGCCTTGTTCTGGTTCTAACCTTTTTCTCATGGCTGTTCCTCTTTGTCAATTTATACCCCCTTACTTTTGAATATATCCATTTTATTCAGGGTCTCCTGCTTGTCATCGATCTACTCTTTCTGTGCCTTGTATGGCTATCTGGCAAAACAAAAGGAACAAGATGTGGAGAAGATTAGATCGGATCTCATCTTCAATCTTTGCCCTCTGGAGATGAAAAACAATCTGTGCTGTTTCTTTATTCTTTTTCCCCCTGGTCACTTTTAGTAGTGATAGCTTCCTGGTGATGGCGTTTCTACTTCTCCCCCAACTCTCCTATTTGTTTCATTATGTATATAGTGATGTTGTATTAGGACTATAATGGTGGTGGTTGCAAATAATATCATTTATATTATACATCTCTTTTTAGCGCCATCTCTAGTAGTGCTGCAGGTATATATACGTTCCGTAGAATATCTGGTTATGATTCAATGATTTGTACATGATGCTGGAGTCATGTACGGCCAGCATTTGTAGTTAAGTAACTAGAGATTTGGATGCTGCGCTAGCAAGCTATGTATAGCGTATGTATGTATACCTGAGTTGCAAATATATGCACTGCAACCAGAACAATAACCCGCTCATCTAAATAGACCCAGAAGAAAAAAGAGTGCACTCAAGCCAGCGGTCCACTGCCTTCCAAGCATTGCTGAGACAGGGCCCATAAAAATATGTCCAATATACACATGTGCATGCTTTCATGTATCGTAATGTCCGGAGATGCGAATTAAAATACCGGAAACTTTTGGTTCTTTTCTGCAGGGTGTCCATAGCACATGACGAGATTGATTAGGTGGGATCGTTATTAAGATTATTTCTTTGTACTGAAGTCAGGAGATCTATCGGAGTCAATGGTAAGACACATGACGAGGAGACAGATCAACAGAGGATATTATACGTCCTCCTTGAGAGGCGTAGGCTTCGATTTGCTTTTCTTAGAGGCCAACACTTCCTGTCTTGCGCGCTCGAGTTCATCGAGACCGGTTTTGGTAATTGTGTGAGCCTGGCTGAGTTCGACGGGCCGGATGAAGAGACTGACCAGGAACCCGAAGCCTGCTATCGCCGTGTAAAAGATCCACATGCGGCTTAAGGTGAAGGTTAAAGCATTCAGGACGACGGTCTTCTGGCCCTCTGGGAGGGACTTGATGAGGTTGCCATGGGAACCAGAGAAGGTCTTTGTTACGGCCCGGGCCATGTCGGCACCTAGGCTGTCGACGAGATGAGGCATCTGCTGCCCAAGAATATTTTGATAAACCACCGTGCCCAGGACGATGGATATGGCGGAGGAGGCTTGGCGGAGGAAGCTGAAGGTGGCCGTAGCAGCAGCAACGTCCGCCCGGTGGATATTGGCCTGTAGGGCAACAAGCGGAGCCTGGAAGTTCGGGCCAGTGCCTATACCGCCAATGATTTGGTAGATGATAATGCGAGGCCACGAGGCGTAGTATTTCAGATCGATCAAGAGGCCATAGCCGAGTGTCATGAGACACATTCCAACAACGATCAGTTCATGGTAGCGACCGGTCAGTTTGATGACGACTCCTACAGCAGCGGAGACAACGGAGAGACTGAGAACCATCGGAAGAACGTAAACTCCGCTCATAATGGGATTGGCGAATAGTACCGTTTGAAAATAGAGCGGAAGGTAGTAGGAGCCCGAGATGAAGACAAAACTGTGACAAAAGCACACGACGAGCACCAGAACATTATGCCAATTCTGGAAGAGACGGACGGGAATCACAGGATACCGAGCGACTTTCCACTCGTTCAGCATGGCCAGGGCCCAGGTCAATATGCCAAAGATAATCAGACAGATAACCGTGGGAGAGTCCCAAGGGTAGCTGACGCCACCGAACTCTAGGCCAAATAGAAACATCAGAGTGCCACCGATCATCAAGAGAACACCCGACCAGTCAATGGATCGCAAACCAGCCAGAAGAGGGGTTTTCCCCGCTTCAATTTTAAGGAAAAGTAGAAGCATGACGAATGAAAAACCACCGATAGGTACTAAATGCGAGGATGTTAGCAATCGAGCACTATCCAAGCTCGGCGCCGAGCCAGTTGGGCTTACAGTTGAGATAAAAGCACCAGCGCCAGGTAACATTGGTGGTGAATGCGCCTCCAATGATTGGGCCGAGAGCACCTGCGATGGCCCACGTCGATCCAAAAAGTCCATAGTACATCGGTCGGTCTCTGGAAATAAATATCATTAGCATTATGCAGGAGAGGAGACACGGTAGAAATGGAAAGGCTTTGACCAACCTAACACTGAATAAGTCAGAGACACAGATGTTTACCAGGACAATGATTCCACCACCGCCGGCACCCTGTATAGCTCGTCCTGCCAGGATCATGGGCAGATTATAGGCGAGAGCACAGACGAGGCTGCCGACGAGGAATATAATGTTAGCAATTAGTAGGATCGGCTTCCTGCCCCAGATATCACTGATTTTACCCCAGAGGGAGACAGATGCGGCGTTCGCCAGCATGTACGACGAAGCCATCCATGAGTATCCACTCTCTTTGGCATGGAAATAGCGAGCCATCGTCGGCATCGCCGTAGAGACAATGGTCTTGAGCAAATCAGCAAGTCTAGAAACCAGTTAGGTGATGAATCACATACCATATCCAAAGCCGCAAGGAACAACACCAGCTAGACAAGCCACATAGTCAGTTACGGCCTTTTGGTTCTGAGGATAGGGAGGTAGAGAAACCGTGGACATACACATAGCGCGGTCATCACGATGATAATCTTCTTCTTCCCCAGCTTGTCCGCTTGGGAGGGGACTCGATCCAGCGGTTCTCCAGACGGGACATTTTCTCCCGGCCCATCGTGATTCTTGGACTCATCTGACGTCGGGTGCTCTGGTGAGGGGGTATGTTTCTCTGACAGTCCTGAGATGCGGACGGATGAAGATTCCGCCTCTACGGGCGAAGTGCCAGTTTCCTGGGACCCGCGAGTTCCGCTGGAGGGATCCTGACGTCCTGACATATTTCTGGGGTTGTTGGAATGTGAGAAAAATCCAATGGACACAACCCGAGAGTGAAGAGACGATGACAGAGAATGGAACTGGGGAAACCAGACATTTTAATTGGATCTGATCTGGACTGGCGGGGCAGATCCGACGCCGCGAAGGGTGGAGGAATCCATGCTAAGAACAGAACTTTATCCGAAGGAACGCGTCTTCGCGTGTCCGAATGGCCGACGCTAGTAGTGGCCCCTCGAGAGGAACATGGACTTGGGGAAAGAAAGGAAAAAGGAGACAAAGAAGGACCCACCGAGTGCTAAATAAGCCTTGCGACTTTCCAGTGGGTGCAGACAAGACAATATGAATAAGAGTTAGTTTCGGACTATTAAACACGGCAGCGGCCGACATGGGGGTTTTCCGGTTGACATGTGCTTGTGGCCTGAGGCCATCGCTCTATACACAGTCGGTTTCCTACGCATTCATACTGTACATCCCTGCCTGGCAAAAAGTCATCCAATTCCCGGGTGATACTATACAATAAATAATACGACCCAAATTCAACCACTCCAAACCATCTTTACTTTTTTCCATGCATTCCCATCTCCTGAACAATGGTACTGAGGAGGAAATAAGGGTATAATGTTTCGATATAATATGACATGACGGAGCAAAAAGAACCAAACAGACCACAGAAACAAACAAAATAAAAGATACATCCTCTAGTCCAGCAACTGCAGGATTTCTGTCCATCATCTCATCAGTGACAATCCATCCCCAATTGGTAACAGCGGACATACCCGTCAAAAACTCTTCGAAGCTGACCGTGATATACCCGTCACGGTCGTCATCATATCGTTTAAACGCATCTGTCATGCGCCGGAGACTGATACAGGCCTGCACAAACAGGTCGAAACTCATCCCTGTCGACGGTGGGCCTTTGCTCGGCCCGTTCATCTGTCGTCCTTTGGATTCGAAGGTGGTGAACAGCACCGTTACAAATGGCGGGCTCAGGCGGTATCCGAAGGCAACCAGCGCATTCTCAAACTCCTGCAAACTGATGCGACCACTTCGGTCGACGTCAAACCGGTCAAACAGTTCGCGCCATGCGGCCAGGAAACGCCACAACGAGACGAACTCGTCAAAGGATATGGTCCCGCTATTGTTGCGATCAAACAGCCGGATCATCATCATAACGGTACGAGGGTGGAATGAAGTGTAGTCGCCGTTGACGAGAGCGGAGCCCAGCTCCATCTCGGTGAGTGCCCCCGAATGCGACGAGTTGGCGGCGCGGAACAGGGGGAAAAGCTGCTGTGGATCATCATCGGGGACACCCAGCGGGGGTGGGTTTGGCGACCGAGGAGGGCGCGAGGACGGCAGTGGACGATTGTGCGCCGGCTGGGACGGGGGAGGCCCGAACCCGTAATTCTGGGGAGGCGGCGACGGATGCAGCGGATGCGTTGCATGTGTGCTCTGCTGGGGCCCGGCTGGAGGGAGCGGCTTATTGCTGTTGTACGGATGTTGAGCTTGTGCAGGAGGACGTGATGAGTGCGGGCTTGAAGTGCTGGAGACGGGAACTCGAGGTGGAACGCCGCCGGAAGAGGGAGTGGGGGACGGTCGGGGAGGGTTTTGCTGTTGCTGTGAGGGGCCAGATTGCATCGCACTGAGCATCTGCGCTACCTGGAGGCGGTTGTTGTCTCCATGTCAGTTGCATACTCGTGCCATTCCCGGTTTGGCCCTCTGTACCTGTTCAGGCTCCGCGTGTCTACAAAGTTGGGTCCATGACACGTTAGTGCGGGTCTTCCATGATGCAGCAACAACCCCCTGGTAACCTGTCTGGCTCGGATTTGACTTACGCGGGCAGCGCATCTGGGTTGTAGGACTTGTTGTAAGCCATGGGAGCTGACGTAACAGTGGGGGAACGATAGAGAGAAGAGACGAAAGCAATCGAGACAGTCCCCTTTTATGGAGGGGATTCAGGCAGGGGGAAAGAGAAAAGAAGAGAGAGCGCGAAGGCAAGTTAAGATGATTTTTTAAAAAAAAAGAAAAGAAAGAAAGAAAGAAGGAAGGAAAAACAAAGAAAAAAAGGAAGACGATCGGTCAGGAGGGATGGGAGAGTCAGTCCCTGTCCATCATTTCGCTGTTGAAAGCGGACCCGTGGGGCGAGTGACTTTGGTTCTGCGACTGCCAAGAGACAGTTAACATTATTAATAAAACAGTGGTCGTCCTCGTTGTGGACGATGTTGAGTTCCCAGTCCAGCGTCTACGGATGGATTGCGGTACACAAAGACTGGGGATCTGTCAGCCCTGCCAGCGTCTGCGGTTTTAAATGGTTGGCCCACAGGTTCTTGGATGCGATTTTTCGCCCGGTGGAGCTCATGCTATACTGGATTGCCTTACGAAGTACTCTATTGAGTAGTTGCCTGGAGTTGTCTTAAGGCTTCATCAATCCCTGCCGACTGTCCTCGTAGAATCTCCATGATTTCTTTCCATGCTTTGTCCTGGAATTGTTTTCCTTCCACTCCCATAGTCAACGCGGCCGATTCACTGGCCATTTGTTTAGCCAACTGCGAAAGGGTGACACCATAAATATTTCAAAACCAAAAAAAAAAAAAAAAAAATACTTACTCCAAGTATCCATCACTTCTCCAGCATTTCCCATGCGATTCGACTCCCTGATAAGTGGCGCTAACTAGCGACCGGCTTCCCTGTTCCGTCGTGCGAGCAAAGAGCTTTTGCACCAGCCAAACCAACCAACGCTCGTAGAATCGGTTGTATTGACGCCCAAGCGACGACACGCAGAATCCTGGACTTACAGTCTTGATAATGACGGGGAGGGCTCCATTTTCATTTCGAGCCAGACCCGCTGCCGTTTTCAGGACGTATTCCAGCAGGAGTTTGGAGATACCATATTGCTTTGGGCCGCGAAAGTGCTGCGGATCGTTCAGATGCATCAACAATGGTCCCTCTGTCCGGAGGCTTGCTGCCTTCACCCGGGCGAATTGTTGGCTGGACACCACGGCTAGGTGTGCTGGATTGGATAGGGACGAACACTCTCTGAGCTTGGGCAGGAGAAGAAGCGCCAAAAGTGAAGTCGACAGTGTGTTTACCTGCAGGGTCTCTTCCCAGCCCTCGGGAGTTACGATATACTCTCGGTTCCACAGACCAGCGCTAAGCAGTGCAATGTCTAGTTGTTTGATTTCCCTATTGGCGCGGTCCGCAAAATCCTTGACGCTTTGGAAACAGCTCATTTCTAGCTCCCATACATGAACCACACCTCGTCGGCCGGTGCGATTCTCTAGTTCCGCCTTAGTAGCCAGGCCTCGTTCATGGTTGCGACTCCCGATGATCAGCGACTCAATGCCGAGATTAAGGAATTTGATGGCGGCCTCGAATCCCAGACCGCTCGTCGCACCAGTCAGGATGACGGTTTTACCAGCAAAGGAGACCCCTACTGGGTCTGTTGGGATGGTGTATTGCATCCGGAGCAAACGGAAGAGACCGGCCATGATCAGAAGCGCCAGGCAACGAAAAAGGGAAAGAAGACGAAGGCTTCGTTTCGAGACCTTAGCTGGTTATTGGACGTTGACAATGCTGATGGGCAATCGGCGACATGTATCCCAACCTAGAAGAACCTAACGCTGTGCTGCGAAACAACGGAATCATGCGGCGCTCCACTGGAAGAATCTTGGGAAGCGATGCAGTTAGTTAGTTGGCTCTGGCTGTTGGACCCGCACTCTGGTGTCTGGGCATTCCCCGCTGAAGCACTGAGGCAGCTTGGGGACTTTGAGAAGGATTCTGCAACAGTCTAGAGGTTGGGTTGGCTTGGGGTCCAAAGTCACATAGTTAGGACCTTACCTGCTGGCCTAGCACGATTATTTACGACTCAATACTAATCGAATACGCAGGAGTAAGCTCTACAAAGTAGTCAGTAAATCAAGTGTCTGGGTTATGTATCGTAGGGATAATCCCTACTGGAACCTGGAATGAAACGAGGATTATGCTCCATCTATCGCTTGCACAACGACTGTGATGACTGGTGTCTATAATTTGGCGGATCTTGCGTCAATTTGCGCTGTCCAGAGTAGTTGCGTAGGGTGTAGATAGGATTGGATCGAAAATCGTCATGATGTGGATCGATGGGGCCATCAAACAAACGATGCAAACAGCTGGATTACCGAGGACTCGACTCGGCCTATCTACATGACCGCGGGGCGAAATTTTCATGGACGAAGCCAATAGATTCACTACAATTCAATATAGAGTCTATAGAGATGGTCATAAGCACAGAAGGCCGCCAACCGGACGGTCGAACGTGGCGCAACTACTTCCCAGACGGTGATCTATGGGTATTTGGATATGGGTATGCCCAACCGACGAGCCTTCGGAATTGTTTGACCCTAATGAAGACAGTCTATACAAGAACAAGAGCTAACATATGAAAAGGAGCCTGATCTGGAAGCCACCTCCACATTATGGTACGTCTGTCTGTCATTTCTGGCTTGACATTGAACGCCGCGTGCCCCGTCAAAGCTAGAGACGTGAAAAGTATGGTGGGCGTCAACCGGGATGCATTTCTGGCTGATTGAATGCTCTTCAATAGATCAAAGAGTGCCTGGTTATATCGATGGATATGTACGGCGTTTTTGGCAGGTTTGTCTTCCCATTCACTGAGCGTTATGTCCTAAGTTGTTCCAACCACTGCTATTCTATCAAGAGATATATTGACTTCAGTGCTAGGCCAGGTTAGTTACACCCACGGAAATTTAGCCCTTCTCTTTTGGCATGTCTATTCCTTGGTAATTCAGTGCTGACTGGACCCTTGCATAGCACTGACCATCGAGGTACTCCAGAAAAGCCAGGACGTGTGGTAACTGTAATTGAACGAGAATTCTGGGAGACTTTAAACGATCCGGTATGTACACTTGAATTTCCCGCTTTAGACATAACCCCAGTGTAATACCGTGACAGCAAGCACACCATGAAACCTCCAGCTCATCGACATCCCGAGTCTGGGGCGCAGCGTATCATATCCCCGCTTCCCACGCCGAGGAAGTCCACGACTATCTTGATGAGCGCGAAATAGACGGCTACTCGGTGCACTACACCCCCTTTCACTCCTTTGAGTCAACAGAAGCATCTGGACATGGCCCGGTGCCTTCAAAATCCATCACTTGTATGGTTTATATTGGTCAGCCGACAAACCCGCAGTTCTTGCGCGACCCTGCTCGTAGGGAGCCCCAGGACGTGGCTGAGGTGATCAGTCATGGTATGGGCCAGAGTGGCAAGAATACGGAGTATCTTTATCTATTGGAGAAGGCACTTGAGAGCGTGGGGCTGGGAAGTGCCGATGGACATGTCACGGACTTGGTTGAGAGGGTGAAAGCGATTGAAAATGAGGACGAAGTGGCACGAGAAGAGGAGGCGGCCCAAAGAAATTTAGAAAAATCTCTTGGTCAATCCGAGAAGGCCCATCGGAATGTCGCAAGTGAATAGGTCGCCTCTCCGTTTCGACCTATAATATACTTCCAAGATACGCGGGTACCTGGAACTGCTGAGGGGACGCAAACTAGTGATGAATAAACGACTTACCATAGAAATTACAGGTGCAGGAAACTACGCTAGATGGTTGATGGTGCTACTAGCTGAGAGCAACGATTCAATGCAAAATGAGAGAGACAGCTACTATCGTAAAGACGTAAGACTAGAAGGTTAAGCCGTAAACTAAACCTGATCATCAATCCCGTATATCCATGGTCAAACTAGCCGGTTTTTCAAAATCACATCTCATAGCTGTGTGCGTTCCTAGAGGTAAATGGATCTGAAGGCGACAAATTTCCCTCGAGGGTCAGATGCATTTGATTCCCATATTCGAACTTAGGCACCTTGGTCAGCGGAAGGCTGCTGGCTATTGTTACGCCAGCCTGTGCACGATTAATTAGTCGAGGATCCACACAGCAACAGGAGTTCAAAAAAGTAAAAATGAATACTAACCACCATCGTTGTAGCTACCACCTGTACGGAATTGGTCAGAATTGTATTCCTCTCCAACGACAAAACACCGAGCACTTACCATATCCTCCTCCACGGTAACCACCGCCACTTCCCCCTTCGGGGCGATTGTATCCACCTCGGCCATTGTAGCCACCGTTACGACCACCGGTCCGTTCAGAGGCTTTATCAACACGGATGGTGCGGCCGTCGAACCTACCTTTAGTCAACTTTCTGCAATCGGGTAAAGAACATTCCGATACGACTCACAACTGGTCATTCATGGCATCGATCGCAGCCTGCGCATCCTGTGCATTGGCGAAACGGACGAATCCGAATCCCCGGCTGCGGAAGGAGTCATGGTCCTTGACGACAGTCTAAAGTCCGTGAGCAAGAATACTAGATGGATGGCAAGATGGATGACAAGTGATCCATGAAGAAGAGAGACTCACTGCTTCTTCGACCGGGCCAAACTTCTCGAAACCTTCACGGAGAGTTTGATCAGTGGTGTGCCATGCCAGGCCACTATGCAAACATATTAGTCAGCCGATCGATGCACATCGATTATATAGGTGAAATGAGCAAGGCAGAAGATGAGTTAAAAAAAAAAAAAAATGAAAGAATGAAAGAAAGAAAGAAAACAAACCCAACAAATAATTTGGACATGTCGAAATGCTACTAGAGGATGGCAGGAGGATCAGTATTCAAGAGCACAAGCGACGAGCAGTGGAGCGGATGGAAATATAGTCAGTAATAAGGGCGAAGGGTGACGAGTCTGCAGAATGAGGCTGTTTTGAGACCAGTTCTGCAGAAATGTGCCTCGTTATGACCTACATTTTTTTTTTCGTCAAACCGCCCACTTTAACGTGCAGTAGTTGAAAATAACTTCTATCTGTCAGCGGAAATGCAGTGGGAAGTCAAAGTATGAGGAAAGGTAAAAGAGAAGGGGGATAAGGCGAACAAAGCGGCGGGGAGATGGGAAAGGAAAGCCAGACCGGAGAGTTTGAGCTACTGGAATCAAATAGAAGGGACAGAAAAGACAGCAGAAGGAAGGAGAAAATCTCGATGGAATGGTGATGGATCATGGAGGGGCAGGAAAGGCGAAAAGCAGGACGACGAGATGGAACAGACCGGGACTGATTGGACGCTAAGCCCAGTGCCGGCGCACCTCCGTCCCCCTCTTTTCTTTTCTCTTTTTGAGTTTTATTATTTTTTATTAGTTTGTTTTTACTTTTATTTTCAGTTCTATTCTTTCCTTCGGGGGATATGTTAGATGGGATGGGTTCCGCAATGCCCTGCGTATCCCAGGAGTATTGTATAGGATGTGGTGGATAGTATACTGTATGCTCCCTATTAACTTATCGAGGCTGCATGAGCACTTTCGGTGACAAAATGCTCCTGGGTAAGCTTGGCTGTGTAAGTGAAATTCACTCTCCTCGCGTCGAGTCCCTAGAAGACGTTCAAACAGCGAATGGCGGTCGTTCTTTCCCCAAATGTAGGAGACCCTTGACTCCTTCCTGTGGTTCCTCTCTCTCCCACTCTTAACCCTTTCTTTCGTCCCAGGGACAACCCACAATGGATGACCTCACTGCTGAGCTTGTTCTAAATCCTCTGCTGGAAGACGTTCATGAAAATCCGGAAAAATACTACAAAATGAACAGGATGGCCCATTAACGGACCAGACCTAAGAGAATGGTTCTTTGAGCTACAACAGTATTCCACTGCTTTCCATGAGCACAGAATGGCCAGGAGTTCTGTCCTGAATGATGAGGTCACTCTTATAATTTGGGGGGGGGGGAAGAGGACGCAATGCTTTAGAAGACCGATTAACCGCTTTGTGTGTCCAAGGCCACCAATCACCCACTCGTGATCAGTTGATACAGCAGAGCAAACCCCCCATGGACGGGCCGCTTGAAGGAACTACCAGTCTGGTTGACTGGCAAAGGTCATTCTTGTCTCCGGAAGGCCTCGTAAGAAGGGAGCCTACCAACGCCGATAGCTCTCATGATGCGCTTGGTGACAGTCGTGTCGACCAAATGCTCCTCTAACGTGTCCTGTTTAGAGGCCACCCAGCTTTTAGATGTGGTTGAATGTGCAACTCGACTGGTACGAAACTCCCTTGTGGACGAAACGCTCGCGTGGCGATTCCGTGGCCAACTGTCCGCGATTTTCTGGGGGCGGAGACGGCAAACCGGTTCTTTGAAAAGACCATCGAACGGAATGATCCCAGTAGAACGTATTGCTCTAATTCCCAATGCTCACGATATATTCCCCCACGGATGTCAGCCACCAGGAATATGTTAACATTGTGAGCAACTTTGTACCAACTGTAAGAAGAGAGAACACCAGGGTCAATGCATCGAAGACAATACCGAGGTCTTGAACCTGGCAAGGAATCAAGGGTGGCAGTGTTTTCCTAGATGTCATAACCTTGTGGAGCTAGGAACTGGCTGCAACCACATCACGTAACTTTACAGAAGACTATCATTTGATCCCGTTCATCAGATTGAACTTTGCCATTTCTTAGGTGCCGCTGCCGCTATGAATTCTGCTACGAATGTGGCGGACAATGGAAGCTTTGCCGATGTAACATGTGAGATGAATCTAGATCGCTCGAGCGAGCTCTACAGGTGGCCGCCCAGGAACACCCAGATCCTCCTCGAGTTGACGTGCTGCGTGAGGTCCAGAATCTCAGAGAGAATCACGAATGCGAGTATATGGGCAGGTGGAGACGTCGTAATGGGAGCTATCTCTGTGAGGAGTGCCACGAAGAGATGCGCTACTTCATACCGGAATGTCAGCAATGCAAAAAACGCGTTTGTGTGGACTGCAAGTACAATCGACTTTAGTGAGCTCTAGAAATTCCTGTTCTTCGAGCAGGAAATGGCTGGGCAAGAGGCAGGGCCAAGGGCGAGAAGGGAAAATGAGCTTCATTTGTACTCATATTGTTGTACCTTTAAGTTAGGGGCTACCTTGGAATACTCTGTACCCTGTACTATCCATTCGATATGGTTTACCGTGGAAGCCACCTGTATTGGGAAGGCGGGTGCCGTTCAAACTCCTTGTGCACCTGGTCTGATGTCACACTGACTGTATCGAAGTCATAACGGTCATTCCATCACTCTCCATCTGTTGAAACTGATCTCCGAAAACAATCTCTGGTTCAATTTCTACATGGATTCGCCTATACGTTACATTCAAGAATGGCTGGCGAAAACCACGGATGAGTCAGGAAATTCGAAGCCTTCAGAGTCGCACCTCAGTTACTTTGCCCAAAAGTCTTCCCCGAGGTAAACTTTTTACAAACATTTTATGATACGGCACTTGACCTCGACAAAGCTGTTGCTAAAAAACCACCTCAACGTTTCTCGCAGATAATATATCAACGGAACTGCAGTGCTACAACCTTCCCCATCCTGTTTCAAATGTATCAGACCGTAAGAAGCAGTCTTATACCTGCCAGAAAGTGTATGAGTATGGACGAAGATCGCGACATAAAACCAAGGAGGGCCGCTACGAGTATAAGGGCAAGGGGAGGGGGGCGAAAAAGCGTCAACATCAAAGGAAAGCAGAAGACTCGCAGCTCGGATCAGAAAGCACACAATCAACAATGAATTTAATGCTTTGAATGTGGCTACGAGCAGATTGACTGTAGGCACTCGATTTCGCGTACCCTCTTAAACAGTGGACTGACTAAATACAAGCTTCGCCAGCCCGGAGGAATGGGCATCTTCACAAAAGGGAAGGCATCGGACCCGGTGAAACCTCGTCAATGTAGGAGATGTTTTCCTTAAGCTCGCATCTGCTTATAATCAAGGCTTACGAGATTGACGTCTAGTTGCTGAAGTCTTCTCGGAAGTTAACTTTTTATCTACAGATTCTCAGTCACATAACGAAGGTATATCTGCATTTTTTCGTAACGGTGATGGAGAAGTAGAAACGCACAGCGCAATCGAAACGGGAACGAGGATAATGCCAAATCAGCATTCGAATAGCTTGCAGCAGGCCGAAGAAATCAAAGAGTTATCTCTTGCATCCTCACCCTGTCGACAAATCGGAGAGGGAACGGATTCGGAACTTGAGTTACGGCTGGAATCTTACACGAACCGACTCTTGTATTTTGATTGGAGCGCCCTAGAAAGCAGTGAGGACATCACTGTGACAGATCCGGTAAAAAAGTATTGGACTCTAAAAGAGTTGAGGGATTTGCTTGAAGCGCGAAGAAGGTTGCAGCATCTACGACTAGTTCATCACAAATGCGAGCGGCGTCTGCCCAGTGATTCGAGCATATGTACAGCACAACGGGCTAAGAAGGATAGGAAATGTAGCCTGGATGAAGATGCAGAAGAGTCGCCCGGCAACAATCTCAGGCAGGAAGGCACAGTATCTGCTACTTCAGGACTGCTTGATTGGCGTAGAGATATCAACAATGGATCTCGGAACAATGGGTACAAACAAGCAAGTCGAAGGACACCTAAATCTGACTCGATGTGTTTGGCAGAAAACTCTGACTATTCTACTGATCCTGTGAAACAAGGTCAAAAAAACCAACCTCTTTTTATAAAGGACCAGGACTGCCAGTCTCAGCGCCTAAATATATCTGGAAACAACATGGACAGGATGCGCGACACATCGAGAATATCAAATCCAGGAGGCAAGGACTATAACGTTGCTCATTACAGGGATCTCGTCGTCCATACTCTAGATGCAGCATACGATGTGATTATTCATTCAGACAAAGGCTCGCTGTGTGAGTTTTCAACCAATGGAAACCCGGATTCAACGAGGCCGTCTATTACCGGCGAAAATGAAGGCATTTCCCGGGTGGCTTGTGGTGCACCAAATGAAGCACGCTTACTCTCTCCTGTTCTCTCAGAAGACACCCAGTATAGACTCACTCTACAGCGGGACGTCTATAATATGGAACAGCAACTCAGGGGAGAAACATTCTTTCGTGGGTCTTTCCAACAACCCTGGGCAGCAAGTGTACAGGAAATGAAATATTACGCAAGCCACTTCCCATCATGGGAAATAGAACAGTCTAGCCAGAAAGCTCCAAAAGCATTAGGCCTAGAAGGTGACATTCTTGGCAACCTCAAAGGATTTTGGCGACAGAACAAGTTGTACTGATTCATAGTCTTTTTTTTTTTTTTTTTTTTTTTTTTTTTTTTTTTTTTTTTTTTTTTTTAGCATGATATATGATGGGTTTCTTACGCGCGCCTGGGAGTGCAACATAGTACCCTTTCTAATAGAGTTGGTCATTCTCCTCATCATTGAGACTGTGAACGGGACCATCGCCAAATGGTAGGTGCATTTGGTACTAGGATCGACGCTGCAAATGCCCTGTATTGCTTTTTCTCCTCTTTGGGCTGGAAGCACTAGGTTCGTCACAGAACCCGTAGGCAGTGTCTTCAACGTCAAGCCTTATCAACGAAACAGAAGATACCTGAACATGTACGCACCAGCCAGGACCGATAGGTAAGGCAAGTTCAATCAGACCAGGGTGGTGAAATGCTGGTCTGAACCAAACCCCGGTTGGCTGGAAATTTGAGAGAAACTATTTCAAAAACCGACCCGCCTATCAGCAGGGATACGGCTGCAGTGTGAAATTAGCGCAAGAGAATCGAGCAAATAAAACCGCTGGTGCTGTCGTCTGCCTTCGCGGGGTGCCTGCGTGGATACTTCGCTGTCACCAGCGACATGCATGATTCCCGACAAATATCGGGTCATCCGCGAATGAACCGTTCCCCGGGTCAGGGAGGTCTCATAATACCCCTATTCGCATCTATGCTTGATTCTTTACAAGTGTAGTGTTTTCCCGCAAGAGCTGTGTCATTTGCTGATGGCCACAGTAGACGCTTTTAGGATAGACCCTAGGCACAGAATGATAGGAGACAAGCCGGTGTATTCTCGCCTCTCTGGTGAGTGATTGGTAGACTTTACCCAGCAGACTGGTAAGCCAAGGATATAGTGGATCCCCAGAGCAGTTGACAGTCTCTCCGACACTCTGGGTCGAGAGGTACAGGCAGTGGCGTAGTGGAGTTAGCATTAGTCTCCTGGACGAGTCCTCTGTAGGACTTGTATTCCCCTGTCTCTCCAGGGTTGAGTTTCGCTTGATCCAACTCCTTTATTTAATTTATCCCCTCCATTCCCGGACCATGGGAATTCCTCAATTTTAATCTCGTTATTCGTTAATAGTGAATGGTTCTTCATGGTTGAACCACAGAGAAACCCCATACATTGAAATCGTACGTCTTCAGCCACCCTGCAAGGACGGACGCCTACCCTCGAGATGACTGTTTCAATTCTGCAGCAAGGCTGAGACAACTCGCTCTGCTTACAGGGATTTATAGTGTTCAGGCCAACGTGCAGCAGCTGGGAGAAAGAGGCTCCAAGGATAATGTTCATCCCAGAATATTGGGAAAACGCCATGGATTGGGGTCATGCGGTGCATGCATTCGACCCATTTCCGGGGCCTTAGTGATGGAGGGAGTTCTCTAAAGCACCGATTTTGGTACTTTATGAACGGGATATGCGCTTTCCTCTTCCTCCCCTCTTCTCTTCGTGTTTGCCTGGAGATATAAAGTCTCCTTGTCATTCCCATTAACCTGACTGATATGTAGCTAACAAATTGGAGGGTCTCCCCACTCACTCCTACTCTCAATATATCCATTTCCATTTCCATCGAGATAGTCAAGATAGTCCTCATCTCATTATCTGCTCATCTCTAGAATGGCCCCAAGCACCAGCCCACACAGCCTAACTACCTCCAATCTCATACTTCATGATAAATTACTTGAATACGTGAGACCCTTCCTCCTGAGAACATTTACCTCCATACTAACCTTCTCTACCCACAGGATCACCCCAACATCACCATCATCTCATGGATCGACAAAGTTATCCGAGAGGAGCGAATCCACTGGTTTTACTCACACTTATGCACGGCACTCTCGGAGTCACAAAATGAGGATTTAGACGCCGACATGATGCAGCTGGATCAGAGATTGACTGCTTTGACCAGCAATGCGGATATGGAGGAGATGATGATGAGCCTAAACCTATTTGAGCAGCCCGAGGGCCTATGCCTGGAGAGCCCTCTAGAGCGGTACCTGACCCCCGGGGGGTGTGAGAACCCTTCCGTTTTTGTGAGACCTGCGTTAGTGGAAATGGGTGTGCAGTTTGGGGGCACGCACGGCTTAGACGAGCGGCTGATTAAAGCGAAGGAGAATGTGGATTTCACGAAGGAGAAAAGGCGTCAAGCAGCCTCTGAGTATGACGAATATTGTGATTTGGGTAGCATCCCCGACGACTACGATATCCTAGGCTGTGGGTCAGGGTTTGCGACGAACCTCAATGTTGGCAAGGCTATGAATTTGTGAGAGAAGACAGGCGAGGACTTCCAAATAGAATGAGGTGGATCAAAGACTTGTCAAGTAGCTGATGTGTACAAATAGAGTCGAATTGATTCTATCATGTAGGAAATGTTTATTTGGGTATAATTGTATCATCGATTATGTTAAGTGGCTTCAATCAAGGTCAATTTGTCCGGAACCGCTCTTGCCACATGACCGGTATGTCAACAGCCTGTCAAACTCCCTCTGGCTTCGATCCGATCCTAGTAGCATGTCTCCGCCCTCAAACAGCTCCCAAGACGCCAACCCGAGCCACCCACTGACGCCAGGACCTAAGCCAAGTTACGAAGTGAGAGAAATCTGCAAATGGCGCCGAGTCTAGGATGTCCAAAATAATAAAGATGATATGATACACGAGCAAGCATCATCCATATGGTTTGTAGCCGGCAGCGGCGCCCGACGGAGGCGATCGGCGTATTCAGTAAAGGAATCATGTATGTATAGTAGGATGCACATGCCACATGCACAGGAATAGAGTTTGGGTGACGAGGAGGAGGTTGATATATTCATCTAACAATCCAAGTGCAACGAAGCACGGAGGCATCAATCACAGCGAAGCCAAGGCACCGGATCTCTTGTAGGCCACTTGATTGTTGCTCAACACCACATCTATGGGATACTTCCACTCCATGAATCTCGTCCAGCCTGTAGCATGTCAGTCAGCACCTGTCTGCCCCGGTTGAACCCATAGTGCATGCTTGCATGCGTGTATATCGAGTAATATATGTATATGTATTTATGTACATACCCCAGTAGGCGCACTTCCGCCCTAGGTATTTCCCCACGAAGGGTACCAGGACCATGGTCAGGAGGAGTTCCAATTGTTCGATGCTTTCGCGCCATTCTTCCTCAGCGTCGGAGTAGTAGTCGTCCGAGAGGGTATCAAGTTCAGAAGCGGTGGTGGATTCGGAGGGAAGTGAGGCAACGTCATCTTCTTCGGAGGTGTAGTGGTCTTGGGAGGAGACCATGTAGGCGGAGGTGGTGAGGGACGGGTTGGAGGCGGAGGGGGAATCGAACGACATGGTGGAAAAAATCTACGGTAGAGATAGAGGGATACGTTGCAATTTTCAAGCAGTGGCCTGCCTACCGCCTGAACACAAGAGACGTCAATAGATGGATGATGGATGGGTATAGGTATACACAGTAAGTACAGGATAGTTAGTTCGTGAGTGGTGAATGGAGCGTCTGATGTAATCCACTCGAGTCCAAATCAAAAGCTGCCGCTCACGTGCCAATCCCGTACCATACCATACATATAATACCGGACAGTACCGTCTGTACAATACGCAGGCTCTTTTGAGTCAGTGTCACGTGCCTGATAACAGTTGCCATCGCCAGCAGACAAGATATGGTTCGCAGCGGACAAGCAAAAGCAACCTCCTCCCCCGCGTCTTCCAGTATCAGAGCATCATCATCACGGTTAGACAGGTTGCGCCCGTCCAGACTTGTGGAGTTGTTCCTCGCCCAACTTGCTGCCAGAGACTGACTAGTGACCACCCAACATGGCGGAGACTGTACGTCACAACACCCTGTTTTCCCTTTACCGATCGCCTCCCACATTTTCTTCACATTTCATGTCTTCCGCCCATCCACTGCATTTCCACCTCCCACAGTGCTGTTGAGCGTGCAATCACTGATTGCTCTTTTTTTTCCTTCTTGTTTTTGGTTTTTTTTGGTCCATTTCCTCTATTTTTTTTCTTTCTCCGTTGCTAACGCTGTTTCTGGCGGGGCCAGGTTGAACGGAAACAACGCAAATCCGTCGCATTCAGTGAGGGCGCAGTTATCATGAATACCAACGGTGAAGTGACAGAGGCGCCTCAAAGCGTGGAGAAGCCGACTGAGAATGAAGGTAAGTTTTCTTCTCCAGTTCTTTCTGCTCCTGATTTCGAGATTCTTCTCTTTGACTGCATTTTTATATATCAACCTAGCATACTGATGCTAACCAAAAAAATTGCTAGCCACAGCAGACCAGTCCGTCGACGAAGTCACCGAGATGTTCAAAGGCCTGTCGAAAAAGAAGAAGTCCAAGAAACCCAAGGATGCAGAGGGCGGTGAAGGTGATGAGGCCTCTCCCGCCGCCGACGGCGAGTTCGACCCCTCGGCCCTGAAAAAGAAGAAGAAGAAGACCAAGAAGGTCGATGCCGGCGATTTTGAGGCGAAGCTGGCTGAGGCTGGTGCCGTGGAGAAGAGCGGCGAAGAGAAAGAGGAGGAAGTCCCTGAGGGTGATCTTGAGGCTGGAACTGGTATCTGGGCCCACGAAGCAACGCAAGCCATCCCCTACTCGCTGCTCGTCAACCGATTCTTCTCCCTCATTCAGAGTCACCACCCCGATCTGTTGTCTAGCGGCACCAAGTCGTATAAGATCCCGCCTCCCCAGTGTCTGCGTGAAGGTAACCGTCGTACGATTTTCGCCAACATCTCCGATATCTGCAAGCGGATGAAGCGTTCCGACGACCACGTCATGCAGTTCTTGTTCGCCGAATTGGGCACCAGTGGTAGTGTGGACGGTAGCCGACGCCTGGTCATCAAGGGTCGTTTCCAACAGAAGCAGATTGAGAACGTCTTGAGAAGATACATCGGTATGCCTCTCCTTCCCTCACGCCCTTTTTTTTTAACGTAACGATTTCCTATGGAAGAGCTAACAAACCCAGTCGAATACGTCACTTGCAAAACCTGCCGCAGTCCGGACACTGAACTCAACAAGGGTGAGAACCGTCTGTACTTCGTTACTTGTAACTCCTGTGGATCTCGTCGTTCCGTCGCCGCGATCAAGACCGGTTTCCGTGGACAGGTCGGCCGCAGAAAGCGGACGGGTTAGATGGACACTGGACGGTGATGTGCTGGGGAAGAAAATTTGCGTGAGACGGTGGTTGTATTCTTTTCGCTATCTTTGGCAGGATATGGTTTTCTTTTCCCCCTTTCGTATAAAGATTTCCTTTCATGGTGTGGATGATTATGTTGAGGACTCGGACTGTGGGTGTGAAGGGAACTGAAACTGGAACTGGGAAAAAGAGAGTTTTAAGAAGAGACGAAGTGAAGATATTCTAGCATGGCATGATAACTATATGACTTTCTTTATAGTCAATTGTGCTTTTCCCCTTGACGTTGTAGACACTCTAAGCACCACTATTATGCAACTAGCTTGCCAGACTGCAATTATTTGGAACTGTTTATATAACTATCATATTATAGTTGAGAAGAGACATTGGCTATTGTAACAACTGAAGTACGGCTGCGTTTTCCCTTATCCAAAGGAAAAAAAAAAGAAAAAAAAACGCTCACAAAATCATCAGCGGAAACGAAACGGCCTACCGGAAAGCTTAGAAGAAGATCACAATCATGCAAATATACTTGTATCTCAGCCACTAGCTGTATGAGCGCCGATATGAGCAGCGAAGGCGCTGACATTTCTCGTCTGGATGAGCACCGTTCCAGGACCCATAAACCGACATGCAAGACCTTCACCCGAACTGATGCCGGAAATAATACCACCCGAGGCGACTCGTTCGATCTTATACTTACAATTCCAGGCAACCAGGTGGCCATTATCGACGAAGTATGTCTCACCCTCGGGGATCTAGAACCGTATATCAGCTTAGTTCAAAGGGTTGAAGGACGAAGAGAACGGGCAGGAAGAGAAGGGGAGTAGACTTACTTCTTTTTTGATAATGGCACCGAAACTCTGAAGCCATACTAGACCAGTACCGGTCATCTTGTAGACGAAGAAACCTTCGCCTGAAAATACTCCCTTCGTCAAGCCTTGGCTTTGGTAGTCTTTTCCAATACCACTGGTCGCAGCCAGAAACCCATCCTTGCCCACCTTCCAGGAGTCAGAGCCGGAGAGGCGCAGCACAATAATATCACCCAATGTTGAAGGGGCAAGTAGAAGTTCCCCCGGACCGGTGTATGTAGATAAGGTCATTTCTCCCACAAACATTTTCTTCAGTGAGAACTTCACGCTTCCTCGGAGGGTGATCTTGTCAGACATGGCAACCATCACTCCTAATATAATAGTCAGTGATTACTGTCAATGGAGATGAAGCGAAAACGGTGCCTACCTGGCTTTGCTTCTATCGGACATCCCATTGCCAATTGCAGGGTGAGGATAGAGTTGGTATCACGATGGCTGATCCTGTAGCTCCCGCCATTGAACGTGCCCACATCATCTTGGCTAGCCGTGCTCTGGATTGGGTTGAACTGCACCGGCATGGCAGATGTTCTCTGCGGTTGCATAGGCAGGGGGGGCGACTGCGGGGGAGGGGATACGGAATTTGGTCCGTACGGGCTGCTGATCTCGCCACTTGCAGTGAACGCTGCAGCGTTGACTTCTGTTGGCGGTGAACTGGCAGGCAGCTGTTTCGGCAGAAGGCCATGGCTGAAGTTTGGAGGTGGAAATGCAGGAGAGCTTTGAGGAGCGGGGATAGCTATATACCATGTGTAAGACAGAGCCATCTACATGAGAGCAAAAGATGCAGCATGGGGCAGGTGGTACGGTACATGCAGCATGTGCAGGAGCTAATATCGCGAATTAATGTTAGCTATGACCACACCGTAGAAAAGAAAGACAGACTCACGAGGGACATGACTCTCCTGAGTTGGGGGAGGAGGGAAAGCCGTCGCCATGGTCTAGGGCTAACTAGTAGTACTAAGACTTTACTGTTCTATCACTCTCAACCAAACTAACTGGAGCCGACGGCTCTTGTCAATAAAAAGTTTGTCTATTGATATGGATGGCACAGAAAAGACAGAATAAAAACATGACAAGAGGAGGAGGATCCGTAAACAGTCTATATATATGCGCTCAACTGCCAGTGCCACGGCGCAGTGGGGAGAAAAGAGGGAGGACCACGATCATAATGGGCGTGAAGCTGTGTGGCATCTGTAGCCGCCGAGGGAGCAGGACAACCGATCTGATTGCACGAGCGGTAGAAGTCGGCGTAGAGAGAGAGAGTTAGTCTGTGAACAAGTCGGAAATTGTGATGGCAGTTGCAGCAGCGACGCGCCCAATCGACCGCCACGAAGCGGGGTCCAGCCCGTGATTTGCTGCGCGTGCTGTTCTGCGCCCCTCCAGCCTAAGACTCTGTAGCGCTCTGTACCATCGATCGCGACTCGTCCTCCAGTGCCGATTCCAGGAGTTGTACGCCCTCCAAGTGGTACACCTCGCGTGCCAAGTCAAGAGCGGTCCGGCCTCCCCTGTTGCGACTATTGATATCGGCTCCATGATCCAGGAGCACCTTCATGGCCTCGGTGCAATGATTGCGAGCAGCCAGCATCAGGGCTGTACAACCGTCTCCCGTCTGTGCATTCACATGAGCTCCTTGAGAGAGGAAAAGTCTCACCATCTCAACGTGGTTCTCTGCAGCAGCTGAGATCAATGGCGTATTCCCGCCAAAGCTGCCCAGGTTGACATGTGACCCATGCTCCAGGAGAGTCTGAGCAATGGTCACATAGTTCCCAGCGGTTGACCATATCAAAGGACTGAGTCCGCCATGGTCTTGGGCATTGATGCTGGCTCCCTTGCGTAGAAGCAGCGAGACGGTTTCCATATCTCCTATATGGCTGGCCGTCATCAAGGGGGTTGCTCCTTTGGTATCCCTCCCGTTCACATCAGCCCCTGCCTCGAGTAGTTCACATACTGCCGTCCGATCACCGACTACAATCTTGTTGATCAACGCGGTTATACCATCCCGAGAGTCTTGCATATCGATGTTTACTCCTCGGCGACGGAGGGAGGCAATCGCATGTCGATATTGTCCTTCTGCAGCCCACAGAAGAACACTGTAAATAAATCCGGGAAACCGCTCTTCGAATTGGACCCATCTTGCAATAAGCCAATTCATCAATGCATGGTGGCCGTTCTGACATACCCAGTCCAGTGCCAGGCGGTCTTCTATACCTGGGAGTTCACGGGCGAAAAGCTTCTCGTCGCCGTTAGTCAACCACTCGAGCACGATTTGCTCTCCTTGTCTTCCCTGGTCATCACTACTATTAACTCGAGCTGGTGGGACGGAATGCTCATGGATTTCAAATGCGTACAATGTTCCCTGTAGAGATTGTTTATCGCAGTGTTTTTGAGCGATATGCCATGCCATCCACCCCAACTGTAAGCAAAACTCTTCCCAGTGCTCAGACCGGTTGTCCATCCAATGCCCACGACGAGGAATCTTTGCATTTTGCAGAAACTTTACCCTCGGATCGCCTTCTAGGGCAAGAGACACATGTCTGAATCCATTCGACTGGACATTGGGCTCAGTGTGGACCATGGCCCGACGGCAAAGATAGCCCAGTTCGAATATAGAATGCTCAAACTCCTCTCCTTCACAGCGCTCACAGAACCAGCGTATCATTGCGAAGGCTTCGGGCCAGTTCCCACTTACTATAAATTCTTCCGCATGCACTCTCATCATTTTGGAGTCCGCGGCCAGTTTGGGTAGAAGGCCATGGTGTCTCAACACTGGGACTATGCATAGCAATGCATCCTCCCTTGAGCCCATTTCACTGGATTCGAAACAGTTGACAAGCTCATCTAGACGATCACTGTGGGCCAAAAATCCATTTTGCGAAGCGGGAAGTAGGTGGATATCCCCCCGGATCTCCTTCAACCCTTTCAACGCGCTGGCGAGAAAGTGGATATACATATCTTGGGCAACCATGAGTTCTAGCTCATTCTCAGTTTTCACCACGAGGATGTCCTTGTCGCCGGAGTATTCATCTGAATAGTATCCAAACATCTGCTGAGGAAATGATATCATTTTAGACGAGGCCATTCGTGCCTCTGTGTGCCGAAAGATCCATTTGTGGAAGTAAAGATCAGTCTCTTCTGCCTTGGCTTCTGACTCACTTAATCCTACAAGACGAACGAACCTATTATGGAGCCAACTTGAATTGGACCGTAACAGAGACCACGTCCGCAATCCAAGAATTGCCTCTAGCTCGTTGCCACCAACGTGCCATTGTAATGTATCGTCTGACCGCTCCAGCATGATGGCATAGGTTTCCACCTTGGGAGCAATGAACTTCTTGCGCGACTGGCACACAAATGACAGTTCAAAACTGTCTACGTCACCGGTGGCATCTTTCCAACTTGAAATCAAATCCATGGTCGTTTCGATCGTTTGCGCTAGGTTCTGAGCAACCTTTCGGATGGGCAGATTATCCCAAGCCCTATCAGGACTGTCACCAGCGTTGGATGTCAACTCCGCAAGTCGAGTTCTCAGCTGTATAAGCTGAGTTCCCGGATTTATCATTTGCATAGAACTCCCGATTGATGAGCCCGGTGAAGATGAGCTTGACTGGGAGGACAGCGGACCACTGGCTACTGTGGATATCAGACTAAATGATTCCACATCCTCAAGGAAAAACGCGAAGCTATCCAACTCTTGATTTTTAGAAGATGTCAACTGGCGTTCCTTCTGCTGAAGTTGATTCTCATTGGAGCTAATTCTCTTAGTTCGAAGACATGTTCGAACAATAGTCATCAACAGTGTAGAACCCATCTGTGCCAGGATAACGGAGGCGTGCAGGTCTCGAAGCCCAATAAACTGAACCACAAACCCTACCATTGTGATTACTATAGTGAAAACGAGCATAGGGCCTTTGCTATTATACCCCTGCCCTCGTATCGATTTTATATATGTAAGATCTTGAGTTGCCTGAGATCCCGGCCCCTCAGTGACTCCTAGAAATGCACCAAAGGTCTGATGGCCAACATCTTGTTTGCCGGGTTGCAACCAGTATATTTTACTTGGTTTCGTCGGATGCAGATAGTACTGGATCGATGAGCGTTCAATCATAAAGGCACAGAGAAACATCCCTGCGCAGAGGAATATGGTCCCGAACAGAAAAAGCGGAAATGCATAACTTGACACTGGTTCGTCGTCCTGGAAATCTTCTGGGTAGAGAAAAACAGTGATTCCCGAATACACAATAACACCTGCCAGATACCGATCAACAAATGCCTGTCTAAGGGTCTACGGGTCTCCATAGGTATGTACAGTGGTAACATACCTGCTTGCAACATGAAGCCCAGCACCGCAGCTGTGTAAAACCACCACTGACTTCTCCTTTCAATCCCCTTATTCAGAGAGAGATTGGGGATATCAAGTTCCGGTGGATGACCCTTCTCATCAAGAATCTCATATCCATTAGCTGTAACCCAGGCATTTTGCTGCAGTGCATCTCGCAGAGTCCCGATTTTCCTTGCACCATTTTTCCCCTCAGACTCGTCGTCTTCCTCCCATACCATTAGCTCCAGGATCCGAGGCCTACCAATCACTCGAGATATACCCCCTTCATTGAATATTTCAGCAGTGATATCCGAAACGCAGGATAGCAGCTCCTTCTCTACATCCCCGGGACCTTCCTGTGCCCGTCCGACAAATGCCCGTAGTGATGATTTCCCGCAGACCCGAATGACAGAGACCACGGCGGTTAGAATGCCTAATGGACATACGGCGAAGATGAAATTATCCAAGATACTGATTGACTCTGAAAGAAATTGCTTTGTTGGACGTTCTCCGAAGAGGGTGATAAGAGGTGACTGGGTGGAATTAGCATTTGTCCTGGTTCCCTGAAGGGAATAAAACATAGTATTGAAGGATATGTGAACATACGAAATCTATAGCAAGATTATCTGTGAAATAGTCCCAGCCACTCGCCCATACTGAGGCAGGTAGAAGAAATGTGATTAAGATGAAGTGCCACAACATTGATATCGGCATTGAAGTAGATTGTACACAGACCAACGAAGAAAGCCATCTTTCCCAGGGGAACATGCCATTGTTAGATAAAACTAAAACTCGCATACCTCGCAATCATAGGCAGTCAACCCGCATCCAGGTTCTACGGCTAAGGGCATCAGCCTTGCAAGATGCCTGCTGGAAGCCCCGAATGTTGCATGTCGGCGCTTCAAGAGACGCAGTTAATTTAAGCCCTCCAACTTTTGTCAAAAATTGGCAAGACAGTGGCCCGCTGCGTCGTGGATCGACGCTCTTGATCAGCTAGTGTTGTTTCAGTGGTGGATGTCAGCGCTTAGACTCCCGACGTGTCTAGTCGCTTCATCACGAGGTGAAATGGAATGTAGCTGTGGTCGTTTATTATTAGACCATACGCTACGAACTCCAGGATACTCCTGCTGTCTTCTAACAAATGATAGATTGTTTTAGTAAAAATAATAGCCCAGTCAGATTACATTCAGGGCTATTCAACAACACCCTACAAAAGGATCGTAGAACTGTCAATCTACCACACATCCAATGATTCCGAGTGGGCCAAAGGGAAATTAATCCAAGACAATAAAAGAGACCACCAACGCCTTCCATGTCAACCAGCGATAGGATGATGGTGATAAAACAAGACCGGTCCAGACGGCATTCGACCCAAAATCCCACGAGAACAAATAGGTATTCAGGCAATAACCAAACTAGAAAATACTATTCACAATGTTGGAACCAATAGTAGCACCGGCACCGAAGATTGCTAGATAGATGGGAGTCAGTAATCACATGTATATTCCAGAAGATGTAGGTCAGATTAGCATCGCATAGGTCCACGCTCTAGAGCACCCTTAAGAGAGTGTCTGAGTGGTGGGGAACCTACCAGCGTTACCCATCTTCTTGCCAAATTTCTTGCCATGCTCCTCAAATTTATTGCCCTTATTGTCCTCCGGATTAGCTGGGGCGCCGCTCTGACTGACTTCGAGAGGCATGTTTCCATAACCAGAGGGAGGCGGCGAAGAAATCCCCTTATCCTGGATCACATTGACGTAGCTACGAGGGAAGATACCCTCGAGGTTGGTCCGCTCGTTACGTCCGCGCCACCCTGTTAGATAGTTATCAGCCGTTGATCATAGGGATAAAGGAAAAGATGACAAGGGGCATTACAATCGGCATCATATGTTCCAAAACCTGAACACGATCATTTGGCTGCAAAGCCAAATCACCGGGGTCCGTTGGAGTATAAGCGTAGAGCGCGGAAGCAATGGATAGGACGGGCGGAACTTGGGGATAAGCCGGCGGGGGAGGGGTCGGGTTGGCGTATTGCTGCGGTGTGGGTGGTGGCTGATAATTTGCTTTCTCGTTCAACGAGGTATTGGTGAATTGAGTTGTTGGAGGCGAATAAGGAGCAGGAGCAGGAGCAGGCTGAGCCTGAACTGGAGCAACGACCGGTGGCGACGGAAGCTGTTGTCGAGGCGCGGAAACTGAACGGTCGTTCTCCGACGGTAGTTGAGAGAGGATCGAGGAGAGTTGTTGTGGAGTAATGACTGAGGCATCTGCGAGGAACTCAAGTTCCTGTGAAAGGAAGCGGCGTCAGTCGGTGTCCAAAATATAATTATTACATGTGAGAAAGGCATACTAATCGGACAGTGCGGACGGATCGGTTGGTCATGGCCCTGACGAAGTCTTGGGACGCCATGGCTGGCAAGGGAGACTAAGAGAGCGACAGAGAATTCGAGGATAGGCTGATAGAATACAGGTAGAGGGACAGGAACGATGAAATTAAAGGGAGAAACAAGAGCAACGCATCCAAAATAAAAGAAACGGGGAATGGGAGGATGTGAAACGATGGGATGGATGGGAAGGACCATAAAGTTAATCATTAATGGCCGCCATTATGGGTTGGTACCTGAGGCCATAAAGCTGCTTGGCAGGAGTCTGTTGCATGTCTGCCTAATCAGGTCCAGTGCCAAGGAACATTCATCCATCTAGATAGATCCATGATAGATACATGGTTCACTTGATATCCTGAAAAATGTAGTTGGGTATACTGCCACTTCTACTAACTACCCTTCGAGTCTTTTCACTTCCAAATTGCCAGAATTATATCTGAAACATTTGTCCCCTTGGTGCATGTATATGGCTTCCTAGACATGCCCCATATATCCTGAAGACTAGTCTTGGAGTACCCAGCACTAGATGGTATACTAAGAACCCGGGCACATTGCTAGTCATGGGCTCTATTGGTCCTAATGCTTTGTTTGACGTTTGGTTAGTTATCCTTTTTTTTTTTTTTTTCCCTGCTGATTCCTTCGATCGTGAAGTGTACAGCATGTCCTCATTATACCCGGTGTCTTCCGAAACCCGTGGATAGTGTTGATGTAGTTTTGCACTATTTTGCATAGTTTATGCGATGTCAATGAGACTAAATCCGTGGTTAATGGCCCTGTCACCTTCGTGTCTTCATGGGGTCTAAAAAGGTCGGCCAGGAGAGAGGACTTTCCAAGCCAAAATGGATACCATAGTTTCGGCCTCTCAGAGTAACATTATAGGTTTCTGTATCAATCATAATCGACGAGATGGTCATAGTTAGAGCGACGAAGAGAAATATATGGAATCCGCCCAGAATGGGTTTCAGTCGCTCGTTTTGATTAATGATCGTGTGACAAAAGTGTCCTATGTATTGTGGCAAATAAGTTGGCCGCCAGGGATGATGTCTTTACTGAATGTTGCGATTTGAAAAAAATTCGACCACAGCAGCTATAATTATCGATCACAAGATCCTCCTAATCGCGCCCGGTCTCTCGGATATCTCTTCATCGATCTGATCAGGATACTAACATCGTGGTGGACAGTCCAATCTGAAGGCTAAGATGGAAGTTATAGAGGGCTGCTAGAAGTCAATCCGTACCTTGAGTCAGGACCGTTTATGACTTAGCGAACTAGGAACTGACTCATCACGAGCCACACAGTGACACAACCAGCGCATCTCGATATCCTGTCTATTGTTGACTTTGACTGACTTCAACTGGAGAGCGACCGCAAGAGCAAGATGTCAGATACGCTAACCACAACCGGACTAGTGCGTCCCTCTATTAGGACTCCGCCATCGAGAAGCTTCTGTGTCATTGATATAAATTCGGTGGGCTGAGGACATCCCTCCTTCTGAGCCACAACTCACGCGATCTAACGCCACCTGCCTCCCTTCTCAGCCCACCTCCCCACGACTCGCCCCTGTACATTCAACCTTCGACAGTCCGTAGAATTTCCTTCAAAATGAGCGACTGGGACTCTGTTACTCGCATTGGCGCCAAGAACCGCGGTGGCCCTGCTATTCGCGAGACCGTCGTTAAGGGCAAGAGTGCCTTGAATGCAGCCCATCGTCAAGGTTTGGTGATTGGAACGGAGAAGAAATATGCCACTGGCAATTCTGTAAGTCATCCCAAACCAGATCCTTGAACCAGCCCCGTGAGGATCAATCTAACTAGGAGTACTAGGCTGGACGATCTGGAGCCGTTGAAGGCCAGCACCTGACCAAGGTCGACCGCAGCGACGATATCGTTAAGCCCAAGACCGTGGGCTACCAGGTTGGAGATGCCATCAAAAAGCGCCGCAATGAGGAGGGTTACAAGATGACGCAAAAGGAACTCGCCACCAAGTGCAATACCACTGTTACCGTCGTCCAGGACATGGAGAAGGGCACGGCCACGCCTGACCAGAAGGTTCTCAGCGCTATGGAGCGTGTGCTCAATGTGAAGCTGAGAGGGACCGACATCGGGAAGGAGAAGTTCCCCAAGAAAAAGTAAATTATTCGGGGGTGAGACCGTGACTTTTTCTTCGGGGATGAGGGAATGTTAGAACGAAGTTTTCCTATTGTCTTCTTTTTTTAATGCCCCTAGATGTTTTGAACTTTCGGTTGTTACGTTATGCAATTTATGAAATGAGATTCCATGTCTATTTTGTCTATTTACTGCTGGTCAGACGAGTACTGTCCTGGCATCAAATACGGAGACCACAAAGAAAAAGTCTATATAGATCTGATAGAATACCATCCTACCACATTGCCAATAAGATTGATTCTTGTATGAAACAAAGCAAAGCATGAAAACTTTGAAGAAATGAGTTTCTTTTGGGACACAAAAACAGGAAATGATACCAACTCCGATATATCATGGAATCAATGAATAACCACACCTTCTACCGTTCGTCTTGCTCGTCTACTTTTGGCAGGAATGTCTTCGCCTCATGTCACATACATACGGTGCGTAGAATGGAAACTGCACGCTTCGCCGTCCACTTCACCGTCTCAGCTGCTCCCTCTCGACTTCGTACATGAAATCAAAGTAAGGCTTGTCGAAATGGTGCACACGGACGTAACCGTCCTCTCCTCCGGAGGCATAGGCAGTACCGGTGGGGTGGGCAGAGACAGTGTTGAGGGGGCCGAAGTGACCACGGACACGGCCGATTTCGTCCTCAAAGACCTTGTGATAGAAACGAGCCTCGAATTTACCTTGGCGGGCGGAGGTGGTCGTAACATCCATGGCAGCCTGTCCACCTCCCAGAATCACGTACTCCTTCTTAGCGGTGATACAGGCGGTGTTCAGGGGCGTGTCGGCAACGTAGGTTTTGAGGATGGCGAGGTTACGGCAGGAGATGAGCTGGGTGTGCGTCAGTATAAAGTTGCATAGCAAATAAAACGCAGGATAGAACATACTTTGGCAGATTTATCTTTCGAGGCTGTGATGAAGTAGGTGCGGTCTTCAGAGAATTGGATGTCGTTGATCTGGTGGTCGAATTCATGAGCTTGGACATTCTCCAGCTGCTCACCGGTCTATTGTCATAAGATGTTAGCACGGCGTGCTGAATTTCCTAGATACAGCACTAGCAGCCCTGCTTATGTTCTCCCTCCCTCCCTGGGATCCGTACCTTTGCATCGTATTGGCTGACGCTGCCATCCTCATGACCAGCAATGATGTACTTGCCGAGATAACTCCAGCCCGCAACAGTCGCTTTGCTCTCAGCGCAGGTAATCCTCAGGCTAGGCTCATCAGACTGAACCTCCAGGTTGCCACCCTGACCATCTCCATAGCTGACATCCAGCACCGCGATAGTGCCCAGAAAGCCCATGCGCTTCTCCGTCACAGCCAGCAGCTGGGATCCGTCGGGTGTGAACTCGACCCGCTTCACGGCCGTAGGGAAATCCCACACCTTAACACACTCGCCGGTCTTCACGTTCCATAGTCGCACTGTGTTGTCTGCCGAACCCGTCGCCAAGAGGATAGTGTTGGGGCTTACGTCCACCGTCCAGATGGCACCCTGATGTCCACTGTAGGTTCCCAGTCTCTCGCCGTTAGCCGACCACCACGCACACACAATTTTATCCTTCGCTACGGAGAACAGAAGATCGCCATCGCGGTTGAATTTGATTTGGTTGAGGGACCGTTCCTGTGGGTAGGTTGCATATCAGTTCATCTGATCTTTTTCGAGGTGAAAAAGTGAACAACGTACATGGCCAGAAAGCAAGATAGGCCTCATGCTGGGCCGACCAGAATATGATTCGAGGAAAGGCGACGGAGATGAAATCAGGTGGGATCACAGCGAGAGATCGTCTGCGACCGATAAAATGTCCAAGACCTGCGTTATGAGGCGGGAAATGCTGGCGGATTGCTCTCTTCGTCGGCGTTGGTTAGACTAGTGAATTTCATCGCACAGTCCGGGCTCGCGCGCCAAGACTTTCCTGTTCAGACCGTTCGTACGGTAAGAATGGCGTATTGGAAGAACCTTTCCTCCGGTACGGCTTTTGCACGTGATGCAGAGCAGCCCTACCCGCCATCCATCCGAATCCGGTTAGAACATGTCAACTGCCAGACATGTCGATGGGCTGACATAATCACATCTTGGAAGAGACTCATTGGGAATGGCAAAGGAAAAACAGAACGAAAGGAGAGTCAGATCGTGGAGGTGCCATAAACAGCGGGTGAACCTCATTCTTGCAATAATATTGTCATTTTTCTATTGTGGTGGTGGTTGTATTGCTTTTTCACCTGTAATTCCTATTATTCATAATTATAATTGATTTTGGTCGACAAGTTTCCCTATCGCCATCCAATCCGCCCTCGGAGGACCAGAACTGCATTTGATGCCATTTTCCCCCGCCCGTTCGGCGACTCTTCTACCCCGCTGCGCTGGCAAGGCGAAGTGTTGTTCCCGTCATTTGCATTCTTTTCATCACCACCGTCTTCTTGCCTCGTTCCCTGTTAATTTTCCTCATTGTTCTGTTGGACGCAGTGCCTTGACTGTCGGACCTGGTTCTGTACCGTTCAGAGATCTCACTCGTCCCTTCATACCTCTCCCCCGCCGCCTATTCTCCAGCTCTTCGATTGTCATGGCGGCCACTAAAATCGATGGCACGCAAATTGCCAGGAACATCAGGGAGGGATTGAAGAATGAGATCGCGACGATTCAGCAGTCCAGTCCGAGATTCAAACCCAGCTTGGTGATTTTCCAGGGTGTGTGATCCCCTTGTCTCGAACGTCATACCTGGGGTCGTAGTGCTAATGGAAATGGCTACGTATAGTGGGCGAAAGATCGGATTCAAGTGAGTCTTTTCGGTGGGTTATTTATTTGGCATAGGGCAAGGCTAATACACTCCGAAGGCACGTACGTGCGCATGAAGTTGAAGGCTGCTGAGGAGGTATGTTGCTGCCGCTGGCTGCATATGGCATCTCCACTGACACTTCCGTTCCGACAAGGCGAACATCCTCTGCAGAGTTGTCAATTTCCCCCAATCTATTACACAGCCAGAGATCTTGCAGGAAATCACCAAGGCCAACCATGACCCTTCTGTGCACGGCATTCTCGTCCAATTACCTCTTCCACAACATCTGTCTGAACACGCCGTCACCTCCGCAGTCGCTGATGAAAAGGATGTCGATGGTTTCGGGGCCATCAACATTGGTGAGCTGGCTAAGAGGGGCGGTCATCCCCTCTTCGTACCTTGCACACCGAAGGCTGTGATGGAGCTCCTGCGCGTGAGTGGAGTAGACCCCGCGGGCAAGCAAGCTGTGGTTCTTGGCCGGAGTGACATTGTTGGGAGCCCAGTCAGCTATCTGCTGAAGAATGCAGATGCCACTGTGACGGTGTGCCATTCGAAGACCCCCAACATGGCGGAGATAGTGAAAACTGCGGATATTGTTGTCGCAGCAATTGGGCAGACAGAGTTTGTCAAGGGAGAATGGCTGAAGCCTGGCGCGGTCGTCATTGACGTCGGCATTAACTACAAACCTGATGCCTCCAGAAAATCTGGACAGCGCCTTGTTGGTGATGTTGATTTTGAGTCTGCTGCCCAAGTCGCTTCTCAGATTACCCCCGTTCCCGGTGGTGTTGGCCCGATGACGGTAGCCATGCTTATGCAAAACGTGGTCAACTCGGCCAAGGCGTACTTCGAAAAGCAAAGGGATAGGAGCATCACTCCGCTACCACTGAAGCTGGTCCGCCCCGTCCCCTCCGATATTGCCATCTCTCGCGCGCAATATCCCAAGGCAATTACGGATATCGCTTCCGAGATCGGCATCGCTCCGCATGAGCTTGAGCCTTATGGCCATACGAAGGCTAAAGTTAGCCTCGAGGTCCTCGACCGCTTAGCTCACCGCCGAAATGGAAAGTATATCTTGGTATGTGGCATCACTCCAACGCCACTTGGCGAGGGCAAGTCGACGACCACTCTGGGACTTACCCAAGCGATTGGTGCGCACTTGAATCGCATTGTGTTTGCCAATGTCCGCCAACCGAGTCAGGGCCCTACCTTCGGTATCAAGGGTGGAGCTGCTGGTGGTGGGTACAGCCAAGTTATTCCCATGGATGAGTTCAATCTGCATTTGACTGGTGACATCCATGCGATCACGGCCGCCAACAACCTTCTTGCCGCGGCCATTGAGACGCGCATGTTCCACGAGGCTACCCAGAAGGATGCTGCGCTGTACAAGCGGCTGGTCCCCACTAAGAAGGGTAAGCGTGAATTCCAGCCTATCATGTTCAAGAGATTGAAAAAGTTGGGCATTACCAAGACCAACCCCGATGATCTTACCGAGGAAGAAATCCACCGGTTTGCGCGCCTTGACATTGACCCTGAGACCATCACGTGGCGCCGGGTATTGGATGTGAACGACCGACACCTGCGGGGCATTACCGTCGGCCAGGCCAATACCGAGAAGGGCCATACTCGTGAAACCGGCTTTGATATCTCCGTCGCGAGCGAATGCATGGCCATCCTTGCGCTGAGCAACAGCCTCGAGGACATGCGCGAGAGGCTGGGACGCATGGTGGTGGCTACATCTAAGAGCGGAGATCCCGTTACCTGTGATGACATTGGCGCTGGCGGTGCTCTGGCGGCGCTGATGAGGGACGCCATCAAGCCGAACATGATGCAGAGTTTGGAAGGCACTCCCGTGCTGGTCCATGCCGGCCCCTTCGCCAACATTAGCATTGGATCAAGTTCGGTGATTGCCGATAAACTGGCGCTGAAGCTGGCGGGTACGGAGCCCGATGAGGACCACGATGCCAAGACTGGGTTCGTCGTGACTGAGGCTGGATTCGACTTCACTATGGGTGGAGAACGGTTCTTCAATATCAAATGCCGGTCCTCTGGTCTATCGCCCGACGTCGTTGTTATCGTGGCCACCGTTCGCGCCCTCAAGGTTCACGGGGGAGGACCGGAGATCAGCCCCGGAGCAGCTTTGAACGAGGTCTACCGGACGGAGAATGTCGATCTCCTCCGCAAGGGCTGCGTCAACATGAAGAAGCACATTGAGAATGCGCGGCTGTACGGAGTCCCCGTGGTGGTGGCTATCAACCAGATGGAGACCGATACAGAGGCAGAGATTGCCGTTATTCGGGAGGAGGCCATGGCGGCGGGCGCCGAGGATGCGGTGCCGGCCAACCACTGGGCGGAGGGCGGAGCAGGGGCGGTGGACTTGGCCAAGGCGGTGCTGACGGCGAGCTCCAAGCCCAAGGACTTCCAGCTCCTGTATGGAACCGACGGGACGATCCAGGAGCGCATCGAGCGCATCGGCAAAGCTATGTACGGAGCGGCGAAAGTTGAGTTCAGCGAGCTGGCGCAGAAGAAGGTGGACACGTACAAGGCGCAAGGATTTGGGCATCTCCCCATCTGCATTGCCAAGACGCAGTACTCGCTCAGCCACGACCCCGCGTTGAAGGGAGCACCGACGGGATTTACTGTTCCTATCCGGGATGTTCGCTTGGCGGTGGGCGGTGGGTATCTGTAAGGGTACTCTCTGAGAAATGATGAACAAGATAGACTAATAGTTGTTCTAGGTACGCCCTTGCGGCGGATATCCAGACCATTCCTGGGTTGCCCACTGCACCGGGCTATTTGAACGTTGACATTGACACGGAAGCCGGGGAGATTGATGGATTGTTCTAAGAACGGTCTTCTTATTTCTGATTATTCTTCTCTATGTAAATTCTTTTGATTTTGTTCTATCTTTTGCATGATTGGCTCTCGATACAAGGGAGGGCTTTCACGAGCGATGTTTACTTCAACATATACGAATGGGAGGGGGTGATTCAACAATGACATTAGACTAGAGGATGCGATAGTTACCTCAGGTAGTATGAATGGATCTCGATCCATGGATAGCTCCGGAGTTGGGCTGCAACGCCCCGAGCCAACGTCCGGATATCGCCAGTTTCGGGCCCCGTTGACCCGCTCCGATGCCGCGGGAAACGACGGTTGGGCGCGGGAATATTCTGATAGAGCGTCTGTAGAGAAGGAATTGAATAAGGGAATGAGTAGAGAATAGGTATTCATCAGATAGATCAATGAACAATTCTCAGGAATCGTTTTTTCGTGAGTTTTTTTGACAGTGAGGGATGCCAGAGAAGCAGTATACCTCTGCCGGCTTCGGCGTGAACGGTGGGCGGAAAGGGGAAAGACAAGAAAGGGCGGTCCTCAAGGAGTCACCGGGACAAAGCATTCTTGGATAAGAGCATCCTCTCTCCTCTCCTCTTTTTCTTTTTCTTCTCTTCTTTTCTTCTCTCTGAATATCCTCATCTCATCTCAATCCAAGACTGCGCGTATTGTCCGGGAGTCTCCACCGCCCGCTCCTTCCAGCCGAGAACGCTCCTCGGGTATCGCCAACAATCGTCAAATCAGTACTCACTGTATTACTGATCCCCAGAGGCGTGTCGCCTCCGTGCCGACTGTCCCTGCCGGGTAATCCCTCTGTCCCTGTCAATCCCTCAGTCAATCAGATCCCTCTCAGTCGCGATGATGAATTCGCTCCGGCTCCATTCCGCGTTGGCTCCCCGGGCCTTCGCCTTCCCTCGGCCAGCCCCTCCATCTTCCTCCGCTTATCGCTGCCTCTCTTCTTCTCTCTCATCCTCTCACTCAGCTTCTCCTTCTTCTTTCTCTACTTCCTCTACCTCGCTTCGTTCGCAGCGTTCCCTCGTCTCGGCTTCGTCTGTTCTTTCCCCCTCCGTTAGCTCTGTTTCCCCCCGTTGGACCTGGACTCAATCCCGCACCATGGCAACCGAAGGTACGAAGATCAAGGTCAAGAATCCCGTAGTGGAATTGGACGGTGATGAGGTATGTCTGAACTTTGATTGACGTGGCTTGATGTGCACGACGCCCCGGTGTTTATATATTTACCCCCCTTCCTGCACATTTTCGTCACCGCCATGCATCCGCGCGGGGAAACACGGCGACTGTTTCCATACCAATCACCCGAGGTCCTAGCCAAACGGGGGCGTCCAATACATATGACTGATCACTGCTGACCACTCACTGCCGTAGATGACCCGTATCATCTGGAAGGAGATCAGAGAGAAAGTAAGTCCCGCACGCTATGCCATGCATGTATGCCGTTTCTCCCCGATCCCAGGAGACTGACATCGCTTTGTGTTTATAGTTGATCCTGCCGTATGTCGTCCTTACACCTAACCTGAAATTGTTACTCGTTTGGGATCTGCCCACTGAGACTCGAGTTTAGTTTCCTCGATGTCGACCTCAAATACTATGACTTGGTATACACCCCAACAATGCACCAGTGGTGCGATTGCCTTCTCCAACCTCTGGGATCATTAACAATTATGTGCAGGGTCTTGAATACCGTGACCAGACCGATGATCAGGTCACCATTGAGGCTGCCGAGGCCATCAAGAAGTATGGCGTCGGTGTCAAGTGCGCTACCATTACCCCAGACGAGGCTCGTGTGGAAGAATTCAAGCTGAAGAAGAGTGCGTGCTCATCGTCTCTCTTCTGGGATTCAAGGATTAACCCTGCTTTTCTCCAGTGTGGTTGTCGCCGAATGGTACCATCCGAAACATCCTGTACGTCTTCCCTCCCCGAATCCCCGGACTTCTTACTGGACGCGGCACTAACCAGCATGGCAGCGGCGGAACGGTCTTCCGTGAGCCTATCATCATACCCCGCATCCCCCGCCTGGTGCCTGGCTGGACCAAGCCCATCATCATTGGCCGTCATGCCTTTGGAGACCAGTACCGAGCCCAAGACCGTGTGATCCCCGGCCCCGGCAAGCTAGAGCTGGTCTATACGCCAGAGGGTGGTCAGCCTGAGTCGATCAAGGTTTTCGACTTTCAGGGCGGTGGTGGCGTTGCACAGACCCAGTACAACACGGATGCCTCCATCGAGGGTTTCGCTCATGCCAGCTTCCAGATGGCCCTCCTGAAGGGTCTGCCACTCTACATGAGCACCAAGAACACCATCCTGAAGAAATACGATGGCCGCTTCAAGGATATCTTCCAGGAAATCTACGAGACCACCTACAAGAAGGACTTCGACGCCAAGAACATCTGGTATGAGCACCGTTTGATCGACGACATGGTGGCCCAGATGATCAAGAGTGAGGGCGGATTCGTCATGGCCCTGAAGAGTAAGTAACCCATATCTGTGGACAAGAACGTAAATCCTAACGAGAATCCGTGGTAGACTACGATGGAGACGTGCAGTCGGACATTGTTGCCCAGGGCTTTGGCTCCCTGGGTCTGATGACGTCGACCCTGGCCACGCCGACCGGCGAGGCGTTCGAGTCGGAGGCGGCCCACGGCACCGTGACTCGTCACTACCGCGAGCACCAGAAGGGCCGCGAGACCTCAACCAACCCTATAGCCTCCATCTTCGCCTGGACCCGAGGTCTGGTGCAGCGGGGCAAGCTCGATGAGACTCCCGACGTGGTGGCTTTCGCGGAAGAACTGGAGCGCGCCTGTATCGACGTGGTTAACGACGACGGTATTATGACCAAGGATCTGGCTCTCGCCTGTGGTCGCAAGGACCGGGAGGCCTGGGTGACCACCAGGGAATACATGGCCGCCGTGGAGCGGAGACTGAAGGCCAACCTCAAGGCTCGCCTTTAAATATTGGGCGAGGTTCAAAAATGATGATGATTCTTATTGTTATTCTATGAAGTTAATGTGCGACCACTGGTCGCAGTCAACTACCGGGTTCAAAAAGGGCGGCAGGCTGCAGACGGTCAAAGTGTACATAGGCAAAGAAGGATAAAAAGACCTCGGCCCTCCCTTGCAAGGAGGAATGGACGATGATGCATGCGTTTTTCTTTCTGTCATTATTGGAGTTTTTTTTTTTTTTTTTTTTAATAGGCCTTGATCTGATGTCCTGCTCTGCGCCATGCATTATGAGATGTTCTGTCTGTTACTTTTAGAATAATCCATTTTTGGTCCCATCCACCCATTGGAGTTGCCTCTATGCCTTACTCATTCCATCTTTTTTTTTCAACTGATTTCATTGTATGCTTTGTTCCTTACTGTGCACATTGGGATCTTGGTGCGAATCACGGTTGATCCAATGTCCTTGACGCAACTGACTCGGGATTACTGACGCCATCCTTCCTCGATGTCGATTGAACGGCAGTTGCAGAATCTGGTCCCGCACAGGAACTGACTTCTATAGCCTCGGTTGTTGGTCTTTGTATATATACACAAGCCCCAACTGAGCTATGTGGCCGTGCTCAAACTGCGGTGCTTGACCTCAACGCGCAGGATGTACGTGCTGCCTGTCGCCATCCCCTTTGAGTCCTTGGCCGCAGTGGCTGTCTCACTATGGCTGTACATGCGGCTGTATTTCATGCGGACGCTGGGCTGGGATGATCTGCTGATTGTTCTGTCGTTTGTAAGAGGATACTCTCTTCCGAGTATGTGCGGGTGGTGTAGCAGTTGGCGGATTTCGTCGTATTTGTTGAGAATCTCGGGGAAGAAGCTATGTCGTGAGGTGCTAGGATAGCGGTGACTGGATAGTATATTGAAACTATCGTGCGATCTAGTATCGCTTGGTGAGTATATTCTTCTATCTGCGAGAGAGAGCGTAGACAAACGCTTCCTCATGTCTACGTGTCCCTTTGCCCCTGAATATGATATATCACATCGCTGCGGGACTAGGATATACGAAGGTGCCTTAGGCATCCTGATTTCCAACAGTATTCGCCTTTCTGGTCTTAAGTATGCGCGGTCCCTGGTTAGCGAGCTTATACATGAATACTGACCGCGACAATCGGGAGTCCATTATAACCTCGGGGATTGAGAGGCGACCTTGGATCCCGCGACACTTCGTCAGCAGATGAAGGTACCTCTTCTGCCGTGGCCCATTGACAGGATCCTATTTCTCTCTGACCCTATCCAAAACGCTTTATGGATCACCAACCCATAATACAACATATCTCTTAGCTTCACCAAACTATCCACGGTTCTCTTGTATAGACGACGGTTCCCTACGAAATGCTAACAGATCATCCTTCTGGTTACATTTATCTGCGTTGTCATTACTGGACTGTGGTTGGTACTCAGAGCGTTTTTCTTCTGCATTCCTGTTTGTGGATTCTGGGACCATAGGGCACTGCAATACTGTCTTCCCAAGGATGTGACTTGGTGTCTCAATGCCTCCATCACGATTTTCACCGACTTGATCGTCGTCATTCTACTGATGCCGGCATTCACCCGCTTACGACTGCCCACAAGACAGAAGGTTGCCCTCCTTCTCGTGTTCGCCCTGGCACTGTTGTATGAACCCTTCCCCTGTCGATGAGTCCCTACCGCAGAATCAGAACTAAGCACAATATACTCTCTCTCAGTGTCTGCGCAACCAGCATGGCCCCGTCTCGCTGGAGGGATCAATTGGTTACATGCCACCGATACATCCATTCCCCGGCCGATCCCCATTCTATATAACCCAATCAATTGAACAAAATAAAACAAATGAAAACTCAATACTAACCCAATCGATGATACAGAAGCCAACGCCCAAACTGCAGTATGGCCCTTCATTGGCACCAATATCGCCCTCATCTGCGCCTGTCTTCCATACATCCGACCTCTCCTAACTCATTTCTTTCCGCATCTCTTCCCCTCTGACTCTCAACGTGAAAAAATCTCCTGATCCATGTTTGGCCAGTCCCGGGCATTCACGTCCACAAATACCGGTTACGCCGCTAGCATCACTGGGGACTGTTCAGCGGCCCTCCACCGCATCAATGATGGGCTGGAATTATCTACTGATCGCAGTGTCATTTCGATCTTGGAGGGATTCATATAGCGAGTCAGCTGCATTGAGATTCGAATCTCGTTGATGGTATCGATGATGATGCTCGCTCGGTACAGGTTGTTTCGCCGATTCGGCGGCGAATTGAATCCTCATCCGTAGTTATCTTTCTCTCTATATCTTCCCCTCTCTCTCTCTTTTTTCTCTCTGACGGATACTGCATGGTGGATATCATTAGATAGATAGGATGCGGAGTCTTTATTGTTTCACTAATGGTAATCGTGGCGTTTCTCTATACTCCATATAGCAGACAGCATGTGTGAAGCACTGTCCATACTTTAGAGTAGAACGTGTATATATGGTCATTCGGCCTGGTGGCTTATAGAATACCTATTTCACAGATATTCCCTTGTCTACTTGCTATCCTATTTCTTGAAAAAATGCCGATATCTCTGGAATTAATCTCACCTGATACCACAAGGCAACAAGCTGTGGTGGCAAGTTTGAAGGTAGTGCTGGATGCTTTTCTGATTCTATTGATATGGATTGACTCTGGCAAATTCCATCGTGTGAATGTTAAAAAATAGATACAGAATCGATAAAAAGTGATAACAGCCAGGCTCCCTAGAATCGAGAGAATATCTTGGGTAAGACGCAAAACCACTCACTACAGGAATTCCATTAATTTCCAAAAGCAAGGCATGGCCTTCGCTTGAAACTCTGTAGCCTGCCCAAATTCAATGAACAAGGGACAAACCCGCAAATAATCTTAAACATTACTTCCTCTTCACTCCACTGGCTTTCTCGGTCCGGTGCCAGTCGAATCTCACCTTTTTCACTCCTCCCTGTGAAATCCGAGCCTTGTCCGCTAACGCCGACTTCCTGGGCCGTTGCTCACGTGGGAGGCTACTCAGAAGTGAGCGTGTAGAGGATCCTCTATCATGGATCCCATCACACCAAAACATGGGTGGAGAGTGAACATGAATTTCACTGTCGAAACTAGAGCCCTGTAGAGAGCCAGGATCCGGAGGACTCCTTAGTTGATCACGAGATATGGGTTGTGCAGGGGTTACAGGTTGTGCAGGTTGATCATGATGTTCAGGCTGTTCAGGTTGTGCAGAGGGTGCAGAGGGTGCAGAGGGTGACGGGGGGCCAGGATGAATGGGTTCAAATTCAGGCGCCTCGGGATTAAACTCCGCATTTTCTGGGCTCTGGGGACCAGGCTCGATGTCGGGGCTAGGCGCCTGCTCTTCTCCTTCTTCGTCCCCCTGCTGACTGGCTGCTGCCGACGCCCCAAATCCAAAAGGCCAACGGAAACGTGGACAGCTGACCAAACACATGCCGACAAACGGGCTACAGAGATCCGTGAAGTATGGTGGTTGCTTCAGATATGGCAGTGGAACAGAGGCCAACTGAGAGGGTGTCTGGTTCTGAGCCTGCAAGGCAAAAGAAATCGGTTCGCTCCGTATGTCGTCGTAGGAGATAACGGGGCTAGGGCCAAGAATGTTGGTGTCGCTATATTCGGAGACACTGCGATGGCAAGTGTCGACTTGCGAAACACAGTGATGACAGATTAGATCGTATTCGCCTGCACGAGGGATAAGGGACAGAGTGGCGGGGCACATATGGGTGTATAGGGATGGATCGTCCGTGTTCAAGTTAGCAATGGAGATCCACCAGGGTAGCTCGTCGAGTGGAATTAAAGGAGTAAAGGTCCCGTCCGGACGGGGGATGTAGAACCTGGGGAACGGTGGTAACATAGAAGAGCTAGAAAACTCGGAAAAGAGACTAGTGATATGGCCGCACACTTGAGTAATGAATGGCTGGGCGAGCTGGAACGAGCGACTTGGTTGGAAAGACCAGAGCGAGAGATCGATCACAAAAGAGTCAAGTAAGTGAAAGAGTGAAATCGTGCATTGAGGATTCTTTCTTTCTTTCGTTTTGAGATAGACACATCTGGTCCCAATCGAGAAAGTGCCGGGCTGTGTCCAAACAAGGAAAGTGTGCTGGTTTAAGGCATGGAGGCCACATTGAGCGGCGTTGTGCTTTGGTAGGAGACTCAAATCTGGTTGGCACTGTGTATGTACGCAGGTACAAAGGAGGTCACTATCGAGACAGTCAAATCCCAAATCGGGATTCAGCTGGCCATTGCATTCATACAGATGCAGATCTGCAGGTGGAGCTGGATATTCTGAGTCAAAAGTTTCTTACAGGACTGATCCGCGTTGCACTCGCTTCCGTGTGCTTCAAGCCAGGAAGCGCAGCGTCATACCAACACGGATCCCGTGGCACACTCCATCATCAGACGAGTTGGTGTCAACAGTGTCTCGCGTGGTGCCTTGATCCCAGTAACTCTGGGCGACAAAGACGGAAACGTCACGTCGAACAGCCGAAGGTTCTTCCAGGTCACATCCTTGACAAGGCCCTATCCGCTCGCTCAGAACTTGAGGTGGCCGGCGTAGAGTCCATCACTCCGTTGTACATAATGCTATCTGATATGAAAATGCTGGTACCTTTGAAATTAAAAGCATCCTTATTGAACTGGAACCCTCCCGAGGAGCACGAGGCGAAAATAGCATGGCTGACCATGTTATCCTCCACGTGAATTTTCACATATTGATCTCTCATATAGAGAAACTCGTGAAACGCGGGCAGTCTTCGGTTTACCTTTTCAGGCACCTCGATCAATGTCCTAATCGGGTATGGTGCTGGTTCTCAGGAAAATCATTTGAACAAGAACGAATTTAACCCTTTCGGTCTTCCCCACTTGTAGCTCTTTATTGTCAACTCATAGTCTTATACTCTGTACAGATCGAGTATATTTCATCTACAGTAATGGCGATGCTCCCATCTCCATCATCGGACGCTATCCTCGCAGCCAAGCCCACGCCAAACATCTCCGCCTCGGATGCGGTCTTGCACATCCACAGCGCCGCACTGGTCAATGCCGCACCCCAAGATGTCTGGAATACTTTGATCGATACTTCTACTTGGCCATCCTGGAATACTTTCATCCCCCGAGTTACCATCCGCGAACAGCCGTCTGAATCACAGCTCTCTTCCTCAGATGCGCTTTCTCCGGTTCTGCAACGCGGGACGAAAATGACCTTCCATGTTCGCATGAATCCATCGTCTACCCAGCCTACGGGCGAGCAAGAGGTGCCCCTGGTGGTCACGGAGTTTGACCCTCCAGACTCGGCCGCTCAGAGACCTGGTCGGATTGTCTGGGCCAGCGACGCCACCGCCAAAGGCGGCATTCCCGCGTTTCTGTTAACCGCGGAGAGGGTCCACGAAGTGGAGGAGGTAATGGTGGACGGAGAAGGAGGACCAGCGAGACGCGTTACTGAAGTACGAAACTGGGAGGCACAGGTCGGATATTTGGTCTATGTGGTCAGATGGATGTATGGAATGCAGTTGAAGAAGAACTTTGAAACGTGGGTGCGGGATTTGAAACAGGATGTTGAGAAATAGCGATCTTTTGAGGGGGGGGATGGTCTGCATTTGGAAGTACCGTGGATATATGTACCTATATCCTAATGCCGGAGTCGAAGCATGTGGGGGTTGAAGTTTTAAGATTGCTTTTATGCCTAGTTACATTCTAATATTCCGTACCTGATCATACATTTTGCCTACCTAGTACGAAGCTGATTCTATATACGAATGGACTATCGAACAAGTCGGAGAGTAATTTTAGAAAAATTAATAGTTAGTCCCTTGATATGACGACTGGACGGGGCATATTCCAGCTCTAAACGCTCATGGAGCGTTTCACCCTAGCTCTAAGCAGATTCGGTTTCTCGATAGTCCCGAATGGCGCCTGTACTCCGCACATAACTACATAATATTATTTGATCAGGAAACTCGTCCATCAATGGATCTTAATGTATAGCTCAAGCTCAAGTAGAAGGGTAGGTACTATGTGAATGGTATCGGTTCCTACATTAGACTGGTACATGGTAAAATGTGTGGATCTAGGTAGGACCCACGTGGGGGTGGGGATTGGATCAGAACTCTTGCACATGTGTTACCGTTTCATACTCCCTTCTACGCCCTTCCACCATCAAGTGACTAGGCGTATGCTGGGATATCTAAAATCTCATTGTTTGCATCGAGGATGCGTTGAGTAGGCCGATGACATATTGAGTGGCACAAGAGACTGAGGCAGCGGCTGTGTTCAGGAACATGCAGTCAAGCCATGCGGGCAGTTTAGTCAAAGTCAAGATAAGATCGAAATCAGAGCTTGAGTCACCAACAGTTCCGATAAGGGCAGGTCACCCGACCACTGGGATGATGAATGAATCTTTCCCCTGGTCTTCCAAGGTTCCCAATTCCACCCACGTCACGTCATTATCTCTTTCACCTGTCCAGGGCATTGACTTCGAGATTGTAAAACGCCAAAGGTGTGATGGGCTCCACCGGGCTACTACATTCGGGTCCTTTGCAGGAAGCCATACTAAAATGGGTATAGTGTCCGAACAAGGGACTGCAGAATACCGCGCAATACAGTACAATAATACCTCTGGATGGGGGAACAAGTAGAGGAGAATGGGTTCATACGATAAAGAGTCCCTCTTATTACCTCATATCTACCTAGGTGATGCGCTATCTTGATGATCGGAGTCGAAAAATCAACGGAATCGACGGACATTCAAGGAGGAGACCATAGCGCCATGTGGGGATGTCATAGTAACCTTGAAGGTAACCTCCAACGGTAAGGTAGCAACAGTCGTTGCATCCACGGTTCTTCCTGGACAATTAAGCTACGGCGGCAATTTTTTTTTTTTTTTTTTTTTTTTTTTCCTTTGTGTATGAAATGAATGACCTTTGTGTTTTATCATCCAGTCGAGTTCCAGCCAACTCCCCTCTTCTCTCGTTCTCTTCTCTCGGTCTTCTTTCCACCAACTCCGTCATGCCACCCTCACTATTTTGTAGTCACGATCGAGTCATATCTTCTTCTACCAGCTGGCATCATTCTTAGCCAATCTACGACTCAGCTCCACGCACGCAGTCTTGCCACCAGCATCAGATTCCCAACTGGCCCACGCTCCTTTCTGCACACTGCAACTCTTCATGCTCTATACTGCAAACCACCAGCAGTCATTCCTATCGGGATCAGACCATTCATTTAACGAACACTTATTATCTTGATATCACGAGCATCACGTAAGCTCTAGCCATCATTTACCACTCAAGTCATTTTCGAACTCCATACACTCTGGTTTCATAACGTCGATCTCTTTGCATGTCTTCTGAGCTACTAGTTCCATCTCTATGTAGCTACATCTACATCTATATATATAGTCACTGTTCAGTCATCATGCCTGGTCGACTGTCCGTTCGCACGAAGGATAAGCAGGGCGATACAGCCCAGGGCCCTCAAACCATGTTGTCTAGCCTGACCCCGCCGGTGACTCCAATCAAGGCACAAGGCAGCGCTTCGGGGAGCGAGAATAGGGCCAACCACAGCTGCTCGACTGCTCTGCCGTCGCCCGTCAGCGCAGAACCGAAAGAAATCGACTTGACCACTCATACTGTCACAACGCCTCTCGAGTATTCTGACGAGTTGGAGTATCATTACGACGTTGAAGGCCACCCCGTCGAATATGGCAGCGGCGTTTGGAGCGTAGTTTACGAAGCATCATCCCGTACCGGGTCGAGCTCCCCACTAATCTCTCCCCCCAGCTCCCCAGTGACAGGCAGTCACTTGGTAGCAGTGAAGTCCCCGGTGCGACGGGATGCATATCCCGTTCTTGAAGCTGAAGCGCTCATATTGACGCGGATTAGCATGATGTCAGACTCCGAGCGTCACGTTGTCCCATTCCACGGATATATCTCCAACACTCATTCGATCGTTATGTTGGCGGTGCCACTCTCATTTGCATCTTATATCGAGGAACAAGCGACCTCAGCCCAGAAACATCAGTCCACCAAAACGATGTTCGAGCCCATCCAGGGTCTAACCCAGTGGCAAGACCTGGCCGAGAAGCTGATCACTAGCCTCTACTGGCTGCACATGGGACCCCAAATCATCCATGGAGATATCAAGCCGCACAATATCCTACTCAAACCGAAACCGTCCACCTGCAGCGAATCCGCGGACGACTTCTTCCCCTTCGACCCGCTCTTCGCGGATTTCTCGTCCGCCCACAGCGTCGCCGGCACCTCGTTATTTACCGAGAAACAGAAACACACGGGCACGGCCCTGACCGCATTAACCCCGCCATTCGCTGCCCCAGAACTCTTGTGCATCTCGTCCTTGACATCCGCAGAGGCGGCACCCACGCCGGCATCGGACGTGTTCTCTCTGGCGGTGACGCTACTCGCCGCAGCCACGGGGGACTTGCTGCTGTACCCGGGGACCAGCCACATGCAGCGACTGGCAATGGCTCGTGAGGGCCACCGAGTGATCGAGTTTGCTCGTTCAGGGCCCAACGGGGCGCGGGTTCCCCGTAACGGGGTAGTAGAACGGATCCTCTTACCTGCCATTACGAAGGAGCCAACGGAACGAATCCAGCCAGAAGAATGGCTGAGATTGGTGCGAAGCATGCGATGATGGATTTGATTGGATGGTATTTGTACGATAGTTTGGATTTGGACTTGTTGATACCCTATTTGGCAATGGATTGTCTTAGTCTATTCCTGATACGAAGTATGATTAACTATCTTGTAGAGTCATAGTCAGCTAACTAGTGGATTGTAGATTATCTAATACAGTCTATGGGATCGTAACCACGTACATATATAGATAAGTAGATAGGAGTATTATAAATATCGATATTATACATACCAGAGCAGAGCAGACTAGGTATCTATGAGATACCCCCCCGATCGGAACGAGGTCAAAGTACCTCCGAGCATACGATTCAACTGGGTGACGGACACCTTCTGGCCGGAGCGTTGATACTCGAGACAGATATCCAGCAGCGTAGCGGCAGAGAGAGAGCGCACGCGCACGTCCGTCAAGTCATAGTCGAGGTTCTCCTGGTAGCAGACGGCCGGGTCAAGAGGTTGGGGCTGGTCTGGGGCGCCGTGGACGGTCTTGGGGCGGACATCGAAGTCAACAGGGAGAGATTTGGCAGCGAAAGTGGCCAGACTGGGAACGGCGCGCACGAGGTCGTTGACACTGCGTCTGGGGAAGACGGCCTGTAGGAGTTCGGCCACGGTCAGATTCCCCCGACTGCCCAGGGCCAGCGATAGCGCCTGGAATAGACGCACGGGGTGCTCTCGTTCGTCTGGGGGTAGACGGTGCAGCTGGCGTAAGGCGGTAGATTGGTCGTCGGGCTCGAAATAGACCAAAGCGCGGCCGACGTCGCGCGGATACTGCTCGTCTGGATGAATGAGCAGCGGCTCGAAGGGCCGTCGGTCCCAGGGGAGGTAGGCGTTGTCAAAATTGCCGGAGTGCATGGCGGCGCGGTGGTCGTCGATGGCGATGGGCAGCTGCTTAGTGGCTTCATAGTGGTGCTGGGCGTACTCGTCGGCGATGGCGCGGCGCAAGGCGTCGATGCGGTCCTGCAGCGGTTGCAGCGTCGTCGCGGTGGCGTGGGGGTCGGCGGCGGCGCACGACAACAACCGGGTCAGCTCGTCGAGGGTGGCATGTTGCTTGCTGAGTTCCTGACGGGCATAGGCATGGCGGTTCTCCTGGTTCAGGACGATGCAAGCGCGCAGACGCTTGGGGTTCTTGATGGCCTTCTTGGTCGTCCTTTTTTTGGAGGTCTGAGTCTGGCTGTCCTCCTGGGGGCTCTGAATGCGCTCCTCCTCGGAATCAAGCACGTTCAGGAGACGATCGTGCAGCGGTGTCCGAGGTCGTGGCACATAGGGATAGGCCATGCGGCCTGGATCCGGGCTGTCGGGGGCCATGGCGACGGGGGGCAGCTCTCGACCAGCGGGAATGATGATGCCCTGCTCGATGGTGCGCTGGGCAACGCGGGCGGCATTGGCCGCGACTAGATCCCAGCCCTTGAAGGTGATCCAGAGACTGGGATCGCTGGGAGCAGCAACCTCAAAGGCGTGCCGGGCAACGCTCTCAGTCAACAGGGCCGGTCGCTTGCGCTCGCTGGTGGTGCGCGCCAGGACAGCCTGGGAATCTGCGGGAGGCAATGAGACGAGCAGACGCACCTGCCCATAGCTATGGAGGCCTGTTGCGCGCATACAGGTGTCCATGAACATAGCACACCAGCGAGCGGGAGTGAAATGATCCTTCTTGGACACGCTGGGCGGCGGACTGGCCAGGACGAGGAGTGAGTGGTTCGCCCGAGGATGATTCGACTGAGCATCTTGAGCATCCGCATAGCCATCAGAATGAGTATCTGGATCGTCCGGTAGACAGGTGGCCAACAGCTGTTTCCAGTCCTCGACCAGTTTGATGTCCATGGACAGCAACGAGTATGCATTTCGACTCTTCACCAAAGACTCCAGCACAGGTCGGAAGGTCTTGATCTCAGGCTCGATCAACACATGTCGACGAGGTCGCACAAGATCGTGGACCTTGGATGATAAAAGTCCAGCGCCCGGCCAGAGATCCAGAATATCAACGGGTTTGTTGCGCAGAAGGAAAGGTGACAGGCGTTGCAAGACGTCATCGCACAGTGTCTCGCTGACGATCTCCGATTTGGCGACGGTCTTCTTGGCACTCGTGGGAAAACATTCGTGCAGTTTTTTTGGTCAGGGGAAATTGGGAGAGGGGCGTCCATCGATTGACGCGACTCATTTTGCATGCATCGTGGATTTGTGAAGTTGAGATTTGTGAGTTGAGATTTATGAATAGAGATTGGAGCGGGTTGAGATGAAGATCCGCTTCTTACGTACAGAGTATCTATCTGCTTTTTACTTTGTACGCTCTTCATCTCTCTCTATCAAACACACTCTCTCCATCGCAAACACTTTATCTCTATACCAAGGGCAGACCGGTCTTCAGACCGTGTCCTCTCGTCCTCATGCCCCAAAACGTCGAAACCATCTCTCGTCTTGCTCAGGACTATGAATACAACCCCTCCATTCCCCTCCGATACTGGCTGCGTACCGCCGCGACGTTGGAGAGAGAGGTAAAAACCACCATTCTTTGCTGAATATATCATGTCTGAGTATTAATACCTGAAATTCAGGCGCACATCTACCTCCGCGAAGGAAATGACGAACAAACCTATCTCCTCCTCTTTCGACATGCCCAGCTGGTCCTGGTTCATCTCGTCAACCACCCCGAGGCCAAGGACGAGAAGAACCAACGGTCCATGAAGGAGGTCGAGGGCCAGGTAAACAAAAATTTAGAGACCTTGGAGACCCTGCGACCGCGCATCAACCAGCGCTACGAACAATACAGGAGGTTATGTCGAAATCGAGAGCCCCGTTCCCCCCCGCGACGAATCGCGCCTCCCCTCCCGATCTCGCTCTCACCAACGTGGCTGAACCCTTGGAGGCGGGTGAGAACCGGGATTTGGCTGTCCAGCTCGCAAGGACCGAGATAAGTCGTCGGGCCACCATGCGGCAGGCGATCCAGCAGGTAAGCAAGGGGAATTGGGAGACCGACCAGGACTTGAGTCGACGCATCCAAGACGTCCGGGTCACCCTAGCAGAGAACTCCGATCAGCGAGTCCAGGGTCCCTCAGTACGACCGACGACGACGGCCTCCTCTACCTCGACATACAAGTATCCGACCGTACCTCGTCAGCGACCGCGGGACGTCACGTCCCAACCGCTGCCGCCATCACCACCACTACCTCCTCTCCCTCCCCCCAAAGAACGCGTCGCAACGAACGGGATCGATGTCGGGGACGAACCGTCACCACCTCCCCGGCCAGACAAGGTGTCCGCGGCGGAGGTGCCCGCTGTGCCCGACAAGACGCCGAATGAGTCCGAGCTCCGGCCCTCCAGCTTCACGTTCAAGCCGTCGGCGTACCTAGAGAACGGCACGCCGCTACGGACAGTGTTCCTGCCGCCGGAGCTGCGGACGGTATTCCTGGATCTGGCGGCGCCCAACACGCGACGGAACCTGGAGACGTGTGGAATCCTATGCGGCACGCTGATCTCCAATGCGCTGTTCGTGTCGCGGCTGCTTATCCCGGAGCAGACGGCGACATCGGACACGTGCGAGACTGTCAACGAGTCGGCCATCTTCGAGTACTGCGACGCGGAGGAGCTGATGATGCTGGGGTGGATCCACACGCACCCGACGCAGACATGCTTCATGAGCTCGCGCGACCTGCACACGCACTGCGGCTACCAGGTGATGCTGCCGGAGAGCATTGCCATCGTATGCGCCCCGAGCAAGATGCCCGACTGGGGGGTGTTTCGCCTGACAGATCCGCCAGGTTTGAAGACTGTGTTGAATTGTACACAGAGTGGCCTGTTCCATCCGCATCCCGAGACGCATATCTACACGGATGCTCTGCGACCGGGGCATGTGGTGGAGGCGAAAGGGCTGGAATTTGAGACGGTGGATCTACGATAGTGGATTTTCTTTCTCTATTTTATCTATTCTATTCTATCTGCTTTAGTAATGGTGGATGATGCTGTACATAAGTAGCGATATAGACGGAGGGGAGATCTCCCACTTTGTTTTCTCCACTTCTCTTCCAAATTTCTCTATCGACTTCTTCTCTCTACCACTTCTCTTAATCATCTTCTCTTTTGATCTTTTTTATCCTCGATCCTCGATCCTATCACCTATGTCCTCCTCCGCCGCCTCTTACTTCTCCTACCCCGTCACCCACGTTGTCTCTGGTCTCTACCGTCGACTGACAGAACCGCCACGATCACAACAACAACAACGACAACAACAACAACAACAACAACAATCATCATCCCAATCCAATGCCATGAACTCCCATCGTCATCTCCCTCCCTCTCAGACCTCCTCATCCGCCTCCTCGCAGGTCTTCTCCCCCGTTCGCACCGCCTCACCCTTTCAACCACCCCCCCTCACCCCGCTGACCCTGACCGGCGACGAACACCACCACCACCAATCCTCATCAACCAGCCTACAGCGACAGCTGCTCTCGCGTGCTCTAGCTGAGGAGATCCGTCTTCTGGTACCCGCAAGGCTCCAACTCGCCGACTCCTGGCGTCTTGCCTACAGTCTCGATCGCGACGGCGCCTCCCTCGCCACCCTGTACGACCACTGTCGTGACATTTCCGCCCGCAGCCCTCGCGCCGGCTACGTCCTCGTCGTTCGCGATGCCTCCCCCGCTGGCGCCGTCTTCGGCGCCTACATGACTGATCCCCCCCATCCTGGCCCCCATTACTTCGGCACCGGCGAGTGTTTCCTCTGGCGCGCCTCCATCCTCCCCTCTCGAGACCTCTCCTCCCTGGTACCTCACCATACAACGGGACATGCCAGTGGAAGTGCCGATGAAGGAGAAGGAAAAGAAAGAGAAAGAGAAGGACCCCCCTCGGAGGATCTCCTCGAATTGGCCGGATTGCCTCCCCGTCCGAGCGCAGATACAACCCACGCCGGTCGATGGTCGACCCTTCGTGGTGACAGAAGAGCCGCCGCCCCGAGAAGTACAACGCCTCAGTCGACAGATCATACTGGTAACCCCAGTGGCGCTAGCACCCCCGATCGTATCCGGTTCAAGGCTTTCCCCTACAGTGGCGTGAACGACTACATGATGTTCTGTGAGACGGGCTTCCTGAGTTTAGGAGGCGGGTGAGTGAACAATTCCGAATTCATAGATAATAAAAAGATACCGATACTCTAAGTGCGATGCTAACGTGCACAGTGATGGGCGGTACGGCCTCTGGTTGGATTCCAGTCTCGAAAAGGGAGTCAGCTCAGCCTGTCAGACGTTTGGGAATGAACCGCTGTCCGACGAAGGGGGAAAATTCGACATCATCGGCGTGGAGGTGTGGTATGTGGGTTCCTGAGATCGATCTCATCCACTCGCTCACCCTGCTTCTTTGTATATTTTGGCGTTGCATTACCTATCTAATACTATACCCCGACACGATATGGCGGGCTCCCATCGTGTCGCTTGCTTCACTGTGCAATTCTCTCGATATAGCCTTCGGCAAAGGAGAAAAGGACCAAGGAGCGCTCCCATGTGGTTGACAACGACACACAGAACTGCATAAGTCGTAATATTTGATTAGCTACCTATTGGATATGATAAACTACTAAAATCTTGCTGTAACCCAAACCGCCGTTCGCCAATTCCATCCGTCATATCACCATGAATGGAGAAAAAGAAAAACCAGTAGTAAATCAGTCAATTAATCAATCACGGACCATCAGATCCCTCGCACGCGACGAACACCATGGCTGGCCCGTGGTAGGTAAAAAGAGATTTCAAAAAGAAACGAACAATCTACAAGGGTATGTAAAGAAAACAGCGACACGATCAATACGGCGAATTCACAATCTCATCCCTTCCCAGCCGACTCCCCCATCGCGTGCTCCGACGGCTAGGGGTTACCGGTGGCCCAGCGATACTCTCGCGCGTCGGTTTCTGAAGACTCCGCTTGGCCACCATGTTGACCTCGTTCGGCAGGGCCACGATGACATTCTTGTCCGACCCAAACCGGAAGTTGTCCGACATGACCTCCTCCGAATACCGCTTGATCGTGTAGGGGTCCTTGCGTCCCGCCACGACCTTTTTCAAGCTCCAGGTAACGATGAAGGGGCCTGTGGCCGTGACAATGGACGTCTCCTGGCTGTCAACGCCCGTGTTGAAGCGTGCGGGCGTAAAGGCAAGAGGTTTCTTGGTTTCATGCTGGAACTGCGCAACGTGGGCCGGCTGGAGACCCAGGCGTCGAGGCTGGGGTTTCGAGTCCTTGGCGAACGAGCGCTCGAAGCCAAGCTTGCCTTCATTTTTACCATCCTTCTGCAGCGCGTCGATGAGAAGGAGATAGGTTCGGCAGGTGGCCAAGACCCATCGGCCATCAGCAGACACATCTAGGCCGATGATCGGTTCTCCCAAGGCCGGGATGTGGGTTTTGGCGTTGATCCCCAACCTGTCAAACATCCGGATGTCACCCTTGTTCGAAGAAACGGCGAGGTAGCCCTTCTCGGTGGTGGCCACAGACGAAAAGGCGTTCTTGCTGGCATACTGCTTCAGGTCGGACTCCACCAGCTTGTTTCCGGACACACGGGGGTCAATCCGGTAGAGAGCGTTATGCGAAGCACCAATGAAAGTCTGGGCCGCGGTCATTTGCGAGAATTTCTGCCCACGGTCAGTCAAAATGCCATTCTATCTGAAAAAAAGGGTATAGCACTTACCGTTTCTGGTGCGAAAGTGTGCACGGGGATATCATCATGGACCTTCCACTCGTCCACAATCTTCCCGTGTTCCAGATCCATACGGTAGAGAGAGTTGGGGTCATCGCCGTTTTGTATGATCATCTGCGAGTCCTCCGCATGCAACTGGACCTTCTTGGGACTGAATAACTTGCCCTTAGGAGTCTGCACCTTGGAAATAGTGGTTGAGAATTCGAGGTTATTGTTCGAGGTGTGCTTGAAGACACCGATTTTAGAGCCTCGCACAACGAACGACCGGTCGTGTTTATAGCCAACGGCAAGCTGGGAATTCACGTTGCCGTCGTCTTCTCGAGTCACCACATCGTCCTGCTCCTCGTCCGAGTCGTAGCGTTCGCTGCGCTGACCGTCGTCCTGATCTTCTTCTTCTTCCTCTTCTTCCTCTTCTTCCTCCTCTTCACGTTCGTCATCGACCTGCTGTTCTTGGGACTCTTGGTCCTCCATTGTGAGGTCTTGGAAAGCATCCAACACATACTCTCGCTCTTTATCCTTAACCTTATTCCATTTCATCTCATTCAGCTGCTCCCAGAGAGCCTGCAGGAGACCTTCCTGGAACCGCTCTTCGGTTGCCTGATCCTTAAAGCGTAGGAGCCAGGAATAAGCCGAGCCATCTTCGCTGTAGTGATTGAAGATGAAGGAGAGGTACTCGAAGTTGAAGACGGGGTTGATATCGGCAATCACGGCTTGCCCGAGCCATTCCTTCTCTTCGCTGTTGATATGGAGCCAGTACTGCCAACTCCCGACTTCCGATACAGTGGCAACAACATCAGGGTCTTGCAGAATGAACGTCCCACTTTGGACGTCGAACAGGTGAAGCTCCACTCTCTCCTTGGCGAGGATCTCTTTAGTCTCCGGCTGTGCGGCGGACGGGGGTGCCACCGTCGGCTCGTCCCCGTCATCGGTCGGTTTGAATTGGCCCTTGGCCCGCGAATACGCCACCTCCTTGACCATAGCTGCAGTCGAATCTCCGGACGCGAAAGAGTGGGTACGGGATTTGTTGGGTGAAGCGAGAGGACTTGCTGAAGGAAGCGGTCGTTCTTCTTGGAAGGAAAACTGCTGAAGTTCTTGCTCCGTCGCCTTCTGAGAGCTGCGTCGGTATTTCCGTTCGTACTGGCACTGCAGCGCGGCGAGCTCAAAGGTGGACACTTTATCCGAGGGCACCGACGAGTCGCAAACGAATTCAAACAGATCACCAATATCACCGCTCAGATCCCTCCAGGCCAGGATTTTGGCAGCTCCGTCCCGAACCTCTGAGCGAAAATGCAAGGCCTGGTCAAGAAGGAATATCTTCTCGTCCTTATCAAGACTATCACTACCGCCTTGTTCGTCCTCGTCCTCTGCGAGCTCCTCCTCGCCCTCTTCGTAGGCCCTTTGGATGACAAGCTGATACTGGAAGTCCTGACCCGTGCGCCGAATGGAGGCAGCGGCGTCCTTGAAGATAAGTTCGGAGTAACCTTTGGGGGACAGAGGGCGCACTAAATAGAGCTGGCCCTGTGGGATCTCGATGATAGATTCCTTGGAAGTGTCTCCAAAAATGAACTTGCTCACTGAGAAAGGTAGAGGATTGTTAGCTGGGGAAGCTTGAAGAGGTGGCAAAAGAGACACAGCGGGGTACATAGACAGCAATGAACGAGTGTGGAGGGGTAGAGAGTGGGGTAGAAACGTGAAGAGGAAAAGGAGATCAAATGAAGAGATATTCATCTACCAAAGATGAAAGACGCTGACTGGCTAGTGAGGAGGAGCACATACCGTTGCGGAGCATGAACATGGCTGTGGTTTCCCTGGTGGCACTTGTTTACTTTTTCAGAAGATCTGGCAGGTGGGATGCAGGGATCGGCAGTCGAGAGGCTGGCTACCGTACGGAGTAAATAGCTAGGAACAGTGGGCAGGAGAGCCAGGGAACTGTCCAGTAGTGGCAGAGACGACGATGACAGACGTCCCTGGCCTGGACCAAGACAAGCAAAAAGCGAAGGGAAAGAAAGATGTTGTTGTGCTTCTGTTGATCTTCCGTCATTGATCGATTGTCGGTGGCAACGTGATGGCTGACTCAGCTGTCACGTTTTTTTACTCGTTTACTTTTTTTTTTTTTTTTTGATATGCGTATTCGTATTCATATACATATATTATTGCAGACCAATCTCTTTGCTACCAGTTTATATTGAGTCCTATATACACCCTTAACATATCCTACATTCAAGACTCTCCTGGATCTTCCAGTGCATCCTGAGAAGCCTCCTGAACGTCCTCAGATCCAGCGTCCGCGCTGTCACCATGCTGCACTGGTTCCTCGGAGCTACAATTCGAGTCCTTTAGAGTCCCTCCTTTTCTTTGAGGGATCACCTGCATGAATGCCTCCCCCCAGTCCCCTAATTCCAGCCACCTGAGCATAATCTCTACTACATGGTTAGTCGCCAACACCTGGCGCGACGTCATCTGAATGTAGTCCCCAATGGGTAGCTTCGCCGTTTTGATACCCTTTTCCACCGCCCGCTTGTAGCATATCCCCTTGTGCCGGTTCTTATCGACTAGCCCACCGATAATGTAGGTACTGTACGGCTTCAATTCCGTCAGGGTGTGCGGGCTCTCGCTGCTGAGATAGACGACCTCCCCATCCTTGGGCGTTACGTCCATCTTGTCAGCAAAAATCCCCGCCAATTCACCCCCTTCTGGTCCCTTCATCCATTCCCGGGCCTGCTCGGCAGCATAAACAAAATCTTCCCCCAAGAAGCGCACACCCTTCCAATTCTCATGGGTCTTCCTCATAACCGTCTCGTACCGCTCCTTCAACAGCTTATCGAACGAGGATATCACCAGGTGCGAGCGATATGGAGTTCGGGAGTTGTCAGAGTAGCAGCGTGCGAGCTGCTGGGAGAGGGAAATCCGTTCTTTTTCGTTCATCAGCTCGTCAAACCCACAGTCCATGACCAGCGTAAGAGGAAGCAGAGTCGTGTTTCGAAACCGGTGTCGCGTGGATTCTCTCTCTTTCCTCAATCTTTCCACCGCCTCCGGTCCCTCCTTTTTCGCCTCATCCCATTCTTTCCGTATTCGGTCCTTCTTCTCCTGGGCCTTCTCTTTCCGCCGAATCTTACGTAGATCCCGCTGGGCCTCCCACTGCTCCTGTCGGCGGAGCTTCTTCAGTTGATTCTTCGACATTTTGGGAACAGATTCATTCGCATTAACCGGAAGCTTCTGTCTGTCATCTGCATCAGACTCGTGGCCTTTAGTTGTTGGGGTGGCATCATTGTCTGGAGTACATCCCACGGCACCGGTCATCACAGACTCCGACTCATCCTGAGCATCCTTATCATTTCCTAATCTCGGGAGCTTCCTCGGCCGTTCTTCGCCGTCCATGATGCTGAATCGATCAATAGTTAAATGAATCAGTAGTCAATTAGTTAGTCGTTGAAGGCTGCACGCACATTGGAAAAGCTGCGCAGACTCTCGCCCAGCCAATGGGAGTCACCGCAGCCCGCATTACCAAAATGGGTCTGTACACGTGACCGTCGGATGAAGTTCGTCGCGTCGGCCGATCTTGCCTGCGATCCTACCCCGACTTCGATTAAAGGCTGCTCGCTGTGTCCGTCAGTCGTCAACATGCCTCAGGATATGCCCCCAACGGGGGGCTACGGGCCGGTTCAGTATAAGGTTCGACTCTCTCCCACATGTCTGCTTTCTATCAATCGCTTCGATCAATCGAAGACCCTTGTTTCTCCGAGCTGGCCCGGTCAATCGAATGGTGGCTAACCTCTACCATAGCGAAACGTCCCTGCCCGTGGTTTCCGCCCCTTCTACTACCTCGTCGGTATGCACATGGTCATGGCATATGGCTTTTACAAGCTCTTCCACGGTATCCGTGAACAAAAGTACGTGACATGGTCAGAGAGATCAAGATTCCCTCGCTTCCTCAATCCGATAAAAATGGCTCAGGAACTAGCTAATATGGGTGCAGTGAACTCGCCCGTGAGAAAATCTGGGGCCGTCTCCATCTGGTCCCTCTCCTTCAAGCCGAAGAAGACCGTGATCAGGTCCGTCGTCACTTCGCCGACAAGGCTCGCGAGAAGGAAATGTTCGGTTCGGAGAGCAAGGTCTACCACAGTGATCGGTAACTTCTTCCTTTTCAATATAGAGAACCGAAACATGTACTAACTGTCGAGTGGTACAGCTTCATCCGCCCTACTTTCGCCTACACACCGTCCAGGGTCACTCAATAAGCGATTGGAGATATGACGTGCTGAGGTTCGTTTTCGTTATCTTAGAGTCTTCTGTTAACTTCCCGATGAGCGGTGCCTTACTTTTATGATGTACAAGTGAAGTATTCTGGAGCGGCAGTGGTTGTGGTTCGCTGTGAAACGGGAGAGGTACCAGGGAAGTATGTCTGTTGTAGGAACAGAAAACTGTATGATGTAGATATACCGTTTGGAGCAGAATCACTCGTCCCACAATATGTGTTTTACGTTGTTTCATGCGTTTCTCTCGTAAGTTGGACTATATTATAAACTGATGTATACATTCGGTCAAATTGCCGAAAGCAGCAGGGCTATACTCTCTCGTTCCTAAATATAATTCCATTATCGTATTTCTATAGTCTTTTATGCTCATTGCAATGCCAAACAAAAGAAAGAAACAAAAATAGAGTAACCGCGAAGATCGCAAAACGGGGGACCCAACCCACTATACTATACAACTGAGGAAATGGATTGGTGGCCCATATCTACTCGAATAGATATAATCAGAAACAAGGGAGAAGAGACAAGACTGCTTTAACCAAACATGTCCGCAACTCCCGATAGGTCGGGCCCATCGTTGATATCAACCTTGAGCTTTTGCTGGCCCTCCATCTCGGAACTCATATATCTCTCTTGTAAGACACTTCGGGCCTTTCGCCGTTCTTCCCGGCTGCCGAGAATCTTACCTTGCTCCGCGATACTCACACCCCTCACCCCCTCTAGAAGATCCAGAATCAGGGCCCGTTGCTGGCGTGCCGCCGTAGTCCGCGACAGAGCGGCTTCCGCATTGGCAACTCGCTGCTCGTCCATACCGGGAAGGCTGAGGATCACGGCTCGCGCTGTAGGACTGCTCGACCCGTAAAGGACCCAGATGGATGCGATCAGCTGGGCCAGGTCTTTCTGCATATCAACAAAATAAGGCTCATGCACGGATGTAATGCAAGCTTTAAGGACTTCGGAACATATAAATTCGCGAATCGTCAGGGTAGTGGGAGACTGGTTAGGGGGAGCGAAGTCCTGAAGAATGGACCGGATAACCCGGGTGATGATGCTGCAGCATCGGGTATCACGCATCCGAAGAGCGTGGGTACAGAAAAGCATCACGGGCTCAAATATCTCTGGTGAAGATAGAACGAAATGTCGTATTGAGTCAGATAGCGCCGGCGGTTGCTGTGGAGCACTTGGATCTGCCGGTTCTTCATCAGGGTCTCCATGGTATGTTAGTCTTCAAAGGGCGGCTAAGATGATGTTGATATCACTCACCTCCTCGTTGCGGGTCAAGGAGACTTGCTACCATGATGACCGCGGAGTATGTCAACTGACGAAGAATACTCTCTGATTTCATCTCATCAGTCAAATCGCCATCGGCGACGCCCTCTTTCCGCTGTTCGATGACGTCCCATTCTGTGGTGACCTTCCTATCGATATTTGTGAACAGTGTTGCTAGCATCGGAGGCAAAAATTGACCTCTGAACTTAACAGGACAGTCATCAATCAAACACCTTGAAATATTCAGAAGGACGGAAAATTGGTGAGATGAGAGATACGACGAGTCCTTGAAGAGGGCCTGGGAAAGAGGCCCCGGAAGTTCCGCGAAACCATAGAAGTGCTCTCTCAGCCTACTCATGCTGAACAACATTGAGTAGCAGGACTCACGGACTGCTCTAATCTTGCCTCTAACCGAGGATGCGAACCCCTCGAGTGATGCTCGGGAGGATGTGATTTTAGCATAAAATTCATCTCGGCTACCCGTGGATATTCCAGCCTGCCAGAATCTATCGGTCAATATGCGCTCGACAACGACTTTCATGTCATCAGTCAGGCCGTTCCAGTTGGCCGGGTTATGGAAAGCGTGCGCGTTACTGTTCCACGACTTAGTTCAAACCCCGCTATTTTGTTGCAGATTTCCTTACCTGACAAGCTGTAACAAGGTTGGTAGTATCACTGGGATAATTTCGTGCCAGACACCGCATGCAAGTTCGTACGCCGGTTCGTTCTTTTTTAGCTTCTCCGTGGAAACAGCCAACATAGTTTTGGTGCCTCGCAGAGGCAGTTGCTAATGCCAAGTCAATATTTAATCCAGAATCTGAAATCGTGACCACCTCTAATTACCTGGAACTTCCTTGTCATCTCCTCTTGGACAAGTCTTCCCTCGTTATCTAAAGGTACCGATGTCCAGTCTTCCAGTTTCTGTGCCTGCCGTGCCTGCATATAAGGTCCCACAGGTTGCAACCCTAACATGGCACAGAACCCTTCAAAGGACGAGCTCAACTGTCGGAGTTCCTCTTCCTGCCAAGCTTGCTTTATAGGTTCCACAAAAGACGACAACCGGGACTGGCGTATATGGGGTTCCACGTTATTCGCACGTTGCCTGGTGGAAATAGCATAAGAACAGAGCTATGATATATGGACGAAGGTTGCATAGTACATACATAATGATGAGAAGAATCGAAGTGAGCTCCATCTGCAATTTGTCATCTACACGGTTCGCCAGGCTAATCTCTTTGATCTTAGGCTCAAGCAGGTCGTAGAAGGTCTGCAGCTACAGGTCAGTATTATAGAATTTTGCAAGTATCCAGCCAGACGTACGGAAAAGTAGTCCGCATAGCGCATCGCAAGCCGCCGAAGTTCATGGCTGGCAAGCCCATGAAGTTCCTTCACGGCCTCCGAGTATGTGGCAAACTCGGGTTGGTCAGGGAGACGTGTCATAAGGATATATTCGAGAACCTTCAAGGAAAAGCTGGGGGTCTTGTCAAGGGCTTTCGAAGAAACGTCAACAATGAGTTTGATGACGCGTTGCTTCAATATAGGGTCCTGTATCAAAATGTGAGCAGTCGAGGGTAGATCACCGTCACCGAGCCATGAAATCTAACCTCGAAATCCCTCTGCATTAATTTAAAAGCCCACGTTTCTAAGACGTTCTCTAGTTCGTTTCTCTTTAGCTCCTGGTCAATCAATCAGCCATATATGCATCAACCCGTTTTAAGCATACATACATCTTGCTGCGGCATCTTCCCATGTGCCGCTAGCCATTTATTATATCCTTTCAGCGTAGCCTCCACGACCGCAAATTGCGTGTCGGCACGCATGAGAGGAAGCGAACTTTTCGAGAAAGATTTGACTGGTTCCTCTTATTAGTTTATAAGCTCGTGCAGGACTCATGAGACCTGGACTCACCGCTAAAAGGCTCAACTCCACTGTAAAGGTTGTCCAAATTGACATCCACACCTGATAGGATATGCGGAATAGCCTCCTCGGGCCTTTTGTGAACAGTCGTCTCTATAATAGATGAGCAATACCGGCGATAATTGCCCACGAAAGCATGTCTCTCGGGGACCGTGTCGATATCCTCCACAAGGAACACTACTGTAGGGTCGTCGGAATCCGTGGGGAGAGACTCCCAGCGGACCAGCCGCTGGGTACATATTTCTAGTAGCGCAGGAATCAAACTCGTGACCAATTCGGTGTTTCCAATCCTATCAGAAGCTAATAGTTTGGACCACACATGGAGAACAGGTATAGAAACCGTTAAGCTTTGATGTCGAATGACATTTAACATAAGGTGGAAAAAGAATAGGAGGTTCATGCTATGAGTGCTTTCTAAAGAAAATCCCTTCTCATCGAGGAACCCTGCAAGATAGGACACCATCTTTACGTGGTGGTTAGCAGCTGTTTAAATATCCAATAACATTGTCTGCCCCTCCATACCTCGGAGATCTTCTTGGAGATCATGTATCTTGTATCGTCAATATCATCGGGTCCCACCACCGACCATTCGTATAATTTTTGCAGGACATTCAGGTAGTCTGTTTCATACATTACATGTACAAGTGGTTGGAATCCAGCCACGTCAATATTGGATCTGCTATACAAGGCGTGCAAAGCTTCCACAGCGGCCTTTGCGAAGAGTTCAGCTCGTGGTACCACTATCGAAGAACCAGACGGGGCGTCTTACCAGCAATACTTGTTCGTCGTGGCAAGTAAAAGCCCTCGCTATCGTTGGGACACAGTTTGAGGAGATAATGGCTTTGGGAATCGCCCATACCAAGACTGACTTTAGCGTCGCCAATGCTTTGAGAGCGGCGTCCTTCGCCTGCTTCGAGTTTTGAAGGTTCTCGATACAATATTGGAGGAATTCGCTGATCCGGGTAAGCCAGGAGTCCGAGCCATACCGCAGTTCGACGTGATGATCTCGCTTCGGATAGATTTCTTCAAAAACTGACATGGGGGTAAAGATCTCGACCAGGGCTCTGTTGAGATCCGTCCCTCGCAGAGAAGAGACGGTATCCTCCCGGTAGAAGATGTCCTCGGACAGTGTCTCCAGAATGGAGAGAACCAGCTCCTTGTGCACGAGACCCCCCTCCCAGAACCGATATAGAGTCTGGTCCATCTCGATCCAGTCCAGCCCCCAGCTTCTCTTCGCGACCTCCGCCCATAGCTGGGGGATTTTGTTGCGAATATATGGGGGATCTTCCGATCGAGTCGACTCTGCCAGTTTGAGAACCAGATCTCTCAGCACAGCCACCTGTTCAGAGACAGTAAAGGAAGTGTGCCGCAAGACATGATCCAGAAGGGTCAGGCCAAAATAGCGGACCAAGGGACTATTATCCGCCCCGGATGCCAGTGCAAAGCCATTACGAGCCGCCGACTTGCTTTCCTTCTGCGATTCCACAAAGGACAAGGCCTCTCTGCGTAGCTCATTCGTGGATGAGGGGTTGTGGATAAGCTCCAACGCCTGAACAAGGTCGCCCATGCGTCCCGCAGACAAATCCTCCTCAGCCGCCATGCTTTCCACTGGGCCAAAAAGATCCCCAATTCGTGGGTGGATTCTATGTAAAATAATGGGAAGTAGATAAATTATTGATTACCTCAGATTCTTCTCCTGCCGTGGTTGCACCGTTATTCTCATAGTCCAGGCTGTGTGCAAAGCCCTTTGGTCTTTCCCCCTGTTCTTGCTTTCTCTTCTTCTTCTTCTTCTGTAGTGTTTTAATATTTAGTTTTTTTTTTCTGTCTTTTTTTCCCTCGTTTTCCCTTTTTAACAAAGACAAAGGGTGAACCGTGGGGGGCCAACCCGAGTCACACCGGTCAGCACAGCCTGTCCGATATGTGCCCGAAGGCTCGACGTTCTTAGGAAAAATTGCTTCTTTCTAGTGGCGCAGGGGGAGAGGCACGATGAGAGTCTAAGGCCTCACGTGTCCTGCTGAACTGGGGCCTAGAAGATCTTTGTTGGAGATGCTAGGAAGAAGAAGGCTGTCGATATTAGTTCGTCGTCAGACTCGATAAGGCCGCAGATCAACAGTCGAAATTCTGGCGGATTTTCCACACTTGCCAATGACCACCCTGACCGCCTCTGTCACCGCCTTGTAGACTCTCCGCCTTTGACAGTCACGTGGATTCGATAGCATCTACTGCATGTTTTGATTCTACATTTATCCATGTAGTACCTAGTTCTTTTAAACTCAATCATGCAAAAAGAGAGAAAGACTTCAAAACAGAGTCTGCGAGGTGAATAAATCCCAAAATGCGTTAAAATATCCTTGACAAATCATGCATTACTACATCGCAGTACATCCCCCGCTCCGGCATTGCTCGAGGTAGGTCACATCGTCGGCAGAAGCCCCATTGCTCAATCCGCCGGGTTTGCGTTTGACTCCTTCTATCTTGATATTCTGGTCACCCTTGGGGTGCCACCAACGAAGCCGCTGGACTCGGACAGAGTTAATATCTGCAGAGTCAATGGCCCATTCCCCACTGCTGACCGAAACTACCACATGGGTGCCGGGGAAGTGGAAGTCAGGAAGATAAATCTCCGTCGGACGGTCGTCTCGTACGAATGTTTCCTTACCCACCAGCGACATGGTGAACGTGCAATTGCGCAGATCGAAACCGTGTTTGGTGACGAGGCCATTGGTCACAATCGGGCTGGGTCGTATGTAGGCTTCCGCTGCACGGAAACCAACGTTATCCTTCAGTAACTGGGAGTGCTCTGTTGATATAGAAGGTGATCGTAGCGCGTCCTTCAAATTCCCAGGGCCAACGTGTGATGTTTCGATGTTTCTCTGACTCTCTGAATATGCCGGCGAATGAGGGTCAAACTGCAATTCACCCCCAAGCACCAAATGCTTCCCATTTGGCAGCTCGGAATCATCAAGAGAGAAAATTGATAAGTCCTCGCCATTCCAGTTGTCGCCCCATTCATGATTGTTCTGAATAGTGCGTTAGTCAACCGTGTAATGGGAAATTCAGCCACTTAATGGACAAATGCTTTCTTACCTGAGTAGTGTAGAGCCATAGAGTATAGCCATTAGCGGTGCTGCCTTCAAGGGCAAAATGATTCGCATCCATAGCTCTGATCTGGCTGCTGTAGTCTCCAGTCTTGTATGCATATTTGTCATCCATATCATAGGGGATTCCGATCTCGGTAAAGACTACAGGATGATCTCCCATATACCTCAGACTCTCCTCCCTAAGGTACTTCAATTGATCACGCAAGCAATTCCGGATTGCAGTCTCCCCGATTCTTACAGCAAAAGCAGGTGTGAGATATTTACCGCGAAGCACGCCGATCACGTCAACGTTGTATAAGCGGTTCCTGTCGCAATTAGCGGCATCCCCGAAAATGGAGGATTAACTCCCTACCAATGCTTTGTTAACAGAGTGAGGCCATCATAGTAATGTACCGCATGGACCATGTTAGGGTCATCATCAAAAGTGCCCTTCAGATCAGGGGGGATTTCCATAACGGGAGGTTGACACAGCATGATGGACTCCGGCCACACGCTCCGGATGGCATCCCTGTATGCCCTATAGTGCTCCAAGAAGTATGAGTTGGTAAATTTATCGTAGTTCAGTGGTTCGCCAGTTTTAGGATGATTAGCAAAGTAATCTTTCCGCAGCAGCAGGTCCGACGTGATGTCCCAGACCCCATGCTGGGCCCATAGGCATTCACCCAATTTCCATCCAGGATCTCTAACCCAGCCATATTTGCTATCAGCATGACTCGCCGGTAGCCATGCGGATACGCCCTCCGGGTCCACAAGCACTCGTCCCGTCTGACGAGGGCCGAAGCCTCCAAAAATCCACGTTGCTTCCTCACAGGCTCGGCCGGAGCCTGTCAACATTGCCTGGAAGGCAGTGGGAGATGTGCCTAACTGCAGTTGTTGTTCCGCTGGAATTACCGATATATCCTGAAGGCCAATAAGCCCCCTATGAGGCTCGTTCATACTTTCCCATCCAATGATCACCTCGTGCTCAAGATCGCCAGCTTCGCGAATCTTTTGTGCGAAGTGTTTGCATGCAGCAATAAAGTGGTCCTGGAGATAGTCTTGGATGTTGACGCCGTCCAGGATCGCTTTGGGAGCAAAGTCTCGCCCTCCCCAGAACAGTGTGAACATTGTCTGGCAGACAAGACGGGTATAATTTGTACTCCAGATCATCTTCGGAAACTCCGCCGGGTTATCGTAGGTGTTTTGGACCAAGGCAGCCTCTGTTTTCTTGAATGCTCTAGGATTAAGACCTGCCGCATACAACGTCCAGCCTGGCGCTCCGGATCCTCCGGATAGTCTTGACCACTACGAACGCTTATTAACGTGATGGCAGCTACTTTGGAGGGACTCGCAAGCATACCACATCCTGATGGGGATCCATAAACACATAGAACTGATATTGTTTGGCGACACGGAGCACTTCAATCGTAAACGCAATCCACTCGTCATCATACTTTCCAGGACCTGCATGTTCGATCGCTTCCCAAGTGAAAATATACCTTATGGTATTGTATCCCCATTTTCGGAGTCGCCCAAAATGTGTATGTGCCTCATCGAGCGCGAAAGGTCGGCCGATGAATGAAATATTATCGGTATCGAAAAAATTATCCAATACGTACGATGGAAGATCGGGATTCTTCGGGTACTTGGCTTCACCCGCGACATTAATTCCCCTCAGTGTGATCTCTCGATCCTGGGGATCCTTGAAGGTGTTCCCGTCGATGCGAAGTCGAAAGGAACCCATAACTAATTAACAATCTGGAGACTGGTCCAGGTTGCTGGTACGGAGATCCGGAAAGGGCATCAGAGACGGAAATTGTCTCTGTGAGGTTGGCACTGTGCCTTAGTGCTGGAGAGTTAGCATATTCATTGCATCCAGGAGAATGACAGATCCACCTTCCGGCAACTAACGACGTCCTGCGCCAAGAAGTTTCATAGAGTCATTAAGATGCCGCTGAGAGTAACGTAGGTAGGGACTCTGTCCGATAGTCAGTCGCCTGCACCAGTTTATTTCGTTGGCACTTTCCCACTGCAAGGAACAGGCAGGCCAGACTGACGGTCGGGGAAGGAGGGAAGCTCAGAAGAGGCGAGGCGTACAAGCGGCCACCAGATCGACCTCTGACGTACCGCTTCCCCACAAACCGCACCATATTTCCGTTTGCTCAAAGTCTAGCAGGGTTATCCGTGTCTTTCTGTTTTCCAAACTAGGACCTAGAACAAGGTCATGCTGCCATTTGGTTAGAATGTCCAACAAAGCAGCTCTCAAGGCAGTGCGAGTAGCGCTGGACTCGAAAGATTTCGAGCTGGCGGCCGAGCAAGCTAAAGCGCTGGTGCAACAAGAACCTCAAAATTACCATGCGTGTGTGATATCTACATCCCGAATCTCCGAGTATACATCCAAGCTAACTTGAATCCTCCCATTAGAAACGTCTTTCTGGGCCTTGCGCTGGACAAGTGTAATAACAGCAATGACGCAGAAAAGGCCTACCATGCGGCCACACGCATAAAACAGAGAGATAAAACAGCATGGCAAGGGCTTGTCAACTTATATGAAAAACAGGGCAATCATAAGCTCGATTCGTACCGTGAAGCTGTCATCAATCTCGGGCACATATTTGCGGAAGCGTATGCCAGTATCTCGCTCTATTCTATTATAATACTACAAAGAATCGCGCCTCGCTGATCATTCTTTTAGAGACGACAAGCATCGCTGCCAAGATGTCGTGGATAAATATATAAGCTTCGCAAAAAAGTACGGAACTCGCTCCCAATATAGAAACGCGATCGAGCTACACCTCCCATCAAGCCCGCTCTATGACTTCCTTGAGGGCCGTATTCCGCATCCTTCGCATACGTATCTTCGTCTCATTGAGATGACCGAGGCAGACGAGAAAGAATTTATAAACCGAGAGATAGGCGAGCGACGTACACGACTAGGGGCTAGGGTCGACCAAGTTACGCTGGAAGTTAAAAAGGAAGCTTTTAAACGGAGCGAACTGGAGCCGCTTTATCGTGGAATCATGGACTGGTCTCACGATGACCAGGTTCGACGTACATATGAGGAAAAACTGCTGGAACGTGCCTGCGACGTTCTTGCCGTCCTTCCCGCGAAAGAAAAGGACAGGAAGCGAAAGGAGGCATGGCAAGCCGCCCGTGACATGGTCATAATCAAGCACCCATTTGAGCTGGCCTGGAGGATCTACCTTGAATGGCAAGACATCCAAAGCTTTTCAGATTGGGACCATACTTTTCTGAGGGAGTTTATTGAGTTCTTCCCGGAACTTGGCCTTTCAAAGATCCTCAAAGGATTCTTGACCAGCAACATCTCTCCATTTCCAAAGGAGCCCAAAGAATCTAAAGAATCTAAAGAAGCGAGGGGGCCAAAGGAATCGAAAGACTCTCCTGCAACCGAACAGGGTGTCGATGGCGATGACGGCGAAGACACGGATTTAGCGGTTCAAGATAGTTTGATCCTGATGGTCGAAGGGCTTGAAATGTGTTCTTCGTCCGTTGTCGCGCATCGGATCCTGGCTGAGTTTTACCTATCTTTGGAAGAATACGAAAGTGTGATGGATGTATCACGTAAAGGGCTTCAAAACCTTCAGTCTCTAATCAACATATCTGGGATGAAGCTCAGGAACACCACTGACGCCATGAAAATAACTCTGGCAAACGCCCTGATCCATTATCAGTCACCTCGGAACCATCCTGAAGCAAAGGGCATATTTGAGGACATCTTGAGTAGAAAGCCAACATCAACGAGTTGTTTACTTGGCATCGGTCTCATTCTTAAAGTGGACGAGGACTACACGGAAGCTGTCAATTTCTTGGAGCGGGCTCTAGATCGGGATCCAACGAACACCATTATTCATGGAGAGCTGTCTTGGTGTAGAGCGCTTAATGGAGATCTCGCGTCTGGTCTCGATGGCCTTCAGGATGTACTCATAGAGCTGCAGAACACATTCTCCGAAAATAGAGAATTCAAGGCCGAAATCCTCTACCGAATAGGATACTGCCAATGGGAGATGGATCCCTCTCCATCAGCCCGCAAGGATCGCACGGGTGCCTACTCCAGTTTTCTGGCTTCAATCCAAACCAACATGAATTTTGCTCCCGCGTATACCTCTCTTGGTCTGTACTACGCAGATTATAAGAAAGACAAGACACGGGCGCGCAGGTGTTTCCACAAAGCTTTCGAATTGTCAGCATCAGAGATTGAAGCTGCAAAACGACTGGCTAAGGCGTTCGCTGACCAAAAGGAATGGGACTTGGTTGAAGCGGTATCACAACGAGTCGTCGACTCGGGCAAGGCTAAGCCGGCGCCTGGTTCGAAACGAAAAGGATACAGTTGGCCTTATGCGGCCCTAGGAACAGTTCAGATCAACAAGCAGCAGTATTCTAAGAGCATCGTCTCGTTCCAAGTGGCCCTGAGGATATCGCCAGGAGATTACCATTCATGGGTTGGTCTGGGCGAGAGCTACCACCATTCTGGGAGGTTTATTGCTGCAATAAAGGCATTCGAACATGCTCAGCAGCTGGAGGGCGCACTAAGCAGATCTGATAAGGAGCAGATTTGGTTCGCGCGATATATGCTGGCGAATGTCAAGCGGGAGCTTGGTGAATATGACGATGCCATTTCACGATATGAGGAAGTTTTAAGCTTCCGGCCGAATGAATTTGGAGTTTCCATCGCGCTACTTCAGACTCTTACAGAAAGTTCCTGGAGGAGTCTTGAGTTGGGACTTTTTAACGACTGCATCGAGTTGGCGCGTCGGGCCATATTGGTAGCGACATCGCTGGCCCTTGAACGAGTTGATATTTTCAATCTATGGAAGGGTGTGGGGGATGCCTTTTCGCTCTTTGCATACGTTAAAGCAAAGGAATGCAGGATACCGATCACGGAGGCGTTCACTTTGCTCTCCACTCAACTCGAACCGGCAGCTTTTGATATCCTTACGGATGTCGATGAAGTCGGCCAGAACTTATCATTGCTAACAGAGGAAAATAGCAAGTCTACGCTGTCGGACAAGTGCATGTACGCCTCCATTTTAGCATATAAACGTGCAATTCATGTCTCGCTACGAGATACCCATGCCCAGGCAGTTTCTTGGTACAATCTTGGCTGGGCGGAATACAGAGCCTACAAGTGCATGCAAGCCGCTTCGGAAACCAAAGGCAAGAAACCCCCACGCAGGTTTCTCAAAGCCGCAATGCGTTGCTTTAAACGAGCAATAGAGTTGGAAGCAGGCAACTCAGAGTTTTGGAATGCCCTTGGCGTGGTAACAACTGGCATGAGTCCGCGAGTAGCGCAACATGCCTTTGTGAGAAGCCTTCATCTCAACGACCGGAGTGCACAGGTTTGGACCAATCTAGGAGCACTCTACCTGATTCACAATGATATTCAGCTTGCAAATGAGGCATTTACCCGTGCGCAGTCAACGGACCCGGACTATTCTCTGGCCTGGATTGGCCAAGGTTTCCTGGCCCTTCTATTCGGAGATCCGCGGGAAGCCAGAGGACTCTTCGAGCATGCATTCGACATTTCCAGCTCATCATCGGTCTTACCGAAACAGCAATACACCCTCAGTTTGTTCGATCATTTAATAACAGACTCCTCGAATACCAATGAGATATCACAGCTTATCCAGCCGTTCTTCGCACTTCATCAACTTTCGTCTCAGAATCCGTCGGATTTGCCTTTTGTGCACCTTTCCGCTCTTCTTGCAGAAAGGATTGGCGAGATATCCGATGCCGAGACCAGCCTTAGAGCTCTCTGTTCTGCCGTCGAGGCGGAATACGAGGTGTCCGAATCAACGTCATCCCTCTCGAGATTTGCACAGGCGAACGCGGACATTGCACGTGTTCTGCTAGCACAAAACAAATTTGAGGAGGCCGCCGAGAAAGCAGAGATGGCACTCATGCTGTCCGGTGAGGAGGATGCGGAGAAGTTTGACCCTGAAACGAGCAAGAGATTGCGCCTGTCGGCACACTTAACCGCTGGCCTTGCACATTACTACATGAAATCCATGGATAGCGCCATTGACATGTTCCGCGATGCTCTTCAGGAGGCAGATAATGCACCAGAAGTCGTGTGTCTTCTTGCGCAAGTGTTGTGGGCGAAAGGCGGGTACGAGGAGCGGACTGTGGCTCGCCAGCAGTTGTTAGACTGCGTCGAAGAAAACCCGGAGCATGTTGGGGCCGTCACACTTCTAGGAGCCATTGCCCTCTTGGACGCTGACAAGGATGTCATAGAGGCCGTCGAGTCGGACCTTCAGAATATGATTACAAGGGACGATATTGAGATCCATGAGCAAACGAAGCTGATTAAGCTCCTGGCTGCGGCGTCTGCTTTGGGACTTACCGACCACTCTGGAGTCCCCGAAGACACGAGACGCATTGGCCAGGCCACTGCAGCCGTGATGAGAGCACCATACCAGCCACAGGGTTGGATGGAATTGTCTGCCGCTTCTGAGGAACCGTATACTGCGGAAATGGGTGTCAAGAGAGCCTTGCGGAGTGTCCCGCCTCGGGGTCGGTTGGACGCCGAGGATCTATCTGCTGCATTCGCACAGGCGGCCAAGGTGAGTGATGCGCTGCGAGCGATCATGGTTGCACCATGGAAGCGGCAAGGATGGGAGGAATTGAACCATGCGACGGCTACAACCACATAGTGACCAGCTACCGTGATTTTGATAGAGAGCTGCGTCTTCTAGGTCGATAACTTGGCTGCATCATGCTACATAGATCAGTTTAGAAATGAATCATGAGAAATCAACGCATATAATACATACCTTCATCGCCTGGTGATAATTACACCACTCTAGCTTCGTTGCGCCTGCTCTCCCTCCCCCGTAATCCTCGCCAATAGCCTTTCCTTTCTGCCCTCCCTCCACGTCTGATCGAGGGCTTCGATCTTTCCTCCTAATATGGTAACACATTCGGGCGTCAACAACATCAACCCACGCGCGACCGTCACATTACGCAGAAGCAGCTTCGCCCCAATCTGAAGCTTTCCTAGCGCAATGCCATTGACCGGCTTCAGCTCAATTGCTACAGCCTTCGTCCCTCCAGCGTCTTGAACAATCAATCGATGAGGGCCATCGGTATCCCCCGTTCCGTTGGGTCCAGCAGTATTGGCCGCACCACCCGAATGATCTTCACTACCTTCGCCCACGTTCACGGTCCGGATAATCTCCCGTCCTCGTATCGCTTCTCCACGCTCAACACGCTCGATCGCCTCGACTTGGCTCCACAGACTAGAACCGATATCTTCGATATCCATGACTTGGACGGGAATCGGACCCTGAATGCATCTTTCCTGCACAGTCGGATTGAAGATATCGACGGGGAGGAGGGAGGACTGCGTGTTAATCATCAGGGAGTCTCGGAAATCCGAGGCCAACAAGCGGAACAAAGCGGTTTGGGTCAAGGCGGAGAGAGGGACATTACGATGGAAGGCTGCGGACGAAGAAACGAAGGAGTTCAGCCAGGATGGGGAGACAGGGAGTGACTTGCTCTGTAATTGAGTGGCAATTTGATCCTGAAGAGAAGCCATGGGGGCCAACTAGTGACTCTTCCTTCCATCACGAGTTTGCGGAAGTGATATACCTTATAGCCTGGATTCACCGCTTACTGCATCGGTCTCTCCTTAGCTTGTCTCCAACGGACATATGGAATGTGTTCACACTCACCGTCCACATCCTCACCATGTCGACTCTGTCCTCTCCTCGTCCTTCAATCGCTTCGTCTCGGGCCCTGTCGCCTACTCCTGCTTCCTCACGCCGCCCATCACTCGACGCTCTAAACACCAATGTTGGCGGCGGTCTCAGCGCGTCGTCCACCCCTTCGACTGCACGAGCTGCCTCGCCATCGCTGCGCCCAAGACGCAACCGGGCTGCTCTTCGGGACTACTATAATTTGAAGCCAACTGCTTTGGATCCGTCTGTCGGCCCACGCTCCCCAAGCGTGCCGCGACACACCGCTGATATATCGAGCCCATCCGTAGTCTCGTCAGGCACAGAACTAGACAACCCAGACTTTGATCCGCAACGCTATGTAGACCATCTCCTAGCCACTTCGTCTCTCTCTACAATCCTAAAGGCAGAAAACACTCTCGTTGGGGATATCCGCACGCTAGACAGCGAGCGGAAGGCTCTCGTCTACGATAACTACTCGAAGCTGATCGGGGCGGTCGAAACTATCGGCAAAATGCGCCGCAGTATGGATGATCGAAGTGCCCCACTAACAATGACGAAGACCTTGGGACCGGCAATTGCATTTGTGGCGGAAACCGCAGGCGGCCTCATCCAAGAGGGAGAATTGCAGCGGCGGCAGATAAAAGAGGCCAGATCGTCGGATACCGCAGGCCGTAGGAAGCCTGAAAAGGAGACTGTCAAGTGGGTTCTATCAACACCAGGAAGGCTCGAAAAGCTCCTTGCGGGTGGGGAAAGGAAAGCGGCCGAGAAGGACTGGGACGAGATTTGCAGCCTACTGGACAAGTGGGGAGAGGTAAAAGGGGTCGCGGACATCCGAGAAGCCTGCAACAAGATCATGGAAAAGAGCGATGAAGCGTCCTGAACGTTGCGAGAATCAGTTCGGAACCAAAATTTTCCAATTCGGTGCGTGCAATGTGCCATAGATGCTCGCTAGAAGACCCCAGCGACTTCTTCCCAACCTGCACGTCGGAGAGCCGACAAGCTTTGTTCAACGTCCATTATATCTATCACCTCGCGGGTTCGATGTGGTCTTGATAGTCCCAGCTATGGTGTGGGATAAACTTCTGCGCCAAGCACTGGCAATCTAGTCCGCCGAGGGACTTGTGTACATACTATTTCCCAGGTCCAGGCTCATCCTGTCAAGTCTGACCATAATCTACCTACCAACTAAGATAGGCAGGCTCCGCTTCTGGCCGCGATCAAGGCATGGAACACCGTTAATGTCTGGATATATAAAACAACCCACGGGTGGAGCGAGCACATGTCCTACTCTTCATTACCATAAGATCAGAAATATAGTAGTTGTATGTATAAATCGAACATGACAATGAGGACAAAGCACGACTGTTTCTCAAATCTCTCGATAATCTCCAGGCAATGTGCGTACATCCTTCACGACCAAGCCAGCGCAATAAATTCGGTCAAATCATCTTTCATATCCTTAGGTCTCTCCAGCGCAGCAAAGTGTCCACCCTAGGATAATCAGCTTTCGACTCCTGAGTCAGAAAAGGACAACCTACCTTGTCATGATCTTTCCAGAAAGTGAGATCTCCCGTGATTCTCATCCAGGATCTAGGCGGGGGCATGATTTCCCGGGGAAAGGAAGAGAAACCATACGGTTTACGGATATACCACCGACGCATGTAGGCTTGAGCATCTTTAGCCATGGAAATTAGCTACTTACAGAGAAATGTCTCCTGTCAGCCATGGCACATGGTATTACTAGATATTAACTGGGATAAAAACTGTACCTCACGATAGGGGTAGATTGCCCGTGGAAACGACTCCGTCAACCAATATAGAGAGATTAACTCCAGAATGGTCTCGGTAGGAAGCGGGTCGTCTACCCAGTCGAGATATTTCTCTCCACACCTAACTCCCATGTGAGAGAGCGGAATAAATGCTACTAGGAAGGGTGCACTGCACTTACCATGCAAGCAGAGCTATCGGACTGCTGGACAGAACATGGCCAATGGTACTTGGTCTTGTAGCGTGCTCGTCTGAGTATGATCGGCCTAGCGTCAGGAAATCCTCCCGTCGACTTAGTCCACGTTTCTCGGCTTCTGTGATATCGCCTGAGTCTCCCCCGGGAGGGGATGGTATGTACTGAAAATTCACTATCGCAGGTTGTTAGAGTCGTTTCAGCCTCTTATTTAATCCGACGAGTCAAACAAACTTACAATGAACAGCTACAAGAAATTGTTAGCATGGCTCTAGATTGATAACATCAAGCGAATAGTGCTGACCTTTGCAGCTATCATGGTCCACGGCGAGTATCCGTGCGACTTTGCTTCCTATGTCACCCCCTTGTGCGACATATCCGCTCCCAAACCCTAGGTCTTCCATCAATCGATCTACCACACGTGCAACGTCCTCTGTGGAGTAGTTTCGGTCCAGAGGAGGACCGGACGAGAACGCGTACCCGGGGAGTGAGGGGACAATCAGGTGGTATGGCAACGTGTTGGGAGTAAATTCCTCCCGGAACAGCTGCAGCATTGGAAGAAACTCCAGAAAGCTCCCTAGATGATGACACCATGAGATGAGTTATTCAACATTGCAGGGGGAAATAGTCAATACCAGGCCATCCATGAAGGAGAACCACCGGGACCGCATCCCGTTTCTCCGAGAATAGGGCTACAAAATGCAGTTTGATATCTTCGATCTGCGCAGTGAACTGGGGGAAACTGTTGATACGGGCTTCACAGGCTCTCCTACAGAGGTCAGTTGACGCAAGTACTCAAAACAAACAGAGACTAATACCAGTCAAAGTCATTCAGCCATTTCTCTCGAACCGTGGTCAGCCAGTCGGAGGTGACACCAAAGCGACGATCTGTTTGGGTGTTCTCATACGTCGGTGGGGCAATCTTGGACAGTTTGAGTAGGGTCCTGAGATCGTCCAATTGATCCTGGGGAATGGAAGAAGTAAATGGTGTCGGGGCAATGGTCGCAGCGGCCGGGAGTTTACTAAAGGGCGCAGACATATTGAATCTCTCGATGCTGATCTCTGTTTCTGTAAATCTAAGAGAGGTGAAAGGATGAGAGCAATGCAGCTTTAAGAGCTCGAGGAGCCTCGAATGCTTGCGGGGTAAACATCCTCGTGAACAGTCACTGGTTGATAATCGAATGAGTCATTCAGTCCCAAACAGACAGTGACATACTCGATGGTCGGCCTGCCGCCTGGTATTCCCTATCGCCCCAGATAGACGCATCCCGAGATCCGTGGGGAATTCATTCCTGAGATGGGGGTAGATGGAAATCTCTGGCTGTGATATGGTATCGATGGATTGGAAGAGGAAGAGAGTGAGAGGGGTTCACCGCCTCCCGTGACGATTCTATTCAGATGAAGGTACATGCAGTATCTATCGACTACGACATAAACAACCCATAATTCCCCCTGGTATGGCTGAACATCCTTCATCCATCACCACGGTCTTCCTAGACCAACCCCCCAGCTGTCTGCAATTCTGTCCCAGCGCTCCCAACAGCTTCATCGTGGGGACGTATCTTCTCTCCGAGCACCAAGACGACGAGGGAAAAGCCCAGCAGTCCAAAACCGGCAGTCTACAGCTATGGAGACTTGATGAGGACAAAAACACGTTGTAAGATCCGAAGAACCAACCAACCAACTAAACCGTGACTCATTTCCTCCCCCACAGGTCGCTCATAAACCGGGTGTCACTCCCTTATGCAGTCTTTGATTTGCATTTCCATCCAACAGATCCCTCTCTCTTGGCAATCGCGACAAGCGCTGGGTCAGTTGCGCTGTTTCGTGTCTCCGGGCCAACGCCGACAGAAGTCACCCATGTGTGGACCCGGCCTGCTCACAATGACTCGTCCGTCCCGGCTCTCTTCCTCGCCTGGACTCCTCAGCACTGGCTAACTCATGACCAGACAGACGGGTTCGCAGTGACCTTCTCCGACGGTACCACGTCTGTGTTCAAGTCAGGGGAGGGGACCACCGTCGAAGAGAAATGGGGCAATGAGCTCAAGGAACTGGGCAGCTTCCCTGCCAAACAAGCCATCGAGGTGTGGTTTGTCGCGTTGGCCGCAGTACCGGATGAGTCACAGTCACAGTCATCCTTGACTCCGTTCCTTTTCACGGGGAATGATTTCGGATCGCTGCACACTCGTCGTTTTGAAACGACGACGTCAGAACGATTGGAATCAGAGCCGACAGAGCTCTTGTCCCCGGTTCTTTTAGATCATGATGATCGTGCTCGTCACCATACCGCTGGCGTCACGGCGATTCTCCCCCTGCCGATTCCTTTGGTGGGGGGTGCCCCGTGGCTGCTTACCGGAAGTTACGATGAGTATCTAAGGGTGTATCATGCCACGCGAACCGGTCAGGTTCTGGCCGAGGTGGGCCTCGGGGGTGGTGTTTGGCGATTGCAGATGCTGAGAACAGAGCATGAACCGATCGATGGAAGGGATCGGTGGACGTTCCTGGTTCTCGCCAGCTGTATGCATGCAGGAACACGAGTGGTACGAGTGACAGGCCACATAGAAGACTCCCACTCTCAGTGGGATGTTGAGGTTTTGGCCGAGTTTACGGAACATGAGAGTATGAACTACGCATCGGACGTGTGGAAACCCAATGGTGGGTACGATCTGCAAGGGCAAAAGATATCGGAGCTGCTCTGTGTATCCAGCAGTTTCTACGATCGCAGAGTATGTCTATGGCGGGCCCGGACATGAAACAAAAAAAAAAAAAAAGAGAGAGAGAGAGAGAGGGTGAGAGCAGAAGTGAGGAGAAGAAGAAAAGAGAGAAATACAACGTCTCTAGCTCATGAAACGAATTCGCTCGATAAATTCATAATGCAAAAGCGACGGTATACAGCCAAATACAACCCACCCGAGGACCAGAGAAGACAAAAAAACAGAGCAGATATCGTAGATCAATCATCCATTAGACAATCGTCTCTAGTTCTCGCGCGTAGCCGATAGCATTCTCGATGATGGTGCTACTAGCCACCAGGATATCCTTCTCAGACCGGGCAGCGGCCTCAGGCTCCACAGGGAAGTATATCCGTCCATCTCGAAGCACCCATCCCCGCTGCTGGGCGAACTCGATGACCGCACCCTCCGACTCGAGGAACAGGAGATTCTTGGCGTTAGAAATGGGGAGCGAAGGATAGGCTTTCTCGGAGCAGTCTGCAATTTCGCTACGGATGGTTCCAACCAGAACCTACCGAATCAAAAAAACGTGAGCACAGGTAATGTATATGCGAGAGGAAAGCCTGGGTAGCAGAGGGAACACTCACATTCGAAAACAAAGCAAAGTCTTCCGAAGGCACTCTTTCCGAGTTCGTCTCCCGCCACACCTTATCATAGCTGCCCTCCATCAAGTTTCTCTCCAGTTCCACTGGGTATTTGATATACGGATCATCCTCGACGCTGTATCCCTTCAAGCTCGCCTCCTCCACCAGACCCTCCAAGACCGTGTGGAAACTGGTGCTGTCACCCATGCTCAACAAGAGCAGCATATACAGTCCCGTGATCTTGCTGCGCTGACTGGTCTTGAAATCCACCTTTCCGGAGGTTGTGCTGTCCCTTTCAAGGTCGTAGAATGGCTGTAGCTGTTGGTAGTATCGCGTAAAAGTCGGTGCGTCGGTTTGCCGGATCGATGCCAGAGCGCCCAGCTCCAGGATCTCACGCGCGAGGGCAATCAGCTCGGGTGGCGTCGACGGGGTAGGAATCAGAGCATTCTGCAGCAAGAGTGTTCGCTTCGCGCGACTCATAAGCGTACTCGCCGCATCGAGTTGTTTCTGGTTGAGAGCATTCTGGAGCTCTGAGAGGAGAGACCGGAGGTCGGCCATAATAGCGGTGACTGAGGGTCGGAAGGAAGGTGCGAGAAGACAGTCTAATTAAGCACCGAGCGGATAATCCAGCGCTAGAGGACAGGAGGTGACGAGAATGAACATAAAAGACAAGGGAGGTGGATGAGTTGGTGTTGAGTTCGCCGTCCGTTGGCGTTGCCGGCAGCTTCCAAGAGCTTCGCCAGTCTGCCACGTGACGCATATGCTGCCCACCCAGCGGGCATCGGATTGCTGCCAGTGTCAACTACGTCTTGTTTACTGGGGATGCCCATATACTGGGAGAATATTCATTACAAATTCACTATCAAAATAAAAAATAACTAGTAAAATTGTACAGGCATATAAAAGGGAACAGTTATCCCAATCAATACCGATCACTTCCCCCAATGCACATTGCAAGCTTATTACCTTCTTACACCAAGCACATTTCTCATAGGTCAGAAAGACTTCGCAACTTTCTCAAGAGTGTTGTAAAAGGGGGTCCCAAGGCCTGTGACGGGATCCCATCCCGTCGTCGCATTCCAACTAGCATAGGGAACACGCGGCCCAGGGCCACTGTCACATCCTAACGAACCTCCGTCGACAATGTCAGTGAACCCGGTCTGGTTGAGAGAGTAGAGCCAAGGGTTCAGGAATCCCAACCGCGGCTTATCTTCCTCCAGTCGGGCTGCATTCAGCCGGGAGATAATGGCTGCGAAGACCGGTGCCGAGGCGCTGGAAATGGATGGTCAGCTCATGCTTCATACCTATGGCCCATCACGCAGTCAACACATACCTAGTACCGCCTACCTTCCCCATGGAGCCATGATCTACCACCAAAAAATTGAAGGATTGGGCAGCGACATCAGGAATGCCTCTTCCATCGCGATTGTATAGTCCATCCCATCTCCCTCCCAGTTGGTCGAGGTAGCCGCTAACGCTTGCGTCTTGATATGAGGGACGTGAAAAGCGTTCCGAGAAGCCCCCTCCAGAGAAACTGATCGCTACCTCGGGATCTACACCGTATGTGCCCCCGACAGACGTAACAAATGGACACGATGCCGGAAATATTGGCTGGAATCTTGTTCGATGTGTTCCGTCGTTGGTCAAGCACGACGCTCCCACGCCGAAGTCGCCGCTACTAAAAATCACGGAGACGCCACGCGCCCCTAACTGAGCAAACAAGTTACAAGTGGCATTCGAGTATTCGTAGGGAACAGTCTGTTCGTCTTCGCCATACGAGGTCGTAAGAACGGCGGGAAGCTCCTCGTCTGGTAGATCGAGAAGGTAGTGTAGCTGTTCCAAATACGGCTCGTTGGTCGACTCAGTATCATTCGACTCGCCTTCCTCAGGAACGGCTGGTCCCCGACCCCCTGTGGTATAGTATGTTGCGAGCGCATTGTATGCCAAAGACACGGCGTATTGCACGTCCAAACTTGCCTCGGTGCTAGACCGCGAAGAATTCTGTAGGTTGAGACCGCCATTAATCGAAACCACATCAAAATCGGCGTCGGTTATGTTTGGGGCATAAGTACGCATGAACTCATGGAAGTCTCCGTAACGCGCGTATTGGTCTAGGAAACCGGAAATTCCCAGTCGGTTCCGGGGGTCGGGCTTTGCATTGGTATCATAGATCCCGTATAGTTCACGAAGGCAGTCAGGAGTGACCGTCGTGGAGCAATTGGCAGCCAGCTCTTCGAAGGTGGCAGGCAGCGGCTTAAACTGCATCCTTCCGGTCTGCGGTGCCAGTCCCCCAAACCGAGTTGTTGGCTGAATCATTTGAACGAAAGGATGAACTTCTTGAGGGACCGAATACTCGAGAGCCCTGATCGCCGTCGCCCCGGTCTCTCCATGGTTGAAATTGAAGAATTGTGTCGTCAGCAAGCGTTCAGCCTGCGATACTGGAATCGTGAAGGCCATCCAATTTCCACGGGCTTCAAGAGATTGAGCAGGAACACCCTCCGACACAAGCCACGAAGAGACCTTGTCCGTTGCCTCATCGGATGGACGTACAAATTCCTTAATATCCTCGCGCTTCATGTGGCGCCCATAGCTGGCATGACCAGGAGTGGAGAGATCTACCACTCGTTGCTCAAACTCACCTGCCCTTTCCTGATGCAGTGCCAATTGAAATCTCATCAGCTTCGAAGGCGCTGGTGCACTACCTTTCGTCCAGCCATCCGGCGCGCCGTTTAGTCGTTCCACGACAGCATAGCCAGACTCAGCAGCCACGATGAGGCACAAGCAAGAAAGTGTGAGGGACAGAGTCCCTCCAAAAGAAGCGAAAGAGACCATCGAGGACCTACGATGCAGTATCAAGTGCATCAAAAGCAGAAGCCAAAGGCAAAGGCAGAAACCTGCGGATTTGTCACAGGCCCGCGAGTCTTTTGTAATCGCACGTGGACTGAGAACAGCCACTAGAGTTGATATGACTCTCACAGACCCTTATACGGTGGGCAGCAACATGCCAGAGGCTATCACGGGCGCAACAATGGATATAGGGTCCTATTTAGCCGGGAAGGGGCAGGCTGAGGCATCCACTCCACAAGACAGCACGGCTGACCACCAACCATCGGCATATTTCCCCCCATCTTGTGCCTCCATGGAAGAAGGGGCCGTGTCTCAGTATACAGTTTCCCGTCATTCGGGCAATGTGATACCCAAGCGCATCACGAAGAATCCTGCCATGGAAACCCAAATGCAGCGGAGAATTCACACGATTCGTCAACACGTTGGACGAGCCGTTGGCTTCCCTTGCTAGCTATCAAGGTGCTTCGAGAAGCCGATACCCGGGGATGGATTTCTCCCAGAAACCGTAGGCCAACTGCAGGCAGGCTGCTGATGCCGCTATCCAGGATGCCTATTGATATACGCAATAAGTAAGGGGGCATGCCGGTGCCACCACCAATCATAAGGTGTCCGGCAGATTCTTGGGTGATCGTCGAGTGGCACAAAGAATGGAGTCATTCTGCCTTGGAGTAAACAAACATGCCACCAACTTCCAAGGCAAGTCTGTCCTCTCCCCGGCGATGAACCCCACCATCTCACTATTCGTAGAGTGCCTTCCGCTTCGTATCCAAGCTAGGATTCAAAAGAACCATACCACTGAGGTTAACCGTAGTATAAGTAGATAGATACGTGGAATACACTTTTTTTTTTTAAAAAAAAAAAAAAAATTTGTTCTCTGAACCAAAAAAAGGATATATGTCCAATTCGTCAAACAGATAGGCCAGCCCCAGGTAGCTTTATATATAAGCCCTAACAGCCCAATGTTGACAGATGCCCATTCGAGGACACAGGCCTCGTGGGGCAAGAACAGCAACTGTGTCTGGATAAACTTCTTACAGATGCTTATGCTTCTGAAGGAATCATTCTCATCGCATCGGATCTTTTGTGATGTCCGGCCCCCAGTTGACCAAGTTTGGCTAGTGGGAGTCAGTACTGGTCAACCGTTGCTGATAAATAAATTCCCCGACTTCCCCCTGGGCGCGACCGATCCAAGGAATTGTCTATACGAGGACGCTGGTTTCTTTAGGCCATCATTGGCATGCTGACCTGAGAGTGCATGAATGGCCTTGTTGGCGCGACCGGGACTTCACCAATTGGGGAGACGATGATTGCCCCTGTAAGACGACATGCAGCCTCGCATCAGCTGGATTCTACGCCTGCAGCACCCTATGAAATCCCCCAATCGGTGTAAGTCACTTGGCAGGAGGCCCAACTCCGCCAGTCAGTTCAGTTCTACCTTTTCTCCATGTCATCGTAGCCTCCATCGCCTCTCCGTCGTCTCACGATCCCTTCATCCCGCTTTCTCGCCCGCCGCGACTACCACTACTACTGACCGATCGGCGACAGAAGCCCCTCCCCTCAAGCGCGCCGACCGAGAAAACTGGGTCTGCTCTTATGTTCGTGGCGCATCGGCTCCGTTTTCTCCATGTCACATCCGCTCGTGGCAGCAGTGTGGGAACAGCTAGGGCGCCGTGATCTGGCAAATCTTCTACGGGAGATTATCGGGGAACATGCTGCAGATATCGCGGTCTCGCAGATCCAGGATGGTGCTCAGCCCGCCAAAACGGAGGCCCTGACTCAGTCGGTATTTTGGATCAGAGCCATCTTCGATCTACAGCGAACATATTTGCAGGGCCTAAGGAGCATCCATGGCGGCCATTCGAGCTTTTTACATTACCTACTGCCGTCGGAGGTAGTTTTGTCCGCCGTCATGTACTTGGTGCAGGTCAAGACCAGCCTCTTTCCGTGCACCACACCCACGGCCCCTGAAGTGGTGAGATATCGACACTTCCTGGTCCATACCTTGCTTGCGGGTATCCGGCTCCTGCTGCTGCGAGGCGAGAATTTATCCCCCGACGTGAAATTCAATATGGAACGAGTGATTCGGTCAGCATGGCAGGACCCGGACCTATCGAGCGTGGAGAGATATTTGGTCAGCGACCTTCTACCCAAGGCCATCAGCAGTATTGGTTCGCCAGAACTGTGCAGGAGCCAGTCCCCGTCGACCCTAGGGAAAGCTCAGTCTGCTGCGTTTGTCTCGGGCATGGTGAGCCTTCGGTGTGTTGAGGCCGTCGCGACGCACCCAGCTGATGTGGATTCTAGTACCCATTCTCTGGAACCTCCGAACCAAATATCACGGATCTCCTGACTGCTCTCATTAACAATAAGACAGATCAGCTGATCCCCTTCTGCCTCCTGTTTGACATGCTCTGGGCGACAGAATCTGCCCTCGTGCAATGTCATATCGATCGTCGCCGTATTTCGCAAGAAGAGGGGCATAGCAGTGATGCGGCATTCCAAGTCGACGAGGCATTTAATCAAGCCCGAGAGATTCGAATGAGACTAGCCAAAACTATTCTAGCTGCATTTAATGATGAATTCACCACCCCGTCTCTCCAGGTACTGGCGACGGCTATACTAAGCCAGAACGGAGAAGGACAGCCGCCACTCCAGACGCGACGAATTCGGGACTCTTGGGCCCAACTTTCTCGACTCAGAGACGTTTGGGAAAGTTCCCTCGGGTACCTGGTACGATGGCTGATCAATCGAAGAGTTCAACTGTGGGGTTGTAATGGAGAGTTAGAGGCAAACTCTCATTATTATCAGCAACACCTGGCCCAATGGCTACAGAGCTCGCCCCTTCCGGAGAATAGCGATTCATTTCAAGCAACTGAACGACGGTCTGATATTATCTATGTGGTGAACTGTCCAGCAGTTCATCTAATACCCAGAGCGCTGTTAGAGGAGCAACTGAGAAGCTTTGACAGAAATGCTCACGAAGTATGTATACCTCCATTCCCGTTATCGGCGTGCATCAGATGCCCGATACAAGCGATGGAATAAATCACTACGTTTACACTAACCCTGTGTTAGCAACTGAAAGGAAATCTGCGGTTTCTGACCACTAATATATCCTGCCCTTTATGCCCCGGAAGTACAAAGATACAGTACGCACGGATGATTGAGCCTTTGGATCAGGTATCGACGCCCATTCTCTCCGAGCCAGACGGTAATAGACGGCTGTCCCTTCAAGGCTCAATCTCCCGGAATACAACATCCTCAAGTTCTGTAAGTCATTCAGCCAGCCAGTCATCAGGCGATGCATTAAAGAGTCCTATCACCCCTGGGTCATACACTGCCGGGCTCAGCGAGGCCACCAGTATCCAATCTGTTGGTGTTTATTCAGAAGGGCCAGAGCCATTCTTGACCCGCCCGAAACCGGATTCCTTTCTAGAAAAACAAATGAGCAAGGTGAGTTCGAGGGAGTTAAAGAGTGTGAAGCTGCCTATTCCTGGCGGAGGATCCCTCTTTAGACGGGGCTCGTCGAAAGAAACCAAACTGCCTCAACAGCCCCGATTCTGCTTTTCGGCATCGGGACGTTGCCTTCTACTCTGGGGTGCCGGTGGGAACTGCCTTGTGCGGTTTGACATTCCGTCAATTGAAGGACAAAGGCCTGTCGGGCATAAATACGATGTAACCGGTGTGCAATATGCCGCAGCAGGAGACCGGCGATGTGCTATCATCGCCACTGTAGGAGAGGTAACATAATTCTTCCTTCGTAGTTTAAGACTGTGGTGGAGCTAACAGGCGCCTAGCACTATGAGCTCCTTGTTTTCAATAAGACCGCAGTCATTCCAGAGGCATACTTATCAATCGAGATTCAGCATCATTCTTTACCTCCGATCTCCATGGTGATGTCTCGTGATGACAGATACATAGCATTCACATTTAAAGACGAAGTTCGGTTCTATGAAGTCGGTACTAGATCGATCAGGAGAGTCTCAATAGACTTGAATCTCCATCATCATAACACCTATTCCAATGACCTCGCCACGGGGACCTCTCCAGCTGAAGGGAAGACAGAAAAGGCCAATAAAGCAACCGCTGGGAGAAAAATCCAATTTTCCGTTGATGGGAAGAATCTCATCGTTGCAACCCACCTAGGAGATCAGGATGCCTGTGTGGAGGTGTGGAACTGCAGTACGGAACAATGGAACGTGGCTCCTGATTGTGCCAGGACATTCAAACTCTCACCAGTAAGTGTACCTACAGCTACGTAGATATTTACTCCAGGAGCGGTCGCCTGACAACGTATAGTGGAGTGCCAACGATAAAGGCCTTACTTGTGTATTCTATGACAGCTTCCACCACGCGGTCTTATTGACGGCCTTGCCCAAGAAGGACTGTTCAGCATCGTCACCTGTGACTGAAGAAAGCAACATGAGCGATCATTCTACCACAACGATTATCCATGCGGCCCAGTCGCCATCCGGCTCGCGGTTTGTGATTGCTAATGGAATGAATCAAATCTGCCTGTGTAATGCCAACCCCAGCGGGGCCCTCAAACCCTCGCGGACGAAGAAGGCCTCCAACAAGATCAGTCCTTCCGTTTTCAAGCCTGGAAAACTGGTCCTATCATTCCCACAAGATGATTGGATATCTCTGTTCTGGATCAAACAGGGACGGCTTTTACTCCGGATGGTGCGGCTGAACGAGGGGAATGAGACGGTCAGCGAGTATGATTTGCGCTCCGATTTCGACCGCCTCTTGTTGGAACGTCTGCAAACAACCGGTTCCCCTATCCAGCATCGGCGATATTCGCTATTGTCGAATCAACCAATTACAGAGATGGACAACCTAACATTGTCTCCGCGGCGACCCAATATGCCCGAACTCCCATCAACGTAAGGTGGCTCTCACGTAGGGATTTCATCAGTATTCTGTAATTAATCAAAAGACACAAGCTTTTCTTTCTGTATATTTTGAGACGTACAAGAAAGGCAGAAGGTTGAAAAATCAAAGCCAATACCTAGTTAGTTAGCCAACCAATAATATCAACGAAGTTATGTACGCAAATAAAAATGTCTAAACGTAATCGGGCACCAAGTAGCCAATTTTTTCGCCGTCTCAACCCTTGAGTCTCATGAATCCTACTACTGCAGAATTATCACCAAATTCAATATATATAAAATGAAAATAGTGCTATTTACTTGGACATTTTAAACAGTTATGACCAGTCTGGCCACATTTACTACACTTTGGAGGTCTTCGTTGTCTCCTGGATGATTCCTGCTGTAGTAACTCCTCTTCTATCTGCTTCTTAAACTGATGTATTCTGCTTAGTTTGGAAACTCTGGGTTTACTTTTTTGCTGATTAAGTTGAGAGATACTTGTTGGTGTCTTCCCCGGACCAAATGACTTATCACTATGGGCTGTAAATGGAGGTGTTGGTGTTTTGAACTGTGATAGTAACTTTTGAAAACACAATCTCTGGACTAAGAGGAATTAATCCAGCTGCTGCGAATCCACTCTGAATATTAGAGGGTGATAATGCACGTTGATGAGCTGCAGCATAAATAGATAAAGCGTCTTTGCAGATAGAATGAATCCCTCCCTGCATTATTTCTGTAGTATACCGTCCATATAACTGCTTTAGCGGAGAAAAGCAGCTCACATTAAGTAAGATGTGAAGAATGTGGAGGCATATATAAAGGAACAATCCTCGTATGTGCACAGAACTTATCAAATTCTGCGGCTGCATGGCTAGAACGGCCATCAAAAATCAACATTCGGTATCGTCCCTTGGTCCTTAAAGCTGTATGCTTTTCAAAGACCTCCTGGAGCCATTTAAAGCCAATCTTATCTATTGTCCAACCATTCTCACTTAAACTAATCCGATAATCTTGTGGAATACCCCTGAGATTGATGATTCTTCCCAGCTAGAATACTATGCTCAGGCAAAGCCCATCCAGTAGAATTAACACAGACAACTAAGGTGTTCCATTCACGATTTCCTGGTAGTGGCTCCTTTGCTCGGCTTTCTCATGTTTCTGAGCCACAGACAACGTTTGCAATTGACATTATACCCATCTGGAAACATGTCTCGTCCTTGTTGTATATATCGTCGTCCAGAATCCCATATTTTTGTTTAGTAGAAGTGAAGAGCTCGAACCAGTTCTGTATAAGCTCCCTATCTTCACATTTCGCACGTTGATAATTATATTTCCGATTGTATTTAGAGCAAGGCCCTGGGCAACGTTTAATAAACCGGTTCACCCATTTCTCACCTCGAGAAATAGGGGAGGTGGCTGTGCATTTAATAATAATCCTGCTAAATATTGAACAATTGCTATCCTTGTAGGTCAACTACGTTGGCACATATTAAGAATCCATGCTGCAAGAGTAGATTCTTCAGTTTCTGATAGCTTGTTACAATTAACTACTGTATCTGCACGTGCAGAGACCCTTTTATACGCCATCGAACGGTTCGTGAGATACATCAGAAGCAGTTGCAGCCTTGGGGATTGGAGGATATGGACCTTTTTAAAAGCATTAATATCTAGAAGCATTCGTCCTTCTTCAGACTTATCTTCCATTTTGACAGTGTGGGCAGGATAAGATTCTTCGCACTTAGGGGTTGAGGCGAATTTAGTGTCCGATTACGCTATCCAAATACGCTAGACCTGGGAGCTGTGCGGATAAAAGACCCTCCGACGGCCGATGCTTTGACTGTCGACGTCACCAATAGCATTGCGGACAAGATTTGGCGGGGATTTGCGAAGAGAGAGCGAGAGAGCTTGAGGTAAGATTCTTGTCTTTGCTGTCACCGTGCAGTTTGTCTCAACGTACGTACATCTCAACTCCCCTATCTCCTTGGATCCTGATGAGCAGGTGGGTTTGCCTATGCGGGTAATCGACTCACCAGCTTTCGTCGAAAGAGCCCCTCGGATGTATCTCTCACGTGGTGCATTCCTTGTTTTCCTCTGAGAGCTAATACCTATATCATTCCAGCTAGTACATGAAATATCCAGTACATCTTCTGTATATCTGTACATCTCCAGGCCCTACTGTCTGAGACACCCTCAAAAGACTACTCCTGCAGTGCATGAACCGGTTATGGTGCATCACTTCAGGTCGACGTCATCAGCACTACTATATATGCCACCCGAGCATTCGTCACAACCTGTCCTTACTCGACGAAACATATCAACCATTATTCCAGCGATAAAAACTAATACCAGCTGTCCCCTATTTTAAATCGTATCATCATGTCACAGCCTAATTATGACTATGCGCGCCGGCCGTCGCAAGCCGAAAATCAAACTATCCAGAAATCCGAAATCCCCCTAAAGGAGCGATTCTTCCGCTACTTCCAACATGAAATCACTGGTATGGCGGTTGCTGAGCTATGAGATACAGTTGGCGATATTCTGACCTATGTTGTTTTTTTATCTGTAGCTCTCCAGGAACAAATGGACCGTCTTGCGGATACCTCTCTAGTTGGAGGGGAGCGCGCCGATGCCACCGATCACTGTTTAGCTGGAATCGCACGGCTATCCAATGAGGTCAAAGACGCAGCTAGTTACATCCCAACATATGACCAGCGGGTATATGCCGAAGTGGGTAGCTCTGCACTATCTTCATATTCACACCTCACATTAACAATAAACCCTGTAGGCTATCAAGGCACTCCAGGACAAGCTGGCGGAGACGCGAGCGGCGGTAGAGCCCCGGCCTAAATTCAGCTTCAAGACAAAGAAAAATGCCTCGGCCGTCTCGCTATCTGATGCAGCCCAACTAGCTGTAGAACGTCGGCGTCGTGTTCCAGGATATCTATCGCCAGGTACATCTTCTGTCAGTTCGTCTGAAGGTCAAACACCGAACTATCCCTCTACACCATTGAATGAGCCCGACCAAGTCCTCCGACCCCGGGCTGAATTTGCCCCAACTTCCATTCCCACAATTTCGGTAGACAACGACGAGAAGCCATCGAGGGAGGAAGACAAAAGTTCCGCATTTGCTACGACGTCGGTATCATCCGTGTCGGTGAACAACCACTTTGGTCTTCATATTATGCTGCCAGCATCGGGTTCCACTGCCTCCGTACCAGCCTCCATTACCTCTCTTCGCCGTTGTGTGGTGGACATGTCGATCCCAACGGCCAATGGCAAACCCTACGCCAGTTTGACAGTCAAGGGCATCAAGGAGAGCCTCTTAATCTGTGGCCAAATCAACGGACCGGCTCATATCACAGGGACAGAACATAGCATCATCGTCGTCACTTGCCATCAATTCCGCATGCACAATTGCTCCGATGTGGATGTCTATCTCAGCTCATCCAGCAACCCAGTTATCGAAGGCTGCACCAATGTCCGGTTTGGCAGAATCCCGAAAGCTTACGTATGTGTTTGCGAACCAACACAACTCCTTTCCACCCACTCCTGCCGCTCTGTTTGCTAACTGTGATTGCAGGCCTTGGACCACGACCGCCCAGACGCCGAAGACTGCTGGAGCCAAGTTGAAGATTTCAAGTGGATCAAGCCTGAGCCTAGTCCGCATTGGAGCTTGTTAAGTGCCGATGAGGCTGTCCCGGAGGAAGTATGGGCAGAGATCGTTCCCGGTGGACCGGGCTGGTCCCTGGATGATATTCTACGTGCCACCAATATACCATAGGGCTGACTGACCAAATACCCTGATTGCCCTTGTTCTAAGTTGGATGGGAACGCCAGCGTGGAAGTACTGATGGTAGGCACAGGCGTTAGTTTTCGGCCCCTTTTATCTAGTTGATGATGAACAAGGAGTGTTTCAAGTTTTTCTTAATGAAACGTGCTGCTATTTCATTTGTATTAGTATTCTGTATAGCCCAATAATCAGATATGGGATATGCTCCCTTGCTGCATTCATCTTCACGCTGTCGCACTATATCCTGATGGTATAAAAATTTAGTGGTAGAACCATGCAAGGTAGTCACACCTTTATCGACATATTTACCCCAACAATGATGTCTAGAACTCCACCCTGAAAACTAGAACCTGGTTATCAATATTATACCCAGATGCGTCGGCATACTTGAACCGGCCGAAATTCATGTACCCTATTTCCCAATCATATCGTTAGCAATGATTCCATTCCATCATATCCAACGACATATAAAAACACATTGAAACCCTACTCACCATCCTGAGTCATAAAGTCATTATCACTAAAGCTGAATAAGAAATACTCAGTCTTGCCCTTGCGCTTGCCCTTGCTGTGGGAATTTCGAGACGGGTTTGCAGGAACAAGAGCAAGACTCTCCCATTTCTCATTGAGCAGTCCAGCGTCCTGGTCCCCGCCATTGTGGAGGCCGAATCGAGCCAATTCGGCATTGACATTGAAGTCCAAAAACGAACAGTACTCGACCGGCGTGATATCAGGGTCCAGAACCCCCTTGGAGGAGGCAATCGATGCACTGACCCCATCGTATTTCCCCTTCAGGTCAGTCGTTGATTCCGAGATGGAGAGGACGTCGACCTGTCGGTACACAGAGCGCGTTTCGTCCTGGCCGTGTCCGAACCCGGAGTCCCGAGAGAGAATGAGGAAGTCTCCCGTGGGAAGATGATGGATCTCCGACTGCGACGCAACGCGCATTGCGTCGTCCTTGTCATCTTTCGTGTAGTCATGGTATTTGGGGAGCATTACGGCGTACTCTTGTTTGTAGAGAGGATGGCCCGAGGAGAGGTCGTATGCGAGCAGTCGAGTAGGTTGTCGGTTATTTTTCTTGGGACCACCTTCCTGATTCAACGCTGACTGCATCATGGTGTATAGGGTCTTGCCGTCGGCGGAGAGGGTCAATGCCTCGAGGCCTTGGTTGTTGTTGCGTCCTGTTTTCGGGTCCTCGGGGATAGGGAGTTGTTCGGGGCTATATAAGGGCGCACTGGCGGCGCTGAAGCTGAGGGTGTTGTTGCGATGCGGGAGAATGGCTTTCGGCGGTTGGATGGCGTGAATCATCTGGCCGGTCTTGGTGAACTTGTACACATAGGGCCCATACTCCTCTGAGATCCAAAAACCCTCATCATCGCGATCTAGCACTAGGCCCTCGGCGTCGATGGTGACTCTCCTGCCGCCTGGACCGGCACCGCCGAAGCCATCACCCTCGTACGTGGTTACGGGCAAGGGAGGGAAACCCGAGTACGATGCGAACCCGGCGCTGTCGGCATCGAGACCCGTAAGAGGCTCGCCGTCCGGACCGGTCAGGAGGATTGTATCTAGATATTGGAGATCCAGGTTGGGAGGGGAAGGCTTCTGCGCTGACGCATTGGGAGCAAGTCGGAGGGACAGCGACAGCTTGTGGATGCGTGGTTGGAAATTGATGGTTCCATTGGTATTCCTGGTCGGAAAGGTTAGAGGCAGGAGAATCTAGGTAATAATTCATCTCACACACCAACCGCGATCTGGCAGACAGTATACAATTCCCGAGAACGAGTCCCGCCCCGTCCGGCGCCAGGACGACTGGTCGATGGCTGCAGAGCTGCCAATACCCCCGAGCGTGTCTCCATACTTATCGAGTGCATTGGATGGCACGTACCCGTAACCCTCGAGGCCGGTGTATGCATAAGTGGTACCGCCACAGGTGGTTTGGTTCACGGTGCGATGATTGCGCGGAGGGAGAGACAGCGCCGTCACTACTGGTGGGACGAATAGAGCGACTACGGATTGGGAGAGCTTCATGGCGGACGAAAGGAAAGGGTGCGGGAGATGAGAGTCCAGTCCATGACGCTTGAGGGGAAGTGTGGAATAAATAATCCTATGAATTAATTAATCTGGAGCAAAACAAATGGATTGATTTAGTTGTAAGCTAAGAAGGGCCAAGACCCCAAGCGTTGAACGTGGTGACGATTTCGCTTATGATTCGCTCGATTTTAGCGATTTTAGAGGGAATCCTAAAATCAACAAGTACTTACGGAGTACTGTAGATGATGCTGTAAGTCCTATTTCGTATTGTCATTGTCGTTGTCATTACAATGGACAGTATCAATTTAAATCACTTTTGAAGTAACTGTGAGCAAAGACCATCTCCCTTAGTACACATTATGGACCACGATGCTATCAAATTACACAGAATGCCAAGTCGTTGGCACTTTGGGATAGTTTTGGGCCTGTAATCCCAGATCTTCGTATACAGTGTCATCACCTGGAAGACACTATTAGCTGGTATGCCAATAAAAACAAGATGGGAACAAAACAAAAAACCTACCACGTAAGGATTCCACTCGTTCTTCATTTTCATGCCCAAACGTCTCCAGTTCCTCCCCGGGAGAAGCTTCTCCAGGCTGTTTCTCATCTGAATCGGCCGTGGCAGCTTTGCCCAGGGTCTCCCCGGTTTCGCCAATCATGAGAAACTGCGCGTTGGGGTAGTCAATGAACTCAGGCTGAAGAGGAATCCAGCGATAATCGTCGAACCTCTTGTGGATACTACCACGGAAAGTCAGCAGGATCGTAACACAGACAGGAGAGACACTCATACGACTCAGGGTAATCCGGCGCCTTGGGAAGGGTTGCAGAGGGAGGCCCTGGGTATTTGGGATTCTTGGATTGCACAATCCAGCTGCCGTGTGCGCGCAAGCCAAAGTCATCCTGAATTGGCCCGACCTTGTCGGGGATGGTGAGGATGTAGGCCAAGTGCGATGCACGTTTGGCAGATGTAATGGCGTAGACCCCTTCAGCGTATGGCCTGGCTTCCGGAACAGTGCGCTCGCCCGGACTGGCAGTCTCGTACTTCTCCCCAGCGATAAAACTCTCTTGGAGCTCTTTCACGGAATGTCCTGCCTTCACTACAAATGCCATATCTCTTTCCCTGCTGGTTGTTGGAAATCGCTTCTTGGGAAGGACTATCAATCGACACATGGAGCTGACATCCACCGGACCTTGGCCCTCGCCCAGGGTTTCCCCCAGTGGCGTGGGTCGGAGAACGATGAAACTTCTAGCAACATCCTCAATGCTTTCCGGGTCTGAAATATTAACACGGGGCCGGTAAAAGAAGTAGATAACCCCCTTCTCAAGTATGTTTGAAGGGACGGCCTCCCCTCTGCCAGGTGTCTTTCTCACTCCCTCTTCGGCTCCATTCACAGGGGCAGGCTCTTTTCTTTGCTCTAGTGGATTGTGAATATGATTTGGGCTTTGCCTTGGTTGCGGGTCGGAGTTTACCTTCAGCCGGTTTAGTAGCCACCGCAGAAGTTCCGGGCAGTTCTTCTTCCTTCTCCTGCACTTCTTGCTTCTGCTCCTCCTTTGTCTCTGTTGTAGGCTTTTGGTCCGGTGTATCTTTCGGCTCTTCCGGTTTCTGCTCCTTCGGGCCATTGGCGTCCGTATGAGTTAAGCCCTGATCATCTTTCTTTTCCTTCTTCGGCTCCGGGCCTTTGTCGATGGAGACTTTACGTTTGATGCCAGCTACGTCTGGAGCAGCCGCTATGGCTTCCTTTGCTTTCTGAGCAGCTTGGCGTGACGATGTTCTAGTTGGTGCCATTGTGGGGCAATTCTCCCGTCGAATAAACGTTCAGGCGGATGAATGAGTATGGGACAGATCTGCATATATAGGATTGGATTGGAATCGACTGCGCAAGATGCAAGGACATGGAGTAATGAGGGTCTTCTGACGTCATGAGGTACTCAGCCTCTTTGGGACTAGCGCCCTTGGTCCATATCCAGAATTCCAGATTATGTTGGTACACAGTAGGTAGTGGAGCCTGACAATGCCCATGATATCAAAAACAACAGGTCCAGTGGAAGAGACAACCAAATAATCATTCACAGTCACGTTTAATCCAAGTCCATGGGGTCTAGAGCAATAAGTCCATCACCTGTATCAGTGGATGGCGATCTCGAACTGAAGCTTTCGGTTGATGTATTCTCACTGAGCTCGAGCGGGGTCAAACTGTTTCTCCTACGTTGTCGTTTCGGACTCAGATTTGACCCTTGCGCATACTGAGCATCGGATTTACCCCCCTGATTTGGAATAAATGGGGGTAAGGTCTCTGTGATGGTGGTATGGGGCTTCCTTTTCCTGCCTCGTCTCTGTCGGTGGACAATCGGTAGAGTGGCCCCTTCTGAATCGCAATGAAGGTCCTCCATTGAACTCACTAGATCAGCCTGCCACTTTCCGGAATTGTCCTCCGCCGTCAAGTCGTCATCGTCTGGCTCCTCGACGGCGTATGGTTTGACCACCACGGTATCAGTATCATATTCAGCCTCCCTGGTGGCTATGTCTTCTGCGTTGGATATCCCATCTGCAGGCTGGTTCTCTGTACTGCTGTTATGCGGCTGACCGTTGCTCCATGGAGCCGTGGTTTGGATCCGGTATGGAATAGAAGCATTTGTTCCAGGAGTTTCGTTCATATCGCGTTAGCCAGGGTCCAGGGTATATGCATCGCATATACTTTGTGACCCTTATGACAATTTAGGGAACCTGAGTTGAAATAAAATGATATCAAGATGAATTAAACCCTTGTGTGTTAAAAGCAAATTCCGTGAAATATATATAACCACGTGAAAGGATTTCCATTCTTAAGGTAGATTGTGGTTCACTGGAGTGCTTAGAATAGAAGGACAAACATTGGGGGAAAACTGGGGGTTCTACAGGGCAGACTGGGGTGACATCTTTAAAACTTCATTATCGGAGATGTCACGAAACGTCTAGAAGCAAGAATAGACTAATTACAGTGGGATGAGAAGCAGCCAAATGCATTATGTAATAGTATTGGTCATTGTCTGTAATTTTAGTGTCAAAGAATCTAAAATGGGTATCATATAGTATCAACTGGCATTGTTGGTCCAACGGTTAAGATACCCGCCTTCCAAGCGGGTGACCGGGGTTCGACTCCCCGACAATGCAATTTCTTTTTGGTTTTTTTGATTTACATCATTTACACCAACCTTTCTGCAGTAATAGTGTAGTATTTATAACCTTGTAATAGGAACAAGTCACAATGCTCAATCTATGACCCTTAAATTATTTGTACTCGTTGACATAGATCTAGATTTAATCATTGTTGGCAAATTAGTTCTGCCTTATCAGGCATCAAATCCTCTGCTTTCTTACCGCTGGGGATATGATTGGCTCTCAGCTCTCGCTTAGTCTACAGCCATTAAGTCCACGTTACTCTACCGCCCGTTGTTGCGGTTAGTAGTTAGTTGTCCAAACTGAGACGTTATCTACCCGACTTCACCTGCCGCCATCCTCTGCCATTCTGTCTTCTTCTGCAGTGGATGAGCTGGTTGCCTTCTCCAGTGATTTCTTTGTGCTGATTGTCCGGGGATTGCCTCTCTATGGTGCGGCTCCGGCCAAATCTTCTTCAACATGCAGTCCTCTCCAAACATGCTCACCAAGGTCCGTCTACTCCAGGTTTGCCCCTTATCCTATACAGGGGTTATTTTATTTCGAAGGCAGTAACTAATCATTATATCTTACATAGTTTGAATCTAAATCATCCAGAGCCAAAGGAATTGCCTTCCATCCGAAACGGTTAGTTGTTGAATAAGCCGATGAACTACCCACGCGTCGCAATTGGCATCCGCTGACCATCGCTACACTCTACTAGGCCATGGATCCTAGTATCTCTTCATTCGTCTACTATCCAGCTATGGGATTACCGCATGGGTACTCTCATTGATCGTTTTGAAGAGCATGACGGCCCTGTCCGAGGCATTGACTTCCATCCAACCCAGCCCCTCTTTGTGTCCGGAGGCGACGATTATAAGATTAAAGTCTGGAGTTACCAGACCCGGAGATGCCTTTTCACACTCAATGGCCACCTTGATTATGTGCGAACCGTATTTTTCCACCACGAGCTTCCTTGGATTCTCTCTGCGTCCGATGACCAGACGATCCGGATATGGAACTGGCAGAACCGGTCATTAAGTAAGTTGAGCTGTGGGAAATTCGAATGGAGGAACGCTGACATTAGTCTTACAGTTTGTACAATGACGGGCCATAACCACTACGTGATGTGCGCGCAGTTCCACCCAACCGAGGACCTGATCGCCTCCGCCTCCTTGGACCAGTCCGTGCGCATTTGGGACATTTCGGGGCTGCGCAAGAAACACTCGGCTCCAACTACAATTTCGTTTGAAGACCAGATGGCTCGAGCTAATCCTAGCCAGGCGGATATGTTCGGAAACACTGATGCAGTTGTGAAGTTTGTCTTGGAAGGTCATGACCGGGGTGTTAACTGGGTCTCCTTCCACCCCTCTTTGCCGCTGATTGTCTCCGCGGGTGATGACCGTCTTGTCAAGTTGTGGAGGATGAGTGGTATGATATGACTGTTGAAACACTGGTATTGAGGGACACCGCTGATACAACTCTGTAGATACGAAGGCGTGGGAGGTTGATACCTGCCGCGGTCACTTTCAGAACGCCTCCGCTGCCCTCTTCCACCCACACCAGGATCTGATACTCTCCGTTGGTGAAGACAAGACAATCCGGGCATGGGATTTGAACAAGAGAACCTCTGTACAGTCCTTCAAACGAGACATGGACCGGTTTTGGGTCATCGCCGCTCATCCAGAGATCAACCTCTTCGCTGCTGGCCACGACACAGGTGTCATGGTTTTCAAGCTGGAACGGGAAAGACCTGCGTCTGTGGTATACCAGAACCAGCTCTTTTATATCACGAAAGAGAAACATGTCAAGTCCTATGACTTCGCCAAGAATGTTGAATCTCCACCTATGCTCTCGTTGCGCAAGCTCGGCTCAGCTTGGGTGCCGCCAAGGACAGTTTCTTATAACCCCGCAGAGCGGGCTATTCTTGTCACTTCCCCCACAGATGGAGGCGTTTATGAGTTGATCCATCTGCCACGGGATGCGACGGGCGCCGTTGAACCCACTGACGTCAAGCGAGGCCAAGCTTCTTCAGCCGTATTTGTTGCCCGTAATCGCTTTGCTGTTTTCAACCCGGCAAACCAGCAGGTGGATATCAAGGACCTGAGCAATTCAACAACCAAGTCGATCAAACCCCCACCCGGAACGACCGATATTTACTTTGGTGGAACTGGTTGCCTCCTCTTTATCACTCCTACTGCAGTCGTGCTTTTTGATATCCAGCAGAAGAAGCAGCTTGCAGAACTGGCTGTCTCTGGTGTTAAGTATGTTGTCTGGTCAAATGATGGCCTGTACGCAGCCTTGCTCAGTAAGCACAATGTTACAATTGTCACGAAAACTTTGGAACAAGTGAGCACATTGCATGAGACGATTCGCATCAAGAGTGCCGCATGGGATGATGCTGGTGTTCTTCTCTATTCTACTTTGAACCATGTGAAGTACTCTCTCTTGAATGGGTAGGTTTCCCCTTCTTATATAAACCGACATCGAGATTGACCACGGAATAGGGATAATGGCATTATCCGGACCCTGGAGCATACAGTTTATCTCGTCAAAGTCAAAGGCAGGAGCGTCTACTGTCTGGACCGCAATGCCAAGCCTAGAGTTTTGGAGATCGACCCTACGGAATACCGGTTCAAGCTGGCCCTGGTTAAGAGAAATTACGACGAGATGCTCCAGATCATTAAGACGTCTAGCTTGGTCGGCCAAAGCATTATCTCGTATCTGCAGAAGAAGGGCTACCCTGAGATTGCATTGCAGTTTGTGCAAGATCCTCAGACTCGCTTCGAGCTTGCCCTTCAGTGTGGTAACCTTGAGGTCGCCATTGAGATGGCTAAAGAGCTGGATCGGCCCAACCTCTGGAGCCGGCTTGGAGCGGAAGCGTTGGCCCATGGCAACCACCAGACAGTCGAGATGGCTTATCAAAAGCAGAGGAATTTTGACAAGCTGTCTTTCCTCTATCTGTCTACCGGCGACCAAGAAAAGCTGTCAAGAATGGCCAAGATTGCAGAGCACCGTGGCGACTTCACTTCTCGTTTCCAGAACGCCATCTATCGCAGTGACATTGAGGATAGAATCCAAATGTATAAAGAGGTTGATCTATGTAAGTCAAACTATGTGACTGCTCTACTTCTTAACTAACCCTTCTACAGATCCCTTGGCGTATCTTACTGCAAAGACCCATGGATTGACCGAAGAGGCCGAATCTATTCTCGAAGCGTCTGGCCTCACAGAGGACCAGATTACCCTTCCCAGTGTTGATGAGCCTGTGCGGGTGCCCCACCCCATTGTTCCGACTTTCAAATCAAACTGGCCTGCTAAGGCTGCTGCACACTCGTCCTTCGAGAAAGCCTTGCTCGGAGAAGTCGGTGTGGTCGACGATGAAGCCGCCGCGATTGGCTTTGAGCCAGAAGAAGAGGAAGGTGTTGCTGCACAGGAGACCTTTGACGATGAAGAGGAAGACGTCGGCGGATGGGACATGGGAGAGGAGATCAATGTTGAGGAGGATGTTGATTTTATCAACATCGATAGTGCAGAGGCCGGCACTGGAAGCACCGAGGCCGATCTCTGGGCCCGTAATTCCCCTCTGGCGGCAGACCATGTCGCTGCTGGCTCCTTTGACACCGCCATGCAGCTCCTGAATCGTCAAGTCGGTGCTGTCAATTTCACCCCTCTCAAGCCGCGGTTCGTTGAGCTATATAAGGCGTCGAAGACGTATCTCCCTGCCACGGCTGGCCTTCCTCCTTTGGTGAACTACGTTCGACGGACTGTCGACGAGACCGACAGCCGCAAGGTCCTGCCTATTATCCCGAGAGATTTGGAGACAATTGCCAATACCGACTTACAAGAGGGTTATGCTGCAATGAGGGCCAACAAACTGGAAGACGGTGTTGTAATTTTCAAGCGTATCCTGCATTCCGTTCTGGTGAACACGGTGTCGTCCGAAGCGGAGGTGGAGCAGGCCAAGAAGATTATCCACACTGCTCGCGAGTATATCCTCGCTATGTCTATTGAATTGGAACGCCGGTCCCTCTCGACGGACAGCCCAGAGGATCTCAAGAAAAGCCTTGAACTCTCTGCTTACTTTACAATTCCCAAGCTGGAAGTGGCCCACCGCCAGCTCGCTTTGATGGCCGCCATGAAGTTCGCTTTTGCTAACAAGAACTATTCATCGGCTCTTAGCTTTGCCAACCGTATGTTGGCCAACGGTGGCTCCGCCAAGCTTCTTGAACAGGTAAGCTTCACAGCCTGTAGTCGACAGGATGGAAGATTTTTGACTCTGGAACAGGCCAAGAAGATCAAAGCCCAGTGTGAGCGCAGTCCGCAAGACAAGATCGACATCGAATTTGACCAATTTGCCGAATTCGACATCTGCGCCGCCTCGCACACCCCTATCTACAGTGGCTCCCCCAGTGTGTCTGACCCCTTCACCGGAGCCAAGTATCATGAACAGTACAAGGGCACCGTGTGTCGGATATCCGATGTGACAGAGATCGGCGCGCCGGCCAGCGGATTACGATTGTTTGTGCCCGGCCAGCTTTAAAGAATGATTAGACCTGATTCCTTTCACTCCTGTAATTCTCCTTCTCCGATGTCAATCAATTGAATACAAAGTGTACTTTGGTTTGTGGAAACGCGGGGCGGCGCCGAGGTGGCTGCTGTCTACTAGATGTATGGATCTGTTGTCTCCGAAAATTACCCAGCGATGTTAGCTACGTTGTCTTAGTTTTTCTTTTCCTGCGATGCATCTGACTGGAATGTAAGAATGTGAGAATTGAGTAGAGTCGGATCTATTAAGCCGTAATCATACACGCGACCGTATCGCTCCAAAATGAATGCCCCCGGTCTTTCCAACATGTCATCGCATATATTGTACAAATGTCCCACCGCCACGTCTAATACCTAGGTACGGAGTTGATCTCAATCACACCGTCCATCCTTCCAACCCGTCCTCCACCTCTCCTCCCAAAACCGACAATCGAACTCCTTCTTCCCCAATTTCCGATTCACCTCGTTATGCGCCTCACACATCCACGTCCCAAAGTCCGCTCTTCCGCCCAATCGGGGCTCATTACGACCACTCGGTTCAGCCATCCACGTCCGAAAGTCATCCGCGCAAACCCAGCACGGATACAGGCGCGAGAAGAGCTTCAAGAACGTGCGCATCTCACTTTGCTGTTCCTGCGTCGCCTTGACCGGGTATGTGGCGGTCATGGAATGAAGGAGGGTCCACGTTGACCGGCCTAAATTTTCAACATCTGGGGGACATTCATCTCGGGTTGTTTGGAGGGATGGCGCGGACTCGGAGCTGGAGGGTTCTGCGACGGGCTCGCTGGTTGAGGTTGATGCTCCCTGGACTTTGGCCTGTTTGGTTAAAGCGCGCCAGGATGCGGCGGAGGTGCAGAGTCGACATCTGGAACTGTATGTTAGACTATGTCCCTTCTATTTCAATGATGTCTGCTTTTTTGACGTACGGTTTTCCGTCCTTATCTAGAACCACACCACTGGGTAGTTTTGTCTTCGAGTCATCGTCTTTCGAGTTGGTTGAGGAGCTCGCAACTGCGCCAAATTGATGTGGGAAAAGAGATCTAGGCGGTTTGGATTGCGCTTCGCTTTGTTGTGAATGAACGTCTGCCATGGGGATTGCTGGTTGGCGCAATAGATGGAGGTATATGGGAACTTTAAATAAGAGCTAGACTTAGTAACTAGTAATTGTGTGCAAAACTTCGACTAGGTTCGACCAGAAGCACATCACTCGAAATTAATGCAGATCCCAAACGTCTATGTACAGAAGAAGAGGAACTATCTGTCCGGGTTTCTCGCCGAGTGGATAGGTTAGATAGTCTGGATTGGTAATAGTGAAGACATTGAATGATAACGCTTTGTCAGCCGCTGCGGCGTATCCAATCGTCTGCATAGATTGACCTCGACGAGTCCTGTCTTCTGGTTGAGTGTCTTGGCTCGTTAGCTTAGCTGTCGCCCAATTCCCTCCTACTCTGCCTCTGCCATTTCGTCAATTTCGAGACTAAATAACCGTCCTAAGCTATCTTACCCTACCGGATCGCGTCTCGAGTGCCTGTCGCGTCGGAAGTCCCGCTGCTTCAACTGCGCCCGATTAACCGTTCGCGGTTCAGCGCAACCTGTGCGACGAGACTAATATATAGGTGGCGGAGTCGAATATCTCAGGCTATAGCCTTATTCCTAGCCGAGGAAAGGAAAAATGGCTCCTCAATACGCCCTGTCGGATTCCGAGTCCGAGTCGGAACCCGAGCAGCCTGCCGTTCCCTCCGATGATGCGCTGGAGAAAACTCTATGCGACGTGGTCGCTGAGATCTACAGATCGGGGAACATGGATGAATTGACAATCAAACGGGTGCGATTGGCCGCCACGAAGGCTCTGAAGATCGATGAGAAGTTTTTTAAGAAGAGCAGCGTATGGGACGCAAAGAGTGATCAGATCATCAAGGCTGCCGTGGTATGTTTGTGATTAAATGTCTACTTTGCTATTATTGCTATCACCCTCGCAAACTTAATGCGATGATATTCCGTGGAATAGCCTAACTGATAGATCGGTTGTTGTCATAGGCGGCACACGACAACAAGCCCCAAGAATCAAATGGGCAAGAAGACGACAGCGATGCCTCATCACCTATCCCTACAAAATCAAAACGCATCAAACGAACCAAGCCTGATGCTCCGGCGCAACGAAAGGGCCAGAAAGCAAGCACCCCAGAGTCTGAAGATGGAGAACAAGACCGGGACAGCGCGACACCGAGTGAGATGAGCGATGAGGACGTTAAGAAGCCCACCAAGAAGCGGTCAAAGGGCGCACAGGGAAAGAAACCCCAGCCAAAGTATGCTAAAACAACTGTCCCTGAGGATTCTGGTAGCGAGGCAGAGCAGGACAGCGAACCATCGGTCAAACCGAAAGCGGACCCCAAAAACGACTCGGAAAGCGAAATGTCGGTGGTCCTCGACGAGGCCCCCAAACCCAAGCCCAAACCCAAACGACAGATGAGTGCTGAGGCGCCTGCGCAAAAAGGAAAGAAAAAGGCCGCCACTAAGGCCAAGGATGTAGATCAAGATCCGAACGAAGCAGAGATCAAGAGGCTGCAGGGCTGGCTAATCAAATGTGGTATTCGGAAGTTTTGGTCGCGGGAGCTGGCTCCCTATGACACCCCCAATGCCAAGATCAAACATCTGAAGGGTATGCTGAAAGATGCTGGGATGGAAGGCCGGTATTCCTTGGAGAAGGCGAACAGGATCAAAGAGGAGCGGGAACTCCGAGCCGATCTTGAACAGGTCCAGGAGGGTGCGAAACGATGGGGAACATGTAGCGGAGACCAGGAGAGCGACGGCAGTCGGCCTCGAAGAAGATTGAATCGGGGGCGAAAGAGCCTTGCATTCCTCGAGAGCGACGGCGATGAGACTGATTGATAGTGAAGAGATTAGTCGGCATGTCACTGGATAAAGAGGCCCTTCGGGAAACCTGCCTGGAGCAGATTGTTGTCGAGTCAAGAAGATTTGGGATCTCGAGGTAATAATATTCACAAGAGTTAGAAAGCAATTGAATCCCAATGTATCCCCATCATCTACCGGACTTCGTTCCGCCCATTCGTTGGGCCACCAGGCTGAAGACGGCGACCGACGATAAAAAGAGGACTAGATTATAGAACTGTGAACAACTCCCGTTAGAAACTATTGGACAAATGTTCTTAAGGCCATTCCCAAAGGTCCATACCGCAGTTCTCGAATACTCATTTTCTTCTGCCTCTGATCTGGCCTCCACAAAGAGGCGTCGAAGATTGGGTAGTTTGGCCTGTACTTCGTATAGGTCTCGTTAATAAAACTCGGTCATTTCTGTGGCAACACAAAGACGGTGTTTTACCATTAGAAGGAAACCTAGAGTACTGGACACCTGAATTCTTCAAATCACTGAGGCTGCGTGGTGGAAGATCCGTGGTAGAGGTGTGGGTTATGCTGAAGATGAAGACTCTGGGAGAGGTCCTGCGAGCCGCTTTGTGGACAACTTACTCTCTCTCCCCGACCTTTTGTCGTCCTACACTACTTTTCTTCTCGGCCCCTCTCCTCTCCACACCCACCCCAGTCTCCCATCCTCGTTTCTCTCTTAGCTGGAGGGGGCTATTCCTTGCGCCCTTAATCGATCGTCTGTATTGATTTCATCCTGACTTATCGCCCCCGGCGTCGCTGCAGCTGTCGGCGTGTACATACCCCCCCGCAGTGGTCCGCAAGGACGCTCTGTCATACCCAACTTCGAGTCACCGTATTTCCTGTGAAGGGACAACGTAGACGTCTTTGACACTCTTTCACATCAAAATGGCGATGAATCGAATCAGAGGCGCCTTTGCGGTGCCCAAAAAAGGAGAGACCTTTGAATTGCGAGCTGGCCTTGTGTATGGGGTTCCCGTCCGCTGACTTTGTGATTATGGTCCATTGGGACAGAGATGCTGATCAAGACGTTAGATCCCAGTATGCCTATGAACGGTATGTCGATAGTCTTGGAAGATTCGAAGGTATGCGTGAATATGGTGTCTGACCCGGTTCTAGAAAGGAGTCTATTCAGAAGACCATCATGGCCATGACTCTGGGCAAAGATGTCTCCGCCCTCTTTCCCGATGTCCTTAAGAATATTGCGACCAATGATCTGGAACAGAAGAAGCTAGTCTATCTCTATCTAATGTGGGTGTCAGTGGAAATGGCAACTGTTGCTCCCCGTACGCTAATTCTTGATCTGCGATGGTTTAGGAATTATGCCAAATCCCATCCGGATCTTTGCATCCTCGCCGTCAACACCTTCGTACAAGATTCAGAAGATCCCAACCCTCTTATTCGAGCGCTGGCGATCCGAACGATGGGATGCATTCGAGTCGACAAGATGGTGGACTACATGGAGGAACCGCTTCGGAAGACTCTTCGGGACGAATCTCCGTATGTTCGCAAGACTGCTGCGATCTGTGTGGCCAAGCTTTTCGACCTCAACCCGGGCATGTGTCTAGAAAACGGTTTCCTGGAGATGCTGCAAGAAATGATAGGCGATCCCAACCCTATGGTCGTCGCGAACTCGGTGACGGCGCTTTCGGAGATATACCACGCTGCTCCTGAAACGCAGGCCTTAAAGGTGACATCGAACACGCTGCGCAAGCTTTTGATGGCACTGAACGAATGCACTGAATGGGGTCGTGTTACAATACTCACCACCTTAGCGGAGTTTAAGACGAGCGAAGTGACCGAGTCGGAGCACATCTGCGAACGAGTCGCGCCGCAGTTCCAACATGCCAATCCCAGTGTGGTGTTGGCTGCGGTCAAAGTGGTTTTCTTACATATGAGGAACATTAACCAGGAATTGTCTAAAAACTACCTGAAAAAAATGGCTCCACCCCTAGGTATGTATCTGTCATCACTCCCTATGTTCAGAGCCTATTACTGATTGCTACTGCCTTAGTTACCCTGGTTTCCTCTGCCCCCGAGGTGCAATATGTAGCGCTGAGAAACATCGATCTTCTATTGCAGAAGCAGCCCGACATTCTGAACAAAGAGCTCCGTGTTTTCTTCTGCAAGTATAACGATCCCCCTTATGTCAAGTTCCAGAAGCTCGAGATCATGGTTCGGATAGCCAATGATCGGACTGTCGATCAGCTTCTTGCCGAATTGAAGGAATATGCTCTGGAAGTTGATATGGACTTTGTGCGGCGCGCCATTCGGGCTATTGGCCAGGTTGCCATCAAGATCGAGAGCGCTAGCGAAAAATGTGTCAACACATTGTTGGATCTCATCAACACCAAGGTGAACTATGTGGTGCAGGAGGCTATCGTGGTGATCAAAGATATTTTCCGGAAATATCCAGGATACGAGGGCATCATTCCCACTCTTTGCAAATGTATCGATGAACTGGATGAGCCCAATGCCCGAGCGGCCCTTATCTGGATTGTGGGTGAGTACGCAGAGAAGATCAGCAATGCCGGTGACATCTTGGCTGGATTTGTAGAGGGGTTCAACGAGGAATTCTCCCAGGTATGTTTCGATACCATCTCGCTAATTCGAATCGGTTCAGGCTAACGCATCCCAGACCCAACTGCAAATCCTGACTGCTGTCGTCAAACTCTTCCTCAAGCGACCTGAGAAGGCCCAGGGCCTTGTACAGAAAGTCCTTCAGGCAGCTACGGCCGAGAACGATAACCCTGATGTCCGAGACCGTGCCTATGTCTACTGGCGCCTACTGTCTAACACCAGTGACCCGGACGCTACCAGAAACATTGTCCTCTCTGACAAACCACCAATTGTGACCACCATCTACTCCTTACCTCCCGCGCTCCTGGAACAACTTCTCACCGAGATCTCTACTCTTTCTTCGGTCTACCACAAGCCACCCGAGCAGTTTGTCGGCCAGGGCAGGTTTGGTGCCGATGCTGTTCAAAGAGCGGCCATCGAGTGCGTATTCCCACCCTCCGTCTGTTTATTTGTCCGTTTCCTGATCTGACTGGTCCACTTCGCTTTTCTCCAGGGAACAAATCCAAAATGCACGTGAGAACCCCTTGGCGGCAGCCGCCGCTGCAGCGGCAGTTTCTGGCGACGCACCGCCTCAACAGGCTCAGAGCAATATCGAGAATCTCCTGGACATCGACTTTGACGGTACAGCACCCGCCTCTGCTCAAAAAGAGCCAAACAGTGGCATGTCTGGGCTGGAGGGTCTTGCCGGCACGCCCGTTCGAGTCGAGTCTCCCGCAGCTGGCGTGCCCGCCGGCAGCAACAATCTCGACGACCTTCTCGGGGTCTTTGGGGATGGAGCTCCAGCGTCGAGCAGCGGAGGCGCACCCAATGGTGGCAATGTAAGTGCTGATCTCATGAACGGGTTCTCTGGGTTAGATCTATCGCCCAACACTACCACCTCACCGCCGTCTGGAGGGAGTCAGCCCAAAAAGACCAATGAAGATATCATGTCATTGTTCCAAAAGTGATGGATACATCAGGATCATGGTGATGCTGCGATGTTTGGCGAAGGAGGTAAAAAAGGGGGGGGGAAAGGATGGATTAATCCCGATGCACCTACTTGGACCTCATTGTCTGATTTTCCATATCATTTCTATTGAAACAATGTTCACCATCGTTATTTCATTTCTTTTCCGGTTGCGTCCTGTTACTTGTATATCCTGATTCCCCCCCCCGCAACCCCCTCTTCATAAGCATAGTTTTTTTTTTTTTTTTTTTTTTTTTTCTTTCTATAATTCCTACCAGTTTGGGTTATAAAGCTAGATTTGTTATAGTTATCTGGAGTATGAGATATGGTGTAGCGAGAATGAATGCAACTATACGACCGTTCCGAGGCGTCCGGAAATCATCTTAGTGTCTCGGTCAGAAAAGAGGTCTGGACTACCATCAATATTATTTCTTTGGCTCTCGAGTCATAATTAATCTCTGTTGGCTCCAACAAGACTACACCCTTCGGCAGCCGCAATGCCGACTACCGGCAGGCTGGGATGTGTCCGCGGACGTCACGATCAGTGTAGGGGCACAACCCGCACAGCATCTGGTGGATGCCTCTCTGCCAGGAAGTGGTATATTGGCTACCCCTGTACAAATGAGACGGAATTCCCACCGCAGCGCAAATATTACTCAATCAAGCCATTTTCCTCCTTCGCTTTTCTGAAGGCTGTGGGGCCATGATGTCCCTGACCGTTGTTTCGGAGTGTATTCCGTGGATCTGAAAACCGTCGTGGTTTTACTTTGCATATATATAAATGGAAGCTGGGGGGGTTTTCTCCGGCTCCAACTTTGTTGGTGCAATCAATCCCAAGGAAAGATTCGTGTGAAGTGAACCGTCCAGTTAACATGGCGCAAACTGACTATAAATTTGAGGGACGCCTGGGGCTCCGCAGATAGAAAGATGGTCTGGCAGGAGTTCGAGTTCAAACCCTGGGAGGAGATTTACATTGACATCAAAACCACCAGTTTTGGTATCTGCAGCTTTAATTTGTGCACGCTCTGCGGGCTGGGTTATGTCGCTCTGGTCCCTAGCATCCTCGTTAAGAAGGGAGGAAGACGCTAATTATGTTTTGTTAGCAGCCGACGTTGTACCCCTGCTGCGTTGGTCATGAGACTGTAGGTACGGCGGTTCGTGCCGGCTGCAATGCTGTTAGAGAAATCCAAGTCGGAGACCGAGTTGGGGTGGGAGCACAGAGTGATTCTTGTCTAGGGTGACTGGGAGTCTGTCCCGAGTGTGCCATGGGATGGGAGTAGTACTGCGCTCACCAACCTATCGGGACCTACAATGGTGTCTACATGAATGGTGGGAAATCATACGCGGATACGCTCTGTATAACCCGTACTCCGTCACATTTCTTGGTCAAGATCCCCGACAGCATCCCGTCGGCAGAGGCAGCGCCCATGATGTGTGGCGGTGTCACCCTCTATAGTCCATTAAAGCATAACGGCTGCGGCCCCCGAAAATGTGTAGGCATTATTGGTGTGGGTGGACTGGGCCACTTTACTGTACTGTTCACCAAGGCCATGCATGGGTGCTGACTAAGTTGTCGCCATCTCGCGCAAGGTGGGCAAGAGCGAGGACGTGCTCCAGATGGTTGCAGATGGATATATCGCAACTGATGACGAGCTCGATTGGGCTACAAAATATGTTTGTTCCTTGACCTCATCATCAGCAGAGTGTGTTCTACGAAAGCGAGAGAAGATCCCCAACAAACGCCTGAGCAAACGCTCTTCGAGACATTAACGGAAAGGTAGATGCCCATGAACGATCCTCGCCACCAATGGCAGTCTGGTCCAGGTGGGACTTCCTGAGGGCGGGATGCTCTTCGCACCGATGCCTACACTGATGATGGAGAGTTCTCTGCTGTGGAGTCCGGGTGAGATTCGAGAGATGTTGGACCTGGCTAGTCAGAGGGCGTGAAGTGAAGCCTTGGATTGAGGTTGCCATGCAGGAGGCTAACAAAGCGAACGTGGATATGCACGAGGGCAAGGCTCACTACCGGCGCGTGCTGGTCAACGAGCAGTAGGAGGAATGTAGCAAGACGATGACCTTGGTGTAAACGATAATATGACAAAGTCAGTGAGACCACGGATATGAGGGATGCCTCAGGCGTATTTGGCATGTATTTCTCCGCAGTCGGCGGCGCTAGGCCGAAAAGGGAAATGGTATCCTCCGCGGACTTTGTAAGAGAACTGACTCATTCTCTTCCCATCGCCTCACCTGCGCATGTCTATAGTGACTTCATCGTGGTCCCTGGAGCACTGATCAGGCCTTGACAACTGTCACTTCTTTCGTCTCTCCTTGTTGTTCAGTTGTTGTTTCTTGTTTATCGGCAAGATGTCGCAGCCCCTCTCGCAGAAATATCTTAGCACGCGGGGTGGCTCCTACGGGGTAGGTTGTACTACAGCGTTGACCCTCCCAAGTTGGTCCAGGATAGTCTGTCGCTAACCATTCTTGCGATATGCAATGTAGCTGTCCTTTGAGGATGTGGTATTGAAAGGACTGGCCTCCGACGGTGGTCTCTTCGTCCCTGAGCAAATCCCTACCCTCCCCACCTCCTGGGAGTCTGAGTGGCCCGACCTGAGTTTTGAAGATCTCGCATTCAATATCATGTCCTTGTACATTTCACCCTCAGATATTCCCGCCGCAGATCTAAAGGACATCATCAAGCGCTCTTACGCCACCTTCCGCCACCCGGAACGTACCCCCCTCGTTGAATTAGATGGCAAGAAGAACCTTCACCTGCTCGAACTGTTCCATGGCCCAACCTTCGCCTTCAAGGATGTAGCCCTGCAATTCGTCGGTAACCTGTTTGAGTACTTTCTTGTGCGCAAGAATCAGGGCAAGGTGGACAAGGATAGACATCATCTCACCGTGATTGGTGCGACTAGTGGAGATACTGGATCGGCTGCCATCTACGGCCTTCGTGGCAAGAAGGATGTCTCTATATTCATTCTATTCCCCGATGGGCGTGTGTCGCCCATCCAGCAGGCGCAGATGACGACCGTCCTAGATGCGAATGTTCACAATCTGACGGTCCAGGGCTCGTTTGATGACTGCCAGGACATGCTCAAGGCTCTGTTCGCGGATCCCGAACTCAACTCCACCCACAACCTCGCCGCCGTCAACTCCATAAACTGGGCTCGTATCCTGGCTCAGATAACATATTACTTCTACTCCTACTTCGCCCTGACGAAGAACCCCGGTTTCTCGGAGGGTTCGAAGATGCGCTTTGTCGTTCCCTCGGGCAACTTCGGTGACATTCTTGCTGGCTGGTTTGCCAAGAGCATGGGTCTCCCCGCCGAGAAGCTGGTCATTGCCACGAATGAGAACGATATTCTGGACCGTTTCTTCCGCAGCGGCGGAAAGTACACTAAGAATGTCTCCCAGTCGGCCGGTGTGAAGGAAACGCACAGCCCCGCCATGGACATCCTGGTCAGCAGCAACTTCGAGCGTCTGATCTGGTACCTGGCCTTCCAGACAGATGGTGCCAGCTCTGTTGAGGAAAGGCGCAAACATGCTTGTGAGAGCGTGAGCGACTGGTTGAACAAGTTGAAGAGTCAGGGCGGCTTTGAAGTCCCCCGCGCCGTCCTAGAAGGGGCGCAGGCCGACTTTGAAAGCGAGCGTGTGAGCGACGACGAAACTATTGCCCAGATCCGTGCCACATACACTTCTTGCTTCCCGTCTAACCTTGGTCCTGGCAGCGCCAAGAGCTCTAAAACCGGCGGGTACATCCTCGATCCTCACTCGGCTGTCGGTGTCAGCGCTTCTCTGCGCTCGATCGAGCGGAACCCAGGCACCAGCCACATTTCGCTTTCCACTGCGCATCCCGCCAAATTCGTCAGTTCCGTCGATCTGGCTCTGCGGAACGAGGACGGCTACGACTTCAATGAAGTCCTGCCCCAGGAATTTGTTGGGTTGGAACAGCGTGAGAGCCGTATGACCCCAATCCCTGCTGGTGCTGGTTGGCAAGGTGTCCGTGAGGTTGTCAAGGCCGAAGTGGAGCAGGAGCTTCAGGGTCTCAGGTAGCTTGGTTGAATCCCATTTCTTGCATTATAGATACGCTTTTCCAAAAAAGTCTGGATGATTGAGGAGAACGCCTTTTTTTTTTTTTTTTGACCTTTATCATTTTCCTACCAAGCAAAAACATACGCACGCCAAGTCCAATGCCATTCTCGTTCGTTCTAGTAGGTGAGCAGTGCCGCCTTAAAGTCGCGCTACCGGGGTGAGGGCTAGGGTGAACATCGCGCGACTGATGATCAACCAAGGCGCCGTCGATCTTTCGTGTTTCAGCTAGTTTAGAGTCCCCACATAAGTTCAAGTATAGATATTTCATTGGCCTATAGAGAACAGACATCTTATTGGTCAGTTATATTCTTTTTTACAGACTCTCCAATCACGTGAATACTACCCAAAGTGGTGGGCTCCGTCTTATCCATGGTCGAGGCTCATTCCTTGTTTATTGTAGGTGCTCCGATGAATGCGCAGGCGAGTTTAATAATTGCTTATTTGTTCCTAATAGAGTAAGCCAACAATTCAATGTAGACACCATCAGAGAGAATCCAATTGGTGGAGGCTTGACTACGTCCCGCGATGTCGACATTAACGTGCAATGCTTCAGATAACTATCTGGTGGGTATAGCCTCCAACATTGTTAAAACTTCGAATGCAGGCCAATCTCAACCCGCAGTCGAGTCGCGATCTGACGCGACATCACCGAGAGATTTTTGTGAACCCATTATTCTGGACCCCTTACCCTCTAGATCTAGTGTCATTCAACTTGGCTTTCGTCTCATTGAGGCGATTCACCCGATTGAAATACTCAGTGGGGTTCCAATCATCTATCATACTTGTCATCAGCAGCGACTAGTGGCCACACCTTGCATTGCTATGCGACCACTATCCAATAAATGCAACTAATACTTAATCGCTCCAGACCAAGAAGAGGAGCCTACTAGCGCCACCCCTCAGGTGTGTCTATCGGATAAGTCGGTTGTGCAGATCAGCTGCAGATTAGTTAGACCAAGCAATTTCTGCAGGTACTATGTGGATAGCGTGGTTAAGTATGGAAAATTCCTTTTTTAACGTACTAACTTCCTCCTGTACGTACACAGGCATTGGATATGTTAAATTTTAAACCAACTTGAGTCCATGATCAACTTATCACATATGTTAGCGTTAGGACAAGATTTTCGCCCTGACTTCCCAGCTGCTAAGGCTAAATTGGCAGGCAATCATCCATGCGAGGCGCAGCGACTCTGATCGCATCGATAACCATTCACCTGGGTCTTAGATATTGGGCCTCCAGCCTCTACCTAGATCAGATAAACTTTAATATGCTTCATATAATTGATCCTCCCATGGTAGGCTCTGACTCTCGCAGTTTTGATTTTGACCAGGCAAAGAGTTCGTTTGGTAACAGTGGAGTGGTGAAACCATGCTCAAACGGTGGTTTGGTTGCCAGAAAATATCCATGGGATGTTGTAGGTACGGTAACTGGTGGGTTGAACATTGTGCTGGATATAGTATCTGATCTCCAGAGTACTCTGCGTGCTATATTGCATGAAGTTCTCTGTCCAACACTTCTTTCTTTACTGGAAGTGATTACTGGCACTGGTTGGCTCAATGTATGCTCATCCGGCTAGACTGATACAAATAGTCGGGCTTGTTAGGATTGTTCTGTGTCAGAAGAGCCAGCTTGGTTACCTTACAATATGGCGTGTTCAAATGATTGGTTCTTCATGTCATTGTCATTCATATTATATTTCGTTCCAAATTTAGTCGTTTTTTATTGCGAAATTAGAACAAGGTCGCGTAGCCGAGGGAACATGGTTGTAACAATATGGGAGGAAGATGGTGGCGTTGTACGATAATAGCTGAGAATATCTGGAGAGAGTAGATCCTGCAGCTATCCTTTTTTGGTTGGGCGGAGAGCAAAGATACATCTATTTTATATTTGCATTGTTTGTTGCAGTCCAGAATAGTAATACTGAGAATAGTATTTCTGATTTCCAAAACCTTCAAGTCTTGATGAAAACGCCTCTTCTTTAGTTTATTGTGTGCTTTGAACGACTTCTCAACCTACGCAGTCAACAATGTTCTGAAACCTTCTCCGTCCTATCTATGGATCTTCAGTACTTTGGTAGAATCGCTGACGTCTTTTATATGTGTCATCCCATTCTGCCTTTCCTAGCAACGGTGTATCAATTCCAGATTCCAAGTACACCTGAGTCGAAGCTCTTTGACAAAAGATTGGAACAGGACGATTGGGAATGGGAAGACGGTGTAGAAGTTGCAAGTGATGGGTTGGTTTACCCCAAGTTTGGATGGTATGTTTTCCGGCTTCTGCTGCTTTTCTGCTGCTTAGAGCATACCAGTTTTAAATGGGGGGTTATTTATGCTAAATACCCACTTCATGCAAGAAGTGACTCGAAGGTCATTTGACAATTACCTGGACGCTGTAGATAATCGCCAGCCTGCCGCAAGTCCTGCTTACTTGTCCGTCTTAAAAGGTAAGAAAGCCATCGCTGGTCAAATGAGATCTGGACAATAACCCCACAAAGGGACTGCAATACCAAAGACCTTAACCGTTTATCGAGAGTGAGATTCACTATTCACCCTACTGCCTTCGTACCCTATGGCTTTGCAAGGTATGTCGCACTATTTAATGCGGCTTTTCTACACAGTCACTAAGTATATAGCTTTCAACGAGGCTTTCACCGATTTCTATACCACATCTTGCACTTCGACGCCCCCAGAAGAATGGTTGGAAAAGAATCCCTACAATGAAGCTTTCTTTGATAATTCTGAGGATTGGGTGGGTATTTATACGCAATTATTTGTTGATGTCTGCGTTGATGTCGTGCCTTCCAGCACAATACTAGAGGTGCACGATATACGGAGGTTTGGAAGGTGTTATGAAGGCTTATTCTCTCAGGTCGGTTGGGAGGACACTTACAGCGTTTTAGAAATCGGCTGCAATAGTCACACCTTGCATTGTTAGGCGACCACTATTTAACAAGTGCAAATAAAAGGCAATGATAAAGACATACGTCCACAAATGCACTTCACTAGGAGGTCAAGTATTCCAGGACTCGAAAAACATAAGCTACGGGCTGACTGCCCAGGAATGGATACATCGTCAACTCATTCCATCAATCATCTCTCTTGCACCTTGAACACCTCGCCAATGGAATTGTAAACTTTAGGTTCCTCGACTAACGCACCTGCAACTATCCCAAACTTCTTCTAGTAAAGACCTGATCGAACTCTTTCTCGATCTACCCCCACGGAAGCTTTCTAGCACTAAATTCCGTAGGGCTCGTCTTCGGCCGCAGAATAGGACTGGGTCTTGTGGGAAGTAGGAAAGGAATAAAATGCTTCGGCTTTAGCCCTAGCCCTTGTCCGGGGACCGCTTGTTGTCTTAATATCAGAGTACAAGGCAGCGCTCGCCGGCCTTTTTTAACTAACGGGTTTTGGTCAAGTGCTCTCGCTCTCGATGCACATGGTACTCGAGGACGCATGGTTAGTGGCTTCAGGGCCGAAAGGAGGAGAGTGTCTCGGTCGACTGGCCTGAGGTTTGCTGGATCTTTGACTGGGGGGTATCGGCAAGTATCCCTCGTCTTCGTACGACACACAACGATTCATGCGGCCGTTGCCATCCTTGTCACTATCGTTGGCATTGCTGGAGCTTTCGCGGATGGATGGATTATTCCTGGGAGTTTTAGAGGTGGCTGGGCTGGTGTCAGAGTAACATATCCCATCATCCACGTACCCTGGAGACACCAACGATTTACGATTCCACGTATCGTGGTTCCGCGCCCAAGAAAACAAGCCATCTGGATGAACAAATCGTCCATATCAATATCAACGCTGCTCGTCTTGTAGTCACTTTCAAGCTCTTGGGAAGTATCTAAAGCTGCCAGGAACTTTTTATTACAAGGAATGGTACATTCGTACGAACCTTCAGTGGATGGTAGGACGGCATTCGTAGTCTTCAGATTATTAAATGTCTTAATTTTAGGTGCCGATGTTTCATAACTGAGGAAGACAATTTGAGACTGTTACTCGCTGGATGACTTTCACCAACGCCACGCACGGTGAAGTGTATAAAAAAAAAAACCTGAGGGTTGGAGGTTTAGGGGGCAGGGGATGGTTTACGCGACCGGAGGGAAGTAAAAAAGGGAGATTATAGGGTAGGAAGAGCTAGTAAACAGGACTGTGCCAAAATATGGCTTTTGGGTTAGGAAATGAAAATATTACCAGAGGTCTGTTGTAGGAAGTCTGGCAACTTATACTCAAAGATATGAGTTAAAGGAAGCAGATTAAACAAGGAGAGGATGATATTTTCTTTTAGGATAGATTGTGCTCTTTGTGTTGCTGTTTAACTGCATAATACTGTGGCCTATCCACGCCTCCTAAGCGCCTCGAATTGTTGCATCTATATCGAGAATTAAGCCAATGCAATCAACCATCAAGAGAGCTATCCCGCTATTAAAGGGATCGACCAAGCATTGTCCGTAAACAACAATTGCTAAAGGCGATAGATTTACCTATAGGCTTTCACCAGAATATTGAAACACAGAAATAGAGATGTGAAATCTGCATCGACGTCGATACATAAGTTGAATACCTATCAATATGCATTATCCTGTAGTATTTGCCCTTCCTTGCAAAGTTCATTCCTCCAGAGTTTAGTCTGTTTACTCCGCTGTCCCAGCCAAATATGCTCAAGTAATCTTTTATTCCCATGTTGGGATCTCCCACTATATGTCACAAAACGCTATGCGAAAAGAGGAAAGACCTGAAGCATGCTATAGATGCAAGATGCCCCTATATTATTATTGATTAACTAGGTATTAGTACATTACACATCTGACAGAATAATTTGACAACTTTTCCGTTCCATACAAGCAATATGGATCTTTTAGTTCCGGCGCCAGTGATTTGAAAACAAAAAGAATAAAGGCCACATAAAAAGAGAACTCCAAAGAACCGCTTAACTAGTTGTGCTTTTTAACAACTTAGTCATAGTCATGTGATAGCCTAGCCCAGGGAAAATTGGTTTAGAGCAGGACCATGACGGCCATGACAGCAGCCAGGAGACCGGCAGCAGGCTTGACAGCGTGAACAGCACCACTGAAGGGCGGCTTGGAGGGCGAGGTTGTAGGATGGACTGGAGAAACACCCGTTGGCTGAGGTCTTCCGGGGTTTCCAGGAGTGCCAGGCCTTTCAGGCTGGGCAGGGATGCCAGGTGTACCAGGAATTCCGGGATTTCCAGGTGTTCCCGGGGTGCCAGGGGTGCCAGGAGTGCCAGGAGTGCCAGGAGTGCCAGGAATTCCGGGAGTACCAGGATTCACAGGAGGTACAGGGGGGGCAGGAGTGGGTATGATAGGTACGGTGGTGTTGTGGAAGGGGCCAGGCTTGGTAGTAGTACCAGTCGGCACTGGCTTAGGCTTAGGAGGCACCACAGTGGTGTTGTGCTGCGGTTGCGGCGGGACCGGCTTGCCAGTAGCAGGCGGCTCCTCACAGACAGTAGTGGTTTTGGTGACAGTGTTGGTCAAAGTAACAGGGACCGTGAGGGTCTTGGTGCCAGAAGTGACAACAGTCGTGGTCACTAGAGTTGTTGTTAGTCCTGGACCAGAGACGTTGGAGCTTGGTAGTCTGCTTACCTGGGTGCTCGGTGGTAATAAATGTAGTCGTCTTGGTGATCAAAATAGGACCTGTAGGCTTGATCGGATGCTTGTCATGAGGAAACTTTGGTGGCGGTATCTTGTATATAGTGTTAGTATACGGTTATTTATCATCAATTAAACTGAAGTCACTCACTCCATGCCCCTTTTGAGCCACACCAGCAAAAACTGGACCGGCCAACGCCAGAAGTGCAACAGCTCCTTTAACCATAGCGATAGATAATCAGTATATCCCTATTGCCAGAAACAAAAACGTCAAACTAAACGAGTGAAGAAATATGAGCGAGCGACTATTCTTCGGCTCAAAGTAGGCACGATTGGAAGGGGAAAAGAACGGAAAAGAGGATGCTCTCAGAAGAGCAAAGAGATCTGTATTTATATTTATCATGGAGGGGCGTATTTGCCGTTTTCATACTGTCAACTAGTGGTAATGGGTGATAATGCCACTGTAGTATCCACTGGCAACAAGACTCGATGTTCGGCTCGAGAGGAGAAGTAAATCTTCATCACAGGATGCAAGGGGATCATTGGCTCTGGGAGGGTAACAGCGGTCTGGTGAACCGTAGATAGCAAAGCGGCCAATGTAATTGGAATCCATGAGGGGGTAGACCGGCAAATGGTTCCCATATGCCAACCAAGTCGGAGATGTGACATCTCGTGGTATCATTCAGGTGTAAACCCCGGAGTACCCACTTTGGACTCCTGGAGTAACCTTAGAAAAACGAGAATCCCCAAAAAAAGATGCCTGCTATGGCGTCACCGTGCTAAATAGGCGGCTTAAGAAGTAGTATTTGGTGGATCTGTCCATTTTAAGAGGTATGAAAATATAAGTTATCCAAAGCCAACCAAAATGTGTGAAAAAGGGGCATTAAAGTCCAATTCCTTTTAAGTGCTTGGTATAGAGTGGCCTGACAGAGTCCCAGTAAATGGCACCTGTCACACCATTGAAAATATGTATAGGAGTGATATTATGCGCGACTGGACAAGTTCAAGCTCGATTTTGGAGGCAGTTGCCATTTGCCTGTCACTTGAGATTAGGTGTCTTCAAGATCCAAAAATTTACTGGAATGTGGATCTTCCTGACAATGTTCCTGCAACGTTAAAAAAATTATGTTTTGTCCTGACAAACCCGCATTTGGAAAAATGATAGGGCGCTAGAGGAAGGGAAAAAAGGGCCAGGGCGAAGTACGAGCAGGCCTGATAGGTTGGATACACTGGACAATATCCGAATCTAAATGAGCAACCAGTGAACTTTCAAGAGCCCGGGAGGTGAAGCTACCTAGATACGAAAATAGTAGGCAGTTTCCAGGTACTTTATCATTCCACTCCACTCGCGATCTTCTCTATCAATGATGACCCTTAAAGAGGTACAGCGACTGGACATCTCAACCTATGTCGTATTGACCAGGAGACCCTGTAACCCGATTTCAGAAATGGGTATATGCCGAATATTGACAAATAAAAAACCTGATTTATCAGTAAATGGCATGAGGTCCCTGACCTTTGGACCCTATCAGAAGTAACCAGGGCCAGTGTAGGCGTCATCCAACGAGTGTGGGTCAAGAACGCTATAGCAAAGGCACATTAAAGCCCCGGAAATGGCAATTTTTTGGAGATGACGTGCCTGCGGAATGCATAGTGGATGCAGAGAGCGGGCCATTTCATAACCACGAACAAGAATAGTAGTCTCGCCGGAGCAAAGGGTAGCAGTGGTACCTTAGTTGCAATTGTGGTCGTTGTAGATGAAGCTCAAGTGGAGCCGTCACCGTTTGCGGACAAGCTCCACCACGCAAGTGATATACTCGCCGTTATCACATGACCTTAAATAGGGCTTAGGGCTAGAAACAGGAGCGCGTCGATACGCGTCGCCAAGGCGCGTTAATGGGCTCAGAGGACATTAGATGCATATACAGGCAGCCGACGCAATCCCAAGCAACACAACCATTCCGTCTCTGAGAATGCCTCACTCCGTATCTCCCGGAATGTCTCCTACCCGTGATATTGGCGAGGAGACAATGTCCGACGCTCCCGCAACAGACACGGCAGACCAGACTGATGGTCCGGGAAACGAATCGACCGGGTACAAGCTTGCCGAGCTCCTATTTGATGATGATGACGATGACGAGTATCCGGCTTCAAGTGCACCTGAGTCAAAAGTTGAACCTGTGGCGATAAAGTATGTTGCGGTTGCTAGATTGGATGGAAATCGGAGATACTAACACAAGTATATAATTCAGTTCGTCGGCACCTCAGCTTGCCAAAGTAGATACAGATACTATGCTTGCTTTCTATCAACGCCTTTTTCCATTTCGTTCTCTATTCCAATGGCTAAATCACGGAGTCATTCCATCCCCTGACTTTGGGAACCGTGAATTCGCGCTCACGCTTCAGAATGATGCATATCTGCGATACCAATCATATACGACAGCGGACCTGTGAGTGGCGAGGGCTAGTTTTCAGGAGTCGGCAGCTGATGATATATTTATCTAGCTTCCGCAAAGACATTTTGAAGATGAACCCTTCCCGTTTCGAGATCGGCCCTGTGTATAATACAAACCCGCGAGATCGAAAGACGCTGCGAGGCGGTCAAATGAAACCTATCTCGAAGGAATTGGTGTTCGATATCGACTTGACTGATTACGATGACATCCGTTCTTGCTGTGAGAAAGCGAATATTTGCGGCAAATGCTGGGCCTTCGTGACAATGGCCATGAAGGTTGTCGACGCAGCTTTGCGAGACGACTTCGGATTCCAACATATCCTCTGGGTATATTCGGGTCGTCGTGGTGCCCACGCCTGGGTCTGTGATCCTCGTGCGCGCAGTCTGCCAGACGACCGGCGACGGGCCATTGCAGGCTACCTGGATCTTATACGGGGCGGAACACAAAGTGGTAAACGTGTGAATTTGAAGCGACCGCTGCATCCACACATGTCTCGAAGTCTGGAGATCTTGAAACCCTATTTCGCTCAGACTACACTGGTAGACCAAGACACGTTCCTCACCTCGGAACAGTCGCAACGACTCCTTTCATTGCTTCCCGACAAGACGCTGAACGAGGCACTGCGCAAGAAGTGGGAATCATCGCCGGATCGCTCCAGCACCGGCAAATGGGCCGACATTGATGCTCTAGCCAAGACTGGGAAAAGCAGCACTCTCAACCCGACCACACTTCGAGATGCCAAGCAGGATATTGTATTGGAATACACTTATCCACGCCTAGATTCCGAAGTTAGCAAGAAGATGATTCACTTGCTTAAGAGCCCCTTTGTGATTCACCCTGGCACAGGCCGTGTTTGCGTTCCTATAGATGCTCGAAAGGCAGAAGAGTTCGATCCTCTCTCTGTACCTACAGTCACACAATTACTGGCTGAGATCGATACCTGGGATGCAGAACATCCCCATAGCAATGGAGATGCGGATGTTGCCGATGGTGAAGAAAGTGTGCCTAATGATTCCGATACCTGGGGAAGTCGCAAACTGCAAGATTATGAAAAAACAAGTCTCAAACCCTACGTCGACTATTTCCGCTCGTTCATTGCCGGACTCCTTAAGGAGGAGCGAACGGGCAAGAGGGAGCGCAATGAAGAGACCGCAGAGGCAAAACCTGAAAGTATGGAGTTCTAACCATTTTTCATCCAAGCTGTACCCTCTAGATTTTGTTCTCTCTTCACATTTCTCTCTTTCATTTGGAGGCCCTTCATGGATACATGATATAGGCCTTTGATGCATGCTTTGGCTTATTTTGAGCGGGCTAGGTGTCATGCTTTGATGAAACAGGCGTTTTTCAATGTTTAGGTACTGATTTTGTTAAGAATATGGAATAATTGAAGAGATGGAGGCGATATTAACACGCCTTTTATCTTGATACCTTATTGTGTAGGTCCTTGGATATAGAAGCCAGCAGACAAATAATACTAAGAAGTGATAATTACAAACAGACCCTTAATTTGTTTCTATAATAATACACACTGCTTTGAACACAGCTAACCACTACCTAATGAGTGTGGCCCTAACTCTTCGCAAGGGCAACACGATAATGAGCCAATGCAGCACATAAATAATTAATGAAAGAGTTTGACAGATTCAACTAATGTCAGGTTGGAACGGGAAACCAGACAATGAGGTGGGATTTTGTGCGACATGACCGATTTTATTGAGACTTTTCAGGACACAACTAGGCAGCAACGAAGTTCTTGACATCTGCACAATTCAGTTAGATAAAGAAAGTATGATGGGCGGCATGGTAACTTACTCTCGAGCCAGCGAACGTATTCCTTCTGCTCCTTGACCTGAATATAATCGGGGATCATGTTGGCAAGCTCGGCATTAATTCCCCGCTCCTCAAGGTAACGCTCCATGAAAGTTTGCAGATCCTCGTCCAGGTTCTCGAAAGGAGGGCCGGCGTACAGGCTCTGTCTCGCCCAGTCCTTCTCTGCAGTCTGAGCATGGGCCAAATCGGGCTTAGAGAAGTACGAAACCTCTTCAACCTGGAAAATACCATCCTGAACAAGAGTCTGGATTAAAAGAGCACCATTGCTGGGCTTCTCGATGGTGACGTTGACACGAGCCGGGAAGCTGGGCTCCAGATCACGCTCCAAGTCTTCATGACCCGCAGTAGAAACGCTGTCTTCGGGGTTCTGGGCCACGTTGCCAGAGGCCCCTCGGTTAGCAGCCTGATGACCAGACTGGAAGTCCATCTCATCGCCCAGGGCAGCATCATCGAATTCATCCTGTTCGGACAGGTTCTGGAGATCGGCGACGGTGAAGGTAAGCCGGATCCTATTCAGATAGCAAAGTCAGTGGTTTGAGCTTGCAAGCTAGAGAATGTGGAGAGAAAAAGTCAACGATGAAAGAAAGGGAAGTTGCTTACTCTTCCTTGCCAAACTTTTTCATCAGCACAACTTCCTGCTCGCCAGGGACATCCTTGACCTATACCCAAACAATTAACTTTCATTTACTGGAAAACGGACAGTGCTTTGAACACATACCTCCCAAGAGTTATTCTGGAGAACATATTGGATGTTCTGGACAGACGATTCCAAGTCTGTGAGGCCGGAAGCTTTCTCATGTTTCAGTTCATCTTCAAGTTTCGCAACAAGTTCGACGTCGCCTAAAAGAAAATAACAGTCTATCGTCAACTCCACATATTCAAACATTTCATTTTCGTTGTCTAAACCACGGATAGGTGGGAAAAAAAAAAAAAAAAAAAGGGATTCGATATGCATGTAGACGTTCTATATAATGGCTCCATACCATCGGCATTCTGCTTAAAAGCCTGGGAGGTCGAGAAAGTAGCATAAGAGGGCCTCGTGGCCTGCTTCAACGAGGACTGGAGAAAAGTATTCTTAGGGACTGTTGACACAGGTCGGGAGACAGCAGAGCGAGAGGAGATGGCGAGAGAGCGCAAGGCAGTGCGAGGCACAGACCGAGCAAGAGTGCGCAAAGACAACATTTTAGGATAGAGGTTGGTGGGTGGATTGACAAGGTGTCGAAGTGGAGGATGGTGATGGACGGAAAGATTGGAATGGCGAAAGCTGATGATGTTACCGTTGTCCGACACAGAACGGCGCCAAGACTCGGAGCTTCTGTCCGCCAAGCTTTTAAGTTTACGCATTCATGCTTGCAGTCCCTACTCTTAGTATTTATGTCTGACCAGAGTCTATAGAAGCACCTATCTGAGTTGGACAATGATTCCATATCTTCATACATTTGCGTTTTAAACAGACTGCCTGAAGCCATAGGTGACAATGTATTTACAACCGTGAACGCCACCATTCCATACATTAATGGGAATAACGCACTGTATTCCAGCACAAAAGAGAAAGAAGATTGAACAGAATAAGGAGAGGAAGTAAAGCAAGAGATGCAGCATTATGACATTCCTTTCGGAGGAAATGCCGACGACTGTTTCCCACCATCTTTGGTGATCCGAATGAATTTCATCGTACTGAGACCAGACCAGTCGCCATTCCATGCCGCAAGAGCCTTAATCACATCTCTCTGGCTAATATCAGGCATCCAGAAACCCGTCTTATATTCCTTGCTTTCTAAATCAGTTCGTTGTAGCAAGACCTCTTCCCGCTTACTGGGAGGTCGGCCTTTCCGGCGCTCACTTTGTAATTGTTCGATCTCAGGGACGCTGCGGTTTATATACCTGAATTTTAACCGTTAGTAGGTGTTGAGTAGGATGGAATAAATTGTCGCCCAATTCTCTACTTACCGTGTGACCACGTCCATCATGTCTCTATCGGAAAACGGCTCACTTTCCTCAGGGATATTCTCTTGGAAATAGGTAATCCGGTCCACTAGAAGTAAGCGGTTAGTCAAATGCGGTAGTTCAGCATAGCATATGTTGTGTATACCATAATGTAGTCTTCCTCGGGATAGATTTGTATTGACTCGAGCGACTCGATCATCTCTCGCACTGGCCCGACGCAGCCTTTTCGCATCTCGGCTGTTCTCATGAAGAGCTTCGACGACTCCACGCTTTTTAGCGATATGCTTTTGGACCTTCTGGAGAGACTTCGGCATGATGAATATAGTTTCTCAACGTGCCTTGTAGGTGTGCGAAAAGCCTGCGCAATGATCATAGGCTTTTCTTAACTCTTCCCTTTTTTTACTTTATTTTTTTTTTTTCTGCGGCAGAACATCTAGGCGGTGACAACTGCAACTATGTACCGCCTGCGGGCAGCCAATCATGATACGATTGTATGCATCGCGTTCCTTCGCGTCGGAGGGCCGGCAAATCAAACATTCCAGTCTCGTTGTCTAGGTCATTGTCATTTGATGGTTCGACCTGACTCCTTGACCGATATTATTTCGTCCCTTTCTATGCCAATATCTCTCCTATGTTTCCAATGCTCTAGACCGTCCTTGACGCCTAAGCAACCACACGGTCACCTCTGATGCCCGTTTTGGCTGCGCAGGTAAACAAGAACGAGGAGTATCCTGTCCTCTATTAGTGTCCACAATGGGCATTAAAGGTAGGACAATTACCAGTTTCTGTTTGTAAAAGTCTGCAAGTTATTGACTTAAGATGCAGGACTTCATGGCCTCCTCAAATCCATACAAAAGCCATGTCACCTAAAGAAGTACAATGGACAAACAGTGGGAGTTGATGCCTATGGATGGCTACACCGAGGGACAGTTGCATGTGCAGTCGACTTGGTCCTGGACAGACCTACAACTAAGTACGTTTCTACAAGGTTAATGCAGCCTAGGGTCAGTGCTAACGTCGGCAGACACATTGACTTTGTTCTCAACAGAGTGCGCATGCTTCTCTATTTCGGGGTGACACCATACCTCGTCTTTGATGGAGACGATCTGCCTAGTAAATCTGGAACCGAGTCAGACCGTCATAAAAGGCGCCAAGAGAGTAAAGTTCTGGGGCTAGAGCTTCAACGTAAAGGAAGGACAATCGAGGCTTACCAGGAATTGCAAAAGGCCGTTGACGTGACACCTATGATGGCTCGCCAGCTGATAGAGGAACTGAAGAAGATGAAAGTGCAATATGTGGTCGCACCGTATGAGGCGGATGCGCAACTTGTTTATCTGGAACGGCAGGGCATCATCAATGGCATTTTATCCGAGGACTCTGACTTGCTTGTATTCGGTGCGAAGCGGCTACTATCAAAGCTTGACCAGCATGGTGACTGTATCGAGATCAATCGCGCGGACTTTACAGCCTGCCGGGAAGTAAGCTTCATTGGGTGGACAGACGCTGACTTTAGACGCATGTGCATCCTCAGTGGCTGCGACTATTTGCCTAACATTGCAAAGATGGGCCTCAAGACGGCATATCGCAGCATCAGAAAATACAAGAGTGTCGAGAGAGCACTACGTATGCTTCAGTTTGAGGGTCAATATCGTGTCCCGGCGGACTATCTCGAAAATTTCAAGCAGGCCGAGCTTACATTCCTTTACCAGAGAGTGTTTTGCCCGAAGGCCGGAAAGCTGGTGACTTTGACTCCACTGGATGATGATGTCCAACTAGAAGAACTGACGTTCATTGGGAAAGATGTGGACCCGGACACTGCTGTGGGAGTCGCCTATGGTGAACTGGATCCAACCACGAAAGAACCACTCATCGTGAAGCCTCTAGGAGTGCGAAATCTAGCTAACGGTATAAGTCGCCGCCAAACGCTAGGATCGGCAGCAGAGTTGAAGCCGAATAAACCCATTAGTTCATTCTTTACTCCGAAGCGGGTTCCTCTGGCTGAGCTAGATCCGAACAGTCTCACCCCATCACCAAGCCAGCAAAGACTCTTAGAGCGGCATGCCAACAGCTCCTGGGAAAGCAACTCGGTGCCCTCGCGGTCAGGCAATGCAGTAGCAGCGCCTCTCCGTAGAAATAATTCATCCAGTCCATTGGTGAGGAGTGTAGAGCGCAACTCTTTCCTAGCTCATGCCTCGCGGATGTCCAATTTACAGCCTGTCAAACGACCGCGGCTTTGTTCCGAGACGGACGAGACCGCCTTGTCTAGCCGACCAGATTGCCGCAGCCGTTTTTTTGCATCTGGACAACTTGAGTCCAGTCCAAGTGGACTAAAAGCTACGAGCTGCAAAAAAGCCCGCAAGTCGACATTAGATGTCTTTTCTGATGAAATTGCAGAAGACATATTGTCCCAGCTTCCTGATCCTGCACAAATTGGTTGTGAGGCAAAGCAAGAATGCAAGGCTCCCAGTGAGGACCGTAAGGACATCACTGAAGAGGTTACCCATGTGCAGATTGCTTCAGCTGCCCTTGACAACGATGAACTTCTCGGACATGGTAAAGGGGAACCTGAGCATGCAGACAAGATTTCGACCACAACAACCAATGCACCTGGTGACGGGATGAGTGAGGAATCCAACCCCGAAGGCTATGATCAAGGTCCGGATGATCACGTCGCAAAACAAAACCCATCTATGCTATCCAAGTATACATTTGAGCCACACGGAGGCAATACTAGATCCAAGAAAATCAGGGAGAAAAAATCTCCTAGGTCCTCTAAGACATCCACTTTGCCCAGCGTAAAGTATGGAGCCTCCGGGATTTCTCCCAAGCATCAGCGCTTGACGCCATTACAACGTTTAGGAGAAACTGCCTTGGGTCGATCGCGGTCTATGAATAACATCGCCCCGTTTGCACGACCGAGTGCTTCCAGTTTTTCGCGAACAAGCAGTCTCAGGGGTGACATGGCACTAAAGACTAGTTTTATCGCACAAAAGGGTAGCGAAGACATGATAGTTCCGGATAGCGAAGACGAGACCGACACTGAAGACATCATCAGTGATCGACAAAAGCCTGCTACATTGGACCTCAAGCAATTCTCTTTCACGGGTCGTTGAAAGATTTCTGGACCGAAAATATTGTATACATATATTAGCGCGCTGTCAGTTTTTATTATTTTTTTTATTTTTTTTTTGTCTTTTTTGCCTTAATTTTTAGATTATTGGATGACTTGGAAGACCATCTGACATAGGCAGCACGGCGTTTTGAGGCATTGGCATTGGTGCATGTATGGTTTGCGTATCATATTCATATCCTACCTAGGTTGGGCGAAGACGGGTGACGCCTTGTCTGATTATAGATTGATGCCTGAGAATAAACAGTGTCACTCGTAACGAAACTTCCGAATTGAGGAGGCTGGGGAGATCCCGTGCTGATAATCGGCGATGCTAATCCAAAGTGGGACGTGGACCAATCCAGATCGGCGCTAGTGCTATTGGTGGGGCATATCTGCCCGATCCGGCCTAGGTGCTGCTGTAGAATGGCAGGCGGTCAGGGGCGGTTACCGGGGAACGGCAGGTGTAAACAAAACGGGCTTTGGCCCAGCCTCCAATTTGACCTTGTATAGACATTCCCAGCCACCAGACTATCATCACCGTCCACCGTCATTCTCTTGATCGTGTCAATTGGGCTTGGTCTCAGAAGCGAAAGATTTGTCTAGCTACGATCTAACCCCCTCCTATTCCCTTCCCCTTTCCTATTCATTCCCTTTCCTGTCATTACCTGACCCTGACTTTGGCCCTGGCCTTGTGTTATTCAATCCACATTTTTCGGGATATTGCACCACGCGAGTTTGCGGTCCCCATCTCTGACGAATATCAAAATTTTGTCCAGGTCTGGTCGTAAGGGGGGGAACTACATTCCTTGGACCTTCGTCGACGATATCCCCAACTCGGCCCTCGATCCACATTCCATACCGACGACGTTATTGCCCAACTATCTGGCATTCCCTCGTTTTTGCTTCCCGACTGTCTCGTGTCAGCAGCTTCACCGTGGGCGAAAACTGCATCTATCCTGTTCGCGCAAGTGTTGGAATAGTCAACAAGTCAGCCATTCAGCGATTTACGGACACTCCTTCTCGGGGGGCCCGAGAAGCGAGTTATAACGTGAGAAGAAAGGAAGGATATAAGGTTAATCGATCAAGATGGCTTTTCGAATTGGAGCCGGGTTTGCTCGTACGTAACGTGTGTTGGGAAAGGATTCCCTAATGTATATGCTAATCCTTTCTCATAGGGTTCATTCCGATGATCGGTTACCACCATGTGCTGATGATTATTATTGCCGTTGCTATCATTCTCCTCTGTGGGTTATCTCTTAAGCTATGCTATGGAATGTTGCTAACGATACTAGCCCTGCTATTGGCTGGTTGCTCGTCATCCTCTCCGCAAATACCGAGCATATTCTTGATTTCCATGTACTATAAGCGCTACGATCCAGTATTCAACCTCGCGCAAGTGGACCCCGGCGTGGTGACCGCAATGGCAAATATTGTGGGTGGGGCGGAAATGGAGGTTCGTGTGGGTTATTTTGGAATCTGTGTGCAGCCGACTGGTGGATCTTACATCTGCAATTCGAATGCGACAGCTCTGGCGGAGATCGTTACGGTCGACCAAGACCCGCTGAACCTGATCTGGGTGGCTTCGACTTTTAAAGATGCCGTGGTCTTCCCCTATTTATTGTACGCCACCCTGCGGTTTGATTTCCCCATATCAATAAGTTAATGTAGCTAACTGAGTCTATGCAGGATCATTGCCGTTATTCTCGCCTTTTTCTGCTTTATTCTCCTCGCCACTTTTCCTGGATGGCACGAGGAGATTGATGCCAGCGGTTCCGAGCGAGAGGTGAAGCCATTCCCTTCACGGCCTGTGTCGCAAGCAGCCTTGGCCCTTATTTTTGTGGCGTCTGTCTTCGTCCTTGTCTCGGTACTATGGCAACATACAGCGTCCGTTGCTGCGAGTACGATTGCCCAGGACATGGGTAATGGTAGTGTAAGAAGTGGAGTAGGCACTTCTGCGATGGTTCTGGGCTGGTTTGGATTCGGACTTATGGTCGTCGTCACTATCGGCCTACTGGTCATGATCCTCAGCATAAAGTTGATAAGGCAGTTGACGGATGAAGAATAGTCCGCAGCTCAGGATCTCTTTGATATCTCTTTATTTCCTTTTTTTTTTTTTTTTTTTTTTTTGCGACGCACGAGTTTTGGACGGAATGAACACGAACGGCATATGAATAATACGACGATCGCATTTGGAATGATAAGTATAATGAACCTAGGCTCCCGAGGGCTTCACACTGTTCATTATATTAGATTTATCACAACCCACTTCTTTCTTTACCCCGACCCTCACACACTTGTACATTCTGCTGTGCTTGGTTTTACTGGACTCTGTTATGTATAAAAGGCGATTTTTCTTTTCTATTGGGGTAATAACGGTAGGATCTGGGAAATGGGACATGTGTGGAATGGTTTCTTTGGAATTGTCAATGAATTTTCTTTTCTCGACTCTATCATGATGTGATAATTATGGCGACAGCGCATATGGATGAGATGCAAAATGCATGACGAATGCGATCAATTTAACATGCATATCTTTCCTTTTATATCCTTTGCTTTTCTTTCCTCTGTAGATACAAGTAGACAAACATACATATAATGGTCATAGTCTTCCACTGAATCTTATATATCTTATATTCACCCCTCGCTCCTCTTCATACCCATACAATCGCACATTCCTTGAGACTATTCTTGCTCTCAGACGAGACTTTGTCATTCCACACCGGTGTATCATATCCTATATGTAATCGATCTCGATTGAGTCGATTTATTCACGCGTATATTTAATTTGTCTCCGCTTTAGTGCATGAGGCATGGCTGTACGACACTGCAGGTAAGCGTGGTTGCATGCACGTAAGTAACTTTATTACAAGCCGGCCTATTGATGCATAGTAACAAATTGCATTTATACTTTCCAAGATCGGCAGTAAGAGGAGAACTTGAACTTGACCCGAGTATATCAGTGGCAAGGAGAAGTCCATAGAATAAGGTGTTCAAACCATTATTCGGTTCAGATATCTATGACAACGTCCGACACGATCAATTACTGTATTGCACGGCTCATGGACGTACCCTAAACGAACTATGAGACAACACATGAATGCACCTGGCCGAGTGCACTCTGCTCTGGCTTTGGGAATTTAATCACATTTTTTGCGTGGTAGGCTGGGAAACGCTATTGCTCCACGATTGATCTATAGGGATATCGACATCACGACTTGTGTGCGTGCACACTCACTCCGAAGAACATTTGACAATCGTCAAATAATAGGCCATTATATGATGTAATTAAACTAGATTCAAATAAGAATTCTAAGTTCCTACTAACAAACTTTTCCCCTCGTGAAAGGCTCTATACCTCATATGGTATGCTCCGGTAGGAATAAGATTCTTGCAACTTGTCAGCCGGCAATCAACTTTTCACAGGCGACACTGTGTAAATAAGACAACTTGGAAATTTGTGAAACTGATTTTCTTTCCATTCAGGCACTGGTGGTAGGGACCTGCGAGTAAATAGCTCTTGTCCTCCAAAGGATAGGTATGGCTCTGGCTTCTATGGTGCATTGCCAAATGCTACCCTGGATCAAGACCAACGGAAATAATGTGTCATTGGATAGCCCAAAAAGTCACATTGAGCGATGTCCTGAAAGTTCGCTCTCACACTAGGGAAGCCCATGAGCTGCATGGGTCCTTCGAAGTTTGAGATTGGCTCCCATCGATCAAAGTGCTTGATTACGTCCAGCGTCGTAGAGTATCCACGGGCTTGGAGGTATTCACCCGGTGGGTTTGGTTGGCCTGACCGAACAAATTCAGAAAAGTATGCCGAAACGACTCGGACTGAATCTAGGTCTGGAGGGTCTCGGAGGGTTTCCAGGTTTCCAAAAACCCAAGGGAGGTCAGACGCACGGCCACGAAAGTATGGTACCTCCGGATCTCCGTTGGGGAGCTCTGATGTTGCCGGTGGCCTGTCTATATTATTGGGATTCCAGCCTGCAGAGGTTCTCCCAATTTGATAATAATAAGAAGGCTTAAATCTCCCGGAAGTGAATCCTGTGAACGCAGTTGCCTGATTGACGCAGCGAACCCGAAGGTCCGTGGACACACGTTGGGCCACATTAAAAGAATCACCAGTCATATTTCCGGAGTCGTGATAAGGGAAAAGGCCTGAGTCCAGAATCCTTTGAGCGTGTATCTCATCTATTCCCAGGGCCGCCTGAATTCCTTCAGTGGGTGACTTGATGGATGCAGGAGGGTATTTGCAAAACGAAGCACCGTCATTCGCCCCATTCCCAAAGATGACAGGAATGCCTGAATTTTTGCCCTTATTGACGAGATCGAGCTCCCTTGAGGTCACATAATGACCGTCCTGGACGATATGCCGTGCAGCAGTGTTTAATCGAGAAAGGGCAGATGCCGAGACTTGCCTTAAACACGATACTTGCTGCTTAATATTCCCTTTACCACAGCCGGCTTCTGAAAATATCCGTTTCCCCGTGGCATTGTATGATTCGGCAATGGTAATAAACGAGCTGTATGTTGTTGCATAATCGCTTCCGAGGCCTAGTCCAACACCACCGCCCAGGTTGGACATCACAACAGCCCCTTGGAACATCCCCAAAGCAGGGGAAGACCCCAATAGAGCTCTCACAGAAGCTGCACCGGCAGATTCGCCGATGATAGTGATCCGATTAGGGTCACCGCCGAATTGGGCAATATTCTTGGTGGTCCACTGCTAACGTCAGCATCATGAATATAACTATATAACCAAACACGATTCCTGTTACCTCAAGAGCAAGTACCTGGTCGGCGATGCCGTAGTTTCCATGAATATCCGTCCCAGGAACAGCCAAAAAACCTAGAGTGGAGAGTCGATAGTTGAATGTCACAACCACGATGTCCTCACGCGAAGCTAGGTTGCCACCATCCGTCAGACGGTCAGCACCTGACCCATTAGTGAAATCGCCGCCATGAATCCAAAACAGTACAGGCCTTAAACCCTTCTTAGCGTCGTTTCTGGGAATATATGGCGTATAGATGTTCAAATACAGACAATCTTCACTGCCACCTCCCGCCTGCGCGCAACTTGGTCCATAGTTTGTGGCCCGAATCACCGCTGATTTTTTTGGGGAATGGAGCGTTGCGTACGTGAATCTTTGCGGCGTGTTGGCATAGGGAATTCCCAAAAAACGGAAAGACTTTTGGTCTCGAAACCCGATATAGGAATTATTTCCAGACTCCATTCTCACTTCCTTGCGTCTCGCATGCTTTGCCGCAACCGTGACACTAGAAGAGACTGTATGGGTACATAAGACGGGTAGTTTAAAATCGCGGCCGGGATATGGCAGCATCTGAAAATCATCCGAGTCCTTAGTGACTGAAAGGAGGCCATTGCGAATATAATAGCTATTGGTCGGCTTTGCTCTACCGGAGTAGACGAGGTACGAGAACAGGTGTTTAAAATCTTCCCTATGGTCTTCTAGGGTTTGTTTGGAGATCATCGTCTCCCCAATGTCTCGACAAGCGTCTCGAATATCATACTGGTGCATACCATCCAAGAGAATTGCCCCGACATGAGTTGAGTCGTCTGAACCATTGAGGTTGTTGTGGTAAAGTAGGGTGACTGAAGTCTGTTCATTAACCACAGGAACGTAACTAGAAATTGGCTGAGGGCGGTTATGGGGATTTAACCCAAGGGCCAGGGGCGCAAGAATTGCAAGGATAAGTAGACAATCCATTGTTGTGATCACTGTGCATGGTCGCTGTTTATTTTCATTTGGAACGAGTAGCACGCTTTGAAATCAAAGAATACGCTAATCTTCGCCCATTGTAAGCAGCTAATACCACTCTATCCCACTGTCTTGTTTGAGGAGGTCCTGGAGACATCTCAATCAACGCAAGAAGGAGAGGGGGAAAAAAGCAAAAGTGTATTGACCCGAAATTAAAAGGTAGCATCGTTCTCTTCTGCAAATTGGCAAAAAGTGGGGGCAACTGCCACGCTGTGCCTGGACTAGGGGCGCTTCAAGATGGGATGCATCCAAGGCTGGCGCTAAAACCAATGCAGTGAGAGTCCTGTTGAGGAATCAGCGTCAAAGTCAAACAGATCCAGAAACTGGGACGCGGTCTTGGTTAGATCTAGACTGGGCAATGAGCTGAAACGAACAGCTGAATATCCAGCCGTTAGCGGCTGGTCTAAGAATAGATAAGATTGTATTCCGGAGGCGATTGATTTGGACTATCAGTCAATGCCCACTGGAATAGACCTCAAAACACCTCGGACTGATCAATGCTCATGATCTGACTTGCACACTAGTTCGTCAAGATCACTACTTTTAACAGCTATTTTGGAAAGGATAGTCAGGTTCATGCACGAACCATTCTCTACAGATAACTGACTGTACCGCATCCGATTACGCTCTGGCCGAGTCGATGGAGATCATATGTACCAGGCTCCACTACCCAGGACACAGTGGGGCGGACCTCGCGCAAATAGCCTAACCGCTTTTGGATATACAGAGCTGGTAGCGATTCATCACATGACCTACAGAAGCGGTTAGGCTACTTGCGCGAGGTCTACCCCACTTGAGACTGACCAGTGTCACCTGATCAACTATGTCTCGCATACGCCGTAATTTGCCAACGACAAGATGTCTCTTCCTGGTTCACGAGGGTCACAGCCATAGACCCACTGTTTTAAATGGTTTATATTTAGAAATATAACCTCGGGCTCTTTCCCCCAATCAGCCAGAATGGTCTCATGATGCACAGGATTTAAGGTAGCTGCAGGACAAGATCTACTTCATCCCTGTGTCACTTGGGCGCATATTGCTTTAATCCGTGCAACTGTCTAGGCCCTATCGAACTTCCTGCCATCCTAGAGTTTCGTTAGCTTGTATTGTTTAAGAGCCATTCGACTGATCGGGTCCATTCGACCAACACACATACTGTGCTCTGGTCATCGATTAACTGCTGGGTCCCATTCCTAGTCCATTGGACAAATATATATATACAAAAATCATTCGCAGGAATATGTGGGCAAAACTGTCTGCAAAGAGAACAGCGGCTAGGATAGCGAGACGGGATGGAATGCGGAAAATCGAAGACAAAAGAGTAAGTTGCAACCCTTCCTAGAGGATCCCGAGCGTTCAAGGATTTGGAGGGCAGAGGAAAGGCAATTGTCTTTATTTCTCTCTAAATCGTGCGGCTGGAACCAGCCGGTTGTTTCGGAAACACAGTAGGCTATTTACTACAATCATTAATAGAACTATTGAAAAGAGGTAGTTATATTCAGCATTACAGATATTGTATGGACCAAACAAGTCACAGAAGGCTCAAGCACACTAGGATAACCCTCATACGCTAACTGGTTGAAGAAAGTGGGAAAAGATTTAATAATTCATCACTGGCCCACTACCTGGACCAGGCTTTTCCTCATATCCTCCTCCTTCGTGCCCTCCATAGTCATCCAATGATCTATAGCCTGGAGGGCCAGCATCGCGGCCACGGCCACGGCCACGGGCGCCTCCCCGACTGGAGTTTCCTCTTCCTCGCGAACCCGTGCCACGGCCACGACCGCGGTGGGATCCACGACGAGGGCCATCATCAAGATGTCGGCCACTGGCCCCATGACGGTGGTATTGGTGTGGCCGTCCTGGAGATGGGTTATCAGGTCCGTTTGGATAATAATAATCCTGTCGATGGCGTTTCTTATTGTTTTTATTCAGGAACTGACTTTCCCATTCGCCCTCGTTAGGGTTCTCCTCTTCGACACGGAGGACTACTTTCTCCCCGACGACGGTCTCAAGGGTCAAGGCTTTATCACTAGGGACAGGTTGCCAATTTTGAATCTTGCCGGCATCAATTGGCCGTGCGCCTTTGCGCACTGCAAGCACTACCACAGGACATGGATTCTCAGTGTAGTATTTCTCTGTTGCTGGGACAGGGGTCAGCCGAGCAGCCCAGACTTTGTTCTCGAAAACTGCAGTTCCTGTGATCTGCCAGCTCAGCTTTTTCCCAATGCCACCAATCTTATCCAAAATGGACCTAGGGGCAGGGCGTGGGGTGATTAGAATACAGTTAGCCATGTACTTCAAATCATTGGAATCAGCAAGCCCGGAGGGCAGCATTGGAGTTAATAACTGGCTAATCAGACGACCGGAGTCTGCGTTGGAGATAAGATAGGCAGTGTAGAAGATAGTGCGCTTGATGCGGAGCCGACCATACGGCGACTTTGTCCCATTGAAGGTTGGGTCGCGAATAGAAAGGTTGTGGGAATTGATCATACGTTGTACCTCAGCTGTTTCGATTACGGGAGAAAGAAACATAGACCCTTCAGCTACCTGTATCACCTCCGCATTGATTGGTTTTCTGGAACAAGGCGTCGAAGTAGACTGAAACTTCCGGTTCTGCAGCTCGAAGAACTCTCGGAAGTGTTTAACACTGATACAGGGTCAGAAGCAGTAACGCGGCCAATCGATCACCATACTCACTGCTTCACACGATCTTCATAGACGCGAATCTCGTCAGCCTGCTCATATGTGAGAACGAGGTCTTCAAGGAAAGATTGTTTGAATTCCATGGTTGTTGAAAACCGCTCGCTGTTGGGGCCAACCTCGGGCTTGAGGCAAATCAGATCAAACTCAAGCTTCCTACTGTCCACAATCCGGCGGATAAGATCCACAAAGCCAACTTCACTCCGTCCGGTAAGGAGCACGGTCAGGGCGTCTTTCTGTTCCATACTAAGCTTGACCAATTGCACCTACAACATATTAGTCAACGTGTCGACAGTAGTGGAGCGTACAGAAGTCGCACAATCTGCTCGTTCCACCATCCATCCCACGCACGAGGTTCTTCTTTCTCAATTCCATCCCCTGTAGAAGCGAGTAGATTCGGGTCGTGCCACCATCCGCCGTTCGCGAAGCTCTCGTAGGATTGCAGGAACCCGATGGTAGGGCCGTTCCATATTTGAGGGTTCGGCAGCGGGCTCGAAAACACTACATATAATTAACCCCAAGACATCCATGGGCACCATGTCACCAGTTCATCCTTACACGTGTTGTCGAAATCGTAGACATGAATAGCTCTTACTTGCGGCACCGCTGTGCGGCGAGGAAAAGGCAAGTCAGCATGATAATGATAACTAGATATAAGCTGAGCGAAAGAGAAAGAATCCAGACCTGGTAAGCTTCGATTGATGATAGACCACCGCCTAAGACCTGTAATAGTTCGTGTGGGCGACCGTTGATGGTCTTGGGCCAGAGCCCCATGTGCCTGTCCACGCGACATTGATGTAGAAGCGAGGCGAGACGCGTTCTCTGCAACCACAGATCTTGCTGACCTCATATCTTGCAAACCATAGGAATGGCGTTCAAATGCTGTATTTGTTAGTGCATCTCTCGTAGTGATCTCTCTACGATGATGGTTCCGGCGTTTGGTGGTGGTCGTCGGATTGAGCCAGCGACCGTTTCGCCGCGGAATTTTTGCCATCGCCGACCACAACGTGACCTCCGCTAACACCCCGATTTTGCTGATGGGCCTGGATTGGATTCCCATCAGAGGACCGGAAAGGCTTCTGTTGCGCTCTCAGGTGCCACACTGATGTCTGACGATGTCGACATTCAGCAAGAAATTCTGCAGAGAACTCTGCAGGAGGTAGTGCAGGAGGAGAATGATGAGGTGGCTAACCCATGTGTCATTTGTCTGGAGCCCGTCTCAGAAAGCGCTCTCGCCGTGCCTTGCCAGCATGCGAATTTCGATTTTTTATGCCTTATGAGCTGGCTCGAACAGCGCCGCACTTGTCCCCTTTGTATGTTGCAGGGTGTCGTTTCACATTCTCAGGGCTAATCCAAAGGTTTCAGGTAAGAGCGACGTGCAGTCGGTGAAGTACGACCTCAACTGTTCGGAAGGCCCAAAGATTTACCAGCTACCTGAGCTTCCTCCTCCAACCACCAATACCCAATCCTCTACAACACATTTCCCGCAAGGTTTTGGAACGCGACATGGTCCTCACCGCCGACGACGCCCTCCAAGCCCGCGGCCACAAACGCCCAATGACCCCCTTCTACGACGGCAAAATGTGTACCGTCATCAGCTATATTCGCTCCGAGTTGGCTCTAATCGCATTTCGCAATATCGCGAATTTACCCCCGACATGTTCAATCGCGAAGAAGATCTCGTTTCGCGCGCCCGCAAATGGATACGGCGTGAGTTGAAGGTCTTCGCTTTCCTGAACACAGAGTCAGAGACCGAGACAGGCTCACTCAGGGACCGGGTGACTCGGCCTGGGCAACAGAGACTAGAGAACCGCCGGAGCAATAACGCCGAGTTTCTTCTGGAATATGTCATTGCTATTCTACGCACTGTGGATATTAAAGGTAGTGCCGGTCAGGCTGAAGATCTCTTACGAGATTTCCTAGGGAGGGATAACGCACGCCTTTTTTTGCATGAGTTGCAGGCCTGGCTTCGGAGCCCTTTTACGTCCCTGGAGGACTGGGATCGCAATGTCCAGTATGAGGATGCAGCTCCCAGAGTCGGTACTAGTACAGGTCGTCAGGATCCATTGACATCCGACCGGACATCGACTCCTGTGTACCGGGGTCGTGGGCGCGGCTTCCGCGATGGCGTGACAAAATCTCACTATCTACGAAGACCACAGCACCAAGGGAGATCCAATGATCCCTTGGCGCGGGCAAGGAGGTTGCAACATGCGCGGAATCGATACGCTCCTGACTAAGGATCTCTCATTATCTCATGAAGTTTATTAATTATGTAATGTCCTTGGAATTAGATATATAGATGAACGCTTCCTCTGTGACAAGTTGGTATCTATAATAATGATGCTCTTGGGTCATTGCTCGTGAGATGCTGAAAGCTAGCGGAGGTACCTGATCTTTCACCTCCTGCGAAAACGTCCTGCGCCTCGGCCTTTGGTACCTCTGTTTCGAATTTTCAATGATCGGTAATTGGCATGCGCTTCAGGATTGACCTTCCGTTCTCGTGGTTTCTTATTTTCATCTGTTTTGGTCTGAGGCTGTGATGCTTTCTGTTGGTCTTTAGGCTGGGGCTCAGAGACTCCGATGGCCTCCTTGATCTTCTCAGAAAAGCTCTTGCTCCTTGTAATGGACTTGACCTGTTCTGTGTACTCGGGATCAGAGTCCACATCTCCATCGGACAGTGTATGAAGCGAATCGATATCGTCAAAGGCGTCGGCCCATATCTCTTCATGATTTTTTTCGGAATTTAGGCGTTGTGTTTCTGGGACTGCCGCGAGCTCGTCGTCGCTTTGCTTTTCATTGCTATCATTTCCCTTGGGGGGATCTGATAAATGCGGTTCGGGTTTCGATTTCGAGACGACCGGTTTCATGTGCACTCGGCGTGTTGTTCGCTTCTGGCCTTTCTTCTTGAACGGCCGCCCGGTGTTATTGTCTGGTATCTGGCTATCACCAACTTCGACATTTGATGCAGCTGCTTGTTCGGCTTCTATCTCATAAAGCACGTCTAGCTCATCCTGCAACTGCTCTTCTTCCATGTCTCGTAGGCCTTGCACTAAAGCCGATAAACCCTTGCCAACGAACTGCGCTGGCTTTCGCACGGGCATCGGACTCAATTCCCCAGCATTACTGGAGGAGTTGGTAGGACCGTAGCGTGCGGCGTTGGATCGTCGCAGGAAAGATGGTGTGTCCGACTCTGCAGTTTCTTGTGGATTTGCTTCTGCATCGGACCGTTTTTCTTGAGCCCCTGCCTCTGGATCGTTCTCGTTTTCCACCATGGCAGCAAAGCGTAGCGTTGTTGGGGTGGCAAAGAGTGTTGAGAGCATATACTTTTTCCCTGACGAAGCAGGCGTCCGTTCAGCTCTAGGGCTTTCTTCTTCCTCCTCTTCCTCTTCAGGAATGGTATCCATAGTTCTTCGCTTTGATGGAGTCTGAATAGCCGCCCCTTGGATACTTGCAATCCTATTAGCCGAGGGGGTTACAGTACTACCACCAGAATCAGAGAGAAGATCGAACAGGCCAAGCGCCTTTCCATCTCTTTGAGGAGTGGGACCAATGGCTGTCTTCAGCGGGGAGGAGGACTGTTGATGAGTAGACGGGCTAAATAGCCTGCGGAATATTGACGGTGAGTCGTATGGGTCAACCTGGGAGGGATGAGAGCTCTCCGCCCGTGGTTTTGACGGCGTCGTAAAGGGTCCCTTTGTCGTCTTGCGAGGAGAGCTCGTGTTGTAGTCATTCCCAGGGCCTGTAGGAGACCCGTGCTTGCGTTTTTTGGGGCGGTCATCCGGCTTTACATCTTGTGACTGGCGTTGTTTCCCGTGTTTGGATGACGCTTCGAGGGATTTAAGTCGTGAGTATTCCTTATATTTGGCCGCTGGAATGAAAATAGAGGTTAGTCAAACTGATTGCGCAGTGACAAGCAAGAGGAGTGGAACAAGACATACCTATTTCAGGAACCTTCTTGATATCGCTACGCTCTGCTTTTTTCCCTTCATTGGCAGCTGCAAAATCTCTCTCCCACTCTTTCAGTTCTGCTCGTAGGTTGGATGAGAGTGTTGCAATTTCTGAGACATCAACGCTGGCCATTATTGCATGTTGAGACTAAATGGACAGTGGAAGAGGCCTGGAAGAAATACGCAGTTGAACAACAGCAAAGTAAAATAAGACACTAGCACAAGGAAGCATTAAGATGATCGTAATGGGAGACTACTAAACAGTTGCTCGTCCGTCGCGTGCGCGAAATCAATTAACGCGGGTCTGTACCGCGGATGACGTAGCGTGTTTCGACCGGATTCACATGACTACTGTATAGGGATTCAATCTTCATCTCACGTCCACGCTAGGTATTGCTATCATTATCGTGTCATTCTAGTGATTTATCAAGTTTAGACTTTGAAATTCCCAGGTAATCCTCCATTCTCTCACCAACTCGTCAGCCCTCGTTGTCTGTCAAACCCTCCTCTTAATTGAGATTCCGGATGCACTACCTTCCCTTGTAAGAGAGTGTATTTAACCACACCCTCGCAGTGCTCTGGCTTGATCCTTGCCAGCCAAATCAATTGCTCCTCTTTCTTCCGATAGATCAGGACATTGGCCGAGAACTTGTGGCCGCCCACGTGGGAAACGAAGAAAATCCCCACTCCGCCCGGTCGTTCATCGTCTGCATCTCGATACAACCCGAGAGGTCGTAAATGTCGTTCCAGCTCTCGCTTGATCAAAGGAGCGGTGATACCACACCGCGCATCTCGCCGTTTATGAGAGCAAAGAAGTACCACGTAATCATATTTGCATGGCCGCGACGGTAACCGAGAGCTGGCAGGTTTTCCATCCGGACTAGACTGCGGAGCGTCGATGAAGCAGTCCACGAGCTCTTTCACATCATCGCTCGTTACTGAGTCAACAAATGTAAATGAAGGTAAAAGCAACACGGTGCTTCCGTTCGGCCTTTGATGACCACAGTCTGTGTCATGGTCCGGTTCTTGGAGGTTCGATGCGGAGACCATTATTCTCTGGTTACCTTAGTTGCATCCAGGGCAGATAGGTGTCTTGTAAAATGAGAATTCAAGAATACATACTCCGTGTTTTGATTTGGCAGAGGTGCGATCAAAGGCTTCCATTAAGCTCCCTTTTTCGTCCTCGACATGTTGCTTCCAATCTGATTTGCCGGTAGCTACCAGGACATGTGTGTTCACCGGTTTCAAGTGCCCATACAGCGGTTTCAAGGTCTCGACTTTTACTTTCGGAGGGAAATGTGTTGTACAGTCAGCGCAGTCCTTCTTACAGTCTGGGCCATCCTCTGCTGGGTCCACGGTCGGGAAAACATAGTTCTCGCGGTGGATGCCACCCAGCGACAAGAGGGAGCGCAACATGATACTCGAGTTTCTCGGAATCAATTCGAAGCTTGGGTAGTATAGTAAAATTGTGTTGCAAATAACTATGTAAAAGAGGGATCGAAAAACAGAAAATTAAGACAATTAACGACTATATGCTTATAGGCAGTTGGAAGGCTGATATATACTAACAGAGGGGTTCGGAGAAGCCCAGAATACTCCGAAGCCGAGCTCCGAACTAGGTACCTTGATTATCTCAATTGCACTAGTAAGAATGAGTTATAATGAGTTACAATGAACACTTCCTGCAGCGAGTATAGAACAACAATAGTATCTACGTGGTAGGTGAATGAAGTGGCATGATACACGATGCTAATACGGAGTAGTGGAGCCTGATGGTACTAGGCACCTATATTTGACGGACATGCAGTATCCAAAATCAGTGCCTATTTTCCATCACAGTCTAGATCGAGATAAAAGATTGTAGCCTAGCATGGATATCAGGACTAACTCCGTGCTAACGTAGGCCCGACTATAACGCCTATCAATCGGGCTTTCTGGGGTCGTAGACGAACAGCTGAATCCCCTTACGGCATATATTACCCAATGTGGTAAATACACCCGGTGGGCCTCACGTAAGCTCTTTTTTTATTTATTTTTGGTTGAGTACTAAAAAAACAAACAAAAAAAAAAAAAAAAAAAAAAAAAAAAAAAAATTAAAAAAAAAAAAGAGGTGAGCTGTGCTGAGTCTCCACTCATGATCGAGGGAAACGGGGAAACGAAGAACCATGACGGCCACTGATTCCCCGCCATCAAAGACTGAGACCTGCTCTTTTCCTCCCAATTCTGTCCAATCCCCATCCTGTTGCGACCATGACAGATGTCCAGCAGCATCTCGAGGCTCCTCACCCAGAGCCTCAGCCGGAACAGCGTGTCCGAAAGAGACGTCGCCGGACAATGGCCTGTACGCAATGTCGCAGTAGGAAGCTCCGCTGCGATCGCGATTATCCCATCTGCGGCCGCTGTCAGAAAAGCAAAACGCCCAACAGCTGTACCTATGAAGACGGCTTCCTTTGGCAGCAACCCAATACGGTTGCTTCACCCGCGTTCCCCGACCGAGGTTCCACTGCCGCCATGGCTCACTTGCCCCGACTCGATCGGACGAACGCTGCCCCGGACTCGGGGATAAGCTCTCATCCCACTCGGGCGCTCCCAACAACGGCACCCAGAGGAGAAAAACGAGACAAATTTCTGGAAACCGTCTTGGGAGCCCCTAGGGCGGCAGTGGACCAGGAGTCCTATGTGAATAGAGAGGTGCTACAGCGTCCCAGACATACTTCCGAGCATCCTCGGGACGCACTATCACGCCCACGCCCTGTCAAAGATGATGATAGTCCCCCGTCTCCCTCGCAGCAACTTGTTATCATGCCTCGGATCATCATGAGAGGAAAGGAAACCAAAACACGTTACAATGGATCGGGGATATTCGCCAATCTAATTGCACAGGTATTGCCCAGAAGTGCCGTATGGCCTTCCTCGTAGAAAGTACACATAATTACATATATATGCTGACGACGGTACTAGTTCCCGGATATTAAGTCCTTTGCTGAAGACATTCGACTAGCCAGTCCTCAGCTTTCAGCATTGCGGCCGGATCTATCGAGAGTAAATAGAGGACTGTGGAAGACGAAGCCGCTCAATGAATCCTTTCCGGTGCCTGACACTATATCACTAACTAATATGGTCCCGTCCCGTTGGGTAGTGGATGAATTGGTTGCTCTGTATCTGACTTATATCGAGTCCACCCACCGGATTCTTCATGTTCCCTCCTTTCTTAAAGAACTCGATGAGTTCTGGACGCAGAAAGACAACCCCGACTTAGTAATGCCTCGCTTTGTTGTTCAACTGCTCTTAGTTCTCGCCTGTGCCTGGAACCTGACCGATATTGATTCCCTTCAGGCGAAGAATGAGGCCCCGCTGGCCTGTTACACAGCAATTGAATGGGTTCTTCACGCCGAGAAATGGATCGAGAACGCCCATATCAAGCGCCCGGAGATCACAACACTCCGTCTTTATATCCTTTTGATCATTGCACACAACACCCATGGAATGAAACGTAGCAAGGCATGGCTTGCCACGGGGACTCTGGCTAAGCAGGCCATGATGGCTGGGTACCATCGAGACCCTAGTATGTACACCAGGATTTCCGTTTTCAACAAAGAGATGCGCCGGCGAATTTGGACGACCATTGTAGAACTCGACCTCCAAGTGTCACTAGAGCGAGGGATGCCACCCGCTATCCAGGAATCCGATTACGACACGACGCCTGCTCTAAACATAAATGATAACGAAATTCATGAGGCGAGTATAGAGCTTCCTGCAGGAAGGCCACCCCACGAAATGACGGATTCATCCTTCCAGTCTGTTTTGGCCCAGTCACTCCCATTGCGGTTAAGAGCCTGTGAGTTGATGCACTCTCCACGGATCAGCTGCCGCTATGACGAGATTCTTCGCATGGACTGGGAGTTGAATCGATATCTCTCGAACATTCCTTCCTGGTCCACCTCGAATGTCGAAGACTCGCAGGCCCAGCACAAAATTGTCTTGATTAAGGCTATGCTGGAAACCAAGATTGGACAGAGTCTCTTATCCATCCATACTCCCTTTGCCATCGAGGCCCAACGAGAGTCGTTATTCGCCCCGTCTGCTCGGACTCGGCTGGAGGTGGCCACCATGATTCTAACCACCCAGAGACAATTATACGAAAGATCACAACAGCTATCCCTCTGTAACTTGGGTGACTGGACAATGCAAGCTTATTGTTCCGTATGCCAGTTGCTTCATGCTGAATGTAATGGGCAATGTGAGTCTTCTCTCTAAATAGCCGGGACTTGGACGAAGCTTACCGTTTATTATCTCTCTCTTGCGGCACCTCCCTCGTTAGCAAGCTCCCCGGAATGCCGGAGTCTCTGATTTCATTGGTGGAGACAATCTTGATCTGCCTAGAGACGCGCCTCCTCCTCGTGGTCAAAGGCGCAAAAGAGTACTTTTTCATGTCCACCATCTTGGCTTTGGCCAAAGTGACTCTCTGGCCGGAGCAGGCGAACGTGTATAAGCAGGAAGTTGTCGAACGTGTAATCTTCTTTGCCCAAACTCTCTTCTCGCGGCATGCAAATTGCGCTCACCTGGGGGACTACGGTATGGGTAGCTTCAAAAATAATCAAGTATGCTGTTTTCCGTTGACTATCTCTTCGATTGATATATGTGCTAAATTTACTTTTTTTTTTTTTTTTTTTTTTTCGAAAGGTTCCAGGTTTAAATGCAGATCTAAGCCCAGGACATCAAATAGGACTACCTTTTCCGCTGGATCTGAATACGTTGCCTACAGAATTTGTCATGCTGGTAAGTTCGGCTGTGCCAGATTTTGTCCATGGTTTAAATTGACTTCACCACAGCAATCTGAAGAAGGGGACCCGTTCCTGGATGCATTTGACTGGACAGATCTAACGGGTATTACCTTTGAATGATCGTGTGAAAAGATAGGGTGAATTCAACCACAGGCATGTGCTTGGTGAGCCCGAAGAACGGGCGGAACACAGGAGAATTCATATAGAATAATCGCATTGCGACTACCGTTGATATCCCTAGACGGCTTGTTTACTTCTACGAAGCGACATAAATGCCTGTGGTTTTTTATTTTTTTTTTTGGGAAATACCTTCCAGGTGTTCCAACGAATAGTCCAGCATTGCTCGCACACACAAGAACATGCTTCCAGTAATGCTAACTTGAAGCAAGGAGTGCAAATGTAATCGATTTGTACATCCCCCCCAAGCTGGGACATTCCCAGTACCAGCGTCCCATGTCTTCTTATTATTTAATGCGGGAGAGGGGATGCTCAGCTCTTACCTTCATACAGGTATATCGCTACCCATCATCAAAGCATAATTAATTCCAATTTAAACCAACCCCCATTCATCAGAATAATGTGACCAAGGCGCCCTTGTTCGTTGCCTTTGCAGCTTATGCGCTTGCAGCTACCAGCAACAGGCAGGCCCTCCCTTGACAGCATCTCGAGCCGCATGAACGATCTCAATTGCGCGTTGGTAAACTACAACGGCGGAGTTACAGGAACAATCCCCACTGGAAGTAGCGCTTATCATGTTGCGAAAGGGATCGCCGACACCCGGGCTAATGTGCAAGGTGCCTAGCTTTCACAGATAGGAATGCCGAAGACCCGGAAGGTGTGGAGACGATTGGACCCTATATTATGGATACGGTGCGTCTTGGCACTGAGAAGGCGAGTGGCCTATTTATTACACAAGTCGAATCAATTCATTCCAGGACTAATATTATCAGTTAGGCGCGACAAACCAAAGAGGCTAGGCTAGGAAACGTTGCCCATTCTATGATGAGCAACATCAACGAGGAGAGGAAGGGCTTGTCAAAGGGCATGAAGAGGATGGCCGAGAGCGAGTATAAGAAGTATCAGCCTACTTACGACTGAATTGACAGCGCATTCGAGGGGCTAGTGAGAGTCTACAGTGACGAGTAGATCTGGAATGGATTGATTTTGTCGGGCTGTGCTCATGACTGACACTTGTGATATTGCTCCACCGGAGGTATTGGGTCGGTCAACACGTAGCTCGGTCCTTCTTTAAATTGATCTAGAACAGTTAGGATTACAGCTGGATACAATTAGTATAGGATCATTCTCCAGCAGAGCCCATATTTATCGGGCGATGCTCAACACTTCCAAGCTCCTGGACTACAGGAATATGCTTTGGCTTTCGGTGGGTTGGTATTGACGAACTTCACATTAATATTTTTCAGCTCAGCCTGATATCATGTACTGCCATTAACGTAGGCGATACCTTTAAGAATAAGTTGATATGGACAATTATAATAATCCGACTGCAGTCAACGCGTCAACTGAGCTTTAAGATCTGAGAAGCACGTGTAAGTAACCCATGCAATGGTTGGGCCCTCCTAACTTTTGTCCAGCAGCAGACTGGAGCTATGTCGAACTCGCATATTTCTCTAGTCCCAGTTACCAAGGCATTTGGTTGCACAAATGATTGTTCAATCTCTATTCCACGGGTTCGCTCTTAGATTCATGAATGCACATTTATCGAACACCCGTTTTCTGAAACTATTATACGTTGTCTATTTCATGCAATCTCTTGCAGACGAGGCGTCTACTCTCACCCAATCTACATTCAGGATAGTGTTCGTCTCAACAAAACAGTACCGATCGAGCTACCTCATCGGGCTATTCCTTTTGGATTGCCAAGTGCGGCATTGTCTGGATTTGGATTTCAATTGCCTAATCTAGCAACGGAGTCTGCATTGACCTTCTACACTCAGTTAGCCTGTGCAGATCAAGGACCAAATTAAGAATGCTTCCAGACTGCACTTATCCGTATAGCCGAGATACTTTCTTTGCCATACTTCCTGTTAGCTGGTCAACCCATGCTTGATTGCCGAATATCCGCGTGAAGCTTCTCCTGATCCCATCATTCTCTGAATACCCCGCACCTGGGCCTGCAGCTGCACGCAGTACATCATGCCAGTGAGATGAACTGCATGGCTGATCCTATTTATTGTCTCCTTGCTTCGTCAGGTCCATGCGGTGCTACTTTCTAATTATACCGACCATGTTGGCGGCCGGCTAAGTCACCCGAACCGATACACAGTGGCTTATATGGAGTGGCCGACATCAACGGAGATAAAACAGTCTGAGGTACTACAGAGCGATGTTATTGCTATTAGTAAACAGAAAAAGAGTGATGTATTTATACAGCTACTTTACAACAGCATGACTAATGCATGTAAGTCGGAAATACGATATACTTGACACAGAGCGAGTCTATTATATGGAAGGAGGATAGGGAGATAAGGAAATCGGGTTGAGGATTGCATGTAATCATCATCGAAAGAGGGGCCCATTGTTATCCTCGCGATGTCGCCGTCGATTTCTGGTACAATCGGGTAATGAAATGAGTGAATGTACTAGAATACGACGGTATCTGTCAACAATAATCCAGTGGACGATATTGCATCAGTTTATTTAGTCAAACTCCCCGTTTATATCTTTTAATCAAGCCGAGTGTACATTGAATAAATATTTCTGAGAAGTAATGTATAATTCTTTGCACTGCCCCAAGCGGAACCTTCGGCTAGCCGGTCTTATTGGATAGGATATAGCTATTCTCCTCCGCTGTACGTCACACAAGTCGTCTCTCTTCTCTGGATCAAACTTGCCAAGATCAGGATTATAAATTGGGATCTTTCCTCAGGGTGTCCTGGGCATAATTATCGACTATACACCCTGTAAACTGCGCAATCACCGCCGTTGGTTGTTTTTAACTCCTGTGAATCGTGGGTAGCCATTATGATAAATTCTATTAAGGAGCTTATTTGTACTTCAATCCTCGCTTCTATCCTTTCAAGCTCTTCTAGTTCTTATTAATGCTCAGACCGGCTGTGGTTCGTGGTTTGATTGACTCCCTCCTCCTAGTTCATCACTCTTAAGATACCAGATAACCCAGTCCGGATCTGATCGACTGCAGCATTATTGCATCGTTGCTGACCTCCAGAATCACATCCGTGGATCCCTCATACTCGAAGGAGCCGCTTGGGAAAATGTATGTTAGTCCCGATTTCGACGCCTTAATCTATTCCTCGACACCATGATCGACCGGCTGTCGGAATGGGTTTCAATTGACGTCAAAATAGGGTCCAGAGTGGAGTGATTGACCCTTGGCGCCGATCGCATCTGCAGAACCGAACCCCCCACGATGTCCAAGAGATGCGCACTGTCTTGGTCCTGTGTCCGCGAGGTCTTCTCGATGCAAACTCGAGGTATACCAGCCTCGACTGGGATTCTGACTGACGCTGGAGGCCCGACAAGGGGTGTGGTCACGTGCGACACGCAACGTGATTGGAAGCCCGGAAGAGCAGGAACAGCTGTGATTGGCTGCGGATTTGAAGGCCGCCAGGGTCAGAGAGGGTCTGAGGAAACCAGGGACCGGCAGGTTCCAACGCGGTACAGCGAGGTACCAGCAAGGTACTTTCAATTAATCTTTAAGAACTTGGTCTATCTGTACCTTGGCATTGATGATATCACAGAGTAATGCAGTGATTGATAAAGGGAGAGTTATGATGGACAAGGAGCAACAAGAAAAAAAACCCAAAAAACAAAAAGCACTAAACTATCAAGGCTCCTCCTCGCCAGGCACCCGCCATTTCCCAAAACGTCTCCCTAGGCCCTGGGGTTGCACAATGGATCGCCTCGTGCCGCCCCTCTCCATTCTCTCACCGATTTTTTTTTTCATCTCCTTCCGTTCTTTTCTGTACCCCCCGGGTTTACCAAAGCAATTCATTCATTACTTGAAGGATTGAGCCTGAGCCATGCTCCTCACGCGAGTCCGGCTGCTCATCCTCGTCCTGCTTGTCGCGTCGCTTCCCTTCCTGGCTTCTACCCTGACGGCCCAACTGTACCGGCTGCTCCGGCTGCCCTTCATATGGGATATCTCCGCTGCCGATTCCATGATCTCGCAGGAGCGTGATCAATTCGACATCACTTTCCGCTCCTACCCCGTCAATGGTTCGACCACCGACTCCGATCAGATTCCCGCCCGACTGCATCACATCCACTTGGGAGACTCTCCGTTACGGCCCGAGTGGCTAGTCGCCCGATCTGAATGTCTAGCTCACCATCCGGACTGGGAGGCTTACCTCTGGGATGATGCGGCGGCCACGCGCCTCGTCCACGAGGATTTCCCCGACCTAGTTGACCTCTGGAAAAATTACCCGTACCTGGTCCAGCGTGTGGACGCGCTCCGATATATGGTGTTGTACAAGTACGGAGGTATGTCGGAGATTTTTTAGTAACAGAATAAACAAATTTTTTTTTTTTTTTTTTTTTTTTCAATTTAAAAAAATATCAAAATAATAAATATGAAAGAAAACCAAGGCTAATGACAACAGGCGCCATTCTAGACTTCGACCTGGTCTGTCGACGATCACTCGACCCGCTCCGTCGATTCGAGTTCGTCGCTCCTGCTGCCTATCCGTCGGGATTCTCGGTTGGCATGCTCCTTTCGACGCCCAACAGTTCCTTCGTGCACGAACTCGTTGACAACCTACCGGCGTTCAATCGCCGATGGTTCTATCTCCCGTACGCGACGGTCATGTTCAGTGCGGGATGCCATTACGCATCGTGCGTGTACCCCAATTATCTATATATCCCGGAAAACCAGGGATGTACCTGCTAATCGAAGTAGAACGATATTCACATCGCAGCGCAATCGCACCGCGCTGCGCATTCTCTCCGGACCGCCGGAGCATCGAACGATGCATATGCTAAATGGCTTCGTCGAGACGCCTCTCTTCCGACACTTGGGGACATCATCGTGGCATGGATCGGACATCGCCATGCTGAATGTTTTTAATACTCTTGGAAAGAATTGGATGTATATGACATTTTTGGGTATGAGCATTGGTGTGATTGGACTTATCATTTTGGCGATGTTGGGATTTGCGCGACGGACTCCTCCGGAGCGTAACGCCACGGTACTCAAATCGGCATAAGCGGCATAAGCGGCATGATTGGCTTATAACTTTCTTGGTGTACTCATCCTTCCATAGCGTATGATATCATGTCATCACTACTTAATTAATAAATTCATCTCAACTACTACCAATAATCTCCACGTCAAGACCATATCACAACTTCCTCAGATCATTATACCACATGTACCGACTGATAATCAAGTACAGCACTCGATCCCAGGAATACTGACTTGCATGCTGCGCAAACAGCTCTCTCGACTGGAAATACTTCCCCCACGGGGTCACCAGGAGAACATGGTCCGGATCCACATCCGCTCCATCCCGGGGAGACGAGAACAGAGCCGCGACGATGCGCCACGCGAACGGCACACTTGTGGGGAGCAAGTCGGCCAGACCGGCGTATTTCCGAAGCAGAAATTTGGTCTGTAATGCGTATGCGGGGATGGATTTGGATTCGATATATTTTCTATTCTCGTTATTCTCATCCTTACTCATCGAAACCCTGTAAGGAGGGAGGGGTGGATACCTCACACCACTGTTCACGGCACGATGGTTTATATGTCCGGAGATTCCGCCATCGTCGAATGTGACGATCTAAATAACCAACTAGTATTAGTCATGTCGATCATTGAACAGAATAGGATGGATATATATATGATGGATGGCGGTATTCCGTACCAGATCTGCCTTCCATCGTCGCACGTGGTCATCCACTAGCTCCGAAATCAGATCCTCCTTCCACCACTGGGTCGGATTATCTTGTAACTCGTAGTGATCGAGACTGACGCATCGGTCAGCGGGGATACCTGCGCTGGAACAGGCACGTTTGAGTTCTGCTCGTCGGGTTTGACCCTTTCCATCGTAATCACCTTCACAATCTATATTAGTCCAGTTCCCGAGGTAGAAGTTTTTAAGATAAGCTGAAAAGAGAAGTTAGGGTGTACCGCATGACAAAACTAATAGCGACCGACGCACGGACGGGTCATCACTGCGATATAGCAAACTCGGACTGAAGAAGAGCGATTCATCATCAGGATGGGCTGTGACATAGAGGATGCTGGTCGATTTCCGGAAGTCTCGGGAGACGAGAAGCGGATGGTTGGCGAGATGGTAGGCGAGTAGATGGTAGAGGATGAGAGGGACGACGACGAAAGTGACGAGGAGGGGAACTGCGATTCGAGAGGGTCGTTTTGCGACGCGACGCACGAGATGTTTGGCCTTGGAAATCATGGTGTGGGAAATAAGGAAAGTCGGATGTGATGCGGAGTGGAGTAGCATTCAAGGGATGTTTTTTTCTTTTCGCTGGTGGTGGTTTGTGCAACCACACTTGCATTCCATCACGTCACATCGATTTCATCAGTTTGTCATGGTTATGGGCTCTCTCAGGGTTATTGTTGGATATTGCTGACCCTTTCTTTTGTTTGACTGATTAAGAGATATCGCTGTCTTTGTTGTGATCTGCGAGAATTACATTCTATTAGTTCCGCGGGCTATTCCGTATTCGACTCTGCTACTATTAGTAAACGTAATCGGACACCGAACTGCAAAGGAGACCGAGTTGCAACGTGTCGACCATAAAATTACGCGTATTCGCAAGTATCGATCCTTCATTGAATTAGGTCTCTGCTCTAACTAAACTACCAAAACGTCTCGCTTTTTATATAGACGAGGTAAACAAACAAAGACTAAAGTAACTCATATAGGAAATATACACGATCCGATAATGTTGTATTTTCAACAACATTTGACCGAGGCAGGTGCTGAATAATCAATATTACCATAGCTAGTGTCAACACCGACTTTTTTCACCTCTCCCCCAAACTACATTATCTCAATTTTCGAAGCCATTGTTTAATCGATATTACTATTATTATTAAAATGACTTCTATCTCAAAGGATGAAAGAATGAAAATAGCTATCGAAGCATGGAATAGTAATCATTTTCAGTTAAAAAATGCCTGTGCTAAGGTATTTAATGTGCCTCCGCGGACTCTTTATTATCGACTTTAAGGAATGACTGCGCGCAAAGATATACTTGCTAATAGCCAAAAATTATCTATTTTTAAAAAGGACACCTTAAAGGAATTCATTATTAGTATAGCTAAGCGTGGTCTGCCTCCACAAAACTCCCAAGCTCAATATCTTGCTGGTTTATTAGTCTCTGCACGTTAAACGCCTTCATCATCCCAGGCCTCTATCTAAGATTTAGTAATATTAAAGTTAAAAATCAAGTTAAAAACACTAACTCTACCATTTTCTTCCAGTAGTAACGTTGCACACTTATACGGGTCGGAACTCTACAAGTGGTTCTCAGCGGTCACCCTACTTTGTCCATACTTCGAACGTTTGACCTTGTTCACCTTCAATCTTTAACTTTGCACTAATTAATGGAATACCATATGTTCTTTCCCTGGGCTTTCGTGTTTTACATATGGTAGCATGTCCCGCGACGGTTGATCCTCCGGCCTGCCTGCTTGTTTCTTAGCTGTTGCTTGAGTGCCTTTTGACTTGCTCAGTTCGTTTTACTGCGCTATACTACCTTTCGCTTTGTCTACACTTTACTACCTGTTTACGAGCGACCTTGGGAACTCGAGCCAGTCGTTTATCCATCTTCTTTGTTTTTAGACCTTGAATAGCCGTGGTTAGCTAACTTGGTCGTCTCCTTTATCTCCACCCTTCTCCAGGGACCCTGTTAAAGTATTTCGCATCCACTTTCCTCACTTGTCGCGTTGGGCGGTGACCTACTGGACTGGGTAACCACCTTTACGGCCTTGTTTAATATTTAAATACTACCCTGGAAGCTTCTTACTCCGCTCCTTGCCCCTGGGCAAACGGCTTCCCGCTGCTGAACCGGAGGGAGCTTCGACCGATTTACTGCCTGAGGCTTTCCTGGGTTAAGGATTTACCTCCATGAGCTCATGCCAGGATCTTCAGAGAGCGAACTTGGGTATCAGATAGTTGTGTTCTACAATGTCCGGTGTACGGGGTCCTACACCAACAACCTAGATACCGAGACTGTTTATCAAGCTTAATATATCTGGGAACATTCAGCCCCGGGTTCCGAATGATCTCGGGATTATCTATTAGATTGGAATATAAACGATCCACTGTTAATTAAGTAGTTTAGGAGTTTCTGCGTTTAACAAACCACATTGTTAAAGAACAGGAGTTCAGAAGCTGGTTAGGTAGTCAGTTACTAATTAAGCGGAATCCCCTACGTCCTTTAGGTTGTTCTGGTGCGTCAAGATCTCGAGCTTTTTTAAAAGCCTCTGCGATCGAACTAGAGACCTTGTTGGACTAACCTCAGACACCTTATTAGCCCAGCCAGGCCTGTAAACCTTTAACTGTACGACGACCTGCTAATCCAGAGAAATTCTGCCCTCTGCTCGTCTGTCTTCTAGGCGTTTATTTAATAGATTATCTTTGACCGTTGGGCAGCACAAGGATACCAAGGTTTGGTAGAGATACTTTGTTGGAGGACTTATATCAACCAGCCCCTATTCTACCGCGGTACTGTCAACTGTCCGGCATGACTGGATTAAACCCTTTAAGTCACCAGCCCGGCGGTCCTGGTGGAAACTCTTTATCAATTATAATTAGTTATAAAAATAGAGGTCATGTGAACACCACTTTACCTCCTGTTCCTCCAGTGTATCCTGCACAGGACGCGTTGGCCCAAATCCTTCACTTAATAAGCTAGATAAACAACCGGTTGCAACGACTGGAAAACGGAGATAATAACCGATCCCAACCCCGTCAGGGACCTCCCGGGGCGATCCTGGCCCCACGTAAATGGAACACTTGGTGGCCCTTGGAAAACAGAAGAAATAGACTACTTCTGGCCAGACCTTAAGGACAATATCGCGTTGAAAAAGGTGAACAGCCATGTTTACTACAAGGATATCAACGTATATGTGGATAGAGTTAAAGGTGTAATAGCTAATAAAGGTGGGGAGATGGTAAAAGCTAATCTTCAAGTCTGTCTTCGGGGGTCATTATTAAGCTGGATTATTTCGGAGTTTAAGAAGGCAGTTTAGCAATCCTTGCCACTTGCAGAAGGTTGGTTAAGCCAACTTAGTAAATGCTTTAAACAAACCCCTTTGGAAGCTTTAATAAGGTTAACGTGCTTAGGTACACTTATGGAGACGTGACCGCAGGTAAGTCCCCACAAGCCTTTGCAGAGGAAGTTGTTTGTTTAGCCCTAGCTGCAGAGATTACCTCACCGTTTTAGCAGATAGCTATGGTTTGGAATACCTTGAATCCTATCCTACAACGGCATATCAGGTAACCGACCCCAGATACCTCGAAAACGGGATTTTTAACAGTTTCTATAGCAGAACCTGGCATCCCGACGTCAGACCCTCAAAGGCCCTTTTATGGTAATGCTACCCCTGACCTCAAGCTAATGCCTTTAGGAAGCCCTTCGGACCTCCACAAGCTTTCCTTACCCGTACTACGCTTAATTACTGTTCCAAGCCTCCGCGTTTCTAGCGCCGAGATTTGGATACCTTGCCTGGACACCAGATAATGGGCATGGGTATAATGGATTAATTATTAGCCTGTTTACCAGCCGAGTCGAACTAATAGCAATGGCCAACAGCGAACCCCGCAAGATTAACCCAGCTCCAAATACAAGACAAACCAGCCAATTCTGCGAATTTCAATGGAAGCTCGTGGAATTGTCAAGGAACATTGATAAACCATTCTAATAGCCCGAATTGTCAGCCATGGAATTATACCTAGCAAGGTAAACCTCCCTACGGACGTGCTTATAGAGTTGAAACATTAGAAAATCCTAAGTTATCCAACAACTAAACAAGCGAGATCTAGACACCCGCGGAGATCACGGACCAACAAGATACGGCCTATATTATCGATAAAGCTGGAGGCACCTACAGACTGCTATCTAACGAACTCTCTGTCCCTGATGATGCCGTCTTTACGGAGTTAACAAATATAGTATGGCGAGCTGTACAACAAATCCCTATAATGCATATACTACGGAGGCTAAATCTCTGGAGTTTGGCCGGCAGTCTGAACCAAGTGACGTTGACAAAAGTAATATTAGCGACGTAGTTATATTATATACTAGTTTTGGCCAAGCTTTTTTGTTAAATAATCAGTTGCATAAACACCTTCTCTCTTGTTCTAACAATAGCCATGACACCCAAATTCCAACCGTCGAAGCCTGAAGCAAATTGAGCTCCTGATTTACTTCCTGCAACTCGGTAAATATTCGAACGTGGCGTTGCACTACCGCAATAGTTGGGTTAAACCAGACATTAACCTTTAACGAGATATATTTGGATTCCGGTTGTTTCTTGACTATTATCGATACGACTTTCGCAATGAGTATTCCAAATATTAATATTAAAAAAGTTTCTCCAATCACAGTAACTGGGATAGGAAGGGAAAAGATCCACAAGCTTACTGGTTTTCAGCGCAAAAATTACCAGATTAGTATATTACAACACCAAAGAATGCTTGCACATCAAAAGAGATCGTTTTGCAGTGGTTAAAATCTTGTTTTCTCCCAGAAACAAAGCCAAAAGATAATTCTTATCGAATGCTTATTATGGACGGTCATAAGAGTCACGAGTATATTAAATTTCTTTGCATTTGCTTTCAATATAAAGTTTATATATATTGTCTTTCTTCCACCATATTCTTCTCATCTTCAATAGCTGGATTTGGGTACCGTTTCGTCCGTGAAGACCGCTACCGGCAAGAGATAGTTGATCTATCTTATCTAGATAATGCGCTCTCGGTTAAGAAGAATAGGCTTATTCAAAGCTATTTAAGGCTCGAATGGACTCATTTACTCCCGTGGTTTTTAACAGTGGATGGAATGCAGCTGGATCAGTGCCATGGAATCCATCTAAAGGCTTACAATCTTCTCAATAGCCCGCCAATGGAGATACCAAACACGTCGCTAAGCTGAACAGAGTCATATATTAAAGTTGTAAGGGAATAACTCAAACAGAATATAACCAGAGGCATGAAGCTAGCCAAATTCTGACTGTATGCAACTAATAGGAACACTTCAGAGAGATGGAACACACTGCTTAAGCAAACACGGATAGAGAAGCAAATGTGATGTTTCTGGGCATTGGGGAACAACTAATGAAACGCAAAAAGCTCCTCCCAATGATTGCACTGCATATTCAAGCAGTGACTTATAGAAGGGCGCCAACACATCATTGTATTTATAATCTGGTGAGTTGGTGCCTCAGGCCTCTAAGCCTGCTACCCAATTAGGTTCTCCTAACCCTGTGAACGCCTGAGGCAGTAAGGCATCAAATCCCAGCAATATCTTCCTTGCCGAGACACTGAAAAAAGGTGACGTCAGAATGTAGATTTGAAAACGCGAAAAGCTCCTGTTCGCATATGGACAAAGGAATCACTAACTCCGATTAATAGATTTGTCTAATGCTAGTTTTTGTCTTGTCTACAAATGGACCAATCAGCCAGCAGCGAGCGAGAAGTGCCCAGAATTCCTACAACTCTACGAGCTGTATGACTCCCCAGCTGCTTTGAAACACGGTGGCTAACCAGGTCGAATACACCACAGTGCGAAAATTGTAGAGCTAGAAAGGTCAACCTATTGATACTTATCGTTGCCATTACTGATAGGTCAAGTAGGTCCGATGCAACAAGCAATCACCTTGCACAGCATGCCTTGATGCTGGCCTTACTTGCCACACTGCGCCCAAGGCTATGATACAACAGCAGAGAATACAGGTCTCTAAGCAATAGTATGATGCACCAACTTGGCGAATTTTGATTAATCTAACTTTTTCAGTGAGTCAAGGCTTCAAGGGATTGAAGCTCGTTTGTCTCGGATCGAGCATATGCTTGAGAGACGGCTTTCCGCAGAACCGTCTCAATACGGTGGCGCATCCTTATCATCGACTGTTAGCATGTCGAAGAGACGTAGCAAAGATCCGGGGCTCGCAAACGCACCTTCCGAGGGGCTCTTTGCGGGTGATTCTGCCTTCTACACTCAGTCACTGCATGCAAGTCAAGTCCTAGAAAAGAATATAGCAGAAACTCCGATGATGGGCACTTCGGAAATCGCCTCGGTTCTTGCCTCTCTCCGATCAGTACTGGAGAAGTGCGACAAATCACAGGACCAGGAAAGGCTTATCAGGCAGGGAAGCTTTACGGTGATGGACGAATCTGATATACCACTTCCCGAGTGGACAACCGTATTACCAATATTACAATCATACCATGGTACGTATCCTTTACATGCTCTATTAGACTAGATGCTGATAGACAGATTCCTAGAAATACCGCCACTCTCATTCATGACGCTGCCATATTTTGAATGGTCAAGCTTCATGGACATGTGTGAGAGGGTGCTTACAGACCAAGATTTTACTCACTCCGAGTTTGTGCTAGTTACAGGATACCTGTCATACCTGTTCCATGAACTTTACGATAAACATCCCGAGAAATCATCCGAATTGCAAAAATATACTTGTTGGTGTAGAACTAGATTTGAGGATGCCTTTAGCGAACTTGGCAAATTCATTACACCCAAAGTCCAAAACATTCACGCATTGACATTAGGGGCAGGTCTTCCCTTTTTCTGTTTTGTCTAACACTGTTACCGATCCAAATCGAGGCTAACAGAAGTAGGCGGTGTATACTCTAGATTACTCAAGGCCCAATGTCTGTTGCATCTTAACTTCGATGGCAGCGAGTTTGTGCTTGACATTGGGTATCCACCGGAGTAGGCCAGCGGATGAAGCAGCCCTTGGACAAGGCCAACTGGCAAGAGATTGTTTCTGGATTATATATGCAATAGAGAAAAGCCTGTCTCTTCGACTTGGCCGGGCGCCTTCACTTCAGGACTATGATATCACCGTTCCCTTCCCTACAGTTTCTGATAACCTAAAACAGGCACCGTGGGATCGGGCTTGGATATACTGGATCCAACTCAGCCGACTGCATGGAGAGGTGTACGAGGAGCTGTTTTCGCCCACCGCACTGTCCGAAATGGGTGATTCAAGGGTTGAGAAGGGAGGCAGGCTGGCGGTAAAGTGCAGGTCACTCCAGTTAAGCTTACAGAGTGTAAGTTACACCGAAACTATCTGTAGCACAGCGGCTCATTTGATTTAAGATCGAGATACACAATGCATATCACCATGAGTACCTGACAACAGTAGTATCTGCTTGTGAAGTGATCTACTATTCACTTCTAACAATCATCTATCGCGGCGCCCGTTCAGTGGAGCGGAATGTTTCAGCCTACTATGACTTTCAGTGTATTGATGCAGCAAGGATGGCCCTTCATCAACATCAGCGAATTAGCAAGGAATGTGAAGTGCGTGGTAGTTTCCTTTGGCAGATATATATGAGCTGGTTTGTTTTTTCATAAGCCCTCACTTTTATTCCAAAATACTGATTAGATCAAGGTCGCTGCTTCATTGTCCATTCACTCCATTTATTATCTTATTTTGCCACACCATCTGCACATCTAGTCTAGACGATCTTACCCGTCTGAAAGAGTTTCTCGATTCACTCGAAACTGCCAAGGCTAGTTTCAAGTCGATTGAAAAATTGCATCAGCTTTGCAACGTGTTCTACCGGGTAGCCCGTCTATACCTAAACTCACTGGAGCCGGGAAAAGGCGAGACATTGGCCGATGACTCAGTTCGATGTGGTCGAATTGACGAAGGAATATCTGCACCTCAGATGCTGAATCCTTATCTAGCCAACCTTGGCATCATTTGTAGCGCCCCGAGTGATACTATCGCTACCACCGCAATAGCGTATGACCAAATAATGGCGGATAATTGGAACGATACTGCTCAGGCTGTGCCCTCGACCGTGTCAGATTGGTATGCTAGAAATCTGCAAATGATGGGAATTTTGGAAAGTGATTTTGCGGACGTGGAATATCCACAGGTGCCTCTTTCAAGGGTCTAGGTTTGGCTCTAAGGTAGCTTATGCGAATGCATTGCATCTTGCCGGCAATATTCATGCAGAGGGTGGAGTAAAAGTCCGTTTTTTAGAGGTGAGGAGTATTTCAATTTCCAATATACTCTGCATAGCCCAACATTCTACCCAAGTCCTTGCACCCAGCTCTGGGCGATTTAGGCCAGCAACCTTATCACTGTCATCATAATATTTGCATTGTATAGTTCCTCCCTTTTTAGGGCAGCTATCTGAGGTACTTTCTTTGACTCCGATTAGAAGTATGCCTTTTTGGGGTAGTATACTTTTTATTATTAGGGTATATAATGCATATAAGTGAATGTTAGATTCTTGGAATGTAGCCCAGCAACTGGTTAATCTTATGAGCGAAATATAGCTCAAATTTTCTCTAGGACAACTCATAACTAGTCTGTATTAACGGTTCAGGACCTAGCTGTCCTTTTGCAGGAAGAGTATTTGTATGCCATGTAACAGCCAACTGGCTATATGCCTGTAGCGAAGTGGAAGTATTAGCGAGTAATAATAATATCGGAATGTCCAGTCCCTCCGCTTAGCTTAGATATAAGCCAACCGACTACTTGGGCAAGATCCCATGGATTCCATGTACTTTAAGACACGGAAGAGGGTAATGAAGAAAATGAAAGGGAAGTCATCTTTCTTTCAACTACACCATTCCCAGCTCACTCTGGAGGTTGTTGGACCCCAGTATGAGAAAGAGTTTCGTACTCAGGAGGACCAAGAACACTCAATTTCGAAGTGACATATTACATATACCTTTCGAAGCACTTTATGTCATCTTTTCCTGGTGTGATGACCTCTGTACACATCAGAAGAGCTTAGTTAGTTTACACAAATTATGGCTGTGGAAGTTAAAAGAAGAGGAGAAACAGGTAAGGCATTCTCTACTTATTATAGTCGATTCTTTACTAAACATTCTGGGGCGGAAGAGAAGGAAGCAGTGTTGCTGCGGTGTAGCAGTTTGTATGGGTACTGAAAGCGCGGGAAGTGCAGGCAATATAAGCGCGACTGGAAGCTTGTGGCGGCTCTGGCAAAACATAGTCCCTGGCAGCGGTATCATAGTATCCCGGCAAGGCTGCATCATAAGGATTGGAGAGTCTACGAATCGCAGTTGAGTAAGAAGGCACACGACTCAGGCTTTCGACTTCATAGGGCTGGGGGGATGCAGGTATGCCTGGTAAAGTAAAGTTAACATCACTCCTTCCATTAGTTCGAACAGGTTCCATACATTCGGAATTGGACAAGCCTGAGGTGGATGAATTTGATCGGGTTGAAAGTGCGTCTTCATAGTGCCGTCGTTGATGTTGTTGGCAGCTGCTGTTCGCAGGGAAAGGTAAATGGGATGATTCGTGGCTATTATCGACATTTCCATGTATCACGTCATTGCCTATGTGGTTCAATCGTCGCACACCCGAAGGGCCGCAGCTGTATGTGTCTCGTTCGCAATACACTAGATCAAAGATGTGATCTGCGTAAGCTGGTGGGGGTTGCTCATCCAAGCTGTAGCCTGTTTCCTGACCACCTCGTGGTGTCCAGTACGTCACGTTTTTGTTTTCATCGATCGTGGAACTGGCAGATATAAAGATCGTTACAGGAAGCGCAGCCTTCACCTAAATCATATTGTCAGCACCTTTGTCACCACAGATTGACTGACGATATCCTCGCATACCTCACTGATATGGCCATCAACATTTTGTAGCTGAATCGTAAACATCAGTTTGTGAGTAATTTTTATGCCCTGCTGATTCACATTTTGCAAACACTGAGCCAAGTTTTGGGGTATCTGTAAATGGCGAGAGACGCAGAATCCTTCTGTTTCCTCATCGATATTTCCGTGGCACTTATTGGAGCCCATCTTGTAGGTATCGATTGAAATAACCTTTGTATGGTGTCTAGTAAAGTGCAGTCGTTCAATATCTTCAGGGTTGAGAGTTAGGCAGTAGTTTTCTATAAGTTCTGTATTAATTTGGCTAATCCTGAGACTTGTGGAGAGTGGGATTAGCTTGAATTTTAGTTGAAATGCAGTTCCGAAGGCTGCCACTGCGTTCATTACACTGATTGAATAACCAATCTTATTCGGCCATAAATCTTCCACCATCTGTCTTTATGTAAGCAGAGCTTTCAACGTGTAAATGAGAGCCCTACATACCCTCGTAGGACCAAGGTCGGAGGTACAGGCCCCAGGGGATCGAATGATGCGCAATGGCTTCGATACCACAATATCCCGTAGTAGCCTCCTTCCTATCTCCGCCTTAAATTGATATTTAACCCAACTTTCTGCCGGGCCATCGACACTTTCTGGCAGGGTACTCGGAAGAATAAGATGAAAAGGGAATTCATAGTTTCCCGGCTGAATTAGCTCAGTATTTCCAGTATCCTTAAAATCCCATGTCTTCTTGTAGAATAATCTGTTCCTCTTTGGGCTTGATCCAAACTCGTTGTAGGTCGGGTTTAGATAGCAACTGCACTGATTAGTCAATGAACGTGTTCTGCGTTTGCTAGCGTGACTTATGAGGAATACTCACCAGACCTGAGACGTGCCAGTAAAATGGAGCCTGAGAGACTTGATCGGGAGGGGCTCCGACAAGCACAGAACAACTGTTCCACTCAAGTAAGCATTGGAGGCCTCTTCCGCTCTTCCCCGGAATACGATGTGATCTCTGTCCAGTCTATCAATTAACATATTATCAGCATTCCGACAGTGCAAAAAAATCTAAAGACAGATGCTGGTTGCCTAACCGGATGTCAAAATACTTGACGCTGGCAGCGCTGCCAGTGCCCAACAGAAGGTTGAGTGTCATGTTCAATAGTTAACCTGCAGTGTAGCAGCTAGCACTGGACTAACGAAACCAAGGCAGAGATGGATGTTTTTAGAGACTAAGTTAAATAATAAGGAACAAGCCCAGCTCAGTGTGAATTTCCTGTCTCCAGAGAAAAGCAAATTTGAGAGTTATGTAGTATTTTATTATTGCATAGTTTTACAGGTGCTCTAGGAATCTAGAACGGCCCAATATTGCAACGTAAAGATAGGGCTAGTTCCCACTGCTGGCGTATAGAAATGTCATATCTTGGTTCGGTAGATCGGCCACGGAAACCGAGGATTCCGACGCCTCTGCTAAGCCCTGCGATAGTGGGGCTGTCCGATGGAATCTTACATTTCATTTGTAGCCAACGTCAAAATAAGGTTGTCTGGATCATATCGCCGAGTAAATAGAGTTTACCGGTCGGCGACTGAACCTTTTTCCTAATTATTATTATTATTATTATTATTATTATTATTATTATTATTTAATTCCAAACTCCCATGGATCCACAAGCACTTTTTGGACGTTAAGAAACCCAATTCTTCCTGATAGCGTCTCTGATTTGGAATATAAGCTCACCATCAGTAGGCCATATTAACAGATATTCCACTTGCTTTACCTTTGCCACATTTAGTCAACAGCAAGTTTAAGAATATTCACAAGGCTCTCTAGATGCCTATGCAACCTAAATCAAATGCTAGATAAAAGGGGTAGGAGAGCGCGGCGACTTTAAACTACATTTCACCACTTGGTCCGCAAAGAACAACAGACCTGCCATCACACTTACTACAATGGCAGGGTTGGACTATTGGAGTTATGTCCTGGTATCTGTCTCCATTATTAGTGGCACGCTTGCCACGATTATATTTGTCCTTCGCTTATGCTGTCGCCGTTTTGGGGGTGCTGGAATTAAAAGTGAAGACTTTCTGATGGGGATTGGTTTACTCTTCTCCTACGGCCTAGTGGTGTGTACATTTATTGGTGAGTGTGGGAAGCCCCTTATTCTTGGAATTAGCAAAGCTAACTTATTATTGATTTACACCAGCTGTTTTCAATGGAGTTGGACATCATATCGGGAGTCTGCCAGAGGGCACGCGCAGACGAGTGACATTGGTAGGTGCGACCGCAGGGATATCCACACTAGTCGATCGGTATACTAACGGCTGCCCAGGTGTTTTGGCTTGGACAAAAGTTCTGGATAATTTCACAAGTATTTGTCAAGGTATCTATCCTTGAGCTTGTGCGAAAGCTCTTTAGTACGACCCGCAGATTGCGAATAACTGTCACCGCTCTCCTCACTCTCACGGTGGTCTGGGGAGTAATAGCCTTTATTGGAGATATCTTCCTGTGTTGGCCTCCGCAACATTTCTGGATCAAAAATATGGATGGCCATTGCATGAATAGCCAGAGGGCATTTTTCATGGTCATTGGTTCAGTTTCCCTCGTTGAAGACATCGTGATCCTTCTTGTTCCTCTTATAGAAGTCTGGCAAATGCACATGGCACCGCGCCAGAAGGTTCAAATTATGTTGCTTGTTTCTCTTGGTTGTCTGTAAGGATTCCCTTACTTTATTACTCAAAGATCTGTGACAAGACCTGTCACTAACAGGATGTGTCTGCATTAACCAGGGCTTGTATTTTCAGTCTCTTGCGTGTTATTGAGCTGCGGCACTATGCAACTGAGAACGTAACCGGTAAGTTTCTTTCTAGTTTACGAATTATAGGTTAGCCATGCTTCTTACCACTTATCACAGCTAGCGGAGCCCTTGAAACTATCTGGGCGCTATTAGAGCTTCATTGTGCCGTTGCCTGCTCCTCTCTAATTCTGTTGACGCCCATCTATCGGCGCTGTCACCAATTTTGGAAATCGAACTGTTGTTCCCAACGCCAGGTAAAGAACACTGGTCGTTCCTCGGATTGTGATTATATATTCGGGACATGGCCTTATGATGTTAGTTTTTGGCATGGAGGCGGCTCACAGTTACAGTCTGAGGCTTGTTATGCCCCTGAGGCACTGTCGGCTGCGAAGGAGTTTTCTTCTGATACACGAAATATTACGGTCCAAACGTCTATCGATCAAGTTGTCGACGATCGCGCGGTTGCATTTCCGTCAGAAGAGGCGTCCCCGGAGTCTGTATGACGGCGTCGATTTTTCCATAAACCAACGCAGTTGTAGAGTTAGAGATCATAACGGCAAATATAAAGTTTGCACCTGACTTTACCAAGCTATATAGCCCTGCCAGATCTCCCATACAGATGCATTCAAAGATAAGAATATCAAGATGTCTCCTTAGTCTCCTGGTTTGGCCTGCGATGTATAATTCGGGATAATATAATGAATTCTGCTGATACGTATACAAGGAACATCTGAGAATGTCTTGTTTAGAAGATCCGTAATTGTAAGGGCTCAAAAATTCTTCAAAATATTAAATGAAGTATATAGGAAGTTTACAGTGTACATGTAATAAATACAACCTATATACTGGTTAAGATACTGGGTCCCTAGAAACTGCCCCACTTATGGGATACAACGAAGAGAAACCACAGGCACGATTGACGTCATGCGATGGCGAGGCTATAAGACCTGGCCCTTCCTTCCATTGTCTTTCTCATGCGACCGAGTTTATCATTTCATGTCTCTGACTACAAAGAGATCGTCCCAATGCCTGTTACGTCTCCCTTTCCGCTAGAGGTTGCCAAGCCTGGAAAAGGCGAAGCTGTTCTTTCACTTCTTCCTCCTTTGAGTCCCGTCTTAACGACTTTGACTTATAAATACCCACTCAGTGTGGTTCCATGTGCAACGGGGTATGTACCGGGGTCCTCTGCATCATTATGCCCTTCTTGTCGCTCAGCTCACCTATACCTCCTCATCAAAGAACGGTGGGAACAGATCCATTTCTCTATCACCTTAAAAGCACAGACAAGAATGGTTGTGATGACACCTCAGGGGCACATCAAAGTACCCGGGAATGCTTTAGGTTATGCCATCTCAGGAAGAAATCAATACACGCTCGTTACACAAGTTGAACAGGAAGCGGCTCTCTGTTATCTGCCAGGTCCGACTGTGTTGCTCGAGGGGGCCCGCTATGAACAAAACAACATCATTACCATCGCCGATGTAACATTGCCAGAACACAAGAGAAGCAGTTTCTGTTTATTGAACTGGGTAACGCACAGTTATGTACGGCAAGATGAAACATGGAACTTTCGTCTATGGAAAGTGACAAATGAAGTGTCGTGCGTCGATAAATTAGGGAACAAAACACTCCTCTTTCGCGACGCGGTAGTTCTAGATCATGGAACCGGTGATGTGTGCTCGGACATTAACCAGAAGTTTCCCAGCTGCAGCAGTCCGGCTCAGGGAAGTATGCAGCCTCCCGGGGTGGTAGGCATATTGATTTTATATGGGCCTGTCTTTGAGCATTTAGCCTCAGTCTTCACGGATACGTGCGCATCGCAGTCGTTGAATCTGGCCCAAGATACTCCGTCCACCCACACTGCGCGAATCCAAGCACATGATTGCCACGTTGCCTTCACGACTACACGTGTGCAGGCAGGCTTGGTTCTAGTAAAATTCGGAGCAGAAACCCTTGATGTAGCCAAGGACTGGCTGGCTACAGTCCTGCGCGAGGAAGGGACTCTGCTGAATAACTTCGGTGAAGAGGTTTCTTTCAATTAATGAGCACTTTCCAGTTTTTGGATTACAGGTCATAGTTCAGTCTTCGTATCTCTCCCCCTAGCACAGTTTTTTAATATATTATTATTACTATACGAGAAGGGAAGTTGGGGGGGGGGGGGGGAATTTAACAAGAATTGAATGCAAGAGATAGAGCAAAATTATGGATTTCCGGAGGATAAATGTTTCCTAGAAATTGATTGTTGTTGAGGATATAAAGTGTCTTTGGTATAGACCCGTAAGGACAGCTAGCAAACAGTAACCCATCCCACAAGATAGTAACTATGATCGAAATCAAGTTCATGCTGCTAATTTAGCTATTGTATTCTAGAGCTTGCAAGTGCGATACTGGAAACGGAATCGATAGTCCGCGCATCATTTTGGAGACGGTATTGGAGTCTCTTCACTTCGTTATCTAACCTGCTAGTGGCTCTGTGTTTGGCTGTGGCAAAGGAGTGAGTTACAAAATAGTACGTAGAGGATGAAACTGTCCGACGGAGGCACCAAAAGGTTTCTGATAGGGTTGCTTTCCGTGGTTTCACTACGCTATGTTTAAATTGGCAATGAGGGATTTACGTTCACTCACTGAACTAGTTACGATATAGTAGTTTAGTAAACCCAGGTAGCAACCTTGCCTAGAGCCTAGACTCTGTGTTCCCTGTCATGATTTCTTAGAGGTAGACCTTGACCAGAATCAGATTGCTTCACGACTGTTTAATTAGATCCAACATTTGGGCATATACACTTGTTTTGGACGAAAGATCTGGCTAGGCGGCCAGTTGCCGACGTAGTGTATGCGTCATTATAACCCCCCAGCTTTTAGTTGTATCTATCATTACGCAATTTTATTGCTGTATGAAATATGAGATCCTTCCCGTAACCCCTACAACCCCGAAGTCATGAGCGCAGGGGGTCGGTTGGTCCATTTTGGGGTAATTAATGTAAGGGCGGGTTTGTAGCTACTTCTAGGATAGGTAGAAATCTTTTCAGTGCGTTTTGAGCGTTCGTTACTGTATGCATTGCATTTATACACACCTATGTTGAAAACCTCGGGGAAGAAGCTATGTCGTGAGGTGCTAGGATAGCGGTGGCTAGATCGTATATTGAAACTATCGTGCGATCTAGTATCGCTTGGTGAGTATATACATCTATCTGCGAGAGAGAGCGTAGACAAACGCTTCCTCATGTCTACGTGTCCCTTAGCCCCTGAATGTGATATATCACATCGCTGCGGGACTAGGATATACGAAGGTGCTTTAGGCATCCTGATTTCCAACAACCTATATCAAGTCTTCTTCAATCATGAACAAGTGATACTTTGTTCGAATGTATCAAATAAATTTCAATTCAGCCAATTTTTATGCGAGCCATATTAGTAAGTTTAGATTCTTAATTCATTTGTATTTAAAAGTCAAATTATTGTCGAATATTCAAATATTCAATTCCAGCCCTAACTAACTTGACAGCATTAACTAGTTCTTTCTGCGCAGAAAGGATTGTTATGGGACCTGCCGACTGACGAATCGTAAACTGCAAGCTGTGTTTCTGGGTTAAGGCTAGATCTAAAAGCATTGTATTGGTTATCCAATCCATCATAGCTGACCAAGAACTGGGAGTATTTCCCGAGCGTCCGCTGGGCAGAATCAATCGGCGACCCGCGGAGTTTTTGCCTCTCCCGTGTCAATTTATTGGCCCACCTGGCTGAAGCTATGTATGGCGCTTCTCAGCCTTGTGGGTCGTTTGCACTTAGCCAATACCCCGTTTTTATCGAGTTGGATATTCCTCTTTTAGTTCAGAACCATGCTAAAAGCCAGTTCATAGTATGTATCACAGAGCGACCTAAGCTTCGACTACCAGGGTTCCAATCGGACCAGAGCGTACCGGGTATATACAATTATTAAAAATTGGCCCTTGAATGAAAGCTTAAACCATTTCGAGTGGATATATCGTACTCCTCTGGTTAACTGCTTCTGTTTGTGGGGTTACGCTGCTGAATACGGTGTGAAACTCGCCAAACGCTGTCGCTATCTCAAACGTGGAAGGCCCAAGCAAAGTGGCCTAACCGGGCCTTACTACACAGCTGGATCTTTGTCACTCTGGCACCTGCCCCACAAGGTCTTCCTCATTAAGAATAGATGTTCCATTGAAGCTCTCCAAGGCATTGGTAATTGGGCTGCCTATGCCTGATAAGCTATCCACGACCAGGGCTAACCTGGGAACCAGGTGTAGATGTCTTAATGTCATTATAGACCCCGGCGGTGGCGACGTCAGTGTGGAGACGAGAAGCAGGGAATTTTATTGTACAGTCCAAAGTGAGATCGGTAAACGAGTGAGCTGAGCCAAGATACCACTTATGCCGTCAGGGTGTGTCTAAGCTCTCAGATATTACGGCTGGCGTAGGAAAAATTCTTGGTCCGCTTTAAATTACAATGGCTAGAACTGATCTCACCGACCAAAAAAAAAAAAAAAAAAAAAAAAAAAAAAAAAAAAAAAAAGAGCGTTAGCCGGCAATTATATCCTTGACTATTTTCTCCATTACATGGCCTTTAAAATATTATACTTAACTGCGGAAACTGTGATTTATTCATTATTTAGCCTAGTCTGTTACATCCGATAGAGCAGCGCAGTGTCTTGTGTAGGCCCTATAATAACGAATCGGAGTAACGCTCTCTTGCTACCTTTCCTACAGTTACCGAGCTGGACCTCTTACAACAATGACTTCCTCTAGTCGAATTTCGATTGCCATAGTTGGAGGCGGCATCGGCGGACTCTGTCTTGCCATTGGCCTTCTTCCAAAGGAGAACCTCGATGTATCCATCTACGAAACAGCGCCCAAATTCACAGAAGTCGGCGCTGGAGTTTCCCCCTGGCCCCAAATTCCCAGCGCGCACTGGCCCTGATTTCTCCCGCCGCCGAGCAAGCATTCCTCCGCCACGCAACAGCCAGCCTATCTCCAGAATTTCAAAATATCTGGTTTGATTTCCGGAACGGCAAATCAGGCGAGAAATATGGAGAAGTACTCAGCAAAGTTGAAAACGAGACGGGTCAACGATCAGTTCATAGAGCCAAATTTCTCGACGAGCTAGTCAAGCTCATACCGGAGAAAATCGCCCATTTCGGTAAGCGGCTTGTTCATATCAATAAGCATCCTGTTTCTGCGTTTGGTTTGTATGAACTTGTCTTTGCGGATGGGACGACAGCCACTGCAGACTGTATCATCGGGGCAGACGGAGTTCACAGTTCGGTGAGGAAGCATTTGCTCGGAGAAACTCACCCTGCTGCCACTGCGGTGTTTACCGGCACAATCGTTTACCGTAGTCTAGTTCCGATGGATGTTGCCCGCGGCGCAATAGGCGAATTTGCCGAAAATTCTTATATGTGGTGTGGAGAAGGAGGCGCAGTATTAACTTACCCCATTGATGACGGGGAAACCATGAATGTGGTTGCAACTCGAGACGGGAAAAGAAGCTGGGATGGGCCACCATACACCAAGTCAGTTAACAAGGAGACAGTGCGGAAAGATTTTGTGGGCTGGGGAGAGATTCCCGGCAAAGTCATCGAGGTATGCCCTAGTTGATCCTTGTTTCCGTTCAGGTATGATTAACTGCCGCATTTAATCTATTTAGCTCCTGCAAAAGCCAACCATGTGGGCTATCCTAGACCATTTCCCAGCTCCATATTACTATGCCGGGAATATCGCTATGATGGGTGACGCGGCCCATGCAACCAGTCCCTTCCAGGGTGCTGGTGCAGGACAAGCAATCGAAGATGCCTTGGTCTTGTCAACTCTCTTTCAGCAAGTTACAACTCAGGGACAAATCAAACCAGCACTGGCCGCGTACGACAGAGTGAGACGACTGCGGACCCAGAAAGTTGTTGCCACCAGTCGTGATACATTAAATCTGTTCTGTTTCAACGACGGCTATGTAAATGGAGACGAACAGCGCTGGAAGGAAACATGGGAAGGCCGGATGGACTGGCTATGGGGAATTGATTTGCTGAAGCAGAATGAAGAAGCACTCAACGCGTATGCAAACTTCATTGAGAAGCAGTCTTCTTCTCCGAAGGGAATGCTCTAAATGAGCGAATTTCGGGATTCCCAGATGAAATTGTGTAGATCAGATGGATCAGTTTCAGATGTGGAATGAAGCAGACAGTTTACTTCGAAGTTAAGCTTGGAATATCAGTTTCACATTATCCTGCTATGTTGGCCTCCAGACTGGTGGTAGGTGGGTTAGAAAGGGTTCGGCCACTCATAAGTGGGGTTTGGCGACGTCTACTTTCCCCCTTGTATTCTACCGCATTACAAATTTATCCTTAGATCTGAAATAGATCTGAAATAGTAAGGGATTATAATGACTTGTGGAAATTCATTCGAGTGTTCTTAGTTACCGTCCTGTTGTGCGAAGAAATCCAAGATAATAGATGTTATTGGAAGTGAACCCCAACTTGCTAGAGCAGAGTTTCCGTAAGAGGAGGATCCTTCTCCACCCAATATCCGGCCTTTACAACGTTTCAGCTTCACGGAGTTCAGATGCAACATATTGGCCGGAGACTTCGTCAAACTCCTAGAGGATTACAGCTATTGTTAACATCAGCAGAGAGAAATGTTGGTGTACGGCAAGCCATTGGGACAAAACTGAAATAACTAATTTTTGAAAATCACGTTTGGCATTCTGCCGGCAGACTAATAAATATCTTGACACAATCAAATCATTTATAGCATCGTACGAGGGGACATTCTTATTCTGGCTTGCTTAGCTTCACTTATAAAGTTACTAGTCATGAGCACCACGAGAAGGTGCAAGCATTGCCAGGTAAAAACTCAAAAATCAAACGCCAAACGCCAAACGCCAGAAGGAAATACTTAATCAATCACAATAGCATTCTCTGGAACAGACCCAGGTGCTGGCAGTGTACGACCATCAGGGGGATTAGAACCATCTGGAGGAGCCTGCTCTGGCTCATTATCACCTGGGTTATCCTCTCCTCCTGCTCGTACGGGAAGGCTAAGAGGGGTAGAAAAGGAGCGGTGAGTAAAAGCGATGCTAATTTAATAAACTATCCCTATAATAATCATACATAAACTCAACCTCCGGAACTTCTGGTCTAGGTTGCCAATCAAAAGCCCCTGTTGGCCGTGTTGATAAGCTAAGAAGAGGCTCAGATCCTTGTTGAATATGGGCTACAATCCTTGCTCGTAACTCTAGATAGATCGTACGACAAGGAGCAAAGACATCCTCACATGAATGTTCTGGAGGATTCTTGGGATCAAAACTCAGATCTTTAAGCTGTAATGTAGTCCAATAATAAGTAACTGGGGGAAGATATTCATCTGGATCTATTTTATAAAGTAAATTAGTATAAATTTATATATAATTAAAACTGTTTAAATTACTTACCCCATTCTATTACTTCCTCTAGTAAAGCTTGTAAAAGACCCTGATTAAACTCTAGTCCAAAATTCTGAATACCATCTGCAGGGTAGTTATAGTTCATGAATGGCTTTCCATGAACCAGATGCGGACGAAGGCTCTGTTTCCGGATTAAATGATTATTCCACGTTCGTACAAAGGAAGTAATTTGAATTCGGAGTATTGGCATGTAGATTGCAAACAAAGCAATCTGATCAGCAACAGAATCTCTCGAAAAAAGTCCTTCTTGCTGTAGTAAATAAAAGTAATTCTATTATAATATTAAATCTCTGTACTATTACTTAAAAAAAAAGAACTTACCCTCCATCTAAATAGCAAACCTCTGCTTAATTGAAGCCACCAGGCTTCAATTCTTTGATTAGCAGTGCTTGTGCCATAGAGATAACACTCAGAAAGCTGAATATCTGGATTTTTTGACTTTCGCAGCTTATGATGAGCTTCTGCTAAAGGGATAGTTTCTGATCCCCGGTCTGATCGTACGAAGCGCGGTTGTTGGTGAGTACCCTGAATCACATCCAAAAACTGTCGTAGCACACTGACAGCTGTACGAGCACTGATACCAACATGAATCCAGGTAATATATTGAGAATAAGCATCAATTGCAGCATGGATCTCTATGCCGTACGGTGCTAATTTTAAGTAGCCATCAATTGACCAAATATAATTTGGTCCTGGAACTATATAAGCTCCCCTGTGTCGTTGTAAATCGTTTAACTGTCTTTGTACAGATGCTGGAGCAAGTTCTTGATAGGCTGAAAAAAGCCGATCTCTAGAAATTTATTAGTTTATCCAGTCCAGGATTCTTTATACAACGTAGCTTACCTAGCAATCATAAATCCTTGACTTCGGAAGTGTCGATGGAGTAATTCTTTACCATAACCTTCAATTTGACCTTTTTCAAGCTCCTTTTGAAGCTCTTCAATCACAGAATCCACTTGTTGTTGAGCAATAATAGGGTTAACCGTACGACGAAATAAGCCTAGTTGATGACGGATATATTTAAGAGTCCTTGCTGTGATATTAAAGCCTTCTTGATTCAAAACATGAAGTAAATCCTTTCCTTCAAGCCCAACTTGGAGAAAAAGGACTTTAATACGTGCATGAAGGACAGTATTCAAACTTGCCGTACGGTTTTGTTTTTGAACTCCCCAAGTATGTAGGCGTGAGCTGATCGTACGTTGGGTAACCTTAATCCCATACCGATCTGAAAGAAATTCTTGGAGAGTTGCTACCGACGAATTATTTCGAAATAATTCAATGATCTCAGCCTTATAAGGCTCAAGATTGATAGAAGGACGTGGCATAGTTTTTGATTTTTGTAATGTGTATACTCAAGATAAATGCTGGTTGAGATAATAAAAGGAAGTTATATCTACACCGCTATTTTGCTGATCATGGCCCAGGCGGAGCTACAGGCGGTATGGGGACTTTTAATATTAGTTATTGTCAGATATACGGTTAGTCCCGAAGAGGAAATAGAGTACAATTGGTAAAAAGGTCTTATTTGAATGAATTGAGCTGGTTGGGCTCTTCTTGATTATAGTCTTGTATGCTCCGAGAGGGTTTTACCCCGATCTAGTCACATGATTCTGGTCCACCAACGGTCATATTATATGACAGTTATTAGTTACTTCAGTTTTGTCCCAATGGCTTGCTGTATTGATGCCGTTCAATAGAAATAAGGTGCACACCGCATAGAGCATCAAACCGTTGTCTCTCAGCTGCTCGGCAATTTCGTGAGTTTTTGAATTGCACGTTAGAGATGTATGGGTGATCTTGTAGCTGCGGATACTCGATAAACTTTATTTGCACGATGCCAACAGGCATTTGCGTCGAGAACATAGCTGTGGAATTGGTTATTGTAAAGCGCCATTGATGATGACAGCCACCAAGAAAGAGCATCGTCGCACTTACTATTTAAGTTGATGCTTTCGAACCTCTTCCTCACCATATAAGAGAATGGCACTGCTGCATTGTAGCTTTTTATCAATAAATTCTGCGCGGCCGCACGGCTTCCTAGGAGCACACTATGACCGCATAGCACACCATCCCTCAGTGGAATCTCTCTTGTATATTCCATTATGTAGATTAATAGTGTCCGATAGTCGTTTGTCGATTCAGCAATTCAGCCCGGCATGATTAAGAGATGACTCTATAAGTGAACAGATATTAGAGATGGAGTGTCGGGTCTGTTTGAGGCAAATTGGCAGCGACTGGTCCCGTGAAATCGATCGACTTGATACATGTGGATCTTAAGTTACTTTGTTTGGGCTTCGTTGGATGGCCACTGTCTTTTCCGTACCGAAACATCTCTTCATTATTTGGGCATCTATGGATATTAATCTAGATCAAAGGGGAAAAAAGCAGCAAGACAGAGGAAATATAAAAATGGATATCTTCCAGTCACAAAGCAACATCCACATTTTCGGAGTATACTTGTTCATCCGTCAATTAGCCTCCTAATCAGCACCTCGAAATTTTTCATCGCTGTACTAATCTTTTCAAGATTATCTAGAGCTATTTACAACTTCTGCTGCTTAGCACAAGCAGAGCTGATCAACAGCGCAGCCGCACAGGCAAACAGCCACCACCAGCCATTCTGCAAGCTATTGGCGTACAGCTCGATAATCTTGTGGTACAGCTCACCTGAGAACTCGTTCTTGACCTTTTGCACGTCGGCAAGGACGACCCCGATCTGCTCCTGGGTCAATGCTCCAGCGAGCTGGGCTAGGTTGGTGCGCAGCTTGGTCTGGTACAGCGCAGCGTAGATGGCAATGCCGAATATGTCACCGACGGTCTGCATGAAGATCACCATTCCGGTGATAAGACCAATATACATAGGCTCTACCAGGAACTGAGATCCGACCAGTAGACCCTCCATAACGGCTCCCTGTCCAACACCGACGACAATGAGCTCGATGATTGCCTCAGCGCGGCTAGTCCCTGCGTGCCAACGGGTGATGAGGCCGCTGATCAGCGTTGTCAGGCCAGCACCTACCCAGGCGTTTGTCAGAGTCACGCCCCATTTGCTGGTGACCCAGCCGGCGATGGGGTTTCCGATAGCAAGACCCAGCATCATGGGCAGGAGAGCGACACCGGAGATTGTAGCAGAGTCACCGTAGACTAGTTGGAAGAACTGAGGCACGTAGTACATCATTCCGAGAAGGTTGGCACCGTAAAAGAACTCTGCGATGAAGATGAAGATGATGGCAGGTTTGTGCAGGAACGAGGGGGGCATGAGTGGGTCCTTGGCGAAGTGTTCCCAAATGACAAAGAGGGCCAGCAGGACGAATCCGCCCACGAAGCAGCCGATGACGCGGGAGTCAGCCCATGCGAAGTTGTTTCCACCCCAGGAGATAGCCATAAGCAGACAGGTGGTACCGCCGATGAGGGCGATGGTACCGAGGATGTCGAAGTTCTTGATACGTTCCTTGTCGAACTTGGGGGTCGGGAGGCGGAGGAAGAAGATGGTGATCAGAAGACTGATAGGCGAGATGCATAGGTTGACGTAGAAGCACCACCGCCATGTGACGTACTGAGAGAAGGCACCTCCAAGAAGGGGGCCAGCGACATCAGCTATGGCCCAGACCAGTCCGGTGAATGAGATGTATTTGCCGACATCGCGGAGTGGGACCAGGTCGGTGATGATTACATTGACCAATCCGTAGATACCACCGCCACCGATACCTTGAACCACACGGGACCAGATCAACATGTCCATGCTCTTGGAGCCGCCACAGATGCCACTACCGAGAATGAAGAGCACAGTTCCAACGACGAACATGTTCTGACGACCGAAGATATCACCAAGTTTACTGTACAGGGGCAAAACCAGGGCAAAGGTAACCAGGAATCCCGTTCCCAGCCAGGAAGAGTTGTTGTAAGCATTGAATTCGGAAGATATGATCGGAACAGCAGTAGCGACAATGTTGAAGTCAAGCGCCGCGAGAAGCATTCCAATATTCAATCTTTGGTATATTAGCAATGTTTATCAAGGTACTCCTTTGGGGTATTCAGACATACCCAAGCATAATAATCCAGAACTGAGACAGTGACAGCCCAGCTTTCGCGCCAGGCCTTGTGTCCTCGACAGGCGAAGCATCACTGGGATTTGAGCCCTTCTCGAGATCGGCGGAAGGAAGCGACCTAGTGCTAGGAGGCTCTGAGCTGCTGTTGCACGTCTCAGTTTCTGCCTGCGGAGTCATGGTGACGTTTTGTCCTTTCTTCCAGAACATTGCCTTTGGAAGTCTTCTTTTGATGTCGTTCGCCTCGATCGTTGTCTTGTCTTGTTGAGATGCTTCGTTATGCCTATGAACAACTGGACGATGGGCAGGCGAGAAGTGAGACTATATAGCCCTCGACTGAGCAATCTTGAGAAGCTCTCGTCTTCCATGACTTCGCCGTTAACTCCATAGCGGCGGCCCCTGACAGCTGCCGCCGCACAATGATCACCCGCGCCCCTGGCAAGCCGCCGTTTTGTCGGAGTTTAGATCGAGATGGGTCAGCGGGCGGAGGGCGGCGAGCGGCCCCACAGATCTCCCCGACACCCCTGTCTTCGTCGCCGCTGTGCGGGCGGTGATTGGATGTATACTGAGTGGGACCCGTTTGCTGTGCCCAATGGGCAGTATGCGAGCGGAGGCTAATGAATAATGCTCTTCTCTACCTCAGTTGAACATAGCGCCCTCCCTTCACAAACTCCAAATACCACTCAACTATTGCCAGAATGTGCTCATAGTACTCCCACAAGTATGACTATGGCTGCACCCACTCCGAAGGCGATGTCGTCTACTGTGCAAAGAGGGGTACTTCATGCACCGGTGTGCGACAGCAAGCCCGCCGACGAGAGGGCTATAACTGCCCTGCCCATGGAGGCTAGGTCGTGCAAACCGAGGTGAGTAACGCGGAATTTACAACACTGATTGGCTGCTAGAGGAGAATCTTCTATATCGACAGAATGGTTGTAGGAGAGGAAATAGGTCGTTGCGGGTTTACGGCTACAGATCTACTGGTGAATACCTGTCGGGTGATGAAAATCGTATAACAGTTTGCATGGGATCTGTATAGAAGCTAAGACAACGAAGTCGAAAATTTATAGATAAGCACGAAGGATGAAAGCAAGCAAGCAAGCAAGCAATCATAAAAGCAGCAAACGTGATCAACCATAATCGTTTAAAGTGCAGTCCAAACTTGACCCTTATTTGACCATGGACAAATCTATCATTTTGGATGCAATCTTCAGCTCCGTTGTCAAAGCGTCCAGCTGTTAGAAATAATCTAGTAAGCAAACCGGGCGGTAAAAGATTGAAGAAATGGATATTACGTTGTCCTCCCACATCACGTTTAAGTGGTGGCGAGGAATAATCATCACTTTGCGAACCAATCCCCCGGATATCTCCCATCCCAGCATGCACAGATGTCTCCACCGATCAGCAGAAACCAGGGAGGGGACTCCATTCTGTAGCTTTTCATGTGGCACATATACCTTGTAGCGGAGGAGCACGACCGGGGGCGGTCCACGTGCTTCAGGTTTGTCGGGGAACGAACTCCGGTCAGGGACCGTCCATTTTTCAGCTAGTTTGCGGGCCCGCTTCATTGACTGCGAGACAAGCATTCTTGTCTTGGAGGCACAGTGAGGGGAGAAGAAGGGTTGCGGCGGGACCAGGACTGGTGTCAGGGCATCGGCCATACAGCATAAGGGTAGGGACTGTCGATCATCACTACGCCCTCCACGTGAAACAAATTCTCCGACTGCAAGATTTGTGCAGCCTCAAGCACGATAGACCCTCCTAGAGACCAATCGCCAAGGAGGACACACGCAGCCTTCACTGTAGACTGGATTAAATTCGCGTAGATGCGTGCCATTCCGGAAGCCCGAACCAACCTCATCTAGTAAGAAAAGGGGATCTGCGATGCCGTGGACAGTTCGATTGAGCGACCCGATATGATAGCAGGATACGATTAAGCCGACCGAGGACAGCGGGAAGGGAGCTTTGACTTCTGCGGTGCGATCTTGCGTCCGTAATCCCAGTGTGGCACGGGGTCGCATCGGGAGACAGCGAAAGACGCACAGCCGGTGCACTAGAAGATTCTCTGCTGAAACTGTCGGAGAAATTGTTGCACGAGCGGAGACATGGTTGCCAGTGCCATGATCTCGATTGGCTCCACCATCCCCACGTCATACCTGCTTTAAATAATGCACTGCGTTGGTGATCTGCACAAGAATGTCGGCTTTGGCACAGCTTCTGGAACCGAGTAGTGCTTGACTGTCATGTGAACGACTGAAAACTCCTAATGCTTTGGTAGAGGGACAGTTTGTGGAAGCGTGGTATGACAATACTCTACGTAGACATGGCTGGTGCAATATTTTTATTAAGTGCACCGTGAATGGAGGAAAAGTATGTGCGATTCTGGAAGCGTTGTTTCCTTTGCGTCCTTTCAGCTAGAATAGCCATGCTCAAATTCATTCGCCATGCATCCAAAACGTTTGGATGAGATGGCAAACTAGCAACTCATCCTCCGGTAAAGCGTGCGCTCATGATTATTGCATGCCTGGATGGAGCCTATCTCGGTGACGATGATATTCCCATTCGCTTACTTCATGGTGAATGACTTTGACCCGAATGATGTTCGACACGTCGGCCTCCGAGATGGTTTAATCAGTACGTAAACACCTATATACCTATATACAGGACGCCTGCCTGCTTGCATTAGCTGAGGTTCTCTAGCATCCGCATTCTTTATTCCTCAGATGATTACCACAATCCCATATGGAATCGCATCTGATCGATACGGCCGCCGTCCTTTGCTTCTTACTGGCTTACTAGGGAGTGCCGCATTTCTGTGCCCATTTGGATTATATAAGCCCTTTCCATGGGCGCTTATCACCCGCGCATTGTGCGGATTTTGCAATGGTAATGTTCATTTACTCTCCTCTCTGTTGCTGATAGAGCATGAATCCATCTTCTGACGGTCTGGATGTTAGGGAACGCGGCAAGCACGCGAACTGTCGCGGGAGAGACTGTATATCAAGCCAACCTCAACCAAGGAAGAGTCTTCGCCATCTTCGAGTTCACCCAGGCCGTGGGCTATGTTGGGGGACGGACGCATGATCGGAGGTTATCTAGCTAGACCAGCAGAGTTGTATCGGTGGAGCGGACTGGGTGATATATTCGCAACATACCCTTAACTTTTAAACTGTCTCGTCGGCACGTCCCTCACTTACAACAGTTCTCAGCGCTATCTGTCTCGAAAAGACAACGAAAATGTCTGTGGTCGAAACAGGACAATGAATCTGGGGTAGAAGCCCAAGAATGACCCGTTACTGACATGCTCCACAAACGACGGAAAGAACAACAGCGCTTCGATGTTCATGCAATCTATGCACTGATGGTTAGCATCCTCTTTAGGAGCTCGCATGCTATCGCGTCTGACAAGAGTCTGCTGGTGTTCCTCGCTTCCCTGTCAACATTCGAACGGAAGACGCTGATACCGCCTTTAAATGCAGGAGGGCACATGACTAGGAAGTTTTTAAGAGTGCACCAGTAGTAATAGTGAGGTACAATCGGCTCTCAACAGTCTGACACGGTGGATCATCTTAGTGTAAATTACAGACCCCAACAGAACCATTTCTCTCGATCTCTTCCGCATTAACGCTATACGATTGATTGGATCCATTTATCTCCACTTCTGTCAAGTGGGTGGGGCCGAGGCTCAACCTTTAAAACAACATATTCGGAAAAAGCCTCCGCAATTGTTTTCTCTTCCCCACCTAATATCATGCATTTTGTTTATTATACTGATGGATAGGTCGCTCTCATCCTTCATACTTGGTTGCTCTATATAGTCGTCTGTATATCTGCGCTTATCACAAAGCCTCTTACCCGAATGCGTCCGTTTTTTTTTTTTTTTAAAAAAAAATTCTTGACTGTATACCATTATATCCTCTGCTGAAACAATAACTGTGATGACATCAGGCACTATCGACCAGCAACCGCAGCATGGGAAACGGAAACAGGCTTGTTTGGTGCGTTTTAGCGAATCTGCTCTTCTTGGAACCCGTGCTAAGTAGTGGTGATGCAGGCATGTCGTCGACGAAAGAAGCGTTGCGATGTAAGCGGTTTTGATCTTCAATCTTTTTGGTCACTGGCGTTGCTTGTGGCTGATTGTGGCTAACTCTTTGATACAGGGCAATCGTCCCGCGTGTTCCGCATGCAGTGGTTGGGACACTGAATGTGTCTATCCCGGCGCTCAGACAACATTCGACTATGGGTTTCCCACCCCCCATAGTCTAGAGAGGGAGCTCGAGGCCCTGGTACAAAACCCAGCCTTTTGGGATCCTAAGGCTTTGCCGGCCGCATCCCCCCCCGTGCCTCTTACAGCCTTGAACTTTCCACATGAGTTATCTCCACCCCCCTTGGATTTAAATGTGGTGTCGTACGGCGCACGCCTGTCAGACACTGTTACACTGGTTGAGCCATCCCGGTCATCATCACGCAGACTTTCCGGCTTGCAGTCGAGCCAGGTGCCACCGCAAGCCCAAATCATCCAGCTGACAAATGAATTCTTCGAGCGTCACCATCCGTTCTTTGCTTGTATTCACAAGGAAAAGTTTTTGAATCGCCTTCGGGGCAAACAGAGCCCAGGACTATCCACGCCGCTGGAGTGGGCCATCGTAGCCACAGCCGCGAGGGTCAGTCGTGACGCGAACGTCTCTACTCAGGCGTACGTCTTTCTGCAAAATGCTGTTGAATCGCTCTCACTTGGCCCCCTCCTACAGGTACCTACCCTGCATACACTTTATTTCCCGGCTGACCGAGCGGTAGGAGAACGTTTTGCAGGACTTGCAGGCAGCTGTCTGGTGTGTCTTTTCCCTCTACAGTTCTGGGGAGATTACAAAAGCCGTTGTTCTATTGGCACAAGCCTATACACTAGCCTGCTTGCATGGATTGAACAGACTGGATGACCCGACTCCCAATATTCCCCTTGCCATGCAATTCTCCCCAGTTGAAGAGGAAGAATGCCGGTGCACACTGTGGGCTCTATTTGTCCTTGATAGGCACATCAACTACTTAATAGGTCGCCACTTTGTAATTGATGATAGTTTGTGGTGTGTCAACTATCCATTGGACGACCGATCTCTCCAGCACGGCATACGCCCAGTGAGCCTGTTCCTCCATACGACCATCCAGTACTCTACTGACTGAATCACAAAGGCATCAGAAGCCTTCAATCGGGACCTGGAAGCAATAACAGCGGAAAAATCCAATGTCCCACTTGGGGTCACCTTGACTCGATTAGTGTGCAAAACGCTTGTCATTCTAGGCCGCATCGCTGAACATAAGAGCATCAACCCCATGCCAACTGGTGCCGGAAGCCAGCACCGCCTCGCTGAGTTTCACGAGCTCCAATCCGCCCTTGCCTGTTTCTGGGTCATCCTACCACCGTGCGTCCATAACGTTGCGGAAGTCCCGGCCGAAAACGTGCTCCACAGCGTCTGGTTACTGATCATCCTCCACCAATGCTCTACCGTGCTCTTCTACATCACCGAGGCGGAGCGCCGCTCTGGGACCGTCGTTACAGCCAGCGAGCGAGACAATTTCGCCTGCTCATACAAGTCCGTTGACAAAGTCGTTAGCGCGCTGCGGACCATCTCCGGTCTCGTGGTAAACCCAGCCTTAAACCCGATGCTGGCGTCGGCATATTTTCTGTGTTGTCGGTTTATTGTTATGCAGGCGCGCTTGTCTCAGCAGCAGTCGTATCGGCTAGATCTGACTCTTGTTTTGAAATTGCTTGAGCGAATGGCGGAGGGACAGGTGCAGTTGCCTCTCATTTATAAAGATATTATTGATCAGGAATTGGTGAGAGAGATGCAGGGAGGAGGGGCTTATCAGTCTTTACTGCGGACTGACTATTGCTTTATGCTTTAACCATGTCGGTTGGCTTTGGAGTATAGAATTAGTAACGACTATTTGGACAAGTATTTGATGTGGTCGTTTCGTTTGGTCAAGTTCTAGAATTGTTCATATTTTCTTGGTCCTTATTTAATGGCACGCTTCTTTTTATGATTCATTCTGGACTAGACGGTAGCGTCTACGTTAGAGTGCTGTGGTGGTCAACGGTGATATTGCTGTCAGGCAACGTAGAGATTAGAACTAATCTGTAGTCTAAACAGTATAGTTATGCAATATCGCTCATCACACGGCCGGTGAGGTAGGGGACTGGACGAGGTAGTAGGACACTATGAGCCGTAGGGACCGTCGAATATGGGAAGGGGGGCCCCAGGGGCCGCCCTGATGGCGGCCCCGGGGAGGACTGAGGGAGTTCTATTGAGTCTTCTGAAGGAATGTATTGCCTAAGCTATCTGCTTGAAGTCGCTCCCTGTGTGGTCTGCTACCTTCAATAGAGACCGCTATTTAACCTAGTATCTACCAAGGTGTTCAGATCGTATGATGTGGGATCATGTCTTCGGAGTGTCTACATGTTGTGGCCATATTCGTCAGGCACTATACGTCTTAGTCATCCGGGATGTCAGTTATATTCAATGTATATAGATACTTTAGATACATGGATGGTTAGATATAGAAATTCTCTGTAGTGTAAAGGCCTTGAAGTGACAGAACCATGTAACTAATTAGCGAAACGGAGAAGCAGATAAATAGCTATGCATAAGAGAACTCGAGTCAGATGATTGGGGCCTGTAGATAGTGCTTACTAGGGGCTACATGCACACTATGGCTACGAAAAGCCCGACAAATACCCCCCCAAAAAAAAAAAAAAAAAAAAAAACCTTCTTTATTCGGTTTATTCCGATTATGTGGGATCGAGAAATAATTATTTACGTATTTATGAAGTAAAAGACATAGATGACAAAATAAGACGTATTTTACATCTAAGGAAGAGATGGCGATTTGTATTACGAGAGCATCACGTAAGAGCATCTTATGTGTATGATCTGCAGATATCTATGCCGAGCTCTCGCCTGTATTTAAACTACCATTCTATTCATAAGAGTTTCTCGTTTGATAACATATAAATAACAAATTACAGTCCATGTTAAAAATATATTGGAAATGGCTTCGGCACACTGTGAGTCATGGAATTAGGAAACTGCAGGTCAGGGGTTGTAATTTGGGGACAACAGAGATTTTAAACAGCGGAGGGCGTGACTGCCTATGTGATATGCCTAATGATGCATACATAGTATTAGATCTATATCCACGCAAGACAACGAGTCCCGAAATTCCAGAGTTTCTCTGATAGTTTGCCAACACTCCCTCAACTTCGCTTACAAAACCAGAGACTAAATATTTACATTCTTCATTCCTTCTGTCACTAGCTAGTCACAGTTGATCTTATTGTTTGGGTTTAGCACATGCCAGCCAAAATATGTATGCAGTGGAGGCTCGGGTAAAAAAAATCAGTTAAAGCAAAGTAGAGCTGTTGAAAATAGTACGAAAGTCAACGGTAGTTAGCTAGGTGGGGACAGGCCTGAGTTTCTCAAAAATACAAGGCAAGGCTGGCACAAGAACCCTTAACGGTTAGTATTCGAAGGCTGCTCCTTCTCAAGCTGCTCGCGACGGAGCTGATATCCCGCGCCATACCGTTCGTGGAACTCACTTCTTACTGTCTACACCCCCAGGTCCTCTTGCTCTCTGGAAATGTTCTTCTGGCTCCGGGAGAGTTGCTGGAGTGTGTCATCAGACATTTGCCCTAGCCACTGCATAGACCTGGCTCCTGTGATGATATGTCTTGCTGATATTAGGTCGCCGATTGTCGACACGACCAACTGGTGGGAATCGTCGGATGAGGTCACATCTTCAAACACATTCGTCCGGGCCTTTCCCGTCAAATCGGATGCTTCTGCACAGATACTTAGGCACTGGGTGATACTGTCCCTTTCCTCCTTAATAATATCTAGTCTGGCCTTTTCTTCCCTCGAAAGCGGTGGACTAGATTCTGACAGGACTTTTATACGTTGATTCAGTTCTCAACCGGGATTCAATAGTAGCTGAATTCAAAGAAATTTTGGTCCTGAAATCTGATAAAAGGGTACTAGTTTCTGTATCTACTTTTTTTGATTCAGAACCACTGTTCCATGCAGACTCTAAGGATAAAGTCCGATCAGTGTGAGAGCCCCGCGGCAGGCGTTTTTGGGCTGCCTCTATGAATCTGGAGACCTGGGAGCAAATTGCGAGGCACTGCTCCGTGCTCTCCTTTTCTTCCATAATCACGCTTAAGTCGGCATCTGAGTCCTGGACAGGTCCCTTTTGTTCGAGTGACTCTACTCGTTCATTGATCCCTTGCAGATGGTCTTGAAGGTCTGATGTCGCCTCAGCAATCATCTGTCTGTATTCGTCAAGAACGTTGGCGGTAACGTTAGCTTGACGGCTAACTTACATAAGTACACAAACATCGAGTCTGACACAAGAGACTTACAAGGTGGCGCCTCCGAGAGCAATATTGATTGTCGCCTTGTAGCCAGCTAGAGTAATCCGAATATTTTCGATATCTCCTCCCATATACTGTAACTTTGCCCAGTCCCGGAAGCTTGCGCGTTGACCATGTGAATGAGAGATACAACTGTTGATTACTTCTTCAAATTCCTTGCAGATTTTTCCACACCGCAGTAAAGGCAGTTTCAAGGCAACCAGCTGGTCCTCATTATTCGCAGCAGCCTGCTGAAGTGTTGCGAGCGCTTGAGTCAAAGAATCAAGTTCATACCGAAGTTCGCGAACAGTTCTCTTTGTAGTCTTGAAACTCTCAATCACTTGGTACAGTGACTTGCTGGTCTGGAAAGCAAATCCAGCTAGCGCAACCAAGCTAGAAGCAAGAGAAAGGGCTTCAGCCATAACAATATATTTGAGATCGGTTCTTCCTATAAAAGACGTAATTGCTATGAAGTGTCACTCATCAAAGCTCAAAGTATTTGGGGGTAGCATGAATATATAACTACCGAGACATGAAGAAGATGGGATGCGTAACTCAGCCTCGACTTGTCCCTTGCTCTTATATGTGGAAGGTATCAGAAAATGGTGGCACTCCTTGGGCGCCTAGAGCGCGGGGTCGTCAAAATTGGCCGTGGTCAAATAACTAACAGCCAATGAACATTGCCTAGCTCTTGAGCGGGTGAAGCTGGGCGGCAAATCGACACTGCCTTGGCTTTTAGCCAATCGTTAATGAACAACGCCCATGAAGCCAACCTACAAAGGAATTGTCAAAAGAGAGTAACGAACACTGGCCGAAACTAGAATCGTCTTATTGGGCCTTTGTCTCGAGTGCTAGGAGAAATGTAACGTAAACGGCTGGAGCCCGTTTGACCTCTCGGGCCAATTACCCTGTTATCCCTGTTGTGCCTGCTGTGCCTGTTGTCCCTATTGTCCCTATTGTCCCTATTGCCCTACAGGCCCTTTTGGCCCCGTTGGCCTCGAAGACCCACCTCACGTGGCTTTCACCTTACCTATTTGTTTACCGCTCATTTTCCTCTTTCTTTCTCCCCTTCAACGATTCCTTTTCGTACATAGCCTATCTTATAGGTTCTACAGGTTCAGCCCCTGACATGTAACGGTGTATTGGTTATCTGTCAGGATGGCTTGATCCCACGTTGTTGTGGAATTCAGGAGGGAGATATCGATCAGTTACACGCCGACCATTAGCCTAATTGGGAAGTAATGTCATCTGTGGCAACACCAGGTATCTCAACCAACCGAGCCTCTGACATTCCTATCTAAGATGCTCGATTAAAGAATATAGGGATAGAATAGAATCCTTAAGTGAGAGCTCCATCAAGCCGGGCGGATCATAGTATTTCCATGTAAAGGATTTTTTTTTTATTTTTTCAAGCGTTTGCCTTTACCTGCAGACTTTTAGACGTCCAGAGAGTGGTTGAGTTTCAAAATTCTGTCTTAAAGATGCTCGGTTGAGCGTGGTATAAATATGATCCCTTTCCTGATCGGAGAAATGGTTTGGAGGGGTCGATTCAAAAGCCTTGCAATTTCAGTGGGCTTTTTGCCACTATAAAGTCCCTGTATATAAGCTCGCTCTGTCGATTACGCTCAAGATTAGCGCCTAAAGGGCTCAAAGAAGCCCTTCTAGTGTTATGGTTGGTGTTTGAAAAAATGAGGTTTTTTTGTCGCGTTGTTGATACGACCGGTTCTTAGCGCGATTGCTCAAACTTTTGACTAACTACACTAGTGATGTGATCTTGACACGATCACTATAATTCAGGGGAAAGGGGACAGAAGGACATTATCATAGCCTACTAAGGACCGTACTTGATTCTATATTTTGCCTTAATTTCTATCTGATGAATACACGCACTCTCTATGAATAGGGGCGGTCCTCGGGGAAATACCCTGCAGGGTGCCGAGGCGCTAGGCGCTCGAGTCCATATTATATGTCCATATCAACTAGGATGGCGCTACAGGAGTCACACAGGCCAGCAGTGGCAGGGGTGGGAATAGGCACCCTTTCCCTAGAGCTCTCTAGAGGGCATCCACGAACTATATTTCTATGTGATATCCCTTTTAAGCCTTTCTGCTAAGGCGGTGTTGGCCTTCATGCAGAACGCGCCAACACGAGTATGTAACATATCAGTGGTGAGATTCCCCACAACCGGAAGGGCAAGCGGACTGTCGAAGCAACTTTTCCAGCGCGATACATAATAGGCGCAGGACCGGCCTTGTAATACAGAACCTATGGAGAGAGGTTGAGAGGCAAAGCACTGTTCGGAACTATGAGAGTACATAGGCCATAGGCAGGTTCACGTGCGGCCTTGACCCACGGAAAGAGAGAAAAAGTACGAAACAGACAATGATATGCTGGTACCTAATAGGGTAGCGACATAGGGGCATCCCTATGTCTGTGTCCCTTAGCCCTTGAATGTGATATATCAGATCGCTGCGGGACTAGGATATACGAAGGTGCCTTAGGCATACTGATTTCCAACATATACTAGAATTATGCCTTTACGCCGCCCTGTACCAATACATTCCGCTGCCCAGGGGCGAGGAAGGATTTAGGTGAAGACCGGACGACCAGAGCGGACAGAGTATGCAAAAACTGCCACCACCATAGAATTCCACAAATAAGCTGCATCTCGATGCGGCTAGCTTTATCTTGGATGCTACAGGTTGTTCACCTGCTCAATAGCTGCATGTTCGTCAGTGGGGGTCGTGATTTCGGGGTCCTGGCTAAAGATGTTGTACCAGTTGATCTCTCCACTGTACAATGATCAAGACGAAGCCACAGAAGAATCAACCGCCGGATTCTCAAACACGCGTCACAGGGTGATATTTGCCATTGGATGCATTTTGGGAACGATGGCTTCGCTGTCGCTTGTCATCGTAACTATGGTGTCCTTGGAGCAAGTTCCTCGACAACTATGGCTTCGGCTTGGTGCCTGGGTGAGAGGTACACGTCCAGTCCGTATATAGGCGCAGCTATGGCTCCGGAAGGCCCATGATACATGACTATATCCTCATTTTCCAACTTATTTTGGCATTAATCACTTGCGGCTCTGGTATCTTTATTTCGCGACGACCAAATGTCTTTCACAACGGGACCCAGATCGATCGCCGATACACATCCTCATTCCTCAACCGGATCTCATTTGTGTGGATTGGGCCAACAATAAAGGAGAAGCGGGCAAAGGCCATCCCCGGAATTAAGAATATCTCTGGCCTCGATCACGACACTCGTCCAGCGACACTCGACTTGTCCTTCCGGAGACCCCAGATGAGTCAGTCGGCGACAGGTAAGAAACTCTGGGTTACCCTGTTGCGTTCGCACGGCCGAACCCTTGCGATGTAAGCAGTCATGATCATCTTGAACACTATCCTGTCCTTTGCTCCGCAGCTTGTCTTATTTAAGATCACCAAGGGACTCGAAGAACGAGATAATCATCCTCTTGAGCCCCACGAAATATGAGACGTCATCCAATAGTTTATGCATCAATCCCGTGTAATAGAAGCCGCACGCTAAGAGGGGAGGCATGGAAGCCCCGAGCGGGGAAGCGCTAAGATGCATCGTCAATAAGAATGACTTGGATGTAGCATGCTGGGCCTGTACACTGATAGCGAAAACAAACGAGAATACGGACTTTGGAAGCTTGTCGGAAGCAAGACCATTAACATCCATATTTTGCGCGGTCGTACCGGACAATAGTTATGGACTATATAATATGACAAGGAAATGATTTCCTGACAGTTGTTCCATCCACATTTCGGCTTTCCTGCGCCAATTTCTCCAATGCCTTAGCTTCCCTAGGCCAAAAACGGAGATTCTTTCATGCCCCAGGAAGATTTGTTCTAAGAATTACTTGATATACTGCTTAAATTAGTGTCTAGCCCAGTTATAGAGTATATAACCGACGAGACATCTAGCCTGCCCAATAATTCGTTCCCTCTTCATCTAACATGCCTGTGGTTTGTCGAATTCTGTGGTTTGTCGAATTCTGTGGTTTGTCGAATTCTCTGGGTTGTCGAATTCTCTGGATTGTTCTGTTTAAGGCACCCCGTCCACTGTCGGGCCGTATTAGGTACAGTGCAACAAAGGCTCATAGTTATATAGAAGGGTCTCCCATTTATCAGTCCCCTTCAGCAGAATGTTAGGAACTTCTCTTTTCACATACTGCAGAGAATGTCAGAGCTTCGAAGTCAGTATACCCCACATTTACGCTTACATCACGATACTTCTGCTGCATTCTCATCCGCAGAAAACACTTCAGCAACATCGTATCATTCATAAACCATTTATAAATATCGTTCCTTGGAGAGCCATCGACTGGGCTCAAGACCACTTCTAGCACGTCTCGAACAATATTCCATCCGTCGTGTCTTTCCAGGCAGAGAGAGTTTAGCAAAAACCCAATGTGGTTCTGCAGCAGCGAATGATGAACTTTCTCCAAGACGTCGTTCATGCTCTCCGTGAGTACAACCCATCCAGACAACATTTTATCAAATTTGACTCCTTGGCGCCGCAGCGTTGGGGTGTGCAACCTGATCCCTCCAAAGTCCCGGACCGCAAAGCCTTTGACTTTTCCTGTCGCACGGCAAACCCGAGCTACTACATTCTGCCCATGTGCTTCCAGTCCGATCCCGTGATTAACTAGAGGAGGCAGGAAAAGTTCCAATAACATTTGTACATACCTTCGCGCCGATAAGATTAGAAGACAAAGGTTACACATCAGTTTTCAGGCGCGGCAAGGAAAACTCACAGCCGGAACCACTCCTGTTTCTGATATACTGACTTGAGACCGAAGATGATCTCTGCATATGACTGAGATCCACCATGAGGCTGCTGTGTTAGCGCAGCTGCAATGATGAGTACTTCGTTGTTGTTCTCTGCTCTGGCTTCCAGATCTTCTCGTAAGATACACGATAGATGTTTTGCATCATCAAAGTCCGCTTGGCTACCGGTTACTGATGCTACCTCTCTGAAGACCCACAAGTTCGCGGGGAGAAACTTGACCAATATCTTGCTGATACGGGGTCCGCCCATGGCGGACCACGGAGTGATTGTTCGGAGGGCGGACGTGATCTGACAAGCCAAGGAAAGCTTTAGCTGAAAGGGATACCCTATGTCTGACCGAAGAGTAAGTGTTCTTAACGAAGCCTGAGCATATGCACTGTCAGCAATAGTCTCCAAGATGATGGCGTTGGGAAAGCGGCGAAGAATTGAGGGCAGTTGCTGAGTGAGGCAGGGCACGACTGTTTGCCCCTTTGGCACTCCTGGTATCTGGAGACTTCGAAGAAGTGGTTGCAGCAACTCCTCGAAGGGACCGGAGAAACGCACTTCGGTCAGCGCAATCGAGATAAATGTAATATCTGGTGTTAACATCCCAGGAATATTCTCTGGATCGACAGTTTTGAGCGGTAACTGTGAATGACATGTCCGGTGCAACTGGAATGCTACTTGCTAAGTAGGTATATATAGGCTGCCATCAATTCGCATACCGGATGAGTTGGATGCCCGTATACCAGCGACCTTTCCCAGGCAATCGATGTATCCTTCAAATCTAACAATCTCTGGCAGGCGGATATGCTGAGCCACATCTCTGTCTTTCATTAGTATGGCCCACAGCCAGTTTTGTGAACAGACTTCAAAAACCTTGGTTCTTTCCAGAATTTTGCAGCTGTTGGGCGATTTCTTTCAGGACATCCTCGCTGGCGTCATGTGCCAGCCATGGGATCATGAGTGAAAATATCTTGCCAGGGTCCAGTTCGTCCCTAGGTATTCCTATGCTTTTGAATACAACAGGGGGACATAGGCTTCCTGCCTGTATTATTGGAAGTACCTCTCTGTTTCGCTCTTCGATAGTTGCGCCCGGATTCACTTTCACGATGAGGTATCCTTCGCTGCCGTCACGTTGAGCACCCCTTGCGGACAAACGAAGATACTGATCTCCCTCCGTAGTAGGCCCTTCGACCTTCGCATCCACCAGTCCTTCATTAACTAGGGCAGCTAGTAGGCGTTTCGTAGTTTGGAACCACGCCTCCTGCCGCAGGGTGAGGACTGTCATATTTGGAGCCAATACTGTGTGCCAGAATCACCACTCGGCTCCTAAAAAAAAGCCTATAAATAATAAGGGATTTTATACTAAACACTGTGGCTCAACTTATGACGAGCTTACACGTTAATGAGGAATTGCAGGGAAACGATGTCCCTATCCGTCTCGCCCTGAACTGTCAGATATACGGTTAGCAGTCCCGAATAGTAAACAGAGTACAATTAGTACAAAGGCCTTATTTGAATTATTTGAGCTGGTTGGGCTCTTCTTGGTTATATTGATAATTATATTGATTATTCTGATGGTTCTGATTATTCTTCTTATCATGTTCCTTCGCTTGTTGATGGCCTTTTTGACCCCTCCTTAATCACTGGATCCTTGCCACGTATAGCCATATTATTTGACATGAACTTGGAAAAAAAATGCAGGCTAAGTATTGCCTGCAGATTCGACTAATAGGTTTGACATGCTATTGGGCATTATAACCTGCCTGGATTAGGAGACTGCGACGCCTCTTGACGGCCAGCTCTTTCGAGAAGCCAGTACCATATTACCACGTAACTTAACTGACAGGCCGAGGACAAAAATGCATGGTGCATAATGTGGCACTTTTACAGGTGATCGGGCCTCTTTCGCAGCATTGCATGTTCGAGATTACCCAACCTTCCACTAGCACATTGGACTTATACTCCGTCAGGAGGCCTGCCGGTGAAGAGGAGCGTCCCTCTGACTTTACCTCGGGTCTGAGAAAGTTACTTTACACTGGTCTTCTCTTCCCTGCATGGTATGGAAATATATGGACCCGAGCGCCTAGCACATTGGCACCCTGCGGGGTATTTCCTCCGAGGACCCGCCCCTATTCCTATTCCTGGAAGATAGTGTGCGTTTTCATAAGATAGTATTCAAGGTAGTATAGATACTATCAAATACGGCCCTTAGTAGGCTACGTGCGTGTAGCTGTTATAGTGTTCTTCTGTCTCCATTTCCCCTGAATGATATAGTGATCGTGTTGAGATCCACTCCGTTAGAGACAAGCATATAAAATGCATCAGTATGTGGATAGTATGCCATACCTTCCAGACCGTACGGAATACGAAGCCAGAACGCGATCGGTTCCGCAACGTGAAATCGAAAAAGCTACTTTACCAGATGGATTTCCCATCTGCTTATCTTCCAAAATGGCCTGGGACAGGGACAGTATCTCGTCGTACAAGGAAGAATACATATTGCAATTGAATCATTCGCAGCTAGAGGAAATCAGCGGTGCCTTGCACCATTTCAAGTGTATGGCCCCCGGCGTCGCATTTAGATCCTCCCCGCTCAAAAAATCCTAAGCGGGAAAGGAAAACCCTCTATGCACCAAAAAAGACACTGAAGCTTCGTCCATACAGCTCTAGGCAAGCCTCTTGAGCTTCTTGACCCGACCACCTTCCCCCTGCCATCGCTACATTATATCCTCCGTGGTGTATCGGATAACATCCACTCAGGCACTGGGTTCACCCTGGTTAGGGGCATTCCAGTTGATCGCTATTCTGCTGAGGAGAATATGATCATATATATTGGCCTCTCTTCTCATGTAGGCCGCATCCGTGGCCGCCAGGACCACCAGTATAATGGATATCCTGCAGACGTTGTTGTTGCGCATATTACAGATATGAGGCCTTCTTCCAAAGGAAATGGTTCCGTTACCCTTGCCAGTTATACTAACGATGAGATCCCTTTCCACACAGATGTTGGAGATATAGTATCCCTTTTGACATTGAGTGAACCTGCTGAAGGGGGCGAAAGCCTCTTGGCAAGCGGTTGGAGAGTCTATAACGAGCTTGCCAAAACTAGGCCTGATCTGGTTGAGGCTTTGGCGAGTGATTGGCCGATTCCAAGGTTGGTACAGGTGCAACGAATGTCCCTTTGTATGGGGTGAGGGTGGTTGACCCTGTTGTCCTAGTTCTAAAGAAGAGGGTCTTACCTTTTACCGCCCTCTAATATTCCACCAGGATTCATCGGAAACCACGTCTGAGAGAGTGCTTATCCATTTCTCGAGAAGGTCGTTAGTGGGGTTTGGCTCCCTCTCCCGTACGAGGCTGCTTTCTGTGAAACAGGCCGAAGCGCTTGACTCCCTCCACTTCCTGGCTGAAAAGTTCCACATATCCATGCAACTTCGGAAGGGAGATATGCAGTTCATCAATAACTTAAGCATCTTACATTCCAGAAAAGGCTATAAAGATGGCCCCCAGCATAAGTAAGCTCCCCGGCTCCGACAGATGTAGCATAATCCTGCTGAAACATACCTGGCAGACGACATCTTCTCCGACTGTGGCTGAGGGACCCCAGTAATGCCTGGCCGACCCCGGAAAAACTTCGTCACAAATGGAATGCTCTATATAACAGAGAAGAGTCTCGTGGGCCTCAAGTGTTTCCGCTATGCCCATACACGAGATCAGCTGGAAAATCAAATACAGCTGTGTAACAGAATGGGAATATCGTCGCCTAGGAAAGTCTCAAGTAATAGATCCTACTCCAGGGCCCTAAGTATTCTGAGAGTTTGTTACATTGGGACCCTTCAGGAGGGATTAATATAATGAATTTCTACTAGTGATACAGTGAGGTTGAGTTATTGGAATAAAGCTGGATCCACTAGGGGTAGTATACCAACATGGCAGGTCCGACGTAATATGAAGAAATTAACCAATTCTCGAGATTTACCATCCTCATGACGCGAAGCCTTTTCGCACCGAATGACATAACAATTAACTCAACTTCTCTACGCTCCTCAAAGGCTAATAGCAACGAGCTAGATTATAAAGTCCTTTTCCTTAAGGTCGAGGAGCAATGCAAACTAGCAGAAAAGGAACGGAGACAGGAAGGAGAACACAACCAACAAACAACATTGGCAGGATTTACCCCAGATTTCCACAACTTACTTTCTCAACCATTGGGAGTTGTGGCTCCTTCTCGCTCGACGAAACACAACACCATTACCTACTAGAAAATATTGTCTGACAACTTTTTCACTGGACAAGTTGTCTAGCTGAGCAACAAGAGCTCTACAATGCTGTCATCAATTATCTACGACGTGCAGACAATGCACTACGGCTAATTTTGCGCCTTGTTGGGCTAGAGGGCCTTGGACGGCAATTTGTTTGCTAGCCAAAGAGCAGTGAACAAGATCTAGAGAGCTATGGGCGATTTGCTGCAGAAGATAATGTGCACAGCGTGATTACGGAACTATCTGGCTCGATTATCATGCCAATTCCCAGGACGAGGTCGAAGTTGATCAGCCAGAAGAATCAAATCCACAGCACCACAGGCCAAATCGATTCTGCATCCACCGAGTGGGCGGCACTACGAACAACCTATCTACCACAGTCAAGTATAAGAAACATCACAATTCTTTAGAAAACCTTCGTATAGATTTACGCCCGTGGAGCTCTGGGAGACAGTGGTTAGCCCAGATACTATCCAGACAAGGAAGAGAAGTTGAGATACAATGCAGAACGACTCGCAGGTTCGGCAATTGTTCAAGACTACCGCGTAATGATCCAAGGAGCATTTGAATGTTCTTAAGTTATGAATGATTTGGTCACGGTCCTTCTCCGAATCCTTGACGTACATGGTTGCGAACGAATGCAATGGCACCAAAGAATTAGAAATACACTAGTTTCGTCGGAAAATTTGCCATCTTTGATGAAGTCTTTGATGTTGGAAATGGCCCCTATAGTCAATGGATGCAATACTGTGTCTTAGCTAGCTATTGGCTCAATTACCATACTAGAACGCACGTGGTATCGTGATTGGGTAACTATGTTAGATACATATCTCTGACTGCAGAGTTGATCACACACCACTTGATGTCTTCCCGTCAGCTAGCTAGATTATTTCACATTTTCCAGATGGTAGTTTGAATTACATCGCATTAATTTTCAGAAATGTGCAACATCAACGACACCTTTATCTTCTACAACATCTTTCCGTAGAGTTGCAACATCACCGGGAATCTCCCACCTTATTTCGGGCATGAGTGTTATATAACATCGGGTTGTATTTAATTCTATTGTCTTCTGAGGAGATTTAAACCGCTCGGGATGCTCTCCGGGCTTCAAGTATTCGAATATAATACCATCATCCTCCATATAGCTCATACCAATCGAGAAGAAAGAATTTTGCAGTTGAAGGTGCGTCGTGTTCTAAGCCCTTAAGAGATTGCGCCTCCTAGCGATTCCCATGATGGCGTTCATACCACGCTCTATGCCGGCATAGTGCACGGGAGCAATGACGCAGGTGTGTTCGGTGATGGCGCCTTCGTTCAGACGGTGATCTAGGTTCATAGTGTCCTAGTCGATATTAATGAAAATAATGCTGGCACTGTGCAGAAGGAACGCATTGATGGTCGACACGGTGTAACTGGGGGCGATGATCTTGTCGCCTGGCTGCAAGTCGCAGAGGAGTGCCGCCATCTCCAGTGCTTCTACGTGCAAAAGGACTAGGAAAATTTGACAGTTCTCCTTGCCTCTCTCAAGCCATTCTGTTACTCTCGCTCTGAATTCACCACTACCTGGAGACCCACTTTGCGTGATGCGGTGCGGACGTGGGTCGACTCTGGGCCCAGAAGCAGTGGCCTATTATAGGGAATGGGCATGGTCTTGGACGGGGATGGCGTCACGATAGGTGCTTTATCAAGGATATTATCGTTGATTGGCGTCTCTGTTGTGGCTACAGGCGAAGTGAATAAGAACAGCTTATACGATACAGGATGGCTTTGTGAGGATCGTCTGGTGTTTTGAATAAGTGGGCTCTTGAGGAGCTAGAGGGTCTTGAAATAATATTGTTGATTATAATGCCTACTCTATACAAGCACTGGGCGACTGGTATTGTCTCTGGGATCTTTCCTGCATTGTGTTCAATATAAAGCTAGTCCATATTGGGACATCATGTGAAATAACCAGGTGACGCGGCTGATCCCGAAGAATAGGGGTCAACATAATAATAATGACACCAAAATTCAAGCTCTCAGAAATAATTACAAATATAATTATGACACATTGTCAAGAAACCAACACCGGAACGTGACAAGGCGATCAAACAAATGTTCTGTCACTCTTCAGTGACACCTCCAGGGAATCTGTGAGACAAACGTGGTATATTTCACGCTTAGACTTCCTGCCTGACTTATAACACCATCTAATCCAATCCCATACTCACGTTGGCCTGTGTCTATCTAAAGTACAGAATTACTCATTGTACCACAACCATGGGCTCTGTAACGGACATTCCATTCACCGAACATGACCAAAACGTCCCCCACTGGAATCTCACCGAGCTAGACCGCATGCTACTTCGACAGACCGATGAAGAATACGAGCCACACTCATGGGACGAACTGAAATGGATAATTGGTATGTAAACCAGCTTTTCCACCCTGAAACCCTGAGACTAACGCACAAAACCAGCGGAAAATCGCCTCGAACTTTTCAAGCGCCTCCCCTCGCATCTTAGACGCTACATTAAATGGTCAACCAGCGTAAAGGACCAATACGGCAGCATTCTAAACTACATCTGTCAGGAGCGTCTCCGCTGGGACCAGCAACACTCAAAAGTCATATTCAAAGACCCGACCCCTTTCGCAAGCCCATGCGACTATTGCATCCGCTTTAATGACTGGCCGTACGGCGTCGCACCGGGCATCAGGCATCTGGTTGTTTGGCTGAAAACTCAATTGCCCGTCCAGGAGGATGGAAATTTGACAGCCGAGTCGCGCGCGCGCATCCAGACTTTTGTGTCGGCTACTTTTGTGCAGCGGCTAGCTAGAGAGAATCATCCGGATGCACCTGAGGACCGGGTGCTGTGGTTTAAGAATTGGGCTGCGCTGCAGAGTGTGTCGGCGCTTGAGCATTTCCATGTTATGGTAAGAGATGCGAGAGAGGAGACCTTGAGGGAGTGGATTGGGGCGGAAAATATGGTCCTGATTTGTGATGTAGGTAAGTGATGAGTTGCTCATCCTCCACATTCTTCTGCTGGCATGGGGATATGATGGGAATCGCATAATAAATATAGAACGACTGTTTTTAAGCCGCCGATTCTGTGCTAGAATTGAGACGTGAATCTCGCCCTGCATAGGCCATCCTAACCACGAAGCAAGATTATTCCAGTCTAGATTGGATAAAAGGAGCGTTCTATGCCATTACAGCTTGAATCATCTTTGTAGAGATGTAGTTCAGGTGTTTGCATGTTCTCTAGCGCTTTAGCATCCATTTGCTCTATTCTTTAGAGTAATAGCTCGTAATGCATATTACACTCACAGAATTCTAGCCAACAATTGATCATATCTATCCCAGTGTATATGCGCGACTAATATCCAGCTGCTTCTGCCTTCTCAGGGAAACCCGATTCGTCCAGGTTTGTCATGCGGGCTTTCTTCCAGTTTGCCGGCGTGAACCCGGTTGGCAATCTCTTTGAAAGCAGCCTAAAACGCCCGTTAGATTTCTAGAGCTATCCATTGATGATGGCAGACAGATACTCACCAGAGTACAGAAGCTCTCGTTCAACCGCCAATTCCAACCAGGCTCCCTACAATCGGGTAGCACCAGCGACAGACGATTATAGCGAATCCCAACAAAATGATGCTCGAGACGACTCTTTTGCTGCGCTTGTAACTCGGAAGTCGGCACCCGATCAATCAAAGGAAGGCAAGAAATATCCTTGGTCTTCGGCTTGTCACTGTCAAACTCGTCGCTGCCCCGGAATAGTTCAATGGCAATAACAGATCCGCTTCCAGTACTAAGGGACCGCTTAAGCTCTCGACCACGTCTCCCAGAAGAGCTCCAATGCCTACTCGTCGCATCTCCTCCTATACACTTGCTACATTCTACCACCCGCACTCCGTCCTTTAACATCGTCAAAGCGTCTAATTTATACCAGATCCGATGGTTAAAGATATGGAGCGCTGAGCTTGGAACGGCGAATTGGAATGGCTGCTAATAAATCAACTAGGGGAGGAGGTTGGGGACCCTTTATGCAAGCTCTGGCTAGTGGTTTCACTAGCGTGTCTAATGTAGAGCGGAAGTAAACACCGAACTATCTTCAATTTTTTACCTAGTCCCAGATGCCAGGGCGCTTGCGAAATGCTAAATGTCCTTGTCGCGTTTGTCGTCTCTCAATAAATTCAAGCCGCACCCCACTTACGGTAGTCTCACTTTCTCTAAGCACCTGTTGACGGGTTGGTCTCTGGCCAGATATTGTGCATACGGTTGATGAGACTAGGACAACAACACTGAATCTGCGATAAAGTAGTCACCAACTAAACCATCCAACGTCTACACCCCATCTTCTATGATGACAGGAGCTCGAAAGCGCGGAAACAAGGCGCATCCGAAGCAATGACTAAACGAATCCGACGGGCTCTTACTCTCCCCTACCTCAGCCGGAAAAAGGACGCAAGAAAAGAAGACAGCAGACCAATAACCTGCGGCAATCGTTTTTGTTCCAACTTCCATCAGAGACACAAAATATCATCTACCAAGAAATCCTCATCGCTCCTGTGTCTATTCATCTCGGCTATGTAGGAACTAAGATGCGAAAATCTCGCAGCTTCCTCTGCCAACTTTCTGAAGAGCAACAACATGAGAAAGGTCTCCAACCGAGGCGCCGGATAAATATATAATTACATTTCATTTTCAAATACATTCAAAATAGCTTTAGCCAGTGCGTGATTCGAAAAGAACAAAATATGCAGACAAGCATAATACAGGCTAAAACAATGAGATGCCTAGCCCAGGCAAATGATCAGACAGATCCAAGGTCTGTTTACTGTCCACCTCCCAGCACTCCTTCTTTGAAGATGGAATCTTCCCGAATAGCCGGAGAGGAAAGATCCAAAAGCCAAACACGGGCTTAACAGCTTTCTCCAAATCCTCATATTTATTCTCCCCCTCCAAGGCGCCCACCATATCAAAATAAAATTCATTGCGAATATGCGAGCGGCGTTTGGCCCAGTATCCATCTTTGATCTCGTCATCGAGCCGCCATTTCCCAGTCCACTCGTCGTCTTCCTCTTGCAACCATCGGCTGGCACTCCCGCAGTCCTTGATCTCGTGACTCAAAAAAGGTGGTTCAAAGGCCAGGATAAACTGGTAGGTAATCTGGGAGGCAGAAACACTCCATCTATCTAACAGGCTTTGCCAGTAATAAGCCATCCGCATCGGTCCTTCTCCAACATGCGTTTGTTTCAAATCTTCTGAAATCAAGCGAGGGTCGCGTTTCAGGCGCTCAAATCCTGGTGTCACTGTGGCAATTGGGAACGATCGATTAAAGATGCATTTGTGGGAATCGGCCACTGGGATACCACTTGCTAATCCCAAGATACGACGCCCTGCTCTCGTTCTGGTAATAAAAAAGACTTCTCGTAGCTGCGCAAGGGTCTCTTGAAAGACTTGCCGAATCTGAGCATTGACATCCACAGGATTAATTTGCTCAAGGTCGGTCACTGACAAACTATTCCCCCCCCCAATAGCTAGATTCAGTAGTCCGATATGACTGGGATCGTAGGTCTTTTTCAGATGATATGCCAGGTCAAACAGATCGTCCCCTCGCCATGACTCGGATGCAATCTCTAGGAAATCATATTCTGGGTTGAAATATAAAACCCCCGGTTTTGCTTTCACCGGCTGTCCAACCGCCTCGTAGACGTACTCATCCTCTGGACTATGGCTGAATTTGCACGGGATTTTCACCCGGTAAAACCGCAGCGCAGTCTGTCGTGATTCTTGATTTACTCTTAGCAGTTTGCTCAGGGTTTTCCGTCCATCAACCATAATCTGATACTGCGGCATCTCGCCATTTGGTTTGGGTCGCTCTGGCGTGAAATGATAATGTTTCTGAAAGTAAATTTTTATCAGGCGCTCCCGTTTTAACGCGTGACACCATATTTGGCTGCGGGTTTCCGGGGGCAGTAAGGAGAAACTGGGGAACGTCAAATTTTCATTCCCAGATGTTCGAAGATGGTTGAAGATCTGCAAGTGCGGTTGCGAGGCTGGATTCGAAGAGGTCATTGTTATCTTTGGCTGACTCGGACGTATAAGGGATAAAGTCAAGCTACTTAATAATGGGAGCTTTCGTTGAGATTGAAAAGATGGACGAATACCTGACAAGCAATGACTAGTTTTGATCCTACTGAGGCCGAGGCTTAGTCAGTGTTTCATGCTCTGTCCTTGTCATCTCACCTGTGTAACTTACTTGTCCTCTGAGATTCGAGTTGGACGTGTTTTCCGGCCCGTATGCCCCTGTTAGTTTGGCCCCAGGGTTAATTTCAAGCAAGTTTATAAATGTAGGAGGAGAAATGGGATGCGATTGGAATCCGGTCGCAGTTCCGCCCCATTTGCGCCCCTCCGACCCCCAATTATTCCCCGCATCACGCGTGGCTCTCACGTCATTCAGGGACCAGGTGCCACCTCTCAGCCAATGTCGGTTAATTCTACCAACTTTATAGCCACCTCCTGTCATCTAACGCTATTGTTTTTCCTGTTCAGGCAAAGACCCTGCTTAGTTCGATAGGGAAGGAATCCCTTGGCAATAATCAAGGTCCACCCACAGGGGTTGATGTACAGCCCCAGGAAACCTATTACTAGGTAAGTACGAAATCCATAGCTTGCTCTGGTTAGTTACCCACTGCTGCCCCTATCCCTATGAGCATACACTTATGTGTGCCATGCCAGCATCCTTACCTGAGAAAGTTAGGGCCAGGAACGTGTCTGACTGTACGGCTTGAATACCATGCCATTAACTCCTACAGGCGAAACATCGCCCCCAATATGTCTGAGCAGGATCGGGATTTACTAAATCTGATGCCGATTATGAGGCATAGGAGGCGAGATCGAATGGAATCTGCATATATATACCTCGTAGATTGCCCTGTTTAGATCTATCCAATCTAACCATCATTCCTTTACCAGTCAGTCCTTAGGTTATCACTCTTTTTTTGAATTTTCAATCACTCTTTTCTTTCTTTTGCTTTACAATGAAACTATGCGGCCTCTGGATGAAGCACGTGGCACTTGGGCTGCTGTGTCTCTTCCTCCTGTCCGCATTCCAATCAGCCTCTGCTCTGCCGGGCCGTAGCAAAGGGATTGGTAGTCATCGCTCTGGCAGCGATAAAGGGAGCCATGGAATAGGAGGTCTCCTTTCTGGCCATGATGACAAGAAGAACAATGGCAAACCCGACGAAAAAAAGCACGGACTGGGCGACCTCTTTGGCCATGGCGATAAAAATGGCGGCAAAGATGATCCAAAGGACCATGACAATGGCAAAACCGATGATAAAAAGCACGGACAGGGCGACAAAAACGGCGACAAAAAAGATCCACAGAACCATGACAATGGCAAACCCGATGATAAAAAGCACGGACAGGACGATAAAAATGGCGGCAAAGGTGATCCAAAGAACCATGACAATGGCAAACCCGGAGATAAGAACCCTGGAAAAGACTCTAAACACGGAAAGGATAAATGTGAAAAATCCAAGGGTGGTTCATCCCGCGGCCGGAAACCTTCTCCGCGAGATATCACAGCCCGAGATCTTGCCCTGCGCGCTGGAACCATCTCGGTTGCCCAGGATGACATGAGAAATTCCCCTGCGCATGGCCAAACACTACATACCGACAAACTGCGAACGTGTATCGGCATTGCTATCACCGGAGAGGAAGGCATTTTCCAGCACTGGCTGTTGCACGTATCTGCCACGAGGGGTCAGGTTAATGATGCAATCTCGAAGCTGAAGAAGGATTGGGGCCTCATGGGTCCTAAGAAGGATGTGAAAATCTACCTCAGCGCCCCGGATCCTGATCCCTGCAAATCGGACCCCGCCGCCAGAGACCTGATCGAGCAGAGTCAAAAAATGGCCCAGCTTATTGAGGATGAGCTGAAAAGTCTCACCGGCAGTACCCCTCGTGTGATCCATCGTCCTGCCCGCGACAAACCCTCGGGACATGAAGGGACTATGGAGGTTGACGGAGATGGTAAAGTGTATGTGGAAGGCAGCAAAGTGAATTAACAGATGCAAGATTCGGTTGTGACCGCAATTTCATAGCTGAATACGGGGAACAGGAGCGCGATGGAGGGATGATGTAGTAGAATTCTGACGAGTATTTTACTTGTACATTATCTTCCTGCTTTGTGGGGTGTATATGTTGCTTTAATATAGATATATCATCTATATGAATGAAATATAAACTTAGGATAAACGCATAGTTTTCTTCTACTTCTCTTTTCGGGTGCAACCAGGTTGGTAGAATTTCTAAATCTGAGGGTAGAGCAAGGGTATCTGCCTAGTTCACATGTGATAGCATGTAGTGAGACGTGCTACTATATCCTATTATTATAGGAAGCAATATATCGATATTCTAAGCATGTGGTATTTATTACCGAAGAGAAAGTAAAATGACTGCACCTCTGGATAATGTTTAGTATGCACCTGCCGTAGTAGCATCCACTTAATATATCCTGAGCTTGTACTACTCTAGTAATAGAAATTCCTAGCGGCTATATAAATCTACAAGCATGCAACTAATTTGTCTATTTATCTTAGCTCCCTCCTAGATATTGTCACTACCCGCTAATTAGACTACTGTTAATACTTGCATTATTTAAACGTTATTTTAATAATCTTAAATCCCGGTACTCTTGCGCCCCACTGCACAATCCTCTCGCCATTGATAATTGTCAGATATATCAATATACCGCAAAAGTAGTCTGTTTCAGTTTGCATATAATAATGATATATCTGTTTTGTCTGACAATAATTAACGTAATCAGACACCGAATGGCAGTGCTTTTCACCACCACCTCCCACCATTTGGATACTAGTTGAAGTTTTTATCGCCGTACGAATGAAATATATTTTAAGATAATGAGTCTAGGACTATCTAGTAGGGCATTTAGTCTACTATGGCCCTGAATATTCCAATTACTACATGTAGGGCACTCCGTTGCCTTGGTGCCTGAGCCTCTACCTGAGTTGCGTTCGAAAGGGCTAGGGCCCTTTGATCTCTCGGGCCAATTAACCCCGTTGACCCTATTATCCCTATTATTCCTATTGTCCATACTGTCCCCGTTGTCCCTGTTTCCCCTAATGTCCCTATTGGCCCTAGACCCACGAGACGTGACTCTCATTTTCCTCTTTCTTTCTTCCCTTCAACAATTCCTTTGTGTAAATAGCCTATTGTATACGTTCTATGGGTTCAGCCCCTGATTTGCCTCCTCCCTTTCCTGTATTATTTGCAGTGCCTTTTCAGCAGTTAGGCTGCCTCCATTTCGAATAAGCTGTCTAAGCTCTTCTTTTTCTTTTTTGGTGCTTATCAGCTACCTGATGTCGATGAACTTTCTTTTTTGATATGAAAATATATGGACCTGAGCGCCAAGCGCCTGCATATCATGCGAGGTATTTCCCCTGAGGACCTCCTCATATTCCTGGAAGAAGTGTGTAATTAATGAGAGCGTCCATCATGTGGTATTCAAGGCAGTATAGATACTATCAATTACGGTCTTTAGTAGGCTACGTGCATGTATCTGTCTTCTGCTCCACTTTCTCCTGAATCATAGTGATCGTGTCGAGATCGCCTCATTTTTTAATAGAGCTATTTGCTGCATAGCAATCTCGTTGCCTTTTATAGCTTTTCGAGCAAAGTACCTGCAATCGATGGAAGCCAGCCTTGGTTTTGGAACTTAAGAAGTTGTCGTTTTGTCGATTTAACTGATAGAGATTATAACGTGTTTTCCCCAAGTAAAATGACTGATTACTGCGTGCAGAAGAGGGTGGAGTTGGTGTTTTCAACTTGATTTTTAACTTCGATATCACTGTTGAAGAATGGCCAGTAGCTTTGAATCCAATTAATATATTTATTAATGACATTGATTTTGAGTGAACTGATGATAGTTAGATATAAAATCTATGGTATCAATAGGTTTAGCACCACTATTTATTATTTGTTACACATTTTGACCATAAAAGCGCTTTAAAGATGCTCAACAGGTAACATCAAGCGGTTGAAGAAGGTGAGATGAATGACGAGGCACATAAAGTGGGATAATTAACTTTTCCATGCAGTTTCAGATAAATTCAACATTTGTATGGCTCTTGTGGTTATCAAAAATAGTCCATTGATTTGACTAATAGTGCGAGATTTTGTATGCTTGTCGAAGACTTCTTATAGCTATTTTAGTCCTAGATTATCATAAGTCCAGCCATTCCCGCTAAGACTTAATCAAATAATCCTTAGGTAGAACAGCATGCCACTGAGATTAATGTTTCTTTCCCGCAAAAATAATATAGGGGGTAAAAACGCAACCACTTGCTTTAACAGTTATAATTAATGTAATTTATTCTCTATTGCCTAATTGGATCGATCTGGCATTAGATTTGCGTGTTTCCACGCCAGACAACTTTAGCTGTTGATATCACACCCATTTGGAAGCCAGTTGCATCCATGTTGTAGATATCTTGTTTTAAAATACCATATTTTGTATAGTATTTTGAACTAATTAAAACCAGCCCTGAATAATCTGTAAATCTTCACACTTCGCCCGCTGGTGCTCATATTGACGATTTTATCCTAACTTAATATCACCGTGGCGTGAAATAAATAGATTAACCCTTTTGTCACTTACTGGATCTGAGATAGATGTCTAGGACGGCGAGGAAGACTTTTAACGTGCTGATATTAAAAGACCAGCAAGGTATCGAAATTGGGATATTTGTAGTGGCAGATTATGCTCAGCTATATCAATATTCCACTTCCTTTAAGTGTCCTCTTTAAGTACAGATAATTTTGGCTATTAACAAATATTTCTTTGCGCGTAGTCATTCCTTGAAGTCGATGGTAGAAAGTCCGCGTAGGAACTGCTGTGTTTAAAGCTATGGAATAGCAGACCACATAATAAAGCGCCGGATGCATTCTATGCCTCTTGCAGCAATTAATTCTATCCTCGAGTTGGCCAGGTCCGTCTGGGCCCGAGAGTATTGTCCCCTACAAGTGATTCAGCGGCCCACTGTGCCTACAGAATATCGTGACCTTAGTGGCAAATAAGAGTTATATTTGTTCTAGAGGGACTTATCGGTGTTTTACACAGTTATCCCTATATAAACAATAACAGCAGAAATGCTATATATTCGTTCATATCAGAGTTTTGCTTAAATCTGATTCTACATATTTTGCAGCTAGATTTGTCTACGATAACAAAGTATTGGTCAAACATTGCCTTTTTGGAATGTCGTCCGGGGACTCCCGTACTCCCGTACGAGGGGGCATTATCGCATCCCTTATCCTCGCCACCAAAAGTCCCAATTAAACTGGTACTGTATCAATCGATAGCAACTGAAGGGGTATAATTCAAAGGACAACTGTATCTATGATACATGTGTCTTACGCCCGGCCTGCCACGTGATGGATATTGCAACATCAGTGACCATCGAGCACATCCCAAGCAAGGTGTGAAATCTACAACTGTATTAAATATAAAATCTGGTCGAAATCTGCCGGCAGATACCAGTGATAGATAAAGCAAAATAGATTGTCCATTGCTCCCAGGCCCTCCTTTTAAAAAGAGATTAGAAAATGTAGTCGAGCATGGAGTCAAACTATTATTGACGCGTATTCTGCATCAAATTCGACGACAGAAATCCGTCCTGATGCGTGTCCCATGGCAAGACTGTTGTCTTTGACCGAGGAACAGTGGGGCCGATATCCAGGAACTACTTACCCTTCTTTCCTCCCATGTCTTGAATGGTTCAGTTTATCCACACATATGACTCCACTGGTCATGGTTAGAGCATTGTATCCTTCTCTGCACTCATTCGGTTCCCCCACCAGATTTTATAACGGCCTTGTGCCCATAGAAACCAACCCCTTCTTAAATTAGAAGCCATAGCAAATGCAACTTCCTGTGGGGATAAACTATGGCTTAGTTTGAAGTTTTTTGTTGTGAGCCGGTGACCTCAAAAACATATTGGCAGAAAGTATTGACACATTTAAGGAATTTTATTTGAAAGTAATTGCTACAGCTTCAATCAATGTAATGGCTCTCTTTAAAACATCTTGTTAATGCCGACAGCGCATCCCAAAAAATGAAAAACATTGTAATTGCACATTTATTTACTTAAACTTATTCTTGTTGGCAATGATATACGCCACAATGTCTAGCACTTTAACTGCAGCAGTAATATTGATAGTATTTTCTGCCAGCTTGCCTTTAAAACGAGATTTGACTGCGGGGAAAATTTCCTTCGCAATAGCAAGCTCGTCAGGCCCGCCATCTTTATCAATATCATCATGGATCCGTTTTCTGGCGTCACTGTCTAGTTTTTGTCGGACGGATTGAGACAAAAGGCTCGTAGTAGGTATTTCATTTTTCTGAAGAGACATGGAGGCCTCAAAAAAAAGCCCCAGATGGAGTGGCTTTACAAAATTGAAGTTTATATCTTCATAGACTTAGACGAGATGGTGTCTCACTTCATCGCTGCTCGGCAGCGTCCAGAAGTTACTGGTGTTGGCCACTTCAGCAGCTGTGGCTGGCCGAATGTTCTTGAGGTGCTCGGGGAGACTCGAGAAGGAAGCACTGGCTTTTATCAGCACCTTCCTATCTTCTGCTTGTCAGTACCTATAGAGATACCGATGGAAGTGTTTGGGAAACGTGTTATTACCAAACTCAGCGAGCACCTGCGTAGCTTCGACTTCAGTACTTTTGGATGGGAGATTCTGCATGTTTTGCTGCAACCTTGGTCATATACTGATTGCTGCACCCTAATCGAATTGTTATCCCTGCTGTAACTGGTAAGTTGTCTCCACAGCAAAGCAACATGGTGTAGGCCGGTTAGGAGCATCGTACGTGATTACCACAGGCTGAGACTAACGTAGAATTCTCTGTGGAGTCAGGAAGGCAGGAAGGCAGCCATACAGTAGTGTGGTAGGATGATATTATCATATTACACCCAGTCAGGCTTAGAATGGGGAATGGCAATTTACCCAGGAAAATTCAGATGCATACAGTCAACCACTCCCTGATAGTTAGACCTTGCGTGAAATGTGTCTAGCTGGAACAGCGAAGCAAAGTTAGAAACAGTTGCATATCGTACGTAAAAACCCCAAAGTACCAAGTAAGCTGTTATAGTGCTTAACTAATAACTTGTACCACTGGTGGGGTAGTTGTTTTAATACATGTACACGTTTTTATCCCTGACCTAATCAGTAGCTGATATAAATAAGCATGACTGTTATTATCTCTAGTGGAGGATATTATATCTAATCCACTTTGCTTAGTGGGCGATGCAGGTATTTTTCGAGGATCCTTTATTTTCTAAGATAAGTTTTTTCTGCATATACTTCTTTGACCTATCAAATCTAATTTATACGAGCTTATAACTAAAATATGTTAATAAATAAACTTATATTAATTTTCTGCCCAGTAGCAGCGAAGATTCGGAAATAATTAAAGATTAGGACGCAACTGCGTTCTCCAGGGACAGTGCATGTTACTATATTACTTTTAGTTTATAAAAATAAGTAAGTTATGCCGGGTGGGTGCGAGTGGTATTAATATTTAAACAGGGTAGTTTTTCTATAAAAGCTGTATTATAATATTAGTAACACACGTATTAGTGTATGGAAACCAGCCTAGTTAGAGCTACAGACTCGTTGCTATTTAAAGACTGACTCTCTTCCTATCTCTCTATTAGGGCTTCTGGGTGCTAATTTGTTGTTAAGCCACAGGCCCAAGTTTAAAGCCTGTTATCAAGTATAACTGGTGCTTCACAATACGTGACTCCTGCTAGTATCCCCCTAAAGAGACAGTGTATTACAGCACAGTCTCAGACGTGAGACAAACCACAATTAGCAGTGGGTTATCAGCAATAAATCCAGACAATAAAATCCGCTCGTTGCTAAAAAGTTGCGGGTTCGGCTATAACCTTAATAAGACGCAGCTCGAACAAATACTTAAACTCTCTGCGCGGCTGGTCAGTCGAAATCCTAACTGGGGGCTAAGGTTATTGCTAGAGACCTGGTAGCATAATATATCACAGGGCTTGCACGCGCTTGGCTTACTATTATGTGGAAAAGAGTTTAAGTAGCAGCAGACTATGTTAAGCTTATTAGAAAAGATAAAATTTTCAATCTAGTTGGACAGCGTGTGGCACGAACGCTGCTTGCCCTTAATTACAAGGTGATTTGTAAAAGCCCTAAAATCTATCATCCGCGGCGCCGACGGCATGGAGAAAGGGAGAAAGTCTGTGGTGGACTGTATTGCCCGCGCCTCGAATGATCTCACTGGAAAAGTTTTCAAGGCTAACCCCGATGCCATTCACAACTGCCTCCGACAAGGGAGATTGTATGGATACTTGCTGGCACGGTCGGCATGCGTATCGTGCTCGTGTGTGATGCCAAATTAATATCCACAATGTATGTTTTGCAACTTACGACCATGCAATTCCCCAGCTAATCTAATAACGCAGCACGAACGTTCCAATTGTCAACTGTGGAATCCAAACTGTCACCACATGTGCCTTTTTATGCCCGTCCCGGAACGTGGGCTTGCTGCACTCGTTGGCTGGGCGGTAGGTGCGGAGATTTGAAGCTGTGTGATTTGGAGCGGTTTCACCAGGCCTGATGTTCCTATGTTCGAATCTCTTCGTAGCTCGTCGTGGCAAACAAGTAGTAGCTCACTAAGCGGTAGCATCATAGTGCCAGCCGATGGCATGGCCCAGATAAGAAAGATAGGAGTGTCGAGTCAGAAAACGGCCCCATGAATGACTCTGAAATTTGAACTTCTTAATTGACTTATTATACACCGTTTTATCTTTCCGCACTATATATGTCGACATGGTAAATCTAAGAACTTCATGATTCGAGGGAAGGCATAGATTATGGTGAACATACGAAAACTTATTTTATTGCTTTGAAATTATGCCGAATACTGTAGGGCAGAAAACTTAGAATCTCTGAATCAAACGAATGTTGCACAAGTCGTGTTGGAGTAATATTTTCTGATATCGCCGAGCCTTGATTAATCTCTACCCTCAACTGGCGGCCCAACACAACGCCCTGTTCGTTTGGGATTGATCCAGATTATATAGTAATAAGTCAAGAATATATTATATCATATCCAAAGACAACGTTCGTTTTCGGGATGTTGAGATTCCCAGAGATGGGATCTCCCCGAACGTGTCGACTCTCCTCCTTGCACGGTTCTCGTGCTGAGGCTGTAAGGTCTTGACATCCCCTAAATACATTCCCGACGATTCTTAGGATTCTTCTGGCCAAGTGTCCAAGTTAATTATGACACTCGCCAACCAGGCCAACTTCGTTCTATCGAGCTCCGTAAGTGGTTCATTATGCCCAGAAAAGCAGCTCCACTCCTCATGTACGTATGAAAGAATAGCGCTACCGATCGTGAAAGGGATATAAGCATGAAGGCTATTAAAGACAAATACGCAATAAGCCGGCTCAATAGCCTCTGCACCACGGGATCTCCTGAGAAGAGCAACCTGGCGTTCTTTGGCTATCTCTGATATCTGAAGCGGGACGGGAATTTCAACCTCGTCCCGAGACATGGGAGAGCGGGGGAGCCGTCTTATATTCGAGAACACATATCCAGAGCACACCGTGAAAGCCTCTGTGATACTTAGGCATTTCCAGAAATGTTCGGAAAATAATGCTTTCCCAGAATCTTCAACCCAACCCCTAGCTTTTGCAATCCCATCAGATACTTCCAGGTGAAGAAACTGGCTCCTGGATGCTGCTTGCACGAGCTCCGGCAAAGGGAGGTAACGAAGTGGATGAATAAGACGGCGTGCTCGGTTAGTAGGTTTAGGCCCTCCCTCAGGAAATAAGTTAGTAGTTGGAATCTTGCCAATTGTGGCTAAGGCTGCAATGGCGGCTACTGAAGCTGTGATACAAGACAGCTCCTTCGTTAATATCCAATCATCGTAATCAAACCTTGTTCGCCAGTGCAGACAAGCGTAGAGGTGACCCATGTTGCGAGGGCGTTTATTTTGCACACGCCCACCCCAAGCAGCGCTAATTCTATCCACGAATTCTGGTTCAACGATGAACGGATTGTTCAGATTAAACAGGTCCAAAAGCTTCAGAGCTGTTTGAACTAGATCAGCCTCTCTGCCAAGAACCTTGAGCAGCCGACCTAACCGGTAGGTTGACTCGGGAAGAGATACAGAGCGAAATTGACGTTCGATATCTTTGTCAGACTTTACAGCCATGCACTCAGGCCATGTGTCCGGTAGTATGTCCAGGTCCTCCGAATCTTCAGATGTATCTGATGAGGACGTTGTCGGGCTAGGAGTCTCTTCAATTTGCTCAACCTCCTGAGTAATATTCGGCACCTCGTCCATAATCATATCGTTCAGCTCGGTTCTAACAAATACCCCTGGACCCCTGCGATCGTCCTGCACAGGCCAAGGGCTGCTCGTACCAGCAGATGGGAGCCGAAATCCCCGTGAATTATTGGAGGGACCAGGCTGCCGAAGGGCCAGCTCTTCAAGACTGCTTTGAGACGGGAGTGTTGCGTAGTCTTGGCTTGTCTGTTGTCGTATACTGCACATAACCTGCTCGGTAAAAATATCCCTTGCCCAGTCACATAACAGGTCTATAATCAGGAGGAGTTGCAGTGCTGAATCGTGCCGAAGAATACACCCGTGCCATAGATCAATGACTCGCTGCGGGATTGCGATCAGCTTGTTCCAAAAGTTTTGGGATATAGGAACTTACTATATGAGACCGGTCAGGAACACAGCCATAGACTCTCCATTCATCTCCGCGATTCGCCAGAAACCACACTAATGGGTCTAATGGGACGGTGCCGGCAGTTTCCAAGCTCCTCTGAAGGCCAATCATAGCGCGAATTGGAAATGCTGTTTGCCTTTCAATTGACTCGAACCCGACAGTATTTTTCTCTGACTTTGCCTCAAGGACCAGGAATGGAAAGCACGTGTCCATGTCATCCTTAATCACTGTAGTCACGATACTAGGATTGGCAGCAACCAGCCGTTCTAAATCATGAGTTCTTCCTAGCCCGAGGACTCGATCTGGTTTGTGATGAGCCAGGATTCTTTTTTGAATTTCTGGCATTGACTCATCAACAAGGGTGCAGCTCCCTTTAGTAATAAAGGCGTGCTCTGAGGATGACTGGGCCTATACGACAGGTATTAAATCAATGGCCAGTAGCGTAACTCCAGGGAATACCTACCAGCAACCTTGCTCTCACGATCTCTTCACAGTGACAGAGGCTTCTTTTATCTCGTATAGCTTTCAACCTTTCTGCCGCACGTGAGCAGTATGGAACTGCCTGGAAGTCCGAAATCCATCTGCGTTGGTTACAAACATGACTTTCTCCAACCATTAGCCCATGTTTCCTAAAATTCAACTCGACCACGCTTCACCCACCAGTCGACATCTGTTTCAAAGCGCTCAAGGATCAAATGCTCCGTTTTTAACCGCCAGGTTCCCTCGTTATCCTGGGCCACCCGAAGAGAGTATGCTTGTTTGACAAGCTTTTCAACTCGGCTGCACATTTGTGTGACATGTAGTAGTTTCGCGTTGTCGTTTCCAAGGCCTCTCTGATAATATTTCTCATAGCGAACATTCTCCATATCCCTTACTGTTCCGAAAATGGAGGCATATCTTTCTGGCCAGTCGCGCGGGCGGATTGGGCCGTCGATCGATATATTGTACCTGTGCAGGAGGGCGCGCTGTTGTTGTGGACTGAGCTTTCTTGAGCCGCTTTGTGGCGGCATCCTGGTTTGTGTTGTGCGTTAAATGTGAGCGAACAATTTTTTTGGACCTCCCGATCCTCCTAGGCCGGTGTTTGTGTAGAGACGTCTAGGACTACTGGGAAAGTCTGTTAGATTCCCTATGGAAGATAAGTTCTGAGGCTCTATCTGGTATATTTTAAATACTTTCTCTCTCTGCCATTAACCGCCCACACATCCAAGGCTGTGTTTCACGCATTCCAATGTGGCGATTCTAGGGCGCCTGGAGAACGACCATCTCTATATTTAGATTCTGGCTGAGGCGCAGGAATCTATTGGGCTTCGAATTTTGGTGTAGTTGGTTGCAGTCAGTCTTTGGCGTATCGCTAATGCACTCTCGACCCAAGAAGGAAAGTTCGATTGAAGCATTATAACTGCGCACTAATATCCAAAATTAAAAGGCGCCATCGAACCTTTCGAGATGTCAAAAATTTGATGGCAACGGAAAAAGAGAAAAAAAAAAAAAAAAAAAAAAAAAATTTGACGAGACTCGGAAGTCCAGGGCAAAAGACGTTGCTTTTACCACTCCTGCAGCGACATTGGATGAGCAGCAAACATATTTCCCGTAAGAAACAGGATTCGGACGTTCTGTGATATGGTATCCTTTCTACACATGATCCTGTAGCCCTTCACGCCAGGCTGGGGGACAGTCAATGGCTTGCAGCCTGCGCCACAAGGCGTAGGCCTGCCGTGCCTGCCCTTGAGATCGCGCGGCTGGGGTGAGTGTGTGAGATGAATTGTGGATTCTAATGGGCCGGGCCGCTGAAAAGTCTCAGGTCTTGAACAGCAGCTACATATTCAAGCCTATTCATAGACCTCAGCCACAACTAGTAATGTGTCTCAATAATGAGATATAAGACTCCGTATTATATCCGGAGCCAAAGTCTATAAGGGCAACAGTAGGGACTAAGGGCGTGGCTAAAATGAGATAGAATGCAACCATATGCTCAGAAAAAAAGGTTGTCCGGCCAGGCCTGGCTAGGGGCGCTTTTTTGCCTGTTCTAGCCATTTGGGTAATCTTGCGCTGTCTGCCAGTGGATTTCGCAGCGGCGTAATGGTCGCTAGTTTTAAATTCCAATGTTGATACTCGACAACAGGCTGGCCTGAGCCTGATCAAATTGGGCAAACTGAAGTATTGACAAGAACGCTGCTGCCTTCATAAGATCATGGGAGTTGACAGCCTGCGGAGAAAAAACACCTAATGTGTTGGCATAAGGCCAGTCGTCCCAACAGGAGGTGTATCAGGCCAATGGTTCCTTGTCGTATCAATTGGCGGAGAAGGGGCCTCGAAAGTGGGCTCAGGGGGTGCCGCGTACGGCAAGCCAGGGCAAAAGTTTAAAAACTAATTTTCTAGCGAAGTCCCTTTACCTACCACTTTCTGTACCGCTCTAACTAACGAGCAGTAAAGTAGTGGTAAAGATAAGAGAAAATAATATTCTACTATATTATAACAGAATCATAATAGATCCACCGCAGTCACGCGTTTACGGGTGGAATCAGATTTACGGCCAGTACAGAGTCTACGTTTCGCCATTCTACGGCCTTACGGGCCAGGCCGTCTTTCGGTCGATCCGTGGTTCTATGTCGCGTTATTCTGGCTGGTAAACATGGAATTGGTTATTGTTTATATTCTGCTCTACATATAGCCTGCGCTTACGTCCATGCCTAGACGCAAGCGGCCTGTCATTGAACCTGTTCCTGATGGATACCAATATTGTTCTTGCTGTAATACAATCCGTGAGGTCCTTGACTTTTCACGCGTTGCTCCTTCAGGGGCGCAAGCTTCTCAACAGTTCGCAACATGCTCTACTTGCCGTGTAAGTTATCTACGCAGCCTTTACAAACCTTTCTAACATTTTTACCAGTTGCTCGACTTAGCCAACACAACGCTTTGGTTGCTCCACCAGCTTCGCGCCCAGCATCCCCTACTACCTCCTTTTCAGGCACTGTGTGCAGAGCTCCCTAACCCTGCTAATAACTCGGAACTATACGAATTCGTAAAGACACATATAATCTACAACCCCTGCCCCCTGTTGTGATAAGCATCCTGACTCGGGTAATTTATACTGTACCAAGCGGTTCCCAAAGGGCCGTATAATGGAGACACTCCCGCAAGAAAACGGATATCCCCAGTACCGTCGCCGTTGTCTGGGTTCAGGCCGGTTCATTAAAGAGTTACGGGGCCGTTTAATTGAAATTGATGATATATGGGTGGTCCCTTACAATCTATATTTTTTAAAGCGGTTCAAAGCCCATATTAATGTTAAGATCTGTCGTGGTGTTAAGGTTATTAAATATATTACTAAATATATTTATAAGGGTCCGGACCGTACAACTCTTCACATTGACCTGAACAGTGAGGTCAACCAGTATCTTAAGGCCCGCTATGTTGGGCCGTCGGAGGCTATATAGCGTCTTTTAGGTTACCCAGTTGATTAAGAATAGCTGTTAGTACAGGCCCTACAGGTCCATACTCCCGGTGGCCATATAATCCCATACCGTGTCGGCCAGTCTACTGACCAGGTGCGCCAACTAGCGGAGGATTACCGGACTACTGTAGTGGAGGAATTCGGGGGATTGGCACGTGACATTTGTATGGATAGCTATTATCTTAAGTCCTCGTTCGAAGAGGTAATAGACAATCAACAACCTTCTCACAGACCACGGGACGCAGTTGCGTAAGGGAATGTTGCCTTCCCTCCTACCAGGAACTTGTGGGCTCGGGGCCCACAACTTCTGAACTGTCTAAGAGTGTTTCCTTGACCTACTCTTTCGGAGTTCTACCATTTTCCTCTCATTCATTAGTCACCCATCTAGATAGGCTCGCCTGAGCCCCTGAATTGAAGAGAATTGTGCCTCGCGAACATGAATATGGTAGGTCCCTAACAAGAGCGTCCCTGGAGGGTACTATTGGGTACACTAGGGCCTCTGGGTGGATCATTTCGATGCTTAGCTCGCGCCTCTGTATGTATCCCGAATGTATCAACCCAACCACAAGGCTGGACCAAATGCGCAGACAGCAACATTCGAAATATCCTGATTTCTACCGTTATTCATGGATTAGTGTTCTTCTACATTTTCTATGCATGAGATTTCATTCATCAAAATACCGAGGCCTTTTCTAAGCTATGAATTGTAATATATGTACCAGGGCTATTCCCTATCCGCAGTTGACTTGACTCGTTGAAATCACCATTTTTATCATCTAGGAATCCTTCCGTTATCCCACTCAAGATTCTGCGTCTAGCAGTGGGATCCAGGAAGCGCAGACACAGAGTTGGTCACGTAGGCCCATGGGGGTTGCAGTTGCCGGTGTCCTGGTTAAAAAATAAAAGTTTCCTGTAGTACATGTAAGTCACATTTGATCAATTCGAGTAAGTGAATTATTGCTAAATAGAAACCTTACCATTGGCGCACTGGCAGAAGGTGCCATTAATGCCACAGTCTGGGTTTGCGCTATGGAGATGTCAGTGAAAAACTTGGTAATATATAGAAGCGACACCCACTAAGCATAACAGCCACTATCACCACGAGCAACATTGGTGTTGGCATTAGAGGCTGGTGCTGCCATCACCATGGCTACTTGAGCAAGAGGAAGGAACAGAGTAATAGCCAACATTTTGTAAATTTGCTTTTAGCGTTGTAAAGAGGGAGAAACAACGGAAAAGTAGTTGACAAGAAAGTAGAAGGAGTATTTTGAATAATCAAGCTTGAATACGTTGGCTTTCCCTTATTCTTATAGATTTTCATGTCATACTTTTCGGGGTCCAAGATGAACCCCATGAGGGGTATTTAATGTACAAAATTCTCTTCTTCCGTTTTCCATTCATACGGAGTGGACTTGCATTGTTCGGACTTTCGAGCCGTAGCCAAATGAATCGATAACCGGAGAACGGAATCGGAAGTGAAATCTACTTATAACCGAGGACTGAATGTAACATTGCTTGTTTAGTCTGGGAATTTCAGACAAATTGGAGGCTCTATAGAGCACTAAAGCCAGCTAGTGCTGCGAGGGGAGGCTCGATGAAGCTATGCCAAGCTTTAGTTATCTACAGTCAAGCATAATATTTGGAGAAGCGAGGCTCTGGACAGGGGAAAGAATTGTCTCGAAAAATACTGGGCTTTCATAGGTAGCTTCGGCCCACAGTGTTACATTCAATTCAAAGCTTGTTAGCGGCGAAAAATATTTGTATATCCCAGTTAAAGAATTGTTATTTCGAACTAAAAAAACGCTTTATGGTACCACACTCTATCTGCCTAGGTGGTTTCTAGTGTACTCTTGCTCTTTCGATTTTGGTCTCGGGGTTAATTTTGACTGCCAGCCTCCCAGTGCTGAAAATCTATTACTTTAATCTTTAAGGGACAAACCAAGCACCATACTGGCCGAGGCATACCCTAAGCAAGCTTTCTGTACCCTGCCGAAGCAAATCGTTATCCGAAATGATTGATTCCGACTATTGAATTTGTGGCTAGCCCGACTCCGAAAGACTACTGTTCCAATAAATATTTACTAGAAGGCCCTAGCGTTCGCTCACATGTGACTAAACTAGTACGGGTCGCTACGCGATGTGCAAAATATTAATTTGTATAAAGAGATATTATTTCAGAACATGGCCAGGAATATATCAATGCCCAGCTGTATAGATTCAAAATCAACATACATTTTCCTATTGTATGTGCGGGATCAGTGCAGGAACCGCAACTTAATCTAATTATATGCATCCCTACCGAGGTAGGCAGGGATATGTGCACTCTTTGAACTAATTTATATGTAAATACCCATCAGTATACTGGACAAGCTACATATCATAGCTAGAGTCTATACTCCGACATCGCTTCGTGCTGGATTTTTACCATGATTCCTTGTCAAGTTATCTGGGTCAACTCATTCAAAGCCTTACCCCCGGGGCCAATTTAGCAAGCTAGGAATGCACACTAATCCACTGTAATATCACGTATACTTCCTCGTTCGGGTTGTGCTATACAATGCCATTCTGTGTATACCAGGTAATCGGACTCGGGTAAAGAGAACAGACCATTGGCATTGGAAATAAACCGAGGAGAGTTAGAATATCACTTTGGAGCAAGGCAGTTGATTTGAAATGGCGGTGATTTTTTTCTTGCCGCAGCGTCCTTAGCGCTTACCAGAGAACATCCACTGTTGACCCCCACCTCGACGCTGATCCTGAGTGGGTAAGGGTCTGTGGCACCACGTTACAAACGCATACATCTACATGCACGTCCTGTGGGGATGGCTGGGAACAGCACAAGAGACTAAAGGGGGCCAGAACCAGTGTACTCCGTACAATTACCTCTCCGGGTGGTGGGACTTCCGGAGACTCGTCGATCAAACTGTGGGGCTGCCAGGGCCCTTGAACGCCGAAAAATTGTGGAAATAACTCTAGTGGCTGTAATTACGCCGGATCATTAAACGTTTTCCACCCGAACTTTGTTAGCCCATCCGGGTTTCACTTCGGCTGTTGACCTGGTTATGTTTTCGGGGTTGCCCGCCTTTCCTCTGCATTTCACAGTTGTGAGTCACACATGGGCAGAATTCACGTGGCCACTATCTCCTGGTAATTTGGCAGTGGAAAACTGAGCCTTGACCGCTATTGAGCTGCCACACCGATCAGGCCTCACAGGATACGCGAAAAGTCAAGCCGGAAAGAGTGAAGCCAGTTAGTGTTCAGCCTCATATTCAGCATCCCTAGATTTTTGTGCCGTCAAATACATACAAGCTTTGCCAATCCTGAAGGGGCTTGCTTAAAAGCCTGGCACGTCTTTCCGCATCTAGTCTATCAAATCCTGCAGTGATCAACAACGTCATGTCAGACACGGCCCATGATCAACTCTCAAAGCTTCCCACTGAACTCCTTGTCCTGATCTTGCAACAATCCACTGACTTTAGTTCACTATGGAGCCTTATCCACACATCCTCATACCTATCGTCGGTGTTTAATGGCCATGCCTGTATGATCGGCAATTCTATTTTAAACACCAAAGTTCCGTCACCTACCCGGGCTCTTATGCAAGCTGTTCTGTCACTGCACAAAGGCACGTTCCTATGCCGTACCCCTGAAGATGAGCTTTATAAGTTCGATTGGTCTGAGGTCCCGCTGCTACCCGACGTATTCGGAACCTCATCAGAAATAAGATGGATTGCTAGGCTAGCTCACATGTCCATGTGCACGCTCACCTGTACGTTGAACTTTGTATGCAAAAATGCTTGCAAAGCAGCCTAGGTAACCAACAGTACCCCGAGGGATTTGAAATACCAACATGGACAGAGGAGCAACGTGGCCTTCTGGGATTTTGGCGACTTATTTTCTTAATCAGCTCCGTGAAAAATTACACAATGGGTCGTTAAGATGGCCACCCCAGGTCAGAAACTCTGTGGAGGACGGAAATCAGTTTTATGATTTTTCTTCTCTTTGCCGCACGATGCAAACAATGATGGCACTTAATTACCTAACAAATTTTGACTCGGTACCAAAATCTGAAAGGCTCTTAATACGTTCGAAGATATTCAAATTACCTCCTTTTCCTAAGGATAGAGAATTTTGCTGGGACTGTCGACCTCCGCCCTCCTGGGAGGCAATTACCCAGGGACAGGAGCCTGATAAAAATCCTCGTGAACCAACTACGGTCTCCGATACAGCATTAATTGCCGTAACCGATCCGGGAGCAGAGCAGCTAAGGAACCAAATAAAACTTCAAATCGTTGGTTCTGGAGGAGAGCCAGAAGAGGAACCAGAAGAGGAGTCAAGCGAACAGCGCAGTCAGGAGCGAATTCAGGAGCCCAGTCAAGACTTCAGTCTAGACGCCAATCACCGACGGGATGAACAGCCCGACGAAGAACTAGATCTTCGGTCTCGAAGGAATTGGTGGTTTGGGCCACTTTCCTCGTCCAGTGAATCCGAAGAGGATGTCTATTTCTTCTCCGATGAATATAAAGAAGGAGACGATGATGATAAGAATAAGGACGGTGACGACGATGAAAGCAATGGTGGTGGCGCCACATTATGTATTCTTAGACCTCCCTCGGAAACCGACAGCGACGACTACGAATATCCAGATAGGCTACAGATACTAAACCGCCCAATCAATCAATATCGGGCGCGTCCAGTTCGAGATTTTGGCCCAGACTTAACGGGGAAGGAAGAATGTCTTGACCTGGAAAGGGCGCCGCTTGGCCTACAGTTTTGGGACAGCATGGTCTTAAACCCTGAAGGGGGCCCTGGCAAATATATGCGGTTCGAGGCTTATTCTTATTATGGATTTTTACTATGGGAAGAATGGCGGATGATTGAATTTGGACTGTGGTCGAACAGACCGATTGAAGACATGTCTGTGTATTATCAAAAATGGTTCCGATTTCTTTGTCCGGAGGATATGGCTTTTCATCAAAAGTTCCGATATGTTTGGGATAAAGATTGGCTATAAAAATGCATTAGCATACTAGATCCTGCATCTGAGTTTATATCCATATTCTATTTTCCATATTTGTTCTCCCAGTTTTGATAAAATGAGATGCTTTGGCTTATAAGTAATATGGTTGTTCTTCTGGGATATCTATTTACTCTATATAGGTGGCAAAACCAGTATAGAACTCTACAGGGTAGTTTTTCGACCCGGTTGTAACGGATAGAGTACAATTATAGGCAACCCTGGTAAAAAGATTTAGCAAGGGAAATTAGAAATGCGGAATGAAATAATACTAACACCTGTAGAGCATAGTTCTCTGGGTTTAACATTGCCTGTGACTTCTTGAAATAGGTCCCATCACTACGTTCAGCGTTTCCTGTCATCCTGCGAAATATGTATTCCTCTCCGCCAGATGGGTGTAAGTCGGGACCGCAGTATAAATAAAACAGTTCATAATATAGAGTGCGACCTGCTGAAACAACATCTTTAATCTCGGTAGTAAGTATATTTTGGGGGGACCTGGCTAAACATATCGAAGTGATGGCTTAAGAATGCGGAAACGCTCTTCTTATAAATCCGAACTCTAGTAAACGACTTAGGACAGAGCACGATCAGACTTATAGAGCCTTGGATCAAGGTGTAACTATAAGCATTTTTCGCTTCGCATCCACCTTTTGTTGGATCGTCAGAATATTTCTTCTTAAAAACATAAGCGTTCATAGCATCACTCCAATACTGGGTGAAACACCAAGGTTAGAAGCTATATTTAGTTTTGGAATAGTGAGATTCGTACCGGAAAGAGCCTACTTTCCTTGGTACCTATCTTTTTGGCAAGGTCTTCGCGGGCTTTGTTCATTGTTTTGCTGTCCTTGATACGGATAGGTTTGCCACTCGATTTAAAGACTATATTGTTTCCGTCTTTATCCTTCATTTGGCTTTTCATGTCCTTGCGAATTGCCCACGAGTCGCCACAGAAGAGATAAGTTTTTTTGTTCTGTCCATTGTTGACATTGCCGCCTGTCTCCATCCAAGACCTCACACCATCAACTCTCGCTATTACTTATTAGCTCAGAGACTCACAGCTGATAAGATTCTGGAACCCGATTTGACTTACTTCTCACGGTTTCGAACTCATCATCGGATGGTCTAAAAAACATGGTATCCACCAATCGCTTTACCGCATCATGCGTGGCCGCGTCGGTGTTTTGGAAGTCGCTCATGGCTTGAGACCCATGTGTAGCTAACGCATAGGCATCATCGGCAATGGCATTCAGGGTATCCTCTCCATACTCACTGCAACTACCAGCAATGTTAGGTTCGACAGTATAACGAAACAATTTAGAAAGTGGTATTCGATCAGCCTCCACGAGGTTTACCAAGGCTGCGAACAGCAGCCCTGGAACAAGCATCAGCCTGATTGACCGCATAATGACAGTGGAAAGTCAATCAATTGCTTTGGTTACCATTGATTAATTCAGATGCAATGTCCAGGGAGGAATGATATAGGGTCTTCCCTTCTCTAGAATGGAGTCTACCTAGGCTGAGAGGAACGGACCCTCCTTTTTCTTCGACTCTTCCGAAGTAGCATCTTTTAGCGTCTGGGAGACCCATCAGTTGCTCTTGTCTCGTCGCTTGCGGGATTAACAGATTCAAATTTTCGGAGTAGTTTAGTGCTCCAAGAAAATAGCCATGTCGCTACGGAGCCTCTATTGACTCTAATTAGTACCTGCATACGACCCCCAACAAATTAAGGCGAAGGGGCGGACACGAAGGCAGATACCCAGGTGCAACTGTTCGAGCTACGATGTGGACTAGTTTGATTATCTCGCACAGCATACAGTCACTGTTTGGAAGGTTGGGTGTATCCGCTTGGGGCAGACATGACCTGCTGCGCTCTCGGGCCTCTAGCCCGAAGTAACGGAGCCAACGCTCTCGACTGCTAGATCCACACGCAACCCACCTAAGCTGGCTTTCCATACGGGTATTGCTAAGCCTGTCAATCCATATTTTAGTATGGATCAGTGTGGAATAGATGGGTTACTTGTCCATACTTTTACATACCCCATTGATTTTATCGTACTATTATTCAACTCCATTAAACTTAGCCAGTTTTAAAGATCTTTTTTTAAAATTTAATTAACTTTTAAATCTTATAGTTATCTACGAACTACCGAATTTTTATCACATTTAGACTAAATTTGGAAACTTGGAGGTTCAAAACCCAAAATTGCAGTAATAGATATGTAATGCCAAGAACCGGTAATGATTATCTATATTATCAATAATAACCAAACCTAAAAGTAATGCCAAGCATTGTGGTCAGTCCATAATAATCCATTAGTAAGAGAGATAGAGCACCCAGATAGGAATGCAAGAGACTCAGTTGGTTAAGATACTGTGATTCCCGGTGTTGCCACAGATGACATCTATTTCCTATTTAGGCTAAAGATTGGCCTGTAGCCAATAGAATAGCTCCCTGCGCATGTTGATGAGCGCGTTGGCTGTGCAGTACAGTTGATATTGCTATTCTCCAGGTCTCTAGTAGGCTACCGGCGTCTAGCTGGCATAGTGTTCTTCTGCCACACATTCCTTCCCCTGAGCGAATGATCATAACATGAGCAGAGTGGAATAGGAAGTGACACAAAATCAGTAAAGTTACCCCCTGGGTTATCGAACGCCGTATGCTTACCGTCGACATTCATTTAGTACGTTTTGGCCGTCTATAAAGAGAGTGTCAGGATAAATCCTTCAGCCGACTCGAGAGGAAACTACATCGATATACTTATAAACTTATTCCAGCCACCAATGCTAAGACTCTCATCGTGAATAAGCTGATTATAATTATATCTAAGCCTACAGCTCACATGTCAACTAAAGAAAGGGAAGGATGTATGAAATAAAAGCATAACTACTTTCCGCGTATTAGGTAAAAGAATATGTGTATTGCCAAGAATCCAGAATATTGGTTATCTATCCACGTAACAAAAGTGCTGTACTTATTTTAGTTCAGAGATAGAGGGAGGCAGAAAATCCCGCTTGGGGTACATTGTCCTGATGTATTTCCTATGTAACGGGATCGATAATCCTTACCCCTCTAAACGTAGATGCAAGATGCAGGACTGTTCTAGGTGTTCAAGCAAAATGAAAGAGCGGATTGGACCAGTTAACGCCTTCGATTACTAGTTAGCCTTCAGGCCGAGTCACTACGGAGTAGCGCGAAGTCAGCTACACCCAAGCACCAACTTACTCATAGGCTTGAGCTAACCAATCTAATTGTCTCGCGGGCATGTACCGCATAAGACAATTAGGTGATAATACTAAATTACTGGTCAGCCTTAAGCCCAGACCCTTCGAGCATGTCGCCCCAGATCCTAGCGCGATATCTCCCAACTAATTCACACGTAACATGTTTTAGAGTAACCACATACGTTATTTGTCTTGTCCAATCTCTAGCCAGAACAGTATGGTGTGCGCGTAAACTGTAATTGTGCCCCGTTACTGGAAATGCAACCATGATCGCTTTCATCACACTATGGGATTCAATACGCTATTGGTGGAATTTGCCAGTAATACGTTGTATACTCCCTGGTCTCATGTCTATAACCCCACTGTGTTTCAAACAAAACCAAAGTAGTGCGGGTTGTTCGCCGTAAAATGAAGTTATAAAACTGGGTCAGGTCATCTCTTAGCCCTAGCAAGTACTTTGTGAACCTGTGTTTTTAGAATCAGTTTAAGGCTCAAGGTACACAAACCACAAATGGCTAGCACTAAAGAAGTCCAGGAGCTTCTAAAGTATATCAACAGTTTCCCCTCTCGTACGTGTCCCTATATAACGTTCCAGACATAACCGTAGCATATCCATCTTCCCAGAACAGTTAGGGCTAACAACAACAATTTGTAGCATTTCATGTGTTTGCTACGACACGCGAACTCTTCACCGCTGCAGGTTTTCTGGAGCTCAGAGAGAATGAATTTTGGTCCACGATTTGTAAAACTGGAGGCAAATATTTTCTCACGCGCAATGGTTCTACGATCGTCGCGTTTGCTGTCGGGAAGAAGTGGAAGGTAACTTAATTGGATCTTCCGTATCAAGACCACCTCAGTGCGCCTCCCAGAAAGCGCTAATCTATTTGCTGCCATAAGCCAGGGAACCCATTTTCTATTATCGCCGCACATACCGATTTCCCCTGCGTGAGGGTGAAGCCTGTCAGCCTAAAGCAGGACGCAGGATACCTCCAGGTGGGTGTGGAGCCTGATGGCTTTGCCTTATGGCACACGTGTAAGTGTTCCTGTCTCTGGACAAGCCCATGCTTGAAAAGAGACACCTCTTTAAAACCCAGGTTCAACATTCGACTCTTCAGGATTAGTATACCCCGGCCTGATTTTCCATGCTCATATAGGGTTCGATCGTGATCTGGGCATCGCAGGTTGAGCAATGGTTCGAACCTTCGTATCTCGCAAATGTAGGTTCATATTGGCAAACCAGGTACAGCGAATACCCTTGCTAGTCGTTTTTTCCGCATAAGACTGACAATGAAGCTATTTTATAGTCCTGCGTATTCCAACACTCGCCATACATAGGGATCCAATGGCTGAAACCTTCTCTTTCAATAACGAGACTCAGTTGTTACTTATCACCGGATTGGTAGTAGCTGAATTAAATGAGCAGCAGATCAGTACGTTGGACGGCAAAGGAAATAGCGATAGGAACCTATTCAATCCATTCAAGAGTATCACTAAGCGACAACAACCCTATCTCATCCAGCTGATAGCGAAGAGCCTTCAGGTGGATCCTGATGATATAGTCGACTTTGAGCTCCTTCTGTACGACACGCAAAAAGCGTGCATTGAATTAATGACGAATTTATCTATGGTTCTCGACTTGACAATCTGGTCATGTCGTATACTGCAGTGGAAGGGCTGATCTGCTCTAGTTCCGGAGAGCAAGCATTGGACAAGGAGAGCTCTATCCGTTTAGTCTCTCTTTTCGACAATGAGGAAGTAGGAAATCAGACGGCCCAAGGGGCGGAATTCAATATCCTGCCCTCACACTCCGTCGTTTATCAATCATTCCCACTAGTCTGGCTCCTGAGGAGCTGGAAACTGGCACACAGCTTACGAGCAATCCTTATCAATATCCTTTCTGCTCTCAGCAGATGGCACACGCCGTGCACCCGAATTACAGCGGCAAGCATGAGTAAGACAATCAGTCCCGGATAAACGGAGGTGTTGTGATCAAACTCAACGCGAATGCGCGATACGCAACAAATTTCCCAGGTATAGCGATGTTGCATGAAGTTTCCCGGGGAAACGGAACATCACAGAGTTCAGTTCCGCTCCAACTTTTCGTTGTGCGCAATGATTCTAGCTGTGGGGGCACTATTGGACCAGCACTGTCCGCCCTCTTGGGAATTCGGACGGTCGATCTAGGCAATGCACAGTTAAGCATGCATAGCATCCGAGAGACATGCGGGAGTACTGATGTCTCGTATGCAATTCAGTTGTTTGAGAGTTTCTTTCTCCAGTCCTCAGGGCTATCTCTTTCGGTTGATTAGGCTAAATGGCGAACGTGTTATATAGTATCAACTATGAATACACCACCAGCAATCGGTGCTTGTGCATGAAAATTGGGAGACTTCTTTACACTCTAGGCATAATTCTGTCTCTTTCATGCCTCATATGTATTGCAGTTGCTTCTCTATGCGACCAAGAATTTTTGAACAGGTCCGATAGCGAGATTGTTAAGGAGAATAAGAGCGCTTGTTTAGTTACGAAATATGTGCTATGAGCTTCGAAGTGTCAATGTCCAGTGCCAGTAACTCTATGTTCCGCACGAGGGTGTTTCTGAAGAACGGATATTGGGCACCACCCCATTGTAGCACCAGAAGCAGGCAAGCTGTAAATGCTTGCCATCCCAAAAAAAACAAACAGGCGTATCCGCGTCCATAGCGACACGGATGCAGTATCAGGCTCCATAAGTGTGTCAACGAGCAGGTCGCAAGCCAATACGCTGAAGCTGCCTTTGGTAAGTTGATGTAAAGGCACCATCGCCAATTGGATTACTTCATGCTTGGACCTCATGGCATTGATCTAGATAGAGAATGGCATACTACCTCCTACCTATTCCGATTTGGATACTTGATCCAAACCACCAATCGGCGTGGTATCTTGTTGATTCCACACTCCAACCCTATATGGCAGAATTGACATGATTCCCAGGATCCCGGAATACCGTATTTGGAATGTCGGCATCCCGACTGTTGTTTACGAAACTTAGCTGCATATAAATGCCGACTGTCATCCGTATTTGGGTTGATAGCTCAGTTGGGAGAGCGCACGACTGAAGTTCACTTCAATCAGCCAGAGTCTGGCAATCGTGAGGTCACCGGTTCAATCCCGGTTCAGCCCATTACTTTTCTTCCTTTTTACCAACATGAACTGCCATTTTATTCTTCTAGCATGAACTGCTGTCAAACTGTTGGTGGGTGGGTGTGGCGGTCTTTGACGTTTGTTTGCTCAAGAACTAACTATCAGGCATTGTTCTTGTTATTCCAAATATCCGCTTGATGGTACATTTCAGTCAGTTTCATTGCTTTATCTAGATATAATATGGCAGGCTGCAAGGTGCAGTTCTGTTGCTATACTGCACTAACTGTTATTATGATATGTACAACATAGGAAAAGACAAAGATGACGCTATAAGACAGGTCTAACATTGGTGGGTATATAAAGAAATCAGTCGTACCTCAAGAAAACGACAATACCAGATTTGCTTCCTCGATGTCCGTCTAAGCATTGCAGCGCGTAGTTGCAGGCCATCATCACAAGGATAGCTAGCCGTCCTTACCCAGGATGGATGCCCCATGCAAGTAGTATTATCAATCCTCTGCAACGAACACGAGATGTCTGTCCATTTTTTTTTTTTTTTACGGGCTGCTTTCTCAGACCGTGCAAGAACGTCAACGGTGTCTCGAATTTGGGAGACGCCACCGAGTAGACGGGAGGCATATCCATCTTGTATCTCCCATAGCCTCCGTGGACCTGGCTGTCCGGAAAATTCGGACGACAGCGGCCCTATGAGAATACCGGACACTAATTGCTGCGGAGAGTTCGATGGTAGAAAAACCTTTCGAGCTCAGTGTTCATCAGTCAAGGAATATTTCAAGTTGAATGAGCCATGCCACCCGGACTAAAATAGGCGTTAATCATAGCCTGACAGGTGTCACGGCGAAAATGTTAGAACACTTAGGCTACTTCAACATCATTCAGACCGACCAAATTTTCGTAGTACTGTTGATTCATCCCTGCCTGCGCCCTGGCTTCCGTGTTAAAAGGCCCTCGGAGAGCACCTCGGAAATGCTTCTGCACATTCGATCGGAAAACTTGGATGGGATCTGTCTCTTCTTGTCGGCAAATCCATGTGAGCCATCGATGACCAGTGGTTACATGAGTAATTTCGTCGTTGTGGATGACCTCCAACGACTGCACGCTCTCTTTATCACCGGCTTTGCGGAACTTGTCAATGGTCATGGGATTCACATCAAGACCGCGGGCCTCATGCACGAGGGCAATGATACTAATCCGCGCACGAAGGTCATGGGCTGTGGCAGTCGCGGAATCCCAGAGGCCATGATGTACGGGAAGAGCGCCAAAATAAGAGCCCAATTCTTCGAGACGAGCCCGAAGTAGAGAGAAGTGCTTGGCTTCATCGTTGGCTACCTTTAGCCAGTCATGGAAAAAGGTTCGGGGCAACTCCCGTGAGCAGCCCTGCGACGCTGGCTCCGTATGAAAAGTAGCAAATCGGATGCATATATCGATAGCGAGATCGATTGCCCATTGTTCAATATTGGCTAGGGCATGTAGCATGGAAATCCTACTCTTCAAAGTACCGCCTTTTCCAGTCTTGCGCATCTCCCAAGGCCTGACGGACGTCAGGCCGTCACGGGGCGGTTGCGCCGGAGCAGCCACGGTACCCCGTCCAAGAGGCATGGGAGATGAAGAATTCTCCCTTTCGGTAAATGTAGCGAACAGATGAGCTGTCAGTTCGATTTTGTGCTCCGGATTGGAGGTATTCAAAATATGTGCGCACCAGTCGCACAGAGTGGCATTTTCATCTAAATACTGAGCCGTTTCCGGTGGCGGAGGTTCCTGGGTCTTGGGAGTAGACCTTGTTCTCCGTTCGTTCTTCAGTCGCATCTTCTCGCTCACGGGCTCGATTTTGGTGGCGGTCACACTGTCCCCAGGATAGTGCAGGGCTACACACTCGCCATGAACATTAATCGGAAATGTGCAGGCCGTGATCCCAACACTCGACTCGCCCGTCTCTACGTTGAAGTCATATGCATGCCATGGGCATGACACGATGTAAGCCGAATCCTCGATGTCAACCTGGCTATCCTGCATAGGGCCACCTGCATGTGGGCATTCGGCCTCCATGGCGTAATACAGCCATCCGTCATCTGTTTCATTTGCACCTTTACTTTTCCCACTCGATGGCTCGATTGACGGCAAGCGGAACAATACCAGGCGCTTGCCATCTGAGAGATGAATGACATAACGCGACTGCGTGAAAACGGAGAGTGGTCCGAGACTGAATGACACCATTGTTATAATACAGAGCCACGAGTGGGTGGCGATGGCGTGAGCAGGCGCCAAAAAAGTGGACGAAGAAAGAGTCGATGAGCCTGTTTCGAAGTCCGTTTGGTGACTAAATTTTATATCACGTGATATCGTCACATTGCAGGGACTAGTCTCCTTTTGGATGTCCACGTGCCTTTCGTCGTTTCGATCTTGCGATTTTCCTTCTCTTCCATCACGCCTCTTAATACTCTCAAGCATGTGCAGATATTATGCCGTTTAGCCTGTTTTCGCATGGGATCAGACTATCGAGCTGAACAATGGTATCAGTCGCCCAAGCGTTAGACCAGAAGAACATTGATCATCTACAACAGGCTACGAAGGAAAGCAAGACCTAACAGTACGTTTTAGACACGGAATAATTCTTGCCTGCTATATTTTCTAGCTTGCTTTCATTTGAGCATCTGGCAGATACAAGTCACCTTGCCAAGATGCCAGCCTCTCACCATGTCGCCAAGTCCGAAACCACCGTGGAACAATTCCAGGTAATCGCGGGCAAGGCGGCATATATTATTTGAGAACAGACTAAAGGGTACGATCCAAGTGATCCATTGACAGCAACTGGCTTAGGGGAAGCCAATACTGAAAGCTAAGAGATCATACTGTGTCTGTTAGACCATGCGGTGGAGCTCACGGAGCATGTGATCTGCAAGGCTAAAGCTATTGCAGCTTCTAAAGAGCAGCATGCAGGTGAATCAGCCACTGCCTTAGTGTCGAGTAGCTCTCCTCTGGGACTGCTGTTCAACGCACCCTACTCATATTGTTTATCCTCATCCGCCTGAATAGGACCGTCATCGCCAAGAAAGACAGAGTCTTCTGCGTAGTTTTTGATCAAGACGTAGACCCACTGGACCATCGGCGATCAAGTCTGGAGTTGTGTCCGTAAATGTCTTTGGCTCATCACCCACTTGTCCTCAGCTCCGGCAAAGCACTGGAGATTATGGCCTTAACATACAATACGAATTCCGTCGGCAGACTGTTGGCCGGCGCCAAGGTTCCGAACAATGGACTACAGTCGAAATGCCAGGTTACCCGAATATGTAAGTGACATCGAAAAGCCCTGGAACTAGCCGACGACGAAACTCGCGAGTGGGTGAAATACCTCCTTTCATTTTGAGAGAATATTATGAATTCGTGGCAGACCCATGGCCGTCAGCCATGTGTAAGAATACTTCTGCTGCTATTCTCGACCGCTGTAGTCAGTTTGACTTTAGAATCATTGCCTTGTTGTGACAGGAGTACATTTAGTTCTAGAACTTTTAAGATTGCGCACTGAACCTGAAACAACGGCGAAGTCAGCAACGAGACATTCTTGCGTCGAATTGAGACAATAATCCAGTTCACGAGGCTAATCTCGGGGAACCGTACCATGATTCTCAAAGATCTAGGTTGCCAGGATGGATACGGTTTATCTGGGTCAACAGAGTTTCGGATATTTTTGGCATTCCAACAATAACATGGAAGAACAAAGAAGCAAAGAGAGTGAGTTGACCGTACTCCTAGTAGTATGTCTCAAGAATAAGATGTAGTGACTAACCATAGAGGTGTAGAGAAACTGGTAGATTGAATTCTACCGCCCGAGTGCGTGGCTTTCCTCTTCCTGCTGTCACGTTCGAGGTTGAAACCCGCCTATCCTTTGTTATCGGACCAACCAAATGTCCATCTAGAAACACAGGATATACGAGTAGATTTTGTGAACCTCGCCGATGGGCCCTTTTTTAGCCTTATCAGACTTTCCGAGATTGAACTTAGGGGCCTTAGTCGCTTGTTGGCCCAGCGGGAGTTCATTGAAACCGTATGTCACTTGGGTATAAGGAACTTGCCTTGTTTCGTGTACAGGAAAGTCTAGGCAATCCAGTACAGTTGAATGGCGTTCCCCTAGTACATCCGAGTCTATAAAGCCAGCTCAACGCCCCTCTTTGGTGATCCGCAATATACCGCGTTGCGTGGGGAATTGAATCTGGTATTCAATCTACACCCATTAATTCAAGCATACGTGTGACCTTATATCATCGTCTTTCTTTATAAACTATCATTCCATCAGTCAATCATTCAAGATGAAGGGCGCCAACATTGTTATGTTGGGCTTCATGGGCTGTGCCCTTGCGTTGCCCGCTCCCACTCTGGACGAGAGTCAGGGACTCTCCAACGTTATGAGCTTAGGAAACTTTGGAGAGTTTGGAGAATCTGCAGAGCCCGGAGGCTTGCCACCCTCTATGAATACTGGCAGTCAAAATCTCCCAGTCTCTGGAAGCTCTAAGGAAATAGGAGAAAATGGAGGTTTATTGTCTTCTTTGACTTCCGACAGCCAAAAAGCCCCAGGCCCCGAAAGCGCCAAGGAAACCAGGGAATCTGGAAGTTTGTTGTCCTCTATGACTTCCAGCAGCCAAAACCTCCCAAGCTCTGGGGAATCCGAGGAATCTGCAGAATCCGGAAGTACGCCAACCTCTATGACTTCTAGCCGCCAAACCCTCCGAAGCTCTGGGGAATCTAGGGACTCTGCAGAATCTGGAAGTATGCCATCCTCTATGACTTTCAGTAGCCAAAATCTCCCAGTCTCTGGAAAATCCGAAGAATCTGTAGTACCTGCAGAATCCGAAGCTATGCCCCCTTCAGCTTCGGAGAAGAATCAGGGACTCTCTGGCCTTCCAGACACGGTCTCTGGAGAATCTGCCGTATCTGGAGGTATGACATCTCCTATGGCTTCTGGTAGTCCAATCCTCCCAGGCTTTGGAGAATCTGCAGCATCTGGAAGCATAACATCCCCTACGGTTTCCGGTAGCCCAGTCCTCTCAGGCTCTAGAAACTCTGGAGAAACCGGAGAAATCGAAGGCTTGTCCTCTATGACTTCTGGCGGTCCAAGCCTCCCCCTTGCAACCCCAAGCATTGGAGGATCCAACAGTCAGTCACGCCCATCGGGGGCCACCCCCACGCCCTCCCTCTTGCCGATGGGACTTACTGGAACGGGCGGTCTCTCCGGCTCTGGCGATAGACAACCCGGAGGTGTATCACCGGGACTTGATAATGGGGGTGGCTCGTCGCGCTCTCCTTTCTCCAACCCTGGACAACCCGGTGGTTCATTGCCAACACTGTCGGGAGTCATTAGTAGGATCCTCGGTATCTCGGGCTCAACCACTAACCAGGGCATGTCCTCCAGCAACCGTATATCTTCCAGCAATCGCATATCTACCAGCAACCGTAAACCTTCTAGCAATCGTATATCTTCCAACAACTTGATTTCTTCCAAAAGCCGCTACTCTTCCGGCAACATGCAAGGAAATTTTGCTGGGGGTTCAGCTAGACGTGCCGGCTCTGAAAGCTCGTCCACTCCTACTCCTACTCCTACTCCTACTCCTTATCGGGCCACCAAGACTGGCCTCCCCACTTCCACTGGAAAGTCTAAGCCTTTCAAGGCTTAAACACCGAGGATGGTATTCATGGTGGAATGGACAGAGATGTTGGATACTTCGGAATTAGGACGTGGAGAGAATTAATAGCGCTGAAGTGGTGAACCACGGTTACCAAAAGGACACCAAGGGGGGAGGAAGGGGGGCTTCAAGTGGGAAATCTATAAACCGATTTTGGTCAATTATAGATAGAGATAATAGTGGCTACCATCATTCAATTTACCACTATCTTTATGGTTAATAATAATGTAGAATAAAGGATTGATTTACTATTAATATTAAGTATGGATTTCAACCCCTGACAGAAAATATCACTGTTCAATTTAATACCTATGCAAGTCTTTCCAAGTCTTATTAAATCCATCTATGCAGAGTTTTTTTAAAATATCATCCACAACTCCTAACAAAAAGGGGGGGAAACCCCCCGCTCAAGTAAACACATCCGTGGCATATCTCTCCTTGGTCTTCAGACCTTCCAAGAATTCCTCCGCGGCTTCATCTTCATCAACTCCCTCGGGAACATCCTCCCCGCGTTCCCGCGCTAGACGATAATGTTCCCGTCGCTTTTCGAGATACATGGTTTTACAGGCTTGACGCACGCCCTGACCGACATTGGTTGTTCCACAGACGTAGACCCGTGCTCCCTGATCGAACAGCTCCACGAGTTCTTTGCGGTCGTCCAGCATCAGATCCTGGACATGACGACGGGACGTTTCATCCACCGGTCGACTGTAGGCGTATCGGACGTCGACGGCGCCCTCGGAAGCCCATTCAGCGAGTTCCTCCGAGTGGATGTCGTCCTTGCCCTTGGTGCGACAGCCAACGTAGAGAATCGCCTTTGCGGCTTTTCCGACATCCGGGTGTTCCTCGTTCGGGCCCATGGGGCTGCGTCGGCCGCGGATCTTCTCCACACGATCCATGATGAAGCCACGGAATGGTGCCAGGCCGCTTCCTGCGCATGCCATGATCATCGGGGTGTCCAGGTCGATGGGTGGCTTGAACCCAGTGTGCGATGCACGGACAGAGATATGTGCGCGGTCTTCGGGCTGCAGCTCAGACAGGTAGGTGGATGCAACACCTACGTACTGTTCGTCCTCTGAGGCCAGGGATGGAGCGTTAAGGACGGAGAAGGTGATAGAGCACTCCGTGGGGTCCACCAGGGGTGAGGATGAGATGGAGTACTGGCGCACACGCATGGGAGGCAGCATACCTAAAAAGTCGGCAATAGGCATCTTGAGAGAGGGGTATTTCATGATAATGTCAAGGGGACTAAGACGCTTCTTCACGACTTCCTCGGTGAACCGGGTCGGGCTAGAGGCGATATATTGCAGCTCCGCCTTGATGTCGGCGTCCGTGGTAGCAACGTTCGCGATTGTGGTTAGATCTCGCTTGGATGCTGGTTGAGATAGCTCCACGTACGTCGAAAAGAGTTCAAAGGCGGAGATTGGAGTGCCCAACGGGATAGCAGTAGGGCCGTTAGATGTCCGCGACGGCTTCGACACCGTCAGCATGGCGTCAGATGGGAGGTCGAAGCAGCGAATAGCTCGATGGACGATATGTCTTGGGTTCGTGGGAAGTACGGCAAGATAATCGCCACATTGGTAGGTCATATCCGCCGGAAGCTTGAATCGCACCACCCTCTTTTCCGGGATACCGGGTGCGGTGAGGAGCTTATTCTCAATCACGGCTCCTTCATGCAGCTGGAGACCCAAGTTGGAGGCGCGCACTCCAGGGCTGACTTCAACTTGAAACGTCGATTTGTTTTCTTTAGCTTTGGACTCTGAGCGGCCGAACTTGGAGGTAATCGCAGGCCAGAATGCTGATTCGCCCCAATTATCAAAATCGGTGAACATATCGGATTTGGCGGCATCGGCGACTCCAAGGTCACAGAGACGGTTTCCACCACGCTCTTCTACAAGTTGGTTGATGATTTTTGGGATCCGGTGAAAGGTAGCATGCCAGTCATCTAGTATCCGTGGTTAGTGCAAATGGTAGGAGTAAAGGTACAATGGTGGGTACTTACGATGACCACAACCGAAAACAGCATACTGAGTCCCCTCGAGTTCCTTGTCCTTCAAATTGCTGAGCCACTCAAAAAAGTGAGCGGCATTATCCGGGGGCTGGCCTTCGTACGACGCCGAGATGAAGACGACAGGGTCATCTTTAGGGACATTCTGCATGGCCGAGTCCAGAGACTTGACCTCGGCCGCAAACCCATACCCAAGGGCATCGTCAGCGAGCCTCCTGGCAAACGCCTCGCAGGTTCCAGTGTTGCTGCCAAAGAAAATATACATCGGCTTTGCGCCACTCGCCAGGGTGGCTTTCTTGCGATCTTTGCCTGTAGCGTCTGAGTCGATCGAGGGAACCTCGCCGCTGTTCAAGAAGTTCCCTAGTTTTGTTGCATCCAGACCACCTCGTAGTGCCGCTCTCATGTGGAAGCCATCTGGCTTGATAGTGAGGGTTTGTTTGAGCCGCAGATCGTAGCTGGGGTCATCCATCTGGAAGTTGAAATTCTGCAGTAGCATCGCCACCAACAGCAGGACCTCTTGCCACGCAAATGGGCGTCCAATGCAGGCTCGCATGCCGTTCCCAAAAGGCTTCCATGCATTTTTCGGCAGCTTTTCGAACTCCGCGTCCAACATTCTCTCCGGCCTGAATTCCTCTGCATCTTCACCATAAACTTTAGGATCCCGGTGCAGTTTGCCCAAGATGATCACGATCGCCTCATCCTCCGACAAAGCATATTTCCCACCTCCCAAGGTGACGGGATCCTCCGTGTTCTTCGTAGGATGCGCATGGAAAGCAATCAAAGGTGCCGGAGATCGAAGTCGTAGGGTCTCGCGCATCACCGCCGTAATATACGGCAGCTTCGAAAGATCCTCTACGGTGATTTTTCGCCGCCCAATCACTGTGTCGACTTCTTGCTGTGCCTTCTGATACGCACTTGGGTTCTTGAGCAAGTAGTAAAATAAAAAGGAAAGCATGCCAGAAGTAGTCTCGTGGCCTGGAAAAAAAAAAAAAAAAAAAAAAAAAAATGTTAGCCAAGAAACTTCAGTAAACCGGTAGCACCCATACCAGCAATTAGAAATGTGATCATGTTATTTATAATAGAGGCATCTGAGAGTCCTTGACCAGTCTTAGGATCGCGACCTAGGATCAGAGCATTCAGGAGGTCCTTCTTGTCTTCGGGGTTGTTTTTTCGCGCATCGACCAGTTCTTGGGCCAGCTTTCGCAGAAAAGTGATATCGTTCCAGTATTTATTGTTGTCACTGGTAGGGAGGCTATTCATGAGCGCGGGGCGCCGCGCCCTGTCACCGGACCCTTGGAGCAGGGTGACCATAGCTTCAATGAACGGATGCATCTCTTCCTGATAGAATGAATTGAAACGGGTACCCATGGCACAGAGGGCAATCGTGTCGAGGGTCAGACGTGTGAAATCGTCAGTAACCATGATGGGGGCATTGGGACCCTGGCGAGCCCATTTCAGGGTCAGCTGGGTGGCGATGTCATACATATCTAGACGAGTCAGCCCCCTTATTGGCCTGATGAAGCTAATGGAGCCAGAGAGACTCACCATCGAACATCGCGCGAATCGTGAGCGGACCAAATGCAGGAACCAAAACTCGGTGAGCGATTTCCCAATTCTCCTCCCCCGGATAGTGGGCTGTGAACAGGCCGTCCTCAACACCATTGCGGATTTCTTTCAAACCGGCTGTAACCTTCTTTGTGAATCTTTCTTCGTTGCAGACCTCATCGACCAGCTCATGGGTGCTGATGAACACTCTTGGTTGACCAACCATGGACAAGCGGAAAATAGGGCCTTGGGAAAGTCAGTAAGGTGCTCGGAATTGGAAGGCCTAGGTATCCACTGAAATCAAGGAAGCACATACCATAATTATCTGCCAATAAGGAGAAGCTTTGTTCTGGCACCTCGGGGTCGATATCCAGCACATTGCCCAAGAAGGGTATCCCTCTGGGTCCTGGAATTGGGATATACTTTAAGTCGCTCATGGCGACCACCGACCGATGCCGTATTTCTGTAGAATTGGAGAACGAATGCTTCTTCGGTCGCTTCTTGCTGACCTCAAGAGACTTAGGGTGGGAGTGGGAAAGGGAATCCTAGGCAACAACACGGATACTGAAATTGAGGACGCTCTTGGGGAATAAATCAGGAGATGATGTGCAGCCAGGAGGAGGGGCGATTCGTATTTAAAAAGTATACAAGTGACGTGCCACGTGTGACGTAGACTGTCGCATTGGGAGAATACATGGCCGCCTTTTCTTAGGACCAAGGTACGGAGTAGACCGGTGGCATACCCTGATTTGGAAGTGCCTCGGGAGTGGAGTGGATTATTATAGAATTGTGCTGGTTGGGTCATAGGGGTGCATACATACGGAGTAGTGCATCCTGCACACGGAGGATTTCGATCGAGATCCACCACTTGGCAGCTCTCAAGTTTCACTCTCAACGTCCCACCGGGCAGCGTAATAACTTTAGTGGCATTCTGTAGTGTAACATGTGGAGAATGGCAGTATCGGACACCACCGTCTCCATCGGGGTCGCCGAGGCGATGATTACATAAGAATCTTCGCCATTTTGGGCACGACCTGGCGCCGCTTTTAATCATCAGGAATCCTTGCTGCGTGTGCCAGGGTACAATCCTACTAGTAGACTTTCTGATAACTCGGACTTGGTAATGAACAGCACTAAGCCCCCATACCCCGCAAAGCCGTTAGAATCGCTCCTTTCTGCTCTAACGAGAACCACCCTAATTGGGCTTCACCACAACGATTATCTTCAATCTCCTGTCGCGTAGCCCATAGAAACGCCTGGTGTTCCTGTGGATCGAGGACAATCTTATCCGAGTCTCCCATCTGATCATTGTCCACGACGACGAGGAAGATAAATATCTTCCATTTGGTCAAGTTGATCTCGCATTCGTATTCACCAGTCAACCTTTCAACGGCTGAAGCCCGCAGCCCAGTTTCTTCCCACAGTTCGCGGACAACGCAGTCGATGATGGTTTCGTCTTGACTGGCGGTGCCGCCAGGCACCTCCCATATATCGGGGAACTCGTCGTCTGAAGCCCGTTGTATTAGTAGCACTCGGCCTTGGTAGATGATTACGGCTGCACTAAAGATCCCACCATGTCGGTAGCAAGGGTTTTGCGATAGATAGTCTGCCACGGAAATGTCGTAGGATTTAAGCGCGGGGTTGGTAACATATGAGGATGGTGGTGACGGATGTCGAGAGCCCGTAGCCATCTTCTTGTCTGCTTTCTGTATGTTATGGATGGTGATGTGCGTGCGTGAGTCACATTACGTGAGTGACTGTAGCCTTTCACCAATTAAATATCCCAAATATCCCGGTCCTGATACGGGACGGACAATTCCCATCCGGCCTGGACCAGTCCTTGTCGTGAAAAGAATATTCGATGATAACTGCAGTGTTTGAATACCAGATACCTCGATCTTGTTTATAGTTCAACCCAGAAAAGCATAGGTTCTTCTGATTTCCGTACACATTCAACAGATATCATAAGGTATCAACACATACACTTGATCTGTTCTATAAAGCATAAAACTCGAGGCCTAGGCATTGTATTTTAGTTCAGCCTTATATGATCTTCATAACAACTATCACGGCGGAACTGGTTCTCCCATTGAAGGTGCGTGTCCTGAGAGTATGGGTGAGTGGCCTTAGTGCTGGGTATAACTTTTACGGCACTGTATACCAAAACTAAGTATGGATGCACTATAAGATCAGATTGCTGCTCTAACCGAGGGCAAAAACTTGGCGCATACCCAGTCCAGTTAGCACTGTACCTTCACATGGATGTTCAAATGTTGGGAGCCAGTGGAGACCGACATGTTATGCATCTTCATTTGGACTTCGCAGATTCTAGAATAAGGGAGGGCTTTTGGCAATATATTGTTTTGGCTAGTCCTATGTCGACCATGGAAGTGTCTCAGAATCCACGTATAATATGATGGTCTTCCCAGCCAAGATGGCTGAGATTCATGAAACAAATTTATTTGTCTCGTATGGCTATGCTGGCTTGGCATGATCTCACCATTATATCGGTGGAGTTGATTGATCCCATTCAAAACTGTTGATGGTATTGGAGTCTGCATAATAATTTATGTTCAGAAATAGTCACTGAATTCCCCACTTGAATTCTGTTTGAGTGGAAATACGGATTCATGCCTGAGGCAGTGCATCCTTAAGGATAGCTGAGCGGTCGAGAGGGGCAGATGGAAGTCTTGAAAGCGTGCATACTTCAACTTCTTCTTGCTTCTATCCCAATCTTCCCTGAAGCCTCTCCCAGCGAGCGTCGAATCCTCGTGTTTCTTCTTCGCTTAGCGGCAATTGCTATCCGGTCGGCCGTCCAACCGAATAATGTCATCACTCGGGGAAATGCTACGATTCGCCGAGGTAGAGTCATAACCTGCTACTTCCCACATTCTATGCATACCCTTCAACAGTCATTTTGGAAGGACGAGATCAGGCATTCTTTCATAATTATGTCCAGGACTGCTAGTGTCCCCATACCAAGTGGTGAGATTGCAGGTGTACAACCCATCCAAGACCGGACGGCCTTCTCGGCGAAAGACACTGTGTCGTACATCTGGAAAGGATTAGGACTCCCAGATGAAGCGCTACAGTCTCTTCAGATTAGCGGCAATGAGAATCACCTTCCGTCATCCTTCAAGATCACTGATCTTGCTCAAGCTTCGATTGGATTGTCTGCCTTACTTGCGGGCTTGATTCATGCCCGGCGCAATGCCAGTCCCGTTCCGATCGTGAGAGTTCTTCGTCAACACGCTGCCATTGAATTCAAGTCCGAGAGACTATATACCATAAATGGCCAGTCTGTCCCGTCAGTGTGGGGCCCTATCGGTGGACTGCATAAAACGGCAGATGGTTATGTACGGGTCCACGACAATTTCCTTCACCACCGCAACGGCGCAAAGGCTTTACTAGGATGCTCGCCAGACGCCGATCGCTCGGAGGTAGCGGCCAAGATTGCAAACTGGCGATCAGTCGACCTTGAATCAGCTGCAATCAAGTCCGACTTGGTGATTTCCGCCCTTCGCAACTACTCTGAATGGGACTCTCTGCAACAGGCACCGGCTATATCCGATTTCCCCATCCTCCTCCGTCGTATTGGGGATGCCCCAGTTGGGCTGCCAGAGGGGATGCGCGAACCAAAGGCAGACAAATGTCTTCGGGGGTTACGTGTGCTGGAACTGTCGCGAGTGATCGCAGCCCCGCTCGCTGGAAAGACACTGGCCGCTCATGGCGCGGACGTTCTCTGGGTTACAAGCCCTAATCTACCAGACCTGCCAGAGCTCGATCGTGATCTGGGTCGCGGGAAAAGAACGGTCCAGATGGACCTACTAACGCCGCATGGTCAAGAGGATCTTGCTACCCTCCTCCAGGATGCCCATGTCTTTCTGCAAGGCTATCGACCTGGAAGTCTTGCGTCCCGTGGATTGTCATCGGAAGTACTCGCCCAACGATTCTCTGACCGTGGGATAATCTGCGCCAATATGTCGGCATATGGACCGACAGGTCCCTGGGCTAACAACCGCGGGTATGACTCGCTGGTCCAGACGTGCTCCGGCATGAATGTTTCCGAAGCCGAGCACTACGGTGCAGGTGAGCCCGCCCGAGCGATGCCATGCCAAGCCCTAGACCATGCAGGAGGCTATTTCCTTGCAGCCGGCATCCAGGCGGCCCTGTATAAGAAAGCCAACGAGGGAGGGTCCTGGGAGGTGAACGTCTCCCTGGCGGGTGTGATGAAGTATCTGCGGTCGCTGGGACAATTCGATGGAAAGACTGGCTTCCAGGCGCCGGGTTATACGAGCATCGCTGACGTACCTCCTGAGTATCTGGAAACGAGAGATACTGTGTTCGGGGAGATGACGGCTGTGCGTCACTCTGCTATGATTCAGGGAGTTGAAGTTGGCTGGGATATCATGCCGAAGTCGCTGGGATCGGATGAGAAGAGGTGGCTTTAGCTTATATTTAGGTTGCCTAATCAGGTATGTTAGGGTAATTTTCTCAATTTAAGGAACTTTACTTTCATATACATGTTTCAATGCTGCCGTTATGGACGGGCTGCGTTTCCAGATAGCTATAGAACATATTCACCGGGCCTTCACGTTATGGCCTAAAGACGCAGAATACAACTGCCGCTTCAATAAAATTAACACTGGCTGCAATTTGAGGTGGCTACGAAACTAAATTTTGTAACCTAGGCCCTATATACGTGATCTATGGACGCTGAGAGTGGCCGCCTCGGGTTCTATCATACATGTCCAAGTGCATGATCTCTGCATGAAATAAAGAGCGAGAATGTATGGAATGAATTCCCTTGTTGACACAGTAACACTCAAAATCAGTTTTTCCCCAGAAGACCTTGCTGGGTCCAAACCTTGGCCAACAGCGCCACGAGCCCTCCAAACAGACACATGGCACCGCTGAACATGGACGCTTCGAAGTATCCGCTGTACCTATTCACAATGGCCCCGTTCAACGGCGGGCCAATCAGGCCTCCCAGACCGGCGAGGGCCATGCCCATGCCCATGTAGGTGCCGAGGTTGCGCGCATCTTGCAGACACAGAGAGATGGCAGCGGACGCCCCCGAGATGATGGCGCCTGAACAAAATCCAAAGAAGATTGAGTACACAATCAAACTAGCATCGCTCGTCACGCTGTTCATACAGAAGATGATGATGCCGGAGGTGGCACCCCCCAGTGCGAAAGTATTTATGCGGCCGTATCTGTCGGCGAGAATGCCGGGGACAATGCGGCCGAATGTGGAGGCTGCGTTGAGGATCGCGAGCAGGTAGCCGGCTAGGGTTGGGTTCATGCCCTGTGAGGTGGCGTATGTGGGGAGATAAAAGAATGGAGTGAACATGCCGATGAACATGAAGAACATGGCGGTGATAAGCAAGTCGAAGCGAGCGTCTTTGAAGGCCGACAATATCCAGAACCGAGTCTTCCGTGGCGGCAGACGTGGCCCAATAACTACCAAGGCAAACGCCATTAAAGGCAGTGTCACAAAGCCGATCACGCGCACCGACCATCCAAAGCCGAGCGAGGAGCTGTTCAGCATTTTAGACAATGCGATTGGGATGATGATGCCGCCGATGGATGATCCAGACACGGCCAGGCCCAGTGCAGCGGCGCGATTCTTGTCAAAGTATTGTGACACGGCGGCCACTGCCGGGATCTGCAGAAGGCCCATGACAAGGCCCATCAGTACACCCTGCACGAGCATCGCCTGCCAGTACGTCTTGCACAGGCTCAGTATCATCATGGCGAAGACGTATGCGACCCCCGCCGGGCGCATAATCTATCGACAATTCGTGTCATTTCCTAAACCGTCACCACAGGTGAGAGACATACCTTTATGCCAAAACGATCAAACAGCGGCCCACCAACCATGCCAGAAAAGAACTGGAGAAACGCCGCCAGAGAGCCAATCCAGGAGATCTTGGAAGCCGACTCGCCTTGCATCTGGTGAGTTATGTAGTACTGTTCGAACGTGCCGAACGAGTTACAGAAGCCCAGGGTGCAGAAGAAGATGGCCCCTCCGCCAGCTGCGACGAGCCACGCACGGGTACCACCTTCGGGCGCAGGCTCGAATTCAAGTGTGTCTGGAATTGCCTTCTCGTCGTCGCCCTCCATGCTCATCATTGAGCGCCCTTTTACCGCAGATGTCATAGTATGAAGCAGATATGGTGGGTGTGCTGAAGGAGAGACCTTGCAAGCTATGGCTAAGTATAGAAGTAAGAACGCCAATATGAGTACAAATAAGCGACATATTGAACCTCAACGACTTACACACAATTTATATACATCCCCCCTACATAGCGGATATACTGGGCGGACTCGGCGCTGGGAGCGGAATCGGCCATTGGACTCGGGTTATGGCGAGCGATTCGGACTACTAGTGCAATTGCCGAGTCTCATCCACGCATGGCATGGTAGATGGCTTCATATTTCCTCAACATACAGCCTGCATTACTGAATTGCCCCGGGCGACTCTAGCATATGTATTCACAGTAGCTCAATAACTAACCAGAGGCAGACATGACCCAGCCCGACAGGCGGCGCAGACGGCCAGCAGTGTAAGTGGAGATCCCTCATTAGGGTGCATTGCGCTAACAGCATACACACAGCTCATGCACCCTATGTAGAAGACGAAAGATCCGATGCAGTCGAGAAACGCCTTGCAGCAACTGTCGGCGGTCCAGAAGCGAGGCTTGTGTCTATGAGAACCCCAACCATCCTCCGCCACCTCCTCGGCGCCATCTTGGTCAGGGTCAGGGAACAGTCTCTGGCTTGGCCCTGGGGTCTCGAGAGCCAATACCGATGGAGGGAGCATCCAGAACAAGTGATTCAGCGTTCCCAAACTACTCATCAGGCTCACTGGTCACCGGTTCCACAGGCGTGTCGATGTCCCCAAGCCCGTTATCTGCTCAAGCTGCCGAGTCGATGCGATTGATGCTCCGAATTGGACAGCTTGAAGAGCAGTTGTGTAGATCAACTTTGAGGCATATTCAATCTCCTGCTTCGGCATCGAACCTGAACATCGAAACGACGAGCTCAAGCCTGGGTGGAACGTTCCACGTGCTTAAAGAGAGTGGCTCGGATGGCCAGCCTCAGACCATTGCCCGCAGCGTTACACATAAATCACGTCTGTTCGGCCAGAGCCATTGGGGGGTTAATGGAGTTCTCCTGGTGAGATTTCAACTGTATTGAATGGGAGTGTTGCCTAACAAGCATAAGATCCGTGACGTCCTGGAGGCGATTGAGCCCCATCTGCGACAAGAGATATCGAACGCCGGGTCCGGCATAGAGAGATGTAAATCCTTGGCCAGAGTCATCAAAGGGCGACGAGCGCCTTCGTGGCCCTCTCCACCTACGCCCGATTTACCTCCTAAAGACGTTTCCGACACGCTAGTTGATTGCTACCTCCGGACCACTGAGGCTATCTATCGAATCTTGCATGTCCCTACCTTTCGCAGGGACTATGAGGCGCTGTGGGTCTCGAATTCCACACCCGACACGGCGTTCTTAGTCCAACTTAAGCTCGTACTCGCCATTGGCGCGGTTACATACGATGAGCAGTTTTCACTGCGGACCTCAGCTGTCCGATGGGTTTACGAGGCCCAAACCTGGCTTTCGGAGCCTAGGTTCAAGTCACGACTGGACATCCCATCTCTGCAGACCAGCCTCCTTCTTTTGTTTGCTCAAGAAAGAGTAGCAACCGGCGGAGACTCGATGTGGGTTTCGGTCGGCGCACTGCTGAGGAAAGCAGTCTACATGGGCATGCATAGAGATCCCTCTCGCCTACCCCAGAGGACGGCGTTTGTTGCTGAGATGCGCCGAAGGCTCTGGAATACGATCCTAGAGCTCGCTCTGCAGTCCAGCTTAACCTCCGGAGGGCCTCCTTTTCTCTCTCTTGACGATTTTGACACAGCACCTCCAGGTAATTTCGATGACGACCAGCTGATGGTCAACGATCCAGTGCCGAAACCGACGGAGGAATTTACACGGGTGTCCATTGCAATAGCGCTCCGCAAGACCTTTCCACACCGTCTTGCTGTGACCAAGTTCTTGAACGATCTTGCGTCCACTGGCACATACGAGGAGACGCTTCGGCTCGATGCAGAGCTGCGTGCGGTATACAAGGCTCTCCGTCAAACTATGCAAAGATGCAGCAGCTCGGACACGCCATCCTCTCCCTCACAGTTCGAGATCTGTACGGTGGATTTCCTCATGCATCGGTATCTCTCGTCTCTTCACGTTCCCTATTTCGTCCCGGCACTACACCAGACGGCTTACGCCTTTTCCCGGAAAGTGGTGGTTGAGTCGTCATTCAAAATCTTCCGCGCGGCATACCCGTCTTCTCCCATCATGGCCACCCAGCCCCGCGATGATGCGACCCCATCTGACTGGAACGATCTGTCGCGACTTGCGGTCTGCAGCGCGGGATTCTATCCAACCGTGGTTATCCATGCCGCTTATCTCATCGGAATAGAGCTCCGGGCACAACTGCAGGAAGAGGAAAGTCTAGGCCCCGTGCCTTTGCGACCAGACTTGCTCTCTGTGCTAAGCGATGCAAAAGCGTGGTGTCTGCAAGTTATCAAGGCCGGAGAGACCAACGTCAAGGGCTACCTGCTCGTGAGCATGATTGTGGCACAAGTCGAAGGACTTAGGCGCGGGTTGTCGAGGGAAGAGACCGCCAAGCTGTTAGTCCAAGCGGCGGAGAACGTTGAGAAGAGATGTCTGCCGCTTTTGGAAGAAATGGCAGCAGCTCAGGGCCAGGGGGAGAAAGCCGTGAAGGAGCTTCAGCAGGGGTCATGGACGACTCCGGTCGAGGCGATAGAGGACTGGGACTTTATGGTGAGTAGAGTCATGTCATCGTACTTAGCTACTAGCAGTCGCTGACGAGCAAAGGCATCCGATTCCCTGTTTAATCCGGGTACCGATCCAATGAGCTGGATGTTCAGTAATATCAATCCAGACGTGGCGTCTCTTTGGTAACGATCCGGGCCAGGAGCAGCATTTAGCCTGATTGATGATACTAATGGTTACAAAGATCTGCGCCGAAAAATTAAGGATCCAGAAAAACCAATGGAAATATTAAGAATCGAAATGCCTGGAGAGAACTGGGGAGACATGGCAAAGATAAGAATATACAAGCAACGAAAACCTCTCATCCTAAGAGAATGTAGACAGGTACAATATGGACAAGACTATCAGGGATATGGGGGAAAGAAAAGATTGTGAAGATGGATCATGAGTCCGACCCTACCACACTGACACCAAAACCCCAAGCCTCGAAACACCAACCCATGCGACTTTGGCCAGCAAAGTCGGTGCGAGGAGCCTTTGCTCGACTTTTGCAACCCCACGCATTTCTTGGGTAGGAAGGCGGACTCCCTAACAGAGCGAGCGGAACGAATTTCTTTATTTCATGAATGGATGAATGGATGCAAGGGCGAATCCCGTAACAAACCCCTTTGCTACGCTACCGGTTTGTATCCCCTATGCTTCCATTCGCTTTGTTTCCAGTCCAATTGGAAATTGTTCATCTCGGTCCGATCCGTGCTCCATTTGGCGTCATGGAGCGCATGCTCGAGACGACCCCTCTTGCGCTGCCGCAAGAAAAAGAAGATGAAACCAACGATGAGAATGACTCCGCCGGCTGCAGCTCCGCAGTAGATTCCAACCTTGGCGGCAGTGGGCAGTTCGGCCCACTTCTCCGACATTGACTTCGGCGGTGGCTTGTTAATCTGTTCGACAGCGGTTGAATTACCCCTGATCATCGGTGAGTTCTCACGTTTCCTTACGTGGAGGATGGGGCATGGAAAGGGAGGAAACCTACTCGACAACCTTGATACTTTCCCATGAGCCGGAGTGGTCAGTGTATTCATACTCCTTGCCTGTATGAAAGTCATGGACGCGGACTTTCTGCACCACCATTGTGTACGGGCCAGCATTGTAGTCGACCTCACCGCCTGCCCACTCGATGGTTCCTTTCTTATTACCGGAGTCACCGGCCGGCCAGATGCCGTATCGAACATTACTAGGAGTTTGCGGGAAGTTTTTGCCACCCAAGGCGTCCTCATATTTCAACGAGCGTACGAGACCGCCATCAATCCACCATTCGAGCTTCTCCTTGCTCCAGAAGGTCGTGTAATTGTGGAACTCGGAGTCGGCATTGGCCACGCTGTGTTTCCCACCGCGGTCGAACGAGGAATCGTTACCCTTGCCAAAGTAGTTGGACTGCACCTCGCCGGTGTTGGAACCGATCCATTCCCAATCGATCTCGTCGCGGTCGGCAGATTGAATGACCACGCTGCTGATGATCCCGTTTCCTTTGGCCATTTTCACGTGCGACTCGACAATACCGAAGAAGATGTGGAAGTTCGATTGGAGCGTAGGGGACTGCATTTTCGTTTTGATGGTGAATTCGGCGCCATCCTCGGTGTTGTAGATACGACCATTAGTGACGTTCCAGATCGTATCATCCAGGGTCTGATTGAATGTCCATGTGTGGTTGGTGCCGAGAGCCGGCGCCGCCGGGCAGTCTTTCTTGAGAGGATCGCAGTCGGTGAAGGTCTGCGCCAGGACGGAGCCGATGGTGATGGCCCAGAAGGCTAGTCGCCAAAGGAATGACATAGTGGGTTGGAAGAAGAAAGAACGAATTTCCTTGTTGGCCAATCCTTCCTTGTTTAGTTGGTATTCTGCTACCGTAGATCTTAGTTGTTCGAGTACGTACTCCTTCCCAGGAGAGAAGCCGAAGGGGCACCAGACGGGGAATGAGGGAGTCGAAAGCTGCGGGAATCAGTAAGGAGCGACGGTTGAGAGGAAGAAAGAAAGAAAGGATGCGCGATTGAATCGCACAAGGAGTGATGCCCACTCGAAAGAAGGGGGTATCAAAGGGTGTATCAAAGGGGGATGGATGGGACGATCGATGAAGAAGAGGAATTAATTGGAGGGAAGCAGGGAAGAAACCTTCTTAGTTTACAGAGTAATACTAATGATTAATCATGTCTATTCATCTAATTTGTGTTATTTTCGTTACTAGTATGATATTATTATTAGCAGGACTGTGTTGCCCTTTTTTTTTCCTGTAGTTGATGCAACCAGTTCCACGCCAACTAGTTAAGGGGTCACCCCAATCCCCCCTTAGTGGCACCTCTGCTCCTGGAATGGACTAGGCAGACTCGGCAGCTAGCCCTCCTCAGTAACTAGCTTAATCCCTGTACCTGAGCTAGCCGGATATGGCAAGGTGTAACCAAGCCCTCCGTCAGCCACTGGCAAGTGCTTCACCAATCGATTGGACCACTGCCATCCACATAGCAGTGGGGGGCCAATCGTCGCGTTCTGCAGACTGGACTGGTTTTGGGGAGTGTTTCATATCTGTTAGTACTTACTATACTGTGTATATCCTCTGTACTGTACTCTGTAAGGCACTTGCAGTTCGTAGTCCTAACACTAACAGTTACTGCCTAGACGCTACCGTGCAACGTCTGTGCCTCCCTAAGGATCGTGTGGATATGATGACGGCCCCTTCCAGGAAGTCCCAAGAATCCAGCGCCGACGGCTAGATCAGCCACTGGGATACTGAAAGGAGGCCGATTTAAAGAGCCGAAACTAGTGGCGTCACTGGATCAAAGGCAGCCCATCTGGAAATCAAATGCGAGCCTGGGTACGTTCTTTATTGGTCAATGAGAATACTCTGTACGGAACTACGTGCCTAGATGCCTACTACTGAAGCTATTAAAGTTACATCTTGGTGTGTAGGTACGCCCTTCCTGACTGCTCGATATGACGGACGTCCGGGGATGGTTAACTTTAGATAGAGCCCAGGCACAATAACCAGCGAGGATGATCTAGTCGACTACTTTTATTATCTATCACCGAGAAGGTGCCACCGTATACATATGTAAGTACCAAGCATGTCGACCATCATAATGTTAACAGAGATTGGATAGTTGTCAAACCTCCTATTCCGGCACATCTTCAACTCTTCGAAGCACCATCGATCCGTCACACCTCAACCCTCTACGTATATACATAGGTAGGATTGTCGGATGTTCGGATCCCCTGAGCCCTGATAGCTCTAACGGTGGATACTCGATCCACTCTTTTTTTTTTTTTTTTTTTTTGGTAGGACCACATCGGAAGATGACTCGATTGAAATCATCGATAAATATTTTTAGATATATACTTTATTTAGATCCTATCGTGGGAAATGGTATTCCTTTCACTCCACCAATCCATACAGAGTACTCCGTACAGATGGCGTACTTACTGGTCGAAGACCAAATACTCGCTGAACGCGCAGTGTCCGTTGCACTTCGATGCAAGCTCTAGTGAGCTCTCGCCTGAAACGATTAAGATGAAAGATAGAAAAACTGGCGCGCTTAATAGAACCTAAATAGAGCTTACTCCCCCTTGGGTACTTTAGTTGTAATACTCTTCATCCACTCTAGCAGATTTAACGTTGATTAAGAATTTATTGTATACTGGAATCCATAGGGCAGTCAATGTGTAAAGCGTACTATATCGCTGCCGATCCTACCCTTGCAGACAAGGAACAGGTGATTTTCGAGTATAGGACATGGGGCAAATCGTGTTGCAGCCATATGTTGTTATTATTTAGGATAAGTTTATTAGCTTAATAATTTTCATTTACAAGCATGAATTAGCCAGAACAAAGCAATGGAAACGTCTCTATGCCTGCAGCTGAGTGAGTGCTTTTTAGAGAGATTAGCATCACTAAGGAACATAAGCAGACAATGAGCGGCTGTGACTTTGCACTGCAGCTCCTAGCCAACAAAAGGCACAACTACAGTACTATTAAAATAAAGATATTTTTATATAAAGTAACCTTTAAAGGCATTTAATCTATACATCTATTATTTTAATGTATTTCAGGTATTATATATTGCTAAAGGCCGTCGCTGAGACTCTTGGTGCCTCAGGCACAATATTAGGTAATGGTATTGTGTCATATCTGCTCACGTGAGTGGCTCCGATGTCGTGCCGGTCATGTCCTGAGGCCGCCAACCCCACCATCACTCTCTTTCTGCTCTCCCGCCTTTTCTCTCTCATCCCTCTCTGTCTTCTTTTTCTTCCTCCTCATCCTTCCCCCTCTTAATACTTCTCTCTCTACCTTCATTCCCTTCCCTTATCACATCTTTTTGTTACAATGGCTACCTATGCCCTGTCCCAAGCCCACCGGGCTGTGAGTATTCCATAGTCAAACTTTTTACGGGCTGACAATAACTGACTCACTCCAGCAAATGGAGAACACTCTGGTCGATTCCGATCCCGAGATTGCTCAGATCATGGTAAGACCTTTCTGGTGTCTTCCCCCCCACCCCTGTTTCGATTTCAAACTAGTTTCTGATGGCATTACCCCGCAAAGGAAAAAGAGATTCAGCGTCAGCGTGAATCGATTGTCCTGATCGCCTCGGAGAACTTCACCTCCCATGCTGTTTTCAATGCTCTGGGCTCTCCCATGTCCAACAAGTACTCGGAGGGTTACCCTGGGGCTCGTTACTATGGTGGTAACCAACACATCGATGCCATTGAGCTTACCTGTCAAGCTCGTGCGTTGAAGGCATTCAACCTCGACCCCGAGAAATGGGGCGTCAACGTCCAATGCCTGAGTGGAAGCCCTGCCAACTTGCAGGTCTACCAGGCCCTCATGCGTCCTCATGACCGCCTGATGGGTCTTGACCTTCCCCATGGTGGCCATCTGAGCCACGGCTACCAGACCCCCGCCCGGAAGATCTCGGCCGTCTCTACTTACTTCGAGACCTTCCCCTACCGTGTCAACCTCGAGACCGGTATCATTGACTATGATCAGCTGGAGACCAATGCTGAGATGTACCGCCCTAAGTGTCTGGTTGCCGGTACCTCCGCCTACTGCCGTCTGATCGACTATGAGCGTATGCGTAAGATCGCCGACAAGGTCGGTGCCTACCTCATTGTCGACATGGCCCACATCTCCGGATTAATCGCTGCTGGCGTCATCCCCTCTCCTTTCGAGTATGCTGATGTTGTGACCACCACTACTCACAAGTCCCTCCGTGGCCCTCGTGGTGCCATGATCTTCTTCCGCAAGGGTGTGCGTAACACTGACCCCAAGACCGGCAAGGACATTCTGTATGACCTTGAGGGCCCCATCAACTTCTCCGTCTTCCCGGGTCACCAGGGTGGTCCTCACAACCACACCATCACCGCTCTTGCTGTTGCCCTCAAGCAGGTGGACAGCCCCGAGTTCAAGCAGTACCAGGCACAGGTCCTCAAGAATGCCAAGGCTTTGGAAACCGAGTTCAAGCAGCTGGGTCACAAGCTTGTCGCGGACGGCACTGACAGCCACATGGTTCTCCTGGACCTTCGCCCCAAGAGCTTGGATGGTGCTCGCGTTGAGGCCGTCTTGGAACAGATCAACATCGCTTGCAACAAGAACTCCATCCCCGGTGACAAGTCTGCCCTGACTCCTTGCGGTATCCGTATTGGTGCTCCTGCTATGACCACCCGTGGTATGGGTGAGGAGGACTTCAAGCGCATCGCGAAGTACATTGACCAGTCGATCAACATCTGCAAGAATGTCCAGGGTGAGCTGCCGAAGGAAGCCAACAAGCTCAAGGACTTCAAGGCCAAGGTTGCCTCTGAGACTGTTCCTGAGATCCTGGCTCTCCGTAAGGAGATCTCCGAGTGGGCCAGCTCTTTCCCTCTCCCCGTTTAACCGCCTTGTCCCTTGATGGACTGGTGCGGGGTGGATATTGATACCAAAAATCTTTTCTGTTGATTTTTTTTTTTCTGGTTCTACAGTTTAATTTTGCGCGTTCAACAACATTGCGTATAAATGGGTGTGCGTTCATAGGGGTTTATACAGGACTGCTTTTTCAACCTTACGCTGGTCATGGGATATGGATATGCATGAGCATGTGAATGATATTTTCAACACGTCTTCAACACAAAAGTTAGTGGGACGTCTAGGCGACGATCCAAGGATCTCATTTGGTTTATTGCCGGATATGAGTTATCTAGAAAACAATTAATGATTCCATGAATGCATGGAAATTTGCCAATACTAGTCTCATCCTCATTAAAGTATAAAGTAAATATGCCTGGGTCATCCTTTATTAAGTCGAGAATGTGTCCCTCATAATTCAACACTGTTTTGCCAGTTAGGATATGCCTTCATGCTATACTACAGGCACAAGGCCAGATAACCGGGCAAAGATACAGGCACAGGACCAGGACTACAATTCCGTCTGTATATCACCATCCGAGACCAGCTCATCGTGCGCATCTTGCCTCCACTGGTCCAGCCAGGATTGGAACATCAATGCAGCCACATTCTTCCCCATATGGGCGTTTGTTTCCATCGTGGAGATGAAACTCTCCATACCGCCTGTGTACCAGATATTAGGCGACAGGAGGCTTTCCTCGAACGTGACCCGTGGATACAGATACGGGTACGGGTGCCAGACTTTTTCATGAATCCAGCTGATGTCATCCTTGGGAAGATCTCTGATCGATGGAGTAGTCTCTCCGTTCGATGTGCTATTGGTGCGTTGCAGACCGAGAAGGTCCTGCATGAACTGGGCAGTTGGACGCCCCGGGGAGAATATTTTGTAGACGTAGTGTGTCTCTCCGTTCGGGGACCGGGAATCGACGGTTTGGAGAGTGCTGATGCTCCAGAAGTTGGCGGGGCCGACTCCCGTTCGGTTCGAGCCTAGGTCCAAGTTGCGAGGGAGAGTCGTGAGGATTGTCTCGGGCGTCTGGGCATCGGGCCCTTGGAGATTGAAGTATTTGGGTGAGAGTCGATGCGGCGACGCAAATAGTGTTACGTGTAGGTTGACGTAGGGGATCTCATCGGGCGTGCGTTTCAGTGGCGGATTGATGGAGATGTTGGAAAACTGCATCGGACCCGCTATGACGACTTCGTCGAAAACGAGACTTTTTTGGGTGGAACTGCTCGTGGCGAATTTTACAGTCAAGGTGTGGTCCTCGTTCTGGTCGATGGATGTCACTGTGTGATTGACTCTGACATTGGCCCTTGAAGCCTTGAGCATAGCGTCGAAGAGCTGCCAGTTTCCACCTTTAATGGAGACGGCCCCATCTGTAGCCATGCACACCATTGCCTCCAAGCCATGAATTAGTCCTAGGTTCTGACCATAGTTGACACGCGTCGCGGCTTGTATGACCTCCCGGGAAAAATCCGGGGATATGCTGTTGTCTGCGAGAAGCCTACTGCCACGGGTTGCAGTCGTGTTCAGCAATCCCGATGCCATTGCTGCCTCCGAGAGGGATTGAAATGGAAATATTGGTGGCTCGTACAGCTGGAGGAATCTGTTGACGGTAGCCTTCATGAGATTCTGAGCTCGTACTGGGGACCATCCATAACGCCAGATCAACTTCATGATGTTCCACCAATCATATGTATCCTGCATCCGATACACGAATTCTTTCCCATCCCAGACTCCGATGACATCGCTAGACTCTTTTGGTCGATTCTGGGTGGCACTGGTTACTAGGAGGCCCAAGTCTCTGGATGCGTTGACTAGATTGTAGTTGACTTTAACGAAGATCGAGGCACCTAGCTCTACCGGATACGCCGGGTTATCAAAAACATTGACAGTGGTTGAGCGACCGCCGACATATGAAGCACGCTCAAACACGGTGATGTCAGCTGGGATCGACGAGGAGTCGACATATTTGCGCAACGAATATGCAGCGTTTGACCCTGCAGCCCCCGCTCCTATACGAAGTTAGCGGCTGGAGAGATGGAGATGGGCAGTCTGACCGATTATTGCAACCCGTTTGTGGGGTTGAGAATGTGGCACCAATGGCTCTTGGTTACCACTGCTAACAAAGGGAATACAGCACAGAGTCAGCACATAGTATAACATCCAGGTCCGAGGACATCGATTAAAGAGCTCCATGTAGAGCTACCACAGCGAAAACACTGGCTGATAGGAGACTAGCAGGGAAGTCAGCTGTATTGATACAAGAAAGCAATATGACCAGTTCTAGGGATTTTAATGATAATTCACAGCCAGATCCACAGTAATATTGGAAGGAATGATAGATGGAACTGGCGTTGAAGGGGAATGAATTGATGCTGAAGTTGACGATGTACAGATGCACCATATAACGCTAACCCCCTCCTGTACTAGCGTCTTCAGCGTAGCTTATCGGCACCTGACCGTTTATCCTTTTTTTTTTTTTTTTTGGTATTGAATGAAAAACATCACAGAATATCTTTGCGTCCTCTCTGCATACACCCTAGATGCTTATGAGCCGTGTCATCTATCACTTTTAGACTGCCTTAGATCCTCCTGTTATACCAACTCTACCCCCACCATCATGGATCACTATGACAGCGATTCCTCCGGCTTTGAGGAAGAGGGGGATTTCACAGACACTGGAGTTCTTTTGGGCTATGCTGCAGAGGATGTGATAGAGGACACAATCAGTCATCTTGGAGGCTGGCCGGTAATGACTGACACCATACTGATTGGTGATATCTATGTACTGACTCTCCGGGGTTTTAGAGCTGGCTTGACGGTGCTACCCCGCCTCCCGCCGAGTTTGCCAGTTGCAAAGTCTGCAATCAACCCATGGTCCTCCTGCTTGAATTACACGGCGACCTCCCTGATCATTTCCCCGACAACGAGCGGCGACTTTATCTATTCAGTTGCCCCAGGAAAGCCTGCAGCAAAAAAAACGGCAGTATCAGAGCGTTGCGTGCCTCGAGGAGATTGAAGGACCAGCGGGCACCGTCGAAAAAGGTAGAGAACCAAGAGCCACCCAAGGAGGAGCAGAGACCAGAAGCCCCCAAGCAGGATCTTGGAGCTAGTCTATTTGGTTCTACGTCGCTCACCGGTAGCGTCTCGGCGAACGCAAACCCCTTCTCTTCATCCTCTGCTACCTCAACACTGTCAGGCAACAATCCATTTGCTGTCCCCGCTGCCACCCCCACGGCTCTGATATCACAATCGACAAAGCTGGCTTCCTCACAGCCTGCGCCGGCCAACTCCCTCTCTGAGTCCTTTGCAGATAAAGTCCGTGTCTCCTCTCCGCCTCCAACGACCAAGACCCCTGAAGCCTCTGGACCCTCTGCCCCTTGGCCTTCGCAGTCCGCCTTTCCAGAGCCGTATAAGCATTATTATTTGGACGCTGAATACGAAACACTCTCGCGTCCATCCACGCCAGCAGTCCCTGAAAATGTCACGATTGACAGCACCGAAGAGGAAGCCGGTGGTGGATCGTCTGTGGAGCTAAAGGACGCCCTGGAATCCCAGTTAGATAAAGCCTTCATTAAGTTCTCCACTCGGCTGGCTCACAACCCTGAACAAGTCCTACGATACGAATTCCGCGGCTCCCCTATCCTCTACTCGCAAACCGACGCTGTCGCGAAATTTTTTCACGACTCCAAGGGTGCCAGTTCCGGTGCTCGGGTGACGACGGTGGGAAGCGGTCGAATCCGGATCCCGCGCTGTGAATATTGCGGAAGCGAACGGGTGTTTGAGCTGCAGCTTGTCCCTCACGCTATCAGCGTTCTGGAGGAGGACCGCGATGGGATTGGCATGGGCCCCAAGGATGATGCGGGCATGGAATGGGGCACGATCATTCTTGGTGTTTGTAGCAAGGACTGCGCTCCGGATAAAGTAGGCGTGACTGGGTGGCGTGAGGAATGGGCCGGTGTGCAATGGGAGGAGTCGAAATAGATACAGGGGTCTGATGAGACTTGTTTAATGTTGATGACTATGCACGTATTATAGAATTATGGATCCAATTTTTTGCATATACTTGATATATCCCATATTACAGTGGGGAAAGGGGCCTTTGTCTAGTACGTAAGTTAGGTTAAGATGGACTTGAGGTACTCAATTTGCTTTGTTATTCTAAGGATATCTTTTTAGAATATAAAGTAGGTGAAGGGGTTGTTTTCACATATAAATGACGACGATGACAAACAAAAGTTCTGTGAAGCAACTCAAAACGCCAAATGCGCCGGTCCTGACTTCCCAACCTTCTTCATGCAGATCTATCCCCGTCATCATCATCTTGGGCTCCAAGTTCGTGTCGTCGGTTCAGTTTGAAGTGGACATTGTCCCTTTCTTTTCTCTTTTTTATTCCTTGGATGGTTTTGGAAAGACTCGCGCAGGCCCTACAGATAAACCTGGGTCTTCGACTCGAGGGGAAAGCAAAGGGAAAAAATGCTAGCAGGAAAAGAAGACGTAGTTTGTATGTGCTTCGGCCTCCCAAAGAAAATTCATTCAGGCAGCCTGCTCAAATCCTCTGCGGATCACACGGCCGAACATATCAATACCAACGCGCTCGCTCTTGACCTCGCTGCGGACCTCGTTCTCCTTGTTCGTGGGCACCTTGACCACGGCGCCGTTGGCACCAGACTTGTCAACGACCCAGCTGCACACCTCAGTAACGAACTTCTCGAGGCTTTCGCGATTCCTCAGATCCAACCAGTGCCCGAGAACTTCGGCGTTGACTTCACGGAAGGCTTTGCCAACCTCCACGGCGATACGGATGCGCACGAGCTCCTCAAAGCCGGCAACGTCGGCGACCAGATCGGCGTACAGATCATCCGAGTTCAGAGTAGACCAGAACTGCGCATACTGGGCAGACTCGAGTAGCGTGGACAGGCGCGCAAGCTTCTGGACCGACTCGACAAAGTCGGAGTTCTGGGAGGTAGCCTGGGTCTCGGCATTGCTGGAGGGGAACGGTTGGGTATATGCGGGCAGCAGAGCAAGGCAAAGGGAGAAAGCAGAGGATGGGAAAACAGTAAGTGCCTTAACAAGGACGTTGGTGACGGTCTCTGGCTGGAGCAGGTGAGGGTTGAACTGGTAGCTGTCGCGATAAAAAAACAGTCAGTGGACCGGTAGCGGATCGTTAATTGAGTGACCAGGAGTCTTTGAAGGGATTTCTCAGAAGAAATAAAGTCTCAACGTCACCCATCAGAGGGTTTCAGGTAATAGGAAACGTGATAATGATAAAAAGGTATCTTCATCATTCAAGTCTAATAACAGAACATTCTCTATTCGGAGCTCTCCGTGCAATCGGGGGTATGGTTCTCGGGCACAAGCACTCACAGCTTCAACAAGGCCAGATTGGCATAACAATCAAATGTCCTATCCTCACACTGCTGAGCCACATAATCCTGGAATACCGTGGTCGTCTCTGGGTTGTATCTGTCAAGGCCGTTGAGGATGGCATCAATATTGGCCGGCCGGGACTCGCACTTGTCGAACGCGACGACCATTTTCGCGGTTGTGATTCGAAAGGAGAATGGGAAGGGAAGGAAAATATCGCGGGGGCGAGAGGGAGGATAGGTGGACCGTGACGGAGCGAGCGACAGTACTGCTTCTGATTGCGGGATGTCTTTTTCGTGTGGGATTTTTCGAATGTGTCGATGTGCGGATATCGGAAGGTCGGACCCCCAATGCGGAAAGTTTCTCCGACTGGTCAGATTGGAAGTATATCACACCACCGACGCTTCGACCTCGTCTAGTACTGCAACTACAAGGGATCGCGTCACCCCGCAGTGTTCGACCCCGCAAGCTCAACCGGATGTTATTTGGTCAGTCGGAGATAAGTTGGGAAATGAACTGTGTCCCTACTCTCATCATGTGTTTCCCAACGCTGTCTCTGACCCTCCTAGGGGTGTGCTTTCTGTTGAGCTTGCCAGGCGGTTCTGCGATGCAGCAGGTGGATTACTCTCAATATGTAAATGTTTTCATGGGATCGGAAGGCCCCTTTCCTGACCAGGGGTTTGGAGGTGGTGACATCTTTGTCGGTGGTGCTCGCCCATTTGGAGTAACCAAGGTAGGCATCGACACAACTGCAGCCAACTGGAGCACTGCGGTACTGAATGGAGGCTGGACTCCGGATGGCAATGTCACTGCAATCAGTAAGTGGTGGTTTCCCTTTGAGCAGGAAAACCGGATCGTTTTCAGTGCCTAATCGTTATTGTCTAGGTATGATGCATGAAAGTGGCACAGGAGGAGCTCCCAAGTATGGCATAATTCCTCAGATGCCCCTGACAAGCGTCGCCCCACCTGTGAATATACTCGACAATCTCACCTACAGCCAGCCAAGGGTAGATATACCGTGCGCGCGATTTGCTTGCGTGTAAACTGACAGACTTATAGGTCGCCACGGATATTGGTAGTGTCGGATACTTCGCAACGCAACTACAGAACGGCGTTAAAGTGGAATTATCTGCTTCCCGTCACGCGGGAATTATACAATATAGCTTTCCTCGAGGTGAAAAGCATGTGCTTGTGGACATATCGCATGTAAGCATTTGAGTGGCATATATTGTGACATCTCACGTCTTACTTTGCCAAAGTACCTCCCAGGATCACCTACAGATCCTAATAGCCAATTCTACGTGGGCGGAGAAATACAACTCGAGGACAACGGCAGAGCTTACTCCGGGTATGGAACGTATATAGGCGGCTGGAACAATGGTTAGTGCTTCCCTAACTGAGGTAGTATAGTCCAACTCACCCCATCGTCAGGTGGTCCTTTCACTGTTTATTTTTACGGGGAATTTTCCGAGACACCTAATACTGCGCGCACATTTAGCGGAAAGAACACAGACCCGATTCGTCAGTACCAGACGGTCTCAAATGGAGGCACAAGCTATCCAACATATATTAACGGGTCTCATAAAGCGATGTCGGGACCTATGAATGACCGGGTTGGTGCTATTTTTAGTTGGAGCTCCGGTCCAAGCTCAAAAATTAGCTCGAGAGTTGGCATTTCTTTTATATCAACTGAGAAGGCTCACTCCTACATTGAATCAGAGATTCCTTCCTGGGAGCTCAATGATGTAGTCAGATCGGCTGTGCAGGAATGGAGCGACAACGTCTTTAGCAAGATCCAGGTACCCCTTGATAAGACCGCGAACATGACGCATGTCCGTCTATTATACAGTTCACTTTACTTTATACACTTGATGCCGTCTGATCGAACGGGCGAAAATCCCCTGTGGGTGTCGGACGAGCCATACTGGGATGATTTTTATACGCTCTGTAGGCAAGCTTACTTCCTCGATAAGTAGTCTCGTACTAACATTGCTAAGGGGATATATTCCGTTGCACAGTCAGCTTTTATCACATATTCCAGCCTGAGTACTATGAGTCTATGGTTCGGGGATTGATTGATATTTGGAGGTAGGGCCATTTGAGCCAACACCACAGCTCCGATAGACAAGAATTAATACTATGTCCAACAGACACCAAGGGTTCCTGCCAGACGGGCGCTCTGGAAACTGGAATGGACTGGTTCAGGGAGGTTCCGATGCCGACAATATGCTGGCGGACGCATATGTGAAGGGTCTGCGTGGCGCAATCAACTGGAAGGACGGTTATGCCGCCATGAAAACCGATGCAGAAGTGGTCCCTTATAACACATTTGACCCTACCGATATTTCTGCTAGTACAAAGGAAGGCCGAGGGGCCCTGGTAGACTGGTTAGAGCTGGGATATGTCTCCCAGGACCGGAGCACGCGCTGTATCTCGAGAACAGTCGAATATAGTCTCAATGATTTTGCCCTCAGTCAAGTTGCGACAGGCGAAATGCCCAACGATCGACAAAAGTATCTCGATCGGTCTGCAGGGTGGCAAAGGATATGGAATCCTGAAGCCCGGAGTTTGGGTTTTACTGGATTTCTTGCCCCAAGATTCTCAAATGGCTCGTTCAACAACAGTGGGTATGATCCACGCTATTGTTATGAGTGCGAATGGCATGCATATACCTACGAAGGTATACCTTGGGGTGAGTATACTCTGTGGGAAGCCCAATACAGCGCTAAGTCAATCCTAGAATATTCGTTTGTGATCCCTCACGACATGGAGTCTTTGATTGATCGCATGGGCGGTGCTGATACCTTCGAATCCCGACTCGATCTCATGGTATGGATATCTACAAAAGCACTGCAACACAAGCTTATGTTTTACAGTTTCGACCCAACATGTCAGTTCAAAACCTCGACGCAAACGGCGCCGGTATTACAACCATGATGAACATCGGGTATGTAGAACAGGATCAAGTAAAAGTCACTGTAAGTACTAATTTGAAACAAAAAAAGAAATGAACCCGACTTTGCTACACCATATCTATACAACTACATCAACAAGCAAGCGAAAAGCGTGCAGAGGTCCCGAGATCTCGGAAATCAATAGTTAGTCAGCCTGTGAGAATAACTATTGGCTATATAAATCTAACACCAATCCACCACAGCTTCAAAGACGCACCATACGGAGTCCCCGGGAACAGTGACGCCGGAGCAATGAACACCTGGCTGCTGTGGCAAATGCTTGGGATCTACCCCGTTGTCACACAACCGGTGTATCTGATCTCGTCTCCGTGGTTTCCCGATCTGAATATGACCATAAATGGGAACCAAACGCTGCGGATTACCGCAACCGGTCTGGAAGAGGGGTTCTACGTTCAAAGTGTCAAGATCAACGGGAAGCCCTGGACGAAGAATTGGTTCGAGCATGAAGATATCATGGTGCGAGGGGGAACCATCCATTTTGAGTTGGGTCCGAAGATAACGCACTGGGATACTGGTAGCGTTCCACCATCGCCGGGGCATCTTGTACTGTGAGCTCACTGGTGATTAAAAATGTATGGAAAAGAACAGCAGAGCGTTGACGGTATACAGCGACCGGAATACTGTCTAGATATTCCACTGGACTTTACGGTATTCTTCCAAGGGTTCCCTAGTGGGTAGGTACTTCAATCTAAGATATCAATACATGAATAGCTCCGTCTATTTCATTCAAGTAGCAGATATATACAAGACCAAATCAACTCTATTATTTCCCTTGCTATAAACCCTAGGAGTTGTTGATCAGATTCTGCAACCATTCTAACCGAGTCGCTATGGCCCGACGACTAATGGGAGCGTCCGGTACAAATACATCAAAGCCATGCCAGGCACCAGGCCACACATGAAACTCCACCTGCCCACCAGCTTTCCAGAGGGCCGTGGCAAAATCCACATCTTCATCGCGGAGCAAATCCGCCGTGCCCACATCGATGAACGTGGGCGGCAAGCCGGTGAGGTCTTCGGAGCGCGAGGGGACGGTGTAGATTGTGGCATTTTCACGGTTCTCACCCAGGGCGAAATTGAGGGCGTCGATCGTGTTCTCTCTGGCCCACGGCTGGAGGTTACCATATTCCAACATGGACGAAGTCTCGGTATTTTCCCCGACCCATGGATACGTGAGGATCAGGCCGACGATCTCCGGCCCGGATTGATCGCGTGCCATGAGGGTGACTCCCGCCGCGAGATTGCCGCCTGCCGAGCCACCGCTCACGATCAGTTTGCGCGGGTTGAATCCCAGGTCGTTGGCATGTTCGCTCATCCAGGTCAGGGTGGCGAAGGTGTCGTTGATTTGAGCCGGTTGCGGATTCTCAGGAGAGAGACGGTATTCAGCCGACACGACCATGGCGCCCAGGGACTCGACCCAGTCGAGAACACCGTTCAGTCCGAAGAAGCGATTCCCGTATAGGTGGGCGCCCCCGTGGATGTAAAGGATACCCGGGGTGTCGGCCGCCGGCGTAGCGGAGTGTTTCTTAGATCGTAAGACCGTGGCTCTCAACGGTCCCGCGGGCCCTGGAACGTCCAGGTCCTCATACGAAATCGTCCCCTCTCGACCCTTCATCACGGTTTCCACTTTGAAATTCGCCATTTCCCGAGCAGCCGCAAGATCCTCCTTCTTCTTCAAGTCGAATCCGGAGGCCGTGAGGGAGTTTTGGGCCTCTTCCAAGTCCGGATGCAGGAATCCTTTCGGGGTACCAGTTGTCATTGTGAGTGTATGAGTTGGGTTCATTGAAAATAATAGAAATGATTGTTAAGATGATGCTGACTGTGTAGATGGATTGAGACAGTTGATGGCTACCAACTCCATGATGATTTGAGGGGTTTTATATCATCTCCCCGTCCGGTAATCGCGTACTCGGATACTTCCCATCATCCCACAGGATGAGTTGGGTTGAGCAACCGTCCGATTGCATCATGGTGCATCCTAGCGCGATGCCATGTCAACCTCATCGGCGTGCCCGTGCTGACAAAAAGTGATCGAGTTTAGCCAGTCTCCGTTGGTAAGTTCGCGTTTAGTTCAGACTCTAACTATTCCCACCCCAACCTATACCCGTTTAGGTGAAAGCACTATTAGATAAACTGCGGTTGCCGCGCGGTCATGGGAGAACCAGAATGGAATTGGGGCTGAACTAATTCGATGAGCCGTCTACAATCAGAATAAGGTGCCAATTGGGGTTTATCGTATTTTGGGCGATTCAGAGCTTGTGGTTCTCTGGAGATCCTTGAGATTTCCGATGTACTCCGATATCTGAGCACATGATATTGGGGCCAGAATAGTTAAATTCTTAGATAATACATCGGGATCTCTCCGTCCCGATTTGTCTCCGACACTTCGGTTACAAGACCTTCCGAATCAGTGAGAATGACACATTATGAGATGAGAAATTGTCATCTCGGAAGGTTTCTTCCTCCGATTATAAGAAAAATAATGCAGACATTAATCATCTTAATCACACTGAGTCATCCTGATACATTACCCATATTATAGCTGGTACACATGGAATTCAACCTTTCTTCCCATGCCACAGACCTTCTCTGCTTGGAGTACAAGACGTCGTCGAATTGACTCTCCACAACCAGGCTGAACCACAGCCAATTTCTGCAGTACTATCCAGCACGTAAATTTAGCCGCCCCATACCAGACTCACTGGATTCTCGGGATGTCCCACTACCTTTCCATTTAGCGGCGACTCCAGATAGCGACGGGGATTCATGTATACATCTCGCTGTCGTGGCTTGTTGTCTTGTCCGATCCCGTCTTTTAAGTCATGCTCCGTAGGTTGTCCATTCTTTCCCAACAGTCTGGGAAAATGGGGGTGTATGATTGTCGTGACCATCCACACGGCCCGATCGGAGGGTGCAATTGATACCAAAAATCCCTCGGAAAACACATATCCATCATTCCCCCTATCCCTTCAGGACACCTGTAGCCTTGACTTCCCGGTGGGTTGAGGAGCGGCCCTCTTCCCAAAATCAGCAATGACCGATTTAAGCCTTGTGATCCGATCCTCGAGTTCCTCAATTTCCTCCTCCTGTTCATCCACAGACCGCTGCACGTCCGGTAGACCTTCCACGACTGCCTGCGCTTTCTGTATGCGAATCTTGATCGAACTAACCTCAGTAGGCAGGCCCTTGATATCGAGCGACGGGTGTGCATTCGATCCCAGCGCGCTTATTTCGGCTGCTGCGGAGGCGCTGCCGGAGGAAACGGTCTGCAACCCTCCATGATTATTCTCACCTCCAGGACCGTTTTGTTGATGCTGTTGCAGCTGAGATTGGTTTGAATTGACGGTGGTGGAAGACGGTCCGGAAGGGGCTGCAGCTGTACCAGGGTCATCAGCTGGTCTCACGCCGTTGGAAACGCCCCCGGCGTTCGTGTGCGATGGCAAAAGCCGGAGAAGAAGGCCGTGTAACGGCGGGACAATGTCGAAGGTCTGTGGCGGCGGAAACGCCACAGGTTGCGGTGTGGTCTCCCTCGCAAGGGGGGTCTCAGGCGCGACCGATGACTTTGGCAGCGGAGTGGCAGCTGTGGGAGATCTGGATGCCATGATGAGACTTGGGATAGAGGCGAAGGGCTGAATTCGCGATGAGAGGGTGTGGACGTTGGGGAGGGAGAAAGTCGGTTACTGGATAGGGAAGAGTCGGAAAGACAACCCGTGACGTCGCGGGACAATCCAAAAGCGTCACCGGGAAAAAGCGCCCCTCTCCTTCTTCCCCTCCGCCCATTTTTCTCTCTCTTTCTTCCTCTCTCTCTTTGTCTCCTCCATTACTCTCACTTCAATTCTCCCCGTCTGATACCATTTTCGCTTTCTGTGTGCGGCCTCGTTCCTTTCACTTCAAATCCCCTCCACCAGGTGTATACAATCGTTCCGCAATTTTGACCGTTTTAGGGACTTTGCACGCTTCACCATGACCAAGGTTGACCAGAAAGTCGCTCTCAGTATGTTAATTCGAATACTCCACATTACTACGGGAAGATTGCTAACATTCTCAATTAGTCGTCATCGATGGCTGGGGTGTTTCCGGTCCCGACCCCAAGGCTGTAGGAGATGCCATCGCTGCCGCCGACACTCCCTTCATGTCCAGCTTTGCTGAAGCCAATTCGAAGACTGCTCAAGGCTATACCAAGTTGGATGCTTCGTCGTTAGCTGTGGGTCTTCCGGAAGGTCTCATGGGCAACAGTGAGGTCGGCCACTTGAACATCGGTGCCGGTCGTGTGGTTTGGCAGGACAGTGTCCGCATTGACCAGACCCTCAAGAAGGGAGAGATGAACAAGGTCGACAACGTCATTGCCTCTTTCAAGCGCGCTAAGGAGGGCAATGGCCGTCTGCACCTCCTGGGATTGGTCTCCGATGGTGGTGTCCACTCCAACATCACTCATCTGGTCGGTCTGCTGAAGGTCGCGAAGGAGATGGAAATCCCCAACGTCTTCATCCACTTCTTCGGCGACGGACGTGACACAGATCCCAAGAGTGCCTCCAAGTACTTGCAGCAGCTTCTCGACCACACTAAGGAAATTGGAACCGGTGAAATCGCTACGATTGTGGGACGCTACTGGGCCATGGACCGTGATAAGCGCTGGGACCGCGTTGAAGTTGCCATGAAGGGCATTGTCGAGGGCGAAGGCGAAGACAGCTCCGACCCTGTCAAGACCATTGAAGATCGTTACGAGAACAAAGAGACCGATGAGTTCTTGAAGCCGATCATCGTTGGTGGCAAGGAACGCCGCGTCCAGGGTATATGGCCTCCGACCCTCTCCTTCAGGAATAACCTTGCGCTTTGAGTTACTAACACAACCACCCGCAGATGACGACACCCTATTCTTCTTCAACTACCGGTCCGATCGTGTCCGTGAAATCACCCAGCTGCTCGGTGATTACGACCGCTCCCCGAAGCCCGATTTCCCCTATCCAAAGAACACCCACATCACCACCATGACCCAGTATAAGACCGATTACACATTCCCTGTTGCCTTCCCTCCTCAGCACATGGGTAACGTGCTCGCCGAGTGGCTCGGCAAGAAGGATGTCCAGCAATGCCACGTCGCGGAAACCGAGAAGTACGCTCATGTCACTTTCTTCTTCAACGGCGGTGTCGAGAAGCAATTCCCCGGAGAGGTACGCGACATGATCCCCTCCCCAAAGGTTGCAACCTACGACCTGGACCCCAAGATGAGTGCCGCGGCTGTCGGTCAGAAGATGGCGGAGCGCATCGCGGAGGGCAAGTTTGAGTTCGTCATGAACAACTTCGCTCCCCCGGACATGGTGGGCCACACTGGCGTCTACGAGGCCGCCGTGCAGGGTGTTGCTGCGACCGACAAGGCCATTGGCGAGATCTACGAGGCCTGCAAGAAGCACGGCTACGTCCTTTTCATCACGGCGGATCACGGGTAAGTTAACACAATAATTCCAAGCCGGACATCTCGACTCGGATGTGACATGGAATATAGGCTAACTTTTTTTTTTTTTTTTTGGCCAGAAATGCCGAGGAGATGCTCAACGAGAAGGGCACCCCCAAAACCTCCCATACCACCAACAAGGTGCCTTTCGTCTTGGCCAACGCCCCCGAGGGCTGGAAGCTCCAGGGCGATGGTGTGCTCGGAGATGTCGCCCCTACGGTTCTCGCCGCCATGGGCATCGAGCAACCCGAGGAGATGACCGGCACGAGTCTCTTGGTGAAGGAATAGATTTCTCATATATAGACCGGCTGTCATGTGATGCTTACAGATGTTTCTGGGGGAGTTATGAGCACATGCGAACTACGGAGTTTAATGGTGATACACATTGGATGTAGCATAGATATGAGAGATGAGAGATGAGAGTTGAAAAGCGAACAAGAGGACACATATGTATATATTGAATGAAGTAGAACATGGAGTCTATGTTGCGAATACATATTCGATATGGCATGAGTGGATTGAGAGTCCAAGTGGGCGTACAAACAGCCATCCCCATTGCACAAAACGATATTGACTCTACCAACGCCGAGCGCAATACAGTGACAATCTCAATCAGTCCTGTATGTGTAGTGTTGTTTTCACTGAGTTTTCACTGAGGTATCCAATAGTTTCACCACCCACATACTCGTGCTCAATTTTTCGTACATGGGCCCGACGAGGCTTGTACGTAGCTTCCATGCTTTAAATCCTTCCGTATTTGATTCCATCATTTTAGTCACCCACTCGGCTAGACATGGAGACCGGACACAAGCACCACGACTCCCTTCCAAACTGATACTTGGTCGCTAGCAGCCTTTTATGGGAAGGGCAAAGGCCTTTTTTTCCGTGGAACAGATTGGGCTTGAGACTATATTCAAGCAGACGCAGACGCCGTAGCCTGTTGCACTTGGCTTTGATACTGTAGAATCTGGAGATGATCGTTAGATTTGAATCTATGAAGCATGATTTGTGCATCAGATAATGACGGAAGGTCGTACCTCAGCTCTCTTCTTGTCGCTCTGGTCTTGGTTTTCTTTGATTTCTTCTTCGATCCGTTTGCTGCAGAAGCCATTAGCAAACTCCGAGCCAGTAAACTCTATGCCGAAGATGAACAGGAGACAAAGATATACATTTCCTTCTCGATGAATTCAAGGCGGCCGTTGACTGCCATGAGTGCCTCCTGTTTTTCCTGCTTCAGCAGGACCGGTCCGACAAGCTTATAGACGTTCGATTCATCGTCCAGCGAATTGAATTCCTTGCGAACGTTCTCGTTTTCCTGCTGCTGGGACTCGAGCTTCTGGCGAGCCTCGACCAAGCCGTCCATATCTGGGATTGTGTCTTGGTCAGCTTTCTGTGCGCGACAATGTTACGGGAAGAAACTTCGCTCCACATACCGGTCTGGAGCTTTTGGAACTCTTCCGAGGCGGCCTGCAATTGTTTCTGTGCGTCCGCCATGTCGACGAGGGGGAGGGAAAGGCAGAGAGACTTAACGATAGACAGAGGGGGGAGGAATGGGCGTTGGCGGGGAGAAGAAGGGAGCGGAGCGGCAGAAAACAACGGCCGCCTTCAGGTTTCCAATTCCCATATTGTATATCTGTCTCTCCTCCCATCGTCTCCCCCATTGCACTGTACCGGGTTCCCTATTATCGGCTCTGTGGATCGAATGGACCGGTCTTGACTCAGATTTCTCTTCGTGCTGTCGTACCTTGTCCCCAACCCTGCGCCACACCCTCGTATCGAAATAGGCCCTCGCTAACCTTCCCCTGCTATCGGCTTGCAGGTCTGTTTCCGCACTATCAACAACCGCCACCGGCAGAGTCACTGACTGAAGGCTTCACAACATGAGTAACACGGATTTTCTGGGGCGGGCGATTGATACGGTTAAGAAAGCCATCGAACACGACAATGAGGGCGAGTACGAGAAGGCCTACCAACTCTACTACTCCTCCCTGGAGCTGTTTATGCTGGCCCTGAAGTGGGAGAAAAACCCCAAATCCAAGGAAATGATCCGCGCAAAGACAGGCGAATACATGGACCGCGCAGAGAAACTGAAGAACCACTTGGCCCAATCAGACAGTCGAAAGAAACCGAGTGCGGTGGGCGCCAACGGCAGCGTGGCCCAAGGAAGTGGAAAGGGCGGGTATGTGCTGGATTGAGCCTCCATGGGGTTGAGTCAACCACGTACTGACATACGTGATATGTTTAGGAAGGAGGACGATGACGGAGAGGACGCAGATTCGAAGAAACTACGATCTGCCCTTGCTGGGGCGATCTTGTCGGATAAGCCCAATGTCAAATGGGAGGATGTTGCGGGCCTGGAGAGTGCCAAAGAGGCCTTGAAAGAGGCGGTCATCCTACCAATCAAGTTCCCTCACCTCTTCACAGGTAAACGTCAGCCATGGAAGGGCATTCTCCTCTATGGACCCCCTGGTACAGGAAAGTCGTATCTTGCCAAGGCCGTCGCAACGGAAGCAAACAGTACATTCTTCAGCGTGAGCAGCAGTGATCTAGTGTCAAAATGGATGGGTGAGAGTGAGAGGTATGATCTAATACATCCCGTCTTTTGTCATGCCCTTACAAAGAAATTGGCCAACCAAATGTTATGCAGACTAGTAAAGCAACTGTTCAACATGGCCCGCGAAAATAAGCCGGCCATTATTTTCATCGACGAGGTCGACGCCCTATGTGGCCCTCGTGGCGAAGGTGAATCGGAGGCATCGCGCCGAATCAAGACTGAACTGCTGGTACAGATGGATGGAGTAGGCAAAGACTCTAAGGGTGTGTTGATTTTAGGCGCAACAAATATCCCGTGGCAGCTCGATGCTGCCATTCGACGCCGATTCCAACGAAGGGTTCATATCAGTCTGCCAGATGTCAACGCACGAATGAAGATGTTCATGCTGTCTGTAGGCTCGACGCCATGCGAAATGACACAGGCCGATTACCGGAATCTCGCAGATATGAGCGAAGGGTATTCCGGCAGCGATATCAGCATCGCTGTCCAAGATGCATTGATGCAGCCAATCCGCAAAATTCAGACGGCAACGCACTACAAAAAGGTAGCCATCCGATTCCACCCGGCTTCCAGAGTTGGAACCACTTTACAATGGCTGACTCACCTCATAGGTCTTCCTTGACGGTGTGGAGAAATTGACCCCGTGCTCGCCAGGGGATAGCGGTGCCATAGAGATGTCATGGACGAACGTCGAGGCAGAGCAGCTGCTGGAACCACCCCTTGTGCTCAAAGACTTCATCAAAGCGGTACGCAATTCTCGACCTACGGTCAGCCAAGAGGATCTCAAGAGGAACGAGGAGTGGACCGAGGAGTTTGGAAGCGAGGGAGCTTAACCATTTTCACCGACATGACCAGGGCCCCTCTTTAGAATTGCACTGCACTGTTGCATGCTGCATTGGTTCTTCAATTTTCTCCGCGTTTGCTTCCCCCTCTACACCAGACTTCAACGAAGGAATGATCTATTTATACATGCACATACATATTCATGCCTTTTTCTTCTCTTTTTTCCCTGCTCTAGCCTCCTCACCTTCCGACCTCTTTTGTCCATTCCATATCAGGCCCGGTGTTAGAAGCGTTACCGTTGTTAGGCGAGGCAAGGCGTTGGCAGTTTCTTACGAACGTACCTGGGCTGAATTCTCGATTGGAATATCATCTCTTTGAAATTAAATTCTTGTTCTTACGTGTTGACATGATAATGCGTATCATTGGACTACAACTTATACTTGCTTCCTGTTTTTTGTTAACTTGTGTCTCTTCTCCCATCTTTCTCGAGATAGAGCAATTGGTAACTGGTCTATGCAAAGGAAGTGTTATTCTCAGGGTTGAGATACTATTTAACTCTCCAGCCAACCTATATATGTAGTAAATAGACCACCTATGTCTCGATATCCATAATTTCTACCCATCAAGTTTTTCCAGGTCAGACATCATGTTGTATCCTTCAGATACAATCAACTATCATCATACCCTTCCGTCTGAAACATTTGTCACCAGTATCCTGCAGAATAAATCCGAAGACCATTGATAGAGTTTATCTAATCATGTGTTGCCGGACGATATGGTACTTGTACATGGCATATCTCATTGAATGTTCCTCACTATCCCAAACAAAACCACGCACCCTCTTATAAAATATACGCACGCACCAATGCTGCAAGTAACATAGTCGACAGTCTCGAAATATAAACGATGTCAATTCCTCCTGTCCAAGATAACGCCTGTAGGATAGTGGACCCAAAGAAATAAAACACGAGTGGATGCAAATGCACAGGGGGGGAATCTCGTCAGAATGGTCAACAGAAGGAAACCAAAACATGCTAAAACGAACGGAAAACACAACTGGAGGGAAACCAGCATCTCTCTACTTTGCCGAGGCCTTGCTAGTGCCATCTCTTCTCTTCAGCACCTCGCCTTTGGCCCGTTTGAGCCCTTCGCCCAGTTTCCGCGTTTTCTTCCAGTCTCGGCTCATTCGCTGCATGCGGACAACTGCCTTGACCATGGAGATGGCTGTTTTGAGCTTCTGGCGAGGGTCGCGGGTCATGCTACGGCCACGAGACTTGACTCCCATCTCGGAGATCATTCGAAGATCAGCTGCATTACTGCACACGAACATCGTTAGTCAGTTCGATCCAGTTCATATGGGCAAAAATGTAACATACCATGCAACTCGAACTCGCTCGCCGAGCTCCATCAGCCCTTTACTCCAGGCCAGGTCACGTCGGAACTTTTCCTCTCGCTTCAAGCGCGCCCGGAGCCAGGTGATTTCTTTGCCTAATCCGAGAAGTTCCTTGTCGTGCCGAGATTTAGTTTCAGTTTTAGACCCAATTGTTTCCACAGCCTGCTTGTAACGTCCTTCAAGGGCTCCTAAATCTTTCATAGCTCTCTCGGCCTTTCTCACGCAGAATGCCCGTTCCTCGCGGATCCGCCGTACTTGCGTTTTGAGCTCATTGACCTGTGCATCTCGCTCCGATACCTTCAGTGCCAGCGACTCAGCCTCAAGGGTGGAGGATTTAAGAAGTTCGTGAAGATCTCGCTGATCTTCCTCTCTCATCATTGCTGCCCGCTCAAGCTCACGATTCTTGATTTTTACTTCTCTCAGCGCTCGATGGGCCTCAGATAGTTGCTTTCGGAGACTACGCAACTCTTCGTGAACTTTGTCAAATGGCGATGGCTGGGGAGACTCCGTCTCGAATTTTTTCATCAATCCCTCATGCAGTTCCCTCTCGAGCTCCGCAATTCGGGATTTGCAGCTACGGACGGCGGATTTTTGATCAGCTTCACGCCGGAGCAAGGTCTTCTCTCGCTTGTGCGCCTCATCCAAGTTGTGACGGAGCATCGACATGTCTGTAGTCGCATTCGAATGCTCATTGTCAGCAGGAGGTTGTTGCTGTAAGAGGGCTTCCAGTTCAGTCACACGCCGCTCAAAGCGCTGTAGTCTACTCTTGGTTAGAGAAAGTTCCCTATCTCTTCCGCCCGAAGCCACGTGTAGTTTATCTTGGAGCTGGTCAATTTCAGAGGACAGGCGATTTTCTTCCAGTGTAGCTCGTTCAACTTCAGCTTCCAGTTGCTTTTCGAGGGCCTCCTTCGCTTCTATCAAAGACGATCTATCCTCTTTCATCTTCCTCAGCTCGGATTCAAGACGAAGTGTGGATTTACGGTGCTCGATCTTCTCCCGATCAAATCGCGTGGTGCCTTCAGCTTGGTTCTGAGCCCGGTCCAATTGGACCTGAAGTTCATCACGCTCAGCCTCCATTTCAGCCATGGATGTTCGTAGATCATGCAATTCGACGTGCGCATTTGCCAGCTGGTCTCGAAGCTTTTGCTTGTCGGCAAGCAGTTTTTGCAATTGACTATCCTGGTTGGAAGAACCCTGTTGCATTCGGCCCTTGGCGTATTCTTGTTCCTCTTCCAAGCTCGACTGCAAGACGACGACCTCATCCTCCAAAGCCTGCACTTTTTCCTTCAGCGCAACCTCTTGGCGTCCGGCGAGACGAAGTTCTTCCTTGAGGGAAAGAAGCTCTCCACGTTGCTCGTCTATGATTTGTCTCTTTGCTGTAACCTCGTCGTTTAACTCCTTCACCTGGCGACTAAGGACAGCCTCCGAGTTGAAATGCCGCGCCTTTTCGCTGTCGATAACTTCCTGTAGCTTGGTTTCTTTCCCTGAAAGGCTATGTTCGACTTCCTCGAGCTTCTCAATGGTCCGTTTGAAGCCCGCTGCTTGGTCCTCTGCTCTGTCCTTTTGAAGTTGGAGGGTCCGCCTGGTGCTTTCCCACCTGTCTTGCTCGAGCGCAAACTGGCCCTCCTTGTCCTCGATCTCATGATGCAGGGACTCGATTTCTTCTTGCAGTCTGTCAATTTCTTCTCTATATTGGGCCCGGAGGATATCAACATCGTCCAGGGCTTGGCTCTTGCCCTTATCCACAGCTTGTTGGAGCTCTCGGATCTTAGATTGACTTCTAGATAGCTCTCTCTGCAACCCACCAGATTCCTCTGTTAATGCATTGTGTCGGGTCTGCAAAAGCTCTTTTTCATCGACCTTACGCTGAACTTCATCGAGTGCCTCTTGAAGCTGGCCGGAGAGTTTGTCGTGTTCCTGTTGAGCTATATCCCGCTCATGTCTCGCCCGTGAAGCATCTTCGCGCAGTCGTCCATCCTCATCATTCATGCTCTGCTGTGCCCTTTGATACTGTTCCTGAATGCGAGCTTCACTCCTTGCCTTTGCTTCAAGCTCCTCCTTGAGAGCATCGGCTTCGCGTCGTAATTCTCGGAGCTCATCCTCAAGCTTGCTGGATTTCTCCTCAAGTTGACGTGCAAGTCCCTTTGTACTGAAAGACTTGTTGGCCATCTCCTCATGTAGCTCCCGGAGAGCTTTTTCCGCGTCTTCTTTCTTTCGTACTGCTTGGCTAGCCTCGTTTCTAACCTCCCTAGCCTCAGTCCTAGCTTGGTCGAGAGACTCTTGCAGCTCCTCCATTTGCTCCCTTGCGCGTTGAAGTTCTGATTCCAGCTCGTTAAGTGCATCATTCTCTTTACCCTCCCGATCTTTCAATTCTTCAATTTCCTCGTCGCGCTCCTCGATGGCACGTTCCTTGGCTCGGAGAGCTGCTTCCAGGTCCTCAACATCATCACGGAGTTTTTCGGTCTCCTCTGACTGTCTGCTTTTGGCTTCTCTTAATTCCTCCTGGAGATCCTTCACTTGTATATCTCGCGACTCGATCTCTTCGCGCATCAGGTCTAGTTCGCGCTGCACAGTTTCGTCTGTTTGTTTTCTTCGGGCCTGTTCTCTAAGTTCCTGGAATTGTGCACGGTAGGACTCTACATCCCGTTCCGCCTGTTGCAGGCTCTTCTTGTAGCGAGCGATGTCTCGTTGCATCGACAGCTTAGCTACTTTGAGTTCCGTATTTTCCTTGAGAGCTGCTTGGTTATACCCCGGGCCAGCCTTCTCTATTTGCTCTTGTAGATAATGGATTTTCAGTTTCAAACCAAAATTATCTTTGTCCAGTTTATCGATGATCTAGGATGGTCAGCGCACCAACCTCTCAAATAAGGAGAAACAAATGAGACCGAAAGGGAGAGCAAGGCTACCTTTTCCTGCTCCTTCAATGTCATGTTTTGTCCGTCATTTAACAAGCCACTTCCATTTTTGCTCAAACCTGGAAGCGGGGTGCTCTGTGCGCTGCTGCTCGCCACTTGCGGTAACGGCGTTGGTTGATCGTCCATCTCGTCTTCCTCGTCGATATATGTCATCTCATTGGCAGGCAATCCAGGGGTATTGGCGCTGCTTCGGTAGCTCTGTCGTAAGTATGATGGTGTCTTGGGGGCGCTGGCTCCTCGTGTTGTGGACATGTTCCGCAGAAAATTGTTCCTAGTAGCGCTCTTCATCAGTGGGGTAAACTCTCCATCTGTCGGTGCGACTGTAGGAAGATGTTGTCGGTTGTTCAACGCGCTTTTCGTGGATTTAGGACCGGAGCCTGCACGCGGAGTGCTGAGCTTAAACGCGCCCGAGCTACGTTTCCGGCCTTCCCCGATGCCCTTCAGGATATCCTCATCCTTCGAAGGGGTATGGAAGGAGTTCTCGACCGAAAGTGCCGAGATATTGTGTCGTCCTACACTGCGAAAGCCGTTGGTCAAGTACGTCGCATTCCCGTCGACCTCTGTGCGCGGCGTATCGATATAAGGCAACGCCATTGTCGACACGGGACAGCCCAAGGAAGAACAGGATACCGATGAAGAGTAAACAGCCTTATGCCATTCAACGGGCGACCCTCTATGAAACGGCGGGCGTGGGAAAGAAGATGCACTCGACGCCTTCTTCAGCGGCATTACCAGACGTGTTTTGGGCGGTGAAGCCAGTGTTGTTGATATCTAGCCGAAAAGGGTTAGTTCAATCACTGGGTTCTGGGCCGTAACGTAACTTTGACCGCGTTTGATGAAGTCATACCGGTAATTTATTTCATCTGGAATTTTCACTATCCTCTACTCTCTTTGGACAGCCATTCAGTTCGACGGTATGGCGCCCATGTCGCAGGAAGATGTCGAGTGGTTCAAATCCACCTTCCACCCCATCCCTAAACCGGAACTGCCCGATGACAGTGTCGATTACTCGCTCTACTATATCCCTTCGGACCCCACCCCTGGCGGCGTCGAAGTAGCAGACACGAGAGCACGGTTGACAGACGTGCAGCGTACTGCAGCGGAGCTGACCAAGGCTCTTTTGAAGGATTATATATGGCAGCGCGACTCTTTTCGCTTGGAAATTACGAAAGAAAATGGTACGGGGAGTCCTCGCTCGATGATCTGGTAGCCCGGGAAGCTTGCTAAGGTTTTAGGTATCACGTCGTTGCGCGGGCGTACTAATTTTGGAGACTCGATCGAGGACGAATGGGTGATTGTGTACCTGTTGCGTGAATTGGCCAAGAAGCACAAAGACATCTGGGTCTCGGTCGTTGATAGTGATGGTCAATTTCTTCTGGTCGAAGCAGCGGGTACCCTACCCTCATGGCTTGAACCTGAAATAGCGGATAACCGAGTACGTGAAGTGATTTTTCTTCATTATATATTTGTCATGGATACTGATGAAATAATCTATATATAGGTGTGGATCCATCAGGGACAACTTGTCATCATCAAACCAAAGGCAGACAGAAAAGGCAAGGTCACGGAAAAGTTATCCCTTCTAGAATCACGAAAGATTATAATGGAGGAGCCCAGTCGGCTTATGCGATCGAATATGATCCAGGAAGAGGCATTTTACCGACTGCGAAATTATCCTAAACAAATCAGCGAGAACCTTCATTCGGCGCTGGTGACAATCCCGCGCAAAATCGCCTTTCTATTACGTCAAAAACCAGCCTATATTTCAGCTGCGGTGGAATCATTCTATCTCAGAGATCCAATCGCGTTACGGCCATTGCGCACCAAGGGTACTGGCAGTTTTATCTTTCCTCCGGAGGATCTTGTTCCTGTCAGCGTCCGATTTACAAGGGTTGGTTATGCTCAACTCAAAAGCCAGGATTTCCCAGCTCCCAAACCTTGGATTTCCAAGCTGCCCACAAAGGATGATCAAAAAGCCTATGATTGTGCAGAGATGGGGATGAAACTTGCTTGTGGATTTGAGATGCTCCTTAGCGACCCACAAAATCAGGATAAGCCGTCTGTAAGAGAGATCAAGCTGGTACTAGAGGACCTAGATACTGGGGACGAGACGTTACCAACAGATGAAGAGATTACGACGTGGGACAAGCATGAGGATGATGAGGCATGGTTGGATATCAGCTACGAGGACCTCGACCGGGAGTTGAAAGGAAAGAGCGCGAACGAAGGCGGGCGCCACACAAAAGGAGGGTTTGGAGATGGGAATGCCCACGAAAACCTGCAGCGTATAGTATCGCGCTTTGAGGAATTTTTGAACAATGACTCAGCCGGATTAGAAGGGGCTGACTTCATTGACGACTATGGTTCTGACTCTGACGGCGATGACGATGAAGAGTTGAGTAGTGATGGAGAAGACAAAGAGGCCTCCTTTGACGAAGAAGAGTTTTCTAGGATGATGAAGGAAATGATGGGAATGCCATCAATGCCTGGTCTTCAGAACTCCTCCAAGCCATCGCCGTCGCAGAACAGAGTGGAGGAATTGGACGAGGAATCCGAAGACGACTACGAACAGATCGAGCAGTTATCGAAACAGATGGAAACCGAGCTGAGGGGTACAGGGGTCCTTAACTTGAATCGTCCCTCAGGCAAAAAGTCTTTGTCAGAGAAGAATACAGAAGAGAAAATTAGTACACAGGCCGGGGAAAGTGGAGAGGATGAGGCAGAGCTGAGTGAGGAGGATATTAATATCAACCTGGCTAAAAACTTACTTGAAAGCCTTCAAAGTCAGGCGGGCACTGCAGGCCCCGCAGGAAACATGCTTTCTATGATGAATCTGCCGATGCTTAAAGATGACCGCCACCACCGCTGAGAACAATATATATATTGTGATCAAGATAAAGCCATCTTTTTGTCTTTGGCATGATGAAGGAGACCCCATCTACCAGCAATCGATGTCACCATGGTGAACAATAGCGCAAAAAGCTACGCAAAGACAGTCAATCCCACCAGTGGAATCTTATACCATGGTTCGTCCGGACCGCTTTTGAGGACAAGTTGATTTTAGCATGTCCCTGATTTACCACAAAGCATGGCAGGTGTCAACGAGGTCTAAAGATCCGTTAGCCCTGTTGCTCTATTCTCCCATGGCTAACAGCGCTCATGCGAAATATTTGGCTTGAGTGGATGGCCGATATAATGGGCTGGAAGTCGCCTTGTGAATTTTGGAATCTTGGGTGCATGGGTGGTGTTTCAAAGCCAGTTATGAGAGCTGTTTCTTTGCTGCCATAGAGAGCAGCAAAGAGCAAGTAGGCAACATATATATGATCGGCAATTCATAAAATCTTGGCAGCCTCGACATGGCCCCTCAGACTTTATATTGCTTAGAAAATGTGATATGAATACATGATAGTATTTCCAATTGCTATATATATATACCATTTTGATCTCGAATCTATTGTCGGTCCATCTCTGTATAGAATGGTCGATGCCAAGGAAGGGGTCACGGGAGCTTTCTGGACATATCACGTGCCCATCTTAGCAGGGCTGACCTAATCAAGTGCTTCTCTTCTTACATTCCCCTCAGCTCTGACAGTTGTGTCCTGCACGCTGCGGGCTCTGTTGGTTTCCCTCGGTTGAACCTGACTCCCGGGCTCTGGGCCTAATTCTAGTGTTCTCAAGACGACCAGTTGCGGTGTCTATCCAGCTGCTTTGTATCAGCCTCATAGAATCACCGCAGAAAGCCTTCCAAATTGAGGGGCAATATTCCACTCGCCTTGAGACTTTAGCAACTTTGTGCAGGCCAAGAGCATGGCAAGTCCCGCCCAGTGCTATTTCTGTTTCGAGTGCCTTGCTGCCTCCTATGAAGATTCCACCCCTATCAGCCTCGAGTTGGTGGAGGAACTATGGGAGAGGCACGAGCAGTTTAAGAAAATTGCCGCTCTTGAGGACAATGATGAGTCGGTTTCTCTGAGGGAGAGCGAGGGTCTCAACCAGCAGATTGTAGATGAAGATAATGGCGACGACAACGGGCTAGGTGCATCCCTTCAGTCTAGGAACCACCGCCTGCAGGCGGCTAAACCGCCAGCTGCCAATCGACTTCAATGCGACTCTAGTTTGTCAACGACGCCATCATCTAATTCCTCCCGCTCTGTTCTGTCGAGTTCCACCGCCGTAACAACTCCGAATTCACAGTCCACGCTGGCGGAGCCGGAAGTATCAAGAGGTAGAATCCAGAAAGATAGGCGCCATCCACTATTTGTAACGTGGAATACGTTGTCGAAGAGTGGCCGTAAGTTTCTTCGTGGATGCATCGGCACATTCGAGGCTCAGGAGCTTTCTGCGGGTTTGAAGGAATACGCCCTCAAATCGTATGGATCCCTTTCGAGAAGCAGATGAAATCTCTTGGGTGCAAGCTGGCACTAACCGAATACCAGGGCTTTGGAGGATAGTCGGTTTTCTCCCATCCCGGCGTCACTTCTACCTGCGCTATCCTGCTCTTTAACCCTCCTCGGGACCTTCGAACCCTGTACGAACGCCATGGATTGGATCCTGGGTCTACACGGTTTGCGCATCTCTTTCATCCACCGCGGAAGACGATACGGCGCGACGTATCTTCCCGATGTCCCGGTGGAGCAAGGGTGGACCAAAGAACAGACGGTGAAAAGCTTGATGGATAAAGCAGGCTGGACGGGTTCCACGGAAGGCACGTCGAGGAAGTTCCTTCGGGGAAGTAGCAGTACCAATCATGGCTCCAATTCCAGCAAGCCCTGGGAGCAGGTCTCCGACTTCCGAGCGGTCAAGTATCAAGGTCTCAAAGCTGCCGCTACCTACGCCGAGTGGCAGGAATGGCGGGAATGGGTTCTATCTCTGGAAGACGGGGAAGAGAAATTTTTGAACCCGTCTGTATGACTGGTGGTGCGTGCTCTATAGATGGCGACGTTTGGCCCGGTGCGAGCCCCTTCTATATGCTGGACGATCTACCGAGTTTATGATGTGACGGGTTTAACGATGAAACTGGCGTTTTTACGGTATACTTTCATATATTGATAGCTATGAGTCTATATGTAGACCGACTTCGGATTATCAGATCCCTGATACTGATGAATGTTCCATTTAGTTAACCGAATTATTATTTCGCGTAGAAACCCACTTTGTTCAACATAAACTAGAACAGGAGGCAAAGGACCAATACATATCTGGCCCCTCCAGCCGAATGACCTCCAATTTTAGACAACGTAACATCAAAGAAAAATGAATAGACCCGGAGAACACTCACATTATCCAATTTTATCAACACATTCACTGATACATCGACTCTGACAACCAAAAAAAAAGGCCAAATCAGAACAAGCCAATCCACTCAAAACTAGAAGGTAGAAGAGGGGGGAAAGCAACAAAAGCAACAAATCAACTTGGTATCTCTGTCTACAGCCAGCATATCATTTTAATTATTTCTTCACTGATCTGCTCCACAAGCCAGCCACGGTCTCTTTGACCCGTCGCTCCTGGGCCCGGATCTGTTCCTCTGTCTGGCCCCTGGCATTACCACGACTATCGATCTCCATGTCTCCGTCGTTCTCTCCACGCGATGGCTGCTCCTCAATGATTTCGCTCCCATTGACTCGTTCCGGTTTCGGATCGACGCTCATCACTCCATCCATCATCAGCCCACCGCCCTCACGGAGTTTGTTGATGGCGCGCACCGTATCGATGGCTTTGTGCAGGGTGCGTCGCGCGTTGAAGTTCTTCTTGACGGTCGGGAGCAGGTCTTCGCCTGTGCGGGACTCGTCCGCCATCAGGTCATACGGCGGGTTGACCCAGACGTGCTGTAGCGCTTCGTGGGCGGTCATACGCGCGGCCGGGTCGACGGTTAGACACCGTCTGATAAAATCTCGCGCGTTCTGCGAGACCCCCCGCCAGTACTCCAACGGCGTGAATGAGTAGTCGGCAGCAAGGATGGCCTGCATCTCTTCCAGATTGGAGTCGCGGTCAAATGGGGTGTAGCCGCAGAGTAAGAAGTAGGTGATTACACCGATGGCCCAAATGTCCCTGTTCGACTTGTGTTAGGCATGTACATATCGTCTTGGAGGATGGATGCTAACGGGGCGGTCGGATGACGTACACTGGTTTCCCATGGCCGCTCTTTTTGAAAATTTCCGGTGCCATATAGCCTGGCGTACCACAGGTTGTCGTGAGGACGTGGAACTGTTCCTCGTCCATGATCCGAGACAATCCGAAATCGGCAATCAACAGGTCCGCATTGTCCTCAGGGGTGCGGAACAGGAGATTCTCTGGCTTGAGGTCTCGGTGCACGATACCGTGATCGTGCAAATAGGCCACCGCCGACAGTATCGCTCGGATCAGGTCTGCAGCGTCGTATTCGAAGTAGCTTCCTTTGCGACAGATCCGGTCGAACAGTTCTCCGCCCAGCGCGAGATCAGTGACGAGGTACACTGCCAACGGAGAGAAGGTTAGGTTTGGGTGATTTGTCAATCCAGCAGTCGCGACAACCGGCCAGACATACAGTTATTCATTGTCTCGAAATAATCCACCAACGTCAAGATGTTTTGGTGGCCCATCGACACCCGTTTCAACACCGCGATCTCATTCCGAACCTGTTAACACGTCCATCATCAGCCGTCCACCCGATCAGACTTCATGCACTCTTTCTGGATATGTCCGTCGGTAATAATACCATATGCTCTCGTCCGGCCATCAGCCGCTTATTGATCACCTTCGCAGCATAGTAGTGACCGGTATCGATATGCACACATTCCTTCACAACCGAATATGAGCCCGCTCCTAGTGTTTTCCCCGTCTTGTATCGGCATGGTTGGACCTTCGGTCGCTGGCCAGTTGGCGCTTGGGATGCCATTTATCGCGGTGAATGAATTAGACGCCGAGGGGCCTGCTACCTACGCTGTGGGACATTTGGTTAGCACGACTCATAAAACCTCAGATGATAGATGTAAGACACTAACATGATCAGAATAAAACTTATCGAGGATGTCCGCTGGCAAGAAATGGCGTTAGTTGGCAGTTTCAGCGGCGTAAACTGCGCAACTGCGGGGTTGTCGCTCGCGGCGGTGATGGAATCCCTGACGATAGGGGGTATATGTAGGGAAGTAAGGAAGAAGAAAACTGCCGTACAGTAGTGAGGATGAATAGACAATGGATGATTGAAAAAGGGCAAGACCGCTATCGACAGCGGTGGTGAGAGATGAAGTTGGTGGAGGCGGCGGTGATTTTCGGGGCGGAGGGGAACTTGGCTCCGCCAGTCTACAGGAGAACCATGGTGTATCGTTTATAGAATAGAAATACAATAATATATCTTGCGGGATATCTATGAAAGCGCCTCAGAACGCCCATTGCCCCTAGTGGGAAGTATGCCAATCATCCATAATAACAATAGCCACAGAAGTGGCTACATTCACAGCACAAATAGCAAACAAATCCATTAATTACCAGGATGACAGCAACTACATCCGACTCAGAACGTCTTCCACCACACTCTCCAGCAGCTTCAGGCCGTGGAATTTTGCAGCGCTCTCCAGAACTCGCAGCTTATTTTCGATCTCCACACGGTCCATCGTTGCGACCCAGCTCCCACTGCACGAGCAGTGTTCCATGAAGTCGCTCACTTTCAGGCCTTTGCATTTCGAGCACTTGAGATCCTGTGTGTGCCATGCGACGATCATACCCTGGACCTGCCCAATCAGGATCTCCTCCTGAGCCAGTCGATCATATTCCGTCTGGCAGAAAGGACAGCGCCAAGGCTTGGTGCTCGTCTTGCTCGGATCTGACCCTGGGTCCGGAAGGACATCTTCGTCCCGGCACAAGTCCAGGTCTCGGATTAAACAGCAGGCGTTGCAGGTGAGCTCGGGGAGTTTGAGACTGGCAGCCGGATTCTCGAATCGGCCTTCTTTGCTGAATTCTCGCACCTCGAAAAGTGCCAGGAGCTCGCGGCGCAGAAGCCGTGTCTCCAAGGTCGTTGTCTTGGACAAGCTCAAAACTTGCATCAGTAACTTGACAAGCTCCAACACAGGGTTACGCTTATCGTCGTTCGGGTCCGATAGGATTCCCGGAAGAACCGGAAACGCGTAGTCGGATGCAAGCTCCGGGTGCAGCATCTCTTCTCGCTGACGGCGGATGAGACCCGATATCTGTTTCTTCAGCGGCTTCGAGAACTTCTCGGCTAGGACGGCCGACATTTCCTCGTTGTCCTCGTCGTTCGGGTGGCCAATGGGGATCTGTGTTGGTCGGGGGGTGGAGGAATCCTGGGATTCTGGGTGTTTGTGTCCATGCATCAATTCGATGTATTCCACCACCCAATCATGGAAGATAGACTGCATCGGCGTAGGCAGAAAGCGACTGAGCTGCCAATGCATAACGGTCTCTAGCCCCTGCTCCTCCGATTCAACGACCTGTTGGCAGCCTTTCCCACCATAGTTATATTCATCATACCAGACAAGGTAATCCCAGTACTCTTTAATCTCAAGATCGATAAAATGAAACGACGGGTTTGCCCGAATGGACTTCAGGACGTACTGGCTGTACGCATAGGCATTCCCAACCTCTGTTTTCGACGTCTGTAACAGGAGCCGTGTAGAGCTGGCGAATACGATATTTGAACCAACGCGTCTGAATTCAACCATAAGCCGCTGGAACGATTTTCGGGACAGCATTCGCACATAGTTATGTAAGGATCGATCATAAAGACAAGACACTGGACTCTCAACCCATCGGATAAGGTGTTGTACCATAATATCAGCCATCGTATTCCCTTCACAAGCCTCCGTCCACCAATGCTTAACCATCTCACGGAGCACAACAGCTCCCGCGGAAGCAAACGCTTTTTCAGAATAGAGAACGCCAGCACCGTTCGCGTCGGTGGAAGACTCGGTAGCCAGCAACGTATCGGCCCCTTCCATCTCACTGATGATCGAGGAAGTCAATATGGTGTTGATGGCAAGATTACGAACTTCTAGTTCGATACACACGGTGGAGTAGGCGCTTGGAGCGTTGACAGACGGCATATGCACCTTGTCAAGAGGACCAGTAATGTCATCCTTCTCATATCCTGCATGGTCAGGCCTGGGGCCAGTAGACCACCACAGAACAACGTTGTTCTGTTGAAGTCGCCGGGCGTACGATATATCTATAAGAAATCGAGGGTCGTCACTTTCCAAATTGCAGAGAGGAACGTCTCCATATCTAGATAACAAGGTCAGATGTTGGATCCAAGCGGATAGATACAAGTAATGAGTGACAAGTCTCCTTGCAATGAAAGACTGCCAACCCAATGGTGGAAGTTCCATATCCGATACTTCAGGCTTCACCGGCAGAATAGGATAATCTTTCAGAATGGGGATGTCGTGGCACAAACGATTTCTTTGCTGCGATTGTATCACCAAGATGGCTGGCTGCGTTTCTGAGCTTCTGAGCTTTTTGACCAGGTCTCCTACCTCCAGATGGGCTTTCCTTTTGGTGGTCACTTGGGTTGTCCTGAAATGGATTTTTTTCTTGGTACTCGAATGCATTTTGAGCCTGCTCTCCTGCCTTGTTCTGCTTCTGACGCATCAAAAGTTCCGAGTAAATTTTGTCGACATTTGGAAGTCCTTGGACATCTCGTGTGCGGTTCAGAATAACAATATGGGCCTCGTTCTTGGTGGTCGAAAACAGGGCGAATATCTGTCGATCCCCAGAGGCGACATGATAAAGATAATAATAAGCCAAGGGTGCGTCCAGAAGGTAAGGTTTCTCCGAGGTAGCACGGCACAGTGTTGAGAGGTCGAACCCACGGTCTAAACCTACTCCAAGGACACCACGTTTCTCTTCATCAAATGTGCATATACTTCCAAGTTTCAAAACGGCGCGTATATTCAACGGAATACTTTTTTCATAAACACCCTCAACGCTTGGATGCTGCAGAAGCACATCGATTTTATCGGCCTCCTGCAAATAGGTGCTTTCGGACAATGTCATTTTGAATAGATGGACTGAAGGATGCCCGTTCGGCAAAGTGTGATTAACTTTCTCAACATCGCAATCTGGGACATCAACATCTGGAAGTGAGTCTTGCTTCAAGTTGATATAAACTTGTCGCGGTACTTTGACAGTCAGAGTATGGATTTTTCGGTCGATCAAAACGAACGCTCGCACAATGCCAGGCCTTGATGTCTCCGCAAGCTGTATTACTTGCCACGTACTGATATACAGCAACTCAGCCTGGTTTCTGAACAGGTGACTCAAAGAGTCCGTTCCAACGTTGGCTCTTTCACCAAAGAGTTGGCGTCGGCGAACTCGGGCTTGCTTTTGGATTTTCCATTTTTGTTTCTGGTACTTCAAAAACCCAACATAATCATCCGTAATTGCTGGCATCTTTGTTGGAAGGCTGGCGAAAGGATCAAGTGAGGCTTTCGTATACCCTTCAGGAAGCTTTCTCTTATGAGAGACCTTACTATTAGGCGACGACTCATGTTTCTGTGTTGAACTTGCTATAGCCTCATCCATATCACCAGTATGTTGGACCCGATGATCAAGGATGTTAGTTGATATGTCCTTTAACGGGTTTTTCTCGGTCTTTCCGAACATATCGGTCATCTTAGTTTGCTTGAACCTGTCATCCTTTACATTGATACGTCGCTGGAGCCAATCTGGATGGGCAACTCTAGGGACTGGATTGCGGACTTTCTGGAGTGCAGCGGGAATAGTTATCAGTTTCTGTATAACAGAACCCAATCTCTCAAGATAATAGTCCCAATCGATCACACTTCGAGGGTCCATGTCACCAGGGTCATCTTTCAGCCACTTCCTTAAGAAATAGCGCTTCACGTTTTCCTCGGCGGAAAATATTGTCACTGGTATAGCCCGTTCCGTGACAGGAGTGTTCCGTGGTCTTGAGGATATGATGTACTTGCAGTTTAAGCCTTTATCCTTAACCATTTGCTCTCCTAAGAACTCTGCTAAACGTCGTGCTGTTGTGATAGACGTTGACTTCTGGTTCCCATATTCCTCGAGCGTCTTTGCCATACTCCTATTCTCTGAAATTAGATCAATGAGCTCTTCGTCTGCCAATGTCAATCCATGTTCGTAGAGCACATCGAGCCATCTGTCTGCTACTCGGGCTACAGCAGCATATGTTTCTTCGAGATTCGATCCTTCCAAGAAAAATTTGAAAATTTGGGTTTGGAAGATTTTGATCAGCTTTAACTCTCCTCGTCGTTTGACTTCAAACCCCTTCAATTCAGCCAGCGACCCATCGTGGTTAAATACAGCATAGCGCTTCTTCAGGTTTTTGTCTTCCTCCTTGGAAGTGGGCAAAATCATTGCTTTGTACGGCCCATCGACCTCGAAGAAGATCGAGTTATCGCTATGTGTCTCATATCGGAAAGTCTTTGGGTCGATGAGGGTCTGATATTGGTGATTGGTATAGCTCCCGTGGACAATGTGATTCAGCATAACACAAGGGTACGAGATCCCCAACTTCTTGCCGTTTTTCAAATTAAATGAAAAGTTCTCCGGAAAAGACCCCGGAAGCATACACCAAATACCATCCGTGTCGAGTTCTAGTGGACGACCAATTCGCTCAACAAGCTCTCTTGCCATTTGGATAATCCGCGCACCTGTCAAACATGTTACGCCGGCCATCTCCAAAGAGTACCATCGAGACCCCTTTCTCATGACATAACCGTAGAAACTGTTTAAAATAACTTTATGCGCAAGCTGAAGAGAATCGAACAGAATGATCATTTTTTTCGCTTCCTCTACCTCGGCGGCTGAAGCACCAGACGCTTTGAGAGAATCTGCTTTGCCCTTCCAGACTTTTTGTTTGCCCTTGAAATCATATCTTCGGTCACGAAAGCTGCGAACTGTGTCCACGTAGAATGGATTCTCTCGTTGGCAGACGATAGCCTCCCGAACTATCGTTTTGCTGTCATGGATTTTGTGGTAGATTTTCTTGCTGTAATCTTGCAGCCTTTTCTTGACTATAGAGGCTTGCTCATCAGAACTCATATCGCTAAATAACCGCATTGGACTATGTTTGGTTTTTCCCGGGAATCGTTCATTTGCAACTGCTTGTCGAATCATGTTGTATTCGTCACGCTTAGCAGGAAGGAATTCACCACGCCACGCCCACGGTAATCGTCTGTCGCAGGTTTTGCCAGGTCGATTGAAATCACAAGAGGCACAGTTGGACTCCTGTATCATGGAATCCGGTTGTAGTCGATTCGTGATCATGATGTTTGGGTACATTGAAGCAACGTCCAGATGGTAAATGAAAGGTACTTCATCCCTGTTTGGTTTCTCCTTCAGGTTAATCAAGCGTTCTGCAATCTGATTTCTGACTTCATCGTAGTTAACAATATCGTCCATCGATTTCTTTTCTTCTACTTCGATGCTGAACTTCAAAGCTGCATCTAGGTCGCGAAGCAGTTCGTCTATGGCTGAAGTATGAATATTGAACGTGACGGGAATATCACTTCGAAATACGCCGGCTTCAATGCTTTCGACGTGTCCTCCTACATACGTCTCAGACTCAAGTAGATGACCTTCATAGAAAGACTCCGTTTGCTCTTTGTGCTTGTTCGGCAAGATGATCTCGCCTTTATAGGCTTGTACCATCAAAAGCATTTCACAGAGTGTTCCAGTTCCTTTGCGCAGTGTGTCATCCGGGTTCAGCGGAATAATGGTGCATAGTGAAAAAATAAATGGGTGGACATATTTCATGTACAGATAATATGTGGCAACCGCATCGGAAACTGAATACTCGGCCAACGTCTGCGGGCGTTCACTTGCATACGGTGTCATCAGCTCTGGATCGAGTTCATCAGGATCATATCCCAGCTTTGCAACCGTAACAGCCTTTAAGCCCCGACTTCCCTGCGGAAGGTAACTATCTCGATTGACCCAGGCATAACAATCCATGTGTACACAGTGATCACTTTGATAAATGTCCTCACTGTTTTTGCGGAAGCCAATTTCTGTGTACATATCGATTCCGAGTACACTAGCTCTAGCTTCAATGAACGGCCAATCGAAAAAGTCACCGTTGTATGTAGCGATCACAGTCGGTTTGGCTATTTTTATGTGTTCAAAAAATCGTTCAAGAACGCCTCGCTCATCAGGCTCATTAAAAATTATGAATGGTCCGTTGTACTCCGGTTTCGGAGTATATTCAAAATCGCTGATATCTTCAGACACTATTTCACGATTGGTGATTAAGAACCCTTGTCCATCAATCATGTATGAAATCATCATGATTTGATCAATAACGGAATCGGGGAATTTCAAGGGCAGCTTTGTAGTTTCGATATCAAACGCAAGCACGACTGGGTCAGCTCGCTGAAGCCGCTCTTCCATGCACGTCAAAGAGATAACACCATGCTTTGCCTCTACCGTGTACCATTTTCCTATCCGGATGTCTTCAAATTATCCTGTTAGTCAAGTACCTCGTATTTAGGAGTAGCGTACATGCCTTTATCTATTGCCACTCTAACATGGTAAGGAACATCATATTCTCGAATATCAACTATAAAATCACTTGCTTGTGTATTTCCATTAGATCGTGCCTCGTTAATTATTTCGTCATCAAAGAGATCAAATCCCGCATTCGAGCTTAGTGTTCAATTAGTTTCTGAGCCCAATAGAAAAACATCACCCGAAGAGTGCGACAAACCTTGAAACATCCGCATAAGTATCCATCACATTCACATTCTTTTTGTTCTTTTCTGCCAATGGAAGAAGCGCTCTTCGTACCTCCAATAGGTGGCTGACGTTCGCAAAATTCAGCCGAAGGAACGTTCTTCGGTGCCCAAGTAAATGATTCGGTAGGTCAAGATCCTCCTTTTCCTCTCTCGTAATTTTCTTGATGAGTCCTTCGAACATCCGGCGGCCCCATTCCTCCACTTCCATTTCATGTCCTTTTTTGACCGCGATGAGGAAATATGGGTCATACTCGACAGTCGCTTTGAAACTCCCGCCATCATCTTCAAGAAAGTAGTAGTCCACACCGGCCCGCCCTCCAGGAATATTTGGGTCTTCTACCGACGTGCTGTGCATGTTGATAAGCCATCCGACTCTCTTTTCGCCGGACTCGAAGCGTGTGAACCCCAGGGATTCATCAATGCTGTTCGCCAACCGAATTGCTTCGAATTTCTCATCTTGAGAGGTGGCTTCTGACGATCGAAGTGACGAAAATTCAATTGTCTTTGTTCGATTCGGCCGAAATGATGAAGCACTTGATCGGAACTTATTTCCGTACTTGCTAGGTTTCCTTGAAGGCATTGCGACAAGATAGCCAGCCAGCCGGGCCTACCTATCACTGCAGCTGGACGACAGGACGGGGGTGTTTGAGCATGGGATGCGAAGGTATCTCAGTGTATAACAGCGCTGAACATATCTGGTGACCCTGTTGTATTAGTCCTCAATTGGGTGGTCATTCATAAATTGACGACCCTAGGTAATCTACTCAATGCTTTCTCAGCTGCTGAGAAACCGAAGTTTGACCTACGCCATTCTAGGGTGTAATCGACGCGTTCGCGTTTCCACTATACGCGTGCCGTCTTAGTCTCTTTCCGCTCCACAGTGGTCGGAAAAACTGACTGTTCCTGGCAGTTGTCAAGCCCACCGGATCATATGATTATCCGATCTGTATGACTTTGCGGCAGGAGTCAATATTGAAGAGTGAATCGATCGGGCTTCTTGAGCAACCGTGACGATACACACATTATGGCAGCTGATGCACAAGACCCAACAACATCAACATCCAGTACGGATCGGAGTGAAGACGCGAGCAACGTTCAGGAATCCTCGGGACAACCGAAACCGAAATATGGGACAACTAAATCGCAAGTCGGGAAGCTATGGGATGCTTTCGGGAACCCCGAAGAGCCCGTAAATATGTTGCCTGGGGCGGGCTCTACTGCGTCTGGAAATAACTCGAAGGATGTTACTGTCACGGAAGCTGTGAAGTCAATATCACTTAAAGACGCAACATCGTTTTACAAAGCACCTTGTGCTCGAGACTCCTTACTGTTGGGGATTGGGGCTGGATTTGGCATTGGCGGGGTGAGGGGAGTGTTAGGAGGTAAAATAACCATGATGCATTAGTTGTATTTCTCAGCAACTGTTCAATCATTAACACGCGACTACACCATTTAGGACTGCGCTCCATGTGGACGGCTTGTAACTGGGCTGTTGGCGCATTTGCCCTCACTTCTCTCGCAGCTCATGAATTTTGCCAACGACGTCGGGTGCAGGAATTGGATGGGATGAAACAAGCTGTTGAGATGATGAAAGAGTTGAAGCTCAAAAAGCAAAGGGAAAAGGAAAAAAAGGCCGAGGAGGCCGCACGTTTGGCTGAGGAAGAAGAAAAGAAACGGAGGAGCTGGGCGAATTTATCGAATTATAAATTCTGGTAGGACATTTACGCATTGCCTGGAGTCGTGGAGTTCATTGGGGTCTCATTGTATCTGTCGAGGAGCATGTATAGTGCATATTTCCATCTCGATGGACTTCAGTGCTGTTAATCTTGTATATCATCGCATTATCATGCTCGAATATCAATACCCAAACTCCTCTCTCTTTGCCAGGTAGTTTATGCTCGTTTCCCAAGTATCAATCCCTCCGAGGGGGAAAAAAAAAAAGGACCAACTCAGGGCACTAAAGTGGCAAGCAAAGTACATAGAATCAAATGTCAAATTTGACCTTCTTCTGAATGGCTCCCTTTTGGATAGTCCGTATTTTGTCAAGCTCAATGCCATCCCGTTTCTCTCTTCGCCTTTCTCGTGCCTCCTTTGCTTCGCGGATCCTCCACTCTGCGACCTGCTTTTGCCTTTTCTGCGACCTGGTCCAAGCAATTGATGCTGTCGGCTTAAATCCAAGACCATTTATTCCATATCCATCATCATTTGGGTCTGTCGGATTATGACCGGTGATCTCAGAATCATGCCACGTGAGAGGATTCTCAGGGGGACTGCTGGACAAAGGTGGGGATCTCCTTTGGCTGCGCAGTTTTGGGGCAAACAGTGGATTTCGCTTCTTGCGAGGACTTGTGTACGATTGTTTCCCCGATGAGATTTCTGTTGTAGTTGTATTTTTGCTCTCGTCGTTTTCGATTTCGGTATTGCTGTAAGAGTTACCCTCGCCTATAACTGTAGACAGTCCATTGCCACAGATTTGACTGACTCCTGAGTAGTTCAATGCCGCTATACCATGGTGATCAGGACTGGCCCAATATGTGTGCAGGGGTTGGATTATTGATGTTTGCTCTATACGGCTATCCACAAATTGCGGTGTGGATATAGGATCCGCGCGTATAGCTAGTTGGCCTAGGCGACCAGCGACTGCAGCTCGTGGGCTATACCTTCCTATATCTTCTTCTTCTCGAAGCCTCGTTTCCGGAAGGCTGTGGATTGAAACGTTCGACGACGATGAAACACATGCACTGTAGCAATATGATTCTTCTGATGATGCTCGCCTGCGATTAAATGAGTTGAATGTTGTCGGCGGTACACTCGTGGGCGTCATCGCGCGGAGCCAGTGCTTAAAGCCGCGGGCCTAGCTAGCATGGATAGACTTTCGTAAGGTACAATCTGACTTCAAGAGAGGGTTGAAGGGCTTCAAAATCTACCCGCTTGAAAAGCAGCAAGCCATTATGACTGAGCGACTGCGAAAAAAATGGGGGGCTCGACCCATCGCCTAGGCACCGAAAGAGAAGGGAGAAGCACAATGGGGTTGGCTCAATTCCTGAGGGGTTTTCGGGAGATTTGTCTCCGCCTCCCATCGGGCGGTGGTGGTGACTTCCCAGTAAGGCAATACAGTTCAGGCAGGCTAGCTAGTATTAAAGTAGAAGATATGGGACAAAAATTAAAATCCCAGTGACATTTTGAAGGAAACTATAGACGAATTTTAACACGACAGAGGCCTCAATCGAATAATTTACAAATACCCAGCCTGTCAAGTCGTGAGAATCAAAATCAGAACATAGATGGCAAAAAGAACTCGAACCAAATGAAAATTAACCCTACAACGCCGCGACAAAGACGCCCTCCTGTCCCAAGGCACGGTGCTCTTAGAGCTTCTTCTTCTTTTTGGACGGTTCGCCATCGTCGTTGTGCTTCCGCTTCTTCTTCTCAGAGGAATCCTCGCCAGCATCCGACTTCCGCTTCTTCTTCTTCTCTTCTTTGTCTCCCTTCTCTTTCTTCTCACTCTTCTCTTTCTTCTCCTTCTTCTTCTCCTTCTTCTCCTTCTTTTCCTTCTTTTCTTTCTTTTCAACCTCCTTTTTGCTTTCGACATCGGCATCTTCCATCTCCTCGTCACTCTGGTCAACGTCGACGTCAATATCAGCCAGAAGAGCGTCCATCGCATTTTTCTGTGTTAGAAGTTAGCATTCATGAACACACGTATGTGTCAAATACAGGAACATACCATCGCGACTTCGTTCTTAGTAGGAGCAGCACCGGTGGCATAGAACTCCAGACGCTCCTCAACCTGCTTCTTCAGAGCCTCACCGAATTTGGTTGTGGGTTCCTCGGAGAAGTTATCGAGTCTAGAAGCGATTGAGCACTTGTTGGCAAGGAAGCGGGAGATGCGGCCCTTGTTCTTGGGTCCAGCTCTACCAATGAAAGAGGAGTGGTAAAGCAATCCGTACTTCGGGGTGTTTCCCTTGGTCTTTAAAGCTCTGAAAAGTGCTTTCTCCGCACCGAGAATTTGCACGGTGGAAGCTGGGTACTTGGACAGATTAGTCAAACTTCCGGCGTGCGAAATCAGCCGAGCACCGACAATTTCGCCAATCAGTGCAGCAAGGTTAGGTGCAACCACACTCATTTTGGAAACCAGGTAGCTGTGAAGAGACTTGCGGTACTGTGAAAGGCTGACAACTCTTTGGGCAAAGGCAATGACGTTTTCCATGTCAGTCTCAGAAATCTCCTGACCCATGCTGTGTTTGGCAGCATCGATGATGCTCTGAGCAATGCCTTCGTCGTCATCAACAAGGGCGGCCAGGTCGTGCAGTTTGTCTTCGCTCAATTCCTTCTTGTCCTTGACGAGCAGAGCGATTTGCGCATACCGTTGGTTGTCTGAAACAATTTTGATTAGTTCAGGAAAGTGCCACGAGTACCATTCCCGGACCCTCATGGAGAATGTATTGATGGCCTTATCAAGCTGATCAAGGATAGCGATAGCCTGGATAATGTGGTTATCATCACGCTGAACGGAGAACTTAACCTTGGCGCGCGAGTAGGCATGACCAAGACCAAGTTGTGCAGTATTCATGTCACCCTCCCGAAGTTGCTTCAACAGTTTGGTCGCGTGCAGTCTAATGCCACGAAGCATATCCTGGACAACTTCGCTGGTGTCACCAGTTTCGCAGTCAACGAATGAAAAGGCAGACTTAATGCTTCCAGCCAAGGCCTTGTCTTGAAGTCCCAGAACAACCTTCTTCTTCTTATTAGGCTTCGGAAGGTTGAGTTCGAGGAAGTTAACCAGCGTGTCCGACGCAACACCTTCCGAGACGTCATTTATCTCACTCAAAGCCTGCTTGTTGTTTCTGGGACTTGTCAATTACCGTACCACGGAGACAAGTCAATTGAGTACCTACTCGAAAGGCAAAAAGCTGGCCAGATCGACCATCTTACCAAACTTGGCAAGATCATTAACACCATCCTGGACTTCCTTCAGGGAGTTGCCCACGCTGTCACCCTGGTGGGTGACCTTGAAAAGCGAGTAGCCCATAGGGCCCTCGAAAAGCAGGAAGTCAGCCATCGCAAAACTGGATTCAAGGCCGAAAATTTTAAAATAAATCAGCTAGCAAGTGGACGCAGTCGGGCCCCCTACTCAGAATCCCAGAATCTGCAATTGTAGGCTAGCTGTGGATCGACGTGGTGGAAAAAAAAAAATAAAAAAAAAAACCCTGGAGGACAGAATTGGAGAGTCGAGCCGTCGGAGCTCTTTTTTTTTGCGGCGGCGCTAATAGTGCGAAAGACTGACTGTGGGCGTTTTTGCCAAAACTAGAGCTCACCGCATTCGACGGCAAACACCACCAGATTTGTACCGGTGCGGGTGTTTTCTTTGGGTATACAGCGCCAGAAAAGCCCATTTGTCTACAAATTCGTTTCTAGGGATTTTGCTGATCGCTATTCATCAGTGCTGCAGAAATGTCTGCGACGCAGTTACTCAATCCTAAAGCGGAGTCGAGGGTATGAGCCCGATGTTCCCCAGAAGCAACCCCTCGATGTCCATATGCAAACTAACATGGCACAGCGGAGAGCGGAGGCCTTGAAAGTGAACATCAGCGCTGGTGAAGGCCTGCAGGATGTGCTGAAATCCAACTTAGGCCCCTCGGGGACACTGAAGATGTATGTTTCCTTGTTCAAGCTGGTCAGCTTTCACGCAGAACTGACAAAATTTAGGCTGGTGGACGGTGCAGGCGGAGTATGAGTGCTCTTCTATAATATAGGTTCTTGACATCTAACGAGTTGGACACAGATCAAGCTGACTAAGGATGGGAATGTGCTGTTGCGAGAGATGGTTCGTGAAAATCCCATGAAAGCCCCAGGATTGTATGGACTAACTTGTATAGCAAATCCAAAATCCTACGGCCGTAAGCTCCCATTCAGACGCTCCTTTCGCTTAACTCGGCTTACTGATATGAGAAAAGGTCATGATTGCCCGGGCTGCGACCGCACAGGATGACATCACCGGTGATGGAACGACATCTGTTGTCTTGATGGTAGGAGAGCTCTTGAAGCAGGCAGATCGACATATCTCCGAGGGGCTGCATCCCCGAGTGATCACGGATGGATATGAGATCGCAAAGAATGAGGCCCTTAAGGTGGGTTAGATTTATTGAGTGCAAATTCGGATGGAGGCTTACCTTTGTTTTCGTACAGTTCCTCGACCAGTTCAAGGTTGAGCGGACGATTGACCGAGAACTGCTGCTGTCCGTTGCTCGTACCTCGCTAAGCACCAAACTCAACCCTGCCCTCGCCGAGAAGCTTACGCCCGACATCGTCGATGCTGTTCTCGCTATCCACCGGGCCCCAGCGAAGCCCGACCTACACATGGTCGAAATTATGGCCATGCAACATCGTTCCTCTTCTGATACTCAGCTCATCCGTGGCCTTGCTTTAGACCATGGGGCAAGGCACCCTGACATGCCCAAGAGAGTGGAGAATGCTTTCATTCTGACACTGAATGTTAGCCTTGAGTACGAAAAGTCGGAGATCAACTCCGGTTTCTACTATTCTAGTGCTGAACAGAGAGATAAGCTGGTGGAAAGTGAGCGTAAATTCGTGGATGCCAAACTGCAAAAGATCGTGGAACTCAAAAAGCAAGTTTGCGGGAACGACCCAAAAAAGAGTTTCGTCGTCATCAATCAGAAAGGCATCGATCCTCTCAGCTTGGATGTTCTTGTCAAGAACGGAATCTTAGCTCTTCGGAGAGCTAAGCGGAGAAACATGGAGCGTCTCCAGTTGATTTGCGGGGGTATCGCACAAAACAGTGTCGATGATCTAACGCCTGATGTCCTTGGCTGGGCTGGGTTGGTCTACGAGCACCAACTTGGGGAAGAGAAGTACACCTTCATCGAGGAGGTGAAGGATCCCAAGTCTGTGACCATCCTTATTAAGGGACCTAATCAGCATACTATTGCGCAGGTCAAGGATGCGGTTCGTGATGGCCTGCGGTCTGTGTACAACACTATCGTTGATGGATGCGTTATCCCCGGTGCCGGAGCCTTCCAGGCCACTTGTGCTACCCATCTGTCGTCGGAGAACTTTAAAAAGACCGTCAAGGGAAAGGCTAAATGGGGTGTCGCTGCCTTTGCAGATGCCTTGTTGATCATCCCCAAGACTCTCGCAGCTAACTCTGGTCACGATATCCAGGACTCCTTGGCGCTTATGGACGATGAGCTAACAAATGGTAACATTGTTGGTTTGGATCTCAACACGGGCCTGCCGATGGACCCCGTGCAGGAAGGTGTTTTCGATTCCTACCGTGTCCTGCGTAACCTGATCGCGTCAAGCACCGGTATCGCCTCCAACTTGCTTCTATGCGATGAGCTTCTGAAGGCCAGACAAATGGGCAGGCAAGGCGGGCCTGCTGGCATGGATGAGTAATGCTTTTGTTACGTATAGACCGCTATGTAAAGAACCGGGGGGAGGAATCGGGCTCGATTGAGTTTTAAAAGGTTTCAAAGAAAAATATAGTCTGACGTTTTAAAGTGTACGCATTAAATGCAGAAAGCCGGGCCATTAAGCTTGCGCAAACGCTAATCCACCTTGATAGTGAGATATATTCGTCTTGATAGATTACAGTATCGGCAGGAGTTGTAGATTATAATAAGTCTACCGATATAGCCGGTTTGCAGGGCTAAAGTAACAAGATCTAACGTAAACTTCTCTATAGGTGTATCCCATATTGATACATGAGCTTGTCTCATAGGACACAACCAGTTTCTTCTAAAATAAACAGATGAGAAGTCATTCATCATCAGGACCGTCGCCATCCTCTTTCTCATTGGGAGAAGGGGTACACTCTTTGCTGCTATTCGGAGCCAACTTCCCAAGAAAGCCCTCGGCCCTCACGGGGTCTTGTAAAGCAACGTTATGAGCCTTCGCCCAGTCTAACACATTCGACTTGTGTATTATCACCATTTCGCTATCATCCGGTCCATTTTCGCCAGATGTCTGCTGCGATTTGCGTCTTTTGGAGGGTGTTGTCGGCTCGACGACGCCCATCCCCTTCAATGCGGTGATAACGTCTTCGGTCAGCATACCCGTAGCCAACCCAATATCCTGAACTGTTATGATCTCATGAGGATGTCGTTTCCGAGCACCCTTGGGGTTTTTCTGTTTTTGCTGTGACGAATCCTTTGTGCCCATCGCCTCTGATTCCTGCCGTAATATATATCTTGCAATTCGCTCTTCCCAAAAGCGGCTATAGCTTTTACTTCCCATTTCACTCAATGGCTTCTCCGGACCACCGATCAACCCGATATCCCGTTCCCAACCGCTGAGCTTGTAGCTGACACCCATTAACAACTTACCAAGCTGCTTGTGCTGGTACGGTGGAAAGATCAAGATACAGGCCAGGTTATTTGCATCCCAAGACAGCTTCTCCTTGGAAAAGAACCCCAGGATATGATAGCTCGAGTCCTTCGGATCGGTGAAGACAAGGAGGTAGTAGAGGAAGGAAACCACGTCGAAGAATACGGACTTGTGGTCGAGGAAAAGCTTGGCGAAGAGGGAGAGGTTTTGGGCGTATAGCTTGTGACATTCTCCGTCTACTTCCCACACTGAGTATCCGCCATGGTCATACACTTTCGCTCCGGGGGGCGTCGTGCGGTGATGGCAAACCTGCGTGTGTCTGGCGTAGGAATTCGTGTCGCACGAGTACCGGAAGCACCAGCGACAAACGTATAGCCGATTCGTGTCCTTGCTAACGAGATCTTCCGGGTAGATGGACTGGTACCAGGTCTGAAAAAGAAGGTCACCTAACACAACATGCTTGACGTTACGGTTGACGGGTGATTTCGCGTGGGACAGGGTGTCGTTGGAAGCCATTGATTACAGGCTAAAATGGAGTGAACAAGCAGGGACTCCAAGACAATTCTGTAAATGACGGTTTGCTATCGGTGCAGTTTCTCCGAGGGCAGGCCATTGGCGTTGATAGTATATACTGCTGCGAAGGCACGCTGTGTCTAGAAGAACGGAAGGAGGGGACAAGGCGGGGGGAGAAAGGAAAGAGAAAAGAAAAGAAAAGTCCAAGGGGGAAGGGGAGTTCTGAATGCGAATGGAGGGAATACAATTGATTGAATGCGACGAAACAATCAATCAATTCCTTCCCCGACGAGGAGGAGGCAAACACCTGAGAATTCGAGATAGGCTTGGAACCTGAGGCATTAACGACCCACGGGGGAATTGCTGACTAATACCGCACAGGTCACTTGATGGCAGCTCTGGCCAATCAAAGGCCACTTACAGCCCATTGAAGCTTTGACGATGAACAAGGACAGACGCAATTAACACTGTTAACGCCATCTCTATCCCGCTTATCTTGTTGCCTGACCTCCCTTGTCCCTCCATCTGTCTTACGTTATTCCATCTGCCTTCGGTCATCATCATCATCATCACCATCATCATGGTCGACCTATTTCCTACGACTTACTATTGGTATTACGATTAGTTAGAACTCCCGAGGAACTAACCTGTCGCCATCCTCGTGCATAGGCAACAGCGTAATATACTACTTATCACACCAGCCTCAGCTACTCCTTATCACCCCTCCGGTTCCTACTTCTACTCCAAACGATACGGGCTCTAGACAGAATAATTACTTTTCCTTTCTCTCCCACTTTTTAAGATAATCAAAGATTTTAGTCGGTTTTTAGTGAACTATTGGAATACTATTCGTGTTCTACCTCTTGTCGACTGGTCCAGAACTGCGTTTTGATTTCCTGGGCTTTTCCCCACCGAACAAGCGTGAAGATGTTGAAACCATTCCAGATCCGGGATCTTCATAGACCACCATCTCCGGAAAATACCAACGAACAGTTAGACCTCGTCCATGAATCGTCTCATACGACTTCCCAAGATCATCGGTTTAGTCAACGTCGTCGAGGAATCGTGTCTCTATCTGCGTCACAGTACAATGACATTGCGTCGAATCATCCCCGGGCTCGGCTGACCTATGTCGATGACGATGATGGCGAACTTATCACGGTAGGTGCTCTAATAGACGTGCCTTTATATCTGTCCTAATGATCAATGTCAGGTTGGCTCTGCCCTCGAACTCTCACAGCGTCTCGATGAGCCGGCTATTGTCCCAACTCAACTAGATGAAATATCCGTTCCTGAACCAATACATGTATTCGACATTCGGCGATCAAATTCGGTAGTAGAATTGTGGAAGACGTTCGAATACAACCCAGACTCGCAGAGCGTTCAACGAACTACAGAGGACCCCAGCGCCGCGAGATCGGCAAATGTTGAGACCCCGCATCCCGGTATCAGCGAGAGGACTGGTGCTGCTGAGGATACTAGTCCTGCTATGAGGGAAGAAGTCGAGCCACTCCTGGCTGCATTTGAGGCTGAAATGGTAAAGATCCTAAGTGCCCCCGATTCTCTGAATGAGAACAACTCTCAACAGGATAACAATGCGCCTTCGGCGGAACCACAATCGAGGATAGCAGACGACAGACCCCGATTGTTGGTAGAGAATTTGATCAACAGTATGCTCAGTGGCTCTGAGGTGCTGGGTTCTAGACTACGCTCCACAGTTCCAAAGATTGAACGACAGTTGCAAAATGCCCAACAAGCTATTCCTGACCAGTTTGGATCCTCGATGCAAGTAGCACTCACCACCCTGGAAGTTCACGCGAGAAACTTGGTTAATGCCATCAACAACGCGTCGACTACAAGAGGGCAAACCCCAGGCAACATCTTCCAGGGGGGACTCCCCACGGCCGAGAGCACCGTAGAGGGTCTACGAAATATGGCATCTGAACTTGGCAATATGGGCCACACTTTATTTGAAGCGTTCGAGTCTGAGCTTGGATGCAACGCCCAGAGACATAAGAACAGTGGCCCGTCGGCCAGTGGACCATCCGCTACCCAGACTGCGGAGCAGGAACATCCAGTAGACGATGTCCCAGTTAACGATGTATTCCGGCGAGCCGACACCGTCCAATCCTCGCCGCCTCCTGCGACAACCCTGGAGAGAAATGACACAGTGAGCGCTGAAAAGGCAGAAATGCCACAAATGCGTGCAGAATCACAGGATCACTCAAACACAGAGAATGTCAATCAGCTTGGGAGTCACAATAATGGTCCTTCCGTGAACCTCCATCAGCAACCCGACGCATCAGCTCCGGTATCCTCGTCAAATCAGGAAGGGCAAGTGCATCCTCACGAGTCGTCCCATTCCTCTAGCAGGCCCTATGGAAGCGGTGCCGCGGACTACAACTCTCATTTCTCTATCCCTCGATATCCTTCTCATCCCCCCACAGTTTGTTCTTGGTTCTCACAGCCGGATCGCCAGTCTGTGCCACCCAACTTTCCTGGCCCATTTTCACACCCACGACGACCTCATGGGGGCTGGACTAATACCACCCCGTATCCCGTCTATGAGCGACCACCTTATACAATGGCCCGGTATAATATTGTTCCCCCTATCCCTAACGAGAGGCCGAATACTTCACCGGCGGATCGCTCGGCGGAGACAGCACTGTTTATCGGTAATCTGGGGTTCAACGTTAATGACAAAATGATTCGCGACGTTTTCGCCGCAAAGGGATTCTTGGTTGATGTACATCTTCCTCTAGATTCGCAGACGGGCAACCATGCTGGTTTTGGTTATCTGCATTTCCCTTCAATCCATGCTGCGCGGGCGGCTTTGGACGGCCTGCAAGGAACCTTAATTGATGGCCATTCGATAAACCTTGAGTACAGCGATAACTCGCCAATTACCACTCTAAGCCCGAGTGGACGCGATGGATGCTCTCCCTCAAAGTCATCGGGGCCTCAGCATTCTGCTACAGAGATAGGCCAAGCCTCGCCTCAAAGGCAGGCCCCTGGAAATGAGCAGCATCTTCCTGCCAACAGGGGTAGCTGGACGCGCTTCAGTCCTCCTCTTCTTCGACCACCGATCACCAATGGGCCTGATAACCCCGATCTACTCAATGCCCGTTATCCGTCTCTTGTTCCGGGGAGAGCTTCGCAGCCGTCCGGGGAGAACAATAGGCCATCCGAGTCTTTTCCGTATTTAATTCGACCGGCGGAGGCGGAGTCGCGATTCCCTCCTGTTTCTCAGTTGGATGCACACTTCCTAGCTGAACAGCGTCGAGAGACCAATTCATCTAACGCATCTTCGTCTCGGGCTGCGCAAAACCCCGGCAACAATGGAGTTCATGGTCGGACTGCATCGCCGAGCATACCCGGTGCATTCCCAGAGGTACCGAGGAGCGTTTATCCAGTTTCTGGTCCGCCTCCAGAACCTCATCCGCAACAGTCAAACAGTCCTAGCCATACTCCTGGAGCATTCCAGGGCCGCCGTTCAAGGACGGTGGGATCCACCAATCCACCCCGGAGACATTCAGGTCTCTGGAATCCTGGTCCCTCGAGAACTCGGGGTTTGGACAGAGCACGAAGACGTTGGTCTAGCGAACGCGGTTCACTTCAGGACAATCAGCCTACAGCAAACTTGCCTCACCCTCAGAGGTCACAGGAACCTACGACTGAGAGGGAAGGCTCCCTAGCCTTCGATGCCAGGCAACGCACAATTGACTCCTGTGTTTCCACTCTGGCTAGCCTGGGTTACGGAAGCTCCGAGGAAGGTGGACTGCAGAGAATTGCCGTGTATGCAGCTGCCGCGGACGGGAGGGTTTCCGAGGCGATCGAGATGATCGAGGAAGAACGGAAGGCATACGAGCAACAAGGGTCATGGTAGTTACGATTGGAAAGTCTGAGCGTTCTGGGTTGATTCTCTGATATTTACTGTTCTTTCTGGGATCTCGGTGTTCTGCGACAGTGAGGGTCGTTAGTCTTCCAACATCCCACTCTCGTACAAGTATGGCAGGAATATGGAATGACCTTTTCTTTTCTTTTTCATGTGCGGTATATCTAATATGGATGGAGTTAATATCACTGGCTTGTTTGCCCTTCGAATCGACGAGAACAAGTAGTTGTTGTACTTTAGCTGTTAAAGGCAGCGCTGGATCATGTAAGCGGGCCGATTGTCATTGTTGTTCCTCCGCGGACAGGCCCTCCTAGCATCATCATTTCATTCCCTCCCAGCATCCTCTAGCACTTGAGCTTAGTGCTTTTCCTTGGCAAAAGATATGCTGATATGGCGACGGGCCTTTGCTACGTCTGTTGCCAGACTTAATCGTCAGCCGCCGCAGAGCGTTGCGCCCACTCTGCTACGATGCGCACAGGCGCTTCAGAAGAGTCAGGATGGGTCCTCCAGCCTTGAGAACCAGGATATCAAACTGCAAGGGGTTGTTCGCTCGGTTCGAAAACAGAAACGCTTCGCATTTGCAGAAATTTCGGATGGATCGACAATCGAGCCTGTGCAGGCTTTCTTGAACCCAACCCAGGCCGCCGAGTACGTTGTTCCTTCGTCCAGTGCACGCACTACCATTTCGTTAAAGGCTAAAACACTTACCCTTAATCTCTTCAGCCTGTCTACAGGAACCGCTGTCGAAATATCGGGTGCCTGGAAGGCCTGTCCGCTCGGCAAAAAGCAGAGCCATGAGCTGCAGACGACGGCAGTGAAAGTGGTTGGGAAGGCAGATGAGGTAGATATATATGACCCCTTAGAGTTTTCCGAATCCCACTGAAAGTACATACAGCTGATCCTCGCGAATGCTACAGACATATCCCATTCAAAAAAAATACCATAGTTCTGAATTCCTCCGTCAAATCCCACACCTCCGTCTACGAACACCCTTCAATTCCCTTCTCTCGCGATTCCGCTCTGAATGCCTCTACCAGTTAGGGAACTCGTTTCGTAATACTCCCAATGGCGGGTTTTGTCAGGTTCACCCACCGCTTATTACATCGTCCGATTGCGAAGGCGCGGGGGAGACGTTTACGGTCATGCCACGAGAAATGAAGACGTCACAAACCGGAGATGAGCATTTCTTCCGGGCCCCCAAGTATCTGACGGTGTCATCGCAGCTGCACTTGGAGGCCTACGCAGCGGAGCTAGGGAATGTCTGGACAATATCCCCCACGTTCCGAGCGGAGAAGAGCGACACGCCGCGTCATCTCAGCGAGTTCTACATGCTGGAGGCGGAGATGAATTTTATGGCCGACCTCGACTCACTCACCGGGTTCGTGGAGTATCTCCTACGTGACGTGATCCAGCGGTTATACAACACTCCCGTAGGCCAGGAGGTGCTCTCCGCGAAGCGATCAGGGGCACCGGGTCAAGAAACGGCGGAGGGAACGGATTCCGCGCTACGACAGAAGTGGCTGAACCTAATGGACGGGCCTAAATGGAGCCAAATGACCTATACACAGGCAATCGAGCTTCTCCAAGACGCTGTTGCCAAGAGAAATGCGTCGTTCGAATATGCACCGACCTGGACTGGCGGACTTCAGCTGGAGCATGAGAAGTACATCGTGGACGAGATCCACGGGGGCCGACCCGTGTTTGTGACCGACTATCCCAAGGAAGTGAAGCCTTTCTACATGGCTCCGTCTGAGATGCGGGCGTCGAACGGCAACACATCCCCGGCACCCGGCGAAACAGTTGCATGCTTTGATCTCCTCCTTCCGGAGGTCAGCGAAGTCGCCGGGGGTTCTCTCCGTGAACATCGACTGCCAAACATCATCCAGAACATGCGCGAGCACGGGCTCATCAAGACGCGGCCGTCGGGACAACAATCACCAGTCATGGAGAGAGACGGCGCCGGCAAGGAGGATTGGGATAAGCCACTGTACCCTTATCTGCAGCGTGATGAAGACCTTGGTCACCTTGAATGGTACGCCGATCTTCGACGATGGGGGACGGCGCCGCACGGGGGATTTGGGCTAGGGTTCGATCGATTCCTGGGGTATCTCACTGGGATGTCGAGTGTCCGGGATGTGGTGGCATTTCCACGATACTTTGGACGAGCTGATTGTTAAGTAAACATATACAGTATGGCAGTGAGACTAGAAATCGGTTAGGGTATGTATATTAGAGGCATGCTTAGGTACTATAATGCTTTGCTAGGACAGCATATTTGGGTACTAAAGTACTAAACTAATTATATTATTCTATAAATTTATTCCTACAGTCTTTGGCAGACCCGATACAACGGAAAACGCAGAATCGATCCATGGATCTACCCCAACCACTGACATGACAACTACATTATGTATATATAACATCGACATAATAATCGGACCACCAAACACAAACACGGACACAGAAAGACAGTGTGAAACAGAGAGAAACAGAGTGACTCATCCCCAGCCACACAACCCAACCTACCACAACCTACCAAACCAAACCAAAGCAAATCAAGGCAAATCCCGAGACCGCGAATCTATTACTCATGGACTCCAGAAAGATCCTCTGGACTCGTAATCCGAGGCCATTCGTGGTCCCTTCGACTCCAACTATCCGAGACTGCGAGTCGGTCAGTCATCAGACCGCGCCACCTTGGGGGATCCATTTGTGGATTTTCGGGATTATTTTTTTTGGTTTTGAATTTTTGAATTTGGTTTTTATTATTAAACTCATGCGCTAGTACGTATGTACATTGTAAAACAAAAGTAAAAAATTAAGAAAAAAGGTCCACGTGGTACGCGAGGATTTCTAGGTTGGGCCAAGACATTATGGATACGGTACATTCATTCCCTTCGTGTACTCCGCATGTACCCTACTTTGTAGTTTGGACCTTTTTATCCAACTTAATCTATTCGTTATAACTAAGATGATGAATTAATCATGACTAAACTCTATCAGGTAACTGATCACATATCCCTATATGCTGCTGCTTCTGGAATGTTCTGCCTTACTCTAAGACGTGCGGACTAGGAGCTGTGGATCATGAATCAACCTATCCATGTCCTCGGTGCGCAGGCGGATGGAAATATCCACCCCGCTGTCAGTCCAAGAGGTACTGTTGCCGGAGGATGGAGAGGGAAGAGAGGGTGCTGGTCCCTCTTTGATCGAGACCAAACCGTCCATGATGGGTAACAAACACCCCGTCGGCATAACGAACCCTCGCTCCTAAGCCTAAATCGACCTCGTATAGTCCTGCTCGCGCCCACGTCGTCACCATGATGTGGCGTCGACCGAGAAATCCTTGCCAGATCCTCTGGGGGGATTTCTCAAACGCTAGACGGTGCAGGTGCGCCGCAATGGCTCTAGGACTGTTCACCTGACCCAGCGTCTCTCGGATGCGCTGGGCAATGGGTCGAAGTGTACTGGGGGATTGGGGATCACTGGCGGTTTTCACAGTCGCGGTTGCCTTGATCCCTGGCAGCTCGATGTTCATCATGAGGCTCAGTGATCCCATGAAGGGAATCCCCGAGTTGGAGGGGAGGTCGCAGCCCGAGCGTTAGATCGCAATGGACTGGATTCGGGTCCTGCTCCAATTGCCGAGCGCGATTGATACAGGACCAAATATGCGCCAGGATTGCATCGTGACGACTGATCCTCCCTGTGGATGTTTTCGACTTGAGAGAGGAACTTTTGTTCGCTTCCCGCCAGAGGACTTCCCCTATTCTGAGGTGAGGTGCACGTCGTAAAATAAAGGCGGCGCACTGACGTCCCATTCGTGCCATGGGATCGGCTTTCCTGCCGGACTCAGGTCCTCGTTCTGGAACACCTCCGGGGTGCGCGGAGTCCGTGAACTTCCAGGTGCTTGGGTCCACCAATCATACCGGTGCAGAGGTAACCGCTCAACCTCCTGAACGATTGCTGGATCAGCAGATAGGGCGTTGATGTCCCCGGCCGCGGAAGAATCCACTTTGTCTGGTTCGAACGACGGGCTCAATGATGGCAAGTCTGCGCCCTGGAGAATGGATCGACTGACGCTCGCCAGATCCTTGACAAAATGTATCACGGAGTGTGCATCGGCTAGAGGATGCACGCAATTCACCGTCAGTACAAATCCCCCGCATGCCAGTGTTGTCAGCTGGACGGCCATTACAGGGGGGAACAGGCCTACATCATTAGCACTGACAGGCTTAACGAGATTTTGAAGCTGCGTTTGAGAGACAAACGCCGTGAGGGGGACCTCCTTGCGATTCCACACAACTTGAGATACAGCTCGAGAGACCGAACAGAGCGCATCCAAAGTGGTTTCGCTGCTTGCGACTGTGAATTCAACCCCGGGATCTTGAGAGGACCCGTACACTACGTGGACACGACCAAACCGTCGAGCATGGGGTGGCAGATGCTCCTCTCCTGCTACAGCCGTATTGCTCAGAGTGTTGACAATTTTCAGCCGTCCACACCATTGTGGATATGCGCCAAGGGTGACTTGTAGCGACTGACGTAAATGGTCCGATAGATTGAACTGGCTCGAGGTTCTTTGCTCTGGGGCTTCAAACAACCAGATGGCACACGTATGCTGGAAATCGACGGAGGTCGCATCCAACAGAGATAGAGCAACGATCCGTTCGGACGTGAGTCTGTTTTGGGGGAAGAGCCTCTCTGACTGTGTGGTCGAGAACTTGACCATCGGCATAACGAAGATATTGATGGAAACTCGATTCCGTAAAAAGGTCTCAACTACTCTGTGCATACAAATATATCCCTTCCATTATCGCCCATTCTCTACCCCTCATTATAGCTCCGAGTAATAATAGCAACATAGTCATTTTGCCATATCAGGATTGAGCCCTGCAAAGTCAATGCTTTTAGCGTTCCTTTAGTGAGTCATGGTGAGTCAGTCAAACAGCCAGCGAGAGAGCCTAATAAGAGAGGCACGATTAGCATCCGCGTAGGAGATACTAGTATACTTATGATCTCGCATCGTCATGGATAGCCACCCGCCAAGCCATGTTCCTAATCAGAGATGGCGTCAAAATTGCTTTTGTCAACATTGCTTTCCGCGAAGAGAATCCGAGGGGCAGGTCACGTGACGGCCAATTCCCCGAAGAGGGCGGTGAGAGGCATCAGAATCCGGCGAATTCCGACTAGAAAAGCACAATTGCCTGCCGCCTCTTCTCTTTTCAGGGGCCAAAAAACCTCGCCCCATCCGAATGCCTAGCCACAATGCAACTCTGGGTTGGCTCGGCTACGTATCGCCGTATGCGAGAACAGTGGGTTTCGGTTAAAGATTATACAGTTACACTAACTATTCCCTATTTCTAGGCAGAGATGGCACCCGGTGGATCCCCGGAAAGGACTGAGTTGTTCTTTTGTCTTCGACAAAGGTTTCTGGAACATCCATTGTCTGTCTTCCATAGTCGCTGGTGATAATTGGATCCGGGTTGCGGCGGATGTTAAACCCATCCTCCCACCCACCAAATTAGGAAGGCTGGAAGCAGGAACACAGGACCCTGACCATTGAACCGGCCAAACTCTGACTGGCTCCATCGGACACTTTAATCCCTCCAAGCTGCGGTCTGGGCGGAGCCTCGCTACGACGGTTGTCCCAATTGGACTTGGTACGATCCACCTCGTTTAAGACGGTCGGAAAAGAGCGAAGTCCGACATGTCTTACTCCATCCATATTCTAGATGGAGTCTTAGCTGGCCGAGGAAAAAAAAAAAAAAGAAAAAAGAAAAAAGAGGCAGATGGGGTTGTCGTTGGGTTGAAGAAACTTAAAATGAGATATATCCACGAGACGGTCATAGCAGGATCTTACCTGGTCATTGGAATGCCACTTGAGTTTTCCTAGACAAAATGGGCCTCATCCATGGCCACCATTCATTCCCAGGGAGATTGCGGAGGATCCTACGCGGGGGAATGCCAAGTTGCCAACCTTACTGGTGTTAAGCATATTCTCTCGGCCTTTTCCCGGTGTTGGTCGACGGTGACACTGCCCAGAATTAGATGACATATTAGCTCGTATTTGGATCACTCGTGTCCGGACGTTGCGCTCGGCGATGTGGTTCATCTCCCATAAGGACACCTATTCTGTTTCTGGTCTCTCGGCGCTCGCACCAAATTACCTAATCGGCCCGTCAGATCCGTGGGACGTCTCAGCCTTTAATTATGATTTCTTAAAGGGGGGAAATGGGAATAATCCATACTAATGATACGAATAATGTTAATAATAATGGCCACCTTACCCAACTCCATCCTTACGACGGTGGCACAGGCGAGCTGATGGGCAAAAAAAGAAAGAAATTCGAGATCCTCCAATTTACATAACACAGAGATATCACCCTATGTATTTGATCAGCCTGTAACTATGCATGTGTATGTCAAGTGTCGAAGCTTGCATACGGCGGCCTATGTACATAGCGGACAGAGGATGCATAATACGATCAGCGGAGCCTCGGAAATACAGAAATCAGGAGGCAAGACTGGACCATGCTAGGCTAAGCCTTGGCTATCTGCTGGTCGAGGGTCCAGTCGGAAACTCGTGTCACCTTGCCCGCTGTAAAGGCAAAATGGTTGGTGGGGATTAACTTGGCTCTGCAGCGCTTTGACGCTGGGGCTGTTCAGGGATTGGGATCCTTCGTGGTTTGATTTCCATCGTATTTTTCCATCGATTAGGACCTGGGAAGAGCCGTAAGTTTTGGAGTTTGGTGGTTGGAGTTTGGAGTTTGGGCAGGCAGGGAAGCTGACTCCTACAACTCTATGACTAGATATGACTAGACATGGTAACGAGGACATTTACAGTCAGCTGGATGGCCGTCTCCTCCGTACCTTAACCTAAACCAACAAACTATGATCGATCATTATGCAATGGGCGGTTGATCCTGTCAAGCATTACCCCTGTTAGGAAGGTGATCAGCACGACAAGGTAACCTCAATACAGGAGGGTGGATTCCAAAATATTTAGACTGCTCCTACTGAGACTTGAAAGTTCCATAGAGGGGGGAGGGGGGTTTGACTAGTGTGCGTGGAATCCACAGTTGAAATTTTAAAAATTTATCATTTCCCGTGGAATAATGACCACATGGATAACGGCGAAACAAAATAAATAAGTTATAATATTTAAAAATAAAATAAATTAAATTAAAATTAAAAAACTAAATTAATAATTTTCTAAAATACAAGTCAGGGCATTCCTAGTCCTGCTTGCCTTGCCAATTATGCTAGTGGAGATAAGCCCGTGCAACGTTTCACAAAGGGCTCACCCTTGGCAACCTTGATCCAAATCAAGGGTTGCATCGGCATGCCACCAACAGATTGCACTTTGTATGGAAGGGACCGACATACCATGCTGTCTGGGACTGAATCACGGACTCCTCGTGCGACTTGATGGGAAGCAAGGGCAAGTCCGCTAGGGGGAGGGGTCAGTTCAAGAGTTTTTTGTCTTGTCGGGGGGGGGAAGGTAATTAATGTTAATAATAAGATCTGTCATTCTACAAGGATTTTCATCCCCGGCTAGAATGTGATCAGGGCGTATTTTTGATAACAAAATTGACATGATCACCATGATACCTAGGCACATCTATAGTAGTTATTCAGAGTATGAGAGTATGAAGGTTTGAGTCATGAATCTTATCCTATTGGTTAAATATGAGATTATGGTGTTCAAGCTCTTTCCAGTACTACCAATCATGAAATACAATAAATATCTTACTATCGTAACGAGTATAAATAACCTTGGCGGCCTAATATAGACGCCATTTTCTAAGCAGGGAACAACAGGGGGTATGTTGGAGAAAGGAGAAGGAGAAAAAAAAAAAAAACCTGCTTGGCAAGGATAGAGTTACATACTACAACCCAAAATTCAACGCCAACGAAAAGGCTGGGAAAGTAAGTCCTGCGTCTCCTCCACTATAAAACAAAAAGCCATGGGTAGCCATGGTTTAAAGCTCCTACTTGACCAAAAACAAATCAAGACTCCTTGGCTCTGTCGTCATACGGCAACTGTGATATCAGCCGGAGAGGACGCGCTCTGTAGTCTGCACAGAGTACAGACTTCTCCGTACATTGTCTGACATCATGTCCTACATTCTGCAGAGCTTCAAATATATCTGAGTTGTCAGACCACTGCATCCAGAGCCGTCCATAGAGGATTCTGCAGGTGATATATGTAGAGTCGCCGCCATACCCGCGGGATGAACTGGAGTTGGAGAGAGTGTTAACGTACAGGAACTATAATATCCCTCACACTATCTACCAACATGGTACACAGGGCACACAACTAGTACTTAGGAGTTGCGATGTACAGTCTGTGATTTGGTAGCGATTAACCTAAGTATAGATGTAGTCCTATAGTTAACTACCTTTACTACATAGTATACTTAGGTAATAAATCTGTAATACTAATACTCTCAAATTTCTGCCTCACCTTCCCGGCTTCTCTCCATGTGAGACATCAGCTGCAAACTGCTCTGTACTCCTGACTCTCCAAACGCCAGACAGCTTGGCCAAATATAATTTACGCATCTCCAAGTGGGCCGGCCAAGAAGCCAAGACGAGGGACCAGGATTCGGCCGACTTTGTTGGCGATACGCTTATCCTGAGTACTAGTTTAGGTGGTAGCTGCTTGTTCATTGGCAGTAACCTAGGCTTAGGCGGATTTTCGCGGCAGCCTAGACGGCAGCGCCGGATGTGCAATAACCCTACGGAGTAGCTATTTGGAGAATTCAATCATGTGCAGGTGCACTGATCTTTTTTTTAATTTTATTTCTTATTACATTACAGAGTACGGAGTATACCTCCCTGTTCACACCTAAAGGAGAAATCTGTCCACACTGGAATTATCCTGAATAAGACTAAGACAATCAAAATAATCCTACTCCTGTTCACAAAATACTAAAACATCCATAAATCAGTGACTTAAATATAGCAACCCAGTCTTGCTAAAGCTCACTCCTTCGCCTGCGCCCGCCAACTTTATCTGCGACTCTGGTCAACGTGACTGGACAATAAACTCCGGATTATGGACTCGAGAGGGGCTGCGGATTGAAATAGCCGATTTAATAAAGTACGTATTGCGTCGTTTACTCCATTCTCAGTATCTATGAGTATAAATTTTAATGCACTTATCTAATCGGAACCCGAGAAACTTTGTCTCTATCTTACGTGGCATTGGATTGGTCTGGCCTTTTTTTTTTCTCTTTCTTTCTTTTCTCTCTTTCTTTCTTTTCTTTCTTTTCTTTTCTTTTCTTTTTTTTTGCATATGACTGTTCATTGTTCCATTCTCTAACTGTTTCCTATCCTGTCTTATGCTGGCATACTCTTTGTTACATAATAATATCCTGTAGTTACCTAACTACGGAGTACTACTACATAGTATACTGTGTATCTGTACTAGCTAACTACTAAGGGATATGATAATATGCTAATGCACCAGGCTAACTTAGAACCAGCCACTCTCCTCCTCTGGATGTAACACCCTATGATGTGAGAGAAGATTTGTCAAGCTTTGATGGAAGGATTAGTAATGCCGGCTTTTAAAGCAAGGGAAGCATGCCGACTTAAGTAGGTATCTCCGTCAGTAAGTTCACTACATACATACCTAGACCAGACTACAAGGGTACATACATCATCTGTGGATAGCATGTAACCCATCACGCATTAACTGTGCGCTCGTACTCGCAACCATTGAACTGCGAAACGGATTTTTTTTTTAAACAAATTATTTTGTTTTATTATTTTATTATTTCCATGCTTGGCCCCGGTGTTTTTAGTATAGTCGCAATCTGTCATTGCATGTTTGAGTGCCTTGTGGGTTCGGGATCCCTGTTTCGTACATGGTACCTAGACGGATGGACGGGGTTTCAGGTCGAGGGAAAGTACCTAGTATGGGCTCCGACTATGGAGGCTGCGGATTCTCCCCTCGTATTACAGGATTGACTGGCTCCATCATCGTGAAGGGGTACAAATTGGGATGAATTTCCTGAGAGGTATCAGGTATCTTCCACCGGCGGACTTCAGTCCTGTACTCCAGAATAGATACTCTGTCCAGATCAAAGCATGAATCGTACTCGTATGTCTCGTGGCGTGAGAATACGAGATGAATTAGCCACAGTGGCCGTGGCCGTTGTCATGTGCCGAGTTGGGATTTTTTAAGTGGGCGAAAGAGGAGAGAGCGCTTTTTTAAAAAAACAAAAAGGTAGAAAGAAATAGGAAACACCTCCAATAATAATATAATAAAACCGACCGATGGATGCCCGTGCAAAGTACTTCCAGCATACCTGTAAGTAGATGTAAATAACTACGGAAAAACGGCACATCAATGTCGTCAGCCTTGATTAGAAAGGGTCACTTTCGGGCGGAACCGCTGCACAACCTGGGGGGAGTTTAACCCTATTTTATTCAATGTATAATATGTTACGCGCTTAGATGGGGAAATGTACAGTGTTATCCATGATGATTCAGCATATAGGGTGGGTCAAAAAGAATAATAAAAATTTAAATAATACCAAACTGAAATGACAAAATGGATAAAAAGACACATCAGTTGGAATCAAGTGGGCCCGTGAGGGGGCTTTGTCCTCTAAGCGAGCTTAAGGTTCCTCGTGTTGGATTAAGCTTAAGCTTCAGAAAGTCGCGCACTAATCAATTTCTGGTTGGGCCTAAGCGATCAGAGTGCCACCGGTATCTTTCTAGTGTATTACCGTCTCGTTTACTCGTTACTTTTATTGTCTGTTGTTTTATTTTTATTATTGTTATTAATTTATTTTTATTTTCTTTTTTTTTTTTTTTTTTTAATTCTCTCTCTCTTACTTTTTCCCTTTTTCAACTTCTACTCCGTATTTCGATTTCTCCTATATGATTTCATTTGTCAGATTTTACCGTTCCCACTGTAGCCAAGAATACTTCAGAATATACCTCGTCTACCCCGTGTGTCTGATTGACTTTATCCAGTTCATCAGGAATGAGCGTCCCGTACGTAGCCCTGTGGCAGTAAGCACTACCCAACGATGTGGGCGGAGGAATCCTTTGGCCTTATTTAGAAGGATGTACACTAAAATCGTACATAATATTCCAACATAGTTACTTTGTAGAGATTAGAGAAGTTACTTCCGTGAAATACAACTTGAATACAATTATAAATAAATCATCCTAGTTCGCACGAACTGGGTAACATTATTGAATCATTCTCGCGCAGGACCTGTCCGGCTCTACTCCATAGCAGGTAGGAGAGCACTCCCCCTCCATTCTTACACCTCCGTTCATACCTTCCTGACCTGACCTGACCAGACCATGGGCAGCATCTCATCAAGCTTAGTTAGGACGTCTCCACCAGCCAACTTTCTTTTTCATTTTTGGTCGTTGATCGACCAGCTCTTTTGGCCAGGGATCAACCGAACGGTGGTACGATTTGATACAGACTCATCATTTCTGGGTTAAATGAATCAAATGGACAAGACGTCGCCTTCCAAAGTTCCACGACCCAATCATCCAGCTTCCCCGGTACCATGGATGAACGACAACGAAAAAGAAAAGGTTAAAAACAAAGTTCTAATTGTTCTGATTAAATTTTGTGCGGTGCTATTGTCCAGATACTAACCAAGGCTCGTGGTTTTTTATTTTTTTATTTTTTTCCTCGGCATGACCAAACGCCATCCAAGCCATATTATGATGATGATTCTTCTAAGGTACTTCTCCGGAGGGGAGTTTCTTGGGGGATTTTCTTTGTCTAGATCGGGGGTTTTCCGTTGATTCGTAGCCACTCAGATGACACCAGATATAAAAGAAATAATAATAAAAGAAAATGAAAATGAAAAAAGGACAAAAAAGGACAAAGTTAAAAGAAACAAAAGCAGGCAATCCAATCACCGACACCCAAAATCCTTGCCGACGAATTGCCGCTCAATAAGAATTAGATAATAAACTAGGAAAATGATAGGAAAAAAAAAAAAAAAAAAAAAAAAAACGACACTGTGGGGTCCAGATTGCGTTCCCCACTCCCTCTGTCTTTACTTGATGCTTTAATTGCTCCCTGTCTCTCGTTTCTACTCCGAACTATTACCACTTTCCTCTGTATTCTCTCTCTTTCCTGACCAACTTATATCTCTCTCTGGTAAGTTTCTTCATACCGTATCGTTCTTCCATCTTTCGCTCTTACTCACTCCGCCTGCATTCTTTCTTTATTCTCCTATCAGCCCTCCCCACTCCCTGCTTTCTTCCCCTTCCTTGCTGCCTGGTCCTTTACATTCTGTCTCCCTCTCTGGTCTTCCTGCCTTTCCTCCCCGCTACCTCTAGGTCGGCGTACAGAAGATATTAACGGCCTGGCAGCACCCTATCCCCCATTGCTGAGTTGTTTTATCGGCTCGGACTGGGCTTTCTTTCCCATCAGCCGGCCTGATTATCCTCTGTGTGGGAGAAACAGTACGCTTTTTCCTTCGTTTGGATCTCAGCCTCACGGATCCAAATAATAGCCTCCAAACACGACAAAAAATCGATAGAAAGGAACTGAAACCTATCCCGAGTAATAACCCATAAATCCTAAATACAAAAAGGCAGAGCAAGCAGGGAAAGGATCACCTGTTACCCTTCTCCTGCTGCCCCCATCGTCAACATTTCTCCCCTCACCAAACCTCCACTTTTAGCGCTCAAACCAACCATTCCCACCCGTACTTTTTCGGATCATCGCAGGTGGATGGAGACGTATCACGGTCATGTCCGCACCCCGGCGGACGCTATCATCCTATTCGAAGCATGTCGCATCGGCCTTCTCCCCCGGGTTCAGAGACGACTGTCCGAAAAAGAGCGCCAGTTGATCCGGTCTGGCTCAGTCTTTGTCTGGGATGAACGAGAGGCGGGAATGCGCAGATGGACCGATGGGAAGTCGTGGAGTGCCAGTCGAGTGTCGGGAAGCTTCCTCACCTACCGTGAGATGGAAGGCAAGCGGGGTGGTACTAGTGTCTCCCAACCCCCTATCCCCAGGGCCGGCAAGACCCCGGACAGCGCGCGAGGCAGCGATGACGACCGAGGGGACGGTGCGGACGAGGGCCCGGATGGCTATCGATATAAGCCCGACGGACTCATGAAGCAGTCCTTCAGCATCACGACGTCAACGGGGCAGCATCTGCATCTAATTAGCTACTACTCCCGATCACACCCTTCCGCCGCTAACCTACAACAACCGTCGTCAGATCCTGCCTTGCGGCACGTTCGCCCGCAGAAGGGTCTATATCCGGAATCCACAGTCAACGACCAGCAGAACCTCCCCGTGGTGACTCGTGGGCCTATGGCAGGAGCGACGTACTCGGTCCCTCCTCACCCGATGGGTCCGTATCCTCGCTCCGTCGCTTCACATCCTCAATCATACACGCAGACATATGCATGGCCTCCTACACCGCTGGCCACTCCGCCGACCGTTCCAGTGCATTACCCATCGTACCTTCCTCCTGTCTCTGCAACCAATGGCCAGGTCGCCTACGGTCACTCTCAACAGACACACGCAGGCCTACCGCCGCCGCCTCAACCGGGGCTACCCGCGCATTATGATCGATCCGTCCACCACATAGAGGCCTCTTTACCCCCATCCGCTGCACACTCGGGCGTACAGCATACGACTCTGCCTGTGGTAGCAGGTCGTTCCCCACGACTGGTCACGGAAGCACACGAGATTCACCCACGGAGCCCTCCGGAGTACGGCCCGGCAGCTGATCTCCGGCGGGGGTCGCCACGTATACATGCTCACCCGGCTGTGCACACTAATGCCTTGGTCGCTTCGACTCGGAGTCCGCGGCTCCTGAGCCAGGCTCCTCCCCCAAGTTCGGCGCCCAAACTTGCCGAAGCAAGCAGCTCCGGAACGACGGTACCCAGCATTGGAGCGCTGATGAACGGTGGGCCACCTAGTAGTGGTTCTCTACCTGCAATTACGACACCGGGTTCAGGCTCTGGAAGAGCCGAAGGGCCGCGAGATATCCCCAGCGAAAAGATCGGGTTCGGGGGTGAGGACATGCGAGCTCTCCGACAGCTGGACCGGGTATTTACAGCCTGAGGCTGAGATCTTTTAGTTGCTATCTCTCCTTTCCTATCGACCAAACACTCCACCTATTGCACATTAGCTCCTCCCTTTCTTTTTTTTTTTTTTTGTTTTTGTGCCTTGCTTTTAAGTACCCGCAGCATAAACGAATCGAACGGATTCGATTCGATGATGTTTTTTTCATGACTGATTTTTTCCCTCTTTTTTTCATCTCTGTCTTTCATCCGGGCACGGCACGGCGTTGTAAGAGGTGCATAATCACGTAAAGCATGGGTGGGGTTATGTTCATGTTCATGTTCATGTTCTGTTTGGTATCCTTCAGCTCTTTTGTGATTTTATTTCTCTTCCCTGCTACAGATTGTTTTTGATTTGCTCGGACCTGACTTGATCTGTTTGATTTATATTTTTATTGTCTTGAGCCATCCAGACTACGGAGGTTGTATTCATTGCATTGATCTGTTATGTTCATAATATGCATTGGGACCGGCCGGTTGGTCGTTCCTTAGATTTACCTATCTATATGTATCTATCTGCTCTATTCAACTCTGGTCTGGTCTGGTCTGATCGGGACGGAGGGGATTGAGCTGAATCGATACCTGTTGATTTGCCCTTCATTCCTTGATTTGCTCTGGTAATTGAATTAAGTTGCACAAGGACTAGTAGGGGTGTGTATTACGGTATAAACTTAGGTAAATAGCAGATATGTCTGTACTATCAAGTAAAAGGCCGATATTAAACGATATTCTGAACACCATTTTAGACAGCCTACTAAACTATTGCATTCCATACATAACATATCCATATCCCCTTTGTGTTCCATCAGATTCATCTCCGCGGCACCGCGGAATCAGTTAGTGTATCATCGGATGAATTCTGGGGGTTCCCCGGCTGAATGACATACTCCATACGATGGGGAGTTAGGCCCGGCTCGCTGGCAGCACTGGTTGTCCCGCTGGTTTGGCTGGCAATGCGGGTGGTGACGCGGGTGTCCTCCTTGAACGGACTAGAAGGGTTGGTTTCCGTTTTCTGCGGCTCATTGCCCTGGCTCTGTGGCTTGATGACCCCCATCTCGACGTAGTGCTCTAAATCGTTGGAGTCCGGCGAGGAGAGACGTCGGTTCCCGGTAATCTCTCGGGCGAAGGTCCGTAGACGTCCTGATTTCCACCAGGAGGGCTTCCTTTGGCCAACACCAACGTCGTTGGCGACAGCGGTCTCAATTTCGTCGCGTTGAGCTATCAGCGCCCGATCCTCGTTCAGCTCGCTGAATCCGCACAGGTTCATGACAATGATCACTAGCAAGGCGGGCGCGTATCCGAGGCCGTAGATCCAACCCGAATTGACATCAGATTTGAGCGGCGAGACCGACCACTCGAACGAAGACATGATGGAGTATCCGATCCTCACACCGAGGAGAGCAATGACAACGAGGAACTCTGACGGGACCTCGTTGATATAGAAGAGTAGTTGACTGAGGACACCGGTTGGTCGAGGCTTGTAGCGGTAGATGCTATGTTCTAGGCTATAGCAAATGACGAGCATGCCGCCCAGCGCCATGAAGCCCGCGGTGCGCCAGCGAACGTCCGTTGCGACGGGTCGAGCGTCGAGTTCTTGCTGTTCGGCACTCCGTTGGCGCTCAATGGCCGACCAGGACCGTGGGACAGTCAGGATAAAATTGACAATGGCAAAAGCGTAGAAGAGGATGGGGAGGGTGAATTCCTGGCCTTCTCGCGTGCTAGGTTTGGTGAAGGCATAAGGATCGCGATCAAAGATTTGCCGCTCTTGCCATGAACCCCTGGTTGTGCATCGTCAGCTGCTACTGGTGGATATATAGAAAAGAGCATGGGGGCTTACCAGTGTCGCACTGCCTCCCAGACAGCCGCCATCAATCCTGGAGTGATGAGTGTGTAGAAGACGCTCTGCATTGTCAAGGCGGCACTCTGCAGATAGCCGCGGTCGACATCGACGCTCATAAAGCAGCTTACGGTGCCGCAGACAGCGACAAACAGCAGCCAGAACCATTTCAACCGGCGACCCATAATATTCCACCGACGGTCGATGGGAAGTAATCTCCGACCATGTTTACGCAGGTTGATCAGGGTGAAGAAGACGGACACGGAAAACATGAAGGCAAAGAACAGGCCCAGAGAGCCATGCTGACCGAGGCGGTTGACGGGGGCATAGCATGACGTCCCATTGACGACGGTGCCGTTTTCTGCGAACAAGTGCGGCTTGAACTCGTCGAATGCCAAGTAGCATTCCGAGCCATTGGAGAGGGTGCCGTTGGTATACAGCGTATAGTTGTAGAGGTTCAAAGCGGTTCGATTGAAATGAACCTGATTAATAAGCACGTCGGTATCATTGGCCCCGGTCTGAAAGGGCGCCAATGCTCTCATGAACAACGAATTCATCTCTTCACCAGCCGCCGACTCGAGGCCGCAGCATTCATCGCGGGCGGAGCTGGAAGTGAGCAGCAGAAAAAGACAGGGGGGGCGAGACAAGAGGAGATAAAAAGAAAGTGGTCGGTACCCACGGAAGAGCCGGAGATTGACGAGGCATGACGGAGGACGAGGTTGTATTCAGGGCCCAGTCAATGATGCGGAGAGAGCCCCTCGACCCAACCGGAGACGAGGAGGCAGTCCCACGGTCGTCATGATCCATGACGGAGGGTGGCTACCAAGTCTGGGTGGGCCAAAAAACGAGAAAGAAGGATGGATTTTTTTTAAAAAAAAAGGATAATGAAGAGGCATAGGGTAGAGAAAGAAAGGAAGAAGACAAGAAAAGACTGAGAATAGATGAAATGATCAAAAAGGGAAAGTGGCAGAACGTGACGATAAGACTTGTCGTAATCGGCCACCAAGTGGCCCCATTTCTGCAGCCATCACCACCATTACAATTATCCCTTATGTTCTGCACAATATCATCAAATGGAATTCTAATAAAAGATGAATTCTCTTAGCATTTGATGCCTATAAAATGGGTTTTTATTATAATTCTCTCCCTAAAGCTGCGGTAGCATTTGACGTGCCTATACGAACTCTTTGAAGACGGGAAAATGGTCCCCTCACGTGCAGAAACAAGTCCAGAAACAAATGTAGACTCCAGAAAGCTATTAGATACTGAAGAATCAACACTTTCAGCTTGGATCTTTGATATAAGTTGACATGGTTTACCCCACCGATTGCAACTGTACAGTATTTAGCTGAGTTACTCTTCTCTGCACGGTAATTCTCGCCCCCTTTAATACATATATCTCTTGCAGAAATAGGTTAACCGGTTTGTGAAATACCATCTAGAGCTTTCTTTAAATATACCCGGAAGTATTATTATCAGCGCGCAAAATGTGAAGATCCAGAATTTATACAATAATGATTTAAGCTCTTTAATAATACACGGCTGAAGTATGGGGTCTTGGAAGAAGATATTTATAATATAGACAAGACTGGCTTCTAAATGGGTGTTGCTTCTCCTGTAAAGGTAATCTGTAGCTCTAAAACCGAGATAGCTATGCAAAGGCTCTGCAGCCTGGAAATCGGAAGTGGGTGACTACAATTATATGTGTTAATTCTACTGGATGGGCTTTGCCTGTGCAGATTATTCTTGTAGTAAAAAAGCACTAATCTCATTAGTATTCTCTAATCCCACATACTTAACAGATTAGTCTGAGTGAGAATGGCTGAATAAATAATATACTTAGATTTAACTAGCTGTAGGAGGTCTTTCAGAGTTAAAGAGTTATACAGCTTTAAGAACTATTAGCTAGCATATAAAATGTTAGTTCTAGATAACCACGCAAGCCATGCCGCTGCAGAGTTTGATAAATTCTGTATAGAAAGGATGATTATTCCTTTATATATATACCTCTACATTTGTTACATATCCTACAGCCATTAGATGTGAGCTGCTTTAGCCCAATAAGGCACTACTATAGCCAAAAGACTGCAGGGATGACTGAAAAAAAGAGTTTACTTAATTACTAAAGGTAACTTCTTATCTCTCTATTCTACCACTTATCAATGTGCTTTATCATCTTCAAATACTGCAAATTCTTTCGAATCCAGAGTACTTTTAAAGCTTCTTTAAACTAACAACACCAACACCACCATCTACAGCACACAGCAACCAGTCATTTAGCTCGGGGAGACACCTGCAGATATCTCGCAACTTGAGCAGCAAAAGAAGCAAATCTAATAACTTCGAAACCAAGATAATATATCACCATCTGTTGGTAGCCAGACGGTGGATAAATTTATTAAAGGTGCAGAGATTACAATGCAGAATGCTCTTTCACTACGCCATGAACTTAAGAGCCTTCGTACAGATGAGAAGTAGAAGAAGAAAAGAAAAGCACCTTGCAAATTTAAACAGCACGGAAGAAGCCTAAGAGGTAGAAAGGGTCTACAAAGAATTCAGGATCTTAACCAGTAGAGTTAGTACAGCATCCAGTATCTCAGTAACAGAAAGGAAACCAGAGTGCGGCATCTGTGACCAAACAGGCCATAATTAGCTAAAATGCCCAAGAATGTAGAATAATGTATAGTATAATGAAGTTCTGGTGGTAATTTGAATTTGTCCGTCAGGGGACTGGTTGACCTTCTCTTGGCAAAAAAAGGCCACTTGGTGTCTGATGACGTAACGTCATCTAGTCTTAGTTACCTAAGCAGGAGGCCACGGATTCACATCTCACTGACACTGCCATCCCTCGTAGCGAATATGCGCCAGGATGGCTTGCAGGGGAACACGATCATTCTCGCTGGGGGTGTCTCTGGCCAGCATCTGCTCGGCCACTTTCTGATACGCCAGTTTGTGGGCATGACCGTGTTCCTCACTTCGAAGTACAGCCACTTCCGACAGCGAGCAAGAACTCGCACCTTGTCAGATGCAGCCAACCCGTCTAATTCGTCCTGACAGTGTCCAACAGGGGCCCCTCAGGTCAATACGTGCTGTTCGATCTCGGTCGCAGGCAATTAGTACGTCACGTTCTGCACTAAAACCGCCAGCTCCACAACCTTAAGAGGTTGCTTCACTTGCAGCATGAGACCCGTGGTCTGATGCCGAAGAGCGCATCTGCCCGTGAAATGGCCACTGATGTGGTCTGCCAATGTCTCCGAAAGGGAGGTATATGTGCGGGTCTTTCGTCCACGCTCGACGCCTTGGGCTCAGGGGTATAGATGACCGGGAGAGGCTCGCCGAAGACGACTCCATCCGAATACAGCGGAGCCGGATTCGTGGTGTCCGTTTTGGGGCTGCAGATCTGTGCGGTGATATTTAGGGGCAGTGGAATTAGATGCGAGAAATGCTTGGGGCCATATATACCCGGGCTTACGGGCGCCAGTGAGATGGCCTACGTCGCGGAGATCCCAAACTGCAGACACATGGTCTAGCAAACGGATACTCTCGCCGTCGAAATCGTGCATCCGGACCCGCGACGTGATTGATGTCGATGGCAGATATCGCGGTCGGGGGGATGAGCTTGGCCCTCTGTTGACGAGCCGATGCACCCTGTAGTTCAAGGCGCGAATGGCGTTTCCATCGGTGGAAAGGAACCTGTCGATGTCGTCGAAGAGGTCTGGGTTAGGTTGCACGGTGGGAGGAGTACTTCACAGCATTCGGAGGCGATTGGCTAGGTAGATACAACCATACTTGTGGACCGAGATTGCTGCCCTCCAAAGGATACCTTGCTGCGTCGTCGAGGACAAAAGGGATTTATTCTTGGCTCTCTCTCAAAGAATCCAGCATCCTTCCAGCACATAGAGCAGGACCGGATTCTTGACAGCCTTCACCCAGAGCTGAACTCGTTCGGTGTCATCGAATGCGGATGCGCAGGCGAGCAGCCATCCAACCACTTCGTAGGGGGCTCATACTCGGTCACGTCTTCAAAGAGCCGTAAATACTCCAATTGAATGGCTTCGGCTTGTCGAATCTTGCAGGCTTCGAATGTCCCGGGGGGTGCAACGGAGAGGTTCATACTGGATTAACAAGTAGAGTGTTCCTATACCAAAGGTGTATATCAATGAGGATATGTTGAAATGCGGGAGACTTGGACCTCATATCGTACCGTTCATGATGAGATAAACCGACTCTGCCTACGTGGCACCTGCGCAAGCGTCCCGGACTGCATTGAAATACAGAAGTTCTGAAGGACGAAGGGGGAAGCTTTACATAATCTCGACGCCTTGCATTGGAGATCTCTTGGATGCCTGAGATGCGTATAGAAGAGAAGAGATTCCAGGTTTATAGTTGAGGAAATGGTCTGACCATGGAATATTGTTCTAGATTCCTACCTTTCTCACCTCTCTTAAAAGTGTAAGAAGTATAGAACAGTATAGATCACTATCCCAACCTCTACTTTCTGGGTCACAAGACTGGCCTTACAGACATATCTAATCATCATGAATACATTATTCCAGTTACTTCCGTTTAATCCACTGGATTTAGTTCAATTTAAAAGAAGCAACGATTCCTTCGAGCGAATGGACCGGCAGTCACACAGATGCTACGTCAGTCAAATGTTTGTCTTCTCCCTCTCGACTTCTTCATTCACTCCTTTCCAGTTCTTTCGTCTACCCAACGAAAGATTCCTAGACATCTCCCGTTCTTGTGGTGTGAGCCTACACTTTTGATGCACTCATTAATATTATCTCAAGCCGTCCCTAGACATAACCTTGAATTGACTTCCAGCGGCACGCATATCTACCGCGTTTATTAAATATGCGCCTTCACCTCTTCTCAGGCTTAATAGCTGTCTTTCTTTCCCCAGCACTTTCCCTCGAGCTTATCGAGTCCAGGGCACTCAACCTCTGCTCGGACAGCTTGAGCTTAACCGCCGCACACTTCAATGTCGTCTTTACGCCTCATAACCGGTCCATGGCCCTAAGTTTAGACGGCTCGTCGAAGATCGCGGGGCTCGTATCTGCAGACCTTATTCTGACAGTATATGGGTATACTGCTCTGCGGAAGACATTGGATCCATGTGAAATGAACCTCGATGGCCTGTGTCCGGTTAAACCAGGACCACTTCCGATGATGAGAACCAATATCAAGATCTCAGATGATGTGGTTGCGCAAATCCCTCGTAAGCACCAAGCATTCCCTAACAGAAGAGAGAAGATACAGCCTAACAGATGCGCTCGCAATACCCAGGGATTGCATATACCGTCCCCGATCTCGACGCCTCAGTCCGAGTGTATATCAACTCCACAGAAACCAGCCAGCCCATCACCTGTATCGAGGCGGCTCTCTCCAATGGGAAATCGGTCTATCAGTCAGGAGTAGGATGGACAACGGCCATTATTTCGGGGCTAGGTCTGGCTGCTTCTGCCATCACTTCTAGTCTGGGGCACTCCAAGACCGCCACGCACATTACGGCCAACGTCGTCTCCCTCTTCGGCTTCATGCAATCTCAGGCAATGTTCGGGATGGCCTCCGTCCATATGCCGCCAATTGTGCAGTCCTGGACCCAGAACTTCCAGTGGAGCATGGGAATTATTCACATTGGTTTCCTGGAAAGGCTGTGCACTTGGTACCAGCGTTCGACAGGGGGAACTCCGTCAACGATCCTGTCCAACCTAACCGTCACCTCGGTGCATGTGATGAGAAAGCGATCATCTGAGGCTCTCGAGCGTGCATCAGAGCTACTGAAAAGGGTTGGACAGAAACCAGTCAGCAATGGTGGCGCCATTGTTGCCCGTGGAATCCAGCGAGTAGGATTTAGAGCTGGGATTGAAGTGAGCAATATATTTCTGACCGGCTTGATCTTCTTTATCATCTTTGTCGCTATCATGATGCTTTTAGTGGCGGTTTTCAAGGCGGTTTGCGATATCCGTGCTCGATCCGAGGGGCGACATACTCTCAAGGACTTGCGAGATAGATGGAACCTGGTGGCGAAGGGCATCATGTTTCGGTTGATTCTGATTGGATTTCCCCAGATGCTGATCCTTTGCCTGTGGGAGTTTACCCAGCATGACTCTGCAGCTGAAATCCTCCTTGCCGTGATGGTGCTCCTGGGAATGAGCTTGACCGTAGGCTTTGCAGCTTATAGAGTCATCGCTCTGGCAAGGCAGTCGTTGGCCTCCCACCAAAACCCGGCATATCTTCTCTACTCCAACGCCTCATTTCTGAACCGATGGGGGTTTCTATACGTGCACTATAAGGCCACGGCATACTACTTTATTGTCCCTTCACTGGCCTATACGATCCTCCGCGCAAGCTTCATCGGGCTGAGCCAGGAGGCGCCCGTGGTCCAGACAGTGGCTCTGCTTATTGTTCAGACCTCCATGCTGATCGCAGTCAGTATCTGTCGGCCCTGGATGAACAAGAAGACCAACATTTACAATATCTCGATTACCGCCCTCAATTTTGTCAACACCATTTTCCTCCTCTTTTTCGCCGACGTGTTCAACCAGCCCGGCCTTGTGACCGGGGTGATGGGAGTCGTTTTCTTCGTGTTTAACACGGCGTTTGTCTTGATTCTTTTGATCTTGATCTTGATTGATTCTCTCTATGCAATCCTGTCGAAGAATCCCGATACTCGGTACCAACCAATGCAGGACGACCGGGACTCTTTTGTTCGATCGCAGAGTCAGCTGGTGACGGCCGAGCTCAGTGCGCTTGGCGCCACGGCTCGCGGTGATGTTGCGGGTTCATTATCCAAACCGAGTCAGCCCTTCTGCGAGGAACCGCTAGTCTCTAATGGGAAGACAAACAGTCGAAGCCGCCTCCATGGGGAAGAATCGAGTGGAGACGTCACGCTGCATGAACGACGCTCCCTTACACCGGTGGATCTTTCCGTGGTGTTTCCCCAGGATCAGCATTGATGACAATATGGGGTACGACGTGCTCCTTACTCTGTACTTGTCCATTAATTATCGGAATTGCATGGGTTCTTCCCTAGTAGAAGGGTTGTTGATAGGCGGTTTAATCTACCTTTCTTATTCATAATGCAGTATTGTATAAATACCAGGTAGTACGGAGTACCTTGTCTACGCTTTGACAGCACCCAGCCATCTTTGGAGACAGGACAAATCTCTCAAGAAGATGCGGTACTTTTGTAGTCTTGCTGCCCAAGAGATTCTCTCTCGATCCCTAGCAACCACCGAGCAAGGAGAGGAAGTTAGTTAGGCATCTTTAGGTTCCTACACAGCAGTTTCCAGAGTTGGTCCGGCCAATCTTCTGATGAGGGCTCTCAGTCGTCACTGATTGGACTACGGGTGTGACGAGTCGTACTGGGGATGTCGTTTGTTGTGTACCTTTAGTATTTTGTACGGAGTACACAGATCCTGCCTCTGTCGCTCGGCGTTCATTAGTGAGACGACTGGTCGGCAGATCGACAATCCATTAGTCATGGTATTTAGTGGTGGCATGTCTATTATTCCCTAGTCTGGATAGATGGGTATGTAGGCTACCGAAGACAGCGTGATCAATGGAATGGAATGGTAAGGAATGAGGGAGCAAATGGACAATGCAGTTGAACTTTAAATTTACCCCGCATTTCTCTGAGTACATACAATACAAGTCAACTTATATCTAGAATAATAATAATGCAAAGCACAGAGTACATACAGTAATTAAAGCATACTATAGACATAGCATGAATGGATAGTGTCTGGGGTAAATGTCACTGTAGCAATCTAAAGAACTTCCCAGAATGGAAACAATAGTAATAAACCCCATCCCTGCCCGTGCATCACACCATCGGATTCGCTTTCGATAGGTCCGTTCTCGGGTTACTTTCCTTGGGCACGAGGCCAAGTAGTATCGTTGTATTACAGTACGAAGTACCCTTGATATATCTTACCATACAGTCTAGATAGCAATAACAACTATATATATCCAAGCTTAGAGTTCATCCAAGTAGGTACCACGCAAGGAGATAGTTTAACACCGCCACAGGACCGAAATTCTGTGCTTGCGGGCTATAAGTGTAGCAAACCGTGCTTCATCAGTCTCCAAGTGAATTCCTTGATTCTTGCGAGTGTTAGATGGAACGCTGGATATTATGGCTCCACCGAACAATGGACGGGAGTACCCTCCCGGGTCCACTTGTCATCCATGGGTCTATCCAGATGTCTGATATCTACTGTTTAGATCAGACGCACAGTAGTAGCATTCTATCGGCTATATTATTGCGTAGAGATTATAAAGGCATTTATATTGCTTGTCTGACCATTAACATGGCTAGTTTTGGGTAGGACCTACGAAGCGCTTTATAATCTTGTCTAGTCTCTAACTCTAGTCCGTATTTTTATCTAGATCTCTACTTATCAATATGAGTATAACCTCTAGCTTATCCCATAAAAGAGATACAGAGCATTAGTTCCTGACATGGCTCAGAAGTTGAGGCCAGGAATGTTTGAAGTTGAGTAACCGGATTTCCCCGCTTGGTAAGCCGTGTTCATCTGACACCAACATTCTCTCGATCGCTTAGTAGACCTTTTCACCCCAGACATGATCATCAAGCTTAATCTTGGACTCGAACCAGCCGAAAAAATAAAGACAAAAAAAAAAAAGAAAAAGAAAAAGAAAAAGAAAAATGGAACTAACTTTCCACCAAGCCTCCTGTCTGGTGAGACGGAGTGCTTTGCTCTCCATTCCAACCGGTTTCGAGGTCAGGATGAGGTCCAAGCACTCGGAGATATTGGGCCAATGAGGGGTATGGAAGACTACGAGGATTTTTGATACAATACGGAGTACTTGGTACGGTTGAGAAACCAAGGAAGGAAGGATAAAACATGGAATAAAAGATAAAGGGATACGAGGGTTTAATACTATAATCAATCAGAATATACTCCGTAATAAAAATGAATGTCCGTGCTGAACGATCTGGCCCACTTCCCCAGATTGTCATCAGTATGAGTGATTTTTTTCCTCTTCCTACCTGTCAGGACATGACTGGGATGTTCGATCTTGGGTATGCGAATTCTTCGAACCAGTCACTAAGTAGGAGACTAAGAGGATAAATGTAGGGAGCTCCTATCCATTCCCATCATTTCCTCCATGAGAAAGTGGGCTGCGGTGTCACTGCTCGATGGACCAGTGGTACTCCGTAGCGTGGGGAGGGAGTGGGTGGCGTCCAGCTGAGTGGGAGCCGTGTCATCCTTGGTGGATATGCAAGTCATCACTTTGAGATGGATTTTCCATTCGTATTTTTAAATTTTAGGATTTGGTTTTCCTCCGGCTTCAGTAACTAATGACCATTCGGGTGATTAATGCTCGAGGGACCTACCGATTTGGGCAGCTACCCTGGTCGTCCCTACCAGTCTAGATGCGATGGACTTGGAGGTAATTTAGTAATGACGGTACGGAAAGTCAATACCTGCTTGGTAACACCCAACTGAGAAAAGGATCATCCGCCTCGTCATCTGCTGATCTGATGTTCTTGTACTTGTACTTACTTGTACCTCTTGTCTGTACTTGTACTTGCATGTGTATCCATTAAAGTTCTCAGGTGCAGGAAACCAAATCTAAATCAACCAAAATCCTCCCAAAACGGACGCCATGATGCTCCTCAATTAGTCGCCTTCATTCCGGTCGAGTCGAGTGACTTCCGGTCCAGTCGATCAAAAGGTTTGCCTCGTCCCAATTCATTTCTCCATGGCTGGATTTAATACGATGTTGATGAAGAGGAAATCTCTTCTTAAGCCCTCTTTGTCGCCATCTTTTCTGCAAACCTGACTGTACCAAAACCTGTTAATTTTTTATTTTATTTTATATATAATTTATTAACAAACTAGGTACTCCGTAAGGTTGCTGGCTCCCCACTCAGGGACATTTGTACTTCGTCTCTATTCCCCTCCCCTCCCTCCCCTCTCCCTCCTCTCTCTCTGTGTGTCTCTCTCTCTCTTTCGGCTTGAATTAATTAACTCCTCCCAATCCTCCCGTCGTTGCCCCTCTTTTTTTTCTCATCATTTTCCTCATCCTTTTTGATCCTCCTGACCTTTCGGCGGCTGTCTCTCATCCGTCGTTTTTACTTTTTCTTTTTTTTAAGAAAACTCTCTTATTCTCCCCTCTCTCATCTCTCGAGAGAGGTCCATATGGTAAATGTTGTCCATGCAGAATAGCTCCGCCTTGGTTCATCCTTCTTCCTCCAATCTCAACGACCTTCGTCATCGCCAACATGTCATCCCCTCCAGCTCCACCCATTCCGAAAGTATCTCGGAAATCTCCGCTTTCACCGATTACTCGTTGATGGACGACTCCTCCGTCTCCCATCGTGCCAGTATTAGTACCGATGACATCTCGACCGAATCGCTCGAATCTTGGGATGGGGATGGCCTCGCCGACAGTTCACCCACCGCAGAGGTCGAGGTCAAGATCCACGATGTCGCTCATCCGCTCGGCGTCGCCTCGACAAAAACCTTCCAGTTCAGCTTGGCCACAGCCCAGGATTCGCCCCTGTCGATGGGCGAGGTGACGCCCAAGGTCGAGGAGGTCGAGGAGGTCGACGACCTGCAGAGCATCAAACCTTTGGGAGTGGAGCCTCCGATGGTCAATGCAGACTCAACCCATCTGGATTCCACGGCTACTCCCGTCACCGTTCCGCGGAAACGTGGACGACCGCGCAAACACCCCCTGCCCATCCCCGGAGGACAGGTCAAAATCACCAAAGGTCGCTCCAAGACCGGTTGCATCACCTGTCGACGACGGAAGAAGAAATGTGACGAGACCAAGCCATCGTAATGCCCTCCTAGTCTCCGAACCGTGCCGCGGTCGCTGAGATTAACTGTTTTATCCAGGTGTTTGAACTGCCAGAAGAATGCCGTTGTGTGTGAAGGATATCCTCCGAAAGAGATTTGGAAAAGTGGGAAGCAGAAAATGGAAGATGGTATTTTTATCTTTGCTTTATTTGGTCTTTATTCTAAGATTGTCCAGCCGCCCGGTCCCAATGCATGATCACTCGCACCCTCCCCTTCTTGATCGACGGAATCGAAAGCGATATCGACCGACGGTTTCTGGATCATTTTGTATACGGCTTTAGTCGCGTGTTGACGCTCATCAACGACGACTCCAACCCTTTCAAAGAGATCCTCCTTCCCATGGCGACGCAACATCGTGGTTTAATGCATTCGCTCATGTGCCTGTCGGGGTCCCATTTGTCCGGCATGAACCCGGAGCCCAAGGTCATCGAGCGCAAATATCACCACTTCCACCGGGCGATCCGAGACCTGAAGAATAACATCAAGGCCTCGTCACAGGGTTCAGAGGAGCCGGAGCTACTGGTGGAGGACCCCATTATCGCGTCGACGATTGCGCTGAGCCTCAACACGATCTGCGAGGGGGAGACGAACGGCGAGTACCGGCCTCACATGGATGCCGCACGGTATCTACTGGTGACACAGAAGCCGCGGAACGAGAAATTCCGGCAGTTCATTGTGGAGTTCTTCCAGTACCACGATGTGTCCAACTCGATCACATCACTGGACCGACGGCCAGCGCATCTCAACGGTGAGCTGCGGTTGCCGGATTTTGTGCCGCACGCGCAGGCGGGGATGTTCCTGGGAGTGTTTGACGGACTGTTCAACTACATCTCGGAGGTGACGCGGCTGCGAGACAGGATCCGAAAGCGACACAACGAAGGGCACGAGCCGGCAGTGGACTACCAGATCCTGAGCGAGGCGGTGTCGATCGACTCGGCGATCCGGGCGTGGGAGACGTCGCACGCGGCCAACACGCCGAACTGGGCGCTGGCACAGCTGTACCGGCAGTCGACGTGGGTGTATCTGTACAGGACAATCCGGCCGTCGCGGCCGAGCGAGAAGATCGCGCAGGTGGTGGATGACGGGCTGGCGTATCTGGACCAGCTGCCGCAAGATGCGGGGGCATACAGCATCGTGCTGATGCCGCTATTCCTGCTGGGATGTTCAGCGTTTGAGACGCGACAGCGGGAGCGCATCCAGGGTGGGTTTGAGTCGTTGAAAGCGTACTCGAATCTGCGGAATATCGAACCGGCGCTTACGGTGGTGGAGAAGGTGTGGGAGGTGATGGATCAGAAGATGGAGGAGAGTTGGGATTGGGAGAAGATTATCCAGTCGATGAACATGGACTTTTTGATTACATAGTGTATAATATGTAAAGTACTTCTTGCTCTATCATTCGATAACCATATCATTCGGTAACCATATCATATACTATATACCATATCCATCCATCTACCATGTACTCCGGAGTCCTAAGACAGGTATAAAAAACCCAACAATCAAAATCCAATCAACGAAAGAAAGAAAGAAAAAAAAAGACAGAGGGAGAAAGAAAATCTACGCCCCAATCTTCAAAGTAAAAGAAGTATCAATAGGACACCCATGAGTCGCATGATCATCCGTCGGCTGCAGGTACACCTGCGCACACTGCGAATCGCCCGCAGCACAACTAACAGTAGGGCAATCGACATCAACGTAACTCGGCTGCACGGAGAAGCCATGCTTGGTAAACTCCGACCCCGAACCCAGGTCGATATTACTCATGTCCCAGAAAATCTTGTCTCCGGACTGGGTATACTCGAACTGCAGCACATCGGACTGATCGGGCGACGTGGAGAGTTTGATGGAGATGCCGCCGCCGTTGCTGTTGGATTGCCAGTTCTCCGTGTAGGACCCACCGCCCGCAGAGAGGGTGTGCATGTTACTGACTCTATCAGAAACAGACCACGCGTAGACGGTGGAGTCCATGTTGTTGAGAATGTTGACACCTCCAGAGGCGCCGCCGCCAGGGGTGGTGGTAGGGGCGGACGAGTTGGAGTCACGCCGAGAGATCACCGAGTTGTTGTAGGGGAGGGCCGTGGAGACGGTGGCGGCCGCGAGGAAGACAGGAAGGAAGAACATTTTTGTATATATAAGGATTGTATATATAATGATTGTATATGTAAGGATTGTTAAGACTGTATAAGAAGTAGATAGTCAACAACGAATGAGTCAACTAAATGATAGTAGTCAGACAAGGAATGATCTGACTCAAGTCCGTTCAACAGACAGATAAACAAGGAATGAAGATAGAGAGAGAATGAAGATAGAATGAAAGTATGATTGAAGGAAAGAAAGAACAGAGGAGTTCAGAGGTTTATATCTTCCCTCGGCTGTTCCTGACGCCACCAGGGACAAAACTTTAATCGATCCACTGGTTCTAGAGCTCGTGTCAACAGCCCGATCTGGATACTTGGATTACCTCATATTTATTTAATCTATCTCTGTTACTACTTCTAGTAATCCATCTACTACTCTGCTACTGCTCTTCTACTTTTTACTAGTATGGGTGCATGCCATGTCAACTACAGTCCCTAGACTAGACTTATACTGGGCTAAAAAGTAGACTAAAATCAAGATCTAGAAGGTAGAACGCGTAAATATCATCACCCAATCAAATCCATATAATGGCGCCATAAACCCTGCACAAACCTAGACAAACGTGCAAATCTACATGTCGAATTCCCCAAACGGGAAATCCACGCACATGCAAAGTCAAAGTCAAAGTCAAGTCCAACTAACTCTGCGTGGAAATAAAAACCCTTTGTCAATCTTGGCATTTCTAGCCGGTCGCTATCCGGTCTGTGGCAATATCCGCCCTCTTTGTCGTGTCCCTAGTTCTCCACTGGATCCATGGGTCCAAAGAGGAGTCTCAAACACAGTCTAACAAACGGGATGAACAATTTTCAGGCGGACCCACTTTTCCGACAAAAATTCTGCTATTCATTGTTTTCCCATTGGTTCTCTTCATCGGCAGCTTATCCCTTGGATCCACTCTATTCATTCTCTATTCCACATCCATTGACATTCATGTATCCATCATGGATTGGAGTCCTCGAGACTATATCCATTCATATCCATTTCCATCATTTACATCATCTCCACCATTCATGCTACGAGTCTCCAAGACATAGAGGATCCACAAGAAGAAAGAAAAAAGAAGAAAGGAAAAAAAAAATTTTTACCAATATGGGGCCCGTAATCCAGTCAAACTCAACTCTGTCCCCTCCCGCTTACGATGTCCCGCGAGTTCCAGATTGATCTGTCGGTGCACATGCACTAACCAGTCCACGTAGCTCTGTGCCTCGTTATTCCGGTCCTCCAACAGTAACCGCGCAAACTCATACTCGGCCCCGTCCAGTCCCTGCCGCGCCAGCTGGACCGTCGTTGCTTTCGACCCCCGCACCGTCGCCAGGTACTGGATCAGGTTGCGCACTTGCGCGTTCAGATGCGTCTCCAGCACCGGCAGTGTCGACGTCTGTGGGTTCAGCCCCGCCAGCGTCGTCTGTCCTTCCCCAAACAGATCCTCTAGCAGATTCGGCGACACATGTGCGTGCAGCCAAAGCAGGCACCCTTGGCCATGATCCACCAGGTACGCGCCCCCTTCCTCGATCTTCGAGTAGCTGGCTCGCAGTGTCGGCGGTACCTGCAGTTGCCCCTGCGCGTTAGGGAATCCGTCTTCCGGCTGGAGGTTGTGGATCGGGATGATGCGTGGGTACAGATAGAGCGCCAGCTCCGTGCATCCCATCGACCGCAACAGTCGCATGTCGTGAATGCGTCGGTCCGATGCTTCTTGGCCGCCTGGTTGGGTCAGTTTAGATCGATACTCAGTGGCCATCGCATTTACCTTTGAGCGCCCGTGATTTTAGCAAACTCAGCATGTACATGGAAAATTCCTTCAGGTTCTCCGGCAGAACCAGCTGTCCCGGCGGATGTGACCCCGAGAAGATTCGTCGATAACCGCTGAAGATGTCTACCGTCTTCTCCGTCACGCTGGCCCGGATCTCCGACAGAGGTTTTTCCACCGTTTTAGATGCGGCTATTCAGTCAGCATGGAAAATTAAAAAAAATAAAATAAAATAAAATGAAAAAAAATAAAATCAAAAAGAAGAGAGAGACAGGGAAATAGGACGTACCCTCCTTGGCCATCAGGCTCACCACCGCATCCTGGTCCACAAACTTCATCGTCTCCAACCCCCCCTCATTCACGGCTGCCACCGTGTTGATGCAGCGTACACGCCGTTGTCCCGTGGCCGACGTGTACAGCAGCGCCGCCTGGAAGTGCGCGTCCAGCGCGCGGTCCAGCTTGCCGTCGTAGCTGAACAGCACGCCGATCGCCTTGTCGGCATCGATGGCACCCATCTCCAGATCCGCCCCCAGCGCATGTTGCACGAAGTTGCCGTGGTAGCCCGCCACCTGTAGCCCGTTGGAGCAGCGCACTTTCATCAGCGCCTGGTATCCCGTCTCGCGTGTGACCGCATGCGCCAGCTCCAGCGCCAATTTGCGCAGGTCGCGCGGCGCGTGGAAGTTGGGGTAGAAGAACGTCTCGCCGCCGGTGATTTCGGCGATGTGACCTGTATATTTAGCACGTATTATATAGATAGAGAGCGAGAGAGACCTACCGATGGTCGCCACGTCCACGTAGGTACCGCCCGGCGCCGCCACGAACATATCCACACCGATGCCCGCCTCAGCCAACTGTCCAGCTGCCGTGCGCCAGGCGGTATGATCGGTGGTGAACAATTTGCGTTCGGCCTCCGTGCCGTGTACCTTGGGGTCGTCGCGCATGACCAAACCACCGGGTCCGCCCGTGGGGAGACCGGACACGGCGGCGATGACCTTGCCGCCGGTGGCCTGGAGCGCTGAGCGGGCAGCGTTCAGCGCGGGCAGCAGCGCCAGTTCGGGGATCTTGAAGGGCGCAAAGATGCTGGGGATTTGCTGGAGTAATGAGGTGATGATTTCCCTAGTTCTGTTAGTCTTCCTCGGCGTTCTTCCCTCCGTTCTCTAGATTCCGTACCGGGATTCATAAGGATCGACAAAGAGCCCCTCGCTCAAGGGCACGAACGGTTCGTCGCGATCGGTCATGACCATCATCTGGGCGCTGTCGAGTTGCGCCTGTTTCGTCAGCATTGCGTGCATAGAGGCAGCAGGAACGAGAACCTACACTGAGGTTGTAAAAGTGCACATCACGGTCCACAGTGACAATGCCAACCTTGGCGCCTTCGGGAATGCGTCGCTCGTCGGACGAGGCGTGATCGCCGTACAACGCCTCGAGGATGCCCTGACACACGCCGCGGAGGAAGCCGCGCTGGACGGACTCCTGGCTGGTATCGACGACGAACAGCCACTGTATACCGACGGGCTCCTTGTTCCAGTACTCCTTGGGCACAACGAACTCGACGGTGCCCATCATCAGCTCGGGACGCTGCAGACGGTCGACACGTGCACCAGAGGGATCGAGGGGGGCGAAATACTCCGGGGGCACGTCGTTGGGGAAGGTACACATGTTACAGACGAACTTGTTGCCGCCAGATCGGAAGGACATGAAGGGATTGATATACGTGCGACAACGCCGACACCGCGGTGGACCGACGTCGCCAAAATCCAGTACGGGCACGGGCTGCTCGCCGGGGTCCTGGCGCGCCAACGGCTGCAAGATCATACCCAGAGGCAGACCGGTGGAGGCGAGGAAGTCGGCGGTCGTGGGGATGTTGTTCAGGGTGAGACGTGCGTACTTGGGCGAGGCATTGCCCTGATCGTGCGCGACGAAGGGGATGGCGGCGGGGGGGGGAAGATGGCGTTCCATGGTGGGATACACATGGTTCAGGTAGTATTGAGCAGGCAGGTCGCGCGATCGAGGGACACTGGGTATCTGTTCCGGATCAATCTTGCCCTGAGTTGGCACGGCGGCGGAGGTGGAGGAGAGGGGGGGATTCGTCGGAGGAGGATGAGCGGGAGAGGCAGCAAATTGCGGTGTCTGATTTAAGCCCGTGTTGAGGAATTGGGTTGAGGTATGGTCGAGAGGTGCCAGAGGAGCACTCTGGGAGGGAACGGCAGTGGCGATGTCATGGTGAGCATGGCGATGCTTCTTCTTGGACCGAGGAGGGTCGTTCACGATGCCTAAACCTCCGAATTGAGAGGAGAGAGCGGGGAGGTCTTGGGGATTGGGATCCATTTCATGATAGACCAGAAGAAAGAAGACAATAAAGAAAAAACAACAACAACAACAAGAAAGAACTAGGTCAAGAGAAGAGAATAAGAGATCAAATCTAGAGATCTACAGAGTAGAGGAAAACAAACGCAACGTAGACCATCGGAGGAATGTTGTTCCGGCCGTATCGTCTATAGATCTGCGTATATTCTCGATATTTACTCTATATTCTTGTCTCTATATTCTATGTCATATTATTGTATATTCTCTATAATATATGTCGATTCTTATCGGATTGTGACATAGTATTGCTGGATTAATGTAGATTGAATATCTCTAGTTTCTCTACTTTGGCTGTCTTATATAGTCTATAATATGCAAGAATACATACAATTACATACTTGTTTCTTTATCTTACGGTCATTACATACAATTATTACATGCATTTTGTTTATATGTCCTGACTCATCATGATCCTGAGGCAAGGATCTCTATCTCACTATATATTCACCGCCATCTATGTCCATATCTAGATCTATAGATAATTATCTATAAATGATATAGAATGACATTCAAACAGGTCTCTATCCTCTATGATGATCAAGATGAATCATATATTGACTTAGTAAAGGAACTCCGCCGCGAATTCTCAGCCTGGTCCACCATCTCCTATGCGATCTCCATCCTCGGTATCCTGGGCTCGGTCCCTGCTACTCTAGGCGCTCCTCTGGCTGCTGGAGGGCCTGCCACCGCCGTCTGGTGCTGGGCTCTGGGTTCCCTCATGGCTCTTGCTATCGGCAGCTCCGTGGCTGAGTTGGTCTCTGCCTATCCCACGGCGGGGGGCATGTACTTTGTCGCCAAGTACGTCGTGCCGCCGCCTCAGGTGCCTTTATTTGCCTGGATGCAGGGCTGGAGTAATCTGCTGGGTCAGACGGCCGGCGTGGCCAGTGTGACCTATACCGTCAGTCAGATGGTGTTGGCGGGTGTCAGTATGAACTATTCTTATTCTCCGTAAGCTATCCATCTATATCTATAGATATAGATCTAGAGGTCATTGATCTATGATCTATGATCTATGATTGATATATATTGATAGAACCCCCGTCCATACCGTCGTCCTCGCCATATTCCTGCTGATCCTCCTGGGTCTCGTCTGCTCGCGGTCCACCAAAACCCTCCATCGCATTGTCTTCTGGTTTGCCCCAATTAACAGTACGGGTCTCTCCTAATCTTATGCCCAACGCTCTATGTGTGTCGTGCTAATCAGTCAGTTCTGGCTTCCCTCGTCATCTGTCTTGTCCTCCTGCGCTCTCCGAATCAGCAGCCCTTTACCTGGGTCTTCACCCACTTCACCGATGGTTCAGGCTACGGATCAAAGCTATTCTCCTTCCTGTTGGGCTTCATCTCCGTGGCCTGGACCATGACGGACTACGACGGGACCACTCAGTATCCCATCCATCCCTAATAGATCATGTCGAACAAAATCTAATAATAAAAATATAGTATGTCTGAAGAAACCCACGACGCCGCCACTCTTGGTCCGCGCGCCATCCAAACCGCCGTGATCATCTCCGGATTTCTGGGCTGGATCCTCACGGTGTGTCTGTGTCGTCATCTGACTGATTTCGACGCCATCATGAATTCCTCCACCGGACTCCCCGCCGCCCAGATCTTCCTGAACGTCGCCGGTCCCTCCGTCGGTTCTCTCATGTGGGCTATGGCGATCCTGGTGCAGTCCTTCACGGCTTGTTCTGCCATGTTGGCCGATACTCGTATGGTTTATGCCTTTGCAAGGGACGAGGCCTTGCCGTTTTCCGAGTACCCTCCTCCATCATACCTAGATTTGAGATAAAAACAAACACTAATATGTTATATTATATGTAGGATATTGTCTGAGATCAACACCCAAACACTGACCCCCGTGAATTCAGTCATCTTCGTCGTCATCTTCAGTATCCTCCTGACTACCATCGCCCTGGCCTCGACCAAGACTGCCACTACCATCTTCAGCATCACCGCCCCGGCTCTGGATCTCTCTTACGTCGCTGTGATTCTGGCCCATCGGCTCTATCGTCATCGTGTCCCGTTCGTCGCTGGCCCTTTTACCCTGGGGAAATGGACCCCGGTCGTCAATTGGGTGTCGGTCTTCTGGGTGCTGTTTATCAGTACCGTGTTGTTTTTTCCGCCTTCAGTGCCGGTTACCTGGGAGAATATGTATGTCTTGTTTATCTGTCTACTTATATATGGCTGTATAATAATAATGTGGTAGGAACTATGGCTTTGGGGTTGGGTCGGGAATCGCCCTTTTCGCTTGGCTGTGGTGGCGTGTTGATGCCAATGGGTATGTCTATTGATTATTTTATTGTTTGGAATATCTTGCTAACGGCCTAGGAAATATACCGGTCCTCGCACCGCTGACTTTCAGTCCATTCCTCAGTCCGATTATGACCCTCTTGAATGATCCTATCATATCCATATCCATATCCGTACATTTAGATCCATCTATAGATCTATAGACATACAGCATCCATAAATCCAGTTTGTTAACTCCCCACCACAGCCAGTCCCTCGTAGATCTTCCGTTTCACCGCTAGAAAACTCCCTCCTCGCGACGGCTGCACTGCCGCTTCCATCTCGATCTTCCCCGTCCCAGACTTGCGCACCGCTACCATCCCATCGATCAGCAGCGTGCCCTCGCCCCGGAACTCTGCCTTGTGTCCTGCCCCCTGCATGATCTTGCGGAGGTCCGCCAGCCGGAGGTCCCCGACGTGCAGTGGTCGTGTCATGGACCGCGTCCCTGCCGCCATGTTGGCTGGAAGTACGTCTAGCAGCGGATGCTGCATCGTCGTCGCGTCGTCGACGACCTTCGTCGCTTCCTCCGCCTCCGCCATAAGCTTCGGCTTCTTCGCAGGTGTGGCTCCCTCCTCCTCATTCTCCTCTGCATCCTTCGTGCGCAGCCCCCGTAACTGCCCCGTTAGCGTCACCACACCGAGACTGCGAACGTGTTGCCATTTCAACCGCCGCACCAGTGGGTGGCTGAGTTGAACCATCCACGCGTTGGTGTCCACACTGGCATCGATCGTCTCACCATTGCTTGGCGTGTAGATCACCGCTGAGTCTTCCGTTATTGACCCTTCCTTGCCCGTGAGCAGTTTCCGGCATTCCGTCGCCAGTGCCGTCGTCTCCTCCTTCATCCCGCCCACCAGGATCAACTTCCGCGGCTGGATGAGCGGGATCAGCATCTCCAGGCTGCGCTTGTCATGCACTCCCGTGAAATCCACAAACCCAATTCGTGCCTGTACTGTAAGTGTCGCTTTCTCGTAGACCGCCTTTGCCGGCCCTTCGAAGCCGGCCTCGCCCTCCGTGCCGCCTGCATCGGCATCGCCGTCGTCGTCTCCCTCGTTATCGTCACCCTCGCTCTCCGTCATGCGCCTCCCATCGCCCGCATTGAGCCCTCCCGTTCGTGGCGTGCCATCCGCTTCCCCCGCGGTCGCCCGTTTGGCGCCTCCGCCGGGCCCCGTCTCGTCCCATCGCCGCTTCTGACCCAGCTTGGTCTGGGATTCGGACCGCCGCAGTTGCATGTCGGCCTCCTCGCGCTCCTCCGCGCGCAGGTATTCCTCCGGTCGAATAAATTCACCATACTCGTCACCCTTCTTCCGCGGGGCCACGTAGGGGAACATCCGCTCGCGCCCCTTTTTGCCGCGAACGTCGTAGTCGTACACATTCTTCCGTCGCAGGAGGATATTGATCCCCAGATCCTCGTCGCTCAGGCCCAGCTTGTTGCGATTCGCATGCGCCAGCGACGTGGAGAAATTCAACACTCGTCCCTGCTGTTCCTCCTCCGAGTCCTCCGACGTGGAGCTGGACCGATCATCCAGCGCGTCCGCGCCATTGTCCAGCGTCTCTTGGCCCCGCGCCTGCGAGGTATCCTGCAGTTGTCGTTTTGTCGCGAGATATTGCTGGTAGAGCAGCTGCTCCCCCGGGTCAAGTGGCGCCCGCTGCACGTCTGTCCAGGAGAGCTCCCGGCCTCCGCTGTGCACCTGCTCGATCGTCTCGCCATCCGAGGTCTTCTCCAAGGCCACCCCGTCTTTCCGCTCTTCATACCATTCCCAGATCATGCTCCCCAGAGTCTTGCGCCGAGGCTCCTCACGATCTGTGGACAACCGTTCTCTATGAAGCGGCTCCGTGAGCAGCAGCAAGTTGTTCGGGCCCTCGGCCACCAGACGAAGCGAGTCCTTCGCGAAGCCCCAGTCAAGCGATGTATCCGAAGCCAGCACCACCTTCGGTGTGGGGTCTTGCAGGATCTTCTCCAGTCGTTTCTTTCGCTCCACAATCTTCAGATATTTGAACGTAAAAGGACCGGTTCTCTTCTCTTCTCCCTTCCCACTACCCGTCCCGCCTGACCGCGGGCCATCGCCGGTAGATCGGGACTGGCCCGTTGTCGCGTCGACCCCCTCGGCCGCTTCAAACTCGCGCACAATGTTTTCGTCCATCCACTCCAGCATGCTCCGTGCCAGCCTCATCGTCGTGTTGGCCTTTCGGCCAGCCAGATACAGTCCCGCGCCCTGTAGTGCGCTGCTCTGGTCCGGCTCATGGCCATCGCGCCACGCATGTTCCAACGCATAGGCCAGTTCCAGCACACGGGCACTGGTGTCGGAGGGAATCAGCACCGTGCCCCCTTTGGCGAGGGTACTTCGGATCATATCGAGTAGGAGGTCATCACGCTTCTTGCGGCCTCCAGGCAAAGCGAACGTATCGCCGCCCCTCGTGCTGCAGACCAACGCGGTGGGTTTGCGCAACTGTTCGATCACCTCTGTCCCACTGGCCCCGGACCCCCCAAACCATGCGGCACCGGCCACGACGCTCTCACGCGCCTGGTTCCAATCGACCGCATACACAATCGACTCCATGCCATGCTGGATATGCCAGATGGTGCCCCCCACCGTATGTCCAGCGTTGTAGGCAGTCATCGTGAGGCCGTTCAGCGGTGGAGAGAAGGGCGACGGGAGCGGCTCATGTGGTTGCGAGTACTTCAGCGGATGAACAAAGGAAAAATACCTGGCAATCTCCTCCGCCGTTGGAGGCTGCAGGAGAATTCGCCCCGCCTGACTGGCACCGAGGCCTCCTTCGCTTTCCGCGACTGATGCGGCGGAGGTGGAAGCGCCGGGCTCCGAGACCGACGCTTTGGGCAAAAAGGTCGCCGCTAGTGGCGACGATGCATACAGATCCTGGAGAAGCGTGCGGCCAAGGGCAATGACCGGACTGGTGGCGTAGACGGGAATCTGGGTGAAAAGGGGGAACGTCTTGCAGCAATGCGCAAAGGCACCAATGTGTGCGGGGGTCGCATGTGTTAGAAGAATCAGGGATAGAGTAGGTACATGTCTACGAAGTGATATGATTAGACTATCTGCTCCATGAATCAACCAAGACATCCAAAGAAACCAACTCACTTTTCCAACTCCTGTAGATCCAGCGGATCATACGTATCACCCCAACCCACGTCCACGAGGATCTTGATTCCACCATCAAGCTCTAAGATCGATTGTGAAGCTTTCGATGACGAAGACTGAGCGCCAAGCAAGGGAGTGAATGTAAACATCTTCGCGACGCTCGTCGTTCGGCGCAGAGGACGTTTGTCTTGGGAAACTCAACGGTGGAGCACTTTCGAGGGAGTCATCGATCTGCACTAGTAGATTAGACAAATAAAGGCTGGGGGCCTTCAGTTACTGTGGCATGATGAATTGCGTAGCAAGGAAAGCGTTGGTGATGATAGTTAGCGAGGGTGACGATGCTGAATCCTGGCAAGAGGAACAAAGAACTGGTGTTTGCCGTGTTTGCACAGTTATCCGATCCGTCGACAGACTGCTACTAACAGTACTCATCTACGTACGAGGACGATGCAACAACAAGTGATATTCTAGTAGATACGTCAATGTGGATGCGTTATGCTATGCAGCCATGGTCCGAACGTCGAGGAAGAAAAGGCACCGTATCAATTGGATCCCACTACTTTGTCTGCCTCCATGTATACTAGCGTCTTGATGAACGTGCTAGTGGACTCAAAGAAGGTTCCTCAGACTGCGAAGGCGTGTCCTAAAGCCATCATTCACCCAGCCCGAGTTGAGAGGTGTGAAGTCGATTCACGCACGGGAATATCACCTACCTTTTGACCCGGCCCGAAGTTAGCAAAACCCGGTGCAATCTGATTCTCAGCCCTTTTCGACCGGGTATTGTATTTGTGAGTGGAAGGTGAACATTCTCGATCCGTGCTGTCCCGCCCGCGTTTTTGGGGTACTAATTGCAGTACAGGAAGAGGGCGTACCGATACATTATCCTGGACGTTGAAACCATGTTTTATGTGCTCTTCTGGAGTCTTCACCAGTATCTGTCAGTTTTCCCCCGGTCCAGAATCTGAAATGCCGTTTGCATTGTGGTATAGCGAAGCGCTTTGCTTGTGTGAAGGGGCCCCTGACCTTATCGATGGCTGTAGATATTATTGCCCACTCAAGACGACTCGGACTATTGGTCTCCCGCTGAGTTAAGTTGTTCACTGTTGGCCTTTCCGTTAGCTTGCAAATTCCCAACCACGAATGCTTAGTTCGGCAAATGATTCTACTATTCTAAGCGCGCTACTAGGGAGGTTAGATTTGCTATGTACCATTTTGAGGGAAAGAAATCACTTCACCCTCCTCTGCTACTTCGAGACGGGCTTTACCCTTCCAGTTTGATGCGGCATGAGAGGATTTACCTTCCCCTTCTGGTACGGCAGTACGGGGTTTGCCTTTCTCGTTTGATACGGCAACACGGGATCTAGCCTCCTCCTCTGCTGCTACGGCAACAAGGTACCTCTGTTCTGCGGCACGAGAGATTTCACCCTCCTCTAATATGATAGGACGGGGTGTAAACTTCTTGTTTGATGCGGCATGAGAGGATTCACCCTTCTCCTTTGATGGGAATTGGCCTGACATCTGACTTCCTGAACATTGGAAAAGAAAGTTAGCTCACCGAGCATCCATGCGTGAGGAATGTTATATGTAAGGGGGAAGGGTTAAGAATGTGGCCTGTGGCTACGTGAGGTGCACCTACCTTCGGCTTTATCCTCTGGCCGGATACTACGAGGCGGTAATCCGATGTTCTTGGAAAGAATAAGATAAATGAGCGACACGAAGCAGACAGTAGTAATTTATATCACTGGATGATCTTAAAGACGTAGAGAAAAAGACATAGAAACATACTCAGTATCAAGAGAGTCACGACAAACGAGATCCATTTGTACTCACCGACTGGCGTTGGCGTACCATCCGCACCTTCCTCCAGGGTAGACCGGAGAGAAGTCTCCTGTTGGCAAGGGCCATGGTCGCTGCTGCTCGAAGAACGGATTTTGGAGGACCTCGGATGCCTACGATCAGGGGATGACTCGACTGGCAAGGATGCCTGCGATACTTTAATTGAAATTAACCTCGGTCAGCGGCATGAAGGAATTGGCAAGGCAATCTATGTACCTAGGCGCTGTGCCAACGATGGGTGCTCGTAGCCCGGAAACCTGAACGGTATCCTGTCAAGAGCAGCTGGTCGATCCAGGAAACAGGGCGAGTATAATGCAGGTGGAAGAGGTGGTATAGGGTCTTGGAGCCTGGAGTAAGCTCCTTCGTAATCCTCCCGAATGGACCGTCTCACATAGTGCCGAAAAATTGGGTCGGTGAGTGCATTTTCAAGGTGCCAATATGCGTAGCTGTATAACCAGGAGCTCCCTGACGTCAGAGGGGGGACATGGGGTTCAGCATCAAGCACCCATTCGAGACCCTCTGGGTCTGAGTCTTGGAAGGCAGCAGATGAGGATTTCCGTTCCACTAGCCAACGGGGATACGGCGACTTGCGCCCAAAGAAGATCTTCAAGTATGATTTTCCCCCAGCATGGGCCGTAGCGGGAAGCTGTCCCATTCTGGCGTCCCCTTTGCAAGTGTCCTTAGGGCTGTAGGTCTCTAACTGAATTGCAGCTTCCGCCTGTGGTGAGAGCGTGGGAAGACGTGAAGAGCTTGGAGAAACAGGGACATTTCGAAGAGATTGCGGATGGCTGCCCCGGTTCTTTTTGGTATGCTGCTGCAATGAAGCCCCCGCGTTGGTCAAGATGCGAGTATGTTTAGGTTTAGGTTTATTTGGAGACTTTGAAGTTCTAGATTGAACATTTTTAGATGGACTCGACTCAGCTTGGGGCTTTGGCTGATTATCCAACACCTCAACATGTTCAGCTTCGGGATTATCTGGATCTGAGGGTTTCAGGCTCTTCTTTTTAGAGGCTGACTTTTGTTTCTTCGCAGGACGCTTCTGCATAGTTGACAGACCGTTTTGTATTTATAAACTGAGAACTATACTCAGTGGACTGACAGATCCTGGTACTGAAAGTTTCGGACAAAATGATTTGGGGCGCCAGAGAGCAGGTATTACTGCAAGAAAAGAACCGGCAGGGGATGTGTGTTATAAATCAAGTTACTAGGAAGGCAGTATATCACCATCGATCAGAACCATCCTCGGCCATATATAGACCTTCTTTCAAAGAGAATTATAAAGAAACGTACCTTTGTTCCCCCGCTTTTTTATCTCTTTTTACGATGGAGTCCCCGAAGTAACACCAACTATCAGTCCGAAGGGGGCTAAAAAAAAAAGAAAAGAAAAGAAAACCGCAAAGGTGCTAGGTCGAGTGATCCAAATGGGTACAGTATGGCACTTGGACTTCGTTGTTGGTTACTCTTTGTCCAATATACGAGGGAAGAATATGGAACTAGCTTCAGCAAAGAACGGCTTCTAAGGGCAAATAAGCATCAGCATTAGCACCATTTTCAACAAGGATACCATGAGGAGTACATTAGGACACACTGAAACCTGAAAGAGTGATACTACTTAGAAAACGTGTTCTAAAAACAAGCAGAAATTATAAAGAAAATCAAGCACAGAATGCCGTGTCCAGGATGTCCTCGAATCCGAATTCCCTCCCCCAGTCTGTCAAAAGAACTTTTCTTTTCTTTTCTTTTTTTTTTTTTTTTTTTTTTTTTTTGGCACACAGAGAGAGAGACAGATCGAAATAGGCTTAGGTTCTCTCCTTGTTACCAGCGATTTGGTTCGAATCGACTCCCTCCTCCTACCTTCTATGAGAAGCGCAGCTAGGAAGATCGACAAAGAAAGTAAAAAGTACATTCCCTGCAGGGACCTTCACAGCCTATGCTGCAGATTCCAGGGAGTGATGCCCAAGTGTTCAGGAAGGAAACGCTTTCTGCAAGGCTGGAATGTGAAAAGTTGGGGAAGCCTCCGAGTTTTTCCCGGGCAGTCAGGAGGATGGCGAGCCCCAGGCCAAACCTAGAACACATGCGATGTGCCTTGAGAAAGACAGAGGGAGAGACGTCTTAGGAATAAGCGTTATGGTGATAACAGATGTCATTTTCAACGATATAATTTACTGCGGAATAGAATCACCATTGAATCGTTCTGGTCATGCATGATTATGTCACGCGACCCTAGGCCAGCCTATAGAGACGGTTTGCTTTACATTCCAGAGCTTGGTCTGTGAGATAAGATTTCCAGAGAGCTTCTGACGATCCCAGGACAAGCCTGTTTGCTCCCTAATAGGTAGCTGCTATGCACGAGTGGATACTACCTATCCATCTCAAAGGAGAAAGGACACGGAATGTGATTCCAGCATAGAAACGTAATGGATACAGGTATATTCGATTCTAAGTCCAATTAAAGTCATCGCAACCCGCGCTAGTGATTAGCTATGAAAATGCTGGTATGATCGCCCTTTTAGGTAAAATATACTGAACATTTTGGCAAAATAGAACGTAAAATTACCCAACACAGCGAGAAGAATGATGGTTGCTTCACTCATGCTCATTGCCAGTATCTTGGCTCGTCAAAGACATGATAGCGGTGACCGCGGACTCCTTGGCCGCGGAATAGCGCAGGGAATTGTAGACCTTGAGGTACCATTTCCTCCGGAATCCGCATCTCGTTCTCTGGTTCGGGCTCCCCAATCGCAAACTTACCAACCTATTAAACGAGAATAGTGAGCTACATGGTCTTGAAAAAGAAAAGGAAACAAAAAGGTCCATAGGGCTTACCTGGATCTCCGTGTCCGTGATAGAATCTCGGCTGACGCGAGCATAGCCAGTTCTCTTCAGTTTCTTATACAGAATGTACTCACACCACCGATCCCAGTCTGTAGGGTCAATATCCTTCATACCGCTGAGATCACTGACGTATGTGTTGTAGTTGCCCTCCAGCGGTTTGGTAACCAAGTAGCTGAGCAAAATCAGCGGACGAGGGGACGCGCCCATCAACTTCGACAGGTACTCTGTCTGAAGGCGACGATCTTCAGGATCTTCCTCTTGCCCTGAGTGGAAAACCACGACATCAACCAGTTCACCGTACATGTCCAGAGTGGCGTGAATGGCAGGGGCAAGTTCGCCGACAGGTGACGGCAGGAGGTGATGGGTAGAGTTGACAATCGGGAACCTGGAAAGGAGGGCGGCACCCCAAGTATGCTTATTAGGGCCAGGTCCAAAGTCTGCATACATGCCCATCTCCTCGGCCAGAACTTGGGTGATATCGCGATTGCCCATGATGATTCGCTGATTGTCAGACTCAAGTAGACCAATCACGTCCAGTTCGAGTTCCTCGATGACCTGGCGCATGCGCTGCTCAGAAGACCACATGTCGTTGTCAAGGCCAAAGTGGACTGTCCAGATACCGACAGTTGCAATTTTGTCCTCCTTGTGATAGGGGACGTAATCATTTGTGGGGAAGCGGAGGTATGCAACGGCTACGGAAAACAGCTGCAACGCCGCAAGGACATAGATGTAGTACGACCGCTGTCTCCGTCCACCTGGACTAATTGTTTTGCTCTGTCGGTTTGAGGAGTTCGTCACAGCAGCCGAAAAGACACCTGCACCAATGGACAGCATGGTGGTGATCATAACCCAGTCAGTATGCTCACGGACGAGAGGTCCACCAGGAACAAAGGCGTAGGCGACAACCCATACGTGGAAGAGAACCAGGAACATGAACAAGATTCCGCCAACTCCGAATGTTGAGAGTGGAGAATGACGCACGGCAGAAGAAAGCAAAACTGGGGTTACTGCCAAAGTGTAGAAAGCGAGGATAAGGCCGCCATAGAATCCGGTCCAGTTACTGTAACAAGTCAGTAGAGTGGCGCCGAGGGAACCAATTCCAAATGCAGTCCAGCTTCCAAGTAGAGCAGGGCAGTAGAGGCCAAAGATAAGACCGGCGCCCATTGCGAAGATCGTAAGTGCTCCGTGAGGCACTGCGATAGGCCCTCGCACAGGGTACCCCTCCCAAACCCAGGAAATCATGGTGCTCGAATCAGACAGAAGGGAATGCATTAGGAAGGTCAAGGCACCAATGCCCAAACCAGCCATCACTGGAGAGCCTTTCTTAGTGCTCGGAGGCAAATAATCGCCTCCGCTAGTCGGTCCTCTCCTGTGTACCCTCAGAACAGCAAGGATCGCAAGGAGCAAGCCTAGCTTATTCCATCCACCATTTCCAGCATGCATGGTTGGCCAAATCGGGTTGTTAGTTTTGCAAGCAAACTTGGCAATGCTCGATAAGATTAATCCCATAGCCCATGCGGTGATACGAGACTCTAGTCTGGCGTTGTTCCCCCGGTCCGAATACAGCATAGCAGTCCATGTGAGTCCGCCACAGCAGACAGCAAAGCCTGTTACGAAAAGTCGGTTGGCAGGGGTTTGCACTTTATAGGCAAGAAGTCCAGAAAGCGACAGGAAATGGAAATATATAGGTTTCTTGGCGACTGCGGTTCTCAGGCCAGGAATCGCGAAAAGAAGCGGCGCGGCATAGCATACAATGGCGGCTTCGTAGCCGGAAATGCCCATGTGCCAAAGAGGAAAGTCTACATTTATTAGAGTTCATCCTCATGGGCAACGACTAATAACACTTACACCAGACAAGGAGCCCAAGAGCCGTCCAGTTGGACCAGAAGACAAACTACGTTTTGTCAGTAATTGAGTTTGCAGAAAGGGCCATAACTGATTTACCCCGTTGTAGACATCTGCTGCTGCATCGATGACTTCGGCCCAGAAAAAACCTCGCCAAACGTGTTTCCAACAGGCTTGCCCTTCCTGGCTACGGGTTAACTGGCATAATCATGATATCTCTGGAGAGCAGATTATACACACTCTTTCTCAAGGATGGAGTCCGCGGTGGTCTTCAACTGCCTGAAGAATAAAACTTTAGAGCCCATCTTTCAAGTAACAACAATTGGTCTCTGGCGACTGTACATTTCCTTCTTTTTTGTTTTTTTACTTCGGAAGCCACTGTACATACCCTCTGCTGATTCCTTTAACGTCCCTCACCACAATTTCAAAGGTATCAAAGTCCAACGCAGTAACCGCATCGAAACCCACGTCGAACAGAATCAGGGACCACTCGAAAAATGCGTATTTGGTGTACGCTGCATGGAAAGATGGTCAGCATTTAATCTCGAACTTATTGGCCACATTAACACCATCCTTACCCCCGGGAACCTTATGGACTTTGTGCTGGATGAAGTAGTAGATCAATGGCACCAAAGTACCGAAAAACAAGCTCGCCAGAACCTTTCGGTACTTGAGGGCCCGTCGATTGTTGGGACTCAAAGCCAGGCAGCCGAGTGTCCACGGTAGCGTCGCAACCAGGTAAGAGATCATGAAGATGTCATGCCAATCATGATCATCTGTGGATGTCACATAGGTCCAACCACCACAAGTAAAGGTCCGGAACAGTCCAACACCAGCAACTATCTTGGGAAGCGAAGAGTTTGGGCGCGAGGTCAGGAGGTACCAAAGGAACACGAGGGCGAATCGAGGACCCGAGGTGATGGCGATAAAGACTTGGAAGAAAGATCGTTCGGGATAGCGATCACCAATCGTGGCCGAAACAGAAGGGAACCATTCATCCGGATAGCCGTAGTGTTCGTTCTGCACGATCTTCCGGAAATGTAGGGCCATTCCTACGATCAGGGCGCTGAAAAATGCCGTGTACGCTACGGCAGTATGAGCCCAGGACACCCATTTTCCGTTCACCTGCTATCTATTCAGCAAAAAGAGACGGCCTCGAATAATCTGGCCAGCAATAATCAGCACTAACCGCTACAACGGCGTCCCCATCTTTATACCTGGGTGCCATGGCAGCACGGGAGACGCAGGGGCCAGTCTTAAACTAATGGGGGAAGAAAAGAAATAAAAGACAAAAAAATACAAGAACAAGAAGGCAAAAGAGTGTCGAGAAAAGAGAATTGAAAAAGAGAGAGGAAAGAGGGAATAACTCAACAAAAGAGAAATGTGGAAAGCCCCTGAAGTGTAGGCCTTTTTAAGGCAACGTAAGATGCAACTAAGAAATGACAATAATCGAACGTTCGCGGGCGCCGGTGCCACTAGCTCCAAATAGGCAGGCGGCGAGCAGTGCGGGATGCCGACCACTTTTTTTTATTTTCGAATCATTTCTTCGGAAGATTGCTTTCCTTGAAGAAGCAGCGAGAATCAATAGCAGCAGCACCACCACCATCAGTCACAGCCATGTCAACCGCTGCTGATAAGGCCCGTTTCTTTCTGGAGAAATCAGTTCCAGAGCTCAAGGAGTACGAACGGAAGAAGATCTTCAATAAGGTAAGAAAAGCCAAAATTCTCCAACTTGATGGGGCTCTACGACTGACAAGTTCTTGTCTTGCGCGAGTTTAGGATGAAATCTCAGCCATTATAAAAAAGAGGTCGGACTTCGAGCACAAGCTGAACGCCCGTGGAGCGCAACCTTCAGACTTTATCCGATATGTGGAGTACGAGATAAACCTAGACACCCTACGGCGCAAGAGGGTGAAGCGATTGGGCGTTAGGTATGCCGGATACTCTGGACAACGACGGATATTCTTTATTCTGGATCGAGCAACTCGTAAATTCCATGGTGATCTTGGTTTATGGGTCCAGTATGTCGAATATGCGAGGCAACAAAAGTCCTTCAAGAAACTTTGTTCTGTCTTCACGGACGCCCTACGGTTTCACCCAACCAGTGCTGAATTGTGGATATATGCCGCGCAATATAACTTGGAAGACCATGCCGATATGTCTCAAGCCCGAAGTTACATGCAGCGTGGGCTGAGATTTTGCAAGAGCTCAAGGAAACTCTGGATCCAATACGCGAAGTTGGAGTTAATTTACACGGCCAAACTTATTGCCCGACAACGCATTTTGGGACTTGATAAAGAGGTCGAGTCCCCCGAACCCGCAGAGGACTCGACGGACGATCCTAATGCCGACATGATCACGCTACCAAAAATCACCGAGGAAGACATCAACCCAAGCGCTGGAGATGCAGATGGTGTGGACCAAGTGGCATTACAGACCTTGAACTCGACGCCTGCACTTAGCGGTGCTATCCCCATGGCTATTTTCGACACTGCGATGAAAAATTTCAACAACGATGACAAATTTGGGCACGAGTTCTATAACATGGCCCTTGAATTCGAAGCCGTGCCATGCCTGCGCAAGATCCTGGAACATGTCGTTGCGGTGATGCAGGAAACCAACCCAGACAGCTACCTTGCGCAGATTTGCCATATAAGGCTTCCAACCGCCGGCATCCACCCCACTTCACCCGAGTTCCCGCGAGCTCTTGGTACATCATTGGCCCGTCTAAAAGGCCATTGGGAAGACCCTCGTGTCGCCAAGGAGGTTATCAACTGGATGCAGTCGTTGGAGACAAGGGAAGATCTAGACCCATCCTTGCGAACAGTAGCAACAGTGACTATTCAGAATGCGCAGCAAGTTCTTCAGCAATAGGGCGCTTACTTTCCCATATTATCAGCAGCAGGCGTTCACCGGGGTTACCATGGTATTATTAATGGCAAAAGCAGACGGAAGGTTTCATAAGCATAGGCCAAGAAAAGTTAGCATCTCAATCATTCGTCATTTGTACCACCCCGTCGGCTACTCTTTTTGCTGCTGTGCAGCTTTTTTGCCTTAATCCGTGCCTCGTTTTCAGCTTTTTTCCTGTATATTATTAGCATCATTTTCGCATCAGTCATTGCAGTGTCGATGTCGCAAATGAACTCTTTACATCTCCATATGAACGTACAATTTATGCACGCGATCCTTCTGCTCCTGAGAGGTCTCTCCGGGGATGATATCTTTTGCAGTACTTCTCAGTATTTGATGGAGTTTTTCATAACAGTACTCCACGTTGGTAGCCTGCTTCCGCGACTCTTCCGATTGTATAACGAGGCTCTGCGTCCTCTCTGCGAAGTAGCGGGACGACCGTAGTGGAGGGTGTAGAATAGTAGGCACCAGAGGCAAGAGTGATTGAAGAGGCACCTTGAGTGTTGCTTTTGAGTTCACTCTATCCCCCCGAAATTTGCACAAATTCCGCGTTAGCTTCATGTACGAGGTTGCAAGGGGAAATTGCCTAACTTGTTTACGTTCTGGCCACCGGGGCCGCTGGAACGGCTGAATGAAATCTCGCAGATGTGACGCGGAATTGACTTGGAATGGAGGGATGCGAGCCATTCCCGTGCAGCGGCTAAATCCTCGTCGGAGGCACGATTAATGGCCGCGGCGCGTCTCGAAGCAAACCGCCTTGCTGTGCATGTGGGGCCTGAGGAGAAAGAGCAAAGAGGGGAGAGGCAGGAAAAGAGCCGGGGGAATAGGACCGTGACCATTTTTTCCTGATAGCTTGGTACTATTCAAGAGTGGGAAAATAACAACAATAGAAAATAATAATACACAACCAAAAAAAAGAAAAAGAAAATTTATATTGCCTTGTTTTCTTCAAAGAAAATGAGTGAACATGTGCATTGGTTGAATTTATGCCGGTAAGTACTTAGGATGTTCCCCATACATACCCCATACATCAACAGCATGCACCGGAAAGCATTCAAGTGTGCAATGGGGACATTGAATTAAGGATCCCATACCAGACTAGCCAGTAACAAGCACGGGGATCGTCCAGGAAATCCGAACTAGTCGGAACCAGGAGCCGTTCCGTCTGGTTATGTAAGGTAAGGTACTGAATAGATGACTCAGCAAATCCCAGCCTTAACTGCTTCCTCAGGTATCCAAATAGTGGGGGTAGTAGATAATCCTCCGGAGTTCGCTCCGAGACCATTGATGATAACTAGAATAAATATGAATATGTAATAGCAACAGTCATAGTTAGACAGAGAGCTGCTGCAGTACTACGGACATGATGGATCCTTTCTTTACACCACGTGCAAGCTCGCCAACTCAACTCAGTCAACGACTCCATGCTCCGTCTACAGCCAGTTCTGGACCTGGCCAAGTGAGGAATTTACTCTTAGCTGGCTTGACTAATGAGGCCACTTAGAGGCTCCAGCAGTTCCAGAGAAGAATCCAGAGCCGGCTTTGACCCGCCACTAAGACTGGCATGTGTCCAGTAATCGGGCAGCGTGGACCACCTGGAATGTCTAATTGGGTAAGGTACGTAAGGCTTGGTAAGCTGACTTGCGCAAACTCTGACCTTTTCTGTAATTTTACGCTTGCAAACCTAGTTCTTTTTTTTTTTTTTTTTTCCCTCCCTTCGTTCTCGCTTCGCTCTCGCTTTCTCCCCGACTGCTCTCCCTCGCTATTCTGTCTCTCTCCCCATCCTAATCACACAAGTACTTCTTTAACTTCTCCGTACTCCAAACCCCAAGGGATTAATTCCCCTCGCTAGTTCTATTCCGAGGTTGGACCACACAAACACGAACGTGACCGCAACTTTGTTTCTCTGCATATCCATACTCCCCGGTTCCTTAGCTCCCCTGCATGGTCAGATGATCCCGATTTACTAGGGATTAGTATTCTTGACGAAGTGCCAGTCTGGTCTCTGGCCTCTTTCATCGACTCCGACTCATCCTTTCCCATCCGTCGGTTACTAGGTCTTTTCGACGTCAAATCCTAAAAGCTCTTCTTCCTGTTTATTTTTTGTTTTCTTTCTTTTCTCTTCTTCTGTCAGTTCGAACTCCATTCCCCCCTCTCTCCCTTGAGACCACCTGTATATTTTTCGTCTCATTTTACCGCCCCGTCACTCCAACGACCCGGTTCTTTTTCCAAGATAGCCCCACCTTAGCTTCGTCGATTTTGAAAGTCCCCATTTCGTATCGTGTCTCGTTGCTTTTTTTTTTTTTCCTTTTCTTTTCCTTTTCTTGTAGATGAATCAATTTCTCATCCTTGGTCTACATGACGCCAAGTTCCCCAGATGAAGCTCTTCATTTTCGAGGCAAGACCCTGACTCCCGAAAGCCCTCGCCCGCTACACATCGCGGAACCGGCCAATATTCCAGTGCTTCAAAATCAAATGGACCCCGTTTTCAACGATACGTCGACTTACGAGAAGTCTGAAGCTTTCTTGGGCGACATTTTCCCGGTGCACCATGATGGAAACCCCCAGGCCCTTCATGCAGGGCCTACGGATGTGAATGGAAAAACAGGTTCCGGGAGGGGCTCGGAACAACCACCACCTCAGACACAAGGTAGTTTACAATTTGGCTCTTTTCCACGCGATGATGAAACCTGCTCGTCAACAACAGCTGCACATCCCCAGGCGTCACCCTTTGCAGTTCATTCTACTCCTTCCATGGCCACTGCGACCTCGTCTGCTGTCCAGAATTCTGCAGCGAACTCTTCTCTAACATCTTTTCCTCCATCAGATCCAGCCATCCACTTAGCTCACCCTGTCCCCGATGTCCTTTCTTCTCCCCATGCTCAGAGCATCCCCATTGCGAACGAGGTAGACCATGCAGTCGCCAGTTGGACGGCACTGTCTGCGCCGCAAGAACGCCTAGACACCCAGAGCAAACCCGCGGATAACACCGCAGAGGATGGCGTTGATTTCCAGAACCTCCTCGATAATCTCCCCCCTCCCTCTACTACCGCACCCCCTACCCCTGCAGTGATGGGGATGGCTTCACCGTCGGCGAATGATACCTCTGCAGTCCCTCAAGCGGCGTCTGACGAAGCCCTTCAATCTTCCCTAGGCCTCCCCCCTCGCCCCCCACCCCAAGAGAAGCCTGCAATCCATCCCAACTACAGCCCCAGTGATGATATACGTTCCTATCATCAGCTCCCTCCCAATACACCCAATACTCCCACCTCATTCCCCAATCAACAAAGTAATTACCAGTCTACCTTGGGGCTACCTACATTGGCCGCCGCGGGAGCTCCGGGAACATCTTCGGGTGCCAGCACCTTGCCTCCTCCCCCGGTCCCGAGCTTCCAACAATCTCCCCCTACTACTGCTTCGGCAGAACCCCAGGAGCCATCATCTACTCCGGGTGCTAAGGGCTCTCGTACAGATGGCAAACAAGGCAAATCTAAAGGTGCCGATGACGACTCCCCTTGGGGCCCCGAGGTGCAGAAGAAGTATGATGAATTCCTACATAATGAAAGAATATATGTCACAGAGGGACTGTGGGACCGTTTCCCACCGGGGTCAAGGCTATTTGTTGGTCAGTATCAATATCTCAAAATGCAATAGCTGTATTATATGGGCTGCTAATGAGCAACGCAGGCAATCTGCCTACTGAAAGAGTGACAAAAAGAGATCTGTTTCACATATTCCATAAATACGGGAAATTGGCCCAGATATCTATCAAACAGGCCTACGGTTTCATCCAGTTCCTTGATTCTTCGTCCTGCAAACAAGCTTTGGATGCAGAACAAGGTGCAGTGATTCGGGGCCGGAAAGTTCGTAAGTATTGATCCTCTCGGCGACGGCGGAATTCCAACTCGCTGACGCTCTCTATCAGACCTCGAAATTTCAAAACCCCAAAGAAACACCAGACCCGGGCCCGCTGTGGCCGAGTCATCTCGCGCTCCCGCACTCAGACGCTCGAGATCTCCGGAATATAGTAGGGCTGGACCTCCCGCCAGTCGCAACAACCGGGCTGCTGGAGATCGCTATGAAAGATCTTACGAGCCAGGTAGAGTACCGTTCAGTGACTTTCGAGATGAGCCTACTCATCGTCGCCGCGATGATTATCGTCCCCCTCGATCGCCGTCGCCTCGTAGCTTCCGTGGCCGAGACGGTTATCGATCACGAGATCGAACTCCAGAGCGGTTTGAACGACGCGAGCGACGGCGTTCCCGCTCTCCGTTTACGAGAGAACGAAGGTATCGGAGCGTTAGTCCTCGTGCCCGCGCATACGATATGGATGCAGACTTGCCAGTCCCTCGGCGAACCCCTAGAGACGTTCCCGAAGTACAAATCCTTGTGCTGGAAGAAGTGGATCGGTTCGTCCAAGCTTCATAGACCCTCCATGATCAATCGATGCTAATGCGAAATATTCAGCAATTTCATCTTCCAGGTCGAGAATGCGTTCCGTAATCGTGGCCTTCGAGTCGACATTCTGGTGCTTGGACCCCGGATTCCTCTCAACGCTGCAGTCCAGCGTCAGATTGCCGAGGGCGTTCTTGCTGTGGTGAGACTAGCTCGTCCCAATCAAGTATCCAGGAAAATTCCGCTGCAGGTGTTTGACCGAGGTGGAGGTCCGGACAATATCCGATTCAACGGTGGGTTGTCCACGTCCCCTCATAGTGCCAACGTTGTTGCACCAATTCTTTATGTGCTAATTTCCCCGTAGAATACCCTGACGTTGAACCGAGCATTGCCGCGGAAATTGTCTTCCATGCCCAGTCGATGCAGCGTGGCGCTCCGCCGACACCTTTCCCTCCCAATCCGGCTTTCGGGGTGCCTTCCATACCTCCTGCTTCGATCCCGCCGCCCTCGCTGCCGGCGCTCTCGAATGCCCCCAACATTGCAAACATGATCACGTCCCTGGATGGGCCTACCCTACAATCCCTTCTGAGTGCGCTTCAGCAGCGACCACCTGCCGTACCCACCACGCAACAGTCCTTCTCCTCGGCCAACACCCCCCAGGCAACTGCAGATCTTGCCAGCCTTCTCAGTGCTGCCACGCGCCACCCTGTGCCACCAGCCAATCCGCCCCATCCTCTCCATCCTCAGCACTTCCCCATTCAGGCGCCTAACGCTCCGGTAGTGTCCGACCCTAATCTAATCTCACTACTGGCTAAGGGTCTTGGTGGCCAACAACCCCAAAACCAGGGTACCGTTGCCCCCCATGTACAAAACATCATGAACCAGCTGGGCAAATGGAAGCAATGATCTTATGACGAGTTTCTTTGCTGTTATCTAGCATCTCCTTATCTTTTACTATCCTAACCATACATCTTCTGTGGATTCTAGTCACTTGCACAATATCGCGGAGTTGGGCGTATGATTTATCAATCAAGTCTCTTCACGGTACGGTCGTCGGGCATGATTATGATGGCCGTTGGTTTTACTGTATTTTTTCCATTCGGTTGAGCAAGCGAGTGTCTGCGACAATGGTGCACTAGTTTATGAATCTTTTGAAACACCTGCACAATAGATATTCAGGGAAACACGATGCTTGCGCCTGTTATCGCGATCATATCTGTGGGTTTTCTTTGGTCGTTTCGTCGTTTTGCCATGTATCAAGGCGCATAATGGTTAGCGAAGGATAATAGCATAGCAAATACGATCTTAATACCGGAATATCATAGTAGCTGGCAGCAAAGACAGGATTGTAGATGATGAGCATCGGTTTGGTCTTGTCATTATGAATGGAGTAGTGTAACTATGGTACAAGAGTGTCCGATTCTAAGGGGACACTTTTTTTTTTTCTTTTTTCGTTCTTTCCCTGTCTTCCCATATCATGTTCTTTTTCCATATTCTATCCTCCTCACTTCGATGTCCACCCTTGCGCTTTTAGATCTTGGACTTTGGCCGCATCCTCTTTCTTAATCCGCTCGATAGTCTTATCTCGATTGTACTCCATCACACGCTTTTCCTTGAAATACTTGACCTGTCCAGATGATCCGTCAGTGATTGTAGCCTATAGCAAAGGCTAAAGGACGTATGCACATACCCATGTTTTGGAACAGGCAGATTCAAACTCTGCGATCTCCTTGCCACACTTGCGTCGGGCTTCCTTGTCATCCTTGATGGCATCGATAATATTGTTTTCATCGAGACAGGAAAAGAATAGATCGCGACCCTCCCAGCATCGCTGTCGGGATGACCGATCTGGAGCTATGCGACCGCCGTCGGAGGCATTTTTCCTGGCGGAATCGGACGAAGACCAAGGGAACCAACCCATAGTGACTGGTTTCAGATAAAACAGAGACGGAACGGAATCGTTGGGGGGGAGGGGAAGTGGCAGCAAGACCTGAAGTATTTCATTGATGAATACTTGCTCCGCGGTGCTGCAGTCATGGCTTGGCAGCGTTGTGGCGCTAAACCAAATCGACCGCATGCCTCGTCTCCATCGCTCTCACTTCAACAATCACCGCCTCATCCTCTCAAACCCACGTCGTCGGATATCTCAGACTGTATTATAGATAGATACCTTATATTGGTTGTCAGGATACCGACACCTGACCCTTGGTGAATGGTCCTGTCAGCCGCGGAGTTCGACTGAACGACCACCTATCCCGCACCGTGATATAAAGGGTCAAATCCCACACTTGGTACATACGACAGTTCATGCCCCCGCGCCGACGTCCTCCTCCTGCGGGGGCCCGAACAGACCTTCCTCCGCTAAAGATCGTGCGAAAGATTGTCCTGCTTCAGCTTGCCTATTATGCCTCTGCGACGATCTTGATCCTGTTCACCACTCTGGTCTATGGCACCGCATTCTCGTTCGACCTCGTCTTCAGCTGGGATGCGTTGAGGGGGGATACAACCATCGGGTGGGTGCTAGGGTTGGTGTGGATGTTGAACAGTGTCCTCGGGTGAGCGGTCCCTTTACCCGTTGAGTTGAAGTGAGAACGATTCTAATAGATGGACATGACAGTGTTATTTTCCTGCTACTATTTGTAGCGCGCTCCAAGTTGATCCCCGATTTTGCACTGACCTTGCACTTCCTGCACCTCGTCGCAACCACTCTATACACACACTCCCTCCCTACCAACTGGCTTTGGTGGGGTCTCCAGTGCGCCAGCGCTGCTTTGATGATCTTCCTTGGTATGTGGGCTTGTCAGTGGCGGGAGCTCCGACCGATCAGTTTTGGGGGTATCGGGGGGAAGAGTAGCGACCGGCAACAACCCAGGGGTTCCTCGGAGACCCAAGCGGGCGAGAATGGTCAGTTGTCTCGGGGGAGAGACCGCGAGCGCAGCCAGGATGGCAGTAATGAGTACGAGATGGCTGAGATGAAGGGTACGGGTGAACAAGCCGTATAATTTCATTCCCTGCATTTGGATGGCATACTTTCTGTCTCTTTCTCTTTTGTGCAGTCACCCCAGTGGATTCACACACGGATTTGATATTTGCATCCACTTCACGTATACCCTAGCCGGTTGAGGCTTGTATAGATGGCGTTTTGCCCATGATCTCCTTTTCTTTTGCGGGAATACCCGAGATATTTTTGATATTATTTTGATGTACGTGCAGGCACAGATGGAATGTCAGAGTTAATAGCATTCATGAAACAGATATTGATTTAGTTCCAGGACATAAAGACTATTAAATATCAATTTTATTAGTCACCATATTGATTTTACCCTAGAGCTTGGATCTAGGCAGCGTTGAAGAAGATTTGATCAATTTTATGTTCCCCCACAGTCAAGTTTTTACCAGAATTGGAGATAGAAAAAAAGACCCAACTGGGTATTCATTATTCCATCCTCGCTCAAGAAGAAGACATATCAAAACAAACAACCCAATGAATGAAGCCTGACAATTCATCATCTATATACATATATTCACTGCTTGTTGTATCACTCATAATTTGTGCTCTTTGTGAATTCATCGACAGACTGCTAGCTAATATTTACTGGTATATAAACCACCTCTTGAACTCTGGGTACTCTATTCTCTATCTATCTGTTAAGTGCATGACATTTTTTTATACCCAGGCCATAATATGTTTTATGGATCGGATTCAGAATGGACCTCCTGCTTTCAAACACATACTCAACTATGCCAGCCAGGGCTCAATGCGATCATGTTAGTTTTTCCTATCCAGGACTTCAAAGCTGGGATAAGACTACACACAACATTAACTAGTACTCGAATACTGATATGACGCGGTAGTGTGCTTTCAGATCAGGAATTGTACTGCACTGCAGATTGGATTCTTATCGACATACCAGAGCACAGTGTTCATACAGAGAGACGCTGAATTTCGATTCGAACTTTCATTACTTCCAATAATTCCAATTCAGAACGGATTAACTCATTATTTTCCTCTATATCAGTGGATCCCGGATGATTCCCGGAATAGACAGTACTGCGATGCGCCTGTTGAGCGGACACCTGAAAACAAACCCTAGGCCTCATCTAGAGCCTGCCTGCGTTAGTACATACATATCTGCAGGCCAGATGGAGACCTGAATGCAGTGGTTTATTCTATCGAGTTATACACTGTCTTCAGATAGGGAGCATCAGAAAGACAGGTAAGCATATAGAACGGTTGCAGATTTTCTGGATATAATACACTGTGTCGACACCTGTTTGACACCGTTATGAATGGATAATCCCTGTTGCATGTCTATGGCTGACCTGCTATAATTATCTTCAAAGATGGAGAGACTGAATTCGGTACCAAATTGAGTTCGAATAATCTATCAATATTTCAGAGATTAACCTCCTTGATTAGTGAACTTAGTCGCTTTTAGTCCAGTGGAATTTATTGAAACGATCCTATCATACGACGGATCAGAATCCAGACTGGGCGATCTCAGTTCTCTCTATGATAGCACCCTGAAATCCAAGAGATGATGAAGCTACCTACTTGTCTCTCCTGCCGCATTATACGCGCTAAAATAATAGTAACGCAACAAATAGCGGGAGTGATTGTGGCACCTGTGATTACCTACGCCTTCATAGACTGTATTCCCACCAAGTAGGCTCCTGGAATAGCAATTCGCAGGATGTGGACTTCTGGAAATGCGTTCTAGTCGGTATTGCCACTAGCTTTCATATCACAGAGTCGTGGAACCATATCAGTTCTTGGCTGCCAAATGCTTCGAAGTGGTAAAGGGATTGAATTAGCGCACATCCAAAGCGTCAAATATGAGATCCTTAAGCTCCATCCATTTGGAAGTGATATACATCTATATTTATCTGCTTTCCGGGCTAGGACCTATCAAAATGAGAGCCCGGGTCAGCATATTTCCGCAATGTTAGTCCTTTGACGATGTTGCTGATGATGAAGCTCGAGCACCAGAGTTCATACAGCTCATGGCATAAGATATTGATCCTTACAGAAGTGTTTCTATGTTGTATTGGCCGCTAGCAATTGATCGTTTTCCTTCCATGATCTTCCAACTTCATGTTCGCACGTTTTACCTCTCACATTATTATTTTTTTTTTTTTTTTCACGCTCTACGCCAGATATGGGCAACTAACTCAAATCGAATCCTGTCATTGACTGACCAAAGCTGTAAAATATATAAATAAAAATCATATTTTTATCCATCCTCGAGCGTACAGATCTATATCCTGCTGACTCAGCTCCTTAAGCGAACCTAAAGCGGCATAGCGCCACATGGAATGAATGGCTCCCTGACTGATCAACATCCAGCCATCGTCAACGACTCCAGTGCTTTGGCTCGATGCTCCGGATTAGGATATATCACATGGCTTGTATGAATTAAGTCTCTGCTGTCGAGAGACCTGACGTACGGAAAGTCATTCTACTGTTTGCCTAAATTGAGGCTGCGTTCGATTCAACACGGTGATACCGATTTCCATTTATTTCTCTCTTCGTCTATTCGCTTTCCATAGATTGGATTGGATTGGTTCGTTTATTGGTTTACACATACCATCTGGGCTGCTTCGAGCCGGATAGTTGATCATGGTGGAAGGCGAACCTTCGTACATAGACTACGAGGCCTTCTTGGACCCTGAATTCTCTCCTGCTTCCTTTGCCAATTCATTAGTCGTGGCCACAAACAATGCTACAGATACACCCTTGGATCTGTCAACCCCACTTTCACGGGTGCTGTTCGACCTCCAGGAGATTGATACCCATATCCATACGTTAACGACCAAGTCGGCCCTCCCGCTGTTGACACATACACGGGACCAGACCGCCGCCGCAGGACGTGTCCTCAAGGAAACAGAGGACCAGATCTCCTCGGTCACGCAAGGGTATGAACGATTGGAAAAGGAGGTGCTTCGCAAGTGGGAAGCGGCCGACGAGGCCAGGGTGGCTGCAGAGAAGTCTCTGGCTACTGTACGACTCGCAAGAGCGGTCGGGCGTTGTCTTGCTCTCAGCAGGCAGCTGGAAGGCCAGCTTAGTGAAATCAATGGCGGCGGTGCCCTTGCCGGAGTCACGGCAGGAAACGATGGCACGACGTCGCAGACCTCCGCCCGAGATGATTATCGAACGCTGGAACGGGCAGCGTCCACGATTGTGAGTCTACGTCGGATGTTTTCGGCCACGGGGATGGGAGAGGAAGGCCATGGGTTGGACGGCGTCAAGGTCATCCGTACTTTGAAGACGGAGCTTGCCATGCCGGGCGAGAATATGGTCAAATCAAGAGCGCAACAGGCCATCAATCGATTCTCTATGTCCGCAGGCTCTGCAGGAGTGTCGACGCCTCATGCTCAATCGGGCTACAGACAAGCACGAGATGCGAAGGCACGACTGATCTCGGCAATTACCATTTTGTACCTGTTGTCACCAGTGCCTAAGAACTTAGGCTCGGCATCAGACTTTCAACCAGATCTTCTCCTGTCTACGTTGCAAGGGTACATGCACACGGCGATTGTGACATCTTTAAATGCCATTTCGCGAGCGCTGTCTGCATTGCCGACTCTGGAGCGAACGCTCTTGGAGGTCTCCAGGCGCTGCCAGGATATATTTGCGTTGGAGGCCATTCTCAGCAGCCTTCGACCCCCGTCCCACCCACTTTTACCCCCATCACCGGCTTCCGACCGGAATGATGGCCAGCCCCATGCCGGCGGCAAAGCCGACCTGCTGCAGCCGCTTCTCAATTCCCTCGATACAGCTTCACTGCCGTCGTATTTCTGGCGGTCGCTCGCCTCCTCTCTCACCGCGCGCACCCAGGAGATCATCAGCCGGAGCGGCGTTTCCGCCCGTACGCTGAGATCCAACCGGGATCGGCTCAAAAAGGAGATCAGGGAGTGCGTATTACGAGGGTCGCAGCTCCCAGCGGCCACCATGGGAACCGGAACCGATAGGGGACATGTAGAGTCCAGAAGTTGGGAGCGTGAAGCGGCGGTGATGGTTAGTTCCGTGGTGGGTGTATTGGAGAGATAAGAGGCGGCTGGAGCTTGTAGAGAGTAAAGGGCTGGTTATTTTCTCTGTCTACACCTGCAGACGGCAATAGCGTATCCTATCAAGACTCCCGAATAGCCACAGCATCCAAGGCACCACGCACGGACACGGGCACGGGGACATGTGAAGACAGGATCAACGGGACTACGAGTCAGCAAGGTACGGCAATACCATCAGCTGATGGCTTAAGTACGACATAGTATGGCCAATCAGCACCCCGAAGGCCAAGGGAGCCTCTCATGGTCTTATTTAGCATCAGCCGCAGTCATGTTACTGTATATAACACTTGACCTATGATACCAATGGAATAATATGGCTACGCAGATGAATGTAGCTAATCTTGATGAATTGTCCTGGCTATTTCGGTCATTGTCATGTTGCCCGTTTTGCAGGTGACGCACATGATTCTGATAGACTCAGTAAAGCGTGGATCCTATTTTCCTCTTTTTTCTTTTTCTTTTTGTCTTTATTTTTTAATAAAATAAAAATAAAATAAAATAAAATGTCTTCGTATTAATCCTTTGTCATGATTAAAATTTAACAGGTACCAGGGCTCTGGCCTCGCCTCGGGTGTCGTTCCTTGCCTATCTGGGCTAAAACAGAGACTGTGGGACCGTCGCTAAAGCGAAACAGGTATGGGACCGTCGCGTGCGACCTTGGGTTTCATACGAATTCAAAGAATCATAGACGTCAGCACACGATCAGGACCCGCTGGGAAGGAAGTCCGGTTATACGTAAGACTTAAAGACAGGTCAGTTGGATGATCATCGATCTGTTAGTGCAATAGGTTGCCGTCTACCAGTGTACCTAACATGGATGATTAGCGTAGTATAGTATAATACTGTCTAAATTCCAAATACATAGAGAGGCTCAATAGAAAGTACTGCCCTCCCTAGTACAGAGAACTAGCACGAGTGCTAGAGCAGGTACACGGCCTGGTTGTACCCCTCTCCAGACCACGAGTTCTACCCCGCTCTGATAAGGATACGGTATCTTTCCTGTCCAGGGGTATCCTCAGGCACCTACTGACTGACACAATACCTACTCCGTACCCAGCACATACTTACCTTAACACAGAGGTCCTGATTCATGTATAACGCTGGTTGATTCTCATCCCTGTAAACTTAAAACAGAAATGGGAGGGGCGCAGTCAAGCCAGAAATAGACAGTTTAAAACCTGATCCTGACATGACTGACCCCTCCCTTGGCCCCTCAAGGCGACCATGATTTCCTTAGTCAGAGAGGGCTTGAACGGAGTAAGTCGCTGTCCTAAAGAGTAGAATAATTATTTTATTTTATTTTATTTATTCTATCCAAAGGACAGGACACGTCGATCCCCGCTCAGGACCTGGATTTCGCTCACCTGGTCAGAATAAGTACTCTCTTTAAGTACATCACTTGGTCAGGAGCAATTTCCATAGATGGTTTAGCGAGGTAAGGTACCTAACCTCCATCAAATCCCATTGTAACCTAGTGGGATGACCAGAACAGCTGCAGCTTGACTCCCCTAATGCATTATCTGCGTTAAGGTCGGAGGATCTTGACGGCCCAGTTTTAGTAGCTTTGTTTTGCCTACCTCAGGGTGAGGGGTAGATAATATATCCTTAACATCATTATCTATATCTACCCTCTATCATGTACTACTTGTTGTACTGTATATACGGAGCGGGTAAAGAAGAATAATAGAGAATTCAAGAAGTAGGACAATAGCCAGTTAGCACATCTCATCCATTCATCTACAGTGTGGCGTATGCAGCCAGTGTTTCAAAAGATGGTACTTTCGTCCTGACTGTCCTCGGAGACATATCCACTGTACCAACCAGATATCAAGTACCATATCTGAGGTACTAGAGGTACGTAGTACAGTACGAAGCTTCCACAGACTCCCGGGCCGTTTGCGTGGTTCTCCATATATGGTGAGAAAATAGAATTCAATTGTACATACATTCTAGGTTTTTTGCCTTTGAAACTCTCATGAAACTTTGAGGTTGGGGCGCTCTTCCCCACCGTTCTGAATCCGGTGGTGGGTATTTTTGCCTTTTTTTCACCTGACCAGGAACCAAATTCTCACCTAAATTAAGTGAAATGAGGTTCGTTACCTAATAGTATGGAGTACTCCGTACACAAGTAACTATTGTGTGGGCTGTATGAATGTAAGGTACCTGCAAGTATGCAGGCAGAATCTGTCGCACGGGGAATTTGACCACCTATCGTCCTCGGTGGGATCTGTGCGACATGGTCTTCGTATTCTGTATCATATCAACTCTTGGGCTGTTTGGGAATCCAGTCAGGTGCCTCAGAGCACTTATGCGGGTCTGAACAGGATGAGATGAACACCAAGTAATTAGTTATTTCGTACCGACTCTGTACATCATCACCGGCATTCAACCATGGCCACGAGGATTGCCATGCCGCGCGATCGCCGGATCTGAGATCTCGGACCAGTAGCTTAAGAAGTCGGATAGGCTCCAGCAGGAGAATAGGGCACAGGATCTCCATCTGAGTTGAATTAGGATGATTTTCGGTTTGACAAAAGTTACCAACACATCCAGAGGGAGTTTTTCCCCTAGGGTCCGAATGGTGAACGTCACCGAGTCCGACCTTGCCGTGGTGCAGGAGCAAAAAGAGTCTTTTGTCACCGGGATACCATGGGTCTCAATAATGATTCATGGAATTAGTCTTTGGGGGATCCGCTGATGGGAAATCTTAACCGATCTTTTATTTAACAAAAAGGAAGGAAAGAAAAAAATTTTTTTTTTTAAAAAAGCCTCTTAGGTCTTTCGACTTCATTTCCCCGCTGGAACGGCTAGAGTTCCTGGTACCTCAATTGAGACGATTGGCAGACCCTCTTTTGATCGAGGCAGGGACCATGGGAACCGGCCATAAAGACTTGATCGAGACTCTGTCGGTTGGTCCAACATCCATCATGCTGGACCTAAAGGCACAGACCTCAGTCCTTAAGTCCTAAAAGCAGCCACCCTTGGGCATAGTCCGGAAGATGGCGAAACGCCGACTTCTCGAGGAACAGTTCCTGATACGGTTTCATACGTCAATACCGTTTCCTGTAGACAAGAGAGAATACTTCTGGGAGAAGTACTTCTTCTAGACGGAGAGAAGTCCCTCGTATGGTTCTCTACAAGTAGTATTGGCCAACTTAAGATGGTCCATGAGTTCATCACGATTCATGACTCCACCAGTGGTGACGTGCAGTCGATGATTCGTGTCGGTCGGCCCGGATCAAGTCGTCAGTACCTGGGACTAGGGAAAGTTTACTTTTCCTGGCTCTTGGTCTTGACCTTCTTTAATCCTCGTAGTGACGACGAGATGGACTGGATTTTGGATCGCGGGGAATCATATCTCACCAAGTCTATTGATCGATATTCCACTCTTATCCTGTTCTCTCTTCTTATTCTTCTTCATTCTTCTTCTTTCTCTTTCTCTTTCTCCTTCACCTGAAACATAACTATCCACCAAGCAACCCAAGCTGACAGTTCTTCCCCTCCTTCTGCCCCTCGTTTCGCCTGCCCGCTCGCCGCCGACCGTTGTTTCCGATAAGCCCCCCTTCTCCTCTTCGTTTCCCCCCGTATAGCCTTTTCTCCTCTTCCTGGGAATCGTCGTCACCATTCCCCGGTCTCGCCTGCACTTTTCTGACCTACTTTTTCCTGCTTGTACTGTCGCACATCTTTTATTCCGTTCGTGTCTTTCCCTTTTTTATTATTATTATTATTCTTCTTTCTTTTCTTTCGACTCCTTCCCCTCCCCCTTCGGTTTCCTTTCCTCTTTCCTCTCCTCTTTCTCTTTGTACTCGATCTCTCCCTTCGAACGGTTCATCAACCCATCTGCTGGCCCTGGTGCCTGTCCATCCACCCGCCTCGACGTCATACATTCTGGTCTTGGGGGCTTAGTTTATTTTTATTCTTTTATAGTTTTATGATCATATCATTTCTATTATTTCTGGTCTGACTCTAATTCAATTCGAGTCTCATTCTATCGTTCGATCGATTCATCCACTTTGGGATTCCCATTTCTCCGGTTGATTTAGTTCCTGTCTTGGCTGGGCCAGGTTCACTGTCATACCCACAACAACAACTAGGACTCGACTCGATCTCGAGCCCTCCGAAACTTCCATCACTGAATCCTTCTCATCGCCCATAACCATATCGTCTTACCTTCTTTCCGTCTGGTCGATCTGCAAGAGATGCCGCTTCGGGTTTAATGGTCGTTCTCTACCGCTTACTGTGTACAATTATCAACTTGCCCTTGCTTCGCCATCTCCGTTGGGCATTCGGCTGAACATTCATCTCTCCATCCTGGTACATTCCTTAATCCCCTTCTCATTTCCCTCTTCCTTTTCTCTTTCCTCTCTGGACACCTTGGCTTCGTTTTGGGTTGCTTCCCCTCCTTCTCTTCCTACTGTAAGTTATCAACGAGACAGAACGAGCATTCAAGAAACGAAAAGAAAAAAAAAAAAAAATAGTCGCCCTATCGTTGCTTAAAAAGTATGGTCTTCGTGCTGACAGGCGTTGCGCAAATCTGTCCAGCAGTCAACATCGTCCGATCGACACCGCGTTTTCTCAACTTCCCGGTCTTCCCAACTACTTTCCCTTGGAAATAGATCATCAGCCTTTTTTTCTTCCTTTTTTTTTTAAGTGCCGAGCATTGCTCGATCTGCCCCTCCCACCGATTAGTACATAGGCTAGGCGTGGAATCCAGACGGGGTTCGATGTCAATATGTCTTCTTTTCTCCCCGTCAATACCATCTCCTCGCCACCCGACCGCATGATGGAGGACGCGACCACGCCAACCACCCCTCGGGCCCCCGAGGCGCAAAATCCCTCCAGGCCGATCGAAGCCACAAAAGGTGAAAGCACCCCCCGAAGCGTAAGCAATAGCAACGACCCCGCATCTCGACTCTCAGATTCCCACAGTCTTCCATCAGCATCGGATGATCCGGCGCACGCAGATTCGGATGGAGACCGTGAAGGCTCGGACCATGACTCGGACCACAAGGGCAATGCTCCGCCGTCCAAGAAGAAGAAGGGACAACGGTTCTACTGCACAGATTATCCGCCCTGTAACCTAAGCTTTACCCGCAGTGAACATCTGGCCCGACATATCCGAAAACATACCGGGGAGCGCCCCTTCCAGTGCCACTGTTCGAGGCGATTCTCGCGGCTGGATAACTTGCGACAGCATGCTCAGACTGTACATGTCAATGAGGAGATTCCGGGCGATTCCTTAGCCGCAACTGGGACCCGATTTCAACGCCAGATTCGAACCGACCGCGTGCGCCCGCCAGGTAGAGCGAGGGCTGGCACTGGGGGCAGCCAGGGGACCCATAGCAGAGGCCACAGCAGAAATTTGTCCGCCTCCAGTATAGCTTCCACTGCATCGACGTACAGCCAGCCCCAAGAATTTCGCCGTCGACCTCCACCCTTGATCATGGCGAACGATGGAAGAGCCCGGTTGGCCTTGGATACGATGGCAGATCCCCCCAGTACCCCTCCAGGGCAGGTCCGTGGGATCCCTGGTCAGGCTACCGCCGGCTCCCCTTACACATCTTCTCATATTTTCGCCGCGGGGGGCAACGGCAGCGTTACTGCTTCACCCATGTCCTCGGCATCACACGGTTCAGGGTTCTGGGAAGGGAAGACGGCCGCTCGCCGTTTATCGGTTCCAACGGGGGGCAACCCGTTTGCATCGCACCCTGTCCACGCTTATCCGCATGGCTACCCAGGTGCCGCTGGTACCACACCGTACCACCCCCCCGGAGGGGTGTTTGCAAGCCCGGTCAGCTCCAATTATTCGTTGCCTCGCGATGAGGCAGCCCACAGTGCTGCGGACGCAGATTTGCGGAGACGAACTTGGCATCCTTCAACGTACTCTACGGTACATCGGCCTGCTACTAGTGGGCTGAACAGCTACCAGACCCCCGAATCGGTTAATGCATCCTTTGGATCTGGTACTTCGGGAGAGCAGCCGACACGGCTACCGGGAATTGAAAGCTTCGATAAGGTGGTCTCACAGCGCCCTCTCACCCCTCCTGTGCGCCGATCCAGTCCCATGCAAGTGGATCAGCCGGGCAAACCGTCATCCCACTATAACTTTGGGGGAGGATTTAGCTACAATCAGCCCTCAGTGCGGCCGCCACCGCCTATCTCTGGTCCGGGTCACCGTCGCGGACATGTCTCCTGGGATATGTCGTTGCACACCAATTTAACCGGATTACATATTCGAGACAAGCCCGCGCAGAAGGACGCATCGCACTGGAGCCAACAAACCATAGCCGAGCTCCACAATGTCGGCTCTCGTCCGTCGTCCTCGTACCAACAAAACTTCCAAGAATATCGAGCACACGGGAGCCACCATCCCTCCCACAGTAACGCCACCTCGTCCTCTCAGGCCACACGAACGTCTCCCGAGGATTCTAGTAGCAGTGAAGGAGTCCACACGCCTTCGACGGCGTCCCTTGAATACCATCCGGCGATTGTACATAACAGCGGGTATATCGAAGCACACCACACTCCCTTTTCGTCGGACACGTCTCAAGCAGTACGCACCCGCTACCCGCAGACCCGATGACTGCCCAGGTCACTAATTGTACTGCAGGCACCTCAGTCCGATGGATATCAAGGGAAACATGACCCCCGCTCCGACCTGTTCCACCACTCTCGAGAGCCTGGGATGGGACGACTTGAAGCTCTAGTTGCTGTTGCAACGAGCGAAAATAAAGGAACTGCGAAGCTTTTCGCATGAGTGCGGCGTCGAGCCAATCCTCATTTGGATGGATATAAAGCCTTGCTCGAACTTCTGGGATTGGAGATAGTTCTATCCTCCTTCCCTCACTACTTCAGTTTTTGTCTCAGCACATTCATTTACTCTCCCATTGCCGTCGATTTGGACGCCGGTGCTGTATAGTATAAGTCGCTTGGCCTCACCTATTCCCCACTCTTGTCTCTGGATATAGCCACGGAGTTTTAGAAGAGCGGTCTCTCGTTACTCAAGGCCACACACCGTGTTTGGCTGCGAGAACCATGATGAATTTACGACTGATGAATGATGCATAAGTGACACTCGTGGGGCTTTTGTGACTACTAGTTTTTTTCGGTGTGTTCGTTCCATCGGTTTTATTTTGTTTATTTTTGTTTTATTTTTCTTGGGACTCTTGTGTTGTGCATGTTGGGGCGTTCTTCGTTTCTTTGTGGGATATTGTTCATAGTGCATGAAGATACCTGGCCTCAATCTCGAGTTCAGCTGCGAGGTTCTGGAAGTGGAGTTTCCTATCCTGGTCATGGTGTGGCTTCGATTGTTCCTTCGGCCTTTCTTGTTTATATCAATCTCTATATAAGGACGTTCTTCGTGATGTTTTATTACTTTATTACAAGTGATCGCACAGATTCCTTGCAGCCTTGCAGATAATCCATTCACCTTCAGAGTTGGTTCATAATAAGATAGGGTGGTGATATAGCTACCCTTAAGATAACGTAAGATGAATCCATGGGTGAATGATATTACCCCACAGCGAGATCGACAACGGTAGAACCCGTGAGGTTCATCACCATGGAACGATCCTCAGATGACTACCGAGTGACGTACTTGATATAGAGCAATTCTGAAAAGAATGGGACTTATGTAACAAGACGTCATCTTAACCTCATTTTATCTTGATATATCCTATAGTATCCTATATTATCCTGTACTATCCTGTACTACTCTGTACTATCCTGTTTCTTGACTTTCAGTTATTTCCCAGTCCAGTCCAGTGCAGTTGAGCACGCAGTCTAATCAAATCTATGCCCTTATAAATACAGTACGGTACAGTACGTGTACTCTGAACCATAAAGATGTCCCAACAAAGAACCGGTTTATATGCCGCGCTAGCTCTCGTCGGTATAGGAGGATACTATCTCTATCGAACAGGGGGTGATCCTAATGTAGCTAAGAATGTGGTGAAAGGTATAGTTTTTTGTCATCTTTCTTTTCTTTCTTTTCTCTCCATTTCTCTTTCTATTCCATTCACTTTCCTTTCGCCATTCTATTCTGTTCAATCCATTGTACAGAAACAAATAGAAAGAACTTGTTAATTGTTAACTACTAATCTATATAATATAGAAGACGCTAATAAGGCCCAACAACCGCCCCTCTCGACAGAAAAAGCCGAACGAGCAGGTGAAAAGATCGGATTAGAAACCAATGCAAATATCGAGGAAGCGGTATTATCTTCTCTTTCTTCTTCTCTTTCTCTTTCTTTCCGATCGGAATGAAACCGAAATCTATACATCTGTACTCTGTCTGACTAGGCTGATATCATATAGAGTGATAATCCTCTTACTAAGTCTAAAAAATAAGTCAAATTAGTATGAAAAGCTCGATAGTATGAATAGACGGTGGAGGATGAGATGTGGTTTCGGGGGTACTCTATACAACGGAATAGCTATGGAATTATCCATAATGATACTTGTATTTTGGTTTCCATATAGGTAGTTTAAAGACATTAGTGGCTGAGTCACTGTTCGTGGCATGCTGCATTCCAGATATGTGTATTGCTGTAGTGATGGAATGTACTGCAGAGACTGGATATAATATACGAAGTATATATATGTATAATAATATAATATCCAAGATACAACTACTATCCTTGGTTCGAATTGAATTAATTAATTGATGGTCGATTGTGCATCTTATACAAAACAATCTAACTCCAGACTCCGTAATTTAACCCTATTCGGCACGTCGCGTCCACGCGACGCGCTCCACACGAAAAACTAAGCGGCCCTTTAGTCAAGCCCTTCAGTCTGGACTCAAGAAGAATACAAGTCTCACCTTCCTCCATTTCCAAAGCCTATCTAGCATACATACCTTCCTAATTCGATTATATGTCCCTTCTATAATAATATCTCTTACTCTGTTTACCCAAAGGAAATCGCGATGCCACGCGCCTCCATACGCTCCTCCCTTCCCCGAGGCCAGGCCGCCATCAACACTTTTGCAAGAGCCACCAAACCCGGCATTGCCCCGTCTAAATCGGTCCTAGATGGAAAGAGCAAACAGCCAGACTCGGATCTCTCAGTGTCGCCTTCCAAGAAACGGAAATTGAATGAACTGGAGAACGTTGACTGTGGAAGCCCCTGTGGAGGAAAGGAAACGACCACCAGCCAGGCCGGAACCCTTACACCGTCAAAATCTCTCCGGCTGAGTAAATTGTCTGTATCAACGCCAAGGAGTGGACATTATGCATCCCCCACGCGCAATGACTGGGGTGCTCTCACTGATGAAAAGTCTGCAACCCCTACGTCACCCTCAAAGCGGTCTGTAGCCAGGGACAGTAACCCGCAGCATTGCAGGGTCCTGGAGGTGCGTTCGGCTTGTGTGGAGGAATTATTGAATCTGCATATGGCGTTCGTGAAGGCGTTGACACTCCATGCTGCGCATCACGGGATAGTGGCCCCCGCCGAACTGCACGAGTTTCTTCACAGCATCGAACGACTATGGAAGAAGCGCAAAGTCGTGGCGAAGGATCTACAGCGGCTCATTTGGATCTGGGAACAAGTGGCCCAGTCGACTACCTCAGCCCCTAGGTTTCGGCTTGCCAATTACGGCCTAGGGAGAGTGTGTCTGGAGAGAATGGACCGGACACAACAAGTAAACCCGGTCAACGAGAATGAACTGCATGACCAATTCGAGCAGACCGTCGAATTGCTGTGGGAGAAGGCGCTAGATGCAGTGGGGGGCGACGAGAACCGTGTGGACTTCATTGCAACATTGGGCGTTTCCTCGATCCATGAATCGCTAACGCCATTCACGACATTTCGAAAAGGTCAGCAGCGGCTTCAGGATTTAAAAGGTGGAGTTATTAAGTTGAAGACGGAGAGGCTGCGTTCCACGAACACGCAGGAGGCTGAGGGACAGGTGAAAACCCCGGAGGCGACCAATGCTCGTCGCATGGGACTCTTGGACCGAATCCGAGACAAGGCGCTGCGGCAGTCCAAATTGCCGCCGCCTCCGTCAAAAGAGATGATATTGCGTGGAGCTGCTGCGCAACGCGCTGAGGAAGTCGCTGGCGTGCTGGCCTGCCTGCGACCGGCTGGTTATGTGGGCAGCGGTCCGAAGGCGACGGTGGCTGCGCAAAGAAAGCCGTTCCGGCTGGAGATGATCGTACAGAATGTGCAGGATTCTATGCGGAATCCGATCTCAGACAGGGAGGTGGAAATATGTTTAGAAATCTTATCTCAGACCGACATTGCTGGTCAATGGGTCAATCTCGTCACTGTGAATCAGATCAAGTCGGTGGTCTTAAAATCTTGCGCCGATGTCAACCTCAAAGACATCGGCACCAAGGTGTCTCAATTGAACCTTGAACCGAAGGAAAACTTAACACTGTGAGGAATCCTACGTAATGGCCATCTTGGATCTCTTGTTTTGGATGCCTGTATGGAGTATTTTTGTGCTCATGCATGGAGTTTGGTGGACTCCCATTACGATTGCATTTGTTCCGGCGTTCTCATGTCCCTATCACCTATTAGCGTCCTGTGTTAGCTACAGATTTCAGTATAGAATAAAGTAATTGAGCATATCTTCTACCTGTTGGCCACCAGCCTGTATCATTTGTCCACCACAGTTGATTTCTACCATTTCACGCGTAACGCGCTCTCACGTGATCTTGTGGACAGGGAGCGCGTTTCGTGCCGCGCCAAGTATTCGTCTCTGAATATGTCAAGACGGGCGAGCTGCCATCAACCTTTCTCATTTCACCAGTCTTGCTGGCATAATGTCTTCCCGGCCGGATCTCAGGGTAGGCGCTGGTCATATTCAGTTCTCGAAAGCCCGTTACTAATCTTCGATTCCAGGTTGATGACGAAGTCGGTTTTATCCGCTTCTACCGTTCCCTTTCAAAAGAAAGCAACGATGAAACAATTCGTGTATTCGATCGCGGAGACTGGTACTCTGCCCATGGTGCGGAGGCCGAATTCATCGCTCGCACCGTGTACAAGACCACATCGGTCCTGCGTAACCTCGGCCGCAGCGACACCGGCGGCCTTCCGTCTGTGACCATGAGCGTGACTGTTTTCCGGAACTTTCTTCGCGAAGCCTTATTCCGACTGAATAAGCGTATCGAGATCTGGGGCTCTGTTGGCACAGGCAAAGGTCACTGGAAGCTGGTGAAGCAGGCTAGTCCGGGGAACTTGCAGGATGTGGAAGAGGAGTTGGGTAGTGTGGGTGGGCTTTCCATGGATTCGGCCCCTATTATCCTGGCAGTGAAGATCTCAGCCAAGGTGTCGGAGGCGAGGAGTGTGGGCGTGTGCTTTGCGGACGCCAGTGTGCGGGAGCTCGGAGTGAGCGAGTTTTTGGACAACGATGTCTACTCCAACTTCGAGTCCCTTGTCATTCAACTCGGTGTGAAGGAGTGCTTGGTACAGATGGATACTAGCCGGAAGGACGTCGAACTGGGCAAGATCCGAGCGATTGCAGATAGCTGCGGCGTCGCTATCTCGGAAAGACCAGTTGCGGACTTCGGTATCAAGGATATTGAACAGGATTTGACTAGGTTGTTGAGAGATGAGCGGTCGGCAGGAACATTGCCGCAGACAGAGTTGAAGTTTGCGATGGGTTCGGCATCAGCTCTGATCAAGTATCTTGGGGTTATGTCCGATCCGACAAACTTTGGCCAGTACCAGCTCTACCAACATGACCTGTCGCACTTCATGAAGCTGGATGCTTCTGCACTGAGGGCGCTCAATCTCATGCCGGGTCCGCGGGACGGGTCGAAGTCCATGAGTCTATTCGGCCTTCTGAATCACTGCAAGACACCAGTTGGAGGACGACTACTGGCGCAGTGGCTGAAACAGCCACTGATGGATTTGAACGAGATTGAGAAACGGCAGCAGCTTGTGGAGGCTTTTGTCGTGAACACTGAGCTCAGACAAACCATGCAGGAGGAGCATCTGCGCTCCATACCGGATCTGTACAGACTCGCCAAACGGTTCCAGCGCAAGCAGGCTAACCTGGAGGATGTGGTGCGAGTATATCAAGTCGCAATCCGCTTGCCCGGTTTCGTCGGGTCACTGGATAACGTTATGGATGAGCAGTACCAGACACCTCTAGAGACAGAGTACACGGCGAAGCTCCGAGGTCATTCTGACAGTCTAGCCAAACTGGAAGAGATGGTGGAAACTACAGTGGATCTCGGTGCGTTGGAAAATCATGAATTTATCATCAAGCCTGAGTTCGACGAGAGTCTGCGAGTAATTAGGAAGAAGCTTGATAAGCTTCGACATGACATGTATGTGGAACATCACACAGTTGCTCGAGATCTCGATCAGGAAATGGATAAGAAGCTATTCTTGGAAAATCATCGAGTGCATGGTTGGTGTTTCCGACTGACTCGCAATGAGGCGGGCTGCATTCGGAACAAGCGAGAGTATCAGGAATGTTCGACGCAGAAGAACGGTGTGTACTTTACGACTTCGACTATGCAAACTCTCCGGCGGGAGCATGATCAGTTGTCCTCCAACTATAATCGCACCCAGACCGGGCTAGTGAATGAAGTCGTCAACGTTGCCGCCTCCTATTGTCCTGTTCTGGAGCAGCTTGCTGGTGTCCTCGCACACCTGGATGTCATTGTGAGTTTTGCACATGCATCTGTCCATGCACCAACATCCTATGTCCGCCCTAAGATGCATCCGCGAGGCACAGGCAACACAGTGCTGAAAGAGGCACGTCACCCATGTATGGAGATGCAAGATGACATATCGTTCATCACCAACGATGTGTCTCTGATACGTGACGAATCATCCTTCCTCATCATCACCGGTCCCAACATGGGCGGTAAATCGACATATATTCGGCAGATCGGTGTGATCGCACTGATGGCTCAGACCGGATGTTTCGTGCCATGTACCGAGGCGGAGCTGACGATCTTTGATTGCATCCTTGCTCGTGTAGGTGCCAGTGACTCACAGCTCAAAGGTGTTTCAACTTTCATGGCGGAAATGCTCGAAACCTCCAATATCCTAAAGTCCGCAACGTCGGAGTCACTAATCATCGTTGACGAATTGGGACGTGGCACTAGCACATATGATGGATTTGGTCTAGCATGGGCCATTTCGGAGCACATCGTCACTGAGATCCGCTGCTTCGGTCTCTTTGCTACCCACTTCCATGAGTTAACAGCTCTTGCTGACCGGTATCCTCAGTCGGTCAAGAACCTTCATGTGGTGGCCTTTATCGGCGACAGGACAGAAAACGGCAGCGAGGAAAAGAAGGAAAGGCAGAACCAAGTCACTCTGCTGTACCGCGTCGAGCCTGGGATCTGTGATCAATCATTCGGTATTCACGTTGCGGAATTAGTTCGCTTTCCGGAAAAGGTTGTCAACATGGCTCGTCAGAAGGCAGAGGAACTGGAAGATTTCACGACGTCTGATCAGCAGGGGCAGCAGTCGGCCATGGCAATCGACAAGTGTTCTCCAGAAGAAGTTGAGGAAGGCAGTGCCCTTCTCAAAGAGTTGTTGAAGAAATGGAAGGCGGAGATCGAGTCCTCTGGGAAGGAGCTGACCGTGGAGGAAAAACGTCAGATCCTCCGGGATCTTGTCAAAGCTGACGAGAAATTGCAAGGGAATAAGGTCTTCCAGGGCATCAAGACTCTATAAATCCAGAGAATCACGGGTTGTTTACTTGATTTCGGGACTATAGCGGTTAGGCGTTGAGATGGTATATGATAGACACGGGCCAGTTATAATATAAGTGCTCGAAACTAGCTTGTGTAATGTCAATGGCTTCCTAACTCTTGCCTCCAAGAAACAAGTAATACCCCAGCTCCATCCAACATGACCATCGATCCAGATTGCGCATTGAATATGAATATCCTCACGGAGTCACGTGGGCGGAAGTCATCCACATCCTCATCGCCGTCTCAGGAATCTATCCATTGAACCTCTCCACGAACAGAACACTGCTCCTGTCCTTCTATCCTCGACGGTTTCTGTCGCCTGCAGTGTGCGACGTCATTTCACTCCCTTGTACACACAGCTCATTCTCCTTAGTTTCATTTCTTATTCGCACCCTCCGTCTTTCCCCCCTCAGCGATGCGCGCCAGCTAAGGTGACCTGCCATACAGCCTTAATTCATGCACCCCTTTTCTATCCTTACTCTCGGCATCTTTGTAGCGGGATACATTACCGCGAGGTGGGACCTTGTAACCCGACTATACGAATTGGCGATTTTCGCGTGGGATCACGGTGTGGTGGTAGGTGCCTTCGCTCTGCAGGCGGCAATACGAGACTTCCAGAAATCGCATTCGCTAACCGTTATATATGCGCGGGATAGACTCGTACAGCTAAGGGGTTCCTGTTGCTTTCGGTATTTTTCTTCCTGTTGGTCCTTCCGATCAACCATTTGGCTACGAGAGAAGGCCAACTGGTAGGATTCCCCCAATTGGATAGGCACCTAGACTGGAGTCGCGTCTAATCAGTGCTGTTGCTAGCATCCCCGGAGCGTGAATCTCGGCGTCTCTGCTCGGGAACAGCTACGCCGTAGAGGCTCCTTTTAATATCACTTGAACGATGACAATATGCTTATGAGCGATGGATTACTACGGGTATTTTGGCCATACGACCTACCCCGGTCATCGTCGCCAGGCGTGATTGTCGGATGGCGAAACTCGGAACTCGACTTTTTTGTGCTTGCTGTGTTGGAAGATGTGGAGGTCAGTTGCGATTAGTCTGCTATACGGTACTACGCTGACAGACTCCGTGTGCCGATAGCCTCGAAATGTCGACAACGCCCTCCGCGCCGGGATCCTCTTCCGCAATAGCCCGCACCCGATTGTGAGGATATTTACTCTCTGCGGGCGATCAGCCATGCATGTTCTGGGGTCGACCAACCCGCAAGATCCACCGACATCCTTTAATCCATCTCATTTGTATGTTAATACACAGCCGTCATGCAAAGTTCCCCGCATCTTCTGCCCGCCGGAGACCAATCTGTCTGTTCAAGTCATCATGTTCCATCGTCCTCATCCGACCCGAATGGAGTATATGTCGTTGCATCCGATTTCCCTCGCTCTCGGTGATAAGGTCTTCATTACGGATAAATCGGATGCAGTGTCCGACAGGATTGATGCTGAAGAGGAAGGGGATAGATTTCAGTCCGGGAAACTAGTCGAGAAGCTCAAGCTGCATACTGTTGTTAAACATTTGCCGTCCCATAAGGAGCAGGCGCTCCCCATCATCGTCAATCAGGTCAATTGCGCATACGAGATGGGGAAGCTGATGGAAAAGAACAGCCATTTAATTGGGATCCGAATCAAGAGAAGCATGAGTGTCGGAGAACGGGTCGTCGAATCTGCCTCGACTGTGTGGGACCTTTTTGTGTTGGCTGTGTCTTATGTGTTCTGGCAGTGGATTTGGCCCATCGTCACAAGCATTTTCGTCATCGGCCTTGTATTCCACCGCACTGTAGCAGAGATTGTCTTGCAGGTTCTGGAGTGGCGCGCTCGCCCTGACGCTGCCGCTCTGAAGGACATATCTGCGACGGCTCAGCAGGTTGATATTCGGCTTCAGCAATTTTGCTATTGGCCCATCCAGTACGCCAAGTTACGGCAGAGAAAAGACAACTGGGAGAGTGTGACAACGAGTCATCCGGACTATATCCGATTCTATAACAGCCTGTGGCTCGTTGCCAACGATGTGATAATCGGTATCGCGCTGGGGTCTTACATTATTGACAATGCAAATTGGGTCGCCTTTCAGATTAATTCCATTCTCACGGGCTGGACTGTCGAGGGATTGCAACGCACCATATCCTGGTTGATGGACTGGCCAGCGGGTCTCAAGCTAAACAACGAGCTGGCTGCCTTCCTGGGTGACCTCTTTCTGTGGGTAATCGAAAACTGGGCCGGTAAGGGTTATCATCTACTTTTCAGGAGACATGAACTAACCGTGTGGTCCAGCATGTATTGCTAATCTACAGCCTTACCTCCCCCATGTGATATACGTTGTCGGTTGTTCTTCATTCGCAGGGGCGAGCATGCCCATTGCTCTTTTTTCTGATCTTGTGTCGATCCTGACCGTGCACATCTATTCATTCTACATTGCATCTGCGCGTATTTTCAATTGGCAACTGACTATCATCATATCCTTGTTCCATCTCTTCCGCGGTAAAAAGCGAAACGTGCTGCGCAATCGTATAGATTCCTGTGATTATGACCTCGACCAACTTCTCATTGGCACCATTCTGTTCACAGTGCTCTTCTTTCTCTTGCCGACCATTGTTGTCTTTTATTTGGCATTTGCATCCGCACGAATGTTGATCATCTCACTCAAGGCGGCGCTCGATACATGGCTGGCTTTCCTAAACCATTTCCCGCTCTTTGCATTGATGCTGCGAGTCAAAGATTCCAGGCGACTGCCAGGTTTGTCGCCGATTCATTTTCAAGCGTACCTAATATACTAACTATTTGTTCTGATTTAAGGCGGTATTCGATTCGAGCTTCGCGAGGAGTTTGACAAGTCGCCAACAAATAAATCGCATTCGGTACCGTATATCCATCTCGAGGTACCTACCCTTACTCCCTGTTCCTATCTAGGACTGATGCTAACGACCTTAGTCAATCCCCCTAACTCTTCGTGCGATGTTCGACCAGTATTTCCAACTTGGCTATCGTCTTCGCAAACACTATCTTTCACCAGAGGTGATTTTCTGTCTCTTCACTGGCCGTTTCGTGCCACCCATCCACCGCCGCAATTTGTACAGCATGCAGTACAGCATGCTTCCTGCCCGTCGGGCTGGTATGGCGGAAGTGTGGTCTATACTGATGCAGCCTCGTAAAACCCATAATACCAGCAGCGGTTCCTCATCAATTAGTGGCGGCATGAGCACGGCGACGAACGGGCTACTGAAAGTGCCGGGGGGATTCGGACAGGGAGACATGAGGAGGCGAGGACATCGGTGACGTGTCTTGTGATGAGTAATAGAAACGAGTTCATGCAAGTAGTGTAATATTATCATAATAGGTAGGTTCAATCAGATTAATACATGTGCATCAATATTATACATGGCGGCCTATCCGCGCAAAACAACCCATCTTATACAAGATCATAGAAATATACCAACCCATTTCGCCATGACACATGCTAAACAACAATAGTCTGTATGTGAATAACGACCCTGCACAACAGCGGCATATAAACAGCTCTCAGACGCACGACCTGATAGCCGACTTGTTCTCCTATTCCTGTGTGAATCGACCTCTCTAACTGGCGTTCTTCATCCGACCTTTTTTCCCTGCATGGAACCTCGCGCAGTCAGCGGTATATGGAGCGGAGAGTGAGTGGCGGTATATCCATCCTCGAGAGTGGAGAGGGGCATAACAAGTCCAGGTATCATTTAGCTGCCAAATTTCAAATCAAATGAAAAAAATAAGAATCAACTCCTGTGCAAATGCTCGCCGTCACTTTCTTTGGCACTACTGTTCCGTGCGTCATCTAACATTGAGTCGATCCCTTTCTCTTTCAGCGCCACCTAGTGATACATTAGCTTGGAATGGACGGTACTGGATCCTCACAGGTAGACATCATGGAGGGCATGATAGGACAGGACAGGTACACACGCTCAAACAAGTCTTGTATTTAGAGAAAAGCTCCTCGCAATCTTTGGAAGTTGTATTTCCACGCAGGTATTCTAGTTTGGTGCGTTAGGAAGGAGAAAGATGCAAGACTAGGAAGGAGGCAGAGCAGTGTAGAAAGTACTTTCACTGTACCATTTGAGGAAACATGCGTCATATTTTCTGACGATGTTAGCGATGCGGTGCGGAAGTAGGTAAGTATAGTTCAGTGATGTTCTTACTCTTTGATTTCATTGCATTCAGGTGCGATGGAGGCTGCCATGGTGGTATGGACTTGGGTCTTCTATATGTGGCTTCGAAATGAGGGTTAGGTCTCGTGTGTCTGAGTTGTTGATCTGCGTTTCTGAGAAAGCAAATAAAGAATCTAAGATCTAAGAGATGATGATCGGCGCTTCCATCGCGACTGTCTTGTTCGGGTAGGCGGTCGAAGCCCTTCGGCAGCCATATTTCTCCACTTCCGAAGCCGCTTCCCTTTTTTTTTTCTTTTGCCTTTTTGGAAGGTGATGTAGGAGAAAACAAAGCAGACACTCACGGATCGCAGTGGTCTGTTTGTCTGTTTGTCTCTTTTATCAGATTTCTCTAACACTCCAGATTGCCATATCCGGCCTCAGAGTTGCGTCACAATGGATTCCGCTGCGGATTTCCCCCCGTTTCAAGAACGGCTGACATCGTCGCTTCTGCAGATGACGCGCACCGTTGGACAGCTCTCCGCTGAAGATCTCAATTTCCACCGATCCTCAAGCTCCGAGGTCTCCGAGTCTCTGGATGAGCAAGGCGGTCGGATCCTGTCTCTCACTTCGTCGATTCTGAAAGCCGCAACCGCCGGCACGGACATATCCGCACCTGTTTTGAACGATGAGGATTCCATCGAGGATAATTGGCGCGGCGTGGTGGATGTGATCGATGCGCTACTGGAAAAGGCCGATGCGTGTTTGGATGAGTTCACTGGCGTTATCAAGAAATTGAGCCCGTCGCAGCAAGAACAAAATGCCGCAAAGTCGTCGACGAAAAAGACCCCGTCCAAGTTCCCTACCATTTACGACTACGGTCCGTCAAAGATACCTAAGCCACAGGTTGAGTTCCACCGCGCGGTGGACAACACCGACGTCTCGCCTTTCAAGCCTTTGATTCGCTCGAAGCCACATGCGATGGTGCCGTTGGAGAAGTCGCTGGAGGGCTATGTTCACCCCTACGAGCCGGAGATCCGCGCCTCGAAGTATCCGGCATCTATATATGAGGTTTCTTCGCCTGTCGATTACCTGCCGTTTGAGTCTACGACTGCTACGTTTGTGGATACGATGGAAGGGGTGATGGAAATGTTGGGTGAGCTGAAGTCGGCCAAGGAGATCGCGATTGATTTGGAACATCACGATGTACATTCGTATCATGGCCTTGTGTCGCTGATGCAGATCAGCTCTCGCGAGAAGGATTGGGTTGTGGACACGTTGAAGCCGTGGAGGGAAGAACTTCAGGTGCTTAACGAAGTGTTTGCGGACCCTAATATTCTCAAGGTTCTTCACGGATCGTCGATGGATATTATCTGGCTCCAACGTGATTTGGGGCTGTACGTCGTCGGCATGTTCGATACGTATCATGCCGCGTGCGCCTTGAACTACCAAAAACGGAGTTTGAAATTTCTTTTGCAAAAGTTCGTCAATTTTGAGGCCGACAAGAGGTACCAGATGGCCGACTGGAGAATCCGGCCTCTCCCATCCGGAATGTTCGACTACGCTCGTTCTGATACCCATTACCTTCTTCACATATTCGATCATCTGCGCAATGAGCTCGTCGGGAACTCTGTGCCTAATCATAACCTCATTGATTACGTCTTGGAACAGTCGAAGAATGAAGCCCTGCAACACTACGAGCGTCCTGTTTACGATGCCACTACTGGACAGGGTCCAGGTGGCTGGTACGATTATCTGTGCCGCAATCCTGCCGTCCTCAGCAAGGAACAGTTTGCAGTTTTCAAGGCCGTGCATCAATGGCGTGACGAGGTCGCCAGAATCGAAGATGAGGGTGTGCAATGTGTTTTCCCAAAACACATTCTATTCAAGGTTACCCATGTCATGCCGCAGGATCTGGGTACCCTATTCCGGACCTTGTCGCCAGTGACGCCTATTACCAAAGACCGGTCGTCGGATCTATTGGAAGTCATCAAGAAGGCGAAAATCGAGGGTGCCACAGGCCCCGAATGGCGCGACGTTTACGTAAAGCCTTCCAAGACAACACACGCAGTGCCTGCAGTAGAGCCAGGCCCTACGATGCCGCTTACCGACCGGGCGACACACCCCACCGCTGCTCGCTATGAAAAGTCCCAGTTCTGGGGCGGAATATTAAACTCCAAAGAACCTCTAACCCCTCCTGAATACTCTGCCGTTGCCTCTGTCGAAGCCCTTCGGCTTTCCCTACCCCTTCCGCCCATGCCACGAACAGTTTCCGAGGCGCGCCAGAAACTTGGCGAAGCCGCGGCAGCCGCCAAACCCTCACCCACCACAGCTCCCCGAGAATCTCCCGAGGACATCGAGAGGAAAATATTTACCGTCAAGGAATTGGGTGGACCACGCAAACGCAAGGCTGATCCTGCTCCCGCTGGAGATGTCGCGCAGACACCTTCTCCGGTACTTGACGACATAAGCGCCACCATCGATCTTTCAGGGAAACCATCGAAGAAACAGCGCCGGAAGGATAAGAAGAGCAAATCTGGTTCTCAGACCCCGCAGGAGTCGAACCCCCAGGAAATGGAACCGCTCAATTATGAGGCAGCAGACTCCGTACTGCACGCGCCGACTACGCAGGGATCAGGTCTGCCGAAGAAGGCACCTTTCAACCCCTACGCCAAGGCAATGGATGCGCCGTTTGGTGCGCGCAAACAAAAACGAGAGATGTCTGGAAAGACGTTTACTTTCCGGTAATCTACCTCACATTCTAATTTTGATACTGAGTTCCGTTTTTGGGATATGGCATAGGATAGTTTAGCGATACCCTTTAGAAATATACATGTACAGGGATTAGCCCACTCCATATGGAGTAGAGAAGTAGTTATCAGACATACCACGATTCCTGGTATGGTTCTACATCAAAACCTTCCTCCGCTGCTTAATTATATACGAATACATCATAAACGATCCTACCTAATTAGCAATCCCATCCTGCGCAAGCATCAGGGAAGCACAACTCGCCCGGCATATAGAGATCCAGACAAAAATAGAAAATCCCAGCTACCAACGCATTCCCCGTCAGCATTGCAGCCTTATACAAGAGCCACCATTCGCTAGCGATTCCAGTAGGATAGAGGACAATAAAAAGGGAGTATCTATACTGTCAGCTGCATATCTCCACTGTTTAATCCACAAAGAAAACAGTTGTAACATACATACTCAACTATACAATATACGCAGAATGAGAATCAATAACCTACCTCAACAACTTCAACCCCCAACCTGCACCCGGAGCAACATTGCCAAGACACGCATACCGCACAGCATCGGCAACAGACCAAGCCAGGAGCATAGTCGTATACAAGACCGACAAGGCTATAACCTCGGGAAACGCATAACTAATAGCCCAGACTTGCACGGAGCGAGCGGATACCTGCGTGAATGTCGTGAATATCGGGACGCAGGGGATTCCTGGTAGGTAGCTTTGGTCTTAGTTGACTTGACTTGGATTGGTTTGGCTTTCCTTGGATAGGTAGAGGAGGGAGCATGGGGCGTACCGGCTGCGGAATGCAGGGTGTCAGCTATCGCGAGGGTTTGGGTCCATCTTGCTGGGGATTCGAGTATGATGTAGATTAAAGTGGGGCGAGATGGGCGGCAGAGGAAGAGAAGAAGTAGGAGGACGACAAGAAGGCGTAGCCAGAGGAGGTAGCTGAGGGTGTTGTAGAATCAGAGGTAGAGTTTGGAGGGGACGGAGTGTGTGGACATTGTTCATTGCTATCTAGTAGGTAATTGTTAACTGGGTTGTGAAGAAACTGGGGATTTGATTGACAGAGGAAATTTGTCAGCATCTACGACAGTTAGTTAACTTGTATGCAGGAATGCATGTATGGTACCTAGTTGTACTGCGTTGAAGTTACTGGACTATGTAGTGGGTACAATCAATATACATTGCTCACTACATACAGTTGCAAGAGGATAAGGTATCCGCATGGATTTTGGAGAAGTGACGTGCTGGAAATACAGACAAGGTTCAATAGTGGAATTAGTGATCTGCATTATCTCCAGAACAGCTGTGTATCGTTTTAACATGCACCATTTTAGTATTCCAATTTTCCTATATTTGAGTATCCATACAGCACCGGGTATGCAGGATCAGTTACAGTATCTAGTGCCTGCATCTGTATGTATCAGCAGTATCACACTGCAGCCTTGACGATAGAAAGCGATGCCTCCAGCGCATGGTGGGGTACAGTACTTACGGATGTGGAGGATCCACAGATATGTACATACGAATCATAATCATCTTGTTATCCAATATGTACTAGCAATGGAATTGAATATCATCTTCCATGGCCTATCCTGGTAGAAAATATTGGCAAGGGAAGACACAAATTGGTCCCAAATACCGGGTTCCTGACGTCTGTGCTTCCTGTTGTTAAGAGATCCTATTCCTACCCTAGAGATCCTGGTCATACGAGTCTTTCCAAGTCTGGAAAAGAAATGTCTAGGATTGACGGTGCAGCTGACATACCTTCAACCGCCAGACAACCTTCCTGAGGTTGTACTCCTAGGATGTCGAAAGTTTATCCATTCCTCCTAGTCCTGAAACATCCGTGATTGTCACTTTATGCACGCAGGTGATAGTTCCTTGTCTTTTAGTTTTAGACTTCGGGGGACAAGAGTTAATGATGTAATGATGTCTTACCAGACGATGTCCGAGCTATTCTTGGGACCCAGTGAGGGATAGGTATAGATGACAGCAATTGTATGGGTTTCTGTCTTGCATTCACCTCACATCTCTACCTGCTCTTGCATTTTGCTGTTTTCTTGCGTGGCCTGTCCCACTTTCTCTCGGTATTCTCGGTGTCATCCTCGACTCATCAAATGTCGGAGATTCTCCCCACTCCAAGTAGTACGATCAAATTACGGTTCACCTAGAGACCATGGATCTTTGGTGGACGAATGGTATTATTCATGCTGAAATTAAATAACTGCGAAGTTTTCCAAACGTGTCTTTCGAGGTTCAGGTCGTACCTCATGAGTGTTCTGAACACCCCGCACCTCTCAATAATTATTCTATCGCATGAAACAAGAGATTCTTGCCACAAAGACCCCAGTTACCTTCAGTATACTTCTATTCTGCCTCCTGTTGGCTATCAGGTAGCCAGAACCCTTTGAGTGGTTCCTGAGATTGAACGACTGTTCCCCAAAGTATCCTAAAATCCACGTACTCTTGAGCTTTCTGCGATAATGCCGCCCATTAGCCACAACTTGCATGATTCTTGGGCTGTTGGGGAGTTAACACATACCTCAAGTACTGGTTTCTTCATCTAGAATGAGGCCGCTGATATTGATTTCACCTCAAACTCTCGTATGTCTTTTATATTTAAGAGGTATCCCCTTTGCACACCATTCGTCAAAGTCCCAAGGTTCGATAATTTCTCGCTACCATAGCAAATACGTATAAAGAGTCACATGCGTACTGGCAGCGTCAATGTTGTTGTTCTTATAAAGTGATCCCTTAACTCTGGGAACTGAGTGAAAGGCTTAATCGAACTTTGGCGAAGCGGCACTCCTAACTCTCGGCAGTTTGTAAATATCATTCTGGGAATCTATTCTTCTCTTAACTCTCCACAAGCCCACTAGCCTGATATAGCTATAGGATATTTTCCCTGCCCTTCCTCCAGAAGCTCTCACTCAAAGCATTGGCGTCTACAGAGAGGACTTCTACGTGGGAGGTGCGGTGCCAGCGGGGAGGAATCCAAATCAACTATGGCCATGGGGCATCAATAGAATGCGGGAAAAGGTAGCAAGAGCAATCCGCAATGATGGTCACATTCCCGCTTAGGGCGGATGAATGTTAGAATAGACTGAGTGTTGATTATCAGAAGAATTATCTTGTCCAATTAGGGCCGGTATCCTTTTTAGTGCAGTGGAATCGTATTGATACAAAGTTTTAATGGTATGACAATGAAAATCGCCTATGGAATAACCAGAGTTCTGGTAATGTAAAACAACCATGCGACAAGGCAAAAATACTAAAACTAAAAAGCCAATAAAGAAAGCACAACTTATGATCAAGATCCTATCCGCATCCAAAAATATAATCACCCTTGTCCCACCACCTGCAGGATGCTAAACCGCATCGAGGGCATTGACGCAGGTACCAGGCGCCGGCGTGATCAGGCGGAACTTTAGCATGGGCGCTAAATCCGCTGCCCTTTCCAAGGTAGGAGCAGTCAGGAACAGGTAAGCGCTTGAGAGTTGAGATTATCTAGGGAGGTCTCATCCCATTGTGGAGTACGCCCCAACCGGTTTTCTTATTACTACTGAATAAGAGAAATATTAATAGTATTTAATATATTATAAATAGTACTATATACGGGGGCAGCATTATTGTCCTTTGTAGGTCTTTATCAGCATTGTCGGGGCGATGGTGGGAGGAACTGTGGGGCCACACCACCATCTGAATAAATCCATGATTCAGACCAACTAGGGGTGCTCTCCAATGGGGTGATTAGATTGGCATACTGGCTTCTTGCTATTGTTCCTGAGGCCAAAAATATAAATTTAAAAGGAAAAGAAAAAGTTAAATAAAAAATAATTACTAAATATCAAAGAATCAAACATAATCATAGTTAACCTATTGCATTTTGACAGCGGATGTTCGGATACCTACATACCTGGAAGGTTTAATAATGTCATCTACTCCATACCTTATTGACTACTGATCACTCGCTAGCATTACGTAGCAGTATGGTAGTAGGCTGTAGGACCTTCCTGTCAGAAATTAGGAATGTTGTGAGACTATCTGTAGTTGTCTGGTAAATACCATTAATTCAAAAACATAATTTACTATCCTATGTCAATCACTCCATGATCTGATCCTTATCCTGATAACCGCCGCAGCCACACTGCCTCCTCCACCCCTCTGCACGGTTGCGTATGCAGCATAACCAGCATTAGTGTCGAGTCAATCGTCGTTTCTTCGCATTCGGCCCCCTTTGTGTTCCCGAACGCCCGAAGGGTGGCGATGTTGGGTGCCGCGCATTGGTTCAGGGGTAAACGGATGGGGAAAAAGGGACTCGAAATGCCCGCTGCCTCCCCACTACTCTACTTTCTACGATGTACCACAGGAGACCAACAGTCGCACATCCACTTGCAACTAACGTGGACTAACGTACCTAGTACAGAGTACGACGTACTACCCAAGGCATTAGACTAAGTAGTGACATACAGAGTAGTTACGTGCAACAGGTGGCTCCGGCGGATGGGGAAATTCCCCTTGCGTTTCCGTGCATTTGCACTTTGAATATCGCACTCTTGTAGGATAGGATGGAGGAAGAACTCGGAAGACGATCATCCGGTTTTTTTTTTAATTATTTCTCTTTGCTGGGTTGATATGGGTTGGATTAGTTTCTATTGCACCATAATAATATGATTTAATTTGAATAGTGTGAGCTGATTTTTTTTGCCCTTCTTTTTTTCAAAGAATTAAAAATACTCTCAGGAAAGGTAGTGAATTAATACATGCCAATCATCAAGGCTGAAAGAAAGACTAAAAATGAGGACTGACCACTCGTACTCCATATTTTCTGGAGTGTACGGAATCAATCGGAGTTAGTGCTTTATCGGACAAATGACCAGCCCTTTACCATGATCTGGACGTCAAATATGGTCTCAGAATAGACGTCAATGTGAGGATTCTGGCTGATCTGGAGGTCACTCTATTTCCAATCAAGGCTGTTCCGATGACTGCGAATCTCAATTCTAGCGATTCTGGGCGGTGATGGTGGGTGCAATTCCAAAATAGGTTTGAATTCAGGCACAGGGATCGTTAGCTGGGTCCTGGGGGTGGGCCTCTTTCTTTTTCTTTTTTCTTTTTTTCTTATTTTTTTTTTTTTTTGGTCCGTGGATCCTCGAGATTAACTTCCCACCACTTCAAGAGAAAAGGGAGGTAAGAAGAACATAAAACATGAAAAAAGTTGTTAGGTTAAAATCATAATGTCTTGGAGATGATATCCATCCAAGTCGTACGAAATCGATCGATCGTACTCAATCCAAACCCAACTTCATGCTCACTAGCCGTGCATGATGTAGGTATATCATCCTAAAGACCAGCCGGTTCCTGTTTCTAGCTGACTCTCGTGCTGCAAGTCACCCACTCCACCTCAACCAAAGGCTTGAAGGAACAACCGAATTTATTTCCCCTCACTCTTTCCACTCCGCCTCAACCCAAAACCACAGTTCCCCTCCCTACTACTGCTGACTAGTTATCGATATTGATTAAATAGATATTAGTTAATCCCTACATTACCCTCATTTCCGTGTTTGTTTTCATTTTGCTGCTTTTTTATTTGGCCTCTCGCCTGTCCTTTGTTTTATTTAGTATTGTTTTATTAGTGTCTCGCATCCTGCTTTGTTGATTGTATTGGCTGTGTGATTCCGCTATCCACAACTCTGCATTTCCTGCCTCCTTCTCCCAATATCCCATAATTCTTTTCATCCTTACCTTGCGCTCCCTGCCTACTTCCTCTATTCGCCAGAGCGCCTTAATTTTCTCTCACCTCTAGTCAATCGTCTCGTCGACGCTTCTCTGCTCTTCGGAAATATACCTCACTCCCCTTTCTCGTTCCGATTTCATACCTGTCGGAGGATTCGAGTCACCTGTCTCCTGTTGATCATTTCCAACACATCCTCGTTGGCATTCCACCCAAAAAAAAAAAAAAAAAAAATTCTTCTCTCGATTTCCACCATCCAACAACAGAGCTCACGTCATAGCTCTTCGATTTTTCATATTTTCCAATCCGACAGAGCAAACCCGTGCATCCTTCACCCTTTGTGGTGTCACAAATCTGAAACGCGTAAAGGGGCAACTCGATTATTACGTTGTGTGGTCGCTTCCAACACCTCCCACCCAGATGACCAGCTCAGGTACATGATATTTATCGACTGAGATTTGCGATCGTTAACAATACCCGATATTGGCTATTTTTGGTGTCTTTTGTTGTCAACTTGTCCAGTAGCCGGCTGGTCGCCCGTCATTATATACGGTTTTTTGGGGGGTCTTTTGTGTGCTTTTCTTTGATACAAACCCAAGCCTGCTTCCCTCATAATGTCAGTTGCGACTATGCTACAACCTGCCTCGAGAACCTCAACTTCCTCATCTTCGTCATTCCAGCCCGTTTCGCGTCAGAACACAATGTCTTCCCACGATACCCGTTCCCTCCGCCAGTCAAAGCGGATGTCAGTCACGACTTTATATATGTCTATGTCCGCAAAGGACATGGAAATGTCAGACGACTTGGCAAGAGGTGAGTATGCGCGGGTCCATGTGCTTAATTCGCAGTAATGCACTAACCACTTGCCTGGAATTAGCGCAAAAATACCTCCGAGAATTGAAATCCAAGATTTCATCCCAATCGAAGAAAAATTTCGTCCTTGAGAAAGATGTACGATACCTAGATTCACGGATAGCCTTACTGATTCAAAACCGGATGGCACTGGAAGAGGTAAGAACTTTTGCATGCCTGCGCATCGCGCGCGCGGCCTCCGCTCACATGTCTCCAGCAAAATGAAGTGGCCTGCCACCTCGACGACGCCATCGACCCCCAGGAGGGATTCTTCCCTAGTGACGAGAAAACGCAAAAGTACGGCAACCTTCTTTTCCTCCTCCAGTCTGAACCCCGCCACATCGCCCATCTGTGTCGCCTGGTTTCCATGTCCGAAATCGATTCCCTGCTTCAGACAGTCATGTTCACTATCTACGGAAATCAGTACGAGAGCCGTGAAGAGCATTTACTTCTGACCATGTTTCAGTCCGTCCTAACGTACCAATTTGATAACACACCCGAGTACTCCTCGTTGTTACGCCAAAATACTCCAGTTTCCCGGATGATGACCACCTATACGCGCCGTGGTCCAGGCCAGAGCTACTTGAAACAAGTCTTGGCCGACCAGATTAATTCTCTGATCGAGCTGCGTGATGTCGATCTGGAGATTAACCCTTTGAAGGTATATGAGACAATGGTGAAGCAGATCGAGGAAGATACAGGTTCTTTACCAGATTACTTGGCCCGGTCTGTTACGGCGGAGGCCGCCGCAGAAAACGAACGAGTCCAGGCCATCATTGCACCGCGCTTGAGAATGCTGACTGATATTGCCAATGGTTTCCTGACGACGATCATTAACTCCGTTGATGAGGCTCCTTACGGCATCAGATGGATTTGCAAGCAGATTCGGAGCTTGTCTCGACGCAAATATCCAGATGCCCAGGATCAAACCATCTGTACCCTGATCGGAGGCTTCTTTTTTCTGCGGTTTATCAACCCTGCCATCGTAACCCCGCGATCCTACATGTTGATTGAGTCAATCCCGACAGAGAGGCCTCGCCGCACCTTGACTCTTATTGCGAAAATGCTGCAGAACCTGGCCAACAAACCCTCATATGCCAAGGAGCCGTACATGGCGAAACTTCAGCCCTTTATCCAACAGAACAAGGAGCGTGTCAACAAGTTCCTGCTTGATTTGTGCGAAGTCCAAGACTTTTATGAGAGCCTGGAAATGGACAACTACGTGGCGCTCTCGAAGCGAGACTTGGAGCTGCAGATTACTCTCAATGAGATGTATGCAACGCACGCACTTTTAGAGAAACACAGTATTGCTTTGGCCCAAGACCAACACTCGCATCTTCACGAACTCTTACAAGAACTTGGGTCGGCGCCTCAGCAGGTTCCAAGAAAGGAGAACAGGACCATTACGATACCCTTGTTCAGCCGATGGGAAACGACTTTGGATGACCTAACCGCTGCCCTCGACATCACCCAGGAGGAAGTGTTCTTCATGGAAGCCAAATCAGCATTTGTCCAGATCCTACGGTCTTTGCCGCCGAACTCTTCGGTCGCGCGCCGCCCTTTGCGACTCGATCGCATCGCCGACACGGCAGCCACTCTGAAGAACGATGTTATGGTGCGGAAGGGAATTCGTGCCATAGAGCTGTTGAGTCAGCTTCAGGAAATGGGAGTCATCGATCGCTCCGACGAATTTAGTCTCCTGCGGGATGAGGTAGAGCAAGAACTGGTGCATCTGGGTTCCTTGAAAGAAAAGGTTCTGGACGAGACGAAGAAGCTCGAAGAGGTCTTCGCGACGATCCGTGACCATAATGCCTACTTAGTGGGACAGTTGGAGACGTACAAGTCCTACTTGCATAATGTTCGCAGCCAGTCTGAGGGGAAACAAAGGAAACAGCAGAAGCACCAGGAGTTGGGGCCATACAAATTCACTCATCAACAACTAGAGAAGGAAGGAGTGATCCGCAAAAGTAATGTTCCAGAAAACCGGCGCGCCAATATTTACTTTATGTTCAAGAGTCCTTTGCCAGGAACATTTGTCATAAGCTTGCATTACAAAGGTATTCTAGCTCTGCTTATCATAAGACATACTTTTTCAACGGCGTGCTAACAGAGGATCATTCAATAGGACGTGCTCGCGGCCTCCTGGAGCTAGATCTCAAGCTTGACGATCTGCTGGAGATGCAGAAGGATAACCTTGAAGATTTGGACCTGGAATATGTTCAGTTCAGCGTGTCAAATGTGCTGATGCTCTTGAACAAACGCTTCGCGCGAAAGAAGGGCTGGTAAGAGACTCGCAAGGGGATCACTACTATTCCCCGTTACGATGTATATGGAGAACATGCTGAGAATGTGCAGATTGCCCGGGCTCCCCAGAGCCAACTTTTCGCCATCGAGGTACTAAATGACGACATACGACTTGCGCTCCGACATGAACTCGACATGGCAACTGAGGCTCCTTTTGCTTGATTTATCTGTTTCTGTTATATCACGAGTGGGAGACAAACGGACGTATTCTTTTGTTCCGGGCTCACGGTTGGATGGAGGAATGATTATTTCTCTATGATTCCTGTTTTGATTCCCTCATTGACATGCGACTATAGGAGGATTTTAATTTGGTGAGAAGTAAAGCACCTCTCTCTGGGCTAGACTAGATTCTCCTCGCGGGCTCGAGGGCAGTCCCCACGGCCAAAGAGATCGGATGCTTTTTGCGTGATTGTATACCCCGCGGAATGATTTTGTATTGTGTTGTTTTTGGCAATTGCTTTGTAGGATTGACCTCTCATATGTCTTTGTGCTTTGGTCAACCTGTTGCCCTCGCATGTTATGCTTGTTTATATATCCCTGTGAAACCTGGAATTAATGAGGGTGCTTACAGGCAAGCTCTGTGCATTACCACCTAGTGCAGAGGACTCACTAGCCTAGACACTCTCCGATAGCTTGTAATCAATTTGAGACTTACAACATGCTGATTGTTGCAATTGTAGTTCATTTCTAGTACTCTCCTATTCACATGGAGAGTGGTAAATATGAGCAGGTTGGAAGAATCGAGCGAGTACTAGCAAACTCTCTGAGCTGTGTTCATATATAAGGGTACCACCCGTTTAAAGAGTTACCAGCTCAGTTGAATCAATCCCTCTTCTCCTATCAACTGACTTACTTTCACCCAAACACCCGAGCTTCTCGATATGTAGGCCATCATCTACTCGGTAGTTTCCCCATGAAATAAATGCACCCGCAAGCCCGAGGGTTTCATGGTTGGCACTCTGTACTGGGCATTACATATATACTGTCGGAAGATATTATAATATCGAGAATTACGCTACTATATTTCCAGGCGCCACTTCCGGCCATACTCAGGGGAAGGGAGATTGTCCCCTCATGACGTATCCCTTGAATTTAGGGGGCAGAATGGTCCACCACTTTGGCTGCCTACTACACCCTACTACCCCCTTTTCCATATTCAGAAATATCAATGTACCTCTGACGCGACATTGTCTCATCTGGCATGATGGGTTCTATTTCTCAGTAGAGGGAGAGGGGCTCATGATTTCTATCTATCCAATTTTGAACAGGACCCGCTCTATTATTCGCAATTCTTGCAGGAAGGAGGACTTGTCCTCCGAGGTGAATCAGTGGGGACAGATGGGCTGGGATTGAGGGTTGTATTATGACTTAGCAGAGAAAGGATGATTGATCATCTGAAATGGAGTTCTGTGGTAGATAGGGACTCTAGAGGAGGTAGGTGTCATGTACGGATAGATGCCGGTATTGCCTTTACCCTAGACCAGGCTTCTAAGACAAGGTTGCAGGAGGTGCCGTTGGAAATTCTGAGGGAGATGATTATGTATCCTCGAGAATTGAATCAGTCGTTTAGGCATTGTTAGAGAGAGAGAGAGACTGGTCTGTATGCACGTACATACTCGTATCTCAGGACAGACGTGGCCGTTGATGTGATGGACAACGTCATTTCATGGCCGATCTGTTTGCGTGGAATTCATCGGATTGGGATCAATCGATTGTCGCGGGATTTGTACATTGCTTCGAATCCTACAATGGGTGGTGATTCTGTGCTGTGTAGAGGACGACATCTGAAAGAAGTAGATACGGTGGCAATTTCCTCCTGGCTAGGAAGAGGGATAGATATTCTCCCTAAGAATGCCATTCAGTGTCAGAGACAAATTGTACAGATTGACATTGCTATCACGACTCGAATCGAGGCCAACTACAGCCCCTCCCGTGACTACTCCACGTTGACCGTCTGTCTGTACTGTTTTGTTCGTGTTTTGCCTCTCCATCCTCCCCCTCTTCTCTCTCTCGCTCTCCCTTTTAATTTTTCTTCGCTCGTCTCTCTCCCTCTGTCTCTGTCCAACAGGATTTATAAGCACAGCTCTCGTCCATTTCTGCGTTGCTTCTCCACCCCTCCCCTTATCAGTCCTGTCTCATCCTCCCACGCTAAACCGTTCCGACCACGGGTAGTAACTAAACTTATTCTCAATCTCTCCCTCTTCCGTCTCCTACACCGACGACCTCACCTTCACCTTCCCCAACTCCTCCTTCCCCCCTTGCCTCCTTCCACCACTCTCCAAATCCATTACCCATCATGGCGGCTCCTGTCGAAGACCAGACGCCCCTCAAGTCGAAGTACGATGACTACGATTTCCCGACAACTGCTCCGGAGCCCAAACCTGGCCACCCTGGCCATACCACCCCCGAGCAGGATGCCAAGGTGGAGAAGCTCCGAAGTGAATTGGAGCAATTGGGCTATACCGAACGGCTGGACACCCTGACCTTGCTGCGCTTTTTGAGAGCTCGCAAGTTCGATGTGGCTGCTGCGAAAACCATGTATGTCGATCTGGCTGGTCCCTTCACCGCCAGAGGGTAACGAGGGAAGACTTTATCCACTGACGAGAACTCTGTCTTAGGTTCATTGACAGCGAGAAGTGGCGCAAGGAGTTCGGCACCGACAACCTCGCTCGTACCTTCGAATACAATGAGAAGCAAGACGTGTTTAAGTATTATCCTCAGTACTACCATAAGACCGACAAGGTGTGTGTTCTCGGCCCCTGATCCTCGCTTCTTTTTACTGTCACCCGATGCGGACCGATTTAGTAGCTAACGGTAGTCTGCGAGGGGGAAACAGGATGGAAGACCTGTTTACATCGAGAAGTTGGGCAAGATCGACCTCACCGCTATGTACAAAATCACTACTGCCGAGCGCATGCTGCGGAACCTTGTCACTGAATACGAGAAACTCGCCGACCCCCGGTTGCCGGCCTGCTCCCGCAAGTCCGGCAAGCTCTTAGAAACCTGCTGCTCTATCATGGACTTGAAGGGCGTTGGAATTACAAGCGTTCCGTCCGTCTACGGATACGTTCGCCAGGCATCTATCATCTCACAGAACTACTACCCCGAGCGACTGGGTAAGCTTTACCTGATCAATGCCCCCTGGGGTTTCAGCAGCGTCTTCAGCGTCGTTAAGGGCTTCCTGGACCCGGTGACGGTCGACAAGATCCACGTCCTCGGTACTGGCTACAAGAAAGAGCTGTTGGACCAGGTTCCTGCCGAGAACCTCCCAGTCGAATTCGGAGGCACCTGCGAGTGCTCTGGAGGCTGCGAGCTTAGCGACATGGGTCCATGGCAAGAGGCGGAATGGGCCAAGACCCCCAAGTGGGCTGCTACCCCTACGGAGGAACAGTATGTTGTTAAGAATGAGGAATCAGGCCCCGAGCAGAAGACCGAGACGCAAGAGGCCGCCCAGCCTAGCGCATAAACCCGTATATTTGATTTGATTATTCTCTTTTTCTCTTCAACCTTTTTGGATCAATATGGTAAAAGTCCTCAGCGCTATTTCCTCCCATTTCTCCCTCTTGTTTTCGCAACATGTTCTGTGGAACAGACTACATACCTTAGAGCCCTTTACCTTTTCACCTATCATTTGGTCTCCGCCATCAGCCTTACCATCAAATTCAATAGTTAAAATATTTCTTTGCCTTGGACGGATGACTGGCAGAGCCGGCGGATTTCACCCCATTCTTCCTCACTCGATTTTCCTTTGGAGACTTTGCCTTTAGATATTAAACAAGTCCACATGAGCGGCGCGAGGTGCTTTTTGTTTTTCTTTATATATAGACGGACGGGGACCTGGGAGTAACGATGGGGCAAGAGGTGCAGAAAGTGGTTACCTGGTTGGAGGGTTTTCTGGTAGAGCTTAATATATAGCTGAGACGAGTTTCTCGAGAACACAGACCAGAGTCAGATTGTGTATTATATTCCGGCTCACAAACTTTATCAACTAGAATTAAAAAAGCATTCAATTATCAAGGGGGCAATAGTCATTCATCGCAATCAATGTTGGTATCATGTCCATCCATGCCTGACGCCAAATGCTTAAACCAGAAACAGAGAACATAGAATGAGAAAACAGGGAGAAAACTCGCATTCAAACTTTCTCCACAACATCCACGGCCTGAATAGCTCGTTCGGTTTTGCCTACAGTCGATGCCAAAGCATTCCCATCTGCTGCAGACTCCTCGTGAGCAGTAGAATCAGCACTATCACCTGGTACCGCTTCACCCTGGAGTCGAAGCAGAGTGCGCAATGCATCCTCATAGACCTCGGCTACTTCCCCATTACGCCACCGCTCGGCCTCACGTTCCGTTCCCAAAGGAACCTGTAGATCCCACTGAGCTTTACGGGACTTCCGACGCGACGGACCACTAGTCAACTTGTCGTCCAGACTCCGTTTCTTCGATTGTTGATCCGCATCCGGCATAGCAACATCCCCGTCTCCTGTAGAAGGGACAACAACATCAGGCTCTAATTTCTCTGCCCCCTGTTTATCCGTCATGTTCTCACCCGCACCTTTCGGGTGGTCGAAATCCTCGTCCTCCTCACCAAGTTCCTGTTCGTCCTCTTCGAGTGCCTTCTTCAATTGCTCCGTGTATATCTTTGCCGCTCGCCGCGGCGCATCTCGTCTCGCCTGCGCAACCGTTGTCGTGAGCGATTCCAGTTGCGCGTAGAGTGCCGTCACCCGCGACGCAAGCACCGTATCATATGGTTCGTATTCGATGGTCTCCGTGGGCGCGGTAAATGAAGCCGGAAAGGGGAATTGAGACGATGATGAATCCAGTCCATTGATACTGATGGATGAGGAGGCTGATGTGAAGGTACGCGTAATGAACTAGACATTATATGCAGGGTTAGTTCTTTTTCCTTTTGCGGTTCTCCGTTTAAAACCGTTCCTTTTATCGGATTGGAAGTTTGAAGGGGAACAGGCAGGTCTTTACCTCATCGACTAATTCGCGGACTCGCTCGCGCATCGGATCCGGTCCATCGTTTGCATTGGCTGATGGGGGTAAATGGAGATCGAGCTTTTGGCGTGAGACAGCGACGGCGTTTGCGTAGAGATAGGTGAAGTCTGCAGGGGATTGGAGCTCAATTTTGCGGTGCATCGTGTGTAAAGGACCTGTTGTATATGCGTGTCTTGTTTGCCTCCTTCTCCTTCTCTTTAATCCTACTGTGGAGCTCAGAGAGTCTTTAGATCGTGCCGAGACGCGTCGCAGTGATGATGAACGTCCCAATCCGGCAGGAGGGATTTCACCTGAATAATCGGACACTAACTTGCTTGTTGCGGCCTCAGGCACTCTTAGCCCCGCCGACGATGTCATCGATCCATCAATCCTTTTTTCGAAGCTTCAGCTGCCTGGCCCTGGACATGGTCTAATTGGTCACGTTTTTTGGTGCCCGCTTGGATTCGAGGCTACCCTGTTATTCTTTTTGCCGCTTTTATTCTGCTAGTATCTGATTCATTCTTTTATTGAACTGGAAAAGTCCCTCCCTTCCTACCAACTCTTCTTTTTGGATTTGGTGGTGTAGTGCCTTATCCAGCCAATCTCCCGGAAACTTCGTTCCCAGGCCACGAAGAATGCCCTCGGTGCGATGATATGGGCTAGTCGTGCTACTACGGTGTTGCTGAGGGCCAAATAATCATGGAGGATTCTCCCAATATTCTCCTCCTCGATCATACCTCCCCTCATGCTCAGCCCTCTGGCGTCGAAGCACTCTCCCAGGTTCCCACCGAACTCTCCAGGAACCTTTCCCGACGGTGGTCCAGGTCGTCTGTGCGGGGAGAATTGACCAAACGGAAGTACGCAAAATGGCAACCGCATCGATTAGGAATCACGGACGACGGTGATGCGGAGAGATCCTCGCATAGAAGGGATTTGTCCCTGACGGGTACCAATACAGCAATAGTGGGAGAGTCAAATCTCACGACTATTTCCTCCCAGCAAACGAGTGGACCATCCGATACCAACCAGATCAGTACCACACCGTCTACGGAGCAGGGAAGCGGCGGCCAGTCGCCCCGGTCAGGTTCGCAAGCTCGTATCACTGGCCTCAAACCGGGGAGCGCATTGGATATTCTCTATGAGAACCAACGAGGCTGGTTCTTCTGTGGGATTCCGCTCTACTCGCACCGCTCGCTTCTCAACTTCGATCCGGGTACGTGGGTAACGCATGACTTTAAAGATAGTCCGGTCGACATCACCACTGCCCAACTACCGGATCCTAGCTGGGAATGGGCGTGGAGAATGTGGTATGTGGATATGTCGGGTGATGTAGACGATCAGGGCTGGCAGTATTCGTTTTCTTTTGGTTCATCGGCCTGGCATGGGTCTCATCCCTGGTTTCATTCATTTGTGCGTCGGCGGCGATGGGTTCGGCTGCGGGTGAAACGAGCTTCAGAGAGGAGCCGTCAAGGTCAGACGGGTTTAGAACTGTCTCACATGCTCAACGAAGATTACTTCACCATTCATAGTGGGAAAATGAAGAGAGCGTTGAGCTTGGAGCGGGCGTCGCGGGTGACGTCGGGCTATCTGAGCGGGGCCACGACCAAGGCGGATGAAGGAGCTCCTTTGGAGGAAATTGGTAATATTCCTACTCTGATGCGCGCATTGAAGGGGGCGGTGGTGGACCGCGAGAAAATAGATGCTCTGAGGCGTTTTATCGAAGAAGGGGGCCATGAGTTGTACTATCTAGATGAAAAGGTATGTCTGCTGATAAGGATCATTAATGTTAGACTTACTGGCTGATACTGATGCGCCTCCCTTAGATCCCTGATATCATGTCTATGTTCGTTTTTCAGGCCTCTCGCTCGCAGTTCCTCACCCACTTGAACGGCGTTATCGACGAGCTCTATCGGCAGATATCGCAGGCCGACGACAAGGAAGTTGAAGATATGCAACGCAAAAAGGAACATCTTGAAAAGGCCGCAGGGACCGTTCAACATCATCTCAGAGGACCGGAGATCGTCAGTACTCCGCGCCGACATTCGGCGCCCGAAATGTTGGATTTGACCCCTAGTCCGAAGAAGCAGAGCCATCTGTCCAGGCATTTGGGGAAGTTTTCGTTCAAACCGATGGACGACGGAGGTCCCATCAAGGGGATACCGAAGGCAGCGGGAATCGGACGAGAAGTTCATATTTATCAGTACTCTCCCTAATTGCTATTTGTATTTTCTCTTTTGTTCTATTTTTTGGTTTGGCACGGATCTCTCGGGATATGATACCCACGTTCTCCTAGGTTGAAGTCGATGTTCAGGAGGAACGATGCAATCTTTCAATTGGAAATGACCGTACTAGATAATATTCATCATTATATTCTACTTATTCAACCTCGTATCACTATAAAGAGTCATACAGTGCTATGCTTATATTAGATTGTCTTCCGACTCAGGTAGACGGCCCGATGTTCCCGACCGCCTACCGTTTTGGCGCCACCAACAATTTTCGGCGTTTTTGAAGAAACCGACACCAGGAACAAACCATCTCTTGGATCTCTCTCGCATTCGCCGTCGCAGCCTCTCGAACAGATTCCACCCTCTTACCTTCCCTCCCTCTCCGACCCTCTCCCTTTCCATGCCTTGACGCATCGTTGGGTCTTTCCCGATGTTCTCACGTGGCCAAGCGTGTCTGAAAAGGCGTGGTCTCTCCGTCGTCTTGGACAATATCACGACTGGCCCCGAAGAACCTCTCCTCTTCCTCTACCCTCACTGGTTCACTTCGGCATTCCGAAAGCCCCGTCCTCTATCTTCCAGGTCGAGTGGATCTACAAGCAGTACTGGCTCCCGAGGGTCGGTCCCCAGAGCATCTCGTCCAGCCCGGGGATTGTCCTTTGGGTCTTCTTCGAGACGGTTGATATCGGGCAGCACTTATGCCATTAGAACTACATCAGATGGATCGACGAATGCAATTTCGGTGGGAGATGAAGCTACTATTTCAACCACACTGGACAATGGTCTGTCCGGGGAAGCTACGAGGCATGAAGGCAATGCGACAACCGGCCCGGAACCCACGAGACTGAAGTCTTCGCGCTCACGCACTCCGAGGGGCGACGTAACGGGAGTTAAACAGGGGAAAGGGCATGTGATAAATGCCTTAGCTGATAATGAGATGGAAGCCGGACAACAGCCTGTTTCTCCGAGTGTCGGAGGAAATGATCACGTCGACAGAACGCACTCGAAGACATTGACAGTGATCACGGGACAATCACCAATTGCGAAGCCACTTTCTGGCTTGAAAAGACTGTCAGTCAGGGATAGACGGAAAGTTCGATATCGACGGGATCACAACACGACATCCAAGATGGACCATGAAGACAGGATACAGAGTTTGCTGGTGCGGTTACAGCAGGATATTCACAGGTCGGGTAAGAAGGGATCGAAGCAGAAGGAGCTTTTAGTTCCAGAGGAGACACTGGCACTGCTTGCGGGGATTACTGACATGGCGATGAAGGAGAATATTTGGTATGTGCATGTCCACAATGGATGTAAAGTGCATGTGCTGCATCCGCTAGAGAGTGAGGGACAGTATCGGAAGGTTCTGCTGTCCGGATCGGAGCGAGTGATGGAACTGGTCTGCGATCGCATTTCCCACGTACGGAATCTCCAGGAACTTGGCGATCCTTTGGTCGATATTAGGAAACCGGTGGTGCCGATATTTCCTTCCATGGAGGCCTTGAGGAACAAGAATATTTCCCCGCCGCTTATTCGGGGCGTATGGGACCACTATAGGGCCACAAGGAACCCAGCGAAACTAAGTACGATTCGCTCTTTGTCCAAGGACTTGTCGACGGTGCGGGAGTTTGCGGAGCATGTAGACGAGTTGACAAGGTCGCAGCCTTCGCGCGATGCGGTCCTTGGGTATAAAGAGATGCCTCACCGGAAGCAGGTGGCTGAGGCCCTGATTGCGCTATTCAATGATGATGCAAACAGTCGACTGTTTTCGACCGCTGCACTGAATCGTGCGCTTTCTTGGATGTGCGACTATGAATTTCTGCACTGCACAGGGACGGTTCTCCTTCGTGCCGAGCATGTTGCAACAGTAGACACCTTCAACATCCTTCTGAGGTCAGCGGCGAAAAGGCAGGATATGGGCTTCTTTTATCGGTCTCTGCTGGTCATGTTGCGGATGAAAATCCGTCCCAACGACTTTACCTGGCTTGCGTATCTCGACAGTGCTGTCGCTCCAAAAACGAAAACCGATCGTATGGCTTGGCTGATAGAAAATGGCTATATCACTCAAACCGATGCGGTGCGGACGGCCCTGCAGATGACTATACAGGATACGTTCCTCGCTCACCTTGAGAGCGGTCGCAGTGTGGATTCGTTCATCAACATGACGATTGATTCGCATGGGACCAACTGGTTTTCGCCTTCCTTGATCAGCCAGATGTTCAGCGTCACATCTCGCCTGAAGGATTTCTCAGCAATGGACCGGTTACTGCAAATCTGTCAACAGCAGGGGCTTACTCTCGATAGCTCCGCGGTCAATCAAATCCTGTTGCTATTTCAGTCGGATATATTTTCCGCGATCCGGTATCTGTTCCGATGCAGTGAACATCCCGAAACCATGCTCAAGACGGAGGCATGGGAGAGGCTCTTTCTGATTGCATTCAAAGGTCGTCATTACAATATCTGCCGCGTGCTCTGGCGGTATGCCTGCATTCACAAGGGTATGACGTGGAACATGAAACGGTCTGTACTCCTTTCGCTGACCCGGAATGTCACGCGCAAGAAGAAAAAGGATCTGGATAACATCTGGCGCACCAGTGCAGGCAAGGTTATCGTCGGGGTCGACTTGCACCTTCCGCACTACCTGGGGAAAAGCTCGGTCTTGGAAAATGTGCCGCCCGAGTTCCACCACAGTGCAGTTTCATACCTAGCCAGCGGGTTTAAAACCGAGGGAGAAGAGCGCCAGAAACAATTGCATCTCGCCAAACTATTGATCCAGCGCGATATCCAGGTCGGTCCCTGGTACCGCCCGACGCAGTCGTTCTCTATCATGCTGGAGGCAGCCGCCTTGATGGATCAAGAATGGAAAGGGGTGCCACGGCCGATGCAATGGTTGATGCAGAACGCCATCCAAGTGCCGGTGCAGGCCTCCAACTATCCGCAATGAGCATGGATGGTATTCTTGACATTTAACAGCCTGTACACCCTTCCGAGGGTATAATCCTCCCAAGTCTACATTTATCTGACCCTACATCTATATTTTCACGATAATTCCTTGTCACACTACATTATTTCAGCACATTCTGGGCGTGGTTGGTGTCTGTCCAACCTTGATCCCTTCACATGTTCCGGTTCCTGTACATCGGCGTTGCTTCTTGTTCACATACCTGTGTATATTACGCCACTCAATCTCCCGTGCGTGACCACGCGGTCATGCACTGTATATATATATACTGCTCAGACTAGAAATCATTTCCTGAAAAGGTAGTCATTAATTCATCTGGTCTATTGTCGTAACTGGGTATATATCTATAGGGGAATCTCTCATCCGCTACCGTTTCCGTACAGCAACGCCGCCGGCGGCGGAGCAGGCATTGGACCGGGCATTTCAGGCGCTGCAGGGCCGTACGGATCGAAGGATGTTCTGATCGACCCGACACCTTCTTTCAAATATAACACCAAGCGGTAGGCGGAATTCCCATTCAAATAGTACCGATGGAGACGTTTGCTGCGCAGGAAGCCGAGTCGTTCGTAGAGCTTGATGGCGGCCGTATTAGTGATTTCAGTCTCGAGGGCGATCTACCAAGACACATCTTAGTCAGTACCATGGACAAGGGAAGGGGGAGAGTGATGAGATGGGAACAATGTATGTGTCTGTCAATCAGGCTAGACAATGTAACACAGTGGAACGAACCTCATCCGCATTCCGTTCAATCATCGCATCGATAGCCATGCGCACGAGCTTCGTTGCAATACCTCTTCCTCGGAACTCCTCGCGCACAGCCAACATGGCAATATAGCCTCGCAGGGGCCCATCACGGTGCGGTTCCAGCTTGGAAACCACGACCCCTACCATCGGATCCGGCCGGGTGTCGTCCATCGCCATAAAACAGAGATCACCCCATTGGTAGAGAAAATACCGGTAAACGTAGATACTGTAGGGTTCGGATAAATCCTTGGAGATCAACTGGCGCATGGCTGCGACGTATTCGTCCTCGCGGGAGCCATCGTAACGCACGTAACGGAGGTCAGAAGAAGGAGTAGTGGTGAATGCAGCGGCGGGGATCGCATGCTGGTTCATTTCTGAAGAGAAGATTTGTATGGTGTGGGTGGTGGTGGTGGTGGTAGGAGGAGAAGAGAGAAGGTCGATGAGAAAGTGAAGGGTGACGGCGATGCCTAAAAACGGATAACGGATAACGAAAGGGAAGATTTTCGTGACGTCCGTTCGACATGTGATTCGATTTTCTTGGTCTTGGACTCTCTTTTTCTTCCTCCTCTTCTCTCGTTTCGCTTCTTTTTTTAAAAAAAATTATTTTACCTACACATCTATCAGTCCAATAATCCCCTCCTTCTTCCGTCCGATTTCCCCAGTGTCTCGTCCTGTCCTGTCCTTTCCCCACTAGTTCCCTGGCGGTCGCCCATATGCTCCGCCGTCGCTTGGCTAAGGTCAAGGACGAGGTCCCCACGACGACCGAATCCTCGCCTACGCCGACTCCTCCGTCTGAGAAATATGGATCATTTGTCACGAAGCCACGCAGTAAACGTCGCAATGGCCTGATCTTCGCGTTGGGTGGGATTTTTGGCATCCTTGTTGCCGTACTCTTCGCCAACCAGCAGGATGTTATCAGTCTCGATTCTCTGATGGATCTGAATCTGGAATCGTTGATGGATGTGATTCCGCAGGGTATTCTCAAGGATGTGAGGGAGTTCTCGGTATGTGAACGGTATTGGTTTATTATTGGCTCGATAGGAGCAAGTACGGTACCGGGCAATGGCTGACGGATCCTATCCCCCGCCAGCAACATGAGCGTGATACGGTCAGTTATGATTCCTTCGCCGTGGGTCTTCAGCTTCAGGCGCAGGGGCTCGAGGCCAAACATCCTGTTGTCATGATTCCAGGGGTCATCTCCACGGGGCTCGAGAGCTGGGGTACGGGGTTGCAGTCCCGACAGTACTTCCGGCGTCGGCTCTGGGGGAGTTGGAGTATGATGCGGGCATTGGTCCTAGACAAAGCGGAATGGAAGAACCATATCATGCTAGACAAGGAGACGGGACTGGATCCGCCGGGAATCAAGCTCCGGGCCGCGCAAGGATTCGATGCCACCGATTTCTTTATCACCGGCTACTGGATCTGGAACAAGATCCTCGAGAATCTTGCGAGCATCGGATACGATCCAACTAATGCCTTTACGGCGGCTTACGACTGGCGCTTGGCATATCAAAACCTGGAAATCCGTGACCAGTACTTCAGTCGGCTGAAATCCTACATCGAGAGTGCTGTCCTGGTGCGGGGTGAGAAAGTGACCCTGGCCTCGCACAGTATGGGTTCACAGGTGGTGCTGTACTTCTTCAAATGGGTAGAGAGTGCCGATCACGGCAAGGGTGGCAGCGACTGGGTCAATGACCACATTGCGTCGTGGATCAACATCAGCGGGTGCATGCTGGGTGCCGTCAAGGGTCTGACGGCCGTCCTGTCGGGCGAAATGCGCGACACGGCGCAGCTGAATGCCTTCGCCGTGTACGGACTGGAGAAATTTCTGTCCAAGGAAGAACGTGTAGAGATCTTCCGTGCTATGCCGGGTATCTCAAGCATGTTACCCAAGGGGGGCGAAGCCGTCTGGGGGAATTCCACTTGGGCGCCGGACGACCAACCGGGCCAATCGATGACGTTCGGCAACGTGCTGAATTTCCACGAGAGCAACTCGACCCTGACGGCAAAGAACCTGACCATCTCGGACAGCCTGTCGTATCTGCTGGACCAGAGCGATGACTGGTATCGCGACCAGGTGCTGGCCAGTTACTCCCACGGCGTGGCGCACACCACCAAGGAAGTCGAAGCCAATGAGAAAGACCCGCGCACCTGGCTCAATCCCCTCGAGGCCCGGTTGCCACGAGCTCCAGACATGAAGATCTACTGCCTCTACGGCGTGGGCAAGCCGACCGAACGCAGCTACTTCTACCAGGAGGAGCGCGATCCGCTGGTCAACTTGAACGTCAGCATCGACACCACCGTCACCAACAACGACGGGGTAGACCACGGTGTCGTCATGGGCGAAGGCGATGGCACCGTCAATTTGCTGAGTGCGGGATACATGTGTGCCAAGGGCTGGCATATCAAACGATATAATCCCGCCGAGGTCAAGATCAAGGTGTATGAGATGCCACATGAGCCGGATCGATTCTCTCCCCGCGGAGGTCCCAACACAGGTATGCCCAGCTTCTATTCAGTACTTATATATTCCCATTTATGGTTCTAATATGTATCAGGTGATCACGTCGATATCCTCGGTCGCTCTTCTCTTAACGAACTCATCCTCCGGATTGCCAGCGGACATGGCGACGAAATCGAAGACACCTTCGTCTCGAAGATCAAAGAATATGCCGACCGAGTGAAGATTTACGAAGAATAAAATAGTAATATTAATGAGCTTTCTTTCTTCATATATTTGCTAGTATATCATATTTATTATTTGTGTATTTTTTTCGTTTCTTTTCATGATGATGTTATATGGAAGGCAGGTGTACGAAGATGGCGTTCGATAGAGGAATTTCATGACACTACCAAGTTGAAAGGCAGGGAATAGACATGTTCCATTCTCCTTCCACTGAGCAATGTATATACTCATGGCAAAATGACAATCAACATCATCGATGAAGTATAAAAAAAGGTCGTGCTCGGGATCGAACCGGGATTACCAGAATCAGAATCTGATGTGCTAACCATTACACTACACAACCGAGGTTACTGAGTTTTATCAGATCAAGCCTATGATATAAGCCTGTCACCAAAGTAGAATCACACAGTTAAATCATGGTTACTTCTCCTTTGACGGGCCTATTAAATTAACGTCACTAATCTGAAGCGGCAGTCTGTAGATAAATGTCTTTACATACCTGGACACCAACTGTATTCAATACATATTGGGGAGAGTTAAATATGTATGAGGAGATATTCCAAGTTTGGTTGCCTATCTAGAAATGTACCGACTTTGTATCGTCCATAAATCTAACCATCCATATTCTATCCGATAGCTGAGCCAGTAAAATTCGACCTGGGAGATTTATAATTTATTCATTGATAGCGATATCGACTATAATTATAATTGAGGATCCGCCGGATATATATAGTTCACCTATGAATCTTCTGATAGAGAGTACCCCACTAACCGGGGTACTGGATATGATCCGGGTCAAGTATCTGCAGTACGAGTCTATTGAATTTACCTATACTCTAGGATGTGTTTGTATCCAGTAGGACTAAGTACAGGCAGCTCATATAGGAAATAATGGCTTGAAAAAATAAGCAGTTATAACTGTGATGGTTTGGTTGTCTCTGCGCTAGTAGAGATAAAACCACCTGACCATATAAAAAGGTACAAGACGACTGATCCTCGATCAGTCGCATCTAGCACCCTATATAGTATGTTACAGGTTCAGCCTGTGACTATAACTTTGCATAGGTACACATCTATACATTACAACTTTCGCATCAGCCATGAACTGCTCAAATCAAATCAAATGTGGTATAGACAGGTCCTCCATGCTAGTCAACTTGTTGGTTCGAGTATATACAGGTATCACCCAACAACTAATACAGCATCAGTGTACGATGTCCAACACCGGGAACGGTGCATCTGGATAGTCTCCCCAGTAGTGTGGACAATACGACCTCGGCTGGAGCAATTGCTTTCCTGAACTATACTGGGAAGTCCATGGTAAGTTATATATCTAGTTAAGCAACTCCATTATTCTACTCCAAATTATATCAAGTTAGTCCTATTAACTAGGTTCATTTAGGTATAATGCCATGTTATCGGTATTTGGCATGGCATTCAAGATTAATACACTAGGAGTTGCTCTTAGTTATAAAGCAGTATATCCTGTATGGCGTAATATTGCATTCACATAAATTTCACGTATCATATTAGGTGGAGAAAGAAGAATATACGACAGAATAAGAGCAAGAAAGAGAGAAAGTGACTGAAAGAGAGGTTAAAAAGTTGGATAATAATAATGAAAAAAGAAGGTCGTGCCCGGGATCGAACCGGGATTATCAGAATCAGAATCTGATGTGCTAACCATTACACTACACAACCTAACGATGGTGCCTTTTTGGACTATTTGTTACTCAAGTCAGTTATAGTAATATAATCAACTTCTACCGACGCTCATCCCGAATACAGTATGAGCTATACATACATTGTCGGAATTTCAAACTGATGAAAGACTTCAGTATACAGAGACATAAATAAATTCTAGACCACTTTATGCATAGTTGATCGGACGTCTCCATTCCAGCCAGTGCCCAAAATTTTAATTACTCCAAGAAGCTTAGAAGAGCGGCAACAAGAAGTAAACTCTTATTTCAACAGGGGGCTTTGCCTACTAGTAGCACAGTACTGAACATACATAGTTATACGCTTTGGATAACCATACCAATTCTTGAGTTGGGGCTGTAGGAAAGGAGTCTAGGCTTATGTAGCCAAAGATAGCTCAACTGCTTCAACAATCAGGTTGTGTAGTGTAATGGTTAGCACATCAGATTCTGATTCTGGTAATCCCGGTTCGATCCCGAGCACGACCTTCTTATCCAATTTATTTTTTTGTCATTTAAATTCGATCATTTCTAGGATACTTTTTATTCTACATCTGACGTGTTAGGACTGGAAGTCCTATCTATATTTTGGGGGTGTATGGGATATAAGACCTAGACTCCGTAGATTCCCTTGCTAGCGCATGTAGAAGAATCTTAAATCTAGACCAAACGTACAGACACAGGTGAAACATAATATACAAAGGTTCCTTGTTCATAAGTCATAAACACTACTAATAAGGATATAATCAACGATAAGAATATCGCTATCGATAAACACCCTCTCGGCGATGATACACGATCCACAAGCGACATATCTATATCTCGAACGGCAGGCTGCGTACGTCGCCAAAAGGGTGGAAGGTTTTGGATAGTAGGGATTCCCAGGGCAAAGAGATGTCTCCGTCATACATCTTTTCCACTGCAGTCCCTCCGGTCTTGCCTTCTTCTCACTGCGTTGCCGTAGCACTGCAGCTCATCCCTGCCCAACAGCCTCTTATAAAACAATGTTCCCAGACGGACCTCACTAAACCAAGCCAGTCCGTCCTCTTCTCCCCTCTATATGCCAATGCAATGGTCATTAATCAAACATCAAACCCTCTCTAAAGCACAACGAGTGAAGTGCATGCAAACGGCGCCTGTATGTTTTTCCACATGATCCCTCCCAATTCCAAGCGCCAAAAATAGTGTGAGCGATCGACACGAATATAAAAAAGTTGTAGTATGTACCTGGCCGAGCGAAGAAAAAAAGAAAATTAAAAGCTCGACCAGCCTTGAAAGCGAAAGTCGTAATTCGAAATTAGACAAAAATATCCGTTCTGCGTGACCCAGATATGAAGTGTATAAGCGAGTGTCTCCAACAAGGAACCTCTGCAGCTCAAGACATTACTGAAGTTGAGGCTTCGGCATTAAGATTATCGACGGAGATTCAGCAGTCTGGGGCTGAATAATACAGCCCGACCGGTTCACAATGCAGTCATGTACAGTGAATAATGTAAACTGAGAGGCGAGAAGGCGAACGGCGCATCCAGGCAGGTTGGTCCAGGACTGGATCCATTAGGCCAGGCAGTGCCGAAGTGAAAAGAAAAAACGTATTAAAAATATGTCGAAATCTGCTCAATGCAATAAGAAACCAAGCATGTCGTTAAATGTGCTAACGCCGTTTCATAGATAGATGCAAATAAACAAGCGCATAGGGTATATGCAATTCACGGACTAATGGCATGTCTTCCGGACTCAATATCAGAGGCAGGTGAGGCTAGGGTTTCGCCCTCCCATGTGTAATGGTCATCAATGGGGCTGAGGGAACCTGATGAAATCGAAGAGGAAGAGCCGACCGTCCATTCATCACTGTCGAGGTTGTATTCGTCGTCACCCGTCAGGCCGTATCCATATTCTCGGGCAGAGTCACCAAACTCCACATAGTCATAATCCCAACGGAACATCTTGTCGCCCTGAATGCGCGGAAGGAACCGAGTCTTTGCGAAGTAGAATGCAATGGTCGCAATTAGACCACCACAAACAAGATCAACGGCATAGTGATGGGAGAGATACATGGTCGCCCACCACATCCACAGTGTGTAGGTTACGAACAAAGGTTTCAGCCGTGGGAATACATGGCTCATGAACAACGCAGCCAGTGTCGAATCGGCGGCGTGTAGTGAAGGGAATGCACCGAATACGACAGGGGACTGTTTGAAGCCCGAAGTATACAGGTCGATACCAAAGAGCTTATCGATACGGGCAAGACCAGCGGGGTTGCCTTGCATCGAGTAGTCGGCGGGAGCCAGGCCGTAAAGATTCTCATACCATGGGGGTGAGCAGGGGAATGCAAGCTGAATGGTGACAGAAAGCATGCTGATATACCCGAAAGTCCGCGCGAAGAGAGGCACGGTGCCGGGCGGTCCGAAAACGAACATGATCAGCGAGCAGACAAAGGGGGCCCCGTAATGGCAGATCCCATATGGGAGCCATGCCAGCAAGTCCAGCACCACGTTCTGGTGGGCAGAAAGGATATTACTGATATTAGCGCCGTAGAGAATATTCTCTAAAGCTGGAAGTACACGGACCCAGATCGCAGGGCGCCAATCGCTCGGGATGAACCTATTGATCGTAATAATCAGCGACCAATTTTCTTCCACCGGGCCAGAGCCCAAGAATTTTGGGTGAGGTTCTTTTATTACTTACTGGCAAGCGTAGAAAAAAATGAGCCATCCAGCGATTGGAAGGAAAGGAAGAAAAAATTGGCGAGTGATAGGAAGTAGAAGCGAGAAAAGGAGCAAAGTGAAGACAGCAGTCTTTGCCAAAGGTCCCGGTGCTTCCATAACACTCAACGAGAAGATCCCAACAATCATCAGTAGTAAGTATTGAAAGTCGTAGAGAGTCCAGCGATGGCTTTGTAACGACCGGAGGGTATCCACGGGCGAAAACGAGGTTTGTAAGGAGGATATCGATGAGGTAGGAGATATCCTACTGCGCAACTTCGACCGTAACTTCCGTCGCATGCGATGCGGAACCAGGAGTTGAATGGAGCGCCATGGAACTTGGATTTGCAGCTTGCCAAATTGGTTTTGCGTACGATCCTTCCACGAGGGAAGGGAAGTGTTCATCTTTGCGAGCTCGGGAAAACAAAAACCCCCTCGAACGTTTGATCTTCCCTAAACGACACGGAGACGAGGGTGGATGCCACAAAAATCGAGGGATGGTTGATTTAAGTCCCCCAGGCGGAGTTTACGGAAAGGGGGCTTCTAGGCGCCAGCGTGAGTACACTCTTAATAGGGAGGACGGATGGAGAACGTTTCAATCGCTGGCAGGTATACACCAACGAACGTCTCGTACGGCGGAGAAATAAACACAAGGATTGGTGGTTATAGTTGGGAGCGCGGGCTCCGGTCTCCAGCGGCCAAACGAGGATGTACTGAGGGGGGTCACGTTGCAGGAACCTCTCTGACGCAAGGCGGACAGCAAGGAGAGGAGAGAGTACCAGGAACGAGGTCAATGGCGAAGGTGTGCAGATGGCCACGGAGCCGGAGGGACTGCAAAGGTAGGAGAAAGCTGAGGAACGAGGAGGAGGCGGAATTAAGAGGGAGTAGGGACGAGATAGGGAAGAGAGGAAGAAGAGAAGATGAGACGAGTCGAGCAGTGATGAGGATTTTTGCAAGCGCCGGGCTGGAAGCGCCAGGTGAAGAGCGACGGGGTTACGGACGACGACGGGTACTCTGACAGAGACCCGTACTCGTATTACCTGTTTGGTCTGGTGCAGGTGGTATCGTGTCGTCACGACTAATCCTGATCGGGTGTGTCCGGGAGCAATACTAGTGTGTTTTGGGTAATCCAGGGTTGAGCCAGGGGCTTCTTTGGGGCTAGTCAATGCCGAGGCTGCGCCGTCAAAGCTCGGGAGAATAGAGATGCGTGCCTGAATGGCCCACCACGGTTGAAAAAAAGGAAGTTTTTTTTTTTTTTTTTTTTTTTTTTTTTTTTTTTTCTAACGAAGGGTCGATGCTTGCCTCAGGCCGAAATAAAATTTACGTCAATACCACCCCAGAACAGTCTCCTCACCCGGGCCTCACAAGGCAAGTTACTATTAGCTTTTACGGATGTAGCGGAAACCTCGGGGAAATCGGAGGTAACGGATGCCGACTGAGAATATGAGAATGTAATGATTGGAACAGGAGCTTTGACCGATATGCACCTTACGAAGTAGTAGTAATTTAGCTCTTGGTAACTCATCCGTAGGAGCAGCTCCTATGTCCGTAAGTGCGTGCCTAGGAGCAAGGAGATGAGATCCCCTCCATACAGGGGACAAAAAAAAAAAAAGGGACACGCCGAATTGTTCCTTCGAAATCCAACCCCAAGTCATCTCATTTATTGCAAGGCTACCCCCCAACCCCCGATGATTGGTAGAGCTATCCCCACTGGCCAGGCGCAGCAGCCAACTGGAAGCTGTGGATCTCCAGAACCAATTTCGCTTAGCCCACAACGGTTGCACAGTCAGCAGCCTCCGGCCAAAGAAATCGCCGTTCTGCGGCCAAGCCCCGCTGTGCCTGAATAGTCTGGTTAGTGATCCAAGTTCGTTTCCCTTTTGGTGGTGTATCACCATTCTTTCAGGGTATCCTCGAAAGGATGGCCGCGTAGCTAACTCACTCTATAGGAGTATGGGGCTTTCTTTGTTTATAGGAATACTACATAGATGGAAGATGCGGCGCATCCCGAGAGGAGTGCTCCAAGTCACATAATTATACAGTACTCCTTTGTATATGTACTATGCTCTCTCACTCTGATCCGATCGTAAGACTGACCTATCAAGCTCGGATATTAGTTGCGGGACCAAAGCTAGCTGCGACATACTAGTATGTTATAGTCAGCCAGCTTCTCCTTTAGTCGGTGTTTAGCTCTCAATGGATCGCACCTGTATGAAAAGTCTATTCCTTGACTTGTTTCCAGCCGCAGTTCCTCATGCAACATGAACAGTACTCTTGGAACCACAATCCTTCTGTTCCGCCATGGCACCAGACACCTACCTGCATAGAGTATGACTAAGGGCCATACATACCAACTGGAGGTTCAATCGTCCCTGGCTTGGAATTATGTAACGGCACCCGATCTCATCATGCAGGTCAACAGGTAATGTAAGTAGAAGTCATTGGGCACCTCAACTATGCCCTAAACGGGAAAAGATGGAAATCAAAAATACCGTCCATTACGGTACTGCAGACTCCCCATACCATACGATGCATAGATGATCACGGCAAGCCGCACCGGAGAGGGTGCTCAGTTTGCATCCGAGGAGTGCATAAAGGAGTGATTGGTAGCAACTAAGATTTGAAGCTCATGGCAGCTGACCAAGGCACACGTTCACTTACTCCTTTTGACGTCCGAGGACTCCTTCCTTGCACTTTATACGGAGCACGAAATTTCCGCGCTGGCCCCAACAGCTCATCTCTTCCATGCTGGTCCTTGACTTAGGGTAGATTAAAGGAGGAGTAATAATACCTTAATATCAGAGATTGCGACAGGCCGTTCAAAGGGCGCAAACCACGTACACAACTCCGTATGTACTATGTACGGGGTACGTACGGAGTACTCTCTACACCTATTATTAAGCCCTCGTCTTTCATTCCTTTACTTTGGTCGTTCGTATTCATTCAGCGCGTCATATAAGCAATAAAATTAGAATAATACTGGTTGCCTGGTCTAAAGTGGGTTTGCTAGGAATTCAGAGAGCTCGGACCAAACCGCTAATTACGAGTAATGAGAGGTGCAGTTGAGGCTGGGTGATAATCTTTGGTTGTATTCTCCTATCCCCAACCAGTAAAGGGAGAGAAGACCAGATAAACTTCATGGTTTGAATGTTAATTGTGATACGGGTAATAGAACACGTTTTGTATCATACTGCTCCTCAGCCATTGCATCATGCCCGACAGAAGAGCATGGATCGAATACATCATCCTACATCATCGACCTCACGACGCCCATGGATCTTAAGGCTGGAGGATCTGCATCAGGAAACGTACACAGTACAGGGTACAAACCAACATTGAATCTGTTGATATGAATCCCCCTCATTGTATCGCTGAACTTCCGAACAATCTGCCTCTATTCTTCCTGCGACCGACAGACGAACGGGGCTGGCTGCATCAGGTGATGCTGGCCGCCTGCGTGTCCTCGAATAGCAAGTCAAACGAGGTTTGCATGAGGTCATCTTGCAGGAGCCAATATTTAGGTCCTACGTAGTACAGAGTTAAGTTTGGAGGTTCGAAGTCAAATGTGTATGATGATTGCGCCTGAGCATATTGTACTCACCCTGTACTCCGTGTATATGTTTCTATACAGACTTTGATTTTCTAGAGCCACTATGACATTCCCCTTCTAGGCGCCACTGGTGTAATGAAGGTACTCCGGGACTTGCTCAGTGAGTATTTCACATTACAGATTACTATGGACTTAGTGGGTGCTTTGGGAGTAGTTACGTGGCTCCCTGAGCTAAGGAGCAGTACTTACCCCTCCTTTATTTTGCATGGGTAGTTTGACAATGGTGGCTAAATAGTAAAGTAGGAAGCCTGGCTACTATCTAACTTCTAATATTATGCGATCAGCCTTCCATATTCAGACTCAATCTAATATGTGTTATCATGGCTTTGGTCCAAGTACCATCTTGTCGTCAGACATTGCACTTACCATCTGCAGTTACTGACCGCAGATGAGCTTATGTTGACATATTATCTATCGAGCCAAATAATCATCCTAAAAGATATGGCTTTGACTTGCTGTTTCTCACATATCCTTTATCCGACTTTGTCGTTTTCCCTATCTGCCATGCGACTATCCACTCAGAATCACGGGGCTATGCATCCATGGATGGCTGGACCCAGATAATACGACCTGCGGAATACGTCGACACCGCGGAACAGAGTGACCGAGAAATTGATCCTATTCCCATCACAGCAGGCACGAGCAGGTGTCCAGCGGATTGACTGGACTCCCCGGGGCTTTCTCACGTATGTAAGCGATGGCGTATGACAAGAGCTGTGTGTCCGATTTTGACATTTGAATGGGGATTCCTTGTCCAGGAAGGGAAAAAGACAATCAAACCTCTCCAGCAACTCGGGCCAGACATGGAATGGACATATAGGCTTTTTCACAGACCAGTTTCCGTCTTGGAAATTTAAGAGTTTCAAATGAGCTTGATCTGTAAGAGGTTGATCAAGTCAATGTATTAGTGGGTTGATTGGCTACTCTCATTGCTGGGAATCCTTATATATTAAAATGCTTGAGTAAATAGTTCTTAACACTTGTAATCCGACCTCTATATTCTTAGGAATATATTCTGTACCTGTTTCATATAATTACACAAAGAACTATGACGGCGCATGCGTTGTAGAACTTCAGAGTGAGCTACGGATGTATCTGTCCAACTTATTCCAATCATATAGTTTACACTGTGTTATTCATGGCTCTGTGCCATACTATTATTACATTATCAGCATAACGATCTGATATTGCCAAGTCCACCTATACAACGAAGCGATACACTGTAAAAGCAATACCAAGTGAGCCTCCTTACGATACACCACGTCACAAGACCATCCATAGAGGATAAAGATAAACGAGACCGGATAACTTAGATTCTACGTAGGAAATACGAAAGCAGGACGAACCTCCCCACATTGTGTACGTCTGGAACGACAAGACGCCCAAGTAATGAGGCGCACGATGTCCGTGGCAGTGCTCCCTTCCTTGAGAGAAATGCTTCCGCCTAGACTAATTCGGCTTAAATTAGATCGGACAACAGTATGTTCCATGCATTTGGGTCCTATCAGCACTCCGTATCAAGGGTGAGCTTACATGTTCGAGTTAGGTATGAGGTGCATACGTCGGCAGCTGGGTATGTTGATCAAAGAAAATTTAAAGGCACACCGTAGGTATGGTGGCTTTGAATCCGGGAATGGTGCTTATCCAACTTACCATTGGAGGTCACATTGATACGGGGTGGTAAGGTAGTTGAGAGTAACTCTGTGGGGGTAATTCGACTCCTGGCTTCATATTTAGTCGGTGCATGTTGGATGAGGTGTTCATCCTAATATAGAATGCAGGCCTGTTGACTGGGGTTTAGCAATCTGCCTATCGGTCCGGTAATTGTTTAAAACTTAATATGGGGTCTTATTGTGTGAGGATAATGAGTGGTACATGGACGACGTGAGGGATAAGTGTAATTTGCAGTGGTGAGCTGTCCTTGCAGTTTTGGTAGTTAGATCACTGGATCCATTTGAATGTCTGATGGTACTACATGATCCTGCTCAACAAATTACTATGCTCATCGTAAGTATTGATAGTTGCAATCAGAGGGTTACTACACATTACACTCTAGAGTCAGACTAAAGGTATAAACCAGGCTCCCACATTAGGAACTATTGTAACCTCAAGTGACAAAAATATATAACACCCAGACGCTTTTCCACCGGGCACATTTCCTAAATGGGGAATCTCTGCATATATCAACCATGGTAGATGTCAGGCTTCTTGAAGTCGTATATATCTTCAAAATGGCCGCAAATTATCATATATTCTCAGTCTTGAGAAAGGCATTGGGTCTGCGTGTGGTTCCCCCCACCTGCCAGGGAAACCACTTATCCCTCGAAAAGATTCTTATCAACTAATTGATTGATACCGTACATGGACCTACCGCAGATATGTCGATGGACAGGGTTCTTCTGCGGGATTATTATCCCAGAACGATGATGTAGATCCTGGTAGTTTCCACTTTATCAGGACTTTCCGAGGCCTCCCCATACTGGTTTAACAGTATCATACCTCTGGCCTTGTTCTGGACAACAAACAACCCAAGAGCCAAAATCGACGCCGGACTAGCCCAAGAACTTCATATTCCCCTGCAATAGCTGTACGAGAAGCACCCTAGAACAGCTCCCGCGTAGTCTAGGAGATAATAGATCACATGACTGCCAGAGGCATTGCGGCCGACACTAACTGGGGGAAGCTCTGGTTGTTCGATATCTATCTCAAAATGTTCGTAGATGGTAAGTGATGACTGGGCGATAGGCTGGGTGTTTATCCTCCCATTGTGACATTACGTCCATTCTCTCCCCGACAACACCAGTCCCATAATCCAAGGCCTTCTGCTCTTCATCCTCTGTCTCACTCCACCTAGGCCTCTCTCATCGACTACAACATCACCATGGAGCTTCCCACCAACACGACCTCTCCCAGGCACACTTTCGATATAACCATGAACCATGAACCATGAAACCTACCTCCACGTAGAACTCGCCATCGACAAGTCCTGGGATGTCTGAGCGGTGGTTATCAAGGATAATCTGATCCAATACACCGGATAGATTGAATTGGATGCAATCATATGTATATACATGAGAACTCCAACTACGTATAATAAACCCGTACACATCTTTTCGCTCCGCACCAAACGCCAAAAATGAAAGAAAGTAAAAGAGAGAAGACAGTCGACCTCATTTAGAAGCTAATAGCTGGAATCCCTTCACCAGTCCCATGGCCGACCCTGCCGCCACCCCTCCCACTAATACCATCTGAAATCCGCCTATCAGACCGCGTCGAATATTCTGTTTCCCCTTCCATCCGCTCACGAAACACGTCTTGCCATACCCAAATAGAAACAGTGCCACGGCCATAGTTGCGATCGACCACCGTAGCGCAAGGAAGGCATCTTGCGGTCCAACAAAGAAGTACGGCACCAGCGGTACAAAGCCCCCAATGAAGTAGCCTAGGGCGATGGTTAAGGCACAAGTAAAAGCGCGCGACCCGGACGGTTCCTGTAGCGTGTGGTGGAAGTTCATGAGAAAGGAAGGGAGCATGGGCGAGGACGCGAGGTGACCAGTGAGTTCAGATACAAGGGCTGGAGGGAGATCGTAGGGAGCGAAGATCTCCGAGACGGTGTCTGTTACGGAGGCGGGATCAGTCATGGTTTGTGTTTCGGTTTCTTTGTATGTGGCGCGGTAGGATTCTCTGAGCAGATGTTAGATTATCTTTTGTCATTCACCTCTCTCTCTCTCTCTACCCGCCCCCCCCCTCTCTTTCACTCTTTATAGGGACCGAGGAAGAGCTTACTCTTCACTCTTGGCTCCGAGATATCCACCTAATCCCATGGATATCGCACCCGCAATGAGTTCTGCAAATCCTCCGAATACCACTACCTTGGTGTCACCTAGGGCGGAGAGTCCAGCCGTCAGAGCAAATGGCACAGTCATTCCGTCGGACAGACCGATGATAGCGTCTGAGATAGTTCGGCCATCGATAAATCTGGATTCCTTTTTCTCCAATCTTCCTTGGAAACTAGATGAGTTTTTGTCTGTGGTGGACCCAAGTTCACTCTCATTCTGTAGCGGGAGGTGATACTCCTTTTCTAGGTCGGGGGAGTATTCCGAGACAGGGGAGTAACTAGAGAGGAGGCCTTTGATGGAGAAAGACATGATGCAGGTATTGTTCCTACTCTGGTTATTTCAGGGGAAATATATATATATATATATATAATATAATATAGAAAAGGATTAGGAAATGAGAAGCGAAAATTGATCAAAGGACTTGGGAAGAACTCGCTGCGGAAGGATAACTAAGTACCACCGGCGGACATTGGAATCGAGGGAACTAAACGCTCGCTATCGATGAACCACCAACGGAAAGTACCAGTCTTATCAAAGAGAAGCACCACAAGCATCACAATCAGTCGATGAGGGGACCATCGCGTGCTCCTTATCAGGTGGCCTATGGAGAGAGAATGACCAAGAACGTGCTGGAGGGGCTGGCGGTCACCTGCTGCAAGGAGGAAGGGGTTTCCCCCACGTGGGCCTGTGATTGGTTGCGATATCCAGATGGAGCCCCACCTGTTGCGGAGTCCCTGAAAGCTTGGGCAGCCCAACTCACCCTACTAGGCTGAATTTGGGTAAAAGGTGGGCCCTGAATGTAGGTAATTCACCAATCAGAGCCGGACAGAATCAAACCGGATATTCTGGCTGGTGGATGGGGATTCCCACCGGCCATTCCACAATGTGATTGGAGGTGGACCTTGCATGGTCAGTCACCAGCAATTATGCATCTATACGGTATACAAACGTCGAGCAGGGTATTTTCTACTGGATCTATCTCTCACAATGACTCCTCCTACATCTCTCACCTACCTAATGGAGTAAACGGTTCTTTCTACACTCCTACGGTCTGCACACCGCCAATTAAGTGTCTCGGAAATCTCCTAATCGTTTTCATCCGACCTCTGGCCAGCTTCATCTAATTTCCCTCACACCACCCTCGGAAATACTCCGTACCATGTTATCATGGTGTCTCACGAGGCGTGCTTTTCTTCTCGTTCACAACGGGCATCATTGGCTCTGTCTGCCATCCTTCGGTTGATACGGCAGACCCGCAGGTATCCAGAACCCTGCCGTTCACATAGTTTGCTGTGAAAGTGGATCCTCGCTTGGAATGTCACCGTATGTCTGGCAAGACGCGACGAGATACCAATCGATGACAGGGGGGCAGGGAATGGAGATAAATATGTCGCGTCCGCCGTGGATTGTAGAGGGATGACGAGAGAAAAGGAAAGGTTGCAGTAGAGACGAATCCAAAGAAATTATGAAATCAACTGTTGCTTTGGTCTTTGCACTGGCCGCATGCACCTCGGCTCTTCCTCACAAACGGGGAGAGGAGGTCTGGGGCCGGCTTCGTTCCAATGTAAGTGGACTGTGCTCTCTACCCCTCTCTTGTTGATAGACAAGACATTGATAAGACCAGATCAAACATGTCATCTATCTGATGATGGAGAACCACTCGTTTGATAATATCGCTGGATACTGGGACTTCCATCCAGATATCGACAACCTGCGTAATATCAAATACTGCAACGAGTACACTAACCCCAACTGGACGGTGTGGGATGAACCGCTGGAAATCTGCGCCTCGCCATATGAGACAGAAGTGCCGCTGACCGACCCGGACCATGAATTTGCTGGTGTGACATATCAGATCTACCGGAAATGGAGCGCCACGAACGACGATGTTGCAAGTATGGGAGGATTCATTGAGCGTCAATCTGAAAAATACAGTGCTACGCCAGGAGAGGCGGGGTTTGTTATCAAATCCTACGACTACAAGAAATCATCAACGCTGGCAGAGCTCGCGCAGAGCTTTGCATTCTGGGACTCATATGTAAGTTCATCCAGCCTGAACTGCGTCTGGACTGGCTAACCAGAATGGAATACAGTTTGCGGAACACCCGGGGCCTACTAATCCCAATAGGCAATTTGCGACGTCGGGCTCGACCTGTGGATATCTCGACAATAGTAATCAAGCGGCAGGGTTTTTCAACAATATGACCGGCACGACGTGCGCGACGTCCATATTCGAGGCGTTGAGCCATAAGAACATTAGCTGGAAGAATGTAAGGAGGCCTCGTTCCCTTGAACTGCAGATGTGCTAACGTCAATCCAGTACTACGAAACAGATATCATCGATGCATGGATGTATAAAGTCAGTGTTGTCCCCTATTTCCATAAGGATGCGCCGCTTACTATCCTGCAGTGGGTTCAAGACAATGCCATGGACCGTCTGGCCCACGCCAATGACTTCTATCGGGACTTAGAAGAGGGCACGCTGCCCACTTTCTCCTATATCAACCCGGAATGCTGCACAATCGACTCCATGCATCCCACCAGCAACATGGCTGCCGGCGAGCAGTTGATTAAACATGTGTACGATGCAGTGCGGCGGTCCAAATACTGGGATAACGCGTAGGCTCCACCCACAAGTATACTGGAGAGTAATGCTGATGGGGTCAGCTTGATCATCATCAACTTTGATGAACACGGAGGCTTTGCGGACCACGTTCCACCGCCGGTAAACGTTCCACAGCCACAAGACAAGATCGAATTCGATGGGGAGTCGGAGGGACATCATGTTCACTATGACTTCACCCGTCTTGGAGTGCGGTAAGTACAATAACTCTGTGGAAACAAAGCAGAAAAAGAAAAAAAGGCACTAACCGTTGATCAGCGTCCCGGCTTTCCTGATATCACCATATATCGAACCCAACACTCTGATCCATGACCAGGGTACCATGTACGCCGACAACTCAGCCTACACGCACTCGTCTTTCCTGCACTTCCTGCAGGAGCTGTGGGATCTGGAGGGACTTAATAACCGCGTGCAATGGGCCAAGACCTTTGAGCATGTTTTCTCGCATAAGATGCGCGAGGACACGCCCATGAGTCTGACCACGCCCCGGTGGTATGGTAGTAGCTGGGAGCCGAAGCCGGAGCCATTTTATCTTCTTAACCAGGATGAGAGCTACTATAGGAATAGGAATAAGAATTGAGACGGTATGGTATATATGGGTGCGTTATGTGGATACATGAATATAGATATATGCTGGATGGCATCACCAGGGGAATCGGAATCGTTCATTCATTCAAGATCAATTAAGTGATCGTTAGACTACATTCGGCTTCTGAGTTGGACTAGGTCTGTAACTAGATCATAGAATCTGAATACACCATTAGCTACCAGATCATAATAAAATAAAATAGGAATAAAACTCACTGCTACTTCCTCTTGGCCTCCTTCCCATCATCCGCCAGCCCCTCCATATTCCAAAACCGACTCTTATACGCTGGAAAAGAAGTATGATTCCATATATTTACGAGGACACTAAGCAGATTAGCGAGAAACAGAAATCTTTCTTCCCCTCTTTCTTCCCTAAAAAAAAACCAGAGGAAAAAGACACACCTCTGACTCCGATCCTTATAATCCTCATCTTTCAATTCCTTCACACCGACTTTCATACCATCGCGCGTCCAAACGACGTTTTTCTTCTCCATTTTCGAGCGCGTGTTGCGCGTGACTTCCTGGGCGACGCTCCACGCGATATATCCGATGACGGCGATGACGGAGACGACGATAAGGAGGACGAAGAGGGGGAGGAGATTTCGGAGGGCCATTTCTCTTTCTTTTTGCTTCTTCTTTTCGTTGATAGGTTGGTGATGTGGTTTGCAATAGACTCAGGGGTAAGAAAAGAAAGAGGGGAGGATGGGTCTTCTGGATAACAGGTAGAGGTAGGGCTGATTTGATTTGATTAACCGTTAGTGACAGTGGGGTACATCGGATCGATTAGAACTTAGAATATTTGGGTCTCGTGTACATGATTGTGCGGAAGGGAGACATGTGCATACTTCTTTTACTCTCTTTCTCTCCCACCCCCCCTGTTTGTTTGAAAATTAAAATCAAGTATTTGGAAAGAACAAGAATGAAAAGGAAAGAAAAAAAAAAAAATCAACCGTCAAGGGAGAAAGAATGAAACGATCCGTTCATCGAGCCAAGAATTGGCGCGGGGGAATGGAAAAATATTGGTGCCTGCGCTAGGTATATAGATAGTATTACTCTAGGCTGAAATGGCCAGAATGATACACAGATGGATTCAGGAGGGGGATATTTGTGCAGGGAAAACAAAACATACAATGAGGTTATTGGTTCAGGCTTGATTTACTTGCGACACTGCAGGATGCTAGCAAGGGGCGGTGTTGATTGTATGGATGTAATGTACATACTTCGCCAGGTGCAGTGGGTCGGTCAGCACTAGCTGTATACAGTACTACACACTGCATTTAGTATCTATTTGTTCTATCAGTTCGGAGGAATTAATAGCGGTCTACTGTGAAAATAAATGCTGATGATTGATTACTCTATTGACAAGATAGAATAAGATTAACTGGATACTTTCGGTACCTTACTGTGTAGCCGAATCCAAATATGGCAAACCCTAAGTCAACCTAGGCACCGAGCAGAAGACCGGCACATGTATGCCCACTCGTCCAACTATACCATGGATAGAATCAATGAAGTGGTTCATAGAACTGAGACAAACAGCTAAGCACCGAAATGTACAACGTTTCACGGCCACGCATTGTTGACCGTTTCTTCGGCTATTTATTGACCCACGGCACCAACCTCGAGGTCAGGTCGAGTCGAGTCTGTGAAACGGAAGAAGATCGAGGCAGTGAACTGACGACTGATGGACATGATGTTGGTGTCTCTTCTCGGTGTCGTTGTCTTGGTACTGCTGCTGGTAGTATCCATCATCCGAGATCGATCGAGATCCAATGTATGTCTGCTGATCCTTAGGATCCAACGAGGTGACTGAGGTATATCCAGATCAGAAAATACCCTCATCCTCCAATCATCCCATTCAGCGTATGTAGTCTGACCTGTCATGGTGAAATGCTGCCTAATGTCAAACTATCAGAGAGATGAGATCATCCAGAACCCACACGAGTGTTTCACCTACGGAGTCCAGCATTATGGCCAGGTTTTCCGGTACCATGGCAGTGGAAACGTAAACCCTCCCTTGCTGTATTAATTTATCCTCACTTATACCATGAGAAGATCCAGTATATCGTATCAAAACAGCTCACCGAACGTGTCCTGACGGATGACACTACCTTTAGCTTTGAGCTCGGCATTTCCAAGGTAGAAGGCCTCCATTCTCCCTGATCTCGACCAGACCTGACAATTTTCAGACTCTTAAGTTGAGCCTGCTGTACTTGCTCCATGGCGGGAGTTTTCACGCAGATGTGGATGCCATCGCCACCGAAGTGGCAGCCAAGCATCTAAAATCACTCATTCCAAAGAGTAAGACGCCTACTCCGCTCAAGATGGTGATGCTAATTAAAACGAGTTTCGCCCGTCTTTCAACGACATGCCGCAGAATTGGTCCAGATCCATGGAGACAGTCCGTTCGATCCACTGCCATATCTGCAGAAAACAGTCGCCGAAGCCATGACTATCATCATATTCGGAAATGTGAGCGAGACTCTCTTTTTTCGCGGCCGTCCTCTGACTGGATTACCAGGAGCTCGCCTCGACATTTAACTCCGATCTCATCGTTGATGTAGCCCAAGGAATGGCCAAGGCAACGGGGATGTTTCAGAACCAATCAAGCTGGGGCAAGACGTTTCCAACCTTGTACTCCATCTACATGTGGTAGGTGAACCCATGCGAATATACAACACTAAATTGCTGAGTGGGTAGGGGTGGGTTCATCCTATCCCAGTTAGTCTGGAAGTCTGGAAAAGAAATCGGATCGAACATTTGGGTCGCATTGTCCCAGTTATCCCAAATCCCCAGAGGCAAAGATGCCGACAACAGACATGTATGTCGACAATCCATTCATCCATCACTCTAGAACAAACTTACCATCCAGATCACCGTTCTGTCCTTCCTCGCTGGAAAATTGGCCTCGAAAGACGGCCACATCTCAACCGTGTCAAAAATCTGGGCGATTATCTTATGCTGGGCTTTCATTTTCGCTTCTGTCCACCAAACGTCCGTATGGGCTTTCTTTTACTTCCTATTTCACTCTTTGTTCTGTACACAACCAACCCAACTCAATGTTCACAGAGTGGTCATCATGACCTACGTCGTTTTCGAACTGGCCCGCCATCCTGAATGTCAGGAATCCATCCTGAGCGATCTATCTCGCTCACTGAATTGGAGTCCCAGCGGACCTCCCCTGGCTTTGACAGCCGAAACGCTCCGACACGTCGTCTGCGCCGAGTCTTTCATCCGTGAGGTCCTCCGCATGAAAGGGGAGACTATCACCACCGTTCGCAGCCCGCGGAAAGATTTGCAATTAGCAGGATACTTTATCCCACGTGGTACGCCCCCCTTCCTATCCCAATCGATTGATCGATTGGTTACTCATGATTTATGATTGTTGATTGATCTCGATCAAGGTGCCCTCGTCCATCCGATGGTCTATACATCCAACCGTTCCCCAGAGTACATCCCCAACCCCGATACCTTTGACGGGATGCGCTGGACCATGGACCGGAAACTGGCGACCACGACGGGACCAGGACATCTTTCTTTCGGACTGGGGAGATGGGCATGTCCGGGACGGTTTTTGGCTGTTGCGGGTTCGTTTACCTCTCTCTCTTATTCCTTAAGTGAGTGATTGACCACGGTTGACAGAGATCAAGATGGTGGTCTTGACGTTGTTGGCGGAAGCGGAGATGGAATTGGTGGATGGGGAGTTTGCTCTGGTTGATAAGTTGAATATCGTAGGGACGCCACCGAGAGGGAAAATAATTTTGAGACGGAGAGTGTAGTTGGATGTTCATTGATTTGGATGGTATTTGATAATATGTTGTGAAGGATGGGTTGTGAGAGGTAAATTGACTACCGACAGAGTACAAGCATGTGGACAGTCATGGGATCAGGAATATGAGATGAATGACAGACGCATATACAAAATAACTTGACTACAAGACTCTCTCTCTCTATTCATTTATCTATACCATTACCAATCCTAACCCCACTGATGAAGATAAACAATATCCCAAGTATGGAAGGTTACACCCGCCATCGTCATGATGAATCATACATACAATCATGCAATTCCATGTATTTAGAAAATATCGCCTTGCATTGACTCCAAAAAAAATCGATATCCAATCCAAATCAAGTTCAATATCAACATGTGCGACATCCCTTTCATCCCTATCGCCCCGATCTGCTTCCAATGCGGAACGGACCAGAATCCATGTAGATGTAAAGTCTTTGGTCCGACGCTCGGTATATCTCTCCCTCCCCCCTCCTGCCTGTCTTTCTATCTATATATTCTAGTTTAAGTAGGTGGGTCATGCTGATATGATGAGATGGTAGGGTTCTGTATGGGTATTGTCTCAGCTGTAGGGTCTTGAGATTCTCCCCGTCTAGAGTCGACTGAAGCTGAAGATATAATAGGTCATTTGTTATCCAGCTTCGATATTCTGTGGGTGTTGTTTGACACAGACAGGCAGGGAGTAAGTTGTTTTCTTTGTTTTACTTTCTCTGCGTGCAAATGCTGATGGTTCAGTGTGCTTGGGTTCCCGGTTACGTTGAACCAGAAGGTGTCTAATTTCATACCTATATAACACTGTTGGTCCTTTTGAGGTTACAGATAGAATGCAATAATAAGAACAATAGTACCTAGTGGTCATATTATATCGGATAACCACGAATTATCCCTATGTGTAACAAACTACCTATCGTCGAAACCGGAAGCCGCAGAATGGAAAGGTATAAACGAACGCATGCAAGATACAAAAAGGTATCCAGACTATTAACGATGACAAAACATAAACAAAGCATCTCCTCCTATTCATAAATCACTTGCATCGTATCTGACGTTACAACCAGCTCACTGCGCCCATGAGACGCAAACACCGGTCTATTTGAATTTCTCCTTAAGCTTGTGGAAAAATTCACTGGCGCGGCTTCTCCGCTTCTCCTTGGTCCCATTTGTACCGGAAGGACTCTTGGGGGTAGTGTCCTTGGTAGTATTTGTTGTGGCTCCCGCAGATACATTTTCAGTCGTACTTCCGGTGGCCTTATCGGCGGTCGACGCGGGAGGAACGGCCCCTGGTCCTGATTCCTTAGGAACCTTCGTCTCCTCAACACCCGTAGTCACCGTAGGCTCTTGATTGGTGGGAGTTGTGGCCCTAGGGGACAGCTGCTCCGATTTGGGCTGCGGCTCTGTGGCGTGGGGAGCCGTTTCCGCGCCCACTGCTTCTGCAGTGGGCGCGGGTGTACCGCTCGATGTGTCCTCAGGGATCTTGCTTCGAAGTTCCTTCTCCACCTCCTTCTTCTCATCCACAGCCTCTTTGTTTGCAGCTGCCTCGGGAGACTTGTGCGCCTCAGATATCGAGTTCTTCACCACGTCGGGTACCTCGCTCACAGGGAAGTCCACTCCAACGTTCGCCTGTTTCTTCTGGGACTCGAGTGGAACCGCTGCAGCAAGACCGGCGGTGGTGGACGTTGGTGCCACCGACTGAATCGTGGCAGGATCCGAAAGCCCCTGACAAGCTTCACCCATTGGGAGGCTGGACTCTGGGATCAAGTTTTTAGGCGCCGAAGAAGCGGCTGAACTACTGGTTTCCTTCGTCTGCCCACCGGTCAATGGATAGCTAGCATCCTGGTTGTAGCCAGCCTCATCTGTTCGGACAGTTGATTGGATCGTATTGGGATTGAAAGTGCTGGGGTCTGGTACTTTCTCGCCCGGCTTCAGCGAGATCGGGTTGCCTGCGCCGCTAGAAGCGGGTATCGGGTTCACAGAATATTGATCATCCCCGGGAGTTTGGGGGAATGTTCCAGGCACATTTGCTCTCTGCTCGAAGGGGACATTTTGAGCAAGCTCGGCAGTAGTCGATCCCGGAGCAGTGGACCGAAAAGTGGCATCTCCGACGATATGTTTGTTCGAGTCTTTGGGAACTCCTCCTGCCAGCGCAGCGGTGGTAGAGTCTGGCGTCACACCGGCCATGACTGGTGCACCGTTTTGTAAGACTCTCTTCGTTTTGTCTGGGATCTGATCAGGGTAAAGGACGTTGTTAATATTGTAGCTACCGTCGTCTTCCTCTGGGGCGCTACTATCGGTAGTCCAGATGCCGTCAACGACAAACTTTCATTGGAAACACATGAGTTAGCGAACCCAACTTTTAAGGAATGCTGACGTGACGATTTCTTATAAAGCTTTAGGGGGAAGAGTGGGGGGGCACGGCTTCGACGGCCGATAGCAAAAGGCGGTAGCATGACGTCAGTGGAGGGAAGCGAGAGGCGCGTCATTTTGGCTTTTCATGTCTTAGGCAGACACAATAGTTGAGTCACGGAAAAGATGTTTTTAACATGCTTTCGTTTTCTTCCCATCTTAATAAACAAAATGCAAGAAATGGCCATTGATGTTTCAGACGTACTGGAAAGTCCATGATAACTCCCTTACCTTGTAGTGCAGTTTCTCGTCCGTGGCGGACAATTGAACCTCTTTCTCGAAAAACTCTCCTTTTTTATCTAGCTTAATCGTCTTACCCCAATCGTCGAAGGTCCCCGTGACGAACACCTCGTTCGCATCGTGAGGCCTAGTTTGTCCCGCATCAGTCAGCGATCAAATCATCCCATACGGTGAAGCTACAGGAGAGTTTCTGTCCCGACCGGTATGGAATTATCGTCGCTTGGGACAGAAGGCGGCGGGGTACAGTGGCATTTAATGATTGCGAGTAGAATTGGAGGCAATGCTTTGATTAGGTTTCCAGGTGCACGGCAAAGGTACTCTCATTGGGAATCTGGTAGCCTGAACTTACCATCGAAACGTGTAACTCCTCATATTTTTCCCCTTCACACAGTGAGTCACAGGAGACAGGAAGGAGTACAGAATAAAAGGACGCAGTCTATAGGCGATGCGACGGGGTGGGAGAGCTTTTTGACCTGCGGGCTATCAAGGGAGTTTGGCTGGGAGAAAGAGGCTGGGGTTGAAGGTAAAGCGGGGTGTACACACAACACACACACACACAGGCCTCCGACCGGATACTTTGGCAGGAGAGCTAGGCTGAGCTAACAAATGAAGAGAAAGGGGAGAGCGTAAGAAGCCCTGAGACAAGAAGATATTCACTGAGGGATGAATTCCGGGAAAACGACTCGGACTCTCGAAGAATCTCTCGCCAGTACATGATGATGCTGAGACCGCCCTTGTGACTGGATCTAGACTCTTGCCGATGAAACTGCCTTGTACAACTCACCAAGGGCTAGTCAATGGTGTATGAACGAACCCTATTACCTCGTAGGCGTTGCCTATTTGCTGCTGATGGGTTCTGGGTTTATACATTGGACTTATACAATTCGTCTTTGGTGGTTTCCTACTATGTATCTGCAGTGAAGTTGCAACCACCGAGCCATGCGATGGCTTCACACTCCGGAGTAGCTACCAGAGTTCGTTAGCATCGCCACCACCAATTATATTAGATATATGATATGATAGAGATATAAAATCTTATTATTATTAGTTCTTCCTGCTATTATTACTTTCTGATCCTTATTGAACACACAAAATGAAAATTCCATTTCGTCCACGGCACGGGCCACCCTCTAGGCCCAAGACGGCAACACCAGCACATCGAAAACGGCGACCCCACTACCAACTCTACTTGCCTAGAACCTAGAACCCTGCTTGATCCACGGGAGGGGAGGATGAGAAGATGCGGTCGACCATGGATGGGGGATTCTAGGCGGCGATCTGTCCAATATACGCAGGGAGCTCTGAAGACAGACGTCAGATGTTTGAACATCATGACCTCAGCCTGCAATGCGGCACGGAGTTTGCCACCGAACCGCCTTTTGAAGGACGAAAGAAGATGGAATTTGATGTGGAAAAATCTGGGAGTATCACCTCTCTCTCCTTTTTAAAAACTAATAATAAATAAAATGGAAATAAACTATCATACATACTTAGGAGAGTGTCGATAAATGAATCAAATGGGGACAGTGGCGCAACATCAGCCAGATGAGCTCTCCCCTTTTCGGACCTCCTCCAGCCTTCTAGAAAACCCCTGGAAGACCGCTAGATGGAAGCTTCCACACATCCCGATGGTTGGCACGGCCCTTCCCTCGCATTCCTAAGCCCTATTCATCTTGGGAAATCGATTCTAGAACGATTCCCATCGTCTATCGCACTTGTCTTTCCACTGTTTCCAGACTATTGACACCACCCCTTTTCGCTATTGAGGTAGTGGGCAATTTAGCGGGGACACCAGTGATGTCGATCCATGCATCGTTGGCCATATATGCCTAGGAAAGAGGAAAGTAGTCCGCAGCCATCCAGGTATCCATTGGGATATCATTGGGTTGCGATGGGAATTGTGCACAAAACTAGAATAGAATCCTTGAGATGGAGGAATGAATTACAGATTGATTGATTTTTTATCCATCCATCCATCCATCATCCAGAAGCTCTGGCCATAAGCCTTCCGTCACTTTCCTACTCCCCGCAATTTTCCTTTTCCCTTATTTCCTCCCATTTTCTTCGTCTCTCCCTTTCTACACTCTCCAGAATCATCCTTTCCTTGTCAGTCTCCCTTCTCTTGAATAGCTAGAACATAACCTGTAGAAACACTGCCATCTTCCCTTCCAACTTCAAGGTGATTTTCACCCACCTTTCGTCCGAGGAAGCTTTCCACACGACCTAGCGAACGACAAGCTGACGGTGATCTGGTAGATGGTGAGTCTCACCTGTCCCGCCCTACCTAGTTCTGTTACCCCTCCAAAAGCTTGGCCCGTCTGAAGCTATTTTGTGTTCCCACTCTTTTCCTTCCAAGACCCCAATAAATTCTCCAGAAAAATAATTGAAAAAAAAAAAGGGGAGGGGAAACAGAAGCAAAAGGGAAAAGAAATCGAATTCACTCCTCATATCCCCTTTTCGCGGCAGCACATAAAACCCCCGTCCCTTACCAACTGATCCTACTACCTTACTGCTATAATTCCACTTCCACCCTTCCTCCCCGCCCAAGAGCTGCAAAAACCCAAAACCATCAAAACCATCGTCACCTCTGGACCGCGGTGTTTTTGGTTTCTCCAATTAGACTTCACCACTGAATACCCACTCACTCTTTGGCGGAGAAGACCCCAATTAGCTACTAACTCTGTCGGTTTCCCTACCCGCCCCTCCTCTCTTCTTTGATCTGCTGCGCCTTCATTCGCGCTCTCAAATGACCGCCCATTTCTTACCTTCTCCGCGCTTTCCCCCATCATTTCCTTCTTCTCGTCACTTGTCTTTAGACTGTTCGGCGTCTGATCTCTCTCAGACCACTCCCGCTCGACCATCCCACTCGCTTCACTTGCAGCATTCCAACCTCCCACCTACCCCACTTCCCTGTGGCCGGAGTGGTGCTCTCTCCGGCCATCTGACCGACAGTATGGCCGAAAGCTCCTTTTCTAGCTCCAACCAGCATCTTAGGATTGGGACCAAAGACGACCGGTCGTCCTCATTCCAAAAGATTTCCGAAGAAGATGAGTATGAGGTGACGTCACCAACCGATCGCACTTTTCAAACTGCAAACACCACAGCCGGAACTTCCTCTGCAGGGGACAACCTCTTCGGGGGCAATGCGTTTAGTGAGGGTCGCAGCGAAGCTATACGGTTCAACAGAAGCCCTTTCGGAGACCCGTCCGGGGACGGATATGAGGATCAGGACTACACAGACTTGCCAGAGGGTGACCGCCCAACTGGGGGATTGGATCAGGGATTTCCGAATAACTATGCATTGGGACGTCGGACGTCAGTATCTGCCGAGTCTCTGAACCCGACATCCGCGGGCGCAGATAGCTGGGTGCCACCATATCACCCAAAGTCCGACGAGCAGATTTCTCGTCTGAAGGTTGCCGTCAGCAATAACTTTCTTTTCTCACACTTAGATGACGATCAGTTTAAGACGGTGCTCGATGCTCTAGTCGAAAAGCCGATTCCAGCCAAAGATATCAAGGTGATCTCGCAGGGCGACGCGGGTGACTATTTTTACATTGTGGAAAATGGTCACTTCGATGTCTATATTCACCCATCAGGCTCGGTGCAGCCCGGTGCGGATGGAATGGGTAGTAAGGTTGGTTCGATTGGGCCTGGAGGGTCGTTTGGGGAGCTGGCTCTCATGTACAACGCCCCTCGAGCCGCCACTATCGTATCAGTTGACCCCAAGAGTACCCTGTGGGCCCTCGACCGCATCACATTCCGGCGGATTTTGATGGATTCGGCCTTCCAGCGCCGTCGTATGTATGAGGCTTTTCTCGAAGAAGTCCCGCTGCTGTCGAGTCTGAAGCCCTATGAGCGTGCCAAGATCGCGGACGCTCTGGACGCAATCAAATACCCGAGTGGTTCGACCATCATAGAGGAAGGCGACCCAGGTGATGCCTTCTATCTTCTTGAATCGGGCGAAGCGGACGCCTTCAAAAGCGGCGTGGAAGGACCAGTGAAGTCCTATCGCCGAGGGGATTTCTTTGGCGAGCTCGCTCTGCTGGACGATAAGCCCCGAGCCGCCAGCATTGTCAGTAAGACCGATGTCAAGGTCGCCAGACTGGGCCGAGATGGGTTCAAGCGGCTACTAGGCCCTGTGGAGGAGATTATGCGAAGGACCGATTATGAATCAAATCTTACACCTTCGGCCGCGTAAATTCGATGTCATAGGGGGAGGAATGCGGTCTGGTGTGTATGTTTGTTACTATCCCATAGTCACCTTTTCTTTTATTATTATTTCCTGTATTCTTGTGTCGTTTTGGTATCCAACGGAATAGGTGAAGGGAGCATATGGTTTTAAAGAGATGAAAGATGGATTTGACGCGGTCATGTCGTCGGCGGGCCGCTGGTCTCATGGACGTCTATCCAGCAAATCGGATAGACTGTTTTGTGACTTTTCTTGCAGGGATAATTTCTTTCTTTTTCTTCCTTACCATCTTTTTGGCTTGTTAGAATGAAGATTGGCTGTACTCGTGAGCTGACAGGCAGTTGCGACAGCCAACCGTTTGCCTCTATATGTAACCCTGCCTTCTCATTGACCTTGGCTTATTAGTTGTGGATATAACTAGTTCTGGAATACTTCATTCTCTTTTTGTCTTGTACAATGCTACCATGTTGATCTATTGATGACTAGCGTTATCCTTGTAATAGGATCGTGCTCTTATCAATCTGTCCGGTGCCTGCAAAAGGACGTAAATTCATCCATCCGTCCATCCATACTCCGTACATGGCAATAAATAAATTCTAAATAAGCGGGGAGTCATACAAGGTCTATCAGGAATCAACACTCCACCACCAAATCACTCCGAAGCACCCATTTCTCTCCGTCCAGGACCTCCTTCCCTTCGTGAAAGAGACAGCTGTCGCCATGTCGATGGAGTAGTGCCATACCTGTCTGCGGCGCGACCGAGACCGGACTCGGATTGCGGTTCGTCCGAGTGGCTTCAGGGTAGAAGACTGTTTCTCCTCCCGTGCAATTCGTCAGGTAGATGAGTAGAGTCCATGTGGTGCGTCCCGGTCGGGATGAATATGAAGGGGAGGAAAAGGTGACCGTGTTGTAGTCATCGTCTGGGGTAGATCGACATTGTCAATTGATACAACATATACCATATAAGAGAGAGAATACATATATAGATAGATAAAGGAAAGAAAAGAAGGAAGGAAATACTCACAGTGCGCCCCGAAAAACTGCCCCCTTGAATATCGGTAGATGCGGATATTCGCATTCAACCCCAAAGGTACCCCGCCCCAGATCTCCTCCATCGAGCGGCGACGAGGAGTGCCATGTTCACCCTCCTCCTCTTCTTCTTCTTCTCCCTCTACTGCGCGCACAGTGATAAGCTCTTTCAGCGCCGTCTCGCTCCACAGCATCTCGGCGAACGTCTCATCCTGGATCTGTAACCGATCATTGACGCGCAATGCCTCGTCTTTCTTTGGTTTTCCAGGCGTAGTGACGAGGGGTAAGGAGGCCAGAAACGAAACGTAGGTCTTGCAGAGGGATGAAGGCAGGAGGTTTGGGATCAGATAGATCTGGTCCCTGAGGAGCGGGGAGAGGGACAAGTCGGAGGAAGGAATGAGAGGTCGTAGAGGAGGCCAGTTGGGTTTGGGGTGGGATGGAGAGGGTTTAGTAAGGGAAAGGTCCTTTTTTGATTTGGATTTGGCTTTGGGTGGCATTTCTTTTTCTTCTCCTCGTTCTCTCTTTTAGTGTCTCCTTTTATGTCAGGTGAAGTGGTCCTCATATACTGGATATATATACTGAGTATGTATATCTGATGGAGGTCCTATCAAGGCAGTGACTGGTCTGGACTGATTCTTGGCATGCGTGTGATGTGCTTATGAAGGGGATGAGATTCTGTCCCCAGGCAGGTGCTTGACTTCCGATTTTACAGGCAACCAATGGCCTCAGATTGTCTGTCGATTGTTGACCGTTGGATCTGGTAATTTTGATGGTATTGCAGGGCATCCGGTATCCTGTACACGTGACACAACCACAAGTGTTCTATGCAGCACCTAGTATCATGGTATCATAGTATCATATTCTACACTCTATAGCTATAGTCTATAGTCTATAGTCTATGGAAGAATGTAAGTATAGATAATACAAGTACCTTACTCTTCGAGATACTATCTGTATAGCTACGCGCATGGTACCTCTGCCCAACCGTAGGAAAAAAAAACCGGCTCCTCTTTTCTCCCGCCAGTCAAATCGCATGGCCTCACCTCACCGCCTGCTTCTCTCCTCCCTCCAGCCCGTCCTTTATTCCCCCAGTATCACCACCCGCCGGTCATGTCGTCGTCGCAGACCATGACAGCGCCAGCGGTGGGCCATCGTCCTCCTGATGCCGGTCCCAGTATGTCGTCCATGTACGACTACGGCCGATCTCAACAACCAGACGACCATCCGTCTACCTCCTCGCCCACCGACGCCGCAATCCTCGCTCTGCACGATTCTGCCCTCCCCCCCGATTGTCCTGCCAATAATGGCCTGCCTGCCACGATGCCCATCAAGACCGAGCCCGAGGACTCCAATCCCTCCTCCTCGCCCGCTGCTCAGAACTCTCACGCCGACGTCCGCCGTCAGTCCGCCGCCAGCGCTCTTTTAGCCCAGCTTCTCGGCAACCATTCCTCGGCGCCGTCCGATGGGACTATTGCAGAACAACCCGTGCCCTCCGACCACAAGACAGACCACCTCCCCGGGCCTGACGATGGCATGAATGGCCACCACTGGTCGACCGATCCGCCCGCAGAGCCTTCTGTGGCGCCGGCAGATCCTGGAACTCAGGATCAGAGTCCGACCAACCTCGGTGGGCTGCTATCGGGGTTTCAGCAGGAGGGGAAAAATTCAGATCAACCGCCTGAGATGTCATTTTCGAACCCTGAACATGGCGAGAATGTCCCAGCCAAGACCGCCGATCCAATAGATGGACTGACGGACCCCTTGCTGTTGTCGAAATCGAACCTCGATCATTCCGACCTGTTTTCGTCCTTCGATATCACCGCCGCCCCCAAGAACCCCTACGAGGCATTGCATCAAAATGAGATGCTCACGGCCGCCTATCTATCCCAAAGTGCCGATCTTTCGGCTCTAGGGTACTCCGGAGGATCTCTTCACCAGGAGGGTGCTGGTTCGATGGCTGGATCGGAGCCTCGGATTCAAGCCTTTGCGAAGTTGGAATTCGATGACGGTCACTTCTATTGTAATACGTACTCGTTCATCCTCGGCCGAGACGTACGAGCAGCTCGAGCTGCCCATGAACGGGAATTGCAAGCTCGTCAGGCTGTGCGGACCTCTCGCGCGAAAAGCTCAAGTGGCGGCAACACATCGCAGACACCCGCCCGCGTGAAGCACGAAGGCAGCGGCATCATAGGGAGCGTGGTCAGTGACCGTGGTGGGATTCTGGGCTTTGACCCGGACGTTCCGCCGCATCTACCGCGTGTGAGTCGACGATCGTCCAATTCTTCTCGTGCTGAGTCGGGTGCCCCGCTGCATGCGACTCCGGCCCAACTACAGTCTGGCACCGACTACAATGCCCTTGCTATGCAGTCGCTTCACGACGGAGGAGGAGATGCAAAGCCTGTTGACACATTGGCTTTATTACCCTCTCCCGATGCTTGCCCGACAATCCCCATCCACCCCCCGGCTACGGCCGACGGCATTGCCGCGGGTCATAGAGGCATCTCCCGGAAACATGTCAAGATCGCATATAATTTCGAGGGGAATTTCTTTGAAATGGAGGTGATGGGGAGGAACGGTGCGTTTATCGGGGCTGATTGGCTATCGCCTGGTCAAGTTCGTCCTCTGCACAGTGGGGATTACATTCAGATTGGCGGCGTGCGCATACGTTTTTTGCTGCCCGATGTCCCTATAGGAGAAACTGGAGCCGAAGTAAACGAAGAGTCGCGCGCCGCCGAAGATGAAGCTGCGCAAGCGGCGATTGATAATGATGGGACAGACGACAAACGGAACAAGGACGGTACAAAGTCAACCAAGCTTATTTTGAAGACTAGGGAAAATGATTCGACTCAACCAGTGCCGTCCATTGAAGGAGGTGCAGATGGCTCTCAGCAGCCGATCCGCCGTCGTGGCCCCGGTCGACCCCCGAAGGACGGGATCATGTCGAAACGAGAACGCGCCGAATTGGCCAGGGAGCAAAAGATGGCTGCAAAACGCGAGGCAAATGGAGGCATCACCCCTCCTCCACAACATCGGTCGAAATCTGGCAAAACTACAGCTGCGGGTTCCGCTGCCACTGCGCCCAAGGAATCTCTTGGTGTTGCTGGGTCGCCTGAATCCAAGCCCGAAAAGCGCAAGTATACCAAGAGGAAGAAGCTCGATGGGACTTCGATGGACTTTCCCTTACCGTCGACGGAGGGTGGCCAGTTCCCTATGGAACAGCGCCCAGAAGACTTCATCAAGGCTCCTCCTGTCAAGAAACGCAAGCCGTCCCGGTCACCATCTCCCAATTATCCCCCCGAATCTGCGTATACTCCGGAGGATCTTGCAAAACCACCATATAACTATGCGGTTCTTATCTTCGATGCTCTCACCGAGGCCGCTACTCCGATGACGCTTAAGCAGATATACCGTGCCCTCAAGCTCAAGTACCCGTATTTCCGGTTCAAATGTGAGACCGAAGGTTGGACGTCCAGCGTCCGGCACAATCTCAACGGGAATAGTCATCTCTTTATGCACGCCGAACGAGATGGCAAGGGATGGTCATGGCAACTACGACCAGGGGCGTCGGTCGAAAAAGAGAAGAAAAGACGCCCGTCTCCACCTCCACCGGTGTCGCAGCCCTCTTCGGTGCCGGCTGCCACGCCGCAGTATATGCCACCAACGAATTCTCCTTATGCCGGTCAACCCAGTGGGCAAACGGGCATGGCCAACCCTCATTACCAATTCCCATCGATGCCGGCGAATCCGTATGCCGCGCCTTCGCCGGCACCTGTCCCTAGTCCAGCACCTCCGCAGTCGAATCCGTTCCCTATTCCTCCCCAGGCTGCCGCCTCTACACCATTCCCAATCCCCAGCCCACTGCGAAACAACCTCCCACCCGCTTTTGCTCAGACTACTCCTTCCACATACACGTCTCCCTATGCTTCCGATCCTCCCCCACAACTCGTTCAATTCCAACAATCGCAACAACTGCAGCAACCACACAAACCGCAGGCCATGCCACCGCAGCAGCATCAGCTGCCTCCGCCACCGCCCCAGCAGCAGCAACTTAATCAACACCAACATCACCATAACCCACAACAGCCGCAACCACAACAGCACGCCCTGCCGCCGCAACACCACTCCCCTTACCCGCCGCAAAATCCTCCGCCGATGTCAAACCTCACTCCACAGCCGCAGAATCTTCCACCGGCATCTGGGCCTCTTCAGCATCAGGCCAGCCTCAACATGGCATCAAGCGAACCTAGCTCCGGCCCTATGGACAATTCAGAAGCGTTGTCATTCAATGACCGAGCGAGCAAAGCCATTGACGATTTCGAAGCGGTGTTGATGGAAGACTACGAAGACAAGAACTATATCCGGGAAGTGCTCAAGAGTGCTCGGGCTCGTGTTTTGGGTGAGGCAACGGAGAGTTCATTCCCCGGGGGAGAGCCCAAAGACGAGGCAGTTATTCTCGATGCGCTTCGCAATCTAATCGGCAGCTTGAAAGACCAATAGACGCGCCGCGATGCTTAAGGCCTGCGTGGGCGTGTAGATTGGCTTGAACGAATTACGAGATCTCTTATGTTTATGAATGTCTACATATGGTGACTGGATGGTGTTGATGGAAGTTTGGGGAGCTGGGAAGAGCAAGGTCTGTTGGCCCATCTTCTATAATCCCTGGTTCTTTTCATTTATTTTTTTATCTTTTTCATTTCCTTTCTATTTTCTTCCTTTTTGCTGCTTCACCTATCTTGTTCCTCCCCAGTTTCCCTCCCGTTTCTTTCTCGATGATATCCACTACGTTCTGGGCTTTATGCTCTATCGTTTTGACCTATATGCTCGGTCGTTTGGGGACCCTCCGACGAGCCGGACAGAAGTGTCTCTTTCTTGTTGTGGCTGGTACAGGTAAAACAAAACAAAAGCTAGGCGTTTTAGTATAGATAAAAAAAATTTGAACTTGGATGAGGAATCATAAGGAATCAGAGTGGTTGTCTTCCCCCACCTGGAAGGATTACCTACGGAGTACCCCCGGATCTTTCCTAGCTGCGGGGTTATTCATGGTATCATAGTGACCATAGGCAGTGAATAATATCATACACCTATCGATGGGAATAATATCTATTTCCTTTCACGATGATTGATTCGAACCATGTCATAGTTAGTTACCGACAGTAGCCGACAAATCTATACCTAGGTAGTATGTATGTACGGATAATTATTCCATCCCTTCATCCGATCTTTGTATTTACCTAGGTCATCTCGTCTCCTCATTCTCTTCCTTAATCGCCCGACGAAAACTTCAAAGCCATCTATTTACCATAGGACATCCCATCGATACGGGGAGGATAGTTATTAGTTATTGGTGGATTGTCGCGGCAGTGGCCACAGCTAAGAAAAAATAGAAAAATAAAAATATAAAAGAAAATAGAGCGTCCCTGAATGATCGGGCAGCCACCTTGGAAAACAGTTACTAGTTACCGCTGTGTACACCCCACTTTGCCGGATTGTGTTCGGTGCATGGGAGGGTAGGTGTTAATATTGTTGACTTTTGCGGGAATTATCATTTTGGATTGACTTCCTCTCTGTAGTAGGTGAATGACAGACTAAAACTTGCTGCTGTACATACAGGATAATGTTCCCATACATATGTCACGTAGTACATACTACTGCTTACATGCACCAATACATACAGACTGTGCATTTACCCAATGGATTATTTGACCGGTTATTATATACGGAGTAGTAGGCAAGGAGTACCGATGGATGGAGATGGCGGGAACAACGCGGATGATGTGCAGGATGGAGGACAAGTGGTGCCCTCCTGCCTAGGTACCAGACCTACAGAGAAATACGGAGTAGCGTTGGCTGATGCCGATGGATTTCTAGAAATCCATTTAGATGCTTCGATGCTAGCACGCCCTGCGGTTTGATTGGGTGCTTTGCGACGCAACCATGAGTCAGATGCTCTCCATCGAGGAGGGGTAAAATGTAAAAACTCACACTGTCCAACCTTTGTATCTCTTGCCATCCGATGAACATATGAACCGGGGTAAATGCATTTTCCATTCTTGTCCTCTCGCCAGGCAATGACGTCGGCGCAGCAACGCCTGGTTAACTAACTAGTTATGCGGAATGTTGACTCAGCCGCATAGGTAGGTAGCTACTCTGTAGGTGTAGTAGAGAGTCTCTCCCAGCCCACGTTCCTATTACTTGTTTTTCTCTAGCGTGGTTTGACTCTCTGGAAGGAGGAAAGTATCTCTTGGAGGGAGATGACTCGCAAATGATGCTGTGACTGGACTATAGTACTTGCCACCACTGGGCTATGCCCCATGAATACTAGTCCTATGTGTGATGTCCCCCGCCACCGGACCATCAAGCAGAATTACCGGGACTGGGGGAACAGAATGAGATGATTCAGCCTAGGTAAGTCAACAGCCATTTCACACTCTACTGTGAAGTAAAACAAGATGACGATCGTCTTAGTATCATCCTTGACTTCAAGTTAAGAAAGAGTGTTGTTGAGTAAGACATCTGCCTACCATTCCCAAAATAGGACAGGGCATCGACAAAAGCGGTAAGTCCGTACCACTCGGACACGTTTTTTTTTCTCTTTTTTAATAGCACGGGGAAACGCACGTCCCACCCTCGAGGGCCAAAAAAGTATCTTCTTCCAACTTACCTTTGCCCCGTGTGACGGTGCATCTCGGATGATTGTGGACGGGAATGGACTGGACTGGATGAGGTGGTTAAGGGGAAAACACAGAGTAGAATATCGTCCTCATCACTACTTTCATACACGCCTTCTCTCCTCCTGAGGACTCCGTACAACGAGCTAGGTTAGCACTGCCTCTCTTGTCCTCTCTTATTGGCCGCCTGGCAATTCAGGAAACAATGACCTTCAGAGTACTCCTTATGGTGGTGGTGTTGAAATATTATTATAATATTTTTTTGGTTCTTGCAGCCCTGGAGTACAATGTCCTTGAATTTTCTTTCAAATATCTGACAGGAGATCCAACTGATCCTATGTAATCTCTTTCTCTCAACTGGAAACGACTCTTGCAGCAGGCTCCAACCTCACCCAACATGAACCATGACTAGCCTGACCCTCCGTTTCTTTTCTGGCCTTTGGGAGAACCCCTTAGTGTTCGTAACCACCGTCGCCTAACCCTTAAAGATCTTAACAATAATAGTAATTATAATTATTAAATGTCTCCCCATATTACTTGCTCCGTCTCCCCCGTTTCTCAGGTGCACCCGATGATCATTCCTGGCAATAATCCTCAATCAAAATCCGCTGTAAAAAAGAAGAATTGAATTAATCCATTACATCAAGGGCCTCCCTCTCCTCTGACAGCTGAATAATCTCCTGTCCATGGATGGGTTGGGTCCACCGGGACTGTTCCGGGCAGTGGTTTTCTTGGTTTTTGGTGGTGACCGACCTTCGTCATTGGAGTACCATTCAACGGATTTTTTTTTGTAACAAAAAAGAAAAATCTTTGTCTTGAATTCTTCCCTTACCCTATTCCTACTAGCTGCTATATTCTCATCGTCAAACATCGCCTGTTTTCCTCCTTCTATGGAGTAATGACTAAAATGGACGATGTTAAAAAAAAAAAAAGATCCTAGGGAAAATTTCGAAAACTCTAAACTGCTTCTTTCCAAGATTACCGGTACTTACGGCTGGCCCCTTTCCACTCTGCTTTTCTGGTTCCCACCTGGTGGTTTTCTCGTTGGTCTGGTTGGGCGGTGGTAATTTCAATGTGACGGCTAATAATAATAGTGAGAACCATTCATTCATCACACCTGATTTTTATTTTATTTTATTATTATTATTTTTTTTTACTTTTTTAACCTTCGATTCCACCCTTTCATTCCTAGGTCCTCCTGACCAAATGGAAAAAAAAAAAAAAGAATCCACTTCTACCCGCGCCCCGACCAGCCAGAATCCCTAAAGTCATACCCCCAAATCTCTTAGTGGCCATGGTAGTTAGTGGCAGTGGTAGCCCATCGAGTCCGCCTCGTACTGAGTCGTAGTGCGTACAGCACGGAGCAGTAATAATAACCATAGAGACCTGGCTGGCCAGGGTCTGACTAACCCACTGACCCGGAGATCTTCACCACCACCTTCAAACCCTCACTAACGCCGACCGACACCTCCTACCACTAGTCAAGTCACTCGACGCTTTTCTTTCTCTCTCTCCCCTTCGTCCTCACTTTCCTCCTCCGACCCCATCCCCCCTCTCTACTTCCTTTCTCCATCCTCTCTCCAAGTTCAATCGTCATATCCCTCTCAGTTCTTCGGTGTTTCTCTCTTTGGTTCTTTCATCTCTTTTTGCATCCTTTATTTTATTTTATTTTTTTCAACGAGCTTTTCACTAAGTGTCGTTGTGACCGTGGATCGGAGCGTTTGCATTGACGCGAGAGATATTTTTTTTTTTTCCCCTTTGTCCCTGTCTCTCAAGAAGACACGAACAAAAGCATTCCAAAAAAAAGAGAACATAGATCATCTCCGTCCTGCTTCCTTCGCCTCAACGAATTTTCCTCTTCCCTCAGATCTTCAATTCTTCAATTGCCCCAGTGTGGATTTACATCTCCGGTGACATCGTGCCGCCTGCCTTCCAACGCCTCATATATTCATCCCTCTGAGTGTCTTCTGTTCTACCAGGGCGTTGAATTCAGGAAGAAGCAACAGGCTCGCGTTACAAATAGACTGACAAGAGGAACAATAATCTGAACACGCCAGCTGCGACCGCTCATTACACTCTTTTCTCTTTATTTTATTTTATTTCCTCCCCTATTTCATTGCATCTGTGCTTGTGTTACTGAATTGTACATCCATGTTATTCATCTAAGAGTACTTGAATACGCGATACATTGGGCCACGGCTCCTTGAGCAACGCTCTTCCCCCCCAGGATCAGGGCGTGGTGGACGTGTAGACGGTTCGTATCTGTTTATTAGCTGATGCTCCCTGTTTTCTGAAAATATCACTGTTCTCATTTTTGAATCTCATTCACTGACTGAGGGGATCTTGTGTTTCTACAGTATCAGATCGTCTGCCCCCCACCGTCCTGAACTGGTTTTTTTTTTCTTTTTCTTTTTTTTTTTGATCCTGTTATGCCGTCCTTTTTCGCACCTGCCCTCCAGACGGGCTTCCCTCCTACTCCTCCTCATATCTCAAGTGGTGGCCGATTGGAACCTCAGCAGCCGTTTTATCTCATGGGACCCTCAGTATTTCCTCCGCGCTACTCCCAGAGCGGCTGTGAATTTATTGAGCAGTACTCCCAGTCGGCTTGCTACACCAAGCCCGCTCCGATGAGCCTACATCCCCAACCCGCCCATTCAATGCGCAGTGGCAGAGATATGGCTACCGCGTCGAATCAGCCCATGTTCGGTCCCATCGCCACTGCGAATGTCCTGCCTCCTATTCGTGGCAACGTTCAATTGCCCCCGATGGAGAGCGCTATGGCGCCGCAATACCGCCGACAGGATATGATGGTGCAGCCCGAGCAGCAACCGCACAAGGAGGAGAAGGCTACTGGAGGTGTTGCCGCCTATTTGGATTATGAGATGGATCAGATGTCCGACTTCGTGGCTGAGATGGCCCAGGGAATGTATGCTTTGTACATCACCAAAATCAACCTAGCAGATATTGACTTCGCGCGAAGCGTCTACCCAGGAACGTCGGTCCCCCCTCAATTTCGGAAATACGTCTTCCAAATCCTGTCGTCGACTCGCCTCCCGAGCTCGACGATCCTTTTGGGTCTTTACTACTTGGCCTGCCGGATGCGCATGCTGTCTTCCAATAAGCTCTATTCGACTGGCAGTGGGCAGGTCTACCGCATGCTCACTGTCGCCCTCCTGCTGGGCAGCAAGTTCCTGGATGACAACACCTTCCAGAACAAGTCGTGGGCGGAGGTCAGCAACATCCCCGTGAGTGAGTTGAACTCTATGGAGCTTAAATGGCTCTTTGCCTTCGAGTGGAAGATCCACGACCGCATCTATGACAAGCAGGATGGTTTCTCGTCATGGCGCTCTCACTGGGAAACCTGGCGTGCGAAGACAGTCGCCCGGGCTCAGGAATCCCGCCACACCTTGGCTCCCATTGATACCAATGTTACCAGAGGTTCGAGAATCTCCAAGCCTATGTTGTCCCCCGAAGGTCCTATTCCTCCACAGTACCAGCGGAGCTCCAACTTCGAGAACTCTTGGTTGAACCCTGCAGCTTCGGAGTATTCACCGCCATCCGCCCCTCACAGTGGCCCCAACACACCTGATTATTACGCGGTTGGTCCATGGGCGTACACGAACCCCCCTCCGCCATATTCTCGCACGTGGGTCCCGCCGCAACAATTTATCCCACAGGCACCTCGATCGCAGCCGCCATCGTATCATCACACTCCGGCGTACGCTTTGCCCTTCGCGCAGAGTGTGTGGACAGGGCATGGCTCGTCCTGCGGGTGTTTGTATTGTGCCAAGCATATGGAACACTATATGTGCGCTGGTGCTTTCGGCTCGATGCAACCGATTGTTGCTGGCTAGTGAACTGCTTGCCGACTGTATTCGACGGCGGTATTCTGTGGGCTTTTCGTCGGCCGTTCTTTTACCATTGCATTTCTTAGAATTTTTCTCTTCTTTTGATGATACCGTGTTCCTTCTATTTCCGCTTTTGATGATAATATTCCTCCTTACCACTTGTTCCGGTTTATCTTCGCTGAAAAGTACCCGCGGTCGTCTTACCTCGTTTGAAAAGCGCCCGAAAAGAAGAAAAAGAAAAAAAAGTATCAAGAAGCGATATTGGAATTGCTCTGCCGAATCTACAGCAACAGCTTGCAACACGCATTTACGACAAGGCATATCTTTTTATTCGACTTGATGCAATTTTCGTTTATGGAAAGCTCTTCATCGTGCGCGAGAGTTACCACACGGGGCTCCTCTCGGGTGCCTCCTTTGGTCACTGCAGCGGAAAGTCACGACATTGATGATCTTTGTTTTGCCGCTAGTTTTCGTTTTCATTTTTGATTCTTCTCTGGGTTGGGCATTTCACCTGGCGACTGTTGTTCCATAGATTCCTTCCCTTGACTTTCGTCAAGTTGGTACATTGGCTTTTATTTCTCCACATATTGCCTTGAGTACAATGGCGTTAATATCTGAACTGCTTGATTCCCCGCTATCTTGCATTATTGCCTTCCGGTTGACTGACATTTTCACTGTTTTTTTTTTTTTTTTTTTTTTTTTATTTCTATTCAACTGAGCTTTCTCGGGGCTGCCTTTGCAAAGTTTGCTTAGGTGATGTTTTTATTTATTTTCTACGATTACCTTCGATGAATGCTCTATATTTTTTTAACGCCCCCCTCAAAAAATTGATACACCCCTTCGTCCCAACTTTACATTGTTGGCTTGTACCGCCTTCTTGACTTTTTCCGTGATTGAACCACTTTGTGTCATTGTGTTTTGTTCACATATTCTTTGATTGTATGTTAGACTTTGACTACTTGCAGAGGAACCAAATGACTCGCGGGAAAAGATCAAAAAAAATCAAAATCAAAATTTCCTGAAAGTATGGAAATCTCGTCTCATCTTCTCAATTGGTCCGTTCCTTCTTTTTGCAGAACTGTTCTACATTATTGGATATTTTATAAGTTAGGTTGAGAATATTGGCTGTTGTACATATGTCTGGATTGATGATCATTGAGTCCAAAGTGGTTGCCTATATACTGCTACAGTGACTTTAATTTAAACAATGTGTCCTACATTCAGAATACTCTCTTGAAATATAAGTAAATGATATTTCTGTGCATATATGTATGAAAGTACGTATGCCACATAGGGTGTGCTGTATACAGTGCCGTAATGGAAGAAAGAATGAGAAGGGTTCATGTACTTTGTATAGGTATGTAAGTTCAGTCTCTTTGTTGTCAAGTGGGTGGGTATCAGTGTTGAAGAATAAAAATAATGGAATAACGGAATAAAATCGGAAGGCTAGTACAGTTGAAGACTTCAAGTATCATGTCGTGATGATCACCGTACATGTCCTCCTGTTTGTATGGATGGACATATATATGTATGGGATTGATGAGGTAGATGGGCCGGGAATCGGAGACAGAGAGAGAGAGATCAGTAAGTAAATAGACAAATTAGTATACGCTTCCGCGGATACTTTGATCCTCTCGACGTTGGGCCTCGAGTGAGGAAGGGTCTAGTTTGTCAATTTCCTCATCAAGACAATGGCTTATGGAATTGTCCTCCTCGTCGCTGTTCTCGTTTCGATTCCGGTCGGTCAAGATGGTTGCGACTTTCTGCGCAAGCTGACGTCTGCCCGAGGGAACGAAGTGGCGGTGACTATGAGGATGAGGATGAGCATGTGAATGATAAGTATGATGATGGGATCGGGTTCGACGCAGTCTTTGCGTCTGCGTACTGCTGCCTTCGTCGTCGCCGTCGTTTCCTAGGTCCTGGGACGATTTGGGTTGATGCTGTGGGATGGTACGAGCAGGGAATTGGTGTCGTCGATGATGGTCGTGCTGCTCGTCCTCGGAGGGAGCTAGGCTGTTGGCTCCGCTCAGGGAACCACCTCCATCCCGACCACCGAGATGGAAGAGGGCGTAGTTCGACCGCGGTGGGTGGAGGAGGTGATCTTCGCTGTCACGGTGGAAGTTGGCCAGTCCCGGCCGTTTAGGGATCGGGCTTGGAGTATTTGTGCTAACTGATGGAGAGTTTCGTGGACTGGGCGTGTTTCGATCATCGGGTTCGTAAATGCCACTCGCCCCGTCGTTTGTTGGAGGTTTGATCCGAGTGATCCGGGTATTCTTGGTTGCATCTTGTCCGTAGAGACTCTGCTGTGGTTGAGGGGAGAAAGGGATGGGTTTTGTATCTTCGGATATATCTCCCCGTGTTGGCTGAGGCGTAGTTGACTCCAGCTGTTCCTCCTGGACCGTCGATTTCGTGGTTAACAGGCGCGAAGGGTCTTCTGTCCTGTTTTCTTGTGTCGCAGCGTGATGGGCGGTGTCGTGATGTTTCTTGTGCTGATGATCCACGGCTCCATTCGCCCGGGACGGCCGTACTGAGCCTTTCCTCCGAATGCCATGGTTACATCCGTCAGGACAGCCGCCCCAGCGCCTGATTGGGATAGCAATGTCTGACGGCGTTAGAGGGGCCGGCCCAAGTCCCTTCGCGGCCCTCTCTCGCTGTCTCTCCAGCTCTTTCTCCTTTTGCAGTTCGGACCAGGTACGGAGCTGGTTCTGCAGCACATACTTTCCATTGTCTGGGTTGAGTTTCATGATTACGAACTCGCAGTGGTTGATGTTCCGCAGATCCTCGAAGTACTCGACACTCCAATGGTACCATTTCATGAGGAAAATCCGGGTCATCAGCCCATGAGTCACCAGCACACAAGCACTGGCGAAGTCGTCCTCCCCGAATAGACGCCATAGCGACTCGTTGAACCCGCTTACTCGGTCATAGGCATCGGCCGCCGATTCGCCATTGGGGATGCGATAGAAAAAGTGGCCGTAGTCCGCCCGTTCCAGCCACATCCGTTCCATCTCCGCCGAGCATGGTTGAAAGTTCCCGAAGTCTTGCTCGCGGAGTCGGGGTTCCTCATAGACTTTGATGGTGTGTCGGGGAAAGGGAGTCGGAGACGGGGTATCGGACGACAGGGACTGTAGAATTCCTTCGGTGGTCTCGCGGGTTCGACGATAAGGAGAGGTGAAGAAGTGAATGGTATCATCGGGTCGCAGAAGGCTTCGCAGACGAGTACCTGCCTCGAGAGCTTGTCGATGTCCTTCGGCAGTGAGTTTAACCCGATGGTCGGGGACCATCTGATGGATTTCCCGGTTCTTGTTGCCTTCCGACTGTGCATGGCGGACCAAGATGATCATCTAACATGTGTGAGAAGCCTGACGTGGACGAGGAGAGGAGATGACAAAAGCTCACCCGTGGTTTGCCCATGGTTTGGCACTGGGGTTGGATGCTGAATGGGAGGGGTTTTGGATACGATACAGACTGAGGATAGAGGGACTCGTAGAAAGGCACCCGCACATCCACAGAGGAGCCAGCGTGGGCGTCTGATTTACCTGGAAGAATAAAGGCGCAAGTTCTAGAGAGAGAAAAGAGCTGAAGAGGACTGAAGGCGAAGTACCTGATATTGGCTGGATCCGGTTAGCGGGACAAGTGATGTCAAGCCGTTTGCACGTCGAGCTTTACTAATCGACCAGATCAGAATGCCAACGGTCGAAGTATTGGATCGAGTTTGGATCCGTAAAAGGATATTTATTCTCTATCTGTCTATGCCAATGGACTGTCTGATTTTTCTCGAATATCGCCTATATATTCTCTGCATCGATGCCTCAGGCCCTCGGAGATGCTGCGCCAGTTGCCGCGTCGCCCGCCGTAGTGCATCACAGCCGAATCTGGCCTCTCTCTCTCTCTCTCTCTCTCTCTCTCTCTGTCACGGTCTCTCTCATCGGGTGGACACCATGGCTGACTATCTGTATGAGCTCTTGACCCCCCATCTGGCTCCCCCAGATGCCTCCTCTTTGTCTCCTGAACACAATGCCACCACGGCCCAGTACCTCACCCGATTGCCTACCCTCTCGCTCCAGGCTTTACAGGAGACCGAATCTCAGTCGCTAGCGCAGTCCTCTCATTCCACCCTTATCTCCCTCCAGGCGCTGTCCAATCGCTCCCACAAAGACTTCATCACCTCTGCCGACAGCCTATCGCACCTTCAGGCATCAATCCCGCAGCTTATCCGTGACGCACAACATCTTCGCGATGCAATCCCGAGACTCGACGACGAGGCCGTCCAGTTCGCCGCAAAGTACAGTCGCACGGCGGAAAATGTGGCCTTAGAGCAGCGCAAAAAGGCCATGCAGTTGGCACGGAACGTGGACCGACTCTCCGACATCTTAGATCTCCCCACCCTCCTGTCGACGACCGTCTCTTCCGCCTCCGCAAGCTCGGGGGCTGCGGGGGGCTCGTTCTCGACCACATACTCTGCAGCATTGGACTTACACGCGCATATTAAGAGATTACAAACCCTGTACCCCGACTCTCCGCTGGTCAAAGACGTCGTCCTGCAAGCCGAAGATGCCATGAAGGACATGACTACGAATCTGATTGCTGGTCTCCGCACACAAAATCTGCGACTAGCTGCTGCCATGAGAACGGTTGGCTGGATGCGCCGAGTGGCCCCCGAATTGGAGAACCTGCGTAGCCATGGGGGTACCGGCTCTGGGGAAGGCGCCCTGGGAGCCTTGTTTCTGATATGTAGGCTGGCAAACTTGGTATCTACACTCGACGCGTTGGAACCGTTACGGGAACTCGCCGAACAGGAGACGCAGCGGAGGGTGGACAATCTCGGGAAAAAAGGTGGAACCGCCAGCTCGTGGTCGGCCGGCTATCAGACCGAGAGGTTTTTGAAACGGTACATCGAGATTTTTCGCGAGCAGAGCTTTGCCATTGTTTCCTTGTACAAGAACATCTTCACTCCCGACCAGTCCGAGTCGGATCTAGCCGTGGCAGGGATACGGGGAATTGATGCGCGTATCAAAACGACGCCTACGCCTCGCCCAGAGGATCCATTGCAGGCCCTGCCTTCAGCACTTGCTACTTTCCCCATGCAGCTCGTTCAGTTGCTTACGGACACATTACGGTCTTTTCTTCCTAATGTCCAGGATAGAAGCTCGCGCGAGAGTCTCCTCACCCAGGTCCTCTACTGCGCCGCCAGTCTAGGTCGACTCGGTGGGGATTTCGGGATGATTCTTACGGAGTTGAGCGACGGGAATGACGACGAAGGGGTGACATATGAATGGGAGGAGGTGACACGAAAACATCGGACCTTGGCAGGACGCCTGGAGCAGCTAACGGGGGGAAATACAACCTCCAAAGGCCTGACAAGTGCCTCCATCCACTCATAAGCAAAGACTTAACAAGAGGATTACCTAAACAATGATGGTTCTAAAAAGGGGAAGTCAGCACACCGGTAGCGCTAACTTGATAAGGCGTTAGCGCCGGGCTGCGCCATTCAACGCAATTGTCTGGACCGTCTCTTTCTCTCCCTCTCCCTCTTTCGCTTTCCTCTTGTTTCTCTCCTCCTCCACCCTCTCAACGTACCGATGATTGTCATGTAACTCTGGGCTGTATGACGGTATTCTTGTTGGGTTTGTCTGATAGTGGCCTCTCGGTGGTCGGTGCTGGTTCTCCGACCTCCCTTCTTCCTTGATCTTTGCTGTCGTGTCTTGTGTGACGTTCTCTGACGTTTTCTCCTTGCGGTGATCCACCTGTCTCTACTGTGTCTCCCTCCTCAAGAAATGAGAAACACCCTGTAACCTGTGTGGGAAACAACAGGAGATCTATTGGTCCATATCGTCTTTTCTTCCATTTACTCTCCATCTACTCTCGATGGCTGCCTCCGCTCTCTCCAGCGGGTTGATCGATCCCACCAAACAAGCGGAATACCCGATCATCCTGGGCGATAGATTGGCAGGGAACAATAATATCTCCCGTTCCAATCTCATCAACATCCAGTACAATTACAGAGCCAAGTCTGCGACCGCGCAGCAACGATCCACCATCACCAAGTCCTCCCGGTTTAGTGACCGCTACCGCCTAACGATCACCGACAAAGCGCCGAATGCCGAGCAGAGCGTGTTGACCTATTCGTACCAAGGTAGTGTAGACCCCGAGCGAGCCAGTGCGGACTCGAAACAACAAAACCTGGTTTTAGTGTTCGATGCAGATCGAAAGGCCTTTGTCCTGGAGCCGGTCGCAACGCAGCTCAACTTTAACCTCCGCTCGGCTCCCGCCAAGACAGAGAAGCAGGTGATCGAGCAGCATGCACAACTGAGGACCCTGCAGGAGGACGACCAGGGTTCGGGGGATGATCGGGGGGTGGAAAGCGCCAGTGGGAATGACGATGATCCCGCCGATGACAGCAACCCATACGACTTCCGCCATTTTCTTCCCAAGCACAATACGGAAGATGACAAGTCTACCTCTGACAACGCTACCCCAGAGCCCCATTCCAGCACAAGCAGAGCGAATACGCCCCTGTCGGTGCCCACGGCCACCAGGCCTACTCCAAGCCCTAAACAGCAACCCAAGTCGCAGGCGAATTCCCTACGGCAGACAAAGCGCCCGACCGCGCCTATGACATCAAACCCTACAACAAACGCCAAGGCTCACCCTAAGCCCAAGCCTAAGCCTCGGGCGACGCAGAAAGAAAAGCAGGAGGATGAGACCGCGGTTGTGGGGTCGACTTCCGACTCTGGAACGGTTACGATCAACCCTCCCAAACCCACACCGTCGCCGAATTCAAATATCATTATCGACGGCGATCTGATTATTGATATGGGATCGCCACCTCCGTCGCGTCCCGCATTCAAGGTCAACCCCGCGCATTTCTCATCCAATAATACACCAGCTAATAACGATGGCGATGATGACGAGGAGGAGATTGAAGATCTAAGGCTTCCGTCTCCGGCGGGACATGGGGCGCGTGCACCATCTGGAGGGATACAACCCGTGTCCGCTGGACCAGCAGATGAGGAAGAAGTTGAAGATGACGATGCGTTGGCCGCCGAGATGGAAGCTGCGTTTGAGGAGAGTGCGCGAGAGGAAGCAGAGGCTCGAAGTCAACCGTCCCAAGCGGGACCAGTGTCGCATCAATACCATGTTCCCAGTGAGGACGAGAGTGAGGTTAGCGAGGAGGAGTAGCTTTTTCGTTTATTTGTATGCGAGTGCCTGTTGTTGGATATTGTATTGAGCCTATATATAAGCCTGGAGTTTGGAGCAAAGCGAGGGACACAATAGAGTTAGTCCTGAGATTCAAGCAATGATACCATCTGTTCCTCCATATCCATTCACAATCAGACACAGTCCGATGTCTATAAGAACCCCTATTGTTCAATTGTTCAGTTCAGTTGTTCAGTTCAGTTGTTGTTGTTCATCGGTCGGAATAACTGGATGATCCGCCTTCCGCATTCAACGCCCCAGAAAGACGCACCAATTCTCTCCGACTCAGTATCACACACTCTGCCTCTTGCCGATTTTTAATTTCTACACACCTTGCTGTCTCCTCCCATCCTAGCACAGCTTGCATTCCAAAGACCCAGGACACCATTGACCTTGGTCACTCCATCTTGGTTCACAATGCGATGAAGTGCCGGTCGCGTCATGCTTGACACGGTCCCTTCACATCGTCACTATATAATTGCTTGCCAACCAGGTGGCAGTGCTTCAGCCTGTTCTTGTACTGGTTTGACTCCTCCAGAAGGAGTCGTTGATCACGGAATTGGTTCCTCCCTTCTAGGCGATTCTTGGTCCAGGTAAAACAGGTCCTCCCTGAGGTCACCTAGCCTTTTCTTCATGGCATCCTCGGCGTCTGATCCCCCGGAGAAGCGACCCGTTCCCGCGCCTTCAAATCCAGTCCTTCTTGCGGCGCAAGCACAATGGCTCTTCACCGACGAGGAGCTCACTCGCACCCCCTCGCAGCTTGACGGCATGAAGATAGAGGCGGAGTATACGAGTCGGAGTAAAGGGGTCAACTTCATCACCCAGGTGGGCATCATGTTGAAACTCCCCCAACTCACCCTCGCCACGGCGGCCGTCTATCTTCACCGGTTCTTCATGCGCTACAGCATGGTCGACCTGCCCCAACGACCCGGGATGCATCCGTACCCGATTGCGGCCACTTCGCTGTTCCTGGCCACCAAAGTGGAGGAGAACGTCCGGAGGATGCGAGAGTTGGTGGTGGCCTGTTGTCGGGTGGCGCAGAAGCAGCCGAATCTGGTGGTGGACGAGCAATCCAAGGAGTTCTGGAAATGGCGTGACACTATTTTACACCATGAGGACCTGGTTCTGGAAGCCGTCTGCTTCGATCTGCAACTCGAGCAACCGTACCGCATCCTGTTCGACTTCCTCTGTTTCTTCGGGGTCAACGAGAACAAACCCGTTCGAAACGCGGCGTGGGCCTTCGTCAACGACTCCATGTTCACCGTCCTCTGCTTGCAGTTCTCGGCCCGCACGATCGCCGCCGCCGCTCTCTATGCCGCCGCTCGCCATTGCGATGTCGGTTTTCAGGATGACTCCTTGGGCCGCCCGTGGTGGGAGCAGATAGACGTGGATCTGGTCCAGGTGCGTCGCGCGTGTACACGAATTGCACAGCTCTATGAAAACAATGCCATGCAAAAACACACCCAGTACTACCCGACCACCCCCATCGTCTCAGACGAAGGCACTGAGAAGACCAGGATCCCGCGGGAAGCCGATCCCGTTAACGGGCGGAAACGGTCCAGGGAACCCGACGACGAACGTAGAGCCCGTCGTTCGGATTCCGACCTGCAGCAAGACCAGAACGGCGCGCGATCCCCCAAGCGGCCGCGCATGGAGTCAGAGGCTTCGCTCTCTCCCTCCCAACAACCGCCCCCCTCATCCTCCTCAGCTCTCCCTCCCCACAGACGCTCTTCCCACTCGCGGGATCGACAGCCCTCCAACGGCCGTCTCCCTCCTGCTCCTGCTGCTGCTTCTGCTTCTGCTGCCTCTTCCCACCACCGTCATCCACACCCATTACCCCCAGCACCTCGTCCCTACCCCCGACGAGACAGTGACAGTCGACCGGGAGGCAAACCCGCAGCCTCTGTCGATCCCATCCAGCAACGCATCGACGAGATCGTCCAACAGAACATGTCCCATGGAGGTCCTGCTCTCCCTCCTCCTTCCTCTCGAGACACTCCACGAACTGACCGACGGCGTACCTCCGATTTGCTCTCTACCGGTGGTAGGAAATCCCTCGGCCATCATCCTTCACATCCTCATTCTTATCCTCATCCTCCTCCCCCGGATTACCATCAACCACCTCCGCCATCACCTCCACCCCAACCACCGTCGCAGACAGATCCTCATCATCCGGCAGATAAGGACGATGAGGGGGGAGGTAGTGAAGAAGGGGAATTATAGATATCGATTTTCATGCAATTCTATTCAATTCAGTTTATTCTGTCTAATTCTCATCTATTACCCATCTCTCTCTTTCCGCCCTTTTCCCCAAATCAACCGGTCCCTCCTTTTGCACCGTTCACTTTTAATCCAAGAAATGAATAAATAATGTCTTGCCTCTCTTCTGCTTACCTGTTTTATACATAGGCTTGAAAAATCACCGGTTGGGGAAAAAGAACTTTATTCAATTCAAAGATCGTACTAGACAAACAAACTTCAATCAAGTGCAATTAGCATATGCAATAGCGACAGAACAACATTTATCAAAAAAGCTTAAGGCTTAGTCGGAGAAAGAAAAGACTGACAAAGGCGAGAGAAATGGAAAAACTAAAAACAATCAATGATCTAGTATCCAGCGGTCATCATTCCAGTACCATGATCCAGTAAACTGCTAGAAGCCACAAAGCTGAATCCCCCAAAGGGATCGGTCTCCCCGTATCCGTCATGTCCGGTGGCCATGCCATGTTGACCGCGTAGCGGAGGCGCCATGATGAATTCATGATCGTCAAATCCGATGAGCGGACTCAAGGGGAGATTGGTGAAATCCGCCGAGAAATTCTCCGCCATCGAGGGGTCTGTTACGACCGGGATGATGGGCGGTTCGATCTCCCGGCGTTCCAGGGCCCTCCAGTTGATCTTGCGGAAGAATCGGTGATTCTTGATCGTCTGGAGGTCCTTAGGCATGTGGTATCCCAGACGTTTGGACGGCTCCTTGCGAAGGAGACGCGTGAGCAGGTCTTTGGCGTCCGGACCAAGGAAGTACGGCAGAGTCAGCTTTTGCTTGAGGATCTTCTCCTGAAGCTTGGTGTGGTTATTGGCGCGGAATGGAGGAGATCCCGTCAGCAGATCATAGCCCAGGGCTCCCAGAGACCACCAGTCACAGGCTTTGCCGTATGGTTTGCCTTGGATGACTTCGGGAGCCATGTATTCAATGGTACCCAGGGACGAATTGCAGCGATCGTCGTCGTCGACGGAGATCTTACTAAGGCCAAAGTCTGTCAACACAAGGTGGCCTTCTCGGTCTAAAAGGCAATTCTCCGGCTTCAGGTCTCGGTAGATAACCCCGACAGTCTGGTGAAGATGCTCGAGCGCAAGAACCATCTCCGCCATGTAAAAGGCCGCCGCGTCTTCGTCAAACATACGCTCCATAGCCAGATGCGTAAACAACTCGCCGCCTTCGGCATACTCCAGGATAAGATACAGCTTCTCATGATCCTGAAATGCGTAGAAAAGCTTAACCACGAATGGGTGGCGGTTGACGCTCTCCAGAATGGTACGCTCGGTCTTGGTCTGTTCCACGAGCTTCTTGTGGACGGTAATGGACGCCTTCCGGAACTGCTTCTGCGCATACAACTTGCCCGTGAGGACATGGCGCACAAGCAACACCGTTCCAAAGGAGCCCTTCCCCAGGCAGAGCAACGGCTCAAAGTCATCCGTAGTCATCTTTCGGCAGAGCTGAGTGCGTACATCCCGAACACTGGAGGTATTCTGAGATTTCTCCTCGGCTGCAGCATCTGGACTCACATAATCATGCTCCAGAGGCACCTCGTAACTGGTCAAGACCTCTGTCTGATCGCTGTCTGAACAAACACTAGCATTGCTTGGCGTCTGGGAGCACATCTCGCTGGGACTCTTGTTTGGACGACGGCCGCCGGACAAATCCAAGGAATCGAGCTGAAGCTTCAAGGCACTTACACCACTGTGGTTGCCGATGTTCGTGGTGACTGGGTGTGACTTCGAACCAGTAGGGACTCTGGAGCTCGAGGTTGAGAAATCCGACTCCTCATCGCCCGAACCCATAGGCGTAAACCCACGCACGGTGGAAAGAGCCGAGGTGGCTTCGTTTCCTTGCTGCTTTTTCTTCTTCTTCCGTCGGTCTGCTTTACCGGCCAGCGGGATCGTATTTAGTTTCGGCGCTGGAAAAGGATTGGCCCCACCAAGCTCCTTCATCGCTGATCCTTGCTTGCGCTCTGGACTGTAATTGCTCATGCGAAACCCAGCAACTCGAATGCCGTTCGGACCATTCTCTTCGCGGGATTGAGACATGTCCGCCTGTGGACTAAACACATCGCTCACTGAAAGTTCCTCCTGCGCTTTAGTCGACGAGGAATCCATGTTTCCGTAGTGGTATATCGCTTTCTTTCTTTCTTTCTTTTTTTCCTTTCTTCTCTTGTCCTCATAAAATGTTCCTTTCCCGCCAAGAAGCAAACAGCTATCCGAGAATTGCCCAGGCAAAAACAGTGACAGCAAGATTCAATCGAATGTAGAGGAGCCGACAAGCACAATTCATACGTCACGGGAGATTACATCCACCCTGCCATCAATGACGGATAAATGCCCGGAAGGCCTATCCAGTAATACCTTAGTCTTAACTGGGATGTTAGATTCAACTCGATCCTTTTTTTTTACGTACGTAAGTGGGGGCACTTTCAACCCCGACGAGAAACATCGAGTAAGGGATGGGGGAAGAACATAGCTCACACGTACTGTACGTAACAGAAAAGCCAGTAAAACCAGCCACTCCCACCGCACTGGCAGGCTAGCCTAGCGATCAAATTCTGGATCTTCCTCTGTCTCCCCCCAAAATCGAAAGCAATTTACCGTCCGCCCTGTTTCAGGACGGACCATGGACCCCTAGCCAGATCACTTTGTTGACGGAGGGCACCAACGGCTGGGTGTATGACACCACCGAGGAAACAGCCAGTTCGGAGGCTCCGCGAGACACAGCAACCGTCGAGTCGTTATTCACGGTGCGAGAAACAGCGGAGTCGGCAGGGAAGCCAGCGGAGAGAATGAAAGGAGTGGACGATGAAGGCGTGGGCGCAGACAGGCACATAGAGAAACGGCCAGGCAATGATTCTCGAGTGAATAGAAGGAACAGTAGGAAGAAATCTGGGAATCGCGAGATGGAGTGATAATCCTGTTCCAAACGAGGAGAGAGAGAGAGAGTGAGAGAGGGAGAGAGAGACTCCAAAGACTACCTAAAAAAGTACAAAAAGGCGGAGGGAATACTCGGCCAATCATAGGGCGTCCGGTGTTAAGCGAGGCTAATCCTGATCGGGCTTTCACTTGTGGCGATCATTTCGATCGTTTCGTCATTCCAAAAGTATAACGACGCATAACAACAGGATAGAGAGCAATTGAGGCCGGGACGATGACGATACCATCTCATTCTCTATCTATGACTGCTCAACGAACCACCTCGATCCCAGGCAACATGTTCTTGACTATAAAGCTTGTCCCTACCGTTCCGCGGTTTGGGGTCTATTTATATCGCCTCGACATTCTCTGCAGTATTGCCCACCTTCCCACATTAGATCTGGTTATTCCATTATCATCAATTGATGAAAGATACCATGGAGCATGTAGACGTCCTTGTTGTGGGTGCTGGTGAGTGTAACAGCGGCTGCCCTGGCTGGTCTCCTCTATTACTAACTCCCCCCAGGTTGGTATGGACTGATGGCAGCAGAAACGTACCTCAAACTCGCCCCAGAGACTAATCTTCTCGTCGTGGACGACGGGGACACGATTGGTGGGATATGGAATCAGGAGCGCATCTATCCAAGTCTCCACGCGCAGAACAGTTATCCTCTCTTTGAGTACTCCTCCTACCCGATGAAAAAGGAAGGGATTTCCTCGCTTGGCTTCATCCCCGGGCAGACCATCCATAACTACCTTGTCAACTTCGCCAAAGATCATGACCTCGTGCGTCGCATTCGTCTTCGGACTCGTGTGACCCAAGTGCGCAGAAGCGCCAACCACCAAGGCTGGGTCGTGGAAACAGAGTCGGGAGAGCGGCCGATCAAGTGCGACAAGCTGATCTATGCCACGGGAGCTACTTCGAGCCCAATCCGACCGAAATGGCCGCGAGAGAATTTCGATCAACCGGTCATTCACTCCCTGGACATCGCCACCAATCTGTCCCTGATCGAGAGCGACACAATTCAACGAGTCACCGTGGTGGGGGCCTCGAAATCATCCTACGACACCGTTTACCAACTGCTCAAGGCCGGGAAAAAGGTAGACTGGGTCATCAGACCGACTGTCTCCGGGGGATTCTCCATATTCGCTCCCACTTTCATGTTTTTCTGGCGCATATCGGATTTTGTCTCCACGCGATTTGCGTGCAGCTTTAGCCCTAGCATCATGAGCACCATCGGGCCCTGGGACAGATTCTTGCAGCGCACGAAGATTGGAAGATTGCTCGTGCGTCTCTATTGGCGAGTTGGCACGAGCCTGGCAGCGGCATATGCGCGGTTCGGCGATAGTGAGCATACCAAGCATCTGCAGCCCTGGCCTCACCCGGACGGGTGCGTGGCTCCCTCTATTGTTATTTAACCGAGACGAGAGAACTGACCGTTCCTTATAGGCTCTTCTGGGGCAGTGGGGGGATTGGGGTTGCGACCGTCCCTGACTTCTGGGAGGTCATCCACAAAGGCGACGTGACCATGCACCGTACGGAGATCGAGTCGCTCTCTCACCATGACGTGGTCAACCTAAAGAACGGGACTTCTGTCGCAACGGACATAGTGATTCAGTGCACCGGGTTTGACAAGGGTTACGACACCTTTAGTCCGCAACTACAGGAAGAATTGGGTCTGCATTATGACCCCTCCACCTTCTCGAAGTGGACGGTATTGGACGCGCAGGCCGAGCAGAAAGTGGATGCACTGCTGCCCATCCTAAAGAACTCCCCTTTTGATTCGATGGAACACAAGAAACACGGTCAGGGCCCCAACCGGCATTACCGTCGTCTCATTGTCCCCGAGCTGGCAGCTAGAGGGGACCGGTCGATATTGTTCCCGGGTCACATTCACGCCGCCCTCACCCCGGTGGCGGCAGAAATACAAGCCCTTTGGGGGTTTGCGTTCCTAAATGGCTGGATGAAGGTCCCTGAACAGGAGGAGATGGAGATGGAGGCGGCAACCTTCAACGCATGGACCCGTAAGCGATATATCGAACAGGGGAAGAAGCATTCATATATCGTCTATGATTTCATCTCGGTGAGCTTTCCCCCAGGTGGTATCACCGGCATGCAGAAGCTGACAGGGTGTCAATACGTAGTACCTGGACACTCTCATGAGAGACCTCGGCCTTAACCCGCGCCGGAAGAGGACATTTTTCGAAGAATGGTTCACTCCGTATCGGCCGCGAGATTATCGGGGGCTAATTCAGGAGTACCTGACAGCCCACTCACGTAGGGTTCCTGCGGACAAGAAAATGTGCGAAGAAGAGATGAGTGTGAATGAGTAGTGCGTTGGTTACGTCTGAGCTTAGACGGAGTTGAGGCACCGCGCCAGAGTTGGAGTGGGCTACAGATGTCAGTGGGTATTTTCCTTGGTTTCGTGCTTCCTCCACTAGCTAGTGGATTGTATAGAAAACGAGGTTAAAAGGAGTGAATTCCGCTGGTGGAGGGGCATAGATCCTGTCGTTCACCACTGCTTTGTGCCAATACCCATCAGATTCCTCGACTTGCTCCAGCGCGACACGTAACAGGCATAAGGATTCGAGAAGGCCAATGCGAGCCGTGTCGCCGTTTGCCAGACTGCGGGTTAGGGCGATTGTCGAACCGATCAGGGCCACGGAGTAGCTTAATCCCAGAATACGGGATGACCGTGGGTCATGCGTCCATTCTCGGTGAAAACGCGGTTGACTCAGGATTGGCAGGACAGGATAGAAAACGTCAAGTACTTCAGGTGTCTGTTATTGATCGATCAGTTGCATCGTCGTGCAGAGATTTGGAAGAGGTGGAAGTGAGCACGTTGCAGGACTGTAAGATCCTGCAGTGAGATCGGTTCTGTTGAAGATGTTATTTGTGGCCCGAATACGTCAACGTCAACCTGGGGAGGAGTGTTGGTGGTGGTGGACGATGTTGAGGGTATCCACAGCAGGACTTTGACACCTGTTGGGATAACAGACGTCAGTCAAACAATTTGGATCCAGGGACATTTATATAGACCTGATCAGTCCTGTAACTCAAAAAATTGACTTGGCAGATCCGCTTGAGTCGCGCAATATCTTGCGTCCCTGATAGCCGCAGTCGTAGCGCAGGACCTTGATGTTGATGTTGATGTTGATACAGCGGAGGGAAGCGGAAAGCACATGCTGTGGCTTATTAAATTAAATCGAGCAACTATAGCCAGATAGAGGCCTCTTTCTACTTCTTATCTAGGATACACTAAATGTTTCTTTTTCCTGCATCTCTTGGTGACTACGAAAAGTATTGTATATATAATACGGTGGGTCTAAGAACGAGGACACGAGAGTGGATGATCTCAGTTTTGTAGACTGCTATATCCATCATACTTCCCAAAGACAATGCACATTCAAGACAACCATCACCGCAGGATACTATGTCGATTTAGACACCAGGCCCTCTGGTCGAACCGCATTATGATTGGAACAGGTAGGTTCTTTTTTTTTTTTTTTTTAATGATTAAAAGAGTCATGAAGACACAAGAGGTGTTCGAATCAAGGCCTCCCTCCCTCGACTTCAAGACGCTCAAAGAATGCCTGAGACCGGGTGATCACGACGCCTGAACTCTCGACAAAGGGAAGAGCACTGGGTTTCTCGACTGTCACTGTTACACGTTCATTGAAGAACTCCATCGTCACGATGCGCGCGACAAAAGTTGCCAGCGCCTCGACGGTCTGGAATGATGTGCCCTCCACTCGCTGAGAGGATGTCAGTATTGGAACGTTTACAGGGCCATAGATCTCTAGGATATCAACCCACCTCTGCAATATTCCTTGTCATGGCTTGATAAGTGTCCACCACAGTTGACCCCCATGCGAGCTGACCGGGACCTTTGAACTCTAGCGAGATGATCACAGCCTGCTTCTCCACCCTCTCATGGGAATTGACTCCCAAGATACAGTAGCATCTAATCCCGTCGATTCGGAACTCCTCCTCCAGGACCACCGGACACCGTTCTGGATCATCTGCCTCCCCTGGAGTACTATCTGCCCTCTGCTTATACCCCCACACCGTGACGCTACGGTACTTCAGACCTTCGTCGGCGCGCAACAAGGCCTTGGGCAGATGCAACCAAACTTCACATTCCCCGTATACGCTCTCAATCGGAGAGACTGACATACCTGGGGGACTGAAGTTGAAATTCCCCGGCCCGGCATGACCACCTGACCCACTGCCTCTCCTGACGCCCTGATGCACATGCACATGGGACATGCGTCTAACACCGGCGGCTGTCTCATCCAGAAGTCCCAGACCACAACTTGCTATAATGCCCGCCGTCAAGCGCATATCCTGTCCAAGCTCATTCCGCATCATCTCTTCTCGTCGACTACCTTCCACGCTGATCATTCGCTGCCCGGGAGCCTCGCCCCGCTGTCCTAGGTGGCGGATATCCTCTTCCAGACGACGGTAGAGTTTCCCGTAATCCAGGGAAAGAGAGACGTCGTCGGCGATGGCGGCTGCCACGGCGGAGGAATAGGATAGCTTCAGGGACGCGGTACAAGGCTGTGGTTTTCCCGTGCGATGCCATGGGTCCGGTCCGATGGGTAATGGCAGCTCTATGTCTCGGAGTCGTACGCTATCCAGCACCGGGGGTTGCGAGGGAATGTGGACATTCACCCGTTGTTGAGCCATTATGACTGCGATCAATTGGGAGGGGTAAGTAGGTCGAGACGGGTAGAATACGTACTGTAGTCAGTCTACAATGACGTCCAAGACAGGGGTGCGTCCGTTCTGACGTCAACACAGCTAGATGTAGGAATCAACCGTCGACATCAACGGCGGTAACAACCTCGGAGGTCTATAATAGAGCACACGCAGTGCTCCAAGTTGAATGGTGAATTCTGCACACATAGAGAGTCAGCAGGAATAATGCGTGAGGTTTTTGCCGCGGGGCAGGTTGAAGTGTTCTGCTTGTTCTGGTGGGGGGATTTAGCGCGGTGGATCCGTCAATACGCCAGAATGACGCTCACCCAGCACGTCCGAGTATAGAACAAGGCTACACAATGGAAGACAACGTCAGTGTGGATAGCTCCCTACAATACGGCCAATCAACATGTCTACGCTGGACACAGGGTTCGTATCCCTCTGGGAAGGTTACGGGTCAGTAAACACAAAACTGGCATTTAGTGGGTAAATGTACATGACATCCTCGTGAAGGGGTAAACATTGTCAGGAAATATGGTATGTTGCAATGGATAATGGATGGAATTTTCAGAACCATCACCAACCACTGCATTCAGTGAAAATCAAAGTCCAACCAGGGCAGTGGAGTGGCTGGAAGATAAGTATCCGCTCTTCCTACTATTATCCCACGTCGTCTCGGCAATGATTCCTATGGAAACCCGGGACAAAGGGGTGAATGGATCATCATGTCAAGCAATTAACAGGGGCTTTTCGGCAACGGGAGCATGGCAGCGTGTCGTAATTGCCTTCCGGACACGGAGACCTAGTAGAGTGGATAATATCGCTCCATGATCAGGTAAATGAGCAAGCACACGCAAACGATAACGACCAAAATGCGTAAGGCGCAGCACAACAAAAAGCATAGGTGGTATCCGCCATGTATGTAAGAAGACCAAAGGGCAGGAAACAGGCATTCACCAGTATCCACGGCGCTCATAGGGAACATATTCACCCCGTGGAGGAGTCCGAGGACGTCCGTAAGGCCTTGGCGGAATGTATGGATCATCATAACGGGGCGGCGGCGGCGGGCGGACATCATAAGGATCATCATACGGACGACGCGAAGCAGGGTAGTCTTCAATCCGAGGTCGCGGGGGGGTTCGACGGCCGTAGCCATCACGGTCATAATAGTCCCGGCGCATTGGGATGGGAGAACGCTCCCGGTAATGAGCACGGGGGCTGTAACCACGAGGAGCCGGGAATCTCCGGTCGTATTCTTCTACCGGGGGGTAGCTCCGACGAGGAGACCGAGACCGGTAGGGATCACGGAAAGTACGGTCATCGAACGATTGGATCTAAGAGTTGAATGAGGATCGGTCCTGGCTCGGGTATAGCAAGGTCCCTTACTTCTGCGATGCAACTCACTCTAGAGCCCTTGAAATCTCTTCCATCGAGTTTCTCAACGGCTGTTTTGAGGTCGTTCGCAGTTTCGAACTCAACAAACCTTGGATTCACTGTTAATAGGATCCGAACGTTGTCCAGGAAGGATGTGAACGTAAACCCACCCTCTACCAGGTTCACGACCGGTTTCTGAGTAAACAACATCAAGGCCAGATTGACGCGCGAAGTCTTTGAGATCCTATATATTCCCAGGGTGTGAGTCCATTTCCAGGTGAAACGATGCGATCCAGTATTTCCCAGGTGGATATATAGAAGATATAGAACAGAAGGGAGACAGGGGAAATCCTAGGATGATCCGTATCCATGTTGGCCAATGGGTTACTGTCCAAAGGTGGGTCGCCCAACATCCTGGTTGCAACTCTCAAGGCATCCACGGTCGGCAGAATGCACCTAGGGACAGGATAACTTGGTGTCTGTCGTCTCTCCACCGGGAAGAGCATAGAAGCTGAGCACGGGCGGCTCATGTCAAATGGCCGCAGTTGTGCAGGAATGACGAGAAGCAAACGGGAAAACAAGATAGATACGAAACAGAAACGACAGTTGGTCAAACACTCATCGGCCAGGTTGGATGGGGTCCGGGAAAGCCTGAGAAAAATGGACATGGGCTGCTAACCTGCCAACTTGTTTCTGTCGGGAGTCCAGAAACCATCATACGAAAAATCGTGCGGCGAGGACGAGGCATAGAAGGGCGGTCCATTGGGCCAGGAGGGAAGTTCTCCTTACGACGTGGTCCACGTGCAAATTGCACGGTGAGCCGTTCGCCCTTAAAGTCACTGCCATCTAATTGACAGCTGTTAGAGAATTAAAGCCAGACTGGTGTTGGATAAGCTACATACGGAATGCTAAGCATTTCGAACCCATGTTAGCAGGTCAACGTCAAAAAAATAAACATAAAAATAAAACGTAACAAAGAACATACCTGGAACAACATCTCTAGCATCCATGGCATCCTCGTATTCGATAAATCCAAAGCCGTTCATAAGCTTGATCTCTGTGATCTTTCCAGAGCCATGGGTACTGAAATGTTCCTCGATATCCTGTTTGGTCACTGGGAAACCCATGGCGCCAACATGGGCGCCGTAAGAAATGTCAGCTCATTACCATCAAATATACAAGCAGTCCAGGGAAGTTTTGTGTCAGACTGTTAATGGGCAACCGGCAGTTGAAAGGTCTTCAGGGGAAGAAGCCGAACAAGAAGAAGCGAAATCCTTTCCCAGACGGATATGCTCCTGGAAGTACAACCGGGCAGAGCAGGAAAAGCGCAGTCACTTTTGTTGCATGCCATGGTCAATCGGAAAACATGGGAATCCAGCGGAACATCCTGACTCTGGGGAGTATGTTGACTAGATGGGGACAGAACCCTGTTGGAGGAGAAAGATGGATAAATGCCTGCATACCATTGCGGGGAAGATTCCCGAGATAAAGTCGAGTGGATGAAACTTCAGTCATGGTGGACAAACACAGCGCTGGTGGCTCTGTTTATTTTTATTTATTATTTTCTTTTCCAACACAGGAGTAAGAGAATAGGCCCCAATAGTGGATGGATTGCTAGACAGCGAGATATTTCCGGCCCCCGGACCTACGGTAGCCAAAAAAAAAAAAATATCCGGTCAAAAAGGAGAGGCCTGGGATCAGGGATCAAGCAGCGAATGGTCCTTCTGGATGGGTAAACCGTTGTTTGTTATTCCTGGTTCCCCGACCGGGAGATGGTCCAGAAGTTTTTCTGGTGGGCCTGGCTAGAAGAGGGACACTGGTACGCTTAGCTAGGTGGTGGCTTTCCGTGGGTGACAGCTCCGTAGTAGCAGAGATGGGAGAGAAGGTTTGTTTAAACCCCAACTGAAAGGGAGAAAGAATAAGAAGAGAAAAATAGAAGGAAAAGAAAGAAAGCGTTGAGCTAGAAGAAGGAAGAGAGGAGAGAGAATCAAGGCAGACAGAGAGAGAGAGAGAGAGAGAGAGAGAGAGAGGATTGACCGCCAGGCAAAATGGAGGACAAAAAGGCCCGTGACTTGTCTTTCTTCTTCTGCGCGTCACAGATCTGGTATTTAGGAGGATTATACCGTAGCTGCCAGAGCGTACTAACCAAACAGCTTTACGTTACGGTCCGCCTCACTTTTCTCTGGGCGGATCCACGTGGCCCCGCTATTTGCCAAAAAGAGCAACACACTCATTTTTTCCGTGTTCTAGTGTTTATGATAGTGAAGGTCGTCGTATCATATTCGAGTACGGAGTACTCCAGAGTAGGCATATACATACTTATATCTAAGACATGTCCGCAAGCAACTGGTGGCATCAAGTAGGCGGACCATGACAAGAAAGGCAACCCACGAAAGGCGACCCGTTGTGTCGTCATGTGGGGGTCATATGACACTGTCTGTAGAGGATCTTGTTTACTCCGTTCTGGAGAGTATACGAGAGACAGAGCCATCACCGGCATAGTTCCCATCCCGAAACATTTCCTTCCTGGAATGTTTCATCCGGTTTAGTTCTAGGATATTATATATCCAATTCAGGAGCCTTTTCCCCCCAGGTCTTTTTCTCGACATCATAGTGTCCCAATTCTTTGCAGTCCACGCTTGTCTGCCTTATCCATCACCAGTATGGCTTCTGCATCGATGGAACATACAGGTGGGCATCGAAATGGAAGAGCCCCAGGTTGACTCTCTGAATCTGCGATTTTCTACGGCAAACAATGAAATGCTATTGGTTGAGATCTGTTGTCACATATAACTGTGTGTTGCAGCATCCATTGCATGCTTTGTAGCAGGATAAATAACATTCAGATTACTCAGGTAAGACCTACTAATAGACTTAAGTATACATCTGAGTATTAATCCATTTGTGTATTGTCTTGATATTGATTGTGGACTTTACAGACTGTGCATAGGAACCCTGCGTTTGTCCACTCAAAGAGACGAGAATTGCCAGTAGCATTATAATACACAATTTTCCTTTTGTATTTCATCTACACAGTATATTCCCTTGATGGACTAAGATTCTGTCAACACTGGTCGAAACTATTCATACTTTTCTACTATGCCCTAAGTTTGGCTCACGATGGAGTCATACTTACACCATCATCCTCCATATTTACTTTATTCCGTCTTCCCCCCAAATCTTGCTGCTACTTCGATATCACCTTGACTTTCGGGCTATCTGCTACCCTTGGCCACCATGTCTTTAATCGAGCCAGTGAGTCCTCTTTTCCCACGAAAACAGCGGACAATAAAGATTCTTCTGGGTTCTTGTTCCTTTGTCTATGGAAGCGGTGCGCAATGCCATTGCCCTGCCGGCTCTCAAGTTACCCAAGCGGATTCTTCTCCCACTGGGGGACTCTGCGACGACTGTGGTCATCTCCTCTCCCGGCATCAAGATTATGGTACCATCCCTCAGCATATTCATGAAGGTGGATTGCACTAATCAGCCACAGCCGTGCCACTCTCCCGACTTTCCTCACCCTTGGACCAGGATATCTCACCCCGTACCGATACGGTCAGGAAGCTAGCCACATTATTAGACGAGAACCGAGTAGTTTTGGTCCGAGGAACCCCGTCGTCGGGGAAGACAATACTTGCCCGTCTTCTTGAACGGCATTACATAAAGATAGGTCAACCTGTCAAGGTCATAACGGGCTGGCATGACGCCCCTGATGCAATCACTCGTCCAGTTCATCAAGACCGAGGAGCGGGAAACAGTTATGTATACCTCGATGAACTCTTGCAGGCCAACACCGTGTTTATTGTCGACGAGGCACAAGCATCATATTCAGACCATGGATTGTGGCTATGCCCCATCAAGTCCCAAAGTAGCGGCGTCGATGGCCCGAGAATCTGCCTGTTTTCGTCGTATGGAAGCGCTTCCAATGGGTTTCCTAACTATTTTGGTGGTCAGACTCCGGTTTATTTCTCCCCGTCGCAGCGTATATCCATCACGAAATTCCCAGGCCCCGATGCCGCAGATGTTAGTCTCTTTTATGATGAGGATGAGTTCCAGGATGTAGTAAACAGACTCTGCTCCCGCTTCACCACAACCTTTGACATGGACGCCTCTGCTCGTGCCTACCTATACTCTATGACAAACGGACACCCTGGTGCTGTCGAGGCACTAGTATCATACATATTTAAGGCATGTGTCGAGGGAGAAAATCCGAGACATGAATCCAGAGCTAATTTTCGCAGAGTTATAAACAAGGGCTGGAGCACCGTATTATCCAGCGCATAACAGCCGAAGTTCTTGGAGAATTGTTATACGATGAAGCCCGCGTCTTCAAGGGCGTTCGCAATTCTTCAGTTTTCAAATCTTTTCCCTTACCGAAACAGTTAACGGAGACAGCCGTTAATGTACTCCGTAAAGTTCTGAAGGATGGCAGCGTACCATGCAACCTTCAAGATGAAGGAACCAGGATCTGCTATGAAAGGGGATGGTTGCACTCAGACTACATTGAGACTTCGGGCTCAGGGGACCCGAGCACTCTCTGCTTTCTTCCCACCAGACTACATGCAAAGTACTGCTGCGCTGATACATCTACTATGCTTATAAATTGAACTAACACACAACACAGGTTTGTTGAGTATTACCTGCACGTATCCCAACTGAAACCCTTCCCATTTGACCAATTTTCTTGCCTCGCCGACCTCTGCGAAGCAATCCTCCGACGGTTCTCTCGTGAACGCCTTCTTTCGAACCCGGGAGCAAAACAGTCCCGCGGCAATTTCTTCCAGCCTCCCGAAGCCCCCTTCCAAGACGAATGGTATCGTGCTTTCTCCTCATTAGTCGGCCACGGAGTAGGCATCTCCAGCAAATGGTCTCCCCAGGATAACGGCAGGGTTGACTTCCGCATTATCGGGCCTGCATGGGGAGTTGAGGTGCTCCGAGACGGCGATCAACTCTCTGAGGTCTGCGATCGATTCCAGGAAAACGGTCGTTATCACCCTTTGATAGCGGATGCTCGCTTGAAGGATTGGCTCATTCTAGACTGTCGACACTCCCGTCCGCAGAAATATCGTATGATACAAAAAACTCCCTCATCCTCACCTTCGGAAGCTGACTCTTCGCATCAGATGTACCGGGTACTAAGCTTTGGCGAGTCGTCTTCAAAGAAGACTACTCGTCGGCGTATGTTTTGGGTTGCGACAATTCTTTAATTGTTTCCGAGTTTCCGCTTTTGGGTTAACCTTTTCGCTACCATAATTGTAGGGTTGGGATATTGGATTCCAGGGCATTCCATGCTGGGGCGTATATCTAGCGATAGTTGAATACAATTAATCACTAATTCATCTTCTTACTATCACACACATTCGTATAATCAAATGTTCCCTTCGTTGAAGAAAATGCATAACTCAAATTGATATCTATATACAGGAACCCGTCACAACGTCGATCAACTGCTTTTCTCTTTTCCTTTTGTACAAGACAATCATAACAAGTGGGAAGGAGTCAATGTTAATTCCAAAATCAGATGGTTAGATAGTGGTAGTAGCAGTGGTCAAAAGGATGGGAGAATCAGCACGACGCATTTAATCTATTGACCAGCTTGAACATAAGTATGGATAGAGACGGGGAGAGACTAGATTTCAAAGGATATTTTATGTCTTGAAATACTTGGGACCCTCTCCACCCTGTGGAGTCTGCCAATTAATATCCTGTGTTGGCACCTTAATATCACAGGTCTTGCAGTGGATACAGCTATGACGAAGTATTAGCAAATGTAATTCGAAAACGGGTTGAAAAAAGAAAAGAAAACAAAACAAAAGAAAAAGAGGTTCACTTACTTCTGCGAATTAATTTGGAAGCGAACTCCATGCTCCTTGGTGGAATCTTCAACGTATTCATACACACCGGCAGGGCAGAATCGGTTCTCCACGCCTTGGTACCGCGGCCATGCGATATCCTTGTGTTTATCCCAATCCTCGACCTGGAGGTGCACCGGTTGGTCTTCCTCGTGGTTGGTACCGGTTCTGCTCACGCTGGTCAGGATGTCGAAGCTGATGACGCCGTCCGGTTTGGGGTATTCGATCTTCTCGCATTCGGAAGCCAGCTTGGTGGCTGCGGCATCGGTGCTGTGGTGCTTGAAAGTCCAGGGGGCTTTGCCCTTGAGGAAGAAGGCCTCGAGCCCAGAGTACATGATCCCGCCGTAGAGGCCAAGAGGCGTATTGAAGGAAGGTCGCATGTTACGAACCTCGTACAGCTCCTTCCAGATCGACGACTTCCGAAGCGCCTCCTCGTAATCAAAGAGGAACACCGTCCCTTCGTCGGTATTCTGCAGCGCCGAGAAGGTGGATTCAGCCGCCAGCATGCCTGATTTCATCGCAGTGTGCGTGCCCTTGATCTTGGGGACGTTCAGAAATCCCGCCGTATCTCCGATTAGCGCGCCTCCGGGGAAAGCACACTTCGGGATGGACTGATAGCCACCCTCGTTAAGAGCGCGAGCTCCATACGAGATGCACTTGCCTCCCTCCAGGACTTCCTTAAAAAGAGGGTGGTGTTTCATTTTTTGAAACTCGCCGTATGGAGAGAGCCAAGGGTTGGGGTAATCCAGGCCAACCACCAGACCAAGGGTAACCATGTTTTCGCCGAAGTGATACATGAAAGCCCCTCCATAGGTATCTGCAGGAAGCGGGTAGCCCATCGAATGTACGATCTCTCCACGGTTGAACTTCTCCGGCTGAATTTCCCAAACCTCCTTCAGGCCGATGCCGTACGTTTGCGGTTGGCTATCCCGTCGGAGATCGTACTTCTTGATCACCTGTTTCGTCAAACTACCATGGCAACCCTCGCCAAGAAGAGTGACACGAGCGTGAAATTCCATTCCCCGCTCGAAATTGTCCTTAGCATTGCCATCTCGGCCAACACCCAGGTCATTAGTTGCGACACCAAGTACAGAGCCATCTGGCCGGTAGACCAGTTCGCTCGCGGCAAATCCAGGATAGACCTCAACACCCAGCTCCTCTGCTCGCTCGCCGAGCCATTTAGTTAACTCGTTCAAGCTGATGATGTAATTTCCGTGATTGTGCATTTGAGGCGGCATAGGGATGGGGATGGCCGAGTTCTGGGTCAAAATGCGCATCTTCTCTTCGCCGGCCGGCGTCGCGCCCTCAAACCGCGACGGGTTGTCCTCCGACAGCCAGTCGGGCAAAAGCTCGTTGATTGCGGTGGGTTGCAGCACATTGCCCGAAAGAATGTGTGCACCCAGTTCACCCGCCTTTTCCAGTAAAATCACGCGGAATTCTTCGTTCCCGGCTTCGTTGGCAAGCTGCTTCAGTCGAATCGCGGCGGCAAGACCGGCGGGGCCTGGGTTCCGAGGAAGGGAATATAGTTAGTTATATGGAGTTCAACGTAACCGAGTGCGATTGGAATGGGGAGGGTCCCTTACCACCACCAACGATGCATACATCGACCTCATCAGACTCCCTCTCCACCTGTCGAGGATCAAAATGACCATTTTCATTGGTCAGCTTCCTCGAGAGGGACTGCGAAAAGGCCCGAATTGGGTGGTGCGTGCGCCCCGGACAGAATATTGCTGTGCGGTAAGCTGACCTGCGTCCCGAGGACAGGAGTGAATGATTCGAACTCCGTGCCTGGTTCGCAACAGTCGAAAAGGAAGACGAGGCCCATGAGAGCCGTGAGGGAGCAGGTCGTAATTCACACCTCAAAAGAGGTAGCATGGCTCCCTTGGAGGCCATGGAGTATATGGAAACGAGAACCGAAGGGGACAGACAGGCGCAAGTCGTAGGTTTCCTATTGAAAAGGCATCGGCACGGCGGACGATTACTGTGCAAGAGGCAGCGAGGAAGGGAGTGATCGAGATAGAATAGACTGCTAGTTAATAAATGAATGCGGGATCAACTTCTGGGAAGGGATGACTAATCCTCCAGGACGGCGGCCCGAGGTTACAGCAGCCAATGGGAGGCGCGACGATTGGGAATCAGTCATCGTTCCGCTGCCCATGATCCGTCGCAAACCGATACAGCCTATGAGCTACGTCATTCCGAAAGGAAAATATCATCTCAATAGTTTAATCCTGGAATTATATCAGACATTGAAAATTTATTGATGCATTGTAGACATACACGGATACCCCTGCGTAGGTTTGGGGCTTGGCCAGTAGAACCACACATGTAAGTACGAGGATATCACATGCTTCACAAGCATGATTTATTGCATGTATGTACAATGTCTCACTGGCTATTCATGTACTCCGATCTCCTACCTAGTACTCCGTACTGTACTTAAGATCTTATATACCTGCAAGGCCACAAGCTCTGTGTACAAAAACCAAATCATAGGACCACGTCGACCCTCGGAAGGGATGCGGATGACAGCCCAAAGGACCGATAAATACCGGAACAAGGGCGGAAGGTATGCTGGGATACCACAATGGCATGTAAAATACCATCCAGAAAGCCCCTGATCAGTCGCAGTCGATTACGTACTCATGCTCAACAATCCTCGGCAGGATAAAGTGGACTAATATTTTTTTTTTTTAATATTGTTTGTTTTATTTTCCTTTATTTTCTCCTTTTTTCTAAATTCACTACCATCATGAAACATGACGATATTCTATAAAGAGAACAAATCTGGTGGATCACAAGCTGACCAGGATCTGGGGAAAGTCGCGGGTGCCACCATAGCCAGACAGCGCGTACTGACACCCAATCATCGACGCGACTTCTGATCTATACGGGCGATAAGCTTTATGCATTTAGTGATTTTGACAACTCGACTTGAATGGTTGATAAGGTAATATCATATTCTTCCTCGGGCGCCAAGTAAATACGGAGTTGCCTACAGAGGACTTGTATTTTAGATCTATCCAACAGAATGTAGTTCAAATTCGATGATCAGTTGACAGATTAAAAGAAAGGGAAAAAAAAAAAGGTCGTGTGGAGATAAAGAAATATGATACTCCGTATAATTTTTATATTCCGTCACGTTGACAGAAGCCAAATGGAAAAAAAGGACAGATGGGCAAAAAAGCCAACTTTTGCGTCCTGTTCGTTTTGGCGCTAAAGCGGCGAGAAAATGACCGGGAACAGTGTGATTGGAGCAGATGGAATGCATAGACTCACGAGTGGGCCTGCCTATCAGTTGCAGGAGCGACGCGGACTGGACGAACCCCAAGTGGCTGCAACCATTGCGCCCACCTGGAAAAAATGGTAAGGGGGCAACAGCCAAACAAAGCGTGTTCATCCTGGTGGGGCTCCCAGACAATGCACACTGGGTGGGTCCAGATTCCAGCGAATCAGGACCATCTTCTGGGCACCCAAGAGCCGCTAGTAGAACGCTAGTGTGCAACGAAGCAGCGAAACCCATGGATCAAGGCGACCGCCCATCGCTGCTTTTGCCGCCGCCGCTGGGCCCAGCCTCCCTGACGCCAGCACCCCCAGGCGCTGTGACTCAGCCTATATAAAGGCCCAACCTCCCACTTTCCTGACCTTGTTGGAATTTTTGATTTTGGTCTTGGCACCGCCCGGAACGCCATACAGTTGCCTTCTTTCCCGCCCATACCTTCCTCCCCCTCCCCTCTCCCTCTCTCCGACCAGTTAGCAGAGCTTGGCCTTTTTTGAACATCAAAAAAAGCATTCTCTGCTTCTGTCTGGAGTTTTCGAAAGAATTCCGGGAAGAAATCTTAGGCATCCCCTCCCCACTCCATCCCCAAAGAAGACCTACTTCGAGGAGGACCTACTCCACATCCAACGTTTCATTTACTGAAACAGGAAGCTTGCTGCCTTGATTCTCAATCAGGTGTGCATCTTCGCCACTCTCTTCTCTCTCCCTCCAACGCAGATAGACATCCCAAAAATCCAAAAAGGAAAAACTGAAAAAAAATTTCATCCAAGCAGAGTCATCATCACTTGTGTTAATTGTTTCCAACTTGCGCCTGTCCTTTGCCTTTTGCCCATATAGCTGTGATCTTTGCTTGAGTTAATCTCTCGGAAAACACTTCGCTGTGCTTTTCTGGTCCTTGGTCCTGTCCATCCTCATTGTCTTGTCAAGATCCTTCTTACCCAACCTGACATTGAGCTTGGTTCTGTTTCATCCCCAAGAAACAGTTCGTTGAACAGAAGGCAGCATTGCTGTAGGGGAGACATTGACTTGTCCATCTCCCAGAAATCGGTATGTTGTCTCTTGGTGGCCTGTGAGGCTGCCCCTTTTTTTCTTTCATAAGAATTTGTCTCCTTTCGCCGCACTCTACCTACATACACCTTCACAGTTGCTGTAGGCAACTTTGATTTTTGTCTGTTCAAATAAAATAAATTCATTCACTTTCAAATCATCTGTGCTGCTTGATTCTCACCTCTGTGCCTGAACTCTGTCGGAATTCACCACCTCACGTCCCCTCGCTGGGGCCTTTCTTTTCCGCTGGCGTTACTAACCTCTCTATCCGGGCACATAGACTGCCACTCTCTAGCGTTCTACTTTCTCAGTCTTGGCTGGTCTACAGCTCGAGTATCTGATATCGCACGTCACGATGGATTCTCTCACGACCCATCCCTCTACCGCGCAGCAGGCTCGGGCCTTCACTTCTCCCGCCTCTCTGTCGTTTCCCGGTGGTGCCGGTGATTTGACTCCGCCTTCTGATAAAGATGGAAACATGGCGATGGGTGCCCAGGGCGCTCAGAGTGCGAACGGAAATGTGAACGGCCAGCAGCCCGGAGGCAATGCCGTTAGTGGCACCGGGGTGACGCCCGCGACTCCAGCTGCGACTCCAGGTGCCAACGCTCCGGGGAGTGGTATTGTGCCAACGTTGCAGTGAGTATACTCTTGCTGTTTCTTCTGGTTTACCAGAATACTGAACATGTATCTTTTTTTCCTTCTCAAGGAACATTGTCGCCACCGTCAACCTTGACTGTCGTCTGGACTTGAAGACCATTGCGCTTCACGCAAGGAATGCGGAGTACAACCCCAAGGTATTACCTTCCACACCTCCCTGAGCTGTCTACATCAGGGTACAGTGTGGCTGAACTGCTTTTCTTCTTTCTATTAGCGTTTCGCGGCCGTGATCATGCGTATTCGTGAACCGAAGACCACCGCTCTGATCTTCGCCTCGGGAAAGATGGTGGTTACTGGTGCCAAGTCGGAGGATGACTCCAAACTGGCATCCAGGAAGTATGCACGTATCATCCAGAAGCTGGGTTTCAATGCCAAATTCACGGATTTCAAAATCCAGAACATTGTCGGCTCTTGCGACATTAAGTTTCCCATTCGTCTGGAAGGTTTGGCCAGTCGCCATCACAACTTCAGTTCTTACGAACCTGAGTTGTTCCCCGGTCTTATCTACCGTATGATGAAGCCGAAGATTGTGCTCTTGATCTTCGTTAGCGGGAAGATTGTCTTGACTGGTGCCAAAGTGCGTGAAGAGATCTACCAGGCTTTTGAGCTCATATACCCAGTGCTTTCAGGTACAGTCTCTTTGTTTCGATCCTACTACAATCACTAACGTGTCTTGAAGATTTCCGCAAGGTTTAAAACTTGTGGTTTGGCATGGGGAGATCACGTTCATCACAAAACTCTTTCGCCTCTTCTGAAATGTATTAACAAAAGATTTTTCCTCCGTCTTTTTTTTTTTTTTTTTTTTTTTGCCATCCTGCGAGGCATGTACTACCAGCAAGGCAAAAACGCTTCAACCCGTTTCGTGACTACCTTTATCCTGGAACTCGCACCACTTGACGATTCTTGATGCTTGCATTTGTACGGCGTTTTAGCGATTCGGCTTTTTTTTCAGTTGGCTCTGTGCTTCAACAAATTCCTAAAATGTTTACAATTAGATAGTCGCACACCGCAGTTTCAAAGGGGGCGGTACTGTGCGCTGGTCGATGGTTGCCTCCTTCTAATTACTTTTTCTATCCTGCTTTCGCTGAACGGCTGGGTCATTTCAGTGGTTCTTGTCCATGTAAATGTGCTTTAGTCTCTTTCAGCTGTTGGCCACTCATGAAGTCCAGGGAGGGTGGATCAGAAGGGGGAAAAAAATTCTTTTATCAAATTGTCTTCATTAGAGATTGAGAATGAATCCATAGGATTGATAGGATTGATGCATAGTTGGGTTCCAAAGAACGTGGCTTGTCTCATTATTTCTCTAGCAGAAAGTTAGAATGAGATATACCGCCATTTTCGATCGTAGACGTAACCTACGTGGGATTAAAGTTGTATAGGAGATAGGAGTATGTATGTAGATGTAAGTGGTTATCGATTCCCACAGATGATCTTATCTCTATAAGTAGTTGCCGAAAAATGTTACTCAATCCGGGATGATCCCCATATATGCACATGTCTAGTTATTTATATATATACATATAGTGGTATATATGTATGTACATATGTACGTAACACCGTGAATGCAGAGTCTACAGGAGGCTGCTGCGTTGCATCTTTTGCGTCTTAGCCAGCTCTTCCATCAATAGCAATCCCTTCGGTCCTGATCGGCTACCGTCCTCGGTACCTTTGAATTCGGCAACGTCCACGGCTGCAGGCCAGGACCAGAGATCCCGCAGCTCAGGCTCGAGATTGCCCTCCAACGCATCGACAACCTTGTCGCCAATCACAGGGAAGAACTTGTATGCGTGTCCGCTACCACCGGTAGCGAGGAAGAGGCCGGGCTGATCTGGGTGGTAGGTGATGATGAAGTCACCCTTGGGTCTAGATTAGATTGGGCAGCTAGTTAGTATCCTTCCTATCACGGGAGATCAGGTGTCTCACGTATCGGTATACCAGCATACTCGAGTGCCGGAGAAGGGCCGGTCCACGAAGGTGGGGAGGAGCTGATTCAGCGCAGAGCGGAAGGCTTCCTCACCTTCGCGTGGGATCGGAGCCCCAGGCTCTGGTAGACTAACGTCCATGGTTGCTGCTGTTCCTCTCTGATTGCCTGGTACAGGAACGGGAACGGAGATCGGGTTGTGGTAGCCATAGGCATGACGAGCTATCTTCAATAGGTTATTCCGCGGTGGAATGATGAAGATGCCGGTGCAGAAGTTGAGAATGGTCGGCATGTGTTCCAGTCGCCGCTGTTCTTCGTCGGAGATGCGCATGTACGCGATCGCTTGTCCCGTCGCTACGACCCTGCCGCGGAGATCCACCAGCTTCGATGTCCACGCGCCAGTAGCAAGGATCACTAGATCCGCTGTTATCGAGGCTCCATCCGCCAGGGTCACGCCGGTGACCTTGCGTGGCGAGCTGGGATCCCCGTACAAAAGACTCCTGACGTTTCCTGTCTGGAAGGAGACCTTGCCTGCCTCATCCAGCTTCTTTTTCGCATATCGCACAGCTGCTTCAGCGTCCGACCAGCCTGAACCCCAATTGACGTAACCGCCGGCGACGTTGAGTTCTTCGCCGTAGGCTTGAGCGACCCTCAGGACATCTCTCTTCGAAGGCAGAAGCTCGACGTTCTGTCCCTCTAATTCCTTGACATTATAATAGCTCTTGATCGTGTATTCCTTGCCCTGTGCATGACCGTCTGGGTAGGCGAGTAACAGTCCATTCTGTGTATAGCGACCATCGTGTCCCCATTCCGTGTTCCGCCAGCGTTCAATGGCAGTGGCGGCGAGTTTCGCATATACAGGGTTCGAATAGTCGGCGCGCACGATGCGCGAGGTGTCGACCGAGGAGCCTTCGGGATTGGGAATTGTGGATGACGCTTCTAGCAATGTGACATGGCTGATGGGGTGTCGGCGGGACAGAGCGAGAGCCGTGGACACTGGAGGTGCGAAGGATTGTCAACCAGAGTCTGGTAATGGGCGGACAGCGAATCTCAGACTGAGAGTAGGAGAGACATATAACATGATCCACGTTGAGTCATATGGAGACCAGAGGAGGATCGATCACTCACATCCAAAGACCCCTCCACCGACAATCAGTATCTGAGGTGGGAGAGCCATTGCGAGAATGGGACGTGTGACGGCAGTTCTGGTTGACGTCGTCAGATGGATGGGATGAGAGAGAGAGAGAGAGAGAGGAAGAACTGAGGCCATTTCCAGTCAGTTAACTGAGCCCGTGACTTGCATGTACGCCCTGCCGGTCTTGGCATTCCGATCTTCGGCTCCATTTGGATATCAAATTGTCAACCAATCGCTCAGAACTAAATCCTCTACGATAATACATAGTCCTATGCCTCCACCTTCATTTCTCCAGCCATGAGTGCATCCCGTGTAGGACGCGCCGCATTGAAGAAGGCTAAGATGCCTATCGCCGCCTCTCCAAAGACGGGTGGTGGAAAAATTCCCGTTGAAGGTCCAGGGTCAGTATACCTTATTTCAGCCCCGCTAGGTAGCCTCGGTCCTTTCCAATAACTATTTTGTCTGACCTGTAAACAGAAAAAAGACCCCGGTAGCACCATCACTGCCAAAGCGGGCCAACCCGCATCTTACCAACCTGCAAATGGATCAGGCTCGCATGTCGCCCAAGGTCATGACCGTTCTCGGCGTCAGCGTCCTGGCCATGAGCACATACTGCGGCTATCTGTATGCAACCTACAAGCGAGAAGTGGCCCAGGCGCAATCGCTAGACATCCCCCGAGATGTATCAGACCGATACAATCGGACGGCGGGCACGTTTGATGCCGATGTTGAACTATCTGAAAAGCTAATGTGGTTGGGGAGCAAGCGAAAGGACCTGGTGCGCCGCGCACGCGGAGACGTCCTAGAGGTCAGCTGTGGAACAGGCCGGAATCTTGAATACTATGACCTCGGTGAGCGGAGGGGGCTCGATAAGCAGGGCCACGTAGGGGTACGAGGCTGTCGCTCCGTGACGTTCATCGATCTCAGCCCACAGATGGTTGAGATCACGCGAAATAAATTCACCAAAATACATCCGGTGTTCCAGAATGTGGTTTTTCGAACGCAGGATGCGGCGGATGTCGTGCCCCCTTCGACCGGGGCACACCCCGCTTACTACGATACCGTCATACAGACTATGGGGCTATGCTCAATGCCGGATCCAGTTCGCACCCTACGGCATCTGGGGACCATCACCGAGCCGCAGAGGGGGGGAGATCTTGCTATTGGAACACGGTCGATCACACTATGACTGGCTCAACCGGGTGCTCGACAACCTTGCTCCCGCTCATGCAGACCGACATGGCTGTTGGTGGAACCGGGATATAGGCCAGATTGTGCGCGAGAGCGGACTGGAGATAGTCGAAGAGAAACGATGGCATTTGGGGACTACGTGGAGATATGTGCTCCGGCCGGCACGGAAGGCATAGGGACGGATGAATCAAACTTACTGTTGTGCTGTATACTTTGACAAACTGTTGATCTTGTATTATAATCATCTATCTTAAGAGCATGCATATATATGCAAAAGTTTCCCGGGTTATGGTATAATGTAAGTGGTGGGCTAGGAACTAAGATATACTTCTAACTCAAGTACCCTAAGTCTAGTAGAAATTTCGAGAAAACCAAGTCTAATTTAAGTCATCCACCTGATGTTGTGATTCATACAGATGTCAGAAATGTCGCCTGGCCAGGTACCCAACAAGCGTCTATGGATAGGATAATCTTATTAATACAATCTTTTCAGGAACCTGATATAGAGGACTGGTAAGTTCAGTAAAAGTCAGGTGGTCGGTGCAGATCCGATCGAAGAGCCGATGAAGTCATGATGCTATACATGTGCAAGTGCCTGTGGGGTATCCATGATGGAAGTGTACCTATTATGTATCCCGTATTTTTGTACATGCTTCTATACAATAACTAATTAACGTAACTCCCGGCCGAGTCAATCGCACCTGCCGAGCTGTAATCAGCCGAGGCGACCATCCGTAGTTACGTTAACTCAACCACTGAGTCGCAGATACTACCGAACCGCAACATTTACATGAGGTATTTAAACACACACAAGTGCTTACTTTTCACTACCCAGTTTTCACTACCCAGGTTTCAAGAATGATTTATTTGTTGCTATGGTAAGTAAAGATCATTATATGTTCTATTTTATATTACTAAGCAGAACAGTATGGTTAGAAGAGCATGCTGAATTAGATTTTGCTTCCATCAGGCAACTTAATTTAACTTGTAAGTCCCTGACACCAGGCTGCTATCACCAGGCTCATTTTTAGGATGATAAATAGCAGCAGTTAAATCACATGCTGAGGTTGAACCTTTCGACCTTATTTAGTGGTACAAGTTATGTCAAAGGAGGTTATATAATTCTGGCTCTGTTTAATAGCTTTTTGAGCGATCTTCCTCTAAAGCAAGGTAGCCATTAAATAAATTATACTTGAAACCTGAAAACTGTCTTATCACAAGTGATGTGTGGAGTAGTCCCTTTAACTATTTAGCGAGTTCTTTATCGAACAGTCGGTATCTTATTTCCGCCAAATAGGAGCATCACCACTTTTCGAGCAGTTTGACGGGCTCGATGGCCTGTTTTATAGCTTTGCAAGTCTTGCCTTCACAGGCTACCAACATGTCTGTGGAGCACGGCTTCCAAATTCCGAAATCCAAGAATCAGGTCTCATCCACAGGCCATATCTGGTAGTGAAAGTCTTCAGCTCCTGGCACAGTCGGATGTACCAACTCAGATCTTTGCAACACACTTGTGTCCTATTTCCCCCTTCAGAATCGGTTCTTCAATTGCCTGGTAATTTGAGCCTCCGTATAGGTTGAATCTTTCCGGAGGGGGCGGTGATAGCATAGTGACCTTGTCGTCGCTTTGCGCAATATAATAGGCGAAAATAGCAGATACACCTTTCATGTATTTACTCCATTGTTTTTTTGTTTTAAATAACCTTAAACATCGCGGGTGATCTTGAACCATTAAAGGACCCATTACTGTGGTTAATGTTTGCATACCATGTTCATTTGCCCACTGCTGTGCAATTTTGCGAGGTACTCCGCTCCACATAACCTGACGGTCATGCTGCCAAGTGCTCTCGTGGAACTGCTGGCAGATCTGGCTAGCTTCCTCGGTGGTGAGATATTGGTGAATATAATCGAAATTAGACAATAACCAGAGACCATTCCGGGTCAGGAGCTGCTTGATAGCCTCTTAAGATACCTAAAGTTGGTGTAGATTGGAAATCATTCTGATGTAGGCACAGAATACTTCATGGCCCCAAGTACAGCGATCTGACCATTGTGTGTGGCTCAAAGTCTCATCAAGTTCATCGTTGTATTGTATGCCCACGCTCGGATTTTTTCGCTAAGGCTTGTGATGGGAAATTCAAAGTAGGGTGACTCCCGTTGTTAGGTCCCTAATATTGCTAATATTCCTATCCACAGGAAGCGCTCGATTATATAATTAAGCTGAATAAAGATCCCGCTTTAGTTGCCCAAATGATTAATTATTTGTATACACTTAACTATCAAGTGGGTCCCCACCTTTCTAATAGGGACTACTCCTTCCAATTGCTACCTGAGGAAAGTAAAATTGAGGTGAAAGAGGATGTGAAGCTTCCTGATAACCCGCAAGAGACTAAAACAGCCATGGTGAATGGGCAGGGGCCTGAAAGCTCCAAAGTAACTGACCCGCTTTCCTTTCACATATTGATGTATTCGTTTGCAGATAGGATGATTATAAAAGGGCTTAAGCACCTCTCGCGAAGGAAGGTGGAGCTAGACATGACTCAACAGCTGGAGAGCAGAAATTCATTTCCCCAGGCGGTTTTCGAGATTTACAACTCCACACCTCTTAGCGACAGAGGGTTGCGGGACTTGGCAGTGAAGATCACCATGGATCATTTACCTATATTAAGGAAAGAACAGGACAGGGTTCCTGCTGTTTTCGAGGACAGCCTTCTAAAATCGGTTCCCCAGTTCGCATACGACCTTCTTCTTGCAACGATAAACAAGACAGTTGACATCTCTGGCAATAGTTCTGCATTTCAATCTATTTAGCTCGTGTTTAGAGAACAGGAACAATAACTGTTCTCAGCCAACAGTGCTATAGGGTTTAAGCAGTCAAAAGCCGATGTTATTATACTTGATATCACTCGGACCATCCAGCCTGTTTCCCAACCCGTTATCCGGCAGTAAAATATTGCTTCTGGCATTCTCAATTGAGTCTGAATTTGGAGTTAGTTTATACAACCCCGAAATCAGCTCTGCCAATTTAATTATATCATAAATTCCTCTTTCCTCTTATGATGTATAGAGCAAGTCGCGCTGGAATTAACGGTGCAGGTATCAGAGCGCTTCACTCAGCGTTACCAAAAAGGCCCGGCAGAATGATGGCATCTCCAGCAAAATCTGTCGAAATTCTTTGCTATTTAAGAAAAACTTTCCATGGCGTATTGCAAAATCAAGCACTGAAGCTTAAATATCACTGTAATTTGAAGGCTCCCCTTAATCACCCCGGAAGACAAACTGTATTAGCTAAGTGATATCCCTAACTCGGGCTTCGTGGAGAGGGAATTCTCGAAGCATATGCAATATTTTATAGAGGCAAATATCACGTAATTCACTCAGATCGTATTAAACAGCAAAATGGTTGAGACGGGCATGGGTAAGGAGAGGCTCACTGTAGTCCTATCCATGGGAATACTGATGTTTGCCTCCATTAGATGGGAGAGCGGGCTGTGGATATATTCCCCTCACTATATAATCTGAAACTTCTTGGATAGATTGCAAACTCTCAAACATGTTTCCATTCAAATTACCAGTAAAGTCTGATTCAGTACGTGGCCATTTTTCATTAAAGCACGCAGGGGCAACATCGCGTGGTAAGGGAATAGAATAATCCCCTGTGCAGAGATACTCAAACACATAGGCAAAGATATCTTCAACAGGCTTATTGATCCATATCAATTTCTCAGGCGAATCGGTATCGACGTCATCCGCATTCTGGTTATTTGCCTCAGGGAACTCGGCGAATTTTAACAGTCCAGAGTGGAGGTATGCCACCATACAGCTTGGGCCGACTTCAATCTTGATGATCTTGGATTTGAAGACACTGCAACGGTGTTAGTTTAATAGACATTCTGGGATACAACACCTCCAACCTGATATCTAGTTTTGCCATCTTTATGAGTAAGAATGGAATACAACGCAAAGCGCACTTTAACTGGAATATTTGGACTCGTTTAAAAAGCGCCCGGGAAAATTGTACTTTGGAAAACTATAACGATAACGGCAGAAGCGAATAATCCAGGAAATATTTGTCAAGGAAGGCCAATGCGAAAATCTGGGGAGAATGTATTTATCGATGTATCAGGGCCTATGTATTTATAGATCCTACGGTAATGCGCTTAAATAGCTTTCCATTGAGCAACACGGTGTTGAATTGCTAAGGACTGGCTAAACTCTTGCTGGGATTTCATAAGGATCAAGAGGGTTCGAATATATTTCCCTCATCTTGGATGCGGGAGTCCTTTAACAATTAGTAGGCTTGCTTTCTTTAGAAACATCTTACTAGGGCTCGCTGTTGACCGACCCGCTCCCCACACCTGATACACTTTGGACCACTGACTGGCGACAACCGAGGAAGAATTTGCCCAAGGTAAGCCTGACTTGAAGGAGCGAGCCATCCTCAGTAATCCATTGTCGAGAGAGAATTAAATAAACTGGATAGACTAGAAATAATGGTTTTGTATGGCTGCAACAGCATTTAGTGGTATTCCCAATCCTCTCTTTTGTGAAGCCCGGCCAGCCACCACGACCCCCAGCAAGCCTTCCTTAAAGGAGCCATCCTCAATGGGCCTGTCACCCGTTACTGATCCGATTAAGCCAGAAGGCGATTATCATGGCACATGTCGCCAAGGCTAAACTAGGTAGCTGAGACGTGAGGGTCAAATGAGACATGCTTGATGATCATGCCCCCGTAGATTCACGTTCAACAGCAGGAACGGCCTTCACCACCTTGACATCGGGCGCTCTGCTACTGGTCTATGTTGATTCTCTAACCGCAAGCTTTTATTTGGATAATGATCCTCTAGGATCTCAGTGGAAAAGCTTTACATGATCTTGCAGAATCTGGAAATAAAGACTAAATATTGTCAAGTAGCAACTTCCATCTTCTCTCTCATAACAGATAATCACAACCAGCCTTCCTGGATAGAGCTGGCATAGGGTCAATTTTATATATACAATGAAAATAGATTAAACTCGTAGATATGTGGATCTCGGGCCGTAGGGAGTATTAGTCCCGCGATATAGAGCTAGTAGTGTGTTCAATCCGCAGCAGACTAATAGTAGAAGGCTGGAGGCCAGTCTGGGTTCAGGGACCAGGTATGTAGGCCGACTGGGAGAAAGAGCGAATGTTCACAGGCAGGGGACCATGAGCGCAGGGCGTAGATCCAGCGACAGCAATCGCTAAGCAGAGGTCAGCGACCCGAAGGCTGGAGACAGGGAGCCAAGTGCATGTGTCCAATGATCACAGTCGCTGAGCAGAGATCAGCGGCCCGACAGCTGGACTGGCTCGAGGGCCGTGGCTCTCAATCCCCCTGGGCCCTCGCAACACCAACTGGTGGCTGTCTGGGCTTACAACCTGCTACGGTCATTGCTTCATTTATTACCAAATCTCCCTCAAAATCCACGAAGATTGTGTTTGCCCCATCCTCAATTGCCGCATCGTAGCACTGTGCTGGGGTAATCATGCGCAGGTTCTTATTGTAAAACGTTGCCCCACGGTTCCTCTCGTCTTTCCGAACCAGTCGCTCTACAGCGGTCGGATCGGATGGGTCCACGACTAGTTCGTGGATCTTTCTCCATTCACCATCCTTGCCTCGAGCCTTGAAGGCGATTGTAACGGGTGCGACAGGTGCCTTTCGCGGTAGTTCCTGTGTAACGTTCGTCCGAGCGGGGCGCGCGACAATATGAGGAGTGAGTATTTTCTGATTTTGCCTTTGTGCCATACTATTTGTCCCGGCAGGAGTCCTGGAACTGATGGGGTGTAGGTCTACTTCCCTTTGTTTTGGCTCAATCGATGAAGGGTCCTGCGATGGCTCGGGGCCCGCGGCCTCTATTTGCTTTGATTCAGTAGCGCTGTCTGCCCAGGCCGCAAAGTCAATTTGAGTGACCACCCTTCGGGCTCGCTCGCGTCTATTGCCAGGATCTGTCAACAGCCCAATCCCCTCGCTCGTAAACATTGCCTTCTGGTTGGTGCATCGCTAAAAAGATCTCGACCCGTGCCTTCAGGGAGAAGCTGGGACAAGGGTTCCTTTCCAGAATCAAACATAAATTGTGCCAGAAATTTCCCCGTATAAGTGGCATTTCACCTGGAAATATGGTGTACTAAATGCTGATTGCACAACTCTCATATAGGTTGACTCTCTCCTTCTCTCTCACTCTCACATACACATACATTTGTTTATACACAATCGGGCGGTTGCCCATCACACATGAGCCCATCCGTTCCCCACCAGGACCTGCATCTCGTCGATCAAACAAAATGTCGCAGGCTCAAAACGGGCACCATGATGTCTCTCCCAGCTGGTGACTCTTCTTCGAATGACCCATTTTTTGAAGAACAAGTTTGTGGTCCAGCGTCGAATTCGGTTTTCCCAAAGGGCCAGCGCAACATTGTGCAGCGAGATCCACGCCGTATGAGGATGAACGGCGGCGTATGCCGGGGCATTATAACCCACACGAGCTCTAGGGTTCAAGTAGACGCCTTGTGCGGAGGAAAGAGGATTATCTGCATGAATTAGGCAACATTCGGAGCCCTCCAAATGGAGTTGCGCCAGAGAATCGGGTATTGCGCGGAATTGCAACGGGTGGTCCGATAGAAAGGGGGCTATAGGCATGATTACTATGATAGTTTTATGGTCAGTCCAGTGTCCTTGAGATTCAACAGATCGAAGTAAGAAAAGAGGAAAAGACAAAGCCTGCGTACCCATACCGTTCCAGCAACTCTTCACCGGTACAGGAGACATAGCGAGCAGTGCATCCCGCGAAGTTGCGCTACGGAAATAAGGCCATTCTTGCATCAAAGTCTCATCTCCATTAGAATCACGCAGAGCAAATGTATCATAGTAATGAGGAGGCTTAGAGAAATCTAAAGCGCAAGCAGCGGCGTAAACACCGTTGTTTGTGTTTAGCAACGAGATCACGTCGTCCACCTGTGTCGGCAAGCCAATAAGCCTATATTCTTCATTCGTACACATTGAGACACATACAGTGAAGATCACATCATTTAGAAAAAGCACCTTGTCGAATACTATGCCGTTCCGTGCCAGATCCTCCAAGGGGCGTAAGGTTAAATTGCGCAGCCGAGCAAGATAAGGTATGCGTCTCAATTCCTTTTGGCCACGGGGAGTGTCGATCCAACCATCACCTAGAGGACCTGAGATCTCATCCTGGTGAGTTATCTCAGAGAGTGTAAGGTTTCGCCGTACGCCTAATCGATCTAGCTCGCAGTCGAGATCCCGGAGCGCTCCCTTGCTGTCATCCCAGCTCCCGCTTTCAAAAATGCTCACAAAAATATTCTCCGGGCCCCACGTCTTTACTAGTTCTATCATAGCATTATTCCAATGGCTCCGAAGGATAGCCTCGTTGTTCCAGTGCGTACTAGCAACAAATATTCGCTCGAAGTGGTGTGCGGGAGTGGACGGAATACGATCCACAGCGGAGGCTCGGTGCTGAATGAAAAGCACTTCCAGCGCTGTCCAGACACACAAACATGTTGACAACCCTAAGAGAAGACGGTAGTGAAGTCCACGCTGGCGAACCAGTCTACAGCGTGTGAGAGGGCCCAGCATGACTAGACGTTTTGAAAGCATATAAAGGTGTCCATTTACACCGGGAATTATAGACGAAGCGAATCCTGGCAAACTTCATTAGCGAAGAACCCTTGTCAAATACAACCATAGCCTCTCGTCGAGTAGGTCTCCAGCTCATGGCAGCGCCTTGGCATATGTGCCTTTCATATTGGGCAGCTGGCTTGGTGTCGGCGCGCTATTGTGGGGGGACTGAGGGATTTTTTTTTTTTTTTAATTTAATTTAATTTATTTCTTGACGGTATGGTGTACGGAAGATCTGTAAGACTTCCTCTGGGAGCCTCAGATGGCAGCATAGCAGCTGTCATATTTTACAGTATACACGTTCTAAATGATCTTTGATGTTTTAGAAAACCGTGTCAGGCTCCCGTTGGCCCTGCAGCGATGATGTAGTTGCTCCTGAACCTTTAGACAACGTCTATCTAATCCGGGTACCAACAACCCCTATTTCAGTGTCGATAAAGCAATCACTCTGGAATTCAATGTGAGTCAATCACGGATGCGCAGGTCAGGTAGATATTCCAATTGAGGCTACGGCTACGGTGGGGCGTCTGAAGCAGGAATCGAATTTGAGTATAACTGTGCCCCGAAACCCGAATACTGATTCAGCATCAAGTGACCAGCCGGTTCGGATCTTGTAACCTGGCTAGCTCCAGCATAAGTCGGTACATATATATGGTCAGGTCAACGTCGCGGAAGGCTTTGGCAAACCAGTCACGACCTTGCTCCGCGATTTCTTGAGCTCTTCTCTGCCCAGTCTTAGTGGACGTAAGGTACCGAACGATCTCAGGAAGCTCTTCCATACTTAGACTAACTGGAACATAATGAACCCATGGCCTAAGCCGTTCATCATGCCACTCCCGTAGCAGGGTCTGTTTCAATGGAACTGACTTGGAAGCAAGAAGTTTATAGTACCGACCGCTGATACCGTTGCCATCTATATCAAACACAAGCCGTGATCGAAGGGGTTGGTCTTTATCTGCCCACGACTTTATCTTAAAGTATGCATGCTGATCCCTACAGGATCTTCGCCCGCATTGAAATATCCGAGTAAAAGCAACATTAAAAAATCGGCCGTTAATGAATGACGACGATATTGCCGGGCTGATTATACCGGCATTTTCTTGGAGATAGGAGTACTGAAGTCGCTGGAGGTTCTGCGCCAACTGGACAAATCGTTGTCGATGGAAGTACTGCCACTTCTCATCTACAGCAAAGCCACCCGTAGTAGAGCCTGCCCAGTAGAGATTGTTCTGCTTTTTATTCCAGTCGATATCGGGTGTATCTACAGTATATTTGAACTCGTCCTCGTTATAGGCTGGACTGGGATATAGGATATCACCCATCGTCGACAGAGAACCTGTGGAGAGGACCGGCACTGCGCCCTCAAATAGATAAAAAGATGTGGGGCTGATAGTCAGACCATGCATCGCGCTATACTCGGGATGCTGGCAGAGATCGATGGCCAGCACGGGATCAGTCACGAAGGGGAGGGTCGGCTTTTTCGCAGTGTGGGTAGCCATCATTTCTCGGGAGGAGCAATATTTCGTCAGTGTATCCCACACCGACCGCCTCGACAGATCGGTCAAGTTGAAGCGTTTACTGCGAAGGCTCTCTGGTCCTCGCGGTAGTGGCATCAGGACTCTCGGCTCATCGAGGTGATTGATAAGAAATTTGACGTCAGGAAGAACACCGGCCAAGCTGCTCATAAGGTGGTCAAATGAGGATTGTATGTGTCTGTCGAAAGTGCGGCCCGGATGACTGCAGTGAGTCTTCGCCTGTTGACCAGAAAATGTACAGAACCACACTTCACTATGCGACGTACGCATGCTTTGTATATCATCCATAATATCACGAATATCTTGCCCGTTTAAATGCCAGAATGGTGAAATAGCTTCATAGATATTGTCAAATTCATCAATTATCGGCGATTGATGCAGTTTGGCAAACTCAAACCAGGCTTCAAAGCCGGCTGGCGGCTCTATACCGTATCGACGCCGATATTCGTTATGAGCGACCGTGTAATCTTGGGATTGCTTCTGGAGTAGGGTGTCAAAGTCTCTCCTGGCATTGTCGATTAAAGCTTCGATCGGATGCTGTCCAGAGATTGTTGGAGACTGCGCAACCCTAAGAGTGTCGACAAGGTATGGGATAAGAGGTACAACGGAAAGCACCCAGAGAGCCGATCGGGATTTTGCTTGCCCTGGGAGCATATAGATAACCTGGCCGAGGGTCAGGAGCGACGCTATAACATGTAAGAAAGCCTGAGCATCCGAAGAGAGCATCAATAGATTTCGTGTAGATATAACACCGAACAGTCTTATGGCAACAACAGTACGCCAGGAACAATATCGAGTCTACTGACATGGTTAGTAACCCCTGCATAGAGTTTTTGATGAAGAGTGCAACATACTATATCTATGAAGAAATACCAAGCCGAAGCTTTTACTGACCCCAACATGAAGATGGATGCTATAGGCTGGCTTCGGGGGAAGCCAAAGGCGACCGTCTCCGCACCAAATACGATGACCAACAGACTCACCACACGCAGCGCAAGGGGGCAGATGGCGGCTTCACTATCCAGGAGAGGAACGCACCGAGTGTTTCGCCTATGCATCAGAGTAACATAGATACCGAGTAATGCAGCCACTGGAATAGCGGAGAGCAGATAACCTTGAAATCCCCAATCTGCTAGAGTAATCATAAGAAACGATGCAGCGACAGCGGTACCCCATACGGTATCTACTAAAGGAGTAGAATACTGTGGATCGGATCCCGCAGAGCCACCAAACTCAGAACCCAGATACCTCTCTGCAATCAGAAGCAATGGAGTTAAGACGGGCTATTCGAGGTCAGCCTCGGAGGAAGGGACCAGCCCTAGTTTCCTCGACGTGGTAGGGTGGCTACATACCAGTACACCAACCAAACCGTTCTCTGCTTGGTACACACCTAGAGTGGCAATCCCTAGTGCAACTATCCATAACGACTTTCCAGACTGCGGCTGAAGGTCTGGTTCGCTCAAAGGGGACCTCGTGCGGATCTTGTTAGTCTTGAGTCGTCTTGCCATTCCAGATATAGTCGGCAAGATCACCCAGGCCAGGATCTCTGAGCAAAGCTCGGATTTCCTGGAGCCCAGACACGCCGTCCATAAGCTGCACAGCAGGGCTGCCCCTGTTGACCTAGTGAGCACATCGATATGGTGGAATGATGGTGGCCGCATCGTGTACTTTGGGATAAACTCTCACAGGGAGGCGAGGGACTCTAGTATGTGGCTCAATCGCCAGGTCTCATAAAGAGTAGGGACAGCATTGACTCGTTATTGTCGAGCAAATCCCAAGACACATGACAGTGCTTCGTAGCCACACAAGACCCTGTTCGTTTCTGATCATTTGACTGGCCCGGTCAAACCAAAGCCGTCGGGCTTCATCCACTCTCATTAATACCCTGGAAGTGCCAGGGTTTCATGGTCTGAGGGTGTATATGATTATACCCTCTATCTCCAGCAAGAGCGCCTCACAGTAGTAGGTATGGAGACTTAGAGTCTGACTCCAACTCTCGGTGTGGCCTAGAAGTGTTCCAGTTAATGGAGCGAGTTTCCTGTCCATACTCTTAATCTGGAATATGGATATGGGTTGTTTGAAGAGAACGTGGGGAATGCTGGGAGGGTCAAGACAGATTGAATCTTTTTCAGGAGCGTGACCGGGAGTACCTTCGGGATGCGTTCAACTGAGTCTAGATGGTTTGCCATGTCTGATACCAAGAAGACATGCATAATTAATTAACTAATTCCTCCGTATCGACTGCTAGAGTATTTACGATATAGTAGAGCTCCTAGGGGCAGGGATCGGAGATTGGATCGCATTTCTTTCTAGCCAATTAGGGCCCAATCGAAGGGTCTTCCACGGAAAGAATTGGAATCATTCATCCGAAGACTCCGAACTAAGGTTCACTCCGCCACATTAGAACTAGCGTTGTTTTTTTTTTCTTATACCAATTGAGTTCATTATATTAACTCTTCTAAGGACCTAATTCTAGGGCTTTAGCCTTGGCTGAGCATTGGATTAGTATTAGAAACTGCGAATTATAGGTGTGTGGCTTAATGTAGAACGCCGAGGCTTGGTAACAAACAATCCCAAGTACTGCCTGCTGTATCTATCCAAATTTGATACATGCTTTCGGCCAGACACAAGTATAAGTTTAGTTGGTGACGAGGGACTCTCCACCCAAATATTGACCCCAGGTGAGAAAATCGCTCTGACGCTATAGAGTACCTGTATCTACAGACTCACAAAGTACAGAGTCCAGTCTTTATGGAACCTAAGAGGAGAAGAGCCATATCCCTGGACAATAATGAGAATCTCAGACACATAACCACGTCTCATAAGAAGCAACTCATCTCTCAGCCAAATGCTAGACTCTAGAGGCTTGGCGCCATGATGACCCTTGCCATCTACTAAACAAAGCCATATCTCGGGAGATGAAGGGAATACTGTATCTTGGATCCATCATTCGATGCTATATTCCCCGCAGTATATATTAACAAACGCCATCGAGAGAAGGGTGACTGGTGGCATGATGCAACATACAAGGGCCCAAGGCCAGCTGCTTGAGGGGATTCAAGTTAGGTCTTACGTCTGACATGGTTATGACCACTTGTACACGCCAACAACTTCATGTCGTGACATAGAGCCCTGTAAATTGTGGTCTATGGCCGCGTGGCTCGCCAACTCCGTAAGTCAAAGGCCCGAAAATGCCAGTTCCAACAGTTATATAAACCCTCGCCGTCCGCTGCTGCTTCTCTCGATATAGTTCTCCAGTCCCATCAATCGCTCATCTTCTATACAACCTTAGAAATTCCACTAAAAAACACTTAATTCTTTTCTTGGCCAGTACATCTGTCTTCTTCACGCCCTCCAAAATGCAGTTCTCCTCCATTTTTACCATGGCAGTTGCCGTCATGCTGTCTGCTCCCACCCTGGCTTGCAAGTGCTTTGTGAACGGCAACCAGGATGTCGGTAGAACCCAGTCATGCTGCAACTCACTTAGCGGTGTTTTCCGGGGCGGCAATGACTGCCTGGCGAGTTCGATCTCGGAACGCCTCTCGAACTTCCGACGATGCTGTGGTGGCCAGTCAGATTGTGACTACCCCCACCTTGCTGAGGGCGCAGCTGGGCTGGAGGAGCAGGAGTTTGACCACATCAAGACCATTGTTGTTGCTGCTCCTACCCCCGCTGTCTAAGGAGGGATTTGCTCAGCTTCGATCAAAGCAGCCCTTCGTCTCTCTATGACATTGCTCGCGTCTAACAATCAACCTCGGGACGAAGGCCGTTTTCGAAGTTCGAAGGCTCCCATGTACGTCTCTGGCTATACAACGAGGGTAGTATAACATTCTTTGTCACACTGAAGGGAAAGTGATATTAACTGGGGAACAAAAATTTGAAAAAAAGAGGGAGGAAGGGAGAGAAGGAGGGGGGAGGAGGGGGGACATGGAGTGGTTCTGGGACTGTATGGAGCATTGGTGTCAATGTCCCAGTTGCTGTATATTGTCCTAGGCTTGGCTGGTGAACCTTTGGTCAATTGTTGATGGTATCAGTAACAAACCCTGTATATACTGAACTTTCAGTCACATAGGTAAAATCCGACCTTAGTCATTCTTTTGAATAGGACATACTAGTATTTTGGTATAGCGTAGTGTCGCATAGCATAGACTCTTCTGTAAAGAATCTGCTTTGGCAGGGCAGAAGACCTGTCAATTAGGTGAGAATCACTGATACCAAATAGTGTAATTGATACTAGTATAATCCTTGAGGAATCCCTTCCGATACCCTGGGGGTTGACACTTTTACACCCGGGTAGTGTAGGGTTACATTCCCAAGTCATGATATCATACAGCTGGACTGGCTCGAGGGCCGTGGCTCTCAATCCCCCTGGGCCCTCGCACCACCAATTGGTGGCTGTCTGGGCTTACAACCTGCTACGGTCATTGATCCCATGTATTCGGTCCAATGATCAGAAGCCTATATTATAGATATGTCCCTAACGCCGGCGTTTGGCTGCGTGGTGGCTTTCTGGTTCCAGTTCCTCTGCAATCGACGCCAAGGTTTCTTCATTTATTACCAAATCTCCCTTAAAAGTCCACGAAGATTTTGTTTGCCCCATCCTCAATTGCCGTATCATAGCACTGTGCTGGGGTAATCAAGGGCTCCCAGCTGATAAGAGGTTAAAGTATTGGCTGTATAATATAAATCTAAGGAGGCATATTAAATAATATATTAAGAAGACTGAATAGCTAATGACTGATCCTATATATGATTACTTATATTCATTTATATTGGAGCATGACTTCCGGTACTATCTATATAATATATATAATCTAGCTGATGGAATTTGGAAAACTGGGAAACTAACTTTTTTTCTTTAGAAAAAAAGAGATACCACAATAAAAGTAACTGGAATAGAGAAGAAATGTTTTCATGAGGCATACCTCCAAAGTTTCCCACCAAGTTATTCAAGAGTACAATGAGATGATCCAGGATACAGCATATAATCTTGAGGTCCATCTGCAGCAAATTGACGAGAAAATGACGTAACTTACTATCTAAAACACTAATCCCTCAGCCATAAGTACAGACCTGGAAGATGAGAGAGAAGTGACCAAACAATGCCTTCGTGTTTGTGAAGACGCGAAATCTTATATCGAATCCTTGACGAATCGAGAAACTCATCTATTGCAAGGGGAAGGGTCGCCCCAGACCACTGCTGAATATGATATGCGGCAATTCTTTGAAGCGCAGCTGTTAACACGCCAGGCTCTGTATGAAAATCGGGATAGCTTCGCACAGATCATCAGCCGCCTTGGGAAACGCCTAGAGTCCCTGGTCCTGAACGGGGGACCATGGGAATGACAATGAAAGACTGCGACTACAGGAAGATACCAATACCCCGAAGCAGTGTCTTGAAGTGTGCAAGGTGGCTAGTGAAGTTTCCCGTCAGAAGATATATAGAATTGGGGAGGTGACTGCCGATGGTGACAGCGATCAAGTAGTGGTAACTACTTTGGCGGATTTATTCGATATCAAGAAAGCTCTGTCTAAGGGCAATTCAGCGCAGTTGGTTGGCTCAATGACGGATGAGTCTCTTCGGCATCTGGCTGAGAAACGTTATACTAGTCGTTTTGGAGCTTTAGCCAGTGACCTCGACTCTATTGAAGCCGGCACCACCAACTCGTCTTCAATCTTCGAGACTCCAAAGAATAAACATGCTTTTTCGTCTCAAACTCCTGGGCCGGAAACAAGATGTAAGAGGCCATCCTCCAACGAGATGAGAAAACGGGCAACAGGCGGTGCAACAGGCTAAGGATGATGTCAATGAAATCCCAATTAGATGCTCGGCAAGGTAGACTGCAGCGCTAAGCCTTCATCAAGGGCTAATTTTCGAGGCCTAAGGTGTGTTATCCACCACCATCGCCTATTTCTATTCTAGCCACTTTCCGCAATGCTGAAGCAGCTCCTCAATGGACCCTCAAAAAGAGGAGCATCGATAGAGCCTTGAAAAATGTGGGTCGACACTATCATTTCTTGAGTATATGCCGGAAACATTTGATACCGCTGGTCACGATGGAGCTTGGCCATCTGTGAGGGTGTTACACCAAGGGAGACCAGCATACTCTTCTAGAGCCTATACTCTTATTACATGGAACTTTGTCGAATAATATAGGGTGATATGAGGAAAAGTCTGAGATATAGTGAATTTATATGTTATATAAGTCTGCATTACGCTCTTTGGCTTTTTGGTTGGCGGTCTTTTTAGACCAATGTTGACATTTAAGGCCACGACTGATGCTGCATGTCATTATTTATCCCTGAATATCATCCATCTAATTGGAAAGGTGCCATCTTATCAAGATGTAAAAAGAGATTTCTATAAGCTGTTTACAAAGAGCTTTGATCATCTCTGGTAGGAGACGACGCGTCTGAAGTAGACAAGGAATTGCGACTAGCATAGTAATAGTGCCTAGACCGACTGAGATCGTTGACTTGTATCCTGCGATAGTGTCTATAAATTCATTGATATCGCCTTTCATAAATTCCATCTTTGTCCAATCTCGAAAGCCTGTCTTTGATTTTCCGTTGAAAACTTTCATCGATTGCTCGAACTCGTGGCATATTTGACTGCATCGACCAATAGGGCCTTGAAGAAGCGCCAACATTGACGACTCAGCATTGACAGCTTGCGTCAAGGAGTCCAAAATATTGGTGAGGTCCTCAAGCTCAACTTGAAGCCTACGTAAAGTTTTATTGCGATCTTTGAAGCGTTTGACGGTTTCATAGAGCGACTTTGTAGACTGAACGGCAGCTGTAATAACAGCCAGCACTGAGGCAGTAATGCTTAAAGGATCCGCCATTTTTCGATATATGCTGCTAGATCTCCACAGTTTTCTTTGGTAAAGCCGTAGCAAGAAATAAGAAAAAAAAAATTAAATGCTTCCGGCTGAAGGAAGGGTAGCATGGGTTCAAATACCAGCCTCAATTTAGATCATGTACTATAAGGAACATATGATTGGCCGATGTTGGCGCCGTGGCTGTATCAACGGGGATCCCATCGCGCTATTCTGAGATGCCGCGGGGTATTTCGTACCTTTACCATGAGTTGGAAGGGTTTGGTTTGCAGCAAGCAATTTCGTAATGTTGTGCCTCATGTGGGTGATGCAATATTCACAGATCATGTGTAGAAAACTGAGAACGGTATTGGCTGGAAAAAGTACTGGAACAGAATGATTGGCCATTGGCTTGTTAATGTAGTAAACTTTGCCCAGTTGAAATTGAAGGTGGAGTCAGTAGAAGTGTTGAATGGTTGGCACTGGGACCATATAGTATATTTGGTTCTGTATTTTCCAGAGTTACTAATGTAAGGTACATACTAAGCCTGCTAAGAAGGGAGAGGAGCAGCGGTATTCTCTCCTTGACTATTTATCGTTGCGACATGAAATATTCTAGACTATTTCCGTAGAAACTCATGGAAAGGTAAGTTTGGGGCGCTCCGGAAGCGCTCCCGGATCAGATCGTGGCCCAGGTATGTGGGGTGGTCATGCTTGCAGGTAACTGGCGGTAAATCTGATAAGCATAGCGAACTGATCTCCTGATCGTGTCACGTGAGTTACTTTCTTTGTTGGAACATACGGACGTCCTACGCCGCCTGCCCCTATTGGTCGACCTCGCTTAGTCGTCATTTAGTAAGCTAGATAGTTTAACGTGACCGATCACCGAGCTGCGCGGTCCCCACCAAACTGCGCGCTTACCAAGTAGATTTTCAAATTAAAGGTCATAATAGACTCAATGCCCTAGTAAATAATGCTGTCTTAATTATATAATAAAATCGCTTTATTTCGTTGAGATATTAGTCAATTTATAGGGCTGCTTTGTGTGGGTGCGCAGCTCGGTGATCCGCGCAGCTCGGTGATCGGTCACGTTAGATAGTTTGGCCGTTCCGGCCACCCAATCATATAAGCATCCATCGCTTCCAACATTCTTTTCTGTTCGCGATATTTCAGAACGTCAACGCTAGTCTGTCTTTCTCAAGCTGAAAGTCTTTTCTTTTGTGTTCTATAGGTCTTTTAGCACATAATCCAAATGAAAGTATATGGTTAGAGTAAGCATAGCCTAGTAACTTCTACAGTAGCAGAGCGCCCGATGTCAAGGTGGAGTTAAACATGAATCTAAGGGGGGAGGAGGCATGATCATCAGACATTTCTCTATTGATCCTCATGGCTCAGCTACCTAGTTTAGTCTTGGCTATATGTGCTATGGTGATCACCCTCTGACTCAGTCGGATCAGTAACGGGAGACAAGCCCATTGAGGATGGCTCCTTTAAGGAAGGCTTGCTGAGGGTCGTTGTGGCAGGCTGGATTCACCCGTTGTGCAGCTTATGAGTACACAGTAGATAGTCACTCTCAGACACGTTAAGCTTTGAAACAATAGAGAAGATGGAGATATTATATAAAAGTCTGGTTTAACTATACAAAATTCTATTGCGATCAATTCCCTCTTGTGATGGCCTCGTCACCTTGGGTCATGTGATGCTGGTTTCCCCGCAACTAATATTGTTGTTTGATCCATCCCTTCTTCCTCTCCTCTCCATGTTTGATATTCTCGTCGAAGAGCTACCTAGTTAGCGGGAATAGATTCATTTGTTATATGAAGATCTCCTGGCCTAGACTGAGCCGTGACACCTCTCCACAAACTTCGGGCCCTCTGGAGGGATTTATATAGCAGTAGAACTAATAAACTCTGTCTTGTACAGAAGGATTCAAACACATGTTATACTCGGGCCATTATGGCACATCATGTTATGCATATTTAGAAACTTTATCTGCTGACAGCCCACTAACTCTCAGTCCTTCAGTCTTATTGCCTGATAATACGCCCTAGTATCAGAACACTTCCGATGTCCTACACGGACGAAGAGAAGACAGCTCAGATGATCATGCGTCCCTGTTAACAGAGCTGGGTAATGCAGAACTAATTATAGTTAAGACATCTACTATATTATATTGTACTTATACTTATTCCCACCCAGGAGCTTGAAATCCGTGAGCAAATGTTTAAGAGAGGGAATTCCGAAATACAACATCGCCCTGATCGGTTGAGTGTGATCCACCAGCATATCCTTATATCAAGAACCATGGCTTGGCCCACTACGAGAACTGGTGATTCTCGAGGACCTGAGTCACTGAATGTTTCTACACAAGCTGCCACATAGCGGCACATCTTTCAGGACTGCAGGGCCACACTACTCTGATCCTTGTTTTATATACAAGTGTTTCTAAGTAGCGTAAAACAGTAAAATAGCCATATCGGGGTAGTTGTGCGATGACCTTTCCCAGAGGTGACCAGGAAAACCGATCGGGAATAGGAATGAAGAAGTGGGGAAAAATTGAGCTTTCTTGGGGGCCAACTAACATCATTTCCCCCAATTTCACTTGTCACGCTTGTCACGCTTGTCATGCTTGTCATGCTTGTCATGTGGTGATGCATTCATCCATATAAGGCTTGATTCATTCCCACCCCAGGAAAGGGTCGGATTTGCATGGTAGGATTGTGATGATCCTAAACACCTTGATAAATGTATGTATTGTATCTAAAGTGGCGATCCAACGAAACATCAAACGTAGAGAAGAAAGAAAGAAAGAATTCTATCATACGGGAACTGTGGGATTTTGTGTTGTTGGATCGGTTCAACAGTGAATGAAATAGTCGTAGTGCCTCAGGCAGGGTTGGACCTAGGCCCTGACAAGTAGGGGTATCTATCTGAGAGGTAAATACTAGTCCAAGTCTATCCAGCCACTCTGTAAGTGTCACTGCGAGTGTGGTAACCCCGTTGAAGTGAGGGCTGCCATCTACTGTGTAGAAGGTTAAAATCACCGGCAAGTATAGTTGGCTGGGAAAAATAGGATTCAGGCAGGTTCATAAGTGCCTGTACGGCCTGATTAGGTCTGATCAAGTTAGCCCCTGTCGGGGCCTTATAGAGGTTAAGTAATAAGGCAGATTGCCCTGAGCGTGCACAGATTTGGAGTATAAGAAGGTCTGACAAGGTCCCTTGGTCTACCAGCTCTGGCCGAAGCTGGAGAGCCTGTATTCCCTTCTTTTTTCAAATATAAGTGAGGACTTGTGGCCGTCCGCTTGTTACCCAGCTATCTGTGGTGTCACGGGCTACGCCTGTATGTTGCTTGGCTTCACCTTCGCTGCAATCGACACATATGATTGGTTCGCTTATCGCAGTCACATGACCCCTTGTAGTATGAGAACGCATACTTCTTTCCCTTTAATACTTCTTCCTTTCAGCGATTCCTCTTTGTGTATATCTAGTTATTAGATAGCAAGGCATTTCGCCCCTTTACAGTATAATATGCTATATGCATGTGCTGTTGCCTCGTAGGAGGGAGGTTTGTATACATAGTATCTCCAGTTATATAAAGGATCGAGGACTGTGATAGATATACTCCAACATGGATAGATATAAGAGGGCTCCCCTTAATCCCTGCCTATGGAGTATCACCCCTCCAGCAACACAACCACTGTTACTATTCATACCCTGTAAGTATGACGCAGGTAATAACAGAAAAGACATGATTATGTGCGGCGTTTAGAATACTTATAATAAAGTGACTAACATTGGGTATTTAATTCTCTCAAATATTCACACACTGTAAGAGTACAACATGAGATCTTCGCCTGTCAGACTTATTACTTGGATTATATCCAAGGACAGTTATTTGTGTATATCTAGCCCTCTCTCTTATCTCTCTCCTTCCACATCTCTCATCCAAATCGCATCTCTCACTACCTTGAATTTCTTATGACCACTACCATCTTGTCAATATTTTAGAAGGGCTGCATGGCTAAATAGGGACCTGGTACCCCTTCAGTTCAGTCAAATTTATCAATAAGTCTTTTGTACCCATAACCCGACAAAATTTCAATACTCTACATCGAACTGGGAGAGAGATTAAACATATCCACTTCTATCTCCCACCACTACATGATGGAGCCAACTACTGTCACGTCTGGCCCTCCTCCCAACCACATTCTAAGAGTGTTCTCTAGTCTCAGAGTCGTACGTGTTGATGCCCAACAAAGAGGATAGAAACCAATATATCCTGTTGCTAAGTGTTCCAAAAGCTATACGCGTTCAGCTTAATAAGAATCGTAATATACTTGTTCCATTCAGACTGGTGTTTGAGGCAAACACATGCCTTATTAAAGTAGTACCATCAGATGCTCAAGACGGCACCAGAAGTCACATTTCCTCGAAGAGACACATCTGCATCCGGGCTGGGATGTCAGACGATGACCTTGAATGGGCTTTGGACCGACAACTAACGAGTACTATCTTCAAGCATGTTCGTTTCTATATAGGCTGTGGAAATTGTTGTTGTTCTGTACGGGATGATCAACCGAACCCCCTCGGAATGCTATCACTGCTATGCATTTCGAGCGCGTACTGATGGCAACAACATGGTTTTATAGACCACACATTGGGACTACAGATGAGAAGACACTAAACCTAAATAGGAATGCTAGATCCATTCCGGTAATTCATCGAATATGGAGTATGCATTGTTTCTAGGCAACGGAGTGCACGGACTACTCCGCGTAGGGATGGTGATTGGAATGATATTGCTGTTTCGGAACCATTCCTATCATGTTATGGTTGATCCCTTGCCGTGTGGGTGATACATCAGATTGATCTTTGCAGTCCCACCATCGTGAAGAATTGAAGAATGATCATAGTTGATCAAAGTGGCCGGAGATCAGTCGATCAGTCAACAGCCGTGCCGTGGCATCCTGAAGTGGCGATTTGTTCCGTCTGGATTCCCTTTGTACATTTTTTCTTGACGGGGCATCCATTAGGGGAGAAACAAAGGCTAGCGTCTCCTCTGGTCCATCCGATTGGATTCCTTTCCAAACTTCTAGACGTATCGGAATTTGCTCCACTTACGCGAAGTTGATTGGCTAGAAATACTCAACGGCGACGCCAGGAAGGACTTTCCCTGGAATTGCTTTGTCTATGCGGGGCATATTGTATAAGCCTGATTGGTTTCGTTTTGTGTTTGATCCAGTTTTTGCCTCTGGGTTTTTGCATAAGTTGCTGCATAGTGTTGCACTAGCGTGGCTCTTTTTTTTTTTACACTTTGACTTTTCCTCCTAGGTATTGCTCCCAAACTCTTTGCTCCGCCTAAGGTACCATATACGCTGAATGCCAACCTGTCAACACAGCTGCTTCCCATGTACTGTACCATGGAAATTGGTTTCAGCTGTCCGTACCCGCCAATAATAAAAGCATTATAGTCTACAGAGTAGGAGGGTTTGGGCGTCTTTTTTCTTAGGTTAAGACTGACGGCGCATACTTTCAACACTTCGAAGTCGGTGTTGCGTGGATCGATATGTGCGGTACTCCAGAGCACATAGTCGGTGAGGGAGCTAGGTGAAGGTCGAAGGAAATAGCGCTGGACTAAGCATATATATATTTGGGATACTTATTGAAATGGCTCCAGATTGTTTGTTTCCATCGATTAACCACAGTAACAACAACAACAACAATACCAGCAACTCCGGTAGTTAACCGTCCGGCGTTTCTCTAGCTAACTAGCTAGGTGCTTAAAGGTCCAAGGAGCATGGACTAATTCCAATACTCCATCGCTAAGCAGAACTTCAGGATCTTAAGTACAGCCTTGTCTACCAATCAGACCCGGGGATGGTCCCGACTGGTCGTCATAGACACATGGCCATCTCCACCGTACTTTTTGCCCCTTTAAACCAGACCCTTTGGTGCATATGGAGTACTAATACGGAGAAGGAGAAGAGCCCACCAACTTGAGGGACTGATGCATCACACGCTGATAGTATGCATCAGAATCATGATAATCTACCTGGGCAGTAAAAGCGGTGTAGGGAGGGGTAATGATAATGAGTAAATAATTATAATCATACAAAGAAAGGAGCAAATAAATAATAAGCTAAAAAAAAAAAAACCACCAGAAAAATTTTTTTGCCTTTCCTTTTTCCCGACATTCCTGGAAGAGAAAAAAAAAAAAAAAATGGCCCCATCGTCAGAACGGACCAATCGCCTCCCGTATAAACCACCCGCCCTTTTTGCCATTCTGCTACTTTCCTAATCCTGACCCAGAAAAAAAAAAATAATCCCACAGCAACGGCGATTCCTCAAGCTCCCTAATCGACAGAGCCCCGTTTCCTTCCTCTCGTTCCTCTTTTTTATTATTATTTTTATAACTAGTACAATTCGGATTTCCATTACTATTCATTTCCCATTGTCTGTCCTTAGCCCTTACCTTTTCTACGGTTCTGACGACGGAGCTCCATCGGGACTGGCCAACGAACTCTGCTCTGATTACCCTTGTCCGTTCCTCGTCGTTCCGGCATCTCTCAGGCTCTCAAGCTTCATCGCTAACCGCCGCCGCCTCCTAATCCTCTGTCCTTTCTCATCTTCTCTGTCTTATTATTTCTACTACTATTATTATTATTCTTTTTATTTTACATCTGTGTTCTTATTATCCATCTGATTTCTGCCTATTCTCTGTTTCTGCTGTTTCCCCTGTTTAAGTTTTGTCTGGTTTGTTTTTGTGAGATTGCCTGCTAGGTTTCGATTTATTCTTACTATTATTGCAGTACTACCTAGAACGTCGCTACCTACTCCTATTCTTCCGCCTGTATTCTATCGATTCTACCATTTCCTCTTCCCACCCTGATTTCTCCATCTCTCCCTTTCTTTCGCTCCCACCTCATTTATCCTTATTCCCTCGCCCCCCCCTCCCTTCTCCCCCGCTATGCCTTATAATACCCGTCGCAAGTCGTTGTCTCTTCCGTCGCTGGGTATTCACCTCCCTAGCGCTTCTCGCCGTTCTCCATCCACCTCAAAATCACCACACGCGACCGACGACCAGCCACATCATCCCTCTAAAAAAGTAAAGAGGTCGCACGACTCGAATTCACAGTCGCCAGAGCCTTCCCTTGCCTCCGACGCGCCCTCCACGAGCGTGAAGCAACACTTGTTTGGCGGGCGCTCGACTGGTCGGCGCGCTATTTTCGAACAAACGCCGCCGGCATCGCCTATTCACGGTGTCGCCCCCAAAGTCGATACGGAGGGCATCAACGATGACATCGTGGTCGCTGTGATCGAGCAACTGGAAAAGACGGGAAATCGCCCACATCTAGTAAAAGAGCTTGCCGCCGTTCTCGTTACTCTAAATGATAATGTCGCAAAGTACGTTTGATTCCTCAAAATTCCCCGTCGGGTTTCTGGTTGGTCAACTGCTAACGAGTTGTTCGAATAGCTCTGCAAACCCTGCTGCTCTATTGTCCTCGCGGCTAAGCACATACATGAAGCGTCCTTGGACAGCCCTGGCGCCTTGTCCATTGAGCAAAGAGCTCATCCGCATCCATCCTCGGAAAGTGTACTATTACTTGACCACGTCAGCTCGCCAACCTCTCCCTGAGAATTCGGACGATGCCATTATCCCCGGCGTCGAAGGGAAACATTTCACTCCCAGCGTGTCCAGTGCAGACCTCGACGAGGAAGACGCGTTGGCGCGGGAGCGGTCGCGTCTGAGCCCTAGCCCTGAGGTGGACCTCTCGTCCCCGGACTTTGAGACCGAAGACATTGATTTGGACGGTCGCGCCGATCCCAACAGTGTCGCAAGACACAGCGGTGAATTTCCCGACCATTCTCATCAAGCGCGGTTGTTGCATTCGAATCGCGCTGCCTCCCCGCCACTGGAGGGCGATGAAAAGGAATTCACTCTGACTGCTAGTGCTGTTCGCGAGCGGGCCTCGGAGCAAAAAGCTGTCCGGCTTGAAACGACCAAGGGCGCGTTTTCTGCGCTCACCGAGGGTCTCAACGAGTTGGACGATGGAAGCATGAGCATCTCGGAGACCCCCATCGATGACAGCTCGCTGTCGTCCACCAGCGGGGACCGGATGTCGGACAGCCCAGACACAGACTATTTTTCCCAAGGAGGATTCTCGGAACAGCCTTCGCTTCAGGAACAGTTGCAGTTGCACGAAATGGATGAGGCCGCCGTAGTCACTCTCTTCGGAACTTCACCCTCCCCGTCCCTCACATCCGTGGCCTCATCCCTCTCGTCTGGAACGAGCGTGGCCTCGGATGATGGGTTGGACTCTGAGGATCGCTCTGGCGCCATCGGTAGCACCCCCCAGATCAGCCTTCCTGAGGACCCCGAGGGTGCGTCAGTCTCCACATTGAAGCGGTCCATCGACATGTTGAACAGTGAGCTGCCTGATCTTGACATGAAAATGTCAGATCTGGCCGAGCAGGAGAGCAAACTATCGTTGGGCGCCAGAGACATCATGAGAGCCGACATCGAGATGGCTTTTGATGACTCGTGGAAGGAGTTACAGAGTCCTGAGACCGTTGGAGTTCATGAGCTAGACGAGATGTTTGGCGAAATCTGAGAACATTCTTCTCACCGGTTGGGGTTTGCCGTCAACTGGAGTCTTGGATGTTCTGTTTCCTCTCCACTCAAAATTTTTATCTCTCTTCTCCCTTTCGTGACAGCTCTGTGCGTGGGAGACGCGTGGCTTGTATGTCTGCATGATGTTCTATCGACACCTCGCCTATCCCACTCCTATTTTTTTTTAATCTTGTACAGTGCGATCTAGCTAATGCGCGTTTTGCGTTTCTCCCTGGCCCAGGAATAGAATCCTGGGCCAAGTATCCGTCTATGTACATATATACCTCCTGTTTTATCTTTTTTCTTTTCAATATCCCTGGTCAGTTTTGGATATATCTCTGCTTATTTTTTCTATTTTTAATCACCCACAAAATGTCTTTCCAGTGGAAATTGTCTGGCTGAAGAGGGGATTGATTGATGACGCAAATGGCTGACAGATGGTTTGAAGCAACCAGAGATAAAGGGAAGAGAAGGCGAGTGCCTGATTTTTGGAGGAAAGGAAGACTGATTGAGTTGATGTTTGATGCCTGTGAATGTATGCTTAGCGCGCGAGCTCTTTAAAATCGAGACTCTTGAGTCCTATAGCAATTACCTGATAGATCTTGTAGAGAAGTAGATATCCTGCTGGTCAGTAGCTCTCAGCCTTTGCCCTCTCCGTGTTCCGACTTGCTGACGATTCACCCCAGAGTCTGGCGGAGTGCAGCGTTGGCTTTTCGATCGTCCATATCTCTCGCTGAATATGAAGAACACTAGCGAAACCACGGCCGGTATCCTAAGCGAGGTGCAGTACAGGGTTTGCTAGTATCTCTACACCTCCGAACATACGCTTGGAATTATGGCTGGTCGAGCTTCGTGCATTTCGGATGGAGTTTGCACCACTCCACTGCCTCTTCCTTTCGAGGAAAGCCAGCCCAAGTAGGGCGATGATCTTTCTTTCTACGTGGACCTTGCTGTAATCGTGCAGGAAATTGCCAACCGAGTGTACTCGCTCGATTCCACCACCATGGTGCCATGGGGTCAAACGAGCATCGCATGGGGGAGCTTAGGTCTCGGATCGATCGACCTTTGGTACTAGGGCCTCCCGCGGCGCTCAGCTTTACATGAAAAGAGGGCCAGGGCCTGGATGTGTTCTGTGGGGAACTCTTCCTGGCCCTCCAATTCTATAGCTCATGGATTACTCTGGGCCGTTCGTGTCTGTGGTGTCGCCGCGACAGCCGCAGAAGGGGCCTCACGGGAAGCCAACAATCGGCCACGAGATGGCGGTGACGACCCTCGAATCAGCCCATCGGATGCTTGACTTGTTCCCGGAAACACTGGACGCTATCCAGCTCTATCGGACCTGCCCGTGGTGATGCATACTGCATTATCTTGTGCAGACATTCTCGAGCTCTCCCCTGGCTGCGTTCATATCCCGGAAGAGGAGCACAAACTCCTGCAAGCGTTTGAAAAGGGCATCCGCTGGCTGTTTGCGATGTCCCAGTTCAATCTGCCTTCGCGACGTGTGTGGGAATTATGCCATGATGGTCTTCAGCTCATAGCACTCGGTATGGACTGTGATCTCAGTGACATGCCTCCGTTTGACGACGACTTCGAATCCCATGAGCCTCTCATACCGAAAAAGCTACGACAAACCATTACACATGCCTCCGGCGCACATCGCAACTGCTGCAGCGCCGATTGCTGCGTCTGCGCCATTCCAGGAGCCAGTGAATACACGGAATCCACCGTGGATCTGGTGGCTATGATGCACGCTTACCTGACTGAGGTCAACGCTTATTTCCTGTACGATCCGATCAGTGGAGAACTTAACTTGTCATTCTTCCCACCCGCTACCGATGAAGAGTTGTGGGATCAGGGGTAAGCGTGGGTTGTATCATGTATTTATATGGTTGTGTGTCTGCACATCTTGTACATTACGTGGTCTTCTATATGATTCTATATGTTTTATACCTTGTTGCAGATCTGGATCCGATTTATTGCGTTATCTTGTTCTTTTCTGGTGCCATGTTAATTTGAGGCCGTCGATAGAGAGGAATCGTGAGAGAAAAAAGCGGAGTTGAAAAGTTCGGTGGATGGAAATTGTGGTGTTTTCTTTGAAGAAATGATGTATTAGATATTTAAATATCGAGGGATTTAGATGCTCCCTTAGTTATAGTCTACCTATAACTGTTACATAAATAATATAGACCTGATAGTAGAGTAGTTTAATTATCGTGTACAGGCTTGCATATCCTAAGTCCACAGTCCAGTACGCTGATTGGAATACATCTATCTATCTAGTTGGAGTCCCGCAAATTTATCCTTATCCTACAATTACTGCACCGTTGTTTATTGTCTTGATTAACGATAAAATAGGTTTATTTATATACCGATACTCAAGTATCCCACATTCTGTACATAACTGGACTCTCCAAATAGTCTCTAAAAACTGATACCGAAGAAGAGAAAAAGCCCAGATGGGAAAAAAAAGAGGATATATACAAAACATCAGAGTCATAATGATGTGAAACTCCAGAGAAGAGAAAAGGACGAAAGGATGTAAAAAAGGCTCGTAAGTGAAATCAACTCAACTCCTCCTCATGCAGATCAGTGTATACATATACAATAGAGGATATAGAATATAGGATAGGATAAGGATATACGAAACATGATTATACCCCGTCCTTTTGTTCCTGCTGTTTCTTCCTCTTCTGGGCTTCTCTCCTCTTTCGATAGAAATGACCGCCTACTTCGCGATTGATTTCTCGACGACGGAGTCCGAACGCTTCGAATCGTTGGATGCAGAATTCCAGGGTGCCGGTGGCGGGGTTGTCCAGGGAGGTGGAGGAAGAAGAAGCGTGGTGGGATTCGTGGTCGTTGTATTCGGAAACGGCAGCCTGGGCGATAATCCGGACGGTGTTGAGGTTGGGCTGGATGGCCTTTTTGCGAACCTGCTTGAAGTAGACGGCATCGAAGTGCGGGTCGCCTTTGGCTGGGTTGCGCTCCTGGTTTAGATAGAGACGGGAGATCCCGCCTTCTTGTAGACGTCGGTGGGCGGGCGCTTTGATGTCCAGACACCATTGGTTCCAGAGGCGTTTACCGGCTGCGCTGCCCTGCGTGTCCACGACGGCTGAAAGGAGGGTGTGGAAGGCTGTGGCGGGAATGTAGGGCACGGTGGTTCGGGTGGTCGCGGCGTAGAGGACGTTGGCAGTGGCGGCGATGTCACGTAGAGCCCCCGGGATGGAGAGGAAAATCCGACGCAGGCCATAGAGTGATCGTGCCTGGAAGGTGGTGTCGGTCTGAACGTGGGACTCGTTGAATTCGCCACCAAGGATGCGTAGGAGAATAGCCTTGGCTTGGGCGAGGCTCTGCTCCTGACGTTCTGCTGCGGCTGGATCCTGCTGGGGCTGTTGGAGGGCGTGATCCATTCTGATGATCTCGGCGGCCAGTGTCGTTACATTGCTATGGCCCCAGGATTTCAATCGGTAGTCGCGGAGGTATTCCAGCATCAGTACCACGCGGCCCCACTGGCCCATTGCGATGCGGAAGTTGAGCAGGGCCCGTAGCGTATTCACCGACAGGGGCTGCGCGAGAGATTGCACGACGGATTCGCACAGCGCACTGTTCTTGGTGGCAGCGGCAAACCGGATAATCGAGGGCGCGAGGGCCTGATTTCCATACGCGCTTCGAGAGACTGCGGGTCCATCGATGTCATCAGAAAACAAGAGCCACTCGCCGAAGGCAAACGCGCGCGACACAGTTACCAGGTCAAGGAGCTGCGCCAGAGTGACGGTTGACAACTGTGGCATCGAGGCCTCGAAGGGGTGGAGCGAAGCGAGACTGCCGGCATCCAGGGTAGGGAGGTGTTGTATATCGGGCAAGCTGGAGCGCGAGGAGAAAAACTCGCCAATGCGTCGCATCTTACTGCTATCTACCACTTCCTGGAGCCATTCGAATGCGTTGACGGCATCACCACACATGCGCTTGGACGAGTAAGATCGGATGTTGTATTCAATCAAGCCGGCCAAGGCCCAGCTTTCATTGTAGATCTGCGATGGGCGTAATTGCTCCATATCCTCTTCACTCAGACAGCTAGGGTCGGCATCCCAAGGTGGTACCACATGAGGAGTGGCTCGCAGAAGCCCCTCAAAGGCTTGCGGGTCAGCCTCCGGGTTGAAGCCTCTGGATTCGAGGGCACGGACGGTGAAGCCCAGAGCTTCCTTGGTGGTGGGTAGCAGTTGTTCACCGGTCATGGACGGGGTTATTGCGAATCGAAGGGAAGGGACTTGGCGCAGGAGCGCGGTGGTTGATACGCCCCTGTAGCCCAGGCCTAGATATATCAGATTCGGAAGATTATCCAGCAATGATGCGGCGACCTCGAGGCTGATGGTTCGCTTCCCTAGCCCATTGAAGGGAGCGGGATTGGCGCGTTTGCGCCGCGAGGGAGTAAGATCTTCGCTGGCGGGATGGCGCCAGGATTCTTCCAGGTCGATGTTGGTCTCCCAGACGGTCCCGGGATGCTGAAGAAGGGGCCCCCAGCTTTGAAATTTCCATGCCTGGTCACCGGTGCGACTCTGGATTTGATGAACAAGCCATGCGCCTTCCTGGATGTGTCCATGCTCCACACAGCACCAGAGAATAAACTCCAACCAAACTTCCGGGCCAAGTTCCCGGATCCCCATCTTGAAGGGAAGAAACGGAGAATCCTCACCCGCTGCAGCAGCCCGAGCTGCCACCTCTGCCTCGTGCATCAGCCACGCGGCATCCGACAGGACATTCATGATATGTGTCGAGAGGAGGTGCATTCCCGGGGGCCGGAACGAGGTCTGGTGCATGGCCGGAGGAATATATTTGTACACCCGATCCGATACAGCGCCCGAATGATGGAGACGGGCAAGGATCCGAAAGACATATGACATGGCCACCTTCGACTCATTGGGCGATGCTTCGCTCGCATCAAGCACAATCGAACCCAGGCTCTGCCACACCTCCGCCATCAACCGTTTTGAGTGGTCATCCGCAAACGGTCTCTCTGTGAGCGAATCCAGTGTTGTCAGTTCCGAGACCGACGGCGAGTCGGATCTCGGACGGGGCTGCGGAGAAAAGGAGTCCACGTCTTGATCGGTGAGCTGATCTAGCGAAACATCGGACCCATGACCCCAGCTGTCATTCGAGAAGGGATGACGGAACACCGAGACCTCATCGAGCGCGTCGACCGTATTGAGCAGACGGTCCATCAGATGATCCACCGCAGCCCAATTGTTCAGCCGGAATCCGAGATGGGCCAGAAGGTCCAGATTCCCCGACACCCGTGCATGGAAGAGCAAATTGTTCAACTCAATGGTTTGCGCAACTGTCCCCTGTGTCGTTGGCGTTGATGAAGCAGGGTCGGTGTCGGTGTCCGCAGGGTCTCGGTGTCGTAAAGACGACGGCAGGTACTGTTCCAGCCGTAGCACCCAGACATCCGGATTCTTCTGCTCCTGCCCCGGAACCGGGCATCTCTTCATCTCCGGCGAGGCATAGTCTTCGAGTAAGCGACGGTCGAACGAGAGACGAGACGAGTACTGGCGTCCCAGAAAGGGTCTCCAGGTCCGGAGCCCTGTGCGCAGCGAGACCCCAAGTACACGAGGACAAACAAGCGACGAGGAGGCGCGAAAGGAAGCGCTGGCATACAGACACAGCAGACGAGCTGGACAGAGGCACCTTTTCATGACACGGAGGAGGATGGAGCGGATGAGACGGGGAGGAGGCAATCCAAATCACAAGGTGTCCGGCGGAGAGACGGTCTGTGGCGCATCTCTGACTAATTCTTCGATCGATGATGCATTTCCGAGACGGAGCTGTCTTTGAATGCAGCGGACGTTACATGAAGTTTTTCGTGCTTTTTAATTTTTTTGGGTGTTTCCCCCGGTCCGCTTAGTCAGCGTCACATACCTGCCAATCAGCCGCCCGGATTGGTAAGTATAGCACAGTGTTTGTCTCTGGATACTACACTGCATACGCTACATAGAGAAGGACTACAGGTATAGTGCTGTCATTGAGCTGCTACCATAACATACGCGACTCCGTCTCAAGCGAATGACTGATCCACCCGTATCCAAAGCCCAGCCAAGGAAAAAAGAACCCATGAACCATCCCCACAGAGGAATCGTACTGCCTCCTCATCTATGCATTGAAAGCGCGACCCTGACGGGCATGGGCGCGATGACCCCGGAAGGGCCAGCCATCAACGGGGAAAGGCCAGCCATCGGTCGGGAAGGGCCATGCGATCGTCGAGCTAGGAGGAGTCGAGCTAGGAGGAGTCGAACTGGGAGGAGTCGAACTGGGGGTGCCCGGGGTGCTCGAAGGGGTGGGGGTGGGCAATGGAGTGGAGGATGGGGTGGGAGTGCTCGAAGGCTGGGATAGATGATGAGCCAGGGCACCATGTGGCTTCAATCGCTGGATTAGATTACACTCACCACGGGGAGAATATGGAACCCGCCATTGCCCTGAGCCACAGCCGGGGTTAGGCAAAGAGAAGCCGCAACTGCTCCGAGGATCGCGACGGTCTTCATGGTGACGGAGATGTACAAATTAGACCCGTATAGGCTATCACAAGGAAATATATGTCAGGGATGAAGGAAGGTGGCGTTGTGCGCAGCACGACGGAGGGTTTCAACCAAGGACGGACAAAATAAAATTATAGGAGTAGGATGGTCTGACTGGAAGACATCGAGCAGTGCCGGGTACTTATAGAGAGCCTGGACCTACTCGTTCACCCCTCTTGCGTGAGTTGGAATCAATTCAAGGATGATATGGATCAACAGCGCTCAAACAGGGAATGTTTGAGGGGAAGAAAAGAGAAGCCATTGACGATTCTAGACTATGATCCGTCCCTGGGCCTGCTGCCTGCATCAGTGGTCACCGATAGGCGAACAAAGACGGGAGTTCCTGTTGTCCTGCATGCAAAGCACGGCGACTGGCCCAATCCAGATACGATGGACCGTCGATCCAGAGGCGCCGCCGTGTCAACTGTCAACCGAGGGGCGGCAACAGCACGACGATCCCCGTCGGAGGGTTTCTTCCATCCTTCCTATCATGAATATCATCGCCGTCGCCATCCCGTGTGTGTGTGCCGATCAGTTTCTCGGCGTCGAAACGCTGTGGAAGAGTCAGAAATGCTCCGTCGGACATTGCTAGGAGAAACCCGAGATAACGGCGACGATCCTCGATCGGAGTCGTTATTCAGACTCCAATCAGCAGGCTTGGACGGGGCCATCTGGGTCAGGGCGGTTCTTGTTCTACGCCAATCTGGACTGCGCTGAAACATGCTCGGGAAGGCTGACGACATGGAGTTCTTACTCATCCTTAGAGGAAGCAACGAAGAAAAAGAACTGAATATATGGAACACTTGGGGAATCTATGTACAGACGGCCATCTCCTACAACAAATGAACAAAATAAAATACGCAACCAGAAGCCCAAAAGGTATCAAGAACCGCATAATCATGTCACACCCAAGATACTAAGACGGATCGGCACATGTATCTCAGTCCAGCCCCAAAAAAAAAAAAAAAAAAAAAGACAGAAAGAAAAACCAATTTATCCCAAACTCCCCAGTCAATCGTGAATACGAGTATGGATGGACGTTCGATCAGCTCTCGCCGGGTTGGTCGTTGTCCTCCTCCATAGGCACGTCGCCCCCCAGCTCCTGCTCCACTTCGTCGACCACGAAATTCTCATAGTCTTCCAGCCCTTTCTGGATATGGACCTTGAACCGGATCACGTCGTGCAGCATGCTTTCCACGTTGGTGTGCAGCTCCTCGCGGAGGGCATTGGCTCGGAGGGTGAGTTGTTCGTACTCGATGTTCGTGTTCATCTCCCGCTGTTCCATCAGCTGCACACTCTCGGTCATCGTGGCCCGCATTTTGGCTAACTCCTTTTCCATTTTCTCGATCTGGGCGTCCGAGGCGAGTTTTTGCGTCGTGGTGATCTCCTTGGTCCGCTCGAACTCCTCCTCTGCGGCGCGTCGCTTGTGCTCTAAGGCGTGCACTTCGCTCCGCTTCTCGTCCATCGCCTCCTTGATATTATCCAGGAGGTTGCGCCGCTCCAGGTCATCATCAATGGCGTGCTTCCGTCGCTCGTTGATTTCCTTGCGAAGCGCCTGAAGACTGCTGCGGACGGCCCCCCGTAGATCCAAATTTAGTAGATATGCCGGGTGATAGCCCGTGAATGGCTCTGCCAGCAGTCGATCCCCATCCGATGAGATCCGGTTCGGCGCTCCGCCGATCTGGGAGGCGGAAAAGTGGCTTTCGTTGACGTTGAGGCTGAGCTCGTAGTCCTGGCCTTTGGCATTGACCGCAGACCGGGGAATCAGACTGGTGTGGTAGCCCAGAGTGTTGTAAGCCTTAACGATCTCCTCCAGATCCTCCAGCTTCTTGCTCGCATCATTTTCCTTCGCCATGACGCGCGCGTCGGTCTCTTCCCGTCGACTGACCGTGTCGTCGAGGCTCTTCTGCAGCCGCTCCCGTTCAGTATTCATCCGATCAATATCCTGGATCGTGATCCCCTGCTGGTCGACGCTCGCCTGCAAGCCCGAGCGCTCCTCCTCCGCCGCCAGCAGTTCCGTCTCGGTCTTCTTGAGTTGGTCATCCAGGAACTGGATGCGCTTTTCGTACTTCTCGATCTTGCCCTGGACATTCTGATTGTAGTCCTCGAATTTCCCCTTGTCGTCCTCTAAGATGCGGAAGTGCTTGTCGAGTTTGGCAATATCGGGGGCAGTCTTCTCCATTTCTTCGATTTGATCGCGCAGGGACCGATTTTCGGCTTCGAGGGCCTGTAGTTCCTGGACGTACTTTTCGTTCCCCTTGTCAAATTCCCGGGCCATCATTTCGACGTGTGGAACCAACCGTTTCTCGGCGGTTTCGTCGTCCTCGTCCTCGCCGCCCTGCAACCAGTCATGGTAGGCGCCCGTGAGAAAACGGAAAATAATGCGGTCCCCCGAGACATCCACACCGAGCTCGGCACACGCGTCGTCGTATTCTCCCAAGATAAACCGGTCCATCATCTGGGCCACCTGCATCAGCCAATGCAGCATGCCGAGGAACGTAGGCCAGTTCTGGCCCCCGACGGCCGCGATCTGGGATTTGGTGATGCCTTTTTCGTAGGGGTAGCGCAGTTGCTTGAGGATTGGTGGGACTTCTGAATCCATGCTCTTTTGGAACCGGTAGCCTGGGTCGATGCGATGATATAGCCACTGGAAGATAAAGTTGAAATCCTTTTGCGTCGGCGACCGCAGGGCGTTTTGATTCAGGGAATGTTTCATCTCGAGCTCGAAGTTGTTATGGGTCAAATACTCCAGGAGCTCTTGTCCGATGCGAGCCTGAAATGACCGGTCTCGGAGGGGTCGTGGATCCCTGGGGACCCCAGCCGCTGTAGGGACCTGCGTAAAGAAGGACTGGTGGCCCATTGCGCCTCCGACCGACGGTCGCGAAAAGACGCTGCTCCTCCGCTGAAGGCCCTGCAACGATGGGTTCGACGAAGACAAAGGTCCTGGAGCATAGCTTGGGCGACTGACACTCGCGCCGTGGAATATGTTGCTCGAGACGGAGCGGCGGACGGATGACAAACCGGCATCAGCGCCGAACCCCCCGGACGAAGAACGTTGGAAGTTAGGTTGTTGCGGCCGACTGGCCGAATTCATCAGCGACATGGAGCGCGTATGTTGGGAAGTGAAGGGCGGGTTTTGGAATCCCATCGAACTAGTGCGTTTCAAGGCCGACGACGGTTGGGGCAGGGAGGAGAAGTTTTGTACGCTCCCCAGAGTCTGTGCCATTGACTGCGTTAGTTAACGTTAACAGTTACCATCCCTCACAATACTATGAAGTCTTTGAAAGGCCCATCGGCAGCTGTCTAAATCAAATGGGGAACCGGGGGAGGGGTGAATAGGAACATACTTCTCGAGGGCGTCTGATACTGAATAAACCTGTATCCTGCGACATGATGATAATTTAGCCGCAGTCGCGGCCTAGGGGCGGAGAATCGACACCAGGCCTTCTAGAAGGGCTCAACCGTGATTATGCAGACCAAGAATGGGGGAAGCGACAGCAGCGAAAAGACGGCAGCACAACAGACCGACGATGGATGTAAACAAGCTATGCCACTTTGAACAGAAATGGCAGGCGGTGGGATGTACCGGAACAACACCGGCACCGAGCAGCAAGTCGTAGGTACTTAATCACGAGACTCTGGGGAACCTCCGCCGTATCGTAATTACTGCGGAACTTCCGAGGTTCATTCGATTGCCCTCCCTCTCTCTTTCATTCTCCTCTTCTCTCTCCCCTCTCCCTTTCTCTCTCGCTAGATTTATTCCATTGTTCTCCTGACTGCCAATATCCCTGGAATTCGAGCCTTCGGCTGTCTCCCATCATGGCTCGCGAGGAGCTGATCTCCTCTGCTGTAAGTTAGATCCACCTGATCACTGTACTGCTTTCGGCGTCGGAGCTGACCGTGATTCTCGATGTTTAGGTTACTTGTGCGTGCTTGACGCCTCCTATCCCTTCTCCCACTTAGTATTATTATTATCACGATGATGATTATGGTGATGATCTTAACTCTCTTATAGTCCTCCAGGATCCGGCGGTGTCCTCGTCGCCATTGGAAAAGAAAGTCGCATTTCTACAATCGAAGAACCTGACAAAAGAAGAGATCGATATTGCTCTAGCTCGAGCAGGTGAAGACCCTTCCGCTGCAGCTGCAGCTGTATCAACATCCTCCTCTTCGGGATATCAATCGCAACCTGTTTACAGACCTCCCCCTCCCCCTCCTCAAGGATATGCGTATCCTCCATATGACCAATGGCAGCCCCCTCCAGAGTGAGTTTACCAAGTTTGCCATCCGTTCAAGCACGACGAAGAGAAATCAAAACTAATAATTACACGCTGTAGACCCCCTAAGAGGGATTGGCGGGACTGGTTCATTATGGCGACGGTGATGGGAGGCGTAAGCTATGGGCTGTATTTCGTTGCGAAGGTCAGTGTTTCTACTCTCCATTCTACCCATGAATGAGACTGACCCTTCTTCAAGCGTTACATTACACCGTTGATCGCACCACCTACTCCGCCCCAATTGGAGCAGGACAAGGAGAACATTGATGAACAATTTTCCCGTGCGTTTGCTCTGATCGAGCAACTTTCTACCGACACCGCCGCCCTGAAGTCCGCCGAGGAGGCGCGCACGGAGCGGTTAGATGCCGCGTTGCACGAGGTGGAGAATCTAGTTGCAGATCTGAAGACAGCTTCGCGCCGGAGAGACGACGAAACCCGTCGTATCAATGATGAAGTCAAGTCCTTGAAGGATACCATCCCTAAGGCCCTGCAAGGCGCTCGCGAAGGCAACGAGAACCGATTGAAGGAGCTGGGCACCGAGCTGAAGAGCTTGAAGGTTCTCCTGGGCAACAGAATTGGCGGCACATCGAGCTCTCCTGCAACCGCAAAGCCTGCTGGCACATCGGCCCTGCCCGTTGCTTCTCGGCCCGCGGAGGACTCTACTGTCCCAGTGACTCCAGCAGCTACGTCCCCAACCAACGGCACCACGACGGGACAAGACTCTCAGGCCTCGACCGGGACAGCTCAGGAAACCTCTAGCAAGAGCACCCCCTCGACGAACGGCAACCCTCTTTCTCAGTTCAGCCGATCGGCATCTATTCCTGCGTGGCAGATGGCGGCCGCTCATCGCTCCAAGAACGCATCTCCATCGACACCGGCGTCTGGTGCTGGGGGGTCCTCCTCCACCGATAATTCCAGTGACGAGCAGAGTGCTCCAGCCAGTTAGATAGTTGCCTATCCATAAATTACTGTCATGTCCCATTATCTGTAGAATCTGGCTTCTCGCATTTCTTTTTTGTCGCCTTATTTACTACCTGTATTTATCATGAATTAAACGGAGATAGAAACTTCCTTTACCAGGATGTCTTTGAATTGTATGTATCCTGTCAACGGATCATCGACCATTACCAAAATCTTGGCACATATTTCGACGTCACTCCCTCTCGTCTTTTGCACATCCTCTACCTTCGTCTCCAACTATTTTTTTTTTTTTTTAAAAAAAAGAGGGGGAAAAACCACCGAGAATTAATCAAAATGTCAACATCGCAAGACCGCCCTTCATCCAATCGCGATTCCCATTCCCATTCCCACCGTCCACGCTCCGACTCGCGCTCTCGGTCGCGCTCCCCGGACAGGCGCAAAAGACATCATCACCACTGCCGCCACTACAACGGCCATCGCCATCGTCATAGCCATCACGATCGCCATAACCGACACCATGATCATGATCGTCACGAGGGAAATCTCCCTGTTGTTGTCCTCCCGTTCCAGGCCCGAGAACTCTCCAAGCGCGATTTGGCCCTGTTTGAACCCATGTTTGCCATGTACCTGGACATCCAGAAGGGACTTATATTGGAAGAGTTAAGTGAAGAAGAGGTTAAGGGACGATGGAAGAGTTTTATGGGGAAATGGTAAAATATCCCCCTCGTCCTCCGCTTTTATTTTCTTTTCTACTTCTCTTTAGAGCCTGAAAGCCTCTCCCGTTTAGCAGAATTATCTAGTCAAAACATCTGTTACAAAATGAATTCAAACTGACATAATAGGAACCGTGGAGAACTCGCAGAAGGGTGGTACGATCCAAATACCTTGGAAAGAGCCCGTCGCGATATTCAGACTCATCCAGCACCACATCCGAACCGCGGATCGCCGGACTACGGAGATCAATCCGGGAAACGAGATGAGTCGTTAGACCTAGAGCGAAGGACAAGAGAGTCAGACGTCAGGGATGGTGCTGAAGATGATGACGATGAATATGGACCGGATTTGCCGTATGGACACGGAGCTCAGAAGGGTCAGCTGTCGGGGCCGGCGATTCCTACAATGCAGGATCTAGAATTGCGAAATGGTACATTCCTATTCTTGCTTTCCAGACTCTTTTTTTTATTTTTATTTTTTTTTGTTTTTTGGTCACATCACTAACTTGTCGAAGAATTCACTCTTGATGAGGCTATTGTGTCCCGTCAGGACGCCCAGAAACACCGCCGTGCCGAGCTCCGTGCGCACCGATCCGAGCTCCGACATATAGAAGACGAAGTGGCGCCACGCGCAGAACCGGGAACGCATGAGCGGCGCATGGAGAAGCGTAAAGAAGCCGCTGCGGCGAATCGCGCCTTCGCAGAAACCCGGCGAGGAGGCTCCCCCACGGACGCTGCTCCTGAAGAAGAGTTGATGGGCTCCGGCACCAACGATTTCGAGGCGATGAAAAAGGACCGGGAGCGGGAACAGCGCAAGAAGAACGAGCGGGAGATCAGGAGAGAAGAAATTCTGCGAGCCAGAGCGGCCGAGCGCGAAGAACGGTTGCAGCAATATCGACGGAAGGAAGATGAGACGATTGGGTGGCTGAAGACCCTGGCGAAGCAAAGATTTGGGTAAATGATTTGCTCTTTTCTTCTCTGATAGTACTTCTCATTCGCGACTTTCGACTGTATCCACATTCTTTTCTCACCCTATTTCCCCATTCATTACATAGACATCCATAACTATATACACAATGATCTAGAGGTGGCCTTCAGTGGCGATAATGGACTACATAGCATCATACGATAGCGCCGCCTTTAAAACCTGCCATTGACTGGGTTAGAAGACCAACGTGGAAGAACACTCTGCAGTGTCGCCCGTGCCAGCCCAGCTAAGTGGGAAGCATGTACGGCTCATGGCCGAAGCCAACTTCGACAGGTTCACTCTCTGTAAGTTTCCTGCGGACAGCTGCTCGGCGCTTCGATTTCCTGGTCCTCTTTCGTGCCTTCCTTGGATATGCTAAAACTACACCATTATCCACCTGCTGCAGGACTGAAGCGGTTGAGTCATTGCTCATGCCTCCATGAGCTGTATAGGAAACAACATTACCATCTACAAGAGGACTCAATGTTTCACGCACAGTCAAGGGATGGGGAGTCTGTCGCATATTCTCTTTTCCGACTTGGTTGTGCTCTGGAAATTGTTCCGAAGTACCAGTGTGCTGATTCTCATTTGTACAAGATCCTGTGTGCCTATCCCTGCTCTCGGCGGAATGTCGCTGTGCGAAGGGAATAAACTCCGGGGCATCAGGCTTCAATATCGTCCTTTGAAATGGAGAGACATCGGCAAAGTTTCCTCCCGGAGATCCAGTAGCAAGATGGGAGATTTCCTTTTGCTTTGCTCTCTCGTTAGCCTTGTGTAGGAACCATTTACCAACATTCGACATCGATAGATCGACAGGATCGTTGGGGTCTTCGCCTCGACCAAGTGGAATACGATTCACTTCTCTGGTAGCCAGCGGAGTTCCAGCTGGTTGTGATTTCTTGCCAAGCACTTTAACTGCTGAAGTAGGAGGCTTAGGTCTGGCTAGATGTGACCAGAGACAAGAGTAATACCCATTTGCTGCCAGCAGCGAATTGTGATCCCCCTGCTCGACTACTCTACCGCGACGAAAGACAAGGATTTTGTCGGCGCTTGCGATTGTGGAAAGACGGTGCCTATTGGAACAGGTCAGACACGAGAAGAGCGGACGCCATTGTTCTCCAACTTACGAGACGATGAAGATGGTTCTCCCCATATAGAGCTTTTTGAGAGCCTGCAAGACTATCGACTCGGTGTTGCTATCTACATTGTTCATCACTTCGTCGAGGAAGAGTATTTTTGGATCTCTGAGGATTATTCTCGCAATCCCCATCCGTTGTCGTTCACCAGAGGATAAACTCACGCCGTATTCTCCGAGAAATGTTTGATATCCCTCTTGGAATGACATAAAGAGACCGTGGAGACCCACAACTTTGCAGGCCTCGTACACTTGTTCATCTCTGGCAAATATATTAGAATATTTGACGTTGTTCATGATCGTATCGTGGAATATAGCTGGTTCTTGAGGCACTACACCAACACTGTCGCGCAAGCTCTCCAACGTCACGCTTTGGATGTTTTGTCCATCGATGAAAATTGTGCCGTGCGCTGGATCATACATGCGTAGAAGGAGTTTCGATAGGGACGATTTTCCACTTCCTGATTCGCCCACAATGGCTACGGTTTGGCCACCTTCTACCTGGAAATCGACGTGACTCAGCGACTGCTTCTGCCCAGCGTAAGTGAATCCGACGTCTCGAAAGTCAACGCCCCCTCGATCCACTAGAAGCGGTTTGGCATCCTTGAGATTGCAGATACTGGGTTCAATGCTCAGCCTTGCCACTAGCTCACGCGCATTAAGAATACCTAGAGTGGTATCGCGAATCACACTAGGAAGGACCTGAAGGTGGCTGGAAAGCCGCGACCAATAGAAGACCAGCATCACAAAACTCCCAAGAGATTTCCTGCCCCAGGCTATCTGATAAGCTGCAAGAAGGTATAGTCCAAACAACCCTCCGCTCAACAGGCACGACCGCGCAAGGCACTCTAGATGAACACCGAGGGAGAAGGAAGCTGATGAGCCCATGCGGTTCGCAATGGCCGAACGAAACCGTAACTTCTCGTGTTGGATGCGGTTGAAGTAAACTGTAGTCTGCCAGTTTGAGGTTGCTTGATACAGGCATTTATGCTCATTTTCCATGTCACTTATCAATCGCTCCTGTTTCCCCAGGAGTCTGGGGAGCATCTTGTACGACACCCAGAAGAGGACAATGACGACGGCTGTAAACACCATTGCCATATAGATGCTGAATATATAGCACAGCACTACTATAGCCACCGAAATGTCGACAGCAGTTGGAATGATGTGGAAGACAAACGAACGAACCAGGTATCTGACACTCACCCCCCGGGTCACCGATTCCCAGAGATTTGCTGGATTTGTTTTGGCATGGAAGTCGCCAGGCAATGTCAAAATCTTGTCGAAGATAGCCGTCCCAATCCTGAGATAAAAGTTATCCTCAAGAGGGAACCATATGCATTTGCATAGCATTGGTATGCCGCCACTGGTGTCTAAAAGCCAGAGGGCGACGAAGATGCCTATTTCGTGGCATGGAACCGTCCCTGCGAGAAGCCATTGATATGAGCACATTCGAAAATTTCCCAGGGATAGAGGGGGAATTAAGAACGAATACGTCGATGAGACGACATACCAGGTTTCTCGATAAGCGCGTCTACAACACGCCCCAATTGCAGAGGAACGAGCAAAACCAAAGCCCTTTCTACCAGGAGGCAAATGCCAGCCACAGCACACAGCAGCTGCAGAAGAGGTTTGTTCTGGGGCCAGACGAAGGGCATGAGCAACTGCCATCGAAGTTAATAAACGCTTTTATGGTACACGGACAGTCCGACCTACCATGGTTTTCCCAGAATTAGAGTCGGGCCTGCCGTTTTGACGTGTCCCATTGCTAAGATTCGCAGTCTGACCTGTAGACATCGCACCATAGTGGGACCCTCCATGTCTATAGAGATGATTGTTTCTGGGCGTACGGTCGTCCCCTAGGAGGGGCACTGTTTCACCGTGCTGATGGCGCCTTAGAGGAACCAAAGATTTAACGGCAACACAAGCAAGAAGAGACAGAATCAGCAAACGGATTCCACGGACAACAAATACAGCAATAGCCCATGCCGTCCCCATCAATTCCAGATGCCGAGTTTTCGGAACAAGCAAGAATACTTCCGCCAGGCAATATATAATGGAACATCCGGCAAGAGAGGCATACGAAGATATACGGGGGCCCGAGAGATCAAGGAACATTGAGAACCAGATGAAAGCCGAGTTCACGTTATAAGCCTGATAAATGCCTGCGCGTTAGCATCCTTTAGGAGGATACAGCTCAGAAAGTGTTCTCACAATGCTATCCCGGGATACCGCTGGCTCTCCTAGGAGAGAAAAATACAGAAGACCGGCAGAGCTTAGAGTCTACAGGAGGATTAGTACCTGTTCCACCGAAGATACGGACGAGGCCCAGGGAATGAAATACATAAGTGATGCAGACGATGCCCATACAGCATAGCGCGACTCTCCGCGCGAGACCTTCACTACCGCTATGGCGGAACCCCAGTGCAAATCTGACCAGAGCAGACACAAAATATGAGAAAGCTGCAACCGATGGCAGAAGCCAGTGGACGATCACGACAACGTCAAAACCCAGTATGTCTGGGCCGAGAGTAATGTGAGCGGCCATACCGACGGGTAATCTCAAGTGGTGATAGCTTGGAGTCTCAAAGGTAGAAGAGGCATGCACAGGGAAGATAATACAAGAGAAAACAGGAGGAAGACAATAACAGAGGAAGTGGGAGAAGGCCGGACCCTCTTCTAAGGAGGAAGGAAGAGAGTGATGAACAAACAAGCAAGGAAGGAAGGAAGGAAGAAAAGAAAACAAGGAAGCTGCGGTGGAGGAGAGAGTCTTAAAACGGACAAACTGTGAACTCTAGACCAATCTGGAAACTCCCGTCCATGATCTGCAAGCAACGTGACGCCAAACCCATGCGAAACCAGCTCACCCTTTCGTCCTTCACTAAGTCTTTCTTCCAAGGTCCAGATTGGCAACCAGCCTCAGGTGATCAGTGCCCTCGACTGCCGCCTCGCCTATCCCAAAGAATGGCTTGACAGCAACATCCACTGTCTCCTCGAAGAGGCGGCCTACCACGGCCTCTCTAAGATCTTCACCCGTTTGTGCGAAGTCTGGGTAAGCATTTATTTCAAGGAGCCAGGCTGTTCCATCGTGATCAACCAGAAAGTCCACTCCGAAGAGTTCGAACACGTTGGGGAGAGTCTGGAAATGGACCATCATTCCTCTGGCAGCAGCCTCAAATACTTCCCCCGTTATGGAACAGATCTGGTCAAAGATCTTCTCCTTCCAATCCTCGCTAAGTCCGGGGACATGGTGATCAAGCTGCCAATATCGTCGAACGCTACCTTCATTGGCGCTTCCACCTTCTTGGAAACAGGTATTCGTAAGATGGCGTGCAAGGTCTGTGACTTCATCTTCATCTTCCCATGGAGGACAGTATGGCTTTGCCGCGAACAAGGCTAGCATTTCCTTAAAAACGTAGACTTTCAACGCGCCAACGGCGAGAACATAAGTGCGGATGTGAAACTTGCGATTCGAAGACGATGGGAGGAGCAGAGGCGGGTCGATATATGGTTGGGCAATGAAATGGCGTAGTTGAGAGGTGACTACTCCGTTATCATGGCCGTCATTTTGCTCCTGCTCTGATCCACTCTCTGCGTCTGATTCATCTACTTCCCATTCCTCAAATATCTCACGCAGCTGCTCTTCACTATTGAAGAGGCGGATCCCTTGCCCGCGGTCACTCATTCCCGGCTTCAGAATCCACCATTCCTTGTTGGACGCAGGTCTTTCTTCGTTCTTCTCCAGGCTGTGCCGCAGTTCATACGCCTCCAGAAGTGCATCGTCCAGGAACTCCGCGTAGTCCAGCTCGAAATCCACCGCGAACTTGAAATGCTTCCCTAGAATGCTGTCTGGGTACTTGGTGACCCAATTGGCGATCGTATTAGACATATAGTGCTTGCGGATCAAGGCCTTGCGGATAATGTAGGCATTGGCCAGTGATGAGGACGGGTTAAGCATGACATGCTCAAATTCAAGGCGTTCGTATTCACGATACTGGAAGACAGGTGCCGAAGGGGACGGCAGGTCCGACAGTGAAGATATCGTCTTATAGCAACCGCCACCAAGGCGATGCTGTAGTGCTTGTTCCATCAGGGTTTGGACATATGGATGATCGCTGTCCACAAGAGAATATAATGTAGGCTCAACATTACCGGGTCTACACGATTTAAATCTATCAGAATCTCGTCCTTCCACGTATCCAGAGCGCATAAGATAAGGTAACGGAATGCCGCAAGAGGGGTGGTAAAATCATGCAAAATATTTATATCGGAGACGGTCATATACAGCGACGCTTCGCTTGCCAGAATTCCACTCACAGCTTGATCTCCCCTTGGATACCGGGCGTATGCATAAAATTTGCCTTTAAAGGGGTAACACTGGACCGGGTTAGCCGATCAATGAACAAGTGCTTCACCCAAGGATGCACCAACGAACCTTGTCATGCCTTCCTTGACAGCCCAGCCATCATTCCCAGGCTGGCTTTCCTCGACACTCCTGTAGACATCGGAAAAATTGGGTGCCCATTGAAAATGTTTATGCTGGATACGAGATTTCCGTGCGTTACTTGCCCCGACATCTCCCACTGGCTTCACCCCAAACTTCTCGCCCTGATGTCGCAGCTCATGTTCCCGCACCTCGGGGTCAATATCAGGCACAGCGGCATCCACTGCCCGGAAGCAGCTGCCAGATGTCCACCGGTTGTCGAGCATCTGGGTATAAAGAATCCGGTTTTGGCTCACGCCAGGCTCCAGTGGCACATTAACTGTATAAAGGTCCACTCCTTCGGCCCAATTCTGGGTGAGATACTCGATCAATCGCACCGAATGGCGGGATGCCTCAGCAATTACCACGGGGTCATGGTCCCGTGAGCTAAAAGCGTAAGAGAGAGCAATAGAGCGCTTCCCACAGGCAGCGCCCTCCATGGCGCCCCCAATGGTCCCGCTCGACATCGCAAACAGAGAGGTTGTATTCCGGCCATAATTCGGGCCTGACACCACGAGATCCACCGGCCCCCGGTCCTGGAAGTAGTGGTAAAGACCAATTTGGACACAGCTAGCCGGAGTTGAATCGATCAGGACCCATTCATCCCCCTCCAGGTCCTTGTCATTCGCATCGTAGCATCGAGGCAACTCATGTGTAGTCCCGTCGTCTTGATGGAGGGTCCCTGGGCGGAAGTAGGTAGGCTTCACGGAGGCGCCGATTAAATGAGCTTTTCCAATCCAGGACCGCTGCTGATGCGGTAGAACAACCGATACAATATGCCCAGCCGACTGGAGCGTATGGACGAGAGAATGGACGTAGGGCGAAGACTGGCTCGACGGGGGACCGTCGTCGTTCACAACCTATGAGTTGATCGGTCAATCATTAGGCGATAAAATCAAATCGGGCTTTCAAAATAGACCCAGCGGTGCACTTACAAGAATATGCATTGAGGCGGGCAGGTAGAGGGAGAACGCAGTATTGTTGTCGGGGAGGTCAAGGGGAAAAGCCGCGAGAGACAGCGGGAAAAGTTTCCCCGCCATTTTCCCCTCCGACAGCTCCACCGGCGGTTACGCATAGATCCAGAATGGATATAGCATACACTCACGCTGTGATTCAGTACGAAAACTAAAGCTCTCTATTAGGTATCCTCAACAGTTACGCCGACATCGATAGTATAAGAAAGTCGCTACTCCTATATGCTACTCTAGCGACACATTACGGACTGTCATCCGTAGATAAATGGCCTCGTCGCCGCTGAATACCTTGCGCTTCAGGACTCTCCCGTCCTGTTCCAGCTCCAGAAGCATCTTGACCACCACTGTGATCCTCTGATAATGAGATCCCGTCACTCTCGTCGTCCGCCTGGTACTCCTTCTCTCGCTTGGTACCCTGCTCGGGTTGATCGTTCGAAGTATCCAAGGATGTCTCCCAGGGAGAGGTGGACTCGTCCAGAGGCTCGTCCTTGATCCAGAAGTCATCGCGATATTCCTTCTTTACCTTCACTTTGTGTGTGTCCTTGTCACCGACGGATATCGCCGTTAGGGTGATCCACACAATGCTCGCCGACGTCATAGAGATACCCCAGAATAGAAATGTGAAAACGACGAATGATGTAATCTTCCAGTAGTATATCATCCAGCTGTTTTCTGAGTTAGCCTCGCTCACTGAAATCGGGGACTAGCCCATCGGCGTAGCATCCTCCCGCCCCCGAGCCAAAAGAGAAAAAAAAAGAGAACCATACCGGAGCCCAGTAAATCTGGCTCTGATTTCCACCTTGGCCTTGTATACTTGCATTTGCTCCTGACTGTGGATCTCTAGGCGCAAACTGTCCGGTACGTTGCGCCACCCACGTGCGAACTCAATCTTTTCCATCATGGGCACTTCCAATATCTCGGCTTCCCGATGCCAGCCAAACACATAGAGTGGCATAAAAGACAACTTACTTGCCATATCTACCAAGGGGGACGCATATGTGAGGATCGCAGGACGCCGTGATCGTGAAATAGCGTACATGGACGCATTTGCACCGGTAATGAATGATGATGAGGAAGGGGGGAATAGGGTCAAGTCGAGCATGAAATTTCCAGTCGCAAGGTTCGATGGGGTGCGCGGCAACTCGAGCTTCACAGTCACGTCATACGGTTGGAGAGACGCCAAACCCGGGCCTAGAGAAGCAGTTCCCCAAGGATTTCCATTACTAACAACAGGAGATTAGCATAGTATTGGGTCAAGTTCGACATTCGCCTGACTTACCCAAATTGCAAATGGACTACGCGCTCTAAGCCAACCTGGGGAATGAATTTGTAATAGAATATTCCGTAGGCAAAGATTGAAACAAAAATCATGCATATGGCCGATATGAAAAGAAGTACGGTTCCCAAATATGCCTTTTGGGCCTGTTTCGAAACTAGAGGCTGCACATATGCCACCAACTTGTTCTGGGTGTGTTTTGCGGCCGGTTAGATCTCCAGGCGCCTAACGACGGAGCATCAGGGTACCTACCATTACTTTGGATAAAAATATGGTGCCTCCCTCTTCGCGGCCATCGTCGATTGCGTACTCCGCCTCCATGGCGTGGTCAGTCGGTCCTGTATCGAGGAAAGGGGGGTTACTAAGTAGGCTACATAAACAGCGATGCAATCAATACGTGACCGCCCGTCGACGTCACTTGGCGGCCTGAGGCCACCAAGTTTGCCAACCTCGGTTCTCTGAGACTATGGGGTACTAGGAAATGCTTCAAGATGGAGCATTGCATTGTATTCTAAGTAACACCTGAACCCATTTCAAGAAAAACATGAGGGGGAAAATAAATAAATAAAATAGAGCAAAATAAGGTAATAAAAGAAAATGAAAAGAGATGGAAAAAATAAAACGCACACCTGATACCCCCATTTTATAGCTTATCGTTACAGGCCAAGGCCACAGCGATGGCAATGGTAAAACATCCAATAAAACAAGAATGGGTAAAAGATAGAGAGACAAAGATATAGATTCCATGTAGGTTTAAGCCATGCTGACAGGTCCTAATATGCATATCCCTCCCAGAAACCCAACCGAGAAATGTCAAGGAAATAGACACAAACGTGCAACCCAACTCACTCGTTCACGCAAGAAAAAAAGAAAGAAAGAAATAATCATCCTAACATACACCGGAGCAAAGCACACTCCATGTCATGAGGGCATCTGCAAACACCGTGAGAGCATTCATCTCCGCAAAATGCAAGACATCGAGGCATGATCAAGTAAATCATATTAAGAAGAAAGAGGTAGTGGTGAAATTAAGGACTTCTTCGGAGATTAGGTTAATGCCCTGGGGCTCTGCTGTTGGATATGCTGCAAGAGGGCATCAAACAGACGGCCAATCTGGTGGGACACAATTAGCTATTGATCCACTAGACGCAGGGAATGAACAAGACCACTGACCTCAGGCGCAGCCTGGATAAAGGGGAGGCGGAAGAAGGTGTAGCTTCGATTTTGAAGTAGCTCCTGAAGTGTAATGATCAGCCCCCAGGGGTGAGGGCGATGAACTATCAACCGCTCCAAAAGAACTCGGATGATTTGCTGGCGTATGTCGGACTCATCCTGCTCCGTGGAATCCGTGCCAAATAAACGGAGAATGGCAAAACTGAAAAAGTATGTGTGGCTATTGGGGTATCGGAGCTGATTTGCCATTGCGCTCAAGAGGTAATAACGTGCTTCAGGCCGTAGGGCCTTAGCCAACTTCTCCAAGAGTGCCGAGTGGGCAGAGTTATCGAACGCTGCGCGAGTGTTGCCCTTTGAGGCGTTGACGGAGACTGCCCCTTGGCCAATGTAGAGCACAAGGGCGTTCAGTAGCACAACATTAACGTTGATGGGGGTGTAGAAAAGACCAGAGTCTTTTCCTGTCGAGTTGTACACAGCGTCGCAGATCTGCTGAAGGGCTGTTTCCGAAGCACTGGTACTCTGCAGAGCGCTGTCCACGATGCTCTTGATATTGGCACGCTGCAAAGGAGCAGCTGTGTCACCGGCAATCCTTGGTGCATCTCGCATCTCTTCAAGGCGTTCCACTTTCAGTCCTTCCCTAAAAGGATCCGGGAGCTTGTGGAAAGAGGACGGATAAGCGCTCAGAACAAGGTTCCGAAGCTGCGCACAGTGAGCAGGAATGACATTGCAGAACTGGAAATGATTTTCTGCGACAAATTCTGGGAAATCATGATGCAAAATGAGTAAGACACGGAGCACCCCCTTGTACAGGTCCTTAGCAACATATGAGATGCTGGCCGGCTTGAGCTGCTCGCCGATATAAGAAAGCAGTGCTTGCATAATCTCGCAGTACGGGCCCCAGCCTGCTCGTTCTGGCATGTTCAACATGCCGGACATGAAAAACCTATGAGACACCAAAGAGAGCCATCCATAGACGAACGCTGGGCAATACTGGGGCTGGAGAGACAGGAATTTATTGGCTAAGGCGAACATCATCTCCTGATGATCATCACTCTGCTGAAGCCCATTCATGGAATACTCGCACAGGATACTTGAGAAGAGCCTGAAGAACACTCGTTGATTGAAGGCCTCTCCTCTCATGACATAATGATGGTTCAGGACAAGGACTAGCAGTGATAAGATCGAGTTGAAGTAAACGGGTTTACTCGTCTTCAGTGAGCCCTCGTTATCGCCCTGAAACTTAACAAGCAAGACAACCAGTTTGGCAAGGGCGTCAATGTAAAGGAACGCTTCGTCAAGGCTACCACTAGGATTTTGAGACTCATGTTCGAACATCGCAACAGAGATGTCGATGCTGAGACGGAAGAACAGAGCTGAGTCTTCTTGGTTATCCATAACCTGCCTTTGGTGCATGTCCTTGAGGAACGAGTAGTACGTGCGATCGACGGCACCAGGAGCTTTGTAAATGCCAATCCATTCGCTGAAGATATATTCCATTTGGTCTCGTTTAGATCTTGCTTTATCGGTGAGGAGAGGGTTGATGACTTCGGGAATTCCGGACTCGCGCAGTTTGTGGAGAATGTTGTTGGCGGTGGGCAGGCCCGAATCCTCCGCAAGCCATTGACTCATCGCTCCAAGACTGCCTGAGAAATCGGATCTCAGGGCAGATGGTTCCTCGCTAAAAAGTACCCGGTCCAGGATACTAGCGAGAAGGTCGAGGGATCCCGAAGCCTTCTGAGCAATAAGCCTTGTAAGAATCATGTCGACACGCCGGATATCCAGAAGGCCAGCGTCGATGAGAGCAACCGAGACCGGGACATTGAATATATGCTCGTCCTCAACTTCAGAGAGGACTGTCCATGTATACCGAGCAACGAGGGAAGACATGTCGCACAACTTGGCAAGAAGATGCACAAGAACCTCAACTTCCAGCGTAGCCTGGCTCTGCGCATACAAACTTGTGCAAATTTTGAGCGATGTCATTCTCGCTAATTCTTCGCCGTTTGGAGAGGCAATAATAGTGCGCAATGCCTGGTTGTACTCCTGTAATACGACACTATCCCTTCCAAGATCTTTAACGCGTTCCTCTGTCGCAATGCGGGCCGCTTGCTGAAGCTCTGTCACGATATTCTCCACCTTTTCGCGTGGACTCTGCGCATCGAGGAATCCGTTGAGCTGAGATTGCGCACCAACAAGCCCTGACTGCTGTAACCTAGCATCTTGTTGCCCCTGCGGTGTCCTATGCGGTACAGCAGGTGGCTCAGCCGGTGTGGAAAGATTTGGTATCGGAGGATAAGTTTCTGGGAGGACGTCCTGAAGCTGCCGGCCCGAGTCCGTAGACACGTTCTGGGCATGAGTTGTTGCCGTTCCTCGGGATTGGCGGGCGAACTCCTCATATATTGCCAATTGCTCCTTGTTGAGACCGCCTGGTGCTTGTCGGTAAGGCTCGGGGATGAAAAGACCCCAGCGATTCATATTTTGATCAATGTATGGCTCATTGGGCCGGGTGGCACGATGCTGGCGGCGAGAATTTAATTGCTGTTCAATCACTTTTTCGATCTCGGGGAGTGACTTCTCCTCTGCCGCTTTCTCGACAATACCGCAGGCGGCATCGAGGTTATCATTGACACACATCAAAATCAACCCTTCTGGCATGGGCTGATCCGAATATTCCTGCTGGATCATGCGGATATAGTTGGTCATGCTGACCTTGAGAGGCTCCTTGCAGGTCACAAGGGCTAAGCTGCCAGCAAGCTGTCTGACCATTATGCCAGCTGCGCGTCGGACTTTTTCCTCATCGGGCTCCATTGCAAAATCCTTAGATATGAGTTGAACAGTGGATATAGAAGCGATAGTCACAGAACGCTCCACCACAGGTGTTATAATTTCTGCAATAGCGCGTTCTACGGCAGTGTGTACAATCTGCCGAAGGACATTAGGATCGACCATGCTGCTTGCAGACGACGGGAGAACGAGAATCTTGTCCAGGCTTGGGAGGGTTGACATAATGGCAGCGGGAGATAGCCTTTCGTGTCGGATGCCTTGGCTAATGCTGGCAAGAGGCATGTCCTCGAACGCTTCAAGCCCTTCAGGGATGTTTGCAGTCGACAAAGCATCCTCTATGTGCGCCGAGCGGTCTCGAATAATCACTGAGGGCTCGATTGCTTTATGGTCAAGGTCGAGATCCTTGCACAACACTTCAATCTCGAACTTGAGATTTAGTTTCAGTTCTGCAAAGTGATAGAGCTCCATCAACAAAGCAAGAACGTCCATCAACCAAGGATTTGGTGGCTTGAAGACAGTAGATTTGGTGGCCTGGACCAACACCTTGCAGGTAAACGGGATCACAATTGTTAGACGTTGGCTGTCAAATCCCTCCAACAAAAGACCCTTAAAATAGACATTCTTGTGTTTGACGGGCTTGTCCTTAGCTATGGTTAGTGATCCGAGCCAAGAGCCAAGGTTTTTGAGGTGACCACGATCAGTTGAAGAGTTTAATGTTGCTTCGGAATTGATCAACTTGGACACACTGGCATAGGTTTCTCGGAGAACTTCCCCCCACAAGATCTTATCGTTGATGCGGTCAAGAAGATCCAGATACAGCTGTTGAAAATTTGGCTGTAGCTTTGCACGTTCTTCCACTAAGTAAGAAGCAAACCACTGGTGATGCTGGTCGCGGAGAACATCCGTAAGATCCCGTAGTTTCTCTTCCATATTCTGCTCCGACACGTTGTTCAGCACAAACAATATCTTATCCTGAACTTCCTCATCCGGGTTTTGATAGACATCTGGTCGTAAAGGCGGATCAACGTGCACGGAAATGAATTTGCGGCCGGGCCCATCCGCAGCTGCCGCTTCATCCATATTCCCATTAGCCATGGATGGGACGGACACATTACTGTCTAGCCTTCCAGACTCAGAATCTCTCACTTGACTGCCTTGTTCATGCAGAACCTCTTCAGCTTTTTGGAAGATCGGCGTGCCCTGCAAGGCCGGAATTTGAAGTAACAAATGACAGAAACCAGCCCACTCTGGCAGACGGCTCATCAATTGTTCAATTGCTTCAACGCCAAATTTGTACATCGGGTCGTGCATTTCATGCTCCCGTACTGCCTCCAGAATCATACCCAGGCCAACCTTGAGTGTGATGCCATCAACAAGCCGGAAATTGATGATACCGCCAAACATAACAGCGGTCTTGGTCAAGGCTTCCAGTGGATATTCCTGATAGCAATGGTACTCATCAATAAGGCCGTGGACCATGCACGCGAACAGATCCTGCTCAGTCGGTTCGCGCGAGGATTTGTACCGTCTCATCAATTCGAGGATTTCCCTCAACGACAACTCCTCGTGATACATTTTGCCAAACAGCTCTTGCATTTGCTTGTCGATGGTCTCGGGCAAAGAATTCCCATTCTCACCGTTGGAGTCGATGATATCATCAAACCCTTCTCCATAGTTAATCAACCTGGGGTAAGTCTGGATGCAGATCCGTTGTACAGGGGTGAGGTTTTCACGATCTCCGACGTATTCTTCCAGAACAGACAGTAGGGTGTATACCGTCTTAACCGAGAGGCTGACCATCTGTGGAGCCGGCTGTTCCTTTCTCTGAACATGAAGTTCGTCCTCTGCCTTGATTCTCAAGAACTTTGACAGTAGGCTTCCCATGTCCATAGGTCCCTTTTGAGCAGCATTGCGAACCCATTGTTCCAGGTCAAAAGGGCCCTTACGATGGGCGTAGCAAGCGAGGTCCATGGCGAGGCCGTTGGTATATCTCAGAAGATAATCCAGCCAGCTATATTCCACAGCATGCTCGTAGATAGCAGCCGTAGAAGTCGGGTCCTGCGTGAATGTAGTGAATAGCTGCTCCGATACCCACTGCTTATCCTGATGCCACGCCCCATGGAGAGCGAGTTGATACCCCTCCTCCTGCTTCAATATGAAAACGATCAGCGTCCGAAGTACGAAACTCTGCTGAACGCTCGTCCATGGCTGAGGAAGGGCCAACGCTGAACACAAGAAAACAGGCAGGTCATACTGCACGACCGACTTGATCAGCAACTGACTTTCGGTAGCAGCCCACGAAGCCTGGGAAAATAGCGCCAGGTCAAATATGGCTCTCATGGCATCTAGAGACCGCAAAGGGGATTTTGCTGCGCGTTCGCCTTGTAGGCGCACAGGCTCAGGACTGTCCACAAAGAAGTCAGGTGGGAAAGTAGCATGAAGGTTGGGAATCTGCGACACGTCGGTTCGCGAAACAATAAAAGCCGTGAGAAATGAAAGCTGCGTATCACGGTGTTCCCAGTCTCCACCCCAGAGCTTTTGAATGTCCAAGGTAGAGTCGTCAGACGCAGCGGTTAAGAGAACCGCGTACAGCTTGGCAAAATGCCTAGCATCCAATCTCAGGCCCTCACGGTCAAAATTCCGGAATATGAGAGGCCAGCTGATTTGCTTTTCCCCGTAATGCCCCTTGACGGCAGTAAGGAAAGTCTCCAATGAGAACTCATTCCAATATTGAGAAAGGACGAGGAAGAGTAGAGCACTAGCGATATGTTCCTCATTCCAGCACTCGGTGCCAGCAGAGTTGATCACCTCAGTCACAACTTCAGGGCTCGAAGTTGCCTTTGGTCCCTTTGCATGAAGCTGGCGCACCAACGTATATCTGGGATTGATGAAGTTGAACATTTGCAGGGCAGAGGCAACCTCAAAAGGCACATCTACACCCAGCTTCTGATATCGAAGGTTGGCTGCATACACAAGCTTGGCCTTCACGTCGTCAGTAAAATTGCGCGGAGGGTATAAGATGAAGCGCTCGATCGTCATGCCGATGAAGGAATCCGTATATTCCTTCGTAACATCAGATGGCGATGCCAGGCTTTGCAGGAAGGTGATTGCATTGTTCGAGAGGATTGCATCAGCTAAATAATCGATGGTGGTCAGTTGTAGCTAATCACGTGGAATCTGTGGGAACACTTACCCTTAGCACGCAAATCTGATTTATTGGCCGTCTTAAAGGCCAGAGCAAGGGATACTTTGACCACGGCATCGAGCTTAAAATGGTCTAAAAACGTAGAAAGATCGAAGTCACGGAAAATATCGCCTTCCGAGGTATCGATCGTCTCCGCAATTTTGTAGGCTTGTTCTTTGTCTTGGGAGACTTTATGCATCTCCTGGACGAGGAGAGGGTAGTTGCCGGCGTTTTCCACAGACTTGTTGACCCCTGGAAAGATTTGCGGGGCATTGCCTGTGAGAAGGCGTCGGAAATATTTAGAGAAAACCTCCATGCCGTTCGACTCAACAAGCTATCCAGATATTAGTGGGGTTATGCAGAGAAGAGAGGGAGCAACGGAGTGACATACTTTGTGGATCTGAGCAGCTTTTGTCTCCCACTTTTCTCGACCTTCCTTCTCCGTGATAGAATCAAGGAGAAGGAAAACCTGAGCGATAGATATCTTCGTCAGCGACGACTGGCTTGCGTGAGCGGCTGCCCCTGACGCAGTCGAGCCCGGTTTGTCAGAAGGGAATCCGGTCGGCGAGTTCACAGTCGTTCCCGACAATAATGGAGAGAAGGTGGCGCCTCTGGAAGATCCCGTCCCACCTCCGCCCCCGGAGCCTCCACCACCCGTGACAGAACCCGCTGTGGAAGCCAGATGTGAGGCTGAAGATGGGGTGTGTGCTCTGAATTTGGGAGAAGATAGTGATTGTCCGGGTTGCTGATGCTGTTGCGATCCAGATTGTAAGGCGGTGAAAGGCGACGGCGTGGAGGCAGGCGAGGGCGCGTTCCGGCCAGCTGGGTGGCTTCGTGAGGAACTCAGAACTGCGGAAAAGGACGAAGCGAGGGGAGAGGACGTTGAACCACCTTGACCAGGACTACTGGACTGGGGTGGCCCGCGGGAAGATGCAGAGGAGATTGAGGTCGAAGCGAGGTTGTTGGTCGCAAGCGGTGTCAGTCCCCGACGAACGTTCGACTGAGATGCAGCTAAACCCCAGGCAGATTGCTGTGACCTTCCAGGCCGGGTGGAGGAAGACTTATCGGTGCCAGAAGCAATCGACGATTGGGAGGAAGGGGGAGGGGGAGGGAAGGTCATCTAGGAGACGCGATCATTTGATCTGAGGACTACCGACAAAATTTTTGTTTCGTGCAGAGCGCTGACAAGACAAAGAACTTGGATGCGATGGTGATGAGAACCTAATTTCGAGGACAGAGGACCCGTGGCAGCAAAGGATAAAGGAGAATGGAGATGGATATTGCTTCGTGGCACAGGACGGAAGTTCCGATGGGAAGAGAGTGACGGACAGAGAAAGCGAGGTTGAGTGGACAGCAGGTGAGAGATGCCTGAGGTGACCACACTAGTTTCGGTAGGCAGGCACCACCAGTATTTCGGAGTAATAGGTCCTTAGTAGGTGTTCCAGGTACAACCATGCAGATGACAACGTGATGGGAGAGATGTCAGACTGGAAAGTGACTCTCACATGGTGCTCGAGCGCAGTCCACCAGAATTGGGTGTTTCAAGGTCCGTCTTGTCTTTGCCTGCCTCAACAACGCTGAGGCTGAAAGCACGTGACAATACCCTTTTCAGTGTTTCGGATTATGTAATATATTACTGAGCAACAAGGCCTGAGGCACACCAGAACTTTATGTGGTAAGACTACCTCCCGCTACAGAGATATTTTACCATCACCGACACAACCATTACGGAGTACATATACAAAACATGTCTCATCAGGTGGCGCATCTGACACTGTCGCTATAGTCACGTTTGCAAGTCTTGTAAGGTGAGGTATATATCTAAACTCTGTTCCACTCCAAATAGAGCAACATTCAAAGCAAACGACACGTAACGTAGTAGAGTGCCCGATCGGGTATAGCATATTAGTAGGCACTATAGACATACAAACATATCACTTTCTTGAGCTCGATACAAAAGAGTACCTAGAACTCTAGAGTAGATACATCCTCGTAATTTTACATGTACGGAGGAAATATGCATGCCCCTTGAAAGGCACGAGCTGAAGTGAGGACCGACATGACTTGCCCGTGATCTAGCCCCGGTTGCCCCGAGAAACGTGGAGCAGTAAACATCAACCACCATTCCTTGGAGTCCCAAAGATGTGATTAACTCCACCAAATCCAGCTTCATCGTGCTGTTCTGCCTAATTTTTCCGCAATCTGCGGTCTTCTTTTGATACCCTGGGGATATTTGGACACTAAGACTTCCTTATTTTCTTTTGAGCAGTCTTTATTTTTGCTTCATTTCGTTCTTTCTACCTGCGTCTTGATTCGATTATCCCACTTTAGCGTAATTTGATGAGCAAAGGCTGGCCGAGGCTCTATAATCTCAACACATCATAAGTTGTACCAATGCCAGGAACGGTTGCAGATGGGCCAACCGTGGCCATGTCCTGTATGACTTCTCTTTCTAAATTGGCACCAGGCTGCAGATAGCTAACGGGTTCGAACTCCGCAGTTGCCAATAATTTCTGGGGCAAGGACGATGCCGGTGTTTCACCTATGCTGGACCGGATGCACGGTGCAAAAATGTCTTGCGACGAATTGAAGACATTCTATAACAGTGCGTTATTTAGATTCCAGGCTTGCAATGTAAATAGGGTCCTATTCTAATGCACCAGATAGTCCGAGCCGCCATCGAAGAAGAATATGCACGAAAGCTGCTGGCACTTTGCCGCAAATCGCTTGGGTCATGTGAAATGGGCTCCTTGCGTTCATCCTTTGATGTTGTGCGCGCCGAAACGGAGGCCATTGGCAAGGCCCACGCAGCCATCGCGGTACAGATGAAACGAGAGCTGGAGGAACCCTTGATCGCGTTTGCAGGTGGTTCTAAAGAGAGGAGAAAAATCATACAAACAGGGATCGAGCGGTTACTCAAGACAAAAATTAACCAGACCCAAGTAGTGAACAAGGCAAGTTGGTTTTAAATGGGGGAAAAAGTGCGCACATGCTAACAAAGTTACAGACCCGAGATCGATATGAGCAGGACTGTCTGAGGATCAAGGGTTATCTCGCACAGGGTCATATGGTAATGGGCCAGGAAGAACGTAAAAACAAAGCAAAGCTCGAGAAAACACAGGTGCAGCTTGCATCTAGCAGCAGCGAATACGAAGCTGCCATCAAAGTACTTGAAGATACCACCGGACGTTGGAATAAGGAATGGAAGGCTGCTTGCGATGTACGTTTCCGTTCAACTGATATCAATATTGATATAAAACTGATAAATTACCAGAAATTCCAAGATCTCGAGGAGGAAAGACTTGATTTTACGAAGAGCAGTCTCTGGACTTATGCCAATATTGCGTCAACGGTCTGTGTTAGCGATGATGCTGTATGTAGTTGGCCCCAGACATATGCTCCCAGAAGTCACTGCTAACCACCCTCGCTAGTCCTGCGAGAAAGTCCGTCTTTCGTTGGAAAATTGCGAAGTGGAGAAAGATATTGTTGCCTTTGTCAAGGAGAAAGGGACTGGCCAGGATATCCCCGATCCCCCCAAGTTCGTCAATTTCTGCCGGGGGGATGTCAACGATACAAGCTCAGAAGCGTCTGAAGAAGATGGATACTCTGTGGCTCAGTTCCAGCGCACCATCAACCCGGCATTCCGCAGTTCCTCACCGCAGCCATCGACATATGAATCTCATCATGACCCACAGTCGGACCTGGCGGCCAAGATGGGGCACAATGAACCCCCGACTCCTTCCAGCCGGGAAGCTGCCGTCACTCCGCAAAAGCCCATACAGCCACCACCAACCCAACAGCCTGCCCCCTTGGATCTCCGCCGCGGTGGCCAGCTTCCGCCAAATTACGATCCCAATCAACATGGAGAAATCGGCCATGTACCTCACAACGCGTATCCGACGGAAGGCATGACCATGTTCTGTAGGGCTGGCCCTCCCTCGGAACGTAGCTCAGGAACAAATAGTGCATACCGACCATCGAGTCGCGATTCACAAAGCGAGATCTCGAACCCGACCTCTCTATCCAGCCAGGAGCCGCCGAGTGTCAAACAGTCTCCGACAAAGCCAACGTCTCCGACAAAGCCGACAAATGGCGTGGCGCTTCCGGGACTCGGCGGTGATAAACAGGTTCAGAAGAAGAGAAGTGCTTTCTTTAGCAATAGCCCCTTCCGACGCAAGAGCCGTCATGATAAGGATCGGAATTCTGGCTCAGCGCAGCTGCCTTCTCGTGGTACCTGGGATTCTTCTAGACAATCAAGCCCCGTCAAAGCTCCTCGGCCGCAGCAACCCGTATCTGTGCCGGATACCAATCGAGCTCCGAGTCCAGAGCCTGCTGATCCTAGGGCAAATTTCCAGCTTAACGTTGGCAATAACGTGTTCGATGTGGACTCCCCAGACAAGAATGCATCTAAAAAGGGGGCTCAAGCAGCAGCCAAAGGCGCAGAAGAGGAGTCTGATCCAATTGCACGCGCTCTGGCAGATCTAAAAGGGACCGGCAAGCAGTCAACCAGTCGAGTGTCCGCTGACAGGTATCATGGTATTGCTACACCAGTGCCTTCCGCGCCAGCATCTAATTACTCCAGTGCCTCTGCGGCTGCTCCACCTCCAGCGTACAATGATTCCTCAGTGAAACGACTGGGCGCCCCCCAGCCCGCGTTTACTTCGGCACAGATGCAAAAAACAACTCAGAAATACACGGGACAGACGCAAAGTATGCTTCGCGGCTCCGGAAATAATCCAGGGGGAGCGAGCCAAAACAGTAGACAGTCTCAGGAGGCACCGCGTGCCAGGTCACCTACCCCGAGACGAAGTGCGAGCCCTCAAGTGAGCAGTCCACGAGTAGACACACGCATGAGTCAATACAGCAGAGGCACAAGCCCCGCTCCAAGCTCGCATCACTCAAACAGTATGAGGAATCGCTACAGTCAGTCGCCTACTGTCTCCACTCCTCCTCAACGCCCTGCCGATGGGTCCTACTCCCCTCATGAATACACCAAGCGAGGCTCCCCCAACCCCATGTCGCGAGCTGTATCCCCCCAGCCTCAGTTCAGACAGCAAGCACGGCCCTCCAGCGCTGGTGGGATGGAGCTGCAGCTCTCAGGGAGTCCCACTGACATGTACGGCGGGAGCGGGAGCCATGATGGATATGGTTCCCGTAAGGAGCCCAGTCGACCGATGTCGTACTATGGCGATGGGGGAAGCCAGCGAAGCCGGTCTCGCAGCAGAACCGTGGCTGTTGCTGACCCGGGGAGACAATTTAGTCGAGATGGTCGTCCAATTCTGCATTTTGGTAAGATGAAGATCCATTTTACGTATACTAACCTAGTGCTGACTTTCCTTTGCAGCCCGAGCCATGTACAGCTATACCGCCGCCATCCCTGAAGAACTAGGATTCACCAAAGGCGACGTCCTATCAGTTATCCGGCTTCAAGATGACGGCTGGTGGGAAGCCGAAGTTACTACTGCCCGTAGCCGACCGGGTTTGGTGCCGAGTAACTATCTTCAAATCATCTAAATTATGCCCTGTCATCTCATGAGCAGAGGTGATCAGGCCAGATTTTGTGCTGATTTACGTGTTCATGATGTAGATACGAATTTTCGACGTTGTCAATGGTTTTTATTTCTTTTCTTTCTCGTTTTTCCGCCTGATACTTTCTTTCCCAGCTTATCTTACACATAGTGATAAGGCTTGCCCATTTCCGATGTCTTACAGGCCAAGTTGATACTCTTTTTGCTATTTCTTTTTCATTATAATGCTATTTGGCTGCTTAATCTGTTCAGCTTTGTTGTCCAGCCAGCACACTCGTTACGTTGTCTCCGAAATTGTTAATCCCTGGATTATGACTCCTGCTGGACCTAGCCCACGTTTCACCATTTTGCTTACCCCGATTAGTCTATCTTGTTTTAATTTCAGCAATACCATCGTAATTTGACTCTTCTCAAAAGCATACATACCAGAAGACCTGTAGTCACGAGAACCCGATAAAACCGCCCAATCCAACTCTGAACATACCAGCACTATAACCACAGTCGCAAATAAAGATCGATCAACATCACCCCTCGATTAATCCGCCCCCCCACATCCGGTAACCATGCATTTAAACCCCTCGGGGGAATTAAGTTCCCGAATACATGCATAAATGCAATACGGCTGGGAACAAGCCGCGAAGCCACCTTTGGAGATCTTGTCCATGTAACAGGTGCCAAACGAGGTGGTAGATTCGATATCCGTGCTTGAGAAGACGGAGGGAGAGGACGATCCTAACTGGCTCTGGGGATTGTCATGGGATACAGCTGCTTTTGCTATGTAGCATGATAATAGGACATGGTCGTTTTTGTGTCCGCAAGTGTTTATCACGCGCTGGACGTGGCACATTGTGTTGTCCGTTTGGTTTTGTTTCGTTTACTCGCTTGGGAAGGGGGTTGATGCGAGTGTTGGATATTTGATATTGATGTGGAATGTGATCCTTCCGTTTTGATAAGCTGTGCTGTCTCTGGGTCAAGGATTTGGAGTGGTTTGCCTCTGTTAGAGTATAGTCGGGGTAAAGTATTCTGTAATATTCCTTGAATAAGTAAAGAAAAATAGAAAAGGAAGGAAAGATGGAGAGTGGTTCTGGGATATCTTAAAGAGAAATACATAGAACTGGTCAACAATCAAATTCACTTCACTAGCATACAGAAAGAAGTTCACACATTAATACAGGACTCGGTGATAGTAGAATACATCAGTGTATGTACATGAACAAAGTGATTGAAGTGATACGAAGCGAAATTGGTCAAAACAAACCTGCTAAATCGCTTCACAAGGGAGCAAAAACCGGATATAGTACCTCGACCTAACCATGGACCAGCCGCTGGAGGAACAGAACACAATTAACCGAGCAAATTTCCGATGTGGATCGAGGATGAGTCGAGGACAAGCTATTCATTCATCATCCACAAAAGAGTTTGCGAGACGGCCAAAGATGGGAACTTCGTAATGTTCAAGGGTATCAACTAGGTCCCGTTAGCTCATCGTCGTAGACAGTTTATGTTCTAGAAGAAAGCGTACCATCGCGATAGGCGCGCATGCTTAGAAGCCCAATCAACACCAGATCGCAAATGAGCAAAATCCACGAGAGGAAGCTCGACCATGAAAAAATAAGGTGGATGATCTAGGAGGATATCAGTAAGTTCGTGCGAGGATATATGGTATCCATAGCTGGAGACTTACAAACATGGCAGTAAATAGCATGCTCGATTGCCATGCGTGGAACCTGCAATATGTCAGTGACTCCCTCCTGATGCACAACCACATTTTGAATTTATATACCGAACGTAGTCACTCTTATGCTCTACCAGTAGAAGGAAAACACCCCCCGCCGGAGGCAGAAGTAAGTATGCCAGCATAGCTTCGAAATCCATCCGGATGGGCAGACTCGTTTCGAAGGCGCCCAGATTCCATCGTCCTCCTTCCACGTCTCGTCCAGGAGCAGTATTTCCATATCCACCGGTCTCGACGTGACCTGCGCCTGCGCCTGCAAACTGTGTAGGGGAGGGAAGTCCAGCCGACGAGAAACCCGGAATCGGGGGTGAAGCGCGAGGGGACCCGACATTGGAAGATTTGGAGCGTTGAGCGTCCCCGAGCGAAGGAGAGAGGGCTCGCTCTACCTCGGGCGATTCGTCCTGGTAGGGAGCAAAGTTCATGGTATTGCGATGGGCGGCGACGCGACAATGAATGGAGGGAGATTCTTATCTGGGTGAAGTTCGCTTTCTCTTTGGTTATCCCGGAGAATCTCGCTCCCTGGCGGTGACGTCTTGGCGTCTCACGCTGCCTGTTCGAGTATCGTGTTTACTTTACTTCTTGTCTACATTCTCCGGTGTATTGTGTATCATGAATGGCATCTAAATTTGTTTCGAGATATTTCGTACTGTACACTTATAGAGAAAGAGAAAAAAAAATGACTACTCCGGTCGGACGTACTTATACGTTCCCTCGTTTTTGACCACGCGTAACTCCCGTCCCTCTTGCGATACCACTAACTGGTCTCCGTGTCGTCGTTGTAGTTGTCCCTTTTGTCGCAGAAGATGTGGTCCGGGTTGCACTGGAGCTGGTCCCAGAGTAGGAGACACTGGGGTTCCTTCCCAGTCCTGTACTACCGAACCTGCCTCGAGTTGCTGTAATGCGTGAGCCTCTCGTGCTGGCTGACTGCGCCCTTCTCTTCTCTTCTTCCTCTGCTTTCCGAGCAGCGGCTTCTTTCTGTTGCTGGAGCTCCCGTTCGCGTCTCTGGGCAGCTTGTTGTCTGAGAACCTCCTCATTCTCCATATCCGCGACATCTTGGACAGCTCCTTGCCAGTTCCGGTTGAGAATCAAGCGCTGATTGTGCTCCGTTTGGGCCAGTATTCGAGTCCAAGTGTTCAGTAGAGTGGAGGACGAGTCAACCGTTCGAGAGACAGTCTGATAGGATGCACCAGTTAGTTAATAATACTAGACGAACTCGATAGTAGGTAAATAAACAATGAACCTACATCCATGTTTCCCTTGGCACGGTCCAGGCTAGCCAGTAACCCCTCGATCACTTGATTGATATTCCGAACCATTTGTAGTTCATTGTGCAACGCCATCTCTCGTGCCTCTTGTCGGTCAAAGAGCGTTTCTCCCTCATGGGAGGACCGGGGCGGGGGGGTGGTGCTAGCTTGGAGGTTTACGAATGATTCCGTAGGTCGTCCCCGTTTGGATGGCGAACTCCAGAGATCTTCAGAATCGTCATCGGAGAGCTGGAGCCTCTCCATTTCCTCTGCAGTGCTCCGGAATGTCATCTTTGCCTGTGGAATAGATTGTTGACGATCGTGCAGAGATCCAGCGCGATCTTTCGGACCGAAAGAGAGAGGGGAGCCGCAATCCCCAAAGGGGATTAGTGCAGCGTCTCCCAGGCTGTCGATCGATCTATACAGAGCATACTGTATACAGAGTATATCACTACCGTTCTACAATCAAAAGTAGGTTCTCCAATAATTGACTTGAAATGGGAAATACAGTATAAGAGAAACTCAGTTGTTGAGGGCGGAGATGACCTGTAAAAAGTTCACTTGGCAGTTATTAGCGTGCAGTACTTAGACGATTTCCTGGTAGGTTGGGCGCTTCCTACAATAGCTTGATACTTGCTATAGCATACGAACTTGGTTTTGTAGACAGCTTGAAGTCTTTCCCTTTCCACTTTAGTGCTCACCCCTCGCCACTTTTTGCTCACTGAGCAGAAGGGTGAGTAGCCAGAGTAGGTAGCCTTAATAAAATGCGCCACGCTAGTTTCACCAGCGACTATATTCCGTAATACATTTCACCATTTCCCCCCTTACCCACTCAAACAAAACAATGGCATCATTAATTGAACGGGCAATTGTAGTCATCATTCCTTCTGCTCGACCTGGGAGACAAAGCGTCAGGTTAGACACTGCAGGTCAGGGCAGATCGTAGGTATTAATGGTAGCTAACACTTGGTGGTTCAAGCAGGGGCATGACCGTTAGGAAGTCATCAGACTGTAGAGGGAAGCGAAATGTCTTCTTCGGAAGGTGTATAGATTAACTATACTTACTAACAGAAGGAATTAACATACTATGCTCTATACAGTATATATCTGAAGTTCAATATCGTGGCTTAGATGGGTTTTTACTAAATGCTCATTGACTCACAAATCTGCAATATTAATCATAGGTACTCGAGAAAAAAAAAGTTAGCTGGAGAGAAGCCAGGCAGTGAACCAGAATCAGCCCCAATCATCCCATCGCGCAAATCAGAGCGACTTGATAGTTTGGTAACTGCATGGACTAACAAGGTGCTAATAAATAACATGCAATTTTGCTGTCTCCCTCTTGGTGTGCGTGATAGGCAACTTTACTGCCACCGGAGATAAAACACCTGTGTTTGCCAAATACTTTATAACCACACGCCCTTTCATTTCATGTCGCTAGCTATGGTAACCTACTTGTCGAAACCCGTTACAGTTAAAAAAGCATACTACTTTTGTCCTACGTTCAAGTTGAGAGCCAGCTCAGGATATGGGTATTAATACCTTAATCTCATCTGTGGACTATGTAAGGGATCAAGGTTGCACTAACTCTCAGTCTTGCGTGTCCTAGACTCTGGCCCCAATAAGTTCGCCGACATGGCAATTGGTTAGAGTAGCTTGTTAATAGGATGCCCTTTGTCACATAACCTAGGTAAAAGGGATATACAGGCCTGCTATACTCTGATTCAATAAATGCGCCGTGACCTTACTCTTTGCTTTTGCTATGCACAGTTAGCTGCGTTCCTAGATAAAGTCTGAAGCCTTAAATAATAAATTATGTATACTAAAAGGCAGAAGCGCTAGTTTCTTGTTTACTTTTAGAGCATCGAATAGGCCAAGAATTTCCGTTCCTTACAATATCCATTTCTCTACAGATATGGTGGGGGCGACGTAAGTTCCATGAACCAATTTCTGCCTTGGGCTTCACAGACGCATCTCAAGAATACTTCTAGATATAGGGGAATACTGTAATTAGAGAGCCTGTCATTTAAGCCTGACGATGCCTCCCATACCCCCACAGCTAATTTCGCTTATGTTATATTAAAAAGTTGGGTAGCTGTTACTGTGTAATAAGGCTGCATTAGGGCATGAAATAGCTGACAGCATACGGCCTTCCATATGCTGTCTGCTGTTGTCAAATGTTATTATGTTATTAATGTAGAGCTGACCTGCCCAAACTAGCTGAGAGCTAGGAGCATGGGATTTGCCTGTTTAATGTGAAGTAGCGAAAGTAGGTCGCTGTACTCTTCCTTTTCCCGGGATTTTGTACTTTCCGCTACCCTGCTTGATAGTTACACACAATTGTCGAGATTCCGGCACCGTTTTGAATATACAAATTACGATTCTTTGAGCTCGTGGCCTACGCACGTCATTAGGCTACATTGTTTTGATGTCTCGGCAAACCCAGGTCCGCGAGTCTTTTAAACTCCCTTTGCATAATAGCCAGATTTCCATCTCCCCTGTTGCCAATAATTACCGCAATATCACCATCTCATCTCAAACAACATTGCTTATGGATGCTGCGAGCAACTTCCTGTGGAAGTCACCGAGTGGCCTTATGCGCCTCGCACATGGCAAACTATCGTCCATCGATCAATCACTAGGAGGCTAGATAGCCGAAGCTGAGAAAATCATACTACCTCCATACAGAAGCAGATGTGGAGCGTGCTTCATATATATCTTATAAATCCCGTCAACATTGCCATTCCAGAGGCTCTTGCCTAGTAGCGGTCGCATTATTTGTAGAGGAGAACAGACCAACTAAAAGAAGAATAGAACGGACTTGAGATGGACCTACCAGAGAGGTAGCCAATCTGTCGGGACTGCAGTTCTGGAGATAAAAGAGCCATTTGTTTCGAGATGGAACGACTTTAACCAGGCAGTGGCGAATAAGAACAATACGACACAAAGCATAATACTACCTATCAGTTTGCCGAACATACCCTTTTAGAGGATAACGCAACTATTCTCTCGAAGCAGATAAAGTACTCCATCAACCTTAAAATCGCGGACGTTGCAGTTTTCGACTGGAGATCTATGTTTGTTTTCGACTATAGTGACGTTGAATATAACTCTTCCAAACCCAAACTGGCAAGAGGAAGCTGGTTTAGGGAAATAGATGCTGGACCAAAACAAGGGCAGACGTTTAGAGCCATGTTGCTTGGACTGTTGATTAGAGGCCTTCAGAGAAATGGGATTATTCGCTAAACATGTCCGATATTTTTGCTCATGTCGGGAATTAGAAGATTATATAGTATGATATGTGATAAGTGAAAAGAAAAGGGTTGTCTAATATCCGTCTCCCCACTAATTGCCAAGATTATCCAACTCCAAGTCAGATTAACTGGACATAGGCAGATCAAGCCAAGACCAATCTGCAGCTCAAGAGCTTTTACATTGGCGGTTCATTAGTTTTCACCTAGTCAGTTTCTGCCCACATAAACTGCCTACTAGATAATCGATTCTCCTAGTCAAGTCCCGCATAGTTAGGGTGGGCGGAATAGGAGGTAAAGAAAAGCGATCAGGCACCCCGGGTCAAATCTAATAAAACGCCACTGTACTGTGGACCAACTTAATGGTTGATAAGTTTATCTACCATGGTAGCATTGATAACCCTCCTTAGTTACATATCTTGTTTTAATTTATTTATTAATTTTTATCTTCTTTTGCCCTTTTTAACTGCAGGCATGTTGCGCTCGGGCTTTAAATTCCTTCATAGAGCGGTGACCTGTAATGTGAAATACTCACTGAGCAAGCCCCTGAGTATCCTTATTAAAGCGGCATTATCCGAAAGTGGAAAGTCTCAGTGGTCTATAAAATCAGGTTTGTATAGAGATATATATATAAAAGTAAGCAGTAAATAGTAGAACCAGAACAAATTGTCTGAAGTTATTTCTCCGAATCTTAAGGCTAGTTAGTCCTGGAGATCCTTGATTAGGGCATCGAACGGCACGAGGTGGGTGCCTGATTAGCTAATAAATGTGTGGCTGGTTAGACAACAGCCTTAACCACATCACATTCCACCCATTCACCATCCCCTTCCTCTTGTTTCCGTCGTTACTGCTTTCACTTGCTGGCCTTTGGGAGTGCCATTTCGTGTGAGAGTCTGCGTGGGCCCAGAGAAATTTGTGTTAGTCGCCTGCGGTCGCGTCTCGTTCTTCCTTCTACTTCGACTCCCCCTCGTTTACCGCATCTGTTATACCTCCCAGCCACTTTCGCCGACGTTTCCTGTCTCTATCTCGACTTGGACTACTGGGGATTTGCTGCGTCCAATCCTGTACACATTTCATAATGGCGATAACGCCGCCACCGCCATCTACTTTGCGAATGCCCCCGACTCCGCAGCATGGAGCTGGATATGACCAGTACGAGCCGTACTCGACCCGACAGTCAGCCAGGCTAGCGAATCAACGAAGATTGAAAGAACCTCGCTCAACCCCTCCTCCCACACTCTCCCCCCCCCCTGCGTACATGAGCTCCAAAAAGTCGAAGAAACAAAGCAACGAATCTAAGGCATCCCCTCCCCCGAGACCCGCCTACGGCTCTCCTCGGAAGATTCCTTCAAGTCGGGTGCGAGATATTATTTCCTCTGAGACGATAATGGACGGGATGCTGCCAACTCCAGCCAAAACTCCCAGGAAGAAGGCAGTCGGGGACGCTGGGTCTACTGCACGAACTCTCTTCCCCCCACCCCCCACCTCTGGTTCAGCGCGCGGCAAGAAAGGCAAGAAGCCTACACCCTTTTCTCTAGATAGTTTCAGTGAAGACAACGCCCAAGGGGGTTCTCAAATCCAGATCTACACCGACTCTCGGGACCGCATCCCAGAAGTGGATGAGAGTGAAGCCAACCCATTTTACAAGAAGCCCATGGCAAGCAACCCTTGCCCACGAACCTTACGGCGCAGATATGGTGGGCGCGACAAGGAAGTAGATGAGGCTATCAAACGTGATGATGGCATGGTCTATGTATTGTAAGTTCCCTTTTCCATCTCCGCTCTCTCCCTTGACAATTCCATTTCCATTCTAATTGATTTGACGCAGTCGAGGCAAAAAGACATTCCGCAAATTCAGCGACGCAGTCGAAAGCGATCAGGAAGAAGAAGACGACGGCGACTTGGGCTTGCTAGCAGCTCGTCCAGACCTTATCGATTCATCTTATTCGGCTGATGTTCGTCCTCTTACTCGCTCGTCTATCAAGCCGCGTGTTCTTTTCCCTAGTGCCAACGACCGCACGCCTCGAGAAGTCCATGGCGAGGATACCGATGAAGAAGAAGCCGCCACCGATATAGAGGATCATGAATTTACAGAGGACGTAGACAGCTCTGACCATGTTTCCGATACTGACATGGAGCAACGGCCTGTTACACCACCACTGAACGATACCTCCGAAATTTCCTCTTCCCCTGGTGCAACGGTGCGTGCTCTGCGTTCTCGAGCCAAACGAGGCGGACTTGAACCTAGTGGGACGCCTCCAGCTTCGCAGACCAAGAAGAAACGAGCCAGTCCTTTCGATGGCTGGCTGCGCAAAAAACAAACTCCTGCATATGCCACCGCCACCAAGGCGAAGAAGAGAGACGCAGAACCCAGTTCTACCCCGGGTGGTCCAGTTCCCAAGAAAACAAGGGGTAATAGACTTGCTCTCTCCTGAGTGGCGTGTCTATCTCAGAATGTTGGCCTCTCATTTTGAGGAATATAACATATTCCTGAAACCCGGCATTCACTCGACTGTTTCTTTCTTTCTTTTTATCTCCCCCTCTTTACCTTCGGAGCCAAGGGTACCAGTATTCGATCATAATTTGTATTCAGGTCAGGTGTTTGAAATTGGCCTCTTTTTTTTTTTTTCTCATTCGTTCAGCACAACCAACTGGATTTTGAATCTCACTCAGCATGGAGAAAAGGGAGCGGGAAACGGATGGGATTCAATAGGGATTTTATTTTATGGTTCACTGGCTGGATTGCTTGCTTCTTTTTCAGAAAGTCGAAATTCGTGTATGCATGCTGCTCTCTGCTTTTTTTATTTGTGCTCCCCTTGGCGTCATCAGCCCTTTGTTTAGTAGTTTAGGTCTAGATATCCGAATGGTATGATTTCTAATGACCTTTTTCGCTCCTTCAACTTTTGGATTCAACTTTTGGATCTCGTCTCCAGTATAATTATTCTTGACCATTCTGGGAAAGGAAATGGTTCATTCTCCATAGCTAGTAAAAGTGTCGTCGGTATTCTTGGGTATATATATAGTGTACGGCAGGTAATATTTACTGTGCTCTTAATTAATCTACTACAACCTACGAGTAACTAACTATATTGAAGATTAAGGATATCATGGATCTGTTCAAAGAGAGAAAAGAAGTGCAAAAGCTATAATATGCCAGCTACAAACATACTCCGCAGTCCTGCTCGAAGTACAAGACAAAGAACAACCAATCATTCGAAAAAAGAAGGGTCAGAAGAGAATCAGCAGGAAAAGTAAAGTAAAATAATACATAGAAAGAATCACAACAGGACTCCAACAAAATCACGGTCATAATAGACAGATTTAGACCCCATGTCAAGGAGGATGGATATTCGTAACAACGTAACAGGTGAGGGCTGGGTACTCTTTTTTTTCTCCCTCATGATTGGGGTTCATGGAATCGTGACCATATTCTAATCCAATACTTGCCAAAGGAGAAGCAAAGGAACGAGGGCGTGAAAATACAATAAAAGAAAAGAACAAAAACAAAGAGGGTTGTAGGCCATGATATCTGGAATAGGGTTGATACTTAAAGTGACTCCACTCAATGCGTATGGTCATATTTCGAGTGCTCTAGATAATCTCTAGGTCGTCATCATCGTCATCATACGTTGTTTTGGTCGTCGCAGCTTCGGTTTTCCCTCCAAGGCTGTCCCTTCCGGCTTCCTTGATGCCTTTTGCAGTGATGAATCGAGTCTTCTTGACGCTGCCGTGGGATTTGTCACCATCATGGGCGCGCTTTAAGGGGCTCAGTTTCACATTGCCGGCCTTGCGTAGTCCCCCCAAGCCGAGGTTCTGGACCTGACTCGTGGCATCGGCATTTGACTTGTTCTGCATCTGCTTTACGGAGGGCGAAGACGGAGCGTTCTCCGCTTGTCGAGCACGGAGGTAGTCAGCGCCTATTCCAGGCCCACGAGAAGTGGAAAGCTTCTGCGCGATGTCGCGCTCTCGTTTCTGTTCCAGAAGACGCTTGCGGAAGCGTTCTTCCTTGCTCTCCGACCCACGGCTCATCATCCCTGCGGCTATGAAAGGGTCATCATGGTCAGCGTCGATGAGACTAGCAGCAGACTGGCCACGAGGCCTGTTGGAGAAAGGGTGGCTGGCGTCGTGAGAAGTCTTCGGAGCTGGTGCAATATAGTATACCGACTGAGTTTGCATGTCATATTGGGCACCATTCGCCTTCAGTCCGCTTTTATAGTCACCTCTCTTCCCTCCGCCGAAGAAGCCGGTGCGCGGGCCCGAACGCCCCCCAGGGCCAAACATGCCCGTTCCACTGTTGACGCCCATTCGCTGCGCTTGGGTACGGCGAACCTGGAGGTCGACGTGAAAATCACAGAACTCTGTCTTCCGGCCATCAACCCATGAATGACAGGTCTTACCGTCCTTTTTGACAGCCTTGCAGAATCCAATATCCTGTGCAAAACCTACTTCCAGGACTGTATCGTCGGATGAGGATATCGAGAGACTGAATTTGTTCGTGTCGAGCTTGTGCCTAGGGGGAGGCATGATCGTAGGATTCAGAATTGCGATGACGATGCCCTCTGAGAGTCTGTAATACCGCGGAAAAGCAGTGTCGAATAGGAAAAGATCGATGGTCCACTTAAGGTCTGTGAGTGTAATAGCCATGTATTGATTGGTATTCTGTAGCCCGTCGTCGAAGGGGTCGTTCTCCTTCGCAGAGACATTTTTTGATTCTTTCACCTGTTTTGGTTCGGATTTCGAGGCCACGATCCCAAACACCACATAGTCCCCGTCGATGTCCTCGGGTAACTCAAAGGCAGGGCCTTTGACTGTCCGAAGGAGGTCTGGGATTTGCAGGACTTTCTTATCTGCCAGAGTCCGGGACAGGAATGAATGGGGGAGGATGCGGTTCGAAAGATGCAATGAAGAGAAAGACTCAAATTTCGACGAATCCGGTGTCTTGTCAAGATCAAGTTCTCTCCCGCCAACAGACTCGTCCGAGGAAGCCTTTGTAAAGCTGCTCGCTTGCGAGGAGGGTGCACTCGACTCGGATTTGTGGTTTCGTCTATGGAAATAAGACCTTGACTCCGCAGGGTCAGCATTGCCGTGTTTGCGCGCACTGGGAGCAGTCTGGCTCCTTCTCAGCGCCGCTGGGCTGTTGCCCTGAAAGGACCGTAGAACGTCCTCCCGGCTAAAGCTTTCAGCCTGCCGGCGTCTCGTTGGAGACCTTACGGGAGACGTCGCCCGCGTCTCAGCGGCTGCAGCTTTAAATGCTTCCATCTCTGCCTTATCGAATTGGAATGCGACGCTGCGGTTCGCTTGGGACCTCTCTACTCGCTCTCTTCGGAGTTTATCCGTTGATCTGCTTTCAGCCATTCGTTCACTAAAGCTCTTGATCTTTTTCGCCTCTCCATCCGCCAGCGGCTGGGTATGAGACCCCAGACCATCTCGACTGCCCAAGCGACTTGTCGGCCGCGTTGTGGTTTTTGACATTGGAGGTCGCTTAAGGGACACCTCACCTCCTTTTCGACCCTTGTCAATTCCAAGAATAACTCGCCGAGGGGACACTGACTCAGTTGCAACAACCGGTCGCCGTGTTGGAGACAGCGGGACCTGAACCTCATCTGATTGAAATCTCGCACCAGGGCTCTTCGCGGTAAAATCGGAGGGCTGCGATGTGAAGCTAATGGCGGACGTTGGTCTGGAAAATGTCTTGTCTACCTCATGTGTACCTGAACCCGCGGTGGAAGATTTCCCTCGGCTCTTCTGAAGCTGTTTCAGCCTGAGTTGTGCCTTGATAGCTTCCAGCTTCAAATGAAGGGTTTCCTCATCCTCATCTTCGTCCAATTCGTCCATCCCGTCATCGAGTAGCCGCTGGGTTTTGGTCCGGAGGTTAGGCGTCGGGGTAGAGTGTTTCAGCGGCGATCCTAGGTTTTCTGCCCGACGTTGCAGCATTTTTTGATACTTCTTTCGACCGCTCGGGGAACTGAGAAGAGCCTCCCGAGGGGACTTTGGCGGCCACGAGGTCTCAACCACTATATAACGGGATCTGGTCAGTCCCACGATTGGCGGTGGATGGATATTCGGAGAGGAATTCCATACTCACTGCTGACCATTCTCTTCCGTCTAGGATATACGCCGCTTCTATGGTCCAGTGCGTTATAGAGCGCCGGCCATGATCGCAGGGATGTGAGAAACAAACAAGGCGATTGTGAGATGGAATGGCTCTGTTCTGTCCAGCAAGGCACAATGCAGAAGCACCTAGTGCCGGTGTTGTGATTGGCCGCAGAGAAGCGCGTCGCGTCGGAACGCGTCAAAGTCCCGTGACCTACATTGTCCTCTCTTCTTCTCTGGGAGTCAAGTATCGACTTCTACCTTCCTAGACCCTAAAAACACCATGCGCACCCGCTCAAATGCTCCATCGGAGCTGCCAGAGCCAAAGTCAGAGCCCGAGCAGCGCCACCCTCCACTCACGGCCGCCGAACGACCCAGCAAAACATTCCTCCTGCCTTCGTCGGCGACGGACGATGCGCGGATGGTCCTCCTGCCAAACCCAAAGACAGGAGAACTGACTCGCTATTTCTTCTGCCCCCAATTGGGTGTGCACGAGTTCACCGTGGTTGCCTCCCCGTCACACGTCCCACGCAGTATACTATTTTCTCATCCATCGGGGAACACTCCCAGCAAGGGGCATGCGACGCCAGCTACGGGTAGTATATCCAAGACGGCAGAAATACTGGTTGCAACCCCGATCGATGTGATCTTCTTTATGGTCCCCATTTTGTCCCAGTCCGCCAATGGTCTCTTTCAGCCCCTGGACGACGTTATCGACTCTCAGGACAAGCTCCCCAAACACCTACGCCACGTGCTATACAATGAGACTTTCCGAAAAACTCTACAGGACCGTGTAGAGGCCATCTGTGACTCCGTGGAGGCAGGTGATCAGCAGATGTTCCGGTTTAGTGAGACGAAGCTGCTCAGGGAATTGGTTTCCAAAGCCGAGCGCATGGTAGACCATGGTCTTCCGAAGAGCATGGAAGAACGTTTTATTCGTCAAGCCTTGGCGACTCCCCTCATGAATGTCAAACGTGCTGTCCCTGTCCCTAAAGATAACTCGTCGAATGATAATAAACAGGAAGAGAAATCACAAGAAAAGGAGACCCCATCAACAACAACTACGAGTTCAGCATCAGCCTCAGGCGAATCAGGCGAATCGACGCCCGCTAGCGAGCCATTGCCGGAAGAGCCCAAGACACCAGATCATGTAGCTCAATTACTGCGGATGTCTACTGCTCTGTCATTCATGAAAGAATCCTATCTGTCTCCATCGCTGTGCACCAGAATCAACGAGCTCCTCGCCGGGCCAGACGGCCCCATTGACTTCAAGCCATTAGAGGATCATCTGAAGCATGTGGCCAGTCTTCGCGCAGAGGCACTAGCGTCAAGATCCCTAGACGATTTTAGCCGAAAGCGAAGTGCAGAGGATATGGATGCTGCTGATTCCCGAGCCGAGACGAAACGTCGCAAGGAAGAAGAGGAGAAGAAGAAGAAGGCGGGAGAGTCCCGTGGCGTCAGGGAGTTGAAAAAGGTCAATACTGCGGGCATGAAGAAATTGAGCGACTTCTTCACCAAAGCCGCGCCAAAGAATTCCTAGTAGTTGTTTCGAAAGTCGACTTTTCGCTCTGTATTGAGCGCAGCAATAATATACTAGATGGTAACCTTCGATGATGATTCATCAAGGATTGACGCAGGACGACTATGCCTCTGATGGTTGTACCCTGTCGGTTCTGAGAGATTCCTGAGGGATTTCAAATAACTCCACTGGCCCACTAATCAGTTAAATTCCTCGGACCAATGGCCAAATGGGACATGCATCTAGTTCTGCTACAAATGATCCCAATCCAGGCTCATTCGAACCCTTCAAGCAGGGAATGTCACAGCTCAGGCATACCCTCCCTCTCGAGGGTGGAAGCCAACTAAAGATATCATACGACACTCGGGCCCAGAGGAAGTTTCGTCAACTCCAACTGGGCATATGATGCAGATGCTGGAATAAATGCCAATTCCATGTCAAATTAGAGGCTACTTCAGACTAAATCAATCAATTCTTCATTTAACATACCACCACCACTAGACCTTGACTTGGTCAATGGCTGCCCCGATAACCCTGTCACAAAAACATTAGCAAATTTCACCACGGGTCGACGAAATCACTGGGAGCCTCATTGTAACACGTACATAAATGAGCCGTTAGAAGGCTTGCTAATGACCATAGCCTGGGCCAGTTTTTCCTCGCTGATGTCGGGGAACTGCTTCAGGTAATACTCTTCCTTCAGGGCCTTAGTGACCGCCTCGACCTTGGACTGTGGCAGCATGTGGACGGTGCAACCGCCCCACCCCGCCCCGGTAAGCCGACTGCCCCAGGAACCCGCTCGACGGGCAATGGCACAGATGTTGTCCACCTCTGGAACGCTACATTCGTAGGCCGTGCGGCAGGATTCCTGAGACTCGTCCAAGAGCTGGCCCAGATAGCGGATGCGTCTGTCGTCGAGGGTATGGGCCTTGGCCAGACACGCCTTGAAGTCCAGCACGCGGCGAGCCTCGGTGTAACAGTGCAGAGCTCGCTGGCGCAGAAGGAAGCGCTCCGCTTGGACAGGGAATGAAGAGAGGTATTCGGCTTCCAGATCTGGGACGGAAATGGAGAGCAACTTGGCGATCTCCTCCCGCGTGTATCCTTGTTCCTGAGTGAGAAGTTCCCGGGTAGTTTGGATGACCGAGTCGATCTGGTACTCGAGCGGATCGCCTAGACGGCCTTCCTTGCGCATCAATTCCTCGTGGAAGTTCCGCAGGCTGTATCCTAGCGAACTGTTGTCCTTGGGTAGGGTCAAGCAGTGCTGGGCGGCCAAAACCACCGCGGCCAAGGTGCACTCCGCTACTCGAAGGTTGTAGTGACGAGGAGCCGTCTCAGCCTTGTTGGACGTGATAAAGCTCTGGGCCATGAGGAACGTGATCTCTTCTTCTGCCTTGGGGATGGGCACGTGCTGGACAAAGAAATTCGGGAAGAACTGGGTGTACAGCAGATATCCGCGGCGGGAGAAGATGGAAGCAGCTTGATCCATACTGCTAGGAGTTAGAATAATAATACAAGAATAATATATAGAGAGAATGATAAGAGAAACTTACCCTCCCGAATACACACCAACCGCCCGCTCCGAAACCACGGCCAGATCAAGCAAGTCCTGTTTGGAGACATTGTGCCTGTTGGCCTTCATGACCGCCAGAGCACTCGCGCAAACGAACGCTGCACTGCTCGAGATACCACCTCCCGGAGGCACATTGCCATCCGCTAGGACCTCCATGCTGGCAGGAACAAATGATCCATCCTGGTTCTTGTTGCGCAAAAACTTCAAGGCTCCCAGCAACCCGGCTTTAAAGTAATTGACCCATTCGTGTTTCTTGGGGTCAATCTCAATATCCCTGTCCCGGGGGACGGTGAATTCGTGCGACGGGAACTTCTCCGACTGCACGTTGGCGATCTTGACCGTTGACTCTGAACCAACAGAAGGGATGACCTTGACGGCCATGATCACGTCGACGCTCACCGCGGTGGGAAGGACATCGTAGAGGTTATAGTCGATGTGTTCGCCAATGATGTTGACCCGGCCCGGACTGCGGGCTACAAAATCCGGGCGGTGAGCGTAGGACTTGGTGAACTGGGAGACCAGTCCATCGAAGCGTCTCTGATGCTCTGGAGCAACTGAAGTGGCGGAGGTGTCGTCGGTTGCGTAGACCTCAGCGATAAATTCGGTCTGTGGGACGAGTTCCTGCGGGGTAGCCATGGCGGGGTAGAATACGAGATACTGAAAGAGAAGAAAAAGAAAAAGAAAAAGAAACACACGGTATCAAAGGAAGAGGAAAACAAAGAAAATCCCCAGGAAATGAGGCCTAGTACATCTTAGAGTAGAACTGTGCCCCGCAATGATAGCGTCGCGTGCCTGACCAGCAACTTCCAGCTTGTTTCCCTTTCCGGCCGATCCTATGACTCGGCTTCCCTTTGTTCGGCATCGTGCATTTCCACCCCGATCTCTATGCCTTCTTCTATACTCATGATAATGACCTCATGAGCCACAATCTAAATAGTTCACGTCCTCCGTCAAAGCGAAAAGTCCACGACGTCGCTACCAATAAAACCAAAGTATTTGGAATTAGCCGAAGCTAAAGATGAGAAACAAAGGATACCTGTGGCACGATATTGGCATCCACTTTTTTCTTCTTTTGTCTCTCTCTTTGAAGTGGTTTGTTTTCAGGCAGGGTTGAAGCTAATTCCCATTATATATTTTCTATACTTTATCAGAGATTGGTACGGCGCCGATATGCGAACCTATACTCTGCACGTACTAAGAATAAAAGCCAGGATGATCAATAGCTTGATCTGGGATTGGCTGGCCCAATACCAGCCTGTCGAAATAATTCACTTGAAATTAGTCTGAATGGGCTATCATGCAGTGTCGATAAATGTTTGTTGCTAAGACAGTATATATTCAAAATACAGTCCATGAAAACAGATTGAACTGGTTTCATATGAAGACTAAGAAATTAACCAGAGATTGAGCAATCCTGCAGTAATTATGGACTAGTTACTCAGTACACTCTTCTAATTTACTCAGACAGACTGGACATCAGAATGCAGAAAAAAGAACAATACTAATCTAATTGATTAAATTGGTGTTGAATAGTGTGACTATCTCTAACTTTAAACTTGTCTTGATCAAAGATGCCATGGGTCATTTACGCTTGGTGGTTACCCAGAAGTATTCCTAGTCAGTTATAGTATTAGAAAATTAATGTTATAGAGCAATACCCCTCCTTACATTGTAAATGCTCAATACTTGAATCATTTTATTTTACCTTTTATGCCTCGTACTGTCATACGGGAGAGCTCCGGGATCGGCCGGAGGAATATTTGGCAAATTGGCGGACATGACCCTCACTCTGGTGGTGCTGATCAGATTATGCTATTCGGGCATCCTACATCAAGTCCTTAGAGGTAAGGTATTTGCATACTTCGTAGTAGATGTACGGAGTAAGTGTATACTCGTGAGCATGTGACATGGATCCACGAAGTCATCCATGGTCAACTATGTGAGATGACCAGACTATCAGAGAACCATCGCATTGACGGCCGAGGCATGCAAGGATCCCTCTTCAGTAATGTGGGATGTCTTGAGACTACCCATACGAGTCATAGCCTCTGACCTGGCGAGAATTTGCTGTCTTTATTCACTAGTAATTACTCTTAACTATTTAACACTATTACTTATGAAGCTGTTGGTCGCCGATGATCGGAAGCACTTGAGGCTCCGGACCAATCAGACCCCCGAGATTATTCGACTACCTTGGCGCTAGGCCCGTTCTGGTTAGTCATCCAGATGCTCTCCAGAAGTTTGAGTCTTTTCTCGTGCGGCCATAAGGGCCGGTTACTCACACCAGGTTCCGTTGACTGTCCCGTTGACTCTCCCCTTCCATATACTTCACCCATCTCCCTACTCTCTGGCCTGGCAGTCATCGATTTACAAGATGATGCCTCTAAGACCATCGAGAAGCGCCCTGCGCGCTCTGCACTATCAGCGGTGTATTGCTTCTGCCAGAAGATCGTTCACCTCTCTGCCATCCTCGCCCCACCGCTTTTCTGCTCAAAAACGTGCCCAGAGTACTGCTGCAGCTCCTGCGAGGTGAGTGCCGTCCCTAGAGGCGGTGTCCCAGTCAATTGCTTTAGTTCAGTTTGGATTAATCTGCTCTTTGTTCTGGCCTAGTGATGCGAGGCCTGTTCCCAGTCCTGCTTTTAACCAAGAACTCCAACGCAGTGGTGTATCACCGCTTCAAAATAGAGAGGTCCCCGAGTTGGATGATTCGTAGGTTGATTCACAGTCGCTTGATCAAATAACTGTGGATTGTGTCTAATCTATCTGCTATGAAACAATAGATTCGTTGGACTCAGCGGTGGAGAAATCTTCCATGAGATGATGCTCCGTCTCGATGTCAAGCATGTCTGTGAGTCATCCTAAGAAATCCAAAAAAAAAAAAAAAAAAAAAAAGAATACATACTCTCTCTTAGGTTCCAATTAAGATCATGTTACTGACGTGAATAGTCGGATATCCTGGAGGCGCCATTCTTCCCGTTTTCGATGCGATCTACAACTCCAAACACTTCGACTTTGTTCTACCTCGACATGAACAAGGTGCTGGACATATGGCCGAAGGGTACGCCCGGGCTTCAGGAAAACCTGGTGTGGTTCTAGTCACTTCTGGACCTGGCGCCACCAATGTCATCACCCCTATGCAGGACGCCCTGTCGGACGGCACTCCTATGGTGGTCTTCTGCGGTCAGGTCCCCACCAGTCTGATTGGGACCGATTCGTTCCAAGAAGCCGATGTCATTGGCATCTCCAGAGCCTGCACCAAATGGAACGTTATGGTGAAATCCGTGGCTGAACTTCCCCGCCGCATTCAGGAAGCGTTCGAGATCGCTACCAGTGGTCGCCCCGGCCCCGTCCTGGTTGACCTTCCGAAGGATATTACTGCCGGTATCCTTCGGAAACCTATCCCGATGAGTAGCACCCTCCCCTCCCTTCCAAGCGCGGCGGGTGTTGCGGCTCGGGAGCTGGGCATGAAGCAGCTCGAGAACACAATCAGCCGCGTCGCGCGTCTCATTAACATTGCCAAGAAACCTGTCCTGTATGTTGGACAGGGTCTTCTCGCTCGTCCCGATGGCCCGGAGGTTCTGAAGGAATTTGCTGATAAGGCCTGTATTCCCGTGACCACCACACTGCAGGGTCTGGGAGGGTTCGATGAGCTGGACCCGAAGGCTCTGCACATGTTGGGAATGCACGGCTCTGCCTACGCCAACATGGCTATGCAGGAAGCCGATCTGATCGTCGCTATCGGTGCCCGTTTTGACGATCGCGTCACCGGCAACATCTCCAAGTTTGCCCCTCAAGCCAAGCAGGCCGCCGCGGAGAACCGTGGTGGCATTGTTCACTTCGAGATCATGCCCAAGAACATCAACAAGGTTGTTGAGGCCAACGAGGCCGTCGAGGGAGACTGTGCGGAGAATATCCGCCGCCTCATTCCCCACGTTAAAGCCGTGTCGGAGCGCCCAGAATGGTTTGCCCAAATCAATGACTGGAAAGCTCGATTCCCTTTTTCTCTATATGAGAAGCAGTCCGACGACGGCCCAATCAAGCCTCAAACTTTGATTGAAAAGCTCAGTGACCTCACGGCACACATGAAGGATCGCACCGTTATCACTACGGGTGTGGGTCAACACCAGATGTGGGCGGCTCAGCATTTCCGCTGGCGCCATCCCCGCACCATGATCACGTCTGGTGGTCTTGGTACCATGGGCTATGGCCTCCCCGCTGCCATTGGAGCCAAAGTTGCTCGCCCCGATGCCCTTGTCATTGACATTGACGGAGATGCCTCGTTCAACATGACCCTGACCGAGCTCTCCACTGCCGCCCAGTTTAACATTGATGTCAAGGTCCTCTTGTTGAATAATGAGGAGCAGGGTATGGTGACCCAATGGCAAAACCTGTTCTACGAGGACCGTTATTCGCATACCCATCAGAAAAACCCGGAATTTGTCCCTCTTGCCCAGTCCATGGGCGTGGCCGCTGAGAGGTGCACTAGTCCCTCGGAAATGGAAACCAAGCTGAAGTGGTTGATTGAGAGCGAAGGTCCTGCTCTTCTCGAAGTTTTTACTGATCGCAAGGTGCCGGTGCTGCCAATGGTCCCGGCAGGTAGCGCCCTGCACGAGTTTCTCGTGTACGATGAAGGTATGTCATTCCGACTTCGGTGACCTTTTGTTTCTACTGGATACTGACAATGGGTTGTGTTTGTAGCAAAGGAACAGGAGAGGAAGGCCTTGATGAGGAAACGCAATGTAAAATTTTAATCAACCTCACCACGACGAAATTCCATGCCGATGATTTGCAGTTCCAATAAAAGTGCACTCCTGATCTTTCTGTTGATATCCACGGCGTTTCTGGCAGGTTCTGAAAATGCTGCACCATGACGTCGGACAGCCTTGCTCAGTGGGGAGGTACGAACCCAATTTACTGTAGGGCATATCAAGTAACGTTTGCCCAATCAATATGATTATAATCTCTATTGAATGTGGCTTGTTCGATTTTTTTTTTTTAAAAAAAAAATAAATTTGTTTGGCACGCAGGTGAAAGGAAGGCTAATCAGGAAAAGTATAAGGCCAAAACGAAAAAAAGAAAGCAAGTGATTTGGGGTTTCTACCTGCCGTGGTACTACTTTGTATATAATCTTCATTTTTTTTGTTAACTTGTCCATTGGACTCACTGGGGGAGTTGTAATAGGAAAGCATGCCAATTGTTCAATGGTTCTGTAAAGAGCGTGATAAGCTGTGTAAGCTCCCCGCCCCTCCAGATGAGTCAGCGCGGCGACTTCTTCGCCTCTTGGGGCAGTTTATATCCGAGGAACAGTTACTTAGGAGCTTCCCTGAGCTATCTCAAGCTGCTATCAACTTCTCCGTTTCTTCATCAACCTTCATGACCTCAGCTGTCCGCTCATAGTCACAGTACAGGATGGTACGTTGGGCCATCGCCATCTAGACAGCGGTATCTTTGCATCTATCTCGCTCGATCGTGCCCTGCAACTATGGCGTCTGTCCCGAGCTACTCAACCACCTCGGGAAGAATACGATCATCCGACTGCCCTCCTTCCTCCTCACAGGATGAAGGGGTAAGGAGATCGGAGACCAACAGTTCTCCTTCAACCGAGCCCTCTGAGGATAACGAGACGATATACCTCAACCGACCCGAAGCAACTGCGTCCAGTAGTAATCTCCCCGTTGAGAACCGGAACGCCACCGACACATCCAACGAAGAGCCCCGCAAATGCTGGATCTGTTATACCGATGAAACAGAGGACTCGCCACTGAATTCGGAATGGCGCTCACCCTGTCCTTGTGCCCTGACCGCCCACGAAGAGTGTCTCTTAGACTGGCTTGCCGATCTGGAAAACCCTCGGGCTCGTAGGCGGAATGGTCGTAACGCGAAGATGGTGTGTCCACAGTGCAAGTCCGAAATCATGGTCTCTCGTCCGCGGAGTTATGTCGTTGACATGGTCCGGATGCTGGAACGGTTCGCGGGTCGGCTGGTCCTTCCCGGCATGGTGTTCACACTGGCAGGCACGGTCTGGGCAGGGTGCTGTGCGCATGGTGTGTATTCTATGTACTTTGTTTTTGGAACCGAAGAAGCCCGGCAGATTATGGAGGAGGCGGCAGACGGCTCGTGGAACTCGGGCCTCAACCTTGGGTTGCCGCTGATCCCGTTGGTGTTGATCTTTTCGCGGACCCGGTACGCTGAAGGTCTGCTGCCAGCCATCCCAGTTCTATTCTTCGCAACGCACAATCCAGGTCATGAACCGGATCTCGAATTCTGGCCGCCGAGCGCGGCGATGACTTTTGCGGCTCTCCCATACGTCAAGAGCTTCTACAGCGCACTTCACGAAAGATTATTTGGCAAGTTGGAGAGAAAGTGGATCGTGGAGGTGCAACCACGCCAATCCGACATAAACGACCTTAATGACAATGCACCGCCCGAGCAGCCGGAATTGGGCCCATTGGGTGACGACAACGGCCAGGTACTAATGGAATTTGGCCTGGAGTTGCAAGTGGACGATGATGGGATCCAGGGCGATATAGGTTTTCGCGCAGGAGAGCAGGAGGGACAAGGGCAACCGAACGGACAAGATCAGGGGGCTGAGGGGAATGGTCAAGCTTTGGGATTGGGTCGGCGGGAAGACCTCATACATGAGTCTGGCAACCTGGCCGATATTGTTCTGGGGGCGCTCGCATTTCCAGCGATATCGGCCTCTGTCGGAGGCATTCTGAAGTATTGCCTGCCGAAATCATGGACCACGGCATCCTCAACGCTTGAACGTGGCAGACCGGGACTACTACAGACCAGATGGGGCAGGAGTGTGATTGGGGGCTGTGTCTTCGTGCTATTGAAAGATGCATTGGTTCTCTACTGCCGGTGGAAACTGGCACAAACTCACCGGCGACGGAGGGTACTTAATTACGATCGAACGAAGAAGCAGGTGGTCGATAAACGATAAACTTGAGACTCGGCTTAGGTCCAGAGGTACCGATTACTTGATGATAGTATGATGCATTCTACGGCGTTTTGGGTTGGGACATAGGTATGGGTGATATCTCATTGTTCATCTTTGGACACTTGTGTTTCCATGCAGGCAAGATGTCAATACAGGGAGTAATCAGACGGGTACGAAGAGGTTGATAATTATTCCATGAATACGCTGTCATTGTGTAAAGGACTTTTGAAGATACCTGGATAGCAATACGAGTTCTGTACCTTCATACCTGGGAAGACAATAAGTAGTACGAATGCCGCCGCGCTTATTAAAATTAGCGCGCGGCTCATTTCCCGATCCGCGAATGGAATGCTCCCCAAAAAAGGCAGACAGACCCTCTCGCTTCGTCCCCGTCCACCCAACATTCAACCATCCACCCGCAGACAAGTGTTCACCATGCGGCCTTTGTCGCCCGTTCTCGCCTCGTTGGCGAATGTATTCCGGATTCCAATTTCCCAGACCCCGTCAAGACCGACCATCGGTCGTGTGTGCAATAAACTCCTCACTGAGAATAAATCGATCACGTCCGCCACGCAGCCCATGGCTGCGCGGTCGTTTTCGACTACGAATGCTTTATTAAAGAGAAAGGGGAATGGCCCTCGGACGGATCGTCGGATTAGTATGTCCATTTTATTTTATTCATTCTATTTATTCTATTTCCCGTTGAGTTTCTCCGCATGTATTATGTATCTGTTTTGAATTTCACCACTCCAGCCAACCCTTTTTCAAAAAACTAAAAAATAGAGAGAGAGAGAGAGAGAGAACTATGGCTATGACTAACGTAATCACAGCTCTAATCCGTTACTTCCTCTGGCATCCACTTACTCCCCGTCCCCTCCGATTCTCTCGAACGCGGTACCTACGCCATTGGACGATCCATCGTGCCTGGCAACTATATCAAGGACAGCAGCGACGGGCGCACCAGCTGGAGCTGCAGCGCCAGTGGCAGGCGATGTCGGCGGCTTGCGAGGAACTGCGCACCGGGGCGGGAGACGGTGGCAGACTGTTTCGGAAATCGATGATCAAAACGGGTATCTTCCGGGATATGTTTCCTATTGAGTATGGACGGTTGCAGACGGAGAGTCCTGGGAAAGAGGGTTGGAATCATGAGTGGAAGAGGATGGAGAAGAAATAGATGATATACCGTTGTATATCTCCTGTATCTATTGTGGGTGTGGGGTGGGATTGTATAGGTCTATTTTATTTTGCTCTTTACAGCTTCCCTTTTTTATTTGTAAAATCCAGGTTCTTTTTTGTACTGTACAGTATCAATGGTTGAGTTTGATCCAGTGATTTGAGTTTGGCTACAGTCCCTAAAAAGGATTAGAGATAATTCACAATGTATTTGTTGTATCACGATGACAATAAAGAAAGTAAACATAGTAGATAGATCAATCGCTAGACAGCAGATAGGGAGTGAGCTGAGGAGAAAATCAGACAAAAAAAAAAAAATTCAAGGAATGACAGTATTCATAAAGCGAAAAACAACCAGTCGCTCCAAAGATAAATTACCCATACCAAAGGAGAGAATTCGCAGTGCACTCGCATATAAAGGAAAGTCGCCAAAGCATGACCTCAGAATAAGAATCAATAGTAATGCAATGGGTCTCGAATGAAGAGCCCACGTAACATGCGAATTAATGTGCGACAGGTATAATTGCAGTCGAGAGAAAGTCCACCCAAACGCCGATAATGCAAGATATACTAGTCAAAATTCATCGACGACTCTTCCACTCCCCTTTTTGAGCAAAATCCAATCTACTTGTTGGGTTATCTGGAGATTGGTGAAAAGCGATTCGGCGTCCGAGCGTGAACAAGAGATTACCGTATCTCCTCCAGTTGGTCCTCCAGTTATAGAACAATGCAGCAAGAGCCTTTCCGTTTATCGAATGTCAGAAGAGCTGCACGGGTGGCCGCTTCGAACACATCGTCAACTCCCTCTCCCGTCAGGGAAGAGCATTCGAGATATTTTCTAGCTCCGATCTGGGTGGCCGTTTCACTCCCTTCCTTCGGGGTCACAAATCGCAGCGACTTCTTCCTCATCTCCTCAACTGCATGCGAGTCTTCACGGAGATCTTTCTTCAACCCGACCATAATAATCGGCACACCGGGACATCGTTCATTGGCCTCTACGATCCACTAGTCACAGATGAATCAGTTCAATCCCCAGGTTGAAGAATGGGAAGACCAACCTTGTGTTTTACATTCTCCAATGAATCTGGCGTATCGACGGCGAAACCAATTAAGATCACATGTGCCTTGAATATGCCAATGGACGTAGTCGCTCGTAATCTTCTTGACCAGCGGTATCCCACAACGCCAATTGAACGGACCGACCATCGACTCTGCAATCTGTCACGTAGTTCTCAAAAACGGTTGGAACCTATTGCACGTATGGGACGGTCAGAGGGCAAGCTTGAGACGCTAGAACAAAGGGGGGCATATAGGTAGTTACGTACGTAATGCTGTCAACAAGAGATCCGTTAGCCATGATGTCTGCAAGGTCTCCGCTTCTAGATGGAGATCCTTGGGAGGGCACTTACAGTTGGGAAATAACCCAGCGTGAAGACACTCAGCAGACTAGTTTTCCCGCAGGCACCGTCCCCTATAATTACCAGTTTTCTATAATACGCCCGATATCAGTACACAATCCAAGGACAAGGGAAGAAGAAGATGCCGTATCCCTGTGTTTCCCATCGACTAATGCAGCGGAAAAAATTGACGACAGGGGAACGTAACGGACATGAGAATCCTTTTCTCATTTATACAACGTGGGTGTGGCACGTACCTTCGCATCACATTGTCGTCCTGTGGTTGTTGTTGAGCCATTTTTTCCAGGAGTGGTTGAAAGCACGAAACTCCTTGGGGCAATCTTGCAGACGAATTTCAAGAGAAGGAATGCGGCCAGGCCGATAGAATGGCAAGGGCGCTGGTAAGCCCTGTCGGAATTCGGGAGTGCAACCGAAATCAGGCGCCAGGCTGAGTTGGTTCACTTCACTTCACACTCGGCACGGCTTTCTTTCAGGGAGGATGATACCAATGAGGGGAAGCAACTGGTGAGAACGTCCCCTCCCCCTAACTGCAGGACGACGAGAGGGCAACAAATGGCTTTTTTTTTACTGGGGAGGGAAAAAGAATCAGTGGTTCTGGAAGGCGGTCGCGGTGAGGCTGAAGACTTAAACGGATCGACCAGAATCGAGGATTACTGTATGTTACTTACGTCTGGGGAAGTACGTAGGGTATGTATGTCAATACAGTACCTAGTACCTAGTATCGTATGGACAGCGAAAACCGTACATACAGTACCAGAAAGAGGGCTCTTTCAGGGAGAACAACTACGGAGGGGCACCATGGCAATAAATAGACCCAGGGATGGTAGAAAGCGAGGACCAATACTGCAAATCAAATGGAAGGATGAGATCGACCGGCAGATGGCACAGCTGAAGAGAAGCACAAGCCTATCCACTCGTTTCTAAGGTTAGAGAGATGTCTCAGCCGTCTCCCACTAAGCGACGAAGATTCCATCCTAGTTGTTATTATTATTACTCGGGTGGGGAGCCAGGTGCGACAGGAATTCGTGGAAGCGCACAATATTAATAGGACGGGCTCACTTTGCCCCGGAGGAATTGATGATTCTCACGATGAAGTTCCTGTCTGACGGTCTTGTCCAGAGACAATTCCCCACCCGAACCGTCGATGGATTACAGAAGTACTAGAAGTATTCTGATTCTTATTCTTGGCGGACGGGAGGAGTTCCCTGAATTCTATCGGAGAGGTACCGTGGGAGCTCCGTAGGTATACGGACTATGTAATATATACCAGACAGGATCGATACAGTAGAATAGATCACGTGCAGTATTGGTTCCTGAGGCCAGTGCATCGCTTGCGGCGGCTATCTCTGGTGCGGCCAGCGCCAACGCCCGGCGTCAAGTTCCAGTTCAAAGATCCACCGTTCAAAGCCATCACCGACATTTACACCATCCTGGGCAGCGCTTGTTCGCCGACACTGCTTACTTGCCATCCGACTTGGCTCCCTTAAACTCTTTTGCTGCCCTCCAGTTCGCCTGGCCAATCTGGCCCCGGTTGCCCTTGACGCCTGGACCCCCTCGCCGTGCCGCCCGGCTCCTTTCCACCCCTCTCCGCCCTCATTCCCCGTTTGTCACCTAGTTAGTATCTGACCTTTGTTTGACCTTGACTCTTTCTCTCCACCTGCCAACTCGTGTTGTCGGAGCTGGGTTGCCGTGTCTTCCTTTCCTCACTCTGCCCAACTGCCATCGTTTCCGACCTGACTGGTGAGCTTGTTGGCTTTTTTCTTTTTCTCGTTTTTTGTTCTCTCTCACTCCTTCGATTCCTCCATAGAACGGCTTGTTGCGGCGCCCATCTCGAGGGTTCGATCGACCGACCTCCTCCTACTCTAGCATGGTGACTAGCTGGGAAGAATCTCGGAGACCTGCGACTTGATCTTCACGCCACTCGCCTCAGGAAATCAGCCATACCCTTCCCCGGACTACTGTCGCGGATACCCGGGTCTACCTTCCATTTTCCTCTATCATGTCCGCTCATGGATCGACTCGCCCCACTAACGGCGATCCCTCCACAAGGACTGAAAATATGCCGTCTTCATCGACAGATACAAAGCCGACGACCGTCAACCGTAAGAAGCAGAAACGCAGACAGAAGCAGGCAGCTCGTATGGCGGCGGAGCGTCAGTTTGAGAATGGACATATTCTCGCGGATGCCGCAGAGGAGAACAGTCCCAGTCGGACGGGACCAGAAAGCCATCCATCGGACGACCATGACTACAACGACTCCGTGAACGGTGACGTGTACTACGATGAAGAACCCCGAATCCTGAACGCGCCTCCTCCTATGACGACCTCTTCAACGACTAATGCGCCAGACGACCAGTCGAAAGCAGCCGGGCGAAAGTCCAAGAAGAAGAAAGGGAAGAAAGGCCGTAGCGGTTCACAGACTCATGGAGATGAAAGTTCCACTCCGCTCTCTACCCCTTCGGTGTCGATGTCGCATCCTCTTGTTCCGCCTTTACCGCCTCATTTTGGTTCGCGCACGATTCTGAAGTCGACGAAAGACCGCAGCATATGGAACACGTCGACACAAGAAGAACGCGAGAATATCAAGACATTTTGGCTCGAGTTAGGTGAGGAAGAAAGACGACAACTTGTCAAAGTGGAGAAGGACGCGGTGTTGAAGAAGATGAAGGAGCAGCAAAAGCACTCGTGCAGTTGTACGGTGTGCGGGAGAAAGCGAACGGCCATCGAGGAGGAGCTCGAGGTGCTTTACGATGCCTACTACGAGGAGCTTGAACAGTATGCGAACAACAACCAAGGCTCGTTTGAGAATGGCCCGCCAATCCCCCCTCCCCGGTTATATCACCCACCCCTGCGATCCCCTGGCCACCACACGCGAACGCACGGTCAATTCCATCCCTCGCGAGGTCGAGTAGAGGTCCCTGACGAAGATGAGGATTTGGAGGAGGACTACGACGAAGATGAGGAAGACGACGAGCCGTACAGCGACGAAGATTTCGAAGATGAGGACACACGGGCCGCTCGTGCAGATTTCTTTGCCTTTGGAAATAGTTTGACTGTGAAAGGTAAGACGGAGATTTACGACTTGTGTATTTTTGGTCTACTATCTTTGAAGCTCGAGCTAATTTTCCCCTCCCTCCTTTTGATCTTCCTGTTCCAGATGGTATTCTTACAGTTGCAGACGACCTTCTAAAGAACGATGGGAAGCATTTTATCGACATGATGGAACAGCTGGCGGAACGCCGGATGCAGCGCGAGGAGGATACCCAGTTTGGAATCACAGCCGGCCACCAGTCACTCCACGACGGTCATAACCACGGACCCTATGACGAAGAGGATTACGATGACGAGGAAGAAGAGGACTATGACAGCCAGGAGGATGAAGACTACGAGGAGGATGATATGGTTAGTGCACTCGCCACTGTATCCACACCGTTCTCTAATCCAGACTGACCAATTTTTCATAGGATGCCATGACCGAGGAGCAACGTATGGAGGAGGGCCGACGGATGTTCCAAATATTTGCAGCGCGAATGTTTGAGCAGCGTGTCTTAACCGCTTACCGAGAAAAGGTCGCCGAGCAACGTCAACAAAAGCTGATAGAGGAGCTCATGGAAGAAGAGACTCGCAACGAGCAACGGAACGCCAAGAAAGCTCGAGAAGCCCAGAAGCGCAAAGATAAGAAGAAGCAACAAAAGCAGGCTAAGGAAGAGGAAAAGGCGCGCAGGGACGCAGAGAAGGCAGCGGAAGAGGCAGCGGCCAAAGCCGAGCAAGAAAGAAAGCTGGAGGACCAAAGGAGGAAACGAGAGGAGCAGCGCAAGAAGCGAGAAGCGGAACGGAAGGCCCAGGAAGAGGAGCGTGCCCGTAAAGAGGCCGAGAGGCAGCGGCGACTGCGGGAGGAACGAGAACGACACGCAGAGTTGGAACGAAGGCACCGCGAACAGAAAGAACAGGAAAAGAAAAAGCGGGATGAAGTGCGACGACGAGAACAAGAGGAGCGCGAGTTGCGAGAAAAGAAGGCCCGGGTAGAACAGGCAAAGAAAGAGAGCGCCGTCAAAGCAGATCAAGACGCGGCTGCGAAACGAGCGTCGCAGCCTGTGATCCCCAGCAACCTGCACCATCCACCTTCGGGCCACTTGCAGTCCCCTCATTATCAAGTGGCAACGCCCGTGGTCCCGAAAGCTCCCACTCCGGCTCGCCCCCGTCAACCTTCTCAGCATGGCTCGCACACCTCGTCGCCACGATCCCAGGCAGAACCATCGCAAACGTCTATCTCACCCCGATCGATGGTGCCATCTCAGTCGTCAGGACCCTCGAGTGTGGCCTCCAAACAAAGCCAGGGGCAGCCCATTTTGCATCATCCTCAGCCTTCAACCCCGTTGTCTCCCCTCGGCTCGATGGGCAGAGCTCACCCACCTGGTTTCCCAGGTCCTATCAGCGGACTACCGTCGAATCCCCCTGGATTGGCTGGAATGATTCCTCGGTCGTCAATGGGTCCTGAATTACCCACGTATCCTCCGCATACGGGTCCTCTCATCGGCCAGTTGCGAGGCTTCCCTGCGCCCAATGGGATTCCAATACCCCCAGGGATGAACGGTACACGCCCAATACCCCCTGGACGTGGATTCCCACTCGACCCAGGGCATGGTCTTCCATTCCATACCCAACCACCAATGTCGGGTGCATTCTCTGCACATCAGGCTGGACTGTCTCATAGCCATTCCCGGCAGCCATCGAACTCATTCGAGCGATCTCCCCGCGAAGCGCACGCCCAGATATTCCCTATCTCTCGGCCTAGCCCTATAAAGCGTCCATCTAGTACCCAGCAAGAACAGCAGAGTGACAGCAACTGTACGAACCGAGACGTGGATAATCTGAGCGCGCATTTGGGTAGCAGTGCCCTTCTTGATGACTCTGATATCCCATTCACGTCCAATCTCTCCCAATCACTCCCCGGCGCCACAGCTCCGGGATCCTTACCGGGACCGACAAGAGCCAGCTTTGGAGCACCATCGCTGTTCCCCGATCCTCTCAGTGGTATGTAAAATGTCTCCATCGACAGGATGATTCTATTCGAGGTGCAGTACTCACATCTTTGCACAGCATCCAAACACGGTAATTTCTCGGTGAATCCCGGAGTAGGAGGCAGTACATGGGGGGCACAGATGCCCTTTGGTGCCTCAGCATTCCCCGGTGCTCCGATGTGGGGAACTGCTGTTCATGGTCAGTGTATTGCATACTTGGTGTGTTTATCTGCAGCGATACTGACAAGAACACTCTAGGTAGCGGCTGGTCCAACAACAATGCCTTCGGGTCTAGTAGCCATCATCGTGCGCATACGTCTCGACCTGTTGCCGTTCGGTTGCTGGTGATCCAGGCGTGGAAGCAACTGAATACAATGAGCCCGTCTAAGGGTGCAAGCGGATATCATGACGCTAAACTTGTTCTTCGCCAGGTCGACCACCTCCGCTCAGCCAACGAGCCCTCGATCTCGCTCAAGGAGATGTTGGACATCTGCGACACGGAAGGCAGCACGCAAAACGGGGGCGGTTCATTCTCGATCAAGAGCGACGAAACGGGCGACTTTGTCAAGTTCGAGCCCGACAACAACAGTGCCACCTCAGGTCACAGAGGGAGCATTGTGCCTGGTGAGATCGGCAGTCCTATTCCGAGTAGCAGTATACCGGCATTTGGAGGGGTTGGCAGTACACCATCGGTGCTAAGGCAGTTTTCTTCTCCACCAACTGGGTTCTAGGCGTTCAGTTTGACTTCAGCATCCTCTCAGTGGACGGGGGTTATTATTGCTTGCTTCCTTTCTTAGTCTACATGATTCTGCACTTTGGGATGAGTGTTTGTCTTTTTCTTTTTTTAACCCAGCGTGTGTCATGTCATGGTTGTCTTTCCCCCCCTTTTTCCTTCGCTTTTCTTTCGTGTTCTTTTCTTTCTTTTTCATGATATTCGTTTCCCCATATCCAATGTTCGAGTCCATATCTCGTTCACCGACTTGGTACATTCTCATGTCTTGTATGTCCTATTTTCACTATGCACCGATTCCCAAGGAGCACATGGATCTCCGATTTTCGCGTCAATCAACTAACTCAATTGCATGATCGATTGGTTTCACCAGTCTGTCATCTGGTCTCTGGTTCTGAATTTGTAGGCTATAATAAATCCGTAGGGGCTAATTGGTTATATATGACCTGTTAATACAGTTCTAGAGCAGAATGGAGTATGTTGTCCCTTCAGACTACACGATTACAACTTCGAGAGACAACGGTATGGAAAGCCTCTCCATGAGATTCTATTATCACAATAAATGAATAAATCGATGAGAGAAAGAAAGAAAGAAAAAAGGGTATGATATGGTAGCTGATATCAGCAACAGCAACAACAGGCAGTAGCAGTAATACACCTATAACTAATATAATTTCAAGGCGGAAACAGGGAAATAGAAAAGATGGAACAATCAACAATCAACCAAGCAAGCAAGCAATCTTACAGAGGCTTCGAGCTTGGAAATAGAAATGAGATAGAGAGGACTCTCGAAGTATTCATGGCTAAGGTGAAGGAAATAAAATAAGTAAATAAATAAATACATATCATCTCATAATCATACTCACTCATTCACTCACTGTCGAGCATCCGTTACAACGCCTTCATACTCTCTCGATCGGATGTATTCTAATGTACGCTCGAAGTGACGCTTGGGAGCTTCCAGGTTGGAATTGGGTTCGTCTTCGTTGGTCTGCAGGTTGGAGTGGATGAGCTCGATGAGACCATTGAGGTACTTGGTGGTAACGGTCTCGTTCTGTTGGTCGAAGTAGTAGACGTAGCGGTTGAGGATCTCGACGAAGAGTTCGACGGATACTGCCGTGTCCATGCAAGCGTCGGCGACGCGGAGAGCGCGTTGGAGACACTCGAGGACGCGCTTACCGTCGCGGTAGAGCTGCCGGTCAAAATTAGAAGAATCATCAAGAATAAGGTAAAGAGATCGGGAACGTACGTTCTTCGCGTCTTCCTCCCCTCTTTGAGGGTTCTCAACCACCCACCAAAGGTGGCTGGCGAGGTATACCGCACGGCACTGGTCGGGTTTCTTGAGTAACTTGCTGCCGTGCAGCGCCGCCTTGGTGATGAGTGTGTCGTAGTTCTCCTTGGAGAATCCCCGGGACCCGTGAAGGGCTCCCGCAATGATGCAGACGGCCTGGAACTGGGCCCGCGAGTCACTGATGGAGTCTTCGTAGATGGTAAATGCCTGTGCAAAGAACTCGTAGCTGAACTCTTCAAACCCGGTTTGGTCGGCCACCTCGCCGCACATGACAAAAAGCCGTAGTGAAAGATCCGCACACCCTGGGTTTACGCGCTGATACAGGTTGTTGATGCATTGGTGCATGAACCGGTAAAGCGCCGACGACTGCGACTGCCAGTTGTCATCGTAATGCTCGCGGGCCTTGAGCTTACGCGCCAATCGTATTGAAGCAGTAACGAGAGCTGGCGTGGTGTATCGAATCCGTTCGTTTCCGTCGGCATAGGCCTTGCGGGTGGCTTGGAGGAGCTGTGGAGCGTAGATTATTAGTCTAAGGACAAGGGCACAATGGGACAGAGATAAAGGTCGACGTTACCTTTAGTTGGGTATCGTTTTCTGGCGCCTGGATCAGGTGCACTATTCTGGCGAGCCATCCTTGCTCTTCAATAGTTTCATCGGTCTCGCCCCGTCGCTGTGTTTGCATACCGGGGTATCCCATCGCTTGTTGGGTACCCTCCTTGATCAAGACTCGTAAGATTTGAAGAACACGGTCAAGGTTCTCCGTGGTGGTGATCAACGTGTGATTTTTGAGGAGGCTGCGGGCGATTTCACCGGCGACAGATCGCCTCGTTGGATACGACTGCGAGGTCAAGAGCGGGATGTAGTAAGGTAGGGACAAGGCAGTGAAGATTGAAACGTACGACCGGAGCGGTGCAACGAGAAGGTGTAGGAGATTCTGTTGGGTCGGTGCAGAATGCAGATCGGCATGGTCGGTATACTCTGCAGTCGCTTTGGTGGCGAAGTCAAGGACCTGGTCGACATATTCCAGTCGGTCGGGGTAAGTATTCAGCGCGAGGTTGACCAGCGAGACGAGTAACGCCATCGTGTCTTGAATAGGAAGTCCGCGGGACTTGATCAGATGGACGACCTGCTCGTAGAATATGGTATATAGCTTGACACTTCCAGGTATGCCCGGCTTTGCATCACTATCACCGTTCGCATTCGCTGCAGTCTCTCCTTCTGTTGTCTCAGTAGGTTCTTCCTTCTTCGAATCTTGGTCGATGCCATTCTCCTGGACGGCGCCACCCTCTGCATTTTCCGCCACGGGCTCCTTTTTGGGTTCTTCGGCCAGTTTGACGTCTTCGAGGAGTTTTGTCACCGCCTCCTCTTCAGTCCGCTGCCTTAACTCCGGATCAGCCGACGTATCGGTCTCGCGCGCTGCATATGCCGACAGACGATCCATTAGTCCGATGACGATCTTCTTCAGGTCCACGTGCGGATTGAGGCGAGCGATGGCGGAAAGCAGGAGATCCAGAGTGTGGAGGTGGAATTCATCGGGAAAGACCTTGGTAATCACTGCACAGACCGAGTCAGCTCCAAGCTGCTAGAAAGGGACTCAGTCTCTCCTACCTTCGAGTAAATATTCCTGCGCCAGGACATCGCGACATTGGACAACCTGCTCCAGCAGCGCCTGTAGAATCCCGGACTTGTAACCCTCGAGATCTACTAGCTGGCTGAGCCGCACCACGTTGCTACCGACCAACAGCTCCAGCTCCCGGCGCTCCTGCATCCTCTTCTCCCGCTCCCGGGACGGGCCTTGATGTTGTAGCCTCACCCACAGTTTGTTCATCTCAACGAAATTGGTCAGGACGAAATTGATCGAGTCCTGCATATTGCCCTCGGGGCCGTCACCTGACCCCGTCGGTAAATAATCCCTTGCCTGGCCGGAGAGGTAGTACCGCAGAAACAGACCGCGGATGGGGTGCTGCACGCCGCGACTCATCTCCATCATATCCTTCATGATCTCCTTGACGGGAGCATCTTCCACAGACATGTACACGGTCCCCACGGTGACCATGAGATACATGCGCGGGATAATATTACCGGCATACTGGACCAATTCGTAGAGGTCGGCCAGATGATTGACCGGATGATTCTCTTTCAGGTAGACGGAGAGGTGTCGCAGAGCGTCGAAGACGGCCATGTACAGTTCATAGTATTGCTTGGGACCGAGGCTCGGGGTCCGGAGCTCAGAGACAAAGGTTGATCTGGAGCAATTGCAGTGGATGGTTAGCATTTCCTTTCATGGCTGCCTTGGAGAGAGGGTGAAGGCAGCGGAGGCCGAAGCTCACCCGCATTTGAGCGCATCCATTAATTTCCCCGGCGTTTCCAAACATTTTCGCATCATCTGCGACTGTTGCCGTACCACTCCCAATGCCTCCTCAAGGAGACGGCTTTGGTCTTCGGGAGCCGGTACTGGAGAGGCCATGGTGAGTTTTAAGAGGTAAGGAGAAGAAGAGGGGAGGCGGTAAACAGCAGCTTGCTGGTCGCGGGTAACGATAGGATGGACAGGGATTCAACGACGAGGGGAGAGACGGTCCGAGGAGGAGTACGCTAGTCGGGAAGGATCAGGGAGCTCCTGGTCCATAGACAGGAGGTGAGAGAATGGGAAGATAGATCACAGACTGAGGAAAGGAAGAGAGAGTCAATGACATGCTAAGTTGGAGTGAATCGAATGATGTATTACTCGAATCGGGTTTGGGGGTAAGATATCCGTCTAGTACTGTACGATACCGTATTACAGGGTGTATGCATCGTATCGATATATTTATGTACTCCAAGAATCCATCTAGCTATCCATCTACCCAATATCCCGCAAGCCCAGCTAAGAAATACAACGCCATAACCTGTAAATCGATATCCATAACCGCACGGAAAAAATTGACAACCAGAAAAAACCCGAAAAAGAAAAGGAAAAGGCATCCATCATATCATTCATGGGAAACATCACTCATAGTAAGATGTCATCCGAAGAGAATAGAAAAGAAGAGGCAATTGGCTGCTGGTTGCCGTGGTCATCAAATCCGTGAAGCAGTCAGGTTTCAGACTGGCAATGTGCTGTTCAAGCTCCGCCCATGGTTGGTGCTGTCGCCACGGGCAAGGAGGGTCCGAGTTTCACTGCCGTTGCTGCGAGCACTGAGTTTGGTGGTGGTGGTGCCGTTTTTGTCGCTGCGCCCTCGGAGAAGAGAAGCAACCATGTTACTACGGGCTCCGAGCCCGTGAGATGTAGCATTGCTGCGAGCATGCAGGTTACTGGTCTCGGTACCATTGCTGCGAGCTGCGAGACTTCGAGGCTCGGTGCTGTTGGCCACGGTGGATCGTTTGAGGTTGGGCGAGGATCTCTTGCTAGTATTGAACCCGCGGGGATTGATCTCGGGCTTACCGCCAGGAGTGCCTGTCGGAATTGGTCCAATACTCCAGGCGGGAGGGACGACGAAGCCCGAGGATGAAGGAATCGCTGACCGGGTCTGAGTCACCGTGAGCGTCACAGGCGGAGGCGGATGGACGACGGTCACGGTTTCGAGAGCGGGAGTTAGACTGGTGCCCGATTCGTCGCCAACATTGACGATAGAATACGGCACTTCTCTGCCCTTCAGGGTGTCATTGGCCCGAGGATGGAGTAGAGGCACGGCGTGGGCGCCGATGGAGGAGAGAACTAGTAAGAAAGAGAAAGCGTGCATCCTGACAGGGTCTAAAGGCCTTGCACAGTGAAAATTAAACAGAAAAGCTATTAAATGGATAGAGAAGGCAAGTAGTGAAGAACTCGCAGTAGAGTAGTACCAAGCTCGGGCTATAGATATAGATCGAGAGCAGACGAGGAGGGAGCTTAATATATATCCACGGCTAGATTTAACGACCCGATTTTCCACCGGTCCAGAAGGATCGAAAAATATTAAAAATAAAATACAATCGGGATATGTCATCACGTCATGGCACGGCATCGTAGACCCATTGACCCATAGCGAAAAGCACAGGCTGGTGTATCTCGGGAGGCTGGGAGAAGATTACTAGGCAGCCATCCATATGGGAACTGCCAGCCACGTTCATTCTGAGCCGGTCGGAGAAAGAAACATCATAAACTAAGTGGATATCCACGCAAGCTGTGATTTTGCACTATACTGTCCGAGAAGCCCTGTAGGCAGACAGATATGCTGATTTCTGATTCTTCACAGTGACTGCCAAGCATCCAGTGGCTGGGCCGATCTACTTGCTGCGGCGGTAGTAATGCATGCGATGACAACAATGCATGCGATGAATATAATCAAGCACGATATGATCGAACAGTGACATGCTGTCAAGGACGCAAGGGGTATGGCAGTCAGTTCGTGAATGTGGTACGTAAGTATACTGTCGAGTCGACGCCAACTCTTTATGTATGCTTGGTATATCTCCAAGCCTCTTCGTCGACAACGTAGACAAACTCTGCGTTTGATTGCATGAAATGATTACGTTGCTCACCATGATATCCATGTCGATTCATTCTGATCTACAACCTAGACCAAGGTGACGAGGCCTACCCAGACTAGGGACACCGCTTATGTATGCTGCAGCAATAGGAGAGAAGTCTTTCTTCTTTGCCTATGATACTTCCACCGACCGCTCCAAATTGTTCGTCCGATGCGTGATCGTTATTTTTAGGGTTGTCTCACAACGTTTTGCCAGCTGGACGTGGACTACTGACTTGGCGATGCGAGATACCCGGGTACCTTGACAAAAATAAATCAATCACACGTGATTGATTGATGCTACAGCGGCATGCACCATGGCAGTAGGGTATACAGCCTGGGCGGACATAGGACGGAAAGAGTCAAGCGGGAAGGTGACGAATCCACTCAGCAAGGGCAAACACGACTATATAGCCAAATCCTCGATTCGAATCAGCCCGCAGCCTAGTCCAGCGCTGGCCCATCCAGCGCATGCTTGGTTGGGATTCCAGGACAACGCAGTGACGTGCGTTCCTTCCTCGAAGATCGTGATGATCATGGTGCCGTTGACGAGCTTAGGGTCCCCCATCAGGTTCCGCAGCAAGCTGATGCTCTCAGCGCGGTATCCGTCGTGGAATCGACTGGCTCCCGGACTATTGGTTTCCGTCCCTCGCACCCATTCGTGCGTAAACCAGGTCTGCTGCCATTGCTTTTCTTTGGGGTGCAAAACTCGTCGCATCGGGTTGATCGCCACCACGGCGCCGCTGGTAGCTCCATATAAAAGACTCGGATGCCAGAAACTACACGGCGCCAGCGCGGAAATCGTGCTCGGAAGCCGGGCAATGGCGGTCGTGGTGTAAAAGCGACGCACCGCCAGCATCCTGGCGAAGTCGTTTTCGTCACCGGAGAGGAAAGCCTGCAGGATGGGCGAGTATGATAAGTGGGCCGATCCGAACCGCATGCGCATCGTCCCGACGGTGTTTTTGTGACGGTCGATGAGCGATGTTAGCCGGGTATCGCCATCCATCGACGTCGTAGATAGCAAATGGGGGTACGTGGGATAAGCGGATGTCAGGTTGAGAATGTACGTCGAATGGAGGGGTTCGTAGAAGTACGGCAGCGGTTGAGGTGAGGTGCTTGAAGATGCGATACTCCAGACGGCCACGAAGCCATTGGCACAGCCAACGGCGATGTCACTGGGAGAGAGCCATGCAACGCATGTGCACACCGTCGAAGGCGGCTTGGCTTCGAAGACCGGCGACGCGACCCTGCCTATGACTCTTATTAGTATACGTAATTCCATGGGCGATACCTGGTGACCGTCGTACAGAATTCCGTCTTTCTGGGGTCCCGACTCAACTTGACGTCGATGACTCGCACACAACCATCTCCCCATATTCCTGCCAAGAGGCCAATGTTTTTCAAGGCATCTTCGTCGTCTTCATCCCGCGAATCTCGAGCCATGGGGCACCAAGCGATCCGTTTAAGATCTCCCCAATTAGTACATAGAGTTAAGCGTAATCGAGGCTTGGAGCTCATATCTAATTTCTTAGTGAACGAGTCATCTTTCGCGGCCTTGAACGCCCAGAGCTGCAAGGCACATGGATACGGCGCAGACGGACTGAATGCAGGCGCGCCCGCATCCAAGGGTCTGGCGTAATTTACCTTCTGTTCTTCTAGAAGAGGAGCCACCATGGCCAAATACTGTGTCAGACCGGGTTGGTTAGGAGCCCAAGCCATGCATTTGACCCTTTGTCCCATGTTTAGGATCCAACCTTGCCTTTTCGTTTTCTTTGTGCGCGTAGAATCTTTCGTTTCCGGCCAAGCCTCGCCGAAGTCGACAGACTCATGCTGCGCCAACGTGAACAACTTCTGATCATCCACCGGACCGATGAATACTTTATGCTTCTGCTCCCTCGGGCGCGGCAGGTAGGCTTGACGAACCTGACGCTCTGAGATTTTCTCGATCCGCTGGCGTTTTCGTATTCTCCCTCCCACATCCTCGGCATAGTACCAATCCCATCCGCGGGTCCTCTCCCTCTCCAGGTCCTCGGGCTCAGCACCAAACGTTAATCCATACCTATACCCTGACGCCTTCTGCGCCTCGTCCAACGATGAACGAGTGGGAAAGGTCGAATCAAGACCCCCCGACCAGATATCTCTCGCATGCAAAATAGACAAAAGATCCCTATCATCCGTACCGAAGGTCACCCGAAAATGGTCCGCCTTTCCCAAATGTTCTGCGGGATTCCAGGAACCCCGGGAATGCGTCTCATCGTCCGCCGACACGAAAGGGCCATCTGTATGTCGCTTTCTGGCGGACTTCGGACGTGCAGCAGGAGTCTTCAGATGACGACGGGAACGAGCAGGTTCACTGTCCTCTGACATTGGCTCGTCTTCGTCGCCATCATTCTCAGGAACCATGTCCCCGTCATCATCCTCGTCATCAGAGCTATCGTCCGGGTTGTCCTCGTTGGCTTCGTCAGCCATCTTGAATTCCTCGTCAGAAGAAGAACCCTGAGCCTGCGAAACCGCAGCTTTTCCCTTACTTTGGGGTGGACGGGTCTCCTCCGGGGCTGATTCATCGCTGACCCCGGCCATCTCGAACGGGTCATCCGTATACTTGGTTCTTGGGCCTGATTGGCGATTAGACCTGCGTGTGCGAGGCATGACGCAATTGGAACTTTGGATTCCCAAACTAGGGGGAGGTTGTATAAATTGTAATCATGTATGAAGCACAGAGAAGCTACTTGGACCGGAGACTTGATAGAAGAACAGATACTATTTAGTAGTAGATGACGAAGAGTAAAGAGTAGAAGGAGAAGCTCATTCGGGCCGAGAAAGGAAACCTTTTCTTGGCATTTAATATTACAGCGCTATTCCGTTTTCGGGTTATCCAATGGTGTCAGAGAAACCCCACTTTTCCGTACTTCTGCTGAAGAGAAATTATAAATAGTTCGAAGAATCATCAATTATTGGGACTAATTATTATCTTTACTGTTCTGGACTACAATCACCATCCAACGACTCCGTTCGCCCTCTACCAATATATCGAGTATCCGTGAAAGATGCCGGCATCATATCCAGGCATCCTGCACCAATATGTACAACACCCGATAGATCCTGTATAGGGACATCAAACTAAAGATACTTATTCTCTAGGCCCCCCGACTCGTAGCCCATGAATTTGTATCTCCCAACCAGACTCGACCCAAACCGCACAGTCTGCTCTTCGTAGGCGGTCTGACAGACGGTCTGGGAACGGTTCCCTACGTGACAGAGCTGTCCAAGGCTCTCGAATCCACCGAGTGGTCGCTCTTCTGGCTGGTTCTATCGTCATCGTATCTGGGCTGGGGCATTGGCAGTCTAGACCAGGACGTCGAAGAGATCTCACAATGTGTGAGTTTCGTACGCAAGTACAAGAGTGCGTCGTCCTCCGACGGCAAAGTCGTGGTAATGGGTCATTCCACCGGGTGCCAGGACGTGCTGCATTATCTATACTCTGCGAATCCGCTGCCACAGCGTCCGACGGATCAGGAAGTCGGGTTGAATCTGCAACGTCTGGTGCGGCCGGTGATGGACGGAGCGATCATGCAGGCGCCGGTTTCGGATCGGGAAGCGGTGCTGCATATGATGCAGACGAGTGCCGACCCCGATGAGTTCCGCAGGATTTACGATCAACTGGTGGATCTCGCCCGTCGACAGCCACCGACTGAGATCCTGCCGTTGCATTTGACGAGCAAGGTCGGGTATCCCGGTACCCCACTCAATGCGCGTCGGTTTCTGAGTCTCGCGAGTCCTGATAGTCCTGTGAATCCGGAATTGGATGATCTGTTCAGCTCGGATCTGACAGATCAAAGACTGCGGGAGACGTTTGGAGCCGTGGCTGAGCGGGGTCTGCTGCGGTCGAAATTGATGGTATTGTATTCGGGTAGTGATGAGTTCGCCGCCGGATGGGTGGATAAGGAGGCGCTGTTGCAGCGGTGGAAGCTGGCGACGAACGCCAACGGGAAGGAGAAATGGGATGAGAACAGTGCGGTCGTGCCGGGGGCCAGTCACACCGTCAAGGATGAAGGGCAGACAGATCTGATTGCTCGCGTTCTACGTTATCTGAGCAGTGTCTGAAAGGTCGAAAGATATAGACGCTTATTTTATTGAACCTATTGTACATACATAGTGGCAGCAACATAGCCAACGACATGAACCATCAAACTGACCGTCCTAATCCAAAGCGAAAAGAGAAAAGAAAAGAAAAGAAAAAGGAGGGTATAGTTAGAAAGACCACCGATCACGTAGGCAAGACCAATGCAGACCAATCCATTCCGGATCAAATCATCAAACCTTCAACCACAACGTGAACACCCCCTTGAGATACTCGACGATCTCATGCCCGCCCAGTTTACTCTCTCCATACAAGCGATCGACAAAGGTAATAGGACACTCGGCGACCTTGAACCCCATCGCCTTAGCGCGCACCATCATCTCCATCTGGAAACTATACCCTTTACTCTGGGTACTGTGGATGACCTTCTCGAGCACGTTTTTCTTATACAGACGGAAACTCCCCGTGAGGTCACTGACGCCCGGCATGAGCATCACATCGGCGATGAGATTTGCTCCACGCGAGGTGAACTTGCGGATCAGGTCCCAGCCGTAGACGCCGCCCTTGATGTCGTTATGGTTGGCGTAGCGGGTGCCGGAGACGATGTCGGCGTCGGTCTCCTTCTGGATGGCAATCATCTTGGGGATGAACTTGGGGTGGTGGCTGAAGTCGGCGTCCATGATGATAATGTAGTTACCCGTTGCGTACTGGAGGCCGTGGACGTATGCCGTTCCAAGTCCAAGTTTGCCTTCGCGGGGCTTCAGGTTGATGTGTTCTGGTCCCCAGAGTTTCTGGAGTTGTTTGGCCACTTCGAGTGTGCCGTCGGGGGATCCATCGTCAACAATCACTATCTCCCAGTCTAGATTGCTAGATCATATCCATTAGTGTCAAAAGCCAGATCTGGAAGATTCAAAAACAAACAAAAAAAAAAAAAAAGGAAAAATCGAAGCAAAAAGAAAGGAAAAAGAACAAGAGAGAGGCATCAGGGGAACTCACTTCTCGCGGAAGGTCTTCTCAATCAACCAGCAGATAATAGGGAGGTTCTTCCGTTCGTTGTACGTCGGGAGAATGATTGAGTACTTGTTCTTGACGGCGCCCATCTTGATCACCAGAAGAGAGTAAATGGTCCAGTCCGGGGAAACAGAAGTCTCGACAACACACTGGAAGTTGCTGCAGGTGGTGTTGACGACGTTGCGCGGTCGGCGTTGACATAACGTGGCCGGACTAGCGCGAGGTATTCGTTACACCCGTGGAAACTGTGCGATGGCTGGCCATGACGGTACAGCATACGCTCACACCATCCTCATAAACCCGTCCCTGAAAATCTCTAGTTTGGTCGAGAAGGTCTGCCTGGAATACTAGATACGATGCTATGCTGAGGAGACCATTCATGTGTACTAGGGAGTCCGTCTGCCTACAAGATATCTTGCGGTACAATAATGACGTACGCTTCCATCTCCCCTTGAACTCAGAAATAGTGCCACCCTTGTTATAAGAGGAAATTCATTTACAAAATGCATTGACATTGAGAGCTCGAACATCTATATATAATATATATATGTATATCATTGGCATGGATCATTTAAACCAAGCCGTGCCTGAACGCCACAACCCATGGGATTTCCAGGGTCTTTACAAAACCAGAAGATTCACCACTCTTTCCACTCACTATCCCTGCCCAAATCCTCCATGGAGTTTCCCTTCACTGGCAATTTGACTAAACGATCGATCGTACCGATGATTCATCTCCCCATTATGATGCTTCACATCCTGCGGGACAACCAATCGAACATTGCCCTGAGTCAACATCGGACATAAGTTCCCGGGCCCTGGAGTGACGGACTCCTGATCCACGTCTTAACGATTGAGATGGAGAGCTCACTGCAGATGGCAATTTCGTACTTGGTTATCTCCCTCAGTATCATATGAACTCTGCACATATGGTTGCCGAGATAGAGTGATAAGACCTTGCAACCAATAGCTCGAAACAATGGAAGAGTAGGCCGCTCGAGCTGGAAGCCTGGTGCGAAGAGCTGGTTGAACATTGGCCCCTGTGGTTTAAATGCTGCTAATATGGCATGGAGTCTTCGCACTGTTATGCTCTCCAGAAACGTTGCTTGATCATCACATTGATAGTTCGTTACCCAGAGTGCTTGTAACTGTTATCAAATGGGCCACTGCCAAGACAGGAGCGCAAGAGAGAGCAGATAAACTAAATATTACATTTCGACTGTCTTCTCCGTGCTGGTATTGCCGTCATCTCATACTGCCAGAAGCAAACCCTTGACCATTAATGTGACTGTCAAAACACCCAAGAATTGATGTTCCTAAATAATAAATAATAACCAAAAGAAAAGGAATAGAATAAATAAAAAGAGAATAGGGTTGCATATCCAATACCATGGTGTCTTGTGCACCATATCCGCATAAAACGCCAGTTAACCGATACCATTAAAAAAAACAAAATGCATGACCAAATATTGGATATAATAGTCCAAAACAAACCATATTGGGGGATGTCAAAATAACACAGAGAATCACAGAACTCGCAAATATATAGGATGCATGTCATAATCGCCAATTAAAACCCAGGAACCCATCACACCTAAGAGCCCAAGCAGATCACACAAAAGGATCATTGTTCGTATGCACATTAATGGCCACAGAAGAAGTGTGGAAGAAGTGACTGCTATCTTGATAACGCCAACGCCTTGGCTGCAGGAGAACCACCTGGAGAAAACTTGTTTGTTTGTTTTCCTTTTCGGTTTTTGCTTTCTGTTTCAGAGTCACCGGTGCCAACAGCAAATCAATCCGTTAAAGATACACAGTAGCAAACACTCGCATACTGTGCCTTCGCGGTGTATGTCTGAGTTGTACTGCCAATGCCTTTGAGGGTGGTGGTTGGGGTAGGTTCTAGCTCCTTGATCTGGATCGTCTCAGGAGAAACAGTTTGAACTGAGCCATTCTCCATCACATGCATCTGTTGACAATAAGGGGTCTGGGCATCGGCATAATCCCGTTTCTCCTCCATCTTGATGCGGCGAGGGAAATCAGGTACCTTGTCTTTGTCTGGGGAGTCTGACGATTCCGTAGGCTTGGGTCGCTCTAGTAGTGATGCGGTGGAACTTTTACCAAAATCCCTTGTGCTCTTGTTGGCGTACAAGAAAAACTCCATCACAGTGCCATTCCACCAACAAAACCACGGCTTGTCCCCTGACTTCGCTACCTTTTTGCGATAATATGCACCCTGTAGCACTTCAAACTCATCAATGTGACGTTTTGACGACGCTACACTCGACGAAAAGGTGTCCTGCGGAACAACGACCAACTTGTCAAACAGGGTGAAGAAAGTCCACGCTGGACCAAGACTGAGGTCGCTGGAATCCATCACGAGACTCAGGGACTGCGTAGGAGTAGCAAAGAATGGTGCTTGTGCACCATAGGTGAAAGACGAAGACGTGAAGGTGGCATTTTCAAACGTAATGTTGGGTTGTGTCTGTGTCCCAGATATTGAAATCGGAATATGGCCCTCAGTCATGCAGCCCCAGGAGGGGGTGTAGTCTGAGTCGGCGATACAGAACTTCGACTGATTCTTGGCGTACGCGGGAATCATGTAGTTGCCGGTAGGAAGGGGCAACAAGTTGGTGGGAAAGGTCGATATCGGCGTCGCATCCATTCGCGGGGTGGCTGTCTTGGTGATAATCTTGGGGCTGTCGTTTTTGCCATTGTCCTCACTTGCCTCTTTCCTTGCTCCCAAAACTCCACCGATGACTCCACCAATGCATCCTCCCACAACCATGACGACAACCACCAGAATTATAGTCCAGACCGGCAAACCACAACAAGCCTTCTTCTTACCCTTGTTCTTGAGTTTTTCTTCAAAGGCCATGATTCCCGTCGGTGGGGGTTCCTCTGGCTCGGCGGTACTGCGCGCGTTGGCCTGACTCTCTGCGAGTATTGCCGCTGCAGTTGCTTCTGGAACGGGCGGCGTCTCCTCATTGCCCGTGCTTTGCTCGGAGGCCACAGGAGCATCCGCGGCCGACTGGTTGGGCCCCTCAGCCTTCGGGACTGCACCGTCCGGGTACCGCGAGTATGGTGGAAGTTGCTCAGTATGACCATCAGGTCCCACCAGATCCCCCACATCGTCATCGGCACGGTTGGGCGGTCGCTGATAAGTCTGAGTATGTCCCGGAAAACCTAGAGGAATCACGGGAGAATCGATTCCCTCCTCCGGTACCACATTTTGCGGATACATCGAGTAGGGATGCTGGGGGGCATTGACATCTAATGGTCGGTCCATAGGTCGTACTGTTGACGTCGTTGTTATACTGGGTGAGCGACTGACACCGACTTGCGGATACATTGCATACGGATGGCTGGGCCCGGTCGCGCCCGTGTAAGGACTGAGTGCCCGAGGCATGGAAAACCGCGACGACGTACTTTGGCTCCGTTGTGCGATAGAGGGAGCGGTATTAGTCGACGCAACCGAGTCCCGGTTACTGCTGAAGTCTACCCCCTTTTGGGGAAGGCTCGATCGGTGTTGATCATCGAAGGACACCCGAGCCTCATCACCGAACGGGTTCTCTGTCGTCTCTGGCTCATTGGGAAGGGTGGTATACGATTTCTGTTGGGGCACCGAACGAAGGGTATTGGAGGATGCAACTGACGAGACAGAAGGGCTTCGGGGGGTGAGGGTGGTCTGCTCGGAGTCGATGGGTTCCAGTGAATACTCGTCGGAGAAGACGTTGGGATTGGAGGAGCGAAGGGAGGTTGAGCGGTGATGCATTGAATCGGTATCGGGATTAGGAGTACAGTTTTGGGATGGCGGCCGTGATGATTGAGAGAGGGAGCGAGGATGATCGGAAGGTAGACGCCCAGACATGGCGCTGCACCGCCCTGTCGGGCTTCCTTATCGTGATCGCTCAATCCGTCCGAGGGAGCGGATCAGTCACCTGAGTCGACTGAGGGACGGAAGGGGAAAGCAAAGGAGGGGAAGCGGTGAAAATAAAGGGGCGAATAAGAGAAGTTCAACGACACACAGAATACCTGAAAAAAGATGGGTCGAAATGGAGTATGAAAATAAATCGGGAAAAAAAAATAAATAAAAGAGAGGAAGGAGAAGATGAGAAGGGGGGGAGAGGTGATTGAAACGAAGGATTCTGAGAGGGAGTTAAGGGAAGAAGAGAGAGAGAGAGAGAAGAAAGAGAAGGAGAAGGGACCAAAGTTAGCTGCCTGGAAGCCTGAGGGAGCCCAAGAAAGGACTAGTGGGCTCGGGACTAGTTGGGTGGTGGCAGATGTACAGAGTACAGAGTACAGAGTATTATGTTTCTTAATTAGAAAGTGGGTTTCATTATTATTAAGGCCCTCAGATCAGGCAAACAAGAAGAATCAGACTGGGATTGTTGTGATTCCATCTGATCCTGTGGAGTTGTGGTCTTTTACACCGTGTTCTATTCCTGAACCTCCTCAAGGCGAGTGAGCATCGCCACTATGCGCTACCCGCTCTGCCCGGAGAGATAGAGAGAGCCGGCAAGCACTGACAACTAGGGGAGTCCCCTGGTACTCCGTACGACAATCAAGGAATAAAAATAGTTCTCCATAGACACCAAAATAAACCCTACAAATGAATCCTACTGATGGGTGATCTCCCCATCCTTGCGATCACTGGATTGAAACAAACCCATCTGATGCCGAGACACCCTCGGTTGTAACCCCGAATCAATAACAAAAACAAAAACAGAACCAGAACCCGGTGGACTACCGTGAACTACTTAGCACTACAACTACCTCAATACCACGCGAAGTTAGCTTGGGATGAAACGCGCCACATTGGTATCATCGCCGAATGACGGAGGTGGCTCTGAAATGCCCCCATTGTGAGACGGTCGGTCATCCATATCTTGGCAGTGTCGATTTGATTGGCGATGGATGGGCTTCAATCAAGGATTCCAAAATTTCCATTTCATCTTTGCAGCCATCTTTTCCCACTGGTCTATGTATTAGTGGCAAGAGAACTGCAGATATGAACCAAAGTACAAGGGGGGAAAACCCACCCAGAAACCCACCCACAAGAGACAGGGAGGGAGAAAGAGAGAGAAATTAAAAAAAAAAAAAAAAAAGAAAAAGAAAAGAAAGGAAACTGCGAACAACTTTTAGTCCATTAGCTACCAACAAACGGGCTCTAATTATGTTCCGCCCAACACAAAAAATCTCCAAGAACGGATCATGATTAAATCTCAATGGCCGGTGGAGTCCTGTTAGACTGGGAAAACTCTATCGGACCCAATCCGGAAATCTTGTAGATCGTTGCCATGAGAGCGTCACATATGTACGTACGTCTGGAATGTTGGCTTACTTACTCCGTGATGGGCGAGTCAGTTGATTTCTCCGACTATAGTGGTCTTGGACTGTAGCATTTTCGTGCCAACAAAGAAAAGAGAGCTTTTATGCTCCGTAGTTGTTGGAGACGTGGTTCAGCCGGTACCAAAGACGGAGTTGGCCCGGTTCCTCGTACCGATCGTTGCGGTTTTGAACAGCCGGCAAAGGTTCCTCAGGTACACTCTCTGTAGCTGGATAGCGGTTCATGGTACACAGCGTACCAGAATGGTCTACTATGGATTCAACCGGTGGATATCTATTGCCTGACTATCCATTGTTTAAAATTCTGTCCTATGCCCTGATCAGTGCAGAACTGATATGGCTGAAGTTACGGGTCTAGATCGTTTCTGGCCACAAGATCTGGACAATTCGAACTACAAAGGAGTGGACTCCTGTCGCAAAATGGGGAGAAGCACCTCTCATTTGGGCATTTAGCCAAGCTTGTCATTTTTTTTTTCAGCCGAGCCTGATGAGACCCATTGACCCACATAGCTGCTGTGATAGTAACTCAGTTATGATGTTCTGGAACCGATTCCAACGCCTATCAATCCCGACCCGTAAAGGAACTGTACTGTGTAGGTAAGTACAATGCTCTATGCAGAGCGCAGTGGATCTCTCTGACCCATCACTAGGGCAGAATAGGGCAGAACTGAATCGCAAATGCTAATGGAAACGTCATCTGTAGAGACATTTTTAGATGCTAAATGGACCAAAGCACGCAATTGCTTCAAATCATGGTTGTCTTCTCAGAGCCAGGATATCGGACAATTTCACCAATCCTTTTTCTCCCCAGCCTCCTACTCCACTTTGAACTGGTGGTCGGACATGTAAATACCAAGCCCAAGCCCGTCGGTCCAACTCATCCTTGCTGAGGAAAGGAGCCCAGGACTCACACGCCATGTCAATGCAGCGTAAGAGGTGTCCCAGGCGTGTCTCTTTCTCCGACTGTACCTCAGATACGCTTCTAAGTTTAGGATTACTCAGTGGCTTCTTGTTGTGACCAAGCGCTTCTGTAAATGACCTGCATAGATAAGACCGCGCAGACTCTGGTGTGAAGATAGGGAGGGGTCGGCTCACTTTGGAGGCACCCCTGTGGGTGCTTTCTTGAGAGCTTCGTAACGCCTCCAGATCAATCCCCCCATAGAGGTGGTGTATTGGTTGAATCACCAGAGATGGGCTGGCCTAGTATATCGTCTAAAGCACCGGGGAGTATCGCATTCTTCTCTGTGCAATGCTCTTTTGTCGGTTGGCCCTCTCGGGGATTGTAGTCCCATCTTTTCAAAACCTTGATTTCTCTTCCCAAGACTTTGACCACGGGCTGCCCTTCCCCCCAGCCTTCATGCTCGGCCGAATCGCCGCTTGCAATGCCCAGACTGACAGCTTTTGAGCGACTATTGGCACTAACCACTGCCTGGGCTAGGCTCAACCTGCTAGAAATCGGCTGCTCGGGCATTGTGTACCTTAGGATACAGACGGCAAAAGCAAGCACCAGCGGCGCTCTATTAGTAAGTAGGACAACGTTCAACAGCTCATCTTCGGCTGCCGATGAGGCTGGAAGGGAGAGAGAGCACTCTGTTTCAAACGGGGTGACATTCTCTCCTCTGTCGGAGCCTTTTGCTTTTTTCTGTGACGATGTCGAACCTTGGACAGGCGCCGCACGCTTCTTGGATACCCGCTTTGCTGCATTAAACACCTGTTTTGCGAGCTTCTCCTCCTTGAAGATGTCTTGTAGTGTTTTGAGCTCCGCCTTGGAGATTTGTTCAGGACTGTGGTCGTATTAGAGGTACATTTTTATGCCTGGTTTGATGAATTGCCTTGGAAGTACTTACGTAACTAGCCTTGATTTCTGAAGGTCTATTACTCTACCCATAGCAGTCGCCAGTGGGATTTTGGCATCCTGTGACAAAAAGCGCAGCAAATCCGGAACCTGTGCAGTAGACATGGCTTTCTGTCTTCTAGTAATGTCAAGACGGAAAAGGGTTGATGAGGACTATGGGATAGAATCGCAGTAACTACTCTTGGGGGTGAAATCACAGTCTTTCTGCCTCAGGCTGCAATAGTCTCCGCCTCCACCCCAATAGATTCCAACTATCTCGCTGCAACGCCAATCCTCATTCTCCCATCCTGTTGCCCGAAGCCTACCGCACGATCCCTGCTGCATCTGCAGCCTCGTCACTATGACGGACGAATTCAAAGGCAAGGGCTTTCCAGACGTCTCCACGAAACTTTCCGCCCTCCCCAAGAAGTCGCTTTTCGAACGCCAAAAAGCCGAAGCCGAAGCCAAGCGTGCTCGTGAGCGAGCTGAAACCGCTGCGGTCTACGAAGACTTTGTTAAGTCGTTTGAAGATGACTCACCTGGTCTTGATCGACCTCCTATAGATGGAAGGGGTGGTAGATTTGGAAACAGGGCTTCGGGATTTGTGGGAGGCCCTGCGAAGCGGCATTTCACCAGCACAGGTCCGCGCATGAGTGGGCCAGGGACTTTGGGACCACCACCACCATCGCTGTCGCGCAAACGTAACCATGATGGATTTCCGCCGCTACATCGGAATCGAGACTCAGTGCAAGGTGTTCTAGGCTATGAAAATGCTGCCCCATCGCCCGCTTTTCGCACTTCGGATGATGAGAATGAAGACACTAGCGATGCGAAGGAAGCTGAAAAAGCAGCCGCGAAACCCACACTGTACCTGGCATCCTTGCCTCCTGGGACATCGCCATCGGTGATCAAATCCTTAATACCCTCCGTTTTGTCTGTGGATAACGTAAAGATCCTCCGCCCCCCCGGCCAGCCATCCGATCGCAAGTCAGTCTCTGCAATTGTGACCTTGACGAATGAAACCGCAGCCTCGGATATAGATAGTTCTGTGAGCGCGCTCCAGAACAAATATCTTGGCTGGGGATACTACTTATCGATTTCGAGACACCTTTCATCCGCTGCTATTAGCTCTACCGTACCTGTAAACATCGGTCTCTCATCAACAACATCCCTTCCGTTTGGCGCCAAAACAATCGCGCCAGAAACTGGAGGAAGGTTGAATCGAGCCCCGCCACCCGGGCCTCGAGGATTCGCACCCCCGACTTCTTATGGGTCGACACATGGTCGAAGTGGTGCCGCCACGCAGGTTGAAGTGAAGTTGCCATCCGATCTGAAGCAACTCCGACTGATTCACAAGACACTGGAAAATTTACTGGAACATGGCCCTGAATTCGAGGCTCTTCTAATGAGCCGACCTGAGGTCCAAAGAGACATCAAATGGGCCTGGCTTTGGGACGCAAGAAGTATTGGCGGGGTTTACTATCGATGGAAGCTATGGGAGGTTGTCACCAACAGTCGTCCGAGAGGAACTCAACGAGGCAGGCCTCAGAGTTCGTCGCTAATATTCGAAGATGGAGCCAGCTGGGCACCTCCGGAGAAGTATCTTAAATTTGAATATACTACCCGCATGGAGGACTTTGTGTCTGATGCAGACTATGACTCTTCGGAAGATGAGTTGTCTGACATGGAAGATGAGAGACGGGCCCATGGCGGAGGTCCGCCGAAAGATGGACCAGGTGTAAGCAACGAAGGTCTTGGCTATATGAACCCGCTTCAAAAAGCCAAATTGGCTCATCTTCTGGCACGGCTTCCCACAACCCATGCGAAGCTACGGAAAGGCGATGTAGCGCGAGTAACGGCTTTTGCTATCGGGCACGCGGGAGCGGGAGCCGAGGAAGTGGTTGAAATGATCGTGTCGAATATTCTCAATCCATTTGCCTACACCGGGGCCAACCCTGATCGTGAAAAGGAAAAACGTCTTGCGCAAGCTGAAGAGCCGACAGGAGATAACAGCCAAGGAAATCTGGCAGAAGAATCTCGGGGATCGTCTAAGGAAAGCTTGGATACTTCACCCGCCAAACTTGTTGGTCTCTTTCTTATCTCCGACATCCTGTCTTCTTCCGCTACAAGCGGAGTGCGGCATGCATGGCGATATCGACAGCTTTTCGAGTCGGCATTCAAAGCGCATAAGGTCTTCGAGCACCTCGGACGACTGGAGAAGGACCTGAGGTGGGGCCGATTGAGAGCAGAGAAATGGAAGCGGAGTGTAGGCACTCTTTTACATTTGTGGGAAGGGTGGTGTGTCTTCCCGCAATCGAGCCAAGAACAGTTCTTCCAGGTCTTCGAGAAGCCACCACTTACGGAGGACGAACTGCGGGAGGAACAAGAGAAGACTGAGGCCGAACGGGCTGCTGGCGCATTCTCTAAGGGCAAGAGCCGCTGGAAGACTGTGGACGAGGACTCGACGACAGAACCATTCAACCCAACCCGACCTTCTGACGTTGATCGAAACCGGATGGCAATCGATTCCAGGCCTCTAATCCCAGCGGGTGATTCAGACATGGATGGGGAACCGTTGAGTGATATCGATGGAGAGCCGATGGAGGACAGTGACCTGGAAGTCCCGGACGGTGAGCCTTTGGAAGAAGGCTCCCCAATGGAAGAAAGCGACGCGAAGGAGCAGTCAGAGCCGTCAGCTCAGCTGGAACCTCAACTCCCAGCTCGCAAGCCCCGACCCAAGGCCGAAGATATGTTTGCGGACTCTGATTCCGAATGACGTCTATGCTACAGCGTTTGTATATCAACGATTGTATTGTGATAGGACATCTAGAACTATAAGCTATTGGAACACCGTAGTAATATTGCCAATCTACTGCTTCTGAGACTTACGATATGATTGATGCCTTGCAGATCAGGCATCTTCCGGCCCAACTTGCCGCCCCACAAGAGAACGAGCCTCGCGAAATACTTCGCATGTTGACATCAACTTCTGCCTCTTTCACCTTGTCTAGCACGCATCGCTCCATTCCCATCGCAATCAATATCCCGTTGTTGCACCTTCCCACCCCATTAAAATGTCGAGTAAGTGGTCATTGCGCTTCTTTCGCGTTCCCTGTTCTCCTGTATAGAGGATGGTGCCCTGAGTGCCCCTCCAGGATTTTTGAGCCCCTCCACGATGGACGACGACGAACAAGGTCCTATCCTAGGGAATCTTAACGAAATAATAATATTTATAATACTGTTAATAAAAATGAAGCTAATACGTCTTTCATCCTTTAGACTTCACGGAAATCGCTCGTGAGTACTCTCCCACCTCGATTCAACCAATCCCATACAGTTGCAGCAAGACCCATAACTCCCTTCGAATCACCCATGGGAAGAAAACCAAAGAAAGGAGGAAAGGACAACTCTAATGCAGCCCATACTTCAACAGAGCAGTTCGTGCAATTCTACTATCAGACGTTCGACTCGAACCGTCAGAACCTTGCTGGTCTCTACGTATGATTGATCCATGCCTAAAAAAACCAAAAAAAAAAAAGGAGCGAGAAATTCCAGAACTGATTCATATATGTTGTTATATAATAGCGCGACCATTCCATGCTCACCTTTGAGACTTCCTCCGTTCAGGGTGTCACTAGCATTCTCGAGAAGCTGACGGTTAGTATTTGATGATGATGATGATGATGATGATGATGAAATTGGGGGAGGGGTTTGATACTGACGCTCGTGTTTCTTATGATTAGTCTCTTCCTTTCCAGAAGGTGCGACATGAAATCGCTACCTTTGATGCCCAACCTTCCAACGAGCAGGGTGGTATCCTGGTCTTGGTTACCGGTGCTCTTTTGGTACGTAGATTTACCGCCATTTTGGCTTGTTCTCCCCCAGTAGATGGCTTGGTTATTGACCTTATTCTGTCTATAGGTTGATGACGAGCAGAAGCCCATGAACTACACCCAAACGTTCCAGCTTCTGCCGGATGGCCAGGGAAGCTACTTTGTCTTCAACGATGTTTTCCGCCTGGTCTACTCTTCCTCGTAAATATGGATGAGAGACTGAGTGGATTAGGGGCCATCAATCCGTGATGATGGATGGGATGGACTTTTCGGAGGATATCGGACACAGTTAGATTAACGAAAATAATGAATCGGGGGGAAAGGGTGGCTGATGTGTGCCATCTACTTTCTATCCCGTTGTGACTGTGACGGGAGAAGATTTTGCTTTTCGGTCCCAGTGGAATAAACGTACAAATCTATATTTGTGATGTTTGCGACTTATTTTTACGTGCAATACTGTAAGCAATATGTTCTCCTGATCAGAGAGAGCAAGCCAGTTCTATTGATCTTCACTTTCTTTTCTTCTCTTTTCTACTACTATAACGAAGTAAACGAGGGATCATACCAATGTCCCAGCATATAGGTATCCCCGGTGATTCATTCCATCCAACAGGTGTACATCGCTCGTCTGTGGTTTGGTACCCCAAAAAGGGGAGATTTGTTAACAAAAGAGAGAGGGAGAGAAATGCCCAAATTTATATCCCAAATGTAAAAGCCCGACTTTTCACTGAAGAAGCGGTGTTTGCTCAGACGGACGCCAGTCCTGATCTTGATCCTGATGCCGATCACCCGCTGAATCATCAACTTCGGCGTCGGCATCAGTTTCGGCATCTTTGTCATGTTGATGGGAATGCCCCCTATTAGGACTCAGATACTCAAAAAACACGCCCAGAACCAACAGCGTGCCCTGGAGACTTGCAGTGACGATCAATACGCCCCACGTGCTCCAGCCCTTGGCTCCCAATCGCGCGGCGAGACTCCCCGCCCAGACCAGACTGCCCGGGGTTTGGATGCACATCATGGGGATACTCAGACTGCCGACGCAGCGCAGATGGAGCGTGGTGTAAATCTGAGGGAAATATTGAATGGAGGAGAGGATGGCTGCGAGGATGCCACAGAAGTTGGACCAGGATTGAAGAGCTGACGGTCGCTTCAGGCCGAAAACCACAGTGATGATTAACATAGCCAGGGCATGGGTGATACAGATCACGGCTACGGACAGAGCGGCTCGGTAGGACGGGCTGTCTTTGGAAGATCTCGAAGTGGCACGAGGGAAGTAAGCGATGAATAAGGCAAGTCTGTGGAAGCGAATGGTAGGATGTTAGTTATCATGAAGGGAGAAAGATAATCAAAACTATATATATAAAGGGAACGCACATGGTAAAGAAACAGAAACATTGCGTGGCCATTTGAAGAACTCCTAGAAGTCCGGCAAAACAGGCGAACCCGTTGACATTCTTACAACAAGCTGCGTCTTGTAAGCTCTGCTGTTGAGACAGGACGTTGGTTAACGAGGAGGAGCTAGAGGTGGTTCCTAATAGAACGAAATACGGAGAGATGCCGAATGAACTCTTGAGGGAAATGATACGGTAGTGCTGAGGGAGATAGGATAGGAGAATCCCCAGCACGATCAGACTAAGTTCATGTTCAGCATAGACACCACTGGCAGCCAGTAAGGACCGTACAGTGACAGGATAAAGTTCTTATAGTCAGGGGAGATCAGATGCTTGCACTGAGGATCTAACGAATCCATTTTGGATAGACCAGTACTGGAAGGATGGGAGGGGTATAGACGGAGGGATTCAATTAACGAGGCGATGGCGGCGGCGAGTCCTGCGAAGAAGGGGATGTTCCTCGGGTACAAAGCTAAGATGCCATTGCACGTGTTTAGCCAGACAAGGGTAGAGATTTGTCCAACTGACAAATTTCAATTACTCAAGCTAGGAATCGACAACACAGCGTAACGCGCATGCAAGAGAAGACAGCCTAAGACTATCGCTGGCAAACAATCCAATTGCTTCATCCGGAGGAATGGAGAACCTCAGGTCTCCGCATTTCCCAAAACGATAGCGCCAAGCTAGCCTGAATTGGCTAGTGTCATTTTCTTTATCGGGAACCCCCTTTCAACGTGACTTTTTGGTCATTTTCAGCTTTTTCTCTTGCTTGACGGTGGTTGATGTTCGATGGGTGTTGAACCAACTAGGAATCTTGACGGGCGGTGATGACATAGAAGCCGTGGTGGAGTCCATATCGAGTCGAATCCCTCCAGCCAAGGTCTGCCCAATCGATGACGCCAGTTGCCCTCCGCTGCCAACATACGTCACTCGGCGATCATATCTTACCAGTGGCTACGAGTACCCGCAATAAATATCATGTTCCCACCACAGTGCGTTGGAATAGTTTAAGAAGCTGTAATTGAACACTACTACACCAGTAGGTTGTCTCTGCGCATTTCCTAGATAAGCTTCGTTGATCGGACATTCGCAAACCTTAGAATCTGCATCGAAGAAACAATCCAGGTAGAACCACAAGGCTAATCGCAAATACTAGCCAGGATGAAGTTCCACTTGGCCACTTGTCTGGTCTTTGCCCTGACGGCTGCCGAGACAGTTGGGGCATACAGCTGGTTCAGCAGAGCAGGTACGTCATGGTTGTAGATGTATCATGCATGCATGGACATGCTAACGAATCGAACTATAGTATACAACAAATGGCATGAGACTGAACTGGAAAGATGGCTCTCCGACCATGGTATGGCGTTTTAAAGAAGATCCACTGTAGGATATGACAGACTAACTCGACCCTAGATATTCCCTATCCGTCTCCTGCTGATCGTAAAGATCTTGAAGACTTGGTGAAGAACCATTGGGAAGCTAACGTGCAAAAGCCCTTGGAACAAGTGGTAGAACACACATCGGAACAGTGGCATAGCACTAAGGAATGGATCTTTGATACGTGAGAATATGCATCCTAATTCTTCCATGGCCCACGGATTTGGCTAATATTCAAAAGCTGGTCCGACTCCCAGATCAAAGCGTTTCTTGACCGGCATGGTATCCCCTGCCCTCAGCCACGCAAGCGGGACTCCCTGCTGAAAACTGCGCGTGAGAATTACGAGATCGTTGCGAAGAAGCTCGACGAGGCAGCCGCTTACCCAGGCAATTGGCTTTACGAGCAATGGTCTGAATCGGATCTGAAGCAATGGCTTGATGAGCGTGGCTGGCCGGTGCCTCAGCCCACTACTCGAGACAAGCTTATCGCATCTGTGCGTCGCAATGCTAGACTGGCCAGTCTGCATGCACGCAGCAAGGCTTCCGCCGCCGCCGCATCCGCGGAAGCCGCACAGTCTACACTGAGTGAAGCACTACTCAACGCTTGGTCCGATTCTGACTTGAAGAAGTTCCTCGATGAGCACAACGTCAAGGTGCCGCAAGGCTCTAAACGCAATGAGCTCCTCGCTCTCGCCAGAAAGCACCGTGCCCTTCTCGTCAGCAAAGCATCGGCAGCTTCTTCCTCAGCTTCCGACCTCTTTGGAGCCGCAACCACCAAGGCCGGTAATGAGTACGCTCGAGCAACTAAGGACGCTCAGCTGAAGGGGGAGGAAGCATTTGACTCGGTGGTTGAGGCATGGTCTAATTCCCGACTGAAGGCTTTCCTGGATGCGCGAGGCGTTCCCGTGCCCCAGGGTAATAAGCGTGACGAGCTCCTCGCACAAGTCAGGCTGAACAAGCGTAAGGCGGCCACCGGCTGGAGTGTCTGGACTTTTGATACCTGGACGACCGATAACCTGAAGTACGCAGAATTCTGGGAAGGGGTCGAACGCGTTGATGGTCATTGACTGACATCCAAAATAGAGAATACCTGTCCTCCATGAATGCCAAGGTAGCTCACCGTGCCGACGTCACCCGCGATGAGCTAGTGAAGCAGGCCCAGGATACGTACGCCAAAGCGTCGAAGGAAGGTGGATCGTATCTAGCATCTGCCACTTCCTACATGGCACAAGCCACCGATGCCGCCAAGGATTCCACTTTTGAGACTTGGTCTCACTCGGAGCTGAAGTCGTATCTTGATTCATACGGCATCCCTGTCTACCAGGGATCTACTATCAACGAGCTGCGCGCTGCAGCCCGCCGAAACGCTCAGTACTTCAAACACGGCACGTCCAGTCCACAGGGAACCATCTACGCCAATTTGCGGGAAGCCGCTTACTGGATTGTGGATCAGATCAAGATCGGGGCGTCAAGTGGCCGCGCGCAAGGCCAGGAAGCGGCAGAGAAAGCGAAGGAGAAACTCTCCGAAGCAGCCGAAGAAATTCGGTCAGAACTCTAAGATGTGTGACATGCTCTCTCTGGAAATCTGAAGGATACCACGTTTAATTTGTGGCAGGTTTCATGTATACAAACTTCTTTCTTTTGCGTCCTTTTCTTTATTTCTTTTTGGGGGTATAATGTTGGAAGTAATGCGCTTTGGTTGAAGTGGCTACAAAAGTTTCATGATATACTGGCTTGCACTTCTTGCTCCTTGGATAATTAGTATTGACTCTGAGAATTATTGTCCACAAATTTTACGTAATGATGTACCTTTAAATAACTAGGTGCACCGCACGAGCTGAAAATAGTTTGCAGCACTAGAGTCATACTCCAAAACCTGCCTAAGTTTCACCATACCAAACAGAATCAGCATAGAATCGCCAAAATCAATCCCCACAATCGCTTTAAAAACAGAATGCAACGTCTCAACCCATCTCCCATGGCCTTACCCCCTACAATCCAACCCGATTACTTCCTACTCCAGTTTTCAAGAACCAGTCCACATCTCCGAAAACCAGGTGGATAGTAGTAAAGCTGATCCCAAGCCTACCTATGACTTAGGCGCCTCCGGATCCCCCTCCGCAACCAATTTACCAACCACCAAATACTTCTCGAGGAAGCGCTCCTCCCACGACTGGAGATTCTCCATCTGTTCCGCATCGAGATCCTTCAGATCATCCAGGGGACCTTTCAGATCCTTAGTGAGCATTTCCTCATCAAAACTCTGATGAGCCAAGCCACGAGAGGCATCTCGACCGGCGAAATTCTCGTATGGTCCACCCTGTACCGTTTCCCATCGGTTAGATACAATCATCTAGATCATGGTTGCGTGGAGAGGAAGTACATACCGGCCCGTAGAAGTTCCTACCCGGGGTGACATCGAACACGCGACCGCGCACGGCCAGGTAAACGGGCTTGCCATCGACACCGTTGAATTCAAGCAGTGTGGTGGGAGTGAAGGTGCGGAAAACGATGGGTGGAGGACTCTTGGGAAGTGTTACGGGGGCCTTAGGGCGGAACTGCATGTAGACTAGGACCACGAAAAGAGATAGCAGGATCAGGTTGATGGGGGATGCTATTGACATCCTATCGTAGGATAAGTTAGATTCAGGTCTCGACTGGACAGGACTGGACTCCATTTTATGGATGTTTTATGGGGGAGGGAACTGACACCTCGGCAGGTGGAGCGGTCCCTAGGCAGTGATGTTAGATTCATCAACTTGCAGGATTGTCTGTGGATATGCATACCTGGGGAGGACATGACGAGCTTTACGGCTAACTGACAAGCAGACGTCGATCGCTAGACAACACAGAAGCGACGAAGAATGGTCAACCAAATGGTCCGGCGATAAGACCCAACAAAGAACAAATCGATGACGGAACTCCGTCGGTTTCGTTCAGTTTCGACCGCCGTAATAATACGGCACGTGCCATTAGTGAGCCTGACGGACAAGGCAGCCTTTCGGGGATTTTTTTCACGTGGAGTTTTCGGAGGGAACTTGGCACGTATTTCTTCAGTGATCATCGGGGATTCATTAATGGGCATTTCAGGCTCGACGGCTTCTCGTCGGTTATTTTTAGCTGGTCATCAAGCTACTCTGTACCTGGAAAAACTGGAGATCGTCATTAAGGGACCCATGGATCCCAGCAAACGAACCCCATCTACCAACCAAATTATGTGTCGTTTTGTTTTCTCTAGTTCGTTCACTATCAAGTATTTTAGTTGGTAGTACACAGCAGTTGCGCTAATTTGAAACAGTCCTTCATCTCATCTCAACCCAACCCAACCGAGGACATTTGCGCTTTCTGTCTTTCTCATGGGCCCGGACAAGCTTGATTTGTTACTCAACTGTCATATCCTAAAGAGGGGGTCTGTGGGCCAGGTACTTGGCAATCGACACATCGTTCTCTCTTTTTCCTGTCCCTCTCCTGTGACACCCTTAATTTCGTCCTTTTTCTTTCTTTCCCTCAGTTCTTTGTGTTTGTCTTCCTTCTTGAGTAACCAGCTTGTATTGACTATTTGTCTGGCTTCTTTGCCCTCATTTCTAAAAGAGCTGGTTCAATTCTCGTTGGTGAATGACGTGCAGGCATGTCAACTTTTGGTCTTTGTCGATATCTCCTATTTCTTTAATCTTGATAACTTTCACTCGTTCATTCATTCAATCTCTTCGCCTCGATTTTCTTTTGGTAATCTCACTGTGTCCCTGAGCGGATTAAGGTGCGTCATCAGTGTAGTCCCCTTTAACTTGCCAGCCTCTGTGAATTCCACAATGCTTACGTCCCGTCCCGTCGGGTCTCAACAGGGTAGTTCAAAAATGTGGGGGAAAGTGTCTTTCCATCGCTCTCGAAAGCCTGTAATTGGGAACCCTACTTTGGTCAACAAGACCTTGGATGATAATGTGTATCAGTCTTTGTCCTCTGTCGCTGGGGTAAAGGATAGCGAGAGGTACTATTCCTCGATGACTGCACCTTCTCTGCCACCGTAAGTATTCGCAAGGGACGAATCATAGAAGAATGCTCCCTAACCGATTCTAGCAAAACCGCGGGCGCATCCTTCCCTGCGCACCGGCTGGACACCGGCCATCGGGTCGCTTCCTCTGTGTATTCTCGAGACACCATGATTGACCCTGTCCGGCAACGCTCCATCAGTTTGACGCATCAAATCCCCTCCGATCCAGGCGCATTCAGCCGCGATCAGCCTAGTCGCCTAAGCACTACAAGCTCAAATATCTCGCCCCCAGACTCGCCGACCGTCGAAGGGGGCGTACCCCAAAGTCGAAGCAGTTCACAGGTCTCTCCGATAGACGAAGGGCCAATACCGGCGTCTGGTGGCGGACCCATGTATCACAAATTGTCCAGTCATTTACCCATTTTGAGCAAACGGACCGGCTCGTCGCGTACAGAAAGTCAACAACGACCATTGCGCTCCCGTAGTTCTTCCTTGGTGAGCGATACCACCGAATGGAACGCCTTCTCATTGGAGCCGACTGCGAAAGATTATGCCGAAACTTGGCAGATGAATTCTGGAAATGTCTCCTTTGAGACACATATAGCGGCGAATACCGAACCGACCGGATCATATAGCTCGAATATCTTCGGCAGGGGCAAGGAACAATTCCATCCACAGAAGAAGAGATCTGGGGTCCGTAGCCGGTTGTCCAAAGGGGATTATTCACCCCCTACTGCTGCAGTACGGGACCCGTGGAAAGGCCCGAGTGGACGGGCGCCTATAGTACAGCACCTCAAAGAACCGGTGCGAGCGTCACGGAGCAACGATCGGTTAATGGAAGACGATAAGCTCGATTTTGCATCGTTCGGGATAGTGCCGTCAGTCGTAACGACAATCACGGGTGGTGAGACAAACACCAAAGGTCCGGAGGGGCACGTGGCTCGCTCGAATAGTACTCGAATACGGCTGCCTGGGAGGAACCCAGCCGTTTCAACCAGCCCTGCACCGCCACGTGTAGATCTACCGGAACGCGACCTGTATGCTTCATTGGCGGACCTGAAACTAACCTGCGATGACGAAACTGATCAGCCGACAAGCCGCTTCAGCGCGACTACTTATGAGCCTACCGAAGCGGGCAGCTCCGTAGGGAGCCGACGAAACAGTATCGATACTGCGCAGTCTACGGAAAACTTCCCCTCCATCATGTCTAGGAAACGACCGGTCCCCAGTTCCGTGGCCCCGGCAAAGAAACCATCCCGCAAGCCTACTCCGTCTCAGGCCTCTAACGAGGATGAAGCATCGAAAGACCTTGCTCAGTGCTCGCCCGAACAACAAGCACAGAATCGCATTGAAGCACTGGAAGCAAGAAAAGACAGCCTTGCTCGACGGCGAAACAATATCAACACGATCATCCACGAACTAACCCAGGTCATTCAGCCGAGTTCCGTTGCCTATGATATGGCTGCCCGGGAGGAGGTTAAGAAGACAGTTACCAGTCTGAACAACGAGCTGGCCGAGATAAAGCGAGAAGAGCATGAAATTGGCTTAAAGCTATTCAGAGCATGGAAGAAGCGTGACGAACAAAACTGTTACGGCGGGGGTAGTGGTTTATGGGTCAAACGAGTAACCAATTGAAGTCGAAATCAGCACATTGGTGGTTTCTTTGCGTTCGTTCTCTTTCCCCAGCGACCTCGGTCTTTTCCCCCCTTTAATATCCAACCCTTTCCTTCGTTTCTTCCCCCTTGCTGGATAGTATTGGCCAAGCTATACCCCTTTGAACTTTGCGTGTAGTCTAGTTCAGGATTTGACGAATTTGCCTCTCCTTCTCATTTGTCATACTTTATTCTTGCAAGAGGCGTTGGTAATACCCTTTCTGCTTACTTGGAGGCTCATCGTTGCGAAACAGATGCTGGTAATTGACTTCTCATGGATTCTCAAAACGAAAAATGAACTTATCTGCATGAAGTGGATCGTAATAGTGATTGCTACATGGTGGAATGGCATTGAATTGTAGAATAGGTATCAGAAAGAGGAAGAACAGTGGCCAATGCTACCATAAATCCCTCACTCTTGGTGCTCGTCGTTCGTCACTCATTGTATATCATGAAAAAAGAGTCACCCGTGCGTAAGCCTTGAGGCTATTGAATTATTTCTTTCCCGATTTTTTGATTCCCTGCGAGCCTGTATTCAACGGGCCCTTCTTGCCCTGGGTCTTCTCGAGCAAGTCCTTCTTCGCCTTGGCCTCTTAATGTAGCGGAGTGGTTAGTTTACATGTGATCAACAGTCGTCAGAGGGGCAAGCCACGTACCAGCGCGCTGTCTCTCCTTGAATGCAATATCCTCGTCATCAAGGTCCTTCTTTTCCTTCTTCGCAGCCTTCAAGGGCTTAACCTTGCCGCCTAGAGAATGTTTAGTGAGCTTACTTATGTCGTAGTGGGTGGAATGCCTCGTACCTTCTCTGCTGGCACCACCCATAGTGTAAGTTTTCAGACGATCTGTAAGACGATAATCAAAGGTTTCTTAGGGGAGTGAAGGGGAGACAATCCGGATCGACCGAGAAGGGAGAGAGAAATTTAAAATTAAAAACAAAAAAAAAAAAAAAGAAGAGTAAAAAAAGAAGATTTGCTTATCAGCCGCGGGTGACGCTAGTGCCAGATCGGGCTAGGTGCGAAATCTCCTCCCGACCACAACTTCGACTGGTGCTTCATCCCCAGCGATTCTCTTGCGTTCGTTCATTCTATCTCCACCCCTCTTTTTCTTCTTCCCTTTCTATCTCGTTCTTTCTTTCCTTCATTATTTTCGAGTCTTATTCGGTCTAAGTCTGAAAGCAACGTGCATGTTCGGTTAAAACGGTCGTGGAAGTGGGCAAGGGCTGTGGCATATTTAGCCGGTTGGACTTTCTAATATACTTCCCCTATTAACTGGTCATCGGAAGCTTCCTTGCTAACCGACCGCCATCTTTGCTGTCTCTAAAGTTACTCTTAAGGCCAAGTTGTGAGTCAGCCGTTGCTTGGGTGCATCCAGGAAGACCCAAGCTCTATCGTCTATCATGGCATCACGCAGGTCGAGGTCTCCATCGACCCCTTCTGAGGGTGAGATCATCGAATCAGGTTCAGAGACGAAGGCAACTACGTCGCAACTTCCTCTTAATGGCACCAGCGTTGACCGTCCCACCAGAGCCAGTACGTCATCGGCGCCCAGATCCTCCCCGCCGTCGGTGAGCAGCAGATCGCCTCGCCACCGGAGGCCGTCGAGGACGAGGTCCAGGTCGAGGACGCACTCCCGATCTCGCTCTCCCTACCGAGATTACAGAGGATACAAGCGTCGCCGTGACGATGAGTATGATGATCGGCGGTTTCGCCCCGACCCACCACGACGCGCCGCGTATCGATCCGATGACAGATATCAAGATCGAGATTACTCCCAGCGGCGCCCAAGGTCCTACTACGACTACGACCGGGAGGAAGATCACTACGTGGGTCTCCGATACGGCGATGACTATGACCGACGTAGAGACAAGCGGCACTGCACTCGAAGCCGCTCGCCGTATCGCGAAGTCCGCAAGCCCAAGCAATACTCGGGCGACGAGTGGAAACCCCAGAGGGCGGAAAGTGCTGCCTCTCGGGATGGCAGGATAAGGTCATCCACTGAACAGTTAGTGAGCGAACGAGGGAACACTCCAATCGTCGCTCCAGATTCTAAACAAGATACTGAAACTCGAAAGGATCAGGTGCAGCCAGCTTCTTCTAGTCTTAAAGCCCGTGTCGAAGATAGGTATGTCTCGAAGTTGCTTTTTTTCCCCAGTTCAGTGGGCTGACGTCAGGATGTTTGCGTAAGTTCAATTGAAACCACTACGCACGGTAACGTGCAAGAACCGGAGCCAGCTGAATCAATTGACGAGGAGGCCCAGTTGGAAGCTCGCCGGAGACGGCGAGAAGCTATCAGAGCTAAGTATAGAGGACAAGCGACTCCTTTACGTCTGCAGGCTCTCCATATAGACAGCGACAGAAACTCGTCTACATCGAATGTTGATCGAGCTCTGGCGAACAGCGCAGCATCAGGTCAGTTGATTAGTCCCCTTGCTCTCGTGAGAAGTTTCCGTGGCTGGAAAGCTAATACATCATTTCCCATAACAGATTCGCAGCAATCAGCTTCCCAGACGCCCAACGATAGCACCGGAGAATCGTTCCCTGAATTCAAGGTTGGCACCGATGCTGACCTGGTAAATTCTGGAGCTCCCATAGATGGTGCGGATCAAGACGAACCATCAGCCGCGGATTATGACCCCACTTTTGACATGAAAGCTGAAAGGCAAAGGCATACGAGTGATGGCATTTCCGCGACTTCCTACGACGAGACCAAAACCACGAAGCAGGACATTCTGCTGCCGGATGCGGCTCCCGTAGAGCAAGCTCAACTGAAAATGAAAGACCCTTATGACATGTTCGCGGAGGACGACGACGACGACATGTTTGCTGAACACACACATGAAAATGCGCAGCCCGCACATGCATCGGCTATGCAAGCCGTGCCTCAGCCGCAAGAGCTTGATGTCAGCATGATGGATAACTGGGATGACCCCGAAGGGTATTATAATGTTCGCCTCGGTGAGTTAATCAATGGGCGATACCACGTGCAGCAGAATTTAGGAAAGGGGATGTTCTCTTCGGTCGTGCGCGCGACGGACTCGAAAACCGGCAATCTGGTTGCTGTCAAGATCATTCGGCAAAATGACACGATGCGGAAAGCGGGCATGAAAGAGATAAGCATACTGGAGCAACTTCAAGAAGCCGACCCAGACGATCGGAAGCATATCATCAGATTTGTACGGCACTTCGACCACAAGGGTCACTTGTGCATGGTATTCGAGAATCTCAGCATGAACTTGCGCGAGGTGCTGAAGAAGTTTGGACGAGACGTCGGCCTGAACCTGCGAGCAATTCGGGCGTATGCCCAGCAGATTTTCCTCGGTTTGAGTTTGCTACGCAAATGCAACATTCTCCATGCGGACCTGAAACCCGACAACCTCCTGGTCAACGAGCAGCGCAATGTACTCAAAGTCTGCGATCTGGGCTCGGCCTCACCGGCGACGGAGAACGAGATTACACCGTACCTGGTCAGCCGGTTCTACCGGGCGCCGGAAATCATCCTGGGGATCCCCTACGACTACGCGATCGACGTGTGGTCTATTGGCTGCACGCTATTTGAGCTCTTCACGGGCAAGATCTTGTTTACAGGGCGAAATAACAATCAGATGCTACGCTCAATCATGGAATGCCGTGGCAAGTACCCGCCGAAGCTGCTGCGGCGAGGGACGCTGACACATCAGCATTTTGACGAGATGCTGAATTTCCACAGCACGGAAGAGGACCGGATCACAGGGCGGATGACGACGCGGGTCCTGGACTTCAAAAAGCCGGCACGGGATCTGAAGACAAGGCTGATGGGCAAGGGCACGCGGGGGATGTCAGACAGCGAGGTGAAAGAGCTGACGTTGTTTGTGGATCTGTTGGATCGGTGCCTGAGCCTGAACCCGGAGAAGCGGTGCACACCGGCGGAGGCGTTGAAACATCCCTTTATTGCGCGGCCGAAGACCTAGCTGCAGGACCATATAATGAATTAATTTCTGGATGTTGTATATAGTTATGTCATATGCTGGAATGACTAAACATATTGCTAGTCTGCAGGACCTTACGATATCGTGGGGTTATGACTCGGTAGACGTTGCCACTGGATACGACAGGATTATCAGAAAGTAGTTGGGCCCAGTGGCAACCGAGAAGGTTCTACAGAACCGGAGTAGCTGAAGGCGAAAGAGAAAACAATGAAAGATCGACTGGGTGGAGTGATCGAACCACGGAGTGGTTCCATCGTATTGACATCCTTTGCCCTGGTTATAAGAAAAGTTACCCGGACAGTACAAACGTCATCTCCCAATTAGATGGACTCCGGATGAGAGGAAACTCGGGGCAACGACAACAAACGGAAAAACAAAGAGACTAGACTAGGTAACTAACTTTGGTTACACATGATGATGTCAACGATTGCGCCGGGGCGGGATTCCTGATTTCTAATTTTTTGGACATGATATCTCTTTCATGTACGGAACATCAATGAAGTCATTCATTCATTCATTCATTCATTTCATTCCTGGTCGATCGGCGGGTATGTACGTACTCCGAATCTCCTACTCCGTACATGTACGGAGTACGGAGTGCAGGACACAGCTAGGTTAGGATGCATATGGGACTGATGGATATTGACTACGCTTGTTGTACGCCCTTTGCTGAGATGAGGTGATATGATATCGCACAGTGGAGATCAACTCCGTATACGGGCGTGGTCATGGATATTCTTAGACTCCTGGACGAAAGGATTGTCTGGGGTAGAGATTGCCATCGACATGCTGATCGTTATTTGGGAGGATAGTACTAGCTTATTGGTTGGAATGTTCCTTTGTAGGCGCCAATGAAGATGTCTACATCATTAGGAACCATCTACTCCGTACTCCGTCTATAACATAAGATCCTAAGATTAATTCACGGTCCATTATGGAGTAAGAAAATATGACAGCCTTGTGCAAGGCCTGAACTCGAGCTCCTTTTGGCCCGTGCAGAATCTGAATCCGACGGACGGACCTACTTTACTAGTACTTACATAGTTAGTACATACTTACCTGATATGGACTGAACACGGGAAAGCCTTGCTTGGTCCATGCATTCCATCCACCAATCGCTTCTCCATTCCGTCTCTCTTGGACAGCAAACGTGGCAGCAATGCAGCCAATCATGGCCCATCATGGCTGTCATCGGATGTTCTCGAAGTGGACGAACCACGGTTATGATTGGCCATTCTAGCTTGCCTCACTTTATCATTGCCCCTCTTGTGTATTCCTGATCATATAAAGTTTAGTACTTACTACTATTATCAAGGAAAGAAAAGACGGTGTGTTCTGCATGGGACCACATGGACAGGATTTATACCTACTATGTACATATTTTCGAGAGAAGCAGAATACCTACAGAGTACAAAGTACAATAGTCAGAGCGCTGTTTTGTCTAATCATGCTCAATCTTTGAGAGCAGGCGAGACTCCTACTCTGTCTGACCAATTGTAGAACGGCTGCCCCGTCTCACTCGGATTGATTCGTGGATAGCAATAGACTTTCAAGTATACTCTCTCTGTAGTACCATTAACCAGCGCTCGAGTCAGTGTGGAGGACTCTAGACTCTCTCCAGGACATGGAGTACCCAGTCGGTTAACACTTTTTGGTGGAGCACTGAGCTGGCACTGGCCTGGTGTTTGGCCTTGGACTGACTGGGCCAGATGTACTAGTAGTACTACAAGAAGGTTATGGACAAAGGCTATCTACCTTTCCTACCATTCCGTACTCTAGTGATGCCTCAGGTTACCATGATCAGCGATCAGAAACAAAAAGGAGGGTCAATCAATTACCCAGCCTCATTCCCACACCATGATTTCTTTCGAACGGCGTAGGATTAGAAATAATAATTTGAAAAAAGAATCAACAAAAGAATTCTCCTAGTACTTGCAGTAGTACGGAGGCTGGAGACCAGGATCGGGTTTGTTCATCGCCATCCAGTCAACAGAGAGAACAATCGATATTGCCGCCCAGTCATCCCAGCACACGATGACCACACTCCAATCAGACGCCACGACGGCGGATTTATCTTCCATGGACCTGTGACCTCAGCCAATGATCTGGGGCAACAAAAGATGCAGGTGAGTGGGGCCCATCTGCATCCAACAGACCTGTCACACACACCGCCTCCATCGTTGATCCTTTCCCCACTTGACTAGAGAGAGGTGTGTGGTAGGCAGCAAATCACCAGAGATGCTGGGGACGGGAATAACAATTCTCTGCCTCTCAATGAGTCGGGGGTTTTCATCCTTCTAGGTAGGTATCTATGTAATAGGATGACGATGGAAAATTCGAGTCCCCTCTCCCCATTGCCTCCATACAGCCACGGTGGCCAGTGCCGCGCCATAGATTCTCAGGTAGGTAGTAGACTGACCTGGTGACCCGTTAGTTGTTTGGCCGTTTAAACTTCTCTCCACGCACTCGTGCCCGGTTGACTCACCCTGATCCATGCTCATCCTGGGTGGTCCGGAACATCGACCCATCCCAGTAACCTTGAATGGGACTGTTTCGCCTCCTCTGGCATTATTGGGATTGTTGAGAACTTGAGGGTCCGGGCCTGGGTCGGTGGAGTTGCGCGGTTCCCCTCCGTTCCTATTTGTAGATGGGGCCCTAAACTAGTCTAAGCATCATACATGTTTAGCCCGGTGCAGTCGCCCCTCCCTCCCAACCAGGTATCCAATGAACGATTCCCCTGCGCGGTTTGCAAGCTGAACATGTAACTTCCTCCCGTTACATGGGCTTCAGGATTTGTTATCCCTGCTCTCCTTTCCTACTACCTCAGTAAAGAGTAATGATGATGACTGAGGTAATTACGGGGCCTCCCTAGTGGGACCCGAAGGAGGATGGCCACCATCTCCTGACCACGAGTGGTTTAGACTGCTGGACTATTCGTCTTAGACGATGCCTAGTAAGATTATTAAATATATTTATTATTTTTATTGTGTTTGATTTCTTGCCCCCTTGGCCCTCCTTATCGTCTATCATCGTCATTTCTTGCCTACTTAATATTCTCTCCCCGTATTTCTTCTTCTCGTCGCTTGCCTGTGTTGATTTCCTTTTGACTTCCTTCCTGTCGTCCATCAGTCACCTTTGGTCTTACCGGTTTAGTTTGTTGTCGCTTTTTAATATTCCTTCCTTATTATTCTATTCTTTATTATTTATTATCGTTTGGGGCCTTTTTTTTTTTTTTCTTTGGGTCACTTTGCTTCTTCTGCTCCTACAGTTTTGGATATATATCACATCTCCTGTCCCTTTGCCTCGACATATAATATCATCCACCACGGAAGAAGACATTGACAGATCGATCTATCAACCTACAAGAAGCACCACGACTCCGTCCAAAACAAACCACTTCGTCGGCCGTAATATCCTGATCTAACTCAATCTGCCACTTGGATTATCATTGTTGCTTGCCTGTCTGTGCAACAGTCTGAATCATCGTCGCCAACACCACTCTGTTGGACCAGTCCCTAGGATTTGATTGCTTGATTAGTCTCCGCTCGCCACGATTCATTCCCGTTCCTTCAAATGGCTCCTTGACCTAGACGACACTCCTTAGGTGTGCTATATAGGACCACTTGCTGGTTTTGGATGATCCGATTATTTTGCCCCATTTCCGGATTTGGGACTCCCAGGATTACTCTCTCCATATCAACGTTTTGTCCTCGTGAGGACACTTCCCTAGCGGCATCTTGGATCCAAGGAAAGCTAAAAAGACAGACCCTCCTACACAATTTCCCCATACTTTTCCGATGCTTCCCCCGTCGCCCCCATTAGGCATGTACCCTTCCTTGATCCCCACTCCTCCGCCTTCTCCGCCCATTGCCCGCTGTTACACCCCGGAAGACCGTTTGGGACTACTTCTGGCCAACCGGCTGGAACTCACAAGCATCTTGGGAGTAGGCGCCTATGGCGTCGTCTACACGGCCGTCGACATCCATACCAATGTCTTGTATGCTGTCAAGGCCCTCAACAAATCTGGACTTGATCCGCGGCAGCTCAAGTTCCAACAGCGGGAGATCAAGCTACACCATCTGGCAAGCCAACATCCCAATGTGGTTTCCTTGGTCCGCATTATGGATTCCGTCGACTGCACCTATGTGGTCATTGAATTTTGTCCCGAGGGCGATCTGTTCTCCAGCATCACCGAAAAAGGCAATTTCGTTGGCAATGACCCCTTAGTCAAGCGTGTTTTCCTCCAAATCCTGGATGCCGTCCATTTCTGCCATTCCATCGGAATCTATCACCGGGACCTGAAGCCGGAAAACATCTTGGTAACGGACCAGGGATTGACAGTAAAGCTTGCAGACTTTGGCCTTGCCACCATGGATCCTCTCACGTCGGACTTTGGTTGCGGTTCTACCTTTTACATGTCTCCAGGTACGTCTGCCCCCCTCCCCCGGGTAGCGGGCATTAGCTCATGAAAGTTCCTAAGCTAACTACTTGTACCAATCAAAGAATGTCAACAACCAAATCCGCGGCCCATGTCCTGGTACGAATCCGCTCCAAATGACGTCTGGAGTCTAGGAGTCATCCTAGTTAACTTGACGTGCGGTCGTAACCCCTGGAAGCGTGCCTCAATCGAAGATACCACGTTCCGTGCGTATCTCAAGGATCCCTTATTTCTGAAGTCCATTCTTCCCCTGTCCGACGAGATGATCTGTATCTTAAGCCGCATCTTTGAATGCGATCCCAGGAAGAGGATCACCATTCCGGAGCTTCGTCACTTGATCCTGGATTGCCCTCGATTCACTATGAACCCCGTGACTTCGTGGGCTTCCATCAACGGATCCCTCCCCGGTGAGAGTGTGAGCAACCCCCAGGTTCCGGAACCTATTCCGGTGGATGTTTACAACACCTCATCGTCGGCGTCTTCCTCCGATTCCTCTCACTACTCGGATTCGTTAGAGTCTGCCGTCTCGGATGCGTCCTCATTCACCGAGGGCTTCCCCGACCTGGACAGTTTGTCGTCGATGTCTTCTGTCGACCTGGAACCAGGAGTAGACTGCAAAGATGATTTCCCGCAGGCGGACTCCGTTGCATGCAGTGAGCTCTCCGAGCTGCTTCTGGTTTCCACGCAGTCATTCAATATTCCCATCCCCGTTTGTTAAAAGGGGCCATATTCTCTGGGAGATATCAAAGGGGAAAAAAAACCCAAGGAGAAAAAAAAAAAAAAAAAAATGACGCAGTTTACGACTAAACGCTTTTGATCTTTCAGCTTATTTCAGGATTTTGGACCTTGGGATATCTGTCGATTTTTTTTGGACCCCGTCTTGCATTTTCTGAAGCGACAATGTATTATTTCCACAGGACGACAAGTCTTGGAGACCGGGTTTTATACTGAACATACGACCTAATATTTTCTTTTGTTTTGTTTTGCACCGTTTCCTGGATTGAGGACCGTTCTACATCCCGATTGTCCACCAGGCCTTGGTGGGTGTTTGAATTGCCCTTCTTGGACTTGGTTTTGTACGCTTGCCCGGCAAGCTGGTTGGATAGAAGCCGTGTGCCTTATTAATCAGTTACTACTGGGTGGAATTCTGTGGGATTTACGGTAACATGTGCTTGCGTTTCATGGAAATTTTTTGGGTGTTGACAGGCGTTGGATTGAAGGTTGTTTTGCAAGAAGAAAAGAAAATACCCCCTGGATTCTAAGAAAGCATTGTTTTGTTACTTTATTACTGCATGGAGTTGGCAAAGATCGTTGTTGGGATGATCCGACGTGAGAACCGTGGCGTTCTTTTTTATTATTATTATTTTCTCTCGGTTCCATTCTGCATAATCTGTCGATGAGATAGTTTGTTTGATTTCTGGGTCCATGACTGAAGTTTGGACAAATACGTTTAGGATTCGACGCTGGTCGCGGAAGGAATCGATTGGATTTTGGGACCATTTCGCGACCAGTGCAGGAACCGCTGCTTGATTTGATACGATGATATATAAATAGAGATTGACGACTGACTCCTCTTGTGCTTGCTTGCGAGTATCAGGTAAACGCCGTGGTTCTGCGACAGTGGGTGTTTCTACTTTCCAGTGCGGCTATACTTCTGGGATCTCATCCCTACTTATTTCACAGTTAATTCAGGGGCTCCTAACAGATCAAACTAAACACTAGACCACTCCAGTCCTCTGGTAGAACCTAGTCGTGTCTACTACGTATTGCGTCCGCCAGTCACGCGAATTGTCTCACCAGAGACATAGGCAAACAGTGGACTTGCCACTGCCAAAATAGAACGGGCCGCCTCATTGGGGCTGCCGGGTCGTCCCAGCGGGATATCCGGATACTGCGCAGCGCTGGTACTGCCATTGCCCTTGCGACTGTCCAACTGCTTCCCGGGAATCCCCAGCGCCACCTTGGTGCCATCGGGGGTGGTGATGAAGGCACCCTCCTCTTTCGCAGCGGTCAAGCGAGTGGTGATGTGCCCGAAGGCAATGGTATTGGCGCGCACGCCAAAGGCAGGACCCCATTCTTTGGTGATAGTCTTGGTCAGACCGACGAGACCAGCTTTGGCGAGGGCGTAATTGGCTTGACCACTGGACAGTATTAATATTAAACCACCATAGAGATAAAAAATAGAAAACATACGCATTCCCATGGATCCCACTGGTACTACTAATATTGATAATCACTCTGGGCTCCCCATCTTTGACACGGAAATACTTGGCCGCCGCACGCACCAGTTTAAACGGCGCCGTATTATGCACCGCCAGCATAGTATCCCATTGTTTATCGGTGATCTAACATATATTAAAAAATATCAAAAAAAGAGGGAGGGAGGGTAAGGATTACTTTATGAATCACTCCATCCCAAGTAAACCCAGCATTATTCACAATGATATGAATCTTTCCATTCCCGAACTGTGCCGCCCTTGACACCAGGTCCTCGATATACCGATCATCGAGAACGTCACCGATCACGGCGATTGCGCGCCCCGGTGAGACTGCGTTGATGGCGGTGGCGGTGGTATTTGCCTTTTCTGTTTTTTCTTAGCATTCTTCTACTTCTTTTTATATATATAACAGGGTAAAATGGCATATGTACGGGAATCAATATCAGCAATCACCACCTTAGCTCCCTCGTTGGCAAATAGAGTGGCGGTCTCGGCGCCGATTCCCTGGCCTCCGCCGGTGATGATGGCCACTTGGTTGGCGAGGAGGCCTTCGGGGTAGTTGAGGTGCGAGGCGACTTGGGAGAGACGGTTCATTTTTTTTTTTTTTTTAATATTATTGTTCTTAGTTTAGTTTATTGGGTTGATTGGAGTTGGTAAGGATGAAATGAGGGAGGCGGATCGAAGTTAATATGTACTGTATACAAGGCTGTTGCCGAGGCCCGGCTCACTGCCGAAGTACCGTCTGCGCTGTTGAATTAAAAGACACCATGACATTATATTCCAACATAATATATAATAATAATGATAATCATGATATTCCTAAGGGTTCGAACAAATACAACCCCCCAAGGACTGCAAAAATGCCTCCATGGATGTCTCATACCCCTCAATCAATTGCCGTAGCCATCCCCCATCAATGCCCCCACTTCCCGACAGCTCAACCGTCTCCTTCAGCAGCCCCAACACCTCCTGTGCCTGCCGCAGACGTCCCTGGAGCAGGAACCGTTGCACCCGCCGCGTCTCCTCAGGGCACATCTCGTATTCGCCGTACCCAACCGGCCCGGGCCAGACGAGACGTTCCACGCCCGCCGCGAACTCGTAGGACATCCAGTACTCGAACAGCTGCAGGGTCAGGTCCAGCACCGACACCGAGAGGAGCAGGCTCGGGTTGTCCTTGTGGCAGCCCGTACACTGCAGGAAGATTCGACCCACCGACAACGCCGCCTGGATCGCCTGTAGGCTCTGGTCGAATCGTAGATGGACCGGGTCAGCGGTCATGTGTCGTAGCTGGTTCGTATGGAACCCCAGCGCCTCTCCGCAGTCGCATGTCAGCTGCAAGGCGCTGGGAATGTGCACTGCGAGAGGGAAACTCGTCAGGCCCTTGGTGATGAATTCCTTTTGCAGAAATGTCGGCGACATAGAGGTTTGAGTATTCATCAGGTCGGCCGAGGGCAGCGAGTCTCCATACGATGAAGTGTATTCCATGGCCGTGGACTCGTTCAGCGGTATACACGAGTGGAAGCTTGGATTGGCATCGTGGCTTCGTGGGCTCTCGGATGGACTCTCTTGGCTGGAGGTATCTCGCTTCTCAGAAAACATGTTAGAGGTTACAGCTCGTCGTCAGAGGAAAACAAAGAGGAGGTGCAATCAACCTTGGGTTCCATGTGGCCGCCCACCCCATAGCTCACATATCGCTGTTCAATGACTGGGAGACCCTTGTCTGTCGACCCATCCTCCGATCCACGTAACGCGGGTTTTCCCTCGGGGAGCTGGCCCAGTTTCCTCAACGTAGCTCGGTTTTTACTCCCCTTCGGCTTTCCCGACCGATTGGCAACTCGGTATCGACATGTCAATCCGTGGCGAAGGCAACGGATGCAAGTATTCTTCGCACCTAAATTGCATTTCACCTTGGATTGCCGGCAGTTCTCACAAGCGGCCCGAAGCTTGGGCGCCTCTCCCCCGTGGCTGTTCAGATGTTGATCGGGTTCAACCAGCATCACGCCGCGGCTGGAGCAAGAGCGTATCGTACGTTGAGAGGAAGATTCTGCCAAATCACACCAGAACGCCGGGTATATCTTGCGGTCAGAGGGGTATTCGCATCGCACACGGCTAATCCAGCGAAGAGCCCGCGAGAGGTTGGGGGCCTGAATGACAAAATATAGAAGAAAAAAAGAGGGGCCAGCGCCAAATATTCTAGCCTGATCTATATATTCACTGCCCCCCAATACAATACGACTCGTATCTGGATTTGCGAATCGACGGGAACCGCATATGAGGTCAGCCGTTGTGAAACCCAACACTTCCATCTGATCCACCACGCATGGAGACGCCAGCAATCGTGGCCAGTACCCTGCGTGCAGCTCCTCGCAGCCGTCCAACTGACCCAAATCGTACTTGTCCAAAAAGGCAAATGGAAAATTGCTTGGCCATGGCCCAAATGCTCCTGATAGGCGACAATAAGCGGGAGCCACTTGGCTGGATATTTCCACCACGGGAGGCATGAAGAATAAGCTCAAGTGCAACATTATGGCCAAGCAATGAAGCAATGGAATCCATCAACTCTCACATACCCGAGCAGGCATTGTGTCTGACGTAGCATCCAATGGAGAGAACCATTCCGTCTGCGAGTAGGATGCAGGCCAGCACACCATGTGAGCTGTAACCGATGCAGGATTGAGTCTCTATTCGCCATATGGAGAGGGAAGTGAGCGGTGAAGGTTTCTCCTTTCGAGGAACCTTGTTTATGCTTCCAGGACTAAGCGAGTGAGTGGGCGATTTTTATTAATTTTTTTTTTAATTTTTTTTTTATTTCCTTTTCCGGGGCTCTCTCTCTGCTCTCCCCCTTCCATGTCAGAGGGCATTGTGCCAAGCGGATCTCTTGCTGCCATGTCCATCTGTCGGCTCCTGTCCCTATCCCTGGTGCACTGCCGTGATGTCGGCAAATGGGGGAAATATAATAATATGCTAAGTTTGTATCGCCGGCCCGCCATCAGCATCCCATCATGTCAGTAGAGTCCCATCGCACGGGATTCGAGCTACAAGCTATTGACGAAACATATCATCACACGCCACCCGTGTTGTCAGGGGTCTTCAGGCGAATCACGCCGCAGAGCTCAGTGGACAGCTCTCGGCAATTCCACTGTGTCTATAGTCAAACGCCCTCAGCAGCCCAGTCAGGTGAGCCACAGCGGCGCATACCACCAGCACATGAAAGATTTGATGTGAACTGCCCCAAAGATCAAAATTTCCTGGCCGCAGACGTTCCGGCACGCGAGCCGCATAGATACCAGCCCCCAGGATATACAGGAAGCCCTGGAGGACAAGCCATCCGAGTCCAATCTGGCGTATCATCTGTCCCAGGCCGTACAGTTGTAACCCATGGATCACGGGACACAACGCTGATAGGCCCATACCGACAAACATGGCCGCTCGAAAGGGTCGCCAGCGTGGGGTACGGAACCAAGGGAGAATCGAGACAAAGGCACAGCCAAGGCCAATGGTGCAGATCATCGTCCAATACCGCCGTTGCAAATCCGGTGCACAGTAGAAACCATAGTACACACTAGGAACGAAACTACCCACAATCAGGCCTACAATACCGACATAGTCAAGGGAATTTCCCACGCGTGAAATAACTGGGGAGTGATTCGAGATGGTATGGTATGTTGCAGACATCCCCAGACAAAAGGATGCTCCAGCAAAAAAGCAACTGAAGGCCATTATATCCGCATGGGTTGCTGTTTCGTACCGGGAAGCTAAAACGTGATACAGCCCGAGAGCCGCCGGGACAGCCAGTAGAGAGGGTAAAAGATGCGTGTAGATGTTGACAGTCTCATTGTGAAGATAGGTCAGCGACTGCAGAGAGGCCAGGAAAGAGAACGAGGCTGGCCGATATCCGGTATGAATGTGTTGGTTGTCCTGCTGCCAATGGGGCAGATCGTCCCAGTGAAGCAGCTTTCTCATGACCCTCGGGGGCTGCTCCAGAACCGTGGCTGAAACATTAACTGGCTGGCTGGCCTGACGACCCTCTGTGGGGTGACGTTGACGAGAGGGCATATTTTGAGTATTATTAAGTATATTTATTATGTCCTCACCCTGCAGGTATAGATGGCACTCCAATGCAGGAGAGGTAGGTACGAGATACCGGGGGAAGAGAGATCGATCACTCGTGCAGGGTATCGACAGGAGAGATGGGTATAGACTTCTTTAGAACCATCCACGATCGACGACGAGAGAAGTCAAGAGGAAACAAGACGATGGAATGTTGATCGAAGCTTTGTTGGGATTGCCTTGTTGGGACACGTTGTCAAACAGTGCAAACATGCTATTTTGGCGTCCGCACCCGCCGCTTTGGATGCCCTCGCACATGCCTCATCTGGGCGTTTCTTTCTCTTCCTTTCACCTCTCCACAGCGCTTGGAGAGCCATGGCGAGCCGTTCACAGCATGGCTGGCGGTCTGGAAACCGCCTGAAGCCTGTATCGGACTCGCTGGAGGCTGTGGGGTTTGTATCTAAAGGGGATCGCAAGTACGTTCCCCCGCATGACATCAGTATCCAGATCCCCGCTGACCATTGGCAGATTGCTCGATCATCGGGCCCAAAAAGAATACTACGCTAAGATTGTAGAGCGGTATATGGCCTTTTGTGCTCGCCACGCGAATGATTTGGATGCTGCTTGGGCATCTCTTCCAACCAGTGCGTCAACGGACGCCACTAAGAACCCCCCGGCTTCTCTTCCCCAGTCCAGCGCAAGCTCTTCGGGCCCATCGCCGTCCGCAGAGCTATCCATACTCCTCCTTTCCCTTCGCAAGCTTCGTGAGGCGGTCTTGGCCACGGCGTCCACCGTCCCGGTGTCTTTCTCCCAGCAAGTTCATGTGTTCTCGATCAAACTTTCGATCCAAGCCAAACATCCACCTTCATACTTCCCCTCCCTTCGCTACCTCCTGGAGCATCTACATTCACCGTCCCATCCAATGCCTGACTCAGAACTGAGGGATCTCGTTTCATATCTGATCCTTGACTACGCCTGCCGGCAGGACGACTTGCTGGCTGCTTTCGAGCAGCGTGCGCGAGCTCGTAGTCGATTTGACTTCCAGTCGCAGACCGTTGATCGTGTTCTCAGTTCCTTGGCGCATGATAATTGGGTGGTGTTCTGGCAGGTCCGGAGGGAGGTGGATTCCTCTATACGCGCAGTGATGGATTGGGCTGAAGATCGGATCAGAAGACATGCCCTTAAAGCCGTGGGCAAAGCTTACCTGAGCGTTGGTATGCAGTGGATCACGGAAGGCTGCACGGGAGACGACAGTTGGACATGGGAGAAACTGGCGGAGACCGAAAAGCTTGGATGGCAAAAGGAAGGCGACATCATTATTATTAGAAAGCCCAAGCAGAAACCCGAGAAGACCCTCGTACCAGTCAAAGAAAATGCATAATAGCTAGCATAACCCTTTGCTATCGATTCGTAATACAGGGGATCTGATGACCGTGGTATTTGCCTCCAAAGGTATTCTCCTAGTGGCTGAAAACAAAAGGTATGGTTAAGTAGAGTCACAGTTTGAAATCAGCGTTCGAACGATCCAAGTTGATATGTCCAGTAATTGGCTGTTTGGCAATGGTGTCTACAAGCTCGGTCTTTAGTATCCCAGCTTTGTCCGAACAGAGTTCGTATATGGTCGACAGGTTGAAAACCAAGCTGTAGAAAGATTGATTTGTTTTCACCAAGGATTCTAGAACTTCCCGGGCCTGAGAGACAGTCAGCAATGCCGCAACTAGTGCTGGAAGGATTGCCGTACTTCATTTAATCGTCCCGTGTATAGCAGGCACACTGCCAGGTTCTGTGAAACTATAGCCTCATCGAGACTTCTGGATCCATTTTCCAAAACGGCTTTCCATTCGGATACCGCATCGCCGTATCGGCCCTCGGCCATACTGAGAAGTGGCGTATAAATTGCCTCTGCCTCGTTTGATTTGCTGGACAGATTTTTTGCAGCATCGAGGTCGCCAATCAAAAGGAAAAGGAGCACCTTTCTTAGGGTATTAAGTTCGCTTTCTATAGTTTCCGTAGTTGATGCTCGCAAATTGTGCAACGATCTTCTCGCCGCATTAAGGTCTCCCATTTCCACCAGCGCATTCACGTTCCTAATACCAAGATCTGACAATCTGTCCTTCCATATTTGTCTTTCTGTTGCGGTCAGATCCGGTCGCAAAATCTCTCTTCTAGCTTCCAGGCCGATTTCAAACAGACCTCCAATGCCTCTTCGTGGATCACCAAACCCGATACTTTGCATTCGGACAGCTAAAACACGAAGGGGCCATGGTACAATATGGCGAGGGTAACTCGGGTGGCTATGGGCGTCAAGAGACTCTGACTTCTCGAGTGTTGGCTCCACGTAGTAGAATGAAGAGCTTAGGTCCTCAAGTGCTTTGGATTCCTGCGCGGCGAGAACCGCATTCCCAGAAAGCTCCAAGCATGCTAATCGGGTGTAGAACAGAGCAAATATCAGTTTGGCATCAGTAGGAGAGATGGTAGAGGACGTTAAGATAGTGCCACAGAGGTAGGCCGCTAGCAGAAAATGACCCTCAGCTAACAGTTTCTCGAGACTACCAAGAGTTTGCGACAGCGACTCATCCGATGCAGGAGCGATGAACTCCGAGCGCAATGCGGGGGGGATATCAACTTGCGACAAGGAATGATATACATCATATCGGAGAAGATACGAAAGATCCTTTCCTGAGCCTTGGAGTATTTCATCGGGCGCCAGCGGATCCAAAGCTGCAAACGATGCCCCAGAGAAGGCACTGCGATCCGCCGTTCGCTGTGTTTGTACCGAGCTTATCACGCTCAATGGGCTTGCCTCCGTTAGCATTACTTCTCCCGCAGGCAGTCAATGGCATGCTCACTCTTCTGGCTCGTCTAAAGGCCCTCTTGTAGAGCTACGTGGACGAGAAGCTGGGAACAATCAGCTGAGGGCTGGCAGGAATGACTATAATAAGTACCACTTACATCTAGAGACGTTACGACTATGACTGGAACCTGTGGACTCCATGGTAGTAGGGGCCCTAAAGATTCCGAGGATAGTTGACAATTAATAGTCCATCGCTTGAGGTCATACGTAGTTCATCGATATTCGATATTCGAAGTGGGTGCCTGGATTCTGCCAGGGGCGGTCAGGGGAGCGGCCTGATCAGGCAAACTGGCCCATTCGTAGCAACTGTCAATCGCGTCCACTGCTACGATCAACTAAGAACCCCATCAACAACACCTTCGAAACTCTGTTTGATACGGCGATATATAGCGTCGACGGATTTCCTGTGCCGAACTTTTCTTTTATTATCCTTTCACCATGACTTTGGCTGAGGAATTCCGCTCGAGAAACTTTAGTATGCTTTTCTAGTGTTTATTCTTCGCTACCGAGACGAATACAAGGGAGCTAACTGACCACCAACCTACCTAGGCATCTATGGACAATGGTTTGTACTCTATCTCCAGATGGCTCCTTTCAGTTTCCCCTCTCTTTCCTCGCGCTGCGCTTCCTCGAAAGAACCTGGTTGAGGAATAAATGGCTGCCTGGGCGTTTTTGCGGGTGTGCTTGGCGCCCTTATTGCCTCATGGATTGCCCTCTTGAACGACGACGAGCGTCGCATCGAACCGAGTGGTTCCATACCCAAGTTTATACTGGGAGTTGCCCTTTGCAGTGATGCCTGACTGACTGTCTGGCTTAGGACCGGGGTGATCTGCATTGTCCTGTGTTTTGCTCTCGGAATTGCCAATATCTTCACATTTCACCCTGTGCTTATCATTTTCAGTATAATATGCCTGTAGGCTGAGCGCCCTTAGTACTATTTGCGTCGGCTAGGAACTAAATTATACAGTGTTTCGTCATTTCTCCTCATCTTCGTCGAAGTCCCTTTCCTACTGCGAATCTGTCCTACCTCGGAAAAGTTCGACAACTTCGTCCGCCGGTTTACAACGAACTGGATGCGTGCCGCGATGTACACCATCCTGAGTGTAGTCCAATGGCTTAGTCTACTTGTCCGCGCAACGAGCTTGATTGCCGCGGCTGTCTTTTTGATTATCGCAGCTATATTCTATGCCTTGGCAGGCCTGAAGAGCCAAGACTTCGTTGGCAGTAAGACTTTGGGTGGCCAAGGCCTTGCGCAAATGATTGTTTAACGGAATGCAAACGCGGAAATGAGAGACGAAGTCTTAAAGGTATACCCGTTTGACTGTTGAATGGCTCTCCCCTTTTTTACTCTATTATTTTAGTGTTACCTCCATGTGCTGATAATTTGTAAAGGATCTTTCCAGAAAAGTGACATCTTCTCGGTGCTTGTAGAAACAGTAGCGGGAAATCTGGAACGCAACAGAAACGCAAAAATGAAAGGAGGGATATAGTTTTTTTCTGCGTTGAAGGCGCTATGATTACGATGAATGTTTTCGATGCTGCCGATAAGGCCTTGTACTTCTATTTATGGTGATTTGGGACCTTAAATTCCGTTCGAAATCCGAGTGATGTTTGGAGTGTGCTGCAAGGGTATTTTCTATTGTTATGTTTGCGCTTGTACTTGCTTTCTTTCTACTCTTGGCTCTTGTGAGCTCTCAATGCTCGCTATACGAACTAGACGCTTTCTGTATTCTTATCTAGCGAATACCCTATTAGCATCCCGGTGATATATGAAACATTTTCTAGGGTATTAATGGCCAGCTTAGTTGCTCTCCTAATAGAACTGTTGGGGGATTTGATACAAGTCTTTGCCCAGGTAAGGATTCCTCGTCGAATACTGCATGGTGAGCATCTGCTCTCAAAAGAAAAAAATGGAACTTGGGTCCTGGCCGGATTTACCGGTCTATTGTATATCAACCTACGGAGATGGCATTAATGAGCACTACACTATATAGCTACAGACTATCATCCGGTAATACTCCGTACAGATGGAGAAAAGAGTGGCCCCTATGTAGGTAGTTCCGATGATGACCGATCGTCTCTCCCTAGAACTTTTCACCTGAGAGCAGTCCTCATTCGTGACTCAGATTTGGATCTCGCAAAGGGGCGTGGAGCTTCCCTATCTATCTAGCTTACTAGCTCCTACCTCCTCACCTCGATACCTATGATAAATAACTCCGATCTCGAGCAATCGCTGCTATATACGTCATTGTTTCCCGTTTCCCCTCAGAAAGGCCGGTCTTACCCCGCGCTGGGGGTATTATTTGGTCAGAAACCGATTACTAGTGATGTATGACTGTGCTGTGGATAGCTGTGAGGTGATGGTTAGACCTGTTACCAACCTTGGATGTGCCGTAGTATGATAGCAAAACGTCATGGTGGATTGGATGGATGTCTGGGTGAGTTTCATGGATGTATGTGAGCGCGTTGATAAGGATCGGACCGGGGAGGTCTAGCCTTGGTCGGACGAGGTTTATAGGAGCTATAGGGAGGTACTGGATATGCTGGGATAATCTGGATTGTTTAGGATTCTCATGGTATTCAGGTTCACAATAGGTACCTCCCGGACTGAGTTGTAGTGGCTTGGATTCATGCAGCCCTAATGGTCGACCTGGTATCCTGTAACACCTTCAGCTTGTCTAAAGCTACAGGTGTTTATGCAGCCGTCTAAAAGGGGTTGACATTGCTAAGGAGGGTGCAAAAGACTAATAAATCATGAAAGGGTTATTTATAAAGTTTAGACACAGTAAAAAGCAATAGGACAGAACCATCCGGCACAACCCATTAGAGCCTGTAGCAACTTTGGAAATGTTTTAAAGCCTGATGAATTCTGCCTGAGACCCAAACAGGATGTGGTTTGTGAAGGACAACAGTCAGCAAGGCGGACCCTTTGTTTTTGCATAAAATTGCAGTATGTGCACAGCACTCCAATTTATCTGTATATCCTTACTCTGTTGAAGTAAATCATGACTGTGTATGCCGCAGTCAAGGAGACAGAATACCCCATACCTATTATTCTTGACTTGTTTCTTTGACTGGCACTCAGTACTCTGTAACAATCCTATCAACGCCTTTAGGTGGGGTGAGTGGGCCTGATGGTCCCCCGCCGAGGCACCAACAGTGAACTGACTGTCCCCCAGTGGCACAAACTTTTTACCTGCACTGTACAACTACAATGAACTTGGTGCCTAGCACATCAAGTATGTATAGAGTAAGTAACATCCATAGAAGCCTCCTACCATGTACATAAATTTTGAACATCGAACCCAGGACTGCTTGATGGAAACCATGAGCCATCACAGCCGGACGAGGGGTTTAAATGACGATCAAGGGGGATCAAGATCAAGTCGTCATTTTGATTTTTGGTCCCTAGTTCTGTACCGGGTACGGAAATCCGTGTATTACCTAGATTCGTGGCGTTGTGGCTATTGATGTACTTGGGACCATGGTCTGGGTGAGGCCTTTTCTTCCTTTGTGGATTTTGAAACGAGAACAGGCACCAGGCATCCATTCCAATTCAATATTAAGTTACAAGTAATAATACCCTGTGCTTCTACTTTTCTCGACGAGGGATTTCTGATCTGGAACCATGCAATGACGAAGACAGGGGGAGGGAATAAAAATCCTGTAAATCATGACTTGCGTTCCTGATTTGACGATCCTTTTTGGATGGTCCCGTGAATATCAACATTGTCCTCCTATTTGGGGCTAGATTCTATCCTCGTTTAGGCGACCATGGGGTTTCCTGATTCAGATTGCTGGCAGCACCTACGTACCTATCCTGTATACAGGCCTGTGCTCCGTAGGTACTTCCACATGGAAGGTTGAACAAGCTATCTGCATGCCAGTGGAAAATCCCTCAAACAATGCTGAAAAAGAAAAAGAAAAAGAAAAAAAAATGGCAGGCTACAACATGTATTAACCCTGTAGATCTCCTTTCCCCTTCAGAGTCTCAACTTGACCAATCCTGGTCATGTAAATGCTATCGGTTTGATCTCTTTCGATAGGGGTTCCTTCATATTGTCTATTAATACTATTAGTATCTTCCTAGACAGTACTATACATAGAAAAGCTAAAAAATACCAGACGATACCAAAAAAGAAAAGTCGAAAAAAGACGCTTCCAAGCGGGCCCGCCTAAACCCTTCTGGAAACCCCAAGCGTTTGTATTGCAACGCAACAATCTCGTTGGCTCACAGCCCTCGCGGGTCACCGTACGGTTTCCATACTGATTACGGACAAGGCGGCGGCGGCATAGCCATAGCGTCAGAGCACGTCATGCGCTGGGGGTAAAGGCGGGTGGGCCGTGGAAAGAATAAAGCGGTTAGGCTGGATTTACGGCCACTTTGCAGGCGTCTAGTCATACATCATGGCTGCAAAGCGCAATTATCCATTCTCCTCTCTCGTCTCCCCATATATTCATCCTTCCTGGCGATCGCTCGACCCGGCTCGTCGTACCTTACTCTCCTAAATCCCCGTTGGGATCGCCCTGGTGTTGCAGTTAATTGTTGGTTTTCTTTTTTGTCCCCTTCGTTCTATCTATCCATCCATCCATCCATATACATCCGTCGTTCTAGATTCTGAGCATTCTTGAGCTTGGTCTAGCTACTGAGATTGGACTTGTCTATCAAGGAACTGACTGGTTATCTATCTCCTGCTACTCTTGTAAGCTTCTCAATCTCAATCCCAAGTGTTGGACCACTCTCTTCTCTACAACCTTCTCTACCCCCATTGCGTCACCCTATCGGCAGGAATGTGAACTTGAGGCGGTGAGGCAAGGAATGTTATCGGTTTCGTATGCACCTTGGCCCATCTTATCTATGACTACAGCTTGCATTTGCCTCTTCGCTCTTCTGGAGGGCTCTTCTGTCTTCTCGAGGAGCTGAGTATCTAATGAGCTGCTTTTCGTTTTGCCTATACCAATTGGGTCCTGCCAGTCTGACACACAAGCTTCCTTTCCTGCCTAATTTCCTTAATTCCATATGGGATTGTGTCTTCCGTGGCTTACGCACTGAATCAATTCAGACTGACGCTTTTTCCAAGTGTTATTCCAGCACCGTCTCTATTATTCCACTACACAACATCGGTCCACCATGACACAAACAGGCCCGGTCATCCCCCCTCGGCCGTCAAGGTCGCCCCAACAGCAGGGTCTTACGCCCGCGTCCGCAGATATTCCCAGGATCCCTCCTCGCCCTTCTCGTCGTGCGGAGCGCTCCGTCTCCCCCCTTGGCGATAGCTACGCTCCATCTCCTTTGAACGAGCTGCCTAATAGCGCAAGCATGAGCCGTACCTCTTCCAACGATATCCCCCAGCGGCCCCCCAGCGTGACAATACCTTCTCTTGGCGAAGAGGGTATTGAATATGAAGATTTGGATGTTGGTAATGCTTCCGATAGCCATCATCCAGCTCCGGCAGAGACTCGCAATGTGGGCAGCGATCTCAAGCTTCATGCACCAAGACCGTCGCTGCCTACTTCCAGTGCCAAGGCCAGAGTGCAGGCCGTGACACGTACAGATTCGCGCCAGGCAGCAGCAGCAGGCCTTGGTGGGAGGACGGCTTCCCCCGTCCCGGATGAGCTGCACGACCGTCCCGCTCGTTCGTTACATTCTAGAGCAAGTGGTTCGCGAGCAGACTCTTCGACTGCATCTGCCGATCGCCGGCCATCACTCAACGGAGATGAGCATGGAATCCCAGAAATTGGGCAACGGGTTCCAATGTACCGTAATGCGGGCGATGTTCAGGCACCGTCTCCAAGTCCTTACCAGTTAGAACACGGCGGTTTACGCACTGGCCGTAGCCATAACCGCAGTCGTAGTGGCCGCGAAGCTTCCCTTCCACCGGGAAGCTATGGGCTTCATGGGCATGGTGTGCAGTTCAACGACAAATTCGAGAAAGCCTGGTACGAAAAGCACCCTGAAGAGTATGTCAAGGAGGAGCAGGGCCAGTATGGGCCTGGTGTCGGTTCCCCCCGACCCGATTGGGCTTTGAGCAGCGATGATTTGAATAAGATCGTTCGTGGTTCTGCTGTGACTGGTTCAGGACTTGGTGAGTCTCTTCATGTCGCTGAGCTGGAGGGGGGGGGGGGAGGGACTGTCTCATCTCTTTCTAATCTGAGTCTTAGGCACCTCGCCAGCTGTAACCGGAACGCCCGAAGAGGAGGTCGGGTATATCGCTAGCGACGAGTACACTCAGCGCCTATCGACGCCACCACCGGATTCCTACCGTGACTCGCGACCTTCTGTTGAATCGTCCCTGCGTAAAGAGAGTGTAGTTTCTTCGGGATCTGAACCCCAACAAGAAGCTGCGACGAAGGAGGTTCACAGATCAGAGGAGTCTGGCGTTATCCACGTCGATGAGCCCTACCATCATCTGCACCATCCTGATGGCTTCGCCCAGACTCCAGATCCAGAAACTCTTGATCATGTGGCTGGAGAGGGTGGAGCAGAGGAGGATGAACCTATTTTGGCTGCTGACGAAGTGTGTCCTGAGTCTGCATTCCAGCATCCAGCAGTCTCGCCTACTTTTGGTAGAAGAGAGAGTTTCGAGCATGAAAGTAGAAGTCGTACTCCGAGCCTAAACCAAAGCCGCTCGAATAGCCGATCTACAAGCCAAGTTGGTGGTATGCCTTCTCTCGCAAGATTTAATTCACGCGAGGAGCGCGAGGACTCCCATACACCGCTGGAGGATGTCGACGAATATGAGCCTTTGTTCCCTGATGATGATAAGAAGGACCAGAAGATGCTTTCGGCCGCCGAGCGTTTTAAGAAACGGCCAGAGATGCTTAAGCGGTTTCCTAGTCAAGATATATGGGAGGATTCGCCAAATAGCTTACAGCTTCATGCTACCGTGTTGACTCCTGACATACCAAAGCTTGATACGTTCGAAACTCCGGAGCAGGAGTCAATCCGCAGAAGCCAGACAAGTCATGTCGATCCCTACCAAGTCGCATCGCATATCTTGGAGTCGGAGGATCATGACGAGAAAAGCGATTCGCGCCGCGACGCTTCAAAGCAACGTTTCCCTAGTCGGGATATCTGGGAAGATGCACCTGAAAGCCAGAAGCTAGTTACTACGATAGTGCCATCAGAAGAAGAGGCGAAGAGCCCTGAGGTCCCATCAAAGCCGATCATTCAACTCCGGCCTGAAAACCGTCCGCAACAGCCCCCTCCGGTGGACGCCTCTACGAAACCTGCCACTTCGCCGACGGAAAAGCGACTGCCGCCCCAGATTCCCGATCGCCCAAAGCCCCAAATCCCAATCCGACCAGCCAAGCCAGCTTCCCATGGCAATACCGAGGAGGCTAAGGATACATCAGCTAAAGTAAAGCCTGCTGTGCCGGCCAGGCCTGGTGGAAGCAAGATAGCTGCCCTGAAGGCAGGGTTTCTATCAGATCTGAACTCTCGCCTACAGCTTGGGCCTCAGGCACCGAAGCCGCAGGAGAAGAAAGCAGATGAAGCTCCCGCGGAAAAAGCACCGTTGAGCGATGCTCGCAAGGGAAGAGCTCGAGGACCTGCGCGAAGAAAGCCGGCGGTAGAGAATACCGTTTCGAAACTGCCGACAATCCCCGAAATCCGAATTACCATGACATGGAATGTCTGGCAGGTGGGTGAAGATGGCAACCTGATTGTGGGTGACGGCGAAAAAGCAGAACCAAAGGAGGCGACAGTGACTCCGCCGGATACTTCACTCTCAACCGATAATAATAATAATACCAACGCTCCCCTATCGGCGGAGAACAGTACCGTCGAGTCGATAGATCCTCAGCTAACTTCCAACAAGGAGGGACCCCTTGCATCCCCTAAAGCTGAGTCTACATTTACCAATGCGGCACGGACAATACCAGGCTCCAGTGACGACACGCTTTCTGCTTCGGAGCCTGCTGGTAAACAAGCCGAACGCGATGAGCCCCCAAGTACCGTGCCTACTGCGGACACAGACGCCACCGCAAACAAAATGCCTCGCCCATCATATCCTGAAGAAAAATCAGACAATATTTCAGACGTGAAGGCAGCTTCTGCGGATGGTGATACATAAAATCCAGGGCCATGCTTTCTTTTTTTTTTCTTTTTTGCCCTTTGCTTCCTTGTTCAAGTTCGTCACCAAAATCCGAAATCCAATTTAGTTTCCCTCATACCAACCTACCTACCTAACACTACCTGTCAAAAGACACAACACAGAGACTTAGTAATTACGTTGCGTGGTGGAGCGGTCCACTTAATTCAAACTTCTACGAAAAGTGGTTCACGTCCTTGCTTGGCTGATTACTCTTTTTGTATGTACATTCCTTTGGCATTGTAATGCTTCTTATTCCTCTTTACCTCTGTCGTATTTAAATTTATAAGATAAGTGTTTTTAAATAGTCAGGCTCTTTTTTAACTGTAGTCTCAACTTGCTATTCACAATCTGTTCTCTGTATTAGGAACTTAACTGGGATATGACTCGATGCTGGCAATGCAGTATGCAGTCAACCAATGTCAAAGTCAACCAGTTTGAGAGGACGCTCAAAAAACAAAACAAAACAAAAAAAATTGATATAATCCTCAGCTGCAGCAGAATCGGATGGTACATGTATATCTGATTTAGTCTGCCCCCGAACAACATTGCTGGCTCTGATAAGAAAGGGAAGTATAATCCGGTGACTTAATTTTCTTTCTTTTTTTTTTCTTTTCTCCTTTTTTGGGGAGACTGTTTGGGTATCATGGATTGATCAGTGAGGCCATCTAAACTAACGGTACAGTGGGGGAAAAAAAAAAAAAATTCTTGTCCCAAGGGCGGCCATCAGCATCAATAAAATGTAAAGAATATAAATAAATCAACTAGCGGGCAGATTCTTCAAGTCGCCCTTTCCATCCTTGATCCATTCTGGGTCAATCAAACGCTCTTTTTCGGCGTAGAGCTGCTTATAGGCACCTCGAATGGTTCCGTCGCTGACATGAGCCACTTGAGAGATTTCCTTGGCGGTTTTGCCGTGGCCCATCAGGTAGGACGCCATGTAGATGCAAGCCGCGACAATCGATAGAGGCGAGCGACCTGCAAGATCTCCCATGGTCGTAACTCGATCCGATAGGGAAGACGAAACGCTGGTGACCTGGAACGGCAGGTCGAGGAGGTTACAGAAACGGTTGCAGAGGTCGCTGGGTTTCGTAGATGTGGTCGCGGTGTAGGTGGCGTTGGGATCGGGGACGCCTCCACTCGACACAACAGCGTTGATCCGCTCGAGGTTTTGGGCCGTAAAGAACTTCTCCAATGCCTTGTAGATCCGACCGATTTCCTTCCTTGCCACCTTGGTGACAGCAAAGATTTCGGTGAAGGTCCGAGGGACCTTACATTGTCGGCAAGCGATGAAGATGCAGCCCGCAATGATCACTTCCTGAGACTTGCCTTTGAACGCCTTGGCATCATCGACGACTTTGAAAAGGTACTTTGCTGTATCAGCCACGTTCTTCTGGATGTTAAACCCATCACACAGGGCGCCGATCTCCTTGTAAGCAGCAAGGAGAGTCTTATTCATCTTCTCGCTCGACTGCTTGTTCTGAGCCCGATACAGATCGCGCACCCGGCCTGAACCCCCACTGGCGATCTGGGTTTCTAGCTGATCTCCATTCAGCAGTGGGTTCGACGCATCTCCAACACGTGACGGATCGTCATTACTCTGGTCGTCGTTGGAGAAGGTACGCCATTCGGAATGCATGTCAATTTCTCGATCCGCAAGCACTAATCCGCATGAGCCGCACACCGTTTCATGGGACCCCGGGAATTCCAGATTAGGAGGAACCTCCTTGCACTCTGGACAGATTACGTGAGCCGAAAGGTTCTTCTTCCACTGGCCAGCGTCCGGCTTGGCTGGATGAGAAACGGGTGCCATTTTTGTCGATCTTATTAAGGGATTGATACTTTTCCGACGGGGCTTGTCTACCTTCCTGGCGATAGAAGGGAGTTTATACTTGCGAGCACAAAAATGAACGAAGAACGGCGAATACAGATTGGCGGCGGTAGTTCGGCCGAGCGATCCGAGAACAGACTTGTTCTCGGCAGTGACAGGAAAGGAAAGGACAGCAGCGGCGCAAATCGCTGAGATTAGTCTGCAAGTTACGTCTCTGCGTCACTGCCTTCCGTAGCCATGTTAGCCTGAACGCACCCAAGCGAAATGAAGAGAAAAGTCCATGCTGAGAGGTTGCAGGATTTCAAGAAGAAAGGGCCAGGTGATCTGATCATGACCAGGAAACGATCATGTACCACCAACATCTCATCTACATCTCATGTAGGGGAGAACAGGTTGATAGTGGGTGCTTTACCTTTCCGGGGGTGATGGTAGAATCAGTCTGCTTGTTCTGCGAACCGTCCCCAGAGGAAAGCACCTTTCACGGAAGAAAAGGCCGTGGGAAATCCAGCTTCCACTTCACACAAAAGCCCTCGAAGCCACGCTTGTCCGACCGCGATGAACCAGTCAAGGTCTCCGTGAGGGGCGAGAGTCACGGAATAAAGGGCCGTAGAACCTGACAGAGAGGCGCTGCACCTGAGATCGTCGAGGCGAGTTGAGTCCGATCGAGACGAGTCGAGGGAATCGGAACAGAGCAACGTCGAGTGTCGAGTTCCTTGACAAGAGGGCCGTTTCGAGCGACCAGGAGTTGTGGATGAGAGGAACAAAGAGGGAGACTGAGAAAAAGCCAAGTCAAGTCAAAGCCAGGTCAGGTGCTCCTGAGCCGCAGTGCTGAGTCAGCCGCCAAGCCGAAGCCTCCCGAACAAACGTCGAACTTCAAACGTCGGCGACCTCTCACTGTCCTCGCTGACTCCCTCTCCCACCTCCCCTCGTCCACCACTTCCGCCGTAGTGATGATGTCCCAGTCTCTCCGAGCGTCGGTGAGTATACCCTGTCGGAGGATCATGATGATGCCCCTCTACGATCTCCAATGTGCTGTGGCTGACCTCTCTTTGTAGCGCTCGCTCCTCTCCCGCCTTTCTCGGCAACAGGTTTCTTCTCTTTCTCGCCGCACTTTCCTGACCTCCGCTGTCCGTCAGGGTATGTGATTATCCCATCCCTTCTGTTGCTCTTTGCGACCAGTGATTCCTGGGCATACAATGGTTTCCCAGCAGTCGTTGTCCCTTGTCAATGGATGATTCTTCACATCAGAGTCTGACCTTTCATCAGCCGACCCCGTTCAGGATCTCTACCTCCGTGAACTCCGCGCCTACAAGCCCACCCCCATCAAGCCAAGTGATGCTGAGTCTCACGTTCAGAAGTTCGCCGCTCCTGCTGCCCCCAAGTCCCCCGAGGAGGCCAACCTTGCCAATGAATTGAAGGCCTACGAGAACCAGGAAGTTGAGGTTGAGGGTCAGGCTGCTAGCGGTGAGGCCGCCCCCGCCGAGGAGAGCTGGTTCGAGGAGGAAGAAGAAGAGGCTCCTGCTGCTCACTAGGTTTGTTCCTTTCGACTGGCAATGCAATGTCTGGGACATTCGGGACATGGACAATGGAAGGAGATCAGATGTCTCCCAGCGTCCTTTTTTTATATAAAAAAATGTCCTGAAAGAATCTTTGTAAATTAAACCTACTTGGAGCACATGAAATTTTCTTTTCTCTTACAACTAAGTTTGTACACTGTACTTGAAAGAATCACGGGGTCGCCGGGGCGATTGACCGGTGGGCGTAGGGATTGGCGGGAAAAGCGGGCTTGATATATCCGACCGAGTCTGAACAATGCAATTCCCCCAAAGATCCTACAAGAGACAAAAAATAATAATAAATAGAATAAAAAAACATCGGCAGACGGGACTAAAATGATTTCCTGTGCCGGTGACATAACTGTGTGACTTGTGAAAAATTACGAGGCCATTTTTAGCCATGAGGGCTACATGGACATTGTTGAAAACACATGGCTGGAATGCCCAAGCGAGCTCGCAGTCCTTGCACCTCGCCGATGTAAAGGATTGGGACAGAAGTAAATTATTATTAATATTTTTTGTTTCTTTTAGATTGAGGTTGAATGCTAGGGAGCTTCTAAACTGGGAATTGGAATATGACAGCTCCAAAATCATTCAGACCGCCAAATTAACACCTTCTATTCTCTTTCATTCTCTCAGATTCCCCAGTCAGGCGGAGGTTAATAGTAAAGTAAAAGATTCTATGCTTCGTCACCGGATTCAGATTCGGTACAGGCTGCAGAGGGGATCAGTGGAGGGCGGTGCTCTCAGGACTTGATTGAAAACAAGGATATGAAGACAAACCAGCAGGAGCTCTGAATAGTGACTATGCTGTCGAAATGGAATGCGGCAATTGTCTCCAGGTGTACGAAGGGTACACAACAAGCATGATAGTATTGATTGTACCACATTCCCGGGGATCGAATCCACGGGATTCGCCACTGGCGACAAGGTCGATTGACAGAATTCCACATGTTCCTATATCTGTGTCTTGTAGATCAAGAGATAGTCTGCTTCCCTTTTTCGATGTTGGATAGACGAGAGCGATTCGATCTCATTTATATTAAGAAAGCGGATCCGCCCACATGCAGTCATGCATATACATGTACATACCTACCTGAGAGGATTGACAAGTCAGAAAGGATAAAGCCAAGCATCATGAAACGAATGCGCCGATTCAAGGTACGTACTAAGTATATTCTGTAAGAAGCGATCATGACGTGCTCCTTGCCTTTTTTTTTTTTTTTGCCCTTGCTCCTCCTTTCTTGTTTGCTGGTTGGTCGAGTGTTGATGGACTAGAAGATGGAGGTTCAACATAAAACTTTAAACCAAGCCATCGTGACGGGTCGATTCTTCTTACTTCATCGGTCGACTAGAATTGTAAGACTCCGAGGAGGGAATAGATTCATGCATGCATGCATACACGCATGAAGATATTGTTGAGAAGAGCATCACGATTCAAGAACACAAGTCGGTATGGACGGATGTACTTACTAGGTTGGCAAGGTAAGGTAAGGTACTCTGTATAACGGTTCTGGTAAATTACACCAGTATTACCTATTAATAGTAGGTATGGAGGTGCTTCGAGGGTAAAGGCACCTACCTACACCGGTTTATTGAATGATATCCTTGCATTGGGATGCTAAGGGAGATCTGAGTTCAGAGCAAAAATAGTCAACATGAGGATCAGATAGAATCGAATTATTGGCAAATGCTAGAACCAGATCGATTTAATTCTGGTCGAATCTGTGGTTCGGCCCTGATTCGGGTCGCTCGAATTCCGATGGTCCTTGTACCTAACCGTATGAGTACTGATACTGGTATGTGTCCCATGCAAGTCAGATGATGACGATGGCGTGGGTTTTCTTTATTTCTTTTTTTTTTTTTTCACAAAAAAGATTGAATTTCCAAACCGATTGCATCTCATTTGGAGGATGGTATAGCATCTCCTAGTTCTCCCTTCTGTACTGCACAAAACCTGAGTGAAAGGAGGGTACCAGGTACACAGGTACAGAATCCGATTCAGGGACATGAGGTACTCCGTACTTCCCGTTGTATTGAAAGATTACCACCATCACTTTAGGTCCTTCGATCTTTCTCTCCCTTTTGCTCGCGTTTTTTTTTTCACTTCTGGTGCAATTATTCCCATATCTCTCTCTCCCTTGGAGTTTTGTTCCATCATTTCGTTGTGGCCGTCAACTCAATTCCACCTATATATGCTGGAAAGGGGAACTCCAACAACAGGTGTGCGTGTGTGTGCGTGTGTCTTTTTGTCCTTGCCCTTCTCCAGGTTTAACGCCGGAAATTCCCCCATCCGTCGATCAACCATCCTCCAGCGCTGGGCTAGCGACCATCCCTCGTCCGGAGGTATTACAGTAACATCCGCAAAGGCTCCTTCGAAGCACTGCACTGTCAGCTTCAGTTCCTCGTTTAGTTAACAAGCTAGCTAGCAAGCAAGCAAAGCATTGACGTGGTCGCTCGCTATTTATTTATTTCGTCTGCCTTCTGTCACCGTCATAGAGAGAGCCTTGCGGCAAGCGCTCTTCCTCTCCCTCGCTCTTCCTTACAAACCGACCCTTCAATACAAACCGCAAGAAACACCCTCGCCATATGGTTTTTAATCACTGTCAACGGGAACTACTTCATACATGGAGGAGCTGGGCTCTCCAGCCCCAAAGTCAGCTTTGATTCAATCCCGGCCGGGGGGAGATGTCCTTCCCGTCAGGGTAGCTCCTTCATCTGGATCTATAGTCAACCAACGTTGACAACCGCCGACCATGTCTTCCTTTTACCCAGAGGCTGTGAGCAACCATCAAGATGAACAAGCCTTTTTGTCCCGCGCCGCCAGCTACAACCACCTCCCCGATCTCTCTACTTCGGAGCCTCCCTCCCCGAGTCTTAGAAGGACCTTCTCCGATCTAACATATCCACACCAGTCCGAGTCATCACCGTCAAAGGAGGATGTGGCCGCTGGGAAAGACATTCTGCGACGAACCTCGCTTCGCTCTAAGGAGAGATCGACAATTGCCGTCTCTCGGTTCACCCTTTCGAGCGAAGACTTGACCAATCCGGCGGATGGAGAGCCCTTGGATGCTCTTTCAAAAGCTCCGGAAACCCAGGCCCCAGAACCCGTCGCCCGCCCTTCCAAGGCGCGCTCAATGTCCGGTAGGCTGGCCAGTTTAGCTCGGAAACCACGGTGGGCGTCAAACTCTCCATATCGATCGCCCGCCCCATCCGCCAAAAATTCCCGAGTACACGCCTTGCGCAACGAGGAGATCTCATCGCTAAGCTCGCAACCGCCTTCATCGAAGATGGGTGCTCAACCGGACTCTCCCCCGGCATCAGATGCCACCGCCCCTTCTCGCAAACGAACAATTCTAAACAAGCGACCTCGGCGACCCACGGTAGCGGTCGTGACCCAGAGCCGGGCAGATAGCCCAAGTACTCCTAATAGTCCCTCACCTCTCCCGCTGGGGACGAAGGGTTCACTCGAACGACTCACCACTTCTTTGAATGTCTCAACTCCGGTTCTCCCGCCTATTCACAAGACGCATGGTGCTGCCGGTAACACCCATAGTAACATGGATATTCCGCGGAAAAAGGATGAACTGTGGGCAGTTTTCCGGGGTCTCGAGGCCGATTTTCAGAAGTAAGGATCAAAAGATAAAGTTCTATGAAGAAGGCACTGCATAAGATGGCCGTTTTGCTGACCCGTTGCAGGTTCCAATCCAAATCTAGTGCGTTGAAAGCCAACGTTATTCGCTCTTCACTCCTACCATTTCTTAATCGTAATCATTCACACCCATCTTATAAGTCTCTACGGCCGGAAGACCTGGACCGTCGGGTAAATATACTCAATAAATGGTGGACAGGATTACTGGAAATGCTCAATGGCAAGCATAACCAGTCCATCTCCGGAACAGACAGGCCGGTCTATCTGGAAGCTGTGGTCGGGATTATGACTCGACCAGAATGGAGGATACCCTTCCCAATGCGCCCGTCCGATGGAAGGTCCCCCAAGCCATTGCAACACGCGCCGAGTTCGATCTCGGAGAGCTCGGAAGGCTCGTCTGGGTCTGATTTCCTCGTCGAATCTATCTACCATAACATCAGGAATATTTTCACGCAAAATCTACTCTCCCAGATGGCTTTCGTGGTGGATCGAATGTCCATGAGACACGCCCCCGCCAGCCTGGTGGCATTCTGTGGGAAAGCCTGTGCATATGCGTTCTTTTTCTGTCCCGGCGTGGCAGATATCCTTGTCCGATTGTGGAATACGTTTCCCAACGTCTTCCGGCGAATTCTTAGCCAGTCGAATGTTGACCGAAGCAGCAGTACGCGCGCATTCACCCGGGATCTCTCGTTGAACTTTCCCATAGCCTTGCGCTCGCTGGCTTTCCACGCGCACACGCCTCTGGTTCGATATCTCCGCCAAAAACCCGATGTGCCCTTGAACACGGCCCAGATTCCGTGGCAGAACCCTTGGGTCTCTCGATGGTGCGGTCGTGACTCCGATCTGTTCTTCGTTTTTGTGAAGTACGTGCACATTCTGTATAGTGATGCTTTGCCTCTTGATATCGACAAAGAGCAGCGTATCCTGGCCCCAGGATTGCTTCCGATCCATGCTCAAGTCCTTGTTGTCCTGGAGGATACTCTTTACAAACAGTCCGTGCCTCAAGCACCGGAAAACACGCACACCGCCGCGGCGATCACGTTTGACGATTTTATCGAAGGCGCCGATGCAGCCGTTTCCGCCCTTCCCTTGGGAGCTGCAAACAGTCACCGTTCAATGGCTGAGAATCGCCTGATCATTCTACTTCGTGACTTTCTCTCTGAGTCTTCAGTAGAGCCAAATCAAGCGCGATTGCTGTATGCGGAGTCGTTCTCTGGTATCATGAAGGCAGCCGCCCAGACGATTTCCTTGTTTGACCATAACGCGTGCTTTTTGCTATGTGATTTCATTGAAGAGGTAATCTCGATCATCACACGCTTCTCCCGCATGGTTGAGCTTGAAATCTTTGACTGGAAATTTTGGCTCGAAGTCTGCAAACAGATGATGCAAAGCCACAATTCACTCACTGAAGTCCGGGTGTTCTCTTTCCTCTTCTGTATTTGGGGGGCGTGGACCGCTTCTGAAGAACGAAAGGAGGCTCTTTGTCTAGGATTTCTCTTGGACGAGCAGCTATTTTTTCATTACTTCAGTCACTGGAGCCCCATGGTTCGTGCCTATTTTCATCGTCTCGTGTGCTGGAGGATGGGGAGATTTAACGGTGATCCCTCACCTCTTGAGACGTAAGTACAGATAAATTTAGATTGTTCTTCGTCCTTCCTTCTCTGCAGAATTGCTGACTAGTACCTGGCAGAAAAATTTATGAAACGTTGTTAGCTCGACTCCAGCGGATTTGGCGATATTACCTCGCATTCCAAACGAAGGCGGAGGAAACACTTACACCACCGTTATCTTCTGCCCCCTGTACGCCCGCTCCTGGGCGCAGGATCATCATCATCCGGTGTGACAATCCGATGTCGCCGTCACATCTCTTCGTCTCTTTTGACCGTGTAGTCCCCTCTGCTCCGGTAGAGCAGAACCCACCAACCATAATGGAAAGCTCTTCGAGGTCTGATACCCCTGCCTCGGATACTCAGCAGCCCACGAAAAAAAGATGGAATATCTTGAAAGCCGTGTTCGGCGGTTCCTCGAGTGCAAGGTCTAGTATCGACAACTCTCCTACCAGCAGTTCCGATGAATCAGATGCCAATGGACATGATTCCACAGTGGCTACCGATAAATGCCTGGATAGCCATTGGTGTGCTCACAATAGTTCCGGGGAGCTCTCCCGACCCAAAACGGCACACCAGCCCTATTCTTTCAAGTTTTCGCTAGAGTGGATGGACCGACCTCCGTGGCCCAGTAGGAATAAACGTCTCTTCACCCCTTGTCTTCCAGTGGCAGCCCAGTTGCATTTGCAGCTCCGGACCTCAATGACTAGACTCGACTGCGAATCAGCATCGGAATATGCATCTGCTACAGAATCCGAGGGCGAAACTAAGAGTGACGTGCCTCTTCGGGGGCCTGTATCCGACGAGCAAATGAAGACAGAAGCGGACTCATGTTCCATGCCGGATGCAGCGTCCTACAGACCAGACTTCAAGCTGGCGCTTAATGACACCCTCGTGGCAAGTAAATACGCTGGCCGTGCTCTTGCCGAATGGGGGCAGATCGTCTCCGAATGCGACAGTTTCTTTTCCCGAAGGCGCGATGAAGGTGTGCCCTGTGACCGAATGGTTGAAACACCAACGCTGGGCGTTGAAAGCTTCAGGAAGTAGGGCTTATCGACCTCATAGACATGGCGATATTGATGTCCAAAGGGATCGACCTCTAGGACCAGTGCCTCTCCAGATTATATTCACAACACTCCCTGTGCTCCTGTCCTGACCTTTTATTCTTCCTATTCCATTGGCCTTCTCATATATCATTCGGGACGAGGCCTTTCCTTTATTGTTTTGCCATCAAATATTTCTCAGAACAGACCCGAGTTATTGCATTAGTTTGGTTTTTAGTCTTCCTTTCTTTCTTTCTACTCCTCGCCCGTTCCTTTCCTTTCCTCCCTTTTTTTTTTCACTATTCTCCGTCTGTATTGCATATATCACATGGGGCTCTGATACATATAGCGGCGCATGGACAAGGCATCCTATCATTTATCACTCATATCTAGGTGTTTGGGCTATCGTCTGTTCTACCTCGTTTGTCCTACAGTCCATTGTAGAATGGCTGCTGTTTGGGTCTGTTGACCTTTTTTTCTTTTCTTTCCTTTCCACTTTTTGATCCATTCCTATATTATCCTTATTACATTGCCAAGGGGAACTTGGGCTAGGAAGAATACATATCCGAAAAGTAATAGGTAATAGGTGATGTCTATTCGTTAGGGCTACATTGCACTAAGCAAAGAGAAAACAATTATGAAGCGTAGCTCTTCAGCACTGTGGAAGGTTGTCGAACCCATCGGTCTGGTCTCATAATAGATATGGAAGTTAGCTATATTGAGCCATTTCATCGGTTGTCATGTTCCGAAACATTTTTGTTGAGTGGATTAGATTCGATTATAGACTACATCGGTTCAAACAAATGTTTCTTCATTATTGTAAAGATATTATTCAAAAATTTAAAAACACAAAGAACATACGTATTTACGCTGGCTGAATTTTTGAAACCTATAATAACAACGGCCAGGACGCCGACTAATACAGAGGTTAGGTATCTAGCGTCGACAAATATAACAGGCTCGCGCAACGCATGGCCATTATACCTGTCCTGTAGAAAGACAGATATGTATGAAGTTTGGAAGGGGGCGGTTGGGGATGATTCCTTATGAGCATACAAACGAAATGGGATGGATGACCGCTGTAGAAAAATAAACAGTAAAGAAAAATTAATGCTTCAGGTACATGGACTAGAAATGTGTGAGACAAAAAAAAAAAGAAAAGAAAAAACCGGTGATAGAGTAGGAGTATGGATTCTAAGGATAGTCGAGAGGTCTAAGTAGTTTTTGATCGAGCGTTGACGTGAATCGGGGCGGTATTGATGATAAAGATCGGCTGACAGAATAAGATCGATATGTTCAAGGGCAAAAAAAAGGATGTAAATGAACAAGGTCGTCAAAGTCACATATGGAATAGTTGGTCGGTGGCGTAACGAATAATGTCCGAAACCCGGTCCACCCATTCCTGAGTTTGGGTCCAGTTGCCTGCATCGATGCTGTCTCGAATCGCCGGAAAGAAGGTCGCGTCGTAGCCAGACCACAGCTGCGGGCCAAAGATAACATGCTTAAACTGGGTGCGATTGGGTACCTGGTAGCAACATGGTTAGGCATCCAGTCACTCCATTCGACGGTGTCAGAAGATCACTTACTCCGCCCCCTTCCCGATCATCCAACAGATGGGTTTCAAAGGCCGCCATCCGGTTGTTATAAGTTATTCGCTGAATAGCCATCACGTTGTTCTCAAAGCCTCCTGATCCCCATACGGCATCATGCCATATCTGGCTCCATTTTTGGAACTTCGCCGCGTCATTCTGGAATTTCGTGGCAGCATCATATAGAGGCTTAAAAGTGACAGAGCCATCCCGACTATCGTGGCCCTTATGAGCCATGGGGACCTTCTGAGATTTGGCGTAGTTTTCCAAGTCAGTAACGTAGACGCCTACTCGCTCCGCGTAAACTTGCAAATCGAAGGGTAGAATAGGGTTATCCGCGAATTGAATCAGAAGCAAGCCCCAGAACTGGCCCAAGCTCTTGTGGTATTGGAATCCCGGGTCTCCAAACTTCGTCATCCAGTCCCAATTCTCGTAGCAGCTGTGGTAGGGGTATGGTTCGCCGGAAAACCCGAAATCCACACTGGAGGTTCCGGCTATGTCCTGGAACGCAACGTAATCACTGCCAGATCCAAGAGGAGCAAGTCTCTTCTGCTTCTTCCCCCAGAGATCTTTCAGCGTTTCGTTGGTGATCGGGTCGGAGATGCGGCCCAGAATTTGCATGACAACGCGCTCAAAGACCGGACATCCAGCAGCCTCGAAATCCTTGCCCCCAACGCCAACATCAACATTGAGATAGGCATATGCATTATCGCGTAGGGTCTGCAATTCCTTTTCCACGTGCTCCGTAGATCCAATCATATTGTACTCCTCGGCATCCCAGCTAACGAACTCTATGGTTCGTAACGGACGCCACCCTAGTTCGAGGAGCTCGCCAAAGACGCGGATAACCTCAAGGAAGACTGCGGTGCCGCTTCCTGGGTCAGCGCTTCCGAAGCACCATGAATCTCGGTGATTGCCAACGATGATTTTCTTCTCCGGTTGCTCTAGTCCAAGGATCCTTCCGAATACATTATAGACAGGTCGTCTTTCCACCTCCTCCTGCAGGTTCATGAGATTGACGGTCGGAGAACCTTTGTCTCCAGTCCACCAGTGCTTTACGTTCGGAACGCCGCCAACCCATTTGGCAGGCACCTTCAAGCCATGGCCCTGGAGAGCTTGCAAGAGCTTCTGAGCATCGCGCCAGGCGATAGGTATGCTCGGAATGCTCGTTAATCCCTGACTTTCCTCTGGCTTGATTCGCTTCTGCTCCTCTGGTGTTGAGGCAAATCCGGGAGAAAGAACATCTCCGACAACCCACGACATCAAACTCACACTGCCTCTCTGCACACCATCCTCTGGCATAAACCGTCCGTCCGGAAAGGCAGGGCCTCGGACAAAACCGTCCTCTGCGGGGTCGGAGTAAATGATACAGCCGACGGCGCCCGCAAGTTCAGCGGCTTTGACCTTCAAGGCCCGATCCGATTCCGACCCGTAATATCGCACCAGAGCTATAGAGCCGTTCACCGTCACTCCCTGGTCCGTGAGGTATTGGAAATCTTCTCTCGAACCGTAGTTCGCATAAACAAGAGGCCCGGTAACATTCCCCGATTTCGAGTGACCATGAAATGCCAGCACTTGCGAGTCCTTCTCCTCGAGGGCAGCTTCCCAGGCCAGCTCTGGGGGGTCGATAATCGCCACTCTTCTTCCATCATCCGTGGGGTAATTTAAGTACACGTGGAACTCCTCCCTTTCGATCTCATCCAAGCCTGCGCTCCTAAATTCTTGTTCTATCCATTGCATCAGCATGAAGTCTCCTTCAGTGCCAGCCAGATGGGGGAAATTGGTCATCTTTTTTAAGTTCTCCGCGATATTGGTTTCATTGATATGGGTCTGGATAAAATTCTCCACGGACGCTGCGCTGTACGACTGTCCCATGATGAACCGAGAGTTCATATTGAAGACGTCAGATATGAAGAAGACATAAACAGCAGTAACCACCAGTAGTAGCCCGAAGACACGCAGCATGATCATGCATCCATGATTGTGTATTCTTGAACGCGCAGTATCAAGATTGATGGTAACCCGAAAGTTCGGAAGGAATCGGCGAAGAGGTAGGTGTATTGAGGATAATGTGCGCGTTAAATTGCTGAACTGTTTGGAGAATTGGGAGCTCAACCGAGCACGTCGGCCTGGCTGTTGGTTGGCGTCCTCCACATCCATTTGTTCGAGTTCCCGCTGGAGCTCCTCGAGGGAGCCCCTTTCCGAACCCGCCGCCGACGACCCGAGGTCATCAACGCTATTCCGAGCGGATTCGACTGTGGGAGGGTGGTAACCATGAAAATGGGTTCGGGGCCCCCCAGGGGCCGTGATACCGTCGGCATCGTGAAGCAAGCCCTGTCGTTCGGCATCGCTGCTGGGTTCTTCGGGACCGAGGTTGGATCGGGAGGAGCCCGGGCGAGAAGCAATGGCCTCGTCATAGGTAGGAATTGGGAGAGCGTCGTATTCATATTTATTGTCGTCGCCCATGGCGGTGGTGATGAGGCTCCGGGGAGCCGTGCGAGTTGGACAGTCACAGATACCGGACTGAGCGGGATCATGGTCTGGAAAGGAAAAGAGCGGCAGCCGCAGACATGCTCCCTGATTCAAGGGAATATCCAACCGACAGAAAGAGAGACTAGAACGAAAGATAAATTGAGAGAGGTGGAGGGGGAGGGTCGAAGCGGTCGAGTGTTTGGGGTGGGAAAAAGGAGTGAGGTTGTTTGTAGTTGGTTAATTTAGCAGTGGATTGATTGTCAAAGAGGGAGTTTGCAGGCGGCATTGCGTTTCCCCAGACCGTCACCGACCACGTGTGGCGCAGGCGCAAGAGATGACCCACGTCCGGCGCTCTGATAGTAAGCAGGCAGAAGTGTTTTTAGGGGGTTGATGACGCAGGCTGGTTATTATAGCCAGGGCTCTTTCAACTGCCGTTGAGGGTGCATTTCAGGTCTTCCGCTGTCTTTGAGATTGATTCCAATCATGAATAGGAAAGAAATTGGGGACGTCCGTATCTGACTCTGATATGGTATTGTCAGAACATGTATGATTACATACCATTGATTCTGTTGTGGTACGGTACCTCCATCTTCCCGGGAACCACTATAAAACACAGAGCACTGGAATGCTATCAAGGTTCCTGCGATGTATGGTACTGACAGGTACTAATACATTTCTCAAGCACAGATGATCCATCTACATATATATACCATGTAAGCATAAGACTCCTTACTTAGAACAATGCAATCTAGTGAGGTAATGTCCCGGAATGGGGTTCAAAATTGAAAGAGAAGGCGTATCAATTGAACGATATGCCGTAGAATGAATTACGGATGTAAGATGTCTTATTATATGGGAGGATAATCTTAAGGAAGTTAGCAATGATCTCATTGCACTGTTCTGGAAGCTTTCATTCTATGATTCAATCACGGGTTATCGACACAGAGAAGCATCCTATACTAAGAATCCCAACACATTCTCCAGTGAGATCTTATAATTCATTCACTCGTCCTGCCGGTTAGCCCGAACCAGCTGTCTCACCTGGTTCCAGTTCTCCGACGGAGGCAACATCCGAGCACTTCAGGCGAAACGGATGTGGGATGGTTGACAAGGGACACCGCAAACACTCGCGAAACATAGTGGACCCCCCCCCTCTCTGCCGCTCAATTGTACCTGACCGTGGTATGGTGGGAGACGAACTGTATCCAGGAATATATTCCACGTGGGGATCAGATAACAGAAGGAACATGGACAAAGATCGGCCTTCCCAAAACCAGAATCCTAGATTCGGAGAGACACGCGAGGAGGGGCAATGCATCATATCTCGTACCTGATCCGCCAGTTGCAGGTGTTGTTCCTGCCGATGGCCTCCACTGGACGCTGTTTCTCTCGGCAAATGGAGTATATTGTCCCGATTTCGACCAGAGATCCACATGATAAGATTGATCATTCCCTGAATATTTTTATTTTATTTTTTTATTCCCTTTACTAGTATACGAATAGAGTAAGGTCGTGTGGAGTGGATATTATTATCTACTTCGGGAGGGGATTATCGGAGAAAAGGAAAGAGTGATTTTAACTAAGGAAAGGAATGAAGAAAACAGAGATGACTGACATAACGGACGACATGTAAACCCGATGTCGGCGCTTATTTTTCTTCCTTCGGTTTCATTTTAAGCATATTTTTTTCTCCTGATCAAAGCAATTGGAGTGGACTTTCAGTGGATGCACAAATGCGGTACTGAGCACGCGATGGGAAGAGGCTGATATTGAACCTGTTCTCCGCGTAGGTCTCTAGATGTATGCAGAATATAAATGCACTAACACGAGATACCAGGTCATCTTGTACGCCACTCCGTAGAAGGGTCGACTTTCATCAGATTGACGGAATCACTACCATTTCTCTACAGAGCGTTCCGTACCGAGACGGAGTGGAGTACTTGGAGTACTTTGATAGGGTGTTGATCGTGAGACAAAGGGTTCGTCATGGTGATTGATATACAAAGTATTGCTGCCTTGGCACCACATCAAGTCGATATCTAGGAGAACTGAACCGGTTGTTGTTAGATGATGTCTAATTGAACACTCATCATCGATACAGACCCCCATTGATAGAGTCTGTCGTCTAATCCTCTACCCCATGACGTTGTACGATGTTGACGCTCCAAGTCACGCGAAGAGTCGGTGAGTTCAGACGGGGCAAAGTAACCAGGCCAAAGTGAAAAAAAAAGGGGCTGAATGATTCCAGACAGACCAACCAGCAGCCCGGAGAGTCCAGGCTGCAAAATCTTCGAGGAATCTGTCTCGTAGAAAGGAGCTCTAGTATGTAGAGTACCGTGTATATTATATCCTGTACACTGTAGTGGGGAAATTAATCTGCTGATCCAGTCTTGACATTACCATTTTTACCCGCTAAATCGAGGGGGCTAACGAAATTAGGTAAAGTTTACACACCTCAGGCAGAAAACTAGGTACTGTCGCTAGCAACGGCCAAAGAAAAAGTACTCTAAAAAAAAAAAAAAAAAAGAAGGAAAAAGGCCGACCCACCCAGCTAGTTGAATGCGCGACCGATAGTCAACCGGGAGGGGTGGTGCAAGGAGAAAGAAAGAGGCAGTTCTGGCAGCACTTAAATATCATCGATCCAACACATCTCTCCTCTCTCCTTCTCTCTTCCCTATTTCTATTTCCCCCGCCTCTCTCCCCTAGTCGTATTCTCTTTGTTCAATTCTCTTAACAACTTTTGTATACCCCTCGCTGCTTCTCCCACTTTTCGTCCCTTACCGTTCCCTTCCATACTGCCATCATGTCTGCTCGTCCCCAGAACATCGGTATCAAAGCCATTGAGGTCTATTTCCCTAGTCAGGTATGTGATCTGTCAGGAATGGCGGAAGAGAAGAGGAAAAAAAGGGGGAATGTATTGTTAACAAACGGCTGTAGTGTGTTGACCAGGCGGAATTGGAGAAGTTCGATGGCGTCAGTGAAGGGAAATACACAATTGGTCTCGGACAGACCAAGATGAGCTTTTGTGATGACCGTGAGGGTATGTATTGTCTTGAACCCGGTTGTTCCCGGGCCATTTCCCCAGATTGCTAATCCTCTTGGGCGGTAGACATCTACTCCATGGCTCTGACTACCCTTTCATCCCTTTTACGCAAGTACAATATCGATACCAACTCCATTGGCCGCTTGGAAGTTGGTACTGAGACCCTGTTGGACAAGTCCAAGTCTGTCAAATCGGTTTTGATGCAGCTTCTCGGTGACAACACCAACGTGGAGGGCGTGGACACGGTCAATGCCTGCTACGGAGGTACCAATGCAGTTTTCAACAGCATCAACTGGGTGGAATCCTCGGCCTGGGACGGCAGGGACGCCGTCGTTGTCTGCGGTGATATTGCTTTGTACGCTAAGGGCAATGCTCGCCCCACGGGTGGTGCTGGCTGCGTTGCCATGCTGATTGGCCCGGACGCTCCCATCGTGTTCGAGCCCGGCCTCCGTGGCAGCTACATCACCCATGCGTACGATTTCTTCAAGCCTGACCTCTCCAGCGAGTACCCCGTCGTCGACGGCCATTTCTCTCTCAAGTGCTATACGGAAGCGGTGGATGCTTGCTACAAGGCGTACGGGACCCGTGAGAAGTCCTTGAAGGAGAAGACCCAGAATGGCACCAATGGTACCGTTCAGGACGAATCTGCCACTCCCTTGGATCGATTTGATTACATCTTGTTCCACGCCCCCACATGCAAGCTGGTGCAGAAGTCCTACGGCCGGATGTTGTACAACGACTATCTCGCGAATCCCACCCACCCAGCTTTCGCCGAGGTTGCGCCGGAGCTGCGTGATTTGGACTACGACAAGTCCCTAACGGACAAGAGTGTGGAGAAGACTTTCATGGGCTTGACTAAGAAGCGTTTTGCCGAGCGTGTGCGGCCAAGCCTTGACGTGGCCACTCTCTGTGGTAACATGTACACTGCTACCGTCTATGCGGGTCTGGCCAGCTTGCTCTCCAACATTTCCTTCGACCCGAGCCAGCCCAAACGTATTGGATTCTTCTCCTATGGCAGTGGTCTTGCTGCTTCCATGTACAGTGCGAAGATTGTCGGTGATGTGTCTTACATGGTTGAGAAGCTCAACCTCCACAAGCGTCTCGACGCTAGAACCGTTCTGCCTCCTCAGGGCTATGATGATGTAAGCATTTGCCAGTTGATTTTCTATATATATGTTTTTGAAAGAGTAAAGCTAACATATCCTTAGATGTGCATTCTTCGTGAGCATGCACACTTGAAGAAGAACTTCAAGCCCTCTGGTAACACGGAGACGATTCTCCCCAACACCTACTTCCTAACTGAAGTGGATGACATGTTCCGACGCAAATATGACATCAAGGCGTAAATGATGATTAATATACCATTGGTCTTGCTTCTTTGGACTCAGCCGGTTTTCTTGTTTTCCCCAAGTTTCTTAGACGGCTCGTTAGATTTCGTCCCGCCGTCTCCTGTTTCGTCGCCCATACAAAACGGTGCGATGAGGGTGTTTTATTTCCTTTTCTTTTTTTTCTTCTTGTGTCTTGTCTGGACTTTCGGGGATATGACATTACCCATACGGGAGCTGCAAAATGATGATGATGTTTATTAGATAATGTGGCGCTGGAATGCTTCCGGATTCACGAGAAAATCTTTTAGTTTCATTTAATACTAAATTAATTAATCAAGTATGTTCCCAACATATCTAACTAATGCATCTGGCTGTGTCGTGCTCTCTTAGCCCCTGCAACCAACTAGTCTGTTCTTGTACTGGCTTAACTGACTGAGCTGGAAACCTCATCCTCATCTATCATTCTTAACCCTCATCACTTCACTTCTCCCAGATCCAAAGATAGATCTTACAAACAATCAGGATTTCTTGCTGCTTAAATTGAAACAACCCTTTTTGCAAAAATAGCAGCATTCACGGTCACTATGGATGTCGTTTCTACATCCCCTACTCGCCAGCTCTCCCATCATGCCATCACCAAACTTATTCTCCTTTTATTTTATTTTTTTTGTCATTCTTCTCGTCCAATCCCAGAATGCAATTCAGTCTAGTTCATCAATTTCTGATCAGAATGCACAATGATTTGTCGGCTCCAAGCCCGCTGCAGGTTCTCAAGTGTGAAGCACCACTCAGAGATCCTGGCGCCCACTTGGGCCGTGATTGCCGGCGCGTACTGCAACCAACTTTGTCTATCAGCAACGTTCATTCACACGGTGTATTCTTAGAACAACCCGGGTTCTGAAACTATTGTACCTGCTGCTGGCGCTCCAAATGTCCTATCAGAACTCTACTTCGTTGATTTGCATACCGGCGGTTACCTCTCACCTCTCTTGCTGTCCAACACAAACTACTAGCGCCTTGAGATGCGATCACTCTCCTCCCAAGGACCACAGACTGCAAAAGGTATGCCAGTCGTTGAGCTTCACCTTGCCGCCCACCGGTGGATATCAATGGCGGGAAATCATGATTAAATTAGCAACATTTACCCAGAATAGCATGAAACGCAAATGCTGCCGATTACAGATCCTATTTTAGATCACGACAAACCCTTTCCTAAACAGGAAGACTGGAGATCTTGATTAGATCTGAAGAGGCGAAGAAGTTGCAAATTTAGCAACATTTTGACGCGCGACTGTCTGATGAAACAACCAGGTCTGCCTTCAATGGCTGTGAGGATCGTTTGTTTCGCGCATCATCCAAAGATGCCGGCAGCCCATATGTCGATTTCCTCACAATCGCCCTTCTGGGCACTCCAGAACGCCGGTGATTTGGCGTCAAGATGGAGCATACTCCATGTTTCATCTTGCTCTATCCTACTCCTGTCTGTCGGCTTCTTTTTTTACATCAGGGCCGTGTGTCTCCGGGGTAAAGAACATTTAATATCCAAACGTTTCCTGTCCCCGATATGCAACAATCCATCGAGGCCATTCATACAAGCAATGACTCGATTGTGATACTTTCTTGAGATCTTGTCCCGCTGTGTTTCTTACTTCATCTGCTTTGACTTTGCCTATCCATTGGCAGAGGTCCTTCTTTGATATACATCAACCGGAAGCTGGTCCTTCCAAGAAGGCACCAACCTGTAGCCCACTGCAAGAGTGATCTACCTCATTCGCATATTCATTCGCTGCCATGTCTCTCCAATATTCCCACTATCAGCCAACTACCCCTCCTGGATTGCCAACTGGGGAGTTCAGTCAGACCAGTCATAGTCGCAATACGTCCGACTCCTCGTCATATTCCAATCACTCGTCGCCGTGGTCTGCGGTGACCTCCGCAACCAGCCTGAGTGATGACTCGCCCCCTCGGCATCACCATGGGCCTACGTTACTTCCCAAGATCAGGTCACAGGATGTGGTGACTGAACCACCCTCCGTTAGTGGCCCACAGCGTCAACGTCGCGTCTTGTCGAATACGCGCAACCCGCCAGGCTTTTTGCCATATCCTCTAAGCCGCCCTTCGGCTCAGCGCAATACTGGGGACTCTACGGATTGCTTCCCACTGGTATCTCCCGTATCACCCATGTATAGCTCTCACAATTGCTCGACCTTGTCCTCACCTGTGAGCATAACGCCGTCGCACAAGCGCAAAACCGCTAATGCGCATTCCCGGTCAGGGTCTTGCTCCGGAGTCGATGAGGTAACTTTGAATCGATACGGCTATCCTACCTATCGACAGCTTCCCAAATACTCTCCCGCCACGCCGGCCACGCCGATCACGCCTAATATTATCGTCTATCCACCTTACTCGCCTTGTTCACCAATTGTTCCTTCGCAACCTAGAGTTCGATCTCGCGCTCAAGTCCCACATCTGCTTCCCACTTCCCCTACAGCTATGCTCAAGTTTCAAGTGCCCAGTGTTCCCCCGTCGGACTTGTCCAACTTGGCGATGGATATAGCCCTCAATCCACCACTCTGCTTTCTTATTTGACTGCCCCAACACAAGCCATCAACCTAGTGCGTAATGTGAGCGTGATTCCAACACGAGGAATGCACGACTATTTCTGGTGGGATGTCCGCAATCTGCGTAGCTGGACCTCTTTCTCGTTATCTACCTTCCATTCGATTAACGGCCTTACCAAGCTTTTGAAGACGGCTATCCCTTCACATCTGACCCCGCCCACCGCGGTGCCAAGTTCTCGTCTTGCGCCTGACTCTGAGGCGGCATTAATGCATCTCATCCATGATATCTATGCTCCTCGCGTGAACGCTGCTCTGGCGGTATCCCAAGGGACCGAGCATTTGTCTCTCTATACGGCCCCTATACCGCGCATGTTGACTAACAGAAACTACGGAGGACCGCATTTCCTAGCCAATTATGCGTCAGATACAGAAAAAACTAGTTCCGGGATACCCCGTGGTCGGCTGGTTGGGGTTGTCAAGACCTTTGACCGCTGGAACACCGGTATGCGCAACGAAGCCCCCCATCGACGGGTCGAGTATCTTAATGGATTGGCCCACCTCCAACGATGTATGCGCGAACACTCCTGCCGGTATGGTTTCATCATCACCGAGATAGAACTTGTCTGCGTGCGAGCAGGGTGTGACGAAGGCGACGATGTGCCTTACTTTGGCTTTCTGGAGGTCTCTCGTCCAATTCCAACGAACCTCGCAGCAGGTTCTTATGAAGAAGGCTCAAGATCATACTCTAGAGCCTACGCTCATTCCCCGACGCCGTCCAGCGACAGCTCTTTGGCCAGTCAGTCTCCTGTCATCGATGAGTGGACTGAACCAAGCCCCCACGCACTCAACGTGCCCATGACGGCGAGCTTGGCGCTGTATTTCCTGCTAATGCTTTCGAAATCGGTGCCCTTGCCGTCGCAACCATCAGCGCACCTCAATGTTGGCGGACCCGGTGCATTAACTCGGCAGCGTATTTTACCGGAAGGGAAGGACAAATGGATCCCTGAACCACAGATCGGGGAGCGGCGAGATGCAAAGCGAGTGCGAGGATGGGTTTGGCCACAAGATGCCTGGCATCGACGCGAGGGGGGCGGAGTCCCTCGTTCTCGAGCTAACGGCGTCGAATCCAAGCCGAAAAAATGGCACAAGTGATGTGTGGAGTTGTTCGTTTCCTTTTTTTAGATTTTTTTTCTATTTGTACACATTGTTCTGTTGGTAATTCTACTCGAGATAATAATGATAATTTTTCACAAGGGGAACCGAAGTAATAGATAAAACATATAGAGAGTACCTTCGGAGCAAATCGTTTTACCCTGTCTGGCAACAATATCCCTCATGGCAAAGACCAAGCCATCATGACGGTTTCCCCATCTACCAAGGTCCTTGGAACGCCGGTCATGACATCCTGCATATGTCGTGTCCATCCTGAGCCACTAAGGACCCTGGGATCTGAGTACCCTGGCGGTGGTGCTGAATCCAGTGGATATTGTACATATATACATACATTGGCTCAACGCGCACTTACAACAACTTCCCATAACCTATTCTGGATTCAATCAGCCATGGTAGTGGGCCATAAAGACACATCCTCCTTTCCCGACCTCCTCGACGTGATCATCGTTGGTGCTGGGCCTTGTGGCCTCGCCGTCGCCGCTCGAATGAACGAAGACACCCCGTCCGCCATGTTTACCGACGAGGAACATCAACGATACCACTGGATCAACAAACACCGTGGACGCATGGCCCTAGTGCAGGCTCACCATCACAAGATGAACGGCGTCAAGGCAGATAAGTGGAGGGGACTCAACGCAAGACGACCTAGTCATCAGTCCTCATCAAGCGTGTCCATATCTGAAATGTCCTCTTCTCCTTCTCCTCCTCCTCCTTCTTCTTCTCCACTGCCGTCATTGGCTTCGTCCGTCTCGTCGTCGCCCTCTGAGACTGAAATTCCCGACCAGAGGATGAAGCCCGACCAGAGGAAGAAGACAGGGGGTGGATTGTCCACTCTGGTCCTCGATAGTACTGGTGAAAAGTGGATGGAGCGATGGAATCGAGCATTTCGGACGCTGGAGATAGAGCAACTCCGAAGTCCCATGTTTTTTTCATGTTGATCCAAGCGATCGGGACGGGATGCTGGCGTATACGCAGGAAACCGGTCGAGAAAAAGACCTCTGGGAAATCTCCGGCTGTGTTGGGAAGGAATTAAGCAAGCATAAGAAAAAGAAGAAAATGCGGACTAGAGCACAGTGAGATCTGATCTTCTGCTACGAATCAGACAAGCATTGATAGAGGCTAATCAAGATCTTAATAACCAACAGGGTCATCGGATACACGGAGATTGATGAACGAGATCGCAAAGATTACTTCTCTCCCTCGACGGATCTCTTTGCCGACTATTGTTCCAGTATCATCTCTCAATATCGACTCGATCTCCCGGGTATGATCTCGCAACGTGAAGTGGTGGATATCCAATACAGTGTCCATGCCGAGATCTCTCCATCTGATAAGATCTTCGCGGTGACCGCAGCCGATGGAACGCGATTCTATAGCCGGTCCGTAGTGCTGGCAATTGGACCGGGGACAACGAAGATCTATCCGTTCAAGCTGACGAGGGAGGAGGAGCAGGGAGCATGTCACAGCACCGAGATTCGGTCATTCCCGAGTCCAAACGTGAAGAGGAAAATCCAGCAGCGAGAGGAGACGAACCTGGTGGTGGTAGGGGGAGGATTATCCTCTGCGCAAGTAGCGGACATGGCCATTCGCAGAGGAGTGAGCAAAGTCTGGCTCCTCATGCGGTCTGATTTCAAGAGTAAGGAGAACACTTGCTACCATACGATCGTGGAGGGGAGAGAAGAGACTGACGACGACAGTTAAACACTTCGACCTCGGACTATCCTGGATGGGCAAGTTCAAAAACTACGAAAAGGCTGCGTTCTGGTCCGCCGACACGGACGACGAGCGTCTGGATATGATCCGGGAGGCTCGCAACGGCGGCAGCATCACACCGCGATACACGAAGATCCTGAAGCAGCATATGGCGCACCAGCGAGTCTCGATCCATACACGCACGGTGATCTGCGACAGAGATTATTGCACTGCCTCGCAGACTTGGCGTCTCAGCACCGATCCCCCGATTCCCGACCTCCCTCGCATCGACTATATCTACTTTGCCACGGGCATGAAACTGGATGTCAACGAGCTTCCACTCCTGCAGTGGATGCACCGCGAGTACCCGATTGAGACAAAACAGGGACTTCCCTGTATCACGGACGACCTGATGTGGCAGCCCGAGGTGCCTCTGTTCCTAACGGGACGCCTGGCTGCGCTCCGTCTGGGACCTGGAGCCCCGAATTTGGAGGGGGCGAGACTGGGGGCGGAGAGAGTGGCGTGGGGGATGGAAGAAGTGCTAGGACGGAGCGATTCCGAGGAGGATCTGAAAGTACAACGCTCGCAGGAATGTTTCTGTGGGTTGGGGAATCGATATGCAGAGCTGGAGGAGGTGAACTGGTAGCCTATAGCTGGTAGCCTAAGGCATGTAACAAGGTCCTATGCCCTAGCCACGTGACAGTAATATCAAATTACCACATTGGACCTTAGTGCCAACGAACACCCACATATCCTATCTAGTCAGGTGACCAAATTGCAAATAGACTGCTACACTATGGAGTACCTAACGGAGTACGCTCCGCAGCAAGTAATGGTTTATGGTTAGTGGTCAGCCACAGTTACGTGGCCAGCTCAGTGAGATTGTGAGTACGCCTTGGAGAATGGCTTATTGCTTAGTTTATCAGAGCCGCTAACTATGTGGATCCGCGTGCTTAGTCTCTTTTTACGAGTAGGCGAGACTAACTCCAGCAAAACAAACCAGCTCATTCTATTGCAGTATTATGATGTGCACACACCCCACACTCCAGAGATATATTGGAAGTTGGACAGACTTAAACCATAGTTAACTATACGACGGCTATTCGCGCTTGTCCACCCTGACCCGATCCACATAAAGTAGAGGCACCTTTTGCTAACTTACTGTCTCGGAGTCGGCTTACCTGTTTGCGAGAACGCCAATTTCACCCCCTGTTTGTGTGACATATTTTAAGGATCAAGTAATTTTTGACATTATCCATGTCCTCAGACTTCGCTCCAAAAGTCCCGAGGAAGAAGAATAGATACCTACAGCAAGCCTTGTGGCCCTTCGGATTTATAATTCTTTTAGAGCGGCCGGCACCCAAACAGAATGAGGACTTTTTGAGAAATTCGTCCAAGATGGTCAGGCCGCATGGACGAACTGATCTGTCTGCACACGTTCAAAACAGCCGTGCAATCTTCCGCCCCACTGCAAACTTCCTGTCGCTCTGCCGCTTCTTAGTTGGTCAGTTGAATGGCACTTCCGATATCTCCTCTAGTCCTTTATCTGAGGTGTCAGTGCCTTCCTAACTACTCTGTATAGTTGACTAGTTTGGTGCAGATTAATCGGATATGGGTCGACAATTCAGGAACATGCTGGTACTTAGAAGGCTAGAACGCGCGGCTTTGAAAGGCGTAGATAGCTTTATTTTTCCAAACAAGAAAGTACAACGGCCTTGCTCCCCGCTCTAGAGGACTTGAGCATGTTTAGTGGGTTTAACGAACACAATCACGGCAATCTACTAATGTATATAAGAAGCGTGCCTATCGATCCAGTAGGGCTTTCCAACCCGTTGTATCCATACAGTGCATTTGTCTAGCCCATTATGTCTCTTGTGCTGGCCGGCGCCGCCTCAAGGCTCCTGTAGTTGTGGCTCGCAGCAATGATGGCGGCTACCAGTACTAGAATGAGGATTCCTTGTTGATGGAAGGGGCATCCCCGAGGTTGACGTAGGCGAGTCGTATGCCGGCTGCCCAACACGCCAGCCGGTAACTCCAGTCTCTTCTTCTGCTTCTTCCCCTCAACCAACCCCAATGCGACCGATGAGATCACCATATGGTTAAGCGGGGCCCAGGATACAGTCCCCTGGCTAGCAGGGGAGCGGCCCCTTCTTATGGCGGCCGGGCAACTATAAACTCCTGCATAATCCCTATTCGTGGAATAAATTAACCGTTGTTGTCTATATTGATCAGCCGGTGGGCACGGCCTCTCGCCAGGTCCGTCAACTGTTAATATTAAGAGGATGTCGCGGCGCAATTTATAAGCTGGTATAAGCACTTCTCTGGTACTTTTGGACAGCATGGACGCAAGTTATATATAACTAGCGAGAGCTACGCCGATAAATCTATCCCATATATTACATCAACGATGTTAGATGAGCAAGATACCTTTAATGTTAAGTGAATCTTACTTAGTGCTCCAACCTTAAATGACGAATAAGATATGACACAATGTTTGTTGACTTATCCTATCCAGCCTCTCCGCCCACCGCCGGACCGAAGTGTCGGTCGAAGTGCACTCCTGGAGGTGATTAATCGTCTTACTCCATCTACTAGCCAGTCCAGCCCCCGCCTCGCGGCACTTCTCACACTACGAGAGTGTACTCGCGCTGTATGATAGCTTTGTCTCAGATGTTGAGTTGCAGGCTGAGAAATGCGGATATGACAAATTCCTGAACGAGGCCCTGACCTTGTCACCTCCCAAGGGTGTCAAGTTCCCATCGGTGCCAAATCCCAAACGAGAGGGTTGCGTTGTCGAGGATGAGATCGCATGCGCGGTGTACAGGGTTAATCCGTGCTTTAATTTGTGCCATCTAACGGACTCCAGCCTATACCTGGGGGATGCAGCGCTGGATGACCTGCTGAATAATAACTACTTTAACTGTTCAGATATACAGAAAGCTATTCATGTTCCGCCGGCTAACTATACTCCGTTCGTGATAATTAGCCCCTTTCCTAATGCTGATGCATCAGACTCTAGCGCGACAGGGTCCTTGTCATCTGTTATTGAACGGACCAATAATACTATTATTTGCCACAGATTACTTGATTTCCTGCTCTCTATGAATTCCCCTTGCTGTGATCTAGAATACGACTTGGACGGTGCCATTCCAGCAACCACCTACTGACCGCTCTACGCACCCTATCATAAGGAGCTGGACAAGTTAGCCTAGGGCATGTCCCAAAGCTATTCGTTTGGGTTGCGGGTGCTGGAATTATTGGAACGGCGCACACAGAACGCGGATTGACCTTTACAAGGGTAAACCTGACGGCCCATCGTACGTATCCCCCTCCCTAGCTTGTCGAACATGTGCTAATGAAGTAGAAATCCTCCAATATAGCACCGGCACCGCATTTCGGCAGTTAGAATTCCTGTTGGGTCGTATCGACAGTTTGCAGGATCAAGGGGGGAGTATACGACTTCGAAGGACTGATGTTGGTGTTTGCTGAGTTGTACTGCTAACTACCAGTAGTCATGAGTCACTTGGCCCTTGCTATCGAGGAGGGCCAGGAACGACCTCTAGGAGTAAGAGGCAGAATAGGTATAAGCGTATTTATCATTTTAGGAGAAAGGCATTCTTTTATGCATAGCCTAGAGTCTTTATTTAGGTGGATTATGTACGCAGGGTAGTGTTTCGGAACAGCGATAGGTGGGAGAAGGAAAGTAAAAAACTGTATATTTAGATAAGAGGCATTCGCATGGCTAATTATATACAAGAATCCTAACGTCTTGGCTGAGTAAGAGTTCAGTAGGAAACGAGGACAGTAGTTTTTGCTCGGTAGATCGAGTAATACCCGTTGCAACAGTATTGTATTACATAACGTTGGTACCAGACCATACATGCCAGTACTCGAATGATGCTGCCTGCCTCGACCTCTTTTCAGTCGTTTGTCGCTTTCTCTTCCTCTTGGCATCTATCTTGCAGTCTATCGTCGATCGATTCATCTATCAATCTATCACTGCTTGCCACATCGTGTCAGATTTCCTCTAGTCAGCCTTTCCGACATTCTAAGCCCCAATCCCTGACGTATTCCATTGCATTCAGCTTCGTCTTCGGAGTACGTAACTATGAGATTCACTCCGTCTATCTCTAGCCACACGTGTGGCGCTACTCCGCGACACACGATCTGATCCAGGGACCGAATGGTTAACGTCGTTCCTCTAGAGATAGATGGCTGATGGCAATTGACATCATGGTTATGGATGTAATATGATGGAATCGGTCACGGCCGCATTCATCAGCCACACTCCTCAGCCACAGGCTATGGATCTGCGTGGATCACATTTCTTGCGAGCGCCACACCAGGGAAGACGAGTCAGCAGAAGGCGATGAAGCGGCGTTTCAGCAGGATTGAGAAGAGGTCTCGAAAGACAAAAAAAGGGACATAATAAATTACTCCCAATGATTGGTGAATTTATATGACGCAAATTAATGCTGGTTCAACCAGTTGGTCCAGATTGGACTGGACGAATGAGGCGCAGCCGACCGCCATTCCCTAGTGACACTGTGACACTTGGCGGCAAAAGGTTCTCGACCAGGTCCGAGTTGGACCCTATTGACACTCTCTGGAGCCAGTCAGATGGCCTAATGCGCTATGCGATGTATGATGATCAGCTCTCCACTTCGCGATTGGTGGCATTCAAAATGTGGATTGCAGGCCATAGGGAGCTATGACTTTGCTACTGATCCCGCTCTTTCTGTACATCCTGTACAGACTACAGAAGCATCCCGTCTCAGTCGGCGCTTAAGCGAAACAACTATTTCGCCATTGGAGAATATGAAGCTCCCATTTGAGTTCTCTGAGGGGAAGAAACAGAGGGTGAAGTCCCCACTCTGGGGGAGTCAGAGGACGTCTTCCCCCCTTTTGAGTGTTCGGGAGATTTGACGAAGGAGGCTGTGCAGAGGGGGACATCTTTGCGACACACACTCTGGCACTCTAGTCACTCACTCCTTTCCTGATCAGTCTGCAGAAACGGCTCTAGTCTCCCCTTGTGTCAGTTGTCGTTGTGTTCTTTCCTATGGCATTATTCATTTTCCCCTGAGGTTGCAAGAGAAGGCACCGTTGATTGCGTCCTAGACCGGCCAATAAATAACGATAAATAATAAAAAGGAGGGAGAAGTGAACTAACATATTTCTTTCTTTCTTTTTTTTCTTTTTTTCTTTTTTGAAAAAGAAATAGTTTGCGAAGATTATTGATGACTAGATATCAGGTTAGGCAATAAACCGCCTAGGCATCTTACACAGCCTCCCCTCTTCGTGACGACTAAATAAAAAGAGCATGCACATGCACTTAATTTGAGGAGTTTCTGATACATACCCCCTGTCGATGTCAATATTATCCTTTGTCTCTTTCATTCTATCAAATCATAGTTGTGTGTCGGTCGCATGATGCCGACTCCAGACGAATCTCGTCAGGAACGGTTTCTGAATCCCTCAGCAGGGATCCCTCCCAGAGAGGTATGTAAACCTATAGCAGACCAGGTGGTACTCATGGAATATACTCACTGTTGCAGCAGTCTCCCTTCCCTGACGTATGGCACACGGACATACCTCCCATGCAGCCATCATCACTCTCCCCAGATATGGCTTCTACCCTAGATCCCAACAGATTAACCGTCCAGCATGGTCCACTTCGCACATCGCACTCGTTGGATGGAGAGACGCTACGCCCACGGGCAGACTCCACCATCTCAAGTGCAGATACCGTCGTCAGATCAAGGGCGAACTCAGAAGCCACCACGGCCGTTTCAACTAATACAGCCTACGATGACGTTTCGGTGGCTGACGCCCTGAATCCGGATCTCCGGAATCAGCAGGATTTTGAAGTAGAAAACAACAAGTTCGCCTTCTCTCCCGGTCAGCTTAATAAGATGCAGAATCCCAAATCTCTGGCTGCATTTCAAGCCCTAGGAGGTCTACAAGGCTTGGAAATAGGCCTTCGGACTGACCTCACGTCCGGTCTATCTATCGACGAGACCCTTCTAGACGGCTCGGTCAGCTTCATCGAAGCAACGTCCTCTGAAAATACACCTGCAAAACAACAGCCCGCCTCTACGATCCAGACTACAGCGATAGAAGTCGGGTCTCAGTTTCACGACCGAATCCGCATCTTCAGTCAGAACAGGCTGCCCACTCGGAAGTCAACCGGCTTTCTGAAACTCCTATGGATGGCCTACAATGATAAGATCATCATCTTGCTGACTATAGCCGCCATTGTCTCTCTGTCACTGGGTATCTACCAGACAACCAGCTCTGGGAAAGGGGTCGACTGGATCGAAGGTGTCGCTATTTGCGTGGCCATCCTGATTGTCACCCTCGTGACCGCCGCGAATGACTGGCAAAAGGAAAGACAATTTGCCAAATTGAATAAACGAGTAAGTCTACCTTGCTTCTTGTGATCGACTTGATGATTCTAATCTGTCATAGAACAGCGATCGAGAGGTCAAGGCTGTCCGCTCGGGCAAGGTAGCCATGGTATCGATTTTCGACATCACCGTTGGCGACATTCTTCATATCGAGCCTGGCGACTCCATCCCTACCGATGGAATCCTCATCTCGGGCCATGGAGTGAAATGTGACGAATCTTCCGCCACCGGGGAATCAGATCAGATGAAGAAAACTGATGGGCATGAGGTTTGGCGCCAGATCACCAATGGCTCCGCCACGAAGAAACTCGATCCCTTCATGATCTCGGGCAGTAAAGTACTCGAGGGGGTAGGGACATATTTGGTGACCAGTGTTGGTCCATACTCGACATATGGCCGCATTCTGCTATCACTGCAAGAATCCAACGACCCAACTCCGTTGCAGGTCAAGCTGGGAAGACTCGCCAATTGGATTGGATGGCTTGGATCTAGGTAAGACATACGTTGGATGAGTGCTGGCTGTGTCATTTGTGCTGACGGCTGGTCTCAAGCGCCGCGATTATTCTCTTCTTTGCCTTGTTCTTCAGATTCGTTGCCAACCTGTCGCATGATCCTGGCAGTCCTGCCGTTAAAGGAAAGGAGTTTGTCGACATCCTTATCGTTGCTGTAACAGTTATCGTCGTTGCAATCCCTGGTGAGTGGCATACCGTCTCCTCGGAGGCCCTGAAGATGTTTGAGAATTAACTTTGATGTAGAGGGACTTCCGCTGGCCGTGACTCTCGCCCTCGCTTTTGCCACGACAAGAATGGTAAAGGAAAACAACCTCGTCCGCGTCCTCCGTGCCTGCGAGACTATGGGCAATGCGACTGTGGTTTGCTCGGATAAGACAGGAACCCTGACGCAGAACAAGATGACCGTGGTTGCGGGAGCCTTGGGTCCTCGGAGCTTCGGTCCGAGCACCAAAGAGGATGGCTCTGTGCGCAGCACGATGACTGTGGCCGAGACGTTCCAACAATGCTCGTCCAAAGCCAAGGACCTAGTTATCAAGAGCGTCGCCCTGAACTCGACCGCCTTTGAGGAGGACAGAAATGGAACTCGGGAGTTCATCGGCAGCAAAACCGAGGTCGCCTTGCTACAGCTGGCTAGGGACTATCTTGGGATGGACGTTACCGCCGAGCGTGCGTCGGCGGAAATAGTCCAGTTGATCCCCTTCGATTCGACTCGCAAGTGTATGGGGGTGGTCTACCGGGATGCCACGGCGGGATATCGGCTTCTTGTCAAGGGGGCGGCGGAGATCATGGTCAGCGCATGCTCCACAAAGGTGTCTGGTATCGACACCGCCCAGGGCGGCATTGCCGTCGATGGGCTCTCTGCGGAAGACCGCCGGCAGGCGCTGGATACCATTGAGTCCTATGCCAGACAGTCTCTGCGGACCATTGGCCTTGTATACCGGGACTTCCCAAAACTTCCCAGCTGGCCGCCGAAGGAAATCCAGCGCATGAAAGATGATCCCGATGCGGCCCAGTTCGAAGATCTCTTCCGGGACATGACTTGGCTAGGAGTGGTCGGCATCCAGGACCCTCTCCGCCCCGAAGTGCCTGCCGCCATCGACCAGTGTCGCTCTGCCGGGGTGCAGGTGAAGATGGTCACTGGCGACAACATGGCCACCGCGACGGCAATCGCGTTGTCGTGCGGCATCAAAACGGACGACGGCATCGCCATGGAGGGACCGACATTCCGACAGCTGTCAGATGAGGAGATGGATGACATCCTCCCACGGCTCCAGGTCCTGGCTCGGTCCTCACCGGAGGACAAGCGCATCCTGGTGGCGCGGCTCAAGAAGCTCGGGGAAACTGTGGCGGTCACCGGCGATGGGACCAACGACGGCCCGGCGCTGCGGACGGCCGACGTGGGCTTCTCGATGGGGCTGACGGGCACGGAGGTAGCCAAGGAGGCCAGCTCGATCATCCTTCTCGACGACAACTTCCGGTCGATCGTCACGGCCATCGCATGGGGGCGGGCGGTCAACGATGCGGTGGCCAAGTTCCTGCAGTTCCAGATCACGGTCAACATCACGGCGGTGGTACTGACGTTTGTGTCCTCGCTCTACAACCGCAACAATCAGAGCGTGCTCAATGCGGTGCAGCTGCTCTGGGTGAATTTGATCATGGACACGTTTGCGGCGCTGGCGCTGGCGACGGACGCGCCAACGGAGAAGATCCTGCGGCGCAAACCGGTGCCCAAGAGCGCGTCACTGTTCACGGTGGTGATGTGGAAGATGATCCTGGGCCAGGCAGTGTACCAGCTGGCGATAACCTTCATGCTATTCTTCGCCGGGAAGGGTCTTCTCGGGGCGCATCTCAGCGCACACAACGGCGCGGTGGAGCTCCAGACGATCGTGTTCAACACGTTCGTGTGGATGCAGATCTTCAACGAATTCAACAACCGGCGACTGGACAACGGACTCAACATCTTTGAGGGCATGTTCCGGAACTACTGGTTCCTGGGGATCAATGCTATTATGGTGGGCGGACAGATCATGATCGTCTACGTGGGGGGCGCGGCATTCGGGGTGACGGCGCTGAACGGGGTCCAGTGGGGCGTGTGTATCGCCTGCGCCGCAGGGTGTCTCCCATGGGGAGTGGTACTGCGTTTGATGCCAGATGGTCCGATTGCGGTGGTCCTCGATGCTGTTGTGCGAGGGGGGGGGGTGGTGATGCGTCTTGGAGGGAGAGTGGTGGACCGCGTGAAGCGAGTAAGAAAGGTGAAACAGACCGGTGAGGGCAAGGTGGACCAACAGGAGGCTGTGGACATGACGGTGCCTCCAATTACCATTACGAGTGTATGATTTACGATGTATAATAGGGAGTTATTGTATATTAGCGGTAGATTTATTATATTAATATTTGATGTGGCTATATACTTTGTGTCGTATAGATACGTAGGACACCGCCTCCGTCACCGCCCGCATAGTCACTCATTCAAGCTGTAACTCAGGCCTCATCCTATCTCATCCTCTATCCTCATCTTCTCCAGCATCACGACAATTCCTGTTCGGACGTCTTAGAACTATCTACCTACGATCCGACAGCCAATTATCCAAATCACATACCAAATAACCCTCAGTGAGAACCAAAAAGAAGGGGAGAAAGAAAGAAAATGTCCCTCAACTACCGCACCATCAACGTCGACGTTCTGGACCCGGAGTCCTCGATTAACTTCCCCATGGAGACAATCCTACCCGCTACGTTGCCGACCGCCATGACCTCAAGCGACGCAGCTGGCGTCGCCAGCCAGGTGCGTCAACTGCTTCGATCCGGTGATTCGGAGGGCGCCCTGCGATATGTACTAGACACGGCGCCGTTGGGCGGTGACGACCGCGCCAAGGAAGTCCATCTGGCTACCGTCGTGGATGTCTTACAGGGGATTCGACAGGGGGAGATGACTCGTGTCTTGGAGGGGGTATGTGCCGGCGACGGAGGGTCAGAGAGAGCGGATTGTTTGATGAAATATTTGTATGTTTTCTCTTTCTTACTCTGTTTTTATGGGTGTGGGTGGCGCTAATGACGATGTTGATAGGTATAAGGGAATGGCTAGTCAGGGTTCGGGTTCGGGTTCAGGACATCAATCGGCGAGGAAGTCAGTCTCGCCGCAGAATACAGGGTTCTCGCAGATTCAGGGACGTAATCTGGGCGAGGGGGGTGGTGGTCAGCAGATGAGTGTGCTCTTGAGTTGGCATGAGAAGTTGGTCGAGTTGACGGGGACGGGGTCGATTGTTCGTGTCATGACGGATCGGAGGACGGTCTAATGTACATATTACGTCCCTTTTTTAATTTCGTGTTATTACATTTTTTATTCTTTACATATTATATTGCCTTATTTAAAATCACCACCTCCTAAAAGATCTTTCAGATTCATCTCCCCACTCCCCCGCGTCAACGGCTGCGTTTGTCCTTCTCCCTCCTTCCATCCGATCATGTAGATGAGACGGAAAGTGGCCGGAAGCCCGCGGGCGCTCTCCTCCTGGTGCAGTTGACGGTAGATGGCATCGCTGGCCAGCAGCACGTCGCGCGAGATGGGACCCGGCTCGCGATGCAGAATGGCGCTGCTCTCGCCCATGGCCTGCAGGTCCTGCATCAGCGCGAAGGTATCAGGATACTCCACGACGATATCCTCCACATCGACAGTCAACAACTTAAACCCAGCCTTGTTCAACAGACCACCGACGTCGCGCACATCCGCCAGCGGCGACACATGCGGACTGACGCCGCCGCGCCGCTCCAACTCAGCCAGCTGCAACGACGACCGCAGCTCAAACAGTGTATCCCCGCCGAACATGGCAGCCAGGAACGGCGAATCGGGTTTGAGAATCGAGTTCACCTGCGCCAGCAACGAGGGCAGATCGTTGACCCAGTGAATAGCGAGCGACGAGAGCACGGCATTGAAGCTCTCGGGTTCGTAGGGCAGCGACTCCAAGTCCGGGATGACGTGACGTTCAAGAGCGAGGTCATCATTAAAAGGCTGATCGGCGTCCCGATGCAGCAGGGCATGCGAAGTGTCAACACAGGTCAATTGCGAGATGCGTGAGGATAACGGCGGCGTGGTGGGATCGTCCGGGTCGGGATTGGGAGTGGTTAGGGCGCGGGCGATGTTGCAGCTGTTGGCTCCGAGATCCAGCACACGGGGGAAATGACGTTTGATATCCTATCAATCGATAAATGAGTAGATTTCAGAAACAAAAAAGAAGAAAGAAAACGTACGAGGAGCCGCTCACACAGACGCAGAGCCACCTCGTCCTTCAGATAGTCTGTCTGACGGCTCTGGACAACGTGACGAGCAGCACGGTCTTTCTGCAGATGTTTGACTCGACGATTGAAGACCTCCCAGACGGGATTGCCGGTTTGCGTGGCGAATCGACGGAGGGGAGGGAGACGCATGATTAAATATATAATAATGATGCTATAAAAGTAATATGGAGAGTTGAAGTATAGAAGTCGAGAAGACCTGGCAGAACGTCACCGCTTTCTCTGTTTATCCCCATCTTCATTTTATGATCTTCACTTTATGTTTCTCAGATTCATCATCTCTCTATGCCTCTTTTAATCTATAATGGCCCGCCCCTTCCCCTACACCTTCATCGCCTGCCCCTGTGCCGACTCCCTCCCCGATGCCCTCGACGACGACCAGACTCTCGACCCCCGATCCCCCCGCTCCAACTTCTCTCTGTATCCGCCGGAGCAGCTGCTCTACTGCGAGGACTGCCATCAGATCAAGTGTCCACGATGCATCACCGAAGAGATTGTTTGCTGGTACTGTCCCAGCTGCCTGTTCGAGACTCCCAGCAGTATGGTGCGGAGTGAAGCCAATCGATGTGCCCGCAATTGCTTCAACTGTCCCGTCTGCTCCGCTCCCTTGGCTGTCAGCACTCTGGACAATCAGCAGGGCCCCTGGGTGTTGGCCTGCTCCTATTGCATGTGGTCCACGCTGGATGTCGGCCTGCAGTTCGACAAGCCCACCAATCTCCGCGCCCAACTGGCCAAGATCACCGACTTTACGCGACCACGGCAGTCCTCCCGCGTTGACCTCAAATCTCCGCTGGCCACTTTTGCCTCCATTGACGACCAATTCGATGCTGCGGCTGCGGCTGCTGCTTCTCCTCCTGCTGCCACTCCTGACTCCGACCCTCCTCAAACCCATGACGCCCGTTTCACCGCCCTCAAGTCCTTCTACAAGAATCAGTTAACCACCGTCTCCTCCTCCACCTCCGATCCCGACTTCGGCTCCCCCGGCGCCCTACACCGCATCATGTCCCTCTACGCCTCGTCCAGTCGTTTCGCCCTCTTACCGGGGGCCGGCAAGAAACCCAAATCTCGCCCCGCAGTCATGCGCGAGGCGGTCGTTGCAAACGAAGGGTTGAAGGTCGCCAGCAACTCGCATGCCGCCGACGACGCCGTGGTCCGGCGTCTAGTCGCCGACGATGCGGGCTGGGATGCCGTCGCCTCCCTCGAGCAGCGTCGCTTCCAGTCGCCCGATGTCCGCCTCGTCGACGACCTTCTACCGCTGCCTGTGCTCCTGCGCACCAAACGGTCCAAGCGCTGCAAGTCGTGCAAGCATATCCTCGTCAAACCCGAGATGAAGCCGCAGTCCACCCGCTTTCGTATCCGTCTCATCGCCCTGAGCTATATCCCTCTTCCCACGCTGCGACCATTAATGATGCCCCCCACCGCCCCCAATCTCGAAGCTTTGCCCCCGCTGAAACCGGTGCAGCTGCTGTTGACCTTGAAGAATCACATGTTTGACGCTGTGCGCGTCACCCTGGCCACGCCCGCCGTCACCCCTGGCCGCGTCGCCTCCAAAGTCACCATCCTTTGTCCGCAGTTCGACCTCGGCGCTAACAGCGATGCCTGGGAAGAAGCCCTACAAGGCGCCACCCCAGTCTCCGCCTCCACCTCTTCCACCACCACCGATTCACGGCCCTCCCGATCTGGCACCCTAGGCGCCGCATCGACCGAGAAGGTCGCCGAGGCGGGCAAAGTATGGGACAAGGGCCGAAACTGGACCACCGTCGTGCTCGAGGTCGTCCCGGGTCCGCTACCGGGCAGTTCGATGAGGACGAGGGGGACCATCCAATCTAGTGTCCGGGAAGACCACGACGAGCACCATGACAGTGACGATGACAGTGACGATGACAGTGACGACGATGACGATGACGATGATGGCATGCCTGACACGAAGACCCTCGACTGGAGTGGACAGACGACCGACGCGTCCCAAAAGCTCCGCCCGGATGAAGACGTGCTGGAGATCCCGGTGTTTGTGCGCCTGGAATGGGAATCGGAAAATCAGATGGATGAACATGGGGTACCACCGAATCCAGAGCCGGTGAAGCGGGAATTGGCATATTGGATGGTGTTGGGGGCAGGGAGGATCGGGGGGATCTCCGGGGAGTAATGTGTTGATTGTTAATTGTTGATTGATTGATAGTTGATTTGTTCATAATACCCATCCTGTTCACATAGACATACAGATACCAGAATTTACCTACAAGTCTACAATATACTAGAGACCAAAGGCTATCAAACAGCAGACTATAAATCAAAAAAGATCATGATTGGTTGGATATTATCACATCACATCACATCCTTTTCATTCAGGAACAAGGGAACCCTCAAACCCCGGGACCAGCACAGCCATTTGAATCGAAGAAAAGTAGTGTATGGATGCAGATGTTGTTTCTTCTCTTTTCTCATTTTTGAAAGTTCCCATTCCCGATTGGTTTCTTCATTTTTCGATTCTTTTCCTCGTCGCCAATTAAACCCTTTCGTTTTCCTTCCTGCTCTTGTCTTCTGGTCCTCCTCTATTCACCGTCGTTCCCTAATCATTGTGATGAAACAGAAATGATAAAAGAGAGAGATAGAGAGATAGAAGTCAAAAGAAAAAAAAGAAAAATTCAGGATTCAATTTTTTATCTAAAACTCAGCGGGACCGCTCTGAGGGAACTCGAAGGAAACAGCACGGCCGGTGAGACGACGGTAAACCTCGCCGTACGCATCAAGACGGTGGTCAACACCACCACGCTCCTTCTCGTCCAGGACAACCTTCAGGGTCTTGCTGCCATCCTCCTTGGTGCGGATGCGCTTTCCGACGATCTCGACTGGGTACACCAGGTCGGTGAGAATCGCGTCGTGCACGGCAGTCAGAGTGCGGGAACGAGGACGCTTCTGCTTCTGTTGGTGCGGGAGTTGACCGAGCGCTTGGGGCGGGGCAGGATGCGGCGCTGAGCAACGAAGAGGACGTGACGGTCCGAGAACTTCTTCTCCAGCTCACGGGTCAGACTGTAAAATGTATGTTAGTTCACCATCTATCGGTTCTGGTTCTGTCGGTTCGTACCGCTGCTGGATTTTGTGGAAGCCCTGGAGAAGAGGGACAGGGACGAAGACAATGACTGCCTTCTTGCCGTGGCCAACCTCAACCTATGTATTGTCAGTATAATTCCAAACAAGATATTTAAACAAGAATAATGATAGTTCGGCGGAACCAGAATTTGTGCAAACTCCCTCCTCTTAATTCAATTCCATCCACACAGGAATTGGCACGCGAGAATTCCACCCTCAATCCCGTGTCATGAATATCGAGATCCATGACGAATTGCCGATATCAAGCTTAATACTTTCCCTCTCCTGTGTCCTCGCAAAAACCAAAACGTCCACACAAATTCTGATTCCTGAACTCTTTTTCATCTCTTGCAATTTGCAAAATAAATCTTACCTCACGGGCAGAGACGAACTGCAAAGGCCTGAGGGTGGCCTTCAGGTCCTGTGTGTTGCTCTCCAAGTCGAAAAGAGCACCGGCGATCGCGGTCTCCAGCTCGGAGGGGTTCTGCCTCGACGGCGAGTTGTGGGCGATCTTGTTGATAGCAGCCATGATTGCAGACGAGCGACGGATAGCTGGCTGTGCTGCGGGTGCTGCCTTCCTTGTCGCGGGTTGGTTGGTCGTGGGAAACAAATTCGAGAGATTGAAAGAGGTCCGCCGTGGTCTTCGCCGCTGTGGGATTCCGGAATCTCGGCGTCTCGCTTAGCGGTCGCTTGGCTCTTTACGGTTTAGCGCCTGCCCGCTTAGGGGAACGCCTATCCCGTGACCTGCCTGCCCTGATCAGGAAATCACCAGTCACGTTTTCCTACATATTCCAGACTGTTCAATATTAACATTCAAATCTACGGAGGACTCCGTACAGGGACACATTTCTCTCATGCAATCCTACATTACTATCGACCATTCCGGTACCTCAAACGTATCACCAAACTAATATGGCACATAAAATAATAAGAAAAATGAACAGACGCCGTGGATATGACGATTGCACACGCCTTTGCAACGCAAAAGAAAGAATTAAAGAATAATCAATCCCATCCGAGGCTGGAACTCGGCATTCAAGCATGGCAAAAATGTGGAATCTTGTGCCTAAACAAACTCACGCAAAAAAAAAGACACAAAGACAAAGAGAGCAGATCTAATCCCATAACATACAACTTAACAGGCACATCCTTCTTTGGCCGTAGCGGACGTCCGATCCCCCAGGTTCACTCGTGAATCCTCGGCCTGTCGGCCACCTCCCAACGTAGTCTGACCGGTCCCGGCACCGGCACCTCGTCCGCTCTTCAAGCTGCTCTCGGGGATGGCGTTGGCGATCGCTGTAAAAACATCCACCACGTTCACCCCAGTCTTCGCACTGGTCTCGAAGAACAAAAGACTCTCTTCGTCCGCATAAGCGCTAGCCTCTCTTGTCGGTATCTTCCGCGCATCCCCCGGCGTGGCATCCGATTCCTCTGCGATCTCTCCGGCAGCATCATCATCTTCGCCAGCCGCAGGTGACTCACGGTCGCCATCAGTTTGGGACTCGCCCGAAGCCTCGTTCCCATCATTTGTCAAGTCCAGCTTATTACCAACGAGCGCGATGACAATCCCGGGGCTGGCTTGCCGCTGAAGCTCCGCCACCCAGTGTTTGGCCTTTGTGAGAGAGGAGGGTTTGGTGACATCGTAAACCACCAATGCTGCCTGGGCGTTACGGTAGTACATGGGAGCGAGCGAGGCGAAGCGCTCCTGACCGGCAGTATCCCAGATTTCGAATTTGATCGTTCGAGTTGGGAGTGAACATTTTTGGGTAAGGAAAGCGGCTGGGCGGGGAAATATGACATCAGCCTCGGGAATAGAAGGCCCCCCTCCCCCCCAAAAAAAAGAGAAAAACGAAATAAAACGAAAAGAAAATTTAAAAAAAAAAATATAAAGATAAAAATAAAAATAAACCAAAGCCTACCGGGCCACGTGCAGCGAGGGCTTTTGATATAAGGGATTCTTACCTCCAATAGTCGGTTCTTTGTTTTCTTGGAAGTCGTTATTGACAAATCGCAAGACCAACGATGACTGTTCCAAGGTAGCAATTCATTTAAGGTCAGTCTTCTTGGTTACTCGTGTACAACAAGAGACGAAAGGGAAAAACCGCCCGGGCCGTACCTTTCCAACGGCCGCCTCTCCCAAAAGTACAAGCTTAACGCTACTACTCGGCTTCGGAGTATTTGTGTTCGTTGACTCAGACATGACGATGGAAGCCCAACGGCGAAGTGGCTGTGGTAAAAGATATGGGTTGGCAGAAAGTGCCAGCGAGGACGATGATTATCAATCCAAGGATTTCAGCTCGCAAAGGGCGGCTAAAGGGGAGACTGCTCAGATAAGGCCCGTACGAGGATAAAAACAAGGGATTCAGAGTAGCCTAGAGTGAAACGTCAGCCGGAACATGAGTTGATCGATCGGGCCGGTTCCAAGCAAGCAGGGGATGTAACTGGAGGAAGAGGAGGGGAAGGAAAGATGACGATGACGATGATGACGATGAGACGGAGCAAATGAGGGGCAGTAGGTAGATACCACAACGAACCAGTACCAAGAGAAATAGCGGTGGACAGGTAAGGTACAACCGTCGCAACGTGCTGAGGATGGATAGATACCCAGTGAGGCGGAGAGAGACATTGGCGATGGGAGGAATAGTGGATGACCCGTGGCGCCTAATTCTGTTTAGCGTCCCCCGGCAGTCACGGGATGGTTTCCGAATCCGAACGGTCAGGTATACATTCTGCACGCTATTCTATTGATATTATTATTCCTTTATTCTATTCATTCTATTACTATTGTTCAGAAGATTCATTGGATCGATTTGAGGAACCACATCTCATCACTTGATGAGAATGAGATAGATCAATTGAACCACCCTACAAAGCATCATGGACGATCTCGGCCCTGGGCCACTTCAAGACGCCAACAAGGACAACAAATGCAGGCCCGAGCATGACGTGCCAATCAATGCCCTCCTTCATCAAGGACATCGATCGGTTGGGAGCCCTTTCCACTGGTACCCAGTTGTGTCATACCGGCCAACGTTGCACAGCGTGATTTGTGAAGATCCCGTAGCTGCCCAAAAAAAGAAGCAATGCAAGACCGTGATTGTCGACCAGGGTCCACCGAGATAATGCTTGCTCAAAATAAAGCCAGCAAATCATATCCAACTCGGCCGGTGTACACCCGTCAACTAACCCCAAGGACAATCAATCAACGGCGGATGTCATGGTCCGTGAACTCGGTTAAGAACCAGACCAATGCGAGGACTCCTGAAGAGAAATTTCGGGGAAAAAGGTACACCTGCTTCCATTCTGAAGGTGCTTTGAAAAAAAAAAAAAAAAAAAACCAAAAAAATAGTACATACGCACGAAAAGTCCCACATTGCCAGATAAACCACAAAGTCAATCTGAAGAAACAGTAACTTGTTTGACCGTGAGGTCGGAAGTTCTAATATTGGTATCAACCCATGTATCCCACACAAGAAAAGGGAAAAACAAAAACAAAAACCCTTCCATCTATGTCAAACGCCAAGAACATAACCCAACGATAAGAAACTTCAAAATAATAATAATAATAATAATAATAATAATAAAACTTTTGGTTCACAGCTCATAGATCTGTGCGGGCGCAGATCGGTGAGATTAAAAGGCGTAGAGAAATAATTGCTCAGTCCGCTGATGAAGAAAGAGGTGGCGATGTCGATCAAGCGTAGATGGCAATCGAGATAGCCGAAGACGTAATAGAAGCTATGAATCTGAAACCAGAGGCGGCCAACCATATAAAATAGCAGAAAACAGTAGTGGTACAGAAGCTAGTTTTCGAGGTTAGCAGTAGAAACCGGATATCATGAGGGAACCAAGCGACGCACAATAAAAGACGCGAGTTTATCGTAGGCGCATGAACTCTAGAGGCCCTGACTCCAGTCCAGGAAAGCAAACCTCTCGCTTGAACGAACAAAAGAATGACAAGGTGCGGTTAACGGACGTGCAAAGGATTTCATCGCGTAGTAGGTGGTGGTGGTGGAGCGCCGGGCTTCTTGACGCCTGTGGTATCGTAGGCTCCTCGTCCCATGTTGAAAGCCGACAGATCCCGAAGAATCATTATAGATTCTGCAGACAGTCACTCGTCAGATGACTTTGTCTTCTTGACAGGTATAGAGACCAGTGGAGAACGGAGAGGCGGTTTGAAAGATAGGCTTCAGAGCGTGGTAGGAGAGACTCACAGGAAATAATATACAAAGGAGTTACCCTTCACTAACAAGGGTGCAAAAACAGGGCAGGTAATTTATGACCGCGATTACAGTGCAGTCTGACGACAATGCAAATGCAATGGCGACTATCGAGATACCCAAGAATTCCGATCAAAACAGACGGTATTAATGCAGATGATGCAGCTGCAAGATCGGGAAGACGCGATCCTTATTAAAGGATGCCCACAGCACAGAAGCTGGGAAACACTGGCGTCGACAACAGCAGATCTGTAGGGCAGGAATGCGACACCGGATAACCAAGCAATTGGACCGTAAGAATGAGGCAGTGCGGAGCTCTAGAAACAGTCGACAGGTCTTTTTTTTTTTTTTTTTTGTTTCGCGGTATTTCTTTTCGGCTTAGGCGCTTCGAAGTTCTTTGATCCGAACCGTCGTGGCGTCCTTCCAATCGTACAGGGATTGCAAGATAGTATTTAAATCGAAGGCGATCAGATCAACCCGGCGACCGAGAAATAAAGGCTAATGCAGTCCGCAAGGGGGTTGATGCTGGAAAGGAGAAGTGCTGCGGAACTCCAGCTCGTCTAGTTCCGGTCCAAACGGGGGAGAAGCTCGGCCAGAAGTTGCAAGGGAGGATAGGAGGCTAGTTAACAACGTCACCGAGGTCCTGAGCGGCCAGAGGATGGTTGAGTCAGAGAGAATGAGGCAAAACAGTACAGAAGGGAGGAGAGGAGGAAAGGGTGTAAGGTTAATTGGTTTAAGGAATGGGTGGATGATGAAGAATTCAGGCCAGATCTTGAAGGGGTTCTCGTTGATATATGTAGTAACGTACGGTAGTCCTTTTACATTTAGGTCAGATCAGCAAATCTTTTTTTTTTTTTTTTTTTTGGGTTAATATTAGTATTATTATTATTTCATTTTTGAAGAAAGGACATAAAAAGAGAGACAGCTAAGGACAGGACAGGAGAAAGAGGGAAAAAAAAAATAAAAAATAGGAAAAAGAAAAGGAAAAGCTGACAGATGGAGAATTAAAAAATAGAAATAAAAAAAATTGGAATAAAACAAATAAAAGGGACAAATAAAATACAAAATACATTTATTTCACAAAGTAATCAATCGAGCAGGTCTATTTAGCGGCTCTCCCGTCCCGGGGGGAAGGTACGCGAAAACTAGGTGGGCTGCGATTCATCCAGCCAATTCCATCCATCCCCTTTCTTTCGAAATGGTATTTCCAACGTTTGACGGCTAAGGTGCCTACCTTAGGTACTGACGAGGTAATTTGCCTTCCAAATCTAGACAGCCAGCAAGTGCCGTACCGTAAGGGATGAAATGAAATGCAATACTACGAGTACGTAGGCATGGAGTACCTACGTAGGTGGAATCCATTTAAATTAATTAGTGTCAGTACCGATACAGGTCGCTGATATATGACTTCTCGGGGGCCTTGGTACGGAATAAATAAGTACGGAATAGTCATCAACATTCATTCTTTTGGCCCCCCTCGATGTCTTCATTTCGCCTGAGCTGATATTATCCTCCGAGCTGGGGCTTATTCTACCACATTTCGTCTGCCTATCCGGAGGCCTGAAAGTTGACGTCCCAACGGTGAGCTGATTCTTCGGGGATCCCGCTGCGGAACGGAGTACAGACAAGCCCGTCTGATTCCAAGAAACACGGTACGGTAAGGAAGGTAACGGGTCTCCTCCAAGAAACCCCAGTCAATCGATAGAGTCAGAAATTTAGTTACGGCCGCTAATAAATGGGAAAAAAAAAAAAAAAAAAAAAATAATGGATGAGTTATCTCCACAGGAGTTACGGAGTAGAAGCTAGCTACTCCAAAAGAACCGACTTCTCGAACCGCGGCGACTGGCTTGTTGCATGGTGAGTGGGGAACTGGTAGCCGCTCCAGGAACCGCGGATGGATCCGAACCAACACCACTGGGGGGGCTTGTTTCGATTGCTCTCGCGTGGTGCATTTAGTAGGGGACCTGGGTGGATAACTTGGCTAGTAAAGTCAGGGGGCTCGGATGGGTAGTGATCCCCGGAACCCTACCCCTACGCACTTAGCCTTCTGTCGCTGCTAACCTGAAGCAGTAAGATTTCAGTGAACCGAAGACCCATTCTTTCTGGATTTTTCAGGCAGTATTCCGTTCTAGTACTTCGTAAGTGCTTCTAATACTCCGGAATTCGTACATTCATCCGTATCTACCTCAGTCCAGTGATCCATACAGATAATACTTGCATGGATTTGCCTCATCCTCATAAATCAATTGATCGCTTGATCGATACTTTCTAAAAAAAAAAAAAAAAAAAAAAAAAAAAAGTGAAAAATGAAGAGTACATGTTGTGGCGCAATGTTTTGATATGTCAGGTTCATACGGAGCACCTAGGTAGCTTGCGTACATATCACCCAGAGAGACTGTAATACCGAGAAAAAGATTACATACATGGTGGAAGCGATCCAGAAGCTTCCCGTCTGGTACCTGCGGTAGTGCGAAAAGTAGCCTCGGGAGACTATCTCCAAGATCACTGTTTATTTATTCGATTTGTCTCCCTAGCTGGGATCCACCGGTCTCCTGATTGATTCATACCCTTACCATGTCTGATTTTATGGTTTTTGCTTTCCTGTTTGTTTGTTCTAAGGTCAGGGGGATGAAAGCTACACATGTCGAAACTACAAATGAGACCAGTTGATACCTACTTTATAAATATGGCAGATTGCTGTCTTGCCTCCAGTTGCTGCAGTCGCCTGGGAAATCCGCCTGGGCTAAAAGGGGGGAAGTGGGTCATCTACTCAAAACGATCCATGAATCGGTCCACACCAAGTAAGTCAAGTTAATTTCCTTGCCTTTCTATGTATGGTCCGCGTTACGTATTAGGAATAATATTGGGCATAATTATATTATTATATGCAGCCAACATTCTTCTCGTGAGCTTCTAGTCCTTCTAGCGTCTCTCCCCGCCACTATCGGGGAATCACTAGCCTACAAAGTAGTGGATCAATTTGCCGCTTGTCTTCGTTGTCTGGTCATTATTACCTCAGGACCAACGAACGATCCTTTCTAGTCTTTTCAAAATCTTGCTTGGTCAAAGGACTCCATATTTCCTCCCGACACCTTCCCGCCAATTCCCTAAGCCTGGTGACTGTTAGCCGCATCGATCAGTTCCGCTTCTAGAATGCTATCCCGTGGCTTTGACACTAAATCCCCCCGGCTGCAGTTCCGCGGCGGACTCCATAGTGGTCTCTTGCATGTGAGGCTCCAAACTCTTCCAGACAAGGGTGGATCAACTGCAGCTCATCGTTCCCGGACTGGAAATTTGGCATTGGATTATCTCCCTGTCCCTTCCAGGTGCTAGATACCTGGTCCAGTGGCGTCCGAGATGCTGATTGCATATGAAAGGATCAAAAATCCAATGTGATAGGTGGTCTGTTCTGATCCATAGCACGTGTGGTACGGAGTACTCTGTACCAGGTTCCTTTCTTTTCGCTCCCTGTTCCCTGCCCCTTCACACAGAAAATGGGAAATAGAAATTGACCGACGACGTGACTGACCCAAGCACCTGGGACTTGTCAATCCGGATGTACTCCGTACTACGAGGGGAACTTTGAGTTGCATTTACTTTTAGCAACCCGTAGATCGTGGTGCCATCCCCGTGTTACGTACAGAAAAAAGAAAGGTCCAGAAGGCCAACACCAATGTGGAAGCCAGCCACAAATGGCTTTGCTACATGTTTTAAACCAAATTTGTCTGTCTTTCTATTGCCCCCCTTGCATCAAAGATCAAATCCCAAACACCAAACCCCCCCCCAAATCCGATTCTTCTGCAAGGTATGCAGAGTAATAATACTCAGGTTGCGATCAGATCCCCTCTGCTTGCTTCCTAGCTTCTGTTTCACAACCGATCCGTAGATCTTACATGATTCTTCTCAATGGATCAGCTGCAGACTTTTGTGGCTGTTGAACGGGCCGCTCAACAGGACACAGACACAAACCCTACCTATCACACAACGCATAGGCCATAGACGCGATCCGAGAAGCAGGACACCCGCCCAAACCGGATCATTGGGCTTGTTTCCACGGAAACGTAGCGGATGCAGCTAATGCAACGAGCCGAGATGGAGGTGAATCAGGTAGATTGGATACGGCTTCATGATTCATTTGGAAGATGAACACATCCAAGATCCGGATAATTGCTCTTTACATGATACTGTGAGTGGTACTCTGTAGAGAAGGAAATTTGGTCTGTACAGAGTCTGTGGTGGTTACCTAGGTAGATGGTCAGCTTGACCTGTCAATCTCGCCCCAGTGGTTATCCGTAACGGGTTGCCATTCAGACTGATCGATAGAAAATCCCTCTCTCTCCCAGGATTATCAAGCATTTGATATTCGACGATTCTGTACAGGATAATTATAATTATATATGCCAGTCCCAACTCCCACCGACTATTACACGGCATTAACGGCGGGTTCGCGGAAGCGGAAGCTGGATACTATCTAGCTAGATAGTTCCCAGCCAAACTTCCCTAAATTAAAATCCCAACGGTTCCTAGACGGACTCTGCAGGTTGTTTCTCAAGTTTCTAGTGTATTTCTAGCTGTAATTTATTCCGGTGGAATTAGCCAGTTTTTGATCGACTATGCTACTAAGTGGTAGTAGTTGAAGCTATCGGGTTTCTGGTCCAATAATCCGCAAAGGACGGGCAAATTAGAATAATGTCCACAACGATAATAATAAATTAAATTAAACTAGTGCTTTTTATGTACGGTACAGGCATCTGTCTCTCTTCTCCATTGGACCCATCGATCAAAGGTACGATCCGTAGCAGAACCATGGTAAGTTTCCGTCCGGGATCGAGCTTCTAGAATGGTTCTGGAAACCACGGAGTATGGATCCTCTCGTGTTGTTTTGTGGAGCAATTGACTGTTGCCTATTGCAATAGAATCACGGGAGATAATCTTGTCGTTGATAATTCTATACATTGATGACAATAGTTATGATTGCTGTACATGACATTTGTTGGTAGAGTTGCTCCCTCTTCCAACAAAAAAAAAAAAAATAAAAAAAGAGGAAAAGAAGAAAAGAAGAAAAGAAGAAAAGAAGAAAAATCACAGGACTTTTTCTTTTAACTTTCGTAATCTTAGCAACTTCACCTGTCAAGTTGCTCTCCACCGGCAAACACTTGACTATTGACTCAGGACAGTTTCAACTTGACAGCCATTATATGGACACTTGTCAAGATGATCATACTTTGGACAGTCTAAGGATTGTTTCGCAAGGGCCTGGTCAATTAATACGGGATACTTCATCTATACATCTTCCCGGAGCGTTTACACAGTACTTTAAGTATTTACTCTACTCCATACATACACAGTATGTCTATCTATCTATTCCTATCAACCCATGAAACCATTGCTGGCATGAAACACGCTTCTGTGCAAACTAAACGTGGAAATCACAGACGAGACAAACACGCTCTCAATCAAATTAGAGAATCACGAGAATGGATGTGGCTGGTTAATTGTGGCCAAACACGATCCTTCTGCCGCGCTATTCCGCTGCCCCCGTTGGTGGCGAAGGCAAAGTGGAGGACAGTGGAGTGGAAACTGAACCTCCTTAGTCAACATACTAGACTAGACTAAGCTGAAGAGGATATGATTCCACCTTCCGGAGCCAAGTCCCTGGTATTAGTAAAAAAGTTTACTTCTAGCCTGTGAAGTAGTTGGAACTTACATTTCTGGCCTGAAGGTTTCAAAATTTTCCTATCTGCATCGATTAGTACCGAACTTTTGGCAGTGTCGGTCTCAACGTGTTCCGTCTCTAGAGTCAGCCAGTAAGGAGATCCGCACTTCTGTTCCTATTGTATTACCATTATTCTAGCCTCACCCCCACACAACCCAGTTGTTCCAGAAAAGCGTTATGAAGGGTTTCCTCGTGGGAGTGTGAAGCATAGCCTCAAACGGGAGGTGATCCTTCACTAACGTCGACACTACATTATCTATTTAGTCTATAGAGCAGGAATTTTATCTTCTACTACATACATACAAATTCCAGTAGTCGACTACAGAGTACTCTGTCCCTATGTCTCAGATGTATGCTAATGGTCCGCCCCTTGCTCACCGAATAAAAGATAAAAATTCCCCAACCATGCTTCGATCAGGATGACCGCATGTACTGGAGGCTGTATCTAGCGAACAGAAAAAAAGCCAGGATTCCGCTAAGATCATCTCCTATCACAATAGTAGTAGTTATCCACGACCTCGTAATATCCTTGTATGGGCTATAATTGACGGGTAAGACGGAGCTCAGCATCTGAATCCGTGTCCGACAAAGACAATCCATTGGGATTGTCGGGAAGGAAACGGAAAAGATAAAGCAGGATGAAGAACCATCAATCAAAGAAGATGAGAAATAGACCTCCATGGTGAATCAATCCCAGCCCCTAGATTTCTCCCTTCGGTCACCGGCTTCTCGGTTACTCATCCCATTATTCGGTGTCTAACAAGGTCTCCTGGGTCGGGATCTCCCAGACGATGTGGGATGAAGAAGTCAGACGGGTCATTATTGGACATGTTTGATGAGGTGATCCAGCGAAATGGAACACAAGAAAAAGAAAAGAAACCAAGGGGTCCCTGATATTAGCTGGAAATTGGAATTATATTCTGATGCTCAGTAATAGAGACATAGCTGCATGGCCGGATGATAATCATGCAACCATGGACGGTGATCCATAGTACTAAATATCGTACTACTGTACGCAGTATTTACAGAGTACACTGCAAAACCTTGCTACTCCATACAGACCATCCCCTCCGGCTTTAATCGGGAATGAGATTGTAGCCTTCAAGAACTGCAAATTACCGCCAAATCTCAGAAAGGATAGGCTGCATCGGTCCCATCGCCCTATCCATGCGAGGAGAGATCCATGGTCGATCGATTAAAATACTGGCCTTCGCTGCACAGATATGATCCCCCTTTCTGTCCGTGGGAATTCCCGGTCGCTTATTCGTCCGGAAGCAATCCGTCGATCACAACATGCTTCGTTTTTTCCCTTCCAGGTTGCTGGGTACGGAGGTGATGTATCAGGTGCGGCTGATGTCTGTCGATGGCGGCTGCATGGAGGCAATTGATCCTTGTACTTGGTACTCCTCACACGGGCCAAAAGTACTTGCGTTGGGGCCCTGGGTACATTCCTTCACCTTGGGTTGATACGTCTTTTTTTTTTTTTTTTGAGGGGGGGTTCCTGCTTCGTCTAAATCAGTAGATCGCCGCTACGGGGCAGGGTCGTCATATTTCGTACAGAATGTGATAATCATTCTGATACAGTGAAGATGGTGCTTTAATTGCCTTATACAGCACGAGAAGAATGGCAATTAACTGGAAAAATACGTATTCCAAGAATCGCATTATCCAATAGTAGACTACAACGCGGCTTATTACACCATCCTCTGTCGATTCGGCCCGTCACAGAACGGAAGCACTTATGAGCTCGAGCCCGGTCCGTACTTTGTGATGCACTTGTACGCCATTTCGTACTACAATGGGAAATCTTAGCAAGGAGCTGAGCCCGGGTGGACATACGGAAATCAACAAACACTTACCTGTTCGTCGGTCTGGCAAACCAATATCTGCGGTCCATTGCCGGTTCCCTTCGATATGTTTGTAACTATCTGATCATCGGCTGGTCCTTTATCATTCGCCGAAGAGTCGATGGCAAAGCTGAGACAGGCACATTTCTCAATCACGGTCCTCCTCAGCAAGGCGCTTTTCTCACCGATTCCACCGGCGAATACCACCGCGTCGACCTTCCCGCCCAGCTTCACGAAATAGCTTCCCATGTAGCCCAGGATGCGGTCGACGAGTACGTCAAAAGCAAGCCTATGCTCGGCACTCGGAGGGGTTTCGACAGCAATTCGTGAAAAATCAGTCGTTCCAGTAAGGGCTTTCCAACCTGACTTCTTGTTCAGGATTTCTTCGGCCTGAGAACAATAGTCATTAGTTCAGCGCTGTTTGAGGCCCTTGTTAGGTACTGAGTAGAAGTACCGTGCTGATGTGCATCTCCTTCGTGCTCGAAGGGCTCAATTTTCCCGCGTCACTGGTATAGTGAAATACAAGCCTAGTGACCAATTAGAGTGTCTTCACATCGCTAAGGATATATTCAAACTCACGAAGGGTCGATATCTCCACTCCTCGTGGCGCCTGGCAGTCCAGCTAGCGGAGTAAGTCCCATGCTGGAAAAAAACAAAAGAAAAAAAAATAATCGTCAGCGCCAGACCCGGGATACATATACATAATCATGTGCCCTACGTGGTATCAATTGACTTTCCGTCCTTCATCGCACACACCGAAGCGCCACTTCCAATATGCAGCGCGATCAGATTAGTCTGTTCTCTAGGTTTATTGAGGAATTCAGCCACAGAGCGCAGAATGAAGGAGTAACTAATCCCGTGGAATCCATATTTGCGGAGTTTATTTGTCTTCGCCACTTCCTGATTGATAGGATACGTCTTGACATAGTCGGGGAGGGTTTGATGAAAAGCCGTGTCGAAGAAAGTGATGCCCTTCACCGAAGGGAAATCCTTTCGACATGTGCGGATTATTTCCAATGCTGAGAAATTATGTCTGCTTCAGTTAGTGAAAAGCCTCGCTGTCATCTCCACAGTCCTCACATACAAAGGTGCGAGGTCCTCGAGTTCTTCCAAATGATGATATGTTTCGTCGTCCATCACGACATCAGAGTTATAGTCTCCACCGTGGACAACCCGATGGCAAATATACGCCAGGTCTTCACTGCTGGTAACTTCAGACAGTCCGTGGTCCGAGAGACAGCGCTGTATGAGGTATTCGAACGCATCCTGAGGAGTGGCTAGCGTCTCCTTGAGCTCTTCCTTATGCTGTGTGGAACCACAGGAGCATTTCAGCGTCGGTGGAGGAGCTGTTATCCCAGATATCTGGGCATTAGCGATTACTTTTGGCGACTGTTCGAAGGTGTAGAATGTAATTTTAACAGAGGAGGAGCCAGCGTTCACCGCAAGGATGGACTTGCGTGCCATGGCGGAGCAGATCTGGAGTGATCAATGCGGAGATACTTGTTAGAATCAGACTGATCGGTGTTCAGGAGACTAACAAAGCAAGGAGAATGTTCTATTATTGTCGCTTTTTGGCTTGTTTGTTCCGCGATTCCCGGGTTGGCTGGTCGGTGATGTCACTCCACTGACGTATTGCATGCATACAACCCGTGTATGTACCTCAAGGTTCCAAACATGGTTCCAGCTCCGAAACAAACCAAAACACTTCACTTCCATGGGTCCTTGTCGATCATATCTAGGCCTGTAACCTTAACAGGTATACGCAGATGTGATATATATGGTCCAACATCGCCCGAGCAAAGCCATCGCCTTTTCTTAGATGTGGCACAGCTACAGGTTTAGCTCCAGCAGCTTCTTGCACCTCCACTAGCAATTTTGCTCTTCTCATTTTCTTTTCTTTTCTTTTTTTTTTTTTTTTTTCTCATTTATGGAGGTCTCGATCAACCTCCTCAAGTGAAAATTTTCATCCAGGACAGTGTGCTGCTGCAATGAGACCTGGACCATTAAGATACCAACGCCAGACTACTCGCTGAGTTCTCTCGTATGCTCTCAAAATAGACCCAATACATATCCTAGCTCGGCTTCATGGATGACACCAGATTTCTGCGTTTATGTGGCTGATAGAGCGTTCAGCTGGAACTCAGCACGATACTACAGTGAGACGAGCCTTGGCAATCTAGCTGATGAACTGAAGGTTAAAACGGGACTCTGCAGCTCCTCAGCTCTACGGGAATATTCTGGGTAGAAAGAGCTTTCGAGCCAGAGAGAGGCCAATACTCTAGCGCTTGTCCTTAACCGGCGACATCTTGTATTTCTAGATACTGCCTCTTGATGGTATAACGGAGTAGTTAACTATAGTAAAATATATATCCCGGACTCGTGACCTGCTAGAAGTACAAAAGCCATATGAGCTGACAAGCTTGGTATATTTCTTTGAGCTGAAAGGATAACCTGAACATCATCACATGGGTAGTCAGAGATCCTTGGCCACAAGGAAGCCAGCCGCATTCCCTGGTTACGGATTCATTCCTTATGATGTTGGTGAATTAGATGTTCCGGTTCCATGTAGTACAACGCATCAGAGTCGCGGCCGGGAGCAATGAAAGGTTCAGATCCAGCAGCAGGAGTTGACATCCACTTTAGCGCATACCATTATGCAAATGCGCATGTACATCTAGTTAATCGAAAGGTAAGTCGTCCTCCTTCCATGTGTCGTGACGATTCTCACGAGCCTCTGGTGACCAACGAAAGATCCGGCGAGTATACCATGACCGTATTCCATTAGGGTAGGCCAATGGGAGATGCAGGAAAAATATTCTAGGTCAACATGTATTCTGACCTTGGTTATGTCTTCATCTACCCGGATAGCATCTAGAAACCGGATCTGAGGCGATCGAGCATGATCATAGTGGTGCCTGAGGCCGCGTAGGGCTCTACTCTCTCTACTCTATCGGTCTCCCGATCGAGACTAGGCTATGCTTACGTGATCCGCCTCATATTTCCAGAAATAAGTCAGTCACTGCCTTGTTGGTCTCACCTCCGACCGCCAAGAGCTTCACGACATCCTGCAGCACGCCCATCATGATATCGTTGTCGTTGATGCCTTCCAGGAATCCTTGAAACCACACTTTCTGGCCATGTGATTGGCTCCTTTGAATATGACATCATGCATCTCGGGAAATTCTCCCACGAGTCAACAAAACCTGGCAACCTGGAAGGCCCGCCTTGGCTTCTATGGCTGGGCGGGATACGAAGACAGCGGGGCGGGAGAGCCCACGCAGGACACGGCATCGGGGGAACTATGGGCATCGGACAAAAAAACGAGAAGGAGCGTGGTTCTTATTATCCTACTCTATCCACCTGGCTGTCTCTTTCCGATCTTCCGGCGACTTGGACCTGGCGCGCTAAACCCTAACGGGCGGACCTTGCGAGCATTTAGAGCCGTGGGGAAACTTCTTTGTGCCATTCGCCAAATTGGTCTGTCCCTAAGAACAGCCCAAAAGAATTATGATAGGGAGCTAGGATCATGGGTGACTCAATCAGAGTTTGCTTTGCAGGGGCATGTCCCCGCCGTACGGTTGGAGTATGGGAGAAAAAGGCTGATGGGTCAAAATTTTTTGTCTACCCGACCCCGATTTCCGAGCAACATGTTGCTAGATCTGAAAAATTTTGGGCTCATGAAGCCTTCCTTGATTCCTCCGTGCGCCCTCTATGCGGATCTGATTACGGGGCCAGTGGCTCAGCCACTGCTCCATCATCCGTACTTGACCCTTGCTCGGCTTATCCAACAATCACATCGGAGTAGTTTATTTGTTGCCTTGGGGAGCAGCCCATTCTCTGTTCTATAAAATCATAGTGGCTGTCCCACTTCAGTTTTCACTCTCCTTTTTTGCCGTCTAAATCCTACCCAACGACCCTGTGGTTTTTGTGCTTCTTACCATCAACATGCCGAACGGATTGACTGAGGAGCAGCGGTTGGAGCTAAACAAAGGCTGCCACTCCCTTATCCCGGGTGTGAAACCTGCTTACGGTTATCAGCCCTCGATGGCGGCAGGCATTGTGTTCTTGGTCCTTTTCGGGCTCTCACTGATCATCCACACGGTGCAGTTCGCCTGGAAAAGGAATTGGTGGTGCGCTGTGTTTAGCATCGGATGTCTGAGTATAGATCCCTCAACCGAGACGGAATTATAGATGAGCGGAAGTTGACTTGGCCCTGCAGCGGAGATTCTAGGCTGGGCGGGACGTACATGGTCTGCCCAATGCCCCTACAACATGACTGCCTTTTTGATGCAGATTTCGACCTTGATCATCGGTGAGCCAACAGCAGCGAGGGTGTCGATTGCCAACCCCCAGTTAAGCACGCTAACTGACATCCATAGCCCCAACCTTCTTCACCGCAGGGATCTACATCCTTCTCGGCCGCTTTATCCAGATGCTAGGCCGCGAATCCTCCATCCTCAGCCCGAACCTTTACCTCTGGATCTTCTGCACGTGCGACGTCGTCTCTCTGGTCGTCCAGGCCATCGGCGGTGGAATGGCCTCCTCCGAATCGGACAAGGTAGGCGGCAACACCGCCCCCGGCACCCACATTATGGTTGCCGGGATCGTTTTCCAGATGTTCTCCATCACCGTCTTTGTTGCCTGTGCCGCGGACTTTGTACGTCGCGTGATCCGGTATCGACTCCTAGAGTCCACCAGCGGATCCATCTACCCCCTGCTGGGGGCCATGGTGTTCTCCGTGCTCTGCATCTACGTCCGTAGCATCTACCGAACCATCGAGCTGTCCGAGGGATGGACGGGATATCTGATCACCACGGAACGGTATTTCATTGCCCTTGACGGGGCAATGATGGCTCTGTCCGTTATTATCTTCAATATTTTCCATCCGGGCTGGTTAATGCCTCGTTCCAAGTCGATGGAATTCCAACGTGAGCTTACATCTTCTGATGTGGAGCTTCGGTAATCGACATTGTTCTTCCTTTTTTTTTTTCTTTATCTAGTCTCATACATCTCTCTCTTATTCATCTGTCGGATCAAATTCTAGATTGGCGTTGTTTTCCTGATACATATGTAGTAAGCGTTAGATTGTTTCACGGATACTAAGATTAATGCTAAAAATATATTATACAACTTCATTAGACAAACCCACTAGTGTCTCGTTTAATAAATCGAGAATCGAGAATCAGCAGCCCGCTTCGGATATACAACTAGCCCTGAAACACTTTCACGAAGCACCATTAAGTAATCCTATATGATACAGTAGAACGAATAAATCCACAGCGGAAATATTTTTCTTTTTTCCTTTTTTTTTTTTTTGGTTTTTCCTTGGCTGTATTTTTGCCATTGTTCAGTTCCATTAAACCCGTAAATCCTTTTTAATATACCCTGCCTTGAGAATAGACACATAAAACAGCCCACACAATCATACACCATCCACCGCCTCAATCCAACCAAAAGTGCCCGCTACGACGAAAGTCGCAACAGCCCAGACAGCTCCCCACACGGATGCACCTTTGATATCAGCCCCGTCGATAGTCCCCGCCACCTGTATAATGGTATTCCCGACCAAGATGCCGGCGAGGACGAACGTGCGTGAAACCAACACCTTCGTCTTGACGGATAGAGTCCCCCATGTTTTGCGATACACCGCACAGGCGAGGTACTCGCCCTCTCGCGAGGGAGATCCAGAGCCCTTCTTGGTTGATTCCTCGCTCTTCGAGGAGGAGGGGGGGGAAGAGGCTACCGCGCCGGCAGAGCTAGCGAAGAGAAAATCTCGAGCGGCCCAGCCAAATGGGAGAAGGGATACGAAGAGAATAGGAAGGCCTGCGGGACCGGCATGCACAGCGCTGATGTTGGGTATGGGTTCAAAGTGCACGACTAGGAAGGAAGGGAGGAAAGTGGCGTAGCTGAGGTATAGAGTGACGGTGAAGATGGATGTCGCTACGACGGTGGTGTAGATGGTCGTGGGCCGATCTTGGAGGATGGATCGGTTGGAGACGACGTCCCATGGAACGTGGGAGAGGTTATGCACTGATGTTGGGCTGCGGAGAAGAATGAACGGGATGGAGGTCGAGAATAGGACGATGGCATACGAGACGAGAACGGTGGTCGGTCGGATGTTGTAGAAGGATGCGAGCAAGGCGTAGGTGGGTAGATGGACGAGGAAGATGAATGACGACGCGTCTCGGCCTATTGAATATGATTAGTTGGTCTGATCTGATTATGAAATCTAGAAGCTATCGACAAGCATCTTACCGTCGTATCCCAAGATCCAGGCCAATCCTACCTCCACGGCCTTCCAGGCTATCAGACCCCCCACTTCCCATGCTTCGAGTTGTTTGCTCACATTGCCTAGCTCGCGCAAGGTAATACTAGCTGTGAGGGTAAACAATAACGTGCTGAGAATCAAGTTACTGGCAACCACCAGGATAAATCGCACCGAGGAAGGAATCCTTTCCAGCCAGCTCTTGTGGTGGAGGCTGGTAGTAGGAGACTCGGTCTTGGTGGTCCCTCTGGATACAGCGCCCTTCTTACGCGGGGCCATAGTTTGGAGATATTCGTGTGGGTTCCCCAGACACAGTAATAGAGACGATGGAGAATCGATGACTGGTGAAGTGAGGATTCACTCGAGAGAGAAAAGAACAAAGCGAGCGAAATCAACTGTGGGCGGTGAGCGTATAATGACATCATGCCCTCAACTTGGTCGATGATCTCATCGAAGCGTTACTAGGTACTAACTAGTAGTTGGTAGTTACTTAGTAGGTAGTTACTATACATTTCTATGTCCTGTACAAGATCTTCAGTCGTCCTCGTCTTCTGGCCGCTCCACAACAGAAAACTCTGCTGTGCCATTGTTCCGCCCCTTGTAATCCCGCATGACCAGCTGGTATTTGCCCTGGTTCCATAGATCTTTGATGGTCAGCTCCCGTGTGCGTCCCAGGCTCTCGATGTCTCCGATTCGTTCAAGTGTGCCCTCGAGGTGCTTGTCGAATCCAGGTTCGGAACAGATCTCGCGGAATGCGTGCTGCATGGGAACCGAATCCGCACGGACCATGGCCCGAGAGTCGATGGTGAAGATGTTCTCATGGTCGTAGCTCTGAATAAAATCGGCTCGCGTCATGATCTCTCGTGCTTCGTGCAGAGGTATCTCCGGTAGAATATGGCCAATGTGCGGGTCGTAGGTCTTCTCCATTTCCTTCTCCTTGTCGACGAGTGCTTTGGCGAGGACCATCGCGGCGGACTGTCGTAACGTTAGCGAGCGGCCATTCATATGAACCAATATATGGCACCTACAGAGTACTTTTGCTCATCCATGACATCGTCGTCCATCTCCCGTCCAAGGATCCAGCACTTGTTCAAGAACCATTTCTTCTCCGCTTGCAATATGGAATCGCAAAGTTTCAGGTAGTCTTTAGCCTTTGCAACTCGGTTCAAGTAGGACAGCCGTCCACCAACTTTATCGTATACTTCCTCGAGTGCCTCGTTAGACATTTCCTCGCCGAAGTATCGCTTCCGATATCTCTTCAGAGCGGCAATCGCTCGTTCTTTGGGCAAGTCCGAAACTGGAATCACTTCCATTCTCGTTGCATATCGCTTCAAGCGTTCATAAACCCAGTAGTCATCGCTATTCAACACTAGGTACATATACGTTAGTAGGAATGTCCACTGGAAGGGGGTTGCCTGGAACCCACCCGTGGTCACCAAGTTGCTGGCGGCCCATTGTTCAGCCCGCTGCTGGATCATTTCCAGAAGATCCTGACCGTCGTGGTCATCCCGGACCAAGTGGGTACTGTTGATAATCAATATCAAGGGCTGTAAGCCTTTCCGTCTTCTCGTTAGAGCGACCTTCTCCAGCTTGTTGAAAGCACGCTCGATATCTAAGAGGGCGGTGGTGTCACGGGGGCCCTTGATGCTGAACAAGCTGCCAACGTAGCTGAGGTAAGTCAATCATCAGCATCGGTCCAACACTGAGGGTAGATAAAGAAGCCTCACTCTTCGTGGAACTCGAAATCTAAAGCTTTTCCTAATCGGATTCGAAAAATTTCCAGGTCACCATGCGCCTCAAACATGGCACAACCCTCGCCATCGATCTTGCGCATCGCTTCCAGGAGCATGGATGTTTTCCCGGTTCCTTTCTCGCCGATGATGAGGAAGTAACGGCCGCCTGCACCGCCCGCAATGATTTGGTCAATCCGAGGCTGCTCATCGCGAATCACCCAGTGCTCTTCTGAATAGTGTTGACGCTTCCCGGCCTCCACTCCTGCGACTTCGAGTGCCGGATCCCCCGGTTTGAAGGCATTTTCCATTTTCTGCAGTATCACGTATTTGTAATACCGATGATAGGAGTACCCAGCCAAGCTAGCGGGCGGCTTGTTAGCAAAGAGAGGAGCACAGACTCGTCTTCGTGTCTGGGACGACATACCCTAGGATAGCAATGGAAGCAAACGTCGTCGCTGCCGTCTCCAGCATTTTCAGGATGGTGGACCTTAAAGTCGGTTCCGAGTCGTCGGCTCGGCTCTTATCCTCGTCTCTCGCATTTTGATCGAGGGGATCCGGGGCTCCCAGGAGAGGTCCCTGGGAGAATTGGCGTCCCGAATGATATGGAACAGTCGGGTGTGGTCTCTGTGGTCTTGACAGGGCGACTCGGGGCCGAGAAATCAATGACAGAGACCGTGGAACATTTCGATGCCACAGCATCTTCCCAACCAATGCTTCATGCGCAGCGACTCAGAGCCAATGTAGTTTGTAGGGACCGAAGGGGAGGAACTCCAATTTATGCTAGAGGGATGATGGAATTCAATCGAGGTTCTGATTCAAATGAACGTACTGGTCTGTCAATTTTCAGATATGCAGATAGAAAGGTGTGGCGCAGTCACGACGACAAGGACAGGAGTCACCAACAGCCATGAAATACAGCCATTCAGGCATTCAAGGAAAGGCAGGATTGGGGCAATTCAGCGGAATCCCAACCGCGACAACGAACGAAAGCGAGGTGAAGTTGAGTTTTGGGAACCGATCGAGCAGCTCTTCTTTTTGGCGTGGATTCTCTCCGCTGCTGCGCCTCACCGACAGAACGATGGGCTTGGCACTCTCCTGCTTGGAAAAAGCCATGGACATCTTGCGAAGTACCGAGTAGTTTATCTTCTTTTTTATTAAACAGTTACCGATAGAATATACGTGAGCGGCTCTTCTGCAACCTAGAAGTCCGCTGCGACTTCCTACTACGGACCCCGCCGCTTTTAGAGGACTGCACGTGAACTATACCTACGGCAGCCGCTGCTTTTAAGCCAGCGATATAATAATATTCATGGCTATTCAGGGCTGTATTTAACATCTCGTCATATACGCACAACAAGCTTTTGCCTTTTTAAATATACTAAAGGACTGGATTTTTCCTTCCACAGTAGTATTTATGTTGTAAGACTTTTCTATAAGCCCGTCCAGTACAAGGGACTCATTAACATAAGGGGCAAAGGCCTTCGCGTTGTTTTTTTTTTACTTGCCGCAGTCGAAGGGCACGATTCCGAGTCTCAGCTAGATATTTGACAGGCTTAACATGTTCCATTCCTCCTGAAATGGTCACTTTGGAGAGGCTGTGCAGGCCTAAATGATCTTCAAAAACAACAGACTTGTTGCATGGAATCTTCTTTTCGAGATCTCCTTTCATACGTGCCGAGACATTCTCCTCCCCTATAGCAGCAATGAAGACCTTCCCATTGCAGATGTTTTCTCGACCATGTTGGCTCGCTCGAGATACCACATCACGGAACGCAGAATAATGAGGCGGGAGCTGGGTATAGGAGGAACAAAAGATCGATGTTACGATAGTGATCGTAAGAATAACCCACCGGATGACCTGGAGGTAATACCGGCGAAAAAGAAAGCGTTGACGATAGTAAGAGCAAGTCAGCGGCGGAGGGCAAGATCAAGGACCTAGAATGCTTGAGGCGACGGTATCCAATGTAGGCCAGTGACAAGAAGAGCTGTCTAAGTCGCGACGGCACTTGAGGCTCAAAGCCAGCTTCAGATAAATTAAAGTTCCCTTGGGAGTCAGTAGACGACCGGGTGTCGAGTATGGATATTCATCGGACTGGTAGACGCATATCGACATGATGAGTTCGTCGAACCCATGCAGGAGAGGAAACACAAAATGAAAATAAAAAAGCGAACTATCATGAGGCTCAGAGTGCGCCCGTTGGTTCTGTGTGTTCTTCATTGAGTCTAACGTTGTTTCTGACCGAGCGAGGCATTTTACATGAATTTGATATATTTTTCTGTACTGCTGTAGAATGGTATACTCCATTGACAGCTATATACATTGGTGTTGGTGGATTTGTTCACTCAATTGGTCTCTTCCTTAAAGTTAAATTGCTACGACACTGCCATATAGTCGAAGAAAGACAACTGGATGCAGGGCACGTTCAGAATACCAAGTGACTGGGGAGATCCCAAGACCCCGACGCAATCCGATGGCATGCGAACCACGTCTCTTACCGGATTCGGAGATGCCGCTTTTCATCAGCGATTCTCTGTACATGGGGATGTTATAGGTACTGTTGTGGAATCAATCAATCTGGAGAGAAGAATCATTATATGTACGCGATTATTTAGTTGCGGATCTCTCCCCATATTCTGATGTGAATACTAGGCCTCATATTCCCGGGGAAGAGTATCTCTGAGCGGATGTGGAGAGGTGCCCTTTTTTTTTTTTTTTTTTCCACCGCCCCGAGCAATTCCGAGGGTATTCCGCATCCACGAAATTTTCTTTTGCCTTTCCTTTCCTCATGTGCTTTCTCCAGCTTCATCCTCTCTCCATCCTTTCTTGATCTCGAATTCGGGATCTGGTTTCATTTCTCTCCCTTGGTTTTGGTACGGGGTTGTTGTTATATATTCAATTGCCCGCTTGTATCATATCTCTTCCCCCTCCCATCTTTTGTTTTTGATTTCCCGTTTCCTTTCCCGACGTTTATTTTTCTTTTCTTTTCTTTTCTTTTCTTTTTTTTTTAGTTACTCTCCGCGGTATTCGAGGTTTCTTTTTTAAGACAAGCTGTCAGTCGGGACAGTCGTAACCGTTTGTTCGATTTCTTCTTAGACAGTCTTCCCAATAAATTGCACATCATGGCACAGACCAATGGTGAGATTCAGTACTCGAAAGGTATGTTCTCACTGCCAATGCGGTCAACCCGGTTCGGTTGCGGACGTCGTTAACCGTCATACCAGAGTCTGCGGAACCGCTCACCAACGGCAACCACCCCGAGGGTCAGGAGGAGGGAGAAAATAATGGTGGTATGTTCAATCGAGACTGTGGTTTGGAAGGGTCGGACCACTAACGCGGGGGAATTCCACAACCAGGCCTCTTCCAGATCTCCGTGAAGCTCCCTCATGAGCCCTACAAGATCCAGGTAATGGTGGGTTTCCAAGTCCGCTGGGGACGAAATCAAGCAAAACAAAAACTCCGAATTGAACCTAGTTGATTGATCGTCTTTCTACCCTTAGGTTTCGAGTCAGGAACAAGTCCAAGATGTTCGTCAATCGATCGTCGAGTTACCCAGCACCTTCCAGTACACTTGCTTCCACCTGGAATTCAATGGCCGCCGCATCAACGACTTTGTGGAGCTGTCGGAGGTGGCAGATCTCAAGGCCGATTCCGAGATTGTCCTCGTGGAGGACCCGTACACCGAGAAGGAGTCCCGCATGCACGTGGTGCGCATGAGGGAGCTGGTCGGTGCTGCTGGCGACAGAGTTGACAACCTCCATGGCATCGAAGCGGGTCTGTCACTGCACGACGCGATAGCTACCGAGGCGGTCGCCGGCGAGAACTCGGATAAGGACCATTCGTTGTCCAAGTATGATATTGCTGGTTCTTCGTCTCTGAAAACCATTCTTCCTAGAACCGAAGCTCCCCTCCCGAAAACAGTCAAAGCCATTTCGCTGTCGCCGTGGAACCCCCCTCCTCACCACCTCCGACAGAAAGGCCATTTGCTCTACCTCCAGGTTACCACCAATGAGGGAGAGCAGTTCCAGATCACATCCCACGTGTCTGGATTCTACGTGAACAAGTGCTCGAATGTCAAGTTCGATCCTTTCCCCAAGACGGTCCCGAAGAAGGGCAGTGCACATTCGCTCCTGACCCTAATCTCTCACCTCTCGCCCTCGTTCAGTTCGGCCTTTGAGGCCCTGCAGGAGTCCAACAACCAGAAGGATCTCCTGACCACCTTTCCCTTCCAGAACGCCATTCCAAATAGCCCATGGCTTGTGCCCCCACCCTTGTCGAATGTGAATGCTCACCAGCCCGACATTACTCGATCCCAGGAGAACTACCTGATCTCCGGAGTGGACAATGCGGAAACGCTGAGAGACTGGAACGAGGAGTTTCAAACCACTCGGGAGCTGCCCCGCGAGACGGTCCAAGATCGGGTTTTCCGTGAACGCCTGACGTCGAAGTTGTTTGCCGATTACAACGAGGCTGCTGCCCGTGGTGCCGTCTTGGTCGCCAAGGGTGAGGTTGCACCGTTGAACCCGACGGAAGGCCAGGACGCCCAGATCTTCGTGTACAACAACATCTTCTATTCATTCGGTGCGGATGGTGTTGGAACTTTCGCGTCCGAGGGTGGCGATGAAGCAGCCCGCGTGGCCGTTAGCAAGGACGTCCTGGGTATCAAGGCCGTCAACCAGCTCGACATCAACGGCCTGTTCACCCCTGGCACCGTGGTGGTTGATTACCTTGGAAAGCGTATTGTCGGTCAGAGTATTGTCCCCGGAATCTTCAAGCAGCGTGAGCCAGGAGAGCACCAGATCGACTACGGTGGTGTTGAAGGCAAGGATGTTGTCGCGACCCACTCCGATTTCGTGCCAGTTTTCGAAAAGCTATCCAAGGCTCTCCGGATCAAAAAGCATGCGGTGTGGGACAAGGAAGCAAAGCGTCACGATCTCGAAGGCAGTGTGGAAACGAAGGGTTTGCTGGGCACGGACGGCAGGAAGTACGTCTTGGACCTCTACCGTGTCACGCCTCTGGATGTTACGTGGCAGGAGGAGCCGGAAACTGACACCTATCCTCATCGGATGTCGGTCTTGCGTCTGGAATTGGTCGAGGCGTACTGGAGACACAAGATGAGCCAGTATGTCAAGGCCGAAGTGGAGCGCCGTCGCAGCGCCAAGGCCGAGGAGGCGGCTTCCAACGAGCGCTCCGAAGAAACTGCGGAACCTAAAGAGGAGGGCTCTGAGAAGAAGAGCGAGGAGTCATCTGATCAGGAGCGGGTTGACATCTCGGGATTCTCATTGGCCCTGAACCCTGACGTGTGCAGCGGCCAGGTGCCTCAGACTGATGAAGAGAAGGAGCAGTGGGCCCAGGACGAGAAGGAGGTCCGCGAGGCTTGTGACTTCTTGCGGACCAAGGTCATGCCGGAGCTGATTCAGGACCTGCACGACGGAGATGTGGGCTTCCCGATGGATGGACAGTCCCTCAGCCAGCTCTTGCACAAGCGTGGTATCAACATCCGCTACCTCGGAAAGTTGGCTCAGCTATCTGGGGATAAGGGCACACGCCTTGAAGCCTTGACGACTCTCCTTGTCCAGGAAATGATTGCTCGTGGCTTTAAGCACATTGCTAACCGCTACCTGCGCAACGTGCCGGCACCGTTTGTCGCCTCGTGCTTGGCTCACTTGCTGAACTGTCTCCTTGGTGCCGATGTGAACCCAAATCCTCGCGCGGAGATCGATGCTTCCCTGCGGGCTATTTACACCAAGGACGATTTCTCCTTCGAGAAGGTCACCCCAGCTTCCCTCCGGGTAGAGATTGAGAAGCAGGTCATCATGAGGTACCGCTTCTCTCTCGCGCCTGAGTGGTTCAACTCCTTGAGACATCTCCAGCTTCTCCGTGATATCTCTATCAAGCTTGGGCTTCAGCTTGGCGCGCGGGACTTTGCATTTACCAAGTCACAGCTTCCTATCAGGGTGTCCGCCACTAACGGCGTCAATGGCACTGGCCAGGAGGACAACAAGAAGAAAAAGAAGAAGGGCAGTGATTCCAACTCCCCGGCTCGCGCCGCTGTGGAGGAGAAACCCTCGGTTTCGATTCTTCCGGATGACATCCTCAACATTGTGCCTCTGGTCAAGGATGCTTCGCCTCGGAGTTCCCTTGCAGAGGAGGCCTTGGAGGCCGGACGTATCTCCCTCATGCAGAACCAGAAGCAACTGGGTCAGGAGCTCATCCTCGAATCTCTCTCGTTGCATGAGCAGATCTACGGTATCCTTCACCCGGAGGTTGCCAAGCTCTACCACCAACTATCCATGCTCTACTACCAGACGGACGAGAAAGAGGCCGCTGTTGAGTTGGCACGCAAGGCTGTCATCGTTACTGAACGCACATTGGGTATTGACTCTGCTGACACTATCCTAAGCTACCTCAACCTCAGCCTGTTCGAACACGCCTCTGGAAATACAAAGACGGCGTTGGCCTATATCCGCCATGCCATGGATCTGTGGAAGATCATCTACGGATCCAACCACCCCGATTCGATCACCACCATGAACAATGCGGCCGTGATGCTGCAGCACCTCAAGCAGTACTCCGATTCCCGGAAGTGGTTCGAGGCTTCACTTGTTGTGTGCGAGTCGCTCTTCGGCAAGCAGTCCATTAATACTGCGACCATCTTGTTCCAGCTGGCACAAGCGCTGGCTCTCGACCAGGACTCGAAGGGTGCCGTTGGCAAGATGCGGGATGCCTACAACATCTTCCTCAATCAACTGGGTCCCAACGATCGGAACACCAAGGAGGCGGAGACCTGGCTGGAACAGCTCACTCAAAATGCTGTCTCTATTGCCAAACATGCCAAAGATATCCAGGCTCGACGGCTGCGCCGTATCAACATGAACACCCGTTCCATTGGCACCAAAGTTCAGCCTCAGGTTGGTCAACCGGCGTCTGAAGCGGCCAGTACTGCAAATGCCTCGTTGGACGCTCGGAGTGTCGACGAATTGCTGAAATTCATTGAAGGTGGTGACACCGGTTCTTCACGGGCTAAGCAGAAGAAGCGTGCCGCTGCCAACAACCCTAAGCTTCGCGGCTCGAAGAAATCAACTGCCTAAAATCTATCTTCTTTCCCCATGCTTTTGCTAATAGAGAAGAATCACGCTGGCTTCTTTCATTTTTGGCTTTGATATATATGTAACAGTTAGATGCTATGCTTGAACCAGGGATTTACATGTTGGATGAGCGAAATGTCTTTTTTGCTTTCTTTTCTTTACTGTTGCAGGAATCTCTCTACTCCACCTGGTGCTTTTTCTTTCCCTCGTTTTGGGTTCTCGCTACTATGACGGGGTTTATGTATCGCGGGCAGTGCATAGCAAGGTTGGGTGATTTGCATGCTGTAATGCTCTGGTATATGCTATGTATTATATATGACGTTCAAAAAATTCTAAACATGCATCAGGAACGAACATGGGGTGCTATTTTATAGACAGTTGAAGATCAGTGCTGGATGAATGTTGTTCCACAGCAAAGTTGTGCGGCTGGCGCTAAACCGCTTTAGGCCATGTCTAGTGTTTATCTTTTCGATCACAACATTGTCCGAGTTCAATGTTTTGCGACCCAGTATCTTATGGCCTATTGATGCCATTTTGTTTACATTCTGTTACATTGATTGCATTATAACTGTACATATACATTCCATCCTCCCTGGTGTCTCCCTGCAATGTCCCTGAGCAATTGTTTGGCCAATAGTGTTAAGTACGTATGAGTTGCGGCAACCAGCGCGATTTCAGGGTCAGCGTATACTGGGACACGAACTGAATTGTGAATTTCATTACCCTCACTTGGTTAACCTTGCAGCAGGTGTTGCACCGTCTGTGCGACATGGAAGATATCCGACCGACCGCAAGATGGGCTAATCGTATGCTGCGTCCCTTGACCTCCGTCTACTATCGACTGCAGAAACATCACGAAATCCAGACGAGTGTGGCGGACGCGAAGTTGAGAGAAAAGTCAGGTACGCGCGACACGGTTCCTACACAGCCATCTAAGCCACCGGAGACCGAACAGGGTTGTTCATACTCGGACGAGGAGCCCGGCGATCCCGCTTGGATCCCAGGGAAGCCGGAAAAACGACGATTGCGGCATAATTATTCGAGTCGGGGCCGAAAGGGGATTGAGGTGCGACGACGTAGTCGGTTGTCGATTCACAGTCCGGAATTGCACAAGACCCTTCCCGGCGCCATCGAGATTGCGACACCCTTGATCACTGGGACGGCACAGAGGCCCCAGGAGGTCTCATCGTTCAGGAAACAACTCTTTCGAAATGCCTTACCCCCTGCGGATCCGACGACTTCGAGCGACCAGCGGAAGACGGCGCGGACGAACCATAGTAATTTCCCCTCTTACCAAGGTTCATGGAAGCAGGTCCTCGATTTGTCGGGGGATGCAGGATTGGTGCATATTGCACACTCTCTCGACCGCATTTTTCTCAAACTGCTGCATCGGACTCGGATCGATGAACCGAACCGGGGGACCCGGTCGTTACTGTCTATGACCGTGCGACGTCTACCGGAATTCATTGCGGAAGAGCAGAAGATACAGGATGAAGCTGATGGAGACAAGGATGTGGACATGTGTGATGCATATTTTACCGAACTGGAGGCCCATTATGCCCCAGGCGGAAACGGATGGCAACCCTTTCGCGAAGCGGTGCGTGCCCGAGGTATTCATCTAGTTTCGGATATGGTTCAAAAAGGATGGATTACCAAGCTGGCTGCCTGCCGACTTCTGGAGGAATGTATGGGCCAAGGTGAATATGATGCGTTTGAATTACTGATGTCAAGGTACCTGGTGGCCCTTGACACATACGAATACCCCACCGCATTCGATTCGCACAGGCCTTTAAGTCATTGTGATGACCCGGTCCATATCCTGGGCGTTTACTATTTACGGTCTACTGGCCGACGGTCGTTCGTGTTCGATGAGCTCTCAAGGCTTCTTTTATGTCGGGTTTTCCCTGCCGAGTGGATGGTCACTACACTGTGGAAAAGATGTGTTGATGGAGCTATCAAGTCCCTATCAACCGGAGATGGCGATTCTGCGGCTGCCACACGGCTAATAGAGGCTGTTATCCTTTCCGCTGGTGCGGTTTACCACGATACAGAAATAGTCGTATCTAGCGTAGAATGTCGTGAGTGCTCACGAAGTACACGCACTTCAACGAATATGACCGCCTTACCCACGGATTCGACGCCTTGCCCGATTCCACTCCAAGATGGATTGAGCAATCTCGTCTCAAGTCTCGTCACAGCGCTCTGTGGAATGTGTGTCGCACGGTCGCAAGCCTCTGGAGCTATCGAAAAAGCCTCCGGTGAGAAAGTTCGATGCATGGTCGAGCGTTTGGCCATCAGCGTTCAGCGGACTATTGGGGTGAAACCGCTCGCGCATGGTGCTGAGGGCCCGACTGCTCGATCCCTGCGCTGCACATATGTCTTGATTGGGGACTACTTCTTGCGGTGCGGCCAGGACTTGCCTTCGACCGAAATCTTTAGCCGCCAGGGCTCGATTTCAAGGCGAAACTTCGAGTCATTCTTCCTGTCGCTGGCCTCTCAGCACGACATGGTCAAGGAATTAGCGGAGTTGGTGCGGCAAGTGTTTCATTGCTGCAGACAAGTGCGCAAGGGCGATAAGTCCCGGACACCAAGGGAGGTCCGGGACAGAGTTTCCCAGTTGACTCAGTTGACGAGGGTACAAGGAGCATCTCTACTGCTGGGAAAAGTGGCCGCAGAAACAGCCATGGGACTCGCGGAAATGACCTTGGATCCGGATGATCATGCCTGGGCCATGGAGGTCCAAGAACAGGTTGTCGCCTTACAGCGAGGGCAGAAAGTGAAACAGTATCCCAGGTCCACGCACGTCAGCGACACAGGCCTCTATCGATGGGAAGAGAGCATTAGTGAATGGGTAGCGAGCACCCCGGCACCCAAAACGAGGGCAGTGTATGTGAACCTATCTTCGAAACCGCTGGGCCAGCCGGCGTCGACCATTGCGTCCTCTACAAATAGCACCTCGTCCAGCCCCAGCGAGTCGGGAGAGACTGCGTCGAGCATCACGTCATCGACACCATCGGTCACCACTAAGAGGCCATGCGGCAGCGCAGACCGGGCGCCCAAAAGGCTTCGGTCAACGCCCGAGGAGCGAAATGCTGGAGCAGCAAAGGAATGGCCCCGTCTTCCCCTGAGCCTCCTGCGTACTTCTTCGTCTGAGTCAGATGGAGCACCGATAGCCGCCCGCACGCGAACTGCTCAGGCCTTGAAGGAATCGGGGCCTGCGCCGACGACGAGGAGTCCCCAAGGCGCAATTACTACCCGAATCCAAGTGGTCATTGTGCACCGCAAAAGCGAAGGTGCTACGTCGAATCAGTCTGCACCCAGCTCTTCTACAGAACCGATTGGGCCGCGCACCCGTTCGGCGCACAAGGTCTGTAACACACCAGACGTCGCCCGAGCTCCTCGTAGATCGCTCAGGGCCGCTGCCAGAGCATCGCGTGGACGGATGCGGCGGGAGCTCTCCAGCACATTGGATGAGGACAGCGATGATGAGCTAAGCTTTGTGTAGGGATGGAGAAGATGGGGCTGTTCTGCCGGGGATTGGCATCCCTGACCTTTTCCGTCCCATCGTGGGCCGTTGGTAATTTCCATTCTGTCTTGGAGTCAGCTTTTTTTTTTCTTTCTTGTTTATTGTTTTTGGAAGTGTAGCATGAGCTTCCTTTACTTTTTTTTTTTTTTTTTTTTTTTTTTTTTGGAGCAGGAGTTCCACGTGTCGGGATTTTGACTATATCCAATTGGCGATGATGATACCCAAGGGCATTTGGTGCGATGGGGTCTGTTTTGGTCTGTTGGTTCTTACTTTCTTATTATTTTGATGATTCTTTTGGGACTATGCAGTACGACTACTGTTATGGAAATATCCATTCTCAGTACTGTCTGCAGAATCGACTTATCGAGACTTCAGTTGTTCGCTCGTGTTTTGACCTTATTTTTTTTTTTAAAGTATTATTAGGTTGGACTGATTGGGGTTTTGGAATGAGACTGTCTGCTGGATGAATGGGAGCGTATAGACGATAGGCTCCATCAAGGCGGAGATTGATATCACACCATTTCACGCGGGATCAAGCCTCAGAAGGGTCTGATTAAAATTAATCTTGTCTCATGCGGCCCAGTCGTATCCACCTGGAGAAATCCGTGGTATCACAGATGAATTCGATCAATCAATACTCTGTAGTAATCAATACTACGTATATATACTGAGCACTGCAACTGCAACACTGTCGATCGTGATTCCTAGTCACCCAGTATTCCCCGTCGCCATGTGTCTTTTGTACCTTTTGCCTGTACTAAATAATAACTAATACCAGTAATTAGTTAGTAGCATTTAATAATAATTAATAATCGTTAATAATAATTAATAATAGTTAATAATATTGCTCAAGTCTGCGCCAACCAACTCGCCCGCTTCTCAAACGGCGATGCCGAATCCTCCGCGTTGATTCGCCCCAGCTAGGGCATCGACCCAGATTCATCGGTTTCATCTTTCTTGTCGATCGGTGGACATTCGATCGGATGGAGGTGAAGAATTCGCTGGCGAGGCTATCAACTTGCAGCGAGAGAGAGAGTTGTCTTCTTGTCTTTTTGGTTTGATTGGATTTGATTTTTATCTTGTTTTATTTGATTCATTTAATTTTTTTTCCCTTGTTTTATCACTTTTATATTTTATTTTTTTAATATATTTATTTTATCTCTAAGCGCCCCCTCGCGGTAAAACACCCAAAAAGAGGTTCTCTTCTTCTTCCCTCGTTTTATTTTTATTTTTTATCTTTTATCTTCTCAGTGCGACAGCGGCGGTCCTTTTTTCCCGGTCTTTGCCCTCCTCCTGGAGTCGGTCCTCCTATCTTCTCCCTTGGCACAAACCCTGTGCTGGCATCAAAAGTGACTGGTTCACCTCCTTCCCTCGCGTCGCATACATTCCTTTCTCGTTGCCTGCCTACCTCATTCCAGGTTCGAGCAGAGCATTCCTCCTGGGCTTGACAGGTCTGGCCCTGCGCAGGACAATCCCTTGGTTTCCTTTCCTCATATCAAGCAATACGACTGGGTCGCTTTCTTGGTTTTATTTGCAGACTTATTGCGTTTATCCTCCGACACAATCGAGAGACATACACGGAGACGAGATACCAAAGGGAAGCTGGAAACAAAGACATAAACGACGCCTTCGTCTTCGCTGTCCTCTCCACCGTGACAACTTCTCAAACGGTGAGCCCGCCCGGTGGTGAGACGGTGCTTCCTGTACGACGAGTTGACAAGGTCTTCCCGGTGTTGCCTTTCCTATCGGATATTTTGTCTACGGAGCTGGTCTCACACATAGTATCCCTGGTCTCGATACCTGCTTCTCGACTCGAGAAGCATCCCATTCATTTTTGGACTTGCTTGGACTGGCCTTCTTGTTGTTTCTTCTCAATTTCTCGGTAGCCATGAGTGCTGTTGTGTCCCTGGTTGAACTTGCTTCGGAAACGGTACGGGAGCTGCAAAAGCGCCAAGGCAAAATGGATCCCTTCTATGAGATATTCAACGATGACCTCGCGCGTTACACCCTAATGGTCCTTTGCCTGATGGTGGCCTGTATCTTGGTCTGGAAATCGTGGTTCCGGATGGCTGCCCACCTGAGACGCCTGGCCAGTTTCAACAGTGGCCATCAGCGCTACTTCATGGAGCCTAATGGGACCTTCGCAAAGGTCAAGAACCATATCGTCTACGCACCGTTGTTCCGTACTCGCCATAACCGTGAGTTCCAGCTGTCTCGAGCCGTCAACATGGGCACTCTGCCGAGCCGCTTCCATACGTTCATCCTGGTTGGCATCATCGTCATGAACGTGGTTCTGTGCACCGTCACCGTCCCCTACAAAAAACAGGAAGATACCGTTGCGGGTATCATCCGAAATCGCACCGGTACTATGGCAACCGTCAATTTGATTCCCCTCGTGGTTTTGGCGGGGCGGAACAACCCCTTGATCAAACTCCTCCAGGTCCCGTTTGACACCTACAACTTGATCCATCGCTGGCTCGCTCGGATCGTTGTCTTCGAGGCCTTGGCCCATACGTTTGCCTGGATGATCCCTAAGGCGCAGTCGGGTATGTTTTCCCCTTCCGTTGTCTTCGTTGGTATGAATTTGAGGCTGACCATATGTAGCTGGCTGGGATGTCGTGGGAATAGCCTTTGCGAACAGCAGCTTCCTTGTGTCGGGATTGGTTGTATGTGTTATCCCTGACACTCGAGCCTGGATCAGCGTGCACTAATTTTTTTTCCTTTTTTTCATTTTGCTGCTAGGCTACCTGTGCCTTTGTAGGACTTTTAGTACACTCTCCTTCTCCCATTCGACATGCATTCTACGAGACTTTCCTCCATTTGCACTTGGTGATGGTCATCCTCGTGATGGCCTTCCTTTGGGTCCATCTGGACGGGCTCGATGCACAGAAGTACTTGCTTGGGTCCATTATTCTCTGGGCGCTTGAGGTAGGCCGATTTCCACCGATCAGGAGGAACTGACATTGGAAAGCTAATCACGGAATGCTAGCGATCTGCGCGACTGCTCATCCTTCTGTACCGCAACTGTGGAAGGCAATCCACCACGGCACTTGTCGAGGCCCTCCCCGGTGACGCTGTGCGAGTGACGCTGAAGCTGGCACGGCCCTGGACCTTCAAACCGGGCCAGCACATTTACCTGTACATCCCTGTCGTCGGATGGTGGACGTCACATCCCTTCTCGGTCGGATGGAGCGAGGCGGAGGAAATTCTGAGCGACGAGAAGGGCATGCCCATAACTCGACAGGATGTGCATGGCCTACGGAAGACGACTATTTCCCTCTTGGTCCGTCGCCGAACTGGTTTTACCAACAAGCTGTTCCAGCGCGCCGTGAGTTCCGTCGGGTCTCGCGTGACTCTGCGAGCATTCGCCGAGGGGCCGTATGGCAGCATCCATACCATGGACTCGTACGGCACCGTGCTTCTGTTCGCGGGGGGTGTCGGCATTACCCACCAGGTCCCCTTCGTGCGCCATTTGGTCCAGGGCCATGCGGACGGCACGGTTGCCGCCCGCCGGGTCACCCTGGTCTGGATCATTCAATCGCCGGAGCATCTCGAGTGGATCCGACCCTGGATGACCAGTATCCTGGCCATGGAGCGTCGCCGCGAGGTTCTCCGGATCATGCTGTTCATCACGCGTCCGCGCAACACCAAGGAGATCCAGAGCCCGAGTGCCACCGTGCAGATGTTCCCCGGCCGACCCAACATTGAAACCTTGGTCGGGATGGAGGTTGAAAACCAAGTGGGTGCGATGGGGGTGTTGGTCTGTGGCAACGGTGGCTTGAGTGATGATGTCCGACAGGTCTGTCGCAAACGACAGGATCGTACGGAGATTGATTTTATTGAGGAAAGTTTCACCTGGTGATCGTGGGCGGGGAATGGGCGTGCTTTTTAGCTCCCCCAAACGGAGGGAACAAAGAAATCGGTCCCTTGTCGGATCCTGGTCGGATCCTTGTCTGTCTCCGATTTTACAACTAGAATATGAGGACCTGTAGAATCTAGACCGAAAATGACCACTTTTGCTGCCGTCTACGGCTGCATTTCCACCCGTAACTTAGCATCGAGCTGCCGCTCTCTGGCCCTCTCACCTGCTTTGCACCACACTATTCTGCACCCACCAAGTCCTGTTTAGTCATAGTGTAGACGCCAACTTCAGCGAGTACTCTGTTTCTAGTTCTATTCTGTTCAGGACAACCAGAGAACGGCCGAAAGTCGCATCCTTTACAGCCAAATCCAGCTCCCCTCCAATTTCGACCAGTTGGGCGCCATACAAAATATCGTTCTTCCTCGCTTCACTCCCTTCCCTCCCTCCCAACTAGGTCATCCCACCTCAACACCTTCCCGAGTCCCCACAATGATGCCCGAAGTAACTTCTGCACTCATGACATCTGTAATTTCGCTAACAGTGGCAGGTCGTCTGGAGAAAGCCACCCAAAGAACACCAGGATCATATCATTATAATCCATATCTCATACGTTACTTCTCGCGCTCGAAACAGTTAATGCTACATGGTACCTTGCACAACATCCTTCTAGCATTCAGTTTATGTTGAATCAAGAGCATCCCCATTCTGCTGCTCTTCTTCGACTGGCTTAAAACTAATCCCTTCCAGAAAAGAAAACAGATCTTTATTATCACGGGAAGCGGAGCATTCCCGCAACTCATACTGACCCTGTAATAGCGCATCACGAATAGCCCGCTGGTGTCTTTGAAACGGTAGTGTACCAGTCTCCATTCCTGCCAATACATCGAAGTGAAACTGGCGATGTTCATATTTCATCTGTTCAGCAAATGACTTCTCCCTCAACGCTGGAACATGCGCATAGAGATACGAGATTTGGCATGCATGTCTTGTTGCAATCACTTTTATACTCTTGGGAAGTGTCTTAAAAAAACACTGTTAATCACAGCCCCTGGCTGACAAGGGGTGACAGATCTGTACAACCCTTGGCTGGATAATAGGTTAACGTCCTTAGTCTTCAGGCTATCAAGCGTCCTAATTTTGGGTGCCAATACTTCACAGTCTAAGGAAGATAATTTGAGACTATTATTCGCTGGATGACTTTCATCTAAGTTATACACTGGGGGAGGTGTTCCAACAATACCAGCCTGTGGTCTGTACTCGTGAAAAAAATACCTGGGGGTTGGAGGTTTAGAGGGTAGGCGATGGTTTATGGGACCGGAGGGAAATGAAGAGGGAAAATTGTAGGGCAGAGAAGAGCGGGAAAACAGGACCGCGCTATACTATGACTTTGAGATAGAAGATGAAGACATTAATAGAGGTCTGTTGCAGGAAATCTAGCGGTTTATAACTCCATGCCAATGATCAACGGTCGTTTCTGGTTAGTCCGTATTCAAGAGCTATGTCTTTGTCAGAGTCATCTCCAATTTTGTGAAATTCTGGCCGTATTTAGTCCGGCCAGCGACCGACAGCTTTAGATGCGTTCCTATTTCACCTTTCACCACCCGAAAGATACGAAGACGGATCTATCTCCAATGTGGAATAAGCTCCTCCGCAAACCACGGTACTTTCTCCGCACGAGCCTATTATTTGTTACCATGGATGGAGAAGTTTCGGGAAGTCAAATCATCGTTAATTATGCAATGGCTTAGAAATCATGGTGGGGTAAGTACTCGAGGGTTCCTCATAGTGGCATCATCCTTTGTGAATTAATCATCAGGAATGAGCCGGGCGAGAGCGACGCTGTCATATAAACATCACCAACACCTCCACCGTGTTCTTGGACAGGCCTCATCCATCCTCTCTTCTCTGTCCCATTGTCCGTGTCGTCGTTCTCAGCATTTGTCCACCATGAGTCGTCCTGATCTTACTCTTTATACCTCCCAGACTCCCAATGGGATCAAGATATCCATTGCTCTGGAGGAATTAGGGTGCGTCGACCCCATTGGTTGGGGATGAGCAGTCAGCTAAGAATATCTTCATTTAGACTTCCATACAAGGTGCACGCCATTGACATCAGCAAGAACACCCAGAAAGAACAGTACGCAGAGCAAATCTTCCTCATCTAACCAAAAGTACCCTATCTTAACCCAACCAGATGGTTCCTCGAAATTAACCCCAATGGTCGCATCCCCGCCTTAACCGACACCTTCACCGATGGCCAGAAGATCCGTCTATTCGAATCTGGCAGCATCCTCACCTATCTCGCGGAGCAGTACGACAAGGACTACAAGATCTCCTTCCCGAAGGGTACCCGCGAGTACTACGAGATGAACAGCTGGCTGTACTTCCAGAACGCTGGTGTCGGGCCCATGCAAGGGCAAGCGAACCATTTCTCGCGCTACGCCCCCGAACGTATCGAGTACGGGGTGAATCGATACGTCAACGAGACCCGTCGTCTGTATGGTGTGCTGGACAAGCATCTGTCGACCTCCAAGTCAGGATACCTAGTGGGGGATCATGTGTCTATCGCTGATATCTCGCACTGGGGATGGGTGGCTGCTGCGGGATGGGCGGGCGTCGATATCGATGAGTTCCCCCATCTCAAGGCTTGGGAGGAGCGCATGGGTGCGAGAGAGGGTGTCGAGAAGGGTCGTCATGTGCCTTCACCGCATACGATCAAGGAACTCCTCAAGGATAAGGCCGCTATGGAACAGAAAGCGGCCGAGGCGCGGGCTTGGGTTCAGGAGGGCATGAAGGCTGATGCAAAGCACTGACCATCTATGGGTGCTGCCGCATTTCTCATTTGTTACTATTCTCTTTCCCTTGTACGTTGTTATGTTGTATTTCTGTACAGATTTAGCATCTAGTGGTCTTATATGATTGACTTTACGTAACTCCTCGAAACAAATGGTAAGGTAGGATTGTATATAGTCTTCGTGTTTCCCTGGTTTACTCGGTGCTTAGTCAGCGCACGTGACACAGAGCTCGCCACATTGCGGCCGCTGAATACCATTACCTTATTTTTATCTCACAATCCTGCTGGTTCTCAAAACCAGTCGATCGCTGGCTTGCTCACACGGCAGATTAACTTTCTTATAGTACAGTGCAACTATCTGGACCGATGGCCTGGCGTAATCAAGGAATCACCGGATCCAACAACGTGCCTTTGGGCCGCAGACGATTCGGAGGCGATGACCCTGGAGAAGATGACAGCCGTACGGCAACTCCTTCGTCTGCGGACCTTGGGTACAAGCGTGGTAGAAGTCCTGTTAGAGGTAAGTCCTTCTCTTCCTCTAACTGGCCGAGTCTTGTCCAGGACTTGGTCTTCGAGTGAACACCTACTGAGACACGGTTCTAGCTGACCCCCCTGCCGACGGCGTGAAGAAGCGCAAGAAGCGCAACCGTTGGGGAGATGCGCAGGAGAATAAGGCTGCAGGTCTCATGGGCTTGCCCACGATGATCATGGCCAACTTCACCAATGAACAACTGGAGGCGTATACTCTGCATCTGCGGATCGAGGAAATCAGCCAAAAGCTTCGAATCAACGATGTCGTCCCTGCGGATGGTGACAGGTCAGTTCCTCACCCCTCTGGTTTACTGTTAGATTTGCGAACTAAGTATCTTGCGCAGATCTCCGTCCCCCCCGCCTCAGTACGATAATTTTGGCAGACGTGTAAATACTAGAGAGTATCGGTATCGGAAACGCCTCGAGGATGAGCGCCACAAGCTCGTTGAAAAGGCCATGAAGACCATTCCTAACTACCACCCGCCCTCTGACTACAGGCGTCCTACCAAGACCCAGGAGAAGGTCTACGTTCCAGTGAATGACTATCCAGAGATTAACTTCAGTATGATAACTAACCCTCTAACTCCTAACCGTCCCTGTATTGTATTTTCATGACTCTCTCTGCTCGAGTCGAGCTTATGGGAAAGACCATCGTTCTGTCGATGCCTTTTCGGCTCGCTTCTTGCTAACCCTTACTGCTTAATGACCATTGCTCTTCCATTACTTCTAAAAACCAGCATGAACTAACCATAGCTTTTCGCTATCTTTTAAAGTTGGCTTACTCATAGGTCCCCGTGGAAATACCCTGAAAAAAATGGAGACCGAATCGGGCGCCAAAATTGCCATCCGAGGCAAAGGCTCCGTTAAGGAAGGAAAAGGTCGATCTGATGCCGCTCACGCTAGCAACCAGGAAGAAGATCTTCACTGCTTGATTATGGCAGATACCGAGGAAAAAGTTAACAAGGCGAAGAAGCTGGTGCACAATGTCATTGAGACTGTAAGTTCCTTCCCTTTGGTTATTTGGTTTGGGATATTCATTGACCACCGTCTAGGCCGCTTCAATCCCTGAAGGCCAGAACGAGCTTAAGAGGAACCAGCTTCGAGAGTTGGCCGCTCTTAACGGTACTCTCCGTGACGATGAAAACCAGGCTTGCCAAAACTGTAAGTTGAGTCCCTGATTTCTTTCTTTTCCCCCGTCAGTCTCCTAACCTTGCATCTTATTAGGTGGCCAAATCGGACACCGCAAGTACGACTGTCCTGAGCAACGCAATTTCACTGCCAACATCATTTGTCGTGTCTGTGGCAACGCTGGGCACATGGCTCGCGACTGTCCTGACCGCCAGAGGGGCAGTGACTGGCGTAATAACGGTGGCTACGGCGGCGCCGGCGGCGGCCGGAGAGCCATCGGTGGAGGCGATGCCGTCGACCGTGAGATGGAGGTATGCTACTACCCTTTTATTTTACTTTATTCTTTTCTTTTCTTTTTTGTTTTTTTTTTAAAAAAAGGAGCATCCCGTCTAACTCGAGTTTAGCAACTTATGCAAGAACTGTCTGGCGGTGCGCCAGGCGAAGATGGCCAAGTGCCTCGTCGCATTGAAGCTGGTCCCGATCAAGGCTACGATGATCGCGATATGAAGCCTTGGCAACGAGGCCCACCACCAAGCGATGTGGCGCCCTGGCAGCAGAGAGGCCGCGATAATCGTTCCCGTGATGATTATGGGTCTCGCGATCATGGAGGTGCGCCTCCATGGGCTCAGAGCCGCGGAGGCGACTACGGCTACGGCTCACAGGGTGGCGGCTATGGCGCTCCCCCCGGAGCTGCACCATGGCAGCAGCAAGCACCTCCCCCACCTCCTGGTGGCCAGTCGTCGTATGGATATGGTGGTTACGGTTCCTATCCCCCGTCGGCACCCGGTATGGCACCTCCAGGTGCGCCTCCCGGCTTGGGCGCGCCACCACCTCCCCCTGGCATGCCGTCAATGTATTACGGCTCTGGAGGCAGCCCACCACCGCCTCCTCCGGGTGAAGGACCCCCTCCTCCCGTATGTATCCCCTGGTATGCTGTATAGCTGATACAGAGCTAACTTTGGACTCAGCCACCGAGTGATCATCCTCCTCCTCCACCTCCGCCATCTTAAGCGCGTAACCGTCGTTTAAGACCGGTGCTGCCCAGCGTATGACTAGTAGGGAGGATCAAAAAGTCAATCAAAATTGAAGAGGACTGTAGATGATGGAGGGATTGAGAGAGCGGATGGGAGGAATACGCTCTTAATGCTTTGTATTCCTGTTTGTATGTACTTTGATAGGTCGATAGTTTGCGTTGTTTCGACTTTGGTCAATCAGCCAGTCCGTTTCAAGGCACTTTTAATCTTATTTGATCTTCTTGTCTGCACTTCCCGTCTGTAAGCAGTATACCTGGACATGCGTAACTAATTGACTGATACGTACTTTCTGGTTTGTTCGCCAGTTTCTTGGCGGCCTCATTGATTAGGCGCTACCTTACATACTACCACCGCCCTTGCCGACCGTACCTTCGTATTCGTCCTTCATTTCCACGCTCTCTTTCTCTTCACCTCCGGTCTGTATTGATGCCGGACGGTTTGCTTCAGTCGAGTAGCGGTTCTTTTCTTCTAAATCTCCTCTCGCCCAGGAGACAGGCTTGATCTTCCAAGGTCAAGTATACCAACCCACAAGTCAGGCTTCACCTTGAGTTTTATTATTGCCCGCCTGTGGATCAACGTTCCACACTTCGACTGCGCAACATGCAGGAACCCGTTCATCCAGGAGGGGGAACAGGCGCAGGAGGAGGGCTAACCATCTCCTCCGGACCCGATTGTCACACCAGCTCTCCGCCACCTCTGTCGTCGTCCCACTCTCAGCGGAGAGCTTGGCAGTCCCAATCTACAGATGGGAGAAGATCCCAGCTTCATCCTCACCAGGGCTCAGGCTTGTCCTCTGTCTCAAGAGAGCAATCACGTACGTCTTCGACTGCTACTGCTGCCGCTTCTGCACACCCAGAATCATGGTGGCGCGTGCATCTCTTCCGTGGTATGATTATGGATGTTAAACGGAGAGTACCCTACTATTGGAGTGATTGGACTGATGCTTGGGATTATCGCGTCGTTCCGGCTACGGTGTATATGTATTTTGCTAAGTAAGTTGCTTGTTTTTTCTCTCTTTTCTCTGTTTCCCTGGGGGTAGTGGGATAGGACGTTACTAATGATGATAGCATTCTCCCTGCCCTGGCCTTCTCGCTGGATATGTTTGAAAAGACCAATCAGAGTTACGGCGTCAATGAAGTGCTCTTAGCCTCGGTTTTGGGTGCGGTGGTGTTTGCTCTTTTCGCTGCTCAGCCCTTGGTCATCGTGGGTGTTACAGGTAAGACTGTTTTCGTTGTCCTTGCATTCGAATGGTTGCAGCTTATACATATTTGTTGCAGGTCCTATCACAGTTTTCAATTATACCGTCTATGATATTATCGCTCCGCGGGGAACACCTTATCTCGCTTTTATGTGCTGGATTGGAATGTCAGTTTTGGTTCCGGATCGCCTGGGATTAAATGATGAAGATTGCTGACCTGCGTAGCTGGTCCCTTATCATGCATTGGATTCTTGCCATCACCAATTCCTGTAATGGATTGACGTATGTCACGCGGTTCTCATGTGATATCTTTGGATTCTACGTTGCCTTTATCTATCTTCAGAAGGGAATCCAGGTCCTGACGAGGCAATGGGGAGCTGTTGGGGAAACGTCCGCTTATTTGAGTATCATGGTCGCCTTGCTGGTTCTCATGAGCGGCTGGATATGTGGAGAACTTGGGAATAGCAGCCTGTTCCAGCGTTATGTGCGGAAATTCCTGGAGGATTACGGTACGCCGTTGACCATCATCTTCTTTACCGGATTCCTACATATTGGCCATATGAGAAACGTCGAAGTCGCTACATTACCTACCAGTAAAGCGTTTTTTCCAACCGCTGATCGAGGATGGTTTGTGCATTTCTGGGATATCAGCGTTGGGGATATCTTTCTTGCAATACCGTTTGCGTTGCTTCTCACGATTCTCTTCTACTTCGATCACAACGGTGAGTCATGCGTTGACCCTCTTGGAAAGCTCCGGCGGGCTAATCACCACAGTCTCATCCCTGATCGCTCAAGGAACCGAGTTCCCTCTCCGGAAGCCCGCCGGCTTTCATTGGGACCTGTGGTTGCTTGGGCTGACAACTTTTATTGCCGGACTTCTGGGCATCCCATTCCCCAACGGACTTATCCCCCAAGCGCCGTTCCACACAGCAGCCCTTTGCGTGACGCGGGACATTGCGGACGAAGACGATACCAACAAGGGCAAATCTGTTCGTATCACGGATCACGTTGTCGAGCAGCGAGTCAGCAACCTCGCTCAAGGGCTCCTGACCCTGGGCACCATGAGTGGTCCCCTGCTCATCGTCCTGCACCTGATCCCGCAGGGCGTTATGGCTGGGCTCTTCTTCATCATGGGCGTCCAAGCGCTACAAGGGAACGGGATCACGCAAAAGCTGATTTTCCTGGCCCAAGACCGAAACTTCACCTCGCCTTCCAACCCACTGAAGAGACTCGAGCGTCGTGCCTCTATCTGGGCATTTGTCATCTTGGAACTGATTGGCTTCGGTGGCACCTTTGCCATCACCCAGACAATTGCCGCCATTGGATTCCCCGTCATCATCTTACTTCTCATCCCTGTACGAGCCTTCCTCCTGCCCCGATGGTTTACCCAGGAAGAACTCTCTGTGTTGGACGGGCCCACGGCCAGTCCATTTACCATGGAGAGCGTCGGAGGCACACATGGACTGGTGGATGTCGCTCCTGTCTCGACCGGACTAGACGATGGCGACCTACCAAAACAACAACCATCTCACACTGGCAATACCTCAGTCATGATGCGTCGTGACAGAAGCTCGTCTTCTGATGAGTCGCCGATCGATGGCGACCTCGAATGCGGAGAGGCCTACAAACTGCAGACAAGATCGTCTGTTCGTCGACGGAGCACAACTAGCAGAGTTGACTGATCTTCTTCTGTCTATCGACCTTACAGGGGATATAGGCTGCGTGTGATTGCATTTTGGATATAACGATTGTTTAGAGTAGAGATAATTATATATAATTCTCTGACAGTTTTGGGTCGATATGGTCTGGAATATCTAACTCAATGTACATATTGAATTCCACTACATTTATTGGGGTCCATCGAGCGGTTTCCACCTAGTAACGGTCTCAGACTGCGACGTAAAAAGAATGTCTACGACTGGTATAAATCACGTGATAAACCGCCTTCGTGCGGTCAACTTTTTTTGCCGAAGAATTTGGAAGAATTTCAAACATCGCGAAAGAAATCCATCACGCAGCATGGCGCCCTCTCGCTCTCTCTCTCCCGTCTCGGGGGGATCCCACGAGGTCTCGAGCTCGTCAGAGACAGATCGAATCGAATTGAATACCCGAACACCCAAGAGACGACGCCTCTCCGAGTCGTCCAACGACTCCTATGTGGCTCCGGCGCCGCTCCCAACCCTCTCCCGGATCAAGAAGAAAGATGCCAACGACGACAAGTCTGTCACTAGTTGTAAGGATGAAAACCCAGTCCTGATTCGGGATGCGATTGAGATCGGGCTCCAGAATGCGGAGTCTTCTTTCAAAAGTATCAATGTGGCTTCTTGGCTCGTTGGGTCCCTCACTACCATGGCTATCCGGAAACCCACTGCAATTCAAAAGGCCTGTATCCCGGAGATCATGAAAGGTAGGGACTGTATCGGAGGTAGTAGGACGGGTTCGGGAAAGACGATCGCGTTTGCGGTTCCAATCTTGCAGAAATGGGCAGAGGATCCTTTTGGTATTTTTGCGGTGGTGTTGACGCCTACAAGGTATATAACCGTTCATTCTTTCACCAGCCTGATGAATAAGAATAAATCCAGATGCTTATGTAGATTCTCCACAGAGAACTCGCACTCCAGATTTTCGAACAGATCAAGGCGATTTCCGCACCGCAAAATATGAAGCCCGTGCTCATCACCGGAGGTACCGATATGCGATCTCAGGCGATCGCCCTGTCGCAACGACCCCATGTGGTGATTGCGACACCCGGCCGTCTCGCTGACCACATCAACACGTCCGGCGAGGATACTGTGTGCGGACTGAAGCGGGTTCGAATGGTCGTTCTGGACGAGGCGGATCGACTGCTCGCTCCCGGCGCAGGCAGCATGCTTCCCGACGTGGAAACCTGTCTATCGGCACTCCCTCCGTCCAGTGAGCGTCAAACTCTCCTTTTCACCGCGACCGTGACGCCCGAGGTCCGCGCCCTGAAAGACATGCCCCGACCATCGAACAAACCACCCATCTTCGTGACCGAAATCTCCACCGAAAACAGAGACACGGTACCACCGACCCTCCGACAAACGTACCTCAAAGTCCCCATGACCCATCGCGAAGCCTTCCTGCACGTCCTGCTCTCCACCGAAGGCAACGCCTCCAAATCCGCCATCATCTTCTGCAACCATACCAGGACTGCCGACCTCCTCGAACGCATGCTCCGTCGACTCTCCCATCGCGTCACCGCGTTGCACAGTCTACTCCCCCAGTCCGAGCGAAACGCCAACCTGGCGCGGTTCCGCGCCTCCGCGGCCCGTCTTCTCGTCGCCACGGACGTCGCCTCCCGCGGTCTGGATATCCCCTCTGTTAGTCTGGTGGTTAATTTCGACGTGCCGCGTAACCCAGACGATTACGTGCACCGCGTGGGTCGAACGGCGCGTGCCGGTCGGCGAGGCGAGGCCGTGACCCTGGTTGGTCAGCGCGATGTGCAGCTGGTGCTAGCCATCGAGGAGCGAGTAGGTCGGCAGATGGAGGAATGGGCCGAAGAAGGCGTCAGTGTCGAGGGACGGGTGGTGCGTACCGGTGTCCTCAAAGAAGTCGGTCAGGCGAAGCGAGACGCAATGGGGGAGATTGAAGAGGGTCGAGACGTGTTGGGACGGAAACGGAATAAATTGAAAAAGGTGCGATGATCTGATCTGATCTGTGGGATGGGTTTGTATATACCATTGATAGAAGTGGCATCAACAATCACTAGAAGTATAGCTATGGGGAATACAAGTAGGCTCCTACTAGTTAAAATACTACAGATTAAACGGAGATGTGTAAATGTAAATGTTATCATTATCAGAGTCAAGAGATCTTCATGTACGTACTATACAAAAAAGCTACCATGAGATGCACCAAAATCCACACGGTATCAGCGGTCTATCACTATTATTTTAGGATAGAATCAGGTATTCAGAAAGTCTATGAGAAGATCTATCTAAGATCTCGTCGTGGTGGGGACATTCATCTGCCATGGTTTATGGGCAATCAACATCCCAGCGTTAATGCGGAAAGAGTCGCTGATCTAGAAGACGTAAAAATTGAAATCCAATTCAGAAGTCGTCTCGTCTATTCATTAGCCGGAATTAGCAGAGCCCGTCCAGGGACTTGAATCTTTGCATTTCTCTCCCGTGTTCATGAGCTTGAGCAGTCCATCCACGGCGTCTCCCCTTTGAGCCGGGGTGACCAGCCGCTTGTCCGTCGCAGAGTCGTCTTGCGGGCTCGCGTCCGCCGCCGCAGTCGGGGTCCGCAAGCACTCATCCCTCCGCGAGACAGTCGCGGGAGGGCTGCTTAGCTGCATGGGAGACCCTGCGGTGTATGTGCGACGGTGGCTTGTCTGCGTCGGGGTTTTCATAGGGTCATCCTGGGAGTGGGCGTTTCCCACTGATGATGGAGGTGACGACAGTCCTGAGACTGGAGCAGTGGACTCGGAGGGCTGGTTGGGTGCACGGGAGGGTGGAAGAGCTCGAGGAGTGGAGGACGGAGAGGCAATGGTTTCTTTGTCTTGGGGCTTCAGGGTCGAGGCTTCAGGCAGTGACAGTCGGGGAAGCTTCCGACGGTGGGCTTCTAGCTCAGAGAGTCGGCGATCGAATTGGGGATCTTGAACACGACGCATGGCGCTTTGTATCCTGTTCCGGAGAAGAATTGCTTTCTATGGTGGAATTGTATGAGTTCGCAGACTTGGTTTTATTTGCCCCGTGGGGTTAGGGCTAGATTGGGGGCTGGCTTCATACCCGTTGGATAAACAATTTACGTGTGTCCGGGTCGTCTGGGATAATACACGTCATTGGCCCTGATTCCAAGGACGGATCACTGGTATCCTCGGATTTATGAGACTGTGTAAGTTGCTTTGGTTCTTGTGATTGTGGATTGAATTTTTGAGATGCAGTAGCTCGAACCGGCGAATGCATCAATGTGTCTGTATGTTTGCGAGATGAAGAGGAAGGCTGTCGTGCGAAAGAAAGCAAGGAAAAGAATACAGATCAGCATTTCGTGATCCAATGGCAGCATTGTCTGGTCTTCTTACCCGACCAGCTGTCTGGACCGTAGCTGCTCCATGGTAGACAGAGACGCGGCTTTGATCTCCCGAGACCTCACGTTCCACCCGATCAATCGAGCGTTTCTGACCGACGAAGGACGGCGAAGGAAGCAATTGTTTCCTGGGCGAGGAGGGATCAAGTAAAGCGTGTTTGACCGGCGAGACGTGCCGGGGGGACAGACACGCGTTGACGGTCTTTTCCCCGAGAATTCGCCTACCATCTTTGATGGGGCTGGCATGAAAAACAGTGGAATTCATTGCGGAGAAGCACTAATTGGTTGAAGGAAAAGAGAAGGCGAGGGGAGAGAGGTTGGTGAGAGTGTTATAGAAGATGTAGGCAGTGATTTAGTCCGCGTCGTAGACCGAGAAAGGAGGGGGAGAAGTGGGGAGAGGAGAGGAAAGATACAACCAGATTTCGACGGATCAATTGAAGAGGATCTGGAGTGAAAAAGGAAGAAACAAGCAATGGAGAGGAGAATGGGAGGAAAGAGAACAATTAATTGAGAGAAAGTAGGTATTTACTACGCCTCGCGTGGGCAAATCGCGTCCAATTGGTCGCGCCGTGGGTGCTTATGTCATGTATGTACGTAGGTTGCGTAACTTTTACATACAGTACGGTACGGTCTCGGTCTTAGTCCCGGTCTGTACGGAACGGTACCGTTTGAAAGGTTTGGATGGACTTGGAGTAACTATGGAGTAACTATGGAGTATACGTCATGTACTTGCACACGGGTAGTTGCAGAGATGTAGATAGAAGATGGACGGAGAGAAGTGATTAAGATCATCATCATTATCACCATCAGGACTGATGAATCCGGAAGCATCCCCATTCGTATTCCGTCGTGAAAACATGGAGCTTTCCCCGCTTGCTTTCGTCCCATCGATCTGCCGTGCATTGATTCCTATATCTATCCAATAGATCCATCAGACCCATCAGGTCCACCAGATCCGTCGTTGACGTTTATTCCCTGATTCCTCTCTCTTCCATTTGCTTCATCGTCCGGAATCACATCCCCATCGGACGGCCTCCATTGCATCATTATTACTTTCTCTCCGTCTCGGACCAGCGGCCGTCAACTTCGTCTCCCAACTCTATCCTGGTGACTTTTCCCTTCTTCCAAATGCGTTCCTTCGCAGTGATAGTGGCTGCGCTGCAGGCAACAGCTACGGCATCGACTCTCACTCCGCCCGTTCTGCCCTTGATCGTGCGTAATCCCTACCTCAGCACTTGGCTGGGAAATGCTCGCGATGTGCCGTGGTCCAAATGGCCCATGTTCTACACCGGGGAAGAGCTGGGCTTGTCCCTGATGGCTCAGATCCCCAGCACGGGCGTCGTCTATCCGCTTTTAGGAAAGCCTCATGATTCCCTATCCTCTGATTCAGAGTATGTATATATACGCTGCTGGCCGATCCCTCTGTGAGAGAGATATCTGCCCTGACATGGACCCCTCCTTCAGGTCTACCCCGATCGAATACCCCATCTATCTGGGCGCCCATTACGACGCCTCGACGACCAATTTAACCTATCGCATCGATGCGGTGACATCCTCCGCTGCAGTTCCCCTGGAGATCACGGTCTCGTTCCTATCCCCCATCACTCCCACATCGACTCTGCGGCAGTCGATCCCCGCCTCGTATGTGACAATTCATGTCCGTGGCGATGTGGGTGTCAATGTCTACATGGACGTCAACGGTCGCTGGGTAAGCGGAGATGCGGGCAGTAAAGTCACTTGGAAGTACGACGATAGCCTGAACTCCAAAGATGACAAACCGACGCTGCAACGATGGCAATTGCGGAGACAGACCGAAATGTTGTTCTCCGAGATCAGGGACCGAGCGGAATGGGGTACTCTTTACGTCACGGGTCCTTCAGTTCGTCTCCCTTTCTGATGTCTTTAGTCGTGCGCAACTAACCATGAGATGCAGGATGCCCTTTATGAATCGGGAGAGTCCTCGGCTGTGCGACACGCTTTCGCCTCCAGCGGAGCCCTGCGCAATAGAAATGATGACGCTTTCCGCGCGATTGGGGATCGAGAGCCCGTGCTGGCCTTCTCCAAGCCTTTCAATGTCTCCCGAACGACAGGGGATAGCGTGACCTTTACCATTGCACTGATTCAAGATCCCGTTGTCCAATTTGCCTCAGCCCGTGGACTGACGCTGATGCGACCTCTCTGGGAATCATGGTTCTCTAGTGTGGATTCGTTGCTGGACTTCCACTACCATGATCTTGCCAATGCGAGAACCTTGGCTTCAAATTACTCCGACCAACTTGCGCAGGATGCCTACCTATCAGGAGCTCATGATTATGTAGATATTGTGTCACTTTCGGCGCGTCAGGTTATGGGAGCCACCACTTTCTCGGGAACCCCCGACGATCCGATCCTGTTCCTGAAAGAAATCTCTTCTAACGGCAATTTCCAGACCATCGATGTTATCTTCCCTACATTCCCATTCTTCATGTATACCAATCCCCGGTGGTTGGCATATCTCCTGGAGCCCTTGATCGAGCATGCGCTGAGTGGACAATACCCGAATTCGTATGCCATGCACGATCTGGGAGCGCACTTCCCCAACGCCACGGGCCACCCCGACGGTAGAGATGAATACATGCCTGTGGAGGAATGTGGCAACATCATCATTATGGGACTGGCGGTGGCAAACTCGCTGCGTTACCACGATGACTCCTCTGCATCATCGATCTGGTCAACGCAGGGTGCATCTCCCCAAATCCGGGAAGAGTCACTAGGATACTTCCCTCTTGAAGCACTTCAGAGCATTGGGGAAATTGACAGGCAGGATGGGAAATGGGGTGGCGGCGCGGAAGGCGAGCACCAGGCGAAGAAGTGGGTTCGACGCAGCTACCGGCTCTGGAAGCAATGGACTGGGTACTTAGTGGAGTTCTCCCTGGAACCTGAGAATCAGCGTAAGAACGACCTTGTCCTATATCTTGAAGGGGAGAAGACCTCACTGACCCGCACGTAGTCTCCACGGACGATTTCGCTGGCTGGCTTGCCCTTCAGACGAACCTGGCACTGAAAGGCATTATCGGTATCAATGCCATGAGCAAGCTGGCTGAATTGGCCGGACATGAATCGGATGCCTCCTATTACAAGGTGTGTGGAGATCCCTTCTGCGAAACCACATCCCTCTGACCAACTGCCCACAGAACATCTCACATACGTACATCAAAAAATGGGAGGAATACGGCATGTCGCGAGATCAAACGCACGCCAAACTCGCCTATGACTGGTACGGCTCGTGGACGACAATCTACAACCTCTATGCCGACGCGCAGCTCTGTTTCCACCTGGACGCCACGGATCTCTCGGCGCGTTCTTCCACGTCTCAATTCCCCCTCCAACCTCCTCATCATTCCCAGAAGACCGGCTTTGTCCCACGCTACATCTACCAGAGACAATCCATTTGGTACCACTATGTGCGACAGAAGTACGGCCTCCCCCTGGACAGCCGCCACCTGTACACCAAGACGGACTGGGAATTCTTCTCCATGGCGGTAGCCAGTAAGCCGGTGCGTAGTGAAATTCTCCAGTCCGTCGCCAAATGGATCAACGAAACTGCCACCGACCGTCCCTTAACCGACCTCCACAACACCGAGGGGGACGGCGGCTTCCCTAATCCTTTCTTCTTTGCTCGTCCCGTGGTTGGCGGCCATTTTGCTTTTCTGGCCCTCCAGCGTGCCTGTAGCGGTCGTGCCATGGACGGTCTGGCTTTCTTGGATCATGATGACGATGACAACCTGGCTGACTGGTCCGTCGCAGCTGCGCAGGCTGTCGCAGAGTCCTATCAGCCAGTGTTTATGTCGGAGAGGGAAGAACTGTAAGCTTCTCTCCTCTTATGGCTCTTTCTCTCTTTTTTGGATTTTTGGACATATGATTTGGAGATGGCTTTTTAAATTTTGCTTAGCAATTATCTACTTTTTTTTTGGCTGTGGGTGACAGGTTGATATGTCACCTCCGTCTTTCTCGCATGATAAATGCACCTCGTAGTGCATGTGAACATATTATTAACGTCCCTGTATCTCACATACGTTTGCTTTACAACGTAGCTAGCCATCTAGGGCGAAGCAAATGAAAGAGCTGGACTAGATTATGCTTCGACTCTTACTGTAGTCCGTAAAGACTAATATCTCGTTGGTGAGAACCACTGAGAAGTGTACTGCGTTTTCACTTTCCTAGTTTTGACATTCAAATCAAATTACAGGGCCATTTTAAACCGAACGTGAGGGATCAGAATTATTCATCACGTTTCCATTTCCTGCCATCCATATCGCGTCATTTTACCAGCAAGAGGCATTTGCAGTGGTTACATTCCTACTCTTTTACCTTTTTTTCCTTTTTTCTCCGGTGATTGTGATCTTGTAATGGTGAACCATTGGTCTCCGCGATAAATGAAATCCACCGACGGGGAACTGCAGTAAGGTTGACACCCGGTTTTCACCGACTGATCAGGTCAGCCCATTTATTTGGCGCCCAGAGAGGGGAAGTTCTTCTCGTCAACGGGCACGACGGGGACGCCGGCGCGGTCACCGCCACGAGGGCCGTTACCGCGGCCGCCACGACCACCGCGACCGCCACGACCTCCACGGCCACGAGGAGCACCGCCACCACGAGGGGCCTCGACGAAACGCATGTCAACGTCGAGGAAGGCCTTCTCCTTGCGCTGCTTCTCACGCTTGGACTTATCCTCCTTGCCCTTGATGTAGCTCTCTTCATCCTGAACGCGCTTCAGCTCCTTAGCCTCGGCCCACTTCTTGTCGAGCTTGCTGCCCTCGTTCGCGGCACGGACGGGCTTAGCGCTCAGGTCACCCTGGGCGGCCTTCTCGGCGAGGTAGTCGGCGTAGGACTTGGACTTGTCAGCAGGCTCCTTGGCTTCCTCGCCGGGAGTCTGAGGCTCGTTCTCGTCAGTCTGGGCGATGGCTTCGCCGGCCTTCTCATCGGCCCATTCCTTGTCGCCGGTCTGGCCGCCCCAGCCCTGGCTCACCTGCTTGCGGGTGTCGCTGTGGAATACGAAAATTAGCTCCCCATATTGGAAAGGGGGGACAGTGAATCTGCAGGAACCACTTACGTCTGGCCAGTACGGGACTGGCGGTCGTTGCGAGCACGTCCACCACGGTCTCCACGCCGTTGGGGCTGGCTGCCATCATCAGTGGGCTTCTCGCGGTTGTTGTTTCTGCCGGCATTGCGGTCACGGAAAGCTTCTAGGGATCAGTAGGGGATTCTAGGATGCAAAGTACGGAGAAACATACCGGCCTCGTTGCCAGTGGGACGTCCACCACGGCGAGTGCTGGACTCGGCGGGACGGGACTGGGCGGGAACTTCCTTGGGAGTATCTCGCTTGCCAACACGGGGAGCAGGTCGGTCTACAGCCCTCGTGGGAGGAGCAGGTTCTCTGTTGGGGTCTAATTCAGGGTCATTGCCTAATCGGAGGAAAAAGCAAGTATAATGTTAGATGATGTAATTGATCGACTCGGTAGGATGAAACCAGAGGAATGAAATATAGCAGGGGGGGAAATACCAAGAAGCTCGTAGAGGTTCTGTAAGTCAAAATCATCGGTCAGCATTTCTTTTTTCCTCTGTCTCTTCGTCCTTCCCATCTATTGGTCCGTTCACGAAACCCCTCATCTGGATTCCTGGTCAACCGATTTTAACCCCTTCACCCAATTGATTCACCATCAAGCTTGACCCGAAAACCAATGGGATAGGGGTGAAACCGGTCGCCCGAACACGAGGGAAGCTGTATTTCGGTGCGCACACATACCTTGGACCGGACGTCCGCCATGACGCCTGGGTTTCTGGGGGCCTTCCGGGGGAAGGCTCTCTGTTATCGCGGCAATTCGGTACGGGGAAACGAGGGCGAGAAGGCGACGATTAAGGCAGAAACCTAGACGGCGTAGGTATCCGGCCTCTCCTTCTGGGGGTTGGGGATGGGGATGGGATGAGATGGTGATGAAGAAGGGGTGAGGGTGGATGGAGACGACGTTTGTGGTTGCAACGCACAAATCGGGTAAGGTGCGGATTCCTGCTAAGCGAATCCGAGTGCCCGCGCGCTGATTGGCCGGACGCGCCTAGGGCTTAGGGTATTGGCGTCACCGGGACCTGCAGATGGCATCATCGAGGGCGGCGGATGTCTCTGCCACTCATCGACGTCACTGCCGCTGCAACCCGTGCGTCTACGGATGACCACCTCGAGGGTAATACAGATATAGGTATGTGACATAGCGTCCAGTGGGTGATTGGGACGGTTAGTCAATCAAGGAGACCGTCCGATCCCGCCCCCCAGCAACATTGCCCTCAAAGGGTGGGTGTTTATGCACATCAGAAGTGAATTTGACATAGAAGTAGGTAAGATGCACGGGGAATGAATGAGTATACAAGGCTCAAGGGAAGAAAACACAAGGGAAAACCGCCACCAACCAATTAAACCATCCATACACCTGCTTAACATGTAGTCACATACAAAACCGCCCTATGAATCTTCGCCGATTTTGGCATAGAGTTCCGTATTTAGGAAATTATACTTGGGATCCGGTTCACAGAAAGGATGACGGGTGAGAAGTGTCTCAGCTGTGGGTCGTTCCAATGAATCCCTGTGTAGATCGCTGATTAGTACCAAAGACGTTCTAAGCGCGGGGAAGCCACTTACACTGTGAAGCAGTCGTACATGAAGGCAAGCGCTGCTGGGCTGATATTCAAGGATACGTCATCCGGGATTGGGGGAGCTTGACTCAGACTTCCCAGTTTGAAAATGGCCCCAATCGCCTCCTCTCGGCTCCAGGGTCGACGACCGGCAAACATCTCCAGTACCACACACCCCAGGGACCAAATATCCACCTTGGCACTGTACCCTTGGCCCTGAGAGTGAATGACCTCTGGCGCCATCCAAAATACAGATCCCTGCATAGAGTTGGTCGAATCGTTTCCGTAGATATTGTCGGTCTTTTTGGAAATGCCAAAGTCGGAGATCTTGCAGGTCCCATCGAGATCCAGGAGAATGTTGTCTGCTTTCAGATCACGATGTAAGATTCCCTGGTTGTGGAGATACGCTAGCCCGCCTAAGGTCTGCCGCGTGAGAGACTTCACCACACTTTCCTCAAATTTGCCATGCTTGCGCAGACAGCTACCGATGGAGCCACCAGAGATATACTCGAGATATATGGAAATCGAGAACTCCCCTCGTTCACATCCGAGATATTGCACTATATTCGGATGCTCGAGGTGTTGCATGGTGTCAATTTCTTGATCCATAGCTGCCACCATCTCCTTGATCCGATCTTTGTCTTGACCTGCAATTCTGGGATTAACCTCTACCTGCTTGACCGCCAAGACCTCACCATTATCAGCATTCATGCCCAGGTACACTCTACCGTAGGTCCCTTTGCCAATAAGTTGACCCCTAATGATGCGGAATGTTGGTTGTCTCTGGGGTAGATTGCCCGGAGCGACATTGTTTTGAGGAATAGGATCAAGCTGGCTGAGACGGCTGCCAGGCTTCGGGCTGATCTGCATGATCTTGGCTCCGAACATTTTCGTGCTCTTACGTCGCAAAATATCACCAGATTTTGGGTTGCTAGTGGACGAGTGGACACTTCGGTTCCTACTGGCTTGGTTGGCACCTCTCGCAACCTCTCGAATCGACTTCCCTCGGGTAAGGCCCCCAGAACGATTGATGTTACGCCGAGCAATAATTCCGGGATCATGTGCTTTCAGAGTCGGCTCGCTAGAGCCCAGAGTACTATTGTCGGCATTGGCAGGGAGCGGTGAAGGAAAAGATTGGCTATCTTGTCTTTCTCTTTGGATCGTGTCATTCTCTGGTGGAGCTCTGCTGGCAGGTGATGACGGTGGTGACCCGCCTTGTCCATCAAGGTAAGGAGCATCAAGGTCAATGTTAGGGAAGAATTCATCCAAGTATTCGATGACTCCTTCGACAGGAGGTCTGCTTGCCCAATTGTTCCCTCGTACAAATGAATCCCTTCGAGGTGGTGGTTTCTTTTCCTCCGACGAATCGGCTATGTCGGGCGATGTTCCCTTCCCACTGCCTTTGTTACAACTAGAAGGATTGAAGTTCTCGTGGCTAGTACTAGGTGACCTAAACCTCACGGATAGTTCTTTCTTTAACCTGGTTTCGGTGTTCAATGTAAGGGATGGTTTCTCGGACCTCTTCTGCGCTTCTGGGCTCCCAATCATAGGTCCTTTCTCCTTTACTGGTGTCTTATTGGCCAGTGGGATTGCGAAAAGGCCATCGTCAGAATCATCATCTGAGTCTTCTTGGGGCTCAGGCGAGCGTAGGAAGGTGACTTCAGGCGAGCGTTGGAAGGAGACCTCAGTCTCCTCAAAATCAAATTCAGGTCCATAAGATTTGCGTGACTGCGCACTAGGCCTGGACCGCTCAGGAGACGCAACACCAGATTTAGCAAGGTACTGATTGGTGTGAGAAGTTGGAGTACTTTGGCCATTCGACTCCACAGAGAATCGCGATGCGCTCTTTGGTTCATCTAATACAATTGTTAGCCAAAGGAAGAACCGCAGAAGAAGCGAGAAAGTGAGAATCTAGTACAGAGGGTCCTACCTGGTGTTGTAGTACTGGAGTTACCTCCAAGACTGTTTAGTCCTGGCCCTACCTGGGCCGATGGCGATTGGCTTCCCACGACGCTGGTTCTGTCCGTACCAGCCGTGGCTCCATGCCCATGAAGCACCGGGCGATCGGTCCTCCGAAGAGAATTGATTTTGGTGAGTGTATTTGACTCAGGAGGAGCAGTAGGTGGCTTGCGCTGAGGTACGAGAGGCTCAACTTTCTTGTCTTCATAAGGCGATCTACGGGGTGAGTCGAAATCAATGAGTTCTCTACGCCTATAACCAGTTTCACCATAAATATCCTTCCTCGGGTGCGGTGCAGGCGGGACTGTTGAGAAACGGGTAGCCTTCTGTTTTTGCTCCGCCTCGCGTTTCCCATCCTGTTGCTGGGCCATGAACTCTGCCTTTTCTAGATTAGTAGCATATCTGGAGTCCTGGCCACTATCTACCGGAGAAGAACCTAGTGCTCCTTGTGCTATGTCGTAGGCTGGAAGCCTAGACGAAGGAGGTCTCAGCTGCTGTGTCCGGGAGGGGAGCTGGGGAGAGGTAGGTTTGGCTGGATTATGCGGCGAGAGCCTACTGAGAGCTTCATCGTCAAGTGGTTTTCTATGCAACTGGTGCTGTACGGTTGTTGGTGAGGCTGTCCCCTTGTCTGGAACTGAAACCCCAAGTCCTGTGCAGTGTGGAGAGTTGGTCGTGCCAGAGGATAAGTGTGGCCCTCGAACGTAAAGTATGAGAGTCCGAGTCGAATCTGACTTCGCCTTTCGATGGATAAACAAAGACGTGTCATTCAAAGGCTCGTCGTGTTCAACTTGACCGGGATCGCTCAGGAAAATTTGGGAGCCAGCCCAATCAGAAATTCCAAGGTTTTGGCAAATCGCAGCACGCAATTGATCTATTAACTCTAGATCCGTGATATCCACCAGACGATAGTTCCATCCATCTGCTGTGACGAAAGCCCACTTCTTCTCTTTGGGTACAGGCTTTGACGCAGGTGGCGGATGTTGATCTACCGATATGTCGCTACTGCTGAAATTTTGCTTATCGTAAGGAAGAAGAGAGCCGTTTTGACGCTGTGTCTCCGGACTAGTGGGAGACTCCAATAATTGCTCCTCGGGGGATGGATGACTCGAGTCACCACTTTTCGTCTTCTTTTTGAAAAAATGAAACAGTCGATTGCTATGGTCCTTAGAGTATGATGTATGTTCCACCGGGCGATTGTAGGTTTCCAGCGGCGAAGTACGGGCGTTGTCCTGCTTATAATTTTCATAGTAGCGGCGACCTGTAATTGAGTCTGAGCTGTTCATTCGTGTATGTTCTCTGAAGTCACCAGTAGATGAAAAGCCCGGATGTGCAAGTGCGGCATGTTGCATAGCTGGACTGCCGCTTTTGGGACTATCTTCATATGGCCGAATAGCAGGGAAATTGCCACTTTCACTAGAAACAGAAGGACTTTGCCTCCGATGATCGCCACTGAGAGTGGACAGTGCAGCCCGTGAAATATCCGATCGACTCCAAGAGGTGCCTTCACTGGAATTGAGCTCTGATGACGCATGATCATGGATAACAGGGTTAGGGGTTGTGAAAGAGCGGGTTTGTCCGTTGTGCTTTTGGTTGTAAGCAGGCTGCAGTGTTTTGAAATTGGGACTATTCGCAGCTGGACCAGCGGACACCGGCTCACTAATATACTTGGGAGAAGACTCCGAAGCTGTTTCGGGGCCACCACTCGCCAATGTCTGAGAATCACGCTGCTTTGGAATAGGTATTCCAGAATCATAATTCGGATCGTCCTGTATTTGACGGATCAGCTTGCGCATTCGTTTCCCCTCCTCTCGTTCTCGCGTCAGATCCCATTTGGTTCCACTATTTTCACACTCTCTCGCGAGTTGAGGGTAAACAACATTGTGCATTTTACCCCAGTTTGGGCGGCCATTAAACCCATGGCCCAGCTCAAGAAAATCTGCCCCCTGGATTTCGAGGCTCTTGAAAGTTTCTTGCCAGTCGTTGGAAAATCCATTCATTGCAAGCCACAATAAGACCCTCTCCAGAGGCCACTGGACGGCAGCTTCGCTGGGTGACATACCACCTAGCAACATGTTGTTATTACTTTGGCGATGACTAGGTGATTTTGTCACTTCGGCGTTCTGGTCTTGGTGCTGGGTTTGTGGGTTTTGCGCAGTCATCGTGGAAAACGGGTCGTGCGATGCATCATTTGAGGCTAAAGAGGGAGGAATAGTGCGAGCTGACGGTGTAGGCGGAATGGTCCCGTCTCGCTTATATGCAGAGTCTGCGTTAGGATATTCGTATGGTTGGTTAATCGTCAGTTGTTGTCGATCGCTACCCGCCAGAGTCCCTTGAGTCTCATATGCAGAAAGGGAATGTGAGTCAAATGCAGGTATTCCTACCCCCGGACCAAACGTTCCGCCTTGCGGAACGTAAGTTGCAGAAGTACGGCCTTCACCAGCAACTGACAGAGGAGCTCGACCATAGGCTTGTTGGTTTGCCGGGAGCATGGGAGGAGGAGGTGGGGGAGGAAGAATACCCTGGGATAGCATTTGCCGTGGTGCCCAATTTGGCGCCCATTGGAGATTGGCTTGGTGTTGTATCTGGGGGTTCGCTATCTTAGAGGGGCCATATGTTGCCCCCGGAGGTGGTCCGGGGGGGGGCGGGAGCATCAAACCCTGAGGCTGTGGCAGAGGGTATCGTGGCGGCGGCGGAGGCAGCAATATATGCGGCTGAGAAGGTTGAGTTGAAGAAGGCGGGGGAACGGGAATGTATTGTTGCTGTCGCTGGCCGTCCATTATGACAATCTTTGCCGCGTTGACAGGAAAAACGACACGTCAGGTAGCCCAAGGCAGTTATACAATTTAAACCCGCACTGGTTTTGGCGTCGCCGATCCCTCCTGCTTGTGTGACTGCACAGATAGATGAAGCCTCAATTCTTATGGCGCGGGAGCCGTCATAGCCAATAGCACAAACTCCCCCTTTGTTGTTGCGCGGGTATTCGATATACTGATCAGGCAACTAGAGAACTGAAGGTGCTGGGCGATAATCACGCATATCGGCATATAGTGAGGTACCGTTTTTTGGAGTTTGTATCCCAGATAGTTCCCAACTATTTACCCAAGACTATGCACGACAGAAAATGCGAGACTAATCCGTTACCCTCGATTTCGTGGTGAGATCGAGTCGTTGCGAAGACTATGGTGTTGACAGGAAACGATCAGATAAGGAAATAAGTGTCACTCTAACACTGGAAACAAAAAGAGTGGCGTCCTTTTCGGTGAGATAGATAGACCTGAATGAAGCTTTAGAAGTGAGCGATGGTAAAGCCAATTGATATGATCCATCCCTAATGGGGGAAATTATCAAAGGGGCGACTAATGCCGCTGAAGGCCAGACGAAGAGGTATAACGCACCATAACCGTATAGCAAGTCAATAATGTCACCAGGATGAGAAACCAGTCCTGGATTTGATAGATATTGACCGGCTCTTTAGATCTTGCTGATCAATCATAAGTGTTCTCAAGCAATCTGCTGTCAATGTCGGGGTAATCATCTCAGGCTGAGCCTAAGGTTTCAAGCGAAGCTTTGATGCGTTGGACACCTTAGCGCCTGAACACCCGCCAATCACGTGGTGACCTGATAAGCAGCCGATTTGCGGTCACTCTGGAATGGAACTCATGCTCTCCAACCTTTCCCTAGTGCTTATGGTGTGCATCCCAGGTTAAGGGGATATGAAGTATGATCGTAAATTTGGCTAGGGAGGTTCAAAAGTGATAGGACAGACTACAATTGACATCTGGAATCAATTTCACAAAGAACGATTCAGAAATTCAGGACAGCTTCTCCTTTCTCCACTAATTGAAATTGTACTAGTTTCTAAACGGTCTCCTCAGCCCTACCATACTGCTACTAATGCAAATATTAATTTCCTGCCCCCGAACTAAGACATCGTAAATCCTTGCTAATAAGACTTATGGATCTGTCATGAAGCAACCCATTTTAATTAAGTTGGTTGGTTTCATCCTAATTATTATGGCATTTATTCCTTTCCCTTTCCCAGAATAGTGGACAGGGGCAAAAGAAAGAAAGAAAGAAAAGAGAGAGTCTAGAACAACGTAAAGTGAGGTTGAAACAACAGAGAGGAGATAGCGTCAGTTACAGGCTAATTAATATGGCTCATTTATTTCTCGACGCTACCGCTTCGGCTGTCATCTTCAGGCTCGCCATAGCATCATCGCGAGGCATGTGGACCTCCACCAACTAGTCCACTGATTAGCATCAGGAGGCAATCTAAAGAGTAGAAACTAAGATGTACTTGTAGATATGGAGCTGAGAAGAACTCTTTGTTCGCAAAAAAGCTGATTAGCTTATCTCGAGTCTTTACTTTATACCCTTTGTATTTGCCCTTGGCCCCGAATACTGTAGGGAGGCCCTTGACATCCCAAGGCTGAATATCGTTGTAGCTTTCGTCCCATCCATGGATGTACCGCCCAATGGTATATCCTTTGTTGCAAATAACAAAGCTAGAACCAATTAGTGATAACAGAGGCGAAGAAATATTAATAGCAGCTGTTTTCTTACATAACAGGGTTTAGCTTAATTCTGACCATGGAGCTGAGTTCCTACGCAGTAAGCTGCAGGCTTCCATCGCCCACGAATAGTACAGTGCGCCGATTCTGCTCCTTTGCAGCTAACCCAGCGCCTTGACAGGCTCCAACTGAGCAGCCAATACTGCCTCACAAGACTTGGCTAATAGCAGTAACACCTCGAGGGAATCGAGGACCACAAATGCCAAAATTGGAGGTGCCAGTTTCTGTATAACATTGTTTCCTTTTAACCACTGCCTAACTGTTGGCTAGAGCCATGCATGGGTAACCACATAAGTAGTTAAAGCTTTTTTATTAATTGGTAAGATGCTTGCCTTATTTGTATAAGTTGTAATTAAGAGTTAACAGCTCCCAGTTGTTAAGTTACTTTCCGCAAAACACCTTTTAGGTCGATATTAGGGTGTTCAGAATATTGAACAAGCATAAATATAGAATGCGGATCGATGGTATAAAGCTATCTAATTCGATACGACAATCCCAAAGTATTAAACTTGGACTTTATTACTCCAATACTTAAGATCAAGTCTAAAAACTCGACTTCGCGCACGCCGGGGTTCAACGTTGTTCCTGCATAGTCACCACTATAATTTTTACGAGACTTATCCACTGCACCTTTCCCCATAGGTGCTACAAAAGTAGGCAGACTAAAAGCTTCCATCAAGTTATAAACTTTATCAAGAAAGCGATGACAGATGGCGCAAGCATCCACGAGGATAATAGGGCTCTTCGCCGCATGCCGATATTTTACAATAAAATTAACCACATAGTCCTCTTTCTCTGGATTATTTGGAGGTGGCAAAAGATTAATTGGAGTATTAAACCTTTCGCCCTTAATTTCCTTTCCAATCATATATGTGAGAAGGGTAATGTAGGCCACTCGGCTGTGAATCCAGCACTCTCGGATAGCATGATTTACGGGGGTTGCTACTTTATATATGTGGATTAAATGTACGGTAGCACAAGAGATTTCTGTGTTTATTCTTGCAAACATGTTGAAATCCCCGTTACCCAGAATATGGTGCAGTTTCCGTCTTGTTGCGAACTCGTATGCAGTTGACCAACAATGTGGATAATGGGCACAAACCCTGAATAGGCACCTGCGACAGTATTAAGTGCCGAGAGCTCTCCCACTCCGAAGGCAGTTATGAAGGCACTAATGCCATTAACTCAAGCGTAACCATCGGCAGGATATCTTGTAACAGATTCAGTCAGACGTTCATGCTTCTTTCCGTGACATCCAACGACATGTCAAACATACCAACCAGTATTAAGCTCGTTACAGTTTCGCACCCAATGAAGGCCACATTTTGGTAAATAGCCTAATGCCGCAAGATTGTAGTCGCCTACTGTGAAAGAGCTATTACTATGCTGGAGATGAGCACTTCCCAAGAATTCGCTCACCAGGTACACCATGCACTGCACGGATTCCAACCTCGTGGAGTTGACGGAAGAGTACTCGGCGATGTCGATGGGGTTGCGAAGCTCCCTTGTTGCTATGTCATTCGCCATGTTGGATGCTCACCAAGTGAGATAACATCGGTGGGAAGACAATATCGAAGGTGTAACACAGAGGGCCTCGCTATATGTAGCCCAGCAAAGGTCTAGAAGAGTCGAAAAGAAACGGTATGAGGAGCCTGCCATACGTTATGGGCAGAAAGTGATGTCATGGCTGCAATAGATGGAGGAATGCAAGCCAGCCGAATTTATGAATTAAATCCCATCGAATAGCGGAAACTTTGGCTAGACAGTGAAATACGCTGCGCTGTCTACGGTGATATAAGAGCATTGTTATAAAGTTCCTAAGCAAGCTCGGGAGTGATTTGCAAGGGGTCAACAGGGGGGTGGCTGGGTTCTAGCCTTTCTGCAATCCCAGCTTAGTAGCAATAGTAGTAGTCGATATGTCGGGCAGCAGCAAACCTCTGGTTACGCACGTGCATAGCGATCTTCTGGGAGAGGTCTTGACTGTCGCTAAGACGATGGGAGAAATAAAAGTTTCTATTAATTAGTGACCAGTACTATCTATCGGATAATGGTCAGCCCACTGGAATGATGCACGTCCGCTAAACCGAAACGGGATATCTACGCTCCCCACTCCCTCGACGCCGCCACCAATGACCTTCGACAATTCCCATGAGAATCTCACAGCCCAAGAGCGGTTGGATATTCATTAATTCGAGGCCATTGATAATTGACGGCTGATATCCCAGACTCAGTCGTTCCTGCAAGGAGGCCCGTATTTGATACGCCTAACGAATTATAGTACTCTGTACTGCTTTCCGAGCACTCCCAGCGTTCCTGGATGGCTGAAGGGGGGAAGAGAGCCATGCCCGATAGCCCAACTAATCAGTCCTCCAAGAGAAGAAAGGTATGCCCATTTCTTTGTCCAAAGTCCTCTGCAACGTGGATGCATCTATCCCCCTTCTACTATACCGATTCGCACGAACCAAAATTCTAATCTATGGTACAGGGAGCGGGGAAATGGCAGAAGCAGCAAGCTATCATCGAGAGTGGTGATCGTGGCGTATTTGTAACATGTGAGATGGGGAAAGAAGGAAAATGTATCCCAGAGGTGGTAGATCTTTTCACGCAGGTTAGTACCGGCCTCGAAAAGAACGGCAATCCAATTTTGCTTTGATTACGTGACACTTGAATGTATTAAGGCTGCATCTAACACATCCTATCTGTCAGAGTGTAGAAGCTCTCGACGATGGCGAGAAAGACAAACAGTCAAGTTCCGCCGAAGATGATGATATCGAGGCCCAAATCAAAAGGGAAGTGGAAGGCTTGAAGCCCAGCTCTTCTAAGCCGCGTCTGTTTCGTGCCTTCAGGATGGATTTCCCCTGTGGTTAGTGAATGTCTTCTGTTCATCTGATAGCTTTGTTCGTGGCTGAATCCCGCCAGTAATGTTCATAAAATGTGACAAATCCATTGACCCGGAGAAATTGGTACATCAGCTTTGTGTTGATGCATATGCCAACCCCGACCAGAAACGCTGTCGATACATCCAACGGATGTCGCCAATAAGGTCGATACGAAAAACTCTCAGCGTTGACCTGGAAGCATTTGCGCAGGAGATGCTGAAGCCCGAATTTCACTCTGGAGGGCCTCCCAAAAAGGTATGTCGCGCCTCTATTTTACTGTCTCTGGTGTTGGGAAATATGCCTAAAAATCCATGAATCCATTAGTTCGCTATTCGGCCTGTAGTGAGGGGAAATTCAAAGTTCAACCGGGATACTATCATCAAGACGGTTGCGAGAGTAGTTGGACCAGACCATTCCGTTGATCTAAAGAATTATGATCTTCTCATCCTTGTTGAAGTGGTTCAAGTAGGTCTTCCTCTGGGGTGGTGCATCTTTGATCTGGCCTGGCTAACAACGACGAAACTATAGAATTTAATTGGAATGAGCGTTGTTGGGCCTGACTATGATAAATTGAAGAAGTTCAATTTGGCTGAGCTTTACAAACCGTCAGAAACATCGGAAAAATCCGAGTCTATGAAATAAATAAGGAGAATAATATGCATTCAGTTCATTATGGCATTTCACGAACTCTAAACAGCCACAGTAAGTTTGTATGTATTGCTTTCCTTGGGTGATAAATAATGAGAACATTGGATAAATGCAATTCCACTATCATAATACGTTGAGTGTACCTCGTAGTGAGAAATCGCATGGAACGGGAACGATTGCACGAGAAGCCCCCATTGGAGCGCGGCACCAGGCCTCGTAGCATAAGGGTAGTAGCACTGCGCTTCACAAGTACTAACTTGCTCTACCTACAGAAGGAAGAACTTACAGTATTCATAAGCACTTACAACGAAGAATGGTATCGGCCTTCGTACTCGGCAAACCCGATGCCTGATTGGGCCGATCCCATTCGCTTGCATCACGCCTTTCTCAGAGCGGGAGGCTTAGGCGAGCCCCAGTCCTCCATCTATTTCGGAATGTCTATCAATTCAACGAAATCGCTCGTGGAACCCATGGGCCCTCATTAAATTGTGTCGGCTTCCCCGTCTATCAAATAGGAGGGCGAGAAATCGACTTGATTCCTATTTCTATGACAATGCCAATGAAATATAGTTGAGGTTCGCTTAAGGATCTTCAATGGAGGAAATTTTCCAGTGTGTCGTAGTACTATCTCGCTTGCTCCAGTCGTATAATGTTGTAGTCAAGACACCGAATATGCCAGTGAAGGGTGTTCGCTTTTCACTACGTGCACCTGCATTAGGTGGCCTAATTTCATCTCGACTCTTCGGAATCCCCGGTAATTGTTAGGTTGACCGAAGAAATCCGGTTTCGAGTCCATGGTTGTGATTCGTGACCTTTTTGTATAGAAATTCCCTTGATACAGTTGGCTTTCTGTATTTGCCCAATCCATATTTATTCATGGCAACAGTGGCACCCTTGACTCTATCCAGCCAGGATTGCCTCAACAATCGAAATATGTCTCCCTCTGTCTTTGATTACCCAGTTTTTGAGTATGCAGACACTGCCATGCTGCACACTGTGGTTGGGCAACTCTATCCTCGCGAGGTATATGTGACAGGAATTCATCCTCTAGAAGGTCATCTTCACTCCATGTATCTCCTGATAATATCAAATGGAGAGAAACTCCTTCTGAAAACACCGAGATTAATGACGCCTATTCTACGGCAGGAGGAGAGCCTGCTTCAAACCGAAGCCCAGGCCATGACGATCCTTGAGCAAAGTGCTATTTCGCATATCCCATCTCTTCTTCATTACGATACCCAAGGGCATTCGCTTGGCCCAACGTTTCTCTTACGTCGATTTATTGTTGGAACAACGCTGCAAGAGATGGGGGCCCAACTAAGCGACTGTAAGCGGAAAGAAATTGAGCGAACGTTGGGATCGCTGGCCAACGAGATCGCGCAGCATGTTTCTCCGTTTTTCGGATCTCTGGGGCAAGTGGCCTGTGGTACGGGCAAAAGATCGTGGCGAGAAGCTTTTCTTACCTTGTTTGAGGGCATCCTTCGCGACTCCGAAGACGTTTTCGTCAACCTCCCCTATACCGAAATCAGACACCAGATTTACCGGCTATCCCCCGTACTCGACGAGGTAACACTGGCGCAACTCGTTGTTGTGGACCTAGGGCGACCGTCCCAGGTGCTTTTAGAACCAGCGACGAAACAGGTATCAGGGATTATAGACCTCAGCAGTGCACTCTGGGGCGATGTCTATATGGCCGAGATTTTTGAGAATCCATCTTTTGCCGTACTGGATGGTTTTGGATGCCCCAGGACGAAAAGCCAGTCGGAATCAATACGGCACCTACTGTATGTGCAAGTTAATGCTACTTAGTTTAATTAAAGAAAGGGTTAGCTGACTCTTTTCTCATTTTTTCCAGGTATACTTGCTATCGTTCCGTCCAAAGGATAACGGTGCAGTACTATCGAGACAGAAATATGGCTACCGAGAACGACGCGAGAAGGCGGCTGACAACGTTATTGATGGAGATGGCAGCCCATTGATACTACTGACCCGGCACAGAGAGCATTGTTATTATCTTTTTATGATCACGTTCAACTATCATTACCCATTACATGAAGGACTTTTCTGCTTTCTTGGACGAGGGGATTGTTGCTGCCTAGCAGATCGGGCGATCATGTTTACCCACCAAAGGCACGTGCAATACGTGTGATTCAATCCCAAGAGCCCCTTTGACCCCCTCCTTCCGACCATCTATACCTAGATACAATCGATGGTGAATATAAAGCCTCATACATACTGCCTAATCATATCTCGATCTATCTACTAGATACGGAGCATAGGCAGGTGCGAGTACAGATATCCTATACATTAGGTGTAGAGGCAGGTATGGGTGGTCATTTTCAATAATACCATGACGGTACAGGGCCAAGAGCGGGGCCGATCAGCCAATTCAAACAATGGCGTCAGCTTTCCTTCCATTCCGCAGCCGTTCTGACCACCAACCTGTGGGGTTTCCGCTCCGCTCCTTTCAAGAACGTCCATCATTGCTTTTTTGTCTTTTTAACCCTTCTTCTCTCTCATTTGGACTTGTCGTGTTCGACTGCAGAGCTGAGAACAGGTGGATATGGCTCATTTCCTCAGAGGAAAGCAAGCAGGCATCCAGAAGGACTTTTCTGAGGGCTTGTCGCCGGATTTGTTCGCTCTCGACGATGTAGGCCTTGGCTTCCGCAGGCATCCCTATTTTGAGGAGTCCTCATGCTAACACGTTCGCAGTTTGCCCGCTATGGCGTGAATTCACAGATCAGCGCCCTGGCATACGATCCAATTCAATCCCTCCTTGCGGTTGGCACCAGCGATACACAGTTTGGAAGTGGTCAGATCTATGTTTTTGGTCAGCGTCGGGTGTTGGTCACTTTTTCGTTGCCTAGAAAGGCATCCGCCAAATTCCTTCAATTCTGTGCCGACAAACTTATCAGCGTCGATTCCAAGAGTGAGATTTCTGTTTTCTCTCTTGAGACTAGACAGACCCTTTTTTCATACGCCCCTCCGAACCATGTCAGTGCAGTCCTGACCGACCCGAGTCTTGACTATGCATTCATCGGTTTACAAAATGGTACATCCGCAACCCCTCCGGAGAGAATCAGATGGGCTGTGCTGACGATACAATACTTGTAGGCGACATAATTGCTTACGACCTTGACCGCGAGACCTTGACCCCATTCCGAGTTCCAAATCTGTGGGCCCAGCGAAACTCCCGGGTCCGCTATTGCCCTGTCCTTACGTTGGCTTTTTCTCCTCGTGATATTGGCAAGATCTTAGTCGGGTATCCGGAGGGAGCGGTGGTATTCTCGTTCAAGCAGAACATAGCACAGAAATACTTCGAATATGAGGTCCCTCCTGGTGCCTTAGGCGGGAACGGTGATGTCCCGTCGCAAGAACCGCGGAGGCCTAGGTTAACCCAGGCTCTCTGGCACCCCAACGGGATCTTCATTCTCACAATCCATGACGACAACAGCTTGGTCTTTTGGGACTCTAAGGATGGGCGCAAAATAATGGCTAGATCGATACAGACTGCGAATATTGACCAACCCGGTGTTAGTCCGGAACGACCCCCTTCATCTGGAGGCGCTATTGGGCTCAGGGATCCCATCACTCATGTTGCCTGGTGTGTTAAGGATAATGGTGATGATAGTGGCTTGTTGGTAGCTGGCGGTCGGCCGAAAGCTGAGGCGAACAAGGGACTTACTTTCTTGGATCTGGGGCCATCTCCCAACTACCAGACATCTTCCTGGGCTATAATTTCTCGCTATTTTGAGAGTCCAAAGCGGGTGTCAACCCTCCCAACGCCACCAGGCGCAGAGGTTGTTGATTTCTGCCTTATTCCGCGCGCCTCTCCTTACTACGCTGGCTGCCATGATCCCATCGCCATTATCTCGCTGCTTTCCTCTGGCGAACTAATCACCATGAGCTTCCCTAGCGGTCATCCCATCACGCCGACAAACATGATCCATGCTTCCCTTTCTTTTGTTCACCCATTTGCGATCAAGAGCACTTTGACACCAGTTGAGCGCTCAGCCTGGCTGGGTCTAAGGGAAAGGCGATCACAGGGTCCGAAGTTCGTCATGGGAGGAGCTGAAGCCAACAAAACGCTTAAACGATTTGAAAATCGTAATATCATTACCACGGCACATGCAGATGGTACTGTCCGTCTGTGGGATGTAGGCCACGACGATGAAATTGAGAATGGCGATGTCATTCAAGTGGATCTGGCTCGTGCTGTTGGTCGAGTCACTAACGTGGAAGTCAGTGAGATGTCTTTGGGTGGCTCAACGGGTGAGCTATCGGTTGGTCTTCGTACAGGTGAGGTTGTGATATTCAGATGGGGCAGCAATCGCAATCTGGGCAATGAGGAGCCCCCTGGTGCCAACGAAGGCTTGGGGAGATTAACCAATATCACCCACCGGACCGACCCGGGACTGAAACAGGGCATGCTCCCACTTACGCTTTTGAACATGCAGCAGGGGGCGGTCACTGCTGTGAAGCACAGCCAGGTTGGCTTCGTTGCAGCCGGATTTGAAGGTGGTAGCGTGGCAATCATCGATCTGCGTGGACCAGCAGTAATTCATACAGCTCATCTATCTGAACTTACAAAACCCAACAAGCGTAGTAGTTTCCTGAAACATCGCACTTCCGAGGAAACCCCTCCAGAATGGCCTACAGTAATTGAATTTGGCGTACTGACACTGGATGGAGAGGGTAAGGACCGTTGATGAAAGTGACTTTGCGAACGACATGCTGACGATAGATTTGCAGACTATTCAAGTATTTGCTGTTTTGTTGGCACCAGTAGAGGGAATATTGCGACCTTCAAAATCCTCCCGGCGGACAATGGAACTTACATGGCTTCGTACGCCGGGGCTACCACCCTGGATGACAAAGTTATAAGCATCATTCCTATTGATGCAGAAAGTGGCGATCTCACCTACGCCACGCCACAAGCGGTTGCAGGCTTGAGAAGCGGAAATAGGGTTAACGGCGCAGTCCTCGCCGTGACTGTTTCTGGCTGCAAGATCTTTAAGCCTGCCGCCTCCAAGGGCGCTCATAAGTCCTGGGATGATTATTTGTGTGATTCTGCTGCGGTAGTCAGGATTGAAGGCCGAGGTTGTAGTCTGGTTGGGCTCTTCGGTGATGGCAATGCGCGGGCTTTCTCCATCCCAGGTATCAAAGAGATTGGATGCAGTGCAATCAACAAAATGGTTGATATGAGACGCCTTTCTGATGCTACTATCTGCTCTAATGGAACAGTTCTGGTTTGGACTGGTCCGTCTGAAGTAGGGCTACTTAGCGTATGGGGCTCTGGCAATACATTGTATGGGACTGTATTTCCCACTTTGGTATGATTGAGAACTGACAGTTTTATAGGAAGCGCTCGGAAGATCGGCTTTTCAATGTTCAGGCCGTTCTTCCCCCGCGACCTACCATAACCAATATCCAGTGGATTTCCGGTACGCAGTATGTCTCGCCAGCAGACATGGACATCCTAAGTAAGTACATCTTCAATCCCCTCCCTCTATGGACTATTGATCCCTTAGCTTGGGCTTCGTATGCTAATTATGACTTTCGTATAGTCGGGGGTCCTGATCGCCCTCCATCCAAACGGATGCAAGAGCAAATGCGACTCGAAGATCAGGAGAGACGGAGAGGTGCTAGAGAAGGTAGGGCCGTAGGTAATCAGTCTCCACAACAAGGCAACGACGAGGGTTACTGGTCCTATATGCAACGGCAGGTACAGGAGCGCACTGAAAAGCTCGGATTTGCTGGGGATCAGATGGAAAGATTGGAAGAGAGCAGTAGTGGCTGGGCCCGGGATGTGAACAAATACGTTCAAACCCAGAAGAAGAAAGCCGTCCTGGGTGGTAAGTAATCCATATTCCCCACTAGGAGATCATGCTAATTGGTAAATCAGCGCTGGGGGCGAAGTTTGGCTTCTGATATTCTTCCAATTCTACCACCACATCATGCCACTGTATGAATTCGCTATTCACTAAGACATGGGGAGTGTATTTATTGTCTGTTCAAGCCTAGACCCTGCTACATACCCAGGCTTTGTCGGCGTTTTTTTCTTTCTTCTTTTTTTGCAATCATATGATTATTGTCAATTATGTACCCAGGTGGGGCAGCAATTTCATAGTCTAACCATTTTCGAGCATTAACTAAGGCTTGTTTGTTGCCTTTTACTTCCCACAAAGAATTTAAACAGTCACATCCACGTATAATTCAACTCATAGTGACAGCTTCACTGTAGAATAAGCAATTCCATCATAAATCCAGTATGGGATTATTCACTGCTAAGTCTATATATTGGTTAATCCAACCTAAGAGTTACTCTTATTATCTTTATTAGTATTTAAATCATCATCCCGGAAACCATTCATTGCCACGATTATCACTTTAATTTGTCAGTTTGTTTCACTCCTAACATTCAATTCACTCTACCACCACTTCACCGCAGAAAATAGGGGGAAAGGAATGGAAAGCCCACTAGGTATTAATTACTATACATTGTTATCAACTGGGTATAGGTAGCTACAGGAACAGGTATAAGGAGATATCCTAAGTAGATGCATATTGTGCATATTTCCTCACTGTATGAGCATAAAGGGTAGACACTACCATGTCCTAATTCAGAGTGAACAGAAGTTCATTGACGGTTTTGAAGTGGTGACCTTGCTTTTCTCTTTCCTTATGCTAGGAAGGATGGTCTGTTTACTGTTAGGTATATGCATAACCGCCTGCCACTTTTCCTCCAGACTTATGATGCCAAAAACAACAAAATCCTGTAAAAGAACAGGCCGGCTGGCCCAATGGCAAGGCGTTTGACTACGAATCAAAAGATTGCAGGTTCGATCCCTGCGTCGGTCATTCTTTTTCTTTATTTTTTTTTGCTCCGCATCTCCTCCCCACATCAGCAAGTGAGTGTAGCTAAGTGTTAATATTCTCTTTCTATTTGCATCCTTATCCTCCAGGCATCGCGGAAGCACCGCCAGAGCACTTCCCACACATTCGAGGTATATGGTGGATGATTGTTTTAGTTGGCATAAAAATGTATATGACTTCAGCGTCAAGGTAATTATACTGTAGACTTCTCTTAAGAAATGTACGCTCGAAACTTCCGATCGCGGGATTCCAGCTCATCCATGGCGGTTGCTACAACTTCAACATTACGCTACCTTTTTAGGTATAGGGAGCTAGCGAGCGATAGTATTTTAGAGAGAGCCTTCACTGTCCCTGCGATCAGTTATGTATACTTCGTATCACAACCATTTCTGCAGCTTAATTAGCGCGGCAAGGCTCGGTGAACAGGTTCCAATAGATATTATACAGCTCCTTCTCAGAAGCGGCGTCTATAATATCACGGCCAATAGATTCTCTGCCCCCCTTGGGGAGCTAGTCAATAAAAGCAATCATAGTTAACTAGCATCCGGAAGTTAGTCATCATGCGGGAAGGTTTAGGTCTGGTATCTTAGCACTCTCTCCTTCGCCGCCGTTGCGAGTTCGGGCCATGTATCCAGGGCTTCGGTGTCAGTAGACATAACAGATAACCCTGCCATGCTTATATTTTGAAATCGGGAAGCATCTCAATCGCCGGATGTAAGTTATCCCGGACCAATGTAAGTGACTTGTTGCTCTTTCTTAACTCGGCGATCTAGTGAATATGAATATTGTCAGGCATGTAGCAAAGGGAATAGATAATGTAGTGATCAAATATCCAAACTAGGGTCAATCATTCATCTGTCCTGCAGAAATTCCAAGACAGATTATCGTGCGATGGTTTCGACTGTCAGGTCCCATGTTATAGGACAATAAAGAAAATGAACACGGGCAACTCGTTTTATTCAGCTGATAGATACTAAGACTTATTAAGAGTACCCATGAAGCAGCGGCGCGCAAATAAGGAAAGATATAGTCGCTGGAGAAAATCCGATTTGTATAGGTATGTAAGCACATACTTATATGCAGGCATGTCTGTAGAAGTCGAGTGCTTGCTACGTATACATAGGTTGGGTAGAGCCCCTCGATTGTCCTTCTGAAGGTTTGGCAGGCGAGGAATGGGATAGGAAGATGGGGTATATTTTTTTTTTTTTTCGTTTTCTTTGTGAAGAGCTTTTTCGGATTAGATTGTTTCTATGTTATAAAATAAATGCTGGAACTATGTAAAATACGTTCTGTTGTCATAAAAAACGTTGCAATCGAAATCATGAAATCATCCGATATATAAAAGAAAGAGTGAAAAAATAAAAACGTTTCCCCTAATTCCACCACAATCACACCAAGTAAATCAGTGAACCATGACCTCCGACTGATGGGGCTGCTGCGACGCAGGATTGGTCTTGTCAGCTGACTCGTCTTTCTGTTCCGAATCGTCACCCATCTCAACATCCTCATCACCTTCTCCGCCGTCTTCTTCATCGATATCATCGTCATCGTCGTCACTTTCGTCTTCAATATCCTCACTCTCAGCGTCGGAGACTTCTTCCTCTTCGTCTTTGACAGGCGGCTCAGTGCTCTCCATGTCATGATCCTCACCCTTGATGGGCTCTTGCTTTTCGACATCGGCAAGCTCTTTCATTAGAGCGGCTTCGAGTTCGACCTCTTCCGCACCGTAGGCAGCACCATCATCCTCCAAGTTGTCCGCTTCCGGCTGGTCTGGTGGATATTCAGCTGGAGCGGATTCGTCCGAGTCCCTAGAGAAGTAGACACATTAGCCTAGAGCTTTAGGAAATAGATATATCCTCATGGAAGCATACCATTTGATGGCAAATCGGGTTACCCTTGGCTTCTCCGCTAGGATATTCCGACGGATACGCTCAATAATAGGCTTGGCAGGTGGCTCCGCGGTGAGCTCCTCTGAGTCGTATTCGTTGTTTACATAATAGCCCACTCGAACGAACTCTCTGCCATCGTAGCTGCATGTAAGGAGAATGACCGTCACCCCGAGGATTTCAGACGTAGGGATTCGCTTCAGGTCTGGTGCGTCGGCCTCGAAGAGGAACTTATTGACGCCGACGGGGATGGGGCCTACGAGAAGGGAATCAAGCTCCTGGTCGTATTCGGAGCTGGGCAGAGGTTAGCGAATGGGCAGGTCTTGGGTCAGACCAAACTGTAGTTTCAACTTACGATGTCGCAGAACCGACGTAGGTCAGTTTCCATTCCAAATCTGTGCACAGTCGACAATCAGCAGGGTAAAGCAATTGGGCATCCTTGGCGTTCAGCGCCCACCTTTCTGGAGCTGCTCAAGACACTCAAAGGTGATCTCAAACTTATAGGGGTCGAGGAAGGAAGCCGGATTGTTAACAATCTTGACACCAAGAAGAGAGACGACCGACATGGTTGGAGAGAGGGGAGGTGAGAGACCGAGGAATGATGATGTTTGGGTCAGAATTAGCGGAATATTTAAAGCAGGGAAGGAGACGTCGAAAGTTCAGAGACAAGTTGCTTGGGAGACGGCAACAATGCAGAAGTAGAAAACTGGAGTCGACTTGAGCGAACGCGGTGCAGCAGGAGTGGTAATAATGTCAAGCAATTAAACCGGAAAGGCGATCGACGCGCCGCGTGTGTTCGACGCATCTCGCGCCCACCGCCTCTGTCACGTGAGCATTACCCTGCTCGAGAGCTGCAGCTTCTGCCGTGGCTCGTGACAAGATGCATCATTTGTCGCGGGAGTTTCTTTGTTCCAGACAGAGCTTTTCCCCCTTAAGAACGTGCGGGTTGGTAGACTGATTACTTCGAATTCACCCCCCCGGACGATTTTTAGTATTCTTATCGTTTTCTTTCGACGGTCGTTGCGCAAGGTCAGACATTTGCGGTGCATGTTGCCCCAGCTCCACGACATGACAGCTGACCAGATCCCAGTTGTATACGGTGTTTCCTCGCCACTCCTCTTAGTCGCAACTCAGACAGCTTCCCTTGTCATGGCTGAAGAGGATGCTGAGCAGGCCTTTTTCCAGGCTCAGACAATGAATGCGGACTCGGTGGGCTATCAGGCTGTGGATGACCAGGGGGCAGATAATTCCGATGACGATGACTATGATCCTTCAGAGACACTGCATGACCAATATCCTGCTACCTTGACAGATGCCAACCAATGCGATCCTGTACATTTCGACGCCCTTCCTTCGAAACAAGATCCCCCAGATCAAACCACCCTCCCTGCAGAAACAGATCCTAGCCTGCAAGCTGGCAGCTCCTACCCTTCTCAGACACCTTCACGAGCTGAGTCTCGGGCATCAACATCGGCCCCCGCATCTAGTACTTCTGTACCACCGCCGAAGACCAGAACAATTGGAGGTTTTGTGGTTGAGGATGAGGATGAGGATGACACGGGTGATGCAGATTATGAGCCACCAGCTGTATTAGGTGTTGAGGACATGAATGCTATACCTATGAATGTGCCTCAGCAACCAATCTCAGGAAATGCAAATGAAGATACTTCCACCCCTGATGTATCACTGGATGAAGCTGCGCAGAATTCTGCCAGCGTGAAGAATGTTCCTAATAGTTCATACTCTCCTGCTGCTGCTTCTAAAAATGATGCATCTCTACCCTCGGACCAGGATTTGTACAACTTACGTACGTTACAGTCTGAAAATGCGCAAGGGAGTGCCATGGCTACTCCGGTCCCTGATTCTCCGTCTGCCTCGAAGGGCCGCTTGCCCCACGATAGGGTCGGCATTTTGGAAGACAGAATCCAAGAAGACCCTCGAGGTGATATCCCCGCTTGGCTCGAGTTGATTAATGAACACAGGAGTCGCAATAGGATCGACCGTGCTCGGGATGTATATGAGCGTTTTCTCAAAGTATTTCCTTTCTCTGTAAGTCCTCTCTTTCTTTCTTGGATCATCCCTGCGGACGAAGGCTGACCAACCATAGGCGGAACAATGGGTCGCATATGCGAACATGGAATCGGAACTCAACGAGCTCTTTTGCCTTGAGCAGATCTTTAATCGAACTCTTTTGACCATCCCCGATGTCCAACTTTGGACTGTGTACTTGGACTACGTTCGCCGGCGTAATCCGTTGACTACCGATACTACCGGGCAGTCCAGACGGATTATCTCCTCTGCCTATGACCTGGCCCTCCAGTATGTCGGTGTAGATAAAGATTCCGGGTCTATCTGGGCAGACTACGTTCAATTCATTCGCTCCGGTCCTGGAAACGTAGGAGGCTCTGGATGGCAAGACCAGCAAAAAATGGATTTGCTCCGAAAGGCCTATCAGAAAGCCATCGCGGTTCCCACCCAAGCTGTTAATACCCTCTGGAAGGAGTACGATCAATTTGAAATGGGCCTGAACAAGCTCACGGTATTTTGGAATCCCCCTCTTTCGGTTTCCGCTCTAACCTTTTGGTTGATCTTTACAGGGACGAAAATTTCTCCAAGAGCAGTCACCGGCATATATGACAGCGCGTAGCTCGTACACAGAGTTGCAAAATATTACAAAAGATCTAAATCGTACCACTCTGCCAAGGTTGCCTCCGGTGCCTGGTTCCGAGGGCGACGTTGAATTTGCGCAGCAGGTTGAGATCTGGAAGCGCTGGATCAAATGGGAGAAGGGGGATCCTCTTGTTCTGAAAGATGAAGACCCAGCCGCTTTTAAATCACGCGTGGTTTACGTGTATAAGCAGGCTCTTATGGCCCTCCGGTTCTTACCCGAAATGTGGTTTGATGCCTCCGAATTCTGCTTTCTCAACGACATGGAGAATGAAGGCAACGATTTTCTGAAGCATGGCATCGAGGGAAACCCTGAGAGTTCTTTGCTTGCGTTCAAACGTGCCGATCGGCTTGAAATTACGTCAGAGTCCGAGCAAGACTCTATCAAACGAGGTGCTAAGGTCCGGGAACCATACGATAGGCTTCTAGACGCGCTTTACGGTCTGATCGCGAAGGCGCGCACTCGTGAATCCCAGGATGTGGCGCGTCTCGAGGAAACATTTGCAAAGCTAAATCCCGGGCAACCCATACCCAAGCCCGATGACAACGACGACGATGATGATCAGAGCGAGACCAAGGCAAGGGAGTCCGTCAAGAAAGCCCAAATTGAAGCCCTTCGGAATGCACACGCTATCCAAATCGGCATTCTCTCTCGGACGATATCATTCACCTGGATTGCTCTTATGCGCGCCATGCGACGTATCCAGGGTAAGGGCAAGCCCGGAGAGATGCCCGGTTCGCGGCAGGTGTTTGCGGACGCTCGGAAGCGAGGGCGTATCACCAGTGACGTCTACATTGCGAGCGCGCTCATTGAATATCACTGCTACAAGGATCCGGCCGCGACCAAGATTTTCGAACGTGGCGCAAAGCTCTTCCCCGAGGACGAGAACTTCGCACTGGAATACTTGAAACATTTAATTGACATCAACGATATTACCAGTAAGTTCTGATCGCGTCTCCACCACCACCATCACCACCATTATTATTATCAATTGCTAATCACACCTTACTCCAGATGCTCGGGCAGTGTTTGAAATGACTGTCCGTAAATTGTCCTCCAACCCTGACAGTGTACACAAGACCAAACCGATCTTCTCCTTCCTCCATGAGTACGAGTCTCGATATGGGGATCTGGTCCAGGTGATCAACCTCGAGAACCGGATGCGTGAACTATTCCCGGAAGACCCGACCCTGGAGCAATTCGCCCACCGATATTCCAGCCCGTCGTTCGATCCTACGGCGGTGCGGCCGATCATCTCGCCGTCGCAAACCAGGCCCAAGGCCGCATTCCCCACGGAGCAAGCCGTGTCGCGCCTTGGAACTCCCATCCCGAGGTATCATGATTCTTCGGTCACCAACTCCCCCAAACGACCGCTGGACGACTTTGACGACGACGGGAGCCGGCCGCGCAAATTCGTTCGAGCCGACTCTCCGCTAAAGACGGCTCAGAGGCGGCAGTTGGAGCAGAAACGTGTCCAGCCCCCCACAAGCCAGGCTGGATCCCAGTTCCGGTCTCAAGGCTCCCCTGCTCCGTTGCCCCGGGATATTGTCTATCTTCTGAGTATCATCCCGCCCGCCTCATCATACAACGCAGGCCGGTTCTCGCCTGAGAAATTGATCGACCTCATTCGGAGGATTGATATGCCCAGCTCTATCTCGCAGATCCCGCTACCACAGTCGGTCCGCGGGCTGGGGACGGGACAAAACCCCTTCTCTGGTATACTTCCCCCCTGCTCTGCTTCCTATCGTCCTGCTTGCTGACATTTAGCTTGTCTAGGCATGTTTCGCTCCTAATCCTACCTGAATGAATATAAAAGCATGGCCCCCTTCCTAACCCCTTCTTTTGTGATGATGCACAATTCCGAAATATCCAGACTCCTACGAGATCGGGGGTCCATCCATCTACTTGTAATGAAAGTTTTTTTTTTTTTTTTTTTTTGCATCTGATGACCCGGCGTTCTAGTTTGGATCTGGCTCACTTTCCCGATGATTTTGCAGCGAAGGACTCTCCAGTCCATCCAGTCTGATTGGCATTCTTGTTCGTTGTATCTGTCCGCGCCGGATGCGGCTTGTACTGTACAGTTGCGTTTGGAAGGTTAGGATATCCTTGGACTACGGGGGGATGGATGGATGAATCGATGGATGGTCTTTCTCCTGCTGGTCATCGGATGTGGCTCGAAGATAGCCCCACGTCAGTTGATTCTAGCAGCTACTACCTACGTACGATCTCGTAGGTGACCCTCTGTCTACCACGGATGATGATATTTGTTCCTGAGGTCTGTTTTCTCTCGGGCGGATTCAATAGAAGCATGTCTATTCGATTCAATTGATTTCTTACATTGATTTTCTTGACTTTCTTGCTTCATGCTTGCCCTTGTATGCCCTGTAATCCTTCCATCTTACACCATTCATTTTCTCCTTCCTCCATTCCCCTGTATCAGTGAATGCTTCCTGTGGCCAACCATCACGCAGGCGACTTCCGCCATTCAATTCCTCGGTCCCAGCAACTCGAAGCTACCTGGCATCTTTTGTTTTGTTGGGGATTCTTCTTCTATTCTCCTCTTCGTTTCTCTTCATTTCCCTCTTTCTTCATCTTCCCATCTCCTTCCTCTCGTCATTCATCTTTCCCTTCATCTCTTGCTTCATCCTTCTCGTCATCGTCGCCTCACCGTTCCTTCCCTTTTCTTCTCCCATCCTTCCAAGTGATCCTTCGTCTTCAGATCACCTGTCTTCTTTCTTTTTCTCATTCACTAGTTCCTCTTTTTCCTTCTTCTTCCCTTCTTCATCTCTCTCTTCTCTCTTCTCTTCCTCCCAACTTATTCTCCTTTCACCTTCTTGCTCTCGTATCACTTCGCTCCTAAACTCTTCCTCGCATCTGGTGTATTACCCTTCTTTCCATCACCCTTACTGCTACACCTTGAAGTCTTTCCTTGTCTCTACAAGCGCATCTTGATTGAATACAATCCCCTAATTCTCTTGTTGTGCTTCCCTCGCGTTTCGAAATCTGCCGACTGTCACCATGGCGAGCTCTTCACTGGGTGACCCAGCCTTGGACAAGCCAAAGCTAAAGACCGACCTCTGTAGAGATGTCGATTTGCCCATGTCCGCCTTTTGTATTAACCACCTGGTAAGTGGCTGTTAATTTTTATTCCTTGCTCTATTTCCTCTCTCTCTTTTTGCCATTCTATTGTCAGGTAAAATTCTCGGCGACATCGTCTGGTATGAATCGAGAGTCACCGTGTACTGCCATCAAAACAACCCTCCCCTTTCCATGCTGTTGAACTGGTCTATTCCCCTCTGTCCGTCCTACCACTCACTACCATTATTGTCCTGTATGTCTTATCTCAACTCCATTCCCTGATGCAACCCCTTTCCATTCCTCTTATCATGAATAGGCCCTTTACAGTCAATTGTCTCCTGGTGGTCGTCTTTTCCTTTTTCGCAGCCCAAGCTCCTTTGCAAACTCCATCTTTATTCATACTGGGTTCTCATCAAACGGCATATGCATACCGTTGGGGGAAGTCACTGGCGATAGGCTTCCATTGATGTAGGAAGCCGATATTCATCCCTTTGTCTCACAATGCTCAGAGCTACGCTCTATGCTTCACAGAATGTCCTTTCTACGCGGCTTGTTGGCTTATATAAACCCCTTCCTTCTTCCACTCTTCGTCTTCTTCTCTTCTGTCCTCACCTCAAACTTCAAAATTCGATTTGTCTGTATACAATATCTTCTCAATCTCCCCAATCTCCCCAATCTTCTCGATTCTGTCCTGGTTTCATACCTTCTTTCTCTCGTCTTCTACCCTACCATGGAGAATTTGGAACAGATTAACAAGCTTACTGGTGGCCTCCGTCACCTGAGACTTCGTGATGCTGACGAACTGGTCAAGTATTCCGTCCCCGTTGGAAACGTTCCTCGTCCCGGCTTCAATACTACCGGCAAGGAGATAGAGGTCTCGGTGAACGCCTACCCGATCACCAAATTTCCCAACCGTAATGTTTACCAGTATGATGTAAGTTCGCTATAAAATGGCTCTTATGCGACTTCGAAACAGTTTTGCTAACGTACGGTACAGGTCCACATTGGCTCCGGTGTCGAGAAAAATGCCGTGATCAAGAAAGTCTGGAATTCAAATGCAAGAAAGACTGCCTTGAAGCAGATTGTTTTTGACGGACAGAAGCTTGCTTGGTGCGTATTGCCGCTTTGTCTACTTTCGTCAAAGTCACCTACTCACGGGTGTATACAGGTCTATGAACCACTACCCAAATGGACTGAACGTTATGGTCGATCTCGACGCTGAGCAAGGCCGTCAGCCTAGCGGTAAAACTGCCAATGTTTTCCGTCTGGTCGTCCGGCCTACCAAAACTGTCAACCTCTCTGTGTTGGCCGCATGGCTCCAGGGCCGAACCTCCATGCAGGAGACCGTTCTGGAAGCCCTCAGTGAGTTTTCTACCCTATGGTGGCTGTGGTTCGTTGGCTAAGGATAGCAGATTTTCTGGACCATGTCCTTAGAGAGTATCCGAGTACCAAATATCTGGCTCTCAGGCGTTCGTTTTTCGATCCTGATGGGGAGAATAAGGACTTGGGCAATGGTGTCCTTGCCTTCAAAGGAGTCTACCAGGCGATTCGGCCTTCCATTGTGAGATACCTTCGCTGATATGTTAGCCTGACCACGGAAGCTGATTACCTCTCCAGAGTCGTGGACTTATCATCAACGTGGACGTTTCCAACACTTGTTTTTGGGCTCGCACTTCCTTTATGGGTGCTGCGATGGCCGTACTTGACTGCCGTGACCACCAACATCTTATCCATGTGCTGAAGTCAGTTCCCGACGGCCATGGCGGGGTTACTGAGTCTAACTCGTTCTATGAAGCCCATCGACGCTTGAAGAAGCTCCAAGTTCAGCCCCATTACCGAGGCTGCCCCGTGCTGGGTACAAACTTCATCGTCAAAGGCCTCATCAATGGTAATGCCCGCCAGTACCAAATTGAAATCAAGGACAAAGCTACGGGCAAGCTTGAGAAGATGAGCGTGGAAACTTACTTCAAGAGAAAATATAATCTCATCCTCAACTACTGGGAGTTGCCCATGGTGGAAATGACGAAGAAAGGCGTCGTCTATCCAATGGAAGTTTTGACCATCCATGGCCTTCACAAGTACCCATGGAAACTGAATGAGTACCAGACATCGGCGATGATCAGGTACGCGGCCGCGAGACCCAGCGACCGTCTTCAGTCCATTCACAAGTCCAAGGCCATGCTTGATCATAGCAAGGACCCTGTGCTTCAGACATTTGGCCTTCAAATTGACAACAACATGATTCGTACCAAGGCCCGTTTGCTTCCAAACCCGGACATCCAATTTGGTGGAAACCAGCGCCATAATCCTGGCACCAACGGTCGCTGGGATCTTCGTGGCAAGAAATTCTATCAGCCAAACAGGCGACCTCTTGACTGCTGGGGAGTGGGCTACTTTCCCGGCAAACGCAACGCGATAAACAGAACCCAAGTGGAAACCTTTGTCGATGGATTCATGAAGACCTACACTGGACACGGGGGCCACGTCGTGCAACGCCCACTTGTTGTTGAACTCAAGGAAGACATTGGCGAAGCGATCAAGAGGCTCTACAATTCCACCGGAGTCAAGTTCCAGAAAGATCCTCAGCTGCTCCTGGTTGTTGTACCTGACAAGAATTCTTTCACTTATTCCCGGATCAAGAAGTCCTGCGACTGCCGCTGGGGTGTGCCGTCCCAGGTTTTACAGTCGGCTCATGTGGCCAAGGCCAATCCTCAGTATATTTCCAACGTGCTCATGAAGGTGAACGCCAAACTCGGCGGTACCACCGCTCGGATTCTATCCAAGGTTCCTGAATCGACACTGAAACCAATGTCGATGATCATTGGGGCCGATGTAACACACTCTCCCCTTGGAGTCTGGTCGCCTTCCATGGCGGCTATGTCGGTTTGCATGGATACATTCGGGGGTCGTTATTGGGGTGCCTGCGAGGCCAATGGAGACCGGATTGAGATCCTCGCCCGTGCAAATATCGAGATCATGCTGACCCCTCTCGTGCGCGAATGGATGTCTACTGTTGGACAAGGGCGTGCGCCAGAACGCGTCTATTACTTCCGGGATGGCGTGTCGACTGGTCAATTTGAGCAAGTCCTCCAGCAAGAGGTCTTTGATATCAAGGGCATCTTTATGAAATTAACCCAGGATCAGTGGAAGGGAAAATTTACCGTGGTGATCGCAAACAAGCGCCACCATCTTCGCGCCTTTCCCAGGTTTGGTGATCGCAACTCTGCCGATAAAAACGGCAACCCTCTTCCTGGCACATTGATCGCCAAGGATATTACCAGCCCTCATGATTGGGACTTCTTACTGTACTCGCATATCGCGCTCCAGGGAACGTCAAGACCCGTTCACTACCACGTCATCTTGGATGAAAACAAGCACAAAGCGCAAGAGTTGGAGAACATGATCTATGACCATTGCCACCAGTATATGAGATCGACCACCTCAGTTTCGTTATGTATGAGCCATACTCCCTTGCTGTTCGATGGTTGACACTGCTAACATGAATTGTTCCAGTCCCGGCAGTTTACTATGCCCATCTCATCGCCACTAGGGCCCGTCATCATGAGGATGTTCCAGCAAGCTCTGGCCCGCAAAGCGGCCCCGAGGTAAAATTGACGAACCCAAAACCAAAGAACAAACCAGTCGATCCACGTCTTCTTCCGATCCATGGAAGCAGCAATAGATTGCCATTCGGAATGTGGTACATCTAGGGGTTCGTGGCGCTAGAGCGATGGTTTCGACTTTCTTTTCTGCGGCTAATTTCTTGTTGTTAGCTTTGCTCACCATGTCCAATATAAGGATTTGGGGAATCTCTTCTTTCACCATATGTGGGGACAGTCGGTTTTTTTATTCAAGCTACAGGGGACCAGACAGTCAAGGTTGTGGGCTTGGGGTTCAGGCCAGTGACAGCCAGTCGACTAGGGCTAGCTGGTTCTAACAAGGTAGATATATCTGTAACATAGGGGCCGTTGTAGGCTAGAAATTCATTCTGCGCCTTAGAATAATTAGTTCTATCTCCGAATCCAAGATGATATCACTCGTATTCTTCTTTTCGAGCCCAGGTATTCGTATGAATAGCGTAGATCCCGACTGTATGGGCAAGACGCTTGGCTGGTTCACTCATCTTTCTTCTGAGATCCACGAATCGATCGGTAAGAACCTTGTCGAGCACTTGGGGCGTTTGACCATGCAACCACCGATTGACATTCGAGCGTATGTTTCGGATAGCTTGGGCTTGACCGCTTCGGATGTACCTCAGGACCCCAGGATGGGTACTTCCTCCTGGTTACAATGAGAGGAATGATTGATTGCCTATGGATCATACTTGATGGATGAACTACAATCCAAATCATCGTGATTTTTCCATCTGCATGGGTATACCAAAACATCAATCATCTAATAATCAAACCAGCAGGCAAGATATTCAAGTCTTTATTTGGAAGCAAAACACTATGTACGAACAATTCAACCTCCTGCTCTCTTTCTCTGTCTGTCCCTCCTTCCAAAATATAAGAAACACAAACGTAACCGCGATAGAAACAGCAAGATGCAAATCACACAAGCGCAGAGAAAGAAAAGGATGTATGATAAAAGGGTAAAGAGATGCTCTTTTCACTATTTTCACCAGAAAGAGAATCGAGGCGAAAGGATGGGGAAGACGAAGGGAGGCAAAATAAACAGATGGGCAGTAGCCAAAAAAAAAAAAAAAAAAGTTCAATAAGAACAGTGGACAGGCGAAGAGAAGGGGAACCTGTGCACGTGGTTGTATAAAATGTGAAAAAGTACATGGAGTTCACGAAGGGAATATAGAGAGCAGGAGGATGTAGGTAATAGAGAAGATAATAAGTAATGATAACACAAAAGTCCAGCAGAAGGAAAAGCAAAAGGTGTAACAAGCAGGCAACGCTGGGGAAGTCTTGTCTGTATGATGTCTGTCTGTATGTGCTTCTGTCTGTCGCGTCGCCGTGCAAGGATCCGCCGACTCTCCATTGGAGCACCACTCCGAGGGGTCGGACTGGAATGAAGAATGTAATCGAGAAGGATTAAGGCCGGTAAGTTAGTATAGATTGAAGTGGGCGAGCGACTGCAAAAAGGCAAAAAAAAAAACCTCCCCTCCTTCCGACCATGAAAGCCATCTGCGCCATTCATATACCCGACCTTTTTGTATCACAGTCCCAAATGCAAATAAATCCAGAGTGAGGAAGTGACGAAAAGAAATGAAGTAGGGAGAATGCCACCACACCTGAAACCTAGCCCTAGAAGCTGACCGTCATCGAATGCAAAAAGAAAGCCTCTGATATCAAATCCTCGTGTGACATTGCCATCGCCAATCCATCAGAATGAGATTCTGGGGAGAAAAAAGTGTGGAGAAACGAAACGGTAAATATACCTGGAAGAGCCTAGGCAAAAGGGAATCCAAGCCAAAATTATAGCCGTCGAAATCCTACAGTACAGAAATCTCCAAGGTTGATGCAATAAGCACCAAGTCGGTGCGGTGCGGATAGATGGGGAATGATCATACATCATGACGCATCACCGACAGTGCCATTCGTCAGAGGCACAGTGCTGTCGTTATTCTTATCCAGGTCAAGGTTGGAAGTGCCGGTAGGATGGGAGTTTGCACCTGCACCCTCGGCGTCCAAGCCACCCTTGCCATTACCGAGATCCGTAGTTGCGGTGGTGGAAGCCTCATCCGGGCCCGAATCCTTATTTTTGAGATTCATCAAGGTCGAGTTGGGGAGTTTCGCTCCATCGGCATTGGTAGGGGCTTCATCCCCTTCCACTGTTGATCCCGGTACACCCACAGCTCCACCGCTGTTCTTCTTTGCCTTTTTCTTGCTAGGCTCCCCCGTTGCGAGTTTAGGGGCCCCAACGGGTCCAGTTGTCGTTGGTGGAAGTGGCCGCTTCTGAGGGCTAGTCGTCGGCCCTGACTGGCCTGAAAGAGGCGGAATCTTGCCGGAGGCTGGCAGCCGAGGGCGGGCAGCCATAGGCCTCTGCTTCGGCGGTAGCTCAAGATCCTCAGTCAAAGGCTCACTGTTGTTCGCTTGCAATTTGGCAGTGAAGAACCCTTTGACCAGGCCGATCTGCGAAGACAAGGTATCCAAGGTGATACGCGGGTAAGTCGGAGGCGGCGGGAAGAGCGTCACGGCTTGTGCAGCGCTGGCAGAATGGTTAGCAGGGGTTCCTGGTTGGAGAAGTCCAGGGCAGCATACCTTGTGTTCTGTGCTTGGGCGGCGTTGTACATCCTGTTCTGAAGGAGATGAAGCGGGACGCTGAGGGTCGCAAGGCCAAACTCCTTGTCCAAGCCCAACTCCTTGAAGCCAAAGAAGTCCTCGTCAATGTCCTCCGCGAAGTCACCACCGATGAACTGCTCACTTCCATCATTAAAGGCGTTGGACCCATCTTCGCCGCCATCCACAAGAGCAGGCCGCAGAAGCTCGGACAGCAACGACTTCAGCCGGTCATGGGCCGTGGAAAGCTTCGACCCAAGTCGTTCCACGTCGTCTTTGATATACGACTCAAGTGCTTCGATATCAATTCCAACGGAGGAGAGTGTATGGAGCACGATTTCCGGCTCCGTATAAGCCCGCTTCCACTGGGCATTCAATGTGTTCTCAGTCAAATCAGTCGCAGGCACTTTGGGAGTTTCCATGTAGGATTTCAACGTCTCGCAAAGCTTCTGGAAAAAGTCTGAGGCAACGTCGGTGACTGCATCAAGAGACGACGGCTGGTATTCCTCGAACCCAGTATGGTAGAAGATTTTCGCAACCGAGCGCTGCAAGGCCGCCTTGCAAGCCCAGGTCGCAATCACAGGCCCATCATCATTCATCACATGCGGAGGAATGTCGTGCTCGACAAAGGGTTCAGGCTGGTACTTCTGGAACTGGTTTTGATACATCTACGAGTGCATTAGATTGTACGGCCTGACCGGGTCAAGAAGGATGGGGGAGAGCCTACCTGAGACTGCAACTGCATCTGCTTCACAATGCCAACTTTCGAGCATATCTTTCGGGTTTCCTGCATTTGGCGCATGTTTGCATCCATCTTCCGAGAAAGCTTACTATCCGGCTGGACAAATGAGTTTTTGGGTAAGATCCTTAGGAATTCTTCCGACGGGTCAACGATATTGCCATCGGCGTCTTCTTTCCACAACAACCGTCCGGGGAGATCAGGGACACCAGACATGACATCGTAATAATCCGGAATCACGCGGTCCTCATCCACTTCGATGCCTTCCGCCAGACTCTCACCAGCCGCATTCGATTCAATGCCTTGCGAACTTAATTCATGAGCCTTATCACCTTCCGCACTGACTTGTTTGTGATTCCTTAACCACCGTCTCATACCAGCCTTCGTCCGAAGTAGGGCCGGCTCGTCCGAGTTCAACTTGTCACCTTTGAAGAGACGATGCCGTTCTGCTGCGATCACCGCTCGATCCTTTTTCGTTACCTGCTTCCAGACTTTGTACTCTGGGTCCTCGATTTCAACCCCCGATGCAGGGAGGGCGCTAGGTGCACTGCTCGTAGGCGCCAAGCCGTCGATATCCATGGCGTCACCTTGGCTCCCTGGTACACCCGTCCCGACACCAGCAGGATCTGACGGTGTTTGCGTTCCAGGGGGAGGCGTTGTGAATCCATTCTGAGCCCCTTCCATGGGAACATCGGAGTCCGAACGGACAAGAGGCGGGGGTTGCGAGGACGACCCAGCTGGAGGCTCTGACCCGCTGGGGGTATTCCGGGCCGGAGCAGCGCCTTTCTTCGATGATGATTTACCGGGAGCTTTCCTACCCCGTGACGACATGATCGGCTCGTCGTCGCTTTCCTCTGCGCCGTCCAGCTCCGCCAGTTGAAGTCTGCGCTCTTCGGCCTCTACTTCGGCACGATCCCTGATCACTATATCTGGAATCAGAGGCACCAGCTTTTCTGTCTCCTTTTTCATATACAGAGCATGTTTGCGCAGAAAGTGGTCTGGGTTTGTGTTGTACTTAAAACAGTTGGACCAGATCAAGTTGACGTCGTCAACGAAATCTTGCTTTGACTTGTATTGCAGCGCTTTCAGCTTTTTCGTCATTGTCCCCAGATCCATGGGGTATTTGATGACTGTTATTACCACGCATTAGTAGAATCCCAGATATAGAACTCGCATGCCAGAAGTGCAGGGAGGGTCGATGGGGAAGCCCTACTTGTATAATAGTCCGGCGCATCGCGTTTGTTAACCCGAGTCAAGAAAGCCGACGAATGTTCTGTCATCGCTTTCAACTCACTAAGAACTTTCTCCGCGGCTTCGTAGAGCTCCTCCTGGCCGATCTTGTCCTCACTGGCCCATTTGCTCCTGTTCTTACGGACCTCGCTCATCAGGCTGCGCAGCTCCGCGTCCGAAGCTTGCACCATGGTCCGTTTCATGTCAATTCTTGCGATCAGGTTCTTCAACGTCAAGCTAGAAGCTCCCAGGTTCGCACTGCTCAACGAGCCATATCCGTTCGAGCTAGCGTTCGAGGTATTGCCGGCGTTGGTCTGGCCCGACATTTCGGCCTCAACCTGTCGCTCCGACTCTTCTAGTCGCTGCTGATCCAGCATGGCATCTCTATCGTTCTCCAGTGTATAGAAGAGAGTATGAAAGCTTCGCTTGGCGGCATCTTCGGTAGCCTTCTTGTCCTCCTCTAGCTTCTTCCGGATATCTTCGAGCGTCTCTTTCTTCGTCTCCTTGGAAGAATCGGCCCCAGTGGGAGTCGAGCCGCTCGGATGGTGACTCGGGGACGGCATCCCACTGGGGTCCTGCGAAGGCACCAGAGGCTTGGATTTGGGGAGAGATACGGCATCGGCATCCTCGTCATCATCATCTTCATCGTAATCATCGTAGTCATCATCATCCAGCTTCCTGGCGGGTTTCTTGGCGGGAGCCGGGGGAGGAAGCGGTCCATCGGCGCGTTGGATTTCGGCCTCAGGCATCTTTTGATTTGGAAGTGCTGGCCGGGCGAGGTCCTCGAGGGCTCTCTGGTTGGTAAACAGGTCGTTTATTTTCGCCTCGCTGCGTTTATACAGGTCGCGAAACGTGGCAATGCGTGGGTCCTCCTCGGCCGCAGTATCAGCCTCCGATATCAAAATCGCCGCGTGGGCTCCCTCGGCGTCGACGGAGGCGCGCATTTGGGGGGTCCGCGGGCCGGAAAGAGATTTCGAATAGCCATTGATCGACCGCCCGTCAAGATGGTCATCAGGGGGACGTAGATGGTCGGGTGGCAGCCAGGAATGGTGGTGTCCGAGCGACATGCTCGCTCCAAGACCCCGGCTCTGGGGGCGGGCGAGGGGGCTCGTTTCTCCGCGGTTCTGCTCAGGTTCGGGAGAACAGTAACGAGGGGAATTGCGGGAGGAAAAAAGACATAGAGATAAATAAGAGAGCGACAGGAGTCGAGAGACGATATTTCCCGGCCCCCAGTGATGGTGCGGGTGAGGATTTCGATGGCAAAGCGAAGGGCTCTTGCAGGCGAGGTTCTCTGCGCGGATGAGATGAGGTCGAGAGGCGGAACGGCCGCAGTTTTCAGACCAACCGCGCAGTTTGGAACTAGCAGGCGATCATCTAGGGCTACCGGCGACAATAGCAGAAACGATTCAATGAAGGAATGGATGCAATGGAATGGCGTGGAGATGCCAGTCTATCTCTCCAGTCCGTACAATAGGCGAGTCGTCAACCAACACTCCGATTGAGGCCGTCGTCAGCGAAACAATATAGAGAAACTTCCCCCGTCGACCCTCGACAGGCGGTTTTCCCTTTTGGGCCAGCACATGACGCATCCGTCATCTTCCTTTCGTTCAATTGTCAACTTCTCTACTCTTCTCGCGTGTCCTCCCCTCGCTCTTCTTCTCTCGTCTCCCTTGACTGTCCATCATGCGAATTCGCTATCCTTTCGCGGGTAGGTCTCTCCCCTTTGATTTTCCCTCGGTCGCGATGGGAGAGTGAACTGAAACTACTCCCACATTCTCATCCGTCGTGGCTAGCTAGCTTTTGGCTCTCCAGATACCTACAGATCAGCTAACTACTCTTCCAGGCGCCTTCATTTTTCTTCTGATCATCGCTGCCTACATTGGGCTACTCCCCCATAGCTACTATTCTAGTGTTCCGGCCCAGCTACAGCCTAATGACAAACTTCTCCATGTCGTGACCTTCTTCCTGCTGTCCCTAATCTTCTACTGGATCCCCGACACCACCAGGCGTCGCACTCTACATCTGACCCTGGTTGTCTGCACGCTCATCCTGGGCATTGGGTCTGAAATTGTCCAAGGTCTACTTCCCAATGGTCGCTCCTTTGATCCTTTCGACCTCCTCGCCAACATCGTCGGCAGTGTCGGGGCCGTTGGTCTCTGCAGCTGGTACCATCGGCGGATGTTGGAGCGACGACGCAAAGCTCGCTTCGGTACCCTGGGTGACGGTGCTGTAGATGATATCGAGCTAGGAGTTGGGTCCGGTCATCATGAGGACAATGAGGAGGGTCTCGGTCCGCAAGAATCGGGTGTCACGGTGCTGGAGCAAGAAGTCGATAATTGGGACGAAAATGCGGTCGACAACTGGGATACAGAGGATGGGTCAGAGCCCAGCAATATAGCACCGCAACCGTCAGATTCCAAGACGTCTCCTCCGGCTGTCAATGGGGAGGGAGTAGAAGGCAAAAAACGGAATGATTGATGATATCCCGGGCGCCCTTACCTTTATACTGAAAAAAGAAAAGAAAAGAAAAACATATCGGCGCCCTGTCCCGTTAATCGAGATCTTGCTTCCTCTTTCCTTGTCATCACTCTGGATCTCACGACTTATCTGATCTCATATCTGGTTATGTCTACGTCTGTCCTGATGTTTTATGTACCCGTCGCTTTTCTTCGTTCTTTCTTGTCTTACCGACTCTCTCAGCTTGGCACGTGAAGGGGAGAAATGACTTTGTATGAGCATGCCATGAGCACGTTTTGTAAGGAGGGATGTTGTATTCCTTCCATCCTGCCATCAGCTTTGTGCGCTTGTGTTTCTCTTATATACCAGGAATGGGCTAGCTCCTGGATGCTTTCTTTTCATCTAGCGCTTTTGGCATTGTATATAGAAACAGCAGAAAGACATGTCTTGATATCAAGACATCGGTCAAGTTTAATGGCAATCATGAGGATATGTCTACCGAACTACTCATCATATTAGTCAAATTGTCAGTAGAAATCATTAGAATCGGTTGTTTCAAGCCTCTGGAGTAGCAGAACAAAAACATACCGGTGGATTGCGTCTACTAATCTCTCATGCTAAAATTGAGACAACCGATTATGTTACACTAGTTCTAATGCTAGGTGCAGCTTGTAGAAACCTTGCAGGGGAACTGCGAAAGACGAAAAGACAGGACATTAAACGGCTGGAGACAATTTCTGTAGCGCCTCAAAGAATCTTGAATCGTGAAACCAGAACCGGGATAGCAGAAACAGCACTCTAGAGGGAGTAGAGATGAGACATGAGCATCATATATTCGAATATTCAGACATGACAACACGCATTATGCAAAGGTCAATATCCGTGGAAACAAATGCAAGATAAGTGGAAGCATGGCTAGTCGTCAAGGATAAGAATAATAAAGACAATCGACCATATAACATGGGAATGCTAAAAGAGACAAAACGAGGATAAGGAAACACATATACGCGAATATGAAAGATCACGATGTCGCCGTAGGTGAAACACCAAACGAGAAACAACTCTAGGAGCTGGATTACTCGTTGTCCGAAACCTCGGGTGTTCCCGACCAGCTCCTAGTAGGCGTCGTTGGATGGTCCGTAACGGGCTCCAGTTCTGGTTTGGCAGACGGTAGATACTCGGATTCATTGGATAGTTTGGCCATCTTCGTGGATCTTTCATCCAACTTTCGATCACCAGTACCGGCCGCCTTTCCTAGTTTCACATCGGTCTGCTCCCGTAGAACCTCATATATAAACTGCAGCTGCATCTCATTATAGACCATCATCATCCGTTGCTCACGCATTTGATTCACCGTCTCGAACACGGGGTCGGTGTCTTCATCGGTCACCTGCGACAACTGCCCCGACTCGAGTTCTAGCAAGAGATGGTCAAGGGCAATGAAGGTGCCTGTCCGACCAACACCAGCACTGCAATGGACAATGCGTGGGCTATCTTGGGGGCACTTGGAAGCTGATAGTTTGATAAGCTGGAGAAGTGCATCACGGTCTTCACCCTCTGGTTTGGAGTAATCTGCCCAGCCAGCAAAGAGAAAATGCCAAACAATCTTGGACTCGTCTCCAAGAGTCAGAAGAAGCTTACGGACCTCAGAGCGGGATCCCTCATCCCAGGTGGTTTCTAAAAGAGAAACCTGGCCTATATCATGTTCATCGGCTTCCGTTTGATCGTGGTCGTTGGTGAACGGGTCGTTTTGTTCCTCCACCAGAAGCATAGGAGCGTCGCTGTCGAGAGGGAAGTATTGCGAGCATTTTTCTCTCCCCGATTCGACAGTCTGCGTGAGCATCACAATCACGCCAACATCCGTGGTTTCGTTGAATACCATTTGCCAGAAGTGAGTAATATTTCCAAGCTTCGGTCCCTAAACCGGTACACCAAAAAAGACGTCAGTCGACCAGCTCGGGAATCAGACATATGGGCAAGCTGACCTGAGTTGCAATATATCTCCGTTCCTCCTCAGACACGGAATCCTTCAGACTGATCGGTGAGGCATTGATGAAGTCACACTCGCCGTCCGGCACTGGGAGGTGTATGCGAGAATTTGCCCATGCCTGCACATTGACATATCGATTTCTTGCTTTGACCTCGGGATCCCCTTCCAGAGCCCAGCGATGGGAAGGATCGTTGGTCAGCATGCCCTCCGCAATACGAGTCCTCTGTATCCACTCGAGTTCTTCGAATTTGTGATGAATTTCTGACGCAGCACCCGGGACGTTAGCGAAACGAAAGGATAGGGAGGGAGGGTATCGATTGCTGGATGCAGAACACACCTAAGACGGACTGGCACAGGAACGGAGGAACCAGCTCATTATCGCCCACCTCCAAACCAGGGTCGTCATTGTCAGCGCCATCCACGATCTCCAAGCCATCGTCGGGATCCTCGGGGAGGGCCCGCTTAGTGGCCTGTACGTTGGTATCGATCTTGATAGTGGGATGTGCCATCTTGGCCGCAGCGATCCTCTGGAAGGCCCGAACCTTACCCAGGACGCCGCGCGCCTTCTTTGAGACCCGCTTCCTAGTCGATACAAGCTTTCGGGGTCCGCTACGGAGGCTGACGGTGCTGGGGGATGGAGAGCGGGAGGGTGGTGCAGTGATAATTTTCCCCTCCGTAAAGCCGTCGGACGGATCGTCGCTTGCGCCGCCTGCGGGCTGCGGCAGGGATGATATCTGTAGTGTGGACAGATCGGGACAGCTGTGGAAGCTGCCCCTCGACGTGATTTGCTTGGCCAGATTTATAGATCTCACGGGGAAATTTTCTGCTGTAGGCTCCGAATAGTTAGTATATCCACAAAGGCCCAACAGATAATGTGAAGCCAACAGCACGACGCGACGGTGGTCGTAATTGTCGAAATGACGAGACAACAGTCAATGTATGTCGAATATTAAGATTAGGTATATGTATATGGATCGGAGGAGAAGGGAAAGGATTATTAATTATTATTTAAAAAAAGAAAAAGGAAAAGAAAAAGAGAAGAGGAGAGTGAAGCACAAGATAGAAAAGAAAATTATATATGGCTCTTCACAACACGCTTTAACAGGCGCTCCTCCCACACCGATCAATTGGACGTGACCAGCAGTCCAGATACCTCCAACAATAGAAGGCAAAGGAGTGGTAGATCGCAATTGGGGCCAGATGAGCTTGTGAAGAGAAAGAGAAAGAAAGAAAGAAAGCAAATAACAAAGAAATGACACGAAATGATTAAGTCAAAGGAGGGATTCAGACGAAAGAACAAAGTAGGAAGGAAGATCAGGCAGGATCATTCCTATGGACAGTGATGTAATGTTGATAAAAGAACCATCCATGCCCTGGAGGGTTATTATCCCATGCGAGATACAGTTGGTCACTTCCTGCAGCGAACGTTTATTGTTTCAGCGTCAACTAAAACCCTCCAAAATCGGGTGAAACTATTGGGAATTGTTCCTTCAACCAGGCAAGGATCGTAACCTTCTTAGTCATCCCTTTATGCGCGTTAACCCATGTGGAATAGCGTTGTACAGCAAGAACCAAATACAATACCAAGTCATGTAGGTGGTTATCACGTGGGTCGAACCCATCTCGCTTTGTTTTCTTTTCCCTTCCTTTCTACTCCCCAACCTCTCTCCATATTACTTGGTTCTACCAATTCAGTACCTCTAACAACAATTATTACCATTACTCTTTCCCTAGAGCAGAATGAGATGTCTAGAAAACTCTGTCTGATGATACATCTATTTAGGATATGATCAGGATACGATACTGTATAACGTATCTTGCTGATGGTCAATAACAGAGACTGAGATTCCATTCAAAAGCTCAATAAAGTTGCTCGGACTTCAGAATGACTCATTGGTATCCTCGCCTCTCCCACTAATGCTTGGACGATAAATACCCTGTCGGACACTGGGTGATCATCATTCGGGATCTTTCCACGCCGTCTCAGTTGCAGTCTTCATCATTCCGGCTAAAGATTGGGTTGTGTTTCCATTGCTCCGTGAGCTACATCCCTTGTTCCATCCGGAGATGAACTCTCCATTGCTCCATTCCACTTTGCTCAGCCAATCAGTTTCATCCTGTGATTGGGCTTGAAATTCGGAAGCATATACCTAGGTACATTATACCTTTATGAATCAAATTGTTCGAGTAAATCTTTTGCGACTGCTCCCTTTGTAGGACGCTTCAATTCGTCAATTCTAGTTCCAACCGGCGTTCGTCGAGGGATCGAATCTAATCATGCTTTTCAACGTTCTATATGTCCTCTTGCACGGGGCTACATGATGATCAACTGTACCCCTGCGAGGAATCCAGATATGTCACTTGGATGAAATATCTATCGTTAAGATGACACCTAGCACTTTTGTAAATTCCTCTTGTTTTATGTTAGCGTCCATAGTGCGGCCACTGCTTGTCAGGCTATGTGGCGCCAGTAATGCTGTCGCAATAGCTTGACTATCTTTGGCGCCCCATTTCCCTCGGCTGCTGCTATTAGAGGCTGCGTATAATAAAAGCTATCTCACCCTTCTTTCTCTACTTGCTACTGTATTGCGCATCTACATTAAAGGGGCACTGTATGTTCCTAATTCCCCTGGCTCCTCTATGGTACCCTCTATGCGTTTTAGCGAATTCATCCTTTTGTCTAATGATCTAGCTACACACTGGGAGTGACACAGATCGTCGACTAAAATGGGCTGTAGTGGTAAACCGTGTAGGGCAAGTTGTCTCCAAATAGCTGCCATCATCGCTTGTAAGTTTGTTGCACATTACAGTACATGGGTGGTGCTCTTCCAAACAATCTGAGTGAAGTGACCCCACTTCATGAAGTTGGTCATATCAGGCTGTGTATAATCCCTTATCCATTCTTTCTAGACGGCGTACTCTTAAAATATTCAAACAATTTCTACGTGCTTGCATTCCACAGCAGCGAGAAATGGGGTTGTACCCTCTCTATCCACAAACAATGGATCCTCACCTTACTACAACAAGAGACGGACAAATGTCTCTCGGACATTCTGGTCCCCAGCAGCTTGGTATAAAGAGGTTTGCCCTCCGCATCCGGTGCGTTGGGGTCGGCACCATGATCCAAGAGCAGTTGCATTGCAGCTTCACATTCTGTCAACGGGTTACCTCATTGTACCGCCACAGACAGGAGAATTGCTCCTCCACACTAGTGCCACGGAGACCTGGTGTCTGGATCAAACCCCATCTTCAGAAACATCCGCCACATCTCGTTGATACTATTGTGGAGATCAACACTGCGTTCCAACAGTATTTTCACCAGCCCTTCTTCGCAGACCTAGCAAGCAAGTGCCAACGGAGTTCAGACTCGCCTGTAGCCGCTCTCAAGCACTCTGAATTCCGGGTTAGCGCCGTGATCTGACAGCAGACGTACCACGGCTGGTTTCTTACTTTTGATCCCGGGAACTGGGGGAAATGACCATGTCCCCACCGACTTGCCGGTCGGGTGGTAAACCATGTTCTAACAACAATCATATGTTGTGCAGTGATCCCAATTCAGTAGCATAAGACAGCAGCCCACGTCCATAATCGTGTTTGATGTTGATGATGTCGGGATCCGGGGCATCAGCTGAGGCAAATCTACCGAGTTGTTTCGTGCAGCATATAGGAGAAGCGAAGAGTATGGGAGGATCTCAGGGTTTGGGTTGGAAACTCTCCGATCAAGCAGCAGCTCGACAATCCCAATATGACCGTTTCTCGTTGCCTCACACAAGGGAGAATACTCCGGTCTAGTAAGTATTTGAACCGGTCTTCCATGCCTAACGGAGCTGTAATGGTCAACAGAAGCTGAACTTCTGGATCCTTAGCCGTGATCTTGGAATCCACGTCAATCCTGTTCCACAGTACTTCAGAGATTGCAGTACGATCCGTCCGTGCTGCCTGTTGGAGGAGAGTGTTGTAATTGCCATTCAGGGGCGGCTCCGTGTCGATGCTCACGCCCTGTTCCAGCAGCAATTGAACAATTGCAGGATGTTGCGAGAAAGCAGCTAGTGATATCGGCACATTGTTGTCTTTATCTTGAGCGTTGAGGTCAGCCCCAGCCTCGGCCAGAAGCCTGACGACCTCTAAGTTTCTGGCGTCTTCTCTTGTTCCCCTCTGGCATCGATATCGCAGCCCTTATCGATGAAATCCTGACCACCACAAGCTGCGCGGCCCCGGCTGCCAACATTAACGGCCCCGCTGTCTCGTCGGCCCCCTTGCCATAGTCTAACACAGCCTCTAGCAGCAAGCGCATGACCTCGGTATGGCCGAACTATGTTGCCCATACGATCAGTCTTCACTTCCTGACAAGTATTCATATCCATCACTCGACATCCCAGATACATGACCGCACTTTTCAGCTTTCCAGTAGAGGCATCAGGATCCACAACAAACTCCAGCAGCAGGCGAACAATAGTGACATCTCCCTTCAGTGCTGCGATCGAGATCACCGCCTGGCTATCCCGAGGATCGATAACAGACGACCCATACAGAAATGGCGAAAGATCCTCATCTTGGGCTTCAGCTTCTGCATCCGCTCCAGCCTCCAGGGTCTTTTCGCAGTGTCATAGCAGCCACGTCGCACTGCCCAAATCTGCTCCCCCGGCGGTCTCCATACAAATTTCCCTGGTAATAATACCCAGACCACGGTTTATGGATGGCCATTGATCTGTGTGTATACGGCTTGGCCATTTAAAGCTTGTCCCAACATACTTGGCGGATTCTATGGTACGAATTATGTGTTCATATATGTACATTATTTTTGCTCTGCGAGAGCCTTAAACGCCTGCAGCAAGTCATTCTTCAAGTCCTCCCAATGCTCCAATCCGACGCTGAGTCTCAGTAACTTTCGATCCACTCGCGAATCCGATAACGCGCGCCATTCGATCAGAGACTCGACACCGCCGAGACTCGTTGCATGCTGAAAGAAGGCCAGCTTGCTGGGCAACACCCGGGCGTACTCTTCCTTCAGCATACTGATGGCGAACACCGGTCCAAACCCGTTTGGCATCTGCTTCCGTAACCAGGGTTCATCCTGGAGACTGGCATGGTGGATTTTCTGAAGAACTGTCTGGATGATCGCCTCGGCACTTCCCGGAGCAGGTGAGGGTACCGTCAGCGCACACTGCAGCCATGACACCAGATTACCGGAGTTCTGGCTGGCCCGTTGCACTCGAACTTCTAGCGTTCGCAGACTCCGCACCCCAAGCCAACTCTCCAGGTTCCCGATGACGTTGCCAATGGCTAGTCGGTCCTTGAAAAGCTGTTTACTCCAGTCTGGGCGCTTGGTCGCCAGTACCCCGCATAACATGTCACTGTGGCCGCCGAAATACTTTGATCCGGAATGCATGACGATATCTGCTCCCCATAGGAACGGGTCTTGAAGGCCTGGCGGCGCGAACGTGCTGTCGACAATGAGGTATGCCCCTCTCGAATGGGCTTTTTGGGCGTATTCCTCGATGCTGAATGCGGTTCCCAGCGGGTTGACGGGAGTTTCGAGCAGGATGACATCCCCCTCCTCGAGGCTGTCGGTCGGGCAGTCGAGGTCAAGTTTCTGCAACCCCGACAGTCGAGATATAACGCTGATCACTTCATGGCTACCGTGGTAGCCTTCGCCCACTGATATACGGCGGGGATTCATAAGGACCAGTGCAGCGTGCAACGCAGCCAAACCTGTGGCATAGCATATGGCTTGGCCACCTAAGAGGGATGAAAGAATGGCTTCGAATCGGGTTGCATTTGGCGCAAATTCCCGGGAGTATACAAAATTCTTTCCTTCAAACTCATCCTGGAAGGGGAAAGGCTTTAGACGTGTTTGAAGGACTAGGGAGAGAATACCTACAACAGGGTCCACGGATGGGACCAAGTCTTCTGGATTGCTGGGGAATCTGAATGTGGTAGATAAATGAATCGGGGGCGCAACATCAGTCACCAGATGTAGCGGATCATCGGCATGCAATGCACGAGTGGAGGGGTGACTGTTGGCTGACGGTGCCATTTTGTGTAGGTAATTGCGACAGAGCAAAGGCCAGCATTACGGACAGACAGGAAGAAAGAATTCCGCCCCCGGTATTTATATTCTGAAGCCCACTGATCCGGGACTGTTTCAAGGCGCGAGACTATCTGGTAACAGCAGTCCACTCCATATACGTTCCTAATCCGAAGACTGATTAGATATCATATTGCAGGGCGCCTTTCTATTGGTGGATAGTCTGCCCCACTCCCATTAATTTCCGAGAACAGTTAGAGCGATCTCGTCACACTATATTTCCTAATCGGGACATCGCAGAAGCATTTTGAGCTGTGCAGATCACTAGTACCGATAGGTAGGAGATTATGTTCATCATCCGAGCACACTCTATATTAGGAGCCAGTCTCGGCCCAGGTGGCCAATGTCGAATATCCACTGCGGCGAAAAAGGTTCCTGTTGACTCTCCTGTTGCCAGTATGCCTGCAAGATTTTGGCAGCATTGATCGTGTTGTAACATTGGGTAGCTGTCCAAAATTTTTCCAGACAGCCAACCAGAAAGTCTCTTTGAGTCTGCCATCGGCATTCCAAGCCAGCGATAAAGATTGGCCACAATATACACTTATATAGTTCGTCGTCTTTCAGTGCGCCGATCAGCTCGATAAGTTGACACACAAGGTTGTCCTGCGGACTAACATCGTTAGTATGAATATCGAGGACACGCTGTCCATATATAAGAGCACTGATCTTCCAAGTTTCGGACAGGGTACAAAGATTCTTCAAGTCTCTCTTCAAAGACTGCGGTTGTGGTAGACTTGAGGCCCAAAGATAGCAATCAAATTTCTGAATGGACTCAAGCACAGCGGTAATCTCTTGTACACGGTTATGGACGGTCGTTTTAGTAAGCGGCTCCAGGCCTGCTATGGCGTCTCTCTGGCGCAGAATATATTGTACTGCATTGAGAAGGAATTCTGGACACCCGACAAAGGACTGTTCGACGACTTCTGGCAGCTGCCTGCCGAATTGATCCAGGGTGGTGAATTGGGACAATAACCCTGGCCGCACAAAGGTGCCTCCAAGAGTTTCAACCCTAGTGAACAGTCAGTCACCTCCCATCCATCCCTCCAAGTGTTGGGGGCCAGCACACATACAAATAGATTTGTCTGGTGATAAAGTCTCGAATCTCCTGGACAGTTCGTCCGGCGCCTTGATTGACTCCAGTATGAGACCCGGGGGGCCGCTGATCTAGGGTGATCAGGTTCTTGGCACCCTCGAGGTGGAAGTTCCATTTGTCACTCCCTGATTCCAAGAGATCTAGAAAGATTAAAAGAAATACAGCGGCCAATGTGGTGTCCTTTCTATGCAAGGTGACATCATTCACAATGCGCGAAAGCCCTTGCACTGCTTGGTACTTGAAAATAAGGGCATCCCGGTGAGATTTAGTCGTTACAGGAGATGTCGCCACATCGGACTGATAAAAAGAGCGACCTGTGTTTGCTCGATGTCGAGCTGCGAGAGCGAGTGTCGCTTTCAGCAGGACTGGGTCATCTAGAGCAAGAGATATCAAGCTTCTAAAAGGGTTTCTGTCGCTATCATACACAATGAAAAGTCGACATATCCGTTCGTTATCTAGAACCTGATGTTAAACTCCAATTCAAGTCGAGCCAGGCTTCCGGGCATGCTTACAGTAGTCTAGGTAGAATCTAGTAGTTGCATCCAAGTTTGAGGTAGCAGGATCCTGCAGCACCAATGGCAAACTCACTGGGGGGCTACGAAGAATGCCTGTACAAGCCAAATTCTTGGTTAGTGTCAGAGACTATCAATGTTGACGAAAGATCAAAGCTCAGAGTGGCACCTGAAAGCAGATATATAACAAAGCTCTCACCATTTTGTTCAACCGGAGTCGTATCTATAGATTCAGCGAGTTTAGGTATTAAACCGGTCAGGGAGTCTTCCGTTCTCGTCGATGAATTTTCCGCGGTTTGTACTGACATTGCAGAGTCTCTTGTATCCTCGAACGTTAGTCCTTGCATCTTGCCTCGGATAGCCACACCCTTGACCCATCGGAGGGGCCTGGTTGCGAAACATTCTAGCCCCATCTTCTGGCATTTTATGCAAGGGACCTGCGACTGGTCGCATTGGATGCGCCGCCGGCGACAGGTATAACACGGGTTATACATCGGGTGCTGACCCATTTGAAAGGACGAAAGGTGGATAATGGATCTATGGCGCGTGGTAAAACTAGTGTTCAGACTGGCATCACACACCACTGGCCATCAAGGAGCAGCATTGGAAGATAGATGCAGTTGTTGTAGTTAGTTAGCCCCGAAATGATGACTGAGAAGATCGGTTGACTCCACAATTTCCCGTGATAATCATATGTCACATGACTGCCAATCGATACCACCTCTTTCTCTAGATCTTGTACGGATATGAGGTTATATGTTATGGCAGATGTCTAAGACCATGATTAGTCTTGTGATTGAATTCAGGGTCTTTTTCCTTGGTTGCATAGTGTTGTCGTTTTATGGCGTAGGGGAGTTTGCCAGCAATATGTTTTCTGTATACGCCAACACACGAGATAGATATATTTGATAGTACACAATACATATTGATGTGCTTTCTCCCTCTTCTCAAAGTTAAACGATGCTTCAACAACCAATAGCAATAAACCTCAAAAAAACCAACAAATAATTATTAAACAATCTTGCATATTGATAATAAGAAATGGGCATGTACCATTGCATTTTCTCAGGAGCCAGGGCTACTCAAGATAGTATAGACTTCAAGATTGGAGATCTTATCAGATAGCTTTAAAATACACATCTAGAGGAACCAAGACTATAAATGGTTCTATAGTAAATAAGCTAGAAATATCCGGATGAATAGCTTGTCGTGCAATGGACCCGCAGGGCCTTGTGAGGCTCTTAATCAGGTGAATGCCATGAGACCCTATTCAAGGCAAAACTGTATTCTAAGATTATAACATTCTAATCCGTTCTTCAAGATTGACAGTGTATCTGCATTCAACATTAATAACAATGGTTAGTCGATGTAAGATGGCAATCGGCCCCACGTCATCGAACCACTGCGAAAGCAATAGTATCCACTCTCCACTCCTCATACATTCCCAAAACGGAAGTTGATGGGAGATGCCCTGGCTTGACGAACATGACCACAAGGTCGCTTCACAGCGCAATTTCTGTCAGTTGAAAGACTTTTTCAGTATGAATCTACAGGTATCCACCGCCAAAGCTTCCTAAAAAAGAAGTTAAGCAGAGACGGCTGGGCATCTAGGCATCTTGTGGAAGTTGAGAGAGACCTGTTGGATCTCTTAGTGCGAATCTGCAGATTTAACTTGTCGTCCTGTTAGGCTAGTACAGCGATGCTAATTTATTTAATCCAGGATCTTCTTGTTCGGTCACATTTTTCTTCCTTCTACATCGCGGATGACACGTCTTCGCTTAGAAATACTCCCGATGCCCTTTCTATGACGATGGAGAAGCATATATATCAAAGATCCTCGAACAAACTTATACGGACGGATATCCAGCTTACTACAGTTAATATATTTCATCCGAGGATATGGAAACAGTTACATATGCCTCGACTACTGTCGGGGAACCCAGTGAAAAGAAATTGGAAGACGCGTCGTTAGCACAGCAAGGTCTGGAGCATCTAGAGGGATTCTCAGATGCCGCTTATATCGAGCAATTAGGGCGACAACGGCCGCCATGCTTCCCTAATTGGTGGTCAGAACTGACCTTTTGTTTCTCCATTATGATGTCCCAGATTCTTGCAGTACGTCGCTCCCTCGATATGGAACCCAGAAGAATGCTAACAGTCCCCGACAGGAATATTACATCTCGGGCTCTAATGTGCTTCTTCCAACCTTGGTTAAAGAATTGCATATCCCTGCTGCTTCGACCATATGGCCGTCCACAGCATTGTCCCTTGTCGTGACATCGACGCTTCTCATATTTGGTCGTCTTGCGGATATGTATGGGGGATACGTCCTATACGTGGCAGGGTTTACGTGGATGATCATCTCTTCTATTCTAGCCGGCGTCTCACAGTCGTGGCTGATGCTGCTTATCTGTCGAGCGCTCCAGGGTTTGGCCCTCGCCTGTTTCCTCCCTGCGGGCATGATGATCTTGGGCAGTATATATCGACCTGGTCCCCGGAAGAACCTGGCGTTCAGCATCTACGGGGCTTGTGCAGCGCTGGGCTTTTTCACAGGCATCTTCTTCTCTGGCCTGTGCAGCCAGTATCTCACTTGGAGATGGTACTTCTTCATTGGTGCCATTCTCTCGGCGATCACCACCGTCTCGTCGTATTTTTCCATCCCGAGTGACTATGGCGAGAAAAGGAAGTTGGGGATTCAGATGGACTGGGCAGGGTGTTGTCTTTCAGTTCCGGGCACCGTCTTGCTGGTCTTCTCCATAGCAGAGAGCTCCTTTGCTCCCCAGGGATGGCGAACGCCCTACATCCCCGTATGTTTCGTGCTGGGGGTCATATTGCTGGGGATCATGGCGTATGTTGAGGGATGGGTGATGCCGAACCCGCTTCTTCCGGGCGATATGTTCCGAGTCAAACACATGACGGCTCTGGTCTTCGCACTGCTTTTTCTCTACGGGAGCCTTGGGACATTTCTTCTCTATTCGGTGCTCTACATGTCCAATATAATGGGGGCCACACCCCTGCAGATAGTCGCGTGGACTGTCCCCATGGCAGCTGGCGGCCTCATCATCTCAGCGATTGGGGGTCTTGTTTTCCACAAAATATCCGGAACGATAGTCATGCTCATCTCCTGTCTTGGGTACGTGGGCTCTGGGATCCTTTTTGCGGTGATTCCGATCGGCGGAAACTACTGGGCTTTTGTCTTCCCGGCAATGATCTGCGGTACCATTGGCATCGATATCAGCTTCAACCTGGCCAATATCTTCATCACCACGAGCATGCCCAAAGCCAGACAGGGGTTGGCCGGTGCCTTGATCAACTGTACCCTCCACCTGGGGATTGCCCTCATGCTGGGGTTTGCGGACATCGTGCAGACCCAGACGAAGGATCTCGAGCGCAGTCAAAGCTACAAGGCGGTGTTTTGGTTCCAAACAGGGCTGGCCTCCACGGGTCTACTGATTGTGCTGTTCTTTGTGAGGATTCATCATGCGAAGAGTGATCTGACAGTGGATGAGAGACAGGCACTAGCGGCAGAAGCTGCTCGTTCCCCTTCCTCGCAGTAGGGTTGGGCTTGATGATAGAATCACAAATAACGGAGAGCTAGAGAATACATCGCCTTGGCTGAGGTCTTGTAGTCTTGTTAAACCCTGTCGTGCCATGGAGTTCAAATTATTGCTCTCGAATGAGGAATGCCTCCTAGGCATGAGACTTTCTGAAGCCGTCCGCGTGTACGGAGTATATACGCTATTCTAAGCTACATTACATTTAATATGGAGTTGTTTTGATAACCAATATGACCACCGGGCTTCAGAGGAACCCGTATGACGTGTCACCGAGCTGGGTATACGTATCTATTTTTCACCACGGAAGTCATGTAGTTAGCCTCTCTCCATAATCGCTGAAATGGGAAGTCTCGTTTAGGACAGGCCTTCTCCCATCGCCCCATCATTTGCTCGTATGAACCGATGTCGCTTTTTATACCTCGTTGTATGGTTCTTTATAAGCGCGTAAGGAACTAAGATATTGTGCAGAGTGCATACGACAGCGTATTTTCGCAGGATCTAAAGAAATGAAAATTCTTAGTCCGCATCAGAGTCCACTGTCCTATTCCGTAATATAAGTATGGATCCCTCGCTTCGCTAGAGTCACTGTAGCCATGTTAATCTGAGCTTCAAGATATTATACGGAGTACTGAGTGGAACCGATACCGCCCTATGGATGGGGATTGGAAATCGAGACCCGGGGAATGTCCGACAGTGAGACCTCTGTTTCGTGCTCTTGCAATGGACTGTAACCCATAGTAGTACTCCGTCGAGTCCGTCCTCTCTTCCCTCTTATCCGATGGGTTACCTGGGTTAGTTATGGCTCTGGGATCTCGGATCGTGGCGGGCCAGGAAACCTCGGAGAGTGGAACCGGCCATTTGAGACAGCACTGGGAGAGAGAAATAAAATGCCGGGGATTCCGGTGCGGAGAGTGGATATTAGGCCAGGGGAATGTACATCCTTGTAGAGTGTAGTTTTGATGATGTCTTAGGAGGCAGGGTGGATATATAGACGTATCCGACCTCCATTGGTATGTCGGCTCTACTCCGTGAGAACGAAGTCAGGAACAACAACGTGGACGGTCGGAACCACAGAGAATGCAACCCTGGAATGCTGCCTCAGGTTCCAGCAGGTATGGTTGACATAAGCAGGTGGTCTTAAAATAGGCACAAACAAGAGGACTCCCTTAATTCTGTGCTCTGACTCCCAGGGCATGGATCGTGCAGGATTTTCGACTAAGAGTGTATTGAGTATAGCCTGATACACTATACAGTATATACTCCATAACTACTATGTACAATGCATATACTCCTAGTCCAGGCGAGGCTAGTGGCGATAGTAAAGTACTGTAATCCCAAGAAAGATCACTGCCTAGTCAGGCGTCCCGCTACGCAGATTCTAGCCTAGTCTGTTTCAGTTGGCATCCGTTGATTGGTGATAGTGACGGGCTGGTGCAACGCTAGATCCCCACCACCTCCTTTTTGGGGATTTTTTTGGACCAGTCACAGTCACGGGCACCCGAAGTTGCGCAGAATTCCTTAAGGCTGCCAGACTTCCCTTTCTTGGGATTGTCTTGTCACTTGCACACTCACTCTCACGCTCTCTTCTCGCTTATTCAATCTCACTCCCTCATCTTCTTCTTTCCATCCTCCTTTCACTCGTTTCTCATCCATCGTGCCTCCTTTTGTCTTGACCACATAATTTACCTGCGTACTCCGTCCATACACACTATATTGACCTAGTCATTCGTTTACCCCTTTTGCGATCGTTTGTTCGGTTTCCAGTCTCGCCCAAGCCTCTCGCCTTAGACCAGACCGACCGCGCCCGTCATATCTATCTGCTCAGTTCGAAAACCCTCGATCGATCGTGACAACGCCTCAAGGGCTTGATCATCTGTTTGCCCACTATGCGAGTCGCTCGTCTCTCGTTCCTCCTATACTCCCTGTCCCTCGTGGCCGTCGTCGCCGGTCAGAGTACCGGTGTGACCGTGGGCGGAGGTGGAGGAGGGAACGGCATCACTTCTGGGAATGCTGCTCCCACCACCTCGGACGATCCGCCACCCAAGACTTCGGCTCCAGAACCTACCGATAGCGGCTCGACGACGAGCGATCCGGGGCCTACAGCAACAAGCACATCAGAAAAGTCATCGAAGTCAGAAACGCCCTCGAACACAGAAAAACCCCCTCCAAAGACTACCGAAGAACCCACGAAACCAACGACACCCCCCAAAACCAGCGATAAAGGAGATTCTACCACAGACAGTGGCTCGAAGCCCACCTCGGACAATACTGCAGATACCTCCACAAAGACTACCCCCACTCCCGATCCGAAGACGATTACCACAATGGTTACTGTGAGTGGAACGCCAGTCCAAACCACGTTAACCTCCACCCCTTCGGACCCGAGTGCTTCGACCGAGTCTCCATCGCTCAATGGGACCTCGGGGGAGAAGCAGAGCTCTGGTCTCTCGTCGAACCAGAAGAATATTATCATCGGTGTCGTGGTTGGTGTGGGTGGTGCCATCCTGATCGGTGCTCTTGGCGTGGTCGCTTGGAGGATTCGGGCCCGCAAGCTCAGTGCCCGTGAGAATGACGAAGTTACCGACCTCATGAGTGGCACTGCTGTCGGTGCTGGGGCTCGAGAGAAAGCCCCCAGCCCGGGAGCCGGCGGAACGCCTTTCAAGAGCACGCTAGACCAATACCATAACCCGGGCCCGGTCAACGCCGCTTCGAACTTCTAAGTCGCCCGTTCCCCAAAGCCTGAGGGGGTCTGTATTTTTCTGTTCTTTTCTTCCTCTTGTTCAATCCAGTCTAGATCTGAACGGAGAGCAACGGTACATCACGGTCCCATGGACCGATACTTGAAGTTTGTACGACATTTTACGCAGTTTATTGGCGCTTGTGGACGAGGGAACCATGGTTGATATTTATTTTTTTTCCTTTTCTTGATGCGTTGTATGTCTGCCTCAGGCAGCATGCATTTCTTCTTTGTCCCTCCTTAGTTGCTTTGATGTTTCTATAGAATGCCTGTCATTCCGAGATCACGCTCCTTTATACCATTACAGCGATTCTGTTCTAGCGTTTGTGGTTGGCATGTTATCCTTGATTCCCCGCTCGAAGCTCCTGATTCTTCCCCCGGGATACTGAACTGTGGGGGTTTCTGTCTCACCATTTATTTTCTCTTCGAAAAGTTACATTTTTCTCCTGATATGTATTTAATCTGTGACAGAAAGAACCTTCAGATTTCCTTACTTCCGTCTTCTATGAGGCAGCGTAGGTTGGGATGAGTAGGCTGAAATTGGCCGGGACAATCGAGTACCTACAGTATAGCCGCCGGGATGAAACGACTAAGAATAGCAAACAGAGACAAGGACGCCTCCGTGTCTAATGGGTGGGGAAGCGCCCATTCCACTTATCTGCCTACAATGACTGGACGGCTGCATGATCGTCCTCGCCAGCCACAAGCAAGGGTGATTGATTGTGGTAGAATCATGAGCCTTGCCCGTCCGTCACGGAGGGATGCTGACCGCACCGCATGACAACGACACGACAATGACAATGATAATGGCACGATCGAGACCCGGTCTGCTGATCTACGCGCTTCTATCCCGCATGATTTGTATCCAAGGTGTTGACGCATTCGGTTTCGATGCGTTGGCCTTGGTGCATAAACCAGCTACTCAGGTTAAACGGCAGGTGAGCTAGCTATTTTTTTCCTGTCCCACGTCGTCGAAAATGTATACTGGATTTCCTGGATGGGAAGTCAGACTCTTACGTCTGGTTGAACATATCAAGATAGGTTCCTGGGATTTTTGAAGGTGTTTGATATCCGATTGGAATCGAACACGTCACATCGTATGAGTGTCTATCGGCTGACGTCGACGTAGATCATCGAGACGGGAAACCCCGAGAGACGGGTAGATGGCGACTTTGTATGTTATTTTGTTCCTGTGTCCTACTCACTCGGATGAATTGCTAAACTGCGTGTAGGTAGAGTATGAATCCGGCGGCGGAAGAAGGTTGTTCACAAAGGAAATACACCCGGTTGGCCGTAGACTGATGTCTGTTTAGCTGTGGTGATCAATTCGATATCTGTCAAGGGGTGAGTATTTGGTCTGGATGATGGTTTCCATCGACTGAACTGAAGTATAGCTCACAAATGCCGATACTTCGTTGTCAGTCCCTCCGGATTGTCAGAGACAATTGAGTAGGTCCGTATCCCATTACTAGATCCCCCCTACTGACATCTGTTAATAGCAATGTGCCTGTCCGTGCAGATCAGCGCACCAATTGCCATTCCGAGTGCTGATTTAGAGAGGAACACCGTGACTGTCATGGCCCAGACTAGGATCCCATACGATGAAGAGTTTGATCTGGTGTGTGATCTGTAGCATGTACAGTACTTAGTACTCGATAGGAGATTTCGATGGACTGTGGACGTGCAGCCTGAGGAATGTGGAATGCTATATGACCCGGTCGGGACTAGCATGCCAAGACTTGCTCGCTCGACGCGTTCAAACTACGCGGTGGATGGCCATCTATCCCATCTATCTATCTACTCTATCCAATACTCCTGTCTTTCTGTTATCTTCGTTCTCTTCTATCTGTCTACGGAGTGCAGAATACTGTATCACACACATCCATACTTAAGTTTGACTCCGGAACAGAACCAGTAATTTCACCTCAACCCTTCAAATCATCCTATTATCTACATCCTCCACCATGATAGCTGCACCTCCCATGCATCAGCAATTCTCCCTATCTGGATCTTCCCATTACGTGCCCGTGCATGCATCACCTCTGTCGCCGCTTCGCTCGTCCTCATCCGCATCTTCATCTTCGCACTCCGAATCCCAATCCCAGTCCCAGTCCCAGTTCCGGTTCCAATCCCACCCCTCAACGCCAAACACACAGTCAACAACGACGTACCAGACTCAGGCCGGAACACAGACACATACACAATCACAAACAGAATTCCAAACAAATACAGCAACCTCCACCCGCTCCAAAACCTCCCCCTCCTTCGCTCAACGCTACGCCACCACGATCTCGAACCCACTATCCCGCACCCTCACGACGCCCACTGCGCGTCGCACCCTATTCTTGAACCGAGTCAGGCGCGATCGCCATGATGGACGCTTCGAGACCCGTGGCGAGCAGCTGGCGCTCATGGAACATGTTGCCGAGGAGCGGAAATGGGATGCATCCATGAAGAGACACGCGGATGGAATCTTCGAGGGGTATTTGCGGGACTTGGAGACTTCTGAATTTGAACCAGAATTTGAATCCGGCGATGGGAGTGAGATTGGGGATGTTGCGGGTATGGATCTCTCCCACCTTTATTGGTAATTATGGCTAATGAATTGTCAGCTCTGGATGAGTATCTAGCGCAGGAACATGCCGAAATGGACCTCTTCACTTCTGGTCCCAGTTCCGGTCCCGATGGTTCGTTCAGTGACGAGGAATACGACCATATCTTTATGGATTTGGTACATTCTACCCAGGATATGGATATGAGCGGTTGATTTAATTTACTGTTCTTTTTCGGGTACGGTTTACTGGTAGGCGTTATCAGGATCTAGGCAAGTGATCGAGTAAATAGGGTATCGACAAATATGTACAGAGCAATGCAGCTATATAGAATAATAAATCTAATATGCAGAACAGCTTCGACCGTAGCTAGCTACCTTCTATTGCTGGGGACAGTCCGGCATTCCCCCAGCGCCCGCGCCCTTCGGATCGTCCAACCAGGGATTAGACACGAGCTCATCCGGCGGGTTGCCTGCAGATTGCATCTGAATCATTTGTTAATTATGTCTCTTGACGGCACCGAATTGAATCGAATCGAATAAGAATCAGAGTACTCACCGCTTGCATCTTCTCCCAGACGTACTCTCTGCACTTGGGATCCCCATCTGTATAACCCGGTTCTTCGAATTTGGCCACGATCTCGCCCACAATCACGGCCTGGGTCTCGTACCGACTCATGTCCTCGTCGGAGACCTTCCCTTTGCCCTTGTTTTCAGCGATCCAGGGCCCAAACTTGGTATGGAGTTCCTTCATTGGCTCGTATAGCATCTCCTTGTTGGACAGCTGCTCCATCATGCCCATGAACATCTTGGTAAGATCTCCCTCGTCGCCGGCGCCCGCCGTCCCAGCCTCCACGGCTTTGAGCAATTGCGCCATCAGATCATCGGAGATATCGTCCTCCGATGCCGCGGCCGTCGCCTTATCACCGGATTCCTTCATCCGGTTGATCGTGCGTTGGATCGCATCGTTAAATGACTCCGGTGATGGCGCGCCTTTCTGTCCATCGTCCGCCACTGCTGCTGCCGGGACCCCCGCAGCACTTGACCCAGCGGCGCCAGCGCCAGCGTCCTCGGCCATCACGTCCGCAAGAAGCTGCTTGATAAAATCCCCCGGGGGAATGCCGCTTTCCTCTAGTTGTTTCGTGAAGGCGTCCGCGCCCTGCTCGATGGTGTCTCGAAACCCTTGGGGATCGGCAGCGCCGGATTCCGGCGCCGCTTGACCCATCATATTGGCCATGTCCTTTTCGAGTTGTCTCATGAACGCTTCTTCGTCGAAACCCTCGGCGGCGGCATCGCCAGTCATGGTTGGTGCGGGGACATCCTTGCTGGGCGCCGCTGGAGGGGCGGGTTTGAAGTTGTCGAGGACCTCTGACGATAATTAGTGGGGTGGATGGGAATACGAGGGGTAGGTTATACGTGTTAGATATCCAGGGGCGGGGTAAGGAAATTGGACTCACCGTCTAAATCGTCCAAATCGGAATCATCGTCATCCTCGTGAGTCGCAGCGGTTTGATTCGATGGCAGCGTCTGGGATTGATCCGGGGATAGGGAGGCCTGGTTCTCTGCCGCGTCGGTTGCCGTGGACGGGGAAATCGGTTTCCGTTCGGTAGAACCTGAATCCTCACGTTGGGGATCGACTGCGGGGGGCGACGAGGCCATGGTCAAGGAGTTGCACGATGCAGAGGATACAGCAGAGGAAGAAGGGAAAGGAGGAGTTGTTGGTGGTGGTGGGATGGGTCATGATGGTTTCTTGCATGTGAAGGGATTAATTCGCTTGGAATAACTCGTGGCAGCGGGATGAGTAAGCCGTGTGGGCGGGGAGCCGCGGCATCTAGTTGCAAGAGAGAACGAATAAGATGAAAAGTTATAAGAATTATAAGAGAAGATATTGATTCTACTCTTGCAAGTTTTGTATAACGATCCACATGAATGGGTTAGACCTGATGACAGAAACATACTGAGAGGAATAATCTCCTCCAGCATATACTCCGTAAAAGTGAAGTGACCGGAGATTCCCCAGTCAACACTTAGCGAACCGTCCGAAAGGCGCCTGTCGATCTCTTGGCCAAGCGTCGCCTTGATCAGACCATGTCAGATGATCGCACCGAGTGATCTGGCGACTCCGGAGAATCTCTCGGTTCAAGGTTGTTTAGGACTGAGTATATTGTGTAGTCTGAGACTGTCTGATACTATAGTGTGCACTGTACTCTGGCTGGAGAGATACTAGAGTATCCTGAATCTGAGTAGATTGGTGTTATATCCATATTCTGGAGTCGAGATACAGTCCTGCTACTCCGTACTAATTAAGGTAAACGGAAAACTCTGATGCCCAAGTGACTTTCGCAGCGGGCCTTCTCCGCGGACAAAGAGCGCGACGATTCGACGGCGGCGTCTCCAACAGCTAGGCAAGAGAATACTACGTCTCCTCCAACTCCCCGTCATGGTCTGAGACTGGACAGGAGCTTCCGACTGGCGTCTCTCCCCCTCTCACGGAGGACTTCGGTCTGTGTGCTCTCCACTCGGGGCTGCATGGAGTCAAATAGGCGACCCGGAGGGGTTTCATTCGTAACTAGTTACGGAGTAGGTACTTAGTAAGTAGGGTTTACCAGTATCCATACACCATACTTTTCTTTGATCAAGAATATATATACATATCTTATATTACATATAATATAAAAAGAGAAATAATAGAATGATAAATACATGATAATAGTAAAGAATAATACACTGTAAGTAATGTAAGTATGGAAATATGTAAGATCAAATAAAGGTGGATATCCCGCACCACAGCCAATCACTACCCGTCCCTCCTCCCACCCCCTCGTCTGGCTTCCCTAAATGGCATTAGTCCATATGGGAGAACCTTCCATGCCACGCTTGTCTCTCATCTTTTTTTTTTTTTTTTTTCTCCTCATGGATTTTCCCTTTAATAACAAACCGGTTCTTTTTAGTAAATAATTTTACCTCACATCTTCCCACCTTTCCCCCCCTTCTTCCTTTCCTTCCTGTCTGCGGGCTGGTTATCTCTTTATCCATCATCAGTTTTCTTTATGTCACGCCTTCTGCTGGCCCTCTTGCTAATCGCTCCCTCTGCTCGCACGTCCCTTCTCACCGCCTTGCCGCGCGTCTGCGTCTGAACGTGTTCGGGGAAATACTTCCTATTCTTTTTTATTTGATTTTATTTATTACTTTTTTTTTTTTTTTTTATTTCCTGGTGGCTCGCTTTGCCCTAAAAGGGTGTATATGGTGATCGTCATCAGGTTTGGTGTATATCTGGGGAAATTTGGATGTGATTGAGTTGATCTGGTCAAGAAACACATTCTCTCTCTCCTTTTTTTTTTTTATATTTTTTTTATACCTTTGTTCTCTCCACTGTTAAGGTGATTCAACCTACGTAAGGGGAGGGCAAGAAAAAAAAAAAAAAAGATACACGCACAAACCCCAGATTCGCCAGCTTCATAAAATCAATTCGCTCTATATCTCCGCCCCCATAATTCCAATGGTCTCTATGGTTGAAACATCCCATTCCCATCAAAATGACCTGGAGGTCGTGCCTAAACCCGAACCTCCGGTCGAGGGATCAATCAGTTCTGCCGTCTCGACGCCTGAAGCCGAAGGTGAGATACTGACGCAGGACGTCGCCCAGACACAGAAGCGAAAGGGAGGCCGGAAACCTGTACGTAAGAAAATCTTTTTTTTTTTTCCCGCGTGGTTTGTGAGCGACAAATCCGGGGCCCCGCCTTGTTTATCAGTGATCATCTACATCCTCTATCATTATCCTATTACTATTATCCTTCTGTCCTTATCTGATTCCTTTCATTATGCTCCATCCTTATCATCCTGGATCTCCCGTTCTCTTCTCATTAACCACCCCCAGATCTATGCCACCTCCGAGGAACGCAAACAGCGCAATCGCCAGGCCCAGGCGGCCTTTCGCGAACGTCGCACCGAATACATCCGCCAGCTCGAGTCCACCATCAAGCGCAATGAAGAAACCCTGCAGACCCTGCAGCAAAGCCATCGTACCGCCGCCGACGAATGTCTGATGCTGCGTTACAAGAATTCCCTCCTGGAACGCATCTTACTGGAGAAAGGTTCGTCCATCTGGTCTCGTCCCCTCGTCCTACCCATCCTAATCGTCCCGGTAGGTATCGATGTGCAAGCCGAACTGCGACTGAAAGCTGCCGGCCCTGCGGGGATCCCCGGTAAACTCAACCCGATGGCTGCGAAACCACCATCGCTGGAACGCGCCGCCATAAATCGAAATACCGCCCAGAGACATCCGACCGGGATCGCCCCCAAGGGAGAGCAGTTCGGCTTGTCGCAGAACCGGGAGGGTGCATATGGGATCCCGTCGCCGCAGTACCATGCTACCCCGTCGTCACATGTCTCGTCGCCCTCCCATGCCAAATCGCCCGGCTTTGGCTTCCAGGGCGCCATGTCACCCATCGGCGTCGACCAGCCCCCATCCCGGTCGCAGATGTTGTCCCATTCTCGCAGCATAAGCCAAGCCTCCCCCCCGTTAAGCGTCGGTCCGTCCGAGTCGGGCGATCCCAAGCCCGCAGTGCCGGGTACTTCAGGCCCCCGAGGTCCCCGTCTCCCATCGGCCTATTTTCCGTCTCCGTTCCAAAAGCATTATGACCAATTAGGTATGCACCCTTTTTTTATTTTATGATTGTATTCTCGGGCTGACTAAGGGTATACAGAACAGGAATATGACGCTCAAGCGGATCTGATCGACGAGGAACATGAGTCGTCCGTGGGCGCATCGCCATACATGCCTGGCTTCAACTCGGCGCAATCGGGCTCCCATGGGATCCCAGGGCCTTCGGGCATCGGCCATTTCAGTGCGCACGGGAACGAGGGATCCAACGGAGCGTACAACAACAATCAGATCTTGGGCAACTACGAACCGATGCTGGATGCCGATCCCTTTGGTCTCAGCGCCAGCATGCATTTCCAGACCCCGTTCAGTTACGAGCAAAATAATACGCGTCATTAGCCTTTACGTTTATCATACGAAAGCATCTCGAATTAGTCTTTTTTTTTCTTTATTATTTTTTATTTACACCGTGGAACCGGAAGACAAAAGTTCTCTCTATCGTTATACTATGGAGCATTTCACGGCGTTTGCGGTTGATACCATTTGATTTTCGGCACTGATTCGTGCGCAGCATGAAGAGAAGATGGTGTAAAACAAGGCAAGGAAAGGAACGGATAGGAGAAAAGCAAAGTGATACATTGAAAAGAAAGAAGAAAAAAAAAAAAAGTGAAGATTGAAGGATTAAAAAGAGCCAAAAAATAATACTATTATACATTTGATGTACATGATTGATATCTAGCATAATGCGGTATGATTCCATCGTCAGCCAGACTGCCGAGCAGTCAATTTGGAAGAACACTGGATTTGAACATATGAACGGTTCTGGAGGGGTATTTCTTTAGTTGGTTTTTATTCTGTTCTGTTCTATTTTTTATTTTTGCAACTGCTTGATGCATACGGGGATGATGACGGACCTGTCTTTCTGGTTTCGATTCTCATCTATACTAGGATCTTATTCTAAAGCATGAGTAATGGATCATGACTGAAGTTGCTATTCTCTCGTAGATAGACTGGTTTGAACTAGAGTTTCATATACATATAGCTACTACACCACGTACAATGAATCAATAAAATGAACCAGTGGATGCATGCATGCATGCATGATATGAATCATCAAGACCCCAAACTCTCCGACCGACTCAAACTCAGACTTCGACTGGCGAGTTCATCATCGGGCATAGCGATACCCACACGGAAGACACCCTCGCACCACTCGGAGAACGTATCGACATCCCAGACGGCGTCTTCGTGGCCCTTACCCTTCCTCGTGCTTCCGGGGTGACGGCCCTTACTCTTCTCAGCGGCAACGTACTGGTCGAAGAAATCCTCGTAAATCTGGATCACGCGGTCCTGAACGGCGCCTACCAGAGTCTCTTTCATACGGGAGTCGTGAAGGTAATCTGCAAGGATCTTGCGCAGACGAGGTACCTCAGACTCGAGGAGACGGCAGGTGGGGAGGATGAGTTCGCCGCGGTGCAGATTGCGGTTGCGGGTGTCGATGAATTGGGATTGGGCGGGGAGGGAGGCGGTCATTGTGGTGGCGAAGCTGTTGATGAAGTCGTTGATGACGGTGCGGAGACGGCCATCGAGCTCGACTTTGGCGTCTAGCATGTTCTCCACCACGCGCGGGAGGAGCCCGTGGCCGACGAGTCGTATCAGATTGCGCGGGTTGAAGAGTCCCCCGCGTTCGCGAAGCTCCCAAAAGGTGTTTGTCATGCCGGAGAAGTCGAAGGAGACTTCGGGAGTCACATATTCGATGTCGAACGCGACGATCTGTTGCTTGAGGATGAGTAGGTGGCTCATCAGGAATAGTTGTCCGTCCATGGCGGATTTGCTGCTGATCAGGGAGCTTGCGTGCTGAAGGGAGGCAATGGTCTGGTGCACGATTTGGTGTGCGAGATCGTCGAAGACAGTGGACTGGAGGTGATTCTGATTAGCTTCAACCGATCTGAAACCATGGCAGGGGATACGTTAGTGTACATACATTAACCAGGCGATAGATCCGACTTAGCAGCCATATGGCTTTCCGCAGAGTGGGATACCAACCGCTCAGCGCGGTTTGGGACTCCAAGTCCCACTTGGAATCTTGATCCGGCGGCGAGTCCGTGTCATCCTCTGCTTGGTTTGCCGAGCTAGACAGGCTGACCAGTGTATCGACCGGTGCAACCTTCCGCCCAGAGATCTGTCCCTCAGTCACGGATATGGAAACGGGCCGGTTGCGTGCTGGATAGTCCAGGTCTTCTGGACGGGGTTTGTACCGTTCGATTTCATCGCGGAGGAAGGCCTGTGCGCGGAAAACGAGACGGGTTTGGACATCTTCCAGCGCGGGCTGAATCAGGGAGGAGAAATCCAGCTGGTTGGCGTCCGTGTGCTCGGTCTCTTCGTCCTGGTCTAGTAGATAGCGCGTCTGGAGCAGAGTGCAAAGTTGGCAGAGCCTGACGATCTTGTCCTCGTGTATGATCTTAGGTCTGAGGCGATCATAGAGAGGCTCGCAGATCGTTTCTAGAAAGTCGTATAGACCCCCTTGCCCGTGGAACCACTCTCCCCAAAGATCGAACTCGTCCAAACATACTCCACGCACGTAGCTGATGCTTCCGCGAGCGAACGCGACGAGATCCTTTGAAGTGCTAGGGGCCAGCGCAATATCGTTGAGGTTCTTGTGCACCAAGGGTACAATTAGCTTCCCGCGTGTGGCTGCGTAGTTTGCGTGCAGTTCATTGAGGAGACTTTGGTATTCGGCTTCTGCCCCTTGGTCTGGGTCCAACGGAGGGACGGCTCTTTTTTGAATCTCGAGACCAATCTGTTTCAGTTCCGGCGCGCCAACTCGAAATTTGGCATAAAGCAGGGCGGACATCGTGGTGTCGTTGAGTTGTTTGTCCGCAATCTTCTTCGAGGCGCTTACGTACACGTCTCGCAGAGCTGAGACGAAATGTCCTCGGATAAGAGTAAGAGCACGGGTCATCAGCAGTCTGTACCTGGAACGGTAAACACTGGCCTCCTTCTGATCGGGCTGCGAATAAGCAAGTTAGCAAGATGGATGATGCTCCCCCGGAAAAATACCAACATGCGTCTCCATGTAGTCCAAGCATTCGTCAAGCCGTCTGAGCATATCGGAGAAGTCCTTCCCGCGAACAGTATTCCCAGCACCGGGAGCATTTAGCCGTCTCGAAGCTGGGTCTAAGAACTCATAGTACTGGAGATTCTCTTGAATATTCGATGCCAATTCCGAATCCCGTTTCTGAGCAGAAAGGAGCCCTTCGCACTGTTTCTGGAACTGGGAGGTTTGCAGCTCGACCGCCTGGAAGTCTTGGGACAGGCTGCTCAACAGGTTCAGGGTAGATGAGGTATCCGATAAGAGCGAGTCCAGATGAGATTTCGACATCTGGAGTTCATGGAGACAGGCTCTAATTGCCCACCATGGTCAGCCTCTCTTCACGATGCTTCATCCGCCCGGCAATGATTTCGCGATGCTTACTGGTATTCATCATAGCTGGTCTCCAGCAAACTATCCTCCACTTCATTATACCACTCAATGAAATCCAGCTCATTGTGAATATCCGTCAACGCGTCTAGGTCCTCCGGCACTGTCTCTACCTCCTGGGCTTCCTTGGCCTGGAGTGCTTGAGGCGGGTGAGACGGGGCTGTCTGCCGACGAGATCGCCGTCCTGTAGCCTGTTGGCGCATGGTGAGGAAGAACCGTATGTGCTGGACCGTATGCCCTAGTCTCAAAAGGAGAGAAGCCGGAGTTTGCCCATCAGCAACCTTATACCGACAGCAAGCATGGCAAGTCTCCAATCAAATCGTGGCCGATCCAATGCGGTATTCTGCCGTCGTCCTCCGCCTCCGCTACTGACGCAACCGCAAGCTTCTTCCGCGGTTGAATGGGAAAGCTATTGGAGGACGTCTAAACCCCACGACTTTTGACTCTAAATAACAGGATGCGCTTTGGATGAGAAACGACGTCTGAGGGCACTATGTGGACAGCTCGTTCGCGACAACCGATGGCGAATATCGCCGCCATTTCACGTTGCTTTCCCCGATGTGGCCGATCGGCCATTCGTGGGCAGAGAAGATATGCTGGCAATGGCCCAAGCACGAGGGGACAGGCTACTTCTTCATCGCGTTGGTTTTGGAACTCATTGGGTCTTGCTGGAACGGGTACAGCTGCGTTTCTCGCCTATTCGTATATAACGAGCCAAGGAAGTCAAGTAGAGGGCCCAATCGAACCCAAGAGCGAGACTCTTTCGAAGTTTTCCGGTGATCTAGGTTCCGAGTTTGCCCAAAAGAAGAGGAGTGTGATGAGTCCAGGAGTCTATGTATGGGGAACAAATGCCTATCGTGTTGTGGACCCGGACTCGAAGGAGACTGTGATCAAAACGCCTCGAAGGATCTCCTACTTCGACGACCAGGTGCTGAGGGATTTGAAGATAGGAGACAAGTCTGGCGCCGCAATTACCGAGAATGGCGACCTGGTTCAATGGGGTCAAGGCTATTCCGAAACCGACTTTCGGCCTACAAAGACTCTAACCGGGAAGAACTTGACCTCGCTGTGCATGTCCAACGATCGGATCCTTGCTTTGTCCTCCGATGGAAACGTTTACTCGCTGCCAATTGCGAAGGACGACCAAGCGTCTGGACGGAAACCCAAAGAAAGTTCCTGGATCCCCTTCTGGTCTGGGACCGCTGGTGTAAGCTATCGGAGCCTCCAGCCGAGCCTGAAACTGGGTGAAAGGATCACCACCATTAGTGGTGGGCTGGAGCATGCACTTCTCCTGACCAATTATGGTCGGGTCTTCTCGGTGGCTTCTTCCACCGAGAGCTACCCTTCTCACGGGCAACTTGGTGTGCCAGACTTGACATGGGCCACGCGCCCTAAGGGGCCCGTGGACACCTGCCATGAGGTCACGGCCCTCAAGGGGTCTAAAATCACCCAGATCGCTACGGGAGATTACCATTCACTAGCCCTCGCCAAAGACGGGAGCCTGTTTGCGTTTGGAGACAACTCCTTTGGGCAACTGGGAGTGCAGTTCGACCCTTCGTTGCCGTTTAGCAACACTCCTGTGCTGTTGTCTCTTGAAAAGTTGTATCGGGGCAAGATCTGGCTCCCTAAGGTGACGGGCATTGCTGCTGGAGGAGCCAACAGCTTCTTCACGGTCGATGCGAAGCGGATCGTCGGCCCCGGAGAGAACCCATCTGCGATCCGCGACCTGGACCGGATTACGGCTGACATCTGGACCTGTGGACGAGGGATCTGGGGTGCCCTGGGGAATGGAAAGTGGTCCCATCTGCAGGACGAGCCCACCAAGGTGAAAGGGTTGAGTGGTCTGTTTGAGTATGACGAACATGCGAAGACCCTCTCCCCTATCCGGTTACACGAGATCTCCGTTGGCACGACGCATGTGTCGGCGGTGATGGACAATAAAACTCATGTGCAGGCATCACCCACGACATCGTTGGACAGCCGCGACGATTGGGGTTTTGATGCGCTCTGGTGGGGAGGGAACGAACACTATCAACTCGGTACGGGCAGGAGAAGTAACCTGTGCAAACCAACTTATATCAGTGCGCCCCTCGAGACTGGCGGAGACGACAAGAAGGAGGAAGAGGCACGACTCCAGATCATGCCTCGTCACAAGGGCAAAGTTGGCTCGCGTACCGTGAGCATGGAGCAGCATGTGGAGTGTGGACGACATATCTCTGCTATTTATTCATCTGTATAATTAGTTCCAAGACTGGATTGTATTATGGCCTAAAATGAAACACGATAACTATAACTACAAAATATAGTTAAATAACTAAATGATATTGTTACGTCATTGTGAGCGAATGCAAACGGAGCAAACACTTCGCCGCGGAAGTGACGCTCGGACATTTTATCCCGAAAATTTCCAGCGACGGACGACCAAACGATCAAACGACAATTCCCCTGCCAATTCCTCGTCGGACGAGATTGTACGATGCCTCGCGAAAATAAGAAGAGAGGCCGTCGAGCCGCCGAAAAAGCTGAAAAGGATGCAGCCAAGCGAAAGCGCGACGAAGCGCCCGAAGACTCGACGCCCAAGCGATTGAAGCCTACGACGGATGAGATGGAGGCGCCATTGAACGATTTCGGTCATGGAGTGGACTACATCCGCCTGGACGAGCCTCAGGAGGAAGGGGCACCGTCGAACGACATGCCCTTTTACGGTCTCCTCGACAGCGACGAGCAAGAGTACTTCTCGCGAGCGAACGAGATGTTGGAACTGAACCAGTTCCAGGACCAGGAGGAACGACGACTATTCATCGATAGTGTCTACCGGGAGGCTCGTGGGAAAGAATTGAAGATTGCCTGCAGTCAGTCTTGCTCGCGACTCATGGAGAAACTCATATCGATGTCGGATATTCGCCAAATCCGGCAACTGTTCAGCAAGTTCCTCGGCCATTTCCTACATCTGGTGCAGCACCGGTTCGCCAGCCATTGCTGCGAGACACTCTTCATCAATGCAGCACCGGGGGTGACGCAGAAGACGCAGAAGACGCCGAAAACGAAGGAGAGTCGGGCGGATGCAGGCGAGGAGGGGGATGAACCTGAACCCGAGCTGTCGCTGGCGGAGATGTTCATGCAGGTCGTCGAGGAGCTGGAGGGAAACTGGGGATTCCTTCTGACGGAACGGTTTGCCTCGCATACGATCCGGGTGCTTCTCCTGGTCCTTGCGGGGGAGCCTGTGGATCTGTCGTCGAATGAGTCGGTGGTCGCGAGCCGCAAGAAGGAAAGACTGGGCACTGTGACCACCGAGGCTACAGCAGACGGGGAATCGACCACGCAGAAACGGGGCGTGCCGGAGTATTTCGAGACTGCGGTGAAGAAGATCATGAACGACATGGTGTCGGTGCTGGATGATACCTATCTACGGGCGTTGGCCACCCATCCCGTTGGGAACCCCGTTCTGCAGGTACTGGTTTCATTGGAGCTGTCGCATTTTGGCAAATCGAGTGCGAAGGACCCCAATTCCATCACGAGAAGACTGGTTTCCGACGACACTTTCGAAGAGGGCTCCGCAAGCGCCACTTTTGTGCGCGGGTTGCTCTACGACCCGGTAGGATCTCGCCTGCTGGAAACCATGGTGCGCTACATGCCGGGCAAACTCTTCAAGAGCCTCTACAAGAACTTTATGCGCGACCAGATCGGCTCATTCGCACGCAATCAAACGGCCGGATACGTGGTTCTTCGATTACTCGAACGACTCGGCAAGGACGACCTTCAGGCCGCCATGGAGCAGATTCTGCCACAGATCCCCAATCTCCTCGAACGGTCCCGGACGGTTGTCCCACGAGTCTTGATTGAGCGATGCGTAGTCCGTGGAGTCAACACGGCGCCCCTCGCTCGATCGCTGGAGGCTGCCTGCGTTCGCGACCCCGCTACACGACTCGAGCAGATACTCCGCCTCGACAGCATCCCCAAGGAATCAGAGCCGTCATCGAAGGAGTCGGGCTCTACCCCAGCAGAGAAACTGCATGGGTCGCTGTTGGCACAAGCGATGCTGGCGGCCCCAGGGCCTCTAAGCGCCTTAATCTATGCGAGTCTACTAGCCCAGTCGACCGAGACGCTTCTACAGCTCGCGAAGGACCCGACGGCCTCGCGGGTGCTTCAGCAGGCACTGACCCTGCCGACCTCGACGCGCCAATTCCGGCGACAATTCACCACCCGATTCACCGGTCATCTGAAGGATCTGGCGCTGGACAGCAGCGGGTCGCGTGTCGTAGATGCGCTGTGGACGGCGACGCAGGATCTCTTTTTCGTCAAGGAGCGCATGGCGCAGGAGCTGTCGCAGCATGAACTGGCGCTCCGAGATTCGTTTGTCGGCCGGGCTGTCTGGAGGAACTGGTCGATGGATCTCTACAAACGACGACGAGGAGAATGGGCTGCCAAAGCCAAAGAAAGCGATCGCCAGGGACCGTCCAAGCTCGAACAGGCGCGGGCCAAGTTTGCGGCGGAGGAGGATGCGAAGGATAAAACGAGTAAATAGATAGATTTGATAAATCTATGAATATCTTATTAAGTTTCTGTAAATTTGTCGAAGAATATCGGTCAGAGTCCTCAATGAGGTGGGTGTTCGATTTGACCCCGAACACCCCGGAGCGCTTCCACGTCTTTTCCACCTCCTGGCAGCTATCCAAGACGTCACCGAAAGGCTTCAAGCCATGAAAGCAGCAGTTTGGATGGTTACACAATGCTCGACTAGGAAGGGGATAGAAATCGACAGGTGAAAGCCGAAATTTTTCAAGATGAAGGTATAAATATGGACCAATTTCTCGCCTAGATAGCTTGTAATTCTGATCATCCATTGAATCATTCAATATTCAACTGAGCAGTTGAATATCGTCATAAATAGCTTCATTTCTTTTCTCATTTCCTGCTTCATATTTTTTTATAGTCTGTATTGATCGAATGATGTCAGATCTCGCCATCGATGCTCCACCAAACGGATCGGGCGGGTCCACTGTTGAATGGATTTTTGATCCCTCAATCTTTCTGATTATAGTACTGTAGCAATTGGGCATTATTGAAAGAATCTATATAGACCGATCTGTACAGAAAGAGAAGATGGCACGTGCCGAGGAAGTGCGCAGTGTAAGTAAAAGAAAAGTCTCTCCTATCAATCGAGAAAATCCTCTCCTGCAGTCATCCTCTAATCCCGGACTCTTTAGCTTCTGCATGCAGTCCAAGATCTCCTCATCCCCTTCATCCGATCGGCCGATGGTGACTCGCTGAAAAACGGCGTCAATGGCAATTCCCACCAACCACGCCCCTCGAAGACTTCCTTGGTCGATTCCAAGAAACCCGACGAGCTCCAGCGCATTCTACAACTGCAGGTCCCTGACCAGGGCGCCGGACAGGAGGGCTTGATCGAGGTCTTGCAGAAGGTCCTACGCTACTCCGTCAATACCTGGCACCAGGGCTTTCTTGATAAACTCTATGCCTCGACCAATGCACCCGGGGTGGCCTCGGAGCTGATCCTGGCGGCCCTCAACACCAACGTCCATGTCTACCAGGTATCGCCGGCCCTGACGGTGATCGAGAAGTATACGGGACAGCAGCTGGTGACTCTCTTTGGACTCACGGGCCCTCGAGCTGGAGGCATCTCCGTCCAGGGGGGTTCAGCGTCCAACACGACCTCTATTGTCATCGCGCGCAATAACCTTTTCCCCAGCACCAAAGACGATGGTAACGGCGACCACCGATTCGTGCTCTTCACCAGCGCCCACGGCCACTACAGCATCGAGAAAGCCGCCCAGATGCTGGGCCTCGGAAGTCGATCGGTCTGGTCGGTACCCGTCGACGCCCAGGGACGGATGAAACCAGACGAGCTGGACAAGCTGGTACAGAAGGCATTGAGGGAGAACCGCACCCCGTTCTACGTCAACGCCACGGCCGGGTCGACCGTCATGGGATCCTTCGATCCGTTTGAGGAAATCGCCGCCATCTGCCGACGGTACAACCTCTGGTTCCACGTCGACGGCTCCTGGGGCGGCTCGTTCGTCTTCTCGCAGCGTCAACGACAGAAACTCGCCGGTGTCGAACAAGCCGATAGCATCGCTATCAATCCGCACAAGATGCTCGGTGTCCCCGTCACCTGTTCCTTCCTACTAGCCGCTGACCTGCGTCGATTCCATCGCGCCAATACCCTCCCCGCCGGATACCTCTTTCACAACGACGACGATGACGACGAGGATGATGCGTCATCGGACGGACCGGACTCCGAACTGGCCGTAGATTCACCCGAGGTCTGGGACCTAGCGGACCTGACGCTGCAGTGCGGACGACGCGCAGACTCCCTAAAGCTCTTCCTGGGCTGGACCTATTATGGCACGATGGGATACGCGACGCAGATCGACGCGGCCTGCGACATTGCCGCGCATCTGGCCACCCTGGTAGCAGAACATCCCGACTTCATCTTGGTCAGCGAGAACCCGCCCCCGTGTCTCCAGGTATGTTTTTACTACGCACCGGGGGGACAACTCCTGCGTCCGCGGGGCACCGTGACAAACGAGTCCGACCGAGCCAAGACCAACAGCAGGGTCACGGAACAGGTGACACACGCGATCGTGGATCGGGGATTCATGGTGGATTTTGCACCGCCCACGGGAGACGAGGAGACCCGGGGGGATGGGAAGTTCTTTCGCTGTGTTGTGAATGTGCAGACTACTAGGGAGACGGTCGAGGATTTGCTGCGTGCTATTGAAGACGTCGGCCCGGCTATTGTCGATCGACTCCGTCATGGCTCGAAATGATAAAGAGAGGGGTTGTAGCCCTGGTCTATCATTGACTGTGAATTTGGATTATAACGATGGACTCTGTGTAGGTATGGAAGAAAAGTCCAGTGTTAATTATAGAGTATACATGTATTGAAATGATATCAACGAATATAAAGGCCTGGAATAATTCAACTCAAATCATTTATAACCTCGTAAGTCATCAGTTCAACTCCCTATCTCAACGCGTCTCTCCAGTACACTTCGGGCTTCTGCTTCTGTCAGTGATTCAACCCCCAGCTTCGTCAGAACGTCCCGGGCGCTTTCATTATCTTTAAAGAGCCTCTTTTCGACCCCCCACAGATCGGGCCGAGGCGTTGCTGAACTGTCTCCCGCCGTCAATCCGAGAAGGAGAAGACCCTCGCTCAGTTTCTGCAGGACCTTCGCAGATCCGCCGGTCGGGGTGGCCGGCCCCATAGCAGCATCAACAACGCTGCAGAGATGATCGACGTCGCTTACGAGCTGCGCTGCTCCGGCCGCCGAGAACGTGTTGCGCATGAGAATGTTGCCCCAGAGATACGTTTGGATGGACAGGAGCACCTGCCGCATGATACGGCGAAGCGGTGCAATGCCCAAGGAGCGAGATAGGAATGAGATCTCGGCCGACAACGTCCGCATGACCGGAGTGAGGTGGGCGGTTGGAGGAAGAGGGCCGGTCGATGACATCGAGGGTGCTAGGATGGTGGTCCAGGTTGACACGCGGGAGTATGGTTTCAGGGCTGACCGCGTGTTGGAGGTGAGGGTCGACGTAATGATGGACTCGGAGCGGAGTCGTAGACGACGGTATGCGGAGGCAGTCTCATCGAACAGCGCGCCGTCTGTAGGGCCGCCCTTGGCCCCATCTTCGTAACCATTGGTGACGGCCTGCGAGGTCCTCGATGCGACGTCTGCAACGGACATCGAGCCAGCGACGTTCTTGCCCCCGTCCCGGTTCTGCCGGACTCGCTCTTGGAGCTCCGACCAGAGCTCGACGAAGAACACTTCGTTGCCCCAGTCTTCCATCTTCTTTTCGAGGTACTCAGCGCTTCCGAACACTCGGCAAAGTCGCTCTAACCCCGCAACTCCTTCAACCGCTTGTCCGTCAGTACCTTGCACGGTGCGACCAATGGTCGAAGTCATGGCGAGATAGGCCTCCAGTGCCGAGTGCAAACGTTCGTGGAATTGATCGAAAATCGTGATCTGAATGTCGATGAGAAAGCGGAGCTTCTGGCTAAACGACGACAGTGGCTGGTAACGCTCCGTGATTGTTTCCAGAAGATCATTCACGCGAATGGCAGCTTTCGTGGGTTTGGTTGCGGAGAGTTCGACACCATCGTAGTCGATATGGCCACTGTCCGGTGCTTCGACAATCTCCTTATACCGAGCTAGTGCAAAATCCTTCTCGACTTGAAGCCAGCGGTCAAACCAGCCTTCCTTTGTAAGAATGTCCCAGGTAATTCCCTTCCAGCTCTCATCGGTGTAAGGATCCGGCAGATAATTCCAGCTCTCGCGAATTTCGTTGTCGAAATTCATGAGTTCATGGACAAAGTGGCTCAACAGTTGCGGGTGTTCTGAAATCTGAGGAAGGGATGTCATTATTTTCTGCCTTAGCATTGGCAAGAGCGCCGTGATGTAGGCGTGCGAGGCATCGTGAAAATTCCACTCCAGATCGGACCCGACAGCCTGTGCTTTTTCATCAAAGATAGGTTGTAGGAAGGAAGTAAAGAAGCCCCCGAAGTTGTTGATTAAATCCAATATGTGAGATAGGAAGTACTCCGGCTGTGTCCTTGTTAGAATCGCCCACGGTATCGGTCATCGAGAACGCATACCTTGTCGAGTCGATTGGTTGGCTTGTCGCCACTAAAGTGGTATTTAAAGCGAAGTTCCAGAGGACGAACCATTGCCTCTAAAGGAAGCAAGATAGACGGTTCAGCATTCGGTCGGCTTGGAACAGTGCCACGACCCTTCAATTCCCTAGGACGAACGGTTAGGAACGGCAATAAGGGGAGAGAAAGTGAAAAAAGCGTACGGGATCTGCAGGTCAAGGAGCAATTCCACATTTTCTTTCCACTGTATCTGGAGACTCTCCGGAAAGTTCAGATCCTTCGATGGCCACTTCACCTGTTCCAGCGTTTCCTGAAGCCACCTGGTAAAGTCGCTTTTCATCTGTTCCCTCAGCACCGATGTCAATTTTCCTACGTAGTCAACCAGATGGGGAGCGGCGCCTTCAGCGGCAGGTTGGGCCTCGACCAATGAGTGAACAATATTCCGGAGCCGCGAGTAGGGCCTGATGGCCAACTGAGGTGTGGACTGCATGTTCTTCAGAGCCTCCTTGCTGCATGGTTTCTTAGAGACGCGGTTCTAATCCGTGGAGATGTATATAGAATACCTCAGTTCCTCTGCTTCCTTGAGCAACGATACGTAACCCCTTGAGATCTCAAGTCTCTGTAACTTCTCTATTCCCGCTTCAAACCGCTTGGCAGCCTCATCGCTGGCATCCGACTTGGTAATGGCCTTCAAGCGACTGTCAATGTCCGCCTGCTGTTCCTGAAACGCCGCGGCTCGTTTTCGAGTGGCTTCGGCATAGTCGTACGATGACTTAGTGGCATTCGATAGAACTTCCTGAGCTTCAGCTAGCTATAGAACGTGTGTTAGCTGGGGATCGCTGCGAAAACTATGAGGGGCAATTGGTACCTGCTTCCGCTGCAGCTCATGCTGGGCACGGAGGCTCGATAACAACGAATCGAGACTCTCAAAATCCGCAGAAACCTGAATTTTGTCATTCAGGTAATCCTCGACTCTGGTTCTCTCATGCGGAGACAGTGCAGACGTCGGCGAGGCCATGGCAAAGATGGTGGGAGAAGCGTAAGTTGCAAGGTGTTGTTGCCGTCACCGCCTCAGGCGACAAATAAATCACCCCGCCGCCGCCGTTGCGCTTCCTCCGACACAGCACCATGGAGCATCCAGTGGAGATGGACCCCTCGGGCACCAGTTATTTCTATCAATGATACCCGGCGATGTCGACCCCTACAAAAAAGCGTAAGAGGGATGTATCGGAGTCCTCCGGACCACGCAATAGGAGCATCGCGTCATTCTTCCAGAACCAAACGGCCGCAGAGAAGTCGTTGGGACATACTGAACAGACACTGTCTGATGAAGCTCTTGCTCGTAGGCTTCAGGCAGAGTGGAATCGGGAAGAGGATGCAAACTCGGCCTTCAATGCCGGTGCTGCAAATAATAATTCACCTACGTCCGCGCCTCCCATCCCCGACGACGATGACTCGCGACCAGCTATAAAGGAACCAACGAAAAAAACGCTTTCATTACAATCTTCTGTCGGTACAGAAGACACAGTATCCCTCGCTGTCCCTCTGGACCAGAGCTCCCTGACGTTCGACTCACGGAAATACGGAGACGAGTTGAGATCGCATTGGGCTACGAGTGGAGGCGACGCCTCGTATGCCCTCTTAACCCGGGCTTTTGTCCTTGCAAATGCGACGACGAGTCGCATTCGCATCGTGGATACCTTTGTCAACTTTCTCCGAGTTCTCATCGAAGGGGACCCTTCCAGCATCCTTCCCGCGGTCTGGCTAGCAACCAACTCCATCTCTCCACCGTACGATGAGCTAGAACTGGGACTTGGCGGGTCTTCAATCTCGAAAGCACTGAAGAAGATCTACGGACTTAATAGCCAGGGGCTAAAAACACTGTATGACAAGCATGGAGATGCCGGCGACGTGGCGTTCGAAGCGAAGAAAAAGCAGAGCTTCACATTAGTCAAGCCTAAGCCTCTCAAAATCAAGGGCGTATATCAGTCACTCATCAAGATTGCTACCAGCAAAGGCAGTGGCAGCCAGGAAATAAAACAGAGGATTGTGGAGAAATTACTGCAGGACGCCCGTGGTGCGGAAGAGAGCCGGTATATCGTCAGGACCCTGGTCCAGAATCTTCGCATCGGAGCCGTGAAGACCACGATGCTCATTGCTCTGGCTCGTGCGTTTCTGTACTCCAAGCCGGACCACGCTAAATTCTCCGTGCACTCTCGGCAGGAGTTAGCCAGTCTCAAGAAGGAGGATCTTGCCGAGATCTACAGCAACGCGGAAGAAATTGTCAAGGCTTCCTACGCCCGGCATCCAAGCTACAACGATCTGGTCCCTTGTCTGCTCGAGATCGGCATAACTGAAGAGCTTCTCCTGCGATGTGGCCTACAACTTCATGTGCCATTACGGCCGATGCTGGGTAGCATCACACGAGACCTGCCAGATATGCTGACCAAGTTGCAGGGGCGAGATTTCAGCTGCGAATTCAAATACGATGGGCAGCGCGCCCAGGTGCATTGCGATCCAAGGGGCAATGTGACAATATTCTCTCGGCACCTGGAAAACATGACGGAGAAATACCCGGATCTCGTCTCCTTGGTTCCCCAGATCCGAGGCGAAGGCGTGTCCAGCTTCATTCTCGAAGGGGAGGTCGTTGCGGTGGACCAAGAAACTGGCGAATTGCAAGCCTTCCAGACGCTTACCAATCGAGCGAAGAAGAATGTTGACATCGGGGCTATCAAAGTGAGCGTGTGTCTGTTCTCCTTCGACCTGATGTACCTAAATGGCGAGCCACTCCTGGACCGGTCATTCCGCGAGCGCAGAGAGCTTCTCCGGGGCCTCTTCGTGGAAACTCCCAACCGGTTTATGTGGGTGAAAAGCCTAGACGCCACCTCGGGTGATTCCGATATGGTCCTCGACTTTTTCAAAAACGCCACGGATTCCAAATGCGAGGGGATAATGGTCAAAGTTCTAGACAACGAGCCGACGGCCTCCACTTCTGCCGTGAAAACCAACTACTCTACTACCAAAACTGACGCTTCACAACCGCCACAACCACTACCATCATCCGCACCGAACGGTCAATCCGACCCAAAACCCAAGGGTAACCGACGCAAAGCCCTACTCTCAACATACGAACCAGACAAAAGACTCGAATCCTGGCTCAAAGTCAAAAAGGACTACAACGCCTCATCAGAAACACTAGACCTAATCCCCATCGCGGGCTGGCACGGACAGGGTCGAAAATCCAAATGGTGGTCCCCGATTCTTCTCGCCGTGCGCAACCCGGAAACCGGCTCGTTGGAAGCCGTCACCAAATGCATGTCCGGCTTCACGGATAAATTCTACCAGGCCAACAAAGACAAGTACGTCGAAGGTAGTCCCAACGTTATCTCCCGGCCCAGTTACGTTGAGTACGCCGCTGGCGAACCGGACGTCTGGTTCGAGCCGCAGGAGGTTTGGGAGATGGCTTTTGCGGATATCACTCTTAGCCCGACCTATCCTGCTGCTATCGGCTTGGTTAGCAATGTCCGAGGTCTCAGTCTGAGGTTTCCTAGGTTTCTGAAGGTCCGAGAGGATAAGTCGCTCGATGAGGCTACCACGTCTGATGAATTGGCTCTTCTTTGGAGAAAACAATCTGAGCATAGACGTCTGGAAACAGAATTAGAAATGCCCGAGACGGAGTTGGGATGCTAGGAATGACAGGAATTCTGTTGGTTTATAATTAGTTGGTTGTTCCTAGACGTACTTCGTACCAGGTAAGGTACTAGTATATAATATTTGTTTATTGCAACTAATGACATCATGATGAAATGATACATCTAATCTCGATATTTATTCTCCGAGTCACCATAGTTACCTATGTAATTCGTACCGGCCGATTAGAACCACCTCCGTACTAAGCTTGGCTTAGTTAAGATTATAATTATGACAGCACAGTACATAGTCTAGTATGCAAGTGTCAATTCCCATTCTATGCTCCAATACAGTTGCTGCCATACAATAAAAATGGAAGTTACATCTGCTACCGAGGATTATATAGGTAATCGCTCACGTGCGACCCACTAGTTTAATGAACTCTAAACCATTCTAGGAATAGTGCGAACGCGAAATGGACACGGAGTTGTTTGACGCGTCATGAAGAAACGCGTGTTGTTTTCCCTCTTCATTTTCTTTTTTTTTTTTTGCCTTCCCATCCCACCTTGGGCAAAATTGCACGATCAAGGACCAGCCACCTATGAAATACTTTCTATGACGCAATATTTGTGATACATCGTAGATCATAGCTATTATGTTCATAAATATTGACATTCATATGTATATACAATAGATAAACATAGTGACAATCCCATCCCCCGTAATCAAGCTGGGATGGAGAGAACTTGCTCCTCAAAACATTCACACCATAGACAAACGACACAGGATACTTCCTCCATGGAGGATAGTGAAGAACCAAGGGGCGGGGGGCGAGTGTCAAAAAGACCAAGATAGCCAGAGTGAAGTGGCGGTTCATACAAAAGAAACGGTATGCAGGTCCAATTAAAAATGACATAGGAAAAATATGTATGGACAGCGAGGTCCTTTATCTGAAGCGCTAGCCAGCACGGTGACGGAGGCCATTAAAAAATTTTCCGAAAACATATGGGAATCAGGCGAAGATGGAGGCTCCCCAAGGTCGACACAAGAAGTGAAGTGAGAGAAAGGCTAGCCGACAATGTGTGTACATAAATCATTATACGTCATAACAAGATCCATGAACAAGAAGACATGGTATGTCCAGGCATCAGTAGGTTTACGGTCGCAGCACCCCGCCAAGTTGCAAGACAGTTCCCGAATCCTTGACGCGACTCTTCGGGCTATCGGCATCGGGAGGTAATAGGTTGTCCAAGTTCGACCTTCTTCGGTCCTTGGTAGCAAGGGGTGTCCTGGAAGGCCCCCCAGGCGTGCGACCGCCCCAAGCTGGCTGGGCCGGGCTTGGGGTTACATTCACGAAATCAGCGAAGTTGAATTGCTGGTTAGGGGTGCCAAAATTGGGGAAAACCCCTCCCACCCCCGGAGTTGGGGTGAGCGACGGCAGGGCGGCATGTTGGCTTGGAGGGGTTGACGGTGGGAAGTCTCGGGTTTGAGTCTTGCCCGCGACACTGGCCGGCGTGGGAGAATTGGCCAAATACAGCAGCAAGTCGGCGCCGTCTTCGTGGCGTAAGTTTCTATCGCGTGACAAGCGAGCATGCTTCGGCGGTGGAGTCCGAGGAGGTGACGATCCCACCATGGAGCTGACGTTCTGGAAACTGTGCACCGGGAGATCCGGATCATTGTCATCATCGGATGGATGATGATACGCAGGGGAAGAGACTTCAGGGATGGCTGCCGTCTCCGTTATAAGTGGTAAAGCGTGGTGTCGATTTGCAAGATGTCGACGAGACCCCGGAGAGGATTCCGGGAGTTGATACGAGCTCTTCCAGGAGACCCGCGGTGCCTTGACAGTACGGTCGGTTATCGAATCCGATCGGAGACGCTTTCGACTGGCCGACAGCATCGGCTGCATCACTTTCGAATTGAAGGTGGCTGCATGTCTATTGCGGGACGACCGGGGCAGCTCCTTGGAGTAGGTCGAGGTTCGCAGGGGTGGCGAAGTCATTGGTGTTTCGCAGCGGCTCTGAGAGATCTCAGATGACGAATCCGAGGGTTTATCACTCCCCAGAGAGATATGTCGGTTCCCATTCTGATCCGAAGCGTGCAGGCGGCCGTTCTGGTATTTGACTTTGGCGAGTCCTAAACGATCCTGAAGGCTGAGCGACACCTAGACCATAGAGAAGTGGGTGTGTTAGACCAGGTGGACCACTCCTTTCAAAGTTCAGGACGCTCCGGCGAAATTGAGGAGGGTTTGGATACACACATACCTGGGCGATGTCAATTTTACGGATTGTATTCTTCTCGGAGCTGGTCGGTCGAGGTAAGGCCATTGCTTGGACAGGTGAGTGGCAACAGGTCGAATTCAACAAGGGAGAAGATCGGTTGTGGATATAGACCTCGGGCGTTAATACGAGATGCCGACGGCCGTGAGGAAAGAAGGATGAGGAAGAGGAGGAGTAAGGGCGGCTGGGACGAGGAATGAATGAATGGAGGAAAAGAAAGAGAATGGAAGCGGTTCGGCTGATTGATTCGGTGGGAGAGAAAGAAAGATTCGGCTCAAAGAGAGAAAGAAAGAATTTCCGCCAGCAATTCCGGGGAAGAAAGATGGACTGGGCGGGAACCAGGGGTGGATAATGGATGGACAGGTCATGAACGACTTTCACGAAGAATCATGGTATTTCATTTCCTCATCTTCATGACTTGAACATTTTCTGTTCTACTAGAAAAGGTCCCACAATCAATCCTTTCTGCAATTCTTCGTCTCGATGGGTTTCGGCATCTACAGTACAAACTCGACAAAGGGATGCACTATATTCCGTACGCGGCCAATAGCCCACCAATATAACAAAATTTAAGGTAGCCTGTGCTCCTTGAAGAGGGATGTAAAGCATCCAAAAAAAAAAAAAAAAAAAAATTTCCGGCCCATTCCTCAATCCTCCCTCCCCCCCTCCCCCCAGCATTTCTCTCTGCTCTGGGGGTTCAGGGACGAAGCTGATCAACGTCAACAACCTCCGTGAAGAATTCTCATCCCAGTCCGTTGCTATGCCATCCCCAGCCGCTCTGGCCCGACAGCCACATACCTCTTCATCGACTTCGTACATACCGGAGATTTCTTCCGTTTTGGATTCCGACCGCTTCAAGGAGTCGACTAGGGGGAACCGATCGAATCGGTTAAGATTTCATTGTCATTCGGTGTCAGAGTCAATTGACAATGAAATCTTAACATAAATTTACAGAAGGCAACCCTAGCTAACTCTACCTATACTACAGACTTCTGCAGGACATTTTATCCCTTTCTTGGAGATCGTCCGTCCTATATACCTACTTACTCATTCAGGGACGTCAACCACCACGCTATTGATGCAGAGATTATCCGTTTGATGTGAGATCCCGAGGTTTGACAGCCTGAGCTGTCCACCTCTCTCTCCCCTTTTCTTTTCTTTTCTTTTCTTTTCTTTTCTTTTCTTTCTTTTTTTCATTTTCTCTCCTCCCTGCTTCGACAGACATGCACTGAAATATCAAGCAACGTCAATATGCAGTGGAGTCGAACTATCAAGTCCAACCAAAAGAGGATGAATTATTGTATCCCCTACATGATTTATGACCAGGAAAACGTTAAACAAGGAATCAGGGATGAGTGACGTGGAGAGGGGAAGCTTGAGTTCGGCCAGATTCCAATTATGCGTTGGCCGAGAATTTCATGATTCGGAAAAAGACAAGCTGTTTGGATCAGATCTGCTGCGTCGATGACGATCAGGGCACATAACCAGCACGAAGTCAAAAAACGGCGAAACTTAGTCTGAGTCGAGATCATTAAGTAGGGTGCCTATTTTAGCTGGATCTAAAATAAAAGACAGAAAGAATGGGTAGCAATCAGGTCGTGAGGCTAGTGCGATGGTACCATATTCCTCGTACCACTGGAGACTGGGGAAAGGGATGGATGATATAGACAGTATGAAGTAGTTAGAGCCAAGTCAGCTAGATACTTACTATGTACATGGCTAGTGCGATCTCGGTCGACCCGTAAACCCGGCTGGATTTGACCAAGCAAATAAAACGGTCCAGTCACCGCACCGACCGATTCGAGATTGTATCTGGAAGAGAGTGACAGAAACGATCGACCTTATCGAGCAGAGACAAATTTAGCAAGTCATCCTCCTCCCTTACGCTCCACTTGGAGTGAGACAGTGAAACTTGGCGCCCTCTCGATCCTCCGGTTGGTCACTGGCAGGCAGGCTACGTAACACGCTTTTGTCTACTCTCTAAAGCAGTCAGGGTTAAGTGTAACGGAGAGCACTGGGTGTGACCCACCTGTTGCATCGGTTGTAGCAGTATCAAAGTTGGTGAGAGAACGGAAAAGAGAAGGTAGAAAGAACCAAGGTATAATCAAGCAGTACTATACATATTCTGTTTTCTATTCTTCAGGATCCTCTGATATCAAAACACGACTAAAACTAGCCTGGTCTTACTAGTTGACTCCGTAGTATCCAGGGGAATATCTCACTCCATTGAAGATGTTTCCTTTCCATTCCTGCTCATTCCTGCTCTTTTCTTGGTCCTAGATAAGCTTTTTTTTTTTTTTTTTTTTTTTAATTACTCTCTTGGACCCTTCTCTCTCTCTCTCCAAACACCATCCATTCTCTTTCTTCTCCCTCTCCCAGTTCCCATCGTTTGGCTTTTTCCAGGAAGACTTTGAGGTCTTGTCCCGTTCCACTTTCACCTCTTTTTTTCTTTTTTTCTCTCTGATTTTAAATTTTCTTTTGTATGTGAACCTGCCTATGCACCGCGTCATTCCCGCCAATCCAGCATACTTCTCCTCCGTCGGCGTTCTGCGGGGTGGCTGTTCCGTTTCTGCAAACGGTCGCCATCTTTCGCCTCCCCAATAAAACAATTCCTACCCACTCCTTCAGGGCAGCCTTGTTAACTTTTTTTTTTTTTTTTTTTGTTTTGTTTTTCCTTTTTCTTTCTTTAATATTTTGCAGTCTTCCTCTCTCGTTTATTTCTCTTGATCAACCGTTGGGTTGGTTTGTCACTCGTTTTAAGAGGAGGAATCCTGTAAATCCAACCAAGAGCGACGCAAAAGGCACCTACTCTTTACGTCCATCTCGACTACGACCAAGCTTCCACACCGCTGGAGGGTCCTGATTTGGGAACAAAGGCTCTCTTTCCCTTTCCCTTTCAACCCCTAATTGGGTTCGGTTCGATCCTTATATGGTTGGGCCACCTTCTTCCTACTTCCATCCTCGGTCGCGTCACCCAACTCCTCCATCATGCCGTTCTTTACACAGTTTCGTCGTCGATCCAAAGCCAGCTTCCGCACCGCTAAGTCGAATGAGTCCCAATCCAATGGAGAGATGACCTCAGGAAAATCGTCGTCGACACTCGAGACTGCCTCCTATAACTCAATCACCCCACCCTCCTCCATTAAACCCACCCTCTCGTCTCCAAATTTGCCCGCTTTAAGCGAAGGCAATGGCAGCGTTAATGGCTCTCAGCTCCCTCTGCCTCCCCAACGAGCAGGTTCTTATACAACCCCAGCTCAGCGCAACAGTGCCGTGATTGTACGTTATGATGCCTCTCGTGCCTTGATGCCACCGTTCTCAGGTTAATCGCTCGTCTCGTTCTCAGGGTGGTAGTACTATGTCAGTAAATGGCACGCGATCGCCAACTCCGTCTTCCCCATACGCTCCGAGAATTATCTCCATATCCGACAACGCATGGGTAGGTAGCGTCGTACCGAGTCTAGATCTCCGGCTCGGACAAAGCAGAAGAGTCCCCAAGCAGAGCTCACCGTTCCTGACCGTTCTCTAGGTACACCAAAAAGTTTTACTGGTCTACGGTCAAATCGGCGATCCAAGGCAGCATCCGCTGGACGGAAGTGTCACGGTCTATCACCACCAAGACGGGTTCCCATCGGTCAGCTGGCCCGTCACATCTTCCCACTTCAAAACCCTCGTGCATCTCGTCCCGGGACCTAATCGGCTGCGTTTTGATTTTGTGTCCACCAAATTGTCATCAGGCAGCACCCATCCGGCCATACATTCGTCGTGGATTTGTATCAACTACCTCCCACTGGTTAACGCGCCGCCCTTGCATTTGGTGATCCTCCTTGGAAAGGACTCGGATGGAACCTTCGATACGGTACCGGAGAAAAAACAACGGGAAGGGAATGGACTAGAAACGGCAATTCGAAAGTACCGGATGGCGGCCTACCTGTGGCAAGCGTTCACTGGCGAACAGATGTTCCGTAATAATTTCGGTAGGCGGTGTTTCCGCTTCGAGGAGGAGTGGCAGACGGGCACGCTGAGCCGACGCGATGAAGCGAATGGGCACATGCGAAATGAAGCCAAGGTCCACGTTGTTCGGTCCGATAAAACGGTAGCGGAGCTCAGGGACCTCAATATCGCTCAACAATACGGTCCAGCCACTAAAAAGGACGAACTGTTCAGGATTGCCAAGGAAGCCGTACAGAGCTATTTCCAGCCCCAGCAGGCCCAGAAGCAGTACGTCTCTGTGTTACTCCTGGACTCTCACTGGGACGCAGGCTCCCAGATCATTACCGGTCACGCCGCTTTAGGGTCAAGTGGAGACGATATCAAGATGGCTATCTTTGGCTCTCACCTCCTACAAAGCTACCCCAATAATCTGGAAGAGGTTGTAGATGCCTTTTCTGACTGCACCCGAACAAACACGGAGTTCGTTGCGAACGACTGTGGCGAGGCGGGATCCAATTGGGAGTCAGCCAACATTGGAATCGGGGCCCACCTTCACGAAGTAGGTCACCTCTTTGGCTGTCCTCACCAAGAATCAGGGATTATGCTACGGGACTATGTCCGTCTCAACCGGTCCTTTACGACACGCGAGCCATTCTCGACGCGGACGAAGACTCAGGGGCTTAAGCTGTGTTTACCCCAGGATGAATGTGGCTGGCACCGCCTCGATGCGCTGCGTTTCCGTTTTCACCCTTGTTTCCGGCTGCCTGGTGATGCGCCCGTAAGCTCGGACGACAGCGTTCAAGTCTGGCCGGTTGAGAATGGCAGGATTCTTATCACGGCCTCTTCGGGAATCGCATTCATCGAATTGTACGCAGAAGGCGATCAGGTGTGCCGCAGCTTCATTGAATACGTCAATAGCGAATCGAGTAACAACGGACTCCCCAAGCAGATCACCGTGACGGAGAATGAGCTGCGACAACGTGTATTTGGCAATGAGAAGGAGAAGAAAAAGAAAACCAAGATGTTGATCACATCCGCTGCACTCGGTTGCCGCACAATCGATTCTATCGACAGCTTAAAATCGAAGCTGTCTCTAGTGAAATTACCCAAAGGTCGTACTGGATACAAAGGCGGTGCTCTCGGGTTCTCCCAGATGGAAGGAAGCCAGCCTGAACAACTTCTTCTAGATTGTGCTTTGTCAACCAAACTCCTGACTTCAATCAAGGTCTACCACGGGTCGGCATTAGATGGACTGGAATTTTTCTATGAGGACGCCACCAGCCAACTCTTTGGGAAAAGAGGTGGAAAGCCTGGTGGCGATGAATTTGTGCTCGGTACGTAGGAAAGGAGAGGGGAAAAAAGATCACCAACTCCCTTTGATATCACAAAGGCTGACGGTTAGGTTAGAAACTCGACGCGGAGAGATTCTGCTTGGCTTCTATGTCCGAGCAGGGGCTTGGATTGATGGCATCGAGTTCTTGACAAGTTTAGGCCGGAAATCTGGGGTCTATGGCAACGCTCAAGGCGGATCAGGGTACGAGCCACACCAGATGTTTAACTTTCGAATTATCCTTTCTTATTGACAACCCTTACAGACATACGTTGATCCCACCCCTGGGCTATAAAATTGCCGGTATCTCAGGTTCCTGTGGGCCTTGGGTTGATGGATTCTCGTTAATAATTATGCACTAATCTCGCGCTGTAACCAGCCTGTACTGGTCCCAGCACCAGATTTGGCGCGAAAGGCGCTATTGGTTGATAAGTTCACTCTTCTTTTCCACGTCTATACTCCGACCTCTCCTTCAGTCGACGCTGGCGCGTCTGGAGAAATACCGCCGGCTTACATGGGCGGGCATTATAGTTGACTCGGGATTTCGATTCCGAGATCTTGTCTCTAATCCACTGGGCTGCCTGGGAGCTCTGTTAAGGAACTCACCGAACCGTCAGTTTGACGTTCTTTGAGCCATCAATAGTTTGGCCTATGCGATGCATGCCTCCTCGGTACCGGAGTACTATCCAATATATTCCTTACAACACTTTCCGTTCATACGGATGATACCGGAGAGTTGTGGTGATATTTCCCTCCGATTCTCCCTACCCCTCCTTTTTCTTTCTCTTTCTTTTCTTGTACCGGTTGCTCTGGGGTATGCTACGGGGGATACACGAGCACGTCGCTGAAGAAATGTATGTATGCCTAGATAAGCGGGACTTATGATCAGTGGCACTTAATTCTAGAAATATTTGCAAGAGATGGTTGGCTTGTGGTATTAGAAAATAATGCCGGCGCAGTACGTCTGATCGCTGCGGTACCCTCTGATGATACTGAGTAGTGCTTGCAATGTAACTGGAAGTAGCATGCAGCTTATCAGTTCAGACACCCTATACTTGTGGACATGAAGCATTCATCATTATGGCCGAAGTTGTGCTTCTTACGACCCTGGGTAGGTCCTCTGAGTTCTGCCTGTTCAGTGCCGCTGTACAGAGTGCGGTGATGGAATTCATCAAGAGTCAGATCTTACGTTTTTCTTTTTCTTTTTTTTTTTGTTTTTTATTTCGATCGGTAACAGGTAGCCTACTAGATAACAATTGGAAACATTGACAAGCCTTATTCCGGCAGGTATGTATGCGGGTCTAGGAACCCCATAATCCCCTAGCGATAGGTAGTAGCATTATTATTAGTCTACTACGAGAAAGTAGGGGAGACAACTTAAACCCCTTTCATCTGGGAAAAGGAAAAAATAAATAAAATAAAAGGATGAAAGGAAAAACAACTATTTCGAATGACTCGCCTATGATACCTTAAAACGGAAACTACTGGATCGGACAGACTTGCCTTGATCTTATTTCCCGAAGCAATCCGCATAATACTTAAGATAGTAACTGTGTACTACGTTACTCTTGCCTACGCCTACAGCTGTACGGAGTAAGGAATGTACATGTACCTATGGCCTATGACCTGGTGCAAGCGACCGTCTGCAATCACGGATCACAGCCGCCATATTATATTATTTCTTATACATGAATGGTCCATACTTAGATAGCTAGCATCGCGGTAACCGGGAGGTTCTCCGCGGTTATTCTCGAGTCAGTCATAGTCATCTCTGGCTCAAAAGCATAAATCATCCTTTGCGGAGCTATACCTCTCTACAGGTAAGTATAGACGAGATAATACAATAGAATCCTTCGAGCAATGAAATCTCCCATTCCATCTCTATCGCATGTTTTTGTGAATCATGTAGACACAAGGAATTCTCCCTCCCTCTCATCTCACCCAACATGAGATAGCCTTGATCGGGTCATCGATATCCCGACTATCATCCATCATCACAGCAGAGCAGTAGAACAGAAAACAGGGACTGGGTCGAAACCAGTGGCAAAACGTCATATTGATTCGTTTCATATTCCCCGATTCATCAACCGTCAAGCATGGCGATTGGCTGACGCGGGGGACACTGAACGCTTAGACGCCGATCGACGCAAATTCAGATTCGTTGAGCAGCCCTACCTAACTAAACGAATTCTCGTTGCCTGTTCGGCATCCCGCATGCTGGGATACTTTAAGTTAGCAGGGCCATCCATAACTATCCAGTGGCGACTGATTTGCCCATACTAACGGATCAGGAAAGGCATTGCAAAAGCCTAAAGTACCAGATGAATAAGAGTTCCCCATTGCTCGCTGCAGGGTTTCCCTCGATCGGAATAGAAATCTACGGCTCCTTCCTGTACCATGAGGGGATCGACAGCTGGGTGACTCCGGAGATGTTCTAGTTGTTTTCCATGGGTTAAGAAGGGAAAAGGTGAAGTGTAAAGCATGCATTGCACATGGAAATGCAATCCTGGATCTATTATTTTTAGTAGATCAGTATATAGTAGCTAGTGTTCTAGTAGCTAGTGTTCTCAGCTGGGATGACGATGATTATTCCCTTGTGGCGTACTTGGTATTGATAATAATTTGTGTACTCCGTACTTTCGTCTGGATAGTCTCCTTACTCCGAACTTCCTATGCCATTCGAATTCGCCCCATTTTACTATGAATATTAGGTGACAGTCAGAAAGAAGTACCAAGTTACCTAGTTCGGTACCTGGTCTGGTAAACGGAGTACGGTTAACTATTTCAAGTAATTACTGGATGTAGATGTGGGGTAGTTACATCATTTTCGTGACACAATCAGTACATAGATGTATTGATCGGGCCAGGTACCTCCATAGGTAGTAGATACTTTCACTCCAGACCATCATTTATGATTTTTATTCTTCAAAACTAAGATAGCACCCAGCCAGGTAATAGTTCTTAGAGCACAGAGTTTAAGTGACGCCACCACCAGTAGTATTGTGGATCAAGAAAGTCCATAATTTCTCCATCCATGCACCCCAAATTTATAACGTCTATGGAGTAGGTACCTAATCCATGGAGGCTCGAATCACTCACATCATTCCATTGGTCAACAGAAACCAGTGGCTTGCGCCAAAAACAAATTAAAAAGAGCCTACTCCGTACGCCAAGGGGAGCCACTCGCCTCCACTGGCGCATTATAAGGCTGAGACTTAGCGCTGGAGAAATCGAACGTCGTCATTCTACAAAGGTCGTCTGTCGACATGGCAAATTGATGTAATTACGTGGAGCTAATCCCTGTCTTTTTTCAGGGATCTCTACGTCTCTTACGTAGTTACTCTTCTTGATTCCCCTGCGACTTCCATTCTCGATTCTCTTCTAGGCCTACTACTAGACACATGAAAGTACGGAGTACATCCATATTAGTGGCAGGTGCTGTTGATACTCGTTGCAATACACTAGTAGTGTACTGGGTTCCACAGATCCTGGTTGACAGCGCTCAAGGAACCAAAATGTCAGCAGTGTGATTGGCTGGCATTGTGTCCCAGCGATGAATATGGTCGGTGTCGCGGATAAATTCAGAACAGATCGTCATACAATGTACTTACATAGCTGCATCGATACAAACTAATGTACAACCCAAGAAAGCAGCCATATCCTCTATTGATAAATTAAAGCATTTAAGGTGTTGTCATGTATTGAATTAACCAGGGAAGAACTCGATTCTATTCTCATTGGTCCAGACGGCTCCTGTGCTGAATTCTGCCCATCTCGCCTATTCCATGGCTCGTCTCCATGGGTTGCCGCTTCCCGTCATACATATCACGACTAGAGTTTGGCTACAAGGGGGTCCAACCAACGCCGTGGCTCCTTGGATAGGCATATAGCTCCGAACTTGGCAGGAGATCGAAATCATCGATCTTCATGGTGCTTTTCGGGTTTTGATCTGCTCAATACTCAGGGACTGTACTCTCTTTCAAGCAACAGATGAAGTTAAGCTTAATTTCAACGATGCACGCTGCCTCCCATACTTGATGCTGGTGCTGTCCCATACGATGTAGAGTACCATAGTCTTCATTGGCATGATGTCTGTGGCTGCAAGGGCCCTGTCGGTGCTTCCGGTTCTTCAACGGTCCATGGTTTCGGTGCGTCGACGAACCTCTGGTGGATATACCGGTCTCCATGTGATATCCATAGAGTGACACTGCAAGTCTTTAATGTCCGTTAGAAATAGGTAATCTATCTCAATAGGTGGAGAGGGTGGACACATATAGTTAGCAATGTAGCATGACCCTAAGCCACCTAGCCCCTTCGTATCTACGAGGTCTCGGCGGGTTCCTCTAAATAAGTACATGGTACCTCTCAGTCTGTTAGATTCTCACCTTCATGGATCATCCTACGGGATATCGATATTATTTGCAACGAAACGAAAGGCCAGATAAGGGAGCCAGACTATACAGCGACGCCGCTTTTTCCAACAATGATAACAGATGACCAGGTTGCGGGATCTGTAGCTAGTACTTACTCTGGTCATTGATCTCCCCAGCCTTACTATCCCGCTGGGATGCCAGATCTCACAAATTACGGATGTGGCTGGGGTAGATAGTTCGGGTCCGACATGCTGTGTCAACTTAAAACAGAATAGCAAGAAGTAATTGTACTGAAAGTCGGAGAGAACTCCACTGATCTGAATATCTACGTGGCAGATGCATACACAATGCTGTGGAATTGTCGGGTAGTTGCGGAGCTCAAGTTCCTCTGACTATATAAATTATTTTTGTTTTTTTTTTTTGACATTGCCCTGATAATGACGGCATTTAGTACGTTTGGGGATCTTAGACTGGGTGCCTGGGTAGGCTATGAAGCTACAGTTCATATTACAGCTTGTCTTAAGTTCGATTTATAGGAACCAAGTTGACTTGGTACGGTTGTGAGAGCTTATCATAAAGGCTGATTGGTTAAAGCAAGTGTATTCCATAGATTCGTTAACTTCAAATTAGGCGAAGGCTCCATCAAAGCCTACAGACCTGCTATAATAAGTAGCACCTTGCTTGCAGCCTACTATACATTGGATGGATGGATAGATCCATGAGGTTGTACCTGTACTACCAATGGTAAATTACACCATTCCTATTCATGTATTATATATATGTATCTGCGTACATGCTGCATACCATAGTTTCTAGTAGGTATCTGAAACGTCCAGAAATACCACGGGTAATTCTTACTGAACGACACGACTTATTGGATCCTCCCCACACCCTTCTTCCCCACTGATCCTAGTCTTGTACGTTTGATTCGGTCCCAGAAAATCAGCTCCAAGCCCAACTTTAAAAAAAAAAACATAATAATAATAAATATTAAATAGAAAAAGAGACGAGGGGAAAAAAACGGCTCCTACTATTTTCATATTGTTTTCTTTTTCTTATCTTTTCTTTTTGTCAAAAAAAAAAAAAAAATAAGAGAGTTTATTCCTCATACCTCATCTGTATTTTTTTATCATTAATCATTAATCAACGGTCATTGCACGTCACCATACTTCCGTGTGGCCCCTTTCTGCTCTCTTTATTAATAACACAAATCTTCCGAGCAACAATCCACGTCCTTTACTTTGAGGTGAAGGGAAAGAATATTCTACGTCCTCCACATCCACTACCACCCAGATAGGCAGAGTATTCAATATATTATTTATTATTATTGGGGGCGTCCTCGACCCATTTTTTCTCAGCCCAGATCCTCCCCTCCCTAATATTCATCATTAGTTGTCCCCCCTCCTTCACGCTCATTGAACCCTCTCCCCCACCACTATCTTTTTGAAACTTATATAAACGGAATATATACAGATATATATATCCCTTCTCACGTGTCTGTACATATTGTATAGTCATCCTTTCCCCCAGGAATTATTTTCTTATCTTCCCCCTCTCTTTTCTTTTCTTTTCTATTCTTTTTCACGTTAGTCAGAAGAACCTTTGAGTAAGGGGCATTTTTGTTGTAAACCAAATACTATCCAAATCCCTGTCGTTCACCACCTCCGATTGCCTTCCTGCAAAGTCGTCCTATCGGTGCTCTAGTCTGGGGGACTGCGATCAGACCCCGAATTACTGGTGTCTCGAGTTGGATCACCCTGGCTGTATTGATCACAGTCCAAATACCTGGAAAATTGATCGGCTCAATCCAAAAACACCAATATATCGCGAAAAATAAAATCAAAAATACAAAAAGAAAGAGAAGAAAAGGCAACAAAAGAAAAATTAAGACCCCCTATACATATCCCCTCAGATCTTCTAGTTATTGCCATTTACTACGGATGTTATGCTGGCTGGGACTTCAGCTGTCTTTTGAATTTCCCACTTTCTGTGCAGACCATTTGTCACTGCCTTCAGTATTCCGCGGATTCCCATAATGTTCAACAATAGGTATTTGACTCTCCACCTATCGTTCGAAGTCCTGCTCATATCGTACGTGCTAATGCACTCTCCAGACAAAGCACTCAAAAACCAGACGGAGACCTCATCGAAAGATTTCAGAAGACTTTCCCTTGCATCGTCTCTTCCGGCACTCACCGCAATGCAGTTCCCTTCGGTCAAGTTCCTGCTCCTCCCATTACCCCGGATAGGTATGCACTGACACTTTCCCCTATTTTCCATCCCTTTGATCTTCATCCTCCTTCTGGCGATTTTATATTCTCTTCAGGGATCCTGGGACTCCGGGCTGACTGTTATTGCCGCCCCAGAGTCAACATGGATGACGGTATGAAGCTCAATGACAATGCTCTTAACAACGGTCATGACATGCGGTTCGCTCAATCATTTGTCGACCCGAGCTCCCTATCGTTTTTCAATTCATTGAGCCAACAGCAAGGTTACTATACTCCAAACTCAGGTGCATTGGGGGCGGTCTTTCGCAGCCAAGCGGGAGACCTACACACCCCCGTGGGCATGAGTCTGATGAGCCCCCTTTCTCTTCCGCAGCAGATACCAGGAGCCACCTTACCCACCGATGGCTCAGCTATGGGGCTTGATCAATTTAACCAACAGTACATCCCGCCACACTTTCATAACCCACAACCATTTGCCCAGCAAGCAACGTTTGGGCCCGGCGCATTGGTTCATCGTGATTCAGGCTATGATGCCATGGATGACTCTGTGGATGAACTGTCTTTAAATGATGTGGACATACAAGGAAATGTGCCTTCACAATTGGTCACGTCGACTGTACCGCACTCGGATCGATTGAATATCGAAACGCCGAGCGAAAAGTAAGAGTGTTGCTTTAAGTTGTATCCAGTACAGAATGCTCATGTTGATGTTCATTAGGTTTCGTTACCATATCACGTTGCGTGCCCCGACAGCTATGGTTAAAGATCAAGATGAGATCCCAGTGTCGTATCTAAACAAGGGTCAGGCCTATTCCATCTCCGTTGCTGATACAGCTCCGCCTGCGACAAGTGCGCAGCCAACACAATACCGAACATATATCCGCGTTTCTTTCCAGGACAAAGAGCAAAGATCAAAACCCGCCTCCTGTTGGCAACTATGGAAGGAGGGTCGCGGATTCAATGAGGCGCACCAACGAGGTGGAAAACTCCAAGCGGTAGAGTTCGTTGATCCAATCCAAGGAGGGATTGATGATCAAAAGACCAAGCAAATTCAGCTTGAAAGCTCGTCTTTCGATGGATTCTGTGTCACATGGGCGGCAAACCAGGCTAATGGACCCGCAGGCTGCACAATTTCTGTCCGATTTAACTTCCTGTCAACAGATTTCAGCCACTCCAAGGGAGTGAAAGGCATCCCAGTAAGACTCTGCGCAAAGACGGAGATGGTCTCTCAGGTTGGTGTGAATTCAGGCGCTGATACAGATGCGGAGGTGTGTTATTGCAAGGTCAAGCTGTTCCGGGACCACGGTGCCGAACGAAAACTGTCAAATGATATCGCGCACGTAAAGAAGTCAATTGAGAAGCTTAGGCAGCAGATCGCTCAAGCCGAGATAGGTGCCGGTAATTACAGCAAGCGGAAGCGTTCCAATGGGTCGATGCCTCTCAACAAAAACTCCGATCTTCGCCCTTCCAAGGTTACAAAACACCGACGAGCCTGGTCCATGAGTTCTCAAGACGGGCCTGACAGGATGTCTATGGAAGACGATCTCCATGTCAAGCTCTCACTGATGCAAGAAATGTTCACGTCAACTCGACCCGTGAGCATTCTATCACTGCGTGGCGACGAGCAAGATGATCCAGACCTGTTTCCTGTTCATCTGCCTGACACACGCCGTTTCAGCAAGAAAGAGGGCCAACAAGGATCTCAATTCGGGCTTGACATATCATCGGGTTCTCGGAATCTATCTCCAATGAGCGGTTCCATTTCACCGAAATCACCGTTTCATCTCACGAACCCTCACGCGCATTACAACTATGATTCGGGAGGTCGTGGATCTATGAGCGCTCCACAGGAATCTTTATCCGATACCTCTGAGGACAGGACAATCATAAAACATCCGGTGAAAGTACAGAGGGTTCCCACTTCGGATTCTAATGTTTCCTTGGGTTTCATCGAGGCAGTCGATATTGATCCATCATACAGACCGCCAGCAGAGAACCCGCCACGACCAAGTAAGCACTAAGAAGATTTCACCAACAAGTGCTAGCAGTGCTAACATTCACCGCAGTTGCTTGTTTCTATGTTCGATTCCCCCGAAATGACAAACTCCGGGACAACTATTACCGAGCAGTCTACCTCACGGAACTGACTGTTCGTGACTTGATGGAAAAGATATCTTTAAAGCAGCATATTGACCCACGGCGCATAGTCCGGGTTCTTCTCGTCAAGCAGAATGGAATGAGGATTATGGTCGACGATGATGTTGTTCGTGAACTTCCGGACGGCCAAGACATGATAGCCGAGATCTCCGAAGCATCAGTGTTGAACAGCGCATCGGGCCACGGTAGTGATCCTATGAGCCCGGGAGTGGAGGTCAAACTGACCTACTAATGTCGCGTTTTCTACGAAACTCTTATATCTCGCGATTATATTCGCTACCGGGAGTTGATTTCTTGACCGACGCCTGGTGCGCGGTAAGGAGTTGACACTTCGCGTCAGTCCAGGCATTTAAACTATTTATTTTTTTTTTTTGGTCGGAGTTTGATATTTGTGCTCTATTTTCAGGGCGCTGGATCTGGGGATTTTACACATGCTCCCGAGCAATGATACCCTGTTTTGCATTGTTTATTTTCCTCTCATTTACCACTTCTGTTTTATAATTCCAAAACCTCATCATGGGCGCTGCTGTTGTTGCTATTTTACCCCCTCTTTTATGGGCTGTTGAAAATATACACGACTATAGGTGTAGTATCTGTTATTTTATGGATTCGAGAATTTGGCCAGGGGACGAAACACGGAATAGATACCCTATGCCATTTTCTTCGAATTTGCCTCCTCTTTTCTGCTTCCACTAGTGTTGACCCTTTTGCTGTCACGTCGTTTGATACTCTCTGGGCTTAACTTCATATTTTTTTGGACTATCATCTTTCGTCATGCATTCGGCAGATGTGATGATGGTTACGCGTCGATGGAGGTGTTACCATGAGCAAATCTTTTTTGCTGCCTGACTTACGCACCAGATTGGAGAACATGGTCGATCTCTACGAACAGCGGGTGTTTCATCATGGCAATCGTTGTTGTTACATAACAGAGGTTCAGAATACACGTATAAACCTCATAAACTTATCTAGTATTGGCCATTCAGTCTTGTTAATACCCACTTTTAAACAGCTGAACCTTTGTATTACATCTTTTTTTTTTTTTTTTTTTTTTTTTTTTTTTTTTTTTTTTTTTTTTTTTTGGAGCACTCGATTAAATGAGTAACTATAGTTAGTGGCGCTCCACCGAGAGATGGTATTACTACAATGGAGTACTTTGTACTTTTGTAGTGTGTCGTGATTGCCTAGTAGGTTGATCCTATGCGAAGGACAGCAATAAAGCAACATGAATGGCCCAGGGGACCGTACCGAGCTGTCCCTGAGAAGTGGGTCGGTGGATGGATCCAAAAAAATAACTAATAAATATCCTGTAATTACAGAAACTCAAGGATGCGGTCCGTGAGTTGTTTCCAAATTACAAATCGGATTAATCTCCCGGCTGTGTTAAAGAGCTCTGAATGGCTGTGGTGCTGAGATAAACCGTTTGTGAAATACAGGGGCTTGGTATGGTACTTTTGGTATTACCCGGATTCGTTCAGTATGAAATACTGGGGATATTAATAAAATAAGAAAGATGGGTACAGTACCTACTCTGTAAACAGGAGGTAGGTACTAATGGAACCTCCGGCCGTTTCCCCCTTCTCCCGAGTCCCTTAGAGTCCAGTAATGAATTGGAGTTTAGGTATGCCTGCATCTTGCTTCTAGATTTGATAAATATGCATTTGTGGTGATCTTGACCTATCTATCTAGTCAATCGCAGCTACAGGGAACATCCTGCTAAATTGCAGTTTGTTCGTGGATAATAGGGAAGATAATTGCGTAGTTATGTAATGAGCAAGATTGCTTACTATAGAGGAGAAGAGATTGTGCCAATAAACTTGTTTTATATATATATTAAACTGCGCTGTCGACATGTCAGTTCCAGTCCGTACCTTAAATTTAAAGGCATAATTAGCTTGTCCTATTAATCTTGTTCCTGGGACCCTTTTTGGAAATGGAACGTGATGATTCCGATCGCCCGATGACCCATGGCATAAACATGTCAACCTTCGGGGCCACCATAAATAGTTACCTAGAAGCCTTTTATGACTTCACATTGACATAACTGAAGAGTTTCTACTATATGTAAAACAACTTAAGTAGCTGATACTCCATGCATCTGGTGAAATCCCCGAGAGAAGTCGTGAAGGGCCGGGAGAAGTGATATCATCAGAGACTCTGTTGCAGTACGGACTGATATGTGGCCTGGGGTGATGTCATCATGCAGCCAAATCGACCAATTTCCAAGGCACTTTCAGCTATGTGTGGTTTGCTCCACCCGGGCCCGGGTCGTGCCGATGTGGGCTCCATATGTGTGTGTACTAAGGGAACCAAGTTAATTAGTCTGCCATTTTTATAGAGAGTGGATACTTTTCAGTATGGGTTGATATTACCTCTACTGGCACCTATGTAGGTAGTCGTCGACATGTATAAGAAATGTATCTGGAAATGTGGGATGCAAGGGCAATTTCATTCGGAAAGGAGTGAACTAGAGGGGATTTCCTGGTTTGGCAATAAAAAACTAGGCTATGTTATCAAATTGGTACATGTTCTCAGGTGTGGTACGTCGGAAATATCGGTAGCTTTTACATATATCCTGATCTGTGCAGGTAAGTGTCTTGCCAGGGAATCATAGTGTAGAAAATATAAACATGACTATAGCATCCAATCTTGTTTAATTTAAGCTCGCTTGTGGTCAAAGCCACCGGATTCTCTACCTATAGAATTAGGATCTAACAGGGCGTTTGCCTTTGCCACCTAGTTTAGATTGGCTTTCGAGGTATCTGTATGACAGCCCCGGAAAGCCCACGCACATCTATCTACTTACAACGGAGCACCTAAGAGTAGTAATGAGTCGTACCGCTGGCATATACTATACCTATGTATTGTTACGTGTATTTTATGGTATACTACCTAGGTAATGGAAGGGCTGACACTGGATGAATATTGCGACAACTTCAATCTCCTATCCTGTACTCAACTACAACTCCAACTGTCAGCTACTCGAGGATTCCGTGAATAAGGCAGACCCGAGCCAGGGGCCGTCAGAATCAGCCGATGGTGTTGCAGAGGTTACCCGCATTCACCGTTCACCGTCTGCTCCTGTCGTGCTTTCCATATTCGGATGTGCTCTGTCGCACCTTCCAAAACAAGAAGCTTTCTCCCACCTTCGGCCCTTTTCCCTATTTCTCTCCTTTTCTCTCCTTCTCTCCTTCTCTTCTCTTCTCAACTCTCTCTCTTTTCATCCCGTTTCCATCTCTGTTATCCAACTTGCCCCAATTTACGTTCGTTCTGCGACCCTGCCTGCGTCAATCTTTCTTTTACCTTCCCAGACTTTTCAATACTTCTGTAGACCTCCACGCCGGCTACTAAGTAGACATGGCTTATCCTTCGATGAGCAAGTTTATGACCTTTGTGGTGGTCTGGCTCCTCGCTACCATGGGTTTCGCTAATGGTGAGTATATGCAAATCTTCCTCCTCATTGTGAACTCTCTAGCAAGCTCCTTTGCTGACTATTGTAGATGCCATGGAAGTGCTGGATGGTTTCTATGGTACCAACGGTGCGGCTGGCAAGTTTCAGGTCCACTTCTCGATTAGTTGTTTGTTCTCCTGACTCTCTGTTCTTCCATTTTTAGCTGTCATTGAAGAACACTCTCCCCTTTATCCTGGCCTTTTCCCTCGCGATGGTAAGTCATTCTGATGAGAGTAGTTCTCCTCCGGCCAAAGCATTGCCGTTACTCAATTACTAACTTGGTCTTACAGGTGTTGCCACGGTTACTGTCACCGATACTATCTGTGCTACTCTGAGCCCTCCTGCCTTCTCGGCGACTACGTTTAGCACTGCTACACAGGCTCCGCCTACCGCGTCAGTCACGTCCTTGACGGCTTCTGTCACAGAGAATCCCCCGATTTCCTCTGAGACTCATGGTAACCCTGGTACTGGAACTGTTGTTCCTCCTGTTCCTTCCGTGTCTTCCAGCGACTACTCGAGTGAGAGTGCCTCTCAGACAGCTGGAATTCCCATACCCCCAGTCTCGACTGTGTCTTCTGGTGAGCCGTCGGGTACATCCTATGTTAGCTCTCAGACTACTACTGCTGCTCCATCAGTCTCGACTACGGGCGAGCACTCGAGCACTTACCCAGTCAGCTCTCAGACCACTGGAACTGAAACGGCCGGCACTACCACAGCTCCTACTAGCGCTCCTTCTTCTACTGCCTCCCCTGCTCCAAACGCCGGGGTTTCTCATGGAGAAATAGGAATGCATGCTGTGTATCTGGCATTGGGTATGACGCTTGTTTGCTTCGTGGCTATCTAAGTCAGATATTATCGCTACCGGGGCTGGATGGCTTTGCAAATCTGATGTTACCAAAGACAGACTTGAGCAGCATCTGGTATGACTGATCATGCTTTTTATTTATGGTTTCAATGATCTTACGTGGGGAGATGTTTATGTTTCATGTTTGTAATGGGATGCACGGTGATTACACTCTCTGTTCCTGATGATAATGAGGCAATTGTTGTATCCTAAAGCGGCAGGTATCCGCTCTAATTGAGCCTTGAAAGTTTCAACATTACTTGCATTGTAGATTATACTACCATGGGTATATTCTAAGAAACATACTAATATCGCCTGTAGTTGTAATGAGGAAGCTGGTCTCCAGACCAGGCTGGTCAATGATACGTCGGAATCACTGATCTCTCCTATATAAAAAAAAAAGGCTGTGCCTATATAAGCAGTCGTTCTTCGACATAGACAGACATAGCTTACGAAGCTAATATGGGACGGACCAGTTACTAGACCGAACTATGAGTGACTTACAGCCATCCTTCTGGTAGTCACAAGCCGACACCAGAGCCAGAACAAAGAGCTAAAAGTCGACCTCATGTGTCAGGGTCCCCAATGATATCGATATGCTTAGCCAAAGCACAGATGCGACATCCGTCACCGATTCGGTCCCGGAGGAGCCGGGCAGTCGTCACCTTAGGGCCAACGGTTCTGGACGCGGACAGAGATACTTCATCCAGGGTTTGGGAACGAGACGGTGGGAAAGGTCTGGGTGTTTGGGCGGCCGACTGACTCTCGGGGGTGGGGGTGGGAGATTCCGTTGGATGAATGTGGGACAGATGGAAGACATGTCCGCAAGCGAAGCCGACGAGGACCTCTTTTTCTGTGAGAAACAGTCGTTTAGTTCAACGGTTTTCAGCGCAGAATTGAGAGAGGTGTGAAGTGAGAAGAGTTCATTCTTACCATTAGCATGAAAAGACTGACGACATCCTGCACATCTACCGGCTTGTGATGATGACGTTGAGGAAGCAGCTACTGGGGTTGGGGTGCTCTGTGTGTCGGCGTCACTTTTTACCTCGTCCTTGCCGGAAACTTCGGAGTGAGACTCGGAGTGTTTCTTGTCATCTTCGATAATATTGAATTTGATACCGTGACGTTGACCCTGTCGGAGGGTATTCATGCCAACTGCGACCTCGCTCTGAAGGACCTTTGCAGCGCCCTGGCTGATGCTGGCCTGCAGATCATGGTCTCGAATCAAGCGTGAAAGGCCCTCCCTTAAGCCCTCAATTTCCAATCCGCTGGGGATGCGCCGTACCAGTTTGATCGGGTCGATGGATGTCCCGGCTTCTACGAGAAGCCCGTGGATGAAACGAGGCTTATCCATCGAGTAGTCGAGAAGATCTTCCCAGAGATCTGGTTCGTTCTGGGACTTGGCGAATGTGATGGCTTGCGAGACATCCTTCAAGTCGGACAGAATCAGATTCAACGCTCGCTTGGTCTGGCCCGTTTTGGATAACAGGTAGATAAGCTCTCGGGTAAAATGACGGGCCTCGCATATGGAGACGGCCATGTCAAACGAGTACGAGGTACTGGTTTGCAGGAATTCCATCAGCAGTAGGCGGTCATAATCCGCGAAGAGCTCTACAGCCGTATCCGCAAAAGTGTCAACCAGGGCTTTCCCTTCGTCAGCGGCTAACTTGCTTGCCGCGTCCCGAATGTGAGCACCATGGCCCCTTCGGGGCTTTGCGGCGCCATGAGGGATCGACTCCCCACGCCATAGAGCCCGGAGGTAGAAGTATAAGAATAAAAGTCGGTGGGTCGCTTTCAGTTGATTCACGACAGTCTCTGGGCGAACGATTCCAGTGTACGCTTCACTGACGAGGAGCCTAATAGGCTCGGACGTGATTTCCTCGAGCTCAGCGACGGGTGCCGATTTCAACTGTTCCTTAGACACACGCATCATAATAAACGCTGGAATGTCGTGAGAGAGTTCGTCTAGCAAGCGGTGTTCTTTTATCAAAGCCATGGCCGTGTCTGCATCTTGGAGTCGAATATAACAACGTAAAGCCTCCCCGTAATGGCCGCCCGCGAGATACAGCTTGGCCAGGCAAATCAATAAGATGCGCCAGTCCTCCGATTCAGGCGCCACATTTTCAGGTTGTAATTGCTCCTTGATATTTGTCGCAACGCTGTTGACATCAAACAAGTCGAATGACCACAAATCCACGAGCTCTCGGAGTCGATGTCGGTTTTCAGAAACATAATGGCCAAGGATGGCTTGGTAAGTGGCCGGGGGCAGCGGTGGGCGTAAGCTCGTTGGAATGACAGATGAAATTTCATCTACCTTATCGTGCTTGATAAAAACCCAGATCCAGTGATCCCATCTAGGGGTGGTGTGTAATGCTCTGGCGCAGACTTCGGCAGCACCTATCCAGTGGCCTGTATCCACAAGCTGCTCTATCCAAAGCTCTCCAACACGATCCTTCTCGTACTCGGCAGCAGATCCAATCCCTCGACCCGTAGTTGTCACTGAGGATCTGTCATCGGCAAAAAACTCACCAAGGCTACTTTGTGATCGTGCGGGAGTACCGGGCACGCTGTCACTTGGCTGATGCGAAGTCCCAGCTGCCTCGGGATGCTCGTCGAGTAGCTTCCAAGCTTCTTCATACTTCTCGTGGGCATCTAGCCATCCCAGGCGATCTGTAAGATCCCTTTTGAGTGCAACCACCGAGTCATATGGGCTGTGGATGAATATTTTGGGGCCCTCATTGCCTGCAATGGATTGAACTTCTTTTGATAATGGCTCCTCGACGGAAACACGTCGCGACGAATATATGCTTGGCGCCCTGATAGAGCCTTTATCACCGCTGCTTGTTGTGCTACGTATACTCGCGCCTGAACTAAACAATCGCGCGGGGTACATGGTCGCATCCCACAGTCCGTTTCCGAGGGCTTCTAGGGCCCCCCGTTGAGCAACGGACACGTCGATCTTCCAAGGGGGCAAGGCACATAGGTGGTAGTCTGACGTGGTCAGGGTTTCATATCGACTAACTGAAAGTGTATCGGCACTGAGTTCCTCTTTGCTTTCGATATCGATGATGCGAAGCTCCGGCTCTAGACCTCTAGGCCGACGACGCGCCCCAGGACGACCATCGTGTTTAGTCCGTTCTTCTCCCGGGACATCTATTTCTGCTTCAATGTATGCAAGAACCACTACCAGGTTAGGGGTATATAGCGAAATGCCTGATATAACACAATCGGTGCGTAATCTAGAATTGGATGAGCAATTGGCCCACATCTTGGAGCACGGCACGTACATAGTAGAAACTTCCACGGATCCAATTTTCCGATCCTTGTTACTCTTGTTTGGCCGATCAGGATAGACGTCAATGACCCAGACGGTGCCTCCCCAACCAACCACCAACTTCTCCACCCTTTCTTTGGTGGGAATGGACCAAGTCGGGGTAGAATCATCATGAGACACTTCTCCTGACTTGGACGTGCTCTCGCTGTCCCAAGAGCGATCGTCAACCCATTCAGCACGCGCTTTCCAGACGCCGGCCATCTCTTCCCACCCAGGGAGGTTGGGGCGATCAATGTGGCTTACGCGTTTCCAGGCGAGTTCTGAGTCCGACGACTCCAAATGTAGGTGGGACCGCATGATTTTGATACCTTCTTCATTGACCCAAACAATATATTTACCAGACAGTGACCATTTTATCGTGCTGATAGCCCCCTCACCACTATGCAAGATACTATCTTTTCCCGTATTGGCCCCTAGGCCCAAGGAACCGAGCCAGCTGGTAGCTGTAGCTGCAGCTCCTCCCATGGTCGTAGAATTTGTACTCACACCCACCCGGCCACCTGTTGTGAGGATCAGATCACCCGCCCGCCCTCCTGACAGGAATGTTCGGTCGCTTTTGTAATCTGGGGAGAGCGCCACGGCTTGAACGGGACGGCCGAAATTCCTTAAGAGGATGTCCTTTGGATCAACAAGAGAGGCGACGCATACATTCCCATCTATAGAAGATGTTGCAACGTAAATAGAGTTTGAAGGCGTAGCTGGGATGGCTGGCTGGTAGCTTGACTTTGGCCGCCCTCGAAGGCTGGCGGCCCCGGAGGACTTGATCGAGTGGCCTGTATCTTCGGGAACTCTGCTGAAGGTTTCTGGTCTGAGGTTCGCTAAGGGCAGAGGAAATGGTGAGATTGATATAGACGTGACACTCGCGGAATGCGCATGGTATACGCGGAGTGACTGGAATAGAGGGAGCGATAACACATGCTGCGCGAGTTAGTCATTGACAGCTCCCAAACCAGCAAGGAGGCAGTCCTACAGTATTCCCATTGTGTGTTCCAATTATCTAAGCAGGTCTCAGCTTTTGTGAACATCTGAAAATACTCGAAAATCATACCATCTTGTCCCCAGCAGCGAGGAAGGAGCTCGTTGCATCTCCATTCCTGTAAACTGCTCCTAAATGCTTCGTCATATATGCATATTTCAGTCGGGGCTCCTCCTCATCCTCTTCCTCATCATCCTCATCTTCCTCGTTCTCCTCTTCCGAATCTTCCGCACCTTCCTCGGTATCGTCGTCATTGACATTGTGATCGCCTTCGTTACTCCCGCTCTCCCTGCATCGATTGCGATCGGTAGCTAGTTGAGAGGCACTCTGTCCGGCAGACGTCTCCAACTCTTGGATTTCCTGAATGGAATCATCGGTAGCCTCTGTCGCGCCAGGCGCGTCCATGGCGAGAGCCTTGTTTCCGTGCTTGAAACTGGGATGGGATTCGCCGATGGAGGAGTCTGGATGAGTGACGAGCTGCAGGTGACCTGGCCACTGACTAAGCAGTTCACCCTTCTTCGGTATCAATCGGTATCAATCGTGATGGAGTATTTCTAGAATTTGCAATTAATCAATTCTACGTCCCTTCCCGTCATGTTCGCAAGACCCTATGTCTGCTTGACCTGTAAAAGGCCGGCAGTGTTCAGGCTAGTGAAACAGCCCCGGAGCCAATCCCTTCATGCGTCGTCGCCGTTTAGCCTTCCCCGCCGAAAGGACTTCTTCTCCTCAAACGCTTACCTCAACCAGAAACTCGCGAAATCTGACGATGCGACGGCCGAATCGTTTGTTGAATCACCGAAGCAGCGAAGAAGAAGTGGTAGATCACCGGCGGCACCGACTTCGTTGCGCAGGGTTGCAGTGGAAGCTCAAAGATCCAAGGATGGATTTTTATCCAAGGCCCAACTCAAAGAGCAAGGGCTGTATCAAACTAAAGTACGGGCCATTGCAAATTCATGCCAGAAAAACATCAATTGATTATTTGACCCAAAAATTATAAGAAAACTGTGACAGCTTATGCCGTATCGGAACAATTCAATATGCGGACAGTCAGAACTATCCTCCAAGACAAAGGCTACGAGACGGATCCGTTCGAGACGGGTCTATATCCTCAAGTCCTTCACATCCAGGTTCCCCTAGACTCAGTCCGTCGCATGAGCAATCCTGCGGCAGTAGATTTGCCTTCTGATGAAGTGGGCGACGTTTTCATTTTCCCGTCCGGTACAGTCGTCGCATGGTCGCTTCCTGAAGGCTTTACATCCTTCCTGGCGACTAGGACATTACTTCCGGCAGCTGAGGGCTTTCATGTTGATGATTTGGAGACGGAAGATTTGGAATATGTCGAAGACTCCGCCCGAGAAAATAGCAGCATCAAGGGTGACACCATCATCCTTGGAACCAAGCCCAGTAGTACTGAACTCGAGTCACAGCTGGCTGCTAGACAGTCGGTAGAAACAGTCTTGACCAAAGTGGCCTTCTCCTCTGGACTGGCTCGAAGTACGAAGCTAGCAGTTTTAGAGACATCGCTGTCGAACTATTTTGAGTCTACTCGACCGATCCCTACTCTTCTTTCACAGGGCTCACGCCTCCCCTTTACCAGAGATTTTATCCTCCGCAAGACTGGTCAGCTACTGAGCGTGCGTGCACAGCTGAACCTCTATTCGGAGCTCACCGACTCTTTACCGGATATCTTCTGGGATAGTCGACATGAGCTTGGCCTAGAAGGGTACTATGAACAGGTAGGAAGGGCATTGGACGTAGGGATCCGCATCAAGCTCTTGAATGAAAAAATGGATTATGCGCAGGAAATAGCCAGCGTTCTCCGGGAGCGACTGAGTGAGACACATGGGCTCCGGCTGGAGTGGATCATTATCTTGCTCATTGCTGTGGAGGTATGCTTTGAGGTGTTGAGACTGTGGAAGGAGCGACTCCAAGAAATAGAATCGCGCGATGATGGAAAGACTGCAGAATAGGGACCATTGGATATCTCCATGTATATCACCTCTCTACTCCTATTTCTCATCCAGCAAATACCGTGCAATGATACTGGTAATACTCCATAGCTCGATCTGGCATTATCTTATCAGGTGACAGACTGCATGTGATTCACTGCTGAGTCATCCATCTGTCAGGGATGTGGTCAACTTTCAGCATCATTAGAGTTGCGTCTTTTATAAATACATCGTCGTGGTAGTTACTACTCTCTTCATCACCTGTATACATTCTGTCGATCCGGTTTAAATCTCAAAAGTGTTGAGGCGGAAAAGACCTTTGCAGAAGGCGCCATGATTGTTCCTATCAATGATAATGATTCTGTGGCAAGCTCACTGCGGCAACGACTACTCCAGGGACTCCCAGGACCACAGCAGGTACTGAAGGTGTTGACGGGCTCATTGGGAATATCATCGCTGTCCGGATCAGAATCTGAGCCATCGCAGAACACATTCCAGCATTGTTCCAAACCGGAACTCAGCTGTCAAACGCGGTATCATGGCCAAAATACCTGCTGCTTCAATTATCCTAGTGGACAGTTCCTTCAGAGCCAATTCTGGGACGCCGACCCTGCTATTGGACCGGAGGACTCTTGGACCATCCATGGACTCTGGTGAGCTCGATGACAAGTTATAAGTGGATGATTTGTGACTCTTGGCCTGGACACTGATACGCGCCTCTCTTTTCTAGGCCAGACTTGTGTGATGGTAGCTTCGACCAATTTTGTGACCCGGCCAGGAAGTACAGTAATATCTCATTGATATTAGTGGATTCTGGTAGATCTGATCTCCTGGATGAAATGCGTCGTTTCTGGAAAGATAATCAAGGTGATGACTCGCATCTATGGGAGCACGAGTGGAACAAGCACGGCACCTGTATCAGCACCCTGGAAACTCACTGCTATGATGAATATTATCCCCAGCAGGAAGTGGTAGAGTATTTTGATAAAACAGTTGAAGTTTTCCACAGTCTCCCTACGTACAAGGTTTGTTCTTCACTGCTTGTTAAACCCAAACTCAAGCGAAACTATCTCTGAATAAACCCGTATCGATTAGACCCTTGCCGACGCTGGGATTGTGCCATCTTACTCTAAGACATATACTCGTCGTGAAATCGAGGATGCTCTGTCTAATGCCCATGGCGCCTATGTCTCTCTCCGGTGTCGACATAGCTCTCTGAATGAAGTGTGGTACTACTTCAATATTGCCGGTTCTTTGCAGACAGGCACATTTGTCCCGTCCGCGCCAGGTACTATCTCTCCCTCTCTCTCTCACACATATTTTTCAAACCACCCGGTAAGGGCTACTTGGTACTAACACAAAGCCGATGTTAGACGGTGCTAAGACCAACTGCCCATTCCGGGGTATTCGCTACCAACCAAAATCGCCCCGGAAAGGCACTCCAACCAAGGGACCGTCCGAACCAACAACAACCGGCGCTCCTTTCTCAGGACGAGGCCACCTGGTCATCTCGACGCTGGGCCAACGCAGAGGCTGCATCATTAGCCACGGGGAATGGTTCACCTCCGGAACGTGCGCCACCTTCAGAATCAAAAAGACATCCGGTTCGTCCTGAAATGCCTCCTTTCAACTGAGCAGTAGTGGCTCATATTGTATCATGTTTCTAACTCTGCAATGTATAATAGATACCTCTTTTACGCTACAGTCCAGCAAGGGCGCATGTTCCTTTGAACAGGATGGCTTTAGCTGCGGTCCTCAGATCTCAGCTGCTACGGAGTTTAGCGTAAGTGGCTCTTCCAATCTCCTTCCCCTTATGGATACATACATGCATGCGAATTATATGATTTGAAACGCTCATGCTTATCTAGGCTGAGGGTAACAAGCTCTCCTATGGCGGAAACACGACTTTCTTCGCAGATAAAGCCCCCAAAGGTCGAGTGAAAAGCACAGTGTTTGCTTCGCAGGACGACCATCCAATTGAGTTGGAGATCACTTGGAAGGAGAGTCACTGAGACTGGGTTTTGGCTGTATTTTCTAGTTTCGTACATTGTTTCTGGCAATATAGATTCAAGGATAGACTGTGCAATAGAGAATATATTGATTGGTTTGGTGTAAATGTGTGTAAACTTCTGCTCCCTGAGAAAAATTGTGAGGTCTGTCATCTATGTACGATCTCCCAAATCCTTTCTTGTAAATCAGTGGATTCTATTGCTAATCTAAAATACAGGCCATGGGACTACCAGGGATTAAGTATCGAACAGAAGAGTTGCATGCCTCCAGGAACAAATCAAATCCAATTTGGTACAGTCTTGAAATCCTCGCAAAATCAGGGTGCATAAACATCATATAGCCAAAGCAATAAACGAACGAGGAAACGCAAGAAAACAAAGAAAAGAACGGCAGAACTCCAGCAAATTGGCAACATATTATCCGCAGGTCCCAGAGTTGTCGTACATGTATCGCTGATAAACTTGATCGAAATGGAAAGAACATTCAGAGGAAGAGTGAAATGCCCGAAATTTTTTTGTCAGATGTCAAACAGAAGGGAATTTAGTCATTGAAATCATTTGTCATGGAAATTGTACATGGTCTCGTGTCGTGCCACTTTGAAAGGAGTTGTCATATGCATGGTTTCCAGTCGTTGAATCTTCGGTCATGAGATATATATTGCACATTGGTCAGAAGCCTCGAGGTCGTTGCGTCGTCATGATGCCTTTTAGTTATCTTTTTTCTTTTATTTCATTGACTCCAGATCTCGACTTCATTCCATAAAGAATTCCCTGGTCATGGCGTCTGATGGCTGTTCGTCAACTTGAAATTGGAAGGAAAAGAAATCATCACCCATAGAGGGAGCGGTAGAAAATCCCTTCCCTGGAAATAGATCCACACTGCTTTCAAAGGCAGATGTATTTACGTAGTCTGGGAAAGCGGCCATGTCAGGGTCTGCTAGATCGTGGAATTCATGTTTGACGACACTTGTTGAAGGTTCCTGGCTTATGAAAATATCCAGGTCGGAGCCATTTGAGGAGTCCGTTAAGGTTGGCGCGGTATGCGGCGAGGATAAGCCATGGGCGTTTGAGAATGTACCGTCCGTATATGGGCAAGTTTCCGTGTCCGACAGATAAGGAAGACCAGGCTCCTCGACGATCTTTTCTAGAGGACGCTTGGAAGGCGACAGTGGCAGCATCTCATCCTCCGTGACGGGAGTTAAGGATCGCTGACTTTGGGTAGGCGATGGCTTGTCATAATTGCCCCCAGGAGACGCAGGAGGCGTAAATGTGAAGACCTCGGGTGGTAATGAGTAGCTGGGGTTGCTGAACACAGGCATCTCCCTGGCTGGACTAGGTGCGTGGAGGCTCATGTTCTCGAAGACCTCAGATGGTGGCGAATTGCGCGGAGTGTCAGCCTCGATGGAAGCTAGAAATTTATCCGCTAGTTTCTGACGAGCCTTAGACGCTTTAGCTTGTCGCTCATCCATCTCAGGACGGTGTTTCTTCGGACGACCCCGTTTCGTTGCTTTGCGCACAACTCCCTTGTAACCGCCAATGCACATGCCCCTCTGTCGGTGTCGAGTCAACGCATCATGTCGTGCAAACACGTTGCCGCATAGACATTCGTATGGTTTGTCGCCGGTATGTATCTTCGCATGGCGCTTGAGATCATGGCCTCTCACAAAGCATTTATTGCAATGGTCGCATTTATACTGCCGGTCACCGAGATGGGTCTGAACGTGTGACTTGATATTTTCTTTTCTTCCAAACCGTCGCTCGCAACCTGGATGAAGACAAACCCACTTTCCGTCCTCCGGATCGGGCCCATGGATGAAGGACGCAATTTCGTCCATGGTTACGCCCGTCTCTTTAATCGACGCATGAACTCTGTTGTCTAGGTTAAGATTCTCAATCGATGCCACTCTTGGAGAAAGCTTAGTCTTTGTGGAGCTGGTACTAGAGCGTTCACTAGGTGTCTTTTTCTGGTATGAACGGCTAGGGGTTGCAGGGAAGATTGCGATTCTGTCTTGTCTTTCACTCTCCCCAGTACATGGAATAGCCGCAAGGTCTGGGGAAGAGCGGAAAGAAGACGAGGCTGACGACGAGGCATACTGACTGTGTGAAAAGCTCTCGGACCTGGGGAACTCAAAACTGGAACTCTGCTGGCAGTCAAATGAGTCAAAACTATCCATGTCAAATGATGCTGTATTCGGGGGGGAGGGCATTTCCATCTTCGGCTGCGAGAATGTTGTTCCAGCCACTCCTTGTAGGGATTTGGCGCGCTCCATGTACGACGACTGGGCTGAGCCCAGCATAGCGCAACTCGGTCCTTTGGTTGGTGTTGGCTGTGCGTCGCTGTACTGAGCAAGATCCACTGATTTCTTAAATGGTGTAGTTGCGGGGGTAATGGGGACGTAATCTGTTTCTATTGTTAGCAGACTGGAAAGTTCCGTTAGGAGGATACTAACGTGTGTTGCTATGTTTCGGTGTATGCGGCTGTTGGGGGAGCTGTATGTCTGACTGCACTGATAGTCGTCTTATGTCCGCCGGCACGGTATTCGCTTGGTGTGGAAGTGCAGTCGCAAGTTGTTCGGTCTGGTAGATGTTCCAAGAACCATTTTCGAGTAGTTGTCCGTCGAGTGGGTTGTTACACGAGGCTTTTGAGTGCTGTTGGATCAAATTGAAATGACTGTTCACGGCCCGGCTGTTGAGGCTCCGGCTATCGAGTTTAACCAATGTCGGGTTTCCATAAGCCATGCTTGATTGGCTTTCGTGGTCGGTCAGAGCTTGGAAGTCTTCCTGGCATAAATCGTCGCACTCGGGCACCATCGACATGGGGGTTGCGTGCTGGGGAAAGGTCGTCTGATCAGGATGTGCAAATAGTTGATGGTGTTGTGGTCCTATTATGTTAGTAGTAGAAAGAGAACCATCTGGTACGGCCTGCGGTCGTTGAACAGGTAGAGATCGTTGATCAAAGCTTTGGCCTCGGCGATGAGCATGATATCTGTGCAAAGCCTGTGCTGGAAGGCTGGGAGCTTTGGCGGCTTCAAGGGCGGATGGAGTCGAGATTTGCCTTCGATGTTGTCGCTGTCGCTCGTGAAGATTTCTATGCGGATTGGATAGCATGGTAGGCAAAGGTCTCAACCAGTCGATGCGAATGAGTAGCCGGGAAATGGATAGATCTAATCCAGCATATGTAAGAATTTGCCTGGGCTTTATGCAAGATGCAACTGAATGCATACCTCACGTAGCGCTAGCCTTGAGGCTGGGCCGAGCAGATGGTATTTGAGCCGCCCTATGAGAGTGTTAGTGGGTGACCTCTCCAACTAGAGAACAAACCGAGAGAAGAAGGTTAGATTAGGAAGGAGAAGAAGAAGAAGAAGGAAGGAGCGTCAAAAGATTAGATCGCGCTTTGCGTACGATCTATCTAAAAGACTATATAACGCCTTCCAGAACCTCGACACCAACAGCGATACAGACGAAGCTTCGGCTTCCTGCTGAACGTCTGAAACTGGGGCTCTGAGGAACAGAGAATGGAGAGCGAGACAAAGGAAGTTAATGTATTTAGAGGTTGGAACCAAGGAAAGGTGGATGGGGATGCTGAAGCTATCCCGATCTACCGTCCACGGTTCAGATCAACAATGGGCGTGTTGGCCTAGCAACGCCGCCCGGCTGAGCGTCTAGGAAACCAGCGCACCCTTGGCATGGGCCAGGCGTTTTGTGCAACAGGGTGGATCGCTCCCTGGTTCCAATGGAGAATATTAGAGGGAAAAAGTGGCCCGAACGCAATTAAGGTCGTCGGACCTGCAAGGAGCTGCTTTCCTTACTCCCCCTCGCAGTGCAGACAATACCTCTTTGTCATCAATGGAGTTGGCAGCCAAGGGGTAAATCTGTTGCCTGTGAGGGTTTAAGACATTATCACTCATGATGCTCCCTTGCCCTACAATGGCTAGGAAATAATTGACGCCAGCCAGGGTGATAGTCTGTGGCTCTCGAAGGTGACGCAGTTTTGTTGGCTTTTGCCCGAAAGAGTCAATCTCGTGATTGATGCCTGCATACTCAGGCCACATATTATAATGTAATGGTTCAGTCCCGTGATAAAAATTTTGAATCACATGATGTCGGCATAGAATAGTATTATCCGATAGATTTTCAACGCTATGACATAACAGGAATAGCACCATTCACGTGATCACACAACCGATTTTAACGCACTAAGCCTCCGTCGCATCATAATTCCCACACGATCGATTTCGAAGGTTGAGGAAGACAAGTCTTGTCGAGGTGAGTTATAGAACCCTTATCCTGCTTTCTGAACATGGGATATACGAACATCTGGAATGTCCAAACCTCTATATCTTCGTCGTAAAGCGCGATCTGGTTTATCGACGAACAACAGAAGAATGGACCCATGACAGATGCCAGCGCCCATGCGCACCAGCTGCATATGTTGGTACAATCGCAGTAGTAGTTATCTAACAGTAGCAATGTTACAGGCCTTCATCAAAATGCAGATCTTCGTCAAGACCCTTACGGGTAAGACCATCACCCTCGAGGTGGAGTCCTCGGACACCATTGACAATGTTAAGTCCAAAATCCAGGGTAAGACTATCACACGCTCTCACTTCGTGGAAGAGTCCTAGTGATGGCGAACTTGAGCTTACATGGAATACAGACAAGGAGGGAATCCCCCCCGATCAACAGCGTCTGATCTTCGCTGGTAAGCAGCTCGAGGACGGCCGTACTCTTTCGGACTACAACATCCAGAAGGAGTCGACCCTTCACCTCGTGCTCCGCCTGCGTGGTGGTGGTAAGAAGCGTAAGAAGAAGGTCTACACCACCCCAAAGAAGATCAAGCACAAGCGCAAGAAGACCAAGCTCGCCGTCCTCAAGTACTACAAGGTGGACGGTGATGGCAAGATCGAGCGTCTCCGTCGCGAGTGCCCCTCACCCGAGGTATGTTTTTCCTATCTTGCTTGGTATATAGTAGATGGTCGGAGTGCTAATTTCGTCCCATTAAGTGCGGTGCTGGTATCTTCATGGCCGCTATGCAGAACCGCCAGTACTGCGGAAAGTGCCACCTCACCTACGTCTTCGACGAGTCCAAATAAGTGTACTCTGCACGAATCGTCTCGCTTTTCTTTGTTCCCGGTAATGCCCATTACCTAGGATATTGTCGGTGAAAGAAGCCTGGCAGGTGTCGGATGGAGGAGCATGTTGGTTACAATGGTCCCACAGTAGCCTTCAATATAAAAAATGAATAAAAATTGATAACAACACCTACCCCTGCAACTGAGAACCAGTTCGGCTATCCTGTAAAGCAATATATATATTCAAATGCCGTAAACGACAATTCATGCGCAGTAGGTGAACCAAAAAGAATATCAACAAAAGATAGTCCACCTAGTTGAGGCCCGCTCTGAGATTGTCATACTTGCTCTCTGGGTACGCCAGGGCGTTGGAGGATTGGTCCAGAGCGGACGTTCCCCCAACACCCTCCACGAAGGTTCCAATCAAGCTGCCATCGGCTTTGTTCGCGGCTTTACCACCGCGATCCCCACTGGTTTCCCACCACATGCCGCCGCCAAGATTGCGCTGCTTGATGAAGTCTATTTTCTGCTCCGCCATTTGGACAGTGTCATAGGACACCATGGTCCGAGCTGTAGGGTCGTACGACCACGATGCACCTGCCTGTGGATCGTAATGTTCTGTTGCGCCAGGCCTAGGCAATGCCTTGTAATCCCAGATACCATTCTCCCAACTTCCCTCTCCTACTCCAGAGAATGGGGTACCAGGTCCATCAGTGTTGGTAAACGCTCGTCCGTACAGAGGCATTCCCAGAATAATCTTAGAAGGCGGTACCAGACCAACTTGGATGTAGTGATCGAGCGCTTGGACGGTCGAGAACGGCGTTGAAGTCGGGTTGCTGGTCGAAAAATTGATGTTTGCCTGGTGACCAGCATTGGTATCCCAGCTGCCAGCATAGTCATAAGCCATTAGGTTATAGAAATCTAAGTAGGGTGTCATCTGAGGAAGTTTGAGCTTGGTATAATTATTCGGGCCTGGATGGAAAGATTTAGATCAGCCTGTCGATCCGTGGCGTTGTCCTGTCTACATACCGGCTGGGCACGCAATCGTCAGAAGGAACTTCCGGTTGGAAGCTGCTCTGTCCAGGGTCTAGAGAAAATTCGTATCATTAGTGATGGCTTCAGCAATATTGAGCGGCAACGACTCACCTCACGGCATTTCTGGAGGAGCAGGACAAAGTTCTGTGCTTCGGTCTCATCTGTATCCACGTCAGAATCGGTCTCTGTAACACAAGCCATGTCAGAGGCTGCTCGCCTTTGGGATACTCCCAGTCAACATCGAATCCTGGATCAGTGAAATCAGTAGCTTGAACACGGCCTTTTTCCGTAGTGGACAAGGTTACCATCGAAGCCCAAGTCCAACACAAGCCTGGTGGCGGTCTCAGCGAATTTAGTCCGCCCGGCGTCTGAGCTAGCGGGTTGAGCGAAATTCGAAGAGTAAGTCCATCCTCCGATCGAGAGCAGGACCTTCAGCTTCCTGTTCTGTTTCTTGAGCAAGAAAAACTGCTTGACGCAGCCGTAGGCATTATGGCCAACGTCGTTCCACGAATCGGTGGGGTAGTGCTTTTCGACGTCAGACCAAGTATCGGACAAGTACCTGCGTCGAGGTCAGTTGGAACATGGAAGAATTCATGGACAAACGGAGCGCTCACACTTCGCCAGACTCTGGTCGGACATTGGCAAAAGCATAGAGGACGTGAGTCAATTTATCCGCGGGAAGGTCCTGGGGGTTGTGGTTGCGTCCATAGATCGCCTTCGAGTACCAATGTTGTTAGTAGCCATTTAATGAAAGCAGACACGGGGATCCAGCATTTACCCAGTTGACAAAATACGCAACAGACTTCATTCCCGAAGACATCGTGGATACAGATGAATTGTCAGAGGTCACTACAGAAGCAGGGCTACTAGATTGCACAGGAATTAGAGCCAGGTTTTTGGTTCCAAAATAACGGAAGGAGAAAATGTCAGAAGGCTGAGTAGTATGAGGCAGTTGAGATATGGAGAGATGGCCATAAGTGAAACAAACTTATTTCACTTTCTCTCAAATCAATGGCCACTTCTGAAAAGACTAAAGACTGCAGCCTGCCGTACTTGCTTGAGAGGGAGGACTTACCTTTTGTTGTACGATGCGGGATCGTATGGAAACAATAACAATAGCTGATGATTGGTGAATTCTAACAGCGATGGCGAAATACTGTGGAGTGTGGCTGAAAGGGCTTAGTGGATTATGTAATGACACGTGCTTGACAGGAACAGATCTAAAACGGATGCTACGAGGAGAGGAAGCTTGCACTTTTATACGATTTTCGGCAACTAACAAACACAGAACTTCATCTCGTATCGCTATTCTGAACCCCCTCGGGATACAGTTGGTGGTCTAGTCATTCTTCCGTCTGACCTTTGCATTGCATCTCCCGAGACCAGATAGTCCTATTTGTTTGTGTCCGGGTGACTGCAGTGCTAGTATCTTCTCTTGATGAAGTCCTTCGTTTCACTGAGGATTGAAGGACTAATTTCGATCTTATTTGACTAAGTGATTGGCAGTGCTCATCTGACGAGTACCTATCGACTGGTCACAAGAGCACCGCCCTCAGCCGAAGAAGGTTATAAGTTGGCCAAGGTTCGAATGTCGCGGCGGGTCCAATTCCCAGATAAGGTAGAGGAGCCTCCGCGATGGAAACGATCCCGGATGATGGCTATTGAAAGGCCACGCGTGATATATGAGTCAAGTTAGTTAGTGATTTAGCCTCCGTCATGGGAACTTGGATTGCAGTTTCCTGTCACGGGCTGACTCCCTGGTGTAACATCCAAGGTGAGCCATTCTGGAGGACATCTTAGTATGAATATAAGGCAATATATTATGTGTCAAGCAGGGAAGATACGCTAGGCCTCAGTTGGGCCCACTGACTCATGGTTGGGCCTAATAGTTTTCCAAATGGCTAGGGCGCATGATGCTCACATCGCGGAGTATATAGCTCTACGGGATGCGACAGAATTGAGGACCGTTGCAAGGTTTCTCATGCAGTGTCACAGACACAGAGTAAGGCCGGGATTGAGAACTTAAAAAAAAAAAAAGAAAAAAGAAAGACGCCAGATCTATTGATTTGTTGGATTTGCTCAGATACAACCTTGTTCATTGGCCCCCGTTTTTTCTCCACCGCTGAATGGCCGGAAACCCGGCCAACGTGGCAGATGACACTAGGTATTCAATCCTCGTGGCTCTGAAGCCGAGAGAACTGGAGCCAACTGGTTGGGATCTTGAAGGTCAGAAAGGCCAGTTACCATGGATCTTGACGAACAAGCGTAGGATCGTATCGACCTAAACGCCGATGGTACAGGTTGCTTGGCGTTTTAAGTCCAAAGGTGGACCGTTGTGAACACCCTCAGCTGAACTCTTCCTCGCAGCCACTTCTCTGGGCCATTTGATTGGCACCTACCACTTTAAGCTACTGCAGGGCTCATTTGCACGGCCACTTTTTGATCCCACCGCACGCGGCCTAAACGGACGAATATTATGGCCAGTGTGAGAAAAGCAAAGCAAAGAAAAAGGCCCCAAGGAAGCCCCAGCTTAACCGCCATGCAGCAGTGGAACTGTGGAAGTAAAGTTAGCCCCATTCCTTCCGTTGCGCCCGATGGGTTCCACCTGGTTTTCAGCTGGGATGTGTTCGATTTTTGCGTCCCAAAACGGGGACTAATATATATGGACCAATGTAGTTTCGGTATCTCCGGTGGATATTGACTGGTCGTCGTCCACCATATTCATGATTGCATACGACATTGGACATGTGCGGTCGAGACTTTCTGTTAGCCTCCATTGATTATTACATTGCATTTCTATTGGATGCTCCCAAGAAACACTAAAGAGGGCCCTCGTGTGCATCCAATTTAGTTTAATCTGGATTATTTTATTCTATATCACGCCCCACGTCTCTATCCGTGGGATCCACAGTTTGACAGGAAACACCCAAGGCCCCCGATCTATGGGATCGTGTCTTGAGATGGAAGATACTAGATTACAGAGGGCAATGATGATGGCAAAATTACAGGTCATCGTTCAGCTAGCCAGAGCGAAACTTGATCTATCCACATGAGAAAATGAAATCACCGAAATCAACAGTTTCCACCAGGGGGTCTCATGCCTGACTGGTACAGATGCTTACCCAGTGGGTCCGAGAAATTCAAAATACATCGCCAACCCAAAAGAAAACATGACAACGGGAAGAAAGAAGAGAATAGCAAAGAATTCTCAGTAGGAGCGTCCATCATCTCGCGTAAACGATCACTCATGGGTATATCATCAACGCACATCACAAAAAAACAAAACACTAGAAAAACAGACGCTTTTCTTTCCAGTAAGAATTAAGCGACCTGCGCTTGGTAGTAATATCATGCCACTCGATATTAATCGTAATCGATGCTGTGCCCCCAAATCGTTGGAATAATCATCATGCCTTCTTCGTCGTCTTCCATTCAATCTTTCTTAAGGATGTGAACGTATCCATTGAAGAATCACCCCCAAAGATGGATCATCGTTCACCCAATGACCCGCCCGCACATCTGCAGCTCGAAGGTCGGCAACGACATGCTGGTCCGTCACCTGCACTAGCTCCTGTCGAAAAGTATTGCTCACGGCCTTTAATTGAGCGGCATGCTGAGGGCCTGGTCTCTGTCCTCGGAGAACGTTGGCACGATGCATGGCCCATCGTTTCGCCGCCGCCGCGCGGAGGTATATCTTGTGGGCTTGGAATCGGCGTGCACTTCCATCGAGGATGACCCTGTTGATGATTAGGAAACGAAGCCGATAAAGTAAGAAAGACACACAGAAGGGGGCATTTACCTCTGTAGCTCTGCCTTTTCGGTCTCTGCATTAGCCGCCTGCATTGAGGGCATGCTAGGGCAGTAGTTGGATGACAACAAGTTTTGGGCAGCCGCTAAGGACTCTCGGAGAACCACATAGCCCTCTTCGTAATAGTCCTCCGCCGGGACTTGTACATTCTGCTGGGGGATGTGCAAAAGGAGAGTTCGGTAGTCGTTCATTATCTCTGCCAGCCTTAGGGCACGTGCTTGATTAACTAGAAAGGGTATCCATTAGCATGTCATTGTTCCTCGATGGTACAAAAGACTACATACGTCCATCGGCCATTGTTAGGTTCGTCTATCAGATTTCTCTAGTCGTTTTGCCAGAAAAAGACTAAGAGAGTCTAAAGAATGGGTGACAAGAAACCAATTGAGAAGCAACAGCAACAACAGCAGAAACGAATACTATTATAAAGGCAAGTAAAAGGAAAGCAAGAAACGAAGGCAATTGGCAAAGCCAACTAAAGAAACAATTGAAGGACGAGCAACTCTTGGGAATGAATGTTTCATCTGAGACAAAAAAATTCCATCCCATGGTTTGAGAGGGTGAGATAACCCTTTTAAGGTTATTCGCACTCCTTGGACAGTACCGACGGTGTTCATAAGCCGAGTATGGACAGCTTTACAAAAGAGGATCATCGTGGATCGTGGCTGGCTGCACCAATGGAGGCTGATAATGGACAACCAGGACATCACAGCTAGGGACTGCAGCTGGGTAGTAGCAACCATGGTGGATCTATAGCAAAAGGAAACGTCCATAAGATTTCCGGCCAATTCGGTATTTTTTTTTTCGGTATTATTATTATTATTATTATTATTATTTAATTTCCGCCAACAAATCGAAAGAGAGGAATTGATATTCTAAGCGCGAAACTAAGCAACGAGTCCAGAGGATATGAGTGTCTGATTGAAAAACAGAGGTAAAACACATAGAGAATAATACGAGAGAGAGACAATCCTACAGATCTGAGAAATTAAAATATTTTATTTTTTTTTTTAAAAAAAAAAGAAACAGATAAAATAAGACAAGAGAAAAGAGGGGAACTAGAACCCCACAGGACCGAATGCATAACAACATCCTCTCATGTGTCAAAGAACCATTCCAGCGGGAGCTCATCCATCGTGGCTTTCCTGGCACGGACTGGGTCTTCGAAAGACAGTGCGTGCATCTCGCAGGGTCTGGTCTTAGTGCGCAATGGAAATAGGCGAGGGCGAAAACCACAAAAAAAAAAAAGAAAATAAAAGAGATACAGAGAAAGAAAAAGACTGAGCAATGAATCAGTTCGGCCAGACACTAAAAGCCAGCTGGGCTGCTTTACCTAATTAGCGGTAGTGGGGTTCCGCCACTGACTACAGTCTAACGAGTATCAGGCAGGTCAATTCCTAGGCCCATAGCTAGGGAGGTACCTCAAGGTCCAGTTCCATTATTCTCGGTTTCAGGTTCGGAGAAGACCAGAAAGGAACAACACATTGTCAGATTCTATAATTATTCCATTCCATTCCCCTTTCCCTGGGATAGGTTGACGGCGACGGCGCGAAAGCCACACCAGTACAGCTCAGCCACAGTTGTTGGCTGGTGGCCAAGCTGAAACTCTGTGCTGCCTGAGGCATAAAATATACAGTGACAGTCACTGACTGACTAGGGTATGGTTCCGACGGAATGTATTTATTTATCGGTGGCGATATCCACATCAACGGGACTCATTCCACCCCATTCCATTCATTCAGCAGCCAATCAGTTAAACTTCAGTCCACCGGTGGCTCCATCAACTTGCTTGTCTGGGGCTATATTTTGCATAGCATCACATTTGTAATTGTGATTCCTTTTGCTGGCCGGGGTTTTACCTTGAATGAATGCAGTATGGTTTTGCATCGTGTTGCATCGCATCGCATCACGTCTCATACATTGCCCTTGCGATGATGGTTAGTTGGTTGGCTCCCTGAGAAAACAAGGACCTTGCAGAACGTGATGGGTGAACGATTGACAAGTCAACTGGATTGGAATAGTTCGATATGTATCCATCCTCGATCTCTGAGAAACCTGAAGTCGCCACCGGTCTGGAGAGGGGTAGGGAGGTAGTTAGGACGGATCATCCATGGTACGTTACATACATAGGTAGCTACGGAGGACTTGCCCTTTCGATCATTGTAGACAGATTAACTGCAAGGAGGAGGAGGAGCATCGACAAAAGAAACATTGTCCAATGTCCAATGTCACCAATGAGAGTTCAAAACGACCGGTGATATTTCATGTCATCTGCGTCTAGTAACATGCGTGTTCTCAACAATCAATTAATCAATCAATCAATCAAATCCATTCGATCAATCCTTCTCGCTAATGGCCTGCAGCCGCTCCTCGATCTCATCTTCCGTCAGAGCGCGGAATCCAAGGTCTGTTCCCTCCTGGCCATCTGTCCGAGGGCCGCCGACGATTCCAATTTCCAACTCGTGCTTCTTGAAATCGACGCTCAGCACATTACTCAGCGCTGTGATGCCCAACTCAACGACCTCTTCCCAGCTGCCTTCGGCGTAGTCCTTGTTCTTCAGTTTCTTTTCCAAGTGGTTGAGCCCCTCCTGCTGCTTGGGACCGGATGCAGTGGCCTTGTATCCGGCATAGTACCCTGCGGGATCACATTTATAAAGTTGGGGCCCCTTCTCGGAATCCACCGAGATCAAAGTCATGGCAACTCCTAGCGGACGCATGTAAGCCTGCGACCCAGATTTAACTTTAGTATATCCCTTAAGTTCCACAATATCACCCAGGTGGTGCAAAGGAGAGAGAAAACCGACCCTTTGTGTGTAGACCTGGTTGATATTGGCCAGTCGCTTGGCAAGAACATCACAAGGCATCTCGTAGCCAAACTTGTATCGGAACTCTGCCGCCTCCCCACGAGCACGGTCGACACTTGCTCGAGCATCGGCTATGGAGCCGGTCATAACGCAGCCAACGGAAGGAGAAAGCTTGAAGATATGTGAAACGGAGGTCGGATCGATCAATTTATCCTAAATTGTGGAAGAATCAGACGCAGTCGGAATCCCGGGGGGTGCAGCAATCTGGCTTACAGCGACTTTCTTCTGGGACAACACCACAGCACAGTTCTTTCCTCTCACCCCAAGCGAGGTGATATTTGCAGCAGTAATGGCTTTGAATGCATATTCTAAGGACAGGACCGGTTAACCAAGCCCCATAGCAACGACGGAAGTCGTAACCGGAAAGGTTCAATTGTAGTCCAGTCCCGACGGGGTATCACGACCAGAAATACATACCCACTTGATACAGGCGGCCCTGGTCTGAAAAGATCGTGATATGTCTGTCGTAACCTGCACTTCCTATTCATGGCGGTCTTGTCAGTTCACGAAGTCATGGACATTAGGGAACCAAATGGCCGTACCGGACATGGTGACGGCGGCCAACTGTGATCTTCAGGAAACAAGGCAGAACAATTATATAAAAGAAGCACAGTAGAAAAGGTACCAAGGAGCAGACGGATGGAAAATCGGGAGATGGGAAGCGAAACGGCGGGGATTTCCAAAGGACGCGTGCCAAAGGGTGCCTGGTCGAAGCTCTGAGCTTCGATTGAGTAAGCTCTCAGAAATCCGTCACCGCCTTCCGCTGGCACCATAAAACATTAATATCCAGAACCATTTCAGACTACCTATCTCAGGTTTGGAATTAAACTTTACCTTTTTTGGGTTATTCAGTAGTAGTGACCTTGGCTAAAGACAAGATAAGTCATGCCAGACATCTATCCATACATGCTAAAGACTACAACAGCTATGATCTTAGGCCGAGAAAACTCCAGGTGCCTAGCCCAGGTATCAAACTTTTCGCTAGAAACTTTTGGAAATAATATATGTGGAGGGAAATAAGAGATGTAGACATAATATGAAATATGCAGGGGAATAAAGAAGGATGTAGGACAGATCCTCCACAGGAAAACGAGAAAGAGCCTAGAACCAATTTTCGTTCCGACATCAAGATAGAGAATTATGGTGACGATGAAGATGACGACCCATTTGAGCTGGTGCTTTCGGAGTCGCTATCATTGCTTGAGTTTGAAGACGAATCACTGGGCTTCTTGCGTTGGGTTTTCGTAGCATTGTCATCATCGCTATCGCTGTCACTGTCACTAGAGCTCTCGCTTTCACTGCTACTTGAAATCTCCACGACAGCAGTCCGATTTTTCTTTTTCTTCTTAAGAGGCTGGTTCGGATTAGCGCCGTTCGCTCCCTTCGCCTTCTGCGCGGGTTTTGGTTTCTGGAAGATAAACAGAGTACCATTGACGGCAAATAGCAATAGCTCTGCTCGCAGTCTCTTCTCGAGTTTCTTCAACGTCTCTCCATCCAGTTGATCGGAAACATCAACGGTGTTCAACTCGTCCTTTTTGTCCTGCGACAGGCTCGCTCTAAAAGCATCAACAGCCTTGTTGTAGCTCGTCAGGTCCGACCTAGAGCTCCTTTCCGTTTCTTCTGCAGTATCCGCATTGCCTTCCGAAGATGTCGCCTCTACCTCTGCTCTCACGACTTCCCCGGCGATTTCACGTAGCCGCTGCTTCGCACCTTCGCTCTTTAACCCCTGAAGATATGCAAGAAGCGCAGCGTTGTACTGGGTCGGAACATGCTCCAGCGACAGGATGTTTTTGAAGAGATGCGTCTCACGGTTTTTCTGGAATTTCCAAGCCGATCTATGTTTGTAATAGAGTCTTAGATATGATAGAATAGAAGTCTCGTGAATCTTTGGTGACGCATTATTAGCAGTAGCGGTTGATTCTCCCTCGGTCGACTGTCCGTCCTTCTTCTTCTTCTTCTTCTTCTCCTCCTTTTTCTTCTTACTTTCATTCTCATTCTCTTTATCCTCTACAGGTGAATCAGACTCATCATTTTCAACAGCAGCACCATTCGCCTTTGAAGAATCCCGATTATCGCCATCAGATTCTCGGGCACTCTCATCACCATCATGGGTCTTCGTCTCCGCCGAAAAAGATACCTTGTTCTTCTTTTTCTTCGTCTTCTGTTTCTTGTGGGATTCAGGTTCGTTCTTCTTTGTATCAGTTGCGCCGTCATCCTCATGTCGCCGCTTCTTGCTTTTGCGCGCCTTCATTTCCTTCATCTCCGACTCCTCCATAGTGGTATTTCCCTTGTTTGTCTCGGCTTTTTTGTCGTCAGAGTCCTTCGCATACTTGAGCTTCAGGCCTAGTTTCTTCCACGCCGGGACGTTCGCCGACGCCGAAGAGTCTGAGCCTGCCATTGAGTGAAGTTGTTTTCTTTCCGTTTTCCGCTTTCTTGTGCAGTCGAATTAACTGATCCGTCTTGGTCGCATGTATTTGGGGATTTCAGGTCCATCCCAGATGTAGTAAGGGAGACAATGAACTGTTCTTCGTGGTGTGATTGTTGGTTGGTGTTGAAGGAAATACTATTTATCTGGGAAAATTTCCACATGAGCCGCGGAGCTTTGACCGGGCGGAATTTTGGCTTGATCCACTCTGATATGCTACATGTACTCTGTACAAACAAGAAATATCAATTCTGCCCGAAATACGTCCTATGATTGGAAATAATTCCCATGAAATCATCATATTACATTATCATGCTGCCCTATTACCGTGATCCTATATACTGTCCTTTTCCGTTCCTCGACTCCTAATAACTCCAAGCCTTTAATCACCAGAGAATGCCACCAGAGGCCAACAGATGCACCTGTCAATGGATCTGACCTATGAAACATTTCCACTCGCGTTACCGCCGCTTTCACCTTCCCGCTTCTCTCGCTTTATCTCCCTTTGCGTCGTCCCTCCTGATGCAGCCGCCTTCCGTCGCGCCCGTTCCCGCTCCCGCTCCTTGTCTCGGGAGCTGACCCCCGTTGTCCGCTTCCTTCGGGCTGGTTCATAAACGTCGTTGAAGTTCATGACCACACCGAGGAATCGCATGTCCACGTCCGGCTGGTATGCAAGGTCTCCCAAGAGGACGTTCAGCCGCGATCGGAATTCTGCAGATAGGTCTCGAAGGCGAACACGCAGCGAGGCAAGCATGTTGTCATCGACGGAGAGATCGTAGTTCATAAGGGATGAGGGTGTATCGACGCCGTCGCCGGAATGTCCGATATTTGGGCTCTGGGCCAACGATGGAGAAACTGATGAGATGGATGCTTTGTGCGCCTGCTGCCGAGACGATGCAAAAATATCGCGCTCCGAGACGCCCCAGCGACCTTGAGCCGTGCGAGTCTCAATCCTGGCGCTGAGTTCCTGTCTTCGAGTGAATTCTGCGACAGAGAATGAATAGAGTCCATCGACAGCGTCCTTGTACGCGAGCATGATCTTCAAGATCTGGTGTAACTGCGTCAGGAAGCCCTCCTCCGGATACTTGTTTGCGGATGTGGATTTGGATGACGAGCCGAGGAGACCCTTGTGTGTAATAGAATTGAGATAGTTGGTATGCGCTTCAATAAGATCATCCAATGTGCACCCAGGTTTTGAAATTGACGCCTGCAATTGATCCCAACTAGCCTCGATGACCTCAAAGAGAATGTAATATTGTAGCTGACACACAAAGTGGATCATTTCGGCCATTACGCACCGAGCGCGTTTCCAATCAGGCCCAACCTTGTCATTTACGTTTCCTAGGACACCCCGGGAGCCAGTCATGCACCGTCGCCAGATGCTCCCTAACGCGAACTCAACGCGTTTAACACGCCAGAGAAAATTAAAGACCTTGAGGTACTGCGTCGAACCCCAGGGCGTAATGACCACGTCCACTGGTGCATCGATTTTGTACTCCAAGGTAAAACAATCCCAGCCAATTTCGCCGTGACTAAGCTCTAACATCCGAGCATCCAGGCGGCGGAGGACATCCGGGGAGTCATACTGCGCATTAGAAGCGCGAATAGCATGCTCCAACTGAGCGGTCAGTGTATGTCTATACTGTGAATTGGCGGGCCGATCAAGGTTTGAGGCCAGTGATTCCATTAGCAGGGCAATGAAATCACCCTGGCCCAGCAGCAGATATTTCTTCAATGCCTTGAGATGATCAAACAGCTTAAATTTTTCGTCCATGAGATGGATGAGCCGTGCCATGGTGGTTTTGTAGGCCTCGTCGATCGACGTCTCTAGACTTGCCGTATCACCGTATCGCAGTTCTTTTGAAGCTTCCTTTGAGTAAGCTTCGACCCAGCCAGAATCTCCGCAACCGTATCGAATGAAGTTCAAGGATTTCCCAATAAGAAAGACTTTCTTCGCAAACTCCTGTGTTATGATGGAAGGTACCATCTCATTGTCTAGCTTGTATTTGTCCTCCCACACGCTTGTCGCAATGCGTCGGGGGTCTGTGCTAGGTCTGAACTCTGGCTCAACAACGAAAAACTCCTTATACGGATCAGAAAGCTCGCCATCGTAAATCCAAAGTCGTAGCATATCATAGAATGGTCTTGTGACGTGTGCGAGAAGCTTCTCCGCGAAGGCACAAACGAAAGGATCCCCATGAGAAGTCGAGAACCCGTGTATCAAAGATATAAGTTGGCCGCCTTTCTTGTCTAGAATACCATTAGAATGGATTTTTTTTTTTTTTTTAAATTGATGGAAGACTTACTTTGAGCTTCCTCAACAATGAGACTCATAAGCCGCAGTGCCATTGTCGCGTCTCTTGTCCATACGGCGCATCGCTTCAAAGTTACTCCAGTTTTAGACGCGCTACCTGGATTACTGAGGTCTTCTGACGCAGCCAACGCCCGCCGAATTTCTCCTTCCAGTGTCGCGACTAAGCCCAGGTAGGACCGAAGCTCATTCGAAAGAGCTGCCCGTAAGCTCTGGCTAAGAAGACCACCGCCCGAGTCTTCAACAAAGGCTGTAAGTCTCTTATATAACAGGCATGGTTCAGCGATGGTGTTAAGGAGAGAAATCATCGGGATAGGAAGCGTGGGCGGTAGATTTAGAGTTGAAGATGAGGAGAATTCGAGGCTGGAAGATGATAAGCCTTGCAAATTGAACGGAAGATCACGCAAGAGGCCATGTTCGGCAGGCCGGGTCAAGCTCTGTTGTGTCCCTGACGGACGGAGAGTGCTTCTCTGCTCTTCCGGGTTATGAATATCCCTTGGTGCGGTATTGGACGGATCACGGTTTGACCTTTGCTCTTTGGCTCTCTCACTATCTTGCTCTCGGTTACTTTCATGCACTCCGTCTCGTTCTAGCCGTCGAAAAGAAGCCCTCCGTTCCTGTCGGTCAGGTAATTGCGACGCAGAGGAACTAATAGCAGGTCCATCCTCGTCCCAATTATCAGGCATTCGTCCTCCTGCATCTTGTCTTGGCTTCTGGCCCTTCAAGTGTATGTTTTGTATATTCCCTTGCTCCATCTGTGGAGTCCAGCTTCCCCCCTCTTCATCCATCTGCTCCTCGTAGTCGTCCGAACTCGATAGCCGATAGAGTAGATACAATATAGCCCACTTTTGCGACAGCACAGGCTGGGTCAACAAACGCGAGTACATGTTGGAGAATCGTACAGCCTTATCAGGACTCGCATTCTCACGCAATAGCTTCCGCTTAATCAGATCGGGGGCATTGTTGATACTATCTGCACCTGCTAAGCTTCCTCTGCGATTACCCCCCAAGCCTACTCCACCGGAGGGGGAAGCCAGATCGCTAGGAAAATTTGAGTACGCATCGAGTATGCGCCACGAGCGTTCAAGGTTCTCTCGATTCCGCTGTGCTTCAGCCGCTGCGAGGGCTTCTGTGTCGTCGGAAACGTCATTGCCTACGGCGGACAGGGAGAGCGGGGGAGTGAGGGATTCGACGAGCTGAGCAAGGGCCTCGTCGACGCGACGTGGACGCGAGGGCTGGCGAGTGGACATTGCTCTTATCCCAAGCAAATTCGGCTTTTGTTCCGCTGTGTATCACTCGAATCCGTGAATTGCAAGTCGCCGCGTCGAGTGAATGCCGAGGCAACAAGTAGGTTGGGTGTTTAAGACGGCGAGGCGAGGTGAACTACGAAGGGGATTCTTGAGTTCACTGAGAGTAGCGCAGATAGTGCATTGCGACCTATACTGTCTTTGAAAACGGTGATCCAGTCTCGATTGCATCGATTTCACTTGCCGGCCAGACAGCCTCGAAATGCATCGGCTGCGTGTGGAGAGATATTTTTTGTTTGGGTTGTTTGAAGCCACCCGCGTCTTGCCAAGCCTTCAACGTCACCCTCATCTTCGCGTGGAGGAAACTATGAAATAGATAGCAGCTACAGAGTCTAATTATTATAAACAATTTCGGAAATAACTCGGATTAATACTCAGCATGCTCCATTGATTGACGCCTACAGACATCTTGACATGTGAGATTGTAACAGTAGGAAGTTATGGTAGAACAAAAAGCCCCCGTTGCGCCACCTAGCAAAAACCGCAGAAACAATCAGAATTCAAAAAAAAAAAAAAAAAGGCAACCAGCAACCCACAAAATATCAAACAAGCGAATAGAAAACCCTTGAACAAGGGAGGCCAACCAAATTATAGCAAGGAAGGGAAAGAGTATAAAAGCAATCAAGCGTACACGGCACATCAAATCACATCCTTCAAGACGACCAGTCTAGGGGGTCCCTCGAGAATGAAGGCTTAAGCGTAGAAAAGGACAAGGCAGAAAGAAAAAAAAGTAGCAAATAAGCTTTTTGCGCCGAAATTGCGCCTCCAGTGATATCCCATGTCAGACCCTCAGATTCAGTCGACCGTTTTTGGAATTCGTATACATCATTAACACCTACCCATGCCAGGGGCCGCACGAAGAGCCGAAGCTGAAAACGATCGTAACGCGGGCACAAGATCCCAGCTAGCGAACCCCGAGCTCTGACCAGAGACTGGTCTGCGCTTTAACACAATTGAGGAGAAAAGCTGTAGCTAGGGACGTAAAAATGGACCAAGATCGGGGCATTATTAGGACAGCGGTCTAGTAAAAATATTTTTATTGTCGTCGAAGGCCCTGCGCAGGAATGGGTGCACCCGGTTGCATCCCCATATTGTTGGGGATGTTGTACGGGTTGGAATCGAAACCTGTCGACATTCCATTCATCATCAAAGGACCAATTCCTTGCGCTTGGGAGACTGGACAATCCTTATGGGCAAGCAGTAGGGTCTTTAGGTTCACAATTTCTTCACGCAGCTGAGTTACTGTGGCAGTCAGAGCATCATTCTCTGAAGTAAAAAGTTCAACCTTCGCTTGTAGGTTGGCAAGCCACTGCTTCTTTCGCTGTCGACATTTAAGTGCCGCAACCCTAGTAGTATCTGTGAGCATCGCTTGCAAAAGATTTAAGGCATCGATCTGAAGGTTCAGAACATACCGATTCCTCTCTAGGAAATTCTTCCGCTTCTCTTCATCCGTCATCTTCTTTGAATCAGTCTGGGGCTTCTTCTTTTGCTCATCTTCTTCGTCCGACTCTCCCATATCAGAGTGAGGTTCAGGACTACCAGATGACTGGTTCATCTTGGCCCTTTTATTTGGACCTTTGGCGGGAGTGTCATCGGCTTTGCGCCTGTTGTTCGCGGCACCACTAGCTTTCGTGTTCGTGTTCTTCTTAGATTTTCCTTTAGGACCCGGTTTTGCCAGTTCCCCTTGAAAATCTGAAGCATCCCCACTGGCTTCCCTCCCATGATTCGAGGCCCCGTTCAAGTTCTGAGAGCCGCGGTTGTCTACACCGGGATCACGTGGCTGGTCGTTACCTTGAAGTGGCTGGTTCGACATGAACTGGTTGGCGCCCGTCTGTCCACCTTTGGCTAACATGAACAACCCATTCGCCGCATCCGCGGCATCATGATGTCCGAACGGATCGACCCCTGAGGACTGGTTGCTTTTGATATCCATGGCTGCGCTTTGGGATCCTTGATCGGGCTCAGAAGTTGGGTTGGAAGTGGGACCATTCAAACTGTTTTTCTTGGCAGTGAGTGCTGTGCGATGGAATTCAATGGTTGAAGGCGTTGCGCCTCCACTCTGCAGTTGCTGTAAGAGGGCCTGGGAGTTAGGACTGGGCGCTGGGAACATAGAACCTCCACCACCAGGCGTCAGTCCAGTACGGATTGACGATTCGTTTGGAGTCGGAAAGCCTCTGCCAATGCTATCAAAATAGTCATTAGAACCAGCAGGCCCAGGCAACATGGCAGGACTCAGCGGTCCAGAGCGCAATGAGTTTGACCAGTTATAGCCACCGCCCGCAGAACTGGTACCTGGTATGGCAGGAGAAGTGAGTGCTGCAACGGGAGGAAGGATCGATTTCCCCGGTGTCTCACCAGAACCACTACCACTACCACTTCCGCCTCCGCTAAAGGACTGTTCAAAGGGGTTCGGTTCCAAAGAGAAGGGGTTATGGACCGAGTTAAAGTAATCGGGAGTATCAGCAGCACTTGTTATAGCAGGACGTGGAGGAGGTGCCAGCGAGGATTGTTGATCTGCATCGGCCTTTTGCTCCTTGGTCTCTAGCAATGAAGCTTTAGAGTCTGCAAAGTCAAGAATATGAGTCAGCGGATAATGTGATGGTGAAATAAGGCGATAAAGGCTTAGATGTCGACGATAAGATATCAATAATGAGGTGTGGTCAACGGGAAGAATGCGATGGTGTATCAACCGTGCCGTCAGGGATCAGATAGCAGAGCCCCATCGATGACGCCAATTGTGAGGTCATCCCGGCGGCAGAACAGACAACATAAACATCTGGACAATAGTGGCGCGTGCGTCCATGGCAGAATAAATGCGTGACCACAAAGACAGTGTGAAAGATACCAAGGAATGATACTAATGAACAAGAGGTGGGGAAAAAAAGGAAGTTAAGCGATAAAAATAAGCGACCCCAATGGGCTCAAGCGCAAGGAAATATACCAACCTTCGGCATCTAACGCGTTCTTTTTCGAGTCCATTGGGGGTGGATTACGAGTGTGATTCGCTAAGTTGCTTGCAACAGTCGAAGCAACAGCTGCAGACATAATAATGGGCTGGAGGGGAACGATATAGTAGACGAACCTTCGGAAGGGGCTGCAGGTGACCGGCAGAGAAGAAATGGGTTCAAAAAAAAGGGAAAAAAAAAAAAAAAAAAGACAAGCGAGAGAAAAAGTGGCAAAGATAGAGAGTCAAACTCGTAGGAGGGAACAAGAGTAATATAGAGAAAATAAGAGCAATGAGAACTAACGCTAAAAGTTTGAGGCTGCTTGTTGATATCGGGATATATCTGTCTCTCTCTCTCTCTGCAGAGTGTTCACGAGAGTAACTGCGAGGGAAGGGAGATGAGAAGTTGTGACGTAGTCGGGTTTAACAGGGAGATTTTAGGGGGGGAGGGGAGGCGGCGAGAGTGTCATGAGCTAAGCGTTCTTCTACCGGCTACGAACTCGACGGCTGTCACGCCAAAACTATGCAACCCTGGGTGAGTACAAATTCCCACGGGTCCCAGCCAGAGTGCAACCTCGAAAAGAAAATCGAATAAACTTCTCTACAGAGGAGTAGGACGATTTTATTTTATTTGATTTCTACTTTTTTTTTTTTTTTTTTTTTTTCGTGGAGAATGCTGTCGACGCTTGTCTTTGGCAATTTTCCTACTAATTTACGATTGATATGATTGATTTTTTATATTTGTGCGTATCGTCTTGATTTCTAATCGACCCCAGGAACTTATTCAATCAATGGTAATGAAAGGGGAAAAGCCAACTCTATAACAGCAAAGGGGAAAGAAAATCAAGGATTGAATGTATTATGCAGCCAAAATTCTGGCCCTTGCTTGCAAGTAGTCAGAAACTTTGGAGATAGTGGGTTCCTAGTCATACTTCTCGACCAATGCCGATGACGGAAGCCATGGAACAGTCGACAACAGAGAGAGAAAGGGGGGAGAAATATGACAGAGAGAGGAAAGCTGCATCGTTCCTTCGGAGAACAATTTAAGAGAGACTGTGAAACTTAAAATGGGCAGCAACACTATATCTCCAGATTGAAACCTGAACTATGAAAAGACCTCCAGCGATGGGGAGACAGAAACCGGGATGAGATCACGGTGACGACGACAGGAATTTTTCTGGGCTGATCGGACCAACCAAGTGGCCACTCACAACATGTTACCGGCTCCACTACGGCCAGCCACTCATGAGTATCGTTCCATGGAAGGTCCCCCTCATAGACAGAGTTGGATCTGCTGTCGAAGCAGGGACGAATCAAGATCGGTGCCATGTTTGTTCTCTTGCAGGGCGGTCAGAGTTCTCGCTGAGATGGGATCCAGGGTATTACCTAGTAAGCAGTAGGCACGGAGTACTGTAGCAGGGAAATCTGCTTTACCTGGGATCATACGACAACCAGGTACTCCGTAGTATCCCTTCTGGTTCCGTCCTCCGTCAGGGGAGTCACTCGTGTACATTGACTGATACCGCCATCCATCATCCATCCATCTGCTGATTGGACCCGGAGTGATGACGCAATACCATCATGGTGATGTTCGTTTCGCTGTCATCTATCACGTGATTGGTCCTCGGTTGATCTCGTTGGGGCCTTGGGGCCCTGAAAAAGGATGGGTGGGTTTGCTGGATTGCCACCAAAGAAATGAAGTCTGGACAATCCAGAAGGATCTGTAGGCAGGCACCCAGCGGACTCACTTCTAGTCCACCCGGTGGAGATGTAGCTGCAGTTCTGCACTACGGGGTACGTAGGTACAAAATTCAAGTCTAAATCGACTGTATTCCTCTATATATTAACAAGAGGATCCATTGTGCAGATGCGGAGACTTGTAAATTAGGGCAAAGCTGGCAACTATATTCAAGTATGCGGGGCTCCAGAAAGATACTTTTCTTTGCAATCCTTCACCTTCATGGCGCACTGGATATATCAGATGAATGCAGATGGGTTTGGTTTTGGTGTTCTAATACTATTGTTTTATGAGATTATCGATATAATAAAAGGGGTATAACTTGAAGTGAAATTAAAGATATCGCATCTATTGGTCCTCCACTTTTTCTCCTTAACCTTTTAAATAAATGGAAGCAATGACGTCTTGCGCCCCTCAATTCTTGATTTTTCAACAATGCTAGCAGTGGGGGATTCCTACTAGACCATTCTAGACTAAGGGTCGATTAATTTGGCTAGAAGTTCGATTTTTCAGGTTATCCCAGAGTAAGGAGCATACTTTGTTGGAATTATCACTGGGCATTAGTATACTAATTAGGTATGATATTCTAACGCTACTGCGTACAAGTCACATTACGTACTTGAGATTACTAGGTAGGACGGAGTGCCGTCTTTAAAATAACAAAATTATCCTATAAAACTTAAATAAATTATAGCAGCTTGCATGTTGCATATGCTCATAAAAAAAATCTATGTCTAATCCGAACATCCCTGATCTCACAGATGCTATTTTATTAAGCTTAAAGTCTATCCATGATCCCAATATTTCCAACGCAGGATAGATTACATGATCTGCAGGGTACCTGATCCTTGACCATCATGTCAGGTGGGTTAGCACAAGGCAACATTCAGCCTTGTTGTACGAGGCCTAGTCGTGGTTTATGTTGGAGCCTAAGGTAGAAAGAAGTACTAATACCCCTTTAAACAAAGGGAAGATCGCCCTTATTCTTTGGACACCTTCATGGCTGCTGGCAATGGTGGCAGCCACAATCGGCACACAGCATGGAGTCTCCATTTGGGAAAGTCTTCTATCTCTCATCTTTTGCCTTGGGATCATTTATTGCAAAAAGTCTCCTTGACCAGTATGGCACCCTTCCTTTCCATCTATTCTACTCCAGCATTGAGGTGCATTCGTATGACGAAGCGTACAATTATCTCATGTTTTGGTTGATGAAAGAGCACTTCAATGAGAATAAGAGCCATCTGATTGCGAGCACGTCTTTGAATTCTGAGATGTACGATGGAAATGATACAGATAAAAGCAGCACCGATGATTTGTATCCAGATCAGACTGTTGATGCAGAATGGAAAGCCTCATTGGCCAATACTCGTCCACTTTTATGGACGCCCTCGACCGGCACGCATCGCTTCAGGTTCATGGGTCGAAACCTGGCTCTCACCAGAGAAGTGGAAGAGCGTGGCACAGTGGTCTACACAAGGACGGAGAAGCTGCGGATCTCATGTCTAGGGTGGGATTCATCAGCCTTGAAGCAGCTGATGCTGGAAGCCCGACTGGAATTTTCGCAGAAAGAAAAGGGCAAAACCGTCATATACCGCGGCACTAAAAGATACGAAGAGTTTATATGGACGCGATCAACGTCTCGTCCCGCCAGACCTCTATCAACCGTCCTGCTTGAGGAGGATCGAAAGCATGATTTCATCCAAGACGTGCAACAATACCTTCATCCCGCCACGATGAAATGGTACGGTGAGCGAGGCATTCCCTACCGACGAGGCTATCTTTTCTATGGCCCTCCTGGTACTGGAAAGTCCAGTCTGGCCTTCGCCGCTGCTGGATTTCTTGGGTTAAACGTTTATATCCTGAATCTTGGCTCCCAGCAGCTCACGGAAGACGCCCTCGCCCAGCTATTCCAGGATCTGCCACGCAGATGTTTGGTGCTCCTCGAAGACATCGACTCCAACGAAGTCACCAGCCGTCGGACCAAAAAGAAGCGAAAAGGTCGGAACAATCTGACACTTTCTGCTTTACTCAACCTTATCGACGGAGTGGCTGCTCAAGAAGGCCGCGTTCTGATCATGACCACCAATCACCATGAGCACCTGGACCCAGCGCTCATTCGACCTGGCCGTGTGGACTTCCAGCTTGAGTTCAAGCTTACGAATCGCTCTTTAACAATGCAAATGTTTCAAAATATCTTCTGTAGCCCACATCCGAATATCGATTTACAAAATAAATACAATCAAAACGAATTGGCCCCCTTGAATCAACGAGATATTTGCAAGTTTCCGACTTCCAATGGCTCTTTGAATGTATACGATCCCCCAAGCCTTTCGGATGCGGATATCGATGAACTGGCTAGAGCGTTCGGAGAGACAATCCCCGAGTATACTTTCTCTCCCGCTCAAATTCAAGGCTTCTTACTGGGATACAAAACATCTCCCGAGCATGCTATCGCAAATGCAGAGGCATGGGTCCAGAAGACGCGAAATGAACAGTCGCAACGGGTTGTCGGAGAGGTGGAGGAAATTCAAGGGGAGTCCAACCCAGTTGAGGACCAAAAGGAGTCAGATATCAGTGGAGATGAATCGGGAGATCAGGAATCGTCCGACGACGACGAAGAAGACGCGACACAATCAGCGAGGGGCTGCTAGACAATGTGTTGTATCATGTACCGATAGAATAAATTATACAAGTACTAAGGATCGAACTAGCTTTAATTTCAAGGTCTGAGTAGCCGGTGCCGATCTACCTTCATGTCTAGAATGCGAATAACTTAGCGACTTTGCCTATATCATACACTCCTGGTGTCCATCTTCCATGAAAACCAATGCCCCCATTCACATCGAGCAATTCCCTCCAGTATACAGAGCCGTCTATACCACACCACAAAGATAATGAGGACCATCCAGCACTCTTAATTAAACTACGAGCCCCGATAGGTAGAATAATTCCAAGGCCCCAGCAGCACCGGCACATGATAGTGCCGCCACCCTTCCTCTCCCTCACGGCCTCGACCTTTGACGGTGAATTTCACTTCCACCTCTGGCCAGAAACTCTCCACACCTTGAACCTCATACCATGGCCCCACCTCAAACTGAACAGCCCAGTGCGTTTTGCTGTCCGCTGCCGGCAGGGATGAGAGGAAAGTGGGAACAGTTGTTGATGTAGTCGCTTCGGGTGTCCAGTTCTTTACCCGCCCATCTGCATCAGTGGTGGCCCGGAAACTGATGGGGCTCTGGCCGGACGGGCTCGAGAGTAGAGTCAACGTCACAGGGAGATTGGCCGCGGGGGTGCCCGTCAACGTGTTCAGGACATGACAGGTGATCGGATCGCGAGGCATCGGTGCTGAGGTTTGTATGGAGGACACGTTCGGGGAGGTAGAGGGTGTTCCAGGGGGGGGAAGAAGCTGGTTTTGGTAGAGCTCAAGACGGTCTATGACTATGCCCAATTTATCACTTAACGAGGGATGTCGCGAGACACTGTCCATCAAGTAAAAGAAATAGAGAACAGGGATTGCGCTCCAAAGAGGATGGGTGTGAGAAAGAATTTAATTTTGGTTTTCTGCGTCCGGGTCTAGGTCACAGTAACCTTTTCTATCTCCGCTCCTCATGCATCGGAGAGCACCGATAACTCTCCCAATATACTCGGAGGATACCTTCAGTGGGGCAGGCAGAGCTGTTGGTCAAACGCTGGCACCTTACGCCGTTTGATGTAGTGCTGAGCCTGTCTTGGGATAACAGTGGAATTGATTACATATTATATGGTCCGCCCGCTGATAACTGCATGAATGAATAATGCAGTGGATGGATTTGCTCCTCACATCATGGCATGATGTGGTCGCCTCAGGCAGAAAGCCCCGCACGTGCCCCTGGGGCCAGCCATCGTCCACACACAAGCGGCTAGACGGACTCTGCTCTGCAATCACATAGTGTTTCGATTTGAGGCGGTGCTTGTCTGTCACCTGGTCGCTCCCTGCGTTGATCGTAAGAAGTCGATCTATCTATTCATCTGCTGGTGGCTCGACTCTCCCAGGTAGCACGATCTTCGCGAAGCTTCGACCGCAAAAGTTTCGGGTTTTGCGGGGATTACTCCGTACAAATACGTGGTGAATCCAACTTCGATCGCCGTCTGTCAATCTAAGCAGTACGTTGTCCATCTTGAATGCTCTTTCCACTTATTTACTACCCAGGAGCTGACTTTGAACAGTCTCATTAGCCCACACGACCTTCACAATGACGTCCAACGCCGTCGTACAAGCCGACGATCTCATGGAGCCTACGCTCCAGTCGATTATCGGCCAAAAAAACTCTTCGCTGGATCTTTGTCGGTGGGAAAGGAGGTGTGGGCAAGACGACGACATCATGCTCTCTTGCAATCCAGCTCGCCAAAGCCCGCAAATCAGTGTTGCTTATCTCCACTGATCCCGCACACAACCTGAGCGATGCATTTGGGCAGAAGTTTGGAAAGGAAGCCCGGCTCGTGAATGGATACACAAACCTCAGTGCAATGGAAATTGATCCCAACGGCAGTATCCAAGATCTCTTGGCCAGCGGTGAAGGACAGGGCGATGACCCTATGTCTGGACTTGGCGTTGGGAGCATGATGCAGGATTTGGCATTCAGCGTACGTGCCCCCCCCTGATTGCCAACCGTGACAACCCATGGACAACTTGACTAACTGTCGTAGATTCCTGGCGTGGATGAAGCTATGTCCTTTGCGGAGGTTTTGAAGCAAGTCAAGTCTCTGTCTTATGAGGTTATTGTGTTCGATACTGCCCCGACTGGCCACACCCTACGCTTTCTCCAATTTCCCACTGTGCTTGAGAAGGCCCTCGCAAAGCTTTCCCAGCTGTCGTCTCAATTTGGACCGATGTTGAACTCAATCCTTGGTTCTCGAGGTGGCCTCCCTGGTGGTCAAAACTTTGATGAGCTTTTGCAGAAGATGGAGTCTCTGAGAGAGACGATTAGCGAGGTTAATTCGCAGTTCAAGGATCCTGATATGACCACCTTTGTCTGTGTCTGTATTGCAGAGTTTTTATCTCTGTACGAGACCGAGCGTATGATTCAGGAACTGACCAGTTACAACATCGATACCCATGCCATCGTAGTCAACCAACTCTTATTTCCCAAGCAAGATAGTGAATGTGACCAGTGCAATGCACGAAGGAAGATGCAAAAGAAATATCTTGAGCAAATCGAGGAGCTCTACGAAGATTTCAACGTTGTCAGGATGCCGCTGTTGGTTGAAGAAGTCCGAGGAAAGGAGAAGCTGGAGAAGTCAGTCCCCTATGCAATCCCGCGGAAAATCCATGATTGCTAACATCCTCTGCAGATTCAGCGACATGCTTATGCACCCGTATGTTCCTCCCCAGTGAGGCGATGGTGGGCCTATGTGATGTTTTCCTTACGAGATGCTTGGTGAATGTTATTGGGATGAGATATGAAAAAGAAATAGACAATAATACACGGAGCTTTTTTTTTTGGCTCTCCACCTGGCCACGTCGATTTTCGAAAGCTTTCCACTTGGTTACAGACTCTTTAGATTACTTTGGGAGTACCATTTGCCTTTCCCTTTCTTGCCTGATGCAATATTCGTCAAACCATTTCCTCTTCTCTCCTATTTGCCCCAGCGCCTCACTCTTGCCTCCTCGGGGCTTCTGTCATTCGTATGGAAAGAACGATCAGCTGGAACTCCGTGTTAGGGTCGTTCTCACCCTCAGTGGGTCTTTGCCTGGTGAATCAGGCTGTTTAAGCCTTTTTTTCTTTTCTTTTCCCCCTTCGTTGACCAGATTGATAGATTATGGTTCTAACATCTCTCACATGTACAATGTTCTCCATATGCGGCGACTCCTGCTTAGCTGCAGTTTTCTGTCTCTTGCCATGAATGGGAATCCCGCTGCCTGCACCAGGATCCAGTTATGCTGTCTAATATTGGAAAACTCTAGGAAGGTAACTGGCTAAAGGGTGAGATCGATCAACCGGTTATCCTGCTGGTTAGAGGAGAGAGCAATCCTACATTCGTTTACAAGCGAGTTATTCTTTGTTGTTTTCTGGCTTTGGGCGCGCAACCTACAGTGGGCTCAAAAAAGGAATTGCAGTATCAGGAAGGATGACCTCCTATGGAGATACATGCTCCAAGATCACCCACTAGAGTTCATGAGATGGTACCTACATGGGCATGTCTGCGGGACGGGGCTCTGTGTTGACGTATTGGGCCCTTCGGGGTTAAAGTCAACTGAGAGAAACCTTTCATTTCGTTGTACGCAACTTGTGGAGCTCCAGCAGCAGGTGGATGAGTCTAGACTCAGTGTACTCCCGTGGATCGTCAGATTGCGTCATTCATCAGATAAAGAAGCTCCGCCTACGACATACAAGGTGAAGTATCGGGCTTCACAGGACGCACTTGCGGTCAGCTTTGACTACAGGCCTTGAGGCAGGTGTCGTAAGTTCGCACAGCGCACACTCTATTTTAAGGGTAGGAAAAGCGTTTCCAGTCCGTTTTCGAAGTTAGCCGAGCCATCTATTGGCCGCGTCGTTGGAAACAAGACCAGAGTCAATTCCGCCCCGCAGCAGGAATTCAAATGCAAGATGTTTTGCGTTTCGAAATCAAGTGTGGTCGTAGCTACTTGTCTACCGTTTACTCCGGTAGACATTAAACCGTGCGTATTTACTTCTGTGGGAGTCTATCTGCAGCCATAGAACTCTGGTCGAGGGAACATTAGACGGGAAAGGGGTGGAAGAGAGACAAGGAAGGAAAGAAAAGAAAAGAAACACTGTTGCCACGCTGACAGGATTCAACCGATAATACTTAGCGGTATCTAGGGTCTTGAGGGAAAAGAGAGAGGTCTATGCGGCATGACCTCTATTGGGATCAGTAAACAACCTCGAGATGCAAGAAACCCTGAATTGTAAGGAAGTACGTCTGGGCTAATAGGTCTTAAACATACAGCAACGCGAATTACGAAGATAGACGCTTTCGACGTTCAGCTCATGGAGCCACGCTATCATCAGACCAATCTTAGAAGCTACATGTTCACCGCAGAATTGGCCAAGACTGGAAGGGCACAGGAACAATACCTCCGAGTGCATCACAGCCTGGCGGATTGGCATGTCTCCCTTTGCCAGCGTCGATTTGTGGAAGCTACTCTACTAGTCGCGGTCAAGGTCAAGCCTCACTTTTTCCGGGTAAAGGGGCTGGTTGGATGAAAGAGTGAGGCGGTTTCGCCGGGATCCGACAGAAACAGCAACCAAAAAAAAAGGGGAAAAAAAAAATTGGCTCTCTAGCCGCTTCTTTCTACGAGTTACAGGCTCGATCATGACATCTCCGGTTTCCTAGGTGCCATCCTGTCTGGAATCTTCCTCCCCGCTTGTTCTCGGGTTTGCTACTCAATGGTATTCATTCTTTCTCCAGCCAGTGGCCTAACTGCAGGAATTAACACGGCCCCTAGGCATAGTTCAACGGCATATCCACATAACGCTGACAACCTTAATAGTATTCTCTTTCCCTTGCATGAGAGTGCCGGAGGGATATTTATACACCCTAGTCTCTCATAGATTACCTGCTGAGATACTCACCTACAGTCAGCACCACGATTCTGGCGGTTTAACAACGCACATATAATTATACACAATCCCACCAAGCATTTAACCAACAGACCCTTCTCTCAATGAAGATGTCCCAAGTCCAGCAATACTGGCTACCGGGATATGGTCTCTCCCGACATATCGTCCTTGGACATATCCAGTATTTCCTGGGTCCGTCCGCTTCCGTCAGGCCGTATACTTACCAGGTACATACATTCCACCAAGTCGGCTCCAGCATCGAACATGAGAGACAGGATCCCTAACAAAAGATTTTTTCTTATTGATATCTTAAGGGACGCGACGGATATCTCATTGTGGGCGTACCTCTCACACGGGTCTCTGCCCCTTCACCTGGCGTGGACTGATATCCTGAGTCGTCGACATCTCTTGCTGACGCTCATTTGCGCACAGGAGCAAATCGACGACCTTGCGGTGATGTCCCGGGAGTACGAACGGCAAGAGTCTCTTCGCATGGCTGGCGATTCTATTGTCGATCACTCCAGCAGACAATTCGAGCCTTATATCAACGAAATTGTGCCCGTGCGAAACCCAGGTCCTCGACGACGTGCTATGGAACCTGAACCTCGACGATCCCGATGAAACTCATTACCCTTTCAAAAAAGAAAGAAAAAAGGGAATAAACCCTCTAACTAGCGATCTGGAGTATTTTTGTTCTCGACTGCATTATTGCCTCCCCTAATGAGCTAATAGAGGCTGACTTGCCATTCGTTCTTCGTCTATTAATATGCTCAACGCGTGTTGAAAGATATGCATGCATAGATGTCTTTTTTTTCCACCCTGATTCAACAACGGAGCACTAACTCATATCTGCTGGAAATGCAATTCCTACATTTACTTTGCTGTCCGTTTTTTCTTGCATCCATTCCTTCAACCTACCCTTTTTCCTTGGATTCTGTTTGCCATCTTCCCTTAATTCCTCATGAGGATGTTGTATTCCACTACAACATACTATTTGCTTATGCGTGTTGTTTTGCAAGAACCATGGTGTTTAGGATATCCAGGCCCATCATCATTGTTAGACCTACGGTGGTTTTTTTTTTTTTTTTTTTTTTTTATAAAGAGAAAGAGCAAAGAATAAGGGAAATCAAAGAGAAAAAAATAATACCCAGAGAGACCCTTCTGAAGAAAATTTAAGAAGCAATCAATGTTCTATAAATAACACATGAATTATCTAGACGGATGGATAAAAGAAACAAAAAAAAAAAAATCCCGAAGTGAAAATTCCCACTCCTATAGACCATTCGTAACATACCTTAGATCAATCGGTCTCGTGGAAAGAAAACTTGGCCCGTCCGCAGGATCAGAATAGAAGAGGGAGAGGGATTGTTTAGTATTTCTTTCTCTCTTTCATAAAGGGGAAAGAAATAGGGGGAAAATGATATAATCATATGTAAGATTGAAACAATGGTCTCTCACGATAACTATCATCATCTCTCACAATATTTGGAAGGCATCAACCAATTCGTGGGGCATCACGACAAAAAAAGGACAGAATAAAAATAAAATGGACATATGAAAAAAGGGGGGACATAAATAAATAGATCCATGAGGAGAACATGAACAGTGGACCACCTGAACGCCAGCCTGATGCCACTCTGCTTGGTCCCATCACTCAAGAAAACCCGCAATCCGCGGGGAATACTAACATGAACAGAACCAACAAGAGATTGGAAAAAGACGCATCTGGATTCGAAAAACTCAGAGAATTTTGCTTTTTATTTCGGTTATTTCGCAACGGCGGCACTGTAAGGTCCGGGTCAGTTATCGAGATAATGCGGGTATCGGATCAAACGAACCTGAGAACCTGTGTCCGGAAAAAGGCACCCTTGGTCTTCTCAATGACTTGCTGGTACACCGACTGAGGAGGGTGGTTCATGATCACAGTGCCCTCCTTATAGTCAATCTTGGCATCCACCCGCGTATCACGGATCAGGTTGACAATCCACTTCTCGCCTTCGTCCTGGTTCAACCCAAGCCGGGTAGACAGGTCCCTACAGTGAGTCTGTTAGCTTCCCTCATCTCGAATGCATTGATTTATTTGTCTCCGCAACACGTACTTGATATCGATCCGTTGATGGATCTTGCAGTAGCTCTCAGAGATCAGGTGGCGAGCGGCTTCCACGAAAGCGTCGGCCGCCGAAACCAGGAAGAAGTCGCTCCGCAAGACATCCTCTGCTTCACCCAGCTTCTTCTGGGCCTCTTCGAAATCGAAGTCGACATACAGGGCCTTGACGAAGTCGGTGATGGGGTCGGAATATTCGTAGCCCTCCTGGCGGACAACCCGGATCAAGTCCTTCAGTTGCTTCTGGTATAGGCTGCTGTTCTTGTGTGCACGGTTCCGGTTGGTGATAACGGCAGCAGCCAGGTACCGCAGGATCCACGGACAGCTCGTCTGGATGGTGTTGATGTAGGCGGGGGAAAAGAAGAGGTCGGTCAGGACATCGCGAGCAGGGTCATGGTTAAAGAAAGGGAAAAGAGACCAGTGGATCAGCCAGGAGCGGTTCTGAAGCTGACCCAGAGGGTTGTTGAATAGTCGGGTTTCAATGGAGTCCTTAACCTTCTGGACCTCCTCCATTGCGCCCTCCCAGCTGGTGGTCAGGATCTCCGAGGCCAGCTTACCCCACGTAGCCGACGCAACCTTGTCGTTATCGGTGGACAGGACACGGAACTGGTAGAGCAGCTCTGCCGCATTGCCGTAGCTACCGCAGCTGTACTGGAACCGACCATAGTCGTAAAGGCTGTTGACCATCTCGATGGTGACTCCGTGCTGTTCCTCGAGAAACTTCAAGTTGGCAACCTTGTCGCTGCGCAGGTTACCCACGACGCTTTCATCCTGCAGCAAATCGGTGATCTTGGCACTTTCGTCCTGGTAATGTTGCAGCTTAGCGAGAACCTCTTCCCTCTTCTTCACAAACTCGTCGGGGATCATGTCGGAGTCGTTGATTTCCTTCCACAGGTTGGCCACATAGTCGGTCATGTTGGTGTGCTTGAGCAGTTCATATTTCGCCCGCACTACCTCATTGTCGTCATCCTGGACAGAGCTGAATTCGAGCAGGGGGAACACCAGATGGCGATCGAGGTAGGGGATCAGCTTTGGCAGCAGATCATATTGATTGGCGATCTCCTCTGCGGTCTTCGGAGGATGAGCGGCAGCACCGCTGAGCAAGGTCTCAGCGGAGGGGGGGGCGTTATCAGCCATGATGGATAGAGATGGAGGGGGCAGAAGAGAGTAGGAGAGAAAGGAAAGACGTGGATACGCGGTTCGTCAATCTCAATCAGTGTGCGGCGTCGCTGCGAAAAGAAAATGTGGGAGGGCTGGCCGACGCGCTAGTCCCAATTGGGATTAGCGGAAGGTCTCCGCTCCAAACAGGAAAGAAAAGGAAAGGCTTCATCATCTCCATCGTTCGATCTCTTGCTTGTTGTCTTTTCATCCCCCTCCCTTCCTCTTCCTCCTTCCTTCATCGCCTGGCCTTGAGTCTCGTCGCTTGCTCGACTCTCTTGGCACCCAATGGCGTCTTTTCTATCATCTCGTGCCGTCATCGCGGCCGTTTGCAAGCAGTCAACATCGCTGCCCGTCTCTCTACAAAAATCTTCACAGTCCGTGGTTGTTTCTCCCTCCGGAAAATGTAGATCGCTCTCCTCCCGATGTTTATCCTCTAGATTGATTGCCTCCCGTAAGTTGTGATTGTTTCCGTCCTTTCCATAGGGTCGGATGCTCCTTCCCTGTGGCACCACCTGGTCTTCAACCTCCCAGGAAGCGAAAACGAATCGACATCGAAGAGAAAGAAATCCTACTGACTGAACACAGAACATTCTCTTCGTTCCCGTCAGCTTTTTAATTCTCCCTCGATTATTTCTGCACAACAATGTCGAACGTTCCTAGCACAATTGAACCGGCAATCCCAGACACTGAAAGAGAACTCTCCTTCCACAGGATCTTCATCGGCCAATTTGCAACTCACCAATCTTCCCTACTTCGTCCGTCGCACAGCTTCCAACCAACTTCCCGTGTACCTGGTTACCAAGGCTGGTGGTACCAAACAGCAGACAAAGATTCAGAAGACCGAGGGCGATCTAGACGCATTGAGGAATGATCTTGCACAATTCTTGGAGCTCGAATCGGGTGGTACGGGTGCTGCGAAAAGCTCGGATGTTTCGATTAATCGTCTTACTGGACATATCATTGTCAAGGTTCGTGTTTCTTCAGCGACGCCTACGGTGAAGGCCCGCCCAATCAGGCTAACATATCATACGATAGGGTTGGCGGAAACCTGAAATCCAAAAGTTCCTTTTGGAACGCAGCTTTTAAAGAATCCTAAAACAAAACAAGGGGGAAAAAGAGCGCTTGCTCTGCCCGCGAGAATGTGGTCCTTCACTTCTCAGCCATTTTCTCTATTGTCATGAACATTGATCTCCATCCTGCTTGAAAACACCGGGAGGTTCAATACAATACCCATTCCAAAAGCGCCAGAAAAAGGGCAAAAGAAGCTTGCACGAGCAAGGAAGAGAAGGAAAAAAAAAAAAAAAAAAGAATGGGGGTAAAGCAAAGAAGCTAGGCAAAAGCATTGGCCAGTTCCTGGAAATGATCATTCCATTTTCTTCTCTTTTACCTCTTTCCCTTCCTGATTTCTTGTCTATCTAGCTCCTACAAACCCTGTATTATTGCTATCGTGCCGGTGTTCTATCGCCTTTCTGCGGTCTCATTCATGTTATCGGAGAGGTGTTGACCGGCCTGTTGCATTCTGACATAATTTCGTCTCGCTGTGTCGTTTCCCGGTCTCATCTCTTCTGCCCTATTGTGCGGCTCTCTGTATCCTGTCCATGTCCCATGACTTCACGGTTGCTTTTGTGTTAATTCCGTACCTAATTTCCATCAATGGTCCGAATTTAATAGGCAAACTATGACACCTCTCCTCCAAAGGGCATTTCTCACGTAGATTCCAGATCTAGTCCAAGTGGTGTCACCTAGCTTGATCCTATATTACTTATTGACATCTCCCTTGACTCGGTTCAGGACCCATTTAATGAGGTCACCAAACTCAGGAATATCCTGTCCCTACCAATGGGACAGCACGTATATCAAGAGAAAGACCAAGATATAAATTTACCCATTTAGACATCCTGCAAGATCTAGCGCCCGAGGGTATTGAGCATTGTACAATGAGTGATAACCACGATGATACACAATGTCACGCCTCACATAATCTTCCCACCGGCGCCGGACAGAAACTGATACAGGCCAAAAAAAAAAGTTTACTCAAGTTTAATAGAAGACATGACAGAATCAAACATCAATAAGGCATATATGGAAAGAAGAATAGTGTCTCCTTCGCTAGAAGTAACCAAAAGGGGAAAAAACCAACTATGATAGCCCATCTACCCGTCCCAGGTCACTCTGCTAATCGCGCATACGTTATAAGCTGCCGAACAACACCAGGGTCCACGTTTGGCATCAGTAAGGCCCCCAGGAGGCTCTCTTTCTTGGGAATTATCCCGGATGGGAATCGCAATGTGTTGTTCGTGTCAGCATGTTTGGACTTCTCGGCTAGCCGTCGCAGAATCGCTAGGCCCCGGTTTATAATAGAGCTATAGGCAGACGCTTCCGCTTCCGCTTGTCCTCTGGCAGCATGGGATTGACGGGGGTTGGTATTAGTGGGAGGGACACGCTCCGTGCTCAGAAGACAGGAAAGCCGAAGGAGATGTATTGCGAACCCGTCAGTAGATTCGAGCCACGCTTTAGCAAGATTCCCATCCGCGAACCCGCACAGGATATCCGCAGCTAATAATCCTTGCATGAGGAACACTTTGCGAGCATCTGCTATGGCTAGGGGCTTCCGCGGCTGATCGGGAACCGGACAAATGGCAAGCGCAAACGAGCGTGTGAGCAGCTCCTGTTGAGAAACCCCACCCCCTTCTCCGACGAAGATCGTTCTAAAAAAAGTTCGATTCGGTTCATCTCGAGCCAATAGCTTAGCTAAGCTATCCGCTGCTGCGGGTGTGTATTTATGAACAGAGGGGTTGAAAGTTGAGAACATGACTCCTTCCGGTCCCAAAACAGGGCCTGGGAATGGAGCGAAGGCCAAAAGGAAATGTAGTAGGCAGAGAGCCTCTTCTTTGCTGGGCAACTGAATAGTGTGGGCCAGATTACTCAGGTAAATGACGGTGTCCTTCATGAAATCCAACGTGTTTTGGTGACTCCTTAGGAGCATGCTTCGAGTCCCTAAATAGCGGATTATGGTGGACAAAAACTGGATAACAGGGGGCATTGCCAGGATTCCAAAATTCGACTCGGTAAATGAAAAGTTGCGCAAGATAGTTGTTATGCAAATAAGTCTATCAACTGCTCGATCTAGCTCGTACTCGAGGCTTCCAAATTCTGGAATATCTGCCAGGGATGTCCACTCTGACTGACATCCACGGGTAATCTCTTCATACGAGGGAAGAAGCATCATATCTGATACTTCTGGTGCATGTTCAGCGAGAAATTCCGCCTGGTCCTCGGCACATTCGATCAAGCTTTCAACCAAATCCTCGCAGTTGTCTAGCGAAATCTGAATAGCTGGTTCACAAGATATGGATGCCAAGCTGTCCAATGCCATACGCATCTCCGCATGGATGCCGGATTTGACGCTCATTGTAAGTGCGTGGATATCAATAACACCAAGTTCAGTAAAGGTAGGAACATTGGGTTTTAGCCTTGAAATGTCTTCGCCAAGTTGATAAATCTCATCCACAGCAACAGGGCCATGGAAATTGTTCTCTGACAAAATCATAGGTTTGAAAGGATCTTCAATCGGATGTTTTAAGGGCAGGTTTGGCGACTGGTCAAATTGTTCGGCGCTTTTTCCTGACGCAGAGATAGAGCCCTTCCCCGAATGCGCAGGTGACTGGATTTGTGCTTGGCCGGTAGGGTCATGTGGCATTGTTGGTGGTTGAGATTGACGAGAGACACTAAGTCGATGTTGATGCTGTTGCTTGGTTTGTGCTTTGACTTGTGTCGGAGTTGCAAACCCATTCGAAGCATTATTCTGTACATTGTTTGATACCGACGGCATACTAGGAGAGGGATGTCCCATTTGTTGCGGATTCTCGAATGCTTGGGGCGGCTTTACAGCCTGCGACTGGAACTGCATGCCTGACGGATCACTAGGTTGGCGGGGTAGTGCAGCCTGCTGCTGCATCTGATCTGCGAACTGCTTCTGCTGGGTACTGAGAAATGCTTGCTCATAAGCAGCGAGATTCCGCTGGTAATGTTCACGAATTTCTTGCACAGCCATGGGGAATTGCATCGGCGGGAATTGAAGCTGTTGGGCGATAACAGGCCACATATTCGTAGCCGTTATCTTCTTTGAGCCACCCAATTTCATGACTGTAGCATAGAGCTGGACCAAATTGACCGGGCGGCCGCACACAATCGGGTTTGGATCAAGGGGCATATTACGAGACATCATAAACTTCTGCAGCGACCTCATGAACCCTTCTGGATTGGGAGGTTTCGACATAGTTTGCTGCATCTGTCTGATGGCTGCCATTTGCTGGGGGTTTGCCATAGCATTCATCCCAGCTGCAACGGGACGACCGGCCATAGCGGGATTCATATTCATGGGACGACCCTGGTTTTGCATTTGCATGGCATGCATTCGCTGCTGCTGCTGCTGCTGCTGCTGCTGCTGCTGGGCAGCCATTGCCTGCTGATATCCCTGAGGCATGGCACTGTAATGCGCCTGCATTGGTGCTTGCACAGCACCGGATGACATAGCATTCGCCGGTGAGAATTGCGGCCCCATGCCTTGAGGGAAAGCCTGGCCAGGAATGAACGAATTATTTTGTGGTGTGTTAACTCTATTTGGGTGATCCGCCTGCGATGGCGACATTTGAGTTCCAAGAGGGCCAGCGGAAGAGAATGGGCTTGGGGATGCTGTTCCCATCCTCTGTACGCCATGTTGGTCGAAGTCCTGCATAATGGGGGACTGTGTGACATTTGGAGTGGCTCCTTGTGGGAGATGCTGATACTGAGCGGGATGTGGAGCAAAATGCGGAGTGCCGTTCGCTGGTCCTTGATACCCTGGGAATGGCACTTGATGGGGCGTTTGCGAACGCGATGCAGCAAGTCCACCGGGTGCCTGCCTAGGGGACATTGAGAGGCCATCTTCTGGCCTTGGCCTCTTGGATGGAATCACCTGGTTAGGGTTGTGGAAGCCAGGAGAGGCATTTCGCGGCACGCCGTTGAACATCCGCTGGAACTGATTAGGGTCGGGAGTAGGCGAGGCGTGGAGAAATGCTGCTGAAGGATCAATGGTCGCCTGATGAAAAGCGCCATTATCGTGGTTGGGAAGGTTCGAGCCGTCGGTTAGCCAGGCATTCATGTCGTGTGGTTTTACCAACCCATCTGCAAGTGGAGGAGAGCTGTCAGAAAATATTATGACACAAATCAAGTTGCACCGTCAGCGATCGACATAAATCGATGCATGAATCCCATTAACCCAAACATGACATAATATGTACAGGGTGGATGGATTGAAGTTAGGAGATTGAATCTAAACGCGTCAAATTTTGGGGGTAAGGTCGCGCTTTAGTCTGCGACCCGGGGAGGCAAACAACGAATACACCAGGACAGTCTGTCCCGACCGGGGGAACAGCTAGGAAAGAGAATGGAATCAAACTGAGGAGAGGGGGCAGCTATTTTCAATACAAAGGGGGACAGATCTGATGTACATACCGACAAGGCTGGACAACTAAAATGCCGACTCAAGAAGCGGATGGAAGCCGGTCCCGAAATAGCACCAGTTGGAGGGCGCGAGAAAGAGTGCGAGGAGTGAGGGAAGTCACGGGATCATAGGTGCCGTAGGCAGAAAATGAGTGGAAGTACCTCGAGGGAGTACTATTGTACCAGCACCGACATCATTAGCATATCATGACAGGTAAAGGCAAAAGCAGTTGCTAGCCATAACTAGAGACATAATAGAATGGATAGGCTGGAGAGTCCAAGAAATTTTTTTTTTTTTTTAAGAGACCGGATTCGCAAGTATGCAAATGGTCCAAATGTGAACCAAGAATAGTGCGTGGCCACAGCCGGAGAGTGTGTGAAGGGAAAAGCAGGCAAAATCCAATCGTCGGAAGACAAGCGGAGGGAGGAAACGTACCAGGGCAAACTGCGCCGTGCACCACTGGAAAGTGTTGGAATTTAGTAATATAGTATTATTTTAGAGTTCTTTTTTTTAATAAAAAAAATAAAACACCTTGTCCAGGGGAAGTGAGAGATCGCTGGGAAAGCAGAAAGTGGAGGCACGGGAGAGTGGGAAACAGGAATGGGGACAGGCGTGGAGAGAATGAGAGTCGAGGCACCACCGGAATCAAGAGCAGGTAAGGGAGCAGAGAAGCAGAACCGGTTCAGAACAAACAGGCAGAAAAGGGAGGTACGTATGAAACCTTCCCTAGTAGGTTATTTTACCAGTAGCCCCGAGTTGCTGAGCGTGGTAAGGAGAAGGCAAGTCAGGTCACTGTCGGTTAACATTGGCGGTAAGCAGTGGCAGGTCACGCTGCGGATTAGTCATCATCCAAGTTCTTGGCATGGGAATGCCACTATTCCTGTTCCGGACATCATCCATGTCTCCAGAGTACCTCCGCCGTAGGTATCTGTATCGGGCGGCTGTCGTTCATCTGTTGTCAATAATTATAGTCTCCCTCTCTTGATCAGACTTGCTATCAAATGTTGTAAAGACATATCATTATTTCTGCTTCTGGAAGATAAGACTGGCAAGCAATTGACACTGACAATCTATGTTAGTTTCGGGTTAGTGAGACTGTCGAGTAGGAGGCAGTAGTGTGTTCTACCGATACTGCTTTGGGCTCAAGGATGCTTGGAACAACTTGTAGGAGTATTCACTGCTTTGGTAACAATGAGGAAGGTAATTGGTGAATAGATCATAAAGATGGTGAACCCGGGCAATTGCTATTTTAGTTTTAGTTAATAAATAAACACGCCTAGTGTGTTAGTTCATACAGATAAAGAGGGGCCTCGGTTGTCAAGAGAAGCACCATTAGATAAAGTATGGGATGAAAATTCCAGAAAGTAGCTTGAGATAGGTAAGGTAGGTAGAGGAGGATAGCGGGAAATAAAAAGTAAGGGAAGCAGCCTTGGTGATATAAAGAAAGGGTGCCTGCTTCCCTTATAAACTACTAAGGTACGTATTTATGTTCAACTAGCCCACCTAATAATCCGCCCAAACTGAGTACTGCGAGGTATGGATGAACATTTACCAGCCAACTTCATAACACCCGCTTCCTTCCTTGCACACATCCGTTTCAATAGACGGAATTTTTTTTTTCTTCTTTCTTCTTCTTCGTCCCCCCCTTCTTCTCCCACTCCTCCCTTTTCTTAGTTCCTTTATTCCAATTTCTTTTCTTTTCTTTTCTTTTCTTTTCTTTTCTTTACCTTTGTTCTACTTCCTTAACGACGCTCCACTATACTTGCTAAGTGATTGGCTAGGTATTTCTTGGAGACCCAGATTGGGTCCATGGAGCATGGATCCATGATGGATGCGAGTTAAGAATGGAAAATATGGGGTACCTAGTATGAAAATACTACTCTAACCAGTCAGTCTACCTTGCGTAACAACTTACGGCCTGTATATTCGGCTGTTAGAAATAGTATCCCTGCTGTACCCAGTAATTCATCTTGCAAATGTACCAACCTAATATTCATCGGGCTGAATATGTTTCGTCGCACCAGGTGCCTAGTGCCTATAGGTAAAGCAGCCCCTCACAAAAAACTCAAATCAAAGCAGTTTACGTCAAGAGAGAATGTAGCAAAAATCTTGGATTATAAGCCATCTCTACAAATAAGGCTCCCGATCTTGCAGTAACTACTAATAATATCGATGTCGAGGACAGCTTAACACATGGATTTGATACCAGACGTTTGATTAGGCAAAGACATATCTGTTCTTGTACAACTAGACAACCAGTCACACCTGGTAATAGGGCAAAGTGAGGTAGCAAAAATAATAGGGATTTTGGCTCTCTCACAACAGATATTTTGTCGTGCCGTGGATCGGTCACGTGATAACAATCGTAAGCTACGTGAGCCAGTCTAGCAGTCGTGGAAGCGCAAAGCTTCAGTTCCTCCAACGACACACCATAACTCCTCGAGTTTATCACCATTCTTCCAATACCACCCTTCATACTCTCTGCCACAGAAACATTCCGGTGCCTTTTTATTTGCTTCTCTCACCTTCAACATGGGAGACGTAGCCGTGGAGAGCCCGGCTATCAACCTCACGCCACTTAGCAAGCCCGCTCCATTGGATACTATCCCGAATATAGACTCTATCGAGGGTACTGCGACTGATGGGGGCGATGAATATGCTACTCTGAAAAAGCTCCAGAGGCATCTAGAGTATGTTTAAAAACAAGACCCCTGTCCTCGCAGTCTATTTACAGCCGATGATAGGTACATTCAACTACAGGAAGAGTACATCAAAGATGAGCAACGGTAAATCAATTCTCCCCCTTGCCTGATGGACTCACGGACTCACGGATACGCCCATAACAGGAGTTTGAAAAGAGAGCTCGTCCGCGCACAGGAGGAAATCAAAAGGATACAGAGCGTTCCTTTGGTTATTGGCCAGTTTATGGAAGCTATTGACCAAAAGTATATTGCCAAGCGAATTGGAAGAGAGAATCATGCTAAATTTTATATTTAGTACTGGGATTGTTCAGTCGTCAACTGGCTCAAATTATGTCGTTCGCGTCCTCTCCACCCTCGATCGTGAAAAGCTCAAGCCGTCGTCTTCGGTCGCCCTCCACCGTCACTCAAATGCCCTCGTCGATATTTTGCCTCCAGAGGCCGACTCATCCATTGCTATGCTGGGTGAAAGTGAGAGGCCAGATGTGTCGTATGCGGATGTTGGCGGCCTTGATATGCAGAAGCAGGAGATCCGGGAAGCAGTGGAACTGCCCTTGACGCACTTTGACCTCTACAAACAGATCGGTGAGTTTAATGAGATGGCAAGTACAATGTCAATGTGGCTCACCTTGTCCCAGGTATCGACCCCCCTCGCGGCGTTTTGCTGTACGGCCCTCCGGGAACCGGTAAGACTATGTTGGTCAAGGCAGTGGCAAACAGCACGACGGCCAGCTTCATCCGTGTGAATGGTTCAGAATTCGTCCAGAAGTACTTGGGTGAAGGCCCTCGTATGGTTCGGGATGTATTCAGAATGGCTCGAGAGAACTCTCCTGCCATCATTTTCATTGACGAGATTGATGCCATCGCCACGAAGCGATTTGACGCCCAGACCGGCGCGGATCGTGAAGTTCAGCGAATTCTGCTAGAGCTACTCAACCAGATGGATGGATTCGAACAGACCAGCAATGTCAAAGTTATTATGGCTACCAACAGGGCGGATACTCTGGATCCTGCCCTGCTCCGCCCAGGTCGTCTGGACCGTAAAATCGAGTTCCCGTCACTGCGCGACAGGCGCGAGCGTCGGTTGATCTTTACAACCATTGCGTCTAAGATGTCGCTGTCCCCTGAAGTTGACCTTGACTCGCTCATTGTACGTAATGAGCCTTTGTCAGGTGCCGTCATTGCCGCCATTATGCAGGAGGCTGGTCTACGAGCTGTTCGAAAGAACAGGTATAATATTATTCAGACCGACCTTGAGGATGCTTATGCCTCTCAAGTCAAGACCGGACAAGAAGCGGACAGGTATGTGTATCCTCCATTTATGCCCCTTGTCTTGGGCAAGACTAACAAAGTTTAGGCTCGAATTCTACCGTTAAGCCACGTTCTTTGTTACTTAATGAGCTGGAAATGGAATTGTGCATGGCGAACGGGCGGTTATCATAGTTATATTGTCAACATCTAGGCATCCACTCTGTGTGGAAAATGACTAGTGTATTTAGATGTTTTCGTGTGGTAGAGAAGTATGGATGGCATAAGATGAACCAATCTGTAGTCATCGGCCTGTACCAACAGAGTGGCACCATTTTCACCTGGCGGATGCCGTGTAAGTACGGGCAGGGAGTAGTACAGAACCTACCTAGCTAGGAAGGAAGTCATTGGGCAGGCGCCAGACACCTACGTACTCTATTAGTATCGACAACCGAGCACGAATTAGGCAGGGGACCTTCGGGCGGCCGATCTTACATCATCTGCCGCTGCTTCCCGATATTAGTTAGTTAACTTAGTGAGTTAACTAACTAGTTAGTGACTAATGACTAAGGTAATGCGTGATGTAGCGGCGCAGTATCGGGCAAACAAGTCAAGAATAGGTATCTAAAACTTTTCTAAGAATCCAGAATCTTGAAATAGACACCAAGGTATTAGTTAATATGCAGTGTAGCTGCTCTACTCCGTACCTTCTGTACATTGAGACTTGAACAGTACTCCGTGCCTTCCTAGGATCAAGTGATAACACCTTTGTGAAGATCATTCTCTAGTCTAATGACGCAGCTGAGTCCCGATGATTGGCCGGCTCCGCAGCTAGGCAGGGTCGCTCCGCAACCAGTCATCCATCCATCCGCACTCGTGCGCTCTCTCCTTACCTCGACCACCATCTCTGGAGTATCATCGATTCCCTTTCCTCTATCCTTTCTATCTCATCGTTACGATCCCCATCGTCGCTCATATCCATAGAGACACTCTTTTCCTGAATAGCTTTCACTCACTTAGTAGGCTACTGTTTCTGTTGCCATTGTTTACCATGAAGTCAACCTCCTTGCTGACAGCCTCCGCGCTGTTGGGCTACGCTTCCGCTGAGGTTCACAAGCTGAAGCTCAACAAAGTCCCTCTCTCGGAACAACTAGTGAGTGTAACCTGGCCCTTCTTCTTGACGAATTTGATGTTTGCAAGGTACTGGGGATGTTTCTTGGGCAACCCGCTAACCGACCTATGAACAGTACACGCACAACATCGACGCCCATGTGCAGGCTTTGGGCCAGAAGTACATGGGTATCCGCCCTTCCATCCACGAGCAAATGTTCCAGAATACCCCAGTGAATGATATGGGCCGTCATGATGTTTTGGTCGATAACTTTCTCAATGCACAATGTACGCTCATGACCAGCCGCTTTGCCTTTTCGGGTCAATGCTAAGAGCCCCTAGACTTCTCTGAGATCGAGATCGGTACTCCTCCTCAGAAATTCAAAGTCATCCTTGATACTGGCAGTTCCAACCTTTGGGTACCCTCTTCGGAGTGTGGTTCCATTGCATGCTACCTGCACACCAAGTACGACTCATCTGCGTCGTCCACGTACAAGAAGAATGGCAGCGAGTTCGAAATCCGGTACGGATCCGGCAGCCTGAGTGGGTACATTTCGCAGGACTCCGTCAAGATTGGTGACCTGAAGATCAATGATCAGCTGTTCGCCGAGGCTACTAGTGAGCCCGGCCTTGCTTTCGCTTTCGGCCGTTTTGATGGAATTCTCGGTCTGGGCTTTGACACCATCTCTGTCAATAAGGTCGTCCCGCCCTTTTACAGCATGATAGACCAGGGACTTCTCGACAAGGGCATCTTTGCCTTTTACCTGGGAGATGCCAACAAGGAAGGTGATAGCTCCGAGGTTACTTTCGGCGGTGTCGATGAAAGCCACTATACCGGTGAGCTTACCAAGATTCCTCTTCGCCGCAAGGCGTACTGGGAAGTCGATTTCGATTCTATTTCTCTGGGCGACAATACTGCAGAGCTCGAAAACACTGGTGTTATCCTGGACACTGGTACCTCCCTTATTGCTCTGCCTTCCACTCTTGCCGAGCTTCTGTGAGTTAAATCCGATGCCTATGTATATGCTGATGCCCACTTTGCTGACGCCTTTGTAGTAACAAGGAAATTGGTGCCAAGAAGGGCTTCACTGGCCAATACACGGTTGATTGTGACTCGCGTTCATCCTTGCCCGATCTCACCTTTACCCTGAGTGGCCACAATTTCAAGATTACTCCGTTTGACTACACTCTGGAGGTCCAGGGATCCTGCATTAGTGCCTTTATGGGCATGGACTTCCCTGAGCCTGTCGGCCCGCTGGCCATTCTGGGTGATGCGTTCCTGAGGAGATGGTACAGCGTATATGACCTTGACAATGGCACTGTTGGTCTGGCCAAGGCCAAATAGATGATGGGCCGATGATTCCATGTTTCCGGTGGAAACTTGAAGGTTGAATGGATCTATATAAGCCCACTATTGTAGCTGGCCTATTCGCTTGATTTGTATTCCCTGTTCCTGTCTTTGCTTTGTCCACGGAAGAGTCCCCTAGATGCGGGGAGAAACATGCCACCCGCGCTATCTCTAAATTGTCCTCTCCTGTGGCGCTCTCTTGGGTCTTTGTAATTAATTGATAGTCAATATCTAGTTATTTTTATGGCCGTTTGATTTCCGCCCAACAGGGGCTATTGGATTCATTGACAGGTCACGTAACACGGATGATCGTAGCCCCCAATCCCTGTAGAATGAAGCATAGTATTCTAGTTGATTCCACTGGACAAAGCGAGCTTCAATAGAGACGTCCAGACATGAACGGTCTGGGCCAAGTTCCTTTGGTCTCGCCCCGCACAGGCTGCCGACCACCAACCGAACCACGCCTGTCGCTGCCTTGGCACCGACCTTCTTTCAGGCTGCTCGCGTTTCATCATCATTATTCCCATTCTTTGCCCCCTCTCTTGCTTCCTCGCATTCGCTTGTCATATGTACCTGCCTTTATTCCGCCCTTGCTGGCACACACAACACTTTATCCTTTTTAGATGCGTGAATCGCCCTTCTCTATTCCTGTTGTATTCCTGTCACGCCTTGTGGCAAATTTCCTACGTCCATCTCACCTACCTTTTATCGATTCCACCACCTCGATCATAGGTCCTGTTCCATTTTTCTAGGTGCAGGCCATCCGTATTCACACTTCCGGTTTCATTTGGGCGTGTTCTGGTTGGAACGAGCTTCGCCAGCCCAGGTCTTTTATCAGCAATTGGCGCGTCGGGTATGGCGCCATAGCTATCGGTCCCGATATTCTTCTGCTTGTGATTGAACCTATTTCTCCGTTGGGTTGTGTATCAGGGAGTCAGGAATATTTTGGAGACGGCATTGAGGAAGAGAGCGAGGAACGAAGCCAGCCAGGCCTGCCCAGGAGCATGCTTCTGCGTTTACCGTCTAGCCTTCATTACCCCATCACCGTAACGTCGCTGCTCAAACAGCCAGGCGATGCGGTGGAAAGGGACGAGGCCCTGTTCTGGTATGTCTATCAGACGACTGTCACAGAAGGGGATGGACTGGGCAATAAGACCCAAGTCCAGCGCAAGTTCCCGACCAAGTTCGAGTCAACTGTTGATGGGGAACTGGTTCAGTGGAAAGTTAGTAAGGGAGATGTTCTGAATGGACCGTGAGTTGTGTCACGTTTCTTTGCCTACCCATCTTTTTCCAGGGGGAAGTCGTTTGAATTAGCTAGCTGACGGTGGAATCAGTGTGGACATCGTCGAGATCGACGAGCCATGTTCTCACGAGATTCAATTTGGGGGGCTTTGCGCGGAATGTGGAAAGGACATGACTGAGTAAGTGCGCGGGAATTTTGCGAAGAGCTTTGTGTAGTGTTCGGTGGAAGCTGACTCGGTTTGCCTTGTTCTAGATCTACGTACAATACGGAAATCACGGATTCGATGCGCGCACCGATCCAGATGGTCCATGATAACACAGCTCTTACTGTGAGTGAGAAGGAAGCTACACGAGTAGAAGAAGACGCGAAGCGCCGTCTATTGTCGAATAGGAAGCTCTCTCTAGTGGTGGATCTTGACCAGACAATCATCCATGCCACGGTTGACCCGACAGTTGGAGAATGGATGGAAGACAAAGATAATCCAAACCATCAAGCTGTGAGCGATGTTCGGGCGTTCCAACTGGTGGACGATGGGCCCGGGATGCACGGTTGCTGGTATTATATCAAGCTACGACCGGGGCTAGAGTCATTTTTACAGAACGTCTCAGAGCTCTACGAGCTACATATTTACACTATGGGTACTCGAGCGTATGCGCAAAAAATCGCAAGTATTATAGACCCAGACCGGAAACTGTTTGAAGACCGCATTCTCAGTCGCGATGAGAGCGGGAGCCTAACAGCGAAGAATCTCCATCGTTTGTTCCCCGTGGACACGAAAATGGTGGTCATCATTGATGACCGCGGTGACATTTGGCGCTGGAGCCCTAATCTCATTAAGGTCTCGCCCTACGATTTCTTCGTCGGCATTGGAGATATCAACTCAAGTTTCCTACCCAAGAAACAGGGGTTCGATGGGGCCAACAAGGACACCCAGACGACGGCGTCCTCAACATCTAAAACACCACCGCTCCAACATCCTGTCAATGGGACGGCGAAAGGGGGAGTAGGGCCGGAGGTATCGACACTGGAACAGCTCGTGACAATGGGTGGTGGGGACAACCCGCGACTGCTACAGGAGCAGAACGATGCTCAGGAAGAGATAATCATGCACCAGGTAGAGGACCGTCCGTTGTTGCAAAAACAGAAGGAATTGGATGCGGAGGATGATGCGGCCGAGAGTAGCGATTCATCTACGAGCATGGATGAGTCTCAAGACCCCAGCAAACACCGGCATCACTTACTGGAGGATCACGATAGGGAGCTCTTCCAGCTAGAAGAACGACTGGAACAAGTGCATAAACTGTTTTTTGAGGAGTATGATAAGAAGCGTGTGCGAGCGCTAGGTGGAAGGGTGGCAGCTCTGCGAGGCGAGAGGACGCCGTCCAAGGAGAAGGACGTGGACTTGAAATTGGTCCCCGATGTCAAAGACATTATGCCGCAGATTAAGCGTCGTATCCTGGGTGGCGTAGTCTTGGTGTTTTCCGGAGTACTTCCTCTTGGAACAGATACGCAGAACGCCGATATCTCTTTATGGACAAAGAGTTTCGGGGGTGCGATTTCCCAAAAGATTAGTATGAGAACCACCCACCTCGTGGCTGGTCGTAATCGCACAGCGAAAGTTCGAGAAGCGACGCGCTATCCGAACATTAAGATTGTCACGACGCAGTGGTTGCTGGACTGTCTGACGCAATGGAAGCGGGTGAACGAGGAACCGTACCTACTGCCCGTGCATCCCGATGATCGCGGCGAGCCAATTGAGCCTGGGTCCAAGGAGGCAGAAAGCTCGTGGCCTTCATCGTCGGACGAGGGAACGGGAACATTCTCTACAGATGACGACGGCCTGTCGGAATCCACTGAGGACATTCTCAAGTCTTCGGGACTCAACGAGATGTCTCCCATTGGGTACGACGCTGAACAACAAGCCGCCATCCACGAGGAACTGAAGGAGTTCCTTGGAAGTGACGACGAGAGCGAGAGCGATAGTGATTATTCGTTCCTAGCAGATGAGGACATCGCATCCAGTAAGAAGCGAAAACGTGACGATGAGTCCGAAGATAAAAATTACGAGCCTAGTTTAGAAGAGGACGAGAATTTCCAAGGCTCTCGCCTCTCGCAACGGATCAAGCGGTCCTACGAACGGAGCACCGGTCTGAGGGAGGTGGCTAGCGCGAACATCGCTGAGTCCGCGCATGAGTCGACAGATCGCGACGACGAAGAATCCAGAGACCTGGCATCTCGAGATCAAACAGCAAAGTTCCCCGAAAATCCAGCCGAGGACGACGATGAGCTGGAGCGGGAGATGATGGCGGCGTTTGAAGATGGAGGCTACGACGGTAAGGGAGAAGAGAACATCGCGGCCGAGAATGGTTAATTAGTTTCCGGGTAAGGTTCTATCAGGTCCATGCTCAAGCTGTTCGTGATGGCTTTCCTGCCAGTATTATCTTTTCCCTTCTCTCTTGTTTTTTTCTCCACTTATTCCTGTCTGCGATGCAATGCTGGCATAGCGATGGCGTTAGGGCATGCATAAGTCTCCTACCTACAGAACTCCAGGAACCTTGATTTATTTTGCCGGGGATATCAAATGCAGGGATGTAGTCAGAGATGTGATCATAGTTGTACGGACCATCTCAGATATACCTCGATTGGAAAGAAATATGAAGACAACAGGATTATTAGTACATGTACATTGAAATGAAACCCAAACGCCATGCTTGCATCAATCGGGTAATTATCATGAAACTCATACATAGTATCCAAACCAGAGAATAGATAATGTGAACCACATGAATAATAAACACAGACCATATATCAATGAATCAATCACTCGTAAACATCCCGGTTCACTTGCCACGACATGACGATCATCCATAGAAAAAAAATCGTATTGACGAGCTCGAACGCAAATGCCGTTCTCCAGCAATTACCTGCATGATTTGTCAGAAAAAGAAACCAAAAATTGATAGCTCCAGATAGAGAGAACGTACAGAGGGTACTCTGCGTCAACCACGCCATCGTCTGCAGATTATCCCCCCCAAAGTGATTATCATCCACATAGATCTTACAATTATCGTTGACGTTAGCGACAACCCCGTACATCTGCAGGGAAGTCTCGATGAGACCTGTCAGCCAGAGTACGAAGAGGATGAAACTGCCGATGATGATGATTCCCGGGAGAAGGAAGCGTTGCGCAGCGAGAATGAGGATGAGAATGATGAAGAAGATGCCCAGAGCGCCGGAGACGACCATGTATGGGAAGAGCCTAACGATGTATGTATGCGGTTAATTAGATTATTTTATTTTATTGTCTCCAACTAAAGGAACCACCGCATGGAAATCCAAAGGAGAGGAACGTACCATGGTATCCCGAGTTGTAGTTCGGACTGCACCACCATGAACCAGGAAAAGATGCCCAGACAGATGGCCGAGGCTGCCAGTACGATGATGATCCATATATTCAGCTGCAATTCAGGCCAGTGGTACCGACGACGATGATAAGAGCGTACTCGCACGGCCATGGTGACCTACCCACTTTTCTGGAGTGTACCTGGAATGGAGTATAGCTAACTAGCTATCTGGCTGGCTATCAAACTAAATGGATGTGATTTCAGATGCGGCTTGATTGGGAACAGCATGAATGGCTCCAGATCCAAGAGAAGTGGCAAGGGAGGTAAATATCGTTATGGGATTCTTTATTGATTGTCTTAGGGAAAAGAAGTATACACCGGTCAGGGAGGAGCCCTAGATTATGGCTGTCGGGCACCAGGGTGCAGAAAATGATGGAAGAGAACAGCGCATCAGCGCCGTAATCCCCAGGAAACACCAGTCAGTGGAGAGATTGTGTCCCGTTGGGCTGGAGAAGGGGGAATGTTTGTTGATTATTGATTGATGGATGGATGGATGATGGATGCGATGTGTTGGTCGCGTTATGTAAGCAGGATTTTCCCCTCCCTTGAGAATGCAGCAAGTCTCGTTCAATCTTCACCATGAAAGTCGAAATCAACTTGCGAAGAACAATGACAAGAGGAAGAAAGCATGAGGAAAAAACAAATACTCCGTACGGTCTGGATGGAACCCATGCAGTGATCCGTCATAAAATAAGGTGGCAGGCGCCGAAATTGCGGTGGCAGGGAGATCGACGCAACATCCACGACTACAAAAAGTATACAAGAAAGCCCCAGGGTCGATATATCGATCTAAATGAATTCGTTCATTCCGTAACCCATGGACAAACATATTAGAAACAATCAATCATTACAGAAGGGTATCGCCTAAGGCACTTCGCACCAACGAACACCCGGTGCGGATGGTCTCCGATGCTCCCATCGATTCCAGGCTGGGATTGACCTCCACCAAGTCCATGGCCACCAGGTTGCCCGTCTCATGCACACACTCGCAGATGAAATCGCCCTCGCGGAGAGTCAGACCGCCACGCACTGGAGTACCGGTGCTGGGTGCCCACTGCGGATCCAGTGCATCAACATCAAATGAGAGATGGATCGGTGTGTCGTTGCCGATATGTGCCAAAGCCATTTCGACCACCCGGCCAATGCCGTATCTGTAAGCACTGGTTAGTCACTAGACTTGAGTCATGCATGTCATGCACGCCATGCATGCATCGCATGTCCGGGATAACAAGGAGAAGGAGTGGAAGAGGGTCCTTACCGATCAACGTCATGCATGCTGAAGGCCTTGATACCATTCTCCCGGAGCAATTGCTTCTCGCCGCGATCCACGTCCCGCAGACCAATGTAGACCAGTTTGCGCGTGCTGACGATGTGTTCATCCTTCAACCAGCCGAAGATGTCCTTTTTCTCCTCACGGGCCAACCGGGTCAGGAACGCCATGGGCATGCCGTGGATGTTCCCACTGGGACTCATCTCGGGGACGTTGATGTCGGCGTGAGCATCGACCCAGATCACGGCCATCTCGCGGCCGAGGCGTTCACGGACAGCCTTCGCGGTTCCGGAGACGGTTCCGATGGCAATCGAATGATCTCCTCCCAGCGTCAGGACGAATTTACCGTCCTTGGCGTGCTGGTAGACCTGCGAGCTGAGAGTTTCGGTCACGGCGCTGACGGCCCGCGGTTTCTTCATCCCGCGGTGGTCGGGATCCTCGGCGGGGATTTGGTTCTCGTAGTAATGGACGGTCTGGTCATAGTGAAGCTCGTAGCCCAGATCCTCGTGGAGCTGGTCGAGCAGACCGGCCTCGATCAGGGCTTGAGGGGCGGCTTCGACACCGGTTCGACACTGGGCGGCTCAGTCAGTATACCGATACATGTCCTTGAATTCATTCATGAGTGGGGCAATTTTTTTTTTTTTTTTTTTTTTTCCCTTGCCTTCGAAGAAGATCGACAGCGCCAAGGAAAGTAGGGTCATGACGTACCTGACCTCCATTGAAACCCACAGCCACAACGCCCAGATGGTTGGGTTTGGACAGGAATCGTTGAGTGATAGTCGGAGGTTGAGTCATGATGAGAGTGAGAAATTGGGAGTAAGGTGAAAGAAAAGGGAGAGAGATGAGGGAGAGAAAGAGAGCAAAGAGAGAAAAAGGTTCTAGAAGTGAAACTAAACTAGTTAGTCAATACTGGCGAGATACGATAAGATCCGGTGTGGTGGAACTCAGATTCTTCAGCCAACGGGATTAAAAATAGTCAAGAGGAGAGGCAGGTGAGAAGAAAACAAGGAGAATTCCCCTCTGGGCCCGTCCACGAGGCCATATTTATGTCCATCCGGCCAGCGCTGACCGTGGGTCCCCGTCTTGCTGGGCGATCGCTAAGACCGCTTTTAGGGATCGCGATTTCCCCTAAGTACAGGTCGAGGAGAGACGCCCGTCTTAAGCGTCACCATCTCTCTCCACCGACCCCGATTTCCATTACCAATTGGTCCCGTCCAAGGAAACAAACATGGGGTATCATTATTTCTATCCTAGCGATATTTTACACTATTCTACTTCACTTCATCGGCCTTGCGATTCCCCAAGGATGAGCTCGCGCAGGATCCCATCAGCCTTGGGGGCTTCCACTCGACCCTTCTCTCCCATGCGCATCATCTGTCCCACGAACCATCCCAGCTTCCCCAGCTGGTTCTTGCTGCGGATTTGTTCGACCATCTGCGGGTTCTGGCCCATTGCCGACTCTGCCAGAGCAATGTACTCCTCCCGAGAAAGAGGGCGCAGCAGTAGATTCTCCTCTTCCAGAAGCTGTGGGATCGGCCGTAGGTCTCCGTCAAACACGCTGGCCAACACCTGTTTGGCCGTAGGACTGGTGATCTGTTTCCGCTGCAGCTGGTCGATGATCTCGGCCAGCGACTGGGCCGGTACCCGTTGCGCATCCCAAGCCAGGTCCGCCTTGGTTAAAAGGCCCCCCAGCTCGTGCAGAACCCAGTTGCCCGCCACGCGTCCAAGGGTTTTCAGGGACTTGGGGTCCTGATCCCGCTGTAAACAGCGCAGGATGTCCATGACGTCTTGATAGTACTCCAGGCGGGACCCATCTTCCAGCTCGATCAATGGCTTGGCATCTTCTATGGGCAGTCCATATTCGGGGCCCGTCAGTACATCGATTAACTCGTCCGAGGATGCGGGCATTGTCTTCTTCAGCTCAGCCACGAGGTCATCGCCGATGATGAGCGGCGGTATGTCAGGGTCTGGCATGTATCGGTAGTCCACCTCGCCCTCTTTGCCTCGGAGTTTGCGCGTCTCGGTACTTCCAATCGCCCACCCTCGCGTTTCACCTTGCACAACCCCGCCACTCTCGAGCACTGAAATCTGGCGATTCTTTTCTGCGATGATAGCATCCTCAACGGCCTTGAAGCTGCTAAGGTTCTTGATCTCCGTGTGCTGACCTAGGCCGCCGATCCCTCCGTATTGATGAGTTCCCGCGGCTTCCCTCCGAGCACGGATGGACACGTTGACATCGGCCCGCAGACCTCCCAATTCCATCCCGGTTGTCACGGCACTGCACGACTGGAGGATTGCCTGGATCTTCCGGACGCAGGCGGCGGCTGTCGCAGGGGTGTGGATCTGAGGCATGGTAATGATCTCAACGAGCGGGTGGGAGACACGATTGAAGTCGAGCAGCTGGGTCGAGGGAGGGTATTCCTGGGATTTGGCCGTGTCTTGTTCGAGCTGGACTTGTTTGATGCCGATGCGAACGTGGTCGCCATCTTCCGCAGCAATGCCGTCATGGCGGAAGAGGTCAACGTAGCCATCTTTCGCAAAGGGTTCTGCCAGAGCGTTAGCTGGCCAGTTCAATTGGGCTAGCCCGGATAGGAGAGACGGAGAGGGTCACTGTAGTATTGAGTAATCTGATACCCAGCCGGTTGATCCTGGTAGAAATAATGTTTTCGGTCAAATTGGCTGACTGGCTGGACCTCACAGTTCAGAGCCAGTGCAGCACGCAGGGCGGGAAGAAGAGTCGGGATTTGGAATTGCTATAGGGTCTCAGTATTGATGGCTTCTTGGACTCGTGAGGATTCGTAGACGAACCGGCTGACTGCCTGGGAAGGCCAGGTCAAAGAGAGCGACGTTTGAATTGGGTAGATCGGTGGATGACGTCGAGGCTCCTGGTTTCGGCAAGAAAGTTAGAACGTGTTGCTCGTGTGTCCATTTCGATGGTCCACCTACTCGAGAATAGCTTCGTGGCACTATTCAGCTGCGCGTGGATTTCGATCCCCACGGTCAATTCCCATTTCTCTCGGGATGCTTCTTCGCTCTCCCTCCGTTGACGCTTGTGAGCCTTCAAAGCCTTTGCGCCTTGTTTGAGCTGCTTCCGGAGGGGAACACGATCCTCTGAGTCTATCGCCGATGTTTGTAGGTGCCTAATATGAGGAGAGGAGGATGCTGAGATGGCATTCCAGGGTAAGAGACGTGGCGGAGAGGTATAGGGCCGACATTGGGGACAGGTGAAAGAGCGGAGAGCCCAGGGACATTGGTGTAGCCAGGGTCGAAGCATGTGTGGACGAAGGTGAGTGGTAGTAGGGTAGGGAGAGGAAAGGAGAAACGGACGTTCTCTCGGGGGATGATCTGATGGATAGCTGGAATTGGAAACCATTGAAGAGATTCTCCATATCAATACCGTACGTGTACGCTCACCGCCTATTTGGCATGTATTGTACATACAAGAATCGGCTTCAAGAAAAGAATAGAAGGAACTAAAGAATCCTGGAATGAATGGATAAATGGATGACTGCTAGACAGTAAACTGGTCACCCAAGGTATGCCTCTGTACTAGTCTCCCTTTCCCGGATTAATTCATTGTCCTCCTAGATCCCATCCAACTTGGACTCATACTCCGCGCCTGCAGGATCGGCAGCGAGTCGCCGCCAGCCAACGCATCATCTGGCCATTTTAGCCTTCTGGGGATGGGGCATTGCAGGTAAGATGATATAATACATCCCCATGGATCCGAAAGCCAAGGGTCCACAGTGGATGCATCTGTGTGCTGCATGCCATCCATCCTTCGATATAATTCACCTTGCGTATCCACGAGGGAGTCTTGGATTTATATTCACTAGCTTCTCATTCACTTCATTCTATTCTCTCTCTCTGTCTCTCTCTGCCTGCTTATTCTATTCGATGACACAGATATCAGAAAATAAAAGAGTGTCAACCCCCAAACTTTCAAGCGGAGGATGGCCATCATCTGGTGATCGATCATCTGGCGATCGGTAGCCCTTGGCGTTTCTTGACGCCCTCCAGTGACGAATGAGACCCCTCCTCCATCATCGGCCTGCGCTCCGTTCATTTCTGTCGTCTGGGTCGAGGTTGAGTCTCAATTCTCCGTATCTAGGGTTGAGTTTCGGGGTTGGTTGATCATCCCTTGTGCATTTATTTATTTCTGGTCAGTCAGTCGCGGAGCTTGGGCATGATCTGATTGATATTCTTACTCTGTTCTAGAACAAGGGTCTTCCTGGGTGTTGATCGGATAGCGAACAAAAAAAAAAAAAAAAAAAGAAAGAAAGAAAGAAAGGGGAACAGGAGGCAAATAAAGGACAGGGACGGATCGCGACATTCTGTCCTACATTCCTTTGATTCAATCGTTGGGCCGTCCTCCCTTGACATGCCTCAATTGTTAGCACCGGTCCAAAACAACACATATCACACTGCCTTGAGTTGGCTCTTGTCTCTCCCTCTTCATGTCTCGAATTTCCCAGTTGCCCACGGGACATGGGCCTAGAAGCTAAAGATTCTAGCTCTTTTCTTAGGTCTGATCTAACCTATTCCCCTTGATTTCCGTCAGTCCCAGTCACGATGCCGCTTTATTCGGGATCTAGTCGTTCTAAAAAAGCGCGCAAAGAAGGAGCAAACCGGGCATCCACCACGTCTGTGGTCTCAGCGGTGTCACGCTCCACCTCTAAAGGCTCCAAAGCGTCTATGGAGAAGCTCAAAAAAGAGAACCCTTCAGCACAGCCCGCAGCGCCCCAGAGCAGTGTGGCGTCGTCGACGTCCGCGCCGGGCACGCAGGATCCCAGAAGACAGACGACCGAATCAGACAGAAAGCCGCCCAACGTGTTTGAGTATCTCGACGAGGGTGAGTCCGATTCGGAGAATTCTTCGTCTTCCGAGGATGGACATGACTCTCGGAACCCCCCTGCATCTAGTGTTCCACCGAAAACTGCATATTCTGGGTCGGCGGGCCGCCAGACTAACTCTGCAGCCCAAGGAGCAAATGGCCGCAGTCGAACATCTTCTATGAGATCCAAGGTCTCCATGGATTCCCATCGCTCTGCCGGCCCGTACGATGTTTCGCCATCCACGGTACCTCTACAATTAGCCAGAAACAACCTTACTCAACGGAAGTATTCCGTGGATGGGTCTTACGGCCCAGGCCCTTTAGCTGAAGGCCCAAATTATCCCGGGAGACGGAATTTCGATCTGACCTCAACGCCGGAGGCATACTACCCCCCACGGGGCTCTTCTTCTTTCCACCGACCTCCTTTTCCTCCCTCACCCCCACAAAGTCCTGAGGAGGACCTCCACCGGGTCAACCGGAGAACGAGGAGAAATACCAAAACCTCGCACGTCCCATCTGGCTATGGACTTCTCTCAGGGCAGCTGAGCTCGCCGACTGACGGCAAGGAACCCTTACTTCCCCCGCTTTACCGCCGATTCGAAAATCTGAACCATCGGGTGCTTCTGCACTTACAAGATGAGATCGCACATATAGAAGAAGAGTTACACATGTTGGATGAGTACGAAGAAATGCACCGTGTTGCTACCGCTGAACAAGAAGGAACCAAGATATTGCCTGCCTCGAGACGCATGGACGCTCAGGCGCAGGTATACTCGTCTCTTCACTACCGACGAGAAGAGGTGATGGGGACACTGATTCTCAAAACCCAGCAATATAGTGAGTACTCAAAGAAGCAACGCCCAATGGATCCAAATCTCCATCTGACCTGCATCAAGACAACGCCCTCAGCGCATACAGCAAAGTCCTGGAGATTTTCCCTCGCGCCTCTGAACAAGATGCCGAAACTTACCGTACATGGATGAAAGAGCACACTCCCATCGCGACGGCTGAGACCCGTTTTCTAGATCATACCCAAGACCTAATTTCCCTGGCGCCACGCGCTGCTCTCCATTCCTCCAATTCCCCAGTTTACTCCGCCATCATCATTGCGTCCGCCGCCATCCTCCTTCCTCTGCTGTCGTTCGCTATGATCGCCGAGTTTTCAGGTCGTCTGCTGGTTGTCGCCATGGTGGGAGGCGCTGCATCCGTCATTGCGTCGAACTATTCCACTGGTGTAGAGCATCTGGTTGCTTCGCAGGACGGATGGAGATGTGCTACGCTGTATGCTCCTCCCAAAAATATGTGTATATCCCGTTGATAAGACTGACTTCTTCACTGCAGATACTTTGGATTCATGACTGTCGCTGCAATATTTATTCCTTAACTGATTGAGATTTACGAAATATGAACAATCCATAAACTAATTTTATTTCATTTATGAGTGACGAATCTTTTTGGAACTGCCTACTTACTGACTGATTTTTATCATTCACTTTTTTTATTGTTTTTTTCTGCAGTCCCACATACCGGAAAGAAAGATGGATAGACTGAAACAAAGGCGTTAAGGACCAAGGGCTCTCTAGTCATACAAAAAACGAGAACAAACAGACAGATGGCATGGATGGACATGGACATAGACCAAAGGAAGAAACCCCAACCGCGAGCAATCTTCCTCATGAACTTTCCATATCCTTATCCTTATTTTTTACACCCTCCGTGTGTAATTCCTTCCTACCTATTTGAGTTTTGTATCGACTGTCACTTTGGAAGGTGTGGAATTTGATCCGTGTACTGTACCGTGATAATGATCCATTGTATACTACACTCTCTTAAAGAACAATAACCTATTTCATTTCTTCATGAATTGAATTTGAATTCTATCTTATCATCCCATTGAGTACATCCATCCAAGGTTCTATCTTTATAGTTAGTTGTCCTACCTAGTCCTAGCTTGTTTCTTGTTCTATCTGTGCTTGCGACAATCGTAGTAAAGGGTACAATTGTAGAGAAGATACATAAACTAGACTACCTAATACATGAAGTACGTCGAAGTAAAAAACAAATGCGCATCCGCGCCTCCAAAAAGAAGGGACTGCGAATCCCTCCATTTCATCTTCCCGTCAGATAGATAGTTATAAACCAGACCCGTCCGGAATCAATCCGCGCCTTTCGCTGAATATTTGCCCCCATGAAATAGTTCGACAATAATTGGAAAAAAGAAAAAGAAAGGAAAAAGAAACTGCAAGGACAAACAGTAAGAGACATCACCACCGCAGATTACACCAATTAAAAGGAGAATAGGTTATCAAGGAGACCACCATTCCCCAAATCTAGTAATAAATCATAGTGACAAAGGGGAGAGGAAAAACAAACGATAAATCAAAGAAACAAACAAAAGCTCCGATTATAACAAGTGGTCCTATTAACCAACCCTTCCCTTTGTTTTTTGGTGTTCTCTACAGGAAAGACATATAGACGAAGTAGGTGAGAAAAAAAGAAATCAAATCTCTGAGGCTTGGGTTATAATTCATTAGCTCATGAGGCAACAGGAGTACCGTTCTGCTTATTCCCTGGCGTGACACTACGGTCTTGGGTTCCACCTTGTTCGGCGGGAGGCTGTGGCGTGGACGATAACTGCGCCTTGTGGCGTTCCATCAGTGCTGCTTGCTCGGCAGCACTTCGCGCATAAGTCATGGCAGCGGCCGAGTTAGAGTAGCTACCTGAGGATGGTGGCGCTTGGTTGGACGGATAATTCCCGTACGGAGGAGGCTGTTGCTGAGGCATGTACCGCTGAGGGTTGGCACTCGGCGTCATATAGGGGGTTCGTGGTGCAGTATATGACGGTGGTTTCTGGGGGGAGGCACTGCGTCCCACTCCATAGGGCGCACTGTACGCTCCCGGTTGTCCTGGCCGTGCGTGGAACTGCTGCTGCGGAGACGCTTGAGCGGTGGGCATCCCGGGCTGGGTGGCATAAGGGTGATAGCCGTTCGACCCCGGTCTTTGGAATTGGGCCGCTGCATTCCCTTGGTTGTATTGAGGCGTAGGCTGTGCGTATCCTGGAGGGTAGCCAGGGCGCTGGGACGGAGTGCTGGGAGGTCGAGCCGCCGAGTAATGCTGCTGCGGCCCTGGGGTATACGGCCCTGATGTCGAGGATTGCCGTGCGCCGTAGTACGGCTGCGGAGTCTGGAAACCGCCCTGCGATTGCTGGGCCCGAGCATTATGAGAATAAGCTCGTTGATTGTACCCTGGTGGAAAGTTGGGCGGCCGCGACGGTGTGGATGTCCTGTTAACCCCCCCAGCTACTGGAGCCATGGCTGCGGAGCGCTCCTGCTGCAGAGTGAAATCATCCTTCTCCATAGTGCCATGATAGTCAGGATTCTCAATCACAATCTTCTGGCTGATATTGAGTTCGTCTAGCTGGTCGCCATTCAGCTTGGCGACAGCGTGTGGAGGGAGATTCGAAACCATTGCCGCTAAGCTCGACCTCAATGTATCGTATACACCCTGTTCTGCTGCAGACGGGGCGTCTGCAGTACCCAGATCAGGCACGGTCTCCTTGGGGTCAGCATCCTGGCTACTTGAACTTGAAAGCTCAAGATTGCGGATCCTTTGATAAGAGTTCAGAGTCTCCAGGAGATCCGAAATGTCCCGCAACAGCTCATCCATGTTTCGTGGCCCTTGCTCATCCTCTTCCTCTTCATCCTTCCCATCCGTTTTGTCTTCCTTATCCTTGGTGGCGTAACTATTAAATACGCTGTCAACAAAATCCTCCGGGTTGAATGTTTTGACCATTTCCTCTAAAGTACTCTCATCCAGCTCCCCAATGTTCCCTGGGCGCTCTGAAACAGCTTCGTCATTCTCCTCTTGATACGGTATCGAGAGAAGCATGTGTAGGCGTTTCGCTCCTTGCTTGTTCCACCATACTAGGTCCTTCGAGTCGACTTGCACGACTGCCCCCGAACTGTCAAAAGAAGGGGCAAACGAGGAGTATACCCCCTGCCAGACTGATGTATCGTCGTCCACCCACATCACGGAGTCCTCGTGGGGTTTCTCATCACCGTGCTGATGCGATGGCTGCTGCTTCTGCCGGCGATTCCAGTAGGACGGAGAAGAAGTGACACCGCCATACTGAAGCCACTGGCCAGAAGGTAGGGGGGTAAGGCAGTAGTTGTTGCGATCCCCCAGAAAAGACTTGAAATTTGTGATAGCCTCGAAAGGATCAATCCACGTGTTGAACGCGCCTCGAGAGGTAGACCGAGCTCGGCGAGGAGGTTCCAACTGAGGCAGGGTCGGCCGAGGAGCAAAAACTTCACCAAAGGTCCTTTTCGGTACTTCCGACTTGGCCTCAAGGTTGTGGGGGGCCACTCTGGTGGTAGTGATTCCATTGGGTAGCCCGTCCTCGCGCAACGGCGCCTGCACTTCGACACACTTTTCAGTTTGCGGGTCATCGGACGGCAATGGAACCTTGACAGACTTCTGGAGGCTTGAGAACAGATGCTTCGGATTCGCCGGGTTCCCAAATAAGGTTAACACCAAGCTGTCACTGCGTGCTTCCTCATGGGGAGGAGTGGATTTTGCGGGGGCCTCCGAGCCGTCCTCCGATGTCTCCGTCTTTATATTCGATGGGCTCGACTGTGCCTGGCGGACGAGGCTGTTCAAAAGCTTTTTGAAAGCTGCGATGCGATTAACTGTTTCCGTCAAGGGTGTTCCGTCCGCCGGGGCTGCACTGGCTTGGGATTTATTCCTCTCAATCACCGCGGTGGATGCCCTTTCAATGTCGCTCAAGAATTCTGAAAGCGTATTGTAGCGATCCGCAGCCACCCGTGCTTCTATACTGGACCCTTCATCCTTGTCCCCCGCCACTTTTGCTCGTTTCGACCGAGGTTTGGTTGGCGACGATGACAACGGACACGATAAAAGTTGAAGATCGCCATCATTTCTAGTATAGGTTAGTAATCTATGCGCGGACCAAAGCTCCACAGGAGGCCAAAGGGAGAGCTCACTTGCTCAATATTTCAACAAGGTTACGAAGAGTCTCCTGTAGTTTGAATTTTTCCTGGGATGACTTCGAGGAAGAGTTACTCGTGTCCTGGACAGGCTTGTCATCATGACTTGACACACGCTTTCGTTTGCCAGGAGTCGCCAAACTCGAGGGATCGGGAGTGGAGGAGTGAGGTTCGCCGTTCGTGACTGACAACGAGCCTGTTCCTCCACTTTCGTCTGCGCTCATGATTCCAGAATCGCGCCGCTGCAATAGTATTTCCTTGGGACGAGAACAAAAGGTCCTTTTTAGCCTGAGGAGAGAAAGGTTTTTTTTTTTTTTTTTCTTTTTTTGCACTCGAAAATCCCGAGAACGCGGCCGAAGTATCGGGTTACGTCGGGAGAGACTAAAAATCAGCCTCCCAGAGGAATACAAACAAGATCCCGGTTCAGGAACCAGCGTGAGTTGATCGCCGAGGCGGGTGCCCCAATCGTGAGGAGGCTCAGTTGACGGGCGCGCAATGAGGAAGGAGAAGACTACGGCGTGCAAGCAACGCCACACTGGAGAATTGGCGACAAAATGAGACACAAATCCCACGTCGCAAATGAATCGAGTGCGACAACAGCGACAGACCAGTAGAAAACCACGTCGACGTGACGTCGTTCCAGTTGCCAGGCGGGAGAGCAGGCGAGGAGTGAAATCGATAACTACTGGAATACAGAGTAGGCGTTGTTTCTTGCAAGCCCACTGGCCCCGTGACAGCCCCGGTCACGTGCACGAAGCTTTTCTCGGCAGAGACCGTGGACTCGCTCTTTTCTTGCGAAGCCTCGACAACGTCGCCTGCAGAAGCTCCCCTGCGTGGTTTTCTTAATGGATGTCATTGGCATTCAATCATGCTGCAAACCCCGTGAGGCTCTCCTCTCTGAGTGCGCCGCACATGTTCCGTGGTCGTCCATGGCCTAAGGTATCTACTAGCCTGCACCTGAGTCTTCTGCAGTTCTTATATTAGGGTTTTTTTTTTTTTTTCTTTTTTGGAATAGGCTGGAGTAGGAAGTCAATGGACTAATACTTGTCTTATTCCTAGGAATGCTTTCTCAATAGCCTCTTCCGCCAGCCGAACGTAACGACGCTGCTGAATTTCCCCACCAACAATTCTCTTCTCCTACCTTTAATCTCATCCCGATCAATAAGCTGTCGTTCTAAGAGGCTTGGCTCGAAACTGCGTGAACGGGATGACGAGAAGCAGTTCTCCGATGCTGGATTCTGGCACGATCTGCGACTCCGGTCTGATTTGAATCAAGCCTACTCCCCGACAGGCGCGAACCTCCAGGAACCACAGCTGAGTGAAATCAGCCCCGATTCAGCGAACTCCGAGTTGGAGTCAACCCTGTCGACATCGTTATCGTTTTCGCGAAAAGCAGGGGACAGACAGCGTGGACGAATACGAGGGCGAGCGATCAACCAACGAAGGAATCCTCGACGGTTCTGGAAGTTGGATCCGTGGAAGTTTAAACCGACTAAAACCGAGTATCTGCTAGATACGCTTCACAAATTTGTCCACAACCCTTCTAACGGTAGTAGTCGCCAATGGACGTTGGCCGCAAGGAAACCAGATGACCCTCTCATGACCCCCTTAATCAAGCCGCGAAGGTCTACCTACAAATCTACCCAAAGGATATCATTACAAGAGGCTCTTGCCGACTACATATATGACGTGGACCGCCATCTGAACCAAGAAAATGGCCCTCGAAAGAGTGATTCCAGTGCGCCTGAAAACATTAGCACGGAGTCAGCCGTAGATGTAGGCCTACGCAATTTCTCTCGCAGGGGATTTTACAACTACCTGCACCGTCGTTTTTATTCTACTGCTGATCTAACGACATGGGCCTGGGTGCTCAAAAGCCCCACCCCTTATCGAGCTATTCTCCGGCTCTTAGCAGTGGAAAACCAGGATAGGACAAGAAATGGAATTTTTTTCCGATCCGTCCCACCGTTTATCCCACTGCTCCTGTTAAGGCAAAGTCTCGACTCAAGGGCATTTCGCTTGCTTTTGCCGTACTGTCTAAGCCTCATAAGCGGTCAACCGCTGCCGCCACCAGAAGCATATGAAAAAGCGACGGCGGGAGATATCTCTCTTGAAGATGCCCCGCTCGAAAGCTTGAGGCCTTTGATCCCCCCTAATATGTGCATCACTTTTGCTATTAGATTGCTCCATCACGCGCGACAATTGCTGCCGCAGGCTCAGGTCCCTATTGCACGTGCCCTTACGACCTATTTGGAGGCTGTTAAATCGGAGGGACAAAACAGTGTCTCGAAGCCTACACTACGAAACCTGCGGTTGATGATCCAGGGCTTAAATACTGTGCTTCGATCGCTCTCACTCCCCTGCAGGCTGAGGCCTTTTGCGTCAATCCCAATCCAGCAAGAAGCACAGTTCGAGATCCTCAAGGCCATGGCAAAAAACCAACCAGTTTTGCCCGTTACACGCAGGGGTTATCAAGGCATTATTGCAGTTCAGCTTGCCCACAATAAGACCCAGGCGGAGCGGCAATGGGCGGAACTGAAGGCCCCGTCCTGGCCGCCGTGGAAGCAAGAGAAGCTTGGCATCGATGCACAGCGAGGGTTTGAAGGCATGAGGAGCCGGGCGTTACGAGTGATGCACCAGATGCACAAGGCTGGGTACAATCACAGTCTCTGGGAGCATGTGTATCGCATCTACGCCGGGTGGGATACCGATCAGAGCCCGACCATCCAAGTTAGAACGCTGGCGCGCCAGCCCTGGTTTTTGCGCAAGCCTGTGGAGAAAGTGACACACCATGCAGTCTGGGAAGCTCGGATTCGTGCTACGAGGACCGTACATGAAGCTTGGGCATGCTTCCTCTCATACCAGGATCTGGGCCTCCCTCCGCGGGCGAAAATCTATGTTGCAATGGCTGAAAAATTGATATATAGCGGAATTTGCACAAACAATCTTGATCAAGCTAGCCATGCGTTGCCAGGCGATCGTCTGGAAGTCTTCCCGGAGCCTTCGTCCGCGCGAGATTTGATTTATGTACACACCCAACCCCTTAAAATGGACGAGTTTCTCAAACAGATGCTTTCTCATGGCTTTCGGCCCCGGGGTCGGTTCCTAGCTTTGCTGCTTCGAAATGCACCGTCCTTTGCATCGGGCCTGGATTACCTCAGTTGCAGCGATTTATCAGACGAACAGCTCAAGGCTTTGTGCACTCTTTGGCGGCAGGAATCTACGCACAGCCATGACGCTGTACGCGCTGTGAACGAGATCCCTGATTCTCTCTTTTCTGCCTTTATAGCCTTTCTATGCAAGTTCTCGAGTCTTGATGGGAAATGGGCGCGACATGTCCACCACCTAGATGCCTTTCCAATAATTCTCGGTCACTGGTCAATGGCGCCGTTCAAAACAAAGACGCTTTTCTCCTACGCTACAGGCAAAGGAGGAAATGACGGCGACCGACATCCTGACTTCCTAAAGCACGCAATCCGTCTGCTGATGATGCGGCGTTCTCAGTCCCCGCAGCCCTGGGATTGTGTCTTAACGGCCGTGAGCAAGAATCGTATCTCTAGGTTCCTCCAGCACCAGATAGGCCTGCACACTCAGATTGTCCTTTCCTGGTACGAGTCTCTGGAGGTCCTGGACTTGATGAATGACCGTAAAATCGAAACCAGCACACAAGGCTTCAGGACTCTCTGCAACCTTTTCTCCAAACTCATGGTCGCACAAAGGCAGCACCCCGAGGCTGTGCAAAGAGCTCTACACCTTGTAGCAAGAGCAGCCCAAAGCGGAGCGCTGGTGCACGCTGATCTCAGGTACCTACATTTCGCGCATGTGGCTCCTAGGGGCCTTGAAACCCTCAAAGGCCTATTCGACCAGATAGTGGTTTCGGGGTCGAGATCATCATCTGTATTTGGGCCCTGGCGTACTGCATCCGAGGGGGCCTCCGAATCATTGCCCGACTTACTTTACGTGCCTGCTCCAGTTGACCTCCATGCATTGGTCCGATCGCTGGGGTCTGCTGACGACTTTGACGGCTTGTTACGCCTTCTTCGGTGGATGAGCCGTTACGAGCTTGCTATTCAGGAGATTTCCGACAGATACATGAACGGAGCGAGGATGAAACGGCTTACGGTGGTGGCAATACGCGTGTTTCTCGAAGGAGATTTGCGCGGAGAGTCTTGGGAGAGTCTTGGTCGGATGCGATCCGCACATGGACAGAGTGAAATAGGATCTAGCGATGGGACTTCCCCGGAGCCGAACGCTGGAATGCTACCTGATAACCAGGTATTGGGCGAAGCATATGACATCGTGACCGCGTCGGATGTCTGGGGGCCCTGGCCGAGTGACGAGGAGGTTGAAGACTATTGTCAGGTCCACCGGAAAGAGCATCGAGTGCTGTGAAGGGAAAATTAGCCAGCCACCACGGCAGCCCTGTACATTACTTTTATAGATGTATATAGATACCATAAACTTGTTCACAATGAAGCATCTTTCATCTGTATACTGCATTCCGCAATCTCTCTTGGGCGCTTACCCGCGGCAAAAACTGGAGCTGGCGGATCCCCCCGCACGACGCCGCGAAGCTTCTCCACAGATTCGGTCTATCTCTTGTCCTCTCTCCTTGCTTCACCATCGACGACTAATCTATAATCAAATAGCCATTGTCATAATGCCTCCGCGCCTTCCGCACTTCTCGTTACGACATCCTCCAGTCTTCTCCGTCCGCGTTACCGTCGCGAGGTATAGCACCAGTCCTGATGATGCCGTGCTTAAGATCCAACAGGTTCCTGCTCCCGGTTCCGGAAACATTCGGGTCCTGCTGTTGAACAGACCCAAGGCGAGAAATGCGCTCTCCAGAAGCCTCGTAGCCAACCTGGCCCAGCATGTGAAATCCATTTCTGCCGAAGGAGGGACGGGTCCAACTCGAGCCCTGATCATTGCCAGCAACGCCGATTCTGCCTTTTGTGCTGGCGCCGATCTGAAGGAGCGAGCGAATATGACCAAAGAAGAGTAGGTTCTCTGTGTCATTGTTCTACTGTTTTGGACGAATGGCGTTTGATTTACCTTTATCATATCCTTTTCCTGATTGTCACAGGACGAACGAGTTCCTTTCAAATCTTCGGAGCACATTCCGCGACCTGGCGAGTCTCCCCATCCCAACAATCTCCGCGATTTCCTCCACCGCACTAGGCGGGGGCTTAGAATTGGCCCTGTGTACCCATCTACGGGTGTTTGGCTCCGCCAGCACGGTCGGGCTGCCAGAGACTCGGCTGGCCATCATCCCCGGGGCGGGGGGCACGTACCGTCTGCCGGGCGTGATTGGAGTGAACCGCGCCCGGGAGCTCATTCTGACGGGGCGTCGCGTATCGGGGGCGGAATCATATTTCATGGGGCTCTGCGATCGGCTGGTTGAGATCCACCCCGAGGAGCAAGAGAAGGAGGGCGCTGCTCGGGACAAGGTGCTGCGCGAGAGCATCAATTTGGCCCTAGGTATCTGCGAAGGTGGGCCCATCGCCATCAAGCAGGCGCTCCAGGCTGTGAAAGGATACCAGCGGGGCGAGGAAGCGGAGAATGAGGCATATGCGGGGGTGATTGACACCGAAGATCGACTGGAGGCTCTCCGGGCGTTTGCAGAAAAGAGGAAGCCTGTGTTCCGGGGACGATAGGCCTGTGGATGCGCCAAGGACCTAGTTCTACCATGTAAGAAAAAGCTACATCCTTTGATCTTCGCCTTTATTTCCTTCCTCTGTTCTCTTCTCGATAAGAGTCTTTATAATGGCTACGATGATCCAATTATTACAAACTACAAGTGTAGAGAAGCAGTCTACGTGTCAGGGTTCTATGTTCAACGCTTCATCGCTGATTGGAAGGGACAGTGCTGAGCTTGCCACCATTGAAAGATGTCTGATTTGGGGTTCTGGTTTTGATTCTGCAGCCTCTTCTGTTCCAGGATAATGCTTTCCACAGACATGAGTCATTTCCATAATCCAGAGGCAGGCAACAGCTGGTATGATCGGAGTATACAAACTGGGCCCTTATGTAGGCTGATCCGTAAGGGTTGAAACTAGATGCAGTTAATTTATTTATATATTGGTTGAATCCCAGGGCCTACATGGTATACTGAGTCAGAGCAGGCAACAACCGCCTTTACTCTGTAGAACAGAGTGGTCGATGTCTGGGTCGGCGCAGTGATGAACCCTGGAACCGGCGGACGGCCCGTTGATCCACTGCGTAACTAAGTATATGATGGAGTCATAACGGATGGGATTTCGATCCGATACCAAAATCGTGGCTCATGCAGGTACTAGTTCCCTAGTCTATATGTGAGTAAGATGGATGACAAACAGTGAGGATGGATTCCTCGCAGTAGTTGGGGTTTCTTTTTTTTAGTATTTTCTGCCTGAAGAACACAGCCCACTAGAGTCGCCCGGAAGGACGTCATTTTACAGGGCTTCGAGGGGGATGCTAAAAGTAGAAAATCCATGAGTAAGAAGGATTATAATGCAGAGTATTTATATAGTAATCATAGAAAAATTATTGTTACAGATTTCCTGTAGAAAGTAGCAGAAATAATACGAGAGGAGGGCATTTAACACCCGAGTCAGAGTCACAGCCACGCTCAGGGGTCTTCCGTTTGGGATACGACGGGGATGCAGGAAAAAGGACACGACGATTGGATTCTCTTCTCCCGTAAACGTAAAAGTCCAAGTCCAGCCTTGCGGATCAATCAGCTCGTCGGTGGAGGGAGATCTGCCGCGCGGAGCTTACCCGGGTCATTCTGTCCTCCTATTCTTTCATCCAGAGTCAAGTGATGGCCACTGGTCAGCCCCATCTTCCTCGCCCACGGGAACCTTCGAATGCAAAAAAAGGCACCAGGCACCCTTTGCTTGCCCGTCATCTGTTCGCTTTCCCCCTCTCATTCACACTTTCATTCATCCATCCGTCCACCCACTACTTAAACCGTGCGGACGCTTCCATCCTCGCTGACTTCTTCCACTTAAGTACTCATTCCCCATCATTTGTAACTCCCCCATTTACTTATTTTGGTACACAGAATCCATCATTTTCAATTCTTGATTGTCTTCGTCTGATTGTATCTAGTCCCCACCTCCTTTCGCATGATCGCAACTCTTTGACGTCCCCTCTTCTCGTCCCCTCCTAATGACGGACCTGGCGTCCCGGGTTAAGCAGTTCGGCCTGACCCAGGTCTACTGCTCCCCGGAGAAGCCTCAGGTGGACGTGGTCTTTGTACATGGTCTGAATGGTCACCCCTATAATACCTGGGCCACGCAATCGGGGATGTTTTGGCCCGCCGATCTACTCCCAGAGGTTTTAGGGACCAGTCGAGTGAGGATCTTGACCTACGGATATAACGCCAATGTAACTGCTTTCACCGACGGCGTCTCGAAAGATCGTATCCTAAACCATGCGGAGACTCTTGCGTCTGGACTGGCTGCCAATCGAAACGTAAGTGAGAATCCCTCTCCTCTGGATCAAAGGCTGATCGGGGCCCCGAGCCACTAACGTGCGTTTTCTTTCTCCTTTCTAGCTTCGAGGATGTGCGGATCGCCCAATTATCTTTGTCTGTCATTCCCTGGGGGGTCTGGTAGTCAAACGTGCTTTGATCTACTGCCGGAACGTATCGAACGAGAAGATCGAGCATCTCCGGTCGGTCTACGTGTCTACGTACGGCATCCTATTTCTCGGAACTCCGCACAATGGTTCGGACGTTGCCAAATGGGGACTCTTGCTGCAGAATATCTGTAGCGCCGTCCTACCACGGAAGTTCGTAGAGACGTCACCTCATCTCGTCAAAGCCCTGCGGACAAACAACGAGACGCTTCAGAATATCAACAGCCTCTTCGCCGAGATAATGGGCCGGTTCCACATATATTTCTTCCATGAGACCCTTTCGACGGACGTCAAGGGAACTCGCGAGGTGATCGTCGATGAGAGCTCCGCCGCCCCATATGCCGAAGGTGTGGAACGAATGGGGATTGAATCGGATCATCGCAACATGTGCAAGTTTGAAGAGGATAGCTCACCGGGCTACGAGGCGGTTGCGGAAGCGCTCTTGCGCTATTCCCGCGATGCTCCTCATACGATCATGGACCGTTGGGCCGAGGAGGAAGAGACTCGCCGCGTGATGAAGCGAACGAAAGTCCGGGAGATTTTCAACAGCGGTAAGTGAACCTGGACAAGCTCGGATGAGATGCGTGGCTAACGGACGCAGAAAGGGGAGATACACCGCAGATGGGAGGAAGCGAGCCAGATCTTCGTGCAATTGGTAGGACACACTTCCTTCCTGAAACTTCTCCCTCTGTGACCTTGAGAGATTACGAAGTGGAGGAACCCCCAGAGGCCTCCTACGCTAGTAAGCATGAATAAATTCGGCGCTGTTTGATGGGGATGTATTTCACGAGAGAAAGCAGATGTAACGGGAGCTTCGGAAAAAAAAAAAAAAAAAAAACATCTTTCACTATTCTGCAGTGGCATGGCTTTTGTTCTTTGTCATTTTCCTGTTTAACTTTCTTTGTCCATGTTATTGAGCTACGCCTGTATCCTACCACACTACTACCATTGTACACTTAAATCCAATAACGCAGCAGTCAGAAGATGCTGACTCTTTTTCTCCTTAGGTAGCTCCACCGTGCCTCCTGGGGCCCGCTTACCTCCTACAGGAGGACGAGAATCCCCAACATCAGAACTTGCTGGTAGTACAGCAAATCTCGCCTTGTCTCGGAGTATCCACAAGGAGCCGCTCTTTGTAGTACCCCCAGGGTTCCATCCAAATGCGACCTTTGTCGGGATGCAGAAGGAGCTCGAGATACTGCATTCCCGCTTGTTCAAAGCAAAGAAACGTTCACAGCGTCTGGTAGCGGTTCTGATTAGTGGCGTTCCCGGCTCGGGCAAATCGCACCTGGCACGGGAATATGTCTGGAGTCATCGAGACAGCTACTCTGGCGGGATCTTCTGGGTGGATGCGAAGTCTCGAGAATCGACCTGCAAATGTTTCTGGGATATCGCACAGGCGGCAATGCTGACAGATGGTGAAGAGTTTCAAACCCCCGGCTCCAAAGCTTCTCAAAAGTATGTGGAAGCAGTGCGCAACTGGTTCCAAGGCCGCGAGGAATGGCTTCTCGTCTTCGACGGGCTCACTTTTGACAATCACGATGACCTCAATAACTTTAAACAGTTTCTCCCTTTCAATAAACAGTGCAGCATAATTTACACGTCCGTTGACCGGACGCTACGAAAGAAACAAAGGCTATACGAGCCCTATTCCCTTCAAATGCCGCCGCTCCAGGCCGAGGATGCCTGCAAGCTTTTGTTTAAGGACCTCGGGATCAAGAGGCCAACCCGAGAGCAGCTTCGTAAAGCCACGGAAGTGGTGCGCCATTATGAATGTCTTCCTCTGGCTATTCATGCCATCAGCCACCGCCTCAGTGCTACAGCTAAGCCAATTGAGAGATATCACATTGACTCACACTTAACCGATGAGAAATTGGCGGAGCCATTCCTGAGCATCATGCATGATCTTTACCGGACGGAACATTTTGAAGCCTTGAGTCTAATCAATCTGTTGTCCTTTTTTGGCCATGACGTTCCAATTGGCCTCATCAACCTGGGCCGCGCTTCCCTGGAGGCCTGGAATGTTAAAATCCTCAGTAGTAGTAGATCTGGGGAGCGCGGGGACATAGACACGACTCTCGGGGTCTTGATCCGGTACGGGCTCATCGAACGCACGTCGGATGCCTATGCGCTACAGGCAAAAGCCCTATCGCCGCGATCCGAAAAGGATGATTTGTTAGACTTGAAAGCGGTTGTCCCTGAGCTATCCGAGTCCCAAACTGAGAGTAGCCAGGATGCGTTTTTCTCAGCATATCAAAGCTCTGGATCCATTGACTTGATCAAGATCCACAGCGTTGTACAGGGGTTTTGCCGAGACGAGCTCAAGATCATGGACGAGGAGCGGAAAAGGAAAGGTTTAACCGGCGATACCAGCAAGTCAGTCGCTGGCTTCTATGATTCATGGCTTGTAGTGGCTACCCGCTTGCTCTGTCTATCATATGAGAATGCCAAAAGGCGAATGGACCAGACCGACAACTATGGCTTGGTGAAGGACTATCGCGAGTATGAAACCCATGCGTCCGTATTAGGCGACAACTTTCCACGGCGAACCTCAACCGAGCCAGAAATAGTGTGTGAAGCCCGGAAAGAACTCAGAGACTTAATGAGAAGCATCAGCAATGAGATTGAACGGATCTCACCAAGCTCCTCACAAGAATCAATCCGCAGGCACCGCTCGGTCTTTGACCGCTCAAGTAGCTCCTCCTCATCTATTCCGGAATCTTCCCCGGATGAAGGGCTGTCCCGCCATTTTACATGGGATCTGAACGATACTCAGCCTGTGGAATCACCGCAGGAAATATCCATATCCCCACCGCGCTTCAACCTGAAACCTTTTCTACCCCATATTTTCCGAGATTCTCACACCGAGCAAGAGACTGGATACGAGACTGACGGCGAAGGCGCAAAGGCTGTGATTCGAACATCCCCAGCACTATCACAATTCAGTCAATCAACGGAGAAGCCAATCTCATCGCAGGCGCACAGTCCGCCACAGCAGCAACCATCAGATGATCAGGGCTGGCACATTGTGACCAGGCCCAAGCCAAGCAAGGAGAGGCAGTCAAAATCAAGGCCCAAATTTCCCCGTAATATCCGTCGTCCGAAGCCAGCAGCGCCTGTCCTCAAAGTATTCCCTGTTGAAGGGAGAAGCGCCTCGAGCAGTACGTTAGAAAAGAGTCGGACTAGCTCCCTCGTGTCCGCTTCTGAGGCCCTTTCTGCCGTCCACAATGCCAGCCCGCCACAGTCCTCCCAAGACATTTCCAGGTTGATGGGAGGCCGGCCGGTAATCAATGACGAGAATGCACCCACCTATGCTTCTGTTGCAGCTAGGCGTGCGCAGGAGACAGCCATATCAGAAAAACAACGGTCGTCGTCGACACCCGGAGGGAAAAGTCGGCCAACATTCCTCGGATTGCAAAGCAAATCGTCGGGCGATTCCCTCTCGAGTGCCGTTCATACGTCACCCTTTTCCACCGAATTCAAACCGGACCGAATGAGTCAGTCGACGTACAGCGAACCTGAGCAAGGATCTCTCACGCACCAACTGCACGAACTGGACTTGAATACTGCCCAAGGATCCCGGTATCACTCCCGACACCTGTCCGCCGTACGGACAGTTGGCCCTATAGGAGATATGTCGGCGAGTACACCCTCTGTTCTCACTTACCTTCCGCCACTGCCATATGAGAACAATATCGAGGTCAGCGTTTCGCGCCGTAAAAGCATCCCGGCAAGGCCGAGGCCCGTCAGTCAGACGACAACGAACATTAGCTCGCTGACCCATCCGTCTGCCATTATGCCCGGTGCTTCACCACCAGCTTCAGTGGCAGCAGAGGTACCTGCTGGCGGCTATGCCTCTGATCCAGCTCCAGAGCCGATGTCCCGAGGTATATCGTCGCAATCGCACCAGTCTTGGTCGACAGAGCCGATCCGTTATCCATCTCGGCTCTCTCCGATGTCTTCCAACGCGCATGCCACCTTACCCAAGGCTGTGCCCCATGTCATTCCGCAGCAACAAGCTCTCTCTGGCACCGGGAGCTGGGTAGGGGACATGCACCCGCAGTCACCGCCACAACCAAAATTGGCGAGCTCACTCCAGTCAGACGTCAGTTACTCGACACAGCCCCATCTGAGGGCATTTGACCCGTTGAATAATCACATGGCTAGCCTGGACCAGAACTGGGAATACCACGACCCCACACCGACGCTGCACTTTGGTGCGCACCGAGTGGATGTCCGTGAAGCTCGCCAGAGACTCCATCAATACCGACCGTACGAAGCACCTCTACCTGGACCAGTTGCGACCCTGAATATGTATCACTCGAATCTTTCCGGGCCGTTGATTTCGCAAGACGTTCATCTTCGTCCACAGGAGCTGCCTGTACGTGGACGAAGCGGCAGCTCTCCTACTCAACCTGTATTCGATGGGTTAGGAATGAATATCTGATACGATTTATAATGAAATCAATAAATAATGATAATAAAATAAGAAAGGAAAGGAGTATGATCTGACGGGTTCGGTTCATAGGCATCTACGCATCTGTTTGGAGTTGAGGTTTCCTTGCAGGCGAGGCGTTCTCCCGATGGGATAAATGTTGATATCGCATTGATATCTTGTTGATAGAGCATAAGGGTAGATAGGAGCATGAGATGGCGTCTTTAGATGCTTGTGATAGTTATGATATTAATTTTTATTTTTTTTTTGTTGTTCCCTGGGTGTCATGGTTAGGTATTTTTCTCCAGCATTTATATTTGGCCTATTTTCTTTCCTTGTTTCGAGCAGAACAGACGTACACAGAAAAGATACCCCTAATGATACTACTAGATGCAAGATTTTAAATTAAAATTTAATGCATATTTCATTTTTAATATCATTATGATGTATCCTAAACGTCATCCATATTTTCACGTGGTACCCACTGACGGTAGTCGTCTCAGAGCGCTTGAAGAAATGACGTTGGTGGAGGCAAATCCTATAGACCAGAGGTGATTATTCTACCTTCATCCAATTCATACTAGATCTTATCTGTGATACATCAGAACATACACATAATCAATATGTCTTTCCTTGCCGGTAGTCGATTCATTCCTACTGTCCGCGTGACATCTCGATCGGTGACTTCTTCCATCCAATCGACCCCGACTGCTCGGTCGCCCTGGAATATATCCTCCAGAAGATCGATTTCCTCGACCGCGAGAAGACAGAAGGGACCCGTGAATGTGGCCAAGGATACTCTGAAAAAGGCAGATAAAGTCGTCTCGGGTGCAGCCGTGAAGGGGATTGAGAAGGGAGGTATGTTTTTCCTTCCTTCTTTACTTTTTCTCTTGGGTTTCTTCATGCCTCTGCCTCTCTAGTTTTTATCTCTTTTATTGCTAAACGATCTCAGAACAAGCTCGAGATAAGATCAAGGATGTTGCCAGTGCGGTAAGCGGAAAGACCGAGGCGGAAAAGACCGAGGCGGAAAAGACCAAGGGAAAGGAGGAAGAAGCGTTGGGGGAGGCGAAAAGAAAGGCCAAGGACGCGGCTAGTCATTTGAAAAGTTAAAGTCCGCGATGTACTATTTTTTCATATAGCTGGAGGATCGAAAATCCTCGCGTAATGTACATGATTATTACTCCGGAGGAGGGAGCATGAGGACGTATTCTCGACTGCTCAGACCGAATTTAAGCACGTCCTTGTCTCGTAATTCGACATATCGTCCAGCCGGAATGGAATCTCCGTTCACACTGGACCCGTTGGCACTCTCTAGGTCAATCAGATAAGGCTTCACTTTGCCGATGCGATCCCCGTATTCATTGCGCTTGTCGACAAACCGAAATTGTAGAGTCGCATGTTGTTTAGAGCAACTGGGATGATCCAAGGGAAAATCCACCACCAATCGGTCTCGCCCGATCAGCCAGCAGCTGCGCTCTTTTAGTTCCACCATCTCAAGGAGGTCCTCACCCTTGAAAACGTAGAGCCGCCACGGTTCTTTGGCTGGGGGTTTGCGCGCCTCGGGAGGTTCATGATACTTGAGCACGACAGATTCCCCGTTGACTGTCACGGTGTTGCTCTCTGCCGCCAGGCGCCCAGTGTTCCCGAAATTCGGCTTCTCCTTCTCAGGAGCCGGCGCCGACGAGTCTCCAGTTCGTGAGACTTCGGACGACTTGTATGCATCTTGTTGAGACGGAAGGGAGTCTTTAGAGCGCTGCAACTCGCGGGACCGGGGACTTCGTGAGCGTCTCATTGGGGAACGAGAGCGTGATTTGCTTCGATATCTCCGAGAGGGTTTCTCTTTCTCGTCGTATGTATCTCGGTCGCGATGGCGTCGGTGTCGACGGTCGTCGGGGGAATGATGATGGCCTCTTCTTCGATCATCGTCGCCAGGGATCCTATCACGATCCCTCCGTTCTCCGCGGCGACGATCATAGCCTCTGTGGTGGCTACTCCGGCTGGACGGACTGCGAGACGACTGTCTCCTGGAGCTATCTGTGCGCGAGCTCCGATAATCATCGCGACGTCCAGAGTGGCTCCCAATTCCGTCATCATTCGCACGCCGTCGGTTACGGTGGTCATCGTGGGAGCCAGCCATGGTTTGAGGTCGAAGTTGGTGGAATGGGAGAAGTTGATCGCGATGTTTCTTTCTCGAGGATTTCGTCCCAGGGGCACGTGACAGCATCACTGGTCTATCGGGAATTCGACGTCATCACAACCAACACTTGCTTCATCTCCAATCATCGTCAATCTTCCTTGTCCTGGTTCTTTCTTAGAATTGGAGGAGGAGGAGCAAACGACGTCTCTCCTCTCCATGGAAATCATGCCGCTATGCTCAAGAAATATAATATTTTCTGCTGCGGTGGACGGCAGCTGCTGACTCCACCGTACCACTCATCGCCACACATCTCTCAAGCTCGTTGCTTGCCACCACCACATCCCTCCTACAGATCCTATGCTACAGTTCATGGCTTCTCCGAGCCAGACTTATTGTGGCCGTCTTCCTCCTCGTTTACTCCCTACGACTTGTTCAAGCAAGACCGGAAGGCCCCGTACTCGAAGAGTCGGTTTTACGAACTAGTCAAGATCTACCATCCTGATCGACCGTGTCACGGCCACCCATTATGTAGGGACATCCCGCCCGAGGTGAGACTGCAGCGGTACCATTTGGTGGTGGCCGCTCATGAAATCTTGTCCGACCCGGCAAGACGAGCTGCTTACGACCGCTCTGGCACAGGATGGAGCCTTCACCCTAACTACAGTCATGGCCCGACTCCCTCCTGGGCCAGATCAGATTCCAGTGATTATGGTCCCATCAACGCTAATGCCACCTGGGAGGATTGGGAGCGCTGGTATAACCGCCATGAGGGGAAGCAGAGGCACATGGTGGACAACCGCACCTTCACTACCTTTATCATTCTACTTACGCTCCTCGGGGGCGCTGTGCAAGCCTCCTGGATCAGTCGGTTCAGTACTAGCTACGAAACCCGACTTCGGGAGGTCAGCAATGAGTCGACACAGTTCTTGATGGGACGGCGGGAGAATACAGTCAATCAAATGGCCTCATCCGAGGCGAAAGTCCAGCACTTCCTCATCCGGCGGGATCCATCGGGGTTTGGGTTGAAGGAGGAAGAACAGCCGGTATATCAGACCCTGTTGCATCCTCGAAGTGCCTCCAACCTAGAGAAGGGGTCTGAGGCCGAGGCTGTGGACAAAGGTGAAAATCCCAAACAGCAGGGAACGACTACATAAAAGCAAGCGATCGAGAATGGGAGGGCCGTAAAGTAAGCGTGAACCGAGCGTTCCCTAGATGATTGATTTGTATATACACGCATAAATATACTGCATATACGGCAAACCCGACCGAATGAATTACCCCTCACGTCTCGCCCAGTTGATCAACCGAGGTATTTTGGCTTTGTCCCGGTCCATCTCCTCTTCAGTTGCACCACCTGCACCGTCGCTCATTTGCATCTCCAGGTCATTCGTTTTGCATTGTTTCTTTTTGTCAGATGAACTCGCCATCATGAGCAGTCTCGGAATTTCCGTCGGTCTTCTGAAAGCGTTGTTGCTCAGAGTCCCGCTCATTCTCAAGACCGCTCTTCTCCATGGCAGTGGCCTGTCTCCGGTCTCGGGCAAGCAGGACCTTCGTACCGAGCTTACGGTTGCTATCATCCGCTCGTTTATGGGATCTATGGCCCCTGTCGGCGTTCAGCAACGGCGGACCATGCGAGATCCCGGCATCCAGGGGCCTATGTGGGTATCCAAGGTCACCTTTCCTGCCCCAGAGGATGCGGTGCAAGACGCAGTCTTCAGGGCCATTGAGGATCTGAAAGCGGGAGATGAGACATTCGATATCCCGGTTGTCTCGTCGGTTGAGGCCGAGTGGACAGGCCATCGCGATGGAGTGGACAAGAACGCACCGCAGCCCGGCCTCCCGGAGGAAGAGAAGTATCAGAAACTGCAAAAGGAGGCGCGGACGGACACGGTGATCCTGTATTTCCATGGAGGTGCATACTTGTAAGTAGACCACGGCCTGGGATAGGTGGTAAGCCTGCTGATTATTTCAATGCCTTCAGCCTGATGGACCCTTGTACCCATCGTGCTCCCGTCTGTCAACTAGCCAAACGCGCTGACGCTCGTGTCTTGTCCGTGCGGTATCGACTTGCTCCTCAGCATCCGTTCCCATCAGCGCTCGTTGACGCCCTGGTCGCCTACCTGTCACTCCTTGCTCCTCCGCCGGGTTCGTTCCACAACACGGTACCTGCAAAGAAGATCCTCTTCTCCGGCGACTCGGCAGGAGCAAATCTCTGCTTGGTCCTGCTTCAGACCCTTCTCACCTTGCGACGTACATCCCCAACAATTCGCTTCCACGGCCAGGATATCCCCCTGGAACTCCCAGCCGGATTAGCGCTCACCTCTCCCTGGTGCGATATCACCCGGTCCATGCCCTCGATCGTTCACAATGCACTGTACGACTACCTTCCTCTTCCACAACTGCATCACGACACAACCTACCTGCCACCCAAAATCCCTCCGGATAGCTCCTGGCCCTGCACTCCGCCGCGAGTCGACTTCTTCGCCCATGCGAGCGCCCTCATCCACCCTCTGGTGAGTCCCCTGGCGGCGCACCAGGAACTCTGGAAAGACGCACCTCCTATCTTCATCTCCGTGGGCGAGGAGGGCCTAGCGGACGAAGGCCTCGTGATCGCTCGCAAGATGCATCAGGCCGGCGTTCCCGTTGTGGTCGATCAGTTCGAAGGCATGCCGCATTGTTTTGCGCTCATAATAATGGGAACGTCGGCAGGTCGACTGTTCTTCGACCGCGTCGCGGATTTCTGTCGAGACGCGGTCGCCGGCCGGGTCAAGTCGTCTGGACACCTGTCGTACATTACATACCAACAGCGAAGCATTTGCGAGATCCCGTTGGAGGATATGGTGGCTTTGACGGACGAGGAGGTCGATGAGCGAATGCGCCAATGTAGGAACTGGCGTGTGGAGGGGGAGAAACAGCTTCGGAAGCAATGGGCGGAGAGAGCGAGGCTATAGTTTATCTTAGGTTTATGGTTTGTTTGATTGTTATTCAAGATTCCCCCTGTGTGATTTTACCGGAGTGGTGACTATATATTGAAAGACGTATGTACTAGATTACGTGACATTGCAAGGAAGATTGACTCATCTACTCGATTTCTCACCAGCACAACCTTCTCCCTCATCATCGATATCTATACTCAGTGATCAATGTCTCAATCCACAGCAGGCCCTACCTTCCGAAATTACAACCCTGACCAAGCATCCCTATATGCCCAAGCCCGTCTCTCGTACCCCCCAAAGCTGTACGAGACCATTCTGCGCCACCACAGCCAAACAGACGATCGATTTGACTCACTTCTCGACATCGGCTGCGGGCATGGCAACGCCACTCGCGATCTGGCTCCGGTATTCCACACCGTGGTTGGAGTTGATCCCAGTCCAGAGATGATCCACACAGCCCGTCAGATGAGTGGTTCCTCGAAGTCGAAATCTGGAAAGCCAGTCGAGTTCATAGTCGGTCATGCGGAAGACTGATGATACCGGGTGTTGATCTTTTGGTTTCGGCGATGGCAGTAAGAATTCATCAATCATTCTCTCATTCTCCCACTATGCTATATAATGTACTATAATAAACGCTAATGGAAGGAATAAAGGCACATTGGTTCTCCATGCCGAAGTTTTGGACCCAAGCTGCGAAGTCAGTGACTACAGGGGAACGGTTGCTCTATGGATTTGTGCTTCGCTTTATTGTCGTAAGTACATACATATATTTTATGTAAATACTTATAAAATAAAGAAAGAGAAGGGAAAATCTAAATCTGAATGTGAATAGACCCCTCAACACCAAATGCACCACAAATCCAACAAGCCCTCTTCCATCTAGAAAGAACTATCCTCCAGCCCTACGAACTACCCGGAAACCGTTTATCCTCGAACCTCTATCAGGGCCTGCCCCTGCCGTGGACAGTAGATCCCTCTGTCTCATGGGCCTTTCGAGAGTTGGACTCTGCGCGTGTTGAATGGGACCGTGATGGTGTTCCAGGGGAAGAGAATAGGGTCTATTTCGTGGGGCGGGAGACAACACTGGATGATTTGGAGATGAGTCTCAGTACGGCGAGTATGGTTTCGCGATGGAGAGGCAAATCCACGTCTGGATGGGACTGATGATGACTGCGTTAAAGTGACGATGAAGGAGGTAAGGAAGGCATTGGGAGATGGTCGGGATACAATCCATATCGGACATTCGTGTGCGCTGCTGTTGTTTAAACGATCCTATGAAGTGCAGGGGCCGGATTATCATGATGTCTAGACTGTTGGAGTCATGCAGCGAGATGAAATTCGAATGAGAGTATCTTGAGTATCTTTGATTAGTGGATTCATACAGAACGATCTAAAAACGCCTTCGACCATACCAGTCATGTCCTCCAACTCCGTAAAAATGCTCCAATCTGATACCAAAAGAATCTTTGTGAGGATAGGTAAATTCAGAAAATAAAAGAAGAATACAGTCCAACGCTAGAGATATTCATCATCATCCATAGATACTTCCCAGTTCGTCTCCGCCCTCGAATCGAGTTCGAGATCTGAAACCGCTTCGGGGATATTGGTCGAAGCTGCCTCTTGCGCTTTTGTTCCCGCGAAGCCAAAAAACCCACGGGTAGTTGTTGTGGCAGCAGGAAAGCTCGTCATCCGACTACCATGGACTCGGATTTCGCCCGACCGGTTGAGATAGCGAGGCGCTTCGTCTACGTAGCCGTCCCAGAACCCCAGCAGTTGTGCCATGAGCCGGGAAAATGCAATCATAACCGCCCAGACCGGAGCGAAGACCGCGGACAGATGCGACCAGCGCCAGAACATTGTCGGAATCACAAATGGAAACCGCGGCGCATCGCGAAGCAGGCAATTTCCGCTGCACACGGTGGAAACAAACGGATGGCAATAGTAGTCGCACATGGTCGATTCGGCATAGGACCAGGCAAAGAGAATGATCGTAAACCAGCCAAGACGCGTGGGACGGATGCGTCGCGAAACCGCATCGCGTTTCCAGAGACGGGGAAGCAAGATAGCCGTATACATGGGGCTATCATTGCGAGTGGCGCAGGCCGTGCAACTTTCATCGGCATGGCTGTGGGCCGAGTTGACCTCCTTTTTCGAAGTCGGAATCAATTCGACTTGCTTCTCCAGTCCATCAAGGCCCTTCTTCACCCGGCTGATATTTTCGGAGAAGGATCGAAGTTTCTCATTGAGTCCGTCCAGGTCGATGATATCATGGCCCTTGGAATAAGCAGCAAGCCCGAGTTTTTGCATCACGAACTTTTCGTATGCCTCATCCTCCTCCGTCTCGGTCTTCGCCTCGTTTGGTGTTTCATCCAAAATGAGCTGGAGCGATTCGATCGTATCATCACCAACGTCCAGGTGCTCCTTGTCGGCTTTGAACTCTTGCATGACCGTCTCCAGGGCACTTTTGGGAAGATTTGGTTTGACCAATGGTGGCTTCTTTCTGTCTTGTGGCTTGTCTGCTGCGGTACTGCCCTCTCTTTCTACCTCCTCCTTGGCCTTCTCCTTCTCTCTCTCAGCTCTTTCGCTTCCTTCTGTTGCTTTCACTTCACTCTCTCCCCCCCGTCTCTCCGCCTCTCTTTTTTTTTCCATATCTCTTTCCTGTCTCTTCGGAGACGGAACATCCATGGTACTAGATTCTTCAACGATCCGCGACTCGGTTGGTTCGAAGGATCTCGTCGATTTATCCTTTACAGGCGGCAGCACCATGATGTCTCTCGAAGGTTTCCCAGAGGAGCGATGAACCCGCTCGGTCACGGGAGTGTCGATCCAAGCGCCGGTCACCACTGGTGTTTTATCATAGATGCGACCCTCCGGGATTGTCGGCGCCTCTGGCGTTCTAAGTTCAGTCTGGCGTTGGGGTTGTCTTGGGCTCTCGGTCCTCGAAAGCTTACGCAGCAGATCATGCGAGTCTCGCTTCGTGGGACTGCACTTGGTAAACGTGGAGTTTTTGTAAACGATAATCGGCGTGTGGGGAATATGGTCTCCGCCTGTTCGCTTTTCATCATTCTGTCCAGAGGATAGCTTGTTTTGCGCATCCGATAAGGGAGCTCTGCTAGGTTGGTTCGTTGAGCGTTCCCCCACGGCAGTTCGGTTTCCGGCACCTACTCGATCGAGGTGGTCATTGCGAGAGGCCCTTTCAAATTCGTGTTTTGAATATGATTCGCCTGCAGATTTCTCGGCTACTTGCTTGCTCTCACGTTCGCCAGGTTGGGTGATACTCCTCAGCCAGCCTCGATGGCGGGTGCCTCGGCTGCCCCAGGTTGAGGGGAGATTCAACGTAGGCATGACACCATCGTCTTCTTCAGATACACCCCCATCTTCAAGTTCCCGCCGTTGTAGATTCTCTGATGTTAGAGCGGTAGTCGTGCCGGTTTTGTTCAATACGGGTGAGCGGCTGGAGGTGGCCCGTTTTAATCGTTGCTCGTCCTTGACAGGATCCGAGGAATTTCGACGGTACGAACTCTCCCCCACGTCGTCTAAAAAGGGTGCGTCCGTGCTTGTAAATAGTCCATTATCTCTCATCGTAGAGCACATAGAAGAGCCCCGACCTCGGCTGTCGCGCAATTGCTTTCTTGGGATATAAGCCTCGTTCTCTTGCGGATCCAGATCGACCAGACTACCCTCGTCGTCGATCTGTCGATATGTCTCCGCCAATTCATTTGGGGGATTAGACTCCGGGGACATCGGACCGAGGCCTGGCATCCTCCCGTTTGGCGTGCCCAGCGTATAGCGACCAGAAGCTAAGTCGTCTCTCTCTGACATTGTGGGATAGCGTGACACGGCTTCGAATGCTCCTCGTAGAGTCCCTGAGTTGCTGAGATTCCTCCGTTGTCGAGAGCTAGATCCATTCGAAGGGCTGGGGATTCGTGACGCGTCAAACCGGTCTGCTGCGCGGGATTCGAGTTGCGCTCGACGGAAGGGAGAGAGATGTTGTTGCGACGGCTCATGAGTGCGACGCGACAATCCTGAGTGATCGCTTCTGCGCTGGGGGGAAGGCATGGTAGGCAGTAATAACCCTCAGTGAATGAACGGGAAGAGATGGGCCCTGGACAGGATCATTCACCGACGATGAGTGAGTGTGAGAGAAGGAGTGCGAGAGTGACCAACGACAGAATTTCCGTATCGGGCTAGCGGGAACAACGTCAATTAAGCAACTTTTGCTTCGTCTTCCTTCGCCTCTTCTCACTGTCTCCTCTCTTCTCTCGAGTCCCAGCCATGGCTTGCTGGCACCGCTGAAGATCCGCAGATCTGCCCTCTCTGGTACGAATGACCTTGTTTCCCATCCAGCGTGACCGGGAGGTTGCTGCCTCTCTGCCTTTTTGGATGCTGACATGTGACCCCCATCAGGTGTTTAGTCCTCATCTCCCCCCGTATGGTCTCCTCCGATTCCTGACATTCCAAGGGACAGGCTGCATGTAAAAAATAAATAAAATAACTGTGCTCAGAAGACACATACAGTGGATATCCTGCTCTTTTCCCTGCCCTCTTCGTCAGAAACCATTCCACATGCGTTGAGGCGACACAACGCCGACGATATCCACGTCATTTCTCATTATGGCAAAGTCCGCAAGGCGAGCAGGAAAGGCAAAGGCCTCTGCGACCCCAACTTCATCTTCTGGAACCTCGACTCCTAGTTCACAAGCGGGTCCACTTCCTCCGTTCACCAAAGCCTCCGCCTCACTTCAACCCTTCCTCGAAACCCTCTTCCCAGAGGAGGTGTACCTGATCCATATAGACAATACTCCGAGAGAAACCAAACAGCAGGCATTCAACGCACCGGTGTTGATCAATGTCGTCATCACAATGGTCCTGGCTTTCCGCTTGTACATGGTCCGCAGCATGTACCCGGCGATGCTGGCGACATTGGCTGGCCTAACAAGCTCCATGACGGTGGACACCACCGCGCTGTCATGGGGGGAGCTGACGCTAATCGTCTTGAGTCGGACCGCGAATGTGATGTTGGATTACTTTCTGGTAACAATTTTTCTTTCCTGGCCGATCCGATTTATTCAGGGCCCTGTCATGTGGCGTCGCAGTCTCGGCTTCCGGGGCCGTGAGGTTATTGTCCGACGCAGCCGGCCCAGCTTGAGCGAAGGGTTGGAGCGGAATCGCTGGATTCGAGAAGATGAAGCCACGAGGGATAAGATCGTCGCCGCCGTGACCCCGGACCGGATCAAGAAAACCGGCTATCTACTTGTGGATGCGGATTGGGACCTTGACTACAATGCTATGATAAAGGCCCACGAACTAGTAGACCGCACCCGAAAGGACGACGGTGTGCCTTTGGAAGAGTTCCGGACGGCAGTGCTCGTCAATACGGATTCGGACGGTTGGTTGATCTGGCACGTTGGAGACGAGGATACGGCGGAAGGAAGGGCTCGGTCGGCCCAACGCGACCAAATTCTGGCATTCAAGGATAAACTGACGGCCATGGGGAAAGAGGATCTGTTCTTCCGATGGGTCGAGTTGATCCAGTATGAGAGTACCCGGCCCGGTGGATTCACCCTTGAGAGGCAGAAGTCTGCCATGATCCAAGCTAAGCAACTATTTGAGGATGAAGGGGTCGATTTCGCGCGATTTTGGCAGGAAGTTGGCGGCATGGAGGGTTTCGTGGAGGAACTTGATTGAGATGTTGTTTGATTCTACTTCCTTTTTTTCCCTGGGCATTCTTCTACTCGATTGGTTTCGTCCTTTTCTCTCCAGTGGCGTTTCGGGGCTCCATTAGCATGTATTAGATATAGCAGACAATCAACTGATTACCCAATAAGCCACGGTCCATAGTTGTATACTCATTCTGAAATGCTATGATCATTGTAAACTCGGCTGGCTAAATCCACATAGTCTAGTTTCCAAATCATATGCCAGATGATATGCCAAGACAAATGAAAAATAAAAATAAAAATAGAAAACGCGTCGCGTTCCATATAGATGGGTATCATTCAATCACGTCCAATTTCAGAACTCGGCAGTTGGACAGACATTTCCTTTTCATGCTTCATTAAAGGAACAGTTTTCATAGTATGCAATAAAGAGAAGACACTTTAGAGCGGGGTAATACAAGGGAAAATTACCACAGATCATATTTCATTCACCGATTCTCGCTCTCTAAACGGTATTCAACAGACCAGAGCTTCTCCCATGGCCGATATCTAGCCGCTGGGCGCTGACTGGGGGTTGATCGTGACGAGGCAGTATGAACATCCTCAAGACGGGGGGATGCAAGAGAACTGGTGTCTCTAAGTGGCTGCTGCAGTTGCGGCTGACCAGGCAAAGCCTCATAGGTTCGTCCCAAGCCCTATGACGGTCCGTCAGCTCCGTTCAGGAGATGCACACGCAAGAAAAGGGATTTAGGAGCCGTGGGTTTCACTGGCCCTGGAGCAGGTCGCGGCGAACCTCGTCGAAAACAGGAGCCCTCTCCCGTGGCTGCGAGCCAGTAGCTGTAGCGTCTACCTCGGCAGGTCGGACCAGGTCGATTGTAGAGTCGTTCGCCCGCTGGGATGGAGTGCTGGGCCCTTTTTTGGAAGCAGAGCTGTTCCGCCGACTATCCAGACTCTTCGAGAGGGTTTTGGCGACGTTTCCACCGGCAGTTGTGCGTTTCAATCGAATGCTGCCTTTCGCGTCAACGTGGGCCGGTGCAACTGTGCTTTTGCCCAGACCTGGGGTGGCTGGGGCACCAGGCTTTTCTTCCACGGCATCCAGAAGGTACCAGCGGAGGCCGTCAGATAACTCGAATGGATTTTCGTCATCGAAGGATGTGCCATCGCTGGCCTCGCCGAGTGACCGACGGTCAGGATTGGCACCATTTATGGATTTGGAGAGATCCACAACCCGTTCTTCGATTTTAGTGATGCGCGCCAATAGCCAGTCCCGGGCCTGAAGCTTATGCGCATCTTGCTCGCGCAGAAAATAGTGCGGAGCTCCAACGTTAAACGCGGCCCAGGACCGAATGGCTTGGTTCCGAGTCGGCAGAAAGAGGGCAAGATCCCCCTCCTTGAAGGATCGATAGGCGATTTTTTCATGAGCTTCGCTTTGGGTCCGATGGTACTTATCACGATATCCCCGAGCCTCTTTCTGCCACTTGCGAGCGAGTAATTCAATATCCTTGACTCGTTTGACGACCGCATCCCCGAAAATGTCCACATCAAATTGGTACAGAGACTCCATAAAGGCCATGAACTGGTCGGTTTCCTCTTCAGTGTTATCTGCTTCCATCCAATTAAGAAGACTGGGGTCGGGCCTGACCGACACAATTCCGGACTGGCTGAGGCTATCACCTGTACCCGACAGCGCATTTACTTTCGAGGACCTCTGGACAACTATGTCTCCATCCTGTCGAATAATGGTGAAGCCCAGTTGCTCCAGCATATGCTCCAGCTTCTCCACCTGTCTGAAAAGCTGTTTGGAAAGCTCCTGGGATCTACTACCACATGTCTCTGTTCGGGCCGCAGCCTGCTGTTCGGACTCTGAAACAGCTTCCACCTTTTGTTTCCAGGCAAGGACCTCTTCTTCGGACTGGCGAGCCTGCACCTCCAGCTCAGCCAGCCGCTGGGACAAACTCGTCAATTTGCGCTCTTCTTCTATCACACGCTCCCGGAGCGCATCGGAGCCCGACTCGCCTGCGGCAAACTGTGACTGCAGAGTATTCAGCTTTGACCGCTCGTCATTCAGCTCACTCATCATGGCGGTCACCTTTGATTCTTCCCCCTCAAGTCGTTTTCTAGCTGAGGAGAGCTCCGATTCACGTGTTTCTACAACCGCCTTCAATTCTTGAGCCTCGGATTCCACTCGGCCCAGGCGTTCCTCCAATGCCTTGCTTTCGGATATGGCTTTCGTAACGTTATCTTCGGCATTCTTAGCGTGAATGGACAAGCCTTCTGAAAGCACTTCTATGGCCTTTATGATGCCAGGAACCCCATCGGGAACGGCCCCTCCAGGCGACAAGTTCATAAAAGCAGCATGCAATGCATGATAGGTCTCCTGATCTTTTGCTTCTCTTGCCCTTTCTTGTTTTTCAAGCTCTTCGAGGCGTGCATGGAGGCCTTCCTCCATCTCCTTGCAACTCTGTGTTTGTTCCCTTAGAGCAGTCATCTTTTGAACTTCGCTCTCAGCATAAGCATGCACATCTTGAAGCTCCGCTTCGAGTTGGTGTATCCGCTCGTCCGCGTCTTGCCTTTCATGCTCACGCGTGTCCATGACCCTATCCAATTCCTCCTCCAGCTCCTCAGCTCGAACCTTGAACCTTTTCTTCTCCTCCTCCAAGTATCTTCGTTCATCATCAAACTCGCGTTGTAGAGCTTCAAGGTTACCAATCAGATCTTCCTTCGTAGACTGTACTTCCTGGAACTTGTCGGTGTTTGATTGACGTTCAGCATGGGCTTCTTTCTGTAGTCTCTGCACCGTCTCTCGCTCCGCAGCCAGTTCACTTTCGAGGTGGACAATACGTTGAGTAAGTGCCTTTTCCTCTGAGGATTGATTCGTCGACATTCGCCTCGATGAAACAGACGATCTTCTCGAGTGTGTGTCTGGATGTGGTGATGCAGGTAAACTGGGGAAATCCAGCGAAAAGTTACCACTAGCCGGTCGCCCCATATGACTCTGGCGGTGCAAAAGATCCTCCAACTTCCGGATACGGCTCTCAGAGCCCTTGAGCCTGTCTTCCAGCTTTGATTTTTCATCTCTGAGGCTTCGAACCATGTCATCACCGCGAAGGAGAAGAGAGCTGCGGCTTAGATCAAAGACACTGCCTTCCTTAAAAGCCTTGGCCCTACGACGCTGCATCCGTGTAGGAGCATCCAATTCTTTCAAGTGCTGGGTTAGTTCTTGAGCTATGCTGGTCATACTAGTCTTGGTCTTCAGCTCTTCAATGTAAGTTTCGATCTCCTTTCTACTGACCGTGGGCCATTCAAGCTCGTGGCCCCGTAGGTTAACTTCAATACCTGGCGTCATCGTATCGGAGACGGAAACGAACTCGCCCATATTCTTTACCCATTTCTTTCTTCGTCGCTGCTCCTCATCACGGAAAACAGACATCTCTTCGGCAAGAGTAAGTGAGTCCGCTTTCATCTTGTCACTGAATTCGCGGCGTCGCACGGACTCTATCAAAACAGACCCATAAACCAGGGGCATATGGAACACGGAATATATAATATCAAACGCATCGCTTTGGAAGTTGAGGTTGCCAATTTGATTCTGTACATCGGCAAGGCGTGATTCGATGGTTGATATCTGTTGCATGTGGCTAGAAGCGGTCTTCACCGTATCGTTATATCGTCTGACAGCATCGTCCAGGCCTGCCTGGATTTCAGCACTAATATCCAGTAGGGACGGGAGAAGATTTTTCGTATGGCTGAGGGCAAGCCTAGAAATGTTGGCCAACGTTTTCTGGTTATTGGGTAGAGCCAAGACATGTTCATAGTCGGACTGTATTTTCTTAGATATCGTTCGCACTTCTTGTAATAGGCCTTCGATGCCGTCCACACTCGAAGGAATAGTGCTATCAATCAGGTGCTGTGTGTTTGCCGCAATCTCACCTACAGCTTTCTCCACATCTGCGACTTGATGAGCAAAGCGGGAAGATACGACCGCTGCTTCCGACCCAGCCTTCTGTATTTCTTCTAAGTCCACGTATTCCCGCAACGTCCCTACTGATTTCTCTTTGTCCTTCTTCGGCGTCGACGGTCGGCCTAAAAATGGGAAGTCTCTGCGAGCAGGAATGGTCTCCAGTGTCGCAAGTGCCCGTTTCCACCCATCGAGTGCTGTTTGCTGTTCCTTCAATAAGTCATTTGTCCATGTCTGCGCTTCCTGAAAGCGATGCTCTAAGGTCCCCACATGCGATTTAAGGTTCTCGAGAGCCACGCTCATTGCGCGGTTCATTATGCTGGTCCGCTCATTGTGTTCATGAATGCTCTTATCAACCAATTCGCAGCGCTCCAACAGAGCCAACGCCCACGTTCGTCTGGCCATGTAGAGATTCCTCCACGCTTTTAGGTCATTCTGGTCCTTGAGAATATCGGGTGGGCTATCCAGGTCGAGTGGTTGCGGAGAAGGAAGCTTTGGGGGATCGATGTTGTTTGGCTCACTGACATAACGTCGATCATAGACAAATATTTCGTTCTAACGGCCAGTAATAAGCATGGGAAGAGCAGTGAAGTCAGAAGGCCGGCAGCCAACAATATCATACCTCGGTTGCAAGTGTTGGGATCTTGACGTTTTTCCCACGGGCAGTCATTAAGATCTGCCTCTGGGAGGGCACTGACGTACTACGGGTAATCCATGACCGAAGTGCATCCGGTCTAGAGGTTCAGAAAAATCGTCAGTAGGCATGTCCACACAACAAGGTTAAAATGATGGCTTGAGGAGGCCGGGAGCACACAGATAACGGCCCCGGAACATATCGAGGGCAGAAGGAATAGCTAGGAGAGAGAGAGAGCGTACGAGGTGAATGATATCGGGTCGGCAAGCAAATGCTCACCCGAATGAGCGATATAGATGTGCAGAGACATCCCCTCCTCACCAGCCGAGCAAAGCGGCTCCAGGCTCCAGGGATTTTATATGAAGAATGCGGGAAGGGAGATGATAAGAAGGCCGGTGACATAGCAACCTACTAGTAACTAAGGTTCTTAAGGCATCCAGACCTGACCTAGGCCTTATTTGGCGAATAATGCGCTGCTCCTCGGAAGCACCCAAGCGGGATCTCCACCGCCCGCGAACAGCCAAAATAATCAGACCAACCACCCCACGATGCCTATTTCCTAAGATCGATGGCATCTGGTAAGGTCCGTTCTTTACCTCATCTGGAACCAGGTGAGGTATCTTTAGTAGAGCTCGTTGCCGATGATTCCCGGGATACTGTAACTTTCTCCGACAAGGAGGCAAGAATTTTACAGCTTTATCATCAGATCCAGGAACAACAACTAGAAAAGGCGTTACTTGAACAAGGTATTTTCTTATTTTCTATTTTTGTTTACTTCTATGCCCTCTCTACAAATGCTCATACCCTGGCAGATCTTCAATTGCTCTCTGGCGACAATGCTGAGGAGCAGTTGGCCATTGCAGAACGAGAGCTCCTCGAAGCCAGAGCCATGTACACCGTGAAGAAGAAAGCTATCGCAGCAGTCCTCATGACTGATCCTACTATTAAAGCGGTTCATCTGAAGGCGACATCTCCACCTGAACTGTATGTTTTCCCCCTCATTAACCTATTATAGTCAACTTCTAGATCGACGTGCGCGTCTCAGGCTTTTACCATCCCCTAACAAGTTATAGATCTCTTCTTCGACTCGTCAATCGTCGTGATGTGCTCTCTCTGGCACATGAGAATCTTAATGCAGCACATAATACGACGCTTAAGAAGCTGTCTAGCCTAGAGGTGGACAACCTACAGCTCCATCGAAAAAACAAAGAGTTAGTCCGTGAATTACTAGAGCTTACCAAGGACGATGCGTCGTGGAAAGAGCATCTCGACGATGCAGAACTCGAGGCGCAATTAGAACAAGTGAAGGAAAATCATAGGAAAAGCAAAGCCAAATGGGATATTATGAAAAATATAGCGAGCGCCGTTGTTGTTGGGAGTGGGGTTAAATGGGCTGATGATGAGGCCCTTACTGCCCTCGTGCTGGATGAATCCGATGATTGAATGCATTTGATGACTTACTCGCGGACCATCACCTGTTTGATCATTGTGTTTTGCACGAATACCTAAGAAGGCGTTGGATCGGTGTTTATACCCTGTTTACCCTAAAACACATGAGCTTAACTTGATTCTATTCATATGGAAACGAAGAAAAATGATTAAATAATAAATCGTTTGAGCTATATACTTTGAAGGATGGATGAGCTATCAGAATATGTAGGACCCACGTGACATCATCGGGCCCAGAGAAGGAAATGCCCTTCGTCATACCAACTGTTAACTAATTAACACTACTAAGGTAGTGTTGGGGAAAGGACGACTGAAGGATGGTTAGTGCTACCCATCAGATACCCACCAAGAAAATAGTGTAAACCTTGAACGTATCGTAAAGCCGTTTAAGCACTGAAATAAAAAAAAAAAAAAGGTGTATCTCTTCAAGGGAATGTTGCAGCCAGCAGCAAGCATCATCATGGGATGATGGGGAGGGGACGAAATTGAAGAGGAGCCGGGCGTTTCCACCTGGAACCAGCGAACAGACCAGACTCCAGCCAGTATGGTCTTGACCCCTCTTCATTAGGAGGACGGAATACAGGGCGTTTACTTACAATACCAGATATCCATTTCTTCTCTAATAATACTTACTGTACATACAGATCCAGTATTTTGCCGGTAACTTTTGAGTGTTATTTAGACTGGAATGTGGTGGCATTTAATTTACCTTACCGAGTCATCAATAGACAGACAATCTACAATAGTCGGTTGGTCCAAGCACCTCGACCTGTCGAATATGGTTAATATGGTGAGTGAGGCGGGGAAATAGTACATAATAATTTGAAAGAATCTCTCTTTAAAATAAATAAATACATAAATAGGAACTAGGATTCACACAACATATTGGACCTTTTAAGATCCTGCTGTCCCTCAGGGACGATGCAAATACTGCCTCAGCACTTGAGCTGGAAGCAAGGTTCCTGAAGCACCCAGCAACTCCTATCTCTATGGAGTAAGCAGGTAGCCATTATAAGGGAAAATAGACCCGTATTAATCCATACTGTGATCAAATACAAGTGGCGTATTTAAGCGTATGCAATGCATGAGATGACACTACCTACTAAAGTACATGTACAACTGAAGATGTATCTTCAGTACCCAGGGTAAAAAATGATAGATTCATGTGTTGTGCTTCAGACCACAGGAATATATTACCTATCTGCTACTCCATACGATAGGGAGACCGCTGTGGGCAGCAATTTAACGAGTCACAGTTACCGGGTACTTCTAGGTGAACTTATGTACATGTACAATGGATAGTGGGCAAGTATCCTGTGCAAGAAGTTCTATACTCCGTACCCTAGTAGGCGTCCATTCTGGAAAGTCTGTCCACGGGAATATGTACATAGTGCAACCTCCTAATTTCAGGCTTAATGACAAGAACCTGTCCTATAATAGATCATGGTCAAATGACAGTATCTCTATCAGCACGCGCGCGTCGGAAGAGCACAAAAAAGTACTCGCGAAATAGCATATGGTACATCTCAGAATATGCGGAATAAAGATACAAGGGAAGGCAGAGATCAAAAACGGTACAGAAAAATAAAATAATTGTCGGAGATCAGTTCCTTTTGACGAGTACCAGCTCCGAGGTACATGTAGATACGAATGTTGCGTCTGTAGGGCACCTATAGAGGAGTCTAGATATATATCTAGTTGAGAGTAAAGTAACAGACGGTAGTCGAAGGGAGGGTTCCTACTTTTGTCCACCACTCAAGGATGATAGATTTGCAAATAAATAGTTCATATGACAGTGTGATGAAACAGTTTCCTTTGGAGATAAAATCTGTACTTATTACCATCACTAATGGCTATCTCCAATTGCCAGTGTTCTTCACCCAGGACATACATTCAGGTGTATGGTCATAGGCCGGCCAAACAACCTAGGAAGAGGTGTGATTTTCGGGAATCTTGGTCAATCCCTATGTCAACAGATGGTAGAAGTACGGAGTACCCCCTAATGTAAGTATGTGCATATTGACTTGGGATGAGTGTGTCGACCTAGTCTTAGATACCTTCTCTGGAGTATCTGTGGTATTATGGTGTGCCGGTACGGAGAGTTTCTCAGGTGGACAATTATGGGTACCGCCGTACTAGGCACATACATACAGCCTAAGGCTGCTTACGCTGCAAGAGATTTTTACGGATAAATAGGTACTAACTTGCTACCCACCACTCCATAATCCACCTTGATTAGTAGATGCTTAGGTGCTGAGATGTCAGCTCTTTTCCTTACTTTTAGTAGTACTATTGAAATGTATCGGGTACAGTTTACTCCAACATACTCCATAGATACATATTTCCATTACGCAGAGAAAGAAACAGGCAGACAGGCACTTCACAGCCTGGTAGGAGGATGGTACTGTATTATACAATACCACGGGCAAACAGTGGAGCTCTTCAGGGCAATTGCTCAGCACAGCTTTCTGGCCGCGTCTGACAACATGAGTGAATTACACCATGCGAACCGCGGAGTGCACGAAGAACTTTCCAAATTAATAAGGAACATTTTATAAATTGTGACTAGTAAGAGCAATAAATATTATTAAAAAACAGTAGAACACCCCCGAATTCAATAAGTTGCGTGAATTGCTGGCCATATTCAGTCAGTAGATTGAGGAGGCGCTGATGGTTGCAAGGGAAACGGATGGATGGCCATACATGACGGGTACGATACCCTTCATTCCCCAGCAGGGCTCCAGCCAGTGGCAGGCGGCGGACTTATTCCCTTTCCCTTGCTGTGCTGCCCACTTTCCCCCCTTCAGTCGAAGAGAAGTCAAGCAAGTCAGGTAGTGAGTGGCCCGCCTTCCCGTCTCCCTCCTACTCTCCTACTACTACTCTCCCCTCTCCCTCACTCTCTCCCTCCCTCTCTCTACCTACTCTCACTACGCTTCCCTCTTCCCATACAAATTCTCTCCCCCATACAAAAAAGTACGCATATCCGCATCGGTGAGTGCCCTAATAAACCCTCCACTCCTTCGCAATGCTTCTACCACGCATATCCAATTCTTTTTTTTCCCTTCAAAACCATTTGTTTCCATCTTCTATGCTCGATGGAATTGTGATTTCCTGGACTTTTTCTTCACCTCAGCGCGATCTCGCTGTCGCGCATCTGCGCCGCCAACTATATACTTCCACGAACAATAAGCTGATTTCAACGCGTATTCTCTCCCCCAGGCAAATTTTTGCCGGTTCTAATTTTTGATTCCCGAATAATCTCTGAGTTTGGTAAGTCTCCTGCGCGCTTTTTTTTTTCTAGTCTTCCCGCGTTGTCGACCTGCGCCCGTGGTCGCTCTGCTCTTGTTTGGGAGGCGCGCACCACGCAGCATCCGCTTACCACCTCCCTACTGCGCGTGCGTTGTCGCATCGTTGTCTTGGTCCCATATTTACTACTTTCGTCGCACCTTGTTTTTCTTTCATTTGCCAGCCTTAGCTCCCTTCAAAGCCTCGCCCAAGCGACTCATCCGATCTTTTCTAACAAGACATCCGAACAGACCTCAACCTTCAATATGCCTAAGCAGGCCTCTGCCCGTAAGACTAAGCCCCGCGTTGAGCGGAGGAAGAAGGGTACGTGACCATGCCATTCATCTTAATGACCACTACTAATTCTTATCCCAGACCCCAACGCGCCCAAGCGTGGTCTATCCGCGTACATGTTCTTCGCCAACGACAACCGTGAAAAGGTTCGCGAAGAGAACCCTGGCATTACCTTCGGTAAGACACGCAGGCCTGATATTCGCGTGTGACTGCCCCATTGCTGACATCTTTGTAGGCCAAGTTGGGAAGATGCTTGGGGAGAAGTGGAAGGCCCTGAGTGACTCGGAACGCCGCCCATATGAGGAGAAGGCCGCTGCAGACAAGAAGCGATATGAAGACGAGAAGGCCAGCTACCAGGTAAGAATCCCCCCGACTAGTCACTTGATTTGAAGGCGATGCTAATCAAAGTTGCTGGACAACAGGCAGCCGGCGACGACGAAGAGGAGTCCTCTTAAATTACTCCTCGCAGGTCTCGTATGTGTTGACCGATTGGCGTTTGTGTCGTTTGTTTTCGCTCCTTGCTGGCCTTGTGTATTTCGTCGCTTATATTTCCTTTCCCTCTACTCAATGGCTTCTGGTATGGGATGACGGTGGTTTCTCCTTGTTTTCTGTTTATGAAGGATCTTCGATGGGAAATGTTTACTGTACGACCTGGTGGCTTTTGGGACGAATCGGGGAGCCCGGCGCTGATGTTTCAGAACGGCGGGAGAACCTTGTTCGAGTATCTATGAAGTAAGAATGGAAGCTGCAGAAAGTATTGTGACGCAAGATAACGTTGTATACTAGCCTAATTGACCACATCCTTCTTTTTTTATATTTATTTTATTTTTTTTTAATGTGGTGGTGTAGCTAGTATGTGTGTTGTGAGATTGTAGCCTCCTGAATACCTATATGACACGCTGTGATATTGGTCGAGGATCGAACATTGGCGACTTCATCTGGGATTCTGGATCTTCCAACTCCAGGGCCCAAGCTCCCGAGATGACGCGGGGCGCGCTTGTTTATGGTGCTTAGACGCGTCGTGGCTCCGATATCTCCGACCTTGGCTTTGATGCCTAAGGCTTCGTTCATGTTCGCTTCCCTACAAAGCGGCCCAACGCCTGAGAGGTAGTACATATCCCCCCAGGTAACCAGTGAGCTGGACCAATCTGTGACACAACAACCGGGTCCATCTTACAGCCCAGATCCGCTCACCGAATAACCTGAGCGCAAATCTCGTTTCCGGTTAGTGTGTGTACCCGAAGGGAAGGACCTAACAGAACAGCCTCCTAGGATGCATAAATGCATTGCAGGAAATGATAGGTGGGCTATATTGCACTCTTGGGCTGATATGCCTTGTGGTGGAATTTGATGAGTTGGGATATTGTGCAGAAGAGGCTGATAAGGAGGTGATGGGTACGATGTTCTGGATATACGCAGCTACACCTCGGCATATCATAGTTGGCTTCATTATCTTGATGTTGATACGGTTTTGACATAGGATTTTGTCATATCTTTGAGGGTGCATAACTGGGTGATTAACCTAAGTTGTGCAGTATAACCACCACCATTGTATACTGGCAAATGGGAGTGAATATCAGGCGATAGTAATGGACATTGATCTAATTAACAATATATTAATTCATTAAGAAACAAACAGTATAGTATTATCAGCGACTGTTGTGGTAGAATGTCCTGAGTGCCTATACTATCTAGTAGTGTCTAAGTTTTTGCCTTGGGACGATGAACGGTGAAGAATTAAGTTGAGTCTCGTGACTGACACCACCAGGGTTCACTTGGCCCGTGACCAAAAGGCTCGAGGATTTTCACGATTCAGTACAATCGACTTCCCCTTTTGGGTATTCGTCCCCAATTCAGCTAACTCCTTGTCTGCATGTCAGACCGGAGGGGCTTTCCAGTGGTACGGAGTACTCGTACAGGGAGTGGTTTTCTCCAAGACACCTTCAATCTAACAATAGGTAGGTATCGACCGTTAATACGGGTAGAAGAAGACGATTGACCATCAATTAGCGGGGTTACACACCACCATTTTCCTCTCCATCACCACTCCATCCCGTCCTTCAATGCCCGTTATTGGTTTCGTTGTCCTAACAGCGCATGAACACGTCAACGCTCCCAAGGCAGTTAGACAGTCGGAAGACTGTGCAGTTTCAAGCCATTGTGGTCGGTCTCCCTGTCTGAGAGCCGCAAGTCAGTATGGTCTATGGTCTATGGTCTATGGTCTGATTGACGAGATCGTGCCCCACCTGAAAGGATTCTTGAGTGCCGCATTCTTTCGTGGACAGGTGATTGATTGATTCCCTCATTGCTGTTCTGTTCTTAATTTCCTAACTCGCTTGTGTGTCTGTTTCCAAATTGATTTTCTGAACTCGACCGTTTGTTGACCGGTCCTGTTGTTCTTCCTCGTGGTCTTTTCAGAAGATACCAATTGATAGTATGCGTCGGAGGGCTGATTCCTCCGATAGCATGACGCTTTCTGACTCCTTCATTGTCTTCTGAGTTGTTGTTCGGTTGCCCCTCCCCCGGCCAGATATCTGATTATTCTAAGTCCACTGTGCGAATCATTCCTTTTTTTTTTTTGGGTTTTTTTTCTTCCCCCTTAGTCTTTTTCACTTTAAATTTGGACAGATTATGTCCCGCTTCTGACCGTGACGGGTAGAATACCTGTTTTGCACATCTTTTCGCTTGACATTATAGCTTAAAAACCATTGTTTGTTAATTTTTTATTTTTATTTTTATTTTTTAATAAAGAGAGGAAAGGAAGGAGCAACTTTATTATATATTGATATTGATGGCCAGCTCTAGTTGAGCATCATGGCCCTGCGCACTTCGGCTGATAATGCGGAGGATGTGGCCGCTGGGTTTACTATATTTCGCGAGCCTCTCCCCGAACATGCCACAGAAATCACCGGCCTCATTGCCGATCTATATTCCATCAGCACGTCGCTAAAAAAACTGGAGGACCTTACGAATGACCGCAAATATCGTCATAACCTTGCTGCTGCTCACCCCGACCTGGAGCTGGTTCGTACTAGTTTGAAGTACACACTTGAAGACATCGTCGACTTCTTCGGTGACCTCGAAGAGCGACGGGGTCCGAGTCGAGATGTCTACAAGCACACTTGGCAGGATCTGTGTGCATTCTTCCGGGAAGAGTCCCAGGATTCCTTGTCAACGCGTCTAGCAAAGTACAAGGCCTTCTTGAACGAATTGGAAGATCTTTTGAAGGAGTACATATTTCCCTCGGCACCTACTTCTCTCGGAGAGCACTAACGCCTGAATGTAGCCAATACCCAGATGCATCTCTCATAGCTGGCCTCCGTAGTAACATACGAGGCCTCCTAGTTCATCAGAACAATCGTCTTGCTCTCCAGCTGGGCTCCATCTCGTTGAGTGCGCCGTCATCAGCCAGCAGCAATAGTGCCGAGCCCGGAAGTCCAGCCAGCGGTCGCAGGCCCCGAAACCGAAGATCGTATGAACGACAAAGGCCCCCTCTGGTGTCACAATCGCCTCTATCTCCATCATCAGGAACCTCTTCTGACATTCCCCCATCTGCCCCCGATATACCGTGTTCCCCGGTCACTAGTTCTGCTACTAGCCAATCGTTGGGCTCCAATTTCCCTACCGACCATTGGGCCCGAAGAGTGTTCCTCGAGGAGCACCCAACGACGGCCATTCCATATATAGGTGAAAGGTGAGGAGACGCCGGTGAATGCAGCCACGAGAACTAGGAGCTGATGAAACCGCAGCTCCAAATGTCTTGGCGACGCTCATCCAGGAGCGAAACGGTGGCTGTACGACGAGGGATTTGAAGAACTCTTACAGCTGTAAGTGCCCTCCTTACGTCTTGTTCTCTATGTAGTCCGCTAGTATAACTTCATCTAGAGCTTTTAATAGCGATTCGGATTTTCGTGTGAGCTTGTACGTGCGGGAAGAAGATCACCGAGCGCGGATCTTGTGCAAATCCCCTCGTACTTCTAGATCCAGTGACTATTATTGCCTCCCCTTGAATCTACTGGAGATTGTGCGCGTGGGATCCTGCCTGCAACTGTGTCGACGACGGCGTGGGGGATATGAACTTGTATTATGGGCCAATCTTAAATTCAGCACCCTCGAAGGTACGTTCCCTCTAGCTCCTTCGGAAACCATTGCTGACAGACTGGGCAGAAATGGTACTGTTTTTCTGTACATTCTTGGCCCTTCGCTCCCAAGATGCCGGCCGACCGGTAGAACGCATCCGTGACTATGAGCTCGATGACGAAGTGGAACTTTTTGGCGGGTAAGACAGCTATTCCAGCAAACAGCAGAAACAAACGCTCCCTTTCATACTGAAAAACGATAGGCAAATAGTCGATGATAATTTCCTGCACGCTTTGCGCATATATCGCGATAATATATCTGGAGTAGTCCGACTGCAGGCATCGGTCCACAAGGGCGAGATGAAACGGTGAGAGTTAGCAATTTATTTATTAATCGACGTAGGGTAATGGCTGACCGCAAATATCGTGGATCAGAGCCCCGGTTTGGACTGCCTTTATTACGCCTCACATTGGTGTTCGAGGTTGGATTCGCCGAGTGGACAGCAAAGCCGTTCTGCTGCGTGAACTCCGTCCTGTGATCCTTACCTCTGCCGATTATAATGCCCCACGAACCCCAAAAGGGGAGCATATATTGAAGTTCACAAACCATTCTGGTGAGAGTGTTCCTCTTCATTGAAACTGGTCAGTATTTAAACTAATGTAAGCACTTAGATGCCCGAGGTTTTCTGAAAACCATTGAAGAACTTCGGCAACTTGAGCGATCATAAAAATTGGCTGTGCATATGCTTCAACGCACCGGGTCTTCGTCGAAGAGGATGGTATTCCCTCCAACCAGGAAAAGAAATATATAATAAGGACAAATAAAATCATTGCTGGTATACGGAACTGCATTTAATGTTGGATACATTACGATTCATGAGCTATGAGGCTATGACATGACGAACTTACGTTGATTACCTGGGCGGCCTTTTACTTGTTTCGTACTACGTTTGTTATTAGGAATTCTATATCGACGTCGTCCATGTCTGTTGAACTGTTGTTGTATGGAGAAGCTGAGCGATGATAGGATTCGTTGCGCCCCAATGATGTTTGAGTAGAAAATTCTAAATTCGACTAGTATAACCTCAATTTTTATCTAAATAGTAATGCGAAGGGGTATCTCAAAATAGAACCAAGTATTATACAGATACTTTAAACAGTCGGGTCGGTTAAACGTCGGCTTCAACTCGGCTATCTCCGCTCCAGTCACCCACATCTCCCAGACCAGCTAGGAACATCTCTGCGCGCCTCTTGGACCGCAGCTCGCCAATTTTTCTTCTCCGTTCATCCTTCACTCGCTCCCGCTCGGATCTCCTCTCCTGCCGGGCCTCGCGTTCGCGCTGGGTTTCATCTCGCGCGTTCATGAGCTCCTCCATCTGCTGTCTGCGCACATCTTCATCTTTGGAAAACGCATAAAACCCTGTTCCTCGATTGCGCACTTCCGCATCGGCGTCATAATGTGTTTCTCCCGGAGGTGTGGGGGACCGGTCTCTGCGTGCCGCAAGGTATGATATCTGCGACGCCACCGTGTCAGACGGGTTGAACGCCTCCGCTTGCACCGCAGCACCATAGATCAAGTTATCCGGCCGGGAAGGACGCCAGCGCTCTTGCACATTCGACCGTTCTCCAGATTCTTCTTTCAGTCGAGTCGCACGCGCCGCTTCAGCCCTCGTCCCGCGACGGCTACGACCCAGTTCGTCTTCGTAGGATACGACAGATGCATTCTCATCATCATCGTCGCTGTTGTTGTCGTCTTCTCCGCCCTCCGAGTCACCCCTGGCTCGCTCCGCCTCGGCCCATTTCCGATCAAAATCCACAAGACCCTCTCGTTCTTTCCGTCGTAATCGAGCCAGATATGCATCTCCACCGCCCATTGTATCCTCCTCATCATCACTATCAGCCGCTAGATACACCCCGCTTTTCAGTTCGTCGTACATTCGCGCCTTTTCCTCCATGCGCCGCTTCGATCGGTGCAGGGCCGTTGCATCCACGGCCCCGATGTCCTGCGTGCGCTGGTGCGACTGCTGCAACGCGGCATTGTCATCATCACGGAGATCCGCGGCCGCGCGTTTCTGAGCTCCCTTGTTGTGGTGAGTGAAGATATCGGATTTGCTGGATTTGGAGGCCCGTGGTCTCCCGCGCGTGGAGGCTTCGGAGTCTTTGGAGATAAGCGACGTGAGGGTGGTCGTGAAGGCGAGGTTGGATGCAGATGGGGTGTCGGATTTAGAAGTCGATTTGCGACGAGGGACACCGTATAACGAGTGCGACATGGTAGATAGAAGGCAGATGAAAGGTAGAAGTGGCTGTTGAGACGATGATGAAGAATTGAGGCCGTATACGGAAGGATGACTCATCATTGCCCCACGATCCCACGTGCTGGTTCTTCGTCACCTTTGCCTTCACTTTCATACCATTCTATTCTCAGTCTATCCTCTGGTGGCTGTCTTTTTCGTGGCATTGTAGATTCGTTAGAAGTGTCTCTGCAATCCTCAGTCACTCATCATGTCGAAACCTGTCTATCTCGGTATCATCGGTATGTTTCCTCCATCTACAGCATATACCCGCGATGACTCGACGTATAACCAACTCTACCTCCATACCCAAAATTCAGTCGACCCCAACTGATATGTTTAAGGCGTCGGTGGCGTTGGAACATCCTTCCTGAACCAACTAGCCCGTCTCCCTAATGCTCCTCAACTTGTCCTCCTCGCCCGCTCAACACAGACTCTCCTGTCTCCGACACCGGCCTACTCGCCTACCATTCCCGCCGCTGAGTGGAAATCCGCCATCGAGACGCCCTCTCTCATCAAGTCTGGCTCCTTATGCCCCGAGGAGATCGCCTCGTACCTCTCCTCCACCCCCGGCCGCTCCATCCTGGTCGATAATACCAGCGACCCGGCCCTCGCCAGCGCTTACCCCGTCTTCCTCCGCAAGGGCATCTCCATCGTCACCCCCAACAAGAAGGGTTTCTCCTCTGACCTGGCCCTGTGGAGGGATATCTTTACCGCCGCAACCCAGGGCAACGCCCTTGTCTACCACGAAAGTACCGTCGGCGCCGGTCTGCCTGTCATCTCGACGCTGCGCGATCTAGTCGCCACCGGAGACGAGGTCACTCGCATCGAGGGCGTGTTCTCGGGCACGTTATCCTTCCTGTTCAACACGTTTGCACCCGCGTCGGGTTCCTCTTCCCCCGCTAAATGGAGCGAGGTCGTCGCCCAGGCCAAGGAACTAGGTTACACGGAGCCCGATCCGCGCGATGACCTGAACGGAATGGACGTCGCGCGGAAACTGACCATTCTGGCCCGTATTGCCGGTTTGGAAGTTCAGGCCCCGGACTCGTTTCCTATCGAGTCGCTGATCCCTGCGGAATTGGCCTCGTTGCCGTCCTCGGCGGATGGAGTCGCCCAGTTCATGACAAGATTACCCGAGTTCGATGGCCAGATGGCTGCCATCAAGGACGGCGCTGAGAAACAGGGTAAGGTGGTGCGGTACGTCGGTAGCATCGATGTCGGTACGAAGGAAGTGCGCGTGGGTCTGCAACAGTTCGATCGCGATAATGCCATTGCCGGCCTCAAGGGTAGCGATAATATCATCAGCTTCTATACCAAACGGTACGGTAACAACCCCTTGATTGTCCAGGGAGCCGGCGCCGGCGGTGATGTGACGGCTATGGGTGTGACGGCGGATCTGCTGAAGGTAGTGGAACGTTTGCATTAGTTTTGCATCCTTTCTACTTTGGCTACGAAGTGTAGACGATTCAAGATCAAACCCAAGAAAGGAAGGAAGGAAAGAAAAAGTTAATTAGATGCTGAATCCTCCATCGTCTATGAACGTAGGAATTTCTTCACAGCTTCCCCCCACAGCGGGGCCCGCTTGTACCAGTGCATCCCAGGGACATTTCCCTCTTTGAGACCGTCAATGGCAGTGGCCAGATCCTCACCTAGACCTTCATCCTTGATCGTTTGTATCGGATAGATATATGTATGGAATGCAAACACCAATGCATTGGTGCGTGGAAGCCGATGAAGCGTCTGTCGTTCACATCGTAGAACCGTCTGACTCTGTCAGTTATGGACTGAGATTCAATTGAAAGTCACTGGGAAAAAAAAAAGATATAAAAAGAAACCCACCGAGTGAACATCCAATTGTCCCTTAATGACCGCATCCCCCCCCTCAGTACCATGCACACCGCCGAATGCAGCAAATAACTCCGTATTGGTCGTGACGCTCCAATTGACTCTCTGCACGAACTTGCCTGCCTCGACGCGCGCAAAGAACCGATCCATGCTTCGCTCCAGTTTTTCCTTGTATCCCGGTACCGGCGCATGGATGGAGGCGAGTTTCAGTCCGAGTTTCTCGGCTGGGTTGAACCCCGATGGAAAGTAGGTGGTGTATGCTTGGAGGATGTATTTCGCTTGTTGGTCTTCTGCACTAGGGTCGGCGTTGTTTCTGTTTCCCTTCGAATAATCCGGTAAAAGGACGAGGAAGTCCTCATCCACGAGGGTGCCGAGGATTTCGAGCTCTCTCCGTCCGTTGCGAGACTCGGAAGTGCAATCCAATGGGACTTGCTGGCCGGTGACAAGGCTTTCTAGCATTTCTTGCTGTTTCGGGGTGCATACAAGTCGGAACATTCGTGGGTACCGGGTGGGGAGGTAGGTGCCCACGACGAAGGAATAGAGTTCGCGAATAGCTGCGACGATATTTGCGTCTTGAGGGTCGTTGATGCCGATGACGACGTCAGGGTGTTGGCGCAGGAGGGCTGCGCGAAGAGCCAGTCGGTCCTTGTATGTTTTGTCCATGGGAATGAGAGTGGAGTGATCTAGGGAGGTGAGGGCTGTTCCGTAAAAGTATTAGACAGTTCGACTCCGTTGATACATTGGTGCCGTGGAACTTACCCATCGTCAGATGGTACTTGGGCTTAAAAGGGCGGAAGGACAAAGGCTCAGTGGATTCCCAGGTGAAGTCAGGGAGCGGCTGGATGGATGGATAGCCCGTTGGCTCCGATGATGATTCAAGATCTTGAGAAACTGGTAGCTTCTATGTTGATGGTTAGATCGCGTGCTGGCCATGCCATGAGATGGTGAATCATACACGATTCCAGTGGCTGAACAGCCAAACCACCATGATCCCCAAGAGGACCACCAGGGGATTTCTCTCGATATAGACAATCCAGCTGTCCAGAGCGTCCACTTGCATCATTGTTGTGCTCGACATTGTCCGGATCCTTGACAGTCAGTCAACACCTTCTAGCGTGGTATCATCTATGGGGTTAAATATCGCTGCGCACGATGATTCGTCGGAAGTCCTGTCCAACAGCAATCGCTCGAAGCGCCGAGTCGGTATGGGTTAACCAGTCGAGAAGTACAGGGGGCTCGCGAGATAGATTGGAACTCGCTGAGGACGGCGATTGTGTCGCAGGCGCCACTACTCTGAATCAGGAAGCTGGCCTGAGAAAAGAGTCTACAACTGGAAGAGACATCCATCCCCAGTGTGATCGCAGACGATCATCGACAATTTCTCTCGCTGGCTTCCTAATCAAATCTCGCGATTGTAGAGAGGAGTTTAGAACAGACTGATGGGAAATCCCTCCCAGGAAACTAGAAAAACAGGCCTTGACAACTGCCTATACGGTCATTGGGACGGATCGGTTGGGGTCCTCCGCCTCAGCTGGTCCTCAGTCGTCTCCCTCCTGGTCGTCGCATCGGCATCTTCATAGCCTGTCAGACTGAACACCCTCCGTTGACGACCGCGTCTCTCGTTTAAACTGGGCGCGCGAGGTCGTTGCCTCCCCCTGGCCCTACCGCCGACCACGGCGATTTCATATTCCAGCATCCGCCAGAGATACAGGCACAGATCGAACATAATGAGAAGCGCCCAAGGAACGATGGTTATGAGACCGAGGAGAATCTACACACGTAAATAGATAGGGATTAGCATGTACTGTCCAGTGAGCTCTAGATGAGTAGAAGGAATAATACATTGACGTACAAAGGTCCGAGCAGCCCAGCTTTCGACGTAGATTAAATCCGGGGGAAGGATAGAATACCACGCCATTTTCTTTCCTTTTCTTTTCTTATGTTTCCTTCTCTCCTCCTTTTTGTTGTTTATCCCTTATTGTAGTTTGTGAGGTGGGAATGTTGATTTGACTTCGTTTAGCTCATACACGTCTATGCGGATAAAGAGGTAGTTTGACTTCACTAAGCAGCAGTCTGAATACCAACAATCTCGCAGGCTATCGACAGTATACGTGTCCGATGGGAAGGTCGTAGGATGTTTCTAAACTGGTTAATTTGAACCTCGCACGCGACTGTCTGATTTTGTTGGGTTGCCCAAGCCTTGGTTCCTGGCGACGGAAACGTGGAGACGCACGGGCGATCGCGTGGTGGGAAAAGGGGTCGCTATATGGAGGGCAGAACCACGACAACAGCGGCCGATGAGATAGGATAAGCAGTACCGGGCAAATGGACGGAGGAAGATACTGGCAAGGAGATGACCGCAGGGAGAAAGTAGTGAATGAATGAATAAATGATGAGGACAAACCGAAGATCTGGGTATCGGCCCAATCCGGTAACGATAATAGCCTCGGGTTTACGAACGACCAACAAACAACAAACAGTATCTCCAATGAATCTAGATGCTTTGATTATATACAGCCCACACAGTACAGTCGATATCCAGATCGCGGGCCTGTGTACAGCACAACTATTTCCATGACTCCGTGGTAGCCTCCTAAATACGATCGTCATAAACCCACGCTTTCTATACATAACAAGGGAGATCCATGCAAACAAAATTCCAACCAGAATGTAAAAGTATCAGGTAAAAATCGTCGTTTCAAGCTATCGTGGCATGCGGTAATGGTCATATGAATTGGGATTGGAGTCGTCCTGATCCACAGGTCCGTATCCCCGGGCTCGCCATCGATCCAGTGGTGTCATAGGCTCGTTTAATGCGGGTCTCTGTGCCTGGCTGAGCAGCCTAGCTTGACTCTCATCTTCATGCTGATAGAGTCCCCGACCCACTGGGCCGCTGTCCACACGCGACAGCGGGGTGCGGAAGGCCGGATGGATCTGATCGTTCCCTCCCATTTCGTACGGCCGGATGGACGGAAGTGACGGGGCTGGGGAGGACGCCCGCGACGAGGTGGGCGACCATTCGCCCCCTAGATGGCTGCGAGGAGTGTGCGAGCGTTCGGTCATCAGGTCATCGGGACGGCCGTAGATGCCACCGCCAAACTCGTCCCGGAAATCGGCTCGGTCCTTGAAGTACGAAAAGTCGAGATGGTTCTCGGGGACAACTTCGAAGGGCTCCCGTACCGACATGTCCATCATCGTTTTACCCGGACGCGAGGTGGACATGGCATCCATGGCAATGTCGGAGTACTCCGCATCCGCCTGGGAGGAGTCCAGTCGTCCCCGGTAAATGCGGCTCAACGAATCGGCCGCCTTCGCGTGGACCATCGGAGTGATCAAGGGCTTGTAGAGGGCGGGATGCCCGAACCGGGAGTTGAGCCGATCTGATGTTGTCTTCCCGGGCTTGCCTACTGCCAGAGCCTCGGCATCGCTGAGGTTGGCCCGGTTGTAGAACTTGATGTCCCCGTCGAAGGTCTTCATGCAGTACCACTTGAAGCCGAGCATCAGGAATGGAAGCGGGATGACGCAGTAGACCATGGTCCAGGTGCCACTCGCTTTAGCAACCAGCGCAATGATCACGTTGGCCAAAATGGTCGCAAACACCATCCGGTTGAACACCACCCGCCAGAACCTACCCCCAGATTCGTTCTTGGTCACACACACGTACATCAGTATGTACTTCTTCATCATTGCATCCAGACCGAAGTACAGCGCGGTGATTGGGAGTACGATCGGTTGTAAGGTCGCAAAGCACAGAGCAACCGTCGCGTAGAACAAGAAGTAGTTGTAATAACTGGCGTATTGGAACGGGGGCGGTGCCGTCCACTCTATAGTCTGTCGGGGGGTAGGTGCGAGAAACGTCTTGGAGAACCATACCCAAAACACGTTCACTAACTGGACTAAATCAATGGCAGCTCCGAGGTTACGCTGCAGGAGGTAGGTCACCCAAAACGGAGAGACTTGGCATAGGGCCCCCATGGCCTTCGTATACAGATGGCCGTCCTTGATAGCCTGCCACACATCCACATCTTTTGTACTTTTCTCGTCGATGACGGCGGCAACGAACGTCCACGCGGCAGAAAAGAGAGAGAAGACGATCAGGTTGTTAAAGACGAAGAAGGAGTATAGGTTGTGGAGGACGTGCCGCTCCCTGGAGCTTTTAGTGACATCACCCGCCCGGATCGCCATACGCCGAAAGATGATGGGTAGGAGCACATAAACCAGAGATGTGATAGCAGGCGCAAGGATACCTTGGACTGCAGCCCAGACCGCGGAGTTGCTGTGCAGTGAGGGCCGAAAAGCCGGCCAAACCAAAGCCAAGTTATTTAGATTGGATAAGAAGATGGCGATGAGGGCGTTTGGAACGATCCATATCAGGGTCAAGATCGCCGTCCAGATAAAGTTCACAAACCGCTTCCATCGTCGTGCCTGCTTCGACAAAGGCAGGTTTTCCCAGATGAGGTCGCTCGGCCGCGAGGCCAGGCGAATCGTTGTTCCTTTTGGGTGCTTATTGCGCACTTTGTAAGCCACCGCATGGGCATGCTCGATCATATCCCAGCTGACGAAGCCGAACGACAGGGCGTTACGCTTGTCGATTGATGCACGAACGTGTTTGATCTCCTCCTCTAATTTCTGGATCCGGTCAGTCAAATAATCAATGGCGTCTACCTTTCCGCTTGTCCCTTCGCGCCTCTCCTTCCGGGGCGGGCGCATGGTGGGCCGGTTGGCGGGTAGTCGGTCTGGATTCTTGAAGTACTTTGCTAGCACCGACTCGAGCTCGCGCACCGCTTCTTCGTGTTTTCGGATCAACCCAGGAAGGCCCTTAACGTTGCGACCAATGGAAGCCCGGGGTAGGGCAGCAGTGGGATTGACCTCGTCAATCAGGCGCATCACACCCTCATCAGATCGTGCAGCTGGAGAAAGATCGGTGATCTAGAGGCCAATTACGTGAGCGTCGTGCTAGCGTCACCCTACGGAGCGAAGTGGAACCTACCATCAACGTGCGGGCATGCAGACTACGCTGATATTCCGAACTTTGGAAGTACTTCCTGCGTAGCGACAATACGGCCTTGTAATTTCTCCAAAGAAAATAAGCGACAATGATGTCGAAAGCCCAGGCACAAAAGACTTGACTCCAGATGGGATTTGAGGAAACATTCAGCGGGGTCATCTTCGTGAAAATATCCTTGTCCTTGGAGTTCGCACCACCCTGCGTGAGGTTGATGGGAATCATAATCCCACAGCCAATGACGCTGAGTAAGATGAAAATATTGCGGCACATTTTCGTAAATCGGAGGAAAATCGCGGCATCAAGACCGATGCAGTCGATCAGCTCCGGCTCTCGGGTGCTCAGCACAGGCTTGACCCAAGCAAAGAGGCTTTTTCCCACAGGAGGCGGTGCGTGTTTGCGGTCGGCATGTTTCACCTTGGGGGCATATACGACCGAATGTCGGGGACGAACCAGCGAGAAGAGCAAGGCGAGGAGGATGAAGAAGCCGAAAGAGGTAGCCAAGGAGGCCCACACGGCATTCTCTCGAATCTGATCAGGTCAGTTGGTTGATATCGAAGGGCATCACATTGGAGCGGGTGGTTCAAAAGACGTACGGCCGAACTGAACGGGTCCTGAATGAGCCTGAGAAATTGGTCCAGGGAGTCATCATCACGGCGCCATAGAGGACTAGGATCCATGGTGGCAGGAGAGCCGAGGCCGCATGGATGAGGCCGTCAGGGGGGAAGAAGGAGAGAGAGAGAGAGATGGTGGTTGAATGTAACGATCGAAGAAAGAAAAAAAAGATGGAGAGAAACGAAGGACTAGAAGAACGAATGAATTAATTAACGGAGATCAGGGCTGGAGAAACAGCGGAAGAAGAGAAATAAGAAGTAAAGGCCGTTAAGTTTAGTGTGGGTAAGAGTGGAGGCGGGTCTGGAGCCAATGCAAAGAGTCCAGCACATCTGTACTAAGGTAACCAACTTTTGGCAGATTCGCAACCTCCGATTAGAAGACCAGTTGACACCCGGTCTGTGGAGTGTCCACGTCTCTGGATGCCATCAATAATACCTACTAGAATCCAGTGTAATGTGAATGAGATAGATGGGTGTATATACTGCCCCAGGACGTGGAATCGGCCATGTCACTGAGAGTGTAACAGGTACATCTGGGAAAACTGAGAAACTACAACAGCTGAACCCACCAGTGCGTTTCCATTGGTGGCCTGCCGTCTTTATCCCGACTGTTATTTTGGCGCACCAATCAGAGCCTGTCCTTGGCGGCGAGTCTGGAACATCTGGACACTTTTCTGAGACAGCGAACCCAGAGTAGCCCGTTGATTGGTCCATGGGTTCAAGGGTCTCGAGGTGTTTGTCAGGTGTCGACTGCTTCCTGAGGCATGTCTGGCCTATCACCAAGTAAGAATCTGACAGTTGACTACTATTACTCGCTCGGTAGGTGACAAGGAGACTGGGTGTCAAGACCATGAAAGATTCCTCTGTACGGAGTAGCTAGTATCATGAGACGCAGCTGATTACTCCATCTTCCACTAGATCACCCCTTATTACCAATAGTCAAGACATTCCCAGGAAACCAACCTTTAGCGTCCCAACGGACATGTAATAGTCCCCAGTGCTAACAGAACCATCTTTAAATAGCTCACATAAGCAATCCATACCCACGCGGGAGCCAAAGAATCTGTATCTGGAACCCTGAATACTTCATTCTCGTTGGGAATTGCCGCGCTGGGGTGGATTCCATGTCTTGAATCAACCGGATGGTACTCCGTAATACTGCTACTTTGTAGATAATCTACAGAGTAGTAATTTACACCCCTGGGATGGTTACATTCCAGTGATGGGTGGAGCATTAGTACAGTAAATGAGGCTTTGCTGCCTTGGGCTAATCTGGATCCATAGTAGGCACGGTACATGACCCAGCCCTGCAGATTAGTACTTATATCATATGTAGATGTACAGTACATACGGCTCCGGAGTATGTATACCCTAATGCATAGAAGCCACCGACTCTTCCTTCTGCCTGAGGCAAGAAGTATAGTGGCCTGGAGCACTGCCTAACAATAACCAAGAACCACGAAGTCTTTGAGCATATTTTATTAATATATTTCATCTTCATACTACATACACCCTCATCGATATTCAACTCCGACCTAGCCGATATCCATGCAGTATCCAACATCACATAGAACGATCCAGGTTGTCATTCATGTTTTTGTGCCCCTCAGATTGGTCAATTTATGTACTGGTATCTGAGTTCCTCGTATCGGCAGACATCACATCGGAAGAAAAAGAAACGGAAGGAAAAAAAAAAAAAAAAAAAGAGAGAAGAGAGAAAGAGAACTGGTATCAGACCTTTACAGCTGGCCAGCAGTGTTGAAGTCCTCGAGAGCAACCTGGACCCGCTTGCTCATGCTCTTCTCACCCTCGCGAACCCACACGCGGGGGTCGAAGAACTTTTTGTTGGGCTTGTCCTCACCATCGGGGTTACCGACCATGGCCATCAGGTAATCCTTCTTGCCCAGGATGAAGTCACGCACACCACTCAGGTAGGCGTACTGCATATCGGTATCCACGTTGACCTTGACAACGCCGTAGTCAATGGCCTCTTTGTATTCGGCCTTACTGGATCCGGAGCCACCGTGGAAGACGAAGAAGACGGGCTTGTCCTGGGCGGAGCCGATCTTCTCCTTGACGTAGGCCTGGTGCTTCGAGAGCAGCTCGGGGTGCAGGCGGACATTGCCGGGCTTGTAGACACCGTGCACGTTACCGAAACCAGCGGCAATGGAGAAGTAGGGGCTGATAGGGGACAAGGTATTGTAGATGGCGAGGATGTCCTCGGGCTGGGTGTACAGGGAGTTGTTGTCGACGGATTCGTTGTTGACACCATCCTCTTCACCACCAGTGATACCGATTTCCTGCAATACTCGTTAGTCCTCCGACGCTATCACAATTTGCAACAAAATTTTATTTTAATCTTACCATCTCGAGCCACTGCTTCATGGGGGCAGCACGCTTGAGGTACGCGGCGGTGGTCTGGATGTTGTAGTCGACGGGCTCCTCAGACAGATCAATCATGTGGCTGGAGTAGAGAGGCTCGCCGTGGAGCTTGAAGTAACGCTCATCCTCATCGAGGAGACCGTCAAGCCAGGGGAGAAGCTTCTTAGCACAGTGGTCGGTGTGAAGGATGACGGGGATGCCGTAGGTAGGAGCGATGCTGCGGATATAGTGGGCAGCAGCGATACCACCGGCGATGGAAGCCTTCTGGCCGTCATTGCTGACACCCTACAGAGACCCAGTTAATTATCCAGTCCTCTCAATGGAGATAAGGCTACAAATAACATACCTTTCCAGCGAAGTAAGCAGCACCACCCTGGGACAGCTGAAGAATGATGGGGCAGTTCTTGTCGCGAGCAGCCTCCAAGGAAGAAATGACAGTCGAGGAGGAGGTCACATTCTGTTGAGAACCGATGCGGTCAGTGAGACGGTCCATGAAGAGAAGCTTGGGAACCGAATGGGTCGCCTACGATGGCGGGGATGGCAAAGTTGTTCTGCTTAGCATATTCAAAGAGGCGGAGAACGTCATCGCCGACGATGACGCCGGACTTGCGAGTAAGCTGTTCGAGGGCACCCATTGTGATTGAGTATAATGGACTAGACAGTCAATTGAATATGAGAATTAGCTTGGAGTAGAGGAGAATCAGATGAAAGGCGACGAAGAAGAGGGAGAAGAAGAGGAAGAAAAGCACTTAATAAATCCTGCAAGAGACTCCCCAAACTAAATTAAATGGTTTACCGAACGACGAATACGGAGCCGAAGAATTGAGAAGGAAAGGCCAGCAAAGGAGGGGCAGAGGGCCACTAAAGGAGGGGCAGCAGCCGTCGAAAGAACTCACCGGGTAGTGGGGACGGATGCGATCAGTATGATTTCAGTGACCGGGAGGCGATGAAGATGGAGAACAGGGAAGAGAAAAGGTAAGAAGAAAACGTGCGGACCCTGGAGGGATCAGCCGAATTAATAGCCATTGGTGCTCCTCAATATAGCCGTAATCGTCCAACCTGAGGGATTTAGTCATTTCCTTCATGAATGACAGACGTTTTTCTTGGGCGCTTTAGTCACCATCTGGCCTGAGGCTGCACTCGTCCCGGGAATCCCCGTTCCCATCACATGACATCATCGCCGCCAGCTTCCATGGGCCTGACCCGGTGGGAATCCGGATTGACCATGGCAGCGTTCAATCAATATTCATGGCGAAGTTATTAGTGTCAACATCATCCTTGAAGGCTGTATATTGTGCAGTTGGGATTCTCTGCCTGTCCGGTTGTCCTCAGCAATATCGCCCGGCTACCCTTGGCATCCGCGTGCCTGTTTCGGGTGTTCGCTCCTTCTCCCCATTTTCCTCCGTAATTCTTTCGTACTTCATCCTAACTTCGGGGAAATCAGCGGGACATCTATCTCCGTAGCCGTGGCTTTGCGTTACTATCCTTCTACCCCTTTCTGCCCCCTTCTTCCTCTTGGCCTGTATCAGTTTAGGAGATCTTGGGAGGACTTGAGTGTCAAACCCCTGTCCTCTAATTAACTTAACTACTCTAACCTCTTATGTAACTAAAAAGTGGGGCCTTTATGCGGTCTTAGACATCCAGGGTGATTTCCTGGAGTCGACAAGAGGTACGGATAGTCGTACAACACTAATGGTTGATGCCCTTAGTCTATACAAGTAACAGCTACTGATGGATGCTCACTACCCACGAACTAAAAATGATTGCCAATGCCATCTCAGATAAAGATAATGCTCGGGTATACCTACCTAAGCTAGGGTCCATCTTACCGTCCATGATAAGGGCCTGGATATTATCTACTCTCAACTTCCAACGCGAGGGCTCATTCTCCGGAAGCAAGATGTTGCGATTGTTGTCCGCAGTCTCCTGTTAACCGTCCATGTAGATAATCGTGCTAGGATGTGCTGCAACCCAATATCTTCATCCGATCCTATACCTCGAGAATTATACTTGGTATCCTCGGCCCTGTGGTGTGAACATACCCGCAAACCTTCCCCAGGAAACTGGTATTCAACTTTCGACTAAAAGTAAAGAGTGGGAATGGGAGTCCGTTTACGGATAAGAATAAGCCCAGCACGTGCTGGGCAGTCGATGGCAGGCTAAACCTGATTCGGTTCTTGTTCTGATCGCCGTCGAACCTCCATCTTTCCTACAACTATGCAGACTGCATCGTCAAGAGACGGAAACAACCTCTTCTCAGCCTCAGAAAGATCCTCTGTGCTTATTTGTCGAGGTGGATACAATAAAGAGTCAGCTTGTCAGCTGACCCCCATGGCAATCCTAGGATAACGCGTAAGGATGAACCACGGTTCCCGAAGCTTGGTGGGATTAATGAGAGCCTGAATTCAAGCACCGACCTTTGGCGATTATTTCGCGCTGGAGAATACCTGTTACAGAGTCGCATGAGGCTCCTGTCATCTACTGGCTCGCCGAGCGATGCAAAGTTCCGACCTCCTGACTGATACAGCTTCTGGCTTGTGTGCTCGAAGGCTGAGGCCCTTGTGATATCCCATCAATGACCCCAGCAGACAAAGAAGTTGGTCCCTTTTGTCAGCGATTCAATTTCTGGCGTCCCAGAAGTACGCCAACATGAATTCAAAGCCGACTCTTTCATTGATGGAAAAACTTTGGGCTGTCCTGGGAATTTTGAAATCAAGTATGTTGCTACAGTCCCACGGGTTTGTCTTCCTGAGCGCAGTTAACCGTTTCAATGATAAGTTCCATTCATCATTCTATCTGCATTGGCCTGGCCTTTGCAGAGCAATGGAGCCTCGACGTTCTATAGACATATTGCCTATACAGCAATCCGAGAAGTAACTGGCAATCTTCCAACACGTGCGATCTTGTATGCTTATGCCCACCCCCGCAATGGTAGAGGTCATCCCGCCGTATTTCTATTTCTAATGTGCAATGTAGAGGCCTTTCTCGGACTACTGATGAGGCCTATGCCGTCTTTATGGAGTCCATGGGACTCCCGGTTGATACAGTGGTCCTTGAAAATGACACCAAGGGCCACTGGATTGGTGACAGCTCTGCAGAGCATGTATTGTTCTACTGTCATGGTAAGGTCGGGTCTCCTTCTGGGCATATTTTTTAACACATCATTCGTAGGAGGCTCGTACGCCGTGTATGCTTCCGATGCACACATCCGGGGCCTTTGGCAAATTGTGCGGGAGCTTCAGTTTGCCGGCAAAAGTCTGGCTGTGCTGCTTCTGTCTTATGGTTCGCACATACTTTTATTTGGAGGGCCGGGGATCGACTGACAAATTTTTGGATTAGATGTAAGTAGCACGGCAGGCTATCCAAGACAACTCCAGCAAGCGTCTAGTCTTCTTTCTTATCTCATCAAGACCATAGACAAAGATCCCTCCAAAGTATGCGTGCCCATGTCCTTCCACTGAAACCAATGAAAGAACTACTTACTCAGTCTACCAGGTCATCCTCGCTGGTGATTCCGCCGGCGGCCACCTGATATTGGCTTTAGTATCCCATATCCTCCACCTTCACCCCGAGGTTCCCCCGATGGACCTACCCCCAAAATCTGCCTTTCTGGGCGTGATCCTCCTATCACCCTGGGTAACATTTGACACCGAATCTGCCGATTCTATGAGACGCAACCGAGTCAAAGACTTCCTACACATCCCAAGTCTCGAGAACTGGTCTGTCGTATTCCGTGGAGCCGCACCGCAAGACAACTACCTCGTTCCAATGGATGCTCCACTCAAATGGTGGCAGGGTTTGCCCGCGCTAAAAGTTCTGATTATCTCCGGCACAGACGAGATCTTCGTTGATGATATTGATGTATTTGCAAAGAACCTTGCCGTATGTATCTCGTATCTCATTTAGTAGATCCCATATCACATGGAAAGGACAAGACCAGGGAAAGTTTCCCGCTGACTCTCATCTAGAATGTTCATCCCACCGTATCCCATTTCTCAGCGTCCGGGGAAGCCCACATCCAGGTCTTCGCTGAGTTTATGCTTCGAGAGTCTGTATCAAGGCAACGTGCTGTGCTTCAGCAATGGCTCGGCGAAAGGATTTAGTTGGAAAAAGGCCGGTTGACAAATATTCCTGGGCGCAGTGGATACGACTACAGGGATATATATAGGAACCAGCACAACAGAGCCCTATGGATCTCGGATGATGGACATGTCTACTTACAGTGTGCTTAATCAAATCATCGATATGTTTTCGGTGAACCAGTACATCATATGGATGTTAAACACATTGAACCTTCGCTAACAACAGCTCAAGTGTGCTTCTGGTAGACACCAGATGTTACTTGGACATATCAAATGGAATTTATAGATCCTACTTTGCTATGTATCGCTCTAGGTGAAGGACTTGATCCAGATTCCGGTTTGGGTTGTGATTTGGAGGTATTCACAGACTATCAGCATTTTTATGGATCCTTGGAAAGGATACAAGTGTCAACGTGCCAGTCCTTGGTGCTCATGCAGAGGTACAAACATTACGAAAAGACAGGTACAAGACTCCTATTGTCAAAGGCCAAAAGGCTTATACATTCCCAAGATAACTTGACTCTCAAGTACTGGATACGTAGCTTCTGTGATGGCAATCAAGTAAGGTTGATATATATATAGTTTTAAATACCTCATATATATGCTTCCCTCAAACTCCTATGAAAGCGTATATGTCCAACAGTATGTGCAGTTTAGTCCTGTCTAAATTGTGATCTACATTCCATGCCCTTGAAATGTGCCGTCAACATCAAATGGCTGTAGGGGCCAGCGGGCCATGGATGGGCTTCTCCATCTCATAGAATAAGAGATAGACTTCCTTCTGCATACCGAGCACATCAGATGTCTTGCATTCCTTGATTTTCTCGTCGGAGATGCGCCACCAGCGATCGTTTGCTTTGCGGCGGCGGCGGAGTCGAGAAGGGGACCTTGGAGAGTCCTCGACGGATGTGCTTGGAGCCATTCGCTCACTCATAAACGAAAGCCTCGAGCCTGATTTGCTCCAGCGACCACCATCGGTGGAAGGACTTTGGGGAGCGGATTCGGGCGATAGTCTCTGCTTTGACTTAGAGCGGTGGCTTTGGAATGAAACGCGGGAGCTCGAGGTGCTTGGTCGAGGGACGGGTGACGAAGGCCCATTCGGCTGAGATGATTCCTTGGAGGACTTCTTTGCCGAAGTGGAACGCGACGGGTCGGAAGACAGCGACGAAAGAGACGGCGACGACGCTGGCTCCGAAATACTAAGGGCAGAAGGCTCTGCGTCCGGGATACTGCGAACCCCTAGACGAGGGCTTGGTGCCTCGGATGGGTTTTCACTGGTCGCTCGACTCTGTGCATATGAGCTGAATGCTCCGGGTGTTGAGAAAGGGGGATAGAGGTGGTTCCGACGGAATGATTCGTAGTGTCCGCTGTTGTGGCTGCCCTTGTGGCAGACAATGGCCAGCAATTTGAACCACGTTTGATCCAAGATACCCCCTAAAGGAAGACGTTCAGGGAAGGACACCTTGGCTGCATTTTTCGTGGAACTGCTCCGGTCAAATATTGACCGGGAGAGATGGATTGCAATTATTTTCGGGAAAACAATGATACGCATATGCCGTGCAATTTTTCGCTTGGGAGCGAGTTCAGCAGGTGGCAATGAAACTCCCTCTAAAGGGCCCTCCGGATCGGTAGCCAAAGCGGCTTGGATCTTTTCAATTTCAGTTTCCAGGTGCGCCCGATCTTTTCCTGAGTGACTCCGAGCCAGTTCCTGAGACTTTGTTTCGAGCGCATGTTGCAGCCGACATTTGTCGCATTTGAAATCGTCGATGTATTCAGTCTTCAGTAGCCCGTCGAAACATGCGCTGAGCGAAGTAGAGCTTTTCTGAGGGACTTGAAGCGTCAAGTTGACAAATGACGTCTGATTCGGCCTGTACTTATAATGGCAAAATTGGCATTCGATTTGGGACTCCAGCTTGCCCTCAAATGGAAAGCCGTACTCGTTATCGATTTCTTTGAGCTTCGTATCAATGATGGCCGGAAGGCCATTCTCCGATCCATCATCAATGCGCACCTCAATGTCGGCCTGGTTCTTCTCGGTTGAAATTTCGTCGTCTTGTTCGGACGTGCCACGGCCCACGGGTGTCTCAACCAAGCCTTTTATCCGCTGACGTGCCTTGACGCCAGCATGGTATTCATCGCTCAGCCGCTCGGCCACAATTTGCAAGAATTCCTGTGCATCTTGTTGGTTGCGACTGATCCGCGTCCGGTACGCATATTCGAGAGACTGGATAAAGGCCCGGGCAGAGATCGTCTTCTTGTATATGGGACGCTCATTTAACCGGTCCAGGATCTCTTTAAGCGCCCTTGTAATAGTCCCTTGCTGCAGCTCTCGGATCTTATCCGGTCGCTGTCCATGGGGAATTTCGTCTAAGTCCGGGAGAAGATTGTATACGTCGGGGCCGTCCAGTTCACGGCGGTGAAGTTCTCTGATCAGATAAACGCGCAGGTCCCCCAGGCCGGCGAGAGCCTGCAGGACTGAGTTGATAAAGCAGTCATTGGCGGGGTTGGACAGGCCCACGATACTCTTTTTGCGGTTGCTGTCATTGGACTCGTCACCGTCAATGGTGTAGTTGGGCCCGAAGACGTAAAACAAGGCGACCGCAGCGAGGGATGCACCTGCCGCATACGCGGCGACGGTGCTTGGTTTTTCTTGCATCAATCCGTGCGGTGAGGAAGAGAGGAGGGAGCGTTTTTGTTGACGATGTAAATGGAAAACTGGGAGGCGATATCGGTCCTATCGTCGCTCCATTGGCTGCGGTTGGAGTGCCGGTCGATGGATATCGGAGGAACTAGAGGAACAGGGCCGCGAGCAAGACCGTAGAAGGCAGCTCACAGGGATATCAATGCTATACAACGCGGTGGAAAATCTCGGCGACCGGGGTGGCAGTTATGAGTACAGCGGGATGACTGCGATCTAGTCAGCCGTCTTTCTTCCCCATGAAATGTCGGCGGTGTGGAGATTAGTGGATGGATGGGGTAACGAAGGCAAAAGCAAATGACGCACAGTATATACAATCTGGTGAGAACAAGAACCCAAGTTGGACAACATCAAATGTCCAACTGATGCGAGACTTCATCGGAGTGGTTTCCATGTAGGAGGAGGGGGGTTTGGGAGACAGACAGGATAGAAGACTGACGAGAGGCGGACTAGAGACTAGAGAGACTCTTTCTCTGCCCGGAGTTCTCCAACGCCGAGGTCCGTCTTCCGGTTCTCTCCACAATTTCTCTTCCCAGTGCTTTCAAATTCTCCTATACCCGAGACTATTCCGGATTCACATTTCTCCTTGCAAATCAGATAACCGGTGAACAGGATGATCGACATGGCTGATCGGCGGGGAGTGGAAGTAGCTGGAGGGGGGAGGAGTATTGTCTTCAATAGCAGCTGAGGTCTTTCTATGGGCGATCGATGATGGATCCTCGATACGATATGATGAGCACAAGTATCGCCGGGATGGGTGAGATGCCTTCATCCGAGAAGAAGATGCAGCGAAAGAGAAAGAGAAAATTGAAGAGACGGAGATTCGAAGAACAAGCTGCCGATCAGGTGACTGCTTGTACATCCAGACAATATAGGTGCATACGAAGTATACGGTGTACGTCCATGTCTACGGACTGCATTTCTTATCCTCAGCCTCTCAAGGGTTCCAGGGTCCCTGCGCTTGGCTACCGGTCAATAGAATCGGCTCCGCATCCCGCTGCACCAAAAAGATATCCTCATGGCGAACTCCAAACTTGTCCACTAGGTAGATACCAGGCTCGGAGGCAAAGGTCATGCCGGCTTTGAGGAGAGTGGCGTGGTTGCCCTTGTTCAAGTAAGGGCTTTCATGGGCTAGGTGAACGCATTAGTTGGAGACACAGTTCTTTCCTTGACGGGCAAGCGGATGACACAAACTTACCCTTGATGCCAATTCCATGGCGCACTCTGGGTAAATGTATCGCCATAGCCTGCGTTGCTATTGACCCGGTGAGCTGCGATGTCCACATTTGCGGCGGTCGAGGTCTCCGGAATTGAAGGCGAGATTGCATCTGAGCCTCAAGGACAATGTCCCAGACCTGGTCAGCATGGTTGGAGGGGCGTCAACGATATTACTCTGTAGGGATAACTTTAATTTCTCCTCTAGACTCGGCGGTATTGGGTCATCCCCAGATGGCTTTTCAAGAAATGGGGGGAGGAACGTGCGACAAATATCAGATGAATAGCCGAGAAGATGGACCCTTGGGAGTTCAGTCATCCCAAAGACATGGTGGTATTAAGCGAACGCAACTCAACATCAATCAGGACAAATGTTTCTGCCTCGAGAATCTTGGAACCATTGGTGCCACCATGGGCGTTCGCTGCATTCTCATCTATAACCAACGTCAGCCAGATCCAATGCTGGAGAAGCAAACAGACCATGTACCAAATAGCACAATGTCAAAGAATGGTTCAAAGCTAGCAGAAGGGAGAGTGTTATCCAAAACCTCGGCGATTTGGCTCTCAGTCAGCCCCGGATACAGGCCTAAGTTCAGCAACACCTGCGTCGCCGAAGGCAGATAGGGATGGAACAGCTCACATTTCCTCATTTGCCGCACAACCTCTACGGTCCCTGTGTTGACAGCTCGAAGAATGCCCACTTCCTTTTCGGACTGGATCTGTCTCACATGCTCTACCTCACCCATTGGCCTGACGATCTCGAATCCAGCGTTCCCCAGCCCGCACTTGATAAAGTCGCACATTTCCTCGTCCACCATGATGCGCGGGGTTCGATTGAGGCTGGGAAACACGTTCAAGCTCTTCAACGTGTCATACAGGTTCCAATGTTCTTCCCAGAGGATGATGTATGATGTCCAGGGGCTTGGAGAACGGCATGTCCTGGAGAAGGACATGCTCTGCCTCGAATGATGGCAGAGGAACGACGTCTTCGCCGTGATTTAACCGAACTGGTGTTGATGGGGCTGCACTACAATGAGGAACGGACGCTCCTCTGGCTGGTCTAGGGTGAGAATGGGGGAGTGGTAGGGAATCAAGACCGAGACCTACTTCTCACCCTTCCCATTCGGGCTGACTGACGTTCCCAAAGTACTTGAACATATAGCCAGGATCAATAACGAAAGCATCCGCTCCATCCGCTATTAGGGCTCGGGCGAGGCGGTCGCATCGTTCCTCAAATTCTTCCAGTACAATTGGAGATGCATTATCTAGAAGATAGAGCCCAGTTTCCTGAAGGTTCTTGATAGAACATTGTTGGAATTCCTCGAGCTTAGAGTGAAGCGTGAAGAGCCGACGACACCCTGGGATCGCTGTGAAATGTTGGAAGCAACTTAGGAGTCTCTGCCTATTGTAAAATACCCCAAAACCAGGGTCTAGAAGCCGCTCAGTATATACCAGACCGTTCTACAGGGTCGTCTCTGTGAGCCTTTATGTTGTGCGCGGATTGCCACTTGGAAGAGGGGTAAATGAAGTCGTTCGTCCGACAGGATGTGTATACCCGCAGCACGTTTCAATCAGCAGGCCATAGATATTAAAGAGACTTATCTGGGGGGCAAGAAGTATGCAACATATCTGCCGTGTGGGCCAAGTAGGAATCGGCTACAACAGGAGGACAGTCGATGCGACGATTTATCATTTTCCCCGCATTCGACCTGAGCTTACCCTGCTCAGCAGCTCAGTTACCAGGCTACAGCTGCCATAGGATCCCTCGCTGCACGCTACGCTGCGCGCCAGCATGTTTAGCGAATGAGACGGTTGGTCGCGGCAAATTAATCTTTCTAGATCAGCCATTATTTGCCCGATAATCGACGCATTTTGGCACCTGTTAAGACACCATGTCGGCCACTGAAATCACAGAGACACCGAGATCAACCGACTCCAGCAGGCAAAGAACGCATATATACCGTCGGCCATGGTGGGGGTAGATTTGTGGTCTCAATTCGGACTGCGTGAAACTTAACATGGCCATTGAGGTAGCCTCAAGTTCGGTATGCGATGAAAAGATAATGCTCAGACGCAATCCTCCCGAGATGCTGCCCAACGAGAACAAGAGCGGGCGGAGAGTGGCTCTCGCGAGTATTCTAAGCTATCAGTATTGTTGGTGATTATCTTCTCTGGCCTGGCCATTGGATCGGGCAGTTTCAACGCAGCCATTATTGGGAATATCGAGCTGCTCATGGCGATGATCGACCCCGACTCGCTGACCGCTGAGGTGGCGTCTCGCCTGTCCAACGCTTTCATGATCGGGATGATCCTCGGTATGCTCGCGTTTGGGTATGTATCTGACAAGCAGGGTCGGAAAAGGGGTGCCGTTCTGACTACCAGGATTGCATTGAGCGCTGGAGCCAGTGGAGTAACGGAGGACGGAATGTTTTGGATGCTGGTCATCGCCCGCGGAATCGCGGGCGTTGGTGCTGGTGGGTAAGTGTGATCTTGTGCAAGAATGTTTTGTCGATTTCTCCTTCCAGGCTGACCATGGTATCCAGCGAGTATCCCGTTGCAGGTGCCGGAGCAGCTGAAGCGACCGACGAAGAGTCGGCCGTTCGGAACAAGCGAGGCTCCATCTTTGCCATGATTGCCGATCTCTCTGCGTCCCTTGGGTTTGCCTTCGGAGCGTTGGTGCCGCTGGTGCTGCTCCTGTGTTTCCATCAACGGGTCAGCAACTACGACAAAGTCTGGCGCGTGGCGCTGGCCATGGGCGCCATCCCCCCGTTGTCGATCCTCTGGTTTCGATACCGGATGACTGTCAGCTCTGTTTATCGTAAAAGTGCCATGAAGAAACGACCAGTAACGTACTGGTTGGCGCTTAGGAGGTATTGGCAGCCACTGCTCGGGGTCTGCAGCTCGTGGTTCACCTACAACTATATCTCGTATCCCTTCGGGCTGTTCTCGTCCACTATCATTGCACGCGTTAACCCGAATTCTTCCCTCGCCCTAAGCATGTCTTGGGGCACTCTATTCAACTGCTTCTACATCCCAGGGGCCATCATTGGTGGCCTCCTCTCGGACCACATAGGGAGACATCGCACCATGGCCCTAGGATTCTTTCTGCAGGGTTTATTCTTGGCGGCGCTCTCCGACATATTGAGCAGCACCTGCCGCTATTTATTGTTCTATGCGGCATATTCCTCACCCTGGGCGCGATCGGTCTGGGGTCTACGATCGTCTTGACTGCCAGTGAAAGCTTTCCCAAGGCTCTGCGTGGCCACGGAGTCGGACGGGCGGCCGCGTGGAGCAAAGCCGGAGCGGCTGTGAGCACGCAGATCTTCAAGCCAATTCTTGCTAACTGGCATGACGACAAGTTCCATGGCAACCAGGCTGTTTTCCTGACCGGACCGGGATCTGCAGTACTGGGGTCTTTGGTACGGTGGTTTGTGCTCGTAGATCCACATAAGGAGCTGGACAATGAAGACCAGGCGTGGAAGGATTATCTCGTCGTGAAAGGATATCATGTCCAATGGGCCGTGGAGGGCCAGAATGGAGATGAATACCGGAATCTAAGATAGTTTCCTTGAGGACATATAAAGTTATGATGGTAGATATCGAATAAATCTCTTTCATGCTTGCTGGGTTTTATCTGTCGAAAAAATACCATCTGTTCCGCTCGAATAAAAGTAGATGTAAGGAAGCGAGAGAGACGTTGTGATGGAGAGTAGAAAGAATAACAACCGACGAAGAAGTCAAGGACCTGCGCTGTCCAGACTGGATGTGAAAAATATATTTTTCGATCTATGTAACACATACGAGTTCCAACCAGTTCCAACCTCAGACCCCCAAGTCGCCCTACTATTAACAATCTCTTTTCTCAACACCTTCTCATCTAATCTACCAACCTACAGATCTATCCGTATACACATCCGATGCTACCACTATCGCAAAACCTCACAGCCAGTCCTTCCCACGGAAAACTGGTAGAACGACAAACACTCAAAGGCCACACCGGCTGGGTCTGGGCCGTTGCCTTTACAGGCGATGGAAAATTTATAGCTTCTGTATCCAACGATACAGCCGTGCGAGTCTGGGATGCTGGTCAGGACGCATACTTAGGATATTCCAGGGTCATGCAGGGTGGATCAGGACTGTGGCGTTTTCTGCGGACAATCGACTAGTGGTGTCCAGCTCTGACAATACAACGGTTCCTTTGTGGGATATCACCACAGGTTTCCTGTATAGGTCATTACGGGGCCACTCCGGCTGCGTTCGGAGTGTGGAATTTTCCCCGACGGCAAGTCAGTAGCATCTGCGTCGGATGATATGACGATCGGATTATGGAATGTTCTCAACGTCGCTGATAGAACTCTCTAGGGCTATTCTGCCTGGGTTAGAGCGGTTACGTTCTCTCCTGATGGAAAGCTGATGGTTCCTGCGTCTGATGACATGACGGTCCTATTGTGGGATTCTGCCACAGGTTGTACATACAAGATCCTCAAAGATCATTCAGGTTATGTTAGGACGGTGGCAGTCTTCCCAGAGTTACTTCAACTGCATCTGCCCCGACGGATATGACCATCCAGCTTTATGATATCACCACAGACTCGGTATACAGGGTCCTTGAGGCCCATTCTGGGTGGGTTAGGGTTGTGACTTTCTCTCCGAATGAGAAACCTATCGTCTCTGCGTCTGATGATAAGATGATTAGACTAAGGGATGTGAATGCGTGATCTACGTGCGGAAAAATTGCCTCTGGATGGATTAAGGAGGCGGCGTTCTTGGATGGTAGGTTAAGGGCTGGCGATGTGGATGATGTTGTTGTTAGGATTTGGAAGATGAGATAGAAATTTATCATGACTTGGATTTAATAATGACCCATGACGATCTACGGATGATAGTACTGAGCTACTGTAGTTCGTAAGCACTTAGAATCTGTTGCGTTTGACTAAGGTGACTGGATAAGGCCTAGTGCTATTAACCTCAGTGAGCACAAAGTTGTGGCATCTAAACATTACAACGTTGGAAGAATGCACCCGAATCCAGGATCTGTGTACCAGAGAGCATAGATCAAAAAACCCAGTCCTTAATGCAAAACTTGCCGTAGCCATAAAAAAAAATTCATAGACCGAAATTTAACGCTCATACGTACAGACATCAATCATGGCAGTGTTGCAATTTTTTCTTTGAACAGATCTTCCGCCTGCTTCCAGACACGAGCGTTCGCCCGGTCTTTCAGCTGCAAGAGACTGGGGAGCAGCGCCTGGCTGAACATCTCAGAGCTTTCGCGGGGAAGAAGAGACGGGAGATGATCAATGCTGATGACGCTCAGAGGAAGGCCTTGAGAGCCTGCCGGTAGGGTGACGGGCACAGTAGGCTTGTCGAAAGTAGTGGTGATATTGTATACGGGGATGGGGTTGTGAGGGTTAGTCCTGCAAGTGCCGGTTAGTGGGGTGCTTTGAGGGATTCTTGGATAGGTGGGCAGGCAAGCCTTACGTGTCAGCGCTCACGTCGCAGATGACGGAAATGCGACGATTGGGCGAGGAGAGTGTTTCCAGGTTAACGAACGGAGGGATCTTAGCCGAAAGGTAGATACAATTGACAAAGATATCAGCATCCTCGACGATCTCTTTGAATGGACCGCCTGTATTATATGTTAGTATGTAGGAAAATTGAATATAAAGGTGGTTCCATACCCTTCTTCGTCTCCTCGAGGTCCCATTGCAAGATGTCGGACTCAGGAATACCGACATCCTTAGCAAGATCCACAGCGCCCTTGCCGCAACGTCCAAGCTGCATAATAATCAGCTATTGTCGTACACCATAAGGGAATATGTACTCACAGCTCCAATCACTAGGACCTTGGGCGATCGGCCAGACTGCTTCTTGCCAGCTTCTAGCGACTGCTTCACGGACTCGATCAACAGATCCTGGTTAGCATATGGGGTCTCCGCAGGTAGGGGCTCTCCCTCGGGGTGAGTCAATTGCCAGGCCCAATTCTTAACGGCCAATGCGGAGCCTGTCATCCATTAGTGTCGGTCATCCAACATGCAGAGCAGAGAGATACACACCTGCATAGCCGGCCGAATAACCAAAGGCTATCAAGCTACACGTTAGCTTTCATATGGTAGACGTAACAAAGAAGCGTCATCATACCAGCTACTCTTCGTCCAACTTCATCTGTGAGGAATTCCAGGTCCAAAAGAGTACCCCCTCCGCGGGGCCACCGGCTGAGTACCTTTTCCCAACCACCCTGCTGCTTGTAACAGTGCGCAAAGGAAATATGGACATGCTCCAGAGGGAAGTCGTCTTCGGGCAGTTCCTTAAGACCAAGAATATAGGCATCCTTTGGTGCATCCTTCACCCATGAACCTTCCTCGACGAGGGTAGCTCCGACCTGTATCACGACACAATAAGTTTCCGTAAGCTAGAGTGTCAATAAACGGACAGGCTAACCTTGGCGAATTCCTCATCTACAACAGAGCACAATTGTAAGCAATTGACCAACACAGACCAAAATGAGAAATGAACTTGAGCCTACCATCAAAGATACGTTGGGTAGAGCGCTCTACCGTCAACTTGTAACCAGCGTCAATGAGCGCCTTGGTAGTAGATGGTGTCACTAGGGACAAAATAAAGTCAATACAATCATAGTTCGCGACATCCTCATGCGGACATAACAAGCCATTGAGCTACAATGACCGCCGGTGGGCATGACTCGTACTCACGGGCAGACCGCGCCTCAGCAGGCTTTGTCTCTGCGCGAAGCCAGATATGGGAAGACATGGTTGCTCAACGAGATCCAACGACAGCTGCAGTTCTAAGAAAACAATCTATACGATACTTTATCAGACTGACAATAATGGCGATGCAGTTAAATAAGGTCCCTCTATGACACACACTTGCCGCTCTGGTGATAGTGGGGACGAACAAGCAGTTGATCCGTTCCGGGGGTCATGACTCAGCGTCGTGCCGGCCGATGTCGGCACGAATCGAGTTACGAGAACTAGTGCAAGGTACTAAGGAGCTGTCCTTCAACAGGATCCAGGAAATTGAAGATCAATAGTTTCTCATAAGTTATTTTAAGTGAGGATGCATCTCGCAGTGTCCACACGAATAGTAGAATTCGCCCCCAGTTCCTCATACATGACAATAGGACGCAAACAGTCATATTTCATCCTCCAGGAGGCTGAACCATTGCTTCAAGATGCAGTCTTGGTTCGACTACGTGTCCGGCTGCCGATACCATCCGTAGGGATAGTTTTCTTCACGGTATCCTTCACCTTCTTGGAATGGCTTTTTTTCTTCTCTCCGTTTGGCACAGTACCATTTTCAGTCGCAGTGTTGGTATCGGGCTTTTGCTTTTTAGCGGCAGGTGCAACAGACGGTTCAGTCGAAGCCACCGTAGTAGCCTTGCCGGGGTCCGTAGGGGTGGAGATCGACTCATGTTCGCGTTTATTGCCAGTAGTTGGTTGCTCGGCTTTGTTCTCCCCGGTAGGCTCCTGGGCGTCAGCACTCGCCGGGGCAGAGATTTGCTCGCCCGATCTGGTCTCCTCGGCGGGGTTGACGGTTTTGACATGTTTACATTCTTCGGTGGCTTTGTTCAGGTCATGGCCTGTCTCATCAAGTTTGGTTGGGTGGTTGTTACCATTGACTTGCGTAGTGATGTCAACTCCGTTGGTACCGGCGTCCTCTAGATAAACAAGGTTAGTCTTAGTGTACAAATAGCCAGGCAAGAAGTTGCATAGAGTCCCGGACCACGGGCACATTACGACTAGACATACGCTGAGCTGTAGCTGCGGTAAAGATGCCAATCGATTCTGAAGCCATGATGGGAACGCCGGCCGATGTTTATATGTGCCTAGAATGGATCGAGCTCAAGAGAAAAAAGGATCGCCTGTAAAAAGCGACCGTAATATGATTAAATTCGATGCCTACTATCGCTAGGGTTGGCTGGGAGAGGGAGAGATGGATGGTGAGGGATGAGAGATGAGGTTGCGCTGTGACGTTGACTAAGGTCATTGCAGGACGCTAACCCGTTTCACGCGCAACTCAATCTTGGGTTTGCTGGAGAGGAGACGGCAAATGAGCGACTAGAATGATATAAACTAGGCAATCCTCCGAAGCTCAGCTCGCGAGGTACTGTACATAAGCCTTTCCCCTGCACCGGCCGTTCGGAGGTATGTAAGCAAGCATGCCAAGGAGGGGAGAATCGCGCCATGTGTGTGGCTGGCTGGGTGGAGCAGAGTGCGGAGCAGAGTGGGCTGGCGTGATCGTGAGACAATTAATGGCTGGTCCATCATTCGCAGATCAGGCGGACGAATCCGTCCCGGTTTCCAATCTCCTTGGCCATCTAAATCCATGACATTGACGCACCGTAGGAAAGAAACAAACGAGAGACAGGCTCGGAGCCTATTTTAGGTAGTTTTTCTTGGGGGAGCCTGCGCTGGTCACGTGAACGCCAGGTCGAGACGGGCAAGCATGTCCTCTTCCTCCGCCGACACAATATGACGTGCCATCTCCTGGCCCGGTCTTCCGGGCAACTGTTGCTGCATGAAGCGTGCTAGGTAGGATGCTTCACGTGATCTCTGCTGGTCCAACAAGATACGAAGTGCGTCAAAACCTGGCCGCATGAAGCGTTCTCGTGTCGTGTCGGTCCATGTGTCAAGTCGGTCGGGAGGTAGCGTCTCCACGAATTGGAGCAATGGAGTAGGGTCGGGATATGTAGGGTGGTAAAGAGATATCGTGGCCAACAATAATGAAGTAGGTGACAGCGTAGAAAGAACACCGATAAAATCCTCGTATACAGTTGCTGGCATGTTTCCGGTACTCATTTGCCCGTCCTGGACTATAGATTGACCTAGATGGGTACCCGCAGGGAGGAGCATCGATTTGACTGATTGACCCAAGACCTCTTCTTTCGCAGGCAGATGTGGTTTACAAGCCTGTAGATAAAATCGCAAAGCGCTGCTTACCCCCCCACCGTACTGAATCTCCGCGACGACCAGGTCAAGCAAAAGGTTGCTGAACAGTTGATGTGCAACGGCATCCGGTATTCGACCGTTCTGGCCCTCTCCTAATTCTTTCTTTGACACGATTCTCAGCCAGAGCATAACGGTATCTTGTAGTCCTTCGGCCACCATAAACTTCATCAGAGAAGACGTCGATGCCCGGGATTTGAACAGCATTTTCCTGGCCGCCGAATCAGATGAAAACCACCAGGTAACCACCTTCGAACCCGCCCGGGACTCCTTCATAGCCTGGATAAACCCATTGCCTGTGTGACGGCTTGCCAGCAACAATTGTGATTTTAGGCAGCTGCGAAGGCCGCCCACTGTGACCGAACCAGATGCAACCAGCTCATCAAATACTACCATAGGCTCCCTTGCTAGCCTCTGTTGCTCAACGTTGCTCATCCCCGACTGTCCGCGATTTGCGACTGATTTGGCGGGGACTACACGGAAGAGCGGGTTGTCCAGAATGGCCCGCAGATGACTATCAGTGGCATGCACGGATGAGTTGGGGTTCACCGGCGGACGATCGCCGTTGTCATCCCGATCTAATGAATGGGAAGGGGGATGTTCATGATCCAACTGGCGACGGAAGGAGGATGTAAGGGCGTTCAGGAGTTGTTGAGACTCGCGGGGGGTCCGAGGAAGAGGGGGATGGATTTTTGACCATGGTGCGAAGCTGAAGATCGACGTGCCCTTCATAGCGGTGAATGGGTGAGATCAATCAACCCAACAGGGGAACAAGAAAGTCAAATGCGTGGTTCAACACTAGGAGATAATGAATGGGATGAATCTATTGACGATAATTGATGCTCCCTGCTTCGTTGTATGGCTGATTAGGTTCTGCCCGTAGGCGGTGAATAGAAGCTTAGTCACTTCTCAAGAAGTTAGTTTAACTAGATACAGTAGAATGATAGACTACTCCGTACTAAAAAGGGAGAGGAAGGGAGAGCGTTGAATAATCATTGTCGCTGTTCGCCAACAGCCCAGTTCGTGATGATCTATCTATCATTCATCTCCTGTCGATGACGAATGATCCTCGCTAAATGATGCCTGAATATGACAGAGTACAGAGCCTTGTACTGCCCGTTGCCAATCAGGCGGAAAAGCTGAACGCGCTAGACCCTTCTGGGTTAGTAGATGTTGCCTCCTTGAACAGTATTTTACCCATCAGAAACGACAGGCAAAAAAGCAGCTTCTGTTGGTCGGATTGTTCTTTATTCTTTGTTCTGATCTCTTTTTTTGTTTTTCCCTTTTATAGTAGTTACTAAGTTTTTGTTTTCGTCATACAACCATAATCTCGCGGCTCTATCTGCAGTAGTCCTCTTGTCGTTTCCTCGTTCCGAATCGGGCGTTGTGTGCGGTTTCTCTTGCTGACTCCGATTTCCAAATTTTCAATTCTTTCCCGTCCCTTCCCTTACACTTACCTTACCATACAAGTCACCTGTCTCCCTCTCACACCCAAACCTCTACCAACGAACCAACTAAACCTCGTTTTACCCGCTTTTTCTTCCCACTAGCCACACCTTGTTTTCTCCCTTCGTCCTCCTTCCTTTCTTTCCTTCTTCCTTCTCTCTCCTCCTTTCTCCTGGGAGATCATACACAAATTACATCAGAACGATATGTCGGAAGTTCAATCGAGGCCCGCTGCCTCTCGTGGCAGGGCATCTGGTCGCGGTGGTCGCGGCGGCTATAGCTCCAGAGGTGGCCGAGGTGGCAGCAACAGATCTGCAAAGGCAGACAACTCAGAGGATGCGTCGTCTACGTTCGATGATGAAGGCGAAATCGGTCAGATGAAGAAGAAGTATGCTGGCACTTTGCCCATGTTGAATGAGCTATTCCCCGACTGGACGGATGAAGATCTTGTGTTCGCTTTAGAGGATGCAGATGGCGACCTTGAGGCTGCAATTGATCGCATAACTGAAGGTGCGACCCCCTACTGTCCATTCTTCTTTCTGACGACCCTCGCCTCTCTATTTAGATTTGGCTGACATTGACTTTCCCCCGTCCCACCAGGCAACGTCTCTCAGTGGGGTGAGGTAAAGAAGAAGACCACAGATCGGAGCCGCCCCAAACCCAAGGAGGTACAGAGCACCCCGACCGAGACAACCCCCGTCTCTGTTCGAGGAGGTCGTGGCCGTGGCGGATTCGAAGGCCGTGGCCGCGCCCGTGGAGATCGTGGCCGTGGCGGTCGCGGTGGTCGTGCAGGTGCTCATACCAATGGAAGCCGGTCAGAGAAGCCAGCTGTTACTACCTTTTCTACCACGGAGATGACCTCCACAGCCGTTACCGAGAGCCTAAAGATTGAGAAGACAGCCGATTCTGAACTCACAGCAGTGGAATCAATTGATGCTTCAAAGGAGGACACTGCAAAGACCAGTGTGATCCCCGAAGGCACCAAGAAAGGCTGGGCTAGTTTATTCGCCAAACCCACTCCTCCTCCTACCGCTACGACCGCTGCTACTCCTCAGAAGAAACCTGCTGCATCAGCCCCTGCTCCCGCTCCCGCTCCTATCGCTGCCCCCGAAAAGCCTGCTGCTGCTGAGCCAGCCGCGGAGCAAAAAGCACCCGAACCCGCTCCCATTCCTGCTCCCGTCTCTGCACCGGTCCCTGTGCCCGTCGAAAAGGCGCCCGAGCCGGTTATCCCCAAGCAACCTGAACTACCGGTCGCAGCCCCTCGTGTTCCCGAAATTACACCCGCCAAGGATGATTTGACCAGGACGAACCTCGCGCAGATCCCAGACGTCTCTCCTCCGGCCCCCACGGCGACTGCAGCTAGCACCGTTGGCAGTACCCTTCATGCGAACAGCATTGCGGTGACGGGAACTCCCGTTCGTGCCGCACCCGGCACCTACCCAGCAAGCGCGTTGAGACAGAGCGTTCGCGGCCCAGGTGCCCAACGTCGCGTGATGGAACAGCAAGAAGCAGTGGTTATGCCTGGAAACCATGCCGTGGACCGGGCAGCAGTCCAGTTTGGTAGCATGGGATTGAACGGTGATTCTGCCGACGTCGACATTGACGAGAACCGCGAAGACGCTGAAACTCGTGCTCAACCCCCTCAACACTCCCCCGTGGCCCCTCGTGCCTCCTTGCCTCCTTCTACCCAGCCCCAGGGATCGACCGGCAGCCCAGCTGTCTCTCGTCCCGCCCCTGGTCTTCCCCCCGTTCCTCAGGTCTCCGCGGCCGAATCCTCTTTCACCGATTTCTCCCGCTACACCGACGCCCACAAGCCCTACGATCCCTTCAGCCAGCAGGTCTCGCAGCCTCAGCCTCAAGTCCAGGAACCATTCGCCAACCAGGCTCCTGTGCAGCCCACCGCCACGACGAGCAGCGAGTATTCACCTTTCTACGCCGTCGACCATCGCCTTCCCTACAACTACTACGGCTCCTACGGCCAGTCCCAGGATGCCACCGTTGCCCAGAGAGCGGCTGCTGGCTTTGGTGTCTCGGGCGCCGAGGTGCAGCAACCGCACATCCCCACCACTCAGCCACCCAGCCGGTATGGCCACGTGGATGCTCCCAACAGCGGACATACTACGCCTAATCCTACTCTTCCTGGCGCTACTCAGACCCCGACTGCAGCTCACATGCCAGGCCACGCGGCTTATGGATATGGGTATCCGTACTTCTCCAATCCCCACTATGCAACGTACGTGAGCCAGATGAACCAGTATGGCAGGAACCGTCCGATGTATGACGATGCTCGCCGCTATGACGATCATTACATGCCTCACAATGCCCAGTATGGATATGGCAGCCAGTATGGTCCGTATGGCAAGACTGGCATGTACGGACAGCCCCACGGCTTCTCCTATGACCACTCCTCGTCGCCTGCCGCTGCTGCTGGCACCTTCAACCAAGCCGTGCCAGGCCGCGACTCGGTTTACGGCCGTACGGGATCTGCCCAGCCATCGGAGACCCAGCAGACTGCGGCCGCTGGTGCGAATGCATTCGGCTCGGGGATGCCGGACGTTTTTGGACGATCCCAGGCGGGGTTTGGCCAGAGCCAGCCCATCTCCCAGCAACCTCCAGTGACGACGGAAGAACCGAAGAGTTTCGACACTCCCAAGGCGGGCGGCCCCAGCCCTTCATTGGCTCAGGCTAACCGCCCTGGCTCGGCAACCAGCAACGTTCCCGGCCAATCCCAAGCTCAGACCGGCCTTCCTCCCCTGCAGGGCCAGCAGGGCCAGCAGGGCTTCGGCGGATACCCTCACCTGAACCCTCAGTATGGGGGTGGCTTGGGTGGACTGAGCGGCCATCAAGCCGCCGCTTCCCAAAGCCACCAGCAGGCGACCGGGTACGGTAACTATGGAGGCGCTGGCTTCGCGAACTACTACGGCAACAGCGGACGGGGTGGCTGGGGGGGCAATTACGGCCACTAAAGGGCCCTAGACTTGCGCTAGTGTTTTCTTTTCTTTTGTCTCCTTTTCTTTTTGTTTGCTGGGGGATGGAATGCGGCTTTCTCTTGCTCACGGCCGGTGTGCCTGGATGGAAAACCAGTTTATATTTGTTCTGTTGCTCTTCTTTCTGCACTTTCAAAATTACTTTTTTTTCCCTTCTCCTTTACGCTCTCGTCATCCGTGGCCATTCTTATTCCGTCACGTTGAAATGTGTAATCTCTACTCTCAAGGGGAGCTTGGCTGGTTTTTTGTTGGACTTGTTTTCTCCGCCGGATCGCGTTTCCCTTGTATTGAAGCCCCAAAAAAATGGTAGTGTGTTGTTCTTTTTTTTTTTTTTTTTTTGTTTTTTTTTTTGTGGTTTACTGTGTGTATGGGTTTATGACATGGATGAATGGGTCTTGTTTGTCGGTCCATGATTTCCTTGATTGACGTTGTTCCAAACCATCTCCTTGCGGAGATGCAGTTCTCTGCGTTGCATAACTTTCGATTCTTCCTGTACTACAACAACATATGACGAGTCAGTTGGGATTTCATCTATGCAATTTGACTGGATTGGCGGGCATAAGAATGCAGAGAATTCAACTTGGTGCAGTATGGAATCTGCATACGTAGATACATGTAGGACCACATTATTGCCTCTTAGATTCTTGGTCAATCTACGAACTTAACCGAGGAAATTACAAGGAGATTGATTATAATGATGGCACTTGCCACTTGATGTTAAATAGGTACCCCTCGTAGGTCATTCGTACGGCTAATACTTCCGAAATCCACTCTTTCTATAACAAGCATCACATACAGTAGCATCGGTCATATAACCAGATACGTATATCTTGAGTAAAAAATAGATAAGATAGCGATGAATAGGTCTCGGAATATATACTCGTGTTTTTAATGGTGGTTCGGACCGTGTTCAAGGAATAAGTAATACTGTATTTACCGGGATTGATTTCCAGTATAACAAATCTAAGTATAGTGATGGAAACGACATTGTTTATTATTATTTGCTCATGTTCTTGTTGACGTGGTAGTGATGGATACTACGTCAGTCATATCGATGCTGTCCTGTCTGGTGATGGATTCATCCTGTTCGCGTTGGTTGGGAAGACTTGTTGGCCAGGGGAGGATCTGTCTGTCTTGGAGTATTAGGCCAAAAGAGTAGAAAGATGGAAAGAAGGAACACTTCAGGATAATATGTAGAGTAAGGAGTGATATGAACGTAGTAGTAGTAGTAGTAGTAGTAGTAGTAGTAGTAGTAGTAGTAGTAGTTAATAGGCAATCCTGTCAAGAAGAAGAAGAATAATAGATATATAGTAAATAAATAAAAGAGTAAAAAGCCCACCAGCCCGTTAAGCTCTCTATGTCTAACCAACTTTTCCTTAGCACTGTAGGGGCCCAACTGGAAGAATAGACTTTTCCCAGGCTGGATACGAAAACCGTCCGGACGGTTTTACTAGGGAATCTGCTGGGATTCGAGCCCTGAACTTATCAGGGATGAGCGGTATCACTCACACTGCAAGCCCTGCGTCATCAGACACTGGGTTAACACTGGCAGTATTAATTTTGACCTGAGTGGTAACGGTGCTGTGGGAGCGCGATTAGGAATGGTGCTGGGCTCTGATGTCAATGGCCGATTTGGTCAGGGTATACATACAAAGTAGCGAGATTATTCTGGTTGTAGCATGTAGATGGAAGATACTGAGCTGGTGGGAGTTATCATTGTGTACTCTGTAGTTCTTGAAGGACATAATAGATGTAGTAGTATACAAAGTACTACTATCCAAGTGGGTCTGCATACCCGCAGCTAAGAGTAAGCCAAGTCTCCACATCGACCTGGTTCCATGCCAAGTACTGTATGTACTGCATTGCTGCCTGCATGGTATACAACAGAAGACCCTATCCCTAATCAGTTCCGTCCAAACGGGGACTTCTATGCTATTCATACTCACATCTGCATTGCGCTACAGTCAGCTCTCGAATCCACTCCTTGTATTATGTAATATTTAGGAGACAGGAGAAACGGTCACAGAGCTCCTTTCATGATCCCCGTTGAACTGTATATATATAATGGCACTTTATCTTCCCCTCTTTCATTTTTCTTATTCGGGTTTCTTTTTTTATCCTTGATCCCCTTATTTCCTGGGTTTCCTTTTGTTTCTAGATGCATCTGACAAATGATCCCTGGAGTGAAAAATAGTAACAGATCTCCCACTATTGATTTAGATCGCTATAGTTCGCATCGGTTTCAAACTCACCCGAGAATCATCGAGAATCCGTCCTAGTGGAGATCCCCATGACGCGTTCGGCCCCTGACCGGCCCGTCTCCTACGTGTCGAGCGGTCAATCAACTTCTCAGTTGATAGGATCATCGGCATAAAATTCAATTCGGTGACACTGCCATACTCTATATACAGGAATCAAAAATATTTAAGGACAAACGAAATGGAAAGATCCATATTTCCATCCCAGGAGAACCTCCTCTATATTCGCAGCAGATCTCACTGCAGGAGTCTGTCTACCCCTCTACCAAAAATATGCCACATGGATTAGTCAACCTATATAAATGCTTTTTCTGGAGACGCTCGGGAAGAAGGTCCCCATTATTCTATTCGGTCAACCCTAGTCCTTCCGGGCCGACACTGTGGTATGGCGATTGAGCACCGATGGCCTTCTCGGGGTGGAAGCGCCACACGCCACCCGTCTTGTCGCTTTCCAGGGACGTCAGGCCGATCGCCTGCGCGAGAGACTGGAACCGATCACTGTCCTCTCCCTCGTCGATGCGTCGGAAGAACCGCCGTTCCCATTCGCGGCCTTCGGCCTTTTCGACCTTGCGAAGCTCCCGCTGAGCGTTTTCGATTCGACCCTTGGCCACGGAAACGGCATCCATGTCACCCCGTTCGATGGCCACGGCCACGTCACGCCATGCACGTCGGCTCTCATAGAGGTCTTGGCTCTCCAGCGTGGCCAGCTGCAGGGGAGTGGTCTTCGAGTCCTCCACCACGTATTTGTCGATCTCTTCCTTGGTGCGGGCGTTTTTGATCGTAAACTTACTCGACCACTGTCCGTCGGCGGTGTACAGGGGATATTTCTCCCCCTCGCTTTCCTTGAAGAGGATCGCAGTGAAGGTGTTCTTCTTCCCGCTGAGCCAGCCTTTGCCGGAATAGTCGATTTTGGCCACGTAGCCCGTACTGCTCACAATCCGTGTCGACCTCTCGAGTTCAACAAAAGGCGTGCCGTAGATTAATGATTCAATGTGCAGGTGAGGGAGGGTAATCAGGTATTGTTCTTGCTGGTCGGGATCGTTCTTGTCTGCAGAAGGAGGGGTGATAGTCAACAGCGCGTGTCCGATCTGTTTGATCTGGATGGTACTGGAAAACGACGCCTTCTGGGCATTGTATCCTTGTAGCTACGACAACAGTTAGAAATAGATCCGCCGGCGATCCATCACCCGATGGGTCAATGCTCACCTCCACTCCATGTTTCTCATTCCGGATTGCGTAGGCCGTGGCAGGGGGGTGATGGCTGCATTCCGGTCAATCGAAATGTGATCTGTCCCCCCAGGATGGGCCCCGACTCACCTGACTTGTTCACTGATCAGGGAGGTCTCTCCCACGTGGGCGTCGCCATCCCATTTACCGATAAAGAGCTCTCCCAGAAAGGGATTCAAGGGTTTCTTCTCACTGCCCAGTTTCTCGCTGCGGCTGCAATACTGCTGGTGGAGAGTGCTGAGAAACCACTTCAACACCGCCAGCGCTCTCTTCTCCGGGTCAGGTTCTTGGGCTGGGGCTACGAAGAGCTTGGGATGTTCGGCCCAGTAGGCCGAATATTCCACCAGAGAGGTGGAGGATAGAATGAATGGTGGAGCGGTCAAGGAGGATAGGTCGCCGTTGAAAGAAGCGATGGACTAGGGCATGCACCGAGAATTTGTTAGAGCTGGCATTACCTCTCACTAACAGCGGTCAATGGCGTCGTTGCAGCTTACCTTGAGGAAGCTTGACCAAGAGCCTCTGCTGTTGGCGGGGATTTGAGATTGTGGATCCTTGCTGGAACTCATTTTGTGCCGTGATAAGATAAATTACAGGTGTCCAGTAGGTGAAATTCTGGGATGCTGCCTACTAGGGCTGGAATTTTTTGTGGTGGGTAGTTTAGAAGGTGTAGGCCCAATAATGATAAGCGTCCCGAAAAGAAAGGGGAAGGAATTGGACGTGCCGAAGTGAGGAGGTGAGAGGAGCAAAAGAGGCGAGTGAAACGGAGATGAGAGAGAGAGGAGGGAAAAGGGCGGTGCGGCCGACGTCATGGCCCCGCGACCCCCTTGGATGTACCCTCGACTTAGCTCTCTCTCGCAGGACGCACGACCGCGAAGTCTTGGGTACAAGATGTTCGACCTCAGGCATCTTCTCAGGTGACTTGAGATGAAACATCTTTGTTCACTCTTGTTCTTTTCTTCCTCTCTCTTTCCAGCTGTCTCTCTTATCATCACTCGGTCGGAATTGTCCCCGTTCACAATGTTGGCTCTATCCCATAGAGTTCTAGATCCAGAGAACAGCCTGACAAGAGAATACCATTCTTCTTGAGTACTATCCCTACCAGTTGAATTCATGTACAGCTCTATCATTTCTATCATGCCGTCACTATCCAAGGTAGATTCTCTACAACATTCCTCAGTCCGCGGAATGGGCTAAAAAAAGAGAAAGAAATCCACCTCGAATGAAAACGAAAATCGGAAAATCGAAACGTAGAAATGCTACGTGGAACGCGCAAATCAGAGAGAAAAGACGGACAAAATAGAATAAGAATAAGAATTCTTAATCATAAATAATAAAACCATTGGTAACGGTCTACGCGCAAACTGTCACAAGGTCCTCCTTACATAGTGGACTGCCTTTTTGGCCAGCATATGGGATCGATCAGGACGGTAACGATGATCTATGGGTCCTCCAGGCATACAAATATTCCTCTCCCTGCAGGGCAGGAATGATCAACGCAGAATTTGAAACCAAACTCCTCTGTATGTGCGAGTCGTCATGAAGATCATGGCATACTCTCGAAGCTCTTCGGTTCTGCCGTCTGGCTCCACCTCGTCCCTAACCAAGAATTGTTTCGTCTTCCGTTACACCATAGGATGATGTGATCTCCCAAGGTTCAGCCCTTTGGCAGTCTCTGCCGAGCTCGCCGTTGGTCATCAGGGGTCCAGTTGCTTGGCCATGTCGATCATGTTCCCACTGCTCAACCAAGCTATAGGCTTCGGTTCCTCTCCCGAGCTTATAGTTGCCAAGGGCGTGTCCACCGTTCGAGTCGATTATTGGCTCCATGGGTATCCTGACGAAAATCCAGACCAGATACATAGTTGAGAAAATACTTCACAGGCTTCCAATTCGGGTGTTGTGGGCTTTGGACGCGCCAACCAGGTTGACCCTCAGTCCACCTCGTGCAGATGATGTGATGATAGATGTGGATATAGTTACTGGAAGAGTGGACTATGCTACGCAACGCGCAATGCAGGCCGCCAGGGCCAGCTCTCCTTTCGTGGGTCAGTCCATTTACTTAAGATGCGTGTGCATGATTTTGTAATATTGTGTTGCATGTCCAAACCAGACTCTACTCGTCTCTATCTCCCTTTATTTTTATATCCTCGTCATTCGTTTCGCTACATGTGCTCTGTACTAGCAGTTCACCCGTTCTTTTACTCCGATTGTCCGACTGGACGATATCGTTCGTGGGCCTTTTTTTCGTCCATTCGTTTCGTTATTGGCCCTGTCGTTTGAGCAACATAAATAGCATTTTCTCCGGAGAGCGAACCAATCCATTCTTTCCCAGTAGAGGACATATGAGCTGGACATTGACATGAGCCATGTTGCAATCTCCTTCTACCCACGATCTAGAGAAGTTTCCCATGTCAGGATGCTCCTCTCTCAACTCATTAGCCACCCATGTTGCTTCAGAACAATGTCAGGGCTCTCCCCCTGGGTCATCCTGTACCCTCGTTCCTATCCAGAGCCAAGTTTCTGGTCATGAGGTGCCCCCTACAGACGACCACTATGAGGAGGCTGATGCCAAACAATACGACCAGTTTTCCCCTGCACGCAAGATTGTCATTCTTTGTATCCTCTCGTATGGTACTTTTCTCGCCCCTATCTCGTCCACCGCCATGATGGCTGCGGTGCCGGAAATGGCATCGACCTACCAGACGACGCCCGAAATCATCAACGCGAGTACTGCCCTCTACCTCGTATTCATGGGCATCTCGGCTCTTTTCTGGGGCCCTCTCAGCCAGATCTGTGGTCGTCGTCCGGTACGTATCGCTAAACCGGTGGTATTCTTGATATGTTCCTCTGACGGCCAAGTGCCACATTCCAGGCTCTGATAGCCAGCAGTGTTCTCTTCTTTGCTTTCACCATTGGTACCACCCTTGCTCCGAATCTTCCCGCCTACTTCATATTCCGTATCGTTACTGCATTCCAAGGAATGGCTTTCCTGGTCGTTGGCAGCTCAGCCGTGGGAGACATCTACGAACCTCGAACACGGGCCACAGCCCTCGGATGGGTTGTCTCAGGGAGTTTGATCGGGCCAGCCCTAGGTCCTTTCCTGGGGGTATTCCTCTCCCCTCGCCTCCTATCCTGATATGGTATCTAACCCTCATCCCAGGGAGTTATTGTCACCTACCGACCATGGCGGACGATCTTCTGGCTTATCTCTGCAATGAGTGGATTTGCCGCCCTTATCATCATTGTCTTCCTCCCGGAGACGATCCCCTCCAAGGCCAATCGTGACTTCACAAGACAGAGCATTCCACGACAGGCCAAGCTCCTCTGCTGCCGAATATCCCCCCTGCGCGTCTTCACCCTGATCTTCAGATATCCGAACCTCTTCTGGACCGGGCTCGCTGGCGGTGCCCTCGTCTGGAACCAATACGCCCTTCTCACCCCCATCCGACCGGTTCTTAATCCACGATTTCACCTGACGAGCCCCATCCAAGCCGGCCTGTTCTACCTTGCCCCCAGCGCCGGCTTCCTGGCCGGCTCGTTCGTCGGCGGCCGATGGGCCGACTACATCGTTCGCAAATACATTACCCGACGCAAGGGCGTACGCATCCCCGAGGACCGTCTCCGCTCGTGTCTCCCCTACATCTGCATCTTCGCTCCATGCTCCGTGCTCGTCTACGGCTGGACTCTGGACCAAGCCGTCGGCGGCATCCCGGTTCCCGTCATCGCCATGTTCCTACAGGGAGTATTCCAACTCATGTGTCTCCCCAGTCTTAACACCTACTGTCTGGACGTGATGCATTTCAAGGGTCGCAGCGCGGAGGTCATTGCCGGGAGTTATACCATTCGATACTTCTTTGCTGCCCTGGGTACCGGGGTCTCCCTCCCCGCGATCCAGACACTGGGCGTCGGATGGTTCAACACTATCTCTGCTCTTTTCTTACTGCTCTCCGGCGTGATGGTCTGGGTCACCGCTGTGTTTGGGCCCCGGTGGCGAGAATCCGTTGATCATAAATATGAAGAGAAAGCGGCGAGACGGAAAGGTCTTGCTTGATTTCTTTTTTATATTTATGTATATCTCGCTCGCTCGATCGATCAATTCATTTTTGTTGGACATATTTACTACCACTATATCTGTCTGTCTGTATATAATGTCTATAGACTATGAGGTATCTAAGATAGACGTATGTCTTGGAAGAAAAAAGAAAGAATACGGAACTATTCCTGGGGATAAAAACAAGGCTGAAAGGGGGACAAAATACAATCCAAAAATGGCTTCCACCTATCAAAATTGATACTTTAATGAATAATAACATTGAGTTCTATCTCCCGGCCTTCCAAAATGCGCATCTACGTGCATTTTCTGCGTGTAGTCAATAAAGTGATATCCCAAGATGTAGTGTTTTAAAACACCCAAGGGCCATACGTTCAACGGTTTCTCCGTGCATATATATCTAATACGTAGTCCCCCCTATCGATAGGATATTCCATCAATCCCTCCATTTACGCCGGAGTCATTTGACTGCTCTCCGACTGTCGTATAAAATCCATTCTTACCCACGTCCAGGCTAGATTCATCCGAGAGCCTAGTCGTGGTGCGCGCTAATGCGAACCGGCGGCCATCCTCGCGGCCCTTTTCCACATCCACAAAGGCAACTGCTATCATGGCAGCCACGCAAATGGAAAAGAGAAAGGGAAATCCCATCCAATTATTTTGGGTGCTGTTGATGATGGCTTGGATGACGTTGGGTCCGATGATGGAGGACTATAAAGAACTGGTGAGTTGGGATGGGCTGATCCACTGCTCGGGAGAGAGAATACGCACAGCCCGATTAGTGATACCGAAAAGCGCAAAGAACATGTTGTCGTAGCCTAGGGGCATGAGTTCGCTGACCATAGTTTGCGCGTACTGAGGGCTCGACGGGTTAGAAAAGGGCTACAGGAGACTTGCAATCTGACACACCGCATAATAGGGCGCTTGGAACAACCCGAAGACCACGTTGTAGAAATAGAACTCCCACTGTAGCCAAAGTCAATAGAAGCTCAGGAAACTCCCCAGTGTCGGACACTTGCCCGATTGTGATAGCCGATCCGCTGCGTCCATAACCCAACCATCCCCCATAATGGGATCAACACACTGAAGAGGTTGGTGACAAGGAACATTCGCTTAGTGCGGATCTTGAAGTGATTCTGGATATACCAGAATCCAAAGGTCGATGCGATCGAACATGCGGACTGAGTGATCCCGAGGTACGTGATTTGTAGGAATGAAAACGACACATGATTGTTCTGGATGATGGATACCAGCGTCCCTAGGGAAGGGCTCTGTAAGTCTCCGTGGCAGCCACAACAGCACGGTTTCAATTTACCTGTGGTGTTCAGCCCATCCGCCAGAAGGAAGTAGGCAACGAAGTACAGAAAGGTCTGCGGCAGAGATCGAACTTCTCGAAGCGCCAGCCATAGCTGTTTAAATCCAATGGTAGCATAATTCGATCCTTTGGGTACTTTGGGCCCTGGCCGCCTCTGCTGGAAAATGAACCACCAGATCCCCAGGATAACCCAGTCTGTCATGGCTCTAGTTAGAACGATCATCGTATCCCGCGTGTCCAGCATACGTACACGAGTTCGTCAGACACAATGCAAGATTGTTAGAGTAGTTGGTGTGTTGGAGCGGTAGTAACACGCTCAGGTTTATCAACAAGGTCATAAGGTAGCCAATATTACTATGCGCAGTGGAGATATTGCTGGGAGCAGTTACTACCGAGGTTTTGAAAAAGAAGAAACGTCAGAGAAGGGGTACCTGATATGGTTTCTTTCCAGCGACTCGATAGCATCATACTCCTCCTGGTTAATTTCGCCGTTCTTCAAATCCTCGCGGGCTTTCTGGACGTGCGGCATGTAGCGAGCAAGTCTTGGGAAGACCGCTGCGTAGAATACTAGTGTTGCGCCGTATGCTACGTATGCAGTCACATACATTCCCATGGCAGCCGGCCATTGAGTCGGACGCTTGATGGCCATCATGCCGTACTGCAAGCACCAGCAGATCACGGTCAAGACCAGGAGCAGCCAGCGGCCAAACGAGCCATAATCCGCAGCACTTCCAAACCAGACAAAGATCACCGTCATAAAGGCGAAGCAGAGACCATTGGCGATCAGGACGACGGAGGAAACGGACCGAGTCCCTCCTGCCCAGGGAACCACACAGGGAGACGAGTTGCTACAAGGCTTGCGAGGATTGGTTCCGGGCTGCCATCCGGCGCCATTTAGTGCCCATTGGAAACTGTCCAACGACGGTGTCAATCAGGCATAATAAGATCACATCGTGAATGTATTGACCGTACTTACAGTGCCTGCGTATAGGATCCCGGTCCAACTCCATTGTCGCCTAGACGCAAGCGGACATCCCCGGTCAATAAGGGCCTACAAAAGCCTCTCTAGCATTGACACTCACCATTATAATACAGATAGTAAGACCATAACTCTCTGCGAACAGTTGTCGGCTGTTCAGACGACTCTTCTGCCCTGAACAGACGCTCGAAGTCGGCCTGGACGGAGTGGCAGGGTTGTTCCTGCTGCATTTTCCCTTGGACTGCAACAAACTCTCGAGCACACGGATCAATGGCATTGCTCTCTTCATTGATCGGCCCGTTGGGAAGGACTGGCATTTCAGATTCTAGATTCCGGTGATCGTTCGACATGGTGAGGCATTGAATTGCGAGTTTCTCGCTCTACCCGGTGTTGCAACTAGGGATAACGTCGTTCAAAGATACATCACTAATCTACAGGGGTGAAGTAAATCCCTGGAAACCGTCTCGACTGGCGTTAGGGGAGGGTGGAAGAGCAGTAGCAAGGACGCAATCCTTCGCGATTGGGAGTCAGCAGGAAGCGGACAATTACCCCGCATTGCTGAGACTGATCGGAATATTCCTCAGACGCCCCTTCCTTGAGACGAGGTGACCTTCTGGCGGGAGAGGAGCGCTGAAGCAGATTGAATGAGTCTCTGCAGGAAGGAAGTAGGGCTGGGCTGGTCACTGACTTGGTTTCGTCATCGCGTCTCCGCTTCCCCACACACTCTGCATATACAGTTCTTTCGCGCCATTTCCATCTCTCCTTCCTTGTCATCCTTCTCTTCTCACCGGAAGACATGCAGTCCACCCAGCTGAGGAAGAAAGTCGGCCAGGTATGTCCTCTCATGGTGCTCACTTTGCTCTAGAGTCAAATCTGATCGAAACGTGGCGTCGTAGCTTTTCGCGGTTGGCTTCCAAGGCCTCACCCCAAGCACCGAAATCAAGACATTGATCCACGAGCACGGCCTTGGGGGGATTGTTCTCTTTAAGCGGAACATTCAGGATGCCGCCCAATTGCAGGTAGGTGGCAGGCTATAGCTGATCGACCGAGCGACTGATTTGAATCCCGTCCCAAGGCATTGACACAAGCGCTTCAAGAGGAAGCAAAATCAGCCGGACATGAACATCCTCTGTTTATAGGAATCGATCAGGAAAATGGGCTCGTCACCAGGATTTCACCCCCAATTGCCACGCAGCTCCCTGGCGCCATGGCGCTGGGGGCCACATACGACCCCAACAACGCGTATCAAGCGGGCGAAGCTACTGGAGACATCTTGTCGCTCTTGGGGATTAACATGAACTATGCTCCCGTCTGTGACATCAATTCCGAGCCTCTGAATCCCGTCATTGGGGTCAGGAGCTTTGGGGACGATCCGGGATTTGTGGGACGGTTCGCAGCAGCCTTTGCCCAGGGCCTCCGGACGCGCAAGGTGGTCCCCACTGTGAAGCACTTTCCGGGACATGGGGATACTGCGGTGGATTCCCACTATGGACTTCCTGTGATCCAAAAGACAAGGGCTCAGTTGGAACAGTGCGAGTTAAGGCCCTTCCGTCGAGCGGTCGCCGAAGGCATCGAGGCCGTGATGACGGCCCACATTGCTTTGCCTTCCATCGGGGATTCCAAGCTCCCCGCAACCCTTTCAGTTGATGCACTGAATATTCTACGCAAGGACATGCAGTATGATGGTATGGTGATCACGGATTGCCTGGAAATGGACGGAATCCGTACTACATACGGCACGGAGCAAGGCGCCGTCCTTGCTCTGGAGGCCGGAAGTGATAGTATTATGATCTGTCATACATACGATGTACAGGTGGCATCAATCAATCAAATCGTTCAGGCTGTGGAATCCGGGAGAATCCCAACCACACGCCTCGAGGAAGCGTACCGCCGAGTAACCAAGGTCAAACAAGAATTCTTAAGCTGGGACACTGTGTTGCAATCTCCGAGCCTTGACGGTCTAGCTTCCCTCAACGCCAAGGCTGCGTCTCTCACTGACCAAGTTTATTTGCGGTCTGCTACTATCGTGCGCGAAAAGCGGGGGGTTCTATCCCTTCTTTCCCAGGAATCCTCGACCGTCGTATTTCTTTTCCCGGGCGATAAAACCCCGGCTGGCGGTGCGGTGGATGGTGAAGGAATAGGACAAAACAGATCTTATGATGCCACGGAGTATCTGGAAACCCTGAAGGACCTCGGTCGATGCCCGAATGCCACGGAAATCCGCTACGGGGAAGCAGGCTTATCATCGGAGCAATGGACGCAAATTGGGGCGGCCGATGTCGTAGTCTTCACCTCCATCAATGCTCGTGAATCCCCATGGCAAAGGGCGCTGGGGCTCGAGCTGGCCCACCGTGCCCGGAACATGATCAGCATTGCAGCTTGTAGCCCTTACGACTTTCTGGACGATGCCAGTATCGAAACATATGTCGCTATGTACGAGCCAACGATCGAAGCTTTTGCGGGGGCCGTCAAACGGATGTCTGGTTGGGGAGCGCAAAGGGGTCAATTGCCTGTTGGGCCAACGAAGTCTACCCCGAGTTGGATCAAAGTGGAACCCCTTTACGCTGAGATGGACTTTGACGCCCTTCTAACACTCTGGGAGAAGGCTTTGCCCACTTACCCACTGCTTGGCAGGAGTCGAAAGGGTCTATTGACGGCATTGACCACATCAAACGCACATCATTTTGTCGTTGGGCATGGGAGCAAGATGATCGGGTTTTGTCTGCTCTACATAGCCGAGCAGCAAGATGTCACCTGTGGTTATTTGACGGCGCTGGCGGTTGACCCGGAGAAGCAGGGGCTGGGCGTAGGCAGCGCTTTGATTGCAGAATGTCGGTCGTGGCTCGCAAAGAATTGCAAGAAGTTTCGCCTGGAGCTGGGGAGCTCGTTTCCTCGATTCTGGCCGGGTATCCCGACCGACCTGCCTTCGAGTGTTCAGGACTTTTTCATCCATCGAGGATTCCGGCTCAATCCCCCGGTGCCTCGATCGGTCGACCTTTATCAAGACATCACCAATTTCCATGCCCCGGAGAAATATCTGGCGAGGGCACAAGAGGGCGGATACACTTTCAGCCCTCTCAAGTCCGAGCATTTCCTCAAGGGATTGGTTGGACAGACCAGGAACTTTTCCCATAACCTGGTGAGTCAGTGTTGAGTCTTTTGTTGGGGGGGGGAGGGCCTTCATGTCTATATTCTCACGCTAATTGCCTCCATAGGCTTGGGTCCAGAAATATATGGACCTGGATCCAACTATATATCCGTCCTGCATCATGGTTGCTTGGGACTCCGAGGGCAACCAGGTTGGCTGGACGCTGATGCTGGATCCATCCTGCGACATTCTCCAGAACAACTGGATATTTCCGCCTACGTGCGGCCCCAAAACAGGCTTGATCGGCTGCGTAGGTGTAGACAAAGATCATCGTAAAAATGGGATTGGTCTTGCCCTTGTCAGCCATGCGATCGAAAACCTGAAGCAGAGGGGAGTAGAGGGGATTTTTGTAGACTGGGTAAGTCTGGATGGCTGGTATGAGAAGCTGGGGTTCCAGGTGTGGCGCAGTTACCGCACCGGCGAGTTGATTCTGTAGCGATTCCCTGTAGATGTTAGACGAATAATAGAGAATATGAATTTCATGGACGAATGAAAATTGTCTGTCCAATTAGGTATTGATGTTCCTTCGTCGAGAGTTCCGAGACGGTGTGGGGTACCTCGGTTATCCTGGATTCTCGAAAAGGTGCTTTCCGAGATGCCTCCTTATCGATGTTTCCCTACGTTGTTTCCATTCCTCCAACGTCATGCATCGTATAGCTCATACCGTTCGCCAGAGTTTGTCCCAGGGCCAGTTCCTCACTTTAACAAGCCGACGGTTCTCATCGATCATTAAACGCCAGTCTCCAGCGTCGGAGGCCCCTCTGATCGATCACCTTTACGAGCAGGCAATGGAATTCGATCAGCCAGATAGATCAGAGACTGACATTGACATTCTTGCAGTGCCATCATTATCGGGGCGGGAGGTGCTGGCCTTCGTGCTGCTGTTGGATTGACCGAATCAGGGCTCAAACAGCCTGCATCACAAACTCATATGTAGTCCACACATTCACCCCTAGAAGCAGGGAGGGTCGTGAGGAGAGAAGAAGAAGAATGGGTGCTAATTACGGAGACAGTTTCCCATTCGTTCACATACAGTCACCGCACAAGGCGGGATCAACGCCGCCCTGAGGAATATGACTCAGGATGACTATCGATGGCACATGCATGACACTGTCAAGGGAACCGATTGGCTCGGAGACCAGGATGCCATTCATTATATGACGCGTGAAGCTCCCAAGGCAATTTATGAGCTCGAAAGCTATGGTATGGCGTTCTCGCGCACCGAAGATGGGAGAATCTATCAGCGTGACTTGGGTGGGCAAGGCTTGGAGTATGGTCGTGGAGGACAGGCGTATCGTACGGCTTGTGCCGCAGATCGGATAGGTCATGCTATGCTGCATGCTTTATCTGGACAGGCACTGAAGGTATGTACCTAGTTCCAGTTTGGAGTAGGCGGTGAGCTGGGCTAATTCATGCAGCACGATGCTGAATTCTTTGTCGAATTTTTCAGCCTCGAGTTGCTCATGGTGGATGGGGTCTGCCTTGGTGTCATCTGTCTGTCTCTGGAAGATGGCACACTCCATCGTTCACACCATCGTTTCTTCGCTCGGAACACTGTTCTCGCCACCCGGGGTATGGGAGAGTCTATTTCTCCTGCACATCCGCGCACACTTCCACCGGCGATGGAAACGCCATGGTTGCACGCGCCAGTCTTCCCAACCAGGACATGGAGTTCGTCCAGTTCCATCCTTCAGGCATCTACGGCGCCGGTGTTCTGCTCACGGAAGGTGCCCACGGCGAAGGGGGGTTACCTGCTCAACTCCTATGGCGAACGATTCATGGAGCGATACGCTCCGACGGCCAAAGTCCTTGCCAGTCGAGACAGGTAGCTCGCGCCATGAATCTGGAGATCCGAGAAGGCCGTGGATGTGGGCCGCATCACGATCGTATCCATCTACAATTGTCGCACCTCCCACACGATCTTATTTAGGACCGACTACCTGGCATCGCCGAGACAGCGTCAATCTTCGCCGGTATCGACATCACCCGAGACCAAGTCCCCGTTGTGCCTACCGTCCACTACTGCATGAGCGGAATCCCCACAAACTTCAAAGGCCAGGTCCTCAATGTGAATGTAGGTTCCTCTCCGAGCTCTGAATCACCCCTTCCGGGTCTGTACGCGGCTAGCGAGGTCGCCTGTGTCAGCGTGCATGGGGCCAATCGACTCGGGGCCAATTCCCTACTCGATATCGTAGTGTACGGACGCGTTTGTGCCATCGACATTGCGGAGAATAATGAGCCGGGTATGCCACTGCAGTCGGCAAGCCCGGTGGATGAGCACATTGAGCTCTACTCAATCCGGAACATGCATCGTGTGCGCACCATTGACGGAGACCTGCTAACCGCACAGATCCGCGAAGATCTCCAGCGAGCCATGCAGGCTGATATTGCCTTCCGGTCGGAAGAGCCCCTCGTCGAAGACGTATCCAAGGTGCAGCAGGTGCAACACAACTTCTCGACACGGCTCGCGACGAAAGATCGCAGGCTGGTTTGGAATTCGGATCTGGTGGAGACACTCGAGCTGCGAAACTTGCTAGCCTGTGCGGTGCAGACGGCGCAGGCTGCCCTACGGAGGGCGGAAAGTCGAGGGAGTCATCCCCGGGAGGATTTCCCGACGAGAGACGATGTGAACTGGTTGCGGCACAGATTGACCTGGCAAGGCGGAGAGAACGAGGGGGTGCGCGTAGACTATCGAGGGGTGATTAAAGAGACGTTAGATGATCTAGATTGCGCGAGTGTGGCACCGATGAAACGAAGTTATTGAAGTCGACGAAACGAAACGAAATTGGAATTGGAAGTATGAGGACTTGGCCGAAATAGGAAATACCCTGCACCTGATCTCCGAGAGGCACGTGGGGCTCCACTCTCGGAAATAGAATTATTAAGGTGAATAATTTCTTATACTTCTTATGAATGCATTCATAAATATCTGATCAATAATGGGTTGTATCAAGTACGTAACGCGTAAGTAGTAACACATGTCCTTCCCCCATTAGATACCAAGGCCTTTGGGTGCAGGAGTTCAAAGATACCACTAATCTAGCCCAGTACAAATAACCTAAGGCAAAACTAAAGAGTGAAGTAGATAGCCATCACAGATGTGAAAAGAACAGCCCGTCATGCAGAAATACATCAGGGTTCGGCACATTGCTGGAGGCTTCATACAATGGTTCGTCACTGGTCTCCGCCTACGTGCGGGTGGCAATGTGATCGAACTTGTACAGAGGCTCCAGCTCAACATTGCGTCGGAAGATGTAACGCTGAACCCACCAAGGAAGGACCTTGAAGAGCTGATAGCGCATGTGCATGCGAGTGGGGACGGCAAAGATGTAGTCCAGCTCCTCCAGGGTACGCTGTTTGGTCTCCGGGACCCAAAAGAAGATCATAACCAAAGCAGTCACGTTCAGTCCACTAACATCATTAGATTATAGTTTACAGCTTATGTGGTGTAAAACTAAAGAGTCACTCACGCGTAGAAGCCAAAGGCACCGGTTGGAGTCATAGCGTCCAACATACGCGGGAAGGTAATAGAAAGGATGGCGGCCCAACCAAGGCAAGTGGCCACGGCCCAAGACATGCCTACCTCTATATCGTACTTAGTCTGAGTGACCACCGGGAATGGTTAATCAACAACTCACCGCGATGAGATAAGGGGAATACCTCGGCAGAATAGGTGAAAGGCACAGGGCCTTCGCCGGGCGAGTAGAATGCGGCAAACAAAAAGATAAACAAGGCAATACAGGCCAGATGCGCGGTTGACTCCTGTGGGATGTAGAAGCAGAATCCGGCAGCCAGGAGGGTCCAAGCCATCTGGGGGAAGGTGAAGAGCAGCAAGGTTCTGCGCCCATACGTATCGATGGTGAATACCGCGGGGAAGGCGAACAGGAAGTTGACCAGCCCAAATCCCCAGGACGCAAACAACGCCCCCGTTGTGCTTGCACCAGCCTGCTGGAAGATGGTGGACGAGTAGAACGCCACGATATTGATGCCACACATCTGCTGAGCAATCATGACAGTGAACGACGCCAGGGTGGCACGGCGGACGCGAGGGATAGTGAACAGTTCAATAAAGCGGGTGAGGTAGTGGCCTTCTCCCGCAATATCCCGTTCCACTTTGATCTGGGCATAGATATAATAGAGGTCGCGTGCAGCCTGGAGCTCCGTATTGCGCAGACGGCAGAGCGATTCATATGCCTTCCGGATTCTGTTCTTCTTGATGTACCAACGAGGCGACTCGGGGCAGAAATACACGCCAATGAGCAGAGGCAAGGCTGGAATGAAGGCGGATCCCAGCTGCAAGCGCCAGGCAATATCTCCGGTGTCTTTCACAGCCAAGTTTGCGCAAAAACCGAGGAAAATACCGAACGCCGTCCACAGTTGCCAGGACATCACCAGACCACCACGGATTACCGCCGGAGTGTTCTCAGCACAGAAGACGGGAATTGTGGACGCTTTCAACCCCATTCCAAGGCCCAGGAGGAGACGGGTCACGAACAACTGCGGCCAAGTCTGGCTCACGGCGGAGCCGATTGGCGACAGGAGACAGAAAACGGCAGAGATAAAGATGGCACCACGGCGACCCAGATACTTATTGCATGGGTCAGAGAGCCAGCATCCGATCACCGCACTGGCAATGTAAGGTCCACTATTCTCACATGTTAGCCGAGGCGAGTCTTCTCCTGACGACATGCTACCATGAACACTCACGCATTGACAACGCCCACGATCCACTGATTTCTCTCCGCATTTGGATTGTCGTGCTCGGGGATGCCGAGAGCATCGGGGAAGGACAGATTGGCACCTGTGCAGTTCGATTAGACTTGGGTTCAATCCAGATATTCAACAACGCAAATACCATTACTTCCGGTCTGGTCCCATCCCCTACGGTATCAGATTAGCACGCATCCCCCGTACAGGCGGGCTGAAAACACAACGGGGCACCCACTGGACCGCAGCACCAATGGAGCAAAGGATGATGGTGAAATACAGAGCCATGGGCTGACGCCACTTATGGGTGACCTCATCACCAATCGCGGTCAGTTCGGCGTCCGTCATGTCCGGAACCAACTCAAAGTCATCAGGGTCACGGGCGATAAGCGCACCCTTCTGCAGCTCCGGAAGGATATAAGTCAACCCATGCTCATGGGCAAAGTCTTCGACATCACGGAGCACCTCATCGGGAGTGAGGTCTGCGAGAGGGTTCTTGATCCTACATGGATTGAGCCATCAGCTGATACGTGGCCAAAAAAAAAAGAAAGGAGAGAGTGAGAAATGGCATTACTTTGCAGAGATGTTTTTATTGAGATTGATATGCTCAAAGTGGCCCTTCTCGGCAGTCTCCTGGTCATCGCTGACGCTACATAGACGTCAGCCACGGGAACTCGAACCATTGACTGGGATGAAGAACGGGGCATGCAACCGCTTGTTGATGGCCAGGTTTGTGGCTACGGCCTGGGAATTTTCGACATCAGGCTTCCCCACAGTGTCCGCCATGGTGATGATGTCACAGCACAAGCCGGGGGAAAGGACTGATAGAAAGTGATATGATGATCAATGGTAAAGATAACGTACGACGAGGATGGAGAAGGTTCAAGAGACCGCAACACGATGCGGAGAAAGGAAAAGAGGGAAATGCGGGGTAAAGAGGAAGAAAAAGAAGGGGAAAGAGAAGAAGAAGAAAAGGCTTAAGAGAAAGCAGACAGAAATATTAGGGCTCGGACAAAGCAGGTGACACTTTGCACCTGCTGTTACTCTCGCTGGGGAAACGGGATTGCGACCACGGATTAGGTCTTTGGATCTGTTTAACTAAGAATGATTGGCCTGTGGAGATTGGGAAAATGCAAGAGACTACTAGCTAGCACTCTGTACTTATATTCACCAGTGAAGTCATTCCGGTAATTTACGCTACGAGATCCCCGTGGGGGAGGGAGAACCATGGATTCGCTCCCGAGTGGATAACGACAAGCCTGACTACTTCCGGTAGTACTCTTTGTCATTCATTCCCATGGGCAGGAAATATTCACTTCTCGATTTCCCTGGCCGAGGAACGGACAGGAAGTGGGCATCTGGGTTTCTATCTTCGGTCTCTCTTTTCTTTATATACCGAAAGAAAGCGTCTATAGGAGCAACCAAAGACCAACCGGAGAAATCCCAACGATGGCCTCCAACGATTCACTGCCGGTAAAGCTTGTCATCCACGAGGACAGGTTCTTGGCAATTGTCTAGCTCTGTAATCACACTCCTCACGAATCATCGCATCGGGAGGATTGCCTTAGTCCGGTAGGATGAATAATCGCAGAATTGGTCCACATCAGTCCGAGCCTGCCATTGGTATCTTGGTACAGACATACAACCTATGTAGGTACAAACGACCAGCAAACAAACCGGAGGCTTGCAAAGTACTACGCCCATGCCTCACTGGGGGAGCGCTGTAAAACGAGAAAAGGATGAACGACTGATTGCTAAGCAATTTAGGAGAAGTTTACTACCTTTTTGGAAGTATAGGGTTACCCCTCTACTCAGATCACTCCGATTTCCGTCCCATTCTCGATCATTCCACCATGGTGTCAAGGATTCTTTTGTGATCCCCGAGTGTCCTCGTTGCGGACGAGTAAAACGACTAAAAACGCCACCTGCCAGTTCAATGGTTGGCCCGGCGCCACTAGGCCCGAACCGGTTCAGCGACCTTGCCAGTACCAAGCAGATACGACCTAGGTTGTTCCTGTTGCTGCCCCTTGCGAGGTACCTGTGAGGTAGTAGCGCGGGGATCTACATCACAGGTGGCGGAATCACGCTGATCTCGACTCTCGACGCTTCCGTCGCGGGGTTGGGGATCTCGGCCTTGGCCCGTTGTTCACATGGCTCGATTCCAGTATGCTTCGGACGATGGGGAGATGGGAGTATTCCCGGGATTGAGCTGGCTCAGGCCCCGTGTAACTTTAATTCCAATCTTACTGATCATTTCTCGTCCGAAGCCTACCGACTATTTCTTCCGTTTAAATTTATCCCGGAAAATCGTCTGGGAAATCCAATTTTCCACTTCGACTAAGACTGGCGACAATACTGTGTGACCTTAGAAGAATCAATGGGCTAGAAAATAAAACCAGTAAATAAGAAACAATCCGGAATAGCATGTTCAGGATCGGACGTAGACTCTGGCAAGGATTGTGGGTGAATCAAACAAACCATGTATCTAGCCTTTGGCCGAGGTTTTTCTTCTGCGTACTGGTACTTTAGTCTTCACTAGTTTGTGTGAATGATGAATCAACGAGAAATAGCGCACGCCAGTGACGGCTCGAGTGCAACGCCATGGGCACACCGCTCCATATGATTAAGGAGATTTCCTCGGCCTGACCGCTAAGCATCCCCCGAGTGGGCCAGTGGCTGAAGATTCCAGATATCTCTGAGAGTTTCTGTTAAACTCCTATATGGTGTTGAACGGTGAAGACCCCAGCGTTCCAACGTAGGTTGGACTTGCGGAGTAATTGTCCAGTTATCCTGGCACAGAGAGGGATCCATTTAAAGTCCGTACGACCAGAGTAGCGGACTCGACCGAATAGAATATCTACGTTCCTAGGTGGCTTCTCATTCTGAAACATTGCTTACTCCGGAGTACAGCTTCTGTTCCACAGTCTTTCCAATCCTTGTCATGTAACCTCCAATATTTCTTCAGGATACTATCCCAGTTGCATGGAACAAAGCCGGGAATTTGAATGAGAATACCGCCACGATATTTTTCATTGAGTGGCTGGTTGGCTCTAGATATTCTAGCCAGCCTGTCTAATCTATCGGACAAATTACTCTGATTATCATGTCGGGCTCGGTCTTTGGGCCTGCTGTTCCGCCACACTTAGACACAGCCCTTGTGCTCTCCAGCCTTCAAGACCCGATAGGAAGAGCCGTTGCTGTTCCCGTCGCGTGGGAGGTTGTGCGGTCTTACCACGACGGAGACGAGACTCTGCAGTTTCAACAAGAGTCGCATTATGTCCATGGAAGTCCACCTCACCCAGATCGTTATAGTCACTATCTGTGAACTCATACGTTCTATATTCCATGTTCATCCACCCGGTACCTAAGTACATCAGCAGCCTTCTTCACTAGCCAGTGGGCGATGACAGTGCACAGTTAGAGTGTCACCTACCGAGACCTATACAACTATCCTCCCAATCTTCCGTCAGGAAATGCAGAAAACCCCCGTGGGTGACGACAACAATCTCTCGTTCCGGCCTGGCCTTTAGCCAGCATCTCACGTCCCGAGCACGAAGACTGATGGCTTCGAGGGTCGGGGCGTATCTCCCTGACTATTTGATGTAAGTAACAGAGTCTCAGCTGAACCTATGATACCAGCATCATGAGGGTTCCTTAATTTACAGGGTCAAAGATCAACTTACCTTGAGATACCAATCATCAGAAACCAAACTCGCATCCACGGGCAACTCTTTTTCCTGTATTTCTCGTTCAAGGACCGAGCGTGCAACACCCACATCACAGAGAAAATCAGAGTACTCTTGTAGATCAGGTAGCAAGAGCAAACGTCGATCAGGGGATGTGTTGAACACAGGCTCGAAGCCCTCCAGGGCAGTATAAATGGCTCGTCGAAGAGGAGAGGCTAGCAGGAGATCAATCCGCGAGTGATCAGTGAATTTCTTTTGGAATTGTTGGCATTGTTGATATCCTTTTTCGGTGAGAGCGGGATCGGTGATATTGCTGTGCTCAAGAGATATATTATGGGCTCCCTGTCAGACAGGTTCAGTAAATACATCGGTGAACGAAACTTTAGACTTACCTGAGCATGACGGACGCAATGGATAACAGGTGCCATAACTGGTAGATATAGACTTCTGTGCCCTGGATTAGGCACCAATTTACATGACGATACTTGATTTGCAAAGTGGCGGATCTGGTCTGCTGGTTAGTGCTTTCCGACCCTCGGAAGATCGTAGCATGACTAACCATAAGAGCAGATGTATAGCTAGCTACTCGGGCTGCATTCACGGCATAACAGAGGTGGTAATTGTTTCTGGGTCATTGTTTCATATGGTCTTCTCGTTAGAAACTAAGTTAAAAATTGTTTCCTAATTCAGCACTCTGACAGTGACCATAGCAAGTGAATACCAGAAATGGTTAGACCAATGACATCACGTGCTAATATCTGCATCGCTTTTCCTCCGTTTCCGAGATGGCATCACATCGATCAAAGAAGCCAGCGGTACACAATGCTCCCCACTTATCGAGTCTCAATTTAATATAAATGAAGCATATCCTATAATATGGAATATTCACAGCCGGACCTACCGTCCGCGCAGGATCTTCTCCAGTCCGGAGAACCATTTGTCCCGTTTTCCGAGTTCTCGGTCCACACCATCCAGGATCTGCTGGCTGAAGATGCATCTGGTTGGGTCCAGCGCAAGTTGGACGAAGGCATACCTTTTGTTATCCGCGGGTTCGATCAGCTAGATAGTTGGGATAGGTCGATTTTAAGCAACCAGAGCCTGGTGACGTTCTCGTCCTCGGAAGGTATGTCCAACCGCCCAGTATCTATGGATAGGGTTCTGGCGGATCTGGCTGATGAAGGAACTCATTTTTAACTGCTAGCCATCCCTGTCAGAAACTGTCATACCGGACGAGATGTCAAAATGAGATTGCGAGACCTGCTATCTTCAGCAGGACATGCTCGGCCTAGTAATGCTAAAGAATCGTATGTTGATATTCGAGGTGGCGGCATCAGTTGACGAGATATTAGGCTCTATGCAAAGGATCTCCACTGTCCTTCGGAGTGGATAAGGGCGCTGGAGGCCGTCGTGCCCTCGTCCCTTAGGTACTTGGGTTCACTCGATTTGTTCCGAGTCCTACCAAAGGGGATCGCTCCGGAAGTGCTGATGGCCTACGTTGGAACCCGCAAATCTTTGTAAGCATACTGCATCCATTCATAGATGTCTTGCGATTGCTGATGGGCAAATTTACGCAGCTCTGGATTTCACAAGTGCTTCAGTGGCACGGTTGCTCTCAATCTGATGGTCGAAACAGAAGGTGCGTAGGCCTTTGGATGGGATGTATCAGGGAGACGGCAGGCAGCAAACTGGAAATTGGTACTAATTATAGGCAAAGGCTCGGGTCCGGGAGCACTTTGTTTTGGTACAGACACGAACTCCCGAGCTAAATATGACGTGTATATGGAGGAAATGGAGAAAGCGCCTCACATCGACTGGGCCAATATCTCAACTTCACAGCTCAAGTCGGCGGATTTTCCGATCTATGTCACCCACCAGGGGCCTGGAGACCTGGTTGTGTTTCCATCCGCGACTGCGCATCAAATATGGAATATTAGTTCCTTGGTTACGAAGGTCGTTTGGAACATCATGCATACATCCTCAGTAATGTCTTTCTTCGACTACGTGCAACCAGTATACCAGATGCAATGCCACGCGGACACCGGCCGAGTCCCTCTAATTCCAGTGCATGCCCTGAGCCACAAGCTCGGAGTCGAGGAGTCCCGGGTTCTTTTGGAAATTTTCCAACGGCTTGTGGATGACGAAGACATAGGGCAAAATCCCAACGTGCTCATCAAGCTTGTAGACACCCAAGGGGCCGTGGTTGAATGCAACTTTTGCGGACTCACGATCTGGAACCGGCATTTGCATTGCGAACAATGTGGTGACTTTGACCTGTGCCTGGCCTGCTTTGTTTCTGGACGCAGCTGTAAGCATACGGGCGACTATGCCTGGGCGGAGATATTCCCACGCCAGCGCTGTCAAGAGATCATCAAGACGACTAGGGAGAGGATAGGATATCGGCCCACGTCGAAATCGAGCATATCAACGTATGTCCCTAGAGCCGTTGAGTTATTCTCCCATGCTCCCGTTCTTGTGGTCCTTTGGACTTCTGGACTTACACAACTAACTATCCTCTAGGCGAAAGTCTCTAGGCATCCTAGCTGTGTCTGCAGCAGAGGCCCGACAACAACCTCTAGTAAGACCTTCCCGTTCCAGACCGTTCGTATTGGACCATCGAACCACTATTGACTCTATCTAGGAACGACTGTGCCACCTTTGCCGCGACAGTCACCCTGTGTGGAAAGGAGTTACGTGCTCGCAATGTACGGCATTCTTCTGCCTTCGTGGCCTCCACAGGCATTTCGATATCGACCTTCTTGCATTTCTCCGCAACGAAGGCGTCTGGAATTGTCCGAAATGCGCGCAACAGTGCAATTGCCGGTGCTGTCATTTCTCCCGCCCGTACCAAAGCAAAGACAAGCCTGTGCGGGCGCGCATAAAGCCCGTTGACTCCCGAGGCCGCATCCATGGATTTGTGGACAATGTTTTTGACCAGAAACGGGGCAAAAAAGCCAGCCAGCCTCTGCACAGTGGCTCTCTCTCGGCTGAGATCATCCCTCGATCACAGAAACGAGCGAGAGTATCTGATGGAGACGAGCAGGCCAAGCTATGGCACCGGGACAGTCCAAGTCACCTAGGAAACCGACCTTCCGAGGCACCGAGCGCCTTCTCGACCGACATGGCCCCGTCCAGTCGCACCGGGTCTCTTGGGCCGAAAGCACAGCTTCGCATCAGTGACCTTGTCGAGGACCGAACTTCGCCCATCGAAGCCAGCGCGACCTCTCATGGTCGCACGGGGATGCTTCCCATTCCCCCGATCTACTCGATGTCTCATCTCGGCAGCACATCGCACGACCCAGGTGGATCCAGCCATGAATATGATTCCCATGTCACAGAGTCCTCATCATCTCGGAACGGAGACAACATCGCGTCACTCGAGAAAAAATGCGACTCTCTCCGGCAGTATGCCGACGATCTGCTGGAGTTGAGGCTCGTAGAGTCTCACGCCGCGCTGCTAGATCGGATCGGTCAACTGGAAGCTGAGATTGAACGACGCAAACGCCGCAAAGCGGAAATGCTGTTCGACAACCTGCATCGAGACTTCCCTGAATTGGCGAACATGGCCCGGGAGGAAGCGCAACGACGGGGGATTTAAATCTGTCTTGTATATATTAGAATAATAAATCGTATATTTGTGAGAGGAATATTAAATGTCAAATCGTGTACTCCGTGACTTGGCATCCGGAACCAAGGAAACAGGCGGAGTTGCGCCGTCGATCGTCCCTCCTTCTCCATCCCTCTTCGTCTTCATCCTCTTCACCATTCTTCTTCCTCATCCTCAGCCTGGACTTCTCCTTATTTCCCGCATGTCGCCAAATATCTACGTCTTTCTTCGCTCCTCATAGTCGGTTATTCCCTTCTTTTCCTGCTTGAACGAACTGGCTGACATTCCGCGGGGCTCTCACAGAACCTCACTTAAACAAATAAATAGATCCATCATCTTTGCTCGTCGACTGCTCCCATCTTCGTCTATATCACCTCGACCAACCTCGTCCACAGACGGCAATCGTGGTACTGCAGAATCCCTCCTTCTTGCATTTCTGTTTAGGATCGTCGATCGAAACACACACACGATCCTGACCGCCTCCACAACCCACGACCGATTTCCTTTCCTTTCCCCCCTTCCCTTTCGCCCTCGCCTCACCCTACCAAACGGTCCTTACAGGCGAATCATCCTCTGCACACCCATCGGTGCACACGCCATGCCATGCTTTAAGGGTCTCGCCGTGAGTATCCACACTCCGGACGGCCCTATCTCCGAGTACTCGATCCAACGTCAATCGCGGGCCTCTCGCATAGCCTGTTACATCCCGGTCCCGCCGCCCAAACTGCCTGATTCCGCCACCGGCAAGCCAGAGCAATCGACCTTTGCCATCTCCATCACCCTGTTAAACCCCGGTCAAAATGTCCCCTACTCCACACCGAAATCCACCCTTGACAACCCCACACCTAAACCTAAGGTCGTGGGGGGGCTCCCCGGTCCGACGGCGGAGCGGGGCCAGTATTCCAGCATGGTGGCGCCGTACCAGGCACTGACCAACTCGCCCAATGAGACGGTCGCGGCGTACATCTACTTCGACGGACGGCAGAAGGAGGAGGTGGCTACCCTGCTACGGAGAGGGGAGGAGACCTGGGTCAACTCTCGCTGGGTCAGCATCCCCGAATCGGAGGGAGGGGGCCTGGCCGAGCGCGAGTTTCTCTTCCGCGAAGTTGGGCTGGAGAGATGGCTGAATGGACTGGATCTGGAGGGGAAGGATGCGGCCGCCAAGATTGAACGGCGGCGTCAGAGGATGGAGAAGCGTCGCTTGAAACGAGAGACGGGGGAGGGTCCTCTCGACCTGGAGATGGATCCCAAGCGTGAGAAGGGCATCATGCGCTATGGAAATGACGCCAGATCCCCGCTCGAGGACGTCTCCGACGAGGACATGTCCTCCGACTCCGACGACGATCCCATCCCCGAGTCCGCCGGTCAGATCAAGGTAGCCCTGTTCCGCGTTCTGGCCTCGGGGGAGATCAAACGGGGCGAGTATTCGCCGCAGTTTGATGCCCACGATGACGATGATGACGAAGGTCAAGGCGGACAGAATAGCAACGGCGGGGCCGATGCGGACATTGACCATACCACCAGTTTTGCGAAGCCGAAATCTCTCGATCCGAAGTCCATCAGCACCCAGACGGTGACGGGGATTGACCCGTCCGATAAGCCGTATGCCATTTTCACGTTCATGTACCGGGGAGAGCGTGAGTTTTTGCCCTGTCCCTTCTTCTACTCGGGTCGTTTTATTCCGACGGCGCTGACCACTCTCCCAGGACAATTACAGAAGATGGGGATGCTGAAGGATCCCAAGGGCCAGGAAACGCCGGGATCGACGAAACGCCGATCTTTGCAACCCGACTTTACCAATCTGGGTCCGCTGAAGCCTGGTGGGACAGTTGGGTTCCTGAATTTCCGGGACAGTGCGGAGAACAAGGACCGGAAAGCCAAGAAAGGCGCTGGAGATGGCGACATGGATAGTGAGGACGACGACGACCACTCGATCTTGGACAAGGCCGACGACGAAGAGAGCAAGGATGAGGATCGACCTCTTTCCCCCGATGACCTCAGACGTCAAGGTGAGCTCGCCGAAGGAGTCCGCCAGATCAAGGTACGCACGACTATACTCTCCCCAAGTTTTTTCGTGATGGTGGACAAGGTTCCTAACATGTATATCCAGTTGAAACGTCAGCATTCGTCGGCATCTCTAGGAGTCAACACCCCCAAGAGCGATGTGACCAGCCCTCCAGCTCTGGGAGAAACCACGCCCACTGTCTCGACCACACCCCCCACGGCCCCTGCAGTCCCCAGCGCGACCCTCGATGCGCCCAAGCCGCCGATGAATCCCTTGGAGGGCGGGTTTGTCGGTAGTCCCCTGAAGAAGCAGCGAGCCAGTGTGTCTGAAGCGGACGATCATGCCGTGCGACGAAGGATCGAGTCAGGGCTCTCTCAACAAGTCAGTGGGATCTTCGACAGTGCTGGCACCGAAAACCCGTCTGCCCCGGGGACGGACGCCAAAGCGTTTGGAGATCACCTTCCACCGAAGCCGACTGCGCAGGAAGATGAGGAGGAACTTTAAGGGACCCTCCTCGTCTTCCCTTCTTGCTAAAATCCCCTCATTTTGGAAAATCAAAGATTCTACGATTACTGTGGTGGAGTGGCGTAATGGCATCACCCAGTGTTAGCTGGTTGATGTGGGAGGCTATGTTTGGAGGCATTTGGTTAGAGATTTTTTTTTTCTCTTTCCCTTTCTCCGGGCCTTTTTTCTCTCTCTCTCTTTCTTTCTTTTCTCTCTCTATCTATGTCCAATGTGCCGAAAATACGCACACAGGGATTTAATTGGTATAGAATCAATGAAGTTACGCAAGTTGCCATGTTGTCAATGAATTACATCATTCCACGGGGTTTAGTCAGTTGTCGACTTTCCGCCCATTCGAACTTTGCGTTCTCTCCCCACATTTATCACCATCGGCCGAGTCCTGTTGACTCGCCTAGGAACGCGGGCCAGAATCCAGACAGACGCAGTCTGAGAACATCCACAATGCCACTAACACGCTCGTCTGATCCCCTCGTGTGGATAGATTGCGAGGTAACCCCTTCTTCTCCTTCCCCCTTCCGAACGCCCGTTCCCGATCCGATCCTGAGACTCGCATCGTACTCCCACAGATGACAGGACTGGACCCCGAGAAAGACCAGATCTTGCAAATTTGCTGCTTCATCACCGACGCGGACCTACAACTCCTGGACCCCACGGGCTTCGAGACGGTCATCCACCAGCCGAAATCGCTTCTCGACCAGATGTCCCCCTGGTGCATCGACACGCACGGTCGCACGGGGCTCACAGCGACCGTGCTCGCGTCGACTGTCACGGCGGAGTCGGCGGCCGCCGACCTACTGGCATACATCCAGCGATACGTGGCCCAGCCACGGACGGCGCTGTTGGCGGGGAACAGCGTGCATGCGGACAAGGCGTTCCTCGCGCGGGGCCCGTACGCAGCCGTGTTGGACTGGTTACATTATCGCATTGTGGACGTGAGTACCATCAAGGAGATCGCCAGACGGTGGGGGTCGCAGGATTTACTGGATTCGGTGCCCCCCAAGCGTGAGGTGCATCTGGCGAGGGATGATATCTTGGAGAGTATCGAGGAAATGCGATTCTATCGGAGGTGGTTGTTTGGATCGGATAGTTCTAATAAATGATATCTCGATGAATAGAATAGACAGACTGTAGGTGATAAGAAGATATAATACTAAAAATATAAAGGAAGGTGAAACCAGCAGGTGACCGGCACATGATCACGTTGCTCTCCCCACTTTGTCTTCTCTTTTCTCTCACCTTTTCATCCTCTTTTCACCTCTTCATCTCTTCATCTCTCTTCTTTCTTCTCCTTTTCTTTTTCTCTTCGCATCACCCTCTTCTTTTTTGTCGTCGGTCCATTGATTGTTGTCGGTGTGTCGATTCTCTCCAACCTATATAAACTCTGCCCCTCCGTGCCAACAAAACAAACTCCCCCGCCATGTCCGTCCACACCGTCTCTTTCCAACCCTTTACTGACCAGAAACCCGGAACGTATGTTCAAATCCTTCCTCATGGAGTCCAATGGCTAATATCTCGCCAGCTCCGGCCTGCGGAAGAAGGTCAAGGTCTTCCAGCAGCCGAACTACTCCGAGTCCTTCATTGCCAGCATCCTCCTCTCCATCCCCGAAGGCGCGGACGGCGCCTTCCTAGTCATCGGAGGCGACGGTCGCTACTACAACCCCGAGGTCATCCAGAAGATTGCCCAGATCAGTGCCGCTTATGGCGTCAAGAAACTCCTGGTCGGCCAGAATGGCATTCTCAGCACTCCCGCCGCCAGCAACCTGATCCGCGTGCGCAGGGCCACCGGTGGCATCCTGTTGACCGCTAGTCACAATCCTGGCGGTGAGTTGACCTCCCCACTCCCATCCCCCTGTCTCACCATGATTCCGCTGACTGACGCCTCTTGGGTGGTTTTTGTAGGCCCCAATGCCGATTTTGGCATCAAGTACAATCTGGCCAATGGTGCCCCCGCCCCTGAGACCGTCACCAATAAGATCTACGAGTCCTCCAAATCCCTCACCTCCTACAAATATGCCGAAATCCCTGCGGTAGACATCTCCACCATCGGTACTCAGAGCTGCGGTCCGTTGGAGGTTGAGGTCGTGCACTCGACCACCGACTATGTCGCCATGATGAAGCAGATCTTCGACTTCGACCTCATCCGGGAGTTCCTGCACTCGCACAAGGACTTCAAGGTGCTGTTCGACGGCATGCATGGTGTCACCGGCCCCTACGGGGTGGACATCTTTGTCAAGGAGCTGGGCCTGCCCAGCAACAGCACCATGAACTGCCAGCCGAGCCCCGACTTTGGCGGCGGCCACCCCGACCCCAACCTGGTATACGCGCACGAGCTGGTCGAGGCGGTGGACAAGAACGGAATCCACTTCGGAGCCGCTAGTGACGGCGATGGCGACCGCAACATGATCTACGGCGCTAACACCTTCGTCTCCCCCGGTGACAGCCTGGCCATCATTGCCCACCACGCCAAGCTGATCCCCTACTTCCGGGACCAGGGGGTCTATGGACTGGCGCGCTCCATGCCCACCTCGGGGGCGGTGGACCGGGTAGCGCAGGCTCAGGGTCTGCAGAGCTACGAGGTGCCGACGGGCTGGAAGTTCTTCTGCAACCTGTTCGACAACAAGAAGATCTCCATCTGCGGGGAGGAGAGCTTCGGCACGGGCAGCAACCACATTCGGGAGAAGGATGGACTCTGGGCCATCGTGGCTTGGTTGAACATCATCGCAGGCGTGGCCAAGCAGAAGACCTCCGAGACACCCAGCATTGCCTCCATCCAGCAGGATTTCTGGCAGATGTACGGCCGCACGTTCTTCACGCGTTACGATTACGAGAACGTTGACAGTGAGGGTGCCAACCGGGTGATCGCCACGCTGTCCGGCCATCTGGCCAACCGGGACGCCTTCGTCGGCTCCAGCGTCTCCGGCCGCAAGGTCACGGACGTAGGCAACTTCTCCTACACTGACTTGGACGGCAGCGTGGCCAAGAACCAGGGACTATACGTCACCTTCGATGACGGCAGCCGCATAGTAGTGCGTCTGTCGGGCACGGGCAGCAGCGGGGCCACCATCCGTCTGTACATCGAGAAGTACGAAAAGGACGCCAGTAAGTTCGGTCTGAGCGCCCAGGAGTATCTGAAGGACAATGTGGCGCTGGCGCTCTCGTTGCTCAAGTTCAAAGAGTATGTCGGACGGGATGAACCGGATGTGCGCACTTGATTCTGTCCATCCATTCATCCATTATATACCATACCTGTCTGTTAACTAGGTTACATGATATTCGTCCTGTTAATTATTAGTTCTTCTCAAGGACAGATAAAAAGCATCGTAGCGTTTGATTCATGACATTGCATTTGATTTCTACGTTTCTTGACTTCATTCCGTTGTGTAAAAGAGTATCATAATATCGTGTGGAAATTACCAGACTAACCATAGCCTGTGTAAGTGTAGAGTTCTCTTACATTAAGACATCGTAAGGACTAAATCGTCCTCACTTTATCCTCCCACCACTCCTTCCAACGCACCACTTTCTCCTCCCGACGAGCCTCCTCCGCCGCAAACACCACCGCATGACTCCGCACCGCTTCTTCCAACGTACAGCCAACGAAGTGCCGCTGCGCACGACTCACCTCCCACCCGGCGTTCTCGACCGCGTCGACGGCACGCACAAAGCTGCGAGCCAGCCCGTAGTCGCCGCCGCCGTGTGACTTCTCCTCTTCGGGCTGCCGCGGAACCTCGATCGTCGTACTCGTCCGCGTGGTAAAGCTGAATACTGTGATGGTGCGCGAGTCATAACTGATTTCGCCCTGCGTGCCGTAGATGCGACCGCGTCGTTCACATTGTTTCTCCGTCGGGGCGATCATATGGAAAGTGGCTGTTTTGGCGGTGCGTAGCGAGGGTGATGATGCCGATGATGCTGAAGAGAAGGAGGTGGAGGGTTCGTCGTCCCAGGTGATTGTGACGATTTGATCGTCGCAGACGTTGTTGTCGCTGTCGTATACACATCTACCATACCATGGTCGGCCGGCGATCTCAGTATCCCTCATCGTCTCCCGGGAGTAATCTTCGCCCAGATGACGGAGGAGATGTGATTCGGCTGCAGTCTTCGCTGCTGCTTTCACGTCGGTTCCGTCCGACATTGACCTCGTCGCGAGACGGACGACGTCCTCGATGTCTGGACAGACGATATTCACGGGCCAGTCGAAATCCGACTGCGCCACGTGCATGTCTCGGTAGATCTTGAGAGAGCTGTAGTTGCAGTCCGGCTCCGCGGGACAGGAGAGACAGTTGGTCGCAGCACCTGCAGCGATGGGTTTCCGGACGCGACGGAACTGGGTCAGGGAACCGGTCGAGGAGATGGAGCGCGGGAGATGCGGTTCCTCAGAGCCCTCCCCATGCTCAGTCGTGCAGGAAGGAGGTGGCGAACAGAGCAGCCAAAGAATGAAATCGATATCATGACAGGACTTGGTGAGGAGGGAACCATCCCCGGCAGGCGTCTGACGACGCCAATTGCCGCGCACGTAGCTGTGGGCGAAATGCCACCAGCCGACGGGCTCGCAATGCTCGAGGGAGACTATGTCGCCGATGACGTGGTCTTCCAGGAGGAGCTTCCGCAGGAGGATATTATGCGGACTGTACCGCAGCACGTGGCCGATGGAGAAGACGGAGGACGGAGCTTGACCCCCGAGAAGGCGGTAGGCTGTGAGACAGTCGGCCAGCGACAGCGCCAGTGGCTTCTCGCAGAGGATATGCAAATGGAGCGGGGTGAGAGCCTTGAGGATCTCGATGTGGGTTTCGTCCAGAGTGCAGATGAAGACACCGTCCACACCGGGAGGCTGCTGCTGCTGCTTCTGACGGCGAGTGAGCTCCCAGCTCAGCCAGTCGCGCCAGTCCTGGAATTCTTGGCCTTCTTGGGGTTTGTTTGTGTCACCCCAAATGAAGTTACGGCCAAAGTCCTGTCGTTTGTACGCATGTGGTTCGGCTACAGCGTGGACCACACCGACCGTGGTGGTGGCGACGGCGCGAGCATAGGAAGTGCCCCGAGAACCTGCGCCGATGACCAGGAACCGAAGAGGCTGGTACGAGGATCTGGTGCTATTGTGGGAGATTGCAGGGGGCTGTGCTTCCTTCATGGTGGGAGAAGATGAGTGGATACTAGAGAAGGATGGAGGGGGGGGGGGGAAGAGGACCCTTAAATTTAGAGCATGAGGGAGAGAACCCCGAGAACCCCGCCGAGGAGGGAAGCATGAGTGGATGAAAGGATGAGAGGAGAAGAAGGAATGGAAGAATAAAAGAATGGAGGAAGGGATGGAGGGAGGAGAGATGACTAAATGCGGCACGCGGATTGGTGGCCTGAGGACCAACATAGATTGATTGACTAACTGCATCTTAGACAAGAAAGTGATATCCCAACAAACGGACGATAAATCAATATACAGCAAGGACTGCAAATCACACATCGACGGGAAAATATCGAATTCAATTCGGGGTATCCAGAGAAGAAGAAACAGGAAAATCACAGTACAAGAATCAAGACGTGGCCGTCAGCATATGTACGGAGCAGCAGCTCGTTCGTTATATACCTAGAAAGTCCGTTCCGGGCCAAGGCCCGGAGTGAGCAGAAGCGAAACGAAGAGAATGAAATGAAAGAAAACAAGAAAGAAAGGACATTAATTCCGGACGCGGTCAGAGATTCTCGGAGAATCGACTGCCGCGGCTTCCATCAAAACTCGGGTGACTGCGACCCAGCATGTCGGGTCGTTTGGGGATCGTGGGAGATAATACCCCTGATACTTGGGGAATGGCGCGCGACCCCATCGGTTCATTCGACAGACTGGCGCTGGCCGAGCCTGCAACGGGCGTCCGGGCGGGTGAGGGCCGGAAGATCACCATCGGGTCCGACTCCTCCGTCTCGCGTGTATAGCTCGTGTCCAGCTGCATTCCATACGGCACCGAAGGCGGTGGTTGCGCCGTCGGCGAGCGCGGATGCACCGGTGACGCCGGGGACATGCTGGGCTCGGACGCCGTCGGGGAGATTGCTTCGAAGCCACCACCATACCCATCACCGCCGGACTGCAGCACGGACGGGATCTTTCGGCCGGATATTTTCTGGAAACCGCGCTCACTCGTGCTGGAGGCGATCGTGCTGTCGGTCCGAATCGTCTGATTAGACTGCCTCCACCGTCTCATAAACGCTGGCGCAAAGTACGACGCCGTGAACAAGGGGTCGTTACTCGACCGTTGCGAGGCCATCTCAGCGGACCGGCTCACAGATTCCGCTCCTAGCGCCGTGCCGGTTTCGGGGCCGGCGGGGAGTCCCTCTTGGACCAGTTGGCGACCTTTCTTACGCTGTCGGAGCAGTAGAAAGGCAATAACCAGCAAAATCAACGCCCCTGCCACGCCGCCGACAACACCTCCGGCGATCTTGCCTTTGGTTTCGCTATCGAGCGAGCTGGATGCTCCCGAAGAAGCGTCGGTTGTCGTGGGTATGGCGCCAGCCCCTGTGTTGGTGGCCCCGGACCCGTCTCCCCAGCCATAAGTAACGATAGAGGTTACGGTGGAAGTATCAGCCGTCGTGGATGCGAGATGCACCGAGCTTGTAGTGGAGATAGTACTCGATGTCAAATTTGAGGACGGGCTGGGACTGGGGGTCGAAACGACTGAGCTGGACACACGAATGCTGGATGAGCTGTTGACCCCACTGGTTCCGATCACAGCGTGGGATGTTCGAACGGATGTCTGGCTGATCGCATTATCTGTGGAGGATGGTGCAGTGGTGGTCAAGGTGTCTTGACTGGTCGTCATCGTCGGGATGTCCGCTGAAGGAGAAGGATATCCAGGCAAGGCTGTCGGAAGTTCCTCGTGCGACGAGGCTGAGGACGCCGTTGTCACAAGTTGGAAATCGGGCAAAGCATCAGAGACCGTGGGACGGTCTATATGGGTAACATGACTGGGGTCGGACGAGGTATCAGGAATGGTGGGGTGCTCTGAATCGTCCTGCGACGCCTTTGTGCTTGTCGGGTGAGCCGTTGCAGCGGCATCCGGAGGTAATGCTTGAGAATCCTGGTCAACCACGCTGATCACCCTGGCCAGCACCGTAGTCTGGTCGTCGGGTCTGACAGCCTGCTGACGCTTCTCCAATTCTGATTCCTGATCACTCGGCGCATCGTTTCCTTGTCCTTCCTCCTCTCTCTGAAGAGCAGACCCATGGGACAAAATCGACTCGGTTGAGGAGTCCTCATTCTGCCCGAAGCTGTGACCCGCACGCCCATCCTGATCCGGAGGGGACCTGTATTTCCTCCTCATCAATCGGGAGTGTCTGGTGTTGCCATGATGGGACATCCTGGCCTGCCCCACGTGTCTGTCGTACGAAGCGAAGTCTCCCTTCGTTTCCGTCACTCAAAAGTCTACTAAATATGGAACCGGTTCGTTTCACAACAGATTATTCCCCCTGTCTCGATACAGGCACTGAAGTCGCTTTTAAGATGGTAAAAAATAGAAAGAAAGAAAAGCGCGTGAAGGGAACGTAAGAGAATGAATGGAATGGCCTGCACGACGATCAGCTTCTCCAAAGCAGTTTCTGCCAATTGGAAGCTCGAAAATTAAATCTCGAAAGAGCGTCAAGAAGTAGACTGTAGAAGTCGAAGACGAAGTTGAATCGACGAAATGAATGTGGGGATGGAAGAACGAGATATCAAGACTCGAAGGAGCGACTAAACAGTGGAAAATTGGATCGAAAACTTTTCCAGTTATAAGACGTTTTTTTCTCACGAAGCAAGGAGTGGACGTCGGCTGGTACGACAGCCGACAATAAAATGGAAAAATGATAATGGGAGAGATCGAAGCTCGAAAGGCATGGAAACTAGGTATCTAGATAAGTCAAGCCGAAGGGGAGATCCATTGCATAGGCCTACCTACTTGTCAAGGCGCGAAGAGGGAAAAAAAAGCCATCCACTCTCTCCTATTTTTATTTTTATTTTTGTCGGAATGACGTTTTTTGTTCCTCCCTTGTCCTAAATTTGAGAACTGCGGTCCTACTCCATCCTTCCCATCCAACGGAACAAAAGTTGCTGTTTGTCGAGGTGTGATTTCCCCGAAGTTCGAATTGTCGAAGAGGCGAGAGAGAGAGAGAGGAAATACGTGCGTGTGAAGAGAGATTCGAAGATCGTTGACGTTATTTTTCAATTTCGTTGTTTCCCGCGTTGGTTCCAAGGATCCACGCTCACGTCTGGGTTCCGGATCCAGGGACAGTTGGCTTTTCGTTTGCTCGGTGGAAGTCCGTACCGTGGTCGTTGGTCAGCGCTTGATTCAGACTGAGTTTTGAGTCAGCCCGAGGAAGATTAATCGGTCTACCACAGTCACTACCACCTCATCGGCCACACCGGGAAGATGGGATATATGGAACGCGGAGAAGAAGAAATGAAGAATCTGGGAGGGGTATAGAGGAGATGGATAGTTGGAGGATAACCGCAATGCTAAGAGGGGGGAGAGAGTAAGAGAGGAAGAGGATGAGAGAGAGAGATAGAGGAGAGAGAGAAGTGAGTGAGTGAGAGGGCGAATGGATCAGGCCAGGCCTAAGAATAACTCACTAAGAAGACTCTTAGTCTTGGGTCTTAGACCTGCAGGGTCACTAGTAAGTGGTCACGGCCCACCGGACTACTTCATTGTAGAAATGAGAACATTAGTCATAGTATGGAGTAGTAATAGTACGATGATTTGAACTCCTGCAGAGGAGATGAGGATGAATTGATTCAGGTCATCTGTACCTACCTGACCGTACCAATACTTGAGGCACTCCGCAACACTCCGTACCTGCAATTGTCCAAGAAAAAGAAAAAGCGTACAGGACTGACAGTGACGTGACGACCATTCCCTTTCCAGCTGCGGAAGACGAGGCTAGACCAACATCATTGGCTTGAATGGAGAACGCCAAGCCTGAGTTTAATGAAATGCCGCCGTCAAGTTTCACCAGGATTAAACTAGCCGGAAAGATGAATACAGAGGATGGTCAGAGACAAGCATCAGACCGTACACACAATACTCCGTACTCTATAGGACCTCCTAGGTACACAATACTAAGAAAGTACTCCGTACCTAGGAAGAAGTGGTAAAAGCAATAATACTCGAAGAGATTAGCCAGAAGAGAAGAAGAGAAGAAGAGAAGAAGAGAAGAAAGGTGAGGTCATTTTCCGACGCAAGGGGCGAAAGAATTAGGTACGGAGGACATGACTATTAATCCCTCCTGCAAGGCACATACACATACATACATCTTAGGTACACAACTAGCACCAGCGAGGTGAAATTATAGCAGATTATAGCAAGTCCTCGGTACCGAGTGCGCATACAAAGACCCATACAGACCTTCATAGACCAGGTAACCCATGTACCCGGTACCACCGACTATTAGGCAGCAAACAAATAACTGGGACGTATCGCGGCTATTTATATCCTTTTTCATCTCCATTGCTGTCGCTTCGGTCCGCCGTGAATAGCGAAGGAATGGATGTTTCGAAGAGTGGAATGTGGCATTCCAGATTTTATCAGGTATCTCGGAGTAGATCGCATTCCATATAGGGAGAAAGGCTTACAGAATAATCCCTCCCCTAATGAAAGGGAAACAAAAAAAAAAAAAAAAAAAAAGGAAAGAAAAAGTACGGAGAATCTATGGATTGTTCTTCCCCCGAATTGTGTGGGTTTCTCCAACTATACACAGTGAGAGTATCTCCCTCCCCCTCCTGTCCACCCGTCACTACTCCTCGGCTGGCATCCCGTAAAAATCTGGAGGATCCAAATTCAATAACGATTAAAGTAAATCAAAGAGAAGGGTCGAAACCACACCTTCAACGCTAGCGATACTACGAGGGGGGGGTATTAATAACGGACAGAACGTTCGTAATAACTATGTACCTAGAAGGTCTCCAGTTCATCCGCTCCCCCCTCTGCTTCGGCCGGGATCTCGAATCCTTCCTATAGTCACCGTTAGCCAGATCCTCTTCGGAGTTCAGACACAGGAGGGAATGACGATACCTCTGTCGAATACAAGATGCCTTGAATGTGCTTGACCAACGAGTCCTCCTCCTTCTCCAATTCCGGGTCCGCCTCGAGGGCACTCTGCAGCAGCAGTTCGATGTCCCGGAGCTTGGCGAAATAGAAATCTCGTTCCTTCTCCAGTCCGGCAATGGCCTCCTTTTGGGTGGCGAGTTCTTGCTGCAGCGCAGTCACATTCGCCGAGCTAGCAGCCCCGACCGCAGCCCGGGGCTGACGACCGCCAATGGTGGGAGTAGTGCCCCGCCGCGTAGCTCCCGCAGAGGATGCACCGGCACGAGAGCTCCCTGCCGAAGCAGAAGCAGGAGCACCGGAGGCCTTCCGCCGACTAACGGCATCGTACTCACCTCCCGGGTAGTGCTGATCCCAGTACCGCTTCGTCCACTGGAGGAACTCCAGGTTGTCCTGCATCCTGCATTTCGTGAGTTGCGGGACGGGCACCGGCTTGTCTACCTGATGACGCATGAAAACATCTACAACGAAGACCATGTCAGCGGGAAACGACCTGCCATCCATAGGGGGTCAATCCACTCGGCGGATAGGGAACGTACTCTGAAGGACTTTGAAGTTCTGGAGGTAGGCATATTCGGTGTTGACGTTGAACTTTACACGGGCCATGGGAACATCCACTGCACAACGAATAAATCACCCGTTAGTCGGCTGCCATCCATCGACTGGGACCCATCCTCGTCTCCAGGTTGGCAAACTCACTGAATATCGAGTCGAAGATCTGACAATAGGCAGCACTGTGCAAGATCACCACATCAGCGTGTCCTGTTCACTCGAAGATAGGGGTGTCCTTTTTTTTTTTTTTTTCGACACAAATTACTCGATACCCGACACCCGGGATAACGGGATCATTGCCGGATCGCAAGGAGTTGCTGCGTGTAGGGTAGAAGGAGTTTGGTTCATACCCGGTGCCGCACTGCTCGATCTTGGTTAGGTTCAACTCCAGGAGTTTGTTAACCCATGACAACAGGTCTTGTCTGCTCAATTGCACAATCGTTAACTATCACGCTTCGTACGCCAGGGGATGTTCTGGGGCCAAAGCCCATGTAGGGAGAGCCGGGGCGCACCTGGATTCGCCCATGGCGGGGTAGATGGTCGTAAGTCGGTGGAAGGTAGAGATTAAATGAGGAAATCGGGAGACGAGAACGGTGGAGACACCACAGGAGGACAATGGATCGAAAAGATAAAAGCCCAGGGATCCGAGAAGACAGACCCTTCTTTGGACGACGTTGGTCCTTTTGGCTTTGTTTACGGGGCAAGGAAGAGGAAGAGAAGCCCAAGAATTGTTTTGCTGCTGTCGCCAGAATCCACGGCTCCAGTCAGGCGCTAGGGGCCTCTGGCGGCCAATCAGAGCGCCGCTTCAGGAGTGCCTGGAACGATGGGATGCCTGAGGCAGATTGGCATCAATTACCCTTTGGTAAGCAGGATACCACGGGCCAACTATATAATGCTTGCTGCCTTGTACATCAGGAATCGATTTCTATGTACCATAATGGGGTCCATGTTCTAAGAGCAAGTCTAGATATGCCAACAGGAGCAAACGCAAAAAAGAAAACAAGTCATCTCTATCGCTTCCCAATGTATGTATCCCTCATAGTCAGTCAAAAGAAAGCAAATGAAAAGCAATAAACACCACATCCTCTTGAAATATCCATAAGAACTCCAAAATCAAAGGCTTTTCTCGCTAAATATCCAGCCAAGTCAAGAAAGAAGAAAAATAGGTCTATCCTTCTAGTAAATCAATGCCGTCTAAACCATATCCAAAATCCATAATAACGGAGCGACCATCCTGGCTGGTAGCGAGAATACGCCGGTAGTCCGACTTCACGCTCAGCATCCAGCTAGTTGTCCATCCTGGAAGATCAATCGACAACTCTCCCGTCTGCGCATCAAACACCTTGACACTAACGTCGTAGCTTCCACTGACAATCCGCTGGCTCATGCTATCCAGGTGCAACGAGCGGACCAGCCCACTGTGGCCCTTGAGCTCTTTGACCAGATCGCCCGTGTTGGCGTCAAATTGGTAGATCACATGGTCGTTGCCGCCCGTGAGGATGGTGCGAGCATCGTCACTGAACTCTACACATGCCAGACCCCGGTCCTTGCTGGGGAATTCTTTGATGCAGAGACCCGACGTAATATTCCACAACTTGGCGACCCCGTCTCCGCTGGCCGACACCACCAGGTCGCCGCGCAACTGGACGGCGTTGACCGGGCCACGGTGTCCCAGAAGCCGCTTCACGAGAGCCCCAGTGTGTCGGTCCCACACGCAAATGGTCGTGTCCTTGGAGCAAGAGACAATGTATCGATCATCGAAGCACACATCCAGCACGCCAGCTTGGTGGCCTTCAAGGCGGCGGATCGGCCGGTAGTCGTTGTGAATATCCCAGACAATGCACGACCAGTCCGAAGACCCGGTCACCATGATCTCCTCATCGAACTGCAGGCACAGAATCGATGCACTGTGGTATTCGGACTGCTCCACGGGAGACACGATGCCCGCCGCGAGCGTGGGAGGAGGGCAGATGGTCAGAAACGGGGGCTTTCCCTCGGACTGCCGGGCTGGGTTGTTCACCGGTCCAATGCTGGGGTCATCCTCTGGGGGAGGGCCGATGATCTTGCGGCATGGCCAGGGATAATGAGCGTCCCATACGCGGATGGTCCTATCGCGCGAGCCAGTGATAATTTTGTTTCTGCCGTCAGAGGTCAGCACAAGGTCAGAGATTTCCTACTACGGGGGGAAGCACATACTCATCAAACTGCGCACAATAGACACTGTCCGTATGTCCATGGAGATAGATAGCCGCCGCTTTGCCTTCTTTCCACCGGTGTTCTAATGCCCGTCGGACGAAGAACATTCGTTTCCAGTCTTGATTCGGATGCGGCTTCCCCAACCCGAGGGACTGCTTTTTCTTCTCCGGGGAAGTACCGCTCGGGCGAGAGTGTCCGTAGGCACGACGGAACACATGCCTCCAGACGTGCCGGGACGAAGCCTGCTCATTCCAAACACGAGAGACCAGTTCAGATTGCAGAAGAGACTCGGGGTCAAGATTGGTGAAGACTTGCGACATGACCTCTGGCGGCAGGTAGGCGACGGGGTCGACCCGCACCATGTCCTGGTCGACGTCGGACAACTCCGAGCGATCCCGGAGGTCGATCCCAATGCCGCTTTCCGAATCTCGCGGAAGCTTCGCATCAACCCATCCATCACGCTCGGCCTTGGCCAACTCGTTCTGAGCCGCCGCGGCTGCTCTGGCGGCAGCACCCGCGTACCTATCATTAGGGAGGATCGGGGGCTCGCGACCACTGCCCGGAATTGGGAAAGTGACGCCTGGCACAGGGTGGTAGAAACTGGTTAGCGACAGCCGACGATCAATCCTGGAGCCTCTGCACCAACTGTGTCTGGAGGGGGGAGCCCGGTTGCCAGTGGTAGGGTTGGATTCGTTGGGGGGGAAGGCGTGCTCTTCTGGATGAGTAGGAGCGGCATGTCTGGAGGACCTGTTGCGGATGGTCACTGACAGACGACGACCCAGAGCACGCAGCCCATCGACCGGATGAAGGAGACTGGAGAAGCTTTTGGCTCCACGACTTCGGGGGGCGGGTTCCGGGAAGTGGTTCATTTCTTCCAGTACCGAGGCTTCGTCATCAGCCTTATCCAGCACGGACTGTCTATTCCACACATCATGATAATCAAATGCCGGTGTCTGAAAGGACGAGGAGGCGGCTGTGCGAGGTCGAGCCCTGAGCGAGAAGGAGGGACGTCGGCGGGATGAAGGAATAGCGGTCGAATCTCGTGGGGACATGGCGAGGCAGGGGAAACACCACGAATGGACGAGAACAATTAGGCTGGGGAGAAAAATAGGCAGCCAGTCGATCAATTATATACAAACCTCCAGAAACTTATTCCCGCCAAGTAAGACACGATTTCAGGGGGAGGAAGCGCAAGGGATGAGACGACGTAGACGGAGGGGGAGAAATATGGATGGCGTGTGACAGATGGAATATGGAAGGCTGAACGTTGATTCAGCAAGGGGGAGGCCTGATGGATCAATTCAAGGCGTATAGAGAAAGAGAGCCCACGATAGCTGGGGATTAAGGAACAATTGAGAGAGTGATCATAGATGTCGGATGACTATCACGAGAGCCAGGTCAATGTACAGACCTCCAATGTACAGACAGAAATGACAGAACAAGACTATAGGAAGGAGAGAAAGATAGAAAGAAAGAAGAGAAGAAAAATATAAAACCGCTGACCAAAAGAAAGAAAGAAAAAAAGAACTAAAAGAAAAAAAAAACAAAAAAGACAGTTCAGGGGAAAAAAGAAAAAAGTAAAAAAGTTGGCGGTGAGGCTGATTTGCCTCCCCGATCAAGCCCGATCAAACTTTTTATTTTATTCGCCCCTGAATATCTTCACTTATTCTTAAGTACGGTAAAAGTGATTCTATATTATATTAAAACTCGGAATTCAGAAGAATACTCAAGAACAGAGAATATGATCGCCTCCCGCCCCCGTGGGGATTGATCCACCACAGGTCCAAAATATTTTAGCTTCTGTACATACTCCATACAACTCCATACATACGTAGATCTAATCATGTCTTATTTATCCATCGCAAAAGCCTTGTCATACCCCGTCATGGTAAACCGATAATGAACATCCCCCCTTTTCATCCGCTCCATCGCCTCCTTTAATCCTTTCTCCCCGATTGGAAGCTCCTCCACCCACCCCTTCAGGCCCTTGTCGGCGGCCAGCTGCAGCATCTCCAGCATCTCCCGACGACTTCCCAGATGGCTAGCTCCGATCAACACCCCATTGTCGAGGAGATCCTGAGCCTTGATGACCTGACCCTCCTCCTCGGGTAGTCCCACGCTGATCCAGCGGCCATGCACATCCATCATGGACAGGTACTTAGCCAGGGCAAAATCCTTGGTGGAACTGGCGCAGTTGATAATGAGATCGAACGAGCAGCGATGCTTCATCTCCCACCCATCCTCCGCCGTGGCAATGTATCCGTCGGCTCCGAGCCGGCGTGCATCCTCCTCCTTGGCCCGACTACGCGAAATCGCCCACGTTTCTGCCCCCAACGCCTTGGCGAACATGACCCCAAAGTGTCCGATCCCGCCCAGTCCCACGATCCCGACCTTCTTGCCAGGTCCGGCCCCGTTACGCACCAGCGGCGAGTACGCTGTCAGTCCGGCGCAGAGCATCGGCGCCGCGAGAGTAGATTCCAGCTGCTCGGGGATGGGGAAGACCCAGTGCTCGTGCGTGCGCACATGCGAGGCATATCCGCCCTGGCTGACGATCCCTGTGTCCGGCCACTCGGTGCCATAGGTGTCGACCATCAGGACGGGACAGTAGGTTTCGTTGTCATTCTTGCATTGCTTGCAGTCTCCGCATGAGTATGACTGGGCGCCGACGCCTACGCGCTGTCCTTCCTGGATGAGGGTCACGCAGGGACCGACGCGGATGGCTCGACCGATTATTTCTATAGGTATGAGTTGAATGAAATGACCGGACTGTCTTATTGCGTCTTACCGTGTCCGACGCAGAGAGGGAATTTCTGTTCGCCCCAACCTCCTGGAGGACGTTAACCTAGGATAATCCATCGATAAACAAGGAGCCTACCGCTAATAGTGTGCAAATCACTACCGCAAACGCCGCACGCCTCGATTTTAATGTCGACATCTATTAGAAGTCAATGGTTGGTCTGTCCATGTGGTCTCAGATACGTACCATAATCCCCAAACGGCTTCAATTTGAACTGGAGCAATCAAGTAATGGTTAATACTTCTCCTCCCATGGATGAAAAGACTCACAGATCGCTTATGAAAGGTGGTGTAAGTATCAGGGCTATCGACTTGGAAGCCTTCTGCTTCATCTGGATACGGCATTGTAAGAGAAAATTAAGACGAGAAGAAGTAAAGGAAAAGACAAGAAAGAGAAAAGAGAGTGGGTGTATAGAGAGAGGGAGGGAGGGAGAGAGAGAATATACTCAAGCCCCCACAATCTCTATAAGCGAGCCCATTGCGGAGCACATTGGATTCTCTTCTCTGATATTAACCTGATCTTATCGGTGCCGAGATTCTGTTGATCGGGAGCCTTCCGATATTCACAGGAATTGTAGTATCTAGAGAGTAGATAGATTTAATGATTGTTGTATAGATCCAATCTCCTTAATATCACTTATCCCTAAACGGCGCTTATGCATGCAATATGCATTTACTTTACTTTTATTCCCTATTTATTTTGTTTATTTACAGCATTTAATATTTTCTATTTTTCTCCTCGTATAACCCCTCGATTTCTCCACCTATAAGAACAATGCACTCTACTAGCGCGGGGTAGAAAGATTTCCCGGCGTTCGGAGTTCGCTGCGAGATTAATAGTGTGTACTGTATAGGCATCCATCAAGAATTAATGTCTGGAATACATCTCTTTACGGAGTACTATCACTAGGCAATATCTGGCAGCGTCTTCTCCCGTTCCATCGCCTCCTGAATCCCGTCGGCCACCGCTTGGGTCTGCTCCTCGCTGAGTCGTCCCAGCGGCCGACGAGGATACCCACCGTATCCGTAGTATGTCTGGATGGCGCTCTTGGTACCGGGAATTGCCGTCTTGGTGAGGACCCAGTCGGCAGCACTCAGCAACCGCTGAGCCTCCATGGCCTCGACGAAGCGACCGGCACTCCAGAGGTCGAAGATGAGCACGCAAAGTCGCGGCATGACGTTGGCTCCGCCGGCCAGAATGGCCGATCCCCCGGAGACGAGGGTCTGCAGTGTAAAGTCCGCGATGCCGCCAAACGCCACATATGGGTGATTGGTCCCCGCCGTCGTTGTCAAGGGGGGTGACAGGGGCGATGTCGGCGTGAGGGCGTTAAGCTCACGAGCAACCCGAGTCAACTTGCCCGTATTGGCACAGGTGAACTTGGTACCCACGACGTTGGGGTGTTGGGAGATGCGAATGATAAGGTCAGAATCCATATCGATGCCAGATACCGCGCCGGGATAGTTGTAGAGGATGACAGGCAGCGGGGAGGCATCGGCCACGGTGGTGAAATAGTCATACAGGGTGTCATCGTTACCCACGGCGTAGCGGTAGTAGCTTGGAGGCACGATCAGAGCGTACTCGGCACCGACGTCGGCCAACTCCCGACACAGTTCGATGGTGCCGCGGATGCTCTGCTCGCTGGCGCCCGTGATGATGGGGACATTCTGGAATCCGGCCTCGTCAAGGGCGGATCGCGTCTCGCGGATGACGGTCTTGCGCTCCTCGCGTGTCAAATGGACAGCCTCGCCGTTGGATCCCATGGTGCAGAGGCCAACCAGACCGGCCTTGGCCAGACGCACGGCATGACGACGGATGGTGGCCGTGTCCAGCTCCTCCGTGTCGGGATGGAAGAAGGTCATAGTGGGAGCGTAGACTCCTGGACGGAGGGGGGTACGAGCCATTTTCTATTAGATCAACTATTAGCTATTTATAAGATGAAGGTATATGGGTTAAGACATAGATGAGGAACAAGATATAACTTAAACCAGGAAAGATGGACCTTATATGAACCCTCCACTTCGGGCCGCATTACCCCGCAAGACCATCGGAGAAGCAGCGACGTTGTTAAATAGTATTATGTTGTAGTTAGTTACCTGTAGTACTATGTATGTACTTCTTGATATTCTGACGGAAATCCCCCACGATACACCCCGGATTCATTTTTCCACCAATCAGCAACCGCCGTACTTTTCAATCCCCGACAATACCATACGGCACGGTACGGTACGGTACGCCGGGGAAATTGCACGAATCAGGTGACGGGCGGCTATTGAAGATGGAGAAGAGATTAAGCCAATTCTTCCATGGCTGCAGAGTACAAAGTCCTCTTTTTTCCCATCGTCCTGCCGAAAGGTCCGTGACAGTACTGTAGTTCTTCTCCCCCAGTTTGCAAGATGGCACCCTCCGTGTTGATGGTACGTACCACCAACTCTCCCTCTGGACCTCTCTGACAAGAAACAGGTGGGTACTGGTGAGTACACCACCGGATATGTTGGTGGTGCAGCATCCGGCTCCGACAAGAAGGTCGGCGTGGTGGGATTGACGCTATTTGACCTTCGACGACGAGGCAAGGTCGGCAAACTAAGCATGGTGGGAGTCTCGGGCTCCAAGTACCCGGGCATTCGTAAGTCCCTACGAAGGTAACATACCAATCATATAATAATATTGAACAAAACAGGCGACCATTTACACAAGAACATTTCCCAAGTATACAATGGGTTGGACGTTTCCTTCGACTCTTTCCCCGCAGACAATCAGACCGACCCAAACGCCTACAAGACGGCCATTGATGCGTTGGAGCCCGGATCAGCCATCACCATCTTCACACCAGACCCGACCCATTTCCCCATTGCTTTGTACGCCATCCAGCGCAAGATCCATGTGTTGATCACCAAGCCAGCGACGCAGCGTCTAGCGGACCACCTAACGCTGGTAGACGAGGCACGCAAACATGGCGTGTTCGTCTTCGTAGAACACCACAAGCGATTCGACCCAGCGTATTCGGATGCGCGCGCCAAGGCTCGCAGCCTGGGCGACTTCAATTACTTCTACAGCTACATGAGTCAGCCCAAGAGCCAGCTGGAGACGTTCAAGGCGTGGGCTGGAAAAGAGAGCGATATTTCGTATTACCTCAACTCGCACCACATCGATATCAACGAGAGCATGGTGCCTGATTACACCCCCGTCAAGGTCACTGCGTCTGCCGCCAAAGGCACAGCCGTCGACCTTGGCTGCGTGTCCAAGACCGAAGATACAATCACTCTACTTGTGGAGTGGCAACATAAGACTAATGCCTCTAAGAGAGCCACGGCCGTCTATACCGCTAGCTGGACGGCTCCTCAGAATGCTGGTGTGCATTCTAACCAGTATTTTCACTGTATGCCATCCTCCTCCTCCATCCAACCCAATAGATCAGACTAACAGAACCAGATATGGGCTCCAATGGCGAGATCCGCATCAACCAAGCCAAGCGAGGCTACGACGTCACCGGTGACGAGCAGGGACTATCCTGGGTGAACCCGTCGGTCCTCCTTCTCCCATTTTCTTTCACCCAGCTAACCGACACAGATTCTATATGAAATACTCCCCCGATGAAGAGGGCAACTTCGGTGGACAAACTGGCTACGGATACATAAGTTTTGAGAAATTCATCGACGCGGTCACCGCGGTCAACGAGGGTCGAGTGACGCTGGACGAGCTGGACGCGCGACCGTTACCGACGCTAAAGAATACCATCCCCACCACGGCCATCCTCCACGCTGGACGGGTTTCGCTAGACGAGAAGCGGCCGGTGGAGATTGTTTCGGAGAATGGACAATGGGGGTTGAAATGATGATTATTATATATAGATGTATAATATCTATCTTATATTCTTTACTAGAACATCTATTTCATGTTCATTATTTGGATGAATCATAGAATCGAATCCATTATTTGATTCCACATCGGTCAGTCAATCTTAATTTAAGATGAAAAATGAAAGGATAAAAGATAACCCCAACACCATGCCATTAAAATTCTTGGAATCATATCAAAAAACACGCTGAGCAACTCCAAAGTCAAATTCGAAGGCCAAGAACGAGAAAAATCATCGACGCGGGTTATTCCGTACAATCCCATCCGTGCCCTTGTTCAGTTTCACGCGGCAGTCGGGACAGTACCACTTTGCCGTTCGACTGGGGACTTCGGAGAGGCCGACGCAGTCAAGATGGAACCATTCTCGATCACACTGCATCATTCATATTAGCATGATTCGTAGGGGCAGAGGAAGGAGGCGTACGTCTTGGTTTTCGCAGCAGATCATCGTGCCAAAGCTCACATCGCCACAGAGACAATATCGGGGTTCATTGGGATCAATCTCCTCCAGCACGCCGTCTTCGTCGATGCGAATGTCATCGCGGGGCTGCGAACCATCCAGTACGCCGGACTCGCGCCCGCCAATCTTCTTCTTCGACGGTTTGGCCTTGCGTCGCCCGTAGCTGACGGCAGCACCGCCGTCCAGGCCGGACGAGACGGGTCCCGGAGCAGGCCGCTTGCGACGACGCGGCGCGGTGGCCTCAGGCGCAGGGGTTCGACGCGCTGGCGTGGCGCTCTTGCGGCGCAGCTCGCGGCCTCCCATGGTGATGGTGATGCTGGGAACCGGCTCTGCAGAGGCGGCGCCCGAACGACGGCGCAGTAGCGGTCGCGTTGTCACTGGGGGCGTGGACGTTCTGCTCTCCTTCGTAGTGGAGAAGGTCAAGGGAACGGAGTGCTTCGAGCCGGTCGGGGAGGGGGACCGCAGGGACGCATCCACGGCTTCGGCACCAGCTAAGGGGACATTAGTCGATGCCAGGGTGGTGGCCGAAGCGCTGGATGTGCTCACAATCGTGTCAACCGGAGGGGGGGATTCCTTGCTGGTTCGACGGCGTTTCGTCGCGCTGCGCAGCGCCGCCCGCGTTTCAGGGGCCGTGGGAGCAGCCAGAGCTGGAGTCGGGCCCCCAGGGCTCTCGTCGAGTGATCGTTTCTGGCCGCCGTGCGGCTGGGTTTGCCCGTCGTATCCTGGGAGTCGACGAGGACGTCCTTGGAGGAGAGGGGAGAGGTCCGCTGGGTCCGACGCTTGCCCGTCTGCGCTGCTTCGGCGGCGGCAGCGGCAGCAGCAGCAGCGGCCTGCTCACGCGCCTGGTTTTCACGCTTGAGCTTCTTCGCTTCGTTAAGTTTCATGCCGCGATTGCTCAGCTTCGTCTCGAAGGTACCCTCGAGACCCGTCATGCCTTCCGTGCGCTTGGTTAACTGACCAGGGATATAAGTGTTCATGATATCATCGCAGTCGACGAACTCGGTCCCTTCAGCCTCAGACTTAGCCTTGGCTGCGCGATAGGCCTCCCAACCTCGACCACGCAGGGCCAGTTCGCGGTGGATCATAACCTCGCTGGGCTGCCAGACGGCATTCTTCTTCATCTTCTTGCGCAACTTGGTCATCTCCCATTCCGTCAGGCGCAGCCACGGCATGTCCTCGCTACCGGGTTTCGCATCGTCGGGCGGCGGCTTCAGCAGGGCCAGCGCATTGCTGGTCGAGAGGGCAGTGCTGCCGCCACCGCCGCCGGAGGTCGCAGCGGCTCCTGAGGTGCGCGACCGGCGCCCCTGCTTCTCTCTCTTGACAACACTCCTCGCCGCTGGCTGGGGTGGTGACTGGGAAGACGAGCCCTTGTCCGGCTCTACATCGGAGTGTTCGGTGCTGGCGATGGGGGGGAATCTGGGTGCAGTCCCACCAGATGGCTAGCGGAGAGAGTGGCGCGTCGTGAGCGAGATTTCTGTGGGACATGTCTGGCGTGATCTTGGCTACCATCGAAGCGCAGGGTGATGCGCGTAGTGGGGGCAGCAGTGTCGTCGCCACCCTTCTTGGTAGATCGGCTGCGTTTGGTGGAGCTGGAGACGGGGGGCACGGGGGTGGGATCGCGCGATGCGGGTTTGGGTAGGGCGTGCAGCTTCTGTCTAATGCAACCGAGGCGATTAAAATGGCGATCGACGACGTCGTAGAGACGACAGGCTTCAGCGTAGGCGGATTCGCGCGCGTTAATGGCGCAGTCAATGTGGAGAGAGATGTCCTTGCGAAGGGCGCAGGAATCGGGACGACGGTCAGGAGAGAGATCAGGTAGCTCGCCGTAGGTCTTGGTAGCCTCATGGACGTGTTGAGTGGCCTCGAGATAGCGCTCATCCAGGCCACGAATGAGGGTGAGGGAACGGATCAGGTCGGCGGGCAGGTACTCGGTGTAATCAATGTAGTCGGTGACGGTGGCCTGCGCATCGGGGTCAAAGGGACCGTCGAGGATGAGGCCTCCATCATGATAGTCTGTCATTGGGGGGAGTGAGGGGGATAGGGAGGGGATCAGAGAGAGGATAGAGGATGAGAGAGCGAGAGAAGATGGTATACATGCAGAGTGTACGAAGTAGAGAGGATGAGAGACGGCGATGGAGAGGAAGAAGGTTGTTCCGTGTATGCCTGAGGACAGATGAATGCCTGAGGAATATCCTACCGAGTGAATCACCTCTGAATAAATCCAGAACAATATCATATAATAAGTTGAATATAGTATTTGTACAGTAATATTGTATGGTCTCCTGTGTAGAGAATCAGACTGTATTCTTCTTATTCAGCTCTATGATTCGTATTGATCAATACAGTCGAATCAATCTAGTCAATCTAATTATTAGATATCCTATATAGATTAGGGCAAGTCGATATATTTATGAATTCACTGATCCTAGCTCTAGCTCTTCAGACTTGGTACATCCATACTATTAGGATATATCAGGTCTGGAATAGAATTCAGATAGGTATATTTACCTGTCTCAGTGACTGAATGCTTTCTCTGTCTTTCACTGCATCCGTTTGCTCTCTATTATCCCCTTTGAATCTCTCTTCCATCCTTTCTCTCTCACTATCCTTCCACCATTCCTCTCTCTTATCCTCTATCATCTGTCTATTTTCTCAATTCAATCCCTACAATGGACCGTATCAACCGCCTTCGTCTTCTTTTGGACCACGATGAGTCCCTCCTACATCTCAACGCAGGCCTGCGCAAGCAAGGCGTACACGAGAGAGAAACTCCCCATGACGCTTCGAACGCACCCCAGGAAGCCAGAAATACATCCCAATATCCCTCAGATCCATCTAGAGACCCTTCGACACAGGACCAAGAAGCCTATGAACAAGTACACCAACTGACTCCCCTGGACCCCATCGCCGTTCACGATGGATCCTTCTGTCCCGTCGTGGCTGTCTCTCGGTTCCCTTACAAGTTTGTCAAAGACCAACTCTCACAGACAGTAGCCAGTCAATTCTTCGATCGTGGCCAATTCTGGAGTAGATCTTGGGACCTGTAAGTCCCTCTTCTTCTCTCCTTTCCTAGCTAAGAAAGTAGATACTATGTCCATCTTCCTCCCCGTCTCGGTTCGCGAGTACTGCTCCTCGTCTCCGCTAGTCAGGTGCGACAGTTCCTCCAGGAGATCAACCACGCCCTAGAATGCCGACTGTCTCTACCGACCGAGTCCAAGAAAGGCATACTGCTGCCCTTCGGCGAGCGGAACTGGTGGCCCCAACCCATCTTCTTGGGGAAATGTACCAGCCTGGACACCAAGGAGCGTCTGCTGGCGGAAATTCCACCCGCAAGCAACCAGGACCAGTTCCCTACTGACCAGGACAAGGACTACCTGGCCTGGGAGCAGGCCCTCGAGGCGGCCGTGGATGCCACCAAGAACAGCAAAAAATCAACCAAGGCCAAGCAGCAGCAGCGCGCCATGCATCACCAGAGCCTGGTGCAATGTCTGGAACGCACGCAGCGGTACTTAGGACTGCAACCGCACGAGGAAGCCGAATCCGAAAGGACGTGGGAAGCAGCCGCCGAGCACGAGGCCGCCGCCGCCGACTGGGAGGTGACCCGGCCCATGATGTACGGCTTCTGGAAGCAACCGCTGCTCGTCAGCATTGACGTCGAGTGCAACGAGCGCTGTCACAAGCAGGTGACCGAGGTGGGTATCTCCACGCTGGACCTGTCACTTCTTGTCGATCAGGCTCCCGGCCCCCTGGGGAAGGTCTGGACCGCGCAGATCGCATCGCGACATCTGCGCGTGCGCGAATACGGCCACATCGTCAATCGGGACTTCGTCGCTGGATGTCCGGCCAACTTCGAATTCGGCACGAGCGAATGGGTGTCAGAACGGGACCTGGGAGCTGTGGTGCAGGCCAGCTGGGAGAACGCGGGCGCAGTGGTTCTCGTAGGACATAACCCGGGTGCGGATCTGGCGTATTTGCGGCAGCTTGGGGTAGCGGTTGAGGTGCAGACTGAGGCGATGACGGGCATCGTTGATGTGGTGGATACGGCAGAGACGTACCGGATGTTGCGGGGCGAAGCGACGGTGCGATCGCTGGGGGGAATTCTGGGCGAACTGGGACTGACGGGATGGCATCTGCACAACGCCGGGAATGACGCTCGTTATGCATTGGAGGCGATGATGGGGATGTTCTTCAATAATTCATCCACTTAAGCATTCAACTCAACTCAATCAATAATTCATTCAGCTCAATAATCAATCAAATTACTATTCAATATTCAAAATGTCACTAACGAAACACCTCCTCACGATAACCCCTCAGTCCCTCCATCGCGCCACCACGCACTCCTTCCTCCAACACGCCGGCCAAGGCACGCTCTCGAAGAAACATTTGACACGATGGCTGACTCAGGACCGACTCTACGCGCAGTCATATATCCGATTCATAGGACTTCTTCTCTCAAAGATCGATCTCTCCTCCTCCCCTTCATCCTTCTCGACGACCTCGACGACCGACCGAGCAGTGGGTATTCTCAGCGATGCGTTGGTGAATATCCGTTGTGAATTGGGATTTTTCGCGGCCGTGGCGGAGGAATATGATCTGAAATTGGATTCTCTTTCAGAGGACAATGAGAATAGGGATGAGAAGGAGAAAGATGTCTCTGTCGCGCAGCCAGGTACAGATACAAATCCAAATCCAGCTTCACATACACAGACTGACAAAAGTGGCAAAAACAATGATACAGACAATACAGACAATGATCAAGGATACATCACCCATGCATACATCAACCTCTTCATGTCCGCCGGGAGTGCCGGGGTCTCCCTCCTCGAAGGTCTGGTCGTTCTCTGGGCTACTGAGATGTGTTATCTAAGAGCGTGGAGGTATGCAGCATCCTTTCTAACAGAAAAAGAAAGACAGAGAGAAGAAGAGGATGCCGACGGCGGGGCGTTGCGGAACAGGTTCATTCCCAACTGGACGAATCCTGAGTTTGAACGATTCGTGGAGGAGATTGGTGACCTGGTGGATGCCATGGCAGACGAGCAAGGAGAAGAGAATGGCGAGATGCGCGCCCGGTGTGAACGCTGGTGGAAGCAGGTTCTGTGGCTGGAGGAGAGGTTCTGGCCGACCATATAAATAACATTGACGTTATATATATAACTTATATCGTATATGTATATCGTTCTCCCTCTATCCACGCTCTAACAGTATCATCATTCATACCATATCCCATAATCAAATATCCATTACGACGTCGCCGCACTCGCTCGCGCTGCACTGCTCAGCTGTCGATGGTACGACCCGATCGGTTGAAAGCCTCTGCAAGGACATTGACATTAGACGAGAGTTCCATCCTTCCCAATTCAAAGGGGTATCAAGATACTCACCGTGCCAGATCGAACCCCCCTCCATCATCCTCCTCCTCGTCCTCCTCGGGTCGTCCGTTCATCGGTCGCGGTGTCTCCTCACCCGAGCCCTCCCGTCGCGGTGGCAACGACCGGCCATGTCCCAGCCCATTCGACGTGCCGGGCTTGCTGGGACTTGCCAGGTTCGGCGGCGGCGGACTGCTGCTGGGAATGCTACCCAGGACATCACCGCCATCGCCCTTGAGCGGACTCATGTCGGGCACTGGTCGCGCCGGCGTGCTCCCGATATCTGCGAACTTCCAGAACTGCGCCGGCGAGCTCATCGGCATGAACTTAGACGGGATCTGCGCCGTGCTTGGAGGCGGCAGGCGCGGCTGCTGACGCTGCGGCGCCGGCGTGATCATCGATGACGGTCCCTCGTCGTAGTAGGACGACGACAGCACCGGCGGCGATCCCCCCACGAGGTCCGAGAGCCCATAACTGCGGCTGAGGCTGGTGCCGTTGCTGCCCGGTTTGGTCCCCGAGCGTGCCGGCAAGGGCGACGGTTCCTCGTAGTCCCGCACGTTCGGCGGGCGAAGCGGGTGTTCATGGGCGCCGTTGCGACTCGCCCGCGAGCCTCGTTCCGGCGTATACGCTTCGACTGGGGCCACGGGGAAGGAGCTGAAGCCGGGCGACGACACCGGGGGTGACTTCTTGCCGGCAAATGTTGTCTCGATCACATGACTGCCGCGCGCGATCGGTTCCTTGGTGGCTGGCGACGACGGGGCAGATGATTGCGGCCCCCTCCGTAGCTGCTTCTTATAATACTCCTCCCGGTATTCCGGCGCAATCTGCCACTTCATGCCCTTGCCAGGTTCGTCGGTGCGGCGAGGGACTTTCTGGAAGGCTTTGTTGAGCGAGAGATTATGTCGAATCGAGTTCTATATCGTTAGTCCTGAAAGACAGACCACAGGGCGAAATAAAGGAGAGATACCTGCCAGCCACTCTGCGAATGGCGATAGAACGCGTACTTGTCCATGATCCAATTGTAGATACTGTTGAGCGTGAGCTTCTCCTCCTCGCTCGAGAAAATGGCTTGCGCGATCAGCGTCGCATAGCTGTAGGGGGGTTTCAAGTCCTTGGCTACATCCTTGCTGTAATCGATCTCCTCCGTACTCTCCATCATCATGCCGCGGTTATAGAGCGGCGACTGCTTGGCCGTCCGCGCGCCCACGGTGTCGGGTGACCGCGGTGGCGGGGTTACCTGGCGCTTGAGGAACTGCGGCGCCGGGGCCAACGAGGGTTGGCCGGTGGAGGAGACCGAGCCCGTCGCACCGAGGGTGGACGGAGGATGTGCGTGGTGCGAAGCGTCCCAGGAGGCGAGGGTCTCCTCTCCGTTGGCCAGGCGTTGCGCTCGCTCGACGAACGCGGGATGGATGTTAGCCTTGTCCCCGGGCGTGACGAACATCATCTGAGTGTTGGCGATCTCGATGATGTCGCCACAGGAGAGAATGGTGTCCGTGCCGCGCTTCAGGATGGTGTTGTTCAGCCGCACACCGTTTCGACCGTTGACGCGGATGTGCCAGGAAGCCGTCTCCTCGCCGTCGTAGAAGATCTCCGCGTGCAGACGCGACACAAATTTGCTGGGCCCCAGATCCACGTTGACCTCGGGTAGCGCGCGCGCCGCAATCGTGACGGGGCTGGACTGCTCATCCAGCTTCTGCTCGCGATCAGGTTCGCGACCGATGTTTACATGGAGCGTCTTGACGTAGTATGTCCAGTTGCGGCCGGCGATCTTCGCATAGGCCCGGATACTCTGCTTGTTTTCCGTCTTCGCATTCGAGTGGTCGCGAAGGACGCGCACTTCTTCGCGGGCTGTTTCGAGGTAGGAGATGACCATATCCACCAAGTCCTGGTTTTCCGACAGATCACGGTCTGGGGACGAGTGGTCCGCCTCGTCGGCGGATTCGGCGGTTTTGATGGGACGAAGATGATGAGGGGAGGTCCGTTCGACCTGTATATATTACCTGTTAGCCCACGATGCCGAATGGCAGTACCACCGGTTTACCCACCTTGCGCTTCTTATTTGAGGGCCGAGTCGGTGACGAGTCCGGCGCCTCCGCATCCGAGGTTTCCTGGAGTTGAATCTCTTTGCGCCGCGCGCGACGGCGGTTGGAGAGAGGCATTTTTTCTCTTTCACAATCACACGTGCTGGAATTCCTCCGCTCGAGTCTCCACTATGGCGGATATTGAGTCGAGCCGTCGATCAGATGTTCACGAATATCAAGGACCGAACGAGGTGGTTGGTGTGGAGGAGGGAAGAAAAATAGAGCGATCCAAGTTCCCGAACAACGGTGAAATTAGACGAGGCAAGGGCGAATCTGAAGAACAGGCAAGAGAGATGGGAAGCGACCGACCCCAGGCGGATGGACAAAGAAGCCAGAAGAGGCCGCAAGAAAACTCAACCCAGACAAATCTCGAGGGAAGAGCCAAAGAATCGAATCGTTTGCCACCGCGCAGAACCAGACGCGAACTCGGTGGCTGAATAATAGAACCAGCCACGGGGTTTTGTGCGGATAACTGCACTGAGGGACGAACTAATCTGATATTTAGGAGGAGAAAAATAGGATCTGTCAATAAATCTATTGTATAAGAGTATATCTGAGTCTGTCTCTGTGCAAGCATGCGATGAGAAAGAAAGAAGAATGAATGAATGAATGCGTTTGTGAACGAAACTATGACGATCACGCGTTCCGTGACCGCTTCCGTGTGGGGAAATCAATCAGTTCCTCGTGACATTCATTGTATGTATTTATTTAATGCAGCGTACCTGCAGGATCTCACAGGTCTTTAATATTTCGTCTTCGTCTCTTTCCGAATAGGGGACAAAATCAACCAGCCGACAAAAACAACGAGAAATCCACATGGAACCTCTTCATACAGTGGACTAAGAGTGGACGATGTCTTCCCCGCCGCCGTAAACAGTCAGTGGAGACGGACCAGAGCAACAAGACAGTCAACTTCAAGACAGTCGAGAAGAAGCGTCAAGTTCAATACAACAGTCCTCCTTGTTAACTGTCCCTCAAGGGGGTCCCATCAGGCCAACCGGTCGACAGCGTCTCCCTTGCAGTGGAGAATTCAAACCTCGATGCGACCCAACCCAAAATTCCCCCTGTGAATAGCACACCGGATCAGGAAAGACATCAATGGATGGGGGCAAAGCAATGAATGGATCTCTCGATTGCCTTGTAATAACTGAGAAACATCTCTGTTTGCGTCATGATCTCCCGCCTTCAGTTTAGCGTCCAGTCCTGGAATGTGCGATCGGCTCATCGTCGTCCATATCAAACTCGGTCGTCTCGTGGGGACGGTAGCATTCGATCAGTTTGTACTCTCTCGTACCAAACAAACATCGTTGAAAACGGTACTTTCTTCGCTTTTCTTTTCTTTTCTTTTTTAGACTCCTGAGGAATCAACTACAACTACGGAACAAGACAGCCGGACTCCATTCAAAACGATAAAAATGAGCAATAACGTATTCCACATATACAGGAACAGTAAACACCAGTCAAATCCACGATCAACTTTCCCATAGACACGTACACAATCCCGGACGGCATGACAAAAGTGGAGAGAGGAAACAGACAATAAACAATAATAATAATAATAAAAAAAAAAAAGACATTGTCTCGGACAACGGGCCATCTTCTGTGGACGGTAAATAAACTAGATGAGCGCAAACGAATCGAACCACTATCGAGGGGAACTCCAGAGTCGTGAGAAGGGCATAAAGGCGGAAGAATGTAAATAGACAAATTAAATCAAAAAGAAAAAAGAACAAAGAAAAAAGAACAAAGAAAAAAGAAAAACATCACGGCATCTTCGAATCTCCATCTTCGTCCACCCCTCGTAACGTCGGGTACATGACTGTGTCGCTACCCTCCGTCTTCATCGCGGGCTCTTCCGACTTGGTCCCACTCGACCCCAGCTCCACCCCTTCCATGCGTTCGTCCAGCCCGGTTTCCGGCGACTGGGACTCGCTGCTGTCGTGGTGCGCAATGCCCTCGTACTCACCCCGTTCGAGACGGGAGGCAATGTAATTGCGCAGGTACTCGATCAGACGCACCTTCTCAACCCACTGCACATCCGACCGCTCGGCCACCTCCGTTGCCGCCTGAGCCGTCCGGAGGGTTGCCGCCGCCTCCTCCTCGGATGCCGATCCCGAGAGAGCCGGGTCGATCAGGCTGGCGGAAATGCGAACGGGCGACGATGCCGCCGGCCGAGCCTTGGCGGGTGGCGTACGGTCCCCGTCCTCCTTGCCATCGTGGGACACATCCATGGGCTCCGCCACAGTCCGCTCCTCGGGTCGGGCGCGCTGCAGGGTGCCACCAGTGTAGCGGCGGCGGTCGTCATGGTCAAAGATGCCCCCAAGCGTGGATGGCGGCGCCGCGCTCGACGCGGTCGGGTAGCCAGCGGTCATGCTGTCCGGCATGGTGGCCGATGGCAACCGCGGGTACATGCTCGAGCCTCCGTCGTGGTGAGGGGGCGAGACGCGGGCAGCCGAAGGCAGGGAGATGGGCGAGCGACCTGAGGTGTACGACTGCGCGCTCGAGGGAGGAGTCAGTGCCGGTGTACCAGTGGATGGAGAATGCGCCGCCGGGTTGGCCAGCACTGGTCCCCCTGAGGTGGTGGCCGTGGCATGACTAGTAGGCAGCTGGCTGGGTGGCGAGTTGGTAGTGCGGTAACTCATGCCACCGTGGACATAGTGGGCGCCCGGTTGAGCAACACCCGCGGCTGCCACGTTATCATCATTCTCGTAGATGGTATCCTGCATCTGTTGCAAGAACTGATCGATATTGATCAGATCATTCTTGGTCCGCACATTGCTCATGGGCGGCAGATGATAGGCGGGAGCTGGAGGGTGACTACCAGGGCTGTAGCCTCCACCCCCGACGGCAACAGGGGCGGGCATGGGTTGGTACTCTGGCAGCGGACCGCCACTGAGGATGGGAAGAGACAGACTCTGCAAGCCTAACAGCCGTTGGCCAACGGCTGCATAGGAATTGGGATCGAATTGGCGACGTTTCAAGTCTCCAAAGAACTCATTCAGAGCATCATACCCGCGTTTCTTGGACTCGTAAGATGCATGACCCGCCTCGTGACCATGATTCAAAGCATAATAGACGTTCCCATAGGAGGGATTCGCCGGCTGAGGCGGGGGATGAGACTGGTAATAATGAGGAGCCCCATGTGCGTAGCCCTGGCTAGGGACGGGGTTAAGTGCTGGCTCAAAGTAGTGCGCAGCAGCAGCGTATCCTGAGGTAGAATGAGTCAATTTTCAATTCAACAACGCCAGCTAACAGTCGAAAACGAACCTTTCGCGGGATTTCCCCCAAACATCATGTCCGGATTGCGAGCACCAGGCTCTGGAGACCGAACCAGCACGGAGTCATCTGCATGAGTCTTGACATGTTTCTTCAAATCCTGGGGGCGTTTGAACGCTTTCCCACAAAAGTCACACTTGTGAGGCTTTAGAGGCACATGTACTCGAATGTGGGAGGTGATGTGGTCGCGCTTCACGGTGGTGGTACGGCAGCTGCCCCATTGGCAAGTCAGATTGAGGTTGTTGGTGCTCTTGCGACCGACGTGTCGCTCGCATACATGTTCCTGGGGAAGAGAGGGTCAGTAATGCTGAGTGACCAGGTAGGTTTTGAGAATTGCGACTGCAAGAGATGTCGAGCCAGTGGCATCTGTGTCGAGGATCCAAGAGGTACAATACAACGGAGACGTGACTTACATAAAGTGATTCCGGGGTTGGACACTTTTCAGAGCATCCTTGCCATAGGCAAGACAGTTCTTCGCTAGGACGAGTAGCGTTGCCATTCACTTGGGGAGCAGCGGCCACGGCTGCGGTGGCAGCTGCCGCAGTAGCCGTCACCGAGGACGTCGAGGCAGCCGATGAGACCTGGGTGGGTGACTGCGATGAGGGCTGCTCTTGCGAAGTCGACGCGGGAATAGGAGCCGCCGTGGTCGAGGCAGATGTGGTGTCTTGGTGTTCCGACATTGCCAAGAAAAATCTTTCTTGTCCTTTTCTTGGACAGAGCGGAAAAGGGTTGAGGACTCAGCACAAGGGAAGTGTGAAGAGAATCTTCCTCAGCGAGCAAAACAGCAAGATACGAGACCGTCAGGTCTTGTTTTTCTGGCTGATCAGGGATTGATCAAAGATGGGGAAACGCGGTGTGCGAAAAGGACAACAAATACAAATTGTCCGAATACGCGTGTCAAAAATGCCTCAGACCGAAACGCTGGGAAGAGGAAAATAATTCAAGGAGAAGCAGTAGTAGTAGTAATAGGAGTAATCGTTGAAGCAGCAGCAGTAGAGGGGGAAGAGAGAGAGGTAAAAGAAAAATAGGAGAACCAGCCAGGGGGGTAGATAGAGTAAGGAATAGTTAAGAAGAGAGAGGAAGTCTTGGGAGCAAGAGGGGGAAGGCTTGGGTTCTTGTCCTGTGCGGGCGTCCGGAGCCGAGCCTTGCCCAGAAAAGGCCGCTTGCACAGCCCGGCGGAGGGTAGGGACAAGACCGGGCCAAGATCAATGCGGGGCTGTGGCGTTGTTTTGGCCAGCGGTACTGGTATAGTATCATACCACCAGAATTGGCCATTTTGCACCTCGATCTCGATCACATATAAATTTACAAGAACCTCGCCTGTGGATTTCCAGAAGGCCAGGAATTAATAGTGGAAGACATCCAAATTCTACCTTACACAGTAGATGTCCACAAAGTGGTGGGCGAAAACACTAGGCAGTCATGCTACACGAAATGGTCCATAACCTTCTCCTGCACAGACTCCAGCCTAACCATTCCAGGCAGGTATCGCCCGAACTTACCATACCAGAACGGTACCAGGTTGTGGACGGCCCTCAAGCCCCGCGTAGATGTCCTCCCTCCCATTGTATTTCCCAGAACGATCCTTCCATCTAACGGAACCCGACCAGACTGTATCTGGATTACCACCGTATCAACATGCACCCTCTCTGAAACTTGATTGGGTCGACTTTCTGATCAATTTTCGACGAGATCACGAGTTAGTTATGCTAATGGGTTTGATTGGCTCAAAGGCCAGAGTCTACAGGGGTAATGATTCGTTGAGAATGAAAAGGGCGAATTGGATGGAACCTGCCAGTGCCATGGGTTCATTTGCATGCCTATGGTAATTCCCTCATCTTCCCCTCCAGAACAAGTCTGGGCGAGATTCATCCTGCACAGCATCGACCACGGATGCTCTCTTGGCATCCCTCCTCTGGCCCTCCCGCTCCGTCGACAGGACAAGAAGTCTTGGGAGTTGGCCAAGAATATGATTTATGGAAGGAGTGCTGCATCTTGGCAAGGCTTTAGTAATCTTGCTGCCTACGTTGTCTTCTAGAACGTTGAAGGCGATGATTATTTTCGGGATCATGCATGGGGACTCGGGTAACAATTTCACGGCAATAAGACAAGACACTTAGGTGCCTCCTACGAAGTAGTTAATTACTTAGTCTCTGCCGGCATAGTAGAAGTGGATCAATGTCATGACGGCCACTTCTATAGAGGACATTTCAATCTTTGACAGGTTCGATGTAGAAGACCATAGAGATTTCAAAGGTATTGAGAAGCGTTTGTTCTGCCTTACATTACACTCCGTAGGGTAGCATTAGTTAGTGCTCGTGCTCTTCAGGGAAAGCTTAACCAGATCTCCTTGCTACTTCTTGTTGCATCTCTGAACAAGAGACCTGAATAAATTAACATTATCGAAGGGAAACAGCTCATTTCTTAATAAACCGCGGCGGTGTTTTGAGCGATTGACAGGGAAGTATTCCCATCCTTATCGCGTTTGTTGCGACCTTACCCATCCTTTTACACATACTCACCCATACAATAATGCAACACAGAGTTTGAGAGCTATTGCAAGCCCTCGACAAGTTCAATGATGGGCATATGACATGCTGTTGATACAGATTTATATAGAATTCGAATATCTCAACTACATCCTATGAATCTACTCCGTATGTAGGCCAATAATAGTACGAACTATACCTTAAAGCTTAGACCTGTAATTAGCCCAGTAACAGATTCTAAACGCTGCTCAATCCAAGCCTAAAATCCCTGTTCCTATACAGCGACAATTATCTCGTCAAAGATAGATATATGTATATGCTGGAACTAGGATCCTGTGGTTGTATCTGACTTATTCCCTTTATGTCAGGATTCGGAGTTAGAGCTGTCACACCTCACCGCCTGTAGATAATATAGCTTCGACCATACGTCGCTCTGTTTTCTAGCTTCTTCAAGCGATGTCTTCGTCAAAATGCAATCCAATCATTGAGCCATCCTCGTGCTGTGACACTATACATAAATATTAGTTAACTAATCCCAGCCTGGCAAGGGATGACATAAGTAATCACGTGCCACCCTTTCTCGCTGCGTTTGTCACCCCATCAAAAGTTCAAAACCCTTCCAGACCATGATGGATGCACTAACAGTCAGGATCTCCCTATTCTTAGTGCTCGAAGTAAACTACTCGAAGTACGGAGTAGGCATCAAAGCTCTCGATTGGACCATGTGGGGGTCAGTGGGACGTCTTTCTCTCTCACCATCACATCAATTCGTCCCCGTGAAAGAAACTATGGTCCCCTTTATGACCCCCAGTGGATATAGCTAATGTTGAGTAATCCATACACTACTCTGCAGCTTCGCCCGGTCACAGCCTTAACTTCAAAACTTCCAATTGACCTATCCTATCTAAGGGTATTCTACTAAGATGAAGCTCTCCCATAGCCTTGAGATGACGACTCTCGACTGCTGATCCAACACGACAATGACCCGCTCTTACAGTCTTGGCAGACGCCAAACCGTTTTCCAACGCCCCACAAAGACTTGACGCAATACAAAATCTCTGGGTCTCTCTCAGCTTGAGCCACAACCCTATCGAGTCATCATCCCCTGTCAACCTCCGTGTTCATGCGCTTAGCCGTCCTCCTTCCAACGGTCAACGCATCCCAATGGGTTCTGGAAGCCTGTTATTGGTAATTAACCTTCTGCGGAGGGATCTGTTTCGGTGATTACAAGAGACGACAAATGACCAGAAATTGGCTCTCTACCGTGATAATCCAGTGGATGCGGCTGAGAGGTAGGTTACATAGTGCCAACCAGTCACGTCCAACCGGAATTTTTTTTTTACTTTTACTGAGCTGAACACGTATAGATACATTCAAACCCAAACCCAAGCGGCATGGTTACGTTCAAAACGAAGGCTGGAGGCCTACCCCATTGCGAACGCCCTTCCTTCTGTCCTTGGCGGTTCTCATTCTGTTGACATTGGGAGCATTGGAATTCGTACGGTCGTACTCAAATAAATACGGTGGTCTTGCGGCATATGATAATTTTCCGGATAATGCTGCGCCTATCGCGGCTTGCTACAAGTATATACCAACTTTTGTTGCGCTAGTCATTGTGACTCTATGGAGTTTCTGTGCCTACGATGTGATGCGACTCGAGCCCTATTTCCAGCTAGCCATGAATGAGAGTGTGCCTGCGCCGGTGCTTCTCATCAACTATAATTTTTCTTATGGCATATTGGCTCCGATCAGGGCTGCTCGCTATAGCCATTGGCTAGTATTCTGTGTATCACTTGTGTCCTTGGCTTTGCGAATGTGCTTGCCAGCCTTGCACTCTGGTCTTATTTTCATGGATGATATAAACTTCTACAGCGTTCAGACGGTGAATACATGGCCCAATCTGATTGATCCGGAATCTCAGGCAGCGTGGATGGATGATCAGGTGCTCCCCAATGGCCACACTGACTTGGGTGCTCAGCTGCGACTACTTCCATCTTCTGAGTACGCCATGGCTCCTTTGGTATTGCCTGCTGATAATCTGGACAAAACCCTTCTGATCTCCTTGAATCAAACAATCTACTGGGCAAACCTAACTTGTGTCGATATATCACTGGATCGATATCTTCCAACCAGCTTTAATTCCCAAAGCACGGACTCGGGAGACCAACGGCCAGTATCATTTGAGGCCCGCAGGATTCAGGTGCCAGGGGAGGCGGATTCCAGCAGCGGTTGCACAGTCGATGTCGCTCTTGAGCGCACTATCTCGGCCGACACCAACATCTCCCAGATCCGTTACTGGGAGCCACGGCGAACCAATACGAGCTCCAGCGTTTTCAACTCTAGCCATTGCGACCGGTTCGTTTTATACGGTATGGTGTTGGATTTGGGACTAGCAGCCAAGAATTCCAATCCAATATCTCACGCCGCAGCATTTGCGTGTTCTGCAACCTACCATTATGCAAATGCCAATGTTTCCATGTTTGCCAATTCCTCAGTCACATCCGTGTCGGTTGATCCAGATACGGTTGGCAGTCTCGGACCGGCAGAGTTCCAAATGGATAAATTCCAGGATTTAATGCGCTCCAAGTCAGAAGGGGCATTCACAGAAGATTCCATTGCTAAAAGGATAGATCGCTATCAAAGAGACGTATCTAGTCTTTGGGAACAAACATTTATTGTCACAATGAGCAAGTTGTTTGACCCTACTACAAGTCCAGTAAGCTTGGATGCGCAGCAGGTGGCAACTGGAGTCAGTGTATACGTGATATCACGTACAGCACTCGCTGCCGAGTCAATACTTGGCGCAGCTGCCGTTTTACTTCTCTTGCTGTCCTATGTTTACCCACGCAGACCTAGTTTCCTCCGAAGTGACCCAGGACCTATCGGCGCGCAATGTGGTATAATTGCCGATTTCTTCCACCCCGGTGCAATCCAGGCATATGTAGATGGCAATCTGCATAAGGCCACCAGCCGGCAGCTTCGTCAATGGTCCAACAACCTGCGGTGCCAATGGCAAGAAGGACAGGATGGGCGGCGGATTGCGCTCGTCACCACTGACGGCCGGCCTCCAGAGATATCTGCTCGCGCAGCTCGTCGAACACAAGATCCTAACCCGCACTTTCTTATCATCCCGTGGTTTCTATTCGAATGCATATTGCTGGTTGTGACGGTAGTTTTCTTCGTGGCGTCCCTGCAGCGTTTTGGCTTCAAAAAAAGGAACCCTTATTACACAACATGGGACTTGCTGTGCTTAATGTTGCTGGTCTACGCTCCCAATGTAGTTGCCTCCATGGTGACTGTGCTGCTGGCGTCCAGCTTGCGGCATCTGAGCACTTTGGAACCATGGGTACAGTTGCAACGAGGTATGGCTACCGCTAAGCAGTCTCTCTCCGCAAATTACGCCTCCCAAGTCCCACTTGCGGTATTGGCGAAATGCAGAAAAGGCGGACCTCCGCTTCTGATGATCGTGTCGCTGGCATGTACACTCGATCTGATTCTCAGTCTCGTCATCGGAGGGATCTTTGTGCCGCAAGTTGATCTATCTGCTAAATCTGCCACCTCCCTCTTGTATAGGCAGTACAGTCCCTCTACCTTTTCAGCCCCGGCATCTGCAGTCAAGTTTAACAGCTTTCATTTTATCCCGATGAACACAAGCATGCCGCAGATTCCATGGACAACCAACGAATATTCTTTCATCCCCATCGGTAACGATGATGATGAGTATTATAGAACTTTCTACACTACCACTACGCGTGGAATTGGTGCGAGCCTGACATGTCGCGAGCTGCCAGCAAATCATTCATGGTCCGACACAAGCACTGGTAATCGGTACTGGCACTATCAACCTTTCGACGACACTGCCAACACAAATTGCACGGTGGAGGTCCCGTCGGCCAGAACATCTGACAGTGAAGGCATCGGTGACCAGTCTATCCGTTACCTAACATCTGCTGGGCCCACAGATTGCCAGATGTTGACGATCCTTGTCCTTGCCCGTTGGGGTGTATCAGATGGCATCGTTGGGGACGCTGACAAAACAACGGCATTGCAGTGCCAACCGAAGATTCACATTCAAGACTTTGAGATCGACTTTGACTTCAGTGGACAAATCCAAGCATATAGACCGGTTCCTGGTAGCTCAGTAACCAACGGAGATATGTTCCTTAATGCCTCCAAGACACTTGCACAATATAACCAGGTGTTGACGGATTTTCTTCAGAGATCTGCAGAATCCCCGTCATCCCCCTTTTCCCGGCACGACTGGCCTGGGATCTTAACTGCGCATACCTACGAGAGATGGCATCCGTCATCCTCTTCATTCGCACCTGATTCTCTGATTAGTGCGGCCCAAACCACATACTCGACGATGTTCAGCACCTATATCTCCCTCCGGCGAGACTTGTTCCTAGAGCGGCTGACGGGGAGCTCTCTTCCTGCCCTTAATGGAACCATGGCGGAGACTGATTGGGAAATGGAACTGTCTATCCCGACGGTGGTCATTGTCATCGTGATTATCTCCCTGGATTTTCTAGTCATGGCGGGGGTATTTCTTACCCGCCGTGGACGGTACCTAGGGCCGCGCATCCCTCGATCGATTGGAGCACTTATCCCATGGGTCACGCATAGTCAGATGATGCGGGACTTCCAGGGGGCGTGTAAATGGAACAACGAAGAATGGGAGAGCCATCTGGCGCAGAGTGCGAGGCGATACCGGTTTGGTGAGACGGTGTGTGCGGACGAGGTGAGCCGGTTGATGATTGACTACGATACGACGTGCAAAGAGCATGAGCAGGGGCGTCATAAAGGGGCTCGGGCGGAGTGTGTACCTGTTGGGATAGAGTGCAGCTGAGTATTTAGAGTAGACATATTAGTATGTACTTTTAATAATATCAATATAAAATCCTTGATATATTAGTCTACTTTGTATACTAGAATTAGATAACTACGTCATATGACCATGAGTCAGCAATCTGATCCAACTCCGTCGATAGATTCCTAATTCAACCATATTCATATTTATCTTTATATTCTTATATTTATATATACTTATATATAATGATAAAACTCTCGACGATTCTCACCTCCCTCTTCTACCTCCTCCCAATATACGTCTTCGTACTCGCTCCGATCCTACGCTCATGGGCACCCTCATCAAGCACCGTTCTCGACTTCGATTCGGCTCCCGAGTATGACTCCGCGGCGATTCTCGACGAGAGTGTGCTCAGTCTGGACGACGGTGTATTAGTGACCTGTCCGACTGATCAATACCGGGTTCATCTTCTCTCACGCGAGCCATTGGTGATATACATTGAGGATTTTGTCAGTGAAGATGAAGCGGACGAATTAGTTAAGATGAGGTATTCCCCTCTTTTTAGTGAATAAGCCTGAATATAATTTGATACAATACTAATGTATATTTTATATAGTAAGAATTACACCCCCTCCATAATCTACGACGGCACCACCACGCGAGTCGATCCCACAGTCCGCCTGTCAGACCGCGCCCTGCTGGACCGCACCCCCACCGTACGATGTCTCGAGCAACGTGCGCGATCCTTTCAGGGCTGGCGACCGAATCTGTACATCGAGCGCATGTGGGCCCAGCGATATAATGCCTCGGGCCACTACACGCATCACTTTGACTGGGCGGGATCCGTCGCCGCGCGCGGCGGTGACCGTGCCAGCACTTTCATGGTGTATCTGGGTGCGGAGTGCGTGGGTGGAGGGACGAGTTTTCCACGGTTGAGGAGGCCGGTTGATACGAGGTGGTGCCGGTTTATTGATTGTGATGAGCATTATCAATATCAGCAAGAGAAGGGGCAGGAGCAGAGGGATCAAGGGGCCGGGTCAGGCACAGGGCCAGTGACAAAGGAAGGCATAACGTTTAAACCTATCAAAGGGAATGCCATCTTCTGGGAGAATCTCAGACCGGATGGGTCCGGATACTGGGAGACGTGGCATGCGGCAGAGCCGGTGGTCGAGGGAACCAAGGTGGGTTTGAATATTTGGAGTTGGTATCAAGCGCCGAGAAGGTAATCCTTTTTCTTCCTCCTACTCCTCTTTTTTCTTGCGTTTCTTCTTGGATATGTATAAATATATAGACTTTGTTACATTCAAAAAGTACATACACTTCTAACTAAACACCTCTCCCATACTCCGTTACCTCATAACATTTCGTAGACCAAAACAAAAACTATTCACATCTAACTGGTATTCATCCACTGAGCCCACTCATCATTCGGAAGGGTCCCCCCTCGACAGATATCACCATTCCCAAAGATATCATCCAGAGATATCCCCAGGTCAATCCCCATCCCCATCGAGTCGGCCTCGTCCAAACCAATCCCCAGTCCCGGTGCCTGCCCGGATGGTGCTGGCGGCTGCGTTGACACGTCCGCCACATAATTCTGCGGTTGGAAGTTATATCCCTGCAACATGAAGTTGCTGTTCGGTAGTGATACCAGATCCGGACTGTTGACGGGTCCACGCTCCCCGGGTTCGACACGTGCGATACCGGCGACTGCATTTGGGACTGGGTGATGTGCACCGAGTTCGCCAGCCGGCTTGGTAAGTTCGCACTCATCGGCGTCGGCGTCCCACCCGGGAAGAGGGGAAAATGAGCAAAGCTATCCAGGTTCGGCGTCGACACCCCCATGGTGGTGCTGGGATCCGGGGACGTTGCAGCTGAGATTGCGGACCGTTGCGAGGTCGGGTTCAGGCCAAACTTGGGACCCGCGCCCTCATGGCGGAAATGGCCGTCTTCTAACGTGGACATCGGTTGCGTGGGGTACGCGAAGGGGTCATCGGACGGGAACATGATTCCCATGAGATCGGGGAGATTGGTGGGATTCGTAAACGTATTTGGGGCATACAGCGCGGACGAGGACGGTGATTCCCGCAACGGTAACGACATGGGCATCGTGGAGACGGTATTGGACGAGACACCTACCGGCTCCGTGACGGGGAATGTGTCCGACGGCGTTGACACGGTTTCGGGGGCGGATTCCGGCGTGGACGCGAACCAGGTAGGGGTGTGGATGGGACCGGTGTTCGATGGCGTCCGTCGGTGCGAGGCGCTGTCGTCCAGACTCTTCGGCGTATTGCTGGCCTCGGCTTTCGACGGCCGGGTCAACAGCTGCAGGGGGAACGTGTTCGATCTCTGCGGGGGGGGGTTATGTCCGCGAGTGGTCTGGAGGAGGCGTGCTGGCTGCTGCTCGCCGGGGCTGGACGCTTCAGATTGACTGGGTTCGCCGTGCTCTGGCGGTTCTTGAGCAGATCTGGAAGGTTCTTGAACAGAGAGTTGAGGCTTTGCGAACATCGGTCCGCCGCCATGCTTTTTTTTGCTAGCCCCGCCAGCGTGTTCTTGCCTTCCATGGCATCTTTGAGGACCCCGTCCTTGGCCGTGGGTGAGTCGGGGTTCTCGAGCACAAAGAAAAGCAACGAGAGGATGGCAAAGTACGTGGTATACATGGTAAACCAGAACGCCCCATTGAGCAGTCCTCTCTTATGCATGCCCGTGGTGATGTGAACAATGTTGCGGGAAACGCTGACGCAGGCAGCGGCACAGGCGTAGGAACGTCGGTCTACACCACGGGCCTGGGAGCCGCTGGAGACGTAATGCAAGAAGGGGCGATACATGACCACTTGCACATGGGCATAGCTGATTCGTAGCAGTTGTCGAATCCTTCGGAAATCAGTAAAAATCCAAGGGAAAGAACCGCAAAACAAAAAAGAAAAGAAAGGAAAAGAAAACAGACTCAACATACCGTTCCAGCTGCGGGGAGACTTCAGTCCCTGGTCGGAGCGCCGCAGGCAATTCTTCCATCCACGCCTGAAGATCTCGCTCGATCTCACGGATTTTCGAGTGGCTCACGACGTAGCGCTGATCAGACTCGGACCGGTGCTGAGCGTTTTTGACGGGGTAGATGTATTTCACTACCTTCAGAATAATATTCGACAGGCGCGTGTGCGCATTGGCACCGGCCATCAAGGGCGTGTAGTCCGCCGGCGTGGGCAGGATGCCGTCGCGGCCGATGTATTCTCCGTCGACCGACGCTGGGTATTCCTGGTCGATGTCGTCGTCGCTCAGCATCTGGGGCAGCCCCAGAAGCGTGCTCACATAGACATCCATCTTTCGGACGACCCAGAATATGCGTCGCCGCAGCTCGCTTTCGAGAGGATTGAAATTGGCTGTGACCGCTCGGCGATGCAAGCCCAGTCGCAAGGCGGAGCGAAGAGCGATTCCCACGTACGAATAACATGTGCTCAGTTTCGCCGAGGATTGGAGGAAGAGCACCATGAAACAGATCGCCTGAAGGGAGGTCAGGTCACGACAGTCGGTGATATCCAAGAGATGCCGGCCGGCCTTGAAGAATTGGAAACTACAGCACGAGTCAGTTTGAACCGAACCACAGGATGGGGGAACGAGGGGTATTACCCTTGGCCGATGGCGCTCTCATATCCCGAGAGATCCAGGGTCCCAGCCCTGTCATCCGAAAACAAACAGCCGACTGACATGACAATGTAGAGCAACGGTAGGAATGAATGCTCTTCGTTGGAATACTGTTCCAGTGGGGTATCGTAAATCCGATCAAACATGGCATAGAACGACGGCTCATGAACGAACCGCATCAGGGAACATCCGTCCTCCAAGGCGTTGTGACACAGATGCCGTGCGACATCGCGTGCAGGCAGATCATGGGTGGGTGGTAATGACGCATCCTGCGGCGACTCCGACGCGGACTTGGGACTATCCAGCATCTGCTGTGTGATGGGGCGCGACCGCATGGCGGGCACCCCAATGTCGGCTGCACCCAGCTGCTTCCGCAGTCGCCGAATGAAGATCATGCCGGAGGTGTGTCCGTGGTAATCCCAGTGGCCCTGATCATCCAAGTCCAAAAAGCCCGAACTATCGACCATAGATTCCAGCAAGGATTCCTCGCACCCGGCCCCGTCCGTCGGCGCTGCATCCGCCGGGCCGGACGCCGTGGCAGCGGGCTGAAGGCCATTGCAGGCCGGAGGTGGTGGCTGCGGCTCTGGTTGCTGAGGCGGCTGGTGCTTCTCGCGCTTGATGGCCGCTAGCAGCTGCTCCGTGGCATGGACGTCGAATCGCGGGTCATCCAGGTTGATGTCGGGGAGAACGACGCGCAGAAGGGCTTCGGCTTTGTGCAGACGGGTTTCAAGCGCTTCGACATACTGAGGGGCCGGATTACGGCGACGATTGGAGGGCTGGTCGTAGGTGCATTCTGGACCGGAGACCGGTCAGAAAATGGTGCCCATCCCCCGAAAGAAGACCAAGGAGAGAAAAGGCTTACCATAACTGTAGACGGTGCAATGGGTGCAGGGCTGCTTGCCATCGCATTTGATCTTCTTTCGACGACATTCGTCGCAGGCGCGTGTCACCCGGCGACGCTCTGCATGGGCAGCGGCTCCTTGGCGGACGCCGAGGCGACATCTTGGGCTCCCGGGGTCTCGTTTGACAGGTGTGCCGAGGGGTCGGAGTCATCGTGGGCATACAGCAACAAGTCGGAGGAGGGATCGTCCTCGTTTGTATTGGAAGGGGAGGCCATGACGCAGGAAGAAGACCTGGATTACGGTGGACGGCGCACAGTCATGCAAGGGAGCCGGAGCCAGAGGCGATCAGGGACGCAGTAATGTATGCGAGCGGAGACACAAAAAAACCACGAAGGGAGGAAACTACAAGAGGCGATCAGCACGGAGGAATGACCTGCGTGGCGATCCGACCTGCAAATCGCACCTCCACGAGCGTGGAAAATGACGTTCGAATCTCACAGGTTCATGGAAGGCACCGCTAAGTCCGAGGTGGATGCTTCCGAGATGAGGAAATTTTTTTTTTTTTTTTTTTTTCCCCTGTCCGTTCTTTGGGCCGAAGGCGTGGGGGTATCTAGTCGGTGACGAAAGACGAAGAGCGGGAAAGTTTGGTTCGCTCGCTCGAACCGACCGAAGCGCCGAGAGCTTAATAAGAGTGACTGGAGGGAAAAAGTTCTGTGACCGAAAAGGGAGTCAAAGCACGGTTGGTGAAGTTGGGGCGAGAAAGCACCGATCAAGAGGAGAGACAAGACGTACTCTGAAAGGAGGGTTCTCTTGGCTTGAAAGAAGGGGCGTTGGAGATGTTCTGGATGAATTCCCGGATGGAGCGAGGGAGAGGAGAATCGAACGAAAAACGAGAAACCGACGAAATGCGTCAGCCAAGAACGAGATGAAGAAGAAGGACAAGGAGATGGAGAAACTGGAGATGGAATGGAAAGAAGAACGAAGGAATGTGGGAAGACGAATCGAATCCACTCTGCCGGAAAGAAAGGCTAGAACGGATCTAGAAGATGAGATAATCGGATTCTGGCAGACTATACGAAGCAATTCCATACTATCACTTTCCATCAGAATTATGTCTGTCCTCTGCTGCCTCTTTGTGACGCTGGGCTCGTTCCTCTTCGGTTACGACTCAGGCATCATCTCATCCACTCTCGAGCAGTCGGCCTTCGTTGATCGCTTCAATCATCCATCTGATGCGGTCACGGGAGGCATTGTGGCTGCCTACAATGGTGAGCTTCTTGTAGCCTTCTTTGGGATGCTTCTTCCCACTCATTGATGGCCATAGGAGGTGCAATCCTGGGTGCCATCCTCGTATCCTACCTGTCGGATCCGTGGGGACGTCGCTCGGTCATGTTCATTGGAGGCATTCTGGCATCTTTGGGAGCGGCATTGCAGGCCGGTGCGAATACCGTCGCCATGGTCATCGCTGGTCGTTGGATTGCAGGTCTGGCGGTGGGTGCGATGTCTTCGATCATTCCTGTATATTGTGTATGTTTGAAAAAACAATATCCTATCAAAAAGTATTTCCCGATGCTGACCTCCTTCAGAGTGAGGTCTCTCCGTCGCGCATCCGTGGCTTTCTGGCTTCCATGCAGCAGTGGATGATTGGATTGGGGATCGTCGTCGCGGTATCAGCCTTCTCTTTCTCTGCCTTTTGACTTCTTTCCCTCCCTCCCTCCCTCCTGACTGGCAGGAATGGCTGACGAGGTTCCATCCTAGCAATGGGTGGGATATGGCTGTTCCCTCCACCAGGCCGGTGACTTCACCTGGAGATTCCCCCTGGCGCTACAGGCCGTACCCTCCGTCATACTCGTCGCGGGGGTCTGGTTCCTTCCGGAGTCCCCCCGGTGGCTGATGGAAAAAGGCCAGTTCGATAGAGGTCGAGAGGTCCTCGTCTGTCTGCATTTGAAACGAGACCGTTCCAATATCGATCTGGTGGACATGGAATTCATCGAGATCCGCGACAGCATCGCGGAGGAGCAACGAACCGCCGTTCCTTCCTGGCGACAGCTGCTGTGCTCGCCAGCCACATGGCGTCGTCGCGTCCTGCTCGCCTGCGGGCTCCAGGCGTTCACGCAATGTTCCGGCACTAATGTCATACAGAACTACAACCCCGGTCTGTATAAGTCCCTGGGATTGGAGGACCCCACACCACTGATGATCCAGGGCATCTGGGGTGCCCTGGCTCAGTTCTGGAACACCGTGCTCATGCTGTTCATTGATCGTGTTCCCCGTCGCCAGCTTCTCATACCCTCCCTGCTGGGCATGGGGGTCACCATGGGCGTGGAAGCGGCCCTGGCGCAGGCGAACAACGGCTTCCGCGACCCATCGGCCAACAACCCCAATGCCGTGCGCGCAGCCATCGCCATGTTCTTCGTCTTCTCCTTCTTCTTCACCAGCCTCGGCCTCATCTCCTGGATCTACCAGTCCGAGATCTTCCCCACTGCCATTCGTGCGAGAGGTTCCTCATTGGCCACCGCCACTAACTGGAGCTTGAACCTCGTATTTGCCCAGTGTTCCCCCCATCGCGAGATCCCACATCGGGTTCAACTACTTCTATTGCTTTTTCGCCTTCAACTGGGTCGGCGCTCTTGTGGTGTGGGCCTTCTATACGGAAACCGGAGTTCAGTCCCTGGAGGAAGTCGAGAAGGTCTTTACTTCCCCGTCACCAAATCGCCCGCTTGTTGGTGAGCGCAAGGATCCCCTCCCATCCAGGTGGTAGGAAGCGATGGTGCTCCCCGAGAGGGTATTCGATCCGAAGTGGGCATGACTGTGGACCCAAGCATTTAGAACGGTAGAGTTGATAGAGAGAATTCTATAGAGGAATGACAGTGGAATCGGACAACGATCATCATTGAATCATGCTCGCAAATAGCACTTGTGATGCCACAAATGCCCTAGTGGTGTGGCAGTCTTCTACCAAAAGTTATGCTAGATTCAAAGATACATGCAAAAATGGTACCCCTAGTCTATCAGATCCAAAAGACGCCATATCCAAGCACACTTTGTTGTGCACGGCTGTATAGAGAAATAAATTTTAAAAGGTAATCCGGTCCGTGTACATGATTCGCAAAGAAAGTTGGAATCACCAAAAATAATGGGGAAAAAAAATAAAAAAAATAGTAATACTAATAGAAACAGCAAATGAACAGTAGGTGACAAGAGAAGTAGATATGGCCATTGTGTCAAAGCAGGCATGATATAGCTTGTCAGCGGTGCGCTGAGAATCTCATGTCGCAGCGAACTCTCGCATGAGGACACCCACCCAATCATGGGTTGGAGCGTCAGACAGGAAAAGAGAAATTCCTGGACACTGATCCACGAATTGAGGCTGAGCCGTTTCGCGATTTTGAGCATTCGCCCTGCAAACCAAGGCCGGCTGAACGGTGTCCGAGCCGTGGGCGAATATTGCGTGAAGTCTGGAAAGACTTTAGCGTCTAGAGATGGGGTATGAGGAAAAGTGTTGTCCATCGCCACAATTCCATCGTTACATTCGAGCATGATCTGCAGCAGTGCTTCAACGGAGCCGCTAATGCCGACCTCACTCTTGAACATGGCAAGCTGCAGAGTCTGGAGGAACGTATCGCTGTGCTGTGTGGAATATCGGTAATCCCAGAGACCCGCGTTCAGCATTATCAGTGCAACCGCTCGTGCAATCAGTTGCTTCCGGTTCCCAGACGCAGTGAAGCGCAGAGCGGGTGGCGCTGCGAGAATCTCATAGAGAAGCGAGGATTCCTGGAATGCAGATCGGCGCATTGAAGGCATGGACTCATCACAGATGCTATGTTGATGAATTGCGAGCTGTTCGCATCGCTTGAGGAAATCGACAAACTCAACGCACTGTTGTTGAATCTCCTCTTTGGGGGAGTCTAATGGTTGCGGGAGAGCCATTCCTGACATTCTAAACCCCGACATAGGTGATGTGTTTTCTGTGGATACCGACGATATCGAGGATACTGAAGGGAATGAGTGCTCAGGTAAGGTTCGTGGAAGCGGGTGACGTTCAAAGAACAAGCTCGGTCCGTGGGTTTCATAGCCCGAGAGGATGTAGTCCTGCCAGTTGATCAACATCCCCAATCGTGTATTCTCGAAAACAGCTGGCCCTCCACGGGCGCGGATCATTTCTCTCGCGGCTCGCATGTGCATCCAGCTGATCGGTTTGCGCTCCAGACGAGGGTCAAAATCTTCTAGCCCTGCAGCACTGAGGCATGCTATGATCACCTGGTCGGAGACATCGCCTGGATTCTTTATCATATGATTGCGGAGCATGGAAATGGCACGACTGCGGTGGGTAAGAGTATAGTCTGTTTCCTCTTCATTGCGAACCCATGCCCATGTGTTGGCCGCGTGCACAAGGATAGTATTTTGGAATGCAATGGGACCTTTCATGGCCTCTGGAACAAAAACTGCCGTGTACCAATTATGGGCCCTGCTGGATCGAAAATGGGTGCCATATGAGCAAGCCGGCATCTCGTTAACGTAAAAGTCGAATAGCCGCTGACCCTCGAGGTCTAACTCCATGGGAAGACAATTGAAGGGATCTGTCCGAGCAGCACTAAGCATGGTCTTGGGAGAAAGTCCGAGATCGAAGGGAGAAGTCGGGACTGAGGACAACGGTGTCCCGATGCTAGGCTCCGACCCGCTGCTGTGATCGTTTAGAGTGTACGAGTCTATGAGGTCCGAGGAGATGGGAGCTTTAATAACTGCTTGTCTATATGGCAAGGACTTCGCGCCGCTGACAGGCTTTGTGGCGGGAAGTCGTTCAATCTCTTCGACCCCAGGATCATCCAACGCATGATTTCGGTCAGCTACCACCAAGTCCCGTTGATCTGAATGAGGTTTGAGATCAATGCGCTTAGTACCCTGACTTTTTCCTTTCTTTACAGCTTCCCCAGTTATTGCAGATGACCTGCGCTTCTTCGAGCGACTTCGTGTTCTCGGTTGAGAGTCGTGATTTTTCTTCACGGGCTCCTCGGTCCCAGTAGAAGGCTGATCACCATGGCGCCTTTGACGTATATATTCTTGCATTACGTGTCGCTTGACTTGCGTCAGATTGCTCCTCCTGTTGTCGGATGCGTCGATAAATTGCCACCGCATTTGCGAAGACTCTGGCGTAGGGTCATCCAGATTTGAAGTGCTCGCCTCATTCGACATAGTCTGTACCTGGTTTGAAGCTTCCTATAAACTTTCCTAGGAATGCCGAGACGGTGTTGCAGAACGACGGCAGCAAAACTTCCCGGGAATAGATCAACTATTAATTCTCGAAGAGCGAAATCCAGTCGATGCCATCAATAAACGAGGCCTATTATCTTAGTCGGCACTCGAATCCCTTGGACAAGATAACAATAGCAATGGAATATGGTCATGACCTCTTGGGATGTGTGGAGAACTCCGTACTCCGTACTCCGTAGTAATTCAAGTGATCAGACTACCCACCAGGTCTCCACCGAGGGGCAATTGACAGACAGATGAAGAGTAGAACAAAAATGATTGAGTGGATTGTCAAGTAGCTGGGCAGCCTTGTAGCACCAGCAAATCCAGGGAGGATAGTCTAATAATATCCTGCAACAATGGGCACACACGTGGGTGACAAGTGTGTTTAACCCAGGTTTTCAGCCAATTATAGATCTGATTCAGGTTGTTATGCACCAGACTACGGGATAGTGGCTGTTGGTTAAGTTGCACAGTAGTGTGGCTGGTGGCTGGTATCTCGAGGCGCCACAGAGGGCTCAGAGAGGGCGGCTTTGGCTGCCAAAAGAGTCCGAAGAAAACTAGCCCTATGGAGTGTAGGCTGGTGTGATCTGTGTTTCACCTTTCAATCATAGACAAAGGGTCTCACTCGTTAGGCCAAGGGCCAAAATATTGCAGAAGTTCGGAGGCGTCGGATTTCAACAGGGTCATCTGCTTTGGCCCGGATTGGGGGCCTGCAGTTCCAATCGCCCACCTGCCCAATCCCCTAAATTGTGGATATCAGAACGGAAACAAAAGGACAATACAGAGCTCGCTACCAGGCTGGGCCTGGCTACTTGCTGGGTGTCTGCAACCAGTCATGCAGGGCAGTCCATCAACACCAGTTCCGAGATCCTCATTCCCCGGTCCAGAAGAGTCAGTGCATCTAAGCAATTAGTAGAGACTATTGGCGTACTGAACTTCAACTTTGTTAGACAGCGCGCTTCTCCACTCTGAGAGTATGTACACAGTAGATGCATCCGTCTTAGTGGGCGGGCGCATCCGGCTCTAGAGTACGAGTTTCCGACAGGGGAATCTTCCACGAGATAGTGTAGATCACCAACACAGTCCGTGTTTTCTGGCAATCTGATTTGATACTTCTTTGCTGCATGGAAGAAAGAAAGGATTGTTAATTTCGGTGGATAGCCGCTGGAACCATGAGGTTAGTTGCTTCGAACACAGCCTTTGTTCTATTGTCGACATAACCTGTTATGCAGTGTCTTATGCGCCGACCGATATGCAACATCATGTTAAAGCTGGACTGAGTTAGGTTTCCATGGGTCCAATCCTCGACGTTTGTTCTTCCAGGAGAAGGAGAAAGTAGACGACAAGGGAGAAAGAAGTCAGTCTGTCGCCGTTGATCGGCAGTGCACGCCTGCAAAGTCAGGCACGAAGCCTCTCTCTACAAAGGTGCTATGGAATCAGACCCACAGACTGTATCACGATGAAGCAAATAGATTGCGAACGACTAATAATGTAAACTAATAATCTAACCGACTGTTACTACCGACGGCAGGATATCTATCTATCTAGTTCCCTTTACCTCGCCAAACAGCTAGCTTATTTGACCGGAAAAGCCAGTCGATAGTGGCACCGACTTGGCTTCCCCAGTGACCGTTCAGGATTAAAAGCCTTGACCCCGTCTACTCCTTGATGCGATCAACAGAATTTGGGATATTTATTTTCTTCCAGCGTACGGAGTAGATTTTGTTCCGCTTCACCCTTGCAGGTGGCATCACGAACCCTCCCGAATTTATGTTTCAGGCCCAGATGGTGGGAGATTTGACGATATACGGTCAATAATAATCCCTACGAACCACCATGAAACGTCGCATGTAGTGTCCCACGAATTTACATCTCAGGCTCTCTGCGGTGTCATTGCATGTGTTTCAACGGCGCATGGCCTCGAGCTGGTTCCTTGGCCAATACTCCCATTGTCGACGACTAAGGTGTTGGCGGAGGTGGGACATGTCATTATATTATGTGCAGCGGGGATGTAGCCCGTCTCGGTCGGCTTCTGGAGTCAGAGCGTAAGGGGGACAAAGAATTGAGCCCCAAATACCCAGAAGCGCCAGTTATCAGATTCTCTGATTTTGCGGGGCTTCCGAAGTTGGAGGGCTTCTCCTAGACGCAGGTGATCAGTGATAAAAAAAACAATCAAGCCCACAATGAACGGATTGGGATGAAGAATCATTTTACCCAGTCAGTTCGAGTCCATGACCGATGAGATGATAAGATGAATGAGATGAAGAAAAATTCCTTCCTGGAGAAAAACCGGACTTAGTCCACACCGCCTTCATGTAAATCCGCGGCAGAACCGCCAAATCCTGAATGTCCGCGCCGACCGAAGTGGCTTCCTACCACGCGTGTCTTCTTCCAGGGCGTTACGGTCGTGGGGCTTGTGTTTGGAACCTTAGCAGTGGTTTTTTTAATTTTTCTCTTTGTTTCGGTCGTGACTTTTTACTGCCTTCATCCGCCGAGCGGTGTCTGATTACGACCTCGCCAAGGGCCTTCCACTGTGTCGCATTAACCTCCGAACACTGGTCTCGTGGCAGGACCTGGCGAAATCTCAAGCGGTTGGCCTGCCACTCCAGTTGAAAATTCAGCTCCAAGATATTATCGGAATCTCGCATAGGAATTGGAAGTCGGCTGCTATTGCTACTGCTCCTTCGCCATACTTTCTCCCTTCTCCAAACCCATGATGCCTCCTCCATCATATGTGGAGAGACCGATGTTTATCACTTATTAGATTCCTCAAGACGCAGACGACTTGGTACATGCAAATTTGTCTTGAAGATTCATTTCGGAGTTGAGCTTGCATACTGGTGTTAACTACTCAGGCGACCGGATTTTCGCCCCGTAGATAACCTGCGAACAAGCCCACACTGCGATGGCTGGGGACAGGAACGGTCCCGCTGAGGGTAATAGCTCCGAGAAAGCAGTTACCTTAAATCCCTACGAGACGGACTATGAACACATACCAAAGGACGATCCTTTTCTCAAGCGAAGCGCCCATTACGGTCGCTACCGTCCACGTGACGACGATTTCAGGCCTCGATACGATAATTGGTGTCAATCTGACCCGGACGCGTTCACTTACTGGGAAGAGTTTGTTAGATCTTCCTGGACCTCCGACAATTCCTTAAATGTACCCGGTGCTCGGGAAGCCTTTGCTGTCGGCAGTGTGATCATCCGGGTGGATACAGAGCCTGCTATTGATGAAGCAGCCGAGAAATACTCTTATGTGAATGCAAACGAGCTGAGCGCAGCAAGAAAGGCGGAAGATGCACTTAAGGAACTCGAAGTTGCTGTACCGATCATATATTTCTGCGGCACCATTGACGGGAGGAATGTCTCCGTGGAATCTCGAATTCCAGGGGTTTCTTTAGAGGTGGCTTGGAGATACCTGACTGACGGGCAAATAAATCAGTTCAAGCAGCAATGTCGTCGCGCTTTGGAGCGCCTGCGAGATATTGATCCGCCCCCAGAGAGCCCCTCTTACGTCTGCAGTGGACTCAATCCGCACCTACCACTCGATATTAAGGAGACAGAGCGAGAGATACTATTTACGGAGAAGAGAGAAACCGAGAGTTTGGACCTAGTGCACAATAACATGACCCCTTCCAATATCATCGTGAACAATGAACAAGTCGTTGGGATTATTGGGTGGCGACATAGCGGGTTTTTTGGCTTTGAGAGAGCGAACTCAATCCATCGAAAGCTGAGGATGCCACAAAGCGCCGACGGAGCCATTGAGGGTGTTGGAGACGTGCAAGCTTGGATTGATCTTTACGAAAATATTTCAGGCGCGGTGAATGGCTCCGGACTTGCACAGAGCAGAAACACCCCAGGTCCTCCGGTGAAGACAGAACCCTCGGCCATGCCCCTGGACAATGTACCTTTTAATGGAGAAGCTGAGGAGAAGCCTCTTTTGGCTCGAGTCGATGGCGGAGACCCTTCTGGGGAGCTCCCGACCCCCAGAAGTATTGCCAACCTCAAACTCGAAAGAACATCTAGAGCGTCATCTTCCGACCGATCATCTCCAGCGAATTCTACAAAACAGAGCACAGGAAGAAAGTCGGCCACCGGTACTACCAAGAAAGGAGTTGGGAGGAAACCGACCGGCAAAAAGCGCAAACTTGACGATCAAGACAACGATAGTGTCGACGGCGGTCGTTCCAACACACCCACATCGTCCCGCAATAGCAAAACTCCTGGTGGGAAAAAACGGGGCTCTGCGTCAATCGTAGGATCCCCGGCACCCGAACCTAAAAAGAGAGGTAGGAAGAAGAAGGCTGTGACACAGGAAGACGACGATGAATCCGTAGATGGGGATGAGATATTCTGCATTTGCCGCAAGCCTGACAATCATACATGGATGATTGCCTGTGATGGCGAGTGCGATGACTGGTTCCATGGAAAGTGCGTGAACATCGATCCGAGAGATGCCGACTTGATTGAAAAGTATATATGTAAGTTTGTCCTTGATATTATCACGTATTTTTATCCTCTAACAGAAGTCTAGGCCCAAAATGCAAAGAACGTGGTAAAGGATGGACTACATGGAAGCCGATGTGTCGGCTGCCCGGATGTCGGAAACCTGCTCGCATTGACGCAAAAGAACCCAGCAAATACTGCACCGACGAGCATGGGTATGAATTCATGCGTTTGAAAACCCGACACCTGGGCGTCTCGTCGGGCGCAGGGTCCCGAAAGTCGACTACCTCTGCCCGAGCTACAGCCAATGGACAAGGCGTGAATGGCATAACCCCCAATGGTGTCCAGGGTAACGGGGGTCCAGAGGATCTTGGTAGCAGAGGCGGTGTCCTCACCACTGGCGAGCTCAAGGCGCTGGTAATGGGGGTCTCCTCGGCGATTGAATTCCGCAGGCTCGGCGAACGCCTCATATCGCCTCCACCGGACGAGGGAGGGCCTGAGAATGAGACCAAACCCAAAAAGATGCTTGGCTTGGATGTCGATCCAGACCCGGAGCGCTTTGCCTATTCCCCCGACGAGGCTTCGAAAATGAAGGAGCTACGCAAATGGCGTGAGGAGTTACTTCATCGAAGAGAAATGCTCAGCGCACGGAACACGTTTTTGGCGCTTGTTCGTCAGCGATCTAAAGCCATCCTCGAGCGACTGAAGCAAACGGAACCCAAAGGAGGGTGGAAGGACATCTGCGGGTTTGACAGCCGACTTGCGTGGTCCGATGACGAGTTTGACGAGTGGCGGCTCTCAGATGTCGGGGCGAAGGCACTCCAGGACGGCACGCCGGAATCCCTAGCGTCGAGTTATTCTGATGCTACCGACGCAGACGGCGACACTTCCATGGGGACTGATGAGCACGACGTGGCGAGCATCAGCCGCGGGGTCTGTACAAAAAAGCGCTGTGAAAGACATAAACAGTGGGTCAAGATCCAGCAGCAAGAAATTCTGTTCGAGGAAAACACCCTTGCCCAGGATCTCACCAAATGTGAGAAGGAAGCACAAAATGTGGTGGAAAGAGCGGTTCTCAGGATATGGGCCGAGAAAGACAATGCTCAAGTTGGTAGTCAGTGACGCCGACCTAGCTTCTGTTGCCCGCTCCGGACCGTGGCAAAATTTCCAGGACTATTTTATTATTTTATTTTATGATTTTTCCAAGGCTGGCGGAAGTGGCCTTTTTGATTGATACCCTTTTCTGCATGGAAATGGAAGAAATCCCGGGGATGCTACACTGGAGTTGGTATGACTGGTATATTTTATATTTATTGTTTTTTGGACTGCGGACTGTAACAGCCATCGTTTGCATAAGGCCGGCGCATTTATCAGATGGTAACAACAAAGGGAAGACGAAGGCCTGCATTGTGATAGATAACCTGTACAATATCGAATGGAAAATTAGTTCTGTAGACATGGGAATCGTGAGTACATCAATACGGAATAAAGACGATCAAGTAAAGTGTCTATCTATCCCATATACACCATCTCCCCACGCCATCGCCCACCCTGTCCTTGATGACTTCAACCACGGTGGATGTTTTCACCGTCGAGAGGAGAAGATGCATGTCAATACCCTGATCTAGCGTCCGCATTAACAAGCTCAGGGGCAGCGAAGACTCCGACCCACAAAAAACCGAATGAATACCATCCTCGCGAACGGAAGAATAAGCTCCACCGTCCCTTTGCACGCGACGATGCTGAAATTTATTAGGAGGGTTTGTATATAAACTGGAAGAACCCAGTCCACTCGTATTAACCAGCATCACGGAGAGGAACGAGTCGTGTATTCGGGATAGTCGCGTCAAGGAATGTAATGTAGTGGTCAAGACTGCTGCACCCCGGACAGTATTGGAGGCACGAACGGTTCCCTCGGCAAGACCGTCTAGGCCAACAACGATGAGTAATGCCGGGGTATCAGGGTTATTTGAGGATATTGTCGGATGCTCATGATCCTGATCCTGATCTTGATGATGGTGGGGTTTTTGGCGCTGTTCTTCTCGATGTCTATGTAGAGCATCTGATACTTCCGAGAGTGCCTGCGCAGCTGCAGCAATGTCAAACACGGGGAAGAGCTGGACAGAGTCCAGACGGGAGATTGCCTCTTCGCGATCCAGGGGAGGTAGATGCGACTGGGCAAGTAGTGAGGAAAGTAGCTTTCTCGGAGAAAAGTTATCATATGTGGCGGGATGAATAATGAATGCCCTAGGGAATGGACTTGATGGGGGGTATTTGTGCAAATACCCCGCTAGGAGAGATCGAGGAAGCTGGAAGAGTGAGTTAACATCTTGTTCTCCATTTAAGAAGAAGACCTACCCGGCCCACGTATTCGTCGTCGTCATTGTTGTTGTCTTTACTTCGAAGCGTTGAAATGCCAATGACGATGCCACTCCGGAACGTGCGATTTGGACTCTGGAATCCCACGTCCAGGTCGTCTCGAAGGTTCCAGGTCTGTGATTTGTCTCTATGGGCAGATGGTGACTGCGGCAGGAGAGAATGCGCAAGAACGGGAACAGCAGGTTCCGAAGCGTACGGATTGACAGGAGACATTTTTACGGGGGAGAAAGATGTGAAGAAATGATAAAATCAGGATGGCTCCATGCATTTTATGGTGAGAGAAGGTGTGTGGTTCCGAGACCGATGGATGTTGTCAGTAGAAACGATGGGGACCGCCTGGCTTGGCGTGTTTTATAAAGAACCGACTCTCTTCTCTTTTCTCTTTCAATATTGCAGCACTCGTACGAGGGTTCATAGGTACCAATTTGATAGGGCTGGTCATGTATGCAATTTCTGATATAAAAGGAATGCCTCGTGTACTCAATTATATCATAGTATATTAGGATTAGGTGTCTATTAAAGTCCACTATAGAACAGTGACAGAATTATGAAACCAGAAGCATATATATATTGTCAGCAATGATGCGCAGCAGCATCTGCCCCGAATGAGTTACAAAAGCGCAAAACGTATGGGTCATCGTCGAGATATCAACTAGGTTGACGGACAGCGAGCTCAGCATAGGCTGAGATAGCTTGGTCGTCGTTGGAAATACTAAATAATGAGGACTAAAAGTCTATATGGTGCTCTAGAGGGAATCGATCGTCGTTAGTATCTATAATATGTCGTTTCTACAGGACTCAACTTGATAGACTATCGAGCCTGGTGTTGGTCGTGAGGTCCGAGGTACTGTCGAGGTTCCCAGATCGTTGAGAGCAGTACCGATATCCCTCACTGCTGAACTATCCTTCCTTATCTTCAGACTCTCTGAGAAAGGTTCTCTTCTTTCTTGGAGATTCTGGGGGTATGGGACCAGGGATTGGAGGTCACACTCTGTTAATATAGAAGATAATTATGGCTCTCCTAGCCGCATGGGTTTTTGTCAGAATAAAGCTAGTCCATATTGGGACATCATACGAATATATATACCCAATACTCATAGAGGGGTTGGGCTGACAATCCTTCTGAATACAATCATTTTTCCAGACCCCCCAATAAGTCAAACAGTTTTTTACATGCCTGAATGGCAATTTCTGTGAATCAACACCTGCATGTTGGAAACCCAGGCGAGGGAGAGATCAAGAATGGTATAAGTTGGTAGGATAGAAAGGCGAAGTTTTAAGGTTAAGAGGGTTAGAGAGAAAAGAAGAAGAAGAAGCTACAGAGTAATAATTATTGTATTCACTGTATATATCCTGTAGAAGCCTTAGGCCCCCGTTATTAGGTGAGCATGACGCGGATGATTTCCTTCGTTACTTTACTCCAAGTAGTTAGGTAACAGATTCTTCTTGCTTCCTGTTTCGCTTCATGCTGGATTAGAAATATGGAAGGAGAATTAATAATCAGGACAACCGTCTGCTTTGTAACTATACTGACTGCCACGTTTACATAAATACCTGAAGTGTTCCAGTCCAGGTTCAAAGTATCCAGCCTCATCCCCATCCTCCAAGAAATAAACCACCATGACTTCCCCTGTGTATACCTTCACCGTCCCCGCATTCATCAAGGGCCTGACTGCCCTGACTCAAATCCTAAAAGAGGCAGAGTCCCACGCCACCAAGAACAACATCCCACTGGCTGACTTCGTCAACGCCCGTCTCTACGATGACATGAAGCCTCTCTCTTACCAAGTCCAGGTCGCCACTGATCTGGCCTTGAAAGGCGTCGCGCGTCCCACGCACACAGATCCCGTGGACCGTCCACACTCAGAAACCACGTTCGAGGAGCTGTATGCACGCATCGACAAAACGCTGGAGATCCTCAACGCAGTCGACCCAGCGGCCTACACGGGCAAGGAGAAGACCCCGTTCAAGGCGCCATTTGGTCCGACCGAGGTCGAGTTCACGGCGGAAACGTATGCGGCGAATTTCGCCCTGCCGAACTTCTATTTTCACTTGACTACAGCGTATGCCATTTTTCGAGCAAAGGGGGTCCCGTTGGGTAAATTGGTCTATTTGAAACCGTTTCTCTCATAGTTGAGATTGTTTCGTCTTGGTTGTCGCGAAGGAACGATGTATACATAATTTGACAGTGTCTCAAAATACTTTTATACAATATATACACATCTGTCTGGCAAAGACCGCGTAGCCAGCTACGCAGAGTTCCATGATTGTGGTTTTTGCTGGGGATGTACATGGAAAGGCAAGGAGTGATTACCCTTGACTATCGCCATCGAGCAATTTCTTGAATCGGATGGATCTATAGCCTGTCGATTCCAAGTACCGTAACCATCATGCACCCATTCGCTGCCGTCCAGCACCTCTCCAAGTATGGTAGATAGCTCAGTCCGGAGGGCATCGAAAGAGTAGTCACACGCAGTGAATTGACAAAGAGGGCCCTTGTCACCCATATCCTTCACTGCAGATGCGATGAGAGAGTATCCTGTGGCAAGTTCCATCCATGGATCGCTAGGATCCATCGAGCCTCGCTGCTCTATTTCCGTTGCCTTGTCGTTCGCACAAGGCGCTAGCTGGAAACTGAGTGATCGTAAGTTCGTCATCAATTCCACCGCATTAAGCACGAGCTTCACATGGTTATAGAATGGAAACACGGCTGTGTATCGGAAAGATGATAGATTCTTAAACAAGTTAGATAGAGATTCCTGGTCCTGGAGGGGTCGGATAGATGCCATGGTGCCCCATTTACTGAAAATCGAAGGGACCTGAAACAAATAGTATTCGTAGTGATTGTACACTTTAAGGGACGATGACTCATTAAACACCATCGATGACCATCTTCGGGCTTCCAGTAGGTTTGAGCATTCCTCCATCTGAGGGAATCGCTCAAAAGCACCAGAGTGCGAGTCTTGTTCAAGCTGGACAATCTGAAAAGGCACATCAAAGGCCCAGCTATGTCCGTCGTAGATTTTGGCGCCCAGCATCATGCCAATGAACGAAGGGGGTGCGAGGACGGTTACACGCTGCGGATCGAGGCAGCGGAGTACCTGACGCCACCAAAACGGATCCTCCGCATTGTTTGGGGAGTGTCTCCCTCTCACCACGATCGACGTGATGTGACGATGCAGGTCTGATGTCGATACAAAAGAAAGAAAGTCCTCGACGTCCGTCAAGTTAAAGCAGGCATGCGAAAAGAGTCGGGGTCGCACAACCTCGAGGATCCGGGACGAGGAGCGCGAGAGATTTTTAAGCCATCGATTTCCACCTTTAGCAATACGAGTACTAGGGGGTTGGTGTATACTGGTGTGGGATGGAGAAGTGGCCAATAGATATGAGATAATCTCATCTATAAGCTCATTCGGTAGCGATTCCAACCAGGAAACGTGCATAGACATCGTCGAAAGACCCGATATAGGATCAGACCAGTAAATAGTTCATCAATCAGACATTGTGGAACAGAAATAACCCATTCCAATGGACAATAGTGGTTCACTCTCAAGATAAAAACTGGTCAAATGTTCAAACAAGTTGGCAATGGCAATGACGATGTGGTTCCCGAACAGGTTAGCGGTGAGCAGTGATCGGCAGCAAAATCTCGGGAAGGAATCCGCCTTACACTGCCGACCACAATGTCTCACTGATAGCCCACTGAACTAAAGCCTGTCAACAATTATGGTAATATTGATTATTTAGCTCCTTTTCCAGGTCAAATGTTGATTAAAATCATCGACTTGGCATGTGTATATAGTATTCTAGATTCATCTATTATTTCTACAGTAGGGCCAAAATGGACATGAGAAGTAGAAGAAGGAAAGAGTCAGTAGAAGACAAGAAGGGGGATATTATATTAAATGGGTAATTGTAATTATATGATCCGCATAGCAACAGTGAGGGATATCATGGAAATATTAAAAAAAGAAAAAAAGAAAAAAAGAAAAAAGAGGTATGGAAAAATAGGGAGAAAGTAGAAACCAGTAAGGAAGCCATGCACGTGAAAAGAAGTACAAATGAAGAATCCAAATGCTGCGTCTTCTGTCATCAGAACCGGGCATGAACGAAAAAATTGGATGAGACAAAAGAAAGTGTTGTACAAGAGGCTGTAGCGATGCCTCAAAGAGGACGCTTGGAGTGCTGTCAGGGGCTGTTTTATTTCTGAGGTTGAGTTTTCACGTTGTTCGAAAGCCAAGCCTGTTTGGGGTCAGCAACGTCGGGAAACAAGGCGAGTTCAAGTTCAAGCATTCTTACCAGGCCTTCGAAAATACCAGTTCCATCCGTGGCGACACTGGGAGCAACATACCACAGCTTGTCCTTGAGCTTGGTGAGCTGCAGGGCATTGGTCACCTCCTCGGGGCTGAGATCTATACGGGCAGTGATGGTTAGTAACGGAGAACTGCTCGATGATAAGGTCTCAGTACGTACGGCCTTGAATATCTTGCTTATTCGCAAACACCAATAAAAGCGCATCCTTCATTTCCCGATCGTTGATGATCTTGTGCAGCTCGGAACGAGCCTCCTCGATTCTGGCTTTGTCGCTGGAATCGACCACGAAAATCAGACCTTGGGTTCCTGCACACGTTCCCACCAGGTCAGCAATCAATTTAGGGCTGAGGACTGTGTCGCGGGGTGGTACCAGAATAGTAGTGTCTCCAAAGGGGCCGAATCTTATCCTGTCCACCCACGTCCCAGACATTGAATTTGACGTTCTTATATGTGACACTTTCGACGTTGAAGCCGACAGTAGGAATGGTAGTAACATCCTGATTTGTGATTTTGAGCTTGTAAAGGATTGCTAGGCAAGCAGACGTGTCAGTTTATTCATTCCTGAACAGCCACCGCTACCTAAGGTGCGCATCGGCCGAGGAACTAGGGTTCTTAACTCACTAGTCTTTCCAGCAGCGTCCAATCCCAACATCAAAATGCGCATTTCCTTCGTCCCAAAGATCTTCCCCATGATCTTGGAAACCTGACCTCCCATCTTGACTAGTGATAGGCGACCCTTGGCGGTCGCCAACAACGATTGAAAGAATAGAGAATAGGAGGTTTGGAACTACGTGACAAAATAATAATCACGTTCGTGCGATCAAGGTCGAGAAGCAATTGGTAGTTGAAGACAGAAGAAGGGTGGGAATTTCCAAGAAAAAAAAAAAAAAAAAATAAAGAAACAGAGAGAGGGGGACGGACGTGAAATCCAAAGGCTCGATGGTAATTTTGATCGACTAGTCTCCACGTTAACAGGTACAATGCGTAGATGGATGCAAGGTAAACAAGAGCGAAACCAACTTACATTGGCCGGAAGGGGGAAACAGGTCGCGAATCTATCTGGTTGACAGATGGATTGGAGGGGGGAGGGGGGGAAAGATAGGAAGATTCAGGGAAGTGGCAGAAGAGGAGAAGGAGGCGAGGAAGAAAATGACCGTCTAGCCAGCTAAGGTACTTCTGTGATTTAATTAATTTGAATTGATTATTTCAGAGTTCCTGGCGATGATCCACAGGCCTAGCAAAGAATGGATGCTCCGTAAAAGGGGGTCGCTGACTCAACCCATGTATCCCGTGACTTTACCCTCTTGTCCTCTCTTCGTCTCGTCGTTTCACCTTCTCGTCGCTCTTCGTCGCACCAGTCCTTCTTCAAGACCCTGACTGTCACAGGTTCCTGTCATCCTGTCTCCCTGCATAGTCCCTGGATGACTGAGTGAGGGTCTCTCCATGATCCATGCTCCGTATTGGTGATGGACACCCCTCTCCCCATATTCATGGATGATTCTTCAGAGGCAAGTCGCCGTCGTTCATTGAAAATGATAAATAAATAAATATATAAATAAAGAACAAAAAAATAGAAAAATAATCACAACCATGAGGCAATTCCTGGTATCTCATGTAGCAGGCTTTGAGAGAACTCGGAATGATACGGAGATCAACGCCGATGCCGCTATAGGTACGTACGTCATGGGCCGACCGATGAGGTCACCGAACCATTTGTGGTCGTTCGTGCAAAAGAGACTCCTCCATGGCCACATATTATATACCTAGAGCCCATCAGGCCAAGGCTCGTGGAGCTTATCGTTTGATTTCTTTCTCCTATACATAATCCTAATAATACCATACATGTCTATAGGCAGGCTCATGCAAAATGGCTAGTGAATTTGGATTTATGAGACGTCGATCGTCTGTGTACCAACAGCGACGTCTCTCCTTCCAATATGAGAACAATTCTTGGAGTGCACCTCCTTCTGGAGTACGCTACATGGACCCACCTAGTACCTAATCCCCAAACATAGAGACATCCCTAATTCAGCTACTCAGACCGTATATGGCGGCGTCTCAGTCTTGTTTGCGGACGATGGGAGTGTAACAGTCGCCGTTGCCATTCGTGATGTGACCTATCTCCTGGAATTTGTCCAGCAACACCTGAAGCCGAAAAAAGACCAGTCGCTTAGTTCGGCGATAGCGGACTTCGTTCTGGACCAGTTGCGCCAGTTTAGTGAAAAGCATATGGAGAAATTTATGGGCCTGGCAATGCCCCAGCATCTAGCACAATCCTGCCCGGACTTTTGCTCGCGCTTGTGGGCGGAGCTCGACATCCTTCCATTGGTGCTACCGGAGGAAAGCAGAAGGGAAGAAGATGATAAGTTTACCTTTGGCCTACCTGATAGTATGACTTGGAAGGTCCGGGGCACCGATGAGCAAGCCGAATCCATGGGGCGCAAGTGTGTCAGGTACTGGCCCAAGCCCATCCATCCTCTGATCATTGTGATCGACCGCTAAGGGAGCTTTGCAGACTTTTTGGACCGGAGAATATTCCGCTACTACAGGTTGGTTTCTTAGGTTTGGTGGAGGTGGACACTGCCTTCCATGTACGCCTCACAAACCTCAATGATTTCCGGAAGACTGTTACTCCAAAGACGTGGAATGCTGTCCAACATTATGCCACTGATCTCAAAGAAAGGAAAGTCAAGATCGCCTTTTTCAGTGCCACCCCTCAAGGCGGCGGGGTGGCTTTAATGAGACATGCCCTGATGCGATTCTCCCACTCGTTGGGCACGGATATTTCATGGTAAACAAGGCTCTCTAAAGAAAAGCAAAGCGCACCATTTAACCTGACAGGATAGGTATGTGCCTAAACCACGACCGGGGGTTTTTCGTGTAACCAAAACCAACCACAACATCCTACAAGGCGTTTCACATATCGATGAACGACTTATCGAGGAGAATTGGCGGCAGGTGTGTGACTGGATAAATGAGAATGCAAAAAGATATTGGCTGGTTCCTGGAGGCCCTCTCCAGCACCCTTCACAAGGAGGCGCGGACGTGGTGATTGTTGATGACCCGCAGATGCCGGCGTTGATCCCCATTGCCAAAAGGATGGCGCCAGATAGGCCGGTTATTTTCCGATGTCATCTCCATATTCGCAGTGATTTAATCTCTCAGCCGGGCACTCCACAGGAGGAAGCCTGGAAGCGGATCTGGAAGACTATCAAGTCTGCGGACATCTACATCAGCCACCCCATCAGGACATTCGTTCCACATAATGTGCCTCAAGAGAAAGTAGGTTATATGCCGGCTTCAACGGATTGGTATGTATACTATAGCTGGCCTTGAAACCGCTTCGATTGGTGGCTGACATTGCATCTTAGGCTGGATGGCCTGAACAAACACATGCGAGACTGGGATGTTGCCTTCTATGGACGGGTGTTCAATTCTCTCTGCAGAAATTCCGGCATGCCAACCATCGACTATCCAAAAGGTGTAGTATAGCACATGCAGTTAATATTTGCGTCATGGCAGGCTAACTCTTCCTGTGGGAAAAAAGATCAGTACATCACACAGATCGCCCGGTTCGACCCATCCAAAGGAATCCCTGAAGTAGTGGAGTCATACGTAAAGTTCCATGAACGATTTACGGCCTCAGTGCATGATAAGCAGCCACCTAAACTCCTGATTTGTGGACATGGCTCTGTTGATGATCCGGATGGCTCCGTCATTTACGACGCTGTCGTAACTCACATTGAAGAGAACCTCCCACATCTCGCGGATCAGATATGCATCGCCAGACTGGGAGCCTCGGACCAGCTGCTGAACGCACTGCTTTCGAAGGCCAAAGTGGCGCTGCAGCTATCCACGCATGAAGGATTCGAGGTGAAAGTTTCCGAGGCCATCCACAAGGGAGTGCCGGTGATTGTAACTCGGGCGGGAGGCATTCCCCTGCAGGTTACCGACAAGGAGAACGGATTCCTAGTGGATGTAGGGGACACGGACAGCGTGGCGCAGCATCTCTATGACCTGTGCACCGATGATGAGCTGTACGACCGGATGAGTCGTTTCGCGCTGAAGAATGTGTGTGACGAGGTCAGCACGGTCGGTAACGCGTTGAACTGGCTCTATCTGGCATCCAAGCTGTCCAAATTCGAGGAGGTCAAGCCGAATGGTCGGTGGATCAACGACATGGCTCGTAATGAGGCCGGACAGCCGTACACGGAGGGCGAAAGTAAGCTGAAGAGGGTGATTGACCCGGAGAAGATGGGATAAACATTCAACCCATACGCTTGACTGATGCAATTTTAGCGATTGATGCCTAGAGTGACCTTAGTATGTCTATAATCTCATCCATTTAAAGCAATAATAACATATAGAGAACACAGAAAGCAAAATTGCACGTACGCCCTGGGGGTATAGATATAAACAAGTAGAACACAGTCGACATCATATCAAGATCATCATCATCACAATCATAACAATATAACCCAATGATCCAATGATCCATCACCTTCCCACAAGCCGATATCTCTCCCTAGCCATCCCCCCCTCCCCTCCTTCAACTCCATACCCCTCACCAACCTCACCGACAATCCTCGCCGGCGCCCCCCCAACCACACACCAACTTGGCACCACCATCCCCGCTGGTACGACTGCACCATCCAACACGACCGCGAAATCCTTCAAGATCGCCATACTCCCTACCACGACCTCCTTCCCGATATGCACATGATTCCCGACCGTCGCGGCCTCCACCACCGCCCTCTCGCCCACAAACACATGGTCACCGATCTTGAGTGGATAGAACGAGTGGACCCCGCGATGCAGTCTCGATGGAGGTCTCAGTATTGCTTGCCGAGATATATAACTGTATCGACCGATGGTAATGGCCACGGTGGGTGTGGGTGTGGGTGTCGTTGTTTTCTTCTGTCCGTCCGCTGTTGCTGCTGCTGCTGCTGAAGTAGATGTTCGGTAGAGGTCCCCACGGATGACGGCCTCCGCTTGAATCACGGTTTTTCCTCCCAGGATGATATGTTGGGTTCCGTGGATTTGGGACCGGCGCGAGATTTTGTTCCCTGTGTCCTGTTTTCATCACGGGTTAATAATTGATTGGCTGGGTTGGGTTGGGAAGGGAGGGGAGCATACAGTCTCGATGTATTCGCCTCTAGCTGGTTTGGGGGGCATCTTGGAGGGGTAATGAGCTGTGTTGGGCTGGCTAGATTGATTGTTTGTTGGTGGTCTGGTGGATTGATATCATATGGCAGAAATACAGTAGTACGTTGGATTGGGAAGGCGGTGGAATGAAGTCCTGTCCAGTTATTTGACACCTTGTATTAGAGGCATGAACAAGGCATCTTTTTCTACTTAAGCAGCACTCCTGAGGATGAACTATGACTGCCGACAATATAGTTGGCATAATTATGTTAAGACCGTTACCAACACATCATGTCAATGTTGCTACATTAGGTAAAACAACTAATCAGACAACCGTATCAACATAATTGCAAACCAAACAAATCCAGGATATCTTCACGAAACAACACCCAACCTATTACCTCCATAGATTCGAGCATATTAAGCGGTTCTCAATACCGAGGTTAAATCACTCGCTTCTTCGCTGTCGGAAGCTCTCCGTCGAAGTGGATTTTGAACGCTACAAGCGTCAGCAGGTGTTAATCTCTTGGTAAGATTACAGCGACTTACTTGTTGGGAACTGTGAATAACTGCCCCAATCCTCACGCAGGTAAGTATAGTAGCCACCCTTACGATGGATCTTCTTGACTTGACCCTGTGGCCCGGGTGCAGGACGGAGGTTGTCCAGACGGCCTACAACGCGCAGCATGGCTGTCAATGCTAGTAAAGTGACTTCCTTACCCAAGCCAGTGTGTGGACCAAGATCATACTGGATGTAGGAATCCAGTGGTCGGTCCAGACGCACTTCATCGGGGTCAGGGAAGACCTGAGGGTCCCGATTAGCCTTCACCTATTTTTTACTCGTTAGTAAGGTTCGTGGTGCAGGGATATGGCATTAGATGGGGTAAACTTACAGCTCCGACAAAGACTGTGTCGCCCTCCTTGATATTAGATTCTCCGGCCTCATCGGTGACCGTGAAGTCCCTCTGGGCCTCACGATAAGAGCCAAAGTTTCCGTTGAGGCGGAAGGCCTCGAGACAGTAGCGTGTCAGCTTCTCGTCCGACTCCTTGCTATCCTGCTTGGCAAGGCTGTTAATCTCAGCAAGGTGCTTTTTACCCTCCGGAGATAGGTAGTAGTCGATGATTTGTGTGAACTTTCAGACATATCAGCACCTAGTCAAAAGGATTATAATGCCCAGATCAAGCACGTACCATCTGCGCCTGGTTGTGGACCATTGACACAGCTGCGGGTAGGATCTGGGAGTAGGTAACCTCGGAAACACCCAGGCCACTCTCCAGGAGTTTCTTGATCAACTGGTTCCCGTAGTCCTTCAGGACATTGTGGTCATCGGTGAAATTATCAATAATAGCAGAAAGGAATCCAGGCGAGTTTACCGACTTAACATGGCGCTCCACTACCTGGCCGAGCTGCTCGGAAACAGCATGGGCCGCATGATGCAATGGGAATGACTTAGACTTATCCACATCGAAGAAGGTGCTGGTGAAAATAACAGCCAAGGTAGTAAACATCTCATGCTCAGTAAAGACACCGCCAGAGTTTTTCTTGGTCTTCAAGGGAAGCGAGAAAATCTTGGATGCGAAGTGGACAGGCGCCAGATTTCCAAGACTAAAGAGCCACGGTCAGTGATACTAGGGCAAGGTAAGGTGTATGTAACGACTTACTCCCGTGCGACATCGATCTGTCTAATACCCGCAAGTTTACAGGACCTGTCTTGGAGTAAGGTCATGGTGACATCTTCGTAGAACTCCTTGATGTTCCGACGCCACTGGTCATTGTTGAAGGCCTTGCTCCAGAAGTCGTCTCCACCTTTACCTGGGCAGAGTTTCGTGATACCTCCCCAGACCACACGGTAATCTTTTTCTTGCTCCAGGGCCAATTTAACGTTGGGATAGGAGACAAGGTTCACATGGGGAGGAGTGAACTTCGGCCGATCATACGAGTAATGCGACTCCCGACCTAGGTTTTTCATGATGTTTCGATTTTCGCTGGGAATCGTCATCGGATAATGGGCGTATATTGAATCATACTTAAACCAGTTGGGGAAGGCTCTCGTGGCAAGTTTGTAGAACACGCAGCCTTGGTTGATATTGAGGTCATACCGAGCCTCGTTATACCCCCAATTTGTCAAGTTTCGAGAATTATAGTCAATCTATACAAGTGATTATTAGGCAACCATTTCCGGGACATTTGTATTCCATAGAACTATCTTACCGTGTAGTAGCGGTCACCACGGACAAGTGCCACCGCATCAGACAGGACAGCCCGGGAAATTGTATAAGTGGGAGCAATACCGACACCTGGGACCATAGGTTCCTTGGCTTCTTCAGCAACAATACCCGGATACAGTTCCACGTAATCCGGGTGCTCGTAAAGGTGGCGAAGCGCGTCGGCAACTTCAGGGTCAGAGTTGATGTCCTCGAAGCTCTCGTATGGCTTTAAGTCGAAGAACTTGCGGAACTCATTGAGGGACCCCACGTTCCACCTGCGGGCCTGCTGAATACCCAAGATTTCCACGGCCTTGAGCGCCTTTGGCACGTTCCGAGCACCGAAGGAGCCTTCAACAAGGATAATATAACATTAGGTTACCTGGACTAAGTAGTAGTTCAAATGGGAAAACTCACTGGCAACATCCTCAACAGCATTGGCCAGGATATTAACAAGATCCTCATCCTTGTATGTTCCGTCCTCCTGACGTTCAAGGTGTGCAAATGTACGCTTGGAAGGATCCTTGGGCATGCCATGCTCGTATCTGCCCAGACCCATCAATAGCTCATGAACAGAGACTTCAGATGCAGGCTTTCCCATTAGCTCTTCATATATCTTCTCGGTCCATTTCTCGTCATTAGCACTGATGGCAGAGTGCCAGCGATAGGCCAGGTTGAATTCGACAGAGCATTGGTTGCCCAGTCCCGATGGGGTATTGCTGTTACCCTCCATATGGGCACGGGGATCCTGTATTCGGTCAGATTTTCCGTCGTACAAACGGCATTAATACTTTCTATTCGGCTTACCAGGCACCACGTGCTATTAACTCTGTTCAGGTTGACGATGGTGCGCAAATAATCATACAGAGTGATGTTGATGTAAAGGCCGCAGGTAATCCTGCAAATAGTTAGATCACCTCTTTTCATCATATAGAGCAGACGTCGACAAATCAAATACATACAGCCGACCAGTCTGAAATAGATCATTGTCGTATTTCGCCCATGCCTTTTTAGCCGCTTCTTCGGGAAGGTCGGCGCGAGGCTTAGTAAAACGGCCATTTTCATTGATTTCCGCCAGCTGCTCTACAACGTAGTTGTGGAATCTAATCGATGACCCTAGATCAGTCTCCGCTCAAGAGGTTTAGAACAGGAGCGGAGAAGACCTACCGGTTTAACATAACCAGCAGCACACAGCAAGCTGGAGGAAAAGCCTGAAGACGAGGCTCAGAGAAGGAGTCAGGTTTCAGTTTCCCGTCTTTATGTGTTCGGATCAAGTCTTGCTCTTCCTGAACGTCACCGTACAGGGTAGAAAGATCAAGGTAGCCCGAAGTCTTATTCACATTAGGGTTTCGGGGATCCGTTTGGAAGATATCTTGTCAAAGATGTTAGCGTAGATCATCAACCAATGCCCAATTCATGAGCCTACCGTGGATGATCAGAGAAGCCCAGTCGAAGAAAACACTAGAGACCTTGTTCGGATGGGGATTGAATTTTTGACGCGCGTACAGGCAGTCAAATACAAGACCCGCATCAGGCAGTCCGCCGGGCTGAATTGTCAAAGGAGCGATCGAACGAGCATAGGGTGTGTTGGCTGCACCAAGCCATGGCAGAGTAGGGTTGTTGTTGGAGCCGTCCGCATTACGGTAGGCATAGTCATCTCCCATATACCTATAACCGTCTTAGCATAGGTCCGATCGACAGGTGCAGAATCAGAACCGATCCAACTCACGAAAGGGGAGGATGAGGCAAAGATCCCCATAGCTGATCCAGGAAAGCATTCGTCAACTCGACGCGGTTCTTCGAGTTTCCAGGAAGGCCAGAAACGAGCTGCGGACACGCGAAACAAATTAGCAAACGTGCACAATTGATACCCCTTGGCGATTGACATACTTGGATAATTCGCTCCATTAGCATGGTCTTATCATCTGTATGCTCGCCCTTGACCTTCTGGCGGATAAGGTCTTTAGCAGTTCCAATGTCCTTGAAACCAAGGGCGCGAACATCTTGGAATATGCTACCCGAGTGTTCCTTATCATGACAGATGGTATCTCCCGTCTGGTTCGGCAGAGGGCGTCGCGACGCATGAAGGACCTGGGAATACTTCTCAAAGACGGACACGCCGTCTTCTAGCGTTTCGCTTTGTCCATCATCCGACGGTGATTTTGCCGTGGAGGACAGCTTGGACTGGCGCTTGCCGCTGTTAACCTGCGCGCCATTCTGCTTGGTCTCGCGATCGCCCTTCGACTTCTTGAAGGTAGTAGAGAACCTTCGCAACATTATGGGTATCTTATGGACAAAAGCGAAGGAGAGTAGGTATCAGAAAAGTGGACTGTGGAGATAATGGCACAAGAGACAAAAAGATAACCAGCAAAGGGGGAAAAACAACAACAGGAGAGATTCGCCAGGTTCCCCATGTGTCGAAACAGTTGCATTTTAAAAGCAACCCATGATAATAAGATTTGAGATCATTTGCACGGCTGCAGCCACTTGTGGAGCCTGCGCATCGAATCGAATTGATTGCAATGCTAATTAAATAATTTACCTAGGGGATTATGGTGTATGGCTACCGAGTGCCGCCCTCGAAGTAATGATATGTAATACGTAGCTTAACCCCCGCGAGACAGAGCGAAAGTGTCGCCTATGTTTTACCCACCCTTGGTGTTGGTGGAAATAGTGGGGACTTTGAACCAGATCAAGCTACAAGAGCAGAGCTGATTGAATGTGGTTTAGCCAGTGTTGTCCTGTACTCCGTCTTGAGGGCATTGAAAATATCTCTGTGTGGAGTACGCAACACATGTCATAGGCACAGCTGTCCATGACACCGTAACACTCAATTGTCGAAGAGCTCCAAAGCATCTGTTCCCGGCAATTCCTAGCTAGCCAATCATACATATAATTGCCTAAGTCAGTTAGCAACTCCCGTACTCCGTCCATGCATTTCCAATCTCAAAAAGCGAGGTGTTCCAAAAGGAACGAGATATGGAGACAGGGGAAGAGAGAGGCAAAAGAGGTTGCTCAAACTGCGTCAGAGCCAATCAATTGATGGATACGTTAGCCGATCGCAGTCGATGGCGGTGAATGTCGCCAGCCACAAATCGAGTTGAACCTTCAAATATGGTGTAGGGCACATGGTTTCCAAGCTGATGAGCATCGGAGGTGGATCCATAGAAGTGACGGATCTCTCCACTTCGCCTCCCGGGGACCAATTGTCAACAATAACAATGTCCTAGCTTGGAGCCAAACCGTACCGGACTATTGGTTCTAGTAATTATATGAGATCCGTCGTATGGACGGACTCGATCTTGATGGCGATGATACGGTATTCGGCAGATATCCAACATTTCAGCTGTGGCCGTACCGTGTGGGATTCTGCTACACCTCACGCTGCTCACCAATAAATGCATCTCAGCTACCAACCTGATTCAGTCGTATGTAAGGATGGGCAGTCTATTAGTCCAGGGATTGTAACCGCTGTTGTCACGTGAGAAACAATCGGAGCGGCACAGCCAAAAACAACAATCCTGTGGCCATTGCAGTATGCACTGGCGAGCACGATGATGGTGTTTACTGTTCGGTGGCAGATCCGAACAGATCAACTCCAGGCAGGATGTTTGGTGGAGTCCAGCTAGGGACGACTCATTCTCAATTACCCACACGTTCCAACACGGGACCATCCTCATTTTACTTGGGAGGAATTAGGGGGTTAGTACAGAGTAGTATGGAGACGGGACAATGACTAATGCATACCCTGGTTTTTTTTTTTTTTTTTTTTATTTTCTCCTCGCCTCTTCATTCTTCTCCTCCATGTTCTCTCTCTCTCTCTCTCTTTTTTTTTTTTTTTTTTTTTTTTTTGGGTCTTCCAGAAAACCACCGCTATTCATGGCCGTTCCCTTGCATCTCGGAGAATAATGGATGGTGTCTGTCGAAGACCAGTACCCCTACTTAAACGCTCGAAATCGATAACAATCCAGTTGGATTTAGGAGGGGTTGCAACTGTATTAGTTATTCTGTAGATAATTGGCCAGCGAAGATCATCAAAGATCGACTAGCTGATGGTGTTCGTCACAATGTCAATACTACGTAGTATCGGTGTTAATTACTTACACAGTCAATCTATCTCGGAGAATGGGCTTGTTTGGGCTAGGTAGCATTGTCATTGGCCCAAGTCCGCCCCCTACAGTCGGGTAGTAAGGAGTCAAAATTTCGCTAGGCTCCCTTGGCTGGATGGGGCACTGGGGAGCCAGGGTCCACGAAGGACTGGTGGACTGCTTAGCTGAGTTTGTGCACCCTAGAAGTTCGTAAGGATCGATCTTAGTAGATGTTCTCGAAGTGATCTCGATGACATACTCTATATGTAAGGCTGTGCTGGTAGTGCTATGAAGATAATGATAATGATCACAATAAGCTGCCACTGCTGGCAAAAACACAAAGTTAGTACTTCGTATGTCAGCCGTCAAAACAGTACGGTGGCTTGCTGATCCCACCCGAGGCAATTACGTATCCACCTTATGTACGGAGTTTGCGATGCATTATTGATGACTATTGAAGAAATTCTGCAGGAAGGCGGATGAAGTGGGCGACGTAAACACACCATGGAAAGACAATCGGGTATTGCCGAGTGGTCCGTGATATGGGCCTGGGGCCACCAGACTCCCCACCGCAGACACCTCAGGCCGCCGGCCGTCATCAGGTTTACAGTGGTCATCGCGTGAAGGGCGATAGGATCTAAGTAAACTCTATCTCCCTGACAGAATGGAGGGAGATGGAGAAATTGGTACTACTCCTCACTGTTGGAAGGGTGATTTGCCTGATCTGGAAACCTCGGGTGTGGAAATAATGCTGATTTGGGTGTGTACGGAGTACTCAGTGTAGATGAATGCGGAGTTCAATACATGTCGTCCCGTGCTACAGCAGTAATTTTTTTTTTTTTTTTTTTTTTTTTTTGGAAGAATTCTTGGGGCCTCAGCCCCTCTACCCCTCTTGTCTTTGTATGTATGATCCCTTACTTGGGCCACACTGCTCTGACCGTACTTGTTCTGTGACTTGGTTCTGGTTGGCAACCTCGCATCCACCTGCCCTAGGAGAGCATTGTATAGATAAGGGAGCTCTAACTTTTATTCTTGTCTTTGTCTTCTTCTTTTTTCTTCTGCTTCATCCCCAGAAATATTGACCCTTTCACCATGGGTCTCGCATTATTACCATGGTAAGTACTCCGTACTTTTGTACTTCGTACTTTGCAGAGTTAGACCCGTCAGCGGCGGCAGGAACCCTACTTGCCGTACTTAAGTACCCCATAGCTGCAGAGGCAAAGTCTGTCTCCACACCATGTACGGAGCAGGGGTCGACTAGAATTCCAAGACTATGTTTATTTCCCCAGCCTAAATTGGCTATGTCTCGAGTGGACATAGATTCGGTCCACAGCGGGTGGAATCGAGACGGTCCAGAGCCAATGGAGCTCAAGACGAGGACAACTGGGGCTGAGAATAAACAAGTAAAGTATTCTTGTCGGAGCAAAAAAAAAAAAAGGCAAAATATGACGATCATCGTGAAGGTCCGTTCATCAATGAACCTTAGTGGATTTTGGTGGGCTAGCGATAGCCTGATAGATGCCCGGCAGTCCCGGCCACCCTCTTTCAGAGCCGACATGCCAATCGTGTCACCAAAAAAAAAAAAAAAAAGGCTTTCAAACTGTACTCCGTACTCCGTACTCCGTATACCGTACATTCCATTAGTTACAGTCAGTCACAGTCAGCTTTCAGCTATTTATAAACTTTAGGTTAATAATAAGACTGGCACAACAAAATTACCCAACCACGGTTTTTGCTCCACCTACGAGGTAGTAGGAGCTTGACGTAGCAGTTGGCTGGAGACAGGACTGCTGGAACTTTAGACGCCGAAGCTGGGGGGGTTCTTACTCCATTCCAGTGCACATATTTTCCTGAAAGATCTATATGTGATAGGTCCGCAGTCTGCCAGGCCGGCGTATCCACACTGTCGGGGGCACCTACATGTGCTGCATGTCCCTGTCGTTATCGGTGCCTATGTATATAGGTTGTTGGCCCACGATACTTGTCGTGCCAGTCTGTCGACTAAACTGCCTCGGCAGCCCATAGGCTTTCAGTTGCAGCAAAATCCAGCCCTTGTCTTGACTGCCACCATGGATGCACCACATATGGGGCCAGCCTCGGTGCCGAAACAATTCGTCTTGTGTTTCGACGGCACTGGAAATAAATTTAGTGGCGATGAATCAGATAGCAACGTTCTTAAGATCTTCCGAGTACGTTGGCCTCAATGACCAGTTCGAGAAGATGACTGTTAAGGACACCTTATGGTGCTTAAGTGCGCTAACAGATTACCTAGATGCTAGACCGCAGTAAAAGTCACCAGTTCCACTATTACCAGCCAGGAATCGGAACCTACGTCACCTCAAAGTCCCTTTCCAGCCATGGTCGAATCCAACGCATCAAATCTGCTTACTTGAAAGCCAAGGATTCCGCCGTGGGTTCCTCATTTGATGAACATGTGATGGGTGGGTATAAGTTCCTGATGAGATACTACACCCCCGGCGATGAAATCTACTTCATTGGATTCAGTCGAGGGGCTTACATCGCGCGCTTTCTTGCGGAGATGCTCGACTATATTGGCCTCCTTGAGGCTGGCAATGAGGAGCTGACCCGGTTTGCATGGAAGACATTCGCCAAATGGCAACAGCGGCGTGGTGGAGGGACTGATGAAGAGATAGAGGAGAAGAAAAAGCTATTTCGGTACATGAAAGCTTTCCGTGAAACTTTTAGTCGTCCGATTACAAGGATTAAATTTATGGGCTTATTCGATACGGTGAACAGTGTGCCGAGATTTGAGTCGGCTTGGATGCAGAGAAGCAAATTTCCATATACCGCTCGCAGTTCAGCTAAAGTCATCCGTCATGCCGTCGGAATTGACGAGCGGCGCGCCAAGTTTCGACAGGACCTCATTTCGGAGGCTAAATCTTGGACTCAAAAGAAAAAAGCTCATCATGGATGGGGACGTCAGTATCTGCATCAACTGCGCCATAACAATGGCAGACCAGAGAATGTGCCCGCAATTGTCGTCAATAATGGCAATAAGAATGAAAAGAGAGCCGCAGATGGGGAGTTTGCCCCAAAACATAACGACACTGAGTCAGTCTATCGTAGTATACGCGGCTCACAAGAAGCTGAGTATGAGGAGAATCATCGTTACCGTGCACCATCTCCTGTTCCTGGCAGACATCTAAGTATTGCGGTTCCCATGGTGACTGGGTCCACCGAAGACTTGACGTCGGTGAAAAGTGGGCAATCGGGGCTTTCAATTCAAGTGCCAGGTACAAACCCCCGTGTTGATGGCTTTGAGGATGAACGTGGGCAGGATATCCAAGAAGTTTGGTTCCCCGGAGGCCACGCGGACATTGGCGGGGGATGGAAACTCAGTGATGGTGAAGATTGGCCACTTAGCCATGCGCCTTTGGTTTGGATGGTCCAGGAAGCACAAAAAGCAGGCCTCCAATTTGACCCTCGGAAACTGAAGCAGTTTGAGTGCTGCGAAGAGTTCGATGGAGATTATTCCCCTATCCGGGAGAATATTAATTGGAATCGCAGCAATGGCTGGGGCCAGGATCAGGACTATGCTCATATCAGAGAACACGATAAATCCGAGCATCCTATGTTCAGATTGGCCATAAATGACAACGGCAAACAGCGCTCCAAGTCGAGCTGTAATTTCCTTACTGCCCTCCACAGTTCCAGCGCGAGCGGTTTGTTGCATGACTGTTTATCATTTGGCCAGGGTCTCCCAGCACTGTCTGTTGTGTCATGGCGAATCATGGAATATCTCCCATTCCGCAGGATGGATTTACAAGAAGATGGATCCTGGAAACCTATCCGATGGCCGCTTCCCTGCGGCGAGGTGCGTGATATCCCGTACGATGCCCAGATTCACGTGTCAGCAATCCGCCGGATGCAAGTTCACCCAGATTACCGTCCGGGTAATCTGATCATTGGCGGCGGAGGAAGGGGTGTCAAACGAGCCCCCCAAGAGTATGGAATTGGTGAGTGGGTGATCCACGACTATGAGGGCGATCCAGTTCGAGAGGTGTACATACGAAAGAAGGCTTCCAAGATGTGTAAAGATGATCTACACCGAGATCATGAATCCAGCATGTGCAAGGAGGAAGGACACTAGTAAGCCAAGGCCCAAAGGTTGTGTGTTTTCCAGTTCTTTTTCTTGTCTCCCTTACACACTTTCTCCTTGATCTAGATGCTGTCTTTTCTGTCTTACTGTTGGGTGCTGTGTTGGAGGAACCATATAATATTGGTATAATCTGTTTTAATAGTATTTCTTTTCCTTATACTATGAATCCGATTCTCAATCGTTTCCTAATGCTGGAGTTATCTCATCTTGTTAGCATAGCTGAGTTGTGGTTTGCCACGAACTATAGGTTTGACATAGCAGAAACAAATCAGACGTTGGATTGCTAAAACAATCACGCCCCCACCAGTAAAGAGTCATTTAGTCCAATGATAAAAAGTACCAGAGTATCTAATCTCTTGTAATTATGGCAGGCCTGGAAGATGAGTGGCTGGCTCAGTCCGTACCGCATGTTGGGATGTGCATAGGGGATACATTAGTTTGGCCAATTTGCAAATCTCGAACTGACCAGACCGAACCAGATAGATTTGCCACCAAACGGGGAAATATATCCGCTGGATTCAGCTGTTCGGCATTCTTGGGTGGGAGTAACAGGCGTCGTCTACCAGGGAAGAGAAAGTAGGAGTGGGAAGAGTGGCCCGTGACTTGCCCGATCGGTGACCTCGTGCCGGAGTCTTGACCTCACCATTTCAACTTCCTTTCCCCCTTCTCCCTTCTTCACCCTCGTCTTTACCGCCCCCCCATTCACCCACCCCCACCTCAACCAAAGGTCTTCAGTCTTGGTCTTCTCGTCGAGAGACAGCGAGGGAGAGGTTGGGTCACATATTCTGGGGCAAAGTGCCTCTTTCCGCCCATTATCGTCTGGGTTTTACTTTCCCTTCGTGTGGGTCTCAACCAGTCTCAATATCTGTCCTGGAACAGTTTTGTTCGTCGCATCAGCATGCAGCAAGCTTTAGCCTGAAATTTTCCTGCCAGCCAATATGGAAGCATCTCATCTACCCCCAGAGGGGATTGTACTTCCCCCGAGTCCCATGAATTCGGTCGACTCGACGACATCCGCAGTCGAGACAACGGAGCCGGAAGAGAGTGTCATGATCACCTTAACACTCACGCCGCACCCGCCCGCCGCTTCCCCGAGTCGTTTGCCTTTCACCCGCTCCCATTTCCGGTCGCGATCTTTAGCAGAAGTCCCGGGGCTCCCTATGACGCGCGCTCGTTCTTCCCCCGGGTTGGATTCACGGGGAAGATATATCTTCGTCAACGGCCGCGATGCACCGGCAAACTTCGTGGACAACACTCCCAAACGCTACCTACCCTTGCAGGCCACATCTGGGGAAAACCTCGAGGCGAGAATGGTACCACGGAACATCTCCCAAACCATCTCAGAACATGCCGAGCTCGACACGGGAATGGCCTCGTCCCAAGGGGTGCATCCCGCTGCATCACCTATGTTTTCTTACACTTTCCCGCGCATCGGTCGCCGACGACCATCGTCTCCCCTCCATTTTCATGCTGGGAATCCTACTGGGCAGTCATCTAGCAGCCCCTCTTCCGCACACTCCTCTCCAGTCATTCTGAATTCCAGATACAACGAATCTTACCCGGCACATTCTGCATCCTCGACTTCCTCAATTCCTTCCACACCTACCAGTATCCGGTCTCGTAGTCCGAGTATCTCTTCGTTGGAAACTATCCCAGACATACCTGATGCTGAAGCCGAAGCTACTGAAGCCGACCAGATCGCGGCCTTGAAAGCTGCTGCCGATAGAGCAGATGAAGCGGAGGCGGCGGCAAATGGGAACCGACGGCGCGGAACGTCCGACACTTCAGGGCCCTCAAGTACGTTCATGAATATGAGGGGTAGCTCAGGCTACGGTGCCAGGGCTGATAAAAGGAAGCGATGGAGCGTTTGTGGAGCTGAGCGCCGTCAAGACCTGGACCTGGAAACCATCTGGGAAGACTGAATGTTGGAAAACATCATTTGGGCCGGGGCTCCTCAGGGGCTCCTCACCGTTGTACACCTGAGCAAATTGCCCTTGGATACAAGACCATTCGGCTGGTGGCCTTGTTGTTGAGTTTATCGAACACTATTAAGTTCATATCGAGCACGCCATCAAGCCCATTTTACTGTCCAATCTTGCGGATCGGATCGGAATGGGGGCAAATATGTACTACCGATCGCCAGCAAAACTCGCCCTCCTACGCAATGATTGACGCGCTTCTATTCCGCTCTAGCTCGTCGCTAAGATTTTGTCTCGGTCTATCATTGTGAACCACTATGTATTATACTATATTGGTTCTTTCTTTTCTTTTCATTGCTCTCTTTCTGTTTTATTTATTCTCTTTTCCCTTGCTCCTCAACCTTGCATGATTTGTCTATTTGATACTCCGAGCTGAACGGAAACTCTGGCTTTCACTTGCTCTGTTTTTCGGCGCTCCGTTTGGGAAATTGCGGATACCCCTCTTACTATCCTTAGGTGGTACTGCCTGTTTACTGTCGTCTGCCTTGCTTGCGGGATACGCGGAGTCTCGAGTATTGGGCAGGTTCATTGATATTCTCTGCCAATCGTATTCATATCTGAGTTGCATGAGGGCGTAATCTATGCACGCGGAAATGTTGTCCAGAGGAAGGGTGTGTTGTGTTATTTTTCTGCATTGCCGGGAGAGATTGAATAGCGTCGTCGTCGTGATTCCCCTTCCCTTCCTATATCTCTTTCTCTCTCTCTCTCTTTCTCACCCACCCACCCACCATGGGACTGACCGGCATTTTGTGTCTTCTATTATGGATCAGAATCACCTTACGTATCGGACTTGTTTTGGTCTGCTTCTTGTGAATGTGTAAATATCGACATACATACCTATCCTCTTGACATACAACTTGCTATTAACACTCCCAACTAGTTGAGGATAATGGAATCCCCTACCCGGTGGGATGTATAGGACAGTAGAAGAGTTGATTTACAGAAGCCGCTCCAACTAAACAACGTGCCCACTCACACAGCAGACTTCTTCCCCGACGCTGAGGGCAAAGAATCGTCCCTCTCGGGCCCTAACCCGTCTCTTCCCAGGCCATAAAGCTCGCAGATCTGAGCTGCCGCGCGCTCCCCACTCCAGTACGCACCGGTCGTGGTCCCCAATGCCACAAAGGGCGCCGTATGCTCCCCCGCAAACCAGACTCCTCGGTCCACACCAACGCCAGCTCGCAACACCTCGATGTCTCGATCGGCGCTTTCGAGACCGACCTGGAAATTGCAATACGACCCATGGCCTGCGTACGGGTCATTCTGCCACTGGGTTGCCAGGAAGGCGAGTGGTTTGCAGTCTTTCGATGTCTCCGAATACCCGCTGAGACTGGAGTAGAAGGGATGGAGGAAGGCGTCGAGGAAGTTGTAGTATTCCTCAGATGAAGAGTCAAGATTCTTCACTTTTAACACGATGTAAGTAGCGCAGGGACCATATGTATAGAAGAGCAGGGTTGGCTGGGCACAGTGAGTGGGCAGGGCTGCTAGCGAAATACATTCTTGATTCCATATGATGCCTTCGGGGTGCTCTGTGTATACTGGGTCGAGGAACTGTATAAATGTGGGATTATCTTCCGACGGTGTTCCATCGGTCGAGGTGGGTTTAGAATCTTGTTCTGTATGCCAGAATGCTTGCGGGAATGTAACATAAACTTTCTCCAGTCGACCATAGCTAATATTGTTGATCGCCTGTGTGAGCCGTGGGGGCAGCTCTGGATTGAATGCAGCTTGATTGCGCTTTAACCAACCCAAAGGGCAGGTAACCACCACTTCGTCGAATTGAAAAGTTTCCCCGGTTGCAGTTGTTAGGGCCACTTCGCAAGGCGTTCGCAAACCGTCACGTAGTTTCGAGTCAATTTTGACAACGGGTTGATTTAGGCGAACATCAGTCTTTTCAATAGCTACTTTGGAAACATGCTCCAGAATAGCTCTATAAGTCGATGCTACGAAGTAGTTGTCTAATGTTGGAACTTGGTTAGCAAACACAGAATGCCGTGTAGCTATGGAAGAGACCTACTCCCATCAATGCACTCCTCAAGACAGAAAAACTTCAGGCTCTGTCTTTCTATAGGATCACCGACGTAAGCCCCCCATAACCTACTTAACTCAATACATAGCTCTTTCTCTAGTGGCGTGAGACTTGTCTTCTCAATCCGCTCCCGGAAAAAATCGAGCAGACTTCGATCAGGCGGAATAGTATCTTTATGAGCATTGCTATACTTAAAGGCCTCGCCGATCGTGTTCCACAGAACCTCGGATAGCTTGATGGCTAACTCGCTATCCAGGAGATTCCTATCTGGAGCGAACAGCATCTGGTAGCCATTAAAGTCTTCAATCGTTGTTTCTGTCAAAGCTGCAATGCCGACAATAGGGTTTTTCCCAGTGCCATGGATCCAATTTGGTCCTCTTCCGAACCATTAGAGCGGTCTTTCTAAAGATGTAAGAACTGCAGTCGGCAGGGTATAAGGACTTACAGATCGACCAGGTGATCTTCAATTTTGCTTTGATGCACCTATCACCAATTAGTGTTACCTCTACCACGAAGAATATTGAACACTCACCCTCCCCCCAGTTCGATTTCTTGCCTCGAAGACGGTTACCTGAGCACCATTTTGCGCAAGTATATCTGCACATCTCAGTCCGGAAAATCCGGCTCCAATGATAGCCACGTGGGGTTTTTTGCCCATGGCAATGAGATGTCGTGGGATATGTCTACTCTTTTGCCGTTGGCGTAAGAAAAACGAAGAATTGGATCTGGTAACTCCAGTATGGAAAGCTTTCTTCTTGCGTCGCACAGCTCGATCAGCTTTGCAGGTTTATGACATGAAAACAGTGCTTAGGTCTAGCAAATGTCCCTTTTGAATCAAGTTAAGTGGTAAATAGCACCCCGTAACTAAAGCATCAAAAGATGATGAGAAAACGAGAAGAAGAGAAGAAAAGAACAAGGATCGTTGCTCAACACACAAAAATTGAAACCAACAACTTACTGCAAGAGATAATTGACTACAAAACGACATAAAACGAGATGGGCAGTTCATTTGTCGTTGATAGAGAACAGGGGCCAAGAACCAAGTCCAGAAAGAGGAAGTCAGCAGTCTCGCCACGTGCAGACCGACTTCATCGAGACTACCATGGAACTAGATACTAAAGACAATAGGCAGAAGATCCCGAACCAACATCCGGGCGAGACTCAACCCCGCACTATACGTTGAACGCGCAGAATCATGTCAGTAGTTATGGTAACGCAGAGTTCCTACTTCATCAATAAGGGGCCTGCATAGCATGCATGACGCTTCAATAATTAGGCTGTGGTAGGTCAATAGAACTTTAACCACAGCCTCGTTCGCCACCAACCATAGCTGACCATCTGCACTGAATGGACCATTTCTAATCAAATTACTCATCAAGGGCGGTGAAAATTCATCTAATTCGTTTTCAATAGATGTATTAGCCTGAGAGAATTACAATTGCATATCATCTACCGTGAACTTCTGCGGACAGGATTTCATCATCAATGTCAGGCAGGAATTACAGCACCAGAGACGAGGAAACTATGCCGTCTCAAGAGCAAGGACTGCACTAGACAGGAAGGACAGGCCAATCGTCATAGGAGCATCGCTCAGCGTCATACATGCAACCACCGCGTGCTGTGTTGCAAACTCCAACATGGTCGCAAAACAAAAGATTGGATATGGAACAAAGGAAAAGGAACAAAAGAAAACAATTTGTATCATGGAGGAACTGGCCATTTCCTCTCTACCGCCATGCCCCCTGGCTTAGTGAAAGCAAGCCTTGGATACAATCAAGGTCTTCTTCTTGACTCGCACTGCCCCCGCCGGCCATGAATGCAGAGACATCTGCATCCATTTCTGGAGCGGCTTTGCCGTTGCCTCCGCTAGCTTTCCGCTGTGATGCCTGCGACAGTCGAGAGCGTTTACCAGCTGCAAGCAGACCCTTATTAGCCTTGCCATCTCGCCCTTTCGAGTCCCTCAGAACGGGGCGTTGAGAATGATGATGGGAAGCTGCTCGGCGGCGGATATGAGATACACGAGTTCCTGGAATCCAGTTTTCTTTGTCGGAATCACCACATTGCAGATCTGGATCATCATTCTTTGCGTTGGATGGGGCCAACTTGGAATTCATAGCGGGAACAAGTGCCGTTCTGTTGCTTGCGATATTTTGGCTGGATTCCAGGCGGCCCAGGGAGGAAACTGTGCGCGAAATCTTTCGCCGCTTTTCTCGTAAAGTTTGAGGAATAGGTGTGTTGAGGTACTCAGACTGGATAGAGGTCATGGAATTCCTGTGTCTGGCTGATACGCTTCGGGTTAATGAACGCGGTGCTCCGGGACGGAAATCCCCCGGGGAATTGGAGTTGGGAGCGCTTTGAGAGCTGGATGGGGTTGATAGGGCACTTCGGGCATCGGTGTCGAAGAATGATTCCCAGTTTCGAGGGTCTCGAGACCGTCCGAAGAGTCCCTCTCTCTCCGCAGAACCTCGCGGCGTTCCAAGGACCACTGCACTATTGCTCCTCCGAAGACTTGGAAACCGAGGCTTTCGGGTTGAAAACATGGAGATTCGATTTTTAGAAGGGGATGGTTCACCTTCGGCACGAATAACAGCCTTTCCATCAGAGGACATGGCAATTCGAAGTGCGTTTCGTCCCTTTGGAGGTGACGGGGTCAGTTCACCTTCCTTCCGCACCATTGCCTCCCCATCAAATGATAAAGAAATGCGCAAAGAAGGTGGCGATCTCGCGTCCGATACACCACTAGGTGTGATAGGTTGTTGTACCACTGGTTGGCCCTCACGAAGCTCGGAAACGGATCGCTTTCTCTTCGCAGAATTTGGGGGCAACTCCTCCGCTTCCAAGCTTTGCTGTGTTTGGATCGTTGACTCTGGCTTCGGTGCCATCTCGTCCACGACTTGTTGGCTATACTCGTGGGCTTCGGATGACTCCACGATAGTTTGGGAATTTGGCCTCAGCTGCTCGATCTCATCTTTGTCCCCATGCCCTATGTCCCTTTCAGACGAGCCGATGTTGGGCGACCGGTCCGTTGGATTCTGCTCATTGCCTGAGTCCTCGTACTGGTCTGTCCCACTCGACGATCCTGGTTCCACATTTAAATTGTCATCACTAGAGCTATTTTTCGACGCGTCGGCCGCTGTCGACCGTGGGGCTAAGAGTTCATGAGGCTGAAGAGGTTTCGACTTTCGACGGTCGTTCTGACGACGGTTCTGGAACCAGATCTAAGCATAAGAGGAACACATCAGCATGGCCAATCGGTAGAAACATATTGCACTTGGGCGCAAGGGAACATACTTGCACTTCCTTTTCGCCCAATGAAACACGCTTGACTATATCTCCACGGGCAGCTTTATCTGGCTTGGGATTATGTTGATACTCTGCCTCGAGAATAGCATGGTCTTCGGGACTGCCGAACGACATCAGAATGCCTCTCGTCGTAGATTGATATATAGGAATGATCGTACCTGGTACGACGACGCTTCTGTCTCGCTAGCAATTTATTATCGACGCGTGGGGGCAAGTTCTGAGTGAGGGTTTTCTGCGAGTGGACCAGAAAAGCATAATTTAGAGCAGCAGCGGCGGCGGCGGCCGACTCCGAAGCCTGAGCAGTGGACGGGGGCGAGGAACAAGCTGCTACAGAAGGCTCCGGATCAGACATGGAGGGCGGACTGGCTACCTGTGAGAGAAGCAGACGGGAAGCATGGGGACTGGAGGTCAAGAAGAAAAAGGAAGGGGAAAGAGGGAATGTTATAGAGGACCCAATAATATGAACTATCGGGGGAGATTAGGGGAAGCTGGATGGGGGAGAAATGAGCGTAAGTGAAGAAGGAAAAAAGCAGTTCATCTAATCGCGTCGCGATGTGGACGCGGACGGGGCGTGCAGGCGTTAGAGACGCATCGCTGCTAGCTCGGGCTAGCCCGCCTTTACATTGGGACAGTTCAGAGGTCTATCTCGAGGTGGAAATGCTCTTCTGTTGTGCTACGATGGAAGAACATGATCTGGCGCTATTTGTCCCCATGTCACGTCTATCCTCCAGACATCCTCATGTTTTCTGGTCCATCCATCCATCTATACACATCGCGGGGTTGACGTGTGGTTCGTACCGGTGTAAGGACGCCGGTAAATTACCTAATGCAGTGGAGCCCGTGTTGTGATGCGCTGTCACGTGGCTGTCGGCGATCTGGGTCACTCTTGCTTGTGCGTCTAAATGTGCGTCTCCATCACTACATCCATCCATGGGAATAGGATTTACAGTTGTACCCTAATCAAATAGGATGCAAATGCAATTGGGACAAGTATACCCGCTGTCAATGCACAATGGCTCTTATCCATTGATCTTTTTCTACATACTGTCTTCGCCCTGGTATCTCATCATTTCAAAATCTCAATTTTAAATAAATCCCACGTGCTCACAAACCCGAAAAAGACCGAGGAAGGCTAATATTATCGAGAGAGTATGGCGAAAGATAGTGGCTATCGCTATGATACAACTTTCATATCGTACGTGAGGTCGCTACAATGTAGGTTGACCCAGCAAGAAAATAGACGCCCAGTATGATAGACCCGAATGCAAACCCCTGTAGCCTCGAGTGTTCGGTGCTATTCTGTCGATTCAAGATAGCTTCCATAATAGGTAGACCTGTCAAGTAACTATGGGTTAAGCAGCGGTTATCATCGATTAGCACCCAAACATAGCTGTCTTAGGTAAGAGTAAGAGGACCTTGGACTGACCTAAATCGACATGATAATATGAAAGGTACCGAATCTCTGCCCGATGGTCTCTACGCTCCCCATCTTGGCTACGCAGGGTATGAGCAGGCTAACGAAGGCACCGCTAGCAAAACCGTATACGAGTCAAAAGACAGGGAAGGATTCCCGTGTGTGGGCACCGGGAATCAAACGACTGCAGACTTACATTCACTCATACTCTACAGATTAAATCAACACCATCAGAAAATGCAATAGTAATAGTAGTATTATGATTCTCGCTGATTCATATGGCTAGGAATATTCCATGGGTCATAATCCGCATGGACAAAAGCACGATCAACCGTCGGCACGCTCTCAATCATATACTGCAAACTCTCGCCGATATCGTGACTATCACGGAGGCTGGTTTTGGCCTCGAAGACAATATCCACCTCAACGTTCAGCCGGTCCCCAGCATAGTAGGCTTTCAGATCCTGAATATTGAGGATGGCTTTGGAAAACCGCATAGTCATGTACAGAAGGATGCTGTGATCTATCCCCGATGCGGCTGTGCCGGTCAAGTGGCTGATATGCTCGGCTGCAGTTCCGGTCCAGTTCCAGATGATATAGACCGAGAGGAGAAGGCCGCCTAGGGGGTCAATGAACCAGGTTCGTGTGAGGGAACCAACTGGAAATCAGATGTATGAGTATATGGTTCCATGGACCTGGATGGGTTAAGACTGTTAGGACTGCTTGAACTTACTTAGTGGAAACAAGATGCTGAATAAGTTGAAGATGACGTCGGTCATGGCATCTTGTGCTAGGGCCTGCACACTCGAGTTCTTGATGAGACGGCACCACAACCAACATGCCAGTTTCACTAGAACGGTGCTAGCCATGACCGCAATCGATGGTATGGAGAGTTCGACCAAGGTGTGCTCCGTGGATACGAGCCGACCCAAGGAGGTCAAGGCAACCTGGACAAAGGACACTATCATAACAACCGCAAAAACGAGGACACTCAAAGGCTCAAGCCGACGTCTGCTAATGGGGTACCGATATCGGTCGTCGTTCTTGATGAGCTTAGTCGTGGCCCAGACAATGGCTGTACTCAAAAAATCCAATATTCCGTCCACCAAGCTAGCGAGGACCGAAAGAGAATTCGTCATTGACATAACCGCAATTTTGGCGGCCAGTAGAACCACATTTGCTGCGAAATTGATGTATATAGATAAAGTCACAATACGATCCTCGCTGTCTACCAAATCATGTCGTTTCGCCACGATCTCTGGTGAGGAAGGAGCGTTCTCGTCGGCTGACGCGGGCAAAAGAGGCGAATTTTCATCGGGTATTCGATAGAGATTCTGGGGAGTGCGTTTGACTTTACCGCTTTTCTTTGGCCCTGCACGGTCGCTAGCAGTGCTCCCTCCCTCGCTCATAACTACCGCGTCGTTATCAAATAGATCAGATTGGTGGTGATAATCTCCAATAAGTCGATGTGGTAGTGGTGAATCAAGTAGTCGATCAATATACACGTATTGTGCTATCAACTCATTGTTGTGCTCATAGTATTTCCGCCTAGTTTTCGACTAGAGTCTTAGCAGTTGAACCCATTGTCGATGAGTGAAGGAAAGCTCAACGCATACAAACTTTTGGATAATCCTTTCAATGTGTCGGGATCCCGGTAGTGCCACTGCCTAAAATACAACTGATCAGTATGAGGTCAAACGTTTGTCTTCTTCCCAAAACATACCAATTATACATTGGCTTGATATTGCCTATCAACCGTCTGGCCCGCTCCAAAGGAACTTTGTCCATCCGTTCCCAGGGCGTGACCAAATCATCTTGCTGAAAGCCACCATCTTGATCATCTCGGCTCTGGACTGAGACAGACCGTCTGCGTATGAGCCTGGCCAGTGATTGCCCACGCGTAGATAGGATTTCTCCCTCTCGGGCAAGGGTAGGCGTTCTGGGTTGGATGGAATCGGGCGATAAGGGAGGTGATGATGGGGGAAATTGCGGCGTGGAGTTAGATCGAAGCATAGAGCTAGTCATGAGGCCAATGGGGTGCCAGAAGGCAGATGGTATCACGGCGCATGGAATACTTCAATGATGCTACTAGTAGTATCCCTCGCCGATGCCGTCCGAGCAGGTGACTGCGCTATCGGATCAGATCGATCTTATCAACACGTGATGCGGAGTAGAGTCATGTGTCCACGCCCAATGTGGAATCCCCAGAATCCCTCGAATCAACCTCAACTTTGCCTGTTGAAGACTGGGAAGTCGTCCATGGTTTGCAGCTTAGCATTGCAGTCACTGGGTATCAGAATGGCCCTACCGTCAGGAGAAGAACGAGGTACGGAGTATGGTGCAATGAGAACTTCCCAATTCCAACTCGGAAACCGGGGGGCTGGGCCGATTTGTGTTGGGATAAAAGACGCGGTCTCCTAAGAGTCTTTGGCGCCAAGTTGAGAAACCCCTATTCGCTGTCGGCGAAATAAATTAAACGTTGAATTCCTATTTAGCCGACACCGAGGCAATATCCGTCCATACAGATGAGGGCTGTCGTGCTCAGGGCCTCAGTCTTTATTTCCAATCAATAGGACGACAGCAAGACGGAATTGCCGGATGAATTGATAACGTTCCCTGACCCGGTCACGCCAATCAGGACCCCAAGAGGAGGCAAGAAGAGACGGAGCCATTTTTAGTCTCGGGCCGGACGTCCACCCCGGATTTTCATGCGTTCGATTAACGCATCCCCGCGTCTACTCGCCTTTGAGCCACCGGCCAGTCCGTGTTAAGCCGCTGATGTCGCAGTATTAACCTGCTTACGACATCGAACATGACAGGTCTTGTGTGAAGATCATAACGGATTGCAAAATATATAGACTTTACCCATCCCCTATCCCGCATACGTGCTCTTCTCCTACTCTCTTTCGACATTTTCTGCTTTACGGGGCCTCTCCAAAAATGGGGCGAGCTTTTACCATTGGCTTGACCTCATTTGCGGCCACGGGGTCGTTTCTATTTGGATACGATAGTGGTGTGATGACCGATGTGATTGAATCGAAGAATTTCCTCTCCTACTTTAATACTACACAAACATCGGCCATTATTGGAGCGATTAATAGCACTTTTTCTGGAGGAGGTACGGTTTTTCTTTAACACCCTATCTGACCTTAATTGATAATTAGATGGATTGCAGCTGCTATTGGATCCCTTCAGGGAGGTCTGACCATGGATCGATTTGGACGAAAATTCACAATTCAAACGGGAGCCTTCATCTGTCTCATCGGCGCTATCCTCCAGGCCTCTGCCAGGAATCTGGCGATGATTCTTGTCGGTCGAATTTTTGCTGGATATGCGGTCGGCCTCATGTCGATGTCAGTGCCAGTGTACCAGGCAGAGGTTGCACATCCTCACTCACGTGGCTTCATCATTGGGCTGGCGCAACAGATGATTGGGATTGGATTCATTGTCAGCACGTACGTTATGATGTCCGTGTGTTTCTAATATTCGACATTAATGGTTTTTTTTAGGTGGGTGGGATTTGGCTCCCTCCATGCGCCAGAGACCAGTGAATTCCAATGGCGCTTTCCTTTGGCATTCCAAACGGTTCCGGCACTGCTGCTAGTGGTGGGTATGTTCTTCATGCCAGAGTCTCCCAGATACCTGGTGGAAAAGGAACGCTACGAAAAAGCTATGCGAATCCTGAAGAAATTGCACTTTGACGGCTCAAACGAGGAATGGATCCAGAGGGAGTATAACGAGATCAAAGCAACTATCAACGCTGAGAAGGCCGTCATGACACCTGGCTGGCTTGCCATGTTTAAGGTGCCGCAGTGGCGCACCCGGCTATTGTGAGTAATTCTCTCCCCAGCCAGTCAGCCAGCTCCCATTCCTAATGAGATTTACCGCATCCTAGCCACGGCGTCGCTGTCCAAGTGTTCACCCAAATGACCGGGGTCAACGTGATTGGATATTACCAGACAATCATCTACAATGCCCTGGGGATTACGGGCAGTCGCAACATCCTTGTCGCCGGCATCTACAACTGCGTGGGGCCCCTCACCAACCTGGCTTTTATCATCTTCCTGCTGGACCGTGTCGGACGGCGCAAGCCCATGATGTTCGGCGCGACGGCCATTGGCATCGTGTTGATCTGTTTTACGGGACTGCATGCAAACAACGACGATGGATCACGACGCGGCTACAGCATTGGAGGCGTGTTTTTCATCTTCTGTATCACGATCATTTTTTCCCTGTCATTTGGGCCCTGCAGTTGGTGAGTGTCTTGAAACACTGTTCCCTTTCTTTCTCTCTATCTTTTTCCACCTGATAGTCTCACTTACATGTACACCCGCAGGACCTACATGGCCGAGGTTATGCCGATGCAAATCCGGGGCAAAGGGAACGCGTTTGCAACGGGGTTCGGCAACTGGGCCGTCAGCACGCTATGGAACCAAGTATCGCCCCTTGCCATGGAGAAAATCGAGTGGAAATTCTACCTCATCTTCATCATATGGAGTGAGTCTCAAACTGGTTTGTAAAATGCAGGCTTCCGGACTGAATGCTAACTTAGATGACAGATTTCTGCATCACCCTGCCCACAGTTTACTTCTTGTTTGTGGAGACAAAACAACAGTCCTTGGAAGAAATTGATATCCTCTTCGGTGGTCGGGCATTGGGTACCTTACCGGAGGATGTGACGAAGAGAACACTGGAAAAAGCCGAGGAGACGGGCGTGTCAGTTACTAATGTGGAACATAGTAGGGTTTGATGGTTATCAAATCAGCCATCCGCGCCCTAAGTTTACCCATTCTGCTTGATTTCTAGCTGTCTTTTAAGTATACTTGTTAGTAGAATTATAGTATATTGGTTACAGAGAAATCTCTGTAATACTAGGACATTAGCAAATTTCCTAATTCTAGTTAGAAAGACAGTGTTAAAGGGCACATGACCACCACTACGTGATATCTCAACGAGAACCACAAGATAATACATACAATACTCTCTGGGACTAGGCCTCGGCCTAATCGAAAGCTGTCAGGCGGTTTATGTTGGGCCTGCTGTATATCTTTCGCGCAGGTCCTCACACGGAGAGCCTGGAACAACTTACGCGGCGGCTAGGGAGGAGCCACTGTTCCAAAATTTTACGGCTCTTTAAAGTGTGTTGCTGGTACCCCGAATCAGGAATGAATCGCGAGAGTCGGAGCTCGGCAATCATGTTGCCCATCTTCTCGTCGTTAACAAAGTGCTGACTGGAAGCAAACATCATACCTTCGAGAGGCTTATAGGGCTCGTGCACGGTCTCAACCCGCATACGATTAACTGCAAAGAGGTGAGATTTAGAAAAGAATGCTTAATCTGCTGCTACACTGATCAACGTACCTCCGAAGCCAAAGGGGTTGTTTTAGCATTTGGGTCTCCCAGAAGCAATGGCAAAGTGAGCTCGTTGAATCGGTAATACCGTCAGTAATGACTTCAGCCTGACCTTCGGTATCAGCAGCGATGGCAGAGATGGAAAGGCGCCCGAACTTCTTATCGGCGTCGACACAGAACCATTCGTGTCCTGCTTTGATAGTGAAGTCAACCTTAGGCTCGAAGCTTTCGACAGAGCGGATGTAACCGCCGGAAGACGGCTGCGGAATTGAAACAACCCATTAGCATAAAACAACATCAATATTGTGCACTCGCCTGAATAGCAAGCAGGTACAACATATTCGACGAGGCCAAGTCGGGGGCGAGGCAAAGAAACGTCAGGAAGAAAAGGTCTCATACCACGCAAGCGAGAGGCGAACCCGTGTGGACGTCGCCACAAGGGAATTTACCAGCCAGTTCTCACTAGAAAAGACAGGTCGTTAGTCCATATACTCGACGAGATTATGATGGGTGCAGCAAGTATCATACGCTGATTGACATTGACGGGCTCGAGGTAAGCGGAGCTCTCGAGCGGCGTTGATGTGTGGGAGTTTTCGGGTTGAGAAGTCATTTAGTTGCTCGTTCGGAGAGGCGATGACGCAATTAAGAGCAAGTTAGAAAGTTATACTGACTATTAAGATTCTTCTCATGGCTACAGACAGGGCCGTTTTATGTTATGGCGTATTCACATGGGAAGCCAAATGTCAGTCAGCTGAATACGCGTATAAGCTAGTATCACCGATCATATGAATACTAATGGATCTGCATTGAAAAGTATAAGGTCTCTAACTATCTGAATCAACCATTCAAAATAATATAATTATTATATTGTCAACATAATCATTATATTATTTTAGCGTGGTGGAAAAATAGTATTCCGGCCTTGGCCGAATGCCTTTAGGTACAGGACGAGGACGCCGCGGAGGTCTTCCACAGCCATTGAATTTCATCGATTCGAAGAAGCGGTATAATCTCGCGGAGCTCGTTCTTTGTAAGTCTTTTAAAATATACATAAATTAGTATGTAAATCGGAAGTTAAATTAAATAAAATGCCTTGTATAGCTAACAGCAGTTTCATCATTCCGATCATCAAGAATAAAGCCTCTATTCAGGCACTTATCTCTGCATATTTCTCGCCTGTCATCCTCCACGGTCAGGCATAGAAACGCAAGGCTTGCAAACGCCAAAAGCTTTAATTTTTCCAGTTTAGGAAGTCGGTAGAATGGTGTGGTCATTGCTATCGGGGCCTTAAAGCGCTCAATCACGGGCCTGATTAACATAATGAGGTTCAGTATTTACGAAATCCGCCAAGAATCGCGATATATCAACTAAATCCAATATGGTATAGATGATTATCAGATCTCGCTTATTTTGCCTAATTAGATTCTGCCAGGCAGAAAATATAATATAATTTTATATAATTATATTATGCAGAACCTCTCTAATAAAAAAGGCGAAAAACAAAGGAACAAAGTCGGACCGAGTAGATGCTGAATAACGACTACCGACCCGATCCACTAGCACGCCCGCCGGCGCCGCGAAGGCGAAGATTATAAAGGTCAACAGGGTGCCAATCCAGGCGATATTAAACTCGGAATGATCGCGCAGGATGGTAGCATGGTAGAATTCCTGGAAGACCCCAAAGGCATTCTGAAACCCCAGCGTGCAGAAAAGGGATATAAAGGCCCCGATCAGCGCAATCGTCGAGCGAAACCTGTCCCACGGAGTCAGCGGCATTCGCAGGGAGGAAGTAGATGGCCCTTACGTGAACTCTTTCGGGGGGGAGGCATTGGCTCCGACGTGGGGGGCCGTACTGTCCACCCTCGCGGACATGATGAACGATCCAAGTTGATAGGGGCTGAGCTGAAGCAGCAGAAAAACCTGGAGGAAGCAGTAGCAGCGGCAGCAGAGGAAGAGCAGGAACCGCGAGCCATATATACATCCCGATCGGGCTAGTGCCGCCCAACCTCCACGGAGCCTCCGAGGAGCCCTGCGGAGCTCCGGGCGGCCATGGAGACTAGGTAAGGGAATTCTACGATGCGCGCAGTCGCAAAAACCCTGAGCGATAAGGAGGATGACCGAGGGAGAGCCACCGCTTCTATAAGTAGCAGGCACAGGTAGTCGGGAGAGGAGGAGGAAGAGGAAAAGGAGGGGGAGAGACACCGATGGGCGTTCCTGTGTGCCTGTGCCTGACCCACCAGGCCCGTCCCCACCATCGCTTGGATCCGGTTTAGTGCTCGCTGTTATTTATTTCCCAACGAGGCTCAGCACCCGATCGGGCTTAGCGGCCTGCACCACTTCATCCTCACTTTCGTCTTGCTCTCCTTCTCTTTGTCTCTCTCGCCCTTACTTTCCTTTCTCTCGCTCTCCTCCTCTAATCCCCTCTCCTCGTGCATTTTCCTCTATCAGCTACCATTCGCCCTCATCAACATGCACCTCCTCTCTGGGCTCCCCCGCTTGGGTCAGTGTCGGCATTCCCGCTGCCCAAACTTGGCAGTGAGGACTTTACTGCGTTGAAATGAACCAGCTAGTGATATCTGGAGTACATTGCACCGCTGCCCCAATACCTGCGATTGCGCGGCCTGTGATTAGGATGGTACTATTTGGTGCTACTCCGCAGATGAGACTCTCGACCTCAATGATGGACTGCGATACCAGGTAGGACCATTTGAGGTGGAAATGCTTGAACACTTTACCCCAAGTTGTCTGAAACGCAGCAAATATTAGAAAGGCGGATGAGCCATACCAGCCAATATCGCCGAGACTGTGGAAATCATCTGTGATACGCGGAATAGCCGTGGCCAGAATCGTGGAGTCAAGATTTGCAGTAAACATGCCCATGAACAGGGCCAGCATCGTCAGGACCAGTCGGACGAGCCCCGGCAGGATTCGGCTGATTATTGCTGTCAAACAATGAAATTTGGCATTCGCCTTTCGTGGTCTTTTTATGAAGGTTCCCGAATGTTTGTAGATAGAATGCGTGAAGAATGCGGTGTGTTCGTAAGATGAGAAGAACAAAAGGCACGGTTTAACATATCAATCTTATACTCTCTGCTGTCCTTAATAGTGCCCAACATCTCAATGTGAGCACATTGTGCCATGCTAGACAATTAATCAGCATTGAAGATTAGTCACTGTTTGGCAGTGGAGCCAGAAAGAACCACAGTAGATGAGCTTATACAACGGCCCGCTGCCTCGGCCCGTTGCTCTGACCAATCGGTTTTCAGATCTGCAGTCCGTCGGGGACCTGCCAGTGATCCACAGTGGATCCTCATGAGATTCATATAGGGTATGAATCACAGAATACTGGGAAAGTACCTAGGTTCTACGCCGAAAGAGCTCACTCAAGAAGTATCTGATATCCTTAATAAGATGAGCAAACAGATGATGGGGACGGCAAATAGCAGTGATAGCTGTAGCTAATGTTGGTCTTGGAAATACCTTACGGAGCCAGGCGTAGCTACGGCTGGTTTACTTTGTGGGACTGGACAATATGCGGATTACGGCAAGCAATTAAGGCCACTCCCTGAAAATAAAAATTTCTCATTTTCTGCCGGCAGAACTACCCCATGTGACTTGCTTGGTTTCACCATATAAATGGCTACTAGTCCTAAGCACCACGTAAAGGTGCAAGTTATGCTTAGGTGTTGTACACAGGGCCCGTACAACTAGGCGTGCAGGTGCTGGTATTAATGCTTGTGTATGTATATAAATTATTATACCTACCTAAAGAAGAATAGGATAATTCTTATCCCCCTCCCCTCCCTTCTCCTCTTCGTTGTTTGATAGAGTAATTGGATTCTCCTGTTCACCTTCTTCAGCGTCCAAATTAATTGGATGCTGCTAAGAGGAACCGATTGCCTGCTAATACTCTCCTTCAGTACCCAGGCCAACAGCCCGCTCTTGTAGTCTATCCAGTGGATATGCTACGGACCGCCAGAGCTTATCCTGTATAGTACAGCGGGCAGCTAGATCCAGCCATTTGTAGTTAGCGCATGCACTGCTGAATACACCTGGTACATGGCAACATTTGGTAAACGGACGCATACCTTGTGGAGTGCGGCATCTCTCACAAGGCACTGGCAGTGTCCGCCCACGGGATTGAATAAGCAAGGCATGAATATACAACGGACGATGCTGTATAAGATAGCAAGGAGTTATCCTGCCGCGGATAAATACAATGTCCTGCCCTGGAAGGGCCAGCAGCTGCCGACCTATATCAGCATGTACATAGTTGCCAGAATTGGACTGCTTGTTGCAAGACTGATTCTTCCAGCAGGCAGGCTCTTATAATATGGTAAACCAGCCATCCAATGTAAGAGCTGGAGGGGGAGGGGGGACACGGCGACGGTTGTTATTAAACCTATATAAAGCATTAAAATTAGCCAACAAAATCTTGTCTAATTATTATAAAAATTTAAAGAAACACTTATTATGCTAAGTTTAATTATCTCGCCAAGTTTTATGTACGTACGACATTTTGGTGGGGGTAAAAGGGGGTAAAGGTGGTAGAGGTATGAATTCAGCCATTGTTTTCTTTAACTCGGGCGGCTTTTTTATCCTCATCTACTACCTCCCTATTTATTTCCAGTTTATCAAGGGAATCTCTCCCATCGCCTCTGGTGTCTATAACCTTCCCGTCCTTATCAGCGGCATCTTCTCAATGATAGCCGGCACTCTACTCACAGTTACGCAATAATTCGTGCCCTTTATGTTCGTGAGCGCTGCTCTCAGTGCTGTAGGTGGCGGATTAGTCTACACGTTGGACCAAACACATTAACCGGGAAATAGGTCGGGTATCAGATTATCGCGGGCTCCTCCACCGGCTTTACCTCCCAGATCGCGGTCATGGCAAACACAGCATGTGTGGATAGTAATTAACCTTATTCTTCCAGCTAATTGGTGGATTATTCTCGTATCGGCGGCGCAGTCGGTCTTTGGAAATATGCTTATTCGCCGCATTCAGGAGACAGTGTCTGGGTTGTCGCCGTCTGCTGTGATCGGTGCAGGAGCTTCCGCTCTCAGGAAGACCTTTACTGCGGAGCAACTGCCTGGGGTCTTGACGGCTTACACGGATGGACTTACGGGGGCTTTTGCGGTGGCTACCGCTTTGTTGGTTATAAGTGCCCCGCTGGCTTTGTTGGCTCGGTGGGAGAAGTTTAAGGCCGGAGGCACCACCGCCATCGGACACCGACGGGGGGGTTGAGAAGTCGTAGAGTACCTCCGATTCCGAGAAATAAAAATAAAAAGAGACCTGGATTAATACAAAAGGTGGCAGAGGCACCTTTTCTTCCCATTCAGTTTCGCTATGGGTATATCCCCCGATTTACTATAATTATCTCGTGGTATCCAGAATGTCGCTACAAAAATAGCTCTTAAAATCCCACTCAACTTAACACAGTGTAATGCACTCTACACTAGGTATATTTTAAATAAAACCAAAACTATAGAGCATTTCCTTGAGAGCATTGGCTCACTCGCTATTGGAGTCGCTTCAGACATAATCAGTAGACGTTAATAGACTAACTCTTATACCATTTAAAAATAGCCCTAGCTAGACATGCCCAATTAAACCGACACACAAACCAACTACATCTAAGGATCCATTATCCAAATATTCCAGCCCGCTCCCATTCCACTCCCTTTGGAAAGTGCAATTCCCACCGCCCGACCATCTCGACCAGCAGAACCCGAATAGTCACGTCCGTCATGTACTTACTTCCCCATACACTGCCGCGGCCTAAAGCCGAACCGCCAGAAGTTGTACCGCACCTTAGTGCCATTCACCTCCAGAAACCGCGAAGGACGATATTCCTTGGCATAGGGGCCCCAGAACTCATTTCTTATATTAAATGCGTAGGTGTCGACGACGTAATTCGTCCCCGCTGGAACGGGGTATCCCTCTAATACTCTATTAATGGGACCGGATTGCGGCACAGAGAATGCCGCAAGCGGTTTCAGACGAGACGACTCCGAGATGCATCCCAAGAGAAAAGTTGTCGAGCTCAGGAGGTATGCATGCATGCCATCTTCACGTTGTGCGTCCCTGATATCTTCACGGAGTCTGGTTTGGGAGTCTTTGTCTGCTGCAAGAAAGACGAGGTTCAAGATAATCCGCCACGGTAAGTTTCAGTGAGTTGTAAGTCCAAAGCACGTTGGCGCCCAACTCGTTGAACCGGATCCAATTCGCCTGAAAGTCCTTCAGCGTCCGGTTCGCCTCCGTAGGCAAATAGTCCGAAAGCTCCAGCCGACTTACCTCGTACGAGACTCAAAACAAGGTTACAAGCCATGGCTTGTCAATGAAGCTCCGCGGCTGCTAGTACTGAGTTTATTATATTCTAGAATATTTATAAGCTCCTGGCTTGCTAAATGACATGCCAGGAATTAAATAAGAACTATCCTAAGTATATAGTACTAGACTTCATACATCTTTTTAGTTTTGTATACCATCAGTCCATTGTGTCAACATTTCTAAAAAGAAGCGGTAAATGATTTACTTCTATTACCCCTATTTTCTAATATTTTGGTTTCCATTCATCCAAGGCTGGGTGCTATTAAGGAATTAGACTATTGCGCTCCACATTCACTGCTATATATAAGAGCTCACCTGTCAAGCAATGCAGAAGATTCTCTAATATCATGCTCCGTAAGAGCTTTAGGCCATACATCCAACTCCACAGGCGTCTCTTATGTATTCTCGACTATAATAAATTAATGCGAAGTTAATTTTCATGTGTTGCTCCCCTTTTAGCTCTCGAGCTCGGCACTGCGCTGAGTCCAGCGATGTGGACAGTAACATTTGTTGAACTTTGTTTAACACCTCATGTTTCGATGCACTCTGCGAGAGCCGTTACTGCTGTTCCTTCTGTGCTCTCTTGAGCTGCACCTGAGATCGGAGGATTGGTTGCAGTTCTGTCTTCAACTGTGCCCACTAGGGTTTAATATTGCGGGGAATGTTACTGGCAGAAATCAGACGAAGAGTTGTTCTACAAGGTGGTCAAGAAAGTGGTTAATCAGATGGCCAAGAGCTGTTCAACAGGGTGGTCAAAAGCTATACAAGGCGGTCAAAAAAGTGCTCACCAGACCAGACGGGGTCAAAAATTATTCAGCAGGTGGTTAAAAATTGCTCAATAGTATGGGCAAAAGTTTTCACGCATCTTCCATTGTTTTTAATGGCAGCATGTACTACGAACTAATTAACACATCTTAGAATGAATTACGAGTGCAACATTCAAAAGGGCAACACAAATCCTCCCAAACATCCTGAATACCATCCCTTAGGATTTTTAAGATATTCGTATGCCGCCAGGCACATACATAGAAGTTCCAATTAAATGTTAGAGTAATAACAATATTCGCGGATAGCCTTTTTTTTTTTCTCTATAAAATTTGTCGAAACCTTCCAAAGGAATTGTGAAACAAAGTTAGGGAAAAAACTCTTCTAGTCGAAAAACATCTCTTCAAATTAAATATTTGCACTATGCTAGATAAATTGTATCACTCCTGCTTCGACTTGAGAAATGTCAAGGGTGTGGATGCTTATTAGGGCGGAGATCAACGGACACGCAACATCTCATCGTGACGGATGATGACTGTAAATGAACCTGAAGATAGATACCTTTTGCAAAGCAAGCGCCGGACCCTCCTATTCAAGTTCTGGGTCTTTTCTGTGAGAGTTTTATTCGTCAACGTGAAAGAAACATGCCTTCTTAAGATAGTGTCTGTTATAATGTTCCTGCTCTATTGCTAACTCCCAAGTGCAGTCAAAGGAGACGGGTATAGGGTCTGTTACTGTTTCCTGTCTATCAACGGCTCTCGCACCAACAATAATCAGGCAACAGTATTTTTTAACTCCATAGAAATAAGTCCAACTCTATCGGCCATAATAATGTCAATACCTGCTGCTGCTTGTATCTGGAAAGGAAATGTTTTAGTGCATGGCTACGTTTTGTATTTCTGGAGGGGTGTGTTAAGCATCATATGTAGCTTTAATACTTACTCTAGCATTATCAGGATTATTGTTCTGAAAGCCATAGGATCCACAAAGCAGCCCGAATTGCTTAACATATCCAGTAAGTCTCGGACAGAGTACCAGTGCCTCAGATGCGAAGACAATCCCAGTTAAGTTCCACCGCTTTGCAAAACGAATTGCAGTCTGCAAACTGCTGGCCCTTTTTTCCTTGTCCGTCATCGGAGGCTTGCCGGCATTAGTAATAAACATGATAGGGTACGTCTGTTGTTTTATGGCCAAAAGAATGCAGACTTCGGGGGTGAAAGAGGAGAGAATTATGGGCCGTTTACAGCCAACATGAGAGAAAAGCTTATCGAGTATTTTATCGATGAATGTATTGATCTCAATAGCCACAGGTGCAACACCTGCACCAATCGCCTCATGAAGCCTAGGATACTCTTTATTGCGACATTGTCAAAACTGACTTTTACGAGCGGGGGAGTGCGTTTTGACGAAACTTACTTATCTCAATATTGAATCCGATTGTGTCGGGCAATTTCTCAAGCAGTTCCTCAAACGTAGCAAACGAATCTTGGATAAAATCACCCCGGGTATTAGGCTTAAACCCTTTATCCATAAAATCAACAGTATACTTCATTCTATCGTAAAACTCCAGGGTTCTTCCGTCGTGACCCCTCGTTGATGATCGTGAGCGAAGTTTGGTTCGACCGGTCCCAGCCCCCAAGCTCCGAGTGTTTGCTCTTTCAAGGACGGATACCGGATCACCTCTCGGTGACTGTAGCTTACTTGCGAACATAAACTTGGACAGTGAGAATGAGTCAGGGTAGATCTTTTGAGATAACTTACCTGTTCAAAGCTCAAATCATGAATGGGAATATCCGTTCCTGATTCACTCAACGAAAGATCGTGATAAATGACAGGCACAAGATCTCTGGTTAGCTGCACATCTGGCTATATATTAGTACATAAATAAGAAAATACTATATGACTTTTATTACCAAACTGTCAACAGTCAGAGATGTTCGCTCTGATTAACAGTATTGCTTACCTCAACAAAAGTGGCACCCTGCTTTGCAGCTGAAAGGAATGACTGTACTTGATGTTAGACAGTCAGGTCTTGAACTTAGGGATCCATGTACCTCTATCGTATTCTCCCCTAGTTGGAGGTAGCTGCGGCTGCCAGTGTTTTGGCCGAGTCCTTACTCAGGGTTACTAATATATCAATGAAGGCCAAGTTTTTAAGTGAAGTACTTACCTCTGTGACCAACAAGTTGTAAGCCTCTCGAGATGCAAGGATTTTTCAAAGGAGGAAGCGGACGAGCCATTGGTTTGACAATGACTAATGTAAAAGTCACAGTACCGATAACTCTTAACGTGTTCTTTTCAAGAATTGGGATAGTACGCGCTCTGTCAAGGCTTTCACGGTATTCTCCAAGACCATGGTTGAGACTTTTAAGTAAAGCTGCACCACTGCCCAAGAGGTTATATTCCCTTTTTTGAAAAGGATTAGTACGTAGCATTTTGAACGTTAGCCAGGCTTGATTGGGATCTGTAACCGGAAACACGAAAGGCTGATTGACCATATCAGTCAAAATGGGTAGCTCCACAAGCTGACTTGCATTGCTCGCCTCCGAGAGCGATACTTCAATTGAAAGTCCTGAAGTAGAAGAAGGACCTCTCCACTCGACCGCCTCCACGTGCTTGCCATTTTGTAGGACACCAAAATTGACAACTGCGTAGCACTGATCAGGTCGAAAGTGGGACTTGGTATCAGGCAAGAGTTTCAAGGGCATGCTGGCTGGGCCACCTGATAGTTTCTCTATGTTCCATGAGTTCAGCAATTCAGCCATAGCTAGATGCCCCCGCAATACCGCATGCTCATTTGCGGCCCAACCGAAGTGGTCACGTATATCCTGATTCGCTCCAGCCTGTATGAGAAGCTTGGCCACAGATTGATGACCCTCCACACATGCGATAAATAAAGGTGTCCAGCCATGTATAGTTTCAGGGATATTGATATCGGTAGTTCTGCCATTTTTCAGGAGTATCTCCACATACTCCTCGCGCCCACATCGAGCCGCAGCATAAAGAGCGGTCTCTCCATTACTAGATCGGCGGTGAAACTCGAAGTGGCATTTCGCAAGCAGATAAACTATCTCGTCGTACTGGTATTTTATGGCGATAAAAAGAAGATCCTCCAGGGTATCCATTGCATTCTTGCCCAGGTTTTTGTCACCTATTTGATTCATAAATCCAACGGAAGTTAACAAAATCTTTGTAGCGGTTGCATGGTTGTTAATCACCGCGTAGTGTAAAGGAGTGAATCGCTGGGAGTCCGATGACAAGATTAAGCGTGCAGGGTAATCCTGGCCCCAATACTGAGCTATATTTAAAATCGATTGACAGATGACTGGCGATCCATAGATTGCACTATAGTGGAGAGAAATGCGACCAAAAGCATCCTTTGCTGATAAGATATCTCTTCGCCCATAGTCAAGGTGCTCAACTATGTAAAGAAACAGGCTGTTCCCTGTTTCACCATGCTTGCTAGCAAAACACCAAGAGCAGTCCCTCGGCTTATTGTGTTCTTCTAAAGCTCCATCTCGACAGGAAAGGACGATTATATGGTTTAAGACCTTGTGGTCTAATGCAATGGCATATTTTGGGAATGCTTCTGAAAACAGAAAGCCAGTGGATTGTCTAGAATGACAGGTCACTGATAGCTCTGCTAAGCCAAAGACAATTTCTCGAAAGGTCGACTTTGACATTCTATTATTCAAGTACATCTCATCCAGTAAATTGGCCAACTTCGACGGCTGGTCATCCCTGATAGCGGAGTATAAAGCCTTGCGGAAGGAATGAGAAAGTGGAGATTGACCACAGGTACTTTCCAGACACATAGATATAGATGTCGAGTGAAGCTTTGCACCAGTGCGGGTTCGAACGATCCCAGCTATCAAAGCATTCAAGCTTTCGGTGTGCTTCAAATATAGGGTATCGCAATCGCTTTTCAGTTTTATCCACTTGGATTTGTGGTTTTGGTGGGGCGGGCCGATCAAATTGTGAAATTTTTCGAGCTTTGCATATATCCTCTGGATAGCTTCCCCATTCACCCGATAGTACCATTGCAGCTTTTCCAAGTCCTTGCCGAGTTCTGTCATAGCTTTGAGGAGGTTCTCCAACTCACGGCAGTTTGCATTCTCTGTTTCTGGAGTATTCACTTCAAGTACCAATCCATACTTTTTGCGAATGTCCGCTTCCCTTTTGGTTAGGAATTGATAGTTTTCGTGGTGAAAGCAGTTGAAAGAATCGATGCTACACTCGAGACCTTCATATAATTCTGCAGTCAATGTGAGCAATATTCCGAGAGCGAAGATGTGGTAAACAGACCTGTAAAATTCGGTTGCTGTTTTGTAGGGCCCGCTATCCTGACGGCCTTGTTAAATAGCCTTTTTAATGAGAGATATGGGACGTAGAATGTTGCCCATTCCGGCACCTGGTACCTGTGGTAGTCCTGGCCGAATCTCATGATGAACTTGTATAGTTAAAGGAGTTGATTAATTAGTGGCTGGGGTGAGATTCTGGAGATGCAATCGAGTTCAAGGCTCATTACTGAAACTCGCTGCTGCCAATTTACACGTGAATAATAGGCCATCCAGTGGGCGGGATTCTTGCCTCTTCGGAGCTGGTCGGGAAATTCGAACGATTCTTGTTCAAGAAATAATGGAGTGGGCGCGCTGTTTCCCCGCTGCAACTTCCTATTATGTCCAAGTTTGATTTATAGAGCTGGCAAATCAAATGGAGTCGAGGGAGCACTGATACGTGTACCAATAATAGACTGCCGTAACAGTGGGGCCGGTCACTCTAGCTGAATTTAGAATAAATAAGAAAATGGAGTCCTTCTAATTAAGCGAATTAGCAGACACAGGAATAGAGGCATAACATATCGATGTTATATTAGACACATTAGTTACTCAGCAATAAATTCAGCTAGTCACTTGCGTCTTATATTGGAGCTATTGCAGGGCCGCGAGGTCCGTGCCATAGTTTCTAGACAGTTCCAAGCCGACACAATAGGCTAATGACAAGTATTAAACATGTGAGGCACCTGACTTTCTGGTGGTGCTATATCAATAAAATAGGTGACTTTGTATTTTCACCTCCTCTAAGAGGGCAATGAAGGGAAATGCTCATTCACACGTGGCTGCTGCCCCATGAGGGCGATACTTTCTGTTGCCTACGGAAGATTCTCAAGCGCGTCAAGGAAACTGCTATCGGAGCTGCAACCACTATTAGGTTCTCTACCTAATCCTTCCAAGTCGGAATTGACGCGTGATGAAAACCAAGCGAGAATGCCAGACTCCAGGAGGCTCTCCGAACTCTCTTCTTGGCTTGGTACGTGGTTAATAATACCCAAAAGATCATCGAATGCCTTGGCTAAGTCATCCGTCAGATCAGGGCGTTGTCGTAAGCGATTCCCGAAATCTCCAATTGTATATTGCTTATCGTATTTCATTCGGAAATGGTCAGTAGCAGCCAAAATACGAAGAGTTTCAAAATCAGCGTATAGTGCTGCTATCTGAAGAAGATGGGGGCCCTTAAGGCGTGGGCAAATAGAGTACTCATGCCACCGATCAAGTATTAGTCGTAAGACATTATGACTATTATAAGTGATTGCAGTGGTCAAGGGAGTTGAGCCATCTGCAGATATGGCATTAATATCCGCACCGTACTCTAGTAATAGCATGGCAAAACTAGCATTATTAGTACGTGCAGCGTGAATCAGTGCAGTTTTCCCATCTGTTCCACTTGCATCCACATCTGCGCCGAAGTCGAGAAGGCTTTTTAAGAGCAAAACATCTGTCGCATTACGGGCGGCGCAATTAAGAGGACTGCCTTTTCTTTCGCCGTTGGGCTTGGTAAAGTCGGTGTGCGCGCCAGCTTCCAGAAGCAGACGAACAGCAACAGTGCGACCTTGAGCTGCCGCGTTTGACAAGGGACCCGATAATTGAATGTCCATTATATTTGGATCAGCACCATGGCCTAGCAATGTAACAATAGCTCGTGTATCCCCTCGTGCTGCTGCCCATGCCAACGGTGTACGCCCCATTGCGTCTGTCGCATTGATATCCTCCGGGTTTTGAATAATTTCGTCTTCGAGGCTTAGCAACGACAGACCAAGAACGATTTTATGGATCTTTGTAAATCTTGACTCTTCTATAAAATCTTCTAAGTAACCTCCCTTCGTAATGGCGCGAAGAGCTTCAACAGCGGTATCAGAAAGTCCACCTTCAAGAAGAAAATGACATGCTTTGTTCTTTGGGCTGTTATCACTTGCAGCAATTGGTCTATATTCTGCATCTGCCCCTGCTTCTATTAGGAACTTGCAGGTTTCATATTGTTTTCCATAGAGGGCCCAGCGAAGAACAGAATACCCTCTAGTGGTGCTGATATCACGTGGAGATGCCAACCCATTCTCAAAAAGATATTTCAGTCCTTTAATATCACCATTCAACGCAAAGCTAACACATTGCGCCGTATCTGGTACCCTTCTTAGTGTGTCTAGTTGCAACAGCGTCCCGATATTGGGCTGGTATCCCACTTGTAGTCGCACGATCGAGGATGACAAAAATCCCAAAGGAAACCAATACTCCAGACTAACTTGGCTTGCCCGTGACTTTTTGCAAGCTTGAAAGTTGCACTTTGGACTAAATAATGGTAGTCCAGCATATCCAAGAAATAGCCGTCCAAGGACACGGTTCAGTAGCGCAGGACTGGCCGAATTCTGTTGCAAATGACAAGCACACGGACAACCAGGCCGGCAACTGACAATGAATGGTGTAACTCGGACGCCCATCCCCTCTGATCGTGCTGTATTCGTGTATTTCTCTTTGTTTGACGGTACTGGTAGCTGTCTCTGTGTAGTACCCATGTATAAAGAACCGACTTGCGTGAACTGGCTAGCTTGGACTTGGTTTGCCTGGACCCGTAACATCTCTTCAACCCTAGCTATACGCTCATCAACTGCAGTAATTCGATTTAAGAAGTTTTCTTTCAGAGCATTTTGTTGTTGTGAAGACCGCAAAGTGACGGTAGAGATAGCCTCAATATCAAGGCGAATCTTCGTCATATCTTGCCTATTTTCCAGTCAGCAAACATGCACGTCATGGGATTTTCATAGTAATGCATTACATACGAGTTAGAAGCGCCAAGTATTATATTTAGATTGGCCTTCACGGTTCTGATATCTTCCTGTAATACTTGCAATCTGCTTTGTTCTTTTCGCCATGCATGTGCTCTAAACACGAAGGTTCGTGATACGTGACAAGCCGCAGTCAGTTGACCAACAATGTCCTTGATCTCAACTAATTTCTTATTTGCTTGTGTTAAAAGGTGCGGGATTGCCGATATCTTGCTTTCGGGCAGGCAAGCTCGATCATCCATAAGTAATGAAACCTGAAAAATAACGAAATTAAGGTCAGCGACCTCATTATTCACAGCATGAAGTCGACCTGGCAAGCTGTGGCAAAGCGACCGAAGGTCTGCGAGGGCGGAGCAGGTTTGAGTAGCAAGCGTCGCAATCGCAACAACGCTTGCGCTCACAGAGAGCGGGTCCATCTTATTGAATATAGCTTACTGCTAAGTGTAGACTAAGTAGAGCAATGATACCTTCAGAGTGAAACACCATCTAAGGACACTGGGCGCTTGGCCACTTTTATTTATTTGACAGATTATGGAAAGGGGGCTTGGTCTGCTTTGTCAGAGGCATTTCACTCAATTTACCGCTGATGGACCTGCAAAATGCTTGGCATACTATCCTTCATAGCCCTCTATTCGTGGGTTGGCCTTGGTCGTCGTCATTCATCGGGTGGGTGTTTGGGTGGGGGCGGCCCGTCACGTCCCGTCAAATACCGTCACTAGACTCACTACACCTGTGGGTCTTTCTGATCGTGCGTGTTCGCCACTTAAATCTACTTATAAATGTGCTAGTGCAGGTGTCTAGATTTGCACTGATTAAGTAGGGAGCCCCATTGGTGGAAGCAATGCTGGTCATCTGATTCGCTTGTTAAGGGAGAGCGCTAGCTGTGACAATCAAATATATTTAGTGCAACAGCCCCTCATTTTTCCCTGGTCAACCTGATGGATTTGCATCCCAGGACTTGTTTGTGAAACACGTAGCCGCCAATGGCGCATATTCAGCTTCAAGTTCTATCCAATCTCCATCTTGAGTCGCCTGCTGCATACGATATTTTTGACATCAGCCCAAAGACAGTTTTTAGCGCTACTGGGAGATGTCGGCTACGTCAAGGATGAGGGGATTTTCCCTTTTTTTCGCAAGCAGCTAGCTATCTTCCATATTGTCTTCCTGGTCATGGGCAACCATGAGCCCTACCATAGTAATTAGGCCAAGACAAAGTTAGGCTCGAAACATTTCTTTATTTCTCCGCTCTTTTTAATTACAGCACTTAAAGTAGCATCCATCCTGAGTCGAATGCAGGTGTAAGAGTAAGAAGATAAAGACTATTTATGTCAAGGGCTGAACCCATAGAACCTACAAGATAGGTTATGTACAAGGAATCGATGAAGAAGGGAAGAAAGGAGGAAAGGAAGAGGAAAATGAGCGGTAAACAAACAAGGTGGTGAGTCACGTGACATGGATCGAGGGCCAATGGGCCAAGGGGACAACAGGGCCAGTAGGGACAATAGGGACAATAGGGACAACGGGGACAATAGCGACATTGGTCCGAGAGGTCAAACGGGCTCTGTTACGGAAACACTATAATCCGCCCGAGTTGGCGGTGCGGAGTATCTGACGATCGATTCAACCCCTGAATCCTTTAGATAGTTGAACACCTCAATGAGAATATAGGGAACCGCTTAGTAGGCTCAGTTGGTTGAGATACTGTGATTCCTGGTGTTTCCACTGGATGACATCTACTTCCTAATTAGGCTAGTTGGCCTGTAGCTTATAGAATAGCTCCCTACGCCCCATTTCCCCTGAGTTCCACAACAGGCTCTAGCCCTTTACACTGAGTGCTTAAATGTGTTGGACGAGGAATAAATTTATGTATCAGAAAGGAAGGGAAAAATTGTTGTGAATTCAGGGAAAGATAGCATTTGAAAGGAGACAAGCAGTAAATTGAGCAGGGACTTGTCTGAATAGTTATTTGGGGGACACAGGGTATTAGGAGCTGCACGCGATCAGAGGACTGGGTGGAGAAGGGGTTGACATCTGGTCAATATCAACAATTTATTGCAGACTATCACTGCCCTGACTATTCAACTATTACTACATTGATGGATGGTATACACTGGTCACCCTTTGCCCAGCACAATGGCTCCAGTTGACTTCCCCGTGTCGTCTCCAGATGGTACCGTGATCGTATTGCGTAAGATGTGACAAACATCCACCTGATTCAAATACGAGGGATTCTCGACAATCTTGCAGTTCCATTGGACAAAGCAGACAAGTCGGTAGCTCGTTTTTGGTATTCGATTATATCACGGGGCCTCTACCAACAGGATTGTTCCAGGTGTCTAAAAGACATGTGAACTTTGCGAGTCATTGGTGCATTTGGAGGGGCCAAGACGCGCCACTATAAGCAGAGACATAACCCAACGTTCCTGTAAATCTTACCTTGTACACTACTCTCCAGGCTCTTCGAAGCAAATCATCATCTACACTCACAAATGTCAGAAACTCCAGCCAACTTGAGCTCATATAATGGCAGTTGCCACTGCGGACAAGTTAGCTTCACGGCGCAGTTCTCATCGACTATAGAAATGCAGACCGTCAACTCATGCAATTGTACAGATTTCCTCTCGGGGAGACAGACAGTCGGAGAGAGTCAAAGAGTAGACCGTTGAGCGCTAAAACACTCTTTCCCATACAGGCTCGATCTGTAGCATCAACGGCTATCTCCTGGTTTATACTCAAAAAGCCAATATTACTTTCCATAATAGCGATGATGCTATTAAGGTTGGATCATATCTCCTCACCTCTCTTGTGTATCCAATTCTTCTGATAACTAACAACTGGGGACAGGAGTACCGTTTCGGAAGCATGAAATATCCCCACGGCTTTTGTCCCAACTGTGGGACTAGTGTTTATGCTCGAGCTGAAGGAGGGGAATATGATGGTATTGTGGCTGTCAATGTAAGTTTTGTAGGTACCAAAGTGCTAGTATTTCGTTGGCTTATAGGAGAGCAGGTACGAACCCTGAAGGATGTCGATATCAGCACATTGAAGATTGAGCAACTCGATGGGAAAAGGATCAATGCCGGCTAGAAAGCCAGATTGCTTTGGAGAGAGTGATGTTAAGTCATACATGTCTACACTTGGGGGCATGTACAATAGCCGACCTCTCGAGCGATCTTAAGAAGACTATGATTAGGAAAGGTGAGGATAATCGTGGTGTTTCTGAAGAAATGTAGATTCGGACGAAGCAACCATTCGGAGTTTATTGCCATTGGAACTGCACAAAATCTCCCACAAAGCCGTAGAAACACCAAAATTTGGCTGGCCTGTAGTGCCTTTGGAAGCGTTTCCCGACCCACACCCGCATTCCACGACCTGCCTCTGGTAACCACAGGCGTAGTGTTTATGGACGATTATGGGACGAGCAGGATTGATAGGCCGTATAGATTTCATATGAAAAGGAGCGTTTGCATCAGGTTACCTTTTCCTGACGATCTAATGTACGGAGTATAGACGCTGATTGCAGTCATCCAATACTTGGGACATTGAGAGCACATGAGGAGATTTTCCGTGGGTTTCATGTCTCGATGTGAGAGGAAGATTTTTGTTGGAGGCCAACCAGCAGGGACTAGTTCCTGATTCATTGAGCGAGAACTCAAAGAGTCTCATTGGTTCACCTTCCACATCCTGATCTACGGGACACTAGCGCCGCAGGCTTACCAGCAGGCCAGGCTATTGGACCGCAGAGACTCACTCGATAGCACAAAATGGGTTTCCATTGGCCCATGAGAAGCTTTTCCTGGGGATGCAAAGTGGTTCTGCAGATGAGGCTCAGCTCGATTATGTCAGTTGGTACAGTGTTCTAAGAATAGGCCCATGCGATACAGCGTCCGAGGATAGAGCGCCCCAGTATACCATCCGAGCGCGAGTTAATGTTGAGCGTAGGCCTGGAGAAAGCGTAGGGTAATGAGCCGTATAGTAAGCGTCGGCTGCTGGAAAGTCTCATCCATGTGGGGACGTCTCTCCATGTATAGGTACATGCCAAATGCACCTCGTATACTTCGAAATGTTACATCATAACTACAGAAGGGAACATCACAAGATTCACAGCCCGCCAGGACATTAGGATCCATTGTCGTGCACTCAAACTTACAATGGCAGGATTGTATCAGGCCTCCTTGAGTCTACCTAAGGGCCGAATGTACTCGTAAATTCCAGCTAAATGGAGCTGTCTTGATGAGACATCCTTTGGATATGAGGCGCTAGCGCCTCAGCGCCTCAGACTTGCCCGCAGGACAGACTAACTATTGGTGGGATGGAGATTCTAGAAGATTCTTAGCGTCACAGTCATTCCTGCCTAAGGTGGAAAATAGACAGACCAACGCGCTGGAAAGAAGGAATTGAAAGTGGCTGGACGAAATCAAGATCCGTCGTGGTTGAGACAACTGCTTTTGCATGGTAATATGTTACATCATTGACTCATGTCGGGCCGAATAGCAGTAGAAGAAAGAAAAGCGAAAACTCTCCGAGGCAAACATCTCATATCTTTAAAATCCTCGATTTCAAATTTTCTCAGTATCAAACAGATGTCTTCATTATTTTACAAGTGCCCAAATTGCAACATAAAAACTTCCGGAAGTCTGTTTTGCTCTACAACATGCCGCTCCTCCCTGTGTGCATCGCAACAATCTACTTCATCTTCACCAGTCAACCAAACTCCTGCATTGCGATCATCTCATACGTTTTCCTTTTATAATCAGAGGAGTATGGGACAGGAAAGTACTGGAATAGGAGAGCAGATGCACGACACAAAGAGGGAGCTGCTTGCTGCTGAAAGTGAGTTCAAAAAGTACGAGGATTATTTCGACAAGGCGTTGAATCAGAGACCTAATTCTATCGAAGATCGATACTTGCGGATATCAGTACGCGTATTTTTATGATCGACACAGGTTGACGCAGCTACCCGAAGGGGACCGGGAAAACAAGGCAAAAGGTGAAAAATACCAATCTCATAACTAGACCCTTTTACAAACTAAGAATCAAATTATGTTGACAGGTTCCCTGGTTGAGTTGGTTGCAAATCTGGCAAGCTGCTAGCCCCTCGCACATAGCTAGAAATAAATAAGCAAGACCCTAGCTATGCTCAAGAGAGAACCCATTTATGACTTATGCGAGGGTCGAACAAGGACGGGCAAAATCTGTGAACATTCACAGATTCACAGAAGGGAAACATCCATGTAGTTTTGCTCCTTTTCTAATCTCATATTAAAGAAAATTCACCATCTGTCCCTGGAGCATCAAAAGCCTCAGGAATAGTCCTGCAGGGCTTAGCTTAACCAAAGACTGCAATTAGAGCAGCTCTCATATTTATATTATCCTATTAACTGCGGACTCACTCCATCACACGTCACCCTTTACAACAACCTGCAAAATGGAGCAGAGTTACAGCTTTGGTACTTTCCTGCTTTGTATTCCGCTTGCCGTTCGTGAGGGGCACTGATATAGAACAGTGTTGTCAACCATAAAATTACGCGTATTCGCAAGTATAGATCCTTCATTGAATTAGGTCTCTGATTCAACTAAACTACCAAAACATCTCGCATTTAAAAAGGCGAGGTAAACAAATGAAGAATGCAAACTAACTAATGTAGGAAATATACGCGATCCGATGATGTTGTATCATCAACAACATTTGACTGAGAAAGGTGCTGAATAATCAATACTACCATAATTGTCGACAAGTGTTAATTTTCGCTCTGATCCAGATCCGAATACATGCTCTGTCGATCCTGCCTGTTTATGGGGACAATGCACACAGTCAGGAGATAGCACTATCAGAGGGGATGCCGGCCCTTGCGATTTTCAAACGCTTGGTTCTGAGGATACCAATGACAATCTTGCAATAGCCTGCCTCTTCGCCCCTCACTGGGACGACCAAAGCCTTTTTTATTGGACTGGTCCAGACATCCTGTCACCTTTGACCCGCGCCAGCGACATCTTTGATCACCTAACAGCTATTCTATCCACCGAGCTCGTGAACTGGCTGGAGATTCATCTTTTAGTCACGCAGAAATGGACGGGCAAAGTTATAGCCGTTGTCCCATTCTTCCTCCCCCGGACAGTATCGTTTCTAGGTAACCTCACTGTCAGGACCTAGGTCGAACCCTGCCTGAGGCACCAAGTCTGCTTTATTCACTGTTGATCCCACAATGTAGAGATTTCCCACATTTCCTGTACGATAGAATTCTTTCTTCCTTCCTTCTCTACGTTTGATGTTTCATTAGATCGCCACCTCAGAGAGAATCTACCCATTTTACCAAGGTGTACAGGATCATCACTCGGTGCCAAGCGTTGATTCATAGCTTGTTACGAAAACACTATAATCCGCCCGACTTGGCGGTGCGGAGTATCTACGACCGATTCAGCCCCCGGGCCCCCTGAATCCTTTAGTTAAGTCGAGCACCCAGATAGGAATGCAAGAGACTCGGTTGGTTGAGATACCGTGATTCCTGGTGTTTCCACTGAATGACATCTACTTCCTAGTTAGGCTAGTTGGCCTGTAGCTGATAGAATAGCTCCCTGCACATCACTTCCCCTAAGTTCCACAACATAGCTCTGTGCAAGAATATCAACAATCTGAAAATGTCGAGAGATCACGCTTTCAACTGATCTTACGACCGGGAGCTTCGGAACTCCGTTCACCAATAATGGCCGCAACACGAAGCCAGGGATTAATAATATCTGAAGAAGCACTTGATCCGGAGCGCTTCGTTCGCAACCTTTCTAATTGCTTCTGAAGTGCATCCATACCTTCCAGTTTCCCAAACATCTTTGTATCGGCCGGTCTACGGTATCAAATACGCTACAGATAAAACAGAATCCCCAGGCTTTCTAAAATTGATAGATTGTGGCCATACATAGAGTTGCGCGGTGATAGTGACGAGGATCTAGAAGACGATGTCACACTAGGACTGTATTAGTTCCTTTGAAAAGCGATGTTCTCATGCCTAAATATGCATTTGTGGTCACTTGTAGTCGAACTGCTTAACTGTTTAGCCCTACAAAGGATTCGAGATGTGCCATGTCTGGCAAAGACGAAAGTCTCGGCGTGCCTGAATATCCAAGATAATATTATGCTTAAATGGCGCCGCGCCTTCAAAGGTGGCATATACTAGTTATACTTCAGCCACCGGTGTAGGTATTTGCAGATGGTTCTAGGGAAAATATTGTACAAGTATAGAACTTGAAGAGTTTATTAGTTATTGGTACTTTCGGATTCATAATACGACATGATGATATGACATGTTATATCTACCTTGGGCTATTATTCTTTCAGTATCGTTGTTGAATACCCATTGCTAACATCAGCTTATTAATCCCCGATTAGCTCCAGTGGGACCTTCACCAGCACGATATCCGGCTGTGTCACTTTATAGATGCTTACTGGACATGGTCATCTCAGTATTTACCCCGTCAGAACTATGATAAATATATTCCCGTTGATTCTTATCCTCTACCCTCAGAGTTCCTATTATGCTTGAATGCAAACATCCTGAGCGATCGACAAGTTTGGGATATTGTTACCCGCTGGAGAGGGCTAATATTCTTGCGAGATATGTATCAGCATCCTTCCATACACCAGTCCTACTGCTAATCTCCCATTTGCGATTTACACGAGTATAAGCATACAGAGGGACCGACCCGACTGCAAAAGCTCTTACAGCAACAGCCGGACCTGGACCTGCGTGAGGAATTCTCAAAAGCTGGTCCGGCAAAGGCTGCTAATAGCACAGAAAGTCCATCATATTCTCACAAACGGGACGAAGCAATTTACCCGCAATTCTATGTGGCGTTGACCACCTATTGGCTAATATGCGAGGCGATGCGGTTCGCCAAAATTTGCTATTATTCGCGCCAGACAGAAGAAAATATAGTATGGGACAAGATAGATGCACTGTATCACAGTCGGAAGATACTGCTAGAAGCCATCCAGACCTTAGAAGTATATGATTTTGTCGGTGATTACCTGATAAGACAACTGGAATATGCGAAACTGGAAACATTTATCCAGTGGGTGGGGAATAAAGAATATCTTTGGCCGAACAATACCACTGAGTTTGGCTGGGTCCGTTTTCTTCACGATATGCGTGTTGTGTTGACTCCGGCCGATGTGGTCGAGCTTTTAATTTTTACATGCCACTGGAAACAGACTTCCGAAAGGAAGCTGGCTTGGGGCCCCGAGAAGAAATCCGACTATCTTAAACAACGTCTATTCTTCGCTTACGGGTTTCCTGGGCGGGTTGGGGAGGTTGATTCAAGGGAATCTCCCGACACAAGCTATACTGTCAAAGACCTTGAAAGTCCAATTGAACTAATGCTGCAGAGGTATCCCGCAATACCTGGTCAATATTGGCACAAGATTTGGAGGGACTACCGCTGTAACAAATGGAAAACGGACGCACGAGGGAAGGCCCTATTGTGGAAATTTTCAGATCAAGCGATTGTAGACTGTCTTTTGGAGCTTTGCGGACAAGCTGCTTCGTCCTCCTTGCAGTAGTAATGCTCCTCTGCTCCGCCATATTTATCCATCCTAGCGCGATAGTATTTATCTTCACTGTTTTCGTTGTGCTGTATTTGTCGTTCTAATTTTACTCGACTTTTACCTTAATTCAAATTCAACGTCATTTCACTACCTTAAGACTTTTATTCTTGACCAAATGATATTACTATAAAATCATGCAAAACAAAACTATTCAAATCGCATGTTATTATCTTCCAAAGAGGCACAGTACACCTCCCTATTACTGTCGGCCATAGTTTTCCCTGCCCTCCCCACTCACCTAATGGCAATTGGCCGTTGGTATCCAAGTATTACTGCGGCTAGAAAGTAGAGTGTAGACTTCACCACCTTTTAGGCATCTCACCACATGGCGAGGGACGATAGGGCCCTCAAGAGTCACCGTTATGGCCTGAGACACGCCAGGGATTGATGGAGTGGGATTTGTGGAAAAGGGTCGACGCAAATTTAAAGCTCCAGTTTGTTGTCGATTCAAGAGAACGGTGGGCAGATAGATCAACTACACGCCGACCAGCAGCTTAATTAGGAAATAGATGTCATCTGTGGAAACACCAGGAATCACAGTATCTCAACCAACTGAGTCTCTTGCATTCTTCTCTAAGGTGCACTTTGTGCTCGTCTCCAGGTGCTCATAAATAATACAGGGGCTGAATGAAATCCTTATGATCTGCGCACCGTCAAGCCTGGATGCTAATATTATCTCCTGATCAGAAAGAATTTAATATTGTAAAGTATGTACTCACTATCGCCCAATTTCCTATTATTTCACTTCCTCGCAATGCACTAACACTCCCCCATTTTGATTCCGAGGAGAGAAATTATCTAAACTACGTTAGGCCCCGTCATCATTCTCACTATTCTACGTGGGCTTAACTGGCCGAGATTTGGATTCGCCTAGGCGCTCGCCTAGTTACAATCGAGTAAAGCCTTTCCAGAAGGGACAGTTTTGGCCCGTACCACTGTGACGTGGCAATGAGTAATTGTATGTCGTCGTGCCCGAGCACTTTTGATTGGCGCCTATTTCTGAGGCCTTAGGCCAGTACAGTGCGGCCCCGCTTAGTCGATATGAAGCCATCCCTTAAAAAAATATAGCCTATCCGAGGTTATCGCCAAGATGAAGTTTTTGAAATTACTAAGCACTACCTAGCCAGCTATCGAGAGTCCCCTACCCTTGATGCAATAATCTTACTCTCCAAATCCCGCTCATACCGCTCCAGAGATCGAAGGAGTAGCATTTTAGATGTATCCTGACCTTCTGTATAGGATATTAGAAGCCGTACAGCATCTAGAGCTTCTTGAGGATTTGGAAGTGGCAGTGGCTCTGGAGAATCATCTTCTTGATCCTCTAATATAGCTGAATTATCTGAAGCTCCAGCAATTAGCTGAGCAAGCAACAATTCAGATGGCACCTCAGTATTAGGCTCGAAAGATTCCTCTGCAGGGTTTGAAAAGTATGAAATATCCATACAGTTTAACAACTGCCCTGTTTGCTGCACCTGATTGTAAAGTGGCTTTAAATCAGGTGTCTCTATTGAAAGCTGTACAGGATTAAAAACCACTGTGCTTTTGTAGAAGCAGGCAAGAACAGTGGAGTTTAGAATATCATGGTTCCAAGCCCGTACAAGCCATTAAATGCAGTCTAAAAGTGTTACCGATTCCATTGGGTTTAAACCGCTTTCATAGTGGAACAGAATATATTTTAACCACTGTTTTCGATAGTATACCTTTAGATTCTGGATGATTCCTTGGTCAAGCGGTTGATATTGACTTGTTGAATTCTTTGGAAGCCAGCAAATATTATATTTGGTGGTGGAGGGGCTAATTCTAGCCCAGATAGATGCGTAGAGAAGTTATCCAAAGTAAGAAGCACCGGTCGCTGGCCAATATGGCTATAAAATGCCAATAGCCATCCACGCATTATTATTTGTGTCATCCAGGCCTTTTTATTCCATTTCCATACAGCTCCAATTGCAGATATATTAATAGGGCGAAGGGCCCGTGGTGTACGGGCCTTACCAATGATCTATGTTAGTAATCGGTCTGTTCCAGAGGCAATGACACAACACACTATAGAGACCCGGGACTTATCTTTCTTAATCCCGGGCCTACTAATAGAAGATAGGATCTGTGATGGAGGCATACGCCAAAATACTATAAATATCCTCCTCTTTTATGGCCGGCAATAGTTTGTATAGCCTTCATCTCTCTCTCTGCTTCCTCTGGAGTAGAGCCTGCCTCGCGTGATATATACGTTGCTTAATATTATACCGTTGCTTGAAGCGGGTAGCCATCCGTTGCTGAAGAAGGTGGTGGTTGACCGAATACTGAGGTAAAGAGTTCCAAATTTCATGTGCTTTTTATAAGAATATCTCCAGAGATATAGGCCCCCTTTATACTAAGTGCTACTGCCATTCATAAGAATTCTTTCAAGATCTTGCCAATGACCGGTTCCTTTGCGGATTGCGGAGGAAGGGGTAGTCGGAGTCAAGATATTGATACTGTGAGCTTAAAATATCAGAAACAGTAGACTGGCTTAATCGATGATTATATTGAGAATAAAACCAGGCATACAGGCCTTCTGTGTTGGACGGTGAGGTTGATTATTAACCCAGTCCCGCAAAGCTTTCCGCTGAATGTCTGAAATCTTCTTCAGTTAAGGCATTCTGATTGGACAGATAATAAAGTTTCCACTAGGATGAGCTTTTCAGATAGTCGATATGGTCTCCGATATATCGAGGATCGAGGTTAGGTAAGGAGGCGAGGTTGAATGTTGGAATTCATCCCGAAGAAAAGTATCGGCTAAGCGGGTATCGGCTTGGCGAGGTTCTACTGTTAGTCGGGTGCGTCCGTACACCCGAATCCCAGACATGTTCGATATTCGGCTAATACCGAATAGGAAAGTAGACACTATTCTTGAAAAGGTGCTTAAAATGATTGTTTTAGATGGTTACTTGATTATATTGGTCAACATATGATCATTCTTGTGATTATTATTATGGATTATTAGGTTGCTTCTTCTGCTAGGTGTAGGGGAGTTTTATGACCTTGTTTGCGTCACTATTACCACCAACTTATTTGACAGTAATACGCTGAGCTCGATAACCGTTCGGTCATCGATTTGCGCCTTTTTGGCTGTGGCGTAGTGGTAAAGCTCAGCACTACTACGCAGTCGGACTTAGGTCCTCACAATGAGCGATCGGGAGAGGTGATATGCTCGAGTGTGTGATCCGCTCGACCGTGAACCACGTTAATTGGTAGTATACTACTAGTAGTTAGGCGAGGAATCAGCAAGCGAAATTGCGACGGAGACATCTCGCTTGATTTCATGACACATTCCCTAGATGATGTAATAACCCTTCCTGCGTTGGTAGTAAAAACAATGGTGGGTCGTGTAGGGCTTATAGGGCTAAAAAGACTCCATGGCTTCAATTCAGGCATAATCCTGTATTTTTACTGGTTGACGCGTCGAGCCTTGGCAATTCTCATCTCGCCAATGAGATTCCCAGCGGAAAGCCTGGCGGCCCCGTTTCTCAGATGACCGCTAGGATCACATTGTTAGAGTGCGGACAAGCTACATTGAGGGTTCCCGGATGCTCTAGCTAGAATTTGGGGTAACGTCGGGCCGGCCCGTCCAACGAACCCCTGGTTCTTTCGCCCACACCCGGTGCCTTGGCAGAGATACTATACCTGCGCACTGCGCACTGCCCTCCGTTGCCCTACCACATAGTAGGAACTTGGCAACAATTTCCCGACAGTGAAGCTTAACCCACACTAATTTCCCTTTGCCACGACGGATCCAGCTGAGACAGCACCGTCTTGCGCACTGGCGAGGCTTGATACTAGCCGAAGAGAAAGCCAGGAACCGCAATATGACTGGGGCATACTGTCCTGCGGGTCGACGAGATGGATGAATGTCTCCGGCATGACATATAAAGGGCAACGTGGGGACTGACACTACAGCTCAGTTTGGTTCAGATCAGCTCTCTTCACGTCAATCCTCTCTATTCTTCTACTATCTCTCCTCTTGCAACAAAATGTACGTCAAGTCAGTCGTCTGGCTGAGGACTGCGGTAAGTTCCACAAGATTATTGATGGTGACAGCTGCGACGATATTGAGGCCAAGGCCGGCATCAGCCACGAGCAGTTCTCCAAGTGGAACCCTTATATCAATGACAGTATGTCTCTGCTTCTACATTATCTTCCACTCACCGAATCCACTAACAATCTATGTACAGAGCGCTCCAACCTCTGGATGGACTACTTCGTCTGCGTCCACGTCCCTGGCGCCGAGACCACTCCCCCCGGCCCCAAGCCCACCGACGATGGCCACTCTCCCATCCAGCCCGGCATCGCGAAGAATTGCGACAAGTACCACAAGATTGTCGCTGGCGACCAGTGCGACGCCATTGAGTCCAACAAAATCACCCACGAGCAGTTCCGCAAGTGGAACCCTGCTATCGATGGCAGTACGTCTCACATTCTAACTATCGCACCCTTTCCCATAACGTGACTTAAACTGATCTTTTCATTCAGAGTGCTCCAACCTCTTGCTGGACTACTACGTCTGTGTCCACGTTCCCGGTGCTCCTAGCACTCATGGCCCTCAGCCCCAGATGTCCAACCTCGCCGAACTGCAAGAAGTACCACAAGGTCGGTGATGGCGAGGGCTGCTATGAGATCGACAGGCATCACCCTCAACCAGTTCCGCAGGTGGAACCCCACGGTCGATGCCAAGTGCAGCAATCTCTGGGCCGGCTACTACGTCTGCGTTGGCGTCTAAGTGGCCGTGGTACTATAAAGTAATCTACAAGATGGTGTGAATGAGAAATAGTTTTAATTTCTCTCAACATTGTTACTCCAAGGTGGAGCAAGGAATAGCAGCATACCAATCAAATCTACTGTACTTGCGTCCAGAATAGAATACAATAGCCAGGGAAGACTGGCTTAGACAATGGTACTGTGCAGTACCAGATTAGGCGTCATCCATCTATCAAGGTATCATACGGGGTGTAGGAAGAGCATGCGCACGGAGCGAGTCTGCAGAGGCTCACCGACGTGCTCCCCTCGACCGTGAGTAACGTTAGTATACTACCTGTCAATAATATGGCTATACGTGGCAAGGATCATATGATTAAGGAGGGGTAAAAAAGGCCATCGCGAAAGAACATGATAAGAAGAATAATCAGAACCACCATCAGAATAATCATTATAATCATCAATATAATCAAGAAGAGCCCAACCAGCTCAAATCATTCAATATGGACTTTAGAAAGTCGCTTCAACCTTTTTACTAATCGTACTCTATTTCCTATTCGGAACTAATCGAATATTTGACACTACAAGATCCCGACGCATCTGCTACCGGGTCTTACGGAAGTCCGTGGATCCGTCGATCTGTGGACTCGTTTTGCTCCGAATAGAGCCCAAATGGTTGCTTGGTAATTGCTACAGAATAATTTTCATCTAGCTGCATATCTGATATGTGATAGGAATCCCATATCGGCGGGGCTCGCCGTTCATCCGAGTATAGGTCCGGATCCCACGAAAAGTCCGACAACAAGGTCCGACAACATAGACCGGCACAAAAGCATACCAGAGAGTCATTATTCTTCACGGTTTATAATGTATTTCACATGCAGGACTATTTCGGATCCGCTCCAGCCGCGTGGGTTACCTAAAACATACCTGTATTAAAAACCATGGCTTGCTTCATATAATTTCATTCAGGTAAACCGAATATACAGATATACAGTGTTCCGACTAACGGAAAATGTTGTAAATGAGCCAGGCAGAGCTGGCGGTCCACCACGCCACCTGAGCACTCGGGCCATGGACGGCAGCCCCGTCGGATTTGGGTGGGCAGCTGACGGCAGGGGTCGCTGCGTAGCATTCGGCGTGGGTGAGGGTCGATGAAATACTCGAGGCAGCTTCAGGCGCCACGCTGACCTTGCAAGGACGGGGAGTGGGCGCCGGACTTGCGAGGAGGGCGCACGACGAGACTCCGTCGCCCCTCAGGGGCCCTGTGGGGACTTTCAGGGTCTGCGTAACGTTGAAGGCAAGAGCCTGGGTCCTGCCACAGTCGTCGCCGATGCTGATGGCGGTGAGATTGGGTTGACGGCCCCCTTTAGCAGTGGTAAAGATGAAGCTCTGATAGGGCGAAGATGTTCTCCTGTGGAAGCCATCCTGGTCATCGAGCCCGTGGTCATCGTCAAAAGCGGTACCGTTGTCCGACGTGGAGCAGTTCGTCCACCTCATCGTCCAAGCGAATTCCCACATGTTTTCAGTGTTCAGTCGATTAGCGAGGCCATCGTGAAGGAACGTCGTCGTTGTCTCGTTGGCGGGCAAACGCCTGATGGGGAGCTGCGCCCAGTGGATCTTATCCTCGCTTGGCGTATCCAGCGAAGACACCATGTACTCCAAGGTCGGATACACCTGCCCGATAGCTGCGGGGTTCTGGACGGCAAAGACGATGGGCATGAGCGGCATAAGCTCAAAGGTGTCGTTGCGTGGAAAGACGACGTCGACCTCTCCGAAGCCCAAGCCCGTCGGATCCGCCGTCCCCAAGGCGACCACCAAGCTGAGCGCGACAAGATGCGCCTTGAAATTGAACATGCTGAGAGAGCGGGCAAGCGGATAGAAGAGGAGAGGGTCCGTGCTGATGGCTAGGCGAGCGACTAACGCAGCAGAGGAGATTATCAAACGTAGTGGGATAATGCGAGTGAGAGGGTAGGAGAAAGAGAAGAACGAAAGAAAGAAGAGAAAAAAGCGAGGGTGTGGCAACGCAGCCAATAATGCCACCAAGGCATAGAAAGTAAAATTCTACGTGCAAAAACATGACCATTTTCACTAGAGGTCGAAAGTTTTCTAGCTCGGATGGAAAAGCAGGTCTCGCGAGGTTGCATCGAGGGTGGACCGAGCACAGTGGATCGATCCACCGGGAAGCAAGCGAGACCCTTGGAAGCTCTATCGATATCCGAGAACGCGGCTCACATTGACAGAATATTTGCCTCAGGCCACATAAACTTATGTGGCCTGGGCATTTTTATGTGGCCTGAGGCATTTTAATGTGCCTGAAGAAACGCGATTACTAAGTATCACTGCCGAGTCACGGGACTTACTTGTATGTAAAGCACGGTTCCGCATATTCTAAACTTTCCTTCTAATATATTTCTAACCAATCGCTGTTTTTCTTCCCTATCCACACCCCACAGTGCTTTCGAAAAAAAATTTAGCTATCTAATTGCTTTAATACTACTTTGGAAAGGGGAATTTAACTACTACTTAACAACTGGGAAGGTGCTTATCCAGCGGTTGCTAGGTACTTTGTAACTACTTTAAAATAGGCATGTCAAGGGCTGAACCCGTAGAACCTACAAGATAGGTTATGTACAAGAAGGAATCGTTGGAGGGAAGAAAGGAAGAGGAAAATGAGCGGTAAACAAACAAGATGGGGAGTCACGTGACATGGATCGAGGGCCAATGGGCCAACAGGGCAAAAGGGAAGTAGGGACAGTAGGGACAGTAGGGACAACGGGGACAATAGGGACAGTAGGGACAACGGGGACAATAGGGACAACGGGAACAGTAGGGACAACAGGGATAATAGGGACATTGGCCCGAGAGGTCAAACGGGCTCTAGCCCTTTACAGGCACCAAATTTCTCAGAGGACAAGGATTGAGGGGTAGTAGAATGGATCGGTATTTCCGCACCGCCAAGTCGGGCGGATTATAGTGTTTCCGTAACAGATTTAAACATACCCCAGCGGGTTTTAAATACAGTTACCGGTATTCCTCTTCCGTGTTCCAACTCGTTAGCGGCAAAACAGATGCGGCTTGCTGTTATTTTGGCTATTCTGGTGAGAGAGATTGATAAGCATATCTTCCAGCCAACGTACATCGCACCAATGGATACGCAACTTCGAAAGGTCCTTGCGAACCAGGCTGCGGCTGATAGCCAAAGGAATCTTTTTGCCGATCGATTCTCCTGTCGATCGATTCAGAAGCCCAAGCAAGGTCACGTTTTGAGTGTATACAGAATGTGGTGAGGAATGTGTCAGCATACGTTGATGAGTTGTTTACAGAAGACCAACGGCATTCATTCCATAAAAGTCTAGACAAAATTGTGTGAAAGGCAGCTAATGTCTAGCGACCTATCCAATACGCCCACTTGCCGACGATGAATGGGTGCCCTTTTACCTTTCTTGATAAAGCTACAGCGGAGAATAGCACCAACCCAAATATGCGAAGCGAAAATTCATTGACAGTGTTCCCTCACATATTAATGATAGAGAATAACATGAGCATTGCATACACCGCTGTCATACAGTTAAGCAGCTCGCAGCAACAGTGGAATTCCGCAGAAAGCGAGATGGACAAAGAGCCACCCAGTGTCACGGGCTACTAGCCGATTCAACCTATACGGGCTCGAGCATTTTGCGGGCCCTGCCCGCTACAGAACACCTTAATTAAACACCAGAAATTCCAGAATTGCTGACGTGCACGGGGATAAATCTCATATTATATGCTTACTGTAACGAATAGGTGGTGCTTTGTTTCTACTGTTAGGTCAGCTGCCTGAAAGGGTATAATATTCGGTCAGCTACTATAATTATTTGGACATATCGTGGTGTGGCTGTGGCAGGCACATCAGCATTACGGTTTTCTTTAAATCCGACCATAAAGCCGAAAACCTTTTAAGACAAACCCACGTCGCGACTTAACGTAGAACCATAAAAATGCGCACCAGAACTTGACCCCTAAGAGAATCTACGGGGACGTTGAGCCAATTGTGACGTTCCACTCGTTAACTATTAACATTAATCTGCAGTAGGCACGAAGAGGACTATGTAACTGGCGGGGCTTGTCAGCGTTATGGTTTTAAATCCGACCCTAAATCCGCAAACCCAAAGGCAACCTAAATCATGACGTAATTAGAGGTTCTTGTACTGTACGTCATGACTTTTCATGAGACCCTTGCTGTTGCTATTGTTCTTGTCACAGTATAAGATTACCCCATACCCTATGATTTATCATTGTTAATTTTCTCCATTGTTTCTTAACGCTAGGAACTTTTTTTTTTTTTTTTTTCATTTCACTCTTTAATTAACCGGGCGGTGCAGCGTCTCACTGCGGATTTGAAAAGGAAAGGAAAAAAATAAAAAAAATAAAAAATCGGAACAAAAATGGATGAAGTGCAGATCCAACAACTAATTAAAGGCCTTGCAGACACATTCGGCCATCCAATCCGATCTCCAATTCTGCGCCGACCGGACCAGTATGGGCTCATATACGAGGAAGTCTGTTTTCCATCCATGGACGGGACACCTTTAGAGGGCTGGTTCTTCCCTGCCGACTCGGACTTGCTCGTTATTGCAAATCATCCTTTGTGGTTCAACCGTTATGGCTTTCCAGCGCATCTAGACACCTGGAAGCAGATCGGCGCCGCGGGCGGAAATGATTTCGAAGTCGACTTTATGCCTGATTACCGCCACCTCCACGACGCTGGTTACAATGTGCTCTGCTATGACATGCGCAATTTTGGCCATAGTGGTGCGGCAAACGGTGGCGTGGGTAGTAATGGTATTTATGAGGCTCGTGATGTTGTGGGTTCCCTCCAGTACGTTAGGTCTCGGGAAGACCTTCGTGACATGAAGGTGGGCCTCTTTAGTCGTTGCTGTGGAGGCAATGCCACCATGATTGCCATGACCAAGTACCCCAAATTCTTCAAGGATATTCGATGTATGGTTACTCCGCAACCTGTCTCATTGCGTCCGTTCTATGAGAGGATCACCGAGATACTTGGAATCCCCGACAGGATTGATGAAATCGAGGAGCAAATTCGATTGATCACCAGTTTTAGCTTTGATGAAATGTCACCGATCGAGCACGCCAAAAATGTTAACGTACCGACATTTATCGCCCAGGTTCATGATGATGCTCTCACAAAGCCGAGCGATGTGCAGCAGATCTTTGACAATATTCCTGTTGCGGACAAGAAGCTCTTTTGGATCGAGGGCACTACGCGCCGGTGGGATGGTTATACCTACTTTCCGAGGCATCCAGAGCAGATGATTGAGTGGTTCGACAAGCACATGAAGTAGTAATGTTATATTGTTTCTCCGACGCATCTATTTTTGTCAGTATCATAAAAAGCACTTTATCATAAAAAGACAGAACTCAAATGGCTACATCTGCACGTGAAGGTAAAATATTTAATTTACAACAACCAACCCCTCTTCGTACAGCCGTTCGGATACCCTTGTTAGTGTCTCGCATGCCTATTTCGTGAGGCGAGGGATTGTGCTGGCTGTGCAACATCTTCCCGGGGGGCATCACCCATTTCGATGTCTTTCTCAACTGGAACGGTTTGCTTTGGTCGTCATCCCGGTCGAGGGACTCCTTCCTTGACATCGCAATACATTCGAACTGCTTCGGTCGCCTCATAGTTCATCCGGAACCGACCAAAAACGTGTTTGCGCCGTGTGAAATTGCCGGAGTCCAAGAAATATGAAGGGATTGAGACAAATGCCCCCACGGCTTAAGGACTTTGTGCTCATTCGATGTTCTTGGTTTTACACAAAAGCCATTTCTAGTTGCTTTTAAAAAGATACGTAAGGAGATTTATGTTACACAGTATAGTAATATTTCTAAGTTTTATCTAGCTTGCGTCTAATACACACAAAATCTAACTTATATCTCAGTCTAATCACAATAGAAAGGTGGTACTAGGCTGAACATTCCCAGTATTTGTTGACAGAGATGATATTTCCGAGATGAATAATTGCAGCCACGTCATAAGAGTGGACCGGATGATTTATAACTATGGTGTACTACAGATGCTCTTCCTTAGTGAAGCTTCTTATTAGTACCGTATGCTATATTTAGTATGTGCTAATACCCCGTGAGATTCTCTCATTGCTCTGTATGAATTAAATTCCTGCAATATGACACGTCAGCGCTTTCAGACCTGCTTCAGTCTCCCAACCACACAGAGATCTTTCACGATTCGTTCTTTGCATCGGCAGCTTCCATGACATCCTCATCATTATCAAATGCTTTGTCGCCAAATGCTACAGCAATCTCTTCGAGGGTGTGGTTCGAAGTCTCGACGTGGCAGAAGTGTACTAGGGGACGGAGAAGAGGCAGAATCCCGCAATAGCAACGTAATGTACCCATGGATGCCGGCGAAAGCGTCTGGTGAAACCATACCGATGATAAAATTGAAAACCCAATTGCTGGGAGTGGCCAGTGCCTTGCCTTTTCTGCGGCCGCGGAGAGGAAAGATTTCAGCCGGCAGTAGCCACGGCATTCGGCCCCAGGTGAACTCATATACAACATTGTACAGCGTGACAAAGGCGTACTAACCGCTCACTTTGACCTGAACTCCCAGGTTGGCCTCAGTGAAGGCGCAGATAATGTCCAACAGCACTGCCACGCCAAATCCTATATTTAACAGCTTAGTGAACCAGAACGCCCCTTATTCTCTATATCTTGTCGGAACTTACCTCCAAGGATGAGCAAAGGCTTCCGGCACCATCGGTCCGCTAACCACCACGTGACGATAGTTGCGGAAGTATAGGGAAGAGCGTTTGCAGCAGTGTAAAGCAGCGATTTGCGTTTGTCAAACCCAGCGGCTGCTAGAGTACTCGGAAGGTAGAATGATTTGGTTGTGATGATCCTATACACCTTGGTAAAATGGATGGATTCTATCTAAGGTGGCGATCTAACGAAACATCAAACGTAGAGAAGGAAGGAAGAAAGAAGAAATTCTATCGCACAGGAAATGTGGGAAATCTCTACATTGTGGGATCAACAGTGAATAAAGCAGACTTGGTGCCTCAGGCAGGGTTCGACCTAGGTCCTGACACTAAGCCTAAACTTATTCCGATCCAAGATGTTTGCATGTCAGTTCCCTAACCATTCCATACGGAGGTAAATCATACGACCATATAAGCACTTGACAAACTCTGACAGCCTGATATATCCACCCATGGCTCTGGAAACGGTGTGCCAATTGACCCGTATACGGGCCTGCTAGAAGTGCCGCTTGAACATATGGTAATTTATTAACGCCGGAGACACCGCACGTGCATCTGCGGCCTCTGCGCCTCGAAGCACCCGACCTGGGAGTGCCCGAGCCGCCAGAATCCCGCGCAGGTGACCACGATCAAGTGTGCGAACTGTGGAGACAACCACAAGGCGTCCAGACTGCTATGCCCGGTGCGAAAGGAGGCAGCGGATAGAGCCAGGAGGGCCCTACTTAACTGCGAACCATATCACCGGGTGCCGGTATGGATCCAACAAAAACACCAACGGGAGCCCGGGAACACTGGGACCGCCTCCCAGGGCCCCAACCAACCTATATTCAGCACAGCCCCAGTTGTCTTTGGAGACAAGGGCAACACACTAAGAAGGCCTCGAGGAAGGCCACCAAAACCAACATCTTCATCGCAGGACACCAACCTGCAAGAGACCCAACAGACAGACAGGGGTTCACGAGCTAAAACAGCATCCCAATCCCAACCCCGGCCCACCCGTTCGCAGCGGCTGGGGGCCCCTGTCCCGATTATAATGGACCCTGGCCAACTAATGCGCCCCCAGAAGAGAAAGCGCGTGGACGACATTCCTAGAGATTCCGAGATAATTAATAACACACACCAGGCACTGCTAACACGCTCCCAGGCGCGACTATTGCTAGCACCACCAGCTAGTACAACACAGCCGGAGGAGGAAGCAGCAACGTCAGCCACAGAGCTAATTAATACCAATATAGATTTTACTAATAATGAATAAGCTAGAAATCCTGCAGTACAACGCGCGCAAATCCCGGGAGGAGGTCGTGGCAACCTTTCTCCGGGACAAGAGGGTCTTAAAGGCGGATATAATCGCTAAGAGCCATGGGCTAACCGGATAACCGAAACAACACACCAACCAGCTAGAGCAACACATCAACTAATATACCCCAGAACCAGGGATTACGAAGGCGAGGAATGCACCCGGGCGTGTCTCTTTATATCTAAAAAGATTGATCCAGCGAGCTGGACAGTCAGGACTGTCTCGAAGGACTACCAACTGTGGCGGATGACATACAAGCGGGGGGGACAAGCGGCGGAATATATATGTACATAATATGTACAATGAGCCGCGGAGCGGAACAGTGGAGAGACTGCGCCAGCAACTGCAGTATCTCCGCCAGCATGACCGGGACGCTGAGAACGTAGTCCTCGGGGATCTTAACGCCCATCATCCCGCATGGGGGGGTTCCCGGGACGAGGATCGACCGGGAGGCAGAGGATATCTTAGAGATTACGGATGAGTATAACTTGGTGCAGACCACTGAGGAGGGAACAGTAACCTGGGAGCGACAAAACCAGTCGACCACGATCGACCTGACCTTTATCTCTACAAACTTATTCCAACGACTTGAGTACAGGCAACGAGCTGACGAGATACAACATGATTCAGATCACTGGCCTATGAGGACAGTACTTGATATTCAAACACCGGCCCATACACCACCGAGACGAAGGAATTGGAAAGCCACAGATACCAAGAAGCTAAGGGAGACCCTGATGCAGCATCTGCAGGTTAGGGATCTCTCCAGGGCCACAGAGGTAAGAATCGAGCTCGAGATGGCAGCGCTTCTGGCTGCGGTACGGAAGGCTATTAAAGCGTCTACCCCCTGAGCAGACCCTTGTGAATGGTCAAATCCTGGCTTTGACAAGGAATGCCAGGAGGCAGTTAAGACGGCGCGGTATCTCCGGCGCCAGTATACGAAAACACATAGTCTCCGTGCCTGGAAGCAGTACACACGCGCTCGCAACCGAAAAAAGCGCTTAGTGGCCAAGGCCCTACGTCAGGGCCACCGACGCCGTGTACAAGAGGCCATTGAGGGTGGGTCAAGGGGCCTGTGGCGCCTATCAAAATGGGCACGGAACAGAGAGGGGGCATATGACCAAGGTGTTACACCACCGCTGAAGACGCCATACGGCTTAGCAGAAACCATGGAGCAGAAAGTAAATATCCTCCGGGATGTTTTCTTTCCTATACCACCACCAGCTGACTTATCAGACATCACCAATGCGGAATATCCCGAACCAATCGAGCTCCTACTGATAGAGCGCCACGAGGTAGAGACAGTGGTGCGAGACGCCCCGGTAGATAAAGCACCGGGGGAGGATACTATACCAAACAGCCTCTGGCACCGTATTATTGATATACCGGAGTTGCAGACAATTATCTGTAATATCTTTAATGCCTGTATCCAGATAGGCTACAACCCCCAACACTTCCAGCAGTCCGTCACGGTGGTCCTGCGCAAAGGAGGCGAGGATCGTGACTACCGGGAACCCAAGGCATACCGACCAGTTGCGCTGCTAAACACCCTAGGCAGGTTCCTCGAGGCCATTGTGGCCCGAAGACTTAGCTACGCAGTCGAGGAGTATAGGCTTCTCCCGGATACCCACCTTGGTGGACGAAAGGGGATCTCTACCGACCACGCCGTACAACTACTAATTGACAAGATAAAGCACAAATGGGGCAGGAAGCATGCGGTGGTGACCCTGGTACTACTGGACGTCTCGGGGGCATATGACAACGTGGCGCACCTACGGCTCCTGCACAACCTGCGCCAGCGACGGCTGGGATGGCTAGTTCCCTGATCGGGGCGTTCCTGCGCGGCCGAAGCACCCGTATACGCATGCCTGAAGGCATGTCTGACCGCATTCTTACTATCACAGGGATCCCCCAGGGATCACCACTGTCACCAATTCTATACTTACTATATAATGCCGACTTGATCGAGGGGTGCGCCGAGGAGGAGGCCGAGAAGACTACAGAAGGGGAATCTGGGTTGGGGCCTACCGAGGCATTCGGATGGGTGGACGAAGTCTGTATGCTTGCAGCGGGAAAAACAGAACAGGAAACAATCACTATTAAACTGCAGAGAGCGTGCGCAAAGGCCCAAACCTGGGCGACCAAGCACGCCTCCGTCTTTGCACTGGCCAAATACAAGCTACTACACTTTGTTAATCCAAAAGCAAATATACAGCCGCGGCACACACCACTACCGCTGGGAGATATCACAGTGGCGTCTTCCAAGGAGGCCCAACAGTATCTGGGTGTCTGGCTAGACCCCGAGCTCACGTTCGCTACTCACCGCGCCAAGGCTGTGGCCAATGCAGGGAAGAGTCTCGCGGCGCTTCGGGGCCTTGGGGGGTCGACCTGGGGCGCGTCTCTGGCGGCCATGCGCCAGATATACCAGGCTGTGGTTATCCCGCAGATACTATATGCAGTGGCCACGTGGTTCCAGCTGGGAATTATGACAGCCAAGGAAAGGAGCACAGTTACTCGGCAGTTTGCGTCAATACAAAAAAGAGCTGCAGTCATGATTAGTGGTGCTTTTCGGACTACGGCCACGGAGGCGCTCAATACTGAACTCTATTTGTTACCCATGGGGCTCCAGATGGAACAGCTCGCCAAGGAGACAGCGATACGGATTGCTACAGGGCAACAACACGCAATACCGAGCAGTATAAAGGTGCCCCGTGACGGGGAGGAAAAGGAGCTTAGTGGGTGGACGCCAATGGAGGCACACGCCGGTAAGCGCGGCGGGTGCCTCAAGCCGCCACTAAAGGTTAAGGAAAGATTGGAGACAAAGCAGGCGTATATCACGGAACCATGGCGTGCGCCTCCGGACGTGGTAATCGAGGAGTACGCCGAGGCGAGAAAAAGTCACGACCAAATACTGCAACAAACCAACAAGCCGCTGTCTGTCTTTACCGATGGTAGCGGCTACAGGGGCAAAGTTGGCGCTGCAGCAGTGGTGCCGGACTTGCAGACCCAAACAACAGATTATCTTGGCCCAGAAACTACGACCACGGTATACGCAGCAGAACTACGGTGTCCAGATGGGGCTGGAGATGGTAAAACGATGCAACGGGATGCAGCAGTGGAGGAGTTACATCTGCAACGGGGTGCAGATCTTTTCTGACAGCCAAGCGGCTCTGAAAGCGCTCAGGCGACCCCGGTTATTCTCCGGACAGGAGATCCTACGGGGGTGTTTGGAGCTGCTCCGCTGGTGTGAAGAAAAAGGCATCCGGGTGACACTGCAGTGGATCCCGGCTCACCAGGGCGTGCCTGGGAATGAGGCAGCCGACCAGCTTGCCAAGCAGGCAGCGCAACGAGGACCCTTACAAGGACAACAACTGGTCATGCTGCAACCGGTGGCTAAGCGGAGGATTAGGGCAGAGTCAAAGGCGAAGTGGGCCAAGGCGTGGCAACGGACAAGGACAGGACGACCAACTAAGCGCCTGATTAAGGCGCCAGAGAAGGGCGTCCTGCGGTACTGGGGAAGTCTCCGAAAGGCAACGAGCTCGGTGCTCATGCAGGTGCGTAAGGGGAGGATTGGACTTAACGGGTATCTTAGCCGTATCAATGTGCGCGAATCGGCGCGCTGCGGCTGCGATCTTGATAACCAGACGCCTAAACACTTGCTTATGGCATATCCAATTCTAACCGACTTGCGAATGGATCTACGGCGGGAGCTTCGACGGAAAGGCTGTGCCGGTGTCTGGATGGAGGGATATGAGTCAGTGATACGGGAGACAAAGGCAAGCGTGGCGGTGGCGGAGTTTATAATAAAAACAGGCCTGCTCGGGCAGTTTCAAGCGGTAGATACTGCAGCGACAGGGGTTACAAACCAAGCGCAGGACGAGATGCCTGTCTCGGCCCGTGCAAGATAACCAACAAGGACATTGGGCTGCTGCCTGAAGCGAGCTTATATCAGCGGACGCAGGACCAGGTCGCCTACGGCCGTCGAGCAGACCAGTTAACGGTACAGAGATACGCAGACGGCGTTGGGGGGGCCAGGCCGGTGGTCATAGAGTCAGGGGGTGCCCGGCAGGGGAAGCAGGAACACTGTAGACGGCGAGGCGCAGGTTCCGTCAGGGGTTGAGCAGTGTCAGCGATGTTGACATCTGAGGTTCTCCAAGCTTTTCGATTTTGTTTGTTTAAGCGTCATTCCTTTCTGGGTCCCACGAACTCCGTGGTGACCAGCCGCCAGGCGCGGCCTTCCTCAGCGCTGACTGCGTCAGCGCGACCCTGCATGGCGACATTCATATGTAAGCTAGGTCAGGTCAATGAATTCTACTACTACTACTACTACTACTACTACTACTACTACTACTACTACTACTACTACTACTACTACTACTACTACTACTACTACTACTACTACTACTACTACTACGACACCGCACGTGCTGCATGTTCGCGACACCGAATCTGACCAGCAAAGTTCTATCAGCTCAAGCCTCTGGACTCTGATCCTCTTGCCCTTTTTTCCCTAGATTCTTTAACCTACACCTTAAATAGAGTTATCATCAATACGTAGGACTGGCAACAAGTACCATCGCCCACATAAAAAGAGCTAGCTTGTGCCACTGCATGCAAATAACAAACAGGAAATAAAAACAAAACCTCCAACTTTACAAAGTAGGGAGGAAAACGGTCTTACAGCACATCCGTCCTCGGCTGAAGCCGAAAGACCACCTATGACAGAAAGTATAACAAATACCTGAATAGGAAATAACCACCACTTCGGGAGTCATCTCCCGAACCAATCCTGCATACCAACGAATGGAGAAAGCTTGAAACTAGGGCAGCTGAGTCCTCCGTGTCACTTACAGTCAGCCATATCAAGGGAAGATTGAGGCAGTGCAAAAGGATTCATGACCTGGAGCTTGGCTCAAACGATGCTGTTAGTTCGATTAAACAACCAACCATTCACTCATTGCCATAGGTCTGGGTGTGGAATGCGCAAGGGCCTGTGCATGAAGGAGCACTTGTTCTCGGAATCAGAACGACGGACGCAAGGGGTGTATGGGCTGTGCACTGTTCTTGGCCAGTCACATTTTTTACATCTACATACCGAGGAGGCTATAGTGCGTATATACATAAAGATTGTAAACAAGGTAGAATGCCAAACATTGTGGTGATTGATAAAGTTTGAAGGATGTGTGCCGCAGGATCTCCTAGATTGGCACACATACCATCGCGTGGAAACAACTAGATTCGACGGAACCCCAAAGCCAAGACGGTAATCGGAGTTCTCGGACACAAAATAAAGAGCAAAATTGCGGGCAATACGCCGTTTGCTTCCTATGTAGCATCTCCTTGCTTAGCTACGGTAGCAGCAGCCTCTCCCTCGAACTGGATCTGATTGTCCTCAATCCTGGAAAATCACCTTGCATAATTATCTACTTACTCCACAATACGGCGCATGTCGGATAATTCCATAATGCAGAGGGCGTCCACGTGCGCGTAGGCCTTGTATAGGTCTCTTCTATGCCGCGGAAATACCCAGCAAGATGGGATCATCAGATACGACTGCGAACAATTTTTTTTCATGTAGGACCCCGCCCACCAGCTCTCATTTCTTCTCGCATCGAGCGCCGAGACTAAGTCCAGTTATTGTGCCGAGAATCGGGCCATCATGCTAAGGGACTTGGCTGTGAGGATGGGAGATAGTCCGCGGGCGTCCAGTGCGGAAGGACCCGAAGCTGGACCGTGGGATCTTCGAATCATAGAAATGAAACCCTGGTCCACGGGAGATACTTGATCGGCGCCCAGATGACTCTTTATCAACTCGCTCTTCTATGATTTTTGCGCAACATCGCGGGTGGGATTTCTCATTCCCGGCAACGGCGGTTCGATCTGCAACCACTGAACTGATTATATATTAGCCAAGAAATGTACGCTCCGAATACGGTCGTCACGAATCAGCTCTATTTAGGACCCCTTCCTCTGCTCAAGTATGTCGCACTATAAACATTGGTATCGTCCGGCATCAGAAGAACATGATCCGCCGCTGCGCCACAATTGGCTCCACTACCGATCAGCTCCAAAATTAATGCAGCCAGGAAAAAGCGAAGGGCGACGTTGCACAAATTCGAATATGACATGCATACTCCTGAGCAAACCTGGCTAATAAATTTCCCTAGTATCGCTTGGAAAATGAAACGGTCTGTGAAAGTCTTGGAAGTGGGCTCTTACAACCACAACCACTGACTGCTCTATGGTTTGCCAAACTCAATTTTGTCAGCCGTCTAAAAGAGCGCTTCGGGATGACGAGGTCTTTGCAGATGTTCTCAAGTATTAAGTCCGAAATTAATTAGCCTAGTTGCTCGGACTGGTTGATGCCGAATCCAGGCCTGAGTTCTACCCTGTAGGGGTTGTCACAGGCCTATACTGTACCACTGACTCAATTGCCTTTCGGCGGCGCAAGGAGGCCAGCAGCCAAGACTTCTTAACACGCACGTACAATTAACTTCAAGAGGAATGGTCTTGCATTCGTATTGATTAACTTTACATGCGGCCAAGTCTTTATGTTGCATTCCAAACGGAGGGTGTCAGCGCTAGATTGAACATACTGAGGAACTTGAAATATCTGCGTCGCCCGGCGGACGGTTGTTTCCCGAAAGTACTGGCATCTGTGGCTGGTTCTGAGGAATATGAAGGGCCTCAAATCCAGTCTAGAAGGCCTATCTTTCAATGTTTATCCTCAATTGTCTTTTACACAATCACAATGAAGGTCGCAGAAAATACCTCGTCTAACTTGGCAATCACCATCACTGTCGAGAAAGACGGCTTCTATGAAGTCAACGGAACAAGGAAGGAGCCTACTGTTTCCCTCTATATGACAGCCGGGGCATCCAAGCTCCGCCGGATGCTGAGAGAAACAAACGACCTGATCGTTTGCCCCGGCGTCTATGATGGTCTCTCTGCTCGGATTGCCATGCAGATCGGCTTTAAGGCAATGTACATGGTATGTCTTGATCGTACCATCGTCCATCACTATCATCATCATACTAACCCTGTAGACTGGTGCTGGCACTACCGCCTCGAGACTTGGAATGGCAGATCTGGGGTTGGCCCAATTGCACGACATGAAGACCAATGCAGAGATGATTGCCAACCTGGACCCATACGGACCCCCGTTGATCGCTGACATGGATACCGGCTACGGAGGTATGTCTTTCGCTGAAGAATCTGGCTTCCAAGTTTCTGATGCACCCTAGGTCCCTTGATGGTGTCCAAATCCGTCCAACAGTACATTCAGGCCGGCGTTGCAGGCTTTCACATTGAAGACCAAATACAGAACAAACGCTGTGGTCATCTGGCTGGAAAGAAAGTTGTCGATCTGGATGAATATCTCACCCGAGTCCGCGCTGCCAAGTTGACCAAGGAGAGACTGCGCTCGGATATCGTCCTGATAGCCCGCACAGACGCTCTGCAGCAGCATGGGTACGATGAATGCATCCGACGCCTTAAGGCAGCCCGCGACCTTGGCGCCGACGTCGGACTGCTGGAAGGTTTCACCTCCAAGGAGCAAGCCAGACAGGCAGTGCAGGATTTGGCGCCGTGGCCTCTGCTCCTGAATATGGTTGAGAATGGGGCTGGCCCTGTTATCACCACAAAAGAAGCGCAAGAGATGGGCTTCCGCATTATGATCTTTTCCTTTGCATGCTTGGCACCAGCTTACCTAGGGATCAAGTCTGCACTTGAAAATTTGAAGAATGAAGGCTTGGTCGGGACCCCTGACGGTTTGGGCCCCAAAAAATTGTTCGAGGTTTGCGGGTTGATGGATTCGGTGAAGATAGATACGGAGTCTGGGAGCAGTGGCTTTACCAACGGTGTCTGAATGAATTTCTTTTCTTTTTATTCTCCTGTTTAATTCCCTCATTTCTATTTCTGCCTCTTATTTTCTTTTGCTTTCCATTTCCCCTTTCTCCCGTTATAACTCGCTTGAAGACTATAAAGGTTTTCCTTTTTATACGAAAACCGTGTTTGTGTTATGTTTCTTGTCTGCTTGTTGTCTATACAGTATTATGTTGCTGTCTTTCTAGGCGTTGCTGCTTGAGTTCCATGCACTGCTGGATGATATCGCACAGTTTACAAATTCGCCTTTCTTTCCCCTCGATGCATTCTCAGACAGGGCAGATTAACAAAATCTCACTAGATTTTGCACCTCATAGCTATGCCTATGGGGGTTAGGTGCCTCCAAAGCTATGCTTGTTGCAAATCGCCAGTGAGTAGAAATAAATCCCGGGCCTGAGGTGATCTATTAAGCTGTGAAATCGGAAAGCTAAAAGATGCGTGGTGAACAGTACATTCTCATGGACTCTTGCAGCAATGAGTTTCAGATAGTTATTCATTTCGGGAGACGTGCCCTCCTGAAAATACGAACTAACTAACACTGGTATTATCATGCCCTGGGCTTGATAGCACGCTATTTAACTTGAGGTCTTAAGAAACACTTGTCCCTTTTGTTCGATACAGCAATATGGAAGGGACAGTCCAGTCTAAGCAATCGTCGGCTAGAATTTACTTCGATCGCCTGCCACAGCATATTACAGTTCTTTGAGATCATACGGGCAGACGGGTAAATGGCTCCAATGTATTTTGATTAAGAAATATGACAGATAGTTAGTTGTAGCCTGTCATCATCAAGCTTGGTTGGAATACTATCTCGTCATTCATTTCTCCTGTGAGTGAAATACTGGTTTGGGGATTCCTGTTGGGTCTCGGCATGAGACCCGTAATCCCCTACTTGTGTATGCCTAGACATGTCTTAGGTGCAGTGGTTTTTGAAGGGACAGCAGGCAATGGGTGCGCTTCGGCCTCCACTCCGACATTCACCAAGGCCTATATGGAAATAGCACCCGAGACACGATATCCACTCACCTAGATTGGTATAATACCACGAATTAATCCTCCGTTTTCCGGTGCAATAGTATAGGTTACAATACAGAATTCTGTCCCACTCCCTGAGGAATAGACTTTCCATAAATGTCACAACTCCCTGTGCCATGTTTCAGGTGAAACGCTCTCCAAGAATATTAACAGCGAAGGCGTAAAATGCCAAACCCGGAATGACGTCTGAATTCCGCATGCCTTCATTAATGACTGGTCCAAGTACGGGTGAATCAGTTTCACATATACTTCCGAGGGCCAGAACCAGAAGAACAATAGCGTAATGAATGGGTTTCCTAAATGACTGGCTGTATCCTCTTCTGGAGCAGTTAAGTGATTGGACGTCGCACGTATCTTTTGGTAGGGCGTCGCAAGAGTACTTCCGTTTTCCCCCCCGCAACAGCTCTCCTGCATTACCCCTTTTTAATAGGGTGGGGCCCTCCTGTGGACAGTAAATCAGAATAAATTCGTCTATGTCTTTTTTTAATTCATTCTAATCGAGTAAGGGGTGAAGCTGATGCATGTGCTTTAAATAACTCGAGTGAGTCCGACAAATGGTGCGGGTTTTTCTGTCACCCTGCCATATTTGTCGACTCCATTATCAATAAGTTTGGTATATGTGGCCTGATATTTGTACCTTGAGGTTCATTGGCACCAGGAGCAATTGCAAGGGGTAGAAATTATAGTGTCTTCACTCGCGTCTTCTCCCTCGCCTTGTCCATAAATACTTATCACACCTCTCTCTAGCTCCATATTCATGACGTAGTCCTTGTTGTATCTAGTCTGGCCTATGAAGGCTTGAATGATCGGCCACGAAAACAGTTTGTGTGCCGCCGCCGTATGCTCCACAGTGATCGAAAGCTCTCCATCGTCGCCGGGTGGAAGAGCCTCGTCGCATGACCTCCAGGAGGTTTCCTTGTTCAATCTGTTATCTGAGGATTTGCTCCAACCGTTCTTCCAATGAGGCTTCTATTTGCGACATCCGATCAAGAGATATTGCACCACCCTTTCTTCCCTGTTGATGGTGTAATCCTAAGCCTCATACAACACCCGTTGGGCGCTTGGCCCGCCTTTCCTGTTTACCGCGGGTGTCGGTGTAGAGGGGGCCTGTTGGAGCACCTAGAACAGCCCTGCAACTTATCTCTGTGTACCGTGATGTGATGATCCTGTACACTGGACTAGTTATAACACTTTGTCGGGTTTTTACAAATCACGAGGATGCTGATGGATATAAAAACCTATTTTAAAAGGTGTTTAAACTTTTAAAAAAGCATACTAATTAGCCTGCTTGCTTTTATTATTTACATGGAAGTGGATTTGAGAGTATTATATTGGATATGGATAATACTTAAATATTAGGTAGGGCTTACTAGTTCCTAACTAATTATAAACTGCCTACTAACTAGCCTGTAACTAGGCCTTGGTTAGTATTGTAGTGGAGGAATTCGGGGGATTAGCACGTGACATTTGTATGGATAGCTATTATCTTAAGTCCTCATACGAAGAGGTAATAGACAGTCAACAACCTTCTCACAGACCGCGGGACGCAGTTGCGTAAAGGGCATGTTGTCTTTTCTCCTGCCAGGAACTTGTGGGCTCGGGGCCCACAACTTCTGAACTGCCTAAGATTGTCTCCTTGACCTACTCCTTCGGAGTTCTACCATTTCCCTCTCATTCAGTATCTATCTAGTATTGATCCTAAACAGTAGCCGGCAAGGTGGCATATTCCACATATTATAATCACCTGCCGTGTTCACTTCTTTCGAGGTACTAAAAAAGCCATTAAACAGAAGAAATGTGGCACAACTAATTTCCAAATAATAGCTTTTTTATTAAACTGTGAAACACAATGGCATTATTATAAGACAATACAGCTTTTACAAGGTAAGTAGTTACTAACTAGTCCTTGACCAGTTACTAACTAGTTACAGGACGAAGATGAGGCTATTATTTATTAGGCAAGTTATAAAGCAGATCTATTAATTACTGCGGGTTTAAATAAAGCCTGCTTATTAATAGATCCTTTTTTTTTTAAGAATGCAAGAATGCATACAAATACAGGTAAGTAATCGCATAATAAGATATATATCTTTGGTGGTATTAGGCTTTTAATATTAAAAGCCGCGGAACGGTAAAGTACCTACTATAAATTTAATAATAACTAGTTACTAACTAGTATTTAGTGCACTTATTTGTGATGCAAGGAATCTAGATTAATATAATACAAAACAGGATTTTGCTATTTAGCATAGCTATTAATCTAATTCTATTGCATCTCGCCATGCAAGGAAAAGCTTACAAGAGGGTAAGCAAGGTAGTAGATTACTAGTAGTTAACTAGTTACTAACTAGTACTAGAAAAGAAACGCTAACAAGAGTTCTCCGGCTTAAATACACTAGATAATTAACCAGTTACTTAACATCCAAGACTTACTATTAAATCTAATAAACCCCTAATAAAAGTCTTATCATCTGGTTCACCACAGCCACGGCGATCTTAATCAAGAGGAAGAGGTAGGTCTCGAAGAGGAAGTATAAAACAAAGTTTGTTTAGGTAAGTAGTTATTTACTAGTTAGTTTTCTATTTATTACTAACTAGTTATAGTCCAGTAGCTTAAGCTGCAACTTAACATAGTTTTAATCAGAGTCTTAACTAACAAGAAAGAGAGCTACACCTTCGTTTATTACGGGCTCAAGTTAACCGTGTGGAGATTAAAAATAGGATAATAAATTAAGGGGTATTTATTCCCCCTCGGAACCAGTTCGCTACTAGTCCCAACCAGTACTAAACCAGGCCTTTATCCAAACTTCGCAACCCCCCTTCTATTCTTTCTCCCCATCGCCAGCACAGTATTCCCCTCCTAGGTAGCTAAGTGTAGATAGTCCTTGCTTAAATCTGCTTTCAAATATCTTTATATTCTACCATAGAAATATATATGTGTGTGTATATATATATGTATATTATATAGAATTATAATATATATATTTATATTAGGTAGTATGCCTAGATCCTAATTTGTTTTATTATTAAATGCGATAAAGTAAAGGAATACTAGTTACAGAGCTGTTATTTTCTAGTAAATAACTAGTTACTATTATCCTCCTTAGTATTATTATCCTCTTCCTCACTCTCCTCTGGCAACTTAAAATAGTCCCAGAAGTCACAGATATTAGTGCTGCCACAAGCTAATAACTAGTTAGGGACTATTGCATACTAATTAAAACTAGCAGTACTTACTAATCTTATTCTTGCGGCACTTCAGACAGGGCGCACGCTTACCACTCTTTCTAATACCAACCTTGCGAACAGCTGCAGCGTCAATCTAGAACTAGTTAGTAACTAACTACGAATTAGTTGGTAACTACCTATACCTTGCCATCATTCATCGGCAGAGGCCGGAGCCCCTCAGGGGAGGGTGAGCAGGGCAGGGTAGCGGTGGCCTTGCGGGTAGTGGGCTTGCGGGGGGGTGCCGGGGAAGAGCTCGGCGTGGGTGTCGACACCTTGGATGATTTAGGACTAGGTACCGACTAGTTATATCATTTTACCGTTTGCATCTGAATGCTAAAGGGGATTCGTTGTTGACCACAAAGGGAAAATAAAAGAAAAATAAAAAAGGCAAACTAATACGTGGTGCAGGAGAATGATTGTGGTTTCCTGACATCAGAGTGCTGCACCCTAACGAGCTGATCTCTTCAATCTGCTTTCAATACATCGTCCAGGAACACCAGGGACTTCCCAGACCTTCACCCACTCCAAGTCAACTTGTTCCAATAGCGACTCAAATCCCTCCGTTGTTCGTTCCTTCCCACCACAGCAGAGCATGTACATGTCGAGAGCAACGGCGCCAAAGTCGGCTTCTCTCACACAATTAGGTAGTATAGTCTCACATATCAGAAGGCGCGAATCAATCTCCATAGCTTTAGCAAGGTGTGAAAGAATACAAATACAAGCGCCGTCCTGGTAGTTATGCAAGATATACCGCATCAAATAGCCTTTCGCGCCTATCGTAATCTTTATCAGCTTTAACGCTCCCATAGTGGCGGAGATCAGGTCTTGTCTAGAGTCATTTCTCTTCTCATGAAGATGCCTACTCAATAACGTTGAAGGGAGTTTTCACATACCTCTAATGGGCTGCTCCTTCCAGAAGTTGTGCTCCATCAAATTTAGCCCAGAGGGCAATTCAGAATTTTCCTTAGCAGCATCAATATTCTCCTTCGTATCTTGCAATACACATTTGCTCGCAGTCAGCTTCGGATAATGGTGCAGGATCTGTTTAAGACAACTTCCCTGCCCACCACCAACATCCACTAACTCCATTCTCTCCCGATCATCTGGTTCGGCACACTGCAAAAGACCAAAATCGAAATGTCCAACCACGGGAACAAACATATCAAACGCTGGCAAAGCAGCCTGGAAAATTTGGAGCTCCGCGGGCTTCTGAGCCATGACATCCCAAAGCTTCGTTCCATCCTGGCCGTGCCTCCAGGTGTACGGATTATATGCGATATCATCGGGCTCCTGTGCATGCTCAAGCTGACCTCGTTCTGCGAGGTACTCATCAAATGGGACCAGGGACTTGAACACCACGTCGTACCTATATAAAATGTAAGGGGGTCTCCAGAGATCATAACCTAAAGGGGATAGGGGAGGAGAGATGCTAACGTGGCTAGGAACATTAGCTTATGAGGAGAATCGGATCTGTACAGCTTAGAGAAAGCAGTGTGTCTCAAATCTCCGCCATTCGGACATGTCTGATCCAAGAAGCCTTTGGCGACTTAGAGAAGCCACACATTAGCCAAGTCAAATTATAAGTTCAAAGATACCACCTACCGAGAATGCGGCCTATTCTGTCTATGCATCTGGTTAGCAGAAAAATAATTGCAGTCGACAACATTGGTGAAAATACCTAACAGTGATTCCTGAGCCCCAGAAGCTCTAGATAGTTCTGAAAGAGATAACGAGCCTTCGGCGGGTATTAAATCCAGGATATTAAGCTTCAGGAATGTTCGAAGCGCTGGAAATACCATCATCTTCACTGTATCAGTCTTCAGTTCGGCAAGCAAACAATCTTTGTCACGCACATCGAGAAAATAATGTTTCTGCATTTGTTCTGGCGAGGTTAGTGTCTGTAGGATGTTTCGGGCCTCTGCAAGGATGCAAAGAGAAATAGGATGATTCTGCTCCATGGATGCAATATGTTCCTCTACGGCATTGCTAAACTTAGAGACCAACGCTCGCAGTGCCTTAGGTTCCAAAGAGTCCATGGTGGAGTTTGGCACTGAAGAGGTGAAGTGCACATGCAGGAGGGCTAATAGCAACTTGATATGCCTTTACTCAGACCCGTAGCAGTGCAGCCCATTTATATGTTTTCTAGCAGGATGCTAGAAACGTATAAAGTACCTGTTTCCTTCCGGTTGTTCGACCACCCGGGTCGCTAAGACCTTATATTAGCATACGTCATTGTGCTACCCACCGTAAAGTATAGTTTACCCCTCCAGAGACATTAGGTCACTAAGTTTAATGCTCTACAGTTAGTCATATTTCTCTCAAGTTGTCAGAAACTCTAATGCTCCTTTGCCCACCTTCTGCATCATCCTGTAACGAATCGATAGCGTTTATTTTCTACCGGTACGTTAACAGGTCAGAAAGGCGTAATGTTTGACCAGCGACCAAATACCAAACTACTATGAGGTCATATCGTGGCACAACCACCTACTCTATCCTCCTCTATTAATCAACCATCCATATAAATTTTAGGTGATTTGACTGGAGTGCTTGATAACTTCTCCTAATTACGTTGCGTGCCAGCATAATATTGAGTGGTAACCCTTCTGCAAATGGCAACAATCGTAAGCAGCTAGCAGCTCACTGATATAAGCCTTAATGAGATCCTAATTCGACCATTCTATTCGGTTGATTAACATTTAAGGCTTCAGAATTCCCAATACTAATTCATAGCAGTGTCTACGAGAAAATACTTCGATATGTACTCCGCAGCTACTAAAATCTAACTTATGTTACCATTCCTCTTAGTGACTCTAAATCCGAACATGTTTCGAGAGCCTGTACCTAAGTCTAACTATATTTCGGTTCTTCGTACATTGATGTCAAAAGTTTCTTTCAAGAAACGCCCAGAATTTCAGGTGAACGGCGAGATTCAGCAAAATATTATCTATCGCTTTTCAGCGTATGGTCTTTCAGGTGATCAAATAGTTGTGCAATCGCTCAGCGGGGCGTTGAATGCACGGAGTGCTTCTTTCCCTTTCTCCCACCAGAAAACAAATATATTGATAGTTTGTTTGCAGCAATTTTTTTGCTATCGATGATCTCAGTGCAGAACTTACTGACGCACTTGGTTGTTTCCGTAAAACCTTGCTTCGTGGTCAAACCCAGACCCAGCCAGTCCTCCAATTATGCCTTGACACGACCCTGCAGATGAGTGGATTCTATGGAGACTTTGGGTCAGACATGATACTCAAATCACTCATAGAGTTTCTCAGTGCAAATAAGGTTGAAGTGGAGTTAGCAGGAAAGATCACACTTCTTAAAAGCACCCTAAACTTCCCTCGATACTTCCGTCTTAAATTGGTGATTCCGAGGCCTTCGCAATCTTCCCTTTCCCAACTAGGGACACAAAGACGATGGGTTAGGGCAGCATATCCTCGTACTACCCAGCCTTATTGAATTCATGGATTGTGGAAACGATGTTTTATCCCTCTATAAGGAGTCAATTTTGTCAGACGAGAGGGATAACTGCATTTATCAATATGCAGAAGCACACGATATCTCCGCTCTGGATTCCCTATCATAGTATGCAGATATGCTTCAGATGTGGGTTAACAATCTGCGTGCTACCGTATCGACACACCCACAATGGCAAGACCAGGTTGAACAGTTCATTGGGGTTCCATATATTCTGCAATCGCTATCATCTATCTGGCTTGCCAATTTTTGATGATTGATCTGGCCCTCAGTCTTTGTCCCTTCATGGCTGTAATCTATGACTTGAGTATCCACAATAGAGCCTTCGCTAAGTGCGGCTCTGCTTCTATGAATACTTCATGCTATTCTGTATAAACACAGCTGAACTGTAGTTGACAATCTTTTCCCTTGTTTTGTTAGGGTGGGCCAGTTTTCGTAACTGCCCAGGCTGATCCATAATCTACTGATGGCAGGTGCACCAAGTAAACGAGAAAAACTATGTCATTAGTCAGAGCAATATTGTGTGCCCAATAGGACTTGCCTTATATGCATGAGCCACGTCAGCTAAAGAGAGTGACCCCATACAGGTACGCCAAAGTTTTGGACATTATTTAGTACTTAACAGGTTAAAAGACTTGTGGAATTGGTCAGCGAGTTATCTTCAGGTTTCCTGAATGCATCTTACCGTTCAGTAACTCGCCTAAACACGATTAGAGGGTTTGTTCCGTCTGCGCTGATTGGTGAAGGAAGTCGACACCAGGTAACAGTCTCATACCAACCCTGCAACGAATCTGTGTTTGGACTTGGGATTTGCGAGGCTAACATGCCGGCAACATCTTGAACTCTCATGGACATTTAATCCTGTAACTAATTCTGAGAAGCCATCAGGGTCGACGAATGACGCCCGTCTTTGTGTGGTAACTGTGCTGACACTTGGACTTATAAAATACCTGCACGGGCTAGCGCGGATTGTGAAGGCCAGCAGCCCTGTTAGGGCTACTCGTTTCCATAACTGGAGAACTTTCATGGACTAGTTAAAAGTTTTAAATAGGTAGACTTTTATTGCAGTTACATATATATTCTTATCTAGAAAACCTCCCTATCTATCAGTAGTTAACATATGGAAGCTGTAAGAAGCATTTTATATGGAATACAAAGGTGCGGCACTCGACTGTGGAAATACAACACATGGCTAATTAAATACAAAATCCTGAATAAGATGACGAAATCACCTACCCGACTAGAGAAAGGCTTGACCCAGTTCCAAAAAATCAGAATCGTGACAAATTTCCAAAAAAAAGAACTGAACAGTTACTTCCCAGTGGTCTGTTTACCTCACGTCTGGGATAGTATCCAGCTGAAGTGCAACGCATACCTCGTCTCATTCGGCAGAAACTGTAAGATGTTGTCAATATAAAGTACCTGGAATACCGCTTTCCTATCGATCTTAGTTAGAGCTTATTTAAGGCTATATACGCCTTAATGTCACCGTATCGCGTCATTCCAATTGACTCTTATTTCTTATGTATTTAGTCTTGAATACTCGCTTAGCTAGAAGAATCAGACCTTCATATTTCTCTGGAGTTGATACTAGTCGATACGCTTAGGAGCAGGTCAACATTACCTCTATCTCTCAGCTCCACTGAAACCTGGCTTCAGGGCGGCACCGCTCCTCCTAGAACGAGAAGGCAACGGTCCTGACGTCCGTAGGTTTTCGCTCGGTAGGAATGTAAGAGACTCAGTTCGTTGAAATACTGTGATTCCTGGTGTTTCCACAGACGACATATACTTCCTTATTAGGTAAAGGGCTGGCCTGTAGCTGACTTATGGCTCCTTGCGCATCACTTCCACTGAATTCCACAACACCATCCAAGACCCAACAACAACTGGCCTGAAACTAGACCCAACGCTCATACGGACCACAGGTATTATATCTTGCGTAATCAAAAAAAAAATGCGCTGGTAGGTCACACAACATAAATCTGTGCTTAATTTTATATCCGTACTTTATGACCTCTCTTGCTGTCACTTCCACAACCATATTTTACGACTATTTCCAAATTCCAAATTATCTCTGGCCATCCGCGGGTGGCAGCGCGCTTCACCAATCTGTTATATAGCCATGACTTCTCTCTGCGCAATCAGTCGCATTCCGTCCTCTGATTTTCTCAAATGTGCCACAGAATATTGGCGAATTAGTGCTCCCTTCCAGGCAAGCAGTCCCATTAGGGAAAAGGCAAACAAGGCTAAGAAAGCCATCATACCAAACACCCACCCCAACCCAACTGCCTCCTCCCAGTGCTTAATAAAAAAAGGTACCGTAAGGCCCAAAGACAGCCGAAAGAAGTTCAGTATCGCTGCCACCTCTTCTGCATAATCAGTGAAGCATTCAACAACATAATTTATTGTTACGGGTATGAGGATATTCTCGCAGAAGCCACCAAGAAAAACAGCTAGAGCGAGAACCATGAAGTGCAGATGATACTGAAGCCCTGCACCAAACAGGCCAAGGCTAACCGGTAGGAGTACCATAGGGACAAGGAGCACTGGGAATAAACGGATTTCAGGTTCCCACATCCCCCGTCGAAACCGGCGACAGAACCAAATGGGGATGCGGTCATTAAGAAGAATACCATAGACTTGAGCAGCAAAGAGGGCCACCCAATTTGTGAATGTAAAGCAGGAAACTTGAAGTGGGGAGAAACCATAGCCGCCCTCCTCCTTAGGTGTTTGTAGAAAGACTGAGAGAAGTGTGGCCACTGCCACTGCCCAGCCAAAGGTAAGGAGAAGGAATGTCCCTGCGAGGAGAGTTACAGGTGAGATGGCCACGAGACACAGAGCCAGTAGATTGTGTTTCCCACCCGCTCGCTCCTGTGGGGAGACTGGATTTCCAGGGAAGAATGTGGCCACTCGGTTCCTTAACCAGGAGTGAGGCGGTTCTGCGTACGTCCTTGCATTTCCTTCCCGCGAAAACCCTGTCTCTTCAAGGAAAAGAAAGACCAAAATAGCCATAAGCCCTTCCAAGCCTACAGTCCACCAGAACTGAACAGGCCATGGTGCATATTCAACAATAAATCCACTCAGCGTAGCGCCTATCTGGGTCCCAAAGAGCGTGCACAAGGTGTAGCACGCAAACGCCTTTCCACGCTGGTGAAGAAAGAACATGTCAAGCACTGTTCCAGCCCCAAGTGTTGATGGTGCAGAACCAAACGTTCCCGCAAGCCACCGAGAAATAACAAAGGAGATGTAGTCATTCGTTCCTGTCATCGTAGCGGACCAAATACCGCAGCCCAACGTTCCCAGCAAGCCCCAGAAAATACATGAGGAGCGACCGACGCTTTTAGATAGCAAGGTCCAGATAAATGGCCCAGTAGCAAGTCCTGCGATTGCCGCGGAGATCTGCCTGTCAATTAGCCACAAAACCCCACTGAAACCTGCAAGGAACTTACCGAATAGGATATTTGGATTGGGTTCTTGTTGTAAAGCTCTGCCTGGGCAAAGAATCCAGACTGATTAGCCAGAGCCTGGGCTATTCCAATAAATGCTGATATAGACACAAGAGCGAGAATGATGATCTTTTTAGACATGGACCAATTCAGCGGGTCAGATGGATCTTCAGTTGGCTGGGGAATAAGGATAATCTCAGACGTGGCATGCTTGCACGTATCCTGCTGCACACCTTTCCCTGGCTCTGGAGCCTGATTTATCACCATCTCAGCTTGCAAAAATACGCAGAGCAGTGATCAGACTGGTGGGAGAGTAGCTAAGGAGAATTAAAATGGGTGGATATTCTCAATGTCGACTCTAATTAAACCCCGGATAATGCTCTCTAATAAAAGCTTAGTTCTTTGTTCTGGAAGGGCAACAGTATCATGTAAATAATAAATTCAGCTTTTGATCTTTGGAACCAACATTCAGTACCGTCTGAAAGATGAGACATGGCTTGAACCTTGTCATTAGCTTAAATGGCACGGAAGAACAAAAAAGGGTTTTTAGGGATTTGCTAGCGTTTTGGGTTTCCATTGTGTCCGTGTCCAATCGACCGTACTAATCAAAGTCAATTGCTTCTTCTACATTGGCAACAGTCGAAGCACCGACAAGGGAGGGCTTCGATAGGACCTGATTACTTTCACGGAGCATATAATGCTTGAGGACTGGCAGTGGTTTAGGGAAATAGCGACTAATAATAGTCTAAATCAAACATGAATGCTCTCTTAAATACAGTAAACGCATAAGTTCCACGGTGTCGCTAGCGATGCAGTCTCGGATATTATATGAGAGATATACAGTACTATTCAATATATTTCTACATGTTATGTCTGCTAAATTGCCGAAAGGACGTGTGAAAATCATCCATACTACCAATAGTCAAGCTGCTACGTAACACTGGCTGTTTCTAGTTTGTAGATTTTGTCCCAGAAACACCAAATATAGGGTACAGAACTAAACAAGCCGCGTCAAATTTTTCATGGTTGGTCTTATTATCGGTCAGACAGAAACTTCAACAAATACTATAGTCAGGGAAAATAATGCAGTTCGGCACATTACAGGTAATTCTGGTGTACAGTACTTGCTGAAGCTCTTAGATAGTTGGTTTCTGTAACACTTTCGAAGTGGTGTATTCAGAGCTCTATGAACATCTGCTTTCCTTCTCCTTTCCTATCCACTCTTCAAATGCTTTCTCAGCCTCATGAATGCTGTTATTTCCCAAAATTTGTCTCAAGTACATCATGCTGCCCCATCCATGTTCCTTACTGCCATCGACGTCGTCCCAATTGACTTTGGCAAGTGTCTCATTCCGGGCGTCACACTTCGGCCCGTCTTCCAGATGGAACAGTTCTCTGGTTTTCATCGCTCTTTGGACGTTAAGAGTGGTTTTATCCTTCCGGATTGACTCATAAAGCTGGAGGATTTCTGCTATCTTGGCAGCTCGATGCTCTGGGTTCTCTTTATTCAGATGACTCCTGGAGAATTTGCCAAGGAGAACACCCAACACCGCGCCGTCTTCTACGGCCATCGCAGCCCCTTGCGCTTGATATGGGAGGGTTGGATGACATGCATCGCCAAGAAGGGCTATCGACCCCTGCATGTCTTTGTTATCAGAAAGAACAGTTGTTCAAAAGGTTCCGCTATTTTACCTGGCACCAATTTTCCAACTCCTTTATATAGCAGATCTTCCATTTCAACGCATCATCGACCTGCGCTATAAGTGCAGTGAGCCTGAGGTTTCTATAAGTCAGAGCCACACGATTCAGACAAGTTTTAGTCGAGTCAAACCTGGAATCCCAGTCTTTGAATAATTCTCGCATCTCGTGGACATTTCCCGCAGCGCTGGTGACACCAAGGGGCAAATCATCAGAGCAACTTTCAGGTCAATCATTAGTTTTCTGTACAGAATGGGACTGGCTGTAGATTTGTAAGGGTTTTGGATTTTGCAGCATACATAAGGACCAAATTGAACGTGGCTCCGTTTCGTAGGGGATATAAAACTGCGTGTTGGCGGGGGCCAAGCCAAACACGAACGGAGAGTTCCTCAAGGACAGGGTCTTGGAGATGTTTAACTCGTTCCTTTGGAATGGTTGCTCGGTACGCTAGGTCTCCAGACTCAATAATTTCTGCATGATATCCGAGTAGCTCATCACGGACCACAGACCGTAAACCTGGGCTCATTATCGAATCCTGTTGTAAGCGTCCAGTACAGACGCGGCAAAATAAATAAGAACTTACCGTCTGCACCAATTATTATATCGGCGTAAACTCTTTCTTGAGAAGCAAGAAGAACAGAACTGTTCGCAATATCAACAGCGACAACCTCTGAGTTTAGTTGAACCACAGCTCCCAGTCTCTTTGCTTCCTTTAACAGGACATTATGGTAATCAGCCCTATGCATTACGCTGCCTTTTGGTTAGTGTCCGCGCTTACGGCGATCCATTTGTTGGAGTGAAGTGAACATACCACCAGCTCTGCCCGAAATGCTTGTTGTACCAGGCATCGCCAGGGTGGATGAGGATCGGATTTCCACCAGAATACCTTAGCAGACTACGAGTAGCGACTTTGGTCGCACCGCCATCGGCCAGATCCGAAATCAGGCCATAGTGGTCCATGACGCGCATTGCATTCGGAGGCAACTGGATACCCGCCCCTATCTAAAAGGGTGTCAGATGAAATCTCAATTGCATAAAATGTATACGTACCTCACCTAACTCTTGCGCTTTCTCAAGAATCCTCACAGCAAGACCTGCTCTCAGACAGGAGATTGCGCACGAGAGTCCTCCTCCAGGTTTATCAGATTTTATTCTATATGCTAGATTCGATCAAGAATACGTTGCACATATCGTACCCAAACCACAGCCAACAATCAACACATTTAGCAAATGGGTGTGCCCATTCTATGAGAGAACTACTTGTCAACTTCGTACGTGCACTAGGACCAAGGGTCGGTGCAGGTTACTAGCCTTACTGTGAGCTTTTGTAGCCATTCTAGTCTTTGTCTGGTTATCCCAAGATCGCGAGGTAGGGAAGCATGGAAAAAAAATGTAAATCAATATTAAACGGCACACGCAGGTGCACAAATAACATGTATTATTACTCACATTTATAGAGGCAGTGAAGTACGCTACTACACAGTACAATATTCCGCATTTGCAGTTCTCCCAGCAAAGTCTGATGTTTCATCTAGCCATCACTTCCCATATAAGTCGTCTGGGCCCGTGTTTGTAGTTAGTGCATCATGAGAAACTCTGGTCCAGTGTGCGCAACCCAACCAAACTCAAACAGACGCTGGTCAAGTTTCAAATTAGTATCATTTTTCATAAAAGCTTAATACACCTAACTTTTGCAGTGAAACATGAGAGCAAAAACTGTCTTAACTGTCAGTTCTGAAAAATCCCTCAACTTACTCAACCCAGTAAAGTTCTGGAAGCGAATAGAGCGTGCTGGACTAGCTTAATCGGGGTTCGGAATAAAATTAAATCCAATCAATTGAAGTCGATACATCAAGGCGCTTAATAACTAAAGCAGATTCTGTTACATGAACTAAACATTGTTTCCGTTTCCCCAACACCTGCAGTTGGTGCTGCTAAGAAGATACTGGGGGGGGGGATCTCAAAATAGCTATTGGCGTAAGTTCAATCTTGGTCGTATCACGTATGCCGGGATCCACTTGCAGTCTGACAATTTCTTAGCAACATCTTCGTAATAATAAGGTTGGAACCAGAATCGTAGCCAGTTTCTTGGAACATAGTTTCTTAGTTAATGTTGTGTCAGCAAATTGTCAGTGAAATGTTGGAGATCCTGCCGTGCCACGCATGCTGCTCATTGGCCGACCAAATAAAACTAATTTCAGTATCATCGCTTTTTGCCCCCGCCAAAAGTCTAGGTGGATAAGATAGCAGCAATATCAGCTGCTTGAGCCACGTATACTTTGAGCACCTAGATCTCTAGAAATTTAGAGAATTTGCGAAGGATATCGGTTTGTTAAGGCTGTGAACAAAGGTGACATTATCTATTATCGCGGATACGACAAGAAGCCCTATATCTGTCGTCGAAGAGATTGAGCTTCTTTGGTGGAGCATATATCGCCAAAGATGCTGAAAACTTCCAAAAAGAGGCCAATCAGCCAGGCGCGACTATGACAGATATTTCTGATAGTCCCGGGGGAGGACTTTTAGCAGGCGCAATAGAACCTTCTTTTATGTGGTGGATGAGCCGGAAGAACAGGGACGTCAGCCGAGTACATGGCGCCCCCTGTGCCGCGCATGAGTCCCAGGGGGCCCAATACACCATTCTAGAAACCACGAAATGGCCAGTTCCAACAGTACCTACTTGCGTAAGGACGAGCGGATGCTACTTTGTCCGACGAATTCTTCTCATAGCATGTACATATCAGTGGTTCTGTTGCGTATTTATTTTTAAATTTGAATGGATTGCATGCAAGGAGGCTTTCCTGGTACGTAAGGTCTGGAATCAGTACTCCAGTAGAACAATAGCTCACATTCTCTACAGACTGAATATTGCTGAGAATCTTCAATTACTCACTGTTGGTCGAGCTTTGCCAAAAACATCTTTCTTCAGGACGGTAAGAATATTGAAGCATCTGTCGCTTGCCCTTGAGGATGGCCCACCAGCAGAATTTCTGTCCTGTAAGTTTTGACTCAGCAGATCACCTTCAAATTGCTTTGAAGGGCCATGACGCAAAATTGAGACAGGCAACATGGCTATCGTTAACTACAAGGCTTTCCCGATAGGTCCGTCTGCAAACTTTATTTCTCCAGAAATGACAGTGGGTCGTGGGAGGAATGAGACTGACTAAAAACATTAACTTAACTATTAAGGATTCTCTGGTTCCTAAGGTTCTTATGGCCCATTTCAGGATCCGCCAGATCCGAACTTTACGTTCAGTGCTGTCGTCCGCCATATGCTACCCGTCAAGGATCTTAAACTCCAGTTAAACTTCGGGAGCGCTCAGCATTATTGATCATTAGATAAGCTTAGAGATCAACCCAAATCTACTAAGGCTTGTTCTGGATGCCAGGCAACATTTTGTAGGGTGTTCGTGTTTACAGCCAGCCATCTTTGTAAAATGCAACCGGCGTATGACTTCCCATAAATAACCCTACAGAGCGAACGATTTTTATCGAAGTCAAATTGCTCATAGTGACAGAAATCCTTTTATTTTGAACCAGTATGGAAAGCACCCAGCCTAGTGCACTCCTGGCTAGTAAGTATTTCCTTGGAAAGAGTACAATCTAAGATGTGAGCCTGGTTTTGGAAGAGTCATGTCCACTTACATTATCCCAGGGCAATTCTCCCTTGATGTGGTGACCAAGGTTCCCTCAGATATGCCAAACATTGCACATCCGTGTACCAGCAGTCAAAGTGATGAATTTGTGCCGATTGGTAAACATAAAATCCTCGTCCTGGATGTGGGGCCTGCAGCTTCAAAGCCTCCCAGGAGGCCTGGGGAAATATTAGAGCTGAGTATCAGCGGACAGCTTCAACGTGTCCTTGTCCGAAATTTGATATTGCCCGACGGCCTGGATATTGATCCTTCCAGCAACCGCATGTTCTGGACGTGTATGGGAACCCCGGGTAAAAGAGATGGCACCATTCTCTCAGCCGACTTGGATGGCGGCAACATTCGAACTGTTATCGCTCCAGGAGCAGTCAACACCCCAAAACAGCTTGCGATCGTCCCTTCTACGGAGCAATTGTATTTCTGCGATCGTGAAGGCCTTGGTGTCTGGCGGTGCAAGTTTGACGGCTCATGCCTCGAAAGGCTTATACAGACCGCGGATGAGTATAACAGTCAGGATGCGTCAAATGGCAGGAATTGGTGTGTTGGCGTCGCGGTAGCTCCAAGACTGGGCAAAATCTTCTGGACGCAAAAAGGCCCATCAAAGGGTGGAAGCGGGCGTATCTTCTCCGCCAACCTCGACAGTCCTACCAGTCCGATCGTGGAGTCTCGCAAAGACGTTCAGTGCATCCTGAGTGGTCTTCCAGAACCTATAGATCTCAAGGTGGATGAATCATCCCATACTCTTTATTGGACAGATCGAGGAGAGCAGCCCTTTGGTAATACATTAAATAAAGCTCTCCTGGATGAAGCTGGTATGTTCGTGCCTGTCGATACATCCATGGGATACGAGATTCTGGCTCAAGACTTTAATGAGGCAATTGGCCTGGACTTAGATCCCACAAACAGGTGCGCATATGTCACAGACCTTGGTGGTACCCTGTATCGATGCGATCTTAACACTGGCCACAAAGAGAGCATCCATATCGACCCGAGCCGTAGATTTACGGGAGTAAGGTACATTTATGCATGATAGAATAATTATAATGCTTCTTGAAGCTTGAGAGATTTCCCTGTCCACGTGTCTTATCACAAATAATAGGCATAATAATATGTGTTCTATCCCTGCTAGCTATTAGATGGTACAGAACGGAATAAAATATTCTGGCGCAATTGGTTAGTTCATTGTTTCTGATCTCTCGCCTTCGATGATCTGCAGGCTGACACAACTATAAATATGTTTGTATGCCTATTTATAGATTATCATTTTCTGTAGGTGAACTTCGAGCTTCACTTTAAGGCCTGTGATGGCTTTGTTACGCTGTATTTTGGTATGCGGCATCAGGGGCGATACAGGAGGCACGGTTTTTTGTAAAGACAGTAGCTGAACAGCCTAACTAGAGGTCACGAACGGCATATTTAGCGCAAGTGGGCATGGCACCACATCAAGAGCTTGTTCGTTGTAATGATTGTATTTTCTCGCTTGGAACCATGAGCTGCCAATTGAATAGAGGCACACCAGAAGAAAAAATATTGAAATTTGCACCTGGTCATAACCATTATGCATATACCTTTGGACGTCATGAAGGGTGGAGCAGTCCAGAAAGATACAAGATGCAGTCCTAGAGAAAGGCTATCCCTGATTGAAATGACAATGGATCACATCCCACAAGGATCTATAGAATCACCTCATTCACTTTCCTACGCACACATATCCGCCTCGATTTTTGTACTCTAGTCATGTCGCTTATTCCGTAGAAGAATCACAGATATCTCACTAAATAGACAGAGGAGGCAGGCTGCAGTAAATGACCATCCGGTGTCGACAGCATCGAACAAGAGCGGTTCAAACACCGCACTGACGCACGACAGGTTATGCGCACGAGGTTATTGATAGCAACGCCAACAGCTGAGTTGTATGGTGTAAATTCAGTGAGCATAGTCATGGTCACATTGGAGAGCATCATTCCAGTGAAGCCATACAAAAAGTTGCCAATCAACGTTAGTTGATGGCTAATGGGTGGGTATATTAATAGATCGATAGAACTTACTGGTACAAGCCAGAATTCATGCTTGTCTGCTGTCCATCCCCACCACAACAGCGCCCCCGGAAAGAGAATCCCCACTAACAAGCAATTCTCACCGAGAGGTCCACGGGACGTAGAATCAGGTTACTATGGTCGTCGAATCACCCCTCTTTCTGTGCAGTCTCTGCTCAAAGTGTCATGACGATTACGATGACACCACAGATATTTAGTTTACTTTTTAGCCTGACGATCTTAACTTTTTCATTGACTTTAAGTTGAAGGACCTTGTGAGACGACACCATAAGGAACAGGCAAGGAACACCACACGGTGTTTCCGATGCATTACAGTATAAGATGCATCAGCAAAGCATACTGCCAAGCCTGGATAAAGGGGTCTTATATTTCCTGCTGCACTTAACAATCTTGTTGCTGCAATTCGGCGATTCGGCGAGCAACTATGATTCTGGGCAGTCCTCGAATCGCAAAACTACCGGTAGAAGTTGCTCGAAAGCTACAGATTCGGAAGCTACAGATTCTACGATGTCTCTACTTTAGAGATGACGAGAAAGCAGTGGAGATCCAGTATAAACTGAAGCGGGAGGAAGGGTTTATGAAGGTCGCTGAAGGGAGGGTGTCCAGTTATCTAGTAACCGCAGCGCAGAGGAATAATTACGGGGTTCTCTTTTTCAGATCTGGAGGGCCCACGTATCAAGAGGCGGCGGATGTTAGAAAACAAGCTGGCTATAAATTCTCTCTCATGGGATTGGAATTTTGGTCCTACTTGGAGCACCGAGGATAAAGTGAATCTTCTTACATCTGTTCTCATAGAACGCCGAGGTCCACTTTGCGGATAAGATTTTTTCGGTTTCAGTGGGGGGTTTTCCCTTGTCTCTTGCTTTCTTCCATTCTTGAGACTCCTTTTGTTTGCTTCTTTGTTTTTATTTTCATTGCAGGCCTTGAACTGGCCTAGAAGTTTGCTAATCAATGACATTGCTGTATCGGAAGTCTGCAATGCAGGGGGCCGCTTGTAAAGAACTCTCCAACTCGAAGTTCCCAGTGAAACCCGGCGTATTGGAATGTTGAATCAGCTGCTACATACTTATCTCGATCTCCCTGATATTTTACCTAGGACATCTGCCAATCTATATTAGCCCATATTAACTTGTTGCTCTAATAGTTCTTAGTCGGTCACTGATATTACTGAGAAGTATGGAGCAAAACATTAACTCCCACCATGCTCCAAGGTGCTCGATTTCATGCTACCTACTGTTCCCGGGAGTTAGGATACTTTCAAGTTGAATTATATGTTGGATAGTTGCGGCCTGAGAGCTGTATATCTGTAGTGGGAGTAAAGAGATTTCTACAATATAGACCATGCCTCACCTTGACTGGTATAAATCATGTCTTCCAATAAATAGATCTATATAGCTCCTGGAATAGGGGGAAAGAAGACAAGAAAAACCCAATCCGACCAAGACCCCTCCTCTCGTTCTATCTCTTTGCTGAGAGCTGCTAAAGAGTTGGACTTTTGGTCTTGATATGCAGGGTATTGGGAGCAACCACTATAAGATAAAGGACTTCGAGACAAGCCACAAGCATCTACTAACTACGCTCAGGATCAGTTACTTTCGGCGGTATTGATACTAGAAAGTTTTATTTCCCTGGAAAAGCGACCTGTTATCCCTATGACAGGACTCCGAATGCTCCTCATCTGTAAGACCTTGACCACTCTGCATACATCCAGTGTATACCATCGCCATCTAATCATATCCTAAATACAGGATAAATCTAGACTGAATGGCCGTCAACACAGGCTACGGCGATCGATTTCGTAGTACTAGAAGAGGCAACAAATGAAGCAATTCAGCCACACATAAATAAAATTATCTAACGAGTGTCTGGTAGAGTATAGTGTAGATACAAATAAAGATATCCACCCTTTTTAGGGCTCCCGAAACCTTTGTGGGAGGTGGATTTACCTGCCTGAGCGTATAGATGTAGTTGGGACCCCCTTAGCAACTTTAGGAGCTGGAGGGCCACCAACTGTAGTATTTTAAGTTGTAGAGGACTTGGAGGCCTTTTTCTTAGTAGTTTTAGTATCTTAGATGTCTTTTTAGAGTTGTTTAGCTGCCTTTTTAGCTATACAATCCTCCTCTTTCTGTTGCTTTTTCTGCTCTGCCTCTAGCAGTTTTAATTCCTTCTTAGCAGCCTTAGTTTTTTTCCTTTCTTCAAGTAAGTGCTGCTTATTTTCCTTTTTTTATTAACAGTGGATCTTTCTCTCCTTTTTAAAAGCCTTAACAAGCTGTATAGCTTCCTCCTCCTTGTTATAAAGCTGGAGAGCTTGCTGGATTTTCTTAGGTAAATAAAAGATTGCACCACCATGTTCAGGTGCTTGTAATTAGAACTGTAATAGCTTCTAACACTGCATTCTCTTTTTCTTATTAGTAAGAGCTGTCTCTAAGCTTTCACAGTGTAGTTTAAGCAAAGTATTTTAAATAGCAAGCTTATAAAAAGTTGCACCCAGCTTCTTAGTATTTTAATTATAGATATTAGCAACCACCTTCTTTAGAAGCCTTTTAATCCTTTTCCAGTTATCTGCTTGCAATACTGAAGCTGCAGAGTTACTTAATAAAGGCCTCTGGCTCTTCTCTTTGCTAAAGCGCTTTAAAACAATTTCTGGATCCCATGGAGCTATCCCAGTAGCTTTTTTATAAAGAATCAATATTCTTCTTTGTTAAGGCCTTCTCCCAGCTCTGCTAGAATAGCCTGAAAAAGTCCCTTTTTGTAATATGGCTTAGGCCTTGGCTGTTATAAAAAAAATCGCTCCAAACTGTTGCTATAGGCTGTTAAAAGTGGTGAAAAGATCCCAACACTTAATAGCTACAGCAAATAAATTAAATAAGGCGGATAGGTTATTAAATAAATCCTATTTACCTTACAGAACTTAATAAAAGTTCTGGTAAGGTATAAGCCATGGCTATCCAGAATTAAAAGCCTTTTAACTCCTTCCAGCTTTCTCCTTTGTCTCCCTGTTAAAAATATCTCGAAGCCATGCGAATCCCACCTTATTATTAGTCTAGCTAGTTAGTGAGGCTCCAAAGAAGCAAGGATATTTAGTTGGATCGAAGTTTTAAAGCCAGGTATTTTATATTTTGTTAGAGGCAGTTTGGTAGATAAGACCTGGGGATAATAAGGTCCTATCTGCACAAATACAAGCAATTAAGGTTATCTATTCACGATTCCTGTCCTGAAGCCGTTGCTGAATGCCATCCTTCTTGAATTACTGCTTGGAGAAGATCCTTTTGGCTTTTAAAAGGATACTAATAAGAAAGCCTTTTTTATCCATGTTATAGATATTCTCCTTCTGGATGTTGTATTTGTTAATTTTCTAGGCTAGCAACTTAAAATATAAAATATATTTAAAGGCTAAATTAGCCTTCTTTTATAAAAAGTCCATACCAGTTGTATAGCGAGAGATAAGGTTCTCCTGGTATCTCTTTATAAAGCGGGTTGCCTAATTCTTTCCTGGTGGCTTTTTTACCATTTCCTCTGCAAAATTCCTTATTATTAAAGCAGAGACATATAAGCCTTTACTAGAAGCCTATTAATCCATCTAACTAGCGATTTTTCTTGTTGGTGGGTGAGAAATTGCTGTTCTTTGTGATGGTCCTTCCTAAAGCCTTGAAGCCCTTTATAATACCTTAACAGGGTTACTCGGTGCACACCATGCTTTTTCGCAAAAAAAGTATAGTTAGGAACTTCTCCTAGCCCTAACAATTTTAAATCTTCTAACGCTGATTCAATTGATCCTATATTAACAGAGTTATCATGGTTTAAACTCTACGAAACGAAAAGTCGGTTTTTACAAAATCAATTGTTAGGCGGTTCCGATCGTTGGGCCGTGAAGTACGGTAACCCTGCACGGCCTTTTTGTGAACGTTTGGAGCGTTCTTATTGGTAGGTATAGGTCAGATTGGCTTAAAATTGTTTCAAGAATGATGGATATATATAGATCACAGCAGAGGGCTTTTCTGCAGAAGAAACCTACAGCGGCGGAATAGGGACCAAAAGGGTCAAGATACTGTACCAGTAGATGCAGGACCATCTACAGTTCAGCGAGGCGTACGAACGCCGCCACTGTGTTCTGGATGTGGCATTCGGGTCACAAAATCGATATATGTTGTAATTAAAATAGTAATTAGATTTTATATAGAGATGCAGATTTTTGGGTACTTTGAACGGCTTCCAATTTATTGATCAGTAGGTACGCATTTAGCTGCAGCCTTGCGATGTGATGATCTTTACTGGATGTGGCTTGATTAGCTTATGGTAAATAGAGCTCAGCTCAGATATCTGCAGATCAGATAATGAATGGTATCTGATCTGTGATTTGTTTAAATTTTGGAGTGATTATCTGGGCAAAACAGATAACTGTGTTATGTGATGTCATGTCAGTGAATTTCGTCGCGTCGCTCTGTTTTCAAAACAACACGGTCCCTATAGTTAACAATCCCTGTACATAATAAACCCAATACAAGATTTATAATCACTGGACACAGAATACATACGATCAAATTATGTGCTTTGTTTACTGATGAGATTGACCTGGATTGGTTTTAGTCGCGTGAGATGAACGCGACCTAGCTGAAAATGTTTAGTCTTATGGATGTGTTCCCTCTATTCATACATACCATCGAGCAGATTATTCCTAGATATCCTGTACCTACATTGCGGATTAAGTTCTGAAAATTCTAGCTCTGTATTCTTACCATCAATTTCTCAAGAAGGGACTGATGTCTAATCTTTAGACTAAGCCTCTTAACACTATATTACGGCATCTAGTCCTATTTCTACTTACAATGTAGGAAATTCCTCCAAGCGCAATGCCTGGCTTTGGGCTTATTTTACTGTGACGATTCTGGACAAAGCCTACATAGACAGAAGCACGAAAAGGGTCAAGCAAGGACACTTAATACGCTGTCGACACTGTAGCTTCAAAACAACAGACAGTGCCTGGTATAATTTAACAGGAAATCTTTCCCGGAACCTATGAAACCAGCACCGGATTTCACAGGACAAACAAGAGCCCACGCCTCAGGGTCAGCTACAAACGTGGATCGAGAGAGCCTCACTATTAGATGCCCAAGAGCCTCGGCTATTAATGGAGTAATATCCTATCCGTTGGGTGGTGGTCACCATGCAACCATTTACTATGGTTGAAAGTCTGGCCTTTCGTGATCTGTTTTATAGTATTTCTGGAATTCCCCAGTCGATCGGCCCTGCGACAAACTTAAAGCGCCATGTGGCTTCGCAATTCGAATCCGAGCGAACACAACTAAACGAATTGCTGTAAAGTTAATGTGATGCTATCGCTCTGTCTTTAGATACATGGACCAGCACCAACCACCTCCTGATTCTGGCGATTTTTGGCCATCGGCTTGCACCTGATTTTGCTTACTAGGAGTATATACTCGAGTTTTGTGAGCTTTATAATATGGCCCTATACAAGACCTCCATATATTACTAGCTAAACGAATCAGCTCCTGTTCGAAGTCGTGACCAGGAGCCCAGTAGAGGCTATATTCAGGATTAAGGGTGCTATTGTTGTAGATCAGAGGTGTTGCGGATTCAGGGAAAGATATTATTTGATCTGCCCAAAAGAAGATGGAAATGGTGGTGTGGGATACCTAGTTAGACGCGAATCCCGACGCGTCCGTGAAAATTCTGACAAGCAGCTATATTAAACAAGGACAAATAGCCAAGATGCTGTGTTCCCATCTTGTCTTACTACAATTAATAAACTAAAGAAGTCTGCTGGTCTCTTGTCTATGCGGTGACTAGATTTGTTCTGTGGTTTATCCCGTTGCTAATAGTCGAGTGACGAATTTTAACCGATGCGCTTTTACCTCCACCCAACCATACCAGCAACGATAAAGAATAGCTAAGACTTGCCTGGTTGCCTTATCTCACTAGAAACAACTTAATGGTCACCACTATAATCGTTAATGGGAGATGACTAGACCTCCGCTGTCCCGGTCTATCACGACATCTACACTAGAGCCAACCTGTTCTCCAACATTGCTTCCCGGCTGTCTGCTTCCTGCCTCGTGGTTCTAAGGCTATATATACAATTGTTTCGACAAAAGAGATACTTTAATGCCTGTCTCTCCATGTGTTTAGCTGCTATCTGTGGTTCTAATAGTGCTATCACAATTAATATAACAAAGGGTTTTTCCGGTGTGGTCTTTATATTTCCACTTAACTACTCGCAGTTGTTTCCAGTGGAACATAACAATCGATACAACAAAATACTCCTGGTGTGGTCTCCAACGTGGCTCTGTCTAAATATATTGCTCGTGGTCTTGAATAACCTACATCTCAACTAGTCGCTATAACGTGTCTTATTTTAATAGCTATTACGAATTCCTCCCTAGGGATGGGGCGAAAAGGTTTGTTGGAAATATCTCTCTAAGGCTTTTCTACGTTTCCTTATTTTGTGTTTTGGCTTGGTTTTGCTCTGTTTCTCTTTGTTTTTTTCAAGGGAATTGTGAAAGCCGCGGTCCAGAAGGGCCGCATAGCATAACACCAAGGCAAAAGGGCCACCACAGGCCTTGGGAGGCTCAAAGTTCGCGTTAAGTAATAGACTCCTGTAACTAGATACAAACAGAGATAGCTGTAGTTAGTTTACCTGTATATCGCCGAAGGCGAGGGGCCAGTGTATAGTGGCAGTAGTAGTAGTAGTAGTAGTAGTTGGATAACATACATAAACATAGACAACAATCAAGTTTAGTCCATATTTGGATTTATTATTAACTTCTGGCCGCTTACCTTGCCATCTCTCAGGAGATCCCATGCCATTTGCACCTTTGACAGGCCACCTAGAGTCTGCACTGGAAAAAGGCTAATCTTGCCATTAACCAAACCATTTTCTATAAGATCCCACCAGACCCACTTGGTAAACTCTTGGTTATCGGGATTCAAGTAGTCGTCAATAAATTGAGCGAAGAATCCACTAACTCCAGGGGGTAGCTTAACCCCTTCTCTAACCCCCATTGTCGTTAAGAAGCGACCACCTCCAAGGCCGGCTAGCACACGACCAATTATCACTTGATCAGGGGCAGAATCTTGCGCTGCAAGGACTGCATCAAATGGGCCAAGGGAGATAAGATCTTGAACCACAGACGGTGAGTTTCGATTAATAAAATAGGTAGCACCTAGCCCCTCAACCAAATTTGCATTGTGAGGGGATGCAACGCCTATAACTGTATAGCCGGCCCAAGCAGCCAGCTGCACCGCATAAGCACCGAATGTTGACGATGCTCCCCAAATTAGGACCTTTTTATATTTATTATTTGGATTTGGGTCCGCGGACGGGCGATCGAGGCCCAGGTGGAATACAAGTGCGCTCACTGAACCATACAGGTTCGATATTCCAGCTGCCTTTTCAAACGAGACGTCTCCGATCTAATATACATTTAGTGTGCTGTTCTATGCAAAAACAAAAAAAAAAAAAAAAATTCGCGGCAGTACACACCTTCGCTGTTAGATCCTGTGTAGTCAAGGCGTACCTTTGATAGGCTCCGAATCGCGGATCGTTCCGCACAGTACTCGCACCAGTTGTCACAATCCGGTCGCCTACCTTGAATCTTGTCACTCCGAGACCTACTTTGTTGACAATGCCGGCAAAGGTCACTGTTTCCCAGTATTAACCTCCGTAACAGATAATATATTAAGGTAAATATTTTGTAAGGTTTATCGCATACCCCCAGGTATAGCCGGATATTTCAGTGGGAAACGTAAAACTCCATCCTGGATCTTGAACTCCGCGGGCTGAACCGCGATCGCCTTTGTCTGCCATAGAATTAACTGGTCAGCACCTAGGCAGAATAGCATTGTTTGTAACTGACCTCAATAAGAAGCTCGTTCTCACCTGGTTCGTGCATGTCAGCCGGTGCTACTTCTATCTCTCTTCCAATCCCTGGCAGCCAGGCTGCAAGGTTTGCTACTGGAGACATATTGTTAGTCAGACTGTGAATAAAAATTTACACACAGTGTATGCAACAAAGTCATTTGTTAACAGAATTCTCCAGGCTTATATACTTCACCACACCACACCATTTTGAGTGATGACATTATCATTAGTAATCGACTAGTTAGGTTAACTACGGGCCGAATCATGTGATTTAGAAACTTTTGCCCTGTGCCTCAGGCAAAGTTAATGTGTCTGACGATGTTCGCGAGGCACAATTCTCTTCAATTCAAGGGGCTCAGGCGACTTAACGTAGTCGGACACCGAATGGCCCAAGACACCGAATGGCCCGCTTTCTCACCGCCCCCCCCCCTAAAAACTTCAACATCTCAATTTTTCTAGTCATTTGATCAATATTATAAAAATTTCAAAATGAGTGCCATTTCTAAAGATAAAAGGATGCAAATGGCTATTAACGCATGGAATAATGGCCAATTTCAATCAAAAACTGCCTGTGCTAAGGCATTTGATGTGCCTAGAAGAACTCTCTGCCATCGACTTAATGGAATAACTTCCCGCAAGGAAATGCTTGCTAATAGTCGAAAATTATCTAATCTTGAAGAAGAGACATTAAAAAGATGGATTATTGATATGTACAAGCGTGGTTTACCACTGCAGATCTCCCAAGTTTAATATCTTGCAGGACTTTTAATATCTGCACGTCAAAAAGCTTCGTTGTCATCCCAGACCTCTTCCTCAAACCTAGTTAGTGATAAATGGGTTAGTCGATTTATTGCACGCCATGATGATATTAAATCAAGGTATAATCGTTAATACGACTACCAGCGGGCGAAGTGTGAAGATCCGCAGGTTATTAGGGCTGGTTTAATTGGTTCAAAACACTATTCAAAAATATGGTATTTTAAACAAGATATCTACAATATGGATGAAACTGGCTTCCAAATGGGTGTGACATCAACAGCTAAGGTTGTCTGCGGTACGGAAACACGACAAATCTGATGCTAGATTAATTCAACCAGGTAACAGAGAATGGGTTACATCAATTGTGACTGTTGGAGGAAGGGCTGGGTTTTACCCCCCCAGATTATTTTTTCTGGAAAAAAACATCAATCTCAGTGGTATTCTGTTCTACCTAAAGATTATCGATTAAGTCTTAGCGAGAATGGCTGGACTAATAATAATCTGGGACTAGAATGCTACAAGAAGTCTTCACAAGCATACAAAATCCCGCATGTTGGTCAATATCGATTGCTTATTTTAGATGGCCACGGGAGCCATGCAACTGCTGAATTTGATCGATATTGCATGGAGCATTAATTATTCCACTTTATATGCCTCCTCATTCATCTCACCTTCTTCAACCGCTTGATGTTAGCTGTTTTGCACCTTTAAAGCGCTTTTATGGGCAAAAAGTGCAAGAAATGATGAATAGTGGTATAAAAACTATTAATAAGGTAGATTTTCTATCTATCTATTCATCGGTTCACTCAAAAGCAATGTCATTAGCAAATATATTAAGTGGATTCAAAGCTACTGGCCTTATTCCTCTTAATTCTTCAACTATGATGTACAAAGACTAAAAATCAAGTTGAAAACACCAACTCCGCCATCTTCTTCAGGCAGCAACCAATCATTTTACTTGGGGAAAACACCTTATAATCTTTATCAGTTAAATCGACAAAAAAGCAACTTCTTGAGATTCAAAACCAAGGTCTTTTTCCATCAATTGCTGATACTTTGCTCGATAAAGCTATGAAAGGCAATGAGATTTCTATGCAGCAAATAGCGTATTAAGGGATGAACTCCATCGACGTCAGGCAGGTGATAAATACCAGAAGGACAAGAAAGAGGTGCCTAGGCAGTTTATTCAAGATGCAGGCAGTCTAACCACTGATAAAGTACTACAAATAATACAGGAAAGGGAGGAGGCAATTCAGGCAGAGGCTCAAGCACCAAGGCGACGGAGGCCCCCTACCTGTAGTAATTGCAATATTCAGGGCCATAATCGATTAAAATGCCCTACTAGATAGTACTACGCTCATTATTTATAATATATTTTATTTGTATAGCAATAAAGACTTCAAATATTATCCAAATGGTGGGAGGAGGCGGGGCGGTGAGAAATCGGGCCATTCGGTGTCTTGGGCCATTCGGTGTCCGACTACGTTACTATCTAGATGGGTGACTAAGTGAGGCCACGTGACCATATCGAATATGGTAGGTCCCTAACAACCCCGCCTTGGCCGAGTGGCTCACCAGCGCTATTACATACAAAATCGCGTGTAAAGCAAAATGCCAAATGCCAAAACATAAGCTAAAGCTATATTATCGAGAAAAGCCGTGAATCCTTCAGATCGAATCAATTTAGTGAGGCCGTCCGCAGCGTTTTCCCTACTAGGTCATAGCCGGATGTTAATAATGCGGTCCGCCGCGAGCTCGCGTGTATAGTGATACCGAATATCAATATGCTTAGAGCGCTTGGTGGTGACTGTTGAACTGGTAAGATCCTTACAGCCTTTATTATCAACGTGGAATGCAATGGGGTCTAAAGGCGCAGAGTAGATCTTCATCTCATTAAGTAGGCGACGTAGCCACTAAGTCTCCCGAGCTGCGTCCGATGCAGCCATATATTCTGCCTCATTGGATAGTAAGGTAAAAATGTTTACTTGGCAGATCGCCACGATATCGGAGCACCGGCTAAAAGCACGATATAGCCTGATACTGACTGACGATTATGATGAGGACCACTCCAATCTGAATCGGTATAAACTAGTGGTTGCGGTAGGGGTCCATTTGACATGCGAAAGGTGATACCCCGCGTACGAGATCCTTTCAAATATCGAATTAAGTGCTTGGCCGCTCCGAATGCCTTTCTGGTAGGGGCCTTGTTAAATTGCGCTAGCAAGCTCGCGATACGCACAATATCTGGACGGGTTCTTAAGGCAAGCTATTAAAAACTACGCGTAAGTCGATTATATTCCTCGTTAATAGTGGGCTCGGCGTCATCATCGAGCACTAAACCTGGATCTGCAGGCAAAGAGACTGGATGGGCATCTGCGAACCCTGCCGAAGCAACGAGATTATCAATATATGAGGACTGCATAAGCTTAATCTAACCATCAGATTGAGTCATCTCCATGCCGAGGAAATGCTTGAGATTAGCTGTCTTTTTAATCGCGAATTTTTGTTGCATTGCGTTCAGCAGCCATTCAGCATCTGCTTTAAGCGCTTCAATAATTGCAAAATCATCTACATGAGCAGTCACATATAGATTCTTGCGAGATTGGTGAATCCATAGGCCTGGGTTACAGTCGCTTGTTTTGAAGTCCAAAGCTTCAAGATTATTGCGAAGACGGTCGTACCAGATACATGCAGAAGGCGCAACACCGTACAAAGCGCTATTTAGCTTGCAAACCATGGTGTCAGGATCACCTTTTTAGAAGCCGTTGGTTGGCGCATATATATCGGTATAGTAACTTTACTATTAAGAAATGCCTGCACCGCGTCCGCCTGAGTGATATACCAACCGCGATAAGCTACAACCGCGAATAAGATATTTATCGTCTGGGGATAAACCACTGGCGAATATGTCTCCCTATAGTAAGGATCTTGCTTGACCAAGTTACCACGTATAACCCAACGTGCCTTGTATTTGAAGGTGCCGTCATTAATGTCTTTAATGTTAAAAACCCAACGACCAGGGATAGGCTTCAAGCCTTTAGGCATAGATTGCTAATCAAGTCCAATGCCTTAATCTCTTCTAAACGGGAAGCTTCAAGCTCGCAGGCAGCTAAACATTTATCTTATCAACTGATTTCATTGCTTCCTGCCAAGTATTCGGAATCAGGGGCCGATTTGCCTCAGCAGTGGAGGTAGGGGTAAATCCTGCAAATGGATCAAAATTTTTAGCAGGTCGAACCCAGTCAGATTGTTCGTTATCCTCCGCGGGAGAGTCCCCCATGAGATGCAGCGCTTCTTGCGCGAGATGTTCAGGGTTAGGATTAGGAGGTACGGTAGAATTAAGCGCATGCAGCTTTTGCATAGGCTGATCGCGTGGAGCCTGTTCACGCTCCTGTTCATTAAACGAGACATGGCCAGTTCGGATAACCTTATTTGTTTCTTTGACGTAGATCTTATGATAGGTCGAAGAATCGCTGCCGATGTAGACGCCTGGAGCGCCGCGGCCAACAATCTTGTTAAAATCTTGATGTCCTGGGTCGTTATAATACCAAACACGACAACCAAAGGGATGAATATGAGCAATCTGCGGATGCTCGTTAAAAATTGCGGAATGCGGTATAACATGTTGCGAGGGTTGAATATCGGGATTGGTAGACACCCCCCTGGAACTGAGAAATCCGCGTACAGCGTAGTAGACGTAGGGACGTTATTCGTGATATAGACTGCGTGTTGCGTGGCGTCCTGCCAGAGCTGATATGACAATCCAGAATCATGCTCGGAAGGGGTTTTTTACTATCATCTGGTTCAATACCCAGAATACATCTGTCTTCCCAGGCCCCAGTCGAGTGGTGTATAAACTACTGGTAAGGCATAAAATTGATGACTCCTTTTGATTCCATAGAACAGTTGACGTACATAGTGTCTATTTCAGGATCACGTGTAGTAGATGAAAGGTAGTCAATAATGGCATACAATTTCGGTTGATAGAAGAGTTACGGCTGCACCGCTGCCTAGTACAACAGACAGTGCTTGTTCCTTGTAACGTCGATCTCTGAAAAGATGGTCATGGCGGTAAGTTCTTTTTTATCTTAAGTAATTATATGGAGATTTAATATTATAATAGAAATACTTTTATTTACTACGGCAAGAAGACTTTTTTCAAGAGATTCTGTTGCTGATCAGATTGCTTTGTTTGCAATCTACATCATCTGTCATTGTCTGATTCTAGGCTGGCCGTTGGGAGCGATTCGGGATCGCGGGGGGAGTCTGGTCCCGTCCCATATTCCCCATAAGATCCTGGGGGTGGTCCCGAATCCCGTCCCACTTCCTAATAGGATATAGTCTAAAAATTTATATAGTATAAAAATAAGAAATATTACTATGTAAAGTAACACAAAGTAGTCATTTATCACATGATTAAAATAAGGGAAATTCCCATGGGAAAATCCCATGATTCCCATTCCCTTCCCATCTATAAGTTCGGTCCTGTTTCCCGTCCCATTCCCGAATAGAAATTAGAGGGAATCTTGATCTAGGGAATAGGATATTCCCTAAAATCCCTAATTCCCATAAATTTCTTGAAATTGGTCCCGTTCCCGTCCAGGTCCCATTCGGGAGGGAAATTCCAAGGGAAAATCCCCTCCCAACGGCCAGCCTATCTACATGCCAATACGAATTCAAATTACTTCCTTTGTACGAACGTGGTGTAGTGGAGGAATTCGGGGGATTGGCACGTGACATTTGTATAGCTAGCTATTATCTTAAGTCCTTGTTCAAAGAGGTAATAGACAATCAACAACCTTCTCACAGACCACGGGACGCAGTTGCGTAGAAGGAATGTTGTCTTCTCTTTGGTTGCCAGGAAGTTGTGGGCCCCGAGCCCACAACTTCTGAACTGTCTAAGAGTGTCTCCTTGACCTACTCTTTCGGAGTTCTACCATTTCCCTCTCATTCAGTGGAATAATTATTTAATCCGGAAACAGAGACTTCGTCCGCATCTAGTTCATGGAAAGCCATTTATAAACTATAACTACGCCGCAGATGGTATTCAGAATTTTAGACTAGAGTTTAATCAGGATCTTTTACAAACTTTACTGGAGGAAGTAATAGAATGGGGTAAGTAATTTAAACAGTTTTAATTATATATAATTTTATACTAATTTACTTTATAAAATAGATCCAGATAAATACCTTCCTCCAGTTAATTATTATTGGACTGCGTTACAACTCAAAGATCTGGGTTTTAATCCCAAGAATCCTCTAGAAAATTTAGGTGAGGATGTCTTTGCTCCTTATTATACAATTTATCTAAAGTTACGAGCAAGGACTGTAGCCTATATTTAACAAGGACCTAAGTCTCTTCCTAGCTTATCAACACGACCAACAGGGGCTTTTGATTGGCAACCTAGACTAGAAATTCAAGAGCTTGAGGTTATATATAATTATTATAGGGATAGTTTATTAAATTAGTATTATACAAAGAAACTTTTACTCACTGCTCCTTTGTCTACCCCTCTCAGCCTTCCCTAATGTGCTATAAGTATCCCAATACTCTCGTACAATCCCAAAAAGAAAAAAAAAATAAAGCTAAAAAAACCAGTAGCTTTTTTCTATAGCTGCTCCTAATTGGACTCCCTTTTGCCCTTTAACTGGTCAACGTCATAAGGCCGTATCTTGTGGTTCCTGTTTAGCAACAAGGCTCAGTTCTTCTATTACTTCTACCTCTGTACAAGATATAGAAGTAATTAATATTTCTGATTTATCTCCCCATCCGCAGCGTGCAACCACTGTCTTCGCTACTACCCAAAATACCCACGATTCTCCCATTATAATCGTAAACAGGGTGCTGAGCGACTTCGTCAATCTGCTATGGTTCGTACAAAGAAGGGCAATGAATCTTCTACATCCTCAGGCTCATTAAAATATAATATATAAACTAATCGCTAAACGGAGTTTTCGGTCCTGGAGGCAAACTTTCTCAAGAGCGCTTATGTCGTCCATGAATTGTGAGAATTTGAATATCTACTTGGTGAAATCCCAGGATTGCGAGTCTCATCCTGTGTCTGTTGATCGGAATAGTGCCTCTATTGAATCACTGGTAGGTAAGTGTGGAGAGATGCGGTTTCTGTTATTACTCTCCTGGATTCAGTCTTTACTGAATCTAATGTAACATTTCTATGGCATGCATAATCAATATCCGATTCGGGTACAATGGCAAATAAGTCACAGAATTCCAAGTACTATATGAATTATTTAATTATATATCTTTGATCTTGTACATACACCAGGAATAAACCCAAGTGTTCTTTAACCGGGTAAAAAAGAGCGGTACTAAGACAGTGTCCTCCCATGCAAACAGGTCTGGGACGCGTTGTAATCAATCCAGTTCACAATTGTTCGGGCATTGTAGATGAATTTGGATATAAGTGTAGGATTTAGTGACAGGCGATTTATTTTTTATTTTATTTTTTTATTTTTTTGCCAGGGGCACAAAAGCCCGCGGCGCACACTATTGGGAATGATTCATGGTTTGCATCCCACATCATGTTGCATGCATGATCTTTGGTACAAAAAGAGGCTAGGGTATTCTCTAAATGTATAATGAATAGGGTAGGAATATGGCGATAGGCCTTGATCATGCAATTCTGGAGGATTGACCACCATGGCATGACATGGCATGACACTAACTGTTCACACGATCAACGGCGGCTGCGCCAAGGAGCCTAAGTTTCATCAATCACGTTCACCCCGCATGGAGTCAGCCATGATCCATCGTCAGAGTCCGAACCTTTGGAAGAAAAGGGCAACTCTGCGTTCCATGGACGGAATGTGGGGGAGGCGATTTATTGTTTCCCTTGCATAGAGTCGACGCTCTCATGATGGTAATGGTTACTATATAAGCGCTAATCGGCCAAGTCGACCAGATTCAAATTCGTACTTTAGAGTTATTGCAGGATTGGCACCAGCCAATACTAACCAACCCCGCCCGGGGGTTCAACCGCTTTGGTTATGTCATTCATTCATTGATCATTCATATTGAAAGTCGATCATCCTCGGCGGAGTGGCGCAGCTCAGCTCCTCAAACACTGTTTCTCACTCATCAGCTCCTTGCTCCCGGCCACTGTCCCTCCCCTCCCCAGTGGTCGTGAGGAAATGGGGTTGACAGTGGACAAAAGAGACCTCACCAACCACAATCATATGGCCATTGTCCTAGGCATTGGACTAGGTGTGGTCTCCTTGATTATTATGTGTTTGCTGTACACTATTCCCTTTATCATCGCGCCGTTCCTGGAGCTGAAAATAGGAGAACTGACGCTGCATCCCATAGCTTGACAATCTTCGTCAATCGCCGAGAGCGCCGTCCCGTTAAATCCAAGAGCAATTCGAGCGACAAGTTGCGCAAGTTGGATGCCGTCTCGCCCACGCGCACCCTCGAAGAATGGTGGTCCAAGGCTAAGGGGCCTCTGTCACCCTCCGATTGTGTCGATGGTCAGTTTGTCTGGTAGGTGCCAGTCGACCGGTCGGATGCCTGTCATCAATCATCCCAAGTTAATTGTGATTGCGGAACAGCGTCGTCTGCCTTGAGTCCGTGCTACGTTCCCAAGAGATCCGCGAACTCAAATGTCTGCATGTTTTCCATAAGGAATGCCTGGAGAAGTGGTACTTGCAGGACCACTTTAACTGCCCTCTCTGTTACCGGGCTTATTACATCCAAGAAGCGCGTCCCAGTAATGACTTTGTATGGATGGTATGAGGATACGACCTGATGGTTTTTTTGCTTTGGAGCGTGATGGCGTTCTCTTCCCCCCTCTCTTTTTCCTTCGTTTTTCTCTTTTTTATTTATTATTATTTTTTTCGGGTCTCTTTGCTTTTTGGCGTTTCTTCATTGGTTCAGCCTTCAAACAACCTATGATTACCTTTTTCAGCTCAATACTCCCTCTCAGAGGTTCTTCCTTGATGTCTTGTCAATGCCTGTATGCATTCGCCTGCATGATCGATCACGAATTACCCTATACCCCAATCTAATCTTTCAAAACACGAATCCATCAGCCGGTGGCAGATATTCCGAATTAAAGTCCCAGTTGCTGGGGTTATAAAAGTCCAAGAAATTGGACAGACCGGACGTGACATCATTGAGGATCTCCTGCTGGATTGGCTGTGGGTCAAGAATTTGATCGAGGATGTGCGAAAGCTTCTTTTCGGCCTCCTTGCACGTTTGATAATTGCCATGGCTCGGACGGGACACCCAGGAGAGGCAGGATACGAAGACGCTGAGGTTCCGGATGAGTTCGGCGCGCGGCAAGATGATAGACCTAAGTCCCGCATCTTGGGCCTGGTGCAGGAGCTCGAGCATGAGGACACTGGCACTGGGGAGTCCGTAATACAGGATCTATGCGCTGTCAATATCTGCACGGGTACGGGTGGGTGGAATCCAAGGAGCATACCAGCCAGGAATAATGTATACTTAAGTCCAGCACGGAGTCTCGCTCGGCAGTGACAGTAATCAGAATAGATAGCACCCGTCGGGACGTCTCGAGGAGCGCCTCCTGGCCCGTATTTGTACGCTTCACGAGCGTCCTCTGCAGGAGGAATATCGTATACTGGTAGTCTAGATACATGTGTAGGATGGTGAAGGAGGTGGAGAACGGCTCCACTGATTCCTTCGTGCGGACGTCAAACCGTAAGTACGCAGGAGCTGCTTCCCACGTTACGCGCGCTTTCTCAATAATGTGGCTATGTGGTTTTCAGCACTCTTTCTTCGTTAATTGTAGGCCAGTAGTCCGACTTACCTTGACCTTTGCTCAAGGTCCCAATGATCGCAGGTTCCCAGGGCGATCTCAAGAGCCTGCTCTCGAAACACCGCCAACAGAAAACGTAGTCGAATCACCGAAACCCTGTAGACCTTGTCTTGCTCGCCCCATCCAGCCATGTCTAGCTCCGATATGGCACGGTTGAGCTTTTCTCCGCCAGCTATGAGTGTCTCCTCTCTCAAATCCAACGGAGGGGTCAGGGTGCAATATCGGTAGTTGATGAACGGAGGTCTGCCCACGAAGGTAGCAACACATTTATCTACATAGAATGCCGCCACGAAGAAGATTCTTCTCCATTGGCGAAGAAAGAACGGGCAGTCATCGGCCTGCTCACTCTCTTGATGGGCCCCAAGAGCGTAAACCGTTGCCGATAGATCTCCCAGGCGACGCCAGCCCTGAAAGCCTTAAAATTGGCGAATAGTCAGCAAAAAAAAAATACAATGTAACATCAACGGAGCAAGTTTTATTGGGCCCTTACTGGAGTCGCCGTACTGCTGAGTTCTCAGCATCACATCGTTATATTGACAAAACCCCAATAATTCATTAACGGAGGCGGCCTGGTCGCAGAAACCCAAACAGGTGTCGCTCGCTTCCACAATTTGAACCCGTAATCGATCTTTGGCTTGGCTATCACCTGCTACCTGGACAAGATCCGGATCATTGTCAGGAGTGGACATCGATGCTATACCGGAAGTCACAAAAACCACTATGACAGCCTCCCACCGGAGATTCTTCCCGGTGAACGAGGCGCAGTAATCTTCGACTGTCATCGTGCCATGAACAGCCATGGGACGCGATGAATTCTGAAATATCTGGAGGGCAAGATCCTGGAACTGGCTATCGATATCACCGCTGAAATCCAGGCTATTCAGAGTGCTTCGGATAGACTGCAAGATGGCCTCGATCACGACAGACGGTATCACCACGCACAAGGTTCGGGAGTAATATTTCCGGATCAATGAATCACAAATTGTGAGTCTATGCAGAAGTTTGAGCATCTCCAGACCCGACTGAAGACGAGCCGGGTCCAAGAGCCGGGTCGAAGACCCAGAGGTGACGCTACTCTCTACCTCAAAAGACAATTCGCTCGGGTGCTCCGCGAGAACGGCGGAATAACTGGTCGACCCCAGGTATCCAGGGATCGTCGACGGCAACTCCATAGTTGCACGGAGTCGAGTGCTATCGATGGCCGATCCCGGGCTCGAGGCACTACTTGCAGTTAGCATGGATTCTGGGTTCCAGTGAGTCACAGAATCGGGACGCACTCACTTCGAGCTGTGCTGGCTAGTCAACCTCCCGGTTGCCTGAACAAGACTTGCACTGGTCGAGACTGTTCGCTTCGTCATTGGGGCAGGGTGGTAGAAGCATCGAGGTTCGATATTCTTCGTTTTACATCGCCCGCAGACTGGTCTCCCGTGATCGCATCGCAATTTAGATCTACGACACGGCTCACAGGACTGAAGAGCGCCATTTCGACGCAGCACAGGGGGTTTGGAATATAGCTCGGCCATTTTGGATATACAAAATAGCCCAAGAGTCAATGATCTGCAAGCCTGAAGGGAATGGAGAGTTCGTGAAGATCGATTGCCTCTTATCGCCGCCCTTTTTGCCGGACAAGTCCTAACTCAACACGGTTAGTCACCAGCAACCAGTCCACACGCACGCAATACAAGAATGCCATCACTGGTATTTAGAAGTGCATTATTTTCACCATTATGATGTTTTTTAATGCAGAGAGTTGCATATTACAAATTGAAGTGACTATTCACTTCGTAAGTATTATCTCCACGGCCGGGTTAAGCTTTTACCAGGTAATGCGCATGGATTGCTGCGGAACAGAGAACACATGGATGATACTATCCTCATTAGAAATAAGGTACAGTGAATTGAAAGATGGAACTATATTACCGAGACTAATCCTCGATCGACCCACTATGGTCATCTCCTGGTTTACATCATGCGACTACCCAAAAGAACATCCCTATACGCCTCGCTTCCGATCCACCTGGAGAGCCTCGCCGTAATGGCTAATACAATATCCATTTTCCTCCAAGTATGCCTTGAATTGAGCATCTTCAGTTTCTAGTTCTCGAGACATATCTGGGATTAAAAACCACGCAATCAGCCCGCCCACCAGAGTAAACGCAGACCCGATGAGAAACGCGGCCTGTTGACCCTGTGGTGTCGATTCGAATGAATCCTGAATGGGGGTAAACACTTCGGTGCCAATTGAGGCGCCTGCTTTGCCCACGGCTGCTGCGAATCCTAGGAAGTGGCCACGTAGGGGTGTAGGGAAGGACTCGGCGGCACAGAGGAATGTCGAGACACCAGGACCCATCTCGCCCAGTGCCATAAAGATGCCGTACATCACGACGAACAGTGGGAATACCTTCTGAATTGGGTGAAGTGCGCCGCCTAGTATAAAGCCCCAGATTGCCCAGAGCATGAATCCAAGTGTCATGTTCTGCTTACGACCGATCTTGTCCATGAGCCACCCACCCAAGAGACAACCAGGGAGGTAGAAGCAATTGACAACTGTCTGAATCTCCTTTAGTTTCCTCAGGAATGGTTAAGGGTTAAGGTCACCGTACCCCGTAGCCAATGTTTTGAACAGTTGAGTTATCGGTCATTAGCTGTGAAATGATTGTCGATGAGAAGATTCCGAATGGGTAGGAGACAAAATCATAACAAAACCAAGCAAGGGCTAAGAAGTCAGCAAAGTGCGATATCCAAATCCAAATCCATCCACCTACAGGTTCCCAACATTGGCTTCCAATATCGCTTGAGAATGAGCCAGTACGGATATTGAGACTTAATCGCATGTTTCCGGTACTGTGTCGAATTTATCATGCGGAGGCGAAAGAAACAAATGAGTAGAGGAAGCTGTGAGATGCAGATCAGAAGTCATTTCCTCAGCGCTCATATGGCATAGAAGCGTACCACGAAACCAATTCCAAAAGATACTCGCCATACTCCTCCACGAGCGTCCTGATGATAGCAAGCAAGGACAATCAAAGCTACAATTCCAGCAAAGATGAAACCCTAGCAAGTAGAGTGAGTAAGTCCCTCGCCTAAGCAGTTGCGATCACCCATACATACCAGGTCCACAGCAAAATCTGTCGTCAGTGCCACCAGAAAGCCTCTTTTTCTTCGGAGACGAGCCGTCTCATCTGCTGCTTCTGTTGCGCTTGTAGCACAGACGGGATACTCGCCACCAGCTCCAAACCCTGCAACGCCACGAGCGACAATCATCATCCAAAACATGCTGCCACACAAATGAGCACCATTGATATCAATCATCCTAGCAACGCAAGTACTCACCCAAGCTCTGAAGTTCCATGCGCTGCTGCTGCCAAGGCGATGCCTAGCACCAGGAACAGGGTCGCTGCTACGACACCGGTTCTCCGGCCCAGCCGATCAATAAGGGCTCCGAAGAAAAGCATCCCGAAAACCTCGCCGATCAGAAAAGAATTTGACAATCGAGATTTGATCGTCGAGGACATTGTGCTTTTGTACCTGTGAGTACCAAGGGGGTCAGCGGAAGATTTCTTGGCTGCAAAGCTTGTCTGACTGCACGGACAATACGGCGAATAGGGGTTCCATATAGCCAACTGGATGAGAGGCCAAACTGTTAGCTGCCTTATATTCTGGGTAGAGCTTGGACGACTTTTTCAGACATACTAATTTGCGCATTGTAACCATCACTGAAGAGAGCCACTCCCGAAATCACAACGTTCAACGCGCTCGAACTTTTGTTTGCCTGGTCTTCATGACGATCATTGCCGCGCGCTTCATCGCAGTCTTTCTGGGGCTGGTTTTGAGAATTCACGGTAATCTTTGCATCCTTGATCATGAAGGAGTCTGTTGGAAAAGCCATCGTTAGAGTTGCCAACGCAAGACCAGTGATACCAACTATTGGGCGGTATAAATTCCTCACCGACCATATACAGTGCAAATGGAATATTATCTGCTATATAACTAGCAATCCATCAGATCCTCTCCTCACACTGGTAGTACTCTTTCGTATAGACAGCTTGCGTTGGACCCAGCAACGTAGTACCCAGCACTGTCCAATCGCGGCCACTCTGTCTTGCACGAGGAGATCGAATGAATTCGCCGACATGCTGTCGTTCACAGAAAATGATCCACATTCGATGCATAGAAAAATGTGTGTAATCGAAAGTATAACATTGTATAGGCCCTCCCAGGCGCAGAAGGTCGGAGGAACATGCCTCGTTTAGTGAAGCACATGGGCCGCAGCGGGCGCTATAACTGGCCAAGGTATCCCCCACCTGCAAACGACATGCGGATATCTTCATTTGACTAGTTTCAGACGTTTCCACGATAACGTAACATTCCCCGCTTTGCAGTTCTTTCCTAATATCGCAAGTTAAGGAGGGGAGATGCAGGGATGTGGAAGGGTCATAACGCCAATGGATATATGAGCTCGCTGATCCCATTCTCTCTGCGGGAATAAGGCGTGTGCGTCGGTTCTCTTTCTTTCTGGCTCAAATACTAGTTATCCACGTTTTAATTAGCAGCATCATGGAGAACAACCATTATGCTCTGACGGAAGGCCAGGTGCAGTCTTACCACGAGAAGGGATACTTACTGATCAGGAACTTCCTCAACCCTCTCGAAACGGAGCGGCTCCAGCAATGGACGCAGGAGGTATATGACCTGCCCCGGACGCCTGATGCAGCATACATGCCTTACGAGGTAAGATCTTCCATCCATCCAAGTAAAACTGCAGTGTGATAGCAGCAACTAAAGAGAAAACCAGGAGGTAAACTCCCAGGGCAAGCGCGTTCTGTGTCGCACAGAGAACTACGTCAACAGCCATGTAGGGTTCAACAGCTTTCTTCGTGGCGAGCGAATCCTAAGCGTCTTGGGTCAACTGGCTTCGGAGGAGATGCTGTTGTTCAAAGAGAAGATCAACTACAAGCTTGCAGGCAGTGGTAGGCTCCTTCGCGTATACACATTTCTGAAAAATCCTCCATCAAAGCTGACCACTCCTTCCAGGTGGCTTCTCCCCTCACATTGATGCCAATGCGTATACCCACGTCAAGAATATCAAGCATTTAACAGTACTTGCTGCAGTCGATGACATGAATTCAGAGAATGGCGGACTAGACGTGGTGGACGGTAGCCATCTACTGCAGATTCCTTTAGGAGATGATCGCTGTATTGAATCCACGTGGGTTGACAGCCATAAGTGGAGTGCGTGCGATTTGAAACCAGGTTAGTACTTCCACAACAGTCGGAAATTAATTCGAAATAACTGCTCACTTCAAGATTACCACCAGGCGACATCCTGGTATTTGGATCTTACCTTGCACATCGCAGCGGTGCCAATCGGAGCTCCAAGGACCGGCGTGCGATCTATGCCACTTACAATTGCAAAGCGGAAGGCGATCTTCACGATCAATATTACGAAGATCGGCGGAAGCTCTGGCCTGCTACGCACATGCGTAAGGAAGGAGAATCGTACGAGGAGGGAAGAATGCGATACGGATATGGCTCTCCCATGCTCACCATTGAGCGTCAGCCACAGATAGCAGTATGAATATTGTGCGAGGTTCATTTTGTATCATCTTGTAATCAAAACCAATTCTACACCCTCGATCGTTCAGCGTAAATGCACTTTCTTGTATTATGACAAACTATCTAGAGAAACATAGAATAGTTGGGATAGTTGACTTTCAGGAAAGATCAAACAGAAAGGACCATGAACATCCTCAAATGAAGGCATGTACCTATGTCAATGAAGCCCCCTTCCAAAGAGGCACGTGGGGTGTCCCTAATATAAAGAGCCTTCCCCTCCCATCCCGGGTCCAATCTTCCCACTCCCTCCAACTCTTACCACCAACACGGGCATCCATCCACTCACTAGAAACCTAACTATCCAATTCCATTAGAAAGCATAGTCATGATGATCCAATCCCCGCTCGAAAAAGCTGAGCATTTAATCCAATCACTTGATCAATACGGCCAAGGTGACTACATCGGCGAGTCTATCAGCCAACTCGAACACTGTCTCCAAGCTGCTCACCAGGCCCAAAAGTCTGGTACTACGACCACCCTCCCCACAAAAAAGCACACCTCCCACCTACAGGAGGCCTTAAACACTCTGGTCCCTTATACTAACATCCGAATTGTCAGGAGCAAGGAATGACCTTATCATTGCGGCTCTCCTGCACGACATCGGCCAAATTATCCCTCTCGAAGCGACAAAAGAAGCAAGGATGAACCTCAAGAACAGTACTGAAAATGTCGGACGTGTAGGCCATGAGTCTATAGGTGCAGAGTATCTGCGATCTCTTGGGTTTAGCCAGAATGTATGTGGACTCGTTGAGAGTCACGTCGCAGCAAAAAGGTAAGGGTAGTTTCGGGCACTCAGTATCAAGCAGTATAACTTATGACGGACTAGGTATCTTACCGCGGTGAACCATTCATACTATGATTCTTTATCCTCTGCCTCGAAAAAGTCACTCGAATTCCAAGGAGGGCCATTTACAGGACCCGAGCTTGCGGCTTTCGATCAAAATCCACTACGAAATGAAATGGTGGCACTTCGCCTTTGGGACGATGCCGCTAAAGTCCCGGGTATTGAAGCCTCGACGCCGCGAGCGAGAGAGTATTTGAATTTGATAGTGGCTCATTTAGAGGAGCAATAATCCTCAGTACATATAGAAGGCTCGTAGCCATACGCCGTCTGTTTTAGTGTGTACTATTTGAGTACACGTTGGTCTTATATACTGATAAAGTTCTTGAGACGCTTAGGCATTTATAGTAGTTGCTACGAACCGTTTAAATGCAGCCATTATAGATGGTCATCAGCCAAGTTTGTCATGCCGACGTAGATCATATACGTACAGAGACACGATGTAATCAACAAAAGCATCATCCTGTATCAAGATCTGCACCAAGTCAACCATAGGCACTCCATGCCAGCCACAAGGGCCGATGCGTTCAATGCCTTCCTCTAGATCGTCCGATCATAAAACAATGCAACCGTACGCCATAACACCCGCCCCCTCCGAACCCACCGATTTTAAACCGGAAACCAGGAGAACACCCACAAGCACAATTCAGGTTGAATAAAAAGCAAAGAAAAGCAAAAGACGCACAAATGGGTAATCAAACAACTGCATACAGAATGCTATATTATAGCCCAGCAACACAAAGGTGGCAAACAATGTAATCAGGTAAGATGCAACACACGAAGGATATCTGTTGGAGGCTCGAAAAGGATCTGATAAAAGGAGAAAAGGCAGAGTCAAAGCTAAGGCACCTCATTTCACTCTCGTGGGACTGCCTGTGCTGCCGATTCGACCACTAGTCTTCCGAACACCTTTGGAGTCGCTCCGGGTATCTGTCACGCGGCGAGGGCTCGTCCTGACCTTGCCCACAGAAATAACACCGTTTCCGTTCTTGCTACTCACAGGAGTCTTTGGTGCAGCGTATCCGGCCTCTCCCCAGTTTTCCCTGTCTTCGTGGATGTCATCATTCAAGGTGTAGCTAGCAGTCAAAGTCGCAGAGTAGCTAACAGACCGCGTGCTGGCAGACACGGCCGGGGACCTTGATGAACGCTTCGCCAGCATGCGAAGTTGAACTTCCTCCTCGCTCTCGCTGCCATCGTTGCTGAGACGATGGCTTCTGTGGCTTGAATGTTCCACATTTTTACTAGACTCTTTTTCGACGATAAGAGTGCCCGAGGTGGTACGCGCGTAAGGGTGGTGACGGGAATCCTTTCGATGAGACTTTCGCGGCTGACCAGGAGTTGGGGCTGGAAGATTCTCTTCAGCATGGATACCGGCACCCTCGTTATGATCAATCTCCCCAAGAGCGGCCCGCTTCGAATGATTGTTATTTGGTGGAGTGGCAATTGGCCCATTTTGGGTACGTTGCTTAGTCGACTGCCGACTCGGTGTTATCGGAGCTGCTTGAATTTGAGCCAATTTCTCCTTCATTGTGTCTTCGAACCACCATTCGCGGAATGAGCCTTGGTTCAAATGCAGCCAGTGCTGCTGGGGGCCAACCACCATTCCTGGTCGCATGAATCTCATGAAAGCGATGATTTCATTGGCAGTAAATCCATAGCGATAAATGAGATAAGCCCCAATCAAGCAGCCAGTTCGGCCCAGGCCAGCTTTGCAATGCACGGCGATGCCTTTATTTTTTACCGTGATCATTTCATGTGCCATCTTAATGAATCGTCGCACCAAAGGCAGTGGAGGGCAAGTGCCGTCTTCAAAGATCATGTCAATATGGGAGATTCCCAACGCCGTAAAATATGATGGGCAATATAACTCAGAATTCAGTCTCACTACCAATCCCACATTGCGAGTTGCAAAATGGGCCAACACATTCTTGAAGGGAAGGGGAAGCTTGGACGCAAGCACTTCGGAAACTTTCGAGGGTAATGCAGCATATTCGGGAGTATTAAGCGGGATCGGGTCTACCGGTTGGTGCTGAGGAGAAGCAAAAGCCAAGAACTGAGGCGTTATCCAGTTGAAATCACCCATATCGACTCGTTCAAACTTCTCGTATCTAACAAATTGTTAACGGTAGTTGAATAATCAGCTATTGCCACGTACTCTTCTAGGCTAAAGTCTCTCAGGCCACATAGTGATTGTTCTTTCGCCTTCCACACTCCATACACCACATCCTGGATGTTCAGTATAAAATCTGCCTGGCTGTATCCAGCATCTCGAAACGGCATATAAGGAGGGTCTGCCTGGGCAATGGGCGCCAGGGCCAGATGTGGAGGCCAGGACTGAATAAGAACCATGTAGCAAGCAACCAGGCATGCTGCATTGGCACGGCTGCGGGAGTCAGTTTTGGAGTAGAAGACCACTGCCCTCTCACTGTTCGCAGGATCACCAAGGATCTCATGGAATTGAACAGCAAATCGGTACAGGTGACCTATGTGTAAAGGACCAAAGTCCGCATGGAACGAGTTATAGAGAAGGATGTCATCGACTGTGAAGTACACAGGGCTTCGCCTCTTGCTGCAGGGTGTACTTGGCTGAGCCCGCGCTGAGCGCTTGCTTGGAGATTTCGGTTGTTCGAGTGGATAAGGGAATGGAGTTCTCGAGTCCGGAGGATTGTCGTAGGAAGCAAGGTATAGCCGATCTATTTCGTTTGATAGATGGTCAGTATTTGGAATTCAAACATGGCTGGCACCGACACTCAAGCGCTAGTCATCCATGGGGAGATAAAAGGGAAACAGAATAACGGACCTTGAATGTACTCGATCACCTGGCCGTAGCCACCGACGTTTGCAACCATTATGTTTGTAGAGAAGTGTCACAAACAACAATTATTAGCGGGGATAGTAGCAGCAGCAAAACAATCAATAGAGGAAAGGCGTTCGTAACGAGTATATCTCTTTATAGGATAAAGCTGCAATGGAGAGATGAGGATAGTTGGTAATATTTTTAACTGAGAATAATGACAAAAACCACGAATTCAAGCTAAACATTCATGATCTGGCTGTTGATGTACCAAAACAGTCGAAGTTGTTACCAGCTAGAGTGCGGATAAGAGTAAAGATATACCGCGGAGAGACAAGGAGCAGAAGGAGGAGGAGCAGGGCGAGTGAGAAGATATACAAAAGACTTGTCCGGCCACGGTGCAGGAGGAGAAAGGAGGGGAAGAAGAAAAAGATAGCACGAGAGAAGACCTCGAGGCCGATGAGACCGTTTGGGGCAGTTGCGATGCACGCTAACTGGCTGGTGTTATGTTGTGGTTACCCCGATATGGTTTAGCTCCAGTCGTTGACAGGACAACCCCTAGTTGCCTCAGGTCCCCCAGGCACCAACACGGCAGCGGATCAAAAACATGCAGGGCTTATGTCAGCACACAAGATGTTAACGTAATCGGTAAGCGAGCGCCGCATTGAAGGCGAACGCCGCACTTCTGTACTCCATATAAAATGGCACTCTTTGAAACCTTAATACCTCAACCACCAGTAGATATAGAAACGTCTTGATAAGATAATAATATATATATGAACTCTAAAAGGGTGTTTTTATATTCTCATGTTTTTAATTAGTTTTCTTGGCTTTAAATACTAGGACAACTAAAAGTATAAAAAATACAGCTGTAATTTATCTTACCTGGAGAAATATTCATTCCGGAAATTTCTCTGCTTAATATATATATACACAGTATTATATTAAACTGTATATTTAATTTTATGCCCTCTAGGTGCTTTATTGTTGAGATATTAGACTCTCAAAAAGTGTCATTTTATATGGAATACAAAGGCGCGGCGCTCGCTTACCGATTACGTTAACTAGAGGCATACCATATTCCTTGTCACGTGCCATCTACTAGTCACCCATCTAGGTAACCGGGCCACCGAGCTGCCTGCCTCTGTTTGCATATAAAGTAGCACTTTTATGACGTTAATATTTTAACAACAACATAGAGTTATAATAAAAATGGAAGTATTCCTTGATATATAAATATTTCAGAATGCTCATATAATTTAATTAGAATTTTTAAGATTTTTGTTGACTTATAATACAAGATTATTTTAAATACCACTGTATTTAAATGTATTTTTTGAAATACAATAAACTAGAAACCCTACAGCGATCTAGGCTTAATATCTATATATATGCTATTGTATTATTATATATTATAGATTTTAGGCCCTCTTGACTTGTTGTTGTTAAGATATTATGCATATAAAAAGTGCTATTTTATATGCAATACAGAGGCACACAGCTCGGTGGCCGGTTATGTTAACTTAGTTAGCAGCTCGCCTGAGTCCCTTGAATTGAAGTATTAATGCCTTTCAGTGCCCCCCACCGCCTTTGGGATGGGGGTGCACCACACCGGTAGCCCAATTCACACCGGAAACCCAAATTTCCCACCATCCATATTCTTGATGTTATTCCCATCCACCCACCATGCCAAAAGCTTCAAAAATAGACGAATCACGTGTTATTAAGGCCTGTGAAGCTGCCTATGCTGAAAAAAAACCTAATTTGTCGAAGATTGCGCGAGAATATGGCGTCCCGTACAAGACACTGCGTGGCCGGGTTCGCCAGGGAAAACAGGCTCGCAGCGCCCAAAAACCTATTAACAAGGCCCTTAATAATTACCAAGAGGAAGCCTTAGTCCAATGGGTCGCTTGTATACGTGATTTATATCTCCCTGTTAATCCTGATATGCTAGCGGAGTGGGCGAACCAGGTACTACAGCGCGCTGGGTCAGATCACACAGTTAGTAAGATATAGCTATATCGCTTTGAAGAGAGACTGCCGGCACACTTAAAATTAGGCCCTGTGGTTTAAAAGACAAAGGATAAAAAGCATATTAATACTAAGGATATTGGATATCTACAGCATTGGTATAATTAGCTGGCGAATATAGTCAAGGACCTCCCATCTTATCTAGTATATAACTTTGATGAATGTGGCTTCCAACCTGGCCAGGGAAAATCCTGGAAGGTTATTAGAACAAGGGGAATATGCCCTGACCTTGCTTAGTTTAATTATACTAAGAATATCACAGCTGTCAAGTGTATTGCTGCTAACGGTTGGATAATAGAGCCATTATTTATCTTTAAAGGCACTAATTTTATGAAATGCTGGTACAATTATCCCGAACTTTCACTATACTGGACAGCCACTTCTCCGAAGGGATACATTAATGATAAGATTGCTATTAGGTGGCTTCGAAAATTCCATAAGACAACAAAAGGTCGGACAAAAAAAGGAGAAAAACGGGTGTTAATATTTGACGGCTATAAGTCCCATAAAACTGTTGAATTCCTACAACTCTGTGAGGAATTTAATATTATTCCTTTTTATTTTCGGCCTTATACAGCTTATATTTGCCAACCTTTTAATGGCAAGCCTTTCCTTGCATATAAATAGAATTTTCGCAAGCAAAATAACCTTATTTCTTAATAGGGTGGAATACCAGGGAGTAAGGCGGATTTCTTGGCGGATATTATTACTGTCCGGAAGAAGATATTTAACCAGCAAATTATCCGGAATTTATTTAAAGAACATGGTATATATCCTCCAGATAGATCTGCTATTATCCAAAAGCTTTAGGATGCTATTCCGCCAGTTCCAGAGCTCTTCGCACTAGATCTTCGCCTGTATGGGGAGGTTACACCACCACCAAACCTCTCTTCTTCTAGCGTGGAGAATACACCTCCAAAAAGCGCCCAAGACCTTGAGAAAAATCAAAGAAAACTATCGAAAATATTCGCTACTAATAGCCTTACTCCAAAGCTTCAGCGAGGCCTACAACGAGCGTTCTATCCCTATAAAAGACAGGCCGAGGAGCTTGCTATAATAAGTGATATTATTAGCAAAATAAGACAGATACAGGCCCCCCAAAGGCGCCAAATCACTAAGCGGCAGGTTCCAAGGCTTGGAGATTCTGGTATACTTAGTACAAAAGATGCTAATCGATCTATCGAGGCTAGGAAGGAGAAGGATGCTAAGAAAAAGAAAAAAAGGTTAAATAAGTAGTGGAGAAAACTATACAGCCAACCACCACCACAACCCTCTACAACAATAGATTCTGTATTACCTGATTCAGCGGTGGCAGCACAGCAGGAAAATCAGATTTTTTGGATAGATTCTAGGGGGAAAGATGATAGATAGTGCGAATAGTATCAAATTTGGGTTTCCGGTGTGAATTGGGCTACCGGTGTGGTGCACCCCCATCCCGAAGGCGGTGGGGGGCACTGAAAGGCACTAATATGCCTCGTGAACACACCACTGTAGTCCTGTGAATTGGTGTTTCCAAGTTCGCCACTTGCATCTCAGCTTATCAACAGACATATGTTTTCTGCACTCTACGCACAATTGCTATATAGGTTAGGCTATTGCCTCAAGGCGTATTGTTCTCCCATGTCGGGGGTATACCGGACGCTGCCCGGTTGAACAGGTATCTCTTCGATGGTTATGTCAGTTGGAAGGCTGATGCCAAAGAAGGGCAAGTGATGACCCTCTAACTAATCACTGACTATCTTCGATTAATGTTTAGCATGGCAATCCATATGGTATTTATTCAGACTGGCCATAGGTTTTTATGGCTCTTCACTCCACTATCAATGGCAGGTGAAAGATATTGAGCCAGCTTCCCTTCCACAAGCCCCTTTTTTATGACTATTCCAACCAAAATTTTCTTTCGTCTTCAAAGCTACAATCCCCAGAAAGAAATGCACACGAGGACTACATCTTAAACTTAATCCACTAAAGTTGACCAATGCAACAAAACCGACGATGGGACAAAAGCTTCAGGGAAAGGAGGCGCTTTGTCATAACAGACTCTTCAAAATCTGAAGAGTTTGTAGTGTTCTGGTCTGTGGAGAATCACCACTGCGTTGTCCTGGAGTACTCTCTTAGGAGCTGAAGCTTACTTGCTTGAAGCTTGGACCTTCCAATCCAGAGTGACGAGTGAGTTCCTGCAGGTTCTTGATACCCAATTCAGAACGGAAGATGGTGTAGTCATTGTTTATTTCAGGGTTGCTTGTCCCGGTCAACCCTTACACGGGAGTACATTGTATATAATAAACATCAACTTCTCACAGAGACAGGTTCTGTTTTTCTTTTCATCATTCTAGCTCAGACCAGCCATTTCTTCAAGATTACTCTGCATTTGGTCTGCTGTCCTACACAGTTAACCACAATGAGACTCACTGGAATTGCTACCTCCCTTGCTCACCAGCACTGCTTCTGCTGTCGCTATTTCCTCTTTTCATCCAGCGCTGTCACCAAACTACATAACTCTCAAGGCAAGATTGAAAACGATTCTGATAACCAGAGCAAGATCAAGAGCTGTAGCTACGCTCTATCCTGGGACCTGTGCAGTAAATTTAATTTTATTAAATAGCAGATCCATTTGCTCACGACCATTGCTCTCCTTTAAAGAGAATAGGGATGCTATGTGAATCTGTGGTTTAAAGGTATACTTGCATTTATCGTTGGTCTTGAACCCGACTATTTTCACACCCTAATCGTAACCTGTCACACAATCAGCAAGACATCTTAAAATGACAGACATGACATATTAGGACATACTATACTTAATTTTCCTACATTTCGAAAACAACGACCCCAGGCTTGTATAATTTGTGCCCACTGGCAGTGTAGCTGCTGACTCATCTCCACCCCACCATCAAGAAACCCACGAACAAGAGTCATGCCTATTTCCAACACATACACGTTCCTCCCTTAGAATACCTCATTATCGCTCTCTGCTACCAAAGCTTGCCAAAATGGCCTCCGAGTTCCCCTACACGCTGTAAGTTCCGCATAATGTTTCATACGGCGTCGAAACCAGCCCCACCATCAGCGCATTTAAAGGGCCTCAACTCACACACCACCAGAACAATCTCCATCCCCCTACCGACTTCTCGACTAGCGTCTTCCGCTCTTCGTGCCATCGAAGTCGACGCCGAGCTTTCACCTTTTGTCCGTCGCGAAATGGCACTGAAGTTGCCCACGATGACTGATCTGCCGGGAATGGTGTCCGAATTCGCCCCTGCCATCCTGGAGACAACGTACCACGCGACCACGAATCGGATGCTACGTGTTGCGGTGAACGGGTTCATGGAGAGTCTGGGTGTTGTGCTCACGGTTATGGAGGAGTTGGATGTGGATGTGTTAAAGGCAGAGGAACTGGATAAAAAATGAACGAGACGGATACGAATCAATCTGCCAATTTTGATTTGAAGTATCAAGAGACAGTTACAAGTGCGGCAATTGTTTACCATCTATCGGCGATACCATTCGCTACGGTTGGCTGACATTGTTCCATGGCTGCGAGAAGTTGGTCTGCCAGTCGGACTCAACCCCAGATCAGATGACTTGAAACACAGGAAAGAGGATACGGACATATTGCGCTTGGGGATGGATAGTATCCTCTGCGTGAGCCATTGAGCTAGACCTTATCTAGCGATGCAAGTGGCTGGATGGGTTTCACGAACTATATAAGCACATAGCATAACATAAGCCTTTGCCTTTGCTTGGGCGGGAGTCTGTATAACACATTAAGAAAGGAGATATATGTGTTCGATACAATTGGACTCTAATATTTTGGAGGCTACAATATCTGGTATACTAGATATATACAATAGACAATATCATACGGAATTTATGGTAGCAATTGATGATGCCTTTGTATCCCATGGTGCGATGGTGAAAATAATAATCATCAAAGGGAAGAGGAACGAACCTCTTTGTTCCCCTGGCGCACGAGCGTACTAAAAATACAAAAACTTCAACAGTTTAATTTGGACAGATCCCAAAAAGATCTGCAAAAAGAAGCCCAACGCGGGGCTCGAACCCGCAGCCTTGAGATTAAGAGTCTCACGCTCTACCGATTGAGCTAGCCGGGCTGGCTGGTTGGAAAGCGACCAACAGAAAATGCTATATAAGACAAAAGTTATATTCGATCCTCATTCTGTTCTGAAAGATGGTGGGAGAAACCAGGATTCTATGATATGAGGGAAATTCAAGCAAAAAGCTACGCCAGGTTACTATATTAAAATTTCCCTATAAAAATTGCCAACTCTTAATGATTTATAGAATAATCAAAGTCATTCCGTATCTCTTGACTACCTACACTGCTGAACTCGCGCTCCCCTACGCGCGTGAAACTTTTGTGATTACCCAACTCTGCAACCTACCCTGCAAACTACTCTGCTAGCCACCATGCCACCACTCAGATTTCGCTAAACGAGATCCTCACCCGATTACCAAGCAGACAGGGTTGTCCGAGAGTATTTGGAATTACTTCGTTATGCGCGTCCTAAGGCATTGCAGACATGCGCTGCTGTTGAGAAGGGGGACATTCCCGACATGCCAGATCAGGCAGTCTCCCCGCAGATGATGACATCGCCTTCCAGGCTTCGTTCCTGCTCCGACACTTAAAAAGCCGCAGATCCTTCCGCGGTGCAACCTGGGCCAGTTCTCACAGAGTATGCTCTTATTGCGACCATTCCCCTACCCTTTGATTGCTACGATATCGCATCCCTTGCGGACAAAATCTGTTAATTTTTCCAGTCCTTGTTGGATAAACATCCGTTCCAAAGCCATGTCGTCTGCAACCACCTTTTACGATTTTGAACCGGTAGATAGTACGTTCATCGCCCTATGACCTTTTTTTTTTTTTTTTTTAAATCCTGTTCCAAAACGGATCCCAAGTAATCATGGCTAATTCGCTCGGATCAGAGAAGGGATCCCCTTACCCCCTCGCCTCCGTCAAAGGCAAAGTCGTCCTTGTCGTTAACACCGCCTCCAAGTGCGGTTTCACCCCACAATTCGAGGGCCTCGAGACTCTCTACCAAAACATTAAGACAAAACACCCCGATGATTTCCTCATCCTCGGCTTCCCCTGCAACCAGTTCGGCAGCCAGGACCCCGGTTCGAACGATGAGATCCAGTCGTTCTGCCAGCTGAATTATGGTGTCACTTTCCCTGTACTAGGTAAGCTGGACGTGAACGGAGATCATGCGGCGCCCGTTTGGACCTGGATGAAGGAGCAGCAGCCTGGATTGCTGGGCCTGAAGCGCATCAAATGGAACTTTGAGAAGTTCCTCATCTCGGCGGATGGCAAGGTTGCCGGCCGCTGGGCGAGTACCACCAAGCCGGAATCGCTGCAGGGCACGATTGAGAAGGAGATCGAGAAGGCGAAGAAGGAGGGTACCCTGGCTTCGGCGCAGGGCAATGAGACTATGGCAAAGCTGGCATAGTATGTAATGATTATTTGGAGGTGATCGTATGTTACGTGTTCCGATTGCGACGTTGTTATAGGCATTAATTTTTACCTGGATATACTCATTTAATTTTTGTATAATATATGAATGAGAGCGGGAGATTATCTATTTTCTGTCGAAATTATATCCAGCCTCCCATCATGGCCAACATTTTTGTTCTGCTCGTATCATATCTATCTTCGAGACATAAATCGCAGTTTTGCATGACATAACTAGCTTCTACAATCAAGCAGCACCGCCCTTAGGAATCAAATTACGCAAGGAAAGATCGTAAACCACATCTTCGACCTTTTTGACCTGAAGAATGTCAGTGGATTGTAGTCTTCAGCAGTGTCCGGCCACTTACGCTGTACTTGATCCCGTCGCTCCTCTTCCGCAGGATATCATTCTTCAGATTGAGCAGCTGGAACCCGGCAAACAAGTCCTTGATGAAGTTACCAATTTGCACGGGACGGCTGTAGTCTCCCAGAGTGACCGAATTGACCGCTAGACGAGACTAGATTGGGCTGTTAACATGGACCATTGGTAATATGGGAGATCGGGAGCCTACCAATTCCTCAACCATGGCAATCAACGCAAGTAAATACTCCTCAATCGTCAAATGGAAAGCATCCTGCTCCTTTAGATTCACCGGAACTGAGAAACAAAACAAAAAATATCAGCCCATACACACAACTTAAAAGATACATATATATAGATAGATAGATAGAACCTACTATTTAGAAATTTCCCAACCTCTTCAATCGTCAAGAACGACGCCGAGCTAGTACTCTTGAAATCCTGAAACCCGCCGAGGTATGCGCACAGCTCAATCGACGAGACCTATCGATTTCAGTTAGTACTAGTCGATTGTCTTTATGGGTCTGTGAACTGCTATGTCAGGTGAGATGGAATAAATTAACTGACCAGGTTTTGCAGTTCGCGAGTCCACAGCCCATTGTATTTGTAGAAGGGATGGTTGTCAGCTACAGCTTTTAAGCGAGCGATTTCATCGCGCTGAGCGATGATCTCCTGTGTAGCTTCTTCGAGGATGGGGGGCACTGGTATATAGATTTAGCCAGTATACTAATGATGAGCTGTATAAATGAAATAAAAAATACACCCAGCTCTGAAAGAATCAGGAATCAGTGGGTGCATATAAACACGAACATACATTTGTCTGCGGGGGTAGAATGCGCTCGTGAAAGGATCGCTTGCGTAGATCTCCCTAATACAATATTAGACTTATGCTCATATTTAAACAATCTCAATACATGAGTGATATAGAAGATCTTTTTTTTTTTTATTTCTGAAAGACGCACCCTTCCTTGCTAGCGTCTGGACAATCTCATGAAGCTCCTAGATAACCGCGTCAAAGACAGCTCGTAACACGTTGTTTCTTAGTACAGATCTGCTTACATCGCGCACTGCGGTCTCTTCATCGATTTTGGCCTGGAGGCTTTCAAAAATGGCGTGGTCGATCATGTTGTTGATGTTGTCTTTGGGGAGGTTCCAAAGGCGGTCGGGAGGTGAAGAAATGGGCGGGCCGGCGCTGGTACGGATTTGTGAACGATTTTGTAACCACTTGTAGGTGTTGTGGGATAATTGATATTTATTTATTGTTGAGGGGATCCGATGTTGAATTTCTGGAATTTTTACTATTTGGGTGTGGGGTTGTCTTACTGGAGCGAGATCTCCATCGTATATGGTAGGGAAAACCAACGATCAAGTATGGGAGCCATTATGATTATATTGTAGCAATTGTATTTCTTCAGGTTTCTTTTTTATTAACATGCTAAACCCAAACTCAAATGATCAACTCAATAAGAGCAACCTCTATTCATCATCCTTCATAACACATACCACGAACAAAGCAACGCACAAAGAACAGCCAAATCAATACCGATATCTCGTGGAGTAATCTATATCCTGTTAGGCCAATATCCGAAATAATACTAGTGGCAAGAGGGAATGAATACTCACCTTTCGGACTAACCACAAGACCGCGTCCCTTCTTTGCGCCCTTGTAGATCGTCTCGATGATATCGATCAGTTCCTGCTTATCCTCGAGAACCCAGTTTAATTTATTGTTGTTTCCGGTGCCAAAATCACACATCATATGTTTATTTCTTTCCAAATATCATTAGCAAGGGAGGACTACACGTAAGAGAGAGAGATGAACAAAATACTGACCGGTAGAAGAACATAATGGTCATTGGATCGAACAGTTCATACATGGTGTTGAACTCAGGCACCTCGTCGATATCGCAGAGGTAAATCACAGCAAAATCTGTGTATTCATTAGCCTTGCTCTGGTAAACAGATAAAATATTCTTTGCGGAGCATGAATAGAAAACAAAGGTAACTTTCTCCCCTATCCTTGACTTACTTTTGACCCGTTCGGCGATTTTGAAAAGCACTTCATCCTGGCGCATACCTTGCATTCACCGTCAGCTTTATTATCCAGAATATATGGATGCGTCGAAGTGATAATCTTACAGTCGACGTCATGGTCTCGACCGAATCGAATGACCTGCGTGTTGAGCATATCAGCAATCCCGACATGCTAACGGGAAAAAATAGACATACCACAAGTCGGTCCTCCTCGCTAAGGATGGCTTGGTCAACATGCCATGCGGTGTGAAGATGGGGCAACACGACAGAACCCATAGTGACAGTGAACAGCGGCCTAGGCCAAGGTGGTAGTTGAGGTTGTCAGGATGGAACTGAGTGGTGATTCGCAGATGGGGTAAAGTATTGTTTTATATCACGTGCACAGACACCTCATTCCCTCTTTGGAGTCCATCTTTGATTTATTTCTCAGACGCTCATGCCAAGACTTACTAGTCTGTATCTAGAATAACACCGGAATAGCAATCTTCCCGTTCGTGACACTGCACCCGGCCTGCTAAAGAACCTCCTTTAATTCATGGAATTATACAAGCTGAATGGGTCTTGTCTTGAACTCAATAGATGGGTTGTGTGCTCCAGAATCTCTACTGCTGTTGTTGCTAAGAACAGGCCTCGAGCTCAAGCTCAAGAAATAGAAAGATTTCCTTCGACGGCGGGAACTCGTCTAGAGCTTAGTTGCTTCACCGCAGTTTTACAACGCTTCGATTAAACTGGCCTCTGCCTTTGGTGCTTTCTTCAATGCCTTGTTGACATGACTTTCGCTTTCCTTCATAGTAGAAAAATGGTTGGTGATGGATCAGATGCAGCACTTGCTTACCATGAGCCGCCAATTGCAACCATACTAAATCTGACAGGATTTCTCGTGGCCTTGAATGTTGTGAATGTTTGCCTTGACAAACTTCTGTACTGTGGATTAATTGGTCAGTTATTTATCGGTATCCTCTGGGGTACACCGGGAGCAAAATGGCTCGACCCTGAGACCGAAGCTGTTATCCAGCAACTGGGATACCTTGGTCTAATCATGTTGGTATATGAGGGTAAGCTTGTCTGGTTCTATGCAGAAATAGCCTGTTTCTCATATAAACAGGTGGTTTGTCAACATCGATCAAATCTGTGAGAGCAAACCTTTTTGTTTCCATAGGCGTTGCGATCACCGGAATTGGAGCGCCAATGGGCTTATCATTCATCCTCAAGGAGCTAGTCGCTGCGAGCCCTCTCCAAGCCTTTGCTGCTGGTGCAGCTCTCAGCGCAACTAGCCTTGGAACTACCTTCACGATTCTGTCAAGCACAAACCTAATCGCTACACGACTGGGTACAGTCGTCACTAGTGCTGCAATGCTAGATGATGTTGTCGGTCTCGTCATGGTCCAAATCATTTCGAATCTCGGCGACGATGACTCGTCCTTCAACGCCGTGACTGTAATTCGGCCTATATTTGTTTCTATTGGCTTCGCAGTCGGTCTCTTCTCCCTGAGCGCTTTCTGTCTAAAGCCGATATTCAAGAAAGTGCTGGTTGTGAAGAACAAGCTACCGAATTTTATGGGTACCATACAATTTGTATTTCTTTCCCAGACATTCTGTCTACTTGGGATTGTTGCCGGTGCCGCATATGCAGGCACCTCGAGCCTCTTTGCTGCTTATCTTGCGGGCGTGATTGTGTCCTGGTTTGATGGGTTGGTTGCAGAATCTAAGGAGCTAGATGGTTCTGCTCCTTCCAATGTCCATCAGCCAGGCTCCAGCACTTCGAATCGCAACCTCCCAGGAAAGAGCACTCGCAACCATGGTAAACAGCCCCAAACCCAGTCCTTGAGTGAGACGTCTACAAAGCAGTCAAGTTTGCTGTATGACGAAACGCCGACAGGTGAAAAAGTGTATGAGAAATATTACAAGGAGCCCGTCAACCGAATTCTTATCCCCTTCTTCTTTGTGAGTTCGTTCCCTGTTATTATCTTTCTTATAGTAATGTGGCATCCAGGCATCGATTGGATTTGCGATCCCGATAACCGAGATGTTTCAGGGAAGTACCGTATGGCGCGGCGTTATCTACGCTCTTCTGATGACCTTCGGGAAGATGATTACTGGTCTATGGCTCGTCCGATTTTCGCTGAACCCAACGCCAATTTTGATCACTTGGGTCAAAAAGTCTTTTACCTACGTCCACTTCTGCATTCCCACGAAGACCAACAACAGGAAGCAGAAGAAGAAACAGAATATATCGGAAGACCGCATACGGTCGTCCAAAGAGTGCACAGAAATATCCTCAAGCAATCAAACATGTGCCAATGAAAGGGATAAGAATGCGGGAGCTTCGCCCGATGGGAATTTCAGCAGTCAGCTCGTACCCCAGGAAGGATCCCAAGCTCCACCATCGAACCCGAGTCCTACGATAACCATCTCTCCCAAGCCGAAATCGTTGTATCCACCATCCATCCTCGGGCTAGCCATGGTTGCCCGAGGGGAGGTCGGATATCTCATCGCTTCACTCGCGCAAAGCCGAGGCATGTTCGCTCGTGGACCTTCCGGTGAAAGATCCGAAATTTATTTGGCCATAATTTGGGCAATCTCGATTTGTACCCTCATTGGGCCGGTCTCCGTTGGGACCCTTGTCAAACGGGTAAAGAAGTTGCAACTGGCGAGAGGGGATTCTGGCTTGGATCCACTAGGGGTTTGGGGGATTTAAAGCTAATCCATCTTGTATTGTTCCACGTCAGTTGGTCTTCAGTTTCTTTTAGATTCCTACTCAATCTATCCCATGTATCAGGTGCAAGAAAACAAAAGAAAGGGATTTTGGCAAACAGACCTAACCAGTAGAAGATATAATAGAACTATATATAGTTAGAAGCCTATGTACGCTAGGGTTCAACAATAAATATCATCAAAGCCACCCGTATCCTATCAAGCTATAACTACTCCTGTACCCAGATCTCAAAACGCACAAGGCCCACGCCGTTACATAAGTCTAGCAATCCTCTAGAGCATTCAAATAGCGTTCCACCTCCTGGCGATTATAACAAACTACATAACTCAACGCAGTTCGCCTATAGAAATCCAAGCGCCAAGGATCTCCTTCCTGAACTAAGAATCTCACAGAGTCCAACGAGCCAGCACGCGCAGAATACTGAACCGGCGTACAAAGTCCAAATCGGCAATTAATCACATACTCCGGGTAACCGTCATCGAGAAAATAGTTAATATAATCAATAATATGGGGGTTTCTATTATACAAGTATTTTAAGATATCCAGTGCGTTTGAACCTCGTCGTACTGAAGCATAGTGCAGTAGCTGACCATGTTCAGCTGATCTTCCATACTGGAAGAAAGGCTCGATGATCTCGAGAGATGCCTTAAAGACGGCCTACGATAAGGGAGTGGCATCCCGGAGGGTGCACCGTTTATTGGGGTCAGCGCCGTGCTTCAGGAACGATGCTGCCAGGTCTCTATTATTGAAAGTATATCTAGAATATATCCGGATTTAAGTATGGAAAAAGGGATTTATATATGTAGTACATAAGAGCTAAGGGTATCTTGCTATCAATGGCGGATCCAGTGTTAATAACATCCCAGCCATGATCAAGAAATAATTGAAGACCGTCGTATTGGTTCTCTCGAGTTGCTTTAACTCAAAGTCCATAAGCGCTCCTATATATTACCATGTTGCAAAAGCGGATCCCGGGTCTTATGGTCTTTGATTTTCAAGCCCTATTGCATACTAAACTAAGCCTTAGTAGGGTAGGCTCCGGAATAGCTATATTGCCTGTACATTACTGTCAAATATTAATATGGGCATTGGTGGACCAGAATCATGTGACTAGATCGGGGTAAAACCCCCGCGGAGCCAACAAAATAATCATCAAGAATGATCAAGAGAATAATCAAGAAAGAGCCCAACCAGCTCAATTCATTCAAATAAGACCTTTTTATCAATCGTACTCTATTTCCTCTTCGGGACTAGCTGTATATCTGACAATTACCAATACTGTATGGAAATATAATAATATGATGTGTATGTATGTTTTGTATCCGTCCTGTATGGGTAATTCGCGGCTAACTGGAATCTTCCTTCCAAAATAGTCACACCGCCGGTAGATCTGTCTGTCAAAGCTAGCAAAGGACTTCTTCCAATTCGGGGATTCTCTTGTGGCTGGTAAAACTATTTTATTTAGATTAATCAGTAGTTTTATAACTGCCAAGATCTGCCTATCTTCGAAATCATGCTAAATCCTGGGCTTATCTGGACTGGGTCCAGGCTCTGGGGAAAACCAGAACCCAGGTTGGGCTGGGTTTTGGGCTCAAGGGGGGGTGTTCCGGGTTGGGCTTTGGTGAGGTCTACTTACTTCATATGCCTACATATGGTCCCGATAATTTGGACCAGGAGGAATCTCCGGATAAATAATTATTATTAGAGCCCAGGACCGGGCAGTATCTATGACGCATATCGTATATGTGCTGCAACATTAAATCACAAAATTACTACTACATTCCGCCCTTCTTGACGTAATGACTATTCTGGGCTGCACACTGTAATGACGTGAGAATATCAGGTAATAAGCTACAAGAAATTAAGGTATAAATAGGACGCCGTTGCCTGTCTAATTTTATAGGAGTTTAATATTCTAAGAAATCTAAACTCATTCTTACAATATTTATACTAGACCGTCAGGATTTTATAATCTCAAGTTGCATGCCATACAGGTTTTAGGGGCTGATGGAACCCCTCCTTACAGGGTAAGTTATTACATTTTTCTGCAAGTCTTAAAACTACTTAGACTTTGGTTAATGAATTGGGACTATAAAATAGGTTCGAGCTGAAGATGGACATGAGACTATTATAACACCTGGCCCTGACTCTGTTGTTGACCACAGAAAGGCAACTAGTTCTTAAGACTTTATATCTTTTGGCTGAAGTTCTTCGGACTTTGCTGAATTGTAACTTCAGTGTATGTTAGGGAAGAAAAGTTAGAATAAGTAATATTGTGATGGGTTGGTTATCTCTGCGCTTGTAGAGATAAAACCACTTGACCATTGAATGAGAGGGAAATGGTAGAACTCCGAAAGAGTAGGTCAAGGAGACACTTTTAGACAGTTAGCCCACAAGTTCGTGAACTCCAAAGAGAAGACAGCATTCCTTCTACGCAACTGCGTTCCGTGGTCTCTGAGAAGGTTGTTGATTGTCTATTACCTCTTCGAACGAGGACTTAAGATAATAGCTATCCATACAAATGTCACGTGCCAATCCCCCGAATTCCTCCACTACACCATATAAAAAGGTACAAGATGACTGATAAATGATCAGTCGCATCTAGCGCCCTATATAGTAGGGAAAGCCTTAGTCTGAGCGCCATACTGGGTTTAACCCGTGACAAGTATAGATGTTGATCTGCCTTACATCAAAATTAAAACTAAAAGTTACTTAGCAATAATAAGTCCTAAACTGTTAATAATAGTAACAGATCTAACTAGTTAACAGAGCTAACTATAGGAATAGATTGCTTAATCATCGAGTGCCTGAGTTGGTTCAAGAAAGATGGATTGATGTAGTAAGGTATCTAGGGAGGGGCATTGAGGGCTAGTAAAATAACTAATGCACTGTATTGTAATAAGTTATCTCTGGTTATAGATACAATCATACACCAATAGAATATAAGATGGCCAGGAGCCTTCGCCATCTGGGGACAGTGAGTTCATTACTGACAAACCGTATTATTGATATTGCCAAGGTTGAGGCAGCAACATTGGGTGCCACTGCACCAGGATGATCGACCGGGAGGATTTCTAGTAAGAAGAGGGAAAGATATTGAGGAAGGTGCATTAAGGTGCAGTTGTATACACGAAACAAGGCACTGTAAGTTATATTTGGTTATAGATACTTTCATAACACATAATACATATCAAATACAGAGCCAAGAATCAAGGCTCTTCAAAATAATTCCAAAAGTAGTTTAATATATCTTGGCATTAGGGAAAAAGAATGAGAGTGTACAAGACCCAGGCTCCGTTTTTGCAATATGGTGTATCAAATAATTGTGCGACAAGGGCATTGTTCTCTACTGTAACATAGCTGTACAGTACACAGGCAGCCTGGCAGGTCTTACATCTTTGTAACTTGACTCCAAAGGGCATTACACTGACTGCAGCAGCCTACTAGTGTTCACGGTTAGAAGAACCCGACTATATCGCTACTTAAATGCTGCAAGAGTTTTAAACATGGCCCAATACAATTGCCACCATAGATTACTTATAGCAACACAACTATAAAATCTCAACAGGCGATTTATATCCACAGCTGAAACCCTCCAGATATACCCTCTTCTCCAACCAGTCGGTCAAGCCGGCCGAATTGATGAAAAAGGTGTTCGCGTCAATCGGGGATAGTGTAAGCCCGATGACACTGTGTAGCCAGGCATGCGCAAGCACAGAGGCCCAGCCACGGGATCCAAAAATGAGATTAATCAATGTTGTGTTCCTTAGAACACTTTCAGAGATTAAACTGAAAAGAACAGATACTACACTTGATCTAAGCCAAAAGGCAAAGAGAGCTGGAAAAGAAAAGAAAAAAATCCTAAAGGGCGGCGGGGGAGATCCGTATTTAAGCCAATCGTGCCGTGGCCCGTGCGCCACTAGCCACTAGCGTCTTCCAAGCGAGGCTAAGCGGATAGCAGTGTCTATTACGATTGGCCATGGGGTCCTGCCCTAATAACTTACCTGGATGGGAATAGTGTCTCGCACGGCAACAGCTGTTTGTCTGACTAATCGTCACTTGGCTCCATCTTACCGCTAAACCCACTGGCGGCCTTTTTGCTTCGATTTTTCTTCAGGCGCAGGATACTCACTTCTTTGCGATAACTCCCCTCAAACCCTACCCAAATCAGTCACAATGGCTCCCGTTGCTACTGTATGTTTCCATTCCACAAACCGCTTTGCTGTTCCCCCTTGAGAGGCTTGTTAGATTCATAACACCCACCGTGTGCATGATCAGAACTCCCTCGGGATTCGACCTCAGGAACAGTAGGCTAATCGTTATTTTTCTCGGTGAATAGGCTCGTGGTCGCAAGGCCCAGAAGGTCACCAAGAAGGTATGTTGGATTCCCGCCCAGCACATCAGGCAAAAAGTAATAAACAGAACGTGTTAACCCTAATCCATTGTAGTATGTCGTCAACGCTTCTCAGCCCGTGAACGACAAGATCTTCGACCTCTCTGCCTTCGAGAAGTTCCTCCACGACCGCATCAAGGTTGAGGGCCGTGTCGGCAACCTCGGAGACAAGATCGCCATCTCCCAGGCTGGTGAGGGCAAGATTGAAGTTGTTGCCCACATCCCCTTCTCCGGTCGCTACCTCAAGTACCTGTACGATTCTTCTGGCCATCTTGTGGCAAACTGTTCTGAGCAAATTCACTGACACCTTCCCCGTCCACAGGACCAAGAAGTATCTCAAGAAGCAGCAGCTCCGTGACTGGCTGCGCGTTGTCTCCACCTCCAAGGGTGTCTACGAGCTCCGCTTCTTCAACATCAATAACGATGAGCCCGAGGAGGATGAGGAGTAAATCGCTTCTTTATCCGGAACATAAATAAAAAAAATAATAAAGAAAATTTTTTCTTTCTAGGGTGTGGATGTGATCGGTTAAGTGACAATGAGTGATTCAGACTTCTGTTTCTCTGATACGTTCGGCGAGGCAATCTCCGGCCCGAAATGGTGGTGTGTCTCGCTTTACTATGCATGCTGCAGCAGTTGGTTGATGTTGTTGTTTCTACTCATGACGTTACGAATGGTAGATATGAATTGAGCCTATCCATTACTCTAGATTATATTTCCCTGGGTATACTTTTTCATACCGCAGTCGATGCGTATCACAGCAGAGAAATTTGCTCGTAGTCATAAGCCTTTCAACCAGTACTTGCCCTTTTCTGCCCAGCCCCAGGGCCCAGTCTCCACTCTCCTGTAGCATCTTCGGATGTCCCCGGCGGAGGAACAAGCTGATCGCCCTGGAATGTCCATCCCTTTGATTTAAGTAAAGTCCAAGTCTCGGCAACTTTGACCCGAACCAAGTCTCCCGTGGCGACCGCATCCTCTTTGGAATCGTGGCCCCGGTCTCCTCCGGTCTGAATATCCCTATCAAGGTGCTTTTTACATAATGTCTTGAGGCTCATGCGATTGGGTAGTCCCCCTCGCGGGTGTGGATAAAGTAGGACGGTATCGATAACGGTCGAGTGGATGATACGACATGCATTCAGGTCATTGTCGATGGCATGTCCAATAAGAGGCGTCTCGGGTTGTATAAACTGAAACAACAATGCTCGTGCCGCTGCGGGGGATTCCACAACGTACATAGGCGCCGACTCGTCCTCTACTGTGCATGACGCGGACTGAGGAGTACCATAAGGAATTGCTCTGGTGTAGTGGTCGGGGAAAACGCCGGAAAAGCGCGAATTCAGATCTAGGACTTCGCCCTGCGGTCTGACGAGAACATCGAGTAACCGCTTGCCTTCCGGCCAGCTTACGGCGGTGATCCGAATTAGCTCCAATCCTAAGGTTGTGTACCCCATCTCACAATCGAAGCACACAGGCGGTTGTGGCCCCTTTTCCACTTGAGCCGGGGTTTTTTCAAACTGAAGGATAGATGCGAGTCGTTTGGTCTCCGTCACTTTGTAGACGTGGGTTTTGCCTTTCGTACAGCCTGAAGAGGTCCCCAAAGTCTCGTTGCAGCAGGAGAAGTAGGCCTCTCTTGGTCCAGTGATATGATCGGTCTGCTTCCTCGGAGGGTAGAATGGTTTCCCTGGGTGATATGTGCATTGCCCCCCTGTCGTCAAAGAGCCATCCTCGCGGCGTCCGGGGAAAACTTGGAATCGTCCGCCACAGCGGTCACATTTTTCCCAGCCTTTAGACTCCGTGACACCTTTCCTTGCATTCTCGATTTCATCGCTCGTGGGTGCTTTTGTCATGTAACCGTATTGCTCTAGACCTTCTAGAGATGTGGCCAACTTAGTCACAATTGCAATTTCTTCCTCGACACTCAGGCCTGTCGTGAGAACTTTGGGCTTGGGATTTAGCTGACTGGGCGCAATCTTGTAGTATCTTTCGTTTAGATGAGCCTTGACCTCTTTAGCCCAGTCCTCTTGGTTCATTTTCGACAGCTTCACGATCCGGAGCTTAATGACATTCGAATATATATTGGCGCTCCCCTTCGCTACTTTCTCTTCCTCGTCCAGGGCCATTGTGATTAGCTCATTGGGAGATAGGACTAAATATTTCTCTGTGCCATCCTTCTGTTTGGCCATCTTGTCGTTCAAGGTAGACATGGCAGCATGAAGCTTCGTCAGAATAGACAATCGAACTCCATGAGGTGCAGGTGCCTTCGTAAGCATTCGAGGGTTCAGACTTTCACGAGGAGCCTGTCTTGGCAATAAATCCGCCTTTGGCTTCTCGGATGCAGATTTATCACGTTTTGACGATGTTGAGTCCGACCTCGTTGACGGCGGCGAGACCGCCCTTGACACGGATTGAAGCTTGGTAGGAGGCCTCAGACCTGCTAGTTGGGACGGTTTTCCCGCTACACTTGCCGACGTAGCTCCTTGGCTTACAGGTTCTCCTTTGGATGAACGATGTGGTTCTTTCAAAGTGTCACTACTGGTCCCGACCGTTGCCTCCAATTTGGGCTCCTTCAGAGTCGGTGTAGCTGGCCTAGATGCATCATCCCGTGTTACATCAACATGCGCCACTGCACCCCTGCCATCTCCTGCATGGGAGCCGACGGGCGGATGGTAGAAAATGCAAGTCAAGAGAGAGCATAGCTCTCCCTGGGGACAGAGTATACCCTTAAACAGGCCAAGTGGTGAGAACATTGTCATCAGAAGATGAGGTGTATCTGAAGGACGATGGTCGCTTGGTAGGACATCCCAAGCCAGCGTGGAATGCTCGGTCTCTGTAGGTATATCTCAGACCGATTCGGGCCTATTTGACACACACACGCAGAGTGTCTGGTAAAATAAGACTGACCGTAAGTCTGCATGTATCCTTCCACTACACTAGGCCAAGACGCAGAGAGTGTGTGAGTCATTAATACACCCTTGTTGATGGGCTCATATCCAGAAATAGACTACCCCAAAATCTCGCAGGTAGGTACAGGCAGCCACAATCATCAAGAAATTGCTGTATGCCAGCCCGGAAAAGCTGGGGGTAGAGTGTCTGGACGATGATGGATACTTGGCGGCCGAAAAGGAACGGGGCGACAGGGTGCCAAACACTGCAAACATAATGCCAAGTTGATAAGGCATCAATGGATCAAATAGCCCTAACTAGATAGATCATAACAGATACCGAGAGCACCCTGTACGCTCCTATTTTTATGAAAATCCCCAGGTCTCCGTTTGCCCTTCCCTCAAGCTGAACCTGTCTATTCCTAAAACTTGTCGAAGCCCGTTTTGGTATGGACCACTTATTTGCTGGCCGAATACTACTTGTGCTGGTTTCTGGCAAGATGGCTTCACGACATCGGGAACTAGCTTCTCTAGCGTTGGTTACCTTGGAAATAAAGTGTATGTTCGGGGTAACTATAGGCGTGCTACTCAGTAGCAATTTGCCTCCCAATCTTATCTTCTGGAAAAGTATATCTGAAGAACAGTACTGAAGATGTTCAGGGAAGGGATAGCATTTGAAAACATCCAGTCCAGTTTATGAGAATGCGTTGATCTAGAATCTGCACATAACAACACGTATGTGCAGAGAGCAAAGAGAGACACAGGCAGGCACAAGTAGGCACAGGCAGAGAGTTGCTAGGCACTAATTGACAAAAATGTTATCCTAAGCTGTATTTAGGTCTACTTCATTGACAGCGAAGTCTTCTATCACGACAGTGGCCTTGGTGCAGTTGCGGAAGTCATAGTCTGTGGCTTTCGTTGCGGCGATTCTGGCCGGGTGACCAATAAAATTTGGTGTCCACTCAACCTGGTGTTGCGCTCATCAAAGCAATGGTAATCATGAACCATTAGGTTCTTGGACTCGACAGTGTGCATGTCGTGTATGTCTTTTATTTGCCCGTTCCATTGACCACAGAGTAGCGATGTTTTGTCGGCCTTGAGATACATTTGAATAAGGCCATAAGGCCATCACGCCTCTCTCTCTCCGTCTCATCACTCAGCTGATCCTTCAGCAACCACCGAAATGGCTAACTGGCTAGAAGTCTATTGGCAAACCGAACTGTGGCTGATTGGCGACGGTATTTATTGTATTTACTATAAACCCTTTTTGGAGCTTGTTTCTGATAGGTCTTGTTGGCAAGATACACGGACCCTCTCTGCTGACCTTAGGTTGGCTGCAAGAAGTGAGATATAGTCAAATTCATCTAAAATAGGCTATCGACAGACTTACTTACTGTCAAGAATTCTGATCTACAAGGCCTACATGAAGAGGCAAGCCTAAAGACAGAAGGATTTAGAATCAGTGCATCCATTGGTCTTGCGTAGCCGGAGAAGGCCAAGGCTCTAAAACTAGGTTGTAATGCCTTGTCTCAGCGTGGACTCAGAGGATGCTGCGGCCATTCTTGGGGGAACAAAGAGAACTAAGTGTTAGAACTGCTGCAATTCTTCCAAAGTGCCATGCTTGGGGGTTTCAGTAGTTTGAACCCAAAGTTACGCAGTCCTGGCTTGCAACCCAAGAGCAAAGGAGTGTAGATCTTTTCTGTCTGTTCTCGGACGATTCGGTCTTCTTTCTATTCAGCTAGCAATACGAGGTCACAACACGAGAAATCAATCCTCAACAGATACTGTAATTGGATGTAGAATGAGGGGTTGCACAACACAGCCCTCTCCTCCGTATATCCAGCCTTGCGGCTACTAATAATACACAGATACAAGGACTGTCTACTCTCAATGTCATCGTAGGCATTCCATCGAAGTATATATAGCCCCCCGGCATATTTCAAAAATATATCGACTCACAATTTCAATAATCCTTACTGCGCCATTGATTTCAACCATCAACCCATCAACGACACAGTATTTGCACGGTAATGCACCCTAGAGAACGGTACCTTTTACACAATCTAACCTGACTGCACGTAGTGCAAAATGTTGCTGCGCCAGATTTACCTAATGTCTTTTTTCGTGCTCAGCGCACTTGCTGCTAAAAGATGTTACTTCTGCTCAACCGCTTCGTACCTTTCTCCAGAATATCCGACCTATAAATGCGGTGATAAGTGTGGTTATAAATATTACCATGACAGTAAATGTTGGAGATCAACCCACAAGATGAACAAGTGCTTCAAAAATTGTTGTGACAAAGCTGGTAAAGTGGCAACTTCCTGGAAGTGCGGCCCTTTGTCAGATTGTTAGTGAATGCTACCATTCTTGGCAGCCGGTTCTTTTTTATTCTCCTTTGTTGACTTATCCGCCGGTGTCTATCTCTTTCAATCAAGGTCTGGCTGCGATATGTGATTGTTGAATATGTGAAAGAATTTGTTTCTACGCGGCTTGCCTCTGTTCTTTGTACGGGGACTCTCTGCAGTTTACTGTCTTTGGGCCATAAATTCTCCAGGAGCTCACTAAAGCTCGTGTTTGATCTGTGGCACTCTTCCCATAGAGATACCAGAACTGATGCCCGATTATCTTTCCACATAAATCCTTGAAAAACACTGCTTCAAGGAACAATTCTGCCATAAGATTGCAAATTCCATGGACATGCCCCATTATAGCCCCCCAATCCTCTTGCACAAAGCCCTTCTAGACTACTATGTGAGTCCGTTCCTATCATCCGACAATCCCTCAAGAGAAGACTCATCCGGCACTACATTATCTATAACCCATCGAGCTACAGTTGCCTGGAGTACAGCCATTAAATCAGGTATGTCCCTCAAATCGTTGTTCCAGTCCAGTCGGTGCTAGATTGGAACAAGCCATGCTTAATTTTCACCCCTTTCTTGACCCGACACACTTCATAATGATCTGCTAAGACTGCATTTATTGTAGAGTTACGATATATAAACTCGGAGCTCTGGTCAACGAACTCCATGGTTTGTGCTTTCTTTGGTTTCACTGTGGGGCGCTGGGGATTCTCCCTTATCACTATCAGTAAATCTGGGGGAGATAAATGGTTTTACACCAGATGTTACCTGTGCTTTTCTCTTGTGTTTGGTGGTAGCCATGTCAAAGTAGTGTGAGACGACAAAAAAGAAGAACGTGATGATTCCTGAAGAGACGAAAAGGTAAAGGAGAAAAGGGGAAAGTTCTAACCTTTTGTATTTCTGTTTCTTCCAGACGTTACATAGTCTTTCCCACAACTGCGAAGCAAAAACTGCATCCAAAGCCCTGGATGGATCCAGGTAGCACCCCCCTGGGGTATTGGGTTGCCACGCCGGCTGCTTGGTGCGAAAGCGCCAGAAATTTAATGTACCAGCCGCAAAAAACGTGGACTTCAAAGCCAAATCCCATGACAAAGTGTATGATTTCGGAGACTTAAACAGCACCCCTTGCCGTACTGGAGACCTACGGTTCCTGCTTAAAGGTTAGTTAAAGGCCATGTGAACAAGATTCGATCGGTAGGGCAAAACTATCTTGAGGTCAATGACAGGCTTTTAGTTTGTGACGCTGGCGGGGCTATAGTAGTAATTACCATGATCAAATACGCTCTGGACTAACCATGTGGATAGGACGTAGCTACTTACTACATTACGGAAGTAGCCACCACAATTCTTTCTGACCAGCTCACGGCATTTCAGGGTATGTGATGCATGGCGAAGCGTAAGGGAGAGAGCTAACTCGACGCAGGGGGGAATTGTGGCGGAACTGCAGTTGATAGCAGGCTGTACAAGTTTCTGTCTGACAGGTAGGGAGATGCGTTCAACGCACTCCCACTAGAGCAATTTAGTCCCAGCGTGGACTAATGAGACAATTCGAGGTTGTGAAGAAATCGTTCGCTGGGGACCCCGAACAACAATTCACAATCAGTCTGGGAACCCGTCTTGCCCGCACAACATGAGAATATGTTGACTCTAGAAGGCCAAGATTAACTTGACATCAAAGAGCCTTCAATCATTCTTCGATCCGGTACTGAAGAGAATCTACATATTAATCTGAAAACAGACAGACGCGGCGGATGAGAAATTTGGGAAGGTTGGGCTGGATGGGCGTAGTAGAATTATAAATGTAAAATCCCATTAATCCGGCTTATCGCTACTCGTGATGACTTGTTTGCAAACAATCATTTCCACCGGCGGGTTCAGCGGTTCGCCTTACCTCCAGTCAGTTTTAGCCCGGGATCAGGTACCGATGCGCAGCTCTATCATATGGAGGGTGACTTGCCGGTGGAGCTGATCAACATATATGAATGCAATGAATCGCCCTCACCGCAAGTAGTGAATAGTTGTAAGTTAGCTCGGTGCACCCAAGAGCGATTCTCATCAAACACAGGCATGGATCAGATTGGGATTACTTTGTTCGTTTGAAAATGTCCCCCTGCAGTATCCACCACATCAACGGATGGGTGGGGAATAGTTTACCTACTTGAGGCTTGAAGCACACATGAACGTGAATGTTCAGGTTGATGGTAAAAAGCGATCAGTAGAAGGCAAAATAGGAACGTACTCATTAGGGGTTAAAATAGGCGCGCAACGTTTACCCTGGCCAGAGTATAAAAAGAAAGTTTTGTGCTTATTAAGTATCCTCATTTATATATATATATATATTGCTGCATTTGGAGATATTAGCTATTGATACATATCTTAAAGAAGATTGTCTCATTGTATGAACTGTGTCCTGTTTTATTACATTCGATAATGATACTTCGTTGCCCAGAATTGCAGTCATTTTCTGACTACCTACCCTTACCGCCGATCCAGATGCAAGGCCCGAGCAGGCACCATTCAGGCATCAATCTGACGAACAGGCGTTAATAGGCTGCACACACTTACCTTGGATACGCTACCTGGAGTCTGAGACAAATTCATTCTTTGTGATGCCATGGATCCTGATGGCAGACATGCGCCAGATGTGGATCATCTCTGCGTCCTGGTCCATGGGTAGGAAAACCATGATATACGCCGTTCATTTAGGTCGCTGCTAATCGATGCATGCGACAGACTTTGGGGTAATCCTTCGCACATGGACTTTCTAGCAATGTCATTAAAGCAATGATATCCCAAAGAGTCCCTCCACATCAATTCCGGGAACTACACCTACGATGGGATCGAACTCGGGGGTGAGCGCATAGCCCTCGAGGTTGAAGACACGCTCGGCTCGCTGGAGGCCCAGGGGTCCCCTTTCACAAAGCTGAGCATCGTCGGATACTCGCTAGGTGGCCTTGTGGCTAGATATGCTATTGGTTTGCTGTATTCGAGGGGATGGTTCGACAAACTCGAGCCCGTCAACTTCACCACGTTCGCGTCACCGCATGTTGTAGTACGAATGCCCTGGGACGGCCTTTACAGTTATCTTTGGAATTCTCTAGGTCCCCGGTCAATCTCCATGTCGGGAAAACAGCTGTTTCTTGTAGGTTCATTTCTGGATTCCGGGAAGCCACTACTCAGCATCCTAGCCGATCCGGACAGCGTCTTCGTACGAGCGCTGGCTAGGTTCAAGCATCGCTGTGTCTATGCGAACATTGTTAACGACCGATCGACCGTCTTCTATACCACTGCCATCTCGATTATCGATCCATTCCAGCAAGACCTAGAATATACCCCCATCAACTACGTGGACGGCTATGAGCGCGTCGTCATTGACTCCAATGTGTATACACTACGACTCTCAAAGGCTCAAAAACAGCTACCTTTTATCTCCCAAATCTGGCAGCAAATCGAGCAAGTCGCCATCAACCTACCGGTCTCGCTTTTTGTCGTCGTCTTGATCACCGTTGTGCTTCCCTTTTTCCTCGTGAATTCTGCTATACAGACCCTCCGCAGTCGACAGCGGATACGGCTACATGAGGAAGGAAAGAGCGGTGCCCCCTTTGCGCAATACAGGATTCCTCTCCTAGTCAAGGATGTACAACACGCTGTAGAAGATGTATTTGAAGATATCAGGGAACTACAAATCAAACAGCGGACATCTGCAAAAAACACCACGACTGTCAAGGACAAGACAAATGCATTCGTCGAGACAAGCCCAATAGAAACGCAATCCCAGGGTCTGAGCACCGACAATCGATATCCTGCACTTACTCTCACGCCGACTCAGATATCCATCATCGAGTCCCTCAATTCCGTCGGCTTCCGCAAGTACCCCGTCTACATCCACAACCACCGTCATAGCCATGCCGCTATCATCAGGCGGGTGCCTAAGAAAGGATTCGACGAGGCCCGGATTGTGATTAAACATTGGCTCGACCAAGAATTCGAAATCTAAATGGCATGGGGGGTACGTATCTCCAACAGGAAATATTATATAGGCGATGATGTGAGGTGTGGGAAGTCCCCCACGGGAATAGTTTGAGGAGACTGGAATCCTACCCAATCGCGTTATCCTCCACAGGGAGTCATCATATGCAGACTTCCAAATGGGTTCACAGGACGCTGCCCCGATTCCCGTCCGCCTAACAAACGCCAATTCCTGTCTCGGCTTCTTGGCAAGAGGGAGGGGAAGGACCATTCCTTGTAGAATGTGCCTGTTATAGAGTACGGGCTTCTGGATTTAATGTGGAGACACTGTGCATTCAACCAACCTTAACCATTCGGAATTGCCTATTTAGTCTCTTCCGTGCGTTGCACCATGATGCGATGCAGACGGAGATTTGGCCATGGGAGAGGTACTTTGGCATGCTGTAGCCTCGTTCTTGCACATACAGCAGGTGAGGATGACGTGAGAAGATAGAGTGGAGGGATAATAGAGACATGTATTATAGGCATAATATACATGGATAGACGGGTCAGGACATCCGGAGCCTTGTCTCAACCTCCACTACTATAGTTAAATAGGTATCATATCATGCATATCAATAGGTATCTCTTATTCTTTAATTGAATGGAACTAGCACTAATTCTATAAACCTTCCCCCTCCCACCCAAGATGTCCTCGGGTATTGGCGCACTTCATTCAGCTAGCAGTCAACCCTGGATGATAGCAAATGTCCAGTGAAATAAATCTATCATGTATTCATAATACCAGCCTTTGTTTGACGCAAGGCTAGTGTGATCAGTGAAATATACCGAAAGGGCTCCAAATCCCTCCCCCAAAACGACAAATGTATATATAAAGGGTGGGGAAGAAAAGAAAAGCATAGGTCGTGTCTCGGAATCATATGTATGTACTAGCGTGAAAAAAGGTTATGACTTGCAGAAGTGTATGATGTTGTATATCGATAGGCAGTGGAAATGTTCTAGGTGATGTCAAAAAAAAAAAAAAAAAAGGAAATATAGACCTCCAAAAGAAAGATGCTTAAGAAAATACGAGAAAATAAGAGATCAGATTCGTATGCCGATAGAGGTCGATTCCTGCGAGTCTGCGTCATCCGCGATGGCTGACTCGTTACAATTGCGGGACATCTCACGCTCCACGGAGAATTGAACCGCATCCAGGACGTTCTGGCACACTTTCTTCGGTGGGAATCGAAGAGTTGTGCCTTCCTGATATACGCCGGTCTTGACCAAGATCGAGTACCAGTGGACATCGCTGATTTTGTCAAACTCGTTGGTCCCTCGGACGTCCGACTCAGGCGTATCGCCGACAAAGTATACAGTTTGCGGAGGTTTGTTGATGCCATGGGTGTCCTTGCGCCATTGGCGAAGAAGCCTGGTGGCAAATTGATATGTGCCTAACTGGGGTTTTCCGAACGCGATAGTCGTTAATTCCTTTCCAGTGACGGCTTTGTACAGAGCCTCCAGCGATGCCCGGAGTGCGCCCATGCCGATACGGGAGTGCTCATGGGAAGTGGACCATACAACATCATTGTGGGAAAAGAACACAGGAGGACCCTCGTCGAAGTTCTCGGAGCGAGTGCCAAGATGCCCATCCTTCGACATTAGACAGTCCAAGATGATCTGCTGGTCTCCAGCCCAGTCCCTACTATCGGCGAAGACAAAAATAGCCTCAATTCTCGTTTTACTGAGATCTCGAACCCGGGAATTGTCATATTCTTCCTTGGTTAGGATCCGAAACGGGGTAGTATCTTGTCTCGTTTTGATGATATCTCCAGGGGTGATGACATCCTTGAAGCCGTACCCTTCAGCGACAACCCGGCATTTCTCGCCGACACCACCCACAACAAGAACAGTGTGATACCTCTCGGTCATTTCGCGCATGGGGGTGTGGCCGCAGATGAATTGGCCAGGGGAAACCTCCAGTTCCAATTGTCGACTGAGATCTAGGCATCGTTCTTCTTCCGTTTTTCCCCCACCGTTCGTCACAAATATGTATGGCCTAACAAATAATAATACAAAAGTCAGGGGAGAATTATATTGTTGTGCACATTTGACGAGATGAAAGAAACTTACACTTTGATCCCGTAGGGGTTGTCTCCATTGATATACTTCAAGGCCTCAACGGCCTCTGGGATAGGATCCCCTCCTCTAATTAGGACCCCGTCGATGTCGAAGGCCAAGGCAAACTCGTCCGTCGTGGTCTGTGCAGGCCTAGAGACGGGAGTGGCCACACGAGGAGACCCATCTTCAGAAGATGTCTCATCATCCAGGTGCTGCTTGGCCATTTCCATCTCCAAGGCCGTGTCGTGAGCGCTGGAGGCCATCAGGTATTTGGGAGGCAGAACCACGCTAGGACCACCATAAAGGTCGGCCCGAGTAGCATCCAGGCTAGACAGCCGGCGAACTCGGGTACTGAGACTGTCGGTGGTCGTCATGTTTTTTTTTTTTTTTTTTTTTTTTTTTTGTTTATTTTGTTTTGTATTTTGATGTTCCCGTGATTGTGGGTATTGGTAATCCTCGGCCCAGTGGCGACGGTGTTTTGATTAGGTTGGGATGAATAGTGGAGTAGGACCCAGCAGACCCAAAAAGACCCAAAGAAGGAGGGTACCGCTGACAGATGCAGAATCTGGTCTCTCCCACAAAGAATAACAGTAAAATAAAAGAGTCTTGAATTAATCCAAGAAAGGAGAGTGATATCTCGAGATACCAGAATTTAGACAATCCAACTGGCCAACACCCTCGGAGGACAAAAATTAAAGTAGCCACCCACGTAACTGGGAGAAGATAAATCAGTCAATCAAGTCTATCCACCTCTAGTCTGCAATGACACTGCAAGAATGGAGGGATTGTTCACACTGGAGACAAGTAGGATCCAGGTCGAACAAGATCAACAGAGCTGAAGGGAGAAAGGATTATCGAAGTGGGGTGAAAACTGGGGGAGAAAATCGACTGATGAAGGGAAAACGGGGCCGTTAATATACGATTGTGAGAGAATCCGAGACCTTTTCATTCCCATTTATCAATCCCATGGGTGATGCGACGCAGCCCGTGGCTCCGTCATCGACCGCGTTTGGACGATGGTCTTAGTGTTCACCAGGCAGCCTGGAATGGAGATTCTTGCTGGTTCAGAGAGCCGTAGGCGACTCCACCAAGCAGAAGGTTTACCGCCGTTTCTCTCCGCGCCATGCAGCGACAACGATCTTCTCTTCTTAGAGATTCATTCTGGACTATGAGAATGATGAGGCTAACCCTCTGATTCGTCCCAGACCAAGATCAAGGCGTCGACGGACTCACAACTGCAAACGATGGTGGGGATTGACATGCAGTGAGGAGGAGCGAGGGCAACATTAGGGATTTCAATGATGATTCTTGGATCACTGCCCTCCACCTTAGTATCTATCACTCAGCAGAAACGCTTGGAGAGGAGTACCAAGTCTCATCTTCCGGCGCTCAAACCACAGCCATCGTGACGTCATGGCATCTCTCCTTAGTCAGCCAGCCACCCGTGATCCCGCTAAACCCGTTCGGAACCTGCTGTCTCTTCGCGCAGAGACCATCCGCGTCGATGGCGCAGGCACGTCCCAGGAACGTCTAATATCATGCGGTAGTTGTGAGGTGGCATCTCGTACGGATCTGCCTCGTCCTAGCTTACCGCTAGTCTAGTATCCCGGAAGCTCGAGAGCTAGGGAATCGTCTTAGCCAGTGATTGGATCTACAGCCAACCAGGATTCCCATTTAATACCGCATCGGGAACCACATGCAGACCTACGGAAGAAGGAGGGGGGAAGAAAGAGTACTGGAACGGAAGAATGGACATAACGCAATGCAGTGTTACATCTCTCCACCGCAGTCTCTGTCCTTGTTCTCTCGAGCTTGGTTGCATGTGAAATCGTTTCCCTTGCCTGGATTGAAGTACATCACAGAAGGTTTCCTTCCCGACCCGACTAACTCTCGCTGGCACAAAATTCAAATTGGATTCACCCTACGAGGCTGGAAAATTCGGTAAAGTGTGATAATCCCGAAGGATTTTCGTCAGAACCATTAACTATCGGTGACTGATCTTCTAGAGTACATCGGCAAACATCGGTACAACTCGTAAGGACAACAAAGGTCAGAATAAATACACGTACATACAAAGAAAGGATTCTGGGGTCCCCGAGTTCAGGTTTCCCATACTACTATAATACAATGAAAATAATGTCAACCAATCGGTCCACAAAGAACGAGGAGCCCCTCAGTCCACGCGGAGGATCAAATCGCTGCCTTGTCTGGACGGTGTCAGGTTGCGTTCCATGGGCACTGCTTTCTTCCTCAACATTTGTCCCGTCACCTCTGTCGGATATTTGGAATCATCCATCATTCCGTGAGAGTTGCGTTGAGATATAAAACTCAGATGATATCCATTCCAGTAGTCTTCGGGTGAATAGGGAACAGCTGTTCCTGCTGGCTGCGGCTTGCCTCGCCGGATCTGAACTCTCTTGATATCATCTCGTTTGACGATCCGCGGCCTGGAAACGATCTCTTGGGATGGACTGACAGATCTAGGGAACGGCATCCGGGAGTAATTCACAGGCGCACTATCATCACAATACTCCTGTCGCTGGAGTACATTCAACGGTGTTCGCGCTTCCTTTACGGGAGTAAGGGGTCTGAAACTCCCGGAGTGACGGAACATTCGGCGGCCCCCCTGAGTTTTCGTGGATATTAATCGTTTCAAACTCGCCACCTAGGATGTCCAATGCACTGCTATTTGCTTCCGGGCCATTAAATGAGCGGCGCGCCATACTGTGGGGCTGCCGCATTCCGACACCTCTCATGTATCCATGGTCGAGATTTCGCCAATAATTATCAACACTGTTGTCATGATACATAGAGAGTCCCTGCTGGCGTTGATACAACTGGTGACCACATATATCATTGTGATGAGGGGGTTGGATTCTTGCTCCCGCGTTGGCATAGACAAGCTTTTTGCGAGGGTCAGGGCTCCGTGGGACCAAAGTTCTATTATGCTTCCCTTGAAAGCCATGAAACATAGCACGGGGGTTATCAGGTAATCCTGTCATTGGAATTCGATTATACTGGCGGGTCGAACCATGTCGAGCCGGCGAGCTCGAGGGATTCATATACAGAGTGAGAGCACCAGGGCCACCTCTTGGCCTAGTGACATCCTCTTCAAACACTGTTTCACCACTGGTAGGTCTCGAAGGTTTATGTTGACTCCATCGCAGTGGTTGCGGATAAAGGTCATAAGTAGGCTTTTCAGGCAACAAGTCAGAAAGTGTCCGTGGAGATGACTGGCTCGGCGAAGCTTCCAGGTCCGAATTAGACGAAAATGCAAACCCTATCTTTCTTGGACTAACGCCTCTCGCCGGGCCATTGTTATAGTCACTACCTGGCCTTGTAACGACCACTGCTGGGTTTTGAGGCCTGTACTCGAACGGGGACCTCAATCTTGAGGTTCCCAGGTTCTGATTTACAACACCAGACAAAGAGTTTGGTCCCGGAGTTGGGCGTCTAGACGGCAGGGCAAAATCAGAGGGTTCTGACATGGAGCCGCCAATCTCGAAGAAATTCCTGCCTTTCGCCAGCTGGTTCCTTCGTCTTATCTTCCTGCAACAGAAGAATATAATGACTCCGACAATGAAAAACCCCGACACACCTGAGGCCACCGATACCCCTATGACTGCTCCCGCATTCAGTTTGCTCTCTTTCGATGTCGCACTCGGGGATGGAGGCTGGTCACTAGTAATTCTAGAAGAGTGCTGTTCGGTGCTACTTATTGAGATCGGACTCTCGGTGGTGAAGAGAGTTGATGTACGTGATGTATGCGTGGTTTGGGAGTGTAGAGGACTCGAAGATGAAGACGAGATAGAACTGGGTGTTACTGTATTTTCAGCCGTTGTTTGCGTAGGCATCATGGCCACAACTGTAGCAGTGATAGTAGGATGAGTCCGTGGTAGAGCACCGGCCACCGAATCGCAGATACTATAGGCTGTTGAACTTAACACAGCCCCCAAGGAGCAAAAGGAGAGACTACAACGCAAGGCTGCTTCTCCCAATGTATAGCCGGATTTTGCGTATATCCTGCACAGGCAACTGGTGTCGAACCCCCGGGAACATGCATTATCCGGGTACTCCGTCTGGATAAAATTTGCGACACAATTGGCAGCGCATTTTGGAACACTATCGGTGGGCGAAGCCACCGCAGCTGTGTGTTGCAAGCCATTGGCACTGTTTGTCAAAACCAACGAGACTGCGATGAATAACACTTGAGGGTAGAACAATAACATATTGCGACGATCTAGTAGTATTATCTGGTCAGTCATCGTAACGACCTGGGCCATAACGAACGAATCCATTTCATAGATCCCGATTGACCTACCCCGAATTCAACGTCGCAGAGGACCGCTCATCTACCCCTAGAGTCATAGGGACAGGCAGACGACCATTCTAGATATCAAAGCCAAAGAAAAGGGTATAGACAAGCTATGCACTTTCGCGACAACTGTATCCAGGATCAAGAAGAAAGACAGTGAGAAATACATGACAATTAAGGCGCGGCGCATTCGAGTCCAACCCGCCATTGTTGGCGTCAAGCGGAAGGTCTCTTGTTTTGGCCATGACGCGGACTGGCTGTTAGTCGAGTAGATCTGCACCTAAGAGGAAATGTATGAAACTGCGCCCTTCTGTAGGCGCCTCGATGAAACGCAAAGCCATCGTACGCAGCGAAAGACACGTAGCCGGCAGGAATAGGTCTACACTGGCTGGCGCTTTGTGTGGGTGAGAACAGCCCAGGTGAACTGGATATACGCGCCAGGTTGGCGCCGAGTCTGCAACGAAATCTCGGTGATGTCAGGTCAGCTGATCCAAGACGCCTGGGCGCTTCAAGCCTAAAGAAGCCAAGAGTGTTAGGAATGGACTAATTAAAAGAAAATCCCAGCTTTGTGAACAAATTGGTTCAGCAAAGAACTTTATTTTAGCTTAAATTTCTGTGGCACGGACTGGGACCAATGCCATAACCAAGCTGGCAAATGCGCTTCTCTAGTAGCAAAGAGGCTCCAAAGGGTGCATGGGATATTAAAATCTTGTCATTGCCATCAATCATTAATACTAATCACTGACAAACAGCAAAACAAAAAGCCCAGTATAACAAAGGACCTGGTATCATCCGAAGAGAAGCAAAAGAAACGGACAGAAAGGAAACACAGTGGTCACAAATGATTAATAATAACAGAGCAAATGCGAAGCCCCATCACAGAGAACAGGCGATACGACCACCCATCAGTCCCATGCTTCAACGAACACGAATATGGGCTGCCAAGTGGCGGGGCTACATTAGGCGTCTCTCGGTCGGAATTGCGCGGAACAGCACGGACGACGACACAATCGTCCGTTTGATTTCAGAACGAGGAATTCAGGAGTGGGAAATGGTGAAGCAACGCAGTCTTTCGATCTCGATCAATCGTGGACCGAATCGGGCAGGGGAATCAGGGGCAGCATAATGTCTAGTACTTGAAAATAATGTACCTGAAAAGCGGAGGGTTAGCGAAGGCGCTAGGCAGCCAATAGCCTTTTATTATAGATAGCACATACAAAGCGTGAATAATGCCAGGAATCCAACCCAAAATGGTCAAACAGATGTTGATGAGGAGATCAGCACCACATCCTCGCTCCAGGAAGACACCGAGGGGAGGGAGAATGATTGCGAAAAGGATCTTGCAGATGTCACTATTTCCCAGATACATTAGCCAACAATATCCATTTGGAAATATTTGCATTTTGTTTCTTTCATTTTCTTTCCAGTCCAGAGAAAGAAGGGGTTGACATAAAAAAAAAACCCCCTGTTGATATGCCGGACGGGCAAAGGAACTACGACGGAACAAGCGGGAAACTTACGAAGCAGTGAAAGGCATTGTGATTTGAGAATCGATCGAGAGTCAAAAACGGTTCTATAGGTGTAGAGCTAACGGTGGATGGGAAGATGGAAAGAGAAACGACAAGAGTTGGGAAAGAAGAGTAGAATAGGGTGACGGGAGCGGAACGGCGGACTCTTAAATCATCGACGGCAAAATAAAGAACGGCAGGCAAGTCTTCTCCCTACATCCGTCCGACAAGACGACCGAATTTCATTCTAACTAGCCTGGAACTAACCTAACTATGGAGTACACTCTTAACTAACTACTGGTTCAGATTTCCCTTAGTCAGAAATCATCGTTGATCCGAACTGAGCACTACGTCATGCTTCCACAGCCAACTGTGGCTCATGCCTGTTTCTCACGACCCTCATTGGAGGACGATGCGACGATGAGACGTCGAATTTCCCGCTGCCTGGACTGCGATCCAGAGATTCGTCGGCTGAGTTTTACTTTCAGTCGGCCCTACGTCGGTGTGCAGACGCCCTTGGCGGTGCTTCAGTAAGGGCGGAATTCTCTGCTTTGCCATGGTCCATTATCCTGTTGCCTGGGAGAACGCTTGGCGCTCTTCATTGTCCCTTACGGGTCTTCGAGAGTCGACAGAGACTGAATTGAATGGCTGTCTGGGTTCTATATTTGATTGACGTATGCGGGCATGACTGTCAAATAAGACCCTATCATCTGTCAGATCTTAAAACCAGATCGATATTGTCTGGATACTCATGCTTAGTACCCGTCATCCTTTGCAAAGGTGGACCACACAGCCCTGCGGAGCACAGCCCTACCAACTATGGAGTAATCGTGCTATTCATATCTCTTGATTTAGGCATGATATCATAATCTTCTCCTAATTTTATATACTACTAAGTACGTGCCTATAAGGTAACTACTACTGAATGTGGACGCCATTTCCAACTATACGAGGCTGAGAAAGCACAGTCCTTGTTGCACCTACCTGCTCCTTAAATTGATTAAGGATGATTAAGGATGTCCCCATAGTATTGTGAAAAACTGGTTTCGCGATTTCTGAATGGAGGTTATGACTACACCCGTTAATGCAAGCGCCACCCACCCCTGTACGTATGATTCAGTGCCTTGTATCTAACCAGTAGTGCATTTCGGCATTTCTGTGTAGACTAGCTAACAAATAACTAATAAAAAGACCTAGTTAACCTGTTAAGTTACATTAACTAACTAACTAGTTATAACCACACTTGCTTATGCAATTAGGGAGTACCTTGCCTTAATAACTATTAACATAAATTCCACAGCCGCGAATTGGTATTCTTTTATAAAATGGCACCTTTGTAACGTATGACATCTCAAATATTCCACTATTATGCAGGCTTATATGAAGTAAATCTGTTCTATATAACTATATAAGTTAGATACAGGAGTATTTTATTAAATTTAATATATCCTAGTCTTAAATACATATACACAGCCTGCAATACAGTCCAATTTAGAATATCTAGGCAATTAACAATGCTGGTTACTTAAAATAAAATGCATAAACTATTTAGAGACTAAAAATAAGTCACCTTAAATACCAAATAAAAAAGAGGCAGAATGGTGGGTGGAGGTATCACAGTTAAAAAGGTGTCATATGGGAATACAAATCCGCAGGTCGTAATACGTTTAGTTAACTACATCTTACATCATTTTATGCACAACCATCATCATTCTCGTTTTCCTGTACCTAGAAGCTACCACCTGCTGTCTAACTGATCGAAATGAAAAATTATCTTGGACAAGACAATTCCCCTTCTGGATTTTCGAAGTCCAATGATCCAGATTACAGCCGAATGTTAGGAAATCTCTTGTTGATATCTCACCATTTCTCTAGAGGTATATCCACTTCTAGCCCCATTATGGGGTTAAGGACCTTGAGTTCCAATGGCATCTATGAGCACTCTACAGAACCGAAAAGTTTCAACCCTCCTACGCCAGGAAGATGGGGTATATGATATAGTCCTCACAGAGAATACTACTAATATGAAGCTCAACTATCATGGAGCTCCAGTAATAATGCATGTTTAAAATTATAGAGAGCACACCTGCTGCCTTCGGTTATAATAACTGTCGCGGTTTCAGGATATTACGATATTTTTTCCGCCCCGCCGTGAGGGAAAACGAGTGACGACGTGGGTTGACCCATTATATAATTGTCGGTCTTGGCAAAGAGGATTTCGCTCCTTGAGAATCTCTCAGGATTTAACTCCACCAGGCAGGGTGCAGGTCTCGAACATTTATTAACCGCCTATATCTCGACTGCGATTGTCGATCTCCATGCTTATATGTCGCTAACATTCGGGTGCACCCCGTCCTCTTTGCCAGCACGCCTGGCCGTCAAGCCAGGGCGGCTTCGGCAGATGTTGGGATGCAGTGGATTCCAAAGCCGTCGAGACCCATACCGACAAAGACTCAACCATGTAGCACAGTCTCTCGCAACAAAAGTGGACAGTCCCCGATTGGCTTATTCCTGGTTGACGCACACTCCTGAATTGATCGTATGTCTCCCCGTGTTTTCTCATGTCCATGCGACAAAGAACTAATTGTTCAAGAGACCCTAGATGATATTCTTTCCAGCCTCCCTCCTCTCCCGAGCTTGCGATTAGAGTCACAGCCCATCCCTATTCTTCTCGTCACCCCAAGCTTTGCCCCCTGGGTTGATACAGCCAGTACCTTTCTCGAGCAATGGATCAACCGGCTGTACCTTGGTCGGGATTCTCATGAACATGTGCATGCCTTTGTAGCAGTCATTGATAAGATACCCGGCTCCCCCCTGGAGTCGAATCTTGCCATAGAGAACAATGGTGTGTCTGAATTGGAGGGTATATCGGTTTTGTTTTCTACTGCGGGCGACATACAAGGAAAGGCCGCTGCGCCCCGTGGAGTCAGGGCCGCAAATGCTCAGGAGGCAGCTCTTTTGTTTTCAGTCCGAACGGGTGTTCCGAACATCCCCAACGGAAGCCTCCGTAGGCCAACTCATGAAGTTGGCCTACGTCTTTCCAATACAATATTCCTCAATGGGAAAGAGAACACCCTGTTTGGGACACGCTGGTCCTACAACGCCTCTTCGTCCAAGTATAGCCTGGATCAGACCATCGAATTGTCACGTTGTATTGTCACATCCACCACAGAGTCCATTCGCAGGATTATTGACCTCCCGCTACATCCTATTGGCAAGCGAAGGAGAGTAGTATCTAGCATGGGAAACATCCTTCGTCAGATAACTAAACATGTTGATGACAACTCGACGGAGCCAATGCCGGCTTCTTCCGAGTTAGAGGAAGAGCTTCCTCGTTACGTTGCAGAACATGAAATTCCTGGCCAGAAGGTTTCCGTCTGGGCCTTGATTGAGAGTCCCGAAATCAATGAAGCGAATCGAACTTCGAACGCACTTTCAGACATTATTCAATCGGGAGGCAAGCTGCACCACGTCATGAGTGGCGGCGGTGGATGGGGCAAAAAACAAGGTCTTTTGTCGCTAGATCCCGAAACCGGCTTCATGGACCTAGCTGATGATGGGGATTTATTGACCTCTGATGAGTTGTTTTCCTCCACAGCCCCGACATCAGTACCAGACATGCCACCATCGCTTGACAACCCTATGCTCATGGGCGAGCTGTCGTCTCTGTCACAGGTTGTCCGACCCGGTGACTACATCCAATTCTATGTATCAATTACCTCAGATTACGAAAGTGCCAGCCAGGCAGAGGTCCTGACTCCACAGGGGAGCGCCTCATACCATTTTGGGGTCGTGTCAGATACTGAAAGCCGTGCGGTGCAGACGGCCGCCGGCACGGAACATAAATATTTGGCCTTCGCTCCTAATCACTTTGGGGCCTTGTCGGAGAAGGCAATTACCTATTTACAACCCGTCAATCCAGCCAGGTCGGAAGAAGTGCTTGAAACCGGCACCAAACTCAACATCCCTGGGTCCCGGGTTACATTAATGCTTGAATAAAGTGCCTTGGCTCCACCGACCTCAATGTGTACTAGATAGATTTATTTCTCATTGCCATATTCACATACACACATTTAATGTAGGCCTTGTAATTATTGGATGCGTTCCGGCTGCGACAAGCGGGAAGTCACGTGTCAACAGTTCCGTCAGCCTCCCCGAAGCAACCAGCGTGTTCGCCAGTCCCATCTCCGTCTCGCACCTGAAATCCTTCGCATCATCGCAACGGTTGTCTACGCGGCATTCATCTGCCCTCTCTTGTTTATATAAGCTACCTCGATAGTTCCCCTACCCATCTATTTCTCCTAAGCTCTTCGATCTTTCCGAAATGGCCACTGAACTTTGGTATGTAATCCCCGACTCGACTCCTTTTCCTCTGCCATGACCACGCACCCGACTTTGGTTTTGATGATGCTCTGGGAGTTTTCGAAGCTGTTTATGCTAATTTAGTGTATCTGTAGTCCCGTCTATGCGGTAGGTCCTACCACTTTCCTTTGTTGTTCACCATTGCAAAGCTCTACGCTAGCCGCGGATCAGCTCTGTCTTGATGCAGCCCCGGGACGCTACGAGATTTCATCTAAAGAAGCACTTGTTTCCTGTTCAACACAATAACTAACATTTAAACTCTATAGCCCTTCTTCGGTGCGCTGGGCTGCACCTCAGCTATCGTCTTCACCTGTTTCGGAGCCGCCTATGGAACCGCCAAGGCTGGTGTCGGCGTCTGTGGAATGGCTGTGTTGCGGCCCGATCTGATCGTTAAGAGTACGTCTTCCTCGTCATGTATATCTTGTGCAAGGACTCTGGATGTGTCTGAGTAGATCAAGAATAGCTCTGACGTGACTATAACTTTAGACATTGTCCCCATTGTCATGGCCGGTATCATTGGTATCTACGGGCTGGTCGTGTCGGTTTTGATTGCCAACGACTTGCAACAAAAGGTTGCCCTGTACACAGGATTCGTTCAGCTGGGAGCAGGTCTCGCCGTCGGTCTGGCCGGTATGGCAGCTGGGTAGGTTCACCATCCCGGATACTTCGGTCAGCATGTTGGACTATATTCGAAACTAATCATGCGATCTTCCAGTTTTGCCATTGGTATTGTTGGTGACGCTGGTGTCCGCGGAACAGCCCAGCAACCCAGACTCTACGTTGGCATGATTTTGATTCTCATTTTCGCTGAAGTCTTGGGTGAGTCGGAGCTTAAGACCGAAAACATCTCGCAAGATTATGTATGATTTCCTAATTGCGTCACATTTCACAGGTCTTTACGGTCTTATCGTCGCCCTTTTGATGAACTCCCGTTCCACTATCGAGACCAAGTGCTAAGCGAGCACCTCGCTCTCCGTACAACAAAAGCATAGCTTTCCCTTTGTGTATGGACTATATTAAGAGGGAGATAAAGTGGTTGGTCCTCAGTTTTGCAGCGATTGACGTGAGTGCTGCATTGTTTTTTGCACCTAGAGAGAACGGGCGTTCCGGTCGTTTTGTTCTCTCTTAGAGGCAGGAAAGCAAAGGAGTCAGACGGAGAAAAGGAGAAGCGAAGTGGCTTTGGAACTGTCTTTCATACTGGTCAAGGAATTCCTTTTTAATGCCGACGTGCTGGCCTAGACTGTAGACTAGGACGAAGGTTGAATGGGGGAGGAAGCGAGGTAGATACATTGCATCGCCAAGGTCTGCGCTGGGCTGTATTTTATGGGTGTCGTTCTGTGTGTGATCCTACTTGGGATCTTTACTTCCGCAATGCTGAAATGGTTTCCTTTTTTGTCTTTCCTTTGTCTTTCCTGGTCCCTATTTATTTAGTGTGAATGTTTTATATTATAGTGGTACTTATATCTAGCTGTTTGTTATTTGCATGGATTTTCCCGGTTTTGAATTCGACCTACGTATGAACTTTGCATAAACCCATATGAATATCAAGTAGTTGCAGAGTAATTGGTTGAATTTACTGGATATAAAGTACGAAGTATCCATAGAAATCAGATAGAGAATGCTAGAGATGAAATTTGTGCTTATTCAAAAATAAATAAATAAAAACTAAAAGACAAGTTGCAAGAACGTATGTAAATGATACTGTCTATTGAATGGACAATGCCCCAGAGGTATGCAGAAGTATAATGGATATGGAGCCAGCAGAAGCCATAATAACAATGAACAACAGAAAAGGAACGTAGAATAACAGAGCCCCTACTCTACCTGGTTAAACAAGGACACATGTAAGGATTCCTAGGAGAGGGGAGGAGATTCGAAGAGGGAAAAAAGCTAGGTAGGCAGACGATGAACCAATACAAAAAGGGATCTAACACGTTACCCCACCCAATTCGACTCAGTTAGGCCTTCTCAAGCTTCCGTCGCAGCGTTCTCGTCCTTCGCAACAGCTTCTTGAGCTTGTGCTTCTTCATCTTCAACCTGCGCCGTCTCTTGGTACTGAGAGCGTGCATTGTTAGGTTGTTACGGAGACGTTCAATGTAGGTGGACTCGGAGCCATTCGGGACGTCGATGATGCCTTGGTCCTCCTCGGCGCTAGGAGCATCCATCTCGGTAGTGCGAACGAACGGGCCCGTGTGGGCTTCGTAAGTCTTGCGACCGTCGGCGTGAGTGGACTCGTGGATGGTCAGGACGGTCGAGTAACTGGAAATTTCCTGTGTGTGCAGGTCTTCCGACTCGGCATCCATGTCTCTCGCCGCCAATTCCTCGAACGGCACAGGCGGCGGTGGCGGGTGGAAAGGACGAAGACGTTTCGCGAGTTCTTCGATGGAGATCTTCATGTCTGACATGTTCATTCCGTCCAATTGGCCACCCTCCATTTCGAACCCGTTCACCGACCCTTCTTGCTCGGCGGCAACTTGAAAGGCGTTCTCCATGGAGTGGACGGTCGAGGACAGGGTGAGCATGACATCATCAGTTTCTTGTTTCGTAGGCCTCTTCATGGTGAATATGGCATCGAAAGCTTCGGAGCTTGAGGGGGGAGGAACAGTAGTAGAAACGGAGATGGGTCGATGGATGGAGAAGAACGACGCAACATGTACATCTATAACAATCATAAGGGAAAAAATTTTAGTTGGTTTGTAACCGTAGAAAAGTATATATTTCTCAAAAATACTCGGACCTACCATGTGGCTGCAGATGCTGAGTCGAGGGAACACTGGGCAATCTGGAGAAGGCTGTATGCTGGTTTGACTTAGAACCGTTACGGCCGTTGCTGTCTTTCCCCTTCCGTCTGGACGCTTTTCCCTCGCGCTTCTCCCCAGAGTTCACACCTTTCGCCGGGGTCTGGGAAGAAGCATCGATCCTTCGGGAGCCATCGCTGGGTTTCGAGGAGGAAGAGGAGTATCGGCGTTGACGCACCTGCTGTGTTGCGCCGATGAGGCCGTTGGAAAAGGTAGTAAGAGCCTGGCTAGACGAGCGAGATATGCCGGTTATGGGCACAATAGGCGCCCATACAGCCTGGCGTAATGAGTATGACAACATTTTCCGACGTCGAAGAGCCCAGGAACTGGGTGACGAGAATGTCGGGAATAAAGCCGTGTAGAGAGCCGGAGGCGAAATCGAGGTTGAGCCGATCATGCGGAAGCCCAATTAGGTATAGCCCGCACCCTGACACCTGAGGCAACACAGGTCTGATCAGGTGATCCAGTCAATCAGCTAAAGTGGATACTACAAAACAAAGGCCTGTTCATAAAAGAAAACCCATATACTTGCAGAGTATGTATACGCTTTAACATTAATGGCTTGAAACAGCTATTTACCGCTCGCAATGTCAATGTTTATACAAGCACGACCTCTCCAAAGCTAATACATGTACACCGAATGATTAATTCCAAAACAACTTGACGGTGGTCCCGGGTCATTTCCAATATAGAATAGTGAGCACCACATACCAACCTCACTGCTGGGTATCTATCATCTCTTGTATATGTTAGCCCCAACTAGTCGGACAAATCAATTGTAAGATCCCACTGAGTCGGATTCAAGAGAGATAAACAAAATCCGCTCCCTAAGAGATTATGGAGGTCAGGTCAAACACACGCAAAAACAAGAAAAGAGAAAGGAAACTGAGCGAAGAATAGTACATAATTCTCAGGAAGAAATACGGAAAGTGTAAAAATAGAAATATCGTCAAGTATTGAGATAGGGAGAGAAGAAATAGAACAAGAGATGGTATCAATATGGACCATACAAGAGCCCGTCGCTGAAGCAAAGGAAAAGAAAGCAATCTGGCAGTATCAGCTTTTGAGGTAGTATGACGTGGGAACAATATGGATAATCCAATCAAGAACGCTCTACCAAAGCGTCCCTAAAAACGAAGAAAAGGATATATAAAAAGAAATGAATACATCAAACAAGGAACAAGCACCACATGTCGTGGGGGAAATCGCTCAGGAAATGCAACACGAAATAATGGTAGAAGGGTGAAAAGTTTGCATCTCATGTTCACGGAAAACGTCGTTAAGCCAATCATCTCTGGTGAAGCAGTCTATAAGATGAGGGTATGGAGGTTTTTCTGGATGATCATGTCCTGTACCGAGTCCATGGTTGCCTTGAGCAACGTTGTATCGGTGGCATTCGTGTAGTGGATATAAATCTCTCGATCGGGAATTCGGTTAATGCCGCGGAACCTATCAGCAAAATACCTGGCCGCCGCGTCGAAATCGGAATTAGAGCCGTTGAAATCCGGGAAATGCTTGGAAACCGGTGAAATTCCGAGCTTTCCCTTGAAGAGATCAATCTTGTTCAAAAACAATATAATCGGCTTTCGCTTGAACCACTCGCCATTCACTAATGACTCGAAAAGCATCATCGCCTCATGCATTTGGTTCTTTGAGGGGAAATTAGTCAGGTTCTTCTTCATATAAAGCAGGAAGGCAGGGCAAGGCGAAAGCTATGATTGAGAACTTACCGCATTCTGGTCTTCAACAAGACATTGGTCGTACCCAGATAAAGCGACCATGAAAAGGAGACATTGGACACCCTCAAAGCAGTGAATCCACTTTTTCCGCTCAGATCGTTGTCCACCTACATCCATCATGCGAAAATTCATTTGGCCGAGTTCAAACAGAGTTTCCGTGATTCCTGTGGTCCGCAAGCGGGCTTGCAGCATGTCTTGATTGTCAGGAAGCCAGTCACTTGCAAATATCCGATCGAGAGAGTTGAAGAAGCTGATGAACAGTCAATACTTGCCCGTTACGGGAAAATGCAAAGTTGAAACTCACTAATGAAGGTTATCATGAAGGGCAAATTCATGCCCTCGGGCAACAGCTTTTTGAACACCGCTATCATCCCACATATCCCTCATGGCATCACGGACCTTAAGATCTGCGAAAGACTCGTCGGATCCCACATCAGGCTCTAGATTATCGATAAGTCCCGCCAACGGCTGAGCACAGAAAAATATAGGTCAGTCTTAGAAGCCAAAAAAAAAAAAAAAAAAAATGGAACAAGGGCTTATGGGTATACCTTCGTGCTACCATACTGAAATTCAATATTCTCTGCACGCATAATCTCCAACAAGACCTTAAATGCAATGACAATATTGGAATATATTACTGCACGTGTTTGTCGGCGCTCATCCTCGGGGAAGCCTCCAGAGTGGATAATGCGCATTTGCTTTATAATAGTTGATTTTCCCGACTCGCCAGCACCTACACAGATAATAGGTAAGTCCGAATTCGGTTTTCAAAAAAAAGAAAAAAACCAAAACCAAAGACTGAACATGACGCATACCAAGCAGAAGGATTTTGATTGTCCGATCCATCACTTTCTTGTCATTCTTCAAAGCCTTGTCGATTCTAGCATTTTGTTGGACTGCCTCCTTATCATCTGCATTAATAGGCTTTGAACTCATGCAACCCATTTTGTATACTAAGGATTGCAAGGATCACTGTAGAAATCAAAGAGAAAAAAGTCAGCGGGAATGCGGAAACCAGTCGCTCATAGAAAAGAGTCGATGCCGACATGCGACGAAATCAAGAGTCCAGGTGCATGCAAATAGTTCCCGAGCTGAATCAGGGATACGCCCATCCCATGTCAGCAGGCCATTCGCAGGACCATTATCGAGACATGTATTGACGATAGAACTCCAAATACGAGGTTACAGATCGACTTCTTTGGGGCATTACTAACCGATTATGGAAATACAAATAACCAACAGAAATCAACTTTTGTTTCTGTCCGGAACGCAGTGAATATCGCAGTTCCTCGACAGAGGCAACAAGAGCATTCAAATTGTCTGATCACCGAGCCTCGGGACACTGACAAGGCACAAGCAGTTTGTTGAGGCTGTCGAGAAGCCTCCCCACTTCAAATTCCCGTTGCAATGAAGATGAACTCCCACTGCAAATTAAACCAACAACCTTTGTCGCCACGGCAAATCCGAAGGATGTTTCTGAGATACGAAATCGATTAAACGAGCGAAACAGGGATCCACGAAGAGCCGAGAGGGAATTCCAGCTCCGACTGGGACCGGGTTGTACTGCAGACGTTGACGTTCCAAAAATCCGGAGGTTCGGTCAGCTTTAAGTAGAGACACCAGTGATTGTTCGCGAGTCGATGGGAGAGGGCGGCAAAGTGTTCCAAAAGAGAGATGGAGGGAGGGAGAGCGAGCGAGAAGGAGGAAAAGAAAGTTGCTCTTTACTACCGATGGGGATTTTCGGCTCTGGAAGCGGATTCGGGGGCTCGTTAAGGCGGGTCTGGATTCCGTTCAGATACTGACGGATTACGATTAAGTCCCGGAGAATGATACAGAGGGGGGAAATAGAAAAATGATCCGGTGTCAGTATAGGAGGACGTAGTACATCTCTGTCGTCCCACAGCAGCCGAGCGAAAATTGAGCCACAAACGATGACGAGGGGAGGGAAGAGGGAGAGAGAAAGAAGCAGTGAGAATCGGGATGAATGATGATGACCTTGGTATAATCGGACAGTCTGGAAGTGTAAGCAACCGAAGTAGCGTCGTCAATTTGTTGACTATATTCCATCAAGTCTGATCGGAGGGGAGGGGGCCATTGTGGCAGCGCGGGTCAGCGACTCACTAAACTAGTTATTAGCGGAGATTGGGAGTAGTCATCATGCAGTGGACTTTTAGTTCGGCGTGGCCTTTGGGTCTCACACCGTCTAAGAAGGTTTCTGGCGGGTAGCAATGCACTCCCTTAGTCAGAACCTTCCATGGTTTGGTTAGTCGAATTCCAGCGAATCTCTTCTAGTCCTGTTAGTCGCCCGTCTAGCTCCGTCTAGTCGCTTGGCTCTAGCAAGACCCAGTTGCACTTTGACTTTCTCTATTCTCACTCTCTAGAATTGCGACGTGGACTGCCATGTGAGTGGTGTAGGGGACCGCCCGTCGCTCCACTCCTAAGATCCATTCAGGATTCTTCGTTCATTCTTGTCTGACCAGGTTCGTTAGAGCCGATTGGAGCTGGAGAATAAGGTAAGGTCCGTAAAGGCTAGCCATTACCCAGCCAGGTAGAGGTTCCTAAGAGCCTAAGGTACCTGGTCCTACACTGCGATCAGGTTAGAACATTCCATCCATCCAGAGTTAACCCGTAAGGTATAGGTATATTCCATCCACTGAAAAATTACCTCAGATCCGAATGAGATACGGTATACCCAGTACTACAGAGTTTGAACAAGGGAAATGGATAGGCACATCGATCCATGCTGACCACCCATGAATTGATTCTTCATCCCTGGCCCCCATTTGATGACCATGCAGTGAAACCTAAAATAAGATGTTCCTCCATACTGTCTAATTTTGGATATGATGAACCATTTCTTTCTGCTTTTTGCACATACATACATACATATGCACCCTCCAGTCGATGCAATCTGACGGTTGACCATATCACCAACACGCACAAGATACGCCAGTAGACCCAGTCTCAAACTCAAGTTCCCACTGTACTAGCAAACACTACAACCGAACAGCGCCACGAGGCTCGCTTTCGATGCATTGGCAATTAGGCATGCACAGATCGACGGTGTATTTATTTATTTGCTTTGAGCAATTGGAGGACTGCTCCTTTTGGAATACGATCCAAAATCCGAATGGTTACAAATTCCATCAGCAAATCCATTGGACGTGTCTCCACGAACCTGGATGTCCCCCCCAATTTTTCCCTCGTAGGGATTGATTATCTACCGCTTATGAAGGAATAAAACTTATGAAAAAAAAAAAAAAAAAAAAAAAAAAAAGGAAAAAATAACCATTCCTTTTCATTTCCCCCTATTAATTCAACACGTCAAGACGATAGGGGAAATAGGCCAGAAATGAGTACCTCAATCAACCCCCTAAATTAATATATTTAAAAATAACTTGAATCTCGCTAGCGACAATTCGTGCTTCCTACAGCGAATGCTGGACATCATCACACCCCACGGACATAGGACTTACCATCAATTTGAATTAACAATACGAAGCATCTACCTATCTACTTATTAACTGTTACTAATAGGTACTCCGATCGGAGCATCGTAATAAAAGCCGTTACCAGGATTGTTGATTAATTTTCGAGCCATGTATCGTCCATGGAAGCTCCTGTTTCTGATTGATCGAATCCCAGTGCTTTGTTCCCTAATTTATACGGACATGAGTACTCGGTAAGAAGTATAGGGAATCCATAACTGACTCTTGTTTTGGTTTTTCCCTCTGCCAGATCAAATCCTGACCCCTAACCAGCAGCGTCTATCTTTACAGGTGTCCAAATGCCTAAGGCCCTCCTATACAGGAGACACTTAAAATATTAACAGAGACCAAGAAACAACCGAAGCCGAACTCTTCCCTAAAGGAGAAATAGCAGAGTGGGGGTCGCTCAGCTCGGCTTCCGTGCTTCCGGTTTCATCTACACAGCGAGCCAAACACCGTCGCTGCTCTAAGGCAGGGGGGTCCTTTTCAGCCTGTCAGGATCAGTCAGTCAATGTGCGATACAAAGGATCGATCCCTCGGGTTTTCTTGCTAGGAATGACAGTAAGGAACTAGAATACAAACAGCATATGGCTATCTCCTGTCCCAAATCATATCCCAGTTAGTCCTTGTGCAAAAATAAGCCATCCATAAATTGAAAAAGACTATTTATGAGGCAGGCAATAATTGCAGATAGAGATAGTCTAAATTCACATCATTGTCGATCAGCACTGAAGCTAATCAGGCTAGTTCAAGATTACACTGCAAAAGATATGTCTGTGCGTGATGTTTGGACCAGAAACTGTGGTCCTCCGCTCCATCGTTGCATATACTCTGTAGGATTTGTGTTTCATCTCTTTATTCACTCAATAATTGGAAATACTATAGTAAATACAAGGCTTCGAAGCAGTCCTATTGTGCGATCAATACAATACTTCACTGAAAACGACCAAAAACGACTCACCGCTATTATATGGATAATCGGGAGAACAAGACAAGGTTGAACCAGTCCGATAGCGTTTGTGTTGCGCTCCGCTCCATTCCATTCAAGATCATTGGGACATTCAGGGCAACACAGTGGCCGAACATCGAATAATCCTGTCAAGCATCTTCACAAGACTGGGTTATACGTCCGAGGACAGAGCAACGCGAAAACAAAAGAGGGGGTAAATATACATAGAACATAAACCCTACGGAGTAGAAGTTCAATGGTCAGCAACCTACTTGCACTACCAGGTGTGAGGCGCATGGCTCTCAGATGAGGTTTACACTCGTTCTGAAAGGCAATTGGCCATATGGCATCCCAACAAAGCATTCAGCCGTGGCTTACGCAAGGATACCAATAAGCTACGCTTGGTGCTAGGAATCTCCGTGTCACTCAAATTACTTAAATGTCCAAAGTGAATGAACCCGGTAGTCGGGCCAGGATGATCATATTAAGATAGCCCCACGAGCATTCATAGTAATTGATCTACTAGTAGCAAAGTACTCCGCGTCACTGCAGCCAAGCAGCTGTGTGTTATACATACTTGTGCACGCCTTAAGGCACTCTTTGGGGCACGTACTCTGGTTTTAAATCTGTCTGCATGATTTTAACGGCGCGAGCTTGATTGGAAGTGAAGCGAGTTGCGCCTCCCAGTGTATTACGCAAAACATGTTTATACATACCACATATACAATGATCACAACTGACAGAAAATCAGCAAGTTATGTAACAAATATTACCACCACTCATACATACATACATACATACATACATACATATATGTATATGTACATACTATCGTGACCGCATTTCTTTGGGTGAGCCGAGCGTGGTGTTGTTGATATACAATTTCAGGTACCGGAGTTCTCTCTCTCAATGCGGATATTCATGCATCTTAGCTACACCTTAATTTTGTAAAAGCCGTAATAATGACTCTATTTTTCCACTTGAAGAAGAGTAGGCTATTTATTGTTAATAAATAAGGAACAATAAAAAAAAGAAGGGGTGTGAGCCCGACCGGATTTGAACCGATAACCTTTCGATCTGGAGTCGAACGCGCTACCGTTGCGCCACAGGCCCATTTATATTGTAAATTATAATTTTATTTGAATTTGTAAGCCCGATTATTAGACATCCTATGCCCAATGACTTTTGGCATCAACAACATTATAATACAGTTCATTCAGGCAGGTCAGTGGTATTGAATCATATTCAGTAATTTAATACTGAAAAAAAAATATATCTGTATTAAGTATATGTTACCAGGTACGGAGTAGATAAGCTATATTGGAGTGCGTCAAGTAAGTGTGCGTGTACCTGGGCATGATCTAGGACAAAAATATATATATATAGAACCACGTAGAAAATATACAAACAAAAATCACACTCTGCATAACCAGAGCCTAGGGCAGGGGCTTGATAGGGCTGAAATGCCAAGCCAGAAATCCACAATCAACTGCCAGCCCAATACAGCATGTCAGCACGTTACACAGATATAGATAGGTAAAAAACTCTCTCGACAAGAGAGGGATTGAATGTCGGGAAGAGCATCATGGCGATCACTCGATATGTCACCGTGAGCATCAGCTGATCAGGATACTAATACATAAGAATAAAGTGCTGCGTTTCCCTCTTTTATCCACTAAAGAGCAATATACGACAAGTACGGAGCGCCTAACGCCTTATTTCGGGTAACTACTGCACGACACCCACCAGGCTTAACCGATAACGGGTGGTCTTGGAATCATTATGCTATAACTAGTCTAGTCCACGCAATGAGATTGTAGGTTGGCCTGGACAGGGCGTGTAATGACTTATGGAGTATTGGCACCCGCCATGTGGGAGTGTGGAGCAAAGAAGTAATTCCAGGTCACTGGGACTACGTTGACTCCTCACCCAGGATTGGCCAGGGACAATTAGAATGTCCGTACTTGAAGTATCTAAGTAGTAGATGGGATGCATCCTATCCTGCATGTCATACACTACACTGGCCGGACCACTATATATCTCCATTGCCTATGCTTTGTAGGTTGATTTTAGCAGTATTCGGAGAAGAACATTAGGGGTTACTGCTTGTCACATACTCTGTTATCTGTGGGGTGTTCCGTAACGTGGAGACAACTGGAGACTGTACTTCGGCGAAACAGGCTAAGGATCTAACGATATGACACTCGAGATTATAAGGAAATAAAGGAAGGACAAACACTTGGCTCTGGATATTGCGCACTTCTCTTCTGCAGAGTAGTATGGTATGGTCTGGGATATTTTGATCTTGCAAAGCCTTCTGAGTACATACGTCATTTTGAGAAATTTTGAGAAATTTATTTAGCATTTCTTATGGGTTGTGATACAGTAACAGACATGATCATACGACATGTGCTACATATAGTAAAAGTAAGGTATTTCTTTTTGGCCTATATCTAGGAAAACTATATAACGATCTATAAGATCAATAAATAGTCTTAGGAGGGGTGGTATGTTTACTGTGTCTAGATATGAACTCTGTGATGTAGCACGTTTAGCTCAAGGGGGAAACAGGAACAGACACTCTCATTGATATTAGTGTACCTTGTTAGTTCGTTGAAGCCTTTGAGACCGTAGGTTGTACGACAACCAAGCGAGAGGTACGGCGAACCGTACAGACCAATATAGCATTTCGTTCCTTCCCAACACGGTAAACAGAGCAGAACGCAACATGTAATAAAATCCAGAGATTCATGGCCCATGCGCTTAATCATCAAGTGGGCCATTTATTGGCCTTTACCATGCATGAGCCATGCACCTTTCCTACCACTTGCTATTTTTGGTACTTCTAAGTCCGTTGACAGTTTTTCCAACAAGGGAAAAGCCAAAAGCAGCGTATAATGTACTCTGAAGAGGTAAAATAGGAAAAAATGAATCGCATGAACCCGACCGGATTTGAACCGATAACCTCTCGATCTGGAGTCGAACGCGCTACCGTTGCGCCACAGGTCCAGGCCTGTTAAATTGAAGTTGCCTTTTTGATTATATAAATTAGTCTTCTTATTTTGAATATATTCCTTTCTCTTTTCTAATCTCCGGGTTTTACTTCTGACAGTCAGTATAAACCTTGACTCTATACAGGTTTGCGAGGCAAAGGGCCGTGAATATGGGTGCAAATATGCCAATAGCAAGACAGAATGTGTTTTTCATAGCAGTAACTTTTATACATTGTTCAATTTTATGGTGGAAAAAATTCATATTGAGCGACCAGCAACTCGATCTCCAACTCTGCAAGATCCTTTCTTTTCTTGAATTCCCTAACCGGTCCATAAATATTACACATGCTAATCGCTTATAGGACCGGTTTGTTTTCAGTGAATTTGGGTCTGGCGTTCCAACTTCAGATTGGCGAAGACAATAAGTCTATCGTCTATGGAGTTTAAATATTCCAGAGCTGCTTTGTCATATCAACAGAGTGAATGGTTACCATGCGCGATCCCCAACCAAGACGAGAACCAACTTATACCAAAAAGGAAATGCCTGTTTTTATAAGTGTACGCCCTCCCACCCGCCAAATATAAAAAAAAAAAGCGGGCCTTAGGTGTCACTTTCTGAAGCTGGATGCAGTACCAAAGAAGGAATCGACCTGCGAGATGAAGCCGGCACCTCATGCCTCGTTCATAAAGGGGATCTGGGCTCCGATTTAGTGGTTAATTCCCCATTTATTGCCTTTCACACTCTCATTACCCATAGAACTAGGTAGAAATCTCATCCGACTATGGGGGAAGGAGACAGGTTTGAGCTGGAAGAATATAATCAAAGCCCCAACTGATATACCATTTGACAAGGGCAATTATGAGGCCCATATCCCCACCAATATCTTCATGGGAGAGGGCCTGGAGTTAATACGTTTCAACCGAAAAGGCGACAAGTTGCTCCGTATCAAAGGCCTCTCCAGCCAGCAGAAGAACCTTGGTTACTCTGGAAATGCTTGCAGACCGGAGGTATGCTGTTCATAGGAGATCCTCTAAAATGGCCAACACGGGCAGATGATATTTGGATATTTTTGAAGAGGCAAGCTTCCATCCTCCCTCATATTGTTAATGACACATAAATAGTGGCTTGGGTGAACCAAAAGATTTTTGGTTCACCCCATGTACAGTAATCATCCTAGGATTGCAGTTGTTCTCTCCAGGATACCTCTCCAATTCACGCAAAACTGCACAAATGATTAAAAACATTTGACATCTCTGTGAGATCAAGAGCATGAAAAAATTCAGAAACGGGACCATGGAAGAATTAAAGCTGAGAGGAAGATGTGAAAACGGCGGGAACTGGAGTTCGATATCATGGCTTTTTGGCCAGGTGTCGATGAGTAGTAGGCAAATACTCAGTTAAGTAGTAGGGAAATCTATTGTACATGGAAGCAAGGAGAATAAAATAGTGTGCATTCGGTATGTGACAATCCTATCAAAGGTTTTATTCGATTGTGAGAATGGATATACAAGCCACGCAACGTGAGAAATGATCAGACTTCCCTACATATATCTTAAAGCGGTCCGACGATCGAGGTTCCTTATAGTCTGGTAGCCATTGAGTGTAGAAATTGTCAAGAGAGAGGAAAAAAGAGATATCCTAAAGGAAGAGGCATGAAAAAGCACCATAAGGGCAGAATTAATCTTATAGAATCCTACTCGTCAAATACTAGTGTCGATACAGAAATACCACAAATATGGCTCTCCAAGAGTCCATCGGTTTTTAGGTGCTTGAATGGTAATTTTCCTGAATCAATAACTAGTTAACTATAAAACTAACTTAGACGTATTTTTAGCGTATTTTCTGGACCACGATGAGCTGGCACCCGCTTACGGAACATGGTTACCTGGATAGATATGATTTGCAAGACGCTCGGATTTACTAGTTAACCCGAAGTTGTAGTAAGCTAATTATTCAAGCCTGGGACCAATAGTTGGCCTGAAGAAACCGTTTAGAACAACAAAAGCATCAAGTTGAACAATCAGCTATGTGACAAATATGTAATATACACAGAATTGGTGGAGCTGTCTGCCTCACAATTTTACATTCTGGCTCTTGAAAGAATCATCCAGTTGGATTCCTATGTTTGACTTCTGTTTACACTAGGCTTATATAAGCTACCCCCCTGGCAGGCATGTCATCTACATATCACAAGCGTCGCTCGGCATAAGACATGAGCTCCGACAAACAGCTATCCTTCAAGGGCTGTAGCCTCAGGCAGGTCATCATGGTGCATCCATTTGCGATTTTATCTTTTATTTCAATTTCCTACTATCTCTGGTCTCTTTTACCGGGTTTGTCAACCACTCACCTATTGTTGCCAAGTCCACTGACTCATGTGCATATAGCAAGCAGTCCGTCTGAGCATATCCCCCCCCAGTGCGTGGCATCTTCAGTTTGCGAGACACCTGAATGTGTGCACGCTGCTTCTGAAATTCTTTACAATTTAGACCCTAACCATGTGAAAATCGATCCTTGCACCAACTTCGATCAATATGTTTGTGGAGGTTGGAGAGAAAGACATGACATGCGTCCTGATCAAGGGTCGATATTTGCCGGCACTTTTATGGCCGAAGAAGCTCAGTCACGACTCCGTCATGTACTGGAATCGCCAGAAGACCCTGAGCCATCGGACGCCAAGAATATGGGGAAATTAAAAGCGGCCTACAGTGCATGTATGGATGAAGCAGCGTTGAAGGATCGCGGTAGCAAACCATTGCAGGACCTACTCGCAAGTTTTAAGAAAGTATATGCTGTAGGGTCTACCACAAGTGCTGACGTCAACCTGACAGATGCAATTCTGCATCTTATGGAGTCTGGCGTTGAAGCCCTGGTGTCCACTTTTGTATCAGTTAGTTTATCTCCTTGTTCTCGTACTGTAACCGCGCTGACCATTTAGCCTGATGATCGTGACCCGGACTCGATTGCTGTTTTTGCTAACCCACTCCGCGAAATCGGACTTCCGGCAAGAGAGTATTACAACAACACTAACCTGGTGGCCGAATACTCCAAGGTGCTGGATGAGGTCCTTGCTAAGTTTGTTGATACCAAAACAGACAGTGCCATCAGTGATGTGGTAGCATTTGAAAAACGATTGGCCGATGTCACTCCAGACACGCAGTCCCAGGAAGATGTGACCAAATACTATAACCCGTTGAGTGTTAAAGATACGCAGTCACTTTTGCCGCAGATTTCCTTATCTGGAATCATTGCAGCTTTGGGACCTACGGATTACAAGACCGACCGCTTGATTGTCGGCTCCCCCTCGTATATGAAATCATTGTCGACTATTTTGAAGGAAACCCCAAGGGAGACAGTGCAGCTATATTTCCAATGGAAGATTATCCAGGCATATGTGGACTATATTGAAGATGTGAAAATGAAGCCTCTGCTGGAATTCAACAACAAACTTGCAGGCAAAAACCCGCAGGCTACTGAAGATCGGTGGCGCAAATGCATCGCGACCTTGGATGAAGACCTAGGTTGGATTCTTAGCCGGTTTTATGTCCTTGACGCCTTCTCTGAAGCATCAAAGAATCTTGGTGACCAAATCGTCTCCGATATAAAAGAGCGTTTTATGTTTACGCTCCACCAGACAGACTGGATGTCTCCCGAGGTGAGAAAACTGGGAATTCAGAAAGTGGAAAACATTGTGCAAAAGATTGGTTATCCAAGCAAGAGTCCCAATGTGTTGGATCCGGCGGATGTGGAGAAGTATTACGCGGACCTGAAGATATCAAATAACACACTCTTTGAGAACTCTCAAGCCGCCGCGAAGTTTGGTCTCCGAAAGGCATGGTCGAAGCTCGGGATGCCAACGGATCGAAATGAATGGAGTATGACCGCCCCGACTGTAAACGCATATTACAATCCTCCTGGAAACGAGATCGTATTCCCTGCGGGCATCATGCAGCCTCCAACCTTTTATGGCCCGGCCGCCCCTCTCTACCTGGCATATGGAGCGTTTGGGGCGGTCAGTGGGCATGAACTTTCACACGGTAAGTAGTGGACTTGATAAATCCGATACGGATGACTTCCGCTTATACTGTGTTGCAGCCTTCGACTCGACGGGTAGACACTACGATGAGACTGGGAATTACACCAATTGGTGGGATGACAAGACGGTGGAAGGCTTTGAAAAGCGGGCACAGTGCTTTGTCGACCAGTATTCCAACTTTACCATACCGGGAGAGGATTCAAAGCCTCTCCATGTGAATGGACGTCTAACCCTCGGGGAGAACATTGCAGACGCTGGAGGTCTCGCGGCGGCCTTTCATTCTTGGAAAAAACGCGACGAAGCGTCCCCTGATCCTCATCTTCCCGGACTCTCTGAATTCACCAAGGAGCAGCTTTTCTTCGTCTCGTATGCGAACTGGTGGTGTAGCAAGACGACGCTCGAAGCCGCCCGAGAGGCCATTTTTAACGACCCACACGCCCCCAAGCCGGCCCGGATCATTGTAAGTGATTATTTCCCTTAATATAACCAGCCCGTGAATAGCGCTAATAAGAAGTACTGTAGGGGACGATGGCAAACTCTGTTGAGTTCAAGGAGGCTTTCAACTGTCCCAGCAAGGAACCTGTATGCAAGCTCTGGTAGCGGAATAGGATGCACCCTAATATACTTCCTAATTAAGTAGTTACTTGGGCCAGATATGGAATCATATTTTGGTCTTTCACGGGGAGTTATGCTGGCGCTGGTTATCATGACGTTATTCAATGTAATGTAGACAGTATCGCTGTTAGGAATTTTGTTCTGTTTCAGGATAATACATCATTCCCAGTAAGTGCTTAACTGCTTATGGTAGATTCATTTATCAGACAGCGGCGCAAGTATTTAGGAATGCTATAGTCACCCACTAATATTGACCACTGAAGGGCATTCAATTTGCCTGAAGTTATATAATTCCATCCATCAATATATGATATCCTATCATATCCCATAAATAAGAATAGAAATTATAATACATTATTGTGAATCCAGTTATAAGGGTGTGTTCTGTGCGTCGAGAGCGATACTGCTCATCTACTTAAACTAGAAAACACCATACCTGTACTCCATAGTTTTTATTTTTTTAATTTACATACATATTAGCAGTTTGCAAGTCTCCAACTATCCCGAGTCATTTCAGCCCGCCACTCCCATGACTGGGGAATCAGATACATTGTTTTTGGTGGGTTGGGTTGGAATGGGGCGGAAGATGGAAATTTGGGAGCTGAAAAATGAGGATATATCGATTAATCAATTGATCGACATCCCTCTTAATACAAACAACTGCAAAGATTCCAGAGGGGATAATACGATAATAATATTCCATTGAAATTGTGAATATTTCCACTTGTAGGGGTCACATTGTGAGAATGAAGAGAGCCGTAAGAGAAAAAGGGGACCAAGAGGGGCCGATATATTACTACATAACTACTACTCTAAAGGTCCTTGGGATTTCTTTGATTAGCCAGATGGTCAGGAACCGTTAAATGCCAATTAAAACAATCTAGGAACTGACCCTTCTAGGGGCTAGTGCTCCTTGTTGGACGACGCCGTTTGGTGGGCTAATTGTGAGACTACAGTGGGCTCTTCAACTGGCGTTCATACTCCTCTAGTTATAAGGGTTGACGATAACTTATGTACTCCGTATTCCGTATTCCGTACTCCACATGGAATATGGATCATAGCCAAGAACTCGCCAATGCAAGATTGATTGGGGGTGTTCCCCAAGGAGCACGAGAATGTTATAGATAAGATCGGAACCCCGGAAGCGGCCACTCCCTAGAATCGGCCACCGAGTTTGACATTTGACTGCATCCAACAACACTAATATAGACTATATTTGGAATTCAAGTAAACACTCTTCTAGAGCTCGTTGCAGCACTTTATCTGACGTCTTTTCAGCTTCATGTTCCCCATGTTTGTGTAAAGGGCTGGAGCCCATTTGACCTCTCGGGCCAATGTCCCTATTATCCCTGTTGTCCCTATTGTCCCTATTGTCCCTATTATTGTCCCTACTGTCCCTATTGTCCCTATTATTGTCCCTACTGTCCCTACTGTCCCTTTTGGCCCTGTTGGCACCTTTAGCCCATCGGCCCTCGATCCATGTCACGTGACTTTTCCACATTGTTTGTTTACCGCTCATTTTCCTCTTCCTTTCTTCCCTTCAACGATTCCTTTTTGTACATAACCTATCTCATAGGTTCTACGGGTTCAGCCCCTGACAGTTTGTCCTGATATCGTCGTTTTTCTCCTCTACTTCCTCTATTGTCTTCTTGATATTTTCTATATTAGAAACTTAGTATTTGGATCTGTAGTTAGCTTTTGCCTAATTTTATGGCTAGATAGGCGATCAATAAGTGCCTTTTGCTTGTGGATAGTATCTTGGTAATCTGCCTTATCTGTCTGGAGTTGATCAATTGCCTTGCCTGCTTTATAAACGACTAGCCGAAGATCTTTAGTTATACCTTGCTTCTGCCTTAGAAGCTTAATATTACTATAAATTTGACGGTGGCCTCTAGGTGTTGTATGCAATGGATCAGGACCTATTTAGTGCACTTTGTGTGATGGTTTGGTTGTCTCTGCGCTAGTAGAGATAAAACCACTTGACCATATAAAAAGGTACAAGACGACTGATCGAAGATCAGTCGCATCTAGCGCCCTATATAGTATGTTACAGGTTCAGCCTGTGACACTTTGGGCTTGGTGTTTTGGGAATTTCTTGGTGTTTTGGCTGAATTCGGAGCTGGGAGGACTTAAGGATTTAGGGTTTCAGGATGTAAACTGGCCGCTTTCCATCCATTTTTTAATAAGGAAGATTAAATAACTCCAAACGAGCCTTTGATAGCATTAAACAAAGCGCTCCGTCTTAACTGGCAAGGCATTATCCAAATAAGTTAGCTCGGCTATCCCCGGCCGACAATGAGATTTTATGGATGAAAATGACCCTAAATACAATGGCTAAAGAAGGTGGTAAGAATATGGAGGCATAAAAGGAACGTAAACTTCATATTAATAACATTATCAAAGAAAATCTATGTTTTTATAATTCTTATGCCCGTCCAAAATGCATCCGATAGGAATCATTGTTTGGCTTAGTTTCAGGAAGAAATTAATCCTTCAACCACTATAAATCAATATCTGTAATGTCCATCCATTCTTTGAAGTTGTAATAAGCTAATACGGTATATTTTCCCCTGAAAGCTATAAAGTTTGTGAATCTTTTCCTTTAAAAATAACAAGTGGCCAGATTTTTGCTCGGCAGGCGGATATTGTCTCAAGAATAGTTACCCGCTCCCTAGATTCAGGAGATTGAATATAAGTATAGTTTTTTCGTGCCTTTCCAAGAACCTGGAAACTTATATATACTCCTAAGGCAATTCCATGCTCATGCATATTCCATATATTCTCTGGTTGTATATTGTATCTTGTTTTTATAGTAGAAAAGAGGTTGTAGAAGGCTTCAACTTGATCTGGCTGGGTATTTTGGGTTCAGAAGGCACCAGTTCGTCTTCCAACCATTAAGGCAACTTGTGGATTTCGTTTTATAAATTTTGGCGCCTATTCTTTGCCAAGCGTGGCATTAACTCCAAGCATATCTATGACTAAGCATATCTATGATTCGATGGGCCATTTCTTGTACACAGGCATAGGAGGGAGGAAATTCTTGCTGATCCTGCTTAATTATCCATTGAGCTAGGAATTTCTCTTGTATAAGACTTAATCTTTGTTGATGATGACTTTGCAGCTTATCCTTATAACCAGCAACTCTGCGGCAGAGGGTTGTTCGGGGGATGTTATATGCATTTGAAACTGCTTTTAATCAAGTATAAACACTATTCTAAATATCTTGAAGAGCAATGAGATATAGTATTTTCATTAGGAGTTATTTTGAATGATGGTGGTGGTTGTAGGAGAAAGAGTAGTGGAATTCGACGCGTTTGATGCGGGTGGCCGATTCTAGGGGTGGCCGCTTCCGGGGGTTCGATCTTAATTACAGACTTCTGGGTCTCCGGTCGCCTTCGACGTGATAGATCGGAAATGCCTTATTCTTTCTAACTCGGCAGGAGAAGCCCTGAAACAGCCAAGTACGAGTACTTCGTACAGGTTCATGGGATCGACCTGTTCTTGAGGCCATGAATTACTACGCTTCGTATCACTCTTGATAGAATTGCGTAGACCATGCATTTTGCATTTTCTGTCCCATTGCTGCACAGGCCCAGGAGGATTGCGATGGACGAGTTGAAGCCGATATTAGTATTCGCTATAATTGCGGACTGGTCCTTTTGACGTATTTGATGTGGAGTAGCAGGCAAAATACACTGTGATGAGTATGAACCACCCTGCGACATCTGATATGTCTTTGTTTTTGGGGAGATGTATAGACACTTCTATCATCCCATACTAGCAAGGTACCTGAGATGAAGTGAAACATGTATGTATCATGACTCCCAACCAGAGGAAAGACATTCTATTTGCTCATTATCATCCGGGAACTGGAAGAATTCCCCAGGAAAAATGCGCCTTGGGTCGACTTTGGTCCGAATGCGATGACTTCAACGTGGACGGAGGACAAAGCGCCGGAATTTTACGATTGACATCCCCTCGGCCTGCAAGATGACCTCAGAGAGCGAGGATCGCAACAATGCCGTGCTGCTGGGAGTAAGCACTGTGATATTGGTTTGTTAATAGCAATAGTTCTGGTTGATATGATCTGAAGCGGATGGCGACAGCCTTGCGAAGGAATATGGAAGAAGTACTAAGTACTTAGTATGACCCTCTCCACTGCAGTATGGATCCATTCTGAATTAGTTGGCTCCTTGGACGATGACGACGACGATTACTATGTGTATCCTACTGCTCATCCTGACTTAATTGCCGTCTGTCCTACAAAGTATGTAGGGAAGATGCAGCATTCCCCTCAGTCCTAGAACGATCTAAAAGGGACTACGTAGATCGTCCTTCAGCTGACCGACTCTTCCTGCGCACATGGAGTAGACTGGAGGTGATACCAAGCAGTTGATTGATCCAAAGGATGACGACAAAAATAACCGTAACGAGGCGCAGTTCCCATGGAACTGAACGCGGTTGATTTTCCTCATCTTCTTTTCTCCGATGGTTCCGCCCGTTGGAACCGCACCTGTCCAGTTCTGCCCTTTTTTTATTTGTTTTTTATTCTTTTTAAAAACATATGTAGTAAAATCAATAATAGGCAAATTAACTAAAAAACCTCCTTTGCAAGTCTGAAGTCCCCACTAAAGATCGAAGTCAACCACGTTAATTAATTAATGAGACCATTGGCGCGTCTCACTCGGTTGCTCTCTTTTTAGGTCGGCTCCACCACGCGAGGCCTCCACTTTGTCTGTTGTGATCTCTCTTGTTCTTCTTGCTCCTTGTTCTTGTTTACTCTCAGCTTGTCACAAGAGAATTATCATTCCTGCTTGGCTGTTTCATTGATCCTCTTTGTGTCTACTTACCACCGTCCATGTCGGATATTCGTCACCCCAACTTCTGCTAATTACACTTGCCTCGGTCTGGTCATGTCGTGTCGCAAGCACGGATTGCCATCCCAACCTGGGCTGCTCCTGCATTCCTATTCCACTTAATTCTTCCTTAGTCTACAAGTGCGGACGGGGCTTTCTTTGGTTGCTCACAGGTTTACGGGGGATCCTTCGGTCGGTGGTGGTGGTGTAGGGAAAAAAAAAAGTGGCTGTGATTGAATTCTTCGCCATGGACTCACCCTCATCAACTCCCAGTGACCTTGCGAGAGTGCCAAATAAAATGCAAAAGGGCCAATGGTCGGCTTTATTTGAACGATCTCCCAATGCCAGTGCCCCCGAAAAGACCGAGGTTCAGTATGCGACGTCCAATCTACGTCGTGCACACACGGTAGCACAGGGGAGGAACATGGGGACCAAAACAAGCATGGGTCTGAAAGCCGCAAAGGAGCGAATGACCACCTCGCTTCTTCGTGTCAAGGACAGTCAAGAGTTACTCCACAAGCGGTCGTCTAGGCGCCTTGATCTCTCTGTTTCCCCGCGTGATACCCTGGCAGGTGCGCGGGAGCCCAATCACTTCGCCGTTGCTAACGTTGGGCAAAACGGGAAGATATTCCTGAGGTAAGATCGGCTCAGGATGCCCTGGATGGACAACGTGGGTATCACAGTCTTGGAACAGAATAGCTAACTGGTCCTACCATCTCGCAGACCGATTCGTAACCCACCGCGCCAGGAATCTTGTTTTTCACCATTTGTCTCATCCGTCTACCAATCCGGAGAGGCATACCTTCACCCACACGCGTCCAGTGGCCATGCTGCGGACGACCCTTCTCGGTGGTCGAATTCCCAACTATCTGAGCTTCGCCCAGAGCTGATCCTGGAAGAGAGTGGCGAGGACGGCGAATCGGTTTACACGGAGTCACGATCTGCATATCATCACCCTCGGCCTCGGCCGCACCAGAGGGCGCGCTCGTTCTCGACCATTTCAGAGCAACGGTCGACCTCACGTCTAGGACAACACGGGGAGTTTCGACTTTTCATTGATCGTCCAAAAGATCGGCCCAAATCTGCGGATGGATCTTTACGCCCGACCCTGGACACCTCGATTTCTCAGTATCACTTGGACATGTCGCGACTCAATGTTGGTGGAAGTGCGCGTCTGCATAGCTCTGTATACTCGAGAACGTCGTCGTCGGTCAATTTTCGGACTTCGCGACTCTTGACAGACAACAAGGATGCCGGCCCAATACGTGATGTCTACGCGGACCCGAATCGACCTTCATTTGCGGCCTCTATGTTCTCGGGTGCGGCGGCCATCGAGCTGGCACGACACTCCTCTGCTACCGGCAAGCCCGTATTCTACGAATTGAAGGAGCCCATTGAGCCGAGCATCTTCGAAACCCTGGTGTCTGAGATGGATGACGGATCGGTTGTCCGCTACGTACCGGGCAGCAAGAATATTAGTGCTGCCACCCCAGCGCGGATCGTTGCGCAGATATCCTCCGAATCTTTCATGGACTATGAGCTGGTGTCGGATTTCTTCCTCACTTTCCGGTCATATCTATCCACCCGCATCTTACTCGCACTTTTGCTTGCGCGGCTGCAATGGGCGATCAATCGCCTCCAGGACGATGGGAGGATTATCCGCATTCGCACGTTCGCGGCCCTCCGACATTGGATCTTGAATTACTTCGTCGACGATTTCGTCCCCGACTACGACCTGCGCAGTCGTTTCTGCGAGACTATCAACGACCTGTACGAAAACGTGAAAGCTCGACATGGTGGTGGCATGAGTGATCTGAAAATTCTCATTGATCTCAAGCGTTGCTGGTATGGAAAATGCGCCGCGTACTGGAATTTCCACGATCAACACGGTGTATATCAAACCCCAGATCACCTCATCGTCCCCGGCGGTGATCCCCAGCTAGACCATAGCAGTCGTGACGGCTGTCCGGTGAACGTCGTTTTAACCAAAAGCAACCAGGGGGGCGAAATCCACGAGAGTGAACGCTATCATGCCACTCTGCATGATCGCAAAAATTCTTCCACCACAGCCAGAAGTATGCCCATATCGTCAAAAAGTGATCGGAGTGTTCATGCAACTTCTTGTTCGTTGCCCCCCAAATCGCCGAAGCGCCTCTCTATGTCTTACGCTGGAACGAAGGCCCCCTATCCAGTACCTGTGGTTCCAGAGAACCAAATGTACCCAGCACAAGACCCCCCTTCTTCCTCGCCTATTATTCTGAGACGGTTACCCTTCCATGGCCATGCACACAAACGCAGTGGCAGCTTCTCTGACTCTGTCCGGGATGACAGAGCGCCTCTGCCACTCCTTAAGCTCGACCACCAGGGTTCCTTACCGGCCCAAGAGGTCCTGCCCCTCGGTGAGCTAATACGTGGCGAGCTTTTCCCTCCAGCAGAGTCGTACATGACTATCATGGCTCCACCTTCCCCGCCGTTGCCATCATCGAATGACACACCTGCTTCGGTTCACCGAAGTAATTCAGACGTGACCTCTAAACCTTCGTCATCGACTTCAGGTATGAAGACAATCATTGGGTCGATTCGTCGGGCGCTGAACAGCAGAAACGGCGGGCAAAATGCCTCTTCTCGCAATCCAAATGGGCCATCAGTCCGAGGGAAAACATCCGCCCTGCCGAACAATGTTGTATTTGGGTCTGATGCTTACCGAGATAGAAAGGTAGCAGCAGCTACCAAGAAGCCCGTGAGGATTGACACGCTCTGTGACGAAGCTTTGCGGCTGTACCAGAATGCTGTGACCGGCCCTGCCCACTCCAAAGGAAGCGATCCGTCTCAGGGGACTACGGCTCTCCAGGGGAAGAATCCACAGCGAGGGTCGGGTCAATATGTGGAATCCGTTCTACATGCTGCCCCATTCGACCGGTCCCGATTAAAAAGCCGACTAACGGAAGGCAGTGAGTCTATTGTCATTGTAGATGACGCCGGCCAGTGTGGCCATGTCATGTCAGGAGCAATACAAAACCCGGCCACAAGACTGGGGCGGTCCCCTCGGTTTCGCGACGTGGAGTACACGCCCGCAGCCCCTAAGGTCCCTTCTTTTCTCTCCGTGTCTCAACGATCGACGGTAGCAGGGGATGAGAATTCATCGACTATTTTTTATGATGATATGGAATCGAGGTCGCTGCGTCGAAACTCACAGCTTTTGCGTCCACCTGGATTTTCCGCCGTACGGCGATCAACCTCAGCAGAACGCGGATCTGAAACATGGAGGGGGACCTCGCCATCTCTACGCCTTCGAAAGTATGCCTCGTTTCAAAGTGGTATCTCCAAGCATCTTGTCAGCATAGGTGATGACCCGAACATTCCTACTGTATATCAACGACCCCAGGAAGCTTGCGAGAGACAAGCTGGCCCAACGCTTCGCCGAAGACCCGGGGGCGACTTGCGGCAAATGCGCAATGAGCTGGGGCTCCGGATGTGCACCAGCTCAGGGTCGTGTGGATCTGATACGATGGACCGCAGTTCTGTCGCCGAGAGTGCGGCCACCTGCTTCAGGGATGCTGACTCCAGGCCCCAGACTAGTCTTGTGCCTCCTAATCCGCACTTCTCCCTAATCCAGACACATTCGTCGCAGAATATACAGGGCTCTTTCGAGGCGGCTATTGCACGGTTCGCTCAAATTCCTGACGATGATGATGGAGGGATTGAATCAACGTTGCTGAAGCTCGAAGGCAAATGGGGATCCAGCAGGACGCCCCTCATTCATTCAGAGAAGTCAACTCAAGCACTGGGTAGCTCCCGTGAACGAGAGCTGTTCTACCATGGTAATGCATATTTTGGGCCGTATAGTCGTCCGGCTCTCGAAACTAGCCTTCAGAGACACCGCACCATTACCGGGGATCCTCTGGCCTGTTCGCCAGTCCGTAGTCGACTTGTTCATCGCCGACCTTATTCGGACTCTATCGCAGAATCTGATGACTCGTACAACTCCATACCGCTTCTCGAGAGGGGACTGAGCGACGAATCCATGAAAAAGCCTGTGACGAGCCGGGTGACTTCGCACCCTACTGTACCCCCGCGGCTGCAGTTAGGCAACACCTCATCTCGTGACGCCTCCGACGTGGGATCGTCGCACACGTCGCTCGATATAGTCAAGAAGACGGAAAGTATCAAGTGCATTCCACGGGGGTCAACGCTTCCCCTATCTGGATCCAGACATTCTAGGAATAATTCTAGCCCCCTCTCAGGTCTATCTTCTGAGATCTCTGTTGACCTGATAGATCACGAAGAGGCTATGGAAATGTACCGACTCTCTGTGGACACACGAAGTTTGGGCGATTCCTCTCTCGGACTCCCTCCGCATCCTCTAGCCCATCATCCTCCCTCTCCTCCAATGACGATACAGAACCCTCACTCTGTGGCATCTTGTGCGACTGCTCTGAAACCGGTTCTATACCAGACGCAGCCTCTGACACCGGACCCATCGCCGACAAAGAAGTATACTGAACCGGCCAATGGCCGGGCATTTGCCATGCAGCAGGTCTCGGGTGACGTGCTTTCCAGGTCGGAGAAGGACCGCCAACACCATGAACCTCTGAAAGCATTGGGGCCTGATCATGTACCATTTGTGCTTTCCTGCGAGTCTCAGATACTTGCGCAGCAGTTCACGTTGTTGGAAATGGCGGCACTGAGTGAGGTGGATTGGAAGGACCTGGTTGACATGAAATGGAGCAGTTGTCCTCCTTCCACCCTCAGCTGGGTGCAATTCCTCCTGGACGACGAGCGCCGAGGCATTGACCTGGTTGTGGGTCGATTCAACCTCATGGTCAAATGGGTTCTGTCGGAGATTATGCTCACACGCGACGTCCACGAGCGGGCATGTACCATCTCCAAGTTTATCCACACTGCCGTCCATGCGCGCCGAATGTGCAACTACGCAACAATGCTCCAGATTGCCATTGCCCTGTCATCGACCGACTGCTCCCGACTCCAGAGCACATGGGCCTGCGTGCCAGCGGACGACCGACGCCTCCTGATGGACATGGAACTGCTCATCCAGCCAGTTCGCAATTTCCACGATCTCCGAGTGGAAATGGAGACGGCGGATGCCCAGGAGGGCTGCATTCCGTTTGTTGGTAGGTTTTCTTTCTTCACTTCTTTGGTCGCAAGTGGGATGTTGATTAATTGAATAATAGGATTGTATGTCCACGACCTCACCTATAATGCACAGAAGCCAGCCCAGGTGGCAGCTCACGATGGGGAGCCATTGATCAACTTCGAGCGATACCGCACGACGGCCAAAATCGTCAAAAGTCTTCTGAGATTGATCGATGCCAGTACGAAGTACACGCTAGAGCCGGTCCCGGGCATTATCGAGCGCTGTCTTTGGATTGCTTCGTTGTCGGAAGAGGAGATCCAAACACGCAGCAAACAACTCGCTTGATCCTCTCAGGGAGGGGCACTGCGGAATGTACAAATATGAGAAAAAAAAAAAAAAAAAAAATCTCGCATGCTGGAGTTTTAGATTTGGTTATGTTTTGTTTGGTTTTCTGCACTTTTTCATATATCCTAATAATACCCTTGATGATATTCCTGCGTCTGCTGCGATGGATATATCCCTGGACGAGATGATGATGTCTTGATTATGATGAACTGGTTCTCTGTACACTAGATTTTTGCATTTGCATTGGCATCTGCGTGAGATGTGTTTATTCGTACAGCATTTGCATGATTCCTCCGGAGGCAGCGTTGTATTCATTGATTTATTCTTGACCTGCTAAGAAGAACAAGAAGAAGAGAGTAATAGTAGTAATAATAGTACAATATTATATTCCGCCTAATTACCCGTGTCTAAAGTGGAGCTTTGTTTGAGATTAACAGAAAGCTGCATCACTGGCCCTTTTGATCTACTTGAGGCGGCACCAACATGGGTACCCGCCTTCTCTCTCTCTATCTGTCATCTCTCTATTTCTTGTCCTTTTCAATCCTCCCTACTTTATCCCTTCTCAACCGAAGGAGGAGAAGGCTTTCATACCCAATTTTATCTCAACTCTCTTCTCTTCCTCCATGGAGCTAGTCGCTCGATCCTCCCTCACCCCTAACTGCTTCTTGACCTCCCCCGCCTAATTATCATTTCCTCTTTCATCCACGATGGAGTCGACTACCTCTCCCCGCAGCTCCTCCGACGATCTCGACGGTCGCAACGGCAGTGTCTCGCCCCAAAACCCTCACCCGGCTGGTCTTCCAGACGATTTACCAAAATCATTGGATGACCGTCGTTCGGTGCCTATGATCCCTCAAGAGACAGAGATGTACGATGCCTGGCAAGGTTCGCAATCCTTCCTTTCTTTGTGCTTCCAGTTCGCTTCCTCATCCCGGACACGGCCGGCCGCAGAAGTTCGTATTGGAATAGTTGGATCTCGTCTTTTCGTTTCCTTTTCCTTTGGTCATTTGATCCGGGTCTAAGAGTTGTGGAGTACTGACATAAATATTTGAATATATGTAGGTCAATCCCAATTTCTCACAACCCCCGTGGCTGCGAAACCGTTGAGTTTCAGTCTGGCTCTGGATGACCATTCGCATGACGACGAACATACCATACAGGCCCATTATGGTCGCGGTCTTACGTCGGTAGCAGATGATGATAACGAATCCACCTCCACCGCCCTACTAGAGGACAGCGATGCCCGTTTGATGGAGATGCTTGCGGCGCAGGCGGCCCACAGAGAGGTAGACTCGCTAGGGGCCGACGAAGATACCATCGTTACCGATGAGAAGCTATCGGAAGCGGAGAGGCGGGATATTCTCCAGCGGGGGTTGAATATGGCCGCCAGCAACGGCGACGTGGAGCGCGTTCACAAACTGGTGCAAGGCAAAGCAAAGGACTACGTTGATGTGAATATGCCGGATGAGGAGGGAACGGTGCCGCTGATCTACGCTAGCTGCTTTGTGCGTGGTCCCTTCCCTTTTTACCACTGTGGCGACGTCGGGGACGTCGGCTGACTTCGACTAGGGACATCAGGACGTGGTGTCAGCCCTGCTGGATGCAGGCGCCAATGTCGACCAGCAGGATCGTAATCAATGGAGTGCCTTGATGTGGGCGATGACGAACCGACACAAAACCATCGCTAAGATCCTCCTCGACCACGGAGCGTCTCCGGATATCAAGTCCTCATCTGGCGGGACGGCGTTCGACTTCGCTCAGCCAGGCAGCGAAATCTCGGAGTATCTACATGAAAATGGCTACAGCTTTGGCCCGAGTGCCATCGAGGACGATTTCTACGATTCCGGATTCGCGCACGGTCGCTTCGAGGAGGAGATCGCCGAGAATGAGATGAAACGACGCATGATGATGGAGGAGAGTGCAATCAACTTGGAAGTGGACTTGTCGAGCCTGGGGCTGGACGAGAAATTTGACGTAAGTCAAACTGCCCACCCCTTCTGTCACTACTGTCTGTCGACGATCTGTCAGACTAACTTCCTGGATGGTAGGCCCTTGATGAAGAGGATCTGGAAGAAGAACAGCAGGAGTTTGTCTGGGATCGATGCCTCAACGACCAGATGTTTGTCTTCCAGGAGAACGAATTGGAAAGGATTTTGGACATTATCATCACCAATATGACTCCGCAGCGCTCCCCGTCGCAAAAACCCGTCCCGGCAAATCTCCTTTTCCTCAGTGCGCGGTACGCGTATTACCATGCCAGCCCCGAACTCCTGGCCAATCTGTTGGTTTCGGCAACGGACAAGATCAACGATGTGGTCGAACGCCATCAATGGGACATGACGATCCTTGCGTTTTGGATGTCCAACGCCACCCTGCTTCTACATTATTTGAAAAAGGACGGCGGCCTGGTGGAAGCTACGGTGGAGTTCCAGCTGCACCTGGCCGAACTGATCAACGAGATCTTCATCCTGATCATTCGCGACGCCGAGCGCCGGATGAACAAAGTGTTAGACGCGGCCATTCTGGACCATGAAACCATCCCAGGATTAGAGGATGTCCATTTTCAGAACGAATGGAAACTTTTTCGTCCCAAATCCAAGGCCAAAGCCCCAGAACTGGACGAGAAGCGATTCCGGCCGCCCTCCCCTCGACGGCGAGCCCAGATCTCGCCGCGGAATATTACCTCCTTACTGTCGTCGACGCTCTTCGTTCTTGACCTCTACGATGTCCACTCCATCATTACCACGCAGATTCTTTCGCAGCTCCTCTACTGGTTGGGGGCAGAGATCTTCAACCGCATTATGACCACCAAACGATACTTGGCCCGGACTAAGGCGATGCAGATCCGCATGAACGTATCAACCTTGGAGGACTGGGCCCGCAACAACAACCGACAACCCGAGCACTACGAAAACGGGTCCACCACCTGCACCGGCGAAAGCACCATGGAGGCGGCACGTGGGCACCTGGCGCCAGTCATCCAGCTCCTGCAGTGGCTGCAATGCTTCTCGTCGCTGGGTGATGACTTCGAGTCGCTCGTCACCACTTTACTTCAGCTGCAGCAGTTGACGCCGGCCCAGCTTCTGCACGCGGTCAAGTCATATCGACCCGAGGTGGGCGAGAAAGGACTGACCAAGCCAGCGATGAAGTTTCTGATCGAGTTACAACGCGACCCGGATCTCCTAGGCCGGGAGCAGGCGAAACTGCAACGGGCACAGGAGACGACGGCAACGGCGACGGCAGGAGCAGGATCAGAGGAGCGTCCCGAGACACCTCGACCGGAGCCAGCGACACCTCGAGCGTCCGAGGCGTCCCCATCGGCGTCGACTGCCTCACCAGGATCTATCCACGCCTCGATGCGGATGGATGAGCGCAATGGGGCGCACGGGATCTTCCTGGATCCATCGATGACCCTTCCCTTCTCGCTACCAACCAGTACGGACATGCTGATCAGCTATGGCGCGGGCTGGGGAGGCACGAATCGAGAACGAGCGCGCAAGTATATTCCAACGGTACCGCCGGAGGTCCTGAGTCGATTCGATCGCGATGGGTAAAACTGTTGGAGTAAGTGTCGGTGGGTGAGAAAGAAACGAAAGAAGTACGACAGGAACAGGTTTGGAGGAGAGAGACTCAGTGTGATATACCCCCTTTGCGCACTAGATCTTGATTTGGAATTGGGACTGAGTATATAAGAGAAGTGATTTGTTCTGAACGATGGTGAGATTGAGACTAGGGATGTAACGGTCGTAAGGGCGCCTGTGGATGACCCGGGGGGTTACCCGATTGGGGCATCGGGTGAAACACGCCTCCGTTTTGGTAATCGCACGCGACAGGCGTTTACGATCCACTTTTGCCAGGCATCGACATTTCTTCATCCTCAGCCATTGGCATCAGTTCTTTCGATGGATTGGGTCATCTTCTTCCGTTCTTACTTTCTTTTTATTTTTTTTCTTTTGATTCATCTTTCTTTAATATTTATTCATTCATGGATGGATCGCTCACCATTCCAGTGCCGATGGAAGAAGACATTGGCCGTCCTTCTGGAACTTTCAACCGGACCGACCCGCCCACTCGATACACTATACAGACACTACTAGCCTTACTCTGCGTCGTCAGACGATGACGCCCTAGTGTCCAACACCAACGATCCACTTGACTATCGTCTCTCGCTTTCAGTCTCTCTCTTTCAGTCTCTATCTCTGTCTCTCTGTCTCTTTCTATCTCTCTCTCCGCGGATCCGAGAATCGGCCGCGTCATTCTACCTTCCCCGCAACCCACGCGTCAGGCAGCCACCGCGTCATTCTCAGGCAGACTGCTACTGCCCGATCTGGCTAGTGTGTTCCGGGCTCCTGGCCTATTCGGGTAAGTCGGCTTTTCCTGTTTGGACAATTCCCTGATTGGGCGATCTGGGGATTTTCTTGGGCTTCTTTTCTACGCTTGTTTGGCTGCCTATGCTTGTTTTTCTGGCCTGTCGCCCTGCGGCTTGCCTGGTTTCCACCTCTCTTCATCGGTGTCCACTGACTCGGGCCCCTCGGGATGCTTTGACATGTCGCTCCCAGCATTGGGGTGGTGAATCCCCCTTCTCTCAGTCTCTTGGTCTCCTAAAGTATCTTTCTGCCTATCTGTCAATTGCTTCCCGACTGTTCGCATTCCTTCTTCCCTCCTTCTCCCCTGCTCCTCCCCCGTCACCTGGTCGCTTTCTATCCCTTTCGAGGATGCTGCTTACTCTCAAACCCTCTTCCCAGAACGGCGGGGTGAAAGGGCCTCATGACTACGCCGTTGTCCGTCAGTCTATGCCTGCCGCCCCACGATCTTCCTCTTCGGCTGTCACGGAACCCCTAAGTTCGATGGAGTCATCTCAGAGTGGGCGACGTCCTCCATCCTTGACTTTGCCTCCGCCCGATGTCGGCTTCGCGGCCATGAACGCTATGAAGCATCATCATTCCCTTCCGCCGCCTCCGCAACGGCAGGGCTCCGATGCGTCCTACGCCTCCTGGCTCGAAGCGAGAGCGGAGGAGGATCGGAGGAAGCAGGAGGAGGAGAAGACCCGCCAGGAATCGCTGCGGCTCGAGCAGCGCCGTATCGAACAGAGTATGCTGCGGGATTCCTTGCACGCCGGCGTGCCTCCGCACATGATCCCGCTCATCTTCGCCGGCATCAGTCAAGGCGGCATGCCCCAGTCCGTACTGGAAGTCACTCAGCAGTATATGGCTCAACCGCCGCCTCCCCCTCCGCCTCGGGCGCCAGCTGCCCCTCCGCCGCCAGGCCTGCCGCATTCGCAACGGCGGGTCTCCCACGCCCATCGAGACTCTTGTTCGATTCCCCCCAGTGTCTACAGGCCCCCGTCGGTGCAACCGGTGGGGCCCGCAGTCCTTTTGTCCCAACCGGTACAGTCTACTACCAGCAACTCTTCGACTGCTCAATCGCTTGGGAGGCCCTCGAACTCCAATGGCCCTGCGGATCTCCGAGCTGTGTCCCGAGTCAGCCTCAGTGAGTCACAGCCCCAGCAACAGCCACCTATCAATCTGAGCAACGTGCATTATGCCCCGGGCTCGTCAGTCCCGTTGACCCAGCCGGCGGCCGGGAAGTCGGAGATCCAACCACGCCACTCCCCCCCGTCCCTCTATTTCCATCATTGGGTGCCTCCGGCGCAGTCCCAACTCAACACGCCGGCGGGCAAGACCCGACAGGAATCCCCCTCGATGACGGCGCATCATCTCGTCGTCCGGACTACCAGAGCTCCCCAGGCCGCAAAAGGAAAGCATCTGGGCCGCATCCACCAGCCCCGTTGCCGTCCTCCCGTCCGTCCGACCCTCACGCAGCTTCGTCCCAGAATTCCCGCCAGGGCTCTCCGGCCGCGATGGAGCGGCAACCAGTTTCGCAACTCACGCACATCCGCCAGCGTAGTGATGATTCAACCGAGCTTCGGGGCCTGGAGCCGTCCGTCAACCGGAGACCCAGTGTAAACTGCCCCGGGCCACGGGCGATGGCGTCGACGGAGGATACCTGCTCCGAGAAGGACCTCACTCGAGCGGATGACCTGGATCGCAGCGGATATCCGTCTCGCTCGGATAGCAGTGTCCATTTCTCGCATTCGACGTCTCAAGTGCAGTACGCATCGAGTGTCGAAACCGCTCCTCATGAATCCGATGCAGACAGCAGTCCGGCCTAATGATATTATATTATAAAACCTCAAGTGAAAGATGGCCTCAAGTGCCCCTTCTACTCGCCGAGCGGGATGGATCCGTGTATAGCGCATGAGAGGACTCGACTGGCTGGTACTGGCTAGATATTCTTAGAGTTTTGTCGTCGTTTTGGGTATCTTTGTACATATTCTTCTTCCCAGCAGCAGGGATGCTGGTTTTTCTTTTCTTTTTTTTTTTTGTTCGGAAAAATTTACGGGGGACTTTGTCATAGACCGATACCACTATGTTATTGATATTTGTTTCTGTAATGTGTTTAATCGTGCAGGGAATTTTTTTACTAGCGTAGCCTGCCTTTATATCCGTTGTGGTGATGAGTACCTTCCAGTGCCTTCGGCTTGGGGTGCACCACACCGTAACCCAAATTGTCACACCGTAAACCCAAAATTCCATCCATTTATTTTTCTAACATTATTCCCATCCACCCACCATGCCAAAGGCGCTGAAGGTAGATGAATCTGGTGTACTCAAGGCCTGCGAAGCCGCCCAGCGCGGAAAAAAAAAAAAAAAAACCGAATTTAGCGAAGATTGCGCGGGAATATGGCATTTCATATGATACACTACGCAGTCGCATTCGCCAGGGACAACAGGCTCGCAGCACCCGTATACCTAAAAATAAGGCCCTTGATAAGTATCAGGAGAAAGCTCTAATCCAGTGGATTGTTCGTATGCGCGACTTATATCTCCCTGTTACCCCTGAGATGCTCACAGAGTGGGCGAATCGGGCGATAGAGTTAGTAAGATGTGGGCATATCAGTTCGAGAAGCAACTCCCAGAATATTTTATATTAGGCCCTGTGATACAGAGAACAAAGGATAAGAAGCGTCTTAATGCAGAGAATATTAGATACCTACAGCATGTTAATTAGCTTGTAAATATACTTAAAGTTCTCCCGTTATACCTAATCTATAACTTCGACAAATGCGGCTTCTAACCTGGCCAGGGGAAAGCGCGGAAGGTTATTGGTACAAAGAGAAAATGCCCTGATCTTGCTGAGTTCGATTAGAGAATATCACAGCAGTTAAGTGTATCGCTGCCGATGGTTGGATTATGGAGCCGCTGTTTATTTTTTAAGGTGAAAGTTTTATAGAAAGCTGGTATAATCACCCTGATCTACCAGACTTTTGGACCGCCGTTTCGCCGAAGGGATATATCAATGATTCACTTGCTATTAGATGGCTTCAAAAATTTTATGAGGCTACAAAACATCGGACGAAAAGGGGTGAAAAACGTGTGTTAATATTTAACAGCTATAAGTCCTATAAAACTGTTGAATTTCTATAACTCTGCGAGGTTTATAATATTATTCCTTTTTGTTTTCGGCCTCATACGACTAATATTTGCCAGCCTCTTCATGGCAAGCCTTTTCTTACCTATAAACAGCATTTTCGCAAGCAAAATAACTTTATTTCTCAGTGGGGTGGGATACCGGTGCGGAAGGAGGATTTCCTTATAGATATTGTTGGCGTGCGAAACAAGACCTTTAACCAGTGAATTATTTGCAATTTTTTTTAAAAAAACGTGGTACATACCCTCGATGGCTCTGATATTATCCAAAAGCCTCAAGATGCACTTCTGCCTATACCAGAGCTCTCCGCGCCTGATCTTAAAGAGCGCCCAAGACCTTGAAAAGAACCAGAAGTAGCTCTCGAAGATATCTACCACTGAGAGACTCACACCAAAGCTCCAGCGAGGCCTATAGCGTGTGTTCTACCATTATAAACATAAGCAGAGGAGCTTGCGATAATGAGCGATACAGTTGGCAGAATGAGACAGATGCAAGCCCCCCGGACGCGACAAATTACCAAGAGAGAGATTCCGAAAAACGGAGACTCTGGTATACTCAGTACAAAAGATGCCAATCGGTCAATGAAGGTTAGAAGAGAGAAAGAAGCTATACAAAAGAAAGAAGAGATTGGATAAGCAGTGGACAAAATTGTACAGCTAACCACCACCCAGGGCACCTAAGGGGGAGAGTTCTATATTATTAGATGCAGGAGTAGCAGCGCAGCAGAGAAATGAGCCTTTTTGGATAGATACTCAGGGTGAAAGGCGATAGATAATGGGAATGGCATGAATTTGGGGTTTACGGTGCGAATTGCATTTACGGTGTGGTGCAACCCGCACCGCCTTCGGCTTAGGGGGTGCACTGAAAGGTACTAATAGTCTACCTTCAGGAGCCATGTTGATCCTCGGCCCTGGAACAACAACTGTTCTGTACCTGAGTGAGCTTGGATGGAGCACCTTGACAATATCATGCAACTCACGTGGACAGGTTACTAATGCAGAATTCAACAAGATGTAGAATAGTAGAATAGTGAATACCCCGTAGCTAGGTTCTAAGTAAATACAGATAAACGAACAAAGCTCAAAAATGAACAGATAATACAATAATTTATCAATACGTAGTAAACAGTATTAACCAACTGCTGTTTTCAAACATCAATCAATTCGATTGCCGGTTCTAATCTAAACCATACAGATGAACATACGAAATGCTAGATAGATAAGATAGGTAGGCAGGTAGGTCGGTAGACAGTGACAGATACAGCGAAGACAAGACAATGATCTCACTTTCCTGGTATGAGTCGGGTCAATTGAGTCAATGGAAGGTTCAGAAGATCAGATATAACAGAAAAATAAAAAAAGGAGGAAAAAAAAGAGAAACGAAATGCAAAAAGAAAAGGGGTATCTATCTGTTAGATTTACAGGTAGGAAGGGTATGAAATGTGTGTGAAATGAAAGGTAGAATTGAACACTTGAAAAAAAAAAACAAAATTGAAAATAAAAAGAAAATATGAATCTGGTAAAGGTGTATAGCAAACGACGAATGATGGGCAAGATAAAGCAGGAAAGAACGCATTGATCGAGGAGAATTAGGATGAATATAGATAGTAGGGACCATGTCCCAATAGATCGAGCGTTGACTCGACCGTGATCCAAGTCAGATATTAAGAACGAGCCGGAAGTAGCGAGATTGACATGAATGATAAAACCATGGAGAAGAAATTAAGAAATTAGTCGTAGAGCGATGGCGCGCATAGAAATAACGCACTCTCTTGTCCAGTATGGTATATTGCGAATAATGCACATTCGATCGCGAGAGTACTTCGTCATGTGGGAGCCGTTCAACAGTAGCGAATGATTAGTACTTGGCGTTCATGAACAAAGGAAACCGACTTTTGGTCGAAATCATCAACAATCGTATGGTGGAAGATCCGCCAATCTCTCTAGGACCAGTAAATACTGTTGTTGGTCCTTAAAAAAAAAAAAAAAAAAAAAAAGACTATTATGTAGAAGAAAGTTGTAATTATAAGAAGTTAATTGAGTAGAATGGATTCTACCAGGTCATCAAGTCAGCCTTGGATATAGAAGCCATCTGAGTCAACCTTGGGCGGTTTTTTTGCGGCGATGGACTTTCCATTCTGCTTTGGCGACTCGCATGAATAGTTCCACGTCCTTGATCGGGACCCAGCTGGTGAGAACTTTCATGGCATTCTCAAAGTCCGAGTCAAGGATGATCTCTCGCATGCCGTCAATGAGAGCGGCCGAGCTCGCGTGGAGCACGTCCAACCCCTTCCCAAAGGCACTGGCGCTGTTCGTTTCGGTCTTTGCGCCATTGCCCGGAGCGCCGATAATGCTCCGCTCGTCGGCATCGCCCAGGAGCATGAACACATCCCACACGCGCAGTTGAGCCGGAAACGGGATCGAGTAATTGAACAGGGTGAGATACCAACGAGTGCCGTATGCAGTCGGGGGAATCCCCAGTTCATTCTGGAATACCAGTGGTCAGTCAGCTGTCCGTGTATTGCAAAGTTATAGGTTCAATTCAACTCGTCCACCTACCAGTTTTGCGGCCACTTCTCCCTTCCCCAACCACTCTCGCTCGAAATCTCCAAGGGCCTCCATGAGGCCCGTGAAGCCGGACCGATACAAGTGTTCCAACCCTCGCAAGTGCCATAATCGGACCAGCATTATGAATGCATGCTCTTCGTCGTAATAGGCAAGAAGGGTTGCCGCCAGCGCGGCCATGCCTTGAACGTAGCCAGTGTCGGGGAAGTAGAGCGACATGGCGTGCAGTACGCGGAACAGCAACCGCTGGCCACCGCGATAGCGGCGGCGAAACATTATATGACTCGTGATGGTCCGTGGGACATCGATGTCGATCTGCACATCATCCGGGGACGAAATCAGCTGGTAGTCATTGTATGCTTCGACCAGGTCTTCTTCGGTCGGGCTGTCGCTGTGCCTTCTGGCGCTCGCCTCGAGGAAGGAGTACCAGGCAGTGGCGCGCCAGCGGTCTGGGATGCCCTTCCAGGTGCGCTCGATGAGTTTGGAGCTTTGAGTGTCGAACTCGAACGACATCCCACCGCCGTGGGCCGTCTTCTTCGTCGGTCTGGCCATTTTTGTCCATTTGTCCTCTCTCTCCCACTCTTTCTTCTTGGCAGCGCGGATTGCTGCCGTCTCGGCTTTGCTCTTGGGAGTAGTGTCGGTTGGGAAGGTGAGCATGTCACCTGCCTCGTCTTTGAACCGGCGGTCGCGATTATGTGGTAGGAAATTGGTTGCCTGGCGGAACCGGGACGTAGACCGCCGCAGCGGCGCGCTATACATGCTTTGCGACGAGGAGGGACGGATGGATGGCTCGGAAATCTTCCGCGAAGGCGTCCGGCTGGAGAGCGAGCGGCTGCTGGTCAGCGCTGATGGCGGCCGAATCGGTAATTTCCGCCGCGGAGTCTCTGAAGCCTGAAGTAGGCTGGTCGACACTCGCTGGATCGGATTGGGCTCGGTGCCATTGTTGGAATTCGCCGTCGGCGAGCGAATGAACCCGTATCGGTCCACATCTCCAGCTTTGATATCCTGCCAATACTCAATGCCCCCAGCTAACTCATGCGCCTCTCGTTTGATCGGTGATTGATTGTCCGGCCCAACCAACGACACCATACTCTTGCTCTCTGCCCCTGACAAACTAGGACCGGAAAGGCGAGAGGTCTCCGTACTTGTGGCCCCGGCTTCCTCCCACAACACTCCGTTCTCCAGGGCCATAGATTTGGCCACCTCCATGTCCGTCACGTTCTCCTCGCCCTTTTCATACATCAGCCTGACTCGACGCGATAGCATATCCTCATCGGCGGAGATCGTTCGGCTAGAAATGGCACTCTGCCGGACCCGAAGCAAAGATGCTGGTTTCACCCGCCTACGTGGCATTTCTGTAATCTCTACCTCCGAGTCATCATCTGCTTCGACCGAGGCAGGATCTGTCGCAGGTGGCTGTTCTGCCGATACCGCCTCTGTGCATGGAATTTCTTCTGAGGGCCGTTCCTGCATTTTGCGCCTTCTTTGCTCTTGGATCTCCCGCTGCACTTGTTTCCGCTCCTCCTCATTGATCAGACTTCCGCGCTTCGAAAACCTCATCGACTGCGGACCGAGGCCTTCGAGAGAGGGGGTGGGGATATCCAAAGCGATTCCACTAAACGGAGCCTCTATCTGAGGCACGGGGGGTGGTGAATCCGGGTCGAACTCGGTTGACCTCTTCCCCCTTAGTCCTCCCCATCTTTCCGACCATCGAGAACCGGGGCGAGAGCCAGGACGGGAGCTGGGGCGCGATCCCGTGTCATTGACGACAATGTTGGGAATACCCTGCAGCGAACGCAGACTCACCATGGAGTGACCATGGTCTGACGAGAACACCTTATGTTTCGAATCCCGGGCTCCATTGGGATGCGACCGAGACTCACCCTGAATATTGGACGAGGTGCTAGTGCTCCGACTGTGCTGGGGATGCGGGGGCAGGTCGCAGGGGCCTGGTAACGAGGCGGATCGGAGCGTCTCTTCAACTGGCGCGACGTGGGGGGTTGCGCCAGAGCCCGACATGGCGATACCAGGTACAGAAGCGGATCGCGTGTCCCCCATTATCCTGGCATGGCTTGGAGTTGTGCCGTAATTTCGTCTGTGTAGAGTTTGGAGCAGCTATTCCGGGATTTGACAGTTGCCTTTCCCCTTTTTTTCCTTTGCTGGTCTTTTTTCCCTCCAGACTGTCGGAACGATGACCGAAGAAAGAAAGGAAGTGAAAGATAGGGCGACGGGGTGAGGCTAGGGACTATTGGACACTATTTCCGGGACTGGCGAATCACTGGCGGACAGAGGAAGAGATGCGAGATGCAGATGAAGCGTAGGGAACGACAATCGGCGAAATCGAGCATGACCGCCCCCAATGGCGCGAAGAAGCGAAGGAAAGGAAAGGGTGAGGTGGTTGTTTGCTTTGTTGGCGAGAGATGGATGGATGGGAGAGGCTTGGCACTTCTACCGGGGGACTAATGCAGGGAAGACTGGAACTGGTGACTGAGAAATCGTCTAAGCTTTAATTAGATCGAAGAATAGTAGTAGAAGAAGACGAGGAAAAAGTATTGAAGAAAAAAGTGGTCAAGGAATGTACTGCGTACGGAGGGGAGAAGGACCATGGAACGAAAAACCAAGCAGGGATCGCGAAGGGGGTTTTCTGCGATCCACACGGGAGGCTTTCATATCGCGACTTCACTGGTTCACTAGTTAGACCAGTTTCATCCGTCGGGGCCACGCAGTAAGTGGATCCGGGCCAAATTTGGGGCCCTGAGCTTGAAGGTTGCCAATAGATAATTATAGTCGTTGCGTGGAAGGATGTCCAAAATCCATCGTGGGAGATGGTGTTGAGGGCGACGTGGAGAGAGAGATTTGAATAAAGGAAAGGAAGAAAGAGGAAAAAAAACAGTAACAATAACAGCAACAAACAATACCCCATTGTAATACTATCCATGGATAACATTCGTTCTTGACCCCTTCGGAGCGAGTCTACAAGGCATCAATCTTGACTCCTCGTCCACCTAGGGATATCATTCTTACTCTCATCTTATTTTCATGTCAAGGTTTTTGATCCACTTCCCGTGGCTATCTACATCCGATCTAAATGTAAGGGTCTCGGCCTTTGTTTTTTTTCCTTCTTTTCTCTCCCTCCGTTCCTTGAATAGGGTGGATCAAGGCTCATCCCAAACGTAAGACTTCTTCGGAATAGCAACACGCGCCCCAACTCCTTGAGGTCCGATACCAGCAGTTCCTCCATGTGAATGAGACTCCATAAGACACTGTGCACATGTAGAGAATGCCTTCCCACGGCATCATCGTACAGATGGCCGACATCATGTGGCTAGGCAAGAAAAAAAAAAAAAAAAAAAAAAAAAAAAAAAAAAAAAAACAAGAGAGGAAGAAAGAAATAAAGAAAAAGGGAAAGGAAAAAAGGAGAGAGAGATCATGTGCGAGGGAAAGGAGAGATGAAAAAGACCTTAGGCCACCGCCGTGTTGATACCCGGTCGAGATGCTTCGCGTCCAGAGCGTGTTGGCTCGATGGGTTCTTTGGGGAGCAGCTCAATCTGGCGCACCAGAAAACTCTTCTCGTCCGTGAACTGGTCATCATCCGTGCGATCCTCAAGGAATTTCGGCAAGAATTTCAGCAGTCGATCTCGGTTGTTGATCAGAATTCGCTGCACCGCCACGGACTTGTTGGGATTGGCAACGAACACCTGAGCCACATTCCAGGTCAGAAAAGCATCGTTCCTTGTTCGGGGAGGACGTAACAGATACACACCTTGAATACGTGGAATCCTTCATACTGCACCATTTTCCGATCATCTCGCAGCAGCTTCATGCACAGTTTGAGATTTTCCCCACTCTCCACGTATGCCATCATCACATTGTAGTTTGCGCGATCCAACAGGATCTCCCCTAGCAGTTTGATGCTTTGTCGCTTGGTCACATACGAGTCGGATTGCACCAGTACCGAGTTGAACTTTCCGAAGAACCGGTCAAAGTTCGTCGCCAGGTACCCCGTTATAAGAGACTTATGGCGCGTCAAGATTTCCTACCACGCGCACCTGGTTAGTCTCTCCACCATAACAACGGACATGCCGGGAATCCCTGCTTACCCTGAAAGTTGTGAAGGCGTCGGCGCTCAATTCAAAGCTTCCCCTATCGATCCAGTGGAAGAATTTCCAGAATATCCCTGTTCCTGTCTGAGGTATGCCTGGCTGGACTTCGGTGAGTCTGATAGCCGGTTCACCGTCTTGGGACTGGTCGTAGAGGATGATAGCCGCGATCACGTCAAACTTCAGCGCTTCTCTTAAGATGGTCCCACAAGGCATAGAACTCTGGCTATGCTCGTACCCCTTGCATAGCTCTATAATAATCTCGGGGCGGTTGTGGACTATGTATGAGACAACTGGTGGATCGGCGTGACTGCTCTGGGCGGGTTTAAAACGAAGGACATGAGAGAATATGGTCTGGGTGTCTTTTCTGGCTTCAAATGGGAGGCGATGAAGGTTTCGCGAAAGCTCATAAAGTAAGTCTTCTTGCAGCGTGGCCTGAACGAGCGTATGCACTTGCTCGGAGGAAACCTCGATCTCTAGGGGGACATTTTCGTCGCATTAGCCACTTGCTTCTTTAGGGGTATGGAGTTGCCTGTCCAGCAGTGAATAGCTTTTTCGCAACACACACATACCCTGAGTCCCTTGAACAATGAGTTTCATTTGAGAAAGCAGCTTAGTCAATTCATCTGCAACCTGAGTAAGATAGGGATGTTAGCAAGTCGCCGCTTTCGTTTTCTCGATGGGACTGCGGCGAATCCCAAACTAACCTTAACATTCATCGATGGCTCATGTAGTCTTCCCAGCATGTCCTTAATTGATCTGACCACATCCGAGGGCTGTCGAGATCGACCACGACTGAACAAGAAGGCCATTCTGATTGTATGTGTTGCCCGGGAGAATAGCTCAGCAGCTTCGTAGCCTGGGGTTTAGGGAGAGGAGCAAGCTCTCTGGATTCAGCAACACGGGAGAATAGAGCACATGTAAGAGAATTGGAGAAGACAATCAATTCCTTTAACAGTGATAAATGAAATGTGAACAAGCAAGCGAGGGAGAGAGGAGTGGAGAGTGTCCCTCTGTTGATTGTCTGGGCGGTGACGCTGTTGGCGGGGAGTGGCCTCAGGCCTGTTCTGGCCCCGTCATGTGGATAAACAAAGTCCCAAGGCGGCGGGGCAACCCGTGAAAGAGATATTTTCCTTTCTTTTCCCTTTTTTTTTTTTTTTTTTAAGATCTCTTCCCATCCAGCTCGATTCCACTTCTTCGGATCAAGTGTCGTTCCTCTTGGATTATACCATCGATCCTTGGACGGTTGTTGATTGGGAAAATATTGTATAGCATTATCTTTAATTAAATTCTGACGTTGGATTCATTTCACGACTCTGCCCCGCACAATCGTCGCCATGTCCGCTTCCCTCCCCTCGGTGTGTCTCCCTCGTGATGACGATACTCGTTCGACAGCTTCCGAAGACTCTGAACTCAGCAATGAGGAAGGATGGGAAGATGTGGAACAGGATGACGATACACAGCCCGTGATTGGCCTCTTCTCCGAAAAAGTTTACCCTGATGTGAACTCCATGCTGCAGGAGAGCAAAGAAAAACACGATTTTGATCTGCGGAGGACACAAAAGAAGCTCGGTGTGTAGTCAATTAAACTGTATTCTAGCGCTTCAGGGTTCTCTTCGCGGCTACGGCCTGGACGATCCATGTTTGAGCTGTAACTCAAAGGGTGTCTCCGCTAACTTTCTCAATCTCTTGTGGTGTGGCTTCAGGCTTGGACTTTCTGGGAACCATAAAATTGGTCAACTATATTCGGTCCCAGGTCAAGGTTGGGAACCTGAACCCTGATGTGTCTTCTAAGAGCAATTTTGATGATGAGATCTACCTGAAACCTGTTCTTGAGGATGACGCCCTCCTGTATAGTTTGGACGACATTGATGATGAAACGTCGGAGGCTGCCGGTGGTACCGAGGCAGAGCAACGTGTCATTGAACTGCAAGAAGAACTGAAGCGTCTCCAGACACAATTCTCCGAATATAGAATTGCAGTGAAGCAATCCATGGAAGAACAATTGTCAAAGGAAGATGAAAAGCTATCTACTGTGACCCGACGTGTCGTCAATAAGACGGAAGAGGCGGATGCCGACTATTTCGTTTCCTATTCCTACAACGGTATGTTGGCTGCCTGTTGACATTCATGCCTGCATCTATTAATGGAGCATTCTTTTGCAGGGATCCACGAGTCCATGTTGAAAGATACCATCCGGACGGAGTCTTACCGGGATTTCATCTACGAAAACAAGCACCTTTTTAAGGATAAGGTTGTCTTGGATGTTGGATGTGGAACTGGAATTCTGTCTATGTTTTGCGCCAAAGCAGGTGCGCGAAAGGTCATATCTGTCGACAACTCGAATATCATCGACAGGGCAAAGGAGATTATCTACGAAAATGGATTTGGTGATATAATCACGTAGGTAGTGCACTATTTTGCTCTTCTTTTTATTTGGCTGTTATTGACTCGATTTTAGATGTATCCGTGGCAAGATTGAGGAAGTCACCTTGCCCGTCCAACAAGTCGATATCATCGTATCGGAGTGGATGGGCTACTGCCTTCTCTTCGAAGCCATGTTTGATTCCGTCATTTACGCTAGGGACCGTTATCTCGTACCTGACGGACTCATGGTCCCGTCGCATGCTACTCTTCGCATTGCTCCTTTTGCAGATCCGGACTTTATGGCATCGCATATTTCATTCTGGCACTCTGTTTATGGATTCAACATGGCCAGCATGCTTACCGGTATTTATGATGAGGTGCTTGTCCGCAGTATTCAGCCATCCACAATCCCGGCAGAGTCTTCGGTTTTCCTCCCCCTTCCGTTGCACACGATCACTGTGGACGAACTGTCGTTCTTGAAAGAATTCCAGGTCACCTTGAAGGAGGACATTGACGCGCTGGACGGCTGGGCTATCTGGTTCGACATATTCTTTATGCCATCCAGAGAGGTTCCCATCCCGGATGATGCGGTTCCGTCGGAAATGCAGAAGAAGGGATTCGTTGCTTTCACCACAGGCCCCGATGGGACAGAGACACATTGGCAACAGGGCATTCTCCTCATTGATCATGGAAAGAAACCTGCGACTCCCTTAAAGAAAGGCCAAATCATTTCCGGAAAAGTTGGATACCAGAAGAAGAAAGAGGACAAATCACGGTCTCTGGACATCTCTGTGGAGTGGAATGCTCAGGAGGTTGGGAAAGGAACTCAGCAATGGAGTTTGCAATGAGTTTATGTGCCGCACCAAAATTTTTACGATCTTTGCTTGTCAAATTAAGAAGCCTAGTCCTTGGCCCATGGTTAATAGAAACAAAGATATTATGATTGGGTACAATTTTCGTTCAATACAAACAATGCAGTAAAGTCGTAACTAAATTGGTATCAAGTTGTTGATACGTAGGAGCAATTCATAGAAGTGACCGGTCATTATCTCGTGAGCTGCGACGTTTATGAATCATTTGCACGATGCCGTCGATGGTCACACCTGCCGTGGCGGTGGCGATCATGGCGATGAGAGCGCGATTTTGAATCATTTTTTCTCCTATGTGACCGATCCCGACTCCGATTACGACCATGTTGACGGTGACGATGCGACCTTCGATCCTGGTCTTCACGATTGGTGTCAGGGGGCGAATCAAGCCTGAAATCATCATGACTATCCTCAGACGCCGATTCTTTTCGGCGATTCCTTGAACGGTATTTCTCAGCCAACTTCAATTCCTCCAACTGTCGACGCTTTTCTTCATTCCATTTCTTCCTTTCCTGTTCGACCGATTTTAGATGACGAACACCTTTCCTCATGGCCCCGAGAGGATCGTCGGCATCCATCCGGACTCTTTCTCTCTCTCGTCTCATCGGGTCCTCGTTCCCCCAAACATCTTTCCCCGAGACAGGGTCTGGCGCCATCGCATCACTGCCAGAAGCAGAGTACCACGGTGTTTGGCCAACGGATTGCCGAAACCCCGCTGCGTTGGAAAATCGCATGGTATATTGATCTTCGTATTTCCGTTGTAAGTCGGCTGATTCTTTCTCAGCCTCTGCATTCTTCACCGCAGACCGTTGTGTCTCCTCCGACGGGAACAGATTGATATGACCGGCACTATCGTGAAGCGGTGCGTCGCTTGTCCGGGTCGTAGCTAATTCCCCCCGCTTCGCAAGCGCCAGTTGTGCATCTTCCCGTGCAAATCTTATATCACGATCGGTGTCATTCTCTCCCGCCAGACGTCTGCGCTTCCTGGTCCGTCCTATATCTGTTGCATGAGGTTTCCTGTCTGATCGGACGACCGGCAACAAGGGTGACGGAGGAGGTGGCGGGCTGGAGGGTCTTTCACCACGGAGGATCTGGATTCGTCTTTCGGCATCAACCTCCTGCATACGACGTTCTTGTTCCTCTTCTCGAGCTTTGGCTTGAACCTCGTCGCGCCGGACACGAGCGATGTTCTCCGGATTGTAGACGTTCCATGACTTCTTGCCGAGGAGATGACTGGAAGGAGCGCTCGATTAGTATATGTTTTTTTCTTCACATAACCGGATAATAAAGTGATGAATAGATACTTACAGAGGCATTTTGACTGTGGTGTAGAGTTTTCCTCTCACTTTCAGATGGAGTAAGAGACGATCGCGGGGCGGGAGCTTCGGGGCCCGATGTGGCTAACGTTGCCATGTCAGCGTTTCGTCTCCAGCGAGATCTCCCCCGCCACGTTTGCCGCATCGCTCTTATATCCATCCACCTCCTATTTAGGCGATCGGATCGACTGCGAAAGACACAGTATAAGTTACATTCTGCTATTGTCAAAAGCCGATTCCGTTATTTTCTGGCTTAATCTGACTTAATCTGACTTGCTAGCTGCGGGCGGCACCATCCATTTTACCTACTTTCCATTGCTAGGCTCATACCGATACCTATCCTTTATCATCACCCTTTGGTCCTGCATATCGTTACGCTGTCCTCTTCCCCCATTGATATATTGACTCGCTTATGAACCACAATGTTTAGTCGCAACAGTCCTTTTGGTGTTGGCTCTCGTCCCTCTCGAGGAGATGGCTATTCACACCCCGAACAGGGCCCACCTGGTGCTGGCGGATATGGAGCTCCTCCACGGCCCGGTCAACCACAGCACTCTCCGCGGGCTCCTACGGGATCAGGGAAAGCATGGACGCTACGGCCCGCGAAGAGTCCGGATAATACCTACACATTCGGGAACTTGGTGGCAGTTTCAACGCAGGATTTCCCTCCTTCCCGCGACGGACTCGATATTTTGCTCCTCATAAACGACCTCTATGTCTTCTCCGCACGCCCGCTTAATGGATTTCCGCCCGGACATATCAGCATGTCTGATCCGCAAAGGACGTGGGCTGGCGTTGCTTTCACCGACTCGGTCAAGGCTCAAATATATGATCCGTTTAGCCAGGGCGGACAAGCATACTTAGGATCTACAGATATCGAAGTAGGGTTTGCTGGAAAAAAGAGGGTGGAAACCCCATACGATCAAGATGAGCTAGGTGCGGCTGTAATCAAGAACTTTGAGAACCAAATACTTTCGCCCGGTCAGAAAATCTTGATGGATCACAGAAGCATTCCTCTCCTTTTGACCGTCAAGACCGTACAGAGAGTCGATTTGAGCTCCGAGAAGGGCGACTCTGCTGGGGGACACGTAGAGACGGACCCCAGGGCAAGAGGCATTCTTACAAGACATTCGCAGATCACATTTTTCAAGGATGCCCGGACCGGTATCAACGTAAAGCCATCGAATCGTCGCCCAGCGGCCAACTCTATCATTCAGCCTGATTTCAAGTTCGAGGATATGGGGATCGGCGGTCTTGATGCGGAATTCAGCACGATCTTCCGCCGTGCGTTCGCGTCTCGTATCTTTCCTCCCGGCCTTGTTGAGAAGCTGGGCATCCAGCACGTAAAGGGTCTCCTGTTGTACGGTCCACCAGGAACGGGAAAAACATTGATCGCTCGGCAAATAGGGAAGATGCTGAATGCTCGGGAGCCGAAGATCATCAACGGCCCAGAAGTCCTGAATAAGTACGTCGGTCAATCGGAAGAGAACATTCGGAAGCTGTTTGCGGACGCAGAGAAGGAGTACAGGGAGAAGGGCGATGAAAGTGGGCTGCACATTATTATATTTGACGAACTGGATGCTGTATGTAAACAGCGTGGCAGTGGTGCAGGTGGTGGTACGGGCGTGGGAGACAGCGTGGTGAACCAACTGCTATCGAAGCTTGATGGTGTGGACCAGCTCAATAATATCCTGCTCATTGGAATGACGAACCGAAAGGATATGATTGATGAAGCATTGCTGCGACCAGGGCGTCTGGAAGTCCACATGGAGATCTCTCTTCCTGACGAGCACGGCCGAAGCCAGATCCTGAAAATCCATACTCAAAAGATGAGGGATAACAATGTGATGGATGGCGACGTCAATCTGAGTGAGCTGGCTCTCATGACCAAGAACTTCTCCGGTGCCGAAATTGCAGGTCTTGTCAAGTCCGCATCCTCTTTTGCTTTCACCCGACACGTCAAAGTTGGGACGATGGCGAGCATTTCCGACGACGTTGTGAATATGAAAGTTAACCGGTCCGACTTCCACCATGCACTCGATGAAGTCCAACCCGCGTTTGGTGTGTCGGAAGAAGAGCTTTCCAGCCGTATCCAGTACGGGGTTATCCACTACTCCTCGCGTATCAATGAAATCTTACGGGAAGGAGAGCTTTTTGTGAAGCAAGTTGGCGACTCAACACCTCTATTCTCTGTGTTACTGCACGGTCCCACAGCCAGTGGAAAGACAGCGCTGGCAGCTCGGATTGCTATTGACTCCGGCTTCCCTTTTATTAAGCTGATTAGCCCTGAGGATATGGTTGGCTACGGCGAGATGGCCAAGGTTCAACATATCAGCAAGATCTTCGACGATGCGTACAAGAGTCGTACGAGTGTCGTCGTGGTTGATAACATTGAGAGAATTATCGATTGGGTTCCTATTGGTCCTCGATTCAGCAACACTGTCCTGCAGACCTTGATGGTCTTCCTACGGAAACAGCCAACCAAAGGACGACGGCTTTTGGTTCTGGCAACCACGACAGAAAGAGCCGTGTTGAAACAGCTAGACGTTTATAGCTCATTCAACTCCGACATTATGGTGCCAAACGTGATGACCTATGACGAGCTGAGGCACATTATGCAACAATCGAAGGTATTTGATGATCAGGAGATTAGCCACGCATTGGAAGCAGTTGGTGGCATCACGGAGGAGAAGACTATCGGCGTTGGCGTGAAGAAAGTACTTCTTGGAATCGAAACGGCCAAACAAGACGCCGATAAGGTCGGGCGTTTTGTGCGTGTCATCAACAGGGCTATTGAGGAGGAGCGGTCGTTTTCGTGAAATGGTTACCCGAAGGAAGCTGTGCTATGTTGTATATTGTTGGATAGGCGGTCTTTAGACTAATGAGTATTCGATATGTAGTTCAATACAAGCTACTGCCTTGGCTGATGCCGATCACGACTGGGGAATTTTGCGTATGTTATATTTATATTCAATTGAAGAGTGGACTGATCGTCCAGAGAAGACAAGTACTTAAGGCAGCTTTATTTGGGGGAAGTTTTCCCGTCTCAGACACGCATCTGGCATTCACCCTACTTCCCCTCCACTCATCTTCTTTCAACTCAATTCATCTCTTCCCTGCCTACCCGTTCCTCTTCTCCTCTGCCTCTATCGAAAACGCGTCAACTCATATTTTGTATTCTACACAAGAAACCGGCAGAGACACACCCAAATCATGTCCGCACACACGCAGCCCAAACAGATCCTGAAAAAGGGAATCTCTTACAAGGAATACAGTCTATTGGAAGAATGGGCACCTCAAACGCTATCAGAGTATCACTGTTCCGAAGGATTACCTTCTGCCGCACAGGCACAGCTCGAGGGTGCATTCACCGAAGTACAAAATCCTATCCCTAGACGGTCCAAGAATCGATCCTCTTCGCTGTATGAGGAATGGAAGGCCCAGGCTTCGCGTAGCGCAACGACTAGTGTGTCAATCCCCGTCCCTGCGAAGGCAGGAGGGAGCCAGGATACTGGTACCGAGAATGTTGACCCCGCTGATGGTGGTGTTTTGGGTGATTCTGGAGCGTTGTGTACTCAGACCGGCGAGATCACGGAGCGTGTGCAGGTTGGACTGCCTGTTCAAGCCCATGTTCCAGAGAATGCTCAGACAAATGTCGCTACGAGTGAGTCGACTTTAATCCGTTTGATACTTGTCATAATCTTCGCAGACGGGCCTGACCCTGATAAAATCATGAGACTGATAATGACGGTTTTTTTTCTCAGATCGAAGTGCCTCCAAGCCCAATGACCACCGTCCGGCCACGATCTCATGCAATAAAAAACAGGCAAAGACCACTGAGGCTAAAAACCTGGCTGACGTTCGGGCGGCATCCCGCTCAGAAATAGGAGGATATACTGCTCCGAACGGTTCTCATCTCCCGAAAGACGAGCTGCTTAAACTCTCCGACGGCGTGAAGACTTCAAACAGTGATAAGGTGTATTTCCGGCCAAGTTTCCTGGAAGATCCCTGGAAGGGTCTGAAGGCTATCAAAATGGAGTGTACATCACGATACTGGTCTGTGATTACCTATTTTTATTTTTTTGCCTTATTTCGGATTGTTGTTCTTGGGCTGACTGAATCCCTGAAAGATAGACGCAAGGTTCCCTGCAGCTCTAATTCAGGGTTCACGATGGAAGAACATCATGTCAGGGTCAGTTGGCCTTAATATTCGAGTTTCAAGCGTTTAGTTTACGGCGATCAGGGGGCAGTGATTAGCAGCTAGCTACCTGCCTAGTTCATTATTGGGTGGAGAATAGCGCGCAATTCCAACTTACTATGCATTAAGTACAGACAGTTCGAAGGATGACTGGATTTCGATTATCGGTGTAAAAGCTCCACTGTATTACCATATCTCAACTATGCCTAGCGTCTATAGGATTGGAGATTATAATTCTTCACTATTGTATACCCCATCCAAGATCCAAATATAGAAACCAAAACCTACCCCCTGAAATATACTTAATGCCCAATAGCAAGGATACCTGCGACCCAACCGAGCAGAATATATAAAGCTCGCCTAAATCGAGCCCTAAGCATCCGGTGAATACCATTATCCCGTTTGCTTTCCATTGTATTTAGTCTCGGAGCTCGATTGTAACTTGGTCAATCGATCGATTATTTTGAGATGATTCACTGACAGACTAAGGTGAAATTCAGGGGTAATGTCTGTCCTACCTTCTATTCACCACGTTAGAACCATCCCATGTCTCCATGTGATTTGGATACAATAGTCCGTATAGGTTCTCGTCTTATCTCTGTCTAGGTTGAATGATCTGGACGAGATCCTCTTTAGACAGGTTACTGTATTCTTTCCCCTTCTTCTAGGTAGCCGATTATATCTTAGCACTGCCTTTTTCATGGGCAACCATTGTACTCGATGCAGGTACTACTATGCTAGGTACGTAGTAATACTATATATTAGACCCACTATAGCTACTTGGACAGTAGGTATCGTGTATACTGTCTACAAAACTAGATCACTAGGATCTGACCAATAGCCACATTCATATACGAACTACGAAGTATACCTCACTTTTCCAGAAAATACGCAGAACAGGGCCATCTATTACTACTGGCCATCTACACACTTATTATTTGAGCTTATTCTACTAGTCCCAGCTATAGCAGGACGCCATCCCACGCCGTAGAGCATTAAAAATTCACAATCTATCCAATAGGCAGAAGCACCCGGTCCGTCCCTAGGCGCTGCTGCATGTATATGGATCGTAAAGGGAAGCTGGGAAGTCAGCATGCAAAAGCGGCAGGGAGATCGAACGAATACGGAGGGTGGAGCGGAGCAAGGCGGCCTGAACATGTCCGCTGGCGGAGCGGGGTTAGCGGGCCTCGTTTTCTCTCTCTCTCTCTCTCTCTCTCTCTCTCTCTCTCTCGCTCTCTCCTCCGTCGCTCCTTCCATCTCTCGCTTGCTCGCGGTCATGGATCTTGGAATAGTAGGACACGACTACATCCAGATATCTCTCCAGGGGAAAATAAAAGGGGGGAAGGGATGAAGACTGGCGCAGAGACTTCAGAGCCAGAGAGAACCGCGCCAAAGCTCGCCCCCGGTACAGGACTGGCACATAATCGGGAACTGTCCTTGTGATGCGGAATGACGACTCCGGATCTCGGTATGCGGGCTGCTGCGCATGACGTTATGAACCATGGAATATCTGCAAAATCAAAGTGTTTTTCATCCAAATCAGAACGCTACCGGTATCAACATTACAAGATCCCAATATACACGTCATGAAACCCAAAACTTATCGTATGTATCGTCCCAAGCAAAAGTACCTCCAGGGGCGGAAAGAGCAAAAAACGGAAAAGGAAAAAGGAAAATAAGAACCTCGCCAGGGTGCTTGAAAACCAGTTTTGACCCAGAAGCCGCCACCGTCGCTGTTAGAAAGTATGTACCAATGAAATTAGGGTGAAGGGGGAAGAAAAACGAAATGGTAAGTGCTTCGCCTACACATACCGCACGGAGCTCAGTTGTCGTCATCATAACTGTATTTCTTTGATGCTCGTCGGTACTCCTCTGGATGAATACTCTCGGCTTTCGTCTTCAGCGTGCTATTGTCACAAATACTGTCAGCATCGCAGACCACGAATTTTCCAGAAACTATAATCTTCCTCTTTTGCACGAGCCGCTGGGTTGACACAGGCAGGAGGCTACTGCCAAGAATAACGTGGACAGCGGAGCGCGGCGGATCTCCACGCACCTCAGCGGAGCGGAAATGATAACAGCGCAGGAGATCGCAGAACTCACCTCACACGCTTCTGCGTCCATTCAAGATCTCGTTTGGTATCCCGAGCAACTTTGATTCCATCGGAGAAATTGGCACGGACCCCTTTCAGACGACGCTGAGCGAGGGCCTGCAACTCGAGTAGCTCTCGTTGCTTTGCGTTCAGCTGACCGGAACTGGTTTGTACCACTTAGCACAAATGCATTGTAAAGAGTGAGCAGCCAAGTACCGAACGGACTTGAGTTCGGTGGCCTCGTCGACTGTTGGAGAAGTGTAGATGATACTTACGTCTGTGCCTGCATTACCAGTCCCTTGTCCAATGGGGTTGGATCGAACGTATTCTGCAAGCGGTCGCTCAGGACATCCACAACATCGACACCGGAATACGAGGCTGGGCTGGACTCATAGTCGCCGCTGAGGCTTCCGGAGCCGTAACTGAATCCGGCGGAAGTCCGACTCCCCGCGGTAGTGCTTGTGTCGGAGATATCTGGAGGAGACCCAGACACACGGCTAACGGGGTAGAGACCGGCCGGACCTGGGGCCTTGGAGGGGACACTGATGGGAAGAGCAGGAGCTTGGTAGTGCTGGGTAGTCATTTTGAGAGCAGAGAGTGCTCGTTGAAGGGGAGCAGCAATGTGACAGATAAGAAGAGGAGACGAAGAGATTGGTATGGTATGAAGGAGCAGTGTTCCTAGAACAAGAAGTATAAATGGATTGTGACTGACTGACTGACCTGGAAGGCAGAGGATGATGACCGAGAGAAGACAAGAAGATAGAGCTGGAGAGATGAAAGAGGAAGAAGAAGAGACGATGAGGAGGACGGAACAGTTGAGGGCTTTTATAGTCCTCAACGGAGGGTCTTCCATCCGGCGGAATGGGTCTGGACGAGGACCATGCTCCATGGAGAACGAGGGGGGAAGCGATCTTGATGGGATAGGCGACGTCTTCATTGGGCATTGCGACACTTTTCTCCCTCTTTCCCCCTCCACCCTTCACTTCCCACTACCTTCCATCTCTCCAATCCCAACCCCCAGTTCCGCCCATTCTTCCCTCTCTGATCGCCAATTCGCTCCTGTTCTCGATCGACCCCGCTCTGAACTTAGGGGGAGGAGGATGAGATGGACGGAGACTGGTCCAGCCCTCATCCTCCGCCCTCCAGTGGCAACTTTGTCGGGTACACAATCCCACTCGGTCGTCTCCTCATTCGGTTGGGTTGCAATGGGGACAATTTGGGGGATGGGACCAGCAGAAAAAGATATATAAGGGTGGAAGGTTGGAAGCAGAGGATGTGGGAAGACCCCATATCTGAGGACTTTCTCCCCAGCGGGTGATAGAGGCTACTTCTCTCTTCCTATCGTTGTCTAGGTGGTTTTCCTATCCCTTTTTTTTTTTTTTTTTTTTTTTTTTTTTTTTTTTTTTTCTCTCTATCTCTTCTCTCTTTCTTTCCTTTGTTCAGCAGTTTACTCCTCCATTGTCTATCCATTCCAGTCGATCATATCCGGTTTTCTTCAATAATAGGGGGCTGGGTGGCTGGGAAAACATGGATGTCGGAGATGGAATCCCAAGGTTGATGACAGACGAATGACTGTAATCAGAAAATGGCGTGACTACGGAATCGACTAATGACGATGGCTCCTAGTCGCTGCTCTGTGTTAATGCCGTCGCTCTTGGCTACCTTGTGCTTGTCCACCATTGCTCGTTTTATTCGGTTCGGATTCAGAGTCGAGGATATCACCTACTGTGCCGTCATACTTCGCCCTTCATGTCATCAAACATTCGTTGGGGGCATATGAGGTAAGTGGAAATTGGAGATTTACTGGATTGGTAGCATAGAACTGTCTCGGGTCTTTTTTTTTTTTTTATCCCTGGAACATGTCCCCAATATTCGCCTCACTTAACTCAAATTGACGGGGGATAAAAAATACTGAAGGAAAAGACTGACAAGGCCGCAGGATCAGCCAGATGAAAAACGGCCACAGGGATCTAAGGTTAGCGGCGTTGGACACCACTGCATGGGCTGAAAACCCGAAAACTAAAGATGTGCAATGCAAGAGACAATTGAGGATGGCTCCCAACTTCCAATGCAGGTCGCCTCGTTCCGTCTCAGTTGCAGATGCCTATCTCAGATGGCCGAAGTGGCACGACAGGATATCGGTGGCCCCTGAAAAAAAAAAATCGAGCTGTGTAGCCACTGAACATTTACCTTCCGTTGCGGAGGAATGTCCGGGGCGCTGGGCCCCCAGTCCATTTTACGGGCCGATAGCCTTAGAGCAAACAGGGAGCCATGCGAGTCCAAAAGCAATGACAAGCGCTTTAAACGCTGCCGGCCTGCGAAGTTCAAAGAAAGATGGGCAAGAGTGGGCCTTGACCAAGGCAATTCAGTTACTTGCAGCTAACAAGGAGAGACGAGTAGACAGATCGTCCATCACAGGCATGCAAATGGCTGGAGTCCCTGCAGAGAGAGATCCAGTCTGCTCGTGGAGAATGCCCGCCTTGAACTCGAAACCCAAACTAGACCAGACTGAAAGAAAGAGAGCGAGGGAATTAAGAAAAAAAAAAAAAAAAAGGCCACGTTCGAAAAAGCCCTACGCTGACGTGCTTTACCTTTACTGCCTGTCTTCCCAAATTGGGCCGCCGGCTGGGGACAAAAAATCACCACTCAGATCCATTGGCCTATTCACAACTAGCGACCAGAACATCCACTGGCATCGTGCTCCCAATGCCCCTAATGCGGGTCTCGTCATTCTTCGACACCTTTGCTACCTCACGCCATCCCATCATAGCCTTACAATTCGGTCGCGGAATGGAATCTGCTTGATAACCACCAGAACGCAGAAGATACACAAATGATTACTATGAGCCTTCCTTTACTTTTCACCTTACCCGACCGGATACCTGGGTAACACAGCAGCCCAACCCTGACGAATAGAAATTCCGTCCAGGAAAGCATTGGAGGAGCAGCTCCGGATCTTCGTGGCTCGTCTCACAGCTCTCTACGAAGATCCATCCTGTTTCCCCGTTTGGCGTGTTTTCTCTCCCTTTGCCATATCGGTCGACCTGAGTATCTCCTTGGCTCACCCGGCCATGAATATGAGATCCTGCGGGTGGCATGCTCAGAATCGGTTTACTTTTTGGCGTTGGCACATCTGATAGGCTTATGCAGAATTGTTGCTTGACATTTATCCATGCAGTTCCGAGTTATTCTGATATGTTGGCCTAACTATCTGGTACAGCCTGGCCCACGGGGTCTCTAGCGCTGTCAACCCCAAGAGCGGTTTCTCCGCAACCATCGACGACTGCACCCAACACGGGGTCCGTGTTTAGGGTTTGTTGTCATCGGGGGATGAGGTGTAAAGGAGGGGACGAGACAGAATCTGAAGCTTCCCCCAAAAAGGAAGAAATCAACCCATGTGTCGTCACCTTCCTTGACCCTTCTTTTCTGCAAACTCTAGCGTCTTCCTTTCCCTCTTTTTTATTTATTTTTTTTTTTTTTTTTTTTTTTTTTGGAGGGGGAATCCTCTCTCCCCTTTGCTTTCCAATGATCACTCACAGCCACCCCCCAAAGTCCACGAATGCAGAGTGGATGCAGCCAATGTGGGGTTGGGTGGAATTCGCCTATCGGTCTTTGCGTTGCGTTTGTGCTCACTCGCTCTTTTCCTCACCGCCATTAAGAAGGAGCCGATACGCTACGTCCATGCTTGAGGCTTTGCAACCCATTGGGCGTCTGACGGCCCGGGTTCTGCTCCTTTCTCCTCTTTGGCTTTTCTAGAACATAGTGAGTTGATACTACCGGTGGCATTGAGTGGGCTGAAACGGCTGCTAGCACCCATGCTCTTCCTGTCTGACGTGTTTCATTACCTCCGGTGAATATGATAGCATCATCATCATCAGCGCCTCTACCTTCAGGACAAAGGATGCGGAGTCTGATGGAAAGGAAAGGATTCCAGCAATTAGAACCTCTCCTCTCGAGCCATCAGGTATTTTTTGGGTTTCAACAGTCCCGGTTTGATATTCTTATTTTGGAATCGAGCTGACCTCTTTCTCTCTCTCTCGACTAATATTGGATTTTATATACAGTTTTCTATTCAACAGCTGCATGTCATCCAAATTCCATGCAGTAATGATATGCATACTACTCCGGCTGCTTCAACTCATCTTAGTAATCTATGTCATGAAAGCAAATCAAATACTAGATACTACAACCAACACCAGAAATATAGGGAGCTTACCACAAAAAATAAAAAAGAAACGATGACAAGATAAATTAACCAACCTATACAGACAGACAACCACATACCAATAGAACATACTTGTACGAAGTAGGTACAGTACATGTACATACATACTGGAGGATATATGGACATAATAGATCGACATACGTCGCACCGTCCCATGAAAACTCACTCTGCTTCGAACAATTGGATTGTCATCTGGACACCGCACACAAGTTACGGAGTTACACAGAAGTGAGCATTGTTGGCTCCGTACGCTATAGGTGTCATTTATTTATTTGCTTTTTTCCATTTGGGGGATAGGGTATTTATTTATCTTTAATTATCTGGACTTTTATTTTCCTTAACCTAGGCAGTGACTTGATGATCATGATCAGAAGGAAATACCTGAGGTGATGATCCGATTGCAAGAATATCAACTAGCTAACTTGATGAAAAGAGTCTATTACTGGAAGACGAAAGACAAATATGAACTTTCTATCGAGCCTCATTCGCAGATATAAGGAATAAGTATGTATACAAGTTTTGGCCACCCAATTCACACATCCTCCCTTGATAATGAAATACATGCGTATCATCATATCGTCATGGCTTAGCAAAAAAAAAAAAAATATTAATAATAATCCGATTTCAGCCTGTAGTCTGCCCCCATAGCCTAACAGTCCTGTAAAATGCATAAACCGATATCGGTATATCGATCAGCTACTGAAGAAAACACTTTGAAAATACAATTCCAGAAGTTAAATGTCGTGCTCGTAAGCTGGTATCGGGAGAGCCGCATAGTGTAGTAAAGAAAAAAGGAAAAGAAAAAGGCCTTGCAAAAACGATGCGAAATTGCTCAAAAATCCGAGAACTGACGCCACGCACAAGGTCGATAGTCCAAAGAATAACCAGCCTAAAATTCCGGCTCCGTAATGCAGAAAGGTATCAATCCAAACTGAATGCCGAATGCAGATAAGTGGTGGAAGTGGAAAATGAGAAAGGAAAGAGAAAAGAAATAAAGCCAAAACCAAATCCGTCCGAAGGCGCCTTTCCGTCTGCTGGCTCGTAGTAGCCATAAATAATCCCTGCCCAAAAGTGGAAAAGAAAATAGTCAACCAAATCAAAGCCAATCAGTACCAGGTTCATAATAACATCATTGTCGAAGAAGCAAGGTGTACGACTAGAAGATCAGTGAAGTGAAACTCCAGGAAAAAAGAGCGTTCCGCGCGTATCGACGTTCCATTTTATTCTCCGCGATGCCTGTTCTCATGATCCGCCCTGACGCGGTCTCTAAGCAGAAATAAGGGCCGGCTGGGGTCGAGGAGCCCCATCATCATTTTACCCAATTCGTTATGCTTGATGGGTTTTGTAACGTAGTCGTTGAAACCAGCGCGAGCTGCATCTTCAATCTGATCGGTCATTGCATTCGCCGACAACGCCATGATTGGTATTTGAGGGTAATGGTTCTTCAGTTCCCAGTGACGAATGTCGCGACAAGTTTCATACCCGTTCTTGACAGGCATTTGGATATCGCACTGATCGGGAAAATGTGAGTCATAAATTACTTATTATACGTCGGGGCCAGGTAAGAAAACACATACTATGATGAGGGAGTAATATCCCGGCTCCTTGGAAAAAACCATCTCTGTGCATTCCTGGCCATTGGAGGCAGTCTCAGCCATAACTTTGATCTTATCGAGATACTTTAGCATAACCTAGTGACCGATGTTAGAAAGGAATCATGTGGTTTGCCTGAGCACGGAGCAAGGTCGGAGGGGAAATGTACCATCCGGTTAGTCTCATCATCTTCAACCAGTAGAACCCGATAGCCTTTATTTCCAATAACTTCCTTCACCATCTTGGACATGGTCTTGAAGTTATTGTTGATCTCCCTCGCCATATCCTGATTCCTGTCTTTGCTGAGATCGCGTTGGTTGTTCGGATCGAAAATAGCCGAAAAAGCCGACGGCTTGACTGGTTTCGGCACGGTATAGACACACTTCCCGCTAGAACCTAGTTCTTTAATCCTTGAGCTGATCTGTCGTTTTTGGTACAAGTCCGAGATGATAACAAGAGCTGGAGCAGAAGCGGGATCGCACTCTGAAACATAATTTATCACATCCAGGACGTCATCAACACTGGGAAGGTTAAGGACCAAGTGGGTAATCTTAGAACCAGACTCGTCACTGACGGAGTCCCTCCAGTCTTCGACGTCGGGAGTCGACATTATCGAGTACTGGACCCCATGGGGCACAACCTGCTCAATATGCTGTTTGATAGCCTTGCGCGTGTTGTCCAAGGGACAAAGAATGAATACCGAATACGAAGTAGGCGGGCCCGCAGCCTTAGACCTAGCTTGCACAGGTGCTGGTGCATTTGGAACCAGGGACTCTTGAAGCGGTGATGATGGTCGATCCATAGAACGTGCAGCATCACCACTTGCGAAAGTTACCAGATCCAATCGACTCTGCGCTGAGGCATTGACTTGGTCAGCGTCATGCTTTGTGGTATCGACCTCGGTTGACGGGTCGATAGCATGAAATGCCGGGCTTGGAAGAGCCAAAGATATAGATGGAAGTTCGGAGGTGTTTGACGCAAGGTAGGTCGAAGGATCAGAGTCGCTCGATGGTTGAGAACGGAGTGATTCGAGTGCAGAAGTAAAGCTCGAAGTGTCTGGTCCCTGCCAGTCGACAGAGTCCTTTGGCGCAAGGGCTGTCTTCAAAAAGGGATTCGGCTCCTGCTGCGCTCCAAGGGACCTGGATGATTGTCGAGCGGCGTAGGATTCGTCAGGCGTTGGCGGCGGAGGAGCATCTACTTTGATGTGGAACGAGAACTTTGCTCCTTGACCCTCTTTACTGGTGGGAGTTAATTTACCTCCATGCATCTCAACCAGTTGCTTAGACAAAAACAACCCAAGTCCGCTTCCAGCATGCTGCTGGGAACCATTTTGTCCTAACTGGCTAAACCGCTGCATCAAACGTTCGGCGTCTCTGTCACTGAAGCCTTTACCCGTATCCACGACATCAAAGTTCAATAGTAACTCCGTCTTCTTGGACAAAGCGTGGGCACCATGGTAAATTGAACAGCGAATATGAATCTCCCCTTGTCCTGTAAACTTCACTGCGTTCCCGACAAGATTTATGAGAACTTGGCGAACTCGGAATCTGTCCCCAATCACCATTGGCGGAACGTCCACGTCCATCAGATAATTAATCTCAAGACCCTTGTCGATGGCCCGAGAAGATATAGTATCGATTACATCTTCAATTACCGATCGAACGTGGAACCAAGAGTTGACTAAGGACATCTTTCCAGCCTCAACTCTGGAGACATCGAGAATGTTGTCCACAAGTTCACGGAGGTTAGTCGAGCTATTCTGAATTGTGTCAAGCATCCGTCTCTGATCAGTATCCAGCTGGGTATCGAGGATGAAAGGGATGGTGCCAAGGATGCCATTCAGTGGCGTCCGAATCTCATGGGACATATTGCTGAAAAACTTCGTCTTTGATTCCATCTGGTTATTCAGTTGCTGCATTGCCTTGTTGAGTTCCCGTTCAAGGTTCTTCCGGTCGTTAATGTCGGTACATGTGCCGTACCAGGACGCCTCGCCACTACCAAAGCTGCTGGTTTCAACGCGAATCAATCGAACGAGGTGCCATCTAAAGTCGCCTCCCTTCGAGCGAAGGCGAATTTCGGTTGAGTAGAAGACACGACCGTTCTCGTCCTTCTGCAAAGAGGCGACACCACGCCGTACAAGGTCATCCAACGCAGGTGTGACTCCACGCGCAAGGAATCTTTCCTGGGCGGCTGCCTTCTCTGCATCGGACATTTCACTGTATACAGCTCCACCTACAGACTCAGCGACGTAAGATGAAAGCAAGCCACATTTGTCCAAATCATCGGGATGAACATGTTTCGCAAAACCAAAGTTAAGTGCTTCCTCAAGCTTCTGGCCCGTGTAAAGATGCCATTGTTCATTCACAAATATAAGGCCCCGGTATTCTGTTGCCTCAAACACTACCTGGGGGATCGAGTTGGAAAATGCTCGGTATTTGGCGTCAGTAGCGAATTTTTCCCGCTCCTGCGTGGCCTTCAACTCGGCAATATGTTGCTCATGGATGTCAAGGAAAGAGCCTATCCAATATAAGACTTCTCCCGTGGAGGAGAGTAAGGGATTTGCTCGGAAAATAAACCAACGATATGCTGATTCGTCATTGAAACGCCTGACGCGCACACGTTCAGTAAATTGTGAGCCGGTTCGTAATGCATTTCCCCATTCCTGGGAAACGTGTTCGCGTTCACTACCGTGTATGTTTTGCCACGGGTCCCTTAACTTCTGCTCCTGCGGCTGGATTCTCCTGTAAGCATCAAACTTGGAATTGGTCCAAATGACTTCTCCGCTCTGAGGTTTGGCAAGAAAAAGATGTAGGGGAACTGAGTTAAGCATAAGCTGCGCTACAGTATCGGTGAATGGACGTGGCAGCTCGCGCGGCAGCTGGGAATAGAAGGAATTGGTCGAAGGGTGGCGGGTAGATGTTTGTGTTGGGGAGATTATTGAAGGAGCTTTGACCTCCTGAGGGGATGCGAAAACTATGCCCGGTTCTTGAGAAGCTGCATGTTCATCAGCCGGAGCTCTCCCCCACAGCCGCCCTAGTGATGTAGGAGTCGATGCGGCGCTCTGTTTGGCTTTCAACAGTTGGCTACGCTGCTGAGTGATGGCCTCGCGGAAGTCCTTGGACCGCTTGACATTAAAGTAACTATCCACTGAGCCACTGTTAACTTTGGCAGCTACACCAGGCGATTCACAAGGTATATTATTCATCCCGCCTCCAATGCTGTTCATGTCAAAGCCAGGTGTTCCGAACCCAGATATGGGAGGGCTAAGCTTGTTTGAATTTGATTTGTCATCGGGGCTGGAAAGGCTGGGATGCGCTGACAAAGTCCCATCATCTGCAATCGTATAATTCACATGGCCACTGAGGCCAGCAACCAATTCTAGCTCACTGCTCTCGTCAGAGAACGTGCCGCCAAGACCGAGAAGGTGGCCGTAGCGTGGGAGCTCAAGACGGGAGGCGAATTGCCGTTCGAGCTGACTATAATGTTGGGCCAAGCAAAAAGAAGTCGTCAAGTGAGGTATTAGGTATGTCAGTGATTGCCTCAGGTTTGCAGGATACGGTATTATGGGCGATAATATTGAGATCACTGCAACCGGGAATCGCAAAGTAGATGGGGAAGTCTGCTTAGAACGCCCAGCATGCAGGAGAGGGATATGGACCACAGACTTTGCCAAGTCGACTCCAATAGCCTCTAACGGTTGCGTGTTTGAGTAATCATGAGGAGGTGGGTGTTTTGCAAACGCCCCCTCGTCAACAGCATGACTAATGAAAAAGGGGTTCTGGTCCGCATGGGCACGAGGCGCCGGGGACGGGGCAGGAGACTGGGACCAGGGAGAAGGAGGCACTTGTTCGTATTCATCGTATAACTCCATCAATGAAGGCATTGTTGCCTGGGGACCAGACCCCGAGGGGTTAGAAACAGACCTGGTACGGGTAGTGTGCGCTCGTTGAGTGATATGTGTAGGTTCAGTCGGAGTGACCTGAACAATGTCTTCTGGAGTTTGAACTTTCTGGCCTTGAGACTGCGGGGGCGCTCCTAGCGAACTTTGAGAATATTCCCTAGTCAAAACAACGGGCCCTGTACGTCCGAATAACTTCACGACACCCGTCCTCTTGATAAGCGGATCCGCCTCGACTTCCAATGGCCTTGGTGTAGGAAAGATAGCTTGGCTGTGATTGTGTTGAAGCATATTTGAAGAATCAAGAGGTCGAGGAAAGGAAGAGGTGCGCCCCTCCTGTCCAGTTGATATTCTTTCATCAGGGCTTTGATTGGAGATCTGGGCGCGTTTTTGCTCGGTTTTCGTGCTTTGACTATGAGACGTGTGCGAATCGTTCCAGGGAGCGTGTTGCCTCTCCTTACCAAAGCCTGCAAATGAATGTCGTGATAGCAACGGGGGTCGTGTCGGAACCTCTGATCCATTTGCACCTGTGGTCATTCCTTCCTTCTCGTTCGCACCAACACCATCCTTGGGAGTGTTGATACTTTTATTGTTAGTCTCACAACTCAACGCTCGATCATTGCCGGACTGAGTCCTGAGATTGCCATCAAACACCGCCTTCTGGCCCCACGGGACATTCTCGAGATCTGTCGCATCTCCAGGAATAGCGAGTGACGCTCTTTCTGCCCCATAATGCGTTTTCAGAATGTCAATGACATTGGCCCACCATGCATCTAACCCAGGATCGGAATTGAGTCGCAAGGTAAGATCATACAAGTTAGGTGTGGGGTAAGTCGGGTCTTCGGCCACAGGCTTGTGCTGTGGCGGGATGAAAAAGCTATGTGATGTTGGGGTTTTGATCGAGGCGGACTGCTCTTCCCCTATACCTTGCGTGGACGCCATATTGATCTTTAGCTTCTCCGTGGGTAATGTCAGCTTGAAGGGGCTGTGGCCAAATGCGGATTCTTGCACTGGCTTCGTAGTTGACTGGGGTTGCATGGTGGGAAACGGGTACGATGGAGTTTTCCCAGGGAGATTCGCAGTTGGCGAATCTGCAGCTTTGAGAGTGCCGATAGAGCCAGCCGAGTCGGGATGCGAAGTAGAAGGCAATACTCCAGTCGATGACGGTGCAACTTCCGGGAATGATACATTTGAGATGCGTCTCTTTCGCGACGACTCGTGAGGGCTCGGGGACACAGGATTGGTTTGTGAAGAGGGAGGTTCTCGAGTAACTGTGTTCTGACTCTGGGATTTATGCATTTGTTGATACACAAGCAACTCCTCCATCTGCCTCCGTAGCTCTTTAAGGGTCTGTAAACTCCGTCTCTGGTCCTCTTGACACCCTTTCCCCCAATCTGTACACTGTTTGGCAGGCGACGACGGTATGTGGCAGGGGTTCAGAGCCTGTTCATGCAAAATAGGAGAATCGCAAGAGTTAGCTTTCCATATATTATCCTCAAAGGTCGTGTTTTCATCCACGGGGTATCCATCATGTTCATTAGGAGCGGAACCGGAGGCTGATTGGGGGGAGTCATGGTGAGAGTGAGAAGGAGGTGTGGCGACAGGCGAAGGGGCCTCGGCCGGCGATGGAAGCGGAGGTGTCTTCAGGCTGTGAACTTCCCCCATGCTGCACTTCCTCCACCGCCGGTCAAAATTCAATTCTCCTGTGCGAATGCAACTCCACAGAAGCCAAATGAAGCACACATCTCTCGGACAAAACGGCCTGTGATCGGATGGCTGGTAAGGTATCGGCCAGCCCCAAGACGAAGCCGAGGAAAGGTCCAAAAGGCACGAAGGAGAGCGTTCAAAAAGGACAACAAAGAAGGATTTGGAATAGGCAGGGAAAGGGGGCCAGTCCTGATGGGTACTGGTAGAAGGGGGGAAAAAGAAAAGACAAAAGTTGATGTTAAAAAAAAAAAAAAAAAAAAAACTATTTTCAAATGTACACCCTCCTGCACTCTGAGGGCACCAAATTGCAAGTCAATGGAGATTGCTTTTTTTTTAAAAAAAAAAAAAAAAAAATGAGAGAGAGTGAGAGAGGAAGAAAAAAATTAAAATCAAAAACTCAATGAACAAGGGGCGGGAATAACTCCGGTGAATACAGAGGGGAGAGAGGAAAAGTGTTAAAAAAAAAAAACGGATTTGCAAGGAAGGGTAACTAAAGCGGTGTATCGTGGTGGTGAGGAATTGAGGTGAAGAAGGGAACGAAGGTTCGATTTGATCTGACCTTTCCTAGAAAGACGAAGAAACACTGGAGCAGTTTCTGTTGACCCAGCAGATCGACGGTTTGTGCCAAAGGGCTGTGGAATTGGTCCGTCTCCGGGGGGAAGTCAAACCTATGACGTAGATGTAAGTAAGCCCTGGGGTCGGGCAACACCGCGGTTATTGGAATAGGTATCTCTCCCTGACTGGCCCTTAAGTTTTAGAGGAGACGAGGTGAAACAGGGAAGAAGCAGCGGTTGCCTAGGGAAAGCAAGGACAAAGAGAGATAATAAAATGGGAACGACAGACCATACAATACTACCAATAAATCCAGGCAAAATCAAGAGTGTGTTCGCGAGGAAGCTGAGAGGGAAAGGATGAGCAAAATTGAAGAGGTCGGAAGGGAAGTAGAATAGTCCGCTATTATGGGATGGATGGAGGGAGGATGGGCGAGTGAATAATTAGTAGTTATGGGGCAAGGAAGCGCTGGAAATTCGATGGAAGCAGCAGATCCAACACATGATTTCATGTCACCCGAGTTCTATCCACCACACAACTCTGGGAATCAGTCACTCGATTACTTTCCTGTTTATTGCATATTCTATACCTTGCAACAGGCAATACTAATAATTATAATTTTAGACAGAGAGGTCTATTACTAGAATGCAAATAAAATCCGAGTATTCCTCTTTCTCTCTCCCATCTCTTGAGATGCCCAGCTACTACGTCATGGCTCCTGTCTACCTTACTCCGTATACAGTATTGTAATTAAACTTTATCCTCTTGAAAGGAAACGTGGAGTGTTTCCCAGCCTCCAACCAACCCCCTCCTCGCCTTTTTTTTTTATGTAGTGCCATCATATCACGTTTGTACCCCGAATATAATGCTAAGACTATAGAGCAGTACACCTGGCCAGGGGAAGAACTTTATATTAATGGAATCGGCATTTCGCAATAGCACATGGGATGTAGGGGGAGCACACTGGAGATTCTACTACTAAGTATTAATCAATATAATCAGCATATATTGTGTCTCATTCTCCTGAAATATATTCAGGCAATGGGCCCTTGAAACAAGAGAAGGTGATGTGAAATGCTTCTGTTGATTTAGACAGCATCAAAGTGCCATGATATATTTATGTGGCGTCGATTCCAGAGACTCGGGATCAGTACCAGAAATCGGAAATATATTTCGTCCAGTTAAAACAATATTACAACTTTAGATTTTATTCCAGTATCAGCACACCTTAACTATAACAAGGAAAATACCTAGGTTAGTCCCAAACCAGGTATATAGGTATATTATGTGCGCTACTAACTATTTAAAGGTACGGAGTAGATAGTTGCCAATCCAAGGCCGTTATTGCTGTTAGAGATGTGGCGGAGGCAAACTATTAGAAGTTTCACGGGTTGGGCTTAAAGTCTATATACACAAAGAACTAGTAAATTAGTATACCTAAGGCGCCGCCTCGTCATCTACCACACTTCTCCTGCCTACAGAGTATGTATAATATATCATAACCGAACCTGTATTGAGAGTAGCTCTGAGGTGGCTCCGGAGGTCCACCAACCTGTTAATTTCCCTTCTCAACAGTCAACACATTATGACCGCACTTAAATACTCGACCTTACCCCAGAATATTCAAGCTATTGAACACCATGACTACATTTCTGCTCTCCCCTTTGGAACTTCTCTTGCTCAAGGATGAATTTTGGAGGAAGAACAAACAGAATAAGGAATATACAGTTGTGATGGTTTGGTTGTCTCTGAGCTAGTAGAGATAAAACTACTTGACCATATATAAGGTCGATCGATAGATCAGTCGTATCTAGCGCCCTATATAGGAGCGAAGGCCATGTCTGAGCAATACATTGGGTTCAACCCTTGACAACATTTGCACATTTATAGTAATTGTCTATCTCTCTAATTCTGTGATGTCAACCTTTGGATCTAAGAGCCTCTACTTATTAATATTCCGCCACTATTCGTTGGCGAAACATAATAGGAATGCTCTTTCTCCAGGAGCCGCTCCCTACCAACATGCCTTTTTGTAAAGTAACTCCTTTAATTATAATAAATAACTAGAAATTGTCATTGCATACATACGGATTTGCTAGGGTTTCCACTCTTGTCTAAAAATATTTCGTGCTACGTAATTTGTATCCAATGGATGTTGGTTTCGCATATGACAGCGACTCCATCAACAAATTCCTTTCCTCTGTACTCCGTATGGAATGGACGAAGATCATATAGATAGTAGATGACATATCGGTGATTAGTATCTGAAAGATGTACTTCCACAAATAAGTATTAATATATTTGAAAGATCACTCTTGATCTGTATGGTATCTGACTAACTGAAACAAAGTACTACTAACTAATTTTAAACTGCACTGAGGACTACGTAAATGAGGCATTATTTGCTCTTAGAGTTACCATAAATACTTAGTACGAGCCTAGGTCCTTATTTTATTGACATGCATTTCTAGTATTCCCATTCTATACTGATGGGTGGTCCAACAAATAATAGAGCCATCAGTCTTTAAGAGATGAACTCATGAATAACAGCTGCTATAACTACCCTTAGAGCACGTGACCAAGCATTTGATGACTAAGACCATGACACACCTCAGGCAAGGCCCAGCCCCAAGCCTTGTTGGCCCAGACGATCAGGTGTCTCCGCTTGCGACCTCAGGTTGATCGAAGGAAATGACAGCGGCTGCGTGACAAGCCCGGCCTCTTACTGCACGCCTACACCAGTGTCACGACACATTGTGGGCGACCTCCACGTTCTCTTCCGCACCGACCACTTTCGCTCGATCGTCAAGAGGCACCTTACCCCATCCTTCCTCCGTCCTCTGCGACTGCCGTTTTCGTCCTTATGCTCTCTTTTGCTCGATCTCGAAACTGACACGCTTGTGGATATATTTTGGGTCTATTTACCTATGGCTGTGAATTGAAAGGAGAGGTGAAATATCTGGGATATATTGATATCGGTGAAATGGAGGATAGCAATATTCTTGGTGAGGACCTGCCGTTCCCGCCAGCACGACTGTTCGAAAGGCTAGCGCATTTGCCTGGATATACCTGGGATCCGTCAATCGAACCATTTCACTCAACATACAATCACTGGCATGTTTACGGTCTTCGGCACTCGGTAGAATCCGATGTTTCTACCCCCGCTGCAACTTCGTCGGGACCATCGAGCTTGGCACGCAACTCCCCGCGGACCGAATCTCGCCCACCTTTCCGTCATCACTGGAGGAGTAGCCTGAGTGAATCTAGTAGCGAGATATCGCTGTCCCGGGTGGATCACGAGACGATATGGGTTCCCGTGATAGCTCGCGTTTCTTCTCACGTTGTCAGACTTGAGCGCGAGTTTCATATGATACGTTCTATTGTCCAGACATCCGATCCCGACTGCAACCATACAATTCGACCGATTGATCTTATACGATTGCCGAGAGATCCTGGTGATGCGGGTCCTCTTTTGGTGGCCATCTTCGAGTCGCCGGGCCTAAACATGCTACAAGAGCTGGTCACCTTTGGGCCTGCATGGTTTGCAGTCGGTAGTAAGAATGACAGCAACGATTCGACCCCTGGGGAGCAAGTTTCCCTTCCAGTATTTATTGATTTTGCAATTGGCACTTGCGACTGTCTGGAAATTTTACACTATGGACTCAAAACTGTGCATGGCGAAATCCGTGGCGATGCATTTCACTTCAACCGCGAAGAAGGTTCTGTTAGACTTACAAATACGGGGAATGGGGCCAAGTCTTTTGACAACGTTCTCAGCGAGGGCTGGTCTAGTCTCTCGCGAGAGCTCGGTGTCAAGAACAAACTGCAGTTCATTGCACCAGAACAGACTGGGAGAATGCCGACTGAACCAGATAGCCGTACAGATATCTATGCTTTAGGTGTGCTATTCTGGACGATGCTGGTCGGTAAGCCGGCTTTTACTGGCAGCGACCCTGTTGAAGTTGTGCAGAATGTTCTGGGAAAGAAGCTACCACCTGTTTCAGCGAAGAGAATGGACATTCCGGACGCAGTCTCAGCTGTTATTCAGAAAATGACCCAGAAGGCTGTCAATGAGCGCTACCATACTATTTCCTCGGTCAAGAGAGATCTGACGCAGATTTCTCAGTTACTTGGTGATGGTGATAGTGAAGCCTTGAAAGATTTCCAAATTGCTCAACGTGATGTATCATCTTTCTTTACACTTCCGACTGGCATGTTTGGGCGACGAGAAGAGTACAACAAAATTATAAGTGTGGTTGAAAGGGTTCACCGGCGCCAACAGTCTGCGTATGCAAAGGCCACTGCCCAAATTTCCAGCGGGGTCGGCTCCAGTTCCTCAATTTCTGATGGTCGCGTTGATAGCTTTGAAGTTGCATCCGGCTCGAGCGATTCTGGCTCATTCAATTTAAAAACCAACACTTCCAATGGTGGCGTTTACAATCTCGGGCGTGTCTCTACCCATGAGTCTATTCATAGCACTGAATCATCGCTTTCAACACCAAGGCCAGGTATCCCTTCAAGCAAAGCAAAAAGCCCAGTGGATTCGCGGGCATCTTGGGAAAATGCAGATCGCGATAGTCACCCCTCGACGAGCGTGAATTCACAAAACCATGCGGACTCTTTTGCGCCAGGCAACAGGCATAAAACTGCACAGAAGCTTCGTCGCGCAGGGAGGTGCGAGGTAATCACTATTAATGGCGTTGCCGGAATAGGGAAAACGGATCTTTTGAATCGTGTCCAGCCAGCGATCCGAAAGCTCGGCTATATTGCGATTGCCCGTCTGGACCGTGCGAGGAGGGTCCCCTTTGAACCTTTTGCAAAGATTCTTGCAGGTCTCCTCCGCCAGATATTTTCTGAGCGCGATGTCACGACTGACTATCACAATAACGTTCGCACGGCATTGCAGCCAATGTGGCCTACCCTGCATCGAGTCCTAGACCTGCCCGAGCAACTGATGTCGTCGGGAGGAAGTGACAAGGAAGTATCACATAAGCTCTCGGCTGCCCGGCATATTTTCAAAGAATTTTCTACTAAAGGGGAGCCGTCGAAGCGTGTTGTGCTTCCAGTACTTGACGGTGGACCCAACTCTGTGGACTTTTTCTTGTCCAACGCAGCATTGAAGAATATGCGACTCATGGAAACATTCCTCGAAATCCTTAAAATTTTGTCCCAATATCGGTTGATATGCGTATGTGTGGATGATCTACACTATGCAGACGAGGAGACCCTCGAACTGGTTATGAACATCATTAAAGCAAATATACCCTGTGTGCTTATACTCTCAAGCCGCAAAGCTGATTTAGAGTCTGATACTGTCAAGTCTCTTTTTGAGACAGACAATAGCGTGACTAGGATTGTGCTGAAGCCGCTTGGAGAAGAAGAAATCATACAGATAGTAGCGGCTACAATGCATCAAGAGCCTAACGCCATGCTAACACCTCTGTCAGCTGTCATCCTGGAGAAAAGTGTAGGAAATCCTTTCTATGTACGGATGATGCTGGAGACCTGTTATAGCAAGAATTGCATCTGGTACTCGTGGAAGGACTCGAGGTGGGAGTTTGACCTGGATAGGATTTTCACAGAATTCGTGGCTCCCAGGTATGGCGAGGGCCTTGGACTTGGATTCATTGCACGGCGCCTCCAGGAAATTCCAGCAGCGGCCCGATCTATACTCGTCTGGGGCGCGCTATTGGGAAGTCCTTTTGCGTTCTCTTTAGTACAGAAGCTTCTTACTAGCGAGTTTCTGTATTCCAGCGACGATGACGAGGCTGTGGATCTCACCTGCCCTCAGAATGCAAATCTCATCAGACAGACGGAAGCCGATATAGTCGTTGGGCTACAGTATCTCGTCCAAGCGAACCTTGTCAGCCCGGGAAAGACTGATGATGAATTTAGGTGTGTCTTGCATTTCAATGATCCTAATAATGCTAGCTCTTTGCTGACTGTCTTATTCAGGTTTGCCAATGATAGAATCGCGCAAGCTGCTGCGTCGTTGACCGAGGGACGTAATGTGGAGAAGATGCATTTTATAATATCCCAAGCTCTGATGAAGTATTACCATGATGGTCGCAGCCGTTACTCTATGGCCCGTCACGTTGGCCTCGCCTCCCGGATCATAAAGTCTCGTGTCGTGCAGCGGCTTGACTACCGGAAAATACTATGGGATGCAGCGCAGACGGCTGCTCAATCCGGTGCGCGGCCAACTGCGTTGTGGTATTTCCGCCATTGTATTGCCCTTCTCCAAGAAAATCCTTGGGATGATAATAACGCCGATGTGTATTACGACGAGACACTGCGCTTGCACATTGCAACCGCTGAAATGTCATGGTCTCAAGGTCACAACACCGAGTCACTTGATTTACTCGACCAGGTTTTGAACCATGGAAAAAGTGCTGTTTGTAAATCAAGGGCTTGGATTGTGAAGGCTAAAATATACGCTCAGATGGGCAGGCATCTCCGGTCGATGGATGCCCTGCTCACATGCCTGGACGAACTTGGGGTACATCTTCGAGAGTTCACGACTTACGAGGAATGTGATGCTGCATACAATCACCTTAAAGCATACCTTGAAGAGGCTGGCTTGGATGCCATTGTCCGCAAACCCATCAGCAAGGATATCAACATGATCACCATCGGTACGGTGATGGCTGAGGCGATGGCCGTCACCTACTGGGATGATGCATTGACTTTTTATAGGATGGCTATCGAGATGATGAATCTTCACCTTTTCAAGGGCGGTTTTGTTCAGATCTCAATAGGCTGCTCCCACCTTGCCATGATTTCGTTCAGCCGTTTCCGAGACCTCGAGCTCGCCGTAAAACTTAGTGACCATTCATTGAATCTTCTTGAACGCTGTCCTGAGCCGTGGACGCAAAGCCGGGGCTCAATTGTCCACAATCTCTATGTTAGCCACCTACGAGTTCCGTTGTCATCAACCCTTCCAGCCCTTGAATCTTCTGTGGAAGTTTCATTATCCATGGGGGATCCTTACGTAACGCTGATCAGCCTTTCATCTATGGCAATGACTCGACTTTTCCTAGGCCATGACATGGCTCAGTTGGAGAGCTTTTGCACTGAGAACCCAGAGGATATTCCGGAGTGGTCTCACGATACCCGCGGAGGTGCTAGTCTAGTAGCAGTACGGTCAGTTCTCCCTCGTACTTGATACACAAAAATTCAAAGTTTGGAATACAAAAGCATTGTGTCATGGACTGATATTATATTTATAGACAAGTTGCACGCGCTTTACAAGGAAAGACTTCCTATCGAGATCCCGCAACTATCATGTCGGATGAGCAACATTACACCAGCGAGTACATCACTTTCTTGGGCAACAGCTCTAGTAATGCAGATCGGCCTCGTGATATCTATTGGGGCCTGGCCATGATGCCCCTGTTTATCTACGGGCATCACACAAAAGCCGTAGAATTAGGGGTCCAGATGATGGATACCATGCCGAGGCTGTGGTCTGCCCGTGTTGCATATATTGTCTATTTCTATCTATCGCTCTCCCTTCTCACATTGCATAATGATTATCCTGACCGTGGATACCTTGGTGAGAACCTGCAACAAGTTCTAAAGTACAAAGCCGAGGTTGACCTTGCACGGTCTGCTTGCGACGCAAATTATGGAATGTGGTCATTGATACTAGAAGCACTTGTGTCTGAAGTACGAAGTGACCACACTTCGGCCGTTCAGGCATTTGAGGTAAGATGTAGCGATGATACATGTCCAATGAGTTTAAGAGGCTAATTGCACAAGGCCGCTATTGATCACTGCCAGATACATGGGTGGCCATTAGAGGAAGCTCTTGCTCTAGAATTGCATGGTATGAGGGCTATTGTGCCTTTCTTCTTCTTTCTTCCCACCCGTCACTAATAGGAAATCTAGGTGAATTCTTGATTAGGCGTGGTGCTAAAAGAGCTGCGCGCTCTATCATGCAAGATGCCATTGCTGCCTGGGCCTCTATAAGTGCTATTGGCAAAGTTGCCCAGTTGACCGAGAAACATGAATGGCTCTTGAAAACTGCCACTTCTTCGAGGACTGCAGACGTCGGATGTCAAACTGTTGACTCACTTCTTGGAATTAATCGTAGCACTGGTCCGGAGCATATCGACGTCCCTCGAAATGTGGAGGAGGATGATCGAAAACGTTGGATAGAGCAGTATGGGGTCACTACAGGTGATCGTTCGCTTGACATTTCCAGCGTTGGACTCGGTAAGTCCACTCTACGAAAGAAGTAACATAGTCTTTTCATTAACGTATTAGCAGATATTATTGATCTGTCTAGCATTCTTGAATCCAGTCAAGTGATGTCCTCTGAACTCCAGATAGACAAACTCCTGACGAAGATGATCGAAATGGTGCTGGAATCTTGTAACGGGTCAGACTTTGCAGTCATCGCCACGAATTTTGATGGCAGCTTCACTGTTACTGCCGCTGGAGATCTTGAAAAGGGACAAAAGGCGTTCCTTGATGGCCTTCCTTTCTCAGAGATCGAGGATAAAATGGCACAACATATCTCTCACTACGTCATGCGGACTAGAGAAGAAGTCCTCGTTCATAATGTCCTTGAGGATGAGCGGTTTTCTAACGTCAGCGAGTCGTACCAGACCCGATACCCACTTGGAAGGTCTGTGATCGCGTTGCCTATAATGCAGGCAGAACATCTTCTGGGTGTTATTCATATAGAGGGCAAGCCCAACTCATTCACGCAGCGGAATCTTGTAGTTCTTCACCTACTCTGCAATCAAATCGGTATATCACTGTCCAATGCATTGCTCTTCCGGGAGGTTCGCAAAGTCAGTGCTACCAATGCATCCATGGTTGAAGCGCAAAAACGTGCTCTTGCACAGGCTCGCGAGGCAGAACAAAAAGCGAAGGTGGCTGAAGCGGAGGCAAAGCACAACGTCAAATTGAAAGAAGATGCGGCAAAAGCGAAATCCATCTTCTTGGCTAATATTTCTCATGACCTACGCACACCAATGAATGGTGTTATTGGCTTGTCTGAGCTTCTCAAGGGCACTAAAATGGACAAGGAGCAGGATGAATACGTGGAGTCCATCCGTGTCTGCGCTGATACATTGCTCACGCTTATCAATGACATCCTAGACTTCTCCAAGCTAGAAGCAGGGAAAATGAAGATCTCTACTGTTCCCCTCAATATCAAAGAAACCATATCAGAGGTTGTACGGGCACTTCGTTACACGCATCGGGACCGTGGGCTAGAAACAATTGAGGACTTGGAACAAGTTCCACCGGATCTTGTGGTACTTGGTGACCCTGTTCGTTTGCATCAGATCTTCATGAATCTCCTCAGCAATAGCTACAAGTTCACACCAAAAGGATCCGTGACTGTCAAGGCACTAGTGAATCGAGAAGGCAAAGGTCGTGTGCGCCTTGAATGCACAGTGTCTGACACGGGAATTGGGATTCCCGAAGAGCAAAAATCTCGACTTTTCAGACCGTTCTCACAGGCCGACAGTTCCACAGCAAGATCATACGGTGGCAGTGGACTCGGCCTAAGTATTTGCAAGGCGATTATAGAGGACGTCCTAGGGGGTGCTATCTGGCTCGACTCGACCCCGGGTGTTGGCACCAATGTGACTTTCCACTTATCGTTCAACAAGGCCAAGGACGCCTTTTCGAAGACGCCTTGGTCAAAGAGTATGAAACAAGGAGAAACAGACCCCTCCACGATCACAGTTCGTGATCTAACAATGGTTCCTCGTGACCAGATTCGGGTCTGTATCGCCGAGGATAATCCGATTAACCAGAAAATTGCCGTCAAGTTCGTGACCGGTCTCAATTTGCAGTGCGAAGCGTACAGTGACGGGCGACAGGCAGTGGACGCTCTGCGTACTCGTTCACGTGAGGGGAATCCGTTCCACGTAGTTCTGATGGATGTGCAAATGCCCACACTTGATGGCTACAACGCAACCCGCGAACTTCGCCGAGACCCAGATCCCAATGTCAACAAGGCCCTAGTTATAGCCATGACTGCCAGCGCCATTGAAGGGGACCGCGAGAAGTGCCTAAGCGCTGGAATGAACAACTACCTCCCAAAGCCGGTTCGGTCCACTGTCCTGAGCGAGATGTTAGACCAATATCTAGCACCAGTACCCACTTATACACGGACGCGGCTTGCATTTAGAGGAAGCGTCAGCAATGAAAGTGGCACGCCCAATAGCTCTGCATCTTCTGGCTCTGAAAAGGCCATCAAGTTAACACCAAACGAGCAGAAGAAACCACCTCAGGATTCATCAGAGACGAATTAAGATTGCTTCCCGATCTTTGATCCGAAAGAAAGACGGATTCCAAGTGGACCAGTCCATAGCATGCCTACCTGCCAAGCGGTGTATGAGCACGGTCTTATGTCTACAGTATTTCTCACCATGGGGCCATGCTGGTGATGCAGTCCTTGTGGGACCACATCCTGGTATATCTTGGGTGGCCTTTACTTGGAAGCGCATATCTCATTGATAGTGAAAAATGAGAGGAACTAACTAGGCAGTTTGAATAATACCGTCGGTCCCCTTCTGATTTTCTGGGGACGTGTTGCATATTTTCACTTGACGATGACGAAGGATATGATTGACGACCTCTGCAGTTGATCATGGTATTTTCAAATGAAAGGCCCAAAATGGCAAAAACAAACCAAAATCACGGTCGATATCCACCATGGATTGTTTCAGTTCTGCTTTATTCGACTCAGTGGCTCGAGGACATTGGCTATAGCTACCTTTTGGTCTTCTTTCCCTTGCCTCTTTCTTTTCTTTTCTTTTCTTTCCCCCCGCTTTCAGTACTCTTTGACTGTTCTATATTCGTCATTTGATCCCAAGTTAGTCAGCCTGTGTATTCTCTTCAGAATTTTCAAGGCGCTCTTTTTCATTATTAAAAGAGACTAGGACGCTAGTCAGCTACCCCGCGGTGAAGGTGTCAAGTTTACAGCTACTAGCACGATGTGATGGTGGTGTATGTGGATCATTTGATTATTCTTTAAACTGTACATCTCCCGGTTGTAATAGAATAGACAGCGCTTGTTGGGGACATACAAAAGCTAACGCGGAAGTACATTCATCTGCAAGGCTCTGTTATCAATGTTGATTCCATTCCATTCTATTCCATTCTAGCTGCCTTGTCGAATACCGTCATAAGGGATATGTAGAATGTAGAAGAAAAGGCTATACACGGTATAAAAAGTATCAGTTAGTGGTACACATTCCTTTTCAATCTCCATCCTGGCGTGTCATTCATGGGTCATGGCTGTCGACCTATCGCCGCGTGTCAGCAGTCGGGTCTCTCTTCCCAATAATACGGAAACGCTTCACGCCACCGTCGGGCACCATGGTCAGCTTAACATGCGTGAACGTCCGGGCGTCATTGTCGCCAGTGGCCAGGTCAGCCCCTTCAAAGACATGCTCCGTATCCGCCTGGCAGGGCCTATCGCCCTGGACTAATTCGACCCAACTGGGGTGATCGTAGGCAGGCACCTCCCCAGCTGCGGTACTCCCTGCCACCAAGCCATGGACTCTCACTGCGCGAGGGTAATTGCCTCGGAAATCCTTCGTATCCACCACCACCTTGCTAACCGAGCCGGTCAATCCCAGCTTCACAATAGCCCAGTCCACATGGCCGGGGGTGCGAGATCGCGCAGTTTCCCAGCCATCACCCATGTCCTTTCCGCGACCGGGAAGCAACAAGTTAGAGCAAGGGGTGAAATGCTGGTTGGAGGCACTTAGAGCCAGACCACCCAGCAGAGCGGACGACAGCTCCTCGGTGGGGAGCTGCGACGGGTCAGCGCTGGCGACAGCCGAGGAAAGTGTCGGGGGAATGGCATGGCCATACAGTCGGAGTCTGCCGAAACCGCCGTCGGGATACATCAACAGTCGCACATGAGTGTAGGGTTTGGGATGGGCCGGGTCGTAGTCGTTGAGTTTCCACGCGCGTCGCTGCGACGGACCACAGGGCTGGGGGGGAAGAATGGTCGTCCAGCCGCTGTAGGCCGGATTGGCGATGTCGTCATCGGTGACGCCACTGTCCGCCGGCGCATAGGTTCCCTGCAGCTCGGCCTTCTCGCCGTAATTGCCGACGAAGAAGCCCGTGTCCACCTCGACGCCCTGGATGGTGGCACTGGCAGCGCCCAGCTTGATCACAACCCAGTCATACGGCTCGGGGTTGTGGCGACGGGTCTCCCACCCATCGTACCAGGCTCCCGTGTGGACGAATACGCCAGGACGGTTGATGGGCGGAGTGGGAGTCAGGAGGTTGGATGCCTCGGCGAAGAAATCATTGGAACAGGCCAGGACTTTACTGTTCAGTCCAGATGAGGCCAAATTGGTGGTGTGGGCGAAGACCTGGTCGATCTCCGCAGCGGGGATGTATGCGAGCTGACCGTTGTCAGTGCTGTTGGTAGTACTCATGGTAATGTGGATGTGGATGCTCTGCGTAGTTTTAAAGGCAAGAGATGAAGGACTGATTGTATTCAGACAAATCTCGTTGGAAAGTCGACGCTTTAAATAGTAGTCGTCGTTCGTCTTTGCCTGCGATAAGCCCCTCCTTCCCGTGATCCAATTACTCAATGCCTTCGCTTCATCCTTTTCTTTCTCTCTCTCTTTTTCTTTCTGTCGCTCTCTCTTTTCATCTCCGCCTGTTGTTATTTTTCATTACCAAATCACAATCCATTGTACACCTATACACCTATACTTCCCCGTGCTCCCCTCCAATGACTATTTTCTTTCGTGGTTCGCGCCCCACTGGCCTACGGAGTAGTTAGTTTTGGTTCGGAGGTCTCCGATAGTCGCACTCTTCCGAGGGAAACTCAACTTTGGTTCAAAGAGTTAGAAACAGAGAGGATGAGACAAAAAGAAGGACATTGAAAAGGATTGAGACGCAATGACTCACATAGTGCCTCCCTATCCCTTCCCTCTGTCTCTCCTTTTAAAGGCCTCTTTTTTTTTTATTGACCTGATGATAACATCACCTGGTGATACCTTCCGTGGTTGACGAGTCCACAAAAGCGTGTCGCGTGTTCAGAGTAGGACACTGAGATGAGACAGTAGGCCTCAGGGTTGAATGCGGACCCGTATGTCTGCGTGTAGCGATACTGTGTACCCATTACTACTGTTACAGTGCCTCCCAGATGGACGTGTGACAGACCTGACATCTCCACTGGAATTTGGGTGGAGGCAACATCAGTTGATGGGTGCATCGGTCCTGGCCTCTGGTGCCTATACACCTGGTCATTTGGTAACAATGGCGTTATGGTAGATGCTCTGGGCTCCGGTGGCCGTCCTGCTGGGTAACTGAACTTTTATGATTCTGAGGACAACTGTGCATTCCGCCTAGATCTAAACTAACGCCAGTGATGCGATCACTCAGGATGCTTTTCGTTCCTTCCGCCTTGTCCGCGCATTATCATCATCATCCCCTGTCAATTACCCACTCTTGTCAGTTGCAACTTCCTCTAGTTGCTTATACCGCCATTCGTATTGCGCCAACTGTTTCTTCTCTGCCGGGGACAGACTCTTCCCCTTTTCCGCCATCTCCTTCTCCACCTGCTTTAACATTTCCCAGCGCTTGAGAAGCTTTCCTTGATGGTCCGCTATCGAGACAAGATTGGAGTCCTTCGAGGTCATTCGCTTTTCAATGGTGGAACGATAGGAAAGCTTGGCATGGAAGAGTGCCATGTCGGATTCATCGTACTTGAGGCCGCGGGCTTCTGGCAAAGAGATCTGGGAAGCTGTTTTCGACGCCATTGTGAAGGGCTTGACTTGGTTGGTTGAAGAAAATAAAAGAATACTATAACAATAAATGCTAAGAAGGTTTCCTTGCCGCCAGTTTCTTCTTCTCTTGGAGGTTCAACAGCCACAGACAACGGAAATGTAATTTCTTATTCTTTGGGGCCAGAGGTTTCAATATACTTTGTGTTGGTCACCGGGCCCGAAACCAAGATGGAAGCGAAAAACAGAAAGGCAGAGAAGGCCGTGAGTATGAAAGAGTGAAGGTCGATCTAAGATTGGGATAAACTGGCTGGCCGATTGAATTAGGCCTGAAGGGAACCGACCGCTTAAATAATAATAATAAAAAAGATGCTTGACAGTCTTCGCAGTGGCTCTGAGAGGATAGTGCCGGACACATCTTATATCAATAAGCGGGACAAAAATAGAGCCAAGAAAGGTGGTCGACGGATGGCATCTTTCTTCACCGTATGAGCTGGTTTGGCCGTCTGTGTCCGGTCCGTTTGTGCCATTGTCTTGTGATTCTCGCCACAGACCAATCCCCTGATGAAGGAAGGATCATTTGCCCCCCAATGGGGCGATTGTGACACCGATTGGAAACCACCGACGCAACCAGCATCGATATGGGAACTGGAAGGAAGGATTCAAGTCGGTGTGGATTGAATAACAAAAACACTGGAACCAGATACTCCGGAGTGGCCCACGATCTCGTTCGGACTCCATTACGGCGATGTTCCTCGCATGTAGGTATGCGAGGAGGCTACAAACACACATGGGTTATACCAGCGCTTGACGACCCGAGGGCACAAACATGGCCAAGGCCATGCGATTCGTCCGTTACACACGAACGAAGGGAGCCGAGAGGACGGAGGATCACCGGCCGGACAAAAATATCTCAGCGACGTTGTTGGTCCACCTATCCGTTCAGTTCCATTGAGGAGTCGTCGCTTTCTCCAGTACTCTGGCCATAGTGTCTTCCTGCATCTCATGATAAAGTAGTATTCTTGGGAAATGCTAGAACATTCTCCGCTACAGACGTCATTCAATTGGCTCTCTCTACCTATGCCCTTCTCTACCAATCTCTCCTTATAATCGCCTATTCGTGGTTGTTTTCCGACGACATGTACGAGGTCGCCGAATGCGTTGTTGTGTCACATCGAGGTGGGTGGGAGGTTGAACTTGGAACAAGCATCTCTGAATGGCTGGCTGACTCGTTGGCAGGTGCCAATACATTTTCCAGCGGACCGACCCGTTCAATATCCAAAAAAAATTGTACCTCGTCCATCGGGTTGACGTGTCTCCTAGGCCAGTGTGGCGGAGCACAAAGAGATTCGTACCTACGGCTCAGGGATATGCATGTTCATGCCTCCAACCGACGATGATCAGGTGTACCAAGCTAGTCAACGGGCTCCTTGCCTACGCCGGAGTATGTCCTGGACATTCAAAATAGGAGGCCGGTTTGCGCTTCCGTTGCGTTAGGAACCAGGTAGTCTGGTCCATTTGCTGAATATGGGCAGATTACATGCTTCAAAAAACAAAAAAAGGACGAGTATGTTGACACATTCTGGCAGCGTAACTTGCTTTCGTCCGGATTACATCTCCTTGATTTCCTTTATGGCTTGTTCATAAAGATCTAGATTGTCTGTGCGGATTTAGTTAAGACTGAATATATTCTAACATGCATAGTGTCTTTGGGCCATCCGTAACCTCGTCCAGGACAGCCTAGATCAGTTGGTGCACGGGAGGATTCCTGAGGCTGATCGCATGATACACAGAACCACTTCCTTCTCTGGGTATACGATTCTCAACAGGGGCAGGAGTATTCATGCTCGCCTATGACTAGGCCTGATGCATGTGTGCCTGGCTTATTGGGGCACCACGTGAGCTAAACATACTACACGGCTCCATATCATACCTACCCTCCTACTATATATCCTTTCCCCCTATCCTCGAGCCTCGCTTGATTAGCCTTAGCCGTCTCTTTCTTATACGCCAGTGCCATTCCCGGAGTCTCGAATTTAGCGTTGATTTCTTCGAGGGCAGTATCTAAATGGACTAGAGGTTGTGCATCGTGGCAAAATGTTTAGTGCAAGTAAATTCAGAGAATATTTGGCCGGAGAGGCGATGGCCTTGCTGTCGGCGACATCATATCACTAGGATGTGACGGCAATGGTGGTCTAGAAAATAATGCTATCATGGCCGGAAGGTACCAAACCGGTCAATTATGGGCTCCCCACTGTTGTGAACACACGGAGGCTGCTGTTGCGCCGGAGGTGATTTCTAGCTGTTGCATCGAGCCATTCGCGCCAATCATCTCCAACGCTGCAGAATGTCACGTCGTCTATACAAATGACTCTAAGTGGGAGTAGTGGGGGAGGATAAGGAGTTAACCCATGGGTGGTACTTTACGCCGTAGGTGATGGTACCTCTGTCTCGCCCGCTTTAGAAGGCCGAGTACAAGAAGCGGACATGGAGTTGAAACCGGACCACTCTGGTGAAAAAGAGCCGGCGGTCCCGAAAGTCCCGAAAGCCGGCGCGGTCATTCTCGATGGATATTTCAATCTGCGACACGTCGATATCGGTAATTGGTGTGGGATGATACCACTCAACGACCTTCCTGGTAATCTCCCTTTTTCCCGTGCATGATGTCGTAACAGGGCGACCCGGGAGTAAGGGAAAAAAGATCGTGACACAAACAATGGCGGGAAACAGGGCTTCCAGAAGGAGTGGAATCTGGCACCTCTATTTCCATCTATTTGGGAGAGCCCAACCATAGGGTCAGTCATACAGAGACTACCGACGTGGAAACACGTCCCGAATATACCGGCCATCACTCCCACGTACTGGGAGCTAGACAGAAGCGTAAACTCGAGTCCCATCAGGTAACGATCTCTTGAACATGGAGAGTACCACGGCATTTATGAAGTTGGTGTCTCGACGGTCTATGGCCCAATATCCAGAGGTTCGTTGGAGACTCCCTATAGGTTTGGTTGTACTGGCACAGTCTGCCTCTTTGATATGCTCGGGTGCCTTCTCTATGTCGACCACCGCCTCGTTCATAATATGCTGCGTCTTCTTTGTCAAGGTGGGTAAGGATCAAAGTCTTTCATTCTTTGAGAGGTGTCAACGTACCACAAGGACTGAGATGCCCAGTCCAAGCCACCAGTAGCGGCTTTCCTGAGGTTACACAGCTCTATGTTTGCACCGGATGATCATGGTGGTCCAAGCTGTCTCTGTACAACCAACACATGTTAGACCTAAATGAACTCCCTGCGTGAACGTTTCTACCTCGGGTCAGTTGCGCGCCGAGCGCCTCAAGAACGTGCATCATTTCTCCTATCGTTAACCTATTTTTGGCTTTTTTTTTCGCATGTGGCGGCCTCGACACGATATTGATTGTATGCCCTATTAGGCGACGCCGAAGATAAAGAAATATGGTCTAGCACCTATTAGATATTTGGAGCACAAACACCGAATACGCCAATTCCACTGGTCTCTGGACTTCTGAGGGCTCATTCTTCTCTCTCTCCCCTTTCGCCAAGTTGCATGTCGTTGCAACGGGAAGTAGGATACTGGCTAGTTCTCGTGGCTTCTGGCCTTATTGCAGTGCTGGCTGGTCAATAGAGAGCGTACAGAATTGTCAGTGCGGTGCATTGATTGGCCAGACAAGAACTAACCCAGATAATGTTCTGGATGTCCAAGAGCTTAGGGAAGTGAGAATGTCTTTGTGAGGGATTCACTGCTGCAGAGAAATAATCCATGAATGGCTGGGGACTGGCAATTAATGAATTAGTGAATTAATTATGCTTCATTCGTCCATTCTCTCAACTCTCCCCAATCTTTTTCCCCTACGGTTCCCCGGGCCGTTTTCCTGAGAGACGCGTTCTTGGAGCTCGCGCGTGGGTGAGTATGGGTATAATTGAGTCGATTTCGAACGCAAAGCTCGATGATAGGGAGCACTACTACAAAAGTTGGTAATGACTCCTATTGCTCTTAGGGTGATCTATTGTGGGCTGCGGTGCACGCCTTGTACAGATGTACAGGCATCGACCAGCCTTTACGCAGATTCTAGTTCATCCACTTTGGGCTGCAAATTTATGCGCTGAGCTATTGATTTGCTATATGTGCAACTTATCCCAATGTGAGATGCCACTATTCACTTTGCCGGGGAAACCCGAGGGGTATATCTGCTGTGGAGAAATGGATACCAGCGGCCATTTGGCTGTTGGAGGTTCTTGGCTTGTACCAATATCCGAGAGCAATTCAGACTCAGCAGCAACTAGGGGCTCTTGGAACGAATGTTCCCGGTTCTCTGGGTCAAAGACGAGAGACTCGTGGCGGGGGTCATACAGGCTGGAATTGAGCGTGGTTGAGCAATCTGCATGCACGGCTGCGAGCACCCGAAGAGTGTGTGAGACATTTGGAACTTGTATTGGCACAGTTCTTGCAAAACATATTTTACACCCACCTCCAGTTCCTGACGGTAACTTGGTACAGCTGTTGGGTTCTTGAAATGATTGTCCAGTCCCACGAGCTAGGGCTTATTCGACTCCTCCCTGCATGTCCATCTAGTTGGAGGATGGGATCTTTGTGGAGTGCCAGCTCGAGGATTTAAACTGGATAGTGAAGATTGTATTACTTCTTTTGGCCTTAAGCTGAATCGCTTATTAAAAATGTCGTTTCTTGAAATCCAATTACTATCCCGCCTATCTCTCATTTACCTCTGGTGATTCCAGAGTCAATTGAATTACGGTTTAGTAGATTTCGATGAAAACAAGCCTGGCCGGTTAGTCTATACGTGTATAGAAATCAAGTTTACAGAGAAAAGAATCAAGGACCACAATCAAGTCTACGGTGTGTGGAAATAAAAAATAATTTTCAAAATAAGGAATAAATATTAGACAAACAGATAATACAAGGATTCATTCACTCACTTCCACTAACAATGAACAATATATTCTCAATAATGCATGAAACAAAACAAGAACAACAAATCCCTACTATAAATCAATCTATCAAGCACCCAGACACCCATAATCTCGTTCCACTGTAATGCAACAACAATCATCCCTATAACAAACCTGCCTAGATGTTAATCAATCTTCCTATTCCCTCCCACCTCACACACATCTTCATCCATAAAGAGAAAGAAGGAGATAGAGAAATTTCACTCTCACATCACAACGTTAGGTAAACGACCGAGGAATCCGACGAGACTGCCTCGTATAGGCATCATCCAGATCCCTAGGAACCACCACAGGTGGCGCAAACCGAACACGACACTCCGACGACGACAACAACGAAAACGGCGACAGCGGCGAATTTAACGGAGGGCAAAAGTCACGAGTCACCAGGATAGAATTCGGAAAATTCAGAGGATGATGGGGAGGAAGAAACGGGCCGAATTCGCTCAGATACATCTCCCAGGGGTCCTCGGGGACCCGATCGCCGTCCTTAATCAGACCTCTAAGCACGAGCAATCGATATATGAATCGCTCGAACTCCACCCAGTCACAACCATAGGGTCGGTGAGGAATGCCATCCCGGCCTGTGTGCTTCCAGACGAGGCCGCGGAGGGCAGTGATGGTGGCCGGGATCTCTTGTCCTGCTTTGGTCATTATGTTATGTCTGTGACTGGCCGGTGAAGAGGGATTGTAGGATGAAGATGAGAGAGAAGGTAAGAGGGCAAAATGAAGGGGAGGAGGGGCAATACTCACCTTTCCCTGGATTCTGTGCAGAAGACAGAGTGAATGCGCGAGGCTTTATAGAACAAGGCTTGGAGGGCTGAATCTTGCCGGTGTGGATTGTGATGGATGCCGTTTTGTAGTGGAAAACTCCGGAGATGACAAGTTATTCTCCATTGTGGATGACGGGAGTGAAATGAAAAATGGAGCAGCTCTGGGAGTTTAATATTACGGGTAGGAGCAGAAGGATGAGTGGTTTAGTTGGTGGTCTTGTTTTATATCGTGAGGCCGGAAGCGATTATCAAAGCGTCGGATAGACTTCCCGTTTCTGGATCATCTAGTCTTCCCCTCACCCAGAAAGAAGCAACGGCCGGTAGATAAAGCAAGATCTCCCTCTCATTTCATTTCGATTCCTTTCGTTTGGTCATCTCGTCTTCCGGAAATCTCCGTGTCCTGTTTGCTGTTCTGGTATACTATATCCTACTACAGATCGCCCATCATGCAGATCAAAGTCGAGGATCCCCCCAAAATAGTCCTTAAGGGTACCCCAAGAGAGGTATCTCTCAGTTCTAATCCACGGTACTACAGTTCTAATATGATGGGTATTTGACCAGATTGGCCTTGAACATGGCCGTCAGCTCCGACAACATATCCACAGGCAGCTAGACGTCTACGAGGAGATGTTCCAGTATACTGCCAACATGTCCTGGGATGCTGTCCGTGGGCTGGCTGAGGAATTCCGCGTGGCCTCGGAGCAAAACACTCCTGATATCTACGCCGAAATGCAGGGAATCGCAGAAGCCACGGGACGGGATATCTTGGATATCGTGGCCCTGAACTGTCGCAGTGAGATCTCCATGGGGAGTTTCTCCGATGGCTGCACAAGTCTCTCGTGGAAGAAGGATGATGCCCGGGTTCTGGCGCAGAATTGGGATTGGACCGGCATGGTGAAAGAGAATATTGCGTTGATGTCCATCGAGCAAGTGGGCAAGCCGAAGATCTACATGGTTACCGAGGTAAGTTATTGCCCGAAACGAGGAGGGAACAGAAAGGGATCTATATGCCCTGACTCAACGAACCACAGGCCGGTATTGTAGGAAAGATTGGATTTAATAGTTCTGGCGTCGGAGTCTGTCTCAATGCTATCAAGGCGCATCCCTGTATCAGCTCCAAAGTGCCTATCCATATGGCGCTTCGTCTGTGTCTCGAGAGTACCTCTGTGGAAAACGCGGTGCAAGCCATTGCCTCCCTGGGAGGAATAGCCACTAGTGCACATATATTGGTTGCTGATAGCACGACATCTCTGGGACTCGAGCTATCGCCTCTGGGAGATGTGCATCTGCGGGAGAACGAGAGCGGAATTATCACCCATGCTAACTATTTCCTTAAGAACCGTCATGTGGTGGAGCCCAACTGGGCACCCAGTTCTCCCATCCGACAGGATCGAATCGACCAGCTGACGAGTGAGATGGTTCGAGAAGGGATCCAAGGAGACAGCCTCACGCCGTCGCTGCTGCGCGAGACCATATTCTCTGATACCTCCAATGCACCCAATTCCATCTGTGCCTGCTACGAGGATCTGAATAAACACCGTACGATTCGGAGTATTACTTTGTTTAATATCGTCATGATCCTGCAAGCATATAGCCCAGAAGCGGAGGTAGTCATTGGACAGCCGGGGACTACCGAAGCGCATTCCGTTATCAAAATGCCCTGGAATTAAATATCCCTTCAGAGGCGTGGGGAACTCCATCGGTCTGTCTAGTTTTCCGGAACACAGGCAAAGGAATACAAGGCTTGAATGCAAAGGGATGGATGTTCTCACTCACAACTGATGTCAAACAAAGAAATAATGGAAACGTCCATTGAGAGTTGATACCAAAATGGCATTCCTTATCCATGATAACGGACAGAATACAAAGGAGGCCATCTGACAATGTCTTTATTCTGCGTAGTATATAAACTCCCAGATATCCACCCATCAGGGTGTGTCATCATCAGAACCCTGTTCATTTTGATCCCGCTTCTACAACACTGCCGATTCTACCAACCTTTCTAACGCGAATCTTCTACACAACTTCACTCCATTGCCTTCCCTACAATCTCAGCGAGTTCTCAATCGCGCGCCAACATGTCTACCACCTACTGTGGCATTGCCAAGGAACGCAAGGAGCTCCTTGCCCAGCTGCACGAGCAGCTCTTACTGCTGGCCCAGGGCCCAGAGGTCATCGATATCGACGTCGTCTTGTACCGCATTGACGACCTGACTGATCAGTTGTCAGATCTCGACGATGCGAAGTACCAGATCCAGGACCAGGGCCAGGAGGAGGATACGGACGCCGAAGAGGAGTTCTACTCAGGTGAGCAGCCGGCCGACGACGACGAAGGCGAGACGGTGGAGTGTGTGAACTGCATGATGCAGGAGCAGCGGTGCATCCATCGCTGCGAGGTCGATGAATGTCGTGTCTGCACGGCCCGTTGGTATTATTGTAACTATTGCCTGGAGAATGTTGGTGTTCCTGCCAGGGCTAACTGATTTTAGGTTGTTCGAATCTCTCGATGTGAATTTCAGGGTGAGGTAGTGTTTGTTTTGTTTTGTTTTGAATAGTCTTTGAGTTGTTCTTGAAATGTTTTGGTCTGCGTTTTTTTTTTTTTTTTTTCCTAACTTTCGCGATGTCATTTGAGACCATTTAGTTAAGAATGAATGTTGTCGAATGGGAGAAAAGCGAAATGCTCATTTGTAGACTATAGTAGAGCACCTAGTACATGTGGGAACCTGCATCCACTCTAGCCGCCACACCGTCAAGGGGTACCGCGGAAGTAGATAGGACGGACCCACTGATTGGCCATTCAAAGCATGAATTCGTCATTGCAGCATGTCCTAACGATTCCATCTGCCCCTCAATTCTTCTTCATCCATCTATTTGGAAAAGAAATCTTCTGGAAGTGAAATCATCTAGAAAAGACCATGGCGTCTGCCACCGGTATCCCCCAGGAACATCCCCAGACCATCGAAGCTCAAGAAGATGAACCTCTCTTGGGTCGACCCGGTCAAGTTGTCCAGAAAGAGACAGATTATATCTTTTATAACCTGTTCACGGGTAAGTTCTGGGATTGGTCACAGTAAGAACAAGGCTGATGGTTAATGTAGGATCGGCTACAGTGGCCCAGTTTGGAATCTGGATTGTAGGTCTATTGTAATTCAAGAGAGCTACAGTGTAAGACTGACCGATATTATCATATTAGCTAGTCATCCTCGTCTGGTCTGGCATCCTCTCCCATAACTTAATCTTCTTCTCCGCTCACCCGGTGAGTCTATATTATCCGCTTCAATATCCCGACAATCGAGCTAATTCGTCACAGCTGCTCAACTCCTCGGCCCTTCTCCTACAAGTACAGGCGTCTCTGATTCTACAGCCCACCGTCACACCCCAGCAGAAGCTCCGAGGGACACGCATCCATTACGCCCTCCAAACCATCAGCGTGGCGGCGTTCATCATCGCCTTCATAATCATTGAAATCAACAAGGGCGATCATCCGCACTTCGACTCGCCCCACGGCGTGTTGGGTCTCGTCACGTATATCTTGATTATCCTGCAGGCTCTCGGCGGGGTTATCCAGTACTTTCTTCCCGTTCAAGTTCTGGGGAGTATCGACCGCGGAAAACGCTTCTATAAGTATCATAGGGTGTCTGGATATATGCTGCTCCTTGTGGAATTAGCAACGGTGGCGGCGGCCACGCGCACCGACTTCAATCTCGCGGTGTTGTCAATTTCTCTGTGGTCGGTCCTGGTGGCGATCGTGGTGCTGATTGCCGGTGTTGGGGGCCGAATTAAGAAGGGTAAGCTGGGACTATAATATAATTTTTAAACTCCTTATGCGTTAATTATGGTTTTTTCTTCTCTTTTCTTTTCTTTTCTTTTTTTTTTTTTTTTTTTTTTTTTTTTTGAAATTATTTGATAAACCTGCAAGGATAATAAGTTGATAGGACTAATAGGCATAGTACAAGGCGAGCGAATGAAACAATTCCATGCAATCTATCTTCTTTCTGTAGTGAATTAATTCTATTAAATTCTGAGTATTAATTCAAGTATCAAACTCTAAATAATAACCATAGAATGTCGTCTGGTCTATGCGTGGAGAAAGTGGATGCACCCAAACGGGAAAAGCGCCAGCATCGCCAGATTTGGTTCGATTTCTCCGACTTTCTCGCATTGCACCACCTCCCTTATCTCTCTCTCTCTCTTCCTCTCTCGTCCTCTCTCACAATGGCGTCATCTCGAACCCCCTATGTCTGCCTGAAATGCAGACTAACACGCCCCGTCCTCCGGCGTCAATTCTCTGTGTCGACGCGTCACTCAGAAACCATTCGACCAGCCACCGCTCCAAAGCCAACTCCCGATATTAAACACATTCGCCAGAACGCAGAGCTCTACTCGAAAAACAGCCTGGATCGGAACTACCCATCGCACGCGGACCATCCCTTTCAAATCCAGCAGTTATCCGATGAGACTCGCCGTCTAGACCACGATCTCAAAGCCCCCCGATCCCGCATCAAGCAGCTGGAGAAGTCCATCGCGCAGCTCGCCCGTCAGGATGACCAGACCGATGCCAGGGAACAAGAGCTGGCGAACCTACGGTCGGAGGCACAGCGATTGAAGGACGAGTCGCTGGCCATGGCGACTCGGAGATCGGCGTGCACAGATCAGATCCACAAATTGGCCCTGTCCCTGCCCAACCTCTCTTCTACCAAAACTCCCGTCGGCCACAATGCTCGACTCATCGAATATATCAACTTTGATCCTCAATCGCCGCCCAACTGTGCTGTGCGACCGGACCCGACCCGCTCGCACGTCGCCATCGGCACCTCGCTCGGCCTTCTCGACTTCACCAGCTCCGCAACCACCACTGGCTGGGGCTGGTACTTCCTTCTCAACGAGGGGGCACTACTGGAACAGGCTCTGATCCAATACTCCCTGAGCGTGGCGCGCAAACACGGCTGGAAACCCGTCTCTCCTCCTTCCATTGTCTACTCCTACGTCGCCGAGGCCTGCGGCTTCCAGCCGCGCGACCAGCACAACGAGCAGCAGATCTGGTCCATCGTACAAAGCGACAAGGACCGGTCCAAACCCCCGAGATCTCTCGCCGCCACCGCCGAGATCCCCCTGGCCGCCATGTACGCCGGTCGCGACTTCGACGCCGTCGATCTGCCCGTCAAGCTGGTCGGGCCCAGCCGATGCTATCGTGCCGAGGCTGGCTCCCGCGGCGTCGACACCAAGGGACTCTACCGAGTGCATGAGTTCACCAAGGTCGAGATGTTCGCATGGGCCGACAATCTTCCCACCGGGTCATCATCATCAGCAGCAGCATCCGTCACATCAGACGACCTCTTCAATGAACTTCTCTCCATCCAGATCGAGATCCTCTCCACTCTCGGTCTCCCATGTCGCGTCCTCGAGATGCCCACCGCCGATCTGGGCGCTAGCGCCAGTCGAAAACGCGATATCGAGGCTCTCTTCCCGTCCCGACTGCGTGCAGCATCGTCCACGTCTCCCGGAGACTCATTGCTCGAATCCGCCTGGGGCGAGGTCACCTCTGCATCTATCTGTACGGATTATCAGAGTCGACGACTGGGGACGCGCGTGCGCGGCGGAAGTATCAAGGAATCTCGATTCCCTCACACGGTCAACGGCACGGCGATGGCAGTGCCGAGGGTGTTGGCGGCGATCCTGGAGAATGGATGGGATGAGAAACGCGGCGTGGTGGTTATACCCGAGGTTCTGAGGAATTATATGGGAGGGATGGAAGTTATTGGGTCTTAGAGATATGTATAATAAATAGTTACATGTACGGAGTGCTCCGTATATTAATGGTATATCAATCAGCTCCATGTACATATATATAAATCTACACTCGTCCTCGTCCCTTTGGACAAATACGAAGTACACGGCAGATGCCTGTATACTGGAATCGATGAGTTTAATTGATCGTACATCATATCTCATATATCACATTTTCTTGGTCGAACCTGTACATTACAAACAAGGCCGGATGGATCAGAAGAATAGTACTCCGTATAAAGATGAGGAAATCCCTCCAAGAAAAAGACACAGAACACCAATAGATAGGTAACTAACGGAGTATCGTGAGTCATAACACATGCCAGACGTTAAATCATTATCGTAGAAAAAGGGGGGGAAATAAAAAAAAAAAAAAAAAAAAAAAAGGCCGAAACTGTTAAATTGTCAACACTTAGCCGGTCACATTGCAAACAGGAGAAAATGAAGGCAAGTAAATTATCCGTGGGTATCGATAGATGTATCATAAAAACTGGGTTCGTAAATTCTGGATCTGGTCGTCAATCATTCGTCTCTATTCTCTGTCTTCTGTTCTGTTCAGTCCCAGGGAACATCTGCATCTTCGACTTTAATGCAGGTTAAATACGGAAGGCCAGCATCGGTCATCTCCGCTCCCTTCAGGTCGAGCTCGAGAAAGTTCCTCATCAGCGGTTTGACGATCTCGCGAGCTAGCCGTTTGATTTCATCCATCTTGCGCTCGAATCGTTTCAAAACCTCTCGCGTGTACAATGACTCCGAGGAGGGGGTTGGGTGAACTTTGAGGAATTTCTTGAGCTCGTCATGGGTCAGGTACGCTTGGCTGGAGGACGATCCGATCAGGCGGTACACCTGAGCGGAAGACATGGGCGGAACGGCCGTGGTGGTTTGCGAGGGACGACTGGTATGGTTGGGGGCGTTCGAATGGGGGTTGGAGGAGGTGGGATGCTTTAGAATGGGAACCGGGGGTGGCGTCGTACTGTCCACCAGCCATTGTCGAAACAGGGAGATTGCCAGCCAATCGAGATATGCATTTCCGGGACTGACCCGTTCGCCGCGGGAGGTGGTGAGCGTCAGCCGGAGGAGCTTGGAGTCCACGCGCGCCTTCATAAACTCGAGGTCCTCCACTTTATCCTCGATGATGTCCAACACGGTGTCAGGAAGGGGGGAGTAGGAGCCATTGCGCAAGTGAGATAGTCCTGCTGGCCATTGACCGACGACGTGAATCAGAGCTTCTGAATAGATCACGCGGCTCCGCGCAAGGAATCCGAGCTTGAGGTAGCTCGGAGGATACTTGGCAATCTGCTTGAACAGCCGCGAACCAAATCCTAACAGGTGGTGATCCACTCGGGGCCCAGTGACCGCAAGAGCGTCGTACATGTCAGCCAGCGCCAGCAGAGCCCGGCACTCCGCATAGGCAGTTGCAATGTTCACGCTGTTCAACGCCGGTGGGTAGTTATAGAACAGGAGGAAGAGGTTATCATAGTCACGGACAATGGGATCCATCGGCGCGTTCGCCCCGCCCGTCGAGTGAGGCAGGTTCATGACAGTCTGCATCCCTGCGAGATTGGCCATTGAGCGAACAAATCCTGCTTGGGAGCTAGAGGGCTTGGTCATCGATGGGGGATACTGGCTCGCATCATTCCCAAACGCACTGGAAAAACTCGGCGGCTAACCACAAGGTCAAAATGTAAGAACCTGACTTTGCTGCGGACAGAGGGAAAACGCCAATTATCAGGTAATTGGACCTACCTTCTGGACCAAGATCGGCTCTTCGTCCTCGGACTTGCTCTCCCAGTCCAATTCGTATCTCCACCTCTTTTTCTCGGGCGCCCAGGGCATGGCTCCGGGGTCGGACTGGGCCAAAGTTGAACCATTCGATAGGGACGAGTTGTCTTCGCTGACTCTCGACAGTGCCCCCGGGTCCACATTCGGGGGCCTCGGGACAGCCTGTCCTGACCACTCTTCGCGGGTGCTCGTTTCGAAGAACCCAGAGCATTGCGCCAATATGAGCCGGTGGAGAAGGTACCGCTTCTCCTGACCACCTGCGCGGATGACGATCTCCACGTCCCCCGTGTGCGTGAAGACGGGAAAATCATTCTGGGGCTGATGGGCAAGGCCCCCATGATGTGAGCGACTTGAGCGATGTCGCCGACTAGAGTGGGAATGGCGCGAAACTGATGAGGGCACGCTCGGCATGGGAAGGGACCGGTCCAGAATTTGGGCCTGCGAGACCATTTCGATAGTATTCGCGGCGGCGGCGGTGGTGGTCGTGGTGGTGTTGGTGGAAGACTTGGTGGTCATGGTCGGGCAAGGCGCTTAAGGAAACGCGCAGTGTGACAGGACACCAGAATGGGTGCGCTGGTGAACGTTTTCATCCAATACCAACGCAGGGCGGAAATTTTTTCAGGAAGATTTTATTCAGTCGGTCAACGACAGACGCAAGAAAGGAATGAGTGTTCTGCAGGAAAACCCCTCAAGAGCGCACGATCTGGTGGCAAACCTCGCGCGATGGACGCGAATCAACGGACGTACAAAAAGGGTGGAAAATGGGTGTGGACAGTCAAGCAGATGTCTCGGATATTCCAAGCAAAGACAAGTCAAATCGAATCGTCTCGAGGGACAGGAAGAAGTGAGACCTGATATGATGAGAGGATCCACTTCATGCAGCCAAGTCCAGACAGTTCCTCCATAAATAAACAAACAATGAGAGAAGAAATGAAGGGATTCGAGATTTCCTGCGTCTCTCGTCTGTCTCTCCGTTTGTCTCTGACTGACTCTCTCTCTAAGAAACTGTGAATCTCGTCGTTTTCTTTTCTTTTCTCCCTTTTTTTTTATGTTTTTTCTTCTTCAGACATTGTTTACTTGTCGATTAGTCATCAACTCACATGCACGTGCTGATAGTGCTGACTCAGCCTCCCCCGCCGAAAAAGCACCGATCGAGTCATCTTCTCTTCTTTTCTTCTTCGTATCCTTTCTTGTCTTCTCGCTTGGTCATCGCCGTTTTCTTCTCGTGTTCGTGACTCCCCTCTCTCGCCATCGCAACCGATGCTTAAGTTGTGCCACTAAGTCCGCTGCACGTCCAATTCGACTTGATCCGTGAGCCTCTCGTCCAAGGATGATGGCTAGTGCCGTACTCGAATCCCCCTCGCGAGTTGTAGTTTGGTTGTTCTGGATCAATATTTCTCATCGCCGAGCTCTGTCACTAGCGTGATGACCAAGGGTTGCTACACCTGCCGCCGCCGACGCATCATTTGCGACAATGGTCTCCCTACGTGTCGAAAGTGTCGAGATGCGGGAAAAGAATGTCTGGGGTATCAGAAACCCCTTGTCTGGGTCAAGGGGGGCGTTGCTAGCCGTGGAAAGATGATGGGCCGTACTTTTGATGATATCGTGTCCACTTCTTCGCGGACATGTAAGAGTTCAATCAACGCAGAGCCCGTCGAGCAGATCGGACCATTGCAAATACAAAATGCACGGGAGACTGGATCAAGTGCTACGCATGTGCAGGAGAGCAACGGTCAGGCCTCTGCCCAGGCAGTGGTCACTTATGCCAACTACACCCCCACGCCCCGCAGCCTAGTAGATCCGGTGGTCAAAGACCTGAGTCCCATGACAAGGCGCTATATCTCTCACTGTAGGTGATACGACAAGCCCTCCATGTCAAATAGCATCTAATCCGTCTCGCAAAGTCAACCAGCATCTCATCACTTATCTTGCGCTATATTCTGACGTAAATAATCCTTTCCGTCAACTCGCACCGCTGGTTGGGGAGTCCCCGGTCCTCGCATACGCACTGGCGGCTACTGGAGCTCTACACTGCGCAGTCCTGGCGAATTGTGATTTCTCGCCCACGCCATGGGCGACAGACGCATCGGCGCTCACCAAGACCGTATTATCGCCGCAAGATGTTGAAAAGGCCGTGGTTAGCTCCATGACCCGACGTCCATCTTCCAAGACCTATGAGCACTTCCTCGGATTGAAGCAGCGCACCCTCCATCAACTGTCGTTGGATCTCCGTGACCCGGACAAACGAAACGATTCCCGGATTTTGGCTTCGATCATGATGCTTGCACTCATGGATGCCATTGAGTCCGGTGATGGAGCGTGGAAATATCATTTGGAAGGTGCTAAGAAATTGTTAATGAGTCGGGGCCTGGAGAAAAATGCTCCCCTGACACGGAGCGTAACGGACTCCCTCCATACCTTTGCTATCGACGGATTTCTCCTGTATGCTTCCCACCCCGTATGACGGCCACAAATAGTGCTGATTTGGCCACCCTTAGTATCCAGCTCATGGGCTCCACACTCGCCCGGCCGGGATCCCTGACAAGGCCCTTTTACTCTTCAGATATGGGCCCGGAAGTTCTAAAACGCTTGGAGCAAACATCATGGGTAGGATGCCCTGCGTACCTACTCGAGGTCATCTTCATCCTCCATGAAGGCTGGTGTGCCCAGCCCGACTCTAATTCCAGCTCACATCCCACCATGAACTTTCACTCAACCTTCCTGCCTGAGGGTTCAAATCCCTTCCAGTTCCCCTGTGCTATCCTCCATCACATTAAAGCCTTCGACCCCCTTGCCTGGGCCGAAGACATGCAGAGCTGCCTCTATCTTCCGGACCTGTCCATGCGCGTCACACTGGCCAGTGTCTTTCGCGCTGCCGTGTATCTGTACGCCGGTCGAGTCCTCTCCCAGCCTCGCACGGGCGTCGCTCAGTCCCATAACTCAGGTCTCCCTTCCGATCACAGCGACGTGACTAACTCACTGATCCGCGAGATTGCCTTTATCCCCATCACGGACCCACATTTCAAATGCCTCATTTGGCCGACCTTCATCGCCGGCGCCGAGTGCAGAGATCCCTGTCAGCGACCCATCCTCCTGCAGACCCTGAGCAACTTGTACTACGATATCACCAGCATCAATGTCCGCAATGCCGCTTGGGTCCTGAGTTTGATGTGGCGGAAGCGCGATGCCAGACGGCAGGGAACCCAGCAGGAAAACTCCGTCGTACCGCTGATGGTCATGACTCCGCCCGGGTCGTCTAACTCGCCTTCCGTTTGCGAAATTGATGACGATTTTGATTGGTTTCAGGAACTGGATGATTCCCGCATTGATTGGCTATTCATATAGAGGTTTAGTAGCAAATGACTTCCACAGCAGAATTGTATATGTATATATTTGTGTATATCTAAAGAATAGCACCCTTGATGATGATGGACATCCTTTCCAATGTATATACATTGTGCACTTTTGGCTACCCAAGGAGCTTGGTCTCAGCTAATAGATGTGTATTTCGAGGCAAGAAATAACATATCAAAGTGAAAAAGGATAGACAGGGCACATCAATGTCCGTGATGAAATCCCATAAAAGCGAAATGCTATCAGACAAGAATGTAAATTTAAGGAGATGAAAAAAAGGAGAAGAAAAGAAAAGAATTGGGGGCAGTGGGGAATCTGACACGCTGGACAAAAGACACAGATCGGGGAATCAATTCCGCTCCTAAATGAACAAAGAGGAAAGGAAATAAAAGTCGCTCAGCGTAGCAAACTGAATGGTATAATATCAAACGAAACCTAGAGCAGCAATGGTTGACCAAGGCATGTCGAGGAGCCGGGGTATATAACTATCCTCGTGTCTGTACTGCTGACAAAGCGAAAATCTGATAAGGTCTTGAATCCTCTGCTTCCGACCAAGTGAAAAGTAAACATCTGGACACGCAGATAAGGGGACAAAGACAAATAACAACATGCGCCAGATGAGGGATATATGCACACACTCCGTCTGATCTAAATGCAGTGATCTCAGCAAAAAAATAAAAATAAAAATAAAAAAAGCACGCTCATCGTTGCAGGGATGCAAGATAAAAGTAAAATGGAAATGGAAATCAGATCACAGGAGCAAAAGCCTGCAAATGTAAACAAAGAGCAGTTGTTGGGCACAGATGCATGATCAGAATCCATAACAGGAGTCCAATCAAGCACACATGGCTGTTGTAGGATAGGAAGAAACATCCAGTAACACAACTCTCATGCATGAAAGGATCAGGGGATTGAGTGAAGGCATGACGCTCTTGGTAGCAACCATGTAGGCGTCAATGGCGAGATGGAAGGAGAGGAGGGAGTATAGACTTGCATGTCAAGGGTGTGATGAACTAGAAAACGGCTGCCAGGCCGTTCCTTGAATGGCGTCTACTGAACCGTTTCTTTCCTTTAACAGAGTCGGAATCATTCGCCTGATGTTTGACTAAGGTGGTTCGACCCGAAGATGACGGGTTTTCGTGGTGCATCTCAGAATTACGGTCCAGAGTATTGGCATGGCTCGACAATTCCGACGATAGATCACGGAAAGCTTCATCCGCAGAATATGATCCATTTCTTTGCTGAGCCAAAGCCATCTCACGGGCTCGATCGAGGGCGTCGAGCCATTCCTGTGCCACCAAAGCGGTCGCACCGGCATTACCAGAGGAAGGTTTGGGGTCTTCGAAAACGAAATGTTTGTCTCGCTACAGACAGGTTAGCAAGAATGCGTCAGAAGAGCAAAGGATGGTGGTTCCTACAGTATCCACCACCCAGCATGAAAACCCCTTCGAATCGGTCGAGGCGCGATACTGTGTCCCAGGGGTAAGCAACGACAGTTCCGTCTTTGCCTTCTTTTCATCACCTCCAGATGCGGCCAAGATTATGCGAGCCGACGAAGTCACCATGACCAATCGCTGCCGCTTTTTCGTGGTGCTCCCTCCAAAAAACCGCGAGAATTTCTTGGGTGCCTCGACTTCACCATTCCCATTTTTCGAAACAGGGCTGTGAGGAGCCGGCGAAGACAAAACAACCAAATTCCCCAGCTTGAGTATTCGCTCGTTGATTTTCGTCAGCACGGGAGACCACTCAATATCCAGTTGGCTCGGGGGGGGCAGCTCGGTCACCAGCCTGGGGACTATCCTCGAGCCAGCATTGGCGGCACCTGATGGTGCAGTGGAGATGCTCGGAGGGAAGCTGTCACCGTCTCCGCCGTTGAGCTTGATGGGCTCGCGAGGCGGCGGAATGTACGCCTTGAGACGGGGGGCCTTTCGTTTCCACAACTCCGAGCCCCAGGGCATTCCCTGGAAGAATTCATGGTTTTTAATATGCTCGATAGGTAGACGTCGTGCTGGGTCCAGAACGAGTAGACGTTCGACGAGATCCCGGGCCACGGTAGGAAACCCAATAGGAAATTCGTATTCGAGAGCCACAATTTTTTGGAAGGTTTGGTACTCATTTCCGGCCTTGAATGGAGGACGGCCAGCCAGGAGCTGGTAAATGATACAACCGAACGCCCACAAGTCACTTGCTTTACAAGCATTTTTGTCCGTGAGCAGTTCTGGGCTGACATATTCCGCCGTGCCAACAAAGGAACTGGCACGCTCTTCTGCTGGAAGATCGGTCGAGTCCAGAGGTAACATCCCGCTCGAGCTCGGATCAGGTCTCGGCAGAGTCTTGAGAATCTTTGCTGTTCCAAAGTCCGTGATTTTGACGTGCATCTGGCTGTCAAGAAGCACGTTCTCTGGCTTCAGGTCTCGATGGATAACGCCGCGTCGATGCATATAGTCTATGGTGTCGAGAATCTGGGCACCGTAAAACCTCGTGCACTCCTCGTCGAATGTAGACATGCGTTTCAACACCCCTAACAGTTCTCCACCCTTGCAAAGATCCAAGACGAAATATAATGAACGCTCATCTTGGAAAGTATAATACAGTCGAACAATACCCGGGTGTTCGGTGAGCCGGTTCAAGGTGTCCTTCTCAATGTTCACATATTTGACCTTTTTCTCCTTGATGATATGTCGTTTGTCCAATATCTTAATCGCGTATTCCTTCAGAGTCTGGCGATCCGTGCCAAGGACAACAGTACTGTACGAGCCTTCTCCTAGGGTGTTCCCAAACGAGAAATCACGGACCCCCTTTTTGATATAGCGCGCAACAGGTTTTCCATTGGAGTCAATTTCCTGTCTTACCGAGACGGCCGCCCCACGGTCCTGCCACTCTTCACTACTTGAAGCAGGGCCATTCTCCATTCCATATGGTGACCCCGAGAGCTGAGAAGAGCCGCCGCCGCCACCGCGCGCATGAGCGCGGGAAGACTGACGCATCACCATAGGCCCACTACCAGCAGGTAGCTGCGCAGTCCTGTAGGATCGATCACTGTGACTATTATCACGCACGGGAACTCCTGCCTGAAAAGCTGCCGAGCCACCACGAGACTCTGCGCGGGCTTGGCTTTCGGATGCCGACGACGCCGCTGAATCGGTACGGATCCGGTAGCAACTCTCCCTGGGAGCTAATGTTGACGTCGAACCATTCGCGAAAATACCCGATAAAGGGCGAGAGGGGCCTGGCGGAGAGTGCTGCTGCTGCTGGGTCATATACGGGGGAAATTGCAGACCCGACTGCTGCTGTGATTCTAAGTAAGGAAGGAAGGTGGAATTTCGATTCTCGGCGGGATTTGCGGAGTCATCTTGGACATCATCACCGGAGGATGGTGCTGGAGAGTAGGGAAGAGACGTTGAGCTGCCTGATGGTTGAAGTAGGGTCGATTCACACTTGGGATCGGGGACTGCTGGTGGTACTGAGACAGCGGCCGAGGTTGAGGTCGCGGTCTGCTCAGACGAATGTAGAGACGAGTCATCCGGATTTGCTATCCGGAGACCTCCCAGAGACTGGGAAAGACTGAGGTCCCCGTCCATGACGGGCATCGATGGTGGTGGGGCGGACGGTCTAATTGTTAAACAATCGGACCGGGTGGCTTAAAAGGAGGGTTGACGATGGGGGAGAGAGACGGGAGAGACGGAGGTGAGCAGCCAAGACAAGACACCACCACGGTAGAGGAAAGGGAGGGGGAAAAGGAGGACGAAAGGGACGGAAAAAACCAAAGGCTACTATATTATTCTTACGATTATTATTTGCAACCGACAAATAATAACGGTAATAATAATAATAATAATAAATAAATAAATAAATAAATGGAATAATAAAACCAGAATCGAATAAGAATAGTTGGAGAGAATGAGAGGGCACTCGGCCGACGTGGACTAAGGCGGCGGTCGGAGACACAGTGATTGATGCATGGTACGGATACAACTGTGGATGACTCAGGGACAGAAGGAGGAAGAGGGAGATAATATAGATGGAGGGGATAACGGGGGGATAACGAAGAGACAAAAGGGAGAGAAGAAGAGAGAGAGAGAGAAAGAAAAATGAAGTTGGAAGAAGAGGCTGAGATGGATTGCAGCCTTAGGATCCATCCGTTTCCGAATCGGGCAAGTCAGTTCAGTTGTGATGGTTATTATTAGCAGCGCCAGAACAGTCGAGGCTCGGAAATCTCCCGGCCTGGGGGTGGGTTATATTTAGCTGGGCTGAATGGTGTCTTGGTCAACAATTATGGCCAGTTTTTCTTTGTTTTTTTCTCAATTGTGATCGCATTCTCTCTCTCTCTCTCTCCTGCATCGTTCATGGTCTCGGGAAGCCAGTCACTCAGGTTTCCCTTTTGGGGATGCTATCTTCTATACACCAAAGGACCCCCGCCACAGTATGATATAGGATACTAAAAAAAAATGAAATAAACCCTCTACATCGACATGCTACCATATTGTATCTATCATATAATCGAGATGAAGATGTGTATATACAAAATAAAACATCTCTCTTCTCATCCACTGTTGTAGACCCTCAGTAACAGAAATATACAGTGCATCCATCAGTAGAATGGCTCCTTCCTGACACTGAAGTGGACTTTCCCAACAGAGCTGAGAAACTAGACAAGCCATATTTCTGTGTTTAAATGTCGATTAAATGGGAACTCGTTCAATGCTACGTACTAGTAGTTTCCACTACTCTTTTTTGTTGGCTGCCTATTCCGAAGTACTACTCTATATCCTGCATCCAATCGAGCAGAGATACTACATACCTATACCCATGCTTCGATTTAAACCAACCTGTATCTCCCTTGAGGAGGAAGACCTTAACTGTCACCTCGAGAGTATTTTTGCTCGCCATTCTCTACCTTCGACGGGCGAGCAGCAGGATGTAGAAAAGATCAGCAACTATGGGAGTCAAGAAACATCCATCGACTCGGATCAGTCCCTTCTCTATTCTTTTGCACGATTGACTATATCAGACCCAGGCTACTGTAGTGAATCTAAGTCTTCCTCGATTCTAGACCAATTGCAGACAGACTGGAGGAAACGTGATACCGTGTGCGGTTCTACACTGGTTGAACCTGACTCCTCTGAAACATCCCTATGCAATGACTCTGGTCGCCTATTTGCTAAGGGTGAGCCCTATGCTCTATATGATGTTCAGGCCATACACAGTGACTTAAGTCATCCGCTAAGCAAACATTTGCCAGATGCATATCATGTTGTGACGCACCATGATTCACTGGAGGACCATTCCCACTCCAGTTTTCACGCTGAGCCACTGGTTCCCTGGCAGCTCTCTCTGAACACGCCCCATGAAAAAGAGATAATATTCTTCAGGTCCCCACGTGGCAATATTGCTTTACCACAGGCTCTAGTTGCCCTTGGGGAGAGAGCTGTGTTCAGTAGCTTTTCTCTTCCTCCTCCCTTTTCAGCACGCAAGGTTCTCTCTGACAGTGGTCATCGCCAAAGAGAAGTAAACACAACTGGTACTGGACACCCATGCAATGGACACTATTTCGATTGGGCAAAAAAGGCTAACTGTTTCGATTTGATTGGTAGGAAGCCTCAGAGATATCGTTATATCAAATAGAACAAACAAGATACTTCACTCAGACCGACCTGCCAAGTTCCATTCAGTAACCACACCATCTATCAAACTTCTTACGGAAATTGCTCTTGATCAAAGGGCACTGCAGGCATTCACGATGGCCGACCTTACAACAAAGAGAGCAAGAAAGGGAAAGAGCTTTAATGCCAACTTCCCCCCGTCGCAAACCCTATCGGCAGATCGTGCAAGTGACAAACACTCTACCAACAAGGAGTCGAAAGACAGGTCTCGGGAGAACCAGCAATTAGCATGTAACCCTGTTAGAGCTACAGTTTCAACTAAAGGCTCTCGCGATAGCTCTAGACCAGAATCGCTCGGAAGAGGTTGCACAGGTCCTATAAGAAAAGTAAGTACGAAAGTATTAAACTATGTAGATAACCAGGGGGTTGACGAGATCAAAGATGGTCAAAATTACACAGACAAGCGTCGATAGGAGAGCTAGTGTAGACAGCCTGCATACCAATCCTGCCACCAGCCCATCAGCTCTCGAAGGTGACCATGCTGAGATCTCGCCCACGAACCACTGGAAGAGACAGCCCAGAGGTCGTTATCTACAGGCCGCGATTACGCAGGTAGGTGCCCCTTCCGTCGTGAAGACCTTTATTCAGTCATGTATATGATACTGACCACCGTTGTAGGGTGAAAATAATAACAAAACAGACGTCCGCCCTCGCCCACGTGCTCAAGGGCTACGGCCTAATCCCTTCGCCTCCGCAATTCTTCGACAGCGTTGCATGGCTACGAACATCGGAGCGGCAGATAGTCCCTATGCATCTTCGGTTGTTGCCCAAGACTCGCTGGTACCTGCAAACGCATCGACACATACCGAACAGGGGAGTTCAGCAACTCCACATGGGAATGGAAGTAGCCAACCAGGGACGGTACGAATATTTCTATCTTGGCCTCTTACGGTGATTGTCTGAATTTTGACTGACGCAATGAGTTGAAAAGGACAAAGACCTGACTGATTCTATTTTGGCGGAAGCTGTCGAATTCCAGAAACATGTGGATCGCCTGGTGGCGGAGGTTGACGATGAGCGTGATGATACTATTTATGATTTCGGGTTAGCATTGATGAGACGTACACCTCTGGGCGAATGGTATCGACGCGCAAATAAGATTAAGAGAGACGAATAAGTTGGACTTGTCGGCGGCACCTGCTTGGAGAGGCATCTTGCTCTGTTCAGCAGATGCTGCTTTCTATTTCGCTTCGCCTATCTAAACAGGAAGGAGTTGCGCCCTCAACAGATGCTATCAAAAGGGACCAAAAAAGAAAAAAGAAAAAAAAAATTTGAAATGAAAAAAAAAAAAAAAATTAGAATTATTGAACAGTATGGCCAATCTCGTAAATGGGCACGGTGGCGGACTACCCGCGGACGCCCGTACAAACTGTCAGTTGACTCCACCAACATGAAGAATCAGTAGATCGTTGGCGCACTACATGTTAAGAGTAGTACTTCAAGTAGTACTTCGTACGTAGTCGATACGTGTCCTCGATTCAGTAGGTTGAACTGCTAGTATAATGCTAATCGCACTGCCTCACCGCTTAGCTCGTTCGTTACGCGTCCCCAACCCCACTGAAACTGTGATGGCCATCATGTGCCTGCTTCCCATTCTGGCCGCGAGGACTCCATACGGAGTAGAGCAAGAAACCATCACGCCGTCGATCCTCGTGTCCTTTGCAACGTAATGATATTCTGACTATCCTACACCCTAGCTTAGCTTCTACCCAAGTCTTTCCTCGGCACTCCGTACGATAGCTACCTACAGAGTATTGAGTGACAGGGATCCTGATCAGGTTTATCCACTCTACAGAGTATGTACTCCAGGGTAGATAGATAGGTGTATTTATTCCATATGTACTCCTTACATATCAAATACTCCATAGGAATTAACATAGTAGCATGCGCGAAGTATCATTCTACTGTGAGTGACCTCGGTAGTCTCAGTGTTGTTTTGTCCCTGGAATAGATGAAACAGATGTTTCAGGTTTATACGCCATACTCCGTGCTTTCTACATACACTAGTAGCAAGGTTCATGCTTGGCAGATGGGAACCAGCTATCGTTACATGTCATCTGAATGATAGTTTAGTGGCATCTTAGGAGTTTAAAGTGAACACCGAAAGGAGAAAGACCATTGAACCATAGATCAATTATCTTAATGCATTTATCACTGTCTGGTCATGCGCTAATCTATTCATGGCATACAATCACTCCACCGGATACTTCTGTTGATCACCAATGACGAATGATGCGTATTTGCACAAAATGAGACAATGGACATGAAAGCACAGCCAAGAATGCAGGGCACCGTCTGTATAAACTCTAAACAGAGAAAGAAATTGAAGAACAAAAAAAAAAAAGGCATTGGCTCGAAAATCTAGTTCTTGCAGGTGACATCAACACAAAATGCCCGCAAAATATCTCCCGAATATCGCTTCAAATAAAGAGAAAAAAGAATCAATGGCTCCAGTTGTCCGTAATCCTATATCTAATTGTTTTTTAACCTCCCCCCCTTAATTCAATATTAACCAGGACACATTAGTGCAGATGCATAGTGCTTACTGGCCCTGGGCGAAAAGCTGAGCGCCATCAACCAAGCGCCTTTCGGCGTTCTGTCTACCGTTGACGAAGTCAGGGTAGTTCAGTGTGAGCTCGACAGCACCGTTGACAATGTTGTCCACAGCCTCGACACCCAGCATGAAAGAGTGATCCTGGTTACCGACCTCGTACCGCCAGCTACCGAAGCGACCACGGGTCCAGATATCCTGGGCCTGGAGTCTCGGCAGGATCTGAGTAAGAGCACCCTCGCGCTCCAGAGAGGGGGTGGGGTAGCCATGGTCGAAGCGGCGGTGATAGGTGGATACGATCTCGTCGGTGGGCTTGAGCATCTCAGTGTTGACGAGACCCTGGATCGACTCGGCCAGGAGAGTTTCGTAGTTGACAGGTTTCATGGAGGATTCGGAGACCTCCAACATGATGGACCAGTAGGGGCCGTCCTGAGCATCGGAGCTCTTGGGTTTGGACCCATCTGCGAGCTGCAAGGTAGGCAGTTTCTTGGAAGCATCAGGCTGGTTGTAAGGAGAGTAGTTGGAGAAGATAGTGGCACGGTAGAAGGGGCAGTTATCCTCAGGGAAGTACAGCTAATAAGTCAACAGGTTAGCCTTCGTGTATCCATACGTGCTACAATATCCGACTTACCCAGCACTTGTCACCGATTCTCTCAGGGCGGCTGCCACGGATACCAATACCGATCACATGGGTAGAAGAGTAGAAGAGCTGCTTGGTGAGGCCAACCAGTTCTTGATCACCCATTTGCTCGGCGAGGAAGTCCACAGCCATGGTGGAGACGAGCTTCTTGTAGCCGACGGTGGTTCCATCGGCAAGCTGAACGGTCTTGTTGCCGGCGTTGACCTTCACAACCTTGCCCTTCTCACCGAAGCGAGTCTTCTCCTTGGGCAGGGTGTCGGCAACCGCAATCCAGATACCACCAGTACCACCATGTGCAGGGAAACGGAAAGTAGCGTTGGGGCCCCAGTTACCGGCGGTCTTGTTGAGGATGACGTTGGTGGTAACAGCCTTGAGGTTGGGAGCGGCAACACGCTCACCAAGCCAAGCGCATTGCATCTGGAGTTTCCGTCTGGTTAGCAACCTTTATATCCTTGTGGCGGCTAACAGTGGCCGCGTCCAACACAACTTATCCATCGACTGTGCGACTCACCTTAGTTGTCGGCACAGCCCAGACTTTGTAGTTGTAAGGTCTCATGAAGAGATCGGCGATACCAGTTCCCATCATGCGGACAATCCACTCGTCGAAGTCCTTGGGCTTGGTGTTGGCCACACGGGCCTCAAGAGCAGCATCAATCATGCCGTCAATGCATTTAACCTGCTCCTGCTTGGGAAGCATGGAGATGTTGTTCTGGAAAGGATAGGGAACCCATTGGCCCTGGCAGCGGACGTAGGAGATACGCTGGTGGGTATACCAGTCATCGTCCTTGGGGAGGGCCTCGTTGATGCAGTCGTCGAAGTACTTGTAGTGGGAGAAGATAACATGACCACCGACATCATAAAGCTACCAACAGATCAGATCAGTCCTGTCGCCTTTTCCCGGAGATAATTGAGATAGGACTTACGAATCCTTCGGGGGTAACATCGGTGGAAGCAAGACCACCGGGAGTCTCGTTGCTATCCACAATCAACCACGAGGGGCCATTCTGCGCGAACAATCAGCTTGAGGTCGTTGACCTTGCGCAATTACAAGGACCGGTGTCGTACAATCTGGTTCAGACGCTTAGCAGCACCCAAGCCAGTTGGGCCTGCACCAATGACGAGAACGTCGACGGAGCTGGAGTTGAAGGAAAAGCGAAGTTAGCGTCGTTTCGGCGGACCCCTAAGTAGAGATTCTCTCTTACATATCTGGGTGGGTCATTCTGCCTTGTAGGATATCCTGGAAGCTTGGAACGCGATTCAATGTCTTGCGGGCGAGACTAAGCATAGAAAATATCTATGGAGCTGCAAGAGACTGCAGTATTTAAAGAAGCAGCAATGGGGGGCGAACAGTGGTTAAGGAGGAGAAGGTAGAAGAACGGTGGGAGAGAGGTCGCGAAAGTTGGGTGTCTTGCAGACGGTCGGGAAAACAAAACGTGACAAGAGCCAGCGTCCACCGGTGTGGGGAGTATTCTGTTTCAAGTTTAGGCCCTAGTAAGAGCCAGAGCAATAAAATGGAAGGCGTGCTGTGTGTACCCTAGAAAGGGGAAAAGGGGAAAGCCAAATCTAACCCAGGAACGTCAAAATTAAAAAATAAACCCCTAAACTCAAAAAAAAAAAAAAAAAAAAAGACAGGCGGCGATATAAGTAAGTATATATCAAGATGGCCATAGTCAACGGCTTTATGCCATCCACCCCTTTATGCCATCCACCCCATCTCTACGATCTGGTTGGATAGGAGTAGGTCAGTTTCCCCTATCTTCCTGGTGAACAGCAGACGTTCGTTGGTTGGTTCCTACTATTAAGATACTTAGGTAACATCCCGTTTGGTAACGATGAGGATCTGATAGGCAGTCAACCGATTATAGTATACGTACTTGGTAGCGCACACGGACTTACCTCATACATAGCAATTTGCGATTGGGTTATATTGCTGCTTATCATGAATCATTTTAAATGCAGTATCCCTGATCTCCTTCACATATACGTACCATCTGTGCTCATCAGTAAGCACCATTGCGTTGCTCTTGGCAGGTACTTGGGGGATTGGGAGTTTTACTTCCCCTCAGTTGGTGCTTTTAAGTATCCTACTATCTACTTCAGGAGGAACAAATTTGCTTCATAATAATTGCTGTTTTTTCTTAGCTTACTGTAGTCTATGGAGACAACTATACTCTTTGCCTGTTGGTATACGAGTCGAGTCCCATATCGCTATCTACTCCGTACACAGTGTAACTACTGTCTAATTAACCATTTCTCGCCCACTGTCTTGTCTGACAGGATGACGACGACTCTACTATATGTATGTGCTCCGATATACGGAGTATGTAAGTATTCAGTACCTCCATCTATGAGGAACCACCCTGTTCTGCACCCTGAGCACTCAGGACACTTGATCATCCCTTATTCGATCCATCAGATTTGCCAGGACTGGATTCGTAGTTCCACCGATTGTCATTCCTTGAAATGGAAATCCTAAGAAGATCCCGAGTCGTTTTCCAGAAGCCGCAAAAACGTTTATCAGCATTAAGATGGCCAGGATGACGGACCTATCCGACACAGACCAATTAAACCCCCAGACAGGAAGGATCTAGTTGGAGGTAAATGCTTGAGGTCTTTCTTTTGTTAACAATTAATTAATTTGATTTTTATTCCATTTTATTTCAATCCTTCATTTAATTTTTTTTTTCTTGTTTCTTCTCATTTTTATGTTATCAGGTTTGATCCAACAAGACTCTGCTCTCACTGCTTGATGAATTTCTATTTTTCTACACAGCTAAGCCCTATTATGCTCCTCGTACCTGGATTGTAGAGTACATGTTGCAGTAAGGACAGAAAAGGGTATCATCCCGAGTACCGTTGTGACCCCCGTGGGTCATGCATCCCCTGTAAGACCAACGAGAAACGTAACCAACTTCTTAAAACGTTACTGAATCAAGGTGTTGGCGACGAGCATTCTACCATTCGATCGCCGAATGCTCCACTGGGCAGGGGACCTTTGCCGCAACGCTATGGACAAGTGGCCGCTCAACGCGGGTAAGTGAGCTTGGCTAGCGGCGTGCTTGCGTAATTCATGTAGTGCCAATTAAGGCGGTGTTAATTTTGATCAACACTCTAATGTTGCAGTGTAATCCTTAGGCTACTTGATCTAACATATGATTTTTTTTTTTTTTTTTTTTCATACATACAAACTGATCGACACCGAATTTGTTTTCATATCTACTCCGTATATGTAGTTATATGCCGTACATAAATCATGACTAAATACTTCGTATTTGTCTCTGAAGTCAATTGCCACATGACTTATAAAAAAAGAATTTTTTGGCTATTATTGTAAACAAAATAAAATAAAATGAGATAAGAGAGGGACCTAGAGAGTAAGAAGAATACTGCGTAGGTCAGAGCGAACGGAAAAGGGGCAACAGAGCCAGAAGTGGACCCTGGAGATTGACACCAATACTAGGTACTTGCCACGAGATTGAAGAAGTTCTAAGTATTGCATTGCCCCACGCAAGCACCAATGGATGAAGATTGGTTTCACGGGGAGGTTCGGAGTCTGGGAGTCTGGGACCATGGAAGTGGAGCTCCATATTCGAAGCAATTTAAACTGATGGCCGGGAATTGTACATCCTCCGTGAAACAAGCAGAGTGGCCGGCTTTTGGGAAAGGAAAAATCTGGTATCTTAAGAAGACAGAATAACAACCAGTCTGGGCACATTGAAGTCATGGAAGCCATTGATGAATAGCCACCGCCCTTCGCAAGTGCCAGTCCAGTACCAGTAGCAACTCGACGGTAATTTCTCGGGGAGGCGTGGGTGTATGTAAGGCACAAAGAGGTACAAAGTACACGACCGTATACCTACCTACGAAGAGGTACCTGTACCTACCACTGAGAACCTCATTTATCGATCTATTGATACCCACATCATTTACGCCCCTCTTGTCTCCACCTATCCAGTCCAGACACTCTTCACTCGTAACTCCCCGTCAGAATCACTGGCAGTGTTTCAAGTCTTCCTCTTACTATGGGGTAAATTGGTGCTAATAATAATTTTAAATGAGGAACACCATGGACAAGAAAGTAATTGGGATTAGAACATTTGACTTTCGACCTAGATTTAATTTCCTCGGACACACTGGTTTGGGATTGGCTGTGCGCAGTCCCTACTACTTAGTACTACGACTACGATTAGTATAGGTTCGAAGCCAGGAAAGCCTGCCTAATAGGATCCTTCACCGGACAGAAGACTAAGCCTGGCGCTTTCAACGAACGACACATTGTATCCTGGCCACGATTCATACGTCTTAGTTCTTACGGTCTTCTGGTTGATGCGGATCCAGACCCTCTCTTTCTTCCTCCCTGGTTCTTGCGCCCCTTAAAACCAGCACTATTATTACTAAGGTAATAATAGGTCATCACCTGGTAATAATCATTAGAATGAAAGTTACCTTACCTACCCTAATGCGTAAGGCCGTCCCGCATTCGCAACTTTATCCAACAAAAAATAAAAAAAAAAAGATCGCTTATCCTTCCTCCCCTCTCCAAAGATAAACGACCCGATTTCAAAGGGAAAAAAAAAAAAAAAGAAAAATACGTTCCTCCGTCCCTCGTTTCCATAGTCCATCCAGCCGTCCTCCAGAAGGTACTTGTTTCCCTCTTCCCTCTCCACTTCATTGCTCCTCATTGTTGTTCCTCCACCATTTGTTACTTCGTTTCATCTTTTCTTTTCTAACTGGCCAACTCTCATCTCACTCGTTCACTCTCTTTTCGGCTTTCTTTTGACTTCTTGGACTATCCAGGTCTCTGACACCTTCTTCCCTTCTTTTCTTTTCTTTTCTTTCACCTTTCCCCGTGGCCTCTGCGCAGTTCAGCCAAAGCAGCCTTTTACGGCCGCGCCCTTTCGATTTCCAACGCTTCTTGTCAGACCAAGCTCGCACATTCACAATGAGCTCAGAAGGAGAAAAGGCCAGGACCTCCGGCGAGGTCTCTCGTCCGGAACCTGCTCTGCCCACCGTCAACCCTGCCGCCGAGAAGTCGGAGCCTCCCAAGCCGACCTTCCATCCTGCTATCTACGTGAGGTATGTACTTCGCCTGCGTTTCATCCACGACGGATGGATTAGATGTGTTGACACGACGTCAGTGTCTGGATTGCCCTGAGCTCAAGTGTCATTCTCTTCAACAAGAAAATTCTTGACAATCCTCAAGCCCCTTTCCGTAAGTGTAGCCTATCGAATGCGACTATTCGCTATGATGGATAGCTAACCAATCTACTGTGCAGGTTTTCGTATGTATCTGTCCCTCAGAAGTCATGATTGAACTCATACCTAACTCTCCCCGTCCAGCTATCTTCCTTACGACATGGCATTTGGCATTCGCGACCCTGATGACTCAAATCCTTGCTCGCACAACTACTTTGCTTGACGGTCGGAAAACTGTGAAGATGACGGGTCGGGTATACCTACGTGCTATTGTTCCCATCGGTCTCTTCTTCAGCTTGAGTTTAATCTGCGGTAATGTGACCTATCTGTATCTGAGTGTTGCCTTCATCCAGATGCTCAAGGTATGCATGCGCGGTCTTCGATTGGTCCTGTTCTTCGCTCATTGTATCGTCTAGGCTACTACACCGGTCGCCGTGTTGCTGGCTACATGGGGCATGGGAATGGCTCCCGTCAACCTGAAGGTCCTCACAAATGTTGCCGCTATTGTCATTGGTGTCGTTATTGCTTCTATCGGCGAGCTGAAGTTCGTCTTAATCGGGTTCCTCTTCCAGCTTGGTGGTATTGTCTTCGAGGCTACTCGCCTGGTTATGGTCCAGCGCCTGCTTAGCTCCGCCGAATACAAGATGGACCCTCTGGTCTCTCTCTACTACTTCGCACCCGTATGTGCCGTCATGAATGGCATCACTGCCCTCTTCATTGAGGCTCCCAATATGACCATGAACCATATCTACTCTGTTGGCACCTGGACGTTGCTCGCTAATGCCGTTGTTGCCTTCTTGTTGAATGTTTCTGTTGTCTTTTTGGTATGGAGTCTTATTCCCATCACTATCTCTTCCACTAATGGTTGCGTGTAGATTGGCAAAACTTCTTCCCTAGTCATGACGCTCTGTGGGGTTCTTAAAGATATTCTCTTGGTTGCTGCATCCATGATGATCTGGAACACCCCCGTCACCGCCACGCAGTTCTTCGGTTACTCGATTGCTCTCATCGGACTCGTGTACTACAAGCTTGGTGGCGATAAGCTCAAGGACTATGCGGGTCAGGCCAACCGTGCCTGGGCCGAATATGGCGCTACCCATCCAGCTCAACGGAAATCTATCATCATCGGCGCTATTGTTCTGATGTTTTTCCTGCTCATCGGCTCCATGGCTCCAAACTATGCTCCCGAATCTATGGACCGCGTGAAGGGCATGCTTGGTGGAGCCAGCTCTGGAAACGCATAAGGGTATTGAACCCCGTCGATATCCTTGCAAGCCTGCGGCATCCGAATTTAGTAATAATCCGCTGTCCGTTGCACAATGGGAGAGACGTGATGAAGCGAGCGGGGTGCTTCCTGCATGCGTTAAAAGGTATCAGGAATGCGAGACGCTGGACGGATGTCACCGGATCGACCAACACCCTCCACATTCTGTTCTATTTTATATTTGGGCCTCTCTTATAAACCTTTTGACGGCCGCATACTGCTTTTTAAATTAAATGATAATGTCCCTCATATGAGGAAGTCCAAGGAGATGGGAACCGAAGCGCGGCCGCATGCGGGAAATGCTGCCTGTGCCAGATGGTCCCTCTTGTGTGCCATCTCATGGATTGATATGACTGCGATCTCAGTCTGGAGGTCAATTTCGTCTTTCTTGTTTACGGTATCACCTACATGCATTTTCTCTTATATTGCTTGCGATTTGGCTCGACGAAAATTTGTGTCCTGTTAAAACTACCATGAGGGTTCTGGTGTGGGATGTGGTGTTCACCATCCCTTTTTTCCCGTTTTATTCCCTAATGCTTGCCATCCCCTTCCCTTATTTTCTGTTACTATAGGTTATTTCATTTTCTCTTACATCCTGATCGAAATAGACTTGATTCAAACTATGACCGATATCCACGTTAGCACATACCTCCGATTGCCCAGAGCCTGTTTGTCTCAGCTTTGACCGGCTGTGCGACGTTCCCAATCTTGGCCAAGGGTGAGCGGATCACCTGTCAGAGCCAATCACCACTGGCTGACGGCATGGGGCTTTCAAGAATTGGATCTGCGAATGAAAGATGTCAGTGGCGCTAGCAGGGTTTCTAGGAGGGCCGACGCGCGGACGAGGCTTGACCACTTGGCCAATCGCACGCGGCAGGATCTGCGGGTCCGCTCATGATGGTTGCCCAGCAATCGACCAATAATGCGTGGATCCTTGCTGGCCGATCTGGAAGCGGTGGAGCCCCCTGGACCATACTGTACGGTATGGTATGCAGCTGCGTCGCATGCAGGAAATAGTGGCCGAGTGGGAGGCCGCACCCGGTACGGTTTGGTAACGAGGCAGGCAAATCCTTTCTCTCTGCATCGCATCGATTGGAGCTCCGAGCACTCGCTCGACGTCGCCTTCGTTCTCACGCCTTTCTTCTGCTCTCTTCCTCTCCCGCTCATCCCGTGGCTCGTTCTTGTTTCTTCACCTCCTTAGATCGCCTCTGTGCTCCTCATCTTCTTCTTCTTTCTTCCCTACCTCCCCTTGTATCTTCATTGTCCATCCTTCCCATTACCTTCCGTCCCTCCTTGAACATTGTCACTCTAATTGTCGTGCGATCTTTCTTTTGACTCCTCGTGGTTCGCATTTCGTCTGCGATAGTTCCGCTAACTATTGCGCCGAGCTCTTGACTTAGCTTCTGCTCCATTTCTACGGCATTGGACTCTGTCATTCATAGGTTCCTGTATCTTCTCATTTCTAGCTCACTTGACACAAACAGATCGGACTCCCTCCCTGTAACTATAGTTGCAACACTTCTGATATACCGTCTGACAAACCACCACGATGTGCCCGATGCTACTCAACAGCCTATCTGACGGCCCTGCCATGGTCCTATCCCCTCGCCAGGAACACGCCTTTGTTCCGTTTCCTCGCCATTTTGACTCGGCACCTAATACTACCTCGAACCCTCTATTTGCGAATGGGTTCAGGAATCACACTGGTCTGTCAAGTACTGGTCCATCGTCTTTCGGGAGGTTCGGCATGTCTGCTCCCATTGCCGGAAAGCCATCTCGCAAGAGGTCGCGTGATGAAGCCGCCTTTGAAGAAGCTCTGAATGCCCCCAGCGCAGCCATTCTACCCGCACCGGTGTCTGCGCAGAAGGAAGAAGAACCAATATACGGAGAAGGCATGGTTCTTCTTAACCCCCGTACGAAGATGGCGCTCTCCGCCGAAAGCCAGACGGGAACTTGGTACGAAGAGATGGTTGAGACTACAGCAATTACCTCTACTATCCAGGCGACGAACTCTGGCTCGTCAAGTTTCGCTGGCCGCAAGTCTCAGCGCCTTGACCCTTCAGCTCCCAGGTACGACGATGTCGCGATTTCTTCGCTTCAACGAATGCAAGAAACGACCGACGAGGACAACCGCCGTCACCTCAATGCCGCAAACCGCTCAAATCCGTTTACTTCAGGGGAGCCTTTGGTCGATGACGCGACTCGCCTCCTTGGTATCAGCTGGCAACGAATTGGTGTTGATGATGACGATATTGCGGCCGCGGTGCGTGGCTGGAAAAAATATATCGATCGACAGTTTTCCGGGTATATGTCTGACTGCCAAATCCTCATGAAAAACCGAGCCCTGAATGCTTATCTCGTTGCTGCGCGACCAGTCACGCCCCTTGGGCTGGGAACTCACGCTGCTTTCTACCTGTTAAATGATGATCTCACTCAGGCTCAGCTCGTGGGTTCTACCTGGGAGAATGCGGTACAGAACCTTCGATCCAGCCCAATTGTTTTCGAGGGTACTCATGTTTTGAACGCTTCGTCTCGCCCCCTTGACCAAAATCACAACAACATACTATCGGCAAGCACTGTGGATGCAGGGCTTCCCCTTCTACAAACTCTCTGTGCCCAGCCGGTCAATGGCGGAAGCGCCGGGCTGAGCAACGGCGTGGGAATGGGGATGGGGATGGAGATTGATGCGTAGTGGTTTCAGCTAACGAAGAATGAATTCGACGACAGCAAGTGACGATAAAAAAAGAAAAAAAAATGCAAGAGAAAAGAAAACACCCTTTTAAAAAGGGCGGCTTATGTCACCATCGAGTCAACGCTTAATCTACTGATCAGCAGACTTTCGAACGGCCTCCCTGATCTCCGCCAACCGCTCCGGTTCGACCTTTCTCACTGCTCGTAATTATCCGAATTCTGATGTTTGTGATATCTTTTCTTTTTTTTTTTTTCTTCTTCGCTGCTTTTTGGTTTATATCTATTCTATTACGACGGCCTTTGTTATATTTCAGAGCAAAAGGTGTTATTTCGCTTGTTGGTCTTCAATTGATGGGGTTGTGGTTTTTTTTCCCCTACATCTTTCCATCTGTTAATATAATCCACCCAGACTCTGTCTTACGTGAAAGAGATACTACAAAATCAAGAAGATCGAGTTCTCAAGAATAGAGTTCCATTCCATCATTTCACTCACTATTTATATATTGACTAGCATATACAATGATACAGTACTTGAAATGCTCACTTTATGAGTATTCCACTTGAGACCTTTGAATGTGATGCAATGATCGGATCCCAGCTCTACTACACTGTCTATTGTCCATAACCCATAGTCCAATTTCAATATTCAACAATCAATTCCTCTAACATCAAGACATGCCCAGCATGTCATGTTTATCCATAATTCATCAGTCATAAGCCATTTAGTCTACATTATTTCCCCCACACAATACAGTCAAACTGTTTCTATTCAAATATTCATTTTGGTCCAACGCAGTCCAATCATACCAGGTCCCATCCGTGTCTTCCCTTTTTTTTTTTTTTTTTTTTTTTGGAAGAGGTGATGTTCAAGTAGTCGAGGGTTGGATTATCCCGTCCGTAAGGTAGTTTTGCCTGTGATCCGATCCATACTGTGGTCATATCCGGGTAGGGTTATCCTCTTTATGATTCCTGTGTTTCGAAGGCCAGATGGTAGATAATCATCATCACCCGTCCTTTGGTGTTGCCCTAGCCATGTTTGACTTTTCACTCGTTGGAGGATGGGTACTGGAAGGAAAAGGGAAGGCTGTAGCGGAATGAGTAAGATCTAGTGGAGTGGTCGGAGTGGCAGGAGAGATAGGAGAAAGAGTAAAAAGGGTGGAAGCGGGCGTGATCGACGATACAGTCTTCAGGGCAGGATTCTTTGTCCATTTTGATTCCTCATCTCTCGGGAGATACGACTGATGTGTGATGAACAGCGCATCGATCTCTTCGAGGGTCAAGCCGGCCGTTTCAGGATAGAATAAGTAGATAATCTAATCGAGTCGGTCATGGTTAGTATGTCATTTTCCATGTGGGGAAGCAAAAGCAAAAGACAGCCGGCTGGACTTACTGGCACGAAAACCAGGTTGAAACACATGAAAATGAGGTAGCCCTTCCAGGCCAGATCTTGAATCAAAGTGGGGGAGATCATAGCCACGAAGAAATTCCAGAGCCAATTTGCGGACGTTCCAATGGCAGAGCTACGAAATCGACAGTTAGTTGGTCTTGTCTGCAGGGGTTGGAATGTAAGCATCACTCACCCTTTCGCCCGGACATGAAGGGGTAGCAGCTCAGGTCCATACACCCATGGTATGCAGTTCACTGACGCACCGAATACGAGCATGTAAAGGAAGAAGAATGCAATGGAGGCCGATGCGGTCTGCTTCTCATAGGTGGTTCCTACAACAAGTTAGCCAATTTTGCTTCCACAGGGGTGAAGTGTTTTCTCAAGACTTACCCTTGAAGGAGAGAAGAATGGAGATCATCATCATGCAGAAGAAAAGTCCCAAGGATCCCCACATCATGGGTTTGCGACGGCCAATTTGATCGGCGAAGCGAGTGGGATAGATAGAGCCTGTTGCGACTGGATTAGTCCGACTACTTGTTCTCCAGTGGCTGCCAAAAATGCTCCCGACATACCGATGACAAACATGACTTGGATTATGCCTCCAAGGAGTAAACTCATCTTCTTGCTGAGCCCGACGTTGGATTCAAATACTGGCAAACCTGTTAGTATTATTCATAATAAATAAAGGTTGAAATTCCATCATCTCTGCTTACCTGTAGTGACGTAGGACTTGAGGTAATGTCAGCAACCATGCCACTCAATATCCATGCATCTGTGAATGTACTTACAACTATCATGTTGATGCCTCCCATTTGATTCATGAACTGCAGGCCATAAGCCAACAAAACGCGTCGGCCAGTTTGGAGCTCGTCCTTCTTGAAAATCTGGCGCCATTTATATTCACCATGTTCTGCGTCGACTTCAATCGCTCGCCGAATGCCCTGTGACTCCTTAAGCACCCTAGGGTCGTCCGATTCGCAATCATAAAAGTCACACAGGACTTGAAAACCCTCCTCTTGCCTATTCTTAAGGTAAAGCCATCGCGGGTTCTCTGGAAGTCTGTGGACAGGTTAGCTCTCCACTCCCATGTATATCGGGTTCCGTAAACTCACCCTATGGCCATGAAAGCCACAATAAAAACGAAGACCGCTTGGGAAGCAATAGGTAGACGCCAGCTGATAGGCCCGTCGACATAACTCATGCCATAATCGAACCAATAGGAGAGGACGATGCCCACGCCGACAGCAAGAGGCTGGAAACAAACAAACATTCCTCTCTTCTGTGCCTCGCAAAGTTCCGATTGGTACACAGGGACAATAGTAGTCATAATACCAGTGCCAATTCCTGCGAGAAATCGAGCGGCAAGTAATTGTGCTCGTGAAAATGCACTCGCTTGTAGGGTTGCTCCAACCTGCCGAAAATATGCCATTAGTCGTGCAATTGCCTCAACTTGTCTGTTTCAGCAGCAGAATTACCAAGATCCATGCCAAGCTATGCCACAGTGTCTTGCGGAAACCGAATCGATCACTCGTTATAAAAATCACGATGGTTCCAGTAAAGCATCCCACATTGTAGATGGATACAATGAAACCAATGAAGACTGTAGTAGGATGATGAACGATATTGAGGAAATCCTCGTTTCCGACTATTCCAGAGAAAACACCTTGGTTGTACCCTATATATGAAACGGGTGACCGTTAGCTTTCCAACTATCCCTAGGCTGTCAATTTGAGGAGGCTACTTACCAAAAAGCGCAAATGCAAATTGACAGGTAAGGAGGATGGCAACGCGCAGGCTGACTCCCCTTCCATAGAGGCTGGGTTGAGCCATGATGATGTTCTTCTATTCAGAGTATTATTGATGTCAACGGAAGACAATGATGTAAGACAGTTTGAAGAAGTAAGTGGTAGGTTAAGATTGATGAAGAGACTTTAAGATTGATAGAAGGAGAGTCAAGGGGTTAAATTGTCGTCCTCAATGCCTCACATGATGTGCAAACATGAGATAGGACGTGACAATCTGTGAGATCCGATAAAATAGGCTATATAATGGGACATAGCATATAACTTAGGCAGAACTGTCGATCAGTGGCGTTGGATAGGAGAGACGTTCCGCTTTATTTGCTAGGATAGCTATTAATATGATCATCACCGGAGATAGTCATCTAGATCCTAAGACTGAGGCTGACCACTAGTAGGAGTGGATGACCCTCCATATCAACTATAGAATACTGCACTGTTGTTCACAACAGTATAAGGCAGACAATGTAAGAGGTACGTTGAATGAATTGATTGCCTGGCCTTCTTTCTATGACAATGATGCCTTCCTAGAGCATTCTCCTTGACTCATAGTTCACATATCAGCACAAAGCCAAGGAGGCAGTTGTCCACTTTTATCGATAGCATATGTGCATGCCCTGTATTTTAAAAGCAGGTCAATTTCTGAAATATAAACTCTGTCCGCATATTTCACATACATTATCACCAACGGCTACGGAGAAAAGACACTTTGCCAGGAGGAACGACATAACTCCGGTAAAGTCTACCAAGAATAAGACCTCAATTGAGGAGATGCCTGTTATTGTAGCAGGCATACACCTTCCGAGGGGATACCACATCCCTGTGTAAATATAAAGAATGTTCGATAGTAGGCAGACTCTGTTAAGCCTGCTTCTTCGTCAGAATAGGGTATAAATGATCGAAGTATAGATTGGAGGTTTCCTTCCAGCTATTAACGAGGCGTTAGAAATCCCGGGGAATTCTGGCACAGGAGCGATCTAGACCCACATGTAGATAACAAAGAACACCTCATGATGGACACCCTAGCAGTGGCTGTGGAGATCGTCGTGGCAATTGGAACTTGGCTGTTGAGAGACGAGGATGGAAGATTCTCCAGTACGTTGGCATCCACGTGACAAAGACACCCAAACGACTTCTAAGCACCACCAGCAGGAAAATGAATGGTGAGCATCTCCTCAATAACATATTAGGGATCTAAAATTGGATTACTTTCCGATAGTTTGGGACTATGGCATTCTGAATTTTTCAGATTCAACTAGTAGATCTAGGAGCTCGGTGCACTCCCCACATACCAAAGGGGTAACCGGACTATGCTCCCCGCTGTACTAATTACTATCATAGTCACTGCCCTCATCGTAGTAATCGCCATAGTGTCCAGAAAATGCCGCGTCAAGCCCATCAGGATCCTCATCCTCCTCCTCATCGTACTCGTCGTCCGGTTCCCCGTCCAACTCGTTGCCCTTGCTTCCCGCAGGAGTTTCGTGGGCCTGAGTCTGTTCATCTTGGCTGGTCGTGATTTTAGCCGGGAGAGATTGGTCTACAGGACCAGGCGTGGCAGCTCCCCCAGGAGTGATAGATTCGATCGGTTTAGCGCTGATTGGAGTTGCCATTCTTGCACGTCTCGAAAGAGTCTCTAGCTCAATACTGGCACTACGTCGCGACGCCACACTTTGGCTGCGACTCTGGCTCCGGCTCATGCGTTCTGTCTTCGCTTTGGACTCATCAGCGCCCTCCTCCCCAAATAATGATTCTAGAAGGCGATAATTGATCTTCTTGCTAAACCCTCTCCGTTCTAACATTCGACGGGTAGCTTCTGCAGGGGTCGAGGCACGGCTGCTTCGTCCATCTCCTTCTTCCCCATCACCTTCCAAATAAGCCACATCCCCCATTCTACCCTTACGGCGCTTGCGAGGCTTGTGCATTCCCGGACGCGATTCGGACTCCGCCAGCGCTCGCTTCAGGGCCTTGGCCTGTTGCGTTCGTAAGTAGTCCTTGTTCTCGTGCACCCAGATCCGCTCTTTGATCTCAACTTCCACAGGCGATAACAAGCAATTTGAGACCTCTGGGTCCGATTCAAACTCCGATGCATCAATCTCAGCGTTTTCAGATACTGTACTTGGCTGCTGGTTTGACCTTGCCGGCAAGGCACTATCCGTCATGTTGGAACCTTTGGCTAACAGGGCGGTCATTTCGTTCTCAAGGGCCTCCTCAGAAGCAATTTGACCGGGTGTTGGTTGTGGTAGGTCTAGTTTTCTGGAGCCCTTGGTCCGGCTGGAACCCAGCTTAGGTGTCTCCTGGTCCATTTCTGGCATGTCTGTGCTGGCGGCATTATCCTCTGCTATTAGAGCCGGATCGATAGGGAGGCTTGGGATGGCAAAGCCATCGGCATCTACTCGATTTTGCGAGTGTGAGGCTGACCACGCCGTACTACCAAGCTCCTGGGTATCTCCTTCGATCTCAGCCGCCGTTTCAGTGGCTTTTATCTTGATACTTCGGGAAGGCTTTCTCCCTTCCCTCGCTCTAGTGAAAGAGGGTGGATTATGCGTGTTCTCCAATTGCACGGAACGGAATTGATCAACAGTCAGCTCACCGCTCTCTGTCGAGCTGAATTCATTCAGACGCTGGCTGATGGTGATTTCCGTGACTTTCACCACGTAGACAACCTCGCGAACTGTCCGACGGAAGTTGTTCATTCGTGCTGCCAGAATCAACGCAGCCCCACAGATACCGGCGGGACGTCGACCGGTAGTCATCCAGTCGCGGTTCATTCGTTGAACAATCCGCACAGCTTCACTGGCAACCTGCATTGTTGAAGTTCCGAATTCAAGTTGTTTGGCAAATCGGTAGATCAGGCTCTCCGGATCAATTGGATTCATAAGGAATACATTACCGCCGAGGCGCAGCTCTTCCAACAAGGCTTTGTAAGTTCGACCGAGCTTAAACACATTAATCTAGTCAAGGTCAGAAAGGGAATAAATTGACGAGCCACTGGAAAGGACAGAGGGGAGTCTAGGCTAACCATCAGGAGATCGGCAAAATCAATAAGCATGACAGTGTTTCCATCCTGCCGGCGGCAGGCAATGTACAAACATACGGCCGCTACTGTCTTGGTTCGACGACCTTGAATAAAATTCAACCCGACAGCGAGCTTGAAAACCTGACCTGCAGCTTTCATCGCACTCTCCGGGATATTCAGCGCACGGCAAAGTTGGCTTATATACCGGTTACCTGGTGCAAGTTAATGAGGGTCTATCCCAAAAAAAAAAAGGTCCCAGTTGAGTGAGAACTTACCATTTTGTTCTGTAATCTCTCGACTCTCCATACCGCCACTGCCACCCTGGAAGCCTGGGCCAAAGCTGCGGACATGAGATTGATCCTCGCCGACAAAAGTACCTTGAACGACAGCAGCACCTGATGAGGTCTCACCAAATGTGACCTCTGAGACAATGTTTGCCTCGCTGATGACGGTACCACAGCCCGAGCAGACTTTCTGGCCATCATCCTCTACAATATGAGGAGCAGGACAGCCGGGGTTAGGGCAAGTGGTCGTCTTGGGATGAGTGGTCGGCCTGGCCGGTTGAGGGCGTGCAATGGGTTGAGGGCGTTTGATGGCCGTAGAGCCAGGCGGTTTCAGACTGGCCAGTCGTCCCATAGGAGGAGCCCTTGGGCCATTCCTCGGGGGTATTGGAGGACGTGTGGCCGGCCTGGGGACTGACATGATAGAATGTGTGTTCCCGACAGATACAGTTGTAGTATTTGACCAAAAAAATAAATTAAAAAAAAATTCACATTAGACAAACCAGACGAAACCCTAGGGAGCTATTCGAGATGACTATTTCATTCCCCGGTTTATCACCCAAAGATCAGAGAGATGATAGATAGAGAGCGACGGACCAATTAACGGCGGTATCTTGTATGGGCGAGAGAGAAAAAAAGAGAAAAGAAAAAAAATACCCGTCCCAGTCAATTCCAGGGACAAATTATATAGACAATCCTTCGTACAAACCCCAAATGAGGGGGCGATCCGATATTCTTTGAAGCCGACGAGATCCCCAGTAGCGAAGATGACCGACGACAAGATCAAGAACTAGAACTGGCTGGAAGAACTAACTGCTAGACGAAGCGATGATGAAGAGGACGAAAAAGAGACTGAGAGAGAGAATTTGGCGGCGAACAAAAACGCGGCAGGCGGCGAGAGCGGCGTCCCGGTGGTCCAGCGGTCTTATCACGTGATTATATTCCCTAGCGCTGTAGGTTCGAACCCCGTCATGGTCGCGGCTTTCATCTTTCGCCGGATTCCCCGTTGATGGATCAGATTCATTGCACGAAAAGATCGGAGTGGAAATATCTTTTTTTCAAACTGTTATGAGCAGCAGATGACGTTTATTGTGCTGACGGTGATGTTAGTTAACTAGGATATCTAACGCCTGCCATGGGATGACTAAGCCCCCCGAACCAGACTTTGCCTTCAAACTCTTTTCTAGAAAACACGGAGATAATTGCCACTCATCCTTTGGTGGAAACAAAGACTTATCTATCAATCTCAGGACTGAATGGAGATGCACGTAGATTCCCAAGGTAATTTGTACTTCGCTGGTCCTGATCGGGATCCTTGACATCATCTGCATCAATAGCACTCCATACTGTGGCGAATTGGCCTTGGGATTGGGGGTGCGACATTTGTGCGTGGTTTAGTGCTGCTTCTATCTCATCACGCACAAAAGGCGCGTTTCGCTGCTTTTCCACCCCATTCATTGCATTTGTTTTCAATTTGTCATCGGAATTATTGTTCTTTATATATTCACAGCTGATTCTGTTCTGGCTTCCTACTTCAATCTCTGACACGCAGTTTCTTTGTTCGTCTCCTTCCTCATCGTTGCTTCTGCAAATTCTTGCCAATAACCAGTGTCAATAAGGGCCGCAATATAACTGTGCTATCTCTCTCTCTCTGATACTCTTCATCTTGGCTTATGATATATGCTGGCGTGATTTCTCGTCCAAGGTTTGGCAGTAAGGCCACCTGCATCTTAGACCATTACGTCTTCGAAGATGGAAGATACCGTATATCGAGTGCCATCAGCACAAGAAATGAAAATCCTCAAGAGTACATTTTTCGTCAGCAACATTCACTGTGCCTCCTGCGTTGCATACATCACCGAGATTCTCTTTGAATACTCTGGGGTCCGAAATGTCGATGTCTCGATTCTCGCCCCCGAGGTGCGTGTCATTCATACATCCGAAACGACGCCCTCGGTTCTAGCTATGGCCCTGATCCAAGCGGCTTTCGAAGTTCATCACGTCACAACCGAGAATGAGAAGGGCTCTCTGGTGTTTGACATCGACACAATGCCTTGGCTATCTCGAGATCATAAACTCTTCCCTGTCCAGCAGAATCCTCGCTCCCAAACGGGCCTAGAGAATAGACATATTGCAAACTGTGCTGCATGTAGAAAAGAAGATATGGCAAGAGGGTCCACCACATCCAGCCTTTCTGAGACCCGGCCATCACAGAACCCAGAAGAGTCGGCCAAGTTCAGTGCTCGCATAAGCATCGGTGGGATGACCTGTGCGTCATGTGTCAACAGCGTCACGAACGAACTAAATCAGCTTGAGTTCGTTGAGATTGTGACCGTCAACCTTCTTACCAACAGTGCGACGGTGGTTTGTACAGGTCCGCAGAAAAACACACAACGGGTGGTGAACCAGATAGAGGACATCGGTTTTGAGGCTACCCTTGAAGAGGTTCAGCGCGTGGACATACTCCCGGCGTCCAACAGAGTGCCAGCAGCCTATACTGCTGAGATCGCTATCGGTGGCATGACGTGTGGCTCTTGTGCGGGCGCTATAACCCGGGGACTTGAGGAGCTGCCCTTCGTGAAATGCGTTTCGGTGAACCTCCTATCTCACAATGGAAAGGTGGAGTTTGAGGGGCAAAGCAATATTGGCTTGATCGTGGAGAAGATCGAGGATCTAGGGTATCACGCTTCGGTTAGCAGTTTGGTTCCCCAGTCTACAGATCCAGGGGAAGACGAAATCAAGAAAAGGACAATATCGATCCGTGTGGATGGCATGTTCTGTCACCATTGCCCAAAAAAGGTCATCGATGCATTAAAGGAACTCCCAGAAGTCGAAGTCGACAACATGCCGTCTGTTAAAAATCCTATCCTTCGAGTTACTTATCAGCCATGTCCTCCTGCAGTTACCATCAGAAGGATAATCGACGTTCTCAACAAAGCACACGATGCCTTCAACGCCGCCGTATACCACCCCCCGAGCATTGAAGACCGGTCGAGGGCAATGCAACAGCATGAAAGACGCCGGCTGCTGTCCCGTCTCTTCTTCGTTTTCATAGTGGCAATCCCGACCTTCTTGATTGGTATCGTGTTCATGAGCTTGGTTTCATCGGACAATCGAGTTCGAAAATACCTAGAGCAGCCGATCTGGGCTGGAAACGTGTCTCGTATTGAATGGTCCCTTCTCATCATGACGACTCCCGTCATGTTTTACGGCACAGATATATTCCATGTGCGCGCCATGAAGGAAATATATTCACTTTGGCGCCCTGGAAGTCGCGTACCGGTATGGCGTCGATTTCTTCGGTTTGGCAGCATGAATCTGCTGATTTCTGCCGGAACAACCGTGGCTTATGTATCCTCGCTGGCCGTCCTCATTGCTGATGCCGTCGTCGATACCCCGTCCTCATCGCATAACATGACGTATTTCGATTCGGTGGTTTTCCTAACGCTCTTCATTCTTGCCGGTCGGTTCATTGAAGCGTACAGCAAGGCCAAGACTGGCGATGCGGTCGCCTCTCTTGGAAAGCTGAGGCCTTCCGATGCGCTGTTAATTGTCGATAACAATACTCAAGGAGAGGATGTCCAGCGAACTAGTATTGACTTACTTGAGATTGGTGATTCGGTCTACATACCTCACGGAGCTTCACCCCCCGCAGATGGCACTGTTATTGACACTGGCTCTTATCAATTTGACGAGAGCTCACTGACAGGGGAGTCAAAGCCGGTCACAAAGTCCGCAGGAGATGCGGTCTATACAGGGTCGGTGAACGTGGGCCAGCCTGTGAAAGTCAAGGTGAGCGCTGTCGGAAGCTCTTCGATGCTGGATCAGATTATTGCGGTGGTCCGTGAAGGCCAGAGTAGGCGTGCTCCTTTGGAGAGGGTCGCGGATATGCTCACATCCCACTTTGTTCCTGTAATCACCCTCATCGCTATAGTAACGTTTGTCATCTGGCTATCCCTGGGACTATCGGGAGTCCTTCCGGCAGATTATCTTGACGCGGAACGTGGGGGATGGGCTTTCTGGAGCTTGGAATTCGCTATTGCGGTGTTCGTGGTTGCTTGCCCGTGTGGGCTTGCACTTGCTGCTCCTACTGCGCTATTTGTCGGCGGTGGTTTGGCTGCACGACAGGGGATTTTGGTCAAGGGTGGAGGTGAAGCTTTCCAAGAAGCAAGCCACCTCGATGCCATTGTTTTTGACAAGACTGGCACTCTGACCGAAGGAGGAAGCTTGGCTGTGTGTGATCATGAGGAGCTTATCAAAGACGCTGAGAATTTGCAAGTTGCCTGGGCACTAGCTCGAAAACTGGAGGAGAGTAGCACCCATCCAATTGCTCGGGCAATTGCAGAATTTTGCGGAGAGAGACCTTCCATCTCCATACTCAATTCTGATATTGAAGAGAGAACCGGGGAGGGGATGAAAGGCATATTCACGGTACAGGTGGAGAGTGCCACTGATCAGTCCAAGACGACCGTCCAGTATGAGGCTGCACTGGGCAATCAGCGTCTTCTACAGAACATGAACTCGTCTAACTTCAATGAGGGTCGTCTCAATGACCTGCTTTCGAAATATCAAACATCAGGAAAGTCTACGGCAATCCTCTCATTGCGCCAAATTGACCCAGAGACGGTAAGCAGGTGTCCTACCACCCCTGCTATTGTCTTCGCGATATCCGACTCCATCCGACCTGAAGCTGTGAACGTGATATCCAAGCTCCAAAAGCGCAAGGTCAATGTCTTCATGTGTACCGGCGACAACCAGACCACCGCGCACGCCGTTGCAGACATGGTAGGTATTCCCAAAGCCAATGTCAGATCGAACGTCACCCCATCCGGGAAGGGAGATTTTGTCCGCCAAGTCCAAGATGGCATCTACCACGATCGAACGGAGTCTGAGGCCGAAAGCCAAAAGAATGAGAACGGTTCGCGCTCTATTGTAGCTTTCGTTGGCGACGGTGTGAACGACTCCCCTGCCCTCGCCGCCGCCGACGTGAGCATCGCTATGGCCTCCGGCTCCGATGTTGCCATGAACTCCGCCAGCTTTATTCTCCTGAACTCCGATCTGGATACTATTCTCCAGTTGGTCGTGCTCAGCCGTCGGGTGTTTAAACGCGTCAAACTGAACTTCTGCTGGGCCGTTGTGTATAACCTCACCCTTGTGCCTATTGCCGCTGGTCTGCTATATCCCATCGTCACTGGACATAAAATGCAAATGGGGGCCGGCGAGCCAGTCATGGTCAATACACACTGGAGGTTGAACCCTGTTTGGGCTGCGTTGGCGATGGCTCTGAGTAGTATTTCGGTGGTATGCAGCAGTCTTGCTCTAGGGATTGATATGAGGATGATCAAAAAGATGCTTGCAATGACTAAATAAATTGACCCTTTCGGTTTTTAGTATATATTAATATGTGTTTTGAACTTGGCGTTTAGTTTATGGGATCAGAAATTCATGGCCAGATTTATGCCCAGGATTGCTTCAGGGTTCCTGTCTATACATACATAATATAAGCACGAGATGGGAGTTACATTTAAAAAGTTTATTTATGCGTTACTAGGTACATCACCTGTACAATTATTTCCACACCGAAAACTGGAATATGATAGAAGCCTTAAGTATAGTAGTCCATACTCCCGTACATAGTCCAAATATCATTGGAATAAAACTAACCAGCTTCAGCCCATACTTCTGCAATTTTCTTGCTCAAGGCCTTGCCAATCTTTTTCCTCCCTACTAGCGATTTCATTTGCTCCGAGACCATCTCCTCTCTGTCTTTTGGGTCCAAACGTTCAAAAGCCCTGATAAATGCCTGTGGAGTCGGCCATCGACGCTGGATTTCGAGAGCTTTGTCACCAGTGACACCACGAATGCACATGAGCATTTTGAGGAAGATGTCACGGAGGGACAGGGCGTCCGATTTTGAAGTCAAGGCTGAAAAGGTAGGGAACGTCACGGCATACGTGACGGATGCTGTTTCCGCTCGGAGACGCTCCAGGATAGTGAGATAGGATTGAGAGGATGAGAGCTGTCGACTGGGGATCAAGCTGAGGGTGTTTGAAGGGGAGTAGGAGGGGGAGTGAGACGAAGAAAGAAATGATGATGATGGTGATGAAGATGGGTTGTACATTTTTCGTAGCCGGAAGGTCATCCGAGCGAGATATCGAATTGTGTCGTCGAGATTCTTTGTTTTCTTGACGAAGTACCCATTGACGACCTGTGTTGAGGCAATGGCCGAGGCGACCATCTCTTGGTATTTCATGGCAGAGACAGGGTCTTGGGTAACGTTGAATTCTTCAATGAGGTAGATAACGTTTTTGATTCCGGATCGACGAAGACGGAATTTCTGTTCGTGAAATCTCCCGTCTTTGATTGAGCCGACTAGATCGTCGAGTCTTTTTCGCTCGACGATCCAATCGAGCATGACTTCGTCGCCTTCCTCCCCGTGCTGTGAGAGGTATTTGGGGTCGTGGAATTTGGCGACCCACATCGCATCACCTACTTCAAGGGCTCGGACTTCCGGGAAGATGTCTTTTTTGCTTAGTTCGTTGGCAATGTAGTCTCGGTCTTTAGATGTGCGAACTTCCCGATTGTCCAGGACCAGCTGGACAGTGAAGCTTTCCGGGGGGATATTGATAGGTGTGACTTCTGCATCACCTGGTGGGTTTATATCTGGCTCGTCGCCGCGACGGCTTTCATTACTACCCTGGCGGAGGAGTTCTAGGTTTGTGACACTCGGCTTTGGGATTCGAGGCTCCGTGCTACACTCAGTGTCAGGTGGGACCTACTGATGTTAGAACTTTACACAACCATATATCGGCAGAGTCAATGAAACTTACAGATTGGCCCCTAAAAGGCAGAGTGCTTTGATTAAACTCCGGTAGCGTCTTCTGGATCCTCTTCGCGACGTCCCAACCCTCCTCGGTAAGGGTGTATCTCTTTAACGGATGTCCATGATCATACACGAGGTCTTTCTGAATAAGCGTCTTCATGGAGTTCCATGCAGTGAAGAACTTTGTCGAATCACTAGGAGTAGTGAATGAACTATCGCAGTACGGTTGTGCCGTTTCAATGAGCTGTGCTTTCGTCATACTCTGATTCGAGTTCTCATCGAGCGACGAAAGACCAAGCAGCAACGCATACGGCCCAGATCGCAGAGCTGGTACATATGGCTTCGTCTTTCGGGGTTTCTTTGTTGGTTGAGTCTCGACTTCTCCACCGTCTGAGACCCTTTTTTTGTTTGCTAACGATATCAGAAATTCCGTCAGGGAAGGCGACGGTAAAACTGGGAGCTCACCAGTATCGGGATGTTCAGGCATCGGGAGTCCATTCTCTGTACAGTAAGCCTTTAGCTTTTCAGTCAACCGATCGCACAATTTAGGACCAAGGCCATTGAGTTGTTGGGCTTCAGACGGGTGCAGAAAGACCAGCGGACAAGCTTTCATCGACTCGTATGCCTTCTTATATCTAGGGGTCGAATCAGTGTACAGGACTATGCAGAAAATCAGGAAAATACTAACACAGTCACCCCTTTGCTGTTGCGCTCCCGTGCTTGATCGAGCCATTCTTTAATCCACTGCAGGAGGAGAGGATTTCCACAAGTTTCACTCATGATTCTGCTGGTCCGCGTAGTGTCCTAAGGGGAAGCAAGATTAATACGGGACATGAGCATTACTTCTGGACTTCTAGACTGTGAGTCCTCAAGGTGTTGAGAAGCACAGCCGGAGAGCCTTGATAGACGGGAAGCGCGATTCCACGCGTATTTCCTCTTTGGGCAAAACAGAAAATATGATTATATAAGCAACACGCTCAACCTGATTGGTGAGGCAGGGAGTGTATCAGCCAACGAAAACCATCCAAATCATCCCAACTGGAAGAAGTTGCTCAGCTGGATAGGGGGATTAACTCTTCCAAATCAGTTTATACAAGGAGGAATTGACGAGAGGCGTTTGTTGTTTAATTCGGCCCCCTATCATGGTCTTCTACAGGTTTTTATCTGTGTCAACTTACATCTACATCATCATATAAAATGGCCCGTACAGATAGGTATAGCGAAGCCTGAACCTAATACAGTGGGCTCTCACCATTGCATTACCGTCGCTCCAGAGAAGCTCAAATCATCCTTTAACCGGGTGTTGCCATTTATGGACAGGGTTCGGGAGGGCTATATACATGGCTGTTTTATTGATGTATTTCTTGTGTTTGCAAGATTTTTGTAATATACCGCCAGTCTATACATGACAACTGAGCCACCAGATTAGTTCTAATATGTACAAAATAAAAAACTCAGTGTGGCCAGTTTATCAAGATACCCTCAGTTGTCGCGCATTCACTGCCCTATATCCATCTGGTAGTCCCTGACGGCTTGTTCAAACGAGGTGTCTCGCTTGAATCCCAGGGAGATCGCCTGGGTATTATCGAATCGAGTAGGCCATGAGTCTAATATGGGCTTGAGCGACGGATCCTCCTTCTCCTTGAGAAAAGCCAGTTTGTCCTTCCCTCCAACTGCTTCTAGGGCATCCATCATCTCCTGGATCGTCACGCAGATACCGGGGACATTGATTTGTCGGATATGAGTAGGCAGCGCGTCTGCTGGTAACGAAAGTGTGAGGACCAGGTTGTGCACAAGCGTCCGTGGCGAACACACCCAGGATTTAAAGGACCGATCCACCAGCGGAATGATGCACTCTTTCCCATCCAGCGGTTCACGGATCATCCCGGAGAGGAAAGAGGATGCAGCGGCCGTGGGGGGACCCGGTCGCACGGAGATTGTAGGGAAGCGAAGGACGAATCCGTTGATAAAACCGCGTCTCGTATACTCGTTCACTAGGGTTTCGCAAATGATCTTCTCCGCTCCGTATGACGATTGGGGAGTGGGGATGACACTGTCATTTACGACCTCAGGAAGCGGTTGACCGTAGACAGCTTGACTAGAGGAGTAGATAACTCGGACACCCGGACTGGTCTTACGGAGAGCTTCAAAGAGGATCCGTGTGGCGTCCACATTGACACTCATACCAAGCTCGAAGTTGGCCTCCGAGCCAGAAGACATGATGCCGTGAAATGCGTATACAGCGTCTAACGACTTATCCACCACTGCATCCACGCCAGTGAGAAGGTCGGCAGTCACTGCGCGCGCATTTTGCGGATATTTTACCCCCTTTGGAATCGGGGGTTCGTTGATGTCAGTCAACGTGACATTGTAGTAGGGGTCGTTTAGGAGCTTCTTCGCAAGCAATTGGCCTATAAAACCTGCAGCGCCAGTAATTAGGACATGCATATTGCCTGTGAGAGAGATATAGAAATGCAGAAGTTTTGACAACGACAGAGGCGATTCGACACAATTAAAGAACATCGAGGGATGGAAGTATGCAATCATAGTGGGGTTCGGATTGGCCTCCGAGTCGCATAAACTCCGAGGTTCAGGTACAGTTCTCTCGGTCCCGGACTTGGCCCGGTCGATGCTGTCGAGATCAGAAGCTCGACAGGATTGCATATGGGACGTGTGTCTCTTGAGAGTCTCGAATAGAGCCAATCTCTAGGTTTTGATGTCCTCAAACTCCCTCTTACGCCGCCTGTTTTGTTCTGTTTTGGCCACCAAAGTGAGAGATATTTGAAAGTTGGGCAGAAAAAAGCGTTCATGAGCAATTGCTATCAAGCTTCATTAAAGAACTATACTCAAATTGATAATGGTGCGAGTAGAAATGGGGGCTCATATTGTCTGTTGTGTCGCTGGAGGTTTTGTTGCAGTAGGGTGAGCGTATCAATACCTATCTTAGCTCAAGTGATCGTGCCAGTCCTCTTCTAGTCTAATGATGTCCTTCCTCTCCGTTCTGAGGCTCAAATAATCGTTCGATGGTCGTATACCCCGTGGAGAGCCATCCAGCACGTAGAAAAGGGAGGATCGTGCGATTAATGAGTCAAGCCCGCGTGAGGCGGGGTTCGTGGTTCCATTGGGCTGCTTCCTCTCCACCACATTTTCCCTGTCCAAGACTTTCCCGCGTTCTCTCTCTCTCTTTCTCTTCCCCCTTGTTCTGTACTTTTGGATATCTCGATTCCCTCGAGATAAAATCCCGTTATCATGACTAGTTAGAAGTGGATTACAATTAGACCGTCTCCATTTCGTCGATCCCCCTCACCAATTGCGATCACCTGTGGGCTGCATGATGCCGGAGTATCCCCGATCTATCGAATTCTCTTAGTCAACGAAAGCCTACAGTGAAATCGAATCGATAATCATGAAGCGGTCGTCTTCTGACGCCGATTTGGACTACCCTCGGCGAGATGACCGCCGTTCGTCTGCCGTTTCTGATGGACAGACTTCTTTGCCGAGAGTATCCAAAGCCCGTGCCTGTGAGTTCTTCCCCCGCAGGTTATGCACGCCTTGCAATGCGCATGGCATTGCACTTGGAGCAGTACGCTAAAACGGAAGGCATTCCAGGTGCGGATTGCAAACGTCACAAGATACGATGCGAGTTCAAACCGGGTGAGACTAGTTGTACCAAGTGCCTGCGTAGCGGCATTAAATGCGTGGTCAATGACTTCTCGCAGAAATTTGTTGAAGACGATGGAATGTAAGCAAACATGCAAATGAAAAAGGAAAAAGACAAAAAACATACCTGGTTCCTGAGGGTTGACTTGCATTAGATGGAAAAATCAAGCGACAGCCACTATCAACCAGCTCCAGGCAGCTATCTCGCATCTGCTTCGTCAAGCAGGGCTGCAAGATCTCTCGGCGTTCCCATCGGGAGATATCCAAAATGGCCCCAGCCCTGTTGCATCACAACATCCACCTATCTTCAGTGAATCGCAGTCAGTGCAAAACCATTCTGAACACAATGGCCACAATGGACCAGGGACTGTGATGGATGTAGGCCGGGAGGCCTCTCAAGAGCCGGACCTACAAGGCCCGGAGCTGGTACCGGCTCCCATGCGCAGCCTCTACGAAGTTACCAAGCTGCGTAATTTCCGGAATAACCCTATAGAACAACCAAAACAGACCCTCCTGGAGGAGGATTTTGTATCTCGGGGGTTGATCTCTGTCCACGAGGCGGAGGAGCTCTTTGCCTATTTTAGCCGGACAATGAATCAACTCTTATGGGGAGGCATCATCTTAGTCCATCGGGATCTTACGTCCGTCCGGCGTGCGTCAACCTTGCTCTCCGCGGCGGTTCTAACTGTTGCGGCGTTGCATATTCCTAACCGTACGGAAACACTGAACCGCTGTTACAGCGAATATGTCTCACTGGTGTCGAGCATGTCCTTGACGAGAGCTCACACCCTCGATGATATCCGGGGCCTCTGTGTTGGAGCTTTTTGGTTGTCGGAGCTGAGTTGGAAACTTTCTGGTCATGCTGTTCGAATTGCAACGGAACTGGGCCTTCACCAGAGCCATCAAAAAATGATGCGTGGCCATAGTGACCAATACGAACGTGCACAGCTCTGGTACCTGCTCTACGTCTGCGATCACCATTTCAGTATCGCGTATGGGCGGCCACCCGTGATTCACGAAGACTCCGCCATCAAAAATTACGAAGCGTTCCTGCAGTCTCCGATGGTGGTCCCCGGTGACATAAGGCTTATGGCCCAGGTGGCCTTGTTCATGATCCTGACGGAGGCCTACCGCATGTTTGGGAGCGACACGGAACAGGCGCTGACCGAAGAGGATTTCGGTCAGTTAAGAGTCTACAACGTGGCCATTGATCAATGGCGACTTCTCTGGCAACCCCGATCTGGTAAGTCAACGAAAGTATCTATCTGGTCAGTGCTCCGCTTGCCAATAGTCGTAGCTAACCAATCACTCTTTCCCTCCAAACGATAGCCGACAGTCCTTACGTGCGGACATACCCTTCCAAAGGAGTCGTGCTGCACTACCATTTTGCCAAGTTTCAGCTGAATTCTCTCTCGCTCCGGGCGTTGTCGCCGTCCAACACCCCCGTTTTCTCCATGGACCGCAAGGAATCCGCTAACATTGCCATCTCGTCTGCCATGGCGTGCTTGAACATGGTACTGGAGGAGCAGGACATCCGGGATGCCATTGTCGGTGTTCCAATTTTCACGCATACAATGGTGACTTTTTCGGCGGTCTTTCTGCTGAAGGTGGCGGTGAACTGGAACTCGGCCTACTTGAGCCTCGATGGCCGCCAGGTGCGGCTTCTGGTGGAACGGGTGATTGAGCTGTTGAACTGTGTCTCCGCCGGCGAGAGACACCTGACCCGACACATTGCGCGGGGACTTGGTAACATGCTCGAACGGTTTGATTCCTGGGAGACCTCGTGGCAAGCCGGGAATACGGCCGTCGTCGAGCGACCGGGGAACGATGTGCCTGGCGGAGCCAACGCAATGGCACAGGGATTCCCACCGCCCGATTTGATCTACGACATGGTGGGGACGTACGGATTTGGATTGGATGAGAATTTGCTAGATCCCAGCATGGCGAATTTTGAGTTTCTGGCGCAATGACAGGATTGATTGTTTTCGCCTGGACTTTGGATAGATACCCTGGAATATCAGAATACAAGGATATATATAGTAAGTATGGAGTGCTTAAATGTGCACATATTATATGCAGTCAGTATGTGCATGGATGAAGTGCTGCGTAACACATCGACCAGGGGCAGTGGACTGATCATATTTGCTTCGGGAAATACTCCGAATACTCCGGAATCAACAATCCGGGGGGGGATTATGTCATCCGCAGCAATGTCCGTTCTCCAGGATACCAACCAAATACGGATTAGTGGTGAAGCTGCAGGGGACCGTACGGTAATCCTATTTCCCGCGGTAAGTTACGCCGTCTAAAGGTTGCAATGGCTGACATCATCATTTCCATGGTACGCCCTGCTATGTCCACGTCCATGCACTCTCTGCACACGCCCCTCTCCTTCCTCCTTCGTCCTTCCTCTCCTACCTTTTCTCAGTTTCTTCTCTCTCTTTCCCTTCGTCTTCTTGTTCGGTCACTTTGATTCAGCTCTAGTTCTCTGAGATTGCGAGATGTTGTTTCCGCGCAGACTCTATTACAAATACTAGAATTGATTCTCTACTTAAGTGGTGTAAAGATGAGAGAGAGACTCTCCAAGGAGATCGTCACGTCACCCTCAGCGTCATCCATCCTTCTCATGATTAATTAATCCCTCCCAGAGGGTTTATCCACACTTCCGTTTCATCCCTAAGCCGACGTCCCGCCGTGCGACAGGCCGCAGCTTTCGTTTCTTCTGTTTAGTCTCGGCCTCTCAGCTGAACTCTGGCCATTGTTTTCTGGTTGCTGCTGACCGGTGTGGAAGCTTCTCCTCTCTCTCCCAGCTTTTTCCCCATTCCGTTCCCTCGCCCCCCTTCCCTCGTTCAGTCGCTGGGAAGAGGCGGCTCTGACCTTGTGCTTGCACTGTAGACTCCCTTGCCCGCCCTGCCCTGCTTTGCGCCATATATTTTTCCCTCTCCTTCCTCCCCTCTCCATTTTCCTTTTTCTCCTCCCATCCATCTCCATTTCTCTTATCCTCTCTCCCACGATTGCGCCTCCTGCCCTGGGCTCCTTTCATACCATTGTATACTTGCGCCCATTGTCCGGGGCTCGTATCACATAAGTGCGCTGTTTTCCTCGTCTACCTTCATCTTCTAGAAGCCCTTACAGCACGATGTCGACGCGTAAGAGAAAGCAAGAGGCCGAGGAAGAGGAAGAACTTCAAGCACTCCCCAGCGACGAGAGTGAAGAGGAAGAAGAGTAAGTTGGTCAATGTATACGTCTTATCCTCTATACTTCCGTCTACTCCCTTCTGCGCAATATAGAACCATCCCTTAGCAAGCCATCTCTCATCGATCTCCCCTTTCTCTTAGTGTTGTCTTTCTCTTTCTCAGTATTTATTTATTTTTTTTTTTTTCAAAGAAAAATTTAAACCCTTTCCCTTGACCTTTGCAATTCCATGCTCTCCTGTCGCATGACTCTTGGAACTACGCGCCTTGTTGGCTAGGGTTTCGGGGCCGTGTATTGCTGTATCAATGATGCTATCATCACTCAATATACATCTGATGAACCAACTGTATGATGTATGTGCTGATTGACTTATCTATTTCAGATATGAGGAGTCTGATCTAGGTAGTGAGGAAGGCAGCGGAGGGGAAGAAGAAGGCTCCGAGGAAGAATTAGAAGAGGAAGAGGAAGAGGAAGAGGCCCCCGAAGATAAAGGTAAGCTTATCTATTGATCCTACCCTATGTAGAGAAGAAAATATTTAACTAACGAATTATGGTTTCCTAGCCCCTGCTCCCAAGAAACGCAAGACCGGCCCTGCGCGTGAAGACGAAGAAGTGGAAGAAGAGGTAAAAGAAAATGGTAAGGATGCCGGCGAGAATGGAGTCGGAGAAGAGGAAGAAGAAGTGGCAGTCGAGGAAGAAGACGAAGAGGAGCCAGAAGAAACGGCTAAGAGTAGCGCCCCGGCTGCCGCGGCAGCGAAGGCTAAGGGCGAGACTGTTCCCAAAGAACCCGAGGTTGCAGAGGAGAATGCTGAATAGTGGACATATCCATATCCTTCTTCCGTATGGATGTCACACGTGGTTCTACAGATATTTGCTATCTTGATCTTTGTGTTCTAATCCAAGCCTATCTGGGAGGTATATAGAAATTATATCTTTTGGAAAGGCCCGTATTACTTCCATAGCAAGATGGAGAATATCTCACATCTCGTGTTCAGGTCCCTAAGCCGTAATAACGTAGTTACGAAAAGGAATAAACTTAGATCTATGGTATTAAATATCGGACATTCGTCCCGATTGAATGAGAATGAAATAGAGAGAAATAAAGACACAGGAATTGAAAGTAAAGGGGGAAGAAGGAAAAAATTGAAATAAAAAAAGAAAAAAGATCCCCATATGAAATGTGGGACAGAGGCATCAAAATACAATAGGGACTCGGAGACGTGAATCATCAAGGAAATACCTTTTTTCACTTCAATCCATCCACCAAGTTTTGTTGTCCCTCACCACTACCTAGGTATTGTTCTGATGAATTCAAGTCTTGATTTTGTGGGAAGGTTATATAGCATCACTAGGCTAACATAACCTAAGCTAATCTAACCGTCACTGCCGCTGCTGCGGAACGTTGCACACAGTTGACAGTATTGATGAGTGAGGTCGAGCACAGGCTGGGGTAGATTCGTTGCCTGAACTATACTGCGCACCTTGACGGCGCCTTCGTCCTCGATGAGTTTGCGAATCATGTAGAGCAATTCGGGTGAGAACTAGGATGATGGTTTAGTTTGGAATCATCGGGCTAATTGACTTGTGATGGAGAAAAAAAAGGATGAATCTATACCTCGGAGTACCAGCGGTATTGCCAGGCAATGAGACGGATCAAAGCACCGAGCATTCCTCTTGTGTCGTTGCGCTTTTCGTAAAGTTTCAACAGGCCGCGCATGGCTTTGGGTGAGAACCGGATCGATAGGCACTGCTGGTAGGCCTCAATCGCCTCATCAAAGTGGTGCAGTCGCTCCGCCAGTTCGCCGAGAATCTCCCACTCGGTGGCGGACTTCTTGTATTCGATGGCTTGTTGGCGGAATTGTGCCATCTCCGTACGCCAGATTGTGTAGATGCGGAGATCCTCGTAGAGCACCATAAATAGGTTGTCGAGCCACCTTTCGCACAGGCGTTTATTGCGGAATTGTGCGTAGGATGAGTGCGATGGGTCAGGCTGGCGTTCGGTCAGTACGTCTTTTTTGGGGGGGAATGGGGACTTCTCCGTGGGATGAAACTCACGTCGTCATTCCCAGATTTGACCACTGCTGATGCCACCGTTTGCTCCGGTCTCTCGATTGCATGCGCGGTTTGTTCACTGTTCTCTCCGTTCGGAGTTGCTGCACCTTCTGGGCCATTTGTGACATTTTCATGCTCTCCGTTCCCATTGGCCTCTACTGGGCTGTTTGACAATTCAGGCTTTGATACCGAATGTTGGCGTTCGACCCGGTATTCTTCCTCCATCACAAAGACTTCACTGCGGATTTTGAGAAGTTGGTCCCACCCAATCGCGGCGGCGATCTTGGTCAGGAGATTGTAGGCTTTCAGGAAGGTACCCTGATATGTGGCCGCATGCAACCTGCGCAGGGAGGGGTGGACGTAGTCATGAGGATCCCCCTGCCGGGGCTGGCCTTCGTCGATTTCATCCAACATGCTTTCCGCAAGAATAGGAAGCATGATACGGGATGGTTGAGGCATTCGAGGGGTGTCCTTATCCTGGTAGGTAAACATGGGGCATGAGTTGAGCGTGAGAAGTGCCAAATCCCACTGTTCGAGGCTCACGTAAACCTCACCCAACCGTGCCCATGTGCTGAACTCGCTGGGTGCAGCAGTCACGGCCCGCTTTGCGCACTCCAGGGCCATTTCTCCTTCTCCCTTCTCCTGACAGAAGGCTGCTTGACTGTCAAGCAGAGCATAATCCATTGGGACGTCCTGCAGTGCATCGTACATCAGTCGTACCGCTTGTACTTCCTCATCAGCCATCATGAGAACCCGAGTCAACAACGAAGAAACCTCTACATCCCGTGTGCGAAGTTTCTCAAAGAGATTAATTCCCGAGGTGTAGCGCCCTGTCGTCCAGATGTACTTCAGAAGGCCCGATGTTAAATGGTTGCTGACAGTGTTAGGTACTTGGGTCTCCGGGTCGGAACTAAGCTGTCTCCCTGTAATCCTAATATCAGCGTCGCGACTCGAACGGACCTCTCCAAAGTTTCCTACCTAGGAAAAAGAGCCTTTCAGCAGCGTCCATGAACTTGTGTTCCATCTCTGTGTTAGTGACAGGGTTGAAACGACGAACTCCGACAATCTTCCTGATCGAATCTCCGCTGCCATCGTCTGCATAGGAATACGCTCTCAGGACTCCGCAGAGGAAAGTCTCTAGCCATAGTGCTTCCGTCGCAACGCGCTTGTCTCCGCGTTCATCTATGCAGTAACTTTCCAGGCTGCCTGGGATCTTCACTTCGACTCGCATGTCCAGGTGGGAGAATGCATTGTAGCAACTGCGGATTCGTTAAACATGGTGTTTGTGAAATCATCTCCAATGAGCTTATCTAACCAGTAAATCCCTGAAACCACTCTGTGTGTCTTATCAAGAGGAGAAAAGGTAAGCGTATTTACGTAGGCGGCGAGGCTGGCAGAGGAGGAGGCATCGATTCCGGTGACATGGTGGTAGACGCCGGTCTAGATTCATCGCAACATCCTGTCAGTAACCATCCCATCCCATTGCAGATCCAACTTCAAAGCCAAGTTTAAGGCCTTCGAGGCACATACCTGGCGATTGGCGTTGGTCTTAAGCTGTTTGACCAAATAAACCAAGTCCGGAGGGCCTAGTTCTCGCAAGTTCTGCAATGACTCAGTGCGCGCATCGACCGCAGCAAAGACATCTTCCTCCTCGTATATCCTGAAAGGAATTGAACTAGGGGTTAGTCCGCTATCAAAGGTGGCAGTAACCTAACTGACTGTTTGTTTAAGGGAGGGGGAGGCAACACCTACTCGGGGACAGCTGGCGCAACCATGGCGCTTAGAGAAGCGCAGACCAAACAGGACGGCAAGGGGCGAGTAGATGGTTAGGCTCCAAATGCTTGAGGCAGCTCACACTTTGACAATCGAGCTGGAGAGGACAGATGGCGCAGAGGCGATGGTTTGTAGGCCACTCGTGGTCACGGCGGCGGTGCGTGGGCCTGGGTCCTCAGGCACCAGTCTTTCCTCGATTAGGCAACCCGATTCCGCCGGTAACGCGTGATGCGTGTCCGTAGTCACGGACAGTCACGAGCAAGTCGACTACGGACTGGCCGCTGCGACAAATTGAGACTTCTGTCCATCTTAGTCACTCTCCGCAAGCCGTCGAAATCGCATTAAGTCGGGTCGGATTCGTCCTGAGATGGTGTCCGCTGGGCCTGGCTCTGCACTGCCGGTACGAGCGTTCTGCGGCCGATTTAAGCCGGCGACATGTCCAGCTGGGTCGCATTGAACATCGAGCCAGATGAGGCCATCGAGGAGGAGGTCGACGATACAAAGGAGATCCAAATTGAAGAAGCGCTAAAGCTATATCAGAATGCTCTTAAGCTACACTCACAGGGCCCTCAGTTCTACCCCGAAGCCGCCGAGGCTTACGATGCGCTTCTGAAGTCAGAGATATTCAAATACCCGGAGTCCATCTCCGACTACAAGAGAAATGTGCTGCACGGTTCTGATCTGCAGGTCGGAGCCGATGAAGTAGTAGGTGGAAGTGCTGCAGAGCCATTAGTGGGCTTTGACACCAGCGACTCTACGTCCAGTATTTTGCTGCAGACTATATACCTGTCGTATAAGAATCACGGGCAGTACATTTTGGATTCTCTGCGGGCTTTTATCCAGAGTGCTCCGCCTGCCACGGATGCAGCACACGAAACTTCTACCAGGATTGCTAATCGTGCGAGCGAAGCTTTGGGGTCTTTCGCCGAAGCCCTGGAACGTGACGACACCGACCTCAACCTCTGGCGACAGAGTGCCAGGCTCTGCAGTGTTCTGCAAAGCTATCGCTTAGCTCGGTATTGTTTGGAAAGTGTGTTGGCAGACGATGAGAATCGCTTAGAGGTTCGAGCCGAACAGCTCGGTTTGGAGGAGACCTTTGCAGAGGAGCGCCTCCGGGAAACGTTACTGTCGCTAGACGATGCAATTTCTGTTACTCAGGTCCCACTGAGGAAACCGAAGAAAGCTCTACTCAAGTTCCTGAAGACCCAAAGTGACCCTTATCCTTTTCTTCCCGCCTTGCCGAATAAAGTGCAGGATGTCAGCCCGGCAAAGAGTCCTCTCGCTTTACATACTTCCCGCCACGAAATCACGGTGCCTGTCGTGACATGGGCTGCTGTTGGGAAGAGTATCCTCCAGGCGCTTCTTGATGAAGACGAGCATAACAGTGATATTTCTTCCGGTACTCAAATCAGCTTCTCTTTACCCGCCCTCAACCCCCAGACAAAGACCACGACAACCCGAGAACCGTCATTATACGGTCAGTCATCGAAATCACCAGATGAGGAGATTATTCCCGTGAAGAAGCAAGATAATCATAGGCCAGAAGGTGACAGCCAAACCTCGGCACAAGCCAATCCTCCGGTAAAATTGGAAGCACCTGAGGAGCAGACAGATGATCACTCGTCCATCGATCAACGGGCAGAAAAGCAACTGATCGAGTCACTGGAGGTTCAGTCGTCACATACTGCGGAAGCTGCCAATCGTCAAGATCCCGCGAATGCCGACGAGGACGCTAGGCCGTCCAATCCGCCCAGGAAACGCTCTTCTGCATCTGCCATAAACGAGGATCAAGCAGAAGGCATCAGAGCCAAAAGCAGAAGAACACGGCTCAGGGAGTCAAATGCGGATGCTTCATTGCCAGCCGAAGATGTTGCTTTCGACCAAACCAAGTACTACGAGGACCAGCTAGAGGTTTATATCCAAGCTGATGATTGGATGTTTGAGACCGTGAACTCGTTGCTACTTAGAGTTGGGATTGGAGAACTCGTGGGCCTCGAGGAACTAAGGAAACTTAACTATTCTCCCAGTGATGGAAAGGACTCAGCCCAATCCAGCAATCATATTGAATGCTTGCTGCATTCTGATCTAAAAAACATCCTAAAAAACTGGGACGAAGCAAAGTCTCAAGCGATTCTCCAAGGCGATAACTTTTCCGCTCTGCAAGATATTCAAAGCATGGGCAAATCGGGACTGGCAATCTTCCTCGAACACTCAAGAAAGTCAGGTCGGAAATTAGGTATGCGAAATGTCCTATCAGGGGCCGAAGAGCTGCTTGACCTGCTGAATACTGTCAACGAAGGGGGGTTCCACATCCGCAGTGTGTCTTTTGAGTGGCTCAAGGGCCTTCTCATGCCAGAATATGGGATCAATTCGACAGCGGAGGATGTACTCAATTCGTCGAGTTTCCCTGCTATGAAGTCAACCTATACACTATTTCAGTGGCCATCTGATCTAAAGGAGGCTGTTGTCCAAATCATTCTAAGAGAAGACGAGTACACCTACAAAAGATTATGTGATCATGTCGAAGAGCTTGAGCGTCAGATCCTGTGCAATGCTCCTGGAACCCCCTTCAGCTACACACTGAGTCACTTCGCACATTTGGAGATGATCGAGACAATATATGAGCTACACTTTGATGTGTATTCATCCATCAACAATCCAAACAGTGAGGTGAATTCAGGTACGAGAACGCTGCAACGTGAGCGCTTAAACAGGTGGTGCAGTTTAGCACGGACTGCCTTGACGCATTTTATCGATCACAGCCATCCAGATATCAGTCAAGATTCAATAGTTCTGCGCCATGTCTGGACGTCAACATGTCACTCAAACATGACGAGTGATGCTCACAGGGAGCATGTATTGCTTTGCCTTCAAGAACTCAAGTGCTTGCTTAACTGCCTCGATAATCCTATGATCAGCTTGATAAACAATGCGGCGATGCCTGAGATGTCTATTGAGGCCGTTGATCAAGAAATTTCAAAATTGAAGTCCATGGATTTCTTCATGAAAATCTTCAGTCCTGAGTCTGAAGAACCCGTAAGTCTTATTGAAACAATCGAACCACTTTTGGAGCCATCTTCTGTTCGTTTCTTGGAAGAAAGCACTTCGGGCGAACAGGAGGTAGTCGGGCCAACTGCACAGCTTCGCGAAATGGGCTCCTTCTTAGACCGAGGCGATGCCACCTTAAGACTATTTCTATGGCGGCGACTCCAGGAGGCTTATAGGAAAATCGATTATTCTCCCAAGGTCGTATCCTGCTACTTGAGGAGTATTGAAGTTATAATTATAGAGCTCTGGGGCGCTGCACACCTTCAAGAGCCCAGCGAGCACCGTCAGGTAACGATGCTTCGATGGCTTAAATTGCTCGACGGCATTCTGAGCAAGACAGTCTCGGCTGTTTTGCAAGAACAATGCAAAGCGTATGATTGTTTTGACATGGATCATCTACAAGCTTCGATGTCTGCCGTGGCTCGCCTGTCAAAACTGCTACACGGCTTCGTTCTCTATGAGGATTCCGTTCGTGTCGGTCAAACCCCTCGCTCGGAGCTGCGAGGCTCCTTGGCAAAGTCATTGGAAAATTTCAAGGATAAATTGCGGGAGATGTATGTCCGTTGCTGGATACTGCAATACACGCTTCTCAAAGAAACCATGGCCCAAAATAAAGATGCCTCCGACGCACCCACTTACGACTGCATTCATTACCTACGTGGCGTGCATAACGCCCTCGGTATCCGCAAAATGTGCAAGCGCTCTCATAAGCAATTCCTCAAGCTGATGAAGGCTGAATTGCTCGCTCTGGATGAGAAGGAAGGCTATGAACTCGACATATGCCAGATCCTTTATGATATTCATAACATCAAACTATCACTAGTTGATAGTCATCTGGTAGACCACGGATGTCCACCCGAGAAGCTGGATCGATCGACAGCAATCATGATGGTTGATTTTGTCATGAGACAGGCTAAGAAGATGAACATCAAAGATTTATCCAAATCCGAGTTAAAGTACACCATAGACAAGATGCAACAAGCTATCGGGACTACGAAATCGTCTCCACCATTATCATATAATAAGCGCGTTCTAACCGCTTACTTAAAGTCCCCATTAAACCCATCAGAGGTCTTCCGTGCCGTTCGCGGAGTAGGGGATCTTCCTTTGATTCCTGTGTCCACCGAGAGTGCAACCATCGCACGCAATGGATGGTACTTTTTATTGGGGTATGCTGCTTTAACAAAGTTTCGCTCCCAGAAGCGTTTGAATCCAGTGCCAACTACAGACCTCGACGAAGCTGTTGCTTGGTTCCGCCAAGATCTGGAGCATGGGACGTCAAGATGGGAATCATGGTATCGACTGGCTCAAACTTATGACTCGAAGCTAGAGGAGGACATCACCTGGTCCGCAGAAAAGATCAACAATAATCGAATGGAGCTAGTAACTTGGCAGCGCTATTCGATCCATTGCTATGCTATGGCTGTTTCAACGGCAATCAGATACGAAGATCCAACGCCAGAGATCCGAGCACTCCTGTCTGAACTCTACACGGATTTTGGAATCCGGCTGTACTCGTCGTCTCGAGCGCCCTTATCTATGGGCGCGTTCAGTCTCACCGATTACACCCGGCATTTTAGCAACGAAGAAAGCCAGCAGATGTATGAAGCACAGCCCTTCAAGGAAATGAAACTGTATTCTGTCTGGAACCTGGCAAGTTATCTTCTTAGGCGTGCAATTATTAACAAGCCTAAGAGTTGGGTGTAAGTATCCCACCTGCAATAACGCCACAGGGACAGAGACTGATCATGAAACAGGACACATTATATGTTTGCCAAATGTCTCTGGAAAATGTTCAGCTGCGATGACTCTGTGCGGGGAGGATCGAAGCGCATTAGCCTCGATGATCTATTAGATTCTCTGCTTGATACGATTGACGCGCTTCCCCAAAGAAAAGACTCACGTACGGATCCAATCTTTGAGCCTCACTTCAAAATTGTGTCTATTGTCCATAAATTGGTTAATAGAGGGATCATAACAGTATGCCATACATCTTCACCGCACTATTTTCAAACATTCACTGATTCTTTCAGGCGGCTGAGGGAAGTAAAACTCTCCTTGCCACTCCATGGGCTCGAAAAGTCCAAGCACCAGAAGACAATGCATCATGGAAGCCTTACATTCTTGCGGTGATTCGGAATCTAAAGCATGCGGACAAGTCGAACTGGCACCATCGCATGGCTGTCAGAGTATGTAAACTAGTTCCACGTTGCATTTACCTCGCTCTCAAAGGACAATTGCTAACCTTCCATAGGCGGCACATATTATATACGATGATACCAACGATGCTGAATCCGCTGCCGCGGCTAAGAATGAGCTTACGCAACAGATATTCACGAAGACAATGACGATACAAGTCTGGCGGCCTGAGTATGAACGCCCTGGAAGACACTTTGTTTACACGACAAGATATGTGTACTTCTTTGTTGCTCTGCTCGACCAGCTCAATGATCGTGCGAATCTCGATCAACTATTGCGTCGAGTGCGGAAGAAACAAGGCGATTTTATCAACCACACCAAACTGTGGGAGGACGTCTACCTTACCTATGCAAGAGTCATCAGAAGGGCAGGGAACATCTCAGAGGGTCATGAAGAAGGTGTCTTCAAGCCCATTGGATGGGAGGAATTCGTCATCAACACAGCTCGACTGGAAAGTCTCCCCCAACTGGCTCCAGAGAGTTCCACACTCCTAGAATTACTACGTGACGCAGTCGAGCTTAAAAAGCTGAATAACAACCTCATGAAAGTGTCCTTACTTGAAGACCTCATTGCCGACCTTTATTCTCGCCTTTACGAGGTCAACATGCCCCACGTCATCGAGCAGGCCAATGAAGAAAGCAAAGAGAAAATGAAAGTAGACCATCTACTCATGGGCAGCGACGGAGCTGCCGATACCCCTACGCCACCGGCCTCCGCTCCCACGTCAGAGGCCCCCGCTCCCCGGGGTCGAACCAAGGGCATCGCAAGGAGAGACATCCAAAAGCGTGCTGAAACCATTGTCAACCGCAAACTTGCACCGCGTGCCCCAGCCACTAAAGTGCCTGCCCCCGTGGAAACAGAGCCATCTCACAGGGCCGAGGTGTCAGTTACGTCGGCTCCCCAACAAGTCAAAGAAGTTGCCCGAGCCGCTACTACCGACGACCCCGGCTCAGGCCAACAGAGCGACATCCCCCACAGCTTGCATGAAAGCGCCGACGATGAAAGTGAGCTGAGTGAGATGGATGACGAGAAATTGTCCAAACTCGCTGGTGACCGCAAGATGATGTTCCCTAATCTCCAAGAAATGAGAAGGTCTCTAGACCCCGAATCAGAAATATCAGCTCAGGCCAGCGCAGATGGAGACGGCGCAAATGAACCAGTAGGGGAGACGGAAGATGATGGCGACAGGGAAGGAGACGTTGACATTGGTGAAGGTGAAGGTGAGGGCGAGACCATCGGGGAAGACGGGGAAGAAGGCGAAGAAGGCATTGACGGAACCGGGGACGGAGAGGGCGAAGGAGAAGGAGAAGGAGAAGGAGAAGGAGAAGGAGACGGAGAAGACGAGGAGGAAGACAACGAAGCCGGCGCCGATGAAGAAGGAACAGGAGATATCGAAGGCGAAGGAGATGGCAATGACGCTGATGAAATGGAAGGCGTTGAGCCTGGAAATATACAACCCAATGCCACCGTTGGTGCCGGACACGAAAGTGAAAATGCCTCAGAGGCAGAACCAATGGACATCTGATCCGACGACTGTCGTGGTCCTTATAATGGTCTTTTTGTGTGTCTGTTTTATCGGTGCTTGATTTTTATACAACCTAGACAGGAAAGGACAGGAGGGATAGGAAACAACAGGCGTCCAGGGACCAAGATCTGGAAATGTGACTCGAATAATACTGCAGTACTGGATTCACTTGCTGTATTCTGTTATGTGAGACATACTTGGTGATTTACTTCGATAACGCCCTTTCTATTGCAAGATACATTAGTAGACTTGGTCTTATATCGTATCACTGAGGTCAATCCCCGCGATCTGGATTGACCACTCTAGATCCACGACTCCAACAAGTCTTATCATATATCAATGTGTCGACAAAGGATCGTGGTTGGGAAGGTTTAAAACTACAGAATAATTGTGGATGTTCTCAGCGAGAAATTGAAAATGGCGTCAAGGACATAGAACGTAGAAGCGAATCAAATCATTTCAAGTTCATATTCAGCCATAAACTAAAATGGTATCATTGTAATCCAGTAAAAGACTCCCCCAACTCCCTAGTAGAATCACCATGATGTACATTGGAAAACCAGAAAGAGACCAAGAGTCTAGATGTCTTCTTCAGGTGCCAAATCCCATCGACGAGTGGCCATCTTCCTCTGCTTTTTCCCCGGAGAGCCTGACGGCGTAGTGGGAGAGAACATGCTATCAGCGAGTTTCAACTGGTCCATTCGTTGCAGCGCCACCTCGACGTCACTCTCCCGGCCAAGAATGTTGGAATTATGGGATGAGCGGAGAGCTTTCTTGGACTGGGACCTCTTAGTCGGCGACTGGCTGGTGAGCTCACGTTCCAACGCTGCAATCTTGCTCCGGAGTCGCTCATTCTCGTACTCAAGCTCCTCAGGCCTGTCGTCATTGGAAGCGGCAGGGTCTTCGTAGACTAGGTATGTTTGTTAGTTCGACCGTCCTGTATTCTTTTAAAGGTAGCGGAGAATAACATACTCCGGAATCCTCGAGAAAGAAGCTCGATCTTCTTGTCAAGGTGCTCATAATTATGGCCAGCCTTTTATATCGGTTAGCGGTACACCGGATGGGCTAATCGCAGGAAGCCAATCATTACCTGTTCGTCCAAGGCCGTCTGCCACCGTCTCCTCTCCTCTTCCATCCTTTCGTCCATTTCCGCCCAGCATTCTTCACGGACTTCTTGTTCGATCTCCAGGCAGCGCTCTTCGCTAGACTTCAATCGTATTTCGAGTTCAGCCCTCATTATCTCCTCTTCATTGAGTCGCATCGTCAGACCACTGTTCTCTTTGGTGAGTCGTTTAATCTCAGCTAGTGCACTTTCAACTTCCTCATTTGCGACCATGTTGGGAGAGTTACGCCCGCTGCTAAGGGCTTTATAAGATCCGATAGAGTTGGACAGGACGGACTCCGAAGTAGACGGTACTCGAGGGACCGTGACTTCCCGCGCCAGTGCCGAATACCGCAAGATTTGCGAGGTAGCGTTGTAATCCCCCAGTGGATCCGCAGTCACGACCATCACGGCCTTCTGAGGGTGACGAGTCGGTCCCGCGGACTGACTGGACGGGAATGAATTTGAGAACAACAGCTCTGTGAGCTTGCACTGCCTGAATGGCACAAGCGCAGTCTAACCGTGTCAGTAGGAGAATTAAGAAGGATTCGCCATAGCTGCAGTACCTTATTCCCGTCCTGGATGTCACTTTGCATCTGCAAACACTGTCCAAGATACATCAAACTTTCGTTGATCTTTCCCGCTTCAGCAAGGGTAGAGCCGGCCGTTTTAGCGGTCCTTGCGCGTTCAGAACCTATGGCACAATTAGGAGCATTCTTGAGCACAAAGGAGCTCGATGACGTACCAGCAAGATCCGCCACCGTGAGCGTGTTTCCAATCCATGTCTCTTCACCAGTTCTCTTGTTCCGCATCCGTCTCTTCACCTCGAGACAAAAGAACCCGTGACTACGCGAGCTGACACTGTTGGCACCAGTGCCGGTAACCTTACGCTCAGTGAGACCAATCTCAAGGATGGCCAATGCCTCCTCGTAGGTGCTGCAGGCAATCTTGCGCAACCCTGCGACGACTTTTCGATCGGGAGACCCTTCTGTGGACTTGAAGAAGAGGGGCCGTCGCCGGTCTTTTTGGGCATTTCCACCTTGGCGCGACATAGCACTTCCTTGACCAGGGACAATGGCAGGTGATAAAAGATCGAAAATTCGGTCATTGTAAACTTCGTACATGGACACCAGAACAATATATTCAGAGTGAGGGTTCAACTCCAGAGTTAGATGGCTAACATCGGGGGACCGTGGCAGGGCATTCGAACGTGGAGGCAGCTGACGCCGGGGGAAAATGACGGCTGGCATCGGTTCCTTTAACGCATGAAAAGATGATTTAGCATTTTGTATATTGGCGATCTTGGAATATGTGTGTGAATGTGCGGTCGGGGTATGAAGGGGCATCAATGTGGCCATCCTTATAGGGCTAACTCTTGAATTCAGGGAATCCAAATGCCGCAATGTTGTTGGAGGATCTCCATGGGGGGTCAAGGGCAAAGTTGGGACGCAATAGGAAGCCCCTGGGATACAAGGTCGCGAGATCTGTGCTCTTTGCAAGGGGAATGTAGGGGAAGGACAGCATACCGCCATCGGTGTGTGAGCTCGAGAAGAACTCATGGGAGTCTGGGCTCGAGAATTCCTGCCAGCATTTGGGTCACCATATACAGCTTCCAGGAACGTCTGTGCTGTAAACATCTGGGACTCGGAGGGGTCCGACGCAGAGACGCTGGAGAGGAGAAGAGGGTGGATGGAATTGTCGGGATGCTTAATCGTCGACGTTAATGAGTTAAAGATCACGTCGAGACTCATCTGAGTGAGACCTCTCTGTGTCTTCGAGCCTAGAATGGTGTGGCTCTATGAGACGGTTGTATTAGCATTCCCCTTGAGCGAGTTGCCTCTTTCTGCATACCTTTCCGCTTCCAGTTACTCCTAATGTAGCCACAAGTCCATCTCTTCCTTCCAGAAGGACTCCCCTGATCAAGGATTCCAATCCAGTATCTCGGAAAACGTCCAGCTGGGAAGCGGACTCCTCAAAGACCTTGGTAAATCCGAATTTCTCGACTGCGCGCTTTCTCGCATCGCTTGGAGGCTGTAGTGTAATGTGAGTAGGGCCATATGACAGGATTCCATCCTGTTCATTCTGAGTTTGGTTCTTTGTCTCAGGATAGTCGACAGTCAAGCAACGTTCGACTTGGTCAACTTGTTGCTGCGAGACAGGGGGGCGAAGACGAAGATAAACCTGGAAGAGAGACGACTGAGACAGCTTTGCTGGATTCATGGCGACTGAACGTGCTATTCCGCTTTATCGCACACGAGACAACGGAATAGAGGCGGAAGGATGGCAACGATTGAAGACACACAGAGTAGAACTGTAGAGGTCACATTGGAGCTGTTTGCCTTCTTGTTTGGGTTAGCGCTGTTGGCCAGGCAACAAAATCCCAAAGAGGAAAACCTGACTTGGCGCGATTGTCCTCAGGTATGAACTATCCCATTTCACTGCTTAATCAATATTATCATCATCTTCAGGCGGTGTCACTGCTAAGCCTCGAGCTAATATGTAGAGGGTCACCAGATACGAAGGATCTAGTCCAATAAGCAGCTGGGTGTTGGGAGGTTGGCCACCAGGCTCGTACTTAGCCCTGCTCGTATTCGCTTAAAGTGCGGCTATAGCTGGCGAGTGGTTGATCCAGGGAACCAGATTAGGTTGCCGCCATGCCTTGCCGTTCCCACTTGCTGCTCAGACACAATGGATGCTTGGATCTCGTTTTCCCGATTCGGAAGGTTCGTGTTCGCTAGTACTTTGAACTTTCAGTGTAACCCTACTCGACATGTATATATATATGGGAGCGTCCCAAGAGGGTTGTTGTCGGTTTTATATCATAATCATATAGCTCACTAGTATTGAGAATCTCCTTCGTTGCTTTTTGGAATATCAAAACGCACAGGACGTTGATTTTGTCTTCGATTCGTCTCGGGAATACCGCATGATGAAATTAGAGAAACGATCCCCCTACCGTAAGTTAACAAGGGACCTATCAATGTGATATAACAAACGGGTTCATGCTAACCTTCAATAGAGGAAGGGAGTTTCTGGTACTATGCGCCGAATAAAGGTGCTACTATTGCCTTTGCTATCCTTTTCGCAGTCTCTGGTATCCTACATGGCTATCAGTGCTTGTAAGTCTCCCTACGTTCATCACGCAGACTTGCAGCTAATGGTCATTGTGAAGCAAATATAAATCCTGGAAAGTGACTGGTTTGTTGCCCTGGTCTGCTCTCCTGTTTACGGTAGGATTTGTGATGCGGGCTATTGGAGCCTTCGGACAGTGGGACAACCTCGCGGTTTTCATCTCAAGTACCGTGCTCTTACTCGCTGGGCCGTAAGTAATTCACCCTAGATTCTCAACATGGCGTGCACTATCAGGGCAGGCTGACCTTCCGCCAACAGGCCTGTCTACGAGGGAGCGAATTATTTCATTCTGGGCCGCATTCTATATTATATTCCCTACCATGCACCAATTCACCCGGGTCGTGTCTTCACCACATTCATTGCTATGGGCATCGCAACTGAAATCCTCACGGCGAATGGAGCTTCGTTGGTGTCCAACTCGAGCAATCCGGAGAGCACCCAGAACGTAGGGAAGGCGCTGCTCAAGGCGGCTCTCATCCTGCAGATTGCATTGATGATTGGATTCATGGCCCTAGCCGCTAGGTTTCAGTACAGTTGCGCTCGAGGTGGCGTCCTGAACACCAAGGTTAAACGGGCCCTCTACGTGCTGTATTGCAGCTGCACTCTCATCACCGTGCGCACCATCTACCGGACTGTCGAATACTTCAGCGCTGCCAGTTTAAATACCCACAATGTCGATAAAATGAGTCCCATTCTCAAAGATGAATGGTTCTTCTGGTTCTTTGAGACTGTGTTCATGTACAGCAATACAACCCTGCTCAATGTTCTTCACCCGATGCGATGGCTCCCACGGTCCAACAAAGTCTACCTGGCAAGGGACGGGGTAACGGAAGTCGAAGGCCCAGGCTATGAGGACCCTCGCCATTTTCTCCTGACTATTTTCGATCCATTTGATGTGGTTGGCCTCATCACGAAACGGGGACAAAAGGAGAAGTTTTGGGAGATCAACGAGGCCAACAATGTTCATCCATCGTCGAATGTCTGAGATTGAGACTTGTCTTGCTAGAGTGATTTCTTTTGTCGATTTTTAATCTTTTCGATTTATTTAATTCTTAGATTTTATGTGATTGATTCTAGAATAGAAGGAATTGTAGTTAATTGACTACGCATCAATCAAGTAGCAAAGGAAGCCTAAGGCAGCAACTCTTAGATGCCTGAGGCAGCCATCGCCCTCGTTCCCGAAGGCCACCTCTCCCTTCCCTCCAAGTTCGACCGACCAGCGAATTGTCGACTTCTCCCCAACCCCAGCATCTTCATACGGAATCCGACCAGATCGGTGTGTACTGGGCTCGCTAGCGGTCGCCCACGCGACCTTTCACTGTCTCTCCCGTCACCAAGACCGCAACTCATCGAATTGTGAAATTCTCCCTGTATCAGCTAATCTACCTACATTGTCAACATGCTCTCATCCCTATCACCGAGCCTGTCAAATACGCGGCAATCGCTGGCGCAGATGCTCAATTTTGCGCTGGTTCTGTCTACGGCGTTTATGCTCTGGAAGGGTCTGTCCGTGTTCACGGCATCCAGCTCCCCCATTGTGGTATGTATTCTTGTGTGTTCGGTATGGTTCTCTTAAGTCCGTACGATTCTGACATTAGATGCGTCCATTAGGTTGTGCTCTCTGGGTCCATGGAACCCGCTTTTCAGAGAGGCGATCTCCTGTTCCTGTGGAATCGCAGTCCACGAGCTGAAGTGGGTGAGATTGTTGTTTACAATGTGAAAGGGAAGGATATCCCTATCGTGCATCGCGTTGTTCGCACATTCCCGGAGATTGAGGGAAAGGCAAAGAAGGTGAAGGAGGTTTCCGAGTATGTCCAGCTAGCTCCTGTCGCGTGCGTGTGACTTCATCGTGCGCAATTCCTCCAGGCTAACGAACGTTTGGCTGTTCCAGGTCCTCCGTGCCGAATAACATGCTACTTACCAAGGGCGACAATAATGTGGCGGACGATACCGAGCTCTATGCACGAGGACAGGATTATCTCAATCGTCAGGAGGACATTGTAGGCAGCGTGAGAGGGTATATCCCCTTGGTGGGATATGTGACCATCATGCTCAGCGAATATCCATGGCTTAAAACGGCACTGTTGGGAATTATGGGGTTGATGGTGATGTTACAACGGGAATAAGGCTGGATTTGATTATATACTGAATTCCATGAAATTGTTGGGAGCATTTGATGCCCCTAAGGTAAATAAGGATACTGGAAACCTTCACTGTATACTGTTACACATAATCATTCGATCCCACCGCCGGGCCAGAAACACTGACGTCGACCACCCGCCCCGCCGAAGCCCCGCCGCCAGTTGGAGATTCACGACGATGACTCTGCTTTGCTAGGACCTTAGGTAGCTTAAAGGGTGTTCTCTGGCGCTGGTGCCCTGTAATTGTAACCGTTCTTTAATCAGCCCTGCTGTTTACTTGTCCTTTCTTTATCCTTTCCCCCCTTTTCTTTTATTTTCTTTCAGCTGAAAATCACTCTCCCTTCAGCCCACCGCGCTCCTACCTTAGCTACTGCCTAGATACGTGCTTCTCTCCTTCCCCCTCCTCCTTGACAAAGCTCCTTTCCCTCACTCTACCCGCGATATCCTCTGATTCCAACCTCGTCCTCGACTTCATTCAAAATGGGTAGCCAGAAACGAATAGCCAAGGTACGTACTCAGCCTCCAAATCCAGTCCAGGCCAGCCCCTATTCAGTGAAGATCTGACTATCTGTCGCTGTTCGCGATCTAGGAGCTATCCGAGCTCATGGAGACGCCTCCCAACGGAATCACTGTCGAATTAGTAGAGGAATCCAACCTCTATGAATGGAGAGTCTACATGGATGGACCAGAGGGGTCACCGTACTATGTAAGACAATATACCAGAAACAAACCAAGCTAACCAATTCACTACTCGACTTTATACTAACATGCTCAATTGTCGGCTCGCAGAAAGGTCGATTCCTCGTCAGACTGAGCCTACCCACCGAATACCCGTTTAAACCGCCCGCCTTGTCCTTCGGGACCAAAATCTACCACCCCAATGTGACCAACGACGAGAAGGGGAGCATGTGTCTGGGGATGTTGAAGTCGGACGAGTGGAAGCCGAGTTCGCGCATTGCGGCGGTTCTGGAATTTGCGCGTCAACTGCTGGCGGAACCCATGCCCGATGATGCGGTGGAGGGGGGCGCATCGCCGAGCAATATAAGAATGATCAGAAACGCTATGATGAAGTCGCACGGGAGTGGACGAGGAAGTATGCGATGGCGTAGCAAGTTTAGGCGTTGTATTGCTGTAAAACGAGGCAGGTCTGTTTGGGATTGCGGGCTTGAAAGCGTGATTGCTTTGGCACAGTGCATTTATGTTCTCTGTGGACTGGGAAGATAGGGTTGTTTCCATGGCGATGTGCGGGTGATAGGTGTTCAGCAAGCGATTGTGTGATTCATAGGAGTTGGACACTCCCTAGAATATTAGACAACCATGCAGAATATGCGAGTCCATCCATCCAGCATGCAGATGTTGAATGCATTTCTGCCTACTTTATTTCGTATTTCTTAACATGGCGCTCAATCTAGCATGACTGATAAGTAAAAGATAATTTTTTTATTAAAAAAAAATAAAAATAAAAATAAAAAAACAATAAAAGCCCATAAGCTGTCCTACCGGGACTGAGTCGGTCGCTTACATCTGAATTGTTCTTGCTGCTTGTTTATATCGAACAGTGCTCCTGCATTATGAGCACTTCACAGTTCACGACAATCCAGGATCATCGAGAGATCGCTAGTTGGCAAGTGTCAGTGCTGAACAAAGCTTGTAATAAAACCACCTACTCCTTTCCTGATGATCTAACAGAGTAGATCACTTGATAATCTCGCCACGTTCTAGATCTTGCCCAGTAAGCTTCGTTATAAGTTTTATGCCCTGCTTATCTGATTGTGTAGAGAATACCTGGAATATATTCTCTATTTTACAGTGATTTTACCTGTTTTCTACATTTCTTTGTAACAATCCTGTAATTCTTTTAGATCCTGATTTGTGAGTATCTGGTCAAAGTCCATATAATACATAAAACCCCATTAAATCGACATTGTAGAGTTGGTAGGGAGCACTGCGTGCACTCCACGCCCTGAGGGGCATTTCCCCCAGAGAAAACTACGGCCCAAACTCATACGCCAGAACCCTCTGCAGGGGAAAGGAACATCAAGTTCTCTGTTGATTCAACTCGGCAAATAGCCCTTACCCGATATGGAAAGACCCTCGTCTTCATAGAGGAACTGAACTATAGATCGCGAAGGATCTAAGTTGCCGCAGGTGGCACTCTCTATTGTCAGACCATTCCGCCTCCGTCTTTGGAAGCATGGATGAGACGAGACAGCTGCGACAGTCTTGATACGTGCACCTGGTTTTAAGCAGTCATTTGACTTGACAAGTTGTGCGTGACAGTGGGTCAAACCACTGACGTTTCCGACTTGGGGCAGGATGGTTTTTGTTGTGCTGTTGGAGGGAAGGCACTATTATCGTTCACTCAACTCCACAGATGGGTCTCCGCACCCGAGGCTCATTTTTAGGATGTCAGGTATCAATTATCCTGCATGCCTGAGGAGAAGGGAGTGAATGGTGTGGGGTAGTGGATATTCAATATTTGTGACCAATCGAGGGCTGAGAGACGGAGAGATAATAGGCATACAAGCATGAAATCCGTGGGAAAGTGCTTTCACTGTTTTATTCTTCCTCTATTTCATACGGATGCTTTTGATTTAAATATTCCAAGCAAGGTACTAATATATATAACCGCCGGGAAAGAACTATAAGTGACTGACAATAATTAATTACGTCCAATCAATAATTAGTTAATAGACAATTGGTCTTAGGGACGAATCGCAAGGGACAACAGTAACCGCTCGTTGTTACACATCAATGCAAGGGAGAAGAACTCCGAGCGGCACAACTGGGCGGTTAATTAGGATTTACAAAGTACCTGCAAATCAGGATCATCGGATCTAGTTCTTATTAGGTAGATAAAGCGCCTTTTCATTGTCGGAGGAGCTCCGGCTGGGAGGGACTGAGCTAGGGAACGTTGAAACACGCTCCACCTCCTGTTCCTTACTGCAGACAGTCGTCGTAGCGAGTGAATCGACGGTGAGACGTCAGGGCGAGGGTTTGTTAGGGTGACAGAGTACTCCGAAGTGCCAGTGATGTTGAACTGTCGACTAGACTGGGTGGCTAGGATGGTTGATAGTTGATCCCATATCAATTTTGATGCATGCATGAGGAGGATTGCGAGCATTCAATAGGTAGAAGTGATCCATGGGTCTATCCACTTCCCTGTCTGACCTGTCCCATCAGATGCAATTGTGCGGAACGGATCGAGGGTGCATCCATGGATGATTGACCTGATAGTTGTGATGCATGAGGGCCGTTCCGCCGACATAGAGCTGTTCTACTGGATGATCCCTCACATTGCCATTGATGATACAGAGCAATACTCCACGCCCAGTAAATATAGTCAGAGCGGTGAATCCAGCGATGAAATTGGATGAAATCAGTCTGAAACCCCTAAAATTACCCAACAGGGTTTTGCTCCATCGATACGGCGCTAACCCCAACGGGCACTCTGATCCCCTTTTCGTATTGATTTGCCTCCTTCATCTTTCTCGCTCTCTCTCCTCTTCTCTTTTTCTTCTTTTCTTATATCATCAGAATGGGGAATCTCGGGAACCTCTGGTAGGATTGTGACGATTTTTCCATGGACTGAACTTGACCTGGGTGAGCTGCTGGGGCAACTTGCCGATTCTCTTCCGCTCGTTTGTGCCGCTCGTCGTAGCTCATTTCATTTCATTTATTTTATTTTTCCACACTCCCTCGTTTGCTACCAATCCATCTGCCCCCCCGATTGAACTTGCTATTTAATTCCTACTGACTGGGTCGCCAAATAAATCCAATCCGTCTCCCCCTGAATCAGTCCTATTGACCCGTGACTTCTGGACTTGTTCCCATTCTCGTTCCTCTTCCCCCTCTTAATCGACAAATGTCCAGCGGGATCTGGGTATCATCTCGTGGCCATGGTCACAGAAAATGGAGACTCTCGTTATCCGCCCCTGTCAGGCAGTCATGATCTCCCCAGTCGTCGTCGAATCCCTCATCCACTGCGACTCGACCCGTTGAGAATCAATCCGCCCTCTCCTCGACCCTCCACTGCCGGCTCCTCTCGCCCACCTCTCTCGTCTCGCCCCCCGCCGTTTCCTCGGTCCCCCCGAAAACACCTGGATCAGACGCAGACGACTTTGCATGACTCCTTCTGGCGTTCGGTTTCGCCTCACCGTGTCGCCAATGATGATTTTGCCATTCGTGGACCACCGTACCGTTCCCCGACGTTCCCCATCCCACCTCAAGAGCGTTTCCAAAAACCTGTTTCGCGGGATGGCGAGTTCGATCGCCCGTCTCATCGCAGAACTCCCCCCTTACGAACTTCTCGATCCACGTCCCGCCTGAACTCCAGACGCCCCCGAGCTCCCCAGACCCTTGAAGGCCCATCCGGAGACTCCAATTCTCAAGGGCTTCCTCTTCTACGCCCTACACATGGGTCGTCGGATGCGTATGCTGAGGATGTGCTCCGATCCAGCGTGAACTCGGCCATGACGTCGCGATCCAGCATTGAGCATGCCAGCGGTACGGAGCGCAGCAGTGTTCTAACGAAAAGTAGCTCCATCACCGACCTGTCCCCAGATACGCCGGATGGACCGTATGGAAAGGATGGAGACATGAGTGTCGAGGATGCCATTTCCATGTACCTCGATGGGTTTAGTGATGTGACCGAAGAGCCCGCATCGCCAGACCTGCACGTGGACGCCAAACGGAGACCGTGGAGCCCGCGCCCCCCTACGGAGCGGACGATCGATGGTGATCACACGTTCGATGAGCTTTCGCCCGATCTACTGACCACTAAGGATTTACCGCCAGTACCACCCCTTCCGAATCTCAATCCACCGGACCAGAACACCGTGGATAAACAATTCTTAGGTGAGGCAAAGCCGGATGAAATCCTCTTGGATGAGGCCCTAGGAGAAACCTCATCGGATCCGCCTGGGGATAGTGTCCCGCAAGAGACCAAGATCATTATTCCAGGCATCGTGCCTCCTCCTTTATTATTGGAGACGGAAACTCGCGATCGCTATGGCTTTCGCAAATCCAGTCACCATATTACCCTGGAGCAGTATGAGGCCTGGAATGGCCACTATACTGAATTCGCAGCGAACCGGAGAATCAAATGGATGGAGTTGCTGAGGGAGAACAGCTTGCCAACTGATAACCCGACCACGTTTCCACCGAGGACAAATAAAGTCAAGCGTTTTGTGCGCAAAGGGGTCCCGTCCGAGTATCGCGGCGCGGCTTGGTTCTGGTATGCTGGAGGCTATGAGCACCTCCACCGGAACCCAGGTCTGTACGACCGGCTCGCCAAGCAGGCCATGGAGTCTCCGAGTAATAACGACAAGGAACACATCGAGCGCGACCTGCATCGCACATTCCCCGATAACCTCCACTTCAAGCCCGAGTCGGCGAACCAGCCTGGAAATAGTGGGAGCAGCAACCCCAAATATTCCTCCGTCATCGTGGAGACCCAGATGATTGAGTCGCTGCGTCGGGTGCTGTATGCTTTTTCTCTGCATAACCCCCAAGTTGGATATACCCAGTCGCTCAATTTCATCACGGGCCTGCTCCTCCTGTTCCTCCCGGAGGAGAAGGCATTCTGGCTGCTGCACATTATCACCTCAGTTTACCTTCCCGGAACGCACGAGATCAGTCTGGAAGGGGCCAATATCGACCTGTGGATTCTCATGATCTTGCTTAAGGAGACATTGCCCCAGGCTTACAACAAGATCGTGAACACCGGAGGATCTCCGTCCGGCAAAACCAAGGCCCCTGCGCTGACTGTCAACTCCGGGCTGCCCGACATCACACTGGGTCTGACTAACTGGCTCATGTCTTTGTTCATTGGGACCTTGCCGCTGGAAACGACCCTCCGTGTGTGGGATGTCTTCTTTTTCGAAGGGTCGAAAACCTTCTTTCGAGTGTCGCTGGCCATCTTCAAGGCATGCGAGAGAGACATCATGGCGGTATCGGATCCGATGGAAGTATTCCAGGTGGTGCAAACGGTGCCGAAGAAGCTGCTGGATGCCAATACCTTGATGGACGAGTGTTTTGTGCGACGACATCGGGTGGGACAGGGTCGCATTGAAGAGCTGCGAGCCGCTCGGCGGACTGCCTTTCGACAGGAGAAGCTGCGGCGATCGCAAGCCTTCAGCAAAGGACAGATTCAGGCCGCTACCGATGAGTGGCCTACTCGATCGCGGACGCCAATAGCGGGGATTGAGCGCAGTCTTGCGGATTCGTGGCGGCACATGCGACATAATGCATTTCGGTGAAACATGGGCTATCATGTCTTGGACTGTAGTGAAGATTTTTATTTCATTTTTTTTTAGATACCCGATGTTTTTTATTTTTTTTTTATTTTTTGTATCTTAGCTGAGCGACTTGGCGCCAGCTTGACATCGCCGAGATTTCATGGTTCGATGTCTCACTTCGGTCTGCGGATCACTTCGATCTCGACACTCTAGCTTGACGATGTACATAAATAGCATGAAACAAATTTTATTACTCTTATTCTTCTTTTGTTCTATATATTTTATTTTTTTGCCTTTCTCTGACTCTTTATTCTCTAGCTCTGGAGTGCGGAATATAGGGCTGAGGGATCGCTTTTCAGGAAGGCTTGGCGTCCCACTGATTGGCCTCAGGTGGACATCGAGACCATGATGGCATCATGACGCTTTTTGGGCATTAATTAATATTAAGGAAATTGAAGAGACTCCTCTCAGGGCCCGTCGATTTCCTTCCCTTGCTTTACCTCCTTACCGCCGGTTCCTTGCTCGGGCCGCTTTCCTCTCGTGCCTTGATCCTGGCTCTCCCATCCCTTCTTTTCCCTCATCTTTCTCCTGCCTTACTACCGGACGCGTGAAGGTATTTGTTTTCTTTTTTTGCCTGTCATTTCAAAAGAAATCATGAGTGGACAGGCAGCAAGTTATTATAATCCGGGCCAAAGCTTCGTTGAGGGCCAACCCCAGCCGCCGCAGCAACAGCAACCGGTGTACAACATCTACGATCCCAATCAGAATAACTACCAGGATAACAATGGCTACCAAAGGGGTCCCGAACGTAAACCACCACAGGGACCGCCGCAGGGGCCGCCACCAACGTACAATCAGGCCGTCTATGGGTTTGACGAGGCTTTCAAGATTGAGAAACCAAAGTTTAATGATCTCTGGGCAGGCCTCCTAGTATGTCTTTGCGTTACGCGGCCGCTATACTTAAGACCAATGTGACTAATTCAGAGGAACTATAGCTCATAGCCGTCTTTCTGGGATATGTTGCGGTCTCGGGGGTCGCCATCCACCGATATGCCAAGTACAAAGGGTTCAGTGGCGGTGGTATCTATGACTCGAGCAACACCTTCTCACTCAACACCAATACCTTGGTGCTGTTCATATTCGTTCTCTGCGTGGCACTTGTATTCTCCTGGGCCTATTTTCTCGGGGCCAGGTACTTCCCCAAGCTCTTCATTTGGGCTTCAGGTATTCTGAACATTGTCTTCGCCCTTGGAACCGGCATATACTACATCACAAAGCAGCAGTACGGAGGGGGCATTGTTTTCCTCGTCTTCGGCGTCTTTGCGATTATATGCTTTATTAGCTGGATTCCGCGCATTCCTTTCACCGCGTTTATGCTGGAGACTTCGATCGATGTGTCCCGGCGCTACGGTCACATGTTTTTGGTCAGCGCGATTGGGGGTATCGTGGCTGTGGCATTTTCGGCGTGGTTTTCCGTGACCTTGGTCTCTATTTATGTCGCCTACGAGCCCAATGGCAACGGCACCAACCCGGCCTGCCGCGATGGCGGATGCAGCACTGCCAGGGTGATCGGCTTGGTTGTGTACGTGACGTTCGCCATGTACTGGTTCAGCGAGTGGGTGAAGAACACCGTCCATACGACTATTGCCGGTGTCTACGGTTCCTGGTACTTCTTTAGCGGCTCGCCCAGGGGAATGCCCCAGGGTGCGACTCGGGGGGCCTTCCGACGAGCCACAACGTATTCGTTCGGCAGTATTAGTTTTGGGAGCTTGATCATCGCCATCGTCAACATGCTTCGACAGGCCTGCTCTGTTGCGCAGCGTCAAGAAGCTGCGGAAGGTAGTATAGTGGGCAGCATTGCGTTCTGGATCCTGGGATGCTTTATCTCGCTCCTGGATTGGTTGGTGACATTTTTCAACCGGTACGCATTCTGCCATATTGCCCTGTACGGCAAGGCCTACGTCCCCTCGGCCAAGGATACGTGGACCATGATGAAAGACCGGGGCGTGGACGCGCTCATTAACGACTGTCTGATTGGGCCCGTTCTAACCATGGGCTCGGTGTTTGTCTCATACGTATGTGCCCTGCTGGCCTACCTGTATCTGCACTATACGCATCCGGCGTACAATCAGGGCGATGAATTTACCCCGGTAGTCATGGCGTTTTCCTTTGTGATGGGTCTCCAAGTGTGTCAAATCTTCATGACGCCGGTCAGTAGCGGTATCGAAACGATCTTTGCAGCGATGGCCTGGGATCCGCAGGTTTTGATCCACGATCACCCGGATTTATACTACCGGCTGGTTCATCTGTACCCGAAGGTCCAGCAGGCCATCCATGCATGAGTGCCTTATTTTTTTTATGTTGTTTTCCTTTTTTTTTTTTTTTTTTTTTTTTTTTTTTTTTTTTTTTTTTTTTTTTTTTTGCAATTGTACTTAACATACTCTACTCATAGGCATAGAATACGCGAATCTTAATCTTAATACCCTTCATTCATCCGCATTATATTCATCCCCTTATAGCACCATCACAGCCAACAACCCAGCCAACACAAGCACGACTACTACTCGAGGTCCCTCCCAAGCCGCAACCCCAGTAAACAACGTATCCTTCTCCTCTCCATCCTTGCCATTCCGCTGTGTTTCCACCGCTGGCGTTGACACCGCAGATGCAGTTGTAGTTGTAGTAGCAGTAGCAGTAGCAGTAGCAGTAGCAGTAGCGACCAGCGGCTTATGAGCGCGCGACGACCTCATCGCCTCCATTCCACTCTCTCTCATCATCGGTTTCATCAATGATAAACCTGGAGCTGAAGCTGAGGCTAGGGCTTCAATAGCTTGGACCCGTGACGAACCTGTCGATAACATCATGACAGCTGCATGAGTTGGCGTGATGCAGTTCGCATAGGTTTCTGTGACGGTTCGGTAAACCACTACTACTTCTCCGGGTTGGGATTGGAGTTCAGATTCGGATTCGATATCTGCCATGCGCTCGGGTATGGATTCCATCTCCATTTGCACCTCCGGGATTTTACGGATGTGGTGATGGTTACCAGTCTTGGGCATAGCACCTGGTGTATTGATCCTACCATGGGACGTGGACATGGATCTGGATGGGAATGCCATATTCGACATGACTGGTTTCCGCGACGCTTCTGCATCTGCAGCCCCAGACATATCCATATCCATATCCATCGCTTCATTGTGGCCCACGCGGATCATGGGTGAACTAGCCCGGTGGGGGACATGGGCATTTTCATGGGGGTGGTTGAGAGATGGCTATTTTATTTTATTAGTCAGACTGCATCTGTTGTATGTATTGGACATACTCCAATATTCTGGCTCTCAATATTTTCATAGTTTTCCACATCGGAAATAGCCAGCAGTGGAACAGCAAACCCGAGACCGATCAGTGCAATTCGCATTTTGATTGACCTTATTATTAATTAATATAATAGCTGAAGATGAATATCAAGTAAATGTAAGACAAGAGCCGACTCGATAGAAATGAAGATGAAGACGCGAGCGAGACATTACATTCTATCTCTTAGACATGTAGAATATATAACGTAGATCAATCGAGGATTGATTTTCTGCCTGTCCTATCAGCATTCAGCAGAGAACGTACCTATCAATTGGTTTGAAACGGTGGTGGCATGAATGATCCTGATATCCCTGGAAGGGAGAAATTCCAGTGATGAATATGAATGTGGATGTGGAAGTGAATATGGTGGAATGTGGACTGAGGTATTATCTCTCTCTCTCTCTCTCTCTCTCTCTCTTTCTATCGTCTATCTATCTATAGGGCATTGCTATTATTTATATATTGTGTTATATTGTTTAGGATTCTGGATTAGATCCGTGAATGTACCTATGGATGGATGTATGTACATCACAGTTTACAAGGGAATCCAGAAAGGTATCTCAACCCAGGAATGTAGGCATGCCTAGAGTTGTACTCGCGTCTATAGCTAAAGTATTTGCCAGTGCCTGGTATGTCCTGGAGTAACTCACTTGATAATACGGAGTATCTATGGTATGTAGTTCAGCTGGCCATTGCATTAAACATGGATGAGCATAGATAGATCATAAACATATGCGCATCAATCATAAATGATAGTTAAAACTTCTCACTCGTCACACATAGCGTAATATTCACCAAAAAACCAAGCAATCAGCTTAACCACCAGAGTAAGCCCACGCACTACAAGATTCAACCCCCAGAATATAACCCGTAAACAACCACGCGTCACACTCGGTAGTTTCTGCCCCTCGCGCGACGAACTCTGTCCGTATCGCCCGTACTTTTCCAGGTCGAATTCTTCGATCACGATTTTCTTGTTTTTGTTCTTAGCCTTAGTCTTCGGCGTAGACCGATCCCAGAACCGTAGTCTCGATCTCTGCCGTCTCCCCCTCTGGGACGGTTGCGCTTTCACCTTCATCATGAGCTGGTTGCTCTCCTCGATTTCTTCGCGCTCTGCGAGCGTGGTGACTAGGTTTCCATTAAACGGCGCATCGCGGGGGAATGATTGGGGTCGTGGGTCGTAGAGTTTCATATCGGCGAGGACAGGGTTCGTCAATTCGTCTGATACCGCGACGGCCAGCATGGCGCTGACCAGGGAGTCAATGGCATACAAGGAGGGAATCATTGTGACGATGGCCGAGGCGGAAATGGACATGGTCATCGTGCCCAGGTCCAGAGACGCCAGAGGGTCGTCGGTGTCCGTCAGAGGGAGGGTGGACGTGCGCGGAGTGGCCGCCATGTTGGTGTCGACCGGATTAGCTGGGATAGGGGTCGTTACGAGGATTGTAGGCGGTTGGCGTTGCCTCGAATCCTTGGATGGAGTTGACACGCTGATGTGAAGGGCCCCCCCGAGTATTTAGACCGGATTGGCGACAATGGAATACCCATGGCGCCAACCAGCGCCGGAGGTTGTTGCTTTTCCAACCATGGATGGTGTAGCTCGTAGAGCTTCTTCGTGCGGTTCCATGTTAGTCGACAAGATTCTTGGGCTGCGGCTCGTCTGAGAGCATTCCCTTCTACCTCGGCGGCCTCGCCAGGGCTGAGTTGGTGTTGCCGTGCTAATTCTTCGGCCTGCTCAATGGCGAGCATCGCCGCAAGTCGAGAAAACAAAAGAGAAACTAAGCCGTCATTAGGCGGCTCGCGACGACAGCGATCCTCGAGCCTTAGCATCATGATCGGAACATTGCTCTTCGTATTGGACGGATTGGTCCTAGAGATGGACATCTCGTCTGTGGAATATGTCTGCATAGTGTAGAATGGAGCTCGCGGGTCGCCAAAGACGAACGTGGCGGATTCGGTACTGGCAGGAACATTAATACCTCAGAGCATTGAACAAGAAATTGAGTGTCTCACCGTGCTATACGCAAATTGAACATCCCGGAAAGATCTTGTGTCTTTTGGCCATTGGCGGCTTCCCACAGCCCCTGAAGCTCGGTAGCAGAGGCATAATGGATCTCTGTAGCATCCGAGATATCTAGAGGAAAATCTACCACGCTGGCTGGGACTGTCTTGGGCCCCAGAGCACGGTCAATCTCCGGGGGAGGTGAGAGCTTTAGATCCCTGGGCTTATGTCGAGAAGCATGCCCCGTCTCCGGATAGTATCCCTGTTCGCCGAGTGGTACATTTGGATTGTACCGGGGGCAGATCGATCGCATTGGGATTTCTGGAGAAGCAGAGTGCTGAGGAGCTACATTACTGCCTGATGCAGACTCATCGCCCTTTGACAGATCCCGTTGACCTGATTTGTCGTTCTGGGGACCGGATTTGGAAGACGACACCGTTGACCTTGGCTCCCAGTTTGATTTCGGAGCAGACACCGACGTTTTGGGACGTCGTGCCTTCGGGGGCATTTTTATATTGTTCGTGTCCTCGATGATTTGAAGGAGAACAGCCTCTGTGGTATCCTTATTTTTCAGATCCTCTAGAGGAATTGGACTAGTGGGTTGAGGATCCGACGGTCTCTTGAGCTCTCTGCGGAAAGGATTCTTGGAGACCTTAGGCTTGGGAGAGGGAGGTGGAAAGAGTTGAAAGTTGCTCATCGCGCAAACCTTGGATGTAAACCCTAATATATATATATATATATATCTTCAATGGTGGTGAATATCGGCCTGTCAATGAAAAGAAGATACTATTCAGCACGGATAAACAATAACAATATGGGTACAACCCTAGAAACAACTTAGAAATGATTAGCATCGATTGAAAAGCACGTATAATATAGAACCAGACAGACCTCCAGGGGATGGAGGTGACATATACCCCTCAATGTCGCGCATTTTTTGACCTGAAGGATCTCCAAGAACACTACCGGCATACAGGCGTCAAGGATCTAAATGGTGAGAGGCTCGTACTAGTGTGAAGAACAGGCATTGTGCTGCACGGTTAGCAGTTTGTCGAGGACGGCGCTTAACCTTGACATCTTGCTGGTTGGTCCAAAACCTGCACAGGACCGTAGCAGCGCTTCAAAAGGTCAACCCGAGAACGTAATTTGTCCAGACAGTGACGCCGAGAAGCAAAGGTTGGCCGCGATGCATAATTAGACACGGGTGTGAAGAAGATAGACATTGAGTCACCTCCGGGGTCTCCGTGTTGTGGCTGATTGGATTGAACGACACCTTGGGCTTCCAATCAGACACGACATAAAAACAGAAGTAATAAATAAACAAATAGTAACCAAACAGTGTGACTTCTCCAGCAGAGGCTGTGCAAGTGTGATCAAATGTGAAGAAGTGAAGTTGAGGATCAGGAGAATCTGATTTCGCATATATTACATCCTTCTAAAGATATCGATCTATAGTACTATACAGTGGATTGTTTGCCATGTCATGAACGATCCTGATTTATTGCCTCGTCATGTAGATTAAAAGTCAGTCCCTCGGCCATCGCAATGGCCCCTTCCATGTTCCCTTTATTGTACAGAAACAAGCCCTGCAAGGCTGCAGCGCTCGTGCTTTTCGATCGGTCGGGCTTCTTGCCTTGCTCATCCTCGATAAGCCCAAGATCTTGTAGCCGTTGGATAAACGTCTGACGATACGCCCCGCTCGTATCCAGTTCACCGTAGAATCGATCCCAGAGACAACCGACTTGGTAACGAGTGACTTCTCCAAGACGCACGGTCATGTCGACGCGGCCTGGTCGAACCAGAGCAGCATCTAGTCGCTCAACGTGGTTCGTTGTGAGGAAGAGAATCCGCTCCTCAGCACTCGCAACTCCATCCAGGGCATTCAGCAGACCTGAAAAGGTCACGTTGGCCCCCCGATATCCATCCGCTTCGGTCTGGGTGCGTCTGTTGGAAAAAGCCGCATCGACATCCTCCAGCAGGACCAGGGTACGATTAGGCACGATGGTCAGAAGGTGGTTCAATCGGTCGTCGGTGAGTCCTCGTTCGCTCAGATTCAGAATGGCGATGTCGTAGTCCAATTCACCAGCAAGAGCTTGGATAAATGAGCTCTTTCCCGTCCCCGGTGGACCGTAGAGCAGATACCCCCGCCGATAAGGAATGCCACGATCATAATACCACTTTCCACTGGAGACAAAATCCTTCACATCTTTAACAATCCGCTCCTTGACCCCGTTGTCGAGAACCACCGACTCCAAAGGTCGTTTCCGTCGCGGTTGACCAAAGAGCCGCCATTCCGTGCCCCAACTATTGTAGATCGACGTTTTCCCTTCATGGGATCTCGCCGCATATGCATGAGCCTCCTTGAAAAGCTCTTCAAAAATGTAACGGTGCGAATAGAGTGTGGTCAGCGTGATCGTCTCCCACGGCCGACCCGTCTGTAGGTCCTGCGACTTGGACTCTCGCATCCGATTGACAAAGACGAAGGCATTCTTATATCGCAGGATGTGTCTCCCGGGTCCCGGAACCAGCGCAAAGTGTGTATGCATTGATCCGTTTGCGTGTTCGACTTTCTGGGTCTGAATAGAGAGGTGGCGCATCCCAGGCGTCAATCGTTGGAGGATGGATTCCATAAAGCCAGACCTGCTGGCTGCGGACCGGGCCGAGTTGAGTTGCGATTGTTGATAGAGGGTCATCCAATGAAGGAACCACGGATACGAGTCATCCTTGATGCTGATTTCGACGTCCACGAGCATGCGCCGGCGAAGAAGAGCGGCGCCATGTCGCAGGCCTTTTTGGGCAAAGCTTAGACCTGCCCCGAGGCCAGCAAGACCAAATCCCTAAGCGTCCATCTCAATTAGCGGTTTCGTTGACTTCACATAAGATCAATCAATTCGTTCGCAGGAACCACGCCTTACCGCTGTGAAGAAAGGATTACTGCTCAGTTGAGCCCAGAGTCCCCCGTCAGCTGTCGGCTGCCCCACGGCCTGGATCGCATCTTTCCTTTGTTGAGCGATCAGATCGCCAGGTGCAGGCAGCCCTGATGACGAACCATTCGGGTCCATACCAACCGAGGGGCCGTGATGGGGTCGAAACAATCCGGAGAATGGGGACTCGATCAAATTAATTGATTGCTCTCGTTATCCATATCGCGCGATCGGCGTTACGACGGCCCGAGACTCAATACTCCAATGCTGAATACTCATCCATCATCCATTTATCGACATCACTGTTCACTATCGCTGCTGGTTTTATTATTTACTCGAGAAAATCGTCTGTATAAATTAGTAGCTTAAATGGATCGCACTCTTCGTATCTCTCCGTCTGGAGGCTGAGTCTTCGACTCAGCTATGGTCGGAGTTAACGGCTTTAGGTTCCACCGGCGTTATGCCTTGCTGATTGATGGCTTATTTTTTCGCCTCCCCCTAATTTAAATAGCAAATGAGGCGTGGAAGTCTATTGGAATCTCTGCTGATCTTGAGCTGTGGTTTGTAGGCTGGAGGCCTGCAAGAACGGCAAAGGCATCCACGTTACGTTGACCAGCTTCGGCAAGAACTGCACTCCCTCTTTAAAGGAACGCATACTAGCCAATTTTCCTCAGCAATGCGATTTTATCGACGTTACTGGTCCTTCTTTCGTCATTCGGCTGCATCAAAAAGTCCGCCCTCTCAGAAGCGCAATATGGGCATCTCTACTACCGCATTTTTATACTCCGTTATTGTTTCAGTGCCTCCGGTTTCCGCAGGCCCCGAAGATGTGGATGACAGGAACCACCATGTTTCTGGCGGGTTTGCAAATCCTTGGGAGTAGGCATTCCTTTGTCCTGGGTAGCTGATGATTCCATACTAATTCTTTCATGCAGTTCCTGGAATGGAGGTCCCGACTTTAAAAAATTGATGCGGTATTTCGGGTAGGTTATAGAGTATGGGCGCTTGTATCTGGATGCCATCTAACATTGACTCCGAAGCCAATATATCCGAGGAAAAGTTAATTACCCAGATACCAAGCCCCCAACAGTGCCTGTTCGAAAGCCCGAGTTCTTGGCCGCCCGGGAAACCTCCAGTCTACGAGCAACATGGTTGGGTCATGCCTGCTACTATGTTGAATTTCCAAGTGGCCTCCGAGTGCTATTTGACCCGGTGTTCGAGGATCGCTGTTCTCCATTTTCTTGGATAGGTCCCAAGCGATACACGGAAATGCCTTGTGACATTAAGGACATTCCCATCATTGATGCGGTGGTCATCTCCCATAACCATTACGACCATCTGTCTTACCCAACCATTAAAGAGATCTCCAAACGACATCCGAATTGTCACTTTTTCGCTCCCCTCGGCAACAAGCAATGGTTTACAAGCTCAGGGATCCACAACGTGACGGAATTGGACTGGTGGGAAGAACGCGATATTTCCCTTTCCCCGTTGGAGATGTCAGAAGTGGCACCTGCTGGAGATCTGGTATCGAATTCGGCCGACATCAAAGCCCGAATCAGCTGTTTACCTTGCCAGCACACTACTAACAGGGGTTTGTTCGATCGATGCAAGACACTATGGTCGTCATGGTCTGTTGAGTCTGGCGGACGCAAGGTATACTTCGCTGGGTACGTAGAGCCGCTTTTCTTAGTGCGTTCCGCATTCCCGTCAGCTAACTCCCGGCATCAATGTATAGGGATACGGGTTACAGATCAGTACCAGAGCTTCCTGATGGTGTCGATGACTATGCCCCAGAGCACAACTTTCCATCATGTCCCGCCTTCAAAGAAGTAGGCAAGTTCCGGGGTCCTTTTGATCTGGGACTGATCCCGATTGGAGCCTATAAACCTCGGTGGTTCATGAGCCCCATGCACGCCAGTCCTCATGATGCAGTTCACATTTTCCAGGACACGAAGTGCCAGAGAGCTTTGGGCATGCATTGGGGCACCTGGGTGTTGACTGAGGAAGACGTTCTTGAGCCACCCAAGCTGTTGCGGGGCGCTTTGAAGAAGAATGATATCCCCGAAGATGGAGTTTTTGATGTTTGCGACATTGGGGAGAGTCGGGAGTTTTAGATGGCTCGTAGATCAGTAATTAGGACGGGCTGGAGCTAATGGGCTGTATATCTCTCTATTTCATTTGCTACTGTTTTGTGAAATACCCTGTACTTGCAAGGTTCTATGTATTATATTGGCTCTATAGTTCAAGGTAATTGGAATATATACTTCTCTTTTTCTGCCACGAAGCCTAACAAAGAAACTTTGCATATAAAACCACTGTACAGGAGATCCCCCTGTGCTTCCTTGTCTCATCGATCTAGACGATACGTGGGTTGGTAGTGCTGAAAGAACCAGGTAGGTAGGGTAGGTTAATCAATAGTTGTCACCCTAGTAAATACATGTAGGCAAAACAATGGCATTCTCAACAAGCAAATTCACATAGATTCACCTTTGTTTAGAGCCCACGCCAAACAGCTGTGAAAGACCTCTGACAAAGCATCCTCACAACGTGTTTGGGACAATACACATAAAAGCATACTATACTACCTAAAACTTCACACCAAAGGACGTGGCCCAAACAAGCAATAAAAACAACCGTTGTCCTGCTGTCCACCTCAAGGCTTTTTGTCCTTTTTATTTTGGGAACCTTGTGTGTACCAGCAAACAGTAAGTCTTCTCTCATCGCCTAATTTGGCACGCCACAACGCGAAACCCATGACTGTCCTTGACAACCTACAAACTCTCGGTAGATAAAATATATACAGTATTTGCCGTCAGCCACATCAACATGACAAGTCATCCTCATCTCTCTACGAGCGCTAGCTCTGAATCCTACGATCACCAACCATGGCGAATACAAAACGACGACTATTCTACCGAGGACGAGGAAGAAGTTCTCTTCGATTTAGACGAGACAGCAATGGCCGAACTTCCACACCATTTGCAGAACAATATGCGAGAGATCCAACTCGAGCGGGCTTGTCGACTACAGAAGGATTCCAGCTCCGACCACATCGTCATGCGCAAACCGTCCCAAGACAGCCACGCAGACAGATGGTTGAAGAATATGGTGGCTCGGATGTCCGCAAACCTAGAGATGGATTATTTTGCCCGTGATCTTCGAGAGATGATGCATCCGGTTTCGCAAGACGTGTGCTGGTGTACGACTCAGAGTGATTATTTTACTGTGCAGGAAAACGGCATAGCAGCTCCTGGTTGTTTTTGCAAATTGAACAGAACTGTGGGAGATCGCAACGGTCTGTATCTGGACCATATGGCTTCGTGGGGGGATAATGCCTTGGCCAGATGCGAACAAAGCAGAGGACTCAATGATCACCAATATCTACCAGATTCGAAGGACCATGATGCTTCAGGAGCGAGTGCTCAGGGTGGGAAAAAAGCGCCACGAGAGAGAAAGGCCAGTTTGATCTTTCGTAAATCAAGCCGGTCCTTCATATCCGCTATGCGGGTTCAAGTCCAAAGGAGTCTCCGGAGAATGAGTATGTTTTTTAAGAAATAAATCGGCCAAGTGATCCCTGGTTTATAGGCAGGAGTGGCTCAGGATGCAATTATGGATTGGAGTAAATGGTTGCTGCATAGTATTTTGTTTTCATTTTGTTTTGATATGGAATGTCTGGTGTAATTACTACCCAACTAATAAAAGAAAAGAATGACAATAAATAAAATAAAACTACCAAGACAGCAGCAGAGTGTTGTTGAATCCGTAGAATGACGGTGACAGTGATAGATCTGAAAGCAGACTAACCCGAAAGAAGAATAGTGGCGGTGAGCTTCCAGTCCGCAATCCCACTTCGAGGTGCGCTGGAAATTTGATGTGACGGCGGGCAAAACATCTCCAGATCCCCTCCAGCCATCAGCCCTTTGTCTTCTCTTCTGGTCTATTTCGGAAGCCTTCGTCCGCTTCTCCCTAGGCTTTATCACCTCCTCTTTTTCTTCCCCCCAAGGACGTTGACATACCACCGCCAATATGCAGGCACCGGTGGTGGTGATGAGTATGTTGTTGCATTAGATTCCTTCCACGTCTCCAACAACTAACTGATGCATCCTAGACACCAATGCTGGTGAAAGACAGGTTGGTCGGAAAGCGCAGTTGTCGAATATCGCCGCCGCAAAGACGTATGTGAAACCTTCATCCTATTCAATTCGGTCTAACGTGTAGGTTCCGGCAGCGTCGCGGATATTATTCGGTCATGTCTTGGACCCAAGGCGATGTTGAAGATGCTTTTGGATCCAATGGGTGGTATTGTTCTGACCAACGATGGCCATGCTATTCTCCGAGAGATTGAAGTGTCGCACCCCGCCGCAAAGAGCATGATTGAACTCAGTCGTACTCAAGATGAGGAGGTCGGAGATGGCACTACGACTGTTATCATTCTTGGTAAATTTTCTCCTCTCTCTTTCTCTCTCTCCCTCCTGTTTGTGTTTTTTTCTTTCCTTTTTTATTTGGGCTAGCTGTGTGTGGTGAGATGCTAACCTGTTTAGCCGGTGAAATGCTTGCCCAGGCTCTTCCCCAACTAGAGCGTAACATCCACCCTGTCGTTATTATCTCGGCTTTCAAGCGTGCGTTAGCGGATGCTCTTGCCATCGTGGAGGAAGTTTCGATACCTGTGGATATCGATGATGATAAGGCCATGTACACTCTCATCCAGTCATCCATTGGGACAAAGTTCGTTTCCAGGTGGTCGGATCTTATGTGCGGCCTGGCCTTGAAGGCTGTTCGAACGGTCTCCTTCGACGCGGGTGGTGGAAAGCGAGAAGTTGACATCAAGCGATATGCTCGTATCGAGAAGATCCCCGGTGGTCAGATCGAGGATAGTGAGGTCATCGACGGTGTGATGGTCAACAAGGATATTACGCATCCCAAGATGCGGAGAAGAATTGAGAACCCTCGTGTGATCTTGCTTGATTGCCCATTGGAATACAAGAAGGGTGAATCTCAGACCAACATTGAAATTTCGAAGGAAGACGACTGGAATCGCATCTTGCAGATTGAAGAAGAGCAAGTGAAGCACATGTGCGATGCTATCTTGGCTCTGAAGCCGGACGTCGTCATCACCGAAAAGGGTGTCTCGGGTAAGAAATTTCTTGTTTGTTCTTTGGGCCGCAATCGCATCTGACCTCTTCAACTAGACCTCGCTCAGCACTTCTTGGTGAAGGCCAACGTGACAGCCCTGCGCCGAGTGAGAAAGACGGACAACAACCGAATTGCACGAGCAACTGGTGCAACGATCGTGAATCGCGTCGACGACCTCCAGGAATCCGATGTAGGAACCGGATGCGGACTTTTTGAGATCGAGAAGATCGGCGATGAGTATTTCACTTTCCTCAGAAAGTGCGAGAATCCCAAGGCCTGTACCATTCTCCTGCGAGGCCCGTCAAAGGACATTATCAACGAGGTTGAGCGGAACCTGCAAGACGCCATGTCGGTTGCTCGGAACGTCATTTTCCACCCCCGACTTTCTCCTGGTGGTGGTGCCATTGAGATGGCCGTGTCCGTCCGATTGAGCCAGCTGGCCAAGACCGTTGAGGGCGTCCAGCAGTGGCCGTATAAGGCTGTGGCTGATGCTATGGAGGTCATTCCACGAACGCTAGCGCAGAACGCTGGTGCCAGCCCTATCCGTGTTCTTACACGTATGAGGGCTAAGCACGTCGAAGGTGAGACTACATGGGGTCTTGACGGTGACTCAGGTGCCCTGGTCGACATGAAGGAGTATGGTGTGTGGGAGCCTGAAGCGGTCAAGCTCCAGAGTATTAAGACAGCCGTCGAGGTAAGTGACAACCCCAACGATGTGTGTACCCTGCTAACTTGTCCAGTCCGCATGCTTGCTTCTCCGTGTCGATGATATCTGCAGCGCAAAGTCTGCGCAGCAAGTGGGTGCCAACGCTGGTGGTGGCGAAGATTAAGAGACTGGGACGCGGTAATTGAAAAGAAAGAAATGCGTACTTAATGCTGCACGATCACCTCTTCATTTTGTATGAACATCCTAGACTAAAAATTACAATGGGTATCTTCATATCGTACACACTATGCAGAATAGCAATAGCCTCCTCCGGCTTCATTTGTGACTACCATTCAGCACTGAGATTCAATCATCGTGAATGATCAAGCCAGCGGTCTCCCCGGACTGGTCAGGTTCGCCCGTAGACGCATGGTGGCCGTCCTGATGCCCACCAGCAGTGTTCGTCGGACCATCCGTCACCATCGAATCAGCAACCTTGTTGGTCGTATCCTTCTTTCTGTTCTTCGCTGCGTTCCTCTTCTCCCGTCTCTTTCGGTTTTTCTCCGTCTTCTCCTCATCCTTCCGCTTAGTTTCTTCCCTCTCTCGATTCCATTCTTCGTTCTCTTTCTCCTTATCAATCTCACTCTGCATCAAACGTAGACGCTCATATTCCCTCCTGCGACTCGCCTTGTAGACGTGGAACTCGCCGGAGCCCGCACCAGCAGACGATCCTTGGACATTCGCGACAATCTCCGGCGGAGGGGGTAACGATGCGGATGTCCGTTGCTTGGATGGACCTGGGAGTTTGATCTCCTTGTTGGGGTCCCGGAAGAGAGATTCGATCTGCGTTGCTTGTTCGGATTGCGCCGTGACGGCACGACGTTTGACAGGTCGCTTGCTGCGCGGATCTGCGCTGGTCGGAATGGACTCAGGACCCGGTTCGGACATGGTGGGGGTTGCTGTGAGGTTGTTTTTATAACACGGAAGAGAAAGAGATCTTTCAGATCTTTAATATTTCTTGTCTTCGTATGCGATAGCAGGGATAGGGGCGAATTTCTTCGCGCGGACAGAGACAGGAAACTCGTAGAGAAACAATGCAACGGATTCGTTGCGTCAAAGTCTCGGATAAAATGTGAGCGGTGAGACGCGATGGTTTAGTGGATTGGATACATCCAGCAAGAACCAACAGAACGAACAGCCACGACGACTTCCTCTGGGAATCGACCTGGCTCAGACCGGGCTGGAAACTTGGCACCAAAAAGGTCCAGTCCAGTCTCCAAGTCGATGGTGGTTGTACATGTGACAGCAGCCAAGCCAGTGAAAGGAAATTAATTGTTGATATTTTGTTCCCCATCCTGTTTTCTCCTCTCTTTCTCCTCATTGACTGTTTAATCATGCCCGTCTCGTAGTCGAGAGAATCGATCTGTTTATTTCTTAGGCCTGTTTTGTTATCAGTTCTCATCTGTCGTTTTGGCACCAATCGACTTCATCTCTCCTGTAGCCATAGTACTTCTGACCCCGCATTCGGTACAATGGGGTCGGCTGAAAGAAGCACCGGAAAGGTCAGTAGGTAGCAATGCTTCCTGGGTAATATGACAGTGCTTAGGAGGCGACGATCATAATAACGATGCCCCAGTTTGATCTAGACGATGCATGTCGCCTCAAGTCCAATCCCTCGTTGATAGGACACGTTTGTGTATGTGATGTGATACGTGAATACAGTCACCCTGTTTCAGCTGCAAGGTCGGGCTAATCCGTTTCGCTACAGAGAACTCATTATGATGTATGCTATCTCTGCTGTACGTGTCTTCAGTGTCTCTGAATGTTGGCTCACATGGTAGGGCAGATTGAGAATCATGAACCGCTTGGTGATCTCTTGGTTTTATCCCACACCTCAGTGCCAGACAAGATCCTGGTGGAGTTTTTGAAAACGGGTGCGGTATGTTTCTGATTGTTGGTTCCCTGACAATCTCCAGCTGAGGGTCTATATCACTTCACAGCCACCAAATGACTATGTTTTCGTCAGCTTTATCGAACCCTCCCATGGCTGCTCTCTCATACGAGAAGATGACCTCGAGCTGGTCGACCGAGTATTAGAGATGGGACAGGCTGTCAAGCGACATCTGGACAGCACGGTCAGCGGTACGGTCATCAGCTCTTCCGCCAAGTGTAGTCTTGAGCCGATTGCTTATCGAGTGCTGGATCCACGAACTGGGGAATACGGTCCCGTCAAGTTTGCAGAAAAGGCTAAAGGTCGTCATGCTTCCACGCCACCTGTCCATGCTGAGGACGCAGACCCTCCATCACTACATGACGTTCCGATGTCAGAACTCAAAAACTACGAACAATTTTCCGAAGGTGACTATATCATATATCGACAGAAAGTAGGGGTTATTAATCAGATTGATCGGGACGCAATCCTACTTCTCCCGAACAAGAAAACCGTTTCGCCCATCGACCCCTACGGGATGGAACTTCCCCTCTTGTCCGATACCAAAAATGTCGTAGCCATGCCTAATCACCCAGATACGATCCATTCGTACCCTTTGGACAGCGGTGGCTTTCTCTGGACGTCAGAGTCCGAATCACTGTTCCCCGGTCAATTTGCCATCACTGCAATGTGTAACTTGACTCGAGGAGACCTGATCTCAGATGCAGGCTCACAGGTGGATCCAGAAGGTTATATCTTGGACACTCCTGCTACGGACTACCATATCGACTGGGTTTGCCCCAACGTTTTTGCTGTGGGGTTACCGTATAGTAGTGCGAACAGTGAAATGCTGAGGGCTTCTGTACTGAATGATAATGCTGTGAAGTGCGACTTCGGTCAGTTGCCTAAAGAGGCATTGAATAAAAAGGGTGTCAACTCAGACGTCTGGCTTAAAATTGGAGACCGGGTCCGTTTTCGGGACCCGAAGGATGCAGATACGAAGTACCCTCCATTTAAGTGTATTCCAGTCGATGAGTCCTTTGGCTACGATATAAATGTTCTTCGCATAACGGCCACTAAAACCGAGGTCACAGTCCAATGGCAAGACGGGAGCATAACCACTGAAGAAGCTACTGCCCTGCATAAGTTCTCCAGCGCTGATGATGAGGTATGGCCTGGAAACCTTGTCGTCTTGAAAGACGGAGTAGAGACTATTCATGAACCTCTTCCTGCCAATGTTGGTCCTATGCCTGCTGGACTTGCTGAGTCAATGATGGAATCCCTTCGTCTCAAGAAGATCGGTGTGGTCCAAACCGTGGATGGCAGGGAAAGAATAGCATCCGTCCGTTGGTATGAAAACCCAGATGTTGTGCTAATGCACCAGGGCAATATGTTGAAACCTGGTTCGTCTCTTGGTAAGCTTGGGACAACGGTCACTGATGTGTCTATCTACGAGCTTAAATCATACTCCTGTCTGGCGAAGTCGCTCGCTGATCTGGTGCTTCTTGTTCCCAAAACTGTTCACCAGTCGGCAATGCCGACGACTAACTCGAACTCAACTTTCAAGGCTGCTGGACCCTGTCAGCTGAGCTTCCTCTTTCCGATCACGTTCTTCGAGACTTTTCTTTATCTCGAGGCCATGAAATTGAAAATTGTAGGATCTGAGTGGTTCAAAAAGACGACCTCAATTGATACATCTCCAGCCCCGTCCCGGTTCAGTGTCCATCACGATGAGTTCAGTGTCAAATCGCCAGCCAATTTCATCGGAAAGGTTGTTTCCATGGACACCGATGGTGTGATCACTGTTCGGCTTGCAGGTGCGGACAATTGCCATGATATCCGTGTTCCACTGGAGAGGATGATGCTGGTGCTTAATGAAGGGAATTCCATGCCGCTTCTTCCATTTCCACCACTTGATCTTCTAGGTCATGGTCAACACAGTCTGTTTGGACCGTTGAATGATGCTCTATCCAATCCACAATTTGGAGCATTTGATGATGACCCTAGTGATCTGTACGAGGCAATGTTTGATTCCATGTACGACCGACCAACGTACGGTTCACCATTTTCGGGAGATGATCATCCACTGTTTGGGCGATTTGATGAGTATGGCCCGTCAGTCAGCCGGACCTTTGAATATGAGGGCGGCCAGCGTCTCGATGATGATGGCAGGGAGGATGATTGGCTCACGGAGGACGAGGATCTTGACGGAACAGATGGTAGCCATGTTGATTCAATTGGCAACAACGAGGACAATATTGAAGTGCCCGACGTGGCGGACATTAACCCTCCTGAGAAGTCTGGTACTAGCGGAGAGACCAAGGATCCCAAAGATAGGGCTAGCGCTTCCCAAGTTACGGAAAAGCCGTCGGCCCTATCATCCAGTTTGCCCTCTGAATGTCCTCCGGCATTCTCTTTGTTGGAAGGTTCGCCTCCATCTGATCATCACTTCCTTTGCCAAAGCCCAACAGGGGCTTCCGGGATATCAATCAAGCGCATCCGCAAGGAGTTCGAGATCCTGCGGTCTTCACTTCCTCCTGGGATTTTCGTCCGGGCATGGGAATCCAGGATGGATCTGTTGCGGGTTCTAATAGTCGGGCCTCAGGGAACCCCCTACGAGCATGCACCGTTTGTGATTGACTTCCACCTTTCAAATCATTTCCCCAACCGACCCCCGTCGACCTTCTTTCACTCATGGACCAATATGAACGGAAGGATTAACCCCAATCTGTACGAAGATGGTAAAATCTGCCTTAGTATCCTGGGTACCTGGCCCACGCAAAATCCGGACGAAAGCTGGTCACCCGTCAAATCGACTCTACTGCAAGTTCTGGTTTCGATCATGGGGCTTGTACTGGTCAAAGCGCCATTCTACAGTACGTTGATATCTTTCATTTGATGATCTTGTGGTTACTCACTTATCTATAGACGAGGCGGGATACGAAGCCTTTGCTGCCGAGGGCAATAAACAAGTCGAATCTATACAATATTCCGAGAAGGCGTTCCTGATTACTCGGAAGTTTATTCAGCATGCACTGGAACATCCCGTTGCAGGCATGGAAGACGTACTGACGTGGCATTACTTCCCCAACTTGAAGCAACAGGAGGAGAGTTGCGTGCGCCCGCAACTGCTGCGTCGGGCTATTGAAGGGGCTCTTAGTATGATCGAGCATCATAATCGTACATCTACCGTTGAAAGCATTGGTGAGGATGATGTCGCATCGGCCTTCGTCCCACGTCTCAGTCTTGGGGCGGTGGTCCTACTGCGGAAGCATATTCATGCTCTCGAACAGATCGAGTCCACCATGAGTGCTTGAGGGGTTTCAGGTGCACTATACAGTGCCACGGTGGAATACAAAGGGTTTTATGCGCCCGGAGAAACTGTGAAATCTGTGGAATCTGTGGAATCTGTGGAATCTGGAGTAATAATCTATGTGATGTAGAAGCCATTTTGTACCTACACATTTTTAGTTCTTGTTCAAATGAGACTCTCCGGGCCTTCGACTAGCCCAGTAGCCGCATATCCACGACTGCAATCTGTAACAGAAGCCTAGAATGGTCATATTACTCATGGAAGCAGCATGAGACTTATGAAGCTGGGGACACTGTTTTAATGTGGAATTTGCTGCGGCATTGGTCTGCGGCGGGTTCCGTGCTCTGCTTTCTGTCCTTAAGACAGTCTTGTCTCGTCTGGCAGCTGTTCCTGTTCTTTCTTCCTCCCCCTCCCTCTTCATCGTGCCATCTGGACATCTCCCTCGTGGAATCTCCGATAATTAATTCCCTTTCATCGTCTCGAAGTCGTATTGATCTGGGATTTCTTGATTCTATCCGTGCGACCCTCGCGTCAACCTTTTCCCCACCACAAAACACGCGAGTTGCACCATGCCATCTTATCGTCTAGGTAAGGCTTTTTTTTTTTTTTGTCATCTTATTTTAAGTATATAATCGCGCATTTATCGTCTATTTTAATTAAATTAAGCGTGTATTGCATATCCTGTTTTTTATCGCATTGTTTGTCCATCGTATGTTCTATTTACTCCTACAAATTTGCCCAACATCAACTGTAATGCCTGACGGAGTTGATTATTTCCTCTGGTGTTGTGTAAAAAAAAAAAAAAAAAAAAAAAAAAAAAAAAAAAAAAAAACTGACGTAAACAGATGAGGCATCCACCGGTCGAGCCGGCTGCCAAAACAAAGAATGCAAAGATGACAAAATCAAGATTCTCAAGGGCGAGCTTCGTCTCGGAACCTGGGTCGACACCGAGCGATTCCAGAGCTTCTTCTGGAGACATTGGTATGCCCTCTCCATTCCCATTGTCCTACCTCGGACCTACAGGCTAACCAATTCTAGGGGGTGCGTGACGCCTAAAATTATCGCCCACATGAAAGAAACTGTTGAGGAGACGGGTGAGGACGTCTCCGATATAGATGGCTTTCAGGAACTCTCTCCTGAGAATCAGGAGAAGGTGCGAAAGGCTGTGGAGCAGGGGCATGTGGATGATGATGACTGGAAGGGGGTATATCTCCCCTCCCCAATTGATTTTTATTATACATATCTCCTTCGTTCTTTCAGCGTCACTGGAGCACCAATGCTGATCCTTCTAGGATGTGGAGATGAACCGCCCCGGCAAGACAGGCTTCCGGATGCGTGTGCCAAAGAAGAAGGCCAAGGCCGATGAGGTATTTACCTTCTTCTCACCCGATGACCAAGTACAGCAAATTGATGACCCCCCGCAGGAAGAGGAAGTTTCCGAGGCAAGGGAGCAGCCCGCCAAGCCCAAGAAGCGCGGCCAAGCCAAACCTGCCAAAGACGCAGCTAAGAGCGGATCCGAAGACGAAGCACCCAAGACCAAGCAACCCAAGAAAAGAGGTCGCGCCAAACAAGACGTCGTAGATGATGATGAGTCCGCCAAGCAGCCTGCAAAAAAAGGCCGTGCTTCGAAGGATACCACTGAGAAGAAGACCACCAAGACTTCCACTGCCTCTACTCCGGCTGCTAAATCGAACGCTAAACGCCAGAAGAAGCCCGCCAATGAAGACGGTGAGGCCGAGGCTAAACTTGTACCGGCTGATGAAAAGCCTAAGAGGGGTCGTAAGAAGAAGTCTATGTGATTTTTTCTATTTGCATATTAAATGTCCTCTCATTGTATTTCTTTCGTTCTTTTTCATTTCTTTCATATTTTCCCTCCGTTTGCTGACTTCTCATATCTTATTCACTTGTTTCCTTGCAGTAGTTGAAGGATTTCACGTATTGTCAGAGTTCACTTATTCTCAGAGGCCATTGTTGTTTGTTTTATATGCATGGGTCATTGAGCTTATTGAGGGAACCTGTGTGGACGCTATTGCTTTGTAATAATATTAATGCATAACTTTTTCTACTTGCCCAAATCTATCTACGTCGATATACCCACCCGTTCTATCCACATACATGTACAATCCCTCCTGAAATGAGGCGGCCGAATCTCTCAATTCCTAGCTAAGATCAATCTACCTTCAGACCATCCAGAAAATGCAGTCTAGATCAGAGACAGACTACATAAAGCAAGCAGAGCAGAGCAGAGATGCTAATTACAGCAGCTATGATATAGAAGCCAGACGGAAACAAAACAAAACACAGGACTCTCAACTCAAGGAATGGCAGGAACAATATGAATAAATGCATCAAAGTCGATGGAACGATCGATCGAATTAAATAGCGATACGGAGATGGTTCCTCATGACCATACTTAAAAGTGGTTGGCCAACCTCGAAAGAATTGAACGATGCTTACCCATGAGCAAGACCGGACTTTTTTTTTTTTTTTTTTGTTTTTGGTGCCTGTGTATTTCGAAATGTCTGTTGCTGGCTACCACATTTAGATCATCCTGGAGGAGCTGTTCAGTACAATCAGTCAGTTGATGGTCAAGATAACTATATCCTGTAGAAAAAAAGACAAACCTGATCTCTTCAAGATCATCCATGTGATTGCACATAGCAACAAACAAATCGAAAAAGAACGGATGTCCCGTCTCCATTTCAAACTGCATGGTTCCACTACCCTTGAAGATCCGCCGGGTGCGAATGATCATGGCAAGATAATGAGCGCGAAGCCGATACTCCGAGTCTAGTGTGTTGTCGTAGGCGTACCGAGCGGATCGCAGGATCACATCCACAGGAATGCCACTCTGAAGACCTTGCTTGCGAAGTGCAAGGCGCTTGAGATCGTCCAGACCATACTTCTCTGCAGCACAGTACACCGCTGTATCCCTGAGGACAACACCACCGACCCCGGAGTGAAAAATTGTGGCTTTGCTTGACCCGCTGCCTCCGAGAATATGTACATCCTGGGTGATCTCGAGCTCCCAGCAGTTGGCATCCTTGCTTCGGAGCAGACGCGGGAAATAATCCCCCTTATATAAGAACTCGAGAACAGAGGACAAGATCTCAGGCTCTCTGAGGCGGCTTGTTAGAGTTGTATGCTTACAGGGTACAGAAGATACAGATGACATACTCTTCTGGTAGTACAACCGCCATATTCATGGCATTCTCTACGAACTGATCTCTGAGCATGGCCGTGAAGAAAGGAGAACGACACAAGAGATGCTCGTGGGCCACGAAAAGACGATGCTCCCGACCTACAATCAAAGTGACTATAGGGCTCATGGGAGGACTATAGCAGCAGGGGTTGTCTATCAGTTAACTTATTGTTGACACAGTGCTGGTTGATGAGAATCACAGCAGCGCAGGAAAAGTGTGCAGGAAATGCTGGACATAACTCACCTGTCCGGTGGTGGACTTTCGAACTTCTCCTGCATCTTTCCTTTCACACGCCCACCGAGAACCTTCCTGGCCGATCTGACGGACTTTCCTAGAGGATCCTTGGAAATAAAGGGGCGTTTGACAGGCATGATGCTGTTGTCCTTCCCTCCAAAGAGCTTAGCCAGGAAAGATATCAGCGACAGCCAGGTATAGAGGCAAAGGAGCGACAAGAAAAACCAGAAGATCGGAAAAGAGTGGACTAAATTGACAAGGAGAAAAAGTGACGCTGCCGAGTCATGCAAGTCGCATGAGGGGAGGAGTCCTGGAAGCTTTCCCAAGACGAAATTCCTCTCGTAATCGCAAGTCTTCATCTCAATGAAGACCTACTGATATCCCGAGAAGGAACACAGTCCTGGAGAAGCTTTCGCATACACAAATCTACAGCCCGGAGGAGAGATGTATAGCGAAGATCGGTCGACTCTGCGGAGCGTGAGAAGGAAAGATGATAGGAATGAATGAATTGCGAAGATAACCTACGGATCATGTGATGGCTAGGCAGCTGACTGGCGTGCACCTGATTTCGTACTTCTGCCTAGTGATTATCCTGGATTTGAACCAATGGAATATACTGGACTAGCAGATATTACCATCATCTGGAACTGTATGCGTTTGTTGATAAAGTACTCGCTATATAAAACTGAGGCACACGAATTGTCTAGTTGTAGCAGCTTCATTAGCCGGTGAAAATCCATACTGAGTATATATTCATGCCACCAGCTACTATTCCAGCCTTTCTCTGGACGAACTAGCACCGAGTCCCAGGACAGCCTGAGCGAGAGGGACAACTATCAACTAGCCAAGCATTAGAGATCCTTGATATAAATACCGTTAGCACCTCCCGGTGAATAATAGGGTTGGCCGCCAAGATAGATGGTGTACTTATGGTTGCAGATAAATGGATACCCTCTATACAGAGTAGCAGTGCCGGAATAACCCATTGCCCCATTGAAATGCAGCATAGTAGATGGGTCGAATGGATTAAATGGATCCAACGAAGAACTGCATGATAATCTATCTAGAATTACACTATCTAAGACCTACATAATACAGGTATATCCCTTCCCGATGCGGGATGTGGCGGTGCAGTAACGCGCCTCTTTCAGTGACATCATCGCTAGGTTGAGTTCCTGAATCTCGATCGGAGTCTCCTGCAGGAGGTCTTGATTCCCCAGCCTCCAAGCCACTGCAGGTTTCGGTTTTGGGAGGTCGCAAGCAATATCTGCGACAACTGTCTAGCTATTCAGTGTCTAGTCTGGCCAGCCATAGCCTTCTGTTTAACCTTGCAACAAGTAGATAGTACTTATACCCCTCCATCTGCTTCTCTTTGTTCTCCGTCGTTTGTTCAACATCACTCATAACCATAGGCCACGGATCGGTTTTCTGGCTCTATCACTCATTCATTTATGGTTGCTGAAGAGAATTCAAGTCGATATGCAGCAGTTTAATCAAATCAAAAATTGGAGGCGTTCCTCGCAGCAGTTCAAATCCCAGGATCCCGTGTTGACCGCCGAGGATGAGAGGTTTCTACAGAATATTGTGACCGAGAGGAGTCATAAAAGTTCTTCGTCTGTTTCGCCTGCTGAGGAGGATGGGGGAGTACACTCACCCGTCAGTCCTCTCGGAATCGATGTACCTAATCTCCAATCCCCTGTGTCACCCGAGGAAGAATTTGGGAGAGAACTTGGCGAAGAGGGACGGAAGACCAGAGAATTATCCCGTAGGAAATCTAGTATTTCCTCACTATCGCCGTCATCTAAGGTGGGAGTTTCACCGCCGACGAAGAAGCCATGGAACTGGTTACGACGGATGGGTACCGTTAGTCAAAAGGTATAGTCCCCCTTCCACTGTTTGGAACGAGGTGTATGTGGCACGTACAGTACATGAAATAACACCCATTTTTGATTAATAGAATAAAGGAGAGGCCGCAACGTCGGGTACCCCGAGCGATACGCAAGGTCAACTTGCCGCCACTGGTAACGATGAAGTGAAGCAAGAAGCGGAAGACATGACGGAGGTCCTGGAGCGACTGGATCTCGCGGCAGACAATAATCGGGTATTTTCTATCAGCGACGAAACCCAGGAGCTCTTACGCAAGTTCAAGTTAATCTTCAAGGACCTCGTTGATGGCGTCCCGACTGCCTACCACGATCTTGAGATGCTTCTTACGAACGGCAACAGACAACTGCAAAGCACATATACCAAGCTTCCAAGTTTTCTACAGAAACTCATCGAGAAACTTCCAGAGCGGTGGACCGAAACCCTGGCCCCTGAGATGATTGCAGCGGCTAGCGAGAGAGCAGGGACAAGTGGTATTAACATGGACAATGTGGAAAAAGTGGCGGCAGCAGCCGGTAAGATGGGGATCAAGGTGCCAAGCTTGAAAGAGCTGGTCGGAAAGCCGGCTGCTCTTGTGGGAATGCTCCGGTCCATTGTGGCCTTTTTAAGAGCTCGATTCCCGGCGGTGTTGGGCATGAATATTCTCTGGTCATTAGCATTATTCAGTAAGTGCAGCCCAGATGTTTTGTGAGGGTTTAGGGTTAGACAGGCTGATATGAGCTTCCTCACACAGTCCTGCTGTTCGTCTTGTGGTATTGTCATAAACGTGGGCGGGAGGTCCGCCTGGAGAACGAACGTCTCGTCTCCGAGGAAGAGATTGAAAAATTAAACGAGCAATCTTCTTCGGACGAAGGAATCCGGACAACGGAGACCCTCACCACCACCGCGCCTCAGGGAGCTTCGGTAGCAGAAGTTCGCGAGGGGATAAAAGAAGCACAACAATCCAGAGAGTCGAACACTAGTGCGCCCGTAGATGGACAAACGAGAAGAGAGGAAGAGACGATGTCGTATAGATCTCCATCCAAGCCAAGCCGGTCAAAGTCGATACTAGCCATTTGGGGGCGATCAGGTCAGAGAGCAGCCACAGCATCAGTACCCAAAATTGAGCCATACCCAGGAACATAATCTTTAGCTACTTACTGACTTTTCTTCTATTTCGGGATATTTGTCTCTAATTTCTAGTGGTCTTGGTTTAATCTATCTAGTAGCCCGTTTGACGGGGATTTTGATACCAGTTGGTGCTTTTCATGGAATATGGTGGAGAAATTCTACTTCCTGGAGTTTCTAGGTACAGCTTTGCTCAAGTGGCAACTTCGGGAAATGATAGTGACGATAACAATGGCAGTTTATGAATCTAGGAATGGAACTGGGAATGACCCGAGACTTCAAAATGAGAGGCATCTCCACGAGAATCATAGAGAGATGTACTTGTAGGTACTGTACAAGCATGTAGTAGGTGAGTAGTACGACGAGATACCTAGCGTACCGAGTAGAGAGTAGGAAGAATCGACTGCAAGCACTTTTAGTTTGGTAGTTATTCCATAAATATTCTCTAAACTAATATAGAAAGGATAGTAGGTTAAGGGAGAGAAGGGCTGCTGGTTAGTTCAATCCCACGAGGGTTCTTAGCGTAGTGATAATTCAATCATCATATGGCATCCTTCATCAACAAGGACTCAGGGAAATACTGTAGGCCGCAAAATTATGTCAACCTGAACTCACCCAGGTAAGAATACTTTTACCTATCTTGTTCCTTCCACGATGGACTATCCTTATATGATAAAGAATCACCTACTAACTCATATTATCTCTATGCAGTGTCCGGTTGTCTTCGTCCTTGATTGAAACGAGCACAAGATATCCGTTAATGTATGGGCGACATGTCAAAGTCGCCTTCCCCCTTCAAAGAGAAAACAACCTCCCAAAAGACCCCACCCCTGAGGAATGGGAAATTCTCAGTTCTCTATTCCCAGATTTTGTTGGGGCTTCCGTGCTAGAGCATTTTCTAATCATATATGTGGTAAAGCTTCCCGCGAAACTGTGGCCCGTATCTGTGGCAGGGCTCCCACTGTTTCTCACCACTGATGAACGTGTACCATGGACTTTCGGCAAAGTAGGCAATGTCAAATATGCCGTGTTAGACATCTCGATGCCAGATACGGCATCAAAAGAGCTCTGTATAAAGCCGTGGTAGACTTTTCTGAGGGGCAAAGAATCGAGATATCTGAGTTGGCTTGGTGCTTTGGATGTTGGAGAAACCGTCTTCCAGGAGAAAAGAGATATCACTAGTCTTCCTGGGAAAGTTTGTCAGCTCACAGTTTTTTATGCTAGTGAAGAATAACTTTCCATGGAAATGGCATATCGTCAAATGACACCTGCCAAAGGACTTTCGGATGGCGTTTCCTTTGGGGGAATTAAACACACTTTCGAATTAAGGTCTTTCGACATATTATCTACGGATAACCTGCACACTGGACTCATTGACGGCCAGTTCCTCACATTTGCTTGAATCGTATCCCCTCTGGGGTGCAGACGATAAGACTATGGGTAGGTTGTGGCAATTGTTTGGACAAGATACTAGTCGCGTACAAACTGAAGGATGTTGCGGTTCTGCATGTGGGATGATCTGTCACTTGCTTTTTCAAATATTTCAATTCTGAGAACATCGGTATAGGGTTGTAGCTGTTGAGTGATTGCGCCATGTGCATAGGTTACGCGAATAAGGACGTATTGTGGTAGCTTGTCAATTTTCCATTCATATTTTAAACAAACCCTTCTTCGAAATACAGCTTATCAACCTATACCTAAATTATTATTGCCCTCTCCGGTAAAAGTAGTTTTCTTTGTTCCTCCTTTCTGTTGGGTAGAGATGTTTTGTATTCCTTTAGAGGTTGGGAGTACTGTTTCTGATCAAGTGCTGGGTCTCATCTTGCAGCCAAGTTCTATATTGTACACCGATTGGCCGTGGACGATTGGGTGAAAGTGCGTCAGATAGCAGTCTTGGCAAAGGAATCTTAGGAACTGTACAGTTTCTGGTTAAAGGTCACGCACAATTATCTCCTTTCCATTGTATTATAGAGTACGTGGTCCTCCGTAGTTAAGTTGATAAGGCATCATCAGAGGGTTTACATGCAGTAGAAGCATGAGCCACTTCCACTTCTAGCTCTCTACTTTGACCTTGCAGGATGAATGCAGCCAGCTGTCCCTTTACCGCTCTTTTTCAACAATCTCCCATGCAGACATCTGTACTCTGTAATATCTATTATTAATCTAGCTACTGTTAGGTAAAGATCTGTTGGGTGATGTGGTGGCCTGTTCCAACCCTTGTATCTCATGATCCCTAAGTATGTAATAGTAGGAAGGTAGAATTCTCCGATCGAATCTGTTTTGATTTGTTCTTTTATTCCAGGGTTGATTATCCTGCAACATATTGCCACTGGTGTGGGCTGTGGAGATCTGTCTCCCTAAAAAGATTAGACTAACGGGACGACTGTCGTCCGTCGGAAATAATCATAAATTTTTTTTTCTCTCCCAAATAAATTATTGTTGTTTTGAATATGGAGCTGGCAGGTTAGGTGCAGTAGTCACCAATCCCAGTAACTTAGGCTTTTAGCAAATAGCAATACTAGAGCTTTTTTCCTCCGTAAGCACCATGAGATAGGTGGTTCCATGGACCTTTCGTGTTCTTCTCTGACGAACAGTATGTACTACGTTGTTACAGTATATTCATCAGACTGTTGTGATTATGACTCATCTCATAGACTCATTCGATGGGTCATATCTCTGATACTACAATATGGAGGAGTACATCGTGCGGAAAGCACGGTTCAAAGAATGTCCCCGACTTGAATGGGGATATGTATGACATCTTGTTGGCTGTTACTATTATGGGAGGAAAAAATTGATTCTTTGTTTAAAAAAATCATTAGTCGTACTGCACAGTACTCCACATGTACAAGCAACATTCCCCATTAAACATTCCTCGATCCCCTCATTCTGTTAGTTTTATGAAAGGTTGTGATTGATCGATCTGCATGCCCGTTTGCATGTTATGTAGATAAATGTATGTCATGGTTACTTTGAGTATTTGTATCGCGTAGAGATATGACTCCTCTCGAATACTTCGCATGTACAGAAAGACACTTTGAGCGAAAGCAGACCGAGCTACAAGTTAAAATAACTAGCTGTTCGCTGCGCTGGCAACTTCTTGCTTCCGAAGGCACGGAGGTCTATAGCGGTTGACTTGGATCGGTTTCTGCGCCGTCTGCAGAATAAGGTACCCAACCATGCATACAGTGGGACTACCGCAGGATGAATACAACGTTGTTCATGTTCCTCCTCTTCCTCCTCTTGACTCTTACAATATCCTTTCTATGGAATCTGGGGATTCACGACTGACTGACTCAACGGACAGCCTTATAGAGAATGAAACCATTCAAATTGTAGGCGTCTGACAGGGCCGTCAAGGGATGATGACTGACACGTTTCATCTCCTCAATTCAAAGAGTTTTGCAGTTACTCCATGCTGATTGGTTTCAACTGATCCCTAGAGAGGGAGAGGAAAAAAAAAAAAAAAGGAAAGATGCGGTGAACGTCTCTTGACCAATGGGAATGAACCTTTTTCAGTCCTCTGACCAATCAGCAACCCGGCGGCCCACCCTGACTAGAAAAATTGGCCCGCCCCAGTCCTCCGAGGCCGTTCGGTTCTGTAACGGGCTGCCGCTGCTGCTGCTGCTGCTTTTTTCTGTAGTCTGTAGTCTGTACTGTACGAAGTGACGCCGCTATGGGGCTGATCCTCCCTTCTCTTTTCCTTCCGTCTAAACATCCCATTTCACCCCTCATCCTCTGCCATCTCCCCCAGCGCAGACGTCCCCTTTATTTCCCATAAACGACAGAATCACTTCGATTATTTTTTATTCATCAGATATTGTCAAGAGTTCATCGCCAGAATGGCCTTCGTCGAGCTGTAGATTCCTCGCTGGGGGGCACGGCAACCCTTTCCTGCCCCCCAGTCCAGCAGCTCCGAGTATTTCGAATTCGACTTGACGATATCTGTTTCTCTTTCGATGCACGCTTGAAGCGTCGAAATTGCCCCTCAGTATCATCACCGCAGAAGCACTTTGACGTCCAGCTGGGACGGTGAGGTGCTTTTCCTACGCAACGAAAAGTCTTTGCTATCCGTCCCTCCCCTTATGCTCGCTCTCCTTTGATCCGATCTCCTACCATTTTCCCCCAATCTTCTTTCCTCTTATAGCTGATAACCACGATCTATTTCTTGTTTGCATATGCTATTTACGAATTGACGGACCAAGATCAAACTTTCCTGCGTTTTCCACTTACCGACCTCCGAATCTCTGACGCAACCTACTTGCAGCATCCCACCGGGTAGCAAACCTTGTTCTACCAAACCCTGTTAATATTAGACGGATATTCTGATAGAGCCACCATTCCTTCTGGTCTACAACTCTATTGTTGGCTTACGCAATGCCGCAAACCAGTCTCTCCCCCAAGCGGCCCCAAATTGGTGCCATAAAAGAAAACAATCGCAACAACTCGAGCCCCTTGTCTAGCTCTATGCAGAACTCTTCACGGAGAGCAAATAAGGCCGTCTCCCTCGGTTCCCTCAATGCGGGTAGAAAACGGAGGGCGTCTTCCCTATCCAGCGTGTCTTCAGTCTCATCCATAGGAGAGCTGAGCGACGATGCGGATGGCTCGGAGGAAGATGCGGATGACGAAGATGAACAGCCGGCTGTCCGGGCCCCGTCTTATGGTCGCCATGACAGGCCGTCCCGTAAGACGGGAGTGAAACCTACTAAGAGAAACAAGAAGCTGAGGGTATCGGACGATGATGTCTATGACGGACAGAAGAGCAGCGATGAAAATGACTCGGATGGTAGCTCCGATGATGTCTATGCTGCCGTGGATTACATTAGTGACGGCGATGATGACGAAGACCACGATGTGGAGAAGTTAGAGGAACTCCTGATTGTAGAGTCGGAGGATGAACACACTCTTGGGAGCGTTCTGACTGTTTCCACTACCTCCGGTGCTCAAGACTGGTCAGGCCCCAACGTCTTTGACGATCACCTGTTGTTGTCAGGTGCTTCGTTCTTCGATGAGGAACAGCTTTATAGTGTCATGGAGACGTTCGGGGAGACTGATATGGCCAGCGAAACTGCCGTGGAGACGCCGGTGCCGCGTCGGGTGCATTTTCAAGAAGACTCCGATTCTTCCTCGGAGAGTGATTCCCATACAGACGACGAGATCCCTGGCGATTTCCTCCAACAAGACAGCCTGGATCCCCAGCTGCGTCGTATGATTGAAAACGACAGTGAACCATCCCTTAAACATCGCCGACAATCGGGTGAAGTGTTTGCCGACTCGGACTACGGTCATTCCAACATTTATCATGTGGAGTCCGATGCTCACTCCGAGGTTTCGGAGTCGAGTGGCTACGAGAGTATGCAGGCCATGTATCAAACCCATCTTGTTTCCTCTTATGCTGACGCGCTTTTGTTAAGCCGATGACGGTGAGACTACAGATGAAGACCTACCACCTCCTGCAACGATCACCCATCCGCGATCTATTCTCCGACGCGATTCCTCTGCTTCACTGGCTACGCCGGGGGGATGATAAGATCAATCCTACTTCCCGTCGACGTGGTCCTATCATGGGGACGTTCGTCGCGGATCCCAACAAGCCTGTGGCCCTGGTGGACTGCACCGGCAAGCATCTCGTAATTATCCCCGCGTATGCCTCCTCTCGTCATGACTGGCTTGAGTCGGCATCAAACAGCATCTGCGGTACCGCGAGCAATAGTCCGCGGGCAACTACGATGCATCTGGTTGATGAGAGTGATACGGACGTGCTTGCATCCCCGAACCGCACCGACCTGAGCCCGATGTTGGCTTCTAGCGCAAATCTTATGATGACTGCCTTGGGCAATGACATAGCCCCTGGTGGTCAGGTTATGGGCCCTCCCGAGGCGTTCTATCCTTCCAGGGAATTTGCCATTGACAGCTCGTTCGAAGACGATGACGACGACGACCCGGAGGCGGGGTTGAACGTAAACGATTTTATTGACTTTGGAGATGGCTCGTCCGATGAGGAAATGGCGAAGGTCTTTGATGACGATGCGTTCACGTCGCCCACGACGGTAGTTCCACCGGCCGTGGTTGCTAGTGGTACGCCGACTCCAAACCGGGGTGAATCTCAACAAGCCAGCAGCGCAGAGCGTTTCTTAAACCATCTGGACCGGGGGGATTGTGACGGCATTCCGTCGCAACCACAACCGGTACCAGGCGCTCTTGCGGCTGCCGCAGCACCGGGAATTCATGCCGGCGAACTCACCGTCTCGACCAGCCAGCGTGTTCCGGCATGCGCGACATGCGGACCAACGCACCCCTACGCGAAAACGCAAAGCCAATGGGTACACTGGCGGCGAGGCCGTACGACGCAAGTTGATGGATGCCCACCGCCGCAACCAGCTACCCTTTTAAGCGATCCAGCATCCGCTTAGCGATACCCTACACCTGTTATGATGATGAATTTTTTTTTGGGTCCTTAGCGTGTGTCCTAAACTATACTTTAATGCTTTTTTTTGCCGCCCCCTCCAACTCACACCTCACTCTTGGATCTCTCTCGACTTGGAAATTATGGGATTCTATGTTGATCGTCTAGACCTTGTTAGACGGCATGGCCCGATTGTGCATGTTCTGGGCAGCTAAACAGGGAGGATTGTCTGTAATAGAAGGACGGATTTAGATGTGATGAAGATACTAGGGATGTATGTTCTTCAGCAAGGAGATGATAGATAGTCGGGATTGATGGAAGGGAGAGGGGAAACTATGGCATTGCCCGAAAAATGGGGGAAACTTTCTCACGACCCAAAAAAGTTTGACAAAGCCTTGTTCTGGCGTTGGATCTGTGCTTTTCTTTTCTTTTCTTTTTTTTTTTTTTAAAAAAAAAAGGCAAATTTACTTTATTTTCCTCAATTTCTCCTTGTTTCATCTGTGTTTCTTTTTTTGGCCTTTTTTTGGCCCAAGGGAGAGAGATACATCGGCTGTTTTCCGTGGAAAGATTCGTGGTATGGTTTGTTGAATCGGGTCTTGTTTATTGTTCCTTTAGGGTTCCATGTGAGGATGATCCATCTCTCATCTACCTCGATCACCTAGGTGCTCAGCGAAGTAGATCGATGCAACTATGGCCATCAATGCAAAACACTACTTAACCAGGTCCTTGCCTTTCCTGGAGTACTTTCTCCCTCCTACTTAGGTACTAGATACTACGTAAGTCCCCACCGTAGACACCCGACGATTACCGTAGATGGGCAAGTGAGCGACAGAGGAATCCTGCCTGAACGCCACAGATGCAATGCAACCCTTTTGAGAATGAGAATATCGTGCGACGCCGCCAAGATTCAGGAATGAGGCCCTAGACGTGACTGGTCCAGAAGAATCCCCGTCCAATCGCCTGATCGGGCATGCCTCGGTGGACAAGTCTCGGCGCTGGCGGGATGGGACGGTATGAATTCGGGAGGACACCCCCCCTGATCTCCCTCCGACCACCAAACTCAGGCAAGGTGAACCTACATACACCCCTCTCTCCACCACCCATTACCAACTTCGGTAGGCCGAATACCATCATGGTTGTCCCCTCTCCACAGTCCTCACCCTTCTTGGGATTCTTTTCTGGTTCCTGTGGTACCTTCCTTACTATTAATAGTATAGGCTGACACTGACCACGTTTCAGCGCATCAACCCACCAGGAGGGCGCCTGCAAATAATTGGCTGCAGATTCGCCCCTTCTAGCCCTCCTCTGTTGGTCTGAGGAAATCTAAGGTTGCATGGATCTTGCAGTCATCCTGTCCATTGTGAGGAGTTCGGACTGTGGCCTTGGGCCTCGCACATAGTACGTATTCGATCTATCAATCCGGTTTCTGCAGCCATCAGTCCATCCAGACATTCGAGCGCCTGCACCTACATGGGTACTACCTTAGTGGTTCCTCCTCCAGCAGATACATGATCGCTCTCTGCCTGGATGATTTGTTTATCGCTTTGGGATCGGCTTCTTCCTGGTGTTTTTGGTGATTGTTTTTCTCCCCCACTTTATCCTCCTCATCAAGCCGACCAAGGTTCGCAGGATTCTTTCCATGTCTACCGGTTGGAAATCCTCGACCAACTGCTCCAGCAACTCAATCGAGCAACTCAGTCCATCCAATCCCCTCATCGCTTGATTGGCGCCGGTTTTCGCGCCCCATCTGTCTTGTCATGGATCTGTTCCTGCACTAGTGGGACAGCCGGCGCGCTACGATTGGTGTGCACCCAAGGCCATCATCCATGATCCATGTTAGATGCATCGCCCGTCCTCGTCAGACTGTTTTACTTCTGGGTTCCTGATGAGCTTGACAGCAAAGGACCATGTCTTGGGGCTCCATGGTGGTCCTTTGTGTTCCATTATGCTTGTCGCCCGTGGAACCCGCCCATGCTTTAAGAAGTCGGCGGCCTCCTGCCCAACTTTGAGTTTCACGTCTTCTTGTCTCAGCTCTGTTTTTCTTTTCCCTTCTTGACATATTTGTTGAGTCGTTCGTCGTTTCACCTTCTTCTTGTTCAGAAGGTTAACAAAATAGACATTCGTTCTATTGGGGGTCACTCTTTATTCCCCTTCTTCTTTCTTCTCCTTCGCCTCGGGCATCTGCATCGATTTATCTAGTTGTATTGTTGTCGCTGGTATTCGATAATAATAATAATAATAGATAATTGGCCTTCTTAACTCTCTATTTTCCGTCCCTTTGGGTCCCTTCTTCATCATTCGTTCAGTTTCTTGATTACTCTTGAGGCGTCATGAAGTTCTCAACTTCCGCTACCCTCCTTTTCCTGGCTGTGGCCAAGGCCCATCCTGAGGCTCTGGTAAGTTCTTGTCCTTTGGATAAAAAGAAGATACAAAGAACAACGCAAGACTGACTTGCTGTCTAGTGGTGGGGCACTGATGACTGCTTTCCCAGCCCGAACAATTGTGACAATCAGTGTTCTGATGCGCAGCAATTCGGCTTTGACTGGTCGGATCTCATGGACGGTGAATTCTCCTCCTACGGAGGCTTAGATTTCTCTGGCTTCTCCCGGGGGAATCTCTTCGATGTAAGCTTCATCATCGGGAACTGCCCGGACGTGGACTGACTTCTCGCAGGGAGACTGCATTGCAGGTAAACTTGGCAGGGGTTCCAACTCGGGTCTTCGCATCTCTTCTGGCGGTAGCGGCACCTTCTCCATCGGTTCTTTCCGTCTGTCTACTTCCATGGATGCCAACGTCAACATCATCTACGGCATGCCGGATGGGTCCTCTTGCAGGCAGGTTGCCTCTTGCTCCCCATACGGCACTGATGTCAGCAACGAGCAGTGCGGTGGTGCCACTTCCATCCAGTTCGAGCTGCCTGATAGCAGTGATTTTGAAGACTGCGACTTGGGCATCCACACTATTGAGTTCGACTGCACTCCTGGCACCAAGCGTCCTAGCTACACCCCCGAGCTCCCCACTCCCACTCCGCCCGAGACAGTGTCCGGTGGCTCGTCCACTCCTTTGATCCCCATTTACACGCCCACTGGCGGGGTCCCAACTCCCTCTCCTAGCCATCCGCCCAAGATGACCACCTCTACTGTGTATACTACTAGCGAGTTCACCATCACCAGCTGTGCCCCCACTGTCACTAACTGCCCGGCTGACTCTACCACGGTGGTCACTTCAACCATTGCCGTCTCGACCACTGTCTGCCCCGTTACTGAGACTGAGAGTGAGACTGGTAATGTCCCCGTCCCTACCGGAGTCACCCCTGGAAGCTCTGTCATCCCTGGAGGCTCTATCACCTCTGGAGGAGGGTCTATGACCTCTGGAGGCTCTGTCACCCCTACTGGCGGTGCTGTTACGACTCCCTCTCCTAGCCAGCCACCCAAGATGACCACCTCTACTGTGTATAGCACTAGCGAGTTCACCATCACCAGCTGTGCTCCCACTGTCACTAACTGCCCGGCCGACTCTACCACGGTGGTCACTTCGACCATTGCCGTCTCAACCACTGTCTGCCCTGTTACAGAGACTGAGAGTGAGACTGGTAATGTCCCCGTCCCTACTGGAGTCATTCCTGGAAGCTCTGTCACCCCTGGAGGCTCTGTCACTTCTGGAAGCTCTGTTACTGAGACAGAGAGTGAGACTGGTAATGTCCCCGTCCCTACCGGTGTCACCCCTGGAAGCTCTGTCACTCCTGGAGGGTCTGTCACGTCTGGAAGCTCGGCTACTGAGACTGAGAGTGAGACTGGTAATGTCCCCGTCCCTACCGAAGTCACACCTGGAAGCTCTGTCACTCCTGGAGGGTCTGTCACGTCTGGAAGCTCGGCTACTGAGACTGAGAGTGAGACTGGTAATGTCCCCGTCCCTACCGAAGTCACGCCTGGAAGCTCTGTCACTCCTGGAGGGTCTGTCACGTCTGGAAGCTCGGCTACTGAGACAGAGAGTGAGACTGGTAATGTCCCCGTCCCTACCGGTGTCACCCCTGGAAGCTCTGTCACCCCTGGAAGCTCTGTCACCCCTGGAAGCTCTGTCACCTCTGGAAGCTCTGTCACCCCTGGAGGCTCTGTCACCTCTGGAAGCTCTGTCACCTCTGGAAGCTCTGTCACCCCTGGAGGCTCTGTCACCCCTACTGGTGGTGCTGTTACGACTCCTCCTAGCCAGCCACCTAAGATGACCACCTCCACTGTGTATAGTACCAGCGAGGTCACCATCACCAGCTGTGCTCCCACTGTCACTAACTGCCCGGCCGACTCTACCACGGTGGTCACTTCGACCATTGCCATCTCGACCACTGTCTGCCCCGTTACTGAGACTGAGAGTGAGACTGGTTCTGTCCCCGTCCCAACTGGAGTCTCCCCTGGAAGCTCTGAGACTCCTAGTGGTGGTGCTGTTACGACCCCAGCCGTGACTGGGCCGGCCCCTACCGGGGATTTAACCACAACCATTGTGACTTACGAGACCGTGACCACTTGCCCTGTTACCGAGACTATCACTACGGGTGGCTCGACGACCACCTCGGTCTACACCACCGTCTCCACGGTGACCACGACCTCGGCCAGCGTTGTCGTTCCTACCGGCCAGGCTCCCGTGGCCACCCAGTCGGTGCCCTCGGAGCCGCAGCCGTCCACTCCCTGCCCCAACATCGTGCCCAAGTGTATCAATACCTGGCTGCCTCTGCTCCCCAAGTGCGATTCCAACGCCGCGATCAGCTGCTTCTGCCCATCCTCCGACTTCACGAACAAGTTCATTTCCTGTGTGCAAGCGTGGGGTGGCTCCGAACAGGAGGTTCAGACCGCCCTGTCCTACTTCGCTGGTATCTGCGCGCCCCACGTGTCGGAGAACCCTGGCATTATCACAGCCATCCCAAGCACTATCACTCTGTTGCCCACGCCTCCAGTTCCTGTCCCCACCGATGTGTCGCCCGTCATCACACCTGCTGTCCCGGCTCCCCAGCCCACCGGCGGTGTTCCTCCTGTCCCTGCTCCTGCTCCCCCAGGCCCTGCGACCACCGTCATCTACGATACTTACACGGTGACGGTACCCCAGGTGGGCTTCAGCACGGCGACGACGGGCTCCACGACCTCCGTGGGGTTGATTCATGGCCCTGCGCCGACGAACGTGCCTGCCGGCACCACCACGGCCAAGAACCCCTCTGTTACCTCGTCTTCGACCCTGGTGACCCAGCGTGGCAGCAGCAGCAGCACCACCTCTACCACGGCGCCATCGTCCACAGTTGGTCTGTCCAACGGCGCGTCGTCTGCGTCGGCGAGTCTATGGTGGGTGGGAGTTGCTGCTCTTATGGGGGTGGTGTTCTAGCTTGTATCTAATCTGACTTCTTTCTTCCCTTAATCTACTTGGTGTATAGTTTGGAATGTACTGTATTGTACAGATTAAACAGAATCTTCTATGTGGCTCACTATACGGAGAATATATTGACTATTAGTAATTGAAGTTCGATAGTTACGAGTTGCGTGCTGCAGAATTATTAATTCATCCGATGATTAACTATATTTCTCCGCAGCACGCAATGCTGACAAATTCTATAGTTAACTATGTATATAACGTTCATACCAATCTATCAAACTGTCCACCATCAATCAACAGTCTATCTATCAATCAATCAATAATCAGTATCAATCTTAATACTCAATCATCCAAAATGACAATTACAACTACGACAACAAAAACAACTAGGATCCCATCCGGCCCCGTCGAAGCCCAACTGGTCTTCTACTCCCCTCCTGCCGACAACTCCCCACCATACAACTACGTCGAAACACCACCCCCAGGTCTGCCACAACGAAACTACAACGAAGAAACCCACAAAGTGACAATAACTGACATCCGACCACCCCCAAACTCAAACCCAGCCGAACCAACAACAACAAAAATACCAGACTACACCCTGTCAACGTCAGCATTTGAGATCCTCTCCTCAATCAGCACCTCCACCACCACCTCAACATTCGATTCTGACACATCGATCCGCGAAAGCTACTACCCCGAAATCACCCATCTTCTTCTCTCCCATCTCAATGCAGAGAAGGTGATTATCTTCGATCATACTATTCGACGAGCGGCGGATCCAGCAGCTCCGCGGGGTCCGGTACATCGTGCGCATGTTGATCAGACGGCGTATGCGGCTGCGGAGAGGATTAAATTACATGTTCCTTCATCATTCTCCTCATCCCCCTCATCATCCGACAAGGAGAAAGAGGATGAGAATAAGAATGAAGAGGAGGAACTGATCCGCGCCTGCCTGCAGGGAGAAAAAAGATACCGAATTATCAACGTCTGGAAACCCCTTAACGGTCCTGTCGAATCGAGTCCCCTTGCCTTTGCAAGCGCGGACACCGTCGACGTGGAGAGGGATCTAGTCCCCGTGCAACATCGATATCCCCATCGGGTCGGCGAGACCATGGCGGTGAGGTATAATCCGCATCAGAAATGGTTGTATGTCTCTGGAATGAGGGACGATGAGCGGCTTCTGTTGCAGTGTTCGGATAGTTGGGCTGATAAGACTGGTGGGTTGAAGGTTGTGCCGCATACGGCATTTTGGGATCCCAGGACGAAAGAGGATGCGAAGCCAAGGGAGAGTATTGAGGTTAGGACTTTGGTTATTGGGTAGTCCTTCTCTCTCTCTCATTTATATATAGTTATCTTTTTAGGATATGCTTTAGTTGTGAATATCAGTTTATTTAATATCAGTTATCAGATGTATAACTTCACTGTATGTACCACTTAAGCAGATAAGCTACCATAACGCCAACAATACAAAATCAAACACCCCTACATCTCAAACGCCCTGGTATACCAAACGCCGTTCCTATAATCCTACGTCCGCGCCTTTTTCGTCCGTTCTTGACCATAGTTATCTTCACTGCCCCTGGTCGGATACAAATGCATGCCCATCTCGATCGGGAAATCAGGATGCAGTAAGCTGAATCGGCTCGGGTTCGATGGAACTCCGTCCACCCGCGCCGGAACCGGCTCCACGAGCAGTTGCACCAGATTCTTGTCGAAGTAGCTCGCTGGCTTGGCGTTCAGACGGTCCAAACGAGCCCAGTCATCGTCCACCTCTTCGTTCATTAGCGGCGGTAGTGGAGGCGCCCCGTTGTTGCTGGGTCGCGCATGGTAGTTGGCAAGGATATTATAAGGAAGATTCGGGCGCACCGCCGGCTTGTCTGACAACTCCGCAAGGGCATTGAGAGCATGGTTGCCATGCGTGCGAGTCGACCGCGTCGCGTGGAAGTTCTGACTGGCTGTGCGAGCCATGTCGGTCCCCGGCGTGCCACTGTCCTCCGCACCGGTGCCGTCCACCCCGGACGCATCCTCTGTGTCCGTGTTATTGCCGTTCGTCGCCGTGCCCGAAGGTTGGTCACCACGCTTGGACGTCGAGAAGAAATGGACGGTGGCAACGTGGGCTTGGTTCGCATGAGCACTGAGCTCTTTTTCAGTGAATAGAGAGTGGATCGAATATGACGGTGCATGTTGCTGCTGTGCGAGCTGCGCCTTGGCGCGCTCCGCTGGCACAGAAAGGCCTCCTTCGCGCACAGGGGATCCAACGTCATCCTCTGGGGCCTTGCGCTTTCTCTTGTTGAACTCGGACATAATCCCATTGCCCAATTCATCCAGGTCAACGCGGTGGCGCGTGTGTCTGGTCTTCCGGTTACCGTGGATGCCACCTGGACTGGCGGGGTTGGTTATGCTGAATTGGTTGGGATGCAGAAGAAGAGCGTTGGTGTCCGCAATATCCAATTGCTCCTTTTCTCGCATCAGACGAGCTCTTTTACCTGAGATGGTTTGCACGAGCCGTTCGCGAAGGGTGGAGGACAGGTTTTTATATTCTTCTTTTGCAAAATGTTCCCGGAATGCATATTCACGAGTGAATCTTTCCATATTATTGGTATGTCGGTGCTGGTGAATCGTTAGCATACTTTCTCCTTCCCAGATTACACCAGGCAACTCACCACCAACATAGCCAAATCCGCATCTTTATCTGCCTTCACTTGATTAATCTCCTGTACAAAGCGAGAATACCACATTCCCGCTAAACTAGCCATCTCTTTAGCAAACTTGCCCCCGCCCACCGTGTTCTCGATCAACTGAGCGATCTCGTCCGCGGAGTCAGGAAGCGGCCCGGGCGAGTACAAGTCAGCATTATTGATCAGAGTCATGTCACACTGCAGGGCGTGCAGTTGCTGGCGAAACTGGGTATCCCTATTCTGACTAAATGAAGCCGTCAGATCATGGAGCCGCTCCTGGAGCGCACTGCGCCGTTTGTCTCGTTTGGAGAGGGGGGCGCTATTCGGGGGACTGGTGGAACGTCCTCTGGAATGCAGACTGTTGATTAGTGCGGGGCCAGGATTGCCTTGGACAGGCGAAACCGGCGCAGGCGAGTAAGCCATGACGAGTTCTTCCGTATACTAGCAGACTGCAGTGAGGAGTTCGCCCTGAGGGGGGAAAAGGGTGAAAAGTTAGATTGAGCAGGATCTGCAACGTTCTGGGACCGTTGCAGGAACAGGAACAAGCAAAGAGGGAAACGAAGTATGCATAAGCAGCCGGATCGCGAAATACGCTGGAAGAGAGAGAGAGAGATGGGAGACGAGGGAGAAGAGAAACACAAGCTGGTGATGAGCAGAAAGCGGGAATCCAGCCGCGGGCCTAAAACGGTATAGCGTTGGCACCATCTTCGACCGCCCGCAGCATTGAGAGCAGAGACGCTAATTGGCTGCTTATTGCTCTATTGAGACTTACTAATGAATTACCTAAATTCAATGCCTGATTCGTGGGGCAGCTCCATGTCTTCATTGGTCCGTATAATTGTCCATCTTCTAAGAAATTGGCCATTGTAGGGCTCATCGCGCTTTAAGAACTATAAATCACAAACACCCAGGGTATTTATCCGACTATCCAACACATGAAAATGTTCCAAAAAAAAAAAAAAAAAAAATAAAAAGTCACAGGCCGAACTTGCGGGGACTCCTATGAAAACCCACCCAGTTATGTATGCCACAAGACGCCACCAAATTCATCCGAACCCTTTTCTAAATCGCCGTAGTATATCCAAAGAAGAAAAATGAAGAGTATGGGTGAAAAAAGTAGAGGATGTCGTCAGATTAACGTAGATTGCTCAGAAACTGTAGACCCGACCGATCAGCGGGACCGACGAATCACAAAAACTCCGAGTTCAATTCCATCGCCAGGTTCGGAATCTTCCCCATACGGTCGTTTCCGAATACCATCGAGAATTTCACCCAGTAGCATCGCCGACGTCACCTCTTTGTCCTGTATAATATAATTCGTGCTTTGATTGGAGACCGACTTGGTCGTCGGCAGGGAACGACCACCTTGCCAATAAAGACTGAGCACCTCTTTCATCCGGGCCTTTTCTTGGTGGATGTACCATTCGGTCCACACGTTTCGGTCCAGGTGAGCGCTGCCCTTCCGTGCATCGGCAATACTGAACCGGGAAGACGATGAACTCAGGGCATTGCATAGTTGCGAGAGACTGTTCCGCATGGTGTCAAAATCCTCCATATGGGCGACCGCGGACATCTTGCCGAGATATCGACCAACATCGGCGGACAGTTCGTTGACCACCACAAGCTGACGCAGTAATGGATCCAGAATGGGCCCGAGGTATTGTGCCTTGAATGTCAATGCCCCTCTTCTGGTGGGATAAATAAATAGCAACGAGCCTCCTTCGGGAGAGAGCTCACAGAGCCGGTCCACCAAAAAGGAAGGTCGACAAGGAGAAAAGAGATCCTTGTATTCCTGAGTCGATGACGGAGGAAGATACCGTTCCAGAACTGAAATATGTACACTGGATGGTGGCACAACCGGCATCGGGAAATGCGACACCGTCGGTTGAATGAGACCTCTGAAATCATGATACGCGGATACCACTGCCGCGCTGGAGAATACGGACGAGTTGAAATAGTCGTTGTCTGCCGGAAACATAGATCGTGGTGTGTACGAGGGAGACCAAGGGAGGTTGGAGAGGCTGAATTGTTCCGGGACGGCATGGGTGATGTTGATATACGGCGACTGACCGTTCTGGAGCTGTTGCCGAACGGCTTGGATAAGGGCACCAAAAACTTCTTCACTTGTCGGGACCGTTTTCTCAGCCGGACGCGGATAGGGAAGCATTTGAGATACAATCTTAACGGCTTCGCCCCGGGAGTTAGAGAACGGTAAGGATGATACTGATTGAGGAAACGTCAGCTCAGTTGGGAGAGAGAGGGGTGGGGGGGAGTTCACATTTCACTTACCGGATGCCTCGATGCCATTCTCTATCCATGCGTTCTGGTCACAATCCATCCCGCCGGAAGATCCTGGGCTTTCGCCAGCACTGAAAGGAGACACGTTGGAAAGCTGATCGGAGGGGCTGCCTAGACCATCTGACGAGGCACCTCCGGGTGCATTGTCGATGTTAGGACCCTCATCAATGGGCATCCGCCCCGGCTCGCGAGTCATATGGGATTCGAACAGCAGCATGTCGGATTTAGGATCCCACGCTATGTGTACGTCTTCGTCAGGCGGGGTTGGAGGGAGAGCGGAGGGGTAGTCACTCTTGCCCGCAAAATCCAAAACCGCTGTGGTGGACTGAGAGGCTCGAGCCGCCAGCGAACTTGATGCCGCCGAGGGAGAATGGTGGAGATGGGAACCAGCCGACTGGCCACGGGGTTCTACCAGGCCAGAGTGCTTTGAAAACCCAAAGTGTTCAAATGGCGAGATGTTCTGAGAAACGTTGCTTCTTGACAGGAAGCGGGAAACAGATGACGGTTTTGTTAAGATGGACCCTTGAGACGCTCGTCGCTTAAGTCGACTTGAACCGGTATCCTGGGGGGTTGAGGGTTGTTGCAATTGGTTGGGCGAAATAGGACTTCTGAGCTGGATAGGAGGTTCCTGTTGTTCCAGACTAGTCACGATTCCCTGATGCGGAGGACAGTCACCCCTTGACACATATGCAGGCCGGCTGGATGAATACTGTGCACTGGTTGAGAGCGGCGAACGCATAGTAGAGATATTCTGCAACACAGAGTCAGGCCGATATGGTCCATGGCACTGTGGCTGATTCATCCAGGCTGCGTTAGTGGGTTGGCGATGCTGCAGGGGGGGATGATGATTCTGTGGAACAACAACAACAGTCCAAGTATTGTTGAACTTCAAAGGATCAAGTGACGGTGTTGATTCTGGTAATGGAGCGAGACTGTTGGGTTGTAAAGGACCGTGAAAGTTGGAGGAGGTTGAGGGGACACTCGGCACGAAATCTTATATCGGCGGGAAGTCGAGCGTCCAGCCGGTGATTAAGAAGGAACGAAAAGGTCGGGAAGAGCGAGAGTGGATTTGTGGCTTGAAAGGGAGAGGCGGAAAGAGAAGACGAGAGCGATGAGAATGATGATGATACGGTGGAAGAGAGAAGAGGAGGAGGATTGAAGGGAAGAAAAAAGCTTCGAGCAAAGTTGGCAGACGAGCGAGTGCCAGGGAACGAGAAACTGAAGAAAGCGGCGCAAAGCAGCATAAGGGGACGAGGAATCGCGACTGAACTGTAATGACGCCCAGGAAATGACTGACCAAGGGCCAGGCGCCGAACCTGAACAGCAAGAGAACAAGGCCCTCGGGCTGCGACTTTCCACCGGCGTTCTAGACCGGGCGGGTTTGGCCTGATTGGGGAATCCATGACACGAGGACCGGTCGGGAGTCACCATATGCTTTTATGCAGTGCAGATTACCGTATTGTATTTCATTAATTTAGATCTTGTTTTTTACCAGTATACATATATATATATATATATATAATATAAGTATATCCCTCCTATTACCAGTTCTCTCAGACAATCAGGTGGAATGATTGTAACAAGTGACCATCCTTCGTGTTGACTCCAATACTCCGTACGCCGTTCTAGGAGGGCCTAATGCTAGTCATACAGGCCTCCGACCTGTCTAGGCCTCCGCAGTGGCTGATCCGGGCTAGGTCGTGTTCCAAGGCCCAATGATACCGTAATGGGAATTACACGGACCTTTTCGGTTTTTTGCCCCCCAAACCAACCCAGACGAGACCCACCCGGCATGAGTGGCATGGGATCGATGTACCCTTGGAAATCCAGAACGGTTGGCAGATCTGGGTAATTGGGGGAAGTTTGAGATTGAGCTGTGAATACAGAGGGTCTTTTATTCCTGAGTTTCCATGAAATGCTGGCGGATGACAGATCATCCAGCCGTGTGTCTAGACTGTCAGATATACATATCGGAATGGGCAACCAGGAAGCATCCAGCTACATACAGTACTAGGCAGGCAATTGTACTTCGTAATATTACAGACGTCCCCCTTTAACCGCATTATACCAAAAGGTTCATCAACTTGCAAACGAAGAAATCCTAGCTATCAGCCGCCTGTACAACCCTATCCTCATTTCTTATTGGGCTGGTATGGATGAAGATAGACGGCCTGAGTGACCCCGGAAAATACTTCCCTAGTCCAATCACTAGACCTGAAGATCCAGGATGTGAGAAAGTAGAGCAGATGAAGAAAAGTGATCGATAGCGTCACTTGGAAGGAGCTCAATGTAATCAACCTCCCCTATACTCTGTAGTCAAACGTCTACCTAATGCGGTCGGCTTTTCTAGCTTTGCACCGTCTAGGTATAGTATGCTTCTATCCTGTACTCCGTCATACCACATGCGCATTGAAGAATGACGTCTAACATAAATCTAGAATCTTCGTCTCGGAATCGGCTAGATGAAAATAAAATCGAAGATTGATTGATCGGCAAATCAGCTGGTCCAGCTACCTTTCGACAGGGACCAAAAAATAACCATAATCCGGAAGGCGTCAGGGTTTAATTTACCTGGCTGTCTACAACGAAGTAGGGCAGATTTTACCAGGGTCGTCGTTATAGTACTAGTAAGCGATAAAATTCACCTGACTGCCTCGGGGCCAAAGAAAAAAAAAAATAAATAAATAAAAGTGTTTACCGTAAAAGGTAGAAGAATTGAACTGACGTCGACCACTCTGACCCTCACCTGGTTCAGTGATTACCACTTGCCGTGCTGATTGGGTGTACCGTCCCGTAAGTTGCATCGCCTGATCAGAATTCAGAATTCCTGCCCATTCCGGACCGGATTGACATCTAGACTCTGCTCCGTGCAGCCGAAGGAATCCACCTTTGGGATATATCGGACCCTGCAACTGGATCATTTTCTTTCACAGACTCTGTCTCTAGATCGTTAACTAAAGGTAGACCGATAGACCTACGGAGGGTACCTATGGAAGAGTGAAGCTGGTAAGTACGGAGTAGGTAGGCAGGACTCCGTAATGTATGTGTTGCAGCGACCCCCGCAGATCCGGAGGTTTCCTTCTTTTGTCGTTGAGCCTCGATTCATGCATGCCTAGTGGCATCGGTAAGGAAGATGGGTCGTCGGGAGTGGGTGATCGTCTCTCTCTCCTGTCGTGTATGGTAATAGCACCCGTTCTCCTATCCATTCACCTCAAAGTAGGACTATAAGATGTACTGTGGACAGATTGACCGTTATCCTTTTTGGGCAACGTGCATTTACCGTGGTTTTTACGCTGTTTTATTTTATTTTACAGTCGAATGAGAAATACAATTACATCGTCAGTTTCCAATTCGGTTGGTTTATTTTATTGTCCTCAGGGTTGCCTACTGTGTATAGTATGGATGAACAGTTTTATTTCCTCAGTGGTCTTTTTTATTGGTTTTAAACCCACCTACGCCGTAGTTATCCAACATATCTAGTTACTATATGTACAATATAAAATGGATAAATGCCGATTCCAATTTATTCATCCAGGGATACGGATATTCAGCATGAATCAGTCCAATGACTCCTAATATTGAAACAAAGATCCTATCATCATCCACCGTACTACAGTCTTCTCTCCCCATCGAGAAAAAAAAAAAAAAAAAAATACACAATCTCAAATATCGCCAAGCAAGGTAACTAACCATCTGCATCAGAACCAAATAGTTTAATTCCAGACAAGACAAATCTCTTATTTATCCTGCGATCCCATCCGGATAGGGAATGATTCACTCATCCATTCTTAACGCTGTCTGTCTGTTATTATTATTGTCGTTGGCAGAGGGGTACCAAATGTCCTTATTTTTGGTCCATGCAGTTGGCCCGTGTCTCCACCTTGACTTGTCTCAAATAGACAGTTTGGCCTGTTGGTTAGTGTGGTATTATTTGCATGGTTTTGTCGGTGGTATTGATTTTGAACAGTTTAGTTCGTTTTGGATTTTAATTTAATTTTTTTCCCTTTTTTTTTTTATCCGCCCTTTGCGTCGGAGGAGTACCTTTCTGTGTAAAGACACTTTTGGTACTCCGTAGAAGGCATTTGATCGGAATGCATAATCATAATGACAAATAATCACGCCGAGCTGTTTAATGATCAACTAACGGTCCACCTTTTGACTGTATCGTATGCACGGTCATATGTGGTGGTGGTGCTTTTCTTTTTCGTCAATGTCGATCTTCTTGTCAAGATTCCCTAAACGGAAAGTGTCCTATTTCCGTTCAAATATGCAGAATCATAGATGGCAACTGTAGAGCGGATACAAGTACGGAGTACGGAGTAAAGGGAGGAATCTTTGGTGGAATGTTCATTTGCAATAGAGTATACTGTCATCCACAGATCAGTCTAACCTCTCCTTTGAGATTAAACAGCAGACCTTGTTCCATCAAGCCATCCATCTCGATCTCATCCTTGCATCCACGAATCCATCCCGCACCACCAAATGGCCGCTGCTGCGCCCACCCCTTGATGGCGCGTCCACCATCTCCGCAAACCTCGTCATTGCCGCAGCGCAGTCCATTTTTGGGGCTTCCTGACTCGCACGACAGTCTATCCCCTTGCTGCCTAGAGCCTGGACGGCTGGGTTGCATTCCTGGAGCGCCACACGTGTCTACTGGCGTGTGTCGCCTTGGAACAGGATCTGCGGGGCGTCGCTGGGAGACGCGGGGTCAATGGACGCAAAGCCAGACATGGCGATCTATTGCCCATATCAGATAGCTCGGTGGTACTGTCCGACCATCCCCTTGACGCGTGATGATGTCCCGTAGCAGCTGATAGGTAGAAAGAGGTCTAGCAGATTTAAGTTTGGTATCGGCCTTCATATTGCCGCGACTGCCTTAAAATGCGGGAGCAGTGCAACAGAATCCTGAAGGCTGTGCCACGGCAATGCCTTGTCTATGGATGCTGCTCAGCAGGCAGCCATTATATGTGCATCAATTGGCTGACAGTCACGCCAAGCATGTGACTGGTTCGTATTTTTGGAAGCGACAACCACTCTGCAGTCTTTCTTAAATTAGAGCCCATCTCATCCGACGCGGGTGGATTAGTATTCGGGCCGGGAACCCTGAATTATGTCGGATGTCCACGTCCTTAACATCGTCGAGCTGCACTTGCCACGGCATTGTGTATTTCACCTAGACGGCTTGGATAGGGCCCATCCAACCGCGAGTTGCAGAACACTCAAGAGGTGATAGACCTTCTCCGGGCATCGGCATGTCGCCGTGTGTGGAATCTCTGGGGCCTATCATTCCAACATGATTGCATGGAACGATTGGCAGCGATTTTCGAGAGTTGGGTTGACTCCTCGTTAGTCATCGCCGAGTGCTTCTGCACGCAGTTGGATGTCTTGACCGCGGTCGGCGACGGGTAGTGCATGGCGGTGTTGTACAAAGATGGCGACTGCAAGCTTTTTCGATCCAGAGCGGTGCGGAGCTCCAAGCACTGCAGAACCAGCTGCTTCACCCCGTCAGTCAATGCACACGCCCGATACTCGATATCTGGCCAGAAGTCATCCCCCCCAAAACGGATCCTCCCGGACGGCTGTTTCCAGTGCCTCGAACCAAAAGTCGGAGTTAGGTAAGCGTCTTTTGGCATTGAGCAAGTCCAGGCCTTGCAGGTGGTCAGACAAGAGACAAGCCACCGCAACAAAACGGATGGTCGGCTCGGAATGTAAGACGTGCTGAACGATACAGGCAGGGCAACGTTCGGTCAAGTACCAGTCGTGCTCCTCACGCAGGATGCAGTCAAGCCAGGTATACGCGCTTCGTGCTTCCCCGCGGAACGCTCGCTCCGGTTCTGCTCCTCGGTGACTGGGCAGGACGTTCGCCGCGAGGCGTGAGACCTGGTTATGGAGCAAGAACAACGGCAGAAAGATTGTGTGGATTATGTCGCGATGCAGACGGAATATCTCCTGTTCTTCATCTGAGCATGAATGTCGGTGGCAAGAACAAAAACTACCGCGTGGTTAGCGACAGAAAGCCCGTGAAATTGATGGAGCCCGTGAGAACCAGCATACCTGGGAGCATCCATGCCCTGCTCCTGACGTCTCAGGTGCTCCCGGACAGCCTTGAAAGCCTCATTGCGATCGAGTCTCTCCCGATCAGCTCGGGAGATGCGAAATGGTGAGAATGTATTGCCCGTGGACATGGTCGCAGCCAATGGAGTCGGACAACGAAGCCTTTGAAGCTACAAAAAAACAAAAGATATTGTCGAGCGTGGACAAGCGGCCCGAATGCAGACGAAAAGATTCAGTGGCAACGTGAGGATGACGTCCGAGGCAAACAGCGGCCAATCAGTCGATGGGGACAACCACGGGTCGCATGGTCCAGGCAAGGCGATTGGGGACAGAAAGCGAAACGAGGAGAAGAAAGCGAAACGAGAACAAGGGCAGGGGGGAAACAGGGCAAAAGTAAAATATAAAACACGAGAAGCAGCAGAAAAGGAGACTGAATCCAGAATCGTTTGACTTATTACTACGTTCTGCTTTGGTGTAGCGGCAAGACCCGCGAAACGAAGATGAGCCCCCTCGTCGAATCCATTCGCACGCTTGCGGTTTGCGAGCCCCGCCATCCACGCAAGCCTGTCGATCCTTTTTTTAGCAATGTCCCCGTTGCATCCCATTTTGGGCATGGATGCTTTACGCCCTGTCTTGTATATCACGATGAACGTGGGGAATGATTGGATAGGCGGAAAAATCAAATTAAAATAAAATTAGAGAAAAATCAAAACAAAATCACAGATCAATCCTCCATACAACCAAGGATGCTCTTACACACCCCCTTTTCCCCCGGGTGACATTATCTGCCAATAGTAGCAATAGTAGCGGATCGCAATTACCGCCAGTGGGGCTCCTCAGGGTCTCGATCGATAAGCACGACCTAGAGCCAACTAGTTACTATTGATGGTGCGCGATGACTAAGACTCCTGCCGAATCCGTCCAGAACATGGAATTTACTGTTTCCTCATTCATAATCTCCTCATCCGAGAGCAGCAACAGCAAAAAGAAAAAGAAACAAAAAGATGATAGCATGGAGGTCAATTCCGACATTCTTGTCCTCCGTCTGAAACTCTCCCCATATTCTCGCGCAAGATCACGGCGCGCATCCATTCCGGGTGACATACGGAGTACATCCCTTCTCTGCTGCGACATTCCTCTATCTCCCACAATGAATCCCTACGCATGACACACAGTCCCTAGATCTAACCATGCTAAACTATTCCTTGACCGTCGTCAGCATTGCAGCGTTTTCTTATGCCGTTGACGTCATTGTGCCCCGAGAACCTGGACAGGACATGCATGCCTTCGTCCTAGATGATACATGCAATGTCTAATATGGCTGGGGATATGACTATCGTCCTATCGTCCTAGGTAGATACCTTGATCACGATGTGATCGTAGGCAATTGCGCTCACCTATTAAAGGACCACCTGCATCGACTCGGCAGGATGGATTTGGGTTCGTTCGCTCTACACAGGTGTAGTACTGGCCATATGTATCTCTTGATCTCAGAGAACAATTGGACGGCGTCTGATCTACGCAGTACTGTGCGGTTTTGACAATTATTGAATATATCTGTGGCTTATTACTTGCCTTGTCTTTGTTTTCCTTCCTTTCCCTTTTTATTTTATTTTATTTTTTTTTTTTTTTTTGGTTTTATTTTTATTTTATTTTTACTTTTTTTTTACATTTTTTATGTACCGTTTTCTCTATTGAGTGCGGCACGTATCTTCCGTAGCCAGCAAGCTGCAATATGGTCTTGTCACCAAGATTTTGGTCTACAGCCTGTCTGCTTTTAGGTAGCTTGCATGCCCGGATTGTGGATGCCATTCAGACCGTCTCTGCGGTTGGTTCTAAGTTCTTCTATGAGGATGGCACCCAGTACTTTCTCAAAGGTACATCCGCTCCTGGCTACATGTCATCATCATCACCTTTGATTCACTGACCAGCTCCTCCTCGGTACAGGCGTGGCCTATCAGCTTGTTCCCGAAGATCCTTTGGTTGATACGGCTCAATGCCAGCATGATATCGAACGCATGGCGGAGTTGGGCACGAACGCCATCCGCGTCTATCACGTCGATCCCGATGCCAACCACGATGGCTGCATGAACGCGCTCGCAGATGCGGGCATCTACTTGTTCGTAGATCTCGACACGTTCGACACCTCCATCCAACCGGTCCGTCGTATCCGTCCTGTGATCGTGTGGCGTGCCAACAGTGTCGGCTGAACTGACATGTCATTCCTACAGGACGACCCGCAATGGACCGAGTCCCAGTTCGACCGCTACAAAGCTGTGTTGGATGAGTTTCAGAGGTACAGCAACACGGCCGGTGTCTTCGTTGGCAACGAAGTCCTGACCACCTCGGAAAACTCAGCTGCCGCGTCGTACGTTCTCGCCGCAGCCCGGGATATAAAGTCCTACCGCAGTAAAAAAGGATACCGCCAGATTCCAGTAGGTTATTCGGCCGCTGACGTCGCTGAGCTGCAACCCATGCTGCAGAATTACCTCGCGTGTCGTCCGGATCCAGAAGAGCGATTGGATTTCTTCGCTCTGAATGCCTACGAATGGTGTGGACCGTCCTCCTACGAGGAGTCCGGCTACAAGCATCTCCAGAACCAAGCCCACAACTATCCCATCCCCATCTTTTTCTCTGAGACTGGTTGCAATGTAGCTCGTCCACGAACTTTCGAAGACCAGGCTGCCATATTCGGTGATGATATGTCCGAGACCTGGTCGGGCTCCATTGTCTACGAGTGGATCGAAGAAACAAACGACTACGGCCTGATCAGTTATGGTGCCACGGTCTCGCATGACGCCGTCCATGCAGCCAAACCCATGGTCCAAGATGGGTTCACTCGCCAAGGTGTACCGACTCCTATATCCCCTGATTTCGATAATTTGAAATCCCAGTGGGCTTCGCTCACGCCTACCGGCATCGCACTCTCCGATTACATCAAGTCCATCTCGACTATCTCCCCACCCAAGTGTCCATCCTCAACGCCTGGTGGATGGTCCGTAGATCCCAGCGCGCCTCTTCCTACTCTCCAGCAGAGTTATCAGCAAGCGCTGCCTACATCGACAACCGGCCACCGATCAGGTGATGCCGGCTCGGAACCCGCCGCCAAATCCGGATCCGTCACTGCATCGTCCAGATTGGGCTCACCGAGTGCGTCGGCTTCTGCCACTTATTTCAACTACACCCTCAGCAACGCTGGTAACCCCGTTTCTGTTCCTAGGCTAAATGGTTTTGATCGGCTTGCAGATGGGATATTGATGTTCAGTGCATTTGCCGTTTTGGCGGTGTGCTTGTGATGTGGCATCTTTTACCCCCTTTTTTCTTATCAAGAAGGCTCATGGGTGTAGAAACCCCCATGTTTTATCTGTTTAGAGCCCATGGTGCTGGTTCACCATGCAATTGAGTCGATTCCGTTAGGACATGTTTTATAGGATCTTTAGCACACGACACGCAAGAATAGAATCCAAGTTTCTTATCTTCAAGGAATTGACAGTCTTCACAATCGGGCTCTACAAGACTAGGAAACATGCATAAGACTACAATGACATGAATCATTTCATACCATAATAAAAGATTAGAATACAAGCAAGACAGGGTCAGTGAGAAACTCCCCCAAAGAAAGACACATGAATTATAAACAAGACGAGCTAAACGGGTATTTAGGAAGCCAGATACTATAAAGTACGGAGTATATACAACCAAAGTCAAGCCAAGTTAAATCGAAAGAAAACCACCGCCGTGGAACAGAACCACAGGATACATGATTCAAACATTGATACAAATTTACATATCTCGGGTTCTAAGACTGTCCCAAGCAGGATCATTGACCGACATAGAACTTAATGTCAAATCTGGATCGAGCCAGGGTGGAGGATTTGATCCGGTGGTGTTGTATGCGTCTGTGTCGCTCTGTGGGTCAGAGTCATTGTCACTGCTGCCGGAGTAGGGAGAGTTCCAGTCAGGGAAGAAAAAGTTAAAGGTAGTCGTGGATGTTGATGGGGAGGGGTCGAGACTGGTTGTTTCTCCAGGAGAGGTGGAGGGGTGGTTGATTGGTGGGTTGTTATTGTTGTTGGTGATCTGGGAAATGGGTGTTGGAGTTGGCGTTGTTGATTTGGAAGGGGGATGGAGAGTTTGGTGTGCTGGTTTCGCTGCATGGTTTTGAGGTAGTGGACTTTTAGTCGGTTTCGTGGTAGGAATGTGTAAGTGTGATGAGCAGTGAAGAGTGGCAACGCCGATGAGATGCTTGGTTACAGAAGAAAAGTAATGTTCGATATGAGAGGCCGAGGGCCGACCGGCTGGTTCCTTGCTCAACATGTCTCGCACTACAGGGAGCATGGACCGAACGGCTTGGAAAACGGGCTTTTTTTGCTTCTTTGCATCCTGGTCCAGGAGCGTGATCCACGATGTCACCTGTGCGATGTTTCGATCCCGATGGAAGGAACAGTCGACGACACCACCTCCGCGACCTGCAGTGCGGTTCTTGGCCCCGCGGTGATGGGCGAAAGAGGAGATTTTGCGTTTACAGAGATGGGTGAGGATGTCGAGGGTCACTGCGCCAAGGGAGAAAATGTCTGATGCTTCTGGATTGGTCTGGCGTGACTGCCAGGTATGAACCACGGCGCCGTTGGAATGCGCACCTGGCAAACCGATGGATGCTGACGTCGGATGCGACGAAGATCCAGAAGAATTGGAGGACGTGATAGAGGGTGTGTAAAAGATTGGCCGTTTCACGGAGGAAATGACTCGCTTGCGAGCGTTGCCATCGCTAGACCCCGAAGAAGATGATGACAGGCCAAATGAAAAACGTGATGGGGAGCTCGGGGATACGACGCGAATGGCGGTCCCCTGAGAGACCAGAGATACTGGTCGCGAGTCTGCAATCTCATGATCTATCCGGTGAGACTTCTGCATGGCCAGGCTCAATCTAGATGGCCGTGACGACGGTTTGCGGGTCGTGCGCCCTCCGGACGGCAGGGCTGTTCGTGTTGAGCCTGTATCCTGAACGGTAGCAGACAGAACCCAGCGTTCTGGAGCCCCATATTGATACGACTCGACATCATCCACCTTGACTGGAGGCAGCAACGTATCAAGCGCCTCGAACTGACCCAAAAATATCCTGAAGGCCGCGTCGACAAAGATATTTGAGGGACGGATGGCACCGTGAACTCGGCCATGAGCGTGCAGCCACGATAGTCCATTCGCTAGGCAATGCGGCCAGTTGAGAAGAATTTCCCGACGGCGGTCACTGGCAAGACGTTTAAAATATAGAGGCACGTCAGTGAGGAAGGACATGAGAGTACGCTCGTGTGCACCGGAAAAGAGGATGCAAAAAGTGTTGTCCACAAAGTAGGACCCGTAGATGGAGTAGACATGCTCGTGCGATAGTCTTCTCAGTGAACGAACCTCATCCAGGACTTCTTCTTCCTCAAAGAAGTGCGGCGGCCCTCCAACTATGACTTGCGTCCGCAAATACACCCGGCAAACAGCGCCAGCAAGAACAACCCTCTCCACTCCATCTCTTGCCAGGGCCGCCCCAGTTCGTAGTACCTCCACGGGAACGCCTTCATTTTGCGTATATTTTACATGGTCACCTTCGCGGATCCCACGAACCACGAACCGCCATTGTGCGAGGAAAAACTTGGAGTCCAGCGCTGGGTCCTCGGCATCCGGTGAGAGCTGGAGACGGTCGATGCTATGAGCTGCAATTGGCAGATCCGAATCATCGAATGACTCCTCCACTAAGGTGAAGATCCGCTCCGGGATTCCGATCTCCGCGAGGATAAGGAAAAGCCTTCCCGCTTTGGCGAGTATCCAATCGAGATAAGTCTCGCTGGTGAGGCCTTCGCCCCATGGCAAAGGAGCCAGGAGACGGTGTTGGAGGTTGGACGGAAGATGGGCAAATATGTACTCTGAGCATAGAGTGGCCTGGATCCTGTCCTCGGGCCACCAGAGTGACGTTATGGCTGACATTGTGCACGCATGGCGAACCGGGCCAACGACAGGAGGGATTACCGACGGAGAAACGATCTAATATAGACGTATCAAATCGAGGAAGGCTGAAGAGGGGGGTTAATCAATATACACTGCTCCTTGCGGCTGCCATAACCCATTAACACTACACTAATTTCAGAGAAAATATAAAATAAAATAAAAGGAACAATAACCGCACGCTATAATATAGTGGAACACCGGCATGGATGGTCGGAAGACGGCAGCACAGCCTACTAGTGGAGAGGCTTATCAAGCGCCCAGGGAAGGGATATCCACGGAAGAAGAGGGGAAGAATTCATTCTCCTTGGAGAAATTGGCAACAAGCATGGACTAGCCATTAGGTCATAGATTGGAACCCTGTCCCTACTAGGTCGTGGGTTGCATGGGACCAAAAGTAACGAGCTGCGGCTGGAAATGATAGGGTTGTTATTAGTTAGATAACGGTGATGAAAGTCAAAGAGGATAGATTTCCGTTAAACGGTGGAGACTGAAACCGATCGCTGGAGAGATATAGAGATAGAGAGGGAAAGGAAGAGGAAAGGAGAGACAGAGGTTGAGCATCATCTACGAATCACATGGCATTGTCATTCATCCTCAGGTCATCACTCCATCAACGCAGGGTAATTCAATTCAGAATGCAAGCTTATCAGTGACATCTAAAATAAAGTTGAAGCTATTAGTCACGCCTGAAAGATAAGCCCTCAAATGAGCCAGTAGTGGACCCTCTGCTGTCCAAGGCTCTGGACCACTGTGAGAGATAAGAAAACCGGCATAGAACTACCCGCTATAACGGTTGAATATACTGACTGTTGATGTCCCTCCTTGCACTTCGTATAACCACAAGTTTAAATTAGTCGACAGTTTTGAAACACCACTATGCAAACAAGCAGTAATCGTCTTATCAACGAGTCCTTCAAAATTCCAATCCAATCCCATTCTCCCAACCCCATCAGTCGTAATGAACATATATTCATATATAGAAATGCCTTTCAAGCACGGCTCAAATCACCATTCTACATCACCCTGACCAAAGCTACTTCCTATCCGTAACCGACGCAGTCGACTACTCCCCCGGCGCGGATTCAAAAGTAACAGCTGTCGGGATCTATCCTGGGACCGACGATGGTTCCAGGATTTGCGAAAATGCTGCTGTTCGTCGTCTTGATGTTTGGCACGGCGGTGGAGGAATTCTTCATGGGCTTCTTTTTCTTCCGTTAGGGCTTTTATCTATATCGACGTAGCATTCATTAGTTTCAGTTTCCAATCCTTTCTCCATGGAATATGTGACGTGTCAGAAGCGACAAAGTGTCGATCCTAAATGACGATAAATGAAACTAAAGAAGCGGGAAAAAGGGTTCGAAAAAAGAAAAAAAAATAATCGTACGTATGTCAACCACACTTCTTGCTCGGAACTCCAGGCATTCTGACACCGTGCCAGCTCCTGCTCTGCAATAGCCAGGTCTCGTTCCTGTTCCATCGTCCACCGACATCTGTGCCCGAGAATACTGGACCAGCTCACTATTCGCACCAATACGGCCCTGCTACTGCTGCTGTCGCCAATGCCGCCATGATGCAGGTCCAACTCGCTTCCGTTCACCGCCATATCAGACTCACTGGAGTGAAAATCACAGTTGCATTGCACGGTAGAGCAGTTGACCTTGACGCTAGATCGGTCAACGGATTTTCCTTTCCAGGCTGACGGATTGGTTCGTCTGGGGAGAAAGGAGAGACCAAGGGCGTGTTTGAAGGTACTGCTGAGACCCATTAAGGCAATTGTGACTATTAGATCAGATGAGTCGGACCTTATTTTATATCATTATCATATTTCAGCTCTCCAATGGGACCTTGCTGAACTTATATATGCTGACTTTATAGGTCCTAGAGTCCAGAATGGTCCGTATACAGGTCTCCGCGCCGGATCTTTCTGGACTACTCTATTTGCCGAACGGGGCATGAACACCAGGTTAGGCTCCGTGGGAAACGAGGAAACTTCAGGCTCTCAATGGGGACTGGTCCCCTGCAGACACTTCTGTTTCGCTGGCGCTGCACGACCTGCAGCTGAGTCAAAACTCGTGACATTCTCTCCAAGAGTGGAGCGAAGTGGATGTCTTCGAACGGTGCCTGGACGAATAGGCAAGACATTGCTTTCCATGCCAGCGCAATAAGAGACAACATCCCTGAAGCACAAAAGCGTGGCAGCAAGACCAGTTTTGGAAGGAAGCATATTGTTCATTGCCAGAGAACTTAGTGGAAAGCTCACGAACTTCGATGGTCTATATTTATCGCCCGGTCTCCTGTGTGCGTTGCCTTCAGTGAACAGGATCGCTCCAGTGCATTTAGGGAGTTCTTCCTCATCAAGTACATGTTCTCTAGTCAGTAGACACGCTGTGCAGAACCGGCTAGGGAGCACGCCTTGGCGATATTGCAAATTAGGCCAAAAAAAAAAATAAAAATAAAAATAAAAAATAAAAAATAAAAATAAAAAGACAATCAATAGTTAGGTCATATATGCTGCATAACTAAGCCAGTGATGTAGTTACCATCCAGCCGAAAATATAAACAAGAACCATTCTCCAGTTGCTGGCTCACAAACACCCAATCAAGCTCCAAAGGCCCAGACAAAGGAAACCAAAAGGGGGAATTGTACATCAATAAACCAAATTCTATACAAAAATAAGAGTCACAGCATCAGCATCCTAGTAAGCAGGATTCATCCATTGGTTCACCAGTCCGTGATGACCAGATAACATGGAACCACCAAAAGAACCAATATGAAAGCCATGACTGAACATTAAGGCTAGTATACCATTTCTTCAACCAAAACCGTGATTGGGTTTGGGGGTTAGGGAAGCCACAAAAAGGTTCGCGGATCTGTTTGGTGCTCAGCGCCACGATGTGGCAGCATGGGCCCTGTTTCACAAAGGTTCTTCTCTCTGCTGCCCTTCATACACCTGGACTTTCCTCTTTTTGCGGACCTCTTCGCCAATGATGATGCTGATCAGCCTCCTGTGCAAATCGGCTTCCGTCCAGCCGACTTGACCTGTTCCACCAGCCTGTATGTCGGCCTTGGCCAGTTCTTGCACAAATCGGTCGACAATCGCAAACTGGCGCTCTGTAATAGGGACTCCATGGGCCCCGTCCGAAGTCCATATCCAGTCACCTATAATGCCCGGTCGGCCAGTAGAGGGGTAGTACGGAAAGCGTTCCGGGTGTCTTTTCGCTAAACGATACAGATGCCGGAGAAACAGATAGTGATCATCAGAGAAATATCCGGAGAGTGCCAGCGGAAACTGACGTTCGTATGTCTCCCCATTCGTTTCCATATTTGGAGTCGCGTGTGTTTCGTCAAGCATCTGGCCAGGTCTAGAGGCCGAAGAACCAAGCCGTCCATCTTCTCTCGCAAATTGAGGAAGCGGCTTTGGCGTTTCTTCCAGGTCTTGGTCATCCACACCTTGTTCTTCCGTGGTCTCCGCGCCATCATTGTTGTCAAGCTGTGCTGGCTCGACACTGGACTCTTCATTTTCTTCCCCATCTCGTTCATTCGCTTCTGCTTCTACCTCTCCTACCTGTTCGTTATAGCCAGAAACAGCTTCGCTTACCGGGGGGCTAGGACGCTTTCCCAATCTCCTACCTGGAGCTTTCAACCAACCAGGTGTAAGACTGGTAATTTTCTGGAACCAGGATGATCCCTGTATATCAGCGTTCGCTGGCTGCGGACGCTCAGGAGTACCACGCGCTGCCAGCGGCTCGGCTACCGCGGCATCGGGAATACTCTGGTCTCCATTTGCATCCAGCTGCGGATGAGCGAGTTGCCAAGAATTCTCATGCCTTGTGGTTGGGTCAATGAGAAATGTTTCATCGTCTGATTCTCTGCGAGGACTTGATTCTAGATAAACATCCGACTGTAGATCATGCCCGGGTACGTTATCGCGAGCATCTCCCTCTTCCTCGGATGGTATAGACGATGGTGAGCCGTTTGGAGGTTTACTTTTGGCCGAACTCATTGGGCTGCTCTTCCCGTAGTAATAGCGCGACCGCTTGGGTGTATATTCTGCACGCAATAGAGCGGAGATATCTACCTCTTGCTCGCGGAGCTGTCTGACTCGTGACCACCCCATAGACGGCATTTTGTCTCGTTGGCTTATCCGGTAATCTGGAGAAAAGCTGCCGTCCTCGCTTTGTGCCTTGGAAGAACCATTCATCCAAGGACTAGATTCCTGTTCCAGTGACCCGTTGCCTTGATTCTCATAGGGTGAGTGATCGGAGGCATCGTCTCTGTTATGTGCTTCTTGCTGCCAGATGTCTTCATATGCATCATCATCATCTTGTTCTTCAAATCCGTCATCGTAAGGATAATGATTCTGGTACTGATCTTCTTGGTCAATGTCAACGTCATCAGACAGTTCATCACCTGGCTCCACTTCTGCTTCGAGATGGGATCCCCGATCTAACTCAGGCTGCCGCTCGTGTTCAAGTGAAGACTCATGAGAGTACGCATTGCTAACAGGGTTTTCTTGCTCGCCGTCATCGCTGCCGATCACAATGACTTGACTCGAATTTGCCATCTGGATCTCTTTACTAATGGCCTCTCTCTCTTTCTGCCACTCCTCCATTCTCCGCTTCATCATAGTGCTCGGGGACCTCAAAGCCCCCCGGCCGTTTAATCTCTGAAGCGGCGTCTTGGATTTGTTTTGGCCCTCATTTATCCGGGGGGGTGTATCCGTGACATTCGGTTCTGCAGCTCTCAGCTGTTTAGCGGTTTCTATCTCCGCTTGTCTTCGCCTTTTCGCAAGTTCGTGGCCGAATGCCAGGCCCAATCGCAATTCTTGCTGTACCTCCGGGTTTAAGTCATCGAAAAGAAGCTCCAATCGCTTCCTAGACGCCGCCATGTCTGAAATTTGGTCCCCGGAGTTGGGAATTAGAGGACTCGACAAGGTATCCTCCGATTCATATGCATGCCTCATGGTTCCCTCCAGCGCAATGCCTACGCGAACCAACCTAGCCAATCTAAGTAATGGACCTTTTTGCCATGTAGTAGGTTTGGGTGTCGACAATGCATAAGGCGACGTAAAGGACTGCAGGCCTCTGACCGACCTAGGCGTCTCACTCGACGACAGCCGTTCCAATACAGGATCGGATTGCGGGATGTCGTCGGTTGTTTGTGGTTGGGTTAATGATACCTTTGGCTGTGCTTTTGGGGCATCACTCGTGTTATGGTCGCGGTTCCTTCGTTTTAATGTTCCAATGGTGTCTTGGTCCAAAACCCGTTTAAGAGCGCTCTTAGCTTGCTTGGCATTTCCATCAGCGTTAAGGGCATGTTGTTTAGCTGACGGTAATGTATCCAAAGAAACCATGCTGAATCCTTCACTCTCCATAATGGAATCAAATTCTTTTGGTTCATCCGTAGGGAAATGAGAAGGGGGCGCTTCGCTTTGGAGAAAATCGCCATTCGACGTCGGATTGGCTGATGGCTCTGGTCCTTGCTTCTCATCGTCAACTAAGGATGAAGAGGTTGGAGTTGGGTAGGTACGTGGTGGCATAGGTGTATGGCCGGCATGTAGGGTGTTATCAGGGGAGACTATTTGGCTCTCCCGCGAGGGGGACGGCATCTTCGAGGGGGTTGAATCCCAATTGCCATTGGGGTTTTGCGTATAAGGGTCATCCGGCGAGTTAACATGGGGAGTATCAAATGTTTGCTCAAATCTTACTCGAGGAGAGCTCCGGTTCTCGGTTTCAAATGGATCCCCAAAGTCTTGAATATCGGGCAAGCCATCATCCGAATCAGCGTCAGCAGCAAGATTTAAAGGGCTCCAGCTCTTTTCAGGCTCGATAACAGGAGGTGCTTCAATAGTAGGAGGCGCTTCATCCATTCCCTGGGTATCCGGTTGCTTCTCTACTGCATCCGGGACCGGTGCAGGATTTTTTCTCGGTCGACCCCGTTTCCTTTTCTGTCCACTCGTACCTGCGGGTCCGGGAGTATGCCCCGGGCTGCCTGGAATCGGAGTCGCATCATGCGCTAAGATATCTGATTTTCGTGGACGACCTCTGCGTCTTCGCGGGGTCTCCTCTGTGGCACCCTCCTCGCCCTTCAGGGGGATCTTCGTAGTAGTCGTCATCGAAGGTCGAAGGCGCTTGCGTGCAGGGCTCTCTTGGTTCGGTTCCTCGTCTTGTGTCGCCTCCAACGTCACTCGAATCCTCCACGGACTAGCATTACCATCTGCCTGGGTCTTGTCCGGAGACAAAGCCCGTTGCCCTCCATCTAGCTTCATTGCCGGCGATACAGGGAGCAAAACATCATCAAATCGGATTGAATGCGCGCTTCGTCCGGGGGTAAAGCTGGCGCGCGACTTTTTGCCTTTGCCTGTTTGTGGTGTATGTAGCAGTTTAAAATTCGCGGGCGACATGATGCTCTGGCGACCGGGAAATGGTTTGATCGGCGAGGAGATTAGATAATCGGCGTCGCCAGGGGTCCCAAGAATGTCTGGCGAGGAAGTTGAGCTGTGAGAATACATAGCGGTATGCAACGGATGATGCGATTCATGAGGGGTGAGCTGGATCAACCCCGACCGCGTCTATCGGGACGCGATTGAGAGCACGGAAGTGCGATCAAGCAGAGCTGAGCATTCTTCGGAGATAGAGAAGCCACCTCAGCAGATTTGATGCCTATACTGATTAATCAAAACGAGGAATAAATCGCCAGGTCGCAGGGAAACAAACTACATCACATCACAGTGACCTCTAAACAAGTCTCCCGATCTGGCAGACCGAGGGGGCATTAGGTAATCGGGAGGAATATTGTTCCATACCGTGCTTTGGGCAACTGCAGAGACCAAATATGCATCTTTCGACGATAGGTATTACAACTACTATAATTGAAGGCTTTAAAAAAAGAAATGAAGGGAGGAATATAAACAACAATAGAATGATGATTAATACAGGAGTCGCAATACTATATAATTTCATGAATACTAGGCGCGTATTACGCGTAATTTCGAATTTACTTCTATTGCCCTTGTCTTTGTTAACTAGACAAGTATTTAAACAGAAATATCAGGTTTTAAGAAGTCGCACAACCGAACGCTAAGGCATGTGGTTTTGCTGAATATAGTTAGAAGATAGTGCTTCAGGCATAAATAGATAACCAACAATCCGTAGTTGGTTTTACCATCCATACTCTGTAGTACTCCGTAAATGATATCTCGGTTCGCTCTGAGTCCCCTCATCCATGCATAATTTATCAACCTTATATTCTGATCTTTTCCCATGGAACCAGCTAGTTCCCATCGTGGAAATAATTCCCTCCCCTCCAGTCAGACTGACACCCCAAATCTTCGCTGACTCAACCGGTGATGGTGAGATGCATTTAAGATCGACAGGCTGGCTTCCCATTCCCCGCATCCTTCCACTTCTCCTCACTGGAACTTGCACCATTGGGCCTAGCGCCTCTCCTGATTCCGCGTGGCTGGAGGCGAGCTAAACTAACTCACTTCTTTGTTCGGCTTCATCGTTTGCCTCTGCAGCCTTCGCCACTAGTCCGACCTGTCTGACTGAGGATTGGACTGTGATTGACCCATTCCTGTTGACCTTTTCCGATCGCAGGTAGCTGCGGACGGACCCATTCTCGACCCTGGCCCATATCCCGTCATACTCGATCCATTCCCGTTGCCTCGCTGAGCTTGTTGGTAGTTAGTTACTTGCACTAGCTGCATCCCTTCGACTCATCCCCATTGCTCGGACAATTCGCCAACCAGTCCGTTGGTTCCTGCGCTTTGGGTCTTCCCCCGCTTGCTGGTCAGGCGCCATTATGAGGTAGAACGGTATAAATATTGCTATGCTTGGCTCCGTTGTTGCCAGCCAGAGTTCCCCGCAGCTTCTGGGCTCCTTTCGCTCTTTGCTCTGCCCTGCTCGATTCTCCCCTCGTCTCTTATACGCATACTGCTTGATCTTTCTTGCCATTACTGCATTTTTCGGGGTCAAGATGCATCTTAAAAACTACCTCCCCGTCGCTCTCTTTGGGATGCCAGCCCTAGCTGAGGGCTCATCCTCCTCTCCATCGTCGGATGCGGACCCTTTCAAAGTCTACACCATCACCACAGAAAACATCACTGCCAAATTGATCCCCTATGGAGCACGTTTGACCTCATTGCTCGTTCCTGATCGCGACGGCATATTCCAGGATGTTGTCGTGGGCTACGATGATCCAAAGGATTATCTGAAAGACACCGAATCCAACCACACTTACTTTGGTGCCGTCGTAGGCCGCTATGCCAACCGGATCAAGAACGGCACTTTCGAGACCCATAGTTCTACGTATCAGGTCCCAACAAATGAGAACGATGGTGCAGACACCCTCCATGGAGGTAACGTGGGCTACGATGCGCGGAACTGGACGGTCACTTCCCACTCCAGCTCTTCGGTAACCTTCACCCTACTTGACCGCGGTCTTGAACACTTCCCCGGAGACGTCATCACTCACGCCATATTCAGCGTTGATACCTCCGTGACCCCTGAGAACCCCGATGGGCTTCCCCAACTGACCACCAAGCTGATTTCACTGGCCTTGACCGAAACGACCCCCATCATGCTCTCCAACCACATCTACTGGAACCTGAACGCCTTCCAAAAACCCACAGTCCTGGAAGATACCTACCTCCAGCTTCCCCTGTCCAAGCGCTTGATCGGCACTGATGGGATCCTGATTCCCAACAGCACCATCCTCGGCGTCGACTCCTACAAGGGATCCCCCGACTTCACCGCAGGGAAGCTCGTCGGCAGAGACATCAAAGACACGAACGGACTATGCGGGGACGGCTGTACCGGATACGACAACTGCTTCATCGTAGATCGTCCTGCCGGGTACGCTGCCGCGAATTCGATGGTTCCAATCCTTCGAATGAACTCCAGCTCTACCGGAATCAGTCTGGAGGTAGCTTCGAACCAGCAGGCCGTTCAGATCTACTCATGCAATGGTCAAAATGGCACCATCCCCATCAAACCCTCCCAGGCAAAGAAGAACCAGGAGGAGAAGATCGAGGGTGCAAAGGCCATCAACAAGCATGGTTGCATTGTGATCGAGCCCGAGGGTTGGATCGATGGCATTAATAACCCTGAGTGGGGTCAGCTCCAGGATCAGATCTATTCCCCTGAGGGAGCTCCATCCATTAACTGGGCTACTTACAAGTTCGGTACCGTTTGAGGGTTACGGGACGAAGGGTTGGGCTGGTCTGAGTTTGGGTTGTGCTTGATTTGAGGTCCCAATATTAATCATTGGCTCTCCTATTTTCAGTTTCTTCTACCATGTACATTTGACAGTCTTTGTATATTCTCTGATCTGTCATTAATAGGGTAGGAATTGAGAATTTTTTTTATTTTCTTTTAAAAAAAAATGGGCTACCAATCTATTCACCATCTCATTCTTGTCGGGTATCATATCTACATATTCTAGGACCGCTTCCACACCAGCCTGATTAACTCTCTATACACCATAGCCACAAATATTGAACACACAAAAATTTCCCACGTGTAGACAGGACCAGGGTCATCAACTTTACCCCCATCCAGCTAAAGTCCAACTCGACCGATCGCCCTGTGATCGTAAGCCTGACCGTCGATCCGCAACATGGCCATGGGTCTCCAAGTCCCGGCTGGCTCCTGACAGACCATGTTGAATATATTTCTCCCGCTCGATTTCGACCAGACCCCGAACCTTAAGACTCGATAGGAGACTGGCCCCAGCCCAGGCCCCAAGGGATTCCACTTCGCGCAGAACCCCGTGGACTTGCGTTTTGATATCTTTGTCTCTATTATTCCGTCGGATCTTCTGTTCAATATGGTCGATTTCTTCTTCTTTTTCCTTATTCTCTTGCTCTCCCTGTTTGTCCTGGCCCGTGGGCGAGCCGGGGGTCTCGGCAGTATTTTCTTTGCCCTGCGAGGGTGTTGTTGATTGCTGAGTGAGATGCAGGCTCTGCAGCTTCTGTTTCTGCTGTTCGATAACCTTGCCACGTACCGGACTCCACCCGTATTGTTCAACGAGGGACGCTACTTCATCAAGGATTCGTCGTCGGATCCCTGGGATGTGAGCTCCTCCACCAACAAAAACAATGCGCGACATACATATCCCTCGGGCATCTGGTGGTAGCTCTAGAAGTGCATTATACACCAGCAAGGGAACTGGTTTCTCTTCATCGTCCAAATCGCAATCGGCGGTATTCTCGGCAAACAGAACCTTCTCTACAGGCTCGGCAAATTTGGAGAATGGAACATCCATATAGTTTGAACCAGGATTTGATGGGGACGGTATAGACACGCTTTTTTGCAGCATTGAGGCGGTCGAAGCATCGGATGTCGATTCCCTGTCTTTGTCCTGGGACTCTGTCGGGCCTGAAAGGCCTTTCTGATCTGCTCTAGGCTTACACCATGCAAACCTGCAGACCACTTCTTCGCAAAATTCAAAGCCCACAGAGATCTCGTCTGATTCACCCCCGCTGCTGGTAGAGAGGCGAGTCATGAGCCTTCCGGTCTCTTGAAGCAGAGACTTCATGGCCCTCGTGCTCCGCTTCGTTGTGATTTCCCTATATTCATAAACCCCCGTCACAGTCGTTTCGCCCCATCCGAGGTCCACCACCAGAGCCGATCGCACGCCAGCCGCCGTCGCAGTCATGACCGGACTCTGTAACAGCGTAATACTGGGAAACCGCCAACGGGTGAAGAGTGTTGACAAGACTGAGGAGAGCAAAGGGTGCGGCATAATCGAAGGCAAAACCAAGACCAGTCGTGAAGTCCCCGCATCCGTCAAAAGGAATGTATTGTATGTCTCTCGCAACATCCGTTCAATCTTGTCCTCCACGAGCCCCAGATCGACATCCCGTAGATCCATCTTCCACAGTTCGTATGCGCCCGCCCAGTCCTCTGCATTGACGGGATATTGTCGCGATATATCGGTATGAGAGCTGCCTTTCAGCCAGCCTCTGTAATCACCGACTCGTCTAGATTCTTCCGGGCCACATCCAACGACACACATGGGAGAGCTGTCACCCTCAAATCCAGCCCTAAGCCATCTCGAGCCAAACTCAAAGATGATTGCATCTTCTTCCCCCCGGAACGACGAGCTCGCGGACGACGTACTCGCGAAGGAGGAATTGTTGGAGCGCAGTTGATGTTGCGGCGTGGAGGGTCGACCGGATTGACTGTTTCGAAAATTCATAGAGAAAGGATTCCCGGCAAATGAGCGCCTCTCGTCCAAATTAGAAGCGGCCGAAGTACCCGTCATGTCTCGTAGGCAATAATTGCTCGCTTTCCCAATTCAATTCCGAACACGGGAGAATAGCAGGTGGGAAGACTGATGGATTGACGGGAAAAGTGCACATTATACTATAAACATGCCGTCCCTCCACAAGCATGCGCAATGTAGGATATCAATTCATACTCGTCTTCATGGGGATCCAAGTTGGTGAGAGTGACGGAACAAGCAGCAGCGACGACAACGGAGGGAGCGACCGGATCTACATCGGGCCGTCTCGCTATTCCGTCGACGTCAACAATCACAACAAACCATCAGCAATCATTGTATTGGCCTCCACAGACGTCTTGTTGCAGTTTTGGCCTCAGGAATATTGAAGGACAAGCTTTGAAATTGTAAGATCCGGCTGGATGGGGATCCCTGGGTAAGTTCGTTGTGGCTCGCTTGGAGCATATATATATTTGTTACCATGCTTGTAGTCCGCCGCAGAACTAATGTTAACAGACTTATCAATGCCATTGGCTCTGGAGAACGCATTTCTCTGTCCAGATTGGCCATCACCCATTTGGAGAGAACATCCAGACCTATCCGAATCGCTGTTGATGTCTCGATATGGCTATTCCAGGTCCAGGCTGCTCGAGGTGGCACAAACCCCGAACTACGTACGTTGTTCTACAGACTGCTTAAGCTGCTAGCATTGCCAATCCATCCTCTATTTGTGTACGACGGAAAAGAAAAGCCACCCTTTAAAAGAGGAAAGGCATCGGGAGTTAGTTATGGGAGTTTACCAATTATTCGACTGTCCAAGCTTCTGGTGGATCTTTTTAAATTTCCGCGTCATGATGCTCCGGGAGAGGCGGAAGCTGAGTGTGCAAGATTGCAAACTGCCGGTATCGTGGATGCAGTGATGAGCAATGATGTTGACGCCCTCATGTTTGGGTCAACGTTGACTGTGATGAACTTTTCCAAGGAGAGTGGTAGCGGTACCACTGCCGCTACGCATGTTACTTGCTACCACATGGATAACCAGAACAGCGCGTCCAGTCTGGCGCTCGATCGTGCGGGCATGATCTTATTTGCGATGCTCAGTGGAGGCGACTATCTCCCGTCTGGTGTTCCCAAGTGCGGGAGCAAACTGGCCGCAGAAATCGCAAAAGCTGGATTCGGCGCGGATCTCCTAGAGGTCATCGATTCGGACGGTGCGGACCTCGAACCAGGCTTAGCAGAATGGAGAGAAAGGCTTCAATATGAGCTGGAAGAGAATGAGAGTGGCTATTTCCAAAAAAGGCACAAGGCGGTTCGGATTCCAGAAACGTTTCCGGACAAAACAATTCTGTCGTGTTATGCCAAACCTGTGGTGTCCACAGAGCAAGACTTAGATATTCTGCGACATCGCCTTGTAAACGCCTGGGATCAGGACATTGATGTCGTGAAACTGCGAAGGTTTGCGGCAAATACTTTCGAGTGGAACTATCGCTCCGGGGCCAGGAAGATGATCAGACTATTGGCCGAGCCTCTCGTCACTTACCGACTTCGTCTGCAAAAATCGCCATCTGCCTTTGCTGACGATGAGCCGAGACTATCAAATAGTGACGCACCCATGTTGCAGAAAGTCTATAAAAGCCGAACTAGTTTTAGCACGGACGGTTTGACGGAATTGCAGTTGGACTATATTCCCATTGATGTTGTTGGGTTGGATCTGCTTGCTGAAGAACCCAATCCCCCACTGCACTCCCAGGAAACGACGGTCTCGGATGAGGAGGAGGAGGAGGTTCTGGAAGAAACTGTTCCGCAGTCGCCAGCGAAGAAACGTGTTTCGAAGCGTTACGACCCAATTTCTTCCCAGAAGATATGGGTTTTTGAATCCCTGGCCTTGATAGGTATTCCAGACGTAGTGGAAAGATGGAAAAAGGACGTGTCTGAAAAGTCTGCGCCGAAGAAGTCGACTTCCCGGAAGACAGGCCCTCGGAAGAAGGGCCCAATTGACCCAGGCATGAAGCGAGGAAGCATCCTCAAGTACGGAACTCTTACCAAGGAACGTTCGGAAATCTCTCAATTTCACAAATCTCAGCTTTTTGAAGCAGCTATTTCGATGACACCAACGGAGGATAGCCCGTCAATGTTCGTACATCGAGGCTCACCGACTACCCCCGGTCGATCATTTGGCAAAGACGCGAGTTCGCAGTATATGTCGACTTTTGGTCGAGATGTCGAATTTGATGATCTTGCTGACAGGTTTTCTTCGTCCTGCAGTGTTTCGTCCGATATACCTATTAAAAGAAACCCAATGGTCACCCGATCTGGTGTTTCGGGAGGACAGAGGGTAGTTTGTTCTGGTGATGCTGGGGCAGAAATTTTAGATATTTCGTGCCCTGAGCTATCTTTAGGAAGTTCTTCACCGGCAGCCTTGTCTAGGATTCGCATGAGTTTCTCTAATGCTAGCTATGAGGACGTGCCGCTAGCAGATACTGCAACATCCTCATCCAGAGATGCATCTCGCCGTCTCCTGTTGAAATCTGATCGACAGCCACCTAAACACCGGGGGTCCTGTGAGCTATTGGAATTGGAGCAAGCCGTATCTCCAATCGATCTCGATGCTGGTAGTCCGAGAAAAAGTGCGAAATCCCGCTCACAGCCGGATGTGTGCCCCCAAAGGGCGCCGCGAAGACAGAAAGCCAAGAAGACAAACCCCATCCTTGAGTATGTGGATGATCAAACTTCCTCTCCTCCCACGATACCAGAAGCAGTTAGTCCTTCCCGTATCCAAGACTTGTTGGAGAAAAAGGCCCTCGACATGCCTTCGCTACGAAAACAACTCAAAGATTCTCCCCAAAATTGGGGGGATTACAAGCACGACATGCCCTCCAAACCTGACGCCAAGAAGCCAGTCAAATTGAGTGACACCGAATCGGCTGTTGAAGAGGGTTCACACGTGGAGTCTATTGTAGCATACGACGGGTACTGGACGGTTGACACTGGCCCGGAATCTGAGCTGGTCTCGGATGCATCCAGTGCGCGATCTGAGAGCAAGAAATCTGGTCGAAAGCAGCAGTTTAAGCGTGTGAGAGTGTTGGACCTGAGGTAATTTAGACGAAATTGGTCTCATTCTCGTACTTGAGTGCTCACTCCTGTATTTGTTGCCCTGACACTCTGGGGTATAACTCATCGCATTTAGGCTTTACAGGCGTTTGGGAAATACCCACTGGAGAAATTTGCGAAGTCTAAGGACTATTGTGTGACAAGTAACTAGCTTCTTTGATTTGAGTGACTTTATATCTAGTTCACACATACATGCATATCAACTGGAGTGTAATACCGAGGTATATATGTAACAGTCTCATCTGGAATTCAAAATGAATTCCCTAGAACTGTCCAAGAATCTAAACATCCTCAAGCCTGTTCCATTTGTCTATCTATGAAATAGTCCAACATATCGTAATTCAATACCGACTCCAGTCCTAATAGTAGAATCGGGGAGAAAGGAAACGATCCTTATTATTCCTGTTCATGACTATACACAAGACAGAACTCTTCACAATTCCAGGGTTTAGGACTGGACTCCACCTGGTTGCTCAGCCGTTTGGCATCTCCATATGCTTAGAAGCATTTATTGTAAGTGGCTGCATGATCATATTCGGAATTTAACAATATGCAGAATCGGATGGTAATCTGATAAGGGGCAAAACACATTCCCCCGATAGATTTCCGGAATGAATGACACTTCTTCCGGCATTTATTTCTTGAATCTACAAATTCTCAGTCTCATAAAACCCTAATAGGAACAACCCCCTCGACTGTTACTCCATAAAATGCTCCCGAACCACGAGACCCTACTACATTGCCAGATCCTCCTGCATGACAGGGCAGAAATCCTAGATACAAAGTCCTGGGGACGTTTCCAGGCGATCCTGACGCTGACGGTCCCATCGTATACCTCCCTAGGCGGGATAAACGATTCCGCCGTCCCAGCAAGCGATCTTGTCCGCTTTCTCTCAAGTCCCATCCTCCTGGGTAACTCGGATATTCAAACCTAGCATTTTCGTCGGAGCTTGCAAGTGGACTACTGTGTCTGAGCAGCGGGTGATTGTTGTTCATCTGGTGAAAGCGGCGCATCATCGAGTTACACAGAAGAAGCAGGAAGAGAATTCTGTTGAAGATCATGGGACGAATACGATGGTGTTCGAGAACTGCATTAATACTAATTCCTGGAAGATAGCTGGCATTAAAGTCCAAGCAATGTGGACAGATGGAGGAATTTTCCGGAGTAGATTTGAGTTTTGTCTGCTTCTTAATATTGGATATATTGTGTCTGGATTCTGTGTATTTGGGTTATGTGTCCAGCATTACTTTATCATATCTGATGTGTTGAACCATGTATCGCAATTTTCTTTCTAAAGTGGAAGTGTTTTTCGATATTCATGTAGCTTAGTGCTAATCTTTCAATACGGAGAAATGACAGGCAGTATCCTTTGCATGATGCTGAACTAGCAGATGAAGGGCCGTCCTTTCTCAACTGGCCAGCGGTGTGAGACATGCCTAGCGATAGACAGAGCAATCGAACTATTCCAAACTAGCTGCATTGTGAGTGCATCAAGGGATCGATCGTCATGTAACCTGTCAGAATAAAGATTATCAAGCCTATAGATCCTATCCCCCTTTTCGTGCAGGGAATTTATTGATAATAAGAAGGTATAGAAGGCCATGTCTCAATAACACTACTGTCAGTTCAAACTTAAGCACCAGTTATAATAGGGCTTGAAGTAAAATGGAGTCTTCTTTTCTCCGTCCTAGGGAGGTTTCTGCTGAGCAGATCAATAAGTTGACAATCACTGGTATCGGCACCGAATTGTCATCCAAGCTTATAGGACCGGACGGATTGAAAAACTACATCTCAAACTGTTATCCTGCAGACACCCCATAGTGAGTAAAACATACCCCCCAATCAACCTAGTTCAGCTAAACGAATACAGAGTTCAACGCCTACTTCGTGTCATCGATCAAACAGGCATCGAGTCCTGGGCCATTCTGGGATTTGGAACGATCCTAGATGGCATAGATATGATCCACCTGCGGCAGAAGAAGTCGACGCTGTATTTCGCCAGTATGGAACCCAACTAGCCGAGAGAGCTACTGGCAAGTCTTGGGCGACAGCAACATCCTCCCGACTTCCATCACTCACATGGTTTCAGTGACAGCTACGAACGCGGGCAGCCCAGGCTTCGAACATCTAGTTGCTCAAAGTCTTGGGATTTCTCCAACAACCGAGAGGATTCTCCTGAGTGGAGCAGGACGCGCAGGAGGACTAGCAGCCCTTTGAACTGCTTCGGATTTAGCAACGGGAACAGCATTTCGGGCCCAACCAGCAAGAATATTAATAATTGCATGTGAGATTTCCAGTACACAGATCCGCGCGGAGCTGCACGCTGCATCTACATCGCAGAGCACCTGTATTGGACCGGGTTGTTTGGGGACAGCGCATCGGTATTGATCCTGTGCTATTCTACAGGGTTGAAAGAGAAGATCCCACGGCTATTCTCGGCCATCGATTGCCATGTTGCTACCGTATTGGGGACACTCGATGAGATGTCCTATAGCTTGTACAAATATTTCCTTCTCTCCCTCGAAGAGAGTGCCAGAATTGACCTCTACGGCGGTTCAGCAGCCATTCAAGAACTTAAAGGTTTATGGAATGGAAAATATGTTCTCTGCGTGTTTTGACTGGGCGTTACATCCAGGGGTGTTGGCTATTCTTAAAGGTGTACAGAGGTCTATGGGTTTGCCTGGCGGTGTTCTTCGAGCTAGCTATGAGACTTGCAGAACACGAGGGAAGGGGTCTAGCGTCGCTGTGCTTGCTGTACTGGATGCAGTTCGGTCTATGGAGAAAAGAAACAGGATGTCATTGCCTGTAGTTTTGGACCGGGGTTATCAGTCCAGATGGTGTTGAAGCGTCTGTGGTGTCCATACATTCTCGGCGTCTTCCATGTCTTGACTGATAATCATCTTTGTACCATTTGCCGGGCGTATGCAGTGATAAGTACACTTGTTTAACTATGTAGGAATAAGAAACCAGAGCTATCTTAATAAAAAAAAAAAAACTGATAATTTGAAAACGACCCTTCGAAGATACAGATGTAAACCACCACTATAAAAATGCTATCTATATGCGGTAGTAGCTAAACAAAAAACATATACCAAGTCTCATCATAACCACCAATATACGTGACTTCTGTGTCCTGCTTACATTCTGCCATTTATGCAATGTCGCTCTCTGAATAACAACATCCCCCGACCTTATCAAACGCGAATCATTATCAGACAGCGAGTTCGTTCAATTTCACCTGTGATCAGGACCAGAAAGTCCGGACTGACTGTGAGATGCATAGGACTCTCCGAGGCAGGCGGCATATCGATGTACTATATATTAGCACAGCGCCGGATTTCACCAGCTCTGGGGGGTGTTTCGGAGCAGCTTCGTAGGCCTGGAGATCGGCGTTGAACGGGGGTCGGTCAGTCGTATAGCCGAGTCACCAGAGTGCGCCTCCTAGGTTATCAGTCACCGAGAGAGAGACTGGGATGGTTGTGGAGATGAAGGTGGGCCTTTTTTCGTCGTTCTCGGTGATGGAGCGATTGCGGTTTGAGGGGTCCATAGTCATTGTGATTTTTGGCTGCTTGGACTGGTTTTGGAAGAGAGAGATGATGTCCAGAAGGGAAAGACAGTTATAGAATATATATACCAGGACCAGGGAATATTGTGGAAATACAGACAAAGAAGTCCCCGTCACGCTGTTACCTAGGATGAGCCAGTCACCGAAAACCATCCACTGTATTAAAAGCCAACGGTAAAGGCAAGATAACAGGATCCGGAGTAAGCAGCTACTGGCGCACGGAAATACCTGCTAGTATCTAAGACGTAGGAGTATGTAGCCAAGATTCATACACGGATTATGAATAAGTATTATATATATAACTATCTGATAGGGAATCTTCCACAGGATTCTACCCAGTCCTGTACGTCGACTCCTGACTCTGACTGTAGTTACATACAAACATAGGTACTTCCATCTAACAAATACAACGCCAAAATGGTATCCTATCTATCAGCTCTTCAGCCGAAAACCTTCAGGAAACTCCACAAACCGATCCCGCTCAGGATGGGGATGGTGAAATTATCATCCCACCCGAAGAGGTCCACGAACTCGCTTCCCGCCGCCACCAGACCAGACACGACGCTCATGACGCCCAGGGCTAATGGGCCCGTGATGACAGCCCGCGAGGTGTTGGCTGTCCAGCCGACGAGGCCCTTGATCGAGTCCGGGATAAGGATAATTCGCCCCGTGAACATGAACGATCCTTCCGGGTCGTTGGGGAAGGTGCCGACGTAGGGAACGAAATAACCCCAGAACGCGGCAGCGGTGATGGCGCCGACAAAAAAGGCGCTCAGGGTGCCGGCGAAGCTCTTCCCCTTGCGCAGAGAAAAGGTGTAGCGGCCATAGAGGCGGCCGAATGTAGAAGCGGCGGTGTCGCACCAACTGAGTAGGAGGACCCCCATGACGGCGACGTCCTTGGGGAAAAAGCGCAGGACGGTGTACGCGCCCAACAGGTACCAGATCACACCGTTGTAGCCCGAAACCTCCGTTTCGCGCATGAGCGCACCGACACAGCGGATGTAGAATTTGTTTACTGTTTCCGAACGATGGCGAATTACATCCGTCACGGCGACGGGCACCAGCGCTGAGAAGAGCCACGGGGTGATCTGTAGCGTTTGTATTCCGCGGCTGTACAGGTGAAGGGTCAAAAAGCCAATGGACACGTGGAGAATCTTGCGTGGGATTTCATGACGATGGATGAAGTTGCGGTACCGCGCATGGAGTGGGATCAGACCTAGAGGAGAGGGGGACCGGGAGATGCCGTCGACCTTCGTCAGCGGAGACAAGTAGCCGTTCGATGCGGCATGGCCATTCGTTCTGTGGTCGGGGCGGTCGACCCGTATCATTGGATTCGACCTTCTCTTCCGTTGTCGAGCCGACCCCGGCGCAGGAGCACGAGTTGGGGTCCGCGAACGCTTCGACTCCGAATCCGAGTCACCTATACTCTCCTCCGGCACCTCCCCTAGGCGCCGTCGCCGTGATTCAGAGCGCGTTGTAGGTGCCAAATATCCATCTTGCGAACTAGACCGGGTTTCCGAAGGAGTTGGGGAAGGAGAGATGACTCGGGGAGTCTCGGGGATGGCGTCTTGAGAAGACATGACAACGGCTCGCAAGGCGAATGGTGGCAGGACCGGAGCCTGGATGAGCCCGGATAATGGCTGCTGACCCCAGGACAGGCAGTCGCAGGCCCAAATTCCAGGGAACAAAGGCAGCCGTTCTTCAAAGGACGCAATGGTGGGCGACTAAGTGAAGAAGATAAGAGGGTTTCCAAGGCGGACGATGGATGATGAATGGGTGGATGGATGGATGGATGGATGAATTATTGATGCGAAAATAGACCGACAAAAAAGGCAGAAACACAGCTGCGCATCACGTTGAGATCTCGCACCGAAAGGGTCATCCACATAGTCCACCGATGGAAGTCTGACGCCTGTCGCGTGATCCGAATAGAAGGAAGAAGATACGGAGAGAAAGAAAGAAAAGGAAATTCCGCCGAATCCGCGTGCCCTGTCACGTGTGGCAGAACGCCCACCCACCGCCCACCGTATCTAATCGCGATGGTTTTGATAAGGTTTTTTTTTTTTTTTTTTTTTTTTAATTGAATGGACTGGTTTGATCTCCCCAATATAGACGCCTGAAGGAATATCTCGATCAGGCTGTCTGTCATGGCCCCTAAACCACCCGCTGGTACCTCGTCTAGAGCCTGGGATGCTGTTACTCCCCCACTGTCGGAATGGGTGCTTGATGCGGTCTCTTCCATGGGGTTCTCACGCATGACCCCCGTGCAGGCCTCTACGATTCCTTTGTTTATGGCACATAAGGACGTGGTGGTGGAAGCAGTGACGGGGAGTGGCAAGACATTGTCTTTCCTGATTCCTGTGGTGGAGAAGCTCTTACGTCTTGAGGAGCCTATCAAGAAGCATCATGTCGGCGCCATCGTTATATCTCCCACAAGGTAAATTCATCGTCCCCCCCCCCCAAGAAAAGAGTCCGGACACGTAACATGCTAACAGTATCGACAGAGAACTTGCATTACAAATATATACTGTCCTGAAGTCACTTCTCGCCTTTCACCCTCCTTCCGCCTCCGTTCTGAATCTCTCCGACGACGATGCACACCGTCAAAAAGAGTCTTCCTCAACGCTCAAGGTGGTTCCCCAGCTTCTTCTCGGAGGCACGACTTCCCCCGCGGAAGACTTGAGCACCTTTCTGAAGCAATCGCCGAACCTATTGGTGTCTACTCCTGGCCGTCTCCTGGAACTACTCTCCTCGCCTCATGTACATTGTCCTCAATCTTCCTTCGAGATGCTCGTTCTGGACGAGGCGGATAGGCTTTTGGATCTTGGGTTCAAGGAAACATTGCAAAATATTCTGCGTCGACTCCCCAAACAAAGACGCACGGGATTGTTCAGTGCCAGTATCAGCGAGGCTGTGGATCAAATTGTTCGCGTTGGTCTGCGCAATCCCGTCAAGGTCATGGTCAAAGTTAAAGGCACTTCAGGTGTCCAGGATAAACGCACACCGGCTAGGTGAGTCCCGTTTTGCTCTGGCTTGCGTCTAGTATCTTGAACTAACGATGACTAGTTTACAAATGACCTACTTGACCGTTCCCCCACTGCATAAATTCTTCGCTCTCAAACACATCCTGTCCTCCGTACAACCAACCCCACAGAAGACAATCTTTTTTGTTTCAACCTGCTCGGGAGTTGACTACCTGTCCGCAATACTCCCTTTACTAATGGGAGATGATTTCCAGCTGATCCCACTCCATGGCAAACACCCAGCGAACGTTCGCGAAAAGAACTTCAATCGCTTCATCAACTCCCACACCCCAGCAATTCTCCTGACGACAGATGTTGCGTCTCGCGGATTAGACATCCCGTCCGTTGACCTCGTCGTTCAAATTGACCCTCCGTCCGACCCCAAGACGTTCATCCATCGCTGCGGCCGTGCTGGCAGAGCGGGCCGTAGGGGCCTAAGTGTAGTGATGCTGCATCCGGGACATGAAGAAGACTACGTGTCGTTCCTTGAAGTCCGCAAAACTCCAGTCATCCCATTTCCTCAGCCTATTTCCATCTCCGACACCGAAGCCGCTGCTAGTATGAATGTCGCGCGCAAAGCCGTGTTGAAAGACCGTGCTCTCCATGACCGAGGCCAAAAAGCGTTTGTCAGTTGGCTAAGAAGCTACAGCAAGCACCAAGCGAGCAGTATCTTCCGAGTTGCTGACCTGGACTGGGAAGCGCTAGGCAAAGCCTGGGGGCTACTCAAGTTACCGAAAATGCCTGAACTGAAGAAGTTCACTGGGGATAAGACTCTCGGCGTTGATATCACCTGGGACACCTACGCATACAAGGACAAACAGCGGGAAAAGCGTCGCCTGGAAGTCCTTCAGGAGACTGCCGAGTCAGGCGGCCATCAGGAATCCTCGAACAAGAGACGAGCAAGCGAGAGCCTAGCATGGAGTAATAAGATTGAGAACAAGAACAAGAAACTGAAACGTCGTGAACAGAAACATGCCCGACAGGAGAGGGACAGATGGGAGAAAATGACCGAGGAAGAACGACAGAAGGCCCGGGAGACGGAGAAGTTGGTGGCCCAAATCCGAGAGAAGAATGAAGAAGAGCGCCGACTCCGACGTGCAGCAACCAAAGCAGGTGCAGGAATGTCCGGTGAAGACAAAGGGGATGAATTCCATGGATTCGATGACTGACCATGCTATCTGTATTTATATCTTATATGCCAGCAACCTACCCTCTGTAAATAGAAAGCAACCGATCTAAATCTAACAACAACCATGATCTCCCTCATCTCATGTATATTTCAAATACCATCCCGACCCTCCTTAGGAATAACGCCCCCATCCAATTCCACAAAAATTCCAATATCATCTCCATACGCATGATTCCCAATCATTCGATCCTCCTTTTCCAGCACCCCGTCTCCATTCTCAGCCCTGTTTCTCTCATCCGGCGAATCAGGGTGAGAAAGTTTCCATCCCTCCTTCTCTTCTACTTCTTTCTTCACCAAAGAATCAACCCCCCTTATCCCAAAGGACCCACACTCCACCATCTCCGGCGGTATACTCCTCGGCGAGACCAAATAATCATTGACTCTTCCACCGTGCAAACGCGCCTGGTATGACAACGACGATGACGATGACCACGGACTCTGATAATGATTCCGCTTCCGATCCCGAATCTCCTGAAAACTGAAATTACTCCGTAGCGAGGTAATCGGTGGGAGTCGATAGGTAGACGAAGACGACGATGGAGGCGACGACGAATATATAGATGGGGATGCAAACACTCCCATACCACGAGAACCACCGCCGGAACTACTATCACCGATCATATCCGGGTTGTTACTGTCATCAGGAAGACCACTGGATCCGCAGCATCGGATGCAATGACGCTGTCCGACGCCGTGGGCAAGATTTCGGGCGCCACAGACTTGGATCAAGGGACGGGGATTGCTGTTTGGAGATGGGAAGTATTGTACATCATGACAGGGTTGGATTAGTTGGAGGAAGGCGCAGGTGCAGGGTGGTTTGTTGGGTTGGTAGTAACACATTTCTTTTTCTCTCTCTTTCTTTTTCCTGTTGTTGTCGTTGTTCGATTCAGTCTGTTTGTCCGGTTGGAGATCTAGATAAGCTGGTATATGAGAAGAGCGTAGGATGCGTGGCAGTGGAAGAATAGGGATGGCTTATATCCATCCACCCTACCACAAGTGTCTTTGTTACTGTGCAACAAGACAGGGTGAGACCATCGATTGGTTTTGGAATGTATGGCTGCTCTCAGAAGGCAATAAGAACTAAGCAAAAGAGGCCTACCCAGTGCCTACTGGCATATACACCATCAGCCACAAAGGCTACATGGCGAAACTTTACCAATTGGAAGCCGTACAACAATCATGCAAATGCTTTTTATTGCTCAGCAGCATACGCCTGGATGCAGGTCTCAAATGCAAATGCTCAGACATGGCCCAAATAGGGAGATAACAACTTGGACTCAACCGCTCAAAAACAAAGGTTCAAAAACATTATCCAGCTTCCCAAAATCAAAATCACAGAAGGGCCTACAATTTCAACCCCAAGGATAAAGGAGGCCACATCAGACAATGCTCATGTACAAAAGAAGCCCAAACTCCATGGAAAAAAAAAAGATAATATCTGAACCACAGTCTAGGCCCACTAATTAACCTTGGAAGGGAAACGAAAAACAGGGCCAAACAGACAGGATCAGAGCAAAAGTAAACACAAAAAAATGGTATGCACGCGAATCAACAATGAACAACCCAACCAACGCTATTTCATCACAAGCAAAAACATCACATGAGACTGGCCTATGTCTTGTTCCTTTTGAACTCTTCCAGGCCCTCCCGGAAAATACAATAGGCTTTGTCTACTTCAGACTCCTTCCAGACTTGGTTGACGATGTCGACAGCAGTTTGACTGATGCCCAAACTTTCTTGGAGGCTCTTCTTCGCCGGCCACGCAAGCTGTCGAAGATCACCAGATGGACAGTTTTCATAAAGCCACTGGGCATCTTGGGCGAATTTATCATCGCCGAACTTCTGAACGGACACTATTTCGGCCTGGATGTCCGGCGTGATTGTTAAAGGACTAGAATACCGACTTGTGGTACGGAGACCACTAGGAGTCTTTGGCTTGTACTTCTCCGCTTGAGAACGAGCCTTTGCGAGAGCTTCCTCGTCGACTTTGGCAGGAGTCAATGGAGGAGCGGGTGGCATCCGACGAGACGCAGGCGACAGTACACTGATGGAATAAAATAAACTGTGTCAAATTCATACGTTCTTAGTGACATGTTAGTGTAGAGCGGGACGTACCTTTCAGGTTCAGTAACTTGCGGCGCAGGACGTGTCTCTCCCTCCGCAACGGGGCTAGGAGCAGGAATGCTCAGGGAAGACGATGGTCCACTGGACTCGGAGGAGTCGTCTGAGAATGCGTCGTAATCAAGTTGGAATGTGCCTTGCGTATTTGGAATAAATCCAGGAGGTCGCTGAGGGGTCTCATCAATGCGAGTAGAAGGGGTAGGCGTAGTGGGTGTTGGCGATGCGGGTGCAGATGCAGATGCAGGAGAGCCACTACCTATCCCAATGAAATGCTTTCCGAGGTAAGGATCGGTGGCACGGGCACGATATCGGAGTTTAGAGGGAGTATCCTCAGGGCTAGCGTCGAATCGAACCTTCTTCGACGATGGCCGTTCTGAGCGAAGAGCACTGCGCATGGCAGCTTTAGCGAGACCATCGGCAGGTGTAGGTGCGGATAGCTGAGGAGTCGCTGCCTCATCATCACTTTCAGAGCTGTAGCAGAAGTAATCCAAGTCCATTCCATAGCTTGCGCCAACAGGGTTCGGAATGACATCAGGTGATGGCGAGCGCTTGCGCTTCTTCTGTTCAGACACACTAGTCTCCTGCAATACATCACGTCCCCCAGTCTCAGTGACCTTAGCCTCTGATTCGGTGGCAATCTGAGCAGTCAATTCCTGTTGGGTACTTTGCTCAACAGGGAGTGGTTCGACAAGAGATGGCTGAGAAAGGGACCTGGGAGTCTTTGGAATATCTCCGAGGTAAAGGGACTTGTCCATGGGAGCTGGGAAAAGAGAGTAGGTGAGGTTACGAGCACGTTTCTTGGGCGGCTGCTCACTTTGACGGCGTCGAGGTCTCTCTTCGCTTCGAGAAGTAACAGTCTCCGTCTGAGGAGCTGCGGTGCGGCTAGTTTGTACAGGCGCTAATTGCGAAGTGATAGGTGTAGATGACGATGGAGCCGATGGTGATTCACTCCGCGATGATGACCGTCCGAAAGTTGGTATGAACCGTGAGAAAGAGCGAGGCACGGAGTTGAGTAGGCCACGAATGTTCCAGCCTCGGGGAGGAGTCTCGGGGGCAGCTGGTTCCTGGGGTGCTAAAGACTCAGTTTGTAAGCTCTCATTGTACTTTTTCTCCTTCTCCTGCGCCGCTGGAACTTCGAAGTCCATCTGTGGTAGTGGTGGGGGACATGGGCCTGATTGGGTGAGTGTCTCCGCCGCCTGGCGATCAGCCTCTGTCTGGGCGATGAGCTGTGGCAAGCGAAAAAGTGTTCGATGGATTCGACCTTGGCTCTCCACCGCGCGCCGGCGACGCCTCTCTGAGTATGGAGCTGCATTAGTCGACAGCCGGCGGGAGAGTGGCGGCAGTCTGCGAGCGAAAGGTGTGCTGCCGGGAGGGCCCAGGTTGCGACGCTTGTTCGTGGAGGGGGTAACTGGGCGACTTGCATCATCGTCACTCAGATCGGAGTGGACGCGTTTCCTGTTGACTATCTTGGTAGTTAGCTCATCGTTCTCAGTAGGCCGATCGGGAGCATCCAGTAGTGGAAACGGGCAAACAGCTTGCATGCCGCTGGAAACCATCGGGGCTTGGGAGGTAGCCAAGAGAGACACTGATGCTCCGGCAACGCCCTCTTGACCGGCAGCAAGACGTGAGCCACCTGGTACGGGACTCATCTCGGAGAGAGTACAACAGGCACCTGCGCCCGAGAACCTGGGGGTGGGGTGGACGACGACCTCTCGGGTATCGACGGTATATGCGATGGCTCGCCGGGTTCTGCTGCAGCTGGGAGGAAAGGAGGGCATAACTCCTCCGCCAAGCTACCGGCCCCAACGGCCCCTCCACAAACCCAGCCCGCCGCCAAGCGAATAGGGAGTTGTAGAACCACTACCAAGGTGAAACACACGCTGGCTGGGTCAGGCTCCGGTTGCCACGTTGGGCCATTGAGCAACTCCTTTGGGAAAGCAATTGCAGGTCGCGGAACAATGTCCGCAAAACTCAACTTTGCAGGACGTTGAGTCAGATATTCCACCTGCTCATCTACTTCAACTGCTTCCTCTCCAGGGCCCGAAGCGGAGGTCGAAGCGGAGTCAGCGTCGTGGGGCTGGCTGATCTCCTCGCCGCAACTCTTGATTGCGACTAACTCACTCGACTCCATTGTGGTTGGCTTCTCCACAGCCGATGGCTCAGAGGTGCTTGGTGCGGTGTACTGCTCCCAAGCAGATTCCTCAGTGGATTGGACATGCTGCCCCCCCCCCGGGCCACCTGCTCATCATGGCGAGCCAGGACGGCCCTATCTGCTCGAAAGGCCCTTGTCCAGTTCGCCTTCAATAGTGAACAGAGGCTCGTCGATGGACGGAGTCCTGGACCTCTCTGATACGGGCGAGCCAACGTAACTTATGTCCCCGAATAAGAATTCGGTCCACGAGGCACCGAAGGTTTCCACGGATATATGGGCCTCAAGTTTTGAAGGGATGTCCTGGGAGGTTTGGGGGAGTTCGGGGGGATTTGTGGTTCCAGTAGTTTCATGGGCCTTTGTATTTTGGGTAGGTAGGTGTTGGGGGGAAGGGGCTTCCGTTTCTTATGCGGGATGGGTCTTAGGTATAAACGAAGATTTAGACTCACTCTCTGAGCTATTCTGTTCCGACAAAGGATTCTCATTTGCTGTAGTAGCAGACTCTTGCATTTGGGGCGCTCCCCTGTGGTTCTCTTTGTCGTCGTGGTTGGTGTCCTCCGGGGTGGGCTCGGGTCGCTGCTCATCGTGGGATTCATATTCTTCGTCAGCCGACTGCGACTTGGCTGCCTTTCGGGTCGACTGTCTTGTAACTCGCTTTGGAGCCTTCTTGGGCTGGGTCTTGATAAGTTTCTTGGAAGTGGTCTTCGTCACACGCTGGCTCTTCGAACGAGTCGGAGGTTCTGTGAGAGGTTCAGAGGTTTCACAAATGGAATTTGTCTGTGAAGCGCTTCGGGTCGACCTCGTCCGACGAGTGACGCTCTCGAGGGATACGAAGCCGCCAGGTGACTGTTGCTGAGAACGAGTGCGCATTTTGATCGTGTCGCGTCGTTCAAAGGCGACAACCGATCTTCAAAATTAGAGCCGACTGGAGGTCCAAAAAAGGTGCTAGCTGGCAAAGTAGCTCAAGAATTAATGTATAAGAGTACTCTTCGTAAGCAAGAAGAGGTGAGATCAAAAGACTTGCGAGGTGCAGTAGAGGATCAGGGTCGAGCGCGCAGAGGGTATAGAGACGTGAGAAAGAAGAGAAAAGTGGGAGAGAGGGGGAAAGAGGACGAAAAGACGTCCTGACAAGTTTTCTGCCGTTGTTGTGGTACTACGCGACGCGTACTCGCATGTGGCAGCGACCTCGACAACATTCACCTACCTAGGCAAGCAATTGTGAGGTGCAATTTGGCGCTCCGTTGCTAGTGCCTGTGAGATTTCGCAGTCGAAATTCGAAATTCGGGGCGGCGTCCAGGCAGAAAATACAGAGCGGTCAGCGTAATATCCAGTCACGTCCCGTGCACTCTCGCCATTCCATCCATCCTCTGTTGTTCTTGGGGTGAATGGCGCTTGTGCAATTAGCCTTGGAAGATGATCAGGGATTGCCGTAGGAGCTTCTGTCTGGTAGGCACCTGCCGTAATTTCCTTCACCGTTGAACCACCTCGGTTTGGTGAATTTTCTAGAGTTGGTGACACCTCGGAGTTCACGTAGTTAACCCAAGTCCCTTCACTGTAGATGACTCCCTCCGAAACAGGAATAAAGTGGTCGCAGCAGGAGAATGGAACGCGGGACTGCTTTGCGAAATTTTATTCGAATAGTTTATTGTACTAATGTAGAGCAGTTATATTGATACAAGTTCTTCCATATGTGTGGAAGAGATGCGGGTGACCGCAAACTCTCTAGCGTCCACACGAGGAGACAATGATATCGTAAGGTTACACGCCAATATTCAGTTACAGGAGAAAATAAGAAAGATAGAAATAATACAAACGCCATCGAACTGTTACATGCTAATCTCACCCTTCCAAGAAGCATCGGACAGTCCCAGGGTCTCAACCAAATGTTGCCATCTTGGGCCACCCCTCTCCTTCTTTCGCACATATTTAAGCAGCTTCTGTCTCTTGTGAACCAGTAGCCGTAGATTACGCTTGTTGTGTTTGTCTTTGTTCGCCGTTTTCAAATGGTTCGTCATATTAATGATCTTCGCAGTCAGAATAGCAACCTGCACCTCCGGAGAGCCAGTGTCGGGGCCAACGCGAGGAGTCTTTTCTGGGAGTTCGGTGGCAGACTGTGAGGCAGCTTTTGGCTTCGGAGGTAGAACCTTATCGGTATTGTGTCGTCCAAAAGCTTCGATGCATTTCTGAATATGGAGGCGCATCTTGTCCTGAGTGTTCCCATTGCTGATATTCAGAATACGATTCATAGCCTCCTCAGCATTCTTATGTTCCTGGAGATGTTTTGCGGCCAGTTCTTTCTCAAGTTGAGGATCCGCGGTGTCTCGATCGGGATTTTCAAGAGGCGAAGTTAAGTTCTTCGAATGCTCCAGCGCCTTCTGGAGTTGTTCTGAGCTAATGAAGTGGTTGAGCTTCGCATCCGCTCCCGAGCGAATTTGCGGTCCAGATTGAGTTGCCTTGAGCTCTTGAATGAATGGAGTTGGACGGCTTTCCACCGGATCCCCCAAAGAACTTAGGCGTTCTTCAGCGAGGGCCTGCCGGCGAGATATATTGGCGGCTTTGCGCCGACGTGATTGTGCTGTCAAAAAAGGATCATGTCGTCGCCTTTCCCGAGACTCTGCAGAGCCTGCTCTAATCGATGTTTTCGAAGGGTTTAAGGACAATGCGGCAAGCGGACTCTGAATGTATGAAGAACCTAGGAGTTGAAGTCAGATATTGGATCTATGCGCCGTAGACATCGAATGGAATCGCAATACCAGTAAAGGCCTTCAAAGAAGGCTGGGTGAGAAAACGTGGAGGCATGGCGATTCACCTGGACCTTCTGCAATCTTGAGTGAGGCCTGTCACTCTGAAGTCTCCCGAAATCTCAATGACCTCGGAAATAACGCTATACCGGATCTGGTACTTATACACACGTGACAATAATTGCGGCCCGGAGTCTCCGCAAAACCCTAGACTAGCCCTAAAATTCACAAACGGCAAGCGAAATTCGTCGACCATCTCAGCGCGGAGTTGAAGTTCTTTTTCGCGTCGTCTCTTCCCCGTCATCACCACCGCGACAAGCGCCAGACGATTGATATCTTCAATTCGCTGCTCTTTGCAATATCAATCGCCCACCATGGCCCCCTCTCAGCTCCCCCCTGTCTTCAACCCCACGTCCCAGGACATTGAGATGCTGCTTGCAGCACAGTGCCACCTGGGATCGAAGAACCTCCAGGTGCACATGGAACCTTACCTCTGGAAGACTCGTCCCGACGGAGTCAACGTTATCAACGTTGGCAAGACCTGGTACGTAATTTAGCGAATCCCAACTGAGACTGCGTAGTGGCCGAATTTTACTCGAGTCTAACATGCGGAATCGAAAATTACAGGGAAAAGATTGTCCTGGCTGCTCGTATCATCGCTGCCATTGACAACCCCGCCGACGTCTGTGTGATCTCCGCTCGTCCTTATGGCCAGCGTGCTGTTCTCAAGTTCGCTTCCCACACCGGTGCCACTGCTATTGCCGGTCGTTTCACCCCCGGTAACTTCACCAACTACATCACTCGCTCCTTCAAGGAGCCCCGCCTCATCATTGTTACCGACCCTCGCACCGACGCCCAGGCTATCAAGGAGGCCTCCTACGTCAACATTCCCGTCATCGCTCTGTGCGACACCGACTCCCCCACCGACTTCGTTGACGTTGCCATCCCCACCAACAACAAGGGTCGTCACTCCATTGGTCTCATCTGGTGGCTGCTTGCTCGTGAGGTTCTCCGTCTCCGTGGCACTCTCGCCTCCCGCGAGGTTGACTGGGACGTTGTCGTTGATCTTTACTTCTACCGCGACCCTGAGGCCGAGGAGAACAAGGAGATCACCGAGGAGGCCAAGGTCCCCGGTGCTGAGGAGGTTGCCGCTGCTGCCATTGAAACCGGATTCGCTGGTGAAAACTGGGACGTCCAGGGTACCGGTGCTGGTGTTCCTAGCGCTGCTTTTGCTACCGGCACTGCCGGTGCTACTACCAGCTGGGAGGCCGATGGTGGCGACTGGGCTGCCAGCGGTGCTGCCCCTGCTACTGAGAGCTGGGCTGAGACCCAGCCCACTGACGCCAAGTGGTAGAAAATGAAATTTGGTAACGTGGACAACCGTTGAGAAGGGTATGATGTTTTTCTTTCCGAGAACATGGCGAGTTAGGGGTACTTTGACATTTAAATCAATATTTCGCCATTATTTGATGAATGCTCGACAACATCCCCTGCAAAGAACACCCCTTGACATGTCTATCCTAGTCTCTGTTGAAAAACTACTCAAAAACGAAAGTGCAAAAAAAGTGCAAAGCTTTTGTTTGGGAACCTCACAACTTCAAAACCTTTTTTACTTTCCTTGGTATGCTACAGCGAACTCCTTTTTGTTTCCTGTTTTTCGGTACGTTGAGTCTATGGTGCATCGGGGAGGAATTGCATTGCCAAAGGTTGACTGGCACTCACGAGGGAAAGATATCCAGTTGTTCTATTTCGGTGAGCTTCTGGGGGAAAGCCCTGTGCTGTCAATTTCACAAGGTGTACTTAATCGTTACCTTGGTTTCTCCTTGTATGTTTATCATAATAGCCGTATTCGAGAAGTGATGCTAGCTACCAAGTTATTCGTCCTATCTCAGTAGTGTTTGCAAGTAACCGTATGAGAGTAGAGTAGACGTCGCCCGATACCAGTGTAGCGTTATACAGCATTTAGGTAGCAGAAAGACTTTACTCTTTCGGTGGACGGGGCTAACCTGGGCCCAATCCCAGAACCGAACCTGCTATTAAAAAAAAAAAGGAAAAAAAAAATACCTCAGGAAACAAATCCTACAGAACCATATGAATGGGTATCACATAAATCATCACATAACGACGCAACCTCCCTGAGTCTGTCCGCCTTTTGCCGTTGTCGTCATCCCTGCCAGCCTGGCGAGGTCTTCAAAGGTTTCCGTCAAGAGTTCACCTGTCACTGCGGAACATTCGGCATAACGATCGCAGCGGAGCTCCTGAGCAATCCGGTACGCCTAGATTCGTTAGCTCTATCACTAACGTCCTCAGTACCAGATGAGATCGCATACCTCCTGAGGGTAAATAATGCCTTCATCTTCTACTCTCAGGTCTCTCTTCAGCCCCAGCATCATGACGGGGATACGTTCGCCATGGCCATGTTGAAAGTATTGGATGATATCATGTCGCCACTGTCAAGAGTAAGTGCGACTCCTTTATCTCATAGGACAGACGTAGATACTCACGGCCTTGAGTCCAGATAATGATTCTCTATTGGATATGTCAAAGGCTAAAAGCACCACGTCCGGCTGCAACGTGGTCCAATGTTGATCGGCACTTGCGGTATCATACAGTTCAAGAGTGAACGATGCTTTTGAGAAGCGGATGTCGTAAAGAAAAGGCTGGTCAGTGTCTCGTAAGAGCTCTATATTTGATGAGTCTGGAGCAGATCCTCTCGTTTGGCTAGGACAATTCTTTAAGCGCCTACAGGATGTCCTTAGTATAATGTGAAGTACACAAGAAGAAGATACAATATATCAAGAGACCTGGACATACGATAAGAAAGTAGACTTTCCGCATCCCGGATCCCCTAACAGGAGGACAGTCACTGTGGACTCGTGATTCTGATTGGCCTCTCTGTCAGCCATTAGATGGCGTGCATCCACACAAAAATTGTGAACCGACGTTAGACGTTGGGCCTCACATCGCATTTCGACTCTTAGCTAGTTATCAAAGCCGAGTGCTTGATGAGTAATCTCGAGCGGCATCGGGTCCTGACAGAATTTCCGGCGGTTCACAACACGACATCCGCCGTTCCCGACATCTTTGAGATCTATTATGATACCGATAATGTCAAATATCAGAAGAATTATCTTGCCTAACTAGGGCCGATATCCTTTTTAGTGCAGTTGAATATTATTGATAGGTAACCAGGTGTTTAGCCCATGTGACAAACCAGTGTCAAATTGTGTATTTTGACTCACAACACTAATTTGCATCGTAGTCACTAGCATGTTGAAAGAATCCACCTCAAAAAGATAGATTCAGTCCATTGCTCTTCACTTAATTTGACAATACTTTCTTGACCGCATATTTAAGCGAACAACGAAGTTAACTAATTAGTTGGAATGGCTCCAACCATAGAAGATACAGACTAATGGGTGCGGGAATACTCTTCTACATAGACAAGGTAGCAGACGCACCAGTTGATGGTTGATGTGTCCGTCCGAAACTCGGTTGTGTTGTACAGAACCTCGGCAACATCTTATCCAACATTTATGTTCATCAAATCTCACATAGCCTAACTAAACATGGCCAGGAAATAAACCTAGCTCAATCCTGGTGGGAACCCGGGTAGATCGGGATCTCCTAAGAGGAAGACTGGATACGCCATGGGTTTTATTGACGCTGTGGTTCTCTGCTCCTATCTACCATAAGTAGGATTCGTTCCTGATGGCCAAGAACTGCAGGTGCAATATCGGTCTACCTCATAGGCACAATGTGTCTTTGGGGGATAACAGTTCGAAGAAGGCAAGCCATCAGCAATCCCTGTTACGTCCAGCAACTTCTGGCTATATCATGGGTGCTGACACCGTACATAATAGGGTGATACGTATTGGACGGAGATACTAGTTATTGATTGCTCCTCAACAGAATTCTAGAACAAGACCCGCAGGGCTGGCCACTAATGTTGCGGTATCAGTGTCTAATGGTTTGGAACACCCAATGGGATGAATATGGATTGTGTGAACTATCTAATACTACGGAACGTCGATGCCGATACCCGTGAGCCATTTATCTACAGTGGTTATATAGGATTCTAGATAGTTGTGGGCGTGCTCACCCCTATTGCTGGTAATGATATACTCACGGGTACTCGGCTCAGTAGGTGCAAGCCAGCTCGGATATCTTATACCATCCTCTCGAGTGATAAATACCAGCCAGTCTTCCCTGTTATAAACTCGAAATTTTTGCATTATATGACACAGACGAGAGTCTTCGGATTATATCCCTCTCATCCAACGAACTCTTAACCGGCCATGGAAAACCATGACACCCCTGATAAGTCCATACCGTCGGAATCACACATGGCAGAGATGAAGATCTTTAGGTCACTGGCGGCCCCTGACACAGAAATCCGAGAAGCCCAAAGTGCAGAAACCCTCGCGGCCCTTCACGACGGCATTACCCCTCCCTCGGGCCACAATACAGAATGGCGCATGGCACCTCAAGTGATCCGGAGTCAGGAGCGTGATGCTGCCACAGGGTTCAAGAAAAGAGAGTTAGGCGTGACCTGGACGAATCTGAGCGTGGAAGTTCCAGCCGCGGAAGCGGCGGTCAATGAAAACCTTTTGTCCCAGTTCAACGTTCCTCAACTCATCAAGGACTTCCGCCAAAAACCGCCGATGAAGTCGATTTTGACAGAAAGTCATGGCTGCGTGAAACCAGGGGAGATGCTTCTTGTACTAGGACGGCCTGGGTCTGGTTGCACCACCCTACTAAAGGTGCTTTCCAACCGCCGTCAAGGCTACCGTGCTGTGAAAGGCGATGTGTGGTTTGGAAACATGAGCCCGGAAGATGCGGCTCAGTATCGAGGCCAAATTGTGATGAATACCGAAGAAGAGTTATTCTACCCGCGGTTGACGGTTGGTCAGACTATTGAGTTTGCAGCGAAACTCAAAGTCCCTTTCCATCTTCCAAATGGTGTAAAGTCAGCGCATGAATACACCGCCGAGACTAAGCAATTTCTCTTAGAATCCATGGGAATCGCACATGCCGCTGACACTAAAGTGGGAAATGAGTTTGTTCGTGGTGTTTCAGGAGGTGAACGAAAGCGTGTATCAATTATTGAATGCATGGCAACCAAAGGCTCAGTCTTTAGCTGGGACAACAGTACGCGTGGCCTTGATGCTAGTACAGCGTTAGAATGGGCCAAGGCCTTGAGAGCGATGACCAATGTGATGGGGCTTTCGACTATAGTGACACTGTATCAAGCAGGGAACGGTATATATAACCTGTTCGACAAAGTCCTTGTGCTAGACGAAGGCAAACAGATATACTATGGTCCTGCGGCCGCAGCTAAGCCATTTATGCAAGACTTGGGCTTTGTGTATACGGACGGAGCCAATATAGGTAATGAAACACCCGGTCTCCTCTTGATATATATGAATTCTAACAGAAAGTACAGGTGACTTCTTGACTGGAGTTACGGTTCCTACGGAGCGGAGGATTCGACCTGGATATGAAAATACGTTCCCTAGAAATGCCGATGCTATTCTTGCCGGGTATAAAAAATCTATGATCTACGACCGCATGGTGTCTGAATATGACTACCCTACAACGTCCATAGCACGCGAGCGAACAGAAGCATTCAAGGAATCTGTTGCCTTCGAAAAATCCAATCACCTGCCGAAGGGTAGCCCTCTTACCACTGGCTTTGGGAAGCAGGTAATGGCATGTACAATACGACAATACCAAATCCTCTGGGGTGAGAAATCCACTTTCTTAATCAAGCAGTTCCTGTCACTTGCTATGGCTTTGATAGCTGGGTCATGCTTTTATAATTCTCCCAAGACCTCTTCTGGCCTCTTTACCAAAGGTGGTGCTGTTTTCTTCTCAATCCTATATAACTGCATTGTGGCCATGTCCGAAGTCACTGAGTCTTTCAAAGGACGGCCGGTCTTAGTGAAGCACAAACTTTTTGCCCTGTACCATCCGGCGGCCTTCTGCCTAGCACAAATTACAGCAGACTTTCCGGTGCTACTCTTCCAGTGCACGATATTTTCCGTGGTGATTTATTGGATGGTCGGATTAAAAGCTACAGCAGCTGCTTTCTTTACTTTCTGGATCATCCTCTTTTCAACAACGTTGGTGAGTGACACCAACCATAATCTCTCGTCATATTTTCAACCTAACCAGAACATACAGTGTATCACGGCCATGTTTAGATGCATTGGGGCCGGATTTAGTTCCTTCGAAGCTGCCTCGAAGATTTCAGGCACAATCGTGAAGGGAATAGTCATGTACGCCGGCTATATGATCCCTAAACCTAAGATCAAGAATTGGTTTTTGGAATTGTACTACACCAATCCTATGGCCTATGCATTTCAAGCCGCCCTATCTAACGAATTCCATGACCAATATATTCCCTGTGTTGGTAACAATCTGATTCCGCAAGGCCCCGGGTATGATAATGTTAGCCCTGCCAATAAAGCCTGTGCCGGAGTTGGTGGTGCTTTGGAAGGAGCAGATTACGTGACCGGCGATCAATACCTTGCATCTCTGCACTATAAGCATTCGCAGCTTTGGCGAAACTTCGGAGTAGTTTGGGCGTTCTGGGGGCTTTTTACTGTCCTCACCATTATCTTCACTTCGTTTTGGAACGCGGGTGCAGGCTGTAGTGCTTCTCTGTTGATTCCACGCGAAAAGCTCAAGCGACACCAGCGCAATTCAGATGAGGAGTCGCAGGTTAAGGAAAAAGAACAGTCCAGGCAAGGTTCAGTTGGGGATTCTTCCAGTGAAGGGCATGAAAACCTCGTCCGCAACACATCAATTTTCACATGGAAGAACCTTTCATACACTGTCAAAACCCCTTCTGGCGATCGGGTCTTGCTGGATAACATCCACGGGTGGGTCAAACCAGGCATGCTTGGAGCACTAATGGGATCCTCAGGCGCAGGAAAGACAACATTGCTGGATGTCCTTGCACAGCGAAAAACCGAGGGCACAATTAAAGGGTCTATTATGGTTGACGGTCGCCCATTGCCTGTTTCTTTTCAAAGAATGGCCGGGTACTGTGAGCAATTGGACGTCCATGAACCCTATGCCACAGTTCGAGAAGCGCTGGAGTTCTCTGCCCTATTGCGTCAACCACGAACAACCCCGAAAGAAGAAAAGCTTCAATACGTTGACACTATTATCAACCTGTTGGAACTTCATGACCTCGCTGACACCCTAATTGGCAGTGTGGGTAGTGGTCTTAGTGTCGAGCAGAGAAAACGCGTGACAATTGGCGTTGAGCTTGTATCGAAGCCAAGCATTCTTATATTCCTGGACGAGCCCACGTCGGGACTGGATGGACAGTCTGCATACAATACGGTTCGATTCCTCCGAAAGCTGGCTGATGTTGGCCAGGCGGTATTGGTTACTATCCATCAACCCTCCGCCCAGCTATTCGCACAGTTTGACACTCTCCTCCTCTTGGCCCGAGGAGGCAAAACTGTCTACTTTGGAGATATTGGCGATAATGGACAGACCATTAAGGATTATTTTGGCAAATATGGAGCACATTGTCCTACTGAGGCCAATCCCGCCGAGTTTATGATCGACGTGGTCACCGGAGGCATTGAGAGCGTGAAGCATATGGACTGGCATAATGTCTGGCTTGAGTCCTCTGAGCATGAGGCTATGGTCACTAAGCTTGACCAATTGATATCTGAATCCGCCTCTAAACCACCCGGCACCATTGATGACGGTCATGAGTTTTCCATGCCGCTTTGGGAACAGACTAAGACTGTGACCAATCGAATGAACGTGGCATTGTATCGCAACACTAAATATGTCAACAATAAGTTCTCCTTGCATATTATCTCTGCCTTGCTGAATGGTTTCTCCTTTTGGAGGTTAGGCCACCACGTGTCCGACTTGAATCTAAAGATGTTTACGGTCTTTAATTTTGTCTTCGTCGCTCCGGGAGTGATCAACCAACTCCAACCCCTGTTTATCCAGCGGCGTGATATCTACGACACGCGAGAGAAAAAGTCCAAAATGTACTCATGGGTGGCCTTTGTCACAGGATTGATTGTGTCAGAGTTTCCTTATCTCTGCGTGTGCGCTGTTTGGTATTTCCTCTGCTGGTACTACTGCACCAAGCTGCCTCATAATTCCAACAAGGCAGGCGCTACTTTCTTTATTATGCTTATCTATGAATTTGTTTACACTGGCATTGGCCAGTTCATCGCAGCATACGCGCCGAATCCTACATTTGCTGCATTGGTGAACCCCTTGGTCATCAGCACACTGGTTCTATTCTGCGGTATCTTCGTGCCTTACGCCGAGCTGAATGCGTTCTGGAAGTACTGGCTGTATTACCTGAACCCTTTTAACTATGTTGTTGCGGGCATGTTGACCTTCGACATATGGGATTCCAAGGTGACCTGCAGCGAGAACGAGCTCGCTATATTCGATCCTGCCAACGGCACTTGTGCGGAGTATCTCAAGGACTACATTGCAAAGGCCGGTCGAAGCATCAATTTAATCAACCCGGATGCCAGGTCTAACTGCCGGGTCTGCCAGTACAAACGAGGAAGTGATTTCCTGAGGACGCTCAACATCAACCATTACTACTATGGCTGGCGGGATGTAGGCATTTCGGTGATTTTTGCTATAAGTGGATACGCGCTGGTTTTTGGTCTGATGAAACTTCGAACGAAAGCGTCTAAGAAAGCTGAATAGTGGTGATATCGTCTCTACATGTTCACAGATGGAGGTCTTGGTGAGAATTACTACAGGCGAAAGATATGGGATACAGACTGTATATAGAGTATAAACTGGGTGTGTATATAGGGTATATTGTTTATAGAGATTGAGTGATATAGATAAAAGGTGCTCCATTGCCCCTACTATTATTCTACTGTAGGTCATCAGACACATTAACAGTGTGGCATTCGCCTACTTCGGGATACATAGACCCGTGTCTATAGAATACAAGGTAGTCATAGCCATAATAATTCCAAAAAAGAACCCCTATTAATTGCATATATTTAAAAAATATACCATGACCAAGACCTAAAATACCGACATCCGTGCGTCCGTACTAATACCATACATGTACAATACACATCGGGCCAAATTTTCCCGACTCTTCCATTCCGAATGATTTCGCCTATCAAATTTCCATTCTCACTCCCGAACGGACTGCGATCTCACCTTCCGACGTATATCTCTAGGGGGATGTGGAGATTGCAACGCAGAATCCGGTTCACCTCGAGTTGCATAACACAGCCGAATCCGTTGTTCACCATCACCACTCACCGAGCCTTCCAATCTTCCCCGCATCAACAACACGCCAGTGTCGAAGAATTCACAATATCAACTATGTCCTCCGGAGCGGGTGAACCCTTCCCCGCACAGGGCCACGCCCAAGAGACTCAACCCGACTACACGACATGGGATACCCCGAGTTTGATATCACGGATCACGGAGCTAGAGCGTCAGTTACATTCTCGTACGGCGGAGTATGCTACGGGTACGGTCTCCGGTGAGCAACAGCAGCTGCAGCAGCAGCATGGTGCAGTGTTTCCGAATAAGAAAGCGAAGAAAAGGGCGTCTGAGTCGGATGATATCACGAAGACCAGGGCGCACAGTCGACCGCCCAAGGAGGCGCGCGAGATCGACCCGTCGAAGTACAATACACGGTTTATTGCGCTCAAGTTTGCCTATCTGGGACAGCGGTATAATGGGCTGGAGCATACGAATGGCAATGTGACGCCGCTGCCGACGATTGAGGAGGAGATGTGGAAGGCCTTGCGACGGACGAGGTTGATTCTTCCGCAGGGGGCAACAAACGCGGACGAGGAGTTTGGAGACCCGCGCAAGCCGAGAGCTTTGAAGCCGTACTCGCTTAATTGGGATGGGTGTCAGTATTCCAAGGCGGGGCGGACGGATCGTGGAGTCAGCGCTTTTGGCCAGGTGATTGGTATTCGGATACGGAGTGCACGGCCGAAGAAGAAGGATGTTGCATTATCTACTGCGGATACTACGATGCAGGATGGGAATGAGACCAGTGGATTGACAGAGAGCGCTGCTGATGACAACTGGGATGATATTGCAGATGAACTTCCCTACATAAGTATGCTGAATAGAGTGCTTCCGGAGGATATTCGGGTATTAGCATGGTGTCCTCATCCGCCGAAGGACTTCGACGCTCGCTTCTCTTGTCGGGAACGCCAATATAAATACTTCTTTACCCAGCCTGCCTTCTTTCCCACGCCTGGGCTTCCGGGGTTCGCTCCTCGCGCAGAGAACACGCGCCCAAAGTACCGAGAAGGGTATCTGGACATCGATGCGATGCGCCAAGCTGCCAAATATTTCGAAGGGGTGCATGACTTTCGGAACTTTTGCAAGCTGGATACTAGCAAGCAGATTGAAAATTTTGAACGGATTATCTATTATTCCGATATTGAGCTGCTCGACACGAAGAGCAATCCACTTGGTCACCTCAGTCGACCTGGTTTCCAGCCTCTGGAGTCTTCTGTTGATCAGGGTCCGGAATCGCCAGGGAGTTTGTCTTCCAAAAACCCCCAGGTCTATACATTTTCCCTTCAAGGATCTGCCTTCCTGTGGCATCAGGTCCGGCACATGGTGAGTATTCTGTTTCTTGTAGGCCAGGGACTTGAACCGCCTTCTATTGTGGCAGAGTTATTAGATGTATCCAAGAATCCAGCCAAGCCATCCTACGAGATGGCTTCCGACGCCCCCCTTGTTCTTTGGGACTGCATTTTCCCCGATCTAAACAGTGGGACTCGCCAAGATGCGTTGGAATGGATTTACGCTGGGGATCCCAGACAGATGAAATCCCAGTCCGGCAAGGGGAGCGGCAAATTTGGACTTGGCAGCATCACGGACGGGCTCTGGTCTGTTTGGAGACAGCGCAAGATCGATGAAGTGTTGGCAGGAGCGTTGCTAGACTTAAGCATTAGCCAGGGAGACCAACGTCTTGCCAACGGTGAATTCACGGATGCGGGCGTGGATAAACAAAATCGAGGACAAAAGGTCTTCTACGGCGGAAACGAAACTAGGGTCGGCGGGAAGTATATACCGGTCATGCAAAAGAGGAGGAATGACCCCGTAGAAGTTCAGAATGCCAGATGGCGGGCTACAAAACAACGGAAGGCTGGAAAAGTTGCAGAGGCGGAGCAAATGGAATTGTGAAAGAGAAAAGGGAAAGAAAAAAGAGCTGCACATACCTTGATAGAATATAGAGCATATAGACGTGAATCAGCTACTTTCATCTAGCACCAGCTAGACGACCCTGCCTTACGACTTCGAATCATAAAGGCAACGTCGCGAGCCCCTCCAGACTTCTTCCAATATCGCCCGTTTCGGTAAAAGTTTCTACATCGACATTGGTAAGCTCTTCCAATATTACCAGTGAGACGCACATACCGGGAAAACCACCACCACTTCGGGCTCTCCTTCCACAATAACCGCGAGATAAAATCGAACCTCAAACCCCTTGAATGCCTCGTGTATCACGATATCTTGAATCTGCGTGGTAGGTATGAATCTCGTCGAAGCTTTGGACAGGTAAGTCAAGGAGGAGGTAGATGTTTGGATCCCTAGGCCGCGTATAACGAGCAGTGACTCTTCTGTATAGCAGAGATCACAATTAGTATCCATGATTGGATCCCACGAGGGTTATCTGTCACATACCCGTATACCCCTTTCTGAAGACGCCGTATATCACTACCGCACTAACCAACGTGACGACCACCGGACTATATACATCCGCAATACGGCAGATGAACGACCCTAACGAAGAGGACCAAATCACTGACCAGCGCAGAGCCGATCCATCTTGATAAAAGTACGAGTCCCGCTGCCTTGCGATGTTGAAGAAAACCACGCAGACAAAAATCAATGCGCGCAACAGGATTTGGAAGTAGAAGAGGATCTTTGCCGGGGTGCTCGTGTGTCGGGAGGCATTGGAGACCGTAAACGACACCGTGGTCGGAGATGGACGCCGTGAGATGAGACGACCGGGCATTTACCTATCAATTTATGACTTTGGGATGGGCCAAGTATGAGTTCCGGAGGAAGCAAATAACCCCTCTGAAGAGAGACGGGCTTGGCGGCGGTCTGGATCGAACTAGTCCCGATTGGAAATCCCAGCTAATTATTTTAGTTCCTTTCGTACAGCATCACGTGGATCGGGCCACACTCCGCTGCAGCTCACTGTTGTACCAATCACCCACTCATCCGTTGCAGCCTGATCATTCACGGATAATGGATGACCGTTCCAGGAGCAGATCTCCAGGCAGGAGATTTGACGGCGACAGAAACAGGGACCGACACAGGAAGGCTGGAGGAGGTTTTCGCTGGAAAGAGAAAAGACGCGATGGCGACGACCGACCCGAACATGGACGACGATTAAACCGCGGCTACAAAGACAGAGAAGATCGGGCACGGTCGCCACGAAGGGATAGGGATAGCGATGGGTATGGGGACAGATATCGAGATGGAGATCGCGAACGAGAACGAGAACGAGAACGAAGGCGTCCGGAAGGGGAGGAGCGAGACGAACGACAAGAAAAGAAGGATAAAAAGGAGAAGAAAGAGAAGAAGAAGAAGGCTGCTCTACAGACTTCTGAGCCGATGATCACGGTCTATGTCAATGACCGTCTGGGAACGCGCGCAGCGATACCCTGTCTCGCATCGGATCCGATCAGTCTGTTGCCCATCAAACACCCTCCAACTTGATGGTAGCGTTACTAACTCGATTCTAGAGCTCTTTAAGGCACAGGTTGCAGCTCGTGTGGGCCGAACCTCTCAGGAGATTCTCTTGAAACGCCAGGGCGAGCGTCCTTTTAAAGACTTCCTTACACTTGCTGATTACAGTGTTTCAAATGGGGCTCAGCTTGACTTGTAAGATCGTCTCTCTTTTCCCCCTGTCCGTATCCTCTACAATGGTAAATGCTAACTACAAGTTATACAGGGAGGTTGGCACAGGTGATTGAGCTTGTCTGATTGTACTATTGCCTGTCTGACTTTTATTTATTTTTTTGTTTTTTCTCTTTCCGACATCTTCTGGGGCAAAAGCATCAATCAGGATTGGAGTAGGGAAATTTCATGGGGCTGTTACTATCATGCTATATTTCTCTTTTTTTTTTTTTTTTTTTTTCCGCCCATCCAACGTTTCCATGTACCTACCGGCCAATGGAGACCACGCTCTTCTTCTCGTACTGAACCCATTCGTAACGGGGGAAGCTGTCATGTCCGTCTGTCTGATTTACCTTCCGTTTTGTCTATCATTTTCTGTGGGGCGCATGAACTTTGGAGACGCCTATCCTGATCCGGCATTCTACCACCTTGAGGCAATGGCTAAGACACCTGAGGCAGCAACCGTCTCCACTAACTTTTTTTTTTTTCTGCCCTTTTTTTTAAGCTGGCGGAGAGACTCACACGACCCTTCTACCTCTAGTCACTCCTCCAATGCCGTCTTCGCCGTCCAATCGATCTGTCACGGTTTCTAACCTCCCCGATATGAGGTAGTTGGTCGTTCTCCGCTGCCGGATTGCTTGTGCCTTTTTTGATCCCGCCTTCTTACTGGCTTTTTTAATTCTTGTGCTGCATACATACTTCGTGCTAATCTATTTTACCGATCCCACCGCCTCCTCCAGATCTGCCGCCTCATCGGATTTTCTTGCATTTTCACCACGTCAAAACAAGTTCATCTTCTGCCTTCCTCTACCACCATTCTCCTTTCCCGATCCTCTTCAATCTGACGAGTGTAACAACATGGTCCGAAACATCGTGGTCATTGGTGGCACGTCCCACCCGCAACTGACTCAGACTATTTGCGGCGTTCTGGGCATCCCTCCTGCCGATGTCCTGCTTTCGAAATTCGCCGTGGGCGAAACCCGAGTTGAGATCAAAGAATCTGTCCGTGAAAAGGATGTCTATATCATACAATCTGGTGGCGGGAAAGTGAACGACCACCTCTTGGAACTGTTGATTACCATCTCGGCTTGCAAGACGGCCTCCGCGAAGAGAGTCACTGCTGTTCTGCCCCTATTTCCGTATTCCCGTCAGAGTGATATCCCCTACAACAAGGCCGGGGCGCCTCTGGTAAAGTCATCGGTTAGTGGAAAGCCGGGTTCAGCCGGTGGCTATACCTTCGAAAGCACCCCCTCAACCCCGCATCCCGGAAAGCCCGAGAGTGGGAGCCTCCTCAACAGCGTTGACAACCTGCAGAAGGGTCTTGCAAAGGCGCAGTTGGATGAGCTTAACAATGGCAGTCCCGTCAAGAAACGCTCATCCAATGGGCTCCCTCGCAGCGACACAATCGATTCGATGAAGTCCATTCTCGCCAATGGAAATGTCTCTGACGACAGCGCGGTCAAGATCAACAACTTCCAACCCCGTCCTGGTTACAAACAATGGGTAGCTCAGGCCGGTACCTTAGTGGCCGACTTGCTCACCTGTGCGGGTGCAGACCACATCATCACGATGGATCTGCATGATCCTCAGTACCAAGGCTTCTTCGATATCCCGGTTGACAATTTGTACGGACGACCTCTCCTCAAGAGCTACATCCAGCGCAATATCCCCAACTATAAGGGTACAGTGATTGTCAGTCCCGATGCCGGTGGTGCCAAGCGAGCCACGGCCATTGCCGATTCTATGGGCATGGAGTTTGCTCTAATTCACAAGGTTTGTAATAATCTTATCAGCGTTTGCGGCTCATAATTAGTCCTAACTGCTTATAGGAACGACGCCCTACGCGAATCACGGAACGTCAAAACGCCACGATGATGTTGGTTGGAGACGTGAAGGACCGCACAACGATTCTCATCGATGACCTTGCGGACACGTCGAATACCATCACTAGGGCCGCGAAGCTTTTGAAGAAAGAGGGCGCTGCCCAAGTCTATGCACTGGTCACGCACGGAATCCTGAGTGGGGATGCAATTGACCGCATCAACGCCAGCGCTCTCGACAAGGTCGTAGTCACCAACAGTGTGGACCAAGCAGATCACCTACGACGATGCCCCAAACTGGAAGTTTTGGAAGTTGGTCATGTCTTTGCAGAGGTAATCCACAGTTTTAGACTTTAAAACGGGGTAAGATGCTAATATTCAATCACAGGCCATCCGCCGAGTCCATCATGGAGAAAGTATCAGCGTTCTCTTCCAGTACGACTGACCGACTCACCTACCAAAAACGCTGTCTTTTGTTTCTTAGTGTTCCACATTTGAAATGAATATCGAAAAACAGCGATGAACTGAAGTCACGTTTTAGGGATTTCTTGATTTACTCATTAACGAATTGTGTCAAGGCATCATCATGCCTAGGTCTATGCATATCATACTTACTCTCGTCATTTCCTTCCATATATTCAGTGGATCTTAAAAATGGGTCTTAAATAAGGTTATACAACGATGGCTGCTAAGCCAAGACTTCATATTTAAATCAATATTTTGGTAGTTCTAGATACCTAATTTTTCGGATTCATCAAGCACGAGAAATCATCTTCGACATCACATACAGATCAAGTCGGTGCCAAAGATAATAACTGTTACATTTGACGAGGTTGAATGCATGGTTCTGGCGCAGGAAAGAACGATTTCACTCAAACAAAACATCCGTGTTATCTATACATCCAGGATGTTGTCTGTCTACCTAGCTTGTCATGTACCACACTACAAAATACATGCTGAGAGCAGGACAGCAGCCATCAAAAAAGTTATATAGGTAGGTACACTGAAGGATACACTGAAGGATACACTGAAGGAAAGCAAGAGACATGCTAGGTAGACAGATCCTAGATGCTATACTATACTCATCCTACAGATGCGAGGGAAAGTTGCTCAATTGAGAAGTATCTATACTGTGCTATTTCACACAACGCAAAAGCAGAACGAATCCCCCAAACGCCACAGTAGGAATAGATAGATAGATAAATAGAAGAGATCACAAGGAAACACCGACAGGATCTGCCGGGGGATTTAATGCGCTCATTACAGGGAAGTGGGTACTTGATAAAACTAGACACATGAAAACCAGAGTGAAAACGGATGACCGGCACAATATCACAGGGCGGATACGAGTACAGGATCGGTATGACGGATGGAAGATGAGACAAGTTAGGAGATCGAAACGTTTAGAAAACAGAGATAAAGTTGCTAATCCGCTCTTTCTGGTTTTGCGCAATGCATTCGGCGATCCAGGTGACGTTTCGGATTTCCTATGGTTAATATCAGGGTTAGTCGGTCTGGTTCCTAGGAAGCCGTGCGGTCTCTATACTCTGTCAGAGGAACTAACCTGCTCCTTTAACCTCATCCATGCATACACCACGGCAGGAGTAAATTGACGAGTGAAGGTTAACTTGGACAACTCCATTTCCTTCTGGTAGAATAGGTCCTCGAGACTCTTTCCATCCGAACTTCCCCCCATCCCACTAAGACCACCCCCACCTTGTGAGAGACCCACGGCGTCGAAGAAGGCCTTGTAATCCGCAGCGATGCTCACGGCGAGTGTAACCCCTTCCAGATCCTCGGCCCGAGAAAGCATCAGCGACCCTTCGGGATAGAGCTTACCGAACTCAGGGTAGAGCTTTCTCCGTTCCTGCTTCGAAAGCTCCGTGCCGAAAGAGTTCAGCGTGATGTTGATGGCACGGCGGTCCGCCTCGAATTGCAGAACCTCTGACATGACCTCCTGGGTGGAGGTTCCAGTGAAATCGGGGTGCGTAGTTACGAACGAATAGAAATCCTCCAGATAATTCTTGTAGAGTGTGTTGCGCACGATCTCGATGTTCAGCTCATCAAGGTCTTGGTGGCTCAGACTACCCTTGAAGTAACCGGCCAGCGGGGTCTCGACCAACACGGAGTTATACAGTTCTTCGATATTCGTCGCCACGCACAGCACCGGCAGCGTCTCGAACCAGCCCAGAGGATGGCACCGCTGCAGGAGTTCTCGGGTGTCTCGTTCATGTAACGTGCCCGTAATCAGGAGAGCGATGTTGTCGATCATGTACCCATAGGTCATGTATTCCAGGAATTTGGCCGTCGAGCCAGTAGATTGAGCGAGGAGGTAGCGAAATTCGGCGACCAGCTTGTCTGTCATCTTACCGGCAAGAGCAGAGGTGGAGGGGTTAGGGGGAAGCGCGGCAAGAAAGTCGCCATATGCGGGCGCCAGTTGCAACTTGACATCTGTCCAAGCCAATCCCGGTGAAGTTAAATTAGTGCGAACGACGGAGATGGAATGAGCGGGAAATCAAATCAGGAGAACGGACCGTCAATCGTTTCGCATTGGATCAAGTTATTATAATGCTGGCTGGTGAGGAGGGCATTCCGATATCCTCGGACAATGCCCTCGACATAGCTGAGATGAGCGTCAGGGGACGACTCGGAGAAGGGACTGGGAGAGAACATACCCGCTGTGCACGTTGAAGAACAGACCCTCCATGGTTGGATTCCAGGGCGATACTATTGACAGCAGTACTATTCTATTACTCTGTCTGTACATACTGATGTTAGTTGTCGCTTCGCCGCACGGGTTACATAAGCCGCACCGCCGCACGCACCAGCCACTCACATCGTTTTTTTCACTTTTTTCGGGTCGAAGGTAAAAATTTCCCGCCAGCAGCGAAACTATTCCCTCCAGCACGCTCTCGGTGGTTTGGTCCACGGTCGCTCTTCTTCTTTCCCTTCCTCTTTCGAGCTGTGATTTCACCTACCCTATACAGCTGGGATTCGAGGCCGTGCACCATGACCCTATTTATCCTCACCGAAACCAGCGCGGGCTATGCCCTGCTGAAGGCCAAGGACAAGAAACTGCTGAAGAGAGATGATTTGACTACGGAGGCGTCCACGGCAGAGGGTGTTTCGAACTTGTAAGTCAGGATTCTCGCTGCTTGGCTTGCCCTGGAAGTATCGTGTTCTGCTGCGTTCAATTTGCCGGGGCACGGAGCAAAAATTTTTCCCTACGTGATCGAGTGTTCTAACGCTGTCATTAGGTTGAAATTGAAGAGTTTCCAGAAATTTGACAGTGCTACTACTGCCCTGGAGGAAGTTGCTTCTCTCGTTGAGGGAAAAGTAACGCCTCGTCTCGCTAGTCTTCTAGATGAAATTAAGGACGAGAAGAAGGTCTCACTGGCAGTGGCTGATCCCAAACTTGGTATGTGTGCTCCACAGAGAGTCGCAAAAGTAGACGCGGATATTAACGTGGAATTGTGAAGGAAATGCCATTGGCAAGCTTCCCGGCATGTCAATCCAACTGGTGGCCGACTCCTCCACCGCCGATATCTATCGTGCTATCCGTGAACACCTACCTACGTTAATCCCCGGTCTCCTCCCCCAGGATATGTCTACCATGGCCCTGGGTCTGTCCCATTCCCTCGCTAGACATAAGCTCAAGTTTTCTCCCGATAAGATTGACACCATGATCGTGCAGGCCATCGGTCTGTTGGATGATTTGGACAAGGAACTCAACAACTATGCTATGCGTGTGAAGGAATGGTATGGCTGGCATTTCCCTGAGCTGGCGAAGATCCTCAACGATAACCTTGCCTACGCCAAGCTCGTTCTGAAGATGGGCATGAGGACCAATTGGGAGGCCTCCGATCTGGCCGAGATCCTACCCGAGGAGCTCGAGGGTTCCGTCAAGGCCGCAGCCGATCGCTCCATGGGTACTGAGATCAGCCAGGACGATTTAGAAAACATCCAGGCGCTAGCTGAGCAGGTGGTTGGATTTTCTGAATACCGCCAGCAGTTGGCCAGCTACCTATCCGCTCGTATGAACGCGATTGCTCCGAACCTGACGGCCCTCGTCGGCGACCTTGTCGGTGCCCGTCTCATTGCCCACGCCGGCAGCTTGACCAATCTCTCCAAGAGCCCTGCCAGTACTATTCAGATTCTGGGAGCCGAGAAGGCGCTGTTCCGTGCCCTGAAGACGAAGCACGACACCCCGAAATACGGTCTCATCTACCATGCTTCCCTCATCGGCCAAGCCACTGGCAAGAACAAGGGCAAGATGGCGCGTGTCCTGGCGGCCAAGGCCTCTCTGGGTATCCGTGTGGACGCTCTAGCCGAGTGGGATGATGACGCTACGGAGGAGGACAAGTCCGCTCTGGGAACGGAAGCGCGGTACAACCTCGAGCGGAAACTAGCAGCCATGGAGGGCAAACCCCTCAAGCCCCGCGGTGTTGCCATTGCACCCAACGGTGCCGCTGTGCAACCTTCGAAATTCGAAATCAACGAAGCCCGGACATACAATGCCGACGCCGACGCCACTACTGGTGACGAGCCCTCTGCTAAGAAGCGCAAGAAGCTGGTGGAGGAAGTCGAGGACCAGGATATGGCTGATGTGGACTCCTCTGGCGAAGAGCCCCAGGTCAATGGCACCAAGGACAACGATTCGTCGGACGAATCGGAAGAGGAAAGTGGAAAGAAGCACAAATCCAAGAAGGGCAAAGATGTGGAACTCGAGAAGATGGCCGAAAAGGCCGGTCTGAGCGTGAAGCGGTACAAGCGGAAGCTCGAGCGCGGCGAGATCGAGTTCGATGCTGCCGGCAACCCCAGCTCGATCAGCAAGAAGGATCTGAAGAAGGCCAAGAAGGAAGCCAAGAAGGCTTCCAAGGGTGACGAGAAGAAGCGCAAGCGGACAGACGACGGCGAGGAGGTGGATAGCGCCGAGAAAAAGAAGAAGAAGAAGAAGAGCAAGGAGTAGATGATGTTCCAGTCGCAAAGAAAAAAGTTTACACCTGATGGGCACGCTTCAAATTTCCTGTATGATATCATAGTCTGTGTGGGTTTGAAATTTTCTTGTGATTTTCTTTTATTTGTTGTTTTGCCTTTGCTTTCGATTTATATTCTTGGGTGGCATTTACGGATGGAATGCAGGTCTATCCATGGCGCAGCGGTGCTCGAGTTTTTACTATAGGACTTGAAGTTAGGAATAATGTTGATATCACCGTCAACCCATCCTGTCCTACCTCCGTACAACTCAGTACTACAACTACAACTAACATGACTTCCCTAATGCCGAACAACCTCTACATCGCCCTCTATATTCGTACGGATCCTCCACAACCCAACAACTTCCACTGGACCCTCTACCACCACCACTACCATCATGACAGTGCATCCCCCGCCACCGGCACAAAATACCACATCATCAACGAAAGCACGGGCTGGATAGCCACGCACGGTCGCGAATCCTGCATCCTCAAGACCTTCCTTCTATTCGGTCTTGTACGCATTGCCAGCGTCCCATGGGACGCAACAGACGCGATAGACCGGTCGATCCGCATGTACGACAGCCAGCTGAACGCGATGGGAGTCACATGTCGGACATGGCTGTTTCGCGTGCTGCGAGATCTCCAGGAGGACGAGCACGCTCTTCAGGGAGTGGACCTGGAAGCGTTGGAGGAGGAACTGACGCAGTGGGGATATGGGTTTGCAGATGAGGCGTGTCGGAATGTACAGCCTAGACCGGTGGGGCAGGCGGTGGTTTCTTTGGGCCTTCCATGATTATGATTGATTCATTGATCGATCAATACAATTACTGCTTCTATATTGAATTCTTTATTTTATATTGCTTCAATAGACCTATTGTTTACAAGACCAAATAGCAAAGTAGAGTAAAACGGATTCAGCCTCACCGCCCGACAATCATTCTGCCGACAAAACTGACAATTTTCCCCTCTTTTTTTTATCGAATCAATCAATCAATCAATCAATCAATCAAGCCATAACTATCCATTCGTTCAGATTCATAAAGATGAGGGTATGTTACACCCTAGGTTATATTCACATATTCTGTCCCCGGAATAAATCCAAAAACCTAAACTAATACAATATATATAGGTCGTCGACCCCCAATCCGCCGTCCTCTCCAACATCGAAGTCTTAGCATATATCACTGCAAACCCACCACGACGTCCTCCCAATCCGCCACCGAATTCACGGAACTGGGTACCGAGTCCTGATCTGCGCGATCATAATACCGTGGTAAAGGAAGTATGTGACTACTAAATTCACTCTTGTTTCTGAAGCTGTGTTTTTGGTTTGGCTTGATATTGAATTGAAATGAATGGAATGGAATTAGCCCATCTAACACTTACATAGATCCATAACTACGTGTCTCGTCTCTCGCCACATATACTAAAATACCCACGATATACACCGGAGGGGATACCCGCGCAGACACAGACGCAGACGCAGACGCAAACGCAAACGCAAACGCAAACGCAAACGCAAACGCAGACACAACGACCCGCTCCGCTGGACCAGAGCGCGCCGATAGACGATGCACTCCGGGAATTGATTCAGCGATTACAGCCGTTTGGGCTGACGAAGGGTGAGGTGCTCATGATTATCAATCTTGGTGTAGGGCTGCATGGTTCTTCAATGGGAGAAGACGGAGGAGAAGAAGGCGGGGAACAGTTGGAAGAAGCGGAAGGGGTAGGAGAACAGGACGGAGAAATGCCGAATGGAGTGGATGAGATGCAGGTTGATGCGCAGGGAGAAGAAGAGGGCGTGGGGGCAGAGGAAGCAGCGGGGGAATTGTCGGAGGATGATTACGGTGCGTTGGCGCTGCTGGATACGGTGATTGAGGAGCGAGAGGAGAGATTGAGTAATGAGGATGTGGGCATGGTTTTGACGATTATTCGGGAAACATTGGGGCCGAAAGGGGAGAATAGACCGGTAGATGGGGCTGGATAGGACATTGATTGGGCTTCAGGATAAATGTATAATATCTTACGAATTGGTCGATTCTTGATTTCATGGTTGGTCCTATGGGCTTCTCATCTATACAAGCTTGGTATCATATATCTTCCCAGAAGTAAAATATCGTACAAGAACATTATTCCGCAAGAAGAAGAGAAATGTAAAGAAAAGAGTAAATGAAAGCCCATCGAAACGCCATACTGCAATGCAGGCCACCAAGTAACGGTCAATCCAACCCGCAAATATGCGCAAATACAATAAGAGTAAGGTATCACAGTTACCAGTCCAGAACCCCTGGAGGATTATCATTTTAATGGCCCTTGCCCTTGACCAAATTTCCAAATTGGTTGTAAATAGGCTCCTCGGAACTGTCTCCGCTCTCCTTACCCCAGGTTCCCTGGTCATCATTAAAGAGATCTCGTTCATAGCCCGTACAGACTTCGGCATAATCAATCCATTCTCCCTTGTCGGTCCAAAGGCCGCCCCTGCCGCCTCGCAGATCCCACCAATCTTGGCCACCTAGTAAGGCTGACTGCGCCGCATCGAACCCCGTCGGAGCACGCATGGATTTGCGGAGAAGGGCCCGGGCCCATTTATAATACCACATCTTGGACCACCAAGTGTCACGGAGCATCGGGTCCCCATCCAGGTGCACCAAGGCAGGAACATTGGCCGAGTGGACGTTAGTCATCAGGGGAATATTGCGCCAAGAATGGTTGCGGGTGCTGGGGAGGGTATCAAGCGTCCCGTTTAATGGAGGATTCACCCATTCATTCTTCCCAAACTTGGGCTGGGTAAACGGGTTTTTGAGTTTCTCAGAAGCAAGATCCGCCGGCAGTAAAAGACGTCTCTCGCGTGGAACGCCGTGTTGCATCTGGACGGCAGATGTCTTGGAGATGTTGTTATACTGAAGCCATTCGACGTCCTTCTGCGAATTAAGCATGTTGAAAAACAAGCGGGATTCGTAGTCGAGTCCAATCCCGTATTCATACCGTTGTCCAGTTTCAAGACGCGGGCGCATCTTAGTAATGTTGGTGGCATCGGAGATGCCAATCAAGTGATACAGCCATTCCCTGACCGAGCTGGAGGTTCTCCGTCGTTCCAGCTCCCGCACATATTCCTGTCGCCCAAATAGCTGGGTCAAAGCAACGTAATCGCCTCTTACGTTGCGATGCTGCTCTGCATACCGCATCAATTCAGCGTATATCGGCTTCAGATCGGCCACCTGGCCAATCGCAGCACCGGGTTTGATCCACCGTGGCCGATTCAGGTGCCCTTCCGAGTGAACATCGGTCTTCCAGCCATACGCATCCGGAGGGAGGCTGGACTGCGGCACGGAGACACATCCTGCATCATTCGACAAGATTGGGAGACAGGCCTTACTGGCGCTAAAAAGTACTCTCTGGGAGTACTTCTGCACTGTTTCCGGCGGCCCTGAGGGCCGTTCCACGGTCACTAGACCGTATTTATCTCGCAATTTGGCATTATTATCTCGTAAAAGGCTTTGAAACCGCTGGATCATCAGCTCCGGCGGTAATTGAAAGAAAAAGTCATTGGTTCCGTCCGCAATCAGGACAAAATCAGAGTCCTGGATATGCGGAGTATATGCGAGGAATTTGTAAATGCTTGATACCCGGTCCACCATCGTATCGTAATCTCGAGACCCTTTGGGGAGATCTTTGCCGTAGCTAACCAACGTAGGCGGTGGATAGTTGAGAATCATAGCGGAGGTCAGCATGCGACATAGGGAAGCGGATTTCTGCGTTGCGGGGATGACAAAATGGAACGAGGGGTTCGATTTCTGAAGACTAGATGGGAGGGTATCATTTCTTCTCAGGGAAGGAAGGCTGGTTGGGACGACCTGCGCATCCTCAGGGCGCCCTTGGGACGGTCGATATGATGGATACTTCAACCAGTAATTGACAGGTTGCTAGAGCAATCGCGAAGGGTTAGTGTCAGCGTCCAATTCCCAATATCCCACCACGGGGGAATCGAAGGTAAATGAGCGACTTACTTGAGCGGGTGAACGTAGTAGGAGAAACGTCAGGGCGAAGAATGTAGCAACGGCAAGAAAGAGCGCTCTAGTCGGACGACTCCTCACACGACAAATACAGAGCTGGTGTGAGACCATCTTCGCCATCGACAGCATAGAATTATAGCGATCGGCCCAGGGGCCATTGTGGCCGCCCAAGGTGGCCATACTCACCAAGTATGGCAGATTTTCTCAACGTGAGCAAGGGAGAAGAAATAATCCAGGGGACATCAAGTCCAGAACAAAATCCGCTTAACGTGGCACAGGTGTCATTCGGGAGATGGACATTCCTGCTGTGAAACGATCGATGAACGGATTGAATCAAAGCAGGGACTGTAGCGATAGTCTGGTCCATGGAAATGAATTAATTCAATGGCCACAACATATTGCGGGAATGCGTATAGCGTGTATGGGAAGGGAGATGATGACGACAGGATTAGAGAAAGAGGAGAGAACGAGCGGAAGTTACATCCCACCAAATAAACAGCGGGAAGTCGAGATGATTAGGAGTTTGGGACCTTTTGAGTGTATGTTGCAAAATGCGAACGAGACAGGGAGTGATTTACATCGGCGGTGGAGACTCCCACATATGGATGAAATCCAGAAGTCGAGGCAATTCCCGCAACACTGGCGATTTGCCAACGGAGATACACCAGAGTATATACCTACATGACAGGTTCAGGGTCCATTCGGTCTAGCGCATTATAATTTTGATCTGGTCGAGCCCATCTCAGGCCACTCACACAGCATCCATCGCACACGGGAATGCTGTACTTCGATGGGCCGCGTCAGCCAACGATCGTCTTTGTCTTGGGCTGTTTCCACGGGCGTTTCAAGTTAGTTATCACCCAACAAACAATGTGGAGTAAGCCTCGAGATTGATCATCTATTCACCTCTCTAATTTGTATATACATACACTTTTCGAACATTATACGACAAGACTTGAATCCCTTTACTCCAGATAGATTTCCTCGCGTAGACGCTGTAGATTCCGGAAGATTCCACCCGCGGGCCCTTCACTTTCCAGGCGCCGATGACCAGTTGGCGCCTTTGATTTGGCTTGCGATTCCTGTGACGAGTTTATTCTGCCCTGATTCTCCAATGTCCGACGACGGTCCTCGACTATCTTCGCCAGGCTATCCACGAATCGATTCCGCGCCTTCTCCTCTGCCGTCCCCTTCCAGACCACAGTTAGTTCTCGTAGGGCCTCCACGCGTTGTGTAGCAGCTTCGATCCCCTGTTCACCACCGCCATTACTGTCCAGAAGCTCCGTCACTTCGGTGCGCAGCTTCTTCGCGACCTCTTGGCCCTTATCCTCACGACTATTGCTCTCAGGACCGGGGTCGGGAGCTGACACCGAGATAAAGGACGACGCCAGTGACGTCTCCGACGGTGGCAATGACCATTCCATAGCATCTCCGAAGGTCTGAACGACTTCTTCTAATCGGGAGCGGACTTGACTTAAGGTTCGTAACTTCGTGATATACTCCGGATCAGTCATGGAGGGCCGATCATCGCATCCATTCTGCGGTGGTTGTTCCTCAGATTCTGCTCGATCGCCAGCACCATCTCGCTGCTGGTCGTCGGGGACGAACTTCGCAACGTCGTCCCGTAGAGCTTCTGTCAAGGTATCCGACAATCCGATCGCTTCTCCGCGCAGCACCTCGACCTCGTAGGCGAGCCGTCCACCACTTCGGAGGATTTCATCCGTGAGTTGGGTCAGATTGTTCGAGAGCCGAACATTTTGCGCATTGATCTGGGTCAGGATGGATTGGACTTGGGTCGATGTCTCGGTGAGGGAGACGGCCCCAGTACCTCGAGCGGCATTTGACTGCGATGACGCCAGCGTCAGCGGAGGGAGGACATCGTTGAGGAATTCAGCAGGGTCAAAGGAAGGGTCCGTGAAATTGGGTTCGAGCGAGGGTCGTGAGTTGGGAGTCCGAGCACCAGCATGGGCTGGACTAGGGGTGTGGGACGAAGCCATTTAATCGGACAGTAGGGTACTCCTTCTTGGAGGCATTGAGGGGCAAGGTCGCCCGTAGTAAATATTTATAGCATGGGCCGAACAAGGATCGTTCGTCAAGCCAGAAGAACTAGGCGATGGATGGTTGTACTGACTTAACTATGGATTACTGGGAACGAACAAATTGGTGGCTTTGAGGCACCACAAGGCCCACTCACCGCCCCGCGTAATGGTGGCCGACCATATCAGACACGCTATGATATATATGCAGTAGTGTCAAATACTCAATATAAAATTGTAACCTTCAAATTGGTCAAATTACACACCACTGGTTCCTCTAAGACCAGTCGATAACAAGGAAAGTGGGTATCGTCACTCAAATCCAACAAGAAAAAAGACAGACTAGACTAGACGCACATCACCATCATCGGTGCAGTGAGTTAAAACCAGACATTACCATATACTCATCTCAGTACCGAAATCCCCGCTGTAGGCGCAACTCCGGCTATCATGTTCAGATATTTTCAACCACTCGTGCATTCATCGCACGTTGAAATCCATCGTCCACCTGTCCAGACCCATATTGACTAGGTCCTTCGCCGGCATTTTCGGCAGCCGCGAGCTGTTGCTGCACAGTTTGGTTCATCGCAGGCAAGAAGATGACCTTGCTATTTGCGGTCTTGGCCATGGACTGCATGGCCTCGAGATACCGAATTTGCATCGCAGGGGCAGAGGAAAGAATATCGGCAGCCTAAAGGGAGCGTTAGCTTTCATTCCAAGAGCGTACCCAATGAGCCCAATCATACCTGTCGCATCAATTTGGCTGACTCCACTTCGGCGCGAGCAGCAATAACCTTACTTTCGCCGATACGCTTGGACTGCGCAGCCATGGATAGCGAGTCTTGCAGGTCATCGCTGAAGATGATGTCCTTGATAAGCATGGACTCGACCAGGACACCCCAGCCAGCTGCCACATCCTCAATAATCTCGGACGTCGACTGCGCAATCTCCTCACGTCGTTCGATCACATCCTGCAGAACCCTGGCGCCAATGACATGGCGTAGAGTTGTCTGAGTGCGCTCTATAAGCGCCTGACGTACATTGGAGATACCGAAAGCAGCCTTGTGGGGAGAGACGATTTGGTAGTAGATCACCGAGGTCAGGTTCAAGGTAACATTATCCTTGGTCATGCAGACCTGACGAGGGACCTCAACGATCTGAATCTTGACATCCACGGCGGTAAGATGCTCGCTCAGAGGGTTCACTTTAACCAGACCAGGGTCGACAGAACGCTCAAACCTAAACGAAGCGTCAGTCTAATAGTCTCTTAGGCCGTAGTAAATATGGGCCCACGAACCGTCCGAATTTAGACACCAAACCGACCTCGCCTTGGGCCACTGGTTTGAACGGGTTAGGGCAGCAAATACAGCATGGGATGGCGCCCAAGAATCCGATACACTCTCCGAGGGTGTGGACTGCAAGAATTTGTTAAGGCACTAACGAGGCAAAAGGTTCTACAGATAGGCACTTACTCATCCCCGAATACCACCCGTGGGCATCGGGATTATCACCATCGTGCTGAATCTTTTGCGCATATTTGGGTTGCAAATCGCCCAGACGAGCAGGTTGGACATTGACCAGCCCGGACGCGGACCGATGGTGGGAGCCCGAAGACTGGGCGGGCGCTTTGCCATTTGACTCGGAGCGGGCTTCAACGGACATTTTTGTTGTCGGCAGGGATTGCTAGACACTTTGTATACGGTCGCAGGTGGAGACAAGTTGATGGATTTGACAGTCAAAAAGGTGGGAGAGCAACCGGATATAATCAGATAGATAGAAGATGAAGGTTACAATTGGAATGTAGGCTGTAACTTTGAGAGTGGGATACGTGACGACGATGAGATGCAGAGCGGAGGAAGGCAGGGGTAGTTAAATATCTCGCGCATCCAAGTCAGACTGCCTCAGTTTGCTACATCAGGACTCCGTACTTAGGGATCTGCTCGCTCCTCAACCAGACTGCGCTACAAGGTGTGGGTCTTTCGGGCGACTCCTAGTCCTATGGTGGAGCACCTTCGGCTATGCCTGTCTGGGTTTAGCCCGCCTGAAGCCTCTCTTTTAGGTTTCCAATGCCCCCTTCGCCCAGGCCTGAGTAAGGAGATCCTTTGGTGCTCGTGATCAGGTTCTCCTCACGGCATCGTCATAGGCCATCATCTATTGCTCTGGCCAAGTAACTTGATCCAAGCTATAATACGAGATTGCTCCTTTGGGGAAAACGTCAGCACGTCACGAATGGGGCAACCATGAACACTGGTCTATTTCTCCGAGGGATGACTAGTTGATCATAATATGGTCCAGGGTATACTACTGCTTCTAGCCTTCTAGATGTTTTCTAGCCGTCGAACTTCGGTTAGCCCCAATATGATAGCTGTTGGTTAGTGGTAGTTGGTTCCAGATGCGTACACAGCCTTGTTTGGCCGTCCATTACACTGGAAAGCAGGGCTCTCTGATGGCGGCACGTCGTCTCTCGCCATGTATGGTTTTATTCATACGTCACCACCTTCCATGCCATACCTTCCATCCAAACAAATATCCTGGACTGGTTATATGACATTCAACTGCTAATGCAACCGGGCGCAATGGGGCAGTGCTTCCTTTGCGCAACATCGTCAGAGACTAGCAGAATCTATCCACATTACCTCGGACGTTGGTTCCGAAAATCGAGCCGCACCCAGATTAAGGACGCGTTTACAGGGAATAGCATGGCCTCTCTTCCCACCATTATGTTATTGTACACTTTTCTCTTCCGGTTGATACTGGCACATTTAGGTAATAGGAAGGACAGCAGACAGATGCTACCACTGGCACCCTACTTGGGCGGCACCATAGTGGGTCGTCCACATATTCTACTGAACTTTATCGGTGTTGGCTAGGGAACCTTCCCAGGTATGTGAGGGCCAACTAGGCGCATAATTCCGTAGGAGCCTATATAATATAGTTACGGCGACAAGCCTTGTTCGGAGTCATATATGCTGGCTCAGGCGGTTGTATCTAGTCGGATGAAAAGTATATCGCAAAAATATATACCCAAAATCGGCAACCCTACTAAGGTAAAACAGCAACGAGCGAAGTTTTATTCTGTTAGCAGACATGATGGAAAAAGAAGTTGGAGCCCCCATAAAGTTGTATTTTTATTTGTAGCATTCCAGAGTGATCAGTTAAAGCCATCGTGGGTTGGTGATTATATTAGGTTCCAGATTTCTTATATTATCAATTAATAATATAATCAAAGATTATTCAACAGGAGCATCATTGGTCTAGTGGTAGAATTCATCGTTGCCATCGATGAGGCCCGTGTTCGATTCACGGATGATGCATTCTTTTTTGGACTTCGCGATTTTCACACCTAGCCTACTCGCTTCTAGGAAGCCCATCGCCGCTCAGCTGTCCACTTACCTCATGTATCTCTATATATCTCTACTAAATAAATATATTTTTTATAAAAACATAACAATTTACAACTCTAAAGTGCGTATAAATAATATGGCCGCAGGTATACAGTCGCAGGACCGACCAGCGTGGCGATTGTGATAGTGGTGGAACATGGCCATGGCTGTGCGTAGATGCGTTGACGTCATTGAAATTTGAAAGTCCGGCAGAATTATGGTCATGTGAGCGGACATTCCTAAAGTAGCATAGGCTTGAGTGTAAATAGTACCTTAAGATGTGAAATAGAAAAGTTCTCTTTATTCCTTTTCATTTTTGGGCCCAAGACTTTCAAATCCCCGTTTCTTTTCATCGTTTCTTTTCACTCTTTTTTATTGATCAACGTTAAACAAATTGTAGATATGACTGACTCCGAATAGAAACAGTCCCATTCTTGTTGACGAACCCCCTACCAACTTCAACTCAGTAAAATATGTGAATGATATAGGATTCTAACTGTTCCTAATATCCTCGCATTTAAACAGGAGTGTGTAACACTAACCTAGTTTCCTATTTATAAACTGTAGTACAGCCTGCCCGCTTGGACAGGGATCAAACTAGCAACACCAGGTTCAGGTTACCCTCTCCCATAGTTAAAACATGACCTGAGTACCTACACTAGGTAGCTCGGGCTCCCAGCATTGTATGTTGCACCAGGAGTGTGTCGAGGGCTCCCCATCCAAATGATCCCCTTGACATGGGAGCCAAAGGAGCTAGAAATGTGAGCTGCAGTGTTGAGTATGGGGTTGCCTCCGTCACAAATTGCGTCATGGATGGTTTGTGCACCCTGGGTTCAGACCAATAAGCCTCTGTATTTCGCATGTAGCAAAAGAAGGGAAGTGACATGAACACTACCTGTGAATAACCAACCAGTTCTACTTTCGTGTTTGGGCAGCGATTTACGAGACTGGTGACTTGGTTGGTAACGGCCGCACGCTCTGCTGGACAGAGTAGCCGTACGAATCCCCTCCAATGGACGGATAGTTGATCGCCTTGGATGTGGTACCTGGATGTGCATTGAGCATCAGTTTCACAATGCTTCCTGCGGTACCAAAACCAGGGGGGCAGTTGTTTCATCCGCGCCAAATACATGGATGCTGGGCCTATTATTCTGTCGTGGCTGTAGATTATCAGGGACAGCTAAGGCGGTACCTACCAGCAAGAACCTGGACAGCTTGGAGAGCATTGTGGGGGGTTAAGTATTCCACCAGACTCGCTTTGTTGAGACATAGGTTTATGAGCTTCCTACCTAGAAGACGCCTTCTTACCTTGAATTTATACCATCAGGTCTGACTTCCGGGCCACGGGTGTAGCATGCGCTTATCGGACGACGCCTCTTCAGCAGTCTGGGCTTAATAAAATGTCTGTTTTCTGCATGAACAACACCCCACTGTATTCATGTTCCTAGGATACTGATCTAATATATTGAAGTGATCTTTAAGGGTTGGTGAATAAATCGCCTTAGGAGGCAACAGTTGCAGGCTGAACGCGGACCCCACTTGCCCTACTCATCAACTCGACTTCCCTTGGCCAGAATCCACAGAGGTGTGCATGTTACAGTCAGGAAAGCATAGATCTATCCCGTGATGGTCCCAGTTTAGCCCGATGGAACAAGGCTGTCTAAGTTTCAAACATCCCGAAACAAGAAGCTCCAGTCTAGGCTTGATCAATTTAGGCTATACAGGGAGCCGATAGCCCCTATCGGGAGTGATACTGTTAGCCCCGACTTGATATAGGCTACTAGGGATAATTTCGGCTAAGTTAGCAAGGGTTTGATGTTTGACTTTGTGAATCAAGGAAGAGCGATCCATACCCCCCATTTGGCTTTCGCAAAGTATGGAGAAGCAAAATCGATTGACCTGACAGAGAAGATGGAGACCCAGTGTTTTGGCTGAATTCATTTGCAGGCGATAGACAGGGGCATTTTATGGCCTCAAATGGAACAAGGCAACTGTTGACGATCGATCTTAGTTATTGTCAAAACAAACGTAGGGATTATGCACTGCATTATCTCAAAGAGTATGATATAGGCTATTAAATTGGGTTTCATGATATTGGTATGATGCATTCATTATATTATAGTTCTTGTGACAGTAGATCGGCAACATAGAAGATGGCCCCTTCGGATTTTGACAATTCATCTACCACGGTAGAGGCAATGGTGTGGGCAAATCCTCCCCTAATACCGGTTCAGCAGTTCCAATATCCCTGTCAAATGTTAGATACAATATAGAATTCCCCATCTAAAGAGATGAAACATACCTAGGGCCACGCGGTGCCCAGTATTCGCCTGTCATACTGAGATCAAAATCCTCAATAAATGAAGCAAGTGACTCTGCTGCCTCATCGGGGGTAACAGCTATGGCAATTAGACTGTGTCTATCAACGGTCGACAGTAAAAATACTTACCTCCACCATCATCCCAATATTTATCAAATCCCACACTTCTCGTCATCTCCGTGCGCATGAAGCCCGGATGCACCAGACCAACCGCGATGCGCTTCTCCTTCAGATCCAGACTCAGCAGCTTCCCCACCATATTGAGAGCAGCCTTGCTGGCATGGTGGCCGTAGTTCCCACCACCTTCTTTCTCATGACGTAGCGTGATGCTTCCACACTCGCTGCTGACCAGGATCACCTTGCTGCCTTTGTCTAAGAAGCCTGCCTTAACGAGCTGCTGGACCACGAAAACGGGCCCGATAGCAGATGTGGTGTACATTTTCACTTGTTTCTCCCAGTCAGGGGCATCAAAAGTCTCGAAGCCGAAGTACCCTGCGGAGACGATGGCAGTGTCGATTTTCGACGAGTGGGGTAATTGCGTGACAAGTTTCTCGCCAACATCGGGCTGGGAAACATCGATGTTAGGGATCCAGGAGACACGGGTTTGAGCACTGGATTCGGTGCTTGATCGTGTGGTTGCGAAGACCTGTTTTGTGGTTTCCTTGGAAGCGTACAGGTTCCTGAGGGAGGCTCCTAGCCCGCGAGTCGCGCCAACGATAAGAATGTTGCTCATTTTGTGCTGGGAGTCTCGGGGATATAAACGAACTTTAGATGAATGGTATGTGCATAAACTAGTAGACTTTGGATTTATGACCCTTAAGTTGTGTGTGTAGTTGAAAGATCATATCGCTCAAACTCGTAAGGTGAACACTTGGCGCAACCCTGGTACCCAATGACGTAACTGGAGCAAACAACCCACTGTTACTTGGGAACTTGAAATTGAAAATGATACTGTTTTACAATGACTATATTGAGATAATCCCTGAGTTTCAATCATAGATAACTTTGCATCTACTTTAAACGTTGCCCTATACATGATATAATCCCACACTGGTGCCCCGCTTCTTCCTATCGCGAGGGGTTTCGGGAATTCTTCTGTTATCATCTGTTCTACTTGCGCCTAGTAAACCATGTTAGCTGTCAACTGAAAAAAGACAAGAAAGAAGAAGAAGAGTATTTAGTTGCTCTAGGACTAGTATCACGTACTGACACTGCAGGTCACAATCGTATAGGCGTGTTGGCCAGAAAGGGAGATCACTAGTCTTCAATGGTTTGGCTCGAACTGTACCCCGTAGCCAATATACTGACAGAGGGACTTCTTGACAGGCGTTGAAGAGCCGACGCAAAACTAACTATATTGTCTTTATAGGAAGCCCGTCTCTGTTTCCTTTCCTTCATCAGTTCTACCTAGAGTATCGTGGCATACTTTGGGCTTTGTTGCGAAGCCTTTCATCCAGTAAACAATTTCCATAGCAGATTTATATTCAAAACAAGAGAACTATACCACGTGCAGATATCTGTGTCACATAAATACAGGATGCGTCATGCAGTGTACTTTGGAAGAGCTCTGGGTTTAACGCCTTGAGCAGTCCACCCACCACTGGATTCCCACATTTTTTGCCATACCATCTGGACCCGGTGATGCCACAACTCGTAGCCATGCTGCTTTTAATAGAATAGCATCGCCTCAATATGATTGTCAATATAAATAGAGAGCAAGCGGTAACTGGTCAATCCCTGCTTAGTCAGGCCCCTCCAAATTGCGGGAGCGGAGAATGCAGGACCAAGGAACATAATGACCAGACAAATTTGCTCATTCTTTCCCCAAGTTGACTGTGAGGCTGGAGCTGGTCTCTTCATGCCTCCCGGAAACTGATAATGAGTTCCATTTCACAACTGCTTCTCAATGTGAAAAAAGCCCGCGCTGTCTTCAACAGCGCTGCCTTCAGTAGAGGGAGGAGGAAATCAGATACTGCAAGGAATAATCAACAATCGTCTAGACACACTGCATTTCCATCTTCAGTGTCGTCAACATCTGTGTACGCTTGTTTTCCCTTGCAAGTCCTGGGGCTTTGATATTAGAGAACCGTGTACCGTTTTCGCTAACAGAGGGACAGTATTCAACATGTCAATTTAGTACCCACTTCCTCTTCCTGGGATCTCCTCCCTGTCGAGCTCCAGATTAAGATATTCGCCCATTGCGGAGTCACCGACCTTTTGGCCTTCAAGCTTGTCTGCCGGGCCTTTTACCAGATTCTGACCTCTCAGGAGCACTTCATCACTCGACAGTACCTCCGCCAACGCCGCCATGGAACCCTTCCATCTCCGATAGATAGCGAAAGAACGTACACTCGACACCCAGAAGATGATGTGGTGCTATTATCGGACCTCTTCCCACCCATAACGAGCGCTAAGGGGGGCCACCTATATACATACAGATACATACATAGTCTCCGACGCCGCCAGAAACTCTGCTCGAAGCTGTGCTATTACCTTGCTGACCGTGTCGTTGATCGCTTTGTACGCAGCGAACCTGGGTTTATGAAGTCGAGGTTCGCTTCGAGGTACGAGCGCAATGACTTTGTGAAACGGGCAACTGCGACTTTTTGGTTCTATCTAACACCGCTTATGTGGGTAGTTCATGATTCGATGTTATCCACTTCCCGTTTTTCTGACAATCTCTATACCATGACAGGTATTACACATTATACTTCCTTGAGACCTACAACCTCGCGAGAAGAGAGCAGACAAATACCCTGCTACGAGATTTCGAAGCCGGCCGGCTACCAGTTCCCATACCTCCCGATGTTCGCAAAACTATGTATCGAGACTTGCAGGTCCAAATAATTCGATCTCCTCCCTTCACAGACTCCGCCACTCTCATCTCCACTCACCATTGCATGCAACTTCTTGTGACATATCTACAACATACCGTTCCACCAGATGAACCCGGACCATCGGATGATAGCTGGATTGGATCGTTACTCACCGTGTCGCCATTCTTGCGAATACTGGAATATTTCTCAGCCGAAATCGGCGATGGCCGAAATCAGCGTAACCAGCGGAAAGAGTTCATGCGTAATTTCCATAATGACATCACATCTAATGAAAAGGATGACATGAACTCGTTGGTTTTTGAGAGCGCCCCCAATGTACATGTGCACGGCTCTACCCAAGACGTCTGGTTTGATGTTGTTAGCGAGGAATTGGTTTTGAGAAGAGCCGTGCCGCATAGGCCCGAGCAAATTGTTGTTTGCGATGGACTACCTGTAATATTTGGATGCCTGCGCTGTCGAGACTTTGCAGGATGGAGAGCGTGATTCTTTTCCGATGATTCGATTGATAAGTACTTTAGCATGCATTGGTCTGCGGATATGAGGCGTTATTCTTGGGATTGTGGCATATGGACCACCTATGTCGGGAGTGTTTCCCTTCCATTTTTATGGCATCTGAGTGATGTACGAATACCACCTGATTCTTGCATCCAGTTTTGTTATATGATAGGTGCATTGAATGAATAAAAGGCCTCGAAAGTATACTCCGTAAGCCTGGCGTGCCCTGATATGCTATGCTATTCTCGGAGCTTTGTTTGCTCTGTTTGCATGCTCATCACGTCTTCAGATAAATCAGGACAAACACCACAGAGGTTGCACATTACACAATACTTCATTTGACTGGATGCATACTCTTTAAACCTAGATATGTGACCTGGAGCCTGCCCGCATAAGATAGCTGTGTTGGAATCTCCCGTGTACTAGGGTCTCAACAATGGCAGAAGCAGGCATCAACCAGTTGCTCAACATTTCTTGGACATTGCACCGTCTCTCCCCCTTGCACCATGAGAAAGAGTATCAGACCCTTCTCGACAACCCTGTCGCTCTAAAAACATACGCGGCTCGACTGCGCGATCAGCTCACCGGGAATGTACTCGCGGGCGTCCAAACGGGCGCGCCCGCCGTCGCCGAGGAATCTCTCTTTAGAACCGGTGCGCTCAAAGACTGCACCTGGGAGACGATCTCAACGCTCGCATTATTAGAACCCGAAGATGTGTCTGGTTCTCATTCTAGCAGCCAATCGGCTGGAATATCTGTGACGCTGGAATACGAAAACATCACTTACAGAGCTGTTTTGCTCGCACCTCCGAATCCATCTCATACCCTGTCTGCTCGGAAAAAATCCACGTATCTCCCATTGCTGCTGACTCGGTTCCCGAGCCCGCTCAGACAGAATTTTATTTCGTTCCTGTCTGACAATTTCGACACTTACTGTTCGAGTCTTCGTCTTCCGTCGCAGTTCATGTGCTCCGCACTGGAAATGTATCTCAATGCCTTGAAGCTAGGAGATGAGGGGAGAGACGCCCAGATTGTGCTAGAGGACATTGTGAAAGAGTTGCAGTTGACTGTGGCGTTTTCTCCTCATGTTGCGCCCGCACTGAGATCTCTGAACATTAACGTCCCACAGTCATCGTTGAAGAGCGTGATGCTCATGTCTAGTGGGCCGTCGGGGACACCTGGACACGGCTCGGTCTTATCGGGCCTTTCTGCCTATGTTGAGAAACATCTAGCAATGGATCTGGATTTGGCTGGATCTTCTTCGTCGTCCAATGTGACAAAACAACATGTGCGTGTTTCAAAGATCGCATGTGGTGGGTTCCTCCTAGCTGGCGAGGGGAGATTGAAGCTAGTTGTTCAGCTAGGGAAACCCGGTTCTGGCGATAGATCAACTGATAATGATGAAGAAGCTCGGAACCAAAGGAGCCGTCTTGCGTTGCGGGCCAATGAAGCCTTGCTTCATCTCGTTCTACGAAGGGCTGCTTCCAGTGAATTAGACGACATATAGTGAAGTTGACCACAAATTATCGAAGGTGTTGATTTGTCTGTAGTCCGGATCTACTCTGCACTTCGAGGATCCATACAACTTTTCTTTGCGTTTAAATGCAATCCTATGGTTGCAACAGACGGAAGATATCAGTGATATTTACTCGGCCGTATTTGTTACATCTATCAACAGTAATTAAAGGTACAACATCCCATACAATTCTTTCGACCCCTTCGAGATAACAGTGATATAATCGTGTCTCAATCATAATCTACGTTTGCCACATGTCGCATATATAAAAGTTGTTTAGCCCCGAAAACAAGAGCGGACACCACGAAGGCTTAGGCAGTTAACGTTTGCTCCGATTCAGCAAGCCTGAGTGCCTCATCAACACGCGAAACGAAATGAGTCATGCCTCCACAACGATCAACTATACCACTTCTCTCAAACATGTGGAAGACGTCGCGATTGGGAAGGCGGCAGAAGAAAACCCTGGCACCCTCATCGGCGTAGCTGTCCACAATTTCGAATAGGACTTGCGTCCCCGAGCCGTCGATACTGGTGACCCCGTGCACGTCAAAAATCATATTCTTGTTATGCTCAGCGGGCCGTATTCGAGGAAGGGAAGGATGCGCTCGATTGGTACCATATAGTTCTAGTCGACGAAGTCGGTTTTTGAGGTCTCCGGTGTTCGCGAAGGTGAGCGGCTCTGGAATCTTGACAATCAGAGCACTTTCGACCAATTCCACTTTCTCAGGGTGAAGTTCAGCGTTTTCGAACCGGTCAGATGTGCCGGATACCTTCCCAAGGATCTGAATTCGAGGTTGGGTGGAGTGACGAATGAGGATCAGTATAGAGAGGCCAAAGCCAAGTGCAATTCCTAATTCTAAAGAATAGAAAATAGTTGAGACGAAAATGAGACCCATCAGCACTAGTTCTGTCCAACCACGCAGACGTATAAAGAAGGCTAAATCATGAGGACACTCCTCAATTAGAGAGAAGGCCACAACAGATATCATGGCAGAAAGTACAGCTTTCTACATGGATTTAGCAATTATACAAACAAAGGTATTGCAACGGAGGGGCATACCGGAAGATAATATAGATACGGCAAAAGCACCATGATGCAAATAAATGTGATGATACTCAGCAGTATGCTGCTCATTGGGGACCGCGCACCGGTCGAAACATTGACTTTGCTTCTCCCGTATCCACCGAATGCTGGTAGCGCCATGAAGCAACCACCGACAACATTTGCCGCACCGAGTGCCACCATCTCTCTGTTGGCGCTGACAGACATCCCCTGTACGCCGGCCTGTCTAGCCGAACCTAGTCCTTTGGCAGCAACCGAGGACTCGAAAAATCCAAGTAGTGCAATGATGAAAGAGGTACTCATTGCGGTTCGCACATGTTTCATATGTCGGACTTGGAACGGCCAGCTAAATGCGAAAACGCCATTGGCAGTGTTCTTTGTTGGACCCAGAATTTCAAGTCCTTGCTTATCCCAACCCAGGTGCCACGTTAGGATAGCCGAAATGATGACCACCATGATACGGTCCGGAAAGTAAACAACGAGGGGATATCGGGGATGCAGCCACTTTTTGAGAGTCCTAAAATCCGCATACGTTAGATAACAATTTTTTCCGAGGGAGAAAGTGGGTACATACCGAAATACCATGATAATAATGAAGCTGCCGAAAGACATAGCAGTCGTAAGGCCATGGAACTCACTGATGTTGCTCATTAAAAACACCAGCTTGTCAACAGTGCTCCCATGGCTCACGCCCGTACCCTTCGCTAGATCTGAGAGTCCCACCTCGGGGATGAGCTGGTCCACAAATATGACACAGCCAATAGCTGTGATGAAACCCCTCAAAAAAGGCCGGCTCAAGACGTTGTCCAGGAACCCTAACCGAGTGAGACCGGCGACCAAGATCATGGAGCCTGCCATGGCCGTAGCCACCCCGACGACCATAGCACTTGCGGCTTCGTCATCTTCTCGGGATAACCCTTGGCTCACACTGGCTTTGACGATAGTACCGGTCAGCAAAGAGCCGGCCGCTTCGGGGCCGACTATCATTAGCGGACTGCTTCCCAATACCGCATATATGAGAGGATTAAAAACGAACGAATAGAGGCCATTGATAGGGGGAGCATGCGCCAGATTTGAAGACAAGGACAATGCCATTGGAATATAGATTGATGCAACAGTCATCGCTGAGATCAAGTCCCCTCGAAGGAAGGACAGACGGTACTGAGTGATCCAATTGAAAAAAGGAACATAGTAGGATATATACCTTGATGGTTATCAGTAAAACTCTGGTGGGAGGGCTCCATTCTCACATACACATATAAAGACGTCCAATTCTTCGTGGGTAAACTCGAAGTCGACGATTCCATCGATGGAATATTCTCTGGGCCTTGAACAGAATCAGAATTTCCGGTAGGACCAGTTTCTTCTGGATGCCCAGGCCTTCCACTATTTCCAATTCCGTTCATTGAGCCCGTATCCCATGCTTGGCCTTCGCCCTGTTCCAGCCGGGGGGAAAATGTGCCGTGGTCACAGAAGCCTCTCAAACCGCACAAAGGTTCTCGGCGGTGGTATGACTCTAGCAGACGAGTTCTCTCTCCAGGTGGGTAACCTGTTGTAGAAGCTCCATGAGCCTGGGTAGTACCAGCATGTTCTGCTGAGCAATTAGGAGCGCTGGTTGGAGGCGGATTGCGAAAGACGTCGAAAATTCGCGCCTGCAAAGAGCGATTTCGCTCGCGATGAAACAAATCGGGATCCGACATGTCGAACCGAGGTCGAGTATAATCCTTTTGACCCAATTACGTACTAATTAAGCACAGTGCAACTCGCGTCATAAATCCCCTTCAAAGATGGGAAGAAGACAGGTGATAAAAAAAAAAGAAAAAGGAGAAGGAAAAAACTTGCTCTGGGAAAGCAACGATGAGGTAATTCTCTAGAAAGACGGAGCCAATCGACTAAGCTCACACCACGTAGGTAGTGCAACAAGCACTATGCCCAGTAACTATTGGTAATTAGCGCTTTTATTGGGATGACGATAGCGTGGTGATTTGTAGCGAATATATTATTACCATCAGGACAATTAGTGCCACATCATCCCACTGCAGCCCAGAGCCTGTAAGAGGAAGAAAAAGAAGACGGAGAAGGAGAAGGACAGATTTGAAAGTATGGATATCTCTCTCTTCGAAGTCAAAAGTCCAGAAAATTGGTTGGTTCCGCCGCGCGATAACGCCTTGTCCTTATCGGGTTCTGCCGGGCGGTGGCACACTGCCGCCACACGTGACGGGGAACAAAGCCCAAAGTGGGTTTTGAGCCGCCACAAAGTGATTTCAATTGTGTTTGATCCCAATACCGCCATTCGCTTGCGCTCGTCCACCTCAGCTCTCCTCACGGAACCCTACCCCGGAGGATCGATAGTCTACAGAGCTTAGTCTCTGAATTCCGCTGTTCTTAGAAAAAAAAGTTCTTTCGCCGCTTCGAATCCTTGCCTGGCAGACGCTGCAACCCCGCCGAAAATGTCCTTAACAAATTGCCGTTTCTACGAGGAGAAGTACCCAGAGGTCGACAGCTATGTCATGGTCAATGTCAAGCAGGTAGGTACCTCCGGACATTATACTTTGCTGGTGCTTGAGAACCTCTTCTGACTGTCACTCTTTCCCCCCCATCCTGCAGATCGCCGAAATGGGCGCATATGTGAAGCTCCTCGAATATGACAACATCGACGGAATGATTCTGCTCTCCGAACTGTCGCGAAGACGTATTCGCAGTATCCAGAAACTTATCCGCATTGGACGCAATGAGGTCGTCATCGTTCTCCGTGTCGACAAGGAAAAAGGTAAGGAATTCCGCTTGAACGTGGTGACACACGGGGACGCAAATTTGCTGACTGGTTGTGGATTCTCCCCTGCAGGTTATATCGATCTTTCCAAGCGTCGAGTGTCCCCGGAAGATGTTATTAAATGCGAGGAGCGGTACAACAAGAGCAAGGCGGTGCATTCCATCATGCGACACGTTGCTGAAGCCACCCAGACCCCTCTGGAGACACTATATCAGACTATCGGATGGCCCCTGAACCGGAAATACGGCCACTCGCACGATGCTTTCAAGATCTCCATCACGTAAGACAGGCGCTAACTAGATTTTACACCGTGTTGGCCGTGGCTAATGTCGCTTAGGAACCCCGATGTGTGGAACGAGGTCGAGTTCCCCAACGAGAACGTGAAGAAGGAGTTGACGCACTATATTAGCAAGAGGCTTACTCCCCATCCCACCAAGGTCCGGGCCGATATTGAGGTTACTTGCTTCGGCTATGACGGAATCGACGCGGTCAAGAGTGCTTTGCGCACTGCCGAGGAAAGCAACACCCCCGAAAGCCAGATCAAGGTCAAGCTGGTCGCTCCTCCGCTGTACGTCCTGACCAGCCAATGCTTGGATAAGGCAATTGGTATCAAGATGCTCGAGGAGGCTATTCAAAAGATTGACAGCAAGATCAAGGAGGCGGGTGGTGGCTGCATCGTCAAGATGGCTCCCAAGGCCGTTACGGAACACGATGACGCTGCGCTCCAGGAGCTCATGGAGAAGCGCGAGCGTGAGAACATGGAAGTCAGCGGTGATGAGAGCATGTCTGAGAGCGACGAAGGCGTTCCCGAGTAAACCATGCGTTTCACTCCTGGCGATACGGCGGACGAAAGGTTAATCCGCGCAGACTGGGGCTGAGCAAGATTGCGAATCAAGACGGAGATTGGTGACCTGAAGTTGGAAGGTTGATGGAGTACAAGACAGGCGGGGTTTAAAAAGGTTGCATAGAAGAGCTTTTCGAATGTGACATGATTTACGAGACGGGAGACGGTTTAATGTGCTCACGGGCGACATCGGGATCAACAGCAATGTCGATGATAACGGGGAAACCCCCTTGTCGGTGAGAATGGTGTAGCCTGTGAAAGGCCAGCGTGCCACACTGCTTACCACGCAGTGGATGTTGGGTTTGGTGGACGGTGCTCCTCGTTTTGATTTCAAATGGAGGGAGGGCAGGTATGCTCTGGATGACGGGAGCTTCGATCCCACGTTCTCATGTATGTATGTATGTATGTATGTATGTATGTATGTACAAACGCTTCTTTGATCTACGAGTCGGCCCTAGTGGATCGTTTCTAGACATTCCTATTGAGATTATTTCTTTCCTCGTTGCTATTTGACCTCCATCAAATTATTTGCAGTGACGGCGGCTGGAAGCGTGGGGCACGGGATCTTCTTGGCGGAGTCGACCCATACAATCGTCCAGCCTGCATGCCATTCATTCCTCTCTTCACCTCGCACCCACCTCCTGCGACCTACCGAAAAAGCGGTTGTTGAACATGGGCTATTGGAAGAGTATTTTCCCGTCTGACAGGGAGCGAACTGGTCGACGTCTTCAAGCCGACCGTCGCCGATGTATGGCTTTGTATATACGTATTTAGAATTGAGGCTGACTGACTGTATTGACAGTGCTTTCTTCGTCCAATGCTGACCGAATTTCGACTGGACATGATGCAAAAGAGGTGACCAAGGTTGCTCTGCGACTCAAATACCAAGTTGAACAAGTCATTTCCTGCGAGCTCGAAGAGAGCACCATTACAGACCCCAACAGTCGCGTAATCACCTCCGAAGTAGTTCAAACTGCCAAGCAAGCGGGAGGCGATGAACTTCAAACTTGTGTCCTGTTTTGTTTACTAGTTTGTCTTCGATGGTTCAAGATTCAAGCTTCCCAGGAGCTCTGGGATTCCGATCTCCACGAACGCCGAGCACTGACATGTGAGGTGATCGCAAAGCGCATGTATGACGGTTACCCTATTCCACGTCGCTTTCTCGCTTACTGTTTGCTTTAATACAGTATCGAAGCCGAAGAAAACCAGGATGCCCAGCTCATGGCTACCTTGTTGAAGCGGTATTCTGTCTTTATCGATGGCGAAGAAACCATGCCAGCTAACGTCATCGAGCGGGCTATTGATCTTCACGCTTTACGGGTCATCGGCTCGTCTGGATACCAAAAATGCATTCGGTATCTTTGGAACGGTTGGTTCTGTCAACAGGAAGGCAATCCGACTAATTTCGTCCCTTATCACGACAAGGATAATATCAATTTTGCGGCCCATTTCCATCCTGATAGAATCAGGACTCCGTTGTATCAGAACGCCTGCCAAATACTCTTCTCTCTTGTATATCTACTTCTGTATACTCAGGTCATCAATACGGTCAATCCATCCGGGGACGTAGATGTCGTAGAGGGAATCCTCTACGTCATGACTCTTGCGTTTATATGTGATGAATTAACCAAGCTGTGGAAGATAGGAAGGTACTATTTCGATTTTTGGAACGCGTTCAACTCCACCCTCTATACAATCCTTGCTGTATCCTTTTTTCTACGAGTTGCCGCCTTGACACACTCATCTTCTGTCGACGACGAGCAGAGACGGTGGCTCAACGAGTTGAGTTACAACTTTCTGGCCTTTGCAGGCCCCATGTTCTGGATGCGCATGGTATTGTATCTCGACTCCTTTCGATTCTTTGGCGCAATGCTTGTAGTGCTGAGGGTCATGATGAAAGAAAGCCTGATATTTTTCGCTCTCCTATTCGTCGTCCTCGTGGGATTCTTCCAGGCGTTTATTGGAATGGCTCAGGTTGATACGGACCAACCTGTCACGAAAACCATTGTACAGGGCATGGCAAATAGCATTATGCAGAGTCCCGAATTTGGTGCCTTTGAAGACTTTGCATACCCATTTGGCATTATTCTTTACTATTTGTTCAACTTCATCGTCATGACCGGTAACATAGCCTAGCTCCCCTTGGCTTCACCTGATATTTATTACCTACTGACCACTGCTAGTTCTCCTGAACATCTTGATTGCTCTATATAACAGCGCGTACGAGGATATTTCCGGGAATGCTATTGACGAATACATGGCAATATTTGCCCAGAAGACTATGCAGTACATCCGCGCACCCGATGAAAATGTCTTTATACCCCGTACGTCAAGCAGGATCCCCGTTTACACCATGCCATTAACTAATGCAATAACTCCAGCGTTCAACCTTCTTGAGATCATCTTTTTGATCTTACCTTTCGAGTGGTGGCTACCACGACAGCACTACGCGAAACTGAATGAGTTTGTCATGGGCATACTCTACTCACCACTCCTCCTCGTCACTGCATTCCTGGAGGTGCGAGAAGCGCGTCGTATTCGGTGGAATCGCCGTCGCGGCGAAGACGATGACGACGACGTGCAGGAGTGGGAACATGCAGCCGAGGAGGTCGGTTTCGAAGTCGACGATGTCTGGGACCAGGCTGTGCAGAACACCGCGCCAGTCGTGACTAAAGATCCTTGCAGTTTGGAAATCATTCATCTGCGAGAGCAGATTCGAGAGCTAACAGAGTCAGTGAGATTCTTGTCTGAGAAGTCCACGAACGGTACATTTTGTGAGGAGACACGCTCTACCATCGTGGAGCGTGAGTAGGCTGGCCAATGGATATACTACGGTTGGAGAATTACCATATATAAGTGTCTCTATCAAATAATATGGCGTGATGGAAAATGTGTTTTGTCTTGTCTTTATCCTTTGTTGTCTGTTTTATCTTTATACATATGTGCTTATGATGGTTAGTTACTATATCATATGGACGTCTGACATAAATTGACAGCTATTTCTCAGTAGCGGTGTTTCAGTCAAAAAAGCATTTTGTATAACTAACCTCTGTAAAGTACACTGAATTATGAATTAATGTGATTATATGCTCTTCGTACATAGAGTCTTATTTTCCGACCCAAAATCTGATACAAGATTGCTCTTGGTTGAAATTGTCCAACAAGATTGATTATTTATTGATGGAGTAGGTAGGTACTACTACTGTATTGTATATACATACATATACAACATACATATACCACTTACTACTTACTAACTAACTACTGAGAGATAAAAAGACGAAAAGAGAGAGGAGAAATAGTAAAAAAGAAAGCCCAACGCGGGGCTCGAACCCGCAGCCTTGAGATTAAGAGTCTCACGCTCTACCGATTGAGCTAGCCGGGCTAGCTGATATTTAGCCTTGAAAAAGAAATGTCACTTTAAGCATATACTTCAGACGCCTCCATCAATCCTCCCTGCGAATTGGAACATTAATCTGGGTGTTGCAAGTCCAGTCTCTTTTCCCCACTGTTCTTATGAATGAACATATTCCTTGTCTTGATATGGATCTCCAGTATAAATTCATAACTTCATATGAAGCCTAGGTGAATACATGGTCTCACTCTTGCCTTGTCCTCTTTTCAACAATTAAAGAATAGCCCAGCCTGCGATTCCTTCCTTTCCGTTTTCCACTCCAGCTTGATAAAGCAGTCGCTCAGTAGTCCTCCTTAACATTATCATTCTCTGTCCTGACCGCTTTATGATGCGCTTCTCTCCATGTATTAACCGAACTAATATACCCCCAGGTCCTTTCCATTCCATCTAGATCTATAACCAGATGATCAGCAAATGACTGACTACCATCATCTGCCACAGTAGTATCCTTAGTATTATTCTAGGCTTTCCTATAGAATCTGCCCTCATCGAGTTCCAGCATCAGCTCAGAGAGAGTCCAGGGAAGAAGGAGATCAGTATAGACTCCGTTTATGGATATTGCCTGACCTCAGGTAAGGTTTTACCTTGTTCGAATTCCTGGAGGGCGACTTGGATGGCTTCATGATTTGGCATGGACGGTCTCGTCGAATTGACTGCCTGTGGCGATGCGATGATCTATGATGAACTTGAAGAGCCGGGGGTGGTACCTGTGGCGATATTGGGCTTAGTTGGCACCCTAATCAGATGTGTAGAAGCGGAACGCCTGTTCAGGGGAATGTGCCACCTGAGGTTTGTAAACATTATTTTTCACATTTCGTCTGTTCTTTTTCAGCTGAATAATAAATGCAGTGCTGGACGGAGTGATAACAGTCTAACTTGAGAAATGAGAATTTGGTCAAAGTCGTGCTCAATTCTGAGCTTCAAGACAACGACGACACCACCACAACCACCACCACTACTTATACATGTTTATCATACTAATAGACCCTTCGGCTCGCCAGATCATCAGTGGCTGACTGGCTTTTGCTGGTATTATATTATTAATACTTACCAAGCCATTAGAGAAAGCCAGCCACCTGGCCAGCAGTAATGCGGTCAGGATGGAAGACTGGTTAGATCTGTACTGGCATCTCGTCCTTGATCATGAGCTGGTATCATATCCGCTGGTGGGTTCTAGAATCTATGGCCCTAGAAGCTTTTGGTCTCATGAGCTTATGCAAGATTATGGTCCGGAAATTGGTTTTAACCAGGGAAGTAGTATTCCATATTTATAGATCTCCTTGTCTTACTATTATTTGGCTGGCAGGTGCTGGGGGCCGTACACTGATGTAGATTTATTACCATAGGTAATTCACTTCTTATTAATGACCTTGTATATTCGCATATATTATTCTCTTCGACGGATGGTTCAAGGAACAGATATAGACCACTCTGTCGGGCCCAGAATAGGATCTAATATGATAAACGCCCCATTTTTGAATATAGATGTCAGGATAAGCCTGTTATTGACGCAAGCCCAATTTATCAGACGATAGTCTGGAGGAATCCACAATATGTTATGGTTTTCAATTTCAGTCAGGCTCTGTCTTCGGAGATCCAGTATGCAGCCGTAGACCGTTCTTGAACATCTGAAATAATGCAGAAAGCAGTCTCCGTTGTTGCATCTCGCACGCATATGTGAGTTCCGTCATAGATCAACTCGAGTTGGTAAGGGTTCGTTTCGAGTTCAAAACAGACCACAAGCTGCGGGTCTGGTATCCTCCATACATTGATTGTGTTTCCGGAGGCGATAATTGTGATAGACTTCCTTTGGCCATCGTTTAACACGGATCTGTTAGTTCGGTGTTCTCAAGGGTAGTCAGTCCATAATCCTGTTCTTCGGCCTCATGTGACTTGTCCATGATGCTTTACCTTTGGTTTATGTAGTATAAAGCAAAAGCAATTTCGTACTGGCTAGCCCGGCTAGCTCAATCGGTAGAGCGTGAGACTCTTAATCTCAAGGCTGCGGGTTCGAGCCCCGCGTTGGGCTTTCTTTTTCTTTTTCTTTTTTTGTTATTCTTTCTTTCTTTCCGTTTAACTGACACAGAAGAATTGAATATTGATTTTTCTAACAGTGGTTGTTGATTAATCTTCTTTTCTTACACTGTCAAGCTGAGGAAATAAGGGCCAGTAGATAGATGTATGTATGTATGTGCCTTGATTATGCAGGGTGGACGGACTCAAGCCGGGGACAACATACACTTATTTGGATTAAATGTCATACAGAAGTGATGTAAACACAGGAAATCAATCTAGCCAGCATACCATAACGTTAAAACTGTTTATAGTTAGAGCTAATATGCTTACGAGTAAAACACGAAACAATAAGCCTATTACATACATACCTATTATTAGTCGAATTTCAACATAACGTTATCCTTCCATATATATAAACTAGCATATTAATCAACAAACCATCCACAGACAGAAACATCAAATCAATCAATCGAGCAATTACTACCTATCTAAACCACAAAAATCACAATGTCAACAACAAACTACTCCATCCCCTCCATCCTCGCCGCATACGGCCTCGGCCTAGCTCCTCACGGCTACTACCTCGTGAAAATGATGTCTAACGCGAAAGGCCAATCGAGCAATATCCTGTACGTCTCCCCCATCCCTATACCATCATATCTATATCTATATAAATAGATAGGTTAAGTGAGTAAATACAGACCACGAGAAAACCTCTCCACCCTCAAAGGCAAAATCCACGCTCAAGTATGGGACAAACTAGCCCGTGCTCGAGGTGCGCATTTAAATGCGATGGAGGGATTGCCTATGTTTGCTGCTGCTATGGTAATTCCCATTCCTATCTACCTCCCTACCTAATTATTGTTATCTTCGCATGGCGAGTAATTGACTGACATCTGGCTAGATTGCGGGAAACGTAGCAAAGCTACCATCTAGTGAACTCAACACGCTGGCGGTGGAATATATCGGGGCTCGGATTTTATATACAGCGCTGTATATGGGAGCTCGATCCGAGGCAGCGAGTTATCTACGCACGGGGGTGTGGGCGTGGAGCTTATCGATTCCTATTTGGGGACTTATTCGTGCTGGGAGGGTGTTGAATGATGATTGATTCCACTACCTATCTATCCATCTTCCTGGGTCTCCTCCCGTTGTTTCCCCGAGTATATGTGTTTTAGAATAACTCGAAATCCACTTCCTGTATACATATTTTTTTATTAAAAAACTAAGAATCAGAGCCAAAGTCCAATACCAAACCTCTCTTCCCCCTCCTCGACCTCGCCCGATTACTCCGTTCCACAACATCGACATCAAACGCCCACCACCACCGTTCAAACATGACCTGACCGATTTCCCAACCCTGCATCTCGAACGGATCCGTTCCTTGCATGATCATGCCTTCGCCTCCACCGTCTTCCATATCATAGACCAATCTGACGAGACTCATTGGATCCTGTGCACTTTTCGGCCGCAGATGCACGGGGAGATGGAAGACCTGGATGAATTTATCTCTTGTGGCGGGCCAGGGGAGGAGGTCTAGCAGAGGATGGTGCGGGATGAGGCGTTGGGTGGGGGTTGGGTGGAGATGGGGTGGTAGGTTATTCTTATTCTCATTCTTGTTTTCGTTGTTATTCTCGTTCTCATTCTCGCTGGGCTCTACCGAGAGTTGAGAAGATGTAGCAGAAGTCAGCGAGGGTGGGGACATAGACGGAGAATCAGTGTGTCCGGGTTGATAGAATGGGCTGATTGCGGTGAGGTCCCAGATTAAATCGACCATGTTGAGACGTTGGGCGACTTTAGTGGCTGCGTTGAGGAGGGTCAGGGAGGGGACGTCCAGGAGATAATCGTCCGGGAAGGAGAAGGTGGATGACTCGCTGGTTTGCAGCGCAGAGGACAGATCTGGTACTGGTACGTCTATATTCTCAGGTTCAAGGTTGGGAATTGAAATGTCGAGGTCGAGGCCGAGGTCAAGATCCGGCCAAGCGAATGAAGACAACAAGAAAGGGTCGTCTGTAGAGGGATTCACGAGTGGATCTATCTGAGGCGCGGAGGATAGAATGGGACCGGGCTTCAGGTGAGAATGAGACCCATTACTGTCACCGGTTGGTGAAATGTCTGATTCTTGAGAAGGTTGCGATCCCGATCTGGACGAGCTGCATCCCAAACTGCGCGGGGGTTCCAGACTCGCGGGACTCTTAGCCTGAGACTCCAGCGCCTGCAGACGTTCCTTTCTCCGTTGTCCTGAGGATTTAGACTTAGCCTTAGCGGCAGACTAGGATCAGAGAACGTACGATAGCGTCGTTGCGCCAGGATATTCAACACACGCTTTCTCTCCGCCGCGTCTTCTGCGATATCAGGGACGACTAGTTGCTTTGCCTTGCGCTTTCCAGCCATGGTGTTTTGAGTTTTTTAATCAATTTTAATGAAGTGGGATCTGATACAGGGTGCTACAGGTAGACTGCACAAGCTGGGATGTTGGGATGAGGTTGATAATAGGTGGAGACAACATAACGTTATGTTGTGGCGCGAGGGGCTCGTATTCTGGATCTTGGTTGAAAGCCGCTACCCGCTAGTCAGGGCTATATCTCATTAGATCGGAGTTAGCTTCTACACTGATTGGTGCTCGTATTTTTTGAGATCGGAGATACTGTGACGTCAAAGATATCTATGGAGGATCGAGGGAAATGGTGTGGTTGACAAGATCGTCTCCCGTTGCTATTTATAATACTCAATATCGCACATCAATTTAGTCTACAAAGTTCATTCTATTATACCCGAAATCAAATAATCCATTCACAAGCACCTAAGATAGTATGCTGCAAACAAAAGAGTGAAATATTTACTTGAAAAAAATGATAGTGATAGGCAGACCAACTCAAGAATCCATGGTAGATTCATTTACAGAGCGGCCACGAAGACAGCAATAGCAACCGCAGCTCCGAAGATCGAGCCGGACAGGCTGCTAGCACCACTGGAGAGGGGGATCGAGGACGAAGGAGCGCTGGCCGAACCGGAAGCCGAGCCACTTCCACTGCCACTTCCACTGCCACTGCCACTGCCACTGCCGCTGCCGCTGCCGCTGCCGCTGCCACTGCCATTACCACTACCGTTACCGTTGCCATTGCCATTGCCACCGTTCGAACCGGAACCACCATTGGTGGGCGAAGAGGTGAAGCTGGCAGTCTTGGTGGCACGGTGGGAAGGTTGGGGGAAGGAATTGTTGTAGCCGTGGGTGTAGTTGAAACCGCCCTTACCGAAGGGAGGCAGAGGACGAGAGTGGCCATTAGAGCCACCGGCACCGGTGGGAGTGGAGGGAGAGCCAGTAGCCGAGCCGCCGGAGCCGGCAGCCTTGGTCGAAGAGGAGCCGGAGGAGGCGCTGCTGGAGTTCTTCGAGGAGCCGGGGCAAGTCAGGTCGTACAGAGGCTTGGTGGTCAGCTGGCTGCCGACGAGCCCGAAGCTAGGGTTGGGGGTGGTTGGGGCAGCGTCCTGCAGGATGTACCACCAGGTGTTGACGTTGTCGAAGAGAGGGCATCCGACCTCATCCCAGAACCTCTTGGCGTTCTCAATGTTGGCGTCGGCGAGGTTCTGCTTGGAGCCGCTGACGGGCCATCCGGTCTCGGTGATCCAGACCTCCTTGCCACCTGCAGCGGCCTTGGTCTTCCCCACGGAGTCGTCGAACAGCTTTTTGGCGTCGTCGATGGAGTTCTGCATGGTGCTCTGGAAGTAGGGGTAGCCGTCGAAACCCAGCCAGTCGACTTCGTCGATAACGGCGGCATTGGAGCCGTTGGTCCAGGCAGTCCAGGTGTCGACGTGACCGATGGACACATGGCTCAGGCCGGTGTTCTGGACAGTGGCGCGAACCTTTTTGATGTAGGAGGCCAGCTCGTCAGGGCCGATTCCAATGCCCGCGTCGACCTTGGCGCCCTCCGAGGAGTAGCGGTAGAGATCCTCACTGCCGACGGAGATACCGACGACCAGCTTGGTGAAGGCGTCGCCATACTGAGCGATGGCGTTCTTCAGGGCCGCAATCTCGTTGTCCATGCCTCCACCGGAGGCCCAGAGACCCAGCAGAAGGGAAGTTTCCTGGGCGATGGCGGCCGGAATGGCGGAGATGGGCTCATTGGCGGTACCACCTTGCTGTAGGAGGTCAGTCAACGTTCAAGGTAGATTGATGTCTCGGGATACCCACGATCATGGTGTAGAGACGGGCACTGTTGAAGCCGGAGGTGCCCTCGAGGTTCTTGGCGGTCTTGAACTCCGCCTCGAAGTCCGCCTGGACCTTGTGGCTACCATCGGACTTTGCAGCACCGTAGTTGAAGCCCTTGTGGGCGGCCTCGGCGGAAGCGAGCGACAGCGCGAGTGCTAAAAGATTTGTGAAATGCATCGTGAACGAATGAACGAGCGAATGGGAATACAACAAGAAAGGAAGAGAGAAAAGAAGATGAAAGAAAGAAGTGAGGAGGAAAAAAGAGTGTGATGGCAAAGGAACAAGGAAGATGAACCAAGGATTGGAGATAAAAAAGACAGGACGGAAACGGAGCGACAAACGAGGGTTGGTTCTAGACCGTGCCTGTAGGATGCTTTCGTCCCAATAAAAACGGCTAAAAAAAGAACGGGAGAGGCTTCTGGTTTCTTTCCCTGTCGCCGACTCGCTGAGATATCCAATCTCTGCATCGGGTTCCACTCACTGTGGCAAGGGGAGAGCCTACTTTCGGTGGCTCGGAACATGAATTTCAGGGGTTCCCCTCGGAGGACGGACCCAGGTGGTGCCCCGTACCTGGTCAGATCTGACACCTGTGTTCCTGCGCCTGATCCATACCTGATCCTGTTGCTGTGGCCCCGATGAGGTGTACAAGGAGAACCAACGGATGAAGAAAGCCTCAAGTGGCTACTCCGTAGCTGTGCCGAAAAAGGATTGTTCTGTGGCGGACTGACAAGTGGGGCGGACTGAAAGCAGTAAATGACAGTACCGGGAGTACGTACTAGTACGGACAGACAGTACGGAGAACTGCTCTCTGGCAGAATCGCTCCTGGCAAAAACCGTTCTCTCCGATGGGGGTGTGCGAAAATCTGAGGGGTGACTAATTAGGGGCCATCCTTCGCCCTGGCCCTAGTTTCACTGTCTACAGTACTGTACTTCCTTCCTTGGCCCTATCCTCCCGTTTCACCCACCGTACATGGTTTCTGTAGCCATATATAATGTATTTAGTATCTATTTATATGCCCAACTACTGCTAGAAGATTAATACTGAAGACATTATAATTTAACTATATCTACTTCGTAATATAGCACTTCTTACCCCTTATTGCTACAGGAGTGTATCTCTGTAGTAGAGATTACGGTCGCAGGAGTCACCAGTATGGACTGTCTACAAGCTAAGGTGCAGAAGATGTATACTATATGCATTAAATTATTCATATCTCTTCTTTACGTCTATCCTCTATGAATAGTGCTATTTCCTCTGTATCTCCGACGTAAATGCGCTGTATAGCTGCAATATGTCGGAGACAATGATCAATTCTTTAAGAGTGATTACCTGCCTCTCCAGTTTGTCTTAAGTAGCAAAATCTCCGGAGTATAGACAGACTTAAAGGGTTGGAATAACTGGAAACGTCTCGGTATTCTCTTTTGAAATCCGAGACTATAAACCAAAGTACGGAATGCTCCATATGGGAATAACTGGACAATCCCATCTCAACTATTCCAATTAACAAACCAACAACGGAGTGATGACATGTACCAACCGCCCCTTAGTTGAGGCGGACTCAGCCGTGCACCTCGGCTGTCTGCCTCCTGTCTGTGTCAGTCAATCCCATTTTTGTATTATAACTATGATGATACATTATTATCGATCGTGTGGGTATCTTACGACGATGTTCTCCGTACCTGCTAGACAAGTTACACCATTTCTCCCATAAAAATGGAAGATCTGTTCTTTTGGTGGATAATTTCTTCTTGCATCCAGCTACTTCCTGATCGTTGGGGCGGAGGGAGTCCGTTGAATCCAGGCTTCTAGTAGACCAGCTGAACATACTATCCCTGTTAAGTATAATTTATAGGGCCTAGAGCTTCGCATAGTTCAGGGTTATTTGTTATATTGGAAAATTTTGCCGAGACCTGACAAACGGTGAGCTACTCCTGATCTATTCTGAGCTGCATGATGCATCCCGCTAATAGATCGTGAAGTTTAATTTTGAGAATTATCTAATGAAATAGTTGATTAGGTTTACAATAAATTGTCTGCCAACTATCTTTCTTGAGTATAATTGTATGCGACTAATGAGCTCAAAATCCTTGTAATGGATTGCATACCGGCTGGGACTATTCCTAACGTGTACTCCAAAAAATGGGGTTATTCTGGTGGAGATATTTTAGGACAAGCTGGACTACAAATCTAATCTTTGTTTCTTACTGGATAGACCAATCGTATTCGTACTGTATGCCTCTTGCATAAAGAAGTATATGGGTCTATTTTCCGGTCACTTGAGATCACACTCCAAGTAAACCGGTTATTTTTTGTCTCGATTGTATCACCTGATACTATACACGTTCACACACAGCATAGTCTTTAGAGTGAACTCCTGCCTTGATATCTGGGCATTGTGTCTCCCTCAACAATAGTAGTCTTATTGGTCGAAGTCTTCGCCATGATGCTTGGGAGACATCCTTTACGCAATGATGGTATTGGCATTTCTTGCCGGTTTTGATCTGCCAAGACCTAACCAATTGGTATAATGGATGGATATCCTTGCTACTCTCATGTCCAGTCTTCCATCCCACTTAGCTACTCAATCCAACATCTCAATCCCAATATCTGCAATACTACGCAATAGCAAGCGAAAGTGCATCATTAGTAACCTCAAAGGAACCCGAATGCACCGGGGTCTAACAGTCCTCCACGCCCGACACATACTTTCCAACGAATCACTCACCAGCCAACACGTCAAAGATCTCTGCATACTATGCTGGCTATCGGAGGTTCTCCAGGCGGTATACACCATATGGGATGATATCATCGACGACTACATGACCCATTGCGGCCAGTTCTGCTGGCTCCATCGACAGGGGATAGGAATGAACTCCATCAACGAAGCGTGCATTATTAGACCACTGATTTTCTCGCTTCTGCGGGTCTACTTCGGGGAGGACCCGCGGTATGCACGTGTGGCGGATCTCTTCCTGGATATGGGGCTCAGGACGGAACTCGGCCAGCTCACCCATACATACTCTGCGTCGGTGGATGTGAGGAGCGATCTGTAGTTCAGGGAGATATATGAGTTTATGGGCATGCATAAATCAGGCTACTATAGTGGGTATCTTCCCATCGGTCTGGCGTTGGAGTATCTGGAACTGCTCGAGAGCTTCGTGAAATGCTGCCTCCCTTTGGAGAGTACTTCCAGATCCAGAACACTATGCTCGATGTCTCGGGGATACGGAATACACTGGAAGGTGGGTACAGAAATAGTGGAGAATAAATGTACCAGGTTGATGATTCAGGCCTTAAGCTGGCTAGACCGAGTCAGAAAGAGGTGCTGATCGAGTTATATGGGTAGAACCATGAAAAGATATCTAAGGTGATTGATATCTATAAAGCCTTGGACTTGGAGGGTCTCTAAAGGGATTACGAGGAGAAGGAAACTAAGAGGATCTAAGAACCCATCGACAGCATTGATGAGAGTGAAGGTCTATTACAAGAAGTGTTCAGAAGCCTCTTTAGCGAGCTCAAGACGGATAGGGAGTATAAGGGTATAGTGAAGGCTCCTGAAGCATCGTGTGAATTTATTAACTGGGTATGCTGAGGTGAGATTTCAATTGCTGGGTTGGATGGAAGGTAAATCCGTATACAATGTATACATTGAAACTACCTTTTTAAGGGCTCAGATCTATATTGTCTGTTCGTTACTGTCTCGCCTTAACACCCAGTAAATTCTCCGCATTTTTAAAAGCAAACAGCTCGAGATCCTGCCCGACAATCAATCCACTCTTTTCAATCTTCTCCAAGAACTCCGCTCCCCTCTCATTCGGAGAAAACGGATAGTCAACACTATACAGCACATGATCAATCGGCATCGTCTGCAAAAGACAAGCCAGCGGCGGTAACGAGAACATGCCACTAGTAGTCACCCATATATTACTCCTCCAGACCTCTCTCAAGTCTCTCATTTTCGCACCCCATCGCTCCGCAACAGCGAATATCCGATCAAGCTGAAACGGGAGCATCTCACCCATATGACCGATCACGATTTTCAGACGCGGGAACCGATCGAAGAGCCCGCTAGCAAATAGTCTCAGAATATGATGGCCGGTCTCCGAATGCCATCCCCAGCCATACGCACTGAGAGCCAACGCGACCGAGTTGTCATAGTTCCCCTTGTAATGCTCCAACATAGAGTCCGATGCAAACGTCGGGTGGATGTAAATGGGGACGTTCAACTCGTGCGCCTTCTCGAATACAGGCCAGAACTGCTCGTCGTCGTAGAACTGTCCGTTGAGATGATTCTCCACCAACGCCCCGACGAAACCCAGCTGCGTTACGCACCGCTGCAGCTCCTGTGCCGCCGCGGACGGCTCCCTCATCGGCAGTATTGCGAACCCCGCTAGTCGCGTCGGATGTCGCGATATAGCTGTCGCTAGATCATCGTTCGCTGCGGTGCAGATAGTGGGGGATGCGTCGCCCGGACCGTGGGAAATAACCTGTACAGATACATGGCCTTTGTCGAGGTCGCGGATGCGCTCATCTCCTAGACACTCTAGTTTGGAGAGAATGTGTGCAGGGAAGGCTGCGTATTGCGCTTGGGCCTCGGTGTTGGATTCGCGCACTTTGGGCGACACGTAGTGCTCTTCGAGGGTGATCAGAGGGAGCATGGTGAATGTGGACTGGCGGTTTTGGGAGTGGATGGTGTATTTTTAAATAGGTTGGTTGTTAACTCCGAGACCGAACGTATCCACTCTCTGGTATTTATAGCGATCTATCGACAGTTGGATGAGTTAGTGGAATTAACGCCGCAAACTCCTACATCCGAATACTAACCATCAGTGATTTATCGATGTATGATATTTTATTTATTCAATAAATGCTAGTATGTTGAATGCGATCATCCTGTGCTGAATTTGACTGAGCTAAAGGGAATGGTGATTGACCTGTCGTAGATAGATTAGTATACAACAAATAGTGGAGAGCGAAACAGTAATATAAATATTCAAGATATGAATGAAGCTGGATAGGAGGATATCAGAAATTATCTATTTATATAGATATTACCTAAATTCGAGGACCCTCCCAGGGATTGAATAATCCTGTATTCATCATATGTAAATAAGCTAATACTAGGTACACCACCAAATTCGCCTTGCGAGTTGATTGAATTGTGAATGCAAGGTAGACCATACATGTGTACATATAGGCACATGGCAGGATTTATATCAATGAAGGCCACACATCCAAGCCAATGAGAAATGCCATAGACGAGCCAACAAAATTCCCAGTTACTGTCATCGGGGTGGGAGAGGGTACTCTATACTAAGGTAACTGTAGTTGAACATCCTATTAGGCAAATACGAGAGGTACTTATCAATACCTGGTATTGACAATTAACTAGAATGGTCTACTTATACAGTTAAATACTCTAGCCCCAGTTCATTTGTACATCGAGATAGAATATCCTGAAAAACATCCGACCTGCAGGGAACGATACGATGACTCACACCTGTCCCCACCTCAGTCCTCTATAATTTATAACGCATCCATTAACACATATTGTACAATAACATATACCTCAGACACCATCAACATGTCCTCCCAGCCTGTTGGCCCTCCCGTACATCTCCCGCAGCCCCAATTCCCATCCCCATCCGTGCTTCACGGACGGACCGTCCGCCTGGAGCGACTGCGCCCCGACCACGCCCATGGACTGTACCCATTCCTCGGCGACGGCAACGACCAGCTCCAACGCGCAGCATGGGCCTATTATGCGGACGGACCGTTTCACAATTTCGCCGATTTCCAGACGTTCATCACCTCGCATTCAGAGAGCACAGACCCGTACTTTTTCGCCATCGTGAATACCGAAGATGAAGAAGAAAAGGTAACGGGGTATATCTCGCTCCTGAGCATCGTGCCGAGCCATTACCGATTGGAGATTGGACATGTGCTTTTCGCCCCTACTATGCAGCGTACCACGGGCGCGACGGAGGCTATATATCTGCTTTTGAAGTATGCGTTTGAGGCAGGGTATCGACGTGTTGAGTGGAAGTGTAATTCGTTGAATGAGGGGTCGGCGAGGGCGGCGAAGAGGTTCGGGTTTACGTATGAAGGCCTTTTTAGACAGCATATGGTTGTGAAGGGGCGGAATCGCGATTCAATGTATTTTTCGATGTTGAGGGAGGAGTGGGATAGGGTGAGACGTGGGATGGAGGCGTGGCTGGATAAGGGAAATTTCGATGCTGGGAGGCAGAAGAAAAGATTAGAGGAGTGTATGGATCTTTGATTTATAGAATTATACTACCTATATGTTGAAGTAGAAAGAGTAGCGGCGGGGTTTCATATAGCCAGATATAGAAGCCACGATACATACTTACTATCCCTACACCTTAGAATATCACCTGGCTGTTTTGTGACTCTCCACGATCACAGTCCTTATACTTACTATTTGGTGACCGCAGTCTGGCGACGATAATTATTAGTATCACTGATCTGCCTAGCAGCGAATAGCTTCATACATCAGGGTTTAGAGCCAACGTACGTAATGTCCCTACCTAATGGAACAATTTACTTGTTCAGAGACGTCCGGCGCCAAATCCATCTGCCGGCGCAGGAGGGCCCTAATTCTGATACGAATATCTATTCCATTCTCGAGAATGTTCCAGCCGATATTATTTTGATAATACTTCCACTACTGCCTCTTCCATCGCAGGCTTGTCTTGCACTTAGCTGCAAATCTCTATATGGGCTCTGCCGCTTCATCCTGAAAGACGAAAGGCTCGCCTGGCCAAGGGCGCTGGCGAGCAGATCATTCGAGGTCCCATTGAATCAGCCAGATCTTCCACGGAATCAGCTCCTGCTCCAGCTTGAAAATGACCGCTGGCTATACTGTTCGGGGTGTTTAAAGATGCATCCACACTCCTGTTTTCCGCTGCCCAGACTATCTGTGCCACCCTTATCGCGGAAGTGCAAATATTCCTCGGCAGCGGCGGTTGTAGACCTGTGTCCTTGCCTCTCATTAACATTCCTCGACCGATTGCGACTGGAACGGTGGTTACGTACAGGGATTAATGATACCCTCCCCCAGAGCACCCGCTGCGCGTTCCAGCCGTTCGTCACCCGAGAATGTCGATATATTCTACATCAGTGCTCCACAGTGGATAACGCGGATGCATTTATCAGCCAGGTGATGATGGTGACTCTAGAGGACGATTGCATGGTAGTACAGACAAGGTATCATCTACATATGAGACAAACCCTACTGAACTATTTGGAGCCCTCTCTCTTACACATACCGCTGTACGATATGGAGCCGTTATTTCTCTGTCCGCACCTTGAACTTATGGATTTATACCCTTTTTTTAACCGGCCACGAAACGAATGCGGGTCGTGTTTCACAAGTGCCCGCATAATTGGCTATATGGATGGTGGGCTATATCTTGTTGTCCAGAGTGTGCGAGATTTGGGGGGAACCAAATATCCTGAATATCTAAACTGGTACCACACTTCTCGCCAAGAGCACAATAAGTACAACCGGCACTGGTACAGTACGGCTGACGACTATATTTGATGTCAGCCCATTATTCCTGGCAGGGGTCTTGCTATTCTGCTCAACTACGAGTCAGTGTCTATGTAGACCATCCGGGCATTGGGATCAGAGCTCAAAGACTAACCAGACTGCAAAGTAGTTGTCATGTATGAATAGAACACCCCAAGACAAAATCGATGCGGCCTTTGTTTTCTCAACTTTCCGTGTAGAATTATCTGGTGCCTTTGTTGGCTGACTCGGAGAAATGGTCTTCCCTCATTACCAGAGTATCAGAGGCACGAACCTTAGTTCGAAGAGCCTGATGAATACCGCCTATAGTATAGCGTTAATGTGTTATAGTTAACTGTTCCTAGATTCTTTAAAAAGGCATAGTGATCGATGTTCGTGCATAAGATCTCCAACCAATTACACTTGCCTGATTGGAGGTACTGATGTTAGCAGAGAAGCATATGGAATGTAGGCACATAGTGAAGCTATTTTGAAGCGGGTCGAAGAGAATGCTTGAAGAACTGTTTGAATAAATTATGTCGGATCCCCAAACCCAGTAGATCGCGTAAAACGCTTCATCTACAGGGAGAGTAGCACCATCACCACCTCATATCTAATTGATCAGATGGAACCTTTAGTGAGCTTTAATTAGTGATATACGCTGCCTTTAGCGATCTGTGTCGCCTGTCTATGGTATTGTCTAGAGGATTAGTAGTATGGATACTATAGCACAATATGCCTCATCTTTCTTGGGTACGGATGAATCCACTAGAGTGGCCCACTTTTGACAAACGCTGAGCTATGGTGAAGTTGTGGCTAATTGGGCCAGGGAATAAATTGCAAACTAGGTTAATATTGGCAATATTTGAAGAATATTTCGGGGAATACTGAGAATGCTCATTCAGAGAGACCATTCACTACTTTTCTTTTCCATATCCTTCTTCCTCTCACAACTTCAACAGCTCTTGCTCATAAAGCCACTGTTGAACCTTCCTTGATCATTTGACTACACCACATCACCCTGCTTTCATCACCTATCTCTATTATTCCCACTTGAAATATATATATATATATGTGTGTGTATGTATCAATGTGTGTATGTGCTCTAAAAGGCTGTCGAATGAACTAATAGTTCCGGAGTCTAGCTATGTTCCAAGTCAAGCAAGCCAACGCAGGTAGATTGGTTCCTCCTACTACTCTACGAGAGAGGGTCCTATATTCAGTTAGCATGCGAAATGGAAGAGAGTCGTTCGGGATGCATCCTCAACAGCGGGTACTCCTGCGATAAAGCCAGCTACGACCAGCTCATAAAATCAGGTACTGTAAGTAGTGTGGCAAAATGCAGGTGGCCAAAATGCAGATGGCCAAAATGCAGGTAGACAAAAAAGGCTCACTAATAAAGTGCAAATACTGAAAGTATGAAGGAATAAGAAGTGAGATCGAGGCAATGAATCCATAGATGTGGCTGTTACTGTTCGTATAAATTTCACTTTGCGAGGAGATTACCGATGACTTCGACCCATTCGCTAGGATGCTCGACTCCAGGTAGTTCTGTTCAGAATTAATTGGAGAAAGCAGAACGACAACAGGTGTGTTAACGGATTTATCCAAGTCTATCCGTATTGTGGTCCAAGCAAAACCACCAAACTCAATTAGGCACATCATTCTCCCGGGAACTAATCAATAAGACGGCCATCCAACTGGCCTCAGTGGAGAAAGACAGGAAGCCTTGTACTTATTGTGCATGGAGAGAAGACCTGCATTGCTCTCGCCGCCATTGAGGGGTATCGCTCCCATATGGAGGCCTCCAGCATTGCATATGGAACAGAAAGGGACGACCATTTTATACCCTGTTCAGTGTCTTCGCTGAAAGCTAGGTCTTTGAGTGTTGCTATTAAGGTATCATGGCTATCATGTTCTGCCCATACCAGATAAAAGAGTTCCGCGTATTTCAGAGTCAAAGAAGCCGCGAACGCAAGAGTTATCCCTCTGGACAGATAGATAAAGCAGACGTGACTTGGCCACGGAAGCTCGAGCAGCGCCCACGTTCAATCTGGATTTATCAGGGTCCTTGATAGCGATTCTGAGCCTGGAAAGCGAGTAAAGCGAGAAACAAGAATGGTGAGATTGCTCCTTAGTCTCTCTTTTTGGTCAAGTCGGAATCTTTGGGCCTTCCTAGTCTTATACTACCAGCCCAGGACAGAGATTAAGCTCCTGAATACTACGGCCATGTTCAAAATCAAATTTCGGACCCCTATTGCACAGGCTATGAGATAAGTCAATGCAATGAATTTAATCGCTATCAGAAACAAGAGGTGGAATTCAGACAGTGGTACTGGAAGATCTAGTGGAAAGTTGAACAACACTATGGACAGCATTCGATGACATCCTGATCACATAATTACACCATCCACCAACCAAGGATGGCGTGAGGCCCTAAGAATCTAGGTACTTGTTTTGCTTGTCATAAGAGATTGCGGCATTATTCACAATTGCTAGTATATGGACATTCTGCTATAACCGACGAAATTCGAAGATTGCCCCTTCCCCTTTATACTGGCGATGTGATCCATCCAGTTTTTCGAAGTTCGATGCACATCGGAAGCACGTTTTAGACCCCAATAATTGGGTATCATTCTCTCATAAAATCCACGAACCATGAGCTCAGTGTTCTCCGAGCACTAGATTTTGCATACCGCAAGAAGTAAAACTCCCTGTCCACAAGGAAGCACGGTTTATTATTGTTGACTTTGTCCCAATACTTCTTTCTAATACAAAAAATTAAATAAAATAATCAATAGAATAATGAAGATGATGAGGAATAAAAGGGGCAGTGGTTTTTCGCGTGCCTATGCAGGCACTTTCCGACATGGAAAGCGGTGAAATTACTACAGATTTGTTCCATGAAGCCAGGGAGATGGAGAACCCTCAATAGGTATGTCTCTTCCCTATATGGCAAAGTAGTACTGATCTGATTGAAGTATTTCTCTCAATCAAATTTTGGTGGAATGGCATCGTTATCTAGGATCTTCATCGGGATGTCATTCCAGCAAGCGATGCAACATTGGCTGATGCTCTACAGCCCAAACCTTAATGTACTACTTTACTGCTAATCAGGGATACACCAGTACCACTCAGCCACATATTGGGCTAGACCAACGGAGATACAACATTGTTTATCTTCCTCCAGTGATAGTGGTCGGGAGATAGTTCTTATCAGTCTAAAATATGCGAAGTATATCGACAAGTGAACATAGGTAGTCTATGAGTGCTTGGATTCTATTCCTGTAGCGATCGAAACCGCTCGGCCGTTGTAAGCCACCGCGGCCCAGAAGTGTTCAATGTGGTAATAATGGGCTTTACTAATTCAGTCCCTTACGAGCACAGAAAGATAACCGTCTAACGGAGTGTTCTGGGTTTGCGAGATCCTATATCGATGACATTTTTCTGGCGTCGAAGTGACTTAACGAACACTTGAAATACCTGGAGCCCATCTTTCAGCGCCTGTTGGAGTTGAACATTAAGATAGAGCTAGCAGAAGCCTTCCATGAATTTCTCTCTGTGGCTCTTCTTGGTTAACGTGTGGAAGCACCGCGACTTTCGACCCTAGAAGAGAAATACCTCTCTAGAATTCCTGAAGAACATGAAGACCTAGAGACCTATATAGGTGTGACTGGCTATTTCAGAAATTACATCTCCAAATACTAGTATGGAATGACTTGAACCTTTGCGCGTTTGAAAAAGATGCTTCTGTGTGGAGTTGCCACTAAAGGAATTGACTGAAAAACCTATCTACGCCAAGGTCGCGCAGGCCCCGAATGAGGTGGAAGGGCCCGCGTTTAAAGCATTTTACAACATTTATGCTGAATTTTCTGAGTCCCAGTTCCTTGGTTGCTTCGATCTCTCGAGGCAGTTCTATGTGCATCTGGATGCTTCACGGATACGTCACGGTATAATGGCTTACCATATCGAGTATGGCTTTATCCCCTCTCTTTGTCAAACACGGATACCAGTTTAACGCCGAAAAAGAGCCTGAACAAAAGTACCATGAGTGATTAAATGAGTTTATCGTTTGATATTTTGAGAGACACATGCAATGGATGTCAAAACATCCAGGTAAATAAAGCACCCTACCTCAAACTTAAAACGCATGACCATTACTACTTCTTCCAAATCCGCCCCCATCAGATTTTGCGACTTGGCTTAGCCCAAGGCAACAAAACTCTTTGAAAAGAACGCACTCGGTGCTACCTCAAAATATCACTGGGGTGTTCCTGCCAGCAAGTTAAACCAACGTCTGTGTCATATTCATAAGCAAAATCCGGATTCAACTTTGGCCCTGTTTCATTCCGTTTTCTCTCTATTCTGAATCCGCAAGGATTGTGCTACGTGATATCAAGCTATTTTACTTCAGTATCCCCTCATCCCATCATAATCGACTTGAAAAAACAGAACTTCTTGAATAAAGCGGGGGCAAATTACAGGCAGATTGTTACAGTTTGAGCGATCTTTGAGACTGTCGGCAAGGGAAGTTGTGGCCGATCCTCAGGGTAGAGAATAAATAGCCCATGCTATTATTCTTACCCTTTTGTAATGCGAGACTGCACCTGCAGAGTATTCTCCTGCCAGTTCTCTGAATGGGTAGATTGGGGTTAGATATGCCCCTCTAATACGAATGCTCTCGTTTAATTTTATCCCTAGAGAGCTGTGAATCACATTATCTTGAGAAATACACTTATTGTTAACTATTACAAGAAGGATATTAAAACGCCGAGACTTGGTGGGTTACAATTTTGCTATATCCCTGGTTCCGGTCCTCCCAGACGCCTGCTCCTCCGGAAGCTCTTCCTCCTCTAAACAATCTAAGGATCCCGGGCAGTACCCATCGCAAAGAACCTCCAATTTATGCAGGAGATCTGGCCGTTGAAACACGTAGCGCTCGATAATACCAGAATCCATTGAATAGTCAAAATATGTACCTACTCTTTGGCCGCTATCCGACATAAAAAATGGAGTAAGGGGCGAGTATATTGCATTATTAGTAGGCTCTAAGTCCTTTGCCAACCAGTCTGAAGACTCTCCTGTCCAGGAATATATCTTTTCGGTAACATCAAAGCCTTGCTCAATCGCACGCGTTTCCAGGTCCTGCCGATAGAATGGGTTGGGGCTTTGTTTGGCGGCCAACCAGATGTGGTAGTGTGGTACGACCTGCAGGCTGCGGTACAGGCCTTCGTAATCACAGAAAACACATGCAATGGCGATCTGACGTTTCATTTTAGGGCATTGCTCAGCTAGAGTTTCGAGAGTGTATTCTGTGGGCTTTAGAGGCCACCAGATCATATATGGTAGATAAGATTCGTCATTTAAGCCTATATATCGTTGATCATCACGCGACGAGCATTAACGGCCTGACTTATCATCCAGATTGCTTCCTGGCTATTCCCACGAAGCCTGATGCGATCTCGGTTGACCTTGAGCTGTTCGGCCCACCAGCGCGCGAACATGGTGTTATGGTATATCCCGCGGACCACACAGTGTAATTCCTCGTCTTGCATATAGCCTGGGCGCATTAGTCGTGCATATCGGTCGAAATTGCCTTCGTAGGCCGCCATCTGGATCAGCAGGTCCTTTTTCATGGTCGGGAGATCAAGAGGTAGTGGAGTAAAAAGTAACTTGGCTTCCTTATATGTATATTGATACCGCCAATGTGGTAGTTCCACCTTCTCCTCTCCAACGCTACCATCCTCCTCAATATCTGGATAGATAGGCAACGCAAGACATACATGATATCGCGCCTCCAACATCCAGCGGACAACCGTGTCGCCATTTAAATACGCTGGGGTCTTTGTATGTGGGTGCAAAGAGCGGTGCAGATCATTCATTACTGCGTATCGAATTGGAGACGCCATAATTATATTATAGATCTCTTGGGCCCCGTCCGCGCCACTTTCTCGAGCCTCTTCGGCAATAGACACGTCCGAAAGAAGGTCCAGCTCCTGGTAGAGACTAACGTATCCAGCAGCGGCACATGCTCTTCCCACCTGGTAGCGCAAGCTTGGATAGCGACGAGCTACTTCGCGGTAGGTCTCTTCTTGTGCAAAGTCCGGATACCAGATGCAGTATGGCACATGGCTGGGATCCTCGAGCTGGTGAGGCTCGGGGACTTGGTTGCTCATAATTAGGCGGGCGTTGCGTGCGCGCGCGAGCTCAGGGTAGAGAGTGCATAAATCCTCGACAGCATCGCTGGTGGCAAACTTATAATGGCAGCGGATGCCACGGATAGCAGCCCATCGTCCCTCGTTGCAGTCTAAGCTGTCGGGCAGCGAAGTTCCCCTGATGGCTGCCATCCACTGGATATGATTTCGCGACCGAATGTTACTTTGGCTGGATGATCCGCTCGAATCAGAGTCGGAGTCATGGGAAGAGTCGTTGTGAGGATCATAATAATACCAGGATGGCATGTTGTCTGTTGAGAGGGGTATAGGGAAGAGCGAAAAAAAATTCTGACCGTAGGGAACTGAGAGAAGGGGCAAACCCAGGGTAGTTGAAGTAGTATAGTAGTGATGTACTAAAGTCAGTCCTTATCCAGTGGGAAAGATTGCCGCGGAACTTGTGAGTTATTAAGCTACGGTTGTATTGAGAATGGCTGTTGTGGGTCACCGAAGCCTACATTAAATAGCAGTATCCTAGCACCCCAACCCAGCTCGTATGACCGGTGGTAGCAATGGCAACGTTGTTGTCGGGCAGCATCTCAAGTGTGTGGGCGTTCCATAGGCACCTTCAGTACAGAGGCCGAACGTAATCTCCTTATCAACTTCATCCAGCTTATGACTGACGATAACAGCTGCGTTGCCGATAATGGCAGCAATCTTACTGCCGTCCGCCAACCGCTTCACTTCCGTAGCCGACGTATCACTTACACATGGAAGCATGGTAGCAGCAGGTTTCGGGTCCAAGGTCCAGCTAGGATTGCCATTGCGGTCATGGATAACAATTTTCGGCCATATAACCAATGTGTGATTAGTAGACTCGCCGTAGACACCAGTAATAATCTCGTCGAACAGTCCCGTGTCTGTTTCTTTTAGAAGTACCTGAGCAGAGCTTGTGGACGGGGCAGCTAAGGCAACCGTCGTCAAGGCCCAGTCCCAATAGCAGTCCCGCCGCTTGCTGCCGACTAAACCAGCTCATGCTTGTTTACTACGCGACAAAGACTGCTCGTGAGAGTGACCAGAATTGTCTCCTCAGGCCAAAGTTGATGTCTACTCGAATATAAAAAGCTATCGCAGAAAGCTCTGGGTGATCAGGCTTGAACCCGTTGTGGTCAGTAGTGCTCATATAGCAAAACCAACCTACACAGCGGAAAGTTGATAGATAGTGGAGAATGAAGGGCTAAGTATAATCATGTTGTTAGTTATAATCGCTGGAAGAGCTGCTACTCCCTGAGTATGTGGTTGACGTACTTCGCGAAGGGACAATGGTGGGGTAATGAGACAAGAGATACACGGTGGAAGATACAGAGATTATGGAAGATTATGCACTGGTAGGTGCCTATAATGTAGGGCGTCTCAAATTTACCTAGAATAGCTACTCCAAGAAATGATTTTATTACTATTGATACAGACCGTAGCACAAGTGACGTGTTCATTTTACTGATTATGCAGATTGTAAACCAAGTGACGGGTCTACTGTACAATGCTCGCCTTAGTTAATATTTGTTGGCCGTGACCTAGTTAGCAGGTACGGTTTGTAGGTCTGGCCTATAAACAAACCCTACATGAATTGCTGGATGAGAAGCAGTGGCACCTGCCTGGTGTTGAACTTCGACCATAATAAGAACGAGCAGCCAGTGATTGACAGCAAAACAGCAACTTACTAGGACTGTGGTGGATAAGGTGCTTAGGTCCTTACAGCAAATTAGATATCGGCCCTACGGCATCTGATGCTAATGGATGCAGTCCTGACCCTGCCGGTGGCGATGACAAAAGGATAAATTAAAATAGATCGCCGTATACATACGGTACAGCCATTTCGTCCAGACGGTCCGTGTCCGGTACAGAGTCTGTTGCATTCGCCCTTTGGCGGCTACATGTCTGGCACAAGTCAAGCTGCACTCTGTTTTAATCCATCACGCTGGGATGGTTCCCCGAAGACTCAGATGGTTGGTTGTCCCGTTCCGAGGCTGAAACTCCATTGAATCCATGACATCAGGGGCTGAGCCCGTAGGACCTATAGGATAGGCTGCTATACACCGAAAGGAATCGTTGAAGGAAAGAAAGAGAAAAGACACAGGAGAGTCACGCGTTGTGGGTCATTGAGGGCCAATAGGCCCAAGACAGTGAGACGGGCTCCATCCATTTACTTTAGGGTGACATCGGTATTTAGTCTCATTAAACTCAAGATCATCTTAAACTTAAGACCGTTTTGAGATGTTTCAGACTGCGAACAAGGCTTTTCAAGATGCAGGTATGTTGATGGAGTGGTACATGCTGACAATAACTTTCAACTTCTTTCCCTGCATGTAGTCTATTATTCGAACGGAAGGTTGGCTATTCTCGGGTATCTGAGGCCTCATCTAGAAAAACGGCCTTCGCAGTAAGTTTTGTGGAGCTGAATAAGTTGTTTGGACTTAGGAGTATCTTCGCCTCTATATCTCCTTACATATGGTTGACCAAGAGTGTACTGTGTAAAGCTGCCTGTAAGGCCCAATGAGCTTCCGACCAAAAACTTATCGCCTCCTAGTGTATCTGTATAGCTTACCACTTAACTTGACTTCTCAATCATGGGAAGAGCTCATCAGGCTGAGAATGAAACGTCCAGTATCGAAGTCTCTGCGAGTGATTGAATAAACGTCTCACCATTCTGTCCCACTCGGGGTTAACCTCCAGGGGATTGGTTACAAAATTTTATTGAGTAGACGCTTAACAATTCCTTAGAAGGGCAGCAGGTGTCTTCGATATTCGTATGGGCGGTAGACACGGCATCAGTCGCTAGAGAACTGGGCCAGTCCAAATTGGTATAACGCTGACCAATACTCCCATCGTCCTTAAATGGGCTATCTTGTAACGGTGATTACGGTAAACAAAGCCAAGATACCCCAGCTTTGCTCGCGTCGGGACAATAAAGTATTACAATTGCTGGATATCAAGACCAGATATTGATTGGTATTTTACTCTAGTGGGACATCTTCCCTGCATGGAATCTGTCGTTCCGCACCAGGAACCACCCCCTGGCGGGCTATCGTATCAACGGAGCTTTCGCCCGCAACCAAAGGAGTGGTCCTTGTCGGAGATCCCGACCTCCACGGCCTCGACGACTGGGAGGACAGCCGCGGGAGGAACGAGTATAACTGTCCTAGAGTTCGCTTATGAAGTGTTGATCCCTATCAAATCTGAGACCACATCTAGAAAATCGCCTCTGTATAGGTTTAATTGAGCCATATTAGGAGTTACGATCTTCATATATTGGCTTTATAGCTTCCTTGCATATGGTTGGCCAGGATCAAGGTCATGACAGTTTCAACGTGAACGACTCGAGAGTTTAGTGAAATTGCCAAGTCTAAACTTTTCACAGTGTCGAGTACATGTAGCAAATCTCTCGAAAGAGCATGGTCATGGAAGCCAAAGTACGCCCTGGTAGGTTTCACCACTTCCTAGACAGTTGATGATAGAAGTTGCTTGCCAATTTTGAGTTTTGTGTTTAAAGCAAGATCAGTATTATTATTAATATTATTATTACTATTATTTTAAAAAAAGGATGCTGAAAAGTACTTACGACCTTTAAAACCCGAAGTTTCTGTCCAATAGTCTTATCAGAATCGAGGATCTTTCTCTTTCACATTCCCTGAGGTTTGATCGTAGATAGAATATTATGCAGCAGACCGTACATTGGATATTCTGCTCTGGTGCATTACTGAGAAGTCCACATTGAGTTGGATAATGTATGGATGTAAAATAACAGCCTCTGAATAATCATATACAGTACAGAAACGAGACCCTTGTTCCAGGCTTGTATTGCCTACTGGTCCCATTATCTATTACTAAGTGCGGGAAGTGCGGATTCCAGCAAACGATCTCGGGTTCCAGCAAACCGTGATTCAAAAAATACGCTAAGATCTCCCGACAACCATCGGCGGATCCTCGGAGATTCTAGCCCTACATCCCCCTTACTGGATTAATTCTCCGACAATACTACTTTACTGATCCTCGGCATGCATGTCATATTTGAACCACCATCGATCAGCATAAATGAGAAAGATGGAAACCATCCTTCGCCATGAAGCCCTCCACCACTGCCCTGCTGGCCACTGCCGCCGTCGCAGTTGCAGTCGACTACAATACTGCGCCCCCGAATCTGTCCACTCTGGCAAATGGCTCGTTGTACAACACATGGCGTCCTCGTGCACATGTGTTACCCCCATCCGGCAGAGTTGGTGATCCCTGTATGCACTACACCGATCCCACGACGGGGCTATTCCACGTCGGATACCTACATAATGGATCGGGCATTTCGGTGGCCATCACTGACAACCTGACCACCTATCACGATCTCAACCCCGGTGGGGTACAATCCATTGTCCCGGGGGGTATTAATGACCCCGTCGCCGTGTTCGACGGCAGTGTTATCCCCCGCGGGATCAATGACACCCCAACGCTGCTGTACACCTCGGTGTCGTTCATGCCGATCCACTGGTCCATTCCGTACACGAGAGGCAGCGAGACGCAGTCACTAGCGGTGTCGACAGACGGAGGCCATAATTTCACCAAGTTATCCCAGGGCCCTGTCATCCCGTCACCGCCCTTCGCTCTCAACGTCACGGGCTTCCGTGACCCGTATGTCTTCCAAAACCCAGCCCTGGATGATACTCTCTCCAGCGCGCCGGGAACATGGTATACTGTTGTCTCCGGCGGAGTGCACGACGTCGGCCCATCCCTGTTCCTGTATCGTCAGCATGACATGGACTTCCAGTACTGGGAATACCTCGGCCAATGGTGGCACGAACCAGCCAATACCACCTGGGGAGACGGTATTTGGGCCGGAAGATGGGGATATAACTTCGAAACGACTAATGTCTTCACGCTCAATGAGGAAGGATACTCATCTGACGGGGAGATCTTTCTCACTTTCGGTGCGGAAGGATCGCAGGCTCCCATTCAGAAACAAGTCAGTTCTATCCACGACATGCTCTGGGCATCGGGGAGCATCTCGACTAACGACGGATTTGTGACATTTACGCCCACCATGGCCGGCGTGCTCGACTGGGGTGTCTCCGCCTATGCGGCAGCGGGGAAGATACTCCCTGCTGATTCTCAAGCCGGAATGAAAAGCGGTGCACCCGATCGCTTCATATCCTATGTCTGGTTAACTGGCGATCTATATGAACAAGCAAAGGGGTTCCCTAGTGCACAGCAGGGCTGGATCGGCACGTTGCTTCTTCCGCGCGAGCTGACCGTGCGCAGGATCTTGCATGTAGTGGACAACGCACTTGTGAGTGAGGAGGGATCGTGGCGTATGCAACAGCGCAAACACAACAATTCAGTGGAGCTGACGACACTGGGCATGAACATCGCGCGGGAGACGTATGATGCGCTTGTATCAGGGCCATCGATTGAGGAACCCGCTCGCGAAATGCAGAGCGCAAGCGTAGTGCCTTTCCGTCACTCTCCTAGAAGTAAATTCTTCGTGCTGACTGCGAAGCTCTCGTTCCCTAAGTCTGCGCGAGAGTCGGGAATACGAAGTGGGTTTCAGATCTTGTCATCGCAGTTGGAATCGACGACGATCTATTACCAGTTCTCCAACGAGTCGGTCATCGTGGATCGGAGTAATACTAGTGCCGCAGCGCAGACCACCGCCATCGATTACGCGAACGAAGCAGGACGACTGCGACTCTTTGATGTATTTGAGGACGGTGAAGAGGAAATCGAGTCGTTGGACTTGACCATCGTGGTGGATAATAGCGTTGTGGAGGTGTTTGCCAATGGCCGCTTTGCTTTGAGTACTTGGGCACGGTAAGTTGACATCTCGTTCAAGAAGAGCAAAGCTAATGTTGTAGGTCATGGTATGCCAATTCGACGGAGATTCGATTCTACCATAACGGAGTGGACGAGGTGAGGTTTAGCGATGTGGTTGTTTCGGAGGGATTGTTCGATGCGTGGCCGGAGAGACATGGTATATAATATAAGGTCAACTACTATCTCTACAATGCTAGTATTACGTACATAGATGTCATCCACATAGTTAGAGTCTATATTTACTCGCATTTGGACTGATAGGACGACATCTTAGACTGCTTGAGGATAGCTCTTTCACTGTTTTCTTTTAGATATTATTCGTAGATATTATGAAGTTAGACCCGGCACATATATATGACAAATCGATGTGGGATGGGATTTTTACAGTAGATATTTCACAGCATTTATCATATACTGGTTATTACATAAAATGATAGTTTCCTCTTGTTCGGGTATTATGATAATTACACGGCAACGCCCTCGAGAGCCGGCAGTAAATTTGCTTATCCACCAGTGTCATGAGCGTGTAATGGCAATAGTCAGATGAGAGTGCATGACACATTCTAAAGTATGAAGTTCCTGCGGAAATGTTTCTGCAGGTCAGTTCTTGTTTTTCAAAGTTGTATAACTAGGCTCTCGCAGCTTGCATCGAGTGAACCCACAACAGGGATGATCAAGCCCTCCAACACCATGATAATTTCGTGAGAGTCAACCATGGTGTGTAGTCGGCTAATATTTCATGCAGACACAATGAATAGTGCACCTTCTGTAAGATACTAGGATTTTTAAAAAGCTACATATATAAAAATATCCTGTTATTCATTGTAATTAAAAGAGAAGAACAGGTCTAGACTTGATTTTAATTTATAATGTTTATTTAGATAGTTAGATATTAGAACTTATTGTATTACTCGTAGAAGATATTGTATATATCTAATTTTTGGAGTCATTATACTGATAACAGCTGGACGATTTTCTACAGGGTTGGATATCAGGCTTAAATAAGCATGAGGTCACTGTACCTGACACAGGACAAAGAGCACCAGAATAATATACTGATTATAGACTAAACTCTAACCGATTCCCCGCATAATCCCTTGCAAAAAACCGAGTCGGATACTCCTTTGTCATTTCCCCTATTCACTTAGTACAGATCATCTAACATAGATAGACGCAGAGAGAGAATACCTGAAATCGCCTCACCCGGTTTATCCGCCGCCAAAGGGGCCGCATCCCCGCCTTGCACATGGTGATCCCAAATGCGCTGCTTCAACCTGTTCAGTTCATCTGGGGAACCAACGCGAAAGCACGGATGACGCGGGGAATCAGGATCATTGGTGCCGAAGGCGATGTGTACTTGCTGTGACTCGTTAATGTTGAACCTTGGTTAACGATTAGCCACCATGTACACTGATGAATGGTGAGGTACGTACCATGCCGTGGTATGTTTCTGGAGAGAGGGCACTGGGACGGAAGTTAGACCCAGAGTGTCGCAGTAGAAGCGACGGGCCTGGTCAAGAGTGCCCTCTGGCACGAGGAGGTTGATATGGGAGATGCCGGTGATCATTGCATGTATGTGTGGGATGAATGTTTAACTTTGGACAGTACATATATCGCGGCGTTTTATTCTGGGTCGGCAATTGGCCGGAATTCCTTTCCCGACGTTGATCATTGGTTTCAATATAATAGTTTGTCTGACAGTTATGTTCATAACTATGTAGTATTTAGGGTGGAAATACTCCATAATTTGTCTATTCTGCCTATACATATAGCATTTATTATTAGTATCTTAAAATTTCGCAGTATTATGTCAGGTGGGTCTAGACCGATCCCAGTATGCCTGGTGCCAGGAAGTACCATCGAGGTAATAATAACTTCCAATTCATCGCCCGGTCGAGAAAAAGAATCAAGGAGGACATATTATTTGTAAACATCCTATTTATGGCTGAGATAAATACATACCAGTGGAGTTTAATTCACTTCTGACCTTTGATTACGAAACGTTGACTTATGAGCTACAAGAATATAGGTATATGGAATATGGATACTAGACCAGGAGCATGTGAAGATGAATTTCTCCCAGTGAATGGTTTAGAGAGATAGGCATCGCCAGGTTGAACGGAAGGAGATAGATTAATGGTGTATTGGAAGTAATCTCTTCATTTCGACGCTGCATAAAACATAGCATGCTGGAGAAGAAGGTTCCTATAATATATACTCCTATACAGAACATGGAAGCTAACTAAACAGTTACTTTAGAGCGCCATGTCATATATTATAATGGCAGTTAAGTACTGAAATGGGAATTCTGTACGAGTCCTGATGATCCTAGAATGACCATACCGTATTATCCATGGATGACCACCCTTTCCTCACACTTATAAACAGGTCATCATTCCATAATTCTACCTTGAAAAGCCCATTCCCCACATTCTTTTCAAATCAACTTCTTCCAACTCCATCTTCCTTCTCCCATCCAACATCTTCCATCAATCACCAATCTATTAATCGTCAACTAATCTATCTATCAACTACCAACCAACTCATTTATTCCCAAAATCAATCCATCAACTTACCATTTCCACCGCAACAAAAATGCTTCTTATTCTCTTTCTCCTGGCCTTTATACTGGCTCGCACCGTCGCTGTTCATCCCAGCGACTTCGCTGCTGCACCAACAATCCCTGTTCGTGCGATCCAGTCGGCCGCCGCACAGGCAAGCCAAGTCCCCCAGCTGGCAACACACCCTATCAGCGATGGGGAGACTTCAACAAACGCGACCATTCACGACGACTGGTCATCATTTGAAAAGGTATGTCCAATTCACTATCTTGAAACTACTGAATCATGACACTGACGAGTGAATAGGGTGCAGCCATCACATGGACCGCTGACATGGACGTGGACTGTGATGGCATGGATTTTGGCTGCAAGGTAAGTTATCGTATATTATGCGTCATTTTCTTCTCAGTCTAATATATTCCAGGGCAACCCAGATGGCCAGTCAATTACGAACTGGGGCGCATTGTCAGCCTATGATGTCCCCTTTATTGTTATCCCTGATGATTTCCTATCGGCGAACAGGGATAAAATGCCAGGGAATAACGTCGCCGCCGTTATTTGGTAAGTAATAACTATATCAAATAAATGAATAACTATTGACAAGAATAGCAATGGCAACATGTACTTTGGAATACTAGGGGATTCCAACGGCGACACCCCCCTAGTCACTGGGGAAGCCTCCTGGTTGATGGCCAGGACCTGCTTCCCAGATGACAATCTAGATGGTAGTAAAGGCCATGTTGCGGCCGATGTTACCTGTAAGTATTATTTTATATATTTTGCACTCAATACACAGAATAATAATTATACAGACATTGTTTTTACCGGACAGGACGCAGTCTTGCCTAGCAGTGCTCTAAATAAGCACTATATTACTGACTTCAGTATGTTGAGGTCCATGGGTAATCAGCTTATGGGCAGTCTGGTCTCAAATCTGGGTGTGTCTGGGTCTGAGAATTGTTCAGACTGCGACGACAAGCCGGGAAACCCCCAGAAAGGTCACACAGGAATGCGCTCGGGGGCCGCTGGCACGGCCAATATAGCCAGCTCCTTTAAGAAGCGATCTATCCTCGTTCTGACGGCTAGTCTGATGACTTGGTTTGCTTAGGGGGAGAAGTGTTCGGGGGTGATAAATGCAAGGAAAATACTTGCAAGGAGGGTGATACATATTGCTTCAACAATGAATCCTTTGATACGCATTTCGGCATTCTGTAATTCAATTTTATTCAATTCTCTTTATATTGTTTAGCCAAATACTACTTTTGCCATTCTTGTTGCTTATTCAAATGCGACTTTGTTCGATTTATCCATTACACTGAGTACTCGTTTAACCCAGTAGCCAAAGGCCGCTCCCGCTAACTTGATATTCATTCACATAAATAACAACCATTCCAACATAGCATCTAACTAATTAAACAATCCCCTAGTCTGGAATTTCTGATCAACTTCTCCTTTAACCAGGGAATCTCCTCCAATGAGTATCGATATGCCCTAAACAACGCATTCGACTCACCCGGGAATATCTTCGCCGTCTGCTCATCCGGATATGGCGCAAAATGGGGAACGACATACTCCCAACAAATGTACCCATCGCGAGTGACTTCGAAAATTCTTCCAAAAGCACTCTCACACACCAGTGTATTCCCGTTAGCCAGTCTCTGTGCACTGCCCATAAACGGAGTGAAGAAGTACAGCATCTGCGAACGGTCACGATACTCCCAGACGATTTCCTTCGTCGTGCGGTCAACTTCAATCACGCGCGAGTAGGTTATCGATTCCCCCGTGCGAAAGGCCCCATTGTCGAAGATGAGAATGTTGCCGTTTTCCAGCTCGGTGGCGTTGTGCTGTTGCGCTATGACATCCGGCCCGAGCTTCCAGACGATCTTCCCCGTGGATTTGTCGATGATGACCACCGCGGAGACAGAGCGCATGGACGCGAGGATGTGCAGGCCATCACGCATGGGAAGAACCGAATTGATGAGAGGATAGTGTTCGCGGGTGTATTGCGGTTGAAGGGGAAACTCGTCGCGCGGAAGCTGCAAAGATACCTTCCACTGCCACACGAGAGTGCCATTTTCGTCGACTTCATTGATGGTGTCTGCGTAGGTGATGCCATTGATCTCGGTGCCAAGTATGCCGCCGATGACTTTGGCGGATTCCTCAGGTGACAGAGGCTCCAGAGCTGCATACAAGATTCGGCCGTCGCCAAAATGGTACTGGTCATGATGACCTAGGGGGTCGATGAATTGACGTACTATGGCCCCCTCGGGATCTAGCTCGCTCATGACTCCTCCGCCATATTTATTAAAGAAGGGAAAGGGATATGGATCTCCATCTTTGGTTGTTTGGGTTGTTGGGCGAAGTGTGTTGACAGCTAGGTTCCCGTTGGGTAGGATTCGTGCATGACGGCCTATCCTGCCAGGAAGCTTCCATGAATGTACTTCATTCCCATCGATGTCCACGAGATGAGCTGTGTCGCTGGTCAAGGGACAGAATAATGTGTAGCCTCCATAGGAGTGTTCCTTGTCGACGCCGATTAGGCCTACGCCGCGTCTTTTGAGAGTGTTTTGTTCCATACCGAATAGGTGAGTATAGAAGGAGATAGATAGATAGGAATGTATTAGGGAAGATTTAACATGCTTTATAAAATTAATTTATCTCGTCTATCTGATAGTGGCCGACTTGACCGGCGGCATCCCGTAGGACCGCCGGTATGCCGCCGGCAAGCCGCAGCCCTAATCGATGGTAACAGGTTCATTGTCCAGCACGCCATTATCGTCCATTGATAGCTTCAACAGTCCAATCGTCAGGCAGTTAGTTATGGACGGAAATGCTCAAATAAAGACGACCAGAATCATAGCACAAATTGACGACAATGACTGCGGGATTCTTCAATCACAATGGCATTGCCCAAAACAACCGCATTAACCGATCAGAAGCAAGCTTGCTCCAACAATGTCGATATCTCAGATGGATCAATACATGTCCTGGGGTATGACCCAAATATCGCACCTACATCCAGCGAAATCAGGAAAGCAATTCTGAAAGTTGACCTACTTATTTTGCCCTTAATTGTTGTATGTTTCTGCTTTCTCCAATTCGACCGTACCAACATCGGCAATGCCCTGACCGACACACTGCGCAAGGATATTCATATCAACAACTCGGATATCAACCTAGCGCAGACGTTATTCACCGTAGGCTTCGTAATAACTGAGCTGCCTTTTAACATGATCAGCAGAGTTATGGGTCCTGAGAGATTCCTCCCAATCACGATGTTCCTCTGGGGCATGGTGACCTGGGGTCAGATATTCATCAAGAATGCCACCGGGTTGCACGCAGCTCGATTCTTTATCGGTGCTATGGAGGGCGGTTACATTCCTGGTTTCGCTCTGTACATCTCAAAATACTATACAAACCAGGAACTGGCGCTACGGTATGCCATTTTCTGGGCATCCAATAATTTCGCGGGCATTCTGGGAGGACCGCTATCTATCGGACTTCTATTTCTCGGAGGACGACACGGTTTACGCGGATGGCAATGGTTATTCCTCATCGGTATATCCTACTCCACTTGATATACGCCAAATACTGACAATATCTAGAGGGAATTCTAACATCTTTCCTTGGTATAATTGCATATATCTACCTCCCTCACAGCGCCGCAAAACCCAAAACCTTCTTCAAACGAAGCTTCTCACTCTTCACACCCCGCGAAGCAAGCATCCTAACGACGCGAGTGATTACCAACGACCCGAGTAAAGCCGGGCGATCAAGAAAACGCGTTTCGCCCTCCGATGTACTCGAAACATTCCTCGACTGGCGAATTTACGGACACATTGTATCTGGCTTTCTCTCCATGGTCATGATCTCTCCCGTGAACACGTACGCGCCGTCAATTATTAAAGACCTGGGGTTTACGAGGCTACAAGCCAACGGGCTAAACTCCGTTGGTAGTGCGTGTGCTTTGCTACTATCGATATCGTTGGCGTTTAGTAGTGATAGGTTCCAGGAACGTGGTATTCATATCGCGATGGGATTCTTGTGGAGCGCGGCGGGGTTAGTGTGGCTTGCTTTGTCGCCAGATCGGAGCGGAAAGTGGGTTCTATACGGTATGTCCATCAGTTCATTAAAGGGCCGGATCGACTTCATTCGATTGCATGAATTAATTGATAATAGGGGGAGTCGTATGGACTCAAATGGGAATGGGCTGCGTCCAAGCTGTCAACGCCGCATGGCTCACAGCCAAAATACAAGACCATAAGCGACCTGTCGCCTTGGCAGCGTATGCTATGAGTATCCAGCTGGCGAATTTCCCTGGAAATCAGCTGTTTCGCACACAAGGTATGATATTCACGGAAGTAGTGGACAATGGGCTATGGACTGTGGGCACAGGCTAATGTACTTAGATGCACCGCGGTATACTCGGGGTTTGATCATTGCTGCGAGCTGTGCCTTTGCAGCGACGGTGGTGATTCTTATCTGGAAGGTTTTCTATCGTATTTTTGATAATGGTGACCAAGGGGTGGAAGCCATGTACGTTAATGACGGGTACGCTAGCACCAGACGGGTTGAGAGTGGAGTTTGATGCAGTTGATGTAGTGATTGTAACATGCCAGCCAATTGTGTTGGCAGGATTGTTGTGTTATTGTAAGCCAAGACTTACACATTAATTTAGAATCTTATACCTACCCCACACTTATCATCAGATCAGAGTGAAAGTAGCTCAATACCCCGTATTAGTACACCCAATCAAATCACCTCTCTTATCACACCATCGAGCCCAAAATATCGTCATTAACAAGCGCCCATCTCAACTCCATCACAACGACTGGGTCGTCCATGTCGATAAATAATGCCTCCTCTGAGATCTGCCCGAGCCTCGAAGGCATGTAGCCTATGTCGAAAGTATAAATCGCGATGCTATGTATTAGATGGCAGGGGTTGTCTCCGCTGTTCCTCTTTAGCCCAGCCGTGCTCTTTAGATGAGGACTTTGCTACCATCGAGTCTGTTTCGCCGGAGCGACAGGACCATGACCATGACACTGATACATGTACCGGCTCTGCACAGAGAGCAGTCAATGAAAGGTAAGCTCATATTGTTTTCTACAGCGAAAAGAAACTGACAGACTAGACTGGAGAAACTGGAAAAGACTGTGGAGGGACTAGTAGATCGACTTGGTCATCGACTCGATGCCCGTCCTAATTGGAACAATGAGTCTGCAAGAACTACGACAGAATCGATCAGCTCGGAGCAGAACCCCGGCCCTGTGGTTCTCATTAGAGAAGCCGCTATCGATGCGGGTGTGCATTTTCCGGATCAGAATGATCCCCATTCGGATGTTATCTCCTCTGGTTTGCTTACTTTGCCCATGGCGCAGTCATTGCTTGAATTGTAGGTAAACAAGTTAGTTTGCATGCATGTATTTTCATTTTTTAATAACTCTGTAGATTCCACGTCCACTACGGCAGATGGGTCAAATTCCCGGAAACGATACCCACATCTACTCTCCTCTCACGAGTCCGAGAGTCACCTATCCTGTTCTGCAGTGTCCTGCTAATAGCAGTACGACACACGACGCAAGAGCTGGCGGATCGACTCGCGCCGCAGTTATTTCAAGAGGCAAAACGGCTCGTCACGGCTTCATTGCTGGTGGTGCCTCAGTCGATCCATTTTTTTCAAGCCGTGCTTATCTTGAGTCTATGGTCCACAACCATCGGTCAGGTTCCGCTAAGCATGGACAGTTGGTTATTAACTGGCTATGCGCTGCAACAGGCGTCGGTCAGTCCGGATTTCGTCCAGGTTCGATCTGGTTCCGCTCTGCCGACGGAGAGAGAGCGGTTAGATGCGTGGTGTGTGTGGATTCATCTCTGCTTGGCACATTTACAGTATGTTTACACTAGTATTCTGGCTATCTAGTCCCTAATTGATTTGATTAGGTATTGCGTAGGGACTAGACGACAAGCACTACTCACCGAAGCGCAGATCGATCGCTGCGCTTGGTTTATTGAATCAGACCATGTCTCAAATTACGAGACCCGAATGGTAGCCGAGGTTAAGCTGTACTGGATAATTTATAAAAAATGCTGCGGTGCGCAGATCGCCTTGTCTGAAGTGAAACTTGACCTGCAGACCTGGCGACAAGAGTGGGATGCATTATTCGGTATTATATAGTACCTTTGCCTTCTAATTTCAATACTGACAGTATACAGCCCAGCCTCGCTCCCAATTCCTCCAGATGGGATTCCACTTCGCCCATCTCCTCGCGTACAGCAACTGCTTCAAAATATCCCGATCAGAGATGACCTGCTCCACTGTTTCCGAAATGATCCACCACTCCACCACCATCATCAACCTTGCCATCGACAAAACCGATGACCGAACACGTCACCTAACAGACCAGATCTATCACATCGTGACCTTCTCCGCCCTCACGCTTTCCCAACTGGTTCACAGGTACGAGTCGCGCCTTCAGGCAGAAAGCCACGACATTGAAGCCCTTGATACCCTCATTGTGAAGCTCATTAACTGGTTGAGGTCCATCGGACTACCGTGTCATACCGCCTCGATGCTAAGTGACATTGTCTTGGCACACTTCGTGAAACTACGACCGGGTTTTCGACCGATGGATGTCAGTGCTTCGTACGAGGTGGGAGAGAATATTGGTGATTTTGATACTCTCGATTATCAATCGCTGCCGCTTGATGTGGCTCTTCTCTATCCGGATTTTATCGGGTCGGAGCTTTTTGATATGGATGCGGGTGTGATATCTTAATGCTGTGTAGACGGAGTAGTTAGATAAATAAATCAGTCTATGCTCTTAGTCTGGTCTACATGCCTGTTTTATGTTTCTATTGTTTAATATTAATGATTATAGGCATATACAAATTAAGCTTCCCTAGAGGAAAGCAGTCAATGTTTATATCACACTTCATTGCTCACTTCACTCGGTGTTGGTTGGCGCTAATTGTTTCAACATCGCGCACAGGAGATTTATTATAGAGAAAATAATATCATTTCCCTACTAATAAACAGAAAATCAGAAGCACAATCCAAAAAAATAAAAAGATTTTTAAACCTATTTATCATCTTTAACTATATATTCTTTATCCAGGTTCCTCACCCAATCTCTACTTTTTGCATATTAGCCTAACGATCCTTATTAAATAACCCAGCTTTTGTTTGTTAATCTTGTCTAAGGTTTTCAAATTCGTCATAGCGGTATAAAGCCTCATCGGGTTATCTGTCTTAAAAATAATCGTGGCCATTCATATCTAGAGCTTTAGATACAGTATAAATCCCCATGAAGTTTTTGCCATAGTCGGTTTGTTGGTGATATTTACAACCAGGGGACAGATTAATAGTTAGACGGTAACAGGTAAACAGAGCTTGGAACTGAAATGAATTGATGACACGCGCAGTGTGATGATGATGATGATGGTGGTGGTGGTGGTGAAAATATGAAAGAGGCTGATTATCCCTCGAGAAAGGAAGACCTGAGGACTCGATTTCCTCTTTTGAAGGTGAGGTTTTGGTCTTCACCTCGTACCTGCGTCTATGAATAAGTAGTATTGACTAGCAGGTTTACAAGTGACTATACAGCTAAGGAAAAAGCACGGCTTTTTTGTGGCTATGAGCTAGTAGATCTATACTATTGTGGATGCTCTAGGCGCCTAGATTTATTTTATTCAATACCCCTTGTGTCGCTGGACGAGCAACCATCAAGCCAAAAACAGGGCACATGCTTTGCCTTGTCTCTGTACGACCTCTGTTCTTTTCTTGAACTGTGCAGCACATCAGTCTGTGGAATAGCTTTTACAGACTATAGCTAGAGTTTTCAGATTAAAAAAACTACCCTTGTGCTATCTAACAACGCCACTTTATATGTACTTTAAGTCTGTAGTAATGTTCTATCAGGCCTTGTATATACGTAGATATCGCTATGTTCAAGGTACTATAAATCCAGGTCAACATACTGCTAAATCCTGTATCCTGACTGGATACAAAGTGACTACCATGTGTGGGTAGATTGCAAGCCCCTGATGGTTGTCTCTGCATGGATATCCCTAGATTTGTCTCCATGCTTAGTCTCATCGGTAAGGCGTGGTTTACTCTCAATCACCGCAATGCGCATCTCTATTTGTTTTGAGAGAGGATGTTGTCTTGTTAATCGCGTCTCGGTATTATCCAAAGCAACGCGGTACGCATCCAGGGCTTGCTCCAATCCTCCTTGCATCTCATACAACTGCCCCAGCTTCCACATGCCAAAAATATAGTCGAAGTGCTCCGGGCCTCTTGACTCCTTGACTTTTTCTAGAGTAGTGAGAGAAAGCTGTTCTGCTTCATCTAACCGTCCCTGCCGTGCATAAACCCGCGCAAGCTCACCACATCCCATGAGGACTCCAAGGTGATCATCCCCAAGACTGCGCTTTCCTGCGGCGATCCCGCCGACTAGCATTTCTTCTGCCCGGTCGAGGAAACCCAGCTCCACATGGATTTTGGACAAGTAGCAGAGTGCCCACAGGGTATACGGATGCTCTTTCCCAAGCTGCTTTTTTCTTCCTTGGTATACCCTGTCCATTAAATGCTTCGCACGTTCGAGTTGCCTGAGGTCTAACAAAACCATGGCTAGGTTGCTCATGGTGGATAACGTGTCGATATGATCTTCCCCTTTTTCTCGCTTTCGAATGAGCAAGACGCGCTCATGCATAGCCTTACTTTCCTCGTACCGTTGCCAAGATCCCAATGTCACTCCTAAATAGTCCATTGCAATCATGGTATCGCTGTCCTCTGGACCGAGGTTCTGAATCATCTTGCTAGTTGTGTCTTCCAGTACCTGCAAGGATTCCGCGTATTGTCCATTCAGCCAGAATGATTGCCCCAGTTTAGCCTTCGCTTGTAAAGCATCCCGATGAAAAGGACCGACGTGTTCACTTCGGGCCCCAACCACCGCTCTCTGTATAGCAATGCCCTCTTTCAAGCGGCCCAATCCCCACAGGATTTCAGCCAGGTACATACTGGCTTCCAGCGTTTTTTCATGCCTAGATCCTTGGATTTTGGTCAATAGATCCCTAACCATGGTAAGGTATTGCGCCGAGAGTGAAAAGCGGCCTGAGAGGGCGTATAAGTAGCCGCATTTTGCTGCAAGTAATACTTGATCTCGCAGCATAAATAAAACTGTGGGTTGCAGAAACTTCACAGCGAGTATCCTGAGATTTCCTAGCCAACCACTGAAATCTGGAACTTGTACTGGACAGGCAGTACTGCACGCATCAAGATGAGACAGAATATCTTTGCGATACTCGATATCTGCGTCCTTATCCTCTTTCGACGGCAGACTCACGGACTCCATCAATGTATTCATGGCAATAAGAGCCCATATATTTCGTTCCCTTGGATTAATACGGTCCCGCGCCCAGGCATGAACTAGTGGGTGCAAGCAAAAACTCTTAAGGTCTTTGTCATAGCTAATGAAAGATAATGTGTACAGCTCATGTAGAACTTCCCTCACATAGTATGAGTCCGTGTCTTCCACACGTCGTTTCAGAAAACACGGAAGAGACGGAGGCGGAGAAAGACGGCTGGTTATGACATCCAGCTTTGATGGCAAGACGGAGTTGCGGGAAGAAGAAATAGCTCTTCGCCGGTTCTCAAGGGCTCTTTCGAATATGTCTATCCGAATGTGGTCAAAGTGATAGAAGCTCACAATATTGAGCATCTCAACGGCATCCTGGCTGGGTAGACTTGGCTTTTTCTCAAGATACTCAAAAGACAGATCAAAGGCGGAATAGATGTCATCATCTAGTGACTTTGAGGTAGGATTTTCAATGGCAACTTCAGAAACAGCAGTTGTTCCTCGCTGACGTTTCTTTCGATAGTATTCGTAGAATCCGAGATATTCCGACAGGTTACATAGTCTCTGGGATATTGATGTCCCAGCCTGCTTCATGGCAAGTGCCAGATATCCTAAGGCTTTAGCAATTTCCCTCCCTAGCTTCTCGGTCTTCATATCCCAAGGGGTGTCGATCATGGCTGATTTCAAAAGAAGATAGAGCGCCTCCTTTTCTTGGAGCCCTCCAAGTTCAATACTTCCAACATTTCCATACTTTCTACACACTCGATTCCTCGTGGTCACGAGAATATGGCCTCGATTGCCTGGTGGAAACAAACTGGGAAGATGTAAATTGGGACTGTCCGCGTTATCAATGATGAGTAACCACGGTTCGCGAGCCTGTGAGAGGAAATACTTTCCAGAGCTTTCAGTGCCTTCAAGACCTCCTATCTTACCAATGGCGGCAAATGACTTTGCCGCAAGCGTTGGGGTAGTAGCATCGATGGTAAATACAGCCCAGTAGCTTTATTCATGTGGTCAGTGGATACATAATTGCATGGTCACTTCCGACGGCATCACTTACCACTGTCGATTATCCCACGCAAAATTCGTACAGAGTTGACTTTTACCGGAGCCCGGAATACCATGGACAATAAATCGTTTTTGGCCTTGTCTGCTCTGAGCAGCCCCTGAGAGAACGAGCGCCTCCCGAATCTTCTGAGAAACATCATCTCGACCGATATAGTTTTCAGAAGGAGACAAACGAGTTTCGCAGTATTGGTTACGCATTTCATCATGTGATATGTCATCTATGGACGAAATATCTGGGAGCTTATCGGGAATACTGAATCGAAAACCAGCCAATTCCTGAGCCTCATTTGTCCGCGCCAGCGCCAATGCTTCGTGGGCGTCTCTCCACCGGTTAACAATTACTTCTGGTGCCATACGGCAATATCGTTTCACTGTCGAGAGGACAGTTCGGTAGGATGGGCTCCAGTCGGAGAACTTGATCATCTGAGAATGATCAGCGCCGACGATGGCACATTTTGGGGCATCGTAGATGTTTGGAGCGGCAGAAGATTGGTCCACGAGGAAGTCCACATAGCCCCCAAAGTCAGTAGGCATACCTTCCCAGAAAAACGTGGCATGGAACTTCTTCATCAAAGGAGTGAATTGATCCGTGATAGCCTCCAGACTCTGTAAGATTCTTGTGGGGGGTGATTTTAATGGGCCAAGTCGACGACAAGCAAATTGCGACGCTCTTGAGTCCGAAGAATCCAGTACCAGCCAATTGGCTAGATTGATGTGGTTATGCGGAGTGGCGAAGAATAAAATGGCGAATGTTGAAATATAGATACTATTGAGGTGGATGACGAGTGACGATGTCGAGTTGGCCGAGTGAGCAAGTGCCTTCTTTACAATTACTCCTCCTAACCCATGGCAGACGAATATGATGGGCCGATGCTCACAGTCCTCTAGGCTCCTGTCCCCTTCTAGATTCGCCACGAGGGTAGTAGCAAGACTTTGAATTTTGTCTGTAAAATTCTGTCCTTCGTACGAGCTAGCGGAGGACTCATAGCCGAAGGAAAGAATTCTCGCCTGAGGGACATGTAGGGGGATTAAATCTCTCAACCAAAGGGTTCCTGATTCGGATGTCCAGGCGACTACCGCGTCTTCGTTTAGGCCATGGACGGCGACAATGCTGATACCTGTTCGTCAGTCATAAACTTTTGACTATCTTAAAAATACATGGGCCCATACTCGACCGTCGTGCCCCCTTCCTGCTCTGTAGCGGGAGCCGTGTCAATCTCACGCAGATGATGAAGACCAAGCGACATCTTGGGCGTCATTTTAGGTATCCAAAATCATATTTATTTATTGGCCAAATGACATCAGCATCATGGCAACCTTTCTTTGTAGCCGTGAGGATTCTATCGAGTGGACTGATGTTGCGTGAGAGAAAGGAAGTTGGAGTGGGGAAATTCCACAAGGGAGAGGGACGATTGCTATTGTTAGTAGTCACATTTTCTTTTTACCCCTCTACACCATTACACCCTCTCCTCTCCTGGTCACCTAGCTCCAAGCCACAGGCGCATCGGAACGAATGGACTGACATGGATTCGGTGTAACCTGGCTCCAATCAAAGTGCGTCGTCGATATTGCATGTTTGCCCGGCGCTTAGCTTGCCCATCTACTCCGCTTCTACAAATGATGAGATCAATATTTAAAGGAAGAGCATCAACCCGCCGAATGTTAGAAATCTATACCTTGTATACAGAATGGCTTCCGGGCTCGTCATTTATGTCCTTATATTTGGGGTTCTTGTCCGTACACTTTATCATTGTTTACAACGATATAAAGAGTACCAGGTAAGTGATAGCTCAACTGAAGAATGAGTGCCCCTGACGAAGAACAGGAGGATAGCGCACTAGGACGTCAAATCGGCTGTAAACTGCCCCCCGAGTTAACCAAGAAATGGCCATTGGGCCTCGATCGTATTATAGAACTGTGGCAATCAAATGCAGAAGGCCGGCTGCTTGCCTTCCTCTGCTCCGTAGCCGAGGCCTAGGAGCCGGGGAATAGCCTCACGCAATACCTACTCTTTGGAACACGAGCATTCCATGTCTTACGACCAGAGAATGTTGAAGCAATTCTTTCCACAAATTTTAAAGGTACGAGTAACAATTCTCACGTCTATGCCCAAGGAGTCATGCTCACCCCATTTAATAGACTGGCTTTGGCGCCAGACGGGAGATATTTGCCCCATTGTTAGGCAACGGCATTTTCACGCAAGAAGGCCCAGCCTGGAAACATTCCAGAGATCTATTGCGAAGGCAGTTTCTCCGCATCCAGAGTCGCAATTTGGACCACTTCCACGAGCATGTGGACAACCTAATAGCTCATCTGCTGTCAAGCGGGGTAGTTGACCTGAAGCCGCTCTTTTTCAATCTAACACTTGATACTGCCACGGCACTTTTATTCGGGCGATCCGTGTACAGTTTAAGAGCTAATATTGATCAAGATGCTGATAATAAGCTCTTTTCAGAGAGATTCAATATAGCGCAAGAAGGGCTAGCAAAGCGTTTTCGCATTGCACCGTGGCATTTCCTTTATAATCCGCCGGAGTTTCGCAATGCATGCGCTAACGTACACCGATTTGTTGAAAAATACATCGAGGAGTTGAATTTGCCGAAAAGTGAAGCCCTAGATAATAAGACGTACGGCTTTATCAAACAGGTCGCGTCTGAATCTGATAGCAAAGAGGACCTGCGGGACCAATTGCTCAACGTCCTTCTGGCAGGAAGGGACACAACGGCGTGTTGTCTGTCCTGGACATTGTATGTGCTTTTTACTCTCATTTTCAATTCTTCTTGGTAATAACGCTTCACTTTCCAGCCGCTTGCTTGTGCGTCATAGGCTGGTACTGGATCGTCTGCGAAACGAAATATTCTCAATCATGGGATCTTCCAAGCATGCGACCAGGGAACAAATCAAGAGAATGCCGTATCTTGCCTGTGTTATCAAAGAGAGTAAGTATCAATTATGACATTCTTGAATAGAGCTAAATATTTCAGGCTTACGCCTCTACCCACCGGTCCCACTGAACAACCGCGAAGCGATTCGAACAACCATCTTACCCACGGGCGGAGGTCGCGATGCAACTAGCCCCATGTTGGTAAGAAAAGGAGAGCTCGTCGTATTCTCCCAGTATGTCAATTCACGCAAGAAGAATATCTATGGTGTGGATGCGGATGCATTCCACCCTGAAAGATGGGAAGGAGGAGAACTTTCCAATGTTGGGTGGGCGTATTTTCCTTTCAACGGTGGTCCGCGACAATGTCTCGGGGAGGACTTTGCTCTCATGGAGGTTTCATATACAGTGATCAGATTGTTGCAGACATTTGCGACTATAAAGCTGCCGAAGGAAGAGCGAATAGAACCGGTGGGGAGTGAAAAACAGCGACTTACACTGGTTCTTTCAAGTGCCGATGGATGTCGTGTTCAGATTCAATAGAAATAATTCATTGGTAGCTTATGGCAAGGAACTAACTGTATTGTGGCTATTTATAGGCTACTGATGGTGTACAGACTGGCACAATTGTCAATCTCCATCATACTGCTGTATCCCCTGCAGATCCACATTAGACACACTATCAATATACTAAGACGCCTTGAAAGCATATACACCACTGGTAAACATTCCACAGCTATTGGAGTATGAAATCTTCCCTGTTAATGTCTGCCTACTAGGCAAACACAGAAGAGCTAGTGAGCGGTCTGCTGTACACCCTCGGTGGCGCTGGATAGTGGCGCAGCTCATTTGCGCAGCCAGTAGAACCCCTGAAAGGCGGCTATTTCAGGTTATATCAGTTTGAGATGGACAGGGGTTATGCGTCCATTCATTACGTCCACATGGGAAGAAACATATCGAGTGGATAAGTGCTGTTCACGAAGTCAGGAGCGCGCTTACAGGGAGAAGATCCTTGCCTTCTCTATCATAAAATCAGGTGTGTGGTCGAGGCTAGCTAGAGACGAAATTTAAAACCCGGATGTCCCCAAAACTAATCCAGGCAGATATTACTCCGTGAGGAATGTCCGATCCAAGCTGACCTTTTGGTTAATTCGCGATGCGTATCACGCATCAAATTCTAGGGATTAAGGAACTGTATCGCCCTGCTGATGGAATACCGGAAGTCGAGTAAGCCTCTTTTTCCGATAATATTTTTGCGAAAATCTGACACTTTTATCACTAGCATTGTTGCTGTACATGGCCTCAATGGCCATGCCACTGATACGTGGACGGCGCAGGCACAGGGAATTTGCTGGCTAAATCACCCGGACTTTCTTCCGAAATATCTCCCACGAGCTCGGGTCCTTGTCTGGGGATATAATGCAAAAATAGCATCTGTCCTGGGGGGCCGGACAAGCTCAGACCGAATTCTACAGCATGCTCAGACACTGGTCCATCAATTAGAAGCTGACCGAGACGTGAGTATCAATGTAGTAGAAGTGGGTCTAGGCTCGCTAACCTTACATAGTTGGAAAGTGCAAGTACGAGACCAATACTTTTTATATGTCACTCACTTGGAGGGATAATAGTCAAGCGGGTAGGAAATCTCGTTTTCTTTAACTCGACTCTTCTAACATCTTCTTGACGTTTTTCATAAGGCTATATCGTATTCAGCCAGCCGAACAGCTCCGAGGCTAGCACACATTCATTCCATATACACCAGCACATATGCCATTTTATTCTTCGGCACCCCACACAACGGATCCAACAAAGCTCGTATATTAGGAAACTTACAGAAAATAGCACGCCTCACCGCGCCGAAGCGGGTTGTGAATTTCGAGAACAACCTCGTGAATGCTCTCGAAGAGCAGTCGGAGACTCTGCAAAATATTACCGACCAATTTTCACCACTCATGGCTGAGTTCCGAATATATTTTTTCTGGGAGCAGGAACGGACGGATCTCAAATATACAGTAGACTACATTGTCGAGGAATCGAGCGCAGCACCGATCCTAGATAATACAGAACGGTGCGGAATCGCCGCCGATCATCGTGGAATGTGCAAATTTCACAGCAACGGCCAGCAAGGGTTTCGCACCGCGGTGGCTGCGCTTCGACGGTATGCTCGAGAGGCTCCAGAAGCCATTCAGCTTCGACACACCAGGGAGACGGATTCCAGATATGAGAACCAGCTGTTTCAGGCTGCTGAGCTTTTGAGATCTAGTCCACCACCTGACAAATCTCCCGGGGCTACTAGGTATATTCTTGATCCTATGAGGCAACCACTCGGGCACGCCATAGGGATAAATAAATGGTTTGCTATTCCTGAACAATAGCTGTGGATATAAACTGGAAACTACACTATCGGGCCACCTGCCGCGAGATTTATATTTAGTCTAGTTTTTTGTGCGCATTTCAATGAACCCATGATATAGAGCAGGATATTAATTCCAAAAAGATTATAAAATTTCTCTGTTGTCGAACCCATTTAGTAAGATTGCTGAATAATAGCTGCCTTACTACTTAATAAGAAATGTCAGGCTAACGCATGCATGCAGATTTAAAGATCTCACATGTATGCTCGCTCGAGTAGAATACCAATTAACAGCTAGTTTGGATTAGTATCCAACAATATTTAAACCCGAAAACTCCAGCCATGGGCCACTGACAATTGCCTTACAAACGAATAAATACTGGACTTGGCATGCTGTTGGTGGTATGCGTCTTACAATAGAAATTGAACAGACACTGCATTTCTCAACCCAATCAATAAATAATCTTAAATCATTCACAATCTAGCGGACAAAGGAAAGAAACCAAGACAAACCCAGTCAGATCATGAAAGCCGCCTTCGCAATGGATTCTTTAACATGTTCCTAACACTGTTGTGCTTAATGGCAAGCAAAGTCGTTAAGAAGTAATAGAGTAAATCAATCTACCATCCATCCCTGAGTAATATCACACACTCTTTTCCCTCTTGGAATATCTCGAGGATGTAAATGCACGACTAGCTCCTTATTTGAATGCTTCTTATTTGCCTCACCGTGGTCTAACCGCCAGTAAAGCATAAAGGGAGTGAGTTTTAGATGAGTCTGGCAGTTCGCGCAGTCCTGCACATGCCATCAGCTGAGGACAGACTCCATAGCTTTGGCATGTATCTCACCAGCTGTATCGCTTTGAGAGGGCCGGCAATGGCGCCACGGTTAATGCCAGAGATCCGCATTACTGGAGGCAACGAAGGGATATCAACCGGGGGGGTAGCCGTCGTTGAATACGGAACTCTTGTACTTTGGAGGCGGCTTGTATGTGTAGCGGAGCTTGCTGATGGAGAACATGGTCTAAAAAGTTTCGTCAAGTACAAGGAACAATATATGTGCCTACAGGGCTAACCTTTAGGTTCGCTTCTTTCCTCGCCTAGTCTGAACGCTTAGTGCGGAGTGTCTAGTGTCAGCCACGTGTTGCCGGAAATTCCTGGCGTGGGACCTTCGCTGCTGATACTGTTTGTTCCCGGATATTCGGGCAAAACTTTATTTCGCTGGTATCGATTTTCCGTCTCTCTTGCCAAGTCTAGAGTAAAAATTCCTGCCTTGTAAATGCCATAAGCCGCGACCCCAGCTGCGCCATATTTTTCTAGATTCGCCATGGAAGCCGCCCCCAGTCGACATAGCATTCATCGATCGTTCTAACAGCAGCTTCACGGCCTGGAACAAGATAACTGTGCCCATGTTGTTAATGGCAAATGCACTCTTCACGTCATTACGTCAAGGTTTGCTAGATAAGGATCTGGAGCAGGACAGATTTCCGCACCGGTGATGACCAGGTCCAGGTGCGTGGTTGCCTCTGAAGAGAGGATTTGCATTGCGGTGGCCATGTCATCGGTCGAGGTGCATTCCAGTGTGGTCAGGATGAGACGCGAATTAGGGTCTCGCGGCAGGTCGCGTAGGGATTCAGCATACGGGGAGGCGGCATCAATAACAATGTGGTTGGGATGTGCAGGGTACGCTGATGCAAGGGCTTTACCGATTCCTATAGTAATTATAATACGGTAGACTGTGTTGTACTGGGTGACGAACCGCGGTTGACGTCGGTGAGGAGGACAGTGGACATGTTGTACATTGTATTGTTTTATTGGGGAGTATGTTCTGATGTAATATCTTGATTGTTGATCCTGTTCGGACGGTACCTTAGACTTATATACCTTATTTCTATGTGAATTTGTCATTCCATCCGGAGTTTCGTCCAATTGCCCCCTTCCCCCCCCCTGGCTCTCGACGGAGATCGACACTTGGCAGGTGCCTTATGGCGGACAAAGGAAATATTCTGTCAAATTACCAAATGCCACATCCTGCACACATGTACAAAATATATTGTATAAGTGACAACTATAGTAGTTATAGTTTAGTCTGGATAGGACCTGTACATACGCTCAGGATCCAAAATAGTGCCTCTGTACAACCCTATTTGGTGAATCAAAAGGGCACTACTCCATTGGTGGCCTAGATGACATAAAACAGTGTCTCTACAAACCAGATATCCATGCCAATCAATTATATCGCAGACCTATTAAAGAACCGGAAGGCAAGCAACCCGCCAAGCCACCCAAATGAACCAGTCACAAACGCCTAATGCTATGCAAAGAACGCCATCACAACGCCAGGCCGAATATTGAGACCAAAACAACAAACATGTGCGCCTTACATTCGAGAGAAGTTGGAATTGGGCACGCCACCAGGTCAACGAACCGGGAAAATCAAGCTGGCTGACTGCCCGTATAGACACTCTCGAAATCCAGCCTTTCTAACATTCCGTTGACTCGGTCAATCTCCCGTGTGAGATCCTCGACATTTATCGCTAGGCTGCTAACTTCGTCGAACTTGCGACGCCGGTTTGCATCTGCGATCATCTCAGAGACAAAGAATTTTTGCTCCTCTAGTACAATAAGCCTCTCGCGCAACGATTTTTCCTCCGCCTCCAGTGCAGAAATAGCACTACTTGTGTCGCTGGCTAGGCTGCTATTGCTAATACTCGCAGTAACACTTCCGTATCGGATGGATGATAAAGTGGACCCCTGCCGCCGGTGGTCCCCGATCGAACCATTCGTAGAACCAGGACGGCCAGATGAGTCCACAGCGCTTGGAGGCCGTCCATTGGCCGTGGCATGCTTGAGAATTTTTGGCAACGACTTTAACGGGAGCATATGAAGATGAAGGAAGTTGGTAGCTTGTTGATAGATAGCTTTCTGAAGTAGTTTCTGTGTCGTAGATTCCGTGGGCAAATCACGGATACGCCTAGCCGCTGTATCGTATTGAGAAAATGAATCAGTGAGTCGCTTGCGGACTTTGGAAGCTTCTGCGATTTGGGCGGACGTTGGTGGTCGTCTCGGGTCCCTACCGACACGGTCAGAACTTCTCGCGCACTCAACATACGGGGTGCATACTGTAAAGCTGTTAACAGCTTTTGAAACTTGGGCATAAGTAACCGAATACCCCTCTCAAATTGGGTCAGATACTCATATGCCCTCAGGTCAGGAGGTTTTCGCATGATATCGGCTTCAAAGTCTTGACGGTCAAATATAGTGGATTTGCATTCTTTGCAAAGACGAATGTCAATGTTGATCGCATTTGTGCTGCTTGTTTTCTCTCCAGGGGTCTTCGACACTGTTTCATGTCAGAGAATAACAAAGCTCAACTAGTAAGGTACCTTACATGGCGATATATTCAAAGGGATTTCCATGGAACATCCCGTCGCTGGGTCACCGCAGACAACTCGCCCGCAAGTCCTGCAATGATGTCTCCGAAAGGAGTAGCTGGTGAAATCCTGCTGACAGAAAGGACACCGGGAGACGCTCGAGTCATCCTGCCAGCTGACAATGGTCTGCTCGAGTGCCTTCCGTTGGTCATTTGGCCACGAAATCTGCCAGCGTTTATTTGCCGCCGACTGGATCTGTTCCGGAGGCAAGCTGGCAAGTAGCTGAGTGAGCCGCGTCAACCGCTTCTCTAGTCGAGAAACTTCCAAGAAAGCTTTGTCGACCGACTGTTTTCTCACCGCCTTAAACTCATCCGTTCGATTCCTTATCAGGCCTACTAAGGTTAGCTTCCACCCACGAAGCATGATGCAGGGGGACAAGTGATCGTACCATTATGATCATTATATCCCTCCCGTGACTTATAGCAAGTCTCACAAACTCTATACCATAAGCCCCGAACAGGTTCGTGTTGCGCAGATCTCGAGAGCTTCATTTGGTACATGGTGTGTTCCTCGCAGAACAATTTCCCACATTTTCGACAATTCACGCATCCGTTGGTAGCATTCAGTCGCTTCCCACACGACGGCTCCAAACAACTATCGCACAGACCACGAACCTGCCAGTGATCCTTCTTTATGATGTCATCCGCCTCGAGGGGTCTCGATGCTTCAGGAGTATATACCTGCGAGGGTCCTGGTGGCCGACTTGCACCCGCGAAAGTCTGCATGTTCTCGTTCGACTCGAATACATCAAGCCCCTTCAGCTTCTGGTTCAAAACAGCCAGAGGCTGGAACCGTTTTGCCTTCTCCATTTGAACTTTAAACCAATCCTTGACTTCATCTTGTCGATCGTCTTCCAGATTTTGGTGTACGTCGTCGAGATGTCTAACCCATGTTAATCGCGAGGAAACCGGAGAATTTCAGCGTCTCAGAAATACCTATTCAATTGTAGTAGTGTAACCTTCAACACAGTCAGCCGCTTATTCCGACCAAGGACAGGCTATCCTAGTAGGCAAGAAAGTTAAGCGGAATGGTACATACCATCTCCTCACTACAGATTGGACAGGCCAGCTGAGAGCCGGCAGCAGCCGGGGGAGCCCGAATCGAGGAACCGGCATTATCCAAGGATATCCGTGAGGTCAGGTCTTGAGTTTCGGATGAGAGCTGAGAGGCGGAGGCCTGAGAACTGAGGGAGAGGCTGCTGGCGGAGGGTGAAAGGACCCTAGGCTTAGGTTGCGGAGACGGGGTTGAAGTGGATGAGAGAGCATTCGCAGTGCCCAGGACACGGCCTCCACCCAGCGTCCTTCGGGACATGGTGAGACCAAATTAAGGGAGCATGAGAAGCAGATCCCGCGAAGGAGCGGACAATGATGGAAGGAATTGGGGGAGGTGGCGCGAGAAGACAAAAGGAGTCACTAGCAGGCTGCCTGGAGATCAATTGATCGATTCGGTCGGTTCAGGTGATCCTCCCGATGAGGGGCGGGAGCCTAGACACCTGAGGCGCTAGCGCAGCCTTCCCCATTCGTGCCTTAGCACCTTAAGACTACGTCTGTATCTCCTAGATGTTATACACAAAAAGAAAGAAAGAAAGAGTATTAATCAATTACTATCCCACTAAACTAACTACATTAGTTTTCACAATTCACTTCCCTAAAAATCCAGAATCTACAGCTCATAATCCTCATAATAGCTTTCCCCGTCTTGGGGTTACCATACTTGCAATGTATTTGAGCCATTCCATCATGTCGAAATCCATATCCTCATGCTTGATAAATCCTGCTAGCTGTCTGGTGGCGTCCGCCCTCGTTGGTCCGATATTCCATATGTTGATCGTAGGGTCGTACAATATTGCTCCAGGATAGTTTTGTAGAGTAGCCGTACATATGTATATTTAGACCTGTAGTCTAATGCAATAGAACCGAAGTCCCCGATACTAAGTGCTCCTTCTTCCTTTTTGGCATCAAGCTGGGAATGAAACTATAGCAGGAAGCTGTAGGAATTGAACTGTATCATTGGGGCAACTCTGGATGGGATAGTATACGGAGTTTCTGCACCCTTTTCTTTGCAATCAGGTCTGCTTCTGGTAGGTTAGATACCGTTCCACCTAAGTCCAAAGACACCGAGGATTCTCTAAAAAGCTTCTATTCTGTATATGTACCACAACTATTACAAATCTTGCAACCCGGTACGGGAAAGCAACAACGCATTCTATTTGCCAACAAGACAAACTTCCCGCGCATCGATAACCTCTAAATAGAGCCAAAAATGAAGCCAAGAGTTAAACCTTCCTCTGCAGTTCTTTCTCCGTCAACGCCTTCAACTCCTCTCTCGCCTTACGAGCTGTCTCGCGCTGCAACTGGTCTGGGCGGCGTTCGGCAATATCTTTGGGCCGAAAATCGCTGAACAGCGTCTTGAGGACGTTCTCAATAATCCAGCATCCAGCATAGTCGATAACCATCAAGACCGTCAACGTAACTTTGAACTCGGTGCTGAATGGAACGAGACGCAGCTTCTCGTTCAACTCTGGGATGAACTCAGTGGCACATGAGAACGCAACGCCAGAGGCTGCCACAAGACCCCAGTACATAGCTTTGTTCTCGCGGATGGACTCTCTGAAAGGACGACCCTGGTAGTTGATTGAAAATGTGGAAATTTGCTGGATAAGCTGAAGAAGATAGATGGCGCTGTTCAGGAGGGATGGCTCGAATTCACCCTCCAGGTCAATGTCCGATTGTCTCCTACAAATCTTGTTAGTGAAGAATTCTAGTAATTTCACAAGGTTGCATACGGCTGAATAGAGTAAACATAGTTTGACAAGTAGATCAAGGTGGCAATGTGGATGGCGAACTGTCCAAGCACGGAACCGATGATGTACACATTGAAAATGTTTGGCTGTGGGCGCTCTTTCGATAGGCCTTCGACAGACTGGATGCCACGTTAGCGCTCGAAAAGGCCTGCATGGTTGTGTGATTCTTACCTTGGCACGTGAAATAGAGAGGAAGCAAACGCTCATCAGCATACCGCTGATAGTCACCTGCCCATCTCCAAACTTGATTCCATCGAGATAGATGACGCTCAAACTGTAGGCACTAATTAAGCAGTTTAAGGCGAGAATCTTGTACATCTGGATGGTCGCAACTAGCGTACAACGACCCTGACGAAGAATATTGGGGATCGCAATGACATTGGCCAATTTGCTGGTGAATGGTGCCGCCACAGATGCATCTCCCAGTTTAATCGTGGGCGGCTCGTTGTCGTCAAGTTCCTGTTCCATCATCGAGCTGGTAAGTTTATCTGCGAGGCCGGCAGCTGCCATAGAAGCTTGTTGCTGGTGCTGTTGCTGAGGGGTCAGGTTGGAGTGGGCCTGCTGCAAAGCTTGGGCACCAGGGGACGTGATAGTTGGAATTGTCCCCTGGTGACTTTGTCCGTCGGCCTTAATACCTCGTTTGAGCGCTTCCCTCTCGATAGCCTTTTGGTAGTGGGGGTTGGATGGGCCAGGAGGATATATGTGAGCAATTTGTGCGGGCACAGGAGGGGAGGGCTGATTGAACCGTTGCATCATAGCCACTTGTTTCTCGTAAATTTCTTTCATCTTCGTGGTCCTATAATGCTCAGCAATCCTGGTGAGGTCCTCCTGTGATCCATTCAATAGAGCAACACCAACATGGGCTTGCTTCAAGGCTCCGACATCGTTCGTACCGTCACCACACATCAATGTAGTATACCCGGCATCCTTAAGACCAAGAAGAATGTCCTCTTTCTGCCTAGGGGAGACACGGGCATAAACCCAGGTGTGTCGCAGAAGCTCCGAAAAGGCCATCTGGCCCTTGAACTTAGCCAACGCATAGCCCGTGATACAGATATCCTTAGTCCTCAGAATCTCGGGATCCAAACTCTTGGTAGGATCGACGTCGCGATTGAACTTGTCATCAATGCTGCGCCAAACCAATCGGGTCCCTGAAGTGTCATGCTCAGGAGCATCCAGGATCAGGACCTCCCGGTCCACGATCTCCACCTGGCGCGCAACGTGCACAGCAGTCAATGGGTTATCACCAGTAATCATGACGACGCGGTGGCTGCTCTCATTGAGCATACGCACAGCCTTGATAGCATCATCTTTCAGCGGGCACTGCAGCACAAGAAAACCAGCGAATGTCAGGTCGGACTCGACTTCCTCTCGAGTATAGTTATTGATGCGTCCCTGAGACAGTTCGGCCTCGGAAGAAAGATATTTGTAAGCGAGGGCGAGGACACGAGCTCCATTACGAGTAAAATGCTTGAAGGTCTCTTCATAATGGGGAGGCGTGTTGACGAGCATGTTCCTGATCGTCTCCGGGGCACCCTTGACACCGACAAATGTAGACTTGATCTTCTTTGAGGTTTTCCGATCCTGGTTGACAACCGTAGCAATAGTGCTCTGACGCTTCAGTGCAGATGAGAACTGGAACCGTCTCTTAACCTGAACTGATTCAAGGGAGCGAGTCCCCGACGAGATCGAGTTCTTGCAGGTCAACGTTTCGTTCGCACCCAAGTTCCAACCCAGCCACTGTAGAGTAGCCTTCTCCATGGGGTCGCCAACAACATCACCCTCATCCAGCTTGACCAGAGCATGAGCACTGGCAAGGACAAGCGTCGTGTCAATTCCAATGTTACCACCCTTGGCCAGCTCCGTGTGTGCACCATCCTTCTCAACTTTTGCACCGTCGTGACCCAAAGTGAGTCCTGCAATACCATCAACGACAAGATCTTCGCCGGTCAATGTGCCAGTCTTGTCAAAACAAGCGATATCCACGCGTCCCGCAAACGGAATACGGAAAGGCTCCGTGCAGAAGATTGCGAATTTGCTCAGGGCGGCCAGACTCGTGTTGACAGCAAGGCTCAGCTCCATAGGAAGCTCTGGAGGAACGACGCTCGTAACAATGAGGACACAATCCAGAAGCAACTTTGATCTCTTCCGGTCCTTGGACACACCTTCCTGCCATACGTACCAAGCAGCGGCAAGCGCAAACATGAGCAAAAACAAAATGAAAAGCAGGGCCTCTACATTGTTGGCAGAGACACGTTCGGTGGAATAGATCATGGTCCGCACCAGGCTACCTTGGCTCGTTTCAAATCCAGTCTTCACAACAACGCCCACCGCACCATTGTCCGGCGGGGGAGAGACCTTGGACCCATTCTTCCGAGAATTCTCCGAATCCTCAGCATTTGCGTTCGGGTGGGTGATCTGCAAAACTTTGGTTCCTCCGTGAACAAAGGCATTCTTGTCCAGCGCGTCAGGTTCGATCAGATCATCGCCTGGTCGTAGTTGAATAGATTCCTTCAAAAGGGGTGTGCTTTCACCGGAAAGCATAGCCTCATTGACGATAGCAGTGCCTTCGATCAAGAGAATATCGCAGGCCACACCGCTGTCTTCCTTGGTGCGGTTGACGGACATTAAATCACCAGGTAGAAGTTTATCACTTGTGATTTCCTGCCACTTTTTCTCACGATAAACCCACACGTCATAAGGTTTGATATTCATCCCTCGGAACTCATTGAGTGTCCTCTGGCGCTGCCACACTACCGTGCTTTCGAAAGCGACGAGCATGAATAGCGTGAACAAGGAGTAATACCAGTATTCGTCCAGCATCCACAGCCCCACACAAAAGATCTGGAAAACGAAGAAAGGTGCTACGGCATGTTCTTTCCACAGTTCAACAAATCCTGGAACAGGAATATCAAATGTATTGTCACCGTAATGATACTGAATGTTCTCGATTTCAACTTTGGAGGTCAGACCCTGGCTTTGCTGGAAGGACTTAATAGTGGGCTTGGGTTCGGCATCGAGGACGTAGGATAGAGGAGCAAAGCACCGACGTTCGGGGTAATAAAGGAAACGGCGCTTCTGGAACAAGAACGAGTATGTTTTCTTTCCACCCATTGTATCGTAGACGAGAGGGCATATCTCGGCCGAACCAGCATTAGCCCCGGGAATCACCTTGATGAGCTGAGCTGAATCAATTGACTTGGCCTTGGTGGCCGTGAACAACGTTTGGATGTTGATATTCCATTTTGTCATCAACCAAAGAAGCGATTGGGCTGTGATAATCGACGCAACCCACACAAACGTCCATTCTTGGCCCTGGATGTAGGTGTCGTAGCGTTCGGGAGAAAGATAAAAGGCAAAAAAGGCAGGCCATACAATGAGAAATGGCCATACATAGGTGTGAACCTGAGTAGGAAGGGGGTTATGTAGCGATGCGTATATGATCTGAGGATCGTCCACTAGTGTTGCCCTACGCAATGAACAGTCAGTGTGTTAATGACAATGACACGCGATGAAAGCCGTAACTTACATGGCGACACTCGGATGACCACAATGCAGGCCAAACGACGCGAAAAGGAAACAGAAAAAAGAGAAGTTAATTAATCATAGGAATATGGGAGCAGCCATGTAATTCTCCCAGTGTCCCGTATGTGGTAAGGATTGTGTAAGGAGAGACACGGAAAGATGCCACCTTAACAGTCTAAATTTCGTTCCGGAGGTTCGCCGCCTGGAAATTGAATTCCCGCTGACGTGACTTGTGATTGGCTGATAACAAGTGCTCCGCCTTGAAGTGTGCCGGAACTTTGTTATCCCGAATATCTATTGCTGTACAATCTCAGAATGTGCTACAAACAGAACTGACTTTCTTTGAGTTTACTCAGGTTAACAAACAGAACTCTATGAGTTATCTTGGATTATTTATTGGATTCGGCCGCCTGGTGTTGACTACTATACATCATCTGATGTGACCAGAAATGACTTTTGTACGCTGACCCCGTTCACCGTGTCTTGCGTAGGATTCAGGTTTTCCTGACTGCTATTCCTACTCCCCCTGGAGGTTTGAACCGTGGTGATTACCCCGCGAGAATCATCGCGGTCTAGGTCGGGTCGCCAAAAATTGGTCCCAGTCCGATCATGGTGGGATCGATGAGTGCCATTGCCATTCATACTGGACAGAGGCATACTGCCAGGGGTTCTCTTGGCACTGCGAGAGGCTCCGTAGCTGGCTTCACGGAACCAACGGAAAAGTGGCCGGAGAGTAACCAGGCTTCCTGCCGTGATTCCAAGGCCGGCTTCGATGTTCGACCAGATCGAGATCTCGGCCGTTGCATCTGATTGTGTACTTGTAAGCTGCGAGAACCCGAGGAGGCTGCTACGGAATCTGGAAGTGTGACTCACAGAGAAATTCTTTGTCTTTATAGGATTGAAGGTAGGGGATTCGAACTATAACAGCTGCGCTAGCACTAGGAGACGTGAGTGGGAAAAACTAAAATGTTACAGCAAGAAGTGACTTACATGCACCCCAAGCTTAAAATTCCGGCCAAGGCGGCCTTTGTGCGAGTGTTCATCTGCAGCTTCCATACGAGGAAGATGGGTAAAATACCGAGGGTAAAGTCACAGATTGTTGCCGTAACGCTGTAAAGATAGGCGACGTCGAGAATGTAGTCCACATCCAAACACTTTCCCGGTCTATCCCGATGCCAAAAATGGTCGACGGGTTGACATTGCAGAGTCAAAATGAACCAGAAAACGATACCCACAACTATGGACACCGCGATAACACCCCAGAGCAGAATCGCATGTATTCGGGCGACAGTGAGACGAAGAAGAGCTACCGCGATGGAGATTTTGGCAACCACACAGGTGAAGACATAGCTTGATTGACCTAGCCACCACCACTGGAGGAGTCAGCGAAGGCAGTCGAAATGGGGAGCCAGGAAAACAGCATACAAACATTGCCGTTTGAATATCATGCATCTCGAGAGTGCCAAGTTTCTGTCCCATCCCATAAAGCGCTCCTGTTATGCCACATAACGCAAATAAAATATTCAATGCCTGCGTGACGACAGTGCACGATGAGCTAATTGTGTATGGAATAAGAGAAGGCGCGACATACCATCGCGAACACCATTAGAGCATCATCCCACCCGAAGGCCCTCACTAACCTCAGTCTGACAAAACATCTTAGGCAGACGGAGATGAATGAGATTCCCAAGAAGACAACAGTGACGGTAAATATGGACTTGCTGCGGCCGTTGAGTTCCCTCATCGTGAAGCGCAGCTTAGGCTTGCCTGGATCATGCAGGATTCATAGTAGTATAAAAATCCCAGAGGCATGGTCCCCTCAAGGGAGAAAAGTATGGTCAGGGAAGTGTGAACTTAGTTTTACTGACTGGCATTTGACAGGACTTTAGTATTTTATGCAACTAGGGACACATTTTAGGGGGAACCAAGAAAAAGTTCAACGCTAATAAACTGTATTATTATTCATTGGTAGTGTTTGCATGGTTCCTGTTTGTTGGTTTTACTCTAGTTAGGCTTTTTTTTTTTTTGCCTTTGCCACCCATGCACCTAAATCCGTATCCTCACAAAAGCATCAAAGCCAGCATGCAAACCCCAGAATTGTACCCTGCTAATGAAAATAAAAATGAAAAAGAAAAGAAAAAGGGGGAGTAAAAAAAGCTGACAAAGATTGTACAGCACTTTCAGTTTGACCACAGTCTGAGGCAACTAACTTCACACCAACAACCCAAGTGGCCTCCTAAGTACCGATTGGGGCCATCTCCGCGGTGCCACACTGCCAGGTGGAGTGGCACCATCTTGACCAGAGGCCCAAACAGCCAACGAAGAGCAGTGTTAAGGGGACAGTGTAGAAATGAGACTCTAAAACAGTGGATACAGCATAACGGGAAGGATCCTTCGTTACCCCATGAATCAGCGATTTCCCTAGCATAGCAAGAGGGACTGTTGGTAGTGAGTGGTTCTCGCTCACCGTCCATATCTCTCACAATAGAAAGTCCTGTGAGAATGCACTTATTTCGGAGTATAGGTAAGGTACATACATACTCCGTACTCCGTAAGTACATAGTATTGTTGTACACATTTGCAGGAACGAGGAACCTGCGTCTCGTATCACAGAGTGGGCAGTAGTAGACCGAACCTAGACATGTGCTAAGGGAGATGGTTCATTAGAAAGAGGTCAAACCGCAGTCCAGCGAGGATAAACAGCCGAAAGTGGAGACAAAGAGACCGGCCATTGTCGGAGACCTAGGTCCACTATTTCCGAGAACTCGAGGTGTGCTCCGCAGGGTGATAAAAATGAAGAAGGCAGACAGGCCGCCACAAATAAAGCACGATGAATTGTTCACTCGTGCTGAGGTGGAAGAATTATGAGGTTATTTGCCACGAGCATACATATGTGCATTGAAATAGCATGTGCACCGTAGTTTCTGGTTGATGATCTACACCGTATAACGCCCAAGACACCCTGCATGGCAAGCCAAGAGGCTTCCCCTGGAGAAACGTAAGCATATTCCACCATCATACGCACAGACCGCACTTGACACGCGCTAACAGCTAGATCCACAGGTTTATTGCCCAAATAGGAAAAGCTTAACACTCCACATGCACCATCTTATCCATTTTATTATAATTTATTGGATCGAGATTTGGCTTCGAGAGGCCAATCATTGATGAAATTACCTGCAGGAATCGCTAAGTATCACATGCTTCCTCCACCAAAGAAGTGGAGGAATACGAGAACTCACAACCTACTTTCGTCACCGACTCTCAGTTTAATTCCAATTTTATGTTTTGGAGCAGTCACACAAATGGATGGGTCTGAGATCCACGAGCTCGATCATTGGCCTCTTCGTGCGCCAGCCCACGAGGCTGCTCATCCTGATTTAGATCAGCCTCTAGTCACGATAGTCTTGGTCAAGCACATCCACTAAATACGAATTTCTGGAGAACAACGCCTTGCTCTTCAGCCTTCAGTAGTATCGAATTAGCCAGGCTTCTTGACGTACGAAAGTTCTAGACGTTTCCATGATCCCCGGCCCTGCGAACACCATAAATCCCAATATGGAAAAGCTGCCTCGGCTTCTTTGCCCTGTTTTGCTCACATTAGTCAACATCGGAATCCATGCCCATTCATTTAGTAGGTATTCAACCCCTCCTAGACTGCGTATGTGAAACATAATGCCGGAATGCCGGAACAATCTACCCTTGAGACATTTTCAAAATGATTACATGGGGTTACACTTACAATGGGTCCTTGTTGCTACTGGGTGGCACGACTCCACCACCCCTGCAGCACGAGCATAATCCACATTAGATTAGATCCAGTAGAATCCATTGAATCGAGGTACTAGCTCCATGCACAATATGCGCACTATTCATTCACTTCAAATAATTCTCCAAATTTGGCTATAACAGTCGCCACTAGACCCTGATTATCATAACCTATTAAGTAATATTTCAGACTTCCCATTCCAGTTTCCACTCTTTATTCCACCGAACTCCATATACTAGAGTTGGTGCTCCATATGAGCTCTAAGCATTGAGAGTACTCGGAGCAGGCTAGGTTAGCTGGCTCGCCTAATGACGAGATCCAGCGAGATACATGAGTGCATCTTGTACTATACAATCGAGATCGAGTAGTCCGATCAACCGTGCTCATCATATGCTACGGGGAACTAACTCCTGCACTACTCCCCCTCTCTTTTCTTTTTCCATTTCCCCGTATCCAGCACCGAATTCTTCCACTCAAAGTTTAACGCTATTGTGTAAGCACCACATCGACTCCATGCGGAGCTTTCCTGTCTCACATTAGTGTAACGAAGAAGACAGCTAATACAGTACTAAAGTACGTAGGTCGGTAGATCGATCAGCCCAATTCAACTTCTCCGTACATCTGGAGATACATACGGAGTAAACCCACGGCGGCAGAGACCTACGCAGATCGCCCGGTTCTGTCTCTAGTGACGTAGGCGGTTCTGCTTCTGGTGCCTTTTAGGTAATTTTACAAGGGCTGGTAGTTTCAATCTTAATGTTTGTGTCTGAACTACAACTGATAGTAGTTGTATGGTTTTATTATATAATATAATAGATAGTAAACCGGTTGTTTATAGAATTATACTACATTAGAAGAGTTTCCAGCTATATAGGTCTCTCGAGTTGTATATATCCCTTCCCAATCGGGCAACAACTCTTAGCCCCGTACCAAAGTCCTGCACTACGCTGTGTGGGGAAGACACTGGAGATCCTTCCCAAACAGATTGCCAAGAGACACCATGTGGATGCTCTTTGAATTGGGATGATGATTAGGTGCCGCTACAGACCCTCCGAGTCTCTATTCTGGGTACTATTGGTCTCATGCTGGCACAGGGGCTATGAACATATGGTACGTATTCCGGTAGTTGCTCTGCCGGTAGTTCAAGGCTCTAATTATGTTCTATTTTGGATAAGGCGGGCGGGCCCAGTGTCTCGGACACTGTTTTAGGCTGGTTGTTTGTTGTTCCCTTGAGCAGGTTATTGGGTAAATTGCGCAACGGAGATTAGAATTATAGTGCTTGTCTAGACAGACAAATAAGATATGCGAATCAAGCTAATGTAAGATTGCTAACTGGTTGCTGTTGAAATGCCCTGTTTCTAGGGAACGGGGAGCAAAAATGTTTATTGTTTCACTATGCTCTGTAGGAGAAGAAAGGCGCAACCCTCGGGGTCTTTACAATCCAGGAAAGAAGCCATACATTCTTTTATGGCAAACATGGCTCTCATATTGTTAAAGCAAGATAGACATGAAATGCCTACTGAGAAATAAGCAGGCAATGAATACCAACTTTGAACTTTTGCCTCGACATGCTCTGGTTGTTTTTTCTTTATCTCTAACCCCCTTCAGCAACCATGAGTCCATCAGGAGCTTTACAGCTGTTGGTTGTTCTCGGGACTCCATTGCAAAGCCAGTCGCAACCATCGCAAGAATCCTTCTACATCTTCTTCTTAAATATTGGAGGCCAAGCTTTTGAGAGTTCGATCAGGGATTGGGACCAACGTTTTCTAGAAGAATCAGCTAAGACGTCGCTATTCTAGAAACCCCGGCAGCGGTGGGCCCAGCAATTCAACCAGTTCCGCAATGTGGACTCCGTCATCGAAGATGCTGTCTTTAGGTTTCACCCTTGATTAAAGTACGGGGCTTGACGATATCCCAACCCTTCAGGGACACATGAGCATTGACAGTTTGTTGGATGATCAACATTTTTAAAAGCGGATGATCTGACCGCTGCTTTCAAGCGGTCAGCATAGTCACAACAATATATCTCTATGAAGTAATGGTGAGGGGTAATACATTCCTTTATTCTGGGGCGATTTCCCTTTTGCCTTATCACCGGGGGAAGTTTACCAAGACATTAGAGAGACATGAAGATCTTCTTTTCTATTATATTTCCCCCTAGTTAGGAAAAGTTTAACATTGAATATATACTAAATTCCAAAGCATGCCAGAGCACATAATCTATGCTGCTGATTTGGAGTAGTGAATAGCTCCCAAAGGCGAACAGGCTGTAAGTATAGTTCTTCGAAATGCAATGTCACTAATAGTATGATACAAGATTATGGGGTTTGGGCAATCCAGTAGACTAATATTTATAATTATCCCCATATAAAGAGTACGTTTCAGCACGGATCAATATTGATCATGTTGCAGAAACCTCATTTTAGATGTCCAGCTCCTATTCCGGTCTGTCCAAAATAGAGCCCCGAGCTAAACCCCTGATAGCAATAAGGGCACGATTGATGAATTCGTCCCAAAGATTCATTGTGATCAATTGCCTACCTTAATGTTCGATGTAATTGACACCTAGCAACCCCATTGTGCCGGACAATAGATTGCGCTCCAGACCTATACTGATTAACTGTAGGATGTCTAATACATATAGATACCAACCCGAGTCCCGGTGTTTAACCAGTAGAAGATTTGTATTAACATTGGGTCAGAGATAAAATAGTGTAACTACTTGGCTGGTATTAATAATATGTTAATTAAGTATGTACTAAAGAAATTAAGCCCAAGCAACCCGTCCATCACCAACTAAATCTGCTTGTCGAGAACACACTTGCCAGACTGGAAGTGCTTGGTTAGCACAGCATTAACAATCTGGAGTTCAATCTCCACCTCTCTCATTTCTTTTTCGAGAACCGCGATCTTCTGTAACTCATCCTCAATGGTCTTCTCGAGTTGTTCAGTCTTTTTCTTTTTGTTCAGGCGACATTTGCTGGCAGCGATGCGGTTTCGTGCTAAATTCTTTTGGCGCTTTCTTGCCTTCTCTTCAACGTCAACCTCAAGCTCGTCTTCTGCCGGTCTCTTGGTGGAATTGGACGCCTTAAGCGCTTCAACTTCTTCTGCCGCCCGCTCCGGATGAAACGTTCCTGGGTGTTCGGGCTGCTGTTCCATAGGGCCCACAGGCGCAGATGGAAGTTGATTTGACATCTTGGCTTCTATATCGGGCAGTGCGAATGGCTCTCCGTAGCATACGGTCAGAATGGTATCTTCTGAACCTGAAGTGAGGTTGGAAAATTCATTCATAATGTCAGAAGAAAATCCCTCGGCCTCAATGCAGTTTAGGTTGGAGTTGTCACACGTGGGAGCCATTGGAGATGTCTCATTCTCGTTCGGATTATGGAGACGTTTTTGGTATTGCAGGGCCATGTTCAAAAAGGAGATTTAGAGCTCGATGGAGTGTTTTCAGATTCAAGATTTGCAGCAGGCTGCTGTGTAGTAAATTGAAAGTTCAGAAGATGACCCATTGAGTGATCACTCTGTATTAATATAGCGATTGGGCGGAGAGTAGCTCCGGTAGATCTGTATCTATGGTTGAGTCAAAGTACTACTATTACGTCACAGACTCATCAGAGATCAGTTTCTGCTATTAAATACTAGTAAATCTATATATAGACCGTTTGTTCAGGGACAGCTCGCCTAAAACCATTGCTGAAAGTCTACACTGTCGCACGTGCACGTGGATGAGGTGGAAGCTTTTTCCTAATCGCGATGGAAGGGGGCGCTGCAAACATTCCAGGCCAAGATCGCTTTATGCATTACGGTTCATGTGGCTATGCATCGAATTCAGAGATGAAGTATGTAAGAGGCATTTTAACTAGGATCGGATGGTGTCTAACCCCTCACATAGGAATGTAGATAATATAGAAGAATAGCAGATAAATAGTACAATGTGCCAACACTGGTTATGAGTCTTATATTGTGGTGAACAGTTTCGAGTCAGGAGTTAACATGTGTGGGAGCAATCGCTTGGTTAGTTGTATTATGATATGGATAGCTGCATAGAAGAAGCGGCACGCATATATACGTACTATTTCTTCAGTATCTGGTGTCGTGATATGTATCACCTACTTGATTTGGGGAAGAACTGCCATGACTATTCCAAAATGTACGCAAAGAATTTTGCCACTTCATCTCTTGTTTCTGACGTACATGAATGGACATGTTTCTTGTACTTTCTTTCTCTTTTGCCTTTTCTCTCTGTCCTACTGCCCCTGCCTTGGAGTCATAGATTCCAGTCTAAAGTCTATATTGCAACCTTTACCGTAACACATTATCTCCAGACATGGACTACAATAAACTACGAAGACATTATCCAACTTGGTCTAACGTCTGCTATGTAGTGCTTCGCAAAGATTTAGAGGCGCCTACCGTGGAGAGTCGAAGTTTCTAGTTAGGTGGGTACAAGTTTTATTAAACTAATTTTAACTATCCAAGATTTCCATGCGTGAAGAACAAGGGGTGAAAGCCAGGGTACATTCTTCCGATATTAATCTGGTGCCTGTATAAGACTAAGTTATATTTTCAATTTCCGTGTTTTCTCGACGCCTCGGATTCCATCACAAGATACAGTACGACAATGAGAAAACCAATCTCTATCCACAGGGAGGTTGTTCAGGCACTTCATAAAGTATAAGTGGCCTCGTTGCAAACAAACATGTGCAAGGGTCCAGAATGCTGCCTGATCTTTCTCGAGTCAAAGGAATGTTCTCAGTAAAGTTTACTGACATAAAAATCCACCAAGACCCTAATTAAGCAGTTACAATGTCTCACTTAAGGACAGTATGTTACCCACTACGGTCCGTGCCGCGCAAAACAGCATGAGCTTGGTGTTTGGCGAGGACGCCAAACAATGATCAACTATCGTGAGCAATTTGATTCACGTCGCACGTCTGTGATTCAGTCGAGTTGGCTACTCCAATATGTCACAGATGGAACCCATCCAAGAGGAACTCGTTGTTCCCGAGCATCTTTTAGCATTTGCTTTGTCGGAGTCCCAGACAAGTCCAACACATCCTGTCCACGACTCTGAAGAATCCGTTGAGGATATCTATTTACAGAAGAAACGACAGAGCGTCTCGATCAGATCGAACAGGCAGACGCCCCTGACAGCCAAACGAGCAATGAGTCGTCGATCAACGCTCGAAGGCGCAGCAAGTCCTTCTCTCCTGCAGGAGCGCAGGATGGACGAAACATCTGAATGGTATCTTCTACTCTCAGTGCCTTAAAAGAGATAGACACCGAATAAATGCTTAGTATCCTAACCCAGCTAATCCGTCATTCCAGGTCTAACTTTGCAGAGAAGTCTCGGATGAGTAGCCTATGGGATTTACATAAGAAGGCGAGGTTGTCTAGTTCGAACCTTCGACGTAGAACTGGGTTCAGGATCCTTTTTGAATATGGCGTATATATCATGCTTTCCGCCTTTGTTTACTTGGTCCTGGTGGGACTGCCTGTATGGAAAGGCGCCGTGTTCTGGCTATACTGGGCGATGCAGAACAGACTCACCTTCCACGGCGGCTGGGCGATCGCTACAGGGATAATGATCATGTAGGTGGTCTGTCTCTGTCTCAGAAAATTTGGAAATAATGTCCACATGCTTATCCCTCCCGTTCAGCTACACTTTTGCCCCCCTTTTTATCCTATTTGAGGAAGACGCCCCCAGCCCGGACTATTTCAAAAAGCGCCGAATTACCCCCAGCGCCCCGGATACTGCGCTTCTCATTCCCTGCTTCAAATCTGCCCCCGTCATTAGGCTCACCCTGGAAGCCGCTCTGAGAATCTTCCCTGCGGCTCACATCTTCGTCATCGCAAACGGTGACTCCCCGAAGCCAATCGACAACACTGAGGAGATATGTCGCTCCTATGGGGTGAACCATATCTGGTCTCCCATTGGATCCAAAATCATCGCCATCTTCGTTGGCTGTTACGCCGCCAAAGCCTTCCGCTATGTCCTTCTGATCGATGACGATTGCGCGCTCCCCCCTAGTTTCCTCGTTGTGAGTTCCCGGCTGACAGATCGGGTGCGCTGTATCGGCTACACCATTAAATCCGTTGACCCTCAGTCCTCAAAGATATCATTCTGCCAGCAGGCTCAAGATCTGGAGTACAAGATGTCTGGCCTGCATCGCACATTCGCGGGGAGAATCGGCAGCACTACCTTCCCTCACGGAGCGATCTCCCTGTGGGACCGAGAGTTCCTAAAACAGGTCTTTCAGGACCATCCGGGGTTTTCAATCAGCGAGGACTGGTTCCTCGGAAATAGTTGTCGTCGTATGGGCGGCCGGATCAAGATGTGTAGCTCGGTGTTTGTAGGGACGGCCACGCCGTCGGCCATCTTCTACGCTGGTGGGTCACGAAAAAGAGGAGGATTCGGAGAGATGACTGTATTCAAGCAGCGTTTCCTGCGGTGGAATTTCTTCTTCGCCAGCGGTCTCTGGTACAATCTATCTTATATCTTTGGATCGTGGAGGCTGGGCTGGTGGGAGATCGGGACTAAGGTGTTTGTTTTACAGGAGGTGAGTAGCATAGCCATAGCCATTACATACATAATTAGCGGATACATTACGACTGACTTTAGTATGAACAGATCTACGAAACAATTGTCTATATTTTCGCTCCATTCATACTCCCCATCTCCTTCCTACTACGCCCTGGATTTTGTGCAAATCTTCTAGGGAGCACGCTGGCCCTATACCTGATTAGCGTCGCCATCTTCAATGAGGTGCATTTACGGCTGAAAAAAGAGCGAGTTCGATGGAGAGTCCTCCTGTGGTATTACGTATGTATTAACATCCTATCCCCATCTGACTCTAGGTATCCATGACCTAGAGCTAACAGTGAGGTATAGATACCCTATAAACTCGCTATTACTCTAATCAACGTTGCTAGCTGCTACTGGTCGCTATACAGGTATGCCCGGTATTTCGCGCAGAAACACCCCAGGGTTATCGAGAACCAAGCGGCCGTAGAGGTCGTTCTGAGGCTGGAAATCCCGAAGGATTCCAGACCGGATCATCGTGGATTGGGAAAGAGCATGACGGTGAGGAGTATGAGCATACAGAGCAGAACAGGTAGTAGTATAGGACCTTAGACGGTCGTTTAAACGTGCTGATTATTTGTGGTTAATCAACCTAACTCTAGGCTTGATTCGATTCCTGTATACAACTGGCGGGCATTGAATCATGCTACTGACTGGTTCTGTTTTGTGTTCTTTACTTGAAAAATAAATACCTACCCCGGATAATGATATCTTTCAACCGACCTGTGATAACAACATGCCTTTCGGCAGCCATGACAGCTTCATCACCAATGTGCATCCATACGACTCCGAGTCCGCTTTCAGCGTCTCCTGAGTCTCGTTCGGGTTCTGGTAGTAGCCTTTTTGAACGTGATACTCGGATATGCAAATCTCTCCTTGAATACCTTAGCTGACAGGCTGCGGAAATGATCATGTCAGAAACCACCTATCTGTTCGTCAACCATTTGCGAGCCTTGATCATACCTAGTACTAAACGGGAGGTCGATCTAGTACCGGAATTAAGAAATTTATGCTCTGAAATAGCTGTGTATAGATGGTGTACGATTAGTACTTATTTTTTCGCCTTTAACTGAGGGCACATTGCATACACTCTTGGGCTTAGGCTTGGCAGCTGCCCAAGCAGGTGCTCCAGATATTCCCGGGCGGGCAAAGCGGGCATGGGCAGCTCAGTGTTGGAGCAGCAGGCTCCGCAGGGGCGGCGTTAGCCGCATTAGCGGTGGCGGGCTATTAATAAAGGTTAGGATGATCATTATTGCCCATACAGATATATGACTTACACGCTCGTTCTCCTAGCTGCGGCGGTGATGGCCCCCCTCCCCTAGGTACCACCACTGTCACAGCCAACACGACGCGGGTGTCTCGCGCCTATTTTCCGTTGGCAAGCCATGCACCACTTCGTACTGGGTGCTACTAACCTCTATTTCCATGCACCCCTGCTGCACAGTTAGCATGCCTGGATCCAACATTTCCTAGTCGGTATCACTTACTATGGCGCGATAGCCGTGATTGAGCTCGCATTGCTCCTTGTGTTGCCCCCGACAGCGGCAATAGGCGCACTTGTCGCGGTTTATCTGGAGTAGAACATCAACAATGTACAATGAGAACAGTCCTCAACCCACTTTTCTGATCTCCCTCGGCCGCCGCCACGATTGGGATCTCCGCCGCCGCCGGCCCCGGGAGCATGTATGCTTTGGTTCATTTTTAACTTCAGCGGCTATAGATGTAGAGAGTAGAAGGCGTTGATAGAGGGAAACGGGATAGGAGAACAAATGAGGACCTATATCTTTCATTTCACTTTTTTCTTGAGTGAAGCTACTGCACTAATCAGGCAACAATAGTTATGTCTTTATATTCACGGAACTACAGTAGCCAACGCATTCCCAGAGGCGTCAATACTGCTTTCAAAACCCACCATTCACGGTCCTGGTTGTAGACCTAATGTGATTGTTATTTTTTGCTGCCCGACTGGGTCGAATCACTACATTCGAAGTGGAGCTGGCAGGATAGTTCGCTGATAGAGAGCCATCTAGCAGGCTCCTAGGAAACATAATATAGAAGGGGCGGTTTCTTCGTTTCTCTATAAGCTACCTATGGATTTAAGTTCCGTGAACGGCATGTAAGCCAGAGAACAAGATACTTCTCGACAGAGTGAAGATAAGATCCAGACGATTAGTAAACAATCGGAGATAGTTAACACCGGCGGCTGAGTTCCATCAGTCACCAAGGACTAGGGAATATACCGAGTTTCATCATAAAAAGTTTATCTACTCATGCCTCTTTTTCGTCGCCTCAGCCCAAACTGCAAAGGGCTTTAATTAAAATTCCCTGGATTAAAGAACGACCAAGGCCTCTAATTAGACGGGTATGGCTCTGAAATATTGACAACATATTGAGGTGCATATCTCGTGTCTGAGCAATATTCACTGTCGCGCAAGAGTGGCTGTACTACCTGCCTAGTTTATACACCCTTGGGGTGGAAGATCACAAAAGAGTAGTATTGCTTGAACACCTTCCATAATTTGCCACACTACTTCTTTCCGATCATCTAAAATAACTCTAGTTGCGGACTTCGAAACAGCCCATAGCCAGAAACGTCGGAGGAAATATAGCAAGTGTCAATTCGTCGTGATAGACGATGTACAGCTACAGGCCATGGACACGAATGATATTGAACCCGTCGTTGAATGTAAGGGAAGACGAGAGGCGTACTCTCCGCAGGTTGATATGCTGGAAGTTTTATACACTGTTACACTTGTTAAGCAAAAAAGTACTAAACATTATTCACTCGTCACCTAAATTTGCAATCTTAGGAATACAATGTATTTTCTTAGAAACTGAACTGAAGTAAGTTCTCCAGGTTTAGTAAGATTGTTCTTATGCCAGCTATTCTATTTATTTCCATCCCCCATTTTCCCTCACATTTTTAGTGACTTCCATGTTGATGGAAGTCATTGGAAGCCATTCCCTGATTGCTTGCTTGAGCTGGCCACTGATTCGGATTGTACTACGTATGACTGACCTGCCAGTGACTCACAATAAAGAAAGTCCTTTCACTTCAAATATTTCCACTCAACCTCCTTCCGCGTTTTTTCAATAGTTATCCTCCTTCCTTTACAACCTTTCCTCCTCCCTAACCCCCTCAGTCTGTTTTCTCAACCTCGCTTTGCCTATGGTTGTGTCAGTAGTTCAAAGATTCATTCAGAGATTTACCTGGTTAATTAAATACTTTGGCCGCTTTTTAGCCCAGTGAAATTTCAAGATCCTGGACAGACTCGAGGCCATATACAACGGAGCCAAGCGCACCCTACTAGTACGGTCAGTCTCAAAAACTCTTTGCCCTCTTGGGCACTCAGCAGCTATAAAAGAGTGGGGAAATCAGAGACGTATTTCGGAGGTTCGAACATAATTAGCTGGGGAGAATATTTATCTTTCTAGTTACAATACTTTGATCATGACATAGAGACAGCCCTTGGCTCCCTTGGCCCTGGAGACCCAGCAAAGCCGACATTTATGCTCGTTTCTTCAACCAAGCCGGTTATTCATAACAACACCATTACTGTACACGAAAGCCAAGAACAATGCTCCGCTACTACTCATGGTGCGAAGACAACCGCTCGACCACAAAAAGGTGCCATGACGCCTAATTGTAACTTTTCATTGAATCTCAGCTACTAGTCAGGTCTACACATGGCCACATGCAATAGGCTACCAGCCACAAGGAGAATGAATACTCTCTTGTTCAAAACACCAGAATTCTTCTTTCCGGACCTAGGCATCCATGTTTATTTGATGACAAGCACTTGCCACTCTGTCGGCTAGGCCCGAAGATGGTACTTCAAGTACACCATGCCAGCAGCTGCAACATTGAGAAGAATTTTACGAGCACGGTGATTTCCTGGAGTTATTCTGGATGAATCCGACTATATGAAGAATATGGTTCCGGGAACAACCAAGTGGTGGACTTGCTGCAGCCCGGATAGACATCGTTTCTCACCACAACGCCAGTATTTAACCACGCAATTGATATCTGTGACTACCTTGCATTACTCCACCAGACAATGTTCGACAATCATGATCCCGTTCAGATGTAGGAGGGCGACGACCAGACGCTAATTCTACCGGGCGAACGCTTCTGAAGTAGTCTCGAGTATATTCTTCCGAGTTGAACTCTCGATCTTACGGACAACATAGCGACCCGACTCTTCGGTGTGGCACATGCTTAGCTTATTCCATACCTTATGCAGGGGAGCGATAATCATAAGTTTAAGTTCATAATTATAGAGACAGCTATCCCGCCAATTCCAGTTCCACTTACAGTGGCATGATGCTTCAGCCCACATTAAACTACGACTGGTTTTCGGAGAATATCAAGGTGGGGGTCAGTCAAACTCGGGACTTTAGTCCCTGTAGCTCTAGCAGTTTTGAAATTCCCACCTAGTCGATGAAGATCTTCTAGCCGCAAAGATTGTGTCTGCAAAAGGTGTATAATGTTGAATCCTTATCGAGCCCAGTGGTCCAGGTATATTGACTCCCTGTATCGCCAGTATGAGCAATATCCAACGTTTAAGGCCTTGAATTAGCCGTCGAGATTGTCGACACTCAGGTCTTTCGCCTCCGTGCCTTCTCGCGCTGTTGTGCAGGAGCCTCTGCGTTCCAAGTTACTTTGGTGTATGCATTGTTTGCGGACCTCCGTAAAGGAAAATAACCCGTCTCGCGGATGGATGGGGTGTCACAAAAATGGGAATCTATGCTAACAGCCATACTACAAAGAATTGACTTGGCTGGTGTCATTATGGCTGGCCGTTATCGACAAGGACAGAGTGAAGAAACGTCGAAAACTTGTCCACAGTTCTCGTTCCGGTCGAGATAACGAGCGCATGAAGTCTGGAACCTCCTATATCTTCTAGGCACTTCTTACTTATTCCAGGGCCTCTGAAAAATCTAAAGACCCAAATAATTGTGAGTCACGGATCAACGAAATGGCGTTCTTTTGTCAATGGTCAAATTAAGAACGGACTAATTTCCACATTCAGTCAGAAGGTGCTCGACTTGAAGGTACTAGACGTCTTCTTTCTGTCATAATTTCATCTCGTGGTGCTACGAACGACACATCCATTGGCTCCCACAAGACCGCAAGACAACGACTTGAAACACTTAGGGCTAGTTTTCTGCACAAGCTCACCAAGGAATATACGAACAGTACACCTGTATTAAGTCAGACCTTACCATCCACGCCTGGGGCATACCTTCTACCAAGCTACGTAAGCTCCTTGGCAACATGTGCATCCTTGCCGCTCCCGAGATGCAACTGTGGGTATACCCAAAATTGAGTTGGTCCGGTGTGGAATGACCCTGAACTATCCAAATACTACAGTTCGTCGGAAAGGAGTTGTCAAGTAGTACCGTCTTTGATCACCTCACGCCCGCTTTCGTCCGCCACCCGTTTTTGCAACCAACAACCAGTATAAAATGAAGCCATACAGCCACATACACATTTCTTGGTGGAGTAGAATAGTCAGTGGGAAGAAGCTATACAACTAATTTTGTCTGTCCTTAAATAGCTACTGCAGCCGGGTTTGCCTGCCTCCATTGGCTATGGGAGAGTTACTTTGGCGTGCTCCAGCCTCATTACTGACTCGACGATGTACAGCAAGGAGGAGGATAACGTGAGAAGATAGTGGAGGGATAACAGATAAATATATTAGAGGTATACTGTATGTATCATGTACATGGATGGGCAAGGGCATCCGGAGTCTTGGCATCTCAGCATCCATTTACTATAGTCAGATGCTATCATGATGTCATATTATTGATATATCTCTTGTCAGCCTACTGATGGTAGGTAATATTAGCTTACGGGCCGCTAAAACGTTTGGTGACATTTTCTCTAATTTACAGCCTACTAGTGGTATCCAGTAACTTCGAAAATAGATACATAAACTATACAAGGGATAATACTCTGAATCCATAACAGCTTTTGACAGCAGCACTAGTCCCTGACATAGTCTGTATCCCTAGGAATGTCCTCCATAGAGTATCCAAACCCTTTTAAATTAGGCCACCCGTCCTCAGCGAGCTCTTTGTTCCTCCTCAACCTCCGCGACTTGGTTGGATGTGACCCCGCTGTATGATCCACTAAAATCTGCAAATCAGCTTTTGTAGACTCAGCCGCCGAAAGGATAAACCAATTTGAATGAAAGGGTCCTTTGATATGTTGCCAAGCCTGCAATATTTGGACTGCTGGCCAACGTATAAGAACATCACGACACCCCGAGAGTATGCAGTTGATAGGGGGAATAATGTCCATTTAACGAGTGATAGTAGGGCGCTCTGATACTTGCCCAGGATTTGTTCCGCCATGGCCAGCTGTGTTCTGTACTCATCTGTATAAGATTCGAGTGCGGCATAGCTTCGCAAAATGCACGTCTTTACGACTAATAATAGAGCCGTGCAAGATAATAACATCTACCACTCTGCTCTCCTTACGACTAAATCCAGCATATGAGCGAGAATAGAAATAGTTAAACAGTATTGCAAACCGGTTTAGCTGAGAAAGCAGTTGTCCCTGTTTAAAGTTTAATATATAATAATCCTGAACAATCTCCGCATCTGATAGGATGTAAGCATGTGAATAGAACCGAAATACAGCACTTAGAATAATTTCCGGAGCGTGTCGCACTTCATAGATACTGCTAAAGGCAACAAGGTGGTGGGCTTCCAGCCCCTCATCAATCCGGAGAAGGGGTCCCCTAACACCATATACCGAGGATTAAATATCCAAGTACGCAAATGCCAAAACAAGGCATTGCTCGACCGGCAATGATTTGCCTGTGGATGAGATTAGGAGCTGTCTCCGTGCCTTCACCTCCTTTAAATCTCCACCCACTCTGGACTCTGGAGGTACTTAAATACCTGGTCGTAGTGCCCTTGTAGTTAGATCCAATAAAACAAAAAGTAGACTGCAGAGAAGTATAACTTCTCTAAAGCATGGATCCTGAGAACTGTGCCGTTTGATTAAAAGACTAAATGAATGCACCGACTGTTGCACTGCAAATAGATACAAGGCTGTATTTATACCCTGTCCATGTAGAGAAACTCTGTAGATCTCTGCACTCTGATGTGCCGCACTCAGAGCAGCTGCAGCATGGTACACTGCTGGCTCGGTATAACTTATTTGCAGACCAGGTTTTGCAATAAGACCGAATCGTTTAGTTCCAGGAGTGGGAATGATGCGGAGCTGAAAATAAGAAATACACGTCCCTTCGTCCGATGTCATACACCACTGAAAGGCGTTTTCTAGTGCTGTTGGATTCAGTCACTGTTGGGGCTTGGAGGCAGGAGGCAAGTGCTGTAGATCGCACCCGTCACAGCGTCGCCCAGTGGATGTACACGTCTTACAAGCACCGGGGGTTTCGTCGCATTTGACATGGCGGGCGCTGCAGAACATAAGTTAGTGTGATAAATCGCCATACGTCTAGTTACCGGCAGGTGCGACATCCTGTTCGGGACCTGTTTGCGCCGGCTCTCTGTGGTCGTATTGACATATTGCTAAGCTATCGTTGTTGTTATGGCCCTGGGTGCGATCAACTAAAAGGAAAGGACAAATAAATACGCTGTCGAAGATAGGTTAACAGGGACTTCGCAAGCCAATATAGTTGGACTTTTTGCACTGATATTCCTTAGGGCTGCGCCAGGCTGGTGGGACACGCAACAAGCCAATTAAATAGTTGATCTCATAACTACAGTAGCACATGTATTCTGCAAGAGACCCGAGTTGAATATGATGCTCCCATTTTCCCAAAACAGGCAGCAATAAGCACCACAAATGGGGCGATCTAGCGCCATCCCCAACTTCCTAAACCTAGTATTTATTGGCGTTGCTTTTTAACAATATATCTAGAACTTTTGCTAAACAAGCCTTAAACCCTCGCTTCGCTCGGTGGCTTGAAGTCTGCAAGAAGCTATTTCTATTCTGGCTAACACGTGACATTAATTCGGACCATATCCACCACCAACACAATTAATATAAAGCGCCTGTAGAAAACACACGGCCTGCTAGAAAGAGAACAAATACATATGTGGGAGGCCATGCTTCTGGTACTTAATAGTAAAAATACAACTGTAACGAAAGTTTAAATTACTGTGTTCGGGCCCAAATCAGGACAGGGAAAGTTAGTAGTAAACTCTTCAGCGGTACGGTTGCCAGACTTTATATTTATAACATGAAACACAGCGCGCTATTGTAGTGGCAAATATTACAGTAAATTTCCCAGGCCTTAGGGGTGTTTTCAGTGTATAAGCAGCTTAGTTTATATAGTGGCTTATAGACAGGAGGAGGTTGCACCTCACCATAAAGGTAACACTGCGTGAAAAGTCAAGGAGCATATAAATTATTTTACAGCAAGAACAATATTAGTATCTATTAGGAACAGGTTTAATAACTGGCCGCTTGCGTCTACGCATGGATATTAGCGCAGACTATATATATAGCAGAATTATAAACATCCACCAATTCCATGCTTACGGCCGGAAAGGGGCGGGATGGAACCACAAGTCGGGCAAAAAGACAGCCCCTACGGGCCGTAGTTGCGAATGTAGGCTCTATACTGGCTGTACTTCCGATTCCACCCGCTCACACGTGACTGCGGTGGATCCATTGTGATTCTGTTATTAGTAGAGTAGGCTGAACGTTGGTGTATCCTTAGGGACACGTATCAAGCCATTTAGGAATAGACTAACTTACCCATCCATCACTAAGTCAATTTAGGTATAAACCCACAACGTCTCGCAGTTTTTCTAAAAGAGGAAGTAGATCATAGTTTCAAATATATTATTTTTGAGCGATTCTCAGAAATAACAAGTTGATTTTGAGCAGGGAACGCCGCATTTTAGGGCCACTGGGTCACCAGAGGCGGGGTTAGAAATGGCAGTACTATAAAGTCTGCAATATGTGGATGGCTACCAGAGACTATAGATAGCTTTTTGGATGACCAGGCAGCTTCCTTTATGTGAGAACACATTAGCAAGCTAGCAAAGGAAGAACTGACTAGGAGATACACCAGGTACGCATGCGACCTCTACTAGAGCAGTGTCCTATATTACGTGCAAATATAGCGCGGAGATGTCGAAACTGGCGGTGAAGTAGAAACGGTTAAAATGAAGTTGCCTATATCATCTCAGTGGGTCTATTGGGTGATTTCGCCGGCTCCATATGAAACAACCAACTACAAACAACCGGGGTTTTGTCCTGCCCAAGTCCACAACAGGCACCCTTCATTGCAAGACGTCTGCCTTGCCAACCTTAGCAAAACCGAACAATATTAGCAAATGCAGAAATCTAAGGTATACGCCCAACCATCACTGATGGCAGGCCTTGAGCCTAATCCACTCGCTTGTAAACAAAATATCTACATATATACATGCTTAGAACATTATGCACGCCCAAACTAGAAAAATGCAGCGGCCATTGCCTCAAGAGAGCGCTCCCAGCTATTCGCTAGCAATAGCTTACCACTTCGCCTCCTTGCGGTCCTGGAAAGCCTTCAAGATGGCAACCCTCTCCTCTAAAGAGGCCACTTCACGTCCCAGCCTGGTCAGGACGGCAGACTGGTCCTGGCCCAGCTTGGAATAGAAGTCTTGCCTGTATGGGGTAGCCGACATAGCAGCGGAGAAAATGGGCTTAATCACAAAAGAGTGGTAAGGTTTCAAGGTCTTGCCATAGGCGTCGCGGAACGAGTCGGACAGCTCGCAGCTGGACTGATCGAGGTTGTGGCGGAGGGCTTGGGCGGTGAAATCGAGACCTCTAATTTAGAGACATCATCATTAACAATGTACATTGGAAAAACGGTGCCAAATATATCCCAAACTGTCAGAATGGAGACATGTCTCTCAACCCCCTATATCCCTTTCCCGGGGAGGAGCAACGTACCTGACAAGCCAGACCAACCCCTCAGTAGCAGTGTGCTTCTTGGTCTTCAATTCATTGAGAACGAGAGCCTGGAGAGTCTGGGAGTCTGCAGGGGCAGCCTGCTTCCTATCGCGGACTTTCTGCAATAGAATTAGTTCCGTTGGTATTTACCGCGAGGTAAAGCTGTCCGACCTTGATGTTACCGAGAAGATCGTTCTTCACGGGAGTGAAAGCCACAGAGCCGAGGAGATCTGTCAATTCAACTGTCAGAATTAAGGGTATCTATTCAGACAACGAGGGTTGAAAACGTACCGAACAGGGAGGTCAAAGATTCCGCTGCCTCGAGAAACTCCTCGGTCGAGACACCGTTGTCGTTGGAAGCGTCAATTGGGACGTCAGCGAAGGAACGCTTGATAGTGTCAAACCAGGTAGACATTTTGACGGTCAGATTTCTATGAAAGAAATAAAGGAACTGAGAGACAGGAATATATCTAGGAGAAAGGGATGAATTGATGGAGCAACAGAGCTAAGAGGGAACCAAAACAGGGGCATGCGTTCTATCAAAACGGCTGATCTGTCACTTCGCTCACCGCCGGGAGACACACAAGCGGTGAAGGGTCTGGATTCCCCCCTGAACAAACACAGCAAACACACTCTCCCGTCGACGTCATCGGCGGTTCCTAGTTTCTTCAGCTGCAACCCTTGCAGTGCTTGACTTCCTTATTGCTCACGGATGATCACGGAGAAGTGCCATAAGCCCTCCTAATCCTAATCACTCGTAACAGAATGTCCGAGATTCAATCATGGAGACCGATCCACACAACATCTCCCATGGCCCTCCTCACTACCATGGCTTGGAAGCAGGCGTGTATACCGCAGAGAAGCTGGTATGGAATCCATCATGATCAATCCTTGTTGAATTATGAAGACATTGATTTATTATAAAAGCGCTATGCCTCTGCCAAACATATGCATATGACAAGTAGGAGGTATTTCATAGGTCCAATCCCCAAGAGCTGGCTGCAGAATCACCGCAAGTCCTGGTACAAGGCAAGACTCAACTCCAAACATTACTCGTCGAAAGCCGTCACCTTCTCTGCGGAGTCTGAGGTAGCTCATTACTTGCAGAGCCCAGGCTGGAGTGAGTCGTCAGAGTTGCAGCGAGCTCGCGATGATCATCAGGCCGGTAATTCTGGGGACGAAGGAACAGATCAGGACCAGGAATCGACGCGGAGATCTACTACTCTGCGGACTCTTGATTATCCTCTGGGGGAAGCCAATGACATTCCTTCTGCCTCCGGATCTGAAGTACGCCCCTCCTTATCGAGCGAGGGCGAGCACAACGTGGAATCAGAGAGCAGAGCAGGCGATGCAGGTTCTTCCTTTGTAACAGCAAGGGAGCATGGGCCGAGCTCAACTTCTACAAATCCTATCACATCCGGTGGACCTACTAATCAAGTGAACATGGGGTACAGCCAAACGAAGCAAAGTGCTCCTATCCCCCAAGTGGATGGGGTCTATCAGTCAAGCCCCATGGTCCCATCTAGTGAAACTGGATCAGAGGCTCCTTTACTGGGGCCAAAACCGTCAGCCAAAGGGAAAGGAAAGCTTCCTACTGCGCCATCTACACTAAAACTAGAGCTACGAGAGCCTCAACATGAGAATATCGGAGAAGAAGATCATCTTGAGCGTAGGCGGCACTCATCCCAATACCCCTTCTTTTCAATAACAAAAAAAGCGACGAAACTTAACCTGGAGGACAACTTTTTGCATAAACAACAACGGTTCCAGTCTCGACTTTCGAAGACCCGCGGCAAGATCTCGGACAGTTTACCCTACAGGCGGAAGATGCAAGAGGGCGAGATCATCAAAACCGAACGAATGCTCGTACGAGTTGAGGAGACAATGCAGCAGAATCTTCCTCATGATTATTCAGAGCAAGATAGCTTGAAAATGGATACTAGGGTTGTGGATAACTGGCGGGAGTATCTCGTGGTGTGTCGAGCAACATCTGACCCCGAAGCGCCGTTCGCTCTCCAGATGTACAAGACGCACGTTATCCCAAAAATACAAAAAAAGGGCGGCCGGATTTCTCCTTACCACGAAGTGACCTTGGGTAAGAAACACACCAGGGTAAACTTGTATTCTTCCTTGGACAAGACGATTGTTATCTGGGGTCCAAGCAAGCATGGCACGAAAATTTACATCGTTCGACCAAAATCCACAGTACGCGCGGTTGAATGGTATACATATATTTTCCAGGCCCTTGGGTCGCGACGTCCTACGTCGCTGTCAATCAACGCTCCCGACCTTGGGTTGTCTCTTGTCCTTCGAAATCCGTTCAGCCAGGGCACCAAAATCAAGCACCAGACTAACCTAGATGGCACTCTTACTCAATCTACGCCCGAGGATACTTGCGCAGCCATATCCATTGTACGGGGGTGTATGGAGATGCTCGAAAATCGTACCGAACTATCGGATGTATTACAGAAGTGGTCGAAAACCGAAAAAATGGGTCTTGCCTGGAAACGGTACGACCGGTTGGAGTGGATATATGGTGCAAATGAGAAGGAAATGTATGGGACGCTTGCAATGCAGGACACTCACGAGCTCGAACTACGTCCAAGACAGCATTATCATACCTTCGTTCGTTATGGCGACAACAAACATGAAGAGCCCGAGCCGGTGGAAGGATTCTTAGTTCGTCTTACATCGCAGAGGGGTGTCCACCAACGAATGAACAAGATGTTCTTCAAACGTCTCTACTTCTTCTGTCAGGATCACTATCTGTTTTTCTGCAGACCAGCAAAGTCTCTACCACCTGCTCCCTCCAAGCTTTGTCCAAATGAGTCCGATAATATACCTTCAACACAAGCCATTCTAGACGAAATGCCTCTTTCATACGCTATTGATCCATATCCAATCCAAGATGGAGAAATAACATGGCTATCGGGTGGCAACAAGGAACATATCAAGAAGCATGACGAGGAAGCATATGCTCAATTACGCCGTGTTTCCCACAACCTCAGTCAAGCTGATGGCTATATTGATCTTTGTCAGGTACAGGAAGTACGGCATGTGCGATATGGCAGCTACCCAGCCGAGCCCAACATTCAGGAGGGTCCAGGTGTTGCTTTCCACCCAGAAGCAAGGGACACGTCCCAGGATGATGGAGCAACTCAGCAATTCGAAGACGATCGGACTTTTGAGATGCTAATGGACAATGGTCTTATTGTCCGCCTTCAAGCGTATGACACTACTACGAAAAAGGAATGGATGAAGCGACTCGACGCCCTGGTGACCTATTGGAAATCGCGGACAGCTGCCGATGCTGCCGAGCTCAAGGAGTTTCGACAACGAAACGTCGATATCATGAATATCGACGAAGAATTTGAGTCGATTATAGGACAGTTTGCTAAAAAGTGGGAGGTTAGGAAGGCCCAAGCATCTCCTCATCTTCACAACATGTGCTCTCTTTCTGGATGTCGAGCGATTAAGGTATGTTGAAAAATCGTATCGCTAACCTATGCTTCTCATTCTAATAAATATGCACAAGATGTCAGGGCAGTTGTACCGGAAACCTCGCCGGCACTCTACATTCAAGCGATGCGATGTTGTTCTCGTTGATGGGAAGCTATTAATTTTCCGAAGCTCACTGAGGAAACACAGCGGAGTCGAAGTCCCTCATATCCATTCCAGTCTCGAAACTACAATTCTTCTAGCCGACTGCTATATATACTCTGGTCTGTTGGCTGAATCCGATTTACTTTATACCAACCAAACCTTCGACAGCAACCATCCGGGTCATCGCACCCTCCCTCGGGTATATCTCTCGACCGATCTTTACAACAGCACGGACGAGGACACCGCCATTACTTTCGTTATCTGGCAGCCTCTGCGGAAAAATCTGTTCCGAGCAATCGAAGGAGAACAAGGGCAAAAACGGCAGGTTCTGAAGCAAGTTCCCAAACTGGGAGTGCTCGGTCGGACGGTGGTATTCAAAGCACGCAGTCGAGTCGAGAAGGATCGCTGGGTATTGAGCATTGCCTCTGAAATCGACCGGCTGCAGGAGGAAAAATCTGAGGATATCAGAATCGTCTAACCTAACCAACCTGTGCCTTCGTCAAACTATATTCTAAATTAATTTATACATTGTATCCTTCAGAGCAATGAATCACCCAACCCCAGTCTATGTACTGTACAAAGTCTCACCTGTTATCGTACAAGGCCTAGCTCAAAACCGGTCTATCCAACTTAACTGCCCCCTTGACCACTCTATCCCTCACATCCTGCCGATAATTCTCCCTCCCATCTACCGTCCCTTCCTCCCAATCCTCCCACCGCAACATCCTCCACCTCGGCCACAACACCGCCATCACCCGCCCCGTAATCAAACTAATGCTCACCGGTCCGTAGGCATTACTATCCAGCGAGCGCTTAGGGTCTTCCGCATCCCCCTCCAACCAAACATGATTGAACGGCACAATTTGCGAAGCCTTCATACAAGGTTCGCGGGTGGTGATCCGGTCACCAGGTAATCCGACTACGCGTTTAATAGCGATATGCGAGGGATTAGCGGGGGATCTAGCACCACACCCCAGTCAGTCAGTGAATAAAATTCCCAATCCACACCGAGGAGTGGGGAGAGGAAGGAAGGAAAAATCCCGAACCGAAAAGTCACAATCATCCCCCGTTCTAGTCTCCTATTTCGCTCCCACGGCCACCCTGCTCCTCCCCATGGCCAGAGATTCACCAACACCATGTCGGATTTCGTGTGCATTATGTCGTGGTCCTCATTCAGAACGGGGGTCATTGAAGGCCCCCGCACCCACATGACCTGGAGGACATGTTCGGAGAAGAAGAGGCCGATGGGGAGGAGGGGGGTGACGATGCGGAGAGCGCGGAAGGAGCGGCGAACAGGCGATGGAAGAGCGGCGAAGCGGATGCGAAGAAGAGAGAAGAGCGAGAAGGGTCGGGTAGGTTGTTGAGAGGGGAGTGGTTGTGGTTCTGCTTTTGAAGGTTGTGATTGCGGTTGTGGTTGTGGTTGTGGCGGCGAAGTTCGGGAGAAATGTGGCATTGAGGAACGTGATTTTGCGACGTCCGGGGGTAGAACCCGCATTGGCTTTGGGGGTGCCATATTTTGGTGTTTGAATTGACGACAGAGTTGGTTGTCTATTGCAGTCGGTGGATTTGATGTCATGTGAGCTCAGATGATGATAAGTCATTGTTTGTGATGTTTGTCAGCCACTGGCCAATCAGTGGATAGATCTCTTAGTCTAGCTAACTAATTATCAATGGACTATGTTTGACATATAGCCTTTAAAGTTTGTATATTCATTACTGAATATTAGATTCATCAATATAAGTATCATTATCACAGGCTGCGATCAACTACACTGTGCTACATACCGAACTCAAACAATCCTGTTCCAAATCCTCACTCATTTCCAACCTCCAATCGCCCATTGGATCAGGTGTATACCCTCAGTCGTCATCCTCAGCCACTCAACAGGACCCCAAGCCAAAAATGAACGACCTCATCTTCGCTGTTTCTGACTCCTGCAAATGGCACAGAATAAATCTCCAACAAAACCACTACCACTACTCAGCGATAAGCAGCCTGGTAGCATCCTGCCTTTCAAAGTTGCAAGTACCTTCGGCGCAGGGGTATACTTCTACCCGTTCGCGGAAATCAACAACACATTAATCAATTACGAAGTTGTGAATATCGACAGGCTCTCTCGGGACTTAAGATCCTGGGAAAACTTGTATCTTGCGGGACGAATGCAGAAGCCTATTCGACTCCTGCGGGACGATGCTGACATCCGCAAGGCCGGGTATGATAACCTTGTACCTGTGGCTCGGAGTGCGTTGCTCTTGCGTCCGGTGGGGCTTAAGAAGGGAGATTTGTACACTGTTATTGCTGGGTTATTATATGCGTGTGACTCGTGGATGACGGTTGGTGGTGATAATCCGCATAAGGTGCGGATTATTGTTGATACTTTATGGACCAGTTGTGAATGGGATGGAAAAATGCGAGTTGTCGAGGCGGAAGCTTGCCGCATGGCTTGGATAGATGTGCTTGCAATCAACAGGATTTGAATCAGGTGATGCGTGTTGATCTTATTCGGAAGCTGCCATGAGTGCTTCAGCGGAATCCGTACTCACGATACGGAGCGAAATAGAGCATTTCCACTGAAGAGATGAATCAATTGCTAGGATACCTCAACAACAGTATGGCTATTACAAAGTCAGTGGGACCAGAACATTGCTAAAGATAGGAGTTTACAGGAAGTAGAGATGGCGATTCAGCAACGGTTTGATGGCCGAGACTCATTTAAGAGTATCAGAAGTGCAATAGCGGCCGGAGTTTTGAAGTGCTGGACATACGCATTGGAAAAGAGACGGAAGGCAGTGGTTGGAAATTAAATTAAAAACAATAGGCATTTTTCATTTCAATCAACCCTAACAGCGGTTGCCGTAGCCATATTGCCTGTAGAATCAGTTATAAAACATAATATGCATAGTAAATCTGCTGAAAAAAAGGTACCATCCGTTCATAGCCTGGAATAACCACGTGCAACGCCAATCAGAGGCATAAATTCGTATCATTAGAAGGCCGACTACCAGTCCTTGCCGACTGAACTTTCTGTGGAGTGTGACTCAACCCGTTCAATAATCCCGCTCGACTGAACACTCTGGACATCGGTAGCAGACGGAGGTCTGTCGACTTCCACAGGATCATCATCTAATCTCTCTGTTCGACCATCTTCAGATTGGTTAACCTCCTCCCAGTCGTCCTCACTCTTATCATCAGACTTCGTCTGAGCATCCCCAGTCGTCCGTCCCACATGGCCTATATTAATCTTCATTTTTTTAGCTTCTGGTTGTCCTTCAAATACAGGGTCAACAGTAGGCGGATCAGGAAGCTTAGCTGCAAGCAACTCGGGTGACGGTGACGACTCACCGTCAGCTTGTGCTTGTGGGTTGGTTTCCTGACTACTGGGACTGGGCAAATCCTGGTCTACAGGGGGAAAGAACAATCTGAAAAGCAACCTTAGCGTAATCACATCATGAAAACTCGCTCTAGGGCTTACGGAATAGTCTCCTCGTAAGCGCTCTCGTCTGCAGCTTCGAAATTGCAGAAGATAATCCGCTCCAATTTCCCAGTGTTGCTGCGACTGTCCAAGAACTTCCGAGTCTCGTCAAGAGCAGTGTGGGCAGCTTCTTTCTTTGGATATCCATATATACCGGTGCTGATAGCCGAAAAAGCGATGCTTGTCATGTTGTTCTCGACAGCCAGCTCGAGGCTACGACGATAGCAGCTCCGTAGAAGGGCTTCAGATCGGCCAGAGCCATACCGTGGCTCGTAATGGTATATAGGTCCAACGGCATGGATGACCTTTTTGCAAGGAAGATTGTAGGCTGAGGTGATCTTAGCGTCTCCCGTGTCGCAACCGTGCAACGTGCGGCACTCATTCAACAGGTTCGGGCCAGCAGCGCGGTGAATAGCACCATCAACACCACCGCCCCCGAGTAGAGATTCATTCGCTGCATTAACAATGCAGTCGACATCCTGCAGCTTGGTAATATCGTTTCGGATAAGCGAGATGGTGTCATTGAATATCTTCGACGGGGAGGCGCGAGACGATGTGACTGGGACCAAGCGCTTGAGCTTGTACAAGAGAGACACAGTGGGAATTTCGGCTATATGGACTGCCATCTCTTGGCCCAAGTTGGATGCCCTTAGAAGTGCGTTAACGTATTCCAGATGTTGTGCTGTTTTTTTTCCAAACAACGGCAGGGTTCACCCAAGACTATATCCAAAAAGTTAATCAATACAACGGTGCTTGATCAACCACTATACACTAAGTAGTTTTGAAGGACATAAAATCTCAAGTCATTCATTGATAGAGCCTGTCGGAAACCGCGATACTCGTTGACGTTTAAGAGATGAGGCACGTCAGTCGAGTAAGGCGGAGGGGAAAGATTCCCCCCACACGTGATGACACATGATTCTCTGCTAGTTAAGGAATCCCTTATCTTATCCTGGTGTCGGGCTTATGTAAATGTTTTGTCTTCCAAGCCTTGCCAAGCCCGATAGATTATGTTAATTACAATATGACCCTGAAGGAAGTACCAAAGGGATTCTATGTACTCCGTACTCCGTAGTCTCTGAATATACTCCATACTGCACACAGTTACCCCTAAATCCAAATAAATGGTCTTCCAAATTTCGATCAGCCGATCACCGCGGATAGAAATAGAATCTAGACAATACTTATATCATACTAATCATCTAGCTGTGGCATATATCGAATCGACAGCTGTGGGCTATTGCAATCGATACCGTCACATATCATAAACTCTAGGCCTTTGTTACTCATATCTAGGCTTCCAAATAAGGTTTATAGAGACACAATACATTAAAGTTCAGTGGTTCTTCTGGTACGACATATCTGGTAACAGGATACCCTAATTTGACGAAACAATAAGAAACAAGAGCTAGACCATCTGCTAACTGAAACGATCGATAGACCTGATACATATCCACGGAGTGGCCTATATCCAATATACAGAGCACATATACGCAATATAAGCCCCACGGTGATTTAGGAAAGTATGCCAAACATAAGTACGACACAGGTACTTTACCGCAAACCGCAGCGCCGAACCAGCGCCATCCGGGTAGGTTTATGCAAGGGTATCGTGTGCTGGGATCTCCCCGTCACTTTTAGGCAACCAGGGCCAAGACTCAAATGCATGCTTAATTCTGCGAACTGCCACATCATCTTGCGGTTTTTGATCCGATTGAGCTACCGTGCGTACTTTCGAAGGAATGAAGTGCGTACACGTACGGTACTTAAAACAGCCTGATCAACTAGTTGGATATAGCATTCATCTGGTTGTACAGTTCAGATCTCAACTGGATTCCGTCGATTGTAATTCAGTCTAAGGATCCCATACATTGTTAGTGCTGGTGATGGGTTGCCTTTTTTGCTGCCTTTTTTTTTTTGCCTTGCGTTCAGCCCTGAAGGTAAAATAGATGGGTAAGGGAAAGGAGAAAAAAAAAAAAAAAAAAGGCTAAAAGCAAGCACGATTGATAAAATTGTGATCAATGACAGCTGTCATTGACCCCTTGCCGTACTTATCATAGGGAGTCTGTGTGAAGGAATATTGTAGGCACATTTATGGAGTAAATTATCCCCGAGCGCCTCCAGCCTACTACTTCGATCGATTCAAGAAGTGGGTTAGAAAAGAAAAAGAAAATAAAAATGTCATACTCCGTAGTCTGCAATAATAGCCCCTCTGCTATAAATTACTGGATGCTCAAAAGAAAAGAGTTTCTTAAACGTAGTGTGTGCCGTGTGTATCTAGCGAGCAAAGGATGATCTCTAATGATCGGCGATCTGAAGGTTTTAGTTAATAATCTGAGACCATCAGTTCACTAGCAACATGCATAGACGCGCATATGTAAATCGATTTGCATGCATATATAGATACAGAAATAGCATGTTTTCTGGGAGGGGTGCAACAAAGGAAAGGGGTAGAAATAATAAAAATGCTCCTGTTGTTTTCTTTTGATTATATTTTTCCTCTGGCTTGTTAACCCTGATGCTAAGCCAAGAACCTTCCACTCTGTGGCGCTAATCTGTTCTATCACCCTCCCCGGCCCCACCCCGTCCGATCCCCCCTGAATCCAATTCAAATCCCAACAAGGATTGGATCTCTCAGCCGGCGATCGTGGCCAGCCGCGGTGGGTCCCAGTCTGCATCGATTTGCTCAGATCTGACCAGAGAGTTTTATTTGAAATGTTTCTTTTTTGTGACCTGCGATTGGACTATAGTCATGACTGACTCAAGTTCAAAATTTGCAGAAGGGAATACGTAGATACAGTACTAGTGAGTTGAAGTTGGGTACGAAGTAGAACCTAAACATTTGCGATAGATTGTACTATGTCGGGATTCCTGTCATCATACCAGAAACAAAAACAAGGGTAGATACGGAGTATAGCAAGCACTAACTCAGAACATAGTAATTCTTAGAAGCTGCCTAATTTACCTGAATTCGGTATAATTAAGGTAACTAGGACATATCAGAAGGCTTTTCCCTACAGATGTTGGAACCATGCCAGTTAGTACACACTTATGCTGACCGCTATAAAAATCAGCACGCTAACAGACTCTAACTCCGTGCTTGAATACCTTGATGGGCATGCAGATCGTCCTAAAACAACTTACTCCTCGCCCTAAGGCCAGTCATGCATGGCACCAGCCAGTTAGGGTTGCTCTCCTCGTGTTCATTTCTCATCCCAAGAGTCAAAGAACTCGCTCAATGCTGGCTTTGGAAAACTCTTCCTGCGGGATCCATGGTCAGGCATCCAGGCTTAGGTTATTTTCTCCCGGTATCGTAGTCAGATTAGGCTTGATGATTAGTAGGACTGGACAATCTGTCGAAACAGACGTACCGTTCCATGCGGTTTCTATTCCTCCTGGTACCTTACTGTACATACATACATACATACATTGGCGTATGTACTGTACGTATGTACGCATTATGTATGTCATTTATGTACTGGTATATTACTGCCCTACTCATGCGGGGTGTTTCCAATGCCCGATTTTAGAGCTACGGTGCAACAGCTTCGGAATACAACCTCGCTCTACTTTACGTAGATGATAGCTTACTTAATGAATATGCCTTGCAGGTATAGTCCTTACTCCGCAAATGTAGGTATGCAGGGCTGTATCTACCTATCTAAAGACATGAGTCAAATGCCGAACACTATTTACCAGCTGCACGTTCCACCACATATACATACATACATACATACCTATAAACATGCTCACAAAAAAAAAAACACTATAGAGCGTCTCCGCGGGCCTCCAAATCCAGTACGTAAATGCGCAACACGGCCAGATCTATTGACGCAGAACCAAGGATTGGGTATTGCAAATCTGCACTGGCACAAACTGACTACCAACTGTTTCATCGGCAACATCGACAGGCTCAAAGCCTAAGGCCACCAGGAACTGATTCAGGATATACACTATACTCCATAGCAACATGGGTATCTCAACTTTGATAACCACTCCGGTGATTCTAGATCGGCTTATCTAGGTAAACAGTGCAGACTGGTACCTGGTACGGTGCTACCCAAACTGCATCGGTCCGCTGGTTTAAGGGACCGGGATTTACAGCAGACCAATGAAACATAAAGGACCATGCTAGTCGTATTCAGCACCGGGTGCTGAGAATTATCGGGACTTAATCGGCACACCGGATTGGGCTTACTGTTGCTGTCGAGCGCAGCATACACAACCACGATTATGTGTACATCAATTCGACAACCTCGCATAGGAGCCAGAACATCAATCTCAGCGAACAGCACTCCTAGAGACCCTCCCGCGAGTCATGACATCAGGCTATTCGCCCTGATTGAGAACATCTCATCAATCCACATTGTAAATCGATCACCCAACAGAACATTCGATCCGGAATCGATTGAGGCCATTATGTCAGGCTGTTTAGTGTAGCTGCCCAATGCCAGGCCCCAATAATCGGCTTTTTGCGTAGAAGTGTTTGACAGCCCCGCCAATCTATTGAGTCACATTGTACGTCTCTATATAGCGCAGCATGAACAGCTGAATATTGCTGGGAGCATAAGAAGAGTGGTGGCAACAATGGGTAGAGAATTTCGACATCGGGAGCCAAGAGGGTAGTGAGTGGATCCCGGCCTGAAGAGCACACACTACACTACACTATTTAAGCAAGGTACATACTTCAGTTAACCACCTACTTACATCGTACACAACTGTCCGCATGGAAGCGCAATATGCACTAGGATAAGGCGATACCGTAGATAAAACAAATGTACAGATGTATCTGGGTAATACAGATCAAATTATCCCATTAATTTGTGTCATCAATTTTGAATCGATATGACGTACACTACACCCACCACCACGTGTCCAAGAACCGAATCTTTGGTCGGATGTCGGACGAACCTAACCAGGGCCAAGAACTGAGTGCCGAGCTGCCCGCACATGAAGCAAACTCAACCCTCTCCAGCCGGTTACAGGGGATCTGATATTGGCGGACCATCGGCGAGAGCGATGTGGCATGACTGATTTGAAATCATCTGCTGCGCGAGGCATGATTCCAAATACTGGGACTGTATATGGGACTCTTCTGCATTTTTGTATGGAGTGTAGTCACCTGTCATTGTATTAATCTGAAAATGTAATACCAATAATCAATACGGAGTACATAGTATGCGTCATACAAAGGTTCATATGCCGGGGGCTTAGGTACCTACTCCGAGGTAGATAGTGGCCTAGAATACTTGAGCATGTGGCTTTGGCTACTACTTAAAAGGGTAGTAGAGGCTAGGTCGTATCATTAATTAGTATCCAGTACCTGGCCAGGTTAAAAACGGCTGAAAGAGAAGTACATTCTTGATAATTACCTATTCTGTATAAGATACACGACTATGTAATGTCATAACCTTGAGTATAACGCCAATGTAAGACAGCAACAACACAACGGAGGTTACACAAAAAAAAAAAATAAATAAATAAAGAAAGGATGCGACCACGGTGTTCTCCGATGCAAAGCAGCGGTGAGACAGATCTCAGTCCTTTCCTTTCCCTTCCCCTGTAGTTAGGTCTCCATTTAGGCGCATGGATACACCGTTACCGAAATCCCAACCATTCCGGCCACGGTGGCGTAGAAGCGGTAGGCTAGGAGGGTCCCTTACTCTAATGCAAGATGAGATGCGATTACGATGAGATGAGATGAGATGAGATCCGATCGATTCAAACCAATATTTATCCCTATTATAGTGCTCTTCTAAGACCTAAGCCCACCAGGGCACCTAGGACTTCGATCGCATGAGAGGTGGGCCAGGGATATATTACTTTGCTACATGCACTCCAATAAACAACCGAAATAGATTAAATTAATATTTAATAGACCTTCCAAGATAACTCTACTGCACAGTATTGGAGAATCATTTCGTTCGCCAAGGTCATTCATTATTCGCATCGAAAAAATATGGAGTACTAATTTTTTAATTTTTTTTTGTACCCCCATACATCTCTGAAACAAAACCCTGGCGATCTTCAACAATCGGTCGTGACAATCATGCCATACCCCGAAAGAATCTCGGGTTTGGTTCTAGTCTGTTCTAGTGCGTCTCTTCACCCATTTATTGGCCATAGACTGTATGTGTTACGTTAACGCTGTCTACACCATACTCGATTTGGCAATTGCCTTGTTGTCCAAGAAATATACACCTATACTTGGACGTGGGATGAAAGAGCCAAGGTGCGAGGGTCGCAAAGATACATCTCGACTCTTCTAGACACAACGGTTGTGTGATCCGTGTTTCTATTTCGAGTTGGAACCTGGAACTACGCCGTAGAGTGGCGTTATGGTTCCTTATTAGGCTATATCAGATCCCAACAACATCGCATATCGGTGGAAGCAACCGCGGTACCTGATGTGTGGCCTGTGGGCCTTCCAGACTCCCAGCCTCCAAGGCTCAAATAGAGCATAACACAATGGACATACCAGAAGAAAAGGTTATAGTTCCTGACCATCACCCGTTGCCACATTAGTGGTGCTCAGGCATACTCGGACCTCTATATCCAAGATCGTCGATATGGCCATGATGCTTGCTGCTGGGTCCCTGATGCTTGAGGCTTGGCCCATATTTGTTCTGTGCTGTCCTTGAAAATCTACTACCATTCTAAGGGCGTTTAGCCTCGGTTCCACATAGGTATGATGAAAAGCACTGTATAGGAACAATCATGAGCCGGTCGTGATTCCTTTAATGGTATTGCACAAAATTAGACTTCTTGGGGGGCTTTTTTTTTCTTCCAAAATAGTGGACATGAATGCGTTAATGACATCATATAGCACATCTAGCAGATATCGTCGCCAGAGCGAATCCCAGACACGTAATAGGTGACGGGTAAAATGGGGTATAATGGTAACAAAAATCAATGAACATCCCGGGAATGGAGACTGAGGCAACGAAGAAACTAAAAACTAACATCCAGTGCACACACCAGTCCCACAGACAGCAAGCACAGTCCATAAACAAAAGCATAAAAGTAAAGTCTATCCAAATGCCTTTTTCCCAAAACGTGCAAGGGGTATTAGAGAAGCTCCAGGGGCCAACTAGGATGAGGAATAAAACAACCCAAACGACACGCTTCACGACCAGCTAAACATTCCTTTAGAAAACCGGAACCGTACCATGTCCAAGGGCAACACTCGAAATTCAAAAAGGGGGTCTCTGATCAAGATGAAGAAACAGGATATTAATTCTAATCCCAAAGCCAATTCAACGCCATGTAAATTAAGTAGTATTGACGTGTCAGTGACTACTCGGAGATGTAGAGTCCAGGGACTTCGGTTTCAAGCTTGAACCAAGGGATGACGCATGTTTGGCGCCCATCTTGCGCGTCAACTTCGCATAGTGCAAACCACAAGCATTGCATAGAGTTCGCGCACCATCTGGGCCACGTCGCCATTCAGGTGTTTCGGCTCGGTTACAACTGTGGCAACGGCCAGGAGGAGCCGCTTTCTGTAACGGTCGTTAGTGTTGGGAAATGACTGTAGGTGGGCACCTGGGCGATCATGTGTGACACGGGGGAGGAGCCAATTGAAAATGGCTGGGTACAATAATATAGAAACCAAAAGGAACAAACTTACGCCTCGCCGCTTTTTTGGATCCGGTCCAGCAAAGCCACCGCTTCCCTTGAATTCGTCCTGATACATTGCCACATGGTCATCATCGCGAACGCCACCTGGTTTGAAGGCTTTTCTTTGGGCCATTTGCTCGGCCAAGGCGTGCTCCTGGTTCAAAACTGCGGTTCGTATACGTAACAAAGCATCCTGGTTCCGACGCTGGAGGCTAAGCATATCCTCGATCTCGTGTAGAGAGGGCAGAGACCCTAGGACTGGTCCGGAACGCTGGGTTTGATGCGCTCTTTGGGCATAGTGTCGTGAAAAATCCAAAGTGCGGGTGCTCATTTCGACAATCTACTCCAATTAGCAATCAATCGAAAGCAATCAATAACCCACTGATTTCCCGACCCAGATGTACGCATACCTCATTAAGTGAAGTCTCCACATCGTAAACTTCTTCCAAGTGTCGCTTGACAGAATCAGATTGGCCCTGTCCCGCCATAGGATGACCCGCAAATCCACCCTTCACATCATCGACACGTCCCACCTCCGTCATCCCGGATTTCCAAGATGTGCCGCCATAAGACCGAGCATCGTAAGAAGCAGGATAAACCGGCGCATTTGGTGGGGGCTGGGACTGAAATGGAAAGGGTTGTGAGAATGCGCCATACCCGTTGGGGGAAGCAATACTGCCACCAGCCGATGGAGGAGCACTGTATTCATACCCCGATCCGGCTTGCGACCCCGAAATTGATGTGATTCCAGTTTTCGCACTCTGCGTGGGGGACTTTCCCGAGCTAAGCGACTGAAGAGATTGAAGCGATGCATTTCTTGATTCCTGGGTGTTTACCGTCACCAAGCTAGCCCGTGATGCTTCCGCCTGTAGCTGAGTTTGATGAGAAAATGCTGAGTCTCGTAAAAATGACGCAGATGATGTTCCATTCGAAAAAGGATTCGGTGGCCCTGCCGGTCCGTCACCGCCTGGGCGCCCCATGAGATTAGAAGGAGCAGAATGTAGATTTGGTGCATGAGGCGACTGCTGAGGAGGCGCCGAAGTCGGGGCGGGATATGGTAGGGGATTGTCATTTCCCAAAGCCTCATGAATTGACGGAAGGGACTGCCTCTGCGGCTTCTTCTCTTTCTCTTCTTCCAATGCGCGCCGCGAATCTGGAGGCGAGACATAGCCAGGGGGCACGGAACCCGTCCTGACGGTCGACGTTGAGTAAGAGTGTTGCAATGGCTGGCCTGGATACATGCTGGTTGGACTGAGAAGAGGCGCAGGAGAGGTAGCAATTCCGGATGTAAGGGCAGAGTGTTTGGGGGCGTATACAGGACCTTCTTTGTTCAGGAGGCCTAGAGCTGGCAGATGATCCCTATTGTGATCAAAATATCAGCCATACTGAGTCTTAATTTCTAGAACGAGATCCGCGCGGATGGGTAAGAACAATCCGAAGGAGGAAAACGCGTAGAACGAACCTGTGTCTATGACCAGCTTCCAAAGACCCCATGACGCCAAATAGTTCGTGTGAAATGCCAGCAAGGTAGTTTGGCAGCAGTCGTATCCTCCGCCAGGAACCTTCCCGTAAGGAGTGGTGACACTCTCCGACTTCAACCGGATGCAGGCAGGTATCGCAAGAACAGACTCAGTAAATAAACAAGTAAGATGAGCTAAAATTATATGAAATAAAATAAAATAATTTGGGTTGTGTTAGAGCCGGTGAGCAAGTCGAAATGGTTGTGAGTAATAACAAGGGGAGGTAGATAAATAAGCTCTTTCCACCTTTGAAAGGTCACCCGGTCGATCGGCTGAGGACGTGGATATATTAATTTACTTTCTTTTTTTCCCTTCGGCCCTTAAGATCCCGAGCGGAAGAGTAAATGGGACTGAACCGAATAAATTAAAAGAAATCTCACGATGAGAGCCACCTCTCCCTTCAACCTAAGGTTGTCTGGGGTGGTGGCGGGTGTGGGGGGTTAAAACAGAGAGATTAAATCGGACCCGAGATGCGGACAGAAGGCGGCCTAAAAAAAAAAAAAAAAAAAATTGGAAAAAAAAAAAAAAAAAAAAAAAAAAAAAAAAAAGGTCAAGCCAAAGTACGGCACGTACCCGCAGCGCGCAGCGAACAGATCAGATCGGAACGGCCCTTCCTGCGTTTCGAACAACCATCTGTCCAAAGCCAAAACCACCCAACGAGCCAATGTAAATGCTAATCGTCAGATTTTTCAAGAATGGAATTCAGAGGAGACAGATTTGATCGTGTTTGAATATTCTTTGCGGACGGGAGAAGAGCGGCGGAGGCGCAGTACACGCAAGGGATGGAGATGAATGATGAATGCGTCGCGTGGAAGGGAGGAGATGTTGGTCTTTTCTCTCTCACAGAGGGAAAATGATGTAGGTAATTAGTTAATTATCAGGTGCAGTAGGAAAAGGAGTAAAGAGTAAAAAGCAAAAGTAACCAGGGAAGAAGTTCAACTGAAGATGGAAAACTGGAGAGGAGCCGAAAAGGTCAAGAGAAGACAAATCGGCAGAAAATGGGCGAATTTAATAAGATCAAGGATGAATATCTTCCGGGGCAAGATGGCTATAATTTCTATCTCCGTCTCTTTCTTTCTTTTTCTCTAACAAAAAGAAAAGAGAAGTTCCTTGGATGTCTCTTTTTCACTCGTTTTGGAAGTAGGGATTCTGTATAGAAAGCGAGATATTGTAGGGAGAGAGATGGCAAATGGTGGCTCTGTAGTAATCACAGGGAAGAACAGAAGCTATTATTATAATTCTTAAAGGGAAGGGGAATAAAACAAAATTGCAACTTAAAAATAAAAAATAAAAAATAAAAATTCAAAATAAAATAAAATAATACCACTTAGCAAACTAAGTCCTCAAGACTATTTCAAAGACCGCCACGACCAGGCCCGCACGCTCACAAGAGGAAGAGAGATGGGAGGATCCAACTACTAAAACGACGTCGGCCCAGCGATGATGAGCTCAGACCTGGAAAATTAACACAGATAGATAGGAGCCAGAAACAGGACTGCGAGATCGTCGAATCACGCTGCCAGTCGTGACCAGTTTAAGTTACGGCGAATTACAGTAGCTTTACGGGCTGCGAACTGCGGATCTTCGACGAAATGTGGAGTGAGTTGGGATCATATTGGCGATGTGCGGATATCTTGGTGGGGAGCGATGGAGCCTTACCAGGGGGTTGTCCCTGGCCCAAAAGGAAGGGGGGAGAGAAAAAGGCAGAGATACTGACTGATCTAGTGACTTACCCACTTTTTTTGGATCCCATAGGTAATCATCCATGGAGTACGTAATTACTTACCTTTTGGATACCCTTCAGTATGTTTCCGTCGACGAAAAGTTCGGTAGTATTATATAAATACCTACCAATTTTCCACTCCAGGTACGGAGTAAACGTGTGTATCTACGTATTTATTGCGCCTTGAATTTGTGAATAGGAAAATGAACAGCCCCTAGCTACGTACTTGGTAGGCGGAATCCTCGAGGTAGCCGATCACGTAATCTGTCCAGCGACACTTCACGTAGATGGCCTTAGAGGGCCCTCAGGCGGGTTACCAAGATCCAAACTGACGGGATACCTACTTAGTAGCTGGAAAATTGCTACCGTATTAGTTACGGAGAAGGTGCACAGCTGGCAGGTGGTAACTTGTATTTAAGTATTACCTACCTATTCCATGCATTTGTGACGCGTAATATAATGTGTAACGATACACAACTAATACAATTACGATGGGTACATACCTAGAATGCACCACAATTTACCGATACAATTTTGAATGGAAGGTAGGGACTGTCGTTGAGACGGATGGAAGTTGAGCAGAATAATAAGTACAACAAGCGTCTGTATCATCGTTGGCTCGATTGACAATAGGTCGGAGTCAGAATCGAGTTCCATAGATCGCAACCTACTTAGGGGAACGGCTAACCAACTGTAATTTTCTTAAAAGAGAAAAGGAAGGAGAGAATTAGCAGAAGGCACTTGAGTACAAGACGACAAGGATTGAAGAGAGAATAGAAAATTGATGATTATAATGACAAATATAATAGATAATATGGCAGAACAACAAAACACACACTCGGGGACAAGGATATTAAGATTTGATGGTAATATAACACATTAACACACCCTTCATCACAGTAGAACTAATTTAACTAAAAAAACAGATCTTAGATCAGCCATCCTTAGTATAACGAATTATGAAACATAACCAGACATTATCTACATAATAGGCCTGGTACCTATCTGTAGGTACTGATACATATGGTTCATGCTTTTACTATGTCCACTTGATGACGTTAGATAATAAACTATGAGTACTGGTGTTTTGAGATTGTGTGGGAGCCAGTTAATGGGACTGGATCAAGCAACGATTGTGGGTATTGTACAGATATACAAAAGAAAATTCCAATAATTAAGAAGTAGTTTTATATAATGTTGAATGCCTTTTTTCTTCCCCCTCATATATTCTAGCATTGCATACCACAATAGCAAACTTAAAGAAAATTGTATGCAACAAATAATCAAGGCCAAGTGTTCAGACATATGAGCTCACTGTATATATTAATGCACAGTTTGGAAGATTCCAGGAGAATCATGACATGAAATGTCTTAACCCTTTCCCCTCACACATTCATAGCTGACAGTATGGAATAGTCAGAAGACTGCTAAGTACCCCGTAGGTGTCCTCGACCTATATTAAAAATGCGATCCGAGGTTACGACTCCCTAGAAACAGCTAGGGAATGTGATTCAGACACTCGTACGAGAAGCCGCCACTGTCCCTCTCCTTGGCCCAGATCTGGTAACGATCGCAGTGGAGAATCCAGATCGCACATCCGTGAGACATACGCTTACGTCCTATCGGTGTCTGTAATTAGCCCAAAATGCTTGCACCGTTGAAATCGGGACTAGAAGAGATCCGACCACCTATTCGTTAGCACGGCACAAGTACCCAAATCTTGGCTGCAGCCATGGTCCGATCCCCTCCTGCAAGAAGAAGTGTTCTCTTCCATTTCCGTCCACCGTGGTGTGCTCAGGGGTTCGAGTGAAGTGGAAATATAAAAGTCGAAAAGAGTAATAATTAAAAGCAACAGAAGAAAAGAACTATGGTATTTCAAAAAATGGAAAGAGTGGGTGGAAGCACAGAAAATAAATAAATAAAGAGGGTGGAAAATGAGTACCATACAAACAGCAAATGTCATATTCCATGACCCCTGTACCCGAGCGATTTGTTCCATGGCACTGTACAACGCTCCCCGCTTTCCCTTGCTCGAGATCTCGGGCATAGCCGTTCGTGGGTGGCACCATCGTAATCTCGATCATCGGCCTGAGGGTTGGAATATGGTATTATCTCTGTGGCTTGACTTCCTTTTTTTTTTTTTGGGGGGGACGGTCTTGATTGATTTCGTTTGCATAAGCGACGAGAAATCTGACAAAATTAGGGACTGGGCCAGGCTATCGATCGTACGGACAAGGGGCCGGGGTAGTTATAACGGCGCTCATACAGACTTTTAACACCTGGCCTTTGATCTCCAAACTGGTTGGCTGTTCTATGCATCTTCCAGCTATTCTGTACGTCCTTTTTTTTCTTTTTTTTCTTTCTTTTTTTTTTGGCGCTCTCTATATAAAAAAGGGGCAAACATATCTCAAGGTGTCTTAATCGTTGACTTGGAATAGTCACTAGCATCATACCACAATCCTAACAATAGTCATCATCATCAAAAGAGGCACAGACAAATTCTCCAAAAAAGCTATACCATGTCACATGGTAATTGCTTCAACTCCGCCCCCCTCCCCACTGGATTAACGACTATTATTTTTCAACAGGTAATCTCAGTAGGCATATAGGCTGATTAACAACAAGCTTGCTTTCTGTCTTGAGGCCATTACAGGCGTATCAAATTCATAATTATTTTTACTTCGATGTCGTTCTACTGTACGGAGTATGGGGGAATACCTAAACTGTGCTGTTACCAGAACAGCTAGCCTTGACTAAATATGTGTAACATGCACGCTGTAAGTTCTTGGGGGTCAATCCAGCCCAGATCGAGACAAAATGATTGGAAGATATCCTGCGGATGAGCACACGCAACCTGATTAAGACCTCATTTTTAGAGGGAGGAATTGCCGGTTGGTGTGACAACTATCTGAGGGGCGGTTTATTTTATTTTTATTTTTGTCTCCTCAGAGATTCGATAGAATACCCGACTTAGTAGGTACATGGGGTCTGCTATATCTGATAATTCGAAATATCGGGACCTCTTCACCAGGTGTCTGCTAAGATTAGACATCCCTCCCACACAACCGGTGGGTTTAATTAAAAGATGAATGTCGATCGGACTTTGATCGTTGTCGCCATTTCCGACTGCATGCGCAGCTTCTGGTATGTATGCAACTCCACTGCTTGGGGAGCAAGGTGCAGCGGAAGAATTGCACATTTTCTTTTTCTTTTTCTCTTTTTTTCTTTTTCTCTTTTGTTCTCCCACTCGC